GGTCGGGAGCTCGTGCAGAACCTAGAATCAAACTGCACAACCGCACCTTCCACAGCAGGCTAAAGTCGGCCTCTTATGTTTGTGCTGCAAGTGCTCAGGAAACAAAAGACACCCGAGAGTAAAGGAGTCGATGAAATCCGGAATGCGACCACCTGTGCCTTGCCAAGGGGATAATCAACTTGGCGAAGATCTCTCGACCAATAAGCCAATGTCTTCCCCACCATGAGCTTGGTGAATTCTCGGAGTCCGCGATGAGATTCCAGAGATCCAGCATTTTCCAAGGTTCTCGGATCGGAATTCGCAACCCTAAGCTATCGTCGGATCTAATTGGTGCCAGGCACCAGTGATCTCATGCATCGTCTTATAAGCAGAAAATCGCCGTGGTCACTAGGAATATGCATTCAGGGCGCGTAAACAATTGTTTTTTTTTTCGGGTCCACTGTTGCTCTCGAGTGACCCCCATGCGCGCTCTGACTGATATAAGAGCTTATGCTGCACGAGACGAGGGCGTGGCATCACCAGCCTCGCTGCATGATTATACATTCTGCACCGTTTTGGGCGCCAAGTCCGCAGTTCCATAATATTCCGAGACGGTGTGTCCAAGAGAGGTCGTGTGGTGGTGGCATGAGACAGCAATTGCAAGTGACACAGAAAAGTACCTAGGCAGTGAACCAGTGATCGTAGATTTACAGCATATGTCCACATCTACTGTTTCCTGAAAGATGAATACTCAAGAATTGGTTTTATACACATTTCCTAGGTACTAGAACGGATTGAAATTATAGAGTACTATTCAACGCCAGCCAACAGCCCATGCGTAGATACAACATCAATATACACTGCCAATATACTCTCCACTGCCATAAGCGCGCTCATCTACTCCTTGGAAACAGGTGGCTGCACAGGCTCGGCGGCGACTTCCATCTGCTGCGCCATGATTATATCGGCGATGGCGTCCTCCGTTTGGAGGTATGTGCGGCTACCCCGAATGAACCAAAAGGCAATGGCAATGACGAGCATGACCCCAAACACAGCAATTGCGTAGTTCATGTCGGCCGGTGAAGGGTTAGGGGCTCCGGGGAAGAGGAAGAAGATGGTCGTAATGATGCAGTAGATGATGCTGACCCAGTTCAGAAGCGGGCCCCAGCGGCCCAGGTGGAATGGGCCTGGCTTGAGCTTGTCACGGCCGACTATGAGTAGGGACATAATGGGCATGGCGTAGGAGACGGTCAGCGCAATGGTGCTGACACTTAGAATAGCCTCGAGCACAGTGTTAGCGAAGAGGTACAGGACGCCGACTAGGGCAATCAGGAAGCCCTGGAGCCACAATGTCCGTGCAGGGACTTGCCAGACTGGGTCGACGTGGCTGAAGTATCGGCTCCAGGGAATGCCGCCGTCACGGGCAAATCCCCAGGTCAAACGAGAGCCGGTTGTCAGAATACTGATACCCTGACCAACTCCGTTCCAGATGAAGAGGGAGAGCAGCACAGTGGCGCCCTTCAGACCGATAGTCTGGAGCATAAGCGTGATGAAAGGCAGGTCTGCGTTGAGAACCTCCTTCACGTTCTGGATACAGAACAAGCACACTACCATGAAGATGAACCCAGTCACTGCACCGAAGAGCACCGCCATCCAGATAATGCGTGGGGCGTTACGACGCGGAGCAGGGATCTCCTCCACCATGTGGATGACCGAATCGAATGCGGTCAGACCGTACGCGGCCTGCACTAGGCCGGTAAACCAGACCACCCCGTTGCTCCAGCCTGTCTTGTTTATCCAGTTTCCAAAAACGAAGCCAGCAGGCTGGAAGGATAAACCGGGTTTCACGCCAACCGTGATCAGGAGCGCCAGAGAGAGGACGACGAAGAGACCCGTGAACCAGATGCCGACGAAGTTGTTGATCCACGGGAGCACCTTGTCTTTCCGACAGCCGACAACATTGATGACGGTCAGCAACAGGGTCACACCAATGTAGACCACGAAATTGAGCCACCCCTCGTTGACGCCGGCCCAGTTCGGCTCGAACATGGTCCTCATTCCCAACATGAACTCAGACATAAAGGCGATCTGGGAAGCCGACAACGTCCACCACCCAAAGGTGTTGATCCAGGCACACATGTATGACGCAAATCGGCCAAGTGGTGTGTTCCACAGCCGGTATACCCAGTAGGCTTGGCCCAGAGCCGTCGGCATGCTGCTGGTCAGCTCGCCCAGCGACAGTGCGACACAGAGATTACAGGCGGTGACCAGCACCAGACCCCAGAGAATCGTGATAGAGGCGCCATTTGTCAGGCCACTGCTGAGATCCTGGGCGAACGTGGAATAAGTGCCTAGGAAAACCAGGTTAGTATGGAATTGACGACCGTTTTTTCAGGACAAGTAGGAGCATACCCAGCACACAGAAGGCGAGCGCCAACATGCTCCACATATCGAATTTCCGCGTCAAGGCCTGGTCGTGGCCCAGCGCCGCAAGATCGAGCGCATCTTGCACATCTTGGTCAGTCGACAGCGACGGCTTGATAGGCTCAGCCAGTTGGTTCGACTCCAGATCCGTCATAGTTTTATTCCAGCCGGAAGCGTTAAAGAGCAATTCAACGGGCAAGCAGGAGGGGGGGGCACTTCCATTTTCCACTGAAAGATAAACCTGGGGAAAAAAGGGGATAGACGAGCGAGATGACGGATTCTATATAGTCTTCGCGGTCATGATCTCGTTCCGCGCTGGGTCGAGTCGAGCAAGGATCACCCCCCTCAAGGAGGCGTCGTGTCAAGCAAACTTAATTCCAGCCAGAAAAGACCGGGGCAGTGAGATAAAGCTGGGGACGAAAATGGAGCGACCAATGACAGACACCACAGAGACAACGAAAGTTGTGGGTTGTATCAAAGCGATTGGTCACAGGCTGGGGTGCGCTTGATAATGGAAACGATGAGCACGAGATGGATTTTGTGGGATTTTTGCGGGGATTTTCTGTGCCGTTCGGATGGACTTCCTCGAAGTGGGCCTGGCTCTGGTGGTTGTGGATGGTCCTCCCCACCAGGGGGATGGGTACAGTTTGTATGATCCGGAGAAAGGACCAGGCTAGCCTCGATCAATGGCTGTTTCCATAGTCATAGAATAGTTCTTTGAACTCCATGATTGTGGCGGGCGGCGATGTCTACTCCTAATCGGAAGGATCGGAATTCACGACATTGCCGGAAAGGAAAAGTGAGCGAAATGCGTCTTTTCTTCCTCCCACCAGTTCGAGAGGTCTCGAAAAGCCTCAGATATGCAGCCGCGATGCACTCCGTGCGCCATCGGCCAGCTACTGTCAGCCTCTGTACTCCGTAAAGCCAGCCGAGTTCATCGGTGGCGACAACTTGTTCCCGATAAGGAAAGTACATCCGACGAGATAAGCCACTCGAGTCCTGCCACAGGGAGCATTAGCTATCAAATCTACCGGAAAGCTTTCATATCTCGAGATTCGAGATACTATCTGACTATCTCTAGAGTGGTGATGCGCGGGCTTCACGATGACCCGAGATTTCCCTTATGCACACTCATGTCGTTTGAATGGACAGAAAATTGGAGCATCGCGATAATCCCCGGCTCCTGCAAGCTGCTGAGGTGTGCAAGTAGTGACCCAGGATAATCAGACAAAAGGGAAGCACGACACGATGGGGTTCTAGCTGACCAGGCAGCAGCCCTGTGTCGCTCGAAGCTGTCGCGGAACAGAGGCGTCGGGGTTCGCCTTGAACAAGGAGAACACCGGATGTCGCGTCGTTAGAGCTTGGCTGAATATGGCGTCTACATACAACGATGCACTTGATGAGAGATATCTCTGTCCCGCTGCGAACGCCGATGTAGAATCGCTATTGGCCTGTATCGCCGGGTCTCGGCCCCAAAGTCTCTTTCTCTTTCCCTTCTCGGGGACGGGAGGTGGGTTTGGGTCGGGAACTGTTGCAATTAGAGTAGATTGGGACGCCTCCCCGGGATTATTGAATCGGTGGAGTTTCTGTGACAATTGGTTTCTCGGAGCATCACTAATCGTGGGGAGATAAACAGCTGTTACAGCGTGTTTTCATAAGGGATCTTCGGGGCCTCGGGTGATATTCAAGCACCGGATCAGCACCCCGACCCCGATTGGGGAATTTGAGCCTCGCCCGTCTTTAAGGTCTGATGGACGCATTCTGGAAGACATCTAGTCTCTGCATCCCTCATCAATTGACCAATAGCTCATAGTGCCGGAAGCGGGTTGGTTCCGCGAGCTGCCCATAGCTCCTGTTTAACTTTTTGCGGCTTTTTCGCGATTTCGAGGTATGACCATTTCGAGGTGTCATCAATCCGAGGCCGGAGGGTCATGCGTAAAAGTATTCGTATCATTCTACAATAATGTGTGTTAAAACTCGGTTATGCGTGCCGGAGAGGACACATCAGTTCTCATCAAAGTGTCTGAAATGATGTGGGTATCTTGATTGTCTTTGTTCTTACCAATAGCATCGTTTTGATGGGTGTGCACACCCGTCGAATCCCAAGTCCCGGATGGCCTCAAGAAAAGCTGCCTTACTCTGGACTGCACTTTTTTTAGAGGATAAAAATGTAGAAGACAAAATTTGAACAGACCTTTATATGCAAGGTGCACATAAGGAGAATGGCCCCAGTATATCCCTTTTGGGTATGTGTCGCGCCATCGATGACAGAGCTCCACACCATAGGTGAACATGTTATAGGTACATCCGGCTGCACGTCATGCCTTGGACTTACTTGATTGGGTGAGACCGCAGAGAACAGAGCAGAGTTGAGCAGAATCAGCCCAGTATCAGCTATTACATCATTATTTGACTATGGAAAATGAAATTGACAAGTTTAACAACAACACAAAACAGAAGACTTTTCTGTCGTCAATAATCAGGATTGGAGAGACCTAACTACGCCTAAACTCCGGCCTCCATGTCCCTTGGAACGCCAAAAAATAGAAAATGACGAAAACATTGTCCATGGCTCACAAATTCGCAATGAGTCGATTTCAAAACGGATTGGAATTCTGCCACTGCCTTCCCGGCAGGAGATTCTGTTTCAGCAAGCCCAATTCCTTGCGCACAGCCTGGTTTTCTTGCTGCATGTTCTCGATATAGGCGAGGGCATTTGTGAGAATCTCGGATTTCTTCAAAGAACTCGCCCCACCCTTGGGGCCATGCTTCAGAATACTTGCGGGGGAGATGGATTTCTCCAGCGAAATGAATTTTGCATTCATGTTTGAGCGGTAACGTTTCTCGATGATGTTGTGGGCGGCGCGCTTGGCGGCATTGCGTGTCTGCGGATCCTGATTGCCGGTAGACAGGCGATTAGAAGGATTCTCCGATGGACTGCGAGATTTGTGATTTGGTGTACTCTGGTTCGTTGAGTCTGAAGAGGAGGCCCGACTTTGTGGATGAGCATTGTATTGGGGAGGAACTGTCTTCATCACTTGGGCGACGGATGGCTCAGACTCAGATGTGGTTGAGTCGAAGGACGGGTGCTTGAAAGACCATGTTTGATCGTCACTATCAAACTCCTTCCTCGGATGTCAGAATCAATATTTTGATTGAGAAAGAGCTGCATCTTACTGATAATACCGAAGCGCTATCCTCCGCCACGGGCAATGTGCACCCATTTATCCCAACCGGAATGGCAAAAGGGTCCATAAAGAAACCCTTTGACTCTTTGTCGACCAACTTGTTAAACACGTCAAAAGAAAGTGGATCAGTGGCCGTGGAATTCAAGGCCAAAAGATCGGTTGCGTTGTCGTATGTCCAGTTGTCGGAAAGAGGATCAAAAAGTTCTTTGGTCACAGGGAAGAAGTCAACTGGTCGAGTCTGAGGACTCATCGGTTGGCTGGTGAGAAATTTCTCATCTTCCTGCGAGAGACTGGAGAGAGAACTTGGTCGAGAGAAATCCATTGTGATGATGCTTGAAGATGCTCTACTCAGACCGGAGTGGGCAGCAGGGAGACCTTTAAAATATGGTTCAAAGAAAAGGCACGGGTCATCTGCAAAAAGGGTATACGGTACTGTGGCAATATATCGGATATCAAAAATAAAGACAGCAGGCTACCACGGAATAGAATTGAGTTTACGTCGGCCGCACCACAACAATATTATATATGGGCAAACACCAACTTGTGAGAAAAAGGACAGGAGCGTTCATTCCCGAGTATCACCCGGAGACTATCAATAGAGATTCATGCTTGCCGCTCCTTGGCTAAAGTGACAACCGAGAATTAGCTTGTGATGTAAGGCATTGCCATTTCCCAGCAAAAGCCCTGGATGGCTCCCAGTTCAATGCCCACGGAGAGCTCGATCCGAAGTCACCCCAGGCTGGACCCTATAACGGTGGCCGGCTCCGATGCCAGCCACCAGAGCTGTGGACCCAGTCAGATGTCAGAGGCGCAATTAAAAACAATGAAGAACTGCGGGCCAGCAATGAAATGAGTGAAAATCAGCAAGTGGCTGTGGGGCCGTTGGATCAGCAGCCGCCGGCCGAGACTCGGAGCCGACGTCTAGTCAATGATGCATGTCCACACTTAACCAAGTACTAGTACCTTTGTACGTTATTGTTTGCCTCGCAATTATCGTTATTCTTTCCTCTTATCCCTAGTGACCCAACAATGCCCTGTTCTACTGTAAGCATAAGCCACGACCAGCACGCACAATACGAATCTAATTTAACGGGTTCCCTAAAATCATACTTCAGTTTCTCGACGGAAGCAGGTTGTAATGATCTATTCTTGAGCATATTTTCTTTGCATATGGATATGGAAGATGTGTTTGGCCGACCATCATATTTCTCACTAGGGTCACTGCAGAGCATTGTGGAACACATATGTTTGATCAGCTGAAGTACCACCGTCCGGCCTCGACACACTAAAAGGTCTTTTCATTTTAATGTCCTCAAGTAGGCGGCATCCGCGCATTCAGCCGTGGTGTCATTTGGGTCATGATTTTCTTTTGCCCCGAACTTGCGCTCCTATTCAGCCCGATGTCTGCTGACTTCTGAGTCAGATGGGCCCCTAGCTGTATCTGCTATTCTTTCAAGATACATGATCGAAATAGGTCTACTACAAGTTTTCTGAAGGGCTGCGGAGTAGATTTGCTCAAATGGCGATTGGCTAGCTGTGATCACCAGCTATGGATCGATCTAGAGTAATAGGGGAGGGATAGGATCTTTGCTGTCGACAAATAATGTTGTCTAAATTTGGCTCTAATTGCCCCCCCCCACATAATTCAAGGTCTCAAGCTTTGCGATCTTGTTATCTTGATCCATATTGACCAGACCCATTATAATTGACATGGACTTCTTTGGCAATCACGGCACCATGTCTTCTGGAGAGGCAGCAACTTCCATTGTGCTGAGGATTTCTGTGTTGCAAACATATCACTTTCTTCCCCCTCTCCTTGCAAATTAATTGCAAGTTAAAATATCAATTATTCTAATAGTGCCTTAATGGTTGTCTCAAAGTCCTCGGGCTCTCTTCCCAAAATGTTGGCAAGAGCTGGAGACACGACAGCAGTTTCTCCTTGCTTAATAGCCTCCCATGCTGTGGCCCACTCCTTCGACAAATTCACACTATGATAAGTATGTTTCTTACCAACCTGCGGGAGTAAGGCATACTCATCCACAGATATTTCACGAACTCTGAGAGGTTTTCCGACTGCTCGGCCCAGAACATCGACGGTGTCGGAGAGAGAAAGCTCGCGTGGTCCAGAAAGAAGTATCTCGCCATTCAGGTAAGCGAATCCCGACGGGTCCTGGGTGTACTGTACGATGAGTTTGGCAGTCGCTTCGCCCAGTTCGTCTTTTTTAGCCCATGCTACACCTGGCCCACTACCAGGGTGCGGAATTGTAATCTCATCAGCTGGGTTCTTGAGATCAAACCACGCAGTGTAAATGGGAAAGGACTCCGAGTACAGCCCTTCACGGACAGCTGTGTATGTAAGGCTGCCCGACTTTTCAGAGAGATATTTCTCGGTCGCGATGTGCGCTCCCATCACATGCGCGAGGCTCTGGTCCTTTGAAATACCGGCAAAAGCTAGCGACGAGTAGAAAATATGCTTCACTCCGCTTTTAATGGCAGCGTCGATCGCCAAATGGTGGGCCTAGGGAGATTTGGTTAGACCTTGAGAAATTATTCCGTCATTTTCATGCATACGTTGATTCGGTGCTGTATCTCAAACGACGCATAAGAGATGAGCATCAGCGTTTCGACCCCGTCAAATGCCTTATCCAAAGTGGATGGCTCATCATAATCCGCCTGCCGAACGGTGGCGCCATTTCGGCTAAATTCAGACAGCTTCTCGGGGTGCCGTGCGATGAGAATGAGCTGTGAAGCGGGGACCAGTTTCGTTAGATGATTGACGATGCTCGTGCCCAATCCGCCCGAAGCGGGGAAGATGCCAATCTTGGCGCTCATGTTGCGATGCAACGCTGTATGTCGTAATAGGCAAAGTGGGACTTGAAGTCGGTAATGCAAATATCGAGAGTTGAACGCCTTGCCGAAACTGTCGGGTTGGAGAAGAGTGAAAATAGCCAGATATGATGTTCCTGGATGTCTTATATGCTAGTCTCTTTCTTTCGGGCTTGGCGTATGTTGATCGGCTTATAAATCTTAATGGATTTTCGGCATTGATGAAAGCTGGCGCTAATGACGTTAACTCCGTCGGTAGAATCACAAAAGGTTGCTCCACACTACGTGCTCTTCATGCTGTGAACTCAGAAGTGCGAAAATGTCCTCATTTCTCGGTGGGAGCACGATATTGCTTAATATACACTGATATTTCTTAAACAATAGGACAGAACTTCATTGAGTAGAGGTGTCATACCCGCGTTGGAGCCCATTACGGATAAGCGTCCTCCAATGAGACTCTCTTTACAATCTGATCATTATCAATCTGATAGGGTTGATGGACTCGCTGTGAATACGCAGATATGGCAGTCAATTTGTCCTCTGAAAGACCAGCACGCGATGGCCGTAGTGCGATTATAGGACTGTCAACATGAAACTGCTTAATTAAAGCACTTAACGATCATAAAAAGTTCGTTCCGGTATAACCGATAGAATGAACGCTGAGCCTAGCTCAGTCAGGACACGGACGAGAATGTTTAGGAACGTGTGCCGAGGCCGAACAAACGAGTGAAAAATGCCGGTCGCGGTTGTCTTTCAATCACAGGCCTCCAATTACTGTGCATTAGGAGAGCTCCCGAGCATACTCTCCTAGCACGTGCTAGGCTCTCTATTGGTCCGATACTAAATACCCTAGGCGACATGGTCGACTAGACAAGCCGAACATCGCATGAATTCAATATATTCACTCAAAACGGTATGTCCAAGCTTTACCCTGCTGGTAAATTTTGGACCCAGTGATTTCACAGTTAAATTTTGAGTTATGACCTGGTCGCTATCCTTGGGCTTGCCAGTCGCCCAGTGTTCCTGAGAACCATTTCATCGGAGGGCCTGAGATGGTCTGTTCCCTGAACGAATTCCATGGCTCCAAAGGTGATAGGAAGCAATTATGGTGTGAATTCGCATATGGCGCTGCTAGACTCTCCGATTTCTGAGCGTTTATTGGCAGATCGAAAGATTTGATTCAAGGAGTGACTTTCTCTCTATGACCCTTTTAACCTGAATAAACACCCACAGTCCGCTCACTAGCCAATTAGAATAAATTTTCTAACCCGAAAAAGTGGAGTGTCTACATTGGCAGCCCAATGACGTGCCAGCGTGGGTATTCTAGACAGACCCACATCGCCGTTTCCGGCAACTGTTGAATATTGACCTCACCACTCGGAAGAATCTTCCTCACTGTAATGATCTGTGTCTTAGCCTCCCGATTGGGGAGTGTACCTAGTCCAGTCTAGTTGGCTCCAGGGATTTAACGACCCTCGTTCGCTCAAGGTCCCGAGCCAGGCCCTGATCGATGATACATGGATCGAGATGTGACCCTCTGCAAGCCAGTAGTGACGTCTGCGACAACATTCTGTTCCTACCTACTGTGAATTAAATAGTGCTATTAGAGCATCCCGTGCTTTTGCAGTTAAAAAAAATCGTGTAATCCACTCCGCCTATTGCTGCCCCCAGATCATCACGATGGTTTTGTTCAAAAAGCGCCAGTCGGTCGATCAGTCGACTCTTGGGCCGACGTCGACTGGTGGAGGATCGACTACTGGGCATAATGGTGGACGTGGCCAGCTTCCCATGTTGCAGTTCCCGGACAGCATCCGCTATAACATCCTCTGTGTCTTCGGAGAGTTCGTCGGCACTTTCCTGTTCCTGTTCTTCTCCTTCGCTGGAACCCAGGTGTCCATGACGCCCAAGCCTCCGGATGGATCTCCACCCAACACATCGAATCTGCTGTACTCTTCCTTGGCCTTTGGCTTCTCGTTGACGGTCAACGTTTGGGCATTTTTCCGTTTCACAGGCGGGCTCTTCAACCCGGCGGTATGGAACGAATTGATCTTAGTTTTTATAATCCTCAGGCTAACAATAACAGGTCACCCTCGCACTCTGTGTGACTGGCGGAATGCCCCCCTTCGCGGCCTCTTTGTGTTCCCCGCGCAACTTGTCGGTGGCATTGCCGCTGCGGGTGTAGTGAGCTGCCTGTTTCCAGGACCTGCCAACTTCGGTACTCGACTTGGTGGCGGTACCTCCATCTCGCAGGGTCTATTCATTGAAATGTTCCTGACCGCACAGCTTGTTTTGGTCATAATCATGCTGGCTGTGGTCAAGCACAAGTCGACCTTTCTGGCTCCCGTGGGAATTGGCCTCGCCTTCTTTGTGTGTGAGATGGTCGGTAAGTTGTCATATAGACTGCAGGGTGAAACACTTATTAACAACTGATTTCAGGTGATTACTACACTGGTGGCTCCCTGAACCCGGCACGATCCTTGGGCCCCGACGTCATCAACCGCTCGTTCCCGGGATATCATTGGATCTACTGGGTCGGTCCGCTGCTTGGCTCCCTTCTTGCCTCAGGATTCTATAAACTGCTTGTCTTTGTCCGTTGGCAAAACATCAATCCTGCTCAGGACTTAGAGGAATGGGAAGCCAAGCTAAGGAAGGGGTCAACAGCTCCTTCCGAGCATACTGTCACAGATCAGGGTCATGGACAGGACCAGCGCCAGTTTTACGCTGATGTCCCCCGTTCCAATGGTGGCAATGAAGTCCCCCATCCTAATAGTGGCAATGAAGTCAGTGGAGCTCAAATGCGCCGCGAGTTGCCCCCCGATGAGCAGGTTTAAACCTGCATGGCTCCTACATTTCGAGAATGTTTAACATTTATCTTTGGGATGAAGAACCTGACAAGGCTTTGAGTTGACTTGAATATTGAAAAAAGTGGATGACTCTGCTACATACACGGTAGAGTGAGGATGTATGGGAAGGTTGAGGTTGTAACTGGTTAGGACATTTTTTATGAAGGACGGCTCGTGCAGGCTCGGCATTTATTATTTGTCCATACAGCATCAGTATTCGTTAATTTTTTGTATGTTCATGAATTTTCAAATATCGATACCATTGCTCTTTATGTGCCATTGTAGCCATATTATTTGCTTTATTCCACGGCCAAACAGGGGTGCTCTCCAACACAACACTTGGATAGTGGCCAATATCGGACTATACCGTTCGAAGGCATTTTATAGACAGAATTGACCCCCTGATACGCACCAGCGTACATACGTGCACGACTGGGACAATTAGGTATTGCTCCCTGGGTTTAGGCTTAATCTATCCAACATGCAGGGAGGACCATTTATTGGGATCTAGCCAAACTGTCGCCTACAGTTTGATCCACAGCAGCGCGATAGATAAGGCAGTAACACAACTGAGCCAGCATCGGATTGTGGTATGATCGAATGCGGCCTGTGATTCAAAGGCTGCCATCTCAATCATGAAGACACTCGAAACAACAAGGAACAAGTGCGTACCAACTCGGTCTCCACCGTCAGAACGGTCCATCCAACAGTCTGTGTGTCCGGGCTCTAGATCGGAGAGAAAGATTCGGAGGCAAGTTTGATTCGTACATTCTGCTTACTTCCGACACCTAGAAACGCCACCGAGGTGATGGTGCAACAATCCTGGCCTGGCACGCGCAGGGACTGCAGGGAGAAATCACTCGTTCGCAGCAGGACACGGTGCAACAACGCATGGGCAGACGCATGTCATCCCGGTCGAAACTCCCCGAAATCGGGGGGTTTTACACGGGACGACTGAGCAAATCAATTGCGTATGTTTCGGTCGCGTATCTTGTCTTTGGCGTCATTTTGTCCATGTTTCCTACAATGGGACCGAATCCATCGCGTATGCCACTTTTCGTTCAGTTTTAAGTCTGTGAGAAACGCTAATTGACCGTAAACCACAGCATCTGACATGAACTACACCGTGGTTATCAACGGCTTCGTGTGGTCTAGTTGCATGGCCTACTACTTCTTGTTCGTACACCGCTGGTATTCTGGTCCATAAATGACAGTCGAGAAGAACAGCCCTGCCAACCCGGATAACACTATCCGTGCAAGTGTGCCCCTTCAGGACGTTTATCGCTCTACGTCTGAAGGAGAACCTGTAAAGACGGATTGGTTTTGCTTTTGCATCTCTCAGGTGCATTGCATGATACTTGCTATATATTCTGCATGTTTCAAGTTCCGTCTACTACTCTGAGGACCCTGGGCAAACTCCGAATGAATCGGTCTGGCCATTCTTTCGCGTTTGGTTGCATTTTCAAAGCAATGATTTGCGCATTCATTAGCATTCGCGATTAATATACTCGTGATTTTCCGGTTTGAGATAAATGTTAGTGGCTTGGGACAGGTATTTAAGAAGTTGACGGGATTGTGCATGGACAAATTGTTCAATTGTACAACCGAACTATATATATACAGCTTTCCAAACCCCGTAGGTAATATAAACACCATCCCATCCCCTCTCTTAGGGGGAACCATGATAAAAAGCGTATGAACACACAGTCAAGGAAAGTCGTGAAGGTATAATAATAATATCAAGGTCCGAGATCAAAGACATTAGGATTCTCGGAAATGTCCAGGGAGAAGACCAGACACCATTTACAGGGCGGCCATAATCCCGAGCATACCGGCCATACCAGCAACAGCAGCACCGACGGCAGTAGGGCGCGCAACGGCACCATTGGTGGTACCACTAGGGCTGCCAGTTGAGCTGCCAGTTGCAGAGGCGGAGGGGGTCGTGGTCACCTTGGTGACCTCGGTAGCGGTGGCCTGACCGTTGGAGTTGGTCAAGGTGGTCTGGCTGATGGCAGTGGACCACTTGTGGGCGATCTCCGAGCCGGCGGAATTGAGGTCTGTGACACCCGCGCTGTAGGCGCTCTCGGCGGCGGTAGCAATCTGGGCAGCTTCGCCGGTCAGAGTCTTGACGGCGTTCTCGCCGCCGGTCTTGACCTCCCCCAGATCGAGGTAGCCTCGGCGGGAAGGTCGGATATGTCGTTGATGCCTTTCGAGATACCGACGCCAGCCTGGGAGAGGATCGAGTTGATGTCAGGAATGTCGGGGTTAGGGTTGGCCATAGCCGCAGTGGCCAGGAGAAGGGCGGAGGAGACCAGTGTGAACTTCATTTTGCTAGTGGGCTTGGTAGAATGAGGTAAACTTTGGAGGTGGAAAAGAGTAGTCTCAGGTGGAATTATTTGATCGATATGGAATTCAATAGTCCGGGGGAGAGATGGCCCCTTTATGTATGTGTAGCGTGGATCCAGTAGCAAGGAAATTTCCCTGAGTATTCATAGTAACGGGGCTTAGTTAACCTCTGACCGGATGCCAAGCAAAAAAGGGCATCTGGTGGCTGTGGCGACATCATTTCAGCCCTGTCAAAATGCTGCGAAAATGGAGATCGGCGACATGGTGCCGAAAGGGGATGCATGACTTCGCCCCCGAGAGCTTCAGGTCCGCTCCATAATCCTGGAAAGCCAATCGTCATTGCATCGGGGTCCACCAACGGCCGACAGTCTAGCTGTGTGTCTCTCACGTTGGGACCATTCGTCCGTGTTCTGGGGGAAAGAAATTAAACTATTGGTGGTAATATGCGCGATGGAGGTTAGCACAGCCACTATTATTATCGGCTCCGATTTTAGAAATGTGGCATACAATGCCGTTAACTCTGCTGCCTTCTGGAAGCGTCGGAAGCCTCGGCAGTCACCGCCCCAGGAATAGGCAGGCCCCTTGACGCCTAAGGGGAGACCACCCCACAGATCAATTGCCAGAGGCTGTCTCAGTGGGCGTTGGGGTGGATGTGGATGGGTCGCCCTTGCGACTTTTCCCGAATACCGGTGGGCCAGTGACTTGGTCGGTAACAAGCCTCTTGGGGCGGGCTTGATCCTGACATAGTAGTGTAGTTTCATGACGATGATGGGAGCCAAGCGCCGTTGCACATTGATGACGTTGGAATAGTAGCTAATTGTATGATCATTATTGACCTGCTCAGTGTGAAACAATAATGCAGGAAAGATAATTGAATCCTCAAACATTGGTACCTGAGGGTAATAAGTCACGTGCTGATCTAATAAAAGAAACCAAAAACCAAGGTTCAGATTATTCTCTAATTGGTCTATCATATGTGCAGCCAACTAGTATGTATAGATAATAATGATTATTGTTCACCGGGTGGCAAACTGTCGATATGCCTGGATGATGGCCTCCCAACCGCCGGGATGGCTCCTCTCGGGCGGATTCGTCTTCCCATCCAGGACCATGACCTCCGTCATGCGCGTGCTGATCGAGTACCAGACCAAGTTCTGCGGCGCACCAACCACGCGCAGCATGTTTGCTTGGCATTTGCCCTTGCAAGGTTCATTGTACTTCCCATTCCACGGTCCATCAAAGAAAGCCCAGGCTGCCGAATTATACAGCGCGATGTTGGACCCGCCGTCGACATTGGTGGCCAACGCAGTGCGGCATTTCTGATCATCTGTTGCGCACCATGAATAGTCTGGATCGCCGTACCGTGCGTTGGCAGTCCAGGGCGCTGGTGCTGCCTGGAGCTCTCCAGAACCCTGCATGTACGGGGTCTCCGATTGCAGCATCCCGGCGTAGACGTTCTGCGCGTTGTGGAAGTTGTAGTTGTAGAGCCAGTGATGCTCCGAGCCTGTGCCGGTCAGCCAAGTGCCCTTGGTCGACTCCACGAGGACTCCGCGGCCGGTGGAGATGATGGTGGTCAAGTTGCTGTCCAGATTATGATCTGCAGTCCAGCCCCAGAAGTTCTCGATGTATGCCGACGAGCTCTCCGTCAGATGCATAACCATGAACGCGGCCATGCAGTCCTTTGGGTCCTGTGATGTGCAGGCGCGGGAAATGTTCGTGTCGGCCGTGCCGCCTACTGTCACCATCGTGTTCCATAGTCCCACATCTCCAGGAGTTTCGCCGGCGGCGTTGACCTCGACTATTTTGGCCCCGGGGAGAATCTCGCCTACCGCGAAGCGCATATCTTGAATCTCAATTAGGCCCACATCGCCGGGGTTCCCGACCTTCACGACAGGTTTAGGGTTATTGGCATCACCAAAAGCATCGCCGTACCCAGAAATAACGGACCACGCTTCACCCACGATTCGAGATCCCACCGGAATCAGTATGGTATTCGTGACTCTGTAAATTCCAAAGGGGATATAGCTGATCTTGCAGTCGGCGGCATTCTGCGCCAAGATGGCGTTCAAGGATGCAGTATCGTCTGCCAAGCCATCGCCCGAGACCATGTAGCCGGGAACAGTCTTGACATTGACAATTTGGTCGCTATTGAAGTCACCATAGGTGGGCTGCCTTTTGGTGAAATATTTCCCGTCCACAAGAAGATTCTCCGAACGCGTGGTCGTCCAACTTCCCCCAGTCTGGTATCTACCGGGGGCAATAGTGCCCCAGTTCCAAGTGTCGACATGGCGGGTGGCGGGCAGTCGGACATTGCCCTCAGCGTCAACCGCAATAGGAGCGTTCGTATCATGTGCCAAATTTTGAATGGTGAACTGGCTACTTCGGCCTCCTGGATCGTTGGACGAGTCATAAAACCTGATGACAGGGCCCGAGTTTATCGATGTCGAATCGAGAAGCACCAAACTCCCCAGCGAGTTCCCGGTCATGTTGATTCCAGTCCCACAGTCATTGAAGATAGCACCTTCGAGCAGCACCGTCCATCCTCCCACCGCATCGAAAGCAGTGCCGCAGGACTTGAAATAGATATCCTTGAAGTTGACTTGCTGGTTCGAATTCTTAATGCCAACCGCGCCACCGGTTATGTACTGTGTTTTGTTAGGTTAATAACCCAAAGATAGCGCATTTAAACTCACCACATCCGTCACAGCAATAGTCGATCCGCCATTAATATCAATTCCAGTATGCCCGGTCGAGGTTATCGGCATGCGAATTTGCACATTTGTCAAGCCAGACCCCTGCGCGACTCCCCACTGCAGGGCAGTAATGGTACTGTTGGCGTTGACAGCTGTGGTATCCAAGATGACATTCTTCATGAGCGTCATAAAGCTGGTCTCCGGGGGTCCATTCTCTTCATCATATCCCATGAGGAGATATTGGCCACGAAAGTTCGCAGCGGCGGCGAGGATAGGCGGGTTCAGAGGGTCTCCAACAATGATAGTGCCCACTGTCAAGTTCAGTGTGCTTTCCAACTGATACGTACCACCAGGCAAGAACACTTCAGCAGGAAACCGCGTTACACCTTTTCCTTTGCGGCTCCCACCGTTGCCGTCGTCGTTGATCGCTTTCTGCAGGCTACTTGTCTGGTCGCCCGAGCCGTCATTGACAACTGAGTAGTCCATGACATTGCGATAGACCGGGTATCTGTTCGTCGTATTGGCGTAAGGTGCGAATCCCGCGCCATCTCCGCTATGATCTTGATCATCGAGCCAGTATGTACCCGACGAGACTGCGGGACCGGGGCATGCTTTCGTGGCGGCCGCGAAACTGGGACTGTTCGAGCTGTAGGTTTACAAATTAGCAAATGAATGCTTCATTTTCACCACAAACAAGATACATCACATGCGAAGACGCCGGAGCTGAATTTTCATGAACGTAAGGATTCAGCCAGTCCGGCGGCGAGGGGATTGATCGAATGGGAGCATGAATAGATCGAATAGACTCGGGAATAGTTGGGATGAACTCGTAAATCGGTCCAATGGGAACAATTGCGCTCGAAGCTGTAACAATAACCGCTGCGAACGCAGTGAAGGAGAAGGTGTTCCACATCCTTTAATAGTCAGTCCTCAATCACTCCTCGTCCTCGCATCAATCCCAATCCCACATACGCCACAAGAACGAGAGAGACAAGAAGTTTGTAGAAAAGAACGAATGACAAAACTCAAAATATTTTTGAGAGCCTCGCAACAGAGAATCATGGAACGTGACTACCACGGGTAGCTATGGGCCTGTCAAGGTGGTGATTATCTTGGATCTGGAATGCAGGCTGGGGGGTTGGGCCGATCGTCGCCCCTTGCGAGAACCGGGATTTTTGAACGTGCCGGTGAGAGGTGGGTGCAAAGCCGAGGGTGTCAAATAATTGGACTTCAGCAAGGCTTTTCCATTTATGTATTGGATCTATGTAGTGTGCGATCTCGTAGCATCATGGGATTTGTCTTGGCTTATCCTTCTCCAGATTAGGAATATCGTGTCTGGGCGATTGATTCCTTCCTTGTGGCTGATTTAAAGTAAAAATTTCCTTAAAATCACACGAAGGACATATCTTTAGAGTTTACAGTAATGATCAATATTGACCTTTAGCGATGGCGAAACTCTGAAAAGCCACATGGCTACGGCTAAAATTCGGGACGTGGCATCGACCGGACCAACTCCTTGCGTCAGGGGTTATGTTTTGTCCTAGAAACGGGACAAGCTAAAATAGCATGCCGTAGAGAAGAACGCACCAGCCAAATATGTGAACATACCTACCTCCACTTACAATCCACAAGAAGCAAAGAAGTGGGCTTGTTCCGTGTTCGCCCTAGTTCCTTTTGCCAAAGCATCTGAAGGCCGAAGATACTGCGAAACACAAACAACTGAAAATTTACAATTGGCTTAGATTTTAGAAACTCGTGCATCTTACAGGCTGTCACTAAATTTTCTCCAGTAAACTATCCATCTGACTTGCGGACTGTCATTCCGATATAGTGACGTTAGCATCGAGAGCCGTGGGTCGTGCGCGGCAACAAAGCATAAACTTCTATAGTACTTTCCGCACATATTGCCTCAATGAGCTCATAACAGTGAAGAAAGTATATTGGTAAACTGTTGCTCTGCTACTGCTACTGAAGACTCCTTAAACGACTCATCGATCGCTTTGCAGTCGGTCTGGCCAAAGAAACACCGCTCTATCATATATTCATTAAGATCTCGCGCTTACGAAAAGGACGTCCTTGGACTTCGAGAACAAAGTAAGTGTCATCCCTCACATCGATCATTCACTTGGCCACGGATCGTGGTGATAGAAATAGGGCCTTCCGAACAAGGACATTGACGGCACATGGTAAGCGGGATGGTGACGCAAAAAACCTCAGCTTTCTCAGCTTATTCTTTGTAGCGAAAAACACCCGATGTTGAACCAGTGAGGCTACGGCAGTTCCTGTCGCCTCCATGTCCGAGCAGGAAAGAAGCAGCGAGGATTCATCTATCCACAATAGCAGCGGGACACTGAGAGACCGAGATCCCGAAAAAGCGGGATTTCCACCAGGAAACCAAGAAAATGGGGATTCGGAAAACAACCAGCCGGGCGAAGCATCTCGCATGCCGCGTGTCCGGTTTCGATCAAATGCCAGTTTCTCTCGAGAGGCGCCTCGAGGTCCTCCGCCAGAGGATCTGCATGCGGAGTGGGATAGATCGCAGCGCGAGGGACTACCACATCGGCCAACCATGCCTTACTCGCACGAGTCTACGGATATCTCAGATACGCCGTGGCAGGATCGGACCAACCAGGCTGATGGGACAACAAACAAAGAAGACAAGGCTGCTGATGAGAAAGCACCGGAAGAGGACAAGAAACCAATCTATAATCCCGAGCGATGGGCGCCGTCCAGCGTTAGAGATCGGTGCCATTCAGTAACGAAATCCATCAAACACAGAATGACAAGCATACTCAACGTGCTGGGACGTCCTGCCGCTGATGGAGATGATTTACGACCCGGTCTGTACCGACCAGAATGGGCGTCTGGAGGAGAAGTTCCTCTGTCAGACGTCACAGACAACAATCAAAAGACTGATGAAGAGAAGCGGCAGCACCAGGGAGCAACCAGCTCCGAAGCTCATCGTCTGGTGCGAGATCTGACACAAGATCACTCGGCCAAGCGTCGCAAAGGTCGCGGTAGACCGTACCCCCAGTGGGGAACCGAATTCAGCGGACGAGAGGATGAGTCCGCCCTCGACTCGGGGCTTCGATATCGTTCTGGTGGTGGTGGGATTTTGTCGCAGTTGATTAAACTCAATAATCCCAGCCAAGGCCAGAAGGGGGCCAGTGGCACCGGTATGTCTCGAACATCAAGTCAGTCTTCTGTCGATACTTCGACACCGCGCGGTCCAGCGTCGGGTGCTACTTCGACCGCGGCGACACCCAGCAAGCGGGATAGGCCTAAGTGGTATAAGAAACCACCGAATGCTTCGACGTCAACTCTGATTGGAGCCGGATCGGGAAACATCAGCGGAGCAACAACCCCGGTGTCCAGTGAGGTTATGTCGGCAGCGTCCAAACGACAAGGAAAACTTTCGAGCGGGAATATGAGACTGGAGGATGAGATCCGAGTGACGGTGCACATTGCCGAGATCATCGCTCGACAACGGTATATCATGCAACTTTGCAAGGCCCTCATGGCTTTCGGGGCGCCGACCCATCGACTGGAAGAATACATGCAGATGACCGCCAAGGTGCTGGAGGTGGATAGCCAGTTTCTCTACTTGCCAGGCTGCATGGTCATGTCGTTTGATGATCCCTCGACGCGCACAACGGAAGTTAAACTAGTCCGCGTTGCCCAGAGCGTCGACCTCGCTCGTCTCTCAGATACCCATCTGATCTATAAAAACGTCATCCACGACGTGATCGGCATTGAAGAGGCAATCCAGGAACTGGACGATATTCAGAACAGAAAGCCTCGATTCAACAAGTTCATTGTCGTCTTGGTGTACGGTCTGGCTACTGCAACCGTCGGCCCGTTCGCCTTCAACGCTCGACCCATCGACATGCCCATAATCTTCATCAACGGGTGTCTCGTAGGCGCGATGCAGAACGTTGCCGCACCACACTCGGTGCTCTATTCGAACGTCTTCGAAGTGACAGCCTCAGTGCTGACATCCTTCCTCGCTCGAGCCTTTGGCAGTATCCCACGCACCGTCGTGGATGGGAAACGACAGGGAAACTTATTCTGTTTCTCAGCCATCGCACAAGCCTCAATTGCATTAATCCTCCCCGGGTTCTTGGTGCTCTGCAGCAGTCTCGAGCTACAGTCCCACCAAATTATCGCAGGTTCCATCCGAATGGTGTACGCAATTATCTTCTCCTTGTTTCTTGGCTATGGCATCACCGTTGGCACAACCCTCTACGGACTCATGGACGACCACGCCACATCGTCCATCACCTGCCCGCCAGAAGGCGCATTCAAGAATCCCTATCTGCAGCGGTTTCCTTTCGTAGCCATCATGTCCGTCTGGCTTCTGATCATCAACCAAGGGAAATGGAAACAAGGGCCGCCGATGACCATCATCGCAATCTCGGGGTATATCAGCAACTACTTCAGTACGAAGAAGCTGGGCTCGAACTCGCAAGTCGCGAACACGGTTGGCGCATTCACGATCGGCATCATGGGAAACCTGTACAGTCGTCTCTGGCACGGACACGCTGCAACCGCTATTCTACCTGGAATCTTCGTCCTGGTGCCATCAGGTCTCGCGGCGACAGGCTCGTTGATCACAGGCGTGCAGTCTGCAGATCAGATTCGGCAGAATATTTCATCGAAAACTTCTGCGAACTCTGCGCCTGGGGCGGGACTGTCTAGTAGTTCGATATTTAGTCTAGGTTTCGGTATGATCCAGGTTGCTATTGGGATTACGGTGGGACTCTTTTTGGCTGCATTGATTGTTTATCCGTATGGCAAGCGGAGGAGTGGATTGTTCAGTTTTTAAGTTGATGTTGGTGAGCTATCCCGAGTTGAGTGCTTGCTGGAACTGGAATTGATTGTATATACATTGGAAAGTTCATAAGAATCAGACTGGTATTTCTTTAGAATCATGAAGGACGGGATGGATATCGGATATCCGAATATGACTTCATAAAGTATTTTCAATGCCCTACAAAGGGACTCTAATTTGACTACAGACCTGCTGAGCACCACCGATAATAATCTGACATGACATAAATAAACACATGCCCCATCTATACAACCCCAGCTAAACAACACAACGCTATGCACGGTCAAGAAAGACGGGGAACCAGCCACGAGGTCGCTCAAAAAGCGTCCAACAAAACGAAGGTTAACAGGCGATATAAGACATCAAGTTAACCCCAATTTAGATATCATACATGATCTATCGAGGTCGCTGATGTGGATGTGGATGTAGATGTGGACGTCGTCTGGTCCCGCCAGGCGGCGTACCCCAAAAGCTCTAGAAGGTGTCGTTCACGATGCACAAATGCAATGTAACCGTCCGTAACAAGGAATCTTTTCGCATGATCCAATAGAATTTTGGATCGAGAGGGAGATGTGGAAAGGGCGATGAGGAGGGGAGGCGACAGGAGAATCTCGTCACCAAGGGGACCGCGTCGAGCGCACTCTGACAACATTCCACGGGTGTTCTTGTCACAAGCAAGTGACTCGCCGTACTGCTCCAACATTCTATTTCTCGTTATAAATTGCAGGACCGACTCCAGCGAGTCAGTCTGGACAATATTCTGTGGTAAGGTGATCTCTGCGTCTGCGAGAGCCCGCTGCATGGCGATAGCGTACTCCAAATCCTCGAACAAGGGTGTAAGCTGCATACTCGCAGAGGACAAATCACCCAACACAGGTCTATCATAACCCAGTTTCTTTCTCCAGAAGAAATTGCACACGATCAGTGAGACGATGCATGGGATCAGGACAACATATCCCCACCAGCGCTCAGCCGTAACCATCGACGCGGCGCCGGCGACCAGCCCATTAAGCCCATTCACAAAGGCATGCCATTTAAAGCAGCTAGACCGAACCTGCAGCCTGCTGCGAATAGTGTCGCTCGGTTTCTGGGCGAGGATAGCCGCGTCGTGGACGCGGAGCCGGTGCAGAAGGTACGCCGACCAGATAGCGTTGACAAGACCAAATATCGCGGCCAGCGCGTTGCCAATATACCCAGACAAAAGATTGCTCGCCTTGTAGACTCTGCGGTCCGCTCCGCCGATCGCCATCAGCGTCCCAATACCAACAAGAACCGAGCCCGCGCCCATGAGCACATCCATGACGATGCGGTCCACGACCTCCGTGCCGAGTTCACGAATCCCAACACCCAATCGACTGTCAAACAGGCTCGCCAACTCAGGGTTTCGTTCATGATAAACCCGCAGTCGCTGGAGATACTCCCTCTCCGCGCGCAACAACTTCACATTCCGCCACGAGAGTCGAAAATCCTTCACCGCGACAAGGGCCATCCCCAACGCAAACGTGCCGCCAATGCCCATCAGCACAGCAGCAAAGCGCGGCACGGGGATCCGGTTCCAGACATTAGCTGCGAAGTCGCCTGCATTCGCTAGCTCGAGGTATCCCACGCTGGCGAGGAGACTATTTTTGAACTGCTGCTGTTGCCAGAGCCGAAAGCGACCGCCGCGGCGGACCAGGACAACGGTGTCTTTTGTTGACTCGAGGGATTCACGCCAGGTAAGGTCACTTGCTTCGCGGAGGAGTTTGGGGATTATCGGCTGTGGTGGAGTGGATCCGAGGACTGCGAGTTCCACGTCGGAGTCGTCCATGGTTTTTGAGAAAGGGTGGGCGATGTGAGCTTGTGACGAAGGGGTGATGAGAGTGTCGCAGGAGGAGGAGGCGGCGGGTGTCGTCGTCGCCATGGTGAGAAGGGGGAGGGCATGTGTTGGATTTGGGAGGATTTCACACTCCGGGAGACATTGTTTGAGTGGCACGACGAAGGGTGAGGTGGATTTGGACAGAAAGAAGGATTTGAAGCAGTGGATGTCCACGTAGGGAGAAAGAGAGTGTAAGGGAGGAAGAAGAAGGCAAGAGGAAAGTAAAAAAAGAAAAAGAAGAGAAGAGATGGGAGGAAAACCACGGGAGCAAGTCTGATAATAAGGCCATAAGGATCGGCATTAGCCGGCTTGGCAATCCCGTAGGGCTGAACACGTACAGTACACAAGGCAACCACATTTCAACTGACATACTTCTACAGTAGTAAATATCTAGAACTAATCTATGCAGCTTTGGACATTTTTTGCGCATGCCCTGCGGTTCTATGCGTATTCAGTGCGCGGATCAGCTTGACCCCCGCGTCCGTCATATCGGTCGTGGTCGAAATGTGAGTGTGTTTAGGCCCGTTCCAGAACTGGGCCTCACGGTCGGATCCACACAGGACTTCGTCGTGCGAGAGTTCACCTGTTGGTGATGGAGTGCCATCTGGCGAGGGTTCTATAGCTGTCGTGGAGCAGTAGACGTTGACTTTTTCGTTGAAACGCACGCGGTGCCGAGGCTTGGTGGTCGACAACACGAGGGAGCCGGGGGCTCCTGCTTCTGCTGCTGCGGTGCGTGCTGTGAGGACGCCCTTGCGGACTGCATACCGCCGGGCCTCCTCGCGGGAAATGGTATCTGAGAAGATCTTTCGCAGAGCGGTGGCGACCGCGAAGCGGGTGGCCAGGTAGGCTTGCTCCGCGATGAAGATCGTTAGTAGGAGGTAGGATAGGCGGACATCGGAGATAGGTCCGCGATAGAGATGCACGATGGCTGCGGTGGAGAGTGTGCCCAGCCAGGCCAGGAACTCGAGCCCTAGCAGCGAGGGGCCGATGGAGTCCGATCGGATGGGGGGCGGGCGCTGGCACTCGAGAGTCAACTTGAAGAAATCGCCACGCAGTTCGAGCCAGTTGTTGAGCAGAAACCCCAGGGGCACCAGGGGCCACGCCACGCCAAACAAGGCCAAGTATCCGAACTGCACGCACATCTCCAGGATATCCTCCTCGACATTGTATTCGTCGGCATCGGCCTCGGCGCGCACGCGTGCCAAGAAGGATGCTTCATCTGGCGAGTCAATCAATAGGAAATTGGAGAGACTGGCCGCTCTGGATAAGCTGCGCTTGCGGCCCATTTCTGCTTTGCGGTCGCTGTAGCTGCGCCATTTCTGCCATAGTGTCTGCTTGACATAGGGCAGCACCACTTCTTGGCCGAAATTGAGGACCTGTGCCGTCATCGACAAATAAACCACTTCCTTCTGAAGCCGGGTAGTGTCCACCTGAAAGTCGGTGTATGGTTTGATCGACTTGGTCTCGAGGCCGATTCGCCGCAGGAGGTCCAAATGGGGCACGATGAATGCCCCGAATGGGACATAGACATATGCAGTCAGGATGGTAGGGAGAAAGGCCGTAATGAAATGCATGACAAAGGTCTTTTGCGTTTGGGCCAAATCGTACTGGTCCTGCGTGCGGTAGTTTTCGTAGTCGGTCAACCACGTCGCCATGTTGGTTAGAAATGGGTTAATGATGGGGAGGGAGAGCGAGAAGAGAACCGTGGGCACGAATTCCAGGTACCCCTTCAGTGGCCCATCATAAACTTCTGAGATGAACACTTCCGAGGCAAAAGTGACCACAATCAACGTGCCGAGAGCCAGGGTCGCGACAGACGCAAACGGGATCAGGAGTAACTGGCGCAAGAGCTGCTTCCACGCCGGAAAGATTTGTTCGAGCTGGCCCGTGATCGGATCTCGGATCTCCTTCTCCCATTGGTACTGGACACGATTGACCTTGAGCCGCGCGACGCCCTTCACACCCCATCGCAGGCTGAGATCGGCCTCGCGAATCTTCCAGTACTCGACGAACACAATACACCAGAGACACAGAACGGCGCCATAGAGAACCGAGTACGGGCCCAGATACCTCCAGCCAATGACTCCCAGCACCGCGGGCACAATGAGGAATAGCGAATAGCATTGAATGAAAGCGTAGTAGAATGCAACCTGCAAGGACGGGATCGTCCAGCATTGTTAGTGGGACAAATGCAAGGGCAGCAGACGACGAAGGCAAGAAGCAACAACCTTTTCACCAAATAATGCTCGAATGATATCCAGATCCTTGGCGGTCAACACCGTTGTTTTGCTCCATTTCCTGAGGAGTTCGCCACAGGCGTCCTGGTCGTGTAGAGGGAACGAGGCCGTGACGTTCTTCCACTTTCCGAATTTGGGCGTGACGCCGGCCCCGCCGAGTTCTTTTTGCCAGGTGATTGTGTGGTAGACGGAGCGAAGCTCTTCCGCGGGCGTGTCTGCGCCGGCAGTCGCGTTTTCGTCGCCCACGGGCAAGCTGTGGGTGATTCCACACAGCCAGTCTTTGAGTCTGGCTTTATGGATCATGCGGCCTAACTGGTCGCGCGGGACGCGGACGCAGACCAGGAGAGATGCACCATGGCCGTGGCGGACCTGGACGCGAAGACCAGCTTCGGTCAGGTCGTGGATGAGAGTGCGGTATTCTGCAATGGCCTGTTCCTGGTCTGAGGGGTCCGTCAGTACCAGTATATGCCAATTGTTGTGAAGAGTAATGTACCAATGTCACCAAACTCGTACTGCAGCACCCAGTCGACGCCGAGATTGTCGTTCTCCTCATCGGCATCCTTGCCATACCCTGCGAGCCAAGACATCTTGGGTCGGGGGATGGGCAGTGGAAAAGACGGTGAGACAGAGTGGAGGGAAGACGGAGGGAAGAAAGAAAGGGAAAACAAAAGCCGGCAGGGATGTGGGGGAAAATAAGCACAAGGGTTCCACCGTAGAATCTTCAAATGAGCATAGTTGTCGGTCCAATTGACTCGAACTTATTTTCTGTAGTTTGTTTAAGATTGCGTTTAATTATCACATCACATCCAATCCTACTTCCCGGACTCTCCCTCCGGCGGTCTGTTTGTAGAATCGATCGGACCTCACGCGGACCCACGATTAAGCTTCAGCCCTACGGGAGCAGGGCGGGATGTTTTGCTCGCCACCAATGGAGTTTGCTGATCGTCGCAGGATGCTGCGTTGGTTGGTTCTGTCCGTTATTTGCTTGCTACCGTGGTCCCGGTCAAGAAAAATTCTCCAATGGGTGGCAGACGCATGCTGGCGGCACTCGGGGTTTTCTGTGTAACCTAAGCTCGCGCAGGGCCCCACCCACTATGCCTGTGGGTGGAAAGCAGGCCACGAAGTATAATCGGATGCAGTGGAGGGGAACAGGGAGAATCGGCAAGAATGGAGGATTCTCTAGGATCCTTAGTATGTGATATTGTTCATGCAAAGTCGACATGATGATGCTTCGCTATGGAATTGAGGGATTACTGGCGGACTGGGGAAAATGCTGCTGCCTGACTAGGCCAAGCGGGACTATGGAATATGATTATTATCACCTCCTGGCCAAACAATGCTGCCGTCGCGGACTATGATTAGTGACAGAGTTAACTAGGCAATCAACGATGTGTTATTCTGGAAATTCGGTTGCCTTCTCGCAAGGATAATAATGACGACCACCACGCAGGCACCAGCATTTCAGCCACACGGCAAAGCCACGCCGAGGCGGTGCCGGGACCTGCATTCTGCAGCGTCCAGTATATACATAGTTCATTTTCAAATGGGCTTCCAGCCGGCCACCCGCAACTACCGACACACAAACACAAAGATACTGTCGATGCCCTCCTCCCCCATCATCCTTGACCTCATGGCTCAGCGCTTCCTCAGCGGCCAACATGCGGCCATCGGCCTGAGCCTGGTCCTCTTCATCTTTATGTTCCTCCCGACACTGCTCATCCTCGTGGCGGTTATTGTCTTCTTTGCGTTCTACTACCCACGACTGAGCAGGTCCTATGTGGTGGATCGAGAGCATGGGGAGCACTCAAAGTCAAAGCAAATCGAGATGAGCAGTTGATGCGAAAGTAAGTATGAAGAGAATCAATGTAGTAGAGTAAATTCTAATTGCGAATTCCAGGTTCTTGAGTTTATCTGCATACAGTCTGTCTCGAACCCGGTGTCACCACCCACTCTTTCATTGTTTCTCGAACTGTAATGCCATGACCAGCTAGTCTACGTTGGGAGTTTTTCCGGAGTACCCCTGTCGAATCGGACGTGTATTGCTTCTTACGTCGATTACTTACTACTTGTCAATTATGTATTAGCTTGTAAATTCAGTACACCTGGCACCACCATACCCCACCCCCAAGACAGCCCACCCTCGGCGAGGGAGGGGAGACAGCCCCACCCGGGAGCTTAACAATCAATCACCAGTGGTTGTACCAAGATGGCCCCAAATCTAGCTCCCTCAAAGCATGAGCTTATCTACGACATGATCTACAGTGGGGAACTATCTATATCGCAGATGGCGCAGGCTGCTAGCTGTAGCAAGAGAACCATCTTAAGAATCTTCTCTAATATACGGATGTTTGGCAGCGTTAAAGCACCGCCTAATAAAGGTGGACGACCCCGTAGCATCACTCCTATGATGCTCGAGGCTTTGTGCGATCGCCTGCTCGGAAAACCTACTTTGCTCGTTGTACCTTGGCTATATGAATCTGGTAGTGCATTACTCAAGCATGCGCCTTGGTCTGGGCGTCAATCCAATCCCACAATTCCGTTCCCTTGCCTTTCTCTAGTGCTTCGTGGATATCCTCCCTCGGGTTGCGGGCCTGAACTCTCCCCCACGGGATGATGAGCCCGCCCTGCTGCTTCTCTGTGATCTCCGGGCTGAGGCCTGCATATAGCTCGGTATAGCCGCCTAGCTTTGGTGGATGTAGCAGCCTGTTTACGAAGAACATCGTGAGTTTGGTCTGGGTGTTGTAGATCTCTGTCTTTAGGTTGCCCGGATTCTGAACCACGCTGATGATGCCGTCTTTGCCATAGCGCTTCCCGGCTTCGTCAGCAACTATCCAGTTTGCCGCCTTAGACACCGCATAGTTGACGAGAGCGTTGTTGGTCCCGCCCTCCTCGATGTCCTTGAGGTTGTAGCCACCCTTCGGGGATAGCAGCTCTATAGAACAGGAGCTGGTCCAAATAATGCGGACGCTATTCTTTGGAGAGGCTACCGCCGCCGCCTGCAATTTCGGGAGGAGGAGCTGAGTGAAGAGAAAAGGACCAATGACATTGATTCCCATATGGGCCTCGAATCCCTGCTTGGTCTTAGAACCGACCTTCACACCCCCAACCCCGGCGTTATTCCATATGATATCGAGGCGCGACTCCTGCTCAGAGAATGTTTTGGCAGCACTTCGGACCACGTTGAGGTCGTCGAGGTCGAGATGGAGGAACCGAAGACGCGCAGAGCCAGATGGGTCCGCAGAAACGATGTCCTTGATGGCTTGTTCAGCACGTTCCTTACAGCGGCTGGCCATGTAGATGACGGCACCGGTAGGGTAGAGCATCTTGATGAGCTCGTACCCAACGCCCTGGTTCCCGCCGGTGACGATGAACACGCGCCCCTCTTGGCTGGGGACATCTTTCTCGGTGAAGGTCGGTGACGGCGGCCAGTACTGGGTCAGCATGGAACGGAGCGCCATGGTGGATATCTGTCTCTAGCTTATATGTGAGTAGTGTTGTCAATCTTCACGCCCAAGGTCGTATTGAAGTCGTAGCGCACCTAGTCGGTGCTCAGAGTCCTTTTATAACTCCGCAAGATTCTATCCCGTAATAATGACCCCGTGATAAAGGGTTTATTACGTTCAGCTGAGGAAGTAAGTTGCCTTTTCCCTCCAATAGGCTGCTTACTATAGGCTGATTGGGGTAGAGATTACCGAAACGCCTTAGCTTGCTTACTTTTTCACTCTTGTCCCTGGGGGCCTCATTTTCAGAGGGTCTAATCCCTCGCCTTGTCCTGGGGGGGCCCTAGGTAGAAAGCGGAGCAATTATGCTAAACACAAAAAGGTAAGGCGCGCAGGTCCATGCGGCTGTCGATAAGAAAAGCGAGCAGTAAGCATGCTTATACACGCGCCGTTGCAAACAGGGCGATGACGATATCCATCCATCAATTACATTTGAAGTATACGACGACCAGACATAGAGGGTGATCTCTCTAGAAACGATCATTTATAGATAACATTAAGGCGGTATTATCTAGCCTAACTCGTCGGCTACGGGCTATCTTCCGTCGTGGAATACTCGCGGCGTCCTCCTTGATCTGTTCCTAATAAGAAATAGGTAGTAGAGTTAGGTCTTGTTCTGTATCCTTCACCATGGCTCGATGTTTTATTTTGACTCTCTATTCGATCTAGTAGTAAATATAGTCTAGAAATTATTTGTCCTAAGCACTTGTATCTTCGCGTTCAACCGCGGGATGAAAACTTAGTTGGTCGGACGTACGGTGGTGTAAGGAGGGTGAACATTCACCAACTATAGCCTTAGCATCGGGTGAAGGGCAGATCACTCATGGCGCCTATTCGTGGTTAAAGTAACCGGGGGTAGGGGTATATGAGGGATTCCGTTCCTAGAGATTATATTGTTTAGTTCGGTAGGTATTATCATCGTTGAAAGGAGCATAAGTCATCTCCCCAAGGCATATGATGCCACTAAGGAGTCTAGTAACATCATTGTGTGTTAGCTTCTACCAAGGGGTGTCACAGAGCGTAAAGAGAGCTGTGGCTGACAGGCTGAGTAGTGTGATAAGCAGGTTCATGAGTAGTCTGCAGGTAAGCAATGAATGTAAGTCACTATTTGCAATGTCTAGTACCAAGTAACTACCCAAACTGTCACTTAGACACAGGAAGTGGGAGAGGAAAGCGACCTTGCCAGATTCTCGAGGCCTCTCAGGCTCTAGTTATGACTTGTTTGCATTTTCATGGAAAATTCTAGTTGCCTGGGATCGCCAATTCAGTTACAAGACAGAGAAATGTATTATAAGTAGAGTAAATCACTGTATTGATTCTGACACAGGAATATTGATATTCCGAAACCATTCCTAATATAGACTAGCGGATATTGACATTACGGTTCAGGAAACAATGAAAGAGTGTAGGTGGTGTCACCAGTTTCGAGACGGACTGTAACATTGCGACGGAGTCTATGGGAATATCAGCTGGAACTGTGGACTGGCTCTTCAGATGAATGATGTGTAATGAAATAATCGATTCAACAATGACACTGCCCGACATCCTACCCCCATTATTATCTTTAATCTGCTCACCCAAACGAAGCTGCCTAGCACCTCGACTAGTCTCCACCGGCAACGGATAGGGCTGAATGTCGGGTTTTCCATGCTTGCTCGCGATATACTCTTTCCTGGTTTTTATTCTCTCTCTCCTTCCTACACAATCTCTATGACTGTTCGACACTTTTCGCCATTGCAGCTCGCTCCGCCTTAGAATCGGCTGAAGACTCGAAGGATGACTACAGAAACAACCAGACCTCTCTCACCAATTCATAATGAAGAAATCACACACCCACCGATCCACCACCCAGAGCCGGCGCTTCAGTTTCTTCTCCTCCCAGAACCAAGAAACCATCACCTCCTCCGTCTGGGAAGACCTGAAGGGCAGCTTAGACCACTTACTCCCTGGACGACGCCAAAAGAGCCTCCCAGACCCCAACCAGCCCGTCTGGTGGCTCGACATCCATGATGCCACAGATCAGGACATCGCATCCGTCGCACAGACACTGTCCATCCACCCGCTGACGGCGGAGAACATTGCAACCCGTGATACAGGCGAGAAGGTCGAGGTGTTCCCGAACTACTATCTCATATCCTTCCAGACGCTCGTGAGCTCGCGCTCATCTCGGAGCGATGACGACGGCCACCGCGCGGACATCCCGCCATCGACGGGGCTGTACATTTTGGTCTTTCACTACGGCGTTGTGACCTTCTCGCCAGGTGGATGTGGCCATGTGCATCGTGTGCGGCATCGGATGCGCAAGATGCACGATCCAGCGATATTGTCTAGTGATTGGATCTGCTATGCACTCATGTATGCCTTATATTCTTGCCTCTCCTTCTAAATACATCATATTAACATTGCTAATTAATACTCCCCATGCAGAGACGACATAATCGACAGCTTCGAGCCCTTCATGCGGACCATCGAGCGCGAGTCCGAAGCCATCGAAGACCAAGTCTTCATCGTGCGCATCGACGACGTCAAAGCGCTCATACCGCAAGTCGACTTCCTCCGCAAGAAAATCACACATATCATCCGCGTGCTACACGGCAAAGTCGACGTGCTGAACGGTTTCGTGAAAAGATGCCAAGCACCGGACAAAGGCGGTAGCGTCGACGCCGTCTTCCCCAACGGAGACCTGCTACTGTATCTGGGCGACGTACAAGATCACCTCGTCACAATGTTGTCGAGTCTCGCGCACACCGACGAAATCATCAGCCGGTCGCGGGCGAATTGTCTGGCGCAGCTGAATGCCACGAATGTCCGGGTTAGTTTGGCGATCAACTCCACCATGAGCAAGGTGACTCTTCTCGCGGCCATCTTTGTGCCCTTGCATCTGGTGACAGGGCTGTTTGGGATGAATGTTGAAGTGCCCGGGCAGCTTTCCAGTGGGTTATCTTGGTTCTTTGGGATTGTGGGTGTGTTTGGTGCGTTTGTGATTGTTTGTATTGCTATTGCAGCGAAAATGAGGTTCTTATAGATTTAGATGGGATGACGGTCATACATGCAGCAAAAGAGGTCCGGCAATTTGCATATTGACGCGGTATGGCTCAAACTGTGTGAAATTTTCAGGGGCGAGGCAGTAACGTCGTCCGCTGGCGACAAGAACCCCTTCAATTGGACTAAGTTTGTATCTAAGTATACAAAACTATATAGAATTACCTGTCCTCTTCCTCTTCTTCATATGAGCTCGACATCAGTCTCGCCGACTCAGTATACCGCTGCGTCTGTCGAAAAGTGAAGTCAAAGTTCAGCTCACCGACCAGCTTCCTCACATTACTATAGACGCGTTAGTACAGCTTCCATTTCAAAGCATAGAGTACACCAGAGAGGTGTAGCAGAACAACATACTCAAGTAGCTCCTGCAAGCTGAAGCTAACAACCGACCGAAGCACCTCCAACGATGCAAACGCTGAGAACGCCGGGTCCTCCACGTGTCGAATGTTTAACAGCTCACCATCAATCCTCCGCATCTGGCGCGCAAGAGGAAAGGAGTCCGGAATAGACAAGTACGGCGGCAAGGGTTGGGCATTCATGATCGCGGCGGATAAGTGGCACAGCAACGAAGTAATCTGGTGGGAGTTGAAGTCTGGCGATTTCAAAGCAATCTCTGCAAGCTGTTCCATCCACTGACCGTCACTCTCACGCTCTGGGTGCTCCGAGTCTATCGACAGGGCATCGAGTTTCTGCGTGGTATGCGCCATTAAGGACATGCTTGTCAGAATGCGCTGAATCTCCGAGATGATATTGTCATAGACCTGCTTGGGGAACTTGCCTCCGATCGGAGGCTCAAAGGTGCTGAAATGGCTGTGCATGCGCAGAGCAGTTAAGAGCATCATTTCCTCCTTGAAGATTTTATGCCGCGAGGCCTGAAGTTTGTGTGCGGGCGAGTGAGTGTCTTGAAGTTTACCTAGCTCGCCGCTGAACCAGAGCTCGATCGTCGCATGCATGCAGCTGTAGAATTCGGCAAGCACGAACAGGCTCCGGCCGAGGAGCTTGCGTAATTGGGATTTTGCTGTAATTGGGTACGGGAAAATCACCCAGAAGAATGAGATGGCGCAGCCTGCTGCCACCGCTGCTAGTTTGTAGGGGCCGAATAGGTAGATTGGGTAGTATGGCTGGCCGTTGGAGGTTGCCTCGTCCAAGCCGAGTTTGCGAACCTTTGTGTTGTTAGTTAGATATGAGCGAAACGAGGTTATAAACATACCTGCAGCTCATAGCCAACAATCACATTCAGGGTGACGATGGAAATGACAGTTGCGCCAAAGTATTGCGGCACCTTGACATAAAAGTAATACTGGAGGTAGTCAGTAAATGAACGTCATACAGTTGTGTTGGAGTACATGCCTCGAACACATTCGCTAGATACAGGAAAATAATCACTCCAGCCGTCTTGCCGTCAACTATATACCAGACAATCAAGCTGAGAACGAGCGATATCACCGTCGCCACTATGCGCGCCACGAACCCGAACATGGTCTGTCCGCTGGTCGGGTTCATGCCGATCACAATGACAATCATAGCCCAGATACATCGTTGCCGAATAAAAAAGTCTTGCGTCTGGTGAAGAAATGCCAGTATCCCAACTGAGAAGGACGCGGCTGCCACCCGGAAACCAAAGCTACTCTGGTCGGATTTGATCATATGAGAGACAGCTCGCAGTCCCACACTCAATTTTTCGAAAACATTCGCGGGCGGCAGGTGTTCGGGATCTGGAAAGGTAGCGTCATATTGTGGACGCTGGACCGTCGAGGGATCTGCATGCGGAGGTTGGCGACGATCCGATTCCGTATCGGCAGCTTTCTTGTCGGTGCTGAGAGACAACCATTCGCGAATGGATTTCTGCTTGGGGAAAATCAATCGGCCATGTTTTATCGTCCCATCGGCAATTTTGCTAGCTGCAAACTGCACAAGCTGCAGTGTCGCGTTAAGCAGATCACCCTGCAGATGGCCCATGTACAGAATGAGGAAGAATTCCTGGCGCACATCGCGATCCACGGCAATAATCTGCGAGCCAGACTCCGTGGGGATGGGTTTTTCAGAGGCTGAAAATGCCTCAAGGGTCGCGAGCGCTTCGGGCAGGTGCTTCCAACGCGAGTAATAGTTGCGCAGCTCATGTTTGTACCTCTCCACAAAATCGGGTTGCAGTGGGTTGAGTGTCTCACCCCTTGCTTCCTCATCCTTAGCCTGCACTCCACCCTTGCGAGTCTTTTTCTGCTTGTCCAAATGCTTAGGCTTGATAAGCTCCAGGGACAAGAGAAAATAGTGGAGCCCCAGCTTGACAAGGTTAGACGCGCTGAGCAAACGCTCGTGTAGGGTTTGCGCCACTTGTTGGATTTCCGAATGTTTGAGGCCCCTTTCGTCATCAAAACCGTTGTCCCCGTCGTCGTCATTACATGAATCGTATGGTCCTTCATTCTTGATAATCATCTCCAGGATTTCCGGCAGCATCGACATTCCAGACAGCGGAAGCAACAGACTCCTAAAGAGCGAGGCAATAGTGTTAAGATCTTCGGCTGACAATTTCCCCCATGCAATTTCATCCTTCGAGTAGAACAGATCGGCATGAAGCTTACTATGCAGCCCGTTGAGCTTCGCCATGGATGCCTGCAAGTGCTTTTGTTTGGATTCCACCACATCCGGCTCGCCCTCGATCTGCATGTCCCGCGTACGCATCGCAGTCCATGCTCGACGGAGCAGGCTTCTCCTCGTCATCAGTGCAGTGGCTGAGCTGTCTTCCACAAATGATATCTGGGACTCCAGTACCCCTTCGACGGAAGTCGCGTAGCCCTTGATGTCGTGGAAGACGTTGCCTCGACTCGTGATGGGCAAGATCAGCAACGACACACCAGTTGCAACGGCGAACCCAATCATGAATCCCTTGAGCAGTCGAGATATGAACCCGAGTCCTTCGGCTAGTGTGGTAAACATGCCTGCACGGGTGATGGTAACCGAGGCAAAAATGGAGAAGGCAACCATGGGGTCCTGAAGCTCCATGGGTCGCAAAGCACGAAGAGAATTTGCAGCCCTGTGCATACAATCAGTAATGTGTTCAGAAGACTTGGGGTTAGCATGCATACCAGATCATGAAAATCAGCCACACTGCGGCCACGGCACAGGCATCGCTGTTGTACCCGTTTCGGACACTCTCGCTGGCATTGGCGGGAGCGTTGTGCTCTCTTGCTTTGACAGAGCAGAACACTGCAAGACAGCAGAGAGAAGCAGAGAGACCGGTAGAGACCAGGTCGAAGAACATGATTTTCATGAATTTGGCTCGCGGCATCAGACCTTGAGCAACTATCGACATCAAGGCGGATAGATAGCCAATAGTAGTGGTGATATTAGAGATGGCATCAGTTTGATATCTGTAATAATGTTCAGCAAAAGACACCAATATATGGTTGATATGGCTCGGTACATCGCAATCACAAGGGTCGGGATCAATGCACCCTTTAATATCATAAGCACAGTACGCGAATCCAATTCCAGCCTGGACCACCAGGTCATTGGATTTAGATATCTGATTTACGTTGTTAGCGTCTCTTCGTGAGAACATGGATATAGGTCCTCACCCGAGCATCCCAGACCGAGATGGCCCGGACGCCTTTTGAGTCATCGTCCTAGTTGTGGCCCAAATAGACTGCACCGTATCGAAACTTAAACGACAGTCAAGCAAAGGAGAACAATTGGCATGGTGTGGACAGAAAACTCTCAACAGGCAGGTCGATCTGATTATCGTGGGCTACATGCGGATCGGGGTCGATCGGGATGCCGTGCCGAGACTAATGCCGATCTGAGGGGCATATGAAGTGGACTGACTTTTGACACTTCATTCGGCCAGAAGCAAAGTTTGGTCTTAGAGATCCTTCGAGACACCGGCATCGCCCATCGGCATTAACCAGAACTGAGAGCCTCGATGTCGATGGTTCGTGCTCACATGACGCCGGATCGAGAGGCGTATTTCTATGTTTGACTGTCTAGTCTGTGTGATCTTGATATTTTGTTTATTATTGATACTCTCGAATGATTTTGACTCTCTCTCTCTCTCTCTCTCTCTTTCTCAAACAAAAAAAAGATAAAGGGCTTCTAAATGGATGAGAGTGGCGACCGCGGAAGAGAGATTTGCCGCCTTTGAAACTCACTTGTACAACAGCGGGAGAATCTGATTGACGACTTTGTTTGTCTCCATGACATGGCTAAAGCAGTCAAAAGATTGGGATTGTTTTGTCAGGCAATTTTCTATGTTTTCTGCTTTGTCTGGGCCTTCAGCTGCAGAACATGTGGGTATGGACCATGTCCAAGTTGAAGATATATATCATCGCAGTGAGAGAGATCTGACAGCCACAACAAACCTTATAATCTTGCTCATACATACTGGAGTAACAAGAGCCCAGCCTAATAAAATGAATACTTCAAACTATTCCCCACTACGGAATTTGCGATCTTATCTCATCGTGATCGCATTATTCTACCCAGTCCCAACAAAATCACAATACCAACCGATTCTGGGGACTCAGCCACATTGCGGCGGTTGCGGAGAGGCAGTGGGGCTCGCATCCATGGCTCGATTGGGATCTGAGGCAGTGCGAGGCACAACAATGGCTCTTAGTGGATTGTACAGTCATTATCCGATGGACTAACTGTCACAAATGTATAATGACAGCCACAATGCGTTGGCCAAGATCCCAGTCCACCTCGGTCGGTTACAGGGCTCATACGACCTGGCCAAGGACGCCACCTCACACCAATTACTGCGATCGGCACCGTGGCCCTATCTGCGAGGGTGGTGGTGTTTTTAGACAGTGACATCATGAAATAAATACAGGGATACAGCTGACGCAGCGAACGCGAGTCCGAGAATGTGTCGGAGTGTCAGGGTACTCGTCATGCATTCCAATTGGATCAGATCGTAAAGGCCATCCTTTCAGTTTTAAATAATGGGTCACGCCAAGCTGCCAAGCTCAGCAATCAATATTCGATCGATCCGGTTTTGTCTAGTCGGCCATCCTTCCTTCCTTTTAGTCCGCTTCCACGTTTTTTCCCTTTTCTTCTTCCTCACCACCCCCCAGGCTTCTACGCCTTCTTCCAATCCACATTTGGTTTTCCTAATACATGCGTGAGTGACTCCATGTCGTCGTCATCTTCCTATCTCGCTGCGATCTGTCTTATCTCGTATCGTTGACTGACTCTGCTGTCCCCCGACAGACCGTATTAACTCGTGGGCGAAAGCTCACGCAACGGCTCGTGTTCCCTCCAACCCAGGTTCCTCCAAAAGGGCGAGTCAGATCCCCGAGAAAACCTCTTGTCAAGATGGACAAGTGAATCCGTCCACCCCGGGCGCGCCCATAGCTCCCGATGAGTCCAACAATACCCCCAAACCAGGCCTGGGCCTGCGCATGCGCAACGGCTGCATCCGGTTCGGCAATCATACCAAGGACGCCCTCTTCCACAGCTGGGTCAATGTCCTGCTGATATTTGTGCCTGTGGGTATCGCGGTCAAGGCGGCCGGCCTGAACTCCGGCGTCGTCTTCGCGATGAACGCAGTGGCCATTATTCCGTTGGCTGGTCTGCTGAGCCACGCGACCGAGAGCGTCGCCAGTCGTCTGGGTGACACCATTGGTGCGCTCATCAACGTCACCTTCGGCAACGCCGTGGAATTGATCATTTTCATTATTGCACTGGTCAAGAACGAAATCCGGATCGTTCAGGCGTCACTACTAGGCTCTATTTTGGCCAACCTGCTCCTGATTCTGGGCATGGCTTTTCTGCTGGGAGGTCTCCGCTTCCAGGAGCAGATCTACAACAGCACCGTCACCCAGATGAGCGCCTGTCTTCTGAGTTTGAGTGTGTGCAGTCTGCTACTCCCGACTGCTTTCCACGCATCCTGGTCGAACAGCAACGAGGCCGACACCGAGACACTCAAGGTCAGCCGCGGGACCAGCGTGGTTCTTCTGCTGATGTACGTCCTGTACATCTTGTTCCAGCTTAAGTCGCACTCGTACCTGTACGCGAGTATACCTCAGCAGATCATCGACGAGGAGTCGCACCCCGGTGTGCTGGCGGAATTCTTGAACAGCTCTTCCGATTCGTCGACGAGCTCTAGTGATGAATCTGTCGATACCACCACTTCGTGGACGACGGCCAAACGAATCAAGCGGGCAATGAAATACCGCAAACATCGCAAATCAAGCACGAGCTCCGACCAGTCAAACCAAAGAAAAACGATGGGCGACCGAACATTGTCGACTGAAAACCAAAGCTCCTCTGTTGGTAACTCCATCGCCGATCCCAAAGATGATAACCAATCTTTTGCAATTGATTTCGCCGATGATGGACCTTATGATGCCGATGAAGACGGTCGCAAGGGCTCTGAGGTCCGCGCGCGTGACTTTGGACAGGCGCTGAGTCGCATTGCAAGCTCCAAAGCCGACGAGAAGACCAAGAAGCGTGAGAGGAAGAAGCGCCGGGCTGAGCGGCGACATGCAGAGAAACAGGCAGCGAGGCAGGCCAAGGCTGCGACTGCTCAGGTTGAAACTGAGTGTCGTGGCATGACGGGATCCGCCACGGCTCCCAATTTAACTCAAGTCCAGACTGAGCTCGACATGGAGAATGGTGCTGCGGGCATGCCCAAGAGAAAATCCCCCTTCGGACCTATTCCATCGCTGTTGTCCAACACCGTCTTCAGCTCTCAGTCGCCGGGGAATTCTCCTCACATTGGGACCGGCACAACGCGCCCGTCCCTGGCCCGGAGTAACTCATTGCCTGCCCATATGAGCCCACGGCCTCCACCAGCTGGCAATCCCGTTCAGTTTGCCCGTGGTGCTGCGCGCCAACCCGGTGCGACAGATGATATTGTGGTAAACCCAGTCATCGAGGAGCCAGAGCCACAGATGTCTCGTACCGCAGCCGTTGTCATGCTTCTGATGTCCACTGTCCTTGTGGCTGTCTGTGCCGAGTTCCTGGTCGATGCCATTCCCACCATGATTGCCAACGGGTCACCGGTCAGCGAGGCATTCATTGGTCTTATCATCCTGCCCATTGTGGGTAACGCGGCTGAGCATGTTACGGCCGTCAGCGTGGCCACGAAAAACAAGATGGACCTTGCCATTGGCGTTTCAGTGGGCAGCAGCATTCAAATTGGTACGTCTTCCGTGTTTACCTTGCTCAACGCCCAGTCCTAACTCATATCTTATAGCTATCTTCGTCACTCCTTTGGTGGTAATAATTGGCTGGTGCATGGAAAAGGATATGTCCCTGTACTTCACCCTCTTCGAGACGATTTGCCTTTTCGTCACCGCATTCGTGGTCAACTTCCTCGTTCTGGACGGCCGTAGCAACTACCTGGAAGGCGCGCTATTGATCGCCGCATACGTGATTATCGCCCTGGCTGCCTTCTTCTACCCCAACACCAATGAGTCCAGCAAGCTCGCCGGCTCGGAGCCCAATTAGTCGGGACGGCCATGCTGATCGGTGCAGCTCCTCTGCACTGCGCATGCAGCAGCGGGACGGCACACCCGCTACCGCTTGAGTGGCTTAGGGTTTGGGGCATGTTCAGCCGGCAGGATCACTTCTAATTTAATGTCTTGTGGGATGGGAATCAGCTGCATTTTTTGTCCTTCGCTTCTGTATCTTCTTGAATACACACTCTTGTCGATATGGGGATGGGGACCAACCCCATCCCAACACCCCACCAATTCTGCCTGCCTACCTAGGAAGTACCTAATAAATTCTGACATGGCTCCCGAGTAGCGATACCAGACGGGCCCCAGAGTCTAGTCTACTTGTGTAAGAAGGCTGCCGATCTCTTAAGAAGCCATTGATATCACCACCTTGGTCACTATAGACGGGACCAGTAATCACATACTTGAGATATTTTGGTTAGCATCTCTCTTGCTGCCGACCAGCGTCTTTGTCTCGGCCGTCCTGACTCGGAGCTAGACGATAATGCCCCGAGCGTAGCAAGCAGTGTATCAGGAACTAAGGAGCGACACTAATTTCGGCTGCGCCACGTGTGTCACTGCGAGTGGCTGTGTTTCGGTCCTACTGCTGCGCCACTTGTTGATACCCGAATCATCCGTACGTAGTAACCAAGGCACCTAATGACCCAGCAGAACGGAAATTCCATGAACTGTTGTTATCTTCTGTCTGACCTGATTACTGACACACCCATAGCATAATTGAATATGATTCCCAGTCAGGGGAATAATAATGACAATCCAGCACAGACCATCTGTCGAAATAATCAAGCAACGGCCGGTGTGGAGTCTAGCCGCTCAGGAGTTGATCAGCTTTACCGGTGCTTTGTCCAGGGGGCAGTGGAGAGAGTGTGACACCCTAACCAACGAAATGTCCGTCTTACGGTCACACACTGGTGCGGTCCCATGCCCCCACAACTGAAACTGCAATGCGGTTATCAACTGACTATCAGTTGTCTCTCAGGGGTTATTGCATCTGCCTAACCGGAACGGAACGGCGCGAGAATTCATTGCGCCCCTCCTTTCATACTGGCCTACACTACTACTAAGCTAAAATCCCGCAAGACGGACCAAAATGATGGCAGACATTGGTGCCGCCGCCCCTTTTCGGCACCGTTTAGTTACTATTAGTCAATTTTTAAGCTTCTCGGTTCGACAAGACTAACGTGTAATGGATAACGATCAAGTACTCTATTAATATGCAAGCTGCATCCTTCATGCCCGCAATGTGAGAGTTTCATTGATCTTACTGGCATTGTTGTCCTTTTTTTCTTTTTCTACTTATTGCTTATAAAAAGCTGCCCCTCTTACTCCACCACACACTCATCCTACTACTCTCTCTCCCTCTCTCCCTTTCTCCTTCTCTTTTCTCTCTCACCATTCCTCTCTGAATACCTTCTTCCTACAATATCGGAATGGCCTACGCTCCACCCTACGGTGACCCCTACGCTCGCCCTCCCTACGAGCGCGGTTCGTACGGCGCACCACCACCGCTCATCCGACCTCCCGCCATCCCCCCGCCGCCATTGCCCCCAGGCTGGAGGCAGGAGTGGGAGCCCAGTGTGCGCCGCGCCTTCTGGGTGGAGGAGGCCACCGGCCGCTCGCAATGGGAGCCGCCCTATGTTGAGCCCGCGTATGCATATGAAAACCGAGGTCCTCCGGGAGAGTATTACGCCGCGCCGCCTGGCCCCCCGCCCGTTGTGTATGAGGAACGTACCGAATACGTCGAAGAGAAGAAGAGCAGCAATGCTGGGAAGTATTTGGCGGGTGGTGTTGCGGGTTTGGCGGTTGGTGGTCTTGCCGGCGCTTTTCTGGAACACGAATATGGTTAGTTTTGTGTCCATGGGTTATTCATGTACGAGGTCGTACTGATTCTATGTATAGATGAGCATGAGGAAAGAGAGGATCAGGAGGAGCGGGATGACGCCTATGAAGAGGGACGTGAGGATCAGTCCTATCAGGACTACCGTGAAGATGATGGCTGGTAAATGCGGTGCTTGAAACCTTGCGGCTTTCTTTTCTGTGTGCTTTGCTCCATTGCACTGTTGTTTATGCTCTGGGATACTCTTTCAACGCTGAAGCCGATGTTTACTTTTCTGATGAGCACTTTCAGCATTCCTTTCGTTCGATCTTTATGCTTGTGGAATAGGGCTTTATCATAACTGCAATTCCTTCAAAGATTCCACCAAGGTACTCTATACTCTCTACGCATAAGTTTATTTAGTTTGTTACTCTTTCCAACACAGAATCTGCCCGTGCAGCATCGCAAACCAACCATCTGGATCCTCCACCCAAGTCCGCCACCCCGATGCGATGTTCTCCAAGTCCTGGCGGCTCGCATAACCTTCTTGAATAGACATAGTCGTAAACCCAGAGGACTGCGCCCTCTCCGCCATCGACCCGCCCCAATACGCCCTCTCCTCATCACTACTAAAGCACCAAGTCCCAACACTTTTCTCAATCTTCTGCCTCGCAAAGCCCGCCTTCGCCGCCCAGACATGGATCATCCTCCCGGGATGAGGATTCCCGCCTTTAGTACGCTGCATCTTATCCACTACGTCTTTCCACGCGGCAATTCCTTCATTCTCGGGATACCACTCAAACGTGGCAGAGTCCCGAGCGGCAACAATACCGCCGGGCTTGACAACGCGCCGCATTTCTCGTAGAGCCTGCACGGGGTCCGCGATGTGCTGCAGGACCTGGTGCGCGTGCACGACGTCGAAACTGTCATCTGGGAATTTCAGTGCGTGGATGTCGCCCACTTCAAAGCTGATGTTGGTCACCCCCGCAGCAGCGGCGAACTGCCGCGCGCCCTCTAGTGGGTCGGGAACGTATTCTACGCCCACGACCTCTCCGTCTGGGACATACTTGGCGAGATCCGTGCTGATGGTCCCTGGGCCGCAGCCCACGTCGAGGATGCGCATGTTGGGCTTTAGGTGCTGGAGCAGGTAGGGAGCTGAGTTGGAGGCCGTGCGCCAGCCGTGTGTGCGCATGACGGAGCTCGAGTGGTCTGTTGTGTAGACTTTGGCCATTTTTTACTCCTTCCTTATGTGCTGTGCTTGAGTGGTTCGGTTGGAAATGGTTAGAGGGGTAAGATTGGGTGTGTGGACAGGTATGGTATTTAGAGCTGAGAGTCGCCCCTCACATCACTTTGTGTTCGGAGTTTCGGATTTAGAACGTGTTCCGGTAACCTTTTCTGTCCCAACACATGAAGTCTCAATCATCACTAGGAAGGAAAGCATGTCAGAACTGTACATGCGCTAAATTCGCTAGATCACTTGGGTATGATACAACTGAATCTCAACATGTAAACCGGGTAGAGTTGACGTATAAAAAGTAATTCACATTTATTTGATCATAAACATATGCTTAACATTTCTCTGCTTATCGTAGCGGCGTAGGCCCATTCACGAGCAACTGGTTTCCAAGCATATGAATGTAGTTGCAAGCCAACGAAAGCCCAAAGTTTCAACGAGAAATGGCACCTCAGCAAAGAGTGTATCAAACATTTGCTGTCCCAAGTACCGCGCTAATATCCAGCCGATCATTAGCGTCTAAACCACTGAAAACTACTATTAACGGTATGTCCCTTATAAGGAGGCGGTAAAGAAAGGTACTTTGGAGCCAGACTTTAGCACCGTCCAACGTAACTATAATATTGATACTGTGAGTACCGTCGGGACGATACTAATAAGACTGGTGGAAGTAGTTAGCTAGCTAACGTGCGGGCTCAATTAATAATGCAAGACTAATTATTTGTCCGTCTAGTCCAGCTGGTGGTTCGCCTCCTTGGAATGTTCGGTGATCCGACAGTCCATGCGACCCTGCCATCAAAGACCCTTTATGACGTCATGGACTAGGAGCTCTCAGAAAGCTGGCCCTGAATTTTAATTTTTGTACTTTTGCATCCTCTTAGATCTTTTACTAGCGAGGGGGCTTGATTTCAAGATGGTGGGGTCAGCGCTTGTGGTTATCTTCCAAGCGTTCAACACCCTCGACATCACAGGTCCAATATCCATTCTTTCCAACTCAAATTTCTTCATCACAATCGCCGCAAAAGATGAATTCACCACATCACAAGAAAACATCATTGTTAAGAGAAACATTTCATTCTCCGAAGCCAAAGAGCACTTAGCAAATTACGACATCCTCATAGTCCCCGGCTCACGATCAAGGAACATCTTGCCCTATGTTCAACCCGAGAACGGGCAGTTACTGGAACTCCTCGACGTTATCATAGACTTTGCAAAACCACAATCCCCAATCCAAGCTGAACAGAGACAAAGGACTATTCTCTCTGTTTGCGTGGGCGGATTACTCCTCGGAATTGCAGGCATACTAGACGGGCTCACAGCGACAACGCATCGCCTGGCGACGAAGGCTCTACGAACCGCGTGTGAAGAGTACATCATCAAAACGCCTAATGCAAAAGGCACGCGGATACTTCCCGAAGATCCATTGGATACCGTTTCATATTGCGATGCAGGGATAAATGAATCTGGGGTCAGGGTTATTACCTCTGGTGCGGTTACCAATGGAATTGACGCTGCGTTGCATTTTGTTGCACTTCGCATGGGACGATCAGCTGCTGTCGAGGTGGCAGAGCTCATTGGACATAATTGGAGGGAAGTGAAGGCATGAGAAAGACTATGGTGAATGGAGGGAACAAGTGGAATAAGCTTGATGTCTATAATTTTAGTCCATTTTAGGAGTGTTTGCCAAATGTGTTGCATACGAACGTTCAATTTGACCACCCTTTAGACTACTTTGGAAACCTTCTAGACCACGATCTCAGATGCCATCGATGACCTTATCTCAGATTGAGGGCCAGATGTGATTTTAACTTTTAAGTAGTATAGAGTGAGACCAGATCTAAAACCAAGCTCTTTAGGTGCGAGGATCCTCGGGGGCCAAATACTAAAATAGGGAGGAGATATGCATTTGTTCTCTGCCAGTGGAGAACCTCCTGAGTCAGGGGTCTAACTAAACCACTGCTGCCTGCTGATAGTCTGCGCTGAAGCTTTGCACTGTGCTGATCCTTATGTGGAGCCTATCGCGGACTCGAAATTTCTTCAAGACACAGCCTCAATCGAAGACTCGGGTTTCAATTCACAGAGCCTCGTTTGTGTCATCGGGCTTCTACGGACTCCGTGTGCGTGGATTAGCTGGGTCATGGCTAATAGGCCGGATGAGGAAGGTCACTATGACATGACTTGATCTTCAAAATTATCCAACAATCATGTCTCATTGCGAAGGCAGCAGCACAATTTCTTTGCAAGGTTCTGTCCGATCGACCAGCCAATTATCTTATTTAGGCAAAACTACTGCATTGATTCTTTATCGGGACCTTTTGCACGGTCGGTTATTTCGTGGTCGCCCTGAGCGGAGTGCAACCCTCATCAACCCCGCAGCACGGCAACGAATCGTGAGCTCTTCTCCAATACGTAATTGTCGGGTTGCTCCGCTCAAGTTACGACCGTCGGAGATCTGCAAGCGCCATTAACAAATACATCAGTTTTCCCCACTACTCCGGTTGTTTTATCTATCGGAGGCCGTATCTTCTCAAAAATATAAAGCAATGGCAGATCTGCTATTTTCTCCGCTTTTCAATTCAAGACACAGTCAATAATCGGACACGAGTAATCCATGATGCGTGTCTTGGCTTCTATTACGTTATTTGTGGCTGCGGCCTCAGCCTTGCAGAGCCCTCATCGCAAAGCCGTGCAACACAAGAAGCCTGCTGTTTCGCGGAACCACAAAACTCCATCGTCTGGCCAGACGGAGCATCAGTACCGGACTAAGGCAACTGAGAGTGCGTTACAGGATCGATTCATTTTGAACGAACCAAGATGCTGACTTCCTCTTGCTAGAATTCCTGGTCGACGGCGCCAGTTTCCCTCAGGTCCCTTTTGACATTGGCGAGAGCTATGCTGGTCTCCTGCCTAACACTCCTCATGGCAACTCTAGCTTGTTCTTCTGGTTTTTCCCCTCTACTAATCCAGATGCCAAGAAGGAGGTAGGATAATGCTAAGCGATCATCACCACGAAAGATTAAGCTGACTTCTGCATCCAGATTACGATTTGGCTTAACGGAGGCCCCGGATGCAGTTCTCTTGATGGCTTGCTCCAGGAAAACGGGCCCTTCCTCTGGCAGTCTGGAGTTTACGAGCCGGTGAAGAACCCGTACTCGTGGACCAACCTGACCAACATGGTCTATATTGACCAGCCTGCTGGCACTGGTTTGTCACCAGGCCCCGCCACTGTCCAGAACGAAATTGATGTCTCCAATCAATTCAACGACTTTTGGAGGCGGTTTATCGAGACCTTTGGCATGCAAGGCTACAAGGTTTATATCACTGGCGAGAGCTATGCCGGACAGTACATCCCATATCTTGCCGCCGGAATGTTGGATCAGAAGGATACCACCCATTTCAACCTGAAGGGTATCCAAATCAACGACCCATCTATCAATGAGGATAGCGTTATGATCTATGGTAAATTCTCATATACAAACTTGAACTTCTTTGACGTTAACGCAAAATAGCGCCCGCTACGGCGGCATTGAACCATTTCTCTAACGTCTTCTCACTGAACGACACCTTCATGACCGAAATTAACCAGCGCGCTGAAAAATGCGGACACAACAAATTCCTGGAGGCGACCTGGACCTTCCCTCCCCCGAAGGATTTCCCGCCTGCGAACGCTGGACCTGGCTGTGATACGTGGGACGAGATTGTCAAGGCAGCCACCTATATTAACCCCTGCTTCAACATGTATCATTTGACCGATTTCTGTCCCTTCCTTTGGGACGAGATGGGTTTCCCCTCACTGGCTGGTGGCCCGAACAACTACTTCAACGAGTCTGCCGTTCAGAGAGCTCTCCACGTCCCACCTACCAACTACGCCGTCTGTGGTGGAGATATCTTCCCCAGAGGAGATGGATCCGTCCCTAGCGCTCTTGGACCTCTTCCTAGTGTGATTGAGCGAACGAACAATGTACTCATCGGCCACGGGTGGTATGACTATCTACTTTTCATGAACGGCTCGCTGGCCACCATTCAGAACATGACGTGGAACGGTGCACAAGGCTTCCACCATCCTCCTGTTGAGCCCCTGTTCGTTCCATACACCGATGCTTTGAACGCAATTGCCAATGGTGATGAATCGTCTCCATTCAATGCAGACGCCGGTGGTGGACTACTGGGAACAGCACACACCGAGCGTGGGCTGACTTTCAGCACTGTGTATGGCTCTGGTCACGGTAAGCACAATCACATTCATTCAATCTCAAAATCCGGATTCTAACTCATTTGACTACAGAAATCCCACAGTATGTTCCGGGCGCTGCTTATCGCCAACTGGAATTTTTGCTTGGCCGCATCGAGAACCTTCAGCAACGGGGACCCTTTACCACCCAATAGAAACATAGTTACTTTAGGAATGGCTTACTTGGTGTCTGTCATTTATAACATTGAGAAAGCCTTACCTTCCTTTTAAACCGATTATTGCTCATGCACCATAGTCTCTACTATTACTATGGTCCATAATTTGCTTGATAGAGCTACCATTTTAGACCTACCATCTCTACTTCCGCGTGTAGTACGCCACATTCCAGAATTTTGACGTTGTCCAAAGATTTTTCACAAGATATGCTTTCCACAATGTTGATCTTCACAGCGCTATCCCGGCCTCTACTAGATGATCCATGGAAGCTCACCTTGCTTAGGGGAAGTCTGATGCGCTTGCTACAATATTGGGCCATTGCATGCATCGTCACCACATGTTCCAACGCTGAGGCTTTACTACAAAAACGGACGATCAATGGAGATCGTCAGACACGAGCGGGATCGAGGTCGACGTCCAGACAATTATCATCCAGATCACGGCGATATGGCTATGTCTTTCGTTCGCTTGAAAGGATGGACTTGGGACGAGCTTCCCTAGGGTTGGGAGTCTTGAGAACCGTTGTTGACTATGACTTCACTCCGCGTTCAATGTCTCCTTTTTGAAGCAAGCATTGCCCTTCTTTTGGTTTACTTCCATTTTGATTAAGCAGTGTGACCGCTACCCATACACTATGGAGCAAAATTCAGCAAGCGACTGTCATAGAACCAGCCTCACAGACAGCAGTCCCTCACAGAAATTATTCCCTTCTTAAATATCATCAGCGATAGCATCAACCTCGATCTCAACAAGCATATCCTTATTGATAAACCCATTCTGAACAACAATCATCGTAGCTGCAGCGCCAATCTGACCATTTTCGCAGGGGTGATGCTTCCCAAGTATATCTCTAAACCCTTCTCCCACTGCTGTACAGTCCTCATGGCGACTGACGAACATCCTCACTCGAACAATATCTTGAACACCCTTGCCACCGACAGCTTTGATAGCCTTGATGCACTCTTCGATGGCTACACGTGTCTGTTGTTTTGCGTCGCCTGGAAAAAGGATTTGTGGTGAGCTGACTGGCGATTGAGGATCAACGGCAGTGGTGCCTGAGACGAAAATGTGATTCAGGCGGCGAACTGCTCGATAATATCCAATGCTTTCTTCGTAAGGTGAAGTGGTGGCATGGCATTGCTTTGTATTTGTAGATGACATTGAGCGATAATCCTAACAAGCGAAGTAGGGGAGAGAGAGGTAGAGAGATAGAGAAGACAGTGGTTCTGGTAATTCCGGAACTTCCTTATTGAACTGCTGGTCTTCGTGTGAGAATCGGATTTGCAGGCAAGATCGTATGACTCATCATACCGTATAGTTGGTATGCACTGAAGCCCTACCTGACACTATTTTCGGCCTAGGAGCACGCGTACCCCGCATTCGAGCAGGGCACAAAATCCTTTCCGCCATAAAAGGGTACAAATACCCCTGTTCCCCTGGAATTCCTTTCATACTTCTCTCTACTGAGTACCCCTGCAATGGTGGGACATGGCCTCAACAGCACAACAGAGAGATCACTAGCTATCAAGCTTGAAGGTCTAGTTCTCAGACTATACCCTAACAGTCCGATGTAGCTCGAACAATACTTGATCTACTTCACGTCCCACCATTTTTCGAGGCCTCTTCTTGCAAAGTAGTGTCTCGTCCACTGAAGCAGAGTTGAAGTGCTCTTGCAATCGGTGCGATAGAGGTGAATGGCTAATACGACACCACTAGGACTCGGTGAGATGTAAAGGAGCAAGATAATTTGGTCGAATGCGCTCGCTCCGTGTCATTAAATTAGGTACGTCTCTAGCGTGGAATGCACCGGCTTTATCATGCCATTGTCATTTAGAGGGTACGAAACCCCGGCAACGACAAGGACCGACGTTTTCGCGAACGTGCGGGTGTCGATTGCTGTTTGCCTCTACGTACCCAAATCAATTGTGAAGACCAAACAGCATGTCGGCATTACATCCCATGTGTCTACATGAAAGTCGGTCTCCCACATTCTAGTTTAGATAGTTAAATGTTCATTGTCATCTACATCTATCGCGATCACCACCAACCAAAAAAGCCATGTTTCCTAGTCTCCTTCTAGCTTAGGAAGTGCATTCCTTGAAATCGTCACCGCTAGCTCCAGTATGTGTAATCAGACCAGCCAACTCATCCTGCCCGTTGAAAACAACTCGATCCGCACCAGGTGAGCCGCTCGTAAAGACTTCGCCAGAGCTCATGATAGGGTACTCATAGTACTCGCCCGAGACGGGGAAGTTGAATCCCTCGTAGTCGTGATACTGGTGCGGGTAGTCGTCGTTGGTGTTACCGGACTTGTACAGCTTGTAGCCTTCCGCCTGGGCAGCGGTGACGGAGCTGTTGGTATAGCAGTTGCTGCCACAGGTATAGGCACATGAGCGAGTGGCTTTGGAGGTTGGGAAGGAGAGAGCTGCCTGGACCAGGAGGGCAGCAACGGCGAGGAGCTGGATAGCATAAGCAATTAGGTTGGTTTTATACTCTGAACTTGGGTCGCGGCGGTACCTTGGTGTACTGCATGTTGACAGAGAACGGACCGGATTTTATCGATAGTAAATCCGGGAGAACAATAGTTCCAGATCAAACGCCAACGGGACTGGTTTGACTTCTGTTTGTCCATACAGGGTGGAATTCATCCAGTTTATATAGACGATCCGAACCCTGTTGCCTCGCCTGTGCCGTCCTGACCAACTGTGTCTGGTTGTGAGCTCTCCGAAACGCCCGCAATGTTTGTTCTTGCGATGTTACATCTGCCACCTTGCAGCGCGTCCCACGGCACATGCAGTATATATTGACCAATAGAACCATGTAAGTCCAGTAGAATCGCCCGGTTATCCCGGATCAGGGTCTTCCACCGATCTGCAGGTGGCAGACTGATAGGGGCATGAACGAGGTACACAGGATCGTTGATTGGAGGCACCCAGTCGGTGTGAAGGATTGCTTGGTTCGGGTCGTATTGTTAGAAAGCGGGGATCAAGTCTTCCGCGATGATCGACATCTTACGTGCGCATTCTATTATTCGAAGGGGTCCAGAGCTTATGCAGATTTGGGTATAGATCCCGTGGAAGTTAAGTTATCGGGCCAATAATAGTTGACCTTACGGAGAACGTTGCTGACTTCGAACATGGGATTGGTTTGGAAGGGGTTGGCGAGAAATAGCAACTCGCATCTGAGAAAATGTCATGCACGGGCACAAATGACTACTAAAAACAAATCTATGAGCTATCTATCATTTCAAAAGACAGCTACTAAGCCTTGGTCTACGCCGATCACACCCCCAAAACTGAACGCCGGCTCTCCGACGGATTCCGCATCAATCGCTATCTCGTTTCGAGTAAATATACATAACTGATCTCGCTCGTGGGGGATTATATTCCACATGAAATAGAAAGACTTAATTATCCTACCACCACATTAACAAGGCGAGACCACCACTCAGGACGCTTCTTGGCCAGAGACTCATCCTCCGAATCCACAAACTCTCTTCTCCCTGTCCAGATATCCATTTCTTTCAGTTTGACCACCTTGGTCTTGTTCCAAACTTTATACACAACCGCGAACAACACAAATACCGGCAGCAAGATATAGTTGATAACAAAGTCTGTCGCGCTGAATGGATCCAAGAAGCAGGTATATCCCTGGAAGAAGATAAGGAAGACATTGGCTGCGAGTGAAAAGTAAGTCCCCCACGGATAAAGTGAGGCCCGGTATGGGAGTGTTGAGGGATCCTGTCCTTGAGCAACCAGGGCGCGACGGAAGCGAATATGGGCGACACAAATCACGGACCAGACGATGAAGGTAGCCACTATACAAAAACATGAGCATCAAATATCATAGCGTAGTTATGTCGGAATATGGATGATTTACCTCCTGAAAGTGTAATCAGTGCAGAATAGACCTTACCCGCGCTGGAACCCTGTGATAAAAACACGATGCACGAAAAGATATTGGAAAAGATCAATGCCACCCATGGTACTCCTTTGCTATTCGTGCGACCGATGAAGCGGGGGGCTTTGCCATTCCGAGACATGAAGAGCAGGGTTCTAGACGCAACGTACAAAGAGCTGTTGCCTGCAGAAATGACGCTGACCACGATCAGAGCATTGATGAGATGAGCAGCGGGCAGGATGCCCGCTTCCGTGAGGGCGATTGTTAATGGAGAACTGGCTGTTTTCGAGTTTGAACCCAGCAGATGTTTGTCATTGTAGGGAATAAGGATGCCAATGAAGAACATGGTTCCTAGTTAGGGCAAAAGTCAACATCTGGCCATTTGAATCAGGCCTTCACTTACCAATATAGAAGATCATAATCCGCCAAAAAACCTGTCGAATTGCTATTGGCACAGCTTTTCGAGGATTAGATGACTCTCCAGCAGTAATTCCCACCCTAGATGCCATTAGTGATCCACATTTGCGCCTTTGAGATAGTGGTAAGCGTACATCTCTGTGCCAGCATAGAGGGTTCCCGCCACCACAAATGTTTTGGCAACGCCATTGATCGAATCCGCAAATGCTCCCGGATCATGCCAGTATGCAAATCCAATTTTGCGCGGTCCAATTGCACCAGCGCTGATGCAAATTGCCAAAATAAAAAATACAATCAGAGACAACACCTTGATGCTAGGACTTGTCAGTACCGCTCTCATGTTGACAAAGATCGAGGCACATACAGAGAAAGCCAGAATTCCATCTCCCCGTATGCTAAAACACCCAAATTGGACAGACATAGAAAAAGCACCCAAAAAATAAGAATCCAACCCCATTGAGGGACAACTTCGGTCCAGTATCCGATGACAAGCGATATCGAATTATATTCGTTGGCCAGAACCTAGACACGTTCTCCATTAGCATAGATCCAACCAAAACTCCTCACGAAATCCCTTACCGTCACCCACAGATACCAATATGCCCATCCCAAAGCGAATGCAAGAGAATCATCGACAAAGCGCTGCGCGTACTCGACGAACGAGCCAGACACGGGGATGATGGTCGCCATCTCACCCAGAGCTTGCCTATTCAAGCATTAACGTGTGCTCAAACTGCAGAGCTAATGCGAGCAATTACATGACGAAGAACACGATGATACCAACCAGGGAAAAACTGATCAGAACACCTCCTGGGCCGCCCTCGTTTAAAGCAGTACCAGACCCGACCAGCAATCCAGGACCAATGATTCCTAGAGTAAGAGCATAAATCAGTTTCCTTTTCTCGTTGGTCTCAGACGACAAAACACAAACCTCCGATCGCAATCATCTGCAAGTGTCGGGACTGCAATTGCCGCTTCAACGGCGCATGCATAGGGTCGACGGCTATCTCCTCGTCGCACGACCGGAAGCTCTTCGCATCCCCGTCATTGTTGACAGGCGCCCCGTATTCTTCTGCATTGTAATTAGTTTTGTCCGTCATTGACAGCCACGGTTAAGTTCGGAGACAAATTGACGAGAGGAAGGATATTCCACGAAGCGCAATTGGGGGGTAAGAATATTTCATAAATTGACATTCCTCACGAACATCATTGTGGCGCGGGGACAACAGCAAAGGACGCCTAGCAGCTCGTGAGCAGCCTCGGGATCCACCACCCATCATTTGCTGGCGATGTCGTGATAAGCCCCGAGCGGAACGTCATCGAAGATCCTTCAAGCCCAATTTAGTGTATCGGCAATGTGCCCAAACTGTTAAGGGTTTGGAATCTACTTCCCCGCAAAAGTGAGAGGTATGCTAGAAGTGAAAAACCATTAGCCGGCTGTTTGACGTTTGATTCACTCACATCACTGAACTCGGAAGCTAGATCTCATCTGCAGCGGGTCTCCACCGTTAACCACTTGGCGGGGCCGTTGCTGATCTGGTGGATGTTGCAGTCGCACGTCAAAAGGTAATTGATGGTAACACTGGTGTCGGCAGAATCAACCTTGCACATTTCTCCGTATACCATAATGAATTCGTATCATGAATTCATCAGTGGCTGTACGCCTCATCCTTCCAGCCACAAGAACCGCGTGAGATAAGCTTAAATCTCGCGTGCAAACAACAAAAGGTCAGCTGATCACAAAAGAAATTTAAGCAAAATGTGAGGCCTACATGAAAACAGCAGCAGCATAGTTAAACTTTACTTTACTCAAAATCTATACAAGTATACTTGGATAATATCTAATCCCTTTTTTAACCGGCCCTTGATTTCATCAACTTCGTCTGAGAATCTGGGAATTTTGTCATCATCGTATCAGAGCCAGGTGTGTCTATGGACTCACTTCCTTTCCGACGGAAAACAAATTAGTCATGTAAGATGTACCGGTCAATCACAAGCCGTGTCCGGAAAAGGGCAAATGCAGTCAGATCAAGGTTGTTTGGATGAGAACAGATCAGAGCTTTCATGGGCTTCATAATAAAATTGGTTCAAAACAGATACCTAGATACAAGAATAAGAAACACCATGGCTATGGTATAGATGCGACACTAATTTCAACCCCAGACCAAGTCCAAAAAGCCCATCAGTTATGCTGCCAGACCAATTCCGAAAAGATGAAGACGCCAAACCCAAAAGCTTCCTGCAAGCTAAGCAAACCTGCGGCCACGCTTTGCTGGGCTCGGGCTCCGCAGGTGAGTTTCCCGTTCGCGACTACGTTCGGTGACAAAATCCATTGACTGCGTGTTCTCAAGCATCAAGGGAGCGTCTTGTTTCTCTCCATACGGAGTTGTCGGGGTCTGTCGTGGATCCTGTTGGCTGAAGTAGCCAAAGGTAGGGTTATTCTGGAGATGCAGTGGCTGGCTATGCATAGCCTGATTTTGATGGGGATGTTGGTGGGTGTAATTAGGAGCGGGTTGCGAGTAATCCTGTTGGTTAAAGCGGCTTCGAAATGAGCGGAAGGACCAATTGCTGACGACAGTCACAGTCGAAATGGTCGCCAGAAAAAACAGCTGCAGAAAGAATTAGTGAGATTCAAGCCAATGGCTTAGTTTTGGTGGCTCAACGTACAATCGCTTTCCAACTGATTGGATCGATGAAACTGTTGATGATGATAGCCATAGTATGCGCCGACACCTTGGCTCGCCCGACTTTGGCGGGATCGCGATTCATGCATCGCTCCCAGTTCTCACACACGGTTTCTAGTGCGGGTAATCGGTCACCTCCTCCACATTTATTGTCCACATAACTTCTGGCGCAAGTTGCCATCTCGGCCAGAATCGTATCCGATACCTCCTCTGCCGCCTGCTCAAACTCGGAGCGAATCGCCGACACAAACCCGAAGACCACATACACGGCGAGGGAGAACAGTGACAGGTTCACTACCAGCTGAGCCCACCATGACAGGATGCTGGGGACATTGGGATGTGCCTCAAGGAGAGCGAAGAAATCTGAAAATGAGGACATGCGCGATTGACCTGCGCCTTGGCTCTGTGCTTGTTTCACAGGCTTCTCTCTTTTCCTTTCGCTGCTGCTGGGCCGGTCACTCTCGTAATCGCTGTCTGTCCGAATCTTCCGGTCGAGCTCCCGATCTCGTCGCCTTCTTTTCTGTACTCGGCGCGCAAGTGCATTTGAATAGTGATTCACTCGCGGGATTTCACCTCGGCCTGGCGCAAATCGGCCATAGAGGTTGAAGAGTGAATTCCGTTTCCCTGACTTCATTGGCTGCTCGGGGGTATCCTCATTGTCCGCATTCTCGGGAGACGACATGTTTTCGGCGCCTGATGAGAAATCCACGTCGAATTTTCGAGGGGTCGTGAATGCTGGTTGGCCGAAGACTGCTCTGGGGGAGTCTGGCGCGCGCTGGGCCCGCGGTTGCGAGAACAGGAAGGGCTGTGAGTTCGGCTCGCGCAAGGCGGGTAACGGTTTCTTCTCTGGTGAATCAAATACACTGTGTGTACCTGTGGCCATGGGTGAGTGTTAGAGAGCTTCTCCGGGGTTCCCGGTCCATCTGGAGTGGTGCTAGGTCACTCACGCTTCTTGTTGTCATGCTGCATGCCGAGCTGGTAAAACGGCGAGGTCACGTCCCCGGGGGCTCGTGTCTGCCATTCAAAGTCCATGGGACTCTCTGCGGACCGCTTGTCCATCTTTGCAGGGTCCACCAAGGATGCGCGACAGATGAGGAGGCGATAGCGTGGAGGGAAAAAGCGGGATGGCGGAGGAGCGAAGTTTTGTTTGGGAACGATAAACACCCGCAACCTTGGCAACGGACGGACTAATCAGGCACCACCACAACACGATTACGCCTGTCATCATAAGAAACACCATGAGAAGTGAAGAAATAATGACTGATCTATTGAAGACACTTCCAACCAATTGTATTGACAGAATATACAATAGTAGGTCCAGGCAGAAAGCAGAAAAAGGTAGCAAACGCGGACGTCATTCACCCTGTTTGCTCTCCGGCTTGGGCCTGTATACCTCTCTCCCTTGCATGTCCACCACTTTCTCTTCTTTCCTCAACTGTTATCCACTGCATGATTTGTGGCTGCCTTCTGCTACACCCGTTGTATTGTTTTCGCGGGCATGGTCTACTATCTGGACGGCGAGTGGTCTAAAGCAGCATCACACTCCGCATGAGCAAAGATACGACCTATTCTGTTCGTGAGCAAGGCGTTTAGTGACTAGAAGGGTCGTAGACATCATAGCTCCGAGCTAGAAGTTGCTTGTGTGGGAAAAATCGTTTGTGGGGTTCCCCGACATTCATTTGCTTGACCAATTACGCGAATGGCCTCGGTCTGACGGCGCTCGAGAAACAGGTGAAAGCGAGATCAGCCATCGAAGAACCGATTATCCACGCCCAATGCACTTCGACCCATCAAAGTCACTTAGATGTAGATATGAAAGCTCCGTTCTCGGAGCATCGATCGGGGCTCCAATCCGAGATTGCAGGTGCCAGAGGCCACCAACAATATCTTGTACACGCATTACCCATCAAGGTTAATACCAAGCATCAATCATGAAGCCAAGCTTTCTTGCACATTTCTTGGGCGCAAGCCAATATCGAATCTTCAAGTAGATCACGATTCTTACAAGCGAGCATGGTATATGCAGCACATTCATGTGTTAAATGAATCTGTCCTACCTCAATTGCAATTCTATTTCTATTAATTTAGCTTCGAGAAAAAATGTCCGCAACAGGCCTGATTGTTAAGGCATAGCGTGGCAGCCGGTTCGGATTGGGCTACGCGGAGATTGGCTCTCAGAGTCCATAATAATTGCCAAGGACCTATGCTGATCAAAAAGTCTAGAACACTAGCAGATGCCCGGCAGTTTGATTAGGATGGACAGGCCACCTAGCTACCGACGAGCAGGTTTTCACCGAGCAGGTTTTCACGGGATAGTGGAGGGAACATGGTTCCGAGATGAAAAAATCCGTGACAGGAATTGTAACGTCACGATGAATCATGTAATGATAATGCTTCTCCGCAATACCTGAATAGCCACGAGTGTCCGAGGAAAGAAAAGTCCGTGAAGGCTGAGGTGGATAGTCAGTCGGTCATGAGTTCACAGTGCGTTTGAGGAGATTGAGTTGTTGGAGAGAAAGAAGGAGGAGGGAGAGGAAGCAGTGCGAGGTCGGCCTTTTTATAGGGAGCATTACACAGTTACTGAAGCAAACGATAGTCTTCTTTCACGTTGCGGTCGGGGCCAGAAGCAAAACCAACTTTGCCAGTGTTGTCGTCGCCTTTTCTTCCCCTTTCCCCCTTAATCTCGATTCTCTTCAAAATTCGTAACTACCGATTCCTACAAAATGATCGAAACTCGGATCGAAATTGCTGCCCCGCCCGCTAAAGTGCGGGAAGTTGTACGTACTAGATTAGCAACCTCGAGCTAATAGTGGTCGCTGATTGTTCCTTAACCAACAGTTCCTCAATTTCTTAGCACACCCAGAATGGCACACGAAGTGGTTGAAGGAAGTCAAGCCTGCTGACGACTCCAAAACGGGCCTATCACTTGTGCCGGGTGATAAAGTTCATGTTCAAATCGGAGACATGAAGTTCACTGCTGAAATCAGGGTAGGCATGCATAGAGAAGCATATTTTATATCAAAAGGGGCAATGCTGAAACCTAAGAAAGGAAAACTCCGAAAACCTGTTCCAATGGCAAGGTCCTCCAATCTTTACCGTGGCCGGCCTCCATTCCTTTCACATAGAACCGACCAACGATGGATCATCCACTATTTTCAAGCAGACTGAGGACCTCAAGGGATTGATGGCTTGGCTCATGAGTCCTTATCTTCTAGGAAGATCCATGGCCGCTGATTTCGATGCCTTTAACAAAGATCTCAAGGCTCGTGCTGAGACCTAATATAGCGGTGTCTCCGATCGCTAGGGGATGAGTTTCAATCTCGTTGTTACTATCGTAAGTGTTGTACCTTATTGTAGGTTTCATTAAATTAGCATATCTGCCTCTAGTGCTTCTACACCTCTAAACGCAAATGTAATGTTTCTCATAGTAGATAATTGTGATATTGCTCTCGGGCCATTGGATAGTGCTGATACTAATTTTATACTATCAGTCCAGGGATTATAGCTCGAGGTCGAAGAGTTTCTTCCGGCTTTAATTAATTCATGTGCTCCTGCCGGGGCCACGCAGTGGTCAACGGCTGTTCCACACGAACTTCGAACGGCGCATACCTGTTCCACAAGCAATAATCGACTGATCTGTCCGGCCCCACAGTTATACTCGACCGCCGATATAGTTACATATAGTGATGGTGTGATAGGCAACGCCAGTGAGTCAATCTCTGAAATCTCTGCTTCGGGCCTAGAAACCCAAAGGAAATAAATACGAACATCAAGCTAGCGTGCCAAGGATGAACCGCCGGGGTACCCTAGCCCATCATTGGTCGGGGATGTTTCTGTTCCTGACGCTAATGACTGAATGGGTCCATGTGGCGGCGCTACCGGAGGTTAGGGGCTTTGACCCCCCCGGCGTTGGTTGTGATGGGAACCACATGGGCCCTAAGTCGGGGCACCATTAGCTTAGCGCAAATCTTGCCCTTTCGATGGAAGTCCGTCCCTCGGTTGGGTCCGGTCGCCACGGACCCTGCAGGTTTTACACAAGGCTATGTTTTCATGGGGCTCATCGCCCAGTTCGCTACTTTCTCTCTTCTCGTCATCTCTGTGAGCTTTCGTCTTCTTACCCGGCCTACGGCCTGTCACTCGTTTAAACCTGTTATTCTTCACTTCTGTTACTCCTTTTATTGGTAATACTCTCGGGTCGTAACCCTAGGGTCGCGCTTCTACGAAAATCCACACCCCAAAACAGACACGTTCACACAATGAAGTTTGAGATCACATCATCCGGCGCCGCTGCGCTGGTTGCACTCATTGCTGGTGCCGAGGCTGCCCAACACGGTCATCACCACCACCAACATCACCATGAGGTTCGCTCCGTTCCCGAGGTCGGCACAACACTGGTGAAGAAGAGCGGGCAATGTCAATTCCCCACGGATGCTGGTCTGGTTGCCATCACCCCCAGTGAGGAGAATGCCGGATGGGCCATGAGCCCTAACCAGCCCTGCACGCCGGGCAGCTACTGCCCGTACGCTTGTCCCGCTGGTCAAGTGTCGATGCAGTGGGATCCGGAGGCGACCTCGTATACCTATCCTCTTTCGATGGTAAGCTATCCAAACCTCAAATCGTACGAGAGGTGATATCTGACTTGGATTGTAGAACGGTGGACTCTATTGTAACGAGAACGGAGAGATCGAGAAGCCCTTCCCCAGTCGACCATACTGTGAGGACGGCACTGGTGCGGTGTCGGTCATCAACAAGGCTGGCGCCCCTGTGGCCTTCTGCCAGACTGTGCTCCCTGGAAATGAGGCCATGTTGATCCCAACTCTGGTTGAGGACGTGGCCACTCTCGCTGTGCCCGGTGAATCGTACTGGTGCGGGACCGCTGCGCAGTACTACGTCAACGCCCCTGGCGTCCCGGCCGAGATCGGCTGTGTCTGGGGTACATCTTCCAACCCGATCGGTAACTGGTCCCCGTACACTGTCGGCGCCAACACTGTCGCCGATGGCAGCACCTACGTGAAGCTCGGCTGGAACCCTATCTACCTGCAGCCCAGCACGCCGTTCCGCAGCGTGATGCCTGATTGGGGTATTTCCATTGAGTGTGAGGGTGACGGTTGCAATGGTATTCCATGCTCCATTGATCCGTCGGTCATCACCACCGTCAACGATATGCTTGGTGACGCCGTCACTGGTGCTGGCGGTGCGACGGGCTGCACGGTGTACGTTCCTGCTGGCTCGAAGGCCAACTTCATTGTCCACCGGAAGGGTGACGATGCTGGGCCGCTTCCCTCCAGCAGCGCGGACCCTGTGGAGACTCCTACTCCTACTCCCACCTCCACGGAGACTCCTACGGAGACTGCAACCTCCGCCTCCACTGACGAATCAAACTCGAGCTCGACTACTACCTCGATGTACAGCAACTTTTCAAGCATTGGCGCGCCCATGCCCAGCCAATCTATGACCATGGAATACAAGCCCCATGTGCTGCAGCCGACTGGCCCCGCTCAGATCACCCCTGCCGGGTCGAGCTCGGGCTCGGACTCGAGCTCCACCGCTGCATCACCCTCGGCCACCGGCAACAGTGCCGCGAGCGCCACAATCTCCAAGCTGAGCCTGGGGCTCGGAGCTGTGGTCGCCGGTGTGTTTATGAACCTTTAAATCAATCCAAACTCCCTAACGGAGCCTACACGCCCGCTGAGCATGGGTTATGTCTGGTAAACATTTTCAACCCTCGGGCAACCTTTTTTTACCACTTCACTTCTCGATACCACACCTTTTGGCCTATTCTTTTTATACGCATCTACATGTGGATGTTTGCATTCTTCTTCTTGACGACTTTCAACGCTTCCAGCTTTCCAGCTTGATGACGACTTCTTTTTATATATCCCCTGGCTATTCAGCATTGCTTTTTTCTATTCTATTTCACCTTTTCTAGATATCCCCCCTTTTTTTTTTACTTTTCCTTCCTATATGCATTGGGTCTCTTTCTTGGGCATGGGAAAACAGGGGTTCTTATAAATAAAATACGCTTTTTGGACCTATGTACTTCTAGGGCGGATTTAATCCGGCCTTGTAGAGTAATTATTCATTGTAGACATTGACGTTTGATTAGGGCTACCTCATCAAGTAACACTATATGCTTACGAATGAAGCGGCGGAGGTCTATATTTGAGCCTCACAACCGAATTTTATATCTGGGCACTCCAACTCGACGGCTGCCAGCCAGCATTCTTAGGAATTGAAAGGATAATCAAGGGACACTGCATAAATGCCAGGCATATGCAACAGCCGGTAGTTTATGCACCGAATGAAGTCGAATTCGATTGTAAAATATTCAGCACGAGAATCCCGTTCCAGCCTTCCATTTATGATGAACCTGATATGCAACCCAATTCCAATAGACAAGGGCATATGCTCCTGACCATGTTCTCAATATATATGTTTCATTCCGTATTGAACGCCAATAATATGAATTTATCCCTTCTGCTATACCTCATCAATTGGTATAATCATATCAGGCCTCCGTGCCTGGACAGCCATTGTATTGAGGTTGCGCTGCCGTAATTGACGCATGTAAGTCTTCTGTTCTCGCGACATGTCGGGGAGTGAGTTGTCTTCGATGCCATGGTACATGGTCCATACACCGAATCCGATGAGAATGAAGACGACACAGCCGACAATAATGAGGAAGACGTAGAGAGCGAACTCCATTGTTTTTGGGGGAGGAGTTGATTCAATTCACCTGTTTTGCCAGAAGGAGGGGTAAGTTTTGGTAACAATTGAAGACAGATTTGATCGTATACACACACTGCTAGCGAGGAAACTTTTTTTCCCTTGATAAACTGTAGGGTTCGAGTAAGAGATTTTGGGTGTCGCTTACGATTATTGGAAAATCAGTGCGAGAGCCCTACATATAAGGGGGGCCCCAGCAGCAGGGCAGGATCTATTTTCTCTCTCCATAACTTAGGGCTATCTCCGAAGTATGTGATCCAAAGATAGGACCGGAGTGAGCCTTGAATGAAACATTTCTATACCGCATCTTACCCAAAAAGGAATGGCGCCCTGAAAAGCGAGCGCCAATGACATCATAAACCGAGCCGGCCAATCACCATCGCTGTTGAAGCACTTCTTGGCAGCTTAGTCATGGGATCTGGAGCCCATTGCCATCAATCCATGGATTAAAGAAGAGCCCCTCCAGCTTCATCGAATGCCGCTGAAATTGCGCTAATGTACCTGGAAGTGCCTAAGATTCTCAGCTAGCAGCGACTTGCTTATTCTCCACTTTCCCGTTTCTCCGCTAGCAGGCCGTTTGTTGACAATCATGCCTTTTTTCTCCCTCCAACTCTCCAACTAAACTAGTACTGTAAGAAGCGCCATCCTATTTCCTGCCACTGTCTTAAAAACACTGGCAGGCACACTGGCATAAACATCCCCGCAATACGTATGTTGATCATATTGTCTAACCTTTAGGAGGACAACCAAAATGCGGCAGCGGATGCCATAAGAGGCCAGTGCCCTAGTTGTCCAAGTGATCTAAGGGGATTCCAAGAGAATCAAAGCTCCAACTGCATTTAATTGCGCCAGTAGGACTCCTTTCTAGCCACATAAAATGCATTCAATGCCAGCCTAAAAGTGGGCAGTTTGGTTTTATCTTCTGGTCTACACTGCAACTACAATAACAATGGGACTTGCAACCTTCCCTCATTCTAGGAATCTCCTACGAGACAACATCTTTCTGTCGGTGAAGACAACATTACAAGCCTAGGTTATGCCGGTGTGCCCTCTCCGACACACCACAATAACCACCACTATTCTTGACCACATCCGGCGATTTGATGCCTGGCCACCTACCCTCTAACAACAAGTATCCTCACCGCAAGAGCAAACCAACCTCAACATTGTCATAGTTATATAAAGTGGGCGTTCTTATATACGGCTGACTTGTTCTCGAAGCACTCAGCCAGATCAGAAAATGGCCAGATGACTTGGCTTCCGAGCTCATTAGGCTGTCTGGTCAATCCATTGCGAGAGTATCCGGCCTCGTTCAGGTGCGTGCTCTGGCGATTTGGCTCTTTGTATAGCTCATCACCATAAACGTGGTTGCCTTAGGAGGTGAAGACAAAAGGAGAAATAAATGTACTGTTGGTTATCTCGTCTTCCCCGCCTTCCTCTTATCTTCCAACCACAGTTTCAACTCTCACTCACACTCGACCTACCTCACTCACTCACTCACCACTCACTATGCCGCCCTTAGCGCAGACAGTAAGTCTCCCCTCACACATATCTTCTTCCATCCCCCAGACTACCATCCATCTCCCTCCCTCCCTGACCTGCCCTCTGCCTACCCCGCACCACCACTACCACCACCACCACCACCATCTCAATATCCCAGCACCCAGCTGACAACCAACGCCCCAAAGACGAGACTCGTCTCCACACTCCGCCTATTAATCCCTCGTCTCCGCCTCCTCCAAAAGAAAGACACAGCCTTCTCAGTCGTGCAACGGCGCGAGCTCGCCCAACTCCTCAGCGAAGGGCGCGACGCGTCCGCGCGAATCCGCGTGGAGAATGTGATCGCAACGGACATCGCCGTAGAGGTGATGGAGATGGTGGAACTTTACTGCGAGCTGCTGCTTGCGCGAGCGAATGTGCTCGACCAGCTCGCTTTCAACGAGAAGGGGACACGTGCGCGAATGCGCGCGAAGGAGCTCCTTAAGAAACAGAATCAGGCGCAGGCGGGGGGCACGGCAGGGTCGGCTACCGCTGGTGCTAGTGGAGGGGAATCTACTGGGTCGAGGTTTGGGTTCTCCTGGCTTGGAGGGTCTGGGGGAGGGGGCGGGCCGAAGAGAGAAGGCACGCCGCCCAGTACAGCTGCTCCAGAAGACTCCGGTGCGGCGCTCTCCGACGAAGAAAACACCTACATGGACACCGCGCTCGACGAAGCAGCTGTCGCAGTCTTCTACGCATGGCACCGGTTCCCGCATGAATTGCGCGAGCTGACGATGCTGCGCACGATGCTCGGCGAGCGATACGGGAAGGAGTTCATGACCTTGGCACAAGATAACAAAGTGGAGGGCGTCACGGTGCCTGAGCGACTGCTCAAGGGTCTGCGCGTGCGTCCGCCGACACATGAACTCGTGGACAGTTATTTGCGGGAGATTGCGAAGGCATATGGTGTTTCCTGGCCGGAAGGAGAGGCCGAGGGACAGGCTGTGCTGGGGAGTGCGCCGCCGGAGTTTGTGGATGAGGAGACTGCCACTTCCAATCATAAGGGAGATCAGGATGACGATGGGAATGAAGGTGGAGGTGATGTGCTTCCCTCGACACCCAGCAAAGAGTCCCAGGCTCGACCAACCCTATCCGAGGCACGGCGTGCGTCTGAAACAAGCGAGCTGAATAAAGCGACGCCGCCGCGGGGATCGATGGCGGGGAGGAGCCCTGTTAGCGTTGCGCCGCCAGGCCCGAGGAGTGACAACCCCAATCCAAGGGTGAAAGTCCCCGGGAGTGAAGAGGAGAAGAAGGACTCTGGCTCTGTTGCGAAGAACGAAGGAGCTGCGAAGAGCAGCAAAGGGAATGGGATTCCCGAGCTTGATGAACTGACTCGACGATTTGCAGACCTGAAGAGAAAACCTTGAGAGTAGAGGAGCTAGAATGTCGGGAGATAGTTTATCTTAGCGTTCGTTTTGTGTCAAATATCTTGCTTGTTGTCTTCGATCTGTTGGAAACGAGACTAGACTTGATGCAGATGCAATTGCAATCAATTACAGCTATTGGCTGGCCTACTATGAACTATTGATTCCAAACCCTGAATGAACTGAAATGATCTATTATTGACGAGCATATAGTTATAGCACACGAGGCAGGATCCGTCCGACATGAAGAACAGACCTCCCCCAACATAGATAGATACATCCAATCCGTCTATCTTGTGGCAGCGGATCATCGGGGTATGTTATCAAATCAGACGGTAACAGACTGCCCGGACCAGAACTCTATATTCTAATGATCGCACGCAGCCGCTCCATCCCATCATCTCACCTCACTTCATGATGACACGAGTGTGGAAGTAAAGAGAACAGGACGGCTCTCAAAACAAACAAGCAAAAAGCATATCAACAGGGTAAAATTGCCGAGAGCAGCGCGTAAGATGCGAACAGAACAAATGGTATCCAAGATAGGACTCAGCAGGGAGAAAACTGAGAGTGGGAGTGGTATTCCGCTTGTCCTGAGAGTGAGATCGAGAGATAAGAAAAAAAGCCAAAAAGAACCCAGACCGACACCGAGTGACATGCAAGAAATGGAAAAGAAATTGTACAACGCAAGATTTGAAGCCACAACACTGGGCGCATGCGCACACATTATTACATCAGCCTCACAGAGGCGCCTCAGTCATGGTAATCTTCCTCCTCGCCGGGAAGAGTGATTTCATGTCCCGAGCCCTCGTACACGAAAATGGCAGCCACGCAGCCAAAGATGGACACGATGGCAATAACCCACCAGGCAAAGCCGACCATGCCCACGTCCAGACCGTAGCCGTACCAGGCACCGGAGAAGATGGGCCCAATGGTTCGGAAGGCAGAGGAGACGGACTGGCCGATGCCGTGGATGGTGCCGAGGACGGACGGGTGCGGGGAGCAGTTGTTGAGCAGGATGATGGAGGTGGGCAGGGTGAAGGTCCGGGCGGTGACCTGGAGGAAGAGCACGACGATGATCCAGAACCAGACCCAGGGGCCGTTGGCCTGGCCGGGCGGCGGGATCGTGGATGGGGCCAGTGAGATGTATGGTGCTAGGGCGTAGGCGAGCGGGAACAGGGACAGGAAGTACTGGTAGCTCTTGGCTGTGCCGAGACGGCCGTTGATGGTTGGGTAGATGGTGAACTGGAGGAACATGCCGATCACGCCGAGGATGGCAGTTGCGAAGCCGACACTCTGGGGCAACATGCCCAGGCCGCCGGTGAAGATGAAGGGGAGTTTCCGGGCAGGGCTGGCGGCGTCGGTGGGGTCGTAACGGGGAGTGGACAGGAAAAGCAGCCAGAGGTTGTTGAAGGCGCTGTGGTTGTTGGTCAGCATTTGTCCAATCTTTTGGTCAGGTCTAGTACTCACCCCATCTGGAAATCGAAGAAGGCCTGTGCGATCAGGGTACACAGCACGTTCTTGGTCCAGATCCTCCGGAAGGGCAGCACGCGCTGAACACGCATGGGCTTGGCCTTCTCCTCGAGCTCGTAGCTTTCCGCGCGATCCAGCAGAGGGCCGTCCTCTTCATAATCACGGAAGGGGAGTCTCGTGTACAGGGGCGACGTGGTGGGCACGACATTTCTCATGCCGCGGCCGAAGAGCTTCATGAGGATCGCACCAGGACCAGGCTTGCCCTTGCAAGCCGCCAAGGTCTCTTCGAAGCCGTACGCCACCAAGCCGGCGCAGAAAGTCAGGAAGAAAAAGTTGGCCAACATGGGCAGGGCATAGGGGTATGTCTGTAGCCACTGCACGCCTTGTTCGCCTCCAAACGATGAGTTCGGCCCAAAGAGACGCGGATAGGCGATTACGGGGTCGGAGAGCATCCCGCCCATCACTTTAGAGCGTGTTAGCGCAGACTCACTCTCTTTAGAGACGGGGACAACCAACCTGGACCAAATAGCGAGGCGATGTTGAAACCAATGGGCAGGATCAAGAAAGCACGGGAATGGTATTTCTTCTCCTTCACATTCTCCGCAATGCTAGTCCGGATGATACCGACGGTGCCGTTAATGGCACCACCGAACGAACGCCAGAACACGGCCTGCGCGAACGACGTCGAGAACGCAACCCCCAGACATGAGACCGCCGTGCCAAGCAGACCGACCAGCAGTACGAATTTCCGGCCCCCCCACTCGGCATCAGCGACCCGGCCCCAGGGGATCGCGGTCGCGAACTGGGCTGCGGTAAAAGCGCCCTGGAGGATACCGGCCTGGGTTGCGACGTCCGAGTCGGAGAGGTTAACATCGAAGGATTTGAGCTGGTAGAACATGTAGGCCTGGAGGGAGGCGATCTGTAAGAAATCAAAGACTCGGCATAACCCGAGCACGGCCAGCTGGCCCTTCCGGGGCAGGGACATCCAAGTCACGGCGGCGGCCCGGGTGGTGGGCGGTGGTGCACTGGGCGAGGCGGACAACTCGGCCTCTTGCAGAGCCAGAATCTGCGCCTGGCTCTGCGACCGGCTCCGCGCATGCAGGCTGTTGCGGCCGTCCAGATCCATCGACGTATTCCTCATCATGTTGGGGTCATCGAGACCAGGAGGACCCTCGGTGACGCTGACGAGGGAGAGATTGGATTCGCGGCGACGGCGGGTGGGAGGAGGGGGAGGGTGCGAGGAGGGACCCGGGTCGTCAGTGGTGGTTGAAGTGTCCTGCTGCTGGAGAAGGTGTTGATAGCCAGTCGACCAGGAAGTCGTACGCGCGTGGCGGGCTTGATCGGTTTTATTCCTCGTCGGCATGGGGGACGGTTTACGTCAGGTGTATTTTTGGTATTAGCACCACTTTGGCCCCCAGAGACGGAAAAAGATGGATGATGATGGGAGTGTCAAGGGAGAAAGATGAGCTGGTCTACGCCTCGGCCATGGTTCGATGATTCGCTCGCGGTCAATTCGTTCCCATCTGATTGTAAATTGACTAACTATTTGATTGAGGTCCACAAAGGGGGGGAAATCCCTAACTAGTCATCCTCATGGAATGTATTTCGTACTCTTACTCTTACCAGATCGACACTACCACTGTCTTGGCAAATTGAGATGAACCGTGGTGGATTCATTTCGGTACCTTTTGACTTGACACAGCCTTGAAGCTTTGCCGACACGAGATCCCCATGGCCCCCGCGTCAGGCACATTCGGTGGCTGTGACGGATCTTTTTTTATCTCACGACGGAGACGAAACGAAGGCCATCAACACAGCCTACCATCGTGGCAATGATCTGCCGCTGGAGTCGTCTAGGGTAGTATGAACTATGCCTGTCACCACCAAAGCAAGAAAAGTCTGCGACAACCCGCCCCGGGATTTGCAGTGGGCCCAGTGACGGATGGTACGGTATGTAATTTTGCGTTAGGGCCGTACCGCGTATTTCCGTATCGTATCCATTGCCTCTTACTCGTTTCTTTTTTCTCTCGTTCCGGAGGGACGCCGGACGACCGACTCTTTTAAAGAAGAGAACAAGACACATACTCAATAATCTCCGATTGATGCAAATTATGTGTGACCTCCTCCCAAATGCAGTATATCGCCAACCTATATGTACAGTGTGTAGAATATCTCATTCCATCCGCTCCCGCCGGGGACTCCGCTCCGACAGCGGGAAGTAGTGCGGCTCGTCCTCCCCGGTCCACCGGCGCCAGTTCCACCAGGGCATATCCGTCCGCAGTGGGAAAGGCTTCCGCTCAGCCATGCCGTTCAAGGGCTCGGCGGACTCGTCGTGTGGACGAACGGCGAACCGTTGCTGCATTTCCCGCTGTCGGCGCTGGTAATAGCGGAGGCCGTATACGACGATGCCCGCAAGGGGAACTAGCACAAGAATCATGGCGCCCCAGGCGAGCATGCCTGTAACAGAACAGGGTTAGCGGGTGGCATCGGTGTAGACAAAGAAGAAAAACTTACGGCCCATGGTCCAGTTCTTGTGGTGCGAGTAGATGCTCTGCGGGGTGCTCGATGGCTGCGACCAAATATTTGGGTTGTCGGGATCGATCCAAGGCACGGTGTTGACGCCCGCGGGTGGGATGGTAGACGAGGCGCTGTCGTCGCCAGGGAAGCCGTATCCCGACGCATCCCGACACTCCTCGTCCTGACAGAACTCGCGCAGCTCGGGCGATGGGACAAAGGTGTATTTGCGTGCCGAGGAAGCAAGGACCTCGCCATTGCGATCGATAGCTTCTGCCTTCGTCCAGGTATAGAAACTCGTGTTGGTATATTCGGTTTCGAACCCGTTCTTGGCGACCTCGTCCAGAAACGTATATGGACCGGTCATATTGGCCGCACCGTAGAACCGCCAGCTCTTCACGCGCGTGGCACCATTCCAGCTCACATAGAAAGTTGTAGGGGAAAAAGGATCGGCGGAGCGAGAATAAGTCCAGAGAGCCGGGGAATCGGAGGGGTCAGCGTCCCATTCGAACTTCTGAGCGCGGTAGTTCATGACCGTATTCGTCGCAAACCTCGCCCACATGATGAGCTCACCGTCCTCGGTATGTTCCGAGATATAGGGGTTATTCCCCCATCCCATGACAACATTGCGGTTCGGCAGGAGTTGGAGATTACCCTGGCTAGAACTCAGCATCCGATTGCTAGGAGGCCCGTAGTCCCGTAGCTGTGTGGCGGTATTCTCAACATGATCGATGAGAATGATCATGCCGCTCGAATAAGTATGCGTCTGGTTGTAGCCATTATAGCCGTTATTGTAGAGCGAGACCACGGAATGCGTCGCATTCTCATAGAGCCACCGTGCGTCGTGTTGTTGCGAGAAACTAAAGTTGATGTTCTTGAACGATGGGTTTGCGCCATGCAGTCTCCAGATCACACTTCCGTCCTTGCCGGAGATCTTATAGATAGCGCAGGTGTGGCGCGACGACACCAGATAGTCACCGTCGGCATTCTTGTCAATCGAATTGATGTGGAAATAATCCCAGGGCTCGGCGACATGCAATCCCGTGCCGGACGTATCGGTGTGCGCGGGCCACGTATAACTCATTGAAGGGTCGACATGGTCGAGCGCATGCCATTCAAATAGCACTTTGCTCGTCTCCACATCGACTTCCTGGAATATACTCTCCATCAACCAACCGACCCCGGTTTTGATGTTCCAGGGGGTCATGTCGAATTGGCGCTGCTGATACACGGTCATCAGGGCAGTTTTGCCATCACCAACAGGCCGGAATTCATGCATATCGCTCGAAGCCATTCCCCCGCCGGGCTGCACAGATCGTACGATGCGGTACTGTTTGTCGAGGATCACGCCATGACCGCGACAATAGCCCTTCTGTTGGTTGCCCTGGAAGAAACAGAGGTGGTCGGCGCCCTGATATTTGCAGACGTGCATGCCATGGGCATTTCCAGGTCCCGAGTTACCCCAGCCGCTCCATACGAGTTCCTAAATTCCCGTCAGTTTTCTCCACCTTTGTCGCGGGGGGCCAATATGCGGCGTACTCCATCATTATCGAAGATATACGGGCCCGGATTCTTAGCCTCGTAGGGCGTGATAAAGTAGTACCCGGGACTCAGCTTCTGGGGACTGCTTTTTTCGATTGTAAAGACGGGAGGGTAGATGTCCGGTCTCTGCGCGAAAGAAGTGCCGAGGGTCAGTAAAAGAACAGTAACATGAATTGAGGACCGAAAGCGCAAAGGGCAGGGAGAGAAGGGCCAGATCCCAACGCACCGACTTGTAAAAGGTGGTATCCTCAGCGTTCGCGCCGGAGATCGCGCAGAGCCAGAGCGCCACGCCCAGTAGGACGAGTGCCGCGGGACCGAGCGGCCTCACGGCGGAGGAAAAGACGACGGCGACCATGGATCCTCCTTCTTCAGATCATCGCAGAGAGGATGGGGATAGGTGCAGGAGGTGTTTAAGGGGGAAGCAGACACCAACATCGAAAAACTGGGACATAGGGGAATGATCGGCGAGCACGGAGAGGGAGAGATGGGAGCGAGTACGGAAACTCGCCCCTTCATTCTAATTGGCCAGGAATCCGACGGGGGGGAGTCAGCGGCTATTGGTTCATCCTGGATCGTATACATGCATGGTCAATGTATTTCTAGGAAACGATCCAGACTAACTACAGTTGCTGGATTGAATATCCAACTTGTCAGGCGAAGGTTTCCCAGTGTTCAACCTTCGGGGTTGTGCGAGCGATCGGTAAGGTTCCCCAGGGGTGGCCCAATACAACTCACTATACGGTAATGGTATTTCGCTAGGGGCCGCGTCAGTCCGTGAGGAGGCAGAATTCGAGATCGATCTAGTCTACTATACAACGAGACAGTAGGATGAGTAGCTTGAAGAATATTCGAATAATCTCACACCCATAAAATACCGGATCCTGCCAGGCGAACACCTACCACGGTTGCGCCCGTCGCACCGATACCCATCTCCGGCGACCGCCATGTGCTGCACGGACCCAAGTCATTGAATCATCTTTCGCCCAGGGTAACATTATTCAGATCTCTGACTCGTACTTACCAGAGATAGTGATGTATACGAATATCATAATCGCAGGGATCATGAAGTATTCAGGCCGAACACCAAATACATTGCTATCGCGATACATTGATAATTACCTGGGCGTACAGGTCAAGTCCATGTCCAATAATCAATTATACTCAGCCATGAAACGCATCCCCGACATGAACGGAGACACACCTAATCTAGCACGGACCCCAAGTGGGGTTTACAGGAACTAGTAGTGGAGGGGAAACGTCAAACAAGAATACGTACAGAACGGCCCCCTAGTAGCAGTGGTGTACGAGGCGTTCTGTTCGAATCACTTCACCTTTTCAGCATTTCGTCAAAGGCCACCCGCTCTAGGGCCCCCAAGGCATTTAGCACAGCCGCCATACCGGCAGAGATAAAAAAAGAATTCTCCAGCAGATGCACAGACGCCACTAACGACAGCCAAGGCGCTAGGGTGGCCAAGCATCTGGTTTGGTGGCTTGAGTACCGTACGAGTACGAAGTAGATTTGGGGTAAATCATCCGATTCCTGATGGCATCTACTCCGAGACAAGATATATGCTTCCAAAAGAACAAAATAGGTATACTGTACTATCTTCATTTTCATGCTCATCTCACAACTCTCACTCCATGTGCGCCTGGGCCGGGACGAACGGGGTCCGTTTGTACCAGGCTGGATCAGATCCAGCCAGCAGGAAGCGGCCACTTTGCCTCCGGCGATGCACAACGTATATCTTTTTGGGATGATCCAACAAACAAACAGTCCTTCCTGATGTAATGATGCCTTCCATGGCACAAACCAGAACAGTGTTCCCGAGCAAAAAGGAAATAATTGCAAAGAGAGAAATGCCAACACACACAAAAGATATATACTGAAATAAAAAAGTAACAGAAAAAAAGAAAAAAGGGGATATTAGAAGTAAAAGTATGGCGAGGTTGCAGTTCAATGCAGACAGAAGAAAAAGATCAAAGCAGTGGGCGCCCGCGCCTCACTTGAAGGAGTGAATGATTTAGCGGGAGAAGCGCTTGAAGGCCATGGTGGCAGCCAGGCCGGTGGCCAGCAGGGCACCACCCATGGTGAAGGCCTGGAGGGCGGCGTTCATCATCTGGCGGCGGTTGCGGGTGGAGCAGCGCTTGTAGAAATCGGCCATGTCGTTGCCACGGGGGAAGGGGTGGTCCGGGACCTCCTCCTCCAAGAAATCGCAGAGCGGAGCCCAGCCGTCGTTGATGTTGTACTCCAGCAGGCGCTCGGGGGGCACGAGGCTGCGGACCTCAGCGACGTGGTCGTTGTAGACCTCCTTGCCCTTGCCGGGGAAGTCACCGCGGAAGAAGGTGTCGAAGAACTTGTTCAGCATGGGGTAGTACATGCCGGCGGCCCAGGAGAAGTTGGAAACGAATTTGTGCTCCGGGTCGGACACGCGCCAGTGGACGGTCTTCATGACGGAGGCGTGCCACGGGTCGACGTCGCGGGTGGTCAGGATGACCTTGGCGTTGGGGTAGGCCTCGATCAGCTCCTTTGCAAAGGCGCAGGCGGGCCAGTCGCACACGGCCTGGCAGTCACCCAGCAGCTGGTCCCACTCCTTCCGGCCGAACTCGCCCACGCCGTCGTACTTGGCATTGAGGGCATCGTGCCACATCAGGCAGTCGGGCGGGTTCTCAACCGAGGCGCACATCATGTGGTAGCACTTGGTGTATCCGAGGCGCTCCAGAGCCTTGCGGAGAGCTAGAAAGAGATCAGTCAGGATGAATGCTCTTCCATTTTCGGTTTTACAGAGCAGAACTCACAGGCAGTTCCCGTGCGGCCAACACCCAGAGCCAGCACCTTCATGGGCACCGTCCGGTGGCACTTGCGACGGTCGATGCATGTGTCTTCGGTGAAAATGTCAGTGGCGGGCTGAGGAGCCAGGTTATCGGACAGCATCATCGACATTGTGATTGGATTGATATGCTAGATATAGGGATTGTAAAGAGTGTATAGGATGAATTGGAAAGAGATAAGGGAGGAAAAGGGAACCAAAAAAGTTATCGAAAGGGGGGGGAGGTTTTTAAGCCGGGACGATCTTGGGGGTCGATAAGTTAAGGGGGCGCGGACAGGAGAAGGTATGTCTGTTCCAGCGCCCCAATAATAACCGGTGTCGAGAGTGGCGATGTTTCCACTCTGCCTTGGCCCGGGTGGACTGCCAATCCTTACCTCCCTGGATTCAGCCTTTTTTTAACCCAAACCACTCTTTCTGCTGCGGCGAGGCAAATCATGTTGCTGGCCCCCAAAGTTGGCTTTCTGATCTCCCTGCTTCTTCAGCGATCAAACCCGCCACCTGTGAGGGCCAGAGAACGCGTTTCAAAAGGAGACGTCACGGCTGACGTACATTACGGAAGGCCAGGGGCGGAGCCTGTCTGTCTGTATGGTATGTATGGTATGGCTGTATGTATCGTATGTATCGTATTGCCAAGACTCAGCCGCGTAATGATTTTGACTCTGAGTGGCCGATTTGCGGCAGGAACACGCGTAGTGCTGAAAGACTCCCGGACGGTATTGCAGCAAGCCGATTTGTCGACTTGTCAGTGAGAGTCGCAGTACTAGCCATCGTACAACTGTTGCATGCCGAATGCGCATCGACGGTTATCACACACGTTCCCTCTTCTGCTCATGAAACTCCGTCGGTGATCGTCCGATTCATGGCTAATGAGTGGCTGTCTGTCCGCCGGAGAAATCCAAAAAAATCCAAAATGGTCAAAACGCCCCGGTCGGTCCACCGACCCAATCCCACAGATTGATTGAACAGTGGGGTCCCCTGTTGCTGGGTCTCGACCGTGCCGGATTCGTCCATGGAAAATTGCCAAGAGAAGCAATTAAACCCCCTTTCAGCCGGTGAGATCGTCAAAGTGAAAATCTGGTCAGGTACGAGGCGCCACCTGGTTGATGGAGTCCAGACACGAGGGGGATGAATATCTCTTGCCCCTTTGGGGTTGAGGGGCTTGAAGGCTTGAAGGCAATTCTCGTCATGCTCGTCAGGGGCCGGAGCGCATGTATTGGATTGGGCGGAGTGTATCTATGTGTGGTGTTGTGACGGGTGAGAAGGACCATCAGCGTAGGGTCACTTGTGGGTGTCGAGTGGCACTGGCACTGGAGGTGGTGGTGGAAGGAGGATGTATGGCAGGGAAGAAAGTAAGTAAACGTGAGGCTGTTGTTTCAAGGGAGTGAGTTGGATGTTGTTTGGTGATGCTGGTATAGAGTCATCATGAGGTAGTCAGTAGTTAGTGAGTTCGAATCCATCATTCTGGCACACAGATATTAAAAGAATGAAAAGGCACACGAGAAATAGAAGAATGTGTCCGTCTTTTCAGTCGAAGAGAAAAAAAATCACCACCGACAGCAGGAGCGTGGTAGGCACTCCTTAAATGTGCCATGCCAAGCCCGCGTGCTCACCTTCGCCATCGATGTCGCGATCACCTCCATCTCCGCCGGACCAGGGTCGAGGTTCAATTAAAGATTAATCTTATCTGAGCTTAACAGGCCGAAGAAAAGACATGGCCCGTGGTATGGTTATGCTGGTGCCTGTCCCTCCCGCCGCCTCTACGGCAGTGATTGTCGGCAGTTGGGGGCTACTGTACGACAGACCCGGACGTCCAGGGCGGACAAGAAGAATCAAAAAGGGAAAAGCTTGGCATAGGACCCTGGATTGGGCGGTGATCTCGACATTGAGCCAAGGAATGATGGCATCTCATCTGGAGCAAGTGCAATTTCTTTTTTTCCCCCATGTACACAGACAAACAATAGATATCCCCTGAACCCGGAACGCCATGCAATGGATGGATGACTGGAACAACGGCAATGTTCTAGGCCCGCCATTATAGTAGTAGCAGTGATAGTGAAGCTGACAGGAATCAAATCACTCTAGCTTATCCAAATGTTCTAGCCGGGTCAGAACGACCTGCTTGCTCGTCTCTTCAATCTCGCCCGCGAGAAAGACCTCGTCCAGAATGGCGTAGACCTGGATGAGAGTTAGTACATCCAAGAGAATATGTGAAGCCCGAGCGAACACACCTTGTAGAAATTAAACACCAAGTCCAGCTCACACACATTCCCAAAGAACTGGTCCAGCACCTCGACAAAGAAATGGATGGCCTCCAGGTATGCCAGCTCGTTGTCGTTGGCGTCCACGCAGACGCAGAAGAATAGTCCCGCGTACCGGCGGTAGACGATCTTGGTGCTGCGGCGGAATTCGACAAAGTTGGACTGGTATTTCTGGTCTCGTGGTGCGACCAGGCGGTGGACCTGAGTAGGTGTTAGTGTGGGTGTCTGCAGTGAGGAAGTGGGCTTGGGCGTGGTGGTGGAGGAGGAGGAGAGGGTGGTTGTGGTGATGACGGGTGGAACGGACCTCGCCTTTGAGCTTTACTTTCTCCTCATCCTGCCGCTGCGGTCAGTACGATTGTCTCTTCGAGGGGTCCAGATGGACACTCACGCTGTACGGCGCATACCACTTCGCCAGTCGAGTCTTCCCCCTTTTACCGGCATTAGTATGGACTCGAAATATGTCCTGGGGATACTCACTGGCGGTTCTGGACCAGGATAAATGAAAGAACCATCGCGATAGAGATCACCTGGCCGGCATCTGTCAAGCTCGGGGAGTTGCAGAGTGTCGCCGTTATCAGCAAGAGCTCCCCCTCGCATACTGCCGAGGCTCACCGCCTTTGTCGACAGTGTATCCTGAGAGAACAGTAGAGGGTGTAGTTAGTCTGCTGGAATTATTCTTGTTATTGCGCTGTTCCTGTGGGCAGAACGTTTTAGGATCGTATAGGAATGTATTTAGGTAACCAATATGTAATTGTGGTGAATATGTAGCGCAATATATAGACATTCATAAGGCATTGAATTCGTCAGACCCGAACACATGTGCCAAAGACACGCACACAGACCCAAAACTCCATTGCTCAAAGGGGATAAAGCCCTGCAAAAGGCTGGGGTGTAGCCATGGCCCGGCACGATCAATCGTTGGTGGCAGTGGTGGACGTGCTCAGTCGGTTGAAGAACTTGGTCAACCGAGACTAAACAGATCAACAATTAGCATTCATCCAGCCAGACTGAAAGTCCAATAGAAGCAAACTCACAGCAACACTCCGCGGGGTCCCTGGGGATCCCGGCTCACTGGGCGGCTCATTCTTCTCACTCCCGTAACTAACATCATCAAACTCATCCTCCTCCTCTTCCTCCTCGGAAGGAGGATACCAGCGCTCCGGATCCCCATTATAAACCAAGTGCCAACCAATCTTCTCACCAGGCGCAATACGATCCCTCAATTCCTCCAACGCAGCTGTCTGGTCCTTCGTCAAGCCCGAGCCCTGCTCAACAGCATCCTCAATATTCTGACCAGGCCCTATCCCCGCGGGGATCTCGCCGCCGTCAGGGATGGTCAGCACGCGTGCGCCGACGTATGCATAGTCCTGGCTGACGGTGTTGCTGGTCTCATCGGCGGGATCGTAGTACTCGATGAAGCGCAGCTCCGGCAGGCGAGGCATCAGGTCAGCCTGTGTTTTATTGAACGATTCGAGGAGGAGTTCCGTCGTCAGCGGTTGCTGGAGGTATTCGGCTGCCGCTTCTTCCAGGTTGTGTAGCACGATGTACACGCGGATACCGGTAAACCCTGCGCGGGGCCAGCGGAAGCCGTGGAGCATGTAGACGGGCATTGTGGTGGTGGAGGGAGAGGATGAGAGGCAAGGGTAGAGAGCAATCGTGGGTGGTGTGCGGAAAGGGTGTAGGAGTCAAGTCATTCCGACATGGCTGGGGTTGACAAGGGTTGGTGATACATCGAATTCGATCGGATTGACGTTTGGCCCGAGCTCGACTAGTTGATCCACTAACCACCGAGATCAATTGGATTACTATACAAACAATAGTAACTAGTTAATTGTTGAGGGTATTTTGATTTTATTATCTAGCATCACAACTCCTGTGAGATCATCACAAACTATGCCCATACCCCTTCTGATAGCTCGCATCAAACGTCCCCTGATCCACCGCGTACGTTCGAATATAGTCCCTCTCCAGATCGTGCGTCCGGCGCCCCAGCAGCACAAGACTATGCAACGGTGCCCCCATCTCCACCTGCGACAATTCCTGTAGTGTCCCAACAACCATTTTCTGGTCCGGCGCGCCCACGCGTGCCGCCCCGACCGCCAGACTGTCCGGCCCGTACACACCCTCTTTGCGCTCCTCCTCCGTCTCCAGCATCTGCGCCGCGCACTGCGCAACAGTCATGTATCGCGGCGGCTCAAAGATGCGCCGCCCACGCGCGAGGTTCTCGAGCGACTGCTCCTTCACCTTGATATCCAGCAAGACCAGGGTGTGCAGGCCCATCTGCACGTTCTCCTTGACACGGTCGTAGAAAGAGGATGGTTTCCAGGTTTCGGTGAAAAAAACCATGCTCACGGTTTGGCCGAAGTTGTACAGCTGCAGGCCGGTGCAGCCGATGCCGGACATGATGGAGGCGTTGGGCACGACGCGGGTTTCGATACCTAGTTCGCGGGCGCGGAGGACGAGGTCGGTGTGTGTTGTTGCTCTGGATATGGATCAGTATGGGGCCGGTCAATTGGAGAGCAGAGAGAGAGAGAGAGAGAGAGAGAGAGAAAGAAAAGCATACCCGAATGGATCGCCGACCACTAGGAATACCACATCCTTTTGGTCTGCGCCGGCCAAGATGTCATCGCTGCCGCTCTCTACCAGTTCACGGTCGGCCTCAATCACTGGGCGGCCATAGAACGCTTCCTACTGGCCATTGGGCATTAGATATCGGGAGTTGTATAACAAGATCAAGAACACTCACGAGCTTGGCCTTGTCGACCAGCAGAATACTGGTGTATGCTTCGAGGTAGACTCGCTCGGCCTTCTTGACAATCTCCAGTCCGCGGACTGTGATGTCGGTCTCATCTGCAAGACCCAGGCCTACCAAGTGCAACATATTGGCAGAATTGAGGGAATAGAGAGAACATGAAAATCAAGTGTAGGAGAGAACGAATCGGGCGGGACGCGGAACAACCTTCTCCCGGCTATCTGGATCTCCCTATCTGCGGCCATCTGTCGCGAGGTACTTCACATCGTCAGTTTGGTGCTGTGGAATGTGTCGCGAGAGGTTGTTGGTTCCCTACGCTGATTAATTGTCGCGGCGCACTGGTGTCATTCTCTCTGCTCTTCTCTCTTCCCCTTCTCCCTACCATTGACCCTCCACCGCCATCATGAGCTCAGATCGTGCGCCAAAGTATCGGCAGGAGATCCAACAGGTGAGTGCTCTCTACCCTCCTCTGTGTCGTCAGTGCGTCAGTGTCTGGATGTCCTCCTGGTCTCGCAAATAAAATGCCTGGACCATGACTGGTGTGGACGAATCTCGCGCAGGCACCTGGTGCCAGGGCATTGCCTGCTATGCCTTCTCAATGAGCTGGTGCATCTTTTCATGCGGTGCTGCTTCGGGAATAGCCAAACAGAGAGTGTCTTGTTAGGCCTTCTGCTATCTCGTCTTGCTGCATGCCCAACCTGCTTCCCTCTCATCCTTTCTATCCGCTTCACAACCGATCACACCTCTCTCTTCACGCACCCCGTTCATTCTTAACTCTCTGCTTCTTATCCTGTATCCTTTGCACCATGTATGTGATGGTCCAGAAACCGGTCAAGAAGAAACACTGCTCGGAAACTCTCTCTGCGAGCTCGAGCTTCGAGATCCTGCCCACCGAGTCTGAGGTCACAGACACCGGCTCTCCGACAGAGAGTGATCGCGAGATCATGAAGGCTGCTTGGCGTTTCATGAGGGATTACTTCCCGGGAGTTGAGCCTGATCTTGAGGATGAGAAAGATGTCCCCTACGAGGCCGACGAGGAGTCTGGTGATGAAGGTGTCCTGCCCTGGCACGAACAGCCACCTACCCCGGAGCAGGTCTACTACCTGTCCGAGTCTCCTTCTACTGCCTCTACCAAGAGCGAACCGGGCTCTGATGACAATGCTCCTACCCCAGGAGATTTTGGCCAAGCTGCTTCGTCCCATGAATATGCGTTTGCCGAGGAGGCAGAGGAAGAAAAGGAAGACGATGAAAGCTCCGATGACGACGAACCAACTCACATGGACGGAGATTCCAACGACAACGGCGACTCTTCTGACGACCAGGCTGGCTCAGGCCTTGGTGGAAATGCGGCGATCCCAAAGGGAGACCTCCAGCACGATGCTCCTGCCGCTGACCAGGCTGGTTCGAACCGCGATGGAAAGTCAGCAGGTCCAAAGGGTGGACAACCCAAGCCTCTCAAAGCAGTTGGCCTCATCCTCACGCCTTGTTTGACTAACCTGCTTCTGAGTCGCAACCCGGGCTATGGAGATGAGAGCGAGTTCGCTGCTTCCGAGAATTTCAACGTCGACCATGAATCGTCTGGTTCAGATACCGATTCCCAGGATTCTAAGGACACCCAGGAGGACATCCACACTGACGACAAGACTGACACTGAAAGCTTCTTCAAGGAAATGCTTGCTGATTTGATTCAAAAGATGATGTTTGTTTCTGGTGAAACTGCCGAGCCGTCCGCCGAAACCACCACCCTGATTGAAGAAATCACTCGCCAGCAGGTCATCGAGATTGTAAGAATGCCCCACCCCATTCTTGTATGTTCTGCGCTAACCCACTCACAGCTGAGCCGCAGCACCCAGCTTGCTACCCGTCGTGGCGTGCGCTCAATCTCCACTGACGATCTCATCTTTCTGATTCGCCACGACAAGGCCAAAGTCTCGCGCCTGCGCACTTTCTTGTCCTGGAAGGATGTCCGCAAGAACGTCAAGGATTCAGATGACAAGGGCGGTGGCGATGCTGCCGACTTCGCAGCTGCTGATGACACCATTGCTGGCGGCGTTGCCGGTCCTCAGGATATGGCAGCCAAGCCTAAGAACAAGCGTGCCAAGGTCGGCCTTGCGTGGGATGTTAATTCCTTCTACTCCATCCAGGTCCCAGAGCGTGAGGACGAGGAAGACGAGGAAGAGGAAGAACAGAACTACGCAACCCTGCAGCGCCTTGCAGCTGCCGACGAACGCACCAAGTACATGACTAGGGAGGAGTACGTCTTCTGGTCTGAGTGCCGCCAGGCCTCCTTCACCTACCGCAAGAGCAAGCGTTTCCGCGAGTGGGCCGGCTTCGGCATCGTGACTGAGTCCAAGCCGAATGACGACATCGTCGACATCTTAGGTTTCCTCACCTTTGAGATTGTCCAGACCCTGACCGAGGAGGCTCTGAAGGTGAAAGAGCGTGAGGATCATGAGAAGAACCGTGGTGGTGGTGACAGCGAGAACTCTAAGAAACGCAAGCGCGAGACCGGTCTCTTCGATCCGCCTGAGGAGGGCCGCACTCCCATCGAGCCTCGCCACGTCCGTGAGGCCTATCGCAAGCTTCAGGCGACTCCGCAGAAGCAGGTCGCCATGCTGCTTCACAATGGTCGGGTGCCAGCTCGTCTGCCTCTTAGACTGGTGAGTTTTTTATTTTCTCATGTCATCTACTTTCCCTTGCTTACTGACATTGCTACAGATCTAAGGTGCGTTTTCTTTTTTATCTTATCAATTGTTTAAAGAGGTCTGGCGTTTGAGCGATATGAATTCAACGATACCCATGGTCCAAGGGGGGTTCATTCTACTGCGATTGAGGTGCATTGCTTTTACTGGTGACTGATGGGGAAGGGAAGGGGGAGGTTCTGCACATGTTTGGAGTATCAGACTGGGCACATACGTTACGGGGGACAAATCCGGTATTCTTTTTGTTTTCGATATCAGAATCCAAGTCTTGTTCATTTTTATTTTAATAAACCCCATTCATTCAAGAACAACCGATAAATGATTCTTCATCCATCTCAATGGCTCCTCCTCCACTCCGCAAACTCCTCCTCCGTAATCTCCCTAATAGAATTAATACTGGGCACATCCCCTTTAACAGCCCCCTTGACCGTGTCAACCGCACGCCCCAAAATCCCCTTCTTCGACGCAACATGCGTCGCCAGCTTCGCCTCCAACCGAATGACACCAATGCGTGGATCCGTGGGCCCGCCATCGTGCACCCCGTCGCCCATGTCGCCCAGCCAAGCCTTTAAAGCGGGCGAGTAGTATTTTTCCACAGTTTCTGGGTCGGCGAGCACGCTGGCGGATCCGGAGATGCTGGCCCAGCCGCCGCTGATCGGGTCGAGGAAGGACATGTTTGTTTCTCTGGGGTGAGTTGTGAGGTCCATTGTTTTGCCGGAGAAGAGGTTTGTGTGGAAGATTAGGTCGATGCCGCCATGTTCCTGGAGGGCGAATACTGGTTAGCTCTTGTGGGAATGACAAGAGGGATCACTCAAGTATGGAGGAGATATCACTATACCTTTGCGGCTAGTGCCATGCAGCGCGAGACCAAAAGATCCCCATTCGACTGCATGGTAGTCAACATGCCGAACTTGATTTCCGAGATGAAGTTGACTAGGTCCTCAATCTTCTGGGTCATTGGTGGATTCTCGAAGTTCTGTGTTTTGTAGGGATCCACGGAGTGCTGGCCCGTGGAGGTGTTGATGGTTGAGTCGGCGGACATGTTGACGGTGGCGAAAATATGTAAAAAAGGTAGCGCAGTTCACTCGACAAATATACAGGTGTAGGTTGGTATATAGTTGTATGTAGTAGTTTTCCTGCTAGCTGAAGTGGTCGCATCGGTATTCTTATGCAGCTGCTGGCGTCGATGTGACGTCAGTGATAGATCAGGTTCTCAGCTATCAACAACGGGTCATTGCTGCCCTTGCGTGATGTGCTGATCTTATTGATGACGAAGTATAGATCTGGCCGTTGCATCTTGCAGTTAGTTGACATCTTCATTGAAAGTTACATACATATCATGGTAGAGCTTACTATTGCGCTGGGTGTCCCAGTGACCAGCTCACAGGAGGATCAATAATGGTACACACATAGATAGTAATACCTCGAGGGCACTGGATTCTGGAACATAAAATAGTTCCCAGCGATCCAGCCTTGTCTCAGTGAGCAGTTGGACAATATCCCCCTAATTGGCCATCCTGACAGGGACAAAAAGTCAGCAATTCGTTCATACGAAGAAGGACTATTCCACTCTGACCTCTGTAGAAGACACCACAAAATATGTAGTAGAGCAGACATAACCCCGATAACAAGTGCTGTGAAAACCACAAGTATATATCAGCCTCATACATATCCCCAACAACAACAACCCCCAGATCAGTGAACCACGAACCTTCATACCCCCACGCCCTTGAAAGCCTCGCAACCCTCCTCGAAGCCTTCCCTTGAAACCACCAAACAGGCACCTGCCGACAAGTCCTCCCCTCAACAACCCAACACCCACCCCTGGTGGCGCGACATTCCAAATGGCGGCGGCGGCGGTCCATGATCCTCCGAATGCGCCAATTACAGAACGACTCGTCTGTGCGGAATGAGCATTGCTCCATGGGGCACTCTAGTTTGCGCTCGAAGCGCTCGACCAGCCAGTTGACTTTTAAATGCACGCCTGTGTAGACTAGGCGGTAGAAATGGCGGGAGGTGTGTTTTAGGGCCAGTGCGTCTGGGTAGGAGAGGTAGGTGGTTATTTGGATGTGAAGTTCGGATGGGAGGGTTGTTAGGCTTTGCTTTGCGAGGGTCGGAAGTTGATTTGGAGGTTGGGCCATATTGAATTGTAGTGATGCTGCCTGGAGGTGTTGTTGGGGGGTGCTTGATATATGTATGGAGGGCTGGAAAGTCGGTGCCTGGTTTGCTTGTCCGGGTGAGACTGCCACGATGACTGTAGTATCTAGGATTGTAGAATTCCAGCAATAATGGAAAGTATGTCTGCTCTTTCGATACTTCTCTAACGGCCTATTTAGTTATGTACTGTGTGACGGGACCATCACCTTGAGGCTGAGCAGACCCCAGCCCCGACGCCACAACATCAGCACTAGCTAACTATTCCTTCCCAGCATAGGGAGCAAAAAAATGATAAAACCAAAAGAAATATGTTAATGATCGTTCGCACCGTCATTTACAATAATATAGCTATAGCTCCTCGTACATACAGCCCTCATTGCTGGCGCTTACTAACCCACCCGCCACTCGAGCTCCAAGTTCCTTTCCACTGTATCTTTTCCTGTCCAGACAACCACCAACACCAACACGTTCTCCAAATCCCTGTTCGCAAAGCCATAAAAACCTATCAAAATGCCCAAACCCACAGCCGGCGACTCCGACGTCTCCTTTCGCAAAACATGGGACAAAGAAGAATACGCGCAAAAAGCCGCCGACGAAGAAGCACGTCGCAAAGCCGAAGGCAAAGCACGATACGAAGCAAAGCTACTGGGCAAGAAATACCATGCCCCAGTTGACTACAGCGCATTGGACGCAACGAGCGCACGCAGTCAGCGACTGGATGTGTACTCGCAAGTGGGCAAGACGACGATCGTGGCGGCGGGTTCAGCAGTGGGCAAGAAAGGACGAGGCGCCGGGTTCTACTGCAAGGACTGCGACCTGACGTTCAAAGATAACCTGCAGCTTGTGGAGCACTACAATAGCAAGCAGCATTTGATTGCGACGGGGCAGAGTGGCGAGGTTGCCCGGGCGTCTGTTGCGGAGGTAAGGGAGAGGTTGAGGATGTTGGCGCATCGGAAGAGGGTGAGGGAGGATGAGGAGAGGAGGGCGTGGCAGCTTGATCTTGGGGAGAGGTTGAGGGAGCGTGAGGAGCTGGAGTCGAAGGAGAGGGAGGAGAAGAGGCGGAAGAGGAATGAGAAGCGAAGGAAGGGTGGGGAGAACGGCGTGAAGCAGGAGGATGAATGGGAGGGACGGTTGGGCATCATTGCCTGATTTTTATGGGGGAAAACAAGTCATAGATACCCGGCGTTTTTGGAAGGGCTTTACTACATATTAGGTGTTTTGCGTGAAAGGCATTCGCATTGCAGATTGAAATAACATCATATCAGATTAACGCCGATGTCCATATTCCCCAAAAGAACTAACGCCTGGCAATGTTGCAACTCAGTCAATGCACTCGATCGCGTCCAGCCGCCGCATGGCGCGTCCACCTTCTCTTTCGAACACGCCGACGAGCCTCTCGCATTCTCGCTTCAGCCGTTCCTCGCCATTCTTTGCATTCCACATAATCCATTCCTCCACTGTCATCTTCTTCTCCGGGCTGGTCAGCCCTGCTTTCGCATCTTTGAGAACTCCGGCCAGATCGGCGTTCTCTTTGTCGCTGGCTTCGCCGGAGAGGATGAAGTCAACGTCCACCGGAGTCCACGGGTGTACCGGCTTGGCGGAGATTTTGCGTTTTGATGGCAAAGGCGTGGTAGCTGCCAGCGGGGTGTGGTCCTTTGGTGGCGATACGACAATTGGTGGACGTGATGCTGAAGGCCGCGCAGATGGTGGCCGATTCTCGGCATCTGAAGACTGCGGTGACATTGATGGGGTGCTTTGATGAGCTGCCGGGGGAGGCGAGGCAACTTTCTCAGCCTTACGCTGCTCAGGAATATTATGACGCGACTGGGAACTAGTCAGGGACTCGGCGAGGTGCTTCTCGGCTGGGATATCGCTATATCTCTTCGTGGTCTTTGCCGGCACATCGGATGTTGTCCAGTGTGAGCGTTGGGGCGTTGGAGAAAGCTGCTGCGGAGGCGCTACCATCTCGACTTGGTCAGACATATCCTCTGGAGTCTGGAAGTTATCGTCATCGTCAACTTGGACGGGAGACTCGAGGACCTCCTCTGGCTCGACCGGCTCCTCATGGCGTGTTGTCTTCTTGTCAGATTTCTTGGACTTCTTCGCCGGGGCATCCTTCTTCTTGGTTCCCTTCTTCGACGCAGCCTTGTTGGCCGGTTCAGGTTCAGGCTCAGGTTCAGACTCTGGCTCTGGCCCCCGACTTGGCTCTGGGTGACGGTTGATAATTTCCACAGACACAAAAGACTCATGGCGGTCATGATCATCAGCAACAGACTTGGCACCGATTGACTCTCGCATATCTTCCGCCTTGGGCTTGGTTTTCTTGGTTCCCTTCTTTTTGGGGGCTTTCGCAGTCTTCGACTTGGCTGGTGATTCCTTGACCGGTGAGTCAATCTCCTCCAGTGCCACGGGCTCTTCGCGATCAGCATCTTCTTCCGTATCCTGCGCTTGCTGCTCGGTTTTTGTGGCGGCCTTGGATTTCTTGGTCGATTTTGTTTTCTTCAAAGTACGCGTCCCCGCGGGCTCCGGTTCTGGCTCAGCTGATTCCTGGTCGTCGGCTTCTAGACCTGCTTCGATGGCCGCCTCTATCTCCGAATCACGCGGCACTCGAGCTTTGGACGTTACTCGGGAAGCTGTAGAAACATCGGAAATCTTTCGACTCTTCGATGCATCCCCCTTCTTCGAGGCCTTCCGACCCTTTTTGGTCTCTTTTTCAGGGACAGGCTCATCCACTGGCTCAACATCCGGCATGGCGTAGTCATTGGTCTCGTATATTCTTGGTTGCGCGATGCTGCTGCTGCGTGTTTTCGTGGCACGTCGCTTTGCAGGAGGCTCCTCAGGCTTTGTGTCTTCCGGTTCTTCAATGCTGACAGGCTGCGCGTTCATCTCCTCGCTGGCTCGCTTCTTTCCACGAGTCGCTCGTTTTGGTTTCGTTTTCGGTGGCTCTGGTTGCGCAAGTTCGGTGCTCTCGACATCTATCGCCTCGACGGGTTCTTCTTTCTTGCTCTTCGTGCTCTTTCCTTTGCCCTTAGTAGACTTCTTGGTGGACTTGGATGATTTTGTGGTAGCTTGCGAAATGATGCTCTGGTCCATTGCGTCGTCGACATCCATCTCGGGCTCCTCAGCAGCAACTGTGGTAGCAACGGACTGTGTCGACAGCCGTGATATTTTCGAACCACGCGATTTCTTGGCTTTGGATGCCTTCCCTTTCTTGGTTGGGGGCTGGGCAAAGACGAAAAAGGAGCAATCCGAGGAGCGGCGGTGGTGTTCCTCACTGCATGACGGTTAGGAGTGATGCTCCAAGAAAGCGCTATGGGATACTTACAAAGGATCATCCTTGGGCTCCCAGCCGTCGAGAGACAGTTTACAGTAGACACAACTGGCCAAATCATTGCTTTCTTCTGTCGGGGCAAAGAACCACCCGCCTTGGACCATCTGTCGCGCCACGCGTTAGCATGAGCTGAGAGTGTGTTTGAGACAACTCTACCTTATCTGACTGACACACCCATCCTCGCTTTCCATCGTGAGGCCATGTCGAGCCAAAGGTGGCAAGTCGCGCTTGTGTGACGCGCTCGCCTGTCGGATCCTCGATCTCGGCGGGGTTGGAGCTGCGTTGTTGGATATCCATCATAATCGCCCATGCGCAATCCGGCGCATGCTTGAGATGCTCGTCAATCGGGTTATCCTCCTCTTCCCAGCCATCCAGTGCTCGGTGGCAGTGGAAACAGGTCGTGTTGTCGGGATTGGTCTCGTAGGGCTTATAGTAGAAACCCGCATGCGCCAACTAGGAATTCAGCAAGTCAGGGATTAGACAACAGTTGGAAAAACATTCTGAGCATACATCGGCGGGCGAGGGACTCTTGTGAGGCCATGCAATGCGCTTGGAGCCTTTTGTGGCGGACGATCTCCGCTTCTCAGGCTTCAGCACTATATCGAAGCTGGCCAGGCGGGCAGTGAAGGTATCCATTTCGGAGCCCATGATGTGGTGTCGAGAAAGGGACAGCTTGTCCCAATGCCGATAACTGAAAACAAGGCCGCGTCCTGGGGGTGGGAGGTCAAATGTGCCGGTTCAAACAAGCCCGTGGTGGTGTCTGTTTACTCGGTTGCCGGGCATGTCAACACACGCCCTCACGTGACGTGCACCGCATTACCTAAGCCAGCCCAAACAGGAAGGCATCTCGGAAGCACGTCAGAGGGAAGGAGCCAGTGCGACATTTGTTTCCTCCATTCTCGCCCACACATTGTCCCTGCCCACTGCCTGAACCAATCGCCGATGCTCTCTGGTCTGCTTCGTTGCTCGCGCCGTGCGCTCCGTCCCTCTTCCCGTTCCGAATTGCAGCCATGCGAGAAGTAGCAGTACGCACTTTAGATCACTTCTAGCGAGGCCAAGAATACTGACCATCCGTTCTTCTAGATGGTTGCTTATCGGAGCGCTGGCCCCGGCTCTCTCTCGCGCGTTCGGGTCAATCTTTCTTCATTTCCGCGGGTGTCCGCTTCAGCCCGCTCCTTTTCGACCGAATCCCGCCCGATCTTTCAGCATGGCCGTCCCGGGTTAGTGGGACACGGATTGTCTAGCAGCTCCAGGCTGTCCCTGTTATACGGATGTACGAGGACATCGTCGGCATCATTCTCGACCTCCCCATTACTAGCGGATAAGGATTGGGATCACAACCCGAACCTGTCGATCAGCAACTTCTCCGAGCTTCCGTCCAAGGATTTTGGCGTGAACCAGCACATGATAATCAACCAAGAATTCAAGGAAGCTCTGCGGCAGATTCTCTGGCAATTCCGAGCACCAATTCGCTATGCTTTTGCTTATGGATCCGGGGTCTTCCCACAATCCGGCAGTGCGAGTCCATCGACCCCCACACACCCGTCCGCCCCGGTAGCTATCCAGCAGATGCAACAAGGGTCTGGGAAAATGATTGATTTTATCTTTGGGGTCTCTTATTCCCAGCATTGGCACTCTTTGAACCTGGGCCAACACCGTGACCACTACTCCGGCTTGGGCTCGCTCGGCTCGTACGTGGTGTCGCAAGTGCAGGACCGCTTTGGGGCGGGGGTATATTTCAACACCCATATCACGGTCAACGGGACCTTGATCAAATATGGCGTGGTGAATCTGGACACGTTGTGTCGCGATCTCACTCAGTGGAATACCCTGTACCTTGCCGGTCGTCTGCACAAGCCGGTCAAGATCCTGCGGGACCACCCCAAGGTTCGGTTAGCCAACCAGATGAATCTCCTGTCTGCTCTGCGAGTGGCACTGCTGCTGCTCCCAGAGCGGTTCAGCGAGTTCGAGCTCTACAGCACCATTGCCGGGATCAGCTACAGGGGAGACCTGCGCATGGTCCTCCCGGCCGAAGATCCCAGTAAGGTGCGCAATATCGTGTCTGGTCAGATGGCGCACTTCCGGCGACTGTACGCGCCACTAATCACCAACCTCCCCAACGTCAACTTCCAGGACCCCCGCTGCAGCCAGAACGACTGGATCGATGATCCCGACGCCATCCTGGCCATGGCCCAGGACATGGACCCGGTCAGGCGCGGCAACATGGTCCGGCGTCTCCCTGAGTCGTTCCGCGAGAAACTATACTTCCAGTACCAGGGGCGCTATGCAATCCCGCGGGTGGAGTTCAACAAGATGATGGAGGAGAGCACCGACACCGAGCAAGAGGTCCGGCGGCCGCAGGGAGGCCCCTTTGAACAGCGCATTGCCAGCGACAGCAAGCTCCCGGAGGAGCTCTCGACGACCATCATGAAGACGATCCGGTGGCCCAGCACGGTGCAGACCATCAAGGGGCCGTTGACGGCGGGTATTGGCAAGAGCTGGACCTATATCAAGGAGAAGCGGGAGAAACACAAGAAGGCGCGCAGCAATGCCGCGGCAGCCAGCGAGCCGGAGAAGAAGGAGAAGAAGGAATGAGTAGTTAGGGTTTCATCTACATGTATAGGGTCATTGGGCATATGAGGGCGTTGTGATTTTGGCATGTACCAAGAGAATATCAGCATACATAAAACTTTTACTATAACAGTGCCTCTTTATTATTGCCTCCAGGGATCTCGTACCCGGAAAGGGTGTTCTACTCTATAGTTGTCCTGACTCATTCCACCTCCCATTATTCATTCCGCCCGATAAAACCATCTCCCCGCCACCCCACCAACTTTTTCCCTCGACCTTCCTTGACTATCCTGGCACATATATACCACTGCACAATGGCAGCACGAACATCACCCTTCGACTTGTCAAAATGTGCACGGCCGAATATCCTGCAATTGCAGCCCTACCGCTGCGCCAGAGAGTGTGTCCGCCCTGCTCCCCCGATACCGGTGGTCCGCGCTAATGAGTCAGTGACTACAAAGATGACGGGACGAACGTGCTCCTCGACGCCAACGAGAATGCCTACGGGCCCGGTCTGGCCTTGAATAGCGAGGGCGCATTGCAGGCAGATGGCGCGGGAGTCTCAACAGGCGCATCGAAGCCTGAGATCGATTTCCTGGGGTTGAACCGGTACCCGGATCCGTACGTACAAACCCTCAACAGAAGACAAGACCACATCCATCTGATTTTCCGTCAAGGCACCAAGTCGAATTGAAGCAGCTCTTCTGTAACCTTCGCAATACTCACCACCACACCCCCAAGACCCTCCAACCGGAGAACCTCTTCGTCGGCGTCGGATCGGACGAGGCTATCGATGCGCTGCTCCGGTGTTTCTGCGTGCCAGGCAAGGATAAGATCCTGACCTGTCCGCCCACATACGGCATGTATAGCGTGAGTGCGCAGGTCAATGACGTTGCGATCGTCAAGGTACCTCTCGACGCAGCCAATGGGTTCCATCTCCAGCCAGACAAGGTCAACGAAGCGCTCTCGGCAGACCCGTCCATCAAGCTGGCCTACATCTGCTCCCCCGGGAACCCGACGGCGAACCTGATCCGCAAGGAAGATATCCAGGCGGTGCTTGAGCATCCGACGTGGAACGGGGTGGTGGTCGTCGACGAGGCATACATCGATTTTGCCGACGAGGGCGCCAGCCTCGCCGAATGGGTTACGGAGTGGCCGAACCTGGTAGTGATGCAAACGCTCAGCAAAGCGTTCGGACTAGCCGGAATCCGACTTGGCGTGGCGTATAGTTCACCCGCGATCGCAAAGCTACTCAACAGCCTCAAAGCACCATACAACATCTCTAGCCCGACCAGCGCGCTTGCAACGGCCGCGCTGTCCGCGCCCAACATGGCCGTGATGCGCCACTACCGCACGCAGATCGTTGCCCAGCGCGAGCGGCTCCTGCGCGAGCTGCCGCTAATCCCTGGCGTGGGCCGGTTCCTTGGCGGGCACGCGGCCAACTTCCTACTCGTGCAAATCCTAGATAAAGATGGGTCGCCCAGTAACGTCACCGCGACGGCGACTTACGAGGCTATGGCGGAGAAGCGCGGCGTGGTCGTGCGCTTCCGGGGTAAGGAGCTGGGCTGTGAGGGTAGTCTTCGGATTACGGTCGGGACGGAGGAGGAGGTGACTACGTTTTTGCGTGAGTTGCGAGCTGTCTTGGCGGAATTGCATGCTAGCCAGGGGATTGAGTCTGTTCGGTGATGGTTATCATGATTCTGGTGATGAGGGTTTGGCCGGACCTGGCGAGTAATGATAGACATAGAGGGCAGGAGTCCGACGGGTCTCCTATCAATTCAGGATGCAACATACACTGGGGCGCAGCCATTCAGCAGTCAAGCCCGCGGGTGGGCCGTGCCGTATTGATCCTTGCTGATAGGGATCTTCCTACCAGCACACCGCAATCACGAGTGCCCAGGGACTGGACTTATCATTGCGCGATTAAAGCCCTAACGTCACTGGCTGGACTCGACCATGTTATCGTATAACTCTCTTTGCTTGTGCCCCGGGTCAGGCCGACCCCCTCTCGCGTGGCTGAACCTTCATTGTCATCTATCTCTCGTTGGATGATTACTCCCTTACATATACCCGATTACCTCTCTCTTCTCTCTATCACGAGGAATTCTCATCTTCCTCGCCCACGACCGACCCGAATCAGGCCCACGACAGCTAGCTATGTGAAGCACCGACCACCCGCCATGGCCGGCCTTAGCCTCTCCCCCAGCCCGCCCGCCAGCCAGACCCGCGAGCAGGTCAATCCGACCCTGATGATGAGCTGGTGGGCAACCGCCTTCTCACTCGCCATCATCGTCGTCCGGCTGTGCGGGCGCTACATCCGCATCGAACGCTTGTTTCCCGAGGACAAGGTCATGATGGCCAGCGTGATCCCGCTCGTCATCCGCATGGTGTTGGTGCATTTCGTGCTGCTCTATGGAACGAACAACACAACCACCGCGGGACTGTCGGCGGCCGATATCCATTCGCGACAGCTCGGCTCCAAGCTCGTTCTCGCAGCCCGCATCTTCTACGCCATCTTCATCTGGACGGCCAAACTGACCGTCTGCGAGTTCCTGAAGCGCGTTACGGGCTTGGTCTGGCGCCGGTCTGTCATGGTCTTCCTGCGCATCGTCCACTTCTTCCTCGCCTTGACCCTCGTGGCTGTCGTGTTCGCAACCCTCATCGAATGCCACCCCTTCGACCACTACTGGCAGGTCGTGCCCGACCCCGGACCCGCCTGTCGCGCCGGGTACGCGAATCTCATCACAATGGGAACCTGCGACGTGATCACCGACTTATTGCTCATCGCCTTTCCCGTGCCCATCGTCCTCATGGCGCATATGCCAATCAAGCGCAAGATCTCGCTCGTGCTCCTCTTCTGCCTCTCGTTGATCCTCGTCGGAATCACTTGCTACCGCGTGCCCTCCGTGATCGAACACCGCGGCTCGCAGCAGTATCGCTCGCTGATCGCCTCGTTCGAAATCCTGGGCGCAACAGCCGTCTCCAACTGCCTCGTCATCGGCTCCTTCGTCCGTGACCGCGGCGTCAAGAAACCAAAGTATAAGCCTCAGCAGGGGTCCGCCTCTGTCACCGAGAGCATGGATCACTCCTCCGTCCGCAGAAACACCGTCATGCATAACCAATGGGGCAGCGACTCCGACCTCGCAGCGGACCTGGGCATCCGCCTCCATCCAAAACTCTACTCGTCGGCTTCATCCGCCCTGTCGGACCTGCCCATCCCCCGCCCTGCGCCGCCCGTCGCCGCTTATGCAATGGCGCGCACGGGGACAATCGACCATACCTGGTCCTTTGCGGCAGATAGCCAGAAGAGCAGACCCTCCGCCGACTACCAGGACAACGACCACGACGGTTACTGCGCTGTCTCTCCAAAGGAATACATCCCCACCATCCAGTCCCCGCGCGAGAAACCCCTTCCCCAGCCGTCCTCAACCTCAACCCTCTCCTCCTCGCGTCGGTTATCTTTCTTCGATGTCGGTGGGCTATTAGATCCAACCCCACACTCGCCCGTCCGTCCACAGACCCTGGCGCCAGACCACGATCTCCTCGAGCCGCAGCAACGGTTCCGGCATGGAAGTCGTGCGTTTCTAGAAGATATTGGCGGCATTACACGTGTGGCTTCTTCGCCGCCTTCTGCTGTTGTTCCGCCCGCTGCTCCGGCTGTGGCTGCTACGCAATTCCCAGTTCATCCCTCTCAGCAGGTTCCTCCCCTTCACACCCACCCTTCTTCTCCTCTTGCGGCTAGCGAAACGGCCGCTGCTGGTGCGCTGCCGTTGCCGCCGTATCGGCCGCCCTCGGACATGTCGATTCGAGTGGGCGCTGAGTTGCAGGATGTTGGTGGGCTCTTGTCTGAGCATAGCGGCTCGAACAAGAGGGGGTGAGCATTTATTACATATGTTAATACGCCATGCGTGACGAATCTTCTTGTTCTTGTGTTTCTTTCTGCCGGGTGGGGTTTGGTTTGCTTAGGGGTTTAATTTCTGGTCTGGGAGTTTGTGTCCTGGGGTTTGTGTCTGGTATATCCCCGTGGCTTGTCTAATATTGGAGTTGGCTGGGTTGGAGTTGGTCTTCAACGGACATAGTAGTCTTGACTCTTGTCATATACACGACCTCACGACAGACACGAATTTTGAACATGTAACCAATTTTCAAAGACAAGAAAGCATCAGAGACATTTCCTCTAATTGATTGATTGATTGATAGCGACAATGGACATTACTATGTAGATCAGAAAAATCCTCATCCCCATGTCCCACAATGAATGTCGGAGACACGCTTCGCCGGTACGCCATGCTGCCCATAATACAGTATTTTCTTTCTTTTTGCTCCTGGTCGCGGTGGGTATCCATCTCTTTTTCTCCCTGAGGTATCATGTCATACGTGGGGTACGACTTCCACTCGAGCAGACGCAGACTCGACAAACCCTGCAGTAGAAATCCGATCCCCGTCCTAAATCACCCAGCGATAACTGGCATACCGCCCAGCCGTCTCACTCTTCCGAATAATCTTCACCACCTGCCCCCTCCGGAGACCCAGATACCTTGCCACAGGATCCGACACCTGTATGCGCGGCAATTGCGACTCCTTCAGGCGGTACCGCTCCAGCAGACGGGCCTTCTCCTCCGGACTGAGGAGCACATGCTTGGGGACCAGTTCGTGGCGGGTGATGTTGACCAGCAGATCCTGCTCCTGGAAGTGCTCGCAGATGCGGCCGGGGATGCCCGACAGTAAACGCACAGCCGAGGGCGAGATGGGCGTTTGCGTGATGAAGATGCCGGTGTGGTAGTTGTTCTCGTCGATGAAGTGGTTGAAGGTCCGCACTTGCTTGGTGCCCACGGCTGTCGAGTCGGGGCAGAAGTCTACGTAGATCAGGCCGCAGTCGGGCTGGGGGTCGGGGTTGGATTTGCTGGGGAGGGGTGTATATTTCTGTTTCATGAGCTCCGTGGGCCGCGCGGAGGTTTTCATCTTGTTGCGACTAGGACGGGGGCAGGGTGGATTAGCGGGTGCCTTTTGTTGCGTCTTCTTTGGATGGATGGGTGCATACTCAGGATATCCCAGTGGATCGGAGAATTTGTCCTTGAACTGGTCCAGTGTGATCTTCAGTTCACCCTCTGTGATTTCATAGCCCTGCGTGCCGAATCGCAATAGTCAGCTTTGATCAAGGGCAGTCGGTGGTTGTAGTGCCTACCCGGTCGACCAGCAGCTCCAGCACTGTCTTCCAGGTGCGCCAGAGACGGATCATCTCCGTATTGGCAGCATCTGCATTCTGCGACGCAATATCTCCATCCATGGTCGCGGTGGTGGAGGGTGGGTGTGAAGGGGGAAAAAGGTGAGCGGCAGGCGTGTTACAGAACAAAAATCGACTGGCGGGAACATTTAATTCTGCCCGTCCATTAGTTAAGCGGAGAACCAGGCCGAATCATCGAAAGGGGAATGGCCTCGCCGGTATTATTATTTTTCGCTGTCCCGTCTTCGTTTCTTTCCTCCCTGTGTTCCTTTCTTTATTTCTCTCTTCTTTTGAAATAATTTTTTGGGTTTCTTTCACAATGGCTGCTGTCGCTGCTGCTGATGTCCCTGCCTCAGAGGCTCGGGTCAAGCCGTCCAAGCCCGATGAGGAGGCCTACAAGGCCAGTCTCGCACAGGCAGAAAAGGAGCACACGGCTGCTCAGGAGAAGCTGGTATGATCATCCACTGTCACTGATGGTCTCATCATATTTTGAGCCATCAATTCCACTCCCATCACTCATGCCCTCACTCGGGACGGTGTGCCCTCGTGGTCGGGTGGCCGCAGTTTTTGCCCGGTCGAGTCAATGGCTAACAAATTCTTCTTAGGCCGCCGTCAAAGCCAAGCTGGAAGGTGCCAAACCCAACAACCAGGACTCCCCCGTCGCCAAGAAGCAGCAGGAACTCCGGACCGAACTGTCGGCGATCCGCCAGAAGCAACAGGGTTTCAAATCCTCGCGGTCCAGCACCCTGGAGAAGATCAATGCGATCGAGTCCACTCTGAAGGCCCGCATTGCGGAGCAGAACAACTCGCGCGGCAAGATGTCGTTCAAGAGCGTCGACGACATCGACCGGGAAATCGCCCGTCTGGAGAAGCAAGTCGACTCGGGCACCCTGCGGCTGGTGGACGAGCGCAAGGCCCTGTCGGACATCTCGAACATGCGCAAGCAGCGCAAGAGCTTTGCGGGACTGGATGAGGCCCAGAAGGGCATCAATGACCTCAAGGCCCAGATCGCCGAGCTCAAGAAGACCCTGGACAACCCGGAGTCCAAGGCCCTGAGCGACAAGTACACCGAGATCCAGAAGCAGCTGGATGCCATTAAGGCCGACCAGGACGGCGTGTTCAAGAACCTCAACTCGCTCCGCGATGAGCGCACCAAGCTGCGCAACGAGCAGCAGCAGAAGTTCGCGGCTATCCGCACCATCAAGGACAACTACTACAAAGCCCGCCGTGCCTACAAGGAGTACGAGGATGAGGCCTGGCGCGTTCGTCGTGAGCGCCAGAAGGCCGAGCGGGATGCCTTTGAGCGCGAGAAGCGCAAGAAGGTCGCTGATAAGAAGCTGGAGGAGGCCTCGCACCCGGCTTTCTCGGATGAGATCCTGACCGCGCACGGTCTGATCCGCCACTTCGACCCGGCGTACAACTTCTCCGCGCTCGGTCTGGATGACAAGAAGGACCAGGGCAGCAACTTCCGCGCCGAGGTCGGCCGCAAGGTGGACGACTCTGGTCTGAAGGGCGTGCGGGTTGTGCGCAAGGAGGAGCGCGAGGAGGACTACTTCGCCGGCACCGGCGGCAAGAAGGGCAAGAAGGGGAAGAAGGGTGGCGCCGCGGCTGCTGCTCCCGAGGCGGCCAAGTTCAACATGAATGTCGGCATCATCGAGGAGTTCGCCAAGGTCAAGGTCGATCCGCCCATGAACCAGGCCGACGTGCCCGCCGTCGTGGAGAAGCTTGCTGCGAAGATCCAGGAGTGGAAGAAGAACCAGGCCAGCAAGACTGAGGAGGTAATTAAGCCATTGTTTCCTACCCGCTTCCATTTTTGCGTTTGCTAATTCTATGCACAGAACATCAAGAAGGCCAAGGAGGAGATCACCCGCCTGGAGGAGGAAGAGGCCAAGATCGCCAGCGAGCCCAACGGCCGCGCCACCGATGATGCGAAGAAGCCCGCGGTCAAGAACGGCGTGAACGGTGCCCCGACGGCCGAGGCCGAGCTGGCGCAGGAGAAGGACGCGGTGGCTGATGCTGCGGAGGAACTGAAGAAGGCCTCGCTCGAGGACCAGGCATAGTCTGTCTATAGCATGGACACTCTGTATTTTCGTGTTTGCGCGCCTGTGCATTATTCCATATTCCGGATTGTCTCATACGTGGACCGTTGCGACTTAAAAAGTCTCGCCTCAGCGAATGTGTCATATTCCAATCTATAGCTTTCTTATCATCCTCCCAACCGACCTGCCTCTCGCAGTATAGAAATTGGTGCCTCAGGCACCAATTTTCAGGCACCAACTCTTACTTATCCGGATCCCCGGACTGCCCAGTTGACGCGTCACCTGCTGTCACTTCTCGGCGTTCTCGGCGCTTCCCGGTTTCACCTCTTGCCGCCCTTGCGTTTCTTCTCGAAACCTTCGATCTCTCACTCGCTTCCACCTCCTCTATTCTCTCGTATCATATATACCAGCTCCGAGCTCCAGCTGTGCAAGGACCACGCCTTGACGCCCCACAATTCTCGGATCTGCACGGCAGGATTGACAGCTTCGCTCGCAGCTCCACATCCTTTCTATAGCTATACCAACATGTCTTTCAACAAGCCGGTATGTGCACACCACATCCTTGCAATGACCTCCCTTCATAAATATCTCATCCATTCCGCCGCGAAATCAATAATCAGTTAGACTAATACCCATGAACACCTCAGACCAGCCCACCCCCTTCCTACCAAGGGACTGGCGCTTACGGCCAACAAGGCGGCGCCGCGAACGACTACTACGCGCAACAGCAGCAGCAGCAGCAGCAGCAGCAGCCGTATGGAGGTTATCCCCAGCAGGACTACAATTATGGTGCCCAGCAGCAGATGGGCGGCGGCTATTATCAGCCTCAAGGTCAGCCCATGTACTATCCGCAGCAGCCGGGATATCCACCACAACAGGGATACCCGCCACAACAGGGATACTACGCCGATGGGAACCGCGGGAACTCCGGTGCTGGTGGTATTTGCGCGGGCATCATGGCTGCCCTGGCTTGTTGCTGCTGCTTGGATATCTTATTCTAGGTAGCGTCGTCGGCATCCATCCTGCTTGACCTGGAAACGGGTTGGCTGTTTTTCGGCTAGGCGTGGCGGCTTCATAGATATTCCTATGCGTGTGTGTTGCACTGTGAGATAGGAGGGATGGATTCGGACGTTGCTGTGGAAAATCTAGAGCCGGTGCTGGGTTTGGGTTCGGGATTGTTTTTGGGCTAATGGCGTTCGTGTTTTGTTTTTGGTGTTGCTTGGAATGGTGGTTTATTGGTGTCTTCTTTTGTTGCTATTTATCCTTCCTTTGTTGGTCTGCTGTGCTTATTCTTAATATACATACGGGACTTGTTCATTTCGTTTCTGTGTAGTTACTTTCCCACCTGTCACAAATCCTTAGATGGATGGTGCTAACTAATAGTTATCAAGGTCTGACCCAATACCATCCCGCAGTTGCTAACCATGGGCTCTACTGGTGAATCACCACTGGACGGTCACTGCCGGCCCAGCATAATCCTTTCGTCCCTTGGTCATGTATATCACGAGACTGATGATGAAGACAGCTCCAAAATATAACCACACTCCAATTAAAGTTGTCCAGCGTCACTGAGGTATTACTTGGCCACAGTGAAGAGAACAGCGCGAAATAGCAATATACCAGCCTGATCACGTTCACAGCCAATCCCCATCGTCCCATATCCCATCGACGAGGTGGAAGGGTATCAGGATGCCAAATCTTCCGGTAGATAATACAGCTAATCGAGATAATGTCTGTGGACATAAGCGCGGCCACATTGAGAGAGATAATGGCATTGATTGCAGTTGCGGATCCGATGTTGATGAGAGAAAGCGCACAGCCCGTGCCCTATACGGCGCAGCTCCGATCAGTCTTATAGTGGTCACTTTAGGTGGAAACCCCTTATCCTGTTAGTATTTAGCGGTCCCAATGGCTGTATTTTGGAACATTCTCCGTGACTAGAAGAGAGAGAAAATGCGTTCTTATGTGGAGAACGAGATAAAGGAAGTAATAATGCAGAATACTAGCTAGAAGACGTCCTTGTCGATACAACCTCTTCACACCTGTTTTGCGTATTTAGACACGAATGCCGAGACTTCCCGCATAAATCCCTTGGGGTTTTCTTCCGCAATGTAATGAGCAGAATCTTCCACCGTCGCAACCTGTATATGACCACCATAAACCTCGGCCACCATATCCCTGGCCTCAGAAGCATGCCGACTTTCCGCACCACTTAAAATAAGCACAGGCCGCATACACTTGCCTTTCAGACGTAGCAATTCGACATTTTCTCTGGCATCCTCTTCAAAAGCTCGATATACTTCAAAGGCACACCGAAGGGCTCCCGGTTGCGAATATTGCGAGGTGTAATACTCGAGGTCAGAAAGTGATATGGCGTTAGCGTTAAAACTTTGCTTCGAGAAAAAATGATTCAGGTACATCTTTTCCCTCCCACTGACAAGTGATGGTGCCAAGTCGTCAGGCGCGCAATGGAATATGAAATGGAACTGCTCCGGCATCCTTTTGTTTGATTCGTAGGTAGAAGTTCCGGGAAGCGGGCATTCGCCCCAGATAACACTCGCTACATGTTGCGGATACAGTGAAACATAAGCATGTGCGATCATGCCACCGATGTCATGGCCGACCAGATGAATTTCGGACGTAATGCCAAGATGGTCATGAACAAGGGTGAATAGATCTCGAGCCATCGTTGACTTTCTGAAATCGTGAGATGGATGCGACGATTGTCCAGCCCCGCGGTAGTCTGGAACTATTACACGGAAACCTTTATCAGCAAGTGGCTGTATCACATGCCGGAATTGGTATGAGGTTTGGGGGAATCCGTGGATTAGGACTATGACTCCCTTCGACGGCGATGTGGCTGGCGGTTCGCAGTCGATGTAGCTGATCCGGATCAACTGGGAATCATCCTCAGAGGTTTTGATCCAAGCATTGTGCTTTTTCCAATTGGGAGGGGAAATATTGAACTGGTTATCACTATGATTCATGGCTAATGATTCCGTAGTCCAAAATTTAGTAGAACAGAAAGAAGCAAACTGGCTTCATAAAACAACCACAATATATAGTTACTGCTCGATAGTTAACTATTCGTAGGTGGATTTATAATCACTTCTTATATAAACATTCCATTGTTGAGCCGGATCCATATGACAGAGTAACTATGATATCATAAATCAAGTTTTGCCTGAATAGAACACCGCGTAGATAGAGAGACTTTACGAGTATATGCCCTCGATGATAGGCGGGACGGAGATAATTTCCTGATGCATTGAATTTGGCAGGGTCTGCCCCCTTTGGCTATCGAGAGTTACGCGAAACCGTAGTAGACATCAATAAAGACTATGCGGAATGGAGGTTACGACAATCCAAATAGTGTAGCGTCTTACTGAAAGAAGTCTGTTTTCAATAGATCGCATATCATATATAGTTTCAGTATCTCGAGTGAAGAAGATAAACCAAATGTACCTCAGAAGACTCATATCATAACAAGACCCAGATACATCAAAATCATCACGCATAGCATAGCAAAGCAGAGCGGAGTATAAAAGCACAAAATGGGTATCAGTAAACTCCGATCCTAGCCAAAAAAAAAACAAAAACACCACTAATACAGAGAATCACCGATACCGACTGGCATACGAGCTCCCACCTCCATACTCGCGGGGATCAACACTGCGATAAGCACCCCTCCCACTCGAATTGCGCTGGTGCCTCCTCGGCACAGTGGATACCGACGAAACCACCGAGGATTCTTCTTCAACAACCTCCACGAGATCATTCTCATCTGTAGTCGTCGTAGCAGTGACGGACTCCTCGACAACAATGCGATCCGAGTCCCGCTCGCGACGGTATCGTGACGACAGCGGCCGGCGACTATCGCGCTCCTCAACCACCTCGACGACATCGCTGCGGCGCCGACGGCTGGATGGACGGCTTGAGGATAGCGTTCCGTGCCGGCTGCGTATGACGATCTCTTCGTCGACGGATAAGCCTCCGTCTCGCGCGAAGCCGCTGGGATTCAGGGCAATGATGATTAGGTAGAGGAGGAGGACGAAGCCGCCCACGCTGCCGAGGACTATTCCGACCACTGTTCCGGGAGATGTGTTCGAGTTTTGCTGGCCGTAGGTGCTCGGGATCGAGATTGTGGTATACCGGCGTTGGTTGGCGCTTGAAGAGGGGGAGGCGATGAGCTCTTCGCGTTTGAGGGGGAGGGAGAGCGGCGCTGCTTTTTCGGAGGATAGGTCCCCCGCGGGAGGAATTATGGGGTCCATTTTGCTTTTTTGGAGCGAAGAAAGTGGTTTGGGTTTTGTAGAAGTGAGGTCGATGGTTGCCTGGGGAACTTCGGCTGATGGAGGTTGGGCGGAACTCCGATGGCGATGCGTTGGTGGGAGGTGGGAGGTGGATTCAGCAGTCGATCATGGATGAAAATGAGAATGAAGGACAGCAGTCGTGACCCGAGAAGGGCATGGTAGTTAAAACAAAACAAAAAACAAGGCGAGACAAGGGAGGAGGAAAGAGGAAAGTAAGTGCAAGGAGAGGCTGGGATGATCGGCGCTAGTAGTAGTTCCTGTGATTATCGATAAACAAACAAGCCCTAAGTATACGGGATAACCACACCACACTTCTTCTTGATTCACCACTACCACCACTAGCTATTATATACACCAATCAATAATAGGTAGATAATTAATATGCACCCGCTCGCTTCTCCCACTTCGGCTGCTCAACCGACTGCACCTTGCCCATGCCGGTCAGCACCGGCGTGGTGTTCACCAGCTCGAAACTCTCCAGGTTCGCACCGTTCGACTCCTGCGCCCACAGCGTCAAGGCCACCCAGTTGGTACCACGGTAGTTAAGTATGCCCTCTGGAACAGGGTAGCTCGTCTGGGGCCCGATGTTGTTCACATACTTGCCAAACTGGTATCCGTTGACAAACAGCTGGGCACGATACGCGGACTGCGTGGTGGAGGAGTTGCCGAAGTTGAAGTACAGAGGAATATCATAGCCCGACGGCAGATCTAGATCGAAGCTAGCACTGTAGAAGCGGATACCAGGCTCCGATAGACCTTCCAGTGGACTGCCAGAGTTCCATCGCTGCGATGGCGGCTGGGGCTGGTGGAAGCCCTGGCGTTCGGCGTACATCCCGCCCTCGTTTAGCGGGCCACGCACCTGATCGCGGTAATCCTCGCCGCCGAGGTTGCCAGACATCTTCCAGGTGATGGAGCTGGCCGGGCGGCCGGACAGGGCGTAGTCCAAGATTCCGCGGGGGTCTTTCATCTCGTCCGAGCCGACCTCGTTCTCCTCCAGACCCATGTTATCGACGACCACTGTGATCACGTAGGACTTGCCGGCTTGGAGCTTGGGTAGCGAGTATGTGGAATTGTAGTCCGAGTAGACGCTCGTTCCAGCCCACGAGCCGACGTAATTCTCGTTCAGCCAGACGGAATGGCCGTACGCCAAGCCGCCCTGGGTGTGCACCGAGAAGCTGTCCTCCGTGCCGGTGGCAACGAAGTGGCCGCGATAGACCAGAGTGCCTACATTGAAGCCATAGTCGCACGAGTAGAGCGAGGTCGGCGTCATGAGTGGGTTGACACTGTTTCTGGTGAAGGGCTGGTTCGCCGCCGGCCAAGCCGAGTCGTCGTACGAGTTTTGGATCTCGGGGAGCGAGTCAATGTACTTCCAGTCGAGATCCTTGAGGGTCGGGATCTTGAGCTTAGGTGCCGAGTACTCGACATTGGTGGACCAGATGCCGTTCTTGTCAACTTTGACATGAGCCTTTTGCCCGTTGATCACCAGGTTCTTGGCCTTAGATGGAGCACCAATCACTTCAATAGGAGTAGTGGCGTTGAAGTCCGCAGTGATATGGAGATCACTGCCTTGCAGATAAGCATTCCGCACGAGATAGCCGGCCTTGATGATGATCGACGAGGCAGTGGTGGTCTTGGAGCTGTAGCCGGGGGTTGTGCCTTGGGCTGGGAGCTCCGGAACCCAGTAGTTGAAGGCGGAGTTTCGGTCTATTAATTACATTAGCTGTGAATCAACAACTCGCATAGCCTTGAAAGAGACTTACCAAGGAGGAAGATCTTCAGGTCGCCCACCTGGACAATTTGACGAGTGGGCGAAACATCCCATCCAATGATGACGGATTTACTATTTTGCTTGGACGCAATCTTGGACTCAGAGCCCTCGAGGACTGACATCTTCCCATCCACAGCAACCTCCAACTCATGATGCTCATCAGCACCACCGTACAGAACGAGAACCTTGTGGTCAGCGAACTGCTTCCAGGTGAAGATTTCAGCCGTCGAGTAGATGATATTCGTGCCGGCCACATCGTAGTCAACAACATGAATCTTCGAGTCACGGCCATTGAGGCTAAGGTTGCTGTCACCGAGTTGCGGGATGGTCAATTGGCCAGCGCTTGTAGGGACCTTGAGCTTGTACTGGTCGGACGACTCGCTGGAGTAGTCGGTGTGTCTAATCACGAAGAACGACGTATCCGAGCCGTTGCTTCCAATCAGAGGCGTCACCGTCAAAGCGGCATTGTTCGTGTACGTGGTCGTGGTGAGGTTTCGGGGCTCCGTCAGAAGGTATGCCGGAGACACTTTCATGAAATTTCCAATCAGCTTGAGCTCGCTGTACTTCTCCCGGGTGATGTTGCGCGACTCGGCAATCGCGGAGCCGTAGTCATAGGACGAATAGCCACCAGGATGGCCCAGGTTGCCCCAGTTGGAACCACCAAAGATCTGTAAAAGTCAGGAGCTGGCCGTGGACACGGAAAAAGCTGGGTATCTCCATACCATGTACAGATTCATGATAGCAACGCGGAAACTGAAGTTGTTCTTGTAGAACACTCTCTCAAATTCGCTGTTCAGAAGCTCGGAGCAGGCGAAAAATCCATCGCCACCCCATGGATCAAACGAGCCACCTTGGAACTATAACCCCATTAGGCAAGCTTACTCCAAAAACAAAAGACGACGACATACCTCATTGATTGAATACGGGGTCGAGGGGCTCTGCTCCATGTGCAGGGTGTAGTAGTCCGTGGGGAGGTCACCAGAGGGCCAGGTGGTGGGGTTCGCACAGTCAAACCCAAGGGGATAGCCATCATGGCCGTAGATATCGACCGCACCAAGGCCGCTGCCAGGAACATTGTGGCCGCCGGGGTAGGCATCGTTACTGATGAGAGGCACGACGATGCCGGCATTGCGAGCCTGGTCCTCAACATACTGCATGTACGCGCCATTAGGGAAATCAACGCCACAGCAGGAGCTGGAGTACTCGTTTTCAGGCTGGTAGAGGATGACCGGGCCGCCGTTGGTGATCTGCGCTTTGGCAATTGTCGAAGCGACGTTAGAGACGTAGCTAGAACCATAAGTAAGCAGCTGCAAACAGCTGGGGATGCGAGCATGGAACAAACATACTTGTCGGTGGCCTTCAGATACGCCGTCTGGTTGGTCCGCAGAGTGGCATTCACGCGTTGAAGCCATCCCGGGAACCCACCACCAGAAGCTTCGGCATTGATGTACGGGCCCGGGCGAGCCAGGAGATAAATACCCGCCTCCTTGGCCGCTTCGAAGAAGGGCTCCAAATCGAACACGCCCTCAGCACGGTAGTGGCCCGATTTACCTTCCAGCAGAGCCCAGTGGGTATAGAACGAAACGCAGTTGAACCCCAGAGCCTTGACCTTCTGGAAGATATCAATCCACAAGGACGGAACGGGTAGTCTGCGGATGATTCATGTCAAAAACATTTTGCTCCCAATCGAAGTTAGAGACCGCTCATACCGGAATGGATGAACTTCACCGCTGAAGATCATGAGTCTCTCGCCATTGATAAACAGCGAGTTCTCGTCCCAAGTCACCTAGACACATACAACCGCTGCGTCAGTATAGTTCCGACATGCCGCAAGGGACGAGGCCGAAACGTACGTGTTTCTGCAACAGAGCCCTCTTCGCCGGGTCCGAATGCTCTCTGATCGTAAAGCCATTGAGATTATGGGTAAGTGCAGCACCCGCTGCCTGAGCCGCCAGACAGGCAACAGCCCAAGTAGACAAGAGCTTCATTTTTTCTTTCTTTTCCCTCGGACAACGACAAACAAGGGATCGTCGGGGGCGGGGGGAGAAGAATGAGGGACGGATCCCTACCACTAATTTATAGATCGGTCCGGAGAGAACAAGCAATATGGGAGATGCAGGCCGGTCCCTGCACAAGAATTCATTTCATCATCTCATCATCGACAGGGGCATGAGGCGGGGGCGCGTCTCCCAACGCACCCACCAGTCGCTGCGTGCCGATGATGTCGAGTGTCGCAGGGGATGTGGACCTGCGCCAGCTCACTCGGGGCAATTACACTGAAGATCCCCCAGCGGCGAGGCTGTCTGGGGAGCGGGGAGCCCACTGCGATTTTTCCACTTATTGCAGGTCGTGCACGGTTATCAGGTTCTGGTCTTTTCGTCGGTGTTTGTTTCAACCGAGTTCATGTTGCTACGCTCTGTCGGTCCTCGCCAGGCCCCCCCCCCCAGTTGCTAGAGTTCACCAGCATGGCTATACATAGCATCCCTCTCCAATCTTGCCGGATACTGTAACCATGTCAGTGGACATGGCCTGAATGAAGAATAATCAAGACGAAACCCATCAATCTCCTGCGGGGTCACAATGACCTGATCAAAGTCGGCAAAGAAACTTGATCAAGACGCCGGGCAGGTGGCTGAATTTACCCGGTGCACTAGCTAGGTCATCCACTTCAGAGCTCCATCCAATCCCCCACTATGTAGGCCGAGTATGTATGCCGACGATTCTCCGACCCAAAAACAACCGCATGCAGATCGCTCCACCAAGCGGAATCGGGTAGATTATGTTATGAAAGAGCCGGCGATTCGGGGAATTATCCATGCAGAAGAAAGTAAGTACTTTTTTTTTAATACATTGACCACCATCAGTCATCGTAAATAATTGTAAAAGAAAACATCTGGAAAATCCAAGTTCAATGGCTAGACCGTTGTGTTGAAACGGTCCTCTTCGTCGCCTGCCTTTGTCCACGTCTCCCGCGTGTCAACTTGCTCCTGCTCATCCTCGGCCAGCTGGACATTCTCATGCATCATCGCGACGTCCTCGGCTTCGACGGCCGGCTCGAGAGTGGGAGTCTCAACCGCCGACGTGTCTGGGGTCGAGATGTTACCCTCACGTTGCATCTTCAGCGTGCTGTTGATGAGAGGCGTGTCGTCATTGAAAAGACGCAGCAGCATGGCCCGGCGCTCCTCTTTGGGCAACATGAGGTTCAACGAGTGCAGAGACCGCCACAGGGGCAGCACCATCCGCTCACTAGATCCCGATTAGTACAATTAGAATTGAACTCCAAGAATGAAAAGACCTACCTGATGCCATCCTCAGCGTCGCTGGCTTCAATGCGCAGAATGCTGCATCCCATGGGAATGTCCTTGACCTGCTCACCGATCTCACCGAGAGCCCTCCAGCCATCGTCATCCACCTTCGGGAACATCTCCACGAGCAGCCGGTGCAGAGTAGGCTTCTTGGTCAGCGTGATGGTTCGAGCGGGGCCTAGCGAAGCCTCTATGATGCGCAGCCCGTCTGTCTGGATGCGCCACCGGCACACATTCTCCCGCTGTGCGTCTTGCTTCACAAACATTTTCACACCGCAATGCACGAACTTCATGCCCTGGCGCTCATTATGTGTAAGAATGTCGCGCGCCAAGGCACTGGTGTAGTAGACCGTCTTCGTCGGAATTCCTTGGGCGTTGCGGACCATAAAGCGGTCTCGGGGGAACCGCTCGGATAATTGATAGAACTCGTAGATGGGCAGAAGCACCTCATGGTTGGGGTCGAGATACTTGAACGGCTCCTCCTGCTGCGGGCCCCTCTTTTCAAGGGTTTCTCTGTTGATGCTGTCGCAGCGGTTGCAGTAGCAGTGGGCGTCGAGTCCCCAGGCGTATCAACATGCTCAGTTTCGACTGTATAGGCAGGCCGATGAATGGGCCGGTCTCCAATCAGAACCTCCGTGCCGTCATCAAGCTTGGTTTTCTTAGCCGGGACCTCATCTTCGAGGTTGTCGTCTCCCACCCGCTTCGCCGAGGTAACAGTATTCGAAGCGTCAAGGGTCGCGGAGTATGGAAGCTGGTGCGAGGACTCGGCGACGGTTGCGTTCTTCGAAGCTTCTTCCTGCGCTTCCTGGTCGGGAACAACAAGATCATCCAGTGCCTGTAGCTTCTCCAGAGGACGCCCATTTCCGTTCTTGTTCTTGTCAAGCTCAGCAGCGAGGGCCGCCACTGATGCCTTCGGGATGACATTGCTGTTCTCCGACTTGGCCTTGATCTCGGAGGTCTTCTCGAGAACCGTGATGAAGAATCCACCGGTATCCTGCATGTGAGGGTAGATACGGATGCACCGTTCGAGCGGCAGGTCAGCCGTCTCTCCCGTCGGTGCGAACATGCCCTCGGCGAGTCTTCCCAGACCCTCAATGCCTTCTTTCTCTCTGTGCTCCTCAACCTCTTTCCAGCTGTTCCAAATACGACCTTCACGGTCCATCACCTTCCAATTCCGCAGGCCGGAAGCCCTCTTTAACCCGGGCAGCTCCTGGCTGCAGTCGATGATTTTCACATTCGCTCCACCGCCGCAGCGCTCAATTGCACTGGCGACCACAGCCTCGTTCTCGACGGGGTTCATACTACACGTAGAGTAGACAACCCGACCGCCAACCTTGAGCATCTGCAGGGCGCGAACCAGAATCCGAGCCTGGGTGGCGTACAATCCCAGGGCGTTGGCCGGGATCCACTCTTTCCAGACACTGATATTCTTCCGAGCAGTACCGTCTCCAGAGCAAGGAACATCAGCCAGGATGCGGTCAAACTTCAAGTATCTGTTCTTCTGCTTATTGCCATCCTCCGCAGGCAGCTGCGGCAGCTTGATGGACGGATACATCGTAGCATCGTGGTTCGTGACAATCAGATTCGCCGAGCTCAGTCGCTTCAACTGGTGGATCAGCATATGAGCCCGCTTGCTGTCGCTGTCATTAGCGATCAACAGCCCAGTGCTGCGGCCGTCATCATCCAGTCCCTCCGGGCCCAAGGGCTCCGGACCAGCATTGCCGCTCTCCAATTGCTCCCGGACCTGCAAGATAGAATCCTCCTCACCAGCATGGATCATTTCCATAAGCTGCGCGGACTTGCTTCCCGGTGCGGCGCACATATCCAACACCGTCATCCCGGGCCGCACATCGATGAGCAGCGGAGGAATCATACTGACAACCTCCTGGCGGCTGATGTTCCCGACGTCCGTCTCGGCGACAAGGAACTTCTGGAAAGCGGAAAATGGCGCGAACCGTCGCACCACATTCTTCGGGGTGGTCATCGACCACGCGAGCTGGTCCGGGTACCATGAGACTGGGCGCGGCGGCTCGACAAACTCGCCCTCGTACTGGATCGAAGTGATCTTGGGAATATAGAAATCCTTGAGACGCTGCTGGACGGCGAGCGCATGTCTGTAATTGTTGCAAACCTCAATTAGCTTCATTGTCTGGAAAACAATTATCCACGTGTGGAAGGTGTGGTACAAGAGACATACCCTCGCGAGCCCGTAAAGCGGAAGCTGTTAGGGAGATCTCTTCGCATGGTAGTCCAGAATTGCTCCCGCTCCTCCTCCGGAATAATGCCCGGCTCATTGTAATAGCGCTCGAGCTTCTCGTTGCTCTTAGGGATATCTTGGTAGGCCGAAGGCTTGCGCACCCCACCGCCACCACGGCCACCGCCCTGTGAGAAAGATGGTTAGTACTTGTTGACAATTAGTTAATAGTTCCGCATCTCACTTTTTTGCCGCCTCGTTTGCCCATGGTGTTCAAAGCTGAAGACTGGTGCAGTTGTGTAGCGCAGACAAAATTATCAAACCAGATCGGAGCTGGTTCGGCCCGTGCTTAGCTAATCGTTACCGAATCGGGCTAAGCGGCTTAGAGACGAGTATGAGATGAAATAACCATTATTCTCTCCGACATCAACACCCCAAATCTCACAATTCTTCTTGTCTGCAACTGCGATAACGCTCGCGAATTACAAACTGATTTTTATTTTGCCGCTATCTCAGAACTACCGGCATCGATTCATCATGTCCACATCGGACATCTCCTTCACAAGCCTGGGCTTAGTAGTCCTCGACGAGATCCGAGTCGCAGATCAAACCCCTTTAACAAATGTAGTCGGGGGCTCTGGAGCCTACGGTTAGTTTGCAGTCTTTTGTATCACGACATAAATCTCCACTGACATTGGAGCCAACCACATCCTACATATGCAGCTACACTCGGAGCTCGATTATTTCTTTCCCCTCCACAGAGCCGCTCAATAGGCTGGCCGATCCATATTGGAAATGACTTTCCTGTATCTGTGCAACATTGCCTGGAGAGCTGGGGTACGACGTTGTTTATAGAGAAAGAGACGGATAAGCCATCAACTCGGGGTTTACTCGCGTACGAAGATACAACATTTGGACGTATGATTCACCATTGCCTACTACAAGTCTTGATTGCTGTTGATGAATTCGTACTAACTTACTAATCTCCTAGCCAAGGATTTCAAGTACACTACACCCGTCCTCGCAGTTCAAGACAGCAGCATAGCGAGCACGGCACTTCTGGGTTCAAAAGTGTTTCACTATCTCCAGGCTCCGCACGATATCATATCTCGCATCGAGAGTCTTCTTGCTCTTCGTCATAAGGCAAGTATTACGAACCGCCCTCTGATAATCTGGGAACCTGCGCCCCCGTCCTGTCAGCCCGAGAACCTACAAACATGTCTAGAAGCCGCAGCGCTGGTCGACGTGTTTTCTCCAAATCACCTAGAATTAGCCGCTTTCTTTGGAGAATCACTCTCACCATCATCTTCGGCTTCAGCTTCAGCTTCGGACAAATATCCAGAAAAGGATAAAACTAAAACCAGAATCGACGAATTGGCATTGAAATTTGTGGATAGCGGTGTTGGTCCGTCCAGAAACGGGCTTGTGCTCATCAGAGCTGGAGAGCATGGATGTCTACTTCGATCACGCACTCTTCCTTCTCCGATGTGGTTTCCCCCGTTTTATGACCTCAGTTCCGACTCCAGGCCGCAAAAGCAGCATGCGAAGGTAATTGATCCAACCGGAGCCGGGAATGCCTTCCTCGGTGCATTTGCGGTGGGCTATGTCAAGACGGATGGAAGCGTCGTTGAAGCTGCGTGTTATGGTTCTGTGGGTGCATCTTTTGCTTTGGAGCAAGTAGGTATGCCGAAGAAGACCGAGGAAGGAGGCGAAGAGCTGTGGAATGGGGTTACTGCGTTTTCGAGGTTGAGGGAGTACATGTCTAGAAGTAGGGTAGATGTCAGATGAGCACAACGGAATTGAAGCTACGTTCCTATTATGGAAGATGAAATAGTATCAACAAAGGAAAGAATCCAATTCCCAACAGGAGAACTAACTCGACAAAAGAAACAGTCTGCTGTCCCTCCTTTCGGAGAACAGAACAGACGATATAAAGCTCTACTGTGGTACAACCAATTAACTGCTATTTCACACAGGTTGGGATCTAACAACAATCTCCAAGGGCAATGATTGATAATACATTCAAACACAGACACAAAAACCACCAACCACCTCTCTGGTGGCAAGCAGTCCAGTCAGTCATCTTTCACACGCAGGACAAGAATCAAATCACGACAGCATGCGGGTCATGTCGTTACGGATGCGCTGGTAGTCGAGGACACCTTCGATGCTGCCAACGGCGCTCATGGCGAGGTCCTGATCCCACAGCTTGCGGGTGGCGAAGTCCATGACGTCCTTCTCAGAGATCTGGCCAACGGCGCGCTCGATGTCCTCGGGGCTGAGGCGGCGGCCGGTGGTGATGATCTGGCGGCCGATGTCCTCGGCAACGGCAGTGGTGCCGTCCAGAGACAGGAGGATGGAGGCCTTGAGCTGGGCCTTGGCGCGCTCAACCTCGGCGGAGGTGACGTTGTTGCAGAGGCGGGACCACTCGCGGAGCGTGAAGTGGACCAGATCATCCAGCTGGGTCAGGTTCTCCGAGACCAGGTAGATACCCCAGAGACTGTTGGTTGCAATATTAGCAGCAACTTCAAAATTTGAGATGGCGAGAAACTTACCCAGTGTCGCTGTAGCTGGTGGAAAAGCTCATGAAGCTGTTGGCAAGGTTGTGGTTGTTGACGTGGGCGCTGAGCTTGCTGCCGAGGAAAGGCGACTGGCCCATGGCACGGTCCCAGTTGCCGACGATGGCCTGAGTGACCAGGGCAGTGAAGTAGTCATCATCCTTCCAGCTGACACCCTCGACGGCCAGAGCAATGTGAGCGGAGCCGATAGTGTCATCACGCAGACGGACCTCGGAGCCAATGAACTCGGGGGTGCGCTTCTGCTCGGCAGTGAGAGCCTGGGCCGCGGAGGTCGGGGCCTTGCTGGGGAGAGCGCCGAAGTGCTGCTCAGCCAGACGCACAAGCTGCTCGTGAGGGATGCCACCGGAACCGACCAGGACCATGCGGTCGGCAGTGTAGTTGGTCTTGATGTAGTCGGTCAGGTTGTCCCGAGAGATGGTCTGGATGTTCTCCTTGGGGCCGAGGATGGTGCGGCCCAGGGGCTGGTTCTGGAACGCGGTGGCGTGCAGGTGGTCGAAGACAACCTCCTCGAGCTGCTTGTCAACCTCCTCCTGCTCGCGCAGAATCACGTCGCGCTCCCGCTCGATGGCGGCGGGCTCCAGCTTGGAGTTCTGGAGGATGTCGGCGAGGATGTCGACGGCCTTGGGGACGTCGGCGTTGAAAGACTTGGCGTAGTAGACGGTGTTTTCACGCTGCGGGTGCCATTAGTACCTTATGAGGGGGACTGGTTTGGGTATTCTGGCCATACCGAGGTGTAGGCGTTGAGGTGAGCGCCCATGTTCTCGATCTCGAGTTCCAATTGGTGCTGCGACCGCTTGTTGGTGCCCTGTAAGACATGTCAGATACACCATTCGCGGTGGGAGGTTCGTAGGATCCGACCTTGAAGGCAAGGTGCTCGAGGAAGTGCGCAGTGCCGTTGGTCTTGTCAGTCTCTGCCCGGCTACCGGCATCGATCCACACGCCGACGGTGGAGGTCTGGGCCCATGGGGAGTGCTCAGTGGCGATCTAAGTTGTGTTAACGAGATTGTCATGCCATTGAGATGGCGTGCGGGGGGACACACGGTGAAACCGTTGGAGAGGGTCGTCGACTGGGTGGTGGACGGCAACGCAACGGGCGACGCAAAGCCTCGCTTGACGGGCTGGATGGACTTCAGAGCCGCACGGCTCCGCAGAGCCTGGTTGAGGTTGAAAGCGAGGCGGCGGGAAGCCATTGTGTGGGAGATGGCAGGAAGGAGAGGGTGGGAGGGAAGGGAGAGATGGAAAGAGCGATTGAGTAATGGGGTGAGTTGAAGTTCGGAAGGCAAATTGTTCGCAGCCAATCATGTGACCCCCATTATACTTGTCTTTCCGATTACTTCCTACTTCTGCTTTCCGTCCTGTCGAGGACTCAACAATTCGTTTATATGATAACCCTACTGTATAAACCCGCTGGCAAACTGCTGAATATTCTCCAGCATCCCTATATCCGCCGCAAAACCCAGCTGGAACGCCCGCGCCGTGTCAAACTGCGGCGTCCACGACTGCACGATCTTATCCGTCGCCGCATCGTACTTCTCCTCCACGAGGGCCCGTCTCTCCTTGCCCCCCACCACCTCCAACGCATCCAGCATCTCCTGCACACTAACCTTCAAGCCCGGGAGGTTAACAGACCGCGACTCCCCAAAGGCCTCCTTCGGTACATCACGCGCATGAAGCAAGTTCTTGACAATTGTATGCGGCGAGCAGATCCACATCTCCGTCTCCTTAGCGACGGGGAGGATCGCCTTCTTGCCATGGAAGGGTTCGCGGATGATATCACTCGCAAAACTGCTCGCCGCCTGGGTAGGCTTGCCCGCTCGCACTGTGACGGTAGGGAGACGCACGCAACGGCCGTCGAGAAAACTGCGGCGCGAGTAGTCATTCAGTAGGGTCTCAATGATCAGTTTCTGGGAACCGTAGGACGACGATGGCACGGGCGCGAAGTTGGACTCGTTGATAAGGAAGCCGGGTGGTGCGGGCCCGTAGACGGCCAGCGACGAGGTGAAGACTACCTTCACGCCGAGCATAGTGGCGCGCAGCCGGTCGAGGATGTACCGTGTTGCGTCGAGGTTGACCCGCACGCCGAGCTCGAAGTTCGCCTCTGAGCCGCTGGACATGATCCCATGTAGGATGTAGACGGTCTCGTAGGGATGCGAGGCGTGGATCAGCTCGTCGACCTCTTTGGGGACGGTTAAGTCGGCGCGCACGCGCTTCAACCGGCTTGCGTGTTGTGTCGCTGACTCTGGAATGGCTGGTTCGACGACGTCGGTTATGGTCACGGTGGTCGAGGCTGGGGTGTTGGCCAGAAGGGCAGAGGCCAGTTCCTGACCGACGTAGCCGCCGGCGCCAGTGATGAGAATCGACATGTCGGTGTAAGGGAGGGTGTGGAAGTGATACCGTATACTAAATTAATTGACGGAGAAATGAACGATCCCGCGCCTTTATAGTTCCTTCGTCCTTGCGGGGTTGGCCGAGAGGTCCAATGCCCCCACGCTTTCTCTCCATCATTTCGTATCCACCGATTCCGAGTTGGGAGTCGTGGTCGGTGGGAATTCCGATACCCGACTGGCCCCGGAGGTGGATGATGAAGGACACGGCGCAAGTCCGAGGGTTCAACACAGATGTGTGGGACTAATTCTTTTTACTCAACTTTACTTCTGAAGAAGTAACTAACAGCCAGTACGGTCTCTCATATTCTAGACGGCGTAGACGACGGACACATTCCAGCGTGTAGATTTCAATCAGAACAGAGACCTAAATTTTTGCGACGAACCAACAGATAAGAAAAGAAAAAGTACATGGGCAAGAAACCTGTCGGACAGAAAACACTGGACGCCGAGAGAAGAAAGCATAAATGAAATAGACATGAGAAACAGCCAACCCGTATTTATGCAGACCGCTTGTAAAGACCGGCGACGATACAGTGATCACGCTCGAACGGTTCCAGGGTCAGCTGCTCCTTGGGCTTGATCTTCTCCTCACGCATCTTCTGGACCTCACGGGCGAAGACAACCTCGGGCTTAGCCGTGGAGTCAATGCAGTTGGCCTTGATGGAGACGATGACACCACCCTCGGCCTTGAGGAACATGTGGGCGTTCAGGCCCACGATACGAGCCTGGTCGGGCTGGGCCACGTCGGCGAAGATGACATCGACCATGGGCACGAGCATGCGGTAGCGGAGCGGGTGACGGGCGTCCTCGACGATGGGGATGACGTTGGTGCGGTGCGTCGCCATGCCGATCAGATCACGACCGGATCGGTGAGAGAACTCGACCGCGTAGACGTTACCAGTCGGGCCAACGATATCGGCGACGTGGCTGACAGAGGTACCCGAGGCAGCACCCAGGTACAGCACCTTCGCGCCGGGCTTCATGTAAATGTCGTCCAGACCACCCAGGATACCGGCCGCCAACTTGCTGCGGAACGGGTTCCACACGCGGTATTCCACCTTGGTGACAGCGCCGTCCTCAGCGGGCGACTCGACCGAGATGCGCTTCTCGCCGTAGACGGCCTCGCCAGGGGTCAGGTTCTTGGAGACGAGCAGATCCTCCTTACCACCACGGGCGACGAATACACCGGCGTGACGGTGGGGTTCCTATACAATGGGTGTGTGGTTAGCGACTATTTTTTTTCTTGTCGTCGAAAATCCAGCACTTACAATGATAACCTTCGCACCACCCCGAGCACCACTCGCGCCGCCACGGCCTCCACGAGGAGCACCACGACCACCGCGGCCGCCACGACCAGGGGGGCCACCACGACCACCACGACCACCGCCGCGGCCGCCAAAGCCACCTCGGTCTCCAAAGCCACCTGAGAAGAAGAAAAAACCAACGGTCAGCACACCAATCTCCTTCAATTGCGTCCGCAGACAAGACATTGCATGGTCATTGAGCCGGTAATCTTCGCCAGCGACAAATGCCCATACGTCGAACTGCTGCAGAAATCGACTGGGTAAAACAAACCTCGACCACCACGGCTTCCACCACGACCGCCACCACGTCCAGGGGGGCCACCACGGCCTCGAGGAGTAAAGGCCATTATTGTTGTGTATGAAGAATAATGTCTGTCGAAGGAGCTGGGTCACGCAGCTGGGAGGGTTGAATGGACTGCGAGCTCTGTCTGGAGTGTCGGCGTCGTTGCTGCGGCCGAGATTTTTTTTGCTTCGAAAATCAGAACAACGCTAGCCTGACATGGTTAGTGTTTTTTGCTTTCTTCTGTTCGTGCTGAGTCATGATGGTCACATGACATGTTGAGCCCTTTCCTTTTACGAAGAAGAAAGAAATTCGTAAATTATTCAAATACTACTAACTAACTATAGCCTCCCCTTCTATATACAGAGCACACAAAGACAGACTAAGATGATCCAAAGAAGTAGTAGTTGGCCGAGTATTGCATGGTAAACGCAGACGGCATGCCTTTGCACGTCGTGGGCGGGTTGCCGCCAGCCGTGTTGACCCGGTAGACACTCTTGTAGTTGCCCACCGTACCAGTGGTCGCAGAGAGATAGAGCCACACAACGGCTCCATACTCGCCCTTGAACGCATCCGAGGGCGGGTTGATCGAATCCTGCTTCTTGGTCATGGCGATGCCGTACTGCTTGCTGGTGGAGGTGTCGAGGTTGAACTCCGGGGTGGTGGAGTCGTAGAAGAAGTGGTGGCCCATCAGGTCGATGTTGGCCGGTGGGAGAGCGGTGTACTCAAAATCCGGCAGCGGAATGTTGTATGCGATGTTGGGCAGCATCTCCATCAGGTCAGGGAAGTTAGCTGCGATGCAGGTGGCGTTGTACAGGTTAGCGAGGGCGCCGATGGACACCGGGATGGAATTCTCGGTCGAGTCTGCACAGGTGTAGTTCTAGGAAATACGACTGTTAGTGCGCGACTTTCGAGGATGTTGAGTAAATGACATACCTGTGTGCCTCGTCCAAGCGCAACGTACATTGGTGAGAGGCCAGTGGGACTCGGGAGGCCAGACGCATAAGAGGGTAGCGTGACTGCGGACGGGTTGCAAGCCATGGACGGGCTGGACTGATGTTTGGCGTTATTGATGTGCTCGCTCACTTTGCTGTAGAATTCAGCCAGATTCTCTGAGTAATTGTAGATATCGTCGAAGAAGCGGGTCGGCTGAGCCAGGGAGACTGCCGCGAGGCAGACGAGGAGAGATGGCAGACGCATGGTGGTGACTTTTGGAGGGCAATATGTTCAATGGGTAAAGTAAAGGAGATAAAGGAGGTATTATGTTCGTTAGCTTAAGGCTGTCCAGCAGATCCGAGAAAGAAAGGAGTGAAAGTGAACAGCGTATGAAGGAGAGATAGACATCGCAATCGGACTAGGGAATGACGGGTAAATATAGAGATGCGATCCTTCAGTCCAAGCTCAAAGGTCGAACTCGAAACATCTATAAACAGGATGCTGGCGGCTGCAGGGCGCTAGCAGGGATGCTGTCTGGGCACAGCAACATGATTGGCACGGGGCCGGCGGTTACTGCAGTCGCACCAGGCCAGACGGCGATGTTATTGGCGCCCGATCAATATGGCAACGCGCTAAGCAAAACAGCGAGTCCTGAGAGGGCGTCTCGCACCGGGGGGGTGTTGCTAGGGGGAAATTCTCCGGACTATTAATAAATCTGACTGCTCTGCCATGTGGATTCGGCGGTTACCTGGTGCTAACTAAAGGAGTTGCGTGCCGAACTCATGGTCCTATCAGGGTTCGCGGAAATTCGATCAAAATAGATGTTCTTCTCTGCTTATGGGACAGCATCGGTTGCAGCTACCCTGGTCCTTTCACTGGTCTGGCTATTATTGCGGGGCGGGCAGACCCATTGGATTCTTTCTTCCCCATTCGGCCTCTCGTTACAAGGCATGGCGCATCACTCACTTCTGGTGCATAGTCCTTAGCGCATACTGGTCATTCTCACTAGGCAGCAGCTGTTTGCTATCTATATCGATCTATATCCAGCCGACATTGGTGAGGAGAAATTCTACCCGAGGAGGCGGCGTCGATATGCCACAGATCTATATCTGGGGACGCTAATGTACCACGCGATCCCACAACCGTGCCAGATATACAGAGAGCCACGGCTTATCTACCCATTATCGATTGGTGTGAAATTGTTGTTTGCGTGTTGTTTGTTGAACAGTGAGGGGTAAGTTACTCTGTGATATATACGTTTCTCGCCCACCTTATGTAGATTCCTCATCCACACAAATAAAATCACTCAATTATCTAACATCTAAACAACTACAGATGAAAGTAGCCTTATTTATTGAATACTAAACAAAGAATAGCTTAATACTCCAAACCACAAATCCTCACGGCTAGTGGTATTATACGCGCTTAGAGCAGTCTAAATTTCCAAGCACCCTGAGGTCCCGCTCATCGGGCCTCTTACTTTCTCCTTTGTTCTTTTTGCTATTTTTACACGGGGAGCCAAGTTATAGGTTTACGCAAGACGAGGGCGAGGGTAGAGGATGGAAACTTTTGTTTTTCTCTTATTTTTTGGATGTGTAGGGCAGGTGCATCGGTGGATTCTGCTTGCTTGATTTGGACGAAGCCAGCCAGGCCTTTTCTGTCTTTTTGGAAATAAATTTTTCTATTTTAATGTCATGTTTATTCAACAATGCATCTTAAGAAATTTACTGGATGCTGTTCAGAGAATATAGTTGTTGCAATTGCTGATCATGACATGGCCTGGCGTTACTTGGAACAGAAGACTTTCGAGCCCAACGATCTACAAAACTAGGTTGGTCAGTTTAATCTCGAGATCTATTCAATCATCTCAATTAGTTCATTTAGCTAGAATCTATCCAAAGGAGGTGGATAGTATCTTGCACTTGTTGATCATGACATACTCCAGCGTCACATCAAACACGAGACGTTTGAGCTTTGAGCTAGACATCAAACCCATCCAGTTATTTGCTAGAAAAAGTAAATGTAAGAACTACAAAAATACATCACACCTGACCTGATGACTAGAGTGCATGCAACAGGGTCATCCCAATCAAAATGGAACAGACAACGATACAGAGTAAAACATCCAACCAACCCAAGGTTGAATGGCACTCAACTCTGTCAGTCCAAGCGCCGAGATTTGATCAACAGAAAGTTTTTTTTAAAAAAAAAAAATAATAATAATTCCGGGTCCTTCGCCATTCCAATATCAGACACATTCATCCATGCTAATTACTTTCCTCAGCCAGCTAAATCATAACTACAGATGGTATACAGCTCATCTCAGCCTCCACGGCTGAAGCCTTCCTGCTGCCAGTCATCACCGTGCAGCTGACTACTCCCACTACCGCTGCCAATACCACTGCCGCCACCACTACTCCCATATGCGGCCGCGGCGGCGCTACCTACGGCGCTCATGGCGGTATGTTTCTCGATCTCCATCGTACTCATATAGTAGAGCATGGTGAAAATGAGAATATGAAGGGCGAAACAGTATCCCGCAAAGAGGTTTCGGCTGGTCCGGTTCGCGAGGATAACGCGGGTAAGCGAGAAGACGATCCGTTCGGGAAGACTCATGCGCTTGTACGCTCGTGCGGATTCACGGCCGCGGAACGCTGCAAATGGCGAGATGCGGGCCTCGTATGCGGATTGGTACCGGTCAAGAGATAACCCTGAGGGTGTATCTGCGTTGTACACAGATGTCGAGCTAGGTGCGTTTGCATAGGATGATGCAGATGTCGAGGCACCTTGGCCTCCCCGGCTGTAGGTCGATACGTACCGGGTCTTTTCGTAGAGACCTAGGTTGTCTTTCTGGAGAGAGGCAACTTCCTGCCGAAGGGATTTGACTGTGCTGTACATTTTCGACAGCTCCTCCTCTAGCTCGGAGTTCTTTTTCTTGAAGCGATCTCGCTGCGCTTGGACCATGGGTAGGATGCCAGACCCACCGCCCACGGCCTCACCTGCACGGATCGCATCCATTGTGTTCCCAGACACAGCGCTCTGGTCGAAGCCAGAGATGATAGATGAGGTGGGTGATGTCGCACCCCGACGCGACGGGTATCTGGAAGAGTAAGTGCCAGCGACAGACATTGCTGCTGATGGGAATGTATTGGCCGCCTCTTGCTGCACACGGAGCAGGTCATTTTCGAGAGTGCTCGAGAGACCACGAGACTTTCCGAGTTCCGCCTTCGTCGTCGAAAGCTCGCCACGCAAGCTCTCGAGTTGGCCCTGAAGATCACGGTGCGATACCCGCAGTAGCGTAAGTTCGTCGGTCAATTTCTTGTTTCGAGCCAGCAACAACTGCTCCAAGTTCTTGTCCTTGGATTTCGTGGCAGCACCGTTGGTGTTGGCTTGCTCTTCAGCTGCCTCGCCCGTTTCGTCATCATCGCCCGCAGTGAATTCAATGGACTTGATCATCTCCAGCTCCTGACGAATATCCTCGTAATCAGACATCTTGTCCAATCGTGATCGCAACTCGTCTCTCTCGGCTACGGCCTTCGAGCTAGTCCGCTCCGACTGAAGGAGCTTGGCTTCCCACGAGTGTCGATTAGAGTCCTTATCATAGCGTGCAGCATCCAGTTTCCGTAAGAGAGCCGAGTTCTCCGACTGAAGGCGCTGGTACGCAGGGTCATCATCGACGGACGTCGATTGGTGCGAGTGTGATACAGCTTGGGCCAACTCGAGCCGCAGCTGCTCGTTCCGTGCCTCCACTTCTCCTAAGCGCAAGCTTGTTTTTTCCAGATCAGCAGAAACAAGCTCCAGCTCAGCCGCAGCTGCCCCGCCCCGAGAGTTGTCATCGCCATCGCCATCGCCATTGCCCAGACGTTCAGACACTTCATAGCTCGCTTTGATTTCTTTCAGCAAACGCTCCTGATTCTCCACTTTCTCTTCCAAACTCTTTTCCTTAGCGGCCCAGTTGTTTGTCTTTTCTGACAACACTGCTTCCCAGGATGCTTCAATCTCCTTAGCCCGAGTCTCCTGGGTTTCCTCCAACTTCTTTCGGGCAGCACGCTCTTCTTGTAGCCTTTTCTCGGTTTCCTCTTGCTGCGTGGTAAGACGTTCAACAGACCGCTGCAATTGGTCTTTCTCGGAGGTAAGTTTAGGGACTGTATCTTCGGAAAGTACGAGGGAATCGACCGAGGCTTCGAGGAGTGGGTATGGATCTGGTGCTTCGGATAGAGAGGAGTACAGTTGCAGGAAGGAGGACGAGGATGTTTTCCCTTGGTTGGTCAGGACGTCGATGAAAGACTGGTAAGCTGTGGATGTGTTAGCTGCTTATTCCATGTCTGCGCATATGTAACCTCACCTTTTATCAGCCCTTTGTATTCCGTCAGTTTGGACTGATCGTCGAGTTTCTTAAAGTCCTTCGTCTTTTGCGCGAGGTCTTTCCTTTGGACGAGGGAGTCCCGCTGCTGCGCAACGATATCCGAGGCCGTTGTATCGAGCTTGGCGATTGTCGCTGCCAAATCAATGCCTAGCCCAAGGCGTCAGTGGCCGCTCCAGTGTAACTTGCGGAGATCTTACCTCTCCAGGCGGCAATCGCGCGTTGGTACTTAGTAGTTTCCTCCGAGAGTTTGGCAGAGACTGGAGGTTGGGATTCCTGGCCATCTTGTGCGATCTCATCAGGCACAAGGCCGTCTGTGATGGCGAAGGAGTCCATGTTGACCCTGCCAGGGAAGATGGAGACCAAGTGTCACTGCGCGGAGAACGGGACACGCGGCGCCCGGACCGACGATGATCCGATGATGGCGATCGAGCCGGGATAGTATGTAGGTTAGGTAGTATTCACGGGTATTCACGGAGAGATGGCAAGAAATAGATAGTAATTAGGGAATCAAGGTAGGAATCATCATATACTCCGTAGTTAATACTCTCGAGGCAGTGCCTGAGTAGTCAGCTCCCCTGAGGCTGACTGGTCTGACCGCCTTCGCGAGCGGGAACTAGGCCCCATCGATAGCTGTTTCCCCGAGCTGCCTGTCTCACCACTCATGCCACCACCATGGCTCCGCCTGACGATGGCTTCGGTCCTCGCAAACGGCGGAAGATTAGTCCGAAGGGAACCGTACCATATATCCTGCGGACCCTGTTCGACCAGGTGCCCTTGACCACCGAGGAACACAGCTCCGAGGTGCACATCACCTGCGTGGAGTACTGGAGTAAGCTGCCCGCACCGAACAGGAGGGAGGAGCTACCACTAACCCAATGGCTTGAAGATGAAAACTTATATATCGGCACATCTGCGGCAGAGATCCTTCACTTTGTCTGCCTGCCAGCCTCTGACGAATCGAACGAGCCCACCTTTATCCTGGCATCGCGGCTGCCGATCTTCTATGTGCAAGATGCTGGTCAGCCAAACAATCAGCCCGGTGTCCAACAGATGGTCATTCTGTCCTCGGTGAATAAAGCATGCGTCCTGTGCAATGGCACGGTCACGTTCTACCTGTTGCCGGAACTTAGCCCAGCCTTCGATTCGACCAAGGTCAACCCCTGTCGCTGGATCGGTGGGATGGATCTGAACCGAGACCCAATGGACGAGGAGCCCCCAACAGTGATGATTGCTATGCGGAACAGGATAATGTTGGTCCAGATTGGTGATGAGGCGAAACGAATCAAAAAGATCGATTTTCCAAGCTGTTTGGTCGCGGCTCGAAGAGGGACAATTGCCTGCGCAGCCGATACGCATTCATACTCGCTGCTGGAGGTGGAACAGCGGCAAAAGATTTCGCTTTTTCCAATATCCTCTTTGAGCGAGGTCTTTGAACCGGGACAGATGGAAGAGATGACGCCGGCATCCCACACCTCTCCGAGACGATCGCCATCATCATCCTATCCAAGCTCGCCTCTCACGGATGCACAGGGACACGCCAGAAGCACCAGCCTTAATGCGTTTGTGGGGATGCTACAGCCCCAGGCGCAAGCCAGCCAGCAGGATCGAGCGTCAGCGGGAACGCCGGATCCTTTTACGTCTTCGGGGACTTTGAGACGGTCGAGCTCAGAAGAACGTGACGAAGATTCCAAACAGGTCACCGAAGAGACCGAGGTTCCATCTGCAGCTACCGACAGCTTAAAGCCGTTACCGCCATTACCGAAGCCAATTACGAAACGACTACTCCAACCTCATGTGGCGTCTCCAACTCCTTCTGAGTTTCTTCTGGTGACTGGTACGGATGAAATGGAACCAGGCGTTGGAATGTTCGTGGACATGGACGGCGAAGTCGTCCGAGGCACCATCAATTTCCATAAATATCCGAAATCCATTGCGGTCGATACGGGCGAGGATGATCATCTGCTTCAGCCAAATGACGAGAATCGCGAGGAGTGGATCCTTGCCGTGATTGACGACAGTGAAGAAGAAGCATCATCGCGATACCTACTGGAAATGCAACGGTGGGATGACGACCCCGCCGAAATCGAGCGCAACAAGCGATGGATAGAAATACCCTGTGCTGCAGAAGCAATTGCAGCTCAAGTGGGCCTGGGCCATACCATCAGTCCGAGCCATCTCGAACTGGATGACATCGGCAAGATCCTGCAGATGGTCCGTCTCAAGACGTCGACGTTATTGCCCTATATCCCAGACCCCGATCCAAGGACGCAGGCATCAATCGAACAGATCCAACGAGAGAAAGATCTCCTCGAGTCTCAAGAATCGACTGACTCTGAAGGGCCCAAGAAAGCAGAGAGAACATCTTCCCGAGACTGGGAGACTCAGCGGATTGCTGAAGAAGCTAGATTCGCGCGCGGACTGGGCAAACTTCAAAGCAGTCTTCTGGTGTGGTCAGGTTCTCAGATCTGGCGCGTGCTGCGCAACCCCTTGGTCGTCCAGCTCGAGGATAGTCTGCAGAATGCCCAAAAGGATTCAGTCTTAGACCGGGACGCGGTCGTGGACTTGATGATGTCGTTTCAGGACACTGAGCCCAAATCCGAGGCCGAATTCATCGGCTTGGGTTATATGAGGCAGAAAGCAAGTTTGCTGCTGTACGGAGACTTGTTCTCGATGAAACCAGAGAACCGCAGCGACGCAGTCATCGACACCACGGAACGAGCACTTTTGATTGGCGACTTGGATCCTCGCCTGGCATTATTGTTCATCCCACTGCTGCGATGCGAGGTGTTGCAAGGCCCGCAAGGAATTTGGATCCACGCTGGCTTGGCGACTGTTGTAGAAAAGTATATCGAAGCAGTCGGCAAAGTAGACTATGCATCTTCTCGATCATCTGTCTTGGACATGGTGAAGCGCTTCCTTTTCTCTTGGCAGCAAAAGAGAGGATATGGGAGTATCACTGACGAAGATTATGTCTTTGATTCCACCGACGCGGCGCTCTTGCATCTGCTTCTGGAGCAAGATACCAACTTGACCGCAGGGCACCGGACGAACTCCTCAACTCGCACCGAACTAAACAGGCTCGTTGATAACTGGAAGGGAAACTTTGAGCGGGCAGTGGCGCTTCTGGAAGAATACCAGAGACTTTTCCTGCTCAGCCGTCTTTACCAGAGCCAGAAGATGTCTCGCAATGTGCTCAAGACATGGCGCAGGATTGTCGACGGAGAGAACGATGCCGGCGGCGAGGTTACCGTGGCTAGTGTCGAGGCCCAGATGCGCCGGTACTTGGTGAGGATCAAAGACACGCAGTTGGTCGAAGAATACGGCGCGTGGCTGGCGGGGCGTAACGCCGAGCTGGGAATCCAGGTGTTTGCAGACAGTTCGAGTCGGGTGAGAATTGATCCTGCGGATGTGGTGGAATTGCTCAAGGAGCGAGCCCCCAATGCGGTCCAAGTTTACCTGGAGCATCTGGTTTTTGCCAAAAACGCAAGTCTCGACCAATTCTCTTCGCTATGCTTGTCTAACTTTCGCGCAGTACACACAATACGCCGACGACCTCATTTCTTACTACTTGGATACCGTCCTCTCAGTGCTTCAGTCTTCCCCTGCCGCGCGAACCTCTCTTTCAGAATCCTACTCAACCTACCGAGCCCTGCGCCCTCCGAAACCAACCTACCTCAACTTCATCACCGAGAACACCCCCGCCGAACGCTGGTGGCAGTCTCGTCTGCGTCTGCTCCAGCTTCTAGGTGGCAGCTCGGGCACCCAATTCACCACCTCGCCCGTCCCAACCGGAATCAGCTACTCAATCCCCGCCGTTTTGGAGCGCATTGAGCCTTTCCAGGACGAGCTCGTCTCGGAATGCATCATCCTCGACGGACTACAGGGCCACCACCGCGCCGCGCTCCGCCTCCTAACCCACGGATTGGGCGACTACGACTCCGCCATCCGCTACTGCCTATTCGGCGGGCCGCGCCACCAGGCTGGCAGCAGCGCGCCGCCCGAACTTGCCGAGCACGGCCTGCAATCTACACTCTTCCGACACCTGCTAGACGAGTTCCTGCAGATACAAGACCTGTCCGACCGCATCGAGCGCACAAGCGATCTTCTCGCCCGCTTCGCGGCCTGGTTCGATGTTCGCGAGGTACTGGATCTTGTCCCCGAGGCTTGGAGCGTGGATATCGTCGGCGGGTTTCTCGTGCACGTTTTCCGGTCCCTCGTTTCGCAGAGCCGTGAGGCGCGCGTGGAACGCGCGCTCAGCGCGAGCCTGAATCTGCGCGTTGGAGTGGAGTGCATTGATGGCATGGAGAAGGCTGGGCCGTGGGTTGAGGAGACGGATGGTGTGCGGCGCTTGAAGGATCTGACTATGCGTCCTTTGCCGAGGCCTCCTGGGGAAGCAGAAGATGATGATGCTGATGGAGAGGGCGGTGATGGAGCGGCGGATGATTATGGGGATATGATGCAGCCTGTTTCTGATACATAATGTTGTGCCGTAGAATTTGGGGATCTGTACAGAATCTGTGATACCTCCGTGTCTATATCTTCTTCAACTGAAGCGTTCTGACTATGCATATTTTCCTTGGTGCTGGTTAAGTCTTTGTTCTTGCATTTGCTCATTTTTTTGATAGTGGTCTAGGTAGTTATATCCTTGGGAATTTTGACGTTGAAGTGTTCAGCAGTGAACGACTTTCTATCATTCGAATCCCGTGAATAAAAAGAAACCCCGCACCCAACAATACGCCCCTCCATTCCCTTCGTACATAACCGCTGAGCCATTATTTTGGATGGATGAGAAAGAAGGCCCAACAAGATGCGGGCGCCTCAAACTGGCAGCTCGCTCGACTGGAATGCGAGCTGATAATGAAAAGAAACCTTTTGAGGAACGTTGCTCATGGCGCCGAGGCAGCCGCGCCAAGAATGTAGTGAAACCAGTGAAAACCTTGACCAGAGAGTACATAGTAGATCAAATATTTACTCCTCGGGCTGCACGAACGGATTGGCGATCTCCTCGCTGCCGTCCGCGGGCGAGATCAACACGATCAGAGTGCCGCGCGCCACGATCAGGCCCAGCGAGCGGGTTGTTTGGTTGCCCTCGTCATCTGGCATCAGTCAGTAAAAAAGTGAAAAAAAAAATTGAACTACAGAGATGACGCACCACGCATAGATTCCTTGACGTCGTCGAGAACCAGATTCATGAGCTGGTCGTAGCCCTTGAGGGTTCCAGAGACTGCCAGAAGTAAGCAAGTTAGTGACTTACACTCATTAGATGCAGTGAAAATCAAAAAGGAAAAAAAAGGAAAAAGGACGACATACCCTCGCGACCACCATTAAACTTCACTTGGACCTCCTTATCCATGTACTTGTTGAGGTCGAGGATATTTTCCTTTTTGGGCTTCTCCTGCGCACCGCCACCACCGCCACTTTTCTGCTGCGAGCCCTGCTGGCCGCGCGGGCCTCCGCGGCCACCACCACGGCCCCCTCGGAACGATCCTCGTTCGGACATGGCTTGGCTGGTTAGCAAGCACGTCACAAAAAGCACACAAATCAAAAAGGGGAAGAGCCGCGCAGAACGGTTCCAGCTGGGTTTTTTGGAGGGGGGGGGGGTGGGGGTTTGGGCAGTTGTGCCCTTTCGTCGCAGGCAGCGGGACAGCGGACCAGTAAGGAACCAGGGAACCGGGGGAAAGTGAGATAGTGGAATGAAGATGTATGAGGGATTTTCCGCTAGGACAGACAGGCAGACATACCTAGACTGGATGGACTAGCTAGATCAAGCGAGAGGAGGTGAATGGAGGTGGAAAGAGAGCGTAGAGAGTGGTTGGATTCCCGCCCCGGCTGTCACAAATACGTCCATCCATACATACCGCCCCTTTCACTAATCAAGTTGTTCCCGCCGGGGAGTGTACCAGGCAGCTGCAATACCACAAGCGCTCGATCGACGGGCCGATTACGCCATCTTCTGGGACTGTGCGCCATTGTCGATGGGGTGCGAAACACGCCTTTCCACTGGTTCGGTCAGGGGGCGCCTGTAATCCTATTCAGGGTCTTTCCCACCGTCTAACGTTTAGTTGATAGCACTAGGAGGACCCTGAAGGGAAACTTACCGTTACCATACCCGTACCCAGCGGAGGCGGGACTCCGCTGGCACATCAGTTGTCTCTCACTGTCTCTGTCTCCCTCTGTCTCCCTCTCCCTCTTCTTCTGTCTCTCCTACTCATGGTCTCAGGCCCATCTTCCCCAGCGGCAACCCCCGCTTCTCCTCAGCCCTAACACGCAGTTCCTCCGTGCTCTTCTCTCAACTCTTCACATCTCTAATCTCGGCCGATACTGGACCGCCCTCGCTCGCCATGGAGTCCCGAGTAGAGACGGCAGAGCCGTCGAACAAACGCCCTCGGTCTCCCACCAGTGACTTCCCTCCCCTGACCGCCAAAGCTCCCAAGACGCACTCGAACCACCTCCAGATCAACTATCTCGCCCGCCAATATCCCGACAACCTCCCGCTGGTATCCGTCGACGACACCATGCCGGCGATCATCCACCTGCTTGGTGAGTACGACGGTGTGCTGCACCGGCATGAGAGCATCGCCGGCAACCTCGGCGCATGCCCGCTGGGCCCCATCCTGATTAAGCGCTTCGAGCGCCTCTTCGACGGGCCCCCGCGCGTGCTCAAGACGCACGGCAAGGATGGCCCCACCGTCACTTGGCTCGATGTAGTCGAGTTCGCCAAGAGCAAGCCCGAGCAATTCAACCTGGAGAAGCAGCGCGACGGCGTGCGCGTCTGTCAGTTCTACACGAAGCAGTGTCGCGTGGAGATCAGCGAGGAGGACTTTGTGCTCATCGCTTCCGGCATGCCGCAGAAGATGATTCCGCCGCAGCCGATTATCGAGGATGAGGAGAAGGAGCTGGGCGCGCTGGAGATCTTGGAGAAGAATATGCAGCAGATAATCCAGATGGCCGATCAAGGTGAGTCGTGGTCGCTCCGGAAGATGTCGATATCAAACCCTAATTTGCCCATCTATAGTTTCGGCGCGAGCTCGGCAGCTGAACCACCGCATGAAGAACCGGCGAACCGCCATCGTGAGCCGGCGAGAGAACGATGCGTCTCTGAATCAGCCCCGCTCTGCCGGGGAGCCCTGGCGTGAGGCGAACGGTCACAGCTCGGGGTCCCTCTACGCCTCCTCGCCCTCGGCTGGGTTTGTCGCTGTCAATGCGCATCGCCATGATGAGGAAGAGAGTCTTTCGTCGCAGTTTATGTTTTCTCACTCTAACACCGACAATGTCACCATGATCAACGGCACCTCGATCAAGGGCGCATCCCCCACGACGCGTGCCGAGCTGATGAAGAAATTTTTTACCACGGCAGACCGCCAGGCGCGCGGCTACGATGATCCATCGAACCCCAACCCGCCGCCCGCACGGCCGCGGGCACGGGTTTCCGATGCGGCCGAGTACAGCCTTTACAACACCGCGGTGAACCCGGTCGCCATCCCCAGCACGCCGTCCTCGCTACTGCCGCCACCAAAGGCGAGCTCTCAGGAGAAAGAAGATGGAGGGCTCTGGAAGCTGGAAATGATTGCGCGCATGAACGAGTTGAAGCGCGGGGAGCGTCTGACGCCGCCTTGCGATCGGTGTCGGCGGCTGCACATGGACTGTCTCAAGAACCTGACGGCGTGCATGGGATGCACCAAGAAGCATGCCAAGTGTTCCTGGCGGGAGGTCAAAGAGGAGGAACTGCTTGCGGTCCGACCGCACATCCTATTCCCCTCCCGCTCAGGCGAGGAGTCGCCAAGCGGTCTTCCTACGACGGGCGTACATACCCCGAGTAGCGCCCCGGGGCCCCTGGAACGCTCCGAAGGGTCATTGGCAGACACCCACCATCATTCGCATCATAACCGGCACGAATCCGCCCCGAGTGTTCCGCATATCGAGTCCGGATCGACCGCCGCGATGGCCTCGGACAGCTCACCCCGGCGAGCCCTGAGCGAGAGCGATCAACCCTACCACCAACGGCGCGTCGCAGCCGGAAATACCCGCCCACCACCCCCACCAGATGACGATGATCCCGACGCAAACCAGCGCCTGATGCAGGCTATCCTCGACACGGTGGATCACCACACGCGCGTGGCGGCTGCCGTTCAGGAGAAGGAGCGGGGCGCCGAACGGCCCGGGGACGGCAGCACTGACCGGGATGCCGAGCGCGATCGGGAGCGACGGCTAGTGCAAGCCTAGTGTGGGATATTTGTCGCCGTGTGTTTAGTGTGTACAGTGAAAATGAGGGCTTTTCTACTTTTTGATATGTTTTGTCTACCAGCGCTTGGAGTTTTGTTTTTGGATGGAGTGATGGACCGACGGGATGGGATTTCTGCGGGATGCATGGAAATAGTTCGCATTTGGGCCATTCTTGTTTTTATATTTCTATACCAATTCTCTATACCAATTGAGTTTGGCATGTTCAGCTGCAAAGGTACTGCGTAGGATCGGATCCATCCGAAAGGAAGAAGTTATAGCCGAGTGATGTCCCACAAGAGGGCGGAATGCTTCCTAACATTGGTCATCACCCGGTGGGGTACGTAGTTATGAACTAGGAGAGCTGCATAGTTTTTGTAGCTGAGCGCATCACAGGCGGAACATGATTTACCAGGTAGATCCTGCTCAATTTGTGTGAACTAGGAACTGCTCCGTAATTCCGTGCTCTGCATTGGTTGACTGGCGGGGGGTCTAGCGGGGTGTGTGTTCTATGTTAACTAGTTAATTATCAATCTCTGAATCATCGAAAACGGGACTGCGGGGAGACGCCAACTGCCGAGTTCAACGCCGGATATCAGTGATTTAAATAAGAAGCAGCCCCTACCCCAGATTCTTCATTTTTTTTTTGTTGTTGATCTGATTCCCTTCCGCTTTTGTTGTCACCATGGATCCCTCGCAGGTCAAGATCCCGCCGATGAAAGATCTCACGGCAGAGAACATCACCGAGAATGTCATCACCATCAACTCGCTCTGCGAGGACGAGCGCATGAAATACGTCCTCGAGCGCCTAGTCACGCACTTGCACGACTTTGCGCGCGAGACCCGCCTCAGTAGCGACGAGTGGATGACGGGTCTGCGGTTTTTGACGGAGGTGGGACAGATTTGTACGGATGTGCGGCAGGTATATACCCACCCCATTGGCATATATCATCATTAGAATAAAGAGTATGTTTTAATGTGGGTGATGAACAGGAATTCATTCTCCTCTCCGACATCCTCGGCCTCTCCATCCTAGTCGACTCAATCGACCACCCCAAACCACCGGGCTCAACAGAAGGCACAGTCCTAGGCCCATTCCACACACACGATGCCGAAGAAATGCCCGCCGGCGAGTCGATCTCGCATGATCCCTCCGGCAAACCACTGCTGGTCGTGTGCACCTTGCGCGATACAAATGGGCGTCCCATCGAGGGCGTCAAGATCGATATCTGGGAGACGGATTCCTCGGGTCATTATGATGTGCAGTATGCTGGGCGCGAGGAGCCGGATGGGCGTTGTGTCATGCGCTCGGATAAAGAGGGTATTTTCTGGTTCAGGGCTATTACCCCCGTGCCCTATCCTATCCCCCACGATGGGCCTGTTGGACGGTTGTTGAAGAAGTTGCACCGTCATCCGTATAGGCCGAGCCATATGCATTTTATGTTTGAGAAGGAGGGGTATGATCATTTGATTACGTATGTTTCACACTCTCTTCCTTCCTTTTCTATTTTACTCGAGGGAGAGAGAATGCTGATGATGTGATAGCGCACTCTACCTCCGTAACGACCCCTACGAAACCTCCGACGCCGTCTTCGGAGTCAAGGACTCCCTCACCGTTGACATCGGCAAGGCGGGCCCGGAGATCGCGAGCAAGTACGGCGTGCCGGAGGGCCATGCCTTGCTCACGTATGACTTTGTGCTTGTTTCTGATGCGGAGACGTCTGAGTTGCGCGCGAAGAACTCGATGATTGCGCTGGATAAGTTGGGACGGAAGGTGAAGATTGTTAATGGGCTGCCTGTGCCGGATTTGGATTGAACAATACACACAAGTAAGTGTAATGAGGTCCTGGGGCTGAGTTGTGGCGAAGTATTTATAGGTGGATGATGGATGCAATTCTGTATATACCTTTTCGTTTAGTCAGTTCATGAGATTTTGAGACTATTTGAGGGAAAGCCATGTAACACATAATCCGAACGTAACGCACCAGTCCTGCCGATGATTGTCGACGCCATTTCTCATAATTGCTGCACCATACCGTCCATATCAGAATATACGCCTCATCCATAGAGATATAACTAGCTGATTGACTTGTTTGTCGTGTCACAGTGCAGTGCTTGGTTGGACTAGGTGTGACGCACTGGACATAGAGGTACACACCTAGGCAGTATGTACCAGCGTCGCACCTCTTTCTATATAGAACTTGGAAGTGTCTAATGTTTTAGGTAGTACGGAACCGGTAGTATGTGCAGCACAATGCACGAGACACATCTGACCGAGTACGAAATCTCAAATATTGATTGACTCGCAAGCAGGTTGTTGCGTCTTGTCCCACCCTCTCCGGACAAGGATCTCCGCCCTTCCTAGTTAGCAAATGAACATTTAGTTATATAGCTATATAGTAATGAGCACTCGACCTGTTTGTTTGTTTGTTATCCTACCTATCCTATCACATTTCCATACTTGTTGTTTTGTGCCTTGTCTTGCCCATATTCCCCCCGCCCACGATGCGGTTCTCTCACCTCTTCCTCCCAGTAGCGGCTGTGGCACCGCTATGCTCTGCATTTGTAGTTCCGAATGAGAAAGTGCTAGGCCAGCTTTGCTTAGAGAAGCAGCAGCCTGAACAAAATGCTGCAGAGCTGGGTGTTTCTTCTCATGGTGTGGATGTCGAGGAGGACGATATTGATACTGATCTGTTGTGGGCTCTTTCCATGATGAAAGATGAGCAGGACTCCACTTTGGATGTTGTGGATTCTTATTCTTATATCACCACCCCGGAAGAGAGGGTGTATAATACCCCGGAAGATGGGGAGGATGAAGACGATGGTGATGATAGTGACAGCGACGATGACAGCGACGATGACAGCGATGATAATGAGGATGACGGCGACGACGACGACGACGATGGAGAGCACAGAGCCCCCCACCGCCGTCCTCGTCGTCCCCACCCACAACCACGCCCAAACCCCTGCCCAGGCTCAGCTCTCTGCCCTGCAAAGCTCACAATCTGGGAACTCCTCAACGAAGACCGCCAAACGGCTCACCTAGCCGACATCCTCTCGTCAGATAAAAAGCTCGTCACACTCCTAAACAGCAGCGCAGCGAACTACACAGTCTTTGCACCGACAAACCGCGCCCTCGCCCATTTGCCGCGCGAAGGGAAAGGAGGCAAAAAGCCATCGCGCAAGTTCCTGAGCCGATTACTGCGGTACCATGTTATTCCCGGCAGAGTCAGTGTTGAGGAACTTGTTGCTGCTGGACTGCAGACGCTGCCGACACTGTTTAATGAGTCTGCGCTGGGGAAGAATTTGCCGCAGAGGCTTGTTGTCTCCAGGGGGTTTGGGGAGGACGTGGTTCTCAATTGGGGAGGGAGGGTGGTTGTTGGTGATATTGTGAGTATACCTAACACCTCTACATCTGATGTATAAAGAAGAAGAGAAACTAACCATTCTACAGGCCGCAACAAACGGCCTCATCCACGCCGTAAACACACCTCTCCTCCCACCCCCACTAACCCTAGCCCAGCTCGAGCTATCCCCCGAAAAATTCAGCACATTCTCATTCGGCCTCTCCAAAACCGGCCTAAAGAAGAGCCTGGCCAGCCTGGCTAACAAGAAAAAAAAGAGTCACAAAACCGGCCGAGGTGGAACGACCTTCGTGCCTACTAACGAAGCATTCAAGCGTCTCGGCCGGCGCGCGAATGCATTCCTGTTCTCCAAACGGGGGGAACACTGTCTCCGTGCGCTGCTGCAGTATCACCTTGTGAGCAATCAGACGCTTTATTCCGATGTGTTGTATACATCCACCGGTGGGGTTGAGGTGCTGAGTTCCAAGTCGAAAATGGGGGGCGATCAGGGGGTGCATCTTGTTTTGCCGACGAGGTTGGGGAATCGGACTGTCAGCGTTGATCTTAAGTATAGACAGCATGGGGATGTTGTCATGCGGGTGAATGGGTTTGAGAGGATTGTGGACTTGGATCGGATTGCGAGGGATGGGGTTGTGCACGTTCTGGATCGGGTCTTGATTCCGCCTAAGATGGTGGGTGGAAAGGAAGTCGAGGCGAGTGAAGATTCGGGGGAGATGACTCCTGAGGAGTTGGAGGAGAGGCTGCTGGGAGAGTACGAGGTTGAAGCAGAGCAAAACAGGATTCATCCGGAGTTGTGATGATGACCAGAGAGACAGATCAGATTGCATTGGAATAATTCTTCATTCTTTGAGTTATTTGACTGTATATCCATCGAACGGCAGCTGCATGCCTCGTAAACCAAAATGCCTGCCTTCCACTCGCAAAGCCTCGCGGCTACAACAATACCTCTTCTCTTTCGTTCCCTTCCTTCGTATTGCTTGCTGTTCCGAGAAAACCAATAAAAAGCAATCCCAAATTCATATAATCATAGCATAGCCACATAGTCCAAAAAACCCCCCTCCCGCCCGGAGTAGTTAGTGCATTCGCCGCGTGGGCTTCATCAGCGACTGGAAGGACGACTCGAGTGCCTTCTTGATCTCCTTGTAGCTGACAATAAAGCAATTCTGCTCGTCCCGGCTGATCAAGGTAATCTTCTCATCGGTGCCAGCGTCCAGCTTGTTCAGACAAGCCAGAACATGTCCCAGATCGACCACCGGATCACCCTGAGCATCCACCTGATGGAAGACGTAATCCCGGAAGATCTTAAGGAAATATCGCTCGCCGGTCTCGGACCATTGCCGGTCATGTTCGTATTCTGGCCGCTCGTTGACAAAGTTCAGCTTGGTCATCAGGCGCACCAGACGCCCGTTCTCGAGTTCGCGGCTGAGATCCGATGTGAGCTGGTCGTCCAGATGGAGTGCCGAGTCAAAGGTCGACATCAGCTGGGACGAAATGCCCGTAATAAATATATCGATCGTCCGATCCTGGTCCTTCTGAAGCCCATTCAACAGCCAGAAGACCGAATTCTTCAGTTGTGGGCTGTACGCCCGGGTAAAATGCTCCATGGCTTTGGTCGGGTTGTGCATCACATTCGGCTGGTTGGCACCGAGGGCCACAATCAGTTGCCCGAAATTGACCAGATCCTGCCGCTGCAAATCGGCCACCGTCCGCTGCGAGTCAAACTGCACCACATCCAGAACGCCACAAGCGTTCAGACGAATGCGGTTTTTGCCGGTCAACAAAACCTTGCTCGGTTCGAGGACGCGTGCGGCAAGGCCGTTGGTGTGGATCGATTTGACAGCGTTCGCAATCTGAGTCATATAGCCCCAGATCACCTGCTCGGGGATATGGGTGTTCGGCCGGTTTTGGAACCGCTGACCAGCACCCAGGTGCTGCTCGGCAAGGGTTTTGGACAGCGGATGATAGTCCGTCACAAAGATCAACGAGCTGTCTTGGAAACTTCGACTGGTAAATGCATCATGCAGAGTAACCACACTGCCGTTGCACACCCGCTTCCAAGCTTGGACGGATCGGATGGCCTTTTCGTTGGTCAACCGGAAACCTGGACCGGAGGTTAGTCATGAGTTTCTTTGCAAACTAAATAAAAGACCATACCTTCTAGTCTTCGGAGGGCATAAAAGTTCCCATCTTTACTGGATTGCGCTTTATACACCCAGCTGGGGTAGCCAAACGTAGCCGCGTTCTTCTGGTGAGTGAGATCCAAGGGGACGAGGGAATGGAAATAATCGACTTGGGAAGGCAGTTGTGTGTCTAGTATGCTGTCAATCTCACTGCGCTCTCGAAGGCAGAATGGGTCCAACGTACTGGGTAGGGTTTGCAAGGTGGCAGCAGCCTTCTTCTGGAGTTCTTCGCGGAAGTCACTGGGAAGAAAGAGATCATGGACATTCCGTTGGTAGCCCAGGGTGTTCTGGTTGTGAGGGCCAATCGGGGCATAGAGATGGTACTGGACCTGCAGGGCGTCAAATCATCTTCCGACCAAGATTCAGGAAGTAGCATACCGGTTGCTGGAAGCCAGTCTGGTTTCCGAAGAAAGCGGCTCCCCCTAAAGCGGCCGCAGGATCGTGAGAGTAAGGGTTGGTCGGCACGGGGCCCACAGCACCTGGAGTGCCCAACGGAGTCGAGGCACTGACAAACGGATCGAAGGCGTTCGAGGCTGTGAGGCCTCCATTACCGTTACCTTGGAGGGGCGCCTGAAAGGACGGGTCAGTATGATAGAAGAAATGAGCGTGACTTGAGCTGTGATGTGGGTAGTCGTATTGTTCGGGAGGCTGCCACGCCCATGTTATCTTTGGGTGTGGATCAAACGGGTCTAAGGTAGAAGGGTCCATGCGATGGGATGGACGTGGTGGCACGCAAGACACAATGGGATCAAAGTCGTCCGCCAGAGCATTTAAGCTCCGAGTAGAGCGATTGGAAAAGGATCCCAGCATTGTTTGTTGAAGGGAAGGGACGAAAAGTGTTGTACTGAAGGAAGGAACCAGTCAAACTTACCACGTCAAAGCCCTGCGGTACAAACTCCTGCACATCGGCCACTGTCCAGTCGGGCGTCGCGGTTTCATGTCTCGCTGCTGGGGTTGATTAGCACCAATTCATCTCGATTCTTCGGGCAGACTCATACGGGATGCCGCAGTGCGCGGCTGGAATGGAGCGGCGTTGGCGGCCTTGGGCGAGATGGTGGACTTCTTGGGGGTAGACGCGCCATTTCCCGACAGCAGCGACGGGGTGAAACTAGGCGAGTCCACGTTGAATCGTTTCTTGTTCGCCGCGCTGATGATGGTCAGTTTTTAGGGCGTCTCTGAATCATGTTGGGACGAGTCTTCACCTCTCGGCCTGAGCTTGATGTGCGGCATTCAACTTCATCGGATCGTGGTTAAAGGCACACCCTAACGCTCGAGTCAGAGCCATTCAATCGACACCCTCGTCAAGAATACCTTTATCCTCATAGCGACATCGTCCATATATGGTTACATTGCGGCACAACGTATCTTTCGCGTTCTCTGCTTTCCACCCCCAATCAGTCACTCTCACAGGTCTTCCAGATTGTTCATCCATCCGATCTCACCTCGTGTCTTCATCTTGGGCGACCCCGTGGTGCGACGCGCGTCGTCCAGCGGCGGCTTCCCGGTGGACGCCATAACCTGGGATGACTGATACCCACAAAACGGTACGGATCAGCGCAGTAGGATCTCCATTGACATCGGACTCGGCAAGACGAAGCGGATCGGTCTGCTTGGGATAAGCCGCATTCCCCTATGATCCGATGCCTCGCGAAACAGGTACACGGCGCGCGGCGGCGGGTCAATTCTGGACGGAATCCGGGACAGCGGTCAAGGGCAGACCGGCCGGAGTAGGTGGCATGCGCTTTCCGATAAAAAAAAGGATATAATAATAGTCGCGAGCAATTATGAGAGAGTCGAACGAGATGACGCGGGGCGAACTCGGAAGGGGGAACGGAAGTGCCAGGCGGTGAGGGAGCTTGGAGAGAGGACAGCTTAGCTGCACGTACTACGTTCCGTTGAGTACTTTCCCTTGTCATCAACATGTCTGACCTCGACATCGGCCAGCTCTCCGACAGTGAGAGGTCCGCGCTGGAGACCTACACTACCCTGACCGGCCAGGAACCTGCCGAGGCTATCCCATTACTGCGTCGGTCACAATGGAATGTCCAAGTGAGTGGTGGTTGGCCTCATACACTAGTAGCTATCATGCTGATACACCACTCCACAGATCGCCGTCTCCAAGTTCTTCGATGGTGAAGGCCCCGATCCCGTCGAGGAGGCTCGCTCGGCCCTGAACAACCCTCCACCACCTCCACGGCCAGCCCGCCGCACTCAAAACCTCATGTCGGACGATCTCACGGGAACCCTATCACCACCAGCCACTCGTAGAGCCGACATCGCACCCCGAGTCGACACCCAGCCCGAAGACCAACCTGTCTACCGCCCGCCATTCATCCTTGCCCTACTCTTTACCCCCTTCAGCCTGGTCTACCGACTCCTCGCCAGCTCATTCCGGCTATTTGGGACGCTCTTCCCATTCCTGCCGCGGCTATTCACCGTCACCGTCAACCCCGCTCTACAAGGCGCGCGCCGGAACACAACCGGTCGGCGAGCACTAGGCCCCAAGGACACGGCGGCGCGGTTCATCCGCGAGTTCGAGGAGGAGTATGGCTCGCACGCGATTCCGTTCCTAGAGAACGGATACAACATGGCGCTGGAGAAGGCGCAGCGCGAGTTAAAGTTTCTGTTGGTGATTCTCATGTCCCCAGAGCACGATGATACCGCCGGCTGGGTCAGGGATACGCTGCTGGCGCCCGAGGTGGTCGAGTTTATCAATGACCCCCAGAACAACCTGCTGGTATGGGGCGGCAACGTCCGAGATTCCGAGGCGTACCAGGTGTCCAACTCGCTGCGGTGCACCAAATTCCCTTTTGCTGCGGTTATTGTGCACACGCCCAATGTGTCCTCGACCGCCATGTCGGTGATAGGCAGAATCGCAGGCACCACCTCTTCGTCTGAGATGGTGACCCGACTGCGGACCAGTATATCGTCCAATCAGGAGCCGTTGGAGCGGATCCGATCCTCACGCGCCGAGCAACAGGCCTCCCGCAGCCTGCGTGAAGAGCAAGACTCCGCCTACGAGCGATCGTTGGCCATTGACCGGGAACGAGCGCGGCAACGCCGTGAGGCAGAGGCGACGCGGCAGCGTGAGGAACAGGAAGCGGCAGACCGACAAGCCGCAGAGGAGAAGCGACAGCGTGATCTCGCGCAATGGAAAGCCTGGCGCACACAGTCTCTTCAGCCCGAGCCGGGAGCGGATGTCAAAGATGCCGTGCGGATTAGTGTCCGACTTCCATCTGGAGAGCGACTCATGCGCAAGTTCGCACCAGACGCAGATATCGAAGAATTATACGCTGTCGTAGAGTGTTACGAGATACTGCAGGACGAGGCACGGCCAACAGATGTGTCTGCCCCGGAAGGGTTTGAGCATCAGTATGGTTTCCGCTTGGTCTCTCCTATGCCGAGAGCGGTGTTTGCGGTCGATGACGGGGGCACGATCCGTGATAAGATTGGGAGGGGTGGTAACCTCCTGGTTGAGCCGATTGTGGATGAGGAGGATGAAGATGAAGAGGAAAAGACGGAGGAGGAGACGGCATGATACTGTGCTCTGCCTTCTCTTCCGTGTATTACTTGTTTAGTACTTTGCGTTCAGCATTCTGGTGGGCTTATGAGATGAATACCACGTACTTGATGACAATTGTCGAGTCCTTCAAGTAGTTTAAGCCTGGTCGTGTTTTCCTTACGTATTCTTTGCTATCGATCAGAGCAACTATATCAGCAAAGAGACTTCGACTCCCCTGCAAAGTCCCGAACGACATCCAAAAACCGATCAACATCCTCTTCCCTATGAGCCAGATTCAGCGACACAAACCCACGCCGACCAACCATGATCCCGCGTTCCAACATGTAGAAATAGAAACAGTCCCGTAACGTCTCAGTATTCCCACCTCCCCCAAAATGAATCCCAACCGCGCTCCCCATCCCCGAAAACTCGATCCCCATCCATTCATGCTCTCTCGCAATCTCATTCCCCCGTTGACGCAACCTATCACCCAGTGCATTCAACCCCGAAAGCGACTCCCTCGTCACGAGCTTCGAAGCCGCCAGCGCAGCACTCATAGTGAAAACATTATTGTTAAACGTACCAGAGTGGGAGAGCACACGACCGGTGCCGGGCGTGCCGACAGCGGGATCAAATTGAGACATGATATCCGCCCGTCCGCCGAATGCACCGAATGAGAATCCCCCGCCGATGTACTTCCCCAGCGTTGTCATGTCCGGGCGTATCCCAAAGTGGCCTTGCAGGCCGTTGTAGTGTAGACGGGAGGTGATGACTTCGTCGAAGATGAGGACGGCGTCAATTCGAGTGGCTTCTTCGCGGAGAAAAGTGAGGAATTCTGCTGTTGCGGGTAGCATCCCCGCTGCGCCTTGCATTGGCTCGACTAGTATGGCGCCGAGGTCTGAGGTGATTAGCTGCCGGGTGTGCTCGATGTTGCCGTATTCGCCGAGGATAAAGTCGAAGGGGAGAGTCATGGGGTTTGTATCGTTGGCAAATGTTAGAGTACCTCCATGGTATCCGTTTCGAAAGACCAAAACCTATGTATGTCAATGAGCGAGAGAGTAAGCGGGAAAAGCACATATCATACCTTCTTCCTTTCCGTAAAAGCCAACGCAGCAAGTAGCGCAAAAGTATTAGCCTCCGTGCCGGAGTTACAAAACCTCACATAATCAATACTCTCAAACCTCCCCTTCAGGATCTCCGCCAGCTGCGCCTCTTTGTTCGAGACCGCGCCCATGCTGAAGCCATTCGACAGTGCTTCTTTGACTGCGTCCTCTATCACGGGGTGCGAGTGGCCGTATAGCGCTTCTGAGAAATTGGACGTGAAATCCAGGTACTCTTTTCCGTCGAGGGAGGTGAGATATTGCGCTTTTCCACTTTTCATAGTCAGAGGGAATGGAGTGGAGCTTAGGACGGATCGCGTGTTGCCTCCTGGTAGAGATTTGCGGGCATTGTTGTGGGATGCACGGGATTGTGGGTTTGTGGAGATGAAGTTGTTTATCAGGGTTGAGAGCTTTGTTTGGAGGTTAGCAGCATTGGCATCTGTGTCTGCTCCTGGGGGTGGCTGCGGGGTGGTGGTGGTGGTGGTTTCGGGGTGAGGTACTGCGGTGGTGTTGTTCATTGTGAAGATTTGGATGGAGGGTTCGATTTGGATAACAGTCTTCTCTCGTATAGGGACAGGTAGTTTGGATGACTTTGTTGCCTGTGCTTAGGGCTGTTGAACATGTGTCTTGCTGAGAAGACCGATCATGTCCAAGCCCCCGCAGGTGGGGTTGTGGAGTCTTGTCGTTGAACTAGTCAACTCCTATCCAGGTGCGTATAGATCCAGGGTTTAGTTTCACGATAATCTCTCTGATTCTTCAGAATATTGGCATTAGATTAAGAGTTAGTCAGCGCATCATCCCAACATGCCCTTGTATATCATCATGTAACAGGTCCAATCACCGGGGTTTATTTCGTTGGGACCCTTTGACTATACCTCGGCAAACGGCATTGATCGTCCTGCTGGATGTCAAAAGTATGTGCCATATCTAAATCGGTCTCCGACATCAGTCCGTGATCAGTCCGTGATCAGTCCGTGAGAGAGACCATGCGGGGATGTGAGTCTGCAGAGATGTCGGTCTGCGGCGACCTCCTGTAGATCCTTTTTACATATTTAATTTGCCATCCTCTTTGAACAATAAATCCGCGCGCCTCTTCGCAGCTGGATAGGTTCCGAATATCAACATGTATCCTCCTACCCTTCTTGCTTTTGCCTTTGCTTCAGTGGCATCTTCAGTTGCCACAATTGCCAATCCAACCCTAACCATCAACGGGGTCTCCTTCGCTACCCGCGCGCATTGGATGCGTCTCGCTAACGAAGCACTTTCCCTCGTCGGTGGTTCTTCCTGCCCATTCGCAGCATTCGGGTCCGTAATTGTCAACCACACACAACATCCAGATGGGCTGGGAGAACTAGTGTGTATGGGTGCTAATTCGGCGAGTCAAACCGGGAATCCGTCATTGCATGGTGAGATGAGACCAATAAATAACACAACACAACCCTTTTTGTTTATCTCTAATTGCAATATCTGGTACATATCCTAGGCGAGATGGCCGCTATTAAAAACTGCACCGCTATTCTCACAGACCCGCGCGGCAAATTTCGGATGAGTCCGACAGAAGCTCAAGCTGCATTCACCGATCTGAGCTTGTACACGAATGCAGAGAGCTGTCCGATGGTAAGCACCATTAGCAACCCCTATTCTATTTTCATCGAGTCTTGGAGCTGATGTATATACACAAGTGTGCCTCGGCCATTCGCTGGTCCGGGTTCCGGGAATATATCTATGGAACTTCCATTGACACGCTCATCACAAAGGGATGGGGTCAGATCCGCGTGGCCTCGGTGGACATCTTCGAAGCATCTTTCGATCTCCCTGATCAGGCTCGATTGATTGGGAATGTCTTGACCAATGAGACGGATCCTTTCTTCCTCTGGCAATATGATCCTACCTACCCTTGTCCCAATGGGTGTTCGCGTACGAGCGATGGGTCGAGTTGTCAGTCTAATGAATCAGAGACTTAAACAATGATACTCCTTTGTAGGCGCACCCATCTCAGCGGAGTAAGCAAGTCTCCTTACTACGTAATTCAGAAAATAAAAAGTGTTCGTTGATTACATGAAGTTCGTCCCGGAGTTACGGCACTCGTCGTTGGGCGCGCATGACTGCTGTCAGATTCCACGGAAGTTTACGGGCAGCTTTCGGGTACCTTCGGACATACTAGTGACCGAGACCACCGAGACCAGAGATCAAAACCTCGATAAAAGAGTCGCAAGCGCTACTGTTGTCACCCCTTCAATCCTCTTCCTTGCTATGTTGATACATATTCCACATAATTTAACGCTTTCTTCACTGCGGCTTACCAGTCAAACAAGGCTTCGCGTCGCCATAGCACAAACTCGACCACGCTCTCACTCGCCTCTTTACTATATCCCAGTTTCACATTCTTTGCACACTAGCTCAGCACAGGGAACAAAAATGCTATCAGCACCCGTTCGTGCCGTCTCCTTTCCAAGTGAAAGCAAGCTGGCATCGTCATATAAATCCGCTTATTTCGTCGACGCATTTGCCGTGTCCCTTCCAATACATAAGTCTGGAGAATACAGCCCAGATGCCCTCGCGCGAGCTTTGTTTTGCGAGCCACCTGCCTGGTTTTCACTGCTGATGTGGATTAGAGATCGAGTCATGTCGATCTTTGGCGTGAAGCGCTCCACAGAGATACAAGCAGCAGCTGAGAAAAAAGGCATCGATACTATTGCAGTATTCCCTGTAATCTCGCGCACGGAGAATGAGATTATCGTGGGAGAAGTTGACAGTCATCTCAACTTTCAGACTTCAGTTCTGATACGAGAAGATCAGCATATTGCAGCGGGTCATAGGGACAGTAATGAAAAAGGCAAGGAGATGGTCGCGACAACGGTGGTTCATTGTCATGGGCTCTTTGGGAAGGCCTACATCATGATCATTAAAGCCTTCCATGTCATGATCGTTAAGAACGGTTTAGCGAGGGTACCTAGGAGGATTAATTCCAATAGATTGCCAGGTGGAGAACACTAGGCGAATTGCCTCTCTGTGAGAAATGAGGAAGGTCTACCAAGTCTCTCACCTCGAATTATAGTACTGTATCAAAATGTCAGAGTCCCCTCTTTTTTCCCAATCATACTAAGTTCGTGTACATCATTGTGTACTATGGTGTGGTTTGCTCATGACGAAATCCAGGCAGTTCGATAAATGCTAATCGCCTCGCCTCGGGTCAAACAAACAAATAGCAATTTATCGAGCGTTCCATGAACAGACCACAAGCCTATAAGCGGTCATTTGAGAATGCCATCGCAAACTCTCATCTTTTCTTCAGCCCGCCATTTAGGTTTTGCTCGAAGCTCCGCAGGGGCAAAATCGGTTCGAGAGATCCTTGCCTCGATCATCTAGAAAGAGAAGAAAGTTGTGGCAGGGGAGTCATTTATAATAATGCCCCCCAGCGTTCCCTCTGTGATTCCCGGGGCTTGTGATTTGCTCGCTGCTTGGACGACGGCACCGGCCCCGGGGTCCCTTCCAATTGGACACATATTCACCAACATTATACTATCCGCAAGCCGATCAAGGGCCTCGATATCACGTGTTTTAGGCCGACAATTGTATCATGTATGTGTGCCTGATGTTTTGATATCCAGATGCAAAGTTCCCTTCCAGCACAATACCCGAGTCCAGCTTCAATATTTTTTGATCAAGAAAAAACTTGTTATAGCGACGAGTCATTCTTTTCCCTTACCTCATGTTATCGCCTCCTTCTTCTTCCCTTCTATCTCGCGCAGTTGTATCCCCATCAACGGAGGAGTCGCCATACTCATCCGCCGGGTTGGGACATGCCAATAACTATGCCCCACCCGAACCCCAAGTTCCACCGTACGTATCTAGGCAAGCACGAACCTGGGGGAGTGCGTCCGTATCAACACATGAGGGACCGTGCCATCGTCTCTGTACTACGAATCGTTTCGAGGGGAGCCGCCCCTTCAGTGTAGAGCCGGTCCGCCGAGTGCTGCGGATCTCCAAGGCACGACACCGTCCGGGCCCGTTACCAAGGCCTGGTGAGCCAGTAGAGCCATTCCTCTTCGTCTGTGGACTCTTTGAGGCTATGTTCAACACCCTCTGCTGCGTGTTTGGCCAATGGTGTGATCAGTGCGGACAAGCTGGTCTTTTCTCAACCAAATCCTCTCTATGCCCTCAAGGAGTGCAGTTAGAAGTGACCACCGGCCAAGAGGGGCTTGTCAACGCATGCCTTTGTTACAGATGTGCGGTCACTGCGCTTCCGCTCCAGCCAGCAGGTCTGGTGGATCGTCTGTCTTGGGAACTCAACATTCGCGCTTGGGCCTGCCTGGAAGCCCGCGCATACGCAGGATCTATCAAGTGCTTGCTCACTTCCCAGGGTAGGGTTCGAAAAAGTCCTCCCAGTGCCTCCCATTTTGCCCAGTTCACCAAGTGGTGTTTCAACAGCGCTGAGGCTGTGGGGGTAACGGGTTTACGACTCCCTTCGCCTCCTGCGTTCCTACCCATCACAACAAATACGTCTGCAAGAGACTCTTCTTCGTCTGCATGTCTCACTCTCACAACCAACTCTCGTCAGCAACGTCGCCTCACACCAGCCCTTGTCACCCTCCACAGTGCCATTGACCGGCTAGGCTGCCCAATTGGTGTTTATTGGGCAACGGCCGGTTATCTAAGCCTGCCGGATTATACAGCAACCGTGGCTGGAACTGACGTTATGGGACCGATGTGCGCAGCTTCCTACTATCTCTTTAAGCAGTATCTCTTTAAGCAGTACGTCGGTCGCACCACAGGCCTGCCAGCCTCCTCTGCTAGAATTTGGTGGAATCTGGCTACCCAGAGTGATAGTATAGGGTGGCTCGAATGGGGCCTCAAAAGTACGTGGCCACTTTCCGCTGATCTGGATTGTGAAGGTGGGCTCGAATGGATGGTCTGGCGTGTATACTCCACTGTCTTGTACGAGTGGTTCAACCGAGGTGGCCGGCGGAGGCAGCTTGTGTGTTCGCCTGGACAGGTCGGAAAATTTGCCTTCGACTTCACTCGCGCTCTCGACTTTGGTGACACGGACATCTGCGTTAGCTCCTATCTTCACAGGTTCAGTCATGCTCCATCCGCCCTAACATGTCAATGTGATGCTTGTGAAACTGGCCGCACCTCAGTTGCTGGGATGTGTGTCTTCACTGGGGGATATAGCTACGAGGCGATCACTCATCCAGGCCTTTGGGCTAGCGTTGAGCGTCATGCTAGTCACATAGTCGATGCTTCTCCTCTTCATCTGAAACCTCTTGTTCAGGCGGCTATCGATCACACAGCCAGTCGTTTCCGGATTACGGCCCAGAAACTTCCATGACCGTCCCGCTCGGCCTCGTAGCCGCTAGAGACACTTGCACCCTTGCGTATGAACCCTTACCCTCACTACGTTCGTTTCGGGGTATGGAAAACTGTGCTATCAGTACAAGCAGAGTTGCCAGAGTTGCCGTACTTCGGAATTATTTTCCGGGAATGAAGTCGCAAGAGTGTCGAGGTATAGCTGATTTCGAAAACTACTGTATGATTTCTTATCAATGCATCCAACCTAACGGAGACGGCGCAGTGATGGTGTGGCCTGCGACTGGGCTGAAATCAGGTTGCCGCAAGCAGATGAGGCGTCCAAACGCGTTGTGTGGATAATGCACTGCACAAATTCCGCTGAGTCATGATCTCTAAAATCTCAACCAATCGGATGCTCTGATCCCGGCATCCGAGACGGCAAAAAAGCATCCGCCCTTGTTCAGCCTCGGAAGGGGCGAGTCCCGTGCGGTGCACGTGGACCAGAACATGGCAGATGCATGTCGGATTTTGGATGAGTAAGTATGAGATGGAGTGATGGATAGGCAGTATGACGAGTCCGATGAAACAAATGATCGAATCATAAGAATATCAACGTTCTTTTCTGGTCGATCCAGGTCCACCACCTTGTATACTGGTGGGAACGGGAGTGTGGCTTTCCGCTCGGCTGCTTATCTCCAGTTCCCCCGTTTTCCTTTTATGGGTCTCGCCTCCGGAGCCAAGACTCGTCCCGGACCCGATTCGCGATGCAATCGATTTTTTCTTCTCGTTCCGTCGTGTGTTCTTCGATTCTTATTTATCCCTACATCCTGTGGCGCTGACACTCATTTTCCCTTCTTTCTTTCTCGTCATTCTTTCAGATCTTGTTCATCTAAACCCTAATTTTTTTTCGTGTTCTATTCTGGCAGACGCGACCCACTGCCTGCCCAATTTATGGTGGCATAATTTCTATAAATAATCATACACCCCCTTTCCCCTGACTGAGGGTCGACGGCCATCATGTCTCTCCTGGGGACGATCAACCCTAATTTCAACCCGGAGTCAGAGCAGACTGCCGCGGTTGAGGCCCGACGACATGACCCGGCCGGCAGCGTGAGCTCCGACGACACGGCCCTCGACAAGGTCGACAAAATCGGAGATGAGCAGGTCATTGAGGCCGAGGTCACTCGCCTGGCCCGGCAGTTGACTCGACAGTCGACGCACTACTCGGTTTCCGGCGAGGACGCAGAGAACACGTTCGCGAGTACCAAGGAGGACTCCACGTTGAATCCGGCCAGCCCTAATTTCAAGGCCAAGAACTGGATGAAGAACCTGCTGGCTATCACCTCGCGTGACCCGGAACGCTTCCCGCAGCGGAAGGCAGGCGTGGCGTTCAGGAACCTCAGCGTCCACGGCTTCGGCAGTCCGACGGACTACCAAAAGGATGTCTTCAACTCTGTTCTGCAGATTGGAGCGCTGGCCCGTATGCTCACCGGAACCGGCAAGCAGAAGATCCAGATTCTGCAGGATTTTGATGGTCTGGTGAAGAGCGGTGAGATGCTGGTCGTTTTGGGTCGGCCTGGCAGTGGTTGCTCGACTTTCCTAAAGACCCTGACTGGAGAGATGAACGGAATTTACAAAGACAAGAATTCCCACATGAATTACCAAGGTAAGTTACTTATAGAAAGCTAAGGGACTTATATCTGACCGAATCCTAGGTATCTCGGACAAGTTGATGAAAAACCAGTTCCGTGGCGAGGCAATCTACACGGCCGAGACGGACGTCCACTTCCCGCAGCTTTCCGTGGGAGACACGCTCAAGTTCGCGGCACTTGCTCGCGCCCCTCGCAACCGGCTACCCGGCATCACGCGCGATCAATACGCTGAACACATGCGTGATGTGGTTATGGCCATGCTTGGCCTGACACATACCATCAACACCAAGGTCGGCAATGACTTCGTCCGCGGTGTCAGTGGTGGTGAGCGGAAGCGTGTCAGTATTGCCGAGGCCACTCTGTGCGGCAGCCCTCTTCAGTGCTGGGACAACAGCACCCGTGGTCTGGACAGTGCGAACGCGCTCGAGTTCTGCAAGACACTCAACCTGATGACCAAGTATGCCGGTGCCACGGTTGCAGTGGCCATCTACCAGGCTTCACAGAGTGCCTATGATGTGTTTGACAAGGTGACGGTGTTGTATGAGGGTCGCCAGATCTACTTTGGCCGCACAGATGAGGCCAAGGGGTTCTTTACTGACATGGGATTCGACTGCCCAGAACGTCAGACGACCGCCGATTTCTTGACTTCCTTGACCAGTCCGGCTGAGCGAGTTGTCAAGCCTGGCTTCGAGAACCTGGTCCCGCGGACACCGGACGAGTTTGCGACTGCCTGGAAGAACAGCGCCGCTTATAAGAACCTGATGAAAGAAATCGACGAGTACGAGCAGGAGTTCCCTCTCGGGGGCGAATCAGTACAGAAGTTCATCGACTCTCGTCGGGCCATGCAGGCGAAGAACCAGCGAGTCAAATCTCCCTACACTATGTCCGTCTCGCAGCAGGTCAGTCTCTGTATGGTGCGAGGATTCCAGCGTCTGAAGGGTGACGCGAGTTTAACTCTGAGTCAACTCATCGGCAACACCATCATGGCCTTGATTATCGGTTCCGTTTTCTATCAGTTGCAAGACACCACGGACAGTTTCTATTCTCGTGGTGCTCTTCTGTTCTTTGCGGTTTTGCTCAACGCCTTCGCTAGTGCACTCGAGGTAAATTTCATTGTGAAATACCGCTCACCTATACATATGCTGACGGATTACCAGATTTTGACCCTCTATGCGCAACGTCCAATTGTCGAAAAGCAAGCTCGCTACGCCATGTACCACCCGTTTGCTGAAGCAATAGCGTCCATGTTGTGTGACATGCCATACAAGCTCCTCAACGCCGTCACTTTCAACATCACGCTCTACTTCATGACCGGTCTTCGCAGGACTCCCGGTGCCTTCTTTACGTTCCTTCTTTTCTCCATAATGACCACCCTGACCATGTCCATGATCTTCCGAACCATTGCTGCCACCTCGCGCACGCTGTCTCAGGCTCTGGTGCCCGCCGCCATCCTGATCCTGGGTCTGATTATCTACACCGGCTTCACCATTCCGACTGGCAACATGCTGGGTTGGTCTCGATGGATGAACTACATTGATCCGATTGCGTACGGTTTCGAGTCGCTTATGGTCAACGAGTTCCACAACCGGGCATTCAAATGCCTACCCTCATCTTTCATCCCTGCCGGTCCCGGCTACGAGAACGTGGGCGCAGAAAACAAGATCTGTTCATCCAAAGGTGCTCGCGCAGGCCTGAGCGTTGTGTACGGCGATGACTATCTTCATGACGGCTTTAATTACTACAACAGCCACAAGTGGAGGAACCTGGGTATCATGCTCGGCTTCATGTTCTTCTTCATGGCCACGTACCTAGTCGCCACCGAGTACATCTCAGAGTCCCAGTCCAAGGGCGAGGTTCTTCTCTTCCGTCGCGGACATGCCCCCGGAAAGCGATCTGAAGACGATATCGAGCAGTCCGAGATTGTGAGCCCGGCCGAGAAGACGGACGAGTCGAGCGGCAAGGAAGTTACTGCCAACATCCAAAAGCAGACTGCTGTCTTCCATTGGCAAGACGTGTGCTACGACATCAAAATCAAGAAAGAGGAACGCCGTATTCTGGACCACGTCGATGGCTGGGTTAAGCCGGGTACTTGCACGGCTCTCATGGGTGTCTCCGGCGCTGGTAAAACCACTCTTCTGGATGTTCTTGCGACCCGTGTCACCATGGGTGTTGTCAGCGGCGAGATGCTTGTCGACGGTCGTCTCCGTGACCAGTCCTTCCAGCGGAAGACAGGTTACGTTCAACAGCAGGATCTGCATCTCCACACGAGCACCGTCCGCGAGGCTCTTCGCTTCAGTGCTATTCTCCGCCAGCCGGCTCACGTCTCCCATCAGGAGAAAGTTGACTACGTGGAGGAGGTCATTAAGCTGCTTGGCATGGAACACTATGCCGACGCCGTCGTTGGTGTTCCCGGTGAAGGTCTCAACGTTGAACAGCGCAAGCGTCTTACCATCGGAGTCGAGCTCGCTGCGAAGCCGCAGCTGCTCCTGTTCCTGGACGAGCCCACATCCGGTCTTGATAGCCAGACCTCTTGGTCCATTCTCGATCTGATTGACACCCTCACTAAGCACGGCCAAGCCATTCTCTGCACCATCCACCAGCCCAGCGCCATGCTCTTCCAGCGGTTTGATCGTCTCCTCTTCCTTGCCAAGGGCGGCAAGACCGTCTACTTTGGTGAAATCGGCGAGAAGTCTTCTATCCTGGCCAACTACTTTGAGAAGAACGGCGCACCCAAGCTGCCAACCGAGGCCAACCCGGCAGAGTGGATGCTTGAGGTCATTGGTGCCGCCCCCGGATCCCACAGCGACATCGACTGGCCTGTTGTCTGGCGCGAGAGCCCCGAGCGTCAAGGAGTGTTGGAGCACCTCGCAGAGCTGAAATCGACCCTCTCCCAGAAACCCGTGGAGCCAACCAACGACGACCCGGACAGTTACAAGGAATTCGCCGCTCCCTTCTCCGTGCAGCTGTACGAGTGTCTCGTCCGTGTCTTCGCGCAATACTGGCGCACGCCGGTCTACATCTACTCCAAGTCGGCGCTGTGTATCCTGACCGCATTGTACATCGGGTTCTCCTTCTTCCAGGCACAGAACAGTATCCAAGGTCTCCAGAACCAGATGTTCAGTATCTTCATGCTGATGACCATTTTCGGCAACTTGGTGCAGCAGATCATGCCGCACTTCGTGACGCAGCGCTCCCTGTACGAGGTCCGTGAGCGGCCCTCCAAGGCATACTCGTGGAAGGCGTTCATGACAGCCAACATTCTCGTTGAACTGCCCTGGAACACGCTCATGGCCGTCCTCATATTCGTCTGCTGGTACTACCCGATCGGTCTCTACCGCAACGCAGCACCGACTGGCGAAGTGCACGAACGCGGCGCGCTGATGTTCCTGCTCATCTGGACTTTCCTGCTTTTCACTTCGACCTTCGCACACATGGTTATCGCCGGTATCGAGCTCGCCGAGACAGGTGGCAACCTGGCCAATATGCTCTTCTCGCTGTGTCTAATCTTCTGTGGTGTCCTCGCCACTCCACAGGCCATGCCCCGTTTCTGGATCTTCATGTATCGCGTCTCGCCATTCACCTATCTGGTCTCGGCTATGCTCTCCACGGGTGTATCAGGCACAGAAGCCGTATGCGAGCCCATCGAGTACTTGAAATTCAAGCCGTTATCCAACGAGACTTGCATCCAGTACATGGAGCCGTGGATCAAAGCTCGTGGTGGTTATCTTCAGGATAACTCCGCTACGGATGAGTGCTCATTCTGCACCATCTCTTCCACGGATACTTACCTCGCTGGCGTCGGGAGCTATTACAAGGATGCATGGCGCAACTTTGGATTCATGTGGATCTACATCGTTGCTAACGTCTTCCTGGCCGTGTTTATCTACTGGCTGGCCCGCGTGCCCAAGGGAAGCCGCAGCAAGAGCAAGAAGAGCTCCACCTAATTTCTTCATCCTTTTCTTTTAATTATACATAGGTCCTTTCCTTTCGTTTCTTTTCTTGTTGCATATTTATTCCCTGTCATTTTCCTTGTCTCCCTGCATCTTGCATATGTCTCTACTCAACCACAAGATCCTCTCCGGTCTTCGTTGCGCATTATCTCGGTTATTTGTATTTTTTTTGATCTGTATGTGCAGTGGACAAATGGGGGTTACATTAGAGATAGAGGATGGAGGGGTTCCTCAGAATAATATATATGAGGCATGATACAAGCCAGACTCTTCCTTCTTTTCTTGATAACTAGTTCACGGTAGAAACCAAGACGGATGTAAACAGCCCCCTTTTCCGTCACTCATCCTTCCTATCCAAAGACCTTTGCCAGCAAAATTGGAGCGAGCAGCCTACAGAAAAGGCCAAGCAAACGACTTCTTAATGCACTCAAGGTTGTATCTGTAAATCACGCGGAACGGGCCGCCTGGAGCCTAGTTCTCGGACGATATGTTACCTCTACTTTCCCACACGGGGAATAACATCCTCTATCTGTGGGCTTATTGACCAAGGTGATGTGCTATAAGCGCTGACCACTAGCAGCGACGGAATGTTACTGGTGGATTATAAATTATGGTCTTGGCACTCGCTACTCCATTTCTCTTGATATAAATCCTATCCATAGGGCATTAAACAGGAGTCCTTCCGAGTCGAAACCTAATAAGCACCCCCGTCTTTCTCGCGTATAGATTTCCAAACACTGGCTGTGAAGCCTTGCTAAATCAACTCAGTGAGTAGGACCCACAATTGGAATTGCCAATTGTGAAGGTGCCAGGTTCTCCTAAGTAGGCGATCTCAACGCTATTGTTTGAAGGATCACAGATGGGGTCGTTTGGGATGTTCAGTAAGCAGAAAAACAAGTTAAAGGCATAACCGGAGCAGGTCCCAGGGTATGTTAAACAATCCACGCAGCAGTCATATGCATTTGTCGCAGGTGCAGAACTGAACGACCCATTAACAGGATTCGCTGAGCTGAATCTTTGACCATAAATATCACTGATTTGGTTGTCTGGGCCGCAAGCTGCATAGTAAGTTGCCACAGGAACTTCCACAGTAACAGTGTCAGTTATAGTCTAGTAGATTAGGTTAGTAACACATATTGAGGAGCTTTGGCATATGAGCTTACCTGTGTGCTTATCGTGGTGGTTGTCACTGTGGTCGATACTATTGCACTTGTGCTAAATGTGAGTATTGTTGAAGCAGCAACTGGAGTACTCGTAACCGCTATTGTGTATATCTTAGCGTATATCCAGGAACAAGCTATAAAAGTCTCTTCTTTGAACACTTACTTGACGTAAATTCAGTTGTGACAATGGTAGTTTTGGCAGGTGGTGTACTAGTCACTGTCAACGTCGCGGCAGTCTTAGTTATCGTACTTGTAGTAATAACCCTGACAATGCCAGCGCATGTTACTGCAGTAGGGTAGATAGGAGGGTTGACGACAACACGAGCAGTTTTTTGGTCGGAACGTATAGACATATGCAATGTATCTGCTCTGTGAGTGACTGCGCCTTGCTCTGTGGCAGCCGTCTGCCTAGGTCCATTGGTTGACTGGCTCAGTGCAGAAGCCGGAGTAAATCCAGCAGAAGGTAGAATAGTAGTTGTGGTGGAAGTAGTTGAAGTAACCTATTCAATTATTAGTAATGTGAATCTAATAAATTGAGCCTCAAATGTGCTGATGATGGCCAAGTATGAAAGCCATATAAACGGTCTCACGTAGGGAAAACAAATACGTACCGTAGTATCACTCGTAATAGTTTGTGTATTTGTAAGGGTGTCATAGTTGGTTACCACACTAGTCGATGTAAGTGTTGTTGAGAAAGTGTCTGTACTCTGGTCTAAGACGCTTGTAGAATATACGGTATCTGTCACTACCGAGGTAATAGTCGATGGAGAAAGAGTTGATGTTTTGATAGGGGTCGAAGTTGTTGTGAGAGTGGCATGACTAGAAACAATTTTAAGTTAAGGGGTCTGCAGATTACTCGGAAACATCAAGTCATAAGGAGCATACCTAGTGATAGTAAGGAATACACTCTTAGTGCTTACCCTACTAGTTGAGGTTCGGCCGTATTTGGTCGTACACTCATCTAGTAAGGTGGAAGTAGAAGCCGTAGCCAACGCTGTAGAAGCCACAGCTAGCAATACAAACCAATTAAAAAGAACAGTTGCCATGTTGCCAGGTTGTCGGATTTGATCCACTACGGAAAAAAGGGAACAATCATTCTATATAAATAGCGAGTATATTAATAAGGGGAGTATAAACCCTTTAAATAGAATTTACACAACCTTCCAACGCCTTATGTTTGACGTTATGTCGAATATAAAAACTACTATATTACCTAGTCGAACCAATAGTGCTTTTTGGTCTAGCGGTATAGCATTTTTAACACGTTACACTTGAGCAATCCATATTAAAGTATCGTAGACAGCTACCAATTAAATAATTTCGAAGTGATATTTCAAGTAATAAGGCTGCATTCCACACAATCGCATTCTCCATTTCCAGCATTTTTGTCTCATTGCGAAAAACTTTATGCTTCTGAACATTATTGAAAATGGCTCAAAAATGAATACTTTGGTCGAGCTAAATCTATCTGTCCCCCGAAAGATGGTGAAATTTGACTACCAGTTAAATACACCACGGTGTTTCATTTTACCTCCGAAACAATCACCAGGGCGTGTAAATTTCACTACTCTAGGAGTAGATCAGTTGATTTGGCCACCTTCAACCACATCTCAAGCCCCCATTCTACCTCGGCAACAAAGACCAAGGCGGCTAAATTTGACCACCCTGTAGATATGTTACAACATACCATTCCAATCCATTCCACCGCCTCCCATGACTGATCGGGTTGATTAACTCCGTTACATTTTGAGAAATTATCGTGAGTCGATACCCAGCGCGCCAGTTTCCTATTCCAGTAGTGTATTGGAGATAGGCATAGTGTGAGGATGAGCGGGGCCTATCTATCCAAGGTTACCTTGATGATTCTACGGAGCGATTTACCTTCCAACTTGAAGGCGAAGAGCCCTCTGAGGAGCGACGCATACTAGTCGCTATATCTGACTGTGCCTGTGGCAAAGTACGCGATGTCAAGAACTACCTGGAACAATCATCCGAAAAATCATTTTTCCTTCATGGCCACAATCATCACATCGGAGAGACGTGTCTCATTATGGCTTCCCGAGGGGAAAGCCCATCTATGGTTTCTCTCCTTCGATTATGGCGCTAAAGTAAAGCGACGAACAAGAACGGAAGACTGCTCTTATGGAGGCATCCCTTTGTGGTAAACTGGAAATTGCAAAGATACTCCTTTCTCGAGGCGCAGATCGAAGTTTGTACGACCCAAAAAAATCCAACGAGCTCTCGATCTGATCCAGCCATCTCGCGAAAATCGCAAAGAGAGACACGCAGCCGGAGGTGGGGTCTGGACCGATCCGTCAAAGGAGCCCATTTACTAGGATATTCTCAATCGAGATACTGATCGGCGAGAAATTGTGGGGATCCTTCGTTGGGAGAGAATTATATTCTAGGGCAGAATGCGAGCCACAAGAACCGGAAACTGCCTATCACTCGTTCAAAAGGTCCTCCAATGGCCAATCAGTAAGTCAGTATGGTCCGATTCGAAAGTACCCTATTTCCAACTCTTTGAAAACAATTGCCGTGCTAGAAAGGGCCAGTCCTTTTCCGTCTATAGCGGCAATGAATGGCTGGGGACACTCGGAATGGTCTTCGGCCAGAGTGAGCAGCAAAACTGGACCGAAAAGGTCTTAAAGTTCGCCGATATTGCTGGTCGTACTTTGGCCGTCCATCCCATCAAAGATCAAGGAGACTAGGGGCAGTTTCATGCATCCCACACCGAGAAGCAGTTGATCGCATATTTCGTCGACCGGCATGTTTTTCTACAAGAAGATAAGACCCTAAATCCGCGATTTGAGGAAACATTCGCGCCTCAAGAATTGGAGATCAAGGAAATGGCTTCTAAATATTCCAACATCCATAAAATCTATCAACCTGAACACGACAGGAAGAATCTTGAACGTGAACTATGAGACAAAGACGATCAATCACTCGGAGATGAACATGTTGAAGGAATGGTTCGGCGCTTGAAATCAAAAGTTGCACGTCTTAGTGGACAAATTTCCGTCCCCGAAAACCATCCTGAAGAGGAAATGAGGGCGCGGGAGAGTCAGATCCGATTGTACGAATGGGAAGAAAAATTTCATAGCCGCCTTAACCGTATGTCAACAAAGGAGCCAGAAAGGACTTCGCGACGGGCAAAGTTTTCTGGCTAAGCAATGTCTGTAAAAGGAGGCGGGTTTTAGCGGGATTATCCACTTCTTAAACGAAAGGTAACGCCTCGGTGAGGGCCGAACCTTGCTCGGCCCGCCACTTCTCGGGCAATTTTAGCGGTGAAACCACCTCAATTAGACAATCAGGCAGGGTGAACACAATGAATGCATTAACATCCTACTGCAAGGAATAACTTCAACTTTAGTAAGTAATTTGCAGTCTCGGAGAGATCGCCTCCCTTGCCGTTTTCAAATATCCGCACGCCCAAATCTTCAACAAAGGGGCCTTTTTTGCTTGAGGTATAGAACCACAACACTAACGTAAGGGAACACAGAACTACATGCAATATTTGATTAAGAGAACTCCCAAAAAATTAGGCATAAGGTAAACCCCTTCGAAAATCGGGCATTCATTCAACTGTAGTAGGGAACAAATAATAAAAAGAGATAGTACCTCGTTGATCAACGATATAGACATTATCCCTTAAGTAAAGAACAATCTAAGTCTACCCCCAGAAAGAAAAACATCTACCACGTAAAGGCCTCCTCCACAAAATCTATCACAGCGCCTCGTCCAATCCTGTCCCTCGCTGCATCCCGAACCTCATCCGCAAATGCACCGGGTCCACAAACCGAAACAAGGGTAGCACCCACATGCACAAGAAGCACTTCGTCAAGAACAACACCGGGACGACAGCGTCCAGAAAGCATCTGCACCGACGCAGACGGAGACACAATATCGGCAGCGCGACGCGGTTTCGAGACGAACAGCTTGACAACCAAAATCTCGCGCCGCATCGGCAGCCGCAGGATTTGGTCCATGTATGGACGGATCCATTCCAAATGGTCTGTTGAGCGGATTGACCAGATGAGGTAGATTTTGCGTGTCGCGGCGCGGGAATCTGCGGCGCGTTGGATGAGGTCGCGGGTGTATTGCAGGTGGTGGGTTATTCCGGCGCCGGCGGAGAAGAGCACTGTCGTGCCGTAACTGGTTGTGTTGGCTGGGTGGGAGCCGTACGGCCCTTCGAGGAAGCCTGTCATGCGGATGGTTTGGTTGGGGGAGGCGTTGGCTAGGTTGTAGAGCTTGCGGGTCATGCCTTGGCGGGCGCTGACGATGAGGGCTATTTGGGTGTGTCGGGAGCTGGGTGTTGAATGGAATGACTGTTTTTCTAGTGCTGATGGGCTGATATCTTTGTATTCTGGAGATAGCGCTTTCTTGGTGTTTGGTTCTGTCCAGGCGATGGAGAATGGGTGGGACATCCACCACGATAGTCGCGGGATGTAGGCATAGACATGGCAGCCGGGTTTGACCTGCACTAATTTGGGGAGGTGGAAGGTTACTCGGCATGCTTCGCCAGGGAGAGCTTCGACAATCATATTGGTGAAGCCGTTTGTAGGAGACATGTTGAGGTGGATTAGTCGAAGGAATCGGGCGCTTCGTTCGAATATCCAGATGGCCGCAATGATATTGGCCCAATACTTCTGTGGCAGGCTGTCCAGATTCAAATGGAAATAGACGCCGAGAAAAGCCAGAAACGCCAATAGCTGATGCAGATGCAAGAAAGTTTCGTAGAATGCATGGCGGATAGGTGATAGAGAATGCATTGACATAAAGACCACCGAAATTGTTCCCACCAGGCCCCAGCTAAAGAACGGCGTATCTCGCAGGCGCATGAGCATGTCAGCGAAACTCTGCTCATCGGAGGCGTTGATAGCCCAGGCAGTCGTGTGGATGATGACTTCGAGCACAATAATCCGGCCCAGCCAGCGGTGCAGAAGATTGTAGGTGTCGAAACTGATATGCAAGAGAGAAATCAAAGGGTTGTTGCGACCAGCCAGAAGGAAAAGAGGCACCATGTTCAAGACGGCCAACGTTCCAGACCGGCCACGAAGCTCGGCAACCAGTGCTGCCTTGACGTTGACTCTGTAGTCAAGATAAAAACAATATGCCAGCTGACTGATTAGATAGAATATGACCAAAATTGCCTGGAATCGGGATGGCAACGTGCCCATGCTGATAGCTGACGAAAGCTGGATTTCGCGGTTATGTCTCTTCTTGCCCAGCGGCGCGTATAGCAGATGTTTCTTCGCTTTTGCCCACAAAGTAGACTGCTCCTGGCTCCAGAATGTCTGTTGGCGCCTGTCAGCCGCCGACGAGGTAACCTGGCGAAGATAGGCATGGCTGATTTGGGCGATGCGGCCACAGAAGACGCTCAGCGCGAGGAGAACGACCGAGGTGTAGATAATGCGAGTAAACAGGACGTCGAGAGGGATGTTGACACCACCTAGGCCTCTGGAGTATTCGTAGATGTAGGTGACATTTGGCCCGTAGGACCGCGGTGCTAGGTGGGCAGCCATCGAGGTTGGCCACCCTCCAGCGGGTGGGATGCGAGTTGGCCGACTGCAGTTGTTCGGTGATAGGAGTCACCTTGAGAGCTGCATGGATGGATGTTTACATGTAGAATATGTGGCTGGAGAGAGGAATGCGAGACAAGATGGGATGAGATCATACAGATGGTTGGAATGTTGATGACATCCTCTCAACAAAGAGCTATTCCCATTGTCTGGAACAAAGAGGGCAACAATGACGATCATCCGGTAGGGGCTGAAGGCTTGTCTTTCAAACCCGCTCCGAAACAATTAAACATAATGCATCGTCTCTTAAATAAGACCAACGGTTGTCGAATGAAACAATGCAATTGGCGAGACGCCGGCCTGTAGTTCCACTGTTTCAAGCGCATCGGAAACAGCCCTGAAACGCGGCGCTTGCACAACTCGACTCATCGACCGTGATAGTTTCTTGATTGGACAGTGAATAATAATTAGTAATAACAAGATACGGTGCGTCTCGAAATTGGTGTCACCACCTACACACTTTCATTGTTTCTCGAACTGTAATGCCAAGACCAGATAATCTATGTTCGGGAGTTTTTCCGTAGTACCCCTGTCAGTATGACATGCATTGCTTCTTACGTAGATTATACATTCGACATGCAGGGTTAGTTAAGTAGCCGTGAATTTCTGAGGCTAACTAACCAATTTCTATGAATGAAACGTTCCGCTTGCACAAAGAATAACAGCAACTTCAAAGGCTTGCAAGAAATCCATTGACTAGATGGGAGCTCTAGCTTCCCCGACGGTTTCCAGAGAATGCTGCACATGAGCAAAGAGGCATGCAAGTTCCGAATTATGAATCCATTCATAGTCCTTCCTCCACGAATTGACTATGATCTCTTTTCCAAGTGTCGCGACTTTCTCGATTTGCTCGGACGTACCCCATCCCGGGGAGATGGTGCCAAAGCTGAGAAGGTGGCATCCGACCTGAAGAATAGTTCTCCAGGCGCGACTTTCAGTTTGCTCTCCCAGACCCTCGGCATAGCCTTGCATCATCCAAAGCCCCGCATCGATCTGCTTGTATAACCACAGGGCGTACATTTCTCCGATCATTTCGCCATGGTCCAAAGCAGGGACTCCGAGCTGAGCCATCTCCCAGTCTACCACAAAAATAGCTGTTTCTTTCTCTCCATCGAGAGGGACATCCTCAAGCAAAACACTACAGAGTAGGATAAGCCTAGAGCTCAAGTCGATAGCACATATCCAAATAGTTGACTACTTACTTCCCAGTCCAAAAGTCACCATGAATAGGTACAAGCCTCGGAGAGCTGTTCTCCAATTCCTTTTGTGCCATTTCCTTGACCTGGACGAAGATGTCTCGTGCCCCATTTAGAATATGCGGGAAATCCTCAATACGCTGTAAAAGCCAGTCATAGTTGATCATATGCTTCAGATTTTGCATGTCCTGGTTAAGCTGCAATGTAGCGAGAAACTTGCGCTCCTTCAGCCCTTGCGGCACACCATTGTGAAAGGCAGTAATATATTGGGCTAGTGCTTTTCCCAGCCAATGACATTTCGATCGTAAACTTTCTGCAGTCGGCGATAAAAAGTTCTTTAGAGAGTACTGTTTCAAATTTATGGCGCCAGGAATATACTCCAGTATCTGATTATTGGTCCTTTCGTGATATAAATAGCATCGTGGCGTCTTGATGATGAACTGGAGCGCTCTCTCATGATGTAAAGTGAATTGGAAAGAAGCAAGCAATCTCAGACACTCAGTCTCGATTTGCTTAATGAAGTCAGCGAATTAGCTAATTAGACTCGTGAGGACATGGTTTCTTACAATCCGGTCAATGCTAATTTTGCTTTCCGGTGCCACAGCCATATGGCCCTCGCCGTGTTTGATGACCACATCTCTTGTGCCCTCCCGGAGGGATCTAAATAGTCGCGCTCGAAAAACAAAGTTTGATGAGCCTCCGGATAGAGTTTCAAGCGAGGAGCATGCATATGGGGTATCTCTAAGCCACAGCAGTAGCTCGCGTTCTATTTCAATTGTGGTTTTTGGGACTCCCATCTTCAAATTCGCATCAGGGAAATTAGAGACACTCATCTTATGAACGATTTATACAAGAACCCGAAGGTAGCTGCCTGGTTCTACAGGAAACTAGGCTTCCTAGGCTGAAACATTCCCGTATTGTTTGTTTTTTTTTTTTTTTTTTTTGTCAAAAGCACCGAGATAAAGACAAATAGGCACCAGTGACAACATCAAAGCTAATACAGACTAGCGGATATTGACATTACGGTTTGAGGAACAATGAAAGAGTGTAGGTTATGACACCAGTTTCGAGACGGACCGTACAGCAGCAGAGTAAACCAAATCCCCAAGAGAGGGATGTGAGGTGACGTAGACAATCAAAGCGGCCGGATGTGCAACATACCCAACGGTGAATGGCTGATGTTTCCATAGCCTGGGTCCCAGGCAGGTGAGCTTTTTGCTTTTGCTTTAGGATTCTAATTTACTTAGTCGGAGGCGAGACTGGCTGTGCATACAATTTATATTCGAGAAGACTAGTGACTTAAAACACATCAGTATTATACCACTTAGTCCCTGCATTCAATTAGATTACGCTTGACATTACTATAAGATACTTGAGTATTTACAGACATTTGCTTTCTATTTTTGTATACAGGTCATGAACTTCGCTTCGCTCGGTGACTTGAACCTATACGCGAAAGCGCACACAGTTCATACTATAATCTCTAGATAGTGTCTCTTTGGCTACCGTCCCATCCACCCACCGTCCACAGTAATAACTTCACCAGACACATATCCACTCGCCGAACTCGCCAAAAAGACAACAATCCCCTTGAAGTCCTCCGGCTGACCCCAGCGACCCGCAGGAATACGCGCCATGATTGCAGTGTTACGGTCAGCATCATTAATGAGCGCGGTATTCATATCCGTAGCGATATACCCGGGCGCAATCGCATTGACATTGATTCCCTTGCCCACCCACTCATTCGAGAGCGCCTTGGTCAGCTGTCCGACGCCACCCTTGGAGGCGGCATAGGCGGGCACGGTGATGCCACCCTGGAAGGTGAGCAGGGACGCGACGTTGATGATGGAGCCCCGGCGGGCGGAAGGGAACTCGGAGGCATCGCGGGCGAGGAGGTAGGCGCCGAATTCGCGACAGAGCGTGAAGACTGAAGTGAGGTTCACATTGATAACCTATCACAGTCAGTAATTGTGGAGTGGTGGTGAGAAACAAGAGACAAACTTCATCCCAGTCCTCGTCGGGAAACTGGTGGCTCGGATGCCGTCGCTGGATGCCCGCGCAGTTCAGCAAAATCTGCGGCTTGATGCCCTGGCTGACTAGGGCGGGCATGATGCCCTTGATGGCTTGTCGGTCGGACAGTTCGGCGACGTGGATCCAGGCTTTGCGGCCTAGACGACTGACGATCTCGTCTCGGGTCGACGTGTTGGACTCGTCTCTCTAAGGGACAGCGGTTAGCTTGAAATCGGCTTCTTGATGCATGCCACGTACCTGGATCAGCACGATGTCTGCGCCGGCTTCCGCCAGGGCAATGGCCATGGCTTGGCCGATGCCGCGCGTGCCGCCGGTGACGATGGCGGTCTGACCGGCCACAGAGAAGAGTGAAGCGACTGTTGCTGTCATTATTATTATTATTGTGTGTTGTGTGTTCCAACAGAGACAAGACGCAGGTTCAGATCTTTTATCGGGGCGACTCCCCCACACGCGGGGTATTCCCAATCGGGAATGCAATTGCCGTCGGCGATTGAAGATTTGTGTCTGTTTGGGTGTATATCAGTTGAAAAAAAGAAATCAATTCCTGCATTGTAGGTATTAGTACATATTAAATGTTTATTTATGTCAAATTGATCAAATTCTTTCAAATAAACTGCTAGATATGCTGTGTTTTTGTCGCCAGCGTCTCGAACGGTCAATAGCCGACGGCAATTGAATCCGTCCAACATCGACGACATCAGGAGCTGCGCCCACCGCACAAAATACTATTAAAATGGCCAATTCAAGGCCCCAAAGTATTTGGGAATAAGTAATCAATAACGTCTACGAGCCTACATTCAAATAAATATCTCAATAGCCCTAATATACCTGCTAGAATCTGATGAGTAATGAACCCTGCTCGTGTGGGTCTGTGCCATCCTCGTGCTTTTGTACAAGAATTGTGGGCGACAACCAACTACTCCCTGCTATAGCCCAAACCTGAATCCTTCATGGAGCTGGAGTCACCACAAGACCTGTCCCGCTCAGATCACATCGCCAAGCGGGTATCCCGCGCGTGCCTGCATTGCCGCCAGCGTAAATCCCGATGCGACCTGTACGTTTTGCGGAGGGTGTTTCCCCGGATCTTCACAGAGACAGACTAATCACCCCGTGACAGAGATAGCAACGGCAATCCCGGTAAGCCGCCCTGCCAGCGCTGCGTACGCGAGAACCGCGACTGTGTTCTGGGCGGCTCCAACCGCGGCGGGCGCCGTATTCGCAAGAATAAAATCAAGAACTTCACCCCGGGTATTCTGTCGCCCGGAAAGGACTCGGATACGTCTAGTCCCGATAATAGGAGACATTCTGCTTCTTATCCCGGTCCTGTGGTCTTTTTGCCGCCGAATCCGCCTACCTCTGCCGGTGCTGTGGTGGACGATGATGAGACCGCTTCCATCGGCTCTGTCCCGCGCAACCCGTCAGATGCCTGGCAGTGTCTGACCGGTATTGCTACTCAGGGCGGTGCAGACCCTGCCGCTATATCAGCGCACACCAACCCTCGCTCAGGTAGCATTTCCTACTCTGGCCTGCGCAATGGGGTTCCCGACTTCACTACGCCCAGCACGGGCATCAGAGCATACCGCCTGGTCCATTCGCGTTCTCTGGACCCGGAAACTGTGTGGCAACTTGTGATGCGCTACGAAGCCAACTTCCACCCGTATCTGCCGTTAGTGCCGCGCAAGTATTTCCAACGCCCTGCGCTGGATGACTTTGCCACCAACGAAAAGCATCTGCTGACTGCCGTCCTGACCATCGCCTCGAAAGATCTGGTCGATCGGCCCGAGATCCATGAGTACTGCTCGAAGTATATGCACGAGCTAATCTCAGGTATCGCAGCTGGTGCCGAATGCGATGTCGAAGCCGTGGAAGCACTCCTCTTGCTGGCCGAGTGGGAGCCACAGGGTCTGCGTCCACGCATCGAACGCGTGGGACGAGGCGAAGAAGATCGCGCGGCGTGGATGCACGTCGGGCTTGCACTGCGGTCCGGCTACTTCATCGGACTGGATCGAACGTCTTTTCGAGGCGATCCTTCTGGGGATCAAGAAACGGAAGCGCGTCGGCGACTGGCCTGGGCCAGCTGCTATGTCTCGGATAGGTTAATCTCCGTGCGAATTGGGCGCGCATTCTGGTCTCGCGGACCAGGTCCAATGACTGGGTTGTCCAGCCAAGATTTCCCGTCGCTGCAGCCCGTCAAGGATGGCGATGAGGATTATGCAAAGATCTTTCAGGCTATGCTGGATCTGACGCAACTATATGGCAATGTCCACGAAGTGCTGTACTCCGGCATGCGCGCCAGCAATCAAATGATGCTGATGGGCGACTACGTCAAGTACGTGGATGACTTCCGGCTTGCCATCTTACGATGGAAATCACTCTGGGGCTCGTTAGACTGTTCTCCACCGATGCGGGCGACGTTGCAGCTGTCTTACGAGTACCTGCGTCTATACACGACTGCTTTCGCCTTTCAGGCTGCTATTTCTCAGTCGCTGGTGAAACCCAAGAGCGACGGAGTGTCTCACCGCGAACAGCTGCGGGCTACGTTTCGGAATGTGGCGTCGATGCAGGATTCTCGCTTCATCTATGAGTCCGTCGATGCGGCCAAGGCATACTTGACTATTCTCGTGGACTCGGTTGATCCAGAGAGACATTTACATTTCATGCCGTTACGATTTTACCTGTGAGACCTTTTCACTTGTAACAGCAGGATCCAGCTAATCAAATCCAGGTATGCCATCTACTCCGCCGTCTTTCTGTATAAAGCGCGGTCGTTCGGCATGATGGTTCCCTCCGAGGAAGCAAAAGTGCAAGGCCTAGTCGCACGAACCACCGAAATCCTTAAACAAGCAAGCGCCGGACCAGACGATATTGGATCTCGGTATGCGCGGCTGCTCGAGCTTCTCTGGAAATCCAAACCGCCAATGGGCAAGACCTCAGCAGAAACACCACAGAGTAGCGACTTTGCAATGCAAAGCGCGCTCTCAAATCCAGTTACCGAACACAGTAGCTACATGCACTTCAGTCCCGCTAACGATTTCTCATGGCTCGATCTCGAGGCCGTGGGCGACTATGTGTCTGGCGACCAAATCCCCGGTGCGGGCATGCTGGGCTTCGATGCGTTCCAGAATGCCAATGCCGAACTGTACCAGTCTGATCAGAATCGGTCACAGGCATGGCAGCCTGCGTGGATGGGTGATCTGAGCAGCAATCTCCTCTTCTGATGATGCTGAGTGTCAATATCGGCAAATGTTTTCGCCCTGCGGGGCAGGCTTTGCGGGGCCATATCCACCCGGCCATATTCTCGGCGGTCCGCCCGATATGCTGATATAGCCGAGGACAGACATGCGTTTAGAACTTCTACTCTTGCATCCACTTGTGATTCAGCGCAAAATGTCCCTCAACGAGATCAAGGGGCGTCTGGCTCTAATTACCGGTGCTTCGGGCGGGTAAGCTTCACCTCTTCAGCTCATCACACAGCAAAAGCATCAAGCATCACTACAGAACAGGACTGACCATGCCTCTAGAATCGGCACCGCCTGCGCCCGGCAACTCGCCTCCGAAGGCGTCCACCTAGCGCTCACGTACTCAACGAATCTAGACGCAATGAACACGCTAATAGAGACACTCAAGTCCGTCCATGCAGACAAACAGCTCCGCATCTCCACACACCAAGTAGATGTCGGTTCCGCAGAATCCATTGGGGCAATGTTCACAGAGATCGACGCACAGCACGGTCAGCGACCGGACATCCTGGTCTCCAACGCCGGGTACGGGAAGCGCTTCCCGAATGTGTGGGATATTACCCTCGAGGAGTTCGACTATACGCTAAACGTCAACTTGCGTGCGTCGTTCATCCTTGTAAAGGGCGTCGTTGAGCATATGAAGGCTCAGCACTGGGGCCGGATTGTGCTGATGTCTTCTATCGCGGCACAAGGCGGGGGCATTAATGGATGTCGTATGCTGGCCTTCTCCCCTCCTTTCTTTTTTAGATGTGACCGACTAACTTTGGATTTAGATTACGCCGCATCAAAGGGCGGTCTTACCGGCATGATGAAGAACCTTTCTACCCGTCTTGCCGAGTTCAATATCAGCGTCAACGACGTCGCTCCCGCGATGATCGGTGACACAGGGATGATCCCCAACGCGGCAGCGATTCCTGAAGTCGCGGCCAGCATCCCACTACAGAGGCTGGGCACACCGGAGGAGACGGCTAATGTTGTTACTATGCTGTGCAAGACCGGGTATATGACGGGGCAGAGTCTCCTGCTGGCTGGGGGACTGAAATAGGGGAGTTTAAGGCAGGATATACGTGATATTACGTGGTGTTCAAGATTCAAGTGTCTAGCAGGAATCAGGCCCAACTTTAAGCATGTCATTACAAGTACCTAAACTCTATCCCATAATCAGAGCAGCATCACATATATGTTCAATCCATTCTGGACCATATCCGTGTTCCCCAAGGTACCCCCACACATGAACAACCTTGAACTTGCCAACTCGGTATTATATATGACTTTACAAGGGAGATATATAAATAGCACATGGTGATGTGTGAATCTGACTTTTACTACTTTTGATATTTATATTTTCGAAGGGCAAAATTAAATCCATGCTCTGATATATTCTCAATATATATATCCGACATTTCCATTTTGGTGGGTATACATGCATACAAGCGCAACTAACTCTCAATCACAACCTTGACTACTGGCTTCCCCATCTCATCAACCCCCTTACCAGCAAGCTCGAACGCACGCTCCCCATCCGCAAGCTTGATCCGATGCGTAACGACCTGCTCCTCCACCTTGGCCATCTTCCCACTCGCCATCAACGCAATAGCAGCCGGGTACGCATACCCATCATACCGGAAGACGCCAATGATATCGACCTCGCGCAGCGCCGCGGCGCCAACGGGGAGTGTCTGGATGGGATTTCCCATTCCGATCTGAACGAGGATGCCGCCTGGTGCGGAGGCGTAGATGCCTGCCTGCACGCAGGCTGGCACGCCCGTGCAGTCGTAGACGCGACTGAAGCCGGGGACTGGAAGATCGTCGCCGCTGACAGCTGCTGCCGTGAGTGTGCCTGCGACGCGTTGGGCATTCTGTAGTGCGAACGCGATCTGTTCTGCGTGCGGAGCATCCGGCGCAGGAGGCGGATGGGCAGGATCACCGCGAGGAATCAGCGCTGTCTTCAGACCTAGACCCAACGCCTCGGCAATCTTCAATCGCGAGGGGTCGATATCTGCCACTACGATAGAAGTAAACTGCTCTGATGTAGCCAGCGCAGAAGCGAGGAGTAACCCGATGGCACCCGCGCCAAACACCAGCGCCGCAGTTCCCTCTCCCGCACCCTTCGACAGAGCCACCTGCTCGGCCGTCGGCGGCCTCGACCGCCGAATAGCATGCAAGCACACAGCCAACGGCTCAACCAAGGCTCCACCGGCATCAGACACATTGTCCGGCAGGAGATGGCACATGTTGGCGGGATGATTCGTCCGCTCCATGAGCGTACCGTCCAGGTGTGGGAACTGCTTCGCGCTGCTGCGGAACTGCATCGCAGTGCAGATATTGTACCGGCCCTGCTGACAGAGGGCGCACTTGCGGCACGGCAGACCGACTTCTAACGCGACGCGGTCGCCGACCTTCAGGTTCTTGACGTCGCCTCCAACGGCAGTGACTGTGCCTGAGGACTCGTGGCCTAGACACATTGGCTCGCGGACGACGAAGTCGCCATTCCGGCCGTGGGTGTAGTAGTGTAGGTCGGAGCCGCAGAGGCCGGTGGCTTGCACGGCGACTTGGACGGAGGTGCCGGTTGGGGCGGGTACGGGGCGTGTTTCCTGGGGGGTGTTTGTTAACTACCTGTCTTGGGTTTAATATCAAGATATTCTTTGTCTTACCAGGCGCAGGTCCTTCGCACCGTGGAGGACAAGCGCATTGACGGATGTGTCTGTCATGGTGGCAGTGTGTGTGCGTTGTTTGAAAGGAAGAGAGTCGAACAAGAATTGACATGATGTGATGATTCCCCTCATAAACCCCCACTGTTTCTCGTGGGGGATCCGGACTTGGTCCGTGTCGGCTATCGAACCAGATGCCGCATTTTCAATTGCCGATGCCGTGGGATGATTGGGGGTGTCCGTGTTGGTATTAATCGGACAGAGGATGAGAGGTCATAGAATCCGACTTATTCAAAGAGTAACGAGAGGAGAGATGCAACTATATGCCCTAGGCACAGACCTAGCCCTAAGTCATCAACTATAGTAGAACTCGCAGTTAGTGTACTTCCAAACACCGTACTCTGTCATCTCGGAATTCAGGCTCCACCTGTGGGGGTTATCTATCGATAGTCGCGGGGTTCATCTCTTCCCTTTAGCCAGTTCTTCTCTCTTTTTCGCAACAATATCCCCAAAAGCAACCGCCAACATGCCTTCCGCTCTGCTCATCGGCGACATTATACACGCGCGCAAGGAATGGGAGAGTTTCTCCTCCATCCTGACGCTCAAAGTAACGTCGCCTAGTTTATTTTCAAATTTTAATTTTTTAAACTCCAATTTCTAATTCGCAACAGGAATTCCCCAGCGGCGGCAGACAAGCATTCATCCAGAACTGCCAGGCCGGCCAGTACGACGACGTCGTTGCCATCTACCGGTCCAATACGTCCAACAAGGTGCGAACGAACCCTCTCTACAAAAGGTCATTGGCTAAACGCGCGTCTTTAGCATACTGGTCCCTTTAACTCGGAGTTAGTTGCCGTCCTCCCGCAAACCCTGCGCTACATCTGCCACAACGGCGCGGGCTATGACAACATCGACATCGCTGCCTGCTCGCAGCGCAACATTGCTGTTTCCAGCACGCCAGTCGCAGTGAACAACGCCACCGCCGATGTGGGCATCTTCCTCATGATTGGCGCATTGCGACAGGCCTACGTGCCACAGGCGGCTCTTCGCGCTGGTGAGTTCATCTGTCTACGCTCAAAATAATTGCCCACTGAAAACAGGAATAGGAACCTGGCAGGGAAAGACCACATTGGGCAATGATCCCAAGGGCAAGGTGTTGGGGATTCTGGGGATGGGGGGTATTGGACGGGTATGTGGATGGATTTACTTGCCTTCAGACAGAGCTCTGCCTAACGAACGGGAATCAGGAAATGGCAGTGCGAGCCAAAGCCTTCGGCATGAAGATCCAGTATCACAATCGCTCGCGGCTGCCCGCTGACCTGGAAGGAGGCGCGACGTACGTCTCGTTTGACGAGCTGTTGGCGAATGCGGACGTGCTGAGTCTGAACCTGGCGCTGAACGCATCCACGCGCCACATTATTGGTGCGACGGAATTCGGCAAGATGAAGGATGGTGTAGTGGTCGTAAACACGGCGAGGGGAGCCTTGATTGACGAGAAGGCGCTGGTCGCGGCGCTCGACTCGGGCAAGGTATGTATCCAATCTTCCCGGAGGAGAGTCTGGAAGTTAATGATGGCCAAAGGTGCGCTCTGCCGGTCTGGACGTGTACGAGAATGAACCCGAGATTGAGCCTGGGTTGGTAAATAACCCGCGCGTGATGTTGCTGCCGCATATTGGCACGATGACCTTCGAGACGCAGCGGGAGATGGAGATTTTGGTGCTGGATAATCTGCGGTCGGCGGTGGAGAAGGGGGAGTTGCTCACGCAGGTACCAGAGCAGAAGCGGCAGGCCAAGGTATAGACGGGAGGAGGATGGGCAGAGTACTTCAGTTAATAGAGACACGATAAAATAAATGCCTGAGGCACCAATATTTACTTACATAAGACAAATCACCTGACACGTTTAGGGTTCTCGCTTAGCACCTGACCTCGCAAAAATCCACACTCGAAGAATCCGCGACCGACAGCGGAACCCATCACCACCCGACAAAGGACCATCGACTTCCTCTCGCCAACTCCTCCAAGATGGTGAGTCTGACTGCTCTCTTGCGTCTCGATGACAATTCCTCTGCCCAATTCCTCTTCGATGCCGCTCCCCTTGTCACCACTATCGGCTCGTCTCATCATCTTGAAATTCGTCAAATTCACAGACGCACCAAATGCTAACTCCCTCTCTCTCTACAGGTCCGTTACGCCGCCCAGGAGATCTCGGCCACGAAGAGCGCCCGCGCGCGGGGCTCGTACCTGCGTGTCAGCTTCAAGAACACCCGTGAGACCGCCCAGGCCATCAACGGCATGAAGCTGCAGAAGGCCCTCACCTTCCTCGAGAATGTCACCACCAAGACCATGGCCGTCCCCATGCGGCGGTACGCCGGCAGCACCGGTCGCACTGCTCAGGGTGAGTGCTTCCCTTTTATTTTATTTTGGGTGTGGGAAAAAAAACTTGTGGGCGTTTTTTTGGAGCGCACGATTGCAGGATGAAATTGATGGTTGAATTTTTTTTCTGACAACCACCCAGGCAAGCAGTTCGGTGTTAGCAAGGCCCGCTGGCCCGTCAAGTCCGCCGAGTTCCTCATCGATCTCCTGAAGAACGCCGAGGCCAACGCGGACACCAAGGGTCTCGACACTGGCAACCTGGTCGTCAAGCGCATCCAGGTGAACCAGGCTCCCAAGGGCCGGAGACGCACTTACCGTGCCCACGGTCGCGTACGTTTCTTGAATCATGTCCCAAAACACCAAACAATAAACTAACTTTCTCCAGATCAACCCCTACATGACCAACCCCTGCCACATCGAGCTCATCCTCACCGAGGCCGAGGAGCAGGTCGCCAAGGGACCCTCGGATGCCCTCAAGCCCCGCCTGTCCTCCCGCCAGCGTGGCTCCCAGATCCGCCGTGCCCTCACTGAGGCATAGATAGATCAGTGGATGGATGTGAAGGAGAAGGGGCGATGATATGATGATGCTGTGTGCCCAGAAAAAGAAAACAGTCGCAGTGAGCGGCGATTTTCTTCCCGCATCTCGTCTCTCTGTGATGTCTGTTGGACATGGATCATACGATTGATTGTTTTTTAAGGTCATGGCGCCCAGCACGCATGGAGAACAATTTCAAAAAGTTCAAATACCACGATATCATTCTGTAATCTACTAGGTTTTTGTATTACAACAATATCGGTAGGAAACAGGGAATAATCTGCTGCGGGGCTATTTCTTTCCTCGACAACCATTCCTCCGCTACCCATCACCTAGTAGAGGTATATACAACATCCACACCATGTCCCACCTCAAAGACTACCGCCTCCTCTGCTTCGACGTCTACGGCACCCTAATAGACTGGGAATCCGGCATTCTCTCAGCCTTACAACCTCTCCTCTCGAAAAGCACCACTGTATTCCCCAATGCGCACCTGCTGACCGTCTACCACTCCCTCGAAAACGCCCAGCAGCGCCAAACCCCGGACATGCCCTACTCGCAACTGCTAGCAACCATCCACCCAACCCTCGCCTTGCAACTAGGTCTCCCACCCCCAAGCCCCGAAGAAAGCACCGCATTCGGCAACACCGTGGGCAGCTGGCCTGCGTTCCCAGACACGGTGGATGCGTTACGCCGACTGGGGAAACACTACAAGTTAGTCGTTCTGTCCAATGTCGACAGGGAGTCCTTTGCGCGCTCGAATGAGGGCAGTTTGCAATCTGTGCCCTTTGATCTAGTCATCACGGCGCAGGATGTGGGGTCTTATAAACCCGAACTACGGAACTTCGAGTATATGATTGAGAAAGTGAAAACCACCTTTGATATTCCTAAGACAGCGATTCTGCAGACGGCGCAGAGCCAGTTCCATGATCATCAACCGGCCAAGAAGATGGGGATTAAGACTGTTTGGATTGAGCGACCGGGGGCTATGATTGGGAAGCAGGGGGAAACAGTGTTTGATTGGAGGTTTGATACACTAGGGGAGATGGCGGATGCTTTGGAGAAAGAATCGGGTCCATAGTATGCCATCAGGAGTAACTAGGTAGTAGTACGTATTATGTCATTGTTGATGTTGTTAGGGAGGGATTTTTGTTGTTATGGGTAGGATCGTAGTTCGTCGAGTTAAAAATAGATAGATTGATGATCCAGATGGCCCCAGACACGACGATCACGTTTCGTGATATGGTTTGAATATTAGCTATAGCTTCCATGAACGGTCTAGCGATATTATCTCTGGTTTAGCCATAGTTCATTGTAGCTCGCCTTGACCGTGCACTCTATCGCTGCTGACTGCTAGGCACCGACTTGTGCGGCAACATAGTTGCAAGCTGACGCAGCTCAACCAGAGAATAACCAACGGCGACCATAGAAAACCCCCTTAAACACGTCAACGGACATCTGCGCGTACAACCTGTTGGCAGTGTCTTCGCTTGGCGGGGAGGCTGAGGCCTCGCTTCTACTCCGTGGCTTTAATGGGCTCTGGCCCCCATCAATTATTAGTACCTGTGTTTTTCTTCTATTTTGCTTCTTAACCTTCGCTTCGCTCTCTTCCTCCCCTGCTTTCCCCCAACCCACCACCACCATGAAGCGCTTCCTACGTCTGAACCGGCGAGAGAGTGAGCAAGAGAGTGAGTCGGACTGCTCGTCTCTTCCCATCCCGCCTCCTGCTGCAAGGAATGCTGACAGGATCACCCAGGCCCCTCTGGTTCCGACAACGAACCATCCCACCCCAGTGACTCCCCCGAGGGCATTATCCTAAAAGAAATTGTGTGTTTGTTGAGATTGAAAGAACAAACTCATCCCGACTAACAATAAGTCCAGACAGCCTTTTGCGAAACCAGCGGTGCCCCACAACACAGCTCTGTATGTACTCAACCACCGCCATCCTCCCACTTCATACTATGTACATTCAACTGACAAGGCCCACCTGATACAGACCGCCGGAGATGAATTCGTCCACCTGCCCCTCATCGTCGAAACCGCCGAAAGCAGCCCCGTCGCCGCCAAGGAGGCCGCCCATCGCATTCGCAGGTACCTCTCCGAGCCAGGCACAACCCCGAACCACGTCCAGTACAACGCGATCATGCTCATGCGCATCCTGGCCGACAACCCGGGTCACACGTTCACGCGCAACATTGACGGCAAATTCGTGGCCACGATCAAGACCCAGCTCAGGCAAGGGCGCGACTGGCACGTGCAGCACTATCTGCGCCAATATCTGAGCACGCTGGAGACGCAGCGCCAGTGGGACCAGGACCTGGCGCTGCTGTTACAGATGTGGAGTAAGGAGAAGCACAAGGCTACGCAGTCATGGGTAAGAACCTGTTTCTTTATTTTTTGAGAAAAAGGCGTAGCGCAAGGCACCCACCCGCTAACCACAGTCTCTCGAATTAGACGGACCGCCGGCCGATGGGAGGAGCGTATCCGCCGCCGAATCCGCAGAACCCGCAGCAACAGAATTACAACTACTATTCGCGTCCGCAGGCACCGCGCAACGTGCTGCCGGGCCCGGAGGAGCTAGCGGCCCGTGTCACCGAGTCGCGCAATTCCGCCAAGCTGCTCACGCAGTTCGTGCAATCGACCCCGCCGACAGAGATGGAAAGCAACGATCTGATCAAGGAGTTCACGGACCGCTGCCGGACCGCTTCGCGCGTCATTTCGGGCTATATGCAGGCGACAAACCCAGCGCCCGACGACGAGACGCTCCTAACCCTGATTGAGACGAACGACGAGCTCTCCGTGGCGCTCTCGCAGCAGCAGCGCGCAGTGTTGAAAGCGCGCAAGGCCCGTGGCTCTGTCAGCCAGAGCCCCAACAATAACTCCTCCCGCGAGCGCAGCCCGCAGTCAAACAACAACAATTATGTCGTTGCGTCCGGCGCTATTGGGCCCATGTCGGCGAGTGCAGCGCCCCGCTTGAGTAACGATGTGCCGTCGCCTTTAATAGATATAGATGATGCCGCAGAGCCAGCGCCCAACTCGGGACCAACTGCCCCCCGAACTACGAGCCAGCGGTATGAGTATAACTCGGATGAGTTCCAGGTGCAGAACCCCTTTGCGGACGACTTTGCTACGAATGACTCCGATTCGAATCATCCTCATAGCACGACTACGACGGAGCCCAGTGGTCGTGTTGGGATTGTGCCTACTGAGCATTAGCGTTGAAGAGCGGATGGTTGTTGAAAAACATGTTGGGTTATAAGCTTTCTTTTTTGGGGGTTGTCTTGCCCTTGTTCTTGTCTCTCGATAAAGCGTTTTGTTGCCGTTGTCTGCATTCACCCATGATACCTCCGTGAAGCACCATTTCTTATATTTACTTGGATTATATGATTCTTTTCGTTCGAAGCATGCATACAGAGTCTATACCCGCCATACGCAGCCCAAACAAGATCGGTTGTATGGAATATCTGAGTACAGCAAGCCTCTCGAAAGTTAGGAAATCGTTGGTTTATCTGGCATTTCGTCTGATATTACTTCAACGACAGTATTTCAGGATCCACTCTTGTTGAAGCCAAGCCCAATTCTGATCAACGACCTGTAGCCTTCGCATGTAGATATTTAGAAACAGTACTTCCAGAAATCGGGGTCATCACCTACACACTCTCTCTTCCCCATGTCAGGGCACGCCAAACCATTTTAGCAATAATCTAATATAATATCCCCGATTGGGGCCTTGTACCGTAAAAATCCCGAATCATTTTATTATACTAGCCTATGTTTATTACCTTTCGGAGCTGGACAGTGCTACTACCCCTGTACCCCACAATTACTCCCAATACCAAATAGCGGGCTGTGGGTTCTGCCGTTTGTACCACGGCAGCCGGTAGCCTCTCCTTTGATAGCATTTGACGCTATAAGGCCGCAAGGCTCCTCGTGTTCGCCAGTGGTCCACGGGGAATCTAGCGAAGAGAACAAGTACATAATCGGTGCCAAGGTTCAGCGGTCGATGGTCATCTGATCGTGGGGCTGAGGTCGGCCTTCCGTTTGCTAGTGGTTGGGACTTCGGCTCTGCTAATAACAGCATCATTGTATGCACCGCCTATTGAGCATGAATTCAACATCGTTTGGTCATGCAAACGCGGGGTTTCAGTTTGGGGCCAATTATGGACCGATCCACATCTCATCCGGTACGTTTAATGAAGCATTTTCCAAGCCGGGCCAAGTTGACTGAAAGCCACTTTTCGACCCAGACCCACCAGATAACCCACAGCAGAGGATAGACAACGGTTCGAATCGCTCCATATCAGTCAAAGAGACTATCACTAATTATAGTGGTAGAGGTGCTTGGGTCTCTGGCATTCCCGCAGATGCTAGATCGGAGAGACAATATCGAGCCATGTCATACAAATACCTGCCAATGGATTTTGGAATTGGAAAAGTACCAGTCTTGGAGGAGCCAGTCCCGTGGCTTACTATGGATTAAGGGCAAGCCGGGTGCGGGCAAATCGACACTGATGGTGTTCCTGCACGACAGACTCAAGAGATTACAGGACAGCAGTCAGGGTATTCGGCTTGACTTCTTTTTCACCGCTCGGGGCACGGAGATGCAACGAACACCGCTCGGGATGCTCAGATCGTTGCTGAACCAGATCTTTATCCTCGACGAGACCGTGCGCCCTCAGGTGCGCGAGACCTATGAACAACGATGTAAGCAGTTTGGATATGGTGAACGTAAGTGGGAATGGCCACGAGTGGTGCTAGAAGAGTTACTGGCAGGTGCGATCGTGGCATCCGCCAGTCGACAGCAAGTGACGGTTTTTGTCGATGCACTGGATGAGGCTGGGACTGAGTCTGCTCAACAGCTAGCAGCATATTTCCATCGACTTATTGATCGCGCAGAAAAAAAGAACGCGGCAGTAAAAATTTGTATCTCATGTCGACACTATCCCATCATGGAAAGTGCCCGGGCTATAGAGATATATGTCGAAGACCATAATCGTGCAGATATCGCCACATATATCAAGGACATCCTTGCTGACACAGAGGTCGGAGACAGTCCTAGTGATGCGGCGGGGGAGGTGCTAGTGGAAAATCTGATCCAGCAAACCAATGGTGTGTTCCAATGGGCTCATCTCATAATGCCTCTTATTAGGCAGAGGATTTTCGAAGGTGAATCGTTTGACGACATCCGTTGCTGGTTACACGAGGTCCCAGCCGGCCTGGAAGACGTGTATATGTACATTCTAAACAACGTGATAGAAGCAAGGAATCGGGATCAGTCGTTCATGTTGTTTCAATGGGTGTCCCTGGCCGAGCGACGACTCACTGTGACAGAAATGCGGTATGCCTTGGCTGCTAAGAATGCCCAAATAACGCCTTCCCCACAAAAATGGGAGAAGATCCACGGTTTTATCGAAAGCGATGCACGCATGAAGCGAAGAATCAAGGCTCTATCTGGTGGGCTAGCCGAAGTAGTCTCAAGCAGTGATGACCGAGAGACTGTACAAGTGGTACACCAGTCGGTCAATGATTTCTTGCGTGCGAAAGGACTGGGGCTTTTGAGTCATCATATCGGTGCCAACACGTCACCTATGGATGGCGAGGAGATTCTATTCCAATGCCAGGCAACTCTCTACAGATCATGTCTGGTTTATCTAGCCAGAGTACACATGCCTCGAGAAATTTTACATAATCTTCAGATGAAAAATAACTTCATCCAGAGTTGCCCATTGGTTATTTACGCCACTGTCAACCTCTTCATTCATGCGGAAAAAGCTGCCGGGCGTCGAGCGAACGTGCTGCGGAATGAACAAGTTATCCTACAGCAAGTGATACATCGATGGGTCCAGATTTACCAGATGCTAGATCGGTATGATACAGCATGCCCACCGACAGGCACAACACTCTTACATATGGCTGCAGCTGCCAATCTGGTTGACGTCATAGAATCAGCGGTGTCGAATGGTGAAGATGTCGCGAAGGAAGACGGAATTGGAAATACAGCTTTCCATTTAGCAGCTCGACGAGGTCATATAAGAGCGGGCAAAATACTCTGGAGCAAGGGAGTCGACCGCGAGGCAAAAAATGAAAAGGGAATAACACCATTAATCGAAGCGGCCGGATGCGGGAATGTGAAATTTGTCGAATGGCTCCTGCATGAAGGAGCCAAGCTTGAAACAACAAGGCATAGGAGTGGAGGTGCGCTACAGCTAGCTTCATTGGGAGGTCATCAGAGTGTGGTGAAACCATTGCTTGCGGCCGGTGCCGATGTCAATGCCCAGGGTGGTGAATACGGCAATGCCCTACAGGCCGCTGCATATAATGGACACACTAAAATAGTGCTCATTCTCCTTGATGCTCACGCCGATATCAACGCCCAGGGTGGTCAGTACGGCACTGCCCTACAGGCCGCTGCATGTATGGGACGCACCAAGATAGTGCGGATTCTCCTTGATGCTCATGCCAATATCAATGCCCAAGATGGTAAATTTGGCAACGCCCTACAGGTCGCTGCATGTATGGGACGCACCGAGATAGTGCGGATGCTGCTCGACGCTCATGCCGATGTCAATGCCCAGGGTGGTAAATTCGGCAATGCCCTACAGGCCGCTGCGTTAAGAGGAAGCACTGAGATAGTGCGGCTGCTGCTCGACGCTCACGCCGATATCAATGCTCAGGGTGGTGAATTCGGCAACGCCTTACAGGCCGCTGCATGTATGGGACGCACCAAGATAGTGCGGATTCTCCTTGATGCTCACGCCGATATCAATGCCCAGGGTGGTCGATTCGGCAACGCTCTACAGGCCGCTGCATGTAATGGATACACTGAGATAGTGCGGATGCTGCTCGACGCTCACGCCGATGTCAATGCCCAAGGTGGTGGATCCGGCAACGCCCTACAGGCCGCTGCATGTAATGGACACACTAAGATAGTGCGCATTCTCCTTGATGCTCACGCCGATATCAACGCCCAGGGTGGTCAGTACGGCACTGCCCTACAGGCCGCTGCATGTATGGGACGCACCAAGATAGTGCGGATTCTCCTTGATGCTCACGCCGATATCAACGCCCAGGGTGGTCAGTACGGCACTGCCCTACAGGCCGCTGCATCTACGGGACACACTGAGATAGCACGGTTGCTACTCGACGCTCACGCCGATATCAATGCTCAGGGTGGTCAATTTGGTAACGCCCTATAGGCCGCTGCATGTATGGGACGCGCCGAGATAGTGCGGATTCTCCTCGATGCTCACGCTGATGTCAATACCCAGGGTGATCCGTATGGATCTTCTCTTGTGGCGGCTGTTCATGAGGGCCATTTTGATCAAGTTCAAATTCTTCTTAACACTGGCGCAGATTCGTTGCTCGCAGATGAACTCGACCAGACTCCTCTTCATACTGCAGCTTCGAGAAACATGCTCCATATTCTCTATCGATTTCGGCGTTTCACCTCGACTATCAACGACCAGGACAAGCTGTTACAAACCCCTCTCCATCTTGCTGTCTGTCTCGGTCACATCAGATTCGCTATTATGCTTCTCAACCTTGGTTCCGATCCTTGCCTTCAGGATGGCTATGGCAGAAATATCATGGACTGGGCACTGAGGCACGAACTCTTGATGCACCAAATCCGTAAACATTGCCCTCAGACCGTCTTGACCCCTGATCAGATCCTAGAACAGGGGGTTCGCTGATCGGTCCTGCAAATCTCAGATACGTTTCTTCGTTTCAAGCTAAACTCTCCATGGCCTCTTTTGCAACAATTGGGTCGCTATTTCTTGTTTCTCGACGACGTGGGCAATGCGCGCTATCTATTTCAGCTACATTTGTCTCAGAAGAATGTCTTCCACACTGGCTTATGCGAAGTTATCTGTGATGCTTGCTTGTAAACGTTATATCACCGAGCCTCGTTTTGTGTGCAGGACCTGTGCCCATGTGGATCTATGCTCGTCCTGCGTACATAAATACCCCTAACACAGCCGATTACACCCAAATAAAGAGCATAAAACATTTGAAATATCCGGTGTGCCTGATAGTGAATATCGACTCACTGGACCGGCATCAGAGCAATTGAGCTACTTGTTGAGCAATTTTATACAGGGACGCCCTGTGCCAAACAATCAAAAAATTAAGATAGAGCCATCAAGTGATTCCATGTCTTACTCGGTACCGAAAAAGGCAAGTCTCATTTGGAGGACTATTTTTGACCCAACAACAAGAGTCTTTACTCTTCTTTTGGAACTTTTAGCGGTTTTGTTAGGATATTGGTACTTTTAGTTCTGTTTAAATACATTTCTCTAGTTCATAGTTTCTCGCTTGGCGTTGCCTATACAGTAAAGAAACATGATGTCCTGTAAAGTAATGACACCGGGATATGGTAGCTGTTCTTAATAGTACAGCAGGACTTGGCACGAGGGTGAAGAAACAATGAAGAAATTTAGGTGGTGACACCGATGTCCGGAAGTACTGTACAACTATATATTGTTGACTGTTCGTACTTCTATAATCAATTGTAGAGAATAAAAAGATCATTCTTCATATTTCGCAATCAGCATTCATTCAAGGTCTAGCTACGCCATAGTTACACCCCTCGATAAGATAAGAGCTACGTAGAGCTCTTCCCCCCAAAAGTTGAACCAACCAGAGAATTGCACGACCCTTGCGCCACCATTCTTCATTCCAGCCAAAGGAATTCTGGCAGACACGCACCATGGAGGACCACCTGCGCCAAAGTATCTCCAACCACCCATTCCAGCATCGACACCACGGTAACAGCAACTCCAGCTCACCGCACTCACTCCAGCCCTACTGGTCCTCCGAGACCAGAATGACGCCACTCTCTATCAACGCGGCCACCACGACAGCCCTTGAACACGATGAGTCTAGCATGAGCCGACACCCGTACGATGAGGATACTACCACTGAGGATGCAGAGGGACAACCTCCGCCCAGGTATACACTTGAGAACGACCCCTTCCAGCTCGCGTCGAAGATCAAGTCCGAAGAAGAAATCCGCCAGATCCAGGCGAATATATCACGCAAACGCGACTCCACGCAGACAAGCAGCAATGGCCAGAACGTGGTGGATCTCGTCAAAGCACCGGGCCTGCGCGGCAAACAAGCCCTAACGACCAGGAAACTGCAAGGCTTCTACGAACGCCAAAATGAGAATATTCAGCGCATGCTCAAGCCTGTTGAGGAACATGTCCGCGCCGCGCGCGAGCTCAATTCTGATAATCGCCTGAAATACCGCATTGCCGTGTATGGAAGCTTCGCGGCGAATATCATTCTCTCTGTGGTGCAGGTGTACGGCGCCGTGTCGTCGGGATCGTTGTCCCTGTTCACGACAATGGCAGACGCCATCTTCGACCCGATGTCGAATCTGACGCTTTTGCTTTGCAACAAGGCTGTTAACCGCGTCGATCCGCGCAAGTTTCCCGCAGGCAAGGCGCGGATCGAGACGGCGGGGAATATCTGCTTCTGCTTTCTTATGACTGCCGTGTCGTTTATTCTGATTGCGTTTTCGGTGCGTGAACTTAGTGCGGGCTCAGAGGAGGAGACGAATTCGTTTCATCTCCCGTCCGTCATCGCTGTTGCTCTCGCCTTTACTACGAAGCTTGTTCTGTTTCTTTATTGCTGGACGCTGCGCAATCGAGTCTCGCAGATTCGGATCCTGTGGGAAGATCATCGCAATGATTTGCTGATTAATGGATTTGGTATTCTGACTTCCGTCGGTGGGAGTAAGTTACACTGGTGGATTGATCCTATGGGCGCTATTATGCTCTCGGTGCTTATTAGTTGTTTGTGGTTGCATTCTGCGTACGGGGAGTTTCAGCTGCTTATTGGCGTTACCGCTGATACGAAGATGCAGCAGTTGATCACGTATATCTGTATGTCCCCGCCTTCCCTTCCCATGTTTTCTTCTGCGCACTGTTTCTGTGCAGTTCAAGCCATAATCTAATCAACCACAGCAATGACCCACTCCCCACTAATAACAGCAATCGACACCGTCCGCTCTTACACCTCCGGCCCGCGACTTCTCGTCGAGGTCGATATCGTCATGGACCCGACGGAGTCGCTGCGTGCTACGCATGACGTCGCGGAGGAGCTGCAGATCAAGCTTGAGTCCTTGCCCGACGTGGAGCGCGCTTATGTCCATGTGGACTATGAGACTACCCATAAACCGGAGCATTTCCTTAAGAAGGAGCTTTAGAAGTTTGTATGTGTGTCTTTTTCCGAATGTTTTTGAGTGAAGACCTTTATGTCCCGGTGTTGGTGGTTGTATTTCTGGTTGTTTTGATTCTGGGTTTCTTCTTGCTTGTAGATAGAAAAAGCATTGCTACTGGGCCTAAAACGTCATTTAAATTATTCATAGAAGATAAGAACTTAATTAACCTGAGCCATTATAATGTATATCCTCTCACTCAAGATAGTTGCAGACGCTAGCATCATCATCCTCTGTATCCATTGGCATTTGTTCTAGCCAATAATATTACAGTCGTTTTTCGTATTCGGCATTTTGTCTTGCCGTCTCGACCGGCAATTTTACACTTGGCCGATGTTTGTCTGGTTTGCACTGGCTCACGCGCCGTGGAACGAATACCCGGCATAAGTTGGACCCCTAACTGGATTTAAGGGCGGCTTCTGTTAATAACGCCTTCATGAGCCTCTTGTTTCTTTGGTGAACCGACAGGGAACAGTGCCCAGACTCGAAATTGGTGTAATCTTTCAAAATCGGATCACTATCCAGCAACAATGGGTCCCAAAAAACGGTCTATTGCGTGAGTACAAACCCAACGACCTATTCCAACCGAGTGACTAACTCACCTGGACTCTAGTTGTAACCGGTGCCATGCCCAGAAAATAAAGTGTTCGGGGGAGACACCTTGTTCACGATGCTGCCAAGTTGGACAGGGTAGCGACTGCCGATATGTTGCTCGCGATCGCAAAATCCGAGTTGATGAAAGGTTCGTCTTTCCTCTTCCCTCTATCCTCCTCGGGGCCACTTTGACACAACAATCCAGTTACTTGGAACAACTTCTTAGCGACAGCAAAGAGCTTCGCAAACTTCGCAGTACTCTCAGTAACAGTAGCATTGTCGACGCTACCGACACTGATGTTAAGGGTCCTGCGGTACCACAGGCGTTTTCAATAAGTCGATCATCTAACCCTCCCACCTATGTGAGCGAGGCAGCATGCCCAGCTTTTGCAAGCCGTCTATGCAAGTACCTCCAGCCTTCCGATGATTCGGCAGAGAACCTCCCAGAATTGCGCTATACAGATGAATCAACCCTGTCAGCTCTGCTAGACATCGACATCCAATGGCCCAGTCTGGCATATGCCCAATTGCTAGTGCAAACGGCCCTCGGCCACGTCAACCCATCTTTCCATTTAGCACTGAGGAAAGAAACCCTCGATGTTCTGCAAACCATTTACCAAAAAGGAACATTCGACGACCCGACCCTAAAATGTAAATACTTCGCTCTCTTTGCCCTGGGACATGTTTATACTACGCCTCGAGACTCTTCGCGGTCGGCTCCACTGCCTGGTGCTGGCTACTTCGCGAAAGCACATTCTCTCATTCAGTTCATTCCCGAACGGGCCAGTATAATTCATGTCGAGAGTCTTCTCTGCATTGTATGTCGATCTAACTATGACGAGACAGAAACCAACGCTGATTTACATTAACAGGCATTTTACTGTCAATTTATGAACAGATTCCACTCTGGCTATCGGCTAGTAGGGACCGCATTGCGGGTTTGTACCAGTCTCGGTTTGCATCGCCCCGTCGCGGAGAGTCAATCCTTGGAACGAGAACACTGTTTACGATTGTGGTGGACTGTTTACGTGCTAGATCGCTTTTGGGGACTAAGACTAGGGTCTCCTGCGCAAATTGACGATAAAGATGTACATCTCGACCTTCCATCAGAATCTGTTTCGAAGATGCACCACGAACAATTCGCCGATAGTACTTATCAAAACGCTACCATCGGACTGGCCAAAATATGCGGGAAAACGATCAAGGAGATCTACAGACGGCCACACTCGCCTGCAGGCTTTTTGCAGCACGAGCAGAAGATTTTGCTTCAACTTAGGCACTGGGCCCGGTCTCTTCCTGAAAGTATGAAGCTTCAACAGGGAAGGTCCAATCCTATACACCTTGTTCAAGCGCATTTGCAATTTAACTTTGTAAGTTTTTTCTTAAATAGATCTGTCATGTCCACGTTAAGCTAATGGTGACTACAGTGTCTCATTGTGGCAATTCGGCCTGTCCTGCTCTATGTTCTCTATGAGATGCGTCCCGGTCATTCAGATAATTGTAAAGTCTCATCAATTGCGACAACGTTGAGCGAAGCATGCATCCACACCGCGAGGCAATCTCTGGCCAGGTGTGTGGAAGTGTGGACCACTGGAGCTGTAGCGATATTGGGCTACTCATTCCCATCCTTTATCTTCTCATCTGCGCTCATATTGATGATCTCAAGCATCTTGCCATTTGGAAATTCAAGCGATCTCGCTTCTGCTGAATCTGGTATGGAGATTCTTAGGGTTATGAGTCTCTCTGGGGATATCCTGGCGAGGAATTCTTATGAGCGTCTTCGATATGTCCGGCAATGCTTTGAAAACAGCACAGGATGTGCTGGTCCGTCTTTTGCAGACCTTAAGGCAATCGGTGGTCCGGATGAACCGACGGCAGCACACTTTGCAGACCATAAAGATATTTGTGGCCCCGACCAATCACCTGCAGCATCTTGCTACCTTCCACAAACCACTCACTATTCAATTGGCCACAATGGTGAGTCTGCACCTGTCGGTGATGCCTCATATGCAGTTCCCGAGCTGGCTCTATACCAGCCAGACCTGCAGGCATTCTTGGAACTAGATCAGTCAGGCATAGAATGCGATTCATTAAAGGACGGCGGGCTGCTTGCCGATATTGATGTCTCCTTTTTGTGGCCTCCAAGTCCCCAGTTCTGAGCTACCTGCAAAGCCGATACCCTTTTGTCATCTTATTTCGACCAAGTCTTTCTGTGATGTATGCTTAAATAGCTCCGTTATTAATACATTCAATTTCTGGAGAACGTTTCCAGACAGCTAAAAGTGTACAATGTGGCAGAAGCCCCGCTTGATTAACCTTAACTCTTAATCAAGTATCAACTCCAAATCGATGTCATTTAGTTCGTTGTATATTAGCTCCTTGTGTCAGCCCTTAATGTAAGGGCTTGTCCCTATTCACGGGATATGCGATACATCATGATAAAACCTGATCGTTCTGAAAACTTCGGCGTGCTCGTATCCGCGGGTAGTAGATGAGCATCGCCGTTGGCAAGGAACGCTTCTTTCAGTGCACACCTTCCTACCAGAAGGAACCCAATACCCTCATATAACTTCACCGCCGCGTGATTACTGGGCTTCACCATAAGTCGTACCTGGACGACAGACGGCTGGGGACGATAGAATTGCAAATAATCGAGCGCTTCTTGACACAATTTCTTCCCCAGACCTTGGCCCCGATATTCGGACAGCGTGAACAGGCTTAGCATTTGCCATCTTTCTTCCTCCGTATCCCACTTGGGGGCCGGCTGGCCCGATTCCGCGGGAAGAGTAAAATCGGCCGGTGATAATGGGCCCCGGATGCTGACTTGGCCGACCCATTTAACATCATTCAACCATGGCTGATCAGCATTTTGTGATGTGGCGGCGCAGATAAACACCTCGCGGCCTGGGATAGTCAAAAGATTGACCCAGTCGGCTTCTGTATAGGCTGCTTCGAGTTCGTATGTGGAGGAGAATGAAGCAGGGGAGGATTTGAGGGCGTTCAGGCGCAGTTTTCGGTACTTCTGGGCAGACAATGCCACTCCTTCGGTCTTGGAGATGCGGAAATAGATATAGGTGAATTTAGATGTCATAGTGGACAGAGTGAATGTAAACGTTAGAACTCCGAGGCCAGCTGGGATTTCCTAGTTACTTCGTGGGTTTTTATAGTACTTTGTAAGTAGTGGGCCTTCTTGCGTACCCACTACGGCTAAGAATCAATTCGCCGATCCGTTTTCACAGCAATACTCGAAAACAGATTCTCTGCCGGAGTCTGGATTTGCGTATCCACTAGTAAATTACTGGATAGTGTCATGTGACAATGATTGAAAGCGATGGTATTCAGGTCTAGCTATCATGTCCATATTTATAATAGAGAAGCGGAAAAACCTATACATACAGGTGCAATCTTTCCACATCGGGGCACAGTTTTCTGATTGGGAGAATGCCAGGCGAGTCAGCGTCAGGATGCGGCAGTTGGATAAATTACCCTAGAGCCATTATACTGACAAATCTCTGTATAGACTAGTAACGAATGCACCTAATGGGGCCGAATCGGAGGTCACGAATTGTCTAATATCGAAGCTATCTAGATTACCCCTATTGAGAATAGTAGGATCCTGGCGCTGCTGCCTGCTTGTCCGTCCTTAGCTGCCGTCCACCTCCCAAGGCGAAAGACTTCATGTACACGGAAGCTTGCCAACCAGAATGTCTCCGATTCCGTCTGCGGAGAACGAAGTCGCAGTGACCGATGTGAGGGAGTCTACTGCACACGAAGAAGCTCAGGAATTGGAGGATATGAGAAATCATGTCAAGTTCTCAAGTTTGGTCTTGATTTCAATCGTACTGTGCTTGGCGACTTTGTGCGTAGCAGTGGACAATACGATAATCTCGACCGCTGTCCCTCGGATTACCCATGACTTCCACAGCATCGACGATGTGGGTTGGTATGCAGCGTAAGTTTTCCATGATCCGTCAATTCCGAAGTGAGGCTTTTGGAAAACACTAACGGATCCTTGAAAAGAATCTACCCATTGACGTCCTGCGCATTCCAACCTTCCTACGGCAAGATGTATACGCTCTTCTCCAGCAAACTCGTCTTCCTAGCAGCGTTGCTGATATTCGAGATCGGAAGCGTTGTATGTGCTACCGCACCGAATTCTCATGTTTTCATTCTTGGACGCGCATTAGCAGGTCTGGGGTCTGCTGGGATACAAGCAGGTACTACACTCATTCTTGCTGAATGTGTTCCGCTACACAAGCGACCGACATGGAACAGCATCATTGGTAGCATTTTTGCAGTCGGGAGCGTAGCTGGGCCTTTACTGGTATTTACATATTCCTTATCCGTACGTAATTCGTTACAGTGATTGACTACTGGAGCAGGGAGGAGCGTTCTCAGATTCAACTACCTGGCGTTGGTGTTTCTACATCAATCTCCCAATCGGAGGCGCTGTCATGATCTTCATCGCCTTTTTCTATGACGGTAGCCGCGGCGGCAAGAGAACATTTGAGTCGACCGGATTTCGCAGCCAGATCGCACGCTTCGACTTGGCTGGTACTTTCACCTTTGTGTTGGCAACGGTTTGTCTTCTCCTAGCACTCTCATGGGGTAGGACCACATATGCATGGGACAATGCCCGCATCGTAGCCCTGCTGATGGCTGCTGGTGTCCTGTTTTGTTCTTTTGTCGGCGTCGAATACTGGAGGAAAGATGGCGCCATCATTCCTTTGCGTTTACTACGCAGGCAAAGCATACTTGCAGCAATCTGGTTTGGCCTCTGCCTTGGAGGTGTGTTCTTTGTACGTGATTCCAACGCAGACTTCACAGTACATCTGGCTGACCAAGATACTATAACCTTCCAGGTCAATGTTTTTTACATACGTGAGTATCGAAAATAGTTGGGGTGGTAAAGATAAATACTGACCTAGATTTCAGCGCTATGGTTTCAGCTCGTCGATGGTGTTTCTGCCGTCGAATCCGCAATCTTGTTCATCCCATTCATGCTTAGTGTCGTTGGTGGATTCATGTTCGCAGGCTTTGGGACCGCTGCAACGGGATATTACACACCTTTCGTCTACGCTAGCTCAATTCTTATGTCGATAGGTACTGGCTTTTTGATGACTGTTCGGCCTCAGTACACCTCGAGAGCCAAATGGGTCGGATTTCAGATCCTGTGCGGAACCGGAATTGGCCTAGGAGAAGAGCAAGGACTATACATGGTGCAGACGACGCTTCCTGAAAATGATGTGGCAACTGGTCTCGGGATCATCTTGTTCGCGCAGACGTTTGGCGGAGCCGTCTTCGTGTCAGTTGCGCAGGCAGTCTTCTTGGAAAACATCACCAAGACACTAAAAACACTGGCCCCGAACCTGGACCCTCGCTCTGTTCTAAGCGGCGCATCGACGGCCCTACCGGGCTCTTCTCATGCTCAGGCATCACCAGAATTGCAGGCAGTCTATGGCGTGGCGGTCAAAGACGCTCTTCGTGTTGGGCTTATACTAGCAACGGTCTCCAGTCTAGGTGCCTTGTTGTACGATTGGAAAAGTTTGAAGACTGAGCTCGATAATGGAAGGGATGCACGTACCAGTGATCATGAGCTGGAACATGTAGCGGAAGTTCGAGCAGAGGGTATAGTGAAATAAAGACCAATATTAACGTGCGGAACAGGCGGAGACTATAAATGAATCAATTCAAACAAATAGATTGCTTGTCTACAGTAGTTTTCGACATCATTTTAAATCAACATTCACACGACTTGATTCTCGGAATACATCCGAAAGCTACTAATCTTATTTCAGGTCACCGCTTTAAATTTTTGAAATTTCGGCCAAATCGTGATATTAATGACCTGCTACACTCGGGTCACGTCAAAACAGTCTCAGGGCCGATTACATCCATGCACACATACACACACACTGCCTCTCTTTCTCAGGGCTGGGGTGTTACTATTATAATTTCAGCCCTAAAAGCAATAAGAATACGCTATTCTCTGTAACACCACCTGAAGAGCTATATTTAGAAAAATGGGAGGCTATAGAGGAGGCTATACGAGCCACTCCGTCAACATTTAGTGGGGTTAAGTAGATAGTCAAGTGAAGATCCACAAGGAGGCTCAGCCTCTGCGCTAGAACCAATTCATATTCCTATTTTAGATAAGGTAGTCATGTCATAGTAGATCAGGCAACGATTCTCACATGGGTTGCCTAAAGAGGCTATAGGCGAATCCTGAACACAGACAGCTTGGCTTGTCTTGGCACGAACAGACTAACTGACTCTCCACAGCCGAAGGGATTTTCAATGATTCTCTTTAAGGCCGATACGACACCATGTCGGCCAAATCTACAAAAAGATGAATCATCGTTATAATACCGTTATGCCCAATGGAATCACGCTGAAGCGCCAGGTAGCTCTGTTGATTTGACAAAGATCGTCCGCCGACTTTCCCCTTTTCCTTGACTGTCACATTTTGCTCATTCGTCTTACGCCCACTAGTCAAAAAATAGAAGGCTGTGCCTATGCGGTAGAGAGCAAAACTTGGTATGTAAAGATGATATTGTTTTCTATGGCTTCTGCCAATTGTGATTACATTTCAGAGACGACTTAGAGCCCTTATTGTCGATGATATTAATAGAACATACCACAACTCGAAATACTCTAACCATCCCCCTGGCTCCTGCGGTAGCCAGCCAACAAACAACATCTTGTCAACCCCTTCCTAATCACAGTACGAAAAGACCAGCAAGGACTGCAGCACCGCCTATCACCATTTCTTGAGCTGTGGCAATCGGCATGGCCGCATTGGTGGTGGCAGCTGCAGAACCCGAGCTTGTAGGAGTCGCCTCGTTGGTCGCTGGAGTTGTGGTAGCACCTGCTGCAAGCTTCGATGATGCCGAAGAAACCTGCTCTGAATAATCGCTCGCAGTGAAGGGGATCTTTGTGAAGCAACCGTCGGAATTACCCCCGCTTGGCATACTCCTTGGTAAAACATTTCTGGCTTTCATGTTGGAATTCGTGCTCTCAACGCAGCAATATTTATCGGGGCCCAAAGCGACCAGGCCGCCAGGGCAGCATTGGCCGTCCCAACTGTTCCAGTTCGCGGGGCAACTGGCTGCCGTTGTAGTGGCCGCGAGGGAGAGGGCTATGAACAGAAGATGCTTGAATGATGGCATTGCGAGTTTCAGATGGACCAGATGAGGGTAATTATGAATGATTTAGCGTGTTGAGGGACTCTGAATATGGATTGTGCTTAACTTTTATAGACAATATGGATGCCACGCAGCTTGCTGGGACTGAGTCGCCTTGCGCACGGAGCTACGATAACTTCCTTCTTGATTAGTGTAGAGACTCCGAATGCGTTCCCTTAACGAGGAACCAAGGACAAGGCTGACTCTATCCAACCTATTCGTGACTGGGGGGCCTGGACGGAGAATAGGGGGCCTGGACGGAGAATAGGGGGCCAGGAAGAAGAATAGGGGGCCTGGAAGAAGAATAGGGGGCCTGGAAAGAGAATGGGGGGCCTAGAAGTAGAAGGGGGAGCCTAGAAGTAGAAGGGGGGGCCTAAAAGTAGAATGGTTGGGGGCTGGATAGTACTTGAATTGGGACACGCGATACATGAAGATCCAAAAGCGGGGAACCACTATTAATAGGTATTAAGTGCATAGGAGTTTCATGTAACATACAAAGACTATATGGCTCTCTACACCCACACACAGCGTTCTTGAATGTAGTAGCGATATCATTCAATGCAAAAACTCCTGTGTTTTTCAATCCTGTAAAAAATTGCGTGTTGATTTTTCAAATCTTGAATTCGACTTGTCTTCAGCAGAATCCAAGCCTTACCAGTTGTGTCACGTGATGAATCAGCGACGAGGACGCGCCATCTGAACAATGATCATCGTTAATTTCAACTAATTTGATTGGAAGCAATCGAATCATTTCTTCTAGCGAAAGTTATGTATCATTCATTACGCTGTAGCTGAGCAGTCGAAGAATGGAATTTTATCGTCTGTTGTCTGCCAAGTTCATGGCTCGCAACCAAATCTATAAATCCCTGGTAGAGCAGCATTTGACAAATAATACAGAATTTAGGTTAGGTCTGATCAAATTTGCAAAAAACCTCGTTAATCCCGAGGCTAAGTAGCACAAGTTTTTTTATTTATGTAGATCAAGCAGAATTCGCACCAAATACAAGAGTCGGGGCAGACAGTAACCCTTTCTGGACCAGTCTGTCAACGGTCGCCTCAATACGAGCAATGTTGTTCTCTTGCTGAGGCCCAGTATGCTTGATTTTATGGTAAACAGTCTGCAGAGGAAAGATAGTCGAAGCTGGACCATAAAGCTTCATCTTATCTTGCAGAAGATATTCCATGCTGGAACATGTCTGCCCCGAAAGCTGGAAGATATCCTCCTGAATATGGCCAAACTTGATGCCACTTGACGAAATTGATTTTTTGGAAATGAGAGATGGAAACCACGATACCAGTTTCTCAAGCTCATCTAGACAGATGATTTGGAAAGCCCAGAGATGAATGTATACGTTGGCAATTGTGACGTTAGGGAACCACAGAGCGGGCTTTTTAGGTGATGAAAGGTCTGATTCAGAATCTCGCATAACAGGCCAGTGAGGAAGTGTCACAATTTTCTGCCGTAGCGTCACTTCCCACTTCTCAAGCCGGGAGAGTACATCAACAAGTTGATCGATAATGGTTCCAACGTTGGAAGTGCTAGCTTGGTATGGAGCCTTTGGCAGATGATCAATCTGCTCTAGAACGGAAGGAATAATTGCAGCCTGACTGAGAAGGTCTTGCATGGGCGATGGCTTCATTGTGGTGAATGGTACACGTATCCATTTTTCTAAGGCGAGGAATGTTTTTCGACGATCCTGGAAGGCTTTGATTACCTGACAGTTCCGAATCAGCCTAGTTTTCATGGAAAAATTTACTGGGTCAAAATCTTATACCAAAAGAGGCCTGAATCCAACGAAAAGTTTGTGAAATACTCCCAAGGTACACTGTTCTGGGCCACGGGCCTGGAATAATTGTGCAACACCTTGGATATGTGTACCTATACCAGGGGCAGAGTTCGGAAACATCAACTAACATATGTGTAAGCAGGCGTCGTAGAAGGTTCTAACTGAGCTTACTTACCTCTGTCAAGCTGAGACACATTATGGCTGCTGCAAATTCGGCGTGGAAAGGGCAGTCAGTAGCATCAAAGCCGTGCCTTAAAGCCTGGATGGCTTTGTGATAGCTATGTGTAGAGTCGATGATGTGACCATTCCGCTGAGGGTTCTGATGCATAAGTGAAGTTGCCAAAGACTCTATTGCCGCTGGCAAAACGCTATCCTGGTTAGTTTGGTTGCTGAGTGTTGGCAGCGCTTCCACCCAAGCGCCGCATATTCGAGATTGCTTGTCGTCAGGACAGTCCTTGATATAAGGTATCTCATCTTCCGGAACGTAGTTCTTCACAAGTATTGCGATTTGATCATCTTTTTTAGATTGAGCAAGACTTGAAAGCTGTAGTGGGGCTTGAAGGACCTCATGGCCGGCATTTGAGATTTGTGTATTATGCGATTTCTTTCCAGGGTCACCCTGGGTCGTCACTTGAACCCGAGTTCGCTTTTTGCGAAAGGAAGTTTGCGACACAAACATGAAATCCTTCTGATATCCATCACATTTTCGACCCGTGAAAACGCATTGGGTACAACCCGGACGCTTTCCATCGCACTAGATGGACGTTGGTTCTATCATCCTTTTGAAAGAGCAAATATAGGGGCTCTTACTCCAATTTTCCGAGTCCTACAAGTCTGACAGACAGATTTCTGTTTGACCTTCATCTTCAATAATAAGACATGACATACTGTGACATGTCAGCCTTGGACCACTCACTGACTCAGGTTTGAGCGTACTGACTAGAGTGTGTTAAATATTGTTGATAGTCTGATCCTTTGATTCTTCGGGTGTCAGTGGCATAGTGGAGCCGCCTTAGAAGAATGCAGATATCCAAGAGGGGAACTCTTGCTGGACGATCGAGCTAGATGGGTGGCGGTGATCTCGACGCTGCTTCCCGCCACCATCCGTGTGGAGTGGTAAGTCAGCCAATCATCAGGATTGAGGAAGTCTTGGCGGAATATAGGACCAAAAGCGGTTAGTATATGGTCGCGAACTATGAACACGGCTGAACTACGTTTCTCCCTGGATTCCTGTTTTTCATGGTGGCGATTGGCGTTTCAATTCTGTCGATAAACTAGCGGTAGGCCCACAAAAGAGCAAGGAAAACTAAATACGTTTGCACAGATAGACCGATTGTTCTTGATTACAAAACCTTCTGGGCTTTTCCGGGTACCAACCAGTGCACCTTATCGTTGACCCCCTCCTCAATCAGAACCGACTTGAGTTCTTTCCCAGCTTGCTTGAAGTGGCCCCAGGACTCGAAGTGCATAGGAACGAGGACATCTGCCTTGAGTTCACGGAAGAGACGGGCGCCTTGCTTACCGTCCATCGTGATCTGCAGGGGACCATCAGGAAGCGGTGCGTGCGCGCTACCCAAGTTAAGGATAGCAGCAGTAATATGCCACTTCTCAGGGATCTTGGTCAGCTCCTCGATGTAGACCGTGTCACCAGAGATGTAAACGGCATTGGGACGGCCGTCAGGGCTAACACCAAATTCCTCTGTTGTCAGGATAAAGCCAGTACACTCTCCGCCAGGAAGATGCTGGCATGGGGTGCCAGTCACCTCAAACCTCTTTCCTCCGATAGCCAATGTAACGGTTTCCCAAGGGCGAAGACCGCGGACACCAGGACGAGGAGCTAGCTTCGTTGCGCCATCCATAGTAGTGAGGACGTGGCGGCCATCCAACAGTCGGCGGCCGACTTCGTCCAAGTTGTCAGGGTGGTCTTCATGGCTGAGTAGAATAGCATCAATTGGCGGCAAATTCTCAAGACCAAGGGCCGGGGTGTCCGTATTTTTGAGGACAACGATACCCAGATCCCATTCGGTGCCGGCAGGAGAGAAGAAAGGGTCTGTGAGGATTTTGACACCGTTGATGTCTAAGATAGCAGTTGCTGTACCGATATGGGTAATTGTGAGAGAGATTTTGGTGTTTGAAGAAGCCATTTGTCTGAATGAGGAGTAATCAACAGATATAAGTTGTTGTTGAATATTTAGTGGTGGAGTCTTAAAGCAGAAGGTAAAATTTCGTAGGAATGTCGGGCCTCAGTACTCTTGAAGAGAAATCGAAAGATGCTCTGGGCTCATGCCGCTTAAATAGATCATTTCGCCTTTAGGCCTTTACAAATGCATGTGGGCCTTGATTATTCAATATCCGTCCAAAGGATGTAGTTAATCATATTATGATTATTAAGTTCGAATCCTTGGAACAGGCCCAGTAATGTATCAAAGGGCCCAATCTGAGAAGCACACGTAAAAGTGCTTCGAGAATAACCCAAAGGCTGATTCCTAATATGGCGTGAATGACATAAAGCGCTAACCGTAAATGGCAATATTGGCCGCCAAGACTTGAAGTCTCCAAGTCTAATTCCGAGCCAAATTGGGTCTAGTTTCCTTGGTGTTTATCTATTATGGCCTGTTTACGTTTGACTCATCGACTCTTGGTTCGCTTATTGTTAATTCATGATCGGGCGCGCGCTCTTGACAGTTCACAAGCAACAGCATCTGTAACTATTTAGTTGACAACAAAGATGGCTCAACATACGTATTCGATGCCCAAATCGGAGTATCCTATTCTGCAGATCCCAAGTGGCTCGACAGTGAACGTCTCAGTCATCGATAAGTACGTATGAATATCGAAAGAATTCTGAAATTCTAGAGATGAATGTCGTTTAAATGTTCTGTAACTTGACATGGATGGGCCTCCCTACCAGAAATCAAGGCTAATGAAAAACATCGAAGCTCTCGCATGCGGCTCCCCTGCTCTCACCTCCTCACCCCACTTATTCCGCAGCACGAAATGCTCAATTTGCCGTCTTTCTCCTTCCTGATCGAACACCCTACGACAAAACGTAAGGTACTATTTGACCTGGGTCTCCGGAAGGACCTATCAGCGTTGCCCCCTGCAGTCCAGACTTTTCTCTCTGAATCTGGCTGGGACTTGACTGTGACGAAAAACGTCACGGAAATCCTAAAGGAGAAAAATGTACTTCCGGATGCTATTGAAGCTGTGGCTTTAAGTCACCACCATTTCGACCATTTAGGCGACCTAAGTCAATTACCAAAAGATACCAAGATCATAGTCGGACCTGGCTTCCAGGAGGCATATTTACCTGGATGGCCAATCAATCCCGAATCGTCTCTGATCGACAAAGACTGGCAAGAACACCCTATCCAGGAAATTGCCTTTAGTGACAAATCTACAAGCCTTTCAATCGGCGAATTTCAAGCCATGGATTATTTCGAAGACGGAAGCTTTTTTCTACTCAATGCCCCTGGACATACAATTGGACATCTTGCAGCGTTAGCAAGAGTGACCGCGGGCTTCCACTCCAGTTCCAAGTCCAGCGTTGAACATCACCCGAATGACACATTCGTTTTTTTGGCAGGGGATATCTGCCACTATCCTGGAGTGTTTCGACCAACGCAATGGCTCCCTCTTGATTCTAACGCTCACTCTATTATAAACTGCTGTCCACAAACGTTTTACCACGACATCCATCCAAAGAAGAGCCATGTGATGCCGTTTTATGAAATGCCAAAACAAGCAACAGTGGATGAAAAAGCAGCGAGAGACTCCATACGGAAACTCTATGTTTTTGATTGGAGTGAGGATGTCTTAGTGATCATTGGACATGACACGTCGTTGGTTGGGAAAGTAGACTTCTTTCCGAAAACTGTCAACGATTGGAAGAGCAAGGCCAACAAGAGTAACCTGCAATGGAGCTTTCTGGCCGACTTTGGCAGTGATCTAATTAGTTCCTAGTACCCTAAACCTTGACATGGTTCAACGCCTAAGTGTAACTATGGAGCAGGCTTAGTTAGTCATATTTCCGCTACATTGGCGCTGTCGGACTAGATAGCGGCTACCAGTATCCGTTGGAGTGTAGTTGTTTACTTAATTTATCCGATTGCATTCATCGCAAAGCATGTATGTATGCCATTGCCTCAACAAGTTAATTCTATTAATGATGATCTCATAAAACAAGAAAAGGCAAGGTAGGGGGGGAGAAAGTAAAAAACCGAAGTGGATACAGAAAAAAACGAGGTATCAAAAGAAAAATCATCCGATGCAAAAGGTTAACGAGATTGGAGATTTCACTTTCTTCCCACAGCCCAGTCAGTTCACATCCACTATCCTATCCTCGTATTTGATCCCGGGTATGCATCATATGCAAGAATCATAGAAACGGAATGAGTGGATGAGTAGTAGACGAACGAATGCAGTATGCAAAATGGGAGAGAAACCAGCGAATCCAAACCCTTTAAGCAGCGAGCAACTGCTCAAAGAGAGCGATTGTCGAACAGTAGTTGCTCGTGTTATCGGACTCCGGCACCATGCCCTTACCCTGCGACGAGGTGACCATATTGACGGCGGCCTTGGTGCTCAGACCGTAAATGTGGACATCGGAGCAATCGATCTCAACCATATTCTGCTGGCAATCCTCAGACCGAAGGCAGCTCTGCGCGTAGTTCTCGAAGAAGCTGTACAGACCCGCGCCGTAGATGTACAGATCCTGCGAGCCCATCACGCGCAGACCCCAGGACTTGCGGCAGGAGTTTGTGGTGCAGGTCTCGAAGGTGGGATCATTCCACGAGGACTGGGGTGTGAATGGGGTCAGGGCGTTGGGGTTTGATTGGTAGTAGGGTGTTTCGGTTTGGATTAGACCCATGAAGACGTTCTGGGCGTTCGAGACCTGATAGTTGTATAGCTGGTGGTGCTCGGAGGCGGTTCCCCACATCCAGACTGGGCCTTGAGATTCGATAAGCACACCGCGACCAGTGTAAACGTTGATCTGGGAGTGGTCGGGCAGGTCGAGTTCGTGGTCTGCGGTCCACATCCAGGCGTTTTCGATATACGCACTCGCTTTCTCCGTGATATGCAGAAGCAGGAACGCGGCGATGCACGAGGCCTTGGGCTTGGTGATGGCGTGAGGTGTCTTGGGGCAGTTGCTGCTCTGGAGCTCGGTGCCAGCGGCACCACCAACGCGGACATGGACGTCCCACATACCTGCCGAGCCTTGGGACGACGCGGCGACGTTCCATTCTACGAGGATCGCGCCGGGGGCGGGACCCTTAGTCGTAATGATCAGGTCACTCATCTCCACGCTGCCGACGTCGCCAGACTGGCCGATCTGCAGCGCGGGAACGGGGTTCTGCTCGTCCTGGAAGTTACTGCCAGACGCCATGATCATCGGCCAGACTTCACCAGTCATCTTGATGTTCTTGGGGACCTTCAGCGTCGAGGTGATGACGTACGCGCCGTGGTCGAAGTACACCACCTGGCCATCCTGTGCGCTATCCAGGATCTTCTGGAGGGCTGCGGTGTCGTCTGTGGTGCCATCACCTTTGGCGCCGGCGGATTTGACACTAACGAATGACGAGGCAGGTACAGTCTCATAGAGGGGCTTGGATCGTTCAAAGACAGCACCGCCGCTGAGGAGGTCAGCGGGCTTAGAGCCCGCCTTGACCGCATGCTGAACGCGAGCCGAAGCAATGGCCTCGCTTGCACCGCAGGTACCAGTGCTACCGCTAGAGCTGCTGCCAGAGCTGCCACTATGTCCATGGGAAGAGCCGCTGTTGCTGCTCTGGGTAGGCTGGGCAACAGGTGTGCTCTCGACGACGGGATTGTTATCGGGAGTGACCTCACTAGAAGGAGCGGAAGCAGGCGTGGCATCCGGAACGGAGGCGTCGGGGACCTCTGTGGCGCTCAGGATAGACAACCAGCTGTTGTCAAAACCAGGCAGACCAGTGAAACCTTTGGGAAGGTCTAGCGTACGACTCTCGCCAGTAACAGTGGGAACGGGAGCAGGCTTGGCAGCGGTTTCGTCAGGAACAGTGTTTGCCGGTGCTGGAGCATCAGTGGCAGCAGGGATGGCAGTGAGATGAGTATGGGTCGCAGGACACGCCATGATAGTCTTCATGACAGTCTCAACAATAGTCACAACTTCGGGTTCAGACTCGGCCTCAGCGTCACGCTTGCTGATTGTCTTGGAGGGCGAGTAGGCATTTCCTTGCATCCAGTTGTTGACCACCGAGCCACCGGCCAGGATTTCATCCCCGTCAACGCCAGCAACGGCCACCTTTGCTCCGGAGAAGTCCACATTGTCGAGGACAAGAACGCCACCACCGATGGGGATACTATCGCGGTTCCAGGCGGTCACCACACCGATGGGAGTGTCGGTGAACTTGCTATCCAGCATGAGGACCGAACCCACGGTCTGGTTGGTTGGCGAAGTGGACATGTTCAGCCCAACCTCGCAGTCATTGATACTGACAGACTTGAAAGTCCACGCCCAGTTCCAGTTCATGAAAATGGCCGTGTTGCAGTTATTGAATATTAGGTTGCGAGTCGTGAACTGCTGGTTACCGAGGAACATGCCGTAGTTACCACCGTTGAAGGTAAGATCGGACATGAAGCCTCCAGAGCCATTGTCCATGAAGATACCCTGCTGCTTATTCGCTTCACCACCGCCCTGGACCATCTCGAACCGAATATTCTGCAGAGACGTAGCCTGGCCAACCTGCCAGTGGATACCAGCGCCAACGGACTGGGGCATAGCAGTGAGATCGATAACCAGATTGCGAATGGCGCGGAAGAAGTTGTTCTGATTGGTGTACCAGTTCGCACCGTCGGCCTCGTACGGATCGGCGTCGATGACCGCCATCCCGGCGAAGCTGGGCGAGGCTTTGATCACCGGCAGGTCGGTGGCATCTCCCACGATCTGGGTGTAGTAAAACTGGATGATCGGCTTGGAGACCACGTACGTGCCCGGCGGGAAGTATACCAGAGCCGGGGTGGTAGTGGATGAGTCGCAGCCCTTGCCGCACCGGTTACCAGACGAGATAGCCTTGTTGATCGCAGCGGTATCATCCGTGGTACCGTCACCTATTCATTGTAAGTTTGGATCTTGATCGTCAAACATGAGGACATACCCATGGCTCCAAAATCCTTGACATTGCGAAACACCTGATAGTTGGGTTTATTGGCGAAGGGCACGATACCCTGGTGCTTCATATTGGCAACCCAGTAATCGGACGAGTCAGACGCCCTCGCCGCAGCGAGCACTTTGTGGTTCACATGGGGAGAAACGGGCACTGCGCCGACCAGCGAAGCAGGCAGACCCAGCAGCAGAATGAGATGGGCGAGAAACAGCGCCACAGTAGTTTGTAAAAGAGCCATCTTCAAGATGACAGTCGCTGAGCCCGCAGCGAGACCTGGAGTTCTAAACGAAAGAAAAGAAAGTATTCAGTCACCCGTACCGAAAAAGAGGAAGCTCGAGTCGGCGCTTAAAGCAGAAGCGACGGACCCAAACAAAAGAAGGGAGTGAACGACTGCTTCCGCACAAAGATTGAATGCGAAGGCAGAAGAAAGGAAAGTGAATGTAGCCCACCAGGAGCAAAAAATGACAGAATGAGGCAAAAACAACAATGGGAGAAAGAAAGAGAAAGAGCAAAGGGAAGATGGTGGACAATAAAGCGGTCGTACTCACGGTAACTGCGTTGTAACACCTCCGTATGGTCCCTGGCACACCGACACAACCACCAATCAAACACACCCTCGCCCGCCACCAGCCAATCGCAGACCCGACCGGTGTATTGGCGTTGAAAAGTGAAACGCGCTGGGAGTATGCTGAAACGCTGAAGGAGGTGATCGCTGGGCCGAGCGTTGCAGATTAACCGACAGTTAGATAGGAGGGGGAGTGTGGACGGGTTGGAGTGGATAAAGCACTGTCCCAAAGACTCCAGAAGAAGGAGAAGAGCAATGGCTGGACTGGGGTCTACGACCTATATACTGCCTATGCGGCAAGCCCCTTTCGCGCCTAAACGGGGTATGCCGGTTTGACGGATCGTCCATTCCATCTGTATCTATCTGGATTGCGAGAGCGCATGGTGTCGCGGAGCGGATGGGTCGGAGGAAGGGGGGTGGGAGTTGGTCGGGAATGGGAGAGGTATCTGGGCAACTGTTAAGCGCGAGGTCAAGGAGCAAGTGGAGCTCCCACTTCTAGTGTTGATCCCGACTCAGGGGTTGTGGTTTCTTAATCACTGAGGGTGTTTGATTATTACCAGGCACTGGCTTCTAGCAGTGCTTTCCCTTGTCGAACCTTCTAATAACATCCTACAATGATGGTACAATCGAACTCATCCATCCACGCTCCCGTTGTCAGGGATGCCCAAGCAACGAATGGATAAACATTCCAGGGCGGGTGGGCCAGTGGACGCGGGTAGGTAAATTCCTAATGACGAGTGACAGGCACCACCAAAGTAAAAGAGCTACAAAAAGGCCCCGCTGGACGACACGGAATCTGAGCGCGTGCTGCCTGGTCTAGACTGAAACGAATTCTTGTCGAAGGCGAGCAAGAGGATCGACGAGATGGACGAAGTAACTCTCTTTACATACTGTCATACTTCAATAAATGGCAGGACCGGCAGATGCACGCCACAGAACAGCCAAGCTTCGGGTTGGCCCCAGTTGGGGTTGTGCTTATGTAGAGTAGTACAGTAGTTTGTTCCAGGTTAATTGGTATTATTGTCAGCCACTAGGTTCTTAGTAGCCGTGTGCATGTACTCCTGGTCACTAAAGAGATCAGATACACGGTCAACTGATTTGAAGCATAGGATTATATATCTCTCTCGGTCCCGTAAGTACGGTCTGAACACGACTCAGTACTCACACCCGGCCCCGAGCCAAAGCCGAGTCAGCGGATCGTTCGGCATCTTCCGTGCTCGGCCCTAAAAATCCCACATTGAGGATCAGACGAGGCGCAGTCCTTGCATCCCGTGTATATATATCATTTGCCACTCTCTTATATATATCCCTTCTCACTGCATCACTATTTACCACGATGCATTGGGACGGTGTGGCAGCGTAGTACTACATACACGTCCAGTCCAGTCCCGATTCCGGATCCCCGGCACGGACCGGCCGACTGGCTCCCCTGGCCTGACCCGTGGTCCTGCGCCACCACTAAGTTACTTTTGCACTCGGTCGAGAACGCGCGCCAGTCTACGCACGCCCTCGGTCAGGTGACGCGGCTCTTCCCACGCAAAGCACAGGCGGAGGCAATTGTCAAATTTACCATCTGTCGCCGCCGACGAGTCGCCTGGGAGCTGGAACATATTACCCGGGGCGAGGCGGAGGTTCTCCGTGCTGGCGGACAGTGACACAATCTCCTCTGCTTGCAGTGGAGCAGGTAGCGCAATCCAGATGAAGTACCCGCCTGCAGCGACGGGGGAGAGCGCGGGGAGGGTCGCGCCGCGTGGAAGGAGGTGCTCTTCGATTGCGGTGCGGAGGAGGTGGTAGCGCTCTGCGTAGGCGGGTTGAAGAACATCTGTGATGTGATGCTGCAATCCACCCGTGGGGAGTAATTGGTCGATGATGGCGGAACAGAGCTGTGAGGGTGCGCCGCCTGACCGGGACGAGCCTCTGGATATCTAGCATGTTAGACTGTGGGACACAATATTTCTACCGGAGGACATACACTTGCGACAACCCGTAGGCAAACTGCTCCGTTCCCTCGGCCCATCCAGTCCGCACCCCGGGCCCAATCAGCTTGCTAAAACTGCCGTTGCTCATTGCATTGCCCCATATGTCCTGCGGCCCGCCGTCCAGATGCCGGTCGACATCGACCAGGCGCGGGAGGAAGGACTTGTCGGGTGCGGCGAGTTTGCCCGTCGCCGTTGTTGCCCACTGCAGCATGTCGTAGACATCATCCGCCATGATGAGCGCATCATACTTGCGCGCCAGACGGACTAGGCCCTCTCGGCGACGGAGGGACATGATCTTGGTGGAGGGGTTGGAGAAGGTCGGGGTGGTGTAGATGATGTGTTTATAGATCTTCCGCCAGGGCTGCGGCGATTTCATCTTCTGCGAGACAGTCAATCTTGGCTCTCCATTATTCTCATCTGAGGGGAAATACCGGCTCTGTATTCCCCTCCTGCTGTGCCTTCTCCTCCGCGGCAAGCAACCCACTCTCCAGAAACTCCAGATCGATCCCCTCATCATCCTCAGGAACCGCGCGCAACCTCCCCGCGAATCCGGCATCGTCCATAGTCCGAAAGGCCAGGTGATACGTCGGCGAGACCAGCCACACATTGCGCGTGTAGACAGGATCCGTAAAGACGTTGAGGGCACAGGCTAGGTTCTGGCTCGCCCCGCCGGTGATGCAGATGCGCTGCGGCGAGATCGCCTCCTGTGGCTGATAAAATGCCGTCAGCCACTGGGCGATGTGCTCCCGCAGCGGCCCGTAGCCCTCATCGGGGCCGTATAGCAGGGCTGGGTCTGCAATGGCCGGGGTGGTCAACACGGTATCGGCGGAGCTGCGTAGATCTCGGGCGGGGAGGAGCGTGGGGTTGGGCCAACCAGTGGACAGGTCGATCGGGGAGGCCATCGTCGTCGTGGCGCTGGTGGCCAAGAGAGGGCCATTGGCAGGGGTCGTCATCATCGGGTCGGTGGATGATGTGGCATCATGGGGGATGGCGTGGATTGGAGACAACCAGAGTTCGGGGCGAGTGCGGAACCACCCGACGATGTCCTGGGAACCGTGCCTAGCAACTGTGCCTAGTTACCGAGGCGATGTAAATAAATCTTTCCCTCCGACCAGGATGGCGCTCCTGAAGACATGTCATGGCGATCCTTCGTTCGAACACTCAGGATCATCATCGTGCACGGTCGGGCATGAGTGAAGATATGCTTAGAGAGATCCTCCGCCTACTCTGATGCCTGGTCTATCGTGTCTCAGGGGGGCCCACCCTGCCCTGCACTGCCATAAATAGGAATGCAAAGAACCCGATCGAACTTAGCACCGATTTCATTACTTTTTTATGTCGCTGAGAATTTTTTTCTCTTGGTCTATATCATAATTCCTGATTTATGAAACCACCCACGCCCCCTGATCCTGCCTGACTGTCTCTCTCATTCTCTCACTCTCTCCCTGCCATTCTTGCCATCCCGCCGATCCATTCCTGCTACTGGTCATTCTTCCATGCGTTCCTGACCTCACCCACTCTCTCCCTCCCTCTCTCTCCCTACCGCCCATATTCCCCTTCCCACCTTGACCGTCACCTTCATTATCCACCCTCTTCCTCTCCATCCTCCTCCCCCACCAGACGAAGCACGATGCTGTCTGCTCCGGTCAAGTCAGCGAAGCGCATTTCGTCTCTCTTTTCCCTGGGCTCGCACAAAGACCAGGCCTCCCCATCATCCCCCACCTTCAACGCATCAGATCACATTCCCAGCGAGCGACGCCGACGACAAAGTACCTCCCGGCTTACTCGTCATGTCTCGACCCCAACGGCCCTCTACTCGGAACCCCGAACGGTCCCCAGCGAGGGTATCGACCGGCTCGACCTGGAGGGCTTACCACCACCACCGCCCTTGTCCCACGTGAACAGTGATTTCTCCAGCAGCGCCCCGACCTCGCCCGTTGACGGCCGACCGAAGAGCAGGGGGCGCGACTTCAGTAGGCCCTCCAGTTCGGCTGGGTTGGCCATCCCCCGCACAAACACCGATTCTCGGCCAGGGACACCATCGAAACGACGAAGCTGGATGCCGGGTCGCTCAAGGGCCAACTCGGTGGAGAAGCGAGCGTCGATGATGCCAATGCCACAATTGCCGGGGGCGTGGATTGCAGGGTTGGACCAGAAGATTGTCTACGATCTGGGACCATTATCGCGCGGAGAACAGGTGTGCCCGACCCAGAAATACCGAACCGCCGGGTGTACCACTAACTCTGTTGTTGCCAGATTGCCGAACTGTGGAACGAACAGGGCGACACCTATGTGTACCTTTTCCCCCAAAACACCGGTCGTCCGGCCTCATTCAAGATCGATTCGACCATTTTCGCCGAATCTCCCTCCCTCACCTATCTGGCCCGTGGCACCGATGCCAACGCGAGAATCCTCGAGAAACCGACACGCACTCTTTCGCTCAACAACCCAGCGTCCCCGCCACTGGGTGCGCAAGATCATTTGGCGGACAATGACAACGATAGTTCGGGCAGTCACCGGATGGACTCGTTTGATGACGGGCCGGACGAGTTCCAGGAACTACACCTCTACCTGCCGATCCCTCTCAACAGCGACGTCAGCCTGCCCCAATTCCAACTGACCCAAGAAGACACCGAGACCTTGCTTCTGTTCCGAAACCTGTTCTCCTTTTTGATGGGGCAGTCTCTGATCGCCACGCCCAAGTCTTCCTCTCTCTTCACCATTTTCATGGATATTGCCGTGCTCCTGGCTCGCTTTGAGTTCTCCAATCTGGACGGCTCGAACTTTGGCGAGACGGCCACCTCTAGCTTCAGCAACTACTGCGACGAACTGCGACTGTCAGACGTGCGCCGGAGTCGGGAGAAGACCATCGAGGCCATTGTGCTGGGTGAGCGCCTGCGCTACTATCCGCTCTACCTGGAAGGGTTTGTGCACGGAGTCGGAAAGCTGGATGAGCTCAAGCAAATTCGCAGCCAGAAATACCAATTTATTCATCCGATCACCCAGAAACGATTGGAGCGCGGCTTCATCGATCTCGATTCGCGCCTTCGTGGGCTGTACGGCAAGCTCCAGGACTTCGACTTCCCGTCGGTTTTCTCAGGCATTGCCAACTCGACCACGTCGCAGGCAAGCAAGGTGGTACGGTTCAAGATCTGGAAATCGAGTTTCCTGGAATTCCGCCGCTTCACCCTGCAATACTACCGCCAGAAGTATGGCGCGTGGCCTCCCAAGGCTCGGTCCAAGAAGAACGAGTTTGAGGAAAGTGGGCTTAACCGGCTCCTCGCATTGGATCTCTACCACGACTTTACCGATCTCTACGACCTGTTGGTGGACCGCACCTCTCTCACTACGCGCACCATGGACTCGGCTGCGAGTAACGACCCTATCTCCTCTGATCCAAAGGAGGTGGCGCTCCGCTCCCTGCGCCAAGTTCTCAGCGAGTACGACCGCAGCACTCCGCCCGTTCTCCCCCCGATTCCATTCGACATCCCGCAAATGCCGTCTGTGCAACCGCTGCACCGGAAACCCCTTGACCCTAAGAAGGAGGCTAAACAGCGGAGCAAGAAACTCAAGAACTCGGACATCAACGCTGTGCTGATGAATTCGTACACCCGGGAAAGCATGCGACCCACGCCGTTCATCGAGAGTTTTATGCAGTTTGAACGGCGGTGCGCAAATGGCAAGAGCGTGGACGATCTCATTGACTTGCGCTGTGGACAGTGGATTTTCTTGTACGCTGTCATTCAGTCACTGCCCATGCTCGTGGTGGATGTGCCTGAACTGCATTACACGGAAAATGTGGAGTATTTCCTCTGTATCGCCCCACGGGGTGGTGCTCCCTGGATTCACAACGACACCAAGACCGCTCGCAGCTGGTTTGGTGTTGCAGGCGGTGCCGGCGTGGTCAGTCTCCCGTCGGACGTGGTGATCAACGGTGTGGAAGGCGTGTATCGGCGAAGCCATTGCTGGCAGGTGGCTGAACAGTGGGCGGGCACGGACCAGCTGATCGAACCCCCCATGATGGAGGATGCCTTTGAGGAGGACGAGTCCTCGATCTCATCTCCCTACCAGGCCCATCAGTCCTCGGCCGGATCATCCTCGGATCATCCGCAGCCGACTCCAATGATGATGCCTGGCGGCGGCCTCACTCCGCCTCCGCCCGCTATTCCGCGGACAAGCTCACCTGCGTCGCGATCACGAGCTGACCACCGACACTCGATCTATCCGGGTCTGGAAGCGTTGCCATTGCCCGCAGGCATTGCTCCCATCGAACCACCCGCCCGACCTATCAGTCGGTTCAACCCGAACATGAGCTTCGACGACATCCTGAGAGAAGTCCCTCCGAAGAAGGGCAAAAAACACTAATCTTTCTCCCTTTCTTTTCCTTGGTTCGTTTGATTTCGTTTTGTTGATAGGCGCATATTGTGGTTGGTACATGAAACAACACCACTGGGCTTTGGAGAATTGGCGTGCTTGCACAGGGAAACACCAAAAGCAGTCTGTCTTGTTTAATCGATTTGATTTACCGGTGGAGAGAAAGAAGGGAGCATGCATGGAGCGAAAGGACAGCATACAGCACCGTCAGCATCATCATTATCATCATCATCATAATTATTTTCAGCATATCAACGTCAGCAATCTCCGCGCCGGAGGAACTGTGGTTGGTCTTCGTTTTTGTCTTTGTGTTGGCTTTTCTTTCTCTACTTCGTGTGTCTTCTTTTCCTTCTCCCTTTACCCTTTTCGCATCTCTTTTGTTTCCCATGGGAATTTCCCATCATCCCTATTTTTTCGTAATTCTGTGCTCGACTTTTTTGTCCTGGGCCGATAGAGGAATATAGACACTAATGTTTGTACAAATGACGGTTCGAGATTCTTGATCCGTGGTTCACTTGTTTATCTTATTCTTGATTTGTAGAGTAACCACCCAAGTTCGTCCTCTATAGTACCTGAGTTCTGCTGAGAGCAGATGGATACGAGATCACACCGGCCTCGATCGCCAGGGCCAAGGCTAGACCAGGGGAGGCTAGTAAACTCACTGTGAAGAAACTTAGAGCGAGGCTCGTCCTCCAGCTCACAACCTCCACACCAGGCTTCTCTACTGCCTGCCATCCTCGGGGATTTCTCAACATATTAATAATGGATTAACCAGATCAAAGGCCGATACGCTGTCCATAGATATTATCGCCACACCCGCCTGGCCACACCACCCCATCATGGCCCGATCCCGACGCTCCAGCGCAACAAGTGACGGCCACGAGCGCCTCGAACCCCGCCTCCTCCGCGCAGTCGAGCAAGATGACCTCGAGTCCCTCCGGACCATCATCGGCCTATCCCGCGAACATGGCCAATTCAGCGACGCATTCCTGCGCGTGGGGCTGATGCGCAGCGCGGATCGCGGCAGCGTGCGTGCCACGGAATTCCTCCTCTCCCTCGGCGCAAAGACAGAAGTCACCGGGAATAGGTTATCGCCCTTACTCCGCGCCGTCGAGCGCAATCACTACGAAATCGTAAAATTGCTGCTCGACCACGGGGCGGTGCTGGACTCAGCGGATAAGGAGGGCCGCACGGCGCTCATGAGCGCTGCGTGGCGCAATCATGCCGAGACCTTGAAACTGCTTATTGCACGCGGTGCGGATGTGAATGCGCGCGATCTGCGGAGGAGGAATGCGCTGCATAATTTGGCTGCCGATAAGGAGTGTCGCTCTGGTTGGGGTGATGATATTGTGGGACTGTTGCTGCGGACCGAGTGTCAGATTGATGGACCCGGGGGTCAGGATGAATTGGGACGCACGCCGCTGCATTGGGCGTGCGCAACGGGGAATCGACGGTTCGCTGAGTTGCTGCTTACACGACCGGATGGACCGAGGGCGCAGATTGATGCCGCCGAGCTGAGAGGGAAGACGGCGCTGCATATTGCGACGGCGCATGATCGCGAGGATATCGTACTGCTGTTGCTGCAGCATGAGGCGGCAGTTAATGCCTGCAGTGATGGTGGCTGGACGCCGCTACATAATGCGTGTGAGAGGGGCTCTGTGGCTATTGTGAAGACGCTGTTGCGCGCCGGAGCTCATATCAACAGCCAGCTTTTGAACGGCGTGACGCCACTGCATCTTGCGGCGCAGGGTGGTCATACCGAAGTGGTGGAGTGTCTGCTGGAGAGACCGGATCTCAAACGTCGAGTGCGGGATAATTTCGGGAGCACGCCGTTCCTGCGCGCGGCGCAGTTCAAGCGCAAGGATATTGTCCTGCTGCTGGCGCCGTTCAATAATGTCGAGTCTCTTTCCGAGGATGCACGGAATGCCTGTCGGGCATTCGATGCCACTGTGGTTGATTTCGGTAACTTCCATAACGAAAACCGCGTCAAGCGCATCTCTGTATTTGAGCTGCTCTATGGCAAAGACGCAGAGAATCCACGCAAGCAGGCCGTCACAACTCTACCGGCTGACAGTCGAGCCACTGATTTCCGCTGGATCCATCTCCCGGCTAACAATATGGCTTGGGTGGAGGCGCTGCTCACCAAGTCGTTTATTGAAGAGGGTGCCCACGACGTCGATGGATTCAAAGGCCTGGAGAAGTCATTTAATTACCAACACCGCGGCCAAAGGACTCACTCGCATTTCATGCGTCCGTTGTGCCAGAATACTCCTCGCAGCGCACGGCGTCGAGAAGAGGAGAGCAGCTGCGAGGAGCAGGCGTCAGATGCTGCTCAAGCTAAAACGCCAGATCCTGGTCCCCTGCCCGCTGGTCGCAAGCAAAAGGAAACCGGCGGGAAGCCCAAGCGGGTCGATTCATATTCTCTCGATGAGGGATCGGTGAAGAAGAGCAAGGGGAATCAGAAAAAAGCCGGCGGCAAACCAGGCAGCGGTCCCAGCACGCCCAGGTCTGAGAATAGACCACAGCAACCAAAATCATCGCTCACTACTTCCACGCTATGTAAAGACCCCCTGGTCTCTGCATGCAACGTCTGTGTCTACCTACCATATCTGCATTTCGAGACCGCAGAACGACGGCAGAAGATGCAAGAGGCCATTCAACGAGCAGAAAAGATGGATTCTCTTTTCCAGCCGCGCGGACTCAGCAGGGCTCGTACGAGGGATGAAATGCTGCTTGACGCACATCTGTCGTCTTCGTCAACTTCTCTCCATGTCCGCCGCACGCTGGACCAGTTTTTTTACCCGAACATCGATACCCAGAGTCGTGATCAGGATCAAGTGGTCTACCGCTACCAGACCAAAGGTCCCGGCCGCGCAGGATCAGGCGAGGATCCCAAGATTTTCATGGTGGATCAGTTGTGGATGTGGGTGTTGGGCACGAATCTGATCGTCACTGGGTTTCCGCAGCGGTGGGATCAGCCCAAGAATGATCCGCTTAACGTGCTCGACGGGATCATCGAGGATATCAACTCCAAGACGCGCGAGCCTGTTAAGTCGCTTTATGATCTAGCGATTATCATTACCAACCGATGTTCGGGCGTATTTGATCGTCACCGCTTGGGCGATGATGAATATCAATTCCTGGATATGTTCGAGTCGTCTATTGGCATTGCCACGGATAAAGAGACGGTCCTCTTCAATCGGTTTAACCGTGCCTCCTCACAAGCATCGGGGTGGCTCAAGAGCCATCGCAAGTTAAACAAACCCCTCCGCAACTCATCTCGCTCTTTTTCGGGCAACCCAGCAGACGAGGACGACGCCGCAGATGACGATGACTTGGAGAATGACGAGGGCCAACCGCTCTTCGTCGACAGACTGCTGGACATCGGCCAGGAAACCGATCTTCTAGCCGAGACCAAGGACATCCGCGACGAGCTCAACATGATCCGCACAGTGCTCGAACACCAGAAGCACGTCCTCGCCGATTTCCAAGAAGTGATCTGCGAGATCTATTACGGGCAGCAACGCTCTCAGTACGAGGTAAAAAAACGGTTCAAGGACCAGCAGCGCACAATCGACATGCACCTAAAGGACATCGACCGCATGGACAAGCAGGCCGAGCGCATCTACCACTCCATTACCGATCTTCTAGATCTCAAACAAAAACACGCCAACGCCTTCGAGGCCCGCTTCGCGCGCGACCAGGCCGCAGGTACGACGCGACAAAGCAAGACCATCATGGTCTTCACCATCGTAACCATCATCTTCCTACCGCTATCCTTCATCACGTCCATATTTACCATTAACATGAAAGAATTCCAGAACCTAAATCTGGGCTATGTCGCCAAGTACACGTTCGGCGTCGGCTTCGCCATCTCCATCCCCCTGATTCTGGTTGCGCTCTCAGTCGATGATATCAGTGACTTCTTCGGTACCCTCCGCGGCCGGGGTTGGCTGTCTCGGCGGAGGAAAGCAGCTGAACTCTCATCTGCAGGTGACTCGCTGCAGGCGCTGGAGATTGAGAAGATCCTGAGCTTGGCTCGCTCGCGCAGAAGCGCTGAGTTGGACTATGGGCCTAGCTTGTTGCCTATTTCTACGCGTGGCAGTGCAAGGCCATCGACCTTTCAGCGGACTAGCGTGGAAAATGCTAGATCCTATCAACGATAACATGACATACCTAGTATATACGGCATTTATTGTGTTTTGAAAAAGCGAATGTCTAGTTGCACTATATCCCTTATATCGCAATAACGGACGGCTCTTGCTGCATTCCGTCTCTCGGGCTCTACTTGGGCAGCTGTGTTGAGAATATGTACCCAATGCCATAAGCCTAAATCCACAGGATCTCCCTAACCGAACCAATACAGCATATGTCGCCTACTTTTTGAATCACTCTAACCATTTACAGCGTCGGCTCAGTCACCCTATTCATGTGTATCTCTCTGTCCCCTTAGGGCTTTCCCTCTTGCTCGCTTGTTCCATTGACTTGTGACTATTCTGATTATCAATGATTTAGAGGTTTAGGCCTGAAATGTGCCATGGAATGCCATTCGGTGACATACCGAAGCTGTCTTCGTCTATAGTTTTGGGAATTTACAATTCCACCGCATCCGCATATATCTCCCTCCCTCCCTTCCCATCCCCCAAAATAGTGGCGGGATGGTAAACATTCATAATCACCATCGCCGAAAACATAAGCAAAGCATCAAAGCCATACATAAACGCTTCGTGGGTCATGGGGAACCCATTAAACCCATAGAGATACTCCACCAGACGGAAGATAGACCGAACCAGAATCAATGCGCTGACCAGATACAGTGCCAGGAGCACCGTAGCCCAATTGCGCTGCCTCCATCCCTGAGCACGGGTAATATCGCGCTCCGCCTGCGCCTTGGAGGTTGGGTTGCGGTTGATGCGGACGTGGAACACGGCAGCGGTGATCACGAAGAATCCGAAGAAGACGAGCTGGATCACCAGGCCGCCGACGACGACATAACTTCCGATTTTGCGCGAGTTGCCGCTTCCCGCCATGAGACCTCCTCCCGAGCCCTGCGTCAGGAACGAAAGCACGTCGCCCGACACAAAGATCTTGGTCATCCATCGCACATTAACGAGACTCCGCTCTTCGGCATGGAGGTACGTCGTCAATCGGCCTAGGACCATGTACACTGAGGCGGCGTACATGGGCGGCGCAAGGAGGATGAAGAGAGACTGCATTGCGTAGAGAGGTACCGAGGCGAGGTCATTGTGCCCTACGGCGCGGCAGACGTAGCCGATTATCTGAACTGTGTTGTTGCAGGGTTGTCAATCAGGGCTGCCTTCGTTCTGGTGCGGGGAGAGATGTGCTTACACACGCCGCCTACCACGAATGGGATGAAGTACCAGCATCGCGCCTTGGTGAGCTGAATGCCATGGTAGGTGGTCGAGCAGGCGAAGAGGATGATAAAGATGACAGCTGCTGGGATGGAAGGCGTGTAGCCGTACAGATTCCACTCGTTCATTTTGTTTTTCCTACTATCTATCTGACATGGCGGAGGGGACCGCCATATTTAAACGCTCGGGGTGCTTAGGCTCCAGGCTAAATCGGAGGATAGGGAACTAATCGCTACTGGCGTTGCTGCGCCTAACGCAGAAAATCTCAATCTGACACCCCTGTGGGTCCGACAGTGGAGCCGTGTTCGAACTCGCTTCCGTGTCCGTATTCGAATCCGTTTAACCATCTACAACACCCGTACGGCGCTATGGGCCCACGGAGATCGCATCGCAAGTCGCGCAACGGTTGTCGAGAGTGCAAGACACGGAGATTGAAAGTCTGCTGGTTCTACCCCCTTTAGCACCCACATTCTAAATAGAGACAGTGCGATGAACAATATCCATGCACCAACTGTGTCAAGCATGACATTCCATGCAGCTATGTCGCTCCAGTTGAACCAAGCGATGCATCTCCAGCACCATCAACACCAGCCGAGTTGCCAGCCACCCGATCGCAACCTTCACAGCCCCAGTCCCAAGTAACGACTCCACTCGGACTTGCTGCCTGGACAACAGCCTCTTCAGAAAACAGAGCCGATCTGTTGGATCTTCTATGCACCTCGCCAGAGGGCACTCCCTCCAAAGAAGACTGGGCCCTCGACCTAGAGCTGATGCACCACTTCAGCACTGTCACCTGCAACACCATCGCCGTCCGCCCTGACGCCCGGTACACCTGGCAATATGTCCTCCCCACTGAGGGCTACTCCAACGAATACGTCATGCACGGGCTCCTCGCGATGGCAGCTATGCACTGCTCTTATCTCTATCCCGCCCAGCGAGACCGGTACAGCAAGGCATCGGCCTATCATCAGGCCGCAGGATTAAAGGAGTTCCGGGACCTGATCGCCTCCCCCATTGACGCGAGCAACTGGCAGCCGGTGTTCTGTTTTGCATCGATGATTACCGTGCACGTGTGTGCGTTGCCGCTGCGTCTGGGTGTCGATCGCTGGCCAGCGCCAATCTCAAATATCGTGGAAATGTTCTCAGTTATCACCGGGATTCAGACTGTTCTGGAGCCGTTTATGGCGTTGCTGAAAAAACCAAGTGGGCGCCGTTTGTTTTTTCCGTTTGGATTGAGGATGAGAAGTTGCCACCAAAGTACGTCTGCCTTAAACTCTTGACTGTCAAAAGAAAGGATTAGCTGACATGGTTCCTTGGAAGTCTGGCGACGCTTAAACATTCCCTCCTTCCGCCAGATACATGGACACAGATCGACCGACTCCGACAATTCATCCAAGACTATCCCTTCCCGCATTCATCGAGTACATCTCACTCTAATCAGTATCAAGACCATGACCGGCGCAACGACTACAAATCAGCACTCTCCTCTCTCGAAAGCTCAATCCGCCAAATTGAGCTCGCCGGCCCAAATATTGAATTCGGCATGCCCATTCTATGGGCATACCGGCTCTCAAAACGGTTCCGCGATGACCTAGAAGCGTACCAGCCCGTAGCATTGATTCTTCTTGGGCATTGGTGCGTGCTTCTGCACTTAGTGGATCATTACTGGTTTGTGAATGGAGCGGCTCGGCAGTTGTTTGAGGATATTGAGAAGAAGATCGTCCATACTGGGTTTCAGAACTGGTTGACCTGGCCGAGACAGTGGGTTTTGGAGAGGTGAATGGTATAAGATGGTTCATCTTTTGAGATATCTCTCGAGAGACAAACATCAATAAGCTATACCAACCCTGTCTATAGAGTTCTATAGAGGAACAAAGACAATGGAGGCTGGACACCTCAGGCCTACAGGCACCCACATAATAGCCCGCGTATATAAATCGTTGTTTATCCCTCTTTCCACTTCTTCCTTTCTACACTCCCCAGAATACCTGCAGAGGACAGCGCCATGAACCCACAAGAATCGAAGCGCAACCCACACACACTTACCAGCGTATGTTGTCTTCGATACATTTATCGTTTGATTACCACTAACCTGAAGTCAGACCCAATAGAATGAGTCGCTGAAGCTGGGTTTAGTTCCAGGGCTGAAATCCCAAAACCGCCCACGAACAAACCTCCCAACATCGCTATCCATGGGACTATTTCTGGGACTGAAATATGACAAGTCAGTTGCGAATCAAGACAATCAACTACACAGACGAAAGCCCCGTAGAGCTCTCAAGTCTGTACCAGCGTCCATGGGTCAAGAAAACACCTTAAAGAGCTTCCTCAGGCTCGGGGTTCCTCTGGAAAGACTTTTCTTTCTCTTGAATCCCGTGTGCTCGAGCAGGTCAAGGACTACTCCAAGAACCTGACAGATTTGAGTAGTGACAACCCCGCTGTTCGATATTGTGCCATCCAGTACTTGACAGTCTTACAACCAATAATGAAGGTCCCCAACGACCGCAAACATGGGCTCTCAATCAGCCCAAATCACCCCGCAACCCCGAATCGAAATTTTCTACCAATTGGGGCGTTTCTTCAACAGGTGGCGGAAGGCCGTTGTGTCCATGAATCTATCAATCTCCCGCAATGCGTCTTGGGATTTTTCAAAATCGCGATCCTTTGTTTTTTGGGAAGAAGTCTCGATTTTATCGGCTTCCAATCATTCTCCTATGCCCACCTTGCCCTGCCGTCCACTGACAGTCTGGCACCATTCGAACCAGTTCCCTCGTGATATGAGTTTGGGACCCCAAAAGACTTGCTCATATCCCCGATCAGAAACGCCATCCAATTGTCCAAGGAGTCCGATAACCTCTTGAATACGTTTCTGCAGGGGTTTGAGGACTAGCGGCTGTACAGGCAGAGCCTCAAAGAGTTCGGCAGAGGATGGCCGCAAGTTGGAAAGGCTTCAAATGTTTTCAGAAACCCGGCAGAAAAAAAATAGGATTCTACTTAGCTACTAAAAGAGACCTAGGAAGCTATGCTAACTCGATGGCCCCACATATCAGGACCACCATCAGATCACTGTGAAGATGAGCAGTGATGCATCATTTGCCGACCATCGAGATCGACGAAGCTCCTTTGGCTATATATGCCAATTGGACTTTTAATAAAGCGGCTACAGGAAAATGATAAAAGATGGACATGTATACCATTTCGAGCCCCGGATAGGCCCGAATGGTTGCAATGAATTTTCAAAAACAAGGAATCATAACTATAAAACTAGAATCAGAACGCCGGATAATTAAAAACATTAGAACCTTAAGTAGTAGATAAAACTGGCTATTCACTGCACAGCAACCTTGACATACTCCCTCGCCTCGCCTTCCACATCGCTACCCTCAGACCCTTCATCAGGTGTAGCAGTCTCGCTATCGCTCTCATCCACAGGCATCGCATCCTTCTCATTCACCTCCTCTTCAACAACAACAACCTTCTTCTTGCTCACCTCCGGCTCCTGAACTTTAGGAACGGTAACATTAAGCACACCATCCTCCAGCTTCGCGGTGATCTCCTCGACAACAACAGCAGCCGGAGCCGTGCGCGTGCCGAGGCGGACCTCGCGCTCAAACACGCCCACTTCGCGCGCACGCTCTTCCATCACGAGCCCTTGGTGCAGATCCTCGTTGATACCGGGGCGGTAGACAACACCCGCCAGACGCAGCACGGACTCGCCGGCATCATAATCAATGCTGAGGTCTTCTTTCTTTGCGCCGGGGAGAGAGACGTGCACGACGTATTTGGTTGCCGTGTCGAAGACATCCACTGTTGGTACGAAGTCGACGCCCTCTGGAGTCTGCGCTGCGAAGGGGAACCCGAACTGGGCGCCTAGGTTGCGTAGGAAGTCGAAGTCTGGGAATCCGGGTCCTCCCCGTGCGAACGGAGGTGGTCCCCCACGGTGATGGGGATGAGGGCCACGGTGCCAGCCTCGCGGTCCGCTGGGGCCTCCTCGGCCTCCGAACCAACGGCCTCTTGGTCCACCGTGGTGGTGAGGGCCACCCCCGCAAGGACCTCCAAAGGGACCTTCAAAAGGACCGGCGTAGGGATTTCCCCATCCCTGGTGGTGATGGCCCGGTCCATGCTTGCCCTTGCCGCAGCCCTTTCCACGAGCCTTGCATTTTCCTTTCCCACCGCGCTTTCCGTGACGGTGCTTCTTCTCGTCGCCCGAGGGCTCGGAGTCTGATGATGAGGAAGAGTTATCCTCGTTTTGTTGCTTGTCGGACGGCCCAGCTTGCTGTTCCTCGGGCTGTTTAGGGACGTCCTCGGCCTGGGGTGTAGCTCCCCACCCTCCGAACGGATGCGGATGAGGACCACGGTGATGGTTATGCGGGTGGCGACCCTGAGGAGCAAAGAAAGGATGCTCCTCAAGGGCACCGGAGATATAATCCCAAAGGGGATGGGGAGGGTTATTGAGGTAGTAGAGATTCGCCATATTGATAGAAAAGTATACCAAGTACTGGAAGAATATTCAAATATTTGTGGGTATAACAGCAGAAAGCAACGGATGGAAATGTATGCCACTTATATAGACCTCCGGTATACTTTTTGCCCCCAGGCAGCCGTAGTATTTCGTCACAGCGAGCCCACGAATGGGTGTACGTACAACCATGCTGCCTTCGGGCCAAACAACTCTCCGAACGGCAGCTACCCTGCTTTCGGACTTGGAACTGGCCGAGAATGATCAATAAAGTGTATGAGTCAGATGGTTGATGCGCGAATGCTCTGGAAATGTATAGAAAGTAAGTAGATCGGGCGAAGGTCCGCGACGGGTAATTCCTGACGTGGTAATCTACTCCTAAGTCCGAGGACGACGGGGGCGCCACGCAACGCCACTTCCTTGTAGTGGGTTCGTAGGGACCTAGATTGTGGTCTGGTATATAGGAAGCTGTCGAGAAACTTGGTCAAAATTGTGATTAGAAATCTATGGAGGAAAGTTAGATGTCAAGTTACATCTCCCAGACGGAGTTGATTGATCATCGACCCAGGAAAGTTCGATGACTAACATCGGGTGGACTTCGAACAACGTGTTGATTATCGTGGTTGAAGGGGAAATCTAGCTTCATGGCTTCTGTATCATCCTTCCTTGCGCAGAATCCACTTTAGAGCTCGCCTGAGTCATCTGAAGAATACTCGCCACTCGCCTGGTTTGTGTGGAGGGACATCACGTGACCATCCCTATCGTCTCCGTGTCTGTACTTTCTTGTCCCCTTGACTGCAGTACATCCTAATTATTGCTTTCTCTCCCTGACCCCGTCAACCATGGATGCAGACTACTGACCTGGGGAATCTCGCTCACAGCCTGTTTCTCCCGATAGCCTCCCGAGCACGTGCTACTCTTCCTCACGACGCTCCCGAAGAGTTCCGGCTCGCGCCGTGGGCTTCAGGCAGTTCTACTAAACTTAATGACGGGAGAGATGAGCACCTGCTGCCGATTGGAGCTCAGTGGAGCTCCAGATAGCCTCAACATTCCTCTCCGACTCTTTCCTTCATGGCCCTGCCGAGGATGAAGTCATGGATGTGTCAGAAGGAAAAGTCTATTAACCACAGCTGCGATTATATACCTACGTACCCTAAACCACGATTAACAATGCCGCATTACAGCTCTCAGATCCGTGGAAAATGCATCCCTTGTCGTTGAGCGTGGTGCGGTCTCCAACCCACCATGTCTTTTTGTCTACAGTTCGGGTCCACCTTCCCAAAGCTGTCACGCGGAGATGCTTCGCAACCCACGTCGGACCTTCCACTGCCACCGGTGAATCTGGTCGCCACAAGGAGCGCGTCGTCATTCTAGGTTCGGGCTGGGGAGGCTATACCCTGTCGCGCAAACTATCACCCAAAACCTATGCACCCATCATTATCTCCCCTCGCTCATACTTCGTCTTTACTCCTCTCCTCACTGATACGGCCAGCGGATCCCTGGATTTCTCTAATATCGTAGAACCGGTGCGGGACCACCACGCCAAAGTTGACTTTATCCAGGCCGCAGCGCGTGCCATCGACCTGAAGAGGAAAACAATTCTATGCGAGGCAACCGTCGTCAAGAGCGGGGTGACCGAGACGCCGCGGACGGATGATGAGCGACAATTCGAGGAAGGTTCTCTGAAGCCAGCGGCCCAACGTCAATGGGAACAAGGGGAGACATTCGAGGTTCCCTATGATAAATTGGTCATTGCGGTCGGTGCCGTTAGCCGCACGTTTGGTACCCCCGGTGTGCGGGAGAATGCGATGTTCTTCAAAGATATCGGGGACGCCAAACGGGTGAAGCGCCGCGTACGTGAATGCTTCGAGCTGGCCGTCTTGCCCACAACCACCCCGGAGATGCGGAAGTGGCTGCTGCATTTTGCTATTGTGGGAGCTGGTCCCACTGGCACCGAACTGGCAGCATCTTTGCGCGACTTCATCTATTCGGATATGATGAAAATATACCCTGCTCTGGCAGGTATTCCTCAAATCTCGTTGTATGACGTTGCGCCTTCAGTCCTGTCCATGTTTGACCAGTCGCTCTCACGGTACGCGATGGAGACGATGAAGGCCGAGGGGATTGACATCAAAACATCTCATCATGTCCAGAGTCTGCGCTGGGGGTCTCCAGGAGCTGAGCCGCCGTATGAGATGGACCCGAAACACTGCCTCACGCTCAAGACGCAGGAGGAAGGAGAAGTCGGCGTCGGCCTGTGCGTGTGGGTGACTGGAAACGCGATGACCAACTTTGTCAACGAGTCATTGGGGTCTATCGAAGCCTTCCCGACGGAGTCGGCGCGTCTCAAGAATGATTCATCCGCGAACATGCAGTGGCACTACAAAAAGGCCCCCAAAACCGCCGCATTGCTGGTGGACGGCCATCTTCGCGTACAGCTGGAAAACGAAGCCGGCCACACAGCCGTGCTCCAAGATGTCTTCGCACTGGGCGATACCGCCATGCCCGAGACTGGGGCGCCTCCCGCCACGGCCCAGGCCGCATTCCAGGAAGCCAAATGGCTCGCAGCCCATCTGAATCGCGATGACCTAGCCCACACGCCGCCCTTCTCGTTCCGAAATCTCGGCACACTGGCTTACATCGGCAACGCGCGGGCGCTGATGCAGATCCCGCATGATCAATCCAATGGCAGCACGCGCAACAAGTACCTGCCCGAGGGATTGACGGGCCGCACGGCCTGGTTGGTGTGGAACTCGGCGTATCTCACGATGAGCATTAGCTGGCGTAACAAGTTGCGGGTTGGGTTTCGGTGGTTGTTGAACAATTTGTTTGGGAGGGATGTGTCGCGTTTTTAGCTCACTGCCTAGACTGATGTATCGGCATAGATCCAGGAGCAGCCGAGGTTTCTTCTCCACACTCCCCCGCAGCCGAACAACATCAAACCAAACTTCTTTTTCTTTCTCCTGATCATCTTACATCCATCATCCACCATGCTCGCGTCCAAGGAACCCGCCTATGTGGGCGTCGCACAGCGTAAACAAGCCCAGCTCTCTGCATCTATCCCAGCCGAATGGCGCCTACCCGCACACCTCATTCCCGCGGGGATGCTAGAGCCCGCTGAATCCATCACCGACGGCCCGAAAAAATACGGGCGCGTCAACGTGATGGAAATCCCGCGCACATGTGGACTTCTCAGTTCCCAAGATCTAAATATTACTGAGAAGTTCGATGTGCGCGGATTAGTGGCGGAGATGAGCGAGGGGAGATTGAAGGCTGAAGAGGTGGTGCAAGCGTTTTGCAAGGTACGCTTTTCTTTCTCCTCTTGTGGCTGGTTATACTAACACCTATGCTAGAGAGCGGCCATTGCCCACCAGCTCACGCGCTGTTTGACAGAACCTCTCTTCCCGCGTGCATTGCAGCGAGCGCGTGAGCTGGATGAGCACCTCCAGCGCACGGGAACCCCCGTCGGCCCACTGCACGGCCTTCCCGTGTCCGTCAAGGACACCTTCTGCGTAGAGGGTGTGGACTCGAGTATTGGGTTGTCAGCACTAGCATTCAAGCCTGCGTCGGCCAACGCACCACTCGTCGACCTACTGCAGTCGCTCGGCGCGGTGGTGATCGCAAAGACGAACATCCCACAGACCTTGGCCACGCTGGACAGCTGCAACCACCTCTTCGGGCGCACGCTGAACCCGCTAAACCGCCAGTGGACCGCTGGCGGCAGTACAGGCGGCGAAGGCGTGCTAGTCGCTATGCATGGGTCGATGGTCGGCTTCGGCACAGATATCGGCGGCAGCATCCGTGTGCCGGCTATGTGTCAGGGGATCTATGGGTTCAAGCCCAGCCAGGGACGTGTGCCGTTCGGTGGACAGGAGAGCGGACAGATACCTGGAAAGGGACGCATTGCGCTGCAAGCCGTAGCTGGGCCACTGGCTCGGTCGGTGGCGGATCTCGACGCCGTGATGGCGGAGATTGTCCCTCGCGCCGAGCTGTTCGGTGAGGACGGCATACCGGGCTACTGGCCGTCTCCTTCCACGATCTCCCTGTCGCCTCCACGGAATTTCACCGTGGGCATTTTAAAGACAGACGGCCTCGTCACTCCCCTACCACCAATCACACGCATCCTAAACGAAGTCGCAACCCTTTTGCGCCGCACGCCAGGCGTCGAAGTCATCGATGTCCCGCTCCCACCTGTTCTCCCCAAATGCCAAGCCCTAGCCGGCCGCCTCATGGGCGTCGACGACGGATCTAGCATGCTCGATTTGATCGAGGGCATGGGCGAGCCTCTCATCCCCTGGCTGCAGGGCCGCATGAAGCGCGGCAAAGCCCTGCATATCAACCAACTAGCGGCGTTGCAGGCCCAGCGCGCAGAGGTCGAGAAGGAGATGATGAAGATGTGGACTCTGTCCTCTTCCTCCAAGCATACCCGTCGCATCGATGCTATCATTTGCCCCGTCGCGCCGCATCCCGTCCCTGAACTGGACCGCTACAATGCTGTGGGCTATACGTCCACCTTCGTGTTACTGGATTACCCGGCTGGAGTGGTCCCCGTGCGGCCGTTTAATGAGAAGGATCTTGAAAGTGGTCGTGAAATGGATGCGCCGGTGCTGGGGAGCTGGGATAAGGCGAATCGACTGTTGTGTATGTCTCTTCCCTCTCTCCCTTTTTTTCCCTTTCTTGTGATATAAGTATACTAATAGATCGACCAGGGAACGAAAAAACGGTCGACCGCCGCGTATACCTGGACTCTCCGCTCAGTGTCCAGGTCATCACGCCTAAGCAGCATGATTATGATCTGCTCCGGGCGATGGAGATTGTGGATCGTGCGGTGCAGGGGCAGAGTGTGAATGCGAAGCTATGATTTCAATTTGAATGGCAGTATCAGTTACCTGGAGCATGTAATGTATACATAGCAACCTTCGCAGACTTATTCATAATGTGACCTCCCGTATTTAAACTCAAAGAACTTCCTTGGTTGAAAGGCCTACATAGTAAATAAAGGTCTAGATGTGCTTAAGTAGTCTAGAGATTAATCTACTTCGGAAATTGACGGCTCCAAGCGATAGGCAAGGCAGTAAAACATTGATCTTAACCGTTTTTGAGGTTCGTTGTGGTCACCCACACGCCGCGTGTTTCAGTAGATTCCGAACCAAACCAACCCTACCATTATTCAAGGGGAGGCGGTGGGTGATAATTAGTCACCCACCTTCGCCTCTTACAACAGACTTCCCTCCTCAGTAAATTCCAGATATGGAAAACCGAAAGAGGGGTAACTGTAACCCTTATCTGTCGGGAGGCCAGGGATTATGGGTAGCACTGGGAAAGAACGGAAACCCAGAGAAACAAAACACACGGAAGGGATCGGAGAAGAAAAGAAAAAGCTACAAAGCAGCCCACGTTTCCCTGAGCCAACCCCCCATGCCTTCAGTAATACGTTCCCGTGCTCGATGTATCCGTTGGTGACTGGTGATCGAATGGACCCGGGTTCTCGGTCATTGACGGGTCAGGACCGCCAGCAGCCGTAGCAGGCGGTTGAGCTGGACGGTTCGAGGGCTGAAAACCCCGCGGAATAGCCTCGACGGATGACATCGCTCGTCGCATCTCCTCCTGTTCGTTAGATGTGAGCACCAGCCGGATCCGCTGGCGACCGGGCGTAATAGGGAGATCGTTGATATCAGGTGTTGCGGACCGTAATTCGGAGAGCTGACGAACGGTTGAGTGATGGGCTCGCCGTTCCGCTTGGAGTTCAGCCCCGAGTCGGTCTCGGGATTCCAGCATCCTGTCCCGGTCAGTCCGAAGCTCGTTCAACTGTCGCTCGGTGCCGATAATGAGGGTTTCCGCAAGATCTACCCGATCGGAAAGATAGTTATTTTCGGTGGTCAAGACCTCGCTCCGCTGCCGCATCTGCTGCAGCGAGGCATCGCGGACGGCTACCTGTTGTCGTAACTCTTGAACTGCCTGTTGGTGCATCCGTTCAACGGTCTGGCGCTGCGCAATCTGTAAGACACATTGAGTTTGCATGTCATGGATTTGCGGGTCGATCTCCGTCGGAGCCGTAGCTGTGGGAGCTTCATCCGGGTGAGCCATACCCTGTTCCTGCAATAGGTGTGCGATCAGTTGTGGGCGGGCAGTAGTTGAGAGTTGGGTCGCTTCATTGGGTCCTGCTCCGCGATACCGGCCAGTCGAATCCCGTCGAGTCGCTGTGACATTACTTACCCGCTTACGGACTGTGCCTTGAACGGTGAGGTACCCCGGATGCTCGTAATGGTTCGCGTGGAAAAGCCAGTCATTGCCAGCATTCGCCCGGCGCACCCACTCTGGATACCGGTATGGGCAAGTGAACGGCGTCATCGGGGCATTTGGATCGGTAGTAGTAACCCGGCGCTCGAACAAAAGACCATGATGTGCTACCCTCAGCAACCGATCCGAGGGTCGCCAGTAAATGCCTGACGGGTCGACTCTTCGTTGGAGTGCCCGTGAAAAGAAGAATGCGTGCCGAAGCTGGGCTTCTGTCAGAACTACTCCATAACCCGAGGGGAACCCTGCGGGAAGGTCCTCCACCATTCCCTGCTCCTGTATGTCCTCCTCAGGAGTTGGTGAGTTCCTAACCGAAGAAGTGTGGGCAGGAGAAAAGAAACCCGGAGGAGAAGACTCAGTGCTCCGAACCTGAGTGTCCTGAACAACCATGTCCGGCACCCGTACGTACTCGCTTAGGGCTTGGAGGAACATAGCTAACCCACGACGAACGACTTGGTCCGGTCGATAGTGAGCGGCGGCGGCCACAACGGTTACCGCAATGAGCGTTCCAATCACCGCGAGGACTACGGGGCCTGGGTCCGTCAGGCCGAAACGAGTCCCCCCAGGATTCATAACGATCGAAGGCCCTGGGTAAGGAGAAAGGGTGCGAGGGGAAAGTCTCGATCAGTCCAGTCGGGAAGATGTGTCGGTACTGCTTCTGCCGTGCTAAGGGCTACAACTCAGAAGAACCTTAAGGCCTCGGTTGTTGCAGCCCAGAGAAAAGCCGTATCAGGTAACCAAATGATACGGATCAAAAGTCAAATGTTGTGGATAGGTAACAGATGGAGGAAAAAATTGGGGTGAGGAGAAGAAGGAAAGAGAAAGAGGAGACGAAGGAAGAAGAAGTAGATATCAGCTTCCAGTCTCCCAGGCGGCCGTCTACCAGTCATCACCAGCCCTAGTTCGATCCTGGCCCTTGTCGTTCCCCGTGCTGACTGCCCACAGCAATTTGAGGTCTTTCCCGGTTTGACGGTCCCACTTCGTCTTCCGGTATTCTTTCATGATGGCCTCAATTTCTGCGTGTTGCTCTGATGTTCGGCGCGCCAGCCGCTGTGCCTCTTCTAGACCATCTTCTGATCGTGAAACGAACGGCTTCAGAAGGTCGAGATGATATTTGCCGAGAGTGAGGCCTGTATTTAGTTCTTCAGGATGAACGATCTCCTGCGGTTGAGCACTCTCCTAACTCGGAACGGCCTACACCAGCGCGATTCCAGTTTGCGGCCATGAACATTCTCCAGCTCCGTCCGCCAGAGCAGCACCAGATCATCCTTCTGGATCATTTCAGCGAGGATCCGTATGTGCTTGCTCAGCCCGATCCTGATAAAGGTCCTGGGGGCGTTTGTCTCGAGCCCTCCAATGCCGACAAGCGGATGGTAGCAGCCGTATTGTCATGATCCTCCTTTGCTGGTTTCTCCTGTTCCGTCCAAGCTTCTTCAAGTGCATCTGCAATGAGTTCGTCGCCGGGTGATTCTCGATCTGGAACAGGAACGCGCCGACACCCCGGCCTGATGCATCTGCAGCCAGGTGATATTGCATGGAATGGTGGTCGCCGGTAAGCTGGATCCGGGAGAGGTAATGCTTAACCGTCACGAACGCTTGCTCCTGTACCGGTCCCTAGTCAAACCCGACCGTTCGTTTCCCTTTTCCCTTCCCAGTCGTACGGATTGCCTCCTTCATCATTCGGGTAAGATCAGAGCGGCCAGGGATAGACGCCTTCATGAACGGAAGGGCGTATAAGAATCGCATAAGCTCTGGTTCATTCCTCGGCCGTGGCCTGTCACGGACTGCTGACGGCCGTAATTCTGTAGTTGAGTATTCGTGTCCGAGGATATCAATGCGGCTCGTGAAGAAGGTTGTTTTCCTTGGGCTCAGAGTGAGCCCACTCCAGGCCAGTCGTGGAAAATAGTGGTTGTGTAGAAAGCAGTTTTGTAGGCATGGTCTGTCGTCAACGGCACTACCCAGTATCCATTTGCCGCATCCGCTTTGAAGAATACTGCCCAATTCGACTGACAAAGGTTATTCATGATGGGTTCGATCCTTCTCATAGGATAATCCATCTTCACCGCCACCGCGTTCAGTGAGATATACTGATGAACCATCCATAGCCGGCCATCGTGTTTCCGAGGGAATTTCGTCTTGGCCGACTAAGGCGATACGCATCGTTCGATGATTCCGGCATCCACCATCCCAGGTATGTGATTTTGCTGCCATGTTTCTTCCTCTGGAGTGTACTGAGCCAGTTTTGCCGCTCGAGGAATAGCGCCTGGCAAGGTGGGGATCCGGTGATCGACTAGCCGGGTTTACGGCATCTGTTTGACATCTTCCACAAACAGGTCTTTCCAGGTGTAGAGCAACCTTGCAACAACTGTGAACTCGGCTATCCCTGGCCACACTTGGTGGCCGACTAGTTGGCGATGAGCCGCCATCTACTGACATGCTTGCTCGTGATCGTGCGATAACTCTCTGCGGTGGAACGCTGGTCGATCCGTAGTCGGGTATCCCAACATCCTCATATGGTATTGCCAATGCACCATGAGACGAAGGCTCATCTTGGCTTCACCCCACCTAAATGAGGCTACTGCACTCCAGCACCGCATTGAGGTGTGAGCCATTTTCGCTGGAGGGGGCCGAGCGGCGGCCCGTCTAAAAATAGTAAGTATAAGCGTTCTTGGGAACGTACCTTAAAAATGCTGCTTTCCGTTATCATATACATATCGTAAGCTATACACTTGCCCCCTCGAGTGTCAGCGTGAACGAAATGAAACAAAAGCAACCACGGGAGACTCATCTTTCAGTAGAAAGTAGGCCTGGGAGCCTCCCCAACGACTTCTTTGAGGAAGACACAACGAGCCAGCCACTTCAGCCCTTCGGCATGCTGGCGTCGGCCTTCTGCACCGAGCGTAGTTGAAAACTTACGCCATTCAAACCCTTTGTGATGACCCCAATAGTGCTGGCGCAAGTGAGGCATCCGATCGTGACGGATCGGGTACTCGCAGCCAGGGTATCGGCAGTACTTCTCGTGATGGTAGATCACGGCATCGGCAGGGTCGATTCGGGGGAGAAGCTTGGCGTCCTCGGCATTCAGCTGGTCGTATACCTGAAGACCGTCGATAATGAATTCATTATCCACAAGAGACTTCTTCAGAAGTGTGGCTTACCTTCGGACCGTTGTCCGACCCGCTCGGAACCTCTTCGATCTTCAGGTAACGCCGCTTCGGAGCCGGTGCCTTTGGCTTTGGGTCCCGCGAGATCGCCGGATTCTTCGGGCAGATCTTCTCATGTCGATCACGCGCATCTTTGCGCGAAAAGCTCTTCTCACAATAGCGGCAATTCAACGCAGCTTTGCGGTCCTCCTCGTTTTTAAACTCATAGTGCTTGTGGTTCCGATGAACAGCACGAAGCACAGAGTTTCGGAGGATCTCGAGACACCCATCGATACCGCACACATATCCACGGCGGTTATAGTCCCAGCCCTTGTGGACATTGCGCTGGTAGGTGTGCTCGTTGGCCTATGTTTAGTTAGTTTGTCAAGGACATGAAAAGTCTTTAGGGCTGACTTACTAGCCGCTTTCCAATCGCTTGGATGACCTTTGCGCTATGGATAATGTCGAATTTCTCGACGAAGAGCCGGGTAGAAGCGAACGATGGGAAATTCTCATCTTCGGCGTCAAGATCCCCTGCCATAATGGCGCAGGCCTCGTTGGGATCGACGTCGTAGAATTTCTCTTCATCGCAGTTATTGACATCGTCCGCATAAATGCGCAGTCGAACTGCAACATTCAAATCAATTGCTCTATAAAAGAGCCTCTGGAAGGTGCCTTGGTGGGTCGTGAGACCGTCCCATCCAGCGACAACAAGGAGAATCTCGCAGTCTTGTTCAAGAGCCTGCTTGAACAGAAGTTCAAAGCGATCCATCAGATACCCAGCCTTGGGCCAAGGCCGGTTGGAACTGTGGACGAACACGAACCTCTCGAGAGAACGGATCCCAAGAGTACCATAGGTATGCTCGTGCTCGGCAACCACAGGATCCAGCGAAGTCAGCAACCATGCCTTCTTTTCATCAGTGTTGATGGCAGCGCTGGCTCGAGCAACGAAAAGAGAGATTGTGTCCTTCATTTTGAATGAAATTGATGGGAAATGGGATGAAACGAAGGCACGAAGAGAGTAGAGGAAACAGCAGTTGCCAGCTGCACGTATATCCGGTTCATCTCTTGGCGCATGATATCTTCCTCTGTGCAGCCATACCCATTGAAATGCTCAGCACCAAATAAGAAGGAGAGTATATTATGAATTATATTGAAAATTGATCTCCTCAGAATTTGTTCCATTTCCCTAAGCCTGATGACGAGATTGCGAGCAGATGGTTGACAGGCCCAGCCTTTCGAGCGTGTTCGAGACACATCATCATTAACAACACTCGGACTCATTGAAATGACGAGCATGTATATTGCTTTATGCTTTTTCATCATGGGCCTTTCCCAACGTAAAACCGATCTTCAATGTGGCATTTTGCCTTCCTTTCCAAGTATAAAGCTCTTCCTTCTGCACCCCCTCGTTTGATGAATGGGATTGGCTCAATTGGGGCTTTTGAAACAAATTGCCTCTCTGAAACATACCAGATGAAGAGGAAAGAGAGGGACTGTGTTACCTGTAGTGGCAAGTCCTGAGGCTATTCAGAAGAGCGTTTTATATGGTCACATGACTGTTAAGTGAGCACGCTCGATGGCCGCACAATGTCGACGAATGCTCTATATGAATTATTGAAGGCTATGCATGTATAAAGAGCCAGTGAGCTTAAGTAATGGGACGCGTGCCGATGGTCAGACGCGTGACAAGATGAAGATCGTGCTGCACGTGGTCGCGACTTGGTACCTGTATCACTCGCGTTTCATCCATTGAATTCGAATTGAACAAGAACAGGAACAAGAAGAACAAGAACAAGAAGAACAAGAACAAGAAGAACAAGAACAACATCAGCATGGCCGTCGATAAGATTGGCGATCACCCAATCACACAGCCCGAAAAGGGCAAGAAGGACGACAAGAAGGATGACAAGGGCGAGAAGAATGGCCCTGGCAAGATCACCAAGGTAATTTCTAATCTGATTCAGTATCTTGAGAGGCTAATTCCCACGTACATAGAATCGCCACCGGTCCCGTGGAGTAACCTGCCATCTCTGTGGCCAGAGGGGCCACATTGCCCTCCGCTGCCCCGATGCCTGGCTGGCCACCATGGGCATCCGCATGCGCGGTTTGGTATATCGAATTATAATCTAAAATTATTCTTTGAGGCTAACATCATACAGGGTCTTTCGTTTGACCAGGTGGTATGTACGAGCAATGTCAGAGTATGACAGAAATATCTAACCAGCAAGAGTAGCTCGCGGCCGGCCAGCAGGGCCGCCAGTCCTCCGCCAAAGCCGGCGAGGGCGAGAAGAAGACTAAGAAGTAATGTGGCCCTTTCTGCGATCTCCCAACTCAAGGTGCTAATTATTATATAGGAAGGACGATGGCGAGAATAAGAAGTGAGGGGCATTACTACAACTATTATTTTTACTATCACTGCATTTATTAAATTTTGTATATATTAACAATGTGACCAGATTCTCTCCCAATTCAAATTTAATTTTGGGTTTCAGACACGGTCTTCCTCGGCGTTATACATTTGTTCACGACTCTATGGACCGTTCTATTCCCAAGGCCCAATAGTGAAGTACTCCTTCGAAGTGCTCGAAGAAGCTTAGAACCAAAGCCATGGTGTGATTATAGTTTAAATAGCTAGGAGGCTTAGTCTAACAGGAGATCTAGTCAATTTGTCGATTATATATTAGATGTTGGGTTCGCACAGGAAATTTTAGATACTAGCATCTCTACTCCGAAGAACCAACCCTACCCTTTCTTTCTATTCTGGGCTAGACATAGCTAATATCTTTCATATTATTGATTAGCTGAAATATAGACAAGGCTGAGACTAGTAAAAAATCGAGTAGAGTGGTCTGTAAAAGAAAAAAAATTGAAGTGGACGAATGGCGGATCGAACGCCAGACCTCTCGTATGCAAAACGAGCGCTCGTACCGCTGAGCTATACGCCCAACAAGTCTACTCTCACCGAGAGAATAAATCTCTTGTGTTTAATGAATCCTGCGGACATCGTGCATGTTGGGTTACTCTACACACAACCCCTGCTTAGCCGTATCGCTCCTCCGCGCGTATCGGGTTTCAGCGTGCAATGAATCATTGTAAAATACTGGAAATCTCGATTGAATGTTCTACAGTAGGCGGGATTCTCGAAGCGGGGAGTTTTGGCGATCGTGCTTGATCCATGCCCACCAGCCTCCCCTTCTTGCTTTTCGTCCGCAGCCTATGTCTTCATCGATGTCATGACGAAAGACGTGCTATTGCTGTAGAAGACTATTCGTAAATTAACATGGTTCTCGCTTGTGTTCTCCCATGGCTCTTGCTCTCTACTGCCGCTTCTAAAATACCGGCCACTCAAGCTAACGCAGAACCCCAGGGCGTTGGTCGTATATAGATATGAGCGAAAGCCTGTATCACGTTGACTACATCTCTTAGCCCAAAGAGCTCGAATCATGGGAACAGGATTCACAATATGCCATAACGCCGGGATACTTCTCGGGAAGATTCCGCAGCCACATCTGGCTGGCGTGGCGATTTGCTGTCATTTTGTCTGTCTTCCAACAGATTCTATATTGAGACACGCTGCTCTTGGAGTAACGTTGGAACATTGTTGCTGTTTGAGCATAAGAATAAGTAATTATGAAAGTAATAAACGAACAGATATACCTTCGAATCGCCCCGCATACATGATCACATTTAGCAGAAGCAGCATCGTCGACTTCAGCCGTTCCAAGTTTGCCTTCAGCTGATCCAGGCTCGGTTCAAGCAGTACTAGCCGAAACTTCCGGGTGACTTGCTGAAAGCGACTCTTCCCAGGATGGTCGTAATTATCGACCACTCTCTGGATTTGTCCAGAGACGTCTCGACACTGATTTAAGATACAGCTCAAAGTCCGAAATACCTCATTTGAACAGAGTTTGGACACCTCCTCTTCTTTCAAGTTTTCGCCCAGCTCACGCAAAATGGCACTGACAAGTGCAATCTCGTTTGACAAAAGCTACATAGACTCACCGGCATTTTTGACCTGTCGGTAGAGGGAGAATAGCTTGACGGATAATTTTGTGCTCAAGTCTGCGACCTGTATGATACTGGCCGCGAGACCCAGGGCTTCGGCGCCAGACATGATAGCGACAAATTAGCAGCCAACTACCGAGAAGGCGAAACAAATAATTAATATACATGAAGTGCCAGCAATTCTAGGAAGACTCGATTACTAGTTTAAGGAGCTATATCCAAGTTGCTAGACCTCCTATAGCTTATCTATTCCGAAAAGCACATTAAAGAAGCTTAAAGAAGATATCAGCGAGATACGTGAAAACTTGTCGTTGAACTAAACGTCGTATAGCCCAATAGCCAGAACTAGATTAAAGATAAATACCAGAAACTAAATCCCTACTTAAGCGGATAAACACAAGCTAGATCTCTCTCTCTATCTATAGCTACCTTATAGCTCCTAATATATTAGCTAACCATCATAAAACATACGCGAAACGCCATCTAAACACTAACAAGTACATATCACCGATTGCCCTTATCCCAATCCACAAGAGACCGATTCTTGATACGGATTCCGGTAGTGGATTGTCTGATTAACCACTCTGTACTGACTTCTGTACCTGGTGTCTATCGTGGACCCACAAGCGCCCTGCTCACCAATACCGTTCCCGCGGTAAAGACTTCATTTTGGTGACCGACGCAGGGGGCGTCTTTTCCCTGCAGCTACTCCCTGACCTGTTGCTCCTGGTGCGATCGCGATCGACGGGGACAGACGCTAGTAGGAGCGCGGCCGTGTGCGTGTTCACACCCTTTTATCCTGACCAAGTTTGGGGAAGGTACGGCTACGGCTTGTTCCAACCCGTAACCGGCGAATCGATTTTCCGGCTGCGGCTTATGAATACCGAGTCAGCCCGCTCCGATTGGGTCGATTCTTCGTCATGAGCTTCTACTTCCGTTTCCCTACACCTAATTGGTGCCGGTATAGGTCACAGATCCAGTTCTGAAGAACTTGTGAAGAACTTGAGGAACTAGCTGATTTGGCAGACGAATTCCGCTACATTCAGCTAACAAGCCCTAGCTTGTTTCCAAGAACTGCAACCTCCCAAGGGTTATCACCAGATCATTCTGTTTCCTCGTATGATACTGCAACAAGGGATCCAATTCTTACACCCGAACAACCAGCTCTATTTCTGATTCCATCTACCATACCCATACCACCATCAACCATTTCACCGTTACGCCGTCCGACTACCGGTGAGTCGCTCTCGTGGACAATGGGCCCGTAGCCAACCATCGCTAGGAAGACCGGTGAGGACGTGGAGCTCTATGTAAAACAATGTAAGTTTTTGTGGCTCAGGACAAGTCACCTAAGCAAGGAGGAGCAGAATGAAGTTATCGCTATGTCGCTGGCATCGGGACTATAAGGATCTACTGCCTAGTATTACCGGCTGCTGGCAAAGGACATCCGCACCGATTAGACGAAGCTTGCAACTAAGCTCGAGAACAATTTCCGATGATTGAACTAGAAGATCTAGAAGAGATCGCTTAGGACCGAATCCAATCCTTGAAGCAAGGGTCTTGGCCGTTCGATGAATATTGTGATGCGGCTACCGATTTGAAGCATCAGATCCCATAGAGTACGCACGTAGAACTCGCCTGGGCATAGGCCCGTATGGCGGACCCTAACCTCGCTTAGATCCTTTTGGCTACCTAGTATTAGATTAAGGCCTCTGGATGGCCCATTACGGTTGAGAAGACAGTCGAAATGGCTCAGGTCTGCCGGAGTGAGCGGGCATGTGACCACACTTGATGGGATTTTAACGTGACTGCGCATGACGGGACCACGCTCGACGGGTCTGCGCTTGACGGGACCGCGTTTGGCATCACTGCGATTGAAGACTGCGTTTGACAGGTGACACAGGGCATAGACTGTTGTAGATAAGTAGAGACTCTTCTTCGGTCTCTTCTTCCCTTTCTCAACTTGGATCTCCCGTCGACTACGTACTCAAATTGAATTCTTTATTGATTTTCTTTCTTGATCTGACATCCGGTCACATAAGATCCAAGTTCTTTCATTACATTCTTTCCACCATCGCCGCACAGCTGTACGGACGCTACTTCATTGAAGTCTACTGTCCCAGCTCGCCTTGGTGCCTAACAACTCTTTCGAACCCGACGTGACAGCCACGATAGCGCTGAAGAACCCGAACCGAACAACGAACTACGAACGGCGCTAAGAAGGCGGCCTCCCCCGAACGAAACGAAACGAACCAGGGACCATGGCTAGGTCATCGACTACCCGAGCCCAGAGCGTTCCTCGACCCGAGAAATCACCCCAAATCAACGATGAAGAGGGTCCTGAAGATGCAAGAAGCGAAGCATCGGTCCCCTCTGAAACCATCCCGGTGGAAATCACCTACCCGAAGCTCCCACGTACCTCTCTAGCCGCTGAGGAGGGCCGACGAGAGTCCTTCTACGTCTGCGCAGTAGAGGACAACCCCGATCCGAGCGCCGGCCCCCAGGGGCTCGGCGAGCAGTTGAAATATACGCAACTTACCCTATCTGAGTTCAAGAAGGCCTTCAGGAAGGACCCCGATGCCCTCTTTGACATGATCTTAAAGAGGGAACGCCTTTGGACAGTGTACGCCAACACTAAAGATCAGGAAGCGCGTACCGCGCCTCCCGCTACGACTAGTGGTCACGAGCAAGAACTAGAAGCGATACAAGCCGAGTATGAAGACATGAAATTACGCCTTGAGACTGAGCGAAACAACTACGCGCACCAGCTCCTACAGAACCAGCGAATAGCGGTCCTGAAACCCAACGACTTCGGAGGCCGACGATCTGTTAAGATGCCTGACGCTCCGATCATGGACGATGGCAAGGATATGGATTTCGAGGTCTGAAGAACCCAAGTGGAGCGGAAGCTAGAGGGCAACGCCGACCACTACCCGACGTCTACCCTCCGGATCAACTACGTGGCCAGCCGATGCGAAGGCAAGGCCTTGAAGCATATCGGCCCTCGCCTACGTAGGGACGCGCCGCTTCCGTATGATGATGAGACCGACCTCCTCGATCACTTATAGGAGATTTTCTCAGACCCGAACCGCCGTGCGAAGGCCCGAATCGAATACACACAGCTAAAGATGAAGCCGAAGGACAGCTTCGATGACTTCCTGATCGAATTCGCCCGCCTTGCGGAAGAATCGGATACCCCTATGAGTGTTCGGAAGGAGGATCTCTACACTAAACTACCTTACCTCCTCCAAAATCAGGTCATGAGATTAGTTCACAACGACCGTGTCTCCTTCAAAGACTTCGCCTCTGAGTGCCGTGAATGCTCACTCCTAATCGGACAGCAAGTCTCTTCCCGTTCACAAGGCCGTACGACGAGCGGAGGAGGAAAAAGAGAATCGACTACTGGAAGCCCGGCTACCAAGCGAGAAGCTGGCTCGAGCCCTACCTCTACCGACCGGGTAGCCCTATTGAAGGAAGGTCGATGCTTCACGTGTCGAGAAAGGGGTCACCTTAGCCGAGACTGCCCAAAAAAGACAGCAGTTGCTACAGTGAACACAGAACAGCTCATCGAGCTTGAGGAAACTACTGAGACGGGAAAAGCCTGAGCCTGGGAAAAGTCTCCTTCTCAGGTGGAGAAATAGTGTCTTTACATGCGCTTGATTTGACAAAATTGATTGGACAAAGGGATCTTGTTTTTAATGCTCAGTTAGCATTCAATGGACATTCAGTCAATATCTCGGCTCTCGCAGACACTGGAGCGAATGGATTTATATTCATCGACACAGACCTTGCTGTTCTACTAGGTCAACAGTTTGGACTTCGCACGATTCGCTTGCCTCGTGATTGCCCTGTAAAGGGATTTGACGGGCAGAAATCGCAACCGATCACCCATGCGGTAGAGCTTACCCTCCACATCGATGGTCGACGAACTCTGGCATCCAGTTGGCTACTTCTCGAAAACGATGCAGATAGCTGAGCAGAACTACGAGATCCATGATAGGGAAATGCTAGCGATCATCCGTGCGCTTCAAGAGTGGCGGGCAGAACTCTCTGGACTACAACGCTCCGAGCCCTTTGGGATTCTCACTGACCACGAGGCGCTCCAATACTTTATGACGTCGAAGAAATTGAACGGTAGACAAGCTCGTTGGAGCGAGTTCTTAGCACAATTCCACTTTATGATCAAATATCGGCCAGGGAAGCGAAACGCCCTAGCTGATACTCTCTCGCGCAGAGACCTAGAGGATCAGAGCCCCCCGAACGAACGAATCCTTCTCCCAAAATCACGCCTCGATCCTAGAATCCTCGATGAAATCCAAGAAGCCCCCTCCTCCGTCGCCCTTGTTACCACTGAACCGATCACCGAACGAGTAAAGACAGCGAACCGCCGCCACTACAGCCTGCAGGAAGGGAGGGATAGAGCAATGAGTGGAGGAACACAATGGAGAATGAACGATGGATTGCTGCTATACGAAAATCGGCTGGTTGTACCAGATGAGGGCGATCTTCGTGCAAGACTCCTTGATGAGATCCACCGCCAGCCGTCTATGGCTCACCCTGGGCAAGAAAAGCTACGCAAGCTCGTGAACGCACGATACTATTGGAAGGGCTGGTCGGTGGATGTTGATCGATATGTGGACAACTGCCGAGTCTGCAAGCGAACGAAGCACTGGCGAGACAAGACACCTGGATTATTACACCCACTACCAATCCCAGACCGACCATGGCAACACCTTTCAATGGATTTTTGTACCCTCCCAAAGGACAAGAATGGCTACGACACGATCCTTGTAGTCGTTGACCGGTTCTCTAAGCGCCCAATATCAATTCCTTGTTACAAAACGATCACCGCGAAGGAAACTGCCCAGTTATTCATCACACACGTCTACCGTTGGGTAGGGATCCCGGATTCGATCGTCTCAGACCGGGGAGGACAGTTTATTTCTGAATTCTGGACCGAATTCTGCCGTCTCCTAGGCATCAAACGAAAACTCTCAACAGCCCGGCATCCACAGACCGACGGACAGACAGAGATTATGAACCAACATATCGCACAACGCCTACGCCCGTACGTCAACTACCATCAGGATGACTGGTCAGAGCTATTGCCGATAGTTGATTTCGCTGCAGCTGCTCTGGCACAAGATTCGACGAAGAACTCACCCTTTATGATTGAGAGGGGATACGAGCCCCGCACATCGTTCGATTGGCAAGAGCCATCGCCCCCTCCATCGCAGGAGCTGTCGACCGATGCCATCGCAGCACGCGACTATGTCTCCCGACTTGAGAAAATTTGGAAAGACACCCAACAACAAATCGTCCGCGCGCAGGAGAGGCAACAACTACAGGCAAACCGACACCGCAGACAGGAAGATTTTAATGTCGACGATGAAGTCTTTGTGACAACGAAACACTGGAATACAGGACGCCCAAGCCGTAAACTGGCCGACCTATCCGCGGGACCTTTCCGAATCATCGAAAAAGTTGGCAACTCTTACCGTCTCGAACTACCCAACTCTATCAAGGTACACCCCGTCTTCTCACCAGACAAATTACGCCGAGCAACGAAGACGACGCCATTGACTGGGCAGCACATCGACCCCCCGCCCCCAGTGGAGGTCAACGATCATGACGAATGGGAAGTTGATGAAATCCTCGACTCACGACTATACTACCGCAAGCTCAATTACCGCGTCAAGTGGGTCGGAACAGATGAAGACATCACATGGTACCCAGCCGGGGACTTCAAAAATGCCCCGCAAAAGCTAATCGATTTCCACGAACGATACCCCGACAAGCCTGGCCCGCCCGCCCGCCTACAGGAATGGACAAAAGCTGCCTTGGACGACGAATTCCTAGACGATCATCCGGATGACAACAAACCAGCATCAAGGGACTAGATGCTCTTACAGAGGGGGGTAATGTGACCACACTTGATGGGATTTTAACGTGACTGCGCATGACGGGACCACGCTCGACGGGTCTGCGCTTGACGGGACCGCGTTTGGCATCACTGCGATTGAAGACTGCGTTTGACAGGTGACACAGGGCATAGACTGTTGTAGATAAGTAGAGACTCTTCTTCGGTCTCTTCTTCCCTTTCTCAACTTGGATCTCCCGTCGACTACGTACTCAAATTGAATTCTTTATTGATTTTCTTTCTTGATCTGACATCCGGTCACAGGGCAGAGGTACTTGATGTGGCGGTGATGAAATTAAAGGAGGACTTGATCGTGGAGGCCCTAATAAGTCAGAGAAAAATCCTGGAGCGACTTACGGATCGCCTCCAACCCTACCCGCATTAGGGAGTCAAGCAATGACGGGTTCTTAATCTGGAAGCATAGACTGATTCACCGGTCCTCGCTGCTAGTAGGAACCCGCCTACGGCTCCAAGATTCCTACTACGAGACATGTCGCAGATTATCTGCTTCCGCTATGGTTGATGATCACAGTCGAAGGAGCAACCCGTGTCGCAGCGTTCTTTGTGATGGATGGCCGCCCGTCATACCATCCGTTCATCTTGAAGGGGAGTACCGGACTGGCCGATATACAATCCTTAGCGATCCCGACCACGCTACCGGTCAGGCACATTGCATAGAGGTAGTCCGTACTCATGATGTGCGACAGGGCGGTGTGGGTACGACTCCGTCCTGTGTTCAGAAGGTTCGCCTAGATGAATCCGAGCTCGTTGATCGAGTCAATACTGGGTTGACCAAGCGATCCAATCAGCTTACCCAGACAGACTGGGGGGACGACTCTACGGATCATGGGTCATTTTCGAACCTGGTCAACGAGGCGTTGAAGGAAGACGCGGAGTTCGAGGACTGAGTCGTCTTTCTCATCGAAAAACTAATCCCGTCCATGACGGGGACCCCAGCCGCTACGGACGAAGGAGTTGAGGGGATAGCGCAGTCGGAGGAGGGCGTTGAGGAGGCACGAGGTGCGAACCAACTTGACGATAATGAGTAAATGAATGATGACAATAATATTAACGAGTCTATGTTGTCGAAGTTTATGAACCGCATTTCCGATTTGGCGTTTGTTGATTGCGTATCTTTAATCCAGAGGGAAAATGGTTTCGGATAAACGATGGGGAGTGTGTATCATTCAGTATTATAGGGACGGGACCCATACCCCATACGGGTGGAGCTGGTGCAGAACTGCTTATGGAGATTGAGGTGAAGGGGGGTAGCCCGTTCATCTCTGTCAGTTCACGTTTTTCCATTTCTTTTTTTGAAAAAAACTGGAAGCTGGTCTACAAGTATACAAAGGAGGCATCACTTAACGTTACTGTCGTATGTACTGGCTTCCAAATTGCAGTCATAAACATTCTGATCATTTTCTAAGCTGGGATTGGGCGAGAAGAGCCCATAAGAACATCTCTCATCCTCATATCGAACCATCTAGTGCCCTGCACAGAGTCTCTGAAGCCTTCTATAGCAACTTTTAAGCCCTGCATACGAGAGATCCGGCGTTCGATCCGCCGATCGTCCATAACTTTTTTGCGTTTTTGCAGACCACTTTACTCAAATTTTAGCTAGCCCTAGGGAGTTTTGCCTATATTATCCGGCTTATTAATAATTATGGAAGATGCTCACTATGTCTAGTCACTAGAATAGAAAGAAAGGGTGAATTTAGTGCTTCGGAGGAGAGGTGCTAGTGACCCTGGCATTTTCGGCTCGAATGCAACGCCTGGGAAATAATCAACAATTTCTCGTATAGGCAGGCCAGACGTGAGTGCCTGCAAGTCTGAGGTGTCCATATTCCATTGCCCTTTGTTCCTATATCGTTTTTTGTTCGTGGCCGAGTTGATTCAAGCGTCCACTTTTTGAAATATATATATAGTGGCAATTGCACGAGCGAAAATTGTCGTTGGAAGCAACAGGGGGAAGGAAGAGGAGAAAAGCATGGTTTGAATATTTAGGCACGCTTATTAGGTCCCTAACCCCATATTCAGTAATAGACTAGGACCTAGAGTTAGTTCAACAAGGAACATGCCCCCGGAATGGCATGCCCGAACTACAAATCGTTAGAGCGCGGGCCCGCATAGAGATCACGTGACTCGATACAGATTTTCCTTATTCAGCTTATAGTTAGCTGGGCCCCCAGGGTCCCCTCCAATTGGACACACATACACCACAGTCGTAAGAGAAGAATGAGGACCGTCCACATTACTCTCTAAGAGTACTTAGGCTAGATAGAAACCAAAGTAGATTTTCTTCTAGTGAATATCACTATTCTATAAGGTAAAATGTGATCCGGAGCCTGACCAGAAGACAAAACGAAGAAAGGATTCAATGTCCATTGTTTCTCATCATCGGTTCATTACCTCGTGCGTCGGTCTACCTCATTATCTGCCCGACGGTCTCTCGTTAACCCTTCCAGCTGCTCCTGGAACTCCCTCGTGATCGACAAGACCTTCTTGAAATGGTCTTTCCGCAAGCTTCCACCCTGTCCATTGCTGCACGCGAGCGCATGGGCGCTGTTGACCAGGTTTCTGATCTGGCGGCCGTTGAGTTTCTGCTCCGAGCCGATCTCTTCAACCCAATCATCGATGTTCTCCCGGTTGGAAGGCGAGATGATGTTCTTGTCCTTCTCTTGGAGCTTATTCAGGAAGCTGCTGAAGACTTGCTTCTTCTGCGCTTTGGTGAGGTCCTCGTAGCGGATAGCGAGATGGATACGCGACTGCACTGCGATATCGAGCGAGGTGATTCGATTCGTGGTCAAAATCATGATTCCCTCGTAGTACTCGAGCACACGCAGCAAAACGGAGACGAGAGCGTTCCGGTTCGGGTCACCAGTGCTCATACGAGACTCGAGGAAAACGTCTGCCTCATCCACAAGGAGAATGGCCTCCCATGCCCCCGCAAGGTGAAACATGCGCTCGAGATTATTTTCTGCCTTGGAGGCATTCAGGCCAATTTCAGCCACGCTGACGATCAGAAGCGGCTTCCCGGTCGCTTCGGCGATGGTCTCTGCGGTCAAGGTCTTTCCTACGCCCGGAGGCCCGTGAAGGAGAATGACGAGACCGCGACCCTTGCCCTCGATCACATCCATGTCTTTGCGGTTGGTTTTGGAATCATTTGTCTTGGTATGATTCTCCACCAGCGCCTTGATCATGTCTTTATATACTTGGTGCAACTGCAGGTCAGTGTCGAATGCCGTCTTGATCGTGACTGGCTCAATTCGTCGCACTGCGTCGACTTTGAACTGGCCCCAAGTCTTTTGTTGGGTCGAGTAGCCCAGGACCCGAGGAGGGCACAGAAGAAATTTGTCTCTTTCCTGTTCTTTACTGACGATGTCATAACTCTCTGGTTTTTCATTGGGATCTTCCACTTCCACGCTGGTGTACTTTCCCAGCGGATATGAGCCGTTGCGGGATCCTGTGAGATGTTAGCCACTTGCAATAGCAAGTGGGGATTGTATGTGACTTACCGTGCTGCAGGAAGGCGCCTGCATCGACGATGAACTTACCCCTGACCTATATATGGATTAGAAAGAGCTTGGGTCGTGTCGAGCAAAGCGGTACTCACAGCGACGGTCTTCACATTATTGTCTTCTTTCCCTGTCGCGGAAATATTGTGTTCGTAAAATTCGTCTTCCTGTGTGGAACGTAGCGTGCGATTGTCATCATCCTAAAGCAAAATATGTTCCATTAGCCACGGATGTGTCCTGCTGGTGTTCTTTGGGCGGTCTCACATCTTGGACCAGCGACCTTGAAAGGCTCCCGCTGGCGAGTAAGACAATGTCATTATATTCAGACATCTGCTTCGAGCCTTTCTCAACAGTGCACAATTCGATAAACTTTTCGCCTCTTTTAATTAACTTCTCCCGAAGCTCTTTCAGCTGGCCGTCTTCCTCTTTCAGATAATTGATAGGGTAGCAGAAGAGGCTGCTGATGTCCTTTGTGCCACGGAAGTGCTCAATGTCGAACTCGTAGTACGTTTTGACCTGTGACTTGCTGTTGTAATCGTAGCACCAGCACGGGATCGAAACTTTTCGTCTCTCGTAAGGGTCGGGAGAGTACGGAACCTCGAAGATCTGCGGGAGGTTCAAGAAAGGCTTCGCGAAGACTTTGGTCTTCGGCCGAAAGATGGTCCAGAGGAACTCGTAAGTGATGACGCCCGTATCCATGTTTGACTTGCGGGTCTTGAAGTATGACTCTAGTTCCGTCGAAGCGCGGATGGAATTCATCATCTCATCCAGGTCTTCGCGGGCCTGCTTTTTCTCCTCGCTGTCCCCTTCCTTCGGTCCTATCTCGGCACTCAGCTCTTCCCAGTAGTGCACCACAGCCTGAAAAGGACCGGGTATATAGACGCTAGTGCCATCAAAGCTTTGACCAGGATAATCTCCGATGACGCTCCTGAGCAAGTCACGTAGTCCCTGCGATTCGACATCTATCTCCGAATACGCGGGCTTAGTCTTCTCATTGACCCTCATCACAGTCCGAAATACGAAAGCGATATCCTGGGTTTTGTCGCCCTTTGCCGTGGGAGCATCGACGTCTTGATCGACATTGCGGCCTTGCTGTTCGTTCCAGCTGCTTATAACGTTGCGCACTCGGGATTTCTTCTTGGTCTGTTGAGAGTTAGGTTTTCGCAAGTTCTAGACTAAAGACGACACATTGATTCTCGAGTCCTCTTTGAAATAGCAGCGTATCTACCTTATCTTCCTGTTTCTCTTCTGCGTCGTTTTCGTCTGCAGCCCCGTTCGCCTTTGTCTCAGCAGTTGCATCGCCATCTTGAGCAGTAACACTGCTTGCATCAGTATCCGGTGGGTCTTTGGTCGGTAGTGTTGAGATTTTGGCCTCCTCGAACAGTCAGTCTCTGGGCAATTAGGAGTGAAGCGTTTGACGTACCGTTACGGCGGAGGAGCTAATCATGCGTTCAAGATCGGCAATCCGTTGCTCAAGAAGAGTCATGTACTTCTGCTCCTTCTGTCTTATTATATTGCCAATTTCGTCATCGGATGGAGCCTGAACAAGAAGTCAGCAGGATCAGTCATCTCCCAGGCCTAATATACACACGCCAGCGCCTCCGGTATGTTGTTCTTGCGCCATTGCTCCTTAATCGTGCTCAGTCGCTAGCAGGTAATTAAAGCTTGACGAGGAAGGCAAAAGCAGTTGAGGAGTCGACCGGAAACTCTGAGCAAAGCATGTAATAGACAAGGTAGCAATTTAATCATCACAGGGTGTTCATGTTGATGAACGTTGGCCCCCCCGTGCACTGCCACCACCTAGACCGCCATTAACCTGAGTAGGCGTAGACTGTCGCTTTGACAATGGCGTTGGCAGACTAGAGGCCACGGCTATTGTTAGCTATGTCTGCGGGGTTGAACGCCGAACGCGATTGGGCTCTACGCAATTGGGTCTAATCATCGCGCAACAAATAATGACATGGCCATAAGAAAACCCCTGTGCATCTCAACCCGCATGCAACAGGAGATTACCCGATCCCTCTCAATTCCGGAGGACACTGAGCCCGGTAAAACATCCTAGCGATCATTGATCGCTTCTGAATGAAGCCGTCAACTGCGGCTGAAGAAGGGGGCGGGAGGGGGGGCGGGAAGGCCCCAAGCGCCCGACGGGCCGTCTCTTGCTTAAGTCCGTCGAATCATATCAATAAGATAGCCAAATCCTGTTCTCTATCTGCTAAGCATGTCTAATATTAGCTTGAATCTTACGTGGCAGGTCCAGACTTCGGGTGCAGTAGTGCTTAGTTTAGAAGCCGGGCTTGCCCATCTACTGGGGTGTTGCCGGTAGAGGGATTCTTGAGCAACAACCGCTGCCCAGGTGCTCGATACTAGGCGACCGAGGAGCTCGCCCTCTGCTTGGAAAGGAAAGAGTGGTCTGAAATCCCGGTTTAGCCGCAGCTCTCTAAAATTCGATTGGAGATGGCGTTAGACAATTCAGTCTCGGAGCCAAGATGGTTTCAAAGAGGGAAAGCAAACAACGAGTGAGTGGCCGTGTGCTGTTGGTTTCAGTTTTTTTGAAAGTATAAGATTGTTACGTGGTAACCCAAAACCTTGAGACTAAAAGCATTCACTCCTCATAGCAAGCTTCTGAGATCCCATCAAGATGTGAGCTCTCAGTATGAAAGTTTCAAGGAGAGAGTTTGCAGCATCGTAGGCCGAAGGAATGTCGACGGCCAAGTCAAACATTCCAAAGAAGAAATCGAACAGCAACTCCAGGAATTGGATCCCCGTGAGCTGAAGGAGCTCGGTGACAGGAATCTGCGGGACTCGAAATCAGCGAGATTTTCCTATCTGGAAGAGCGGACCAAGGGCGCAAAAAACTTTGGGAATGGTCTTCAGAAATTTCTTACTAGCTTTTCCAACTACCTTGCGGCGTATTCGGGGATCGTAGAAGTTGTCAAACAGGCGGGCCAACCGTATGGACAGGTGGCATACGGTGCTCTTTCTCTGCTTCTTATTGTATGATCCCTTGCCATCCTCACCGCTTCTGTGCATGCTCACTAGCTAGGTTGCCGTAAACAAATCCGCAAATGAGGACAAGATTGCAAGCGCTCTGGATGACCTCTGCAGGTGGTATCCACGGCTCAATGATCTGACGGATATCTACCCGGAACCAAGGCTGGAGGCGTGCGTTGCTGAGGTCTATAAAGGCGGAATAATGTTCGCACAAAGTTCCGTTACGTACTATACAAGCTCATCTGGTGAGGTCGTCGTTTCGTCCTGATCTTAATATCCTTCAGGCTGACTTGAGGTGAACGTTTAGTCCGGTTTGTAATGTCCGTCAAACCCTCAAAGACGGAACTGGACGCTGCCATTGCGGCTATACAAAAGTCGCTCGCGGAGGTGAACTTCGAAAGTAGGATTCTACTTCACAAATCAGTCAGGTCAATAAGTGACCGAAACGATGAATTACTGAGAGGCAATGAAGAACTGAAACGGCAGATCGAGCAATTGCAGCTAAGAAACGATGAGCTGAGGAAAGAAGTTCAGAGTATGTAACAAAGCCCTCTGTAACATTATGATGGTAACATGGAACCCAGCACTCAACCAAACAGCATCGAATAAGCAAAGGGAAGAAGATTGGGAAAATCTAGAGCGCTTCAGGAGGCTCCTGGGCGTGCCGGACATGGACCTTTCTCCAGAGGTCGACCTTCTTTTCTGCCGAAGGACCTTGGAGAAGGCTTTTCAGAAAGGAGACCTCAGTCCCAGACTTGGCAACTCATTCTCACGGATGACGCTCAATTTTCTTGAAGAGGACGAGGTGTACAATCAATGGATAAGCACCTCTCATTCTGCTCTCTTCTTGATCAGCGGCAGGACAAAACCCGAGTCCCGCGACGGGCATAATACTTGCTCCTGGCTGTCTATGGCTTGTATCCATGTGGCTGAAAAGCTACGTGCAGACGATAGCTTCACGCTGTTCTATTCATGTCATCCCAATCTCCGTGCCGACGACTTCGTCCCATGGCAGGCGCCACTCTCGGCGCTGGCATACCAGGCGCTAACCCACAGACCGGAGGTGCTTCGGCACGACAATCAACATCTACGATCCCTGGTACACCAGTGGCAGGAAGAGAGCTACGACCGGAAGAAGCTGAGCAAGATGGTTCAAACGCTGCGCGAATGCCTCGCGAACGCTATTGTCGACTCTCAGAAGCCGCTGTACGTCATTCTCGACAGGGTCGATCTTTGCGATGGCTCGAAGAGTCTGAAACGGCATTTCCTAAAGGAGTTGGTGAGTCTGGCTAGCGACAACTCCTTATTTGTGAAGGTGATGCTCGTTGTGGACTCGACCTTATGGGAGGGCCTGGATGATGTGTTTGACGATTTGAAGGATGGAGCAAAAGACCGCCTGCTCGGGAAGCTGGGATGGCATCAGAGGGAACATGCTCAGCATTTACCCTCTCCTGAGTGGTTGTAACGGTGTCTGCTAGATGGGTATGTCCGTAGGACTCAGATGTACAGTTGGCGAACCGTTTAAGTGCCTCTGTTCTGTTGCCGAAGATGTACTGTACAAACCGTCTAACATCCTTTGCTAAATGTATCTCACCCACCAGAGTCTATGGGTACCCTCGAACCAGCGCACTTGCATTATTGTTTGATACTAGGAATACGGACGCTGCCTCGAACACATGCTGTTGTAGTTTCTGTGCATGTTGTTTCCAATATCAAGCAGCATAATCTAGGAACACATCCTGTCCGAGTCGAGTCTCAAGCTCTCCTCATCACCGGAACAATTGCCGCTCTTGAAGTATTGGTTTGATGGCGCATGAGTTGCTCGGCAAACGATTAGCCTAAATCGAATGTTGATCAACGAAGGGAGAATTCATGGGAGTGGGCTTAGTGTCGGCCAGCTCGGTCACAGACCGAAGTCGAAGGATGTCGGCTCTACCACACTCCGCTTGTGTGGGTGTCCTCATCAACATGAGAGGCTGGTTAATTTGTTCAAAGGGTAAAAGGGACATATGACTTCAACAGGTCCCACCTGGTAGTGACGTATTAGTGACACACGTTAGCTTTGACTAATCATAACACTATGGAGCACTAGGGTATGGATAGTATCTAGTTTATGGGTTGCAGAGACCATCAGTTGGTCATTTGACAATCAATAGTTTCATGAAGAGGACGATAGATGATTATATAGTTCTATATAAAGTAATTACTTTACGCTAGTAATATGCAAGCCGTTTCCATTGGTAGTGTTATAGTGCCGAAAATAAGGGGAGGCTGCATTTGCTGGGACTCTGGTCTCGCACGAGAGTGGGTCACCGTACCAGATCCCGAAATATTTCGGCGCCACACCGGATCGAACAGGAGAATAGGGTGGAATGTGACCTCGCCAGGACAACCGTAATCAAAACAGCGAAAAACAGCGAACGCGGAGTACGCGGAGCTCAAACGCACCCCAGTTGACGACCTCATCATCTGATGGAACTACAAAAAAGAAGGCGGTGTGATGAGAGCAGGGCGGGCGGAAGGAAAGAATGGGCTTGAAATCTCCGGACGACGCTAATTGATCGAAATGCTTCTGCGGCGGTTCTAGCGCCGAAGCCAAGACCCGATGCCTCCCGCTGTTGTTGTGAGGGCGGCAGGATCGCGATGATGGCTTTCTTGGGTGCGACGGTTGTCTGCCCTGCTGTAATGATAATGCCGACCCGCACGAGGGGGCATTTTCAGCTGGATCTTCAGACCGGCGAGATCAAAGGGGGAGGGGATCGGCTTTCAGGTCATTGTGTGCGAAATGACACCCCGGAGAGCTTGCCATTCCGACCGGTTTCCGCGTTTTCCGCCACTCATATCGTCATCCTGGGTCCCCCTTGCAGACCCCAGATTTACAGTGCAATTGCTGAATCTATACGGCAGGGAATGTCATATGGAGATATGTAGCCAGATGTATATACCTTCATCAATCCAATTCACACCAGTGGTTGGTACTCGGAAGGGCTAAAATAGGGGCTCCAGCCACTCTGCACGATGAACCACGGGTGGGCGCCGTCCGATATGTAGTATGGGAAAGCGAGCGGCTGGCGGCAGCTCCACCTGGGCGGGTGTGGGAGAGTGTTGGTTGTCCTTTTTCCTCGGAGGGAGCAGTGCTCTTCATTGCGAGTGTACAAGCAAGTCCACCGCCGTTGGCACTTAGCGACATGGCCAGTCCTAGTAGACAGTCATCACATCATCACCATCATCATCATCATGGGCCGACCAGATTAGTCACTAGTTCGGGGACCGCTCGGTTTTCGGCGTTCTGTATTGACCCTGCAAGCGGTGTGGTGGTGTCATCGTTGCAACGATCTCCCCGGCGGGGAGAATAACGGGATAATGGAGGCCAACAAGAGTAGTGAGCAGCCTGGGTGACCTCACTTGTTGTTGCAATTAGTTTGTTCTTGTCGGTAGTTAGTTCGTTAGTTCTCGAGAGACGGGGACAGAGAGAACACGTGAGGTAATACCGGCCGATACGGCGCCTAGCCCAAACCGGCTTTGCCTCCCCGATCATCACTTGCTCTACTCGACTCGACTCGACTCGACTCCCTCGACACTTCCCTTCCTCAACGCTGGACGGTCCCTTTCTGTCATTCTCTCATTGTTTTCATCGCCCTCTCCCGTCTTGGTTAGAAGACATCCGAGACATCAACGTCAACGCCGCCTTCCTCGACTGGTACCAGAACGGTACTGGACATCATCCGAAGGTGGACTCCCTGGTCTGAATCCGCCCAAAAACGCCAGCCCACTTAGTCCACCCATCTTTCTCAAGGGTCGTTCGTGGTCGCCTGAACCCTTTCCTCGTCTTCACTTGCTCCCCCCTGATCGCTGTGAGCGAGAGAGCGTCTCACTCGATTATCTGTCATCAGCACCTCCCCTCCCCCTCCCTCGGGTTGTCGCGCAGATCGGATAAGGTGATACGGGCTTCTTTGGCGATTCACGACAAATCGCCTGTCTGACTAGCAAACCCAACACTTAGAGAATTTCATCATCATGGCCGGCGCTACTCCGATAGACATCGCCACTCGCCAGTCAACCTCGGTCTCCCCGCCGGGCCAGCAGGCGTCGAATCTGACATCCGCTTTGCAAAAGGCGGGCACCGGGGAGCGCACCAGCAGCATATCGCATCACCCGGGCGGCGGACTTGGGATGTTCAAGGCCCCTCCTCCTCGTAAGGATTCCATCGGCACCGCTGCGCAATGGGGCAATGGCACCAAACCCATCTCCATGGCAGGATCGGCCCGCGACAAAGGACGCCGGGAGTCGCTCGCAGGAAGTCTGGTAGGCGGAATGAGCTGGGGTGGTGTGTCTGTCGGCAGTTGGATTCGAGATGAGTAAGTGTGGCCCAACAGATCGAGAACGCGTGCGCGGGGGGAAATCCTGTGCATTTCCTTCTGTCGCACCGCATGACAGAAAAAAATAAAAGACTGACCGGAAATTTCCGTCTAGCATTATTATGACTGGCACATCACCATTCACCTTCCAGTCGCCATCATTTCACTCGTCGTCGTACCTGCCGAAACTCGAGGCCAACTTCATGCGGGACTTTTCGTGCTGCGGTGTGACGTTACCGACCCTCCACGACCTATTACAACACTACGAGGAAGCGCATGCTACCAAGTCGCCCAACCAGGGGCACCGGCCGAGCCAGGGTGAAAATCGAGCTGCCTTAGCCGCCGCCGCGATCGCACAGCAACAGAGCCAGCAACATGGCAATGGACGCGGCCTGCAGCCTGACCGGACGTTAGACATGCGTAAGAGTCAGAATCCATCCACCCCCCAGCATGCGGATTTGGACACGATCGATGACATGGAGTTGGACGAGCCTATGGGAGATGGGGACGACTCTACCTCGCAGTTGTTCTCGCCCCAGTTACATGACGGTGGACAGGGCGGATTTGGCAATTCCAACCAGAGCAGCCAACTAAGTCTAGGCATGCTCCCGACTCCTCAAGGCTTCAACCAGTCGTCACAACCGGGTACGCCGATCGGATCCGGGCTCCCACTTTCTTTGCAGAACAACCCAACCGTCTCTTCCGTCAACACTCCTACATTTACGGCCAACCCCCTCCAAGCGTCCCAGTTCCGCCATACACCTGATTCCTCGGGACCCGGTACACCGGCAGAGATTGATGAAAGCATGCTCAGTGGATTTGGCGATTTGGCAATGCAGAACAACGGAATGGGCCAAAATCAGGGCCAATTCGGACGCTTCCCGGGGAATAATAACGATATGATTGATCTCTGCATCGATGAGCCGGCCAAGCGTCTATTTAGCCCCAACGGCGGCATGGGATCTCCCAACGCCCACTTCAAGCTCAGTGGAGCGCAGTACGGGCCCAACAGCGATATTGCACGACGGATCCGGGAGCAGCAACTAGCTGCTGGTGTTCCAGATACCACCACAATCCTCCCCAACGAGGAGCCCAAGCCGTTCCGGTGCCCTGTCATCGGATGCGAAAAGGCATACAAGAACCAGAATGGCCTTAAGTACCACAAAGCTGTATGTCTTTCCCCAACACTTGATTTTCTTTCCAATTAACACTGTTTATCTAGCACGGACATAACAACCAGCAATTACACGATAATGCCGACGGCACGTTCTCGATCGTCAACCCAGAGACATCAGCCCCATACCCGGGCACCCTCGGCATGGAGAAAGAGAAGCCCTACCGGTGCGAGGTGTGCGGCAAGCGGTACAAGAACCTGAATGGACTGAAGTACCATAAGTCGCACTCCCCACCCTGCAACCCCGACTTTCAGCTTGGAGGTCGTAATCTGAACCTAGGCGGCGGCGTGATGCAGGGACAGAACATCAACGTGGCTGGAGCTGGCCTCCCTGGAATCGGCGAAGAAGGTCTTCTATGAAGATCGTCATCTATTTCCTCCTACCCAATTCTCTTTTTGTCTTCTTCGACCTAATTTGACCGACGCGACTGATGATATGAACGGCCTCTTTCTTCTCTCGGGGAAAAAGAGAAAACAGGCCACTTTTCTTATCTTCTGTCTTACTTTCAAAAGGCTCGCTCCCGCACACGATTTCATGACTTACTGGTTCCGGTGCTCTTGGAGTTTCTTGGAGATTTTTGGTTTCTGGTCTTCCTTTTTCCATCCGTGTGTTGGGTATGGGTACATGGGCTTACTGGCACTGGCATTTCCACTTTTGTCTTATGCTCGATATCTCTCCCTTTCCAGAACCACGTTGGGTACTGGCAATAGAGCTCTTGAAAGAAAGAGGTACTTCTGGCCATCTATCGGTCTAGAAGAGGCCAACCTTCAGCCGGACTGTTGTACTAGAGTGTCGCACGACAACTTGTGACACAACACGCCAGGCTTCGGTGAGAAAGCGAGGCTGGGCATCATCTTCTGCTTGTTTTGTACGGTGTGCTTTTTCTGATTTTTGTGTTTTGTCTCTTTGAAAGGGTTGGCTATTTGCTCTTTTCTTTCTGTTTGAATTGCTCCCTTCAACATCAACAACAACCCCCCACCAAAAAGGCGGCTGCCCCGAGAGTTCTGTCGAATACAGCAGTGCCGCACCAAAAAAAAGGAGACGACGATTGGGTTTTGATGATGATGATGATGGACCATGGGATTTGATTGGTCTGCGAGGAAGGCTGGTCTGGGGAGGTCTTGCTTGATTGCTCGATCTCCTTCCTCGCTCCCACACGACCCGGAGAGATGATGGGGTTGGTGGGTTGGTTGTCTTTCTTCGAGGAAAAAGACAAAAGAAACAACAAAAAAGTACGGTTTTTACTTTCTCCGGCGTCAGATCGTGTAGATATGGTTTATTCTTTGTCCCTTGATACACTTTGCTTTCTTGTCTATCGTTTCTCACTTTATTTCTCATTGATTGATTCTATTTATTCTCTCTATACTACCGATGTACCACGTAGCAAGTGCTATAGTATATTAGGGTGCAGATCTACAAGACACTAGCACTCTAATAGAGGACGAGGACGGCTCATTTCAAATCAATTTCTCATCCATTGAAGACCTATGTGTGGATCGACCTTGCATTCTAGTACACAATCATCATAAGGGCGCGCGACGATGCACGCAAATAAAGACAAAGTCTGTTTGAAAAAAAAGACAAACAGATGGGAAAAAGTGGGCTGCCAGGTTGACTTTCAACTTTCAAAAGGGCCAGGCGAGAAGAAGAGACGCGGCGCGGTAGTCACAAAAGGCAAGGCATGTAGAGAGAAAAAAGGGTGGAAAAAAGAAGTACCTGGGCAGCAACCAAGGACAGCAGAGACGTTTCGGTTGCTGGGACCAGTCGTTTCAAAATCACAGGATAATTTTTTCATTTTGGGGGGGGGGGGGGGGGGGGGGTGGGCGACCCATTCAAAGCTTTAGAGGGAGGCATGAGGAGGATATCTGAGAAGAGAGGTGGTACAGGGGAACAAGAGGGATGAAGAAGGGAGGGAAGGTTTCTCATCTCGGACAACATGGGAGGATGTGCACATTGAAAGATGGAAGAGACAAGGCTTGGTTGTGTTGGTTACCACTCGAACTCGCCCTGGCCTTTGTGGAAGACGTATCTGCACCAATGTTAGTATAATTATGAATGGCAACAAATGGAAGAAAAAACTCACTCCTTGCCACCTGAGGTCAGGATGCCGTCCTTCAATGTGCACTTCCACTTATTCTTGACCCGTTGGACCTTGTCGTATGTGCACAGCATGACCTGGCCATCTGGCTCATCGTCGTCCTGCTCTCCGGCAACCAGATCGTCCGGGTCATCCAGATCCGAATTAATGGCGTCTTCGTCTGCCTCTTCCTTGACCTCGCCATCCGCGCCGTCAAACTGTCCCGGAATGCTCGGAGTCACTGACGTCTCGGCGGGCATGTTTGCGGCCAGCGCGGGGTGAGCCGCACGGGAAAAGGACTCTGGCTCGTGTTCATCCAAGGGACGAAGGAGACCACCCGCCTCCATCTCAAGCATTCGCTGCTTCACCTGTTTACGGAGAAAACGATCTCCTTGTCCGTTCTGTGCCGCGGCTGCTTCTCGCCGGCGAGCGACCTCCGCTTTCCAGTCTGCCAGTCCATCATCTGCGCCATCGGTCTGTCCCATATTGGGTTGCGTGGTTGCGGGATAGCCCGGTTCCGTTTTGATCGCGGGCATCTGTCCATTGGCGGCATATTGAGCGTGCGGGTGCATCTGGCCAGGCATGCCCATCGGACCGGGGTGATGGTTCTGCATTTGGTTCACGGAAGTCGCTGCTGCAGCACCGTACTTTTGCTGGATTTGGTGGACGGCGCGGTCACGAGCTGACTGCGGGTTGAGTGTGTGCGCAGGCATTGGGTTGTTCATGTGAGGCAGACCGACTTGGCCGTTGGATCCCGGTTCAGTCTTGATGCGGGGCATCTGGGCCATATTCGCAGCAACTGCGGGAGCCGACACGGGCGGCAGCGACGCGGGAACATGTTGTTGGACCTGGGAAGGATTTGGGCGAGGAGCGTTGGATGGCACAGTAGCCGTGGCAGGGAGGACGGAGTTTTGGGACTGAGGAGGAGCGGGCTGGGGTGGAGGAGGATCCCATGGGAAGTGGGCGACGTTGACCGAAGAGAGCTTCTTTTGCCACGTCTATTTTCGGAGGGTTAGCAAAAAGCCAAACAACATAAAAAAAGTGGTTAGGTGAGATAATCGACCGGGGTGGTTGAGACGGCGCTTGGCGGGTCAACAAGGCCGGCCAACGGTATAAAGAGGCTGTGCACCAGGCCCGTCACACCCATAAGCAGCCGCTTCCCGCACCCCTCCGAAGGCCCCCCGCTTTGGGTGATTCCATCTCCAGATCCACGATAGGAACACCTAGAAGAGAAAAGATGTTCTGCTTACCTCTTTCAGATCATGCAGTGTCTGCTGGTCGACACCACTCTCCTCAAAATCAACTTGGGAAGCATCGCAGACTTCCTGAATGACGCGTTCGAACACCGGTCCCTATGTGAATCATCTGGAGTCAGCCAAAACCTCACAATATCCCTTGATCGAGGCAAGATAGCAGATCCACCGAAGCGAGAGGGACAGGAAACATGGAAGGAAGTTTTCCGGCCAGACCGGGTAGGGTAGGTTGTCGCAAGACCGGACGTACCACTTGACTGTTGGACATGGCGAGGGGATGGACCACACAGGGCAGGGTAGGCGAGCTTCTGGAGACCGAAATGAATGATCTTGGACGTCCTGAGAGTTCAGCGGGCTTGGTTCGAGGCGTGAAAGGAGGCCTTCCGAACGGGCAAGCCGGAGCGCAGGTGGATCGGCACCTCACGTATGACGCAACAGCAAACCACTGGTGTGCGAAGACTGTTCAATGATAGGGGGTCGATGAAATGAGAAAACCACAAGGACAGAACTGAGAGGAAAACAAGGGATGGGCGGCCGGGGAAGGATGTGGCCGATGAGTTGAGGAGGGACAGTTGAGTGACTGCGGTCGAAGTGGAAGGACTGCGACCGGCGCTTAGTCAGCAGCTGCCAAGGTCAAGTATAAAGGAACGAGGCACAGCGGACAGGGTGGATAGAGAGATAGCGAAAATGAAAAGAAGAATAGCAGTAAGAATGGTATTTGTACAACCAGCTTATAGAAAAACTAGGTACAATGAACAACACCTCAACTCCAGCCAAACGATATTAAAATCAAAATAGTTAGTAGTTAGTCCTTTCCAAAACGCTCCATGCATATCGATATCTACCGAATGGTCATGGACTTGGTCATCTGGGCCTTGCTGCCCACACCTCCCTCCCGAGCAGCTGAGGCACTGGTGCCAGCCTTGCGCTCAAACACCTTCCAGAACTTCAAACTCTCATCGGCGGCGGCAGTGGCCAGCATCTGGCCATCAGGGCTAAGGCAGCTGTGCAGGACACGAGTCTCGTGGGCGGGGATCTCGACGTTACGCACCAGGGTCGGGTAGCTCCAGATGCTGAGCGAGTTGTCCGGGAAGCCACTGGAGCTGACGATCTCACGGTAGTGGTTGCTCCACCGCAGGCTAGTCACCTGGGAGCCGGTGTCGATGCTGTTGGTGCGGGCACCGGTGGTGGTGTTCCAGAAGTGGATGTGACGATCGTAAGACCCACCGCCGGTGGCGAGCAGGTTCAGTTGCCAGGGGCACCAGCTGAGGGCCTTGACGGCAGCACGGTGGTTGGTCTTGGTGAACTTGGGGGCAGAGAGGGAGCGAGCATCCCAGATGTTGACAAGGTTGTCATTGCCACCAGTAGCCAGCTGGGCTCCGTCGGAGCGCCATTCCAGACCGCAGACCTCGGAGGTGTGAGAGACGAGCTCGGCAACCTTGTGGTCGGCAATGCGCACATCGTGGTTGAACACAAGTCCGCTACGAGCACCAGTGGACAGGGTGTGCTTGTTCCAACCCATGACACCAACACGGGAGTCATGACCGTACATGCTGCGGAGCTTGGTGCCCTCCTCAACGTCCCAAATCTGGACCTCGCCGGTTCCAAGACCAACACCAACATAGGCACCGTCACCACTCCACTTGACACTGCTGACGTAGGTGTCGGGGGAAGTCTCAAGCAGAGAGCTCACGGTACCAGACTCGGCAGACCAGACGTACACATTTCGCTCCAGACCAATAGCGACCTGATTTCCAGAGCTCCAGTCGAGAAGGTTCAGGTAGTAATCATCCAGAAGTCCGGGGGCATCAAGAACCCGCTCAGGGGCAGTCTGCACTCGCCGGCGGAACTGCGTAGCCGAAGACTTGGCGGGCTTGAGGGGCCGGTTGTACTGAGCACGAAGATCAATGGGCTTGGATGACTCTGGAGGCGGAGGCTTGAAGGCAAGGATGCGAGTGTTCAGGTTCACGCCGCAGGCGTTGGCCAGCGACGACTCGTAGGCAACGGCATCGGGAGCGGGCCGAGAATAAGCAGATGATGGCTCATTGTCATCCAGACCCAAGTTCTCCAGAGCTGCAGTGAGATCCTCATCGGATCCACGGCCACCAATGTCAAAGGCGCTGGCTGCGCTGGCTAGCACAGAGGACCCCTCGCTACCACTGGTCTTGGGACGCTGATTCTCGTCCGGCTTTGCAGTTCCATTGGTGGCCAGACCTTCGCTGGCGCTGCGGTTGGGAATAAAACGATCACCAGCGTTGTGAGAAATGCGGACGGTAGTCTTGCTGGGTCTTGTCCGGGTGGGAAGTTCCCGGCGTGTGCGCTCTTTGGAGGGGGATTGTGTGCAAGAAGCGCCAGTGCCAGTCAGAGTCCAATCGGAAACGCCCAGCTCGAGGTGCTTTGGCGACTTGCGAATCCGGGCGATATTTGACTTGGGGGAATCACGGTATGTCCGCGAGGTCTTGGAGACCGACTTGGCAAAGTAGGAAGACAAGTTACCCCCATAGACGGACTGCCCAGATGTGCTCCGTCCTGCATCGGCCTGACGAGGAGGAGTGAAGGGAGAGGCGTGACGAGGCGAGGGTGTTAGCGGCATTCGACCACCAGCAGTCTTGGAGGAAAAGAGGCCATGATGGCTTTTGACAGGGGTGGATATCGATGCAGTTGCCATATTGACAGATACTGCTTGACTATAGGGTGACGCTCACAAGGAACAGAAGTACATGCGATAGGAAGATGCAGTGCAAAAAGATGCAGGCAGTGGTTGACGAGAATATAGAAGATGTAGAGAATAAGGGAAGACAGAGAAGAAGAGAATACAGGGTCAGAGGAAGGTCAGAGCAGGGGGCGAAGGCGAATAAATAGAGAGTATAGAGGTGAAGCTTCTCCCGGGCAACGGTTACCGTGAGCACCAACCACGCTAATCCCGATCGGGCCATGGTATGTCAGCAACTTTGGATCCGCCTCTTACGCCTTCCCGTTCAGGATTTTCGCTCATGACGAAACCAAGCGGGATGTTCGCTTTGTGAGCCTCACCGTACAATGTGGGGGTGTCCCATCCATATTTTCCAACACTGATCCTTGATTGATGGCGCACTCTCCTTCTACATCCTCTCCTCCTTCCACCCCCCACCGCAACGCCTTATCCTTCTCGCAGGTCCACTACGACCCACTCGCAGGACTATCTTCTGCCCGAGCGGGATCTTCCACCACTGCCCCCATGCTCTCTGGCTGGAGCCCCTCGATAGTTTCTCGGATGGAACAAGACGCATACCTAATGCCAGCCAGCCCGGCTGGTGGTCGCCGGGCCAGCGCGGACTATCGCCCGAGCATCAGGAAGGCCCAGGGTCATGTTCCCGCATGCCTGGTGAATGCCTCGGTAACATACTGCAGCAATGATCAGATCTATGCCTTTGGAGGGTTCGACCAGTACACCGATGAAGGTTGGTATCCGGTGTGTCTACTGCAGGAAATGATCCGCCGCTAATGAGTCTCCTTTTATAGTCTACAACCACGTTCTCAAATTGGACTTGAACGCTCTGCGATGGGAACTGGTCGACAACTATGGCGACATTCCAGGAGTGCGAATGGGTAAGCCCTGCCCCATTCTTCTGGCACCTAATCGATAGAACTGACTGTGTGCTTGCCCTCTAGGTCATACGGCCACGCTGTACCAAGGTGACAAACTAATCGTGTTCGGAGGAGAAAATGAGCATCGCGAATACCTCTCCGACGTGGTCATCCTCGACCTCAACACATCCACTTGGACCCAACCCGAAATTCGTGGATCCATCCCCCGGGGACGGGCACGCCATGCAGCAGTGATCCACGATGATAAGCTGTTTATCGTGGGCGGAGTGACTGGCGAAAATAATGTCATCCTGGACGACCTGACTTATCTAGATCTGACAACTTGGACCTGGTCTCGGACATGGAGTTTCACCGCTCGATTCGACCACACGGCGTGGGTTTGGGGCAACCGCCTCTGGATCTTTGGCGGATTGGGGCCGAACATGGAGCGGACAACCGATATCTACTGGCTCGACCTCAAAGGATCACCGTCTCTGTCTGGAATCAACAGTTCCCAAGGTACCGTGGACTCCTTCGACGCAGCAAACAACGTTACTCATAGCCCAGGCTCCATTTCTAGTCCATCGCAGTCATTGACCGGCCGCGCGGGAAGCTATGCCGCCAATTCTGGCAGCGTTCAAGTGCGCAGTCTTGGTCGGCGCAAGCCCCTTGCTCCCGGGTCCATCTCTTGTCTTCGATTCCAGTCTGGGCCTCATGTACCTGCCCTGTTCTCAGGTACCCACTTCCAGTCCTATGCATCCGGGGTTCTGCTCGATTTGATCACACCGTCGGAAACCGTCAGGTCGCATGACTGCAATTTGTCGGCCTTAGAACTGAATTCCCTGCGGTGGCAGAGGCTGGCCGATGGACAGGAGATTTTCCGGCCCGGTTACCGGTGGCACTATTGTGCCGTCAATGAGAGTGGGACCAAAGCGTGGCTGCTGGGATGCAGTCTTGACATTGGGAATGCGCCCGGGGGCGGTGATGATAATCACATGAGCGAGGTACTCTCCATTGACTTGGAGAAGTATGGGCTGCTAGGCAACGACTTGTCGGCAGAAGCGCCCGAACAGGATGCGTCTTGGCAATCCGATCCCTCTGGACCCTCATCCATATCTGGGCTGGGAGCTGACCTCTCTGCTGTCTTCGACCAACCTCCCGAGGCAGGAAGCGGCAGTGATTTTGTCATCACTGCGGTCCGCGATGATCATGACGGTTCCTGTTCGGACGATATCCCCGATACCCCGTCCCCTTCCCCATCTCGTGCCAAGCCGACCTTTGTCGAGCCTGGTCCCTCCACATCTGCCCCCATCCATGTCCACAAGATCATCCTGCAGCTACGGTGGCCTCACTTCAAACGGCTGTATTCCGCGCAGATGGCGGAGTATCACACGAAGCGGATGCACATCCCGGAGCCTTACTCGGTTGTGCGCGCCTTCTTGTACTACCTCTACACAGACAGCATTGCCGGACACCCGGAGTACTGCTCCGACGTCGTCGACGTGGCTGGGATGCTGGTCATGGCCAACCTCTACGACATGCCGAAACTCCGCTTGCTGTGTGTTAACCGACTGAGTCGCGAGATCGACGTTGATAATGCCGCGATTGTCTGGGAGCGCGCAGGACGGACAAATGAGCAGTGGCTGATGCGACGAGCCGCACAGTTCTGTCTGACCCACTGGGGTCGCGTGGTGCGGACAGACGGCTTCAAGTCCCTGAGCCACCAAAGCCTGATCCAGCTGTGCGAGGTAGTGGACACGGAGGGCCGTATCATTGCGGGCCCAGAACTGGAGATGGAGGAGGGTCTGGGTGACCGAGATGTGAAACGCTCGCAGTTACGTCTGGGGTCTGCGACGGATGACCTGGACGAGTTGGACGACGAAGAAGGAATGGAACTCTCATGAATCGACGAATTGATCACGCATAGGGCGGAGTTGGACAAGGCTGGGGCGCCTTGGCAGGAATTACGAAACGTCTTAGAGCTATGGCCTGTTATTCTCTGGATCTTGGGAGTTTGTCCTTATCACTTAGAATGCATTATATTTTTTCGTATTTTTTCCCGTATCGGTTCGGAATCCGGCCCGTCCAGAGCGTATCCCGGTCAGCCTGTGCCACTAGACCCATCTGGTTTAAGTCCGCGTTGGTGGAGCCGCCCAACGCTCTCGACGCGGCGTCTGCTCCGGATCGCGGAGAGACATCCTGTCACGATCAGGAAGCTCTAGAAAATGCTCATCCACTCAGCCCTAAGAGGCATTGGCCGTTCCACAAAAGAATAGGAGACAAAGGAAGTATAAATAATTGCGGACCGCTGCAAAAATGTTTTGTGTCTACAGCGAAGCGCTCATCGATCACCACCATGGGCTCCATACCCCAATCTAGTCTTCCGTCTGACTTTGTCTGGGGGTTTGCAACAGCTAGTTACCAGATTGAAGGCGCTGCGAACGAAGATGGTCGCCTGCCTTCCATCTGGGATACATTTTCAAAAATCCCCGGCAAGGTCGCAGGCGGCGGGACCGGCGAGGTGGCCTGCGATTCGTACCACCGCACCCATGAGGACATTGCGCTGTTGAAGACTTGCGGTGCAATGGCGTATCGGTTTTCACTGTCATGGTACACTCCCACTCCGGCTTTGTCTAATTGGAAATAAAAGACCATCGCTGATTCGGGTTAAATCAGGTCGCGAATCATCCCCCTCGGCGGCCGCAACGACCCCGTTAACGAAGCAGGCCTGCGACATTACCAGACATTCATCGACGACCTGATCGCAGCCGGGATCATGCCGATGATCACCCTCTACCACTGGGATCTCCCCGAGGAGCTACAGAAGCGCTACGGCGGCCTCCTTAACAAGGACGAATTCGTTGCTGATTATGCACGCTACGCTCGCGTAGTGTTCGAAGCCTTCGGTTCGAAAGTCAAGCACTGGATTACCTTCAACGAGCCCTGGTGTAGCAGCGTGCTCGGATATAACCTCGGCGAGCATGCCCCCGGCCGGACAAGTAATCGAGCCAAGAACCCTGTCGGTGATGGCTCGACTGAGCCGTGGATTGTCGGGCATAATATCCTCGTTGCGCATGGGACTGCTGTGAAGATATATCGGGATGAGTTCAAGGCGCGGGATGGTGGTGAAATTGGCATTACGCTGAATGGTAGGTAGAAAGAACTTCCTCTTGAGAGCTGCGACTAACTAATAGATGATATATAAAGGCGACTGGGCTGAGCCATGGGACCCTGAGAACCCAGCCGACGTCGAAGCGTGCGACCGCAAGATCGAGTTCGCCATCTCCTGGTTCGCCGATCCCATCTACCACGGCAAATACCCTGACAGCATGACCCGACAACTCGGCTCCCGCCTGCCGAGCTGGACACCCAAGGACCTCGCCCTCGTGCACGGTAGCAATGACTTCTACGGAATGAACCACTATTGTGCGAACTACATCCGGGCCCGAACAGGGGAGCCCGATCCCACCGATGTGGCGGGAAACCTGGAGCTGCTGCTCGAGGACAAGAACGGGCACAGCATCGGGCCCATCACTCAGTCGCCGTGGCTGCGGCCGTGCGCCATCGGGTTCCGCAAGCTGCTCAAGTGGCTCAGTGACCGCTATGGATATCCCAAGATTTATGTCACGGAGAACGGAACGAGTATTCTCGGCGAAAACGATTTGCCGATTGACCAGTTGCTCGAGGATGATTTCCGCGTGCAGTATTTCAGGGATTATATCGGAGCCATGGCTGATGCATATACCCTGGACGGGGTCAATGTGCGGGCATATATGGCGTGGAGTTTGATGGAGTATGTGTTTTCTTTTTTTCCTATTGCTCTTGGATTTTAGAGAACGTGTGGCTGACCATGGATCCAAATAGTAACTTCGAATGGGCTGAGGGCTATGAGACTCGCTTTGGCGTCACGTATATCGACTACGAGAAAGACCAGAAGAGAGTCCCCAAGAAGAGTGCCAAGGCCATTGGACAGATTTTTGATAGGCTTATTGAGAAGAAGGCCTGAGGCATTCGCGGCGTTACATTTGGGCAATGTCATTTAACGGATGTGCAGGCTACTGAATGAATTTGCAATACCAAGATATATGATCCATTTGTAAAATCATAGCCTAGAAACAACAGCAGCCTTCTTGGCATGCCTCTTCAATGGTTGAAGACAGAGTCCCCCAAGACAGATCTCTGACTAGAGTTCCTCCACATCATCCGTTGAGAAGCTGGATCCACCGGATTCCTTCGTAATAACATGACAACCACTCAAAGCAGCTTGACACAGTCCAAGAGGTTCAGGTTGACCAATCCTCCCTAGATGACGGTTAGCTTCCGGCACGTAAACCACAAAAAAGTGAACATTTTACCACGGATTTATCAGTCGAGCAGCAATAAGCATCAGCACTGCAGTCATCCCCGATGACTTGGACAAGGCAGTCAGCCCCGCCGTCACAGCAGACTTGCTTGTTGCCCGAGGAGCTGCATTCGTCGGCAGCAACCGGGGAGGTCAATGAGGTGGCTGCCACCAAAGGGATAGCCAGAAGAGCCAGAATGTAGTGCATGTTGGCGGGATAGAGGTGGATTTGCGGAAGAAATTGTTTTGATATGATAGCAGGTGTAGAAAACTTGATGGATGGAAATGATCCAGAGGAGACTGAAGGAGTTCTTTATAGCTTGGCGGAAACCAACTCCTATCTCCTACCTAGCGAAACCCCAAATGACTCTTTGGCTGAGGAATGTTGATCAGTGTGCTATGTGATGATCACCACGGAGGATGACGTTGCGCTGGGCAAAATTCCCGTGGCTTTCCTGAAGGAGAATTCCTGTTGGCTCTATCTAGAGCTGGAACTTGGTCTCAATCCGTGACTGATCAGCCGGTCGAGGTTGTCTTGCGCCCTGGTTTCGCCGGGTCTTGATTTCATAGGTCCGTTCCATGGCTATACATAGTTAGGTATGCAGGTAGGTCCCTGATGACTCTGGCTCCGGTGACGAGGGGGAATTCCTTAACCTTGCACATGTAGAAATATTTTCCGGTACATACTACATGGGGTATGCGGTAGGGGTTTTCGGACAGTTGTCATGTCCATGTGGGTAAGGTGATGGGGTTTTCCGAGGTATTTGCTTCTTGACTTATTGTAGGAGAATTTGTCATCGATTCAAGCTTAATTAACATCATCACGAAAAGCAACATCCATCGTGTCAGAGCCTGTAGCCACTCTGCCTCTCGCCATGTCCTTGTTATCCTTCACAGTGCCTCTTCAAGATCTTCCGTGGGCATCGCGAATATAGTCAAGCCGTAATAACCGAAGAAACAGACAGTAGATATTATCATTTGTCAAAGTCATGGTTACAATTTACGATATCTTCTAGTACACGTTATTAGTCGCCGAATTTTAGACTGCCGAGGGAAGGAAAAACGAGGAGAGCTGCTGATGAAGTCAGTCTTCTATACTCCGATTAATGCCTGGTTGATTAGGCATCAATATTGATCGTCTAGTGGAGTTGACGGAATCCCACGATCCTCAGCTTGCAATCTTTGCCATGCTGCACTCCTCGCACAGCTGGAGACTCATGCATCGATAACACGGGGCGAAAGACATGCGACATGGCCCTGGTCCAGCCACTTCTTCCAACCAGCCGGCGCGTTGGAGCTTCCAAGTCGCGGTCCGGATGCAAAACCTGCAAGTAAGCCTATATCGGATCGCCCCAAGATTGTTTCTCTTCGCAAACCTAAACTCTACCACAGAATTCGGAAAGTCAAATGCGGAGAGGAAAAGCCAGCCTGTCTCCGCTGCTCAACCACTGGACGCAAATGTGAGTATGACGGCGGAGTCACGTCTTCTCCCCCCGCTTCCTCGACCCAGTCCTCTCTGATTGTGACCCGCACTCTATCTTTGTCTCCAAATTCAGGACGGCGGGAGCGTCGCGCCTTTGAGTACTATTTCCAGCATGCTGCGCAGTTTCTTGCCGGTGGAATGGATGTGGATTTTTGGACAGGCGTGGTTCCCCAGATCTGCCGCAGCGAGCCTGCTGTGTGGGACGCGATGATCTCCATCAGCGCCCTGTTCGAAAATCCGGACCAGTGCCCAGATTTCACATTTTTAAGGCAGCAACAAACGGGCTCTCTCACACTCCCGCAGAATCATAAAGATGCCTTGATGTGGTACTCGCGTTCGATGTCTAGCATTCACGAGCAGATTGAGCGCGGCACCGCAGACCCCTACATCGCCCTGATTAGCTGTGTGCTATTCATCAGTATAGAGATCGTCCAGGGGCGTTTGGAGGAGGCTCTCCAGCTCTACTGGCAGGGCGTGAGTCTCATTCAGGACCTACGGACCAATGCTCATTTTGCAGCATCTGCCACAAAGGCGGCTCTCCTCGAAAACACTATCATTCCTCTATTTATGCGTCTGAATACCATTGCCCTCACTATTTCTGGAACACCAGCCAGCGAGATTCTCACATTTGCGGAAAGCCACATGGTCCAGGGATTCACCTCTCTAGACTCGGCTCGACTAGCCATTGTCGCTCTCTCTGCAGAAGCAATGCTCTTCGAGCGCGAGACATACTTGCATATCATGGCCGTTGCTGGTGACTCTCGAGTGGACCCTGAGTTTCTTACTAGACAACATAATCTCCAAGCTCGTCTCGATCACTGGCTCCGCGCATACACCAACTTGGTTGAGGCTCTCCGTCGCGAACCTGCAACACCACCAAGCTCACCCACTACCACCGAACCTCTTCTTCTCATATACCATGGCGCTGCATCTATATTCGTGTCAACTTGCTTGACATGCAGTCCCCCTCAGCTACGATGCCCATCTACCCACTTTTCAAATGATCGTCGAGCAAGCCAGTCTCATTCTCAGCATCTCGGCGGGACCCGACGGTGCTCAGCCTCCTTTTACGTTTGAAATGGGAGTTGGTCTTCCACTCTATTTGACCGCATTGCGGTGCCGTGATCCGATCCTCCGACGGAGAGCATTACATCTACTGCGCCAGTCGCCCAAGGTGCAATCTTTTTTCAAGTGCACGCCAGTTGCATTGTTTGCAGAAGTCATTATGAACCTGGAAGAGAGATACAGTGCGTCGCTACGCAGTACAGGCTCAACAGACCATGACGATAGTTTGGCACCGCTATCAAGTCGTATTCCGGAGGAGGCTCGCATTATTTCTGCTGGCGTTTTTAAACCACAAAATGGCCCCCCACATGGGTATCCCGCCGATGAATTCGCAGAATGGCTGGAGGGTGAATTTCGAAACTGGAATCGGAATCCGGATCAACTTGTCTTGAGATTTTGCAGGGGCCAGCACTACCCAGAGCATGACACATGGCGCTTGACTTGGGAAAATGTGCCCATTTGATAGTAAGCTAAGCCAAGTTCATAAAGGAAAGTCGTTTCACGAACGAGTTCATCAAAACTATGACTTGCGCGCAAAAAAGGCATTCACACTGTGACAATGCCAGCAGCATACAGCGAAAACCACATGCCATTCGTGATGGCTCGCTTCATATGGTCCGCCACCTTGGTTATATATTCTTTAGGAAATCATGCTATCATTGCCGAAATGATAAGCTCCCTGCATACTGCGAAGAAGCTATTCAGCTTGCGTTATCGGACGTCGAATGATAGCAGCAGACTCGAACCCGCCGATGAGCCTTGGCCAGTGGAGACTCCGGTGGAAACTAGAACGATCCTTGAACTACTAACATTGAAGTCCATACAAGATTTGAACTTGACTGAAATTTCAGTATAATCAATTTTTAATCGTCCATGTCGCTCGGTACTTCCCCATACATGGATCGTGGCGGTCTCCACTCCAGGGCTTAGTAACTTGTATGACCAGCGGACTTTTGTCCGCTGGCGATCACCGGTCCACATCGGTCCCAGCCGGGGAAAGTGAGCCGGCGAGAAGCTGCTATAAGACTTGTACAAACATCTCGGCTCTGTCTTGGAAGTTCGCGTCATCCTAGAAAGCATCCAATCAACGAATAGTAGGCGCGCTAGCTACCAAGTCTAATACGACGGCTAACAAGTATACCAGAAAACATGGCCCAGCAGGCAGATAACTTCACCCTGCTCGACGCAAGCATCTCGGAGCTCCAAACTGCGCTCTCCTCAGGATGTCTAAGCAGCGTCGACCTAGTGTCCCGCTACCTACGCCGCATCAGTGTCTACGACGCCAACGGACCAAAGCTCAGCGCCATCCCGATTCTCAACCCAAATGTCTTCGACGAGGCAGCCGCTTCAGACGCCAGGCGCGCAACGGGTCTTCCCCCGCGTCTGCTGGAAGGTATTCCCTACCTTGTCAAAGATAACATCAAGGTAAAGGGGATGACGGTTGCTAGCGGATCGCCTGCGTTCGAGAAACTAGTTGCCACAGAGGATGCGGCGTGCGTGCAGGTCCTGCGGGAAGCTGGCGCGGTGCTTCTGGGACGTACTAATATGCCGGCCATGGCATATGGAGGCATGCAGCGTGGATGCTACGGGCGTGCCGAGAGTCCCTATAACAGCGCGTATCTCGCTGCGGCTTATGCATCGGGCTCGTCGAATGGATCCGCCGTCGCGACTGCGTCTAATATGTGTGCCTTCTCTCTCGGCACCGAGACTGTTTCCTCCGGCCGCTCACCGGCCTCGAACAACGCTGTCGTCGCCTACACGCCCTCAAAGGGCCTGCTTCCACTACGCGGCGTGTGGCCACTATATCCGACATGCGATGTCTTGGTGCCGCATACCCGCACCATGGCAGATCTGCTTCTCGTCCTCGATGCCCTGGCTACGTCTGACCCGTCGCCACGCGGCGACTTCTACAATGAGCAGACTATCGTCCATCTGCCTGCAGTCAACACTCTCCGACCACAGTCCTTTTCGACCCTGCAAGACACCAACTCGCTCCGCGGGAAGCGCATCGGCGTGCCATCAATGTATATCGGAGGCGATGATTCCTCCGTGCAGGCCGTAAGCAGAATTTTTACCCGACCTTCTATCATCAAGCTCTGGCAACAAGCCCGACGAGCCCTGGAAGCATGCGGTGCGGAGGTTATCGAGACGGACGATTTCCCGCTTGTGACAACCTACGAATCCAAAGCGATGAACGGCCAGCTCGTCACTGTCGCCGACTTACCCGACGGCTGGCCTGCCACAGAACGATGCGAGCTGGTCGCACACGCATGGGACGACTTCCTGGTCACAAACGCACAAACGGGCCTCGAGTCCTTAGCACGCGTTGATCCAGCAACGATCTTCCCACCGGCGCCAGGTTCTTTGGCGGGAACGCCCGACGCAGCGAATGCACTGAAATGGGACGAGATGGTGCGGTATCCGTCTCGCAAGCCTCCTTCCATTCATGAAATCCCTGGTATTCGGCAGGCCATTCAAGCCCTCGAGAATGCGCGCAAGGTGACCCTAGAGCAATGGATGGACCGGCTCGGTCTGGATGCTGTGGTCTTCCCCGCGAATGGTGATGTTGGTGCTGCAAATGCAGACGTGGACGAGTCAGCGTCGCGGTTTGCGTGGAGTAATGGGGTCAAGTACTCGAATGGGAATAGGCCCATTCGCCATCTCGGGGTGCCGACCATTTCTGTGCCGATGGGTGTCATGGAGGATACGGGGATTCCGGTGAATCTTACGTTTGCGGGCAAGGCGTACGACGATAACAGTCTTCTGCGCTATGGATTTGCGTTTGAGGCTGCTACAAAGAATCGTGTTATGCCGCCTCTAGTGCCGGGGCTGGACTCGGATTGTTTTGAGATTGGCGGGAGTCCTCGGGTATTGCCAGCAAAGAATCCTCCGGAGCTGGTGGTTGAGTCTCGGGCGAAGAATATTCATGGGTCTGAAGTTGCTGTTCAAGTGCAGGGGTCTTTGAAGCTGGGTGGTGCGCAGTTGAAGAGGCTTTCGTGCTTCGTCAATGGGAGACCTGTCCAGGTGGCGGTCGAGGGCGAGAGATGGTCCCTTGGCACCTCTTACCCTGTCTCCGAACGCGATGCGAGCTGGGAACGCTGGGCAAGTCCTGCGCTGAAGCAGACGATTGTGACTATTACGGCGCATACAGATGCTGGCCTTGCAACGGGCAAGTTGATTCTTCTCTAATATACTAGTTGGAGCATATTTCTCAGACCCTTGAAATCAGCTTCTTGAAAACTACGTATCTGTCAGTGGTCCAAAGACTAGTTTCTTGTACAGTCTTACGGAGTCCATTAAAGCACGCTTAGAGATTGGCTGGGCATTATGACACATTCATGCTTCTCATTTTGAATAGTAGCTCTCAATCCATCATGATAAGATATAAAGCAAGGAGGAGTAGGAAATCCTGTCGCTAGGCGGACAGACGATAACGGGACCGAAGGCTTTGTAGATATTTCTTGCGTGATCGAGTTTCTTTCTTCTTGTCTCTAGAAGAACTAGGGTTGAAAGCCTCCTGACATACCTACTAACCCTGGTTCTAATATCTGCGCGCCCACGTAGTTATTGAATACCTAGCCTCTGTATACATCATATCGCGGTGTGGAAAGACAACCCCACCAGCCCCCATTCAGAAGAATAAAAGCACTGCAGGCCCATCTAATGCTGTTCTCAAAGAAGTCAAAATTCCCTTTTCGATGTAAGAGATTTTGTAGAAGGAACGGCGGCCCCTGTCGATCGGCTGACAAAGAATTTGCCTTCTTCCCGGCTCCTATTCTTCACGAAAGTAACTGCAAGAGTTGGTCGCATTTCCAGCCCTTACGGAGTACTCTGCAATTAAACTGAGCCCTTCGAGAGTGACGGCGAACAGTATATAAGCCCCGTCTACTTCTAACGCCTTCTTATTGGCTAGTCGTATTAAATGTCAGTAATTAGAGATACTAGTGTAATTATTGAATTATAACATGCACCACACTCCTGGGGTATCCTGTGCTCATCTGTACATACAATAACCTTCTCACAATGGAGATATAGAATCCAAAAATGTTAATGTTAGACATTATAACATGATATCCATGGGGACTTCTGATATCTCTGTAATCTGTAGAAACTCTCCGTACATTATCTCCTCAATCATGTCTAGGACAGCACGGTGGAGGTACCTCTTTTTCAGTTGCTCCAGATAAAACTCAGCGTCTTCAATCGAGACTGAGGATCTTGCGCCGTAACGATCCACGCTGGTACTGTCCAGCACCTTCTGACGTAAGAAGTCGAAGAGCTTCGTATATGGCAATGCGTCGGCCCAGCGGTTTGCAAAACAAGACAAGGTTGTTGCACAAGCGGGAATAGCCTCCAAAGAATACGATTCAATGTGACCTTGTTGCCGCGTTGTCGACCAGACAATGTAAAGGAGCATAATACCCGCCCGGAACTGGAACACGAGCTAAACCCACAGTCAGTAATGATAGCTATCTCTGTACGCTGGAGTTTACTTACTGCAGACCAAGTATAACACATAACATGGCCCTCCTCCTGCAAACGCCGGAAACTTAGACAAACCTCTACGATAGCAGACAGGACGTCCTCCGTGCCATCGTGCTCAAGGAAGTCTCTCTTTTCTTCCATGAGGATGAGAACACTATAATCATATAATTTCGCCATCCAGATGGGGTGAAGGTAGCCACTGGGCCCGATTTCACTTCCATAACGCGGTATATCCTGCCGCCAGACATCCAACGCAGACTTGATAGAAGATTTGTGGTCATCGTTCTCTAGCAAACGGTGGCGTGGCCGGTTTTCTCGCAATCTTCTAATATTTGCTTGGATCTTTCGTAGTCGGAATAAGTGGCTGAGGGCTGGGCTTGAGTTGTCTGGTGACTGAACTGCATCTCCCAAAATACGCATCTAGATGGTGGTGTCAGTAGCTTCCTGGCAGCATCCACAAGGGGCACAACTAACATCATCGTCCACAGCCCTGTAAGCAGCTGATACAGGCCTATCCCATCCAGAGACGACAATCTCATTCAGCATGTAGCAAGTAATAAACATACTCTCTGCCAGCGACTCATCTGATCCGGGCATGGTCGTCGTGCTGTCCCGGCCTGCCGAGGCATGCTTGCGGATTTCGACCATTGCAGCGGTGCAGAATGGCATCACTGAAGAAACGCTCGTGGTCAATTCTTCAATAGATGGGGAGTGCAGAGTATAAAGAATCATAAGGATGGATGCTTGGATCTGCAGAACCGTGGAGGATTGCGCGACGACATGCGGGTAGAATCTCATCGCGGAGGTGTAGAGTTCCTTTGAGCGAGCTGAGTGCGCTGGGTCTCGCTGGAGAGTGCTGCAGAGTGATGCACCAATGGCATAGACCATTTGCAGAAAATATACCCTCCAGTCTTCGTCTTGTCCCGTTGTGAGCCACTCGCTATGCCAGAACTTCCACGCGCTTTCGTTCAGAAAAGGCCATTCTCGGTTGGAGATGCTGAAATAGAGATTTGTGTAGAGCTCAAGCAGCCAGGGATCGTCGCCATTCATAGTTGGATACAATGGTCCGGTGCCTATGTAAGGAAAGTTGATTGCAGCGTCTTCGAGTAGCGAAAATGGGTCTGCAAATGAAGACCAAGCCGCTGAGGAGCGTCGCGATCTTCGGTGAGGATAGGATTCAGGTAGAGGGACCAATGCGCCGTCATTTTCAGAGTCATCATTCCAACTGGGAGGAGCATCTGGAGATGTACTCCACGGTATGCGCAAAGCACTGACAGGTGTTTGCGATTGTGAGCGGGAAACTTCACCATCCACCACCGCATCCGTCTGCACAGCCGCATCGCGCATGGTCCCAGCACATCCCGGATCAAGTTTCGCCACTTTCTCTTCTAGCTGTTTGAGGTATTCCAATGGGATGGTGACAGTCTCGCCCGTCCGGTGAGACTTGGCCGGCAGACATTCCGCGCCTTTGCGACGACATTCGCCACAGACGGGCTTGACGTGGTCACATTTTCGCTTTAGGCGGAAACAGCGGGCACAGGCTATGTTTCTCGCGTTCTTGGAGGGTCGAGACATGCGAGGGTTGCTAGCGCGGTGGGTGAGCCGGGGAGTTTACGGAGCAAAGTTGGGGTATGCGAAGACGATTCGGAACAAGACCGAGATAGGACTGCGGTTCGCCCCGCATAGAGAGATAAGAAAGATATGGGGCACGATCGTGTGTGGCCTCATACGAGACTTCTACCCATACAAACTAATAGTACCATGGGCCTCTGTAAAATATAGCGTACTTCTCCCTATGTATTCCGATCATCTTTCTTCCGGATCTCTCTTTTCTTTTCTCACCTCTTTACCGAGTTCTTTCTCGATAGATGCGCTAGCAATCGATGGCATCCCCGCACAAGGCACTGCGATTTAGGCTTACCACGCGCGTACGGCATTACATAGTCGACTCTCAATTTGGTATATTTTCAGGCATCGTGTAGAAGAGAAGTGGTCGGGGAATCTTATAATCAGACTCGGGTTTTAAGTAAACTTGGGACCGTAATAATAATGTTTGAATTGGTTTTCCAGCCCCGGTTGGCCGTTTTGTCGCCTGGGAGGGCTGTTCAGCTCAACCTAACCCCAGCCCATAGTGATAGACCAGAGGATAACTAAACGGACGCGAGTACATGTAAAAATAAGAAGTGCTCAAATCAAACCCATTTCAACCATGATCAAACTCCTAGATCCCAGCATAAAATCAACGGATCCACTTCTGACCCGACACATCAAACCCAATAGTCGCAGCCTCGACATTGAGCATCTGGAGCATGAACGCCATTGTGAACTCCTATCCCAGCATCGATTAACATTGACCCCATATTCAGTAATAAAAGCAGAACACCTACTTCATCGTCCTGGACGGACTCCTGCTTCTCCGAACCCCCCTTCTGCGGAGAGTCCACATCCATATCTCCATCGTAACCTTCCCCTTTACCCTGGTTCTCATTCATCTGCTGCCCTGAATCATCCCACGGCGCATTACCACCATTCGAGCGCTCTCGCCAGACACCCAGACCACCCATACGCGCGACGCGGTCCCGAGCACCAAGGAAGACTTCATTGGCTGCTTCCTGGCTGATGAAACGCCACTTGAAGATCAAAGCTTCCAGTTCTGCGCCTTTGCCTGAGGACTCAAGCTGTAGAGCCTGGCGCACGGTATCGAGTTCAGAGCGAAGAGATACGATACGAGTCTGGAGAAACCGTTGTTTCTTCTGTAGCTCGAGGACTTTGGGGTCTGTGAGAGGGGATATGACGGGTGTGCTAAGGGTCATGGTTGCAGGCTTGCGTTTGCGGAGAGGGGAGCCGGAGGCTGGTAGGGATGATTTGAGGAGTGAATTTGAATTACCTGGTGTGGCAGCCGCATTCGAGGGTGATTCGTTCTTGTGCCTAGACGCCTCGGGTGTAGTTGGCTCTGTCGCGGAGGGAATGGGCGTTCGGCGACGCAGAGGCGATTTGAATGGCTTGGAGAGCGTGGATGCTGCGTCCAGGCGACGGCGCTTTTGTGCACGCTGCGTGTCAGGACCAGACATGACGAGTACTCAGTTGGAAGTGGGTGGATGGGTGTCGGGTGCAGATGGTGGGAGAAGAAGAGATGAGAACTGACGAGGTGAATGCTGGCAAGATGGTCACCCTCACCACGCCTTCACTCTACTACGGGCCAGAGGATAGAACCAACAAGACAGTATCATATCTACAATTGTATACCAAATAACATGCGACTCCAAAATGCAATACACGACTCACTATACATCAATGGCCAACTCCACCTGCAACCCACTGGCGAAAGTCCGGGTCTTCAGGCCGAGGGAACACGCCTCGGTCATTGTGGTTTGCGTTCGCGTTATTGTCGTTCTGGTTCTGGGCCTGATTGCGTCGCTGCTGCTGTTGTCGTATGTAGACAAGCACCATGAGAACGGCCGCCAGTCCCACAATCAGTAAGCCCTCGAGCATGCCCTCGTCGATATCATAATCCAGGTCATCGTAGTATCCATCTTCGTGACGATTGTCCGACTCCAGTGGACGCGCACCCGGGAAGTCTTCATCTTCCGGGGTTTGCTGGTCGTAGAGTTCACCGTAGTACTCCTCTGCGTCGTTTTCGATAAAGGCTGCAATCCATTCCTTGAATGTTCGTCGCGGTCTTTGGTCTGGGACTGCTGTCAGTATGTAGATCCAAAGAAGGGACTGGCTTTACTTACTTTCGTCCTCACGGATAGGGTTGATGTCTCCGTTCGTAATGCGGTTCCAGTATCCCCGGGCGCGAAGCTTGAGCAGACTAAGTTTCACGGGCAGATAGGCTTCGCGATTCGTCTCCAACGCCAGGTCGTAGTAACGCTTGGCCATGTAGAAATCCTGGTCAACAGCGACACCATTCTCGTGCATCCAGCCTAGATTCCAGTACGCTTGTGCGCTGTGGTGGGCTTCCGCGGCATTGTGATAGCAGGTAGAGGCCTTCTCCGCGTCGGCAGTAATGCCGTTGCCAGACAGGTAATAGTCACCCATCTTGACCAACGAGTCGATGTTGGCTTGCTTCGCAGACCGGGTCCAGTAGATCAGCGCGAGCGCTGCGTTGCGGAGCAAGGATGGCCGCGTCTTCTGGGCCCAGGGTAGGATCGAGCTCAACGACAGCAAGGACCGCTGCTCATCAAGGAGATGTGCCACGTTGGCTTGCGCGTGCTCGTACCCTTGCTCTGCGGCCATCATGGCCGGAATGAGAGCGCCTTCCTTGTCACCAGCCTCGTAGGCAGCGTTAGACTCTTCAAAGGACGAGTGAATAAGCTCTGCTCGTTCGGCGACGATCTTGTAATAGGCTGCGGCCACGCCGCAGTGTCGCTGCCTCCCGATGCCAAAGTTTGACATCTCTGCGAGGTAGTAGAAGGCCTCCATTGCGCCCCAAGTGGCAGCCAACTCGAAATAGCGTGCTGCGGTGGCCACATCCCCTTGGTCCAAGAAGAGCGCACCCAGGCGGGTCTCGGCCGCGGGGAGATCCTGCTCTGCTGCTGCTTTGAAATAATTCGCCGCTTTGAATGCGTCCTGGGGAACTCCATATCCGTGGAGATACATGAGTCCCATCTCGTGCTGGCACAGAGCATCTCCGTTTACCACGCCACGCTTGAACCAGGATAGGGCAGTGGCGAAGCTCTGGTCCACACCCTCCCCGCGAAGGTACATCAGTCCAATATAGCCCGCCGCCTTGGCAGCCAGCTTATCGAGGCCAGCCTGATGGTTCGGATTGACTGACCCGTCCTTGTGCCAGTACTTCTTAGCCACGGTCTTGAAATATCGCATGGCGAGACGGAAATTGCGAGGCAGGCCACGTGCGCCCTCATAATTCATCTTCCCCAGACCAAAGGTAGCCTTCAGCTCACCCTTACGCGACATGAGGTCGTAGAATTCCAGCACATCTTCCAAACTTGCCTCGGTGGACTGGGCCACGTCCCGCGCATTTCGCCCAGAGCTTGAAACGCTGGCGCCTTCGCCGTAGACACCTCCCTCATCATCAGCCCAGCGATAGGACTCTCTGCCCATGCTGTGGCCGCCTGGTGGACCAGACCGGTAGTACTCAATTGCCTTGTCCGCCACCTTTTTGTAGTAATGGAGCGCGTGATCGCAGTCCTTGGGAGTGCCAATACCTGCGTGGTAGCGATATCCCAGCGTCATTTCCGAACGTGTGTTGCCGCCTTCTGCTGCAAACACATGGTACGTCAGCGCCTTGGCCTGGTCTCGCTCGACCGCGTTGCCGATCCCCGTCGCGTACATGAATCCGACCATGTGCTGAGCCGTGGTATTCCCGTTCAGCCACGCCAGATCGTTATACCAGTGAAAGGCTTCACGGAGGTCGCGTGGGTATGTGAAGTTGCCATGGAAGCTCATCTCCGCCAGCAGGAACATTGCGTCCGGGTCAGCGTCCTCATCAGCGGCCTTCTTCAACTCCTCCACAGCTCGCGCGACATCGGGCTGGACCTTCCGACCGGCTTTTTCAGGTGATGGGCCGTTTAGAAATAGTATGCGAAATGCTTGTCGGCCGTAATGTAGGGCATTACCGAGTAGGCCGGTCGGCTTTTCGGTTCTGACAGTCGTGAATTTTGCAGCTCGAAGGGTTTTCCACGCGTTTTCGACTCGTGCTGTAGATGAAAAATCAAGTAATCAGCAAACACCCTACCAGTGACAATGTTGACCGGGTCTACTGACGGCTAATGGGGCGAGCTTGATGAGCCTCGCCGAGCGGAGACTGGGAAACAAGTTGGTCGCCATTGTCGATGACAGCACTCGTAGCAAATTCATCTGCTGGAGGCTGGCTTGACCCGGCTGCTATGGTCTGTGATAGCACTGGAAAGGGGTCAGTGCCTGTCGCGATAGCAGACAGCGCGGAGAGATGATCTTACGTAGGGCCAGTGGCAGGAAGTGAGAAAATGGCGTCCTCATGATGGCTGCGATATGTGAGAAAGTAGTAGCGGTAAGAGGCGCATTGCGACTCCCGAGAGCTCGATAAGAAGGGTCAGAGTGGGACAGGTGGCATGACGAGGGAAGGTGTTGGGAGCCGTTGCTGGTGATGTAGAACGAACGGCCACTTGGCTCGACGGAGCTTCATTTCGCCGATCTTGGCCCGCCTCGACAGAGCAACTACAGGTACCACACAATCTACTCGTTCCAGACAGCTATATCTACGGGCAATAACACGGAAGGCGAGAAAAAAAATTAACGTTCTTTTATTCTACTCCACTGAGCGAATCTGTGTACAGAACTGAGGAAATCACTGAAAATACACTCAACCCCGAGGCGCTCTCCATGCAAAAATCATAAGCCTGCAGGGGCAGGGTTCTCCCTCGATCACTCTTGGGAAAAGCCCACACCGCAGACCCTGGAAAGGAAAGGGGTTTAACACAAGTCGTTCGCAATTTCGGAGAATGGGGCAACTGAAACTCAAAGGGTGCATCTCGGGGCGGAAATAATAAAAAGTAAAGGCTGAAGCTGTGCCAGAAAAACAGATACAATCGAATGGGCGATAGACCCCCAGATCGTGAGAGAAAGATGACCATCCAATTCCGAGATGTCGAGCGCAAGATGTTTTTTTTGTGGTTTATCAAAACGCGGGTGTGATAGTACAATGGTACAGCACGAGCCGGAGGCTGGCTAGCCATGTCTGGCCCTGCTTCACTGACGCGGCGACCTGTGCGGCTGTTAGAAATTGCTTTGTCTGGTATTCAGCGAAAAGAAAACTTACGTAGGACTGTAAGCCGGAGAGGTCGGGCTGTATCCTGGAGACGTCGGAGAACCAGAAAAGTTGGGAGAAGTAGGCGAGTAAGACTGCGGACTCGTAGGAGACCAACCAGGAGAGGTTGGCGTGTACTTGGGGGAAGTTGGGGAAGTAGGGGACAGTCCGCGGCCAGCACCACCAATCGCAGGACTGGTGGGACTGTAGCTGGGGGACGTCGGGCTGAAAGCCGGCGAGGTCGGGCTGAAGCTGGGCGACGTAGGACTGTAGTTGGGCGAAGTGGGTGAGAACCCAGGCGACGTCGGAGAGTACGACGGCGAAGTGGGCGACGCCTGGCCATAGGCGGGCGAAGTGGGCGAGTAGGCCGGGGAAGTTGGCGCAAACGACGGGCTTGCAGGCGAGAACCCTGGCGAAGTCATGAAGCGGGGGCTCGTCATGCCCATTCCAGGAGAAGTCGGGGAGTAACTCGACGAAGGAGAGTAGCCCGGCGAAGTAGGGCTGGTGTTGAACGGACTGCTCGGAGAATAGCCGCCAGGGCTGCGAGCACCCGGGCTGAATCCACCAAAGCCACCAGAGGGCTGATAGTCGGTGAACCCACCAGGAGCCTGAGACTCGGCCTGCCGGATAGGCGAGAAGCTGGCATCCGGATCGCCATCGGCCATGTAGGGAGTGCTTGCCATGGGCGAAGCAGAGTCGTACTGAGTGGCAGCACCATCGGGTATGATGGCGTCCTTGGCACCGATCGCTCCCATGAGACCGAAGCGTGCGTTGTTCGAGACAACCGTGTTGAGCAGAGTCTGGTCCAGATAAACGTCGAACTCTCCCGTTCCAGCGGGCGCCATCTGACCAAGGATCAGGTTCTCCGACACACCACGGCAGTCGTCGAGCTCTCCGAAAGCGGCAGCCTCCAAGAGAATCTCCACAGTCTCTTCGAACGAGCAGCGCATCAATGCACCATTGTCCGCGCGGTTGATACCATGACGAGTAACGGGAGTCAGGTAGCCGCGCACAGTCATCACATCGACCAAAAGGGCCAAGTGACGATGGTTAACATAGGAACCGTCAAAGGCAAGCACCTGGGTCAACTCCCGAAGCACAGCGGTACGAGCAGCTTCGATGCCAAACACTTCAAAGATCTCAATGAACTGATTGGAGTATGTGCGCGTGGAATCTACACCAGGGATCGCAAGGACCGCACCCAGAGATGAACCACTGGTCTCGAGAACCCATTCCTTGCATAGGGGATCTGACTTGCTCGCGATAAGCGTGCCGTCCTCCAGAACGCGCACCTTGCTCTTCTCATTGATGAAGGCACGCTCAACACCAGGAACACCACGAAGGGTCAAAGTATCGAGAAGGTGCTGTTCAAGCTTCTTGAGAGTGACATCGTATTCGACATCGTCATCTTCATCGTCCTTGTAGTCTTGGATCTGACGAATACGAATAACCTGCTCATCGGCGTTGTTATCACTGAAGATGACGGCGATATCCCTCGGATAAGCCTGCTTGATCTTGGTGGCAACGTCCTGCACCGTAAGGCCCTTGTCAAGCAGTTTGGGGCGGCTAAGGACGATACGGAGCAACCACCTGGACTGCTGGGATGCATTATCGGCAGCGTCCTCGGGAATGATGAAGTATGACTCGACCATATCCCGATCGTTCTCGATGACAGTGGTCTGAATGTCGGGATCGTAGTAGATCTCAGTGGCCTGCGTGACAGAGCGCAAACTGGTGTGCTCGACGACGCTGCGCAGTTGCTTCGCACCCTCCTTGTCATAGGTCTTCGCACCCTGCTGGTAAACAGTCATGGACGGGGTCTTGATGTTCGTGGCGACGTTGAGAATTTCCTTGAGACGCGGCACACCAAGGGTGACGTTCTTGGACGAGACACCGGCAAAGTGGAAGGTGTTGAGGGTCATCTGAGTAGCGGGCTCACCAATCGACTGAGCTGCAAGGACACCGACCATTTCGCCAGGGTTAGCCCCCGCACGAGCGAAGCGGTTCTCAACGGCACCAAGCACGTGCTGGAAAGCAAGCTTGTTGAGTGAGTACTCGGTGACCAATCGCCGGAAGGCAAGTCGGCTGCGAAGTTGCGCCTTGAACAGAAGGGTCGCATTATCCTGGGCTTCACGCGAGATTTCATCGTTACCACGGACAACCAGCAAACGATCAAGCAGAGCCTGAACCTGAGGAATAACCTCGGCGGGATGCAGGTCACTGATGGTGCCTTCGCGGATTCGGAAAGTCGAGCGGGCCATCTCCAGGATTCTCTGGATGTTGATTGGCAGCTGCATCATTTCTTCGTCCTCCTTAGCCACGGTGCGGAGGAAAGCGCGGTCCTTAAGGAGCGCCTCCCATTCTTCGTCGAGGTATCTCTGAACCTCAATGTCACCCGCAATTTCAGTCGATTGCTCCAACACCTCCGGGCCGAGAGATCGCTCCGGATCCATGACATCCACGCGGAAGCGGTCTCTGAATTTCTCATCGGAGCATCGGATGACGTCGACACGCTGATTCTCAATGTGCGCACCATCCAGACCATCTTCACCGTAGATGAACTGAATAATGTCACCCAGGGAGTTGCGCACGGTTCCGTCGTATTTGACCATGACTTCTTCAAGAGCCTTGACCAGCTTACGCTGAATGTAACCTGTCTCGGCTGTCTTGACAGCTGTATCGATGAGACCTTCTCTACCAGCCATAGCGTGGAAGAAGAATTCAGTCGGGGTCAGACCACGGAGATACGAGTTCTCAACGAAGCCACGCGACTCGGGCGAGTAGTCGTCCTTGGTGAAATGCGGTAGAGTGCGGTACTTGAAACCGAAAGGAATACGCTTGCCCTCGACGGATTGTTGTCCCACCACGGCAGTCATCTGGGAGATGTTGATGGTGGACCCCTTGGAACCGGAGCGCGCCATCTGGATACCATTGTTGAGATCTTTCAAACTCTTCTCGGTCGCAGCACCAGCTTCGTCACGGGCATTGTTCAGAGCACGCGAGACCTTGCTCTCGAAAGTCTCACGTACGTTCATACCAGGCAGAGCCTCCAAGGTGTTTTCAGTCGCACTGGCAGTGATCGACTCGACTTCCTTCTTCCGCTCACGCACAGCCTCCTCGATCTTTTGGATCGTGTTGTAGTCAGGGATCGTATCGCCGATACCGATACTGAAACCGTTGTGCAACAGCCAGTAGTTGACGATCGTCTGTGTGCCGTTGAAGAAGTTGACAGCAGTGTCCGGTCCATACTCATTGAAGATGGTGTGGATGACACCTCCGCCGCTCGCGCCGACGGTCTTCTTGGAAAGCATTCCGTACATCAGCTGGCCACCGTGGATAAGGAGGCCACCGTCAGTAAGCGGACTGAACTTCTCGGAGAGGGGAGAGTTGTCCTTTTCGACACGCAGCAAGTTGAGACCAGACGGGAATGCCATGCTGATCATCTGCTTTCCAGTCCACCGCGGACGCGGCTTCAGAATAGCGGGTGGAGGGATGACACCATCCCAATCCGGAACCCACAGCATGATGTTCATGACCTGCTCCTTGGAAAGGAACGTATCGCGGCGGCAGATCTTGTAGACACCGCAGAGGGTATCCTGCACAATACCCATGAGGGGACCATTCCGCTGAGGGGACACGATGTTCTTGGGAACCAAGGCGAGCTCGGAAAGCTCCGCACGAGACTCCTCGCCCTGCGGGACGTGCAAGTTCATTTCGTCACCATCGAAATCAGCGTTGTAAGGAGAAGTGACGGAAAGATTCATTCGGAACGTAGAGAACGGCATGACGCGGACACGGTGACCCATCATGGATTCCTTGTGAAGCGAAGGTTGACGGTTGAACAGAATCACATCCCCGTCATCAAGGTGGCGTTCGACTTTCCAGCCATACAGCAGTTGCTGGGTACCGGCACGCTTCGCATGGCGAAGGTCAATGCGCTCGCCGTTGTCCCGGACAATGTACCTGGCACCAGGGTGCAAGTTCGGTCCGTTGGAAACCAGCCACTGCAGCTTCTCGATATTGTACGGAGTCACCACCTCCGGATAGGTCAAGATTTTGGCGGTCGAGATGGGCACACCGACCTCGTCCAGCGACAGGTTCGGATCACCAGTGATGACAGTACGGGCGGAGAAGTCCACACGTTTGCCCATCAAGTTCTGGCGCAGACGACCTTCCTTACCCTTGAGACGGCTGCGAAGAGCCTTGACAGGGCGATTTCCCTTCTGCATGGCCTTGGGCTGACCGGCAATATCGTTGTCCATGTACGTGGCGATGTGGTACTGGAGCAGGGACTCGAATTCGCGCACGACGTGTTCCGGGGCGCCTTCCTGTTCGCATCGCTGGACGTTTTGGTTGGCGCGCACGATTTCCGCAAGCTTGTAGGTCAGATCATCTTCACCGCGAGCACCACTAGTGGCACCCATGACAACGCTGGGTCGGACAGTTGGGGGGGGACGGGGAGAACCGTGAGAACCATCCATTCCGGGCGGGCATAGTCATTGCTCAGGCCCATGATACGAACATCCTCGTGAGAGATGTTCCGGAAGATCTGCAGGGCCATCGCAGGAGTGATGACCTTCTTTTCGGGCTGTGCCATCTCTTCCTCCATCATGCTCTTAGAAGGCTTCCAGGTGCCAACCAGGGTGATTCCTTCCTTGCGCACCGTCGGCTGGGCGTTGCCACACCCACCGTGAGAGCGTCCCTTCTGCGAGTCCTTCGAGAATTCATCGTCATCCGGAGGAGGATCGGCTTCGCAGATCAACACATCCTTGGAGAGTCTCCAAATATGGTCGAAGCGTCGTTTCGGGTCACGCATCCGAAGAGCTTCCAAGAACTTGGAATCGGCCTGGTTTTAAGTAGTGTCAGCAAAATCGCCATTCCAGATTTGCCATCCCAAAAGGGATGACTAACCGTGTTGGCCTTGATCTTTCCACAGTTGTGGCACACAGTCTCCAGCAGCTTCTTGATCTTGGTCAGGAAACCTGGGGAAAATTAGCATCAACAAACCGATATCAAGGAAGGTGATGGCATACCGATGTGAAAAACAGGAGAAGCGAGTTCGATGTGACCGAAATGCCCAGGGCATTCCTTGGGGCCTTCCTCGCAAGTCTCGCAGTTGTACTGGCGGTCGATCGTGCCCAAGCGCGGGTCATTGATGCCCTTGGTTCGTGGACGCTGGCGTTGATCATCCTGGGATGCGGTTAGTCTCGCTGCGATGGCGTCGTGTTTCTTTGGATTACCAACCAGGGTCTCAGGGTACTCGATATGGACAACGCTCATGCGCTTGATTTCCTCCGGGGCGAAGAGGCCGAACTGAATCTCCTTAACGGTGCGCAGCGGCGCCTTGGAGTATGGGAAGAAAACGTTCGACATGGTGGCGGTCTGTTGTCGCGTGGAAATCGGACTCGTCAGGGTCGGTCGGCTCAGGCGGAAACGAAGGGGTCTGGATTCGTGAAATCGCAAAAAAAGAGGGAGAAGGGGTTCTTGAAGGCCGGAAGGTCAAGATTCACCAGAAGCGACGATGGAAACGAAGGTGGTGTGGAAGCAGCTGGCTGGCTAGGCCTTTGGCAGCCCTTGCCACGAGGGCGCCCAGGCGACCTGGAGTCCCCGGACGTCACGAAGCCCTAGAAAAGGAGAGAAAAAAGGCGCGCAGTCAATCTTGGCGTGTTTCCTGGCTCCTGAAGAGATATCGCGATGCAAGACGCGATATTCTTGGATGGGAGGACGATGGGGGAGGGTTGAGTGTCGGGAGGATGAAAGGGAGAGAGCGAGGTTGCCTCACCCGCGATTGGGCTCGAGTTTTCTTAGCGCTGTTTATTCTGCACTCAGGATTGGGCGGTGAGACGCGATGGGGCGGGCGTTTTAAAGGGGTGTCGGGGTTCACCGCCTGTCATTCACTTCTTTCTGCCATCCGCTCATTCACCATAATTCACTCTGCTCTTATTGTATTACTGTTCTATTGTTGCCCCCGCCACCAGTGAATACCCAGACTGCTGGATGCTTGCCGCCCAGCGAATAGCTTGGCCTTTCTCTCAGGCTGGGAAATCACCTCAGCGCAATGAATCTGTCGCTCATTGACCCGTTTGTCCTGGCACAGGACTACCCAGACAGCTTGACAGAGAAGCTGAGTATGCATTTCTCAGTCTCTGTACGAGAAGACTCTACTAATTAACATCGTGTAGGAAGTGGCCATGCGACTTGTTTACGATTCAACCACAAGGGCGACTACCTAGCCTCCGGACGAGTTCGTGCCCTCCTGCAAATACCGTGAAGCAGAATTGACCAGTTGCAGGTGGACGGTGTGGTGGTGATCTTCGATATTGAAACAAACGGGGTATCTCGCAAGCTGCGTGGTCACACGCGCCAGATCCAGTCCATCAGGTATGTATGGCATAACTACAAAGAACAGATTCAACCTCTGACAGGCTTGACAGCTGGTCGCGGGACGGCCGATATCTCCTCACCTCCTCACAAGACTGGAAGTGCATCCTGTGGGACTTGAAAGATGGCTCCCGCGTGCGCACAGTCCGGTTCGAAGCGCCGGTGTACATCGCCGAGCTACACCCATTCAACCAGTACGATATTCATTCTCCAAAGCGCGTGAGGATGTTAGCGAGAGCTAATTCTATTGTCATCCAGTCTCCTCTTCGTGGCCTCCCTCTTCGAAGACCAACCCATCCTTGTAGACGTCTCCTCCCCGAAACCAATCAAGCGCATCCTCCCCTCCGCACCGCTCCGTCCACAACCCACCAATGGCGACGAAGTCGACCCAGCCGTGGCAGCACGGCAAGCCGCCCAAGATGCAAAACAGTCGACCTGCGTAACGATCTTTACGGCGTTGGGGAACCACATCATCACCGGGTCCTCGAAAGGGTGGATCAACATCATTGAGACGCAGACATGTTCAACGATCCATTCCATGCGACTATGCACCGGAGTCGTGATCCTACTCCGCCTCGCCAGCAACGGGCGCGACCTGCTAGTCAACAGCTCCGACCGCGTAATCCGCACAGTGCTAATGCCGGACCTATCACGACTAGGCATCGATCTCGAGCCATCCAGCATCAAGCTACAGGTCGAACACAAGTTCCAAGACGTGGTCAACCGGCTCAGCTGGAACCATGTCACCTTCTCGGCGACGGGCGAGTTCGTCACAGCGACCACGTTCATGAACCCAGACATCTACGTTTGGGAACGCAGCCATGGGTCGCTGGTCAAAATCCTCGAAGGCGCGCGCGAGGAACTGGGCGTGGTAGAATGGCACCCTTCGCGGCCGCTGGTGGTGGCCTGCGGACTGGAGTCCGGCTGCGTGTACATATGGTCGGTAGTGAGTCCCCAGAAATGGTCCGCGCTGGCGCCGGACTTCGGCGAAGTCGAGGAGCAGGTCGAATACGTTGAGCGCGAGGATGAGTTTGATATCCACCCGGCCGATCAGGTGCATCAGCGCCGTCTGGACCAGGAGGACGAGGTTCCCGATGCCCTCACCCTGGACCCAGTCAAGGGGTATATTAATCTCGACGCGCTGGATAGCTTCCGCATGCCTGTCCTGCTGGACATCACTGACAGCGAAAGCGGCGAGGATATCGTCGCCGTGGGCCCGGGAACTATGCGTCGCCGTACCCCGGGCGCTGGGACTGGTGATGCCGATGCCAACGGCGCCGCCCGCGGCGCGGGCAGACGTCGGAGATGAAGGAGTGTTTACTTTTTACATTGGGCGTCGGATAAATCTTATTAGCATGGACTGGCGTTCAAAAGGAATCGGTGGTGGAAATATGGTTGACTACAGTTGGCGTTCAGAACCTCTTTACAGACTTGAGGATGGGTGGGATGAGTTTCACAGCCAATAATTGCACATGAATATTCTAGGAACCATGAATAACTACATCTTGCAGATGCGCATTTTCATATATGTAACCAGTGGACGGTTTGATTTCAAGGACAGAATTACTTCTCTGGCTAGCAAAGATAAGATCTCCCCGGCGAAACAAGCTGGGTATATATATCACACACAGAGACAATCTCAACGCCGTAAAAATGCTTGAGACGGTAGACACAAAAAAGTAAGCCGTGAATGGGTGGGTTCCATTCTCCGTCAAGGAAAACTATTGGAAATCCCTCGCTGGCTGTCGCGTGTAAACGTATTCAGAGTTGATCAGAGTAGTTGCTTGGGTTTCGTAGCCCAGCCGCTGATAATTCCTTCTTCCTTTTTCCACAGTTGCCAGGACCTGTCTGGCAACCCGTCCTTTGCCCTTTGATATCCAAGGGGAGTTTGTGTGAAAGTGCAATGAGATAGGGATTCGATTTTAAGAGCCTAAGTTTCAGGTGGGTTCGTCATAAATCATGATGGAAAGGCTCGGAAGAGCAACTTGCTCCCTGCTCAGCAGGGTCAATTGGCTGTGGCTGTGGCTGCGGCTGTCGCTGTTGCTGTTGCTGTTGCTGCTGGCTTCCGCGCCTGATAGATGTGAAGGATATTATAGCAATGGAGATCCTTATTGAAAGCCTCCGACTTGACATCTGCGGCCAGGCGCTGGATCTTATCGACAGGCCACTTGTAGATCCGGCTGAAGGGAGCCAGACTGAGCGGCTCAATGCTCTCGGAGATGGCGAGGTTATACCAACGGGCAACCTTGCGCTCATGTTCGTCTTGGTGCCAGGGATTCAAGGGCAGTCCGACCATCTGGTGATCGATCTCGGTGAACCCTGCTTCCTGTAGATTCCGGATCGTCTCACGGGAGCTGTGTACGATGGGGCGCGAGCTCGCCTCTGTGGCATGCTTCAGCGATTGATACCAGTGACGCAGAGCCAGCCCGCTCAGCGAGCGGTCGTCACAGCGCGGCTCGAAGTCGATCTCCACCTGCTCGAACCACGCGCCCGGACGCAGATGCGAGAAGATCCGTCGGTAGAGACTGGGCCAGCTCACAATGCTGCCACTGCCCATCTGCATGTGGATGAGATCCCAGGAATCCTCGCCCAGCGTCCAGGGACTTTCGAAATCAAATGGTGCGTAGAAGTCGCAGTTCTTCGGATGGTTCTGCGGTTGAATTGGTGCCAGGTCCACACCCACCACGAACGATTCCGGGTACTTCTGGGCCACTTCGATGCTCCAGATTCCCGTGCCGCAGCCCAGATCCAAGATGCGGGAGCTGGGCGGGTGCGGCGCATAGATCAGGCCATCGGACACGCGAGCGACGGTAAAGAGCTTGTGGAAGATATCGAGGCGGTCCTGTTCCTCGTCGTCACAGGGGAGCAGGTATACTCCTTTCCGATAGCCATGGTATGTTCGTCCGTTTTCCGAGTAGCATGGATATCGCTCGGGGTATCTGCACATTGATTACCGCACAATCAGTCATTTGCCTCAACAGACCTTGAAATGAAGAAAACATACTTGCGACCGGGCGTCAGCGCGCGTGGTGAATGAGATGATGGCTGGGAGGGATGCGACGCGACCGAACCATTGCTGCTATACCAGCGGTTTTCGCGGCGCTCTCGCTCGACGGGATCTTTATTGGTGATGGAATAGATGTCCATGGCCGTGGAGGTCTGTCGGGAACGGCCCGATTCACTTGGCTGGGCCGATTGTGAGAGGTAGTACCGTGAACGACCCGCGTCGCTGGACGGGAGCGACTCGGACTTGTAGCGCTTGGGCGGCGGCGAGTCCATTGGGGGCAACAACCGGTGTTTGCCCTCCCCATTGGTAGGCATTGCGAAAGGGAAGAGAGGGTCGGTTTCCGGCGAATTCCAAGGTGCGATGGGGAGGGGGTCAGTCGCACAAGAGACCTGAAACGAGTGCAGCACAGAGCATCTGCGAGGATGGAGCTGCAATCAACCGACGAGCCAAACTAGTTGCGGATGAGATCCGAATAGGAGGCGGCGAGCGCGCGCCCGCTGTCGTGGGCGGTCGTCACGACTCCCAGCGCCGGGAATTGAGAGAGGGGAAGCGGCCGACACCAGAGACCGGAGATAATAAGGGTTGGGTTGCCTGAGTCCGGGCCCCCAGGGGAAGGAACGAGTGGGGATGACGGGAGGTGCGTGTGTGGATGGGGGAGAAGCAGGAGCGAAGGGAAGAAAGAAGAAGAGAAGGGAGCAGCAGGGGTCCAGGTATGTCTGCAGAGTAACTAGTCGAGGGGGGCCAACCCTGCGGCTTGGTGCTCTGGGCCTCACTAGTAGGACATAAGTACGTACAGTTGCGACAATGGACATGCATGACTAACGGAGCTCGGGTGGATTCCGAACGGGAACTATTGGCCTCTTTTGTGGACTTCGCATTGACCGGCGATGCACACCCTGACGCCCATTGCGGCCTCGTCCCTGTCGCTGCCGACGGACAGCTACATCTACTCCCTCACCCCCGCTGCGCCAGGTTCCTTCGCGGCCATCTCCTCGGATGACTCGCTGCGCGTGTTGGATGCTGCCAACCTCGATCGCGGGTCGGTGATAGCTCGCAAAACCCACGACGGGGGCGTCACGGCCCTGCGCACCTACAGCTCGGGGGATGCCCAGCTGCTAGCCACGGCGGGTCGGGATGGCCGAGTGAGGCTGTGGGATGCTCGGGCCGGGAATGGCTCGGCGGTGGTGGAAATGGAGACTGGTAGGTTTCACGCGCGTGGATCTGAAGAAAATGACCCCAACCAAACTCATTGACGGCAGTGAAACATGCTCCCGTGCTCTCGGTAGCCTGCAACGCAGAGACGACCACCGTCGTCGCCGGCACAGAACTGGTGTCGTCGCAGGCAGTCGTGGCATTTTGGTAGGTTCGGGGACCTTGAATTTCGCCCTCTCGCCTCTAACACCTCCGCCAGGGATATCAGATCTCCGGCCGCGTGCCGGCTACAGTACGTGGAGAGTCACAACGACGACATCACTGAGGTAAGCATCCATCATCCAGTGACTTATTCCCCGAGGCCTGGTCGGTAACACTCACACACCCAGCTCCAATATCACCCGACCCGCAGCAACATCGTACTCTCCGGCAGCACGGACGGACTAGTCAACATCTACGACACGACCATCACCGATGAGGACGACGCCCTCGTGCAGGTGATCAACCACGGCTCGGTCCACCACGCCGGGTTTCTGTCCGAGCGCACCATCTACGCCCTGAGCCACGACGAGCTCTTTTCCGTGCACCCGGCCACGGACCCGGACGAGCCCACGCAGGAGCCCGAGCCCGTGCACTTCGGGGACGTACGTCAGCCGCTTGGCTGCGAGTACATTGCGCAGCTGTGCATCGGGAGCCAGGGACCGTACATTGCTGCTGGGAACAAGGCGTAAGTGTCCCGCGGAGAGAAAGAAATTGGGGCTGAATGATTTATAGTGATCAACGCCTGGATTTGATTCCCCTTGTCTCGGATCCGACGTGGCGGTTTGACCAAGATAGCCTGTGGCGCCTCCCCGGCGCCCACGGCGAGGAGGTCGTACGCTCGGTGTATTTGGATGAACAGGTATGTTGAGGCACCAATGGCCCCAGGCAGCTAGCTCATGTTGTTGTGTCTTGCAGAGCCAATCCGTGTTCACTTGCGGCGAGGACGGATTTGTGCGGGTGTGGAAACCGGCAGATGAGGATGCCCAAGCTCCTGCGGAGGCGGCAAAGAGCGCACGGCCCAAGGAGAAGAGGCCGAAGGATCGCTTTAAGCCGTATTGAGAATGACAGGTGGGTGAAGCTCTGGGTTGCAGTTCTTTCTTCTGCTGTGTAGCGTTAGGAGTTGGCAGGACAAAAAATAGACGAAATGGAATGACTTTGATGTATTTGGCCTGGGATGGTTCTGGTGTTGATTAACGTCTTTTCCATGTTAGTATTGTGTAAGTTTAGGGCTGCAGTTGGCCAAGATATATATCCACCAGGTTGTGTAATGTAATGAGCTCGGCGACATTTCAAACAAATCGTTTAGTCTCTAATATTTCAGGAAGACAGGAGTTTTCAATATACCGGCCAACCAAATCTATGCATCTATCTATATTGCATAAATTCTCCTCTGACAATGTTGATCCACTACTTCGCCCCAGAAAGTTGCCCCGGAGCGGAGACAGCTACGTAGGACCAACTGTATTTGTAATCTACAACTCTCCAGAATCAATTTCACTTGTACACTAAACATGACTTCCCTAATAGTCCGTGTCCCAGAGGGCGAATCTCCCAGACTATCCCAGGAACAACGCCCGCTCCCCCGTCCCGGCGCCGGACAAGTCCTCGTCAAGGTGTCGCATGTAGCTCAGAATCCAACGGACAGTATGTTATATGTTACGTATTGTTGGTTGAGGATGATATTAATGTAATTTGTATTCCGTCCAATGCTTCGACGTAAATGCATTCGGGGACGGCGCCGTGCTGGGCTGTGACTTTGTCGGCGAGGTCACCGAGCTGGGTAGCGGAGTTACTCGTCTTGCCAAGGGGGATGTTATTGCGGGATTGATTTGGGGAGGTAAATAAGGTCCTTCCAGTCCAAGCCAGACTGACTATATTATTGGATTCTGACTGCTTTTAACAGGGGAGATCCTCGGACTCGGCGCGTACAGCGAATATACTATCGCAGACGAGCGGATCTCGTTCAAGGTGCCGACCGCCGGTATCTCCAAGGCGCAAGCAAGTACGGTGCCCTTGGCAGCGGCCACCGCTTGGCTTGCGCTGTTCTCCAAGGAGTGCCTGAACATAGATCGCTCCCAAGCGCAAGGGACCAGTGTGCTGGTATGGGGTGGTAGCTGTGAGTGCACCATCCAATATGTATCCCAGATGATGAGAATAATCAACTAACGAATACTTGAATTCCAGCAAGCGTCGGTCTCTACACCATCCAACTGGCTTCTCTTCTCGGCTTAGAAGTAGTCACAACCTGCAGTCCTCGCAACGCCGACCTTGTCCGATCCCAGGGCGCCAAACATGTCTTCGACTACACCGACGCAGACGTAATTGACCACATTACCGAGGTTGCACCTCACCTTCAGTACATCTTCGACACCATCGGCAACGCCGAATCCTCCAGGATTGCGTCCGGGGCGTTGGGCGGCCGCGTCGGCCATCTCTGCACCGTTAGACCGGGTAAGGCTAACACGGAGCATGTCGCGCCGAACACGCATGTCACGGATGTGCTGGTGTGGACGGCCTTCTTGAAAGATCATAGCTACGGCACGTTCCATTGGCCGGTGAGTTATTTTCTTTTCCATGTTATTCTTCTTGAGAAATAGGCTAATGCGGAAGGAATAGGCCTCCAAGGAAGACCATGAGCTGGCTAGCGAGTTGTTTGAGAGTCTACCAGCATGGATAGAGCACGGACGGATCCAGCCAAACCAGCCTAAGCTGTTTCATGGTCTTGACAGTGTGGTCCAGGGCTTCCAGGAGTATCGGGATGGAAAGATCTCTGCGTACAAGATCGTCTATGAGGTCTGAATAGACATGGCCAATTAATAGCAAGTCGGGGCTGCATGTCAGACCATCCCTGCCATACCAGCAGGTATTATGCATCGAACTTAGTCAAGTAGGCAAAATAGAGAAAATATAGGAAAATCCCTTTGATGGATGTATGTGTCGGGCGATAAGTGAATGAATCATCCCGCCGGCATCGGGGCGGGAAGGAAAGGAAAAAAAAAGCAACGGGAGTGACAGTGACTCAACAACACCACCTAACGAACTAACTACGCATCCCTATTCCCTGCCCCGGTCCAGGGGATTCTCACCACTCTCTTCCTCTCTTCCTCTCTTCCCACCACCCACCACCAGCATCATGGCGACTCCCTTCCTTATCGCCTACGACCCCTCCACCCCCACGTCCGGGCTCTCCCTCAAGCAGATCGCCTACTTCGGCCGCGTACTGATCAAGCCCTCCAACCTCGCCCAAGCCGAGCACTTCCTGCGCCAGAACTTCCGTCTTCTCGATGTCGTCGTCGACGCGACCGGCATACCCTCCGCCGGCGACCTGGTCGATGTCCTCAATGCTGGCGCCGTCAAGATCCTGATCTCCCTCGACCAATTGACCACCCTCTCCGCGGAGCAATCCGTTCCCTCGTCGCGGTTGATCGTCTACGCTACATCGGACGCCCAATTGAACAGCCTTGAGCAGTGGATGTTGGCCAATGCCAACGAGCGGGACAGTGTCTGTGTTGCCACGGAGCCTGCGGCTGTCTCGGCTGCAGCGGCGCAGTTGAAGATCCCCGCCGACGCTCAGCGCATCTACACGACCCATAAATCCGAGAATGTCTCGGAACAAGTGATCAAGCAGACCATGCAGAATGGCGCAATTGCCATCCTCCCCTCACAAATACTCACCGTTGAGCGCAACGTCGCCGACAAGATCTCTGCCGCGAACCTTCTTGCGTCGCGCCTCGTGACCGACCAGGCGAATGGCCTGTACGCGACATCCGTCACAGACGAGCGTGGCTCGTGTCTAGGCGCTGTCTGGAGCAGTCACGAGAGCATCGCCGAGGCGCTCCGCACAGGGACGGGTGTCTACCAGAGCCGCAAGCGCGGATTGTGGTACAAGGGCCAATCGAGCGGCGATGTGCAGGAGTTGATCCGGATTGGGTTTGACTGTGATGCGGACTGTCTGTGCTTTGTGGTTAAGCAGATTGGGCGAGGTGTGTACCTTTTTCTTTCGATGTTGTGTCTATGCTAACCAGATAACAGGCTTCTGCCACCTCGGTACAGAATCCTGCTTCGGTGCCTCTACCGGTCTTTCTCGTCTTCAGAAGACTCTCCAGGCTCGCAAGGTGGACGCTCCTGCCGGGTCTTATACGGCACGTTTGTTCAATGAGCCTAAGCTCGTGGAGGCTAAGATTATGGAGGAGGCCGAGGAGCTGTGCCGGGCCAACACCAAGGAGGAAATCGCCTTTGAGGCTGCGGATCTGCTCTACTTTGCCCTGACCAAGTGCACGGCTGCTGGCGTCAGCTTGGAGGATATCGAGCGGAATCTCGACCTGAAGAGTTTGAAGGTGAAGCGGAGAAAGGGCGATGCGAAGGGTCCTTGGGCTGAGAAGGCTGGTCTGACTGAATCCAAGCCTGCCCCTGCCAATCCTGAGCCACCGGTGAAGGAGGACCGCACAACGCGCCTGGAGATGAAGCGCGTGGTTACCGCTACCACGGCCCCCGAGGTGGTCACCGAATACCTCAAGCGACCCTCCCAAAAGTCCAATGATGCCATTGTCAGTCTCGTCAAGCCGATCATTGAGGATGTTCGGGACAACGGCGACGCTGCAGTGCTCAAGTATACCCATAAGTTCGAGAAGGCTACATCGTTGACCTCCCCGGTCATCCAAGCGCCCTACCCACCCGAGCTGATGCAGTTGACACCCGAGGTGCAGGAGGCAATTGACATCAGCATCGGTAACATCCGGCGTTTCCACGCCGCACAGAAGGGGGGTAACGAGGACCTCACGATGGAGACCATGCCTGGTGTGGTCTGCTCTCGCTTCTCGCGTGCCATCGAGCGTGTTGGTCTGTATATTCCTGGCGGCACGGCTGTGCTGCCCTCCACAGCCATGATGCTGGGCGTTCCGGCCATGGTGGCCGGCTGCAAGAAGATTGTCCTCGCCTCGCCCCCTCGCGCCGACGGCAGTATCTCACCCGAGATCGTCTATGTTGCGCACAAGGTCGGTGCCGAGAGCATTGTCCTAGCTGGAGGCGCCCAAGCCGTGGCCGCCATGGCGTACGGCACTCAGAGCATCAGCAAGGTGGACAAGATCCTAGGTCCCGGGAACCAATTCGTGACCGCCGCCAAGATGCTCGTATCTAACGACACGTCGGCGGGCGTCAGCATCGACATGCCCGCTGGGCCCAGCGAAGTCCTAGTGATCGCCGACAAGGCCGCCAACCCAGCCTTCGTGGCATCCGACCTACTGAGCCAAGCCGAGCACGGCGTTGACTCGCAGGTGATTCTCATTGCCGTGGGTCTAACCGAGACCGAACTGTGCGCTATCGAGGACGAAGTCGACAAGCAGGCCAAGGCCCTGCCCCGCATGGACATTGTCCGCGGCTCCCTTGGGCACTCTGTCACCTTCGCCGTGCGCGACATCACCGAGGCCATGGCCCTGAGCAACGCGTACGCGCCTGAGCACCTCATTCTGCAGGTGGAGAACGCCGAAGCGGTCGTTGAAACGGTCCAGAATGCTGGCAGTGTGTTCATCGGCCCCTGGACCCCGGAGAGTGTGGGTGATTACTCGGCCGGTGTTAACCACTCCCTGCGTAAGTTCTTCTCTTCTTCGATTAAGTATCTTGATAGCTAACTGGAATGGACTGGAATTAGCTACCTACGGCTACGCGAAGCAATACTCCGGCGTGAACCTCGGCTCCTTCTTGAAGCACATCACCAGCTCGAACCTGACCCCCGATGGCCTGATGGGTCTGTCCAAGACCGTGGAAACGCTCGCTGCGCTCGAGGGTCTGGATGCCCACAAGCGGGCGATCAGCATCCGTGTTGCTCAGATTCAGCAGAACGGGGCATGAACTATGTGTCGTGTCATGCACGATGCACAATGAAATGGATGGAATATTCATTTTCTGTTCAGAAAAGTTGTGGACGAGACTTGGCTTGACTTTCTTTTTAACGATTTGTTGATGATGACTTTCGATAGCAATACATAAATAGAACCTGTTTGGAAGACCCCAAAAGTGTCATAACGGAGACTGGCATAGTACACGCTGAATGATCTCTAGCAACATGATCAAAGTAAATGTAGGTCAAAGACAAAAAGCAACATGGATACCCTTTAATATCAGCCAGTGCAGCCAGTAATCAATCAAAACAAGCCAAATGCAGAAGCAGAAGCAGACAAATCAGAACTGTGCATCATTAAGAATCTGCACCTCCTGGCCCGGCTTAAAAGCTGGCATACCCAGATACGGACAGCCATCACAGCGGAACGCATCACCCAGAGCACAGCTCCCGCACGAGCCCGTCTTGCCCTGTACTGTGAAATCGAGCTCGTTCAGATCATCTGACTGCAGCTTCAGCACGTTCAGATCTTTATCAGCTTTCTCGCGCCGCTCTTTATCTTCTGCTTCCAGCCGGTCTGCGAGGCCGCATGTGCAGTCTTTGCAGGGCGGCGGCGGCGGCCCGTTTTAGGTTGGCATTCCGGGGCTGGATGGATATATTTGTTAGTAGTGTATGTTGATGAGGAAGAGGAAGATCAAACGTACGGGGCATGATGGGTCGTGACAGGTCTTCATCGTCCAGAAGGGCATCCTCATTAATCAGCTCGTCGTCGTTATCGTTGTCGTCGCGGTCATTATTATTTGTAGGGTCATTGATACCCATCATTGGCGGGGCAGGAGGAGTGGTTTTCTTAGGGATATTTTTCTTCGCGCCAAAGCGCAGCGGTACAGCCGCCGAAGCGTCATGGTTCGGCTTCTCAAACCCAGACGGTGTCTGCACCAGTCCCGCCAGAACAGCCTCCATTGTCTCCGCCGGCCCGAACCCGCTATCCTGCGTCTGTAGCTTCGCACCGGGCTTCATGGCGGGGACGAGGGCAGCATAGACGCCCCGATTGAGCAGGTGCAGTGCCTCGGTTCGTCGGGAGCCGTCTGTGCCTGTCAGAAGGAGGACGAGGTCGTATGTGTTGGTGGGTAGGGAGACCACGCCTGCAGAGAGACGGTCAAGCATTTGGAGGTCGGTGGTGGTGCGGTCGAAGGTTGTGAAGAGGGCGTGTAGGTTGGATTCTTCGGTGGCGATGGAGGGGGGTGCGAGGAGAAGAGTGCGCTTCTGTGGGGTTGGCGCCGACGGGATCGCCATGTCGACGTCCGAGGCGTCGATGGTCACGACAGAGGGAGCCATGGTGTTTTATAAAAAGAAATGAGAGACTTGGGAAAAGATGAAGAAGGTAGAGGGGTGGCGGATCTTTCGATAAGAGATGAGTCAGCGGGGATTATTAATTCAACGTTGCTGGTAACTGACTTGAGGAAGAACAGACGGGGCCTTTTTGAGAGGGAGTAGATAAATTAAAGGTGCGAAAATGTGAATATCCTTACATTCACTAACTAGTATTCAAGTCTGGTGGACATACACTGGTACATATCCTGGACTGAGAAGGACTACGAGGTACTGCCCCTCCGGTGCCGGAGCCGACGGATTATCAATCGCAACTCTATGAATGGCACCATCTTTACTTTAATCCTTGGGCTTAGTTAGCCTAAATGAGAATAGCCTAGATTGCTTTTTGGTTACACCATATACCGGAACGCCTATTGGTGATGCAAGGTATCAATATGTACAGCCCAGAAGGTCATCAAAATGTAGAGCGTAAGGGCTAGCGCTTGCGCTCCCGGATCTTCCATTTGATGCCATGCTTATTCGTGCCTCCCACCGAGTTGTCCATCCGCGCCCGCTGCCAGTCCAGTTCCTGCTCGGCAGCTTGGATCTCTGCATGTTGTTTGCGCAGCGCAGCCAGTTTACTCTCACGGGTCTCAGCAGCCCGTTTGCGGAGTTTGCGAGCCCGTCGAGCCTCGACCAGTGCTTGCCGCTCCTTCTCGAGCTGCTTGGGTGTCTTCCGAGGAGTTGTCTGTTCCTTTTCGTTCTCCTCATCTGTCCCATCATCCTGCAGCCGGTGTTTTTTCAATGCCTGCTGTTGTTGCCGATCATCCGCGAAGACCGTCTTGCGCGGCTTCTTCGGAGCAGACCCAACGTCGTCGAATCCATCAAACTCGTCCTCGTCCTCCTCAGATTCATCGTCACGCTGATCCTTCCCGTCTAGTGCCTCGCTCATCCCACCCTGCAGCTGCACGTCGCGCTCCAGACGCTCCATCTCCCGACGCACCCGCTCCCCAACTGTGCGCAAATAACCCTTATCCTGCGTCTTGAGCAGCTTGATAGCATCGTGACTCAGTCCGCGCGCAGCAGCCGAGTCCCGTCCCACACCTTTCCCTCGTCCGTGCCGGCCCTGCACATGGTTCCGGTCTCCCATCATGCCAAAGGCGAATTCATCCGGGTTGCGATCGCGCGCCTTTTCTTCCAGGCGCTTGATCTTGGATTTTTTGGCATTGTAGTCTTTGGCGCGGAGAGAGTAGTCCTGACAAGTGTGCACAGTTAGATTGCGTTTTGTAGGAAGATTTCGAGGGGAATAGGTACCTTGTGCTTCTCGAGAATACCCCATTTCTCACGCCCGCCGAGCTGGCCACGCTCGCGGTGTTGCCGTCGCTGGACGGCATTGCGCATGGAGGACATGTTGATAGTTGTAGGTATGCAGTCGAAATAAAAACGGGGTAAAAAGGCACAGAATGGGTTGTTGAGAATTATGCGTGGTGGATGTCAGGACTGGAGTGTTTGAGTCGAGAACTTTTTTTTGCCGCCTTTTTCTTCTCCGCCCTACAATCGGTTCTGCGCTCCGCATCAACAGACACAATTCAACCAACCGCAACAACCTCTCGGTCAGCCTCATATTCTACTACACCTGGCAACTTCTGCTTTCTATTACAAGCTCGGCCTTGCCTCATCCAATAACCAAGCCGCTGATCCTTCCATCCACCACCCACCACCCACGCATCACCTCACCTCTCCTCACTCTCACTCCCATCCTCGATACCCCCCAATCGAGCCAATTCAACCCCTCATGGCCACATCATCTACGTCCTCGGATGCATCTTCCACATCCTCAACCAAGAAATATAACCTCCGCAATCCCCTCCCACTCTCTGCCACCCAGGAACAAGAAGTGAAGCAGCTCTACTACAAGCGCGTACGGGGACATTGCGCCGATGAGATCAAGGGTATGTATGCCCTTCTATTTCTCCATCAATTACATTACCCTCTCCCTCAAATGACCCAATAACCCCAGATCTTCACAATCTCACACCTCTGTAACAACAAATCAAACCAAACCAAACCAAACCTTGCTAACATTGACAATGGCAGCCTTCGCCCAATGCGCTGTCAACCGCACCGTCACAGCAACATGGGTCTGCCGGCAACAGCGTCTCGCCATGAACTCATGCATGCTCGCTCACGCCAAACCGGAGGAGCAAGACCGCGCGCGCGAGGAGTGGTTTGCGACCCATGGGGAACGGCGACGTGCGAAGGAAGAGGAGCTTTTGCGCGTTGAGCAGCGGAGGGCGGAGGTGATTCGCATGATGCGTGAGGATGAGGAGCGGAGTCGGCAGGAGAAGGCTGCACGGTGATTGTTTTCATCTGTGTGTTCTCTGCTCTGCTCTTCTTTGATTTTTCCACCTCTCTTTCCCCCCTTCTAAGCCTTGGACTAGGACGTGGCTTTGAATCTGGCCCTGACTCTGGCCCTTTTGGCGTACAATGGGATACAACTGGCGTTTATGGCGGGCATCTTTAGTCTCTTTTGCGTTGCATGGCCATCCTGTTTGAAGCGATGGATTGGAATTCTCCGATTTATGTACATTACAGTATACACAGATGAATTGCATGGAGATAAACTCATTCTCTCATCAGTGAATGACCTATAAGTATGCCTTATCAGTGAAAACAGAGATCGAAGCCAAGTCAACTTGTAGAGAGGATTACCCAAAGCGGTTAGTGCCTTCGAGCTCCGACCGCCAACTTATCACCTTCAAGTATCTCTTTCCCTTCGCCTTCTTTCCTCCTACCCTTCAACCCCCCACCATGGCGTCTCCCAGCCAGACACAGGGCTCAGCGCCGCCGCCAACCACTCCACCCGGCGATTCAGGTCCGGCGAACGGAGCCCCTGGCCCCTCCACCTCGCAGGCTCAGGCCAGTGCGATCACCACCACGACCACCACTTCAGCCCCGATACCCGCGACAACCACGCAACCACCACAAATCCCCTCGACCTCCCTCCATGACAGTGGCAAGTCTCGCCGACCGCGCGATGTGCGCCTCGTGCACATGCTCCTCGCCTCGCTGGGGGTAACAGCGTACCAAGAGCGAGTCCCGCTCCAACTCCTCGACTTCGCATACCGCTACACATCGAACGTCCTCCAAGACTCCGTACACCTCGCAACAGAAGGGTATGCCAGCGCCAGCGAAGGCACGACGGGCAAGGGATCTGGCGGCGAGCTCGCCAGCGTGACTCTGCCCGCGTTGCGGCTTAGCATCGCCTCGCGCTTGCACTACCAGTTCCAGGCCGGCCTGCCGAAGGAGTTCTTGATGGATCTCGCATCGGAGAGAAATCGGATTGCGTTGCCTGGTGTGTCGAGGGGGTTTGATGCCGCTGGGCAAGCGGGTGGCCCTGCTGCTGCGGCCGCGGACCAGAGCGTGATCATGGCTGGTATTCGACTGCCGCCGGAGCGCTTCTGTCTTACTGGCATCGGATGGGATATGAGGGATGAATGGGATAGTGAGGGCGAGGCTGAGGAGGAGATGCCCGATGCACTGGAGAAGGGCGGAGCCGCTGGTGCTGGTGGTGATGCGACGGAGGATGCCGAGGAGGGTGGTGATGATGATGATGAGGATGGGAAGATGGAGGATATCTTTGGTGAAGATACCGCAATGGGTGAGGCTGGGGAAGATGAGGATCGGAAAATGACAGATGCTTGATTGGATTGCGGGATAGGCGGAGTTTTACTGGCGCTGGGTGTTTTCGGGGTGTGGCATCTTCTTTCTTTTATGAACATTGGGCTAGATTACCTTCGGGTTTGCCTAGAGAATACCATGGAGCAAATCTTACATTCTGTTAGCCAATTGTATATGCACTACATTGGTAACTGGCCGCATACGTTGATACAGAGCAGAGCTTGGGAATATACAACAATCTCTTGACTGACAGTAATTCCCTGAGTAACCACTACCTGTCCGGTCACTGCTCAACAGGCAATTTCCCAGGCGAGTTCGACAGAATCCATGGCCTCCTATCCCAGAACTCATCCTTGATGATATCAACATGATCAACCACAACCCTAGCTTTCCGGCGCAATTTCCGCAGCTTATCCTGCTGTGACCTCGATGGTTTAGACCCTGGCACCGCCGACGAGGCCCCACTACCACCATCATCATCGGCAGATGTCTGCACTGGACTGGGGTCCTGCAGTTCATACTGGATAGGAGCAGCGTGTATCAGATTATATGCAGCAAAAATAAAGGACACACAACGTACCTGGCGGTAGATAACACTACCCTTCTTATAGATCTCGAGTTCATTATTGTAGTTCATTCCGAACCGCTTGAAGAGGATCTCGTTCTTGTCTGATGACACGGTTCCCTGTGGTCGATCCGGTTCGGTTAGCTTTGTGCTTTGTGCTTTGGAATTATGATCCGATCACAAATGAGTCTAGCATGTATACCTTTAATTCCTGTTCCGCATCCGTATTGCTCATTCCACCTTGTAGGACCATTGCCCAAAAAGTTGTATTGTAGAGGTTATTGATATGGCCTATGTAGCCAATCATATCGTATTATATTAGCGGGATATAGGAGAAAAGAAATTGCGGGTAGTACTTACAATCAACCTGTCTCCAGCTCATATAGTCGCGCAGAATGCGAGTATTCGGGTAAATAACCGAACGCCCGTCGAACGAAGGCAAATACCGCGGCTGGAGGGGCGTTGAGGGGAAATAAGTGTTCCATTGATGGATGTAGTGTGCTGTGAATGAGGAAACGATGGTGGTGACCAGTTTTCTGATCGAAAGCAGATTAGATTTTTCCATCCATTCGTTAGATAGACAGGGAGAGGAAGGAGGTGGATAATGGTTTTCAAAAAAAGGTGATAAGGATGACTTACGAATTCCGTCGCTCGAAGAGCTCGCAGCTTGGATGGAAGACAAAACTATGAAATGTATTAGTCCAAAAAAAAAACACACAGGCTGAGCCGGGTGAGACACACCTGTACTCGTCGCTGACGCCGTAGGCGATGCATAGATCTGGTAAGTCGTTCATGACCTCGGCAGCAGCAGCGTTCATCAGGTCCAGCGCGCGGCGGTCATTTGGTTTCGTGAATGCGTAGTAATCAGACAGTCTGGAGTTGTCAGATATATGCATCAAATCCCGGTAGGAACAAGGGCAAGCGCAATATTCAATATTTGCATGGCTGTGAGTCAGTGGACATAGACAGGCTGATCGGATCAACCATCTCTGCTCACTGACAGTGAATATGCAGATAATATAGACTCTACTCATAAAAGAGGATGGAGGGCGCCTCACTTGTGGAATCCCCTCCCATCAATCCGAACGACAATCCATGTGTTGGGCAGCAGGATGTCTGGCTGCTCGAAGGACTTGACATATTCGTATCTGAGCTTTGGTCAGGAATGATACAGGCGAAGGAACGTGCTCGTCGTTTCTTACTTTGAGTTTGCCATCTTTTCTTCCTCTCCTTCTCTGTCTATGGTTTCGGGATGGAGGAATGTGGATGATTTACTGAACCGGGTCACATGACCTGATTTGATCCAACCCTACCATTTTTCGAACTACAAACTACTGGAGACGAATACTACTTGGGGTGAGTTGGAAATTCCAATAACAGTCATAATCTTCCGTGTGCATCACTAGAGTATAAATCTCAGTTCCTAGAAATAAGACAAAGCTCAGGTTGTCACCTCCTCCGGGATCTCCTCATCACCCGTTTCACTGGCGAGCTCGCTCGTCTCACTGGCCTTGTCGGATTTGCGAGACTTGCGGGAGAAAAATCCCAGGCTGCTTCGAGTCGACTTGTCTGCAGACGGCACACTGGAGACAGTGCTGTCCACGCTCTTCCCGAGCTGGGCTTCGCTGGCGCCATCCTCATCAATGTCACCCTGCGAAGACTCCCCCTTCTTGGAAAAGAAACCCGAGCGATCTTTCCACGAGCTGAATTTTCCAGAGCTGCCTTTGCGAGTGATCTTACGGATGAACGACTCCTTCGAGGCATTGTCCACGGACGTGCCGGAAGGCAGGCGCTCCAAAGACTCGTACGAGTCGCCGGTGAAATGAGACAGGGACCGAGAATCGCGGGACATGCGAGAGTCGGACGGGGAACCGTCTTCCAGATCAAAGGAGGATTCGGTTTCCTTATCCTTGTCCTTGTCCGATTTCTTGCCAGTGAAGACCGTCCTGAACGTCGGGGCAGCCGGGTTCAGTTTCGGATTCGGCGTGAGGGGCCGGTGGGACGAGGAAGGGCGAGTGCCAATTGGAGCCTGGAGCGGCCGATGCTGCCGTTCAAACGAATCCTCGACAAAATCAGGCTCCCCAGTCAGCCCCAACGGGAGGTGGCCAGACGATCCATATGAGATGGAAGGCCGACGGGAAGGGGCTCGAGACCAAGTAGACGGAGAAGCCCAATCAAGACCAAGAGGACTGGTTCGATGCCCAGCTTTCTCGGTCGACGGCCAACCGAAATGTCGGTTGTCCGTAGAGGGGTGAGGGAGCTGGTTGTCAAACGAGAACGTAGACGACGGCCGTGGAGACAGAGAACCACGTCGGACGCCGCCGAGAAGTGAGGAGGGATCAATGGGGTCATGTCGCGGGCTGAATTGATCGTAGCCATCGGTATTCGCACGTCCGGCATTTCCAAACCCAAATTTGCTGGTAGAGAAGATGCTCGAAAACGCAGCCCGCCGGGAGGGTGGGTGGTCAGACGAACTGTCTGCGGTGACTCCGGCAGTGTTGCTTCGCGGGAAAAATGACATCGGACTTGCCCAATTGCCAGTATAGCTCAACCGCCGACGTCGTGAGCCAATCGGGTCCATCTCATCGATATTGCGCGGGAAGGATTGACTCTGTCCTGGTTTCAAAGTGCCCAGCATAGGCGATTCGTCTGCCAGAGTCTTCCCTCGAGGTCGATGAAAGCCGAACAGGCCTGAGAGCCGCCGAGAAGCGCTCTTTGGTGGCTCTGACAGTTGACCGGGCTCAGAATCCTGTCGGGTTGAGGTGCCGAGTGGGCTGGCGAAGATACTTCCAGGTCGACTGCCTGAAGAGACTGGCGATACGGGGCCATGTCCAAAGCCGTCCAGCGGAGTGGGGTTTGAGTCAAACCGTGGTCGGGTAACAGGGCGCGGGAATTCGGGAGATTCTTCGTCCCCGAGGAGATCAGATGGCAGAAGAGCATCAGCACGAGGGCTCATCTGAGGGTTATTGAAAGTTGTCTCCATGTCTGAGCGCATGATCTCCGGCGGGTCTAGACTCGGCAGAGCCATCCCGTTATGAATGTTGAAGAAGGCAGAGTTCGGAGCAAAAGTTGGCGAGCTAGTGGAAGGTGGGTTGTAATTGATGGAGAATGATGGCTCGACGCTGGGGAAGTTCACAGGGGACGAGACATTGCTGTTGAGAGAGCTGCGATGGCGGCGGGGCCGAATGGTGGCAGTATTGGACAAATCGAGATCCAATGGGAAGGGGCCTGCGCTGCTGGGTCGTTGGGTGGAAAGCCACTTGACTCGCTCCTGGGCTTCCTGATACTGCTGCTGAGCTTGCGTATGAATGTTGACGAGAGTAGCATAGCGCGCCTGTAAACTGGCCAATTTAGCCTCCCACTGGCGGGCCCGCTCGTTATCAATTCGGTCCAATTCTTTGCCATCTTCAGTATCACCCTCCTGGAATCTTGTCCTTTCTTCCTCGAGCTTCTTGATGCGTCCTCCTTTATCCTGGATCTCGTCATCGATAGCCTTCATCTCCGCTTGCTCATCGGCAATCTTCTTTCGAACTTCATCCGCACGGGTTTTGCCATCCTCTTCCAGACTTATCTTGTCCTCCTTGGCCTGCTCCATTTCAACGGTCATGCGAGTGATCTTCTCCTGCCATCGCACAATATCGTTCTTGCGCTTCTTGCGCTGGGCCTCCTTCTGTTGAAGCAGCCTCACACGCTTCGTCTTTTCGCTCTGCACAGTGCGGTTGACGCTTTCCAGCTTGTAGACGTGTTTCTTGAGATCACCGCTGGCCTCGTCCTTCTCCTTAACACTCTTCTTCAAATCGTTGCGTTGCTTCTCGAGATCTTTGAGCAATGCGATGTGTTCGTCCTCCTCCTCTGCTGCCTGCTTTTCCAAGTTATCGTTCTCCTGCTGCAGCGACTTCAGTCGATCGGCGAGTTGCTCGAGGGATCCATTCTTGTCGTTCTTGACCACGCTTCTCTGCGTTTCGTCTGCATGGCCAGTCTCAACTGTTCCGGCAGCAGGTGATAGCTTCCGCCCTGTCGAGGGTCGTTTGCCCGGCAGTGGACCGGCACTGTGTTCACGGGACATCACCGGAGCCGAAGGAGTGGGCAGGCCTGCGGTCGAACGGGGAATCGATGCCCGAATCGTGGGGCCGTCGCCGGGGGCATTTTGTTGTGCCTGGGAGAGCGGGAGAGATTTGGTTCGCACATGAAGGACGGCGCTAGGTGTTTGAAAGTTCGCGGCGCTCACTGAGAAAACACAGATGTGATAAATGCTGCCTGGTATGAGATTTAAAATCTCTACCGCCGTCTCCGCTCGTTTCGACTCGCCCACTAGACAGTTGTCAGCGCCAGCCGGGAGATTCGCGCTGATTCAATACAAACCTTTAACGTTGTTCACTTGGATGATATGCTTATGTATTGAGTTGTGGAAGTCTGGTTGTTTCCAAGCAAGACGGATCTCACGGGCGGTGATCTCTTCGAGGGTGACCTCTGGGGGTGGAGGAATATCCAGGCCCAATTTCTCCACTAGGACATCGTTGGGAGTTTGGCAGACCTGCCATGCCCGGTACAGGAGCCTATGTGCGACGAGGTAAGTCGCGGGTGTTTGGGCGAGCAGACATAACGGGACTCACCAGATCAGGGCCCACAAGATCGAGGCCGCCAGGAAAAGCGCCATGACGCCTCGCACCCTCACTCGGGGTATGACAGTTGGGTATGTGTCAAAGGCAAAATACAGCGGCTCGTACATCCCAGCGTCGGGCACCCATGGACGCGGGCAGCGGGGGTGGGTGAATGAGCACAAGCAGAAGCAGAGAGTGTCTGATTCGACATCGGTGGGACGAATGGATCAGGTGACCGGTACTTAGTCAGGGTCCAGTGCTGATGTAAGATGCCTCGGCCCCAACCGTCCCGGGTGTGTTGGGTGGTTGAATGAAGCAAGATCTAAATGTTGGGTTGACAACTCTTCCTCGACCAACGCGTTCTGACTTACTTTAGTTCTTATCGCGGTGTTTCTGGCTCTTCACCACCATCCTGCCACTCTTTTTGTTTCTTCTTCCCTTTCTGGTTATGAAGCGGCCGGTCCTCCCTGTCGGCTGATCACATGGGCCGTTTGGCAACGGGCCAAATTCCGACTCCCAACGACAAGCAATCCTTTCCGTCATCTTGCTGATCACTTTTGCCCTCAATCCTCCCCCCTCCTGTCGCAGTCTTCTACGGTGTTGCGACACCCCTAGGCGACATGCAGTACGTCCGGAGCATCAGCGGCTCTGTCTCGAAGACATGGAACTCAATCAACCCGGCGACCCTGAGCGGGGCTATTGATGTGATCGTTATCGAGCAGGAAGATGGTATGATATTATGAACAGAATTACAGGGAACAGACTGACAATCTCATGGCAGGCACTTTGGCCTGCTCGCCCTTTCATGTCCGCTTCGGCAAGTTTTCGCTCTTGCGTCCGTTCGAGAAGAAGGTGGAGTTCAAGGTCAATGGAGTGAAACAGGAATATGCGATGAAACTGGGTGAAGGTGGTGAGGCCTTTTTCGTGTTTGAGACAACCGACGACATTCCTGCATCCTTACAAACATCCCCGCTGGTATCCCCGGCTGGTAGCCCAAGGCCCGAGAGCGAGGAGGATCTGCCATCTTCCTTGCAAGAACCAGAGTACCTGGATTTGGACCGATCCAACACGGATGCTCTGTCGGAGGGTAGAAAGACGCCACCCAGACTTGGGATGCAGCAGAATACGGGAAGGGCACATACGGATTTAGGTAAGAATGGGAACCTAACTACCTCGGAGATTTGTTGCTCATTGTGCGCTTAGGTGTGATTACACCTCTCTCACGATCTCCCGATGAATCTGACTTGCGCCACTCCCGTCACGACTCGTTGGCTAAGCTACCAGTGTTCGAACACTCTATGTCCGAGGATGTACTTTCAACCAGCGCTCTTCGATCACCTCCGATGGAGCGTTCTCCCCTCAGTGGCTCAGCTGAAGCGAACGACGAGGGCATTGGAACAGAAAGTCGTTCCCGCAGTCCTCCCCCGATGTCCCCCCGGGAGGCTGTCTCCCGGGCAATGAACTTGTCCAAGAAGCTATCGGGTTCAAATATTCCATCGCATGTCACTGATACGGGGGATCTGATGTTGGATATGACAGGCTATAAGAGCAACGAAGAAGATGCACTTCGCGCAGAGGTGATTGCCCGCAAGATTCTGGCTGAAGAGCTGGAAGGCAACTACGACATCGGTGCGCTTATTGGAGCTGACGAGCATGGAAACCTCTGGATCTACAGCAGCGAGGAAGCCAAAGAAGCAGCCGACCGAAGGGCGACTATCAACTCTATGCGGCCTAATACTGCGATGAGTGAAGATGCGGTCTCGGATCCAGGTTATCACAGCGAGGGTGAAAATCCTCTGTCAGAGACGACGCTGACACGGCATCACCGAACTAAGTCAGACGTCCAGCCCGGCTTTCCAACCCCTCCTCATTCGCCCATGCACGATACGTTCGCCGCCGAGACCCGCAACTACGCGAAGACGCTGCGGTTGACCAGTGACCAGCTCAAGGCCCTGCAGCTGAAACCAGGCGCCAACATCATGTCGTTTAGTGTCAACAAAGCGACTTGCACGGCCGCGATGTATCTTTGGAATGGCAACACACCTATCGTGATTTCTGATATTGATGGTACTATCACCAAGTCGGATGCCTTGGGCCATGTCCTCAACATGATCGGGCGCGATTGGACCCATGCGGGAGTTGCGAAACTGTATACCGACATCGTCAATAACGGTTACAACATCATGTATCTCACCAGTCGCTCTGTGGGCCAGGCAGATACAACACGTGCTTATCTCCATGGTGTCTGTCAAGATACTGGGTATCGGCTCCCCAAAGGTCCTGTTATCTGCAGTCCGGATCGCACGATGGCGGCGTTGAGACGAGAGATCTATCTGAGGAAGCCGGAGGTTTTCAAGATGGCCTGTTTGCGAGATATTCTCGGCCTCTTCTCTGGAAAGGAAAACCCCTTCTATGCCGGCTTTGGAAATCGACTGACAGACGCCCTGAGCTATCGCTCCGTGAACATCCCATCTACGCGGATCTTCACCATCAACTCCAACGCCGAGGTGTCTCTGGACCTGCTGAGTCTCACTAAATACAAGAGCAGCTATGTAACTATGCAAGAGCTTCTTGATCATTTCTTCCCTCCAACCAGTCTTCTCGTGCAGGCTGGCGGTGAAGAGTACACGGACTTCACCTACTGGAGGGAGACACCGCAAGAGTTGGCAGATTTCTCTGCAACAGACAGTGAAGATGAGGAAGAGGAAGAAGATGATGATGAGGTGGCCGACGATGAAGAAGATGAAGAGGCAGATGATGAAGAGTACGAAGACGAACTGAGTGATGGCGAGGGCAGCGAATACCTTGACGATGAGACGGGAATTGCACAAGAGGATGCCACGGACTTGACTGCGAGTTACATGTCTCAAGATTCGGTGGCCATCTCCAACCCGGCCGGCTCGATCATTGAGTCTGTGGAAGGCGGTCCGGACTTTGGAGAGGATGTCACCCCCGTGCAAGTTGAGTTGGAAGAGCCCATCGGCGAGCCGATTGTGCCAATATCCACCGACGCTGCGCGTACGACTTCTCTTCCTCTCCTCCCCAGGTCACCACGAGAGCCTTGATTCACTGTCTTCGGCTTACCCGCAAAGAGTACTGGGGTTCTGTTTCTGCTCATAGATACACGTTGTCACTGTGCGAGTTTTTTTGTCGAGCCAGACCTGCATTCACTCTGTCCACTGTCGTGTGGCAGTGATATACCCCTGTTCAACACTTTTGCATGCAGAATGGGCTTTCCATTATACACGGCCACTCTGACTGAACTGATTTTTCGCATTGATGGCGTTTTGCATTTTTGGGGGAGTTGTACATTGAAGATGGCGCATTGAGTGGATGTATGGATTTTGATTCCGGGGGATGGGTGGGCAACGGAGGATCTGGCACTGAGTTTAGGATCGGAGGTACTGTAGTAGCATGCAAATATTCATTATGAACTTCAGGGTATCTCTCTATGACAGAATAGAAGCCAGCGTGCCATCTATCAAAACGACCACACCAAGGCTGGCTGACGGAATTTGGCTCCTATAGGTATGCTGTAAAAAATCAAGCACGCAACACAATGCAAATCAGACATCTTTAGACTCGGATGTCTTCTTGTCTTTCTTGGACTTTTTCGTCCCCTTGGATTCGACATCCGCCCCGCTCTCTTTCTTCTTGGACTTCTTGCTCTCTCGAGATGTCCGTTTCTCTTTGCTGTCTTTCTTCTCCTTTGTCCGTGCAGAGTCGTCGTCCGTCGCAGTAGAGTCCAGTCGGCCTGAGTCCGAATCGGTGTCTGTTGACATGGGTGTGGGATAACCTTCCTCGACGGCTGACTGCTTGGTGTTTTTTGCTTTCTTTGCAGCATCCACTGCACCGTCGCCGTCTAATTTGCGTCTTTCTTTCTCCTTCTTTTCTTTCTTCTCTTTCCGCCTCAGTCGCCGCTCCTCTTTGCTTTCCTTGCATTTCTCTGAGTTGGAGGTCTCACTCGACGACTGCGTAGAGCCAGTCTCTGTAGTTCCATTCTTGAGCTCGCGGCGCTTCCGTTTCTCCTCTTTGCGAGCAGCTTTCTTCTCTTTCTTGGCCTGGCGGTCCCCATCATCTTCGGCCTCCCTCTTCCGCTTTACCTTCACCTTGGCTTCAGTTTTCTGCTTTTCCTTTTCCCTCTCCGCAATCGTTCCAGCCAGCCCTGTGCCCCGCACGAAGAACCGGTACAGCTCGCTGGTCAGCGCATTATTCGAACGCTTCGCGTCAGCATTTTCTTCGCCGATGCCCTTCAGCGCATCCTCGAATCCACGCAACCACCACTGATTCGTCGGATCCTTCGTCGTCTTTTTGCCCACGCCGTGGTTGTTCTGTTTGCGGGCGACGAGAATCGGCCGTGTGAGGCCCAGTCCGCCGTGTGGACCGGGTCGCTGGTTCGGGTTCAGAGGGTTGCCGGGGCCGGACCAGCCGTGACGTATTAGGTAGGCTTGTGTATCCATCGGGTGATCGGTGATTGTGTTTCTTTGTTGGGCGGAGGGGATTGGAATCAAGTCAAAAGTTCTTCGGGTGGTATTTTTGGCTCCTTTTGTAAGGGCGGAGGCTAGCTCGGCTTGACTTGAGAAGAAAAATGGAATGCTGTTTATGGTTTCATTTGCTCCAACTCCTTATAAGTAACCGACAGGAGAGGCGTACATGGAAAATGGTGCGTTGTTGATTGTCAAAAAAAAGTCTGGATCCGCAAAAAGTTGGATGGCAAGTCACGTGACTAATAGGCCGAGGAGTGGCTTAACTTTTTGCATTTCTATTGCTAAGTAACTCAAGAAAGTAAATCTAAATGGTTTATCGACAATGGGACATGATTCGGTTTGACTTTGAGGCGACAAAAAATAACCGTACAGGGAGACCAAGGTCATTATTATTGCAAAAACATTGATTAGGCTGGGGTTCGATCCCAGGACCTTGTCGGTGTGAGCGACACGTGATAACCAACTACACCACCCAACCAATTGCTGACGGTATTTGTAATTTTCCGTGATATGGTTCAATTTCCTTCGACCGATTCAAATTGCCGCAAGAGCTTTATTTGGCTCGGAGCAAACATGAACCACTTCGTGGCTTTCCTCTGAAAGTAGAGACAGTGAAGTATAATAGAGATCCAATTGGCCTTTTAAGACATATTCTAACCCTAAAGCGGTGTTATTTGACTGCTCCCACCAGAATGCCAAAGCATTGTTCCTCGTCACAGAACTCCCTGAAATATGCCCATGTATACTACTGTATCGGCAAGTGTCAGTACTTTTGGTCCTCTAGATTAGTTTCCGGGGCTTGGTATGTTAATCAGATCCTAACGCTAATGACCGGCTGGTCATCGGTATCAATCGGTCGGGAACATGAAGCTCCTATGGTCCTTGCTGCACGAGAAGATATTCTTCAACAAATCACAGAAAATTCAGATGAGGAGCCGGCAGAAAGCGGACAAATCTTCCAGACACCATTGTCACCTACTACGAAACTTTTGAACGATTTTATCAGGAAGATAACGCTTTCTTGATGCCTGGAGTGAGAATCATTGGCTATGGGTAATCTTCAGCCCCAGGCTTGGGCGAAGGTAGAGCAAGATTTGCGCAGTATTTACAGACGACTTCCTCTTGCCAGATTTCTTCTAGTTGATTAGTATTAACATGAAATATTAACTATGCGCATGGCTATAGTCAACCGGACCATCCATTCAAGTTTGCCGAAAAGGATCCCAAATGTTAGATGGAAAACCAATACACACTTATGCGCGATGCAAGTCGGATATACAATCCTTAATTGGTGGAGATATAGCAGGCACTTTAGTTTGTACTTATGGCCCCTGGTCCCACTACGAATGGAGAACGCGCTGTAAGCAACGTGAAGAATGTAGAATTGCAAAGGTCTGATTGGAATCTGCCGGAGGCGGATAAGGCCTCACCCCACCAATTTAAGAAAAAGGCCAGGTCTAGAATAGAGGGGTAGCAGGATGTGGAGAGCTGAATATACTATCTACATACATAGAATCTAAAACCATGCGTGGCGATATCCAACATCAGCAGTGGATAATCACAGCCCTAGACCCGCTCGGGCCGGTGGGTTCACTACCCGATTATCCACAGATCCCGTTGAACTTAGTCGGCAACCCGATAAAACTTCTGGTCCTACGGTCGCCATGCCTGCGCAATGAGAGATTCTTTGAGTCACTAAACGTAAAAATTTGTAGGGAAAAAGAAAGGAATTCAGGTTTAGATTTCCTCCTCCTCTTCTTTTTGAACCAGGGAAGTCCGAGTGATGAGTGCTGCGTAAGCCCTTGACCTGGTGACAAACGTAGAGATAGCAGAACCAGAATTAGTTGATGATTACCTGAATTGCGCTATCAGAGACCCGATTTATTTTTTAGACCTGCAGTATACTGCATGCGCAGCGGATAAGCGACCAGTCGATAGAAAAATCAACTCCCCGTGCGTGGGTCCTCCCAAAAAGAGCTATACCCGCTGCCCACTTTTTAAACTGGAGCGTTTGAAGAATCTGATTCTAGTTCAGAGTTTTTGCTAGGCTTATAGATGTGCTAGTGGTACGCGTAGTGTTTTCTTGTTCAATTTTTATTCCAGCAAGTCCCATAATGTCTATTGTTGTCGATTACTTCAGTAGTCGACCTCGGACTCATAAGCAAAATGGAGAAAAGGATGTTGGTTTTGGTGACATTCCCAAGGTCATTGAGCCTACAGTTCTTTTTAGTCCCGAGTCATCGGCGCCGGTAACTCCTTTGCCTGAATTAGCATCCCCGGCTGGAAGTGAAGATCCTATTCTCTTGGAAAAGCTCCCGCAGTTTGGTCGCTTAGCTTCATGGAAGGGGTCTCTGATTTTGCTTGTGACTTCCGGCTCTCAATTTCTTGATAATGTGTTCATGACGAGTTCAAACATCGCTTTGTCTTCGATTCAAGACGAATTTGGTGTGTCCAGTACCGACTTGCAGTGGATCATCTCAGCATACACCTTGACGTTCGGGGGGTTCCTGCTACTTGCAGGAGCTTTGTCAGATCGGTAAGTGTGTTCTGATTAATTCAGTTGATGCACACATCTTCTAACTTGCGCAGGTATGGGAGGAAGAAAATACTTTGTCTCGGTCTCCTTTGGCTCTCTATTTGGACATTGGCTATTGGGTTCGGACAATCGTTCATCCAACTCACTGTATTTCGCGGAATCCAAGGTATTGGAGCTGCTATGACTGTGCCTTCAGCGATTGGAATTATCAGTTCCTACTTCAGTGGTGTTGATCGTACCCGAGCCCTCTCCATCTATGGGGCCTCGGGAACTCTGGGGTTCTGCACCGGGCTCATATTTGGTGGCTTCCTCACCTCATCCTTGGGATGGAGATATATATTCTATCTGATTGTTATCATTACCGGTGCACTGGGAATCTTGGGTTTTATTGTTCTGCCCAGTGATTTACCATCGCAGAAACAACACGAAAGGATGGACTACTTTGGTGCCTTGATGTCTACTGCCGGTCTGATCCTTCTTCAGTTTGTGCTGTCTAGTGGCGGTACTTACGGCTGGGATCAGCCATTTATTATTGTTCTATTGCTTCTGGCCATTGGCTTGCTGGTTGGGTTTACTTTCCTTGAGAAGTACATCAGCAACCCGATCATGCCGTTGTCCCTGTGGAAGGTTCGCAATTTCGCGGGTCTTTGGATTGCAGGTTTTGGTAGGTATTTCTATCATCTGTTTCATGCTATGAACAATACTAACAAGACCAGCTGGTTATGGTACCTATCAGAACGTCATCTACTATATCGTCTTGATGGCCCAGCAAGTGGACGACCTCTCTGCTGGAGATACCGCCCTCCGCTTTTTACCCATGGGAGCAATTGGATTCATCGTCTCTTTGGGGACAGGAAAATTGCTTGAATACATGAATGGGAAGCACCTTCTCATCGTTGGACTGGCTCTAGCTGTGGTCGCTCCCATCCCGAGTTGTATCACTTCGAGTCCAGAGACAAGCTTTTGGGTCAATGTTCTTCCTACATCATTGATCAGCATCTCCGCTGTCTCTTTCATCTTTGTTACGACCAGTACGGTGGTGTTGACCAGTGTGCCCGTTGAGGTCAAGAGTTTGGCTGGTGGAATGGTGGGTTTATCCGGCGCTATCCTCAATCTCAAACTATACTGACCGATCTAATTCAGCTGAACACTGCATTCCAGATAGGCTCTGGTGTCGCTCTGGCTATCTCTGCTGCAGTAACTGAAGCTGTCGATATTTCCAAGGGACAGAGCCTTGCAAGACAATACTCCACGGGCCTTTGGTGTTCTGCCGGACTTGCCGGCGTTGGACTAGTTGTTAGTGTTTTCGCGGTTCGGCAAAAAGGAATTGGACCCAAGGATCGATTGGGGGGCCCGGTGGCCCTGTGATTTGGTTCGGATCATTGGTTTATTTATTTGCATTGACTATAGAGATTTCGGCATGATTGGACTACACTATGATGGGCAAGGCTTTTACATATTTGGAGGTACAGAAGGATACATAGAAGCGTCGGGCAAATAATAATGTTTAATATTTCGGTCTTAATATACTTCTAGACTTTTAAAGGAGTAAAAAAACCCTGAGTGTGTAGGCCCACTGGGAAATTCTTCGGCCCATGGATAATGCTCAACGACGGTCTCATTTTTCGGATTCAGATTGCGAGGAGAGACGTACTATAGTTCCCCTGCAGCTATATACAGTTGCTAAAATGTCCAAGAAAACCAACGCTCGTACTACCCTCGGTTAGGACTGGCCGTCCCCAATCACGAGAATATTGAGCCCTGAGAAACCCATCATGCTTAGAGTCAGCGGCATCATATGGCACACTCTCACTCTCCGCCCCAATCGTATCGATCGGCAGCTGCGCCAAGGTAAGGCGGCCTGTCGCCAAGACCAACAGTTGCAACTCTTATTCATCAGAGTCGGATTGAATGACTATCACGTGGCAAAATATGGGCTGGAAACAAATTAAGTGGCCAATGTTAGGAAGAAAAGGAACCAAAAATCAATCTCGGGAATAGCACATTATTTCAACGCCTAAATACAAATTCCGTTTCAGATTTCCAGATCCTTTTCGGGTTGCGGTTCAAATTCAAAGAAATGCCTGTAGGTATACGATGGGGCTAGTGAGCGGGACGTTGCACGAGTCAGGCCCAAACAGGACATTCCCTTCCCCTGCTTCCCTTGCAGATCACACCCACCTCCCCTGCGTCGAGAATGCTCGTCCAACAGGCCAGGGTCGCCTCCATGAGGCACCGCCATCATTCTCTTGGCTGGATGCTCCTCCCTTATTACTGCGTGCCCCCGCAATCCGCTCCTTGAGTTCTTTTGTTTACACCTGTGCCGCACTCTTCGCGAGAACGCCGAGGACGAGACATATTATTTTTCCCGTCCTTATCCACTCTTTACCGCGTCCTCAGCATAACCATGCGCGTCTCTCCGCTATCTCTCTCTCTATCGGCCCTGGCCTTGGTTGGGCCCGCTCTCGCAGTTCCCCATAGCGGCCAGGCGGAGAGTGTGCGCAACCAGTCGTCCAGCCAAGGCAGGGCCGCCGCGGTCAAGGAAGCTTTCCAGCATGCCTGGACTGGATATATGAAATACGCATTTCCTCATGATGAGTTACACCCGGTCAGCAATGGCTACGGTGATTCCAGGTGAGCGTTGCCTCAATTGTGCTAGACGCGATTGAAACTAATGCCGATTATAGAAACGGATGGGGAGCTTCGGCTGTCGATGCCTTGTCCACTGCCATCGTGATGGGCGACAAGCAGGCCGTGGATCAGATCCTCGAGCATATTACCAAAATTAACTACCACTATACCCCTGACACGGTCAGCCTATTTGAGACGACCATTCGCTACCTCGCTGGCATGCTGTCCGGCTATGATTTGCTCAAAGGCCCTGCCTCGGGCCTAGCCAGCAACCCCAAGCTTGTCGATGCGCTGCTGTCCCAGTCGAAGAATTTGGCGGATGTGCTCAAGTTCGCATTTGATACCCCGTCGGGTGTTCCGTACAACGACATCAACATCACCTCGCATGGTAACGACGGCTCCACCACTAATGGCCTTGCGGTGACCGGAACGCTCGTGATGGAGTGGACGCGCCTCTCCGACCTCACGGGCGATGACCAGTACGCCAACATAAGTCAGAAGGCCGAGTCCTACTTGTTGAATCCACAGCCGTCTTCTGCTGAACCGTTCCCCGGCCTCGTAGGCAGCTATATCAACATTTCGAACGGCGAATTTGCCGACGGATCTGTGACTTGGAACGGCGGGGACGACTCATTCTATGAGTACTTGATCAAGATGTACGTGTACGATCCCAAGCGGTTTGAGACCTACAAGGACCGCTGGGTATTGGCGGCGGAGTCGACAATCAAACACCTGCAGTCGCATCCCAAGTCTCGCCCGGACCTGACCTGGCTGTCCTCATACAACAACGGCAATTTCGATCTCAGCTCGCAGCACCTTACCTGCTTTGATGGCGGCAGTTTCCTGCTGGGCGGTACCGTTCTCGGTCGCCAGGATTTCATCGATTTCGGCTTGACTTTGGTGAACGGCTGCGAAGACACATACAACCAGACACTGACCGGAATTGGCCCGGATTCATGGGGCTGGGACCCGAATTCTGTGCCGAGCAGCCAGAAGGCGTTCTATGAGCGTGCTGGCTACTACATCAGCAGCGGCATGTATGATCTTCGGCCCGAAGTGATTGAGAGCTTCTACTATGCCTACCGTGTCACAGGCAAGCAGATTGTAAGTATTGACCACACTGTATGACTGGATAACGCTAATGGTCTGCCAGTATGCCGACTGGGTATGGAATGCTTTCAAGGCAATCAATGCCACCTGCCGCACCGACTCCGGCTTTGCGGCAGTGAGCAACGTCAACGCGCCCGGTGGTGGTTCCAAGTACGACAACCAGGAGAGCTTCCTGTATGCCGAGGTGATGAAATACTCATACCTTACATTTGCAGAGGGTATGTCAATTTCATGCAGTCAGAAAACTCATACTGATAGCCTTTAGACGCCCCATGGCAGGTCAAGACCGGTGGCGACAACACCTTTGTCTTCAACACCGAAGCACACCCGCTGCGTGTCTCGCACACTTGATTTGGCGTTTTGTGCAAATTCCTAAAGCCTGTGCGTATCAGTACATAGCGTGTCCAGAGCTAGAGCGTATTCTTAGCATTAGATCAATGGACATATTTTCCCTCGAATCTCATTTGTTGGATTGTAGTGGGTTCATTCGTAATAGACACGAGGCTGGGATGATCTCAACTCCCTTGTCTGGTTTCAGATCTCACGTGCTGTCCCCCTAGCAGCTGCCGTGTCCATGCAGCTGGGGTTTATGCTGTTGCAGTTGGGCATGCATTTTGCATGGCAGAATGTCTCAGCCAGATCCACACAACATAATAGATGGCTGGGGATTACTGGAACGAACTTCCTGTCAATCACTAGTCTTAGTTACAAATTTTTTATAATCATCGATTGGATACCTTATTGTCTTGTCCTTTATCCAACTAGCCACAAAAAGAGTCCTTAGAAACATAACTCAATAATGAAACCATAACCAATAACGAGACACTGGAGATTCTATGATATATATCTAGCAGTCTATATCGTCTAACAGACTCACCCTTGCTCACCACACCCGGAATGCTTACTGTTGAGCTTTCGCCCAAGCAGTTGGCCAGACAAGCACAGTGCTCACCAGCATTGCCATTCCAATTCCCAGCGTCTCGAGGGGAATCCATCCCAGGAAAGACCCAGGAAGTGTCAGATCCAAACTGTCAATGACAATCCGGTTCAGTAGGGATATAGTCGATAGAGCTGGTTTCGAGGGAGTAATTTCCTTGGCCTTTTTCTTTTTCTTTTCATCTGTACCTGAAGATCCACTTGCAGTGCTTGGTCCCGCTGAACCAAGCACGAGCTCCTTGGATGTCCTTGCGATTGATATGCAGATAGCATAGAACCAAAACTTGTTGGCTTCGAGCAGGATGGGCATGTACCAGGAGACCAAGTAGATATTCATGTCATGCAGCTATTATAGTCTCAAGTTAGCATTGTATACCAACGACTGTTTGGGATTTGAAGGAATAGTTACCATAGTCAAGTCCTCTAAAAGAAAATAAAGCCCTAGGCAGCTGGATTCTACCACCTCTAGCATCATCATCATGGTTCCGGCCGAAGAACCTCCGGCCAGGAGGTCTTGGACATTCTGGAAAAAATCCAGAAAACAGAAGAACCGGAGATACCGCCTCGCTGGATGGTATCAGTACCCAAGTCGCAAACACTTATCCAGGGATACCGAGGGCAGGCGATAAACTAACCGAGTGCTAGCTGGGACGCCGCTATCGCACACTTTGTGACAGTAGTATTATCAAGATTCAGCTCTGCCCCAATCAGAACGAGAGCATGGATTAGGCGTAGAGTCAAATCGAGGCCGGCGGTCGAATTGGTGAAATTGGCCAGTTGTTTGGAGAGTGACGCCGTCGAACGGGCTGGATAAGTGTGGGCCATTATCTGGACAGCCCTTGGTAATTTTTTGTGGAGACGGTGATATGAAGGAGCTGTTGGTTAAAGGTGGCTTGTCTACAGGGATATATCTTTATCTTGTTCGGATCCAAGAAAGTGCGCGCCGAAGCATTCTTGGAACCCTAACCCTAACCTAATGTGGTTTCCCGCGGAAAGTCAGTACGATATCTAACACGAATCGCTAGTACAATATCTTACAGATCGGCGCTATACGATGTCAGAATTGTGGGGTTCACGAAGGAGGCGCCCAGTGGGCAATATGATTCGCCAAGATGGATACGGCGCATCTTCCTCCGGTTTAACATGATGCGGGGATTCGAGATAACTGCCGGATAAGAAGTTGGCACAGACGATAGCAAATTCGTGCATTCCTATAATAAGAGGATTCCTCGGATCCTTTTCCCCCTTACGAGCAAGCAATGCCAGCGTGACCAGTGCATAACATCTCTGTTCCTGAAACAGAATTGAAGCTATGGAATCTCCTGCGTATCCCGACAAGGTCGGTGGCCCGACCAACACCTTCGACGCGAAGGATCGTGACCCAAGTCTAGATGGAAAAGGCGAAGAGGCTTTGCCTGCTGAGCTCATCTCCGCTGGCTCGGAGCACTTACACAGAAGACTAGGAGGGAAGGAGATACAGCTGCTTGCAGTTGGTGGCGCAATTGGAACATGTACGCAGCAAGTAACCTGAGGTTAGATGAGAATCAAGCTGATTTGTTTGCTCCTTTACAGCTTTGTTTGTGCAAATGGGAGCTACTCTCCCGAAGGGTGGCCCTGCAGGGCTCTTTTTAGGATTTATTGCATATGGCTCAATTATTTTTTCTGTCAATCAATGCTTCGGTACGTTCGTGTCCACTTTGATTCCTCCTCTATTTTTGGAATTATAACCATGCTAACAAAGCCATACTCCGCAGCCGAAATGGTCACATATCTCCCCATCGCGTCGCCATTTATTCGATTAGGCGGATTCTGGGTTGATGACGCCTGGGGCTTTGCGTTGGGTTGGAATTACTTTTTCCTTATGGGTATGTGGTACTCAAGTCTTTTCAGCAACTCCCATGATTAGTTGCATTTGTCTGACTTTTCTATTTATCATCTCCACTACAGCCTTCGCTATCCCATACGAGATCACGGCAATCAATGTGCTCCTTACCTTCTGGACAGACAAGATTCCTGTCGCGGCAGTTGTGGTGATTTGTTTAGTGATATATGCGTGCGTTCCCCAAAAAGCCGAGCCAAACCTGGATTAACAGGAACTAACTAACTTATGATTGAAGTGGGCTCAATGGACTTGCAGTCCGGTACTTTGGAACAGCCGAGTTCTACCTGGCCATTTTTAAGATTTTCCTCATGATTGGACTCATTTTCTATACATTTGTCACCATGGTCGGTGGGAATCCAGAACATGACGCCTACGGTTTTCGCTATTGGAACAAGCCTGTAAGTGGACAACATCCATCCTTTCTCTCAATGGACTAATTAAACGCTTCTAGGGTGCATTTGTCGAGTACCTTGCACCTGGGAACACGGGACGGTTTCTGGGAGTACTTTCATGCATGATCCAAGGTTCTTTTACGTGAGTATATTACTGTAATCATTGAGTACCATTTGACTGATTTAATTATGCAGCATGGTTGGCCCAGAGTATATTTCCATGACAGCCGGTGAAGCAGAAAATCCTCGTAAACTGATGCACCGAGCTTTCTCTTCATTTGTCTGGCGTCTTTTGTTTTTCTTTATTGGAGGCGCTCTCTGTGTGGGGATCGTTATTCCGTATGATGACAAGCTCCTGACCTCCTATCTCTCTGGAAGCAAATCCGGAACTGGAGCTGCGTACGTTTATCCTCCTTCCCTTCTCCAACTTCCAGAATACTAACTTGGAGAATTAGATCTCCCTACGTCATCTCTATGGTCGAATTTGGAATCAGAGGCCTTCCTTCCTTGGTCAATGCCTTGATTATGACATCTGTTCTTTCCTGCGGAAACAACGTTGTATTCTCTTCTATCCGTACACTGCATGGTTTGGCAGTCGACGGGAAGGCCCCGGGTTTTCTTGCAAAAGTCAACAAGCATGGTATTCCGTACTACGCAGTCATTACATCTCTGGCCTTTTGCCTTCTCGCCTTCCTGCAGCTCAGCAAGTCGTCTTCCACGGTCCTTGACTGGCTCGTTGGTATTTGCACCGCGTCCTATCTGATCAATTACTTCGGAACCATCGTGACTTATCTACACTTTTATGCCGCCCTTCGCAAACAAGGGATCGACCGAAAAACACTGCCATACCAAGGAGTACTCCAGCCATATCTGGCCTGGTACGCATTGTTTGGTACGTTCATAATGACTCTGATAATCGGCTATACCGTTTTTATCAATGGTGAGTGGGATACTACGTCTTTTGTGACGAGTTACTTGATGGTTGGCTTCTTCCCTGTTGCGTACCTGTTCTGGAAGATCATCAAGCGCACGCGTTACGTTCGGCCAGGGGACGCGGATCTTAAACTTGGTAATGTCAAAGATGACATTGACCTATACGAAGCGCTTTATGAGGCGCCAAAGAGGGGGAAAATCTCCGGTTGGCTCAACAGTTTCTTCGAGTAACATAATGGTTACTATTTGCATTGGATTAGTTAGCAATTGGTCTTAGATATACTGGGATTTGCTTTCGATTTATCATAGCTATAGTCATCTTGATAAATAGAATCATTGGATGAACAATGGGGGAATATGCTTGCCATATTGCACGGAGATCTAGTGTAATATATTTAAAAGAGCTAAGAGACGGATAGAAATTCTAGTTTTAGTATAACAGCCAAGACGCTGCTAAGACTAAGTTGCATTTGACTACGACTTCCAACATATCTCGAAACAATATGAATAAGTGCAAGGTGAATTGATTTCCTCTATTTAAAGTCAACAGCATCATCTGCGTTTAGGATTAAACTCGCGAAAAAGAGCGGTTCCCTTACAAATTCCTCTGCTCTAATAAACTCATCTGTAGTATGCGCTCGGTTCAAATTCTCGACCAAGTTCACAGGCGTGAATCTGTAAATATTTTTGGTTAAAGCCCAGTAGAACTTGGTATCGGTGTTGGCTGGCATTAGGTAGGGAGTGACAATAAGTTCATCATCTGGGTCTATTGGCTTCAGAACATTTTTAATGGTCCCGGACAAAATTCGGAAAGATTCAGCTTCAACTGGCGAGACGGGAGCTGGCTCCAAGGCATCAACTCCAAATAGACAAATTTTTCGTTTTTCTGGAGAATGACACGGGGATTGAAAGCCTTCCAAGACCATACCATGCTTTTTTGCAATGGGTCTAATGAGACTCTCATAGTGCTCTTCAACCTGGGAGACGGATGTTTCCACTGCTAGCCGCAAGTTGATCAATGTCGATGCGGATTCGGGGATTGCATTGATTTTGATACCACCATTGATCTTTCCAACAGACTGGCTTGTCCTGAAATAATATCTCATATTATCCAGTGTTTGGGCCAATTTATGTTGAGCCGAACCATCGCCGTGAGCCACCTTGCTCAATTTGTCCCTGACCGAAATGGGGAAACTGGATTCCGGAGCATGCGCAGCAGCGCACTCCAAAAAGCCGAACATTGGATTCTTGGTGGTCACTTTTCCAGGGAATGCGTGATTTTCAATTGCCACCAGAATTTCCGATAGGATGCCAATGACATTGTGATCGGGCGGATTGCTTGCATGGCCACCGGTAGAAGTGACATTAATCCCGACATCGAGATAGCCCTTTTCCGCGACCGAGACCATAGCAAATGATTGATCAAATTCCTTGTGAATACCCATGGATCCCTCGTCCATGATCAAGAAGATACCGTCGTCACCATATCGATCATGAAGGAAATTCGAAATAGGCCTTGCGCAATTCTCTCCGCTGATTTCCTCGTCGCAACCAAAAGCCAATATAACCGTTCGTTTTGGTTTAAACCCGCTCTTGATCAACAGATCCAAGCTCTCAATGATGGAAATAAGATAGCCCTTGTCATCAGTCGCACCACGGCCCCAGATAATCTCACCATCGTAGTGGCCCTCATATGGCGGATGGGTCCAGTCTTTGACATTCTCAGCCAGTACTGGAACCACATCTTGGTGTGCAAGCATGAGAATTGGCTTGGCCTTTGAGGCTGGAACGCTGCCTTCCCATGTCAGGATCAAGCCGTGCGTATTGGCATGATCCAGCTTGACGTTCTGGAGGACAGTTGGGTAGTTGGATTGGATGTAATCCTCCATTTGGTAAAATATATCCCATCTTTTGTCTTCGCCGATGGGCCCTAGCTCGTCATAACTTTCAGATGGAATTCGAATCATGCCAGAAAGCTTGTTGATGATTTCTCGGTGATATTCCGGTGATTCTACCTTTTCTCGAACATATTGTTCAGCTTTGGTGTTCTTTGGCGATAGCTTCGGCACCTGCTGGCATATGCCAGATCCATTTCCCGGGGCATATTTGTCCAATCCAAATGGGCCAACAAGCTTGAGCGGCTTGTCGAGGATTGCGACAAGCGCTGATACCAGACCAAATGCAAGTGCACCACGAATCAACCAAGAAATGGTGGTGACCTTATCTATTTGCTGATTGGTTTGCTTTTTCATACTTGGAAATGTTGATAGCCAAAGAAAATAGAAGGGAAATAGGAAAGGGACACTAAAGTTCAACAAGGGGGCTTGACTCGTGTCCCGGCAATTGATTTATAAGCCGGTCCAGATATTAGTTAGTTAGTTACAGGGCGAACAGATATCTATTAACCTCCACATACTCGTTTGGAATACTTTTAGTCAATGGGAAACAAACACAATCATTTTTCGGTCATTGCGGCTTGTGGAGCCTTTTACGAAGGACAAGGTTTCAAATACTGCGCGATCAGATCCAGTCATCCCTCTCCTAGAACTGTCATTTACATGATCTCTCCGTTTGCCCGATTTTTAACTCTAAGCTTGAAGTCTAGGCCATTCATTCTGTTGCTTCTGGCTGATAGCCCGGTGGGTATGTCTGGGTGATGGGGAGATAGAGGGCTGAAACTCGGGCCATGATCCGACCCAAAAGCCTGCGGGGAAGCAGGAATGATACGAACACTAAATTGGTATTTTTTACCTGAGCTTCCAAATTAGGCTTAGATTAGACCTAGCGTCCAAGCTTATCAGTATTATTACATGCCCCAAAAGCAGCGTGAACATAGTAGCCGGCACCGTAACTCCGGATGATTGACAAAATAAGTGACAAGATAGGCGATATGATTCCGCGGGAAAGATTGGTTTATTTCCTGTAATACAAGAAAGGAGCAGTTGATTCGAGTCCACATTTTCAACCCCAAAATTGAACCCATTGTGATGATGTGGCCATTTCATAGATCGCAGTCATGTCCGATATGCCACCTGCTTAGCAAGACCCCGCTGTGGGGCAGTGTATGTAATTCTCTAGGTGTCATCGCCAGCCATCCAGATTTTTCCTTCTTCAAAATCGACCATACTGATAGACTGAACGAGTCCGCACGTATCCAAACTTGCAAAAATGGCGGATTCTAAGCTATCACGAGCTGCCAATGAATTCCGAAGTGACACTTTCACCACCCCAACACCGAGCATGCTGGAAGCCATGGCAAACGCTACTATGGGCGACGATGTCTATGAAGAAGATAGTACCACAACCGAATTCCAGAGAGAAATTGCTCGATTGACCGGAATGGAGGACGCTATTTTCATGCTGTCAGGGACTATGGGAAATCAAATTGGAGTCCGAGTCCATCTTAACCAGCCTCCGCATTCTGTGCTGTGTGACTACCGCGCCCACGTGTACGCTGAAGAGGGGTCTGGATTGGCGGTATTGTCTCAGGCAATGGTTACTCCAGTTCATCCCGCAAATGGCATATACTTGACCTTGGATGATGTCAAGAAGTGGGTCACGCTGGGTGATGATATTCATACTGCGCCGACAAAAGTTATCAGTCTCGAATTGACAATCGGAGGAGTGTTGACTCCGATGGAAGAGATTCAAAAAATTTCCGAATTCGCACATGCCAATAATATCAAGATTCACTGCGATGGCGCTCGCCTGTGGAATGCATCTGCGGCCTCTGGCTATTCGCTAGCCGACTACTGCAAATACTTTGACACTGTTTCAATGTGCGTTTCGAAGGGACTTGGTGCACCGGTTGGTGGAGTCCTTGCAAGCACTAAATCGAACATCAAACAAGCTAGATGGTTGAGAAAACAACAGGGGGGTGGTATTCGTCAGGCTGGCGTTCTGACATCTGCTGCTATGGTGGCACTGAAAGAAGTCTGGCCAACTATGAAGCAAACCCACGAAAAAGCAAAGAAATTGGAAACCGACTTGGCAGCATTGGGCGTTGTACCTCAGATTCCGGTTGACACCAATTTCTTTTTCATTGACGCCGGGAGATCGAAAATTGATATGGGGGTATTGTTGGAGCAATGCAAAAAGTTCGATGTGAAGTTGATGGATGAGCGAATCGCTTTGCATCATCAAATTAGCGACAAGGCAATTGAGAACCTCAAAGCTGCGATCGCGGAAGCCGTGAGAATCACGAAAGATTTGCCACCAGGTTATGTCTCCCAAGTCCAGCCAGCTGGATATGGTAGCACTTCGAAGATGAACGAGTATAGCTAGATGAGAGTTCTCTGCATAGGGTGCCACCATATCAAAAGTTGCAGATACATTGATGATCTTTATCTTTGCTTCTTGTATTTTGAATGATATATCTGTTCTTTTTCTCCGTTCTCTTACTTTTGCAGACTATTAAGAACTCGAGAGAGAAAATCTGTATCCTACCATTGTGACCTTTAATAGCTCTGAATCAGGTTGTTTGCAAGACACTGCTGCCTGTGGATGGACCATTACTAAAGAGGGTAATTCCAAGAGGACCCAGATAAATTAAAATTTCTGTAATAGATAGGAGCCAAGCTAAGGATAAACTAGTACAGACTAAGATCCAAGGGGATATCGAGGCAGATGTTTACGAGCTTTGGGTTGGATCACCAACTGCAGCAGCTGGCGTGTAGTCGCTAAAATCGTATTCAACGTCGTAGTCTTCTTCATCAACGTCTCCATCGCTCATTTCGACATCTTGAAGATTCTCGCCATTGTCAATTTCGTCAGCAGTGAATCCGTAGTCTTCCTTACGAAGCTTCTTCCAAGCTGCAATTGTCTGTCTTCGAGTGAGACAGAAAGGCAATTTGGACAAGGGAACACATCCATCTTGAGTAACCTCGACTGTTTGGCCAACAGAGCTAGCAGTGTCGGTAGCTTTGTCCATCAGAATAATATGAATGAAGAAAATCATGCCAGGCTTGGCCACAACATTCTGACCGCGCACAAACATCGGGAAGTCCATCCAGGTCGGCGAGAAAGTGGCACCTAGACTATACCCACAGCTGTTGAAACGTTGGTCTCGAAAGCCATTCTCGTCTGCAGCTCGAGCATAAGCTTCGAAGACATCGCCGATCTCTCGACCTGGTTTGAGGGCCTCCATGGCTGCCTCCATTTGAAGAACATTGATTCTATGCATTTCTCGCGCAAGCTTGGTGATGCCGCCAATTGGAATAGTTCGCATCAGACAGGCGTGGTAATGCTTATAAGAAGCAGCATGCTCGAGCGTAAGCTGGCGATCGATCTTGTCCTTTCCAGTCGAATATCGAGTCAGAACGGCTTTGTTGCCGGAGACAAGGATGTTTTCATTGGCAGGATCGTCACCACCACCTTCATAGACGGTGCCAACAATCTCTCGCCACAGATCGCCTTCATAGGCACCCGGCTTGGCCAACTTGAGCGTGCGAACGAGGGCGAAATCGGCGAGATAAGCGGCTTTTCGAACCTTGCGCATTTCGGCCTCGGTTTTGACAATTCGTAGCTCTCGGGTAAACAGGTCGCTATGATCTACCAGAGTGCAAATACCTTCCACCGCTTGTTCTAGGGCCTTACCCAGGCGATGGGTCAACGAACAAGAGTCTGGTTCATAGCCGATTCGCTTGGACGGGGAATCAATGCCGAAATCCGTCAGGACCTTTGGAACCAATGAAACAGGATTACTTCCAGCATCATCAGATCGAATAAGGACATCCTTCTGCTCCAGAACCGAGGTGTAAAGCGCCTGGCGCAAATCGGGAATTCGAGTAATCAACTTCATAGAGCCATCGCTGTGGAAGTACATGGCTTGGAAAAAAACATAGCCGAAAGTGTCGAAGCCAGTGAAATAGTACAGCGACTCCTGCTTGGTCATTAGGAAGCCATCGAGTTTCTCCCGTTTCATGAGTTCCAATGCCCGGTTCCGTCGCTCTTGAAACTCAGCTTCACTGAAGTAGAGAGCTTTCTTGAAGGGCTGGGCTTTCTTCATAGTGGCCATTGTGTTCAATTCGAGATGGGAAGAGAAGTCGTGTTCTAATTCGCTTTGGCTTTCTTGGAAAGAACAGCGAACAAAAACAGCCCTTTATATTTAGGTGCAACTCCTACGATTGGCACACGTTGGCAGGCAACCCATCGGTTGGACCTGAGTATTGCTTTGAAAAAGTTACATGCACATGTATTGTTATGATTGGAGTGCTAGCGCAATACCGAGTTCAGCCCCCGTTATCGGTTCCATCGGTTTGTTTTTCCACAGGTAATAATCATGCCGATTGGGTGGTGAAAGTGATTGACAGATGCACAAGCGTGGATCCATGGATCCATGCGGGGTTAAGACTCCAGAACACGAGGTACATAACACGATCCTGGCTACATAACACGAGCTGATAACAATAGCGGGGCCATATACAATACTAGGAGTTTCCCGAGGAAAACACAGATGATATACCCAGTCTAGAAGTCCGGACCAGCATAGATCATTTGATCCTTATCATGTACTCGACGCGTCCGATCCCACGAAACTTCCTGTCGTCCGTCAGGTAGTCTGGGCTGCCCCTGACTTGAAGCAGGGTCGAAAAAATTCCCAAGAAACTATAGAATTCAGTTTATGCCTGCAATTCCAAAGCTTGAATGAACAAGTAATAGCTTGCTTTCTACACTGGCTCTATCAACTTTTGCTATGTGGACTATCTTTGTTGCTCTGTTGCTCTATCATATATTTCGCGTTCTTGGTTTTAGTCCGCTAGCACAAATTCCAGACCCTGAGCCCTTCTCATTGACAAGCTGAGGCCCGCGAAGGAGGACTATCGAGGTCCACTCATACGGACAATTTATTGCCTCCATAAAGAATACGGCCCGCCCGTTCGCGTGAGTCCTAATGAGATCTCTAATCGATTTGAGTTTCAGTCACAGTGGTGTAAAAGAGGAATATCTGATTTAACGAGATCTGTGTCGACTAAAGGTGATTCCTCTAAGAGGTGCGTGTCCGTGATAGCTATTTCCCGCGAGCAATACTACCTATGGTAGTTATAGAGATTGGGATGTAGTGAAAGCCAAAAAGGTTGGCCGGCATCTTGTGACCATATGGATGAATTCCAGCAGCAAAGCTATAATACTATAGAGGTTGTGTTTGTAGATATTAAGCCGCACTAGGTTATGTTCCTGCGTAGACAAGGTCATGCGGGAGGTGAGACGACACTTGCTAGAATAGCTTCTTGAGATTTAGTCAATACCGTACTGAATATGCAGAGGAGTGGCTGTATTCTAAAGCACATGTAGTTAGTTATCCTGAGAAAGAGCTGCTGTCTTTGTTGGGGGCTACATGTTGCAGGTTGATTAATCTGCGGTTTGGGGAGAAATGATATTGTTTAGTCTGCTTGCCACCTTATCTACTGCCGTAGTATGTACTATTAAAATGGGAAGCCTTGGAGGTATATAGTGGGCAGCCTTGCTAGGACCTTAGCAATAGTGAAATTCTTATAGGGACTTTAAAGAGGTCGCACGATGCGGTATCTATTGACAATTAAGTCTAATCTACATACTAAGATAGAAAAGAAAGGTTTGCCCAGGTGCTTAGCGTATATTTGAGTAGTAGGATAATTTCACAGATCCGAGGAGTCATACTCTGGAAGTGCATCAAAATCGCATTCTAAAATGCTTCTGGTTATCATCACTAATTCCTTCTTAGCGTGCTCCTCCGAGATGCGCATTTTACCCCTCTTCTGTTCCCAGGTGATAGCTTTGATCTTCACACTACTACTACCACTGCCACTGTCGCCTGCCCTCACAACAAGTATATAGTGTTCTAAGCCCGTAGCGCTTCGAGCAAGGTGGACAAAGATACTACCGCTCCCACTCTGATCCTTAACTGAGACGTGCCATTTATCATCTTGATCCTGAGGTTCGAAACCGGCTTTAAGCTTCTCAAAGTCCGCGTCGCTAATGCTTAGACCCCATAGTGCTGTAGCAGGCTCCTGCATAGCGTGTATGTAATCTGTGATCTGTGATTTGTTTTATACGTGAGTATAGAAACGCCTAGATGGAGTTCTGAAGTTGGCACGTACCTCTGAGTGCTGTAGAAACTGGTTCTGCTTAGAAATTATTGAGATAGGAGAAAATAGAGGACGCCGTATACAAAGTATTGTTCGTGTTGTGGCTTGCTTATCTGCAGCAGGGCAGCTGAACTCGGGCAGCAACCATGTGTGTTTATATTAATACTGATTGCCTTCCGATTCCTTGGCGGAGTGAGCCTCTAGACCCCAACCTCAGAGTGAGGTGAACACCCTGCCCCCAAACCCAACCCCGCTATGGTGGGTATGCTAGATTATAATTTTAGAAGTGTAATGATATGTGCACTAAGTACTTATACTAGTATTTCCTTAATTAGCATTTCACAATTTAGCTGTAGAACGGAGACTCAAATACGGCACTAACCGAATCTGGATTGGTGGCGCACGTGATAATGGTTTGAAAGAGCTTCTCTACGTTGTCCGACATAGAAGGCGATAGCGTTCGCCACTGTACAGCATTTCCATGCGATTTCAGAAAGATAATATATCATTGTCAGAATGTAAGCATCTTAATCAAGGAGCCAAAACTGCCTCAAAAGAAGTCCTTTGGTCAATTGGGGTTGCTTGATCCACTCGACCCACATGCGCAGATTTGAGCGAGAACCCCACAGATCCACCCGGATCAACGAGAATATCTGCTCGATCCCACTCACCAGACACCTTGGGAGATACCGAGAACCTTGGTGGTGGGGGTATTGTTACCTATATAGCTGAGAGGTACAGACTTCAGGATTTTGACCTCAATTTGCACAGCTGAACATTAATTGTTTTATATACACACTTCATTCTCTCTTTGAAATTCATGATACCCTATCTGCTTGCTGCATATTTCTAGCGATATAATTTGCCATGTGCGGGGGTGAAACCGGTCGACCAAGCTTTGGAGGCACGATCGCTGTGCTATTCCCTCAAGAGAATGACCTAAATTCGAGTATCTCATCCGAGGCGTCGTTACCCTCCTCACCAAACTCGGTTGTCTCTTCAGCTTCGACTTCTTCATCAACCTCATATATATCCTCATATTCTCTTTTCTTCCGGGACACTGATAGAGTGCGTCAAACAACCAAGGCGATCTTTCAGACAAACGATGCAAACACCTACAATGCACTTCGGGGATGCAAATATCTTGACATGAGGATAGAGTAAGTTACTCTCGTTATTATAGAAAAAAAAAATGGCTCATGCGTGCAAATAGAAAATATGGAGATCTATCGATGGCCACGTCTGCTTCGCCTCCGCTTCACCATTTCCGATTGGATGTCGCCCAGGATGAGGCTCACCAAAGCCCCAACTCTCAGGCTCAATTGGAATTCAAGCTTCCGCAGTGGCTGGATCTGGGTGTCTCGGAGAAAGGCGTTGTTGGCCGACAGGTCACCGTAAGAGAGGAAGGAGGTGCAGTTTTGGGTGTTGGAGTGGTTGGATATAACTGATCGGATTCGAGCCTCTCATCACTACTACATGGAGTTTTCAAAAGCGCGGTAAATACTTAAGCATATCCATAAATTTGGAAAGGCCCGTAAGATTCAATATTGTGATCTTGCAATAGACTCAGAAGCACCAAATACTCTTAGAGCTTGAGCAAGCTTTCCACACCAGCCGTGTAGCGCTTTTCAGCTTCTGCCCAGTTAATGATATTCCAGATACCATCAACATATCCGGCTTTGTTGTTGAGATACTTGATATCGATTTCTGTCAGCGTATTGGAACATAGATAGGGGGCCTACATGCTCACCTGGAGATAATACGCATGTTCCCACATGTCTACGCCGAATACGGGCACAGCAGGCCCAACAATCGGGTCCTGATCCTTGGTCGTGGTAATTTCCAGTCTTCCACGAGGACCTCCGGTGCTCACCAGCCAGCCCCATCCACTGCCCTGGAGACTAAGCAACTGGGTGTTGAAGGCCTGAATAAAGGCAGACTCTGAGCCCCATTGCGAGACAACAGCTTCACGAAGCGTCGGTGCCGCACTTGAAATATCATTTCCCGGCGTGTTAGGCGGAGCCAGATTTTTCCAGAACAAGGAGTGGTTTATGTGACCGCCGCCATTAAAACGAATCTTTTGCTGCAGGCTGATCAGAGCTGAGACATCGTTGGCCTGGGTGGCCGAGATATGAGCCGAGAGTGCCGCATTGAGGTTATTCACGTAGGTTTGATGATGCTTCTGATGATGAAGCTCCATTATCTGCTTGGAGATGATGGGTTCTAAGGCCTATGGACATATGAGCGAGCACTGTGATGGAAGATCAGACATACTAACATCGTAGGCATAGGGAAGGGATGGAAGAGTGTGGGATTGTGAGGCCATGACGATCTTTTACACGCAAAGAGAGCTTGAGGTGGAATGAAACCGGTGAATAGCACTATATATTCTTGTCCACAAGGTCCTTTTACGTTAGAGAGGAGGTAGGTCTATTCCCTACAAAGCCCGGCTAGTACATTCTGAACGCTAATCATCCCCTAACAAATTGGCCACCAAGGTTGATACCCACTCTGGATGAGCACATTTGAGCGGAAATCTGGAGCACAGTGCATGTTGAGCCCTGATGCGTGATATTGAGCAGATTTTCGACTCCTGAATCCATGGAGATAGTTGTGTCCCGATATATAGATTTTGAGAGTCGGAATCAAATAGTAAGTGGCAATGATTGCAATTAGTTTCCTTAATTGGAGGCTAATGACCCTTTTTTCGTCAATATCCTTGTTCCACTGTTCTCTCGAGCGAGAGTGGCTCTACTAGCTCGACAAGGACCTCATTCCATTTAATTCGAAAGGAATAAAAACACCAAAAATACTCCAATCAGGTAGTTTTTATAAACGAAGCAACAAGTTGCTGATCGGAAGAGATGCCCGTTCCCGTTGGCGGCAGTCGGAAGGGGCTCATGGCGAAATTGTCCACCTTCCACCTACAGATCATTCAAAAATAACGCGGTCCTGTCGATTTCAGGGGATAACCACCATTTTGAGGAAATTGCGAATTATTTGACTCCCTGAATGATGGATAAATGCCTAAATCGCCCCGTCGAAGAGAAAGTGATTATTAATCCTCCCAGTTTGCGGGGTCGTTCGGCAACGGGAACCCGCCAGGTTGAGGAGCCTCGGCATTCTCAGTAGGAGCTCTCCAACCTCAAACAAAAATCAGTTATCTACCCTCCCAAGCCCAAGAACCACGAAAACCCGAGTCAAGTTCAATCAAACCACTTCTCTATACAAATTTGTCCATTTGTCCACCAGAATGTCTGCCGAAGATCAGGTCAAGCTCGACAACTTTCCAGGCATTTTCGACCTTACCGGCAAAGTTGCCGTAGTGACCGGCGGATCGCGAGGTCTGGGTCTTCATGCTGCGTCGGGGTATGTTCAATGCTTTCAGACCTGGCAATTCTTCAAACTAACTCGTTCTTACGGAGACAGTCTCCTCCAAGCCGGCTGCTCCAAGGTCTATATCACCTCGCGTAAGAAGCAAGCTTGCGATGAGGCTGTTGAAGCTTTGAACAAAATCCCAAATCGTCGCCCCGGTGCCAAGGCAATCTCCGTGCCTGCTGACAGCTCGCGCATGGACGAGCTGGACCGGTTGGTTGCGGAAGTGAGCAAGACAACTGACCATGTCGATATCCTCTTTGCCAATGCTGGAGCGACCTGGGGAGAAAAGTTTGACACGCACCCTGAGTCGGCTTTCTCAAAGGTCATGGACCTGAATGTGAAGAGTGTGTTCTACAGTGTCCAGAAGTAGGTTTTTCAACGGTATACCGTATTGAGGACTTTTACTCATCTGCTACTAGATTCGCCCCTCTTCTTACTGCGAAGGCAACTCGTGATGATCCATCTCGCGTGATTATTACCGGCTCTGTCGCCGGTATTGGAATTGGCACTATCGGTGAAAATGCCACACCCAGCTACTCCACCTCCAAGGCCGCTGTGATTCATATGGCAAAGAATCTGGCTGTTGAACTGGGACCACGGCACATCCTGACCAATGCTATTGCCCCTGGGTTTTATCCATCCAAAATGGCCTCTGGTTTGATGGAACTTAAGGGTGGCGTGAAACATCTTGAGGACTTTTCACCCAATCTTCGTTTGGGCCGGCCGGAAGACATTGCAGGACTGGTTGTGTTCTTGAGCTCCCGGGCGGGTAGCCACTTGAATGGAGCAGTCATTGCGACAGACGGGGGGGCAGTTCTGAAAGGGAGACTGTGAATGCTGCTGATCATAGCGAGGCATAGCGATGGGTGGTGCTCTGACCCGAAGCTTTCCCTCATCGCCTAGGGCATAGAGAAATTGAAGGTCGAGTGAAAAAGGCCGCATTTAGCTACACTCTCGAGTAGAAACAAGCCCATTTCCATAAAGAGAAAGTGACCTTCTTACCTCCACGTGTACTGTGTACCAAAACGACCCCCACATTCTTAACCCAATCACAGTCGCTCTGTTCGTATTGAAGGAACAGGAAGACGGAGCCTAGATCCTGAGGGGTAGGGCCCCCAAATCCCAGTGGGAAAATCGAAGATCTACAAAATTAGAGCTCACCGATCTACTCAAACAGCAATGCCGGTCAACGGGGTTCCACTTTTCTTGCCAGCGTGCCCCTTTCAACACTAGACACCGGTCAACAGGCAGGACACAGAAACCAATTGTGGATTTTCAATAGGACTTTTGGCAGGATTAGCAGGACTGGCAATCATGATATTGTGGAACAATGATACGTACTCATTATCAGATTTTACTAAGACATGGCTGGCAATCATCCTGGTAACTACTTAGCGAGTGTTGAGGTGAGACCTTCCTCGCGTGGGTCAGCTTACAATTACTGCATATTGAGGGTGGAGTAGAACTACACCGAAGGATTTCGCTAGTAGTAACTAAATGATAAATCATATGTTTCTCCTCGCTATCGAAATTGGTAATGTTCAATAGTCATGAATAGACTCAAGTAGCGCCATGAAACCCCGTAGTGCCATTTTCCCTCCCACCATGGTCAATCGGTTGTTACCCGAGATGCCAAAGCCGTAAAGTGAAATATGAAAAAGAAAAGGAAGAGACTAAAGATGCAACAATCGCTTCATGATAGGAATACGTGAAGTTGAAGATATGTTCATGTCCGGGCGATTTTGGACCGGCCGTGGCCCAGGTAGAGAAAATCGCTTGGAGAAGTCGAGGTAGTCTCATTCAGCTGAAAGTCTGCTGATGATGTAGACAGAGAGCTGCTGGGTCGGCGCAGAGTTGAAGGCACCAGAGTTGGGCTTTGGTTGGAGGGACTCGGTTGGGACGGCTGGTCTTCCCAGGCGCGAGGGTCTGGGCCGGATTCAGTGGGAGACAGGACGAGGAACCTGTGGCTGGAGGCCGCTGGGGTTGATTCGGGGGCCGAGAGGACCAGGAATCGGTGAGTAGGGGTGTAGGTGTACATTTTTGAGATGGGTTGTGTCTTCGTGGTAAAGGAACCGGACGCTGTTTTGCCTTTGAAACTGATTTGTAGACAGGCTAGGGAAAAGACGGCTAAGAACCGGGAATCGAAGGGGGAGATTCGATCTCAATTATATATCCACAGAGACAGATGGGCCAACTAGGAACCTTAGAGGGGAGGGGCAGGTTGGTATTATTCATGAGCCCGAATCATGCCGATCCAGCACATCATTCAACATCATGGTCCACCGAGGGAAGAAAACAGTAATATAGGAGGATACCCGACTGTCACGCGGGTCAGCCTTCCCCAGTCGATAGCTGTGAAAGCTTCACATGTAGCTACCTCGCCCCAAAAAAGGGGGATCCTGAGGCGGCCAAGACGTCACTATTGGGTAAGTCTCGCACATTTCTTTTTTTTGGGCTCTTGGCTCGAATTTTTAGTCGTACCAGGATCGGTCCAGGCTGTCCCATGATCATTCTCAGAGCCATGGCAAATATGTGATACGGCCTTTCAAGTGTCAAGCAATGACTTTTTGGGAAAGAACAAGACCCGTCGCAAACCGAAACTCTAGGACCTCGGATGCGGGGCCCTGGACCCGACGTGCGATAGCAATGGGTTCTCACAGGCTCCGGCTATGCAGTAGCTGATTTCAGCTCCGGTTTCTTGTCGTCCTGCCTCTAGGCCAATCAATCCGCCCGCGTTGCGCCCATTCATAGGTCGCATTCACGCTGCTGCGCCGGCTCTTTTCCAGGGCCCCGCATATTTTGTTTACGTCTTACGGAAAGGGGTTGTCATGACATCATGTTTATCGAGAGTGCTCGCGTCTATGCCCGAGTGCCAATGGCTGATCATGGCGTCCCAAGAATGAACCGCATGTGAGAATGGGAAAATAATCACAACTCGTGTTCTGCTTTCCTCGTCGCCAAGAAGAAGCAGCAGTTGACTCACGTGGCACACCGCTGCGCAACAAAACCAACTGAGAAACCAACGGCGCTTAATTTGGGCCAGGGATTTCCTACTTATACTCTCTGGGTGCTCCCACAGAGTCGATCTCCGGCGCTAGAGTGGCTGAGCGCGTAGGGTCAGGCCCCATCTATGCCAACCCCTCGTCCTAGGAACAGTTCATAGGCGGGGAACATATCCTTTTTTATTCTCCGAGCAGCGCCATTATACTACCAGGTCTAGACTAACAAAGGAAAAATAAGCCTCTTGGCGATATCGCATGCAGTTAATGCCGATGGGCATTCTCAGAATAATAGGAGTGGCCATGGCTTCGCCCTCTTTCCTGTTTTAGCACTCGGCATATTATCTATGCCTTCCTCAATCATTTCAGAAATGCCTCGTCACTATGCATCCTGCAGCACTTTGATCGCTTCCAGCCTGCAGATTCCGCCAACTGCACCGTTGTGTGTTCCATTCGTTTGCGCATCAAGGGGGCCACGAGGTGGTCGATTTGTTGTAGCGTTTGAAAATTCGGAGTCCGAGCTTTGACTTTCTGTTGGACCCTGGACCCAATCGTAAGCCTATTTATCTAGCCAGTTTGCTCTAGACCTGTCGAAGGTGGTTCTGCGGCTTTTATAGTTCCAAACCAAGGAGGCATTCGATAGTTCTATCGACAAAACATCCTTGGTTCACTGAGGTCTGATTGATGGCATCCAGACGACATTGACAAGTCTCATCCTGTAAAGTCAAGGCTCCGCCATGGGGGCAATGGTAGATAGGAGACATCTGGCTTTGGTTATATCTCCTATTTCTCGTACTATAGCATGATATCGCCCAGTGTTGGTCTGATGTGCAATCTGATTTGCCAGAAGGCGAGATTGTTGGTATTTCTGCATATGAACCCCGGGTATTGCACTAAGCATTTCAGGTATGATATCAAGTGCTCCCTCAGGGGAGACCAAGTCGGGCCTAGTTGGCCAACTATATTCCAGCAATTCATCGGTCCCTACTCTGTTCTTAAATTATCAGTCAGGGCCTTGCACACCATCTGCCATGACGATCAGCATAGCCTGCAGTCTGCCCTGTTGGGATGGGCGCCGTGTCCAAAAGTTTCCAATTAAGAAATCTTCTATCGCATCACAATGTTGGACGAGGAGGCCACTGACTCGCTCGTTAAATATAACAGCACATGTGCACTGGCTGGAGCGCCTCGAAGAATTCGGCCATGGATGGTCCGAGCCTCTAATCCTTAGTCTATTTCCGGTTTGGACCGTCCGTTGCCCTACGCCCCATAATGTGACTGCGCCGCATAGTCCGCCGATTTAAACTGCAGGCACAAAGTCTTATAAAGTCAGACTTTGGTCCCCTCCTCGAATTTTCCTTTGAGCCAACCTACGCATTGATCACTTGCTTCACTTTGCGACCCCTTGCCGGGAAATCCAGACCATTTTAAACAGCTGCTTTCCCCTACCATAATGTGCTCCGTGTACATCTACATCTATGATTGTGGCTGTGAGAGAAAACAAGGGTAAGATTCGAGAACTCCCTTTCTTTTCAAGCTGATAGTTAATGCATTCAAGGGGACTTATTCGTTGTGCAAAATACGCAACGAAAGATTGCCCCGGCATCAAGGAGCACATCCGTCGAAGAGACGGGTACAACTGCCCTTGGCATTAACCATGGTCAGATTTGAAGCGATCATCTTGTTCGAATTTGCGTTCGCTAACAAGACAGTTGAGGCGCCAGAAGAGTTGCATGTGCGGGGTTATAGTCTGCTCGAGGCCGTTTTCAGCGTACTTACGACTTGTCCTACTCGTGGCCTTCGAAAATGTCTGAATTGTTTCTGTTGCTAGCACTGAGTGGCTTGCAGGCGGCGTTTCCGTGTCTGTTGTGGCTTCGCTCTTTTCCTACCTCTTTAGGATCGTCTCTTGTTCTTTCCTGCTCGAATGCATTTTCAGGGACTAGGTTAGCGTTTTTAGCTTCGATTCTTGTGTTTTCATAATCTAAGGATTCATAAAAACTTTTTTTATTAGGATGCCTCGTCTGTTTACTTCTCAACATGGTTCTTCCATTTTATCTGGCTTACAAGTCGCTGCCCATCCACTTTCTGGTTCATATTTAACCGTGTTGAAATGAAAAGCCGAAATAGCGGAGACGTCCATCACTACTGTTCTGCCACCAGATCGCACGAACCAGCTCGATTTCGAGCCAAGTTAATTTGAAATTGTGATTCATCCAGGTCCGTTGCCGTGATCAGCGATGGATTACATTTCAATAGCAAATCACGCAACTTGTGGAGGGCATCTTTGGCGGGAACTGCCGCGGGCAACACTATGTGTGAAGTAGCAGGGGTATTCGCATTACGGCTGTTAGGCGTCCAATTGGATTTAAGAAAGCCGGGTTCCGGTGGGGAGCTGACGAATGCGCAGCCAGGAGAAAGAACAAAAAGATTCTGTGGCTTATTAGCCGCTGCAGGGATCTTTGGATACCGATCTAAAGCCAGTACGTAGACCGTCAAGGTCCGCGATCTACGCAGTGGAGTGAGCAAGGGCCATAGAAGTGCCGTCAGAAGTTCACTGCCTCCGAAGGATACTATTTGTATATGAATAAGAGGATGTTTTAAGAGGTACGTCTCCTTCCAGCATGTGTGCCTTCTTTGTTTCCACTGACTAGATCGATCTTAAACACTCAAGAGGTCTCTGAACTCATAATATTGGCGATCGACGCCAGTGACGAGGGTAGTTTAGTTAACGCCGAAGCCCCGTGCACTAGCTTGGGTCGCGACCACCTTAACATGGGGGGGGGAGGAGTCAAGGAACAAGGAACGACAGGATTGTTACCACTTTGAGAAGGAGTCAAGATCTTCTCTTTGTTTGATGTTTGGTGATGACTGTATTGAAATTTGGCAAAAGAAGGCAGCGCATGGTACCCGCATACGCGACCAGTCAGCTGATATTGGGATTAGAGTATTTATATTGAGCTTAACGCTCTGATGCTCTCGGAAATCGGTGCTCATCTTCATGTTCCCTCCTGTGGAGTTGATGCGAGTTGAAAGTGAGCAATGCGGTAACTATACTTCAAATATACATCCAGAAATTGCCTCGCGTATGTACTAGATACGGCTCGAAGAGTCTTGTCTCTTAACATGATTATGATTAACCAATATAACCATTTTATCATTCTATCTTTCACATCATGCAACCTACGAGCTGCTGAAAAGTAGCGATGGCTGTTTTTGTTTCTTGGGTGAGCAGTCACCTGCCATCACGTGTTCCGGCGCGATTTGAGTCCCCCAAGCTCCGCCGCCTCGACGATCAAGCTACACCCATGCAGATGTGATGTCCATCGAAGTCGACTGGGGCGCCGCCACCTCTGGCCCAGACGGAGAAGCGCTGGCGGAGCGCATCCGCTCGTTCGTCCACGACAAATTCCAAGAAGTGCCTCTACCGCGCTTCATCCGGTCCGTGCAGGTGCACTCGTTCGAGTTCGGGACGATCGCGCCAGATCTTGAAATCAAAGACTTCTGCGAGCCATTTCCCGATTTCTACGAAGAAGACGACGATGACACCGATACCTCTGCGGCGTCTGAGGATCTCAGCTCCGAGCACGTCCACCAATGGACGGGCCGTCACGCTGACCTCCACGATTTCGAAGAAACACAATACTCCGGCAATGGATTCCAACCCTCCGCACTCCGCTCCCCGCTACCCCTGGGCGACCATTTGAATCACCATTTCATGCCCCGTGCCGGTACACCGGGTATCCCCGGCGGCACGTCGACGCTCGGGTACCACCTGATGTCGCTGGGCGGGCTATCAGGCTCGCAAACACCACTCGCGGCCGTTGCAGGCGGCACCCCGTTCGCAAGCGGGTGGTCCGACTCTGGCGCAGGGAGCAGGAGACCATCGGCACCCCGCACGTCCAATATGCGAAACGAAACCGATATCGACACGTCCAATACCTCCGCATCGCGGCCCTCCACAGCAAACACACATCAGACAAGCAGTAATGCCTCAAATCGCAACAGCGCCGACATGGGTGATACACAGCAGCAGTCAGCGGAGTCTCTTCCCGGAGCAGGACAGCAGCTCCCTATTCCGCCGCGTATGCGTGAACCGCGACCCGAAGACTTCCAGGTGCTCTGCCACGCCAAATACGCAGGCGATGTGCGCATGTCACTGACAGCAGAGATTCTACTCGACTACCCGATGCCCAGCTTCGTGGGCCTGCCCTTAAAGCTAAACGTCACTGGCATCACATTCGACGGCGTGGCTGTCGTCGCGTATATCCGCAAGCGCGTCCACTTTTGCTTTCTGTCCCCGGAGGATGCAGACGCGCTGCTCGGCTCGGAGGCCCAGAGCCAGAACCCTAGCGAAGATGGCCGGCCTCGGTCTGGCGGTGATCAGAAACGGCAGGGGGGTTTACTGCAGGAAATTCGGGTCGAGAGCGAGATCGGTCGCAAGGAGGACGGCAAGCAGGTCTTGAAGAATGTTGGCAAGGTAGAACGCTTCGTGCTCGCGCAGGTGCGCCGCATTTTCGAAGAGGAATTGGTCTATCCCAGCTTCTGGACCTTTCTTATTTGAACCTCCTTATTCTTCTTCTTCCACACGATTCTAGATCAACCGATGTATTAATTACGAATAACGCACGTGGTGTTTATGACCCGAGATTTTATTTCCAGAATGCAAGATATTCCCCTCCATGTCAACTATCTATGCATCTTTGAGAAACGCGAGGATGACCTCTGTATCATCCTCCAGCCTACAACACAAAACTTCAGCCTCTACCGCATCCTGAACTCCCCTATAGCAGCGAACAAGGCCGTAATCCATCAACGGTACTTATGATTCGGTTCTCCAAGAAGATCCGGTCGTTGGTGGACAAGAATCTGAACTCAAGAAAAGCGTACATACTCTTTGAGATCGTAACGGGAGCCGATATCCGATAATTGTGCACAATATCGTAACAGTGCAATTGACAAGAGGATCTTTACGAGTCCTTCTTGTTCTGCTCGCCCTTCTTGCCAGCGACCTGGTCGCCGAGGTTGTGGTATTCGCGAGTCAAGCCCTCGCACTGCTTCTTGAGGGTCTCAATATCGCGGTCCTTGGTCTCGATCTCTTTCTTCAGACGGCCAATCTCACCAACCGAACCAGCCTCCGCGACGCGAGCGGAGTCCTTGCCGCCAGCGTTCTTGTCACCCTCCAGGAGCTTGACGCGGTCCTCCAAGCGAAGAACCTCAAGGATCATGATGTAGGTGCGGTTGAGGATCAGGGAGAGGAAGAGCGTGAAGCCACACAGGTACATATTGCGCTGCGAGTAGAACTTGCGGGCTTGGACCTCCATGCGGTCAGTGCCGAGGTGAGCGGCTCTGCGAAGCGGAAGCAAAGAAAAGTCAACACGTGTCTCCCGATAATAAGATGCACTGCTTACCCGAGTCCATGGCCGTCTTTGGCGAACGCAGACAACTCCTGCTGCACCCGGTACACGCGGTTGACGCTGTCAATGAACAGGATGAGAATGAAGATAAATGTGATCTGGAACTCCTGTCAGAATTGCTCCATATAAGGTACATAGCAGGTAGTTATTACCTTCAAGCCATATTGCAGTTTTGCAATTATTGGACTTTCCGAGATGAAGGCGAAGAGCTTGCGCTTAACGGTGAAGGGTAGAGGGATGATGAGTGCCATGAAGACAACCATCTCCACCACCAAGAGGAGGAACACCTGCGAAAAACGAGCAGTTAGTCAATGGTTCTGGAGGAGAGGTACGAGACGTGTCCGTGTTCGTGGAGCATGCCGCTGCGAACGCCAGGCTACAGCGATAGCCGGTGAACAGGAAGAAGGTACTGGGCGATGGGAAGGGAAAGATTCCGGGGGAGAGTAGGCGACACATACAAGACTGTAGTAGAGAGTCATGGTGTCGCAGGAATAGGTCGGACGTTTAAGCTTGAGGTTGTGGTTGGAGCCAAAGGGGGCGGGGGTGGAGGGAGCTTGAAAGCTAGAGGACAACAAGTAAACAAAATGCCCAAGAAGAGAAATGGGCTGGCAGAGAGGTAGCCACACACGAACCGTTTGGAAGTAATACAGTGCTGGTCGTGGTCAGCAGAGGCGTGGGAGAGAACTGCGAGGTGGGAAGAAAAGCAGGGAAGCAGAAAAGGTGATCGTTGATGGGAGAACTTCCACAACTTGGCCAGAAGACGTCATCGTCTGGAGATGCACGTGACTGTGAACGTTTTTGATCTATAATGCACCGATTTATGGAATCGTGGCCAATATAAATCTTATGGTATTTCAGACTGATTATTAGTTACTCGGTTGACTTATCACAGTATTTCTATGTCAACAAAGAGACTTATCCTAATTGATCCTCCTAATTGATCCAGGAAAGCAGACCAATGGAATTTGTTCTTTCTTTTGAAGCTCTTTTGCTGCTCAAAATGTTCTCTAAGCTTGAGCTCTAACGGTAAGACAATGCTCAGTGAGCAGGCCGTACACATGAAAGGTCATGTATCCTCTAACTCGTCAGTTTGAATTTGGTATGTATGTACACGACCCATTTTAACCCTCTGCCTCATACGAATTCGACTTGTGTTTGGGCTCAAACTTGAAGTCCTTGTGAGCAGGGCCCAGGAACATCTCCCTATAACATCAGTTAGTATCGAGGCCAATCCTTCCAATTGGCAAAAAACGTACGTGATCTTAATCCAGTCCTTGTAGTTTCCACTGGCCATGAGCGTCTCCAGCTCATTCCGCCCCTTGAAAGCCGGGGGTCGGTCGTTGATCTGCGGAGGAAGATACTCGAGTAGACCGATGGGGGTGTAGCGATAGGCAAAGCTGAGCCACTCCAGCAGGAAGCGTCGGGTCGTGCCCACGCCATGCTCATCGGATCCCCACGCTTCCAGACCGTACTTGGCGAATTTCTCGATGAAGCCCAAGCGCTCAGAGGCGGATTTATCCAGATACTGACCTGTCTGGATCTCCTCGAAGATCCACGGTTTGATCAGTGCACCCCGGGCTACCATTACCGTGTCCACGCCGGCATTGTTGACATGGTTATCATAGTCCACGTGGGAGTAGCAGTCACCATTGCCGAGGAAGTATGTCTTTCCTCCATTGGGCTGGTGGCGCGCGTCTGGCTCGCGGATCGTGTCGGTGACAATGTCCTTCTTTTCGCCCAGACGCTTGATGAGCGCGGCACATTCCGCGATGTATCCCCAGTCTGCCCGTCTTGTGTACCGCTGCTGTCTGCTGCGTCCATGTAGAGTAATAGCTGCAGCCCCGGGAGGCCCAAGATTCAGGACACTTGACTCGTAGCCTCCCAGAACAAGACGCTCGACAAGTTTCTGTGCAGTAGGAGCGTTGTCTTTGGTTCCCATCCGGATCTTGACAGTGATTGGAATCTCCTGCGACACGGTGTTCATACCGCGAATGATCTTCTCCAACTTCGAGTGATGGTCTAGAAGAGCGGATCCTGCTCCGTCGCGGAAAACAAGCTCGATAGGGCAGCCACAATTCAAATCAATGACACGCAGATGAGGAGTGAACTTGGACAGCACCTCCGTGGCCTTGAGGGCCTGCCAAGGCTTATTAGCGGTAATCTGCGCACCAAATTTGCAGTCTTTGGAGTTGTCGTAGTCCTGGACGATGTTGTCGCCGGGAGTGATAGACGGAGGAAGCATTTCTGACTCGTGCGCCTTGAGCAGAGTCCATTCTGACTTTGAGCCTTGGATCAACGGCATGCTCATCGCCATCTCCGAGTAAGTGAATTGCGCTCCTAGATCCCCGCACAGCCGCCTGAAGGGCATATTGCCCTGCGTAGTCAAAGGTGCCAGAGCAGGAGTCTCCGGGCCAAAGTAGATACGTCTCTTCTCTGAAGGTAAAAAAGGCGGTTCGGTATACTGAGCCCGAAGCTCCTCCATTTCTTCCTTTGCTTCAACTTTTTCAGTCCCTTCCTCAGCCTGGGGTCGGCTATGAAGCTGTTTCTCCAGCTCGCGACTCGTCTCGTTGAGAAAATTGTTGTAGGCATCAGCACGAGGTGTCTTCTCCCTCTTTCTTGCCAGCGCAAGCTTATCATCGTACGAAACGATATTCACCAGCCCATCGGCCGTCGCATATGGCACGCGTGGAACTGCCTTTTGCTTGCGCGCTTCATCCTCCACCAGAACCAATTCCTTCCGACCATCCGCAGTATCTCTCTCTTTCGAGTGTGATCCAACCATGCGGCATTTCCAGCCGGAGTAGCATTTCCCCAGTGCATCCCAGACCGGACAGAGGCCATCGAACGTCGTGAGGTCCTCCCGCTTGTGTTCTTTCAAGTATGTGCGCAGGTCATGTTCGAGTCGGCAGGTATCACCAAATCTGCATTCACCTGGCGAGAATTCGGGTGCGAATGTCCTCGAAGCACAAAGTCCCTTTGCGTCCTCGGACCTGCCGAAACTCCGGTTCGTGTTCTGGCCCTTTTGTTTGTTCTTTTTCTTTCCCTTCTTCCCATCCTCGCGGTCTGCATGCGACGCAGCTTCTGCTGCATCGTCGGCGGGGGCATCTTCGGCTGGTTGAGGTTTGGGTGTCGAGTGAATTAGGTACCTAGGAATTGTGAGTAACCGTACACAATTCTGGAAGGTCGAATAATTTACTCTTTTTTGATAGGCGCAATGCCTCGGTCGCGCAGACTGCGAGTATCCTCCTTCACCTCTTTGTCGTCCAGCCGGGCCTTTTTGGAGGGAGGCTCTTCGACACCGGAGTTACCGTTGGCAGCGTCGTGCTTGGGGGTATCTGCGGGCGCAGCATTGTCGACCGCCGGGGGCAGCACCGGTGCAGATTCGGAGACCATGGCTGGCGGACCTGTTCGTTGACAGTTGAAATACAGTCGTCGGAACTGTAGAGGCACGTAGGCACGGCGAAGAGATTGGCTGTTGGTTATCGCCAAAAAACTGAAAAATGTGGAGAGCTGTTTGCACTGTTTGCATCCGAACTATACATATTGGCAGTGGTCGACAGGGACTCTACCACACTTGTTCCTCTTTCAATATGGAATTTGACAAAACTCTTTCTCCCGCGCCTCCGGAAGGAGACCACTCTACTGTCCTTATCACGGAACAAGTCCTGCCATTTCAGCCTCGTCCGACTAAGAACTGGCGGAGTTCGAGGCGGGCCAATCTCGGATATGAGCCTTTTTCCATCGCGGATTTGCCTGGAGTGAAGAGATTGCCTTATAATTTAGTTTCTCTTATCTTGTGAGAAATCGTAATTTCATCTCCTAGTAGCCCCAGTTTGTCTCATTAAGAACTTTGGCTAGCACTCTCCCTGCAGACCCAATACTTGGTGAATAATCCTCAATTCAAATAACTATCTTTCGCTTGCCTATTTGAAGGCCATTTGTATTGTCACTTTTTTCCCCTGAGGGAGTATCTATGAAAGATTTCAGTACCCCTGACCTCCGGGCTTTCATATAATCATTGTACAATCTCAACGAGGACAAGAGAATAATTCCAAGAATGAAAAGTCAACCATATACCGTCAGTTCCGTGGTACAGAATATGAATAGACACAATGCAATTAACTAAACATAAGGATCAAATACATCCATGGTTGTTCCGAACCCCTTCTTTCCTATGTTACGAGGAGGGTCATAGAATGGATTTTCCCCGCCCTCGTATAAGAAATCGTCAATTTCCCTATAGTTCGGCTTTTTGATTCGCGATTAAAATGCTAGATCCACTAGTAAGCAAGTTATTGACTCATATATCTAGTATCATTAACTGCGATACACTCCTCGGTGGTGTTGTCAAACCATCGAAAGAGAATCTGGCGGATGGTAAAGATAATGAGTGGTGCAACCACGGAGCTACTATCTGCATTCATAGACTCGACGATAGTCACTAATTCCCGGTTGGTATCTGTCCTACTGCGCATGACGGGACCGCGTTTGGCAGCACTGCATTTGACAGCACCTCGGTTTCCTGCTATCTGTGACTATGCCTCTATTTCTCAGACGCAAAAAGACTCTCCACCCCGGAGACAGAAACACTGCCCGCCTTGTCCTCCAATGACACCCTCTTCACCTCCTTGCCATAAACCACCAACGTCGCCGACACTCCCAGGGCTCCATGGGAAACAGTCACTTCACCCTTCTTCCGATCAGTGCGCATCTCAATAGAGACACCCTCATTTTTCGTCTGCTCTCCACCAAAATATTCAAATTTCGACTCCTCGACATCCCAGCTGGGGTACACCTCAATGACCACATGAGGCTGCCAATGCTTCACCCACTTGGCGTTTCCCTGGTAAATATCTCCGCGCGGCACAATGGCTCCTTCGCGGACATAGACAGGAATAGATTCCAGATTGTGCTGAACACTCGCCGTGCTCCCACCCTCATAAACGGCCGTCTTGTTCCAATACTCGAGGAACCGCGTGCCGCGCGGGAAGTAGACGTCTCGCTGGCCGCCAGCTGAGATGATAGGCGCAACCAGGAAGGACGGGCCGAAGGCGTACGAGTCCGTCGCGTTGCGAACAGCCAGACTATCATCCTCGGGGTATTCCAGGAACAAGGCCCGGATAGCCGGGATGCCTGTCTGGGTTGCTTCCCAGGTACACGATTTGATATAGGGAATGAGCGAAGTGTGGAAGTTGGCCGTCTGCTTTAGGATGGCCACCAGTCGCGAGGAGTAGTCGTACCAGGGTGTGTGACCCGTTCCAATCATGATCTCGTACACAGGCGAGAAAGCGCTAAAATGCATCCACCGTGCCCACAGCTCCTCAGTAGGTTCGTTGCCCTCGCGCACGTAGCCGCCTGTGTCAGAGCCCCATTGTGAGAAGGCGATGAGGCCCGCTCGGATGCCGGATGCGACCGTGTAGGCCAGTCCCTGGAAGTTGGAGTGTGAGTCGCCGTTCCAGACTGCCGTTCGGGCACGGGAGCGGTCAAATGCTGAGCGAGCGAAGTTGTAGAAGTTGTTGCCCCAGGTGCGTTTCATGTTGGTGTGGACTAGGTCCTCGAAGAGCGGTTGTTGGATGTTTTGTTCGAAGACTGTGATTCTGATGAGATTGGGAGATTTGGAGGTTGTATTTAGAGGAGTCACTTACACGGCATTTCTCCCTCCTCGCCGCGGTCGATCTTATACCCTTTCACGCCCAGCTCGGTAAAGGCGGAAAGACGGTCAAGGAAGTAATTGTACGCATTCGGGATGGACAGATTCAGGGCTGGTCCTTCGAAGGTCTCTGCGGTATAACCCGGGAACAGCCAGTCGTGTGCAATAGATGCATTGTATAGTTCCGTATTGAGGAAGGCTCTGTTGGCAGCCCAAACCTAGAACATCCCGCATTAGACTCATCGCATTCTGGTCTTTGCGATATGCTAACCCACCTGGAAATCAAATCCCCACGCGGTCAAATTGGCAATGAACTCCTTAGGAGTAGGATAAAACTTGGGATCGAAGTCGAAATTGCCCCAGGACATATTTCCCGTCCCAAACGGCCCTATAGCAAGAATTCATCAGTGTCTGAATCACACTTACCAACCGACCAGATATAGATAAACACTTACGATCCGCAAAAAACGAAGTCGCCCTGATGCGATTATAGTAGAGATGATTAATAACATCATAATAATTCTCCTGGGCATTATGCACGCCGCTATGAAAGTCTTCCTCGAAATCATCCGACCAAAAGGTCGGCCCAAACGCGGCGTCGGGTGGCATTTCGATCCTCGCCGAGAGGGCCGTATACTCCTTGATGACAGACTTGAAGTCACCCTTAGCAGCGGGCATTATAATATAGTAGACCAAGCTGGTGGTATTGAAAACGAACTGGGCCTGGCCTGGAACTGAGAAATCGAAGGAGCCCATGCGGTTCGTGTCGGCGTAGACGCCGTATCCGGCTGATGTGAGGAAAAAGGGCGCGCGGGCGTTGGACCAGTTTATACCTACCTCGTTGCCGACACCCAGGAGTTGGAATTCGACGCCGTTGTTGGTTATTTGTTCCGACCATGGGTATTCCCAGACGCCGTAGAAGAGGTCGGAGGGCGCAGTGGTGAACCGGGCTCCGGTGAAAGAGGAGGTGCTGTTGACGGTGACTTTCACGACTTGCGGGGTGAGGTGCTGCCATTGGATGTGGCCACCATTGTGTGCAATGGTGCCTGATTCAGAGGCAGAGATGGGGACTGTAGAGGTATTCGATGGGCCCGCTAGAACTGCCGAGTTGTGGACTGTGATGCCATTGTCGCGGAACTGGAGCGAGAACGGCTTGTTTGTGCCGCTGGTAGCCCCTAGATTGGCACAAGACGCTGCGAGCAGAAGCGTGGATAGGAGCCCCATAGTGTTTGCAATTGTGTGGAGAGCACGTAGTATCAGGGGAGTGAGTCGAGCTGTATAAATAGAGCTTGGGTTTTCGGGTTCTACGTGATAGGCAGGGGAAATGAAACTCCGTCAGACCTGAGATCGACAGGTATTTTGCATGCTTCCAGTAAGTTGGGTGAGAAGCCTCTCGAGTTTCTCCGTCGGCATAGATCCGACAATGCCTCGATCGAGGTTCAGTAGCTCCACTGTTGAATCCTTGTGCGGGGAGACTTTTGGGCCGGGTTGATCCAGCGATGGAATCAGCCTGAATGCATTACCCGTGCAGATCATCTCCATCCATAGGCGTGATTACAAGCACGGGGCTGGCTGGAGGAAACAAGGTCTTGGTAGGCAATGGATTCCTTCCTTTTGGGGAATTTCTTGGGTTCGGTGGATTAAGACCGAGGGGGAAATTGAGGTTCACGAGCTCGATTCAATTATCCTGACAGAATCCTCTCGTATGAGACAATTCACCTACATAAGTTAAGAAAGGTACACAAAGCCAAACACAGAGGAAACTAAGAAATGCTCTCTGAACAACTTAGAGAAACACACAGAACAGGCTCCCACTTTACAGCCAGAGGATAATAATGATGACAGGAGAAGGAGAAAGGAGATGTAGGAGACACACACACGAAAAGAAACAATGGACATTAAAAGCAAGGGGAAATGTATTCAAACAAAAGAAAAAAATGAAAAATTGACACAGGATGCTAGATAATTAATCAGACAATCAATCACCTCGGACAAGGAGGCAAATCGATATCTCCATGCATAGACGAGACAGAACAAGGCAGGGACAAAAGCAGTTGTGGGTATCACATGGTATCCAAGCAAACTGGGGACGAGGAGCTTGAATTCTGGTTCTGAGAAGATCAAAGCTTAAAGAAATTGCTGGGCCCATGCAGCCATGTTCCGAGGTAATTGGCTCTGTGCAAGTCGACTGAGATGGATGCTCCGGTCTTCTGTGACGGAACAAGAACAAAGGCTCAACTCCCTGGCTCCGGCAAAAGACTGAGGATCCAGGTCAAGATCCAAAGAATCTACCGGTCATCACCAGCCCTCGACTTGGCACGTCGCCGGAAGAAATCCATAACTTTGCGCGCTGCGCCAGAGCTACCCGAGTGATGTGACGGATCGCGCTCATACTCATAGGCATCGGCGAATTTGCGGTTGTTCTTCTGCAAGACACCAGGCCCACGACCATACCGACCAGCCTGCATCGACTGGCGGGGCAGACTGTCATAACCGCCGTGGTAGTCGTCGTAGTAGTTCGGTGTCGACTGGTAGGTATAGTGATTGCCCGAGTATTGATCTCTGTGAACGTTTTCCTCCGACACATCCTGGTCGTTAAACTGGGACCCGAGCACTGCGAATTGTTGGTCGATCTGAGCTTCGTAGCTGACCGGCTCGTTGGTCGATATATCCTCTCCGGGACCCTCGCTGACCATTCCCATAGCATCTTGCGTTCCGTAGCTGGTTGCACGGTTCCGAGTAGACTGGGTAGGCCCCGTTGCTGGTCGTTGCTGGCCACTAGGATCCACAGTGCGGGGTGTCTGGTATGGATCTTCAGATGTTTGGGATCGACCAGAAGAGGAAAGTCGGAAGGAGAAAGATGGTGGAAGAAGGGAGAACCGCCGAGAGCGACCCTCAGTACCAGCCTGACTGGTCTTGCGGCTATGCGAATATTGCATGGAGCGCCTCGAATCCATGGACGATCGAGAATCCTGACTGGGAAGAGCTTCCTTCATGCTGGTCGGAGGGTAGCGCTTGTCATTCCGCGTACGGGGTGCACTCTGTTGTGGACCGCGTCCACTCAAGATCGAGCCGGACCGTCCGAATAATTTCTCGCTAATGCTTGAAACAGTGCTCGACCGCTTGTGGCCCTTGGGTGGGTCCTGGCGAGGCGTCGGGTTGAAAGAGGATGGCAACTGCTGTACACTGGGGCGGCCAACCGACGAGTCTTGAAGATCCATTAATTGCTTACTCCTTGGCTGTGCCAGACGAGCCTGTGTGTTAGTGGCAGTGACCGTGGGTGCCACGGGTTGACCGTAAGAGCCTCGAGATGGCAAGCGACCAGTATGGAAAGAGGCCATCGAGCCACCTGTGGCGGGCCGTGTTTGCGCTCCAGTGGCTGTAACATTGTCCGAGGCTGCATGAGGCAAGACAGGACGTTCTGAGATAGTTGTTTCGTCCTGCGGTGAAGCTGGGCCCCGACTCGAGGACTCACCAAACTCTCGAGCAGTCTGTGATTGAGGGGCGACATACTCAACCTGGACTGTTCTCCGCTTGGCGTCTCGGGGTGTCTTGGATTTCTCGGTTGGGGATTCCTGTGAGACATCTCCCGAATGATGGCTGAGACCACCAACGGGTGCCACGTTGCTATGGTGAGTCTTTGGTGGCTCGCGAACGGAGGCACTGCGATTGAGAGACGGGGCTTCTTGCGATTCGGCAGGTACTGTTGAGGTGGCAATGTCCGCAACGTTGGTTGTACTGCTAGTGATATGCGAAACGATATGCGCGTACTCGCTCAGCCAGCTGTGGCGGGCAACCTCGAACAGGTCTGCTCGTTTCCGCGGGTCAGGGACCAATATCCGTCTCAAAAGATCGCGAGCGTGCGGGGTGACATATTCCGGGAAGGTGAGAGGTGTGGTAACGATGTATTTGTACAAAAGATTGATGTTGTCGCCGTCTGGGTTGGCCGGGTCGTCGTCGAAGGGGAGATATCCAGCCAACATGGCGTACAAGATAACACCACAGCTCCAAACATCGACTTTGCGGCCGGTGTACAGCGAATCACTGACGACCAGTTCGGGGGCCGCATAACAGGGACTACCGCAGCTCGTTTGCATCAAGTCGCCTCGTCGCAGGCCATTGGCATTAGGTTTATCCAGCCGCTTCCGCTTGACGTATTCTTTGTTGGTGAGGTTGTATTCGATTTCTTCGTCAAGCTGATCGGCTGGGTCGAATGTATTGGCGAACCCAAAATCAGTGATGATGATGTTGCGATTGCGGTCGAGCAGCAGATTCTCCAGCTTGAGATCTCGATGTACGATGCCCTTCTTGTGCAGATATCCAACACCCGATACCAATTGTGCAAACAGCCGCCGTGCAGAGTTGTCCTTGAGATACCGCTGGTTTAGGATGTAGTCGAAGAGCTCTCCTCCCGAAGCGTACTCCAGAATGATACCAATGTGACGGTCCGTTTCCACCATTTCATGAAGGCGCACAATGTTCGGGTGCGAAAGATCCCGCAGAATCGAAATTTCGCGGTAGATCTTCGGTAGCCGGGAGGGATTGGACCCCAAAGACTCTCTCCGAATGAGCTTGATGGCCACCTGGATGCTGCCGTCGCGCCTCCAACCCAGTTTCACCTTGCCAAACTCACCCTCACCGAGGGTTTGTCCGAGAATGTAATGCCCAAAAGTGGTCTCCTTGCGTTTGACGGTATTTCCATTGTTGTAGTCATGGCGGCTGCGGTGCCCAGCAACACGGCCACTATCCTCCGAAACAGCCTGTTCAACAAAGCCAGCAGGGGATGCGCCAGCTTGGCGCACCTGTTCTCGCTCTCGGTCCACGACAGGGTCACTGACCACCACGGAATTGATTACTGTGCTCGACTCCTTGATCAATGGCTGACCAGAGGCGTCCTCCATGTCGGGCTTGGGGCTCCTTGTATTCCCACTAGTCTCCCGACTCGACTCCAACACAGGCTCCTGCCGCCGTGACCTGCTCTTCCCATTCCAATCCTCGCGTGAGCGGTCACGGTTTTCCTTGCGGTCGGAGCGGCTCTTGCCGTGTCGGGAACCGGAGACCTTTTCCGACGAGCCGGCCCCGTTCGAGCTGCGATGGTGGTGGGTGGACGATGTTCGCGGCGGCGGAACCGGCGGCGCGCCTAACAGGTCGGGATAATTGGGACGTGCATGTTTAGGGGAAGAAGCTGAGGAAGAAGCGGGCGATGTGTGGGCGGGGAGAGGCAAGGCCGGCTGGCGCGGAGTGCTCATAGCCGAAGAAGCTGCTGGGACTGGCCGGGAATGGCTGTGGAGAAATTAGCGACCGCGTCCCGCGCGCGTCGGCGCCTCTACCCGTACGCACCTTGTCTAGTACTCCGCAAAGCGCTGACGAGACCTGCTTGTCTGACAGTCCGCAGCTTCTGCGAGCACTCGGCACGGAAAGGGGGGCGGGAGCTGGCAGGCCGACGAATGTGCACACGATTTCGGCGCGTGGTTTGAAAAAACACAATTCCTCCTGTAAACGAGTGGCCGACCACACTAGGTGAACGGTCGAGTCGTCAAGTCGTCGAGGGCGCACTGCACATGGCCAAGTTTCGCACGTCAGTAGAGCATTCCCGGTGGGGATCTTATCGGCAAGAATGTGGAAAAATGCCCCAGGATATCAAGCATGAGGGAGACTGACAGGTCACAATCGATCGGAAGAATTTCTCATACACCAATGGATGCAATGGAGAAGCCGCAGCAGCGATCAGGGTGAACGAAAACGCAGAGCGCGACCGGGACCAGCGAACGACGCGTCAAAACAAGAACCGAAAGAAAGAAAGAAAGAAAACAGAAACCAAAGAGACCGGTGGAGATTCCCCCTTCCTAGACGACAAAAGTGCCACGGCAAACGCTGCAGGTGTCTTAGACGCGATTGCGACTCAGCGATTGCTCAATGGGCATCGTCGAGGGGCGGGAAACAGGGGGAGGAAGGGCGGCGGAGAAGAAAAGGGGGAAGGTGTTGGCGGATACAAACACAACAAAAGAACCCCCGGCAACGAAAGGAAAAGAAAGGAAAGGAAATCGGCCGATGATGGAGAGAAGGGGAGGGAAGAGAGAAGAGGGAAAGGAAGAGGGCGAGAGAGGGAGCGAGAGGGAGGGAAGGAGAAGGAGAAGCGATCCGAGCCAGGGAGGGAGCGCCTTAGTGCCGGTTAGTCTGGGGAGAGAGGGTCCGAGTTGGGATGGATTGTTTACTCTCAGGCACACTCGGTAGTGGTGGACGATAACGGCCGAGTATGATCAATCGACCAAGTCCGACACTGCTAAAATGATCAGTCGACGCTTGCATAGCAGGATGCCTCCCTTGCCTCGATTGTCCGACCGAGGCCTACGTCGGTGTACATGTGTCTGATGCAGGGCCAGACTCTGATTGCACTGACCACGTACTCGAATGAAACAGCAAGAAGCAATCCAGTGAGAATAACATTTACCCTAATCGTCACCGTAATCATCACCATCACCACATAAAAGGGGCATCGTCAGGGCTGCACCGGCGGTTTCACAGTGGTGCAGTGGACACCGGGGCCGATCGTCATCTGGATGGCCGAACTGGTCGATTGTTTTCTTTCGAGGTTCTGCTAAGCTCGCTAGCTAGTCTAATTGCCAATAATAGTTCTGGGCTTCATCGAATGAATCATCCCAATAGACAACTTCCGCATATCTTCTTCAGATATCCCGATCGATTTTGCATGACCCGCAACCCACGGGAGCCAGCGCGGCCGACCCAGCGGGTCCCCCGATACCGATCCTTGGCGTGTGAGCGTCATCTGTTCAGTGTTGTGGGCCACAACGGACAACTGTCAAAGCGGCTGATGGCTGATGCGTTGGCACGCTGGCTGTCTGACCAATATGAATTGCATAACGCCCTGATCGATCGGCGATCCAGGGCCAATGGGTGATGAGCTGGTCAACGGCCGGGCGGGCTACTGGATTAGGGTTAAGTAGCCGCCAATGCAATTGGGGGCGCGTAGCTCTGCCGAAACAAGGATTCTGATTTCCTCACTGCACTGCAAAATCAACGCAGAACATACAGACAAACAAAGAAGAAAGTTGCCGCCCTGGAATTTGCTATGGACCCGCTAACCACCGAACGAATCAACCAAGTGAACTATCGCTTGCTCCCCGACAGAGGCGTCCCGCCCAACGACAGCGTTCCCGAAGCATCGTACGCAGGAGGCGGCGTGGGATTCGGTGATGGACGGCGGGCGACTGGGTCCGCTGCCGCTCTCAGGCCCGAAGGACCACTTTCCATCTCGGGGTGAGCACCAGAGGGGCCCTGTCCGCCATCACCGCCGCCGACAACCACCTGCTGTCCGTCGCGCATGCGGCCCACCACCATGCCCTTCGCCACGGACTTGAGCAGCGCGCGCCGGCTGACTCCGCTGGCGTCAATGTAGACCAGACCCACGTTCTTAATGCCGCCTGTGAGGCTGGAGGCGACGCTGCCGGCTTCTGCGCCGTAGCGATGGCCGACCATCGAGCTGGCGGCCGCAGTTCCGGAATACAAGATTGTGCGTGCGCTCTGCTCGAGGCCGTCGGCGAGCGTGGAGAAGGCGATCATTGACTTGTTCAGCACGCCGGGCTTATAGTCTAGTGGTGGATTGCTCTTGTCGAAGCGCTTCTTGTTCGAATCCTTCTCCTTGCTCCGCAGAGTTGCGCCAAGGTTCTGCGCAACCTTGCCGACTTGTCCGACGGTCCGGGAGGAGAGATCCGCTGCGCCGTTCGAGAAGGTCCCGATCTTGCGAATGCGTGTATGGGTGGTCTCGGAGAAGGTCAATGGCTTCGGGTTCGGTTTGGTCTTCTTTGCGAAGCTCTCGGCTCCGCTGGCAATGACATTGGCTAGTTTCGATGTGCCGGTGACTACGAGGCGGGATGCCATGGCTGATGTCTGGACAATGGTCGAGTCCTGGTACGCTGGATGCCGGGACATGGCCAGATATTCTTCCGACACGTTGCTCACACTGACTTGGTTGCCTTCTCCATCGGAGGGCAGTTCGATTGTCACCGGTCCTGCAGGACGAAAGGCTGTTAGCTGCGAATAATGATGTCTGTCCCTAAGATATACTCACTCTTCGATCCGTGCTTCACATCCGGGTCCTCCACCAGGTTATACCCCTCTCCCAGCTCGCCGACCACGCTTCCGTCCTCCTCGTCCACCAACACGATCTGGCCGTGCCCTGTCTCGGGACTGACATCCGTATCCGACGATATATATCCTTCACCCGGCTTGTAGTCGGCGGGGTTGTATGCAGCATGTACACGACCCTTGGGCGGCGCGGCGCGCTCCAGGAAGGCAGTACACTGTGCCAAGATCGTCTCAAACGTATCGATTTCATCTTGTGTCACCTTATCGGGCCCTGTGCCCATGCTAGGGAATTGGATGCGAATGAAGGCGCCCGCGTCTGGTGCCATATCCCAGCGGGGGATCAGGTAGCTGGTAGGCGGTTGGTGGTAGATCTGGGTGGTAGCGGGCAGGGCCAGGTCTAGCTCGGGAGGGAGGTACAAGTGAAGATAGAAGTCCTCCTCTGGTGTCTCGGTGCCTGATGTCATTGATGTCGGGGTGTTGGTAGGGACCATTAGCAAGGACAGAGTCTGAGGGCCTGATGGCGTGAGTTCCTGCTCTTCGCCATCTTGTAGGTGGAATGCGCGAATGTTGTTGACGCTGTACAGCAGGCGGGGATCGTGTGTCGCCATGGTTAACGGTGGAGGGGCGAGTGTCTCGGCCAGGAAGTGTTTGTTGATAAGGCGGATAAGGCGATGACGTCGTAGGCCGGATTCACTGCGCACCCAAGAAGAAAACCGGAGTATGGGAGAACAGCCCAGTCAAAGATATGACAGAAACAAGAACAGCCAAGGCCAAGGAGGGGTTTTGTACTTCCCTGGGCGCTTAGATAACACCCGCCACAACGGTGCACTGCCACATTCACCATTCCTGTTTCCCCATTTGCCCTATTCATCACCAGTGGGGGTGGCCCTCCAGATCCTGTCCGATCTGCATTTGAAGAGCCCCCAGCGCCCACGACCTGTTCGAGATCACCCCCAAAGCCTCCAAACTAGCCCTCCTAGGCGATATCGGCGTCGTGAAAGACGCCGGAATACTCATCTTTACGCCAGTTTTGTGGAAGGAGAAAGGGGGAAACAGGTTTTTAGCAACCAGCGTGGGTATTATCTTGCGTAGTTGGAGGGGTTTGGTCCGAAGATGGTTGTTGATGTTTGAATGGGAATATCGGCGTGCTGGTCGTACATATTGGGTTCATACTTGCGCCCAACAGCACCGCTCCGACATAATACATAATGCTTCTACGAACCCGTAGTAATGTTTTCGATTAAGACAAAACAGTTGCAAAGATCAACAGTTACAGCGATATTCGAAATCAGATATACCAAGATCCTCACACGGAGTTCTTCCCGAACCCTAACCTGAAACACGCTATATCCCAACGTGGTGTAGTCGTAAATCCTCCGCTTCCCAGAATAGATGTCGTATTTTACATGACGTTAGCGAGACTTTTGCAGGATCTATATTACACGAAAGTGCTATACGCTTGCTGCCTGCGTGCCCTCTCCTTGGCTGCTGTCGACCCCCCAACCAGAAGCTTTCTCCCCTTTACTTTTCTCAACGATTCGTACTTCGCTCTCTCAGTTCTCTCCATTGCTATTATATTCCACAGTCAACTTTTACTCTTTCTTTTCATCCCACACCTGAAACAACTGCTACGCCATGGCTGAGCTGCACGGTTCCTGTCATCCTGCTTTCAACTCAGTGCGAGACCTTTTGCAGCAAAAGATTGCTGATGGTGGTGAAGCGGGTGCTTCCCTATGTATCAATATCGACGGCCAAGATGTCGTAGATCTCTGGGGTGGCTATGCAGATGCAAGCTCGAGCAAGCCGTGGGAAAAAGACACTATCACTGGAATTTGGTCCTCCACCAAGATTCTCACTATCCTGGCCGCTCACATCCTTGTTGATCGGGGTCTTTTGGATGTCAATGAGCCAGTGGCGAAATATTGGCCTGAATTCGCAGCAAACGGCAAAGAGAATGTTAAGGTCTCCCATATTCTAAGCCATACCTCTGGAGTTGTTGCCTTTGATGGGGGAATTACTATTGAAGAAATGCAAGATGAGCAAAAAGCAGCTCAGCGCCTTGCTGAACAAGCTCCTTGGTTTACTCCAGGATCGCAGAGCGCATACCAATACACCAACTATGGTCTTCTGGTGGGTACGATTGTCCATCGGATCACAGGAAAGTCCCTGGCCCAGTTCATCAGCGAGGAGATCACTACACCTTTAGGGGCTGACTTCCAGCTTGGTGTCTCCGAGAAAGATGAGGCTAGGACTGCTGATACCATCCCGTTCCCACCGGATGCTATTCCTTCTGCAGAGGGCCTTGATCCTACCACTAGTATCCTACTTCGGTCTCTCATAGGATCTTTGATGGATGCTTCAACTCCCAACAACCCTATATTCCGAAAGTCTCAGAATGGGGCTATGGGGGGATTTTCCAATGCACGTGCCCTAGCATCTGTCGGTTCTATTGTTGCTCTTGACGGTACCGTCAATGATAGACAGTATCTTACTTCCCACACTATTGATGAGATGTTAAAGGAACAAATCAGATCAGCTGATCCAAACATCATGACGAACTCACGCTTCGCCCTCGGCCTTTCACTGCCAGCTACCGACGGCGTGTTGCCTTATATTCCTGACGAGGATGGAATTTGCTTCTGGGGTGGTTTTGGTGGATCTGCCGTCGTCATGGATCGCAGCCGGAGAATGACTATATCATACATCATGAACAAGATGGAATTTCGGGTGGTTGGTAATTCTCGGTTTGATGTCTATTTCCCCGAGATTTACAAGGCTTTTGAGAAGTACAACAAGCCTTCACCGTAGATTTGGGGCGGGGAGAGGGGGTGCGGAGGAAGAGGGGCCGAAGAGTCTACCTGCTACTTAGCTACACTTTTACCTCCTAGCAAAACCTCCTTTTGGTACTATAGATCCAGGTCTAACCCTAATGTATGTGTAGTGCGTATCATTGTGATAGGACGATACCATAAAATACAGGTGCTCCAACAAAATTTGGGGGCCGTTTAGCAAACTTGATGCGACTGTACATTGGGGGCGAGGGGGCCAAAACGAGAAGATCACATAGCCTATATAGCAAGAGCGTTAAGCGATCAGGGGCAACCTATAGACAACACTTGTCATTATCATATATACTCGCCCCCAAGTCGTCAGCTGTTGTGGTTCCTCCCCGTCGTAAGGAAATTTGATCGGACTCTACCTTGATGAGATGGTTGTCTTCCTTAGGGATTAGTTCCACACCCTGGCCACAACCTCCAGCATTAGAGGATCCCTTGTCGCCGAAGGTTAGTCGAAAAAGACTGCTCGGTAGCAAGTTAGGAGCGAGATTGCGACTTACTAGAATACAGCTCGCACAATTTATTAGAATTTCAGTCAATTTACCTGGTGTACGTTGATGAATTTGGATGAGATAAAAGAGTTAGATTCAGGCGAATAGGCTGGTGTTACTGTTTTGAGTAGATGCGTAGTTACTAGATGTAGCATTTTGTGAGGGCCCCTGAGCTGTTTAGTATTGTTGCTATGTTTGTTTTGGAACGGTTGGGTGGAGGTGGTTTGTCGGGGTGGAGATACCTTGGTGGGACACAGCATCAACCCTTTTGGATCGGAGTCTACACTAAAGCCCTCCAGACCTCCTTACCTGCTACATTTCTAGCCGCGCTGTTTCTATATGTATGAAGTCCAATTTTTATTGCAGGTCATGAGATAATCTATATAGCTGAAGCTACATTATATACGAGGCAAGCTCCAACAATGTTTGTCTGTCGCTGTGCGCGGAAAAGTACGGTGAAAAGATGCTATATAAGGTTGATGAATGCACACTGCGGAATGGGCGCCTGGTGTGCTGCAGGAAGAGGCTGAAGCAGCTGCCCCTGGCCCTTCTCATCGACGCCCTATGATGATCAGGGCTGGGGGCTAATAATGAGTATCCACCGAAGGCCAAAGAATATATCGAGACCCACTGGCAATGTATTGATTGCGGGCTGAAGGAATTTAAGCTCCACTGAGATACTTGTAACACGCCAATCGGAATGTCTTGTAGAGTAGGCAAGCTTCCTCAAGGAACAACCACCCTTATGAATAGTTGAAGCTCTTAGTTACTCGCTCGCCTCTAAGCTTGTGTATTGGTGCTAGGATGATCCTGCTAGAGCGGACTGAAATAGAAAAAGGGGGGCTTGTGGTGGAATGAGCCCTTCCAGAATAGCTGTGGACCCTTGGACCACATGTTGGGGCCGGCCCTGATTTAAACCTCAACCACTTACCTTGCCGAAGTGCAAATTTTCGTCAGAGCTCTATTTCCTCTCCATCACAGCCGAAGGCGCCATCAGTAGAATTAAATCATTTTCTCTAGAATCAAATAAATTTCTCTCAAGGCTTTACCACCACGGTGTGGTTGTAAGGAGTTGGGTTCTACGAGATTTCATTCTTCGGCAGCATGACCCTAAGTTCAAAGTTGTACCAGCTTCGAAGGCACGAAACATGAAGGAGAGGATAGGCATCATGGGACATTTAACAAATGTTTATCTCAATCAGGAATCGCTTATGCACTCTAATCTTAAGAAGCGTTTATCGCAATCTCGAAGGACAACGACGTCTTCGCAAGGATCAGGATCGGAATCCCAAACGTGCCGATAAGGCACTACTGTTCCAGAATGCTATCTACTTCGAACGTTTCGGGGTGTACTCTCACAGTGTGTGTGTCCATCACGTGATTAGGATTTGAATGAGTGTCTCGACATTTCTGGCATGGAAGGTAATAACGGTCGTCCCTATAAACACCTTTACGAAACCTCGGCTTCTTCGAGAACCGATGGCAAAAGCTCGACGAACACTGCAGACCTAGGGCCAATTCCAGGCGTGACGTCTTAATATCGTGGATTATCTGCATTCCCCTGAGATAGTTCAATCCCCTGGGAGGATTACTGCTGAAGGATCGTGCTGATCCGCATTCCAGGAACTAAACCGAATTTTACCCGTTGTGGTTAAGCGCAGGCCCCGTGGCGCACACTGGCGCAGATCCGGGGCCAACTACTTTTGGTCATTGCCTCACACTATCAAAATCCTTTCCTGTTGGAAGGAGTCGAGGAATCTCTCAGTCACGTCTATAAATACGCCCGCCTGCACATCTCACATTGACTGTCATTCAACGGCAAGCTCCTTGATTCTTCTCGCGTTCACATTCAATTGCCTCTGGTAGGCCAGACCACAGCAACATCGTCTTTATACATCAACTATAAAGCTTTGTTTTTGTTTGATTATTCTCGAATAATCATTTCTGTTATCATCTTTTCTCCCTTCTTCTCACGATGAGGTACGCCGGCTTTGTCGCCGCCGGGCTTTTGGGCTCTGCTGTGGCCCTACCTGCCCAGCAGGTCGCTGTGGATCAGAACTCGCCATCTGGATCAGGAGCTGGTTCCCGTGATCGTACCGGCGCTGCTGGTGCTGGTACTGGCTCTGGTGATGTCGTTGGCTCTGGTGCTGGTCTCCGGGCGCCATCATCTAAGATTCCCATTGTTCCTGGTGCAACTCAAGTTCCCGGCTCGTACCCTGCTGGTGCTGGCAATCGTGCTGGTGCCGGTACTGGTACTGGTCCTGGTGATGTCGTTGGCTCTGGTGCTGGTCTCTGGCCGCCATCATCTACCCTTCCCATTGTTCCTGGTGCAACACATATTCCCGGCTCGTCCCCTGCTGGCCCTACCGATGCAGACCCCGCCGACGCAGACGCCAGCCTTATCCGCCAAATTGTGAAGAAGTTCTCATCTTTGCTCCAAGAATTGAGGGAGGTTGACCGTGGCATGTCCGGCTCGGCTGGGCCCGGTGCTCCTGCATCCACCCGTTTGCCCTCCCCATTCGGTACCCCCCGCCTCCCGTCTAGGCCACCGGGTGTCACTGCCAAACCTGGCGTGAGCGCTTTGACTGGAGATTCGGACAAGCCAGAGCAGGACGGTCTACAGAATGGCGTGTCCGAGGGTGCTCATCGCGAAACCGGTCCTAGGGAGAAGCGCGAGGAGAAAGGCGATTGCGGACCGAGTGGCAACTGTGATTACTTCCCTATGGGAGGCTACGAATCCACCGCGGGCCAGTCTGTGGCTCCCCTGCCAACGGTGACTAGCGCATTGCAGGATGCCTTTGATGCTGTGGCTGGAAATATAGATGCGAATGGTTTTCTCATGTCGATGTCGATGCCCATAGAGATTCTGCGCCGAGCGAACACCCTGGAGCATATTAACGGCAATAATGTGGGAGCAGGAAATGTACCTGCTCATGCAGCTGCTACTTCGACTCCTGAGCCTTCGACTCCTGCCCCCAGTGACCAGCCTTCGAAAAACGTCCTAAGCCACTCTGCACCTCCCACTCCCACTGGCTCTGGGTCTTCGGTCGTCTCCGGCGATGCTCATGGCGATAGCCACGAGAGCCACGGTAGTGGTTCTCAGGACGATTCTCATGGCGATAGCCACGAAGGCCATGATGGTGGTTCTCAGGACGATTCTCATGGCAGTGACACCAATGGTCATGGCAGTGGTCCTCAGGGCGGTCCTCATGGCGGTGACGCCAATGGGCATGGCAGTGGTCCTCAGGGCGGTCCTCATGGCGGTGACGCCAATGGTCATGGTAGTGGTCCTCATGGCGGCCCTCATGGTGGCCCTGGTGGTGCTCTTGGCGGCGGCGATGGTGGAAACAAGCCGACACCGACAGGCTCTACGGTCTTGCCATCCTCTTCGCCGTCTAGCACCACTACTCCAAAATTGATCCATGAAGCTCCTGCATCTGGCGGCGAGAGGCGACCTGCCGCTCCGGTGCTTCAAGAAGAAGCTCCTGGATCTGATCCCTCTGGTGAGGCACGACGACCTGACATTCACCGTGCGAACTAAAAGCATAGCTCTGCTCCCTCAAGTGCTTTGAACTTCCGCTATGACATTTTATGTCGACGCGATGCAAGTCAGAAGTAATCGAGATGGTAGAGTTTTGCTTAAACGATTTTTTTATATTTCAGACCAATTTTTTGTACGATTCTGATAGAAGGAGCGGCAGCTACTCGTGCCGCTGTTACTAAATATAAGTTTATACGTTCCGTGTCATGCGCCATCATTCTTCTACAATGTAACAATGATCAAGAAGAAAAGACATATGATATGAACTATCAAGATAAAAATACTCCTATAGCATATTATCCTTGCCTCCTTGGGTGTATAATCAACTCTACATACAAAACCATTAGCCAGATGGAATGTAGTACCATGACTGAGGTACTTTTGAATAGCCTACCTTCCCTCTATTTAGGAGAAGTGCTCAATAATAACTGAGGCGGTCATATCCAGTTGGTGACATCGCACCCCCGTTAAAGTGCACGAGCTCGTGTCCGCCATGGGTTGCACTGGACGAGGAGCAGATCGTCAACGCGGCGAGATTGCTAGCGCAGACAGCGCACGAGCAGGAAGTATCCATTACGCTGGCAGAGTATGAGAAATTGCTCACTCGTTTTTCTGGATGGTTTGACAGGCGCCGCAAACGCAAATGGTTCTGGCGGTCTGGGCGCGTGTTATTATTGCTTTTAAATTGGAAAATCGCCTCACTCCAGTGCAACTTTTGTGCATGTTAATGAGCTTGCTGTTGAGTCAATGGATATTGGAAGACTACTCACTTGTACTGTTGCTGAGGCGAGGAAGTAGATGTGGGAGAAGACGCTTGGGTATCGGATTATTGATGTTCATAAGGAGCGTCGCTCGAAACTTTGAATGGTAGAAAGGGTGGAAATTCGATTATATATCATGTTTAAGCTGTAACACAAATTTGATATTGTACATTGCGAGGCGTTACGCTGTGAAGACCGTGTTGGTTCAAGATAAATGATAGATAACCCAATTTATCCTGCATTTAGCTGTCGACCCGAGGCTGTACCTTCAAATGCGCAACGTTTACACGATCTGCCTCCTTATTCAAAGCCTCAATTTCCGCCTCGGCCAATGGAATTCCTTCCGATAACCGTTGCTCCTCAGTGATCATCTCAATTTCCCCAGGGAAATAAATTTGCTCCACACCAGCCGCCTTTTCGGAGTTGACGACCCGCTGATAGAGGTACTTCATCCTCGACTTGAACTCATCCATTGTCATAAAAAGATCCGGTTTGACGGCAATCAGAAAATGACCGACGTCAGCTGGTTTGGACGGGTCGTAGGGATTGGTAACATGGCCTGCGAACGCAGCCCCCGAGAACACGCCAGAGAAAACATCCATCATAATGGCCAAGGCGGAGCCTTTTGGTCCGCCCATCGGCAGCATGACACCTTCAAGAGCCTTTGCAGGGTCATCAGTCTGATTTCCCTCTCCATCAAGCGCCCAGTCCGTGGGAATCTTCTCGCCACGCCGAAGGGCCTTGTACACTTTGCCGCGAGCGGCCACAGACGGCGCCATGTCAAGAATGAACGGCCGCCGCGGGTTCTCAGAGGGAGCGCCACAGGCAATTGGCGACACGCCCATCAACTTCTCTTTGCCGCCCCAGACCGGCAGTGCGGGAGACGAGTTCGTAAATACCAGAGACATCATATCGGCGTCCAGCGCCTGCTTGACTAGCCAAGCCGACATACCGAAATGATTCGAATGCTTGATGGAGACCATCCCAATGCCGAACTGCTGCGCCATTTCGATTGCGCGCACCATCCCTGCATGCGCTGCGACGAATCCGAACCCGTTGCGGCCGTCGACCTGTGCTACGGCTGGCGTCACTTGCCGAAGCTCCGGGGTGATTGTGGCGTCTAGTGCTTTGCGGCGGATTCGTTCCATGTATGAAGGGATGCGATTGCTACCGTGGGTGTCGACGCCGCGCAGATCGGCTTGCACGAGGCAGTTGGCTACAATTCCCGCATGCTCAGTGGAGGTGCCATTGGCAACTAAAATTTGTTGCACGAATTCCTCGAGATCGGATGGTTGGACAAGGCGTAGAGATTTGACGTGCTCTGCGGAGGCGGTCATGCTGTGGAAGAGTTGGAGCCGTGTGGTTGAAAGGTGGAAGGTCGAGTATTGGTTGTTGGAGTATTTGTACCAATTACTCAAGGCGGATGGGTGCCGCATCGGAACTGTCCCGATGGTGGAGAATGGTCCGTGCGATGCTATTCCATGGAGAAACACGGTGTGGCTTCGATAAAGATAGTTGTTATTCTATTTAATCATCTATCCTGTTCTTACAAGGTTCTTTAAAGGCAGACGATCCAGCCTAGATCCGCTGCTCATCGCCCGGTCCTACAGAATACGAATCAGTAACCAGCTCACCGGGACCAAAAGAAGGCACACTCACTATAATGAACATCAGCATGAATATCAACGTAAACTTCACCATGGCACCATTGTACACACCACACAGGCCCCGTCGTCCACCCATGACATCCTTGACAATCTCACGGGCAAAATCTACAGGTGCTCTTATTCTGGACATCCTTCCCGAGGCCGAGCGCCTGGATCTCCGGGAGCGCCTTCTGATAGAGTGAGTTGTCGGGCAAGGTCAATCGTTTAAGTCTTATTCATGTTTCGTAGTATATTCATTGACTCATCAGATGTTCCCCTTGTTGAATTTCCATCATTCTTTATGATGTAAACAAGTGACTGCCCACCACTTATCAAACCGTTGGCTATTTAGTTGATTGTGAGCATTTCCGAGCCAAGTCTTCCACCATTGGGGGCCATGTCTCAGCCACATTTTCGAATAGCTTGGTATTTAACCCCGCGACTAGTCTTTCAGAAAAACAATAAGCAACTACCGAGCACAGTCATGGCGCCCTTAAAAATCACAGTGACTGGCACATCATCTATTTTCCGACACCCCGAACGCGGAATATTGACCATCAACGTCTCAGCTCGCGGCTTTGCACAGGAAGTCGTGGGGAAAGAAGCCACCGAGACTTTCAAAGAGCTACATCAGTTATTCCGAGATCTGTCGGCCAAAACAGAGGACGGTGAGGTGAAGCCTGATGCTGCTGTCATAAACTTCTCCGCTGGCCATCTGCGTACCTGGACAAGAGACACCAATGAAGAAAGGGGCCGGCAGAGGGAGCATCGCGCCGATATGAATATTCAAGTCGTCTTCCGTGACTTCACCAAAATGAGCGAGGTGGTCAGCAGTCTCGCTTGGCGTCCCAATGTGGAAATATCGGGCATCAATTGGCGCTTGACTGAAGACACGGAAAAAGCATTGGGCTCGGAGTCGCGAAAGGAGGCTATTCGCGATGCCATTAACAAAGCTAGGGATTACGCCGAGGTGGCTGGAGTTGAGGTCGTCCCCGTGGATATCCAGGAGAAGGCCACTCACTCGATGATAGCGACGAAGCGAGGACGGAGCATGGACGGAGGCCTCACTTCGTCACTTGCGGGTGGTGCTACCGATTATGAGAGTCAATCCCTGGATCTGACGCCTCACCAAATTCAGTTTACAAGCGCTGTAGTGGTGGAATTTATGGCGAAATAAGGAAATGGGATGCTCAACGGGTCAGTTTGTTACCAATACCTGAATACCAAACCCGTGCATGTCTGATCCACATAACATACCGATATGAATAGGAATGGACTGCTCAGGAAGCATTGGGTCTATTATCCAGATACTGTAGTGTAGTCATGCTATACAGAATTCAGAAATCATGACCCTGAGATTGTTTTTCTGCGAAGAGCCGATCGGATCTAAAAGCCCAGTAATGACTCATCTGCCTGGTCCACCTCAAAGTCAAAGCGGACAAGATCTTCCTTGTACGGAATAAAGAATTTACTCGTTACTCTAGATAAAGTTAGACATTGTATGGCCCCTTGGGCAGGAGAGTCTCACCTTTCATGCTCACTGCTTGCATGGTATGCATCCAAAGCCGCTCGGTCTTGGTGGTAGCTGACCAAGGAATAATGAAATCCTTTACTTTTTTCCACTGGAAATGTAATTGATGGCCCACCCACAATGAGTCTCTGGTCTTTGACAGAGGACAGAGATTTGAGTGTTTTGATCTGTGAGAGGAACTCTTGTTTGATTTTGTCGCCGACATCAGCGCGGAATTTGAATAGGACTATCCGAGCATTAGTTAGAGGACTCAAATAAGGGGTTTATTACCGACCTATGTGAACAATTGTCATTGTGTTTGATTTGAACTGATGTTGAGAAAAGGTAAATCAGGAAAGAGCGCTGCCTTTATACCGGGAAACTCGGATGTCTTCCGTTCGGCGGGACCGCCCCGCTTCTTCCCGTTATTCTCATCTTTGTCAAAGATTTCTTCTTTTATATTGCCAATTCATTGGTCTGTACTGTTAGTCACCTGCCATTCTTCTTTTCATTTCACAAATCAATTATCGTCATAAGTGTATGAGTTACATGGACTCCCCACGCCGTCCTCGGAACCCTGCCGCCTGCCGCCGCTGCCAGCGCCGGAAAATCCGCTGCAACGGAGCCCTGCCTCGATGCGGGTCATGCGCAAAGGCCAATGCCACTTGCATAAATGATGGCAAGCAGGAAGTCAGCCGCTCGTAAGTAAAAGCAAATTGACATAACAGACCTATCCGCTAACTGCAGTCAGATACATTGCCAATCTCCAGCAAAGAATACAAGAGCTAGAGTCATTGGTAAACGAACAGGGTTCAACCACCCAGCTCGAAAATAATCCCCAATTAAACGATTTTTCCCATATTGGAATCGCAGTGGATGGAGTCAATCAACATGACGAGACCGCAGTTTATAATTCTACAAATCGTCGATCACCAAGTCCACAGCAAAGTAATGCACAACCATCCCGGACAAGCTCTAGACAAGCCCATGAAATTGGCCTAGTATCTCTTTCTGCTGGAGGTGAACCCAGATACATTGGCCCTTCAAGTGGATACTTTCTCGCAAACCTCGTCTTCTCCAGTGCTGGGCGTCGAACACGTCCACAAAGGAACAGAGGCAATGTTAATGAGCCAATTTCCTTGTCAGCGGAGCTATTTAACAGCCCAGCATCATTGCCTACCCACAAGGAAGACGCCATCGAATTAACCTCGAAATATTTTGCTACTGTTCATCTCATCTACCCATTTCTGCATGAGCCATCTCACATGCAGCGGCTGGAGGAGATGTACTCAATCGGGGCAATTGCCCCCGACCCTTCGATGGCGTTTCATGTGTATATGGTGCTTGCAATAGCAGCGTCGGATCTATCTCGGCGTTTCAAGATCCGTCTTCCCGCCGAGGGATATTATACAGCCGCGACACAGTTCTTTGATCAGGCATATGCTGAAGGTACATTGGAAGGACTCCAGAGTTTGCTGCTTCTTATGGTCTATGCTCTACACAATCCGTCCTGCGGGGTCAATATATGGAGTCTCAATTATCAATGTCTGGGGTCACTAATTGATCTGGGCTTGCAACGCGATGTCCGTGCATCTTCGACGTTCCCCATATCCTTCCTACAGCAGGAGATGAGAACCCGGATCTTTTGGGTAGTGTATACGCTAGACCGAACACTTGGAACAATGATGGGACGGCCCATAGGTGTCCGGGATGAAGCATGTGAGCTCCGGGTAAGTTTCAAATTAAGCTGTGAAAGAATGTTTTGCTCACAATAATTTCAGTTCCCATCAGACATTTCAGACAGCTGTCTCACAGAGACAGTGGCTCGAGAGAGGACAAACGACAGCCCACCCTCACACATGACCTACTCCATTCACCTCTTCAAATTAGCGCGCATGAATTCCGAGATCAAGTATATTATGCACAGCATCTCCAGAGACGTTCCGCGTTATGCATTACCCCCAATTCCAGACATCCACCTCTGGCAATCCGACATGATAAAGCAGCTCGAGTCATGGCATTCGGAAATCCGTAGCTCAGCTGGCATGGAGTCAATCTCCAGGATCTGTGAGACAAAGTACCACGAGATGATGATTCTGGTTTTACGACCAAGCCCCGGCATTCCAGACCCTTCGGAGGAGTCCCTGTCACTGTGCTTCACACATGCAGTGGAGCTTGTTCGTGCCTTTGGTGAGCTCTACCGAGAAGAAGCACTTCTATACAGCCGGCTCATTGTGCACTCGCTCTTTCTGAGCACGTTGATTATACTTCATACCCTGTGGCGATTACCCCAGATCGCCGCGCGGGTTCAGATCGATGAGGTTGTTGCCGATACAGGGATCAGTTTGAATATTCTCAGCAGTATTGGAGAGTATTGGACTGAAGCCAAAAGGGCGAGGGATTGTATTCACGAACTGACGGGAGTTACTATCCAGCGCTTAGTCAAAGTGCGGAGTGCAGGGGCATCGTCTGCTGCACCTTGCTCAAGCAGAACCTTTTCTTCGAATACCATGGCCGGTAGCATCAGGCGGACACAAGATAAGGATGTGATTTTGGACGAGACAATTCAAGCTGATTCTGGTATGGGACCAATGACTAGCTTGCTAGATGGCGAAGACTTGAACACCGAATCTACGAGCTGGTTGAATGATCTGATGCCAGGAGGATTTATGAATTTTACTGGAGCGCCGAATTTTGATAGTCTCATGTGGGAAGTATATAGCGGCACACAATAAACATGAAGAGTTCAACAACGGGCAGGGCAAAAGCTCTTCGTTTGAAAAGAGATACTCTTGACACCCCACAATTAATAGCTCTACCACGGAAAAACAATAGCTGCTCCCATAATCATTCCTGCGGCAGTGATTCCAAGCACCGCACCAATTCCATTCCATGAAACTTGGTAGTCTACAACCAATCTTCTGCCTCAGGCATCAATTCTTAGGCCCCACCAATTGATCGTTTCCCCAGTCCGCCGCCGCTAGCCGAGGTTGTGCTACTCCCTTGTGATTCCCTCTTTCCTATGTTTTTGCTCTTTCTCTCTTCCACCAACTATTCGCTACTGCTGCACTGACTGCCCTTCCCCTCACTCTCAATGGCCTCCATCGCCCGTGCCCTGCGGCCCCTGTCGCGCACTGCCACCTCGGCCCGGCTGGGCCAGCGGCCACTAGCTAGCCGCGTGCCGCAGCAGAGGTATGATTAACACCGAAATTCTAGTCGGGGGGTTTAAGAGTACTCCATGCTAACCCATCGGGGCCAACAGTAAATATGCTTTCTCGACCACCTCCCGCCGGCGGGAGGTCGACCTGTCCAGCCTCACGCCCACCCCAATCAGCCTGCTCTCGGAGACGGAATCGCTGATGGCGGAGTCAGTGTCGAAATTCGCCCAGGAACAGATCGGCCCGAAGGTTCGGGACATGGACGAAGCCGAGACAATGGACCCGGCCGTGGTGGAGGGGCTATTCGAACAGGGTCTGATGAGCGTGGAGGTGCCGGAGGAGTTCGGCGGAGCGGGCATGAACTTCACGGCGGCAATTGTGGCCATCGAGGAGCTCGCACGCGTCGATCCCAGCGTCAGTGTGCTTGTGGATGTGCATAACACTCTTGTCAACACTGCTATCATGAAGTACGGTGACGCACAGGCCCACCGTACTTGGCTGCCTAAACTGGCTACCGGTACCGTCGGCTCGTTCTGCCTGTCTGAGCCGGCGTCTGGATCCGATGCTTTTGCTCTGCAGACTAAGGCCGAGAAGACTGCCGATGGCTACAAGCTTAATGGCTCCAAGATGTGGATCACCAACTCTATGGAGGCGGGTATCTTCATTGTCTTTGCCAACATCAATCCGTCCCAAGGCTACAAGGGTATCACTGCTTTCATCGTCGAGAAGGATACCCCTGGGTTTTCCATTGCCAAAAAGGAGAAGAAGCTCGGTATCCGGGCCAGCAGCACATGTGTGCTCAATTTCGACGATGTGGTCATTCCCAAGAGCAACCTGCTCGGTGAGGAGGGCCAGGGCTACAAGTATGCCATCAGCGTACTCAACGAGGGTCGCATTGGTATTGCCGCCCAAATGACAGGTCTAGCCCTTGGCGCATGGGAAAATGCCGCCAGGTATGTTTCGCTATCACCGTATTTGCATCCCCCGAGCTAACATGTGAAATAGCTATGTCTGGAACGACCGCCGCCAGTTCGGCCAGCTCATTGGCGAATTCCAAGGCATGCAGCACCAGATTGCGCAGGCGTACACAGAGATCGCTGCTGCCCGTGCGCTCGTTTACAACGCTGCGCGCAAGAAGGAAGCGGGCCAGGACTTCGTCCAGGACGCCGCCATGGCCAAGCTGTATGCGTCACAGGTTGCCGGCCGCGTGTCCGGCCAGGCTGTTGAGTGGATGGGCGGTATGGGCTTCGTGCGTGAGGGTATTGCTGAGAAGATGTTCCGCGACAGCAAGATCGGCGCCATCTATGAAGGTACCAGCAATATTCAGCTGCAGACAATCGCCAAACTTCTGCAGAAACAGTATACGAAATAGAGGCTCGTCGATCATGATTCTTGATGACTGCTTTTCTGTTCAAGAGCGCATTGCTGTATTTTCTTGATGTACAGTTTCCAAGAGTTGATAAGGTTGCAATCGATGATTTTAGATTGAAAATGATCGAAAACAAAAAAATTATCACGTTTCCGCACTAGCCTTATTCTTCCGATCCCCGCCGGAACGGAGTCGGACAAGGACACGGACCCGGACTCGGGGATTTTGAGGGGGCGCGTAACTCAGGACCCGCCGGTATCTCTCAACCTGCACGGCCCAAGTGCTGCGGCCCCTTCATTCTCGATCCTGGGAGTGGCCAAATACCAAAATGCAGAGCACAATGGAATGCTTTCTGTACCAATTTGGCTAGGGATTGGGGTCAATTTATTGATCCCGGGACCGAGTCTGCATCGTAAAGTGACACTATCTATATTTGTACCAGATGGCTATCACCGCCCTCCTGCCCCCTGAACAAGACCTCGCGCCGATAGAGTCCGATGACCGAATCTAGCGTCGACATATTTAAAGCTAGCAACAAGACTTTCTGTCTCTCTTCCACCCAAACCACTACCGTAAAATCAAAATGCCGGCTATTATTGACAGACTGAGCCGCGTCCTGCGGGACCCGTCCCTCGAAGGGTCTCAATATTTTCGCAACGCCCTTATCTTAGCTGCTTCCGTCGCGCTGGGGACAGCCATTATCCTCCCAACCGCAATCCGCGACTATCGCATTTTCAAATCCTACGGCCAGGGCGGACCCCCGAGCAATGTCCTCGGCTGGATTGTCGTGCGCGGCCTGTTCCAACCCTTAGGCCGGGAAATGTTCAGCACGGCCGAGTACGAACGTGCCGAACAGCAGCAACAAGGATTCCTGGCTCTATCGGCAGAGCAACTCAGCTCGAGGAGTGTGTCTGACCGACCTGTTGTAGGACCGCATGTTGCGCCGCAGAGGCAGTTGACGCAGATTCCGGATCCTGCCATTATGGATGTATGTTTATATCACTCAGCGGTGCTATCATTACAAATAGATTGATAGCTAACGATAACACAGATAATGCGTGAAGAATTCTTCACTTTCGCAAAGCGAAACACCCACATTGTCAAAGTGTCCGAGTCTCTGGCGGAGGGGCACACAGAAGCAATCTTCCTCGCTGATCATATGCCCGCCTCGCCGATTTTCAAAGCTACAAGAGGGGAGATAGCACATGTGCATACGGGCAAAGATCATTCATTGCACATGGTTCTGTCACCCGTTGATTGTATGTATTTCTACCTCATCCATTCCCTCAATTGGTTCCAAGTATCTATTTCTGATACTAACATAACTATCAAGGCAAAAAGCTTATCGAAGCAGGATGGGCCCAGCGTCACGCTTTCTCTGGTGCTTGGGCAATGTCTCTTTTGAGCTTTGGGGCACGATCAAATATTCCCTCCGAGTATATATTGATTTATGCGCCGCGTACGGAGGCGGAGGTTGAGACTATTATGGCTATCGTCGTGGCGAGTGTTAAGTTTGCTACTGGGACACATGACATAAGGTGATTGTATTTTGTCGGACTTTGTAGTCAAAGAGGAAGGTTGTTGGATAGCTAAATCTGTTTTTTTCTTTAACTCCCTTCGATGGATAAAACTCAACTCGTCCAATGGACTTGTTACGGCGGCGATCTAGACAGATGCCCCACCTTGAAACCCTGGAAGTTTCTAATAGGAATAGGCGGAGTCCGCTTGATATCACTCAACATTGATCAATGTTGACCGAAAACTTGTGTGTTAAGGGCAATTCCACACTTTGCGTTAGTGTTTGCTTTGCCGCATTGTGTCCGCCACACTTTGACTCGGCGACATCAAGCAGCTTGATTGCGGAGATCTTTACACCCGGTTGGTAGCCAAAACTGCCGTCCATTTCCAGGACACCCTTGTTATAGCTGAACTGAAGTAGACTGGTTTCGGTGGGCTCCAGAGAATCGCCGTCATCAAGATACAGGTCTCCCGAGGCACGCCCATGAGCATCAGGAGCGATGATGAGCTCAAAATCTTCTCGCCGGAGTGCTGTTGTTGTGTAGGCACTTTTGGCGCGCATGGCGATGATGTTGCCACCTCGGATGTACACAGGAATTTCAGAATATCCGACATTATTGCGAGTTATATTAGCTCCCTTTCCCTCGATCTTTTCAAAAGTGTCAAAGTCATAGAATGTGTCCTTTGGCATGTAGAAGGTCACGCTCGTCTCGTTAGGCGTCGTGACGGGACACACCAAGAAAGCATCGCCATGGAAGAACTGCAAGTCAATGGCGAAGGTGTTGGCATCATCGGGATACTCCCACATCAACGGAGTCAGCATCGGAGTGCCAGTTGTGCTCTGCCGGTGAAAGTTTGTGTACATGTAGTCGAGGAGCTTATATCGCGTGGCAATGGCTCCGCGAGCAGCATTCGCAACAATTGGCCATCGGTAAAATTCTTGGTATATGGTAGTCTCCTCTGCGTGGTTGCGGTAGAACGGATTCCATGCTCCGAGAACCGCCCAGCGCGCACAGAGGATGGGGTTGGTGTCGTAGTTGAAGCCGCAGACGTCGGAGCCTACCATTGGCACCTGGAACATGGCGACGAATTGGATCATCTGGATGATTTGGAGGCGGTAGTCGCTGTCAATGGAGCGGTTGTCTCCGAACCAGTGCCTGAGGATGAATGTTAGTTCTGGAAGAGAGGTTAGATACGGGTAAGGCTTACCCGACTCGAGCAGAATCGCCAGCATAAGTTGAACGCGTGATGCTGTGCAGAATGTGAGCAAGGACAGCTTCAAATTATCAACGTGTTCGAGAACTAACATAAGCGGCCTTTTCCCCGGTCGACGTTTTATCAACGAATTGCGACTACGTCTGCCCATCATGCTCCCGTAGAAATTATGGACATCGTACTCTGCTAGGCCATTGGCGTGGTGCAAGTTGGTCGGCAGGGTTTGTGAACTCAGTGGGCCGAAATAAGCTCCAATATCGTACGGCGGAGAGATCAGATCACGTCCCGGCAAACCCTGCATGGATCCTTTCGGGTCGGAAGAGCCGTCATCCCTTCTCACACGGTGTGACCGATTTAGAGCATATTGGGTTTCAGGGACGGCCACTGCGGTTGTATTAGGGACCGTCCAGTGATCTGAGACTGAAGCCACTGAGCCACAGTCTTTTGTTTGGATTGTCCGATTTTGTGCCTCGAATATGTAAAGACCCTCGTGTGTATAGAGAGGATACGAATATGTAACCTTTGAATTCGCAGGCAACTGAACCGTGAGATTCCAGGTCCCATTCGTGCCTTGCATGTCTGGCGCATAGAATGGCGTGTCGTTCCCTATCGATAACGCACTTCCAAGTAAGAGGAGGTCATCCCCGTTTGGAATCTCAGAGTCCACCATGAAAGTAACAGTAGCCATGCAATGCGGCTGAAAGTTCTCAGGAAATCCGGGAATCTTGTACGGCGAGTACATTCGCACCGGAGGTGGACGTGGCGGGTCCCGGCTCTCGATAGAAAACTGCTTTGGATCTGGGCATGGATAGTCGCAGAAGTTGGATGCCTCATTCATGTCTATCCAAAGCCCATCGATGTCCACACCGCTAGCAGCGTTGAAGAATGTGTCGAACTGCTGGTCCCAGAAGGCTTGTGCGTTGGGTGCAAACCAATCGGGGAAGTTAGTCGGTCCCGGCCAGACAACCCCTGTGTATAAGGTGCCATTGTCCTGCTTCATGAACGCGTCTTTGGCCATACCGTCGTGGAAGGGTGGATAGTCTCGAGAGGCGACGGCAGGGTCTACCATCATGATGTAGTGCTGGTCATGGTCATGAAGATAGTTGACGAACTGTTGCATTCTGCTCAAAGGAAATCGCAGCGGGTCCAAAGAGAATGTGGAACGGTAGTCCATATAGTCGATGTCGTTCCAGATAGTCTCCAACGGGATGTTTGCGGCACTGTAGTTTGCTACTACAGCGGCTGTCTCATAGGTGTCTTGGTAGCCATATCGACACTGATGGAAACCAAAGCCCCAGTACGGCATTAGAGTCGGATAGCCAATTATTTCAGCGAACTGGACTGAAACATCTTTTGGGCTTGGTCCAGAGAGGAAATAAAAGTCGAAAACGCCTCCAATAGTGTTATATTCCAGAAACTCTTCTGTATCCGCGCCAAGATTGATCTTCATCCCGTTTGAGTTGTGGAGATATACCGCATGAGTACCCTTGCTGCCGCGATGATCGTAGTAGATAGGATAAGAACCATACAAATTGGAATTTTGCGGCATGAATGGTTGACCAGAGTTCCAATCGACGTGCGAGTAGTTCTGAGGATCATGGCGGAAAGGATCCGAACTCTCGCCCAGGCCATAGATATTTGGATTACTGGGCAGCGAGGTTCGAAGCCTGAGATACTGTGACTCGAAAACGAGCGTCTGGCCGGTAGTGTTGAAGAGGACTTGGCCGTTGGACTTGCGAGTGACGGAAAACGAGAAGGGTGCGTGCTGCATAGAAAAGACCAAGTCTTCAGGTTCTGAGAACTTTTCAGACTCGGGCATTGCTAGCAAGTCATTGGGAATCTGATATACACGCTCATTGGCATCGTAAATTTTGATATGCAACCGATTCCCTTGCCGGTCGTTAGTTTACTGGACATTTGTTATCAACCAGTACCCACCTGTTTGGTATTCAACAAGCAGCTTCAAATCCTTAATGTCATCCCCATACGCGTTGCACGGGCTGCCGTCTAAAGTCAAATCCGCAGTTATTGTCTTGTCATAGTGCTTTACATTCGCGGCAGCGTACCCAGGACAGCTGCTTATGCCTTGAGCCAAGACAGCAGTTGTCCCCAAGGCGGCACCAAGCCAGAAGAAGCGCATCATGTTGGATTGCGTAAGAAGACTATCTTCGCCGGCCAAAAATTGTGTATATTTATTTTACCCCTTTATTTAACTATACATTGGGTGTTTTGTAACCTGCCCCTCCTCGCCTGTATTCATTCCGTTCACCGAGGCTCTAGTGTAACATGCCCCTCTTCCCCGCGGGGAAGTAGATCCTTCAAGTAGACCGACCTCGCCACGACCCTGAACTGCAAAGTTTCTTTTACACCTTTCTTAATTAGGATGAATAAACTCAGTGACGTATACATTAACTGACTAACGAACTACTGTCTTTTATACTTCTGTTTGGCATGTGTCACTATACTTCCACTATTTTTCATCCACCTATGTACTTGGATGGGGACCCTCTCACTGGAAAATCTTAACCATTGTCTCCCGCGAAGGCTGCTAGTTAGCGGTGTTTTAAATTTCTGCAATTCGAACGGTTTCCTGCTTCAAAGAATTGCCTGCTCTCTCAATATGGAGAACCATACCCATAATCATGTTCACAGATGGATAAGCCATTGGAACAGTGTCACGGTTTGAGAAATTATGATTTTCGTACTTGACGTCGAATATTTCTGCCTATTCAGCGTTCGATTCCCAAGACCGAAAATAGCGACTTATGTTTTTTGATCTGTGTAAAATACTACTGAGTGATTGTTCATTTACAATTCCTAAATTCGACCAAATCCCCGCACAGGCAGGTTCGAGTTGATTTAGTAAGGTCTACATGCGCCCCAACAGATCGCATCCCCCCGATGCCAAGGTGAGGGGGTAGTGATTGGGGCCAGAACTTGGTGGAAGATCACTAATTCCTTTGAACTTGTTAAATTCCCATCTTTCAATGTTCTAGAGCTTTTCCTCTGCCGGTTACGGGCAACGGGCGTTGTGTGGGGAGCTTAATGGCATCTCTACTTGACTTTGGGCAAGGTCTTTCCCCAATGAGGTACCACTCACGTCCAACCCGACGATCAAAGGTTCATTCTAGACCACCAAGCGATCCGCTCCTCTCCCACACAGACGCAGAAATGCTGATTGGATTTATAGGTCTTCCATGCAACAGATAGCCAGAAAGGTCTATATCGGCGCGGATCACGAATTGTCTCTGGAAATTCGAAGTCCGCACATCGCGGCGAGTAAGTGTCCCTGTCCGCCGTACCTAAAGTGCCTGCAAACGCTCTGCGCTGACCAATTTTGCAGGCCCTATTCTAGACCAAGTATCTCGGGGATAGATAATACCGATGCATACGCTTCGTATGAGACATCGGCTGACCGACTGTTGGGTCTCCTGGTTGGAGACGAATTCGACTCTTCTGGGAACGTTAGGACAGGAAGGAATCCGATTCAACAATATAGCAACACTTCGAAGGAGATCAGTCTGGACTTTGACCTTTATGATGCATCCTGTTCTGACGCTGCGATCCACTCGGTAGATCACTGCGTTTCCATCATTAAGGGGCTAGACCCTGGTCTGCGAAGCTATTTACTCGAGCAATTTTGGACACGCTCCAACTCGTGTATACCCGTTGTGCACAAGGGGGCATTCCTAGCTAGCCTAGAGGAAGAGAATGGAGAGTTCTGCTCTCCGGAGCTTCATCTCGCAGTCCTCGCCATGGGTTTTCGACGCGCGGATCACAGGCGCTCAGATGTCATGCAGCTTTCCCTTCCTGATTGGGATTCTATTTTGCACAAGAAGCTCCGACTGGTTATAGATAACTTGTCGACACGAAAGGAGCCACGGAGTAACACGCACGTGCAAGCTGTCATTATTCTTGCCCAACTCGAGTGGGAACGAGGACGAGACCACTCAGCGAGGCTTTACCTAGGTAGGTCTTCATCTAACGCGTGGTAAGAAATCCAGTATTCATGACCTGCAGATACTGCTTTCACTATAATTGAAGAGATCCAGAATCGTCAACATGATCTTGATACGCCAGTTTCGGATGACGAAATCATTGTTCAGCGGATTGCCTTGCGTGCGGCTAGCCTTATTGATAGGTGAGTTATCCATGCGTACACTCCGGCGATCCTTTATGTTGAGTACTCTCGCTCGTTAAGTCATAGGTCTCTCTTCGAGCACAACTTCAACACCACTCTGGGCGATCGGTCTAGGGATTTGCACTTTGCTACATCTCACCACCTTCGCAGCAATCCACCATCGTTGACGATAAAGCAGGATCTCAGTTCACAAATCTACAATGCACACTTGGAGCTCATGAGCATTGCCACGAATGCCATAGAGCAGCTTCATTCGCAACCAATCCGCTCCGCTGAAAACCCTTTCTCCAGGTTAACAGAACTACACAGTCGTCTACAGAGCTGGTATAGCAGTCTCCCGAGTCACTTGAGCTGGAGCTATCAAACAACGCAGCCTAATTATCCAAGCCTCTTTCTTCTCCAGTAGGTGTATACCAACCTTTCGACCACCTTTTAAGGCGAAGAAGGAATAAATGAAAAGTGATTAAGCAAAAAACAGCTAACAGGATTACTCTTACAGCCAACAATTTCATGCCGTCCTGATCCTACTATATCGTCCTTTTGCGTCACAGGAGACATTAATGAGCATTATGGACAGCTTTACGGGTGTCAACATCAACCAGCTATCCGAATATATTTGTAATATTCTACTTACAAACGCTAGACGGATAGCGGATCTCATTTTCGAGTCTCGCGCACACTTTGAACCTGGCGCCATCTTTCCCCTATCGGTTCAGCAAGGCGCTCTTGCAGCTGGAGTTCTTTTAGCCCACATGTCACGCATAGAGGGCAAAAGCATAGGAGATTCGGTTTTTGGACACTTGAAAACTCTACACCAGTTTTTCATTGATATGTCTGCGTTACAAAGACCAGCTGAGAGATTGGCTAGGACTTTGCGGGATATCACAGTAGTGATGAGCAGCTGTGGCAGCCCTACGGAGAGATGGAAAGCTCGCACCCCCACGCAGAGCATAGATATCACAAATCCAGACAGAGAGCAGGTTGAAACTTCAGTCAACCGTCCCAACGATGCAATCTGGCTAAACAGAGATGACGAAATTGGCGAAGGCAACCTGCCAGGCCAGCACCACGATTGCGCAGCTCAAGAGCAAGACGCCGCTGCTGCGACACCTTCCAAGAATAACGAAGGCCCTGTAGACAGAAATCCCGATGGATTTGATCCAATAAGAAATTCAGACCGCAGAACAGAATTGCCACTGTCTGCCTCAAATAAATCTATCGGACGCCGCCCTCACAGCGAATCCTTACTCCGGGGCTACGACCCAACGGATCCAGAAAGCGTGCCTTCTTCGAATGCTATCCAAAAAAGTCCCACCCGCCTAACAGCTGTGGATATGTCCTTGGAATCAGGAGGGTCATTTGCTCCTCAGTTCCCCCTTGGAACAGACCCCCTGAGCTTGCCCGTGGCCGGCCCTGAGTTGGACGCATGTGACAAGGATGCTGTTAGCGTGTCCTGGTCTGATACATTCAAAGCGCTTAGAGCAGTGCATGAGCGACCTGGATCTGAGAAGATGGTTGCTAACGAATTCGGTGATGTGATGGGGGGCGTCTTTAAGCTGTGGTGATAGGAATTAGGAGAGATGTATAGGCGCTTTGATGAGCGTGATGCAGGCTTTCTGGGTCAATGTTGCATTCACACATTTCTTTTTTCTCTCTCGCCCCAACCATCGCTATTTTCCCCCCTTTTGAGCAACGGCGTAGACTTTATGTGGTAGTCGACAACTTCAACTCTCTGCAGACATACGCGCGATATTGAACCCCCCTAAGTCGTTGGAGGCCACTTGATCGTAATGAGGCAAGCTGAAATCGAAAAGATCATAGTTGGGTGCTCCCTCGAAGCACGATTGCCAGAACATCTTGTCGACTCCAGTGAGAGATGAAGACTCAAACCCACAAGCATCTTGAATCTCCGCAGCTGTAGGAGGCGAATTCCATGGCCTCATCAGCATTGGCTCCACTCCGGGATCACGTAGCTGCTGCTCGACATCCCCTGAGCTTTGCGCTACGATGTGCTTCATACGTGCTGTTTGCTGCCCCTCAGAGACAGATAAGTCAACATCGTGCCGTTCTGCTGCCCTCAGATACTCTAGCGCTTCAACCTCAGTCCCATAAGCACCCCTCAGAGAAAGCAAAAACTGTTTACACTGCTGGATACCCTGGACAGCGGCCTGTCGGACCGTCTCATCCGGCGACTTGGTATCCAGTAAATGTATCAGTATAGCCGCAACGACGCTGCCGACAGCCGTCGTCGATAAGTATGGGGATAGACCGGCCAGATAGAGTCCCCAGTTAACGTTCGTTAGCTCCCAGGCGGCATGACGGAGGATGCGCTGGGAGGCACCCTGTAGCTCATCGTGTCTGTTACACCAGGTTGAGCTGGGGGATAAGGCTTTGAGGCGGTATAGCGCGCTCACTGCTACATAGTAGACGACATGGACGGTTGCTTTGTGTACGATCAGGCTGCGATCATGCTGGATATTGTGCTGGCTGGACAAGGTGGCACGGGCTTCGTAGCGGAGGTTAAGAGGCATTTCACGATACCACCTGGCGAATTCTTGCGCGCAGTAGTTAAGGCGACTAGATGGGGATGAAAGCGGATACTCGTCATAATCCTCTCGATTATTGCTTTCCACCTGCTGGCGGCTTTTGAAGGTCGTGGTTAGAAAAAGAGCGATAGAGACGCATAGCTTCATGTGTTCTATACACAATCCAGCCAATGCATCCTGCATCGTCCGGTCTTCAAGAAAACTGAGATACTGCATCTCTTCTGGTAGATGGACACCAGCGGAGACATCTATCTCATCATCAAAGTCTTCGGGAGTAAGCATCGCAACGCCGTAGTATGTTGTCCTGGCTGGACGACCTAAGGCTAATGCATTCTTCTGTTCGCGAGCAAACGTGCACCACCACACGCGGCGGCGAAGATGTTGCACTGGTGTTTCGAACCGCGACTTATCGGGCTCCAGGTGTAGCCCAATCGAGTAGGCCAGAGAAAGTGCTGTGCCCGCCCAGTACCATGGATCTTTCTTTTCTTTTCCCGGATACCAAGTGCTCATGAGTATTGCGGTCTGGACGGCGACGAATGTGTCTGGCTCCGTATTGCAGTCAAAAAGGATCTGGAGAACTTATCAGTTCCTTGACAGTCGAGAATATTAAAGAAGGAATAGCAAGTGAGTCTCACCTTGGCCCGATTGAAAAATGCACGACGAGCAGATTGTTTGGAATCAAAACCTTCTTGTTTGATGATCTCGTTCTCCACAAACGTAACTCCCGCACACATGACGGCATGAAACAGGAGAAGGGCCATTGGTCTCTTGCCCCTGTTTCCCTTGTCCAAGATCGATACGACCTGGGTCTTGTCCAGCAAAGGCAAAAGTGGATGGGTGAACTCAAGGTAGCGTGTAAGACAAATATTGCGGAAGGCGACCGTAGGCAGCGAGAAAGCATTTTTCTCGTAGAGATATCGCAGATCAGCTTGGTCCAAACTCGAGGGAAGAGGTATGATGAAGCTCGGTAAACTTGGACAAATGATGTTCGTCAGAGGGTCTATTGTTGAACCGGAAGGTGCAAGCCTTTCCTCTGCTAGACTGACATGGCAGTCATTCGCAGGGCATGGCGTCTCATCTTCCGAGTTTATGCGATTCTCATGTTGGCCAGTCTGGGGTGAGATTATTTCCGGGGCACTCTGTCCACTTTCCCTCGGTGACAGGACGGCAGTGGCAGCGGACTTGCTAGCTTTTGACACTCTGTGTCATCCGAGCCACAATCAGCTACGTCGATCTTTTCAATGTCCAATTTCGCCTCCGATACATACTTACGGCGCCTGCTTCGGGGGACGATGCATTCCAGTGAATCCAAGTGGCAGTTGGTACATGGAGGTCCATTGCGAACCACATCGCACCGCACTTTGCGAGACCTGCACAATGCGCAGGCTCGGCCCGCGCGCTTTTTGACCCTTCCATCGACAGTTCCAAGCTTCTCCATGCTGACCAGCCGCCCTAGACGACCGTCACTTACCACGGGAATAGGCGTGTGGTTGATGTGCGGAGTTCGCCCGAAGTACCGACGAGGACCGACAGCAGTCACTAAACTCAAAAAGGCATAGTTAGTTCGCAAGCGCTATGCAACGGAAAGCTAACTTTGATAGCCGTGGTTATCTAACCAAATCTACATCATCCAACGTTCGATGTGGAGCATAGGATCACAAATAGATAACCGAAAACGAATCAAAGCCTCGTCGTCCGGAGCGGATCGTTTGGAAAGGAAAGGGTTGGTCTCGCATAAGATTACCCCAGGAAAGAGGGGGTTCTGGGGCCCCGCATGTGTCTAAATCTAATATCATTATATACTGACCCGCGCCATGTTTCTTTTCGTTGTAATGGAGAAAGAACAAAACACTTCGATCGAAAATGACTTCTTCAGTAGAGGACATAGCTACAAAGTCAGAGCATGAGGAGAGTCTCTCGGAGCGCGAGGGACAGGTGGATGCACCAGACCAGCTCGAGGTGAAACGGATCAAAAAGAAGATAGATCTAAGAATCTGCGTTGTGCTGGGAGTGATGTATACCGCTTCATTAGTCGACCGTGTCAATTTACCTGTGAGTGTCTCCTGCTCAAGCAGCTTTCAGAAAACACCGACTCAGAAGAACAGAATGCGTATGTCCATCTGATGTCGTCGTCCCCAAGATACCAAATCTGATCATCGAGAAGTTATGTCGCTGGAATGGGTACAGACCTTGACCTCAAAGGAAATGCTTATGTTAGTCTTTCACTCATCCTTATGGCGTTCGGAGATACTGTACTGAGCCCAGATGCTTCAAGTCCCTTTTGATCCTCCTATTCTTTCCGTTTTATATATTATTTCAGCCGCCAATGACTGCAATTGCCCGAAAACTTCGTCCTCGCCGTTTCTTATGCGGAATTGTGATTTCTTGGGGTTTGGTAATTGTTGGACATGGCCTTGTTCAAAGCTGGCGCTCCATGCTTGCCTTGCGATGCTTATTGGGAATTTTTGAAGCAGGGTTCTTTTCTGGTTGCGTGCACCTATTGAGCTCTTGGTATATCAGAGGTAATCTTGCACTGTGGAACAAAAGTAACTCTTTCTAACCTGGTCAACAGCTGAGGTAGCAAAACGAAATGCTGCGTTCTATCTTCTAGGGTCTTTTATTGCTGGCTTCGGCGGTATCTTGGCATATGGTGTAATTAAAGCCCATGCAAAACAGTTCTTCGGTTGAGAATGCTAAAATTGTAACAGCTGTCAAGAATGAATGGCGTGGGGGGTCATGCAGGCTGGCGATGGATCTTCCTTTTGGAGGGTACTATCACCATTGCCTTCGGTCTCGCAGCCTACTTCCTCATCGTCGACTTCCCAGAGGATGCCCACAAATCCTGGAAGTTCCTCAAAGAAGACGAAATCCAGACTGTTATTGATCGAATCAACAGAGACCGACAGGATGTAACAACATCTCCTTTCAAACTGGGCTCATATTTGAAGAATGCCTTGGACTGGAAGATATGGTTCTTTGCTGCCAACTTTGGTCTCTCGTCGGTGGTCACATACGCTGCCGCTTACTTCCTTCCTATCGTTCTACGTGAGGGGCTCGGGTTTTCTGAGGCCGCAGCTGAATGTTTAAGTACTCCGGTAAGAATTTAATAAGCGTCTGATGAGCGAAAGTACAATGCGGCTGATCAAAATATGTCAGTGTTATGTTGTCGGATCAATTCTTGGATTTGGCGAAAGCCTCCTTTCCGACAGAATCGGACTTCGAACACCGTTCCTTCTCTTTAACTGCGTCATCGAAGTAATCGGGGTCGTTGTCTTGGGGTTCGCAAAACCAAGCGGTGTGAGATACTTCGGAGCTTTTCTCATTATCGCAGGATCCAACTCAAATATTCCCTTGTGTTTGACTTACCAAGCCAACAACATCCGAGGCGTGTGGAGACGCGCCTTCTGTTCAGCAACCATCGTTGGCGCTGGAGGTATCGGCGGTATCATTGGTTCCTTGACCTTTCGGGACCAGGATTCGCCAACATACAGGTGAGCTTTTACACCGGATCTTGAGAAGGATTGAGTCTAGTTCGTGTACTACATGCTAATGAGCCGGAAGACCGGGCCTATACACATGTATCACAGCTGGGTGCCTGACCTTTCTTTCAGTCTGCACCACGACGACGTATTTCTTTGTCCAGAATAAGAAGCAGAAAGAAGGAAAAATTGTGATTGAGGGCTTGGAGGGCTTCAGGTACACATACTGAACGACACACATATCCGGGGTCCAAAGAAATATTGCGGTTATAGCAGTTGTGGCAAGTTGCGGTACATAAATATAAGAGATTCGCGTTTGCCTCTGGTCTCTCTTTTCAGAGCAAGATGTTCTTACACAACTATAAAACAATACTTTCAATCAGAAGATACAGATCCCCTGTAGCAAAATATGAGTTAACACCAGATAATACCAAATTCATCATGACCTCCGTTACACCCTCAATCGCAATTGGGTCTTCAGATGAACCGTCGCGAGGGTTGCCCATAGTCTCCACCAATGGGATAGGGAGATAGTCAAACAACGCAGAGTGAAAGAATAGAAAAAAAAAGCGAACAGAATCAATATAGCATTATAAGTTCATGTAATACAAAAGGAAAAAAAAGATTAAAAACGAAGAAATCGTCATTCATGAATTGAATACTAGCCTCGTCGATGCCAATGTCGAATTGTTACCTTGAAGATAGATGCACTCAACCCTCAGCTAGACCCTCACAACTTTCCTCTCAATTCCACCTCGCCTTCTGCGTTTTCCAATTCTACGAGTAGCATGCCTTCAGCGACATCTTCCTCTTCATCCTCCATCTCATATACCCATTTGACCTTGCCAGCTCGAGGACTCCTAACTTCCAATTCCATCTTCATCTGCTTGACAAATGCTAGAACCTGATTGTCGACAACTTCCTCTCCCTGCACAACCAATATTTCAATAAGTTTGCCTGATAGAGGTAGAACAACATGTCTCGGATTCTTTGCATCTCCTCGGCGGTGTGACGAAGAGACCAGCGCCGAGGCTGCAGTAGAAGTTGTATGGAGCTGCATCCGATAAGGAATCGCGGTTTGCGAGGCCGGGGTTGTGTATTCAATCTCAGCGATAAGAGAAGTAGGGAATTCATTGCGTAAGACACGCGAAAGACGCAAATGATGTGCGACCTTTTCCGGAAGTTGAGGCTTTCCAAGCGCCTCTAGTGTAATGGACCATGCATCTCCTTTTCTGAACAAAAGGCTAGAGGATGGCACATTACCCTGAACTGTCGACTGTTGCGAAGGGCCAACTAACCCCTTCTGGTCTCGGATCATCTTTGATATGCTATCCCCTAGGTGAAGCACTTCTTGAAGCTTTGATCCCAGCCACTGCGTGTGGGTTTTGCCCGCAATCAAATCGCCGTGAGCCACGATACCTCGCAAAAGGTTGATATTGGTCTTGACACCGCCTATACTTGTGTCGATCAATACGCGTTGAGCCTTTCTAACAGTTGCTTCCCAGGTAGATGCGGTAACGATGATCTTGGCCAATAGGTTATCAAAATTAGGACCAACAACCAGTGCATTCGAGCCGGAGATTATATTCGTGTCTACTCGAATGCCATGTCCACTAGGAACAGTGAACTCAGTCACCTTACCGATGCTCAAGGCGAAATTATTGCTCGGGTCCTCGGCACACAGGCGGAGCTGGATAGAGAAACAATTCGCAGGTGGAGGTTCTCGTGCGCTGACCTTGGATCCGTGACCGATGTCATCTAGCGAGCGCCCCTGAGCCAGTAAGAGCTGTGTCTGTACTAGATCAATACCGCTGATGGATTCCGTAATAGTGTGTTCAACTTGGAGACGCGGATTGATTTCGAGGAAATAGAACTCTCCTCGTAGTTCACTGACAAGAAACTCGAAAGTCCCAAGTGATCGATATCGAATGTCTTTTGCCATCCTCAATGCTGAGTCGATAACTTGAGTAATCAAAGCTCTGTCTTGTAACGTTATCAACGCGGGAGCATATTCAACCACCTTCTGAAATCGTCGCTGCACGCTGCAATCTCTCTCCCACAAATGTCGGACTTGGCCTGTACCGTCGCCAATGATTTGGATCTCGACGTGATGAAATCCGTCCACTGCGGCTTTTTCAACAAAGACTGTCCGGGAAGGCGACTCGCTAATCGCACGTTGAATGCTATTATCCAACTCCCTGTCCTCTCGTACGAGCCGGATTCCTCGGCCGCCTCCTCCGTCCACAGCCTTAATCATAACCGGGAACCCGACATGTCTAGCAAAGACTCGTGCTTCTTCAACATCAGCCGTAGGCTGGGGCATAGCTTTCAAAACTGGGACACCACATTTCTCTGCTAGCTTTTTTGCCTGGAGTTTGTCCCCTGTGCGGGCGAGGTTCTCCCACCCAGGTCCAATCACGATAGCCCCAGCTTCGTGCCACATGCGGTACGCAAAATCGGCACTTTCACTAAGGAATCCGTATCCTGGGTGCACGGCATCAATAGAATGCTCCCGAGCGAGATTTACAAGGAGTGATATATCAAGATAGGACGATGCCGATGGGATTTGGATTACATGATGCGGTCGCGCCAGATCGCAATGAGAACGGTCGTCTGATGTGTAGAGGGCGAATGTCTCGACTGGACCGGGTAATTCCCGTGCAGCATGCAGAATGCGAACAGCAATTTCACCTCTGTGGTGAAATAAATGAGCTACTTGAATATTCCTGCATTAAGTGGAATGCCATACCTGTTGGGGACCAACAGCCGTTTGATGGGCCGCGAGTCCGGCGATGGTGACATCGGCGCGTGAGGAATTCGGGTAGGAAGAACAAGGGATGCGGAAGCAGCTTTGCATGGACAGCGCCAAGCAGGTAATTGAGAAGATAACAGCTGCCCGGGGATAAGTATAATGGAAGTGAAAATTGTATACAACTGAACCATTCGTACCTGTTTCCTTATACCTTGTTTTTGCAATTCTCGGCCCTCGGGAATGCCATACTACCTACCCTCTTGTATAACCGCTACTGAATCATCTGGACTGGCTTCCATCTGGCTTCTCTAAGCTCCTCGGTACTCGGGAAGGTCAACCATCCCCTCAGCTGACAGAAAAATGCCACGTCTTTAAAATCAACGTCGATGAGGAATGAGGATCTAATTAATTACGGAACCAATTTGACCAAGAACGAAACTGCGAATATGGCGGCAGACGGCGACGCACCGCCTCCAGAAGGGAGCAAAGACCAAGCCACCGAGCGGCTGAACCAGGTCTCGTCGCATATAGCACCATCGACCGAAAAACCGCAGAAGATAAAATCAAACTCGAAGGCCGCAGCTTCCCGTCTCCCAGCAGATTACTCTGATGTTTTAGGTCAAATTGCCACCCTCCGCGCAATTGCCGCAAAGCCAGACCCTAACCACCGTGGCTATGTACGACAGAAGCAAGCCGGAAAGCTGTGGGTTCGAGAACGTATAGAGCAGCTTCTCGATCCTAGCACATTCCAGGAAATTGGTTCTGTCTCCGGAACAGTGACATGGGAGAAGACCGCGCCTATGCGAGAGAAGCCGGTTTCGTTTGTACCAAGCAATAACGTCCAAGGAGCGGGTATGCTCCGGGGCAGAAAGGTTTTACTCACGGCAGACGACTTCAGTATCCGGTCTGGGCATGCAGATGGCGCAACTGCTGGGAAGACGGTCTACGTCGAGAAGTTAGCGGTCGCGCTAAGGTTGCCAGTCATTAAGCTAGTGGATGGCAGCTCCGGTGGAGGCAGCGTAACGACTATCCGCAAGGAGGGATGGAGTTATCTTCCCCATGTGTCTCCATTTATACCAATGGTACAGCAATTGAACATGGGAATTCCGAATCTCGGTGCAGTTGTCGGACCTGCTGTATATCATTCCAGACCTCCTTTTGTGTCCTATGAGTGTATCGCTAATATTTACGTTAGATTGGCCTAGGCGCCGCGAGGGTAGTCTCTTGCCACTTCTCCGTCATGGCAGCAGATATCGGCTCGCTCTTCAATGCTGGTCCTAAAGTCGTGGAAGGCGCAACATTCGAAGAGGATCTTAATTTCCAGGACTTAGGAGGACCGATGGTGCACTGTACAAATGGCACTATTGACAACCTAGCTGCCAACGAAACCGAATGTTACGAGCAACTACGTAGGGTCTTGAGTTACCTTCCTAACTCTGGTAGCGAAGCACCTCCTGTGATTCCTTCTAATGACCCAGAAGACCGTGAAGACATCGGATTACGCAGCATAATCCCACGGCGGCAAGCGCGCATGTATAATCCCCGCACCGTCATTCAATCCGTGGTCGATAAAGATTCATGGTTTGAGATTGGAGCCTTATGGGGACGAACCGCTATCGGTGGACTCGCACGCCTCGGTGGACGTCCTATCGGTGTGATCTCGCTCAATTGCGAAGTGAACGGTGGTGCCCTAGATGCGGCCGGTAGCCAGAAATTGACTCGGCTACTAAAGCTGTGCGATGTCATGAACTTGCCTATTCTACAGTTTATCGATGTCCGTAAGTGATATGTCTATCAACAAAACCTACATATTTACGCTAACTTTCTTTATCATTTAGCGGGCTACGCCATTGGTACCGTTGCTGAGCGCACCGCCACTATGCGCTGGGGGGTAGAGCTCGCAAAGGCATACTTTAGCACCACAGTGCCGGTCTTCAACCTCGTGACGCGGCGCGCATTTGGGGTAGCCGGCGGCGTCATGCTTTATTGTCGTGATCCTGTCATGCAGGCTGCATGGCCGTCCGGTCAATGGGGCTCACTTCCTCTAGACGGGGGTATTGAGGTCGGGCATCGGCATGAGCTTCGTGAGGCTGAGAAGGAAGGTAAGAAAGAGGAACTCTATAAAGAGCTGGAAGAGGAGTATCTTCGCCTAATGAATCCAGTCCGGACGGCCAATGCCTTTGGAGTGGAGGAGATTATTGACCCTAAGGACTCGAGACGGGTTTGTTGTGCTTGGGCTTCGCATGTCTACGAGGTGCTTATGCATGAACGATTGCTGGACCGGGCCAATGGCAAAATCCGGCCTTCTTTTGCTTGACCTGTTGCATAGGAACGACATAAATACTGTTATGGCCCTTTAATGCATTTGACTGATCAGATGCAGGTCCTCCTGACTTAACTTATGTATATTTCAAAGTTTTAAATCGTTTTCCCAGACAAGCCCCCAAAATTGAATACAAACACCTTTACGCTATATAACAGCAGCCCAGAAAAGGCTGACCTCATTTATAATTCAGCACCTCATTTTCCAATTGACTAGTAGTTGAATATATGTTATTGTTGAAGACTATCGGCGCAGCTGCCATTAGTACAAAGGCGATCCTGCTACAGCTCCGTAATTAGTTTTTGGCGGGGTGGCTCCTAGGCAAACATGCCCAAATCGTGGACTTCTGGCAACAAGTCTTTCTACCACAATACCTGCACTCGTATGTATATTGCGTAATTCTCAGGTAAGTATATCCACTTATTAGCAAAGCTGCTTGAGATGGCCTAAGTGATAATATGTCAAAATCAGCCTCGGCGCGGCCGCCTGTATAACCGCGGCTATACACTAGGGGCCCCATCCCCGCTTGGAGAAGACAAGAGGTCCCTTGTTAATTAGGAAAGCCTTTATAAATCCGTTGAGTGATGGTCTGGCTACATGCTTATAATTTAAACCCACATACGGAAATGGACGTATTGCCTAACGCGATAGTGGGAAGCGCCGCCTTAACGGCGCTGGCCATGTACCTAGATGCGAAATTCTCGGTAAGCAGCGACTTAGCCCAGATTCGAAGCGCACGACAGGGTCAAGAGTTTAGCAAGGGTCTGTTTGAGAAACATGGGCAAGACGACTGGTCATTCTACCATATAGTACATGCCTCCCACGCAGTACGAGCCACAGTCGGCTCGGACGAAGCGCTTCAATTCGAAGGGCGAAGCTGGTCATACAACGAGTTTAGACGAGAGATTGGGCGTGTGGCCGAGGCATTGGCCAATGCTGGTGTCACCAACCGAACGGTAGTGTGTCTGTTCATGGACAACTCGCCGGAGTTCATCTTCACCTGGTGGGCGTTGTTCAAACTCGGGGCCATCCCAGCCCCGATCAACACCAAGTTTAAATCCGAGCATATCAGACACTGCGCTAGACTTTGTGAATCCTCGTTCTTCATCTGCACCACAGAGCTTTGGGGCGTGATTCGAGAGGCATATTATGACAGTCGTGATAGCGTGCCGGATCATCGCCAATCAATCATCATCTACGATGCGGGAACATATGATTCCCCGCCGGAATCCTTGCCGGAGGGGGTTGTGTACTGGGTGGACGAAAAATTCCCTCCGGCCAAACCTGGAACCGACGACTACCCAAAGTCCCAGAGACCTAAGATTGGTCCCACTATGCCGGTACAGTATCTGTTTACTTCTGGAACAACTGGCCTACCCAAAGCTGTATGCTATCCCGCTGGCTATTGCTCTATGCTCGCCAACCACAGCAGATGGCCTGGCATGTTTGATGTACGTCGAAGGTTTTATATCTGTCTGCCTATGTTCCATGGCACAGCACAGTAAGGATACATACTAGCGTATTCTATGGAGTACTGGCATATCTGACTACGTGTACACAGGGTAGCAGCAATGCCCGCGGTGCTGATGACATTTGGCACTGTCATTCTTGCTCGCCGGTTCTCTCGCCGCGAGTTCTGGGCTGATATTCGGAAATCCAACGCGAATGCAATCTTGTATATCGGGGAAATGCTTCGATACCTCGTCCAATCCCCGCCGGACCCCCGCTTCCCAGATGAAAAGGACCATCAAGTCACGTTAGCGTTTGGGCTAGGACTCGCACCGACTGTCTGGAAGTCGTTCCGCGAGCGGTTCAATGTGAACTGGATTGTGGAATATTATAGCGCGACGGAGGCCACGACATCACTGGTCAATTCGACCCGGAACAATGCAGGTAATGGCAAGGTCGCCCATTGGGGTCCTCTGATGAGGCGATTTGGGCAAGATACATTCTATATTGTCAAAGCAGATCTGGTTTCCGGGGAAATTCTCCGAGACCCGAAGACTGGATTCTGTATTCCGGCTAAGACGAATGAGCTCGGAGAAGCAATCTGCCGTATCAACCCTCCTATCCAGCGGAAACATGACTATGTCGGGAATGGAGGGGCTGAAGCTACAGAGAAGAAGACGCTGCGGGATGTGTTCAGCAAAGGCGATGAATTTTTCCGGCTCGGTGACGCACTATTTATGGATGCTGATGGCTATATCTCATTTTCTGACCGCCTCGGGGATACCTACCGGGTCAAGGGTCATAATATATCCACGACGGAGGTTGAGAACTGCCTCAGCCGCCATCCTGACATCGCATCGGTTAATGTCTATGCCATCCCTATGAATCAATACGGGTATGAAGGCCAATTGGGCTGTGCAGCCATTGAGTTTCATGCAAGATCATGGGATCGGGCGGACAAAATCCTCGGCGGGCTGGAGCAGTGGATGATAAACTCTGAGCACGGCATCCCGGCATATGCCATCCCACGGTTTTTGCGCATCATCCGCGACGGTGCCAGTGTAGCGCCTGGCCAAGGCCCCAGTCGTGGAAATGAAACCGAGCGAGTATCAACAATCATGAAGAAAGTCAAGGTTGGACTCCGCAAGGAAGGATTCTCGCCTGTCGGATGTGAAGATCGGATGTACTGGATTGAGAAAGAAGGCTCAGGGTATGTTCCACTGGTTGAAGACACTGCACAATCGCTTCGTACGGGGCAATTCCGGTTGTAACTTAGAGATACTGCGTCGATAGGATGGGTACGTCCGCTGCATGTCCTTTCATCCCATCTGTAGATAGTCTAGATCCATTGAATGCAAAACGTATATATATCATATGCATGATAAGTACACATATAAGACAACTCTCAGCCCTAATCGGCAAAGGTAACAACATATCACCCCGAACATCCCACATCCGAATCTTCCCCTTCTGATTGGCCACGGCCAACTTCTCCAAGTTGGAGAAATGACCATGAATGAGATGCGACCCTGTGGCATGTTAGAGGTATTCCAATTGCGGTACACCGTACACAATGGAAGATGGACTTCATAGTGTTTGTACTTATTCCCGATTCATATGGCTTGAACATATACAATACTAAGGGAGTAGAGACTCGTGATCTACCGCAGGAGTTTTTCTCCAGTTGCATATTATGCAGAGATACTTGATATTCTCTAAGTAATGCTAGGCCAATAAAGTCTTATAATTCTAATTATTGATACATCACATCATCGGACTCGTTATAAACAGAGCAGGCTTGGTCAGCTGAGTTCCCAGCAGACGCGAGGAGCATATACTCACAGCAGCCGCTGGGAGAGGAACGAGGCTTAAAACGGATGCTACAGACTAAGCCGCTTTCTGTAGATAATTTCGACTGAGGGGTTGAAGATTGTCAGACGTTAAGACTGAGCGCAGTATTTCAGCGGGGCATCCGCTGTGGAAGTTATCTGAGCGGCGACATGTCTGGCTCTTGTTTGCCGTTCGTTTGCCAACGACCTTAAGAAGTTGAGGCTTTTAATGGTCTGGGTATGTATGTTGTGCCAGGGCAAAGGCCAATACAATATGGTCTAGGAAAGAGTCAGTGGGAGATATTATTGTCACGGTGGCCACTACCAGCGCAACCTACAATCACGTAATTTGTAAATAGAGTTCGTTCATCCAACTGTCGATGGAGACGTCTCTCAACTGGATATTCCCGTGTCGTCAGATTAGACAGCAGGCCTCACGCCTCGACACTCAAGCCTGCGGAGCCCAAGGGTATCCATATTGGTGCTGTTCTCGTTGTGGTGGTTGGGCCATTGGAGGTTGATACGCGGGACCCGGCTGCTGGTAGGCTGTAGCAGGAGCCTTCTGAGGCGTTTGGGTGACTTTGGGTACAGACATGGACTGGGCGTGATGAAGGTACTGGGGACGTGTTTGATCGGGAGGATGGAGGTCATTGACAAGTAGGCGTTGTGGATGCTCATTTACGGGGTAGTGGTGCGAGAAGGACGTGTCGGAGGATTGTTGGTTGGCGCTAGCAGTGCTGCTAAAGCTCATTTGAGCAGACGGAGCGGGCACTGACGGCGGGACCATGCGAGATCCCTGGTGAGGTAGTTGGCCTTCTATCACGTACGGGTCCAGGTGGCCGGAGAACTCTGCATCGGACGAGTCACAGAGAGATGGTGAGCGCGTGTGGGCCATCTGTTGCCATTCGTGAGGGTGGGATGACCGACTCGATGTTGATAGCCTCGAGGATGTCCGCCCCGCTGATGTTGGGTGTGAGGTCCCTGAGAAATGCGGCGAAAGCATCGGTCCGGTTGAGGGGTTGCTTGGGTCTGCAGTGCTGGGGGTGTTTTCCATGCGCCATCCAGTCCGAAAAGGACCTGTCTCACCACCAGCAGCAAACCCCGGTCCTCCGGCGATGGCAGCGAGCTGATGCTTGAGGCGGCTGTTCTCTTCATCTAGGGCTGTATTTCGCCGTATGAGTTCATCGAAACGCTCGCTCCGGGTCCGCAGATCGGTGATTTGGCTCTGGAGAGTGGCCACTTGACCCTCGAGTTGTTCGATATGCTCTTTGTTCCGCTGACGGATCGACCGCTGGGCCTCCCGATCATTCGCACGCTTGCGTTCCAGCTGTTCGGCAGAGAGCGATGACACCTTCCGCGTCCCTGGGCGAGGCTCCCGCTTCTTTGACAAGCCCAGGTCGTTGCCACTGCTGCTCATGATGTTCCTTGTCCGGCCCAGGCTGGACGCGGTGCGAGACCCAAGACCAAATCTGTTCCACTTGTCCTGCCCAAGTAATGGACGATTGGAAACCATCAATTCTGTATCCGAAGACAAAACAAGGTCCAGGATTCGGACAACACCTGACCGTCCAAGATCCGGGCATGTGGCGGAAGGAAGCCGATTTAACGCAGATCCAAAGTAGGAGAATAGACGGGAGGACGGATCCTGAATCCAAGGCTGCAGATCGAATGAGCCTCGTTAGGTTGGGGGCCCTCTTAACGGTGCACTTCGGTGTCTCATTCTGAGAAGAGGGGATCGAGTGCCTTAAAATAAAGTCGGGTTGTCACCGACAGTCTCGATTACGTCCGCTTCTCCAGATCGTCGCTAGCAACCTCCTCGAGGCAAGACAAACTCCCGATGCGGCGCAACCAACGGCTTAACAACGGGTCCGACTGGTCCAATTGGGGTTCGATTTTGTAAGAACGATGTGGGTATCCTAGAGCTATGGGAATAGCGCGGTTCCCATGTGCACTATGATGGGCCGGCCCCATGGGCAGTGCGCTTCCGGATTACAAACCATTCGCCAATAATGCCAGCCAAGGAGAACTATGTTTAGGCAGGACCCCCTGCTGTAGAAGTTGGTGTTGGTGATTTGGATTTCCTCCATGGATTTTTACGCTGGGTGTTGGTTAGCCACGGCGCGTCAGCCAAGTCCGCTCACTCGCTGAAGCAGGGCCGGAATAGCGAGCGCAGTTTTGTAGCCTTGCTCTTGATCAAGTAGATCCGGAGTTAGAAAACCATATGACGATGGCTCCGAAACTAGTCCAACGTAGCTAGGGCTTCCCCCGTCGGTGACAGCAATGGTGACTCCGAGCCGGGCAGACCGTAGGATAATCTCCAAACCTCGGTGCGGTCAGGCAACTCCTCTTAGGGCCCCGAGCGCTATCTCGAGATCTTGCGAAGAAAATCCCGGGGGAATGGAATAGAGTTGCATTATTGTAGGCATCGATCAGTAATGAAACATCGATCTGCGCCCGTAGTGACAAGATGTCATTTCAATAGTCATCGGGATGCCCCAGGACCCAAAATCCTCATCGGGGTGGAGAGCAACAAACTTGCGGGTACCGAACGTTAGGCTTCGAGTAGACTGAGACATCCCAGACCTAGCTCGGACAAGTATAGAGCCTGACTATCGCTATAGAAACCATGTTATAGGGGCGCATAATAATAGCAGGTGACAGAGATAAGACTGGGATGCCCGGCAAGGCTGTACCGGAAGACGCCCCCAAGAATAGCTCCACGCCACCGTTTGCCGGCCCCCATGGCAGTAATTTTAGAATCCATTCCTTCCAGAATCCACACGTCTGGTTGCTCAAAACCAAGCCTTTAACCGCGTTGCAGAATCGAACATCTCGAAGAACTTCATTGTTCACCTCTACGCCGAACGTTGTTTGGACGCAGCTGATCTCTTGCATATAGATACATAGTGCATACGTACCTCCTATTTGCTCCATGGTCGATGAGCCGCGATTCTTGGATATGACCAATGGGCAAGGGTTTTCTAGTCTTGAGAGTTTCAGAGCAGGAGTTGGAGACGAGGGCCGATCCTTGGTTGATCTAAATCTAGGAACCACATCTCGCGTGCCAATCCAAAGTGCCGCTCGGCGAGGGTGCGATCCTTAAAAGTTAGCTCGCGATCGACAGTCGCAAAGACTTGTAGCAGTGATTTCACCGGAGAAGAGCACGTCCGACTCCGATGGAAGGGAGGACGCCAGATTGCGATTGTATATGGTAGCACAAAGCGATAGGGCCGAAGAAGGCACATCTGCTCTGCCGATGTCCAGTAGGACTCCAAGAGGGGAGATTGAATCCTGCCCTGGCTATTTTAAGCATATTCAAGGCTTTCCAGCTACGTAGGTTGGAGCCATCGGCAGCGTGGCAGGCTCTTGGGTTGGCTTAGACAGAGCTGGTAAATAATTAACAGAAAATATCAGGTCTTGATTGTTGTAACTACGGACAATTGTTTGCAACGGTTCGGGTTTGTGTACATCAGGTGACCGAGCGAGGAAAGTCGCGGGATGATGCTTGAACGCCTCACCGTCACCGACTTGGACACCAACGCACCATGGACCCGAGCTACAAGGCTCGCAAGGAGGCCTTCGTCTCGAACCTTTCGGGAAGTTCCATCCTAGAAATCAATGCCGTCACCCTCGTCGCTTCGGTGGGATCCCCCCTTGTCGCGCGGTTTGCAACCTGAACTAATCCCATGTCCATCAGACATCCGTCCTTCTCTGGTCCGCGCTCCAGTCCCGATTGTCCTTCTTCACATCTGCTAGCCCCGCCGCCCTCGTAGCAGACTTCCTTCTCAATGTACTAGCCATCTTGTTTGCAACAACGGCTTATTCATCGGCACCATGGCTGCTGAACATCCTCCTCGTCTCCCCCGTTCTACTCCTCGTTTTGACGCCATCGCCCGCGCGTACCAAAAAAGCGAAACCTCCACGCAAGTCCACGGCCACGGAAAATGATGAAGTTCAAGATATTCGAGAGAGGGCAGCATCCCTGCCCATCCACCCTTTCCTGACGACATATCGCGCCGCCATGATGATCGTCACCTGTGTCGCCATTCTGGCTGTCGACTTCCCCGTGTTCCCGCGTCGTTTCGCCAAAGTCGAGAACTGGGGTACATCTCTCATGGACTTGGGTGTCGGCTCGTTTGTGTTTTCTGCCGGCGTGGTCTCTGCTCGTGCGGTTTTGAAGGGTCGCGATTCGCGATCTGCCCGGCCAGCTCTTCCCAAGAGACTGATCGGGTCTGCTCGACATGCAGTCCCTCTCATTGTGTTGGGCCTGATCCGGCTCTGGAGTGTCAAAGGGCTTGACTATGCGGAACACGTCACGGAATACGGCGTGCATTGGAACTTTTTCTTCACTCTCGGCTTGTTGCCCCCCTTTGTAGAGATCTTTGACTCGTTGACAGCGGTAATTCCGTCCTACGAGCTTCTAGCACTTGTCAGTGCAGCCCTCTATCAGATCGCTTTGGAATCAACCGATCTCAAGGGCTACATCCTCGTCTCTCCCCGAGGTCCGGACCTCTTGTCGAAGAACCGCGAGGGCGTCTTCTCGTTCATTGGATACTTGGCCATCTTCCTTGCCGGTCGGGGAGCTGGAATTCGTATTATACCACGCGGAATATCGTCCTCCAAAACCCCACAGCAGGCGCGCAGATCCGTGCTAACAAGCTTGGTGCTCCAGGCCTTGTTTTGGTCTACCTTGTTCTTTTTCAATTCCACTTACGCCTTCGGCTACGGCGCCAACATTATCGTGTCGCGCCGGTTGGCCAATATGCCGTATGTGCTCTGGGTCTCCGCGTTCAACAGCGCCCAGCTGTTCTTGTTCTGTCTGACGGAGACTATGTTCTTTCCGTGGATTCACCGGTTATCCGGGAAAGACGGCGAGGTGGAGCGCGCCTCTTTTGCGACGAGCAGGATCATGCACGCGTTCAATCGCGGTGGTCTTGGGGTTTTTCTCATTGCAAACCTGCTGACAGGCGCAGTGAACTTGAGCGTGCGGACTTTGGATGTCCAAACGCCACAGGCCATGGGCATCTTGGTGGCCTATGCCGCGGTCGTGACTGGTGTCGCGCTGGCAATGGACCGGTATAATATTCGCCTGGCCTTGTAAATATAGAGAGTGTCACAAAATGTACTTTATCAATTATACCTCTATCCTATCACTTTTATACATTTCTACGTTCGGTTGTGCAATTGTCACATGTGCTGACGTCGGGACTTCTCCACTTTCCGCAACAGCTCGGCTTCCTCAACTCCTTCCATTCACACCTCTCAAACACAGCGATAGGCAGAATGAGTGCAGAGGACCGCAAGTTCCTTAACTACCCTCCACCCCGCGAGGGGCCCAAGGTGCCCTACAAGAACGAGACACAGTCAATCCCCGTTTTCCGCGGCATTCCACTGGCTATCGGCGCAACACTGTAAGCCGCCACAAACAGCTAACCCTGAGATCATTATACTAATACAGCACGCCTGTATTTCAGAATTCATAATGTCGGGTTGATCCAGAGCCACTTCTGGCGCAATGCGGGCTTCGATGTAATCCGCCAGATCCCTCAGCTCGACCAGTATGCCGCGCGCAACGACCCCACCGTCATTCCAGTCGACGACCACAGCAAGGATGAACCAGAGACATGGACGGTCACCGTGGCCAAGAGAACGGGAGGCAAGGCCCATTATACCTCAGCTGACTACCAAGAGCTATATCTCTCCGGTGACTTGACCCCTACTGCGGTCGTGGAGACGCTTCTCCCTCTGATCCGGCGCGACGTCGTGCCGTCAGGCAAACATTCTACTGCTTTCCTTGAGTCTCAAGTCGAGAGAATTCTTACAGCTGCAGCGGCCTCGACGGAGAGATTTAAGAAGGGTCAGGCACTGGGCCCACTGGATGGTGTGCCCGTCGCGGTGAAGGATGAGGTGCATATCACCGGATACAAGCGCACCGTGGGGACCAAGTTGGATTTCAAGGGTGATAGTGACGACACTTCGTGGTGTGTCAAGAAGTGGGAAGAAGCTGGGGCAATTGTTATTGGAAAGACTACTATGCATGAGCTGGGGCTAGGTGAGTTCCTGATGTACTTCAAGCACAGAACGCAGAAGGACTAATGCTGAACTTCCAGATACAAATAATAACAATCCCAACTATGGGACCCCCAGAAACCCTCACAACAGGAACTACTACTGCGGCGGTTCATCTGGTGGGTCCGGGTACGCTGTCGGCGCGGGCCTGGTGCCCATCGCCCTCGGCGCAGACGGCGGAGGCTCCATCCGCATCCCCGCGTCGTTCTGTGGCATCTGGGGACTGAAGCCGTCACACAGTCGCGTCTCTGGAGCGCCGACACTCAGTCTAGCCCCATCTGTGGGTGTCCTCGGACCCATGGCATCCAACATCGACGACCTGGCATACGCCTACCACCTCATGTCCATACCAGCACCAGCCTCGCAAGACCCCGTCTCCGCTCAGTTCCCAAAACGCGGCAGCACCCCACCAAAACCCTTCGCCCCGCAAACAAAAACCATCGGCATAGTCCGCGACTGGAACGACCGCGCCGAAGGTTCCGTGCGCGCTGTTTTAGACAACGCACTCGACTACTACCGCCAGCAAGGCTACACAATCATCGATATCACAATCCCTTACCTACCCGAAGGCCAGCGCGCGCACGTGCTAACCATCATGGCGGAGATCGCCTCCGGCGTGCACCCGAGCCAGATCTCGAAACTCACCGCGCCAAACAAGGTGCTCGTCTCGATGGGAATGTACCAGATCACGGCGCAGGACCTGCTCGCCGCACAGCGTCTGCGCAATCTCCTAATGACCCACCTCGCGCACCTCTTCCAGTCGCATCCGGGCCTGCTGATCGTCTCGCCGACGACCCCGATCCCCGGGTGGCACATCGACGGCGAGAATGACTTGTCCCGTGGTCTGTCGGATGGCAAATCCTCCGTTCGCAACATGGAGTATGTCTGGCTGGCCAATTTCACGGGCTGTCCGGCCATCAACTGTCCCGCTGGCTATGATCCTGACTCCGGAATGCCTATCGGCGTCATGGCGATGGGTGAATGGGGTACAGAGGAGGATTTGCTGCTTTTCGCGCGTGATCATGAGCCTATCCTCGATCTTCCTGCTGCTCTGCCTCCTGTCGCAAGTGGGGATGGTGATGCGTCTGGGACAAAGGGCCTGCGTGCTCCTGGGACTAAGGATGCTGTTTGGGAAGATGTTATTGCTAGGGCTAAGGAGAAGATGGCTTCTGCTTGATTGGATCGGTGATGTGAGTTGATGACTAAAGGGGTGTTCATATCTGTAGCCAGTAACGTTAGTTTCAAATGATAGTTATTAATATGATACTCAATAAATATTGTTATTCATGTACCCAGATCCTGCCACAGTGTTATGCAACAAGGGAATAGAAACGTACCGTAATCCATTCCGATCTAAGCTCAAAACTACTATGAATAAACGCCAAAGCGGACAGTGACGGAGGCAGTAGTCTCCATCCAAGAAACTGATAGATATGCAGATAACACCACTACCTACCAATATAAAAGAAACCATAATAACCGCCATGCGTCAAACCCCAAAAAAACGAAACCAGCCTTCATCCTTTTGCAACACTCCACCATCCCCCTTCCCGCTTCTCTTTTCAAATCCATATCCCCTGCAAGGGATCCGGAATAAAGAACTCACACCCCAAACTTGCCGCCTCGCCGTGCCCTCGTAACTCACGCAAGATCCGATCCCCAGGCGGAGGCCCGTCGGTGAGATGATCCTTGATATGGATAATATAAATCGACAGTCCCGCCAGCGGGAGAGGGGTTGAATCCGCCCAGCTGGCGGAACTAGGGATCAAATTACCCGCAGTAGCAGCACCGTGGCTATCGGGCAGAGAGAATGATTCAGCCCTCGCACTGATGGCAATTGTTGCGTCGGGCATGTCTTTGTCGATGATGGAGTTATTGCGGGATTTTGAAGAGCCATTCGCATTGACGTTCACGTTCATCCCGGAAGCATTGCTCTGCGAGCGCTTCGACTTCGGACTCACTTGCTCGGCAGGAATTTCGCCAGCGCCGCTCGTCTCACTGCGTTTGCGCTTCTTATCCGTTTGCGCGGCTGATTCGCGCATGTCGACGACCTTCGCTGCGAGTACGGTGAGTTCCGCAGCGAGATGGCGCGGGCACATGTGTCCGTAGAGGTATGCGTCGTCGACGCTGTCATTGTAGGAGCATTCGATGAAAATTGCGCGCAGCGTGCCGGCTGCGATTTTGGGCGCTGCCGTGTCCCATACGAGCTTGTTGTGCCCTTCCAGGGATACGGAGTCGGGCTCTACGTCGCCGAAAACGATGATCTCGTTGCCCGTGCGGTGATCGCGAAGGAAAAATGCTGAGCTCTCGACCGTTGCGAGAATAGGTTCTTTCTGGTTTGATGGGAGGATTCGGGGAGAGCGGGCCGGGGAGTAGAACCTTGATCGTAGCATTAGTGAGATTCCTTGACTTGGGAGGTGTTTGTCGCTTACGCTCCTCCATCTGTGTGATCGACCGATATTGCCCTCGACGGAATCATTAACTGGTCCCCTGCAAAGACCGCGCTGCCCACTCGATGATGCGCTCCGCTTTCCGGATGGTATTTCTGTTTGCACCGTCCGTGGCTGACACTGAGACATTTGGTCAACAGGCCATTGCAAGCCCGGACATATCCTCTTCCTTCATCACGACCAAACCTGGGGTTCCCTCCTTCGACCAAACGCTGATAGGTGAGGAGACCAGCTCCACCGTCTTCATCTGAGAGGTTAGGCCAGATGACATCGTTGAACATATGGTTTTTGATAGCAGAGAGCACCGACGGTAACGCCGCAACGGGTTTTGGACCACTTCCAGCCTCCAGGATCGGCGTGTTGATCGCCAGCCCAGATATGTGGTCGAGGTGGGCGTGCGTGATCAGGAAGGCACCGATAATCTCCCGAAAGATATGCGCTGCATTAGCCTCTGCGGTCTTGCAGGGAAGTTCCAGGCCAGTGAATGGTCCTTTCTGCAGGACATTCTGCTCATCTTTCGACGGCATGTATTCGGCAAGCAACCGGATGATGCCAGCAAGGAGAGTCCCCGCATCGACGGCAACGACTGAGTCGGGAGACCATGCGGTCGATGTTGACCGGACAAGAAGGCCAGTGACCCGGTCTTCACGGGGCCCACCGCTCGGTCCCTGGGAATAAGGGGTTAGCTTCTTATTCCAAACGGGCATTTCAAACCCAGCCCACGAGTATACACGTTATTGTAGCTAAAGATTACCTACCAAAACAATAACTTGGAACGCAGCCTTGTCGGCCATTGTCCTCACTGCCCCGGGGTCGTGCTGTGAAACAAGGGCAATCAGGAAGCGCAAGGGCAGGTGGAGTAGCGGAGAAAAGGAAGAAGTGAGACACCCAAGCTTCCTCGATGCTGTCTAAGTGGATCGTATTGTCTCACAGAGTCCTCCTCTGACAGCCTGTCTTGTGTCGTGCGGCTGGAAGTAGTGAGAGGCGGTGGAAATCAAATGCGCGCACAGGGTCGCGATCTTGATGAACAACAGGCGCTTCCACTCATGGATCAATTGATGTCCCACTGCTACTCATACCAGAGACACGCCTCAGGGAAGCAGTCCTCTGCAGACAGACGTACGGCCTTGTCCCTCCTGGGGAGTTTCCAGTTCCGGTTGACCTTTCCCAGCCCGTACCACAGTCGCAGCACCTTGCGCAAAGTAGCACAGGTGTAATTGTGCCAAGGCCGGGATGTTGAAGGGGAATAGAGGTCTGCCGGTACGCGAGCAAGCGGGGTGTCTGTGTTGATGCGCTTGCTAGTACTTGACTGGTAGAGCGACGCGCGGAATGGGGCGAGGCTAGATCGGAATTGCGACAGAATGCCGGTGAAGGCCTATATTCAATACAACATGGGTGGTTAGCCGCTTGCAGACTCGAGGGAAGCTCCAGGTGTCTCACGGGCCAGAGAGTTTGCGAAGGTTGCAGATGGTCCGGAAGGAAGTGCGCTGAAGCGATCAGAGCTTCTCGGAAGTTGGGGGCTGTTCTCCTTGGGGATGCCCACGCGAATCTCCGTCAGCAGCGAGGGTTCCAGCTGGGGCTAACGAGTGGAGAGGTGCTGAAAAGAAGGGCCATTTGAGTTTGCAGGCGTTGACAGCGGTCCAGATAAGCGATGAAGTCAGAGCGGCTATCGATAATCGGTCAATGACGCCAGTGGAGAATAGTGGAGATGGAGATAGATCGTTCAACCCCCATGGGGATTAGTAAATAGTGAGGTCAATAATAATAATGGCAGTCTACAGATCTTTGTTCTCGTCAAAGAGAGAACAAATAGGAGATTAAATGAGTCAAAATGATAGTTGCCTAACCCCGTATACGTGACTTCATGGAGATTGATGAGAAAGAAAATAACCACCCGACACGAAAATCCCATATAGGTATCCCAGACAATCCCACCCTTTCCCTGCCGAGCTGAAGAAACGCCATCCGTGAAAACCCGCTAATGAAATGACAAAGAAATGAGAAAGTCGCCATGATCGCAAAGTATGTTCAGTGCCCAGAGAGCCAAACGACTACAGAGGATGCCGTACGCGCGTGTTCAGGGGTCGGTTCCGACCACGGTTTGGTAGCTTGGGAGATTCTGGGTATCGTCAGACCAGTCGTGGGGAGCCGCAGGCTGGGACTGCCGGGCAGGAAATTCCAAGGAGGCATCGCTGCCTCGACGACTGCTTCCGGGGCTCGAATACTCCGGAGGTAAAATGCCTTGCTCGTCCGGGGCCCCAGATAAGGGCGTTGGGGCAAGGCTCGTTGCGTTTTCATCATTGGTAGTAATCCGGCTGGACCCCTCACCGGCATCCTCGTTGGAAGGGATGTGGGCCAGTTGGGCAAGAGAGATGTCGGTAGGAGATCGGGCAGGGCCGGGGCTAACGGCCGGAGGGATTCTGATACTGGAGTTCGTCGCAGAAAAGTTCGCGTTCTGATACACCCGTTGCGAGATCTGCGAAGCGCTCTCGCGGCCCGCTTCGAGTAAGATGCTGCCTTGCTCGCTTCCATAGGGTGGGGGCGGGGCCAAACTCCCCGTCATAGGCGCCAGACCCCATTTCTTGACGTTGGCTTCGATAAACACGAATCCCATTTGCCCAAAGTTCACATGGACGCTGCAGGGACCGTTCGCGCCGATTGTAGGGAACAGGTTCTGGGCGCGGTAGTTGTGTGCCACGTCTTCGAGTCTCTTACCATTGCGTGTGAAGAAAACCGTGCCCGCTCGAGGTCGATAACCAACACCGATGACATCGCCTTGAAGGAGCGGGGGCCCGTACGGTGTTGGATTGAATGGTTGGTTGTGTCTGCGATGGCCAGTCGACTGATAGGCTACCGAGACTTTGTGGAAGCCTAGCAAGGTGTCAGCTGATATAGACGATCACGGAAATCAAGTGCACCTACCGGGCATGCGGAAGAGAGGATACGGCTTGGTGGTGAGGCCAACACCAATCGTCGTCGACTCCGGCTTATCGTAGATCTTTGCCTCCCAATAGTAGACCTCGTTCTGTTTGGGGATCGGGAGGTTGGTCTGGACACTGCACTCCGAGTCGAAGAATTCGATCTCTGTCCGACCTTCGACAAAGCAGTTGGCGATCTCTAGTTCGGGTTGGAATTCCCACGCAGAAACACCCTTTTCTTGGATGGCGAGGAACTGCGACAGCGAGATATCGGTTTGCATCGACTCGGCAGGATTCGCTTGAACGAACGCTGCGACAGTTAGCATTTCCCCCTCGGTAAATACACTGGCTGTGGGCTTTACCTTTGGCTCGCAAGTATTCTGACCGCGACAAATCATCCATCTCCTCCAGCGCCGCCTCCTCCTCGCGCAGGAACGCCTGCTCATCATCGTACTCGCCCGGTCGGCCGATGCGATCGAGCATAATCCGCCCACGGCGGGTATACTTGAAGAAAAAGAAGACCGCGAGGATGACCACTGCAACTGTCGCCGAGCCAAAGGCAGACAGGAGCCCGATCAGGATGCCTTTGCCGGTCGATCCGGTGGAGTTGCCACTGGCGACCAGGCGGTCGCCCTGAAAGTCGAGCGATGAGATACCATTTTGCAGATTTTCTAGGATTTGTTGCCGTGAAGGCGATAGTCCGGTCGGTGTAAGTGTGGGTTGGGACTGTGAGGATGCGAAGCCGATCGGTGACGTCGCCGGGTTGCCAATCACCACCGTTCTCAACGTCGAGGGCAGGTCAGCGATCGCACCGGAGCCCGACGCCTCCGAGCCCTGCATGGTTCATTTGATATGAAGCCAGAAGAGAAAGGATGCAAAGAAGGTGGATGGGTGGGAGGGAGGATGAAGTGGGTGGAGGGAGGTGAGAGAGTGAGTGAGTGAGAGTCGGAGAGAGAAGGGAAGAGGCGGTCGGGGTTATCTAAGACGCTTGCGGCGTCACTTTCCACCAAACAGACAGGTCTCGGATGCAAGGTATACGATTACTCCTCTCCGTTTGCCCTCTGTATGCTTCTTGGTGTTTTCCATATTCTTAAGGGCTCATCGACCTTGCCGACCGAGAATAATGAGGCCTGTCCTACCTATCGTATAGCGCATCCCTAGTGAACTAACTGCCAGCCTCCTCTTCTCCTCCCCTCCCCTCTCCTCTCGGCCTCTTTGCCCTTCTTCCTCCCTACCCCTGCACTCCTTACGGCTCCCTGCTGGAGGTACTTCCTCCTGCTCCATCCACACGCCCACAATGCGCTCGGCTGCAGCTTTTCGAGACCACTGCGCAAGCTTGACCGACGTCACGATCAACCCGGTCGACTGCTATCGGATCCACCTGGCAGTGACGCCCACGTCTTGCGATAAATACCCAGGTCAGTAAGCTTCGACTTCACCGTAATTGACAACCGCCCTACCATTTTCCCCTCCATGCTCCTCTCTCACCCTACTGGTGATCGCGCGACCGTCAAGCTGACCGGCATCCAGCGAAACAACATGCACGCAGCACTGCCCGCAAGCTCGGCGTCTCAAGTGGACTCATCTTTCTGGCCGGAGAGCCCACAATCAATTGGCGCGACTCCGACCAAGGGCGTCCGTTTCGACAGCGCCGATACTTCTACTACCTCTGCGGGGTAGAGGAGCCCGACTGCGCGCTGACATACGATATCGAATCGGACGCGTTGACACTGTATGTTCCGGACTTTGACCTTCACCGTGCGATCTGGATGGGACCTACACTCTCCCGGGAGGAGGCACAGGATCGCTACGATGTGGATTACGTTCGATATCAGGCATCGCTGAAGGGGGAGTTGGAGTCCTGGCTCGGCTCACGAGGGAAAGACAGCCTGCTGTATCTGCTGCATGAATCTGAGAAGCCGGATGGCCTGTCGGTGAGCTCATCGCTGGACGTGAAGCAGCTCCTAACGGCCATGGACGCAGCGCGGGGAGTCAAAGATGAGTACGAAATCCGGATGATCCGGCAGGCCAACAAGGTCTCAGCGCTTGCCCACCGGAGAATTCTGGAGAATATTCAGGGCATGTCGAATGAGTCGCAGATTGAGGGTCTGTTCCTGAATACCTGTATCTCCCACGGGGCTCGGAATCAGGCCTACCAAATCATCGCTGCCTCGGGGCCCAATGCGGCTGTCCTGCACTACCAGCGGAATAATGAATCTCTTCGCAATAAGCCTCTTGTCTGCCTGGATGCCGGTGCAGAGTGGAATTGTTATGCCAGTGACGTGACGCGAACCTTCCCGCTATCGGGCGAGTGGCCCAACGCCTACGTCCGGGATATTTATAAACTGGTGGAGCGCATGCAAGAGGAGTGCATCAAGCAGATCCGCAAGGGCGTTCGGTTTTTGAATCTGCACCGTCTGGCCCATGACATTGCTATCGACGGTTTATTGGCTCTCGGGGTGCTCAAGGGTGGCAGCGTCAGTGAGATCTACAAGTCGGGTGCATCCCGCGTGTTTTTCCCACACGGTCTCGGCCATCATGTTGGACTGGAAGTCCACGATGTGTCCGACAAATCCATCATGGCCATGTATCCGTTCATCGACCGCGGCTACTACGGCCCGATCTTGACCTCCACCTATCTCTCCCCCTGTACCTACTCTGCACCGCTGTTGGAGCCGGGCATGGTTGTTACCGTGGAGCCGGGCGTCTATTTCTCGCCGCTCGCTCTGGCGGATGCACGCAAACAGTCCTTTGCCAAGTATATTGACTTCGAGGTTGCGATGAAGTACGTTCCCATTGGTGGTGTGCGCATTGAGGATGATATCCTGGTCACTGCCACTGGCTACGAGAACCTAACTACCGCGCCGAAGGGGGAGGAGATGCTCTCGATTATTCGGGGATCTACGTAGGAATGCGTGAATGTATATATGATACCATACCCAGCAGAGCATCCGGTACCTGCATCTCAGTTTCTACAGTCACAAATAGAATGAATCCCCGAATTCACTGGCAGATCGCCAACAGTTATGCACATAAACCGGATCCCCCCAGTCCCGGACCGTACGTCAGGATGTGTCGATCAATTGGCGTTCCCCGCAGACATGTATAGGTCTGGCAGAGTCCTTTTCCGTCCTCCACCACCACTCACCATGGAGATCGCTACACCGCAAGCACCCATAAACGAGGGCGCCACCTCCCCGCCCCGAAATGTCGACACAGATCTGATATTCTGGAGACGGCCAGCGGACTTGCGCCTAGTCTCCGATTTCACCAAAGTCGGCCGGGAAGAAGGCGTGGCGGCGATGAAGAATCTCGAGGAAGAGCATCGCATTCACGTTCACGACCTCCACGGCCACGAGTCGGATTTCTCCTTGCACCAGAACGGCTTCCAGTATGTCTGGCACGAGATCCCCGAGCTCGGCAGCGCTGCGGATGAAGAGCAGGTGCAGAATTTCATCATCCCTCGAACGGAGGATTTGGTCAAGAAATTGTATGTCGGTATTTTGCAAGTAAGTCGTGAGCATCTAGCTAAGGAATCCAACCACGCAACAAAAACAGAACCGGGGCATCGCGAACCAAAACATTCAAGCACCGGGTCCGCTGCCTAGCCAGCGGACCAGCCATGTTTGCCATAATCGCGCCCCTGCACACAGCGTGCACTCGGACTTCACCGTCGCCGGCGCGCTGCGCAACCTCGCCAACACGATCCCCGATTCAGAAGAGCGCGAGCAGCTTCTATCCAAGCGGGTGATGATCGTCAACATCTGGCGGCCCTTGAAGACCGTAACCAGAGACCCGCTGGCGGTCTGTGACTGGGGGTCCCTGAATCACAAGAACGACGGCATTGCCAACCGGCTCGTTCTGCCGGGGGGTGGAATGAGCTGGGGAAGTATGCTTTCAATGAGTCCCAGAAGTGGTATTATCTGAGTGGTCAGCGGCCGCAGGAAGCTTGGTGTTTTTGCAGTTTGATAGTGAGCGGGCCGAGGAGGGTGGCGTTACCGTTCCTCATACTGCATTTGTGGATCCGGCGTTTAGGGATGGGCCGCCTCGGGAGAGTATTGAGATTAAGATGTTTGCGTTTTTTTAGTCAGTCTGCCTCGCTGCCTTGAGCTATTTTCCGTGACGAATTCCCTTGGTTTGAGGCAGCCGGATGTCGTTGCCTAGTCGCCTGATGGCGTCTCCGTCCGGCCCGAGCATGCCGATCGTCGCTGCGACAATTATTAATTATTGCCCCGGCTCCGACGGCCATACTTGCGCGTTATTTTTCGTTCGTCATGTAAAATGCTCAATCGTTAGCGTCTAGACGCGATTTGCAATCTGGCATGCCATCATCCATCAGCTGAGGCGATCGATCGATCGGTCATGGGCATTCCACGCAACCCGACCTCGATCACGCGAGTCCACGGCATCGACCCGTGGCCTTGACTCAATAGATTGCGTCAGTCAAATGACACCATTCCATAATCACGCCTTTTTTTTTTGTAGGAGTAAACTATCGAGCGGGCACCATTCCTCGCCGCGATAAGGTGATCTGCCCACCCGGTCCGGTTGCCTGAGTGGGTACCTGCCTACTGCCGTGACTCACATCGCCGGGATCTATAAAATCTGGATGAACCCTGCCGCACATCTTTCCCTGCTCTTCTTTTTTCTCGGTACCTCATCTCATCCTGGCAAGGAGGTGATGGTCACTCCTCTCTCCTAAAAAGTTCTTGTGCTTGTGATTGCCACTGTCATTTGCTTGATTTCTCTCGTTTGGACATACACTACTACCTACGCCACAGCCATCCTCCCGAGGATGGGCCAGAGGCACAACAGACGTCGCACTCGTCCTCGCTCTCGCAATAGAAACCAGCTGCCGCACGATCAAGACACAACCACTCCGACGCCCGTCTGCCCGGGTCCTGGTTCTCCATTGGCGGTTCCATTATCATCCATCTGGAGCCCCCAGTCCACCGACGCAGAGCCGACCCCTATACCCGTCTCTGCCGTATGCTCATGCCCTTCACGCGGACCTGCGGGCCTAGGAACCCCCGCCCCGACCTGGCACTATGGGTATACGACTTGGCAGACCCGTGAAGGCGTGCGCGACACGAGCAGCACGGTAGAGGCGGCGCAGTGTCGTGTGTTCGGTGGAGAGCCGGGCGACGATGTGGCTTTATGCGAGCGCATGCTGGAGTATTTTGGTGGACTCGACTATATCAATTCGTGAGTTTGTTTGTCATGCCTTCTCCGCGGCACGTTCCTGACTGTATTTGTGATCAAGAACACCGCACACTACTCTCGGTGATTGAACTCCCGCCCATCCGCCAAAAGGAGAGTTGGGTCCGTGTGGCTATTGCCTTCGCGGCGAAGCTTGCGGCATAGATGGAGAGAAAAAGAACGAACGTACTGTGATCAGCTTTCGATTCGAAATTCCATCAACAGGCCTCGCAGTAAGAGGACGCTCCACAGCGTCCTTCTGCTCCGGATCGATACCGGCTGCGACGGCGAGAACACCAGTGTTCCCATGGACAACATCCGGGTCCCACGACTTGTAGCAATGAAGATACCCCGATGCAGGGTATTGGATTGGTCCACCTCGACCCGGCCATGGGGATTGTTCTGGGTTGCTAGTCCCGCGCCGCACCGTGGATCGTCTTCTGACTATCACCAGCCTCTGTGAAGTTTATGTTGATCCAGGATTGGTCGAGTTCGCGTCTCTAGTTAAAGTGACGCTTGAGTTCCCGATCTTGGGCGCATAATAAGTCACAGAGCGCAGTGCGGCGCTGGGAACGAGTGCTTCATGGCTAGACAATTAGTCATTTGGTCCGCAGCAGCTGTTCTAGCCAATTCCTTCCCCGCTTCCTTCCTACAGAGTAGTATAGTGGCAGAGTGACTTGCAGAATATAATTCACGTTGCTTCATAGAATGAATTTCGTCAATAATAAGTAGAGACTACGATACTCACCGCCTTCGGGCCCGGCAGAACTCGCGGGCGGTCAGACCCTTAAAGGACACCGTCTACTGACCCAAAGTGGAAGTGAATCGATACTCCGTTCCTCCCCTGCATCGCTCCTTTGTTTCTCTCCACTATTCCCAGGGCCAGCTTTGAGGTCGCTGATTTCTAATATCTGATTTCTCTTCTCTCCCACTGTTCCCCCGTCTCGCCTGTCCAGTGTGGCACCAGCCTTGTCCAAAACAACGATCGTTAAATTCCGCGGACAGCGGCCGCCGCTGTCTGTACCCTGAACTCGCCTCAGGATGTCGTCAGATTACACCTACGATGAGCAGGTATGGTATAGCTCTTCTTCATCCGCGAAGAATCCGCTAACCTCGTGTCTTCGCGCCATCAGGGACAATTCTTCCCCTTCTTCATCCTGACGTTGACTGGCCTGGTCACCCTCCCTCTCACCTACAACCTCCTCAAACCAAGCAAAGGTAGGCTGACCTGGGCGCTTATGAATACCTGGATACTAAAGTCTATGCGCCACATACAGAGCTCGAAAACACCGCTCCCCGCATCAAATCCGACTTCAAACCTCAACATGGCGACCTCATCGAGGCACAGAAGCGCAAACGCCTGCGCAAGGAGCGCCGGATCAAGCGTATCGTCACGGTCATCCTGGGATACTTGGTGATGGCATGGATGGTGTATTTGATCCTCGTCACGGCGCGGACAACGCCCAAGTTGTACGATCCGTATGAGATCTTGGGGATCGCACGGGTGAGTTGTGGTGGTGATAGCCCAGCATTTCAATACTAACTCTTCTATTCAAGAGCGCCGACGAAAAAGCCATCTCCAAACACTACAAGCGCCTCTCCCTCATCTACCACCCCGATAAAATTCGCCCCGATGCCGCCAAGAATGAGACCGTCGAGATGCTCAACGAGCGCTTCCACGAACTCACCCAGGCCTACAAAGCGCTGACCGATGAGGATGTCCGCAACAACTACCTCCAATATGGCCACCCGGATGGCAAGCAGAGCTTCAGCATTGGCATCGCGCTGCCCAAGTTCATTGTCACGGAAGGCAATCAGAAATACGTCCTGCTAGTCTACGGAGCCCTGCTAGGTGTTCTCCTTCCGTACATTGTTGGCAAGTGGTGGTACGGCTCCCAAAGATATACCAAGGAACGTGTTCTTATTGCTACCGCTGGCAATATCTTCCGCGAGTACAAAGAAGACATGACAGATGGTGATATCGTTAGCGCTCTCTCCTCGGGCGAGGAGTTTAAGGATATGCTTCAGGGTGCCCAGGCAGATTATGGACTAGGGAAACTGGAGAAGAAGGTGCTGGCAGACGATTCCTCGTTCCTCTCCGCCAAGGACCGCGAGACCCTCAAGAAAATCGACAACTCCGCTCGCCGGAAGGCGCTGGCTTTGTTGTGGGCGTACCTTGGCCGAGTGGAGCTGGATGATACAACTCTTGATGCTGGTAAGTTTGTTTTGTTTTATGATTTTACGGGTAGCGCTGACTCGTCGCCAGAAAAATACGAAGCTGCTCCCATCGCCCCTCTCCCTAAGCGAGGCATTCAATGCTATCGCGCTGGCCTTTGGTAACCTGCGACCTATTATTGGTGCTTTCCAATCATCTCAAAACCTCATCCAGGCGGTCCCACCGGGCTCGTCGCCGCTCTTGCAACTTCCCAACTTCACCAACGCCGTCGTCAAATCCGTCGAGGGCCAACATTCCAAGGATCATCTCACCGTCCAAAGTTTCATGAAGATGCCCGAGGACCAACGCCGCAAACTTACGGTTGGTGCTGGTCTGTTGTCGGAGAAGCAGTACACCGAAGCCCTCACAGTCGCACGGCAACTGCCTGCGCTTGAGGTCTCCAAGGCATTCTTCAAGGTTATGGGTGAGAAGGTCATCACACCGAGCAGTCTGGTACAGCTAGTCGTGAAGGCCCGACTCATCCCACCAGGATGCACCAACGTGCCGGCGGTTAATGAATTGGACCTGGAGGACGTCGACCCCGATGAAGACGACCTGGACGCACTGATGGGGCGTAAGGCGGCGAAGAACAAGACCGTCAAGATTGTCGACGGCAAGAAAGTCGAGACCAAGTTGGAGACAATCCAACCACCTCTGGCCCATGCTCCTTACCTCGCTCGCGACCACTCTCCGCGCTGGCACATCTTCCTGGCAGACGCCAAGCAGGGCAAGATGGCCGTGCCGCCGTTCACCTTCACAACGTTCGACAAGCCGCTCTTCGACGAAGCAGGCAAACCCACCTTCAACGTCCAGACACTGAAGATGCAATTCCAAGCTCCCCCGCAGGTCGGCGACTTCACCTTCGTCATGCACATGCTCTGCGACAGTTATCTGGGGCTAGACAGCAAGGTGGAAATCACCCTGCACATTGACGACCCTGCCAAAGCGGTGGCCGTGGAGGAGGACGATGATATCAGCGAGCCAGACGAGGGTAAGCCTTACTCTCCTTCTTTTTTTCTTAACTGTGACCATTCTAACCCCCTTCTTCCAGACTCCATCGCCGGCCAAATGCACGCCCTCAAGACGGGCAGCGTGCCCAAGAAAAAGACACAAAAGCCCTCCGAAGACTCCAGCGAGGATGATAGTGACACCGACGGCGACGCAGGTGATACCAGCGACACCAACACAGAAACGGACGTCGAGGATTAATTTACCCGAATCTACGCTGCATTGCGTGGCACTTTGCATTGATTGATGAGGTTTTTCGTTTTTCTGCTCGGACCTTTCCTGTGTCTGTGTGTATTTGTGTGTGTAACATGCGAGGGGAAATGGGCCTTGGGCATGGGCGAGGGGATCGGATCTCTCTCTCTGTGTCTGTCTTCTTGTCTCTATCGGGTAGCCTCAGGGGATCCTTTTCCTTTTTTACACTTGTTATATCGTTATACTATCTGTGTCTCTTGTTTTCCCCCGTCTATTTCTGTTTCTCCTATCCGTCCGACGTTACCCATAGATGTGGAATTACAAAAGATTTTTTTCTTCTTCCTCTACAAGGATTTCCCCTGAGTTCGCGTACCCATGTCTTTTTCTACTGGTGTATCATGTATCATTCCTTCCAAGTCTCTGCTGGGTATCTACCTGGTGCCATATACTCGATCTATGGGTATCCATGCCCTAGCTACCATAGTCAGTGGTACCAAGGCCATGGCCATGACCATGATTCCTTCGGGGTTCTAGACCTGGATGGACCGTGTTGATGGATAGTTCTGTGTATCGATCCTGTATGTCGTCCTCGCCCCCGAGGATGCATGTCATTTGAGAAGACAGCTATATAGAAACATGCAGAATCACAGGGAGCTTGGATGAATTGATTGAGAGCTAGGTTTTGTTGAGATGCCCTGTCCTGCATAAATAAAATAAATACATGTACGCCTGAAGGCTAACTGATAATATTGCCATACATGACTATTTTGGACGTAACTTTTCGTCCTCTTCCAAGAGCATAGAGGAGGATATCAACCAAAAGGACTAAGTCAGCAAGGAAAATGTATGGCAATGATAGAGTCAGTGACCTCTTCACATAGTCGACGGATTGATTTAGATCCTAAGAGCAGAGAGACAAAACAAAGGTGTCTGGGGTTCTCTGCAACTTTGCATTAAGGACATAATATATCGCCCTTTTATATGCGAGTGTGTATCCCTGTATGTCTTAATTTGCTCCAGACTACCCAGGAAGCAATGCAGAAAATACGTCAATAGAGATTTATCATGCAGTCAACGTTCGAAACCAAGAAGACTGCATCTCCATTAAGTCACCAGGTATATATATAACTGATCGGGACATCACCGGAGTTCATGATCTCGAATACATCCATTTCTAAATATATACCCAAATAAGTCTACCTATCAACCACACACAACCACTCTATAACCAAAGGGCCTAGATTGATAGGACGGTTCTGAGTCTAGATATAGGCACCAGTGAATCGAACCCAAAAGCGGAGCAGTCTGTGCCCGGGAGCGAGTGAAAGATTCTTGCCAAAGTAGAATCCCGAATCTAAATCCTAAATGGGGAAAAGTAAGTAATGAGAGACTCAAGGAAATAAACACCGTTCCTTCTCCTTGCAAATGCCAGTGCACATGCTCGTAGCTATGCCAATTCCTTGCGATTCCATCTTCAAGTGGTAAACTCCATCAGAATCAAATCAAATCAAATTCTAACCTGAACTGGCCTGCTTTGCCTTGTCCTGCCTGCCTTGCCCCGATGTGTGAATATGTGACCTGTAAATATAACCGTAACTGTAAATGCAAAAGGGGTATTGAGATATTGGATAAATAAGTCAAAACACCAAAATACAAAACAAGATCCCTCTCTCTCTTCTGTTCATCCCATAGAGTGAAGCAAGTAGAGCGAGTGGAAAAAGTTTCATATCGGACCGAGAGATGGAAACCAGGCTGCAAAAATATAGAGAAGAAGCGAAGAGAGATAGACTCATTGTGGCCGGAGCATGCAAACACCAGCTAGTCTGTGTGTCTACCCCCCTGCACCGATCAACCCGCCGGGAAAGTCCAACCAGGCGTAAATTCGTGATAGAACGAAGCCTCCTGATTTTGGTAGTGATAAACACCGCCAAGCATGTCACTAGACATGCCACCGCCGGAGAGATGCTGGGGATGGGGATGCGCATCGGCCATTATGCCGATAGCAGGTGGAACACGCTGCGTGGCGGGTTTATTGTTGGCACCACCTGGCACTCCTCCATCCGAAGTATCCATGTAATATGGAAAAGCCGCGGAATCATGGGACACGGACGATCCAGCAGACACGTCGATATGGGACGGGATCTCATTTGGTGCTAGATCTGTAGCAACATCTCCTCCTAGGGAGTTGCGCTGCGCGGCCATCATATCATGCTGGAATCCATTTTCTGGGTAGCTGTGGTGATACGGAGGCTGATGGTGAACGGGCTGCATCTCCCACGACCAGCTGTGTGACTGGTTGCGTCCTCCCGGGAGGGAAGGGGTTGGCACCGGGACAGGACCTGGGTTGTTGCAAGTGGAGGAAGATGGAGAGGAGAGCACTGTTGGGGAGGGCTCCGGAGGAGTAGCTGGTTCAGGGGACGGTTCGGCCGTGGCGCTGCATTCAGTTGATGTGGATAGCAGGCGGAGGTAGCGCAGGTCCTCGGAGTCCTCGTCCGGGTCATCTGCGTTTTCTTCGGCTTGCTTGATCAGCCCTAGGCGGTCGAGGATCGTGTGTGTTAGAGGATAGCCGTCTGGTGCTTCGGCAAGTGGCTCGCCGGGGAAGCCTTCGTTGTTGATGCAGAACTTGTATAGTTTCTGGAGTGCCTTGACGACTAATGAATGGTGGGACTCGAGCATCTCGACAAATCTATTTTCAATTTCATAAATATTATTTCCTTTGATGAAACGAGGTTCGAGTACGTACCCCCGAGAGTAAACTTTCGTCTGCGTGGCCTTTCTCTCGCGGAAGAGACATGGATGGTTGTATATCGAGCAGCGGCTGCAGGGCTGTTTCCCATCACACTATGTAGAGACAACATGAGCACGAGCAAGAGCATGGCGCATAGATAGATTTCTCCCCCGGACACGACAAGACAAACCTTAGTCTTCTTCACGCGACACCGATCGCACGCCTTGAGAACATGCTTGCGCTTGACCCGGAACACGCGTTGATCACGTTTGTCCTCTACGTTTCGGGAGAGGTGCTCCAACTCCGCGAGGGAATCTACGGCGGCGAAATCGTTCAAGGTATGCGGGAAGCCCTTGGGACGGAGCTTAGGCTGCCACGACATGGTCGGTTGGTTAGGGCTAGGCTTGCAATAGAGGAAGACGGAAATTAAGGGTATAGTTGAGCAGAGCGGGACGAAAATGGGGGGAGGTGGGGTGGGTGATAAGTGAGGTTCAGTCAGTACTTGGCCACGAGAGATAAATGAGCTACTACATCGTGGTTAGTTGGCAGTGAAGCACATAGTCCCCTCACGCCTCCGCACTTAAGAAGTGACGTGGGCGAGGGAGCGGTGTCAGGCATGGCAGGGCAGGGCAGGGTAGGGTGTCAGAATGTCAACTAGCAGGGATGTGTGTGTCTGTGGCAGGTACAATAATAATACCATGTAGAAGGCTTCACTTTGTTTCCAAGAAGCCAAACCCCACCCCCGGTCGTTCGGACAGCGAAGAAGGAAAACAGCATCGTCTGTGCGCGGGATGAGCGTGTCCTGGCTGGCTGGCTGGCTGTCTGTCTGTCTAGCAGGCATTTGCTGTTCATTTCGTTGCATACGGGCTCATGTCACATGGTACATATACATAGATCTAAGTAACCCAACTAACTTAACAAAGAGACTCGGATAGATTCATCCGCACGCACACGTGCGATGCTAGCGGCTGAAGGAACCGAGCCCGTGTCCAGTGTATGCATGGTAACCCAATCAGACACCCCTGTCTTTGCTGCGGTGGACGCTCGAGAAAAGAAAGAAAGGCGACAAGACAAGAAAAGGGGAGGCCAGTGCTTTGCTATCTGTCTGTCGGTGTAAAGGAATAATCACCCCTTCCCAATCATCACCTGATGGGCGACACAGGTATTTTTACTATTGTCTTACTATTTTTACCGTATGATGCATGTACAGACACGACACGACAAACACACCACCCAGCCCATATCGGAATGGGCTGTCGATCGTGTTTCTCCAGTGTGACGGCGGTAGAGACCCTGATACATCCAACAGCATTCATACAGTATTGAGGCCTGATTTCAGCGTGGGCACAGGGGCCCGGGGTTAGGATAGGTAGGAAGGAGAGGCGGGAGAAATAAGGGAGTGGCTGAGTTGGGGCTATATGCGCACTGAGCAGAGGAAGCAAGCAGAGCGGAATGATAAGCATCTCATCTTTAACTAACGTACGTATCTACAGTGGTAAAATAATTCCATGCTAGATCAAATCTAGCTCGGCCAAAGGCGATCAACGCCCTCTCCTCTCTTTCACTTTCACTGTTCATTTCCTCCTTGTTTATCTCCGATAAATTCGCCGGCCTGCGCCGTTTCAAGAGCCCGAGAATCCCCGGACGCATATTGGCAATCAATATTGATGAACCAAGAGCAAGATCCCCTTATTGGCTCCCCGGCACATACTCGCCCAATGACAAGCATTCATCACCGCTGGCACAATCAGCGGGATGATCAGCAGGGCATCGGGTAATCCACCCGGCGAGAGAACACTTTTTGCGTGGCTTCCTTTGCTTCTTTTTCATTCCATCGAATCAAATCACGCAGAGGATGATCCCCCCGGCAGCACGATGCTAGCTTCGCCCTTGGCAAGCAGATCGAAGCTCTCCTCGCTCGTGGCTGTGGTCGGGGAGCTCGGCGGGTATTCTGATGACGCGACTGTTTTGGACTGGGCAGCAGCCGTTCCTGGCCGCCCGTCTGACGGCACCTGCCAGCGTCGATCGCCGACCCATTCAATCCCGTCACCTGCGCCGCTGATTCCCAGCTTGCGACGCTGGCGCTCGCGCTCGAGGAGGGGCAGTTCGTCGTCGTCGCGCTGGTTAGGGTCATGTGTCTGCTCCAACAGTCCCAGATTGCGGCGGTGCCATTCGCCAACAAACAGGCCATCCGGGTCAGCCTCTTTCCGGACGCGCAGCCACTCGTCCATATCGCTCCCGTAAAGCGCGAGCAGCTCGTGCGGGCCGCGAGTCGTAAAGTTCTTGGCCCAGTGCGGGCGCGCGCCCATGTCCCGCATCAGCCACTCGAAAGCCTCGTAGTAGCGCTCCTTGCAGGGCGGGTCGCGGAGGTATGGCCGGTAGAGCGTTGCGTTGAGGTAGAGCGTTGGTCCCGTGCTGGAGGTTGGGTCCAGGAACGGGCGCGGGTTGGTGTTGAGTGTTGAGTCTGACACGCGCACTTCGATGGGGCAGTGTACCCACAGGCCCTGTACGGGGAATGGGATGCGTGCGGTCTCTGCGTCGCCGTTCAGCCATGCCGACAGCCGGGTTATAGCTTCGGGGCCCTTTTCTAGAGGGAGGGCCCACTCGTTCACAAATTGTGAGTATAGACAGTTCATTAGCAGACCTGTCCGAGCGGGCTCGACGGCTTCGGTGATTGTTGACCCGGCGCGGAAGCCGTACTGCATGCCGAAGACGAACCACTCGACCCACGGCAGGATCCGGGGTACATAGTTCGACAGCGCGAGCAGGTTGTGGTAGATGTGGTATCCCAGGGACTCGCCGTAAAAGTTGATGGGAGGAGGCTGCAGCGGACGGTCTGTTTTATCGGCGCGCCAGACAATAGCGCCGCTCAAATACGGTAGCCACCAGACGCGGACAAATTCATGCGACGTCCACAGACCGGTCGACCACTCGTCCAAAACCTTGGACAACGGCAACCGTTCCTGGCGCCAAGCGATGTTGAAGGTCGGCCTCGCCTTGAAGGTGACTTCAACGATGATCCCCAATGCTCCGAGCGACACCAGCGCTGCGCGGAACAGCGCCGGGTTATTCGTCGCGGTGCAGCGCACGAGCTGGCCATTCGCCAGAACCAGACTCAGCGCCTCGATGCATTCAGAGAGCAGTCCATGACGTAGCGAGCTGCCATGCGTACCCGTCGCGATGACACCGGCAATGGACTGGCTATCAATGCTGCCCAGGTTGGCGAGGGTGAGCCCATGCTCTTCCAGCCTCTCACCCAGCTCGCTGAGCCGTATCCCCGCCTCAACAGTAACAGTGTGTGTAACTGGATCGACGGCCAGGACACGATTGAAGTCGTCGAGGTTCACCAGCCATGACGAGGTGCAGGTAAGATCGGAGGGCGAGTGGGCGCTGCCGACGGTGACGAGACGACGGCGGCAGCGGCGGGCGAGGGTGATGAGCTGCTGGATCTCGGGGATGGAGCGTGGGCGGATGTACAGCTCTGGACGAGAGAAGAAGGTCTTGGCCCAGGTGTGATGCAGGTGGGATGTGCCGGAGGTGCGGAACGGCACCGCGGGATCGAGCTTGGAGAGCTCGCGAGAGATCGTGGGGTCCATGATGTCGTGAATTTCTTTGTCCGAGGCGATCACGGCATGCTCGGATGTCACATTGCCGTCGGAAGGGAGGGGGATGAATTATTGCCAGGCCTTCGGAATTGTTGGGGGAGGAAAAGGAAAGGGGAAAGATAAGTGACAGTCTAACGGGGGCGCTAGAAAAAAAATAGTTGATGGCGACATCACGATCCCTCGGCCCACCAGTGCCGAGAATTATAATATACATGGACTAATTCTCCGACTCAAGACATCCTCAGGAGCTGATCGATCGATCGAAATGAATGCAACATAAAACAAATAAATTCCTTAGATGCACCTATGTACGGCCTGTGTACATCATCCCAGATGCTCCATCCACGCTGTCTACAAAAAAGACTTCTCTACCTCGACGAATGTGCTTTGTACAACCCAATATGCACAACGAAAATAACAGTAAAAATATCAAGACGACCCTGGGGGAGTCCGGAGAGCTTCAATCGCCACATCCAAAGAAAACACACACGGCGCGCGTAGGGCGTGCGGGTCCCATTTCCGGAAGGCTGCTTGGCAGCGATCCGGAATACCGCCCAGCGCGACGAAGCTCTTGGGGATGAAGGGCCGGTCCTGGAGTGAGGTGGCTAGGATGCCGTACTCGTGCGCGAAGATCACGGCTGAGGAGAAATCGGCTGATTTCTGCGTTGCTTGTTCGCCGACGATTCTGTTCCAAGTAGCATCAGTATCTATGTCCAGAGCAGGTAGACACGACTTACACGTAAAGTTCAAAGAAGGTATCCAGAATGTAGATGTCCTTGCCAGTCAGGTCCTTGTAGCAGAAAGGTTCAATTTCCTGAACGGTATCGTTGGGCCGAGTCACCGGCGACCCGGAGCCGGGCCGGCGCATCCAGAAGCGTGGCGCCTGGCCTAGCTCGTGGTCGACGCGCAGGAGCCGAGTACCAAAATGGTCAAACTTCGGCTTGAGTTGCCAGTAGTCCGATGCCATGGTAGATGGTGCAGACACACGGGAGCCTGCAAACACATCGAAGAAGCTCTCCGGTTCTTCGTCCTCCACTACCTCCTCGAACTCGCCCGTCAGACCGAGATCCATGCTGATGAGCCGCGCGGCGCCGGTTTCCTCGGGTCCGCTGCCTTTGCCCTTCCACAGGTATAGCTTGCCGAAGGGCGCAGAGATGACGAACGGAAAGCCAGAGCACAGGTGGCGGAGTGAATAGTCGACCTCGTCAAAGGCCATTTGACCCAAATACCTTCGTCCGCAGAGCATGTACAGAGCCGACGAGCTGGAGCGGGAGCTTGGCCCTCGACGAGTGATGATAATCCCGCCGAGTGCTTGGATGAACCGCGCCGGCTCCTTACCTTGTCGGATGAGTTCCAGCTTGCAGCCATTCTCGCGGGAGACTTTGCGAGCGAAGAGCTGTGTGTCTTCGAACGCGGCCTCTCCAACGTCGTCTCCGCACCAAAGGTATACTTCGGTGGTGGTGTTTCCCTGTGTTTCAAACACGTGCACGCAAAGGTACATGCTGCCCTCATAGAGTATGTACTCCTGATTGACTGGGAGCTCTTGGCGCCTGCCGTCGCCGGTCATCTCCCAGATTTGCTTTTTAGTCGTCCGGATTTTCGGCTCGGCCGGTTTGCCGGTCAGCATTAATTGGGGGTCGATATCCACTCGGTCCCGTTGGTTAGGGAAGGTCTTGAAGAAGCCCGCAACGACTTCCCGAGCCTCCGCTGCCTTGGCTACCAACGAAGGGGCAGACATCTTGCGGGACAGCCGGTTGCGCGGGTCAACAGGTTTATCAAGCGAGATATCGAACCGCTTGGGGGGAATAGGGGGAGAGGCGTGGCTCTTCATCCGGGGAGAAGGGTCATGAGTCTCGGCCAGCGCCACGCCAGGGATGCTCTTGGGTTGAGGCGTGGTCGGTGCATCCATGCGGTTCTCCCTGTAGCTGGTCCGGAGTGGAGACGGAGAAGACGAACTGTGTCGCGTCTGTTGGCTCCATCGTGGCTTGGCGGATACAGGAGGCGATGAGGACGGAGATGGGCTAGGTTTTGGTGGGATTGGCGGTTTGCTCAACGGGCTCACCTCCTCCGCGGAACTTTCAGGCTCACGAGATGCACCTTCAAGACTGCGAAGAGTAGCCTCGTTGGATAATACCCGCGGCTTCGGCGGAGGCGTTTGAAGCCTCGGTTCAAGTCCGTTGTTCAGCAAATCCTGGAAGCTGTTACGCTTCTTTTCTGGCACTGGTTTGGGCGAAGGTTTGGCTGGTTGTGTGGGACAAGGCTGCGAGAGGCTTTCTGCACTCTTGTCCGAGTCAACGGGTACAGGACCAGGCTGGGGTTTCTTGACTTCAGGAGGCGAAACAACACCAACCTCTTTGGAATCCCGCGAAATCGACGGGGCGCTGCCTTCGGATGCACGGCTTTGCTCAAATCCGTTGTTGAGCAAATTCTGGAAACTGTTCCGCTTCTTTCCTGACACTGGTTTGGACGGAATTTGGCCTAGCTTTGGGGAAGCAGGCCGCCTGAGGTCCTCCGAACTCCTGCCTGAGTCGACGAGCATGGGACTAGGCTGGGATTTCTTAGATTCCGGAGACAAAACGGCAGTAACCTCCTTGGAATCCTGCGAAGAGGGTGGAGCACTGGCTTTGGGCGCGCGTCTCTTGGGACCTTTCGCACGGCTCTTGGTCATATGGGTGAGAGGCGCAGAGGACGAGGCGGGGGAAGTTTCCGTGGAGACAGAAGACATCACCGGTTCCTTCTTCGGACCCTCTGCCGCAGCAGGAGGACCTCGAGACAGGAGCCCAGCTAAAGCGGGATTGATTCGGCCTGCAAGTTTCCCTTTAGCAGCCAGACTAGGAGGCACAGTCGTTGCTGGAGCGGTGGCTCCCGCAACAGCAGCCGATGGCAGGCCACGAACCGGTTTGGGGGCCTCGTCTGCAGGCTTCTGTTTTGCCTCCACACTTGCTTCAATAACAGCATCGCGAGTGTCGGGATCGGTGGGGGCGGGCTGTGACACTGGATCGGCCACCTCGGATGGAGGTTTAGGCGATTCGTCTTCGGCCGTTGGTGCTGGCGTGGGGTCGGGCACGGTACGCGGAGTAGCAAGATATGGGGAGGATCGCGAAGGCTGCTCGTCAGATGGTTTTCCCCTGATGCTATTTGTCTTTGCCATATTCTGCCGCTTCGCAATGGCCTCCGGCACTGCAGTTGCCGGGCTCGACGGCCTGTCGTCCTCACCGGCGGTGTTTCGTCTCACGGAGCCGCCACCGGCCTTCATCGCCTCCTTCTGCTTCAGAATACTCTCCTTGAATTCATCGACTCGCTGGGTCTTTTTTGGACCACCGGTCAGGTTCAATGCCGCCTTGCCTCGTAGAATATTGCTCTTGAGCTCGTCCGGCGCAACGTAGTTCTTGGTCTCGGTCTTCTTGAGCCTGCCGAATACATTCTTGAACTCTGGCTCATCCTTGGGCCCAGTGTCTTGAGCCACCTCACGTTTCCGGAGGTTGGCTCGGAAATCAAGCGCAGGTGATCGGGGCTTCGGCTGCGGGGAGACAGGCTCTCTAGAAGGCCCTGGCGAAATAGAGAAATTCGGTTTGGGGCTCAATGCAGGGGGTGGCGCCTTACGAGTCTTTTCAGGCTCAGGGGTGCGTTCTGGCTCTGGCTTCTGCTCCGGAGATTGCGCCATTCGCGCTGGAGAGATAGGTTTGTTTTCCTCTTCTACAGGCTTCATCGGCTCAGAATTCTTGTCGGCAGTAGGCGAGGGTGACTCTGGCACCGCTTCCTTTGACTTGGCCAAATCCGGGCTGGCATACAGAGAGGGAACTCCGCTGACGCTGGGCTTTTTGAAGTGGGTACCGGGAGGAGGTGTTCGCATCAAGCCCACTGGATTGACTTCTTTGAAGTTTTTGACGCTGCCCATGTCAACGCTACCCCTGGCTTGGCGGTCCTTCATCCACGATGGCTGCTCAGATGGCTGCCGGTTATGGCGTGGGGAGTCGGGTCGATTCAGTGCGCTCTCCAGCCAGGAGGCCTTGGTAGGGCTCCACCGCTTGGGATCCATAGTCCTAGAGACAAACGGAGTAGACTGATTGTCCTGCTTGTCTGTAGTCATCGAGCTAGTGGATCTCGAGTGCGAAGATGGAGGTCGCCTTGTAGGACTACCAGTTGCACTCGTATTATCAACAGGAGCACCAGCGGTGACAGGTCTGGCGTTGGACTCCGTTGGTTGCACTGTAGTTGCCTCGCTGTGACTCGAGCTGGGTCGTTGGGGTTGTATGTCTCGTCCAGATCGAGAACCAGTGGAAGTTGTCAGATCACTGACACTTGCATTCAGGGTTGGAGGCGCAGCACTGCTGAAGTTTGAGACCACCGAATTGGATCGGCTAAGCCGTTGAGGGACCTGAGTACTCCACCGCTTCGAAACGCTATCTGACCGCCTCAACATCGCACTCTGGACAAAGCCACCAAGGCCCTTGGTGGGAGAGGTTGAGCGGGTCCGCTCTGGTGACATCCGGCGCTGTGTCGGGGATGGAGGGACTGAATCGTCCTCCGATGTTTCAGGCACTCGGGGGTTCAGCTTCGGGGCACTCGACAACGGCACCGGCGAGCCAAGTCCCGCGACCAATGTGGAAGCTGTTCTCGGCGAGGAAGGAGGCGCCTCATCAGCCGCCTCTGCCTTCTCGGGCTCGGCGGTCGACTCTCGGCTCATCCCCGGGAGTCTGCGGCCGACTCCCCAGCCTAAGGGCGTGCCGGATGATTCTTCGGTGGCCTTGCGGTATGCCGGTGAACCCGTTCCTCGGTCTGGAGTCTGTCGGAACCACGAGGGATCCTTTGAGCCGAGCGATTGCGCGATCTGAGCGCGCGACAGTGGTTGGTCCTCCCTGGAGGCTGTCGACGCGTTTCTCAAGTGGCTGAAACGGGATGGAGAGGTCGACGCAGGAGATTTGTTGCCCGAGTCTCGCGAGGAGGGGCGTTGCTGCCAGGACAGAGTGCCGGCCCGACTGCGCGACAGCGGCGGCTGGGTCGGTGAGAACGACTCCATCTCGGCGTCCTTGGGCGATGATCCGGGTCTCTTCTGGTCTGTGTTCGGTGACTCTGTGTCTTGGGAACTACCCGGTCTGTCCAGATCGAGCGAGTGCGGCGTGGGCTCCAGGTGTTCTGGGGGTTCAATGGAGGCGCTCATTCGGAAGGCATTGAGAGTAGGTGAGTCCTTCTGTGGGGAAATTGAGCGAGCTCGCTCTGTCGAGGGCATCCATTGTGTTAGATCGATCTTTCCCTCTCCTTTGTGGTGTGTCATAGCTTACCGGCTCGGCGGGCCTGTCTCTCTGCGCGGCCCTGCAGGATCTCCTCTTCGAGACGCTTGGTGCGCTCCTCGTCCTCCTTGTCGCGTCGCTCGCCGAGTTCGCGAATGCGCTGGAGAAAGTCATTCACGTCCTCGGAGGCGGCGGTTGACGACATGGTCAGTCGAGGGTGGGTGTGAGAAGAAGAAGAAGGGAGTGAGTGCGGATTGCGGGAACAACAAGGATTCTCCGCCCTTCAGTCACGAGTGCCGTCATCGGCCTGACCAGACATACATCGTCCTACGATCACGACTGTGGTTTGATTTACTTATGGTGTTTTCTGCATCTACCCATCCAGGCATCATCCGTAAAACCCTGAGTCTGTCCTGCGTCCCGTAGGACAGCGAGGAAAGGTGTGGTGTTGTTTTGTTTACGTGTGGATCGGGTCCCGCTTGATCGGGTCGCGACTGTGGATGGTCCCTATTAGCGATCATTATCGTTCGGACGAACCATTCAGGGCGTGATGAGTGCCAATTAGAAAAAGAAAACCGCATCGTCGGAGGTGTCACATCTGAAGGGTCTGATACTGCCAAGTGACGGGTCACTCCGTTCCTAGGGGAAAGATGACTTCGGGAACTCCGGTTCTTCAATTGCCGTAGGGCTAGATGGAGCATTGCCGAGAATCATCGCGATGTGAATAACGGTCGCAACTTAACTACGGGACCTGGAGACTTGGTGTTCGTCACTCGTGGGGGTATATTGTGGGATATATCTCTGACCAGCCCGGCACATGCAAAATTCCGTCCTCCACCCAACCCAACTAGATCAGATGCAGAATGACACAGCACAGATATCAAACCCGACCGCATCTCGTTGGGCCGTCAGTAGAGGAAAAGCCGGTCCTTGGCGTCCTGTACCACCCACGACAGGCCTTCCTTCAGATTCTTGCCCGTCATAGCACTGCAGGGCAGAATAGTCCATTTATGGGTTTTGATCGAATCCAAGCCCAGTCGCTATGGCAGACACAAGTCAGCAATGGGATCCAGTGATTCCATGCGTCGACTTACCTCCCGGACCTCCTCCTCGGTCATGCACTCTTCCACGTCGGTTTTGTTGAGAAAGACCATGAGACTGGCTCCCATGAGCCGCTGTAGGTACCCAGCTGCGTCAGTGTGGATGTTCCGGGACTGTAGGAGGGAGATGGGATGTTCTCCTACCTCTTCCAGGAGCAGACCAGTTAGCTCCTGGCGGCAATCCTCGACACGCAGGCGGTCAGTGGCGTCGACGACCCAGATCAGCGTGTCGGTCTTTTCAAAGTAGTTTTTCCAGTAGGAACGGAGAGTTCTCTGGCCACCAACGTCCCCTGGAGTGGGTGGTCAGGATGCTTGTTAGCGTGGTTGACTGGTGGGCTCACAGACAGATATTGAGTTTGTATCTGTCTCGCCGAGTCAGTTCACTGTCTGACACAGGACGCGAAGATGGGTCTGGTCTCACCCATTGAAATCAATGGTCTTGATGATGAACCCTAGCGTGGGGCTGACGGTGGTGATGTCCTCGTTCATGATGCGCTTGACGATGGTGGTCTTGCCGGCATTGTCGAGTCCGCTGCCCGATGCGATCAGTATGTGCTGGGACAGAAATCCGAGGGGGATGTACAGCATTAATATCCGCATCTCCTTATCTTTTAACCGAGCCTTGCGCAGGATGGACAACATGGTGCCTGAATGGTGGTGAGTGCATGATTGGTTGGAGTGGAGTGTGAGCGAGTGAGCGGCAGAGGAACCGTTCTGCCGCTCCTGATTGGCACGACGAGAACAACCACCACAACAGGATGATTGTTTCCATATCTCGACCACCAGAGATGAAGATATATTGCATACTGCCGTTCAACCATGACTTGTTTTCGCCTGAGGTATCACGCTATTACCCAACCGGGCACGCCAGGAGTTCTTTACCTCCATTCTCCTTCTCTTCTCTTTCTTCTTCGACGCCGACCCGACCACTTCTTTTCTTTCGTGAAACCCCTTTTCTCTCTTTCTCTTCCCTTGTTTGGATTGTTTTGCAATCCTCTGGGCTTTTGCATATTCCTATTTCGTGGAAAATAAGTAGATAGACCCCCCAGTACAAGGTCGGAACATGCTGAAAATCAGATCGGTGCAGACCCTGACAGACCTAGCAAATATGCAGACCACACTGTCCTTTTCGCAGACCATGCTGGAGGAGCTGGACCTGGGTCCACAGAATCTGGTACTAGTGTGCTTGCCGGGTGAGTGAACCTTGATTCCTGACTTGTGCAGAACTGAACTGACCGCGATAGCCGTGAGCAACTATGGCCTCCTGTGTAGATTTCCTGTGAACAAAGCGATACCTATGAATCCGCTGGTATGTGATCGACCGACCAACTGTCTACAATGCACCGATATGGTTCGTTAACAACCCAGCAGGTTCTCTCTCGAGAGATGCATGATATTGAGTGCATGCACAGCCTGCTGCGACTGGTGCATGGTGAGTCCCTCGGGGTCCTTCTGTTACTACGGCGATGTCGACGTCCTCCGATGCCGAGCCTTTTGCCTCCCACCTTCCATCCTTTCCTTCCTTCCTCTATATTATCCTCTCCATCCATCCCAACACCTCTCACTTCGCTCTTTGATCCCACTCATTCTTTCAGCTGACCCCCCGGACTTGAAAGATATTCTCCCTGAACCCTCCTCGACCCCTGGGACCGCAGCCCAGAAGAAACCAAACACGATCGAGAAATCGTTCAAGAAAGGTAAGCAGCCTTGGTTTTGTTCGCCTGATGTTGGCCTGGCCAGGCTGGCTGACCTGCATCCAGCACGCACCTCGAAAACCCACACCATGGTTGGCCATCAGCCAAAGACCAGTGGCGGCCATCCACTTGGCGGCTATCGCTTGATCATAAACCAGGCGCAGGAACTCGAGGCGCCAAAGACCAGTGGCCCCCCGAAGACGAGTGGTAGCCAACCACCTGGTAATTTTCGCTTGATCACTAGCCAGCTGCAGGAACTCGAGACGCCGAAGACCAATGGCGGCCATTTACCTGAAAAATCTCGTTTGACCACCAGCCAGCTGCAGGAACTCCAGATGCAGAAATCCGAAGAAGAAAGAGAGTCTATCCCTGGTATACCCGCGATCGAAACAAGCATGCCTTGGGAGATGGTGCCCAAGGTTCTAGCTCATGATTTGTCGCGGGACAAGAACCAACGCGCCGCTGATGCCCGCAGCAGCCTGCCTGCTTGGAGCGGACAGCGCACCGGCGCTCATGACCCCAACCCGTTTGTTAATGATGGAAATCGGGACGTGAAGAGCCCACCTGGCTCTGCCCTCTATATTCCGCCTGCGAATGCGCCGAGTGGTGGAAATATGAACCCTTTTGCCGGTCCTTCGGCGAAGAACATGAACCCTAGTCAAATCACCCCCAGCGACCTGACTGGAGTTCCTCTTGGGGACACCGTTGCTACGGGAGGCACTGGGCCGTTGGGACCACAGGACTGCCCCTGGGACAACTATGATGAGAAGTTTGCGGGCCCTAAGGTGGAGATTCGTCGGAACAACATCATCATCACGGACCAGACTCGGCGCACTGACAGCGCTGGCAATGACATTTGCACTGAGAAGGGTCTCCTCACTGCTCTGCGAACCGGCACGATGACCGAAGTGGAGGTCAAGGCTCACATCAAGCAGCTTCAGCAGCCGATCATCGATGAAGCGCGCCTGCATGTTTTCCACCGGATGCAGGAGCCTTGCGGCGCTTGCACCGAGGCGCTCCCCAGCGTCCGCACCGGTCCTGGCACCGACTTGAACGAAGAACTTTACCACATGCTTGGTGCTGCGCGGTACGCGCACGGAGTTGAAGCTCCCGAGGTGTGGGCTGAGAATCCGCCCGACGTGATCCCCGGTTTTGGGTATGAAGAGGTCGACCCGGACGTGAATTGGAAGAAGGTCCGACAGGGAACCGCCATGTTCTATGCTCAGTGGGATCGATACGACGAGTCTGCGCGCGCATGGCCCCAGCTTGTGGAGGGAAAAGTTTCGTTGACCGCTGGACGCCAGAAGGGCATCATGTATGAACCTCTACCCTTCCCGCATCTCCCCCAGACTCTTGGGTTCAGCGAGATCGCCCCGGAGAACAGAGGACCGTGGACTGCGAATTGGAACTTTTGCCCTTCCTACAACGGCGACCGCGAGGCCTTCTTTCGCGTGTTCTGGCGCTGGTTGGAGATGATTCCGGAGGAGTGCCAGGTTGTTGACATCTACCACACCAGCTTTTTTGATGGCACTGCCAGCTCGGACGGAGGCTTTTCATTGTTCATGCAGAACATCAAGCATTTGCCGACCCCTCGAGACATGCAGGAGGAGCAGACCCGACTGCACTGGCACGAGACTGCCACGGGCTTCATTCACAACTACAACTATCATCTCGCAAAGGAGAAGAAGGCCGAAGCAGCCAGAGAGAAGGAGCGACAGGAACAGGATGAGCAGCGAGCTTTGGCTCTCATGAATTTGCGGGTTCCGAAGGCTGTTGAGGCAAATGTGTATCTGCGCCCTGCCGAGTTCAGCGACATCCCCGGTCTGCAATACCTTTTCAACTGGTACATGGAGAACTCGCCTATCAGCCCCGAGAAGCATCCTCTCGCAGAGGCCGATATTCGGAGCCTGATTGATGGCGCACGTACCACCCTGCTGCCGTTCATTGTCGCTGTTCAGCGCCATTGCCGCAACAACCCCAAGAAAGACCGAGCTTCGACGGAGAAGATCCTGGGCTATGCTTTCGTTAAGCATTTCAACGAGAGCAACAGCGCCAACAGCAACATTGGTGAGATGCGCGTGTTCGTTGATCATAACCACAAGAAACAGCACCTTGGTCGCGCTCTGGTTGACCGAATCCTGATGACTGTGGACGTCACGCACCATGGTTCGGGAGGCCATGATTTCCAGCCTGGCGAGCACTATCGCTCGCTGCACGCAACCCGTCCATTCACCACCATGATTTGCGCCATTGCCTACCCGGCCGACAAGGAGGCCAACTACACCTGGACCAAGCAGTGGTTGATTCGCGAGTTCGATTTCCAAGTGCAGGGCGTTATGAAGGGGGCGAGACTGAAGCTGGGTGACCTGTATGTTTTCTTCCACCCTCCAAAATCATGATTTGACTAACATCTCTGATAGACTTGACGTCTGCTATGTTGTTAGACACATGTTGGGTTACCACTCGCGCCCCAAGCCTCGCGAGTACATCTCTTGATTTGATTGCCTCTTCTGGGTAATCAGCCAACATAGATCATTGTGATGGATAGAAAAGAGAAAATGAATCGATCATGGAATAGAAGGGTGGAGGAGCATTGCGAACTGATATTAGGTGGTGGGACTGGCGAAATTGCAGGAATTCAAAGGAGGAATTTTGCATTGAGGATTGACTTTAAAATTGGGGAGAAATTGCGAGGAAAAAAAGAGGACAAAATTATGCTTCATATCGGTAACCAAATTGCACCATGTATCTAAAATGAAAAAAATCAAACCAGAAGTTGCTCTTCAAATGAACCTAAATTTTGATGTTGAAGATCTTGGACCTAAGTTAGAAGTGCTGACTAACGATACTGGCTCACCGCCGGCGCGGAGCCGGCAACTTTTTTTTTTCTGCGGGATCAATTTTTTGCTGAGCTGCCTCAGTACAACAAGCGCCAGGCCATTACGAAGTGGGTGCGATACCCAAAGACATTGTGACAACCAATAAACAGATTCACTAACTGATTCCAATTAGCAATCTACATCGCCATGGCTCCAAACCCAGCCAACCGGCGCTCCTCCGCCAAGGAGGACGACTTTGTGCTCACGCTCTCCGACGACGAAGAGACTCCTCGCTTCGACGACGAGGAAGAGGATGTCACCGAAGTACCAACGTTAAAGGACACCAAGAAGCGCAAGCGCGAGACCACCGAAGCACCTGCCAAAGGCAAGAACAAGAATAAGAAAAGCAAGACCCAATCAGCCGCTAAAGCAGCAGCCGAGCCCTCTGACGCCGCTGACGAAAGCGAAGATGACGCCGGCGAGGAAGATGAAGCCCTGGATCCGGACTTCGAGTTCGATGTCGGCGGCGCGACGAGTGGTGTTACGGAAGGGTTTGATGGGTGGGGGATTGGAGAGAGTGACAAGCAGCAACAGCAGCAAAAAAATGGCGACAAGAAGGCTGTGGATATTGATGATATTATCTCGCGGAGAAGGGAGAGGAAGGAACTTCTTTCCAAGAAGAACGCCAAGAAGGTTGAGGAGGTGGAAGAGGCCGGCAGTGGTGATGAGGATGATGTGGTTTCTGATGCTGGGGAGGTTGATTTTAAGGATGATGAGTTGATGGCTGATGATGCGTTCGGTATGGGCGTTGATGGTGAAGAGGAGAGTGAGGCTGAAGGGCCTGAAGTTGGTTCTGGGCCTGAATCGGACGACGAGGACGAGGACGATGATGAGGACGATGATGCGGCATCTGATAATGATTCCGTTGCTACACCCGTTGGTCACCCTGATGATATTGGATCGGATCGGGGCTCGGATGACGAGAGCGAGGTCGACGCCGAAGAGCAAGAGAAGCGCAAAGCGTTCTTCGCCCCCGAAGAGAAGACAGACGCCCAAACAGCAGCAGCAGCAGCCAAGAGCACCTTCCAAGACTTCAATCTCTCCCGTCCTATCCTCCGCGGGCTGGCCTCAGTCGGATTCACCGACCCAACCCCCATCCAGCGCAAGGCCATTCCCGTCGCTCTTCTCGGTAAGGATATTGTCGGTAGCGCCGTGACAGGATCCGGAAAGACGGCCGCATTCATGGTCCCCATCCTGGAACGACTTCTCTTCCGCCCTCGCAAGGTTGCCACCAGCCGGGTTGCAATTCTGATGCCAACGCGTGAATTGGCTGTGCAGTGTTACAATGTGGCCGTTAAATTGGCCACTTTTACGGACATTACATTCTGTCAGCTTGTTGGTGGATTCAGTCTGCGTGAGCAGGAGAATATTCTCAAGAAGCGACCGGATGTTATTATTGCTACGCCTGGTCGTTTTATCGATCATATGCGCAATTCACCTAGCTTCACGGTGGATACATTGGAGATTCTGGTGCTCGATGAAGCAGACCGAATGCTGGAGGATGGATTCGCAGACGAACTGAACGAAATTCTGACAACTATCCCGAAATCGCGACAGACGATGCTCTTCTCTGCTACCATGACCGACACGGTGGATAAGCTCATTCGCGTGGGTCTCAACCGACCCGTGCGGCTGATGGTTGACGCGAAGAAACACACAGCCGTGACGCTAGTTCAGGAGTTTGTTCGTCTGCGACCCGGCCGTGAAGACAAGCGTCTTGGATATCTGCTCCACCTGTGCAAGGAAATTTACACGGGGCGGGTGATTATCTTCTTCCGACAGAAGAAGGAGTCGCACCGCGTTCGCATTATCTTCGGGCTGTTGGGCTTGAAAGCGGCTGAGTTGCACGGTAGCCTGAGCCAGGAACAGGTATGTTACTCCGGATTTCCCTCCCACTACGATCTACTAACCCGCCTCTAGCGTATCAAAAGCGTGGAGAACTTCCGGGATGGAAAAGTCGCCTTCCTCCTGGCAACCGACCTGGCGTCGCGTGGTCTGGATATCAAGGGCGTGGAAACGGTCATCAACTACGAGGCCCCGCAGAGCCATGAAATCTACCTGCACAGAGTCGGTCGTACCGCGCGTGCGGGCCGCTCCGGTCGCGCATGCACTATCGCCGCCGAGCCCGATCGCAAGGTCGTCAAGGCGGCCGTGAAATCGGGCAAAGCGCAGGGCGCCAAGATCGCCAGCCGGGTCGTCGACCTGGCCGTGGCGGACGACTGGGCCCAGAAAGCGGAGGATCTGGCGGATGAAGTCGAGGAGATTCTGCAGGAAGAAAAGACCGAGAAGCAGCTCTCGCAGGCGGAGATGCAGGTGACCAAGGGCGAGAACCTGGTCAAGCACGGCAGCGAGATCATGGCGCGGCCGAAGCGGACATGGTTCGAGACGGAGCGGGACAAGCGCGCGTCGCGCAAGCTGGGTGCTGAGGCGCTCAATGGGCCCAATGCGCGGAGTAAGAAGGATAAGGGCAAGTTGAGCAACAAGGACAAGAAGCGGCTGGATGACGCGAAGGAGCGGCACGAGGGCACGATGGGGTGGAAGAAGGGGAAGAATGAGCGCGAGGCCAAGGAGGTGAAGGGGAAGAAGAAGGGCAAGAAGGGTGGGAAGAAATAATGCATTGTAATTAGCTCTTTGTGTGATAGATATCTAGAGACTGGCCAATGCCCCGATTGGGGGGTCTCGACCAGACTTGACGATCCCAACGACGTCAATACTATGAAAGTTGCATTTGGTCTGGTCCCCCCGCGATCCCGCCCCACTAAACCCTAACTCCCTCCCTCTCCCCGAACAGAAAAAATCATAATTCCCCGAGGCTTCCCCTTCTCTTCATCCATCCTACCCTGATGAACTGAACCCCTGCTCTCCCTCGATGGTCGTCGAGGGCTCTCCTGGCATGGCCGACGTGCCCACGAAGAGCAGTCTCCCCCGAAAGAGCGCCTTCTCCTGCGAGGCGTGTCGGAAGCGCAAGGTGGGTTTTGCCTCCCGGTGGCTCTCGGCCAGACTCCGAGCGCTGGGCAGTTGCCCCTCCCGATCAATCCGCTGACTCGCTCTGTGCCTTGTGCCTTGCAGGTTAAATGCAACGGGGCCAGTCCGTCGTGCTCCCGGTGTGCCGCGCGCGGCGAGGCCTGTGTGTACAGCTTGTAAGTTCTCGTTGGTTCTCGTTGATCCCTGATCATCATGCATTGTTTCTTCATGCCTCTCGCTCTACCGGCTCCTCCCGTGGTCCGGCTCGCGGTTCTAGCGCTGATCCCGGATCGACCAATACAGAGCCCCGACGCTTTCCTATACCAAACAGCTCGAGTCCCGCGTCGCTCAGTTGGAGGATGCGCTGTCCAAGGTGTCGAGCCCGCAACATCAACAGCAGCAGCAATTACAGATAGAACATGAGACGCGCAACAAGGCCAGCAACTCGCCTGCGTCCGTGGCCGAGTCCGGCTCCAGCGCGGGCCGGAAATTCCACCCCGAGGAAGAAGATCCCCATGAGCTGGCGAGGAACTTTGAGGGCCTGAATATTGAGAATGACGGGCGCATCTCGTTTCATGGGCCGACGAGTTTGTTTCAGTTGCCTAGTGGCATTGTGAATGAGACGGCGTCGAGCTCGCATTTTCTGCATGAGCTCGAGGCTAGGAAGGAGAGGTTGATTAATAGTGCCTGGCGGGAGAGGGCGTTTGAGCAGATGGCTGCGATGCCGGTAAGCAGGTTGTGATTAGGTTGGTTGGTGGCGGACGATGGCGGCTGACGGATGGCCTTACAGGAACCATTTCAATATCTTCTTGATTCGCACTGGTGTTGGATTCAGCCGCTGTTCAATTTTGTCTATCGACCAGCATTTACTCGTCTGTCTTGATCCTGATCTTTTACCATTGGCAAATAATGAACTGATGCGGGAAAATAGGTGATATGAAAATAAATGGCTCATACTATTCCGACACACTACTGAATGCCATTCTCTCCCACTCCGTCCGGTGGTGCAAATCAGAGCCCCAGATTGGGCCTTTACTCGATCAATTCGATGGTGGGGACAAGTTTTTCCACCACGCTGTGACGGGACTCTTCGACTCTCTACCAGTCGGCTACGCGGGCATCCCGACCATTCAGACCCTGCTTCTTCTCAGCGCGCAGGAGTGCGGGCGCGGAAATCGCACCCAGGCCTGGCTGTACAGCGGCATGGCATTCCGATTGCTGGATGACTTGGGTATCTCGATCGACAGTCGGAAATACCATGGAGCTGCGCAGTTGAACGATGAAGATATCGAGATTCGCAATCGGCTGTTTTGGAGTTGTTATTTTTGGGACAAGGTCGTCTCCTTGTATTTCGGTCGCTCGCCGACGATGCAGCACTCGCGAGTCAGCCCGCCGCGCATGATCAGTAAGTTGTCAAAGCCAACCTTGCATATTGCATATGCTGACGGCCTTCGCACGCAGTGGACGACACCTCTGAAGTGGAAATATGGACCCCTCATGGTGTTGAATTTCCAGATGGTGCTCATTACCCGCCTACCCAGGCCCATTCGACCTCATGTTTCATGAAAATGTGTGGCCTAGCAGAAGTGCTCAACCAGATCCTCATTCACGTATATGACCCTATGCGCCAGACTACCGCTTCGGAATTATACGACTGCATCCAAGAGCAAGCAAGATATCTAAGCGACTGGTGGGACGACCTGCCCGATTTTTTAAAACTTGTGGCAACAAACCTACCCTCATACTGTCCACCAAGCCACATCATGATCCTGAAGTATGGGCTTTTCCCTATCTTCATGATGAGTTCTTGTGCTAATCACCTCACAGCTGCATGTACCATACCATTAATATTCTGCTGCATCGTCCCATCCTGTGTTCCCGGGAACTTGTCAAAACAAGACAAGAGCAGTACGACACGAGCCATCTAGTTCAATGTATGGCGTCGGCGACATCGATCTTGTCTCTGTTTGACCTGTACCGCCGCACCTTCGGCGACAGCCACGTCGTGCTCTCCCTCGCCTACAGCATCTACACGGCGGCATCGATTTTCCTGCTGGAGATCCAGGCGCTGAAGTACGCTGCGCCAGGGACGCTGGATAAACTCAAGTTCTGCATCTTTGCACTCGAAAGAGTCAAGGTGTCTAATCCAGTTATGACAACTGCCCTCAGCCTCATTTATCAAGAACTTCAGAAACTTCAAATCGATATTCACATAACCACGTCCGCCCCGGGCCCAGAACATAAACAGCAGCAGCAACAACAGCAGCAACAACAGCATCCCCATTCGCCATCCGTGGATAGCGACACGCACCCTCACCTCTCACCAAGTCACCAGCCTGGACAACACCCCAACCCACAGAACCAGGTACCACCACCACCACACCCCAGCACTTCCAACCCCATGATGCCTAGCTACAACAATACATTCCCCCAGCATCAAGTTGCAACCTTCGACCTCTCACACACACCCGACCTGCCCCAGATGCCATCGAACCATCTGCTGGGTGGCATGCCGAACGCCGTGATGACAGTCGACGATCTGGGCTCCTATCAGATCACACCGGAAGTATTTGAGGCTTTCTCGTATACGCAGCCTATCTCGACGAATATGACGCCGGCTTTTGGTTCTGGTTGGAGCACACCGCCTGCATGATTAATTCTCTTTTGAGGGGGTTTGTTGATATCCTCGAGCCTGATCAAGGTATAGACTGGTGACATAGACTGGTGATTTTTGTGTTGATTGGCTTTATGTAGAATTTTGTATACTCTAAATTGGGAGGCTTTGGTGGTACATTTTGTGCAATGATATATATGACTGCTACATTCAAAAACAGATTCCCCCGCATACACTTATAGTTTGTTTTCAGAACCCTATCCTGAAACAAGTCAGTCTGTATTAGGTTTAGTCGTAGATCTCTTTCTCACCAATAATAGACATCTGTTTTATACATAACGTAAATTATCGTATTTGACAGGAAACTCTTGAAACGCTTGCAACTCCATGCCCTTCCCCAAATGTCCGCACGCCGTAGGTATTCACCCACTTACTGCCTGGAGTGTCGTCCAAGGTGGTCCACGCAATATGGCACCAAGATTACCGCTTTCAAGCTACATTTGATTCGTGATATGATATAGAGCCAGTCGCTAACCACGTCTCAAATGGCTGAAGAAGCTGAATGTAGCGAGCGTACGATCAAAAATGTTCGCAGAAACTTGCAGCTGTTTGGAAACGTCCAGGCCCCCCCAAATCGAATCGGTCGGAGATGAACCATGACACCGTCGATGCTCGAAGCACTATGCGATCACTTACTCGAGAAACCCACCCTCTACCTGGATGAGATGGCCGTCTTTCTCTAGGATGAATTCCAGACGGTAATAACGACTTCTAGTATGCGGAGGGCGCTCCGCTAGTCTAAAAAGGGAGCTCGACAGAAAGCCAGAGAGCAAAACGCCGATTTGCGGGAATATTACTTGCACAGTCTATCAGATTTTCAGTCGTATCACCTTGTATACGTGGACGAATCCGGATGTGATAAACGGGCAGGATTTAGACGGGCAGGATTTAGACGGGCAGGATTTAGACGGGCAGGATTTAGACGGGAAGGATTTAGACGGACAGGATGGTCACCGCTTGGCAAGGCTCCCGTGCAAGTCTCATAGTTCCACCGTGACTAGCGATACCAGACACTTCCCGCGTATGCACAGGATGGGATTGTTCTCTCACGTGTCTTCCGCGGCTCAACTGATGCGGCAGTGTGTGAGGAGTTTCATCGCTGAGCTCCTTCGGCACTGTGGAAGGTGGCCCGAGCCTAAATCTGTTATTGTAATGGGCAATGTATTGTTCCACCACACTGAGAAGATTGCTCAGATGTGTGCCGATTCGGGAGTCAAATTGGTTTATCTACCGCCATACTCGCCGGACCTTAACCCGATTGAAGAATTTTTTTCTGAACTCAAAGGTTTTATCAAACGTAACTGGGGCTACTTTAAAGATGATCCCAGCCAAGGATTCGATTCCTTCCTCGAATGGTGCGTCAAGGTTGTTGGTGCAAAAGAAGAGAGCGCCAGAGGCCATTTTCGGCACGCAGGCCTTAAGGTAGAAGCTTGGGGTACTTAATACAAAAGAATTGGGGCAGACAAGTGCAATGCCTATCCGGCTCCACCACCAGGATTAGTAGTACGGGCCCGCTCGAAATCATTTTCACCATTTTACTCACATAGATTCTTTCTGGGAAAGGGTAAAGTTATTGAAGAGTTGACACAAGTTAATTCTTACTATCTCCCTATCAATCGATCTTTCTGGCACCACCTCTGTCTTCTACTCCCACGGCAAACTCCCAGGGAAAGAACCAATTACCATTCCAGCTTGCTGTTCCCAGACTCTGTTAAATGATAAGATATCTCTTCTCTGCTCGACGTTTTATCTTGCAGGTTTTTAAAGAGCGTTGACCCGTACAGGTTGTACATTTTGAGCAGACCGCCGGCAGCAAGCAGACTCTCCTCGATTGGATCAAGGTAGAAATGGAATTGCACATCCTTACATTCGATCACCCTCCTTTGCACATCAATGGTCAGCTTGATGCCTTCCTGAGCAAGGTCATAGAACCTGTCGTGCTGCACCTTGATTCCCAGTAAGCCATTATTTGCTTGATTTCGCCCGTAGATAAAAGCAAAACTTTTCGCTATGACTGCCTTGATACCGGCAGCAATCAATGCCTTTGGAGCCTGCTCTCTGGAGGAGCCCGTACCAAATGCACTCCCTGCAACAAGAATTGTAGCTCCGGCTTGTGCAAGGTCGTAGAAGTCAGGCTTGCGATGGAGAAATGCCCCATGAGCGAGTTTCTCCGGTGTGGGGTCCAGACATATCTCTGTTGGGGCTATTGAGTCGGTATCAATGCTGTCGCCAAAACGTTGAATGTTGCCCTGAATGACATTTGGTAAGGAGGGGGATGTTTGGGCTTCTTCAGCTGATGGTGTATGAACTGCACTATTCTGAGACAGTATTTCAGCACGACCGGTTGGGAAGGGCTCCACGTAAGTTACATGCTCGGCGACGAAATTCGAGTCTGCAGAGTAGTTTCGCAGTCTGTCGTATTCATTAAAATCAATTCCATTCAGTAGTGACTGTGGACTCCGAAGTGACATGGAGAAGCTTGATGCCGCCACGGTCGCTGCAGACGCAAGATTTGCGATTGATCCTGTCGATTCAGGTGCATTAGGATTCATTAAGGACCTGGCATGTCTGGGGAACGCTTCATACCTGGACCCATCCTGTCTCTGTAGTTTCTGTTTTGCGATGATAACCATACCTCGCCATTTCCAGCCTTGTCGGCACCCATACCAACACAGTAGCTACATCCTGGAGCGCCGACGACAAACCCGGCCCTTTCGTAAACATCAATCAGACCTATGCGTCGAAGTTTCTCTGTGATTGCTATGGAACCCGGGGTCACACGGCGTATGCCCCTAGCGACGGGATCCAGACCTGCTTTCAGTCCTTCCCTTAGCACAAGACCCCCAAGGATCAGGTCTTCCTCAGTTGTTGTACATGCGCCGATGAAGCATCCCTGAATCTCCGGGATATTGGCCTGCGACACAGGGATTACATTATCCGGGCTGGGATAAAGCGCGACAAAATGTTCCAATTTCGAAAGGTCGATCTGGTACTCTCCTGCGTATCGTGCATTTTTGTCCGGTCTGAAAAACAGAGCCTCTGACTTGTGCTTTCGCTCTGGTCGCCGGGATATGAAATCAGCAGTGACCGCATCGGGCACAGCTAGCGCACCGATTCCACCAAACTCGGTCACCATGTTGCAGATTGCGAATCTTGCATCGCAGCTCAAATATTTCATCCCTTCGCCCGTGAACTCGACGAATCTTTCGGATGCCACCGTATTTCTCCTAAGTTGACCCAGGACACCCAAGATGACATCCTTTCCACCCAATCCGAGGGGTGGTCTTCCCACAAATTGAATGCAAATGACTTCTGGCATCTTGATAAACGTTTCTCCAGTGACGATCTGCATAAGCACGTCAGTGCCCCCCATGCCGACTGCCAATGCTCCAAGTCCACCGGCACTGCTAGTGTGACTGTCAGCGCCGATAACAAGCTGACCTGGCTGACACCGCTTCCGATAGAAATCGGTATGCATGATCGTCGTGTTTGGCGGGTTGTAGTTGTCGCCAAGCTCCATTTCTCTGGCGATCCGCTCGCATTTCTCAATAACGGCTTTTTCCCGTGGCTTATGATTCACCCGAGGATCCACGATATGATCCGGCGCCAACCAGAAGCGGTCTCGGCGATGGAACGAAGGTCGACTGAGAGCGTTGTAGTTTGGCTCCATGCTGTTCCACGCCGCCTCCGAGCAAAGAAGCCACGATGGTTTCAAGAGTAGCATCTGGTCTGTACGTATAGAGCCACCGGTCAAGGACGAGCTAACAGAGTGGTGCAGAACAACTTTTTCGCATGCATTGAGGCCATGCTTATGGGCTGTCGCATCTGGCATCGTGAGATTTTGACAATGGAACCTGTCCGGATGAGTCTCTTTCTCTCCTTGGCCACAAAACTGGATCTACTCTGCACAAGAGACCAGTGGTCTCTCAGCTGCTCTTCACCAATTTATGTCGCTTGTCCACGGCTAATCGCATGCCGTGTCGGGGTTGTGGGGCCATGTGGGCAGGCAAATCTATTCGCAGTCGAGTCCAGTCTGGTTCAAGATTGTGAGGGTGATTGTGGGGCTTCTCAATGTTCCCACGGGTGGAAACCGGGATCATGCCGATATCCGCGTTCCCAGGACCCGGAGACCCAGGACCCGGAGAGGTGTCGAAGTGGACTACCGAGAAGCTGATGAACATGAACAGCGTATCTGGATTCGGAAGATCTAGATTAACGAGGTATCTCAAGGGGAATAGACGCATAAGTGACATTACCTAGCATGTGAACATAGACGAGTCCATCCTATCTGGCTTGGAGAGACTCGGTGAGACACGGGGTTCCCCAGGTGCAAAAAGGCCGCTAGTGCGGTTTGCGTGGGAACCAAGCACGGACCCAAGAAATGAATATCTTTTGGGGCGAAGATCCTTGTAAAGACGGGACGGGGTTCCAAGTCAACTACCGGCAATGAAGAGGGTATTCCAAATGACGCGCCGCTCAATGTGAAAATACACCTCTGTCTCAGCTGCTTCAGACGACCCCTTTCTCCGTCTCCAACTCTTCATTGGATTTCAATCAATATTAACAGGACATCTGTGATCATTTCCTCTGGTTTATTGGGTAAACTGCTTCCATCCTACTCATCCTCGGAGATGATTAGCCCTGAGCGCAACACGCCCATAGCGGCGAATTGGAAATGCATCCTCATCTGTCTCCTCGTCTCCTTAGCGAACTGCCAGTATGGGTTCGACACAAATGCAGTGGCGGGCTTTCAAGCTATGCCTGGCTTCCTAAGGATTTACGGCTACAGAGATCCGCAGTCCCCATCAGGCTGGAATATTAGGACCACGCCACAGCAACTCATTAGCTCCTTTTTGAATGTTGGAACTATCGTCGGAGCTATAATCTCTATCTTTTCGGCTCATAGATTTGGTCGAAAGCCTGCGATCTGGGCGGGATGTATCCTTTCTTACGTTGCTTGTGGAATCCAAATCGGAACGACTACATTAGGGGGACTATACGCGGGCCGGATCCTCCTCGGCATATCTAATGGATTGATCATCACCTTTTCCAACGTTTATACGACAGAGGCAGCTCCGCCGCATCTTCGTGGTATGATCGTGAGCTTCTTTGGCGTTTGGGTCAATGTTGGCAGTGTCCTCGGCTCGGTTTGCGACGACTACACCAAGAACTATCAGAACAAGCTCTCGTACCAGATCCCGTTGGCAGCACTGTTTGCTATTCCCACCTTGGTGAGCGTCTTGATGATCTTCGTCCCAGAGAGCCCTCGTTGGTTCCTCGTCCAGAATCGAGCAGAGCAAGCAAAAGTCGCACTGAAAAGACTTAGAGGAACATCGTTGACCCCGGAGTTACTTGACGAGGAGTTCGTCGAGATGAAGCAGGCGATTACGGAGGAAGTGGAGCTCGTGTCATATATCTCAATTTTGGAAATGTTCAAGGGCACGAATCTTCGGCGTACAGCTATTGCCGTTGGTGTTGTCGTCAGCCATGCCGCAACCGGCTTGTGGTTCATCTTGTCTTTTGGAACTTATTTCTTCCAAGCAGCCGGTCTAGACAAGCCCTTTGAAGCATCCGTTCTTGGAAATGTCCTGGGACTTATCGGCGCTCTGATTGGCTTAATCCTCACACAGAAAGTGTTTGGCCGCCGAGTGATGATGATGATCGGCGCTCTTGGGTGTGCATGCTGCATGTTAGCTATCGCTGTAGCCTATACTGCCGGTGCGGAAACACTCGGCGCTGGCCGTGCCTTGCTTGCATTTTCCTTGATGTTCTACTTTTTCTACAACGGTTTTGTTGGCACCGTAAGCTGGCCCATCGCGGGAGAAATAGTCTCATCCAAACTGAGGGTGAGCACAATTGGATTGGGTACTGGAATCAACTACTTCTTCAATTGGCTAATCTCCTATTGCTCGCCCTACTTTATCAATGCCAACGACTTAAACTGGGGCCCAAAATATGGATATATCTGGGCGGGCTCCAACTTTGTTGTTTTCGGTACGGACCTAAGTGAATCCGACTAGGTCTATCAAAGCTAATGAAAGTTTACAGTGGTCCTTTTCTTCGTTTTGCCAGAGACAAAGGGAAGATCTCTTGAAGAAATAGATGAAATGTTTGAAAATCATGTCTCCACTCGAGATTTCAAGAACTACCATTGCATATCGTCAGAAACTGCCCGGGAAATCGCAAGAGAAAACATGAAGTCAGTCTGACAAGTCTTCATGCAATATGACCATGCACATGAAAGCCATTTGACGTTGTGACTGACTGAATTCAAACGGCCCATCTTCTGTGCAGAAACAGGTCATATCCGGCAGGTGATATGAAGGACAGAACGTATTCGGAATGGGAAGACCCAGGCTTCAGTCTTGCTTGTACTCATTCAGTTCCCAATTCAAATCTTATCCTTACGAGCCAAATGGAAATTTATATATTCGCTCCTGCGTGTTATTAAATTACAATTGCAAAAATAGAGGTTGAATCGCGCAGATTACAGAATATATAAGCAGTCCCTTCCATAATACTTCAGAGGTCAAACCGGAGAAACTGAGCTTAAAATAAACCAGACAAAGCAAAAACGGATCTTCTAAGACCCCAAACAGTGTATTTATACCTAACGAAAGGCATGAGATCGAGAAAAAGGAAGTCCGTCCTGTGGAAAGTCAACGATCCACTGATGGATCCTGTCATCGGCCATATGATACAAACCGTCGGCAGTCCCGCTTGTTAATTTTGACATGTACCGCGCTGGTTTGACCTTGATCGATAGACAATGACCTACTATCTCGTCTTCGGGCTCCGTGGTGATACTCGCTTCGCGATTCAGAATATAGGAATGGATCTTCTCGATGAGATCGGCGTCGGATAGGAGGGCGTCGTTGACTGAGAAGAAGACGTTGACCCAGTACGAGGGCATCCTGACGGTGTTATTTTGCTGTGTTGGATTTGTTTGGTGAATAAGAATATTTTTCTCTGTATTGACGCAGGAAGTACAGTCGCGACCGTTATTGCCTTCCATGTTGGAAACACTGAGATGCTCTTTCAAACCCTAATTACAGGATGCGCTAAACCTAATGTTACCTGCCTGTAAATAACATGTTTTGTTAATATTGTTCAGTCGACGAACCATGGCTGCCAACCTAGCCAAATCTACGCTCGTATTTATTTACGATATGATTAACAGCGGTGAACTAACGACCTCCCAGATAGCTGAAGCTGCTGGCTGCAGCATCGCATAAGCTCATATACATGACTCCAAGTTGATGGTCGTCCAGTAATCTCTTCTTCTGCATCAATGTGTGCTTCGCGCTCAGCCAGCATCCGGCTGGTTGCTGAAACACGACCTCTCTTTTCGACTCTTCTTGAAGAAGGCATGGAATGACCATCATCATCCTCGCGATAGTTGAAGGCAATGTCGATTGTGAGCTTCCTGCCAATACGTAGCAAGTTGCTCCATTTACGAAGCTGCTTCTCGACTGGTTTCCAGCTTATATTAGTGGAATTATAAATTTTTTTCGAGATTTCTCTGAGACCGGTCGTTCGTGACACCGTTTTTCGGAAGTACTGTAGGACAAGTATACATGGCTCTCCACAAATATCGTGAGGCGCATGGAATCACAGATACAGCCATTACCCGCACCGAACAGCTTCACCCCCTCCCGTGGCAACAGGTGAAAGACAATTTAAACCACTATGCACAGACGTCGGATGTAATTTGGTGTCAAGAGAAGTCTCTAAATGATGGTCCTTGGGCATTTGCTAAAACTAGATTGGAGACCATTTTCGATACAATGGAAAAGCACAAGGGGGGTCGAGTGCGATTTGCAGGACGTGGAGCACCAGCTAGCGTGGCTACGAGCTTTATGAAGGCACATGCGGCTCAGGAGGCTGCTTTCACATGACTGATTGTACTTGGGATGACTATTCCATGACTTCCTTGAGTACTGAAAACCAGAAGTCATTCAAGTCAGCATCTACCAGAAAACGGAACTCTCGTAGGACCAAATTTAATCCCTAAAAAGATACGGAGAGGCAAAACCTAATTTTCACGCTTTTTGAGGAAGTTTTTCACGGCGGCCTCTTGGATGCTACCGAGCCAAATCTCGGCCATTTTTCTGTAACCCGCATCACCCGGGTGCGTACCATCGACAAGATCCTCAAGTCTAAGTCCTTTATTGGTATACATGTCCGCGAGTACAATCCTGCTCTGGGCGGCGGTTTGTTGCTCAACCAAGGCCCGAATCTGGTCGTTGACACGTAGGACCTGTGAATTCGTTTCTTGGTCCGCGTTGATCAGCAACGTCGATAGGATAACAGTCGAACCAGGAGATGATCGCCAAAGATACTCAAGCATGGCGCCCATGCGCTTCCCAAAAGCTTCAATTTCAAACTTCTGGATACAATCATTGGATCCGGCATTGACCGTGAAGATATCTGGCTTGAACTTAGGGACTGACTTCTTGGCTTTCCTCTCGATCTCATCGAGTCTGAACCCACGCCATCCCTCATGCTCATTGCCTTCCATAGAACCGGTCTTTCGTGATCCCACCATGCGGATATCACAGCTGCAGGACTGGATCATCTCAAAAAGATGTTTTCTATAGCCGTTAAGATCCGAAGATCCGACGCCTTGCGTGATCGATCCTCCTAATGGCATGAGATACATTGAAACGGCGGCCAAAACTGACGACGAATGGCCTGGGGCAAAATGGGGTTAGCAAGTTCCGCTGAGAAATACGTGCCCTGAGCCCATGAGCCCGGCGAGACTGTCACTGGTGATCAGAGCCTAGCAAGTTAATTGATGCGTAACCAGTCTGTGGCAAACTGACCATGAGGTGTTGAGGACGAATAGTAGCAGTGTTTCCCAGGGGTCGGGTAATGAGTATACTTCAGCAAGAGACGGTGGCGGGCCAAGATAGCTAAGCTTGGAGGTGCAGCTCGCCGCCAGGTAGTCAACGAAGTCGATCGAAGCATTATGCCAGTATGGTGGACCGTTGCAGGCTCAACGAGATGGTAGAGAAGTAGAAGAATGATAAAGATCTGACTGTATGCAACCTTGAAATTTTGACGGCGGTAACATCCCAATCCCATCCGTATCGTTAGGTGAAAACAGGCTAAGTGTCGGCGTACTTTCTAACCTCTTGAGTTGCTTCGCGGAAAATGTATTTTCCGCCTACTCCGATTACAAACAGGGAGGAGTATCACTTCCTAGAACGAAATCAAGAGCTTCCCCGAGGCATGTCGGGCCCTAATTATTTGCCCGCCACACGCGTGGCTGACGCTGTCCTTTAGCGTCTTCCGTTCTAACATTCAGAGTAACACTAGGCCAACGGCGGCAGTCACCCTCCGACTCCACGTGTGTACGTATTTTGTTTACCGCCTCCCCGGTGTGAACGAACCGCCCAATAAAATGTGTATGAAACACACTGATTCTTGAAGGAATCAAGTGCGACCAGGCCAAATGCATTCTTATAATTGAACCGAGATATAAGAGACCGGGGTAGGATCAGAGAGACATGACGGCATCGAATCGTGGGGTATTCGCGCCGTATTCGCTAACTAATGCCCTTATTCCAGAAGACCACAAAACTTCCGGTCACCCCGAAATCCACACATGCAAAGGACTTCAGGGCAATGGAAAAAGGATTAGCACGTCGTCGATGTCTTGGTTGTCTACATTTGCCTAGCTCACAAGAAATGAATACGAGCCATCTTGTGGAGGCTGGGTCTTAGCAACACGGGGGGTGCTCGTATACGGCCTCTGATTATTTTATGGAGAGTAGTTTGCAATAGCGGATATCACCGGGCGGAATCACCCCCAGCTGCGGTTAGATGAGTCTCAATTTGGAATCTCCAAAGTATGAATGTCCGTCGATCTCCACGGAAGCTGACATGGGGCACACTCTAGGAACTCTGATTGCATGTGGAGATGTCCCAAAGCCCATATCTCATTGATTACATATCTCAGCCCGAGTCTGAATCATGGGAACACGACTGGCAGTATGCCCCGACTCCTGGATCCTTTCGCAGCCTCTACACCACGCGATCCACTTGCAGTCCCTCTTGGATCTGGACCCGACTTAACGGGCCAAACATGGCCAGATGATCCAACGCCTGTGCATAATCTTTATGACACCGTCCATCCAAATCACACTCTTAGTCGACAAAAACTCATTCAACCCTCGTCTGCATTAAACCTCCCTCAACCACTATTCTTCACCCCTCCATGCGGAAGAACAGGCTCATCATGAATAGTCATACTGTTGATATGCACAGCACTAACCTGATAAGCTGAGAACGAAACCACACTGAGACTAGACTTACCCACACCGGGTCCTTTTAATCATCGCCAATCCCATCCGCAGATCCGCTGTAGACACGGACGCCGATAATCCATACCCGCTGCTATTCACGAGGTGGATCGCTTCGTCCTCGGTTTCGAATACCTTGCAATCGGCTACCGAGGTGAAGGCTTCTTCTTACCACACGGCCATGTCCTCTTGCACGTCGCCCAGAATGGCTGGGGCGAGGCGCACTCCTGCGTTGGCGGGGACCTTTGTTTCTGCGGAGCCGGAGATAAAATTTGCACCCGAGACTACGGCGCTGGAGACTAGTGCTTCGACGCGGGTCTTAGAGGCAGTGTTTACGATGGTCGGGGGTAAAGCAGAGGAATCTGCGCCGGTGAGGGTGGCTTTTAGGACTCCAGTGAAAGCTGGAGTGATCGAGGAGTGAACGAGGATACGGTCAGTTGCTATGCAGATCTGGCCGGATTAGAGAAAGGCAGTTAACATGGAGCTTCGAATTTGACATATAGGCCGGGTTTTTCTGCAAGGTGGTCACGAAGAGCGTCTAACATCACAGGAGTGACACCTGTTGAGCGGCCAGGGGGATTGGAGGAGAGCTGGGGCTGCCAAACAACCGCATATTCTTGCGTATGTTAGTGGTAGAACGCTCACTACACTTCGCAATCCTAGCCATTTGTGATGTGGTGAGTCTGTTCCTGCTGCGTATCATATGGACTATGATATTACGCTACCAGGATTCGAGGTTTCGTGCCATTTTGCAACGGGTTCAGAGGTTTGTCGGTGCCTAAATTCGGACGCCGTTGTTGAGACGACCCAGGGTGTGGATATTTTTAGATCTATAATAATACTAATACTTTACAGGTCACATAAGCTTTAGTTCTGTTTGAGATTTAGTAAGTGGTTTCTAGTCAGTGCTTTAGTTTGAATCCAAAAATAGATAACAAAGACAATACCAAGTAGAAAAAGTCCAAAAACAAGTCAGAACCTAGTGAGATTTCGACGCTCAGGAATCTTCTCAAAGGCCGCGAAGAGCCTCTGATGAAGTGCAATTTACACCCGGCGCGTCAGCCCTGCCTACCAATTTACCCTGCAACCTGCCCCCCTCCCCATCTCAAGGCTATCAAGTGCGTTACAGATTATTCTTTCCTTAACAAAGAAAAGGAACGATATGTTGGCTACGAGTACGAGGCTCTTAATGTTGACTAGCCTGGGGGATCAATTTAGTCACAATTGGAGCATTATTGCACAACTGAAAGCATGGTCTGTGTGTCATACCGGTGGAAACTGAGTACCCGTTATTTAATTCAGACCTACATCGAAGCCATTGATCAGCTCAGTACTAACATATATCATATATTAGTACTCCCGCTTTTAAAACTTCCTCCACTACATACCTTCGCAAAGATGTCCGACCCCCGAGGTGTGGAGAAGCAAGCGGCTGCATCAAGTGACTCATATGGGCAATAATATTAAATGCCGCCCCTGCTCTTGATTATCAATCAGCCAACCTCAATAACTAGCTACACCCAAATGGAGCTTCGTGCATTACTCGCCGGCAGGCGCGAGATCTACAGACACGACATCCCCGCTATATATAACGCAGCCCAGAGCCAGCCCACTGCCTTCCCCCTTCTCTTCATACTTACTATCTCAATCATGTCTATAACACAGACGGTTTCATCTGAACTGAAATCTCCTGCTCTATCTGTTTCATATCCTGCATCGCCGCCCTCTCCTCTGGAGAACTCACCCCCGACCACAGCAGCGGAAAACCTAGTCCTAGAAGCGCCAGATGGCCCCACCAGTGAATCCCGCACTCCAAGGGCTGGCCAGCCAGTTTTTGAGCAGCTGCCAGCGATTAGGGTCACACCTTGGCATCGAACGGTGATCACTACGTTGCTTATTTTGGCAAACCTCGTACAGGTAAGCACAGACGCCTCCTTGCCGGCCCCTTCCGGTCAAGCCATAGCGGCCAGAATTGCTAAAATTAGGCTGGTTAGATGACAGTAAACTTCGCCGGTATTGCTGGTGGTAGCAGATTGAGTCAGTCAATGGGGGTCAAGAAGACATATGCTTCTTGGATTGGGGCCAGTTACCCGTATGATAATCACAGACTTCTCATCCACATATCCCATACTCCAAGTATGCAGGGCTAATGCTGATCTCTCCCAGGCTTACCCAGGGGACTTTAGTATTGATTAGTGGTCGATTGGGAGATGTGTACGGTCATCGAGAGCTCCTGCTCGCAGGCGGCGTGTGGCTAAGTGTAACCACGCTTGCCAGCGCCTTCTGCAGTCATAATTTCTTTGCCTTTGTCGTCATGAGGGCTCTAAGTGGTCTTGGGGGCGCCTTCATAATGCCTAACGCAGTAGCCATGATCGCAAGTACTAATCCCCCAGGACGCATTCGGAATCTTAGTCTGGGGCTCTTCGCAGCGTCAGCGCCCATGGGAGGTTATTTCGGGGCTCTCTTCCTTGGCGCCTTTATGGAAAAAACGGAATGGAAATGGTTCTTTGTCTTCATGTAAGTCAGGAGTCCCGCAACAGTGTTATGATGCGATTCTAACTCTCCCATTGCAGATCTTGCCTCGGCTTCATAACATCGATCGCACTTTGGGGATTAACCTTGCGCGAGAAACCTGTCGACCATAACGGAAAGATTGATTACATCGGGTCCGTTTTGGGTGTGAGCTCGCTGGTTCTCTTCAACTTCGTCTGGAAGTCAGTATTATTACCCCATAAATTGGCGGATGGACCCGAATTGATATTTACCTTGGTGACATAGTCAAGCCCCAAGTGTTGGCTGGGCCACTCCATATGAGATTATTCTTTTGATTGTCTCAATTTCCCTCTTTGGAATCTTTCTGCTCTGGGAGAAACGATATGCTGAGTCTCCCATCATGCCACTTGAGATATTCAAAGCCCCGTCTTTCCTCATTGTGATCCTTGTCGTCCTACTAAATTACATGGCTGTGGGTACACTGATCTGGTATCAGGTCCTTTGGTTACAGGAAGTTTGGGAATGGTCGCCTCTGGAATTCGCCATTGGTTGGACACCTTTTCTTATTTGTGCAATCGCAGCTGCTTCCCTGGCCGCTTGGTTGGTACCTCGTCTAGCAGCACAATGGATCCTTGCCATTGGGACCGTGACAATTCTCGCATCCAATGCACTTATGGCAACGGTGCCTCTGCATCAGACATACTGGGCTCAGGTTTTTCCTTCTGTGGTTCTTTTTGCTTTCTGTCCAGACTTTGTGTATACTGCCGGTCAGATCATTGCAAGCAACTCCGTTCGCCGACACCAGCAAGGTATTGCAGGCTCAATCATTGGCACACTTAACCTCTATGGGAACAGTTTGGGGTTGGGATTTGCCTCTACCATTGAGGTCCAGATTGCCAACCGCTCTGGAAGCCAGATAGCGGGCTATAGGTCAGCGCTCTTTTTTGGCGTGGCGATCAGTGTGTTGGCCCTCGTTTTGGATGTTGGCTTTGTCCGGATGGTCAAAGATGATCGTGAAGGGTGGGGTGAAGAGGACCGCGTGCAGATGGATGAGATAGAACTTTCGCACCTTGCGGAAGCGACTGGTGCAAGTCGACATGCGGCGACTGAAAGATCATAGTTGATTGTTGGTACTCGAAACCTAACTTCTGTCTAAACTACTGACAAGTAGCAAATTGTGAGTCTATATGAACTTTACAGCAAGGCAAGGAACGAAGAGAGATAACCAGATTATCGGACACGAAGGCAAAGACGCTCCTGTTTCAGTTAAATGATCACCTACTTTCATAGATTTACCAATAGAGACAACAGAAAATATCGTTCAAAGGCACATCAGTCATCGCAGGTCAATTTGGTGCTATATACCTACATATGTGTAAGTACTCTCATTACTTTACTGCTGGCGCCCCGGTTACTGGTGGGTACTAGAACTCCTCAACTAGACGACATACCTTTCCAGGAAAATACAATCAGATGAAATGGGGCTGTAAGCCGCAGTCTAAGAAGTTTGCTATCGTCTTGGGCCCGCAAAGTGGACAATCGAGAGAAACAGTTTCAAGCCCGTCCAGGGCTCGGTAACATCCTCGATAATCCTTATAACCAGACTATGATATCAGATATTACCGATCCAGCCCTACGGACAGCCTTAGTGGATTTAATGATATCTGGACTAACAACTTCTTGATCTACATCACAATTATCCACTTTCACCTTTTGTAATATATGATAATTTGCGTGTGATGATATCGCAACATATTGAACGTGGACGAGATCTTCATCCAGCCGAACAAGAGCTTAAGCTTGACACACATCTCAAGAGCTCTAGTCCAAAAATACATAGTCAATGTCGCACAAGACCCTGATATTCTGTCTGGAAGATCCATTTGGAGGCACAGGACCAAGATCCTTCTTTTTTAAACAGAATAAACCAACTTTCTTCCACTTACCTTCCCTTCCCTCAGGCAATCTAGGCCCTTTAGAACACCCTCAAATCCTTTCCCGTGAAGATTGAGAGTAAGAGGATGGTTTTTCAGTTTTACTTCTCGGATAAGTTGTTCCGCCAGCTTCATGATCATGATAATGAATTGGTGATCCTCTGGAATAGGAGGAAACCTAGTCCCCTCAAACAGAAACTCTTCTCCAGAGAAAGTATAGCCAAGAAAGAATTTCTTTTCCACCGGTATAGAGGTTGACAATGGCAGAGTTGGGTCGAGAGTGCAAGCATATATGGCTTTCGGTGGAATTGTCGAACCTGCGATGGCTGGACTCATGAAGGAAGCAACGCAAATGGCCGCTGTTTCATCGGTAGCTATAGCGTCCAAGGCATAAATCAACGAATTCGAAGTTGCTGATGCAATCAGGCTGGATATATTTGGGTCATGCTGCTCAATGAAATCAGTGACTGGATCTCCCAGATGATAGTTATAAGACAGTGACGGACGTAGTCAAACCAGATATCCGCTCCCATATCGCGCACCAGATCAAAATTGCGAGGAGAACAGGTGGTGACGACTTTCAGTCCAGACCTATAGCTCTATATGTCAGCTCTCAAACTAAAGATTAACTATTGGATTATTGGATTGCCAAACTTACAATTTTGCAAATTGAATAGCCAGTGATCCCGTTGCCGAAGATCCTCCATAAATCAAAATCCACTCCGGGTCGTTGTTGGATACGTTATCAGAGCCAGGTAGTGGAAGGCCTATTTTTTGATAAAGACCCATACTCGCCGTGACCACACCAACACCCATAGACGCCGCGTCTTCGAGGTTCATGTTCTCCGGAACTTTCATCTGAGCGTCCGCTTTCACGAGGATGTACTCGGAGAACGCTCCATAGTCCGGATGCAGAACATTGCACCCGTGCGAAATGCCTGCCACACGGTCCCCGGGTACAAATCCCTTGTTCACCTGCTCGCCGACTTGAACAACGGTCCCTGCGTAGTCGACCCCGACCACGCTGCCGATGTACTCTTCACCGTCGATATCGGTCCAATCAGCGGGGTTGAGAGCAACATATTGCGTCTGGACGAGCATGTATCCAGGGGGCACGTCCGGCATAGGCATGGACGTGATGACGGCTTGCCCAGGGCCTTTCTTGAGGATGGCCCGTCTGTGACTGGGGAGTGTAGAACCCATTGTCGTGCCAGTTAAAGCTATCAAAGGATTGTCTGATTCTAACTTAAATGTTCAAAAAATTTTCTCGAGGGGAAGAGTTGAATAAAACCCATTTACACCTTGATGTTAACTTTTGCATTATTGGATTTATAAGCTGATGCATTGTCGATGGAAGGATTCCCGAGGCATCGTGTGCTTATGTTGGTGCCTGAGGTGTCCGCACTCACCACCCGGATGACTTGGTTTTCTCCAATCAGATTATAAGCAGAAACAGGATACGAGCCCCGGCTACGACGATCTAGATGGAATCATCGACGCGAAGACACATCTCTATGTCAGAGCACCTATATATTTAGGCTCATATTTACAGGAAAAATCTATGAATGGGATGGTAGAGGCAACAACATCAACATTGTTTACAAACAAATGACCATTGACGCAGCAGCAATTTCTATTACCAAAAGCCGTCAGTTTTTTCCTGCATTGCTTATTTTGCACGAAAACTCTCATTGAAAATGGATGCATGTACGGCGACGGGAAGAATGGACTTGTTGGAAGTCTTTCCTAGCAGTAGGCTAGGAATAACTCTAAGGGAACTAAGCGTGTAAAACCTAGCTGCTTGTGGCCCCGAAGGCTAAATTGCTCGTACGGCGCATCTGATGAAACTTTTCCAACACATTGTTATTCACAAAACCGGAACTGGACGCCGTTGCGAATCATCCTCACACTTTCGCGAATGGCTTCCACCCCCCTTGAATGTTCCGACTGATCATCATGGTCAATCCTCCGGCGATCGACACAACACCCCCGAATATCCACATAGAGTTAAATCCTTTGCTCTGCAGAATAGCGCCCGCTGCAGGTGTGCCGACCAACATACCGACTGTCATGGTTGCATATCCCATACCCATGCGTGTTCCGATTAAGCTTCGATCTGGTGAAAGCTTCACAAAGCAAGTTGGAGGCAAGGAAACAAAAGCCCCTGAAAAGAATCCGTAGAAAAAGGAGATGACCACTATACCAGCCAAACTGGACAAGTTTACCAGGGCAAACATCAATCCGCCACATATGACGGTACACGAAAAAACAATGTTGAAGGGGCCCACCCTATTCGCAAAGAAATTTGGGAATACTCGCCCAAACACAGAGCCAGTAGTAATGATGGAAAGAAGGTAGAATCCCAGATCATGAGTGGAAATTTCCTTGCTGATGGCGTAGTATTGGATGTAGAAGAAAGGGATGTTCAGGGACACGAAGGTAAGGAGACCTCCGAGAACGAAGAAAGTATAGGCTGGTTCTTTGAAAGCGGCTAGGTCCAGCAATCTCCTCTTGTTCGGAGGCACAACTCGGACCCTGAAGACTAGAAGGGGAATAAGCAATGTCACGAATATGACAAGTCCAATTGCCCGAACGGTCCAGCCAAAGCCGATTTCATCGCACAATTTGTGGAAGATTATTGGATATATAATCCCGCCTAGAGATATATGAACATCAGTTGTTGTTCAAAATATTGCTTACTGAAACTTACCCAAGCCACTTCCGGCCGCCGCTATGCCATTTGTAAGGGCCAATTTTGAAGTGAAATAGGTTGACAAAAGGGCAACGCCAGGGATGAAGATGAGACCAACACCGATACCGATGCAAAACCCTTGTGCAAGCAATGATTGATAATATTCATGACAAAGGCTCGTCATCATTTGTCCCAGAATGATCATGAATGATCCGCTGTATAAAAGAGGATAGAAATATCCAGCATCGTACAGTGGCCCAGTAACTAGTCCGAGGATTAAGAGCAAAGATGATTGGACAGACCCTATCCAGGAGATATTCGAGGAAGATGCGGCAAACAACTTTCCTGTCTCATAATACGTCTGATACGCCCCAAATGTATTGAGAATGCCCCTTATTATCGGGTATATCAGCAATCCTTTTCCCAAAGAATTTAATAATGAAGAATTCATGGAAGGGAGAAAGCTTACCAGGTGTTAAAAAATATGAAAAAGGTTCCAAGTACCTGCAGCCAGGCCTTCAAACCACCATTTGGAATGGCCTGGGTGTCATTGGCAGAAGATTTCGGCAGATCGTCAAGAGCTTTCTCGTTGTCATATTCTCGGCTACCCGAGGGCTCCGATCGACTAGAGAGATTTACCTTAGCTTCTTCCATGCTTAGAGCATGTGAATATGTCAAAGAGAGAAATTTTTTGACTACACGAGAATCGAGTCCAAAGAAATGACATATATGAATACTTGTACTAACCTAGCCCGAAGAAATACGAGCACGTAGCGTAGTCAAAGAACTATCGGTCGCCGCCTTCTGCCAGTTTGAACCCCATCATTTCCGAAATGCCGAAATGCCGAAGGTACAACTTGGCATATTGACCTCAGTCCTTAACAAGTCAGCACGGAGGTGACCGAGAATCGCTATCCTACAAAAGTTACCATAATTTGATACTGATTCGCACACTTATTCGACGGCTGCCGCCGCTTGTGTCTAAACGTTCGTGTTTAAACGAGGCGGAGGTGGCCGATGAATGCGTTCCCGTATCTGCACCATCCACTAACGGATAGATCCTTCCGTTCCCGTTATGGAGATCCCGGTGACCAGATCCTCCATTATGCAGGACGAAGGAGGTCAAAGGCGTCATGCGGAGCACTCACAATAAACAGTGCCCTCCACCTTGCGGGTAGATCCGATCGCTTCCACTATGGAGGTCCCCGGTGGCCAGATCCTTCATAATGCAGGACGAATGTCAAGTGCGCCTTGCAGGATTCTCATGATAGATAGTGCTCTCCACCTTGCGGGTAGATCCGCATCCTTACACGGTAGCTCGCCGGCGATCAAATCCTTCACTATGCGCAAGGATTCACTTTTTATATGCTTAGCGTTGAGACAAGTGTTCGATTCCTGTAAAGCCTAGAACTGGTTTCGAATGCTCGTGTTCATGACCTCTGTATGGGCACAACTAGAGTTTTTCCAGCCAGATCTTTAAGAATTCTTTAGCTCTATTCCCTTTGTACAAGGCCGTGAAAATGAAAAAGATTTGCCAATGTTCCTACGACTTTCGACATTCTTGCATGATAGGATTCCTCTCATTTTTATTGATACGTAGCACCAACTTTTCAGCTGTCCCCACTCTCGTGGCTTGTATTAATACCAATGGCTGCTTACAATAATCTGGCTCGAAGTATAGAAGAATTATTTCGCTGTCCCTTTCGTGCTGGAAAACAAATGACACAAAATCCTCTACGATCATAATCAACCTTTGGCTCTCAAAGAGCTCTCCAACATCCCTGCACGATCAATACCACAGAGACGACGAGCATCCATGGAGTTATATGAGAGGCTCCACAAGTATATGAGACGAGATTTGGACGGCCGTACTGTCTCGATGCACAGACACGAGGCTTCGGCACCAGAAATAGATATCGCGCTATACGCTAATGCAGACATGAACCAGTGAGGTTTGCCCAGCTGGGCAGGGCAGATTTCATCGCTAAGAAGGTCCAGAGCTCATTCTATACGAGCTCTCAACGGCCATAATATTCTCCTCGGCAAAAGAATTGCGAAGGGACTATACGACTACACCATGGCGCCATCGGTTCTTGGCGTTATGGATTTCATGGGCCGAACCTGAAGTGCGAAAATATAAAGGTGGTCAGTCCGAAGCAAAGAGGTTCGGTTTTTTCTTTCACTGGCAACGCAAAGGCAAATCCTGAAACCAAAAAAAAAAAAAAAAAATCTCCTCAAACCCACTATACGGATAGTATCCTATTGCCCCCTTCACCATGACGATCAGAACCTACCAACAGGCTTCGGCCTTCCAAACCAAACGGACCGATGTCATCGTTGTTGGTGCTGGCCCTGCTGGTTGCATGGCTGCTGCGACTCTACAACGATATGATATCGACTTCCGCTTAATTGACAAACGTCCGACGAGGACCCAAACGGGACATGCGAGTGGTTTGTGAAATCAAGCATTCTCTAGTTTGAAAGATGATGCTGACCGAAAGAAAAGCTTTCCAACCCCGCACCCAGGAAATTCTGCAGACAATGAACCTGCTCCATGAACTTGATGGCAAGGGACACCGCCTCACGGAGACATCTTTCTGGATGCGTGATAGCGTGGGGCTGTTGGATAAAACCTTCACTGGTGCTGAGGTAGTTCACGGTAATTGCTCGAGCCTCTTAAAAAATTGTATGATTTGACACCGAGCTGATAATCACATGAATCAAAGCTACTCCTTATCAGTATCTGTTTAACACGGACCAAGGAATGACAGAAGACATTTTTGAAAAACATCTCCTGTCGAAAGGACAAAAGATACACAGATTCATGGAATTGCTCCACTATGAATACAACAAAAATATGCCCGAATGGCCGCTCACGGCATACATCAAAAACAATGCCACCGGTGCCATTGAAGCTTGGCAGACAAAGTACATTCTGGGCTGTGATGGAGCGCGAAGTGCAACGCGTCAAATTACAGGTGTCAAATCATCATCGCAAGGTGGCGAGGATGTTTGGGCCGTGGCAGACGTCTACGTTGACACGGATTTTCCCGATTATAGGCGACGTTGCGCGATCCAAACCTCTGACGGTGGCTGTATGCTCATACCACGCAAGGATGAGGGGCTTCGAATCTTCCTCCAGGTTGATGCGAAAAATAAGGAGGTCCTCGACGCAAGTGGAAACCAACCCCGTGAACATCTCTATGACAACAGTGCCTTCAAGCTCAGCCGCACCGTTCAGTCGCACATCAACAACATTATTCACCCATACAAAATGAACATCACTGATATCCTTTGGATCAGCAAATATCATGTGGCTCAGCGAGTGGTTCATAACTTCCATGACCAAGGTCAGCGTGTTTTCCTCCTAGGAGATGCATGTCACACACATAGCCCCAAGGCGGGGCAGGGCATGAATGTTAGCATTTCTGACGCATATAATCTGACCTGGAAATTGGCACTTGTCATGAAAGGCGTTGCAAATGCCGACTTGCTCCTAACATACGAGCAAGAGAGACTTTGGGTTGCACAGAAGCTAATTGAATTTGACGCTGTTTTTGCCCGTCAATTTGGACAGAAAGAGAAGCTTGAAAGTCAAAGCCTCCGCGAGACATGGGAAGAGGGACATGGATTCACAAGTGGGTGTGGATATGAATACCCTCCAAACCTACTTGTTGACCCGACTGTTCGAACGCAAATTAACAATCAGGCGGTGGAGCCACTGGTACCAGGGAAACGCCTGCTACCGATCAGTCTCGTTCGACACATTGATGGAAACCACGCTCAGCTACTAGATGTCATGCCTTCCAACGGTAGATTCCACTTGTTCGTTTTTGCTGGTAATCAGCTTCTTTCGCCGACGATCCAGAAACTCGCGGAGTCTCTGAATTCTTCTCAATCTCCAATGAGCCTTTTCAACTTGTTGCCATTGGAGCTTATCGAACGTTTTCGCCATGAGGATATTGCAACAAACACAGTATCCTCTACCAACAATTCTTATCTCATTGACCTTTTCTTGATTCATTCATTGGATCATTTGAATATTCAATTGGAAGAACTTCCTGCTCCATTTTCCACCAAATGGCCGATGCGTGTATACTCTGATGCCAACGGGGCTGCTCAGAATCAGTTGGGCGTTCCCGAGGACTCCGGTGCTTTAGTTGTGGTGAGACCAGACGGTTATATTGGTTTGATCACCGGATTGGACAGACTTGAGGACGTGACTTCTTATTTCAGTAAGTTCATGGTCAGACGGGTTTAGATCCGGGACGTTGATACACTGAAAGGCGGGGCGATAAAGGCTTTAAAAATGGGGTTTTGTATCTTTCTTTGTGCTTCAATATAGTATGTCTTCAAAAAGAAAAAGGAAAAGACAAAAAAAAGAGACAGCGAAAAAATTAGTGTTCTTGGTTTCACCACACAGAATATAGACTCAAATTCCTTATTACAGAAATACAAACACCAGCGGAATCTTCCCATTGGAATGAGGCTTATTTGAATAAACACATCGTTTTGTTTAAGAAAACCGACTGCTTCTCTGAGAACGAATGAGACAGGGTTTACAACATATAGCGAGTCTTTCAACGACAGAGTTTTGATTTGGAAGCACTTTCCCTTTTTATGTAAACCTTCAGATGGACTCAATCTGGCATATATGGTAACTAGGTCCATATCGTTGCTCATGCATGATGGTGTTGGGACCAAATGGTTTCAGTTCAAGTATTTTTGCTGGATACGACCATTGTAGTATTTGTTCTAAGAATTTTATAACATTTGTACTATTACCCCTCTTTTTGATGAGCTCAGGCAAATCGGTTACAGCCGAATGGTAGTTTTATACCCGGAAATCGGAGCTGTCCGAGAATAGCTGAAAGCATTCGGGGGGCTTCGAAAGACGCACATACATAAAGACCTGATTGCGCGGCGAAAAGCATTGGAATCTGTTCAGAACATCTCGATCACAAGCTAAACTCTCTCAAATTGTCTTTATTTTGGTCAAAGTCTTGATCAGACAAAATGTACGAGCTCTCCGACGCACAGTATGGCAAGGACAACGTTCGCCTATACAAAGTCCATCGCAATGCAACGACAGGTGTTCAAACAGTGTACGAACTGACAGTTTGCGTCTTGCTGGAGGGAGACATCGAAACTTCGTAAGCTTCCCGCTGGTAAATTCCTTGCAAATCATTTCATTTTGTTGACATTTCTCTATAGTTATACCAAAGAGGACAACAGCGTGCTTGTTACCACTGATGCGATCAAAAACACAGTTTACATCGTCGCGAAGCAATACCCTGTGGACCCTCCAGAGCTGTTTGGCTCCATCCTTGGAAAGCATTTCATTACTAAATACAGTCATATTCATTCTGCCCATATTGATCTCACCTGCCATTCTTGGGAGCGAATGGCCATTGACAACAAGCCACACCCACACTCGTTCTTTCAGGATGGGAGCGTGAAACGGCATGTTAATGTGGATGTGCTCAAGAAATCTGGATTCAATATCACGTCTTCAATTTCTGGTTTAAGTGTCTTGAAAAGTACCAAATCAGAATTCTGGGGCTATATTAAGGATGAGTACACGACACTACCGGAGACATGGGACCGCATCCTGAGTAGTGATGTTGACATCAAATGGAAATGGAAACACTTCACCGATTTGTCCGATGTTGAATCTCATGCTTCCCATTTCGACAGCGGATTCGCATTTGCGAAGGACGCAACCTTCAGGATTTTTGCTGAGGACAACAGCATGAGTGCCCAGGGTACTTTATACAAAATGGCTGAGCAATTCTTGAAAAGTGTTCCTTTGGCAGAAAATGTCCAGTATTCTTGGCCCAATAAGCACTACGTTGAGATAGGTGAGTCATCAGAAAGCCCTTTGAGGTATGTTTTCAGCAGAATGTGGCTAACTTTTATGTACCTGATCTTTATTAGATCTGAGCTGGCATAATGGAATTCAAAATACCAATACGGATGCCGAGGTGTACTTGCCACAATCTGCACCGAATGGCCTGATCAAAGGGACTTTGACGCGTTCAGCGCTTCGGAATTCCAAAACAGCAAAGCTATGAACAGCTTTGGGAGAACCTCTGATCAATCGATGCAAGTTTATTGTAATTTCGACTTGTCCTGTACCAGAGAAGGTAGAGCGGTATATAGTTCAATCCGAAGATGAGATCTAGTTTATAACCTTGTATCTCTAGCTATTCGCCTATATACAAATGCGAATTCTTATAAGTCATAATAATGGTGACGTAGATTAATATTACCTTTATTACGTGAAGCTTCTTTAAACTATATTTATATGGGAGACTGTAAGTTGGGCACAAGTTCAACCTATGCCAGGGCTGTCCACCAGACGGACCAGATCCCCATTCGATTCAGCAACAAGATAAACTAGGTATCACAACATGCATGGCTGATAGTTTCGGAAAGGCGGGAAGCCCCGCAGACTAGCTGATTTTGGTAATAGTGGCGCTGTAGTTTAGACGGCGTCCCGGTTGGTCTCCCCTCCTATCATCTCTCGCTTTACCAAACAAGGACGAGAGAAAAGAAAACATTGAAAATAGCCAGCGGTTGTTGTAGATATGTAGAGTTGGTTACGTTACAGCACACCCATTTGGGTTTGAAAGGTCTTCGATGGGCACTTTCCACCCGCGCATGTCTGTTCTTAAGGGTCAACAGGCGTACAGAGGTTCGACATAAGATAGGGGAAACTTCTGTAACTTGAACGTCACAAATATACATTCTTCACCGACTCGAGCGTGGATCGTCTCGACTGCAAAATCCAGAAGCCATCTCAAATAACAGGGAAAGATTTTTGCTTTGCTAAGGAAGAATTAAAGCAGGAAAAGGAAACATATGCCCTACAAGAGCACTGCATAGTTCGCGTGCACGTGACTTCAAAACTCATGCCTCAGGCCCCACGAATAGACCGCTCTCGTCCTCCATTTCTTGCTTTTGTCAGCTTTTGTTCTCCGACTCCCCCGCCGGCCTGTATATAATTAGCCCTCTTTCTCCCCTCTTCCTCACCCCTCTCTCTTTCTCCCCCCATGATCTCCCGCTCTCTTGTCATCCCTTCATCCCGGGTCAGCTATCGAGGCTCTTCACTCTTGAACCGATTTTGCCGGACTTCCAACCTTCATACCGTTACAGGTCGACGTCCGACCGCCGCCGATCAAAACCTGGCGACCACCCGCACCTCCTCCACGCCTTCAATTGCTCTTGCACCTCGTCTTTCAACTATCTCTAGACACCTTTCATCCTCCAGCAGCAACATGGCTCCCGTCGAAACGAAACAATATGACTACATCGTCCTGGGTGGTGGAAGCGGCGGTAGCGGCAGCGCTCGCCGTGCTGCCGGGTGGTATGGCGCAAAGACGCTAATTGTCGAAAGTGGACGTTCTGGGGGTACTTGTGTCAATGTTGGGTGAGTTCTATACCTTCCTCTACGTGGCACACGAACTAACCCGGCCCCTAGCTGCGTACCAAAGAAAATGACTTGGAACTTCGCAACTATCAATGAAATGATGGAGATCGGCAAACACTACGGCTACGACATTCCCGAGAACATCAAGATGGACTATACCCATTTCAAGAACACCCGCGACGCTGTGATCAAGCGGCTGAACGGTGCCTACGAGCGCAATTGGGGTCGGGAAGGAATCGACCTGGTACATGGCCGCGCCAAGTTCGTCGACCGCAAGACCATCGAGGTGGCATTGGCCGACGGCTCCGGCGCCGTCCGGTACACGGCGCCACACATTCTCCTCGCGACCGGTGGTCGTCCCACCCTTCCCGACACCCCCGGTGCCGAGCACGGGATCACCAGCGACGGCTTCTTCGAGATGGAGGAGCTACCGCCCAAGGTTGCGGTCGTGGGTGCGGGATACATCGCCGTTGAGCTGGCGGGTGTTATGAACGCCGTCAATGTCGAGACCCACATGTTCATCCGCGGGCAGACCTTCCTGCGCAAGTTTGATCCCATGGTCCAGCAGACTATGACGGATCGCTACGAGGCTAATGGCGTCAAGTTTCACCGCGGACACACTGGTTTCAAAGAGATCACACTCATCCGGGACGGCAAGGGCAAGGACAAGCTCATCAGGCTGGTTAGCGACGACGGCTCCGAGGTGGAAGTTAACGAGCTGCTGTGGGCTATTGGTCGTGTTCCCGAGGTCGAGGACCTGCACCTGGATATCCCTGGTGTTAAGCTGAACCCCGCCGGCTTCGTCGTGGTCGACGAGTACCAGAACACCTCTGTGGAGGGCGTCTACGCCCTGGGCGATGTGACTGGCCAAGCCGAGTTGACACCCGGTAAGCAATGAAATTCCCGGAATAACACACCCAACCAACCAATTATACTTACACGATTTCGCAGTTGCAATCGCCGCCGGCCGCCAACTAGGCAGCCGCCTCTTCGGACCCCCCGAATTCAAATCCGCAAAGCTCAACTACGAGAACATCCCAACCGTAGTCTTCTCGCACCCCGAAGTTGGATCCATCGGCCTAACGGAGCCGGAAGCTCGCCAGCGCTATGGTGACGACAAGATCAAGGTCTACCACACCAAGTTCACGGCGATGTTCTACGACGTCATGCCGCCAGAGGAGAAGGCCAAGAACCCCACCGAGATGAAGATCATCTGCGCCGGGCCACAGGAGAAGGTTGTCGGTCTACACATTCTGGGCCTGGGTGTTGGGGAGATGTTGCAGGGTTTCGGTGTTGCAGTGAAGATGGGCGCGACGAAGCAGGACTTTGATAGCTGTGTTGCTATCCATCCTACCAGTGCAGAGGAACTGGTTACGATGCGGTAGATCTCTCGAATCTGTGCTGTGTGCGTCTGTTTTGGTTTTTTGTTACCTAGTGGCAGATCCAAATATCTAGACCCTGTGCTAGATTAATAACATTCCCTAGACTGGCTACCACCGTGTTACTTCTTTTTGTTGCCTTATGGGCTGGTTGGTTGGTGGGCATTATCGGTTCACCTCGGCCCGTTAATTTGATTCTATGGGTGGGTGTTGTACTTGTTCCGAGCTGGAAGCCCTTTTGGATAAACCATATGAAATGATAACAGGGATTCTTCGTGATGGGACATACATCTACGGGGACACAGGGGCAGCTTATCATTGCATGTCTTTGAGTGTGTATTCGACAATGTATAGATAGATGTATGGCTGAAGCAAAACAATTGCACAGGTGTCTTTTCGATCTGTGCTTTGCGAAGAGGGCCTGCGGTGGTGCAGGGAAGAAGAGCACCGAGTCCGAGGTTAGCTGTTCTGCATAGTCCAGCATGTAGCGCGGGACGGTCTAGAACCCTGGCTGTGCGATGAAAAGGATGAAAATTCCGCAGGGTCGTATTTGCGACAGCGGAGTGGCCCCGTTACAACCGAGAGAACGAAAACCGGAGATAAAAAGCCAGATCGTGTCTCGTATATCGCTGGCGATCATGGTGGACGGCGACAGAGCCGTAGATAGTGTTTGTACTGCTGATCGGAAAAGACACATCACCGTTTCGGACGAGATAGAGAAGAATACATGTTCCAGGTAATCACAAGAAAATCTCTCAATCTTGCTGCGATGAGGTGGATGGTTCTTCGTGAATCGGACTCGTGGCCACCTTGTCCAGCGCGACGGCATGCAGTGCGGGTTTCTCGGCATCGGGATGGAGTTTCTGCGCACGACGTTCCTTTTGCTTGTGCACCCAGTCTGCAACTTCCTTGTCCTCCGTCGTGGCGGAAGCATCGCCAGACTCAGAATGCTGCTCGGCTTCGCTTGGGGGTTGCATGAGAGATGCAAGCCATGGATGGCGGATCAGTGTGCTGTAGGATGGTCGGTTCTTAGGGTTCTTGTCCAAACAGGCGCGGATGAAGTTGTGGGCGTCTTCTGAGTAGCCTGTCGAGGGCAGAGTTGGAGGGTCACCGTGGACGATAGCCTGCACGTATTAGAATGGAAACACTGAAAGAAAAAAAAGAACACTCACATGGAGTTGGCTGAAAATGTTGTTGTAGGTCTCCGGGGGGTATGGATATCGGCCCATAGCGCACTCGATGATCGACAACCCCAGACTCCAGATGTCACTTTGCACACTATAAGTACCACCACCACTGGATGCCCCAGCCTGCTGCATCCCGCCACCTGCAATTCGCTCTGGAGCCATGTAGCTTTGGCATCCGATATTGGTCTTGGCAATGCTGGCCACCAAGTTTCCACTGACACCGAAGTCGCAAATCTTGACCTGGCCCTTGCTGTTGGCTAGGATATTCGTCGGTTTGACGTCGCGGTGAATGATGTTGTGGTCGTCCTTGAGTGACTTCAGTCCCATCACCGTCGACAAAGCCACCTTGCGAAGGATATTTTCAGGAACGCCACCCTCGTAGAGCTTGTCGATTGACCCCCCGTCCATGTACTCGACACACATGTAGACCGCACCCTCCTGAAAAAAGGCTCCGTAGAAATCAATGATGAAAGGCGAAACGCAGCGATGCAAGATGTCCAGCTCCATAATGATCTGCGCAAATTTCTTCTCGTCCAACTCCAGTCGAATTTCCTTCATCGCCATGATCACCCCGGAATACTCGCCAGGGTCGGCACTCGCATCTTCCTGACCAGGAGGCCGACTGACAATTCCCTGTAGACCCAGCCCGGGTTTCCGCATCTGTGCCCGACTGTGCCGAACCTTGTATACTGTCCCGTAGTTGCCCTTGCCCAGTTCATCCAAGCGATCCACTTCGTCCAGGGAAATTTTGAAGCTATGACCCGAGGAGAACTCGACGCCGCCTCCATGCAGAATAGCTTTGTTCTTGAAGTTCAACGTCCCTGCTTTCGTGTCGATAAACTCTGAGTATTTGCTGAATGCCGAGTCACCGTTTGGCGCGTCTGTTTTAGAGGGCTCGCTGGTCGGCGCCGGGGTTCCCGTGACATCCGACAGTTTAAGACCAGGCTTCATCCGCTTAGCGGCAAGGCCACCAGGCCGAGGAGACGCGGGGGATGATACTCCCGGGACTACCGGAGAAGAAGTCCAGTTCTGGTTGCTCGGTCGCCCGGTGGAAGGAACACGACCAGCGAGAGCACCGCCTGCACCAATTTCCCGAGCGGTCGGGACGGAGCCCGTTGAGGCATGGTGTTGTAAAGGGGCACCCTGCCGCGACAGCGAAAAGGCCTTCATCTTGGCCATGATATCCTGGTTCAACCCGCCACTCCCTTGGGCGCTCATGGAGGCCGGAGGGCGCGGCGAAGTGCCCGCACCTTGCCGAGCGGCATTGACCTGGCCCAGATGTGTGTTGGAGGCCGAGATTCCGGGCGCAGGGGTGTGGAGGAGGGCCGGGGTCGAGGCAACGTGGGTGAGGGCTGCGGGGGACCTGTCGCCTGGGTTGCGATCGTCCTCGGCGGGCGCAGGATCCCGATCGGGGTCCATGGTGGCGATGGACACACACGGACTAGCAGGAAGCCAGATTGAGTGGGGTGGGACAGAGAGAAGGCAAGAGAAGGAAAGGGGGAAAGTGTTGGCGGGGATGGACGAGTGACGGGAAGAGGAGAAAGAAAGGGAGTGAGTTGCGTAGAGAGTGTGGCCGGCCAGGCAAACACGGCAGTGGAAAGCAGCGGGGCACTTTGGACTCCAACTACTACCCCAATGAAAGATATGATGTTAATTTCGTGTCTGAAATAACGGCACAGATCATTACGATTATGTCCCGTGCAGGTTGTGCTCTTGCCCGGGTTGCTGACCCAATCAGGACCTCGCCCTGGCTGCCCAAAGCAGGTTTTGCCCCGTGACAGGATTCCGGCACGATAAGGCCTTGTCTCGGTAGTGCCGGCACGGATCGACCGTTGGTTGACCCGGGGAGCTCCAGGTAGGGCTTAACTTCCAGGAGAGCCGAATTGACGCCAGCCTGGGATTCCCGCGGCAGCCATGGACACCCGCCTGGAGCTGATCCGCCAGCACATCCACCTGTACGAACCGGTCTCGTCGGCGGCTGCCCCTGACTCGTCGCCCGCTTTGGTTATTCTGTGTACCTGGGTAGGGGGCTCCACCCCGCGTCGCATCAACAAGTATGTTGCGCAGTATCGCCAGATGTATCCCGGCGCATGCATCCTGCTGCTCACCACGTCCTTCTCGGACATGTTTCGGCCTTTCAGCATGCTGCGCGCCCGTCTCAAACCTGCTGGCCGCGCAATCCGCAGAGTCTTGACTTCGCGAGGGTCGCGCGGCACCTTGTTGCATCTTTTCTCTCACGGTGGAGGCAATATTGCCGTGCAACTAGCTTTGTCCCTGAAAGAGGAGGAAGATGCTGGCACCGCGTTCTTTTCCAGTCTTCGAGGGATTATCCTCGATTGCTGTCCCGGCGACGATACCCTCCATCGAGCAATCGGGGCTACTCGCATGTCAGTCCCTCAGACAACTGTCGCCCAAGTCCTGGAGAGAGCGTTTTTGTCCCCCACAGTAACAGTGGTGAATCGGCTGCAGCATGCTGGTGTCCTGCGCTCAGTACGTGACCTACGCGCACTGCTCCTGGATGCCTCCACCTTTGGTACCAAACCACGGAGACTGTACATCTATTCCAAGGAAGATGTCATGGTTGGCTGGGAGGATGTACAGATGCATGTCGAAGATGCACGCGCACTAGGCTACTCGGCCCAGGAACTTGTTTTTGAACATGGCCAACATTGTGGCTTGGTCATGGAAGACCCTGATCGATATTGGACTGTTGTCCAAAGATTCTGGCGTGGCGAGGATTCTGAACGTGACGCTGACCATAATTCAAAGACATCTCCACCTCTGCGCAGTCGCCTGTAAACGTGTCCACTTGATACTCAGCAATCGCGTGGCCAAATTAATCGCCATTTACCATATTCGCAATGAGGAAGCTCGCACCGCCTAACTCAGGGGAACCTTGATTGCCGACGACCACCATATCTCTTCCATCCCCTCCCATCTATCCATCCTTACCTCGGCTAACGAGGCTTCCATCTACATATCGTGGCCCACCCACTTAAGTTACGCGTGGATTGTAAATTTTTCGTTGGATTTCGTGCATTATATATACGCTATCATTTACGTGGTGTTGTACATAGTTGGTCCTGAACATAACCGATCCATGCAGATATATTTCCCATAGTTACTTGGTTATTCATCAATAGGAAAACAGAACACTTTCATTCATTACAATTCTTCAGCCATATAATCAAACAAACTCTGGGAAAGATGAGCTCAATAATCAATTATAATCAATTGAGTATGGCCAATTGTTGAGGTTCGGAAGCTCGTTCATGACCTCGACAATGAAGAGGGCCTCAGTCCCAAGCTCCGCGCCACCCTGGTCGTAGAGATCTGGCTCACTCAAACCATCGGCATCCATGACGGGGATGTTGATAAAGTAGCCGTTTGGCAGGGGGTCGTACTGGGACGTGAAATCCTTGACCATGTCGGTGGGCGAAACATTAGGGAAGTATCCCGAAGAATTGAAGTAGTTGTCCTGGACCCACTCCGCTGCCGTAGCCATAGTGTACAGATCGAGCCCATAGTTCCCGACATCTGACACTCCGGGAGTACCTGAATAGTCACCCCAGGCATATGAGGGTACCAACTCCTGGCTGACCATAAAGAAGTAGGCAGTGCTCCCATCAGATGAGCACGCGCGGGCGCCATCAAGTTTGTCGAGGTCCATGTCACAGGGAGCTGTACCGGAGATGTCGTCGGTACGCTTTGCAATAAAGACGTTTTGCTGAACCCAAGCAGCAGCCACGGCACTCGAGTTGATGTACTGTGTGAGCTCGCCGCTCAGGATATTATAGCCGTAATTCGGCAACTCCACGGCGAACGAGCCGTTCTGCATGAGGTACGGGGCGCTGGTTGGAAAATCATACCAATAATTTCCAGTCTGCGATCCGCTATTATCGGGGGCAACATTGATCGCGTTCTCGACGACCATCATAGTAGCGTTTTGCATTAACACGATAGATCGTCCAATCAAGTCCTCGATAGAGCTATAGGTGTTCAGCTCATTTTGTAGCCTACCAGGTAGTTAGAATATGCGTGAAATAATAGGGAAGATAGGAAAAATCAAACTTACAGCTGTGCGTAGTTTGCTTGCATTGAGCTTTGTGCACCATTTGCAAAAGCATCAAGACCACTCGCGGCCCCGGCAGCAGCTGAAGCTCCTCCGCTGATAGGCCCTAGAAGACCACTAATCCCCCCTAGAAGTCCGCCGATCATCGTCAATACTGCAGATGCGGAGTCCTGTTAAATATGACAGGTCAATCCAATATCCAGTGTAGGTTAGGATGGGGTGTCTCGTACGCCGGACGTGTCATGAGGTGTAAAAGTTGTGACAATGCCCATGACCTGGGTTTGGAAATCGTTCGCTTGTTTTTGAAGCGCATTGTTGACACCTGAGCCCCAGTCGAAAAGATTCTCGCAAGCGGAGAGTGCGAAGAAAAAATTGGCGTCCACTCGGGGTCTTTTTCACAAGCAGCTGTGTCACTAAGGCCGCCGAGATGGCATTGTCCACTCCCCGCTTCGCAATGTACGTTTGAAAGACTCTTGGTCTGAGCAGCCAGAAAGTCTACCCAATCTGTGCCACTTGTGACGTTTCCACCGTCGACCGTCATAGGGTAGGTGGAAGACCTGAAGACAAGTCATTACAACGGGCATGTAGCAAATGGCTCATCGCTTTCTTACCAGTAGTCTAACCAGTAATCCATTTCATATTTTACCCAGTTATCACGAGTAAAGCCATTGTTGCACAGCGCATTCTTGTTTGTTTCTTGTGCCGGGCTGAGGGTAGTTGTGGTTGTTGTGGAAACCTTGGATGATGAAGTAGGCGTGGAGCTAGATTGGGGCGGCTTGGTCGTGGCTTCTCGCCTACCAACGTGGAGAGCGGACGCCTCAAGGGCTAGAGCTGATGGTTAGTTAAAGGAACTCTATGGAGGACAGGGAAAGACTGACCGAAGAGGCCCAGCAATGCAGTGTACCTCATATTAGGAGTTAAGCAGGAAAGAGAATCCTTAAGTGGCGGAGAGAAGTTGGCTTGGAGAGACCTGCTTTAGGTTCTATTGAAGGGAAATATCACGCTTTTATATCTATAACTCTTGAAATGGTTAATTGCCCCCACGCCCGAGGCCCGATCTCAAATTACGGAGTAGAAGCCGGATCGTTCAACTACTATGATAATCAAAGACTGCGTTCCAGCGCTAAACATGGGATTGCGGGTATCTCATGGAATAACAGACAAAAGGCGTTTCATAATTCTGGGTAAATACTATCTGATTGGATTGATGTAACCAAGTAATGTCGATCTATGCGATGGTTGAGGCGCAAGGCTGGCTAGAATCGCGTGGACCCCAATCTAGTGGAGTTTTATACTCAATCATGCACTAGGTACTCGTGCCTGCTCTTGATCATAGCTCACGATAACTAGCTGATGTGGAGTTTCCTATTTAGCATAGCCAGCCTTGGCTGATGGCTCGGTCCTAATATTTCCCACCTTATAATTCTTGCCTGATGAGTTATAATGGCCACTTCACTCCAGAAGCCTTGTACATTCTATGCTTTTCGAGAAATTCTTGGCCTCAGCCAGGCCCTTGCATAAATGCAGTTCTTTTTTCGGGGGCCAATGCAATGTCTGACTCGCATCCATGTAAATAAGGCAAGTGGGTGGTGATGTGTGCATGCGGCGAGACAAGGCTGGCAACGCTAGCTTCTGAGCAGACTCACTACAAACGAGGCTTCAAGTGGCGATGTTACAAGGCAGTGCTATCAGCCACCAATTTTGGGTTAGCAGACTCGACGATCTAGCATCCGAATCCTGGAATGTCACGCTGCGGTGGATCGTGCAGCCAAGGATAGGTAAGCCTACCAGCTAATCACGACGGCAAGATCTACCAAGCTTCAGCCCCCAACGGCGTGCATAAGCTTTCGGGTTAAAATTGAAACACAATCTCGGCATACGTTATAGGACATGGATAGCACGTGGATTATTGGACGATCAATTACGTTCTTCGCCTACGTATCCCTCTATATTTCACACTTTGTAGAGATATTTACCGGTACATGGACATACTAAGTGGGTCTTTCGGTCCCCGAGGGGCGGTCCCTATTTAGAACAGGTGCAAAAGTTCCTGGAAATATACCCAGACGAGATCTCTAGTGTTTCAGGCCGTGGTTAGTGCATACGCAATCACTCAGGGAGTTTCGACGAACCCGTGCCATAGACCATGCCGTAATCAAAGAACGTTGAAGAACTGTGAGAGAGGAAAAAATGTTGACAATCCTTCTCTCACAAGGCTAATCAAGGCTGACCAGGACTGATTCTCGTTGGAATTCTAATACGCGAATCTCGATACAGGGAAAATGGTCGAAGTAACAACATGCTTGCCTAATAATAAAATGTTTACAGGGTATGTGGTATATCAGCTCAAAAACGTGGCAAAGTGTGAACGTATGCATCAAAGCTTGATTGGCAGGAAAGGACGGGTGGCTTGAATAGATCATAGAAATAACCTCGGATGTTTAGATCGCCTCCCCCACCGTTAGTGTGTTACAGCGCAAGCCACCGTCGCAGCCGTGCGATCCGAAGGATTTAACTGCGTCAGGACCCGATGTCGATCTTCATGGAAACTTGTTCCATTCGACATGCCTGCGATATCCTGTGGTGGGGGTGGGGTTAGGGTGGGTGGCCCTAAGTCCGCCCCCACGTGGATCGGCCTGCGCTATCCTGAACTGGCATGAGTACGCATGAGGTGCGGATATGCAATATGCTATAATGGGTAGCGTTGATAGCCTTTCTCCTGCTCTGCTTTTCAAGTCGAGCGCCGAGTCCAAGCCCGAATCATTTAGCTTGATCTTCTCGCCTCACCAAGCCAAATATGATACAGCAGCTTGCCAGCATCTACTTGTCTGACTGCCGAGTGCCTTCCACCGGACTCATACCTCCAACTATTCTCCCACGCTGCTTCAAGCCTATCGACGCTTTCCCGCGTGTTCCAGCCTGTTTGTTGCTGAATCTCTCGCAGAATGTGGACGCATGCATTTCGCTCCGGCTCTACCACGAGACACTGACCCGCAATTGTAAGAAGTTGGACGGCATTCGCCCATGCGATGGAGCATCGATTCGTCAGCGAGTTGGCGACAATCTGGCGCGCGTAGGTCTGTGCTTTTTGAGTCACGTCTGGGCTGGAGAGCACTGAGAGGCGACACGCCTGCGAGCAAGGCGTGCAAATGGTGAGAATGAGAAACGCGGTATGCAGCATTTGCCATGCTGCGGACACGGGACCGTTCAAGTAACGCACAGACTGGAAGGGATTGTCCTCTCCAATCGGAGGTAGAATACTGAGAGGTGAGCACACAGCTGGCGCTTGACTCTGGTGGCGCACCAGCTCAGCTTCAAGCTCCTTCCATCGGGCAGCGTGAAGTTGCGCCGCGTGTTCGTCGGTGACATCGGGAGTGCGACTCCAGAAATCGTGAACCATCCCGAGAAGGAAAACGACCTTTTTCTGCCATGATTCGAGCGTCCACGTAGCCAGATCAGGGAATACACCGCCGGGGATCCATTCCTTAGGCTCTAATGCTACCAGCTTGCCATCAGAGAGAGAGGCAAGGATAATCATCCTGCAGTAAATCCAGAATGACTGTGTATGAATATTCAAGTTAGCCAACATAATCACAGTATGAAGAACAGGACGTACCGCCTGTGCCAAACCGCCGCTTGTTCCGTGCCAACCATGCATCTTGAGAAGATCTCCCGTCCCCTTGAGGTGCAGGCCCCAATCCGTGGACTTGCTTTCGACCATCTCGCAGTGAGCTATAAGCAGACAGCTCGCAAATACCGCAGAATCTGGCCCGCTATCTTGTAGCCGCTTGGACAGTAGGTTGATAGCCGCGTTGTAGTATGTCAAAGCTTGCTCGTGACTGTGTTGCTGTTGTTCATTGACGAGGGAGTACTGGCGGGCTGCAACGGCGACACATGCTAGCAGGACAAGCTTGTCGTTTAGCGCAAGCTGCGGTACGACTGTCGAAAAATATCGTGGTGCATCATCGAACATGTCAAAGCGCGGACCGATGTAGTCGACGTATCGCCAGAGAAAAAAGGCGTCAATGGGATCCGTGATGGGGTTAGCGTGGCCGGACAGTCCAGGTCGTGGCGACAGATGCTGATGCTGGTCTGATGAGACGCTCGAGGCCTCATAGCTCGCTCTTATGACCTGGTATAGGTCCGAGACCTCTTGCGTTTCATCCACAAAGGTCGCTGTTACTCAGAAGGCGTTAGGCCGATGATTTTTCTCGCGGTGAGAGCCACCCTCGTGGCTATGGCTAACCTGGATCTTTTACTGTCTTTGAGGAGGCAAAATCCTCTAACAGGTAACCTGCTGGTGCTTTGAACTCGAGCGCGGTGAAAACAACCTCTTGACCAAGGGAACACTCAATCCCTCGTCGCTTGCATAGAGCACAAGGTCGTGATTGATCACACTTGACGTGGCTCTTGCGACACTCCTCGCAGGCTTGACATCAAACGTCAGCGTCCCACTTAGGAAAGATAACGGTATCTCATGTCTCAATGCCTACCTAGCTTGGATCTCGAGCTAGGCCCTCGCACTTGTTTCGACAAGGCTTCCCGAAAGGTCGGCATTGCTGATAGCGCAATTTTGCGTATTTGAACGTGTTATATATTACGATCACAGATCGGTGGAGTCGTTGTCTCCCAATAATGCTGGCTTTCTTGGATCCACCTAGCAGAGAATCGAACTGGATGCGCGGACCAGATTTAATATTCTGGTCCGTGCAAAAGAAAAAAAGCTGCGGTTAGTCCGAAGGCATGAGAAAGTCCAGAGTTAGCGACAGGCTTCACTTGGATCGAAATCAGCGAGTGGCTTACAAATCACTCACTATACCAATTTTCCCATTTAACACGAAAGTCAAATAAATGGTCTTCTCCATTGCACGTAGAATAGTGGCCATCTCTTTGGTTCAACTGGCATGGGTATGTATATGCTGGGCCAATTGCTTGGTGCCTAGCTGAGCATGTTTGAATACCTTTCGGATAAATGCTTCAAACAACAACACCTTGCATTCAGCATCGGCATCATCAATTTTGATTATGAATCTATGTACTCTCTTCTTGGCTTGACGGAATTTACTTTATCTCTTCTCTCTTGCTCCTCTTGTTCCTATGTTTGAGAGGTAACCGACCCACAGAAAGTGATCACTACTGCCTGTGCCTGCGGCTGTTCCTTTCGACCATCTCAATGCTTGACTGAATGCAGCTGCTTTTGTCCATTGGAGTGATCCATGATACAAATTGTTTTCAACAAGGAAAAGCTGCTCTCAATCTGACGTCTTCGCGTCATGATCTAGTACTTCAGCGATACTAGTACTCTCAGACAGCCCAAGGATCCTCCGGGCCTCCTCAATAGGTATATTGTGCGGCATCGTCTTTTCTTTTTTGACCGGGTCACCACCCGCAGCGAAGATGACATCCTAGAAGCCAAAACATTAGTTCACTAGGTCTTTTCATGGGATCCCAATTTCAGTTTTCACTCTTCCTCCCTCGGTGGTACTCACAAGCTCCTCGAGACTTCTCTTTCTGGTTTCAACTAGGAAAAAGTAGATGATGGGTATGAAGCAGGCATTCAAGATGGCAAAAACAATGTACTAGACACAGGTTAGGTTGAACACGGACCACAATGCACAAAAGGGCAGACTTACCGTCTTCCAGCCGATATTCTGGAAAGCGGGCGGGATGATCATGACCACCACAAAGCAGAACAACCAGTTGGCAGCGCTCGCCATGGCATTAGCCTGCGCGCGGCATCGCAGGGGTGCAATCTCGGCGCTGTACAAGAACGGCCCTCCAACCCAGGCGAGACCAAAAAAAGTATTGAAGAGAAAGAGGAATCCAGCAGCGATCAGTTGGCAGGTGCGCGAATCTGTGCTTTGAAGCCCAGCGATGATGGCAAAGCAGCAGGACATGCCAATAGTAGTCCACAGAAAGGCTCGACGACGCCCGAGTCCTTCTATGAGCAACACTGATAGAAGCGAGCATAGAGCATACTCCAAACCGCCCATGGCAGCGATAAGGTGCGATGTGCTGGCGTCGAGGCCGAACGACTCCTGCAGAATCTTGTTGGCGTAGGTCGAGACCAAATTGATTCCAGAAATTTGCTGCGCCGCTTGCATGAAGACTCCAATGGCGACGCGATGGAACGTCTTGTTCTTTCCCATGTCCAGCATTTCTCTGTAGGAGAATGGAGCGAGTTCAATCTGCGCTTCGAACGAGGCGATGATTGCCTCACGTTCAAACACTAGTTCCGGGTGGCTGGCATGCAAGCCCCGAAGCTTTGACAGGTTGTATGTGCCCTGCAAGCATTGTACTATCAGCGAGACGTCTTCGCTATCCAGAGAAGCGTGGGTACGGCAAGCAAACAAACGAAACGCACCTCTTCAACCAGGCCATGTTTGATCAGCCAACGTGGCGATTCAGGAAGAAAATTAATAAATATGAAGACGATCAGGGCCGGAAAGAGCTGGATGCCCACAGGTGCACGCCACTGTGCTTGACCTTTTACAAAGAAGAAGCCATAACCAACGAGCTGGCCACAAGCCACGCCGAATGTCTGTAAGCCACCCTCAATCATGACTAGATCAAGTCAACCATCTAGTCCTCGAATACGAGAGAAAGGGGAAGGACCATTGCTTACCCCAACGTCCGCGACTATGCGCTTTTGCACACTCAGACTGCCATGACGGCACCGTGGCTACCTGTAAGCCGAGGCCGATGCCGCTAATAACGCGACCCAATACCAGCTGAGATATAACCCACGCACTGGTCTGTAACGTGCCGCCGATCAGCATAAAGAGCATGCCGAACCAAACGGTCAGACGACGACCGAGGCGGTCGCCAAGGTCCAAGCAGGCGAGGGCACCAATAAGGGCACCGAGTTCAAAAGAAGCGATCACGATGCCTTGGACATTGGCGTTGTTCATCTCGGGAAAGACAGCTATGAAGGATTTTTCCGTGATGAGTCCGCCCTGCATTTGCTTTTAGACTGGGCGTGTCATGTGGGAAAGCTAAAGAAAGGCAGTGTACCATGATGCTCATGTCGTAGCCGAAAAGCCAAAATGCACATGCCGCAATACCGGCAACGAGCATGTTGAGCTTCAGACCCGATGCGCCCATGTGGGATGTGTATTTGGTCAATGGGAAGATAGCCATCTTTGCGAAGTGGAAAGCGAACGCGGTCTGGGTATCCTCTCGGTTTGAGGTAAATTTGATGGATTTAGACTTAGGACATATCCCATAGCAGCAACTTGAACGTCCTGATTCCAACTTTGATTTATAGGTTTTCAGAATAGGATTTGATGAGGCGTTGTGAAACCGTAGGCCAAGTCCGGGGATTTTAGACAAATTCACCCGGAAGGCATCCAGCCCCGAGAACCTTTCACAGCGGGTCAAAAAGGCTAGGGGGTGGATGGCTTTGTGGGGAAAGTTCTCAATAGGGTTGGATATTGCGGAAGGCAGTCATCCCCGAGAGTAGATCGCCGTTACTGGAGTAGGGAAGCAACTCTAAATGCATCGGACTCAACTGCCTTCCGGGGACGATCCTCTAGTTGGCTGTCCACGCTCGCCCCGTACCCCTTGCCCCCACTCTTCGGGGTATGTCTCCACAGGTCCATCCTGACTTGGGTAACTTCCGAAGATTCCCAAGAACCAAAGGACCCCAAGATTGCGACGGGAAGTGCGGAGATGGCAGTAGGAATGACTCTGTCCCCGGAAGGGAACCGAGTCCGATGTGCCACTGTTGAGGGTGAGTTGGAGCATGATTTTGTCGAGATTTCTCTCGACAAGATATATAAAGCATGCAAAGCATACGAACGTGTCCGTTAGTTGTGTACAGAAGAATATTTATCTCCAAGCTCTGTGTCTCAGGTTGCGCATTCCCCTAACGCTGGACCATACGATGCCTTCCGCTTTGAACCAGTTCACCGGTAGCCCACTGTAAGTCTTAATACCTGCATAACATGCCTCTCAAGAACATCTTGTCCTTAAAACATTTCTATAATATGGCTGAACTCCCAACAGTTCTCTTAAGGTCGTGGGCCACAATGCGGGAACGTCCATGGACGGGGTTGACCTCGTTCATGTCCACTTCACCCAGGATAGCCCGACAACGCCGTTGAAGATGCAGCTCTTGCACTATGGAGAATACCCGATGCCTAAAAACTCAAGGAAAGAGTCATGAAGCTCATTAAAGAGAACACCACGACGCCCGAGGAATTGGCCATTGTCAACATCCAGCTGGGTGAGGTCATCACCGACGCCGTCAATTGGTTTGCGCAGAAGAACGAATTCAGCGTGGCAACGGACGTTGACCTGATCGGTGGCCAGGGCCAGACTATCTGGCACCTACCGCTGCCGGAGCTCTTCGAGGGCAACCAAACCCGCGCCCATCTTGACATGGCTGAGATTGCCATCATAGCCGCTAGAACCGGCGTCACCTCGCTTGGCAACTTTCGGGTGTCAGACATGGCTCTCGGCCGGCAAGGCTGCCCGCTATTTGCGGCTCTCGATTCCCTCCTACTGAGCCACCCAACGCTCAACCGCGCTGTACAGAATATCGGCGGTATCGCAAACTTCTCGATCTTACCCCGAGGCGCTGTCGAAGAGTGTTACGACTTTGATACGGGGCCTGGCAACGTCTTTATCGACGCGGCCGTGCGGTATTTCACCGGCGGTCAACAGGAATATGACAAGGATGGTGCCATGGGCCAGAAGGGCACGGTTGACCAGTCTGTTGTAGATAAAGTGCTCCAGGGGCCGTACTTCGTGCATGATATACCGAAGACTACTGGCCGAGAGACGTTTGGGGATCGGATGGCGGAAGATATATGCGATGAGATGCTAGCTCGTAAGTCTGACTGCTCTAATCGAGACAGGGTGTTTGACTGAACAAACGTGGCATTGCAGGGGAGCTACGCCAGAGGACTGCGTCGCTACCATAACTCGCATCACAGCCAAGTCCCTGGCCGACGCCTACGAACGCTGGGGTCCACCAGGGGGTGTAGACGAGATCTACATGGGCGGCGGTGGATCGTATAACCCCAACATTATCAACTACTTGAAGCAGCGCTTGCCGAAAACTCGCATCGTTCCAATCTCCGAGATTGGAATCCCTATCGGCGCAAAAGAAGCTCTCGGCTTTGCACTACTGACGCTCGAGTGCTTCGTCGGAAGACCCATGATTGTGCCTAGGAGGACCGAGTCGGACCGTCCAGGGCTGGTGGGCCAGATCCAGCCGAGCAGGAACATGCATCGCATCCGCCAGCATGTTGCTCAGGTGAGTTGAACATCACCTCTCCCAAGAGCCATCGAGGTATCGTGCTCGGTAATCTGACACTGACATTGACGACAGTTCTGGGGAGACTTTCCTGAGGAGGATGTGAAATGCACCACAGAAATGATTCTTGTCCCTTCTCAATGCAACGCGTAGTATACCGGGGTGGGAGTTCACTCATTGGAGATGATGGCGGCTTTGTGCCTCCGATCAGTCATTGCTCAGGCCACGATAATAGCTGCTCTCAACAAAATGCAAGGAAATAGCGAAGATTAAAGGTTTTTTCTTCGTCACCAATCAGGCAATTTACTGTCAAGTCGAGACTACAAGAACTTGTCGGAACGGCGAAATTTGGTAATGCCCAGATGAAGAATGCGAAGAGCCTTGACACTCTGGATATACAAGTATCTTATTTACTTCTTACTTAACTAGACAAATATGATTACTAAATATTTCCACTGAACTAGGCCCGTTAGACTGCAATAGATCCTCGTACGGGATTATATTTACACGTACTGTTCTGAACTGTCATTGAAGGGGAAGGGTTCCACATATTTAACCATGATAGACACTTAATCATAAGAATGACATCTATGTATTCTTCTTGACGAGATCTTAAAAGAGGGCAAAAGGTACGGATCAAGTTGCTACGGATTTCCTTATTGAATAACAGCAATTTCCTTCCTTTCCTGACTCTTACTCGTCTAGCTGCGAAACACCACCACCATCGCCTGAACCACCGCCTGCATCGCTAAGCTATGGGAGGCGAAATCCTTGATCCGGTTCAGCAGATGGTTCGGTCAGAATTGTACCTTCCTCGGAAATTTCGTCTACATTGAAGACGAGCATTTCAAACGGGATGAGGTTCCTAGACCGTCAGCGGAAGTGATCGAGATGGTCGTCGATATAAGACATACCATAGGCAAACCGAAGGCTCGGCTCTCGTAGTACGGAAATCCTCGCTGTCGACGCAAATAAGAACTGTACCATCTTCCTTCGTCTGCGCGTCCATGATGACGAAGGTGTACGCCGCATTGAAGCTTCGCTCCCCGTCATCGGCACGAACAGACTCTCGGAAGATGGTGAGAATCTCTTCCGCCGATTTACCAAGGAATATCTTCGGGATCTCTCCGATCAGGCTCTCTTCGTGAATGGAAGGTCGTTCTTCCGACCGCATAACCGCGAAGCCCGCTAGATCCGCCGATTGCGGTATTGCGTGGTACCCCTGGCCCTGCAAGAAACTATTCACGGCCTGATTACTGAGTATGCGCACCGCATTTCTTGGGAGATTTGTGAAGCTTACCGAGATGGGGACGTCTGCTGTGATGAAGGTTGAGAAAAGGAAGCGCCGCGGGGGACGATCTCCATCCACGCCGAGGTCTTTCAGGCGCTGGATCTTCTTTTCCTCTTCCGTGGTGATCTCTTCTTCAGTACGTGCCGCGACTTCGTGCAGTCGTCTCTCCCGCCGAGCCTCCTGCTCGCGGAGTTCTTCTTCGGTTCTACTGCCGTCAGCGATGCACCGACTGGGTTCTCGACACGTCCTTACTGCCGCGACGGGTTTTTCCCGAGACTGATAACCTCTCCACCATAGTTCAGGCAGAGGCAGATGACTCCCATGGTCAAATATGCATGAGCTACGAGGCATTAGCACCTGTTGAAGTTGGCAGCCTGAAATACTTACCATAGCCTTCTGGTATTCGTGCATTGAAGTAGCTTCGCGTCCCGTCAGTCGCGTACAGCCAGGGCGCGGGCATCATCGACGTGTAGCGCCCTTCTAGAACAGGCTCTTCGAACGTCTGTTTGGAGGAAATGTTACGAAGTCGCGCCTCGCGACTCCATTCGATCCGGCAGTCATCCATGTTTCCAAAGGCAATTCGCCAAGATCAATGGGAAAATCTGTGGAAGTGCGGAATAGGCGTATTCTCCAATAAACTACCCGGTATTCAGATCTGACAATGATGAAAACGTCAGGTTATCTATCATGTCTGTCATTATTAGGGCAGAGAAGCGGAAAACCTCTGCGAGGTGGAATTGCCCTTGGACGCCTAATTCCATAATGGGAGGAGATCTTTGATCGGGATGGGGGCAGATGGACCAACCAGTAAAATGTTAGTGGAGTTTTTACAAGACAAATACTATAATTAGAGTAAGTCACGGTATTGATACTGATACAGAGTGTAGGTGGTGGCACCAGTTTCGAGACTCACTGTACATAGTAGCCACGGCTGGCTAACCGGATCGGGCAACGAGCTGTCCTAGTAAACATCCATCCGCAAACCACGGTTCTTTCTCCTACTTGCAACAGCCATGCCTCGTCACCTCCGCCGTCACAGCAGAGACACAATCCAGAACAATGGACAAGACACACAACTCCCCAGCCATTTTCAAACTCCGCCCTCACGCCACACCCCCTCTAACCCCACCCACCGATATGATGCGCCCACCACCACAGGGCCACAAGCACTCATAACCCCCGACACGGTTCCCGTCGCAGCGGGTGCGCCCGCTGCGCGCGTTAACCCCTTCACACTCTTCGGTCCCTCCGGCCCAGATCCCAACGCGCAGGAGATGGTGGACGACGAAGACGAGTTCGACGACGATTACCACCCGCAAGCGCCTGCGATGGGCATGGATGCCCCGCTGGATCCCGAGGATGAAGAAGACGATGATGATATAGATGACTCGGAGGAGATTGATGGCGAAGAAGTGGAAGATATGACAGCGGATCAGCTGGACGGCGAAGACGACGACGCGGATGAAGAGATGCACGATCGAGGTACGCTACCACTTACTCCCCTTGATCTCCCATTTTGTTTGACAGACTGATGATGAGAGGGGGAAAAAACAGAAAGATCACCCTCCCCCTTACCACCAAACCTCCGCGAGATCTCCTCTCTTGCTTCCTGGACCGTCTCGACCTCCAAACCGGGCTGCGGCGTCGCCGCCTTGCGACACCCGTCCCCGTCTCAATACTGGCAATCCGATGGACCGCAGCCGCACACGCTGACGCTACATTTCTTCAAATTAGTGGCCGTGGTGCGCATCCGCGTTTATCTCGACTTCGATATGGACGAAAGCTACACACCTACGAAGATGGTCTTCCTGGCGGGCATGGGCGGGAACGATCTCGTAGAGTTTGCTACATGGGAAGGCGATACGCCGTGCGGGTGGGTGGATGTGCCTCTGGAGGGAGTGGGAGGGCGCAATGGCGGCTGGGTGAGGAGTGATGTTATCGTAAGACCGAGGCGTCGGACTAAGTCGTCCGGACGGACTATGGGATCGCATCGGCGCGACGGTGATGAAAATGCCATGTGGGAGACAGCTGCGAACGAGCCCGAGAACGGCAACCACTTGGACGAGGACGATGAGGACCGCCAACAGGATCCCTATGCGGGCAACGTGCTCAAGGCGATGGTCATCCAGATGCGCGTGGTCGAGAACCACCAGAACGGGAAAGATACCCATGTGCGCGGCTTCCAGGTCTTTTCGTGTGATGATAGCCGTCGCCGACTGGCTGCTGCCCCGTCTGCCTCGGCGGATGACCGCCATCGTCGGCAGAGCGTTCGCCAATCCCTTCGCGCCGGCGTCCCGGGTGCCCTCGGACATGACCCGCTTGGCAATGAAGAGGTCGAGGCAGGTAGATTGTCGTTGACTTCTGGGCTGAGCGAACCAGACTGGATGGGTGAGCCGGTGATTCGATAATGAAATGGAGACATCCATGCATGCGCAGGTGTTTAGGGGGAGTTGGTTGGCTTTACTGGTACACAAATGGGGGTCATCATTCTGCAGTTGTTCGGAGTTGTGTTGCATCAAGATACCCTTTGGTTACTTTATATGAATTGAGTCCGGGCCATGCCTATGACATTAGATTTATCTTCATCACAGCGAATGATTCAAAACGGGTATTCATTTTTTAGATCTTCCCTCTCTACACTGAAATTCTTTTTTATCATATACTGCACACACACACACATTCAGAGCTTAGAGCAACTTCTCCAGCTCAGCAGCAACGGCATCGCCGACCTCCGAGGTGGTCGCCTTGCCGCCGATGTCGCCGGTGCGCACGCCCGCCTCGATGACATTACTCACGGCCTTCTCAATGATGCGGGCCTCGTCGAACCGGCCGAAGGAGTACTGCATCATCATGGCGATGGAGAGGATAGCAGCGACGGGGTTGACGATGCCCTTGCCGGCGATGTCAGGGGCGGAGCCTAAGCAGTGTTAGCATTGACCAGAGAATCAACAGTTACAACAGAAGAGCAGAACGTAAGGGAAGAAAGAAGGAATAACAGGGTAGCGTCAAAAACATACCGTGAATAGGCTCATAGATACCATTCACCCGAGTCTTCCCATCAGGCACACCACTGAGCGACGCACTCGGCAACAGCCCCAACGAACCAGGAATCACGCTCGCCTCATCACTAATAATATCACCGAACAGGTTGCTCGTAACGACAATGCCATTGAGCTTGCGAGGATCCTTTACCATGAGCATCGCCGCGGAGTCAATAAGATGGTGACCAAGCTGAACAGTGGGGAACTCCTTCTCCATGACCTCAGTGACAACCTTGCGCCATAGCCGCGACGTGGCGAGGACGTTCGCCTTGTCGAGACTCCACACGGGCAGCGGCGGGGTGTGCTGCAGAGCAAGGTGCGCGGCCAGCCGAGTGATGCGCTCGATCTCGGCGCGCGAGTACGGCTCCGTGTCCATTGCGAATCCGCTGCCGTCGTCTTCGGTGCGGTCACCGAAGTAGATCCCGCCGGTTAGCTCGCGAATGATGTTGAAATCCACGCCGCGGCAGACCTCGGCTTTGAGGGGGGATCCATCGACGAGAGAGGGCGCGGCGAAGTTGCATGGTCGCAGGTTGCCGAATGTGCCCATTTCTTTGCGCAGCTTCAGGAGGCCCTGTTCTGGGCGGACGGCGCCGGTGCCCCATTTCTAGTTTTTGGGAGGAATGCTTTAGTTTGGGTTGCTTTTTGAGGAAGATGGGGAGGGAGAGGGAGAGATTGTACCGGGCCACCGATTGCGCCGAGCAGAACGGCATCCGCGTTCTTCGCGGCCGTGAGGGCCTCATCCGTCAAAGGGGAGCCGGTGGCATCGATAGAGGCCTATTTTGTTAAATCCGTCCGTCAGCATTGTACCATCGACTTGGTTGTGAAGTGCGGTGGGGGATGCTCACGCCGCCCAGCAGGTGGTCTTGCAGGTTGAAGCTGATATCACCGCGTTTCTTCTCGATGACCTTGAGGATCTAGAGGCGTGTCAATTCGGTTCTGCTCTTCATCACATATAGTCGTCGCACCTTGATGGCCTCCTTGGTGACCTGTGTCTCTGTCAGTACTGCGTTCAATTTGACCCCACGTCAATGCGGGAACATTTTCTGGGGAGGGAGTGAACGCACCTCCGGACCGCAGTGGTCACCGGCGAAGACGACGACGTTGAAGGAAGACATGTTGCTAGAAGGTGAGGTGAGGGTGCAAGGAGAAGAGGAATTAAATGCAGGGGAAAGAGTCAGTGTGTCAATTGGAGCTCCGGAAGCAGATGCGGTCGAGGAAGAGCGGGTGAATTATTTGGGCCCCGCCAACGCCGAGATCGGAGTGCCGCGGCCAGAGTTAGGGTTATGCGCGAGACGTCATCTACGGATGAGGTGGAACACGAAGATATGCATTAAAGATGTAGCTCTCAAGGATAAGAACGAAGAGAAAAGAAAAGACAAAAAGAGAAGAGAACGCAAACACGCAACAAGAAACACAACACCGTGTGTACTGTACAGGCACAAAATTACCCATCCTGAAAACCAAGGGCCTTCCCGGAGCTTCCCAAGACACGTTCATGATACATAGGATCTGAAAGACCCTTCACCCCTAGACCAACCATCCGTGCGATCCGCTCGCCGATCCTGAAATCACAAACCGAAGCTCCGAAGCCATGCATCACGAGAGGGAAGGAGGGAGAGAATGTAAGAGAAGAAAACAAGTCCGTTCGCCGCGGACAATATTGGACGGTTGATTATTTCTTCTTGTTGGCGCGGCGGGCCTCCACGTCTCCCTCCGCCAGCCACCGGCTGGCATTGATCAGCTGCACCACATTGACAAACTGCTTGAACAACATGACCGGCGCCGAGATGCTGGTAACCACCCACGGCCAGTAGCTGTCGATTTTGTTGGCGCGCGCCAGCTCGAGCGCACCGGCGCTCCAGGGGCTCGCGAAGAGGCTAGCCGGCGCCGGGTGCGCTGGGTTCCCGGGCTGCGCCGAGGACGGCTGGGCGTCGGGGACGGGCTGCAGTAGCGAAGGGGAGAGAGTCGGCGAGGAGAAGGACAGGAGGTACAGGCCGATGAAGAACAGCTCGTTCAGCCCGCAGCAAATGAACAAGACGACCTGCAAAAAAAGGTGTCAGTGAATAAAAATCAAAATAAAAAAGCGTGGAGCTTCCACCAAATGGACTCTCTCACCTTGCTGTGATAGTACTGGTAGAGCACCCAGTTCCGAGTCGCCTCTACATTCTTGTGGCTCTTGTTTTGGCCGCCCATGGTCAGCATCGCGTACATGTGCATGTAGTGACTCGCCAGGTCGAGGGAGATCAGCCCCTGGAAAATGATCGCCCACCGGGGCCAGGCGGAACTGAGAAAAACGAGCAGACAGGCGGTGCTGCAGCGGTCCGTGACCATGTCCAGCACGGCGCCGAAGGTGGTCGACTGGTTGAAGTACCGCGCCGCGTAGCCGTCCAATGCGTCCAGCAAACACGACACGCTGTAGAGGAGGGAGCAGGTCCGGGGGTGGAGGGGCATGTAGTAGAGCGACGCGATGGCTAGGACAATACGAGAGTATCCTGGGAGAAAGAAAACACAGTGGTTAGAGGGCAAAGCACGTAGACTGTATGGACGGGGGAGCATCTACCGATCAGGTTCGGGGCGAAGAGAAACACGTTCTCCCTCTTCTTCTCTTGCCGGATGGCGGACCGGCTTCGCTTCTTGGACGGTGTGCGCTTCTTCGAAGGCGTCAGCACGGCGCCATTGCCGTCTGGCGATTCGTCGCCTTCCGACCCCTGCGCGGCGAGAGCTTTTTGCCTTCGTGTTCGTGCACTCATTGTGTTTGTTTTTTTTTGGAGGGGGAGCTTTGTGTCTTATACAGAGCGTTCAGTTCAACCGATCAAATCGCGATCAGTCGTGGCGTAGGTAGGTATTGGAGTTCGTCGAAAGCCTGGGTGTCCCTGGATAGATGAAGCAATTGGGGTCAGTCGTGGTGTTTTGTGTTGGGGACGGATCAGAGTTGTTGCCGACGAAAAGAGGACAACAACGGGACCAGGGAGGGATCCACACCCACCAGTTCCAAAGCAAAAGGGGTTGTCTGTGTGTGTATGTGTTTATCTGATAAGAATGCGAGACGGAGTGGATGGTCAGCAGCGGACTGTGACTGGGATTATTAGGCAGTGAGAGTTGGTGAAGGAGAAATTCCCGGCGAGCGATAAGGGATGAGAGAGGTGATAAGCGTATTTGTTGTGACAGGGGGCTTGTTGGAGAATGTACCGGGTATCTACACGAACAAGTGGTGGCCTGTACAAAGGCTAAAGTACCGTAGGTGGTCTATGTTAATTCCATAAACACTCTCTATTGATGCACCGGGATATTTACTACACCCCACCAGAAACTATAAGGAAATGGAACTAAATATGCCAGCCCAAATATGTACAATCCACCCTTCCATCCATCACCATATCATGTCCGTGACCTGCGCGGATCCGTAGCTTCTTGTTGCCGCCACTCGCGAGACTCTTTCGTCCCTAGGCTTCCCACGCCGCCTTCAAGCCGGCGCTCCCAGCCACCGAGCCGGATGACCAGACAGGTGGCATTGTCGCCTTCCTTAGTGACTTCTGTCGCGAATTTGACCACGTCGGTGGCGCCTTGGTCCGGCGTGCGGGCCTCCTTGATGATATCCACGACTTCCTGGTCGAGGAGCGTGCCGCTGATGCCGTCTGAGACCATGACGAGGAACGAGAACTCGGCGGGGCCCATTTCGATGCGCCGCAGCTCGGGTTCGGCAGAAACGCCGATGCGCTTGGACTGGACATCGCCAAATGCTCGCGTGTTGGCAAGCCCGCTCATGCGCTCCTCGCCGAAGGAGTCCGTCACGAAGGTGGCCGCGTACCGGCGCAGTCGGCTTGCTTCGATGGGTGATGAGGGGTGGTGGTTGGAGGTGAGTGGGATGGCCTCGCCCGTGGTGGTGGAGCACAGCAGGATCCGCGTGTCGCCCACATGCGAGATCAGTAGGCTGGACGGGCCCACGGGGTGCCAGAAGGGCGTCGGCGTCGGTGTCGAGATCATGGCCACGCTTGCAGTGCTGCCACCCTTGAATCGCGCGCGTCCGCCAATCTTTATGGACCGAGTCTGGCTGGGACTATGCAGGATCTCGTCCTCGTTCAATGGTTTTTCGGCCTGGACCAGATCGTCGTCCCGCTTGGCCGCTTGCGCTTCCACGAAGTCCATGTCTGCCCGTAAGAACGCGTACTCCATGACCTCTTCAATTGAAGCGCAACCCGTTGCGCGAGCGTCTGCCGCAGACTCGGTCCCGTAGTAGAAGAAGTTCGACGGCTTGAACCGTTTGAAATAGCCGCCCACTAACTGTCTCCAATTCTGGACCAGGGTTTTCTCCAGATCACCGATGCGCTGCCGATTCCCCCCTGCATCACTGGTAGTGACGTCGTAGCCATCTCTATCTCTGCAGTTTCTTCCATTCCTTCCATCACTTTGGGCGCCTGTATCGTACGCAGGCTCGACTGGAGCTCGAAATCGGCAGCCGCATTCTGGATGTACTCGTGTAAATTATCTCTCAGAAATGTACTGCACTCGGCCCCGCCGTGGCCGTCAAAGATGCCAAAGTAGAAGACCTGCGGGTCTCCGCTGGCAGTCTGCGCGCCGCGCGACTCTCGGCTCTGATCCTCAGCATCTCGCTTGATAGTCAGCGATGCGGGCGGTCTTTTGGCGAACGCAGGGATGTCGATGACCCCAGCTTGATATGTGTCTTCATTGCTCAGGCGAGTGCCACGGGCACTGACGGCCCCAAAGTGATGCTTGGCGCTGCGCAGGGGAACGCGTACCACAGTCGTCTCCCGGCCAACTAGCGCCTGGAAGTTTGTCGGTGATCGGGGTGTGTCTCCAGTGTGCGGGATCGACGCCGAGCGAGGCAGTTTATGGAAAGAAGAGGTCGGGCCGCGCGGATCGGGATGGAGGGAGGAACGTGGGATATGCGTGACGAAGTAGTCGTGGAACTGGCGGCGTCTCGCTGCGGTTGGCCGGTCGTGGGATGCTTCAGTGGTGTAGCGCAGTCGTGCTCGTCGCGGGAAGAGGAAAGCTGGGTTTGTTAGCTGAGGTGTCTAGATGTCGACCAGAGATCACATCAATCACGTACAGGAGGACTCGGCCAAAGACCTGGCCTGGCCCGGTGCGCGCCGTGCCGAAGTGACGATCATGAAGGGGGAGGCATTGAGAGGAGGCGAGAGAGGTGAAAGGAGAGGAAGTCAAGGCGGACCAAGTGGCCCGTCGAGGGAAAAAAGCGTGGGGGGAACAAACAGTCCGGCCCGAGCGCCGGCAGATAAGGACGGGAGGACTCGCAAGTTATTTTGGGAGTATTCTATGACCTCTGGGTGTGATGGGCATATCTATCGTGACTTGATGCACTCTTTGGCTCCATGGATTTTTATGATTATTATTAAGTTGTAGCTCCCAGCCGGGACAGCCTTATGAAGCGGGCCTACTTGGACATACGCCTCAAGAGAAAAAAGAAATGCATTGTACAATTGAACTCAACACTAGAGGGAGCAACCATGGCAGGAGGAATACGTTCCTAGAGACAAAATCATTTGGCGAGTAGCAGAGGGAGGATGCCCACGGCGAACAAAAAAGTGCTGGAGACGATAAAAAAGAGAAGAGTTGGCACCTACCAGGGGCAGATTGGTGATCATGATCTGCCTGCAACAGGATGTGCCAGAAAAAGAACAGGCAGAGGTTAGATGGCTTTGGTGCGCGAGAAGAGACTGCTGTAGACGGCATCCACCACAGGCTGGGCGGTGATCTGCCTGCCGCCGAAGAAGCGACCATTCAAACCCTTGATGGCATTTTCGCCGCCCTGGACGCGGTCGAACTTCAGGTAGATGTCGCCTTGAGAGTTGGGATCTAGCGAAATGTGAACAACGTGACCATATTTCTCTTCGCACTCGGAGCGGACGTCATCCTCCAACTCTTTGATCCAGACGTCTCCTTCTTCTCTGTACGGCGAGCGGCAGTTAGCATGGTGAAGAAGCAGGGAACAGGGGAGGAACTTACTCGGCAACATCAAACATATTGCGCAGCAACACACATCGGCTCGCCATGTTGACATTGACGGGCAACGGCTTGGTCTCAGTCTTGGGTCGGAGCATCTTCTGCTGGTCATCGACCGAGGGCTCGGGTTCATCTGTTCGTGCAAGCTTCCTCATCAACGCGTCCCTACTGTAGTTGTTGAAATTCACACCGGCAACATCTGTATCATCGAGGGCGCTGGCGCCGCCGCCCTTTTCGGCTTCTCTGCCGCCAGCCCGGTCAAAGTTGTTCGATCCTCCAGCTTGGACGCCACGTCCTCCATGGCCGGAGAATGATGAGCCCTGGAAACTCTGTTGGTTTGCAGAAGCGCCCTGCGGGCGATTCGTGCTGTTCGATTCTGGAGTGAACTTATCATTGCCAAGGCCAACGCGAATGGCCCGTCCCGCAAGGTCAAAGCCATTCATCTTCTCCAAAGCATCCCGGGCTTGATTAGGGTCTCGAAATCTGGGTTGGTCGGTTAGCCAGAACATTCAAGGAGCGGGAAAATAGGAAACTTACTGCACGAACGCATAACCCTTGCTCCGGCCCGTTTCATCTTTCTGCAGTTGAACAAATTCAAGTTCGCCAAAAGGCTCGAAGACATTCTGGAGGTCACTTTCAGTTATGCTGAAATGGACGTTACCCACATAAAGTCTGTGAAATGGCGCCGAATGATTTTGGCCCGAGCTGGCCTCTGGGTTGCGAGCCTGGCGGTTCTTTTCCGCTTCGGTCAGTTGAGCGATGATGGGGATGCCTAGAAGCTTTTGGCCGGTAAGCTGAATCGCCGGAGGCACGGACTCCTCGCTCTTGAATTCGACGTAGCCGACGCTAGATATTCTGTAAGCAAATGAAAGAAAAATGACAGTGAAGAAAAACGTACCCTTTCGACCGTCCGCTAACACGATCCTTGACAATTTGAGCCTCTTTAACAGGGCCAACCTTTTCGAAGAAGGCCATCAGTTCTTTGGTTCTCAGACGCGCGGCAAGCTGCTGCACAAAAATAGTCCGTTTATCCCGTTCATCCTCATTGAGCTCAGGGGTTTTGGCACGAGGGCCGGGGCTTGGGCGGCGCCCTTCACGATCACGGCGCGAACGTTTTTCATCCTCGCGCTCCCGGCGAGAAGGGCGGTAGTGGCGATCATCGTACGGAGACCGGGACCTAGTACGCGTCTGTCCTCCACCACGATAGAAGTCACCGCTAGAGCGGTGGTCGTCGCCGCCGTAACGGTCTCGCCTAGCACGACGCCGGTCGCTCTCACGACTCCGGCTCCTCTTTCGGCTTCTATGGCTTCCGTTAGCACTGCCATGATCGCTGCGCGGGCTTTTCATGTCCTCATCGCCGTCCGCATCTCGTTCACGGGGGCGGTCCCGGCTGCGGTCGCGGCGACGGCGTCTGTCTCGAGAGCGGTCACGGTCTCGCGGTTCGCTGGCCTCCGCGCGAGAACGGTCATCGTGATCGTCTGGTTTGCGGGGTTCCTGTGCTGGAGCAGCGGTGGACTCGAGGAGTGCTTCTACATCAAGGCCGGACATGGTGTGGAATGAGGTAGCCTGCCGTTGGGATGTGGTTGAGAGAGTCCCGAGGGGGGAGGGAGTTATCACTTGGGTTTCAAGTCAGAACGTGGAACTAAGGGGGGCAGACTTGACGGTCGAACCCTTCTTGCAGTTTGACAGACGGTTCTGAGATCTAGGCCAAAAGAGAGAAACACGAGGGTTGGGGGATGTATCTGAAGTGAGTGAAGTGTTACGAACAGTCCTCGGATGATACTCATTTGAGGCAAAGTCGGTCACGTGATGTTCAAAGTTTTTTGTGTGGCCGGACCAAAAACAAAGCCGGATGCAGAACAGTGTAAGGGACAACTTTCATAGGAGATAATTGGAATATAGGTAACTTCATTATGATTATCGGATAATGTACTGATAAGTGATACTGGACAAAAGGATAGGTGAATCAACTCCGCCCGGCCACACTATGTGTTCAACAGGGTAGAGTGCGCTGTACATGAAATGAACCCGTCAACGGTCAGGACAATGCTAATCCAAAGCAATAGAATAACCTTAGATAGTGAACTGAGAGCATAGCATTTATTGAGCCTTGGCACCCTTAGGAGGCGGAGTCTCTAGCTCCGTGCCAAAGATGCGGTCCCAGAACCGACTAGTCACGCCAAAGCCATTCTCAAAGTCGGCGAAGTGGTGCTGTAGGTGGTATTTTTTGAGTTCCTTGTAGTGCAGAGGAAGGCTAGATAGAGATTAGCCTTGAAACCAAAGGTGAAGAAGGGGGAGACTCACTTGCGATGATGGAGGAAGTAATGAGTCAGGTCGTAGCAAATGTAGCCGAAAATACCACCACAGTAGACGGTCACAGCTGCATACCAATTGTAAAAGAACACTGCATGCGCCAACTTCCAGAATGGGGCGGCTAGAATCACAAACATCGTGGGGGGCATGACGAGTCGGTATTTGTCCATGGGCAGATAGTGGTGGATGCCGTGCAGCAGGAAATGAAGGGTCAGACCAACGCGGTTATCCGGAAGCCACCTGAGTAGAAGGTTAGGAGACTGATATACATAGAAGAGGTTGGTGGTCATACCGTTCAACGTGGAAAAGGAAGCGATGCAGTATGTACTCGACCAAACTCCAGAGAAAGAGACCACCGATCCAGTATGTGGCAGCGGCAGCCGGGTTGCCCAAGCCTGCAAATCCGAGCATGGTTCCGTAGGCGACAGGAGGCAGCCAGAGGATGGGAATAGTATACCACGACGTTTTACTAAGTGGCTCTAAGAAGTTGCCAAAAAGCGGCGCGGACTCGCCTCCCTTGTAGTGACGAGGCCGGTGCACCTGTTGGAGGTAGAATTCCTTGGAGAACCCGCCAAACCAGAGTTGCATGAGCAGTGGCCTGTTGAGATCCAGAAAATGGTGTGTCTTGAAATCTTCCGTATAGTCCGTGTCGACGGAGAGGTCTTCTTCGCGCGACATGCCGGTGGTTCCGTAAACGGCCCGTGATGGTTCACCTCCCACGTCTGTCGCAGAGCTCTTCCCTTTCGTCGGGACAGCCGTACTATCCGAAATCACGAAGCCGACATGGCAGTCCGCCAGGATCTCATAGGCGGCGTCGCTGTGGGTATGGGAGACCTCGTCCTCCATGATCTCCTTGACATCCTTACCCGCATACTCCAAGATCAGATCCCCTCCACCGGGATGATCGTTTATGAAATCGGTGACATCGTAGACATTGCGGCCGAGGGTCACGTAGCAAGACTTGGCGCTGTTATGCGATTCGACCTCGGCGGGGGTGAAGGTCGGCAGAACCCGTCCAGGCATGATCGCGAGAGGGACAACAAACTGGTCAATACGACAGGGTCAGGTTGCAGTGAGTGTGAAGAGAGAGCACGCGAGGGTGTGGGTTGTTGTTTGTTGAGCAGACGGACGATAAGAAATAAAAGTTTCAGGGGAGGGCCGTGTGGCGTGAGGGAGCCGAAGGACCCGCTGGTTCCGGCAACTTCGGACGATCACAAACTGCTAATCGCCACCAAGGCCAGTAGTCGGACGAGAAGGGAATGCGAGGATCGAGAGAGGAGCGAAGTAGATCCGACAGTGGAACAGCAGAAGAAAGAAGGGGAGAAAGAAAAGCAAACAAGAACTCGATGCATTACGATTCAGGCATTATTCTGACGCTAACCTAATTCGGGGCTAGCCGGCCCATGTGACTGCTTATATAATGGAGCGTGAATCTCCTACAAAGTATGGATCACGTGCAGTCACATGATCGTCCCCAAGACATTTGTTTATCGACTCCACTACGAGTTAATTAGTTAGTTTACAATACGAAACTCTTTCCGTCTTCCAGGGGGATGGCTTGTATTGTCAAGGTGATTTCAACATCACAATGCTGATTCTTTTATCCTTCTATGGCACAGGATCATATTCCTCTGAGTATGTCGATGCAACACAATGATAATGGATACGGCTGCAGAGACTGTGGAGTGGATGGTCGATCCAGGATTGCGTCAGTGCAACGATCGACTCGTTGCAAATCGTGATACTAGTCGATCGTATTACTGGTTTCTACGAGCATGTACATGTAGGCCTAACAAACTGTCCACGTCGTGCTAAATAGTGCGGCGTAACTAGTGCAAAGCCCCATCGTAACCCCCCATCTCGCTACGATCAACGATTATTAGTGTTTAACCCCCCCCCTCACAAGGGCCATTGTCTCCGAACGCCATTATTGGCCACAGTTCATTGTAGCCGGGCGACTGATCCGCCAGGAGCCTTAACCAAGCATGTTGTGGATCTGCTCGCCATTACGACTCCTGCGGTGGGGGATGTTGGTTGGGAGGAAACTCTGGGCTAATTCTGGTCCAGACCTGTTTCCCCCGCGCTAAAGGATCGAATTCGTTTATAACTAGCCTGCGGCTCCATCTGATCGATCGTGGTAGTTTGTTTCCTGCTCCTCCTCCATCAAACATACTCCCTCCCTTCCTGTCATTCAAGATGACGACCGTCGCGCCGTCGTTCGCAGACAATACCATTCTGGCCTATCTCCAGACATTGGTGGCCACCAAGCCAGGACTACCTCACGGGCAGCCCGTCTGTGTGCTGACAGGGCACAATGTCAATGACTCGGAGACGCTGGTCCAATTGGCCGCGGACCTGGGTCCTCACATTGCCATTTTGCAAGTCGGCGCAGAGCTCGTCAATGACTGGACCGATGGGACAATCGACCAGCTCACCTATCTGGCGCGGAAGCACCGGTTTCTGCTGTGGGAGGAAGCAAGATGATGAACTGCACCGTCGACTTTGCAGCCCAGATCAAGGAATCGCACGCCGTGCGCAACACCATGCGCGACCTCATCCAAAAGAAATATACCAGGGGTACCATCAAGTTGGCGACGTGGTCAGGTCTGGCGACCTGCTACGCTCCCGGGATTGCTGCTTCAAGAGCAGGAGTGGACATTCTGGTTTCTTCGCTCAGAGATGCAGCTCGGGACACCGTCGCGGCGACGCTGAAGAACATCCAAACAGAAATCTCCGCCGAGCAGACGGGCAGCGGGTCCTCTGATGACGGCGCTTCGGTGGAAGAGAGCACGGGTAACGTCCAGCAAATCGATTCCTGGGAAGAACTAGCCGCGAACAACCTGGGCGTGACTACGCGCAAATTGTCAACCATCTCGCTCACCCAGACGATCACCCAGCACACCGAGACCATTGACGACGAATCCAAGCCGAGTGCGGATCCGCGCCTTCAGGAACTTCTGCAGAGCCACCTCGTTTCCGCTACTGAGGATGGCCCCCTGCCGCCACCACTGCTGGCACGCGGCATGGTGTATATCATGCCTGTTTCGGAGAACTCGTCCTTCAAGTCGGAGTACCGCCGGGCTTCGATCGAGTCTGCACGACAAAACCAGGACTTTGTCTGTGGTTTTGTGTCTGCCGAGCCCTGGTTCACCAATGGCCGCGGAAATGATCTGGTAGACCTAGACGCAATGGATGAAGAGGGTCTGCCGCTCCCGGAGAACAAACGCTCGCCCAAATCGACCTATCTAGAGAAGTCTCATTCGATGGCTCTGTTCTCACTTGTGCCGCCGCAGCTGGGTGTGGGTGTGCCTATGGAGGACCATGAAGATACACAGTCTCGATATGCATCCAAGCTAGAATCCATCATCGGAAAAGCCGTTCAGCTTCGGGAGGTCAACTTGAGGAAGAGGGAGCTTGAGAAGAAGAGCACCGCAGACAAGCCGGGGCTGAATATCTTGCATGTCCCAATTGTTTCGCTGCCATGAGCGGGACGTTGTCCGCTATGTCTAATGATGCCCTGTTATTTTGCAACGTGATGTAAGCTTTCTTCTTTTCTTCTTTAGATATGATGACCACTTGATTAGTTCGATTCTTAGCGTGTTTGAAAGCTGTCTCTTAATGAATTTACTCTTTTTCACTGCTGTACTCTAGATATTAAGCCATTTCTCAAGGCATTTCCTAACACATTTCCTGAATTGTTCCCTCAATCCTTCGCACCTAGAGTCCTAAAATGGTAAAATGCATGTACTCGATGCAGGAGCTCGCTGCCTGGAAAGGCAGGCGCGAAGAAATCCAGACCACGTGCCAGTGCTGAGTCACCATATCAATAATCAATTGGGAAAGAGACGACTTGCTCTTTGATTCTTGCACTGCTCGGATCCTGCTCATTTTGACTTTGGTCAATACCAACGAATGACTTCACGGTTTACTTTGTTTGCCGAAACACCCAATTGCACATAAACCCCCGCAAAGAGCTCATCGGTGAGTCTGATCCTAAACAGAGGATCTGCTAGAGTCATCTGCTCACACAGAAATGTAGGAAAGACCTAGGTATTCAGCATTTGTCACCTCAGATGGGCTTTGTCCATAAAAGCCCATTCTGGGGACCTTCTGAATGCTGAATCAGCGAAGAACCCTCAACCATGGGCTCTGAATTCCCTCCCCTGCCCCAGGCCCAGAGCCTTGGGGTTCAGGTCACAGGTGTAGCGCTCCAGAGTGAGGCAGAGAGTCTGTTCACCTCACTTCTGGGTGGTTCTTCTGCTGCTGGGGCGACCGTGACCAATTATGCGAGCACGGTCGTGGAGGACGGAGACCTGGTCATTGAATACATCAACGATCACGGTGGCCCGCCCTCGAAGACCACCATTCATCGGTGGCAGGTGAATAGTAAGGACCTAATACAATCCAGTCCTTACTTCCGAGCATTGCTTGATCCAAGCAAGTTCGCAGAAGGCAGACAATTCCACAACCAACAGAAGGCCTTTGAATCATTTTCCGCCTCATCCTCGCCTGACGCGATGGCCACTGACGACGAAGCTGAGGTCCCAGTCGTTCAAATCCCCACGGATGAGACCACTCGATTCGTTGGCGTGGATGTTTTGGAGATGTTCTTCCGCATCCTCTGTATGGATTCGCTTACAAGCGAAGACCGTCATTCCTTCCAGAATGAACTACGATTATTGTCTCCCGCGCCGATCGCTAAGCTCATTGAAATCGCCGATCGGTTTAACTCGCCCGAGGTGGTACGGAAAGCACTTCACAACATCAACTATCGCTTTGGCAACAAGCGCCCCGCCTTCTTCGCTCAGTTTCGGGCGTGGGATTGGAAGACAGTGGCTGAGGATCGCATACGGCAATATATCTATATTTCCCTGTTTCTCACGCTGTGCAACTGCATCCAGGTCAGCTCGCATGCCTTGGTAGTTAAAGGCTCTCAGTCCTGGGTCGACGGTGGTCCAGAACAGCCCGCCCCAACTTGTGGGCGATGGCGCTATCTTCCTGATGGTGTTGAAGGTAAGATTTATTCGTATAAACGCCTCGCTGGGAAATAAGTACTAATTTTCCAACAGAGGAGTTGTATTACCGCCGTCAATGTGTCATGAACACAATCACTGATTTGCAAGCGCACTTCCTTCGCCTCTATAGAGCCCTCGAAGACCCTAGTCCTCCTAAGCACCTGTATACAACTGCACCACTCATGACTACATCTACACATCCCATTCAATGCCGTGGAGGCCTAAGCAACTCCCGAGAATGCGATATTTTCCAGCTTGGCCAAATGATACGCTTCTTCTCTATGCGGTCTAAGACCATGTTTTTAGGGTCTACTCTCCTCGACCCAGAGTTCGACATTGAGAACCACCAAGATGGGCAGACAAATACCACACCACCGTCAGATATCACCAGAATCATCGCTTCTCTCAAGCAATACCCAGATTACCAGATCGACACCAACCACTCCGGCTGCGGCATCCGACGTCGCTTCCTCCCAGCCCTCGAATGTATCGAGAAGTACATACTGGATGGCCGTGGTCTGCTAGGCATCAACCTGTCTCCCATATCCCAGCATCAAATGTCAAAAGAAGTGTCATGGTCATATTCAGCTTCTACTTGGACTCACGAAGCCAAGATTTCCCAACAGGGACTTGTTGGTGTCCGGCACTTGTTTTTCAGCAATACCATACCCGCAGCGCCACCTGAGCACATATGCGAGGATGCCGGACGCATGGTTTTCTCAGCCAAGAAACGAATTTGGGAGGCCTGAGCAGCATAGGACAACTCGCCCAATCCTTTCCACCTTCGTACGCTTACCAAAGACTTGATTCTAATTCCGCCCCCTTTTTCTTGAGCGAACGCATTACCGACCGTACACATCATCGCGGTTACTTTGCCGCAGTGGAGAAAAAGGAACACACTTGGCCTACGTTCAGCCTGTCAGGGCTGAAATGACTTTATGGTGCTACGAAATGATGATGTTATATTCCATTCCCCAAACGCATATACACAAAGACTGGTCTAGACCCTCATGCAAAGCCAGAGTGCTGTTCCGGTTGGCCCAGATCTGGAGTACCTGGATCTAGGTTATCTAGGATAAGAGCTTAGCTTAGCCTCGTACGTATTTTGATGCCATGGATGACAATTATGTAGAGGAAGATGATACTGGTTACATATTCGGTGCCAGATGATTGGAAATACTGGCACTGTTGGTTTGTGAAGACTATCTTCTCTTTTTCTTTTTGTATGAATACCCAGTGGGATGACAGCTCTGAATACAATGAATATGCCGATTGAATTCTTCCTGTGTAGCTTTTAGGGGGATAGATATTCTTTAGACGCACAGGCGGATGTAAACTTTTTTTTCCCTGTATAAAAAAAGGAACATTCTATTCAAACAAGATCGATGAACACAGAGAACAAATGTTAACTTTTCCTCTGCTGCACCTCTATGACCAGCTGCAATGGCGATTCTGTAGCTTTCATCTTCTTCACCATAAAAGCCAAATGCAGAATACAGACACAAGGGAAGTCCAATTTCATCTTGGAACCATTTTGATCTTAGTCTCATCAATGCCAGGCACACAGACTGCTGTTTTAATACAACTTTCTTTCTTTCGTTTGCGCCCTTTTAGTGTACCTGACCAATGTAATCCCTTTCAGCAAACAGGATCACCCCAGAAGTAACCCAAATCAAGATCCAGGTTTGGTCCCGTCGGGAAGAAAGAACCCGTAATCTGGCCAGTGGCCGGATCACAGGGGAAGTACTCCTCGTAGGGGCTGCATCCAGAGACGGATTTCTCCGGCTTCATAAATTGATCGAGCAGATCTGACGGCTCCAGGTTGTAGGTCACACCCATTTCCAGGGAAGTATCTGACTGGACAATTGGTGAGCAGCCGATGTAGTTTAGCTCTGCGGCAATGGTGTCAACTGCGGTGGCAGTGGAGTTAGGTATGGTGGAGGCCGGATTAAATGTGACAAAGTCGTCTTTGTCTGTAGCGGTGGCGAGCTGTTCTTCAAGGAGTGTAGCGGGATCAGTCGCGTGTTCGGCATCCAGGACAGAAAGTGCCCGGACCTCATCACTATCGGGAAAGTCGTTCATGTTGATACAGACGTGAGGCGCGAGTCTACGCAAGAATCTCTCACATAGCTTCCAGGCTCGCTTGGAGGCCATGTTTGTCTTGGACAGAGCAGCCAGCCAGTCCAAGGATTTCTTTGCTGCATTGGGGACCATACTGACCTTCTCTGGGACATGCTGGACCTTGAGTGCGAGCTCCAGCAACAGAACGGTGGAAGTCTGCATGAGATAGTGGAGAGTGCACCACCACGGCGACATGCGATATAGCAGCGCTGCGTCCGGGGTGTCCGGGAACAGAGTCAGCATGTGGCACGCAGCCTCAACACATTCAGCAGCAGTTTTGCTGCAGAATTCGTGGGTGCTTCCTCCCTCTTGGTGTGAGGGATCCAGACGACACAGACACGGCCGGGTGATCCCGATTTTGGTGCTGTAGAAAAGGAATGCGAGGCCGATACGTTGGCCGACGGGACACTGCGATGTCTGCGTCGAAGTGAAATCGTAGGCTGCAGGCAGATTCATGAACCATGAATCTATCTCGAGCATTAGGCTTTGGATGATAAATTCCGTACTGGCCCAGGGTAACTGCTGTGCCTCTGGGCTGTAGAGTTTGACCGTCATTCGCTTCGCGATAGTGGTCAAGGAGGTCAGCTGCAGGAAATATAGTGACATGCACGGCGGTAGGCTCTTCAAGTAATCTGTTCTGCTCATCTTGGTATCGGACTCCGCCAGTGCAGTGTTCCCATCCGAATCTGCAGACGAATTCAGGCTGGCTGCGCTGTTGTTGTTGGCTGGGATTCTGTCCAGATGGTTTGTGCCACGTCCCGCGGTGCTGATCAGCTGGACCACTTCGTCCCTCTGGAAATCACATTCGTCGAAAGGAATGGGCAGCGGCGTGGTGCATGAGCTGTCGATGATGCAGGATGGCCGTCCTGTTATCACGGCGAGGAGATGATCGATCGTATACAGGGACCACCACACTCGGTAGCGTATCTCCTTGGATGTGTCCGAGGTGCACATTCCCACGTTGCGTAGATGTAGGCCAAGAGCGAAAGCGCCTCGAACTGCACTGCCGGAAAGCTTCCAGGCTCTGAGCAAAACGAAGTTTGTGAGCATGGATTTGACGCTAAGTTAGGGCTACCGACATACCGGTTTATATAGCCGCATGCAATCAGGTAGAAGGAAGCAAGTCCTTCCACCTGCAGTTGCTGAAGATCAGGATGGTGCAGCAACTGATCTTCCAAGCTCAAAGTCATAGCTCTTGAGAAATAAATCTGATGGCTCTCCTCGCCTTCATTGAAGTCTGCATTGGTCAATTGCTCATATTTCGACGCGACTGCGAAAATCAAGTTCAGAATCGCCAGCCACTTATTTCCCGGTTTCAGGGATGGCTGGCTGAAGAAGACTTGAAACTGGGAAACAAATGTCGATATTCCAATTATTGGGAACGACGGATGCACAGATGTCAGATATGAATTCAGCAGTTTCCCAGCTGTCTCGCGCGACGGAATATCCAACGTATCAACGTGCGCTGCGGTGGGGATTTCCAGATCATCAAGGTAGTAGTTCGAAGACGCTACCCAAGGGTCACCTCGATTCTCAGGGCGCGGCGTCAACGTTGGGGAGGGTAGGGTATTTTCATCGGCATTGCTCGAAAGGGCCGATGACCACGCATCGCACTCACTGCTAACCTCCTTGCTCAGCATCTGCAGCCAGGTGATCTCAGAACTCTTTCCAATATATCCAGTCGCTCTCGCGGTCTCGTCTCTGTTGAAGTCTTCTTCGGTATGGTCGACCAGCTCCAGAGGCGCAACTGAGGATGATCGAGAAGGCGGCGAGTCAGACCCAGACCTCCAAGAAAGTTTCCGGTCCTCCATTGCTGCAATTGGGGCGTCGGGGTCCAGGGTAAGGTCTGGTGCCGAATCCTACTCCCATCTTAGACAAAACTCGGTTGTCGGTGACAGGGTGGGCTGCCTACCACGGCCAAGGCAATGTTGACGAGCTGCTCGTCGGAGACGCCAAATCGATTGCTCAGTTTTTTGATAACGTCCTCGTATGCCTGTACCTTTGCGGACAGACTTGCCAGTTGCCTTTTTTCTCAGGAGAGGAACAAGTCAACTCTTAAGCTTCCCAAGAATTGGAGCGGTGCCGCCCACCGTTTGGATTTTTCTCTTTTGCCGTCAGTATAGCAGCAGATAATGCCGGCTTCCCGGCAGTTTCGACACCCAGACTTGTCCCCAGTGCATTTTGTCTTTCTCTGTCTGCAAGACTCGCACGCACGGCTGACATGTCGACGATGAAATCTGCCTGGAGAGGTGAACGCCGACTCAGCTCCCTCTGCAAGGCGCGGAATGGCCATCTTCTTGGTCCCCAGGTCAGACTCAGTTTGCTGGAGGTTAGGCATCTGGCTCTCCTGTTCATAGAATGAGGAGGGGGTTGAGAGCATAGGGTCAAGACCAGCAGACCGGGCTTACCACACTAGACAATTGATTACATGTATCAACATCCGCGCAAGACAGCTTGAACAGACTCTGTTGTTCATTCCATGACGGGAATTGGAGATTGGCCATGTTGAAACATGCAAACAGTATATCAAGTTACGAAACAATAACCTCTCGCAGCATGTCAGTCAAAAGATGCAGCTCAAATACAGATTCCTGATTCTCAAGACTCACCTCAGCATAGTAGAGCTTAATGCATCTGGCATTGGCTCTCACAAAAAAGTAAGCACTGCTTTTTTTATCCGGAGGCCGAGATCCCTGGAAGATCGAATAGGGTTGTCAGGCGGGGGAGGGTAACCATAGGGTTTATAAGAAGTCGAAGTGGACCCAGCCTATAAACAGGATAGACTAATACCCAAAGAGATAGAGGAGATGGGAGCTCAGAAAACATGTCTGGGGTTGGGTCTGGACCTGGACGTCTAAAGTCTCTCCTGGATGTTGTGATGACATCGGATACCGACATACGAATTGGCCACCAAACATAATCTAAAAAAGCGCTCACAAGAGCTTATACTTCAATTTGCCTCACTTGCTAAGAGGCGACTTGTGGGGGCGTCTTGATGATGTGGAATTGAATTGGTGAATGAGCACACCATTCGCCATCAACCATACCTCAGCGGAGCCGTTACATCAGATCCCACGTCAAATGCTATCAAGCATTTGCCCAACCGCCGGTTCAGGGACCGAGGATCAAGCTCCGTCTACTTCGTGGTTGGATTTCGGTTTTTAGAACCGACAGCCTCAAGGCCCCGGTCGAACGACCAGACTTGAGAGGTCATGGAGAAGAGATGCCGGAAGTGCTGCAACAGGGTGGTTTCAGGCCTCTCGAGCTGAGAGCTTACCCTTGTTAGCATTTTAGCCTATTCGAGAAGATTAATTGGAACACCGTAACCCAAAAAAGCCCTAGGTCATAAAGTGAAAGCATTCCTGCGGTGAGTGTGTTAGATCGACTGCAAAGGGTCCAGACCGGCAACAAGTGATCAATCTGACGTTGGAATGGCAAGCCCGTCCCTGGGCGACGCGGCCCCGAACCCATGTTTTGACAATGCTTAGCCTAATGGCAAAGCCCATCAGGCCAATCCATTGAGAGCGAGCAAGGTACGATAACCATAGGATCTCTACGGCATGGAAGTGGCAGTCCATAATGTTGACGTCGGGCATTACGTCGCAATGACCAGGAAGGTGGTAATGTTCAAACCCGTTCTTTGTTTGTCATGTCTAGATACGGCTGTCAATTTTGTCGAGGCTAAACACAGTCCGTGAAGAAGAAAGAGGCAATGGCTTGGAAAAAGAGCATCGGCTAGCAATATCAAAACAACCCACAAAGTCGACCATTAGTGAAAGGAAAACCAACTCTATACACCCTCAGACCCAAGTTTTATTCAATCAGGAAGTTCTCGGCAACGCTCTTGATGTCCTTGGTAAACCCGGTAGTTTCGCCTTCCATCTCCAAGAGGGAGACGCTGGTGACATCGACATCGACGAAGGGGCGGGTCTTGGAGAAGCGCACGCTCATCGGGAAGAATTCGTCCTCATCGCCGTCTGTCGACTCAAACTCGAAGCTGCCTGATGGGTTGGATTCATCGACAACGCCCAAATTCCAGTCAAGGCTGTCCCCGGAGACCTCGTAGATTGCATCGAAGCTGGACACCGCGGGCTCAGTCGCGCCGAAGGGAATCGTAACCACAACATCCCGTAGACTGTCCGTGCCACTGAGCTCGTACTCCACGGTCACAGTAGTCGAATCAGAGCCCTTGTTCACCCACACCGTGAAGGTAATGGGAAGAATGTCGGTGTTGTCAGTCCCTGTGCTAACTACTCGCCACCGCAGAACGGCAATAGCATTGTTAGCAGGGAATCGCTTCGAGGTATCCTTCAGCTGGATCGCCGATGAGTTGGTGAACAAGGCCTTGTCGACATTAGGGTGCGTCCGGAACTGGGCATTGTGTGTGGCGTTTGCCTGGAGCTCGAGTCGGAGTTTTGTGAAGGAGGGGTCGGTGATGCGGAGCTGAAGGTCACCCTTGGCCTCAAACGACTTCAAGGTTCCTTCACGGGTGAGTGAAGCCGAGATCTGCTCGGAGATCGTGATCTGGACAGGCTCCCGGTCCGCAGTAAGGGACTCGCGAGCAGACGACGGCTCTTGCACCGGGTTCGAGATCTGTGGACTGAACAACGGGCTGGCCTCTTCTTCGGGGCCCAAGTCGCCCCGAACCTTTTCGTAGATATCGGTCGCCTTGGACTTCTTGCCGAGTTGCATGCCCTTGCCGCGGGAAGGAATGGGCCTACAGATCATTTGCAGTTAGAATCAGTTGACAGAATAATCTCAAATAGACATACTTGGCAAACGACTTCTTCTTCTCTGCCTCATAGGTATCATAAGTATCCGGCGCGGACGGGCGAGAGGGAGGTGTGTAGACGGGGTAGGAGGGAGTCCGAGGCGCAGCACCACGACCAGCGCGAGCAGCTTCCTTGCGCTGCATCTCCAACTGCTTAGCCTTCCGCTTCCGCTCTTCGCTGGCTTCCAGTTCTTTGTTCTGTCGAGACATGTTAACCAATCATTCCACCCGTGATCTGGACCAAAACATACTCGCTCAATGATCTCCTGGATTCTTTCCTCGTGACTCTCCATTTCCAAGAAGGTCTTGATCTGTGACAGAGAAAGATTCTCCCGGTATCCCAGCGTCACCAATTCGTCAAAGGCGCTCAGCAGCTCAAAGGCATTGCGCAGAATCTCCCGCTCGTCCAAGCTCTTGCAGATGCTGGCGGTCACTTGCGCAAAGAGATGCAGGCTGTCGATGTCTTGAAGGATATTCGATTGACGGTTGGTAATCAGGACAATGTATAACTCATCCAATGGCTGGTACACGAAGCGCACGTTGTCCTGCTCGACGGTGGTGTGTTGGGTGCCTGAATCCGCAAGCTTGGGGAACGAGGCCAGCAGGGCCTCAATGCGAGACCTAGAGATTTCTCGGAACTGGCGCGAGAGGACAGCCTTGCCCCCGCGGGTACATATCGATGCTGCCAGAACGACCTGTTGTGCGGGTGGTGGTCAGTCCAGGGCTCCCCCACGTATTGGACAAAACAAAGCATACCATGGCGACCGAGCACGAGAATCAAGGAAAGCGAGCGGTAAGCAGAAAGAAACAAGCAGAACAGATGAGCTGTCTGCAATGGACAGCAAGAAGTGGTGGGGGTGTAGAGAAGTGTCGAGCCCCTTGTAATCGATGTTGATGAGGTGAATCAATGGTCACTCTGTTCTCTTTGGCCTGGTCCGTGCACGTGCCCTCGCTTAGTCGTCAACTCTTTTCCTCGCGCGTTTCTTCTGCTTTCAACCACTTCCCACCACAGCCTCTCTTGCTCCATTCCCCTGATTCCTGATGACTCTCTCCAGTACTACCTCAGAGACCGTCTATCTCTCTTTTCCTTAGTTATCCCTCTTTCGACTGACTACCGATTCCATTCCTGGGTTGCCACTGGCCTACCCTCCCGACACGTACCCGTGGCACGCCCGACCATCTCCACGCGTTCCATGCCATGACAGCCGCCTCTCCCTTAGCCTTTTCCACCATGGAAGTCCCTGCTGTGGACGATACGATGGAAATGGCCTCGCCCTACCAAGGGCAGGCCGATGATTTCGATATTGATATCGACCTCATGGAGGACCATCCTTCGAACATAGACAGCGAGATGATGGGAGCTGATGACTACCTCGCCACTTCTCAACCTACTGACTATAATCCCGATGCAATCAACGATGCGGATATGGTTGACGGTGTATCAGAGGGCTCGATGGTCGATGCCGACGAGACCTACGTGGAAGAAGACCACGACATCGATGTCCAGGACGGAGGCGAACAACCATACGAAGCCGAAATGCAAGAAGGCGACCAGGGCGATGGCGCCAAGACCCCCGTTCCCACAGTCCACGTTGAAGGTCCTGTCGAAACTGCACAGGACACAGCAGCAGATGAGACCTCAGTTGCTGCGAAGCCAGTTGAAAGCGACCAGGGATATCCCCAGGGTCTAGAATCAGAACCCCACGTGGAGAGCAGCGTGCAGGAACTCGAGCAGCAAGACCAAAGCGTTCCCTTGGAACCTAGCAAGCCCGAGCAGGTTCAGGATGAAGAAATCGAGAACATCGAAAACGATCTCAACATTGAGGAAGAACATCTCGGCGCAAAAACTAATGAAGCAGCACAAGTCAGTGTTTCCGATGCCGATGATGCTCTTGAACATGTTGAAATGCCCGCCGAGATCCAAGAACATGGCCAAGCCAAGTCGGTCGTCGGTGAAAATGAAGCCGAAGCTGCGGATCATACTGAGCTAGAGCATGCACATGAGGCGGATGATCAGCATCATGCATCCCTGCATCCGGTGAAAGTCATCTACCAGGAGAACGTGATTTCTCTTTTTCCGCCCCTGGAAGGCGATTCATCCGAGACCTTCTTTCTCCACGATGAAAATGTGGTCTACGACGATGTTAGCAAGGTATTCAGTGCCTTGCGCGAGGTGCTCCAGGATAATGTGGCGGATAACGAAGTCCTCATTATGGATCTCGATCCTCTAGGTATTCAAATAATGGAGGTAAGCCAGATTCTTTCCCTTTTTTTCTCTCTCCCACCGACCGGTATGCTGATTCATTCCATCCAGGACTCTTCGTACACATCCAAGGTGTCCTTGCACCAGATACTGGATTTGTATCTTAAACTTTGTCACAACGATGGTTCCAATGAGCCTGAAGCTTTGTACCTGACACTGTCTACCAAAATGACGGTTTCGGCCGAGATTGCGGATCTTCTTGCTGCCGCCAACGAAGGAAAGGGTCTTTCCGAGCTCCATGGGTGGGACGAGACTAATAAGGTGGCTCCTATTTCTGAGGGAGTTGCCGACTCTCATGAGACTGAGCATACTGAAGAGACTTATGAGTATCAGCAAGACCAGTCGACCCATGAAACCAACAAGGCCCCTTCAACCGTACAGGAAGAACCTGTGGCCAGTAATGAACCTAGTGATCAGGTGCCCGAAGTCCATGCTGTTCAGGAACAACTATTGGAAACCCATGGCGATGAACAGCATGACCTTGATGGCCACGAAGTCGAGGCTGTTGAGGCTGTCTCTAAATCCGAAGCTGCTCCTGGGAAAGATGAGGTACACGAGGCTGAGGGATTGCATCACGAAGAACATGTGCTTCACGATGACGAAGAGTTTTACGACTCTGAAGGCCACAAAACTGAGTCAACCGCTACGGTTGCTGCACCATCCGGTGCAAAGGAGCCCGAGGCGCCAAATGAAGAGGTGTCTGCAGATTCTACGGACCCTATCTCAAACCATCATGGTGAGCTGTCTGAAGGTGAAGATTTTGGTGATGAAGATATCCATGAACAAGGAGATGAAACCCATGGGCCCGGCAACGGTCTTGAGGAAGAGGAATTTGAGGGTGACTACCCTGCAGAGGACAACGGTGATGAAGAAGCCGATGGCATCCTTCATGATGACTTAGACCCGGCTCATGACGAAGAACACATAGCTGGCCCTGATGGTGGCCCTCAGGCTGGCGATGCCGCCGCCGAGATCTCTCAAGATCAACCGCACTCCATGTTGGAGGACGCGCTGCAGCACGTTTCTGCACACGAAGAGCAAACCCCCGAGCCTGCAGATGATCTGCTTGGCATCGCTGAAGATTTGATGCAGACTCCTGCCAAGAATGACCCAAGCGGTGATCTTGAGCACGCCACGGGTGCCGATGAAGATGAATTTCCCGACGATGAACTCCTTACTCCCCCTCCACTTGCCGGAGATGCCCCCGATGAGCATCAATTCGATGATGACGACTATTTCGACCTCGAGGCTTCGGGGGATGGCGAGCTCCACGAGACCGACCTGGGCCTGACTGAGACTCCATCGCACGAGAACGGATCCACCAAACGAGCGCGGGATCTCGAAGACGAGTGGGACGAGGAAGAAACTACAACGCCTGACACCAAGAAACCTCGATCCTCGTAATTCACCCTTCTCGTCACCCGCTGTCTGCCGCCTCTACTACGAACCCTTCTTTCCTTTTCCAACGTACGATTTGTGTCCTGACTGGCAGCTACTCCGACTGTACGTCGACGACGCTGCTGGTTCTGGGGCGTCGCCGCTCATGAGAGATCCCTTCCACCCTTTGACTACTAATCATTATCAGCCTCCCTGTCCCTGCAGCAGTATCGACTCTCATCTACGGATGGTATCTTCGAGCAACGTTCAATGGATACCCAGCAGGTATGTGTCATCCTTTCCGCGTTTGCCTTCCTGCGTCCCTCTAGGCCCCGGGACTTGTGTTTTTATTCCCATTGTGCTTTCCCCCGATTTGCGTGCGCTGCCTTCTGGTTCTTTGAATCTTCAAAAATTCACCCTTTCGCCGTTGTGTATGTCCACCCTTTTTTTTGCACCTGAGTGATACCACCTTCGGTCTTGTTTTGTGTTCGGCGTTGATGGAAACTGTGTGTGCATTTGAGCTAGTATTCGTCCACGATGGAGTTGAAGTTCCTTGTAGGCATTGATTAATGTTGAAATGACTTGTCTTCGTTCCTGCTTGCGTGATTGTAGTATCTGCCGAGGCAGGTGAAAAGCTAAAGCCGCTCCATCACAGGGTGACGATCTGAAACACGGGACCCAGGGTCCGGCATGATTGTGCGGTATTTATAGCCTGAAACCACGCCGGAGCCATTGCAAGTGTTGTGAGTAAACCAGGATGGAGTAACGGATAACGAAGTCAAGATGATATTTCATTCGGAGCAGGAAGAGCAAGAAGAGCACGTAGTAGGTAACGAACTATTGTCGTCCCAGTAGACCTCAGTGACACTCTCGTCTTACGCGTCGCCATTTCAACCAACCCCACCGCAGCAGGCACCAACTAACTTAACCTGATACCTGGCCTTACTTCCTCACTGACCCTTCTTGCCATCCTCAAACATCCAAATCTATCCCTGTTCGGTCCTTTTTCTGTTCTCGCCTCTTCACTTCCGTCCCACCGCAGAAATCTCGGGCTGGCTCATTTTTCTGCGCAGTCCTGCCTTCCCTTCCCGCCCCTCCCTCCGCCTTTCGCCTCCCTTGCGGACCCTCAACTCAGCACATCTTTCACTTGGATGTTGTGAACACCCGTCCACCCCAGCCACTCGCTTGCCACCTCCCACTCAACACCCTCTCTCTCTCTGTCTCATTTTCCCGATCCATTGCCGGCGCTGGACTTTTCGACTGTAGGAGCAACTCGCTCCTGTGATACCGCATTCCGTCATGATCCCCGACAAGTACGGCCCACCTGCATCCCTTCCCGAATCTCGCCTCACGGCCACATGTTCTGGATCGCTGACCGCAACGCTCTGTGCACTATTCTAGATATATTGGGCTATGTTTAGCCATTATATCCACCATGGCGATCGGTACGTGCGATGCGACCCCCTTCCGCGCGCCCCCGGATGGACTGCTAACAGCGTTTCCAGGGACGAGTTTTGTGATCACGAAAAAGGTGCGACGACCTCGATAGAAACCAAGCATGAGGATTGTGGCGGTCGGGAATCATAAGGGAGCAGAATGGCTAATGGGTGTTTCTTGCGCAGGGTTTGATGCATGCTTCTGAACGGCACGGCTTCGAGGGCGAGGGTTACTCGTACCTCAAGAGTCCCGTCTGGTGGAGCGGTGTTTCTACACGTACGATCATCTATCATCAGCCGGTCGGGTTTGCTAGGAGCTAACGGAATATCGCAGTGGCTATCGGAGAAGTCTGCAATTTCGCCGCCTACGCATTCGCGCCCGCCATCTTGGTCACACCTCTCGGCGCATTGAGTGTGTTGATTGGGTAGGCAAAAATCGCTCTGCGACACAGCTTTGGGTGAATCACCGGCTAACGCGAAAACACAGTGCCGTTCTCGGTTCATATTTCCTCGACGAGCGATTGGGGGTATTAGGAAAACTGGGCTGTGCGATGTGTCTGTTGGGATCGGTCGTGATCGTCCTCCATGCGCCTCCAGACAAGCCGGTAGAACGCATTGATAAGATGTTGGAGTATGCTCTTGCTCCAGGGTTTCTTCTCTACTGCCTCGCCGTTGCGATCTTCTCGACGGTGATGGTTTACCGGGTTGCCCCTGTGTACGGCAGAAAGAACCCTCTTATTTACATCTCGATCTGCTCTACTGTCGGCTCCGTCTCTGTCATGTCTGTGAAGGCGTTCGGTATCGCGGTGAAGTTGACTCTCGGCGGCAATAACCAATTTACCAACGCCTCGACCTATGTCTTCGCCATCGTCACCGGATTCTGCATCCTCACGCAGATGAACTATTTCAACAAGGCATTGAACTCGTTCTCGACCTCAATGTAAGGGAGACACCCTCAAATGGTCAACGCGGTACTAACATGAGCTTTGTAACAGCGTGAATCCTCTCTATTACGTCACCTTCACAACCGCCACACTTTGTGCCTCGTTTATTCTGTTCAAGGGCTTCAACACTACGGATGCGGTCAACACCATCTCGTTACTGTGCGGCTTCCTTCAGATCTTTACCGGTGTCTATCTCCTGAACCTCTCGCGACACGACCCGGATGGGCGACAGATGCTCAATACCAAGTTCGATGAGGAAGGTGTCCCGACGGACGGTATCGCCAGCTACCAGACTCGACTCTCAATGCAGTCGCGCCGCAGTCGGAGTCTATCGAGCTCCACGTTCCTCAACGTCAACGGGCACGGCGATCGCGAAGGTCTCATGCACTCGTACGACGTTGAGAACAATCACGACGGGATCGGGCTGTCCGACCTAGTCGAAGAAAGTGACGGGGAGCCAGGTCCGACCTTCAAGCGGAGCGACGAGCGCGCTCGGATCACCGCAACCCATACCAAGCGGAACAGCCGATAGGATTTTGAACCTGGTGTTTGGCTCTGTGTGCTACTTAACGAGGTTATTGTCGCGACGTCCCTTCCTCCCACCCTCTACCACCACCTCTTTTGCATTGTCTTTGAATCCTCAGCCTCCCGGCCGCTCCCTCTCTCCGTCCCCGACATACTTGTATTTTTACTTTTATCTTCAAGTTCGAAAATGCCAGAGTGGATTTGGGACTCGGGCGCTCTTCTATCAGGCACGGGATATGCCCATACAAACGAATTTTGGATATGACTCTGGGTATTACTTTTGGTCTCTGGCTGGCTGGATGAGCTTTTAGTTTTTTTTTTTTTTTTTTTTCCTTCCTGCGGTTTCTCCTGGTCTCTTCTTTTTTGGTGATTTGCGCATTGGCGAGAGGAGAAAATCCTTTGGTGTATATATTTCCATCTACCGACATTTCAATAGATCGCTTATTGGCGCGGAACATCACCTGGTGGGGTCAGGCCACCGCCGTCCGATGATGTAGTCGCATCAGCTGTGGTGGAAATCTTGCTTCTGACCAGTTGCCATGTTGCCTGTCAACACGAGAGAAGTGTTGTTGTCGGTTCCACTACTTGCACAAGTCGGCGTTGTACTACTGACTCTCTGCTACCCGCTCTAATTACTCTCCGGGCTCTGAGTGCGACACACCCGCGGGCAACCTACGAGAATAATGCCGGCTTTGCTGCGGAAACTGGTTATTGTCGCCGCCGTCGACGGCCTGGTCCTCTGTGCACAAGGCGCCAATGGATCGCGCTATAATAGCGCAAGCAACAATGAGGCCTCGTCCATTCGCATTGACTACAAGACGAACCGCATCACCGCGCTGCCGGCGTCGGCTCCGGAGCTGCTCGAGGGAAGGGATAGTGGCCTAGAGGCCTACGGACTGGTGGGTAAGTAGCAGAGGAATAGAATACTCTGCTGCGTTTAAAGGTTAACTTTTTATTCCATCCAGGCCTCTTATCCGTCGCGTCTTACTCGTTCCTCGTCTCCATCACCCAGCGCCAGCAGGTCGCGCAAATCCAGGGCCGCCCCATCTACGCCGTGACGAATGTCGCTATAATTCCCGTCTCGTCTCAAGCCGACGCAACCCGCGCGATCTCCCAGGCCCGCAAGGATGTCGCACAAGATGACGGCGGGCTCGACGAGTCCGCCTCCGAGGAGGAGGATATCCCCGACGACAACGGGACCGACGAGGCCGCCACCGAAATCAACAGCGCACCGGCATCTCCCAACCGCGAGACATTTCACCACGCCCGCGACGCCAGCGTGAATAGTATCGCCGAAGATGTAATCGGGAAGAAAGTGGGGTTTGGCCGCTTCGCTGCGAACTGGTTGTCGCGCAAGAATTTGGGCCTGCCCACCAGGCCTGCGGCGCTGAAAGAGGAGATTCCGGAGTCGCCGTTTGGTGATAATCCCAGTCCTTCGGAACAGTGTGCTAAGGATGAAGAAGCCACGGAGGCGCCTGTGCCTGAAGACGCTAATCCGCCTCAGGTGGAGAATAAAAACCAAAGCCCCCAACAGCATACGCAGAAGGCGGATCTGCTGCCGAAGTTGCTGCGGTATACGAAGTTGATATTTGCATCTCATAGCTTCTTTTTTGCATATGACTATGATATCACAAGGTCGTTTGGCGGTCAGGAAGCGCGGAATGAGCATCTGCCGCTTCACAAGGTTGTGGATCCATTGGTATGCTTGGAGATCCGTATGCCAGAAGAGTCGTTTAATAACTGTTTTACAGTACTTTTGGAACAGACATTTAATGTCCACGTTTATTGATAATGGCGCTCACGGATTCATCTTGCCATTAATGCAAGGATTCGTTGGCCAGCGCGAGTTCACAGTTGCCAGGCCCAGTCCAAAGGAAACCTCAACCGAGGACACACCCACTGAAGCACTGGTTTTGGGTGAGAAGCACGAGGTGGAAAATGTCAAAACAGATGCTCGCAAGCAGGATTTTCTTCTTACTCTGATCTCTCGACGATCTGTCAACCGACCCGGACTGCGGTATCTGCGACGTGGCGTAGATGATGAAGGCAATACGGCCAACACAGTGGAGACAGAGCAGATCCTTTCGGTGCCTGACTGGGACGCTTCCCGTGAGGTGTACTCCTATTTGCAAATGCGCGGGTCGATCCCATTGTACTTCTCCCAGTCTCCATACTCGTTAAAGCCTATCCCGGTCATGCATCACTCGGCAGATACCAATCAGCTGGCGTTTGGGAGACACTTCCGAGAGCTCAGTCGGCGATATGGGAAGATCCAAGCGGTCTCGCTCATAGACAAACAAGCTGGCGAACTGAAACTTGGTGAACAATATGAAAGATACACGGACGGTTTCAACAAAGCTGGCGGGATCGATGGCACTCCCTTGCGTTTGGAGTGGTTTGACTTCCACAACGAGTGTCGCGGGATGAAATTCGAGAACGTGAAACGGTTGGTGGACCGGTTGGGGGATACATTGGCTGAATTTGGCTACGCCATAGTCAAAGATAACACACTACTTCACTCGCAATCGGGGATCGTGCGGACTAACTGTATGGATTGTCTCGACCGGACGGGAGTTGCGCAATGTGCTTTTGGGCAGTGGGCCCTCGAGCACCAGTTACAGAACGAGGGCATGCACATTGATCTGGGAGGGGATTCGTCCACACAGTGGTTCAATACCCTCTGGGCGGATAACGGGGATGCTATTTCCAAACAGTACTCATCCACCGCGGCGCTGAAGGGAGACTACACTCGCACCCGGAAACGAAACTATCGCGGCGCCCTCAACGATCTAGGGCTGACACTCTCCCGGTACTACAACAACATCGTCAACGACTATTTCTCCCAAGCCTGTATCGACTACCTGCTGGGTAATGTCTCGACGCATGTCTTCGACGAGTTTGCCATGGAGCTACAGACCACCGACCCCGGCATCTCCGTGCAGAAACTCCGCCAAAACGCCATCGACACCAGCTGCAACATTGTGATCAGCGACCCATCCGAAGAGTTCCTGGGCGGATGGACGATGCTAACCCCCGCCAAACGAACACGCTACGAACCCTCCCTTTCGAAGAATCGGTCCTCCTCCTCACCGATGCAGCAATATACAGCTGTCGCTTCGACTGGGAAACTGACAAAGTGCTTTCCTTCGAACGGATCGATCTGCGCTCCATCTCCCGCATTCACTACGGCACCTACATCACCTCCATCCTAACAGACAGCCAAGCAGACGAGCGCAGGAACGTCGGTCTGGTAGTCGTGTACCGCGACGGCGACGAGAACCTACTGAGAGTCAACACCCGCTCCTTGCAGAGCAGTGTCCGTCCCGCCACGCTGGACGCTGCCTCCAACAAAAACGAATGGGACCTTGTCTCGTGGCTGCGCGGCACCAAACGCGCCACGACCCGCCTCCTGGCTTTCAAGAGCCTCCCGCTGTCCAACTCGGTGACGAGTCCCCGTCTCGGTGCCGTTCCGCCCGCGGGGAATGTCCGTGAGCTCGATCGCGTGCGTTCCATTTGTCAGGATATTGAGCGCGCTATGCTTGCAGGCGAGGGTCGTCATGATGAGTCTTCGTCTGTGATCGAGCAGCTAGATATCATCTCGCTGGCGGATGCGAAGAAACGCACGGGGATCTTGGAATATCTGGTATATGATATCAAGAAGATGGTCTGGGCGTAGCGTTCTTCTTCTGATGATGATGATGACATTAATGATCCAATACATTATTCAAGCATACATAAGAAATGGCACTATTGGAACTGCGTCCATGATGAGTTCTGCATATTCTATCCAACCCACCCGTTCCATTTGAGACATACCTAGATTCTAACCCTATCTACTTATTCCACCGGTGTGCACAAATCAGGTCTCCCCACATTGAGAGCCAGTGTATTTATATTCCTTAGCCGTACTTTGCGCATGTATGCTTTCTGTTCCTGGGAGAATCCCGGGGGCTCGGTATCTTCGATGCCGTGGGCTGCTATCCAGATTGCGTAGGCGATGAGGACGGAGATTACGCAGCCGAGGATGATGCAGAAGACGTAGAGGGAATATTGTGCTGCGGTGCCCATGTTTTGTTTCGTTATCTAATTTCTGAGTAGTTGTTTTTTATTAGCAAGAGTTTATTGAGGTGCTAAAAAGACCCCTTCCTAAATAAGAGTTTGGGGGTTGTTCTGCTCACTTTTCGCTGGATGGATGGATTGGTTTTCTTCTTGGGCATGATTCTAGTGGGAACAAGTATATTAAATAATAGAGGAGGTGAGATTCTGCTATGAGTCTTTCAGACTATCTACAAAACACCAATAGCCTCCATTGAAACATGCACTAGGTAGTATCTCTCCTCCGTAGGCTGTCCAGAAGGGGAGATTCGCAATCCCTAGGCCCCTCTGATGATATCAGAAACCGAGCACACCAGTAAGATTCTGCTTTGAATATGTCAGACTAGCTACAAAATTATAGCCTCCATAATTAGTGAAACAAGCAGTAGCCACCTCTAAGCCTTCTATAAATGGACATTGGCAATCCTCAGGGCCCCCCTCTGATGATATCAGAAACCGAGCACACCAATCAGAGCCGAGGAAGTGAGACCAAAAAACCCCCTTGACTATTATAGCCCCAAGGCCACTCTTCTGAAGTAGAACTAGTTCGAGGAAGCCGTCTGCTTGCTTGGTTCTTATAGTTGTACTTGCCCTGACTTGGTGACTAAAACGATGGCCCTGAATGGTGAGTGTTGTTCTGGCCGTAGCCACCCATTAATGCTAGCGATTTCCTTGCTAAATTCTGGCAAAAATAGTGTAGTTTTTTCAATTTTTATTTCTTATGTCCATTTTGGGAGATGGTGGAAGATGCACTGGCGATACCAGGGAAATGAAGCAGCCCCCTGGGATATTTTTGCTTCATTCCTCTGGCAAGATGGGTGGATGAACAAGTGCTTTCGTGGATATATCTTCGGTCACGCTGGCCTACCGCCTTTTCCCTCGGGTGACCCAGTCTTTTTTTTTTGCCAGCCATCTCGTCGTCTCCTTGGGCCTTTCCTCTCTGCGATAGACAGCCTGCCCTATTCCTGGCGTCAATTCCCAGGCTGCGAATTTCAACAAAAGGTCAACCTGTGGTCGACCTGCGTTTCTGGGGAACCGAAGAAGGGGCCCGTTCCCACACCCTCGGCGGGGCTACGTGAGCCACACACTTTTCCACCGATTTTCCCACGGTCGCTTGACAGCCTTCACCCTGTTCCATCGGCCCAAAATGGATTGGCAGCCTCAGGAAGAGCCATTGAGGCAGCTGGCCTGCTGTCTCCGGGACTCGCTCAATGGGCAAGACCGGGCAGCCCAGAAACAGGCTGAAGAGGTGCCCTCCCCCTCTTATTCTGCAACCTCAAGTCATGATGAATCAATGGACTAACCCTACGTAGATGCTTGTTCAGGCAACGGCGTCTCCCGACTATGTCAACTACATCACCTACCTCTTTTCCACCCCGCAGACCCCTCCCGCGGTGGCCATGGACAACAACACCTATAGCATGGTTCGATTTGCCGCCGCCATGAACCTCAAGATCAAAATCCACGTGGCCCATTCAACTATCCCGCAGCCGAGTCTCACCTACATCCGGTCGGCCTCGATCCTGTCTCTTAGGGACGCCGACCGCTCGGTCCAAAAAGGTGCCGGCAGCATCATCACCGAGCTGGTGCGTCAGGGCGGCCTGCTGGCCTGGCCTGATCTCCTCCATGAGTTATTGAACCTGGTCAGCAATACCTCTGGCGACGTGACTCTCCCAGCTCAGGAGGGAGCCATGTTGGCTCTGGCCAAGGTCTGCGAGGACAATCGCAAGATCTTGGACAGAGACTATTCGGGCCAACGCCCGCTGGACGTGATCATCCCGAAACTGCTGGAATTCACCAGCAGTGAAAGCTCTAGAATCCGCGTGTCTGCCTTGACCAGCATCCATATCTTCCTCCCGCATCAACCCCCTGCTCTGATGGCTTCGCTCGACCTCTTCTTATCACAACTGTTCCAGCTCTCTAGTGACAAGGATTCCGAGGTCCGCCGCATGGTTTGCCAGTCATTTTCTCAGCTCGTCGAGTTTGCCCCCGAGAAGCTCATCCCGCACATGGAGGGCCTGGTTAATTATATCCTTCTGCAACAGCAGAACACGGAGGATCCGGAGCTTGCGCTCGACGCGGCCGAGTTCTGGATCGTTGCGGGAGAACAACATTCGTTGAGGACTGCTCTGGCACCCCATATGCAGAAGATCGTGCCCGTCCTGCTGCAAAACATGGTGTATGATGAAGACGATGTCATCCGGTTAATGGACGATGAGGACGATGCCGAGGCCGAAGATCGTGCGGAGGATCTCAAGCCACAGTTTGCCAAATCCAAGGCCGACAAGATTGACACATCCAAAACGGGAGATCAGGCGAACGGTGGTAAACAACAAGCCGAGGAGAACGACGATGACGACCTCAGCGAAGGCGAGATCGAAGATTCAGAGTTCGGCGACGATCCTGAAGATGAGTGGACTCTGCGCAAGTGCTCCGCTGCCGCCCTGGACGTGTTCTCGAATGTCTACCACTCGCCGATCTTTGATGTCATCCTGCCATACCTCAAAGAGACTCTGCGACATGAGAACTGGCCCAACCGTGAAGCTGCCGTCCTTACCTTGGGCGCTGTGGCGGATGGTTGCATGGATGCTGTCACACCGCACCTCCCCGAGCTGGTCCCGTATCTGATTTCGTTGTTGAACGATGCTCAGCCAGTGGTGCGCCAGATTACCTGCTGGTGCCTTGGACGCTACTCAGAATGGGCATCGCACCTTAGTGATCCGACGCAGAAGGCCCAGTTTTTTGAGCCGATGATGGAGGGGATCCTGCATCGGATGCTGGATAACAACAAGAAGGTGCAAGAGGCAGCCTCCTCGGCATTTGCGAGTCTCGAAGAAAAGTCGGACGACAACCTGGTTCCCTACTGCGAGCCTATCCTTCGCCAGTTTGTCCAGTGCTTCGGCAAGTACAAGGACCGCAACATGTACATTCTCTACGACTGTGTCCAGACACTGGCCGAGTGTGTCATGGGCGAGCTTGCCAAGCCGCACCTGGTGGATATCCTCATGCCTGCTTTGATTGATCGCTACAACCGGGTATCAGATGATTCGCGAGAACTTTTCCCTTTGCTCGAGTGTTTAGGCTACCTCGCCGCAGCGTACGGTGATGCATTCGCGCCATTTGCCCCTCCTCTCTTCGGACGGTGCAGCAAGATCATCTATGAGAACCTGCAGGCATACATGGCCTCGGTAAACAACGAAGCGTTCGAGGAGCCCGATAAGGACTTCCTGGTCACCAGCCTGGACCTTCTCAGTGCCATCATCCAGGCCATTGACCCGCAAAAGAGCGGCGAGCTTGTGGTCAACTCCCAGCCACCGTTCTTTGATCTGCTGTGCTACTGCATGGAGGATCCCAACTACGAGGTCCGGCAGTCATCTTATGCTCTGCTAGGTGACTGCGCCATCAGCATCTTCCCGCAGCTGGAGCCTTTCCTCCCGACTATCATGCCGACTCTGGCCAAGCAGCTTGACCTGGATTTGATCCGGGATGATGACCGCCACACCGGATTCAGTGTTCTCAACAACGCTTGCTGGTCTTGCGGAGAGATTGCCGTGAACGAGAAGGCGCAGCTTTCACCATACGCCGACAAACTCTATCATGGACTCGTGACTATCATCAACAACGAAGAAGTGATTGAGTCAGTTAACGAGAACGCCGCCATGGCCCTTGGCCGGCTGGGACTCTGCTGCTCTGACCAGCTGGCACCCCGGCTTGGTGAGTACGCGAACTGCTTCCTGACATCTATGCGCAAGATCGATTTCACGCGCGAGAAGGCCTCTGCCTTCTTGGGCTTCAATCAAGTGATCATGAAGAATCCCCACGCCATGGAAGCGAGTCTTGCAGACTACTTCCAAACCGTCTCCGCATTCCCGAACAAGGTAGTCACGGAAGAGGAATACCGGGACGTCCAGAACTCATTCCAACAGGTACGATTGTTTTGGGCCTCACAGCTTATCATCGACTAACTTTTTTTTTTTCGATGCAGGTCCTGCAAGGATATAAAAACATGATACCCAATTTCAATTCCTTCCTCTCGCAGCTTCCTGCTCATGTGGCTCAGAAGCTTCGTTTGCTCTACCAGCTTTAAGCAATACGTTCGGATGACGACTTCTGCATGGTTGCGGTTGCTCAGCGGGCTTGCCCGTGGTTACGGCAAGTCTGGTCTTTTATTTTTTCTTGATTGTTCAATGCCATTGTTCTCCGTGGGCTTCAATTTTGCCCAACGCCTGTCATGTATTTTCTCTTTTGCATTGTCTACTATTCTACATGAAAGAGGAGGGAAAAGTAGGGATGGAACGGGATCTGTGAGCTCTTCTCCAAAGAGCGAGGAAAGAAAATACTTGGTGCGCGACTGCAAATTTTGGACAGTGACATCTACTCTACCTCTTATGTGATGACTGCAATGGGCATGGCTGTCTGGCATGACTTTACTTTTCTTTATTTTTGTTGCATTCCTGTCGATATCACCGGGGCCGGATCTCCTTCGGCATTTGCTTTTTCCTCGTGTGCTCAGCGCTGGCTTTTGACTTCTTTTCCGACATATTCCTAGATAGATAGATTAGATAGATTCTCACCTTATTTATTGTCTGCTCCCGTATGGTTAGGGAGAGAGAGACCATTCATTCTTCCCCAGCGAAGGATGTAGCATTCCACTCGTCCGAGTCCGAGATCGCAAGAAAATCACCTCTGTGCAAGTTTCCTGGCAGCGGTCGATCCCGCGGCGCGGGGCATCACATTCTCCCGGCTGGTCCGACCACCATTTTAGGCCGACAGGCGCAGCTCTAGCTTCAAAATTCCTCCGAGACGATGATGCCATCAACATTTGCTGGGCGCTCGCTTATTTGGCGGCCCTCGTCAGGATTGGCTGCTCTGAATAAACTATTAGCACTGCCCGGTGACAGTAGCGGATGGAAGGGAAGGTTGATCCCTGCCGCACGGACCGAAGGAATGGATTCAACACCAAGACGCGCGCCTTTCCTTTAGAGGGTCTTTGCACGATTTTTGCCTTGCGCTGTGCCTACTATCCACCTGATGATTCTTCGTCCCTCTCGATCCCTCCCCCCACGCATGACTTCCCCCTGATTGATGTACATACCCTTAGCCCGTTTTAGTAGGAGGCTATCCTGGACAAGGCTGACTTGGTAGTTTGCCCAGTACATCCGTGTGCGATGACGGACAGGACAGTAGCAGGCTTGGCTCTTCATACTGAACTATACCTTTAGAGGTGGCATGCCACGAGACAATAATAGAGAAAAGTGGATAGTTGCTGTCAGCCGCAGTATTGAAACTGGATGTTCAAGTAGTATATTGCGGTGTGCGATACCCCGTAGAGGTGCTATTCCCCGAATGAAACCAGATAATCTCGGCAGTGCCCGAGTTGGCAGGGAAATTAATGTCTCTACACTACTCATCGCAATCTAGAACCTTAACGCCTACGCGAATTTCACCCCGAAACTCAATCGAGAAAAAAAAAGTCTAGGTCCCATGCGTATCATTTCTAAAAGCAATCCATGTACCGCAGGTGCCCATCCTCGTTCTTGATACAGTCCGCCAGATTCACCTTATCCTCGCGGCAACCCCCGGTCCCATCGTTCAGCCGCGCATGCAGGATCGGCTCGTGGGTTGGGCCTTCGAGTTGGAGTTCCACACCTGCTGCGTGGTCTGCGAAGTTCTCAGCGCTCCATGTAAACTTGCCTACAACCCGGTCAGCCGTCCCTGGTTAGCTGATGATGCGTTTGTGGGAGGGGTAGGACTAATAGTAGTATAACAGGAGTAGTGAGTAATAGTGGTGTGTGTAATAGGAGTAGCGGGTGAGTGAGTGTGTGGGGTTAGCAGGGACAATAAAATAACCCTTACTGACCCTTCTTAGTCCCCAGGAACTTATTCAAATCCAGCTCCGAATAGGTCGCCTCCCCAGTCGGTCGACGGCAGTAGGCGCATAGAAGATGGTTGTTCTTGAGCTGGATGTCCATGGATGATTTGTGGAAGCCCATCGTTGCGGTTTTGGCACGCTGCGCTGCTCGAGACAGAGAGCGTGGCTGTCATTGCATTAAGAGGTAAGATAAGGAAGAAGGACAAAGACTCTCCGGTGATACACAATTCTTTGCCGTACGTTGGTCCTTGCCGTACGCTGGTCGGGAATTGCCCCTGATGACATCGCTATGGTGTCGCCGGGTATGCTGGTGGGCCATTCAGAGTGGCTGGTTGTGCAGGTGAATGGCGAGGTGAGAGGTGGTGGCTCTGCATCATGGTGCTCTCATCATGACTTTAGGGCTTGAGTGTATAACTTGTAGTTATTTTACATGCCTCCGAGCTTCTACTATTTCCTACGGGGAATCATGTTGAACTCAGGTTTGGAAGACAGTGGTGGTTCGATATAGTCGAGTAGTAGATCAAGAATAGTACTACTAGCAGATAGACGGGACTACTATTAGACACCGAAAGCATATCTTCGCCGACACCGGCTACTCGACGTACGGTTAAAGTTAGTTTTTTCTAAGCTATATTACTCCTTGGTGATGGGAGCTTGTACCACGGCAGTCCTTCACTGCCATCCAAGATCCAGCCCTCCCCTCAGCCATCCAGCCATCACCTCCGCCCACCGGCTCCCGTTTCCTAAATATAAAAACGGTGGCGTGCGGCTAAACCTACACCAAAGACTGTAGTCCATTGTCGAGGTACAGACCGGTGAGTCTTGCAGACTGCAGGGATTCGGCGTTTTGCAACTGCGCCCTGCACTCGAGCCCCTGCGTGTATGTGGATATCTCTGATCCCCGCTGCGTGTCGAATCTCGGGGATCAAACCAGACCACACCAGACCTCCGAACGAACGTTGGGCCGATCTCAACGACTTAGCTACCGGATCTTACCCAGCGATCACTGAAACTGGACCCAGCAGATCGGAAGATGTTAATTTGCTGCGGATCGGCGGGCCCAAGTCCGTCAATGGACCAAACAGACCCGCGCGTCTAGGATGGCCCTCTCTTGGCGGGTTAGAGTTGTGTAGTGCGGCCAGATCCCAAGGATCGCAGGATGAGCCGAGCGCTTTGTTTTACTCAGGCGTGGTGGTCGTTCACTAACTAGTACTAGTGAGCTTGTGGAACTACCCGACCATCATGGATTGTCTCACACGTCTGAAACGGCCAACCGAGAGCCAGTCGATCGTGGGTTTTAGCCCCCGCGCTAAACCCTTCGAGGCGCCATGTCGCGAGAAACGAGCAGACGGGATGAACCCGCAACGTTAATTAGCATCCCAGGCTGCGACCACGCCACGTGTGGGTGACAGGGATGCCCCAATGATGGCCTTCACCGACTCGGGCGTAGTGCTGGATGCTCGACACAGGAGCGCACCGGCCGCCATCCAGCGGTGACCTCCTCCAAGCCCTGGACCCCAATCTGGGTGACTATTCCCTAGCCCCTGGACCCTGCAGGACGGTTGGCAGGTCGGCATGGACAGTATGTATCCCCCTCTCCACGCGGTCCCCGTTCCAGCCCAATGGTTTAACTAGCTTCAGCGGTAGGGAAAATGATTTCCGCCGGAGTGGACGCCTGACACTTGTTTCGGTTGTATTTACCGAGTTCCCCCGGGTAGCAACGGTGACGCCGTTCTCTGCTGCTGGTGCTATCCAGGACGGAGTGCAATCCGCCCTAAACCCAACTTGGCATACAGTGTCTTGACGTCTCGATCCACAATCCAGGGTCCCGAGATCGCTGGCTGATGGATCCGCCTTGTCGGTTCAATCATCATCGCCAGGGATATGCTTTCTTCTTCCGCGATTCCGCCCCCCTCCCTTTCGCTGACATTCCTGTATCACCGACGCCTCACCCTGGTGCGTCAGGCGAATGGGGGCCCGGCTTCTGCAGAAAGAAGCAGAGTGTAATGAGCCCAGTCCCATCTGGGCAGACAAGGGTCTGGGCAACTATACCAAAAACAGCGGCTCCGGGTGTCCACTCTGACCCAAGGCAGACCAGATTCAGCCCCCAACGAGGCAAAGCGCTCTCGCCGTCGCTCCGGGACCCTGCTTGGTCCTTCCCAAACAACATTGCCCTCTCTGCAAGGCCGACCAACTCAAAACAACCCTAATCCCAGTCCCCACCTAAACCTTTGGAGGCAGGTGAAGGGCGCCCCGTCAAATTAGACTATGCTCCCTCCGGAGAGAATGACTGGGCCCAAGCCCTATGGTCTCCCGTCCCCCAGGCCTAGGGTGGCCTCCCAGCTGAAAGGGTCATCGAGGGCACAACTATGACTGTGACTCCCTTCCTCGCTCCCCCCTGCGCAGTGGGAACACAAGAAGAGAGGCTCAAAACCCTCGATCGTCACTGGGGCTTTTTCCCAGCAGCGCGGCCCCGTGAAGACTAATAGCCCCCCGTCGGATCCATCATCGCTCTCGGGCGATCGTCGTTTGGACTCTGACTCTGCGCCTCTTTCCCTCTCTCTCTCCTGGCACTTCTTCTCCCGCATTATTTCTTGGCCCCGACAGTCGCTTGCAGGGCTGATTCGTATTTCCCACGTGCTCTGATAGCGTCCAGGGGAATCTTCTCATGCGCGCTGCGGCTTTGGAATCTTATAAACATCATCGACTGCGCCAGCCGTTCCCCCACGCTGTGCCTGAGAATTTACTCTTCTTCCGTCACTTCTTGCTCCCCTCGATCTCCTCTGACAGACGCGGATTCACTGTGGAACCGAGTTGATCATCCCTCCAAAAATCCAAGATAGCCAAGATGCCTGGTCCAGGTGGTGGCCCTCCACGCAAGAGCCATACCAAGTCCCGTAACGGTTGCAAGACTTGCAAAAGGAGGCATATTCGATGCGATGAGACCTTTCCTCAATGGTACTATTGTCTTCTCTGATTGTCAGCTGCGTAACTAGCTAACCCGTACCCTGTTAGCCGCAACTGCACCAAGCACAACTGCCGCTGTGACTACCAAGATGTCGCCGCCGCGCAGGGAAGCCCACCAGCCTCCACAACACGCGGGCCCGACCTGCTCATGTCGCCCGAGATCGAAATGGAAATCGACAACTGGCATCGCACCGGCGTCCCCCCATACCCTGAACTGATCCAGTGTCCTCGCTCCGGCTGGTCAGGCTTGTCCAAGGCGGACCTGCGCTTGATCCATCATATCATCGGTCTCTCGATCGACCTCCACCGACGTGGCCTAGCTGGCTGCACGGTGTGGGCACAGAAGATGCCCAAGTAAGTGGCTGCTTTGTGTGACATCGTGTCCCTCATTATTAATGGTCGATCAGTCTCTTGGCCATCTCGCTGTCGTATGATTTTGTGATGAGCTCGATCCTAGCCCTCTCGGCGTTCCATCTTGCGTTCATCACTCGAGATCAAGAAACCAGGCAACTGGCCTATCACCACCGGGGAATCGCTCTCCAGGGTCTTCAAACCGCTCTCGGATCATTCTCCAAGGAAAATTGCGACGCCATCCTGGCGGCCTCCATCCTCTTGTTATGGTTGGCGGGTGATCAGTGAGTGTTACTTTCTTGTATGGTCGGGCTCTCACTAATACCTTTCAAGTCAAAGCTGGGCGTCCCTCCAACAAGGAATTTCGACCGTGCTCGAATCCATGCACCCATTTTGGAGGCAGCAGTCGGAGCTGGCGCGGTTCGTGGAGGATCAGCGAGCACTGAACATTACAGACGTCTCACCAGGGGCCAGCGAGTACCAGCCCATAGAAGAAGAGATGGTACAGCTGGACCAGACAATCCAAGCACTCAAGCTCACTAAAAAGCGCGTCTCGCACAACCTCGAACACTCACAGCGGCTGGGCGAGCTGCTTGATTTCCTAGAAAAGTTCCGCGAAGATCTCCCCACCCAGACCCCCGAACAATCATTCGAGCGAAGCATAGTCCTGCGCCGGTGGCTATTCTGGCTTCCACCATCTATGCTCCGCGGCGGCGACTCCGAGGTCACCGCGCTAGCAATCATCTCCCAGTTCTTCGCCGTCGGGATCACGCTCGACCGTTTCTTCCCCGAAATGGGCGGTGCCTATCTAGGCTCCCTCTCTGTCGGACCCATTGAGGAGATGTACCGCATCATCGTCGCCCACAGCGCCACAGATCCCTTCAGCGCCGACCTCCGTCTAGCACTGACTCTAATGGATATGCCCCGTCGCGCCGTCGCCCGATATCGCAGCCGCTTGTCCTGGTCACCACAGGGTTCCACCGGGGAGCACTACTCACCCAGTCCGTCAAGCCCCTACCTGCACGCTCTGCATGACTACCCTCTCGCTTCATCTTCCTCACCCGTTTCCGCATCCCCCTCACACGCCGCCTACACGCCCCCACTCCAGTCGCCGCCCGCCGTCACGGTCGCTGGCTCACCGTTCCATTTATCAGATGGTGGCTACATCACCGCCGCTCCCTCGCATCATTCTCTTTACCCTCCCTCCCCACAACTCCAGCTCGACACCAGCGATGCACAGCTGGGTCTGCCGGGACTGGGCCATCATGCCGGCTCCATCTCGCCCTCGTCAGCATTTACCCCTCCCTACGCGGACGATAATCTCTGCGCTGACATGCCACGCGCAGACGGCACTCTGGGGTTGAATATGATTTATCCACATCCGCAGACACATGCCTTTGAAATCCCCGGTCTGGTTGCGCCAGAGTCGTGCTGGACATGAGTTGCTTCTTTTGTTTTCTCGCAAGTTATGAAAAATATCGGGGCGTGACTTATTATGGAGTACCTGATAGGACAGCTCCATCTCTGCCTCCTTCACTTGTTCTCTACGGAACTGTTTCTGTATACTGACTTTGTTTATTTATGAGTTGGATCTTTTTGTCTTTTCTTTTTTGTTTGCTTTCGGATTGAGCATGAGCGTTGGTGTGTGAAATTTTGATTTTGATTGGTCTGTTTTGTTTGTCCGCCGCAAACCCAAGAAATGGCTCGACATCGAGAGCCGGTGATATACCCAGACCTTCCTTTTTTTTGTCTTTTGGAGGCTTGTTCGGAAACCTAGTACCTAGTACTCTCTGAGATAATGTCGTGTAATGAACGGATCAGATTGAATCCGAGTGCATACAGTTAGTACTATACCACTGTATAGTATGACGTATAAGTCCTAGAGTCAGTCTACTCCCAAAATAAACACTAGCTCTAACGACAACATTATTCTCTCGCATGGAATGGTCTAAGGACAAGATAGGTCTGTTTTCCGTTCAGATCCCCGGGAAGACGGACCGAAAACATGTCTACGCATACTACGAGTAGACACAACCGCAGTCACAACAACGCCAGTCCCCACTATCTGATTTAGTGACGAAACGACCTCACATCCCACCGGTCCACCGGTCCGGCCTCCGGAACTGAGAACCTGAAACTAATAGAATAAGAAGGCTGTGCAGTTTCATGCATGCGGGGTCGATGGATCGTCATGGACGTGCGTGCAGCTACATCTGGCTGAGTGCATTAGTCAGGACAAGTCAAAAAAATAGTAGCGTCGGCATATTTATTCCTTTTATTACTGCAGGATGCGGATGAAGGTGGCGATGCAAGGCGTATCGTCACTTCTTTTTTCCGTCTTGATTAGCAAGCATGTCCTGAACATGTAGTTCACATGCGTAGAACTTCGCAGGGGGTGACCGACTTGCTGCTGCTTTGGGGTTTCTACATTTGTGTATCGGGCTGTGCAGAAAGCAACCTGTTTACAGTATGGAGAGCTTATCTCCTGCGATTATTAGGGTTCTTCGTATGACGATTGAGCATGCTTGATTTGAAGTATGTTTTTAGTAGATTTGATTTTGCCTGAAGTTGTGGTTTGTATGAGCATTTTGGACTTTGATATCTTCGGAACCCACGAGAAAAGGTGTAATTCTGCCAACAAATAGGGTAACCTGAGAGGTTTATGAAAATATCAATTCCATCATAATTTGATTGTCCAGCGTCATGAATCTGGCACGGAGATCCGGTGATAGTTAAACCTAAAGATCACATTCTGACCTATTCCATTTTCCGTGTAACCACGTCCTCAAACCTATCGCATTCTTCAAGTTAAATACTTAGGACTGAGCGGAAACCCCTTGAAATAGCTCTGCTCATGTCCAAGCAGAATTCTTCCTTTCTTGATATTGACAAGATGCTTCACATAGTCCCAACTGCGATGCCACGCAGCATAGTCACGCATCAGAGATCCCTGAGGCCGTCCGTCTTCCCAATTTTCTTTTACATGAAAGAGATCCCCCGTCATAACAACAGACCCTGACTCCTGAAGCATGAGCTCCATGGAAATAGACCCAAGGGTGTGGCCGGGGGTATGGTGCAGTGTGATCCCAGACCAACTCTCAAACGTCTCTCTATTGAATGTCTTCCAGTTGAACCGGTCGGGCTGTAAATAGTGAGGCACGTATAGGTCTCGATCGATACCCGTCGCACAAGCCCAGAAAGCATATTTCAATTCTTCCTCATGGCACCAGATCTCAACATCTGAGTCAATGAAATGCTCCAACCCACCGGCATGGTCATTGTGGAGATGGCTAAGCACGACAGCCTTGACGTCGCGAATAGTCCCCGCACCCGTAGCGGCGATAGCCTCGGGCAGGCCGTGGGTACTCTTGTCCCAGATTCGAGGAGTGCACTCGTTCAACTGGGGCTTCCAGTTGGTGATGACATCTTCGCAGCTGCCAGAGTCAAAGAGGATCAGGCCTACGTCGGGGTGATGGATAAGGCCTGCGATCATGACCAGCTCGCGGCGGTCGTGCTTTTGAGGCGGGAGGTGAGGTGCCCATACATTGGCGCCTGTTATGAGGGCTGATGCATCGACGTCGAGGTATCCAAGGTTGAGAAGCTATCAGACGTCAGAATAATGGACGTGCATATAGTAAAGCTTGGCGTTCATACCCAGAGCTTTGAACCTGGAGGTAAGGTTGTGGCCATTTTTGATAGCTGGGTTGCACGTGGAATCGAGCAATAATGTTTTGCACTTGGTCAACTTGACCGATTTGGGAGACCCCGCCTTGGGGAGTGTGTTGACGACGTTGGACTAGCGTTTCGGTATACCCGAGGTTAGTTAGGGTTATCGATGATCAACATTTAGCAAGCCCATGGCCTTGCTCATACATATTCAAACACCTTCAACTACTTTATCAGTCCATTCACCATAACTAACGATCCAAACATGCTCTTCACTATTAACATTCACTTGATTCCATACGTCTCAATCAGGTATAGTGCAAACAAGCGGGCAGAATGACACCGCCCTCACTACAATGACATAACTGGCTGCAAGCTCCAGCCTGAGGAACACTCGGACAATCCCATCGAGCAATTGCCCTGCACACCCACGAAAATGGCTGATACTGGTGGCTGGAGCACCATCGAGTCAGACGAGGTATGTCATTTTTAACCCATGAGTACCGAAATCGACCCAGCAACCCCCCAGCTAATTCCACACAGGGTGTTTTCACCTCGCTGATCGAGACGCTGGGCGTGCAAGACGTGCAATTCGAAGAGCTGATCTCTCTCGATGCCGACACAATCCGTTCTTTAGGGTATGTACTTACATTCCTCCCCCTCCCCATCAACATATCAAGAGACAGGCGGCCAACTAACCCCCACTTCCAGCCCCGTCTACGGTGTAATCTTCCTCTTCAAATGGACCCGCGAAGCAGCCGGCGCCCGCCAGGAAGCACCCATAGACGGTCGCTACGACACAAGCGCAATCGACAACACCAACCTCTTCTTCGCAGCGCAAACCATCCAAAACGCCTGCGGCACACAGGCCATCCTCTCCATCATCCTAAACCAAGACCACCCGCCAGCCCCCCTTCCTGCGATCTCGCTCGGCACAGAGCTAAGCTCCTTCAAAGAATTCACAACGGGATTCCCACCCGAGCTGCGCGGCGAGGCGCTCTCCAACTCGGAAGCGATCCGCAGCGCGCATAACACCTTCTCGCGCGCGAGCCCCTTCGCCGATGAGACGGCCCGGCCGCAGGACGAGGAGAATGCCGCAGACGTGTATCATTTCATTGCGTACACGCCTGTGAACGGGACGCTCTACGAGCTGGATGGACTGCAGCCGCATCCCATTAGCCATGGGGCCTGTGATCTGGCTTCGTTCCCGGAGACGGTGAGCGAGGTTCTCCAGCGCCGCATTGCGCGGTATCCGCCTGAAGAAACGCATTTCAATCTTATGGCGGTTGTGCGCGATCCGAGGATTGCGGCGCGCGAGATTGGTGATGCGGATACTCTTGCGCGGGAGGAGAGGAAGCGCGCTGCGTGGGCGTGGGAGAATACCCTGCGCAGGTGGAACTTTGTTGGGTTTATTGGGGAGATGATGAAGGGTGTTGTTGCTGAGAAGGAGAAGGCGGCACCAGATGGGAGGGCGTATGAAGAGTGGGTGGCGGCGGCTAAGGAGACGCGCAAGAAGTTGGAGATGCGTCGGTAGCCTTTTGGTTCGGTCGTTTTTCCTTTCTGTCGTGTCGTTTTTTCATGACCTCTTCATTCTTGATGCATCGCATGCTTACCTCGCCTCTGACGATATCCATGGATACCCACCCCCTTGTGATAGGCCTACGTCAATTCTTACTTTCTATACTTGTCTTCTGGGAAAGTGGTTTATGAAACATTGAATACACTATCATCAAGGTAGAGAGATACGTAAGTTGCTATATACAGCCATCCACATCGTAAACTCATCAACATGAACCTCAATAGTCCAGCATCCGCGATTTGATATGTTCAATCATCGGTGCAGGAAGCTCCTCCTTATTGACAAGGCCCAGCGCCAGCATATCAGACCAGAAGAACATGGCGCGGTCCTGCGCGTAGGCAAGATAATCAAACTCTTCTTCCTCGTCGACATCCCCATCCACGGCGGGCGTCTTGGCGCCATTTTCGTGGTCATCGCCATTCGCGTGGCTATTGTGTGCGTCGTGCGCGTCTGATTCAGCCGCCGCCATTTCGGCGATGCCTTCCTCCATACCCGGCGCTTTGGCCTGGACAATACCCCAGGCCACCCACTGCGCGGAGTTCATCACGCGCCACAGACGGGTGAAGTGCAGGAGATGTCGCACCTCTGCATCCAATTCATCCTGGGTTGAAAACTCTGCGTGCAGTTGCTGCGCGCCGAGTCCGTCAGGCCCCTCGTCGAGAGAAAGCGGTGTGATGTTCGTGGCGGTACGCGCGCGAATAGATGGAGTCCCCAATGGGGAGCCGGGAATAGCGGGACGATGGGTAAGATAGGCCGATACAAATCGGTACTGCTCCTCCGGCGTGGGATACATGCGGTTGCTGCAGGCCCACGACCGTTCCTCGTCGTGGTAATTGTAGCACCATTCAGTGAAGTGATTCGCAAATTCGAGAGTGGGCGTATTAGCGGATGAGTATTCGAAGTCGATGACGACGAGTTGTTTATGCTCATTGGCCGGTAAGAGCAGCGGCGACTCCGTGGCAGGCTCCAAGCGAAGAAGGTTGCCATATTGGGTCTGGAGGAAAAGTTAGTACATGAGATCTGGCGATGGAGTGGAGATACGCACATCATTGTGGGCAAACACCAGCTGCTGCTTGATTTCTTCGATTCCGCCGCAGCTGGCAATCAACCAAATCCGATAGCTATCCACGGCTTTGCGGAACACCGCCCAGGGCACGCCGCACACGAAGCCGCGCCGACGCCACGGTTCCAAAGCGGCTTTGGCCTCATTGTGCGAAGACATGATCTCCTTGTCTAGCCACGTGGTGACCTGTTCGCAGCGATCCACCCACTTATCCCAGTTCTTGAAGATCATGGGGCCGCCTTCTCTTTCCTCCGGAAGAAGCTTGATGCCATCATGCAGCTCTCTCATGCGCTTGGCGATCTGCTTGGCCGTTTCAGGAATACGCAGTTCCCGCGGGGTCAGCGGGCGAGCTTCGAAGTACTCTTCAAATCGGCCGTTGATGAAAGTCCCCAGCACACGAGGGCCAATATTCTTGCGCCCAAGTCGGCGCAGAATCTGTAGTTCCTGCTCTCGATCAATGAGGTGATCAACCTGAGGACCATACACGCGCAGGAGCAGCTTCGGCGGAGGTTTCCTCGGAGCCAGCGCCGCAGATCCATTCTCGGACCTTGGGGCAGGGACAAGTTTCGGTGGATGGACCACGTACACGGCGTTCGTCAGAGCGCCACTAAGCCGGATCACTTCAATCTCCGCCGCAGCGTCCATGGAGACTTTACGCCATCCTTTAAGCTGCAGCGTATGCGCAAGGCGAACGATCTCGGTCTTGAAAGTGACCCAAGCTTCTCGGTCCGCGGCGGGTTTCTCACTTGCAGCATCGTCTTCCTCTGCTGCAGTGCCACCAGTGTAGGTGAGGGTCTTTGAATTGTCGAGAGCCGCATCCACACTAGGGACGGCGGCCTCAACATCGGTAGTATCAGACTCCGACGCCGACCCTCTTCGCAAACCCTTGTGACGGCGACGGTATGACCGCCGAGCGGACTGAACGTGGCCCACAGCGGTTCCATACCGCGAGTTGCCATACTGCACAAGAATTTTCTCCAGTTTTTCCAGGGAGAAAGAGCTTTCCGAAGGCACATGGTTGGACCCCTCTACCGGGCCATCGACATCTGCAGGAGCATCCTCTTGCACGCCTAGCTCGGCTGATTTGCGCGCTTTGCGGGTCTTCCGTCTTGCTTTCTCGTGCTGCAGCCAATCGTACACCTGTTGAAACAGACCGGACTGAGGGTCCTCCTCCGACTTGGTCAAGTCCTCCGTGGAAGCATCCGGCTTGACGCTCGACTGGGTCGATAGGGACGGCATGACCGATGGTGAATAATGTGGTGGTCGCGCGGTCACTTTTTTGGCGACGGAAGGAGCACGGGGCACTTTCCACAATGTTCCGTCTGGTGGGGAGCCGGCAATATTGGTCCCACTTGCGCGCACACACTTTCGTAGCGAAGGAATATGCAACCCCGTTCCCCGAATAGACGGAGAATCTGTTTAGGATTAGCAACAGGAATCCGATATATGAAGTGTATAGGAAGTGTGCCACATGGTCAAAGCAGGGTGGGATCAAGCCTGATAGCTCCCCCTGATAGGGGGCAAGATCGGTTGATCCTTACGTGGGGCAAATTCAGGAATGCGGAAAATCGATATCTATGTGCCGAGGGCTGATAAGACAAACTAGAAAAACGAGACAACCTACCTGCTAGTTCGGGGCCGGGGTTATCATTGTCTTCGGCGAAGGATGGCATGTGCAAATGAGATAGCCCGAGGGCCAGCAAATTCGAGGACCTGGGAGAGCTTCACGGGGGGCACGAAGACCAGATGCGCGAGAACTCTTTCCTTCCCGTACAGGTTTCAGGGAAAAAGCAAAGGGATCAGGCAGCAAAGATGAGGCAATCGTGGAGGTGGGGGATGATGTCGGGCCCAGAAAAGGAACGACGGAAACGTCCCAGAGGTCAGGACCACTAGTCGAATAGGCCAAACTCAGTCCAGGCTTTGCACAATAATGGAACAAGCTAGAGACGCGCATAAGCTCATGCAATACTCTGCGACCACAAAAAAAGAGCAGAGAGCAATGCGACTGCAAAATGACATAAATATTCCAGTGGCAAAAAGTTTGCGGTAGGGGCTTATCGGTCAGGTGACCTGTGATTGATGCCTGGCGGATATGGCATATTGTCCCCGCCTGGCGGAACCCGGGGAAGGGAGGCGCGACACGGTCCCCTCATACATAGTTGCAATCACCTATTGCCGGAGAAAGGATGTGGGAGGCACACGACCACTTACGCGTCGGGGTCTGGTGGCGTCGTACTCCGGTCCCAGTCGGGATAGACAATGTGGTCGCAAAGGGATATGAATTCATATCAGCAGTATGTTGTCGCGCCTGGAAACGGGTCGTCCATACGGTAATTGTACACATCGATACATCGTACACAGAGAGAGAGAGAGTAGGTCGCAGATGGCATGGTTTGTTGCATGTGGGGTGATAAGTGTTTGGATGGGTTTTCTTTGGCGCCATGGGTTGCGCTGGACCACTGCTGGGCCAGATAGTAGCTCGCTGGTTCAGATGAGAATCGGCTAAAGCAAACATGATCACGAGTCACGAGAGGGGCCGTGTTAGGTGTCTTACAGACCGAATACCCTGGCAGACGGAATAATATATTCGATTCTGGACAGGGATGAAGAGTAGAAGTTGGGAGGGGAGACGTTGGGCAGAGAGAGTAAAGACAGAGAGGGAGGGGATGTAAGTTACGGTTGTCAGGGAGTGGTAAAAGTGGTATTGATGCCTGAAAATTATGGTGATCGCGTGATGCACGCCAGCCCTACTGAGTATTGACCAGCGCCGGCAGTCGCACGGATCGTTGGGAAATCCAGATTGACCCGTCAATGTTCAGAGCGCGGAGTGTATAATTCAACCACGGCTGTGGCTCCCCGTGTTCGTCTTCCTGTGACGAGACCATGAATCCGTCGATGCGCTCACGAGCAGTCGGGACCCGGCCAGGCCGTCGCAGCAGATCCTCTATTGACACGATATCGTCTAGCGATATCGTCGAGTCTTCCTCTAAGGCGATGATTATAGCCACGAGCCGAGAGGTAGGAGTGCACATATACAAGCCCTGCACGACCGGGGCTTGCAGCAGAAACCGCAATGCCTGGCGTCGCAGCAGGGGCGTGCGACATTTAAGCGCCGTGATGAAAAGAGGAAGGTAGATTCCCATTTCAAAAGTAAATGATGGTTGTCTGCCGTCTGGGTAGCATGTTGACGCGATCGCGGCGGGAGCGTAACCGAGGATCTGGATGAACTCGGCCTCGTACTGGTCGAATGTGGTCTGACAGGGGTTCAAGCAGGCCCTGATTTCGACCAAGATGCTGAGGTAGGTCATGAGAAGGGTTGCAGTGGCACCGTCGATATTACCGGTACTTTGTTGAACGGGCTGGAGAGAGGTGAGAAGCTCGTACCAAACCTGCAGCTGCTGGAGCAGATGTTCTTGTCGCAGTATGAGAGCTGGCGAGTTTCGTAGGCGATCATCAATACATTCATGCCAATGATCCTTAACATCGGTATTGAGTACCTTGAATTCTGCAACAAGACCGCAAAGGACATTTCGGGCCTCCCCCAACGAGGTGAATTGTTCCGTCATACTATCCAGCCCAGGGATCCAACTATCATCACGAACGCCTTGAATAATGAGCACCCAGGTACTCAGGCGCTGGAAAAGATGCCTAACCGTGGACAAGAGTGGTGACGATGTCATTTGACCACCTGCTGCCATGCCACTGGTCATAATCTGCGCCCCCCGTTGATACAATGTCATGGCAGCATTGCGATTCCCTTGCAAGAGTTCAATGGCAATGAACAAGATACAGCTGATCATCGACACCGTAAAATCCGCCATGCCGCTCTCGATCCGCTGCCGCAAGGCAGCCAGTGAGCGCGAATACCAGACCAGGGCATCATGATGATAGCTATGCCGCACTGCAGCCGGACTTTTCAGCAGTGAAAAGGGAGGTGCTTCGCGAACGGGAGGGCGCTCATAAAGCGCACTCAGCGCGATCACCGCATCCCACACTGCCGGCTCCAGGCGACAGATTTGCAGAACGGAACCACTCCAGAAACCGAGGTCTAAGACCCCCGAGAGAGCTGGACCGGCTTGGTGGAAGTAGTACTCAAATGCGCGCCGTTCGGGATGTGAAGACTGCCCATAGTTGTCTAGCCGGGGCAAAGTCTGGACGCTGGCTGCGGGCTGGGCGCGGTAAAAACAGCGCCGACCTGTGCTGGTACAGCGCAGACAAAACGGTCGCTCCTCGCCACACCGAACACGGCGAATCCTGGGAGAATCATGTAAGTTATTCTGCCAAGACGATGCAGGGAGTGGGGGTAGCTCGTCAAGCTTACTTGCAGGTATCGCAGCCTGTTCTGGACTTGGTGCTGCCAACCCGGCCGGACTCTTTGCGGGGTGTCGTCATGCCAAGGGCGAGATCAAGGCGATTATAGCCTCTATCGACTCTCAAATTTCATTGTCGGGTCGTGTTGTATCTCCCCTTGCTGCCCCATAAAGGGTAGTTGTGAGAGAAAGAATTAAAAGAGCGGAGTAGTGGGTCGGCGGTCAAGTACATTCGGAAATAAGCGCGTCTCCGGCTGGTGTTGTTGGGGCGAAATCGTCCACTCTTCTTCCTGCAGGGTCTCAGGTACACTTCAGTTACTCATTTGCCAACTCGGACATGAGGCTAGCTGTGGCAAGAGATCAGCAGGTCTCATCCTCGTTGGCATCAATCACTCCACCCCGACGCCAAGCAACGAAATAACCGATGGTCCAGCAGTGGAGTGAGTGAGACACGATCAGCCACTGTGAGAGATACGATTTTGCAAAGTTTAGTTAAATTTAGGGTCTTGGATCTCTGGAGGAGGCGGAGGAGGACCCTACGGATACAGTAGTCATAAACTATATAAGAGGCTTTCTTCCACTCCGATTTAAACTGCTCCCCCAACAGCCATTCCACTTTTCTCATTCTAAAATCCTCAAAATGAAGCTCTCAGCAACACTCCTAACCTCCATCCTAGTTACCAGCGCCGCTGCCTTCGACAAATGGCAGCGTAAGTACCCCCTCCCACCCCGATACATAGTCCACTTCCCCGAACACACACTAACCATGATCAATCAGCATGGGGCAAACGCGACTACGCCTGCGTAAACGTCTACCAAGGAATCCCAGACCACTCCACCGTTAAGGCGGGCCAAACAATCCACCTCCGTTTCAACCGAGAACCAACGACGCACTGCTCGGACCCGCTGAACAAATACCCCGGCGACGAGTACAGCGTGTGGCTGTACAACAACCCTGTGCGCCACCTGGATACCATCTCGTTTGACCAGTCTATCAAGATTGTCACTGGGATCCGCGAGGCTGACGGTGCGGTGGCGGTGAAAATTCCGGAGCATTTGCCGAGGGTTAAGAATGGCGATGCTTGGTATTTGAGGTTGGATACTGACCTGTCCACGGCGCCACAGGTATGTATTTTTTTCTAAGTTTTTAATTTGCGGACTGGTGTTGACTTTTGTTGGGATAGATGCCTACGATTTATAATGCTGCGGGACCGTTTACCATCAAGGCTGCGTAGATGTGTCTGGGATGTTGATGCTGATTGCAAATCGGACGTCGTATAGACCAATACCGGCGAGACAGAAATTACATGCATACAGCCCCAGGTTGTGCAAACTCGACTACAACAAGTCTGCAAATTGCTGAGAAAGAATTTATCACAATCACAGCCTCATAGCATCAAATTAGGGTATCATAAAATATGTATTGACTCTAACTAGTCACCTCTTCACTTGCTATGTGCATGCAACACTGTAAACATGCCTTCTATATATGCAACACTCGGCAGAAGACGCTACTAAGTACTCCCTCACTTAATCCCGATAGGACACACTCCACACTGCGAAGCCATTCGCGGGCACGTTGTGCGTCTGAGACACACTCAGAGACCCGCCCTGGGAGACATCGATATACGCACTGCCCGCGACATACTGCAGAGAATAGCCCTGGCCAGCGCCAAGGAAAGTCACTTTCACCTCCGCAGCATTGGACGACTGGTCACTGGGAAGCAGCTTGCCACCGGCTCCAAGCCAGCGGCCATCCAGTGCACTCGAGATGGTGAACTGCTGGCTCTCCTCATCGCTGTTGTAGTGAATCACCCAGCGCTGGGACTTGGCGCCGTGGTTGGAAGTCGCAGGGCTGCTAGACAGATTATCACCCCGGCCCGGGTTCGTCAGAGCGGACCCGCCCTTCTCAAAAGTCAGATAGCGGCCTTCGGTGAGGTAGCCCACGACCTGCTTGTAGCCTTCTTCGAACCAGAGGGAAGACTCCTCATCACCCTGCTCGCCGTATGGAACAGGAGGGCGCTGCGAAGAATACTTGGCCTGGCATTGAGCCGAGCCAACGTAGGTACCCTTGCTGTTCGTCACGGGGGTCGCAGCGACGGGAATGTTGGGAAGAGAGTAGTCCGGGTTGTCGAAGTCGAATGCATTCAGCAGATTGGACATGTGGGCACGTCGCCACGGTACCATCTCATTTGTCACGACGTTCTTGTAGCCACGAGCTTCCAACCACTGCTCCACGAACAAGATCTGGGAATTGTGGTCTGCGCGCTCGGTAAAGACCTTGCCCCCACGGGTCCACGGGGAGATCAAGTAGAAGGGCACCCGGAAGCCAGGCCCCACGAAGATATCACCAAACATGCCCAACGGATCCTCCATCCAGTCGCCAGGCGTGTCCTTGGGAGAATGAAATGGAGTGACGTGATCGCCCCAGCCGCCCGTCTCTGGATTGGTGTTAGGAAACTTCTCTCGAGCCGAGGGTTGGATGGGTTCTTACCGTCGTAACTGATGATCAACAGTGTGTTATTGTATTTGGGGCTGTTGATAACCGCGTTGGCCACTTGCTGCTGCAGCCAGCCGCCGTCCTTGGGCTGGTACGGCGGGTGCTCAGACAGTTCCATGGGACCAACGATGAAGCTGACTTCGGGCAGCGTTCCATTGCCAGCTCGGTTGTAGAAGTCATCCAGTCCAACGTAGGACATGCCTCGCTGGGTGAGCGGAGAATCCTTCGAAGCGTTCTGGTACTGCTGGAACCAGGCCAGCGGGTTGTCGTCAAAGTTGTCCTTGCCCTGGAAGAGCTGCCAGTCGACTCCAGCATCCTGGTAAAACTCGTAGATGGTCTTCCACTTGAGCGGGTAGCAATTGACATCTTTGCTCTCGCAGCCTGATCTATTGTTAGACGCCTGCACAATCCTAGACACAAGGCTCGCTCACCTGGCACCTCATTGTTGTCAATATATACTCCACCCTGATCCGGGGTCTGCGGGCCACCCGCGACGTTTATGGAGCCGCTAACTAGCGTGACACGATTAGGGTTGGTTGCGGTGATTTGACTCTCCTGATACATGTCGCCTGAGGTCCAGCCCTCTGCCAGAGCGAATTGAACGGGGATATCCTGCCGTCTAAGATGGCCCCAGCTCCAGGGGGTGTTGTTCCGCGCCCACATATTGTTCAGCTCGTGGTTGAGGGCTGCCTGGTTGGCCTGGTAGCCGTTGTCACCGGCCGCCATGCACTGAATAGCATCAGACCAGCTGCCACCCTTGTAACCTAGGTAGAAAGGCAGCAAGAAAGTGGCATTGCTGGACATGCTCGAATCGACGTATCTTAGTTTCGCGTTAGAATGTTTTCACCAATAGGTGCTACAACACCACTCACTGATACCACACGGATGTCCCGTCTGCATTCACCTGAACATTCGGGTCCTGGAAGCCGCGGACTCCAGCCATAGTCCCAAAGTACTGATATCATTAGCTTGGATCTATCATCTTCCGAAAGTAACACGTACGCTGTCGAACGCGCGGTTCTCCTGCATGAAGATAACCACATGCTCAATGTCCTGGAGAGAGTCTCCGAAGACTGGAGTGCTGGTCAACAGCACTGCCAGCGCAGTCGCCAGCATCGACCGTGTAATTGGAGCCATGAAATCACAACCGAGACGAAGGATGGGGGGGGCGAATGAGACTATAGAAGGAAGGAGGAGGCCAGCAGTACTTTAAGTAAAGCCACATCTTTCATCCAACTCTCGCGTCTCCCCACCGTTTCGAACCACTATGTGATCGAGATGCTCGCACGGTCCTAATTTCCAGGATTGGCAACATTCCCAACAGGGTCCGTCCTTGCTAAAGATTCGTCGCGGAGAGAAGCAAAAAGGGGCCAGTGGGGCGCATCCATCGTGCATGCCCCATGTCGATGAATCATGATCGAATGCGACAGCACCAATGGTCTTTCCACGTTGACAATTGCGCTGGGTCGCGTCTATCCGCCGGGTCCGATCGGAAGTCGAACATTGTTGATGCAAAGGCAGCTGCACCTGCAGGTTTCAAATCAGTGAAGGTGCCAGGGGCACGTGGGGTCGCATCCCCTGCATCGATCCACTCAAGTTGATAATTCCCCTCGCTTCAAGGTGATCGGCAAGGGAACGGTGACATGCAGAAGTGTGACGAGAAAGCGGCGCGTCGCACCTAACTACTCTCCGTCCGCCATGGAGAGCAGGCGTCGGAGAACCCCCCGACCGGAGGACCAGATGCGACGACCGCGCGAGAAGCTGGAAAATCAACAGAAACGCCCTGAACAATATCGGCCATGGCCTATTCTGGGCTGGGCGTTAGTCGCGTGCGCCTTGATTGTGTTGGCATATCTTCAAGGACCGGGGGAATTCTCGCTCGACCGTTTAATCTCGCCCATTCAACATCCACATCGCCCTGGACCTGAACCCGATAACGCAGCTGCTCTCCGCCCTCGAATTGAGCTTCACCCAGAGGAGCATACCTCCCGTCCAGCCGGAACACAGCATCGGGATTGGCGCATCAGTTCGGGGAACCGAAGGCCAGATGGTGTGTTGAAGCCGGTCTATCTGATAAACGGTGAGCGGGACTGTCCTACCCCGGGTAAGAGCAACCAACTGACCGAGACGGGCACGAGCAAAAGACCTATTTCCAGGCCCAACAATCGAGGCTCGCTCTGGCGATACTCTGGTCATTACCGTTACCAATGAATTGCAAGAGGAGTCAATTGCCTTACACTGGCACGGTCTCCATGTAGCCAGTGAGTTTATTTAAAGTTGAGACATACGAGATATACGAGCCACCCGCGGCTAATCCCGCACAGATGCCATGGATGGCGCGGCGGGGGTATCACAGTGTACCATCCCTCCCGGAGGCCAGTTCGTCTATAATGTCACCATCCCCCCAGACCAAAGCGGCACGTTTTGGTATCACGCGCACTCGGGAACCTTGAGAGCGGACGGCTTGTATGGCGGTCTGGTGGTTCATGCTCCGGCCCCCAAGTCTACTGTTCGGGGGCTGATTTCCCGTGAACGTGGCCGTGGCGAGTCGAGCTACGATAAGGAGCTTCTGCTTCTCATTGGGGATTGGTATCATCGGCGATCTGGTGACGTTCTTGCTTGGTATCAGAACCCAGGCAATAATGGAAATGAAGTACGCTATATTCGCCGTTCCTCTCCGTTTCTCCCATTGTTTAACATTGTCTCTAGCCTGTTCCTGACTCCCTCTTGGTCAATGGAGTGGGCCATTTTGACTGTTCTATGGCCGTGCCTGCTCGTCCGCTGGACTGCGTGACCCAATGGGTCAATTCATCGTTCCTGGACCTTGAACCGGGCCCGAAGTACCGGATCCGCGTTGTCAACACTGGGTGTGTATCATACCTCACCCGGGGACTTATTTAACTAACGCGCGTGACAGTGCACTGGCTGGGATATCCCTCACATTCGACCAAGAGCATTTAGACCTCATACAGCTTGATAGCACCGACACGGCGCGCTCTGAGCAGAAAGATGCTAACTCGATTGGCATTCTATACCCCGGCCAACGCATGGACTTTATCCTTCACTCGTCACCCAAAGCCTCGAAACAATCGTCTATAATGATTTCCCTAGACGAAGAGTATGAATGCCCACACCTTCATAACACAAACCCATATCACTAACAAACCACCCAGATGCTTCAAATACATCAACCCAGCTCTGACACCCGAACAAACCTTCCTAATAAATTACCTCCCCTCATCCTCATCCCCCGAATCCGAGGCAAAGGGTAAAAAATCCGAACCCACCATCCGCAACACCATCAACCTCGACGACATCCCATCCTCCCCCTCAGTCCTCAAAAACCTCCCTCCAAAGGCCCAGGAGACGCACGTCGTCTACACGAAGATCCAAAAAATGGCCCGCAACTCCAATATGCCATTCGGATATTTCAACCATACGTCCTGGCGGACACAGCAAGATCCCCGCGTGCCGCTGATCGCTCTGCCACGGAGTCAATGGGATGAGAATCAGTTCTCGATTACGACTGGAAAGGAGACGCAGTGGGTGGACCTTGTTGTGAATAATCTAGATGAGGGACCACATCCTTTTCACTTGGTTAGTACATTCTCTCCGTCTCTCCCATTAGTCTTATATACCTATATACCTTACCCAACCTACGCTATAAAATTCTGGCTTTATCATACTAACATTCCCCCAGCACGGCCACCACTTCTACATCCTAACGATCCAAGAAGCGACATTCGGCTGGGGCTCCTACAACCCCTTCGTTGACGACTACCCACCAGGCCTAGAACCCGACGAAACTACAGACAACACACACACAAATACCTCCCAAGAACAACCCTACGATCTCACCCGCGCATCCCTCCGCGACACAGTCCAGATCCCGAGCCGCGGGTACGCTGTGCTGCGTTTTCGCGCGGATAACCCGGGCGTGTGGATGCTGCATTGCCATATTCTGTGGCATCTTGCGACGGGGATGGCAATGCTTATTGATGTACAGGGTGACCCGGGGGGAGTTGTGGCTCATGATCTTGGGCGTGGGGGTGGGGTTTGTTCTGGTTGATTTCTTGGTATTCCCATTGATGTCTACGTGTTGGTTGGAACAGTTACTCAAGCATTGTACAGTGCAATTAGATTTCCGGAAAGAAAGTGTCATCTTGCTTTCAAGCAGGTCTTTCCAGGGTAGAATAAACTAGACTCTCACCTGTTCCAAGTAATGCTTTTGGTGTTGACGATAACGACATATCCTTAGGACGAGTAATGCAAAGAATGGATCCGTTTGGATCGAATATGATCCCAGCCACCAAAGAGCGCATATAGCACAACGCCGAAAAAACACCATTCCCGGTTAAAAGATGAGAGCAAGAGAGTAACAAGAAGGCAAGAACCAGCTTCGCCATTTCAGATTCATACTCGTACAACGGAACGAAAGTGAGAAAGTAAGTTTCCTTAGGTCGCGGCGGAGGCCCATTCCACTACTTCCAAGGCGCACACGACGAGGACGAGCGTGGATGGGAGGATCCTAGAAGAGACTCATAATCAGCCACAATTCATATTGAAGGAGGGGGGGAAAGAACATACCAGACGACATAGCTCTGGAAAAGCAGCTTAGACATAGCCCCGACGTAGACGTTATTAATTTGACAGATCTGCGCCAGCTGCAGCGCGGAGGGTGCACCAGCCAACAAGAAACAAACGATGATGAAGATGGGGTCGTCGAGGATGCTGATGGGGACGTACTTGGCCAGCAGAGCCAGGAACGGTGCCATGATAAGAGTTGGCAGGAGCATGCGCGCAATCAAAGAGGCGATAATGAGCTTGCGCTCGTCATGCGGGTGCTCCATGTCAGCTCGGGCTTCTTCAGAGAGGGTATTGCGCGCGAGATTGGCGCCCAGTACAACAAGGATCAGCGGCACGGCGACCTGGCCGTTCTGATCGATGGCACGGGTGACGGAGTTGCGGACGAAGGTACCGTCGTCGAAGAACAGATTTTGGAGCACTGGGACAGAGGCAACAATAATTGCGACCAGCATCGCCCACAAGGGCGGGTTCATGAAGTCCCATAATCCGTGGAGGAAGCGGGTTGCTCCACGAGTGAAGACTGTGAGCCCCTTCTGGGCATGAGTTGGGAGACGCTGATATACTGCGTTTGTTCGCTTCTCAAACCCGCGTCGGAAGCGGTTACTATTTCGGCGAAGAGAGGTTTTCCAGTGCTGGAGGCGGGTCTGTTCTGCTTCGTGCGCTTCTCGTGCCGCCACCTCGACATCTGGAAACGATAAGATATGGCCCTGGGAGCTCTCACGAGGTAGGAACGGGCCTCGCGGCGGTGGGCCGAGCAGCGACGGCGTTTCTTCATGATCAGTATCTTCATCCGCCGCATCGTCGGAATGAAGCGCGGACAGCTTCGTGTATGAGTACGTTCGCGCCGTCACAGGAGTCTGATCTCCAGACTGGAACCCGCCGTCATGATGCTCCACATCATCCGAATCACGGGTGCGCACCAGCGGCTCGTCCGGTTCTGTCGGGTCGGGATTATCGGTGTAATGCGCCTGGCCCTGCTCGATGCGCGTGCGTCCGATATCCGCGCGCTCGGCCTCCTCGAGGAATCGTTCCTTGGGCGCCAACAGAACATGGTATCCCCAGCTCCAGCGGACCAGCTGGCCCAGCTGCTGGAAGATAAGCAGATATAGAATCCCCCGGGCGGCTACCTCATCGTCGTTGTCGTTCGGGATGCGGTCCCAGTGGAGGCCTTGGAGAGTCTGCGAGAGCGAGACCACGAGGGATATGGGGAGGGAATTAGAGTTGCCAAACACCTGATGAATAGGAATGTCAGCCAAGATAATTCTGCAAGTGATAATATGATAACACTAACCGCCATGGCAGCGACGAAGTTGGACTTGCGCTTCTTGAATCGGAAGCATCGTGAGACAAGGAAGGAACAGGAGTATGAGACGACGGTCTGGACGACAAAGATCACGGGGATGATGGCCAGGTCGGTCAGCTTTTCTGCTGTCAGTTGGGAGCCGAGCTTGATGAAGACTGCATTCGTCAGTCAGAGTCAGTAGGTGGGCGACTGTGATGATTCGAGAGTGTGGTTCATACTAAGACAGGGAGTGAAGAGGGTCACGTTGAGATTGGCCAGCAGTTTCTGGGCATCTGCATCTAACATGCCCTGGCGGGCAGCGATATAGCCCGGCAAACTGACGCAGATGACTTCGAGAACGGCCTCAAAGACCAAGAGGACTAGATGGAGGAAGGAGGGATGACTGGCATGGTCGGAAGCGCCCATTGCGGTCAGGGCAGAGGAGAGCGCGTCGCCATTCTGGAAGGAACGGGGCGCTTTAAAAATGGCCATGGACAGAGAGCAAGCGAGATAGCGATGAGGATGAAGATGATGGAGGGGCCTTTCCCTGGGAGAGAAAGAAGAGAGAGTTGGCCGCTCCTTGATAATAAGCTTTATCTATCTGCCTGGATGGCTTGGACAGCTACGGTCGGGACCACCAACAAGAATCGTCAAAAGTAGTGACGGCGCCTGCTTCGATGTACGACCGGAAAATGAGCCAGGGAATTTCAATCAGGTCATGGAATAAATAATAATCGAACTGTCTTGGTAATTCTTCCTTGTTATTCCCGGTGACGCAACCGGCCGTTATCAGCGCAAATCAGGAATGGTCAGAGCGGTGACACAAACAAGTATAGAATCATGATCGAGTCGAGTAACTTATGTAGTAAGACTCAGGTGGCAAGCAAATACTGGTATAATACACATCATCTTTTATCGTGCAACTACGAGCTCCTTTGGTTTCACGCTTCCTCCACAAACCCTAGCTTCTCGCCCACCTTGATGCGCTGCCCTTTCTCAATGGTCCAAGTCCAGCCGTCGCGCCGATGCTCCTCCGGCCAGCCGGCATCAACCGATCTGCGTATGCCTAGTGGAGCCTCAAAGACCATCACGATCGTGCTGCCCAATTGGAACCCGCCCATCTCCTCTCCGCGCTGCAGGGGGTGTCCGCCGAGGGCCTCACTGGCGTGTCGATAGGTCGCCTCGACGAACCCAGGGTATTGCTCCCCCGCTTAGCGGCCAGGGCCGCTGCCAGGTCTGCGGCACTGTCGGTCAGCAGGCTGTTGGTACGCAGTTCCGAGTCGAAATTGATCTTGATGGATCCGACATTCGTGGCCCCGACTGGCGTGTAACTGAAGAAGCCCCAGCGCCAGCGGCCCAGGAGGGCGACGCGCTCATTAAGAGTGAACAAGCCAGGGAGGTGGCGCTGCAGATATGGCGACACGGAGTACAGTTCACCGGCGAAGTGCCGCCGGCTCTCGACCACCCACGCGGCGGGCGAGTGGAAGCGGTGGTAGTCTCCGGGCGCCAGGTAAATCACCACGTAGAACAGTCCGTGGTTGCGAGCTTTTTGGGGGGCATACCACGGAGTTCCCTCCCCGCGAGCCAGCTCTTCTTGGACCTGGAGCTCGGTGGTAGGCTTGGACGTTGTAGAGGCATCCAGGGAGGCCCGTCGCGTCGCGGGTTGTCCCGGGTCGCCAGAAATTAAAGTAGGGAGGGTGTAAGAGATGCCGTTGACGCGGGCAAACTCCTCGTCCGAGGTCAAGGTTTCCGCATCGTTTGAGGCCGGCTCCGTGATCTGATCCGTGAGTCGTTTGGTGTGATCGGCGTGCGAAGGCGTGGCCGACCCTAATAAGGCATCTAGGCTGTAGGTCATGCCCTTGACCTGCTCGACCTCGCCCCGCTCGATCATGCCAAACTGCAGGATGCGGCCATCCGACGGCGCCAACAGCGCACGTGGATCTGGGTCCAAGGGCCGAACGCCTGGCTTCAATTTGCGGTAGAAGAAGGCCGCCAGGTTGGGGTAGGTGTGCAGATCAGGCTCCGCGACCTCGCTGAGGTTGACTCCAAAAACCCACGAGTACAGCTTGAAGCCCGGCACCCGGAAATAGTACGGGAGCTCTATCTCGTTGAACCGACCCCAGAGCCGCGACATGGCCTTCAGGGGTAATGTGGACATGATCTGAACCTGCCAGGATCCCGTGGGCACAATTCGAGGGCGGCGTGGTGGCCGCTGGCCATGCTCCCAGCCCTCCCCACCAGCATCTCGAGCCTGTCGCTCCTTTTCTGCTCGTTGAGCCTTATAGAACTGCAGCAGCCCTATGAAGCCAATACCGAGTCCGACCGGAATCGGGTACCACTCCACCTTGGTATTCCGCAGGGCAAATCGGAGGCGCGACCCAAATCCTCCTTTGCCGTTATTGTTGTCATGATTACTGTCTTTGTGGTACTGTCTCCACGATCTGGAAGACGAGAAATGGCGAACGCTGGCCGTGTGCCGAGCCGTTGCCCTGAATGAAAAAACCTCCATCGACGACGCGACGCCCCGGCGCATAGGGGCAAAATGACACGAACAGAGAGATGAAGTGAGGCGCTTGGCCATAATGCTGCCAGAGCTTCAATCCATGGGCATCAGCCAAGAAGCATACATCGGCAGAGATCAGAAGAACGTTTTACCTCCATCCCAAAGGGGAAATGGCTTTTTTGTTTGGACCCCAGCCGACTCACCGCCTACAGCTTTACCGCCCGGCAGATATTCACGTGCCCCAGCCTGTAAGCTCACTCATCCTCCTCTTCGTTGCTATACTTTCTTGTTTTTGTTCTGCACTCTGCCACACATCCTTCCTCTCTTGTCAGACTCATTATCAAGCCTTGTTTCCCGCTGCTTTATACGTGTCTTTCGGTGTCTACCCGTGATCGTTCTACCTTCTGCCGACACCCTGCCCTTCGTCTTATCGCCAGCTTGAAGCCAGATATCAAGATAGCAGCCACGCGTTCGGGGCAGCTTCTGTGCTCAACGAGGCTGGGGTAGCCGGTGGCAGTGACCGTTGGCCCCATCGTTCCCATCCCCACGCAGACCACCTACAATAGTGTCCTCGCGAGGATTAATCCTCTGGTCATCGGCGTAGGAAACAGCTCAAGCCCTACATCCGCGGAGATGGCATCCACCCTTCCACCCGCCGCGTCGCCTAAGGCAAATATGAGCCCTACGACGATCACGCTTCATATTCTCTGCCCTTCGCTCGCCCCTCACAATCGCATTACCATGTTGAATTTTGCGCTCTCAACTACAATTGCGCAGTTGAAGGATAAACTGGCCGCGGATATCGCAACCCACCCCGCGCCATCGACGCAGCGCCTTATCTATGGCGGGAAGCGCCTTGAACAGGACGATGTGACTTTGGAAGCCGTTCTGGCTCCAATTGATGTAAGGTTTCTTGTGTTTTGTTCTTGTATTCAGGTCACTGAATTCTTTCCAGGGTAACCAATACTCCATCCATCTTGTGCTACCACCCGGACCTCCTGCACCTCCCACATCTACTACAACGGCCTTTTCGACATCTATGAATCATGGTTCTTCCCACATCCCTCGCCTGCGGCATCCACAATACACCGACAATCCGATTGGAGACGGGCTGTACGACCTACGTGGGCCCGATCCGGCCCGCATGCGACAGACAGGTTCACACCCAAACGAAGAAGCGCCATCTAGGCCTGCCACTTCAGGACGAGGGATGCCTACGGAGCTAGATCATGAGAATCGGGGGATCGTCGGTCCAATGCAGCAGAACGTTGAAAATGCGAATCAACGTCAGCTAGTCTGGCCTCCTCCTCCAGGCCATGCAGTGTACGCTGCTCGTGCCATGTACCCCGGACGGCAGGAGGACCCCTTGTACCGTCACTATCAAGTGGCCCTTCCGAGACGCCGCAATGACCACCCTCCGCCTCCTTACTCTTCTGAAGAAATGCCGCCGCCAGCAAACATAAACGCCGAGTCTTCAGCGGCGGTTGGGACAGCCTCCCAGATGTCTTCTACAAATGCAACCTGGCCTGGCCAAGACAATTCAGCCTCCCCTCGGCTTCCCCAGTCAGAAGCGCCCCTTTCTGTGGAGGAGGAACTTGCCCGCGTGCGCCGCATTAGAGAGCTACGTGTTGATATCGAGAATACTGAACGCCAGCTTGCTGTGGGTAGCTTGCCTCCGATGGATCGCATCATCCAGATGCGGAACGAGCTGTTCCAGATCCAAGACGCACGGTATCGCAACTACTTTGCTGCTCGGGATGGCGAGGTCGAGTCGTTGATCACTCGCATCTGCAACCTCTACCAGCGCGTCGACCAACTCCATGTCGTCCAAACCCGGTTCCCCTCCTGGCCATTTGACAATCCGTCTGCCATCCCGATCCGCCGGGCCTACCTGGTGACATCGCCGAATGGATTCCAGGGGATTCTCACGCCTCCCGTTGCCACAGGTACAGTTCAGGCACCACTTTTTGCACCGCATACTTCTACCCAAACGGGCCCTGCTCCGGCTCCTGGACCCCAAGCGGGAATTGTCGGAAACGCCGTTCGCCATGCAGTCCTCGACCAGCAGCGCCGTCCCAACCCCGCCGAGCCACGTCGTGGCCTTGCCCGGCATCTGCGCCGCATTTGGCTCTTCGTGCGACTGTATTTCTTCTGCTACATGATCAGCGACCCGGGAACTTGGACTCGTATCATCTTTGTCGGCTGCGCGTTTCTGTTTGCTCTTTTCTCTGACACAGAAATCCCCCAGCGGCTCCATGGAATGATGATTGCGCCTATCCAGCACCATCTCGAAGGACTCGTGCACCTTGGTGAACCTGGCGAGCAGAATGGTCAGACCCAGGCCCAGGCGGGAGCCGCCCAGCCTGCTACACGTGACCATGAGCAGGATAACAACGTGGCTGGTGGCATTCAGCACCATATCCGCCGCGCTGAACGCTCGGTCCTCCTTTTCCTGGCAAGCCTGGTTCCTGGTATCGGAGAGCGTCAGGTTGAGGCCCGCAATGCTGCAGAGGCCGCTCAGAACGCCGAGCGTGCCCGTCAGGAGGAAGAGCAGCAGCGTGAGCAGGCTGCCCCCGAGGCTAACCACAATGAGAATACCAATGCCAACAACGCCCAGCCCGCCCAGGAGATGCCTGGCGCTGGCGACATCGCCTAAATCACCATCACCACTGACCCACACGCGGATCTGTTGAGAAGACCGCTGAATCTACCCTGACACCCTTTCTTGTTTGCATAGACTCCTATATAGGAGTACACCACCAGCATCTGTTCGAGTGATACCCCCCTGTTTTTGTCCTTTCCATTTCCCAGCAGCCATTTTTCACGGCAATCTAGCGCACATTCATGGAAGTGGTTACCCATGCTGTCCTTCTGCTTGCTCTTTACAGCGCCACCATCGCCTTGCATTTGCATCGCCTTCCATCCATCTACCTGAGCGCTTCATTCTCAATTCCTCCGTTATGTATGAAGCCATGTATGAATTTCTGCCAGATTACCATTTTTTCACCATGTGCGTTTCCATTCAGTTAAATTTTGTGTGTTTTTCTTTTGCTTTTCACCACAACGCTAGGTGACGGAGCTATCCAAAATTGAAGCTACACGAGAGGAGTTTAGACTTGGAGACTTTCTTACCCCGTTAGCAACAGGCAATGCATGAACTAAATTACGGATATACCTCGATTTTCCCTAGTCTTCGTTCTTTCTAGTGTCTACTACTATGTATAAGGGAACAGGAACATGGACAACCTTGAAGGTATCCCTCCTTTACTATTCTGGTCGGTTGCACGATACGTACTTATTTCTGTTGGTTCCGTTCCACGATGCTGGAAAGTATGGGCATGGAATGCAGCTTCCTCCTACAGATAGGAAGGTGCGCCGTAGCCTTCCTTTTAAATCTCCCATACCTTCTTTCAACTTTTCCAACACTCTTCGCTACATACACATTCCATAGCACCGTCTCCGCCATTGTTCTTTTCCCCCGACTCGAGAACAACCTGCATGTTACCACTCAGCTGCAAATCAACAATGCATTTTCTATTTCTCTCTTTCCCTTCTTGCAGTGGCCACCAGCGTTAATGCAGCGCCAGCCCTGAGTGCATCTCGCAATGAGGACGCATGGAAGCAATGCGAAGCCCGCCTGGATGGCGAGCTGCCGTACTACGTTCCTTCGAATTTCAGATTCTCTGGAAATGTTCGTCGCTACTATGTGGCGGCGGAAGTAGTTCCTTGGGATTATGCTCCGACAGGTAGGTGCTTCCGGAAGATCACAGAATTGTTTTTCTAATCGACATATCCAATGAGTAGGCTGGGACAACTGGCTTGGTGTCCCAATGGACGATTCCTTTCGAGCCCAGACATGGGGATACATTCGATCGAACACAAGCATCGGCACCAAATACGACAAGGCACTCTACAGGGGGTACACAAATGCCACTTTTGAGGAAAGATCCGAGCAACCTCCCTGGGCTGAGTTGCAGGGCCCAATTATTCGTGCTGAAGTTGGTGATATGATCGAAGTCAGTTTCACCGTGCTCTTTTACCTTGGGCCGTTCTTCAGTATACTAATTCCACCAGATCATGTTCGTCAACAAGATGGACCATTTCTATTCCAGCATGCATAATATGGGTCTGTTCTATACCAAGGAGTCAGAAGGTAGCGTCTACTACAATGGGACCAGCAATGTCGCTATTGGTGACGCAGTTCCTCCAGGTGGATGTTTTGTTTACAAATGGTGCGCTGGTTCCAGTTGTCATCAATCGTCCAGCATCTTTGAAGACTGACGATCAATATCTATACAGGCTTGTTCCGGAAACCTCTGGTCCTAATGGCCACCACGATAGCCGAATCTTGGCCTACCATCCATACGTCAGCATGTACCAAGATCAAGATGCGGGTTCCTATGGACCTGTTCTCATCTACCGTCGCGGGAAAATGGAGACTGTGATGCGGCAGAACCGTGAATTTGTCCTTCTCTACGCGGACAATCAGGAGTGGAACTCGTCCCTCGCGCTGCATAACGTCCAGAAATACCTTCCTGGTATGGTGTCGCAGGTCACGAATCTGTCATACCAGTATCCACAAATTTCTCATGGTCAGGGGAATTTTAGTCTCTGGTATCCCCAGTTCATCAACACACCGATGACCAACGTTACTCCTGCGATGGCGGCAAATTTCTTCCCCGTGAGTTATGTCTCTCTTCTCTTTTTACCTGTCCTTTATAAATACCTGATATGTTCTGAATGCACAGGTAAACGGTTACATCTACTCAAATAACCCACCTTTCGAGATGTGTCTCGAGGATAATGTCATCTGGTACCTTTATGACATGGCTTCGACACACATGTGTTCCACATGCACGGCGACAATGTCCTTGATCCAGTCTCCGGGGCCACTTTGCCCACTGTCACCCTGAATCCCGGGCAAATGACCACCGTCTTGATGACTGCATTTAACCCAGGTTGGTGGCAGCTGATCTGCCACTTTACTACACACCTGAGTAAGGGAATGGAGGCCAATTATATTGTATACGGTGGGCCTTACGGCGAATGTCCTCTTGAGCCTCTGGAGAAGCCCTAATCGGGTCTTGTCCCATCCCACTAGCATGCGTTTGGGACTTCATATTCTGACCGGCATGGGTTATCCTTAGCTGAGGCCTACTGTTGAAACTATTATCATTAATATTGATACATTCCAGATTGATTAGTATAACCGCTCAATGGTTGTAGTGGTAGTGGTGTGTTCAATGAATACTAACGGCTGCTTGGTCTAACTGACAGCTTTGTTTCTTTAATTTATCGTCAGTGCCCCGCAAAAGGACGTTGGCAGCGAAACATGAGTGAGGAGGATACTTAATACTCGATTAGTTTTGCTGCCCCTGATTCGACCAACTGCTCTAGGTAAAACGAAGTATACAAATGTTCTCTCGTATAATGCATATAGCCATATTCGAAAACAGTTTACCCCATATTCTCTCACGAATTGTTTCCCAAGCCCTGACCTGAGACTTGCTAGTCTACATGTGGATTAGCTGTAGATCACCCCGTTTCGAAAAATAGACCCTATATTTGACATAACGATTGTAAGACCTGTCATGATGTACATATTTTTCACGAAACTGCTATACGCTGGTACATTTGTGCCTCTCCTGCCCTGCTATCCAACTGTTAAGTCCCTGGCTTTTTAAGCGAGAATTCAAGCTACGCCACACAATATGGCGCTGAGACTTGCTAGAATTCTATAGGATCTCGCAGAACCTTGTGTTCATCCTTTTTGAAAGCTAACCTAGGCAACTGGGCTGTGAATATAAGCCCCCTATATACATAAAGAACCTATCCCACCGCCTAATTATGACTTTACAAAAAGACTATACGATATAGATCCTCACAAAGCCACCTGTCTTCGCCTATCATTGCCGCTCCTCCAGATAACCGAGCGCATTGGCAAGTATTTCCGTAAAATGGGACGACGATAGCACTCCGAACGGGTTTCCATATTTCCTCTTTGTTTTCTCATATATTGCGAGAAAAGTGGTTAAGACCAGAACGTTGAAACTGTTGTCATACGAAACGTAGAGTTCGACAATGGCGCATTTCTCAGCCGTAGAGGTCGGTTTATGGATGATTGCTACGTGGAGACCTGTATCATCTATGAGTTTCATACCAAGACCAGAAGACCACATAGCCTCCGGCCGTAGAGCGGTAGATGTAGTAGCCAATTGGCTTGGCTCGTTGGGCGGCAACTGTGCCTGTGGATGAGGTTATGGCTAGCGGGTTTGGGTCTTCAGCCTGGTATGCCGGCGGGGCTTCGTCATTACCGTAATAGCTCATGGTTGCTCTGGATATTGCGGGAGAGTGATTTGGGTGCTAGTCTGACAAGACCACTAGGACGCACTCTTTCTTTGTTCCGTCTGGATGGTACATTCTACAAAATTCTATGGCCTCTTTTCGTACTATAACAATGACTCATTTGTGGCTGAAATTATAACCAAGTGTATTATTTCATCCTCGGGCATGGAGATGCGCGTGCTACCAAGATAATTGCCTGAGGTTGAAGAGAAAGAAGGTTATTCCAATGTTAGCATCTACATTGTGGCATTTTGTTGATTGATTGCAGGGCATTCTCATAATAAGCGGAGTTTGGCCGGACTCACCTTGCAGTCAATAGCAAGGGGTGGAATAATCTTTATAAAAAAGATAGATTCTCATTACCTAGAAAGTAAATTATACTGCACAGGTGATTACCTCTTTTGCCAGTCGCCGCGACGATGTGAATAAGTGAGGCGATGACTTGACATCTCCCGTAACCATGATTGCTCTCTTCATTGGTCTTACGCAATGAACGGTAGCCCCATAACCCAGACCAACAACCATGCTATCCACGAGTCCTTTCCTGGCGATACCATGCTGGCCGCTTCATGGGAACGTGTCGGAACAGCTCCCCCGACGGAGGATGGACCCCCTGCTGGGAACGACTTCGGCGCCGCCGCCGCGCTGGAGGATGAGCTTTCCGGGAACGAATTCGTCGGTGATGCTCCGTTAGAGGACGTACTTGCCGGTAACGATTCCGTCGGTGCTACCTCTGTTGGACTGCTGGCTGGCTCTGAGGATGCGCCAGAATCACCACCTTCGCTTGAAGGTTCGGGCGTGACCAATGGGGGTGCGGTTGTAGTGACAGGTCCATCGGGATTGAAAGATAACGACGGCAGGAAAGTCGGTACGGGAATAAGGCCGGTTTCGATACAAAAGCTGTCGCCAGCCGTGGGACACGCATATCCGAATGGGCAGCACCCACCGTCTTCGCAATCATGACCGACGCACGGCTCATCACATCTGGGCTGGCCCCTAACGAATGTGCAGGGCGCGCTGGAAGGGCAGCATCCGCCTCCAACGGTGCAGTATATTTGGTCCGCTGGACACAAATTTTCTTGTCGGGGTATAAGAGGACCGACGGTCGTGAGAGGAGCTCTAGGATTGGCGAGCTGAACGGCACTGGTCAGGCTGGAGCCCAGAAGAACAAAAGACCAATGAATATACATTGTGGTTTAAACCTTGAGTTTGTCTGGATCAAAGTATTAAATAATGAGAAACACTGGGGGGTGCAAGCCTCAATTATATAACTGTGGAATCTTCTTGAGGAAACATGCCTCTTGCTTCGTGGACGACATTAGCCAAGATAGACCCTCGTGTTCGGTCGCTTTTCGTTGGTTAATTCATACAGCGGCGAACTAGCGATGTATCTAAGGATGTTTGTAAAGTGCTAGGCTAGACCGGCAAGGTGCTAAAGCGGACCATGTTGCGATGGCAGTGCCATGAGGCGCCTCTTCGTGTTGGAGCCGAGCCAGCGACGCTCGGGCATCCAGTGACAGGCCTGCCAAGACAGGCCGTCCGAGAAAAGAGGCGGAGTCGTCTGTCCTGAAAAGCCACCAGCAAGATAGATAATTGACTGGGTGGGCAGGGCTTTGACTGTCACTACCCGTACTCAGAAGGGAATCAACTGGGAAGGAGATGGCCCGTTTTAGAGGAGGTACTATGCATCCTAGCAGATAGTCGCCTTGGACAGATCCCGCGGGCTTGCCCGTAAGCTTATCCGCCAAGATTGAGGTCGGTAAGCTTGAGCCAAGAGCCGCCATGCCTGAGCGAAGAGCCGAGTCTCTTTCCGTTTCGGGGGTGCCAACAGACTGCTCAGAATCGGAAGCGAAAATTTTGGTATATACTAGTCCCGAACGCAGCCAATCATTCCAATTGTAGAGGTCACGAAATGTCTGATTATGAAGCTATTGAAATTACTTCTATTCAAGAGAGTGTTCTTGGCGGATATTGCCAAGGACACCCTCAACTTCCTTAGAGGCGCCTGGTAATGTAGTTGTTATGAATAAGTATATAATCATCAATATCATGTGATTTGTATTTAAAATATGCAGTATGTAGTATATCGACCCTCTAGAATGGATGTAAGCAGAGACTATAGCTTGGTCCCAGATCTACTGCTTTCAAGAGTAGACGACAAGCCGGAAGATGTATCAGATGGTGGAGCCATAGGTCCTGTATCGAAGCCTTCCTCGCCGTTGAAGTGCCTGCCACGTTAATCCATTAGTATGGGCACTTCTGCAGAAGAAAGCGAAGGAAAAGAAAAGCGAACTCACCATCCCCGCTCAGCACCACCACTCAAAAAACTACAATCCCCATTCGAGACACAGTCCCACCCACCACCAACACCGCGTCCATTCGGCCAGTCCGGCACACCGGTTGATCCACGCAGGATCTTCGTGCCCCCAGCAAGATTCCCCTCCCCCTCCTCACCTCGTTGACCATGCCCACTCTTCCCCATATCAACATCTATACCCACACCCCTCCGGCGGAAAGTACTCAACCCGGCTGTAAAAACCGCAAAATCCTCCACAGAACTATCCTCCGGCATGCATCCCGTCAGAGCCCGTCCCATAGCAATAAGCGGCGCAGCATGCGAGCAGATCAAAAGCGACTTGCTGGTGCGTTTCTGCGGTGGGAGATCCGCTTCTATCGCGGTGATTTCGGCATCAACATCGGCGATTATTCCCTCCAGTACTGTGGCGAGGCGGTTGTGTAGTTGGATTATCGTTTCGCCGCGCGTGGAGGGGTAGAGGAGCGGCTTATAGGTATCTTTTCCTGGAGGATGGACCAAGGTTGGGAAGTGCTGGTGCATCTCTGCGGGAGTTGGGTGGGAAGGGTGCGTGAAGAACGTTGTTGGGCCGAACCATTCTCTTCATCGTCTTGTTAGTATATATGTTATAACTGGTATATGAGACGGCTGGGAAAAAGAGAGAAAAGTCGAAAACCAGTGTAAGTACGTGCGTGGGTATTTGGGAAAACTAACCCAAGTCCATTCTCAAGCCTCACAGCCAACATAGCACCCTCCTCTATCCCCCCCTTTCCATTTCCTTTAGAGCCATTATGCCCCTGTTCAGCAGCAATCCGCATCAAAGCCTCAACAGACGGCTGAATCGTCGCCAGACACCGATAAAACGGACTAGAATATACCCTGAATGGCTTGGGATGGAACTCCGGCGCGGACATATGCGCAGCCAGCTCATGCGACTGTCTCACGCCATGAGAGGTTAGTGCCGGATCTGCTGGGTTCCCTGTCGGTGTGGGGAATTGGGCTCTGTATTCGCCGGTGCGGAAGTCGATTGTCCAGTTGAGGCGGTGCTGATGAGTGGATGTTAGTTCTGCCATTCAGGCGTAAAGGGTATATAATTGGTGTGCGTGTGTAGGTAGGTATAGACTTACGCCATGACGAGTGAGGTATATCGTGTCTAGCGGCATGGTGGATGAGAAGTAACTAAGACAGCCCGGAAGACGAACATCGGTCCGCTTTGCGGGGATGGTGGCAGAATACTGGGCGGTGAGTGGGGGCCTCGGTCCAGTGGTACAGGTAGGAGAGCCCGGACGGCTGCGAGTTACAGATGGCTGGTAATCTACTACTTCTCCTACCTTCATTACGAAGAAAAGAAAGGTGGAAAAAAGGTCAAGAATCACCTCGCAGTAGATTCGACACGAGCGACTCACGTGCTCTTGTAAACGAAGGGGGGTATAATACTCCACAGGCTACATTCCCAGCACCAGTCCAGCCCGATTCAACAACATAAAAACATCGTGCAAAGCGATGAATGAAAAAAGAAGGGTAACTTTTTCAATTGGTTTTTTTATCGCAACTCAACTCCATCTAGTAGAAGAAGCCAAGGAGCTTGCCAGCAACGTGCTTGCGGCGAGCCTCCTCGTGGTCCATGATACCAGCCGAGGTGGTCAGGACGACGTAGCCGAACTGACGCGAGGGCAGGAGCTGGACAGCCCACTTCTCGATGTCCTTCAGCTGGACGGGGTAGCGAGGGTTGATGACACCGCACTTGTTGAGGCGGCCGTTCAGCTGGATGACGATCTTGCCGGAGCGGTGGTCATCGACCTCCTCGAACTCGCCGATGTAGCCTTTTGAGGTCATGATGTCAGTATGTTGCAAAGATTTAAAAGTCGCCAAATACAGAAAAGCGCTTCGGAAACATGTAAGATCTCCGCCATTTTAATATTTCGGGCACTTAAAAGGCAGACGTCGTGGGATGTTGAGACCGGCCGCCTAGTTATCAGCCCGAGGAGGGGCCTCCGCATTTCCGAAGCGCTTGTTGTGTTCTGCTTTTTGACGAAAAGAAAGAAAAAAGAGATGTAAAACATACCGTGCTTCTGCATGACGGTGAGGAACTTGACGATGACCTTGGACGAAGGCCGGATGAGGACCTGACGCTTGCCAGCCTTCTCGGCGTTGTTCATGGCGTTGAGCGCATCATTGAGGACGGAAGTCTTGACCATGGTGGCGGTTGTAGTGTCGAGATTCTCAAATCGATCGGAAAGGATATAAAGATATGAGGTATCTGTTGGATATGCGGCAACAGGAACACCCCATGAAGGGCATTCGCATTGTGCCAGTGAAAAGTCAGCCACCAGTAGTCTTCGAGCGTAAAGAGTGCCCCTTCAATTGACAAAGGAGTTCTTCAGCCCGTGCCGGGTTGGGAGAAGCGTATCATGATGCACCCGTAAGTACCCATGATTGCTTACCCAGACTAGCTGAGAGGCCGTTGAAGGGGGAGGGCGTAACACATACCTCGAGCGAAACTTGTCGGTCGGGGGTGGTTGAAGTGAGTGAGTAGCGGCTTAGGAGAGGAAAAAACGGAGTTGGATGGGGAGCACGGGTTTTCCCGCACTGTGTGTTAGGGCTGCTAGCCCTTATCACAATCACGTGGTGATAAGAAAGTTGGTGCCTCAGGCGGGAAAATAAGATCAACCTTGTCGGTGATCATTGCTAGTCTTGCATGGAACTAGAATCTCCAACTTAACTACAGGAACAGCTCAATGCATTAGAAGGGATAACGTCCGCCTTGCTGTTTCACCCTCTTTGCATTATTTGGGTTGTCGCCTAGCCTGGACTTCTCTATACATGTGTCCAGCAGAAAGTAAAAAGAAATGATAGTATACGTTGGAGAGGAAGAAGAGAGGACTCGAACTACTTTTTCATGACAGCGACTCATTTCCGGGAAGGGTGGGCATAAGACAAGGAGAGGAAAAGGGGATACATGAATTCTTGGGCTACATGACTGGCAATGCTATAGGATGCGGGGGTGGTCTTTTCTAATTAAAACAAAAAACGGGGTAGAATTTCTCAGAAAGGGGAAGGGGAAATAAAGTAGAAGTGTATCAAGAAGAAGATGAAAAGGGGCCAGGGGCAAGGGGAGGGAATGGAAGGGGACGACGGATTGCTTTCGTTCGGATGGGTGAATTGTCATCAGGGTGTATGTAGCACGAGGGAGGAGCAAGTGCCAGCTAAAAGGGGAAGAGGAAGGCCGAAGGGGGGTGAAAGCGAGGTCAAGGGGAATCTCAAGTCGTGCAGGGGAATTGGGAGGGGAGAAGGGGGCATTGGTGACAAAAATAGCCAAACATTCAGGTCAGTCAGCCGCAATATGCAGCCGACTGACTTGTCTGCATGTCTCGGACCAGGTCGACTCGAAGCTGGACCAGCAACACACAGGAAGTTGGGTTGAGCGTCACTTTCCTCGCTCCCGACGACCAGAGCGTCGCTACGAGCGGTGGCGAGGGGAGGCAGCGGGAGCCACTGGATGAGTGAGCATCATATCTATGCCATGGCGTTCATGTTGCCAGTGCTCATGTTGATCTGGCGCTTGACCTGCTCACGAGTCCAGCGAGCGGTCTCGATCGTCCGCGCGCTGAAGTGTCGGGTCGTGCGGGTTTCGCGGACCAAGGTGGTGACCCAATCATTGCGGAAGTAAGCAGCCAGTTCGCCGTTGGGGAAAGCATCTGCGAGATCACCAATCACGCCCATCGAGGATCGCATAAGACCTTCGCTTCGGTTACCCTCCTGGGAGATGTTGTGGAGAAGCTGGAAGATGGACTCGACAAAGGGTTGGATTTGCGTAACTGAGGAACATTAGTCGGCTGGCGGTTGCAGAAAGGGAATAGCATGAAAAACTCACTTTGGGGCTTGCCCTTGTAAGAAAGGAGGATACCACCCCAGGCATCCATGATACCCTCGCGGAGGGAGACAATGTAGTCCACCATGTCGTATGGCAGGTCAGAGCTGGTAGTCACAGAGGACGCCTGCTGGAGGACCTGGCCGACGACGGGCAGGTAGGTGTCAAAGTTGGTTCCAATCGCCTGGGCAATATCACCGAAAGTCTCCAAGATGGCAGGCTTGAGCTGGTTGGTAGACGTGCGAAGGATGTTGAGCAACAAGTTCATGAAGGTATCGCAGAAAGGCTGGACCTTGTCGTTCAACGCACGCGAGATGTCACTGACCAAACCGATGGCCATGGCGCAGATAGCAGGCTCGTCCTGGTTGCCCAATGCGTTGTAGAGGAACGGGCTGAAAGATTCCATGTACTTGATGAAGTCCTCTTCAAGAGCACTGGCAACAGCACCCACCGTGGCGAAAACGACATCCGGCACACTCGACTTGGCACCAACAGTGTTGAGAACTTGAAGCATGACGCTCATGATGCGGTCAGACTGCGGCTTGATCTCGGTCTCCAAACGTTGAACAATAGCCAGAACCACGCTAATCAAGCTGGTCTGCATCTCTTCCAGGAGAATCCGGTCCTCGGTACTGACAACCTGCTGCTGCATGGGAATTGTCTGCTCCAGACGTTGGATAATCACATCCGAGAGACTGGCCACCATGGGCAGACTGTCGTTGGCCGAGTTGAGAACAAACGAGTTGAGAACTTCGTACCCGGCGGTACGGAGCTGGTTATCGGCATCTTGACGCTCAGTAACTGCGAGAAGCGACTTGATGCTGTTCTCGAAGTGCTTCGACAGAGGGTTGGTCTGCGAGCCAGCGTCGCCAGCGAACCGATCGGCCACATTCATAAGAGCCCAGCAGCAGGAGCTGGCGATCTTGGGGGTGCTTGCCAGACCGTTGAAGAGGCAAGAGATCAGCGGCTGCAGGTGAACATCCGGGTCAAGGACCTCGGGGCAGCAGTCGCACACGCGACCCAGAGCGTACGCAGTGGAATCCCGCACCTGCACCGAGCTATCCTCCATCATACCCAGCAGCACCGACAGGGCCTGTTTGATCAAAGGCTCCAGCGTACTGGGCTCGGGGCCCTCCATGATGGCACCAAAGGACGCCACGGCGGCATCCCGACGGCGCCAGTCTTCGCTGCGAATGTTCTCCTCCACAAAACCCACGACGGGCTGGATTACGTCACCCTGCACACACTGAGCGTAGAGCTGCAGCGCCTGGTAGGCGGCACGCGACACGTTGTACTCGTCGTCACCGGCATCCTCGTCCTGGCGGCACATGGCTTGCAACAAAACAGGGAGAACCTCACGAGTTGCGATGCGAGCAAACCCAAAGTATGGCCGGGCCTCTGAGCCTTCCTGTTGAGCCTACATGATGAAATTAGCTGGAGATCAGTCAGATATGGATTCGAGAGGTCACACATACCACCGCGTTGTCGTCCTCAATAGCAATCTCTTCCTCGCAAACGGTGCACCAGAATTCAATGGCCAGCTTGGCAACATCTTCCTCCTCGCTCTTCATGCCCATAATGCTCAAGCCAAACAGAGCCTTCTCCATGTAGAAGCGCATCTTATCGTAGTAAACACCCATGATACGGTTCAGGCAGCCAAACGCGCCAGCCTGCACACGGACCTCCTCAGCCTGAGTCGCCTCGCAGACGACCTGCATAATGTAGTTGCGCTCTCCCTCGTTCTCCATGTTGGAGCGCACGAACTCCACGGCGTCACTGAGCGCCGCAATAGCAGCAAAGCGAACATCCATGTTCTGCTCCTCGCGGCGGGCGCCCTGCACGACAGCAGTCAGAATGGCATTGGAGTGTGCGGTCAAGCTCTGGCGGAGATCAGGGTCTTGGGACTCGCAGATGAAACCGATAGCAGCGAGCGACGACTGCTTCAGGGCGTCGGTGCCGCTGGCCACATTCTGGACCAGAATACCCATCAGATCTTGCCACTCATTGCGAGGCAGCTCGATCGCGGCGATGGAAACAATCAGCGTCGCGGCGGCATTTCCAGCTCGGGTATCGGCCGAATGCAGGGTCTTGAGCGCGAGCTCCTTCACCTGCGTCTTGGTCTCGGGGGGAATCTGCTGGACCCATCGCTGCTGCACCTCGCGCAGCTTGGCTTGGTCTCGGAAGGTGAAAGCGTTCTTCAGGGCGATACCTGCAGCGACTCGAATGTGGGCGGGGCTACTGTCGTTGGCGAGCTCCTGGCCCAGGGTGACAAGGTAGGCAGCCTATATCCCAGAAGTATTAGCAACGAGTTTTTGGTTAGTAGGGGTATCACGTACAAAGTCGACCTCCGCCGCGTGAGCGAGTTGCTGCTCAGCATTGGTACGTTCCGCCGCGTCTACAGGCAGCAAACTATTAGCGAGGGGCTGTCCACCATCTCAAGGAACAAGAAGAACACTTACCTGGCGACAAGGTGCTCTGCAACACCTGGCGGGCATCCATAATGTGCAAAGACGAACGCGAGGAGCGTAGAAGTGGGGTGTGGGAGGGAGAAGGAGGAAAAAAAAAAGGGAAAAAAGGATGGGGAGAAAAGACTTAAATCCCTCTAGCCTTTCCCGGATTCAATGGAGATTTCGAACACGGGCAGGCACGCAAGTCACAGTCGACGAGGGCAGGGTGGATGTGGAGAGGAAGGGAGAGTGATGGGGTGGGAGGTGGGAAGGGACGGGTGTTTTTGTGGATATGAGGCATGCACCAGAAGAGCCAAGTGCGCCTGGGATGGACTCGCCGGGAGGCAGAGACAGGAGGAGGGGTCGAAAGAAACGTCGAGGGAGCGAGAGTGTGGGTGGCCAAACGACGAAGAGAGAGATATTGTTTACGCCAGCTCGACGCGGTGTGGGAGAAACAAACCGGACAGTCGAAGGACACACGATGGGCAGAATGAGGTTGCACGCTGCTGATTGGTGGGGAGATACACTGAGTCAGCGATTATGTCAGTGGGTGCCTGAGGCATGACGCTGTGTTTGGCCGTGAAAATGTCTCGTGCGTGCTAGTCCGTTTGGTCAGATATGGCCGAGACCTCGCAATCGTGTCGGCCTTGCAGATAGAGGTTGATTCGTGTCCACCAGTTGGCCCTGTGCCCGTCCACCGTGTGCTTGTTTTGATTTTCCTGCTTATAGAAGCGCCCACGGTGCACCCTGTGGCCCCAGCGACAAAACAGTGGAACCTGGATTGAATTACTTTCGATAGAATGCAATGGAAACACACAACAATAGTACGTAGTTGTATTCCAACACCGAGAAAACGACATGTAAAAAAGGCTTTTATCCACCAATCTCATCCTCATCCTCATCCTCCATAGCAATACTACTCTGCTCTCCTTCCCCCTCCTCCTCCTCCTCAAGCACCAACTCAGACTCCAGATCCAAAACCTCATACCGCATCGAATCCCCATACAGCACACACACCGCACGTCGATCCTTCCGTCCATTGACATCAAGATGGACAGGTCTGGATTTAGGCCCCGATGCAGGAAAGACATGCTTGATGATTCCCGCGTGTGGGGAGGAGAGCGAGGAGAGGTCGAGGAGGATGGGTTTGATGGTGGGTGTGGCGGTTGAAGAGGTGCTGTCACAGTCGATGTAGGGGATTGCTAGCGACTGGGGATCGGACTCTTCTTCTGCGTGGGATTGGAGGGAGAGGGGTTGGATGGGGAAGTTTAGGAGGCAGGAGGGTCCTTCTTTTGGGGGGTTGTTAGTTATTAATTGGGTACTTGGGATACGACTAGGGCTGGGGTATAATGTGGGCAGAAGTAAAGGAATAGATAGATGGACGTACCGCCAGAAGACCACAGGACCATGAGAGTGTCGTCATCGACGAATTGCAGTTGGCGGATCTCGCCTTGTTGCAGGGAGAGAGCGGCGGCGGCGGTGCGTCTTGTTGAGCTGACGCCGTTGACGGAGTCCAGCACCACGCGGTAAATGTAGACTGGTGGCAAGGATATTAAATCAGCAACCACCCGAGCTTATTGGAGGTATTTGACCAACCTAGGTGTTTCGAAGTGCTCGATCGAGCAGCAATGTATGTAGAACACGGATGTCCTTCTTCGGCATCCTAGCAGAGGAGTCAGCTGTGTGTATTGCGCGTCAATAAGAACAACTCACCTCGTGGCAGATCGTCAGGTCTGCAACACTCTGATCACAGTCCGAGTGCAGCGTAAGAGCAGAGCGATGCAGAATGCCCCGCCGCTGCGTCAAGGCAATCTCGCCGAAGACAACCTCAAACTGCGTCCCCAGCCGCCTCGTCAGATCATTTAGCTTAGGTGCATCGACCGCAGTACCATCGCCGCCCTCACCCCGACTCTGGCGCTGCTGCTGAAGAAGCGATTTGAACGTATCATAGAACGAATGATCATGGCCATCTGAAAGCCACTTGTCCGTGACAGGGGGCGGCGGCTTAGCCACGCCAACCATGGGAAGCTGGCGGATGAAATTGCGCAACTGGCTCTTCGTCAATGCGCCGGTGATATACTGGACCGTTGGGGGCACGTCGAGCATGTCTCGCTTGTCCAGTAGCTCTTCCTGGGTCTGGGAGAGTGCTTCGCTGTTTAAGATGTGGATCTCGAGTTGGAGCCATCTGGAGAAGGCGAGAAATTCGGTCAGTTCTTCGTTGGAGTGCGTGATGATCTGATGAGCCATCAGGTGGAGACAGTCGAGTGTTTCAACAATGGCGTTGAGCTTGGGTGTTTCTAGACCGAGGACGTCGCTGAGTTTGTGGAATTTGGACAGGCCGATCAGCCGGCTGAGAAGGACTTGGCTTCTCTCCAGTGCGGGTAAGAGACATTCATGCGTCAGGCGGCGGATGCTTTCGTACCCGCCGGCGACGGCTTTGTCCCATCGCTTGTGACCCTATAGATTTATAAATATTTCTGTCAACATATTGGGCAAGGAGACCATACCCTCTCTCCGACGATGTCCACCAGGAACTCCTTCAACGGCTCGAAGCAATGCCCTGTAACCACGAGATGATAAGCCGCTGTGATGAAATCACAATGGCACTTTTCCTGCAGGTCTTCATTGACACTCCGCAAAAATCTCGCGGGCAGTTCTTGAGTATTCTTCCACTCGAGCTCGATCTGCCGCTGCACCTGGCCGATATACCGGAGCAGATTCTGGAGCTGGGTTGTCTTTGAAGCAAGGAGGGACAAGTAGCGACCCGATCGTGTGATGAAACGAAGATCCAGGGTGACAAGACTGAGGGACGATGCCGATGCCACCAGCAGTGCATGTGTCGAGCTTAAGGGATGCGACGCATGACGAAGAATATTGCACGAGCCCGGCTGTCCAGCCGAGTCAGCGATTGGGAAGGAGCCAATCTCGAAGCAGTCAAAGATGCGCAGATGGACACTGCCATCATCATATCCGACAAAGAGCACATCCACCGAGTCGCTGGTATCCTTTGCGGACGAATGAAAGATGGCATCGATAGACGCGCGCGAACTAAAGAGGTCGTCTTCGCTGCCCGTCGCCGGCAGGGTACTCAGTTTCGGCAGCGAGCTCTCGATATCCATCAGTGCCAGCTCGCGTGGTAAATCCGCTTTGATCAGCGCGGCCGCTTTCGACGAGTGCACCGATGAGCTCAGCAGATCCTCGATGGAGAGCTGGCCAGCCGACTCGCGCAGATGCCGCACGGCCGCGTAGCTGTCGGTGAAATTGACCCCCCAGCCCAGGCACGTCGCCTTGGGAGAGGACTGTTCTGGGATGGGGCTGGGGCCATCGTCCTGCGCATAGGTCGAGTAATGGTGCACCGTCTTCCCACTATACGAGCTGATGATGCGCACTGTCCCATCTCCACACGCGACAGCAAGCAGCCGACCTGTAGGCATCGTTAGAGTAACTGTCAAAAAGAACAGCAGAGAATTCATCGCCAAATCCCCAACCGCGCTGGTACTATACAAAGGGATCAATTAAACTCACCATTCCCCTTCCACGCCAACGCCCTGATCTCCCCATCCTCCTCATCCTCGCCGAGGTACGGGTCTCCGCCAAAGGAGGCCCCGAACACGCGCTGCCCATTCAGTCGGAAAATGCGTAGTTCCTCGTCCTCGGTGGCCAGTGCGATCAGGTCCATTGTCGGACAGTACGCCAGCGCGCCGGGCTTGCATTTGGCCGGTAGGGATTTCTCCCCGACAGGGGGAAGCTGCGGGCCGTCCTCGACCATTTTGGTGGGTGGTTGTGGGCTGGATCAGGCCATGATCGGGAGAATTGTGACGGGTTGATGGTTGATGAAGATGGTGTTGATGCAGGTGGATACCGCGAGGCTTGGCGCGTGGGCGGCAGATGAACAACGCCCTACAGAATACTCATCTCTACTATTATAGGCGAGAATGGGATTTCCTTTGCTGATGTGGTGTTTGGCTGGAATTTTATATCCATGAAGTAGCATATTGCATGTCTGGTCCAGTTTATTGGTGAAAAGCTGAAATATATATCCTGCTCAGACCATACAGCTTCAGTATTTACATTCAGCCGGGAGCAACTATCATTCAGCACTTCTTCCCCCTAACGAAAAACGGCAGATGATAATGAATACAATATATTGCACAGCCATATCCTCCACTCTAAAATACCTATACACATTCACGACACCCCAGCGACCAGCGCTAGAAGTGATACATAGACCAATAGTACACCCCCCCAACCCAACCACCTAAAACGGCTCCCCATCCATCTCCGCCTGAATCACATTCTTCAAATAGCTCAACTCATCCATAAGCTCCTGCATGGTGGTCTTCCCATGCTCCGCCCCACCAGGATGCAGCGACGCCCCGACAGCACTGGGTCTCAGTGACCGAATCTCGCCCAGCTGCGGGCTATCGCGAATAGTCTGCTCAGCGGCACCAAACTCCCTCTCCTGCTCTTCCGAGAAGATCATCGGGGATGAGCTCCGACTGCGCGCGAGCGCAAGAGCCTGCATTGATTCGATGGCGCTGAAGAGCGCGGCGTGTCGCTTTGGATTCCTTTCTACTTCGTCGAGGTTCTCGATGCCCAGACCGGATACGACGTCGACGTCGAGGTTGGCTGCTTCGGAGAGGGAGACTGCCAGTTGCGGGAGCGAGGAGTTCCACGGTGGGATGTCGTCTAGTGCGGAGTTGGGGGACGAGGGCTTGGAGTGCACGGTTAGGTGCGGTGTGTTTGGGTCGGTGCTTGTTGCGAAATCGGCAGGGAGGGAGAGATCTGGTGTTTTCCAGGTGCTCGCTGTTTCCAGAGCGGGAGATACAGGACCACCGTAGGTGTGGGTTTTGTCGTGGGCGCGGACATCGTTGAAGGTCAAGGCGGACTTCACGAATTCGGGCGAGGCGTGCTCCTCTGTATCCGTACTCCATTCGGAGAAGCGGCTTTGTTCCGCCACGAACCGCGACTGCGTTGAACCTTCGACAGTTGTCAAGCTGGAGAAGTGACTGCGGAGCACCTCGGCGTTCATCGCCTTGTCTGTCTCGTCGATGGCGCGCACCGCCTCGTCCATGACAGACGATGGCGTGTTCGGGAGCGTGGGCAGTCTCTTTTCCTTGGTGTCCACGCGCGTCGGGGTTGACAGACCGCCAGAGGACCCTTCATTGGAATTGTTGGGCTGCTTGGGCTGCTGCTGCTGCTGCCCGCGGGTTTCTACGGTCAAAGCAGCTCGACCAGCATCCCCAGCGCCAGCTTTCATTGCGCGACGACTTTGGATCGTGGCCGGAACGTGGGTTTCTGGACCGACACCATTGCGGTGCTCGTCCACCGCGCCATTCTGCAGAAGCGCCAGGCTCTGCGCATTGACCTGCTGAACGGGATCGGGTCGCTTGGGTGTATCTTCATTGGCATTTCGAAACGCGGAGCGCAGACCCCGCGAGCGCGGCGGGGAAACAGAGCGCGCGTCCTTGTTCCCATTTTTCCTGCGAGCCGCGCTGCTCGGCTGGGACGCACTCCGGTGAACCATATCCGCATTGCGCGGCGAGGCCTTGGTAGCGGCTGTGGCAGCACGCTGCGGCTTGGACGTGTTGATCCGGGGCAGAGTGGGCTTTGGCGGCTTGCGCGGGTTCAGATACTTGTCCTCCGGGTTCATTGTCCGATAATCGAACTTTTCCGAACTGTTGCTCATCGACCGACCATGAGAGCGACTGTCGGGCAGGATAATGGGAACGTTCAGGACGTTGACGGGTTGGCCTGGGAGAAGAGGGCATTTGGTGGTGACGGGCTCGGCTTCGTTGAAGTGTTCGACGTCGTCGTCCAGCAGGTACTATATTCCCCAGCTATTAGTTTACCAGCCATTGACGTAGACAGGAGACACCCACATAGTACCAATAGGTAGCCCCCATCTTCAACCCTCCGGTCCGCCACTGCGATTTATCATTTGGCGGCCCGTCGCCCATGATATCGGTGAAAGTATGGCACCCGCGCCACACACCGGCACCGACGCGTCGGTCGCGCTCCATGGCATAGGGCTTGGAGAAATTATCCCATGACCCGAGCAGCTTGACTGAGCGGACATTGGGTTTGGTTGTGAGTAGAAAAGTCATGAGGGTGGTCGAGAGCATGGAAAAGAAAACGAGAGAGAGCGCTGGCCGAAACGAATGATGGCGCAGCAAGAGTGGACAGAAACGCAGAAAATGCAAGCAATGCAATGCAATGCAATGTAAAGAGCGAAGAAAAGAGCACAAACAAGAAACGAAGGTATAGTACAGTGGATGAGAATGAGACGGAAGTGGAGGAGCCCAGCGCAAGGTTAATATAAGAAAGGCTGCCAGACAAACAACCAAGGCCGTTTCTAATTTTACCGATTGTTGTGATTCTCAGCTCGGGTTTCACGACCCTGGGCCATGACCCGAAACAACAACAGTGGCTGGCGGCGGCGGCGGCGGTGGTGCCTCAGGAAGCGCGACGCTCCGGGCTAATGTCAGGCACAGTGCAGGGCGACACGCCGGGCCAATGGGCGTGGTGAGTGGGTGTGACGGGGGGACGTAGTGTCGGCGCTTAGGCCGGAACACGAGATAAGAATAGGTGAGACGGTGGTGTTGGCGCGACCGATGAAACGGACAAGAGAATGATTGAGGACAGGGCGGATGTTGACGAAAGAGAAAGAAACAAAGAAAGAAAAAAAAAGGTAGGCAAACCAAGAAGAGAAAAGATGCGTTTTCCGCGATCGGCGCCGCGGGGGAGCTGTGACGACTGCTGGGGGGATCGGACGGCCGATCAGGAGAATGAGGTGGTGATCGGGGCGATAAGAGGAAGAGCAAGAATCGAACTCTACTACGATGACTACGATGAATGAATTCCTGGCTGACGTTCCCCCGTTCAGGGGTAATTCTTGATTCTTGCCATCAACATGCCGGGAACCACTGGAGCCGTGGTTCGCAGTGGAGCTGCAACGCAAGGTACGATCAGCAGGGGCGAGCAGTGACGTCTATCTCCCGAATTAGGCTATACTAGAAGAAAGTAATCGATAATAGATACAAACAGAATCACTACACCCTCGTCCGATCCAACTTCTTATGCACCGCCCCAAGCACACACTTCAAGATCCCATCCGCGTTCAGCGTCTTCCCTTGCCCTCCCCGCCAAGGCACCGTGTCAACGATGTCCCGCATCTTCTTCCGGTGGCACCAACCCCCTAGATCATCATCCAATTGCTGCAGGTACTTGGTCGCGCGCTCATCATTCCCAATCTGGAAGAACTGCACCCCAACCTGCCACGGCAGCGCATTGCAGTCCTTACCATCCAGCCTGCGAGCAACCTGAACGATAATGCTCTCGGCATCATCAGTAAACTCGCCGTCCGTGATCGCGATGATATTAATCGGCTTCGGTTTCTGGGCGGCCAGTTGCGCAGCTCGCTGCCCGTCGCCGCGGCGGGAGGCATTGGTTGCGGCGTGTTCGAGGCGCTCGAGTTCCGCGAGGTACGGAGTCAGGATGTTCAACAGGCGCTTGCCGACTGGTGTTGCGCCGCGCGGCCGCACGCTGCTGAAGATCTGTTGTACCTGCGCCGCGGTGGTTACGTTCGTGTAGGCACCCTCGTTCGTATCGTAGACGCCCTGCGGAACCTCGCGGCGGTGGTTGAGGAAGAAGATGTCGATACCATCACCGTCGTACTGCGTGCAGATGGGCGCGATGGTGGCGATGGCCGCTTCGGCTTCTTGCCAGCGCTCGCCGCGCATGCTGGAGCTGTCGTCTACCAGGAAGATGGTGTCGAAGTCCTTCAGGAAGGCGTAGCGCTCGTCGCCGTCGGCTTGGAGTTCTGGCGACTGAGGCTGGCTGGGGCTGCTCGCGTTCGGTGTGTAGGGCGGCGGCGACCAGACTGATGATGACGGTCCGACGGAGCTGCGTGAGGAAAGCGAGCTCTCATGGCTCCGGCGCTGCATCCTGGAGCGCCGGTTGCTCATCATGGCCGGACTGCTGGGTGGGGTTTGCTCGGACTCGCCACGGCGATGCATGAGTCGGCTGGCAGGGAAGGAGGACCACTTGGGTGGCGGGATGACTTTGGCAAACATTGGTATGGTATGGATCTACTCGGTAGGGTTGTGGGAAAGTATACTCTCGATGATAGTCGACTGACAGCGTTCCAGAAGGAGTTTGGAAGGTCTTGGTAGACTCTTGGTCACCCCGGACACATCCCCATCTTTATATCTTTTTCACAGCCTTCTCTCAGGCGGCCTCAGCGTTAGCAATAAAAGGTCATAATGAAACCCTTGGAGTAACAAGCCGCGGATATTAGGGCTGAAACCAAGGCGGACCGGGGGTTGCCTCAAAAGAGTTATTGATAAAAAGGCTGATGGTCATTACCAGGGTGAGGGCAGATCAGATCACCGACACGCCTCGTGTGAAGAACAAAGACGGGGTAATTATTCCGACGAGGCGGATTTGGTTTGGCGCCGCAGGTCCTGACGCAAAGCGGCAAGTTAAGCGGTGTTCAAACGCCTCGCGCATCAGAGCAAAACAGCCTTGTGCGCTAAACCAGAGGATATACGCTCACTAACAAGGAGGAGAAGAAGAAGTGAGTTTGTTAGTTAGACATGACCACTATAAATGATTGGCTTGTTCGTTGTCTCCCTCGTATAGTGTCGTACTTCGCCTTGGTGGCCCAACGGGTTTTCGGAACGGAAGGCTGTACGACAAAGTTCCTCAACACGACTCAGCCCCGCAAGCGGTAACAAGGCGCAGCAGTGATACAGCAATATTCGAAATTATTTTACCCCTTATTTATATTTATATGTGAGCAGATAGGCAATTTTAGTATAGGAAGTAACATGCATCAAGTCAAAGCTCATTAAATCATCTTCTGTCCATAATACCTTTGAATTTGCACAATCAGCTTTACATAAATATTTCCTCATCACTAATCCGCATACCAGACCACAGGCCTCGGTTTACAATTTGACTTCGAGATAGGCCATGGTTGTCGAGATGTCAAATTGTAAAATATTCCATTTGCTATGGTGTTTTGGGCTGGAACGCCGCCCGCTTGGTGCCGCTCGTATAGGAATTACGTCTGCTCAGTTTCCCGACACACTTAATACCGCCCCCTCGCGTAACGCCTGTGCTTATTACTTGTTTCTGAGATCTTCTGATACCTCAAGGAACTTCTCCACAATATGAGATCCGCGGACCAAATCCTTAAGCTGCTCAACAAACAGACCCCTTGTTGAGGTCGCATCTTCCCTTGCTGACACTCCGGCTTGTCAGTTAGGCTCGTCGATCACCAGTCTAAATATAATACATTTCTCTGTCTTGTAACTGCATTGGCGATCCAAGGCGATTAGAAATTTCCATGGCTATGCAAACAAGTCAAACACCAGAGCCAGAGAGGCCTAGGGCCTCGAGAATCTGGCGAGGTCACTTTCCTCTGCCACTTCCCGCGTCCAAGTGACAGTCTGGGAGGGTTACTCGGTACCAAACAACGCAAATAGTGACTTAAAAAGTTAATCAGCTACTTATCTATAAGAATCATAGTCCAATATTTTGCTTTCCTCTTTGCGTATTTGTCACTTATCGAGTACATCGAAAATTGACATATTCTTTACCATGCAATTTGATTCCGAGTCACAACCAAGTTCGGATCGCAGATCATGGATATCTGGATAGTCTCGCAGACTTGCTATGATTCTAGCCGCATTCTCGCAAGATGTGAGTTGCCCTATATTCGAGGCGCCACCAACATCTTGCGCTTTAGACACGGTTTCGGCTGTGCGGGAACTGAGTGCAGCCGATCGCTCTGCACTCGGGCCTTCGATATTGTGACCGATATATCCTTTTGTACCTGACCTTGATAGAGAACGTTGAGCCCCGGCAGTAACCAGCTCAAGTGGCGAACTGTTTACCTCCCGGCTAGGAGATGTGCGTGCATCGCGGCATTTCATAAGAGGATCACCTGGCACCACAGTCGAGTGTGAATTTGTTGGCGCCAAGGAGCTTATTGGTGGAATATAGGTCGCCTGCGATTCCAGGTATTTCTTGATTTCTTCCTTTGAGACGCCGTGGTATATCAGCAGCGATCGAAGGAGGGCATTCTCTTTTGCGACTTTTCTCCCTGCCTCTTGAACTTCCTGCGACGCAGCTACACCAAGACTCTGGAATGACCGTAGTTGTTCCTCAAGGTGCCGGGTGTACTCCTTGCGCCGTGCACGAGAACGCCGCTGGTTTTCGCGGATTCGAGCCAACGCGGCCGGGCGACACTCTCTCATATTTGCAGTGGTCCCTGTCTTTATTCTTGTCAGGACTAGGAAACAATATCCTCGAGGGTACGAGTATAGATAAGGCTGAAAGCAATTCTCGCGCCTTGCATCGATCCGAGTAGGCGAGCCAGTGAAGTTTTGACTGCTTTCTCCGGCTCGGAGGTATAGTACGTCGAGGGAATTGATAACATAATCAACAGCTATTCCGCATTAGTCGCCACCGTCCGCAGACGTGCATCCAATCATCATTCGCCGGTGACATACTAGCATCTATACTGATAAGAATGTGCTGAGGAATTTTTTTTCTCATCTCTGTTGTTTTCTTTTACCTAGCGCTATGCTAGTTGTCGGCTCTACAAGATTAAATTGCTTTACGCCAAATTTTGTTTCGACATTCAAGCTATTGCCTTACTCAAGACTACCTCTGCCTCGCCAGAAATCTTCGGTGTTATTTTCCACAATTCCTCAACAAGTGGTAGCAGATACCGCCCAAACTGGCGGCCCAGATAGAGTCCCATGGGTTTCTGGTTACCGAACTTTGGCCTTACGCTTAGGTGAAGATGATTCCAATATTCGTCAAAAGTACCGGCCATTCATCCTGAGCGACAATACATCAGAAGACTGGGTCGATGGTCTCGAGCTGACCACAGCTTTGGACATTGCTGAGAGTAGCCTCAAAATTGCGAATGCAAGGGTCAAGGTCCTAGTACTTTATGGCAGTCTCCGGAGAAGATCATATTCGCGGCTGGTTGCTTTTGAAGCTTCCCGAATCCTTTTCCGACTCGGCTGTGATGTGCGTATCTTTGATCCTGAAGGTCTTCCAATGAAGAATGATAGCGACCATGGACATCCTAAAGTACAGGAGCTTCGAGAACTTAGTAATTGGAGTGATGGGCACATCTGGGTTTCACCCGAGCAGCATGGGAATCTGGTTAGTAATCCCTTTCTTTTATCCTTTGTTTTAAGGTTGATGTTATAAATACTCATTTTGTTTTTATTCTTCGACACTAGACTGCAGTGTTCAAAAACCAGATTGATTGGATCCCTTTAAGCACTGGAAGTGTCCGTCCGACTCAAGGCCGGACGCTTGCCATTGCTCAGGTGTGTGGTGGATCGCAATCGTTTAATGCGGTTAACTCCTTGCGTATCCTTGGTCGCTGGATGCGTATGTTTACTATTACGAATCAGTCCTCAATTCCGAAGGCGTACACACATTTTCCGGATGAAGGTCAACCAGGGGATCAACGGCTCATGCCTAGTGGTAACCGGGATCGTCTGGTGGATTGTATGGAGGAATTTGTCAAATATACAATCCTGATGCGACCCCACCTCGAGCTTTTTGCCGATCGTTTCAGCGAACGAGAGGAGAAGAGACTAAAGGAAGAAAAGAAGAATCCTCATACGGTTGTAATGAGTCAAGATATGTTGTAAATAGTGGATGATAAATAGCCGTATAGACAGTCGTAGTAAAATAACTTTTTGCGGATGCCTTAAATTCGTCCTCTATCTCATTGTTTCCTTTCATAATAGCCCGAAGAGAAAAGACAAAATACTTTGGCCAAATAGACGAAGCGTACTCTTCCATTAATGGTTGTATTCTGATCAAGGCTTGGACCACCGTTTATGCCCTCGCTCCAAAACAACGCTCTTAGGAATAGACTTGTCTCGCCTATCAATATGACCTACGCGTGCAAGAGCTGGGGTTTGAATCATCGATCTTGAAGCCCTCACACCTATCAGCGAGATGTTGGAAGCATATATCTAGCACCTCTGGCTCTGGAACAACTTTCCATTCCAACTTGAACAAGAATTCAGGCTCTAGCATTGCCAATTCCTTCGCGCTGATTCCGTCTATTCGAGCATATGTCTTATTGGTCCAAAAGCTATCACTCAGGCCTTTGCTGGCGGCTGTCGAACTAACAATTAGAAATCGATGGATCGACAGCGGAAACTGGGAACTCAGGGTATAATATGCAGAGTCATTGAAGATAATAGACCATGCCGAGTAGAATCGGCGGTGAGAGTTTAGCATGTGTAGTCAATCGCTGAAGGTATTATCACCAGCAGGATTCTGTTTAGCCTGCACTATTTAGGTATTAAATAATGAAGTCTCATGATTCACAACTCAAAGCCACCTAGATATCCATTTGTCACTCTAAACTATGTTGAGTAGTTTATCTTCATCAGGAGGGAGATTTATGGCGTGCGTTCAATTCGCGGTTTTCTCAACCTTGAGTGTCAGGCTTTATAGCAAAGATTTTGAAAGATCCTGGAGTGGAAAAACCGGATTTGTGATCAGCGGTGCATCTTTAGTGACTTATTTGCAGGTTATCTCACCAGTCCAAAAGTTGAAATCTACGTCTGGCAATTCCTCTGTCTCCATAGATGAACTAAGTCTCCCAGAATCACAGCACGAGCCGGTGGAGCCGGAGTTATTAGCCTTTTCCGTTTGCCACATGTCCTTGTAGATATTCAGGTCGCTGTTGGTGTTCAGAATCAAGGAATCTGTAAACTTGTGTCAGCGAGAGATCAGTTTACAAAAAAGAAGACAATTGATAGAGTTAGTACCTTGAAACCCCGCATCTTTTAAGTATCTTTCATAATCGCTGACCTGGCTAGCCCCAGCTATACAGCCAACATACAAGGAGAGGTCTTTTTTTATCTCCATCGGAAGTTCTCTCGTTGCAAGAATGTCGCTGATTGCAACTCTACCCCTCGGCTTCAGCAAGCGAAACATCTCTTGAAACACAAGGGGTTTTTCAGATTCAGGCACCAGGTTCACCACACAGTTACTTATGATGCAATCAACGGTGGATGACGGTAACGGGACACGAGTAATGAACGCCTCGATAAACGACGCATTAGAGGCCCCAGCATTTCTTGCGTTTCGACGTGCCAATTCTAGCATATCCTGCTAGGATTTGAGAAAAACCAGCTATTTAGCGGAGAATGGTCGGCATACCTTCGTCATATCAATACCTATAGCCTTTCCTTCCGGTCCAACCTTCTTTGCGGCGAGCAAAACGTCAAGACCTCCGCCACTACCTAGATCAACCACAGTCTCGCCCTATTAATAGATATCAATATCAGTAGAGGAGGACGATCACTGGCTATACCGTACCACACGAATATTGGCCGTTGCTAATGGATTCCCACAGCTGACACCTAGATTCGCATTGTTGGGAATAGAGCGTAAATCCTCTAAATCATACCCGAATGCGGTTGCGACGTTTCGTTCATAGGCTCCCTGATTATCAGGGAGAGCATGATTCGCAACATCTGCGTAGCGCTCTTGCACAGAACGGTAGGTATCTTCGGAATTCATCACGTAGGTATCTGCTTCAGCAGGGCAGAAATGGGGAACTTGGTTATGCAAGTTCAAATATCAAACAATTTGCTGTTCAAAAAGAGATTTCCACAACTCGACCGTTTGGGCTTATTTATATTACTCTATATTGCTCAAGATTTTAGTGATTCAGTGTCCATAGCGCCAATGTGGAGATGGGTGGAGGCTGTTCACCCGCTGATTGGGCAATCTACTTTTTTGGTATGTCACCAATTGCCAAGTCGATGTCACCAACTTCACCCGCAAATAGAAATGATTATCAACAAGATTGTGTTATAGAGAATGGCAACACGCTGGGCCGTAAAGTAGACTGATAGATAATAATATTTAGGTCTATGATAATTCTAGTACGCTGGGGTTGATTATCTCGAATGAATAGTCGCATCTCTTTAGGTTTCCCGGAATTCTTAGCGTGTAAGACTACAAACCACGCTGACTTGTAAGTATCTGCCCGGAGCAAACAGTAGGGATACGGCACATCGATATGTCACCAGAATCATCTGAATTAGAAATTAGTCCCTGTCACCTGGGATGTCATATGGAGCATGCACGGGCTTATTCAGACAAATTTTGGTGACATTTTGAGTATTATGATTGCCTATTACTGTACGCTGGTAAACCTCTGCCCTTATATTATTCAGAATAGCTTTCTCTAATCGACAAATGGATATGAAAGCAACTCCCAGGACGGGATGTGTGCCTTAACTGACTCTCAGTCCTTCCAGCCCGCTCGCTTGGCTATAAACTTGACAACATAAACAAGGCCAAGCAGTACCGGTACCTCAATCAACGGCCCGACAGTGGAGGCAAGCGCTTGGTTGCTATTAGCACCGAAGGTTGCGACAGCAACAGCAATAGCAAGTTCGAAATTATTGCTAGCAGCGGTGAAACTTTGAGTGGCAGCCAACTTATAACCAAACCCGAGCTTGTAAGTCACAAGAAGAGTGACGAAGAAGACAATGATAAAATAGACGATGAGCGGAGCAGCAACTCGGATTACTGATACGATTTGATGAACCACCTGGTGACCCTGAGATGCGAACAACACAAGGATTGTAAAGAGAAGTCCAAGAAGTGACCACGGGCCTGCCCACTTTAGGAAGACCTGGTCGTACCAACGTGGGCTAGCAATCTTTCGAAGGGTGAAGCGGGTAACAATTGCGGCACCTAGAGGGATGCCAAGAAAGACTGCAACACTCTTGGCAGCAGTAGAATAAGATAGTGTGACTTGCCTGCTCGAGTGGCCAATGACTTTGATAAAGAAGACAGCCAAGGGAGCAAAGAGCACCATTTGTAGCAATGAATTGATTGCGACGAGAATTGCGCAGTATTCACTATCGCCGCCAGCGAGACCAGTCCAGATAAGAACCTATTAGCAAGGATATATTAGTTTTCTTCCAGCACAACATAATGGAAGGGTAAATTTACCATGGCGATACATCTAGCTAATCCAACGAGAATCAAGCCCTCTCGAAGTTCTGGCTTGTCTGGTAGGAAAGCCCATGCCAATGCTAGCTAGAATATACCATATCAGTAAACGTTACCATAACGAGTCGAAAGCTTCTCACCATCAAGAAAGGAGCAATAATCCAATTTACAAAGATACTGAACCCAATCTGGACCCAGATCCCCCGCTCTCGGAAGACATGATGTAAAGATTCGTACCGCACTTTGCAGAGAATGGGGTACATCATGACCAGGAGACCAATCGCTTGTGAAGGTTAGCCGGCCGCTGCATTGCTAATAGGTTCGAAGATACATACCGATTGGAATAGACACCCCGACGAACTTGCCCTTTTGAAGGGCGGGACCTACATTTTCCACAAAGTTCCCCAGGATGATTCCAACAGCCATCGCAAGGAAGATCCATACGGCTAGAAAACGGTCTAACCAGCCAAGACTTTTGAAGGCGGATTGCTTAGCCGCGGTTTCTTCCGGCTCGTTCCCCTTTTGCTTTTCGACATCCTTTGCTGTATCCTCGACTGGAATACTTGCCAAGTGATCATTCAATGTATTATGATGAGATTGCGGTTGGGCCTTTTGACGCAGATCTGTCTGAGGACTTGTGGCCATCTCTAGGACCAGCAACCTGTGTATGAGACACTTTCTGGGAATGCGTTTTGCTCGATGAGAAATTCAAAAAGAAAAATTGAAAAATGCGAGAGTGATTTCCGAAGATTTAACAAGCACACGAGAGCAGCCAGCAAAATATATAGAACGTAACGTTTTGCTTTGAAGTGAAAGATTATGCGCTATTCCTAATTTAGCAAACAGAGGCAGTTCAGGGTGGCCAATCACGCTGGACGAGTGACAGTCTGCTAATCTTGGCCAATCATAACCAGGCAGTGACATGCTCTCAATGCTCTGTCCGGGCTTGCCCCTGCTTTGTCATCGATGAAAATGTCAGTGTTTTTCTAGTGGCCAGTAGCAAGGCTGGAGTGACATACATATTGCATAACAGGGTAGGACAAAAGATATGTCGAACTATCCGCCTACAATAGAGTCAGGCTCTGCTGTGCCAATTGCTCGCTACCGAAGATCTAAAACTACGATTTCGAATCCTGCAATAAGAGCTTAGCTCTATTTAAGATGAGACCGCTGTATACACTGCGACTACGATTCGCAAAGTCCCCAAGTCAACACTTATAATAAGTCATGGGGCAATAAACAACCTTTCCCTAGATGGGAGAATGTTCTAGATCAGTAGGTCATTAGTTTTCTTCCCTTGCAAGCTAGCACGTGGTATATATAAACTCCAAGGGCCCCTTCTATTTAGCCTCTTTCGCAAATTTGACAAGAATTGAGGCATAGGCGTACGACTATTTTTCTCGGGTCAAGGCATTTCCCACTCCTCCTCGCCAAGTACTGTTTCCTGATAACCTCACCCCTCACATTCAACGAGCTGCGCTGCAACGACCGCCCAACCGATCACTCGAAAAGCATCTTATGGCTAATAAGCCCAGTGTCTTGTTCGTTTGCGTCCATAACGCCGGTCGCTCCCAAATGGCCGCCGGTTACCTTAATCATCTCGCTGGTGACACCGTTAATGTACGCTCTGCCGGATCTGCCCCAGTCGACTCCATCAATCCCGTCGTCGTCGAAGCCATGCTCGAAGAAGGTATCGATCTCAGCAATCAAAAACCCAAGATTCTAACCGCCGACGCGGTTCAAGCCAGCGATGTTGTTATCACTATGGGTTGTGGCGACGCCTGCCCCTTCTTCGCTGGCAAGCGTTATCTCGACTGGCAACTTGATGACCCCGCCGGCGAGGGCCTAGACGCTGTGCGAACTATCCGTCGCGAAATTCGTCATCGCATTGAGAGACTTATTACTGAACTCCGGACCTCTTGCTGATGTCACTTGAAGAGGCTGCACAGAGGGTCGTAGTCGTGAACCGCACTTCTAAATATAGCATTATGGTGGTATGGCTCTTATTAGCGGGTTTGCTGAGTATTATGAACAGCTGCTGTGCCTGGCGGCTTCATGTACTGTATTCTGTGTTTCATACTAGTGACCAACTTCGCGAAGAATTGATATCATTCGAGTTAGTTTTCGCGGTTCCGTATTAGAAAAAAGGCGGTTACTGAATCCTTTGGTCAAGTGTTTTAGTTTCTTACCTGTGACCGAAAGAGGTCAGGAGGATCTGCTGAGAGCCCGCCTTCGCTTAGATTCCCAAGAGGTTGCGATGTTGATTTTCGAGATTTCATTCGTCCTATTGGTTCTGAATGGATTCTATCAAGCCAGGCCCATGAGTATGCCATCGAGGCTACAACTATTTCAGCTCAAACTCTACGTGCGCAGTGCTTTACCTAGTCCATAATTTCTGCAAGGAAAAAGTTGAGTCCATTAATTCTACATGTAACAGTAATGGCGTAATAAGTGTTAAAGTCAGAAATAATATGCAGAGCTGCACTCTTACTTAGGAACATATATGCTGATTTCACACAGGTGATACGGTTGGCCGTCATGACGCATCTGAAAGAACCGTAAGCAATAGATGATAATCAACCCGGCATCCCTCCCCCGGCACAAGGCTGTTTCTGTACCCATCTCGGAGCCTCAAGTGAAGGCTCATTAAATCCGGCTTTCTTCGGACATAGCTGATCAATAGCTTGCAAGCCTCCGAACAAGAGACGGTGGGTTGGGCGATGAGGGCCGAATTGTGAGAATTCCAGTCTATCGCCGGACATCCCAAGGCTGACAAGTCAACCCCCTTCGAGCTCGAAGCATTGTAGGGCCCTAGCTCCGTTAGCAGGCGATATAGCGATTCCAATAATTTCTGACATACGTGTGGGTAGCTGTGACGGATACAAAAACCGGTCATCAAACAAGAGACTTTCAGGCAGACAGGTATTTGACGTCGTCATGCTTCCTCCTCGCAGAGATTCATTATTGCTAGCGATAGAGCTGGAGCCCTGCAGTCCACCCATTGCCTATGAGCGGTCAGAGAGTATGACACAGTATGCATATATAGGATCGAACTAACGCTAGGCATTAAATTAGACGTGTTGCCGTAGTCTGGAGATAGAAGAAGATCAAATCCCCTTTCTGACCCAGTGATCGCTCCGCAAGCCTCGTACGATAGGGGGAGAGGCGTCCCAAACGCAAAATCCGCCATAGATGTTATGGATTCCACAAAGTACTTTAGGAGCTGATTTTCGACCGAGAGCAGATCTATCTTTTTCTGCAGGTCACTGAGCTGAGCGTTCTGCGCAGTCTCGTAATGTTGCACTTTCTGTTCTAAATAGTGAATGTACTCCTTCTGGCGCGCACGGCATTTCCGTTGATTGTTACGCACTCTAGCAAGGTCCTCAGCCTAGAAGACGACGGTCAGAGATTCCGCAGCCGTTAACTCGTCCTGCGCAGAGTACTCACCTTGGTTTTGACTTTCATCCGGGGCATTCTAGAATAGGGAGGAGAGGCGAATATTTCTCAGAGTTCGTCGATCAACAAGATATCTCGCTTGTAGATGGAAGATCAATCCAGTCAGTCCCTTTTACGTTTATGAAAGGTGGGGTTGGGTTTACGTCACTACGATTTGGCTGCGCTAGTTAATCCCACTGCTGAGCGATGTGAATCAGTGCAGGGTACTTTGTGAAAACACGGTAAAATCTAGTCGGGCTATTGGAAAGGTATGACGGAATCATTGAATATCTTGGGGATATAGTTTTCTGTGAGAAAACAGTATTGAAAGTGATTAATAGGTGACATACCGAAGCAATACACGACCAACTGACAGGGGTACTACGGAAAAACTCCCAATGCAGACTAGCGAGTCTTAGCATTACGGTTCGAGAAATAATGAAACAGTGTAGGTGGGTGCACCAGTTTCGAGACGCACTGTACTGCTCCTAGGATACACAAGCACTTTGACTGCGGCTCTAGCGGTAATGATCCTGTTGAAGTTGCTTACACGTTACTAGATTGGGTTGAAGGATCCGATTTGATGCCATGGGATTGGCTCACACCTACAGTCCGAACTTGACACAAGATCTTAGACCAATTGTTAATCTGATGCTAAACCTGATTCCTCAATGTCCGTCCTGATTATCAACGTAAAGGCATGTCCTGTAATTAAGCTCCGTTTGTCGCTGCGACCGCGGCCCAGGACTTGTTCAGTTCAGGCTGTGGGGTTGGACCGGCAGGGCCAACAAAGTATTTCAGCAACGCAATTAAAACACTCGACAAAGTCAGCTATTGTGAAACGCCGAAAATTGATTGCAACAAAGGCGAGAAGTAATTTCGAATATCGCTGTAATAAATTTGAACAAAAAATAGTATTACTTCAGGATATATATCATTAATCATTTGACCCCGGAAAAAACTCCAGTCCCAAAGCTAGAATGCAGACCATGACGATAGACAGATTAGGTACAAGTATTTACACCGTCGACGGGCGAAGCTCTCGGTACTCCCGATACTCGTCTCGTGACATCAGATGATAATGCGGCACATGAAAGACCGAAAAAGGAAGCAGGCCCGCCAACCCAGTCGCCGGATCAGCCGCATCGCCGTATATTTCTGGGGAATGGAACATGCCTGGGTCCGCGGATAAAATGTCCATAACCGCCAGGGCCTGGTCGAGCCCCATCGAGTTCCCAATCATGGCAAGACACTTTATCGCCCATTGACGCTGCGGATGAAACGGCCCCTCGACCATACCAGCCAGATACAGGGGCCAGAGCAGCATGAGACCGCCCAGGTAGCTCTGTGGTGGTATGGTGGGTACTTCGGCAGGGACCTCTGAATTGCAGGCGCCCAGGTGAAACGGGACACTGCGGCAAATGTCGGCGCCTAGGCGACTGGTGGTCGCGCGCAGGGACTTGCAGTGTAGACGGAAGTCTTCGGATAAGGAGTTGTTGGGTGAGCTGGCGGACAGCTTGTGGACATGCGATAGGATGATCTCGCTGACGAGGATGCGTGCGCAGCGGTAGTTGGACCAGCAATTGCAGACCCAGAGCTCGGGGTAGATGTGGTATTCGTTGTTATAAGGGAGAATCCCGCGACAGTGGCGGTCGAAGGCGCGGTTCTGCGGCGTCATGGTGTGGCTGGTATATGTAAACTCGGGTGGCAGAGCGGCCAGCCAGGCGATGAGATCAGCTTCGATTGCACAGGCCGCACTTAGAACGTCCTGGGGGTTGCTAATCACTTTCGCGTGGATATCTGCACGAAGGTTGGACAGATTGCCGATGATCACGATCAGTCGATTGCCAAGGTCATCCTTTGGCTGGAGGTACATGATGAGCTTTGTAGACTGCATTAGTGACTCGGGCACTCGCACGTCGCGCTGGATACAACTGAGGATCTGCGAGTGGGTTAGCCTTTTCCTCCAAGAGGAGAAGAGTAAAGACACGCACAATCTGATATCTTAAATGCATGAACAGCCGCATTCCTACGAAGGTCTCCAGCTGTTTCGTCCCTCGGAGCTCTAGGAGGGCTGCGGCGCCACGGATATGATTTGACCAGCCCTCGATGCCCTGTGGAGATCTCGTTGTGACCAGCTGCCGAGGTTAGCATTGAACTTGGTCTTTTTTTTAGATTTAAGCTTACTTCGTATACAGACAGGAGAATAACCGCGCCCAGCGCCTGGTTCGTTTTGGCCTCCTCCGCATCGGCAAGCGCCGCATTGACCAGCTGGAGCGCAGATCCATACTCCTGGCGCGCTGTTTGCCTTAACGACGCAACATTGCGAACCCGCGAGAGCAGGGCGCTGGCAACCGCCACGAGACTAGATTGCATAGCCTTTTGGCTCACCGATCCATCATCCTTCATGAGGAAATTGGCCATAGAAGCCGCCGTGAAGATGTTCCCGGGGATGTCATGTGACTGGAGGAAGTACGAGATAGCCTCTTGCTTCGAAGGTTCCAGTGTGGGCTGGAGCATCAGCGGGGATTGCCGAAGCTGATGCATCAGGAACTGGTGCTGGGGATCGGAGTTGAAATTAAATTCAAACTCAGTGTCTGCCACCGACCATGCGGCGATCTCCTCACTGTCCGCTAGGGACAGGGTGAGATCGGTGGTGCTCGGAGATGCATTACTATTCTGTTCTGGGGAAGCGGAGCGAGGCGATCGGAACGACGATTGGCGTTTCCTAGAGGTCACCGTAGAAGAAGCCGGAGAAGCCGAAGAAGAAGATTCTGCCTTCGCCTTGCGCATGACCGATTTGCTCTCGTCGCGGAACATCAGCGACAGCTCATCGCGATACCCGGGGCATTCCCGGCGGGCCCGCGTGCATTGCGAGCAAACCGGGCGGGCCTGATCGCACCGGATCTTGCGGGTGCGGCACTGGCCGCAGCCTTTACTGGGTTTGCCGCAGTAGACCATGCTTTTTGAACATGCGGCTTTAGCAATAATAATGGCGATAAAACGGCAACCACTGCGAGAGTGGGAGGATCGGGCCAGAGGAGATCCTGGGGCTGACGGGGTTGGTCCGTGCACCCTAAACCCAAGACAGACAGCAGTGCGAAAATAAGTGTTTGGTATATATGTGGCAAGGGACTCGACTGTAACGTATAGATAAAAGGGAAGAAAGAAGGCTGTGCATTCTCAGAATGAAAAAGAATCCACAAAAAAGATGTGGATAGTTTTGGAAGTGGGTGTTCGGGGCAGTGCAAAGAAGCTAGTGGTTCCCAATATGCCAACGATTCCCATCAACGCGAAGTCGTCGGGGATGTAAGTCTTTCGTTGATGAAATCAATTCTTAGTGACATTCAATTTCTCTAACCTGCCTAGTTGTATCACCTCTAGCACCAATAGTCATGGTCATCGCCATATGTGGTCCTCACCCTTTTAGTAGGTTAAGGACTGACAAATCCGTTTTAGCCTTTGAACTCGTTAATTCGAGATATTCGGTAATAGGTACTCTTCTCATTTTATTATTCTGCCTAAGAAGAAAAAACTGTTAGGGCTGAAAAGCTTGTGTTCAGCTAGCCGCTAAACCCAAAACGGAAAGCAGTGCGAAAATGTATGTTTTTGTATACCTGCTTGGGTAGAGGCTCGATATGAAACCAGGCAGCGATCAATTGACATATATATAAAGGAAATGGAATTGCCGTGCATTTTCAGAATAACAAAGTAACTACAAAGATAATATTTCATCATGGGTTCAGTCACCTACCGCGACGGCATCTCCATCCTGGAATTGATCGTTTATCTGCCGTCTTTTTTCGTGGCCGCCTTCCTAGTCTCCCGTCATGGCTTTCGCAAAACCGGCGGCTTTATTTTCCTGGCCATTTTCACGATTTTTCGTTTAGTCGGCGCATGCTGTGAGCTAGCGACCATCAACAAGCCCTCAACGGGCCTCTATGTCGCGGCCGCAATTTGCAGTTCTATCGGACTATCTCCGCTATTGATGGCATGCTCGGGCATGCTCTCTCGAGTGTAAGTTTTCCCTTGTCTATGTTGCTTCCATTATTTCGTTCTCTAACAATGTTTGAAATAGAAACGAATCTATCGAAAACAACACGACTCGCCCCGTTCTCCCTGAACTCGCCTTCAGCTTCTTCCGCATTATCACCATCGTTGCCATGGTTCTCAGCATTGTGGGCATTACATCAAACATGTCCCTCGAGGGCTTGAAACACCCGGATATCGAGGTCAAGATCGGCATGATCTTGTACCTTGTCAGCTGGGCGATCCTGATCGCATACCTAGGAATTTTCTACATGCGACGCTACTCAGTTGAGAAAGGCGAGAAACGTAACATGGGAGCCGTGGCCATCTCGGCGCCCTTTTTACTTGTGCGCATCATTTACGCCATGCTGGTCTGGTTCATTGACAACGACACGTTCGATATGCTTACTGGAAATGTTACTGTGCAGCTGGTCATGTCTGTGCTTGAGGAGATTGCCGTTGTCATCGTTTGCTTGGGTGTTGGGATGACCTTAAAGGTTCGGGGAAGGTCTGCGCGTAAACATGAGGAGGCCAGGGTGGGGGGCTATATGCTTCAAGGTCGATGATATGTCCTGCGCTGTTGAGAGTGGAGTTTTCTGGGTGGTTGTCTTCCCTACGGAGTTATGTAGATCCTTCTGTCTGTTACTTAGCGTTCCATGTCCTATGTTCTTAATGTCAAATGCTTCATATCTTGTAATTTTGGGCTTCCTTCTCCGCTGATCCCAATGTTGCGACTACAGAATTCCACATTTTAGTTGGCCAATTTGCATCAACTAGTGCATTGTCCAAGATGCCTGCTGTTACTATCACATTTGCCCGGACCAGGTCGAGCCTTGACCGCTGTCTGTCGATCTACAGTGCTGTATAGAAGAAAATCATGCCACTCTGGACTGTACTTTTGCCAGCAAGCTGTTTAAGCGTACAATCAGATGAGGCATATTCTCCTACGAAGGGTCATAAACAGACAAACCAAATGGACAACGTATTCGTCGTAGGTCGTACAGGGCATCACTCATACAACCCCCTCCCACCCCTCCATCCTCTCCCCGAACAAAAAACTGTACACATACAGGGGGGTTCCAGGTGTCCCCAGAGCAAACAACAACAGTAACCCAGAAAACGTCTGGGCGACCACCTGGAACCGCCCCCCCCGGGCGGACAGCTGGGAAAAGACCGGCCTTCTCACGACGCGACCCGGCCCCTCATTCGTCCCTGGCCACGCCCTCCGCAACGCCCGCGTCGTTGTGACTGTCTAGCTGCGCGTACGCCCTCTCGAGCTCCACGAGCAGGGCGCACTTCACCAGCTTCACCTCCACCCGAAGCTGGGATAGCAACTGGGCAGACTCGCTGACGCGAGCGTCCCGGCTGACATAGTCGGAGTAGAGGGACCGAAGGTCCGTCCACGCCTGTAAGGGAGTTAGCTTTTTAATTCTTTCTTTCGTTGTGTGTACGTAGATCCGAGAATGGAGAGATGGGAGGGAATATAACATACCGACAGCAAACTTCTCCGTTCGTCCAGGTCCATCTCCTGGACCAGCATCTCCTCGAGGGCCTGGAGGCACGCTTGTACTCGGCGTGGCTCCACATCGCCGCCCTCACTCACCACGCGTGTTGCCCTGATGCGCGCCGCCGGTCCCTTGTAGTGAGGGTGGCCGGTTCGTGGGATGAACGAACCGGACCTGACGGCGCGAATGCGGGGTTGTGAATCCCGCTCACCGGGGAGGCTAGTCGAGAGGGCTGGGGCAGTGGTTGATAGATGAGGCAGTGAAGGCGCACGACGTTGGAGGCCCACGCCTAGGCGAGGCAGTGCCGCCGTCGAGGCAGAGGCGCGGATGGTCCGTGCGAGCTTATTCCTGGGTTCCTTCCGGCTGCTGCTTCTTCTGCTCCGCGAGGTCGTGCGAGTGTTGACAATCTCGAATGTCGGGTCTCGCCGTTCGGCCCTGTTGCGCGAGAAAACGTGGCGCAGGTTACCGACTAGACCCGCGCTACGGCGCTCGGTGACTCGGGCGACATTGGTCTGGATGACTGTTCCATCGATCTCGGGGTGACGCGTGACGATGTCGTTAAATGTGAGATTGCTACGCAGTGTTGGGATGATTGCACTGGTCCCAAGAGCAATGGGCCGCCCTCCTGACTCGGTATCGACAAAATCGAGGAGGGGGTTGCGCGATGTGGTGCGAGAACGGTGCTGAGTGGTTCCCACTTGACTTGCAGAAGCTGCAGTCGAAGCAAGATCCTCAGGTCCAGTCGGGCTGCTACCTTGGTCAACGACAGGGCAGTTGTTAAGCGTGGCACCTGATGACGTCTGCGGCAGTTGTTGGGAGCTGGGTGAACCACGAGCCAACGGAGGTGAGCCACCACTGCGTGGGAACTTGCTCGGAGGACTTGGAGAAGCTCGAGGAACCTGCTTTCGCCGAAGAGGCAGTCCATAAGATAACTCTTTAGGCCCAAAAGACTTGTCGTCGTGACTGAGAGTCTCAACTTGTGGAGAGCTTCGAGAAGATGTCACAGCAGACAGTCGATAAGTCGGCGGCCCAAGGAAGAGGTCTTCACTTTCAGAGGTCTGGCCTCCACGGCTCTGATTCTCGGTATCCGAAGCATATGATGAGAATCCTGCAAGAGGTCGACGTAAGACAATAGGACTCTCTGGAGACTGGCTGTGAGGGTCTTTATGCCAAGAATAAACAGAGCCCTGGGTCTCGGCAAAGCTCCATCGAATTGGCAGGTCAATAGGCGGCGCACTGAATGGATCATCGCTCGCAGAAGACTGGCCACCGTGATTGCGAGGCTCCATGCCTGAGAGGCGAGAGGGATTCCCTACCCAAGGCCGACGCGGAGAAGAAGGGAGCTTTGGAGATAGGTCACTGGATGGCGGACCCTGAGCGTCTGGAGGATGCGAAGAAAATCCCAAAAATGGCCTACGTGGCGGTCCAGCAATAACGGGTCCCAGAACAAGCCGACGCTCCATGACGTGCTGCGGATTATGCCGAGCTGCTTGTCCTATTCCAATTCTGACGCCAGAGTACGAATGACCAGGAGAGATGCCATGCTGGGGATAAGTTTCGTCATCATTGGAGGTTCGAGGGATGTTATGAAGGCTGTCTGGAGTGGACAAGTGCGGCTCGTCATCGGCATCGTACCCAGACTCTTGGCCGATGCTGAGACCACCACCGTCTTCGGTCTCATTGGACGGGCTGTCTGCCTGGATGACACGGGGATAATAGACGTTGCCCGATTGATAAGCCTCAGGCCGAGTGTGAGGGCGACCAGTTTCATGGCCCAAGATGTAACGATCAGCCGAGCTGGAGATGCGCACTGTTGGACCTCTGCGGATGGAAGCAGGATCTGAATCGCTATCGTGTGAGATGGAGCCAGTGGAGCCAGCAAGGACATCCAGGCTTTTCTCGGAGATGGTTGTCAGTTTATCGTGATTATCGCCGCCTCTATGCGGCTGGCTCGAGAAGCTGGAGTAACTGGAAGAGCCACTGAGGAGCCTGATACCTCGAGTCTGCACACTTGGAGAATCGGTAGAGAAAGATTCCTCCGCCGTGGTAGTGTCTCGGCGGACACGAATGGGGATGGCACTCCGACGTGGAACAGGAGAAAGAGGAGCAGTGGTATCAGGAGATGAATCGCGACACGATTCACCGGGCTCTCGCAGCATCCGAGTCAAGCCCGGCACGCGTGGAATACGTGACCGCTCAGCACCATGGTGAGAACTCGCTTGCAGGAAGTATGAAAGATGAGGAGCAACTTCTGCTTTGTGTTAGCCCGAGTGCGCTCGAATGAAAGGAGCTGGGACCTACCACGCTCTCTAGGGGAGGTTGAAATGATACCCTGTCCTTCGGTCATAGGGTTGTGGGGTTGGACAGACTCTGGATAGGGTTACTCTGAGTCTGCTCTTGAGAAGGCTGGGAAGATATACCTTGTCCTTCAGCCTGGTCCATGGTGAATGGAGATGTCGCAAGAGGATCCGGGAAGCGGAAGGGAACAGGTTCTGCTCTGTATGCTAACTCAAGCCCACTGCAGGCGGGGGAGATCTTGTGTGCAGACATACCTTTTTCTTCGGTCTGCTCCGAAGGGATATGGGTCGAATGAGAAGAGTGGGAAAAGATGGACGACGTGAATTCTTCATCGCGTGAGTTTGTATACATGGGTGTTGGAGTGGCATGGATGCTTACCTGCTTCAGTCCGCTGTGAAGCGACGACGTGTTGATCCTCAGGTGGGAAGTCCAAGTAGGTGGAAAGGTTGTCAAATTCGTCTGGTCCACGAGTTAGCCAGCAGTTCCTGTCATGAAGCGAGTGTGGGCAAGAGACAGTCGTCTCTGCCACGGATAGTTTCCAGTCCGTGGTCGACGAGATGCATATCAAGGCCAGAAGAGAGGGTGGTGTGTGTGGTAGATACCTTGGCTGTCGGCAGACACACCCTCGACGGTATCGAGTGCCCTTATCTGCTCGCTCGTGAAACTCTGGAAGCTCTGGGAACTGGCCCAGCGCAGGATGTTGAGTGAGCTGCGAGCGGCGAGGGACGAGATTCCCAGAGGGAAGGAGAACTGGCCTTCAGTGCTAGATTCGTCTGAGGCGGCGAGATAGGAGAAGGAGGAGGATGGCGAGAGTAGGGAAGGAGAGGCAGGATTATCGGGGGAAGGAAGGTAAACAACAGACTCTTCTTCAGCGTGGGTCATTGCCTAGACAGGGGAGCTTCTCGGTTCGTACGCAGCTACGACGAGGTCATCGCGGCTGGGGTGCTCGGCGTGAGTGTCAGCCGCGGTGCACAAAGACCAAGATCCGGACACGCTGCCCGAGCCCTCATTCACAGCTGATTGCCACTAGGGGGAACATGAGCCTTATTCTCCCAAGTGTATGAGAGATCACTTACCATCCCGCTCCAGGCGTGGCCAGATTGCAGCCTGTCTTTGATGCGGCCGGCCTATACAAGAACAGCATGGTCAGCCATCGATGTCTTTGTGCCGTGGAACTCTGCCTCACTCCCACAGCCGCGTGTGAACTTCACTTCAGCGATAGATGAATGACAACTGATCGATATTAGGCATGGATGTGACTTACAAGTGATCGGTGCCGGCCTCGCGCCTTGCGAGCCTGTTTAACCCGCCGAGTCTGACGCCGCTTCTGGAGCATACGCTCCCAGAAGTTGGTTGACTTGATGCCAGCCGATGGCAGCGTGCCACTGCGCTTGCAGCGCAGTTTAGGGGGCTCTGGGGCGGGCGGGTCCCCGGTGGAATACCGGTTCCTCATTAGTTTCCCCCATTCATCCTCCGCCAGGAGTTGGGCAGGCACCGAAGGAAGCAAGATATCTTGCTCCCTGCGGCTCAAGCCCGCATCCAGGGGCAGGGGGTACGGGGCCTCACAACGTTCGGTAGTTGCCATATTGTGCGAGCCCTGTGAAAGATATCAACCCCGTATCCGGTGATTAACGAGAGCAACATACCCTCTTATTAGAGGAATACGTCAAAGGCGTGTGCTTTTCGCTTTGTTATGCGAAGGCTTGCGCAGAAAGGTAGTGCTTCCTGTGCAGTTTCTTTCATATCAGCCCTCTTTCCCCCAACCGAAGGATATCAGACTGGCCATCCAGCTCACGGGAGGGACGCCTGGTGTGAGATCCAGTGGGACTTACGGATTTAGAACGAAGGTGAATGTTGGGACGATACCAGGAAACGATGGGGATAGAGAAAGAAGGTTGTGTGTGCAGGAATAAAGGTGAAGAGGTGAATATCTACACGACAACAGAGACCTTCCCAATCGGAAGGCGGTTGACACTCTTGGGGCTCGTTTATCTCCGGCAATACTCAGGCAGTGAGTATCAGAATGCAAACACGCAAACAATACAGACAGGCAGGACTCTGTGAACCGGAGATATCGGCTGGATGGACTGCTGGCTGCTCCTACACTGGCCACGGGCGAGGGAAGTGCAGTCTCCTTGACCATGAGCAGATGCTTTGCTCTATAATGATCTACCCATGGCCGGTGAGGAACTACATCTGGAAGTATGAACTGCGTAAACTACAGGAGCTTGATATTGATATCCTTTTATCTACAGGATCCCTTATAGAAGTTGGGGCTGATACCTACCAAGAAACTGATACAGGACCAATGCTGACACTAACTAATTCCAAACCAAAGAAGTGTCTTGAGATAGTCTTAGCCTGAAAGAATAGTTTATAAACAGAGGAAATTCCATAGTATTTGTCATATCGTCAGTATTGGACGATATCAAACCTGGAATTCAACCCCCGGAAAGAAAAGCTATTGAAGATACAACCCCTCCAGAACATCCACGATTTGTAGTACTCAAGTCTTAGGACTCGGTCCGCTTCTGTAGAAAACCACCTTCAAGTATCTGCACGCCGTCCTCTCTTCCTCTTTCCCGTGACATGTCCATCCGAATCCTCCTGCACAAGCGCACCTGTGCCATCATCATGCCACTCGCTGATCTCCCACTCTATTGAAGTCGACTGGTCGTCACTGACTCCCATCCCGCGCTGTTGGTGCATGTACCGACCCAGCCGACTGCCTTCCACCATCTCCTCAAACCAAGGAATACCACCCAGTGTACCGTGTCTGTAGCTCCGTGTAAGGCCCGGTGTATTCCCAAAAGATGGCACAACCACAGAAGAAGATGTAGTTTGTGAAGATGGTGGTACAAGGGCAGAAGAGGAGCCTGCGGGGGCATTAACTGCCTCTTCCTCCAGGTCCCCCGGCAGCAGATCAAGATCTTCGAGCACGTGTTGATCCTCGCCAAACAGGGAACCGACTGTCACAGACATGAAATTGGCTTCCGATTCTGGCTCCTCGGTCCAGAGTGTCAAGGGTGTGCCGCAGAATCCGCAAAAGATGCGCTGGGACCGGGGTGCGGTGTGCGGTGTGAATGAACGCCGAATCGAGGCGTGCGTCTCGTCTGGGAAGAGTGATCTGGTGTAGGACTGGTACCAGCTGAGAGGTACGCGGAGCCAAGCGGTCAGAGGCGTGCCGTGGAATCGGCCTAATACGGATTAGCAAGCTGGATACATTCGCATGCTCCTCCATGCGGACTCACGGTTGTCGCGACTACTGTCAAAGTAGACATGTGCGTGCTCAGTTGCATCATTGGGGATTTCGATGCGATACTGATTGCGACCGCATGAGCATGCTCCGCGCAAGTGTTCGTGACTGGCCATGTCGGTGGCAGAGAGACTGGGACGAGCCGAAAAGGGGAAATATTGAGCCAAATGAGATTTCTCGAGGGTCACTAGGCACGAGGGCTGTCGATTGAGACAATTAACCCTGTTTTCGAGATCAGTCAATGCTGGAGAACTGAGAGAGAAGTGGTGGGGAAGGAAAAAGAAGCAGTAATGCCGAATCCGTTCGATGACGTTGTGCTTGACGCATCGGTCGGCTTATCGCGCCTTATCTGCTTAGCCCTAAAGGAATGTTCAACTATACCGACTTAGGGTAGATGAAAAGATCCAGTCAATAATTCAGGTTCCTCCAACTATACCCAGCTGCTCCCTAACTTGCTCTACCCCCTTTGTACCTCGCAATTCAGGATACAAGCGAAGTGCAACATCGAGTTGTGTCCTCACAGCCGCGATATTCTCCTCTGTCCGCGCACAATGCATCTCAACAAACCTACGATGGATGCCTTTGTTATGGAACGCTGCTTGGAAAAAGAATCTCTTTCCAGAGTCGCGCCGCAAGGTCGAGACCGTAGGAGGCAGATTTTGCGAAATCTCTTTCTTCCTAATCGCGGTCTCAAGGAAACAACGATCCTCGGCGAAGATTTCTCCTTCTTTCACGCCACCATTGTTCCATCCGGGAATATCGGTTACAAACCATGGATGATGTATAATGGCCGGTAGTGGCGCCGTAGATATCCAATCCCAGTCAACCACCCTATAATTGAATTCATCTGTCAGGAATCTCTTATGCAGAGCACACTTAGGTTGGCTTACCCTGTTAAATGAAAGTTTTCATCTCTCATTACATTATATGCATTGAGATCCCCATGTGAGAAACCAATAGCGGTGTACTTATCAAGCCCAGCAGTATACTCCGGGATCATAGATCGCATAATCAGATAGTTAACAGGGCTGCCCCAGCGAGCTGTTCCATTGATTCTCCGGAGACCGCAGTCGAGACTTTGCGTAAGCCAAACAGAATACGGGGAATTTTGCGTCAAAGAAAGATCTGGCGGAGCCGGAATGGTCAATAGTTGCAATAAGAATTCTGCAAGGTCATCGAGAAGCGTTTCACGTTTAATGGCAGGGATTCCGTGGTTCCAAATCGCTAGCGGCTCACCCCTAACCCATTCCGAATACAGGACAGGATGTTCCTCTCGAAAGAAAACATTTGGCACTCTGAGTATGGGGCACTGCTGCTTGATGTGTTGAAAATGTTTCACAGCACGTAACACGTATTGCCAATTATCGAAATTGTGGCAAAGTCGAGCAGCCCATTCAATTGAGTCTTGGAAGATGATTTTGTACACGGTGTGCGAGCAGCCATGGCGGGGAGCTACTTGGGCAAATGAACATGAAATTCCCTGACGAAGACGACTGGCTTCTGAAATAATATCGAGTGAGCGTTCCATTGTGTATTTTGAGAGAATTAAGATGGCAACTGTATTTAGAAAAGTGATGTGACCCATATCGTGAGTTGTGCCTTTTTAAATCTGCCCTTGCTGCTCAGCCAAAGTATGTACAAACTACTCAGCGAAAAGGACGCAATTGCAAGCATCTTCGACCCCTGTGTAGGTTCTGATAATTTCCTTCAGTGTAATGGCCTACTGTAGATAAGTGGTGAATCAGCAGAGAGAAATGGTACAGAATCAGAGGCGAACAGGAGTAGTAGTCACAATTCCAACAGCATGCATGCCTGACGGAGGTTCTATCCCAAAGACTCTTCTACACCAAAGCTCCTGATTTTTTGATAGCATCCCTGTGCTTGTATGTCAGCCATTCCGTAGCCATTTCTGCTTGAATTCCGTTATACGCTCGACCCCATGTTCAGAATCGGTTGCAATGACGGCGCATAGTTCTATGAGTGCTCGCTTGTGGATGCTGTCCGATAATTTTATAAGAACCAAATATATAAACCTTTAATCGATCCAACGATCCGCTTACGTAGAACATATTTCTCCCGGCCTATACTACTGACTGTTATATAGTAGAATGACGTTGGGCAAAGCCAGTCGCATCTCCGCACAGCCGATAAGCCTCCGTCCCCACATCGCTTTTCCTCCTCCACAACATCCCTGCCATTCGTTTACCTCTCTGCGCATTCTCTCTCCTTGTCCCTTCTCGTCTCATGTTCGATCACTAGGGACTGGTGAGAGAAGAACAACAACCACTACACGAAGTTCCCATCCACCGCCCTCTCTCCACCTTCGCTGCCTCCCTCTTCTACCCGCCCGTTCAGCCGAGTCTGCGACCCCAGCCAGCCACACCCCGGACCAGACCCCCCATACCCCAGACGCAAGCATGAACGACCGCGATGACCGTTCGTCATCCACCCCGACCGGCATATCGAAGCAGGGCTCCGCGGCCGACAAGGAGAAGCCGCGGCTGACAGACCAAGAGAAGAAGAGTAATCACATCGCGTCGGAGCAGAAGCGCCGCGCTGCGATTCGGGAAGGGTTTGATCGATTAACGGAATTGGTGCCCGGGCTCGAGGGCCAGGGCCGGAGTGAGAGCATTGTCCTGCAAAAGACGGTGGAGTTCATGCATCTGAAGCTCCAGGAACGGCGCGATCTCATCGCTGAGATTGAGAGTAAAGGCGGGCGGGTGGACGATTCGCTTCGCCCGTCCTAACTCTCTGATCTGATCGTCTTGAGCATCTTTTCGATTTACCTACTCTCTCTCTCTGTTGCGGCGTGGTGTTGCCCTCGGCTGCCGAGGTTCGGACGCCACGCCCCAAACACATGACCCTACGCCATTTCGTGATGCATCTCGCCGCCTTATCCATCGGACGGTTTTGTTGTACGGCCAATGATCCTATTCTTCCCGTCTCGCTCGCTTGGTGGATGCCCTGCTGGTCTCTACGCATCCCCCTCGCCACCAACCCCCTCTGATCCAATTGCTGGCTAATTGGTTTTTGTTAATCGTTGATCTGTGTGTCTTTCTGTTCCCCTGTACATTTTTATTTATTTCGGATTTGTTTGGGCTGGATCTCGTCTTGTCATGACAGAATGTACGTGGATACGAGCTGTTGCTGCGAAGCAACCGGGGCGTTTGTACTGGCCGGCTACTCCATGAATTGACTCTTTTCCCCCCCCTCCGTTCTTCCACTTCCATTCATTCAGGGGTAAGGGAAGTAACTATGGCTGAACGAGAAGCCGAACCATACTTGCAGGCCGTCACATGATACGGGACTCACCGCTCCCATTCTGCCCGAAGAGTCAAGCACTTGACATACTCGTTCAACTTTTGTTCCTTCTCGCCTCGAATCTTGACTGGCTTGTTCAATTCTTCCAGCCTCGGTGCATTAAATCTAACAATATCCTGCACAAAGTTCTTGGGATGCGATAGCCCAGAAGAGTCAATCTCCCCGCACCACAAGGACACCAACTACCAGGTTCTCTCTATCGGAAAGAAACAGACAGCCCACCGCACACCATGGCAGACTCCAAACAAGCTCTCCTCTCAGACGTCGACTCTGCCTCCGAGACACCTCCCTCCCCTCCACCCGCCTACAATAATCCCCTACCCCTCAAACAAACCCCATCCGGACCCGCAGCAGGCAAACCACCCCTCCTACGCCCACCACCTCTCCTCCTCCCCATCCTCAATACCCTGCGCACTCAGCGCGTGATCCTCGCCTCCTCCTCACCACGACGGCGGCAAATAATGGGCTATTTAGGCCTCCCGAACCTAGAAATCATCCCCTCAAACGCAGAAGAGAACCTGCCCAAGACGCTATCTCCATTTGAATATGTACTCGGCACAGCGACCAAGAAGGCGCAGGCCATATACGCGCAGGAACTGAATAATGAGGAAAAGGGCGAGCCCGCCCTCATCCTCGCCGCGGACACGGTCGTTGTCGACCCATCCTCGGGCCGCATCCTGGAAAAGCCGCGCTCCGAGGCTCAGCATGTTGCTATGCTCAAGGCGCTGCGCGATGTCAGGGTTCATAAAGTCTACACGGCGCTCGTGGCGATGTCCCCACTGGCTAGCGCGAGAGACCCTGGGTATGCGATTGAAAGCACCGTTGAGGAGACCGCTGTGACCTTTGGCGAGGATGTGACGGATGAGCTGATCCTGGCGTATGTGCGGACGCGCGAGGGCGCGGATAAGGCTGGTGGTTATGGGTTGCAGGGGCTGGGGAGTATTCTTGTTGAAAAGGTGGAGGGGAGCTATGATAATGTTATTGGGATGCCGCTGAAGGCGACGCTGAAGCTGATTGAGAATGTCATGGCCAGAGCGGATGATGATGAGCGCCTGCCGGATGATCCGGTTTTGATGGACGATAGTGGGGATGATGAGGAGTGATCCTTGGGCGTTGATACCACGTATATAGAGACCTATGAATATGCATTTTACGTCTTGATGCGCATGATATGTGATATCTACTCTCATTTGACGACCACTTTGGAAAAGAAAAGAACGACTCTCGTACACTGTTAATTCCTTTTCTATAGCTCAACATGAGCCCTGAATTCAGCATCGACATTCGTCATGCTCACAGACAAAAGAGATCAATCAACGGCATATACATAGGCGCAACGCCTGGAAACGGGGGACCAAGACATAAGAAAAAGTAGAAAACAACACGACACACACAACCCCAGATCTATGCTGTCCACAAGCGCCGCAGACCCTCCGTTAGACCGACATCGTTGGTCTCAAACTCGTACAGACCGACGGCGGTGGTGAGGGTGAAGGCACGCAGAAGCCAGTTGAGGAACGTCCGGGTCTTGGGAACGCGCGCAGCGGGGAAGTAGTCGATTATCGAGGCTTGGAAGCCGACGTGCGAGTGTGCGACGAGGAGTGAGCACAGCACGGCGTCCATGACGGGGTTGAACGAGCCGGCTGCGAAGGGGGCGATGGTCACAGGGATGAGACCAAGGCAGACGAGTCTGGGATTGGACGTGGATTAGTGTTTTCGCTCGGTGATAGCTGTGGTTTTTGGGGAACAACACACCTCTCGAAAGACCAGTGGTAGCTACCCTCCGAGGGATGCGTCTCGGGGATGGGAGCAGGGTCGTTCACTAGAGGGCAAGTATGTCAGCGTCGTACGCGATAGCGATGGGCGGAGAACCCCGGAGTTCTGCGGCTGTATCGAGGGAAAACAACAGCAGCCCCCAAGAGTCCGGGGCCATAGGACAAGACGCGAGTGTCGAATGGCTGCGTAAACGCGGCGCGGAGGGGGGTTGGTGCGAAGACGTACTGGTGCCCGGGATGGATTCTGGTTGGAGAGTAGGAGTGTTAGCCGGCACATCAAAAATCCCCATGGGGCCCTCCAATTCTCCCTCTCTTCCAAATATCCCCCACCGCAATGAACGGGTGTTACTTACGAGGCAGCGGAGGCAGGATCTGCTTCCGGGCCGACGCATGGAAAGCGACGAGCTGCGACACGCCGACATTCTTCGACAGGAGCGGCGACCGAGAGGTCGCTAGGGACTGCCGGAGCAGGGGAGACGAGCGCACAATCGAGGCCATGGTGATGGGACGAAGAGGTGCTGTGCGATAGTGAAGAGGTGAGGTTGGGGGAGAACCTCGGGATGGAGCATCGGCATCGGAATGGCGGATGACATATCCCGTCATGTGATTGGCTGGGCGGATGGGTGCAGCCGAATTTGGCCGAAAATGTAGTTGTGGGTATAGGATCAGGGTTTACTATTTGTTTACGCATCGATTTAAATATTGAATAATGTGTAGAATGAATAATAGAATAGCTGAAAATTGACCGTGGGCTATGCTTCGTTGATTCGACTTTGTCAAAACACTAACATGTCTTTACCCGTATGAGGACATTCCCTCATAGTTGTCAGGCTCACCGATCTTTTTGAACCACACTACAGAAACCCGCTGATTGCTTCCTCCAGCACTATGCACTGCGACAGATAAAGTCTTTGAATTCGTTCAAAATCCTTAACCTCGGGTTCTCTTGTTCAAAGGACATTTGTCTGGATATCTCTCCACTTTTAGCACGCGAACATTATGATGTATGAAGTACCCCATGAATTTATTGAAAAACAGTTTGTGAAGTGAATACAAACCGATACACATCTTATAGAATGTTGTTTGCTATGGTCATCATTGGAACACTCACTCTTGTTGCGAATGGTAGAATTATCGAGATGTTTAGTGACTCCGGATCCCGCAACGTCTGGCACAACACTTGCGCCACTGGTACCGAAATTCCAGTCTTTTATAGCCACTACAGCCGGAGGTAGTAATCAGACAGTTACTACATGGAGCCTGGACGCGTGTGCGTTTAATTCATTACATGTAGCTCTGCGCAAACGGTTGGAGAGTGTCAGTCCTCTTTCCTTCCCAACGGAGGAGGGAGAAGTAATGCTAACATTTCAGATACTCAATGCAGTTACGTTTAATTGGGTTTGCTACATTAGTTTTATGAAGGATAACCGAGTTACAGGTGTGAGATGGCATACAATATGGTTGCTTGGAATTTCAGAACATGTTCATGTACCTGAGGACCCTAGCTGAAAGGGGTTAACAAGGAACTCATTCAATCCTGATTCCAAGTACCAAGCAAAAGTAGCCCACTGCTGTACCCTTGCAGTGTTGATCAGCAATGCCAGAAATCATCAGCCTAAATAGCTGCAGATATTCATAGTGACCCCTCACGTGAAGTTGAGTTCCTTTACCTGATAAACTTCACAAGTCGCGGGAAATTGTTTTCCGCCGACTGATGTGCGAGCTAACGTCTTGGTCCGAATGCGGGGAAGTTCAAAGCAAGCCACAGGGAGTGTCGAACTGGCATTTTGCCTAAATACATCTATTATATATTCCTGTTTTTACTAATAATTGTGGGATTCTGAATTCAGCGTGGTTTATGTCTTTTTGGTACTCTACTCGAAATTGGGCTTCAGAAAAATAGCTTTTTGTTTTCTGGAAATGCAGTCTCTACTATCTTCGCTCATTATATTAGCGACGGTCCTTCAGGATGGGGTATTAGCAATTCCGGCTGAAGGTCGAATTGGCCCAGTGGAGCCGACAATCTCGTTCACGTATGCCTCAATGCTTCCCAACCGTTATGCAACTCCCTTGAATTCACCGCTGTCAATTCCTACACCTTACGCCCCCCCCTTCAGCCAGGCGTCTCATCTTTTGGATCCTCTAATCACGTATACCACCTATTCTTTGAATCCAAAGGCGACAAAGACACATGATGGAAAATATGGTCAAAGTGCTTATGCGGCAATGTGGGAAAGTGCAAGCTTCACCTATGCTGATCATCCGCCTTTTACGACAACGGCCTCGCCCACTCCAGTATCGACTAATGAACTGGTCTTTCCTCCAGCGCTACCAGTCAAGCCAATAGATGCAGAAAAGGTGACCAATCTAAACCTTCCAGCAGACTTTGTTTGGGGAGTGGCGAGCAGTGCATGGCAAATCGAAGGTGGTCTGAAGTTGGAAGGGCGAGGCCCATCAGTCATGGATAACATTGGGGCTTTGCCGTCATCTGCCAATGACTCGAACGTCGATGCGATGTTCTATTTCTTGTATAAGCAAGACATCAGGCGGCTATCGGCCCTTGGCATTCCATATCTGTGCTTCTCTATCCCTTGGTCGCGCGTGGTTCCCTTTGGTGTTGCCGGATCTCCGATAAATATACAAGCCCTTGATCACTATGAGGATCTGATTGACGAAGCGATTGCAAATGGAATCACGCCTATTGTCACTATTCTCCATTACGACCTGCCAATATCCGTTTCTTACAGTGATCCAAGGTTCAGCGAGCATTACTTGTACTATGCCAAGCAACTGATGACCCGATATGGTGATCGGGTTCCTTATTGGGTTTCTGTGAACGAGCCGAATCTCCAGCCCGTCAACAATGCTCTGACGAACATAATGGAGGCGCACGCGAACCTCTATGATTGGTACAAGCATGAACTTGGGGGCAAGGGAAAGATCACTATGAAATTTGCCAACAACTTGGCCATCCCCCTGAATACCAATAATCCAGCCGATGTTGCCGCTGCTGAGCGATACCAGGACTTCAGCCTTGGAATTATGAGCAACCCTATGTTCCTCGGCAAACAGATTCCTCCTAGTGTGCTGACAACTACCGGTATACAGATCAGTCCGCTGACGGAGCCTCAACTGAAACTCATTCATGGAAAAATTGACTTCTTCAGCTTCGATCCGTACAGCGCACAGTACGTGGCTTCGCCTCCGGGAGGAATTGAGGCGTGTGCAAGTAACCAGTCGGATCCTCTGTGGCCAACCTGTGTTGTTACCACGAATGATGCCGCCGACGGCTGGCTTATTGGTGATGCCAGTTCCGTGACGTACAGCTTCATTGCACCTGAGTATGTTCGGGCGCAAATGAACTATGTCTGGGACACTTTTCGGCCAGCTGGCGTCCTGATTGCTGAGTACGGATTCCCTGCCATTGGTGACACCTTAAGGGCGCTGGATGCACAACGGTACGATCTGGAGCGAAGTATCTATTACCAAGCGTTTTTAACCGAGGTTCTACGAGCGGTTCATGAGGATGGTGTTAATGTTATTGGGGCATTGGCGTGGAGCTTCATCGAGACCAACGAGTTCGGTACCTTTGACAGCCACTATGGATTGCAGACCCTCAACCACACCACATTCGCAAGAACTTACAAGAGAAGTGCGTTTGATTACATTGATTTCTTCCATGACCATGTTGAGAGACGTTGAATGCCTTGGATGTCTGGTTGCTCAGAAAATGGGCATTGCGCTGTTTCTTCCGGGGATAACAAGCTTCCTGGTGGGGGAATCGGTTCTCTCTCAAAATCGATCATTCCCTGCTAGCCTCAAATCTTCTCTCTTAGCAAAATTGTTAAACGCATACCTTGCAGACTCTTTCCATAGATAAAATTAAGCAAACTAAAGAAAAGTTGTACAAGCTCCCTACTTGCGCTTCTAGTATGTTTAGTTCCCCCCAATAACCAGGGAAGCGTAACAATCTGCATACTAAGTAATCGCCGCGGCAGCATATTTTTCGGGTAATTATGCAAAGTTGATCCCCAGATTGGCCGATAATTATCCGAATATTGAACCAAGCTATATGGTCGACAGTTCCGGTAAATCTGCAGTGCGGGGGGACCCCTCAAGCTTATGATTTAAGAGGGTCAAGATACGGAAATTTCGCTCCTGCAACGTCCTTCCTCAGCTAGGTGATTAATTTGCAAGAGCAGTTATGCCAGTTCAATTGATTCGGCAGGCCACTGTGTGGTACTCGCTGCTCCTGCTTTCCCTGACCGAGGCAATACCACCAGACTCTGCATCTAACCCAAATAGAATCTGGGACAATTCGGCAGCATCCAGCTACGGTGATAATTACCCTATTGGCAATGGCCGTGTTGGAGCCATGGTAGGGGGAGCGCGTCTTCAGAGGCCATCCAAGTGAACGAGGACTCATTCTGGTCCGGACGCTTGCTACATCGGGTCAATCCAGACGGATATAAAACCGTCAAGCATATGCAAACTTTGCTCACGGAAGGCTTCTTGCAGGATGCTACTACCATAGCGGGTTATGGTTATCAGGGCACTCCCGTTTCCACGCAACATTACCCGGACATGGGTTACCTGACCCTTGCCATGGACCATACCGAAACCGTCACTGGTTACGAAAGGTGGCTTGATATTGAGGAAGCCACCGCTGGCATGTATTACATGAGTGACGACGTCGAGTACACTCGAGAGTATATCGCAAGCAACCCGGACGATGTCATCGCTATACATATTACAGCAAGCCAGCCTGGTTCTGTTGGCTTTACGATTCATCTGGATCGTGGTGCCTCCCTCAATAGGTTTGAAGCCTATAGTGAACCCCTTGACAATAACACCATCCTTGTTGGTGGCGGCTCTGACGGCGTGACTGGCATTGACTGGTCAGCTGGCGCTCGCGTGGTAAGCTCTGGAGGATCAGTCTATACCCTTGGAGATTATGTCTTTTGTTCCGGAGCAGACGAAGCAACCATATATTTCACTGCCTGGACAACATTCCGTCAGCCTAATCCTCAAAATGCAGTGCTTTCTGTCCTTACGAAGGCTGCTGGAAAGAGCTACAGTTCAATTCGCGAGACTCATGTTGCCGATCACCAGAAATATATGTCAAGGGTCTCACTCAATCTTGGAAACTCAACAGCAGCCCAGAAAGCAATGAGCACTCCCCAAAGGATGGCTGCAATCAATAACACGATGTTTGATCCCGAGTTGGCGGCGTTATATTTCCAGTTTGGGCGATACACATTGATCGCAACCTCGCGGGAAGGAAGTCTTCCTCCTAATCTGCAAGGCATATGGAATCAAGACATGGATCCCGAGTGGGGTTCCAAGTATACAATCAATATTAACTTGGGTCAGATATCTTCTCAAATCGCTCCCCTCTCAGAGTGAACCGGAGCCTAACTGGATATAGAAATGAACTACTGGCCGAGCTTGACAACCAGTAAGTATATTTATTTTCTGAGATTTGTTCTCGGTTCTTTGCGCTGATGGAAAAAAAAAATAAAGACCTAGCTGATCTGACGACACCGCTCAATGACCTCCTGAACGAAATTGGCAAGCAAGGCAGTGTCGTCGCACAGAAGATGTATCACGCTTCAGGGATCGTCACTCACCACAATACTGACTTGTGGGGAGACTCGGCACCACAGGATAATTACCTCTCTTCAACCTGCTGGCCTATGGGAGCAACATGGCTGATCACTCATCTCATTGAACATTATCGATTTACCGGAGACAAATCAACCCTCAAGTCGAACTATAACCTTCTCCGAGGTGCGGCTCTCTTTGCTCTCGATTTTTTGACTCCTTATGGACAATATATGGTCACCAACCCCACGCTCTCCCCGGAGAATCTCTACTACATTCCCGGCTCCACAGAGCAGGTTGCAATTACGTACGGATCAACCATTGATAACTCGCTGCTGTGGGAACTATTGGGTGGATTGCTAGATGCTCAGAGAGAGCTTGGCATAAATGATCAAGAGCTGGCAGACAAGGTGACGGCTCTAAGAAGCAAATTGCCCCCGTTGCGCGAGAATCAGTACGGCGGCATTGCTGAATGGATTCATGACTATAATGAGGTTTGTCTCCTCCTTATGAATGGAAGGGTATTAAGTATCTAGATGTTAATCACAACCTTGGCAGACTGATCCTGGCCATCGACACTGGTCCATGCTCTGGGGCATGTACCCAGGCTCACAAGTTACTGCTTCAAATCAGACCACTTTCAACTGGGCAATTTCGAGCATTCACCGTCGCCTAGAGTATGTCCAGATCAATTTTCAGCCAATCTCAATTTCTTAATATATATCGACATTGACTAATTGATATTACTTTGGACAGCAATGGTGGCGGTTCTACCGCCTGGTCTCGCGCTTGGTCCATAGCTCTCTCCGCCCGAGCTTTTCTTCCGGATCTAGTATACTCGAACTTTGCTCAACAACTGGCAAACTACACCACTGGGACTTCTTTTCTGGCCACTGGTCCTCCAGCGCCCTTCCAGGTTGATGGGACTTTCGGGGGCCCCGCTGGCATGGTCGAAGCTTTCCTCCAGAGCCACGAGACAGTGTCAACGGATAAGGAAGGCAAGCTCGTCGCAGCCCAGACAGGTGATGAAAATAAAATCCACCTGATTCGACTTCTTCCCACGCTTCCATCTGCCTGGGCCGCAATTGGAGGAGGGGGTTCCGTTTCAGGACTTGTGGCTCGTGGCGGCTTTGAGATCGATATAGCCTGGTCGAGCGTTGGGGAGCTAACTAAAGCTATTATTACATCGAAGGTAGGCAATCAAGCATATGTCACCTTCGGTAGCTCGCCAATTGGAGCCACCAATGCTACCAAGATCACGGTGGACAACGAGGGGACTGGCGGGTTTGTACTGCTGCCGGCAAAGGAAGGGCAAAAATTTACCGTGTCGCTTGCGCAAGGATGACAGCCATGTTTATGAAATGTCAGGTCAATTTCCTGTTTGTGACAGTAGTATCCGCTAAAGATGCTTTACATCACTGTATTACATCTACAAGCATGATTATTCATCTACATCAAGTTATAGTTCTGAATAAAATCTATCTGATCCCTCAAATTTGGTTCAACTTGGGGAAATTCCTGCAATGTCTTTTCTTTAAGTCTAGCACACTAGGTATGGGAACGTTTTGTCAGCTAGCTGAACTCTCAAAAACAAGCTTAGCCCTTCCAGGAACGCAAAGTGCGCTTGAAACACTAAATGACCGAAATAAGGTCTTTATGGACGCAGCAGAATGAGGGGGAATGAAATGGAACGATACGTACTCGGTACTTCATAGGTGTATACCCAGCCAGGACTCAGCGCTAAGCTCCGGCCCCCTGTTTGGCGGCATGCTTAGCCATTAGCACCTTCCTTTTTCGGAACCCCGATAATCCTCAACCCGATACACTCTTGTTCCCCTCTCGATAATGGCGGCTTAAGCCGTCCGAGGCGCTGCTGAGATTGCTACATAGAAACAGGCAGCGGAGTTACACGAGTATAAATGTGCAGGCTACAGACGTTTTGAAGCATGGGAGATCGCCTCCATTTAGAGCGCTGAAACCACCACCTATACTCCTGAACACCTTTCCCTCTCTAGAATCATGGTGTCGCAAGCGCTTCTCCTCTTACTAAGTACAGCTACAGCCCTCGCTAGCGAGCTTTCTTTCCCTCCACCTGCCACATTTGCCAGCAATGGCTATGCGAACTGGGGTGCTGGGACCTGGCCGCCAGCCAGCGTCGGAGTGCCGCTCGTCCCGCAGACAACTGACCCAGAGATTCTGTCACTAATCTCTCAGATTGACCCTGCCCGTATCGAGCATACGATCACGACGCTCGTTAACTTCGGTACGCGGCACACAGCGTCGACGACGACAAGCCCAACTCGAGGTATCGGTGCAGCCCGCAATTGGCTACTGAAACAGATGCAGGAGTATGCTAAGCCCGCGAATGGCCTGATCAAAGTCTCAATGCCATGCTACTTCCAGCCCGCTGAGCCAGAAGAGGGACTTCCCATTGGCGTCGACGTTTGCAACGTCCAGGCTGAGATCAAAGGCGCCATCGACCCCAACCGCACTATCGTCTACACGGGTCATTACGACTCGAGGAGGATCAACGGCAGTGATTATGAGAACGATGCTCCAGGAGCGGATGACAATGCGAGCGCCGTATCGATTGCTCTGGAGATGGTGCGCATTCTTGGCCTCTCGATGGCCAAGAACAAACCGGCCTCGAGCATCATCATCGCGGCCGTTGCTGGAGAAGAACAGGGCCTGTACGGATCCACCTTCCTCGCAAATACATGTAAGTAGTTCGCCCCCACCCGACTGGACTGGTGGTTAACGTAGAATAGTAAAGAATGCTTCGGTCAATGTCGAGGCCTCATTCAACAACGATATTGTCGGCACTGGCTCCAATGCGCCTTTCAACAAGCTGAACCAGCACACAGTCCGCATCTATTCCGGCGGCACCGATATTCTGGATCTCCCGGAAGCCACCATCGACGAGATCATTTCCACCGGTTACCAGGATGACACGCCGTCGCGCAACATGGCCCGTTTCATTCAAGAAGTCAACGCTGGTGCAGCACACACGACCGACATGGAAGTGGCCATCCTCTACAAAACCGACCGCTTCGACCGCGGCGGCGACCACGAGCCCTTCCTGGAGGTCGGCTTCCCCGCCGTGCGCTTCACGGAGTCGAACGAGAATTTCTTTCACCAGCACCAGGACCCGCGCGAGGAAGACGGCGTTGTGTATGGTGACAACATTGAGTTTGTGGACTTTGACTACACAGCGCGCGTTGGTAAGGTCAACATGCTTAGCATGCTCAGTATGGCCAATGCCCCGGACCTTCCCAAGAACTTCACTTATGTGCCATTGTATGGGTTTCTCGCATCGGACGAGCAGGCGCCCGTCGCTTCACTCGATAACGTCGTTAAGTTGAACTGGACCACTGAGCCGAGGGATCCGTTGCTCGATCACTTTGAGGTCGTCTGGCGCTCTATGTCGAGCCAGCAGGTGAGTTTTGCATTAAAATGAGATAGTGCAGATGCTGATTCGAATATAGTGGACGCACACGCTAGATGTTGGAACGGCGAGCACTGTCACCCTTGATATTAGCAGGGACAACGTCGTTTTTGGACTGAGAGCAGTTGGCAAAGATGGAAAGAAGAGCCCTGCCGTCCTTGCTTTACCAGATTCCTTCTAGTTGAATTGTTTTAGGAGAAACCTGTGACGCGTTGGAGATGGTCTTTCTGCTTTTTCTCCCTCATGTTTGATCACTCAGCTTCAACACTGCCAAGAATTGGATCTATGGGCTCAAGCGCTACTAGTTTAGGCATTATCTGAAGGATGGAACATATTCACTAGTAGATGAACAGATTTTACTTTCTGTTCTATATAGATTCATGCTTAGTAGCTATCATATCCTCATCACTAGAACTTCAGCACAGCCTTGCCATAGTTCTTGCCATAGAAGAGCCCAATCAAGGCCTCGCTAGCATTGTCAATGCCCACAGTCTCATATGTGAGAGCCTTGAACGATCCATCCTTGATCCACTTCTGCACCTTCTCCTGATGCTCCTTAGCGTACAGGGGACCCATGTTGGCATCGCCGACAATAAACCCGCGCATATCCAGGCGCTTGGTCAGAACGTTGGCGATATTCGTGATCGGGTATGGGGCCGAATTGTACTGCGAGATCATACCGCACACAACCACACGGCCGAAGTTGTTGATGGCATTCAGCGCGGCCTCGAGGTGCTCGCCGCCGACGTTCTCGTAGTAGATGTCGATTCCCTCGGGAGCAAGGCGCGCTAGAGCATCGGCAGGCTTTTCCTTCTTGTAGTTGAATCCGCCATCGAAGCCCAGCTCCTTGGTGATAAAGTCGAGCTTCTCGTCGGAGCCCACAGATCCAACCACGCGCAGACCCTCGTGCTTGGCCAATTGACCGACCAGGGCGCCCACGGCTCCACTGGCGGCAGACACAAAGATCGTCTCGCCCTTCTTCGGCTTGCCAATTTCGTACAGCGATGAGTACGCCGTCAGGCCGGGCATACCGAGCGCACCTAGGAACACACGGATGTCTTCGATGCCAAGCGGGTTCTCCAGCTTGCTGATGGTGCCAAGCTGCTCGCCAGGCAGCGCAACGTATTCCTGGACGGGCAAGAATCCAATGACGACTTCACCCTCGGGGAACTTGGAATTGTTCGAGCGCACGACCTTGGCGATGCTCCGACTGGTCACCGGCTCGTTGAGAGTGAAGGGCGGCGAGTAGGACTTCACTTCGGGCGCGCGCATGCGGCCACGCATGTAGGGGTCGAGACTGGTGTACAGCGACTGCAGCACGACGCCGTCGGCGGGCGCGGCGACGGTGGCGTCATAGGCGGCCGGCTCGGTGACGAGGTGCTCCCCCGCGACGGGGTAGCCCTCAGGGACTTTTTTGAAGACGAACGCTTTGTTGGAAGTCATGATGGAGGTGTTAGGGTGGTGTAGTGTGTTTAAGAGGAGAGGAGACGAAAGGTGTGAATTAAGGAGTGTTTTCTGGAACACGACCTCGGCACCTTTTATAATCAAGAATGTACCGTAGGGTGTGCGGACGTTATTTCCAGGCGGGGCAACTGCAGAACCTCGGATGAAGAAACTAACCCAGTTTGTATTATAAAGCAATAATCATATTGCGGGTCGGTGGCCGGAGAAGCTTCTCGAGAGGGACGAGATTGGTCCACCCGGTAGCATAAAGCTCAGTCTCTGCTCAATAGCTCTGCACAACGATGGCGAATCCATGGGTCGGTGCGATCTCTGTGGCAACGCGCAACTTTGACGTAGTGGAAACTCGGAGGAATTGATATCTTACCGCGCCGACGGCGCAACGCTCTTCTAGGCAGGAAATCCGTACTGTCAGGATTGATTGTTAAGCACGGAGCTTGATGCCTGTTGCGGCAGTTAGCGGGGTGCGCACGTCAAGCGAATCAACGGCCTGGCTTTCGATCGGATCAGCAGTGCTTAACCACTGATGAAGAATTAAAATCTGACATACGGCCAATGGTTCATATTAAGTGGGGGTGATCGTATAGTTCAAGGTGCGAATAGTAGTGAATAGTATTTCAAGAAATGGTTTTTGCCAAGGAAGAGTTTTGTTTTTGTCGTATAAAAGCAACAAGAAATCCAATCAAGTGTGTTCGTTGATGAGAAATTCAGTGATATGCATACCTGTATACGTTTTTCGTAGAGAAATTAGAAATACATCAAAGCCAAGGACATAACGGAACAGATAATAATGGCCTCCCAATACAATGGACGAGGCCAGCCAGGAGCCCCACTATCGTAGCCGATGTTCATGGAATTGTTTCCAAATCCCACCGTTCTGAGCCAAGTAGGCGTTGTGCTGGTGTTGACCAATGTATCCGAGTGGTAGGGATCGATGACCCCGAAGAAGGAAACCTTAATCTTTCCCTGTACCTCATCCGGGCCTATTTGTCTGTTTTCGCCACCTTCAGTATAGGAAACCCGATACGGAAAAGCAGCGGCATATCCATTCACAGTGAAATTTGCTGTTTGGCTGTCAAATTGTAGGTCAACTGCTGGATACGTCCAGTTCCAACCAGCATTATTAGACCAGTCGCGATCAATGAGCGATATGTAATTTTGACTGCTTTCAGTGGAAGTATTGCAGGGTTTTAGATCCATATCGAAAGTATCTAACATTTCGTCTGCGTCCTTAATGGCGCCTGTCAGATTGTATGGAGCTTCCTTGACGCCATACGATAAGGTTAAATTGAAGATATCATTGACGGAATGATCGGAGGGCGAGTCGCTTTCAGTCGTGGTGTGGTTCGCATAGATTACCCAGCTATAAGGAATTAGATAGAGAGCTTTACTGAGTCATGGGTAGAGTATGGCTTACGGGGCAGACTCGAGATACCATCGAAGGGATGATGAGGTCCATGGAAACTGGGTGTTAGAGTTTGAGAGCGATGAAAGATTTGTGCCCGAGTTCCAGAGTGTCAAAAGCGCATTCACTGGGTTTAAGCCCACATTATAAGAACCTCTTTCGGTAATAGCGAGGAAAGATTGAAACTCCATAGTGAACGTTTGGTCTTGAAGATTTTTGCATACTGATGTGTTGGTTGTCGATCCGATCTCGGGTGTGAACTCTATCTTCGTCGTGGCATTGTAATACCTGTACTAGGCATTAAGTAACGGCGAAGTAGGGAATGACCTTTGACATACGATCCAACCCAAAGATAGATATCACTTAACCCTGTCACATTGCTTGGACGGAATGGAAGAGATGCATTATATTTCGGATCTGCTTTCGCGGAGACGCTTAGGGGGTGAATAAGGCAACAAGCCAGGACCTGCAGAACTTGTCTCATCGTGCTATGCCGAACAAGAAAAGTAGATATTGACGCGAAGCTTTTTTCCAAGTTCGAACTAAATGTGCAAAGAAGAAACAACTAGAATGAAAATTGCTGGAGAAAGAGCCAGTGCAGGAACTAGCCGAGGACCGGGGTCACGTTGGGCGCGCGACAGCCCTAGCAGACTAGGGCCGGATGGTGGCTGCAGGGACGATGTAACTCTAGACAGTTGGGGCTGATACCTTTTTTTGTCAATGACTGACTTCCTACAGCCCTAAATCCCCGCTCTGGGGTAGATTCATTTGCAAACACGATTGAATGCTCTCTACCTTTATATAACTACATAAATGCGCCTCATATTAACAACATCCATCACCTGCATCCGGACTTGTCCCATTGTAAACAATGAAAGGGTTCCACAGCGAATCATCAGCCCCTTCATCTCGGCAATTATTGCAGCCATTAATGGTGATATGACAATTGTCACTAAGGTATGTGCTTCCGCACGTCTTGGCGTGGTCATTAGCGTAGAAATATTTAATCCTGGCAAGGAAAACATGATTAGCTTCAACAGCCCATCCTCTAGATAGTTAACAGTACGTAGGGAAATACTCACGCGTCCTTAATCTGCGCCCCTGTCATTCCCTGCGTATATGCATCGCTGTTGTCACATTCCCAAATGACAGTGCAACCATAATTAATCCCAAAGAAATCCTCAATGGCTGGCCCGACGACAGGGAAGATTGAATTGGCGATATCTGCTCCTGTGCTGTCGGGCCACACAGCCGAAGTGTACTGATGATAGATGGTGGCATCCTGGAATCGCTGGGCAGCAGCCTTACAGGTTCCACCATTGATTGAAAGGCAGATCGATGAGCCATCATTGTTACCCGATGTCTGGCTAGGGGTCGGTGGAGGAGGTGCATAATAGGGGTTTTCAACCTGGGTGCTGGTGGCCTCACTGCAACACTGACCGAAAATATTGTTCCCTAGTAGCAGCAGATAGGCAGTGATGTTAGTCCCGCATATTTTCATAAAGAGCAGGTGTAAATGTGAAAAACAATCCTTGCAATATAGGGTGGCGGAACATACCACTGGCATCGTAAAGACAATTATCAGCACCAAAATATATGTCACCATAAGAACTGGGCCAAGATGCAGACAGTTCACAACCAGGAGTTACCTCCTGATCATTTACATCGCTGCCATCAAATTCGGCATAAATGGTAGCTGTTGAGTTGAAGGAGTCTTGGAATGCAACATCTATAGTACATAGTCAGCTTGCTGTGTGTCAATTAGCGTTGTCATATCTCACTGTAAGGGCTGCCACCCGCACAACGCGGACTGTTATTGATGGAGACACAGCCTTGATTCACATTCTGTGTTTATTAGTGATTGTACCGTCCAATGGCCTCATTTGTGAGGAGACTCACAATATTGGTGCCTCCTGGGTTTGGGACAGGAGTGTGGAGAGACGTCGGTTTCGAAGTGGATGAACTGGATGTAGTTGTACTCGAGGCCGATCTTGAGCTTTTCCCTGATCCGCTAGTTGAGGTTGGCATGCTAACGGATCCTGTTGATGTTTGCATGTCTGCAGCTACGAGAGCGACAATTTCAGACTGCACAAACGAATCGGATGCCGCTACGTCATAAAGGTCATCAACATCAGCCAAACCCAGTGAGATAATAGGCATTGATGTGGCGGACGACGAGGGTCGAGACGTAGATTGAGGTGACGATGTAGAGTGAGGTGACGATGTAGATTGCGGTGACGATGTAGATTGGGGTGACGATGTAGACTGAGGTGACGACGTAGACTGAGGTGACGACGTAGACTGAGACGACGTTGTGCTGCTAGTCGATTCGCTAGTTGATTCACTCGCTGTTTGAGAGGGATCAGGTTGTTCCTCTTCCGATGGAGATTCTGGAACTCCATCGGGGCCAAGCACGAATGGTAGCAGTCCAGGTAAAGCAAAGACTTCTAGCAGCGCAGCATCGGATATTTCTCCAGCGACAGGACCTAAAAGAGGGCCTAGACCCAAAACTCCTATGAAACCGGCTCCTGTCATGATCACCGGCACTATGGTCGGACCGCCCCCACCTGAGGATGTCGTTGTGACAGTGTTGCCTGTCCATGATGGGTTTGAGAGTGACTGGGTGCTGAAACCGGAAAAGCTGGAAATGGTAGTTGGAGTCCCCGAAACCACTTGGCCATTCGTATTTGTAGCGATGATTATAACCGGCGTGGTGCTCCCTTTACGTGGAGTGCTGCTAGCTGTAGGCGGTGTTTTTGGGACGCTTGCCGGATTGGTGCTGACCATTGAAGTACTTGGCTTTGTCGTACTGGGGATTCTAGACCTTGAGCTCAGCGTGGTCTTCGACTGTCGAGTATCCGCCCCCCTGCCCGGCTTGCGGTCTAAATCCTCACGATTCATCAAGTGCATCCCCTCCGACAGTGCATCATCCTCTATGATGTGGACACCGTCATGTGAATGATGGGGGGGATGTATGTCTTGATTGTCTTCTAATAAAAACAATGCTTCAGCCGTTCTGTTCCATGTTCGAGTCAGGGTCTTCGGACATACCATTTGGAGAAACTAGACGTTGCCTGAAGTCGCGCTTCATAAACGAGTTTGGTTTCTCAGAAAAGCCCTGATACCAATCCCACTGGTCCAGGTACATCATAATAGCAAAATAATGGTAATTGTCCGCGTTACGGATTGCCAGAGCGGAACCACCCCTTAGAGCAAGATCCGCGCAGTTAAAAAATCCGTACGTTCTGGTATCTGCTATCGGCTTTTTTTTGCCATCCAAACGTGGCTGATCCTCAACTGTATAATAGCCAGTCAATCATTAAGTTATCAATAGACCTCATGTGGTCGTAAACTCACTTGGGTCCTTGCTACTAAGTAAATGGCTGAGTTCGTGCAGATGATAACCTGGCAAAGACTTGTACAACTCAATGCCGACTTCCTTTCCAATGGAAGCTTGGTCGTTTTTCACATCGGATAGCTTAAGTTTGTAATCATCCCTAGCAGTCCATGATGAAGGGCAGAATGTAATCATTCCAGGATAATGTGCATTTGCTCGTCGTAATGTGTAAGCACCTGTTTTCTGATTGCATTTGTTCTGGGGGTTCATGTAAACAGTAGGAAAGTCGTGACTTCTTAAGGCACCGTTCGGCCATTTTGCTGCCGGTAAGGCTAGTATTAGAATGGAACTGAGCTCTTTGAAACTTTCACTTACTTTTGTCAAGCTCTTTCCCGCTAGGGGTCGTAGTCGTGAATTCAACGTGGGTATCATCGCAGTAAAATATGTAGTCTCCCGCAGAATTATCTTCGGAAGAAAAGTCGATCATACTTTGGTACGTGGCTAATAAGAGTGAGCGTCGTCAGTATGAAATAATGAGAAACAAAAGATAAGATGAGTCTGGAGGACTTACCACGGACAAAGGCCATGTTCTGGGCAGCAGTGGTGGACATCGAACGAAATCCACCAACTTCGATCCCAAACATCGTTTTGAGTGCTCTGGCAATACGGAGGTTTTTGGAGGTTGGGAGCCAATTCATTTTTGTACCTTGGACCTGGTCAATTGCCTGAACTGCTGCTGTGGCCATTGCAATAGCGTCATTCCACATGTTGTCAAAATTATCGTTGAGAATTTGGTCGTCACATGCCCCGTAGCTGTTATGAAACACAGGATCATCCGAAAGCTTGACATACATAGCCTTATCATGACCGGCATGGACTTTCAACACGATCCCAAAAAACACAAGAAAAATAAAGGTTGAGTAGTAGTTCATACTCCCACTAAATGTTCGAACCCGCATTTTTGCGGCGCCCGTATGACTATGACTGCCGGTGTTGTATCGATTGAAAGATCTGGAATAAACAAGAGAGAGAGAAAATGTCAAGAAGCAGAGCAGGTACTCGTATTTAAGTCAACATCTATATAAAGTTTTACATAAAAGCGAACAGATATTGGCAGTGATCTTTCCTTTCCTATCAACCCGGGTGGCTTGCCGATCATACTCTTTCAGAAGAGAATCCACTTGCCTAAAAAGTGATGCCAGCCTTACCCTCCGTCGCACTGCCCATCTCAGCTGAAGAACGGCAAAAGATTATTGGAGAGAATAATAGTATTTTGGCCCGAAACCTTGGCGAACTTGAAACATCTGAACATAGCCACTGTCAGGAACGCGGCTGACAAAGCTGCCTCGTGCGCTAACTACATATAGCAGTCGCATGTTACAGATCTTCATCGTAGAGAGCTTCGTTTCGCTTCTTTTCGGCAGATTGGTTTAGCTGGGTAGTACGTGTGGGGGCGAACGCCTCATAGCCACTACCAGCTGATATGCGAGATCTGAAACACATACTCACTCTCCTTAAGGGGATGGTGCTATCAACAACAGAGGAGGCGAGGTTCGCCAAATCAGAATTGGAGGTATATTGCAAGTCGAAATAAAAAGGGAGATTGGCTTTCTACTGGCGGATTTCTTAAACAGCTTGACTGAACCAGCCATAATCAAGCGCCTATTTTGCGAGGATTCTCCTATTCAGGCGTAGATTCCTCATTGCCCGAACCACTCGCCCCCAAGCAACGGCTCTTCCGCATAGCCCCCAAGCCTTTATTGCGATCATTGGCCCAAAGGCTTTGGCTCACGGTACCATTTGGCCCACGATCTACAGCCCATGGCTCAGCTAAGCTTACTGTCAGCCAACTGACGGCCCGGCTGGATCACTGACCTGACTGGCTAGTGGTAATCGTACCTGGTGGAACCTAAATGGACTAACTGCCCCTTTAGGTATACGCTGAACATGGACTAAATGCTCAGTAGATCCCGCTGAGGAATCTCTGAGTAATCAGAGATCTGTCACGCGATTTCTATTAAGAGCTCACTGAGCCTGAGCCCGGACAGAAATCTACTCATGGAGCCTGACTCTGAGCGCCATCACTAAAGCGGCGGCCCCTAAAGTAGGAAATAGAGGTACGTACCTAGCATACTCTGGGCATCAATCAACAATAGTAACAAAATATTATAAGAATTGGATATCATAGACATTATTCCCTAATCTCGATCATCATTTCCCCCCAACAAAAGACGCCGCCTTGGGCACAAAGAAATCCTTGCCCTTGATCATCCGCACCATGAAGCTCCACGGCGTGATGCCGAACATCTGGCCGGTTCCTCCAGCCTCGCCCACAGGCACCACCATCATGACCGCATCGCCCTGGTTGTAGACCTTCCGGCCACCCTTGCCCAGGATATCAGCCTTGAGGTTAGTCGCCACGACGCCGGCCTGTTCCACAGCCTTGAAGGAAAACCGCTGCCAGTTGTTGGTGATGTCGCCGGCCGCATAGATCGGCAAAGAAGCCTTGCTGTCATCCCCTTGCACGCGCAGCTCCTTGTCGACCTTCACCCATCCGTCCTTGTCGAGGAACGGCGCCGGGATGAAGCTATTGTTGGGGAGCACGCCCGTCGTGGGGAAGTACAGGTCCGCGGTCAGCTTGTCCCCGTTGTCGAGGGAGACAGTCCACGATTTCTTGGTGCCGTCGCTAGGTGTCGCCTCCTCCACATCCGTAACCCGCCGCGAGGTGATCACTTTGATCTTCTTTTGCTCCAGCAGCTGCTTAGCAGCGGCGCTGCCGCCTGTCTTCAGCGATGGGAGCACGCGGTCCGTCGCCGAGACCAGTGTGATGGAGACCTCGCCGGCCTTGCCGTTCTGCGCGGCCGCCTCGGCGAGCTCACCTGCGAGCTCGACCCCAATGGGCCCAGCGCCCGCAATGACAATCTCCTTGGCGTTCTGGATGAGCTGCTGCGACGCCTCGATCAGCTGCTTCATGTCATCGCGGCCGGTCTGCTTGAACGGCAAGGGCGTGCCGGTGATCCTCCCCGTAGTGGCATCGGTTGTGCTTCCGGATGCAATGACGAGATAGTCATAGGACACCGACTTGGCTTTCTCGCTGTCGGTCTCCGTCACAGAGACAGTCTTGGCTGTCGCGTCGATGGCAGTGGCTGTCCCGGCGATAAACTCCACTTTGTCGGAGGGATATTTGGCGAGGATGTCCTTGATTGGAATCAAGTACTGCTCTGCGCGGAAGGCAGTGGGCTTTGCTAAGATCCTTGGCGCGGCGATGGGGAAGTACCAGCTCGGCGACGGGTTGATCAGCACTATCTTGACATTGGGCACATCCTTGAGCAAGGCGTGGGCGATGTTTAGGCCGGCGAATGAGCCTCCGACGATGACCACGTTGACGGGAGCCATGGTGGATATTATTCAGTATGTGCTGGTGAACTGTGAAACACAATGCATATACAAAAAGACAGTGTGTAACTAAGATTTTTATGCGTAGGCCCGGGTCTATATAGCCATTCTCCAAGTGAACTTTATTTTCGCGGCAAAAATAATCCGATGACAAACCGGGGCCCCTTGCTTAGAAATTGGCCCGAGAGCCGCTGACTTACCCTGCCAGGCCCTCGTTTCCGAGATCCGTCCATGGATTGACTTTTTGGGACGGTCGTTGATTGGATTTGATCTGGTCTGACCTGACAGGACAGGACATGATAATCCATTCACATTAGCCGCGACGGAAACAACCAGCGTTCCCACTATGATACACTCCTTGAAAGTAAACAAATCCAACCCTCACAAACGTTAAGGATACCACGACGCAGGCGGCTTCTGCACCTCCTGCGACCGCTCATATTCTACAGTGACATTATCCGTGCGCCGAATCTCCGCCAGCGGATGGCCGCCGTTCTGGAACTCCTCCGACCGCAGGATACTCTCCTGGCTGCCGTCCTTGGTCTCGCCGATGTTGGTGGTCATTAGGTCGTCATGGGGCTTGCGCACGACATAGTTCGGCTTCCTTGCGCCGTGGTCTGCAGACGAGGAGCGCAGCTGGTTGCTGCTTTTGTAGTACCGCTGGTGGGAGCTCCAGGAGCGCTTGCCGCGGATCATTTCGTAGACGGGGCCGAGGGTTGGGATGCAGGAAGCGATTATGATGATGTTGGATTCGATTCTATGGGGGGATCAGCGGGTGTTCTATAGGGTAATTGAGAGACTTGGACTTACGCAGTCCAGATAACGAGGTCGGCCGTTCCATCTGGGGTCATGTTAGGTGGATTCAGGACTCATAGATTGCACTGCGTAGGGACTTACACGTCGGATCTTGTTCATCGGCGAGGCCTGGCAACTGCAAACACTTGACGATGGCCATCGCACAAGCACTGAGGAAAAGTCAGGGCATGATCCGAGAAGTTCCATTATCCCAACTTACACGGCACCCAATCCCAAAGCCGCACACAGAGCCAACTTCTTTTTCAGCGTCATTTGTAGCTTTATCAATACAATCGTCGGGTAGAAGGCAAGGAATAGATCGACGAAGGCGGATACAGCTAGACACAACATTAGTTTTCATTTGGCAAATCCGATGTTGGGCAACATACCCCCCGTGAAGATGGCATAGTCCACAAGAATCGAAATCGGGCGACAAGTTGCGCCTTCGTTGACTTGCATCGAAATCAACCATAGCGACTTGGGAGGATTGCACATGGTGAAGAGGACGATTATGCAGATAGTCGACGCCACGAAGACCAGCCCCGTCAGGAACCAAAGCATCACGCGCTGCCATTTACTCGGGTTCAAGATGCGGTTCAGCAGAGCGGCGATGGCGAGTTTCGGTGTCGTAAAAGACATGATTCCCAATGTGAAATCGATGTAATTGATGAGTAGGATGTTCTCTAGTAGGGCTTCGCCACCTTTTTGTTCGATTACTGCGGCATGAGTTCCGTAGCCCAGGTGGACGTTCACGGTTGTGACCGTTGTGTATCCTGCCAGTAGGACCTGTTTTTTCCACCAGAGGGTATTAGCTATGTAAGAGATCAACCAACCTCCGAGACTTTACTCACCATTGACGCTACAATAATGTAGTCATCTGGTCCGGTATTCCTCAACATCCTCGCTCGAATGTACAGCCTCGCAGAAACCATGAGGAGGCTCACGATGAAGAATGCCCAGAACGTCCCCAAAATCTGGGGCCCTTTACTCTGGCTCACATATTCCGGTGTGAGCTGAGGCATGGTGACATGGAGTTGGTAGGAGGTCGAAAGGACCACGGGCGCTGAGGACAGAGAACGTCTTGCTATCGAAAAATGTGACAGGCCACTACCCACCGACACTTAAGAACCGACAGGGATATCCTAGGCACGGGAGTGCTAATCAGTCTGAGCGCCGTAAATCCCGGATAATAGGTAAACCCAACTAACGTTACTGGGTAACTAATGATAACCGATACCTCCCAGGTTGTTTACGGGCCACATACGAATCTTTAGCCCCCAATTGTAGGATGTGGAGTGTCTCATGACGAATTATGTATTGATGTATTAGTTAGTTACCCCCATAAGGACCAGTTATTATTGCTAATAAGATCTTGCAGGGTATGGAACCTGGCATACAGAGACTATTTACTGTACATGGCTAGTCCACGCCCGATCAACCGTTCCTTCCGATGCTGTGGGGCCGCCACGATAACTATGCTGAATGCATTGGTTGTGCCCCCTGGGAAGTGAACTCCATCGGCTTAGGTGTGCCGTGCCCACGTCAGGCCTAGCCAGGTGTCGCAGGAGATGATCGATTCCTGGAACAGTATAGTTCGTCACCAGCTTGCAGCCTTGCGGTGGGGCATTGAACGAAGGATGTAAATCTTGTCGGATCAAACCGCTCCCTGCCAAAGCTGCAGCAATTGGAAGGGATCAATCGCAATGACTGTATATCAATTTCGGTCAAGAAGAGTCCGTGTGCGCCACATTCCCATCGGTTTAGCTGCGGGTAGGGGACAGGTGGGCACTGTCCAGTCGTGAAACGATGGCTTGACAGGGATTCGCGTCGCTTAAATTTAAACCCATGACAATCCTTTCTTTTCTTTGTCGGACAATCGGTGGGTCAGTAAAGACACAATACTCTTTCATGTCAGGTCTCAGGGTGGTTCGCCGTTGGGAGACGATGCTCGCGGCCCGGCGTCCGCCCTGGCGGCTCAGTGATGCGCAATGCCCCAAACACGGCTCGATCATGATTCGGTCGTTTGAAGGGATTTGCATCCCTACCAGCTGGGTACGCGGCATTACTGACATACTGTACCGTAGTAGTAAGTTCAAGCGCAGGTGGGGGCTTCTGCCGATAGTGAAATGCCGTCTTACGCTCCGAGTCGAGGCGCACGAGGAGGGCTACTGATAGCTAGCACGGGAGGATTCGCCCGAGTCTGCCCCCTCCACTCAGGCTATTGTTAGGCTAGGCGATCTCCAAGCCCGCGGGGTTTGTCCTCCAAACCGATACAACCATCTACAACCCGCCATAGAGGCTGCATTGCATTTAGTTCCAGAATCATGACACAATCCAACGGCACAGTGACCAACGGTCAAACAATTGACGTGGAAAAGCTTGCCGTCTCCCCCAATTCCCCCCAGAAGATCGCGGATTTGCTTCAGCAGATTGCCTCTTACGGCAATGAATTGGGCAATGACCCCCAAGCCCGGTTCAACTTGCTCGAAGCCTCTCGAGCGCTGACTTATGCGTTGGAGACACCACGCGAAGCGATTCTGAGACACTGCTGGTCAGAGGTATGTTTTTGTTAAGATTTGGCGGAGACAATTCGGATTGACAATCTTCTCAATTAGTCTACGACCTACGCAGCGATCCACACCGGCGTCGACCTGGGTCTCTTTAATGTTCTGTCTAAGGATGACAAGCCAAAGACAGTTAAGGAACTCGCAGAGTCTACGAGCGCCGATCCGGTCCTGCTCGGTGAGTTGCTTGTACTTTGAGCTATCCATATCCTCTAACTGGCAATCAGCTCGTATCATGAAGCATCTTGCTGCCATGGGAGCGGTTGAGGAGACCGGCGCCGATGAATACTCTCCCAGTGGATTCTCACGGGTGCTGGCCATTGAGCGATACAACGATGCTTTTCCACTCATGTAAGGCACCAATCTGCTAGTATATCCGGCAGCAGACTCGCTCACAACTGCTGCCAGGACTGGTCGTTTCACCAGGGGCATCCTCGCTCTCCCGGAATTCTTGAAAAAGAACGGGTATCGCAATCCCACCAACCCCACCGATACTGCCTTCCAGCTGGGATACGACACCGACAAGGGCTTTTTCCAACATGTGCAGGAGGAGCCGGACACTGCCAAACAGTTTAACAACCACATGTCAGTGTATGCCCAGGGTCGGATGCGATGGATGGACCCCGGCTTTTACCCGGTCCAGGAGCAACTGGTCGATGGAACCGCGATCGGCGACCAAGATGCATTGCTGGTCGACATGGGCGGCAGTTTTGGACATGACCTGTCCGACTTTCGGCGCAAGTGGCCCAATGCTCCTGGTCGACTCGTTCTGCAGGACCTGCCCGAGGTCGTGTCGTCGGTCAAAGATCTGCATCCGTCCATTGAGGTGACGGCGCACGACTTTTTCACGGAGCAGCCTGTCAAAGGTACAGACATAGAACTTCCAGCTTGAACAAACCAGTACTGACAATAGTCCTGCCAGGTGCGCGTGCATACTACATGCACTCAGTTCTCCACGACTGGCCTGATGAGCTTTGCCGCAAGATTCTGACACACATCACCGCGGCTATGCGGCCGGGATACAGCAAAGTGCTGATCAACGAGAATGTCATTCCCGACACGGGTCCGTACTGGGAGACGACGAGCCTGGACTGGATCATGATGATTTTGGGGGCTTCTGAGCGCAGTGAGCGCCAATGGCATGCGCTGCTGGAGTCTGCAGGGCTCCGAATTGTGAAAATCTGGACGGCGCAGAAGGGCGTTGAGAGCCTGATCGAGTGCGAATTGGCGTAGCTTAGATAAGATAAACTCCGTTGATAAGATAGACAGTCAGGTGATCAGTCCTATTATTTTTTTCGTTTTTTCCCCTGGCTTTTGCCGTCGGTATTCGCCTTCACCCATCCTTTTCTTCTTCTTTTTTTATCGACACCCGATCAGCATCTTGAGAATGCTGGGTGCTGTTCGTCGATTCGGCGTCTCCAACGTCCTGCGAGCCTCTGCGCCGCGCTCACTATCCGCGTCTACGCGCTGGAGCTCGCAACTGTTGAAATGGCAGCCTCTCTCCGCGCCAACGTTCCCGGCCGCTGCGCGCTCGTTTCACGCTTCATTTCCTGCTTTGAAGGCTGCGGCTGCAGAGGCGCATGAGATTGAGGATGACTCTGCGCAAACAGAGATCATCACCGAGTTTCGCGATTTGGAGAGACAAGGACTCGTCGACCCGGCCATTATTCGGAATATCACCGACAGTAGACGGATGGGATTGACGACGATGACCCCTGTTCAGAGCCAGACTTTACATGAGGTTTTGGGAGGCGGCGATGTGTAAGTTCATTGACTTGGCTGTGAGAGACCATTGCTAACTTTTCTCGGGATTTGTCCAGCCTGGCTCAAGCCAAAACGGGAACCGGCAAAACACTCGCTTTCCTCGTTCCTGCCATGCAGAATATCCTGAACGATCCCAGCCTCCGCCAGGATCAGCGCGGGCGATACTGCGACCCCACGGACACCCGCGCCCTGATCATCTCTCCTACCCGAGAACTCGCGGAACAGATTGCGGTCGAGGCGAAGAAGCTTGCCGCGGGCACTCGTCTGCAAGTGCGGACCGCAGTAGGTGGCAGTCACAAGGCCTCCGGCCTGCGAAGGATCCAAGAGGAGGGCTGCCACCTGCTTATTGGCACCCCCGGTCGTCTGAAGGATATCCTTTCGGATCCAAGGAATGGAGTCGAGGTTCCCAAGTTGAACACTTTGATTCTGGACGAGGCCGATCGGCTCCTGGACGACGGATTTGCGCCCGACATCATGGAAATTCAGCGCATGCTTCCGTCCGCGCAGGACGTGAATCGCCAAACGCTCATGTTCTCGGCCACTGTTCCTCGAGAAGTTATGACTATGGTGCGACGCACGTTGAAGCCGGGCTTCAACTTTGTCAAAACCATTCGCGAGGATGAGGTGCCAACGCACCTCAGTGTCCCGCAGAAGAGCGTTGTTCTGAGAGGATATGAAAACGCCCTGCCCGCCATTCTGGAAATGGCCAAGAACTACAAGGCCAAGCAACGAGATGACCCTTCCCTGCGTCCCTTCAAGGCTATCGTTTACTTCAACTCCACCGCCGAGGTCCGCATCGCAGCCGAGGCCTTCAATAATCTCTCCGACCCTCGCAGACGCTCCCATTCTCCTCTAGGTCGCATGAATCTTCTTGAACTACACTCGCGCCTCAGCCAGAGAGAACGGACCAGGAATGCCGAAGACTTCCGTCGTTCGCCAGAGGCCATCCTCTTTTCGTCGGACGTGTCAGCCCGTGGCATGGACTTCCCGGAGGTCACCCACGTTATCCAGATTGGCATCCCCCAAACCCGAGAGACATATGTTCACCGACTCGGCCGCACAGCGCGTGCCGGCAAGACCGGTGAAGGCTGGCTTTTCCTCCACGACGCCCAGTACGGCTATTTCCAGGACATCCTGGGCGACCTCCCCCTCACCAACGACTCAACCTCTATCCCCGCAGCGTCTGCGCGTATGACCCCATTCGTGAAGACGGCGTCCGAAGAAGCCGGAGAAGATCTCGCCGCGAGACCCGACGAGACAACTCCGGAAGAGACAATCGAGACTATCAAGCAGATCCAGCAAGCCATGACAAATATTCCCGCCAGACAGCGAGAAGATGCTTTCCAGCCTCTGATGAGTAACCTGAAGAGCTCTGTCCACAACAAGCGCAAGCTGGTGCAGATCGTGAACGACACCGCCACCATCGGCTGGAGTCTGCCCGAAGCGCCGGGCGTGTCCCCTAAATTTGTCCAGCAGCTAGGCTTCAAACGTATGCCCGATCTCCTCAAGGTGAATGAGTCTCGTCGCGGACGCGATCGCGACTCCGATGATGATGCATTTGGCGCCATGGACCGCAGATCTGGCTTTGGGCGACCATCCAGCTTTGGGCGACCATCCAGCTTTGGGCGACCATCCGGCTTCGGGCGGTCATCCGATTTTGGACGATCATCGTCTCGATCCAATTTTGGAGATTCTGGCGATAGGCGCAGGGATTCCCGGAAGCCTTCTTCCTACGGCCGTCGGTACTAATCGTCTCCCCTCCCCTAGGAGACGAGGACATGAGGAAGATTGCGAATCGGCCATCCTTGCTTGCATTGGGTGGCGTTAGTGTCTTTTCTTGATCGTTTCGATCCTTGTACTACCACTATTTCTGTTGACTTGTTTGTATTACTTGATCTTTGGGCGCGGATAAACAAGAGGCCATATCCTTCTATTCATGTACGGTATATAAAATTTGTCTGACCAATCTCAACATTCTCACACTTTCGAATCTGTCTACTTTCTTGGTCCTCTCTTTCCATCTAAACTCTAGCGTGTCCATTTTTTGATGGGATATATACCTTTAGTGGCAGAAAACAAGAAGAAAAGAAAACATGTCCCTCAAAAATACTGCAGATTAGAAAGACCAGAACTCTCAACTCAACTCATAAAAGGGGGGGAAAGACATAATCAATCACTCGGAACCACAAACCCTGTATCTAATCACGGGCAATCATGTGTTCCCTCGCAGGACCAGTGCCAATCCACTTGACAGGGACGCCGCCGAGCTCACGCTCAATGAACTCAATGTAGGCACGGGCATTGGGAGGGAGGTCCTCGTAGCGGGTAGCACCCATAGTGCTGCACTTCCAGCCGGGCAGAGTAACATACTCGACCTGGATCTTCTCAACGACCGACGCATCGGCCGGGAAAGTCCCAGTCGTCCTCTTCCCATCAGGGAGAATATACGCAACACCGACCTTGATCTCTTCAAAGTCATCCAGCACATCAAGCTTGGTCAGGTTAAGCGCAGTGTAGTGGTTGATAGCATGCGAGTAGCGACACAGCACGAGATCGAGCCATCCACAGCGCCGACGACGGCCGGTCGTCACGCCAAACTCCCGCCCCACGCTCTGCAGCTTATCGCCGTCTGCGTTGAGCTGCTCGCTCGGGAACGGGCCCGATCCCACGCGCGTCGTATACGCCTTCACCACTCCGATCACGGACTTGATGCTCATTGGGTTCAGGGCTAGCGCTTGCACGGCGCCGCCTAGGCCTGTTGATGACGATGTCACGAATGGGTATGTACCGTGGTCTAGGTCCAGCATGAGTGCGTTGGCACCCTCCACTAAGGTGTTGGGCGAGGACTCGTGTTTCTGGAGGAACTCGAGTTGGTCGACGACGAAGGGTTTCAGGCGCGCGCGGTATTCCTGTAGATCATTGTCAATTGCTGTCATTTACCGCGTATGCAATTGCAAAAGCAAAAGAAAGAAAGGGAAAAAAAAAAAAAGGTAAAATACCTTAAACCGCGCAATCTCTTCTTCAACATCATACGCCAAATCCCCAAATCGCAAGCGGTACGACTTCTCCAGCGCACGGAGTTTCCTTTCAAAGACCTCCTCATCCAGAATCTCGCCGACGCGCACACCCCTCCGCGCCGCCTTATCGCTGTAGCAGGGCCCAATACCCTTCCCAGTAGTGCCGACCTTGCGGCCGCCGAGACCAGCCTCCTCCAGACCATCGACGACAGAATGCAGGTCGAAGCAGACGTGGGCACGGTCCGCGACGAAAATGCGCTGGCTGGCGGTGGTCAGGCCCTTTTCTTCGAGGGAGGCCAGCTCCTTGAAGAAGCTGGGCACGTGGAAGACCGTGCCGGCGCCGATTAGGTTCACGCATGAGGGCGAAACCAGGCCTGAGGGCAAGATGTGGAAGTCGTAGGTTACAGACTTGTGGACGATTGTGTGGCCGGCGTCTATTTTGGCAGAGCGAAAATTCGCGGCGTTGGTTAGTCGACTGTGTCCGGTCTGGTTGGATAAAATGAAAGACAAAAAAGAAACGTACTGTGACCACCTGCGGCGCGGCAGCAGAGCGTCGCCTGCTGCGACAGCATATCCGTGATCTTCCCCTTGCCTAATTGTCGCTGTTAGTCTCGTCCGTTCCTGTTTCTCATCGGCGGCGGCGTTCGCCGGAGACGGCTCTGCGCACCTTCATCCCCCCATTGACTGCCCAGCACGATGGTAACCATGATGACGCAGACAGAAAAGTAAACCGGGAGGCTCCAAAAACCAAACGGAGAGGCGTATTGCGATCAATTGACTTGCGCGAGTTGCGACTTGGCGAAGTTTGCGGAAGAGAGAAGGCGAGTCCGATGACCGGCGGCGGGGCTCTGGATGCGTGCGTCAGTCAGTCAGGGATTTTTCTTCCATGGGCCAATTGCACCACAATAGGGCAATGGGAAGTATCTCACATACAAGTAGACGAAAAAAAGAAGCAGAAGAAGAAGAGAAGGAAGGGCAACAATTTATCTTGCAACGAAATAGATGGCGTGACTCACGCTATACTGTGTTTAAAGGTATTTTAATGTATTTTAATCGGTCATTTTGCGTATTGGCGGGGCAGATAATGATCATGCCTGAGTGCCTAAGTGCCTTGATGCCTGAATACCTGAGACAAAGAGGGTTAGGGCATGGCATTGAAGAAATAGAGATGGCTCAGATTCAGGGTATTTCATCTAACATAAAATCCAAAAAAAAATTACAAATGAAGCGGAGAGAGGGCCCCACCAACGCCCCAGAAACAAAACACTCTAAAAAGAGAAATGCTAGGCAAGATGCAGCAAACGCCAATGTCCGTCCTATCCTCACATCACCTTCCCTCCATTGCGGATCCACTCTCGCAGACGGCCCAGATCCAGGATACACTCGCGGTGCATCTCACACGCCACCTCCCAGTGCTTGCGCACCTGGATATCCTCCTCGATTCCGCGCAGATACGCGCTGAATCCGCCCTTGCCACTGCCGGGGACGAGCGTCTCCTCGCCCTCGTTTCTGTCGGGGTCTTCGATGATTCCGCTCTGGGGATCGTCGCCATCGGCGCCGTTCAGATTCAAGCGGGCACTGTCGCCAACGGCGCTGATCCAGCGCGGTGCGAGCCCGGTCTCAACGGCCTCCTGGCGGGCATTGAAATGGAGAAGCATGCGGCGGTTAAATTGGTTCCACTCGCGCATATACGTCGTCATCTCCGCCACGTAGCGGGACCACTGCTCGCGAGGAAGAGCGAGTTGCTGCGATCCGGCACGAGCAGGGGCCGGCTCCGGTGCGCGCGGCCGTTTGGGTGGGTTTGGACAGTTCAACTCTCGAGGCCGGATGTCACGCTTCGTTGTTGTCGGCTGCTTCGCCCGAGATTGGAAGGGAAGTGTGTCGCCCATCTCTTGTAGATTCTCAATGCCGCCGTTTGCGCTGCTGAACGGGGCTGTGTTCCGCAGATTATCAAGATCGAAGAGCGGTGCGCGACTCTCTGCGCTCGAGGTATTGCCCTCTGTCCGAGACTGTGATCGAGGCTTTTTGGTCGGCGTGGGTGCATCCTTAGAAGCCTGTGAGGTCAAGTCGGGATAGCTTGCGGTTCGAGGTTCTCCAGCGGGCCCTTTCTCGGGCATGGACGACAAAGGCGGCGGGGGAGAAAGATCGTCATCTAGATCCATCGCCTCAACGTCCGCCGGCGCAGCGCGAGTGGACTCGGGAGGAATGTTGCCATTGGCCGTCTCTTGTACTTCCTCCGCTTCGGTTGCCACGGTTGCTTGTTGTGGCGCGCTTCGGACTTTGATGCCGGGTCGTGGGGGTCTTTTAGGACTTCGAGAATGCGGGATGTTTGCCGAGGGCCGGGACTTGTCTGTCGCGGGCATATTCCACGAAAGGTTCTGTAACTGCTCGGACCATTGGTCCACAGAAAAGGTTGCTTTCGCGAACGGAGTAGGTGGCTGCTCCACTGGCTGGGCTTTCGGGTATTGAGAGGTATCAACAAATGGCTTCGCACTAGCTGATGCAGCCGACCGCGCTGGCTGGGTAGATCCATTTTGAGTCGACGCCCGTGGTCGGTTCTGGGAACTTGTCGGCCGGCCGAACACCTCCTTGTCTGGAGATTGCTGGCCCAAGAAGGTAAACTGGGTCAGATGATCTCTCCAGTCCTCGGCGGAGAACTTCTTATGTAGGTTGCTTGGGCTGTTACGCCCAAATTCTCCGAAATGAGGGTTTGCCGTATTGGAAGACGCATCGGTCCTACACAGGTCACGTTAGTACGGTCTGGTCGATGGGAAATGTCGAACATCATACCTAGTGCTAGAACCCTGGAACTTGGGATACTGATCCGGTCGATATGATCCTTTGGGGAATGCCGCGCTATCCGAATTATGCCCTTTTGCGTCGTCACTGTCAGCAAGTGCATCATACATCCAGGATCGAGGGGGATTCCGTGGTCTCCAGGTTTGGGAGAAATCCGGCGGCGGAGGCGGGGAGTACGAGTGCGTAAAGTCTGAAGGGGTCCATTGGGGGAAGGGGTCCTCACCGGGGCTGGAATCATCCTCACGATGGAAGTCTGCGAATTTCTGGTGTGGGCGAAGGCGGCTCTTGGGCACGGCCTTTGGTTTGAATGTGCCGGTGCGGCCAACGTTCACCTCGTCGGAATCGGAGTCGGATTCGTCGTCCAGATCACTGGAACTCGATGATATGGAGATGTTGCGAGATCGTGTGGATCGGTCCTTGGGGCTGGCACTGTGATGGCGTCCCGGTTGGCCGGATGAGGAGCTGGGGTGATATGAACCAGAAGGAGTGCGCATGGTTGCGGACCGATTAAGCTTAGGGCTCGCAAAGAAAGTCTTTTCGCCTCCGGTCGTGGCGTAGCGGCTACTATATCCCCCCATGCGGGATGGCTCAGGGTCGATATAGCTGAAGGGCCGGTCCGTCCGATGATTAGTAGTATAGGCAGAGGTACCGCGGGCCATGGGCTCGTCCCCTCCTGCAGTTCCCGGTGCAAACCCCTGCTTCTTCTTTGGTGATGTTGAATTCGACGCTGTCGGTGGCGGAGCTTTAAAGTATTCATATGCAGATTTAGGGCGTGGACCCTGCTGCCCGAAAGGTGCATTCTGTCTCGGCGCAGCGCCAGATGGGGGAGTTGCGTGTCCAGTTCGAGGATCAAACTGTTGCCAGCCTGGCGTATTGTTGTTTCCTCTCATACCTTGGAATCCCCGGAAAGCATCCGCCCTCGTCTGCGCCTCATCCTGTGCTTTATGCCATTGTTGCGGTCCCGCTCGAGCATGCGATGCATATCGTTGGGCTCCAAACGACGGTCCATTTGGCGGTCGCTCATTTGGCGGGGGCTGTGGTTTGCGAGAGTTGGGGGGCTTCTGGCTCTGCGATTTCGAAGCAGAGGTAGGCGCACGACTGCTCGGCTGAGCTTTCCGCGGCGTATTTGCCTTGGGCGGTCCATAAAACTTTCCATATCCAGCGCGCAAGCGGTCCGTGTCATATTTCAATCGTTGTTGAGGGTCACCAAGGATCTCGTTGGCTGCCTGGATGGCCTGGAACTTGGCGTTGAACTCGATTTCTTTGCCCGGGTTTCGGTCGGGGTGGTACTTCAGTGCTACAGACCCCCAAGAAGTCAGCGGTGGCTTCTAACTACTGTCTCGGTCACACGTACCTAGTTTCCTGAACTGCTTCTTTATGTCCTCAGCTTCCGCGCTGGGCGCGAGACCTAGGTCCGCGTAGTAATCCCTCCGCACATCCGCTTTCACCATGTTGATACCGTGCCGACGGTGACTCTATGGAGTTCTTTGGTTCTCAAAGTGCATAATAGATGGTTAAGCGGGTGATCAACTATTTCGCCCATAACAAGTCATAGAAACTTGGCTCAGCAATATGACATCCGGCACGCCACATTCGCATCCAAGCCGAATCCGATGGGGTACCTGCGGTACTGACGCGACAGACGCGAAGGCGACAGACAGTCGAGGGTTGGCAACGTGCGCCTCGCAGCAAGTAACGTAGAGAGAAAGCGTCTCGAAGCAAGGAAGAGCCTCGTTCTGAGAATCACAGTATCACGAGGGCTCAGGCGGCTAGCGGTGAATGCTTTGATCAGGCGCCGACTCAGCAAGGACAAGGGCAAATCGGTTCGGTGGCGGCTCAGTGAGATGGCAGTAAACTGGGGCGCACGCTTCCTAACCAGAGAATGACACGTTTTGTTAGTCTAGAAAAAGAGTGACAACAGCACAACTGCGCGCGACGATCGTAGAGATTGCCGATCGAGCGGGCAGCAGCTGATGGCGTTACGGTCAGGCAGAATGGCCCAAGCGTAGGGGCAAAGCGACCAACAAGAGGCGGTAGATCCCACCCGTCACTGAATGGACAAAGGCATGCAAAAGAGGTAAGAAGGTTTGTGCGTTGGTCCTGTGGGAAGAGCGTGAGAACGAGAGGGAAAAAATGATCAGATGTTTGTTTGGGGAAGAGTCGGTTGCCGCCTTAGGCACCAATAAGGAGTATACCGCAGTGTCTATAGCAGACAACCACTGCAACGTCTCTAATAAAACAGATTATTGTATGTATAGCTCTGTATATGGTATCCAAACGCAGACAACCACTCAAAACCAAGCCAGATCAGAAACAGACCCTTGCCCCAGAACCCAGAACAGCCCTTTTCACCTGTGAGCCTCTTGAACGATGCCCGATAAACGCAAAGCAATAAAGGAAGGACAGTAATGAACAAAACACAGATCAAGAAAATAAATAAGGAGGGAGGGAGGAAAAACGAACAACCCAAAAAAAGAACATCATCTAAGCATCGCCACCAGCAGCGCCTGCTCCCGAACCGCCAAAGAAATAGCCTTCCAAGAGATCGTAGTTGGGATTCTCACTCCAGTCATGCTGGAAGTCGACTGCCATACCGAAACCCAGATCAATCCCCACGTTCTGGCCCAAGTTATGGCCGAGAGAGGGCATGTTCGCCAAACTGTAATCCGCATTGACATCGGGGTCCATGCCGGGCGCGTTCTCTGCATCCCCGGACCCAAAGTCCAAGAAATCGAGGCTGATGCCTGCTTGCTGCGCGTCGGGCTCAGTAGGTGGGACGGCGTGGGGCCCATGGCCGGGGTTGGCGGCTACACTACCAGGAGAACCAGGCGAACCCCCATAGAAGAACTGTGGAGGGGCCTGTGGAGACCCTGGGTTCTCGTACTTGAGATAGTACTCCATAGACGGGGTGCGCTGACCGAATTGCCGAGAAGAGCGGTCAGCGGCGAAGCCGGGAGCCGATGACTCCGTGAACTCTGAGCGAACAGGGAAAGATGGGCCTCCAGGTCGAGACCGGTCGGCAAGCGGAGTATTGTCGTTGAACAAGTCCGCTAGGTTCATGTCGAATTTGGGAGGCGGCCGAGTGACGCGGGTCTGCGTATTCCGCCGAGCCTGGCCCTGGCCGGGGTGTGGCCGCTGCTCCATCGACTGTTGCTGTAGTCGCCCAGACTGGAAAGAGCCGCCTGAACGCGTCGTGGCCTGAATGCGGCTCATGTCGACCTGCGACCCGAAGCCGGTGGTGGACAGGCACATCTGAACAGTGGCCTTGCTCATGCGCTCAAATGCATCTCGGCAAGCCTCTGCGGGAGGACACTTATGGAACAAGTCCCCAAGAACTGAGGTCGCAGCAAGGACAGTGAAATCAACTTCGTCGAGTGTCTGAGGAACAAATTATAAGCACAAGATGAAGAGCTAAAGGATGATCGAGAAACGTACCAAACGGCTTCGCACAAGGGGCGAATGCCAGATCGCATATAAAAAGGAAATACCTAGATAAATAGTGTTAGTGACATGACAACGAACAAGAGATGGAGGTGTATCATTCGTACCAGCCATAAAAATATGGTGGGTGGCAAGATAAGTGTAGTTGACCAAGCGTACCCGGTGAAGTTGACGATAAATTCGAATCACCTTTTGACCAGCCTCAGCCACGTTAAGATAAACGTGATCCTCCTCGTCGCCTTCATCCACATTTGAGAAAGACGGACTAGAGACGTCGTCCGGAGTCAACTCGCTTGCCAGTTCAGCGGGCACAGTCAAACTCTGTTGATACAGCAGAATAATAGCTTGCCAATAATTTAGCTCAAGCAATTCGATAGAGAATCGCACGCCAGTGTCGGAGCGTGTCGGGGCGGACTCGAGCCATTCCACTAGACGACGATGTACATCGTGGCGCCAGGAGCGGAAGGAGTCAAAGCCCTGGAGGAAAGGAGAGGTAAGTTCGGCATGAGGGAGGATGACGGTGGTGCTCGAAGCTCTTCTTCGTACGGCGCGCGCCTGCTGAAATTGGAGGACATCGTGGATTTCGGATTGGAGGAGACGAAGCTTGAAGTAATGGAATGCGACGTGCTTATATGTCGGGGTGCCATCGGGAGGTGTTAGGAGGCCAGCTTTGGTGATGAACTTGTCGTCCATCATGGACGGGAACTCGGTGCTAATCGCTTGATCGCTGATGCCGAACGGCCGTCCAACACAGGTCGCAACAAGACGGTCGAAACTGTAAACGCACCACCACAGACGACGGCGGAGGTCACGTACCCATTCGCGTCGGCCTCGTTCGCGGGCATCGATGCGCGACTGGTTTTGGTTGCCATCTTTCGCACCCGAATCGATGCCTACTCCATCCTCGTAGTGAAGTCCGAGGTCCACAGCCAAGCGCGTAGCAACTCCGACGATGTACCAGAGACCGGGAGCCACCGGCCGCAGCAAGGCAAAGCTGGCTAAGAGAAGCACTGCTTGAAGCTCCTCTAGCCCGCCGAAGCCTTCGCTGGACGAGGAACCAAGAAATGACTCCAGGTGAATGATCGCAGATGCGTGGTATTCCTCTGGTTGATACTGATGGCTTGAAAGTCTCGGTCTTTTCGATGTAGATGATGACCGGTCACGGCTAGAGCGATTTTCGTCATCTGAGCCTTGGGATTTGTCGTCGTAAATGATGCCCGCACCGATGGCAAACACGATATTGAGTGTATAGAGGGCCCGGGGAGATCGGTTCTTCTCTTCTAACTGATATGACCGATCCAAGAGCTCCATGAAGTCGCCTCGATGGAGAATAGGCATCTGAGGATTCGCGTGTTCGAAATACAGATCAACTAGCCTCTCGGCGAGTTCTCGGTCTGGGAAGGCAGCGCATTTCATCATCGGTCTTGTTTGCAGCCCGAAAAACGAATCCCGCATCGAGCCACCCCCGCCAACGCCGGCAGCACCGGCAGTGCCCTGGGGCAGACGTTCACTCGTGCGGATCGTGCTGCGGTCCGGCATGTTGCCTGGGAGCGAGCTCCGTACGGCCGCAAACACAACTCGCGCGAACGAAATCCCGGATGTAGAGCCCAGGTATCGAGGATCAGAAGTTCCTTGCACCGAGACCATGCCGATGTTCGACACGAGATTGTGCAGTCGCCAGTTCTCTTCGTCTCCATCTCCATCACGGGCCGCATCACCGTCGACTTTTTGGTCGGTAGACTCTTCTTTAATTCTTGGATTTCGCCCTTGTGCCTTATCCACAGCCGAGACCTCGCCGGCTGGGCCATCACCATGGTGGGAATCGCCTTCGGTTTCGACTTTGACCGCTTCTTCTTCGTCGAAAGCTACCGCTTTCTTGAATTCGATATTATGCTCAGCCAGCTGCTTCTCGAGATAGGCGACCCGGGTCTCCAGGAAATAGACATAACTGCGCGGGATCTCTCGCTTGGTGATGGGGTCGTAGCCGACACAGCGCACCCCTGCCTTCTCGCAGGACTGGCACCGGGGCAAACGCTGGTCGCAGCGATTCTTGCGCAGACGGCAGCGGTTGCAGGCCGAGACATTGCGGAACGAGGAGGACGTCGAGGACGAGGTCGTGGTGGACAGGGCGGGCGAGGTGGAGGGGAGATTGGTTGCGGTGGCGGGGTTATTTGCGGTATTGTCGGACTGGGTTGGAGGGGTTTCGCTGGAGGGATGCGGTCTCTTCTTCCCCGAAGATGGCGGGGAAGGGGGATTCGGCATGGTGACGAACGAGTGTTGAGTGCCGCAAACTTGCGATCATCTCTTCTTTCGTGGTGGAGTCGCTATTGCGGAGACGGCGGTCGGGAACAGCTGGGCCGATCAGCGGGCATGATAGATAGTGATCCTAGTGAAGGTCGCGCAACGCAGACGGTCGGGTATCGCGATCCCACAGACGAGAAAAGGAGACGGCCCGCAATGGTTACGGGAACGTGGCGGGTCCCAACTTTGTCGCTGTGCTGCTCTCCGCGGCGCAAGTGCCGCTCGGGGGCTGATTATCCTCCGAGATGGGCCGAGTCGGGAGATGCGCGTTGATGCGATCTGCCACGGTCCTTCGGCAAACGCGACGAAGTTGAGCGGAAGATGTTCGATCAAGTAAAGGTCGTCCGAGTAGAGGAGGGAGGTCGGAGGGCAGTCAACCTCGGAAGGTTACATGGTGACCGTAGTTACGACCTAGGGCACTGGTGGAGTAGATGGCCAGTCAGCAAACCAGACCGAGTAGTTGCCCTCGGGAACCCTGGATACGAGACACCACACCATGTTCGGGTTCATTCGGTTTCCCCAGAATCGTGGCAGATGTGCAAGGGGAAGGCCTCCGCGATCATGAAGGACCTGGTCGAGTCATCAATGACCGTTGTCCGGCAGTTAGCCATATCGTTGGAGGGGGCACTTGTCCTCGGGAATGGCATCGCAGGCTGGGTGGACCCGGCCGGGATTCTTGGCCAGTCATTGGTGGAGAAGCAACCAAGTCTGGGGTTCACAGTTGAGACAAGAGTCTGGGGAGCGACTTAAATCGAGACTACATATCAGGCTACATCGTGGCTGCGCACCGGTGGAGCCCATGTGCAGGTACAATTTCAGATGGCATATGAATAGCCATAATTGAAGTGCTTAAATGTCGGAGACATGTAGCACATGCTTGAGTGTATAACAACAACGCGGAAATCACAAAAAGCCTCCCAGATGCACATGAGTATCGTCAAAGTGTATAACCAGTCCATGCTCCGGAAAAAAAATGAGAGAGAAAAAAAGGGAAAAAGAGAGACCCGAATGTCATGCCTTTGCAGATGCATCCATCTATATCATTTGCGCCGTAGCCCGGTCTCGAGAAGAGAAGAAATCATTCATCAAGAGGAAAAGGAAAAGAAAATAAAAAGTGGTATGTCAGGGAGAATGGAAAAAGAGAATCAATCCCATGTTGAGATGATGGTACGCAACAGCGCCAGAAATGAACCTGTCCTGCACGGAAGGACGAGGAGGGGAAAGATGCGGATCTAGACGCGGGCCGCTGAGAGATCGGTTTCGGACCGAGCGAACCTCTCCACGGCAGTCAAGTCGAGAGTCGAGGCGTCAAAGTCGTGATCAATGCTAGAGCGCAGAGAGAGGAGCCGTTGCTCCTCCTCCGGCAAAGTGGTAGAGTTTCGTGGGGTGAAATCGGAGAGGGCGTTTTGCTTCATCTCAGACTCGTTGACTTCAGATTGTTTGAACCGATCCGGCATCGGTGGCTCCTCCATCCAGAAGCTCTCAATGGCACCGATCACGCAGACGAGACCGCATGCCCACCAGGCGAGCACGGAATATCCGCTATCGAGACCTTTGGAGTGCAACAGGCCGGTTATCGTGGGACCAAAGGCCCGGCTGAGGCTGGCGACGGAGGCCGCGGCGCCGTTGATGGAGCCCAGCACCTTCGAACTCGGAGCAGAGTTGGCCAGCATGATGGCGGTTGCGGGGAAGGCGATGACATGGAAGGTGATTTTGCTGATCAGTGCCACGTACGCGGCGGGCATTTGCAGCTTGGCTGGTAGCAGGATGAGGTAGGGCACGGCCATGTAAAGCGGCGGCCAGACCATCAGCACGAAGCGGAACGTCCGAAGGGTGCCAAAGTGCTTGACCACGAATGGGAACAGCCAGAGCTGAGCGATCATCGAGTACACCCCCTGGACGGCGAGCATGATACCAATGGTCTTGGTCATCAGGCCAAGGCCACCAGTGAACTTGAGAGGCAGCGCAACCCTGTCATCCGATTTGGGGGTGCTCAGGAAGACCGGCATCAGCTGGTCAAACGACACGCTGTGGCTGCAGGCAGGGTTTCAGGTCAGCATTACTCTCTCTGCAGTGGCGTTGGGGCCAACTCACTATGCAAGAATCCCGTAAGCCACGATGGTTAAGATGACTTGTCGGGTAAATGCCTTGGGCGTAGGGCGCTTCTGCCCTTCCAGATCGGCATCCGCAGGGCGGTCCGCCACAGAGCTCATGCGCGGTGTTGATTCGGCGCTGTCATAGTCTGGCGGGACGTCACCGTACACGAAATACTTGGTTTCCTCGGCGCTCACGTCGGAATCGTCGGGAAGTTGGACCCGCGAGCCACAGCATTGGCTGACGAGCCAGTGCCCGAGCTCAAGACCAGGGTCACGACGGTGCTTCTTTTCCGGGTGCGTTTCTTCCAAAAACAGGAAGCCGACCACAACGCCACACACCAACACGGTGATGCACACCAGATTGGGTAGCAGGAAGGGGAATCGGTCGAACAGCGTGTTGCGCGCAAAGAACGACGGGTAGTTCTCGCACGGCTGGGCCAAAACACCGCCCAGAGCCGGCCCAATGATGGAGCCCAAGCACCACACAAAAGGCATGATCGAGTAAGCTCGCGGCTGGTGCTCCTTGACTGTCACGATCTCTGCCACGGTTGTCTGCAGAACGCCGATGTTCCCGTTCAGCAGTCCACCCAGCGCGCGCGCAATCATGGCCGTTGCCAGGTTGGGCGCAAATCCGAACACCACCATGCTGATGGCCGTACCCACCAGGCCCATAATCAGAACGGGCTTGCGGCCGATGCGATCACTCATACGACCCCAGAACATGCCTGCCGAAAACTCGGCAAAGGTGAAGGACGAGGTGATCATGCCGGCATACAGCGCAATCTTGCCGTCGTTATCCGTAACATGGAAGGACTCGACCATGCGATAGACGTAGGGGAAAATCGACATGAACGCGATGGGCTCGCAGATGCGGCAAAGCGCTGGAAAGCACAGTTAGTCAACATGGTCATAGTTGTTGCAAAGTCCCCAAAATCCGGGGTTATTGTTCGCATATTTGGATCGCGTTGCAAAAGTACTGGACTTACCTAAAACGAACAATTGCCGGACAGGAAATGCAGACCAGTCTTCGCCAGCGCCATTGCGCTGCCTCCGGCCCTGCAAACAGGACGGCCGTTGGAACATTTTGTGCAAAAACAAGAAAGAAAAGAGGGAGAAAACAAAACAATCACAGTCCTCTAGGGAGGTGTGACGAGAGAAAAAAAAAGTACGAAAGGCCGTGCTTTTGTCTCTGACAGTTTCCCCAGGTTAATGGGACAGGGCTCGGAAGGGAGAGAATGCAATTGGTGTGGAGGCTGGCGGTATATCGGAGCAAGGAGCCTCTTTTTTCGAGGTTTAAGGCTTCAGCATTGCTCCCCCTGCGGTTGAACCCTATTCGGGGCGATAAATGAGACACCAGCAAGGGAGGGTCTTCACACAATAATGACTTCGGAAGTTTCTAGAGGCAAATCAAGGAGACGGCCCCTCGGAGGTTTGGAGGAAGGGCGAGGGAAGAATGGGGAAGGGATCTATGAAGAATCTTGGGGAAAGGCGTGGGAGGTTCAAAGGAAGACACAGGTTAATAATAAATTGCGATGAGCAGATCACAAAGAAGAAAGGGAGTTCATTCCAACCGGTCCGGAGGGGAAAGGGGAGGTTATTATATGAAAATCCCAGCCGGGTGTTTTACGGTGGATAGGTTCCATCTATAGAGTCAAGCTCGATGAGATCGAGCGCCACAGAGCCCAAACGTCAAAACCCCATGAATATTTTGGTTCCAGCTGTACAGAAGCCGCAGGATGCAGAGCAAAAATGTTGGATTAGGGTCATAGAATAATAATAATCGGACCCACTCCCTAGGAAAAATAATTTATTTATTATTTTTTTGATTGAATTTTCTTTCCGTACCGTAATCATAATTCCAGGGAAAACACAGATCGGGGCTATCCAATTCAAACACCGCCCAAAGGGGGCCGGAAGAAGCACCCTGGAGGCAAGGACCAGTGGAACCAATGGCAAACTTGAAATCGAAGCTGATCTCCCCCCAGTATCGTCATCTGTTCACTCGCGGAATCCCACGGTGGTCTTCCGGCCAGTCGGCGGCTGTGGAATCGCTGCCCAACTGCTGACCGGGTTCACGACCTGGCCGCATATTATAATATTGCTGAAGGCGAATACGTACATCATAGTCAACTGTCAAATACTTTGGTATTCAACCGGCCCCACAGATCCGGTCAGAAAGGAAGGGGCCGATACTTGCCTTATTTTGTTTAGCGGACAAGTGATGGATCCTGAGCACCGGGCCCCCGGGGAACAGCAGGAGGCGGTTTCCCAGCGCGCTAAATCATCCGTCTTAGTTAAAGATGATCGGCGCTGGTCCTTTTCTTTCCAGTGGTCTGGTTTTAGTGTGATTTAGTGGGATGATAGATCTCGCATGACTTCTCCTTAATTAAAAAAACCCCCGGAGAAGAGAAAAAAGAGCCATTGTCATCGTCATCAGACTACCGCGCCCCCCGATCCACGATCTGCCCCGCCGCTAACTAGGGAATTCTGGAAAATCCGCCGGGTTCTGTCCCGCGCGATGGTTGGGAACCACCCGCGGAACACGGAAGAGGGAGTTAAAAGGATGGCTGCCGGTAAGCTCATGATTGGTTAAAAAATCACGGGCGAGATTTCCGGCACCGAGGCATATTCTCTCAATAATCAACCGGAAACAATGGCACTTGTTTCGCATTGGCGACATCCAACTTGCGGTGAACCAGGGTGGCCAACATTACAACAGGGACCTAAAAACGGTCACTGCAACGCGACTACATACTCAATTTTCTGTCACCCCGTGATCATCATTTCCAAGGCAGTGGGTCGGTTAATGGTGCCTACTACTTCCACTCAATGGCAGTGGCTGGCTCAATGCATCGCGTATGCGCTTAAAGCCTACGTTGCGCTGTCTGTAATATATACGCGAAAGGGGGCGGGATACCAGAAAGGAAACGGCTTGCGGTGATCGTCCTGTCATGGTCGGAACTGGCGGTTGTGCACAGAAATGTAGCGCAAGGATGAGAGACAACAAATTCACCGACAGTCCGCGGCTTGTCCAGTCACCAACGTCCTACGGTGATCGCCACGCCCAAAGCCCCTCTTCGATAACCCCTTTTCAGAGGCGACAATCAAGTTTGCAGTTGATGATCCTGTCTGTGGCGCTGGCTAGCAACATGAATGGCTGTCCCCCGTTGTAACTGACAGAGCTGCCATAGAATCCACCGAAATGTCGGTAAACCTAGTGCCGACCCAGCACAAAGGACCAAACGCGGCAGAGACCCAGGAAATTGGGAGAGAGAAACCTTGCCAAGTGGGCCATTATTGTATCATAACCGTGTACAGTACGAAGTATACCAATACAATGTCAATTTAAAGGGGCCAGGAGTTCGCATCCCAGCGAGTTTCAAAAAGCCGGTGAGACCATAGCTACCCTCGTAGGTCGACGTCATGAACCCACAAAGAAGCAAACATTCCGAAGACAATGTTGACAAATCCTTCCATGCATTGCGTGCATAGAAAACAAACGCCATGCATCGGACTGAACTACATACATTGGCGGAGAAGGTTCGAGACAACTACAACCATAAGCAGCCCACCACCAAACAACAAGATTGACCGGCGGTGACGCGAGCTGTTCTTCCATTCGCGCTCTTCAAATCTTGTCACGCGGGCGATTCGGGTGGCGCCGTCCTGTACAGTAGCGCCTATCGGTCTTCGTGTCTAGAGAGATAGCCATTCGGACTGCGCGGAAGGATATGTATAAATGCGCCCAACGGCGCCAGTGAGCGGATACCAACTCATTGCTGTTGACGATCATCTGCGTGAGCTTGATTCTCAGCCTGCAGTCAATCAAATGATGCCATGTTGGCCCTGGTCACTTCCTGATTGCCAGCAACGTACAACCAGTAGGATGTACTCTCGTTGCAGTCCGAGTGGAGAAGAAAGACCAGCTAAATTGCTGACACTGAGCGGTGAACTACTTGGCTGCAGGCGATGCTCGACTACAAGTATAACATTGAAGGATCATTGGTTCCTCTGCACTTCTCCGTGGACTCGGAATTCGCATCTGCACCGCCGGTAGCGAAGGCCAGTCATTGAGCATGCATCTAGGATGGCGTAATCGACGTCTATTGTCCTCCTGACATCGGGCAACAAAAGACGGTGAACAATAACAAGTCTGAAGGGTTCAAGTCTCGTAAATACCCCTCACCTCGATATCGCAGATCTCGAAAGCTTCGCTCCTCGGTCGCGTCCGATCGACCTTTCGCCAGATCGGGTATTCGCCTGGCCTCACTACTGCAGCATCAGATTGCACCATTGCCGGGCATTCTTGAACACACCTATCATTCCGCAATGAGATCTGTTCGCAGGATGCGAACTCGCTCCCCTTTCCGAGCACCTGGTATGTCTACACGGCTAGCCACTTTACCTTTCGCTTAGATCCGTGAACTCAATGCCTACCGAGCTATCCCACCATTCCTGAAAAATGCCGCGACGAGCTGAATCGGGCAGATCCGGGAATATACATATTGTCCAGGTCCCTCGATCGGCAAGACGCTACAAATAGACAAAAGAAGACTCAAGCTTGATCGACACCACGCCTGTCGTCCCGTATTGTCGGGTTCTGGCACTAGCATTGTACATCCATACGGCCAGGGGTGCTTTCATGACGTCTGGAATCGCGAAAATGGGCAAGACTAGGAGATGCGGAAACCATCTCCCGTCATATAGGAATGCGCCGTTCGTTTGTGATCAGTCACCTTTTGCGCTCCCACATTCCCGCAGTGGTGATAAGATGGCGGGAAAGTGGAGAAAAACAAGGGTTCAATTCATACTCTTGGGTCCGAGCGAGTCGTCTACAAAATGCAGATCCTCTCTGGCCCTTCCATCGCGATCGGACATCTCGATCCGGCAGGCGTCGACGCAGGTACTCGGGCCTTTTCTAGTGCGTAACTTCCCGCGCCCCGATCGGGTCGCCCGTCGAAGTTAATCGCCGGGTGTGAATGCTTGTGTGCCGCCCGGAGCAAGAACTTTTCGCGCGAGCGCTTGAGCGCAGTCTCGCATTGGCATTGCCACTGTGATAGTGAGCTGTATCACCTTGCTCGGAGTCCGGCATTATTCACACAGCATCACACTGGCCTCTAGGCGAACCAATGTGTCACTCTTATTTTGGAATTGACAGGTCGTCGCGCTACTCTTCGCCCCCCCGCCCAGATATGGTCCCGATCTAGACCTGCGATCTAGGCGTCGTGGAAATTTCTGACACCTACAGTAGTTCTGCGCGGCAGGGGATCAGACATGCATGGGGAGCCGGACCAGAAGAACGTACACGTACTTTTCTTGAGCAAATGTACTTGATGTATGCAAAGTACGCAGGACCAAGGAGTTCGTGGCAGCACAATTCTTGCCGATCGCCTAGAAGTTGACCTAGGCTGTTAAGCTCACTGGCCACACCTCCACTTTGTGTGTTACAGGGGCGAAGGATGAAAAAGTGGCCCGGCTGGGTGTGGGCGGCCGCTAGACTGAACATCCGCGCTCCAATCAGAGCCCTAAACAGCCAGTTTCCGGGGAAGTCGGAAGCACAAGTACGACCATGGTACTGTCGGTTCTTAGATTTCCTTTCGAGGATCCACTCGAACCGTCTGCCTTCCTTTCCACTTTCTTGTTCATCTAACAGGAATCGCGGTTCCACCCAAGTGGCGCGAGTTACCATCATACAAAACACCGGGACGCAGGATCCGATGCCGCGACGGGGAATAGCAGGCAAAAGTCCCAGTCACAATTTTGAATCCCTGCCCCGATTTTCGCACTATTGGATCGGTTCTTGGTCATGTGAAAATCTTCCCCTGGCTCTTTTTCTTTCCTTTTTTGAGCTTCTTTTGTTCCACATAGAATTGAGCCCGCTCCTTGTCTGTCGCCTCCTGCGCCAGCGGAGGACGAACTAGTGCTTTGTTTGACCGATCGCACTCCTTGTGCCTTGAGCGCCAAGTCCATAAATTGTACCCCGCCACTCAGTTTTAGTGTCGCGCTACGTATCCCATGGGCTTGGTTCGGTTCAGGTGAAGGATTCCATGCACGGCACTCCACATGGACGGACAGTATGTGGTACTATTGTACCCACAGGATTTAGAACTTGTCAAAAAGTACAATACATAGTACTTGGTAATGTACGCGGGGGACTGGTGCGACTGGGTGATAGATACACCATCGCCGCAGCACCTCTCCCTCGCAACCATCGTTGCCACATGTGATGGTATTGTATGCAATAGCATTGATACTTTTGCGCTAGATAAAGGATATTGAGGTGATGGAGGTCTACACTCTACATAACCACATATTCAGAAGGACCATCCAATAAATCTTGTAGACTTCACTTTCATGGAATGGTGCTTCAAATCTTCAAAGTAACGGGTACATTATAACACTCATTGTTTTTGTGATAGCCTTTTCTCCAACCAGAATGCTGCACCAACCATCTACTATAGCAGGGTTCTCTTGCGACGTCAATGATCTCTCAATTCCAGCGACCTCTTGACTAGGGTCCATCCCAGCATGATTCCAAATACGCAAGACCAAACACTCAGGGGAGGGAACATACCCTATACTTCTTAAAGCCGGCGGTCGGCATTGCATGCATGTCCATCATGTATCTGCCCGTCATCTGCAACCATTGATCGTCCTGCATCTACGTCTGTCTGGGGTGCTGAAACACTATTGCGGGCTCTGGACGAGAATCCCGGGCCGCTATAGTCCCTATCGCTGTGACGTGTGCCTCTGGGCCTACAAACAAGGATTGGGCAGCGTGAAAATAGTCGATATCTAGTCGGCAATTAAATGCACATCCAGACACTTGCAATGAGGGGCCAAGGATGTAATTCTACATATCAAAAGTACATCCTTCGATCCAAGTTTCCATCACCCGCAATCACTTGCAGCTTGCCGTCCAGCAAACTTTAATATCTGCATCGAGACTAATATGGTCTCCCCTTTTCTCTCGATTGACACCTTGTATACCTCAGAGCTGAATGCCCCTTATCTTTACACCGAGGATGGCATTATCACCACGTGACTCCAAATATCCCTTCGTGACGCAAACTCACCCAACACTTCGACCTGCCGAGCATGGCCCATTCACGATTACTTTTCACTCTGCCCAAATGCAGGTGCAGAGTTCCCACCATCTCCATCCCCTTCATCGCACGCGGACGATGGCAGAGCACCAACGCCGCTGACTTACCTCATTTGAACCCACCCCCAGACGACTATTCACGCTTTATCTTTCAAGACAAGTGCCGTGTGACTGTCCACGCCGGGTCCGGCGGTCATGGATGTGTTTCATTCCTGCGAGAAAAGTACGTTGAGGAAGGACCTCCGAACGGCGGCGATGGCGGCAGCGGAGGAAGCATTTACATCCAAACGGTGGAGGGACTGACCAGTTTACACAAGCTGGCACGCCGAGGCGTGATTAGAGCCAGTCGTGGCAGAAACGGACAGGGAAAAAGCAAAGGCGGAAAACGCGGCAACGATGTGTTGATCCAGGTTCCTGTCGGTACCGTCGTGCGGGAAATCGATCGTGAAGATCCTGTCGCAAATGAACTCGCTCGTTTGAGGAGCGAGAGACTTCTGCGTCAGCAAGAGTCTGAAGATGAAGAAGAGACGACAGAAATGTTCACTCCTGTTCGCCACGACCGCTGGGTGTTGTATCCCGGAGCCAACCCCTCTAATTTTTTGACGGTGAAATTCCCTAAATCAAGGCCTCGGAGGCAGCATATCGCGGCGATGGAGCCGCAAGCGCCCATCTTCCTTGACCTGTCACAACCAATGGACAAGCCATTGCTGCTAGCAGCAGGTGGCGCGGGCGGAATGGGCAACCCACACTTCGTCACCAGGAACATGGGTCGACCGGAATTTGCAGCCCGCGGTGAAGGCGGCATGCGATTAGAGCTGGACTTTGAGCTCAAGATCCTGGCGGATGTTGGGTTGGTCGGAAAACCCAATGCGGGCAAGAGCACGCTCCTCCGCTCGTTGACCAACAGCCGAACGCGCATCGGGAACTGGGAATTCACTACCCTCTCCCCCCAAATCGGGACGGTTATTGTGGATGACTACAAAGGTCGACCACTGGTGGAGTCGAAGGGGATAATCCCGCGCACACACTTCACTATTGCAGACATTCCGGGCTTGGTGGAAGACGCCCATCTCGACCGCGGGCTGGGTCTAGGGTTCCTCCGACACATCGAACGGGCTGGAATCTTAGCTTTTGTGGTTGACCTCAGCGCCGGAGACCCTATACAGGGTCTACAGAAGCTATGGCATGAACTCGGCGAGTATGAACGCATGGATGAGGCCGAGCCGGTCGATGAGAGTGAAGACGGAGGCGTGCTTGAGTGGGATACCTCTGGTTCTGGTCTTCCGGAGCTTGATCCCTCACGAAGTCGTCGTCGGAGTGAACTCCCAATCGAGACACCTACCACCGTCCGGAAAGATGGCTCTCTCCCTCGTCTCCCATTACCGCCCATCCACAAGAAACCTTGGTTCGTGGTGGCCACCAAGGCTGACCTAGAGAACACGCAAGACCAGTACAAGGACCTCCAGGAGTACCTAACCGCTGTTGAGAATGGACTGGCAGAGCATCCGTCTGGACATGCCGATGGGTGGAAGGAATCACTTCATGCAGTGCCGGTCAGCGCCATCAGAGGCGAGGGCGTTAGTCGCATCCCGAAGCTAGTGATGGAATTTCTGGCGTAAACGGATGCATGAGATAAGTCTGTATATTAGATCTGTATATTATTCACAAAAATAATACCCCATGAGGGATTGGCCTCTGTCTAGCTGTGTCTGGGCTGAGTGCCTTCTTTGGATATGACTATGAAGCACTCACATCCTCCGTCATTTCACTTTCTTCTTCCTAAACCCATTCCCCATGCCCTCCGTCACGTCTTCTCTTCCCCTTTCGTGTTATTATCATGAGCCTCAACACCACCATCCGCGACGCATTCTCCGCCATCACCTCATCCTCCGACGACCTGATCCGGCAATGTCTCCCCGACTCCCCCCACCTTCTCTTCTCCGACCCCGAAAAAGCTCTGGAGCTCGCCAACACCAAACTACACGTCTTCCCCTTCAAAGATGTGCACCTTCGCTGGCGCAGACTGTACACAGACGCGTCCATAGTGAAGGTCTGCTTCGCGATCATCCGCCACTGCAACCTCGCGCGACTCGACGCAAACCAACAATCCGACCCCCACCACCTCCTCAAGCAGCTCAACAATAATGCAGACCCAAAGATCAAGATCAGTCCACATGCGGGCTGGCTCTCCGAGGCCATCCATGCCCTCGACAAGGCCCTCATCATGACCGGTGCCCCACGTCGCGAGAAGCTCATCGAGTCCCTGCTCTCCGCGTTGCAGGCCGCAACAGACGAAGACTTCAAACACCACGACACGGACAACAGCGACGTGCAGCAACCCCTATCCAAGCGCAGGAAATACTCGCCTCCCCTCTTCCCGCCCACTGCCGTCCCCGAGCCTCGTCTAGAACATCCCATCGCGCGCGTCTCGGCGCCATCCTACGACTTCATAGAGCACCATATCCACAATACTGGCACTCCACTGGTCATTTCGGGGGCAGTCGACCACTGGCCCGCCCTGTCGACCCGGCCGTGGGCCTCGCGCGACTATTGGTGGGATCGCACGTTCGGAGGCCGCAGACTCGTTCCCGTTGAGGTGGGACGGTCGTATACTGATGAGGAATGGGGGCAGAAGATCATGCCGTTCAAGGAGTTTGCAGATACATATATCTGGCAGGGCGGGCTAGATCCCGGCCATGCGAATCAAAAGGCCGCTGGCGCTGAAGGGGATGATGTACAGACGGGGTATATGGCTCAGCATGACCTTCTTGCTCAGATCCCGGCCCTGCGAAAGGACCTCAGTGTCCCGGACTACTGCTACATTGATCCTCCCGCCGCGGAACCGGGGACTCCGGTTTACCTGAGCAAGCTCAATGAGCGCGAAGAGGCCAAATCCAAGACTTCCAAGTCAAAATCTTCTCAGGACAAGTTGTCACCCGTTGTCAAGGGAGAGACAGACAACATTTCAGACGAAGAAACCTCGGGCGAGATAATGGCTCTCCCCAGTGATCCTATAATCAATACCTGGATCGGTCCGTCATGGACCATCTCCCCCCTGCACCACGATCCTTACCATAACATTCTCGTCCAGGTGGTAGGGAGCAAGTACATCCGTCTATATTCACCACATACTCCAGCCCATCAGATCCATCCCCGCGGCAAGGAATGGGTTGCATCGTCCGATGCATCCACAAAAACGACTGATAGAACGGCAGACGGCGAAGAGAATGCGGAGGGGGATGTCACCCACAAACTCATCGACATGTCCAATACCTCCAAGGTGGACCTCGCTGCCATTGAACTGTCGCCGGCCGAGTACGAGCAATGGGACGCTCTGTGGCCCGGGTTCATGGAGGCGGAGTATATCGAGACGGTCCTCCATGAGGGTGAGTGTTTGTATATCCCCGTGGGATGGTGGCACTATGTGCGCGGGTTGAGGGCCGGGGTCAGTGTGAGTTTCTGGTGGGGATGAAGATGAGGAGGATGCACTGGTTTTTTTCATGCTCTGCAATTCTTGACAAACCAATTCAATTGATGAGACCAAGTATTTATGTACACTTCTGCATACCTCAGACACGAATGGATGATACCTCTATTAGACAACCACCTCTAACTCCACGCCTCTACTAGCTCACACAGCGTCTCCTCCCCACCCACATTCCCTGGAAACACAACAAAAGGCACACCACGATGTCGCGAGCTAGGCTCATCACACCGCCAAAGCGGCACCCCCGGCGCCGCCTGGCCGACGATCGTAGCGCGCTTGACATTCAGTCCCTTGGTTGCTGCGTCGGAGGAGGTGATGCCACCCTGTTACGTGATATCAGCTATCATCTCCAGCTGAAACAAACGGAAAGTAGAAAGCAGAGTAGGTAAAACACATCAACACATACCTTAGCAATAATATACCTCGGCCTGACCTCAACCCGCTGCAAAATGCCAACCAACGCCTCCGCAACAACAGCTCCAATTCTCAACGATTCAATTTCATCCCCACCGGTGACAAGGTCCCGACTGGTCATGACGAGTGTATCTTTCCCCTTAGCCAGACAAGACTCTGTCTCCCGCACAACCCGTTCAACAACCTTTGCGGCGCTCTCAGGTCCCGCAATCAGCTCGGTCACCTGCATCTCGAGGACAGCCAGCTCATCGGTGCCGCCTGAGCCGCGCCGCTCTGTCAGGACTTTTAGTTGTGCGGTTGTCTTGGGCACGTAGGAGCCTGCGACGATGAGTGCGCCTGTTTGGCGCGGGGAAGGAAGGTGCAGCTCGGCGGCGGAGATGGGTGCTTTGGAGCGGATTCCCAGGCGGGTTGAGACGAAGGCTGCGCCTGTGCGGTAGATGAAATGCTTTCCCTTTGCTTCGGCTGGATGATACGGTATTCATTAGTATGTGTCATATAGGTACAGTGCAGCAGCAGATGAAGAGGTGGAAGATACTTGGTACTTACCCAGTAACAATCCCGCAACAAAAACATGCATGTCACTCTCCGCCGCCGCATTAACAATAATCACGCCCCCAGCCGGGGCATTAAGCAGCTTCTCACAAACAGCGTTGGGCCCACCCATTCGAATATCATCAATAGTCACCGAGAGCAGCTGCTCGGGCACGAACCGCCCCGGAGCTTTCTCAAGTACATAGTCCCTTAGACTAGAACTCTTATATCCGAAGGAAGCATCACGCGCAAACTGGGTCTTGCCCGCCGGAACGAGATCCGCCCCCTCAGCAACATAGTGCACATCATCAATGGTAAACCTTCCACCCTGGAAGAAGAACGGCGCGAGAACAAGCGCATCCGCAGGGCCGAAGACGGACTGCGCGACATCCGGTTCGAGCGGGAAATGTCCCCGCAGAGTGCTATCGCCGCGGAGGACGATGTCAACTTTTGTGTTGGTTTTCTCTGCGGCGGCGAATACGTTTGCACAGATTGTGCGGAGCAGGTCCTCGGCGCGGGAGGGTGGGAGGGCGCGCGAGTTGGTGAGGATGAAGAAGCCGCGTGAGGAGGTGCGGTTGAACTCTGCTTCGAGGGTTGCGGGGTCCCAGACTGTTAGCACGTTGATGTCGTGGCAGGTTTGTGTGCCGGTTGGATCGTCGTCTAAGACGACGAGACGATTTATGGGCGTCGTTGCGAGGATTTGGGCGATTTGGTCTTGCGCGTCGGAGGTATACTCCTGTGGGAGTTGGGCGAGGGTGGCTTCCCGGGGGAGGACGAGGTAGTCGGTTGGTTGGGCCATTATGTTGTCTTTCAGACAGGGTGCGATGTGATGTTGACGAAAAGGAGTTTAATTAGTTCATAAAGGATGTGGGGGAGAGCAGTGCGGGGAGCATGCGGAGAGAACGCCGAGGTATACTCGCCCTGAAGTCGGACCCCCAACTAGTAGTGACATAGTACATCGTAGGTGAAAATGTAGATTCAGGTATGGATTGCCCTACATGACAGACAGAAACAAACACCCAACGCCGGAGCAGCCGGAAAAACTGCTGTGAAAATGCCCATCAAAGGTCATTATACATCCATGGATATACTCCCCCATTCATTCATTCCCCACCTGCGCCCAATTTCCCTCCCTTCGCAAATATCATATCCTCCCTCATCCGAGGCGTGTAAACAGTGCGTGCAAGTTGACGGTCGTAGACTGCGTGAATAGTATGCCGGAAGCAATTATCAGCCCACCACGCTGCGGAAGCTCAATGCTTCAAGGAACCCGCCGAGATCGTCCTTTTGCACCTCAACGACGCAGTGCTCGAAACTGTCGATGCGCACCCGCGCATTCGTTTCTTGGACCACCTCTTGGAAGGCAATGCCGAATCGATTGCGGAGCATCTGCTTGCTATCCTTCGTGTCGTCCCCCTCGTCAGACTCCGATCCTGAGGATGACTCTGATTCGTCCGATTCTTCATCGTCGTCTTCACCATCTTCATTCTCGCGTTCGGCAGCCCGTTGGGCTCGTCGCTCTGCGCGCTCCTTCTGCTTCTTCTCCCTTACTTCCTTCTTCTTGCGGCGCTCTTCCTGTCGTTTGGACAACGCCGCAAAGTCGACCACTCCGCCGCCACCACCGGTTCCCACGACCACGTACAGATCTCGGTCTTCGTCAAGGCCAGCAAGAACAAGAGGAGTCCCTGCAGCTCTTTTCCGGCCAATCTTCACAGAGTCGCCTCGTTCGCGCTCTTGGACTCGAATGGCTTCTGCGACCCATAGCGCCAGTTTCGTAAGGGCGCCGGGATTCGTGAAGAGCTTGACGTCGGGTCCATCTTTGACGACCGCAATGCGAAATGCGCGAAGGTGCCGGATTTGATGTTTGGAGAGCAAGGAAGTACCCGTGCGGAGGATGGCACGGTGCAGGTGTTGGGCGAGAGGCAAAGACTCCAAGAGAAGCGTCGGCGACTCCGATGTGAGCGAGAGCGCATCATAGGCACTCCAAAACCGGGGGAGAAGGCTGGCCAAGTCCGATTCGGCGGAGCTGCCGCCATTCTCAATGTCATCGTTCGTGCCCCGTGCACGCGGTAGACGTTTGGCATCCCACGCCGCGGAGGCTTCTTGCGGTCCGACTTCGAGCATTGCGCCGACAATGACTCCCACATCCGTAGCAGAGAGACATGCCTTCCAGCCCCAGCATCTCACGAATCCCCAGCCTTCCCGAGAACTGGCGTACCCGGATGGTTCTGACGGCACGAGACCATCCAGGCCATACATGGGTGCATACTTCAGGAGACGGCCACGCAACGCGCGCTTCAACTCCATGTCCATGTGTGTATAGTACTGGTGGCACTGGGTGAGACTGATGCCCATTTTGGCCAAAAGCTTATGCAGTCGCTTGCGGCCATTTTCCGTCCACACATGAAGCCTGGGGGCGAGATAGGGACTGTGCAGCATACTTTCGTAAAGTGACCAGTGTCGAACTAGCAGGAAGCGTGGTTCGGGCGACAGGCGGATGGATGTGTCGGTGGGAGATCGAGCCGTAGTCGGGATCACACCGTTGATTTCTCCTCTGAAATCTCGATCTCGTTCATAGGGATCAGGTGGGTTGAGTCGGTGAACTTCGTCGCGAAAGATCTGACGGATGTGTTCACCCCGCTGCCCACCCCAGCCTGCTGACCCTCCTGATTCCGAGCTGTTCGAGATGCCCACGCCCGTCATAGTACGACCACTCAGCTCCAAACTGGACACGCCGACAATGGCAAGCCAGAGCAGGTCATTATCCTCCCGGCCGAGTTCTGATGCCAGAGAGTAGACTAGCGAGGAGATTGGTTCCGAGTATGAGGTGCCGGACGAGTAATACCTTTGCAAAACGGTGTCATGTTTGCGTTTAAGACGAATGAGTCGCTGTTTCAACGTTCGTGCGGAAGGCTGCTTTGGTTCTGCCGGTGACGGGGAATCGGTTGTAGGCGTCACCGAGCGTGATGAATTAGAAGAGTTGTGACCGGGTCTCCTGCGACGACTGGGAGATGAGTCGACAATCGAGTCATTCTTTTGCTTTCATGTTAGTCCGGCTCCAGTCCCATTGCAAGTAGTATCCATACCGAATTGCTGCGTCTCCGCTGCCGAGGAGGCCCATCATCGTCCTCCTCTGACTCGTCCTCATCCTCACGCCCGGACCAAGACTTGCGTTTCTTAGACCCAGGCTCCGTGTCTTCGTCGTCCGTATCCCCGCCACTCGCGTCGTCATCGTCCTCATCCACCTCGGGCATCTCCAATAACGCGTGGTATGCCTCTTGTTCAAGTCTCATCTCCTCAATGTCACCATCATCATAAACAATAATACCCCCATTCCTGGACGAATACGCGGCAGTAATCCGTCCATTATCAACACCGCGCCCTCTCCGACGTGCATTGGCATCAATATCCGCCATGGGCTGACCTGCAACAGACTGACCCCCAAAAACATTGCCCAGGTTCCACGGCCTTCGCGCGTCAAACACCCAGATTTGCACGCCGCCCATATCCTCCGACTCATCCTCCGGACTCAGCAGGCCCAAGCTCTCACCCAGATCAACCAGCCCACCTACTCCCAGACAAACCACAACTCCACCGCTGCCGCCGTTGGTGGTCTGCATGGGCTGGACCAGGTCCTCGCCCGCGCGCGCGAGGTCACCATATCCCGCCACTGGCTGGATCTTGTGCGGAATATAGTCACGTTTCAGGAGCGCTGTGAGAATCCGGCAGGCGCATAGCGCGTCCGGCTCGAGGGCCACGAGAATGAGGACTGGCGGGGAGAGCGGGTGGTGGGATCGGAGGAGCTGGAGGTAGAGATGCGAGATCAGCTGCCGAGGGAGATACATGGCCGTTGAATGAGCACGACCATGCGGGAGTTGGGAAGTGGAGGTGTCGTGGGAGGTGGTGGAAGTGAGTGCGTGCAGAAGTTAGCTGGTTGTTCTGGAGAAGCGCGTCGCGCGTCGGGGGCTGTAGGGCACGTGCCAACATCCGATCACCATCATTCCATTCTCTGCATCACCAAGACAAGATCGAGAAATGTGTGCGTTGCTCACATTCAATTCGCCAGATTCAAAGGCAGCGGGCCGGGCTTTAATTTGCCCCCCGTAACTCAATTGCTCAACAATTCTCCTTGATGAATGTCGTTGCTTATCCTCCTTGCGGGTATAGTTACAACGGGATACACAAACACCAGTTATTCTCAAACAAGTACATAATGTTTTTTTTGTTATGATGATTCGTCTGGACATATTTCGTTTTTTTGTATTTTTGTTTTTGTTTCTGTTGGTTGCATCGATTCGTGTGATGATGATACTTGACGTCCCAAAATATATACTTCAACCACATAGGACCTCCCACAGCTCCTCAATCTTCCTCACAACCACCTCCGGCAATAGCCCCTTAGCAATACCTCTCACGTTCTGCACAATCTAGGAAATCTTGCTCGCACCCAGAATCACCCCGTCTCCCTCCTGCAGCGCAGAATGATAGTAAATTCACCGCACACGAGCCTCATGCGCTGTGATCTGAAGCGGCTCGATGGTATCCAGAAGATCCGAGACTGCCGCGTGCATCTCCGCCTTGTCATACATGGCATTGGCCGCCGAATATAGTGCTTGGAGGAGACATTTTGTTATTGATCAGGTAGTTATGCATATTCTGGTTGTTCACAGACCCAGCTCACTATATTGGCTGATATTATTAATGTCGACGATCTTGATTGTTCAGCCGGGAGATGGGCCATCCGAACCGGAACGGGATATTGCCTTCTGACAAGGCTGCATGTCGACATATCAGACAAGATGCAAGTGCAATGGAATGGTATAAAAAAAATCCTGGTATTCAAGACTAACGCCGTGCACCATGTCCGCATGCTATATATTCTCAGACTGGGGTAAACCAAACCGAGCTCCAGAAAAATGACAATAAAGATATCAAAACTACCCGCTCAAAGATTAGAACTTGCGTCCCAAGATGGATCCCGCCACCCAGACAGCGGTGCATGCTCCCACCACCGAAAGACCGACCAGCCGTTTGCCCCAGCTGTTGTCATCGGTCATCTTGGTGGGCCCAACCGTCTTCTTCGGGGTCAGATGCAGCGAGGCCGCCTCGGTATTATTTTGGGATGAGAGAATGCCCGAATATTCTTCATCGCGCTTGCGCCATTTCTCCACGAGCCGTGCAATCTCAGCCAGATCTTCTTTGAGAGACCCAGGCTCGGTAGCATTGGAGTTCTCCACTTCGACGTTTTGAACATTTCCAAAGAAATCCACCACAGTCCGCAGACGGCCTTCTTGCTCGCCACCTGGAAACAAGTCCCACCGGACACCGGGCTGCGAATGGATCTTCGATTCATCGTACGAGTCAAACAGATCACCCAGGTTCAGCTTCGAGTTGGCGCTTGTCACTTGTGTCTCCAGGAATTCCAGCACGTAATAAGTCCAGCGATCAATCACGGCAACGCCCACGTCGTTGTCCGCATGGTGGGAGTAGGAGGACTGGTCGAGCTCACTGGAGCCGGTGGCGACGATGTTCGGCGAGTAGAAGTGCGTGTACATCGTATTGGCTTGGCAAGTATCGATCATGAACAGCAGTTCATGGTAGCGTTTCTTCTCCCACATCTGACCAAACGCGTCAGCCAGATCCCATGCCCCGATTTCCTCGGAGTCCTGGAACTTGAGGAACTGGTCTCCCCCATGTCCGGTCATGTACACCAAAACGTTGCTGCCGGCATCCGATCCGAGCCGCTTGCTGCGCGGCACATCCGCGTCGAGACGATCGGTTAACAGACGGATGAAGTTCTCCACCGTCACCTCGTAGCCCCTGTAATCCACCTCGATGTTGTCGCCGTACAGATCGACTGCGCGGTCCGCGTTACTGTAGACAGTGCCGGGGAAGGCGTTGCGAGGGTTGCAGGCCATGTCATCGGGGAGCATGAGAATGATTTGCGAATCGGGGATCCCGAGACGCTTGACGGTTCGGTAGAGGGAGAGTACATTGGCGAGGTGGCGGTAGTTGAACCAGAAGCGTGAGGTAGAAACGAGCACTGCCCAGTTGGAGGTATGTTCGGCAGCGACTAGACTGATCAGAAGCAGGAACCACAGAGCCTGCAGACTGCGAAAGAGTAGAGCCATGGCGAGGAAGGCGATAGGGTCATATCAAGTTGAACTCGGGATATTTGAGATGTGCGCAAAGAAATCAGATAAGGAAGACGCTTCAAAAGCAAATCCAGAAAGTGAGCTATATCAAAGCCATAATGATCGTGTCGAGGTCAGGAGAACAAGGAGGAGGGAGGGAGTTGTGAGATCGAGGGAAGCTGGGGTGGATGACAAATGGTCAGGAAGGAACCCGGATCCGTGCCTGAGGAATGAACCCGTAGTTGGTCTTTTAACTGGTCTCACAGTTTCCTTGCTTAGTCACCCCGCCCACCGCCTCCCTCGGATTCGGCATAATCGCCTGGCGGATGGACTGATCTATCAAATCAACACTCGACTCACTTTTTCCCGGGTCTTCCCACCTCCCTCTTTCTCCAGCACCTGTACAGCACATCCAATCAAGCACATACGCTGCCAAAAAATGGGAGGCAAGAAAGCCGCCGGTGAAAACTCCAAGAAAGCCGCCGGCAACGCTCGTGTATGCTTGCAACCCCGCCAAGATTGCCACAGTCCTTGAACCGGCCGAGCATGCTCCCTAAATGACAAAAATTCTAACAATTCACTAGAAAGCCGAAGCGGCTGCTAGTAAAAAGGCTGCGGAGGACTCCAAGCGCAACGCAGAGGAGGACAAGCAATGGGCGAAGGGATCGAAGAGCAACGCCAAGAAGTGAGCGAGCATAAGCTGGGCTGAATCTGTATGGTCAATGGATGAAACTAATATGTCCATAACAGAGACGACTCCGAAGCCAAGAAAGCCGAAGCAGCGCGCAAGAAAGCCGAGCGAGACGCGCAACTCGCCGCTGAAGAAGCATCGCAGCCCTCAAAACCCAAAGGCGCCGGCGCCAAGTCCGCACAGAAGAAATCACGGGGACTAGATCTTGCACAGCTGGACGACGGCCCTTCGGGCAAGAAGGGGTCTGCGCTCAGCGCTACGGGTATTGACAATGCCTTGGATGCGCTGTCTTTGACGGAGAAGGATAGCGGCAAGATTGATCGGCACCCGGAACGACGGTTCAAGGCTGCCTATGCGGCGTTTGAGGAGCGTCGACTTCCTGAGATTGAGGAGGAGAATCCGGGCCTGCGGCGACAGCAGCGCATTGAGCTTTGCAGGAAGGAGTTTGAGAAGAGCGAGGAGAATCCGTTTAACCAGGTGCATGTCCGGTCTAATGCTACCAAGGAGGAGATTGCTGCGGTGAAGGCGCAGGAGAGGCAGAAGGTGGAGTCGAGGTTGGGTGGGAAATAGACTGGGAAAAGGACAAAAAGGTCATGTATAAGACGTACGACATTTATGATGATGGGTTCTCTCAACTCAAACTTTCTCAATTTGAGAAAGTTGAATCACAAGAAGAGAAACATGCTTAGATTTTGAAAATCAAGTCGATGCAATGCACTTATATGAAGATGCAACGCCAGATATCATACAAGAAAAATTCATCCGTAGCAAAGAGGTCTGTCTATACATCTGCCCGTGGTTGCTTGCACAGCAAGCCAACCAACCAGAGCAGGCCAGTTCGATTCATGTCATAACGCCTCGCACGTCCCACACATAGAGGCTCTCATCCCATCCCACACTGGCGCACCACCCCTCACTCCCAAACAAACACCAGTCCACCCCGGTGACGAACTCGGTGTGTCTGCCCATCCGCCCCAGCTCCGCACCGACGACCGGCCCAGCGGGCCCCGCGCGCATGAGATCTATATCTCCAACAGAAGCCGCGTCGGACCGGTCACTCCATACGCGGCAGGTCATGTCGTAGCTCGCGCTGAGGAGAACATTCGATAAATGGGGCGACCACGTCAGCTTGCGGACGGCGTATTCATGGCCGAGCATGGTAGCCATTGGACCTTGCTGCGGGGCCCGAATGTCGAATGTGCGAATGGCGCGGTCCACGCCCGCCGTTGCGAGGACGGTAGGCCGGTACTTGTTCCAGTCATGGGTGAGGGCCTCGGCCGGCGGGGTGGAAGCCGGGGGGATACCCGGCGGCCTTCCGGGGATGGAGGACGCCGCAGGGGCGGCGTGGATGGGGATTTGGAGGGAGAGGTGGTTTGAGGCGGAGGCTGGGGTGCGCAGGTCGAAGACGCGCACGTACGAGTCCGAGGTGACGCAGGAGATCAGGTCTGGGTTGTGTGGGCAGAAGGCGGCGGAGTAGGTGCAGCTGTGCGTGGGGAGCGTGAGGAGGGACTGCGCGCGATGCGGCGACCACACACGCACCGTTCCGTCCCAGCTGCTGGAGCAGAAGCGGTCCTTAGCGACGAGGTTCCAGTTTACGCTGAATACTTCGCGGGAATGTTCTTTCCAGCTTTGGACGGGGTAGTCATTCGCTGTGCAGTCGAAGAGCTTGATGCTGCCATCGCCTGATGCGGTGAGGACTTGGTTCTCGTGGATTTCGGACCAGGCGAGGTCGTAGAGGGAGTCTTGCGTTGTGAACCTGGGACCAATGGTTAGTTGAAGCCGCGGGGAAGACCGGAGAAACTCACCATTTGACAGGCACAATCCCGTTCGGGGTCAGTTCGAGGATGAATAGTCGTCCATTGCCGACCAGGCCGAAGTTCGCGGAACTGGCTACGGCCAGGCGATTGTCGAAGAAGGGCGAGTACTTGACCGCACAGCCATTGTAGCCCTGTGTGCGGAAGTGGAGCATACTGAGAGAGGTGATCGGGGAGACCGATCTGCTCCCAAGAGGAAAGCAAACAAAGAAAGAAGAAGAGAAAGGAGTGAGAGCCCGCTCAGCAGTAATCCAGGGTATCAATCAACAAGGCAGGGAAACGTCAGAGAGCATGGCGACGGCGTCGGAGTGGCATCGGCATTATTGCGGGGAGGATCAGATGGGATGCCGAGGTAGATGGTCTGTTCTGGCTCATGTAACATTGCTAGGTTGAAACTGATATCGCCTGGCAAGATGGCCGAGTTGGTCTATGGCGCACGGTTCAGGTCCACCCGAATCCGATTGGTTATCATCAATCTCCGTGTCTCGAAAGGGGCGTGGGTTCGAATCCCACTCTTGTCATTTCTCTTTTTGCATCTTTGGGATAGTTAGGGGGGTATCTATTTTTGCTGTCGAGGGATTTAAAGGAAGGTCAAAAGAAATGGATACAATTATGTATGTAGTGGTGGTGCAGCTATCATTATTGAGTGATCCGAAAAGTGTTGGTTCAGTTGGGATCTGGCTGTCCCGAAGTATATATATCTTGACGTCAACATTTATATTTTTCCCCATGCAAATCGACGTTCAACGAATACCTAAATCTAGGCCATTTGGATTGCCTCCATAATAATGATTATCGGCAATAAACAATGGTTAGTCATACCCAGAAAATCAGTCTTGCCTCTCAAGTCGCATCAATGGATATGACGCCATGAATGCCCTCGACAGCACATCTTCAGTCCCAGCAAACCCGACACTCCTCTCTTCTGTCGCAAATATGAAATAAGCCTCAATCTCCCTTTCTGTTCAAACTGCACTCAAATGCGACTCCCACCATGACAGAACCCGAGGATTGCAAGTCAGCAGCCAGCCTATTTCTTCACCAAGAAGTCTATCGATTAGGCTCATCCCCGGGCCTGCGCTCCCTCCCCCAAGGGCCTGAGCGCGATTTCCTCACTCTAACATGGGGCCCAGTCGTCTACCGCACCACCTACGCTCCGAAATGCAGACGCCTCCTCCGCGTCTTCCTGCGCTGCCTCAACGACGCCATCAGCCACTCCATAACCCGCGAACTGCCCGGCTCAGACAAGCAGCTGCAGGTACTCAAGAATACATACTCCTCCAAGGTCTTCAGCGCGCAGGAAAAGTACAACGGGTTAGACGAGGACGGCGTGCGCAACGCATTCCATGATTTCAAGGTGTCGCTGGCCATACCTGCGATCGAGCTACCGAGTAGACTGCGTGTGTGTTTGATGGTGGATGAGATGGTGCTTTCGCATCTTCAGGGCGAACTGGATCGATCGTCCAGGGTGGCAAAAGATGCTGATATCGATCGGTGTTGGGTGAAATTGGTCGAGGAGAATTTCCCGGACTCGAGGCTTGGGGCCCAGCCGTATATTTCCGAGATCGATGTGGATGGAGAGACGGACGGTGTGGGTGATTATCGGGGCGTATATCGGGGGTGGACGATGGTGGCCCTGTCGGCCTTGATCGAGGTGTTTAAGAGTCTGGGGCAAATGCGGCATCTGCAGGAGTATCACCGCGAGGGACGTATCTATCTGGGACAAGGTAAATGGAGTTTATAATCATAGGAATATACCTGTATACTTCTTTTGTACTATAGAGCGAGAGAATAGAACGGTGTATGAACAAGCCTTATGATTGGTCACTTTGAGAGACATCACATCATGTGCCGATAAGATAGGGTGTCTGCTCGTGTTTGTCGCAACCAAGTTTCATCTCCTGGTAAAGAAGAAGTAAGTGATGGATGCATTTGTTAAGAAGAAGAAGCCCCGACTCTCCCATCCAGCAGATGAAACAGAAGATTCCACGGATGTCAAACTGGCCATCCTGGCATCGCTTTTCTCTGCAGTCAAGCAGGATGACTTGTTGGATATCCTCGTGTCCTGCAACGGGTCCGTAGAGGATGCATCATCACTGCTATCCTCACAAGACTTCGCAAAAACATCGATATCATCACCGGCATCGAAGAAGCGGGCTGCTTCCGGGTCATCATCACTCGGCGTGCAGACATCTCTATCATCGCACCTTCGCACAACTAGCAAAGATGGATCTCTCGTCCCCCTAAACGCAAACAAGCAAAGAGCACCACCCACCACAAAGGGCAAGACACTACACCTCTACAGCCCGGAGGACATCGCAGCCTACACACCCTGCACAATCATCCACAACTTCCTCCCGGCCGAGGAAGCAACCGCTCTCCTCCTCGAGCTACTCGATGAGTCAAAACATTTCTCACGATACGAGTTCCAGCTTTTCAACCGCACAGTACAAAGCCCGCACACCGCCAGCGTATATGTATCCACGCCTGAAGAACTGCGACAGCAGACATCCGAATATACCTACGGCGGAACTTACCGGTCGAATGTGCGGCAGGCGACCCCGCAACTACGGCTTGTCTCACGCACAGTACAGCGGACTGTCAATGAGGAGATCCAGAAACGGATTCGGGAAGTTTATCCCGATGGAAAGAAGCTCAAATATCAGTCTCCAAAGCAATGGAGACCCAACGCGGCGTTTGTCAATTGCTACGATGGTCCGCAGGAGAGTGTGGGGTATCATTCCGACGAACTGACCTATGTCGGTCCACACCCGGTGATAGGGAGTCTGAGCTTGGGAGTTGAGCGAGAGTTTCGAGTCCGTCGAGTTATTCCCCAGGAAGAGGAGAACACAGAAGATGAAGAAAAATCAAAGTCTCCTTCAAAGGATCGAAAGGCATCATCATCTTCTACCCGTGCAGACGCCCAAGGCCAAATATCAATCCATCTACCCCACAACTCTCTCCTAGTCATGCACGCCGAGATGCAAGAAGAATGGAAACACGCCATCACACCGGCACAGACTATATCTCCGCATCCTGTTTCAGGCAACCGGCGTATCAACGTCACCTATCGATGGTACCGTGATACTTTCCACCCTCGATACACGCCGCGATGTCAGTGTGGAGTACATACCATTTTACGCTGTGCGCAGCGCAAGAAAGAAACGAGAGGCCAGTATATGTGGATGTGCTATGCTTCGTATAAGCCTGGGAAACAGGGGTGCTCGTTCTTCCAGTGGGCTGTGTTTGATGATGATGGCGAGCCAGTGTGGGATACAAAACGAGACGAGGATAGTGATGATAATGCGCCTAGACTGGATAATTTTTCGGGGTCACAATGAAATAGTATGGGATATCCTCCATTTGATGGAGTATGATAGTGAAAGTAGGTACACGCTCGATGATTTGCAATTTCCCAAAAGAAAGTAGAGCCTCCACTAAAATTTCCATAATCCCTCCAAGAAAAAGTGAAACCAAATACGAAGCAGAAGCTCCCAATTCGCGATCAGTGGATCGATCAACGCCAGAGCGGACCTAGAAGCCGCATATCAATATGCGGGGAAGATCCACCTTAGGAACACTCTTCAACCCCCAAGATCAGCGACAGTCTGATAATTCTATTCACATAGACTTCTAATCCTCGGAATTTCATGCTAATCTCCCGCCCTGCAATGACAGGCTAATTGTATGCTCATAGTTTTCATAGGCTATGTTTCACCTGCACAGTGATGGAACTATACCCTATCCCGACCAGCCCCTCTTTCTGGGCAAAGCGGAATTCCATTCCGTCCTGCCTCTTCTACTTGATAAAATGATTGAGCTTGGGGGTTTAGTGGGACAATTATGATCTTCACTTATTTGAATTGACTATTTGCACATACATCATGGGATCTGTAGAAGACACTGAGAGCACATTTGACTATATTGTCTGCGGGCAAGTAATAACCAACTCTTAGACAACAGGCCTGCTAATTCACGATAGAGGCGGCACATCAGGCTGCGTTGTTGCTGGACGATTGGCCGAGAACCCAGGTGTCAAGATCTTGCTTCTGGAAGCTGGGCCCCATAATAAAGATCTTGAGAATGTTCATATGACAGGCGGGTAGGTAGCTCACCAACAGTTCACGGACAAGACTCACTGTTAGCGCAGATGGTCGAACAACTTCGACTCCGAAACAGACTGGAATGTAATCACGCCACCCATGGCGGGTGTCGATAATCGCCAGGTAAAGCTCAGCAGAGGCCGATTCCTAGGCGGATGCAGCGGGTGTAATGGCACACTCTGTATCCGCGGCTGTCGACAGGATTATGAGGATTGGGGTCTGGATGGATGGAGTGGTGACGAGTTCTTTAACTATATGAAAAAGGGGTGTACACGCTTTTATACCTAGACCATTGCGCAGTTTCATTACTAACATTCCTCGATCAGGCCGAGACGTTTCATCCCAAGGACTGGTTCAAAGCGGATGAAGACAGCCATGGCTACACCGGTCCTCTCCACACCGAGCCACATGACCTAGCTCCCATATCGCAGCTGTTGATGGATTCGTTCGTCTCACAGGGCCTGCCTTTGAACCATGATATGTTCAGCACGGGAGCCGTTTCGCATGGCTGTGGCCATGTTCCTCGTACGGTGTACCAGGGGATCCGCACGACCGGCGCCGATTTCGTGACGAACAAGAACCATAGCGGGAATATCACCATCGCGACTGACTCGATTGTGGACAAGGTCATTTTTACGCATGAGGCGGATGAGACCCACGCTACTGGTGTGGTGATCAAGAGCTCTGACGGCGGTTCCAAGACATACTATGCTCGTAAAGAAATTGTTGTTTCTGGTGGAGCATATTGCAGCCCTGCTATTCTGCTCCGGTCTGGTATCGGTCCCAGAGAAGAGCTGGAGAAGCACACCATCCCATGCACAGTGGATCTACCAGGTGTAGGAAAGAACCTGATGGACCATCTGGTGAGTAACCTGCTAAAATACCCCCTACAAACACTAACAGACCCAACTATTAGATCGTCTTCATGTTCTACGAAACAGAGAAGCAGGGTCTAACAAACGACCACCACGTCTACCACGACAACAACTTCGCAAAAACATACGCAGAATGGAAAGAACAGAAAAAAGGCTTTCTATCCACATTCCCCTTCGGCTCCTTCGCATTCGCACGACTAGACTCCCGCCTCTCCGATTCAAACCTCTGGACCACATCTCCGCGCGCACCAGGACGAGACCCCATGGGCCTAACACCCAGCCAACCCAATATCGAATTCTTTACCACAGAATGCTACGGCGGCCCGAAACAATACAACGACTTTCCCATTAATAACAAGCATGCCTTCTCCATGATCGCGGAGCTGTTCGCGCCGAAGTCTAGGGGGAGTGTTACTCTAAATTCGAAAGATGCGATGGAGAACCCCATTGTAGATTGTAATTACCTGGACGATCCGCTCGATTTATTGGTTATCAGTGAGGCGTGCAGGTTTGGAAATGAGATTGTGATGAATGGGAAGGGCACGAAGGGTATTGTTAAGGGGTCTTGGCCGGCGGATTTGAGGCACCATACCTATAAGACGAGGGAGGAATGGGTTCCTTATGTTAAGGAGCATGCTACTACTTGTAAGTTCGTGGGTTTGGCGGTTGAGATTTTGGGAGATATGTACTGACTGGAATTCCATAGGCTACCATGCGGCTGGGACATGTGCTATGGGGAAGGACGATAATAGAATGGCTGTTCTGGATGAGAGGTTGAGGGTTAGAGGTGTTGCCGGGCTGAGGGTGGCGGATTGTAGTGTTATGCCTGCCCTGCATGGAGGGCATACGCAGATGCCGGCGTATGGGATTGGAGAGAAGTGTGCAGATCTAATTAAGGAGACTTGGTAAGGGGCCGAATGTTCATAGTATGAGTTTACGGTTGTGGATCTCCGCAGATGTGTGTTCAATGACTCTAACCTGCTGCCGGTAACTTGAACTCTTGAGTATGAATGAAAACAGTTATCCAAACCTGCAAGACGCTGATGGTAATTATACACCAATGAGTAATAACAGCAGCCAATAGAATTATAAGAATATCCAACCAACACAAACCAAACGGACGTCGACGGTTCAAATACTCTCTTCCGTGCCCAAACTGATACTGGCTATATCATCCTGCTCTGACGGCATTGCAAATTCCTCACGATCCCATGATGCAATCGGTGCGGCGGACTCGTTTCGAAAGACTGAGCAGTGACTTTCCAAGTGAACGGTGTTGGACGCTGGTAGCAACACATGTCTGTAATAAAGGCAAGCAGTCAAGATATGCTGGCTAATCTCTGCAGCGGAGCTCTCCTTCAACAAAGCGTTGATCTCGACTATCAACGCATCGGTAATGATTGAATGATGACCTCGATATCTGGCGTCCCGATATATCGGAGATGTATGCCACGAGTTGCTGGCTGCCATGCCCACCTGAACAGGAACAGTCCATGTCTCCCCCGGCCGTAAGAATGGCAGATGGCAACCGTCAATGATTGACAGAATCTGGCAGGCAAATCCGGGACTGAGAGAAAGTCTCAGATCAGAAATGCCTCCCGGGTTGATTCCAGTGCGAAGTTGGTGAACGATTTTGGAAACCTTGCGCATGAAATGTATTTCCTGAGTTTCCGGGTTGTCTGTGCTGGGGCTATAGGAAATGTGCCAGCCAGGTGGATGTGTTGGGTTTTCTAAGGGCAGGCACTGCTGGGGCGCGACAGTATGGAACCCAATTCCCTCGTCAATCAGAGGCATCGACAGGCGCTCCGGAGGCGTCGCAGAAACGAACACCATATGACAGAAAGCAGATCTGGGGGAGACACGAAAAATTAGAGAGAGCTGGCGGATGGCATGGCCCAAGTCGGCCGCCTTCTTGCGGCTGACATTCACGCGCTCGCGTGAGAAGGCTTCCAAGACAGATTGAGACACTTCGAAAGGATGGAACCCTAACGGCAGAAGCAGCTCAAAACCATACGTTGCATCACCGTCAACACGAGCCAAGGCGAATCTGTCGTGGTTGAAGACCAGATTCGAGGCCAGGACCGAAGACCCGAGGATCATCTGCGTTACTAGGTGGAGCGACGTTTGTGGTCTATGATAGAATGAGCATTTACTATGAGACACCAAATGGCGACACTTACACATGGTCAAGAAGAATGACCAAGTCAAGAGGAGCGAGAGCCGTAATTTCGGGGAGGTTGATGGGACTGACATCGGCACTCACATTGATGGTCGTCCAGGTTGACACGGGACCCATACCGAGTTTGGAGGCGCTTGCATTCAAAGTCATATTGACGAAGGTTATGGGAAGATCCAGCGGACGCATGTAGATTGGATCAGGTCGGCCAAAATTGCTAGAGAAAAGCGTGGGCAAATCTGGCCGGCGAACCTCGCGCAAAGTAGGAGGTTGTGAATCACTAGAGGTTGATCTGGACGAGTGACGGGGCCTCAAAGAGTCATAAGACCCGGTACTGTAGCGAACACAGAGACGCCGGGCTCTTCGGTCCTTGCTCGGGGACATAATGAGATTTGGGCCCTGCTTTGTTTCAGCAAGAAGACAAATTTTAAGGAGAAAAGACACCCACTCGATCGATAAATGGGTCATCTGTCTCGCCAATACCCTGCTTCGGGGCACTCAAACCAGGCTGCCGAACCTTCATCACCTCAAGCTGATAGGAATCGGTGTAAGAAGGCGTCCTCGTTCTCAATGAAGTCGCAAGCCTGTTCGAAATAAAACTCCCGCTAGCAGCGAGTGATGAAGACCGAAGAGGAATAGAGGGATATGAGTACAAAGTCGATAACGAGCTAAACCTGCTGTCATGTGATAAACGGTGCTTGATGACGGTAAGAGGCTCCGGCATCGTGGTCTCCATGGTTTCTGTTCGATTAGACTTGCTCCAGCCCGATGACCGGGCGTTCGTATTCGACCGGATTGTCGGAAGACTCGGTTGCTCGGGGCGTGGAGCAGTCGTCAGGATCGAACCAGGTCTGGCGTTCCTTCGTCCCCTTTTTATTTCGGCGACAGAGACGAGAGAACCACGCTGGACCGTGTGGATGGCAACTCCAGAACTCGGAGCAGGCGAGAGCGAGGGCGACAGTGCAGAAGAGGATGACGATAGGAACAAGAACCAATGCAATCAATAATGCAGAACTCTTAAAATCCAAAGATAACGTGCTGGGCATCTTGTGCGGATGCAGATGGATGTGAAGTAGAAGAGAGAAGGAGGAGAGAGAGGAAAGAGCGATTCATATTGGGTATATCGATAATTAAGCACTGCCTTCTACCATCGCCGCCATCTTCTCCTTGACGGACTCCAGCGTCTCCTCGTCCAACCGCGAGAACCGTATCTGCGCTTCAATTAGCATGCGGTGCAAACTTGAGTCGGAATAAAAAGAAACTCACCACTTCGTCACTCCCACGACCGGCATTCCCAAACAACATAGGGTCCGAGTAGCTCGTCTCAATCTCACGCTGTACCCGTCGAGCCCAGATCCCATCCCAATGCCAATCTCCCGGCTGTCGAGCCTGCGGGTCTCCTCGTTTCAAATCCTCCGGCCCAGTGCCGCCCCCACGATGCGCCTTCCACGCGTGCCATGCGCCAGGGTTTCCAGCAGCATCGACCGGCAAAGAGTCTAGAACATCTTCGTCGTCGAATGTCGAGCGCATATACTCGAGAATCTCGAAGACGGGCACGATCTTCTTTGGTTGCGCGAATTGATCAATTGATGGCACTGCCGCAACGCGCTGCTCGTTTTTATCTTCTTTCTCTTCTTCGGGGTTCGAGTCCTTCGTGGCTGATGTTGGATTGCCGGCGTTATTTCCGCTTACATTCCGCGATGACGCCTGGGACGTAAAGCCGCTCCGACGCGCTCTCCCGAACCAGTGTGGAAAACCATGGCGAAGACTGAATCCTCCCGGCGGTAGTCGTTCCTCATCTGTTGCACTGACCGGGTTGTCGCTTGTCGAGTTGGTGCTGAACGTGTAGGTGGTCAGGGGTACGATCAATGGGTGAAAGACATCTGTCGCAAAGGTGACCAGTGGTGGGAGGTCGGGGTAGGAATCTGGGAAACGGATTTGGAAGCGAAGGATGGCAGAGGCATAGGGGCCTAAGGGTCCAGTCAGTCGCAATGGTACTGATTGTTAATTTCCAGACTCACCGGAACGGACGAAGATGACACCATTCCAGAGCGTGGGGTCGCCGGTTGCCAGGCTCACGTAGACGCCCGCGGGTGGTGCATGCTTCAGGCTGGCACTGCATGGTATGAATATTTGAAGGGCAGCAGGGCTCAAAGGACACATACAATTCCAGATGAAGTTGCTGCCGTCGAAGTGAAGGAATGCAGGGCAGTTTGGAGGTCGACATGTTGCAAGAGAGAGGAAGAGAGACAGAAAGGGATGCTTATCGCCTTATCACCGACCACAACCATTCAAACCCTAACATCGAGCATAGTACTGACCCCCAACTCCGTGTTTTATAATCCCTAAGAATATGTTGAATTCATACAGTAGCCTTGAACAAAATGAATTACCCTGAAATTGTTAAACGGTGACACTAGATGTAGGGGTTGTCTGCTATCGCAGGATGTTGTGGGTTTTGGGCATAGATCTGGCGTAGCACCGCATCGAAGTTGTTGTAGGGGTTCACCAGCTCCGCGATGAATTCTCTGTGGCTTCCCGAAGATTTGCGCATAATAGGAAGTGTGAATACCGTTGTTGGGATTGATCAATTGGTTACTTTGATTTCTTTGTTGATTTGACTTCCCATGCTATTTTATGCCTGGTGTCGGTTACCTCGTCCGTATGGGACTTTCATGTAAGGCCTATATGACCAATAGTTGCGCTTCTCTGATCTCGTTCTCTTCCTTCGTTTTGATTTTTCGTGTTCTACAGAATCCAGTGGTCTTTGGCTCTTATCACTCCCTACTGACACCTTCCTATCGCCCATGATTCTCGTCTTCTGTCCTAGGTATGTTCCTGATCTTGTCCTCCTCTCTTTTGTCTCTAGTTCTAAGCCACTTCGAATGCTTCCGGAACAATGTGGGGACTTGCCCTGAAATGATTGAGAGGGTTGATTGGTTATGAACAGTTAGCTCACACGGGGAAATAGCACGAAGCCCTCTCGATAATTCGCCGAAGAGGATTCGCCGGGATCGGCAGTGCAAAAACATGAGGATACCGAGTTAATCTACTTTAGTTCCTCACGCAATCCACAGTAACCAATTGCTTGTTCCGGCGTCGGGTGCACCAGCCAACCGGAGAACCAAATGTCTGTGTTCCTCGGTACCTGGCAACCCCAAGCTTTTTCAAGCCATGCCCCCCCAGACAAACCCCGCAAATGCTAAAGACGGAGATTTGCGGAGAAATGACAGACAAGGAAGGTCAGTTCAATGATCTCTGTCTAAACAGACAGACACATAAATACGCTATGGCAACCCCAACATTCCTGCCGATCCTAGCTGGTAGAGCATTTCCCGATCCCGTCTATCGCTCTCTTTTGATCCGCCACCATGCGATTCGAGATTGGCACCGCTGCAGCTATTGCGGCTGCGTGGGCGCCGCTGGCCATCGCTGCTCCGCAGGGTGCAGAGCCCGCTGCGCCGAATCATTTCTGGGAGGCTCGTGGCCGGGAGGGTTCCTACACGTTCACGTCGATGACATCGACGCGCTATGCGACGCCTTTGCCGCGCACCAAGCCGGTGACGACCTACATGCCAGCCGCGTCCATGTCAGCCATCATGCCCTCGGGCGTGAAGACCACCACCTGGAACAAGAAAGACGCAAGTGCCTCTGACTGGAACAATCCTTACGGCCAGGCAGAGTGGAACCGTCGCTGGGCCACCTTCATGCCCAACGTGTCCATCTCCACCGCAAGCATCACGACCACCGTGCAGCCCACTCCGGTGCCATCGTCCTCGTTGATCATGCCGCCGCCGGCTGGCTTCTCGTACAGCGACGGGGCCAAGGCGAAGGACTACACTTTCCCCAAGGATTTTATTGTCGGTGCCGCTTCGTCAGCCAACCAGATTGAGGGCGCCATCCAGGACGAGGGCCGTACGCCAAGTGTGCTGGACTACTTCAACTTCCTTCCGCAGGCCTCGGACTACATCACCGACTGGAACTACTACTTATACAAGGAGGACATCGCGCGGCTGGCCGCCATGGGTATCCCATACTACTCATTTTCCATCTCTTGGACTCGTATTCTTCCATTTGCTGCGGCCGGCACGCCCGTCAACAAGGAGGGCATTGACCATTACAATGATCTGATCAACACCTGTCTCGAGTACGGCGTCAAGCCTATTGTGACCATTGTGCATGCCGACGAGCCCTACGAGTTCATCATGGACGGTGGAAATGTGTCGAGAGCCTACTTCTCGACCAATTCCGGTGTCGCCAACAGCACGTTTGTCGATTCCTATGTCTACTACTCGCGCATCCTATTCTCCCACTTCGCAGACCGTGTGCCCATCTGGATCACCATCAACGAGCCCTACTACGAGTCGGGCAACCTGGAGGGCATGTACAACTTCCTCGAAGCACACACCCAGGTGTACGACTTGTACAAGTCGATGGGCGGCAAGGGAATGATGTCTTACAAGAACGCCGACAATTTCGGGGTGCCTCTAGACATCAACAACCCGAAGGATATCGCCGCAACCAACCGGTACCAGGACTACCTGCTCGGCATCATGTCCAACCCGATCTACCTCGGCAAGGACGTGCCAGAGAGCGTGACGTCGACATGCACCAACGAGTCTCGCCCACTGTCCTCCGAGACTCTAGCCCGGTACAAGGGAAAGTCCGACTTCTACGCAGTTGACCCATACACCGCGACCTTTGTCTTCCCACCCGACGGCGGCATCGACGCCTGCGCCAAGGACCCGAACCACAGCCTCTGGCCGAACTGCGTGAACACTACCTCGATCAGCGAGAATAACTGGGAAATCGGCTTCTACTCCAACGACTACCCCTACCTGACCCCGAAGTACTTCCGCGCATTCATGAACTACATCTGGGAGACCTACCGGCCGAAGGCGATCGTGGTGTCTGAGTTCGGCTTCCCCGTATACGCCGAGTCCACCGCGCCGCTGGCCTCGCAGCTGAACGATCTGCCGCGCTCGCTGTACTACGACGCCTTCCTGACTGAGATCCTGAATTGCATTCATGAGGATGGTATCAATATCATTGGTGCTATTGGCTGGAGTATGCTTGACAACTGGGAGTTTGGCTCGTATGACCAGCACTTCGGGATGCAGGTCGTTGACCGCAACACTCTTCAGCGCTACTATAAGCGCTCTTTCTTTGACTTTATTGATTTCTTCCATTCGCATGGTCTGTAAAATGCTGAAGGGGAGGAGAGTCAAAAGGGGAGAGGTGGTGTGGTGTATATCGAGCTTAGCTTGATAAAGATCAATTGTCCCCTGCAAATTAGATTGAGCACAACTTAAGCCGAGTCCACAAAATATAAGTCCCCAAATGATTCGAATATCTCAAACTCCCGCTGCTGGTGAGGCGGGTTATGAATTTTACAACCACACCACTTGGGATACACATAACCACTACAGCCTTGTACTAACTTAACACTCCTTCACCGTCACAAGAATACCTGGCGTGTCGCGCGCCTGTGCTCCCAGAATATAGTCGCGGCTCACGTCAATATCACGATCGCGCCGCACGGCGGAGACATCAAAATCGAACTGCCGGAAAACGGCCGCCAGAATCAGAACCAGCTCGGCCCGGGCCAGATTCATCCCCAGGCAAGAGCGAGTGCCCCGATTGAACGGAACCAGGTATCGTTCCAGCTGCTTGCCGTCGGGTCCTAGCCAACGCTCGGGCCGGAAGACGCGAGGCTCCGGGAAGATAGTGTCGTTGAGATGGGTGAGCATGGCCGTCATGCCAACGATGGTGTTTGCGGGAATGAAGATCCCGTGGCATTGAAGCGGCCGGTCGGGGAATTGGCGACTAATTCGATGGGTGACCGGGTCGCATAGGCGCAGACCCTCCTGGACCACGGCTGTCAAGTAGGGGAGTTGTTCGAGTGTGGTTAGGGAGGGAAAGTGCTGAGGGTCTGGGATGGCGGCCACGAGCTCGTCATGCAGCCGTTGTCGCACGGTTGGGTTGGCGGCAATGTGATATGCGGTCCCACGCAGTACATATGCTCTGGGACCCGGTTAGTTTCTTAAGAACAACAGGGGTCACGATGGAAAGGCTTACGTTGTCCCGGAACCCGCCGTCACCAAGCTGAAGGCTTCATCGCGCAGCCTATCCCGCCGCAGCTCGTCCGGAGGGAGCTTGCTGTTCAGCAGCTCATGGAAGACGGTTCGATGGCCGGCTTTCTCGTGGGCCGTATCTTCACCATGCCGGATGGCCTCCACCTGCCGAGACAGATCCTATGGAGATGTCGGTCAGTCGCTCTCTCCTTCCATCTCAAATGCGACGACGGTCTTACCCGACGAAAATCCAAAATGTCCGCCATTGCCGGGGCTAGGATCTTGTTGACACGGTCCTAAATACCAACACCGAGTGAGTATAGGTCGCTCTGGTCCTGGGAGCAGAAAAGCCTGACCGGCAATGAATATGTGAAGCGCATCGCCCACGGAATATGGATATTCAGCAAGCTGACCTCCAGAAAACTATCCACATCGTCAAAGCCCTTGCGACCGAAGTCGGGCTGGCGCACGTTGTGGGGCTCATGGGCAAAGCAGTAGGTGTTGATGATATCCAAGGTCACCGCGGCGTAGAGGTACTTCATATTCAGCACGTCACCCGTCTGAGCCGCATGGCGCAGACGCTCTCGCAGAGTCTCAATGGGACGCCACATGACTGGAACGAGGTCAGTGACGGATTTCTTGGAGAAAAAGGATTTAGCGCGCTTCGTCGCAGACGGTGTAGGTCATGCGATGGAGTGCCAAGAGTCTAGTTCTGTTAATCATATTTCCTTTCCCGTAGACTTTCGGTTGAGAGGGGGAATATACCGCCGGGTAGGGCCCAAAAGCTTCCGCGACCCGCTGGGGCTTTTCCGCGCGGCCATTGGTCTGGTTGAAGACCTGGTCAAAGAAATCGGGGTCTTCGATGTGCACTTCATCGGGGTTGATGCGAATGACGGGGCCTGAAGGGAAAAAAGGACGTGAGATCGGTTCGGGAAGACCGAATATGGGTAGGGTTGGTACCGTACCATATTTGCGATGTAGGGCCCGAAGCTGGAAGGTGAACTGGCCACTTCGATACAGATCGTAGTACCATTCATAGAGATAGGTGACCTTGGCCCATGGCGGACCGGGGATATGAGCGAGAGGGTGGAAGTAGATTCGGTAGACGATAAGGGAGATGAGGGCCACGAGGGCCAGCGACAACAGCAGCATTCCGGTGTACACAATACGCTGCGGGATGATGTGAATGTTCTTGGCTGATTGCGGCTGACGGGATGGGGGCCGACTGATGCATCCCTGTTCAACACATGACTATGGTGCATGTAAGCCACCTCCGCATGAATACCCCTGCCCATCGTCCCTTCGATTTCGCTGTCTTTCCCACCCATCGTGGATCCAGTATTCAACAGCATCAAAGCGTTCATTTTTCCTTCGATTGATAGTTGTCTATGGAACCCATTCCTCTAAACTTCACTCCTTGTATTGTATTGCCACTTGCCTCAAATTAGAATATTGACTCCGATGATGCCGCTGGTAATGTTTCTTGCTTATAGTCTGATGCGACTCCTGATCGTTTTGTGGTGGATATGCAGACGTGGACGATATTGGCAACAGTAAAGCTCGATGGCATAGATCTGCTGTGGGCACGAGATTGGCCAATTAGCTCCCCATCAAATGGCAGATCCCGTCTGACTGGCTACACTTCTGGTCTGGGTGGGGGCTCGCATTCCAGCCAATCACAAGCCTATTCCCAGGCCCTAACCGACTTACGTGAGCAGCACATCATGTGACGCACAACCCGACCCGCACAATATTCAAGACACGATTTTCCTCATCCGCCCGACCTCCTACGACAACCCCATCCACGACACCCGGAGGCACCGTAAAGATGACTGTTCGCAACCACGGTGCGTGCTACCTCTCTCTGCGCCTTGCGCCATTTCACCACCTTGCGCCGAATCCTCAATACTGACGAATGTGTGTTTTACAGGTATCTCCTCTTCGCGGAGCAAGTCCCGCAAGGTATGTCGCAAACCAACCGATCGACCGAAGACGATAATGGGAACTCACCATTCTCACAGGCACACTTCTCTGCGCCCTCCAGCCAGCGTCGTGTTTTGATGTCGGCCCCCCTCTCCACGGAGCTGCGCCAGGAGAAGAACGTACGTTTCACCAACCGAATCGATCCAAGCACCCACACAAACACAATTTTCTAACTCACTCTGCTGCAAACAGGTCCGCTCCATCCCCATCCGTGTCGGCGACTACGTTACGATCACCCGTGGATCCCAGAAGGGCCGTGAAGGCAAGGTCACTTCGTCCTACCGTCTCAAGTTCGTCATCCACGTCGAGAAGGTTTCCCGCGACAAGAGCAACGGCCAGAGCATCCCCATCCCCATCGCCCCCTCCAACGTTGTCATCACCAAGCTCCACATGGACAAGGACCGCGAGGACATCCTCGCCCGGATCGCCAAGGGCCGTGAGACCGTTAAGAGCAAGTCGGCTTAAGGGAATGTGTGGTTTGGGTTTGAGGTTTATTTTGCAATGACGGTGATAGCCCGAGTGTATTAAAGGTTCCCTCAAAAAAACAGGGGATCGAACCTAGCATGCTGAAACTAGGCGCTTTGCGGTCAATGACAAATGAAAAAAAATACATTGTTCGTCTTCTATCTGGAATTGGTGCTCGCAGAGTACTTTGAGCTACGAGATTGGCTTTTCTTTCACTCAGAGTGATGGCCTACCGAAGTAGATATCGTGGGAAGATGTAGGCAGTATCCTGGTCTCGCTACTATGGAGGGATGGTGTCTTTACGTAGACAATGAGGGTTTGGGAACCGAGAGCAATTGCTTCATGCTTGATTCTACACTTCTATAAGATCATATAAACTCTGGACCGTGTCGAACGAATTCTGTTTTGCCGGTTGTCTCTTCTGCTCTGTTGCACGTGACTTGGAAGATTGTCATCGGATTTACCTTCTCCCGGTCAACTTTTCTTTGCCTGGACCGACCTTTCTTTCTCCCAATCCATCCTTCAAAGCGATTGACTACTTTGTCCTAGGCAGTGAACCTAACGGCGAGCCTTTGGAACCAAAAAAGAGAAATGGCTGACTCTGCTGATTCCGCTGGTAAGATCGCCTCACCTTACGCTATTTGATTTCCCGTTCCCTGACCATATCTATAGCCTGGCCGCTGGCTGATGCCACCCTAGCACAGGAGATCTTCGACCTATTGCAGCAGGCGACCCACTACCGCCAGGTGAAAAAGGGCGCAAACGAAGGTATGTTCTTATTGTTGGTATTATGCCGCATCATCCTGGTAGCTAATCGTTGCGCAGCCACGAAGTCTCTAAACCGCGGCACGTCCGAGATTGTCATTCTCGCCAGCGACGCGACACCGCTCGCGATTCTGATGCATCTCCCGCTCCTCGCCGAGGACAAGAATGTCCCCTACGTGTTCGTGCCTGGGAAAATCGCAATGGGTCGCGCCTGCGGTGTGAGCCGACCTATTATCGCGGCCAGTATCTCTTCCAACGAGGCTAGTGACCTGGCTCCGCAGATTAGGCGGCTTAGGGAGAAGGTAGAGCGACTTGCCATTTAAGAGCTTGCTTGATAGCAGATAGGGATTGGCCGGCTGCCAGGTCTTGAAGTCTTCATTGGCTTTGAGACTCGCATCGGGGTACACACCGTGCGATTGGCCATCTTCTTTCCTCGCTTCTAGACAGGTCCGAGCATGAATAAGAGTTATTCATTTAACTTTTTGAGGTTAATTCTAGAGCAATTCTCACGTAGTGATGAAGGTGCGCATGAGGGCTGTCTGCCCAAGACAGACGGATCAAATGAAGAGAAAATCACGCTCCATCCCACGAGGTAGACGTATCGTAGGGGAATTGTGAGGGTTGTGGTGGGGGGAGGCCATGAGTAGTGGGCTGTGACGAATCAATGAACGATTGATGCCTGTCCGTTACTAAACTATGCATATGCAGATCACAAAAAATATAGATCCGCGATGCTCCCCCACTGCACGAAGTACGGTAGTGCGGATTGAGTATGCGACCTCCCACTCCATATAACAATAGTAACTTAAAACTATCGCTAGTTATTGAGGCTCCTGGCTTCTTTTCGGTCCGAAATTCCGCCTATCGTAAAACAAAAAGTGCCCGACCGATGACTCAATTAATCGGTGGCCTGAACACCTGGGGCAAAATCCCTCTACGCCTCATAAAATTCTCCGAGCAGTCAGCCAGATTTCACGGGATTTAGCGATGTTCTAGAAAACAGGAGGCCATGTCAGATCAGATGACGACTTTGTAACCCAAGTTTGGACACGAATCACGATAGAGTCATGAGGAAGAAGTATACCAGGGATAGTTTTCTTCCATCGGCATTGAAAAAGACTAGGTTTGTGGTTACTTTCCACCCAGCGGGGTTCGGCTGAAGGTGCCGAATTGATCAGGCTCGTGTTCGTGTTCTTCGAATATGTCTGTGTTTGTCCGATATCGCGATGCCAATAGAGATGAATCATCAATCCTGCGAGAGACACCCCGCCCGCGCCTTACCTAAACAGGCATGGCGTTGTCAACCACAGGGCGTGCATCTGATCGGCCGCGGACCTGGACTCTGTCTCCGAGATGCACTCAGTACTCGGTCAACCCCGACCTTCGGCAGCCATCATCGATCACGTCATTTGGGCTGCCTGGAGCCGATGCTGGCTGTGCTGATACTGATTATTCTTGTTCTCGCAGGGTCTCTATTAAATCTTAGCGCCGGTCAAGGCCGCAGTTGGGACCCACTAGGAAAGATGACTGATTATTCATGCGCTTGGTACCCCAGACCACGGTTGCGCCTCTGACCGACTCTTTCCATTCTTCTCTTTTCCGTACCGTGTCTTCTGGTTGCCAACATCTCTTTCTGACGACTAAAACGTTTAACTTTTGATATCGTTTGCTGCCTCCAAGCAGCGGCAACATGGAGTACTTCGATTTTGAAGGTGCCTCGTCTGCGCATGGTTCTTCGAACCACCAGGACGACGATGTCGCCTCGGTTGATATAGAGTTTGATGATGCCGACGAGCGCGAGGCCAATTTCGACGCTCTGCTCGAGGACCAACCACTGGAATACCCCAGTGACCCGCTCGCCACGGCTGCCTTGGCCCAGCCTGTCCAGCCCGACACCGCAGTTTATCCGATGACTCGTGCCCAGGAGCCCTGTGATTTCTGTCGGCGTATGGGCTTCGACTGCTTCATTATGAATCGTGGTGTGATGCAGCACGGTTGCACGTGTTGTATCTCTCTGTACCGCGAGTGCAGCTTCACGCACACCAAAGCCCCTGGGAAGTTCTTGGATACCTTACATACGGTGTCCGAGAACGTTCTCACGGAGACGGGCGGCCTGACGGGGAAGAGAGCACTCAAATCCGTTTCCTACGGCTCTCGTGCTGATGACCCGGATTCTCGCTCTCGCAAGAGCAACGCCCGCCTCTCTCGCCGGGCCGTTAATGTGCTGAAGAGCTGGCTTCGGGACCACCACGAGAACCCGTATCCCACGGAGCAGGAAAAGGACGACTTGAAGGGAAATACCGGCTTGACCAGAACACAGATTTCCAACTGGCTTGCCAACGCCCGACGACGCGGCAAAGTGCGTTCTGGGACCAATTCGCCCGTGCCCGGTGCCGTTGACATTCCCAACACCCGCCCCGTCGATGTGTCGCTCATGACACCCCTGGAACGTTGGGAGTACTCGCCCCCGAGCACGAACCGGCCGCGATCAGCGATATTAGTCGCGCTCTGGCCAATCCACCCTTCGAATCCCCTCCGGGCCGTGGTCACGTGAGACACCCGTGGTCCAGTACGAATGACTCAAGCCATGCGAGCTCCGAACATAAGATCCACTCCGCGTCGGCTAGCAGCCTAGAGACTAGTCACTCTTCGCTCTCGGACTTCTCCTTTGCTTCTGCCTTCTCCCATCGATCCTCCCGGGGATCCTTCACTTCAATGGATCGAAAAGAACGTCGTCGTCGCCGCAAAGCATCGGGGCCGATCAATACATTTAATCAACACAAGGCGAAAGCGGTTCGTCCATATCAATGCACCTTCTGCACCGATTCCTTCCCTGCCAAGTATGACTGGCAGCGGCATGAAAAGTCCATGCACCTCGTCCTCGAGAAATGGACCTGTTCGCCCCACGGAGGTATCATAAATGACAATGGCACGTCTCGCTGTGTATTCTGCCTGATGGATAACCCGGACAGCCAACATCTGGAAACCCACGACTATATGAGTTGTCAAGAGAAGACCATCCAGGAGCGGACCTTCTACCGGAAGGATCATCTCAATCAGCATCTCCGTCTGATGCACCATGCCAAGTTTCAATCTCCCATGGAGACGTGGCGGAGTACCATCAACGACATCAAGTCTCGCTGTGGCTTTTGTGGTACCTCCTTCAACACCTGGAAAGACCGAGTAGATCACTTGGCTGGCCACTTCAAGAACGGAGCCCTCATGGCTCAATGGCAAGGAGACTGGGGATTTGACCGTGCAATCATGAGTCGCGTGGAGAATGCAATTCCTCCGTACATGATTGACTATGAATGGCGTTCTCTGAATCCCTGGACCACCGCCCAGGCTCAGGAGGATGGCTCAACGCCGAACCTTAATGTCCCGGACGATGCCAATTGCTACATGAGGCTGTCGCGAGAGCTCGCCGAGTACATCCACAAGCAAGTTGCTCAGGGAGTCCGTCCAACCGACCAGATGTTACAAGCAGAAGCTCGCCGAGTCATCTATGGAAGTGACGATCCGTGGAACCAAACCTGTGCCGACAACGGGCTATGGCTAGGTGTGCTCAAGCGGGATACTGGCCTAGATACGAGCATGGATATCAACGACATCAACTTCGCCGACCTGGGCATGCAACCGCCATTTGCACTCCAAGGCGGATTGCATGCTACGCCGCAGGACACCAACATTCTTGCTCGAGCAGTATGCCAAGGCTCATTTAATACCTCTGGTGTATCTAGCCCCAGCATCAAAAGCCCTGCTTATCCCGGAACGGGATTTTCGCCTGCTGTTCATAGCGGAGCTGGCAGCCTTTCGGGGAGTTATGCCGGAAGTACCGGGGTGATCTCAGCTGGAGCTGAGCCTTCATTGTCGACGGATTGGGGCGGCAGCTTTCCCACGCAACCCTCTTCGGCCTTTCCGACTCAACCATCCTCAGCACCCGGTGGAGGGCCCGCTGATCCGTTGGTGCAAATGGGATTCGATCCGGCATTCCTGCAGCGCTTAAACGACAACTACAGCAAGATTAATCTTGATGACGTGGAAGGCTTGCAATCCGACGGGGCGCAGAAGTTCAATGACCACGTCGAGGGTCAGGAATAGCTGAACCCAGAGTTGCCGTCCAATATCGCGTGTGATTTAAAAATCGACCGCCCTCCTGCGTCTGACGCTGCCCAACGTGATATGTCTGCATTTTGTGACGAATTTGGGAATTTGTGATATAGTTTTGAGACGGATTTGATACACATATTTTGCGGGAAAAGTTAATGGGGTTTTTTGGTTCGCTTGGGACTTGGTGGCATAGTTACTGATGATAAATTTGGGATCATATAATGAATACATTTTGAAATCTCCTCTTTTCCTACCGCGCCTCATTCTCGTGGAGGGTAGCTCGATTTAAAACCTGGCTTCCACACGATCCTATTCTCTGCACTCCTGGCCCGACTATTGCTTCTCACTCATGCGGTGATTGCGTATTTGAACACAATCCTGGACACGTGGAGCCGATATTTGCAGGTGGTAATTTGCTGATAGCCAAATCGACTGACCTTTTTCTTTGTCTCCTTTTACGAAACTTGTCGACACTCGCTCCGTCTGTCTGACCTGCCAAAGCCCGACCTGAGTCAGACGCCCCATGGCTATGGAACCTCTGCTGGTCGTCCTACGCTCACGCATTCGTTCGTGGCACACGACCCGACTGCCGTACTGAGGCTTTGCCCATAACCAATGAGGTTTAATCGCAGGGGTTCTCGTCAACAAAGGGGTCACGCCTCATTGGCTGAGCCCCTTCCTATTTATCACAATGCAGGGCCATTTGAATCGGGACACAATTCACCCCAAGATCGATCTTGCGACACCCTAAGATCTGGAACCTGTGGATCGCCCTTTTGCCGGAGTAAGGCTTCGGTACGAGTTAGTAGTGGTCCTTCCAGCGCCCTGAATCTGGATCTGTATCATGGTTGGTCTCGTGGCAGACCTAGACGCACAATCCCGACACTATATGTCGGGCTCGCATGAACTGGTTCAGCCGGCGGACCGCTGCCTATTTGCAGAGTGCCCGATTCCCGACTTCACCCGCTGGAAGGACCCTTATTTTTACTATCTGCAAAATCTCATCAGCAGACAGATACTGCTTGTCTCCTGTACCATGTATGATCGTGCACCCAAGGATCCCTAGTCTGAGTCGGAATGGGCTGTATGCCGGCATTGACTCCCTCCCGGGGCTGCGCTGGACAATATATAAATCAGCTATGATCCAAAAAGAGTTCTACTTGTTCAAGTCTTTGGTCTGGCTGAACTGCAATCAAAGCATCTTGAGTGGCTCATCATGAAGATCTCTTTTGGCAGTTGGTTCCTGATCGTGGCCGTATGCCTTGCACGCTGGGCGTCTGCTGCCACCAGGTACTTTGCCATCACCTTGACATGGGAAAATCGAACAGTTGCGGGCATCACTAGGCCGATGATTCATACTAATGGCCAATTTCCTGCCCCCCGATTGTCTTTGAACCAGGGTGACAGTGTCGAGTTTTATGTTCAAAATGACTGCCCATTCTCGGTAACTGTGCATTTCCACGGTAAGACTGGCTTCTTTGATATATTTATGAGCTTGTTTACTTACACAGAAATCCTCACTACAGGAATCGAGCAGCGTGGCACACCGTGGTCTGACGGCACCCCTGGTGTGTCCCAGAGACCAATTGAACAAGGCAGCTCATTCCTCTACCAATGGACCGCAGATCAGTACGGTGCTTACTTCTACCATGCCCACCACCGCGGTCAGATTGATGATGGTCTTTATGGACCAATTTATATTACCCCTGCCAGTTCGGTGGAGAGGCCATTTGATCTTATCAGCAATAGCTCGACTGACCTCAAGGCTATGCTGGAGGCGGAAAAGAACACATCCCCAATCATGCTGTCTGATTGGAAGCGGTATACATCAGAGCAAATCTGGAGTGCTGAAGAAGCCTCTGGAGTTGATGCGCTCTGTGCAAATGCGCTTTTGATCAATGGAATGGGCTCTGTGACGTGTTTCTCGCAGGCTGAGATTGCTTCCTTCGTCAACAAAACGGGACTGCAACCGTTTCTGGGGAACGAGACCTTGACAGACCTGGGGTGAGTTTTAGTCTGATTGTTGAGAGGAGAGAGAAACTTCACGCTAACGGAAGTCTTTAGTTGTTTTCCTCCTGATCTGGTCGCCGCACAGGGCGCTTACCCTCACAACTATAGCGCTCTACTACCGGGCATGTTTTATGGCTGTGTACCAACTGAAGCCTCACATGCGCTATTCAATGTCAATCCAGCTGCTCAGTATGTAAGCTGGGACTTGACTAGCTCCGCCGGTGTCCTGGAGATGATTTTTTCCGTGGACGAGCACGAGATGTACGTCTACGCCATTGACGGACGCTACATCGAGCCTCAGCTCGCCGACGCCGTCATCGTCCCCAACGCCAACAGATACTCAGTGATGATTCCACTGAACAAACCAGCGGGCGACTACACAATCCGAGTGGCCAGCGCAAGCGCGAACCAGATTCTCAACGTCACAGCGACAATGCACTACGAGGCTGCAAACAAGCTGCACCGGCCGTCCAACCCGTGGATCACACCTGCAGGCATAAATGCCACCGAGGAGACAATTCTCTTCGATGAGAGCCAAGTCGTGCCTTTCCCCGTTATAGTGCCTTCCACCGATGTAGCTGCAACGTTCATCCTCAACATCGCCCAGACCAACGCCTCATACGTCTGGAAAATGGCCCATCAATCCTTCAATATAGAATATGAAGAGTCACAGCCCCTTCTCTTCAACCAGTCCTCCATCCCGTCTGATCTGTACATCCGCACCAAGAACAATACCTGGATCGACTTTATTCTGCAGGTCACCACACTTGGCCAGCCTCGGCATCCAATTCACAAGCATTCCAACAAACACTTTGTCATCGGCCAGGGCAATGGTACTTTCAACTACTCGTCAGTTGCAGAGGCAATGCAGTTTATCCCGGACTCATTCAATCTCAAGACTCCGCAGTACAGAGATACATCCCCCACGCCTCTCCCGCTGAATGAGCCAACCTGGTTGGCTATCAGGTACCAGGTTGTTAACCCCGGGGCGTTTTTGATGCATTGCCATATCCAGATGCATCAGAGTGGAGGTATGGTCCTGGCGATTTTGGATGGGGTTGATCACTGGCCTGTTATCCCTTTGGAGTATAGGCTGGATGAATCTGAAGCCTCTTGAGGGTATGTGTATAGGGTGAAGGATATGATTAGGTGGGTGAAATCTGGGAATGGTATATGGTACTACTGAACAGCCGGGAAACCGACTCACACCATGTTTGGTCACATCATGTTTGGATTGGATGGTGAGTAATAAGATTCTATGATAATTAACAATGACTCATTTGTTACTGCAAGGCGATATGATGAATTTGAGTAAAGGCCGTTAGGAGAGTAGACTGGTTCAGCGATAGTGCTCGATATCAGCCGATAGAACATGAGCACTCGGACATCTTACTGGCGCTCTGAAGTTGAGATATTTCTAGAACCCGAGGAGCCTCTCTGTCCATGAATTTCGATACGTCGTTTAACTGAGCTGTAAACAGATATCTTAGGTTAATCTTCGTGGGAGTCCTTCTCTTCCTCGGAATCTACCTCTAGCGCTCTCTCAGCTGCCTGCAAACACTTGTCTAGACATATATGAGGAAAAATGTTAATGTCACTTTGAATAATATCTAAAAGAGAGAGCAGAATTTTCAAAACATGTTTGTGCTATACAAAAACAGCTAACAACTAAAGAGTTCATTTCGAAAGACTCCGCGGATAATGGTGAAGATTAAAAACAAACATGGATATTCAAAATAAGCTTGAAGTTAACATCGATCGACACAGAAAGGAGGCAAATGGCTAAAGCACAAAACCAGAATAAACATAAATACCCGATCCTTCCATATCGCCTTATATCGTTCCGTCGTAAGAGCAAAGAAGAGAACATCCACCTCTTTGAAATGCCAGTTCCTCCCTGAGCCGAACTGTATCAATATAGTTCTTCCACACTTTCCGATATGCCAGATTGAACTTCATCCAAAAGAGCCCGTTCTGGTGATGTCTCCTCAGACTCGCCTGTTGACACTGAAAACTCGGCCGAGCCTGACAAAGAAACAACCTCCTCTTTAATAGCCGGTATCATTGTCTCGGCTACCAGGACGCCAGTCAGCGGGCTAGAAATCGTACTGCCATCGGTGGCAGCAATGCTTGCTGAAGAGATTGAAGACTGCATAACGCTAACACTTGACACCGAGGCCGGCTCAAACACGTCGTGGGGGAATGGCCGCATATTGGAATACGGCGTAGGTTGTTGCTGCCAAGAACCTATGGAAAGAAAGGCCACAAGAATACTCAGCACAAAAAGGGCAACATTTCGTCTGTCGCTTGCTAGCACGCGAATATAGTTGATGATAAGCGTCTGCAAGGCAATCTCAGGCTGTTTGCTGACTTGGCTACTCGACGCTCTGGAGTCTGGTCGGGATTGAGGGGCTGAAAGGTGTGATGGCGAAAAGCCGGATAGGAAGGTGCTTGTATTGCTGGGCGTTCGGAGATGTTGCGAAACAGGTAGGTGTAGACCGTCGGTGCCCTGGAGCTTCGTATCACTCCTGACAGATACCTGTGAGTCAACCTTGTCGAAGATCGTTGTCCGTTCCTGTGACAGTCTTCTCTCCAACTCTCGGCGAACGTCTGGCGGCAACCAGAGCCCGACCTCGACATCGACTTTCTCCATCTCCTTCCAAGCAGTTGCCCAAGCGTCAGCACGCATCAAGCCATTTGCTGCGAATACTTTGATCTCCCATTTGCGGTTCTCGTCTGCATGCCGCAAAAACCGGCCTCCACAGTCGGGACACTCCTCGCCCTGCTCACCATCCGTCTCACTCTCTTCCCTGTCCGAGAGATCTTCCTCCGAGTCCGAATTTCCATCATCGCCGCCCAGAAAGTGGCCATTGTGCAGCCTAGAGCGTCGTAGCTCCAAAGATTCCAGTAACCGTTCCTCCAACAAATCATACATATCCTCCGGGTGGGTAATCAGCACACCCCGATCACGTAGTATACCGGATCCAACTTTCTCCTGCAGTCGCTGCCATCGCTTCCAATACGGTGGCGGGAGGACCTCGGCAAGAAGTTTGTTATAATGAGGTTCAGCCGCGCCGGGTATGGGAAGGGAGGGTGATAGCAAATTGCAATGAAGGAGCACGAGTGGGTATTCCTTTTGAACCTTGTGCTTGTTCGGAGATGAACTGGGGGAATAGTACGGCGAGCGTTTCAGCGGTGAGGAGCCAGGCGAACGAAAACCTGGGCGGCGTCTCGGGGGTGTCAAGTAGTCGTCCTCATCCGCTTCGTCCTCTGTGTGCATCTGCATTGCCCGCACAGAGCTCGGTTTGCGGAAAGCAGCTTCGCGCGTACGAAGGGCGTGTATAGATCGTGGTGGACTTCCGAAGCCACCAAATACTGCTTCGTCATTTTCGTGGGTGGTGTATAGGGAGACTTTTTCGTGGGGATCCATTGAATGCGCAGATTTCAGGTCGTCGAGGGTATGAACGACGACGGATGTTGGCCCTGAAGACAGGGACGAGCGACTGGAAGTTGTTGATTTCATCTGTTCCAGTTCCTCGTCCATGTTGCGGCCGAAGATGTCGCTTGCTGACTGACGCGTGGATGATGCAGAGGAATTGTTTTCGGACTCGGGCCCGGTGTCTTCGCCGGCGGAATCGGCGTCGCGATGTGCGGGATCCGACGTGCAGGACGAGTCCCGACGCGAGTCGTCGTTCAATCTCGCCATGGGAGACGGCAGTTGAGTCCACGAGGGTGGCTGTCGGACAACAAGGCGATCGGACGATCCCACGTTCGCCGTTGTTGACAAGCTTCCACCATCCCGTCGTCGGGGCAACCGTGAGAACTATACATTCCGAACAATCACCAACGTAAACTGTTGCTATCTATGGATGTGTTGCAAGTGGATTAAATTGGATAAATACTGATGAACCCAAAATTCTCTATTTGTCTAAAGAATGTCTATAGCTTAATGTGAAGTACTCGTGAAGTTGGGTGGAATTGCTAGCGGTGACGAAAATGCACCGCATTGATTGGCATCTGGCGTCTTAATAAACTGGCACAACTACTGATTGAGTATTGCTGTGGTTTCCCCTTTTCCCACAGATATTGTCTGGCAGCACTTTGTTATAGAAACCAGATAACCTGTTCCTTAAAACGCGCAAGGCTAATCACCGAAACGCCGGCATCAGTTCTTGGCATTGCCGAGCTGGTCGCCGACTCCACGATCTACTACAACGCAATAAATATCCCCGCATGCGTGACCACCTCCAATTCTCACACTGTAACTAGACATTCAGTTTCACCATTTTTCAACATGGCAGACACGGTCCTTCTTGAATACCGTGGCCCTGTTGCCATCATTACTCTCAATAACCCGAAGAAGCTCAATGCGCAAAGCAAAGATGGATTCTATCAAATCGCCAAGTACCTTCGCGAAATCGCTACTCACGATGAGGTACTGATTACGGTTCTGGTGGGTGCTGGGAGGTATTTCTCAGCGTAAGTCCTTGTTAGAATCTGGCACTGCTATTCAGTTCTACTCACAGTTCCTCTCCAGGGGAGCCGATGTCTCCATTTCACGAGCCACTCCACCAGGAACCGACATCTTCCGTCATGGGCTTCAAAACACAGTCGCTAATAATCTCAATATCACCCGCGCATTTCACACGCACCCGAAGATTCTAGTGACGGCTTTGAACGGGCCAGCCGTCGGTCTCGCCGCAGCTTTGATCTCATTCTCCGATTTTATCTATTCAGTTCCTACCGCGTTCGTGATGACGCCATTTAGCAGCCTGGGTCTAGTGGCAGAGGGTGGAGCAAGCTATGGATTTGTGCAACGGATGGGTATTTCGAAAGCGAGCGAAGCCTTGATCCAAAGCCGGAAGATACCTGCAGAGGAATTGCGCGCGGTGGGTTTTGTAAATCACATTCTCCCACAGGAGGGATTCTTGGAGGCTGTTTTGAAAGATATCAATGACAAGATGGGTCCGCATCTGGTCGGATCTAGTATGTTGCGGATCAAGGCTTTAATTCGGCATCGGCAGAATCGGGAGATGGATGAACAGAATGTGCTGGAGTTGTTCGAAGGTCTTGATAGACAGGTCCAGGGTATTCCGCAGAAGGAGTTTGAGAAGATGAGGACAGGCGCAAAGCGGCATAAGCTTTGAGTACAGTCCCAGAATCCTGGTAGAGAAGAAGATACAATACTAGTATATCCCATTTCCAGACTCAGTCTCCACCCTGCTGTGCCATCTGTCAGCTACATATGTTGCGAAACGTATCATTGCGAAGAAATGTAAAGAAGAATTATTCAAGCCTAATTATTTACAGTATCCCCAGAAACTCTTTACGCAACGCCCAATCAGGCACCCACATAACTCTCAATCTCATCGAGGGAGTTTTCTTTGTCTGGTGTCGTAGAGCCACGGGCATACTTCTTCTCCAGATCAACCACGTCAAGATCCCTATCCTTCGGCATGGATTTCGCATTCCTGACCAAATTCCATGTGTTCGACCGCTGGAAGATATCATCAATCTCTTCCAGAGACCTTCCGCTTGTCTCTGGAAAGAAGAAATAGACGATGGGAACAAAGACGGCGTTGAGAACAGCATAAATAATCCAGTACCGGTTTTTCAGGTTTGTAGTCCCCGGTGGCGTAATCTGGCCTACGACAAACTGACCCAGCCACTGTCCTGTCACAGCGACAGCCACGATCGGAGTGCGCATTCGGATAGTCGCAATTTCACCCGCGTATAAAAAGGGCAGGCCAAGGAACCCTTGGGCGTAAAAGCATGCGTAGAGGAAAAAGAAAGTTGTCGAAACCGGGGCCAGGTTCATCTTGCCACTTGTGCCGGCCAATACGGCCATTGAAATGGCCATACCCCCGGCACTGATCATGAAGAGAATACGTCTTCCAACGCGGTCCACTGTAAATAAAGGAATGCATGCTGAAAGAGTAAAGGAGGTCACTAGGCCTGCGCTAAGCAAGCGAACGGGAGTGCCGGTGAAGCCCAGACCGCTGAACACCGTCGAAGTGTAGAAGATGAGCGCAGAGCAGCCGCACCATTGTGTCATGCTTTGTGCGATGCCAGCAATAATGGTGCGATGGATATAGCGCTGGTCACTGCCTTTGAAGAAGAGCTTGAAACTGCCCTGCGTGGCCTCGAGTTGTGCGTGGATATGATTCATCTCGGCATTCACCTCGTGGCTATCAGTTGGCTGATCCATCAATGCGGCCAGTACTGCTCGAGCTTCATCCATTCTGCCCTTTCGTGCAAGCCATCGGGGACTTTCTGGCATGAGGAACAAAAACACCATGGCGAAGAAAGAAAAGACGACTGGCAGGACAATAGTGGAGCGCCATTGGGCGGAATTTGACCAAGCTGCGAAGAAGCCAAAGTTGACCCAATTTGGCAGTGACACTCCTGCACTGATAAAAATGCCTTCCATGATAACGAACGCTCCTCTGTGCGCTGTGGTGGAGCACTCCGTCTGCCATACAGGGACGCTGGCGGAAATCATACCAATGGCGCCCCCTACCAAGAGTCTTCCAATGATGAACTGTGACAGAGCAAATGCGGATGACTCGATGGCCAAAGCGACTACTGAGAGCACCAACCCCCAGAAGATGGATCGGCGGCGGCCGATCTTGTCACCGAATGCGATACACGAAAGTGCTCCACAGACGGCGCCGAGGTCGTAGGAGGCCGTAACAACACCTAAAAGTATTAGATAATGCGAAAGCTGCAGGAGATACGCGGATTCAAATACCAAGTATAACTGAGTTATGCGATGCTTGCGCACCCGTTGTGTTCACTGTGTCCAGAGCTGGGAATTGCTGAAGATTCGTCAGTGACTGGCGGAAGAACCGGAAAGGGTTGTACGAACAGAGACAAATGATGGAAGTTCAGTGATTCCTCCGGTAGACCCGTTATTGTATCCAAACAGCAAGAAACTGGGCATCACCACCAACACGACCATCGCAACCTTCAGGCGCGAGCCGCGCTGGCCAAGGAAGCTGAGAGGAGCGACAGTCATGGTGTCGTACTGGTCCTGAGAGCTGGATCTTGCCACTCAGAATTTCGGACAGGGGAGACACTCGCCAACTCGGGCAAGATGTGCATGCTTTATATCATCCCCCTCCTGTGACAATGTAACCGGGGCTTCCGATTGAAAATCTGGGGAAATGTCCGGGGAATGCAAACGCCGGGGCTCGGCCAATAAATGTGGGGCGGCGACCCCCGGCAATTACGCAGACGCCAATGATATGTCTACTTTCTGCATCGCTGCTCCTCCCAAGGTTGTCCCTAGATGACCACCAAGGTTGGTACGGCATATTCCAGTATATTGTTATATTACCAAGCAGCTTCATATATTCTGAAAAAAATTTGGGTTCGAGGTATCTCAAAAGGGACATTCCTCAAGATAAAAAAGAAGAAACCCGCCTGCCTATGCGCCTCCGGGTTCTTTGATCTCACGTCGTTTCCGAACTCAACAGCTCCATCACGGAGTCAAAACCATATGGAAGAATAAACTCACTTGCATTCCACTGGCTATTTTCGACAGCCTTGTCATCTGAGCACCATCCTTTCTCAATAATTCCCTGGGTCACCTTCGGAGCTTCCGGAAATTTCGGAGCCTCCGATAAGCAATGTAGATCTGCTGAGCAGCGCAATGTGTCGCAGAGCTTTTGAGACAGGGTCAGAAGATTATTGCTGATTTTGTTCAAGTCTTCAACATGGCCTTCTTTTGCTGATTGTGCTGTAGGTTGTGCTGTAGGTTGGCCTGCTATAGCGTTGTCGATATGCTTCAAACATTTCCGAAATGTTGGCCCCGGCGGCGTTGACCTCTGAGGGTATTCACTGGTACCAGTCGAGATAGAAATAAGAATAGACAGTAAATCCCCGGGTAATTCTGTGCCGAGAGAAATGGGACAAGAGAGAATCCACTCGGCGATTTGCTCATCAGCATCAACTCCCACGCTTTCTGAGGAGGCAGAAGGCGTCATTATTGAGTTGGAACACTCCGGGTACTGTGGCGCTGACACTGTCGGATGATTTGATGGACAAGCCATAGGCGAACTCGCCTGATGATGCCTCATCTCCGTACCTTCCAGTGGACCTTCGTATGCACTTTCCGCGCAGCTCGATTGCCAAAGCCTGTACGCTCTGGTTTCGTAGCCCGTATGTTAGCTCCATTTTAGTTGAGTCGGTTTTTCGCTACTCACTCTTTGCGATATCGTGATCTCTTGCGTTTCGGCTCAGGTATGGAGCACGGAATTTTATCGGTTTGGCAATTATGACAGGGGAAGCCATTTTGGACATTACACCGGACCTTTCTTGTCCGGCATCTGGCGCACGCAATTATTCCTCTTCTCTTCTTGAGCGATAGATCAGAACCCAGGCGTCTGATATCCATTTCGGGGCGTTAACAGAGAAAATCGCGTTAGATAGAGGTAATTCAAATTCAGCTTTGAGATTCGCTCCTTTAAGTCACCACAAGTTTTGCTAAGGATAAGTGCAGACTGGAAAGCCGGTGCTCGTAATGAACGCCGATTTTCCGACATGGCGGGGTAGTAACGTACAAATTCCGAAAGTTCGGAGCAAATCAAATGAAGTGGAATCGATCATCCATCTTAATTGTACTAGGACAATCAGGTCGCGTAAGTGGAGAAGAATCGCCGAATCTACAGAAATCGCCGAAATTGAGGTACGGCAAATACCTCCGCCGGATATTCTCGGTGCGTTCCCCAACCATATTCCCAGTGCCTTTTGAGATAGGTGTGCATCACGAACTCTTCTTTTTCGGGCGTACGCAATCTGAATAAAAAGCAGGGCTTGTATTTTCTAGCCAGATGGCGCAAAACAAACTCGAGCAAAGTGTCCATGCGAATGCTAACATACGGGAGTACCTAATCACAGGCTCGCCCTTGCAACTACCTTCTTCTCCCACACCTGAATCTCCTTGCTTTCCCTCCAACCATGTACCGGGAAAAGCTTTGGTCCTAGGATCTTTTTCTGAATTTTCCCTGTCGGCCCTTTCGGCAGTTCGGCATCTACAACCCTCAGCACCGTTGGCAGCTTGTAACCTGGCAGCTTCTGCCTTAGGTCCTCCCGGAGATCATCAATGGTGAACCCGGCCTTTGAGCCCTGCTCTCCCTTTAGGAGCACGGCAGCTGCAACTCGTTGACCGAATTCTTCGTCTGCAACGCCCACGACCGTAGCCTCAGATACATAGGGCAGCTCGAGAATTTCGCGTTCAATGTCAAGAGCGGAGATCTTATATCCGCCTGACTTGATGATGTCGACGCTTGCACGGCCAAGTATAAAGTAGTAGGGCCCCTCGCGACGGGCGATGTCGCCTGTCTTAAAGTAGCCTTGTTCATCATGAGCTTCGAGCGTAGCTTTGTCGTCGTACAAATATCTATTTTCTATGTTAGCTAGCGTTCCATATCAATAATTAAATTACATACTTGCAGAACATCCAAGGTGACTTGACCAGAAGCTCGCCTTGATCACCTTCAGTGAGCTTCACTTCCAATCCAGGAATAACGGTGCCAATAGAGCCGACAGGGAGATTGGGATCAGGCTCCGCGCTGACCTTGATACAACCAGGGAGCTCGGATGCCCCATATCTAGCCAAAATAGGCTGTTGCCGGAGATTCGTCCAGAAAGTCTGGACGGACGCCGACAGAGCACTCGAGCCACAAAGCACTGCACGCAGCTTCCTCGCCGCGGCAACATACGCTGCTTTTTCTGCTGGGGGGAGGATAGCGATGTGCTTTTCGAAATACCACTGCAATCGCATGTATATCGTCGGCACAGCCGAGAAAACAGTGATTCCGCCTGCTTTGAAGCGGTTCCAGATCCACTCCGGATCAAAACTGTCTGTTTTGAACTCGATACATGCGCCGAAGTTCAGGAAGGCGAAGAAAGATGTGCCCAGACCAGTTGTATGATGCACTGGGAGAACATGCAGGCCCACATCTGTTGGGACGATGTCGTAGCCGTCTCCAACGGCGGTGGCGTTTTCGTCGATGTATAAGCGACGCATTACGGAGCCTTTCGGTTTTCCCGTTGTACCGGATGTGAATATGACGACCCCGGGAGCATTTCCATCTAAATTTCTGGTAGATGAGATGCTGATGTCGTAGGGCGTTAGGTTGGACTCCTTGGGCAGATGAGGCAGAATATTTAAGCATTGGACATTACTGCCACGGTCATTGACATATGCCATGATTGAGTGGGCAAGCTTGGTCGCAGAAGACGAGTGCACAATGGCTACTTGCCGGGCTTTCTGTACGAAATATGCGCCCTCTGCAACGGGATTCTGAGTTGCTGTTGCTTTGGTAAATAGCTGTTCTTTTTCATTGATTGGGGGATCACCATACTCATCGGCACGACTGCCGCCCCAAGTGCAATGACAGCGAGAATACCAACGGTAAACTCATAGCCACCTGCAGCCAAGATTCCCACATAAACCTCCTCATTGCGCTCGATTCGCTGTAAAACATCCTTGCTCAACGACGACTCCAGGTAAGCCCGGTAGGCTAAGACATCTGCTAAGAGATCACCGTACGACTTCTCGACTTGTAGGATGTTGTCCCTTATCGCGATATGATTGCGCCGAGCAAATCGAAGCAACTTGGTGAACAGCGGGCAATTGGGTAGCACATTGCGACCAACATGCGGAGTAACCAACTGGATGCGATCTGTGTTCGGTGTAGGAGCCATGGGGAACGCCATCAGTAATCGGTTTTGAATTATTTGGACCGCCAACTACTACGGCTCAGTAGACACCCTAGCTTTAATACGTTCTTGGATCAAATTGACACCACAGATCCATCGTCATGTTCCGTTCGGGGTTTCCCCCCGTGGAAAACCCCGGACCCACATCGCTCTCGGCATCCGGGAATCTGTGCCCAAATGCCGAAGCGGGCAGGTCAGTGATTCGCTCTAAATCAGACAGAACTAGATTAACAATTCTTTGATTATGGTACAGGATTTAGTTAGGCAGCCCATGCGTCCTCGCTAAGCCAACTATCCAACCCATTAACTAAGAAATCTGCCAATGGTAGAATTTCCTCTATTCCCTCGTCAGCAGATGTAAACGGCATTGTAGAGACAATAGGTTCAACGCCGCGACCTTGAGGCGAATCCAAAAGCTCATGATTCTGTGCATACTGCGAAGATTGAGCTGTTTTCGCTGTCGCCCCCTCATAGAATGTCGTACAAGGCGTCCACATGTGACAAAGATCGAGCGGAAACCCATCAAAGAAGAACCGCTGCTCTCGAGTGAGCGGCAACAAGTCTTTCATCGCCGGGGTCGCATTTTGTCGTTGCGCATTGAGTATCGATTCCAATGCTTTCGACCCCCCGATTGCTGATTTCCAGCGCTTGCTGAGTTCCTTCAGGCATAAGCGCAGGACATCCAGATCGGGCTGACACGCTTCCCATAGTTTAGGGATCGGACGTAGCGACACGAGGAAGAAGCTTGATGCGACGCAATAGCGTGTAAAAATTGGAGCGAGGTGTCCGATATCGTCGCGGACGAGAAGTTCCTGGAAAATCCCCGCAACGAAAGACGCCGCCAGAATAGCCTGCGCGGATATCGTGTTTCTTGTGCTTGGACGGCCGAGGATGGCTAGGCTGATGAAGTATGGGATGTGTAGTTGGCGCGTGTTGAGGTCGTATCCGCAGAGGGAGTATTCGTCTGCATTATTGGCGTTGCGATGAGAGATTCGAAGGTGTGTGGGTAAGACCCTAGGCCAGCGAAATATTTGGCTCTGATAGTGTTCCTTTTTCGATTTAGTTAATGAATTCCGCGAACACGATTCTGTAATATCCCCCAGGATGCAGCAGATATCCGCATAGTGTATGAATAACTCGGCATCACCAGGTAAGCAGTCCTCAAAGTCGGCCGCACACAGAGGAGCGACGTTCACATCTTCGAAGTTGATAGCTCTCGGCCGACCATGCGCAACTGACATGAGCATATCTCTGACCTTTGAATATAAAATAACTAGTCAATACCTCTCTTTCCAAGTAACACTATAATAGCAGCTCTTACCACCAAGCTCCACCAAAGCCGCCTTCTCATAGAGGCATTTCGCCCCTCCCCAGGATCCTTATGCAAGCCCACCTGGTACGCAATCCCAACACCGGTCTTAAGCCAAAACTCTCCCGCATCATAGGAGACATGCTCCGGTCCATCGGGAGTATACCATTGCAGCATGATAGTAGCTTTGATAACCGCTAGCGGATTATCTTCATGATTAACGAAAAAGAGCGTTTTTGCCCGCTGGTAGAATTGCTCCGGTGTTGCAAAAGCCAGAACACCAGGTGAAGGCGATGCTCTACTCGCAGCCAGAAATAAAGACTGGATGAGCAGGAGCGAGGGATGCTTTTTTGTTTCAGAGAAATCAAAATCCAGCTCGCCATGAGAGAGAATCGGTGTCCATGGATGGCAGAATTGGAGGAAGTTGTCGATGAGGGCTTGGCGGATGGATCGTGGGGGGAGGTCGAATGCTTTGAACATGTGCAGAACGGAGTCTCGGAGTCCGGTAAGCTCGTTTGATTGGTAGGATGGGTAGGCGCGAGATGAGTCCTCGTCGATTAGAGTGTCTTGGTCGATATAGTGTGATCGACCGATATAAGTAATTGACTCTGGGTTTTGGTTTTCGTCTGTAGTTTCTGACCCGATAGGTATTCTTTGGGTCGTACTATGGGAATTCGGCGTTACAAGACGAGAGCTCGGAAATGTCTGCTCTTCCATTGCGGAGGCTGAGAGCAGTTCAATAGGCCCTGAGATGCGCCTTGGAGATTTCCTCAGGTTTAATAAATCTTCTGATAGGTCCTGTCTATTCGCGGAAGAATGATCAGCGGCCCGTCGGGGTCTTTTCCTTGTCCGACGTCTGGTGCGAGGTCAGTGATTTCATGTGACGTATTGGGGATAGCTCCATACATGCACTCAATGCTTTGACTTGTACATGTCTGGCATGAGCTCTGATCTGCTGGAAATTCACACTTGATCTATAACCTCGATTAGTTGGTGTGATATGCAGATAGATCAATCAGGAGGCTGCTCAAGGATACCTTTTTCCTGTTGCAGTATGCACAGGCCTGGGTCAGCTTTCCAGTAGTCATGTCGGCCGGCTATAGCCTCTGGTAAAACGAAGCAGTGTATGTCTGGAATAGTCAGACAGGTTCAACGGTCTTAGCCCGGAGGTGCGGTTGAGTGGAGGCGTATCACGTGACCGCGTAGTATACTCCGACGCAGATTCCATAGATCGGATACAGAAGAACAAGATACATTACTTTTAGAAGGGCTGAATAGATATTTGTTACTGATTTATATTAGGGCAAGACCTAAGTCATAAACCAAGTAAAATGTGCCCATAGTCATCAGACGGAAACATGCTGATGCTCACATTCAACAACAGAAGATGTGTCCCATTTTTTGCAAACCTCACCCCCAACAACCAAATCCCAAGAAGGGCGATCTAAATAATAAAGAATTGGCCCGAAAAACCAAAGAGCTCCCTTGCCAGATCCTGAGATCGAAACACGAACAGAAGAAACGAAAACGACCCAATCGCTAGATATGAACGAGTAAATGCAGAGTTCGCCAAAAGAATACATATACACAAATGAAAGAAAGCATCACGGAGCGTTCCGGGGCGTGGAATTGTCAGGGCTCATCATTGGATAATTCTGGTGCTCCTCAAAAAAGCTGAGCACGTCCTGCGGCAGGTACTCGAGCCATGGCAGAATTTCGCCGTTGGAGAAAGGGAAGGCGTCGGGGTGTTGGAGGGCGTTGACATCCACCTCGTGGCTTTCGATCATCATGCCTCCTGCGTGCGAACTCATGTTTGGATGGTGGAGTTCGGTTCCTCTTGGTCCCATGTGGCTGCTGCCGGGTTGTTGGCTGGCGGCTGAAGGTAATGGGTAATTATAGGCTGGTGTCTGGCCAGAGGATGGTAGAGGCTGGTTGTAGGGTGACTGTGCTGCGGCAGACGTGCGAGAGCCTGATTCCGGGTAGGATTGATTCATGCCGAGGTAGTATGTCGAGTCTGTGTTGTTCATCGGGCCGGATGAAACTTGGGTGTACTTTGCATCTGCGGTGCAAAGTGGGGTCCTGACTTCGTCTTGAGTGCGAGAAGTGATAGTCCGTGGATAGGAAGTGCTCGACCCTTCCCCGGCATTTGACTGCACCGGCAATGACGGATAAGTGTGGCTATATTGCGATGAAAATGTTGGCTTGTTGGATGGGGACTCAACCTGAGTGTTAGGCATCTGATACAGCACACTCAGATTGGGTTGGGAAGAATTTGTGGCTCCCGTGAGGGCCCATCCAATTGCTTGTCAAGAGTCAGCGAGACATCAAGGAATCAAGGAATTCTTGTGCTTACCCTGACTGGGGTCGATCTTCGGTGACCATTTCCCATCGGTCGAAATGTCAGCCACTCCGGCATCCCCTGGAGTCTTGGCCTGGCGCCAACTAGTCGGAGGGAAGGGCTGGACAGGAGCGTCCTCCGAGGCGTTCTCCATATCCTCCGCCGTGTAAAGGAGGGGATCAACGCTACCTTTGGCTTTTTGGTCGAGCACGGTCAAGATGTACCGGGTTCCCTCCCAGTATGTATTCAAAGCCTTGAGCGCCTTGTAGCATCGTTGGTAATTCTCTTTGGCGGCAGAGGCCAGCAAAATGTGCTTGGCTGTGGATTTTCGTTCCGTCCCATTTGACGACGACTCCATGGTTGGCATGACAAAGCCACTGGATTGGTTGGCCAACAACGGTTGGGGCGGCGGTGAGCCCGATCTTGAGGAAGGCGACGAATAGTAGGCACTCTCCATGAGAAAAGCGCACGCTGCAATGTACATGGGCTGACTGGTAAAAGGATTGCCAATGAAACTTTTCCCATCCACTAGTTCCGAAAAGGACAAGATATCGGCGATGGTTTTGGCGGAAGACATCGACAGCTCGCGACTGTTTGGATACAAGTGTTGGATAGAACCACCAAACGAGTTCAACAACGTCGGCTGGTGAAGGAGGACAATAAGCGTGTGGAACCAAAAGTGCAGAAGAATAAAGTTAGTCCCCTCTTTCGCCTTGACATAGGCTTGGAAGTTGGCTGCATTGAAATGAAGCTTCGGCGACAGACGCTGGTAGATACCGGTCAGATCGCTTTCCATCCCTGCCAGCCTTTTGAGCGTGTCCGATGTTACGTGATTGACATCCTGAATGCCGTTGATGAGATCCGTCACTCGACCGTAGAGATGGATTATACGAATCAAGGGCGGAAAGGGTGCAGGCCATCCGTTTGGAAGCTGTGATTCGGACTGCAAGGGAAAGCGTAACTCGATATCCTCGTCTCGTAGCGTTACGGGTCGTCCAGTCCCCGACGAAATGACTCGATCGAGGAAGAAAATGCTCCAAAAGGAGTCCACTCGTTCCCGCTCTCTGGCGCGCTCAGTATCCACAGGAGGAGGTCTCGTTGCTGCATTTTGGGAAGCCTCGAAGTCATCGTACTGATCTTCTCTCAGTTTCCCGGCCTGTCCCGTCATAACTTCGCTTGGTGTTACGCCGCTCAAGCCATAATTGTGTTTTAATCCTTGAAATTTTTGCAATCCAAGATCTTGGGCCATCCGGATTGAGATGCCCAGATACATCCACAGGCCACTGTCATGGTTGGATCCGAACTGTTCATAAGCCAGCAACAAGCATGATTGAACGGCAGATAGAGTTGGACATGACAAAGAATCCACGAGTGCGCTCATCGCTCGGTGGGCAAAAGGTTGACCGCGGTCCCATTTGTTGATATCAGGCGGCGGCTGAGATCGATCAATAGGTTGAGCTTGCGGGGGACCGAGTAATGGATGAGGCGAAAATCGGGCAGCCAAGGAACAGACCGCATCCACAAGCATGGTATCGACTCTCTTGTCTTTGAGGTCTTGGAGGAACCTCTCCCGTTGTAGGAAGGGGAAGTTACATCCAAGATGAGCGAAGAAAAGATCACAGAGATGGGAGACCAGATTCGAGACAGGAAGGGCATCATCACTGTCGTAGAATGGGATCGTATTGGCATCGCGGCTTTCATTAGTGTCTGTTACACCGCCCACAGGTGCTACCACCGTATCCGACACTTTAGGGCTCCGCAAAGGGGAAAGCGACTCGGAGGACAATGATGCATTGCTCTTGCGGGAACCCCGAACCTGGACGACCATCTGTTTGAAACCGGGGACAATGGCGGTAGGTCCGAAATATCGAAAATAAGGAACATGAGTGCGATTGCTGGAGCTCATCGAAGTGCGACTACTCTCTGGACTGTCTTCCGCCGCTTGGGAATCCGACTCCTTGTTCGTGCGCAGCAAAGTATCCCCGGAGAGGTTCTTCAGTTCCGCTTTACTCGATATCCGGGGTGACTTGTCAAGGGTCATTGGAGGCATGAATATCGGTGCAGGATCTGGGGAGCTGCTTTCGATGGCGCGCGAGGCGCGCTGGCTGTTCGGATCATGTTGCGCGCGAAGGGCGGCAGCTATGGGAGGTGCGCGGGATGCGGAATCCGATTGCGATCGTAGGTGGGCGGTGGACTCGCTGTAGCCGAGGCAGACGTGTTTGTAGTCGGAGCATGTTTTGCACACTGTGGCCAACCCGTGAGCAGGCTGTATATCCAAGGGATCTCCACGCAATCCTACCTGGTTGTTCACCGGAACATCGAATCTTGCGCCGACGGCATGTTAGACAACTTGAGGGATGTTAGCACCCGTATCTCCCGTCCATGATAGGGCAACGTACGCGGCGTTGACTCGGCGGCGTTTGGTTTGCGGTTGGCCGTCGGTTGCGACAAAGCGGATCTGTCTCGGAGGAGGAGGGGGAACAATGCCGCCGTCCTTCTTCTTGGAAGAAGGGGCGCTCATCGCGAGCAAAGGATCATCCGTGATCACGACCCATTGAGGGGCTCTAGGTTACCACAGGTTGGCAGGGCAGATGAAGCGATAGGGGAGGTCGTGGGAGAAGCGCAGGGAGTCGGGAAGGGCGATCATGGAGAAGGGATGCGGGCAAAAATGCTCGGCAGGGAGGGATGTTGACGGGGAGGGGAGGGGAGGAGAGAAAGAGAGAGTCACAAAGAGGGGACCGAGTGCAAGTACGTAGTTAGTTACCTAAGTTAGTGGTCAATAACTAGCCTAATCACGAGAGTTGTCCCGGCGGGTTGGGCCTGGCCTGACCGCCCATGTTTGTTGGTTGACCATTCCACCTATGATTTCTGTCGGTCATGGGACTGTTGCCCTGGTGGGTCAGGCTCCAGTCTCACTTCAGCCTCGATGGACCATCCATACGACTGTGGCATCCCTTCTGGCAACCTTCAGGACGGCTGGATTGTTCCTGCAGACCAAGTGCCGGGGAATCGGGAGGTTGGCCCTCGAGATCACCACATCGCCTACCTTCTCCGCAAAAGTGTCCAGACTCCGGGGCTGCTCCGTCACCAACATGGGGCCGGTGGGTTGGCCACAAACTTCCCGCCATTGACAGTCCACACGGACCAGCCGGTCAATTCTGGTGTCTCCACGTCTTTGCGCGACAGAGAACAATTCTAGAAGGCACCCCAGCGTACGGGCAATATACATCATGATGGACGAGAGGGCACGGACTCCGATGGATCGGGATGCTGGCATGTTGGCAGACCCTAGGACCCGTTTTCCTGAACCTTGTTGACTTGCGGAGAAATAACCTTGCTCTCCTCCTGTCTCGTCGGGTATATCGCTTGGAGAGTCGTGGGTGTTGTGAGTGTTCGGCCCGGGCGTCGGCAGTCCACCACTATCCCCACGCACGTCTGACGAGGGTACTCCGCTAGGCCGTGGCAACAATTCCCACTATGCGCCGTGGCAATACATTCGCTCGGTGTGCCCGGGAGTTTGGGAGGAATTGCGATAAGAGCTTCTGCAACTACCTCCATGCATTATTACCCCCTCGCCGAACTCACCATCCGCAATTTTTGGAAGCACCCGCTGTAAGTACTCTACACACCGCCAGGCAATCCTTTCGATTTATCACCCCGTTTTATTTCAACGCCGCTCCACAGGCATGAACGCCCTGTTTCGAGCCCTGGGGCAACAAAAGCTGACATGGTGTTGGTTCAGTCGCCTCAGCCTCCCCCATCCCTCTGGTTTTCTCTTCACAGCCAAGCGATCCCTGAGCCAGACCCCCGCCATGTTCAAAGTCGGTCCCGATTTCGCGAAGACCCAAGCCGCCCGGCCGGATTTCCGCCGCGATGCCGAAGTCACCTTCTCCAAGCCCCCGAACCCGGAGTGGACGAATGGGGACGGTGCCAACGATGGCGGTGAGAGTCTGAAGAAGGAACATGTCGAGATCGACCCACACGCCGAGGGTCGCCCCGTGGCATCCAACTACAAGCTTTTGATTTCGGGCATGGTGCCCCGGCCAATCGCCCTGATTAGCACCAAGTCCATGGATGGACAGACAACGAACCTCGCGCCATTTAGCTATGCACAGGTCATCAATCATGACCCTCCGCTGTTCGTTGTTGGATTCGTGGGATCTCTGGAGAAAGCCAAGGATACGTTGAAGAACCTCAATGAGACCAAGGAGTGCGTGATCAACATCATCTCGGAGCATTTCGTCGAGGCGGCCAATGCAACCGCCATCAACGCACCCTACGGCCACTCCGAGTGGGAGGTCTCTGGTCTGCACCAAGCACCCACGTCCGTGGTGAAGCCGGCCCGTGTGAAGGAGTCGATCCTTGCGATCGAGGGCACGCTTGTTGAGACCAAAGAGTTTGAAAGCCGGACTACTCCCGGGAAGAAGACGGGCGTTCTGGCTATCATTGAGGGTGTTCGATTCTGGGTGAGGGAGGACGCCATCGACGAGGAGCACAGCGTTGTCGATCTCAAGGTGCTCAAGCCGATTAGTCGGTTGGGTGGAATCTCCTACGGCCGGACTACCGATGCGATTGAGATACCCAGACCTCAATTTTAGTCGGGCAATGTACATTTGATAAAGCTGGAATGAGACATGAGCATTACATAGGGCATAGACATACACGAGATATTTTTGTACGTGATATCCACAATTTGTCAGATTGGAGTTGCTATTACCAATATTGAAATAAGCATATTTGAGTTAAATAGATAGCCTAAGTGATGCATTGGTAATTTTCTTGATTGGTAATTCCTGTTTATCAAGTTGGTGATAGAGATGGTCTAGGCCAAAAACTGTGGATCTTGACAAGAAATCGTTAACAAAGCCGGCGAGAAGTAAAAGGAATAGAGTTAAGATGCAGAACCTATAATCTAGGTGAGGTAAAACTGTCGCCTCGGGAAGTGGTCGGTTCTCCCGAAGCACAGGGTTAGTCGCCCGCCGCCCTGAGCTGCTCAGGGAGCAGCTCCCTGAGCAGCCTGACTAATGACCCTAAGGCTTCGTACCTTGAGTTACAAGCTTCGTGGAATCACCAGTCTTTGATATGCACCAAACATAACCGGTAGGTAACATTGCTAGGCTGGGGTCTCCTGAAGATTCGGCTAATAGTTGGAGCACTCATAACTAATGATCTCTAAATGTAAGAATCTTTTAATTAGCCCAATGCAATTGGTCTCCTTTACTCCATACATGACTTGATGATCCCTGTAAGTTAGCCTGGGGCACAGTGTTGGGACTGATAGGTGCTGCTAACTACCGACTTGGGATAATTGTTGGTTCTTCTAAGAACAGGTAATTTAGCATCTGGTTTATACAGTTGTGGCCACCTACTCGAGGATTTTAGATAATCTCCTCTTACTGAATGTTTGGGTTTGCGTGAAACTTGACCAATTTTCTTTATCTACTAGATCCACTATTCATGTATATTATTCTATTTCGTCCCTCTGTCTCTATATCTTCTCTTCCTTCTTCTCTAGTTCCCTGGAGGGAGGAGGGGTTCATTGGAATACACTCTTCTCTTCGCGAGATTCCTCGTTGTGAATTGGAGTCTGAGATCTTATGAAAGTGGTCAACGGGATAAAATTGGCGTTAATGAGCTACTATGGCCTCTAGCATGCACTTTTTTGTCAATCTGATCAAGTAGAATCGCTCCAACCAAATAACAGACCTTTCCTCTCATAGCCTATAAGGCTTGTCTCCTTTCTTTCTCTGATTGTAGCGAGCATCACACAGCAGCACTACCATCGAACTAGCTCCTGCACCTTGACCGGCATTCCAGACTTCATTGAATGATTGGCACCAACACCTACCAAAACGGCGTTGCCTCCGTCCCGGATGTAAGCGGCACGGTGGAACTGGTCCTCCTTATCGCCAACAAGAACATCCCGCAGCAAGACTGGGTCACCACCTCCATGACCACCTTCTCCTTTCACGATTGGCACCTCGTAGGGATCTTCAAACAAGGGGTGTACTGTGATGGTAGTCCTTTCAACGCCGCCCTGAATATATTTGGACGAGGTGGACCGGGGAACATCATCGCCCCCAGGAGAGTAGCCACCTTCAACGACGTTGATCTCGAGTCGGCCTTTGCTCCCGTTGAAGACACAGCGATAGCCCTCCCACGGCGCATACGCGTACGTGTTGTACGTCAAGACGGCTCGATTCTTGTATGTGATCACCATGGAGAGGTTATCTTCGATGGTGATTCCCTCGCCAAAACAGTTTCGGTCGCGGATGTAGCCGTCTTCATGCTCGGCTTCTAAGTAGAGCTTCTTCAGCCGGTCACTCTTGCTAATATCAAAGGCAAAGGGATCGTGCTTTGCGGCCTCGTTGTTGAGATATCTTTCTCCAAGATTCTTCTCTCCACGTCGCTGAGCGTTCTCTTTTCCGTAGAATCGAAGATCTCCGACGCAATAGACCGTTTCCGGCTCAGTGTTCAGCCAGAAGTGAACCAAGTCAAAGTGATGGATTGACTTGTGCATTTGAATGCCTCCACTGTTCTCCTTCTCTCGGTGCCAGCGGCGCATAAAGTCTGATCCATGCGCGCAATCGAGGATCCAGTCCATATGCACAGTTGAGACCTCCCCGATGACGCCAGAATCAATCAGCTCACGGACCTTGGTGTGGTGAGGCGCATAGCGATAGTTGAAAAGAACGCGGATCCGCTTCCCTGTCCGTTTCTCGGCATCGATCATGAGCTGCAGCTTCTGCTCATCGATGGTCAGTGGCTTCTCAGTGATAGCATCACAGCCTAGTTCCATTGCACGGATACAATAGACATGGTGAAAACGGTCGATCGTGGTGACAATGACAACATCTGGTTTCTGGTCTGCAACCATACTGTCGAAGTTGTCGGCCTTGTATGTAGGCACGCGAGTTGAGCCAAGCTCAACAATATTGTCATTGACAGCATCCATACGAGTCTGATTCGTGTCGCAAATTCCAACGAGCTTAGCATTGTCTTTGAAATCTTGAATGATGCTTTTATAGTAGAAGGCTGATCGGACACCCGTGCCTACGATGGCATAGCGTGTAAGTTCGGGAATAGTCATGGCTAAAACTGGAAAGGCAGGGTCTTAGAGTAGACAGTAGCAAGACTTGAGTGCAGACAAAGGATGAATGGTTGTACCATGGTGCCTGAATCGAGACCGTTTATGTATCTGCTCTCAGACGAACTTGCAATAATCAAGTCCCCATAAATTGAGAGGGAAGACCGTGGGGGGGGGGAACTAACCCGACCCTAACTAGGTTAGCCACTTGCTTACCGCACCCCTTGAAATCCGAGAGCTACCTAGTGAAGGAAGCCGAGAGCCACAGATGGGTAAAATTCCGCGCGGTTTGCTTGTATGTTTGATGGAGTCCAAAGTTTGTGAGACAAGCAAGGGCGGGGAAGACCTCCCCAATCGATGTCGGAAGTAGATGCGGAGGCCTCCCGACATTAGAGTTGGTGGCACGGACCCTAATGCAGAATTTCCAGATCCAGGTCGGCACGAGGCCGCTAACATGGATATTCGCCCGTAGACCGCAACGGGAAGTTCACGAGTGGGTGACCGAAGCTGTATATTGTTGGCAAGATGATCATGCCGACAGCCACACTGAATTTGATCACACGACATCTGCGGAGGTGGTAGCAGTCGGATCTCTGCAGATAAATGGATTATTAGCTAGTGCGACACGAATATCTGTATTTATTGGTTCAAATTCATGGGAAAATCGAACGCAGGATGGTAAAGGAATACATCTGATACTATCCTTTTAAGTCGCATAGAATAAATGAGTCTTGCACAAGAGATAATCATATTGCTCGAATAGCATCGTTCGCTTCTTGACCAAAAAGTAGCATGACCGGCCACATCTGACAATAAAAACATAATTTCCTAACGAGTATATTCGTTGTTCCCGTAGCTATTCACATGGCGACCTTGTTACTCTGATTATCTCACCGTCTCGATGAATTACGGCTTTGGAAAACTCCTTTGCCGAAAGATGTTCTTGTGCGAACAAAATATCCAGTTCCTCATACGTCCTACTTCCAGTTTCAGGAAGTCGGAAATAAGCCCACGTCAACGAAAGCACAGTAAGACCACCGGTAAGAAGACCAGTTTTACCTCTCCAGTTGGCCCACTGCGGATTGAGAATATACGGAGCGACGACGGAGTTGATGATATTCAAGATGAGGTAAACACCGCGGGCAAGAGTGATCGTCTTTGCGCGTAATCTGGTGGAAGACACTTCCCCATTGATAATGTATGGCAACGGCCCGATTGACAGGCACCAGACGCCAAACCAGACCAAGTAGATGGCGGACGTAGCAAATCCGAAGGCAGAATTTCCAGGACCAATGGCGAGAAAGCCAATAAGAAGCATGAGTAACGAGAGGATGACACAGCCACCCAAGAAAAGGGGTCTTCGACCATAATTGCCACTCAGCGCAGAAGAGCTGAAATTGCAAACGAGATGGATTGCCCCGATTCCGAGGGTCATTTTGAAGGAATCATCCGAGCTCAAACCTGCTTGCTGGAAAAAGTAGGTTGCGTAGCCCTGAATTACAAACCCGGTGAGAATTTGGATGCCCCATGTTGCACAGGCAATCTCAGTTCGCCGCAAGTTGGTTCCCTTAAAGCAGGCAAGATACGATGAGTCTTTTGTCATATCCTGCTCAAGTCGGTTGGTTTCAATCATGAGCGCTACGGCTTGTTTTGCATTCCCCTGTGCCATCTCTTGACTTTGGGCCGAAGTCAGCCTCATAAAGGAGTGCTCGGCCTTGTCGTAGCGACCCTTTCGGACAAGCCACCATGGAGATTCAGGGCAATAAAGAGCGAGTGGGAAAATTATTACCGGCCAGACCCACTGGATGGCAAAAGGAATGCGGTATGCCCAGTCGCTCTGAGAGTGGTTGAGACTAAAGAGAACGGCATAGGAGAAAAACTGCCCGATTCCCCAGCACACCACTACCCAGGTTTCAAGATAACTGCGCAAGACAAGAGGGGCCACCTCCGAGGCAAAAGCAGGGGCCATGGTCGAAAACATACCCCACGGAATGCCAGCCAAGAGCTCACCAACAAAGAGAACTCGAACATCTGGGGCAAAAACCTGAATGAAAATGAATCCAGTGAGGACGAGTAAGGCGCCGTGAAGGACTTTCTTGTGTCCAAACCGATCCGTGAGGTATCCATTCAGAATGACACCTATGATATTACCCAGGGGATTGGACATTCCAAGAGCCACTTGCCACTGAGCGTCCAGTGTGTATTTCCCGGAGTCGTTGATCTCATGTCCGTATTTCTTCTGGAATGCTGGAAAGCCAAAGAGGGTGCCAATCAACGCAGTATCGTATCCGTCCATGATGATGCACAGGCTAACAACTGCGGACCAAAAGGCAGCTTTGGGGTACCGCCTTACGGCTTGTAGGAATGTTGTATTGTGCTCATCCTCAGTAGCTAAAGTAGCATACTCTTTGAGCCTTCCCCAGTCTTTGACAACGTCTTTATTGATAAAATCATCCTCTCGTGTGCCGTCTTCCACATGTTGTGACGTAACTTTATTGTCGTTGGAAATTCTGGCGGCCATTTTATGTCCTGATATCTCGATTCGTAGTCTTGCTCTAGAAAGAGCCACAGAAGAGCGTTTATCAGTGCCAGCTGTGGCTGCTGAAGTGAATTAACAGGGCAGAGAATAACTTGAGGAAAGAAAAAAGTGGACCTAGATAGTAGAAACACTCACTCGGTCTAGGGGCGAGAGAATTGAACTCTTTATCAAAAAATTGTGCCTTCCATATGTAGAAATTTTGGCACAATCTAACCAAAATCTGGTCGGGAACTGAAATGAAACTATCTAGATCCTTCGTCTTCGCTTATCTTAGCTTACCCCGGATTTTCATAGTGCAGTGCAGGCACCTATTTCGGAAATTGCTAGTTATATCTACAATACCAAACCGTAACTTAGAGAGGATGGCTCATGACGGAAGCGAGAATTCTTTTATACACTAGTACCGAATGCATCCAATGATTCCAATTTGGAGGTCACTAGTTATGACGCTGTCTAAATTAGACCTCGCCACAGCCCAGCAAGGTGTAATTCACTGGTAAGTACACTGTAATAAAGGTATATTTTATAAATTTCTATGAGAATATTGTACATCATATTGTATTTGGGCGCTTGGTGGGCTTTTCTGAACGGCTCAGCCCGCCCCTTGGCGAGGTCTGATCTAAATCACCCCTACTTTTGTGGATTCTTGGCAGTTCGGTTATTAAATCAGCTCGACTAGGGACTACGGGTGGAGAAGAGCAGGATCCTGGCGTATTGCACGGTCGAAAGCTCCCATGGAATGTTTTGTGAGATCGGTGGAACCCTAGCACACCGAGACACGTACAGTGGTGTTCCAGAAGTCTGAAACCCTCTACCTACCACTTAAAGCAGGTAACGAGTTTCAGACTTGAACACCACTCTATTCAGAAGACTAAGGAGCTACGTATCCCTATCTGTACTCGGTAACCTAGGAACTACAGTAGGTCTAAGCTATAAATACAGGTGTATCCTTTCTGTTCGATAAATAGCCTTGTCCTAGCGGTAATCTCTACGGCTGTTTCTGCTTGGGCTGATACTGTACAGACTATTGCGTTTCCCCACAACCAACGCGCCGACAGCGTCCAATCACGGAATCCTCACTATGACATTGCTTGCCTTGTTAAGATTACCCCGCACAATCGACTCAGACTCTGACGGTGCCTTAGCACGGGCACTCCCAATTTGGGGCGGGGCTCAGGTACCCCCCACACAATGAAATCCTATTTTGGGGCGGGAGAAAACCACGAAACCTGCCCGCTGTGAGCATTTCCACTTTCAAAGGTCGGCTCCTTCACGAATCTTTCTAAAAGGCGAGACCAATGGAATTTGTGTGGAAGTCCTCTGGAGCACAAAGCAGGAGACGGACTGCCCAAGATAAGCATTCCTGAAGCACCTCAGTTTCTGAAGCTGAGACTGGGCTGACTTGATCGATCTGTACCCTGTCATAGCTGTCGTGCACGCAAGAAGAGATGCTACCATCTTGATAAGGTTGATCAGATTGAAAAGTTTGACAAGGCCGGGGAGAATGGCAGAACGGAAGCTGTGGAAAGGGCACACGGGGAGGCTCGCTCTGAAGCGAATACCCGAGAGTCCAGCCTCGATCCAAGTCGAGTAACCATATATAACCCCGAGTCCGTTTTGAACGATCTTTCCGAATCTCCCGAGTCAGCTTCAGGAGTTGAAAAGGGGCCGCCCGGTCCAACACGTTCACACCGCGGGCATATCCAATCCCAAGAGGCAATGAAACTTTCATCACTGGCGGAAAACCCACAGCGAAAATTGCATTGGTACAAGAGGCAAAGAAGATCTGCTCCACCAAAGCTCTCTGACCACCATCGAAAATATCTCGAAGATGCTGGGGCCTTTTTTGAACTACCACGGGCAACCACAGATGCTCTCTTGCCAATGTATATATCTGTCCTGGATGATCTCATACCAATCATGGACGGCGCGCGTGTCTTCCGCGATTATAGCAACGGGCAGTCTTCCCCATACCTAGTGAAGGCAATATGTCTTGTAGCCTGCAAAATGACGCAGGCGGCCCCTTTCCTGCGAATGAACGCTGACGGTCCGCTCATGGAGCCTTTGGAGTTTGCATCTAGGCTGTTGGCCGGCCTCAATGCGGCTGTCAAAGCAGGTCTTGAAACCGATAGGATCATCAAGATCCAGGTTCTTGCGCTGATGCATCTACACACGGATGGGTTGGCTGGGATGGACCGTGCATCAAGTTACTTGTCACAGGCTATTTGTGAAGCGTGGTCATTATCTCTACATGTGCAAATTCCAGGGAGCCTGGACCAAGATCAGAGCGACCTTTTGTGGTGGTCTCTGCGAAACTTCGACCGAGTAAACAAACCTATTACGGGAGCCGCACCTTTCCTCATTGACGACACTGACATTGGAATTGAGCGTACCGGCTTGATGAAAGAGAGCTACCGTTCCCAGATCATGGAGGTGTCCCTGCGTCTGGGTGATCTCATGGTTACTGCAACCAAGGTTTATAAAGCAAGCTGTAAAGCTGCTGTCGATCAGTGTCAGGAATTTCTATCCCTCCCCGAGCTTACGTCGGGCACCGACTATGACCATTTCCACAGATCTCACAAAGGTACCGCTCCCCTCTCCTCTGTTCAAAATTAATCTCGCGATTGAGACTAAGGGCAATAGAGTACCTGGAGATTTGGTATCATGTGGCTGCCATGCTATCCTGTCGATATAGCGGGCCGGGCAGCGTTCAATACAATCGACGCCTCGCCTCAGCTGATCGTATCGTCGATTTAACCTCCTGTAATAAGGGCCAAAATCTCCCTCCACTCCCTCTCGTACCATACGCAATGTCAATGGCCCTTACAGTTATATACCGTGCCCTGCGTGACAACCAACTTGATACTAAGACCGCATATGACAACCTCCTCGTGTGCTGCAATGCATTGGAGGCTATGAACAAACTGTGGACGAGCACGAAGAGGGTGGTTCAACTTGCAAAGCGGTTATTGAAGCTTATAAACAAGCCTGGGGTCATGAATTCAAGGCATTCGGATAATATCAACGATCACCTTCGCCGAGGAAGTGAAACAGGGCCCTCCACAGTTACCGCTCCAGATAATTCCTCGACAATCAGACATCGAGCACATAATGGATGTTCTAATGCTGAGGAAATAGCAACAATTCCACCTGGTGCTTGTCAGCCTCATAAAGCAGTGCATAACGGACATGCGACACATAGTGACGAACGTACACAGCAGACGAACACAACGTGGCTAGGGTCCGAAACGTCCCACTTCCAGCTCGACAAGGCGATCTTCGACTTGTTTGACGACAGCTTGCCAATCGCATTCCAAGATCCTGCCACATTGGATTATATCCACTTCTCAATGAACGAGAATAGCTACTCCAGCAACAATTTCCAGTTCTGCTCTAATTTTGGCTCTCCGGACCTAGAATATGGCGACGACAGCTTTCACGCAGACATTGACCCGAACTTGCGAATGGAATTTGCGCAGAATGGATAGCCATTTGGGTACATAGGACAGTTTACGGGTGCGTCGGAACCGCACAAGTGTATTGTATATTTCTAAAATGGAGCATCCAGGAGCACGGATGGGAGTGGACGTTAAGATAAGAAGAAACCAGAATTAATCGCTTTAGAACAGCGATGACAATAATTGATTCTAGTCCACCCAACCTTTGCTTGTGGCTCTGCGCCCTTGTCCAGAAGGAGCTGAACCAGATACTTCAATTGGTGAGATTATTTTTTGGATGCTCTGCTCCTGGGCTTGTCCCGTATGTTCTGACACAAGACTGTTTGCGTGATTAGTCGGCGACCTGATAAGACCTAATAAGGTACATCGAAAGCCGTTCATAGTTATAGAATGTGTGTGTGTAATTCATTCACCCTGACCACTCACCGAAGCGATATGCAGGCTGCCACAACTATACGTATCCTTGTACGTACCCAAGAGCAATGTATTTCAATCCATATGGTCCTTCATACTGGCTGTCTGTCGGGATCTTATATTGCTTGGATAGGCAACACAGTGACAGCTTGGATGCCATCGAAGATACATCAGGCTAAATTCCTCGATTTGACAACATTATATTCAGGAGAAGAGCTTCATCAATTGCTAAGCAATCAGATAACTAACTGGTTAACTAACTAACGTTAGTCAGTTAGACCCACAACTTACAAAGCCATCGAAACTCCTAACCAACTATTACCAAGCACATCGGAAATACCATAAGCAACATGCTACGATTCTATGACAAACTGATTGCGACCGTACCCGACGTAAGCCGTCTATCGTGCGGAGAATCGGGCGGGGTCATTGTTTATCTCCAACGATAAAGCAGGACTATCAGCCATCAGACAAACACGCCCGCATACTATTCTGCCTGAGTTCTATTGAAACTACTGATCATGTCGCAACCAGATTACGAGACTTACAAACTTGGTGACTGGACACTCCAGAGCGGAGAGAAGATCCCCGATGCGCATATCGCGTACAAGACCTTTGGTGATCCCACATCGCCGGCGATCGTCTATCCGACGTGGTTTTCTGGATGTAAGCTTTTCTTTTCTTTCTTTTACTTCCTATTTATTAGAGTCCTAAAAAACCCTAAACTAACTTTGCTATAGTGATATCCGACAATTTCTGGCTAATCGGCAACGACAAAACCCTCAACCCTCAAAACTTCTACATAATCATCCCCGCTCTCTTCGGAAACAGCCAGTCCTCGTCGCCATCGAACCAGGCTGGCCCAGGCCCATTCCCCCGGTGCTCTGTATACGATAACGTGCGCGCCCAGCACAAACTCGTCACCAAGCACCTGGGCATCTCGCACTTATTCGCCGTCGTCGGCTGGTCCATGGGTGCGGGACAGAGCTACCAGTGGGCAACGCAGTATCCGGACTTCATGGATTTCGTTGTTCCGTTCTGTGGCTCTGCGAAGACGTCGCTGCATAACCAGGTCTTTTTGGAAGGGGTTAAGAGTGCCCTGTTTGCGGCTAAGAAGATTCGTTCCGCTGGATCTGGGGGTTTGGGTGTTAGGGATCGTTCGGCGGCGGTGCATACGTGGTCGGAGGAGGAGAGGGAGATTGGACTGAAGGCCTTGGGAAGGGTTTATGCTGGATGGTATGTAATGTCCGCGCTTGGGGTTTCATGCTTGCTGACTGGCAGTAACTGACATCTTATGAATGAATAGGGGACTCAGCCAGGCATTTTATAGACACAAACTCTATGAAACCGTGCTGGGATACAAAGATCTCGAGGACTTCATGCTGAATTTCTGGGAGAAGTGGGCGTGTTCCAAGGGTACTTACTTACCGATGCATAAAACATACCTATATTATAAAAAAGAAGCTAATATACAATGACAGATCCCGAGAACCTATTGACAATGATTCAGACCTGGCAGAATGCCGACGTGTCGAAGCAGGAACCGTACAACGGAGACTTTGAAAAGGCCCTGGCGTCCATTAAAGCCAAGACGCTCGTCATGCCGGCAAAGACCGACCTGTACTTCCCGTAAGTTCCCTTTGTTCTCTAAGCAATATGATGCTGATTGTGGTGGCGTGGCTCGTAGACCCGAGGACTCGGAGTATGAAGTTGCTTGTATGCAGCCGGGGATTGGCAAGCTGGAGGTTTTTCCTTCTATCTGGGGCCGTGAGTATACCCCTTTTTCGGAAATTAGGTCAAGGATAATGGCTGATTGAAGATCAGACTGGGCTGGAGGTCCTGGAGATAGCAAGGAGGATGTGGAATGGCTGGACGAGAAGATGGCTGATTTCTTTGCGCAGAAGAGCGTGTTGGATAAGCTGGCGGAGAAGATTGAGGAGGTACTGGGTTGATCCTTTATTATTAATGCAGGTAGTACGGAATGTCTTGTATTTCGTCAGTTGAAGTGGTTGCTTCAAATGTTGAGATGAAATCAATTTGCTTGACAATCATATAATCTCATGTAGTTTAGTGGCATTAGATAGCTGCTTTATTCATCAATCATCAACCTATACCTATCTCACGTCTTTTTCAGAATGTTTTCTGATCCAAGTATTTTCGTTAATGTCTTTTTCTGGGATGAAATCAATCAGTTCCACGGCTATCATGTGACCTCCTTAGTCAGCGCCCAGGCTCTGGCCGATTGACTAACCTTTGTAAGTGCGCGGCGCTTGTCTTGCTTTGCCGCGCATCTCCTTCCCTCGCTTTGTCTCCTTCCATTCTTGTCTTCGTCCTGCCCTTGTCCTCATCTGTATTCTTTTGTGTTCTTCTCCGATTCACTCCCGTCACATCCTGGTTCTTGTCGTCGGCGCATCATTTTCACCTCGACTCCTCACTGATATCTAATCCCTATCCTCACCTCGACAGGCGTGCGACATCCATCACCAACGCGACCACAATGGCAGCACCTCCCACACGGCAGTGGGGAGTCACTCCTCCGATCTCAACCGCTCTTCCGACCCAAGATGAGCTTGTCGCGAACGATAATTTGATCGCAGAGCTCAAGGCACAAAACAATTTCGAAGCTCCGTCCGAGACTGAGCGAAGGTGGGTGGTCAATCAACCCAAACAAACGCAGGGGCTGTGTTGCTAATAGTGTCCCTCTAGAAAACAAATGCTGCAGTTGCTGCAACGCGTCGCGGTGGAATTTATCAAAGTGGTCAGTCGCAAGAAGGGACTCTCTCCTGCCGCGGTGGAAGCAGCAGGAGGGAAGATCTTCTCTTTCGGAAGTTACCGACTCGGTGTCTATGGGCCAGGTGAGCTCTCCCTTGGCAGAAGACGATGCTTTGATTGTACTAACCACTGATGGTGCGACAGGATCGGATATTGATACCCTGGTGGTTGGACCAAAGCATGTCCTGATCGACGATTTCTTCGCCGATTTTCCTCCTGTGCTAGAACGAATGGCCCCCGCCGGTGCGATTGAGAAGATGACGCCAGTTCCGGATGCCTTTGTTCCTATCATCAAACTCGAGCTATCGGGGATTAGTATTGATTTGATTTTTGGTCGTTTGCTTGTCCCCTGCGTGCCAATGAACCTGGACCTCAAGAACAATGACTATCTCCGGGGACTGACTGAAGCTGAGGTTCGCTCGCTCAACGGCACTCGTGTCACTGACGAGATTCTGGAGCTCGTTCCTCAGCAAAAGACGTTCCGCCTCGCACTTCGTGCAATCAAGCTCTGGGCTCAGCGTAAGAATACTGCGAACGCTTCATTGGGGTTGTGGCACTAATTCGTTCGCACAGGCCGGGCTATTTACGCGAACATCGTGGGCTTCCCTGGAGGCGTCGCGTGGGCGATGCTGGTGGCCAGAGTTTGCCAGCTATACCCCCAGGCGACTGGGTCTGTCATTGTGGGCAAGTTTTTCCGGATCATGAACAAGTGGGCTTGGCCTCAGCCTGTATTACTGAAGCAGATCGAGGAGGGGCCACTCCAAATCAAAGTGTGGAATCCGCAGGTATAGACATCACCACCTTTCACATCGCTTTGGTTGCCTGAATTGACCGCATCCTTCCAAACAGCTCTACCATCACGATAAATTTCACCTCATGCCGATCATCACCCCTGCGTATCCCTCCATGTGTGCCACCCACAATATCTCGATGTCAACAAAAGCGGTCCTCCTTCGCGAACTTCAGCGTGGAGGTGACCTGGTGGACAAGATCTTCATGAAGCAAAGCTCCTGGAACGATTTGTTTGCACGCCACACATTCTTTACACAGGATTATAAGTACTACCTCAGTATCACCGCTTCTAGCAGGACCAAGGAATCCGAAGGGGTTTGGTCTGGTCTCGTCGAGTCCAAGCTGCGGCATCTTGTCGGAGCTCTGGATCGGAAAGCAACCATTGCGGTGGCACACCCCTTCCCCAAGGGCTTTGAGAGAATACACACCATCTCCAATGAGCAAGAGATGGACGCCGTCAAGAATGGATCGACCAAGTTCCAAGCCACTGGTACGAAGACCGAAATGACTGATGAGACCAAGGACCCAGCCCATGAAGCTGCCGCACAGAATGGAGTGGAAAACGCAGACGTCGCGCAACCCACAGAAAAGAAAGTCGAAGAAGACAGCCAGACCGTGTACACCACCACTTATTACATTGGCCTGGAGTTGAAGCCGCTGGAGCCAGGTGCCTCCCGATCTTTGGATATCTCCACTGATGCACAAATCTTCAAGTCTACATGCACATCTTGGGCTGGATACCAACCCGGTATCAATGAACTAGCCATCAGCCATGTTCGCAGGTATTTTGCGTACGATCCTCTTGGTTGAATTTCCCATCGTCTGACCTTTTGTAGTTTCGACCTACCCGACGATGTCTTCCAACCAGGAGAAACTCGACCACCCCGACCCAAGAAGAAGGTGATCAAGAAGACCGAGGCGGCCGGCCAGAAACGCAGCATCAGCGAGCTAGACGTAAGTTCACAGAAGCGACGAAAATTGAGCCTGCCTCGGCCAAATTTCGATACTGGAACCCACAATTCCACCTCCCGCGAGACAGATTCCAAGGTATCAACAGCTGGGAATGACTAATGCCGAGTTTTCTCTCCCAGAATGCATCCCAAGGAGCCGCCAAGCGCCAGGTCACGTCGAGTGCAATGTCCAGCACCCCAACTCCGGCTTGAATGCCCTCCTGCGTCGTCCGCAACCCATCCATCCCGTCGGGGCTTGTCCCCATCTATATCCTGTTATCCGTGTTCTGTCGCTGATACAGTAACATGACCATCTCCGCCGAGTATCCGGGCCAAAAAAAAAATCTCTAACATCTGACCCCCCGCCAGCATGGCAAGCCGCCGTTCCCCATAGTGAATCTCCCACCTCGCTCAAACAGCACAAGGTCGGTTCCTTTTCTCTTCTACCCTTCTGATCTGTTGCTGGCCTAGCAAGCAAACAGAACCGTGTCTTCCTGCAGTCCAGTCGGACTTCTCACACGCACACACTCGAAGAGTCGGATCTGTTTCTTTATCGTGCTCCGCAGCAGTAGTACTCTCGTTCTCGGTGCCGCAGGTGGTACTTTCGTTGCCACTGAACATATCACGCTTTTGGCGTCTTGCAGGTGCTCTCTGGTGTTTCTTAATCCAGCTAGGTTAGCAGAATCGAAGTGTTAGTCCCGTAGTCGGTAGACTACGCGTAATCCCGTTTTCTTTCACTTCGCGTATGCGATATCGCTTCCATGCTCTGTTATTCCTACAATTGCGGTATATTGAAACCATAACACCGTCCGAAAATGCAGTTGCGGGCAAGTCTTAATCTAGAGATCTTCTGACAACATAAAACCAACGTATATAAATAGAAGTGCCCTGTCAGAGGTCTATCCAGACACGCACAGCCAACTGGGGCAAAATGACAATTATGACAAAGCTGTCTGTTAAGTGCTCTACTTTGTCATGTCTGAGAATACTACATATAGTAGCGCGCGAGATCTGTTAAGGCCACACAACTTAACAGTGACTTCACACCAGATTCATATCTTAAATTTAGGCACTGTGATAAGTATATTAATACCAAACTATCACATTGAAGAATTGCGAGAGTTCGTGGATCTATAACAAGAATCGTTGCGGTAATCTCTTATAACCAGTGGTGGGAATGAGCGACGAATGGGGCGATGTTGTTAAACGCCTCCACTAAACTGATCTGAGACGGGTGTGTTCCAGACGGGCCCTCCCGAGGCCCAGTCGGACCTCGGAGCCACTCAATCTCTGCCTTGAACTAATTATTATTTGTTTGGCGAGGACAGCTCTGCGGTCTCACTGGCTAGAATACTACCGCTAGTCTAAGCCCCCCTGCACGGCGCGGCGGTTCTTCACATCTTAAGTAAGAATAAATGCCAAGGCCCCTTTCGTTCACCCTGAAGGCGGAGAGCGACAGCCACCGCGCACGGTAACCACTTCTTTTCCAACACATACACCCTTCCCCTGACTATATTTCACTTCCTTTTGTTTCGCACACTGTTTGAAACAACGCGCGCCCTCATTATGACAGTCTCCGAATCAGAGCCCCTGATTAGGCACCACAAGCTGCTGCAGTCCTACTACGCCTCATTGGAATCAAGGATTGGCTACCGTTTTATCTTAGGCGGAACTCGACATTTTGGGTACTATGATACTGATACCTGGTGGCCTTTCCCTATTGGAAGTGCTCTCCGGAAGATGGAAGACCGCCTTTTTGAAACGCTGAACCTGCCACCGGGTTCCACTGTCCTCGATGCTGGCTGCGGCTATGGCCACGTTGCAATCCGAATGGCCCAAGGAGGCCTCAAAATTAGGGCTATTGACGTTATAGATCGACATATCGCCCATGCTCGAAGTAACGCCGCTGCGGCGGGGCTTGAAAAAGCCATTACTGTTCAAAAAGCGGATTTTCATCACCTCGATGATTTTCGGTCCGAGTCTTTGGATGGCGTGTACGCAATGGAAACTACAGTACATGCGACAGACGCGAGAAAAGTGCTGAACGAGTATTTTCGAGTACTAAAACCCGGCGGCTCTATTGCCCTATTCGAATATGAGCATTCCGTCCCTCCAAACGCACCAGAGGAGATGGTCAAGATGTTCGGACAAGTCAACAAGTATGCCGCAATGCCCGCAAACATCGAATTCGAGGAAGGAACTTTCCCGGCACTCCTTGAAGAGATTGGTTTCCAAGACATCGAGGTATCCGACTTGTCAGAAAATGTGAAGCCGATGTTGCGCCTCTTCTTCGTCCTTGCGTACATCCCGTATCTGATAATCAGATGTTTCGGACTTGAGGCACGTTTCATCAACTGTGTTGCTGCAATCGTTGCCTATCGGTATTTCAGTTTTCATCGATACGCCGCGGTTCGTGCTTCCAAGCCCACTTCCGGAAACACGCGCCCTGTTGAGCCCAAGAAGGTTCAATAGAGAATTTCTTTCATTCTTCCCTCTTCCATGTGTAGCATGTACGCGAAAATCCTCGTGTTATGGCGAACCATGAGTATCCAAGCATGGAGGATCAACATATGTGACAATTGGTGCCGTTAATGAATTTGACGTTGACGTTGAGCTGTATTGGCTCTGATCTGGTTATATATCATACGAAAATGAACAATATTGAGATAAAGCGGTACAGAATAGACACCAGTAACGAAACAAAACGTATTGATTGAACTAAATGTCGAAAATGGTTCAAAAATGTGGCAATATTCCGGACCAGTTCATAGTTAGATAGGCGCTTGTTGGAAGCGAACGCAGCTGAATAACATCCTCCAGAAATATGAATGCTCGTGCGTGACAATAAATAACTCCGAGCACGTATATCGGCAATATCGCTTTCAAAGGAACAGCGAGTTCTGGATCTCGATCCCACGAATTGTTTCGTATAGATTGCCCTATCATTTCCACCCAGTGCTTAAATCTGTCCCAGAGTGGATGTCCCGTTGCAGGCTCCAGTGCCTGGCTAATTGTCTTGGGGAGTGTTCTCGCGTCACTATACGGGCGTACGTGTTTCGGGTAAAATGAAAAGGAAAAATGTCCAATGGCCCAGAATAAAAACGCGCAAAGTAAGACACCTGTGGACGATACACGCCACAGGATCTTCTCAGCGGTCGTTGGAAAGCTGTAATTCCAGCCGGCCACAAATATGGATGCGTAAATAACAGTCAACAGATAAAAAAGAGCAGAGCCAAAGGTTGAAGGCTTGGAAACTATCGTATTTTGAAATCGATCAACAGGCCGCTTCGGTAATATGACCATAATGCGCAGCTTCCGAAGTATGTTGACCCAGTTAGACCAGTAGAGAGACCATGACCATTCGTTGCGAGACACAAAGTCCAAGGGTGTATAACGATATGGTCTTTTGGCTTGATCTCCCGCATCTCTCAAGATCTCGTCTAGAGTGACACTCGATACAAGTATTTCTGGTGTTTGAACATCGGCGGGCTTTTGGTACCAACAAACCGTAGTTGAAACACTGCAGACAATAAATGCAGCCGTGGTGAGCTCGCCAGTGCAGATTTCGAGGTTTTGTGAGGCACGTCCGCAGACGTTGATGATAAACCACAGTGTTTGGAACAATGTGAGGAGCCGCAGCATACTGTCGACCTTATTCTTATCCGCAATTCTTTTCTTGTCAAGCACGGGAGCGTCCACGTATCCGTTCGTTATGAGATAGTGAAGTTGTTTTGCGTTAATTGGAAAAGCGACAAAGTCGTCAGTTTTCAAGTGAAATCCGCCCATGTCGGCATAGAATGCATGTGTCATTGTCCATCCTTTAATTCCTAGGGTATTGAAATCCTTCACGGATTGATGTGCAGATTCCCATTGAGAAAGAGCAATTTGAAAAATAAACTCAGGTCCCAAGAGAGCCAAGGCAGTCAGGTAGATTTTTCGTCGGAAAATTTTGCCTTGTGAGTCGGTTTGGGCTGGCACATTCAGACAGAGGCTCGACCACGAACAGAGGAACATGGTGAAGCAGCAGTCCCAAATAATGTCAAACGTTCCCCTTGTATTTGGGCCGCTTTGCCATCCTTCCTGTTTTTCGTTGCGTGATTCAGTATTATTCGTCGAGAGTATATGAACGAAGGTTCCGTTGCTAGCTGTCGCCCTGACATTGGTAGGTAGCGAAAGAGCGTGGTGAATGAGTGGCAGAGTTAAAATTACCAGTATGGAAGCACTCAGGCCCATTGTAGATTTAATTTTATAATGAGGAGAAATGCGGTAAGCAAATGCTGAGTATGTGCTCTCTAGCGTCCATTGCGAGCGTATTTATCCCAGCACTGCACGCGCATCGTTCACTAGGGTTTCTCAGCGCTAACATCCCGTGTAGACTCATGCACATCTATATCTGTAAATAGTTTAGTCGGAAAAACTAGCCCGCAATGATGTTGGCTATGCCAAAAGTACTGGCGTGGAAACTCGCATCTCAGCGCAACACGGTTGCATTAGGCTAGGCATGAGAGAATCAGCCATCCGCGGCGAATACCGTGTTTTACGAATCTTGGACTGCCCTTGACCCGCTTTTATAACCTTTATAAAAGCCATAGAGGAACATCATTCTCTTCTAGAAATGTAGTACGTCGTAGAGATCATCCATGAACCAATATTGAAACCAGATATACACCTTCCTTATCAGAGCCTGAGGCTTCCGATCCGACTCTAGAATTAGAAGGCTTTGAAGTTTCGTGACTCTATATCGAGTTTATGTAATTTTGTACGTAGACTCGTAAAGTCGCGAGGCCTGGGGAAGTTGCACCCGTAAAAATAGCCCCGAAAATAATTGGATAGGGCAAAAGTGATGGGGGAAAAAAATATATTAATATGCAGTAAGCGTACTTCCAGACTATTTTAGACAGCAGCACGTTCTCTGAGTATTGATCGGGGGCATTTATCCTTGTCGCATGTACACGCGCGCCTCGCGCTGGGCCAATCAGGTAATGTGCAAAGAGTCCAACCGCTCGCCCCCATTGTGAGAAGCTACTGCATCAATCCCTACCCGAAATCTCGCTTGATAGAATGTACCAATCAATGAACCCTGCCTGCCGCACTGACGGGGCTACGTGTCTAACTAGATGTGAGGCTTTGCCCACACTGTACATATCACCCGATCGATCGTCGACGGCCCGTTCCCTCGATCTCGCTTGTTGTAGCATTAACTCAAAGTGTAGGAAACAAACAGTTATTTATTTGTCGCCATAAAATGTGAAGTGATAATAGCAGCTGGTTACCTGCACTCTAAATGGGCTAGTAGGTGCAAAGCTGGTTGGGCAGTCGGACGAATCCTCCCATGTTGCCCAGAAAGAATAATAGGGGGACTATGTTTATCTCCCGAGCAGGCGGGGCCTGCGCCGCATACGCTTATGCCTATTAATTGATCCGCACTTTAGGTTCTATTCTCAGTAAGGCAGCCAATAGCGATGGAACCTGATTCATACACGGGACGTGATGAGGCTAGTTACCGGGTGAATTGAGCAGATCAAAGAGAAGGAAATATGACTACACCAGGTAGAAGTATTTACTAGCTAAAGCTCATAGTTCATTCCTGTTTGGCAGTATAATATGGTGCTCCAAGACGAGTGTATATCTTAAACTCTCGAGGCTTCACAAACATGGGCTCTGTGGCAGCCAAGTAGTCCTTGTAGTAATCCTTGGCCATCTGGGTCTGTATATCGAAATCAGTATACCTGCCTACATCATAAGGTAAATACAACAAACACTCATGAACCACTCGGTAGACGCGACCCTTTAAAAGCTGTTAGATTATTTTGTTTCTCTTTAAGATGTCAGAGCTAATCATCATACCAGTCTTCAACCCAGTGCAGTGTCCCCGGATCCTCGGGAGACTGGTACACCTCGAAGAAGCGACATTCCGGCTCGGCAACTACGGCGTCATAGACCGGCTTGAAATGCTCAAAGAACTTGTTAACGTTCTGAGGATCGATATATATGGTGAGGTGGAGACTGAATCCTGGTTCTGACCCCATATTGAAGAATTACGATCGTAGTCTTCGAGGAGATGGGGCAAGTAGATCTGGGACTGAATTCCGGGGGTCTCATCGCCTTAAGTACTGATAGTCTATATCCGTTGGACGCCTAAGTCCGGGAAAAAACACAGCGAAACAGGATTCCACAGCCTTATTGGGCGCATCTCACAGTCAGCAGAACAAATCTTGGCTGCCCTAGTTAGATTTTGTACCGGCATTCGGGTTCTTCCACGGTGGGAAGATAGCCAGCTCGGATGCAAGGATTGTGATGGTTAACTGAATGGAGTCGTGAAATGCTGCGATGGCGACATCGTGAACCTCTGCCAAACGCACGTAGCTGGCTTCGGATCGATGAAGACCTAGCTCGTGGTAAACAAGCAGTAATAGGGGGAATCAATGGCAAACAACACCAAAAAGCCTTAGGAAAAGTCTACTGAATACTACAGTTGTTTGGTCGAAAACGAAGCTCTCATTGCGAAGTACTTGACTTATACACCTCCATCTATACTACTGTAGATAAGTGCCTCGCATAACCCGGATCCCGCCGACGGGGCGCTATGATTTGTGGAAATGCAGACCCACTTTACCATTCTTGCTCCATCGCCGTTCTTGTCCATCGTGACGTATTCATAGGTTATGTTGTTGTAAAAAAGAAAAACAAAGTTGTCGGAATGGGTGGTTCATGCAATGATATGCTTCACATAGGTTTGTGGTACTTCTGAAACTCGAGCGCGCCGAGTTCAGGGTTTTCATGATCCCGAGTCCTGTACTTGACACGGTGTTCATAATCCAAACACGGTCTGGATCTTCTCAAAACCGGCCAGATGTAGCGCAGCGGACTAGAAACAATAATTGTCTACAGAGAACAATGGTAGATGAAGCGTCGCATAATGCGACTTGCAATAGCTATCATGGTTGACCGGGCAGCCGGAGTTAGCGTGGCAATGGGCAGCCGAGCCACTTCCGTAATTACTGGCCCGCGAAAAGTTTTCGGAGCCCCGTCATCCCTTTCAAACTCTTCCCTCCTTCCTCATCCCAACCCATCTTCTTCCCACCACTTTTCATCCCCCCTCCACAATGGCCTCCATCGACCAGAAGCCTCTTTCGGGACTGGCTTTATACTCCCGGTTCGCCTTTGCAGGAGCGGTGTGTTGCAGTGTCACACATGGAGCTGTCACTCCTCTTGATGTGTAAGTCGAAATGGTCCAATATGAGGCGTGCGATGGCTGTGGCTGACGGCGCATATTTTCCAGCGTCAAGACCCGTATCCAGCTGGACCCGGCCACCTACAACCGTGGCATGATCGGTGGCTTCAAGCAGGTCATCCAGAACGAGGGTGCTGGCGCTCTCCTGACTGGTTTCGGTCCTACCGCTGCCGGTTACTTCCTCCAGGGTGCCTTCAAGTTCGGTGGCTACGAATTCTTCAAGCAGCAGTCCATCAACTACCTGGGCTACGAGACCGCTGCCAACAACCGCACTGTCGTCTACCTCGCCTCCTCTGCCTGCGCCGAGTTCATGGCTGATATCGCGCTCTGCCCTCTCGAGGCCACCCGTATCCGTCTGGTGTCTCAGCCCACCTTCGCCAGCGGTCTTCTGAGCGGCTTCAGCAAGATCGCGTCCCAGGAGGGCATTGGTGCTTTCTACTCTGGATTCGGTCCCATTCTGTTCAAGCAGTAAGTGTGCCTAAGTTGTGGTATAATGATATGCGTTGGCTAACCATAAAAACCCTAGGGTCCCCTACACCATGGCCAAGTTCGTCGTCTTCGAGAAGGTCTCCGAGATGATCTACGGCCAGGTTGACAAGAACAACCTCTCTGATGGTCAGAAGACCGGTATCAACCTGGGCTCTGGTCTCGTCGCCGGTCTCGCTGCCGCCATTGTGTCGCAGCCTGCCGACACCATGCTCTCCAAGATCAACAAGACCCAGGGTCTCCCCGGTGAGGGCACCATCTCCCGCCTGGTCAAGATCGGCAAGGAGCTTGGCCTCCGTGGCTCGTACTCCGGCATTGGCGCCCGTCTCTTCATGGTTGGCTCCCTTACTGCCGGTCAATTCGCCATCTACGGTGACATCAAGCGTGTTCTTGGTGCTACCGGCGGTGTTGAGATTGGCAAATAGATGAACTCGAGTGTTTTTGGCACTGGAGGATAATAGAGACCACCCCTAGATTTCGTTTGTTCCTGCCCCCGACTTGTCCATCCCCCCAATACGATGTACAATACTTTTGTCTCTTTTATTCAAGGAAGCTCGTTTGGTTCTATCTCAAAAATCACCCGTGTTATCTTTATCTGTTCTATTTCCGCTCTCCCTTCATGGTGATATCTCGCAGAGAAAACCCGTCAACCCCAAGGCCATCCTCTGCTTCCACGACAAACGAATGATAGCCCGTGTAATAAGCATAGCCCTCGACCTTGACGCGCACACTTAACCCAGCTTCAGCATCAACAGATCCAACAAACCCAGCAAGACCCTGATAGGCGCGTGTAACCAACGAATTATAGATCCTTTTCTCACCCACAGGCAAAAGTCCCTTAGCATGTGCTAGGGCAACACGGGCAGCGACACAGCCACCGGTAGGAGACCGATCGATCTGCTGATTAGCAAAGAAGCAAAGGCCCGTCTCTTCACTATCGGCAAGCTTCTGTGCGCGCGACGCCGCCGATCCCTCAGAGGCACTCACATGGCCCAGTCCTGTATCCGTAATCATAACGCTGTACAAAAACCCTTGCTCGCCAGTCTCAATGTTTTGGGTGAGAAATTTAAGGCCTGGGTCGGTGTTGATAACTTCCTTGAGAAGCCCTGTGGCATGGTCCATCCTTTGAAGATCGATCTCAGCCAACCCCTTAGGAAAACCCAGTTCCTCGCCGCTGATTAGACAATAAAAGGCACCACCGTAAGAGAAATCAGCCGTGACTGAAGTGCGGCCTTGCAGCTCGGGCCATTGATATTTCTCTGGCAGTGGGATCCTCAACGAGGTCGCTGTTGGAAAAGACGGGACCGAAATGAAAGAAACCGGACGAGCCGGATCTGATTTTCCGGTGGGTAATGTAGGGATCATGACTTCAACCAGTCCACAGGGTACATGGAGATTGAGCCGCGTAGTCCCCGTAGTGGCATCGTACTTCAACTGCCTGCGACGCGGAAAGAAAACCTCATCCACGTCAACCAGGAAACGGCCAAGCGCAATCGTCGCATGTCCGCACATAGTTGAGAAACCTTCGTTATGCATAAACAACACCCCCATATCCGCCATGCCCTCAGCCACCAGTTCCGTGTCCGGTCGCAAAATGGCGCCGTACATGTCGTAGTGGCCGCGTGGCTCGAGCATCAGCAAACGACGGAACTCATCTGATTTCTCTTTCGCCTGTGCTCGTTGCTCAAGTAGTGTACCACTTAGTTCGGGGAATCCAGCCCAAACGATTCGTGTTGGTTCGCCCGCTGTGTGCATCTCCACACAAGTGATGGGTGGGATTGGGCCCCCGATTTGGAAGGGCGGCAGACTTGAGGGGTCCATACTTCCGCAGTTCGTGGGTGGTAAAGGTCGAGGGGGGTTATCCTTCGGGTTGGCTGCAATAGTACGAGGGCAGGTGATCATGTCATATATGTATTCACAGGCTCGGTCTATCCCGAGAAAGCGGAGCACTTGATGTCGTTTATTGTTTTTCCCAAGTGGGGTAGGAGTTGGGGAAGGGCGTGTCGGCCCTGAAGTCGGAGAAGGGTTCCGATATAATTAAAAAAACCTCACATAATTTCCAAGTAAAATTATTTTCAATAAGCTGCTGCATCATCTCACTAATTTATTCTGTTCATTTTCTGCCAAAGATCAATGCAGACACTACATGTGTCTAATAATCAGGTCGACTTCTGCGTCCGCCACCTCAAGTATATGTTCCGGTGAATATTGAGGTTTCCAGCCGATCTTCTGACCCTGCCGTGCCTCGAGCGTACATCTAGATAGTATTAGCAGAAGGTTGCTGAGCTGCGTTGTCGAGGTACTCACTCTCCACCTAAGAACAGGGGTACCATTTCCTTAGGGCATCCCAATGCCTCGCCCATCTGCTGCAAGGCTGCATCATCTGCCACTTCCACCGACTCAGTGTCAATGATTTGACGCTTGGCCAGTCCTTTCGCCATGGCATCGTAGATATCATTCCATGCCATCCTGCCGCTAGCAGCGAGGTAATATCCACTACGGCCATGGCCGATATCTTCTCCAGACAGAATATTTCGCAGTATCTCCAGATACAGAGTGCTGTTGTCAATGACATGACAGACGGGCCATTTCTAAAAGTAAAATAAGCGTTAGAAACGCAACAATAAATGCACAGGGGCGCATACCGGGTTGTTGACGTGGGGACTGTACACGCGCCCCGTCTTTTTGGCCGCTCTCACGATTGCTACGGTTTGAATAGAAATTGGATTTCCGAACCCCTCACCTTGTCCATATACAATGCACGGGATGAAAATGTAGCTCCGAACTCCATGTGCCTCGGCTAGCTCGATGACAGTGTTGTTTGCGGCAAGTCCCTAATGCTAGTCAGTTTATGCCATGATGGTGTTTTCAGATTGGATGGTTTCCTACCTTCCCTGCAATTGGATAAACAGGTTTGGAGCTCTTCTGGATCTCATAGAGCTCAAGATCATTGTCGTGAAGAGGGCGATCTGTTGGATGCCCAGTGTGACTGCTGAACAGCTTTGCACCCGATGTATGCAAAAAATGGACCTCCTGCCCAGTCTGTTTCTTGACTTCAGCGAGAGCCTTGATCATGTAGACCTGTGAATCTCCCGCCAGAGCATCAACTAGGAAATAGACGATAGTAATTTTGTGGTCGATGATTGCAGCCATCGTGCTGGTTTCATCTTTAACGTCGAATGTCAGAGCCTCGGCACCGTACTGTTTCACGGACTCGGCTTGCTCCTTTGTTCGAACAAGGGTGTAGAGATTTTGATATGCTGGAAGCTTGGCGCCGCTCCAGCGCGCGAGGAGGGTCCCTCCCAGGTATCCTGAAGCCCCAGTAATAAGGATATTGTGCGACATTATATCGAAATTCGAGGATGAAACGGAAGAAATTATGAATTCGGGAAGCGGATGGCCAGGACCCTTTATTCAAGGTAACAAACGAAATAATGGACACAATTTAGCAGATCTCAGGCCACTAACATTTGGATTATAAATCAAGCATGGAGCTGACAAACTAACTAGGTCGTCGTCCGTAGATCTTGTCTCTGTATATAGCTACTGGAAAAGAAGCGTAGAACATGAAAGAGAGTTCATAAAGAGAACGAACTGTATTTAGTTGATGCTGTTGCTACAGTTCTGCCTGAGTGCCTGGAACTTAATGCCTCAGACATAGATGACTAAGCCATAGTAACTAACGTTAACTAGTTAACGTTAATGTTACTAATTTTATGGCTTGACAGAGAATTTGCTGTCATTGTCACTCTCCTTCGCAGTTTACAGAAACCAAAGCAACCAGGTCTTTGTGCTATAGACTGTTCCAGATCCCTGTCCTCGATCTTTGTGGAGGTGGGCAGGCAGAACCAACCATCGGCCAGATGTCCGAACCCGTCAAGTTGGCACATTCCTGCTATTCCGAGGGCTGAACCGCTTCGAAAAGATGCTTTCGGACCACGACATACCTGTTAAAACCTTTTCTAGCAGGCGATCGTGCGTAATAATGCTCAATAACATGAAATGGGACATAGCATTGCTTGCAGGTGAACAGTGTGGAGCCGGCTTCGGCTTCCAGCTCCGATAAAAAAAAATGAGTCAATTCCGCGGCCCACGCCGTCACTAACCGAATGACTTGTCTCCAGTGTGCCCACCAAAGCCAAAGGATTTCAGGGCAACTTGCATGATTTCATACTAAGACTCGCCACCACCACAATATGCTATTGGGCCTATAATCAAGCCAGGCATCTCATATTTAGATCATAAGGACAGGGACGCCTACTGATCGGCTTGGTCTAGACAACCAGAAGTGGAAAAAGAACCCTGTCTGCATGAACGATACCCCCTCATCTCGTGTATGGCCGTGATGCATGCGGTTGAAATATGCGCATCGGAATCCACGGCGAAACCCATGTTTTCGGCCTTCTACCGAGATCTGTGGCATGTCAAGGCTTGTGGCAATCGCCGCAGGGGCAGAGAGCAGAATTTTATATGAAGTCATCGCAGGCTGCGGCGAGAAATAATTATAGCATATGCAATTGCCACTTAATTTTTTTCGCGGGATATTAGCACATGTTTACATAGTATTATTGACAAGTTTGGGGCTTGTAAAGAGCCGTCCTAGCCGGGTAGGCTCTCAGATCAACACCACTGAATGCCCAATTGGAATGAATAGTCCAGACTTTCTCGCTGTGTTGTCCGGAATAGTACCGCACTTAAACTCTTTTGTCAGGAGTAGGGCGTAAAAAACAGAAAATGCCATGCGCAAGTGGAGACTCTACCCACATGCCCGTCGGCTTTCATTCGTCACTGCTCAAATCTTTTGACTGTGACCTGGGTGGACTACAGTCAGAGTTTCTTCCTGAAATTCTCCATTCTATTTTTTGCGGAGCTTTATTAAGCCCCCCATCCCGCCTATCTAATGTAATACCTGCTAATTCGATGGGTCTCTCCAAGCCGTCAATATGTCAGACCACTTTTCTATGGAAGAGAATCTGCAGAAAGCTATGTCAGCCTCAGGTAGGTTTAACTGGCCTTTGCACCTCTTTCAAGCATCCCAAAGCTAAACGTTCACTTCAGAGGACATAGAAGTGTCTCCCACGGAGTCACGTCATGATCTAGAGTCTCAAGCGTCCCGGGAGTCGCAACAGTCGGAAGACTCTCATGAATCTCGCGAGTCTCAGGAGTCAGAGATTGCGCACGAGCCTATCCAGCAGCGGTATGAAAAACCATCATATTCTCGTTTTCGACGTGTCGCCTCGAAGACAATTGTATCTTTTGGTCCCCATGATCCAGGGAATCCTGTAAACTGGAAAAAGGTATGATGTACACTGAAGGGGCGTGGCGTTGCACATGCCGTGAAACCTTTCAGCTGGAAGAGTTCAGAATGCTGACACTGTGTAGGGAAAAAAGGCGTTAGTTCTCTTGGCGGGTGTCATGCAAGTCATGAACAGCACGATCGGCTCTTCCATTTGCAGCAATGCCATCCCTCAAATCGGTGACACCTTTAACGTCCACAACGAGCAGCTTCTGGTCCTACCCATCTCCGTCTTTCTCATCGGCTACATCGTTGGTCCCCTGATATGGGGACCAAGTTCCGAATATTTCGGCCGGAAACGCCCACTTCTCATCGCCTTCTGCGGCTTCATGATTTTCACACTGGCATGCGCGCTATCAAACTCATACACCTCACTCCTAATTTTCCGACTGTTCAATGGAATGATGGCTTCTGCGCCAATTGCTGCTACCGGTGGACTGTTTGCTGATGTCCATGATGACCCAACTCAACGCGGCCGTCTCATGGCATATTACATGGCCGTGAGTACCTTTCGTTTCCGCTGACCTGATTTCTTTTCTGACACCTGATAGTGCACAACCTTTGGACCGATTATGGGGCCTTGGGTCTCTGGATTCGTCGCTGTTGTCAGCTGGCGGTGGTGCTTCTGGATCGGGCTTATTTGCGCCGGTACCACGTTGCCACTGGTCATATTTATGCCAGAGACGTATGCCCCTGTAATCTTGAAGCGTCGGGCAAAGAAGCTGCGCAAAGAAACCGGCAATTCAAACCTTTGGTCGCCACTGGATATGGACAGTCGCAACCTCAAACAAATGTTTCTCATCACGATCTCACGACCCTTCCGCATGCTCATCCACGAGTCGATTGTTTCTTTGACTTCTTTGTACCTGGCGCTGGCGTACGCTATTTTCTATCTCTATTTTGAGGCATATCCGATTATCTTCCAAGGTGAGCTTTGTTTACTCCATCTGTCGTTTTCGGTGCTAATGTGAACGACACAGGCATTTACGGGATGAGTCCTGGTATATCCGGCCTATGTTTCTTGCCAAGTAAATATATCTAACCCCCCGCCCTCCCTCCGGGGCCAAATATTAGATCGCTCGCTAATACCATCAAATAGTTGGTGTTGGTGCGATTTTCGCCTGCATAGTGTTCATTTGGTATGACGGCTACCTCGCCCGAGCGAAAGCCCGTGGCGCCCCCTGGGCCTACATCGAGGAGTACAGACGACTGCCCTTGGCCTGTATCGGGGGCCCATTGTACGTCATCTCCCTTTTCTGGGTGGGATGGACGGCATCGCCCAATATTCATTGGGTCGTCCCTTTTCTCTCTGGCATCCCCTTCGGAATGGGGTATCTATTGATTTTCATGGCTATGCTCAACTATCTCACCGATGCCTACGTGACCCTATCTGCCAGCGCTCAATCAGCTGCCAGCTGTACACGAAGCATATTTGGTGCGATACTGCCCCTCGCCACCAAGCCCATGTTCGATCGCCTCGGCGTGCATTGGGCATGCAGCCTGATTGCGTTTCTGAGTCTTGGAGTGTCCATCATCCCGTTTGCATTCATCCGTTTTGGCGATCGAATCAGAGCCAACAGCAAGTTCTGTCAGGAACTGAAACGGATCAGAGAGGAAGAACGTCTTGAGCTCGAGCGAGAGGAAGGTCTAGAGGCCGACTCCAACAATTTGGAGAAAACCCCTTCGATCCACACCATCACAAGAGTGGATACGGCTCGCACAGACAAAGCTTCGATCATTTTCTAAGCTCTCTTCGGACTGTGGGTCCAAATGCCCTTTAAGATCGAGGGATTGTTCCTCTCGGTTTCTGTCTTGTTACAGAACATTAGGGCTGGCTCTGACCAAACAGGTGCAAAGCTTCACGACTTTTCGGATTAATTGGTTCAAAAGTTTTCTGTTTTGATTGCATTCTCTTTCATGCGGCATTAATGACCTGATTGCATATTATCTAATTATTTTGTCCATACAGGGCCGGGTTCGAACACGGATTTTTTAGCGGAAAATAAATCCGCAATGCACAGGTGCCTGTCTTTTCTTTTTTGTTCCTTTTTAATGTCCCCCCATCATTTTAGGCGTTTTACAGACATTGCTAAACCAAACAACGCTCATATTAGAGCCCTACATATCGGGATATTCACTGAGCGTTCAGCAGTTCATAGTTAATCAAAGACAATCATTTCTTATGCAATCTACCTAGCATACTATATATAAATTCCAATTAGACACGACCCCTTTACCAGTCACTTCATAATGGGTTTTTGAACAAGGCAGGTCCTTGTCGCAGTTGATCCCGAAATGGTGGTTGGTCAACATTGGACTTTGTAGACTATTGTTCCCCCTTGGCACTTTGAGCGCTCGGGCCTTGGATCTTTTGCTTGGCTGCTGTAGACTATTGATTTCACCAACGGCCCAGCCATTTCATTGGAACCCATTGGAACCCATTGGAACCTAATAATCATGAAGCGTCCAGCAGTGTTGCTCCGCCTTTCTAGTCTACAAGATTACAAGAGCCGTAGAATATGACAGCTGAGTTGGTGGTCACTTCTCGATCATGGATCTATCCAAACCCAATCAGTCGTTAAAAATAGGGTTACGTCAGAGCAGCTGAGGACCAATGCTCCAGGCTCCGGCGCCAGGGGGCCGATCAGAGAATATTTTGTGCGCCAAAAGCACCTTGACAAGACTATCGACGGTATGATTGCATCATCGCTTCAGGGTCGGCCCCGATCTCGTGGGGCATAGCCGCAGCGCCATCGATCGATCGCTCTGCGCCAGCTTGGTTCAGTTGTGAGCTCGCAATTTCAGATCGCCTCAATTGTTGCCATTCTTCCTGCGATTGTGTCTTCCCCCACTGTCTAGCAAATGCATGTCTCTATACAGCGAGGAACTCTGCGAGGAGTTCAAGCCATTTCTCGTAGATGCTCAATTGATCAATCACTCTGGGGTGCGCCAAAGCTGGCCAGCCCACAGTAGTCATTTAAAAAGCTACAACCTCTTCTCTCTGTTTCGTGGTGTTTTATTTCTCCCCCTGTACACCTCTTCCTTTCGCCTTTTTACCAGCCTGATCATGGCTGCCGCGGATTTCCACAACGGATATGCCAACTTCGACACGGAGTCTCTGCGTTCATTCACATCTACTTTCCCTGACGATTATCACGACTGGGCTAATGAGTCTGGACGACAACCACGGTGGGTCGTCAATTTAAACCCTCCAAGGTTCGAAGTAAAACGAAAAGAGCTAATAGAAATACATTTAGCAACGACCGGCTCCTCAGTGACTTCCCTCGCCCACCTGGTCATCCAAACGGCATCGATTCCATCATAGCCTCACCTTCTCCATTACCTTCACCCATATTTGAAGAGCCTCCAATTCTCTCACCAAGCCGAGCAGATGGCCTTGATGCTATTACTGAAGAATCGGTGCATCTGACCCCCAAACCTTCAATCAAGAATATGCAGCGCAGCTTCGCCCTCAATAACGCCACTGAACTGCCTCTTCTCCAACAGCCTAATCCTTTTGATGGATCTGAGGAGTTCAACCCTGTCAACGAAAACGAAGATAGTGCTTCCTATGATCTAATTGCACCTTACGGGGGCGGCGATGCTCCCCTCCACAAGCTCGAGCGTATCGCAGACGTGATGTTTTCGTCGAATCATATGTTGAAGATCCTGAATAATCCGCGCTACCTAGCAGCATTCCGCGAGTTTCTGCTGGAGGAGCGCCCACGCTCCATGGCTACTCTGACCTACTACCTAAACGCGAACAAGGCCCTCAAAGCAATTGAGTATGCGAACGCGCTCGTTCGCCTCTCTGTTGATGTTCCGCCGGTGGAAGTTAAGATCGGCGAGGGCAGCGTGGGAGTAACATCGAACAAGGCCTTGGAGCAGCGTGTCCAGGACGGACTGAATGCATTGACCGCGGAGGAACTGCCTGCTTTCGTTACCTCAAAATGCATCACTATCACAAGCAGAATCGTCGAAGAGCGAGTCAGGGGAACTCTGCCAATGAAATTTCAGGGGACCTCGGATGCCCTGGCCGAAGTTTTTTGCTTGACTGATCCATCACGGCCAGATAATCCTATTATATTTGCGTCTGAAGGTATGCATTCTCCATGCTGGTTTGCGCGATATTGCTAACAATACCAGAATTCCATCGAACAACCCAATATGGCATGGACTACGTTCTAGGTCGCAACTGTCGCTTTCTCCAAGGTCCTCAGACCAACAAGAACAGTGTTCGCCGGATAAGAGAGGCAATCCAAGCAGGTTCGCACCATTCAGAATTATTTCTCAACTAGTAGGTTTTCTTGGAATTTCTGCGGACAGATCAACTGCTAATTAATTTATAGTCGTCGTGATGGTTCCCCTTTTATGAATCTTCTTCAATGCGCACCCCTATGCGATAGCCAAGGCAAAGTTCGGTATTTTATTGGTGCTCAAATTGATGTGTCAGGACTGGCAATGGAGGGTGGACAGATGGAATCGCTGCTTGATCTTCAATCAAAATATCGCGACCCTGATGAGGAGAGCATTGCAGGACGAGAAGAAGAAGAAGAAGAACCAAAGTTCAAGGACGAGTTCCAAGGGTTGAGCGAACTATTCAGCCCCCGTGAGCTCGCTACAGTACAGGACAATGGCGGCGATCTATTCCAGCCTCTCATAAATAGCCGAACTAACGCGCGTAATCAGCGCAAGTGGATGCGAACAGGATCGTCGATGGACAGTGATCCGGAGGCCATGCGTGTGCGTAATGTCAAGTCGCCGTTAACACGCGGGTCATTGACTGGTGCTTATGAGAATGTAGGATTCATTCTCCCGTTTTCTGATGTTGATTTTGGCTAATGGAAGATTTAGTATCTCCTCGTTCGGCCTTATCCATCTCTCCGCATTCTCTTCACATCGCCTTCGCTCCGAATCCCAGGCATGTTACAGTCTTCTTTTCTTTCTCGCATCGGCAGCTCGAAGGCTGTGAGAGAAGAGCTTGTCCAAGCTATGATGAGCGGCCGGAGCGTGACTGCTCGTATCAAATGGGTCACCCGGTACAATGCCGAGGGTCGCAATCGATGGATTCACTGCACCCCTCTACTTGCAAGTAACGGACAAGTGGGTGTGTGGATGGTGGTTGTCGTTGACGATGATGAGGAGCAGGTTATCAATTGGAGAGGGAGTTAGGGTTGGACACTAATAGATTTTGCGTGCATATATATCTGTTCCTCGTACGCTATACAAAGCCACAATCTCAACTTTATTTTAGGACAAATATAGTGCTCTTTTGGCTCCCAACATCTCCGCTCAATATTCTTCGGTCGTTTGACAGCTGCCTGAGTCCGGGCTGCAAATAGCCCTCGTGGGGCCAACACGTCTCCACCAAGACAGCACTATTATTATAGGAAGGAAAACATCGGCATTGTTTCAGAAAAAGTAACAGCTAATCGGATCGACGTAGGAGAGCTCTTGTTGTCGTCTTTATCAGACTAGATTTCTGATCGAATGTGGCCATCTAAGATTATTCGCCACCCATTGGTTTATGCCAACATCTGTAATCGTTAAATAGAACCGACAAATTGGAAGGAAAGCATTCTTCTTATATTTTCATCGCTATGTCCAATATTTTATTCTATAAAGATTCCATGACTACTCACTGGAATTAAACGGTGGCTTCAGGGATCCGTCCTTACTCCCTCTTCAAACCAACCTTACCAACTTTGCGTAGTCCCCAGGCGCCAACGCCACAAGCAGCCATCATCAATCCGAAACAAGTCCAGAATACAGCGCGGTATCCCAACATGAGCGCTTCGGGTGAGTTTTTGTTTTCATATGAAGAACCCTGTGTCACACCAGCAGAGATGATGGCGAAAATAGTGAGTCCAATAGAGGTTCCAAACTGAGCAACGACGTTGAAGACTGCTCCAGCCAGGCCCTGGGTTTTGGGCGTGAATGCGTCCGTGATAATTAGATTTGCCACGGTAAAGATGACTTTTTCACCAACGCGTCAGCAATGATAGCATGTCACAAAACAAAAAATACTCACCGTCTGCCGAAAGAGGTCCCAGCAACACAGCCCAAAAGGCGCAATACCACCACGACCACTCAGGGTCAATGATGGCCATTAGCAGTGGGGATCCTGCACTGAGAACTGAGCTGACTACCACTAGGTAGTTCGCATGAAGACGATGCACCAGTAAACCAGTTCCAAGGTTGAGGATGATGCCGATTATAATGTTGGGAAAGAATCGGAGGGCGGCTTGAATGGCAGGCAGATCTTGAACTTCTTGGAAGCTACTCTAAGGGTTAGCAGAAGAATTTTATTTAAGCATGTGGAATCACTTGAAACTCACAATAGACTTAGAATTGTCTCCATGCCGTTCAGAACAGCCCACGAGAACAAAACCATGATGCAGATAGAGCTGAATGCGGTATTTTGCCAAAGCGAATTTGGGATTAAAGCCGGTTTTCCGATCTTCTCGCGCCAGTTCATCCAGCCTAGAAATGCGGGGATCATAACTGCTGCCACACAGAGGAGGACAATGTTTTCGGCTTTGTGAATATTCGATGGGCTATCAGTGATGGCGCTGTGTAGGGTTTTCGTCAACCCATGTATACCGACTAGACGCGGAGGTATACTTACGCAAACACATAAGAGATGATTCCCAAGGAAGAACTGGACAGGAAGATTCCAATCCAGTCAATCTCGCGGCGCAGTCTCCCAAATGTGAATGGCTCTCTCTCAGAATCTTTCGGCAACTTGAAAAAGTTCACCACAGCCAAGCCCATGGTGGCACCGGCGCAGAGGTAGTATCCAAATCTCCAGTTGAGAGAAGTTCCTTGGAAAAGTCCACCAAAAACCAGTCCTACCGAGAAGCCAAACGGCTGTCCTAGTCCGAGGCAGGCAAACCCGATATTTCGCCGTTTACCCACTGGCATCGAGTCGGTCAAAATACTGAATGCTGTCGGCAGGCACATGGAGGTTGCGATGCCTTGGAATGTACGGAACAGAATCAGCTGTATACCGGTTTGGGCGACACCACAAGCCAGAATGAAGGCTCCCAGCAAAAAACAGCCAATTAAATTGATCATTCGGTTGCCCATGAAATCAGCTAACGACCCGGCGAGAAGAAGGCAGCATCCATTTGCAAGTCTGTATCATGTTAGCGTACTTGGAACCCTGAACTCAGTGTGCAAAGCTCACGAGTAGACAGACGCCGGCCTGGATAGTAGGTGGCGATCACGGTCAGATAATCTACTTCAATCAATTTTTGGTTTAGGGTTCGGCAATAGCTTACCATAAAAGCAGATTCTCCGGCAGTCCCAAATCTGCTGCGATCCAAGGCAGCCCAATGGTCAGCAAGCCCGAGCTCATACTGCCCACGAAGGTGGTGCCCGTTAAGGTCGTAATCAGGATGACCGCACGGGTCCTGGATAAATTTGTGCGCTGGTCATCACTGATATTCTCAGTAGAACCATATTCACGAGATAACGAGCTTTGAGACCGGGACTCCGTGCGAGTGTCATGGTGTCGCTGGGACTGAACTAGAAGATGCGGTGAGTCATGGGCCCCCGGGAGCGATGCTTCGGTTTGGGTGAGAACCGCTGTTTGAGACATCGTGCTCAGACAGATTGGGGTCAAGTCGGCCCACTAACAGCTAAAACATATAGAATATCAGAAAGAGATGCGTTACGGAGATCCGAGGCTGACTCTTAAAAATTGTTCAGTCTCCCCGGCTGTTAGTCATGGAAGGTGTGGGGTGTCTACGAGGTGGATCGATACTAGAGTTGATCGGGATAAGCCGGCAGGATGAGCTAACTATATCTGGGAGAAACGATCTATGTACCACGACTGGCCTCATCCGCCCGAACACCATGGTCGGGGTGTCGGATAAGCTTTGTGTGTCCAGGCTGCGTGGACCAGTTCACGTGTTCCTACTTCTCCAATTCACCGTCTAGGTCGTCCTGAGTTTCCTTCGTGCGCTCCGGCTCTTCTTCATCTTCATACCTCGATGGTTCTCATGGGGACATTAGTACTCTGTGATATTGAATTGCTTCAAAACCAGGACGACAACTGAGCTTCATAAAGCTTTGAAACCCCACAAATGGCAGAGGCTATTGTTCGCCTCTTAAATTGTTGAACCTCTGTGAGCAAACGTTTTGTCTTGCCTTCCAATTCTTGCCACTGTCAGAGCTCGAGCGTTTCCCTAGGCCTCACAACTTTTCACTCTCAGGATTCAATGTCATATCTCCTCTATACAAAACACCTATCCATCCCCAAAAGAAAGAAATGAGTATCACGAGTGCCTCAACTCTCCCCTAGTCCTAAAAACCAACAATTCGCAATGAAGATGCACGAGAAACTTCAAAAAGATGATATTCTTGCCCTCAGCAATATTAGCACGATTCAGGGTTTGGGGCAATTGGGCGAGCATTTCGTGGGGCAGTTCTGCCTCATCTTTTAAGCCCCTTGAGCCTAAACAAGAGCACAGCCCACATCTCATCTGTTAAGAAAATGTTCTTTGTGCTAAATAAACAGCACCAGCCCGTCCATAAGTATATAAGACGGAGCTATTCCATCATAGAATGGTATAATTCAGCCCATTCAATTGTTTGTTGGTATCCACTTACAAATCGACTCCGCATGAACAGAGCAACCAAGGAAGAGGCTCGCATTATTAAATGTCGTAGCCACGCCGCAGATCTCATGTCTGTGCTCAGCCATGCCGATCTATTGCATACATAGTATTATTCCTTAATGAATTTCTCCAAAGGGCTCGACTCGAGCAGCGCTTCCGAGGGAGAAGGACGGAATCAACTAGTTCTTACTCCACTTTGTTCCAATCTGGTGCTATACCCGGCTCAAAGTCGGGTCCAGACTTTCATAAAAGAATAGTGATTGTTGTGCATTGACATCAGGCAATCTGTTGCAGGATGGCTATCAGTGGCAATTTGGAGAAAAAACAAGGTATCCGTCACACTTGACTTATTCTAAGATTCAAGAAGTGCGGTATAGTCTATACAAATCTGCCTGCTGCGATTCTGCTGCGAGAAAAAAAGGTGGCGAAATGACCAGGTAATGTAGCCTCCTGTCGGTGATCAGCCATGCCAGACATCATAGTTTGCTCTCGGATCCCAGCGCAACGGTCACAGCGTGGGAGGGCAAGTACGTCGACAAAACGGGCAAGTAGGAGGAGAATAATACGAATGGATAAATCAAATGGCATGGATTCCACAATTATAAATCAAGACCCCCTCCCCATCCACAAAAATAATTACCCCCTGAGACAGTGCTGCGGCAACCGCGCAAAGCGCGAAACGGGGGGGGAGGCGGTTACAGCGGGAACTCCAGATAGGGGGCTGTGGAGTAGGCAGGCTCCAGCGGATTCTGGGCCTGGTGATCGCCAGATTAGCATATGTGTGTCATCCTAGCTGACTTTTTCCCCTTGCGAACATTTGATCATTCTCCATGGGATTATGTAGGCTGGACAGGGGTTGCAGAATGTAACTTTTTGTTCGACACCCACAGCTCGTAGGTTCAAGACTATCTAGATGAATCCTCAACCGGCCAACAATAATCCTGCCCCGACACAATCAAAGTTAATCCTAGCAATCAAATCGAAGATCGGGCCCCGCGGAAGCTAGGAAACTGGGCCCCGTTCGTACCAGCAACGAATGATACGTCAGGCCACGCCATGTGCCTGTGACGGCGTGATATTCAGCTAGGACTAAATCCGGGTCCTAGCCAGTCGTATCCAGTATGACAGCCATCGGCTGTCCAGCCAGGGCTGAACTTCAGCTGGCAATTATTTGCGTGACTCAGATCAAAATTGCCAGATTCTGGTTCCTCTTTTGTTTCTTTTTTTTTCTTGCGCCTCACGCGGCGCCAATCAGCTTCCCCAGAAAAGAAATTCACCGCGGGTACCCGAGCACGACAAGGTCTCGAGGCTTGTTTCCCGAATTGCAACTCGACGCAACCCTAGTTAGCAGTTCACGAGAGGGGCGGGGGAATCGCGCACGGACAGGGTCGACGCGAGCTTGACGATTGATGAAGCTAAAATTCCGATGTGCCTAGATCGTCATGTCTAGCGACTGTGGCCAGTCCGCCGAGCCAGGCTGACTGACTCCAAGCGCCGCTAAATTGGCATTTTCCTTTTGCCATCAGTCTCCACTCCTGCAACCATACCCTCCGAGACATCTAGTGGATCACACACATAGTCTGGACTCGGCCTGTTCGCCGAAGTCACAGCCCAATATGTGGGCCTCCAGCGTTTGTGGTATTTTGCCCGTAGAGGCGAACGGCGGCGTTGTTTTGCGGGGAATCCCTGAGCGTATCACAGGGCTGCAGGCACGGCCAGGTTCAGGAATGTGTAATGCAACTGCCATGCCTTCGAGCTATCCATTTTCTGGCTGGAGCTAACGTAATTTGGCCCGGCTATCGTCTGGTGATCGTCTATATGCTTTGATTTGTGGCCTGGGTGTGGACCTCCTCCCTTCGAGTGGCCCGTCTTGAAACAAAGATATTTATGTCGCTGGTTCCAGGAGTGTTTTCTGTGGCAGATCAGACAATTTCGTATTTCAGGATCCAAGAACCTTCGTGGTTATTTTAAGATATACTTTTGAAGGAACCGCATGGAACAAGCATGACAGCCTTTTCGTTCACAGCGATCCCGATCCTTGTTCTTGTCCTCGTGGTGCGATATCACACGGCACTACTCGAGTGGCTTTCGAAACGGCAAAAGTCCCCCAAAGATGGAAGGGCTAACAGCCCATCGTCGGATCTCAAGCGCATGGCGCCATACCCAGCACAGCCCATCAAAGGCCGGGCGCGGTACAGAGTCATGATGGATATCCGCAAGCTCGACGTCCAGAACTGGCTTACCATTGATAAGAACTACATGGATGAGCACCGCGTGCGCGGTCAGCTGCTCCTTGAAAAGAAAAAGCAGGTACTCCAATGTCTGCCTGGGTCCTTGGAGGCTTGCCAGGAAGCGCTGGAAGAAGTCTGCGACTTCTTATGCGAACGGTTTCCCAGTAGGTTCGAGAAATTCGGACGTGGAAATGACAGCTGGATCCAAAATCATCTGACGGGCGAGAAATTCTCCCTCGATGCACAAGACCATCAGAATGCACTGGAGACCGCAGTCCGGCTCACTATGGAAGATCTCAGTATTCTTATGACAAACGAAGACGACGAATATTACCTGTACGTGTTTGGTAAGGCCGTTCTATTGCCAAATGTAAGCTCACAAAGACACAGAGCAGCCAGTGCGACACTCTTCCCCGTAGGCTGGACGGTGGAAGAACGTATTGGATGGACGATTTCCCGTCTTCACAATCCTGTACCATTGTGGCATCAACAAGTCGCCAACTCCGTGAGCAAGTAAGTAAACCTAGCAACAAGTCTTACCCTAATTAGCTCTAATATTTAGCTCAGATTCCTCACCCGTCTAACCCCGTCGTCCCCAATGGAACGCTCCAACTATTTCATCGAGGTCAAACGGCGCGACGAGAACTTGTCTGATATTCTCTATCGACCCAGCGTACTTTGCGAAAAAGAGCTAAACGACCCATCGCCTTCGGAGATTCTCATTCGTCGTGAGAGGCAAACCTTTCGCCGCCTGCCGCGGACTGGGGCTCTTGTCTTCGGAGTAAAGACATATCTCACTGCGCTAGACGAGCTTCCGAATCAGGAGCTGCAGAATCTGGCCAAAGAGATGAAGAGCTGGCCAGACTATGTGGGTGAGTATAAGGGGAGAGATGTTTGGGGAGCCAAGGTGCTTCAGTTTTGTGAGAAGAAGGGGCTGTTCAATCAGCGAGACGAAAAGAAGCCGGAACTTTGAAGATTTGAATGAATAGCTGGGTGGCAATCTGCTTTTATATTCTTGCATTCGTCAAGTGAGACCAAAATGGGCTGGGTGGCTTTCTGATTTTCGCATGCAAATGTTCAAGATGGATTTTTTTTATAGTGTCTCTTGGTCCGCGAGGACAGCGAAGAATGGCTAGAGGAATGTGAGGCAACGTTTTTCTCAAAGAAAAGAATACAATGAGATGGCATTTGGGAGCTCGAAATATAGGAAACTCAGGCCTTATAACATAAGAAACGGTCTGTCCAGTAAGTCAAGTAGCTCACGTCTATATTCAAACAAAAAGGGAAAAGACAAAAAATGTCGGGAATTATGGGTATAAGAAAGGGGCATCTATATCTTCGACAAAGGCGGCTTCTCCTGCTTTAACCGCACCACTCCCTTTAATCAAATGTCAGTTTGCAATTCCACAGATTATAGAAGAGGAACATACCTCTTGTGTGCAGGTCGCAATCAGCAGCCCATCTTTGGACCAAATCTTCTGAATCGCCAGACCGCGCCCTTCTCCGGCCCACGGGCTTTCCATCTCAGTCAACATCCACTCATCAGCCCGGAAGGCCCAGGGGTTGTGGAAATAGATCGAATGATCAAGGCTGACCATCATGCCAACTGACTTATGATCCTTCTCTTTGTATCCGTTTGTAGCCTTATTGAGAGCTCCCTCAAGACGCCGGCGCAGCTCAACGGTTTCTTCCTCCTTCAGTTCCTTCAAAGCGCGGGTGATATCCTCATCGTCGAGATCGGAGGGGTTCTTCAATGCTTTGAGAAGTTTCTCGAGTTCCGCAGGAGACGAGAATCGGGGGATGTCGTGCACCCGGGAGATGGTGCCGATGAAATAACTGTCGGTGATATAGGCCAGCGCCGACAGGTGGGCTTGATAGCCCCCCTCGTCGGAGATATGACCGCGAGCTCGGACGAATCGTCGCACTTTCTTATCTTCGGGGTTGGGAGAATTGCCTGTAGATTGTGAGCTTGACTTCTCAGAAAATAGAAGCAACATACGGTTAAGAATGCCCGCCTTCCTCGACTCAAAGGGTCCACCACCTGCATTACTCAAAGCTCTGAGAGTGCCCGGCTCCGCCTCCTCCGGGAGCGCAACATCCGGCCTTGGAACCGCATGCTCAACAGTCTTATCGCCGCCACTGCCGACGCGACTGAAACTCAGCGTGGTCGTGAAAATGGGCTTGCCCCGCTGACGCGCCTGCACGGTGCGAGTGCCAAAGCTGCGTCCATCGCGCACTCGCTCGACATGATATAGAATCGGGATCTCGGAGTCGCCGGCCAGAACGAAGTAGCAGTGCATGCTGTGGACGGCAAAGTCAGCGGGGACAGTACGCATTGCGGCCGCAAGGGACTGGGCGATGGCGGCGCCGCCGTAGATGCCGCGGGCACCGGGCGGATGCCATAGCGGGCGCGTGTTTGTGAAAACATCCTGCGCAGACAAGAACACGCGTCAGTCAAAAGTTCAATTCGGGTCGTTGGGACAAGGTCGTACCGGGCCGAGGTCCACCACAGGCGTCAGATCGAGCACATTCTCGATGATCGCCTTGGAGTGATCCGGAGGAGGGGGATCGAAGATTGTTACGCGCTTAGCCATGGTTGCGGATAGTGTTATGGGAGTAAGAGAGAGTGAGAGGGAGTGAGGATGAGGGTATGGGTGTATTGATGGAACCGGACGGCGGCGATTTCCAGGCCTTTAAAATTAAAGCGGGAAGTGTTTGAGCCTCGGCTCTTGCCGTTTTGGGACGAGATATTTACTGGATCAAATGTTGTATACTAATAGTTGTGCACACTCTATGAAAAAACTAACAAGGACGCCAATCCAGGCAGGAATAGCGAATCCCAATCCCAGTCAAGTGCGTCGTGTAATATCCTGTAGGGGTCGCGGCCCTTGCCCACATCCGTGTTTATGGAAAGATCCGATCGATAGGTGTTTCGAATCAGATCAGACTCCGACGCGGATCCCCCGGCTTGTCTTTGTAGAGGCAAGAACAGCTGGGGGCGCTGCATTTCATGCTCGCTAAGCAGAGTTTAGTTTACTATCGTGAAGTTCTAGGTAGCACCTGAGCTCCCCGCCGAAGGCGTGTTCAACCTAGGTTAATCGCCCTCTAGAGAAAGAACCAAAACGTTGAGAGACGACGATAAGTCTAGCTGCCGATAGATTTGGAGTGGATGTTGGCGAGGATCAGGAAGAGGAGGAAGAGAAGAAGCCGATGTTCTTGTCGCTGTTGTTGTGAGTGAGAACTTGGGACTAGATGAGTGTAAGAAGCCTGGGAGAGAGTTGAAAAGGGTTCAATCCCTATGGTTTAACTATGCGCAAGTAAAGATCGACGAATGACGCCCCCGGCGCTTGCTCTGATACGTGTTCAACACGCAATGCGACTCCAACAATAACCACAACAAGCCGTTCTGGCTATCCTGCAGGATCCACTCCCGCTCGCGATCAAGGGTGATCGGAGATTGTTCCAGTGGACAGATTCTTGGTGATAAGCTGCAGATCGAAGCTATCGGGGACTCGGAATCTAGCCCAGCGAAGGCTTAGTCGAGTCCGCACTAAGCTGAAACACAATCCGCCGGGACTCACTCACTGTACTTGATTGCCGCACTCATTGGTGACTTGGCCCCCGGCAGAATAGACCAGTGATCGTAGCCTACAAATAGCGTAGTATAAAGTTAGCGGGCGATTTGCAAACTATTAATTGAAGAGAGTGGCGGACCGATCTTTGTCTGATTCGGTGATGCCATCTTGGAGGGTGACCTGTTTGTTCCCTTTCATCAGTCCGAAAATCCAATCAGTGGGTTTAGATAGTGCTAACGGTGTGGAGAGGCATGCTGGATGGACGTGGTATAGATAAGACAGGGTCAAGGCCTTATTTAGCTGTATAATACTTATTATTCTGTTCAATTCAGAGACGAAAGCATACGCCCCGGCACTCCTCCGGTCATAATGATATCATGGTGATAACTTATAGCACAAATTGAAAAGATCTATATAAGGGCATATTTAGCGAGCTTTAAACCAACTCTAATTGACCTTCGAAAATCTGAAATGTTCTGAGGGTTAAGTGTTTGTTAAAATATATGGATCTGCGTCTACACTTTGCGGCCCGCTCTATGTCATGGTGTAATCAAGCCCAGTGGCCAATAATGCAAGTAAAAGTGCCGATAAGAACGACTCAGTTACAAAAGTAGCCCAGACTTCGAAGCTTTAATGCAATTGCAAGATCATGTCGTCTGTGAGAGTATGTATCCTGAAGAGTATGTACAAAGAAGAAAACAGTAAGTTCTGCACAATAAACAGATATCCGGACAATGGTATCGGCATTGCAATATTTGCAGCGAATCGAAAGGTGGTGTAAGAATAATGGGACTCGTTGAGAAAGAAGTCGTCAATGGTTGGAATATCAACCGTGTTATGAAGTATGTGCGCAGCACATACTTCAAATAATGCTCGCGATGGTCATGCGCGAATGAGCGGAACTCGACCGCTGGTCTGATGTATCCGACGCTGCTCGCTCGGGGCCAAGCATGGCCGGCTCCTGTGGCTGGCCCATGGTGACATCGCGAGGCTCGGACGGTCCGCGTGCCTGTTGCTCCGTGAGAAGATACTGGACGGTTTTCTCAATCCATTCCCAGCCCTCCCACTCCTTGTCTTCTGGCTGAGAAATTGGACCGCGAGCTCTCGTGTTCGAAGGCACTGGAGAGATAGCCTCCAGCTGAGAGCCGGTCTCGCTCCCTTGCCAGACCCAGCTACCGTCGCTGCTGCCCTGCATGTCACCAGAGGCATATGCTAACATCTCCTCATCGTTTTCTAGGTCAGTACTGCTGTCGCCGCGCTGCAGGCGTTCCAGGAGAGTGCGCAGGAAGAAGGAAAGGTATTGGCCGCAGGATGCATTCACGGAGCGAGCATCGCCGATCGCGGCGCTGGCTTGAATGCAAACCAGAGCCCCTGCGTATTCCTGTCGGAAGAGGAGAAAAAGCATACAGCGCCAAATGTGTGTGCACAGAAGAGTTCCTGCGCACGATGCGAGTAGGGACCGCCAGTCATCGCCTTCCGATTGGCTCCGCATGCATCGCGATAGAAGTTGGGCTGTGTCGAGAGATGTCGAGATGCAGTAATCCATTGCAGACGAGCGTGCGGCGAACGAGCTGACGGGGGAGATGTTGTGGCGGTGGAGAATAAGGCGCGCGTTCTGGAGGTAGATAACGGGTGCGAGAGATCGAGGATCGAGATATTCGTCGTTCTTCGGGTGGAGTTGAGGGGGGAAGGTTGCAAGACATGTGTTAAAATGCCGCTCAAACGTCTCGAGCGTCGCCGGGCTGACTGTAGGCAATCGTAGGGTTCGTGTGAGCTGGCCGATGGAGCGGACGACGTGAATAGTTGCCAATAGTGCTGTAGTCTGCTGGCTTTCGAGGATACCGGCGTCCTCTGTCATGGATTGCTCGTCCACGGGGCACGGCAGGTCAATGTCGCAGTCCTGATCGTTGATCAAGACAGGCTTCCCCATTTCCAGAGCCAGTAACCTAGAGAGAGTATCAGCATACTGGTCTGACTGTAAGTGAAAGTGAGTACAAACCTGTCCCAGGTATACAACCCCCACCACAAGCGTTTCCGCATCTCCCCTTCGAGGGGCGGCCAGGGCCCCGAATCAATGTGCAGCCCGATTTCCTGGGCGACTCGCACCGCCGAACCAATCCACACCCAACTGGCCGACTTTGAGTTGATTTCGTAGAGGAAAATGCTGACCAACAGCGCGGCGCGGGCCCGATCAAGGTTGAAATTGTCTTGCCAGACGTCGATGATCCCTGTCGAGATGCGCACATATTCCTTGCCCTCTTCTTCGCGCTTCGGTCCAAGCGTGTGGACCACGCCACAGCCAAAGACACCGAACAAGATCGCAGCCCATTCGCGAGAGACACCCACCAATGAGCCCGACTCGTAGACCTTCTCGTAGTCTTTCATAAATGACGGCCAATGCAGTACCGGGAGCACGGAGTGAATGCAGGCAAAATATTGCGCCAGGAGTCGATCCGCAACGTTCTTCGGGGGAAGTTGGGGCGCATCGCCGGTCAACGACGACTTGGCACCTTCTTGTCGGTATTGCGTAGGAACCTTCAAGATGCCACGACCGTACCGGCGCAAATTAGATCGTACATCCGATAAATCTTGGGTGATTGGCGCGTGAGACCGGCGCGAAGGGCGGTAATCAATTTCTGGTAGTTTGAGCAGAGGCTGGCCGCCGGCCTCGTCAACATCCATCTGATCTGGACGCAACATTCCAGACCTTAATTGATGAAGTTGATGCTTGGTGTTTTGGAGCTGTTTCTCAAGATCCTGCACCTGCTTGATAGAAGACATACGGCGATTTGTCTCCTTGGTAAACTGACATCGGACCTTGCGGTTGGTACATTCCGTGCAGCTCGCGGATTCCGAGGCGTCGCATTTCACCTTGCGCTCGCGACAAGCATCGCAGCTGGGATCCTTCCGGCGCTGTCGATAGGCTCTCTTCTGCTGCAATTGGCTCGCGGACTGCTGGTGGCCGACGGGGCTGGTTTGATAGAGGCCCGGGCCGCCTGGGACAGAGCCTAGCGGAGGGGCATCAGACAGGCCGCCACTTTCCGCGGGAGAACCCGACGCAGAGTCATAGAAGCGCGCGTATGGTGATGATACTGGCGCCGGCTGGGCCGGCAGCGGCTGATGCGGTACAGGTTGTAACAAATGGGCCATGCGCATCCCGCTGTCGGGCCTGCTCGGCGGAGCGGAGAGCAGCGCAGCGGGAGCCGGCAAGGCCCCCGATGTCACCGACTGCACTGGGGGCAGCTCATAGGGGCCTGGATTGTGGCCGTGACGAAAAGGAGAAGGCTGCATGGTGATGGAAGACGGAACCCCAAAGGAGTTTTAGAACCAAAAAAAAGAAAACGAAAATAAAAAGTAGCTGTCACCGTCCGGGGGTGTTTAGATGTTACGCCCCGGCCTGCAGTAGTAGGAAGGAGGAATTCCCAAGGAGCGTTGATCATGAAGCACCGCAGGAATCAAAGATCGCTAGTTACCGGAAAATTCCAACGGCATCGGATCGCTGGAGCTTCCTTTCACCAACTGCGGGGAGGCCGAAGCTCCAATGAAGCCATAGTGTCGGGGAGGAGCTTGACGAGAAGATTATTGGTTGGAAAGTTAAATCCCCAACTCAAGCGGACACCGAGGGCAAGCCAGGCGCAAGGTTATCGCGCTGCAAGTGCCGAGGTTGCGGAAGGGCAAAATAGAGTGAAGATCAAGGCGTTCAGGAATCTTGTGAAGAAAACCCGGGACGGCGGGAGGGGGCAAGGGGAAAGAACGGGGAATGGATCCTCTTCTTTCTCTCTCTTCGTGTCCAAGAACAGAAGGTCGAATTGGCCCAAGGGAATAATTTGCCTGGGTCAGCCGAAGCAGGAGGAACCCAGATCGACAGGCCAAAAAGAGAGGAATTACGATCACCAGACGTGGACTCCATCCAACCCAGTTCATGGTCTAAACTAAACTGTACGACTTTCACTAAGATCACGGAGAACGCGGGACCAGATTGAATTTAGGATCCCTCAACCGAAGTCAATTACCATCCTCATTTGAATTGACACTGGCAAGTCGCAACGAAGGATCTAGCCCTAGGATGATCGCGGACGACTTGCGCTCGGCCATGGGAGAATCTATGATCAGACCCTCTCTTTTCGCAGTCCAATTAACTACGCGTGTCCCGGGATCGGCGGTGGCAGTGTCGATGGATACCGGAAGCAGTTCGGGGCTCATTGCTTTTATTGCACGGTCATCCACTGGTGGGAGCTGGAGCGCGCACCCGATGTCCACCGGCCCACCGGCGGGAGCCAGGTATGTGTTTGATGAACCTTGTCGGAGGCTCAGGATAAAGGGAAAAAAAGAAAAGGAAAAAAAGGTGCGTGTCCCCTAACGCACAGTCGGCAGAGTTAGCGGGGCCCACTTGGCCCGATGACAAGTGTGCGCTAGGTGGTGACAAGAAAGAGAGCCGGATCATCGTCCAGTTGAGGTTGGTGCGCGCGACGATCCCGGATTGGGAGTGGATGGGAAAAGCACACGCCAGTCAGGGTGAGGCTCGACTCACCAACTACTGGCACCCCGAAGGTGGAACGAAATCAACTCGAGGATGATGCTTGCAGGGCTCAACAGGTACCCCGACACGAGCCTAACTATCCCTTGGGTCAGTCTAGTGAGGCCAAGTATGTACGTCGGATGAAGATCTCGGCGGCCGCCGTGCCGTGTATGGTCCCATCTCCTGTTGCATTTTCTGCACTCAAGCCCTGATGATCGACTCGGAAGGTGTGCACCGGACCACATGGAGGCCCAGCCCGGATATTGACCCGGACGGTGGGACCCGGGTGGCAATACAATCGTCGAATTTCATGTTGTGAGTTTACTGCCGAGCTTAGCCCCAACTCGCCTATAGGGGGCGGCCCCCTAGTAACCTCGCTGCGTCCCCCGAAGAATTTGTTCCGCCCGCCGTTAGTTCCAACGTTCTGCAGCGTGAACAACCCTAACTCGTTGCTTCCGGGGCAATAGTATGGAACATGCCCCGGGGATCCAAGGGTTTGGCACCAATAGTCAGTCTTCCGGAGAATATCTCCAGTAGTTAAACTAGGTACACACCACCACTCCTCTGGCGCCTGGTGTCCGCCGTCCAAGCTCAAAATGCCATGTTAGGCTAGTTCTCCGGTCACCTCGCGTAAGGAACTGTAGATCCTGCAAGGACCTCCCGCGCCCGTCGGCTCGAATGATAGAAGGCTAGACACTTATCGCGGCAGGAGTGCGCTACTGTGGGTCATGGCCACCAAATGTCGCCATCACCGTCCCCTAACTAAACAACGTTGTTCCTAGTCTCCCCCGCACCGTCTGATGGAGTCCAATTTCATATTTGAGGCTGTCCCACTAATTACTGGAACTATTGTCCCTCCAGGCTGGCCAGACCGACCCTGTTTTACATACTGGCGGGACGATCCTCCCGTTGCTGTCATTTCCTGATCTCGCACGGTGCAGATTTTATTATTATCGCTCAGTCGGCAACATGGACCTCCCAACCAATCCCGTCAGGGTCCGTCTGTGTGCTGTGCCGCGCAGCTAGCTGCAGGAAGCTTACCTTGGAATCTTGATGCTCGGTTCGTGCCGGAGGCGGAGGTATTATCCAGACTGGATAAGGGTGCAACTGTGGCTTTTCTCGCACGCGCACGCGCATGTGGCCACGGTGCATTGACCTGCAGGCTTGCAGGAATGGGGAACACGAGTTTACTGCGTGTGGTGACGATAGAAACTCTCGTCGATAAGACTAGGTTGTCTCTGGCAAAATCGCCGTGAAGCCAATCCCAATCCGCTATCCCCGGCACTGGGTAACCCCGAAGAAAATGACATGTCCATGTAATAACTTTCGTCCCCCCACTTCCCGGAATACTATCCATGTGCCTCGGGGGCCATCCACGTTCAACACAGAATTGGCCACGTAGAGAAAACAAAAGGCCACATCTGCAAATCGCAGCGAGTGTACTAGCCGTTTCCCACTATTGTCATAAACATACACCGGCTAAGCAAATAAAGCACAATGACAAGCGACAGCCCCACAGCGGGCCATAGATCCGGCCGAAGGGGTGAAACAAGGAAAAAACAAAAAGCCAACCGAGCAATTCCGATTTGCTCATGCGTGTCTAAATCTGAGACTTCCGTCCCGAGCGCCGACCTCCGTCGGTCCTAAATCTGACATCGCACGATACGTACATAGTAGTGTTTCAGTTTTAGGCAGTTGGTCTGGGACAATGACGTGTAGATCGCGACAGGGAATACAGTCCAGTTGGGTTGTCGGGTGTGTTGCCGAGTGGGGGTTTAATCTATCTGGTGCTTTAGTTGCTGAGGCTAAAATGCTGTTTGGGGATAAAGCTTCTGGGATTGTTTTAGGATTGAGTATACAGTATACATGGAGTGGACCATATTCAATTGAGGTGTCGCAACAGAGCATGTTCTTTTCGAGGGGACCCCGAGTAATGCGAGCACGGAGTTGGTTGGGTGCATGCCCGTTCTGGCGATCATTTTATCCCTTTACGGCATACTTCCGCCGAAACCACTCGTCAACTTGCACGAGATAATACGTCCCCGGCACAAGTGTATCAGTATCGCCTACTGGAGTATAGTCCTTCTGTTGGTACGCTGTCTCCCGAAGCTGGCACATCTATCATTTATCAGTTTTCTGTTCGATATATATATACAAGAACATACCTCATCGTATACCTCAGGTGAAACCCTCACTCGGTCCGCTAGACGGGTATGCAAATCAATATTCTGCTTGATAGCCTGGACATCACCGACAACCCGCAGGCTAAACATAGTGCTTGCCAGACCACTTCCAAAACTAAACACCCCCACCCGCTTGTCAAGAAGTTCGCCGCTTGGTGTATTGCTGAGAAGGCTGATCAGACCTGCCCACACGGTTGCAGTGTACATGTTCCCACACATAGTCGGAACAGTCAAGCTAGGCTGCACGCGCAGAGTGAATCTTTCCTTGTTCAATTCTATCAAGAGTTTCTCCAAGCTCTTATCGGCAAGAGATGGCTCGTCAGACAAATCCCGAAACGTCGAAGGAATAGCCTTGGGCCCGAAAGCCGAGTTCTCGGGATCAGCAATAAAATCGTTGTACAGAAGACGCGCATACGCCTTGGCGACAAGCTTGCAGTTCGGTGCATGGAAGACAAAGTAGTCAAAGTCTTCGGTCGAAGAAGCTGCTGCATGCCTCGAATCTCCATCCAAGCCCGCGGTTTTCCCCTTATACCGTCTGTAACAAGCATCCAGAGCTTGCAGGTAACACCGAGAGGAATAATGCCCGTCGACGAGTGGATACTCAGACTTGAAGTCGGCCTTGTAGAAGTCATATGTATGCTGCATATGAGACGCGCGCACAGGCTCCAGAATAAGCGATGCATTTGGGCCCACCAGCATAGCCACGCATCCCGCGCCACCGGTGGGACGTGAAGCTGGTTGATTATAGATGGCGATGTCGGATGCCACGACGATAGCATCGCGGCCGTCCCATGCAGAGGACTCGATCCAGTGCACGGCGTTGAACAGAGCGCTGGTGCCCCCGTAACAGGCGTTGTAGGTGTCGACACCTTCGATGTCGGTATTTGTGGCGAAGAGCTGCATCAGTACGGACTTGCAGGACTTGGCCTTGTCGAGCATCGACTCAGTGCCGACTTCGAGGCGCCCGATGGAATGGGGGTCGATGGTATACTTTTGGAGGAGGGAGGAGACGGCTGTGAGAGCGAGAGAGTGGACATCTAACGCTCTGTTAGTGATGTCGATGTGAATGGAATGGATGATATCCACCCTCACGGTCATCACAGAAGCTCATGTTGGTTTGACCTAATCCAATGGTATGCTTCCCTGCACTGGCGCCGAGGAGCTTTTCCAGGTCTGATTGGGCAACGTACTACAGCAAGTTAGCTTTGAAAGATGGAATCGTGGTTAGAATATAGCTAACTCTGTTGGGGAAGTATATCTCCATGGCCTTGATACCGACGTTGTGCGGGTGTGGGCGAGCCATCATGATTGCGAGAGATTCAGTAAGAAACCTGGTTTCTGAATTTAAATACCAGAGTTGCTGGAGATCACCTGTCTATTTATACTGCCTTCTCAGTGATTTCTTCGCTGTGTTCCTGCTCAGCCCCAGGCTTAGTACCAGGCGCTGTGGGCCAGGGACTCCGACTGCTCGACTCCGGTCCAATGCGAGTTCTCATTGCCGTGTGAGATTCCCAAAGAGAGTATTTCCTTTCATCCGAAAGACCGCTAATGCCGTAGTCATCCGGTTATGGCGGGTGCCTGGGGGTGGATATGATAACATTCGTGGATGTACAGTGTAGAATGGAGTCCTTGTGCGGACATCCTTTACCTGAGATGGGTTGAGAACCCAACTCCGGAGTGCCAGGACCGAACATGCTGCATTCAAGCGTGTCTTTGGATTGGAGCTGACTCTGAGGTCGTCAATATCTGAGGATCATGACTGGGTCGCGTATACTCTTCCTTCCTTCTATCACTTACCAGGGAGGGGGCGCAAGAATGGCGGATAGTCGACACCGTACGGGTCTATGGGAATCATCATGTCCTGGGTGCGACGTTCAACTGCACTTGTGATCGCAGTCCCTATACCTCCCAGTCGCTCCTGCCTCAACCACCGCATGCTCTTGCCTTCTCGCCCTCCCATCTCTGTTTACCTTCCTCTTCCTCTCTCTCCCGCTCATCGTCTATCGTCCATCTTCTCGTCTTCTCATCCTCGCTGTTATCATCTTGCAACTCGTTCTCATCGCTTCATCTCCTCACCTTCTCCGCCGTTGCTCTTGTTGCTACCCTTGATCTTGCAACCGGTTAACTTGCCGCTCAACAAGATGAAGGAGTCCAGTGACAACAAGCTCATCGTCGTCCTGACCGCCATCGGAGCTGTGCTCGTCGTGTTGTTCTTCTCTGTCCTGTTTTTATTCCTCTGCGTGGATACCATGCAGGTGTCATCTTCCCTCAGCGGATTGTCACAGCGCTAATTTCCTGTTTGTCCAGAATCCCGCGGATCCTCGTCTGGATCGGAGTGAAGAAACGGGAGACGATACGCTCTATCTCTATCGTCGTGGAGAAGGGACCGGAGGACGCTATTGAGGCCAAAAACGTCATCAAACTCTGACGCGTGGATGGACTCGGGGGGAAGATTAGTCGTGTTGACGGACGGCTTTGTTTACGTGAAGACAGGAATGATGTATGTTCTATCCGGTATTCGATTAGGTAGTTTGACTTGCTGCTGCAAGATGATTAATTTGGTTGCGTCCTCTTCTCCCACTGCTCCATGATCGAGTCAATGATCTTTTTCAGCCCTGCCATCTCCTCCTCGATGGTCAATCCCAGCCCATTAGCGTCGATACTACACCCCACATACACGGGACGATTTATCCGTCGTGTAATAATCTTGGCAATGCGGGCCGTGTATTCAATGCTGGAGGGAGAGGTGTAAAGGGTGGTTGATATTGTTGATGTCGGGGAGGTTCGCTGCATGAGGTTAGCTATGCTGCCAACAATGCAAACACGATTGAACCGGAACCTACATCTGGCATAGCATAGACAAAGCTGCCCATCGGCTTGGCAGAGGCAGTCGAGTCTCCTGGCGTCGTAGTAGTCACAAAGACCATCGAGCACGTATCCAAGAAGGTTAAGTGCAGATGCGCGGTGGTATGCAATGATCTGGGCAGCGCAAACGAGGTCTCTAGCGGGATGACGTGGGGCGTGACCAGCTCCGTCTGGGGAAGAGAGGCGACTTCGGCAGTCATGATGGTCGGGGACTGAGTAGACACACGTTGGATATCACACCGGGACTGACTAGATGATGATCGGTGATAGTCGTGGTGGTCAGGAAGAAGAAGATGAAGATGGATGGGCCCCGCCAAAGCAAACCCACGGATCCACAACTCAATCCATCCACTTCTTCAATTCGCCCGCTCTTGATAACTACCACACCACACCCTTATTATTATTGCTATCTACAGGACAGTGTGTACTACACTCAGCAGTAGGTGGGAGGATTTGGTGGGGGAATCATGGCATCCCACTCGGTTCACCTCCAGGCGGCGGACGAAGAACGCAGCTGGGCAGGCGACTTCGATCCTTTTTCGGATCCGGAGGAACGGAGGGTCTTGTTTGCGGCCTTTGACTCTTTCAGGTAGGTAGAACTGAATCATGTCCACATCGGGAGAGAGATATTGCTTCCCTGGCTGAGTGGTGGATATAGCTTCGGGGACAGCGCTGACACCGTGCAGACAATATCGAAGAACCGCCCACTTCAACACCACCCATCGCCGCCGAAAGGCGTTCTATGCTCTGCCTTCCGCCCACTGGCAGATGCTGGCTGAGCCACCATTCTCCGTGCTGGACAGCTTCAACAAAGTCGACGATGCCATCGACACGAACGCGGAGATCGCCGAGGCCATTCTCGCCGTCGGCCTCGAGTCCTTTGACTCGACGCCGACCCGGATCCTAACGACCCGTCCCGCAACTGGCACGGCACCGCAAAAGGCGGGGACGTGAACAAGGCGCATTCGACCATCCGCCAGTTCTATCGCGACTGGAGTGCCGAGGGCCAGCCCGAGCGTGACGTCTGCTATGGCCCAGTCTTGGATGATCTACGCACCGAGTTTGAGACACAACGAACCGCGGGCGAGCAGATCCGCGTGCTCGTACCTGGTGCCGGCCTGGGACGCCTTGTTTTTGATATCTGTATGGCCGGGTACTCCGCCGAAGGCAATGAGATCTCCTACCACCAGCTGCTGGCCAGCAGCTGGGTCTTAAATCATACGGAGGGACCGCAAAAACACGCGCTATTCCCCTTTGCACTACATTTTTCGAATCTCCAATCCCGCGCGCAACAGTTACAGCGCATCGCCATCCCGGACATCCACCCGGGCACCGCCATGGCCCAAGCCACAGCGGCTACCACTCCTGGGCCCGATCAGCAGCAGCCATTGGGGGCGATGAGCATGTCGGCAGCCGATTTCGTCGTGCTGTACATGCAGCCCACGAACCGGGCGGCTTTCCACGCGGTCGCGACCGTGTTTTTCATCGACACGGCGCCCAATTTAATCCGCTACATCGAAGCGATCCGGCATTGTCTTCAGCCGGGCGGGCTGTGGATCAATGTCGGCCCGTTACTGTGGCATTTCGAGGATGGGCACGAGCAACATCCCCGCAAAGCCGACGCACAGGCGGCAGAGGATGGCCCGGGCATCGGCGAGCCTGGCACTGTGGAGTTGACGGCGGAGGAAGTGCTGAGCCTTGTGGAGCGCATGGGCTTCCGGGTTGAGCAGCGGGCGATGGTGGAGCGGCCGCTGTGCGGCTATATCCAGGACCGGGAGAGCATGCTCCAGAACCTGTACCGGCCGGAGCATTGGGTGGCGCGGAAATTGTAGTTAATCGTGTGGATCTATTATTACATTCTTTCCTCCTGGAGACCGGAGTGGTTGGAAAGTGGCATTTTCTCCAACCGCGTGGGTTCCTGGCGTTGGGGCCGAAAAGTGGCCACAGAGGAAAACAGGGCGTTCCGTGGGTCGCCCATCGAACCAGACGGAGACGAGTGTAAACAAAGAAAAAGAAGGGAAGCAGGGAAGAATGAACGCATGCATGCCTGGAGCGTAGGAGGTGACCGGCGGAGATGCGGAAGAATAGTAACGACTAGTGGCCGAGGACGACACGCTCACCCCGCGAGAGACGGTGAGCCCTCCGAAACTACTATGAAGTTCTCGGTCAACCACCATTCATGATCTAAGTATAGGCGCCCGTGGACTCGAGCCGAACGGAGTAATCCTCGACTCCTACGTTCCCCTGATCGGAATACTACTGAGCCTCGTATCTCAGCCTCTCGCTCTCCATCAGCCTCTTGGCCCCCTCCTGGCTCTCTTTTCCCTTCCTTCCTCCCGTCCTTTTTACTTCCCTCCCCCCTCCCCTTCCTTCTCTTTTCTTCTTCTTGCCACCTATGGACTCCATGAGTCGACTCAAGGCCTTCGGTTTCCGTCGCGACAAAAAGAACAACAACATCCCAACCTCATCCTCTCCCACCCCTCCGCCAGTCAACCTCCTCGTCAACACCACCTCCAACGGGACCGCGTCGCCCCCCCCTTCTGGCGACAACACTTCTTCAACCCATAGCCTTCCCATGAACAATAACCAGTTGGCCCGCCCACCAAGTTACCCCGTCGGTCGTCCTACATCTCCTATGGTGCCCGGTCAGCAGCAGCTTGGCCACCATCCGCCCCCAATCAACACCAATCTCCAATACGGCCAACAGCCCGCCCAACAAATGAATCCCCCGCCCTACGGGATGCAGGCCGTGCCCCACGGCATCCCGCAGAACATGTCTCAGCCAGGATATGCTGGGCGCATCAACACCGACGCTGATGGCGGTCGCGGCAAGGCTCAGTTGATTGTGGGAATTGACTTTGGCACTACTTTCTCCGGTGTCGCATTCGCTTTTGCGACCAACAATGAGGCTCGGGAAGATATCATTACCGAATGGCCGGGCGCTGGAACACACACCAAACAAAAAGTAAACAGAACTTCCCCCCGCCAATTGATTGCCTGATCATCCCACTAACTCCCATGCCAGATCCCGACAGTCCTCTACTATGACCAGTATCAAAAAGTCGTCGGCTGGGGGCCTGACATCGCCGATGCCCTCGCCCCCACCGGATACCCCAAACCCGGCGTGCAAAAGGTCGAGTGGTTCAAGCTCCAGCTCATGCTGTCCGGAAATACCTATATCGACCCCATCAACTTGCCCCCGCTCCCGCCAGGAAAGTCCGAGATCGACGTGGCGGCTGACTACCTCTTCAAGCTGCGCCAAGCCATGCGCGCTCAGCTGCAGAAGACGCTGGGCGAGGTGTTCACCCGTGAGGAGCGCAACATCCGCTACTATCTGACCGTGCCTGCCATCTGGAACGATGCCGGCAAGGCAGCCACACGCGCCGCTGCCATCCAGGCCGGTTTCTTGCGTGACGAGAATGACAACCGACTGACGCTCGTGTCGGAGCCCGAGGCCGCGGCGCTCTTCTGTGCCAAGACCGGACTGCTGAACCTGAAAGTCGGCGATGCCATCCTGATTGTCGACTGCGGTGGTGGTACGGTGGATCTGATTGCTTACGAGGTCGAGGAAGAGCAGCCGTTCAGTGTCATGGAGTGCACAGCTGGATCTGGTGATTCGTGCGGTTCGACGGCGCTGAACCGGAATTTCAGCAATATCCTGCGCGCTAAGATCCGCAAGATGAAGCTTCCGGACGGCTCGAGGACGGCGGGTAAGGTCTACGCCAAGTGTATCATGGACTTTGAGAACCGCATCAAGGCCGACTTCCGCAACAACGGACAGAAGTGGGCGGTGGATGTGGGTATCGAGGCCGATTTCCCGGACGCCGGCATCGAGGAGGGCTACATGACCTTCACCAATGAGGAGATTCTTCAGTGTTTCGAACCGGTCGTCAATCGGATCCTGGAGTTGGTGCGCAACCAGATCATCGCCATTCAAGCGCAGAACCGTTCGCTTCAGGTAAAAATTTCTTTTTTTGATATGTGTTTGTTCACAGCTGACTGTATTCGCAGAATGTCTTGGTTGTGGGTGGTTTCGGTGCATCCGAGTACCTCTTCCAGCAGATTCGACTCCACGTTCCTCCGCAGTACCAGACCAAGGTGGTGCGGCCCATGGACTCGGTGGCGGCTATTGTCAAGGGTGCCGTAACAGCCGGTATCACCGAGCGAGTGATCACCCACCGTGTCGCGCGTCGGCACTACCTGATGGCCACGCTGCAGCCCTTCAAGGAGGGATACCACCCAGAGCAGTACCGGGTACCCAGTCTGGACGGCCGCGACCGCTGCAAGTATACGCGGCAGATCTTCGTGCAGAAGGGCGAGCGTGTCAAGATCGGCGAACCCGTCAAGGTCAGCTTCTTCCGTCAGGTCGCCCCCGGCGCTACCCTCATGTACGAGGACGTGCTGTACGCGTGCGACGAGGATGTGTGCCCAGAATATACCAAGGATCCCCGTGAGTCTTGTCCGAACTTTGATTACGACGTATACGTACTGACTCCTTCCAGGCATCAAGGAAGTCGTCACGCTCACGTCGGACCTCTCGCGCAAGAACCTCGAAACGGACTTTGAGCGCATGGATACCCCGCAGGGTATCTTCTACCGCGTCTACTTCGACATCTACCTTACTCTGGATGGAAGTGAATTCAGTGCCGAGCTGGTGTGCCAGAACGAAATCATGGGCCGCTGCCGAGCCAAATTTAGGTGATCTACTACCAACCACTACATACAAAATTGGCGACAGACAGAGAGAAAGATTTGGAAGTACGTACATACCTGGCTTGGCTTGGATGGAAGAGAGGGATGGATGGATGGATGGGATGTGATACACGGCGGACCCACGGGGATCTCTGCTTACCTGAACAGCACTGCACTGGAGAATGGGCGTTGTTTGATTGATGATTGCGCTCGAGTCCTTTGGATGCCCCTTACCCTTGCACTTTACCCTTTGCACTTTGCACTTGCACTTCCCCCCCGAAATACATGCTTGTCGTTTTTTATCTTCTTGTGGTGGAAGGGTTTTTTGTGATCTTTTCGTTCTTCTACTTCTCTTAGATACCTCTGACCTTGCTTTACTTTCAATGATACCGACGAGCCAACTTGTTGCATTGTAATCCACGTATATGCATGTTCCCGTACATGTGCATCTCCCCAAGACTGACTATTTGATATGAAATCATGATTCAATTGATAGATAATTCATGTACTATCCTGTGTTCTAAACAGAAAAGAAAGGGAGAAAGAGAAGATCAAGTCTCTAGATTAATACTCCTCCCAAAGCGCGCATACAGCGCCACCTTGAGCGACTGCAACTCCTCGCGCAAGTCGCCCAGCGAATCCTCCAGCTTCGACACGTCTCCGTCAATGCGCTCCGACGAGGAGGCAAGCATGGCCTGCGCGTCGGAGAGGGGCAGTTGGAAGAAGGAGTCGCCGATTTTGTAGCTAGAGATTCAATGAGTATCGGGTGTATGCAAGTATACCAGCCAGGCAAGCATTTTTTCCTGAGACTAGGATGGAACGAAGAGAATATCGCATAAATACTTACGGGACGAGGTCATCTTCATCGGCTAGTTCGAGTTCCATGGAGACTTCTTCGAGGTCTTCTTTGTCTTTCTGTACGGACATTGTTAGTGCCATTCAATGTTAAAAATTGGAAAGCAAGGGGCGTGGCATACTTGTTTCCCCTTCAGTTGCTCTTCCAGCACTGTCTCCCGCTGGTGCAGGCGGCTGAACCGGTTAATCTTCTCCTGGTCCTCGCGGCGCACCTCGTTGTCCTCTGACCCGCCCGCGCCTTCTTCGTCTTTTGAGAGCTGCGGGAGTGTTAGTGGATGTGGTTAATCTGCTGGGCTACGTGGAATTGGGCGTCTCTTACCATGCGTGGCTGGACCATCTTGGCTGTGGGGAGTAAGTGTTGTCGCGGCGGTTAATCGTTCAATGTGGAAGTGGCAGATGTTGCGGTGGTCCGTGCGCGGTGGGTGTGTGGACAAGTGTAGCATGGACGATCCGGACGGAGGACATGGGACGATTGAGAGATAGAGAATGCAACAGGGAGAGAGGTAGGGATAGCGAATTCTCTCCTGACTGTGCCTAGGGGTATGTTCTCGGTGCCTCGTGGTGTAGACCAAGTGACATCATATCCGCTGAGTGTCTCCCGTGGCCAGGACAGTCAGGCAGACACTACTTCCGACGCAACAACATCCATTGCTCTCGACGCCACACCCCCATCCACCGTCTACATAGCCAACACCTACCTCGCCCTCCACCCTCCAATTTCCTTCATCCAAACCGGTATTTGAGCACGTGCTCGCCCTCCGCCTTCGCACCCCCCGGACTGCGCTGCAGTTCCGGCTTCGTCGATCCTCCTGTCCTCCCTCACCACCCACCACCACCATGCGAATACAATCCACCGCCTCGCTAGCGCTATCACTGCTGCTACCACTAGCAGCAGCATCCGGCTTCGACTGCGCGCACATCAAAGAAGACGGCTACAAATACGACCTCAGCGCACTGGGCGGCGTGCACGAGCTGTACCATGTCAACCGAACCGACGGCTTGGTCACCAACACCACCTATGTGCTCAATATCTGCAATATCCTGAAAGGAGCTGCCACTCGCGGGACGCTCAAGTGCGGAACCTCTAAGAATAGTGCGACCACCTTCCTTCTTTCTTCCCCTTAAGCCTAAACCCTTGAAGAAGAAGAAAAGAAAAAGATAATAAAAAAGGACCTATGCTGACCCTTTCTCCCGTTCTCTCCTCTCCAGTCTGCGGCTTCGTCGAACAATATTCCGAAACCGACAAAAGCTTCAACCCCTTCACTTTCCCAATCGTCGGCCTCGACCCCCTAGGCCACGGCTCCAAGGACCCGGAGATCACGCGCCTGAAGAAGATCGATCCCGACCGTGAGGGGCTGCTCGTCAAGCTGACTGGCGGCGAGTATCGCGGGGATGACAACAAGGGCAAGAAGAAGAACGCCGGCGCGGTTATTGAGTTCGTGTGTGATCCGGACCGTTCTGGACTCGAGGGATTGGTCGACGAGGATGATATGAAGCGGAGATCTGCTGCTGTCGTCGTCGCCGAAGACGAAGACGAGAGTTCCCGTGACAAGAGCTTGTCGTTTAAGAGCTTTGGCAAGGCTGATGGGGATTCCTACGTGCTGAAGCTGGACTGGCGCACGAGGTATGCTTGCGATGAGTATAAGGGAGGCGATGGCAAGGGGGATGATGGTGGTGATAATGATAGAGAGGATGCGTCGGGGAGTCACTGGGGGTTCTTTACGTGGATGATTATCATGTGAGTGATGAGTTGACTCTGCCTCGCCTGACACCTCTTATTTGTTCACTTTCTAATTGTGTTTTCACAACAGTCTCTTCCTCGGCACAGCCACCTACCTCATCTTCGGCTCCTGGCTAAACTACAGCCGCTACGGCGCCCGCGGCTGGGACCTGCTCCCGCACGGCGACACCATCCGCGACATTCCATACATCTTCCAAGACTGGCTGCGCCGCGTGATCAATACCCTCCAGGGAACGGGGTCGCGGGGCGGCTATAGTGCTGTCTGAGTTGATTGTGCCGATCATGGGTGTTTGTCTGTTTGACCTGTGTGTATGTGTGTATTTCTTCTATGGCGATATATAAACCGTTTTCTCCGGAGGGAGGGTGGTTTGCTTCGACCGGCCGAACTTCTCTTGTGTTTTAGCTTGGCCATCTATAAAGGCTACCTATTTGTACTCCGAGATCGGTGCATGGTTTATTTGTTTTCTTGTGCAGTAGGCATAATTAGACATAGTATTCTATGGCGCCGAATGCCGAGCTGGGCATTTGGTTTGGTTGGGAAGGAGGAAGATACAGAGCGCTCTGTATGTACTACCATTTACCGGAACACAGCGGGATGTTTCTGCTTCTCGATGATGAGGAACGTACCCCTTCCAGCGCCAGGGTGTATTCTATCATAACGTTGTCCTCTGAATATCACATTACGATCTTGGTAGCACTGCTAAGGACGGACATTCTTGTTTTCATATTGGAGTAGCTAGAGAGTGAGCAAGGGCCTGAGAGAGCAATGTCAATTGTGTGAAAATCCACAGGACAGACACCTGTGGAAGACTGGTATTGCCCCTGTGTCTATCTTAGCTAACCCTTCGTTGGTAGATATCGCGAGCACCAGTGATTTGAGAATATATTCATAATAATCATGCCAAATATTCACCCTCGACCAGTACTGAACTCTTCAAGAGTGGGCCCATCTCAACTATTTCAGGTGCACGGAAATACGAGGACAACGGAGCTGGAAACTGGGGTCGGTTACGGACTGCCCCAGATTCGGATTTACGTATACTTCCGCATGTGCTGCACTGCACTACTACGCCCATGCAAGAATTCAACAAGTAACATGGCTGGGCACATTCCGTAACTAATCATTATCATACCAACAGTCTCCCCACACGCAACTAATAACTCAAGACGCGCAAACCTGAGTAGATCCGATCAGCGCAGATCGAAGCTGATCCCCACCCACCCCCTCAAGCTATAAGACAACAAAACCACGCAAACACAAGAATCATTCTTCATCAATTGACGTCAAAGCACATGCAAGACAAGCCAATGCACAATATGTCTGAAGGAAAAGCACCCTCGAAACCTCTCTCTGCCCCTCCCCGCGAAACGACAGGACACAGAGCTGCCGAGATGGCGTCATCCGGACTAAAATGAGAATCGGCGTCGTCATGCCAGGGGTGAAGAAGCCAAAACAGCGGTCAGAGAGGTCAAAAAGCGTGAGATTCGTGGCAATTCAAGTGCTAGGAATAATAGAAAAGCTGACTGGGCCCCTTGCCCTGAGTCCTCCTCCTCTTCCTCTTCCTCTTCCGCCTCCGCACCCTCTTACTCGAGTACATAATCCTTCTCATTCGGACATGTATGACATACACCTGTCTCGATGTGTCCCTTATTCAACAAGGGATAACAAACAAGGACATGCAGTGCTGCCTTCTACACTCTCACAGCAAACTGCTTCAGGTACAGATAGTCGGCCATGTTGTCGTCGACCGTCTTGCGAATAAGCCGGGCAGCCTTCTCGCCGTACCTCTCCCGCCACTCGGCATCAAACTCTTCCTCTGACTTGAGGGCATGCGGCTGGAGAATGCAACGTTAGCATCCCTTATATATCCTATCAGACCAGACCAACTTACATGCTGTCTCGCCTCCAGACCCTTGGACTCGATCGCATCATTGTGGAACCCACGCCACTTCTCAAACGCCCAGCACGCAAACGCATGGTCCTCCTCGGTGTCCCACGACAGCATCGCCTCCGTATACGGCATATGCACACTACGACAGAACGCCTCGATGGTCTTCGCCGGCGCATCGAGCATATCATCCGCATCGATGACACAGATCTCCTGGACGGTGGTGTCGCCCTCGCACTCCTCCGGGCTCAAGTCCGGCCGCGTCGCCACCCGCGGTCCGACCAGTCCCTCGTTCCGCAGGTAGTCGAAGTGCCGGCGCAGCTCGTCGTACCCGGCTTCCAGGGGGTCATAGCTATAGAAGCCCGTGACCTTGTCCAGCGGCGGGATCGTGCACCGGTAGTACGAAGGCACGCTGTAGTGCGGGTCGCGGATCAGAAACGCGAAGTGAAACTGCTCTTGGAGCCGGCGCGGCATAACCGTCGGGTTGCCTGGCTCCGGGAGCGTGTTGTACGGGAACGGTTCCTTGCTGGCGTGCTTGGCAGCCCCGTTAGTTACGCCGTTGGCAGTCCCGTTGCTGGTCGTGCCGTTGGCATGAGCGTGCCCATTGACACCGTTGGCAGTCCCGTTACTGGTCGTGCCGTTGGCATGAGCGTGCCCATTGACACCGTTGGCGGTGCCATTGGTGGTAGCGCCGTTCGCGCTACCGTTAACCACCGAGCCGTTTACGCCGTTGGTCGGCGCGGTGGTGGAGTGGCCGTTGGCATGACCGGAGCCGTTGACGGCACCGTTCACGCCATTGGCCTGGTTGTGGCCGTTGATGCCGTTCGTAGTTCCGACGCCGCGCTTAATGCGCTGCAGCGAGGGCGCCGGGCTGGCGGGTTTACCGGCCGGCGGCAGCAGGTAGTGGTCGATGTCCTTGATGAAGACTCTCTTTCCCTGCTTGCACGGTAAGTATCCCCTCGGAAACAAAAAAAAATGTAAATTTCGCAAGGCGAACGGAACGACGGTCCTCTGAACACGTCTGGTTCGGTTTCGTGGTTGTATACGTATGACAAAAAGCAAGGCAGGGGGGAATGTAAGCAGGGCATACACCGCTCCATCGTGTAGAACACGAGGAGTGATTACGGCAAAGCAAGAACAGAACGCAAAGAGAGGTTGGAGAAGGGTCGGACCTCAGAAGCTTCTCTATTAATCCTCTCCATCACGGTGGCGTAGGTCGACTGGCTGAATCCGCTGTCAAGGCGAGCCTGTTCGTCCTCGGCAAACCGGTCGGAGAGACGCTCGGGGCCATAGTAGAAGGCGTCGCCGAACGGCTCGTGGACACATTGGATCGAGTCCCGTTGGGTCATGAAGACCTGTATCACCAGTCAGCCACGAATGAGTCTTTAGCCGGGAGGATTAAGGTAGGTCTGTACCCGCTCAAAGGCTGTCGAGCAGGCGCGCGGATGCGTCGCCACAAAGATCGGCTTCATGGACATGATGAGACCGTGCACGTAGCAAAGAGTATGTCAATAGATAATAATAGATAGGTCAAATAGAATTTGTTCCTGCGTGGATCCGAGCTAGATGGCTGGCTGGGTGGATGGATGATGGATGATGACCCGGCAGAATCAGGATGGAGTAGTAATACTCCAATGAAATGTCAAATAATGGCATGCCCCGCCAGCAAATGCGAGGGTCGCGCGATGACTTCAGCCGTCAACGGGATGGCGTGAGAACGGGAGGTACCAGGTTTTTTATATTCCAGTCCCTAAGAACAGTCTGGAAAGTACGGATATCGAGGCACAGCAACCGGGTGGCTGCTAAAGCTACCAGTCTTGGTCGTCTCCACGACCCATATTTCTCGCCAGTGATGGTTTCCATTGAAACTACCTAAGTGGGCTGGTTACATCTCTGCGGCGAGAGCATTGTCTCGACTCTGTTCATAGGCAAATCACGCAGCCCCAAGCCCCTCCCTGCTGCTTCTATTTTTTCCCCTAGAAAGCCGGTCAGGGCCAATGGGAAGACCGGGGGTGGGCAGCAGGTTCCAGCCCGACGGCGTGAGCGTATCCACGGTCTGATCATGCTCCGCCGAGAAAGTCTCGGGTGCCGTAGCTCGGTGAGCATGCGCGATTATTCCTCTGCAGCAGCAGCAGAAACAGGGCACGATTAGGTCGAATGTACCATGTATCTCGGCCGAGGTCTAGGTCTGATCCCGGGTAAATAACCACAATTCATTGTCTCGACTTCTGGGAACCGGGCGCGCTTGACGTCATGCACGGCCAGGGGGGGTTTTCCGGCGGCAATCGAGGGAAATCTCGGAAGCAGAGTTGCATGGGCATGCTACAACTAAAGGGATGGATGGATGTGCCTGGCAGGAGTAGTGGGTGTAGGAGTGTTGCGTGCGGGATCCCTGCATCTGGCAGTCTTCTAAAGCGATGTCAGTTGAGGTGGGATCAGATGTTCACCCACGCTGAGGACAAGGTATCCTCCTGCTCCACTATAGGCCCCCCGAACCAGCTCCGGGAGTGGAGACATGTGCGACGCCCATCATCATCATAATCCACGGCAGGTGGAATCATGGAATGTTGCCAAAACAAGGCCAACACAAGGCGGGGGGAAAGATCGATTCGCGAGGCACGTGATCTAATCATGTGACATTTCAATCAGGTGACTTCGCGCAGCTTCTGGAAGGCGGTAGAAGGTACTCGTTGCGTCATAAGCTGGTCAGCAGCTTCGGGCAGCGTCTAGATGTTTCATACATAGCACATATATACATCAGTCTTCGGTCACTTCTCTCGCTCACCCTCTTTCACTCTCTTTGCTCTCATAACCCCACCATGAACGGTGCTCAATTCACTGATCGCGCCAACAAGGCCTTGCTGGATTCCAGCGCTCTGGCCGAACAATATGCTCACTCTCAAATCCTCCCCATGCACTTGGCAGTGTCCCTGCTCAACCCCTCCCCAGATGACGGCCAGGACCAACAACAGCCCGCCGGCCACTCCTCACACGATTCATCCTCTTCACCTCTCTTCCGGCAGGTCATAGAACGGGCCCACGGTGATCCGCAACTTCTCGACCGCTCTTTGATGAAGATGTTGGTGCGGCTGCCAAGTCAAGACCCCCCACCAGAGACGGTCGCCGTCTCCCCCGCCCTGGCAAAAGTGATCCGATCGGCCACAGAACTGTCCAAAACCCAAAAAGACAGCTTCGTGGCCATTGACCACCTGATCCAAGCCGTGAGCCAGGACTCCCAGGTCCAGCGCGGACTGGCCGATGCCAACATCCCCAACCTCAAATTGATCGACACGGCTGTGCAGCAGATCCGGGGCACGCGCCGCGTCGACTCCAAGACTGCCGACTCAGAAGGCGAAAATGAAAACCTCAAGAAATTTACTATCGATATGACTTCGCTAGCTCGCGAGGGCAAGATCGACCCCGTCATCGGACGAGAAGAGGAAATCCGTCGTGTTATTCGCATCCTTAGTCGGCGGACCAAAAACAATCCTGTCCTCATCGGCGAACCTGGTGTGGGTAAGACCACCATCGTCGAGGGTCTGGCCCGTCGGATCGTCAACGCCGATATCCCCGCCAACCTGGCCCAATGCCGGCTCCTTTCCCTCGATGTGGGATCCTTGGTTGCTGGAAGCAAGTACCGTGGCGAGTTCGAAGAACGGATGAAGGGCGTCCTCAAGGAGATCGAAGATTCAAACGACACGATCGTCTTGTTTGTCGACGAGATCCACCTGCTGATGGGCGCCGGGTCGAGCGGTGAAGGCGGCATGGATGCTGCAAACCTGCTCAAGCCCATGCTCGCTCGCGGCCAGCTGCACTGCATCGGCGCAACCACTCTCGGTGAATACCGCAAGTATATTGAGAAGGACCAAGCTTTCGAGCGACGATTCCAGCAGGTCCTGGTTAAGGAGCCCACCGTGTCTGAAACCATCTCGATCCTCCGTGGTCTGAAGGAGAAGTATGAAGTCCACCACGGTGTCAACATTCTCGACGGTGCCATCGTCACTGCGGCCACCCTGGCCTCGCGCTACCTCACAGCCCGTCGACTGCCTGATTCCGCCGTGGACCTGGTCGATGAGGCTGCCGCTGCGGTCCGTGTGACCCGCGAATCTGAGCCCGAAGCTCTGGATACCTTGGAACGGAAATCACGGCAACTCCAGATTGAAATCCACGCTCTGGAGCGTGAGCAGGATGAAGCGTCCAAGACTAGGCTGGAGGCCGCCAAGCAGGAAGCTGCCAACGTCATCGAGGAGCTGCGCCCGATGCGCGAGAAGTACGAAAGCGAGAAGCAGCGCAGCAGAGAGGTCCAGGACGCCAAGATCAAACTCGATTCGCTCAAGGTAAAGCGGGACGAGGCCGAGCGCATGGGCGACACTCAGACGGCCGCTGATCTCGAGTACTACGCCATTCCCGAAACAAAACAACTCATCGAACGACTGGAGGCTGACCGCGCCCGGGCTGATGCGGAACGTCGCGCGCAGCAGGGTGAGGCCGGCGAGGCTCTTCTGGCTGATGCAGTTGGCCCCGAGCAGATCAATGAGATCGTCGCCCGGTGGACTGGTATCCCCGTCACACGTCTGAAGACCACTGAGAAGGATAAGCTTCTTCACATGGAGAAATACCTGGGCAAAGTCGTCATCGGCCAAAAGGAGGCCGTGGTTTCGGTCTCGAATGCAATCCGTCTGCAGCGCTCGGGACTCAGCAATCCCAACTCGCCCCCGAGCTTTTTGTTCTGCGGTCCTTCTGGTACGGGTAAGACGCTGCTCACCAAGGCGCTGGCCGAGTTCCTCTTCGACGATCCGAAGGCGATGATCCGGTTCGACATGTCCGAATACCAAGAGCGACACTCGCTCAGCCGAATGATCGGCGCACCACCCGGCTACGTCGGCCACGATGCCGGTGGCCAGCTGACGGAGAGCTTGCGCCGCCGCCCCTTCTCAATCCTGTTATTCGACGAAGTCGAGAAGGCTGCTAAAGAGGTTCTTACTGTCCTGCTGCAACTCATGGACGACGGGCGCATCACCGACGGCCAAGGCCGCATCGTCGACGCCAAGAACTGCATCGTCGTCATGACTTCCAACCTGGGCGCCGGGTACCTCTCCCGGCCCACCACCAAGGACGGCCACATCGACGCGCAAACCCGTGAACTGGTCATGGGCGCCTTGCGCGACTACTTCCTGCCCGAATTTCTGAACCGGATCTCCAGCACGGTGATCTTCAACCGGCTCACCAAGAGGGAAATCCGAAAGATCGTCGACCTCCGTCTGTCGGAAGTGCAGAAACGTCTTGAGCACAACGGCCGTAATGTACTCATCGACTGCACCGAGGAAGTCAAGGACTACCTTGGCGCCGCGGGATACTCGCCGGCCTACGGTGCACGCCCTCTGGGCCGTATCATTGAGCGCGAGGTCCTCAATCGTCTCGCGGTGCTGATGCTGCGCGGCAGCGTCAAGGATGGTGAGAAGGCTCGCGTAGTTATGCGCGATGGCCATATCGATGTCTTGCCTAATCATGAGCTGGACTCGAGTGATGATGAAGATTTTGACGAGGATATGATTGATGATGAGGATGCTCTTGCTGAGATGGATGATAATAGTGGTGACATGGATCTCTACGAAGAGTAGATCGCTCCTCTTCCGGTCGTTGCATAAAAGCACGGAGGAATCATTTTGGACATCTTGGACATTGATTACGACTTATGGTGTTTGCTTTTGATTTTTCTTTTTTGAGATTTGGCATGGTGCTTGAGATCCTGCATTTGTTTCTTTTTTGTTTCTATCATAAGGTCCTGGCCCTGGACTTATAAGTCCCCAGGGGGAGGAGAGTAGTTGCGCACTTCCTCTCGTTAATACAAAAGCTATACTATATATTGAGAAATAAGATGAACTTGTCTATTACCCATCTCATCTCTGATGTAAAAGTAATTACGAAGATAGAGGATCAATATGAAAAAACATAATTACTTTTATAACTCACTTCCCAACCACAACCGGATATCTATGTAACAAGTGAAACTGCAAGTAAGTATTAAGAAGACGCCATCATGCAAGAACCAGACGAGAAGCAAAGAAAAGCGTCTCATGCATCATGAAATAGACATAGCTTGTAAATCGTGACCCAAGACAGAAGGAAAGTATACATCGTGACCAATAGCATTTGCAAATCATGACTTCTGCTCTTCCGCCTCTTCCTCGTACCCCTCAGTCTTCATATCCTTCAAGCCAAGATCATCCTCCTCCTCGTCGGTACGGGTGTATTCCTCACTCGTGATCTGCGGATCCGCCGCAGGCGCACACAGATCCTGGACGTAGCTGTTCGCCAAAGGATCTTCGAGGGTGATGGTGAATTTCAGCTCGCCCGAGATAGCGGCGTCCAGGTTGGCGAAGAAGCGGTCCCACTTCTGCTTATCGGAACTGGCCATGCTGTCACCACCGGCGTGGCCCACATCCTCGATATCATAGAGATTCGAGGACAATTGCTCCTTGATCTCCGTCAGGAGACCCTCCACGGTAGTGAAGCGACCACCTAGGGTTCCAGGTCTTGGGTTTTGCTGTTAGCCTCAGTTCCCTTAGATAAATAATGGAATACATACTGCACTTCGAGTTCGAGTTCCTGGCTGGACAGCGCGCAGGTGTCGGACTTTAGGATGTCTCGAGACAGATCGACGATATTCTCCACCTTGAGAGTAATCCGCTTGCCCTTCTCTGGGATTGAGCCACCGGTCTTAACTTCGTTGCTCTTGTATCCGCAACCTTCGCCTTCGCCTTGGCCCGCTTGGCCGTCGATAACGGTTCCGTCGCATACAGTTGACCAGATGAAAACTTCTTTGAAATGCGGAATGTGGACCTGGAATCATCACTTAATAACCGTTCGATTAGCTTGGTAAGCGGAAGGGCGTACCTTTTTCATGTTGACCACACAGGGTTTGGTGCAGGCCGGGCAATGCGCGGGGAGAGTGTAGACTTGTCCATCAACGATCTCGGACTCATCAAGCTCGGTCTCGGTCATTGGGACTCCATGATGTTTGCCAGTTTCGGGGTCGGAAGCGAGACCCAGCTCTTCGTTCTGCTCAGCGGTGCGAGGGTATTCAGCACGGCGGTACTTCTTGCCACGGTCGGTTGTATTGGGCGCGATCCAAGAGTTGCCCGTCGGGTCGTCTACGGAGACGGTGAATGGGAAACCCTTGCGATCCAGAATATCCTTCAATTTCTGGATGATCGGCTCGAGAGCGTCGTGGAGTTCGGGGGCCTGCGCTTTACGAAGAGGCTGCTCGCTTGCCAGCGACTCGTGGATGCGCATTATGACGCCCTCGATGTTAGTGAGCTGGCTCTCACCCTTGGGCATCTCAATACCCAGCGATTCCACCTTGAAAATGGAGACATCGCTGCGAATCACCTGGCGCTGGAGATCGTCCTCGTTCTCCACGTCCAACGTGTACTTGCTTCCCTTCTCCTGGATCTGGCCGGCCGACTTGACGGAGTTGTCTTTGAAATAGCAGTGTGGGCACTCGAACGACTCGAGGATTATATCGCGGAAGAAGGGGACTTTCAAAAGCAACAAACGGGTCGTTCCGGTTTCGTGGCAGTTCATGCAGAGGCTCTCCACGGTCATAACCCCAGTGTCTTCATCTTGTTCGACAAGATCGCCGATCTTCTGGAACTGCGACTGGGGCGCCGTGGTGTCGGTGGCGTCAGTGGACATCATGGGAGGGCTCGTGGGGTTGTGGAAGGAGTGTCGAGCAAGGAAAGAAAGTATAAGTTCTTATCGAGTAAAAAAAATCTCCCATCGAACATTCCGCGTTCTTCGCTGGTGGGGGCTGACTCAGCGCTGCACAAAGGATTCATTAATTAGTTACGTCAAGCATAAACAGCTAATTTACTTCCAAACTCGCTTTTACTTCAGATTCCAGCTCAGTACTTTGTTTGTCTAGTATTTTTTCAAAAATTCTCAGTTCCTCATGGTACAGCTTCCAACTACCCGGGTTATTGTTGGCACAGCGATTCGGTCTACCACAGTGCAATGATGGAGTGTATCGAATACCACTTCTGAGCACTGAACGACCCAAGGATAAGGGAAATACATGTCAAGCAAATTTACCTAGAAACTTCCGAATTATCTCACCTCCAATGGTATCAGCGACCCCGGTATGACTACATTGAATTCTTCCACTCCAAGAGAGATTGACTGCACAGAGATTGCCGTCGTTGGCACAGAGCGGGGGTGAGAGCAAGATGAAGGACGCCTGGTTTTGTATAAGGATTTGGTGTATCAAGCGTATGCGTAGTGGGGAGTTCCTCAAATGAGAGAGACTGGTAAGCGCCAGCCAAGGTATCATGGGTGAGTGAGTAGAGCAAGGTCAGACAGAGCTCAGCGTGAGTGTCGAGGAGGAGGTTGGAGCGGAGGAGATGAAGCCGAGGAAGAGGAATTTGGGGGTGAGTAGAGCAAGATCAGACAGAGCTCTGCGCGAGGGTCGTAAACTTCTAGTTGCATCTATGCCAAGTGCATGCGAACTCTCGGGTCTCTGCTGTTCCTGCTCAATGTCCTCGTTGCATGTTCTCGAGCGTCAGCCTGTAGGTAGTAGCTTGCGTCGATGCCGCAAGTGGTAAATACAAGACTAGGGAAGGGTCCGGCTGCAAGATCTCGTACTTCTACGCGGGACGTGGCTTCGAAGCCAAAGCGTAGAACTTACATGCCATAGGTGCAGGATCTCTGTTAATGAACTCCTTCCGACGAGCTTCTCGAAAGACTCCTAGAAAGCCTTCCCTCGGTGGCATCAGCACACAAGCCCGCGGTGTTAGTGGCAGCTCGCGTCGGAGCCTTCGTCGTTAGAGGCGTAGAGGCAATTGGGGTCACGTCAAATGGTACGGCAAGAATATTACCTTGTCCGTAAGAGACTACTCCTAGGTCATAATCAGTCATGTGTTTCACCTTCATCTGGCTGTTAAGGTTAGCATACAAGGTGTTGTTGGGAAAGTCCACAAGTGCGTGTGGCATGAAAGGAACAGATGTGAATATTTACTACAAGGGCCTGCGACGAATGTCATAGATGGTGCGGTTAAGCAATGGCAAAGTCGTTCCCAACTTGAGTACATGTGTGGCTTTCGGCCAGTGCCTGAGATCTTTTTAAAATCTCGGGTCCCCCGTAAAGTTCTGACTATGCCAGCTCTGACTTGGAGGGCATTCCGTAAGCCCGGACATCCCGCGAGACCTGATTAAGGGTGGACAAGGTTGATGATCCACCGGAGTGTTTCCCGAATCGGTTTTCGTATTAGGGCAAGTATACTCCGTACAAGAAACCGGATTCAGCGCAATTGCGAAATCGGAGAGTCGATCATCAGCTCTCCTGCGCCAACCACCATGGTCGATTTGGAGATTTCGGAGAATCACAGCCAAGAAGAGTAAGCGGACCGCGCTGAAACAGCCGTGGGTCACCGAAACTCAGATCGAGAGCTGAGTTTAGGTTTAGATTGAATGAATAGTACGAAGGTTAAACCGGCCTTCTTGGCCCTGCACGAGGAAAAATTGTAAAAAACCGAACTTGTCCAGTGAGGGAGAAAAAGGAAAGCGAGAACCATGACCAGCGGGAATTGACAATAGCCGCCTCCGGACTCCAGAGCTCAACTCCTCGTTCCTTTGCAATGGATTGATTGCTGGGACGTTTTTAGTTTGTGTGAGCCGTGGATCGGTCGAGACTGATTGACATCGTGGCTAATTTTACTACCCGGCAGGGCAGCTGCCGGATGAAAGGAAACCAAGTACCAGTGGAGACTGATCTTCGTTCGCACATATTGAACTGGGGACAGGCCAAGTATTGGATCGTTCAAATGGTGATCGGAAATTACCGCGCACGGGGATTTTGGGTTTTCTAGCCTTCTAGAAGAGAGCTCCATAATGACTCTCCAATCAAGTTGGAACCACATTCGGTGCCTTTCTGGTAAGAAGAGATCGGGGGGGGAGGGTGTATCCACGGATGTCCTGGACGAGGCGGGAGATCGCCAAGAGTGGTAGAGTAGCCTACAAAGTGTATGGGTCGACTCGGAGAAATGTCCTTGTGCGGAAACTGCTGTAACCGTTGTAATTCCTCCATCCCTCTAAACATAATGCGATATCTAAAAAAAATGGTGCAAATAATTTGTACAGGAGAAATGGCCAAAAGGGTATCAGGCCACCTCGACTCCGTCTATTCATAATAAGCAATGGTTTTCTCTGAACAATGTTACACAGCCTCATCTCCACGAGCAGCATGCGCAGTACTGGGCTCGAAGCGCTCCGGCCTTGTGTCGTGTTGGACAGTAATCGTAATGTCCTGTTGGATGCGCAGAGCGCGCGACGATCCATCGTCGCTGATAGAGTGCTCCTCGCTGGGCGCCAGACTGACATCGGACACAGTTGCCTTCTGCGGTGATTGCGGCGAGATAGAGGCACCGTGGAAGTCCTGCATTCCGAAGTCGCCAGACCGAAGCTGAGTGTTCGCTCCGTATGAAGGCAGACCCGACCCCTTGTTGCTAGTCCACGGGCCCGACTTATACCGATCAGTGCCACGCTTCGAGCCACCCGTCCAGCTCTTTAGTGCCGGGAACACGTCGCGCATAAGCGACCAGATCAGCGGAAGGTTGGTCACCAGAATCGCTACGGTGGCTTCTCGGAAGTACCAGTTCATGTAGACGTAAGAGATCAGCCAAGGGACCAGGCAGTACACCTTGTTCAGAATGGCGGCGACAATGACGAAGATTCCCATGCCGAAGAGGACGAGAAGAATCATTTTCTGCTTCATTGGCACGCGGACTTGGACAAGCATTGGAATGGCGATCAAAAGCATGAAGATGTCGGCCGAGATGGACAAGCAGCCCTGAACGATTTCGTAGTACTGATAAGACGAGCATTGGTCTGAATATACCAGTCAGCGATGGCGCCTGAATGCGTTGTTCATCTTTCCACTCACAGTTTGGTGTTGGAACGGCCCAGTAGTTCGAGAGTGGGCGGCAGATGAGGAATAATGACAGTTCAGTTCCGACAAATCCAACAGCGACGTAGACAGCAAGATAATTAATCCACCGTCTTTGCTTGAGCCCTTCTCTGTTAAATAGTTAGCAACAGAGCCCCAAAAAGACCATGGAGGGTTTGCGTACGTGATACGAGCGTATATCACCAGCATACAACACTTTAAGCTCCAGACGTTGAGGATAAAGGCATGCTCCGACACGAAAACCCATTTGCTCCCACGCACTCGTTCGGTGTGGATACCAGGGGTCAATGTTTTTTTCTCTTCTTCCGTCATCAAATTCGAACCCCCTCCAGAGGCGACTTGGTTGAGTGCAACGCATAAGATTGTGTACCAGATGAGGGCGTTAACCATCAAGAAGTCATCGGCTTGGAGGTTCCGAACTCCTAATCGGCGAACACGTGCAGTACTGACTTTCAGGTTAGTATTCAGTTTTTTTCCGCTGTGGCAGTCGGATGAAGGTACTCACAATCGAAGGAAAACACCCAAGACGCCAACTGCATAAAGAGACCATGTCTCACGGGCAAAGCGGCGACCAAAGTCACCTCCCAGGCCCGACATACTGTCGCGACTTAACAACCTGCGGTAAATCGATTAACAGGGGGGATGTTCAGAGAGCGAGGCAATACCCACATCTTTATAAGGCCAGTGGGGGTTTAAATGAATGTATGCGTAGGCTTTCCGATAGTCCGATAGGCATACATCTGCCGACGGCGATCACATCGACCTGAAGTGATTGGAACAGGGAGCAAGTTTGTAGCCGCTAAGGTATTGATAAGTAATTTTGGTTTCTTGAGATGTTGCAGTGCCCGGCTTCTCATAGGTGAACAGTTCGATCACCGATTAAGGGTCTCCACTCAAGGCCTGTTCCATAGAAACGAGATGGAGACTGTTCGAACCTTGGGTAGAAGGTTTTGGTGTGATCGGAGTGGATTTAAGGTTTCTCTAGGGAAACTGATCGGGAAGTATCCGTTACAGGAGACTCTGGTTGTACCTAGCAGGTACTGCTGATCAATTGTTCAGCGCTGGCGCTACTTGATCGACACGAAACCCATCCCTCTACTCAACGGATCAAGATGGACACTCCTAGGGCTGCAGAGGATATTTATGTGCCTCTAGATTTTCCGTAGAAGGTAATTCCGATCCTTCCGGCATCAGGAAGGTGTACTAGTGTACATTATTCTGTGCAGTTCAAACTGGAATCTCTTGCAGGCCGAAAGAGGGGCTCCGCTTCCAGGAGAAATGGTTGTATCGGAAACCCCGGAAGATGAGGTCAGGTTGTATTTCTGAAGAACCAAAAAACACAGTTGCTTGGCAGAACGATTTACCCTGGACAATTACTATTTGGGAAAGGTGGAACAAGGAACTAAGTTTTATCCTCGTCTTCGCTGCTCCATCCGGTGTGACGGCCTGTGATATAAGGCACCAACCTCTTGCATGGGGTATAGATCGTGGGGGTCCATCCGTGGGTCGCAGGAGCAATAAAAGCGATGGTTCCCTAGCTGACGTGATTATGTACATAAATAGTGAGGGAATTCAAAGTGGGGTCCATCCTTCACTCTTCTTCCAGAGGACAAAAGTCACTGGTGCCGATGACGATCCGTGCAACGCTGACTGTCCCTGCTCCAAGGCCCGGAAAAGGCAAGGAACTGAAATTTCTTCGGATTCTAGTCCCTACATAGCCCTCAATCTGACATTCGATCTGACTATTGGTGATATCGCCCATTCCCATCTACCAGGTTGGACTCCAGCGTTTGAAGGCCGACTCTTGGGTGGATGTTCTCCGGGCATACATACCCACTGTGCAAGGCTCAGCTTCCCCCGGGTCGTAGATCCGTGGGCCCGATCTTCCACTATTGATTCCTCTTGATTAATTGTGTCCAGGCCGGCAAATATCTCGGGGCTCTAGATCGGAATCGGATCTTGGCGTAGCCTCCTTTATGAGCCGATACTGTCATGTATAGTAAATGATGAATTGTTTACGGCATGTTTACGGCAAGATTTTTATTTCAGGAACGACGACGTGTTGTCAACCATATGACTTTCATTTCTTTCTTCGGGTTTGGCAAATCCCGTGGTCGACCAGGGATGGACCATTGTATAGTAGTTACCTTGTGGACCTCCCCCATGTGCAGTGAACCATCGGAGATATGTGAGATGATAAGAGCCAGCCAAGATTAGCCATGGAAAATTCTGTCTGCTGAAGCTCCCCCTCTGGGTTAAGCGTAGAGGTTATCCCGGCTTAGTCGCCTTCCGGCACATCCAATAACGGTAGCACCGGGGGCCCCACTTGCCACCCAGAACTCTTCACCCGGGCCGGTCATTGGTGGGGAGATAGGGAGAAGCCGATTTAGAGTCGAGGGGTGGAGAGCCAGCCGCTTGGTGAATGAAAGAGATACAACAATAATAATAATGATGTACCTCCCTCCTGTTCAGACGGACTAGATTCTCTCACGCCTCGTGCCCAGTTCCTTCTCTATTCCCATCCCATTCTTTTGTTTCTTCACGCGCTTGGGAAAGAGACCGTCGCCGAGTCATTTGTTTCCCCCTGTACGAGCAGACGGGACTCGTGAGAGATTCCAAACACCATGGCCTCTGTCGAGAATCTCCCCGAGAAGGCCACGGTCGCCGAGACCAATGCTGAGGATCAGCAGCCCCAGCAGGGAGAGTTGATCAACGCCTCAGGCCATCGCCAGGAGCTCGAGCGCAACTTCAGTCTGCTCAGCATCTGTGCCGTCGCCGTCACGACTGGAAACACCTGGATTGCTCAGGGTGGAAGTGTCGTTACTGCGCTGAGCAACGGTGGCTTGGCGGGTTGTATCTATGAATTGTCCGCATATCCCTACCCTCGACACTCTTGACCCTCTTCTAACCCCCCAAAAACAGTATTGCGGTCTCGGTCTGCTACTGGTTAGTCGCCGCATCAATCGCGGAGCTAGCTTCAGGAATGCCCTCGGCCAGTGGTGTCTATCACTGGGCCAGTATCACAGCTGGTAAATATGGCCGCGTGTGTGGCTTTTTCGCCGGCTGGTGGAATTTCCTCGCTTGGGTACTTGGTGCTGCCTCTATGTCCTTGATCATGGCACAGCAGACGGTGTCCATGTACGCGCTGATGCATCCCAATTTCGTTCCCCAGACCTGGAATGTTTTCGTCAGCTTCATTATCTGCACCTGGGTGTGTTGCTGCATTGTCCTGTTCATGAACCGCTTCCTGCCCTACATCGGCAATCTTGGCATGTTCTTCATTCTCGCCGGTGTCTTCATCACTATCATCGTCTGCGCTGTCATGCCACATGTCAATGGTGTGGAATATGCCTCTGACTATAAGATTTGGCAAAAGTGGACCAACAAAACCGGCTACTCGCAGCCGGGCTTTGTCTTCGTCCTCGGTATGCTCAACGGTGCCTACAGTGTTGGGACCCCTGACTGCTCTTCCCACCTTGCGGAAGAGATCCCCAAGCCGAGTCGGAACATTCCCAAAGCCGTCCTGGCTCAGATGGGTGTCGGGTTCGTCACAGGTATCTTGTACATGATTGCCGTGTTCTATTCCATCCAGGACCTCGACAAAGTTCGCCACAGCCCGCTTAACTTCCCTCTCGCTGAGATTTATCGCCAGGCGACTGGGTCTCGCGGCGGTGCTCTGGGTCTGTTGATCGTTGCCTTCCTGCCCACGCTCATCACTTGCACAGGCTGCTACATCACTGCCGGCCGGACACTGTGGACAATTTCCCGTGATCGTGCCACCCCTTTTCCCAACTGGCTCAGCCATATCAACCCCCGGATGCAGAACCCCTTCAATGCCACCCTAGTCTGTGGCTGTCTGGTTACCATCCTGGCCTGCATCTATCTCGGCTCTACCACCGCTTTCAGCGCCTTTGTCGGTTGCTTCGTCCAACTGTCCAGTCTCTCCTACTTCATGGCCATCTTTCCGCACATCCTCACCCGGCGCTCGTCGTTTGTGCCAGGTTATTTCTTTATGAATCAAATCATCGGCTATGTCATCAATGCCCTGGCATGTGTCTACATCCTCGCATTCGTCGTCATTTTCTGCTTCCCATATGCCCTGCCTGCGGAAGCTGGCTCAATGAACTATGCCAGTTTGATGACTGGCGGTCTGTCCATCTTTGTTGCTGTCTGGTGGTTCATCCGCCAGGGCAGCTATGAGGGCCCAAAGAATATTCCTCTGACCGACAAGGCCTTGATGGAGGATGCTCAGTGAATCTGTGGCGCTGCTGAGTGATTCGATCTTGCATATACCATTGTTTATCTATATTTTGTCTGCCTTTTTCTCATGATCAATGCACGACTCTCGGATGTATTTTCTTCATGTTATATCTATCCCTTGATTTATATCTTTAATTTTATGGCTGCTTGGGTTCTGTGCTTCACTGCCTGTGGAAGAAGCATAATCATCATTCCTTGACTTTTTCATTATAAAATGCCTCCTCACTGTAGTCGACGCGAACTGAATCGAACCCCAGAGGCAGCAGAATTAGTTGAAGGTCGGATGCTATCTGAACGGAAAAAATATTCCAAAATCACAATGCCATACAGGTCCTCTATAGATGTTCTTTAGTCATTGTCTATAACACGTGACCACGCGTCGCGCCTTCCTCGACGAAACACGCTGCCTGTTCTGACCTGAAAGACCCACGCACCATGGTCTTCAAGCCCTTCAAGCCTCCTTTGATCAGGACTGCAACTGAGACCAGCGATCACGAGCCTCTCACTAAAAAGCCGCGCCTGCACAAGGAGGATGCCGCCGAGGCAGTCAGTCAGCGTGCAAAGCCCGCGCCGGGACCACGAAAACCGCTACTGCAAGTGAAGAACGTTGGGAAGGACGGAACAGATTCTACGGATGTTGCATCGAGGCATGGCGCACCTGGCGAGAGATACTTTAATGTCCTGTGGTATGTCCATACTGTTTGACACTCAATGGGCCGAAAATCTGACCGTGGCTTTATTAGGCGCAAACCGAGTGTGAAAAAGAACAAGACGTGGGATGGAGATGGGATCCTCTCCGCCCGGGGGGGTTATGTCTCTTTGCGGGACGTTGGAGGGAAAGACATGGGACGCGCGATGTATGAGTCGCGTCTTGAACCGGGAACTATGATGTATATCGGTGGAAAGGAGGTCGAGATCAATTCTGAAATCCCCCGCGCAGAGTACCTGTCTGGGAAACTGTTCTTGGACGGCGCCAAAAGCACTCCTGCTCCAACCCCGCCAAAGAGGCAGTCCCTTTTGAAGAAAAGCGAGAGCCGCAATTATTCTCCCATACTCGCTTCATTAAAATCAAGCCAGCCACTCAAGCGGAATGGGTCGACATCAGGAATCAGCAATGCAGCAGCAAATGGAGCGCCATCATTCGCGGCCTACAAGAAACCCCTGCTCAATGATACAGTGACTCCGCAATCCACCGTCAAAGCGGTTCCTCGTCATGATCCCAAGGCGCCCGGTGCCTTGGTTATGCCAAGACTTCAATCAGCTCCCAAGGGAAAACAAGTGGTCGACGTGGTTGTTGATCCTTTACTGTCGAAAAATCTACGAGAACACCAGCGCGAAGGGGTCCGGTTCCTCTACGAGTGCGTCATGGGGATGCGGTCGTTCAACGGCGAAGGCGCCATTCTAGCAGATGACATGGGACTGGGTAAAACGCTGCAAACCATAGCATTGCTGTGGACTCTGCTGAAGCAAAATCCGGTCTACGAGGATCCTCCTGTCATCAAAAAAGCCCTGATCGTCTGTCCGGTCACCCTCATAAACAACTGGCGAAAGGAATTCCGCAAGTGGCTCGGGAATGAGCGCATTGGCGTCTTTGTCTTTGATGACAATAGGAAGCGCCTGACCGACTTTACGAAGGGTCGAGCTTACAACATTATGATCGTTGGGTACGAGAAACTGAGAAGTGTGTACGAAGTCCTCGCCAAAGGCGCTGGCGTCGACATAATCATCGCAGATGAAGGGCACAGACTAAAAACGCTGCAGAACAAGAGCGGTCAGGCTATCCAGTCGCTGAATGCTGCAAAGAGAGTCATCCTCTCTGGCACGCCCATCCAAAATGATCTGAGAGAATTCTTCGCAGCAGTGGAGCTCGTCAACCCAGGGATACTGGGCACATTCAAGGCCTTTATCCGCGAGTTTGAGGCACCAATCGTGCGGAGCAGACAACCAGAGGCCACCGAAAAAGACATTGAAAAGGGCGAGGCGCGCAATGAGGAGCTGAGAGAGCTCACGTCCAAGTTCATACTACGCAGAACAGCAGACGTGCTATCCAAGTATCTGCCGCCGAAGTCGGAATACGTGCTCTTTTGCAAACCAACCCGCACTCAAGCGAATATCTACCAGGCCGTGCTTTCCTCGCCTATCTTTCAGTCTGCCATCGGCAATGCAGAAAGCGCCCTCCAACTCATCACTATTTTGAAGAAGCTCTGTAACAGTCCGTCCTTGCTGACTGCAAAGAACAACAATGGCACGCCTAGCGAAACCATCGCCTCTCTTATTTCATCGCTTCCCCCGGGCATGCTCCGCCACTTCTCCCCATCCGCAAGCGCTAAAATTCGAGTGTTGGACCAGCTACTTGACACACTACGGAATACCACATCCGAAAAGATTGTTCTAGTCTCCAACTACACCTCAACGTTGAACCTTCTCGCCACGCTTCTGACGTCCCTCGGTCTGCCCTTTCTACGTCTAGACGGAAGTACCCCGGCACAGAAGCGTCAGGGCCTGGTCGACGATTTCAACCATCAACCAGCTAGCGCCTGCTTCGCATTCCTGCTGTCAGCCAAAGCAGGCGGCACCGGCCTCAATCTCATCGGCGCGAGCCGTCTCATTCTCTTCGATGTAGACTGGAACCCGGCAACAGACATCCAAGCTATGGCGCGCATCCACCGTGACGGCCAGAAACGTCCCTGCCGAATCTACCGCGTGCTCCTTAAGGGCAGTCTGGAGGAGAAGATCTGGCAGCGGCAGGTGACCAAGCTCGGACTTGCGGACAGCGTCATGGAGCATAAGAATAGCGTGGCTCAATTCTCGACTGCCGAGCTGCGCGATCTCTTTCGGCTAGACCAGGAGAGTGAATGCCAGACGCACGATCTCTTGGGCTGTGACTGCGGCGGCAAAGGCGTGTCTGCGACTTCTTCGGGTGCGGATACACCCAACAACAACTCCGGTATGAGTGAATTGAGTGACCTCTCCGACGACGATGAAGACGACCTAGATCGCCCAGACTTTCCAAACCTCATCAAAGCCTCCGAAGTCGACATGGAAAAACAGGAACGCTCCATCCGCGACAGATCTCACAGCCGCGCCCAGAGATCAGGCCGAGAAAGCAAAAGTAAAAAGAGCGGCCAGCAAAAAGACAAGATGCACCAATTTCTTGCGCAGTACGCACACCTGGATCCATCTCTCCTGGTACACGCTGCCAGCGTCGAAGAAGAAGCAGAGATCGCCGCCGCGGTCGACGATGATGTCCTCCTGTCTCTACTGAAGGATGAGTGCAATTGCGTGGACTATATCTTCAAGAAGACCAGCGGCGCTGAGTTGGATGCCGGTCTTTCTGCGCCAGGGGGTGTGTCCGGATAATAGGAAGTAGTATTGCGTTAACAGCTCGGGTGTTGTCTGGAAAGGGATCGATTTGATATTGTTTAGGATATGGTGCTTGTTATACGGGACTACGTCGTGGTCTATTATAGACCGTTTTGCATTTTAACATTGCTTTGCATTCATCTGGAATATCGGTTACACGTATGGTAACTGCCCAGGTGCTTCCTTAAACTAACATAGAACGAATACGAATGCAAGAGATGACGACTGTCAGACAGCACGCTTTCAGGCGATCACGTTTGGCTACTTGTTCTTCGAAAAGATGCAAATCTAAATGTCTGACAAGTGAAGAAAACAAGGATACATAGTAGAGTCCAAAAAGTCCAATTCGATTCAACCAGAGATTGTCTAAATGTACAAACGAAAGAATGTCGCAAAAGGAGATAGGTAGACGAGATCTACTCCGAACAAAACAAACACCAAATACACACACACGTCCACCCATGCGGAAGATGCTTGCTAGATAGCTGTGAGATATCAACACAGCACACCACAACCAACACTCAATCAATCAATACCGCAACTTCCCCACCAAACCAAAAGTATAGGCCGCCTCCGCCTCACTCTTCATCTGAATCATATAAACGCGCTGCGATCCCGCCGTGACGCCCCCTTTCTTCGCCATGGCGCCTTCATTCTCTTCTCGAACAGAGACAGCAATGCCCGTGCGCGCGACGCGCTCAAACGCACCTTCGGGTAGACAGACGTCCAGCAAGGTCTCTCCGCGAGCCTTGCCGCAGATGAGGATGCGTTTCTCGGGCTCTAAGGGCAGGGGCGAGCGGCGTGGAGAGGTGGCGCCTGAGGCTGGAGGGGAGCTGCCGCTGGCGCTGTCTTGGCTGCTTTCTCTGTCTACTTGGGCAGCCGCGGTGGCGCTGCCATCGCTACGGCTGCTGACGGCTGTGCTGGGGCGAGAGGGTGGCTTCTTGGGCGGGGCGGGCATGATTGTTAGACGGGCTGCGCCCATGTCCCGCCATTTAGAGGCTGACTCGCGGACGTAGACGCGGATCTTGGCGTTGGATAGACCGATTCCATCTGCGCCCTTGATTGCTGCGGCGATGCGGCCGATGCCTGAGCTGGGCGAGGGGTTGGAGCTTGAGTTCGCAGACGAGGAGATGCTGCCTTCGCGGCCGGTGCGGGATGTGACGGTCGAGCGGGAGATGTTGAATGCCTTGCTTCCTGCGCCGAAGCGTTTCAGGGCCGAGAAGGCGCTACTCATCGTGCCGACGCTGCTTTCCGATGCTTCGGCTAGGGAGCGCGGGGAGACAGAGGCACGGTAGCTTCTTCTGCGTCGGGGCCAGCCAAACCAACCTCCCGAGGAGTTTTTGGCTGTCGTTGGTTCAAAGGATGGCAGGGGCTGGTCTTGGAAAGGACCGCGAGCGTTCTGAAGGGCGATGTACGTTGGGTTGTTGATCCGCGCTTGGTTGATGAGACCGTAGAGAGCGTCGCACTCATCCGGCTTACGGGATCGGAACATGATGTTGTTGCTGAATGTGATTCTAGACCGCTCAGTTGGAGGAGAGCGGATGCTGATATCGATGGCAGTTCCGCGGCGGATCGGAACGAGCGGTGTCAATTCAAGGGAAATAAGAGGTCTCGATGACCGGGAAGTCTTGTCCCCTCGGTCAGGGGACATGGCATTGGTGTCAACGCCCATCTTGAAGGCTTCAATGAGACCCGGGCTGACGATGACGTTGCATTCGTCAGGGAACAGAGCCTCCCAAGTACCTTTGTTGGACCAGGCAAAGACAAATGCAATGGCCTTTGATGACTTAGTGGGCTGCAAAGGCACCGTGCGGTAGCCGGCCTGCGATGCTGAGTTGGATGGAGACAGAGAGCTTGTGCCCGTGGTAGATGAAGCAGACACCCTGGGTTTCGGAGGTTCCAGGTAGTCATCCTCCGGGGATGAAGAATCATCGTCCGAATAATCGGAGTCTGTACATGACGAAGAAGAATAGCTGTAGCGCCGCACTGTGGATGTATCCGAGTCGGAGTAGGAGTCGGAAGCCGTAGATGGTTCATACTCATGCTTCAGCGGAGAAGAACCCCGTCTCTTGATATAAGGCCCAGTTGGAGAGAGAACAGGAGGGCTAGCGATTTTACCGGTGGCGGGACTTGGCGAGCGATGGGGCGGCGGAGGTGGAGGCGGAGGCTCATCTTCCTTCTTGGACTTCCGTCGAGACCTTCTCCTCGCTTTTGTTGGGGTTGGAGTCTCTGGGGCACTCGAATCGGGGAGCGACTCAAGTGGCGGATAGTCTTCTTCTTCTTCTTCTTCGGGTTCGAGCGTAGATGGCGACGCCAAGTGGGTTTGGCTGCTGCTACTCCGAATCTTGGGGATCATAGGAAGCTCTGCTGACGGCACTATTGATAAGCGCGGAGACTCTACCTCGGGCGAGTCCTGACGAGGGGTCTTCTGTAGTCGTTTTTCTCTGGGAGACTCGATGTTTCGGGTTGTATCTGGACTGTCACCATAGAACCTGCCCGGCGTGGAAGGAGGCTCGCCCGCCTGTTCAGACACAACAGGCTTTGGAGAGACATTTTCAGAAGACGGACTCTCTCCATAACGAGAATGTCTTTGGGCCTTGGACCGTTTCAGGCCCGAGGACGTCTTGTCCACACTCGAAGTTGTAGAAGGAAGAAGTGGAAGACCAGGACGAGATGGCTTGGTTGACAGCTCTGATCCTCCAGTAGTGTAGTCGGTCTCTCGAGTAGCAGTTGAGTACACCGAGCTTCGTGACTCGGTAACAGCGGAGCTCACAGTGCTGGGTTCAGAATATTGCTCCTTAGGGGTGACAGAACGCCGTTTGCTGATAGCTTTCTCGCCTATGGGGATATCAACGTCGCTTTGGTTGTGCCGTGGAGGAGAGTCATTAGTCGCCGGCCTTCGTGCCCGGTGCTGTTTGGCTCGGCTGATAAAGCTTTGGCTTCGGCATATCGACGGTGGCACGGGGTCTGAGCCTAAGAGCTGGAGCCACTCGAGTCTAATGGATTCGTCGTCGATGCGGAGGGATAGCAGTTCCTGCCAGTATTTCTGTGAATCAGGAGCACTGCGTAGCATCACCACAAGTTCACCCTTCATGTCTCCCTTTCGAGCTGATACGCATCGGAGATCCATCGGTGGGAACAGTAGCCAACGATCAGAATGGTCGATCTCGCAAATAAGCAGGTCTCCACCGGGGCCATTGCCTGAGGAATTGTCTCTGTACAAGAGCTCGCCTCGACAGTCGACTAACTGTCCGGTCGAATGATAAATCGACAGGTTGAAGAAATCTCGAGCCCGAACTCGTCGGTTGGGGTCAATAGTCACACCATGACAGACACCCAGGGTCATCGGGTCTCGTGCTCGGGTGGCATCAATCCGTGCAGCCGATTCATCTTCAAGTCTTGCTCTCTCCTCGCGTGCGCGTTTTCGAGCATCGACGACAAGAGACTGGTAGGCTGCGGCGGTATCCTCTGCTTTCTGTGATGGCTGGAGCATGTTGATCCCTTTGAAGCTCTTCGCAAGGTATTTGAGACGGACCAATGGCCGCTTCAACAAATATGCGACATCCACCTTCTCGCCGTCGCTACCGATCACATCGCCGTTCTCGTCTCGTTCCAGACCTTCATCGATACTTTTGGTCTCCGCGTTCGCGTTCTCGCCTTCTTCGAGAGGAGCAAGGTTCACAATCACATCCTTGAATCCAAGTCTCCACGCTCGGAGGTATTCGCGATAGACTCGCTGGGCGCCTTGAGCCCATGTAAGCAAAGCATCTGCATTGTCCTGTGGGATTCGTTTGTGTAATGTCTTCAGACGCTCAATAGCTACGCCCATATTGACTATGGGTTTTGAGAAATTCATGTCATCCTTGGGGTCCATTGAGGGCTGGAATAGACCGGCTGCGATGGCAGAATCGGAGCGTGAGAGCACACAAGTCAGCAATACGGGGATAACACCACCGACCAGCGTTTTGAGCTCTCGCATGTACTTGGCCTCATCTGCAGCAAGTTCTTGGAGCAAATCAGTTACTGTCGCATTTGCCAGCCGGCTTTTATTGGTGCGAATGCTTCGAGCGGACCGAATGCTGCGGCTTCGGCTTGTCGGCCCTGACAGAACAGACATCAAATCATCATTGGTGGTGAGTCGTCGCTTGAGCTGTGACGAAACCGCGGGCAGGGAGTCGGGGTCAAACTGGTCTTGCTTCTCTGCTTCTTCCTCCATGATCGATCTATTTTTCTCCACGTTGCCAAACCTTTCGGACGAGGGAGCAGCCCCTTCAGTGAGCGTACTTAGGGTTTCAACGGAAGCAATCGTCGAGAGTTGATGGTACCCAGTGCTTGGGAATGGTCTCCTGCGGCCCAGGGGCACAGGTGCATTGTGGCCTGAGACTTCTGATCCGTCCGAGAGAGGTGGTTCTGGCACGTAAGGCGAAGCTTTTCCGTCACTGATCTTATAGCGAGTTGTTTTGTAGTCCTTCTTTCTCGGTGGTGACTTCGGCGACTTTAGGCTTGTTTCTGTGCTTCCTCTCTTGTCATTGGAGGTGACTTCTTTCTCGGATTTCTTGTAGGATTTGTCGCTTTCTGGAGAAATGTCCTTAGCCTTGGAATACCGGCTATGAGAGCTTTTTGGACGAGGTTCGCTATTCAGTGACGATTCGGCATCATAATCTGTCTCGGACAAAGTTTTGGAACGCCTTGACCTGGTGGTCTTTGTGTCCGAGGTGGAAGTAGCGTCGTCGAGGAAAGGGTCAGGTGTCTCGGAGAGCCAAGCTTCGATCTTGGATCCTCGATTTGCAGGTTGAACAGGCCTCGGCTGTTCGGGGTCGGGGTCCGGCCGTCCAAACATCTTTTTGGATTCGTCGATCATGTGCGCGAATATGCCACCTTTGGGTGGTTTTGACAGCCCTCGAGCAGGTTGGGTCACTGCGCCGGATCTTCGTTTCGACAATTCAGAGAAGTCGGCTTCGCTTCGTGCCCATTCCGTGTCCTCCGGTGGAGGCGATTCTCTCCGTGTACCATCAGGAATATCTGAAACGGAAAGCGCAATGATTTTGGAATCACCAGTGCCATAGTCGCTGCCGGCGAAAGAGTCGAGCCTGTTCCGAGAGGTCGAGGATTTCGTTTCACGAACCGGTGACCTAGAGCTTGGCCCAGTGTATCGTCTGGAGCCATAGCGAGGAGGAGGATCTCGATCTTTGTCTCTGTCTTTTTCATCTCTCTTATCCTCTTTCCTCGCGCGTGGGGAGCCCGTCTGATCATTGATGGTGTACTGCGAGATGCGATTTGGGGCAGGCTGGTTACGCGACGGCGTCTGGGTCATTGCCCGGCTCCTCTTCCAGTGTTCATCACTAATGACTCGTTTCCTGGGTGTGCTGTGGCTGCGCTTCCTGGCAACCGGGGACGGCGCGGGCGAGGTCGCGGGCGCGGGTTTGTTGACGGCCTTGTCCACCCGGTCAACATGCACCCTGCCTGGTTTTGGTTTGGCCTTGTTGGTATTGTTTTCCTCATCCTCGCCGCCGCAGGGGTCATCGACGGCGATGACACCACCACCCTGTTGCTGCCAATTTCGGACGCGCGAGCGGACCGAGTTCGTGTCATGGATGCCGAGCGGCTGGCCAATGTCCAATGGCCTCGCGGTCGGCGTGGATTTGGCACTGCCTCCACGGCTGGAGGAGCGGTGCGGTATTGCAGGAGCGGGCATGGATGATCTGCGATGGCGACAGCGGCCAACCTTGTATTTAGCAGGGGCCTTTTCGAGTTGGGGTAGGTTGGTAGGGTGCTGCCGCTAGCTGTTGTTTGTTTTGGGCGAAGAATGTTTACTTACCAGGGCGGCGCCACGGCCGGGGCCTCGTTGGGTCAACAACTGGGACAAGTGGAATAAGAATTGTCGATGTCAAATGCACACGCAGAAGTAAACAATCGATCGTCCGCGGCTGATCGAGTCTGGCGATAAGCCCCTCTGACACTCCGTCGCTGCCGGGGTAACCAGATGGCGCCGATCACGCGCCTAGCCGAGCCTAGATCGCCTGCGGTTCGGCAGATGATGCGGTCACTGGTTCACGAGGGTTAGGGGAGTACAAAGTGAAGAGAGTGACAGAGTGTGGACGGTCAGAGAGGGACCGTCAGCCGCGAAGGAGGGTTACTGTGGTGGTGATGATTATTATTGTCGCCGGTCCCGTTACTGCTAGCGTTCTCATATGGAGGATAAATCTATTTCACGTCTCGTGCTGCTCTCTCTCGCCATCGCAATCGGGGCCAGCCTGTGTCATGCCTGTCCTAATTCTGTCCTGCTCCACAACGGGGCCGCGGTGATGGCGGAACTACTGGGCTTTCCGTTCTTCTGCCGACTCCTCGTTTCGCTTCAGAGCAGCCGAGATGGTCGTGATGCTGTCGTAAAGATAGTCTGCGGCCTCGGTCAGCAGCGTCTACATCAGAATAACCAAAATAAAAACATACAAGCCGGCACCACAATCCAGATGAAGTTCATGAAAAAGTAATACAGCCAGAAGTAATACCGTTCCGGACGGCAGTAAGGCCGGCCCTTGGCATAGTCGTCCACCAGGCTCGTCGCATAGTATAGCGTATCGCCGTAGAGGTGGCTCATGCACACTAGCAGCTGGACAGGGTGGCGCAGAGAGTGTCGAGCTGCGGTCAGGGACGCCACGGCGAAGCACAGCGGGCCCCAGAGGAGCACCGTCATGGTCTCCATGCAGAGGACGAGCGTGTCCGATGTCATGTACCGCGAATCGGACAGCGCGTATTCTTTCCACAGCTGCCCGAACAGGTCCTGGGCTGAGGCCATATGGGCGTGGTGGATCATGAAATAGCCTTCGAAGAAACAGTGCAGACTCCCGGCTGAGCTTGTTTGTCAGTCTTATCCCAACTCCGGTGCCTCGAGGTACATACAGAGCACGAACCACAAGATGGCGATCCGGTCAGCCATCCGCAGTGTCGGTCGCACATAGCTGATCAATGCAAATGTCGTGCTGAGGAGGATCAAACATGCTCCGCCGGCGGAGATGAGTAGCTCGAGGACGGGGGTTGTGTTGGGTGCATAGCCCTCAATGGCAGCGTCCAGGGGGTAGTAGGGGTGGGATGGTGAAGTCTCCTGCAGTGTTGCATCGGGGAAGAGGTGCGAATACCATGGCATGTCTGTGACAGCAAGGAATGGCAGTTTGGTGCTATAATAGGGGCAACGACGATGTTTGAAGTGATGTTTACTTGGCTTGTTCCTGGAGGCGGAAGATCGCCGGGCGGACCCGTTCTCAACAGAGCCAATGGAACCACAGAGCACTCTGAGGAGAATATTAAGTGTCAAACGATCATGAAATTTAAATGGGTGTTAGCTTTGGTATCTGACGGTTCGAGTGCCAGTGGTTTTGGTGAGTGGCGTCCGCCGGATATATATTCTGGGCTACAGCAGAGGTATAGATCTGCCCGTCTCCCTACCAAACTCCCAACCAATAATTATTTCGATTGTGGTTTCTGATATCATCTACGTGGGTACTGAGGGCGTCTCCTTCTCGATTGAATACTCACTATCACATCTACTGGACATGGAATGACATCACCGATGTGGTTACTCTCAGTGCCTCAGGCACCAACTCACCGGCCAGGTCCTCCCGACTTCACCCCTCCTGGTCCGCGCTCGTCCAGCTTCTGCTCGCTAAATGGATCTTTGCTGCTCCGTGCCTGCCCATTGTGATGGCCTCCGGATCTACCAGGAAGCCCGACGCCCTTGACATCTCGCGCTCGTCGACCATGGAGTCGCCCCCGGGCATTGCGGCCTTGTTCGTCATCCGTTTCGACATTCGCACCGGGTAAGCTATCCCTCGCCCGTTCGCGCCAACTCGAACCCCTTAGAGCGTTGACTGACGCGTCGTGTCTCTAGCTATGTGGTTTCGTGGAAGCGCACTGTACCCGGAGGTGAGCAATCGATTGATCTAGCCGAGTTTGTCTCTCATTCCGACGCGCGAACTGACTTCGGGATAGTTGAGGTGGAAGGGGTGGTCGAATACAAGTCGCTTCCTTCTGGCCTGCACAATGTGACCGAGGATCTAGTGTATGTTCTCTGCTTCGTGCTATTTGGCCCTGCTAACTCGACGCTCTACCAATCTAGCTATTTCGTCCATGAGCAGTATGCCGGGATCAGCGCGTTCCTCAACCAGCCTGCCGAAGAGGCGGAGCGCAATGCAAATATGTTCGCCATCGGCGTGCTCGTGCCTCTTAGCTCGGGTAGACTGGGGAAGAGCTGGAGACATGCCCCGAGACTCAAGGAACTGACGCTGTTCGTACCCTCCTGGCCTTGCCCGTGAACCTCGTAGCTGATACTCAGGTTGATGGACAGGAAATACGCCGCGGATATGTCCGATGAGCAGCCGCTGTGTGATTACTGGGACGCCTTCCAGGTCGGAGGAGCCGACACCACTGACTCCCCTGTCGAGTCCCCCCTCAGCCTCCGCTTTCCTCATGGCGAGCGGCCGGACAATCGCAACCGCGCCTTCAGCGATGCCATGTTGTTGGGAACTTTCCGGCCGGCCCTGACGCCTTTCCACCCTGCCTCGTCGCTCCCTGATTTTATCGACAGCTGCGGTCCCTTGATCTTCCCCCTGTACAGAGCGGCCTTGTTGCGCAAACGCATTCTCTTCATTGCCGAAGCCCCCGTGCACACTTCTTGCAACTATGGTATGTTTCTTCGTCCATGTGCTTGTGAGCAACCACTAAACAGTTGGCATCTAGTATATGATTTGTCTTTGTTAGCCTCTTTGCCGAACTCCCTTCTTCAATTCCTCCCGTCCGAGCGTATCCCGAGTCTCCGACCTCGCCCGCTCTTCAACGTCGGCATCCACGATATTCCCTATCTTGCTACCCTCGACCCATCTCAAGCTCGACTAGACCCCGAAACGGACCCGAGCTGGATCGCCTGCTCGACAGACAGTGTCCTGAGCCTGAAACCCGACCTCTATGACGCGCTCGTGACCCTGCCTCCGCCCTACTCCCGCCATGCGGCAGAACGCACCTTTCCCAAAATCGCACTGATGCACACCCCCGGCTCGAAGCCTAATACCACCCAAACCGTTCACTTGAAAGCAACGCAGCGCGACGCCCGGCGCTACTACATGCTGCGCAGAGGTCTCCGCAAATTTTCACAAGACCGGGCAGCGTCCGAATCGGACGACGATTCCGACTCCGACTCAACCTACTCCTCCAGCCCCGTCGTCGAGCCGCTCTCCTGGACCCGCCTCGCCTACACCTCGTTCATCTGGTGGGCCTCCGCAGGCGAGAACCGCGACGGCCTCTCCCAAGAAGAGGAGGAACACCAGATCGAGCAAGACAGTCGCCTCCTGGCAAGCGTGGAGAGCCTCGCCTTCACCCCGACCAACAGCATCGGTCGCCGCGGCGCTACAAACTCCGATGACTCGGCGCAGCAACCGCCCGAAGTGGCTCTGGTAGCTTACTTCCGTCGCCTGACGACCCAGATCTTCGTCACGCTCGCCGACGCCATTGCACGAAACGATAGTGGCGACGGACAAGATAACCCAGAGGTCACCAATGAGACACCATCCTACTTCGACGACCCCGCCGGCGGCAACGACACAGACCTCTCCCTATCCATGTCCCGCCAGTCCCTGCCCACAGACGACGGCAACACGCCTCTCCTCCGCCAGCGCTCAAGCGCCCACCACCACTCCTCCCAGAATGATGTTCGATCGACCCGTGCCGCCGACGCCGACTCCGCAGCGGACCCCGTCACGATCACCATTGCCGACATGGCGGAGATGGGTCTTGATGTATGGAGTGCAACAGACCGCATCTTTGCTGAGGAGCTTGTTTCGCTCTGGTGGGGACGCCCCGCGCGGGTGGATAGTGCGCGCATCAGATGTTGTGGTATTTCTATCTTGTAGAGCTGATTTCTGAATTTCTTGTTGGAGATTTCTGCATCTTGCTGTAGCTACATACCCACCCTTTCACTTTCATCTGCTTGTGCTCTCTTGTTCATGCCTAGCCATATCATACATTCCATGGCAACCTACATTTGATCCCTATCTTGAGGTGCAGCATTACAGAGTGCTTACAACTGCGAGCAATGACCCAGAAAGCTTGAATATTCCAAGGAATTAAAACTATAGACAAGGAATAGAAACCAAATTCAGAACAGTTATGTATGCGACATAGACAGGTAAAGCACTGTTGACGCCATTCCTCAACGAAAGACTAAAACAAGGCTCAAACGAGAATAAAGAAAGCCAGTTGTTTCCGAGCGCGATGCAAGCGGGAAAAAAGCACAATGAAGCCGCGGCCAAGGACGAAGATGCAAAAGAAAGACAGTAATGTAATAGACGTGATGCACCGTATGCCCTGAACGCCGAGAAAGGAAGGGGGGTATTTATAGAGATGATAAGAAACCGACGAACCAATCCAAACGAAACGAAACCGACTGTATGTATCTGGCCAACCCAATAACTATGCAAGTACGACAACCCGAAACGGATCAAATAAATCACCGGCGGAACATGCGAACGGGGGCGCTCAAGTCCCGGCGCTCACCCAGGTCGTTCTCGCTTTTAGCGACAGGCCGTGTGGTGTTGGGGACGCGCCGGGGACCTCTGCCTGGGGTCGTCATGCTGGAGCCGGATGAGCTGCCTGATCGGCCAGTTGCTTCGTTCGCACTCACGGATCGCTTCATACTGCGGGCTCGGCCCCGCCGTGCCCTGATTTGGGCTAGGGCATCTTCTCGGTTGATGGGTGTGTCGGAGATGGCAGAGTGAGGTTCAGGTTCTGCTCGTAACGGGACTCTTCGCGTCGACGAGTTGTGTTGGTAGTTTTCTCGCTCAGCAGGGCGTCGCGTAGGTCGATATTCTGTGAATTTTGGGGGTTCGTGGCTCTCCTCAGCTGTAATATCTGGAGTGGTGTGAGACGTTCCGATGGGCTCACCCGAGGGTGTGAATGAGTCAAAAGGAGCAGCACTAGAAGATGCAGATGGCTGCTCATGAGCACCGGCATGAAATCCAGCTAGCTCGGGTGTTGCGAAAGAATCCCGTGGCGTGGGTCTCGCACTGTCTCGAAGGGGCGAAGGGAAGGTGCGGAAGGTCCCAGTTTCTGGCGAGAAGGTCACCAAGGGCTCTGCAGGTGCCTGCATCTTCTCTGGTGGATCTGCTGGCTCAGACTTGACAATGGACTCCGGTTGAGGGCGAGGTGGAGAGATAGGGTTGGCATGCCTGACAGGAATGGACTCAGCGCTCTTGCGTTCGGCGCTGCATCGTGCGGCCTCTTCCAGTTGGGGCTTTTGATATTTCTCAAAAAATTCGGCGTCGTAAATGTAGGGGCGACCCTGGCTTTCCGCAATGCGGCATGAGCACCGTTCAAATTGGCACTCGATATTGAGGAAATGAATCATTTCTTCCGCTTCAACTCTGCGGTGCTTCTCATACTTCAGTTCTTCCTTAAGATCATCCAGTTCATCTTGATACTGGTTCGATGGCGCGGAATCTGTGTCCGCGACAACCTCTTTTTCGACGGGCGATGCGCAGTCTGACAGGCGTTGTCTCTTGGGTGGTGTGTTTTCAGCGATATCTTCTTGTTCCCTCTCGGGAACAGGAGATCTGATAGAATCGGCAGCAGCTCTCTTTGGCCGGCGCGGGGTGGTCAAGAAGGCTAGGTCGCCTTCTGCCAGTGATATCCGACCGACATCCTCTTTCCGCATCTCGTGTGCTCGGATTTCCAGCGTACTCGAACGATGATCTGTCTCGACGGAGCGTAGCTTTTCTTTGAGCATTTGGAGTTCTTCCGTGAGGCCGGCGAGGGCATAGGCACGTTCGAATGCTTCCTGCTTCGCCTGATCCTTTGCCTCTCTCTCAGCACTGACCTCATCTTTCAAGGCCTTGACTTCTGATTTCGAGTGCTTGAATTCTTCTTGCACCTTCACCAAGGTCGATCCCGCACGGAAGGCCTCTTTCCGCGCCTTTCGAATTTCCTTCTCGAAGATGGAGCGTTCATGTGCTTGGCGTTCTTTTGTTCCGTGTAATTCCTCTAGCAAAGACTCGAGACGCTCGCTGATGCGGCGCTCTCGGGATTGCGCTTCGGAAAGTTGTTCGGATACCGAGGCAAGAGCAGACTCGGCCTCTTCGCGGCCTAGCACGGCCCTCTGCAGGGCAGCATTGTCGGCGGCTGATAATCGGTTTGTGGAAACAGGGCTACCCTGTCGCGAGAGATTGTTCAGAAAAGCGACCTTGGCCTGAACCTCAGATACACCCTTGGTGTTTTTGTGGTGCAAGGATAGGAGGTCTGTGGGTAGTGATGGGGAGACCGGCAGGCCTTGTTGATTCATGCGTTCCGGGGAGACCGGATGGAGGACTTTGGACGGGCTGAGGAAAGGACGAGTGGGGGACTCCATCGCGGGTGTCGTTGGTGTCGGGGGTTGATATATCCAGGCGACAGAGGATTATCAACGGGTCATGGGCAGGCGAGGAGCATGACAGGGGATGGATGAGAGGAAATCACCGTTTGTGGAGTCGCGCGAGTGACGATGTTTGTTGCCCAAGCGGGCAGGTCAGCTGATCGTTGCCCTGGACAACAGATTAGTCAGTCTTCATGTCAGGTGACTATCTCACTATCTGACTGGTCTGTGCGGCATCGAAGATACTGATCGGTTCACCATCTTCCACAAATGCACGAGATTGTCTCGTTGCAGTTTGGCCAGCGGGCCAACTATCTGGCCACTCATTTCTGGAACCTGCAGGTAGTGCTTTCTGGTGCGACCGGTGGTATTTGGTCTGATAATCATTCGTAGGAATCATATTTTACGTACAACGAAGAAGAGCCACCCGTGGACCATGATGTCCATTTTCGGCCGGGCGTTGGTGCTGATAGCTCCGAGACGTACACTCCACGCACAGTGATCTATGATCTGAAGGGTGGTTTTGGCACTCTTCGCAAGTATAATGCGCTTTACGAACTGACCGAAGACTCGACGGCCGCTCCGAGCTTATGGTAGGCGCCTTCACTAGTATCATTTACAAGACGTTTAACATCTCTCTATCAGGGATGGACAAGAGGTAGTTCACAAACAGCCTCGGATCCCGCAGAGTGACTACCAAAAGAGTTTAGACGCAGGGACACCAGCACCGCGGCTGACTTCGGAGACGGTGCGCTACTGGTCAGACTACAACCGAGTGTTCTATCATCCCAAATCAATCGTGCAGATGAACGAGTATGAATTGAATTCCCAGATCATGCCGTTTGAGGACTGGGAGGCTGGCGAAGAACTTTTCAACGAGCTCGACAAGGAACACGACTTGCTAGACCGCGATCTCCGGCCCTTTGTTGAGGAGTGCGACCAGCTGCGAGTTCTACAATTATTCCTCGGGTCAGATGACGCTTGGGGTGGATTTGCGGCTCGATATGTGGACAGATTGAGAGACGAGTATGGGAAAACGAGCCTTTGGTCTTGGGCAATTGAGGACGGCACCAGGGTTCAGCGGGTAAGTGGTACGTCATGTTATGCAGGGACATGTATACTGATTTCCATTCAGCATCGTCAGATCAAAAAGGACGTCAACAAGGCCAGGTCGCTCTACTCCATATCGCCCCAGTGTAACCTTTACGTCCCTATCATGGACCTACCATCCAAGCTTCCGGGATATCTTCATGTTGATCGTCACTCAGAGTGGCAGACGTCAGCGTTGATCAGTTCGGCTCTTGAGACAGTGACCCTGCCCTCGAGGCTACGGCCCTACCAGCATTTCGAGGCCTCGCTTGCCGGGGATGACGCAACCCACAATATTTTTGAACTGCAGTCGACTATTGTTCAAGATGCCGGCGACCACCGACCACTCAACGAGGATGGATCATCCGAAGTCGAAACACAGTTTGATATCGACTTTACGTATGGTGGCGAGGACAGCAAGACACCCCACATCTTCAATCAGATTCAAGTGACCCGTGGGAGGGAGCCTAGTAGTCAGACTGCCTCGATAGATGCACCGGCATCAGGGGACGTTGGCCATCTGCGCAAACTCCGACTGTACCATTCAAAACCGATGCTTCACAGGTGGGTGGTTTGCTGACTGACCGGTGTGATGAGGACCAGTCGACTAACATTTTGCTGCAGTTATCGGACGCCACTTCATTTCCCGCGACTCGATAGTTTCCCCCATGACATGTTCCCTACACCGAAGACCGGTTCTGGCGTGGAGATTTTTGCGGCGCTGACCACTTCGTCGCGAACCGCTGACAGAATCAAGGCCATTGAGGCGACCGCCGCACGGATGGTGTCGGTGGATGAGCGCGAGGCGCTGGTTAATGGATTGGGCGAGATTCGAGAAACCTATCAAACCGGGTGGAGTAGTGGCTCTGACGAGGAAGATGACTAGATTGCTGTCTTGAACCGCTGTGGCTGCCAAGCTGGCGAGATTCTGACTATTGTATTATGGCCGTTGTCGAGCCATCTCCCGTTACTATTATTGTTTCTCTCCAAGAATAGATCTCTCCACATTCCCGGACTCAGGGAAATTAGGAGCCATGGTACCGTCTGACTTTTAAGATCCGATCCAACCAGCAAACACAGCCTGCTCAGAAGTTAAACGCCCCTGAGAAAAAGCAGGCGCCCAGCCAAGGGTTAATATCACCCGGCTTCTAGATTCCGAGACATGGCGCGCGAGCCTGCAAGCCAAGAGCGTAGGGCTCTCAGTTAATTGCGATTGACTCGGGGGACGCATGGTAGTTGCATGGACTCTGGCTGATCTGGCCCAGATCCGTGTCTCACTTGTTGTTTTTCCCTGTTTTCCATCTCCCCGTGCACGCTTCCCAGTTCCATCGCTACAGTACTTCGCCTACTAGCATTTCTTGTCATCTGCAAACCCTTCCGGGGGCAAATCCCGCTAGCCTGGCAAGGACAGGGGATGTATTCCTCCGGGGCACGATGACCTTGGAGTATTAGTACACAGGAGTAAAATAATAATAAATATGGACGCGAGCCATCGCTTCCGAGACACAAATCGGGTTGGGCGCCAAGGCTCCAAGCGGGCGTGAAACCGCCATTGACATCACTAAGACCAATACCCCTGGTGCTCGGTATCGCGCCAATAATCGTGGGCTCTCTGGCCCCTGGTTCCAGGGTTGCTCTAGTGCTAGTGCTCGCCAGTACAGTTACCACACGCCGGTTTGTGGAGGGGTCTTGCTCTGGCGTTGCCAGCTCACACCTGGACCTAGTGGACTGTGGGTCAGCTTTCTCTGTCGGACGACGGAGCTAGGGGTGTTGCGGTCATGTAACGTTACCTGCACTTCTTACACCTCCGCCAGGAACACCCGAGCGATAGTTGTTTTGTTGGATGATTTTGGACGTGTCGAGTCTCTTCATCTTCGCTGTTCCATGATTATTCTGGACTCGTATTCTCGTGATGGCCCCGGATTCCTGCAGGAACTCGTGGTTTTCACGACTGGTCCACTGGGCAGACCCTGACAGCCGAACGCCATGACCCCTTCGGCTGCTTCTCCGAATAAGAGCGGGATCTCGAACGAACGAAGCGACGAGGATGCAATCCACCAATCGTGATCTAGCCAAACATCTGGACCCAATGACTTTCCACCTTAGGGCTAGCCGTCTACATCGTGGCTGTTCATTCGTGAGGTTTCCCCACAAAACCCTGACACGCTCGCTGTCTCTTCTCTGCTGCAGCAGGAAGATCGATGATTGAGGTGTCTGTGGGATGAATTGGCAGTGCCACAGCCAGCCTCCTCCTGCCGGCGGACGATTTCTAATCGAACGAGGCATGGGAACCAGTTTCTCTCCGCTCTCATCGCGGTCGACAACACTGACCTGGGTAACCATGGCCACTCTCCCCTGCAGCCCAGGTGAGCTATCGAACGGGCTTTTTCCGGACAATACAAGTGGGTACCATAATAATAATAATCTTATGGGGACTAACAGGTGGGCCCGACACCTCCGGACCCAAAGGGACTAACTAAATCGACTCGCTCTATCGCGAGGTGAATTTATCATTGGTCACTCCCCTGTCGCCGAGCCAACGACGCCTGAGCTAGTCTCTTAGCCTGCATCCTTCCGACGCATCGTGGCCCTAACGCTCCGTCTAATCTTGGATCCACGGAAGAATACCCGGCTGCAGGATCCGCTCTCGGTGGAGGCAGGGCAGGGTACAAACATGTTTCCCTCTATCGCCCCAGCATGGTTGACCAAGGTGGTACGGGCTCGGCTCCCGCACTATGCCACGAATAGAAGCAGACAGACCGGTTTTGCCCTGCATCGTCGCCACGTCCCACTCGCGTCCAGCCGAACGCTGGGTCTAGTCCGGGCAGGTACATAAATGCGCCTGTCATCCCGCCGGGCCATTTTTCTGGCCCATCCTCACTCTCTTCTACTTTCGAACCGCTCTATTTTCCCGTTTAGGAACCTCCATTCGTTACAGGTCCTATAGCCTTTCGTTTATTGACAACATACTCGACAACATGCGTGCCGTCTCTGTCTTTCTGCTCTACGCCGCCAGCCTGGTCTCGTCCAGCGCTCTGCCCAACGTTGCTGATGATTCCGCTCTAGCTGCCCGCAACGGTGGCGATGAGAACTGGGGCCACGGCGGCGGCTGGGGCCACGGCGGTGGTTGGGGTCACGGTGGTGGTGGTGAGACTACGCCTTGCGAGACCGACACTCAGACTGCCACTCCTCCTCCCGAGACGTCGACTCCCTGTGACACCACCACTACTCCCACGTCGCCTCCTTACGAGACCACCACTACTCCCACGACGACTCCTTGCGACACCACCACTACTCCCTCGTCGCCTCCTTACGAGACCACTACTCCCTCGTCGTCTCCTTACGAGACCACTACTCCCTCGACTACTCCTTGCGACACCACCACTACCCCCGCTGTGACTACTCCCCCGAGTACGACCACCATCACCGTCACCTGGACTACCACTACCTGCCCCTGTATGTATATCAACTACTCTCCTGGATTCCCACAATGGCTAACAATGATGTGCAGTCTCCGTCACCACTATCACTAGTGGTTCGGTCCCCGTGACCTCGCCCGTCACCTCGACCAAGACCATCACCACCTCCACCGTTGTGACCTGCACTGGTGGCTGCGGTCCTACCGTGACTGTGCCTGCCAAGACCACCTGGACCACCATCTGGACCACCTGGACCACCACCACCTGCCCCGTGGTGCCCACTACCATCAGCGGTACCACGACCACGATGACCCAGACCAGCACCATCATCGTCACTGGAAGCCAGACCTCCACCTGCGTCATTCCCCCGGTCACCATCGTGCCCCCGCCAGTGTCTGTCCCGGCCAGCTCTGTCCCCGTCGCCACCTCGACCCCCTACGTTCCTTCGGTCACCCCGGCCGCTCCGTCCTCTCCGAGCGGCGCGTCCCCGACCTACAACGCCGCCGCGCCTCTGTACCAGAAGTCGCTGGCTGGCGTCATCCCCGGTCTGGCTATGCTCATGGCTTTCTTCTAAGCATGGGAACGAGCGTCCTGATTTGGAATTGGGGTTGGGATTGGGATTGACATGCTATGATTCCGCGCTGATATTCTGGTCAACATACTGGTGGTAAATGGATGAGACATCGCCCGACGAAAACCCATAGAAAAAAAATTCCTTCTTCGAGTTGCTGACTGCCTGATCCGAGTTCACGACGGAGGGCTAGTAATGAATTAATTTATATAGTTGACCTTAATTCAATGTGTTTATTATTAGAGTCTGTGCATTCCAACAAGATCATCTCGTGCGGTTTATATCGTTGATATGAATCCATCGCCTTTTCTATTCTAGTAGATCCAGTGTGCAAAACACTACCAGGGCCTGAGGCTCTTGCTATTCGAATCTCCATTATTCAACGAGGATCCAAAACACCTAACGAATACGCATTGGAGGTGCTCTTCCACCGCCTAGGCTTTACCCTCCGCTTTAGCCGCCTCCTTCGCCATAAACTCCTCATACTCCTTAATATTATTAATCCCCTTCGGCATCCCATTGGGCTGCAACCCCTGCTCATCCATAAGCCGATCCCGAATCTCCATAGCCTTCTTCCAAGAATCCCGCGCCTCCAAACGGGCCTGCCAAGCCTGCACGTTCGGCCAGGGCGCGAGGACGTCCTCGCCAGGCGCGGGGAAAAGCAGCGTATCGAGGCGGTTGTTCCACGGCAGAAACGCGATGTCCGCGAAAGTGCAGTGGTCGCCCACGAGCCAGTCCTTGCCTTCGAGCGCGCCGTTCAGCACGCCCAGCACGCGGCGCACCTCGTTCTGGTAGCGCTCAATCGCGGACGGGAGTTTCTCGTGGTGCAGAACTGTGAACCAGCCCGCTTGTCCGAAGAAGGGGCCTTGGCCGCTGGTCTGGAAATGAAGCCACTGGTTCAGTAGATGGCGCTCGTGCAGGCCCGTGTATGTTAGCCGCTTCTCTGTGTCGTACACTTCTTCGAGGTACTGCAAAATGGCGCCGGATTCCCAGAGCGTGAGACCCGTGTTGGGGTCCACGATGGCGGGCACGCGGCCGTTAGGGTTGATGTTGATGAAGGGCGGCTTCTTGACGTCGTCGAACTTGAATGACTCAATCACATAGGGAATGTCAAGTTCGTGGCAGGCAACGACGACTTTCCATGGGTTTGGCCCAGGCGCTGGATTGTTCTGTTGTTAGTTCTTTGAACATTGCCGAAGTGTGTCTCTCATCTGGAACTTACGGGTCAGCCAGATCGTGATAGGCTTCATTGTGTTTGTAAGGGATCAGGCGAAAATCAGACAGGAGCGTATTTACAGAGTCTACAGGGCGAGCGGGGGAATGCAGTCCCTTCTCGTAGTTAAGTACAGGAACCTCAGGAAAGCATGACGCAGTCGGCGTTTGGGGCCAAATCTCACCACGATGGCTTTTCATTGGTAAGCATGTGTCCGTTTAGTTATTTCCATTACCAGCTCTTTTGGGCGTAGTTTTCTGTCTCATCAGGAAAAAGTATAATCGAATGAGACAGAATAGCTAATACTCACATTATTAGTAGACTGGTAGGGTGTTCTTCCGGGGTGATTATAGAGTTCGTTCTTCAAGAACCATATTATTCTTCGGCAAAGTCGAGTGTTTCGTCCAATCAAGACGTGCGTACTTGCCTATCAGCAGTCAGGAAGTAGACAACGTAGGCCCTTAGGAGTAATAAGGATGCTCCTCTACTTCATGTCGTGGGTATAGTTCCTAGGGCTGTCCGGCAGTGGATAAGGGGAGTGCAAACATACCGCTTTTGGCAAGTTTGCACCTCAAACGTGTCCTCCCAGCTTGTCGGTCTCCCTCATCGAAGGAGCTCCAACTTGCCAAGTGGCATTTCTGACAATGGCCTAATTCTTGTCCAGCGGCACATTTTATCTACCTGGACTCTCCTTTCCTAATCCACCAAAGCTGCCCAGGGCTATCTCCGTTTGGGCGAGGCCGATCACCGATATACGCACCCGGACCGTCTGGCGGACTGGTCAATTTGTGACCGACTTTATCCCGCAGATCAATTCTTGAACAATTGGCCTACCTCCGCAGCGGAGAGGCAACCACAGAGACCATGGCGTCCCGGTCACCAACCTCTCCCATCTTCTCCCTCGTCGTCCTCCCCTTCTTGATCTTCCTCCTCAGCTTCGCCGGCCCAGCCTCCGCCGCCGGCTCAGCTGTCCTTGGCCTCGATGTCGGCACCGAATACCTCAAGGCCGCCCTCGTCAAGCCTGGCATTCCGCTCGAGATTGTCCTCACCAAGGACTCAAAGCGCAAGGAATCGGCAGCTGTCGCATTCAAGCCAACCCGCGACCCCAACGCCCTCTTCCCCGAGCGATTCTACGGTGGTGATGCGCTCGCTCTGGCGGCTCGGTATCCCGATGATACTTATATCAACTTGAAGACGCTATTGGGGCTTCCGTTCGACGATGAGACGGTTCAGAGCTATCAGAGCCGGTTTCCCGCCTTGAAGCTGGAAAGCTCTCCAGGTGACCGCACTTCAGTCGCACTACGCAGTAATCGGCTTGGGGACGCGGAGAAGAAAGATGCGTTTTTGGTTGAGGAGATCCTGGCGATGCAACTTAAGCAGATCAAGGCCAATGCCGACAGCTTGGCGGGCGCGGGATCGGATATTCGCGATGTGGTGATTACTTATCCTGCATTCTACACCGCTGAAGAAAAGCGCAGCTTTGAGTTAGCTGTGGAGCTGGCCGGTCTGAATATCGAGGCCATGGTTAGTGATGGACTGGCGGTTGGCTTGAACTACGCTACCAGCCGCGATTTCCCCAATGTTTCGAATGGTGAGAAGCCGGAATATCATGTTGTCTTCGATATGGGCGCTGGATCGACCACGGCAAGCGTCCTGCGTTTTCAGAGTCGTCAGGTGAAGGATGTTGGCAAATACAACAAGACTATTCAAGAGGTTCATGTTCAAGGAGCCGGCTGGGACAAGTCGCTCGGCGGTGATTCCCTGAATGATCTTATTGTTGACGACATGATTGCCCACTTGGTGGAGGACAAGAAACTCAAGGACAAGGTCACCGCCGCTGAAGTTAGGGCCCATGGAAAGACCATGGCGAGACTCTGGAAAGACGCGGAGAAGATTCGCCAGGTCTTGAGTGCCAACTCAGAAACCCACACCAGTTTTGAAGGCTTGTATGACGAGAATGTCAACTTCAAATACAAGCTCACCCGTGCCAACTTCGAGAAGATGGCCAAGCAACATGCCGCCCGTGTACGATCTCCATTGGAACAGGCTGTGTCCGCCGCTGGTTTGCAGCTGAGCGACATTGACTCGGTTGTTCTGCACGGCGGTGCCATTCGGACTCCATTTGTCCAAAAGGAACTGGAGACGGTCTGTGGGTCCTCCAAAAAGATCCGGACCAATGTCAATGCCGATGAGGCGGCCGTTTTTGGCGCCGCCTTTAAGGGCGCGGCTCTTAGCTCGAGTTTCCGCGTCAGGGATATCCGTTCCAGCGACGCAGCCTTCTATCCAATCGCCTTGAAATGGAGCTCCGACGGCAAAGAGCGGAATCAGAAGTTATTCACAGCTACTTCTCACGTGGGCCCAGAGAAGCAGCTTACTGTGAAGAACCTGGACGACTTTGAATTCAGCTTCTACCAGCTCTTCGACCAAGCTAAGGAGCTGCCTGTACTGAGCGTACAGACCCAAAATCTCACGGCTTCCGTGGCCCGACTGCGGGATTCCTTTGGATGCTCGACCGCGAACATCACTACCAAGTTTTCGATCCGCCTCAGCCCCGTTGACGGACTTCCGGAAGTTGTCGGTGGGACTGTCAGCTGCGAAGTTGAGTCCGAGAAGAAGGGCAGCGTCGTGGATGATGTCAAGGGCTTCTTTGGGCTCGGCAAGAAGGATGAGCAGCAACCGCTCGGTGACGGCGATGATGAACCTAGCGAATCCATCACGCTTGAGCCAGAGACGGAGTCTTCCACAACATCGACTTCCAGCGAGTCTTCTACTACCACTGCCATCAAAGATAGCAAGAAAGCCACCCCTCAGACCAAGGAAGAGATCATTCCCATCAGCCTGAAGTCAACCACGCTTGGAACCAAGGCCCCTTCGGCTTCTGAGATGACCCGAATCCGGGGCCGCCTGGCCGCGTTCGATGCGTCGGACCGTGATCGTGTCCTGCGCGAAGAAGCCCTGAACGAACTTGAGTCTTTCATCTACCGCAGCCGTGATCTGGTGGATAACGAAGAGTTTGTCAAGGCTGTCAAGAAAGACCAGTTAACTCTTCTGTCCGAAAAGATTGCCACTCACAGCGACTGGCTCTACGAGGACAGCGACCACGCCAAGACAGCGGACTTCAAGCTGAAACTCAAGGATCTGAAGGATATTGTCGATCCAGCACAGAAGCGATTAAAGGAGAGCTCTGGCCGCCCACTGCACGTGAAGCTGTTGAAGGATCTAATCCAAAATGGTGAGGGAATGCTGGAGAAGATTCAGAAACACATCGAAGGAGCCGAGAAGGAATACTCATCCTCGCTCTCGGAGTCAAGCAGCACCTCCTCTTCCACCGCAACCCCAGCCGCTTCGAGCGATCCACTCGATGATCTCGATGAGGACGCGTACTCCCCCTCGTCATCCCCGACCTCCACCAAAAAATCTGCCGCGGCCAAGCCTACCGGCCCGGCGTACGGACTCTTCACTCCTACCGAGCTCTCGATCCTATCAAAGGCCTACGATTACGCCCATCCCTGGCTGGAGAACAAGCTCGCCGAGCAGGAGAAGCTCACGGAGTCGGATGACCCCGTCCTGACCCTGGCGGACATCGACTCCCGCATCAAGGAGTTCGAACGCGTTCTGAACCGCTTGTACAAGAAAATGGACGCCGCTGCAGATAAGGAAACCGGAGCTGCGGACAAATTAAAGGCCGAGAAGGAGCGACAGGCCAAGGCGAAAGACGATAAAAAGAAGACCAAGAAACAGTCCGAGGCCAAGGGTAAGAAGGCCACGGAGAAAGAGGCGGCCAAGGAAAAAGAGGAGGAGGATCGGAAAGACGAGCTTTGATTCCTTTGTTGGGCTTGGTGGTAATACATATCTTGCATTTGTGGGGGTTTACCCTTTTCTGTTTTCGAGTACAGAAGCATCATCGTCTTGTCTCTCTTGTATCTTACTTTTCTTTCCTTTTGGAGCTCATGCCTCATGCACCACAACTTCCCGTTGCACATCTTGCTTTGTTGTCTTTAGATCGATAGAAGAATTTTTATGGAGTTTTGGGTCGAATATTCGTTTCCCTACGTATCAGAGACAGGGAACAATGTTCTTTGTAATAGAGACATAGAAAGGCTAAGAGCTGGACCAAGCAGATTGCTCGACTTCAACACTTGAAAGTCACAAGCCTGTAGGTGGGTATTTGTACAAAAAAGAAAAAGATTAAACAAACCAAAAGACAGGGAGAAAAAAAGATGTTGTACACCAAAAAGCAAAAACAAAATGCCAACCAGTGACTAGACCCAATACAGTCCAAAATACAATCAAGCGCAGTCCATCTGCACATAATCAGCATCGACCTCCTCCCGCCTGCGAAGGAAAACCGCGTCCTCAAAGTCATCTGTATCCATAGCAGACGATTTCATGGTGTTCGGGTGGTGCCGCATGGCAAGCATATTCCGTCGCTGCACCCCGACCGGGGAGAGGATAGGGCGTGCATCCATGATCTGGGGACAAGTGTCGTCATCAATGAAGAAATATTCGCTGTCGCTGTCTGAATCGAGAGCCCGTTTCTGGCCCAGACCCGAGAAGGTGGTGTAGGATGACGTGGACTCCTGGCTGCTCGGCGGGAGGGAGAAGGCGTCTCCGTCGTCGTCGACGACGAATTGGTTGGGATTGATGGCGGAGGAACGGCCATAGGGCCCATCTCGTGAGTGTTTGGAGATACCGGAGAATGGAGCGAGTTCGGCGTAGCTCGTGCTGTTGTGGGGGTGGACAATATGCATGTTCTGTGGTCCGGGTGCTGAGATCACTGGTGATGCCGGGAACTTTTTCAAGTCGGTTTTGTAGCCCTCGGCGACGGATTTGCGGACTCGCATGCCAACGTTTAGCAAACTGGATTGGACTTTTGGCGAGACCACGGGGTGCGCTGAGAAGGTCGCGGCGGAGTAGTGGTTATGCGAGACGGGGCAGGCGTGCGAATCTGTCGAGTCGGAGGGCATCGAGGAGAAGAAACTGGTGATGGGGGGCTGGAAGCGCCGGCGCTTGGACAGGGTGACGTTGGTGGTGGAGGGCATCATGGTGTCGATGGAAGACATGTTGACCGATGCAGACAGCCTTTTCCTCCTCGTGGAGAGATGTCAAGGGGGGAGGAACGAGGCAGATAAGAATTGAAAACGATAAGAATGAACGAGGCTGGACGCGACGCGAATCAGTCATGTGATTCCGTGTTTCAATTTAGCGAAGGCGTTATGTAAGGCATTTATGCATTAGTTATGCCTCAGGCCATAAAAGTTGAGCCGTACTTATTGAAAGTATTCAACATAAGACAGAATATAATGCAGGTACAAGGGTCAGGGCGAACCCGAAGTACGATAGCCAAATCGATCCTTATACACGGCGATCACTGGCCTGAACCACAGAATTGTCTTTCTAACCTCAGAGGCTCAACAAAGACATACATAGTATAGTACTCGGCCTCCACAATATCGTTCAGGAATTATATGCCAAGGTATATTTTGAAACTATCTACAAAAAGCCATTACATACCCGCGTTACCTCTCTTCCCTCCACGCTTCTGTCGATCATGGTGCGCCTTCAAGACCGCACGCGTCTCAATAAGACTGCGCTTATTCTTACTCTTCGCCTTGCCAAGCGTCATAAGGAAGTTCTTCTTCCGTGCCTTCTCCCTGTTGGTCGTACTCTTGCCCTGCTCCTGCTTGCGCTCCTTGCGCCTAGCCTCCTTGCTCTTATGCTCCGTCTTGCCTTCCCTGGCGTGAGCGATGCGCTCCTCGCGAGTGGCCTTGGCGGCGGAGAGAGCGGCCAGACCCTCGATTTCTTCGGCAGTCAGTGGGTCGTCGGCATGCCGGGTCGTGGTCTGCCCGGGGCGACGGGACTTGGCGCCTGGCATGAGGGAGTCGACGGATGCTTGGGCCCGGAGCTCGGCTAGTTTGGCTAGATCAGCCGGTGTGAGAATCCGGGTGGTTGCGAGAGTGCTGAGCTTCTGCTGCTCTTGTTCGGCATCTGCCTTCTTCTCGCTCTCATCACCATCTTGCTTGGCCTTTTTGGCGGGACGAGCTTTGTCGTTGTCGTCGTCGGAATCGCTGAGGTCAATTTCAACGTCACTCTGCACGTTGATCCAGTCACCCGAGTCGTCGCTGTCTTCGTCATCCTCGACATTCCAAGCAGCCCAATTGTCTTCTTCGTTTTCCTCGTCATCATCTTCGGCATCAGATGGGAGACCCTTCTCCAGGTTCTTCTTGCGTCGCTCCTCCTCTTTCCATTTCTCCAAAAGTTCAAGACCCTCGATCCCTCCCAGTGCCTGCTGACCAAAGCGTTTTTCTTCTTTCTCACCGGACCGAAGGCCCATGGAAGCGTCCTTGCCACGGTCACGTCGCTTGAGCATCTGCGCTCCGACGTCTCGGTACAGGCTGAGCAGTCCCTTGGCAGCCATCATGACACCCTTGTCCTTGCTCTTCTTGTACATGACAAGATCCTGCAGTAACGCCTCATTCATCGCCAGCGGTTGGCGAGCACAAACCTCTCGGATAGCATTCATACCAGCGGTAGCAACCTCCGCGGCCGATGCTTCAGAGACAAATTCGTTTGCAATCTTTTGGATCAAAGGTTCGAGAACATCCGGGGGCACAAGCTCATGCGAAGCCTGCGCCAGTGATGCCAGAAATGAAGTGACAGAAGGTTGACGGGGTGTCAGGTATTTTTGAAAATAGGAATAAAGAGGCATGATGTGAAGTTGATGAAGGCCAACCAGACGGCTGACCAATTGCAGCACAAGAAGCTTCTGCTCCAGGTTCAGTTTGGCCTTGGTATTTTGAAGGTGCTTAGAGAACAGAGATTCCGCGAAACCCTGGGGATCATGAAGCAGATGGAGGGCAGAGAAATTGAGCGGGTGCGGCTGGTTCTTCTTACGCTCCTTCTTCTTGACGGTTGCAATCGCCTTCTGGGCAGCGCGGGCCTTCTTCTTTGTCTTCTTGTTAATTCCAAGTTGGTGCCTGACACGACCAACGTCGATGGCATCATCATCGCTGCTCTCGTCTTCCATTTCTTCTCGCTCTTTGTCGCCACCGAGGAAGAAACGGACGCCACCGACAATGACCTTCTCGTGCTCGGATAAGCTCGCCTCCTTCATAATCTCGACGGCTTTGGCGTCTGTCCAGATTTGACGCTTCCACAGCTCGCGAGTCAACTTGATTGCCCAAACACCCTTGGAGGATGTACGGTCCGATGTGACCAGGTTGAACAGCACAGTCTGCATAGTCCGGTTGAGCTTGTGGTTGACGGTCTTCGAGTTGGCGGTGCGGAGTTCGGAAAGGATTTTCTGGAACAGCAGCGCCCGTAGAGTCTTGCTTGGTGTCGAGATGAGAATAGGGAACAGGGTGTGAAGTAGTCTGTAGAAATTTTAGTTAGCGTCGGAATTCAAACATCTGATCAATGATTCCATACCTTGCCGAATCCATGAGATCTTTCTTCCTTAGAAGCATCAGACTACCCACGATCTTTTCGCGCAGCTCGGGCTCCAACACCAGATGATGTTGCATCAGCATGTCAATCAACTGCTGCGGAAAATCCTGCAAGATTTCCGGATAGCAGTCGGCAACGTGAGAGATGAAGTCAATGAGGTCGCGAAGCGAAATCACGCCAGTATCAGTGGCCGCGGAGGGCGCCGCCATGAAAATTTCTCGGTGGGATTCATATTGGTAGTGTTGGGCGCGGAAATCTTCAATGTAGGATCTAGAAGCACAAAACGGTTAGCTTTAAATTCAAAGCACCGAGTTATTTGACTTACTTGGGGTCTCTCCTTATTTTGTGTTGTAGATTGGGCCTGCGCAGCGCAAGGTTGAGGTCAGTGTCGTGAACCGAAAGTTTCTGAGCGGCAGTTGCGACGACCCCAAAGAAAGCCCACTTACAGGTCTGCTTCGACCTTTTCCAAGGCCCCGATCTTTCTTTTCACCATTTTCTTCTGTTCAGCGCCCGAGTACGGCGCAGCAATTCAGCGGGAACGAGAGGTGAGTGAAGGAGGTTGGGGGAGATCCGGCGAAACTTTTTTCTTCGCCTATCGATAAGCGGCCCAGGCTTCGCTTTGACCCAACTCGCTTTTTTTTCATTTTTGTATTCCCTTACGGACTGGACTGCCTTCTCGGTAACTACTACGTGGATAGGATTAATTGAAAAGAAATTTTCATTTTAGGAATGAGGCCTACAGGCCCTAGGTCTTCAGGAGGGCACCGCAACTACAGTGAAACGAAAGCCGTCCTCATGCTCTTGTGGGATCGTGCTCCCTCCAGTGCGGTAACGTGCCAACCGACTGAATCCTAGTATAACCCCCGTCCACTCCGGATACATAAACAGAGCACCAAACGGAGAACAAACCCAACACAATCCCTTTACCGGTTGCTCTTGGCAACACGCTCCAGCTCGTCCTTCTTCTTGATGGCGTACGAGTTGGAGCTGCCCTTGGCGGCGTTGATCAGCTCCTCAGCAAGGCACTCAGCGATGCTCTTGATGTTGCGGAAGGAGGCCTCGCGGGCACCGATGGTCAGGAGGGCGATGGACTGGTTGACACGGCGCAGGGGGGACACATCGACGGCCTGGCGACGGACGGTACCGGCGGAACCAATACGGGTGCTGTCCTCACGGGGACCGCAGTTGACGATGGCGTCGACGGCGACCTGGAGGGGGTTCTGGTCGGTCATGATGTGGATCTGAGGGCACACAATTAGCAACCACCTCATCCACATGAGTGTTTTTCACATACGATCTCGAAAGCGTGAGCCACAATGCGGGTAGCCATGAGCTTCTTGCCGTTGTTGCGGCCGTTCATCATCATCGAGTTGGTCTGCAATCACCGAGTTAGTCGCAACACTTTTATAGACCTGAAAAATGGAGGGAAACCGACAAGGCGCTCGATGATGGGGCAGCTGCCCTTGCGGAAACGCTTGGCGGCATAGCGACCGGCAGAGTGGGAGAGGTAGACGGGCTGGCGAATGTTCACGTAGTCACTGAAGAACGGGAGTCAGTCATCAGTCTTGAAATTTTTTGCCTTCGTTCTTTCCCCATCCGAAGTCTCGCTCCAAGCGAAGCAAAATGCCGAATCGCACACAGGGAACGAAGAGCGAGAGAACGACTCACGTCAACGAAATGTCGCGGACCTCGACGTCCTCGTAGCTCCACTTGTTGAACAGCTTGACCTGACCCTGCTCGGCCAGAACCTCCTTGGGCAGGACCGAGTAGGTCGCAACCTCGACATCCCCGTTGTCAGACATGTTGACTGTGGTCGAGGGAGGGATTGGTGGGAAAGGTGGTCGACCGGGTGTTGTTGGATGGGATGAACGCTCGATTCTCGGCGGGTCGAAAATAGCGGTGCGGCAGAGACTCGCTAAAGATTTGTGGGGTCACGTGGTTGCTGACTGGATTAGTGCCTGAGGAATCAATTTCGTCCCTGGATGGACCAAGTAGAGAACAGAGTCGAGGTAGTGAGCATTGCTATTTGCCATTCCTCTGTGGAACATCACACTGCTAGAAACCCAGTCCATAGTACCTAGTAGATATCTGCGTAGAGGTGTCAGGAACCACTTCTCCTATAGATAGTCGCCGAGTCCATGTCTCAGCTGCGCCTTCGGCTGGCTTGACCGCCCGGGCAGGTGACGTTCAGCGCGAATGGAGGCTGGACATCGAGCAAAGACCATCGAACGTCGCCCGCTGTTCCTGATTATAATTCCCCCAGACGATCGCAATCCACCAGTCATTCCCCCTCGTCTGGCGTCTGGAACGACGCAGACTGCAATGAGGCGTCCTTGATTACGCCCTATTCCTCCCCCGCTGCACTCCGTTCGCTTCCCCGAATCGAGGCCTACCGTCCTGATGGCGGAAGAGAGCCCCGAGCTCCAGGCCGCACTGCGCGACCTGGATCGGGAATTGGAGGTAGGCATTGTACTCACTGCTGGTCCCTGTGAAGATGCGCTGACATGCTGGGTTCCATGACAGGAGGGCGATATCACCGAGAAAGGGTAAGCAGTTTCCTGCCAGACAGATGTCTTCGGCCACCCCACGGCGCAATCCAATCGCTGGGTGGACGGAAAATCGCCGTGATTATCATTCCGTCCACGAACTCAATCGGACTGACCAAAATCAAAGATACCAAAAGCGACGTTCGATGCTTCTGGCGCAATTCCTCGGCCCAAACAAACCCCTCGAGATCGTCAATCACTCGAATTCTGATTATGAAGCCACCTCAAATCCCTCGAACATGGCTCCGCCTGCTATTCTGAGCGTTCACGCGCCATCGAGTCGATCCGGTCAGCCCAGTCTCGTATCTCCGACGTATGCCGGCAGTTTCGATGGCATGCAGAGTGGCGGAGGACTCGGATATGACCAGCGCGGCAGTATGGACATGCAGAACCCGTCACCAGCACCAGCTGCGTCGTATGATAGAAATAACGTTGGGGTTGGTCGGATGCCGTCAACATCATCGTACGATTCCCTTTTCCTGCCCAAGCCAGCACCTCCGGGATCACAAGGCCAGGATGGTTCGCGGACGGCAACATTGCTGAGCCAGAACTATGCGTTCAACCCGAATGCCCATCCTGAGTACGTGGACGATACTATGGCGTACGACCCCGCGTTGGGCGGAGCCACGCGACAGTCGACGATGCTGGACTCGCAACAGGGATTCTTCTCTGATTTCGCCGGCCAGCAGCGTGAGGACTATCGGGAGAGCTATGGTGGTGGGTTCCACCGCTACTCTCAGTCGGGAGAAGCCTTTTCACCCACTGCGAATATGGCCCCGCCTTTGATGCCCGCCTCGGACCTTCAATATGCGCCAACTCTCCAACACCTGCATCCTTTAGAGCCTCGAGATATTCCATTTTCGGTCAATGACCCGCATGATAAGAGCACTCCGATGTCCAAATTTGATAATCTTCCGACAGTGCTGCGGCATCGCGCTCGAGCGCATGGGAAGCAGCCGGCGTATTGGGTATTGGACCAGAAAGGAAAAGAGATTGCGTCCATTACATGGGAAAAGTTGGCAAGCCGTGCCGAGAAAGTTGCTCAAGTGATTCGCGATAAGAGCAATCTGTATCGTGGAGATCGCGTGGCCCTGATCTACCGCGATGCCGAGGTTATTGAGTTCGCAGTCGCTCTTTTAGGCTGTTTCATTGCTGGCGTTGTTGCAGTTCCAATCAACAAATTGGATGACTATCAGAGCTTGAACCTGGTGCTCACATCCACTCAAGCCCATTTGGCCCTGACGACCGAAAACAACCTTAAAAACTTCCAACGTGACATCACTGCACAGAAACTGAACTGGCCCCGCGGAGTCGAATGGTGGAAGACCAACGAATTCGGCAGTTTCCACCCGAAGAAGAAGGATGACACGCCTCCATTGGTTGTTCCAGACCTTGCGTATATCGAGTTTGCACGAGCCCCGACAGGTGACACGCGTGGTGTGGTGATGAGCCATCGGACCATCATGCACCAGATGTCCTGCCTGAGTGCTATCGTGACCGCTGCACCCACTGATTCGAGTGCCAGACAATACGCCAAGGGAGAGACTATCGTCACTTACCTAGACCCCCGACAGGGCATTGGCATGATCCTGGCCGTGCTTTTCAACGTCTACGGTGGTCACACAACCGTTTGGCTTGAAGATCGAGTTGTGGAGACGCCCGGTCTCTATGCTCACGTTGTCACTAAATACAAGGCAACAATTATGGCTGCCGACTACTCTGGTTTGAAGATTGCAGCGTACAACTACCAGCAGGACCCCATGGCCACTCGACATTACAAGAAGAACTCTGAGCCCAATTTCAGTAGCGTTAAAATGTGCATGATTGACACCCTCACTTTGGACTCTGAGTTTCACGAGATCTTGGCAGACCGATGGCTGCGGCCCATGCGGAATCCGCGCGCTAGAGAGATTGTGACCCCAATGCTGTGCTTGCCCGAACATGGCGGCATGGTGATTAGCATGCGGGATTGGCTTGGCGGTGAAGAGCGCATGGGATGCCTCTTGACCCATGAAATGGACCCGGCGGTTCACTCTGACTCCAAAAAAGAGGACACGAAATTCGAGAAGTCCGAGACCAATACCGGCTTTGGCAGCAGTCTTCTCGGCGGCGGGTCCCGCGGGTCCCGAATCTCACAACCCAAGGAGACTTCGAAGAACGAATTAGGAGAGGTTCTCTTGGACAAAGAGGCTCTGAAAAGCAATGAGGTCGTCGTCCTCGCTATGGGCGAAAATGCTCGCAAGTTTGCTGCTAGTATGCCTCATGCTGTGCGCGTTGGTTCTTTCGGTTATCCCATCCCTGACGCTACTCTCGCCATTGTCGATCCTGAAACCAATCTTCTGTGTACGCCCAATGTCATTGGAGAGATCTGGGTCGATTCGCCTTCTCTGTCTGGCGGTTTTTGGGCATTGCCAAAGCACACCGAAGCCATATTCCACGCCCGCCCTTACAAGTTCGAGGAGAACAATCCAACTCCGGTTCTTGTGGAGCCGGAGTTCTTGCGCACCGGTCTGCTTGGATGCGTTATCGAGGGCAAGGTGTTTGTGCTGGGTCTCTATGAAGACCGACTCCGCCAGAAGGTCGAGTGGGTTGAACATGGGCAGGAGATTGCGGAACACCGCTATTTCTTCGTTCAGCATCTGGTTGTCAGTCTGTTGAAGAAAGTACCAAAGATTCACGACTGTACAGCTTTCGATGTTTTTGTGAATGACGAGCATCTTCCAGTCATCGTGCTAGAGTCTTATGCGGCTTCAACAGCACCAACAACCTCTGGGGGGCCTCCTCGCCAGCTTGACTCCGTTCTCTTAGAGTCTCTAGCAGAGAGATGTATGGAGGTTTTGTATCAGGAACATCATCTTCGCGTTTATTGCGTGCTCCTTACGGCTCCGAACTCGCTTCCGCGCGTCACCAAGAACGGTCGACAGGAGATCGGCAACATGCTCTGTCGCAAAGAATTCGATGCCGGTACGCTGCAGGCTGTGCATGTCAAATTCGGTGTCGAGCGAGCAGTGATGAACCTACCTGTCGGTGTCGACCCGGTCGGCGGTATTTGGTCCCCCCCTTGCTGTCGAGTCGAGGCAAGAGATGCTCGCCTACCAAGAGAAACAGTACTCAGGCGTCGACTACCGCGATGTTATCATGGATGATCGTACCTCCACACCTCTGAACAACTTCAAGACAATTGTCGACCTTCTCCAGTGGCGAGTCTCGCGCCAAGCCGAAGAACTGGCTTACTGCTCTATCGACGGCCGTGGCAAGGAGGGCAAGGGCCTCACCTGGAAGAAATTTGACCTGAAGGTCTCTGCAGTGGCAACATACCTGAAGAACAAAGTCAAGGTCCGCCCCGGAGATCATCTGGTGTTGATGTATACCCATTCTGAGGAGTATATCTTTGCCATTCATGCTTGTTTCTGTCTGGGTGTTGTTGCCATTCCACTGGCTCCCATTGACCAGAACCGCCTCTCAGAAGACGCGCCTGCGTTTCTGCACGTCATCAGCGATTTCAATGTCAAGGCAATCATTGTCAACGCCGAGGTCGATCATGTCATGAGGCTGAAGCTCGTATCCCAGCATGTCAAGCAATCTGCACAGGTTCTTCGCATCGGTGTGCCTGCTATATACAATACGAATAAGCCCTCCAAGCAGTCTCATGGATGCCGCGAGCTCGGATATACCATGAAAGATACCTGGCTGCAAGGTGGCCAGCCTGCTCTGGTCTGGACGTACTGGACACCTGATCAGCGTAGGATTTCTGTGACCATTGGCCATGATACCATTATGGGTATGTGCAAGGTGCAGAAGGAAACGTGCCAGATGACAAGCTCGAGGCCGGTGCTCGGTAGTGTGCGCAGTACATTGGGTCTCGGATTCCTGCACACCTGTTTGATGGGTATCTACGTTGGTAAGTTTTTGATCTGACCGTCAAACATTTCCACCGGCTAATGAGAACTCTAGGTGCTCCTACATACCTCGTGTCTCCTGTCGACTTTGCCCAGAACCCGATGACTCTCTTCGTCACTCTCTCACGGTACAAGATCAAGGACACATACGCCACTAGCCAGATGTTGGATTACGCCATGAATGTTATGGGTGCAAAGGGCTTCCAGCTCCAAGAGCTGAAGAACCTGATGATCTCCGCGGAAGGACGGCCGCGAGCCGATATTTGTATGCACTATCTCTCTGCCCTGAAGCTCGTACAGACTTGTTAATGTTTTCCACGCAGACCAAAAAGTGCGCCTGCACTTCGCTTCTGCTGCCCTGGACCGCACCGCGATCAACATCGTGTACTCACACGTCCTCAATCCTATGATCGTCACCAGATCATATATGTGCATCGAGCCGATTGAGCTTTGGCTGGATCTCCGAAGTCTTCGCCGAGGTCTAATCTATCCTGTGGACCCAGACGCAGACCCTACCGCCCTCCTACTCCAAGACTCGGGAATGGTGCCGGTCAACACGCAGATTGCCATCGTCAACCCAGAAACCTGCACCCTGGCCCATGTAGGAGAGTACGGCGAGATATGGGTGCAGTCCGACGCATGTGCCAAAGGCTTCTACAGATCCAAGCAGGAATTTGACAATGAACGTATGGATGGTCGGGTCGCGGATGGTGACCCGAACGTGCCCTACATTCGCACCGGCGATCTAGGCTTCCTTCACACTGTCACTCGGCCAATTGGCGCCGGTGGGCAACCTGTCGAAATGCAAGTTCTCTTTGTCCTGGGTGGAATTGGTGAGACATTCGAAGTCAACGGACTCAGCCATTTCCCGATGGATATTGAAAGCTCAATCGAAAGATGTCACCGCAATATTGTGGGTGGTGGATGTGCGATTTTCCAAGCAGGCGGTCTGATCGTGGTCGTGGTTGAAGTCACCCGAAAAGCGTATCTGGCATCTCTTGTCCCAGTCATTGTCGATGCCATCCTCAACGAGCACCAAGTTGTCGTGGACATTGTCGCGTTTGTCTCTCATGGTGACTTTCCCCGCTCACGCCTCGGCGAAAAGCAGCGTGGCAAGGTCCTAGCATCATGGGTAACCCGCAAGCTGCGGACAATCGCTCAATTCAGTATCCGTGACTCGGACGGAGCGGATGGTCCATTTGCAGACCTGCCCCAGCATCGCGTCAGTCGAGGCTCCAAGCCCGGGAGCACCATGGGTAGTAGTCTGCGCAAGTCGACGCTTGTTAACCCCGAGAGTGAGATTCCGCGATCTCCGGCTCCAATAGTGCTTGAAGACCCAACACAGCAGGCTCAAATTAGCTCCTACCAGGATATGCCTTCACCTGGCTTGTCACAGGAGCCTGGTGCTGACAGTTCTTTTGCTGGCACGCCTGTCCCTGAGCCGAATCCCGGTCTCCCTCACATTGAAGAGCCTCAGTCCGCTACACTCGTGACAGAGGACGCCGATGACCACAACGTGGGATATACAAAGCCTGTCTCTGGAACCGAAACTGCCCATAACCGTGATTTCCGATTCAGTTTTGACATGGTCAACACGCCCATTGATCCCCAGCAATATGAATCAATTGCCCCTACCGCCGAGTCGCCCTCAGCAGGACGAGACGCCCTGCCCAGCCAAAAGCAATTCAGCACCGTCCCCGCAGGCGCAGAGCCAGTGCAGGAAGAAACGATTCGTCCCAGCACCCAGGAGAGCGGAAACATCGACGACTGGCCACAAGAAGCCTTAATGTACCAGTCCACTCTGGGCGTGGACGACGGATCGGACTTCGTCCAGCGCTCACCAAGCAACATGAGTGCCGCAGTGCGCAAGCGCTACGATGGAAGTGAATATGGTCCTTGAAAATCACCACTCTGTATATGGTCCCTCACCTCCAATCCTTTTGTGTTTAGATTCCACCTTTTCTCTCCTAATAAGGTTGGACGTTGTGTTTTTGATGCTTGTCTCGTTTTTAGCATGCCCCTTGTTCGTTTTCCCTCTTCTTTTCCCTACACACTACCCACATTCCCCCTAATCCGCTACGATGTCTTGTGCATTTCCCCTCGAATACCTCCTTAGCTTTGAAGTTTCGTCTGTGTCATTCCTCCCCGCTTTTTGTGGGACAATCTGCATATTCTGTTGTGTCTGTACATACCTGCCGGAATGTTAACTTGTGGTTGGTATCTTTTTCTATCTGCTGTAGGACTATCCATAGGAAAATTGTAACTGCATCAGTAGCACTTCAGGGACACTAGGCCGTAGCTGGCCCCGAGCTTTTAATGTTTATGCGTCTTGTCCGAAACCTGACTTTCTGAGTGTTTCGTACAAATGAAGATATTCATCGGATACGATTAATGAAAAGTGGAAAACCAATTAAGAAAATTTTATTATGCAACAGTAGGACTTTTTTTGGGTGACTAGCCAAGGAATTTCATTCAAGCGATCCCTAATAAGAGGATTATGTGTTGGTTTCAAAGTTTCGGGCAGGACGAACCAGCCCACGCAATAGCCTAAAGGCCCAAACAATGACGAATGCAAAAGAGGAGTGTTTTGACGAAGCCCAAGGTATAACACACTGTGACTGTGGAATGACGTCTGACTACGAGAAAGACTGCAGTCTTGCATGCAGCCGTTGCGGGTGTTATTCTATGGTGGATAGAGAATGGGTAAGCTAGTTGAGCTGTGGTGATAAGCGAGAGGGGGGATAGCAGGGCAGTATCCCAATAGAAGTATTTACAGCAATAATGCTGGTTGCTAAAGGACCGAGGTAGGGCTATGCGGCGACCGGTCAGGTCTGTGTGCAGCGGCTAGGTCGGGTATCGCTTTCTCGCACCACCCATGTTCAAGCCCAAGAAGAATTTATGAGCGCATTCTCTTAGCTAAAATACTCTCGTTACCGCCTAGATAGCGCCAAACAATCTGGATCTAGTTAAACTACGGCATGGGTGAAGATCCTAGTCCTATACTTCGTATGCACACCTACCTCATACATCTTCTGATCTCCACTCCTCTCTGGGATAAGCCAACAAATAACATCTCGTGATTCTCGGCATGAGCTTCCTACATACATGCTGCACTGCATATACTTTCGCACGATGTCGTGATATTAAAGTACACCCCACGGCAGCCGAAGGCGTCATGGAGACCCACATTTATATCATTGCAGAGCGTGGCAGGTTGGCATCATCGCCGTGCAAATCTCGCCCAACTCCAGCCAACCACATCACGTTGTTTGCGATTGCGTCTTTGCCGATCCCTCACTTTAAGCCATGCGAAGCCTCTACGAAGGATGCCGATCTCACCGTGCTCTGGCTGGCTGCTCCATCTCCCAACTTCCTGATTTCTCCGAGCTCTGCAAGCTTCAGTCTATAGTTGACGATCACTCGGCTTCGCTATACTCACTGCGGCAATATGCCCTGTGATCGCTGCCGATGATCGCTGTGCGAATGTTGTGGAGAAATGATACAAGACCTTTTTCTTCACCGTCAGGAGGGGGAGGTTGTGAAGATGGAGGACCCGATGAGGGTATATAGGATGGACACTGTGGCCTCCATGGAATCCCAGAGCTGTCAGTTTTGTTTTCCCAAACCAAACTCAAAAAATCACACTGAAATATGAAGCTTCTCCTGCCAATCCAGCTGATATTATGCTGGCTGGCTGTCGCCGCCGCCAAGCAGCCCAATATCCTATTCATCTTGACAGACGACCAAGGCAAATATGTCGGAGGCCTGGAACATATGCCCAAGCTTCAGGTATGTCTTGTTTGGTGTTTTTATTCCACCGATATCTAACATACAACAGGAGCTCCTAGTTCAAAAAGGAACTAGCTATCCCAAGCACTTCTGCTCCGTCGCGCTCTGCTGCCCATCGCGCGCAAATCTCTGGACTGGCCGCATGCCACATAACACCAACGTGACCGACGTAAATCCGCCATATGGTGGATATCCAAAAGTGGTGGACGCCGGCTGGAACGACAACTACCTGCCCCTATGGATGCAGGATGCCGGGTACAACACGTACTACGTGGGCAAGTTGTGGAACGCACAGACAGAAGAGAACTACAACAAGCCTCACGCCAGAGGGTTCAATGGGTCCGAATTTCTGCTGGACCCATGGACATACCGCTATTACCTTGCGCGGATGACACGCAACGGCGGCCCCCCTGAGAAATATGACGGACAGTATTCAACTGACGTCATTGCGAGTAAAGCTGAGGGCTTCCTCGACGAAGCACTGCAACATGACAAGCCGTGGATGCTGACTGTGGCCCCGAATGCACCGCATGCTAACGGCTCAAGCGAAAACGGCGTCAACTGGTTTGGCGAGCCTGAATATGCGCATCGCCATGCGGATCTGTTCAAGGATTACAAAATCCCGCGAGATGAAAGCTTCAACAAGCTGATTGATGGTGCGGTCAGTTGGGTTGGCAGTATTCCTGAACTGAACCAGACTGTCGTTGATTACATCGACGAGTTCCAGCGTTGCCGGCTCCGTGCTCTGCAGGCCGTCGACGACTTGATCGAGAAACTGGTCACCAAGCTCGAGAAAGCAGGAGAATTGGATAACACCTATATCTTCTATTCGACCGACAATGGGTATCACTTGGGTCAGCATCGTATGCAGCCAGGCAAGAACTGTGGTTATGGTGAGCTTACTCACGAAATTCAGTGTTTATATCTTACTTACGCTTTAGTAGATACCGATATCCACGTCCCTCTGATCGTCCGGGGACCTGGCATCCCTGAAAACGAGACACTTGACGTGGTTACCAGCCACACAGATCTGGCACCGACCTTCCTCTCTATTGCTGACTCTACCCAACCTGGGTTGGATGGCAAGAAGATTCCGACGACTATCGCGGGCAGCCAAGCACAAAACAAGACTGAGCATGTTGCTATTGAGTACTGGGGTCTGGTAAGTGATGTTATACGTTTTCATATTTGATTCGCATCACTGATCATAAAAATAAAGGCTGTGCCGGAGGGAGTCTACGGATATGCCAGTGATAAGGACGGTGATGCTGGTAATTCCTACAAGAACAACACATACAAGGGTATCCGACTGGTCGCAGACGACTACAGTCTCTACTATTCAGTGTGGTGTACAAACGAGAAAGAGTACTACAACTTGAAGGTGAGAGCTACCACAGCCCTAAAACAGGGATAAAATCTGACAACTGCACAAGGACGACCCAGCCCAAACGGTTAACCTGGCCGCTCACCCAGCCAAACACAGCCAGTACCGTATTGCCAGCCGCGAGCTGCCGCAGATCATGGATCGACTTGACGCGCTCATGATGGTACTCAAGTCGTGCGAAGGAAACGCCTGCCGGTATCCATGGCACCAGCTCCACCCTGGCGGGAAAGTTGACACCCTTGCGAAAGCACTGGATTCTTCATATGACAACTTCTATGAGAAGCAGCCCAAGGTCACGTTCTCCAAATGCGAGATCGGTTATATTGTCAAGGAGGAGGGAGCCCAGCGTTTTGATGTGTATGGGCACACCGGGAGTGGGAAGAGGGCTTGGGCTTGGGATGATGCATTCTGGGGGTGGTAGCGATTGGTGCTGATCATGACTATATCCCTGGCCTAATAATGTCTGTATCGACGATATTTACGATTCAATAATTCCAATAGATCGTCCGTTCATATCTTTTTTGCCACTTCTGGTACAGTGTCACCCACTTCAATCATCTTCGTCGTCTTCTGGGATACCTTGTGGCCAATCAGGCCTGATGAATTTCTTGATCGCGTCCTCGTGGCCATTAAAAAAGTCCTCCAACGCCATGTTGGCGATCGAAAGGTTCGCGTAAACACAATGGGTATCGCGACCCGGAATCCGGCCATACGCGAATCCTTTAGTCGATGGCTGGGGAACATCCTCGAGAAGCTTGAGAGCCTCTTCACTCGCTTCTTCCAGGTGATAATATAGTTTCTCAGCCGCGATGACGCTATTGTCAACGAATGATTGCTGATCAACAAATAAACCAGGTTGATCATTGCGGTGTAGCCGGTTCTCGTTAAAACATATTTTCCACAAGCATTCCCACATATCTGTAAGGGTGCCATCCTCGTCGCTTGTCCAGGGGACAAAGCAGCATACCTTTTCCCAGGGATGGTTGTCTATATCAACATCTGTAAGAGTTTGAATCTCGTCTTGAAGGGCGCGCTGTTTTTGACTAGTGAATTTGTTTGTGAGGTAGAACAAGGGAGCCCCGTTCATTTTTCGATCAATAGGGAGCCACGGTGGAGGATTGGGATAGAATGGTTGACCTGGATCCTCCATGATTTCCATTTTGGATGGGTCAACCAGTCCATAGTTCTCTAGGTCCTTTTTGATCTCCTCGTATCCGCATACGTCAGAGTCCAATGTCTCCTTGATCACCTGGTCCAAAGTCTTTTTTAGGAAAATAATTCCTGTGGGAGCTTTCCGCAAAGTCCCAAACTGGGCAGTCATAACATTGTCACCCTCAATTGGTTCCAACAAGAAAAACAGAGGACGGGGGCGATAGGGGAAAGGATCATGAGATTGACAAGTCTCCCAGATGAGCATTAAATTGCGGCGCGAGGCGATATGATCGTGTTCCCATGGAACCAGTCGGATAATGGGTTCTTTGATCTCGTCTGAGTTGGAATTTTCGTCGTTCTTACCGTCGTCGTTTTCCTCACGTCGCTTCTTTATATCTTCTTTCACCTTTGGATATTGATTGTGCAAGGCCTTATGTAGAGATGATTGTAGCTTCTCTCTCTCCTTCAAAGTGGAAGGGAAAGAGAGAAAAATATCTAGAGTTGGCTCATCGCTGCCGAATCGCGTTAGAGGTAGCACAGTGGGCTGTTCGGTATCTTCTTCTGTACATTCAATTAGTACTCAACTCTGCCACAAAGGGGCCACATAACATACGACGACTCTCTTGTCCCAGAGATTTCAACATGTCTGGCGTAAACACAGTGCGATCTGGATCATGCAACTCCAGCCCGCAGATATCGTATATATCAGGGCGATCATACCGTCTATCCATGATGTACTCTTGCGAGATGTCAAAGATACCCAGGGTTTCCCGCAGATGCCATTGCCCATCTTCGCCGACTGCATCTCGTTTTGCAATAACGCGGACGTGACCCTCCTCTTTGCCTGGTTTAATAGCAACCATAACCACCGAAACTCGTGAACTCTCTCCCTGAGCAGGCATTCCTTCCAGTTGACGCTTCGTTAAATTGTCCGCCACAACAAGTTGTGAATGCCCCGCTTGATAGGCCAGGATCGCAAGACCGTACAGGCTGGCCATACTGTCTTGAAGATCACTTTTCGTAGTTATCGACTGGAGAAGCGCTTCGGATGGTATCCATTTTTGAATTTCAACTTCCTTAGGTGGGTTATGGATGTGATTTACTAGGGCCGATTCGCTTGCTTCCTCCAGGTCGGTTAAGATGGCCAGCAACAGCAGAGGACTCTTCGTTGTATCGCGTTGAACAGGTTGCAATCCATAGCTGGACTGGGAATAAGCGAGGTTCAACGCTTGCTTTGAGGTTGAGTTTGTGGTTGAGTTTGTGGTTGAGTTTGAATTCCTCATTGTTGATACTCTGATGAAATTGGAAAGATGCTGATTAGTGCGCATCAAGCGACCTATTTATACGTAGCGTAGCATTTGGACGTGGATAAAAACCTGACACCATCGGGGGCCAAAAGCCAAACCGTCCATTATTTCCCATGTGTACCGCGAGACACTCTTTACAGAAGCAAATGAAATGAAGTGATCATCTAATACAAATGATTATTCATATTAAGCTTATCAAAGCCGCTATTTAGGAGCAAATACAGAAGGTCCCAACTATATCACAATGGACACCCCACCTCCTCAGGTCAGCTACTCGGCCTTTTCGCCCTTCAGCTCAATGAAGTGCTTCACAACACTTTTGACCTGTTCCTCATAGCTCAAAAACTTGAAGCCCATGACTTCTTCCGTCTCTCTCGCGTTTACCGTGAGCTTTCTGGTAGGCTGCACACCATCGTTAGGGATAATGCCCTTTGCAATAGCCTTAGGGAAATGCTCAGCAGCAACTGCTGTTGCATTCTGCCAGACAGTTCCAGCATAATCTTCCGAGTTGCCAATATAGCTTCCAGCAGGGACATTCGGGTCGAGAGCCTTGACATGCATGAATGCCACGTCGTCGACGTGAACACTACCGCCCACAACAGGAGTGTCGGACTTGTTTCCAAGAACTGGACCTATCGCGATCGCGTTGGTGCCCACTGTGATATACTTCGCGTCTGTCACAAGCTCATTCTTGCCGATGACGAAAGATGGGTGGATGTTTGTGATGTCGAAGCTAGGTTTCTGGTCTCTAATAAAGGCCTCGGTTGCGAGGAGAGCAGCGGTTTTGCTGGCATTATAGGCGTGGAAATCCGATGGATATGGACCGAAGGGTTCAGGTAGTCTTGAGGTGTGATCGAAAACTATTCCATCGGGTGTATCGGATTCAAACATGTATTTCGCAGGGACCATTGCGACAACGGACGATGTGATCACAATACGCTTGACATTGGGTGAGGCGAGAGCGGCTTTCAGAATATTGGTTGTTCCGGCAACAGCAGGCTCGATCAGCGTGGTTTCATAGTCCTCTGGCTTAATTTCTCCCTTAAGGACGATCGGCGATGCGAGATGAAGGATATAATTCACACCCTTAACGGCTTCGTTGTATGCGCCATCAACCATAAGGTCTGGGACAACGATAAATGAAAGCTTATCCGCTGGAGCTAGCTCTTTGATAGATGGCGCAGAGAGGATTTCGTTCTTCGTAGACTCAGAACGAAGGGCCGCTCGAACATGGTAGCCGGCCTTCAAGGCAGTGACGAGGGTTCTGAAGCCAATATGGCCAGTAGCACCAGTGATCAAAACAAGACCTTTGGACATTTCTGCTTTTGCTATTAGAGCTAATTAAGTATTGTAATTCGAAGAGTTCAAAAATTTGATGAGACAATAAATACAAAACAGCATTAAAGGGAGGTTTGCCGGCTGCTTTATACGCTCTCACGGTCAATCATAACCCGACCGCGGCAGCTCCGGGAACCAAACATGTCTGAAAGATCATTGCTACTGTAATCAAAGAGATTGGTTCTGGAAACGATGAGAACCGGGTCTTGCATTTTACGATGAATCATCCGAATAATCATATGAATAATCATGTTATTATCAATCACAGTAGAAGAAATCCCATTTATTGGAAATAATAGCCCAACCAATAGATGACATGTCTTGGTTCAAAAACCCCTGCAAATTATCGTGAGCAGTTGGATCGTGACGATTATTTGGGCGAGGAGAAGAAGTTGACACCATCGGGTGCCAAAAGTCGAACTTTTCAAGCCACTTTGCCACTTGATTTGTGATCTCGCATGCTTAAGCCGCAGCCACGTAGGCAAGGCTACTGATCTGCTACCATTTAGAACTATTTACTCTAAAGCCGGCAAATAGACACAACCATTAAGGCAGATTTGGGGAATAGTCCCAAGTCGTGTAACCTGGAAGCTACAAGAAGCGAGAACGGAGACGAAGATCACCAGTTTCTCGCACTATAGTTCTTCTGCGTATAGGCAATAACTTCTTGTCCCCAGAAGAAGAGATGAAGGGGGAAGATGATCAAAAGCTCGGTGGACGCTCATTCTTAACCCAAGAAAAATGCTTACTATTAACAAAGTCCTGTTTCGTGGGGATGTTTAAGGAAAGAAGACAGGAAAAACTGTGCCCAAATTCTTTAATTCCAATGATTAAATGCATTATTTGGCCACTCCCACCCCGAATGATACACACAAAAGCACTTTTCCTATATTTACTGGGCTTCGGCCTGCTTTGTGAGCTGTTCAATGTTCACCTTGGCCTTCAAGTCACCATTGGACGAAATGGCCTCGTTGGAGCCGGCCAGCTGCTCGAGAGCCTGCAGGTCCTCGTTGGTAAAGGTGTTGGAGCGTACTGGTCGGAAGGGAGCAGGCGAGCCGGCGCGAGAAGTGAGGAACTGGCTGAATTAGAAAACAACACTAACCACGCATGAAAAATAACAGTGAACCAACTTACCGAGCTGGCTGCGCTCAGCAGCGCGATCAGACTGGCTTGCACCACATCCTGATGGATACCAACACCCCAGACTTGCTGCTTGCTGCCATCAGCTGTGCACTGGATATAAGTGGCTGCCTTTACGTCTCGGCCCAGACCGATGGAGTGCTCCTTGTAGTCGACGACATCGAGATCGATGCCCAGAGTAGAAAGCGCGGCAGCCAGAGAGGAGATGGCACCGGGTCCCACACCAGTAATGCCGTGTTGCACGTTGTCAATCTCGACGATGCCCGTGAAGCGGCGCTTGAGATTTCGGGTGTTGAGAGCCTTACCGGGCTCTGGCGGAGCAGGCGACTGCGAGCGGTCTGTCGTGATGTTGTAGTCGACCAGGTTGAAGCGCGGGTTGGACTTGAGGTGGTAGGCCCGCTCGAAGAGGTTGACGATCTCGTTCGGCTTGAGTTCCCGGCTGACGGCTTCGGTTTCCTTCTGCACGACCTTGCTGAATTCGATCTGGAGCGAGCGTGGAAGATCCAGCTCGAGCTGGCGCAGAATAACCCACGCAGCGCCTCCCTTGCCGCTCTGAGAGTTGACACGGATGACTGCCTCGTATGTCCGTCCGATATCTTGAGGGTCGAGCGGGATGTATGGCATCTGCCACAGATCCTTGTCGGTCGCGTTGTTTTTCTCACGCAGCTTGAAGCCCTTAGCCACCGCGTCTTGGTGACTGCCTGAGTATGCCACTTGGGTCAAAATGCCTGTTTATGATGAATTATGTGAGCTTTCTAGATCCTGGAGGAAAACTTGGGAGGGAAACTGGGGAGTTTTCGAGGGGAAGGAGGGAACGTACCTCCGTATGGAGCTCTTTCGTGGACAGCAAGCTTATTACTCTCCTCCACGACCTTGATGATGGCATTGATGTCGGAAAAGTCTACCTGAGGAGAGACTCCTTGGGTATAGAGATTTAGAGCCAAAGTGACTAGATCGACGTTTCCTGTGCGTTCACTAAATAAATCTTAGCAGTGATTCGTCGAATAAGGGCGCTTTATCATACCCATTGCCAAAAAGGGTGCCTTCCACCCGCTGCGCACCCGCCATCTGTGCCAGCTCGGCCGCGGCCACGGCGCAACCTCTGTCATTGTGAGGGTGGACAGAGACACAGAACTTCTCCCTCTCAGTCATATTTGTGCAGAAGTACTCGATCTGGTCAGCATAAATATTGGGAGTGGCCATCTCCACGGTAGCGGGGAGGTTAAAGATAATCGGGTTCTCCACAGTAGGCTCCCAAGCAGCCTTAACAGCCTCACAGACCTCAATGGCAAAGTCCGGCTCCGTATCAGAGAAGGTCTCCGGCGAGAACTCAAATTGCCACTCCGTGCCGACGTTGGACGGGTCATCCTTCGTGATGGAGCGCGCGTACTTGGTACAGCGCACCGCCAACTCCAGACTCTGTTTCCGGTCCATGTTGAAAACAATCTGGCGGAAGCACGGGCTCGTGGCGAGGTAGATGTGCAGGATAGCCTTCTTGGCGCCCTTCAGCGAGTCCACCGTGCGGCGGATCAGTTCCTCGCGGCATGGAGAGAGGACTTGCAGCCATACGTCGTCGGGGGTGAGGCCGGGCTCTTCGACCAGACGGCGCGTGAAGTCAAAGTCCGTTTGGGAGGCGGATGGGAACGACACTTCAATTTCCTTGTAGCCGATTTCGACGAGCATTTTGAAGAAGCGGTATTTTTGGTCGCCGTCCTAAGGACAAAGAGTTGTGAGATTTCCAATGCAGTCATATTACAGGGAAGTCAATTCATACCATTGGATCCGGCAGACTCTGGTTGCCATCGCGCAGATCAGTGGCCATCCAGCGCGGCGGCTTGTCGATGACCTTGTTCGGCCATTGGCGGTTCGGCAGGTTCAGAGGTTTGAACGCCTTGTACTTTGTTGAAGGATCCTTGAGCCTGGCAGGAGTCAGCAATTGAGTCAACCGAGTACAAATCCATTCGACACGACCTACATCGGCATGGCGGCGAGGCGGGGTACCGCGGGGCACGAAGTTGATAAGAAACGATAAAGACGAGCAAGGCAGGGAAATGGTCAGTGAGGATGATTCGAATGAACCAGGTACCGGATCGAGGAGCTGCTTTATAGCCAGGAAGCTCAGGCCACTGAAGATCTGGGGAACTGCTGTGACTCAAAAGAAAAAATGCCGTCGATGACGCCGAGTTTTTTCGGCGCCGACTGCGGAGCCACGTGACTCGCCCCCCAATGTCATCTATAGGGCGCAGGATGCAAACTAATGTGGTGGAACTGTTGGGATCAGTGATATAGATATGGCAAAGGTATTTGAGGAACAGGGATGCTCATTGCCAGCAGCCATTGTGGTCATTGCTCGCTATGCTTGGGGGACGCAGTGCATCCAACGTGCCCGACCTCGGAGCATGATGTGCCTGAGTCATCAACGCCCCCGAAGCTAACCGGGTTGCCCCAGTGGAGTAAACAAAGAGTGTCGGCAAGAATGGTGGTACATGCAGGGGGATATAGTGTCTATCGTACAAAAAAAGCATAATAAACAAGATCATCTTTCACAAAAAGCTTCTCTCAAGCTGCACCAGCAGCGAATGAACGTCGTTGACCGGGAGCTTCACTGCGCGCGGGTTCTTCAATGCCTCTTCTCTAACCCAAGCCCCCATCAGCCTCTGAAACTGTTGCGCATCCGGGTCGGTCTTGCTCTGCATCTGCCCGGTGACATCAACGGTTATACTGCTGTCGGCCACGTCGCGCGAACCCAGGATGAAGATGAAATTGTACTTCATCTGCTTAGCGCGTTGGATTTTCTTGCCGAGAGTCTGCGCACTGGTGTCGACATCGATTAGGAAGGTCGAGTCGTTGGATGACAATGGCCGAGGAGGAGAAGTCCCATCATTGAACAATGCGCGGAATCCGGAGAACTTCGCAGCTGCTTCTTGGGCTTGGCGCACCACGGCATCGTCCTGGTTGACGGTCAAAATAATGCCTTGGCGGGGTGAGAGCCAGAATGGCCATCGGCCGCCATTTTCTTCGATCAGGAATGCCAAAAATCGCTCCAGCGAGCCGAAAATGGCGCGATGAACGAGCACGGGGGTGGCGACTCCTGGAGTAGCCGGGTTGTAATCCTCCTCGCCTTCGGAAACCTGGTATTCCAGTTCAAAACGCCGAGGCAGGTTCATGTCGAGTTGAATGGTAGACAGCTGATGGTACTTCCCCGCTTGGTCCTGAAGCTGAATGTCGATTTTAGGCCCGTAGAAAGCGCCGTCGCCTTCGTTCAGCGCCCATTCACGCCCAGTGCTGTCCAGCGCCTCGCGCAACTGACTCTCCGCACTGTCCCACATGTCGATACTCCCAATAAAATCCTTCTCGGGTCGGGTCGAAAGCACTAATCGATACGGGCCCAGCCCAAAGGTCGTCATCACCATGTCCACGAAACCCAATGCCGACGCAATCTCTGACTTGATCTGCTGCGGACGGCAGAAGATGTGGCCATCGTCCTGGTGAAAACGACGCACGCGGGTCAGACCAGTCAACGACCCAGAAACTTCATTGCGGTGAAGCGGGCTGAAATCCGCATAGCGCACCGGCAGATCGCGGTAGGAGTGTGTTTGCGACTTAAACAGCAGACAATGGCCCGGACAATTCATGGGTTTCAGGCCATACGACTCATCCTCGCCCGCCTCCCCGTCCATGTCGCCGCTTGCCCCGCGGCCGGTCACTTCGTACATGTCATCCTTGTAGTTCTGCCAATGGCCCGACACCTCCCACAGAGAGCGCTTGTAGATCGACGGCGTCAGGACTTCGCGGAAGCCGTATTGTAGGTACTGGGTACGGAGGAAGGAGACGAGTTTGTTGATGATGTGCGTACCATTGGGGAGAAACAGGGGCGAGCCAGGACTGTAGACGGACGAGGTGAAGAGCTCCTGCGCGGTGCCGAGAGCTCGGTGGTCGGTGGGAGGAAGGTCACTTTTGGGCTGCGCAGAGCATGAACACGGGCGAGCGAGTGGCATCCATGGGCTTGTCTGCCAATGCACCCTGGGGAGTCTCGGTGGCCGCAGCCGAATCGAAGGGCGCATCGTTGGTTGTAAAAGCAGCGTTTGAGATCCCCACCGCTTTGGCCCCGTTGACCATCAATACCTGATAACACCCACCCTTGCTCACTCTTACCATCCGCGCGATGTCTACAGACCCACCGCGCACTCCAGATCACTCGGTTCTGGGTGACTCCTGGGTGGTCGCGTCGACCTCGTCGCTCAAGGAACAAGGCGCGCAGAACGCAACACCCGCCAGCCCATCAACAGCCACGCACAACAAGGAGCGCAACAAAGATGGCACGACACCAAAAACAAGAACTGGGTCGCCGGCGGCATTTTCCTCTGCAGCAATGTCGGGTCCGGAGCTCATCATGCCCTCCATCTACGAAGTGGCCATTTCCGAGGCCTCGTGGGTCGCGCCGGGTGTGCGTGCCAAAGAGCAGCCCTCGTCCTTAAGGAAACGGCACAAGGTATCATCTTCAGGCGCAGAATCACCACAGAAACAGCTTCAGCCAAGTGCATCCGCTAGAAGTTCAGACGCTGGCACGTCTGCTCCGGCTCAAGGCAGGCATATGGGTCTTGTCACGAGACTCATAGCCCTCTGTCGCCAGCTACCGTCTTCGGTCCGCATGACGATCAACGTAGTCCTACTCACTCTCGTGCTTCACCTGCTGGTCTTCCCGGAGCTAGTCTATCAAGTCCGCGACTTATGCAAGATCTCCGCGGTTGCGACCCTCTATTCCAACAGCTGTACATCCCCCGACCCGATATTCTTCCCACCAAGCAACCCCTTTCAGTCCCCCGAAGAAGCCCTCGCAACCTCGCAGAAGAGGCTCGAGTCAATATTCGACACCACCCTCGAAACCCTAACCCCACACGCGACCATTATCAAACAAAGCGAGAGCACACTTCGTAACCTGCAGGACCAGGTGAAGGCCGTGTTTCCGGGTGCCAAACATGCTCTCGATCTTGAGTTTCAGGGCAGTGATCAGGCCGTGCGGGCAGCGGCCTGGGAGTTTGACTCCTTGCGGGCAGACCTACGCTCTGCGGTCGATAGTTTGCTCGCATCGCCCCCAACCTTGGAATCTGGTGGCTCTATCGCGCGAGACACGCGCCTGGTGACACAACTCCGACGCAAAGAGCAGTATCTTGACCGACTGCGCGCGCAGATATTAACCAAGGCCGATTCACTTGCCAGCCGGTTGGCCACGCTGGACGACCACCTAGAAGCAATCGAGGGCATCGTGACTCGCGAGCAGCGTACTGCCATTCTTCATCCCTCAACAGACGGGTCTGGTAATTTGCTCGGGCCTCTCAATTCAATCATGGACACGCTCCACGGGTCATCCCTGGGTGCATTCTTCGTCCGTGGATCGATGTCCTCATCTCCGGACTCAGCGTCTAGTCCGTCGCCCCTCACGATCCGACAGCTGCTGCGCCAGGCTTTGGTCCTCCACCGCCCTATTGCGGACTCGGTGCAGCGCCTGTCACGTCAGTTGCGTGCAGGGTCTCGTCGCCAATCCGAGCCCACATGGTGAGGTGGGATGAGTGGGATGAATTCCGACTGGCTCAGGAACATACGAATGTGACGGGATAATGTAATTGGATTAACGCTCACGAAGTAAATGAATGTTGTGATTCTTGAACATCACGAAAGAGATCAACACACACATCTCCGTATCTGACTGCGCCGTTGACGCAGTCCATCCCCGAAAGTGAAATAATTAGAGCTGTAACCGTATGTTTCAAGGCGCAGTTGCTTGTTATCGACAGGGAGGCGCGGGCCTCGCAATTCCTAGCCAACCCTTCCCCAATTAAATGGACGGTCCGAGCTCCATACGTGATGAAGGTAAGGCGCCGAGAGTTGTATGCCCGATGCTTTATCGGTGGGAGAAAAGACGCACAGGCCTTGCGAGAGGCCAAGCCCGTGGGGCACCAGGCGGAAACGGGGATGATTGGCGCTGGAGTTACTCTTGGTCCCGCTTCTCGACGACGATGTTGAGGATCTGCCTGGAGGATAGATGATCGTGCCGACGGCGGCGTGCATGGCAATGCAAGCGGGACGCGCTAAAATCTCGAGCTCTGGCTTTCAATTCTTTGCTATCACCGGATTATCAACGTCAGGTAACAACAATTCTTCTACGATTTAATATGCTATGGTTGCTGGATGATTGTAACGATGTAAATAAGACAATGAACTCATGACTATGCAAATTGGATGCATTGGGAAGTATGAATTCTGCCTTCATTTCAAATACTAGCTGTTGCAAATCGCACTATTCTGCCTTTTCACGTTCAATCAAAATTCTCATCACTTTCTTGCTCCTTTCACAGAGTTGATCATATGAGCCGGCAACCTGTTGAATAGTTAGCAATAAGTACTCGCTCCAGATTTGGTACACGTCTACCTACCTTCTCAAAATAAGAGGCTGACCTGTCTAGATCAGCCTCAAAATCCTTAACTGGAGCTTTCCAGGTTTTCAATTCCATTTCCACATTTGCGCTGTCCTTGTTTAGATCAGCCAAGAAAATGACATTATTTGATTTTTGGATCTATTTGATCCTATGAGCAGACATGTTCCAGACAATCGGGGGAGAATTCTATTCGAACCTTTCTTTCAAACTCATCGAGTTGCTCTCTATCCTTCGGGAATCCAGAGATCAGGATCGACTTCTTTTCCTGCTTCAACTCCTCGATCTCTACTTCAAGCAATCCAACCAATAGACTCACTGGAACGCTAAGTTGTTCCTCGATGCAGAGTCGTATGATTTTAGAATGAGAATAGCTTTGATCTTTAGCCTTTGCATGCAAGAGCCCATCCACAGAAATATGGGTTATCGTAAATTGCTTTGAAAGATATTCCGAGACGGTGCTAGTCGCATTGGAGTCTCCTATTTCTCTTCGCAATAAGCATTTATATAGAACATTATTCTGACGGGGAGAAAACAAACCAGTCAGAAATGTTATAGGAAATCGGCGTTTTCGTCTTGCAAGATGAGCATTTCTCTCTTGTTGATACACTTCCACCCACCGTTTTCCCTCCTGAGAATGAACTTTGGCCACTTGACCCTGGAACTCGTCGAGATTTTTTTCGCCGTATGTCCGCTGTTCATATTCATGTGCCTGCAAAAGGCACTCAAACTTGTCCATCTCTCGTACCCATTGGGCTTCGGGAGTTTTACCTTCTTCATGTTCCTCCCATAAGGATAGTATCTCAGCAGCGTTTTCCGGACTATAGGATTGTAGTAGGCTTTCGAGATATTGTACCCCATTTTGCTCCATTTTGTATTTCTTGTCTGGCTGGAATTAGTAATTTTCAGACGGCGGGACTACTTTGTGCGCTTTCTCTACCTTCTTGAAAACCGATAAAGGAAGGAATGTCTCCGATCACCGATTCTCCCAGGTCATGGAACAAGCCCATTTTCATGCATTTGAAAATGTCCAAATTCAAATCATTCTATATATGTTAGCACAATTCAAGTAATCGACAGAAGCCAACCTACTGGAGCGAGATAGGCCAGTATCGCCACTCGGAAACTATGCGCTGCTACGCTCTCGACGTGTTGCATTGTTCTGAGCCATCCTGTGCGCGGTAGGTGCTTGAGCTTCTCTATTTCGTGGAGGAACGGTAACGGGGTGGTCTCCATGGTTCATCAATGGGAAACCAGGTTCTCGGAACGGTGGGAAGGAAGTTATTTGGTGAGATCTTGGACAGTTTATGTAGCATGACAAAATCATAAGTGTTTTCTCTGCACACTAATGCACCTTCCCCGCTCTAATTCCGCTTCTGGGATGAGACTACAAGCCACAAAATGTAAATGGCAGGGGCGTCATGCGGTGACTCGGCCTCGGATTGGCCATGTCGAACCAGTGATACCAGTGGTGGATAGCACCGCGTCCCAGACACCGAGAAAGCCACCTCGCAAGCTTCCAGCACCATACAGATTCGGCCATATCCCTGTTAATTTCGAGGACCTAGCACTTGAGCTTGCAAATTTCAAAAACAATGCGTTTCTTTATATTACATTTGAGCCTCTTTATTCTCATTATTTTTGAAAATCTGGCTGTCCATTTTCTGAAGTCATTTGGTCTCGGCCCAGATATTCTGCCCTTGCAATGGAAGTCATTTAATGTCTTGAAGATTTTGGAGGCCCTAATGACATAGTCGCTTTTCAAACCACTTATGTCATTTACCAAAAGGATGGTCAATTCTACCGAGGCTTATCGAAGAAGCGGTATTTCTCGAACCACGATGTCAACTTCAGTGACTTCTACCACATAGACTTGATCCCGTCGCACAGCTTCTATCCAGATTACGATAACATCTTTACACGATCGTACGGCAACGGAAGTGGAAATTGGCATCTCAAACAGCCGAAATTGTCAGATTACAACCCCGACAACCCGAACCAAGTTCAAAGCCAGGTACTCCACGAAGTTCGAATCTGCGAGCTTCTCAGAAAACAGCCCCATCCCAATATTGCCCAGTACCATGGCTGTGACGTTCAAGATGGCCGTATTACCGGTCTTCTCTTTACGAAGTATGACCGGACTCTAATGGAAAGAGCCAATCCCAGCTGTCTAAGCAAACGAATGTTCGCTGAGAGGAGAAGTGGGGGTTTATCAGCTCAAGAGACAGAATGGTTAGTTCAAGTGGAGCAAGGTCTTCGACACCTCCATTCTCTAGGAATTATTCACAATGATATCAACCCATCGAATATCGTGTTCGAGAAGGACAAAGCAGTGATCAATGATTTTGGCTCATGTTGTTTCCACGGGGCTGACGTTAAATCGATCGGGAGGACATATCAGTGGCACGACGAGGAAGCGACAACTGCGCTGCCGAGTAATGACTTGGATGCCTTGGAAGAGATACAGCTGTGGCTCGCTGGAGATCTAAAAAACTTCAAATTCGACACTTAGGGAATGAGCGGTGTGAAAAGTCGCTTATCATAATCCGAAGCTGTGGCTTTAACTATACTAGAGAGGGAGAGAGACAGAGAGTGAGTGAGTGATGTGTGTGTGTGTGTGTGTGTGTGTGTGTGTGTGTGTGTGTGTGTGTGTCTGTGTGTGTGTGTGTCTGTGTGTGTGTGTTCCATTATACTCTGCTTCATCCTCGTGCGGTGGCTTTAACTATACGAAATGTGCAAATCGATCGAATGATAAAATATTTCCGGCATTGAAAAATTGCAGATCAAGCTGCACCCCTGTCTATAAGCTGTGCCAAGCCAAAGTCACTAATGTTACACATTCCTGCACCCTCGGACCCTTGAAGTTTCCGTTATACACTGATTCTAGCGCATGCCGACGAACAGTGCATAAGACTTCAGCCACGTTAACCATTACAGTAGTAGTTGAAACCCTCAAGCACGTCCGCATTATTGCCGCCCATTTCCGCCGTGCGTGCGTGCGTCAATGTTCGAGGAGGCTGATATTCCCCGAGAAGCTATGAGCTGTACCCGTGGCAAAACTGGGGGCCTGTTGCAGCTCCCGGAGTAAGACTATCCTCTAAGTGGCTGCCATGGTATAAAGCTCCGAAAAGAACAGGTTGAGTCCCAAGATTTATCGCTTCGCTGACCAGCTTATTATTCTCCATCTAAGATGGCATACATGGGCCCGAATATGGTGATCGGGATGACCATTAATCTTCCAGGATTCCCGCCAGGTGTTGCAAGGATTGCGAGTTATTACTTAGTGATGAGCAACGGCGATGTGTAAGTTCCTGGGCCTTGAAACTCTGCAAGCTGCGCGCACTATGCTGACCGACTTGAAAAGACTAGAGCGATCACAAAGACATATAGCACGTACGTCTCCATACTTCGCCCATCTGGTGTCGGGCCTTCAAGATGGCTCGATTTTAATCCTGCGGCAAGTCTACGGGTAATAACTTCCCTTAACCACATGCCCCCATTAAACTAATTAAGATGGATAGAGAAGACTGCGGCCTACGATCCAACGTTGACCTTTATAATGTGTGAGTATCCCATTCCCACTCTAAATACCATCTCACGTTCCCAGTATTATATACAGAGCCCTAAGCTTAGGCGTACGGGACAACGGCCGACAGAGAGCCGTTGATGCAATCTGTCGAAGATTACTACCGAGAATGCTTTCCCAATATTCGGGGAGTGATTGCTTTTCTCCAGATCCCCACAGACGTCTACAATTCTGGAGCTTAGTCCATGTTCCAGGAATGATTGCGCCCGGCGAAGTCGAGGAATTCATGTGGCTCATTCAAGCTTGTCGGCAGAGATACTACGGCGGTGCGACAGTGAGCTATCAAATGACAGCAGAGGATTTGCTCGAGCATCTTTCGCGAGATACATGGCCTGTTCTGTCGGACGGGAGATACTAATTATTAGTGGACTAATTGCATTTGATGATATTTTGTCTGTCATCCAGTGTTTTGTTTGGAGGTTCTTGCTTTTTTCGTTCAGCGATCAGTTTCCGTTTCATAGCGAGCCAGCAAAAATTTATTAAGTGCACATTCATGATCAAAATTGAGCCATTTCCATACTTTCCCTCTTCTTTTGGATTCCTGTTGATTCCGAACTCAATGCCGATCCATCGGAACCCCAGGAGGACCCGCCCTTCAACCACGGAATCGCATTACATTTCTCACCGGGAGTCCACATGGACAATAGTAGCAGCCAATGCGGATACAATTTCGGTCGTACCATTCAATTGAATTTATCTAGCGTCGGTACGATTTTCCTGATTTCTGAGATTTAATCAATGCACGGGTATCCATCCATCCCTGGCTCTCGATTCTTTAATGATATATCCTGCTTTTTCGGACGGAGAACACGACAAATGTACTTGAGCAAGAGCTGAAGTGCTTCATTACAAGCTACGATGATAACAAAGGTAGATATAAAACCCGACAAAGGATATAAATATAAAACAAAGAGGAGGGTCTTACAGAAGATGTACTAACTGGTTGGCTTCCCAGACAGACCCGCTAGACTAAATAGCATACATAGTTCGCTAGCATGATTCAAGTCCACACAATACATAACACAGCAATCAATAATTGATAGATATATTGTCGTGTGGTTACACAGTAGATTTCGATAGATCTTGGGAATGCTGATATCCCTGCATAGTCACACGGCAGCGACAAGCAAAAACGGCGCCACCAAAATGACCAGTCGCGATGGAAAAGATGCAGAGGATGCAGTCGCATTGGAAATCGAATTAATCTACTGTAATATTTGATATGATCCGTCGCTGTATGACGACCATGGGAGAGATAACAAGAGTGAGAGGTAGATACACATGAAAGGATGTCGTCTTCAAAAACACTCCGACGAATCTGTCTGTCCATCAAAAGGTAGACAGACAGAAAGAAGAATGTGAAGAACGACACAACAAAGTACACAAAATATCCAAGTAAAAAAAGGATCCCTCATCGCACACCCGCCCCGGATCCAGCCCAGTATATTTTTCTCCTCCTCAGGGACGGTCACCAAGACGCAAGCAAGCAGGCGCTATAATAACAAGCCATGATTTAAAAAAAGATTTACAGCTGGAAAAATGCAGACAGCACGGCCAGGAGACCCAGCGGAGCCATGTAGTTCGCGACCATGTTGACAGCGGCATTGTGGGAGGTGGTCGGGGCGCTGCCGGAGCCGGAGCTGGTAGAGCTGGAAGCACCGCCGGAGCTGGAGGCGCCGGACGAGGTCGCAGTGCCGCTGGCCGAGCCGGAGCCCGTGGAGGAACCTCGCGAGGAGGTGGACGAGCCAGCTCCAGAGCCGGTGGCCTTGCTGCGAGACAAGGTAGTGGTAGTCGACATGGTGGTCTTCGTGGTCTTCGTAGTGGTGGTGGTGGACTTCGTCGTGGTGGTGGTGGTGGTCGAAGAGGAGGTGGTAGTGTCGGAGCCGGAACCGCCAGTGGAACCACCGCCGGTGGCACCGTTGATCTGAATGCTGTCGGACGAGCCAGAGTTGCCCTCGTAGGTGTACGACTTGGCCGGGTTGGAGTTGACGATGCTGACATCCTTGATGTACATGGTGAAGGGGCAGTCAGCGTAGTCGGTCTGACCGCCAGCCCACTCGATGGTGCCGGGGGCGTTGGACGGGTCACCGCCAGCCCAGATACCAATGCGGACGGTCATGGGGGTCTGTGGATACTGCGAGCCGCCGGAGGCCTCGGCGTAGGTCAGGGTGCGGACGACGTTGTTATTGATAGAGAAGGTGATGCTGTCCTTTTGCCAGTTCACGGTGTAGGTGTTGAACTCGTCCTGGGGGGTGTTGACGGCGGCCCACGTGTAGCGGTTGTAGTTGCCCGTCTCACCCTTGCCGAAGTAGTTGGTCTCGATCTGGGTGGTGTCACCGCCCAGAGCCTCCCAATCGATCTCGTCGAGGTCGTCCGATTCCAGCACGATACTGCTGACAATACCGGTGCCGGAGGCGGCCTTCATGGTGACAGAAACCTCACCGTAGAAGATGTAGAAGGAGGTCTGAATGGTGGGCGCATCACCGCGCTTGGCGATGGTGAACTCGGCACCGTTGGGGCCCGTGTTCACCGTGCCGGCGGTGGTTGTCCACATGTCTAGAGCCGAGGCCTGAGTGAAGTCGAAGTTAAGATTCGACTCCGTGGAGCCAGGATCAGACGGGCAGGTCGCTGTTCGGCGGGTCAGCGTGAATTCTCCACAGTGAAAACGAGACTTTTGGGGGAGAGGAGGGGGATAATTTTCTTCTTACTTGTCAGAGGGTTACACTTGGTCCAGGTCTGAGCATTGGCCAGAGGAGCGGCCACAGCCAGAGCGGCCACGGCGAATTTGATCATGGAGGGCATGGTTGTGGAGAAGAATGGAAAATAAACACGATAAAGAGGAAACGACGGGAGCGACAGTGTTAAATTATATAGATGGGCAAACGAGTGGACCCAAGAACGACAGATGATGTGCAACAGAAAGAGAAGGGACGGTTGTTGCCGGGGGAGACGGGGGCTACTTTTTGTACTTTCTCCCGGATTATTGGGCCAAGAGAGCGACACTAGTCACTAACCGGGGTGTGAGCCTCCCCTGGTTCATGAGTGGTAAGCGCTGAGACACTCGGCCTAATCGGGTGGAGTCTGATGGGGCCGGATGGAGTCGCATCGAACGAGCTGCTTGGGGAAGCGAGCCGTGGCGGCCCTAGGCTGGAGGCGTGGTGCTTGGCTTACGGGAAACAAAAAATAGAAAATCGAGACATCTAAAAAGGGGCTGGCTGGATGGATGGATGGAGAGAAAAAAGAACCGAAAAAACAAATGCCTCAGACACTGCACGCCACGCTGCACCCCGTGGGTGATGAGTAGGATCGACTGATCAGCGGTGGTCGCCCGGCCGATCTGTCATGGAGACATCAATCATATGTTGTGTTGTGTTCGCAGAAAAGGAAGCGAGCAATCCGAGCTAGTATTATTGGCGGTCCGTTGCGGGTGAAACCAGGCTAACTGGGTTCGTCTAGTCAGGGCCCGAGGGTCCAGTCAGCATGGCCCATGGTATATTTAGCAGCGCTAACCACGCAATAGCGTAGGATAGGAGTTTGGGACAGAGTGCAGGATGGTTACTGTCAGACGACCAGCAAAATGCGACAGTTAACATTATTATTAGTTCCCTCCTCTGGAGACGGTTATTCACTATTAGGTCGAATAATATTAGACAATAATAACCGCCTTGCCTACGCCTCCCTTCCCACTATACACCATCTGCGCCGCCATCCGCACCGCCTCAATATCCGCCAACCGAGCCTCCGTCCCCACCACGGACCGCAACTGGCCCTGCTCCACCGCCTGGCCTAAAATTTCCAGATCCTGCCAGTTGGGCTCGAGAAACATGTATTCATAGCCGACCTTCCACCGCCGCGCACGGTACCGCCGGATACTATCCAGCGCATTCAATACAAACCGGATAGGTCTCGGCAACCCCGGTGACCCCGGCACGCGCATCACGCTAGATGACTGCATCTGGTCACCCGAGGGCAATGTCGAGATCGAGACAACTTTCCCGCTGCCTGGTCGGAGGAGCGAGAGGTATGGCATGGCTACCCCGACCGTGTCGAGGATGAAATCCACCGAGCCGCGCGGGATGACTGTCTGCGGGTCGGACTTGGTGTAGTCGATTACTGAAGGGGTAAGTCAGTGAACCAATCTAACCTGAGACGGTATGACAACATACTTTCATCGACAACACCAGCCCCCAGCAGTTCCTCCACGCGCGGGACCTTGCTGCTCGACACCGTCGTGATCACCCGTCCTGCCTGGAAGATGTGCTTGGCGATCTGGCAGCCGTACGACCCCGTGCCGCTTACTGTTACTTTGGGGTTATTGATGTGAAACACACAAGCAGGGAGAAGCAAAGACATACATCCGGCAGGTATAAACACCGTCTTGCCAGACAGATCCCCTTCGTAGCGCCGCAGTGCCTGCAGACAGGTCATAGCAGCCAATGGCATGGCGGCGGCATCGCGAAAGGACATGGATGCCGGCTTCAAGGCGACGAAGTCCTCGCTGCATTTGGCGTACTCACACCAGGACCCTGTCGTTGTCTCCTGTCAGTAGGCTTCCACAAATACTCCGCAAATATGAACGCACCCCGGTCACTCTCTGGAACCCGCACATAAACTTCATCCCCGACTTTGATGCGGGTCACTTCTGACCCGATCTGGGTGACGACCCCAGAGCAGTCGTATCCGAGTTTATACGGGAATCTAGATACCTCGTCTCTCAGTAGCTGGACTGATCACCCTATTCCTTTTTTCAGTAAAAACATACTCATCTTGCATCGCCAGCTTCAGCATCCCCACTGCTTTCTTCACGTCAACGGGATTCATGCTCGCCGCGCGCACCTGGATGAGGACATCCTTCGGGCTGGTTACTGTCGGAGTCTCGAAGTCCAGGAGCTGGTAGCCATCCGGCTTGGAGTATGCGGTAATACCAATTCCGCGCATTGTAGTACCAAAGCAGAATGGATGGGTGTCCGTGAAGAAACTGTAGATGCTTGCTGCATACTTTAAGAAACCACGGAGATGCCGATCATCGGGTCGGATGAACGCATTGGCCCGGTCAGCCGAAAGTTTGTTGACTTGGCTAACGGGCCGAGGAACTTGCTCTGCACCTTTTCCTAAACTACTACTATTATATGTCCCTGCGGCAAACAATATTAGTCCATGAGCATACAGCAAACTTGACTAATGTGAAAATTCAGTTAGCAGAAATTTTCATGTGCCTATGATCATCTGCCGTACACCCTAGACCCACCCCCCACTGGCCATGCACCAAAATATGTATCAACGCCAGACCGCTTAGCACCTAATTAGCATCAATGATAGTCTCATGTTATGGAAATATGTAAGTGGCCATAATATCATTTGCCTAGGAATCCTCCCTTATCAGATGCACGTTGCGTTCAAGAGACGAAGAAAGACGAGGGGTGTATATACAACTGGAAGAGAGAGGATGAGATGAGATCAAAGTAAGAGAACCAGAGGTTTTTAGGAAAAACTGCATCAATGGCATAGCCATTATTCAAGATCTGCAGCATCGGATGTGGTGGCAAGAAACCTCATCTCTGAAGAATCTCTCGCCCTTGGCGTAGAGGGAATAGGATAACTGCTGGGCCGGATGGCAGGTGTCACGAGCCGCTAGGTACAAATTCGCTCGTAACAACGCAACCGGATGAGTATGTGGCTGTAATGAGGTGTCTAAAACAACTATTTAGACTACCCTGTTTATAGCAGGAAATGCGAGAACTCTGGCTTGTACGATTAAATCTTAATAGTAATCGCTTAGACCAGGGACCGTTGGTGGTGGAGGAGGATTCACTAAATCTTCGGCGTATTGTCCGATTGACACGATTGGGAGACGATACATAAATGACCCCGGACACCAATTGATCGTCAAACCTAGTCAAGTAGCCCGGCCCCATTTTGGGAAAGTTGCCCGGCCCCATTTTGCACAGAGATATAAAAATGGATACCCAAGTCTTGCAACAGCAGAACTGTGCTATCTTTTTCCTGAATACCTAATATTCCTGTTTTTCGGCGGCTCCAGATTATGGCTGGCCGGAAACTGCAGGGATCCAGTCTGTGGATATACTATCTGCTTAGTATCTGGGTAATCGGCATAGAAGCTGGCTTGGTCGATGTTGCCAGCTGCTCAGATTTCAAACAACACAGCTATACAGATGACAGCGTGACAAGCTATGGCAACGCATTAAGAGATATCGAAACGGCTCTCAGCGAGACGGCCGAAATGGTGGTCGAGGCTAACAATGCGATCCTAGCTGTCAAAGAAAAAAAGGCTACATGGTTTGAGAGGACACGAACTGTGCTACCTTTTCTGACTCTCCAGGTCGATGATCCTGCTAACCAGCAGGCACGCTGGGATGCTGTTTTTAGTAAGATTCCAATCGTTCAAACCTCAAGGCTTCTAAGCATAACAATTCTTAGAAAGAACTCGGATACTTAGGGGCTTACTAGAGGCTCGTGATAGTCAACGGACGAAAATCTATTGCGGAGACGCTCACCTAGTGAAATATCTGATTCTTAGCGATGGATCAACCGTCAAAAGCCTACCTGAGGATGATGACAGCGAAGAGACGGTAGTTGGGTTCAAGTATTATGGTGCGCTTATCCTTTTTTGCCGTGTTCTCCATTTTTGTAGTGTTATACAAGCTGACTCGGACAGACCCAATCATAGCGCAAGACCCTGAAGCCGACGTGTGGTGGCCAGAAAACGTTCGAGCTTGTGATCCTGCCAATCGCGAGATGGCAGCGACAGTTAATTTCCACTATATACTTGTGTGTCATTCAGCATTGGAGCAGAGCGGTTTGACTATTGGCGACAATCACTTGATTGACTGGGGCGATTCTCAATATGGTAAGCCGAGTAGTATGTGGAGGAAGCAATACTTAAGCTACTGGGCTGGCCACACAAGTTTTACGCTTCTCCACGAGCTTATCCATCTGTTCTTTCTCTGTGAGTGTTACCATTACCCGTGTCGATAGCCTAAAATAATTACGTCTAACTCCGCTTCTTTTATAGGCCGTGATCACCCTCTTGACCCGCCCGTCAAGAACGAGTACAATAACAAGATGCTACATGAGGCTTATGGCTATTATGGTGCAGCTGGACTATTATCTCAAAAACCTTCTATGGTTGAGACTAATGTTGATAGCACTGGAATTTTATTCTTGGGTAAGTGAGGATCTGGTTCAAATTCAGTCCAAGGTTATAAGTAATGATCAATGGAATATAGCATGGTTCATGAAGCTCTGTAATTGGAGCGAGGGGACGGCTGAAAATGAGAAATACATGAGCGACGAATGCAATTAGCTGATACTGGCTTCTGCTTTGAGGGTTATGATTTTGTGTCACGTGTAATTATTTCATGCGGTCCGAAGAACGATGCAATTGGAGCGGTTTCTGGTACCCCGCTTGCCGTCTGGCGGAACAATAGAAAAGAAAAGACAAGAAAGCTGCCGAAATAGGCGGGTCATATATTCTCGACCTGAGTGAGGCGCGTTCATAGTGTTTATGGTCTAAGAACTTGACAGACGCTGCATTCATAACTCGAAGATTATTATGATGTCCTCACAATGAGATAGATAACTATAGCACTGTTGATGATACAAACAATTGTCTCTAGAGAATAAACTCAAGTAAGTGGCCGAGGAACCTGCTATATACCTACACATACTGCCTAGATTAATTGCCTACAAAATACATCGCTAATAAACGCTTGACGTCCGATCTTAAAGGTTATAGAAGCATCAAATAATAGTGTGAATATGCTAGAGATTGCTTACCTGCTATTTAAGCGATGGTTCACACCATTGATCATCAATAGGAAAACAAAAATCAGAGATAAGGCGCAAATAACCAATCGTGAAATATTGGAAACGAAACCTTCCCCTTTACTAAAATCCATTTCAACGCATTACGTCGAGAGTTAGAGCTGCACCTCGGACGGCCCAGTAAGTTCAATCTTCGTCTCTTTGGTCACACTCTCTCGAGGGGCGTTGTACTCGACATCACTTTGAGAACCGCGAGGCTTGCTAGCTTGGCCCAACAGCGTCACAGACTCAACGGCCACATCGGGGTTGTACTCAAACTGACCACGGATGCTCAGTTTGCCGCCGGTGTAGTAAAACTGGACCTGCAGCATGCGGGACGGACTCAGCGACTCGCCATCGTCCATGTACAGCTCCCCGGAAGCGGTACCGTCGAGACCAGGCGCAATGACCAGCTCCAGACCTTGGCGGCGCAACTCGGTTGTGGTCATGGCACTGTCCTTGCGCAAGGGAATGATGCTTCCGCCGCGGATGTGGATGGGAATGTCAGTGAGGCCGATGTTGGACAGAGTGATATTTGCGCCGTGGCCGCGTAGGGCTTTCCCAGTGAACCAATCGTAGAACAAATCATCTGGGAAGTAAGCGGCGACAGAAGTGCTGTTCTCTTCGGTTACGGGGGAGATCATAAGCGAATTGCCGTAGAAGAACTGCCTCTGGTTTGTGAAAACGTTGCGGTCTTCCGGGTAGAGGTAGAACAGCGGCTGCAGGAACGGTTCTCCCGTCACGGTCTGCGTGTGGAACGAGGTGTACAGATAATCGAGTAGACGGTACCGGATATCAATCACCTTCCGGGCTGCGTCTGCCACAGTGGGCCACTGGTAAAACTCCTGAGGGATGTTGCCGTAGTTGTTGTGGTTTCGGAAAAACGGATAGAACCCGCCCAGCATGGCCCATCGAGCACAGAGCTGCTCGGTCGTGTCATCACCGAATCCGCACACGTCGGAACCAATCATGGGAATCTGGAAGATGGAAGCAAATGCCAACATCTCTGCAATCGACACACGGTACTTGTCCCACGTGCTGAGGTTGTCACCAAGCCTAGATGCACATTAGTTGCGAAGAGATTTTCTAGTCATGTAAACGCTTACCAGTGGCCGACATGGGCTCCAGCTCCAGCAAAGGTGCTGCGTGTGATGACAAGAGGTCGCACAGACGGCCGGCGCTGCTGCATGGCGTCGCGTGAGGCCACGCTCATCACTGAATTGTTAGAACGGGGTCTTGAATGGGAGAGATTATACCTACTGGTGCCATAGAGGTTATGCGTGTCATATTCGACGTATCCTTCGCCGGCATGGACAATGTCCGTGTCGATGGTCAGGTTGCTGAGAGACCCGGCAGCATTTGCAATGTGATAAGGAGGATCAATGAGTTCCCGGTTGGGCAGGCCAGTCTTCTTTCCCTTTCCAGACTGAGCTCGCTTCTCACGCGTCTTCTTTCCAGATGGCTTGGAAGAGGACGACGATGAAGGCTGGAAATCTGGTGGAAATCCAGGCAACGGGTAGGGAGGGGTGCGAACGGGTGGCGGTGTCGGGGGCAGGTTATCGTACACAGCGAATGCAGCAGGATCGGCGCATGGCCATGGGCAGAAGTTGGAAGCCTCGTTCATGTCAATCCATAGCCCATCAATGTCGACACCATGCTCGGCGCTGAAAAAATCGTTGAACTCCCCATTCCAGTAGTCCTGGGTGTCCGGGTTAAACCAATCCGGGAAGACAGCCACGCCGGGCCAGACAGCCCCTTGGTAGAGCGTGTCATTGCGGTGAAGGAAGATATCCTGCTCCATTCCTCGGTGGAAAGCAGTATTGTCTGTTTTAACGCTCAGCATGATTATACCATCTGGTTCAAAGTTCAACTTACTACTATCACTCACGGCCGGATCGACCATGACAATGTAGTGCTGATCGTGATGATGCAAGTAAGTCACCAGTTCACGCATCTTGTGAAGCGGGAAGCGTTGAGGGTCCAGAGTAAACACTTTCCGGCCATCCATATAGTCAATGTCCGTCCACATTGTCTCCAGGGGGATCGCAGCCTGACTATAGTTCAGCACTACTTCAGCAACAGCATAGACGTCCCGATATCCGTATCTGCACTGATGGAACTAGACGCTGTTAGTTTTCAGTCGCCGAATCTCAGAAGAGAAAACACACCCCGAACGTCCAGTAGCTCTGCATGGCAGGAGTGCCGGCAATCTCAGAATACTGCATGCTGACATCCTTCGGGGTGGGACCCGCCATGAAGTAGAAATCAAAGACACCACCCAGGGTGTTGTACTCCAGGTATTGCCTGCCCTCGTCGGTCTTGTTGATCTTGATGTCCATGCCGTTGGAGTTCAAGAGGAAGACACCGTGAGTGCCCGCCTCACCTCGGTGGTCCACGTAGATCGGGTGGTTGCCATAGAGGTTGGTGTCGGATGGAATACCATAGGCATCCCGACTCCACAAGGTGCGCGTGTAGTCCATGGTTGGCAGGTGAAGTGAATCCGTATGCTCACCGAGCCCGTACAAATTGGGTTCATTGGTGAGCCAGGTGCGCAAGTTCAAGTACTGAGACTGGAAGACGAGATTGGAAGCCGAGGTGTCGAACAGGACTTCCTCATCACGCACGACTTGAAAAGAGAAGGGATCATTCTGGTACTTGAATTTGAGAGCTGTCTTCTTGGGATTGACACCAGAATCCGAGCTGGGACGCGGGAAGACCGACTCAGGCACTTGGTAGACCTGCTCATCGGCATCGTAGACCATGACATGCAGACGGTCATCTGTGCAACCCGATCAGCGTTTGGGTCAATTTCAAATGTGGGCTACATACCAGTTTGGTACTCCACGAGGAGCTTCAAGTTCTTGAGGTCAGAGCCATATGAGTTGCAGGGCTTACCCGCGAGGGTCAAATCTGCGGTCAGGGATTGGCCATGATTCTTGACATTCGACGCACGGTAGCCGGGGCATTGAGTTCTAGATGGGTCATCGTCACGGGAGCCCAGGACCGCCGCGCCAGCCAAGGGAGCCAAGAAGAGCAGCGATGGTTTCATGTTGAGGGTCCAACGCTGTGCGGTGGTGTGGTGGAATTCTTGGGGAAGAGGGTGAAGAAGGAAGGGGTGTAGAATTCAATTATGAACTGTTGGCGGGGGTTGAACCTGGGGCAAGCAAGCAAGCAGCTACAGGTTATTGGTCGTACTTGCCGTAGCTGCTGAGCAAAACATTCGGCTGCAGCAAGATTCGGGCCTGTTGATACTTGGCAGATGCGGAGAACGGGTAATTGTCGGGTGCTAGAATCAACTCGCACAAGCAATTATGCTGATGAAGTGCCGAGAATAATCAGGAGTACTGAGTCAATGAGAATGTCACTCTATGATGCGACGTCGAGCTATGCATTGAGCTATGCCATTGCGAGACAGGGATTGGCAGTCCCAGCAAACTATGGTGCTTGGCACGGACTATGGGGGAGGGGATGCACGTCCCATCTAGAAGCTATGGAAACACCCATCGGGCATGGCATCGACAATCATTCATCTTGTGTGTGGTAGATTCATTCTCAGTGGCTCTCGCGTACCTCCTTGTTTCCGGGTAGTATAGACTGTTGACAGTCCCTGGATGTTCGTCACGTGACCCGACCCGTTCCCTGAAGTTCCCGAATCCAAGCAGATTCTGGCCCTTGCGACGACAACTTCTGTGAACCATTGGAATTGCCTGTTCGACTACCAGCGGCTGCCCCGGGCCTTCTTTTGCTTGCTGTCTTCATATCCACTCCTTCTTCCCACTCTCACCATGCCCGCCCGTGCCCTGCTGCTGCGGCAGTCGCAGTTCCTGGCCCGGCGGACCGCCATCAGACACGCCTCCTCCACCTCCGAGGCCGCCAACAAGGCCAGCCAGACTGCCTCCTCAGCGGCTTCCAAGGCCCAGGAGGGTCTGTCCAAGGTCACTGCTGCGGCCGGCCCTGCCGTGTCCAATGCTGCGTCGGCCCTGAGGAAGGTCGGTGGGCCAGTCGGCAAGGTCGTCGGTTTCGTTGACTGTAAGGATATTCGCTTTCCCCATTCTCCACGCCGGTTCTGTGATCTGTCAGTAAAGGAGCGGGATGCCCATTGAACTCATATCTGTGGCCATCGACCTCCCTCCTCGCTTTTTTGGAGAGGAAAAAAAAAACACTTTTGCGTCATCTTCACCCCGTGCATCGCTGACCATGTCAATCAACCATCTAGCCATGATCCCCCCTACGATTTACTACTCGAGAGTCGGCATTGAACTCGCCCGCCTGGTCTTCCGCGGTCAGCGCATGACTCCTCCGTATGCTCACCCACCCTGCCCGATAGGCCTCCTAGAGCGAACCTGAGACTAACATCACACCCTCCAGCAACCTGGCCACCTTCCAGTCCTACTTCCAGCCCTTGATCAACGCCACTCGCAACCCCGCCAACCTCAAGAGCATCAACCTGCCCTCTCCCCAGAGCCTGCTGGCGCGCGTGCGCAACGCCAACAAGAAGGAGATCGCCCTGGCTGGTGTCACCGCCGCAGAGGTCATTGGTTTCTTCACGATCGGTGAGATGGTCGGCCGCATGAACATTGTCGGATACCGAGGCGAGCCTGTGCACGAACACTAGATGGAGAAAACCCCAACGGTTCCTTTTTTTCTTTTGTCACCTCTCTATCTTTGACTCTTGTGTACTCTGTATGATAGACGATGGAATATAAACTGTTGTCTGAGATAGAATCTTTGGTCTGTTATTTGTTCGCTTTGAATGAAGTCTGTTCGAATGTACACATGTCTTTCTTGTACAATGATCGGTAGTCAACACTCCCACTCTCGCTCCCACTCTCACTCCCACCACCTTCACCATGGACCCTGAGTATTTGGCATTCCTGAGCATTCTGATGCTCTACACAGTAGCCATTTTCCATGTTCCCATTAGCCCGATGCCTCTCTCTCTTACATATGTCGTGCTGTGGATGCTGGGCGAAGTGTTTTCGAAATGGTGATGATGCGGCACTCCGATTGGCCCGGGCGACATCTAATTCTGCCGCTTTTTTTTCTCCGTCGCAGTCAAGTTCAACCACCTTTTCCTCTCTTTTTAATTCGCACGCAAAAGAAGATGGACGCCTTCAGGCTGTTGACTCGGTCAACAAAGTTGAAACCTGCCGCGACATCCGCATCGACCTCTGCCTCTGCCCGTCTACCCTCAACAGGCAAGGCGGCGAACCCGCAGCTCTTCCGGACGGCGGAGACCGACAAGCTCGAGCTCAACAAGAAACGAAAGAGGGAGATCGCTGCGGAGGAGGAGGGAGATAGGGATGATACCGCAGATTTGGATTTCTTTCAGTCGTCCAAGCGCCCTGCCGCGACCACTACGGCAGCGACACCGACTGCACCTGAACGCGAAGCCGAGCAAGATGATGAATCCGACGATGAAGATGTCATGGACGATGTGCAGCGGCGCGCGATTCTCAACTCCCACAAAATCAAGGTGACGGATCTACGTGATCTGGAGGAGATCCAGATGCAGCCGGCGCCGCCCAAAGAGTCCAAGAAGAAAAAGAAGAAGCAAAAGAAAGAGGAAACGCCTGCTTTGAGCAAGAAAGAACAGAAGCGTGCCCGGCGCCTTTATCCGCAACCGCTGCTTTCTTTCAAGGAGCTACGTTCACAATACAAGATCTCTCGACGGCTGGCGGAGAATGTGACCGAGCAAGGGTTTACGGTGCCGACGGAGGTGCAGTTGGGAAGTCTGCCTCTGTTGCTGGGAGAGTCATCGGCAACGACTGGTCTCAGCGACGATTCTTCTGAACCAGATCTGTTGGTTGTGGCGCCGACGGGAAGTGGAAAGACACTGTCGTTCTTGATCCCCGTGATCAATAAGATTGTGAGACACCACCACTCACAACCCGAGGAGCACGGTATTTTGTCGATGGTGGTTGCGCCCACCAAGGAGCTGGCCAGTCAGATTGTCAACGAGGGGAGGAAACTCGTTGCTGGCACGGGAGTCAAAATCACATTGATGAGGAAGGGCATGCGCGTAGTAGAGCGCGATGACGACGGTGACACGACTGCCCTGGATGAAGACAGCGAGGGGTCTTCTGAGCCAGAAGAGGAAGACCATGCCAAGAAGGGCCGGAGTAATGCCCCGGTCACCAAGAGCGATATTCTCGTCACCACGCCACTGATGCTGGTCAATTCTCTATCTGCCAACCGCACGAAGACCATGGCAAACTTACCACTCGTGCGGAACCTGGTGCTGGACGAAGCAGATGTCTTACTGGACCCGCTGTTCCGCGAGCAGACTCTCGATATCTGGCGCTCGTGCTCGCATCCAGACCTCCGAGTGAGTCTCTGGTCTGCCACCATGGGCTCGAACGTCGAAGACCTCAGCCGGTCGACCATCAAAGAGCGACAAGAAGAGCTCGGACACAAACCCCACAAGCAACATCCTCTCGTCCGCCTCGTTGTGGGACTGAAGGACTCTGCAATCCCCAACATCGACCACCGACTCGTCTACGCCGCTACCGAGCAAGGCAAGCTACTCGGACTCCGGCAGCTCCTCCACCCAACCGCGGCGTCCGCATCAGACGTCCGTCTCCGACCCCCCTTCCTCATCTTCACACAGACGATTCCCCGCGCCGTTGCCCTACACTCCGAACTGAAATACGACATCCCCGCTGAAGCGGGCGGGTCATCTCGAATCGCCGTCCTACACTCCGACCTCTCCGACAGCCAGCGGTCTGACATCATGCGCGATTTCCGCAAAGGCGAGATCTGGATCCTGGTCACAACGGACCTGCTCGCACGCGGCGTGGACTTCCGCGGCATCAACGGGGTGGTCAACTACGATATCCCCAACTCAGCAGCTGTCTACGTGCACCGCGTTGGACGAACGGGTCGCGCCGGACGCGAGGGCGGCATTGCCGTTACGTTCTATACGAAGGAAGATATCCCCTACGTGAAGAGCATCGCCAACATCATTGATGTCAGCGAGAATCTGCGCGGGAAGGAGGGCACCAAGTCTATTCAAAAGTGGCTGCTCGATGCACTGCCGGATCTGAGCAAGAACAGTAAAAAGGATCTCAAAAGACATGGCGTCGAGGCTCGGCGGGCTTCTAGACAGGGAGGCAAGGGCGAGGATGATGATAAGAAGGGCCAGCGGGGTGCGAGGATCAGCACGAAGAGCGGCTTTGAGCGCCGCATGGAGAATCGCAAGAAGGGTGCTATTGCGGCGAGTCGTAGTCGGAAAGCGGCTGCGGCGACGGCGGAGGAGAATGAGAGTAGCTGGGAGGGTCTGGAAGATTAAGTCTGTTTTCTTGTACTGTACAGGGTACTATGTATCATGAACAATAAACGCATATCCATCATGCCAATCATAAATGCATAAATATATCCATCCACACAGCATATCATGCCTGCTTCTGCCCAGGCGGTTTCTCCTCCACGACAACCTTCCTCACCAACTCAACTGGCACAAACGCACTCTCTAACCTCCCCTGCTCCTCAAGCACAGCCGCCAGCTCATCCTCATCACGATCGAAATACAGCGCCCAAACACCCTCACCTTCGTCTTCTTCTACAGCGACAAATTTCCGTTTCTCTTCGAGGGTGATAACCTTCTCGTCGTCCGTCCAGTCCCACGGTCCAACGAGGTGCGTGACGCTCTGCGACCGATTTCCATACCTTAGCTCGTGCGTTTCCTCATCCACATACACCCAGTTCAGTAGTGGTGGGTTGTCGGAGACATGGGTCGGCAGCCCGAGTCCACGGTCGAGGTGTTTGGTTTCTTCGAGTTCGGGGTATTCGATGTAGAAGGAGAGCGCAGTGAAGGAGGGATGGGTGCGTTTTGAGGGGTTTGGGTCGTCGAGATAGACCTAGTCAATGGCAAACCGGGTAGCCAGTCAGTCAATCAGTTCATACAACCAAGCTGGGAATGTCCCTCACCTTCTCATTGCGAACAACAGCTACCTTCCCTTGTATCTCACGATCATCGTCCGTGTCGCCGTCAGTCCGGGCCTCGATATTGAACTTCACCATGCGCCGCGCTTCTTCCTTGCGCTGGTTCGATTTGCGCTGCTCGCTGACCCCGAATGCGACGCCGGTGACGGTGGGGATGGAGGCGATGCTGAGGAGGCCGATCACCATATTGCCGGTAGTGGTGACTTGGGTGTGCTATTCGCGAGGATGTCTTTTGCGACGGGTTAGGTATCCCGTCAGAAAAATGAGTTAAGATAAGAAGAGGTTGTTGGAAGGTGGCGGTTGGTGAGAATCTATTTCAACTTGGTATTCACGCGACGTCATCGGGTATCAGGTGACTGTCAACGGGTCTGGGAATATACAGACTGCAATGAATATTCATTTCTTGGATTTAGGATTTAGAGGTTGATAGCTATAGTGCCTAGGGCATAACTAGTTAGTTGATGCGATAGCGCTAGACATTCTGCGGACCGTGGTTTTCATGAAGTAAAGAAGCATACTTAGCGTCAGGTGACTGCTGATCCGGGGTTGTCGATCCTTCAATAATCATGGCAGTGGTTGTATTTCTAGCGTGTCTTTCGTCTATGTCTCTCATCTATCGTGTATGTATCGTCAAATCATAATCTCGTCAATGTCGGCAAACGGTCAAACCCGCTCACTCCACCCCCAAACTGACCACCAACACTGCACCGCCAACGCACCGCCATCCGCGCTCTCCCAGTCATCATAGCCAACATCAGTACCCTCCTCCACCACCGCCAACCCAAGATCCGTCATGCGCCGCCGGAACTCCTGCACCTGAGGCAGATACGCATCGCGCAGGGGCATCTCCGCCACGACGCGCGCGTCCAGCCCACGGCTCAGCCAGGGACCGATCGTGTCGACCAGCCACTTCGGGTGGCTTGGTGAGTAGAGCGGGTCTGCGGCTAGAATCACATCGAATCGTTCCTCTGGCGTCGGAAGCGGGTTCGGCGTGACTGACCAGTCCAGCACACCCGTTGTCACGTCGGCACTGGTCTTGGTCAGGAGCTCGACGTTCAACGCGGCGTTGTGTGCGAGGTTCGGCACGATCTCGGGGAGGTCCGTCAGATGGACGGTGGCGGAGTTGCCGCGCAGGGCGGCAAAGGACAGTCCGACGAGACCTGTGCCCGACCCGAGCTCTAGAGCCCGGAGGGGTTTGTGCTCCGTCCTGGCCGAGGGGACGGTCGATGTCGTGGGCACGAGTTGCGGGGGCGATTCGAGGAGGCTGTGCAGTCGGCGCGAGAGGAGGTAGGAGGACACCCAGGTCTTCATGCCGAGATTGTCGGCCGTGAGCGATGGTTCGTGCAGCGTCAGCGTGTAATCTTCGCCCGAGGACGTGGGAATGCTGAATATGCGGGACATGGCGGGCATTGCTAGACAGACGGTCAGCAACGAAACCCACTCACTAGCGAAAAAACCCAATCTCACCTGTCCGGCCAGACCGCTCGCTGAGTCGAGCGGCGGCGGCATCCCACACGGCTTCCCGGAGTTCATCGGTGTCCAGCCATGCCAGTGAACTGGAGATGATGGACGTGAGGTACTGAGTCACCCCGGCCGGCTGCACCGCCGGACCTTTGGGCGTGTCGGTGGCATTGAGTGCGAATGACCGTGGTTGCAGGGTCAAAAGCGCCATCGTCTTGATGAGGTCGGTCCCCGACGGCTTCTGGTAGATCTGCGGGAGATCCAGCACTGTGTTTATTGGCTGCTTATCAGCAACATGATCATCATTAGGGGCTGTAGATCGGGACTGACCGTGGAGAGGCTCGTCCTCTGTGGCAGAGATCATGGTGACCACGCCTATGGGATTGAACAGACCGGGTTGGAGCAATTGAGGGAGAAAACCTCGACGCCGCCACAGACGAAAAAAAGAAAACGCCCAATGAGGAAAAGCGTCGGCCATGGTTCCGTAGATAGTGGCCTCAGGCATCAATAATCTATACCTCTCCAGTTTCTTTGACGGTTGTTCCAATCATGCAAATTCTATTGAGGACGGAATCATATAAAAAAAAATCAAGATAGAGCAACCAAATTAACACCCAAACACCTGCTCAATGCAATTATCATCACCCTAATCACTCAGTTCAACGTCGCCTTGAAGCCCTGATACGCCTGCTCGATATCAAATGACAGTTCCCGCGCCTGCTCCTCACTCAACTCCTCCGTCGCCCGCATCTGATTTAGCGCAATAAGCCACTGAATAATTTTCCCGCGATTCTCAAACTCCCCGTCCGTCACTTTATTCACCGACTGGATCACCTCCGACAGCAATGGATGCAATGCATCCTTCGACACCATGTTCAGCTTCAGTGCATCGAGGAAGGTAATAAAGTTCTCGGTCGCTGCGAGAATGAGACTGCCCGAGGCACCGGCGCCGGGTCCGGCGCTTGCACCGCCGCTGGGCCCGGCGGCGCTGTGGGAGGCTTGCTCGACTGTTGCGGGAAGGCCGATACGGAGACGCTCTGTTGCACGTGGGCATTCCAACTAGAAACAATCATCGTCCCCGTCAGTCACATTCTAGATGTAATCCGGAGAGGTTCACTCACCCCCCACGTTCGCTTGAAGGTTTCCAGATCCACAAACTCCCGGGCGACAGACTCGTCTCCCAGACTGGATTTGTATTGTTTTAATAGACGCGTGCAGGTCTCAGTGTACTCTGCCTCCGTCACCACGTCTTTGATGTATGCCTTCTCGAGACCATCTAGTGTGACGATGATGCTATAGATCTCGGCCAGTGACTCGTGTAGGTCACGCTCGGCGGAGCTGGAAGACAGTTTGACTTCCTAGGGAGGAGTGCTCATTAGCATCATACAATTGGTTGATTTTGTGACTGCAGGCGTACTTCATCTAGGTTGATCGAGGCCGAGCGTGCGGGGTTCGGGGTGTAGCTGTAGGGCGTCGGGGCGTAGGATAGCGGGCGCTGTTGGGTGTACATGCTGGGCGGATGGTCGTGAATGTCGTTACTCGTAAACAATGGAAGCAAGAGAAGCAACGGATGTGTCTAGCGAAGTTGTCAAGCAGGAAGAGCGATGCGGAGGCCGACAGATAGAGATTCTGCCACCGCCTTCTTGTTCGGACACCGGGCGGTCGAGAAGGCGGTCATTGCGGTTCCTAAATTTTTTTTTCTGGGCCGGCAACAGGCGATTCACTCCCCAGTACACAGCACTCGTTCAACTGCAGGCCCCCTGCAGACGAGTCCGATACCGTCGCCATGGCCGGAGGTATGAAAAAGTCGACGAAGAAATTCGAGAAGAAGCACCTCAAGGATACCCTCGAGCGACGCAAGGCTTCCGCCAAGATCAAGCAGCGGCACCAGCAGAATGACAAGCGAAAGGCACAGAATGCCAGCCGGCGCGCAGAGGCTGAAGATGCGGATGGGCCAAGCCCCGAGGAAGCGAAAAAGCAGAATGCCTTTGCGGAAATGAATGTCGATGACTTCTTCGCGGGCGGATTTGACATTCCCGAAGATGCCAAGAAGGCGAGCAAGAAGAACGTTACTCCTAAGATCGGCAAACGGAAACGCTCGGAGGATCATGCACAACAGGAGGGCGAGGAGTCAGGATCTGAGGCTGGGGAGGACAATGCCGCGCAGAGCGATGAGGAGGACGATGGCAATGCATTCGATGCGCACAAGGACCAGCTCGAGGCATTGAAGGACAAGGATCCTGAGTTCTACAAGTATCTGAAGGAGAATGATGCGGAATTGCTCGACTTTGCCGACCACGGCGACCTGGCAGAAGTTGATGAGCTGAGCGAGGGCGAATCAGCGGAAGAGGAAGGCCCCGCTAAGAAGAAAAAGAAGAAGGTCCGCCAGGAAGAGGAGGTGGAGGAGGAGGAAGAAGACAACACCCTTACCATTGCGATGGTCAAGAAGTGGCAGACATTGATGGAGGAGCAGCACTCGATCCGGGCCATGCGCCAGGTGGTGCTTGCATTCCGTGCCGCAGCCTACGTCAATGAGGTCGAGGCTCAGGATCAGAAATACTCCATTTCCGACCCCAATGTGTACCACCAGGTTCTTATCACGGCGCTCAACGTTGTCCCAAAGGTTCTGGCACACCATCTTCCCATTAAGGAGACGGCATCGGGCAGGATCAGGGTATCATTGGACTCGAAGAAATTCAAGACACTCACGCCCCTGATTAAATCGCACACCTCTTCGGTCCACCAGCTTCTCACCAACCTGTCTGACGCCTCCACCCTTAAGCTAACTCTCTCATCGATTGAGCCCATGCTCCCGTACCTGCTGCAGTTCCGCAAACTGCTGAAGGTGCTGATCAAGACCGTTGTCGGGATCTGGGCCGATGTGTCAAATGCGGACGCCACTCGCATCACTGCTTTCCTACTGCTCCGCCGTCTCATGGTTCTGGGCGATCCGGGAATCAAGGAGACGGTGCTGAAGGCTACCTACGAGGGCGTGGTCAAGGGCAGCCGCAATACAACTGTGCACACGCTGGCGGGCGTCAACTTGATGAAGAACTCAGCGGCTGAGATCTGGGGTATTGACCAAAATGTCTCCTACACGACGGGCTTCACTTTCATCCGGCAGCTGGCCATGCACCTGCGCAGCAGCATTACCAACACGAGCAAGGAGTCGTACAAAACCATCTACAACTGGCAATACGTGCATTCGCTGGACTTCTGGTCTCGCGTGCTGGCGCAGCATTGTGATGGGCTGGTCGAAGCGCAGTCCGGCAAGCAGTCGGCTCTGCGCCCTCTCATCTACCCCGTCGTGCAAATCACACTGGGCGCGATGCGCCTGATCCCAACAGCGCAGTATTTCCCTCTCCGCTTCCAGCTCACACGTGCCCTACTCCGCGTTTCTCGTGCCACGGGCACATACATCCCGCTGGCATCATCACTCCTCGAGGTGCTCACCTCCGCCGAGATGCGCAAGCCACCCAAGACTAGCACCCTCCGGCCACTGGACTTCAATACCGCCATCCGCGCTCCGAAGTCCTACCTACGTTCGCGCATCTATCAGGATGGAGTGGGTGAACAAGTAGCCGAGCTCCTGTCGGAGTTTTTCGTCTTGTGGTCCAAGCACATCGCCTTTCCCGAGCTGTCGGTCCCCGTCGTCGTCGCGCTCAAGCGCTGGCTGAAGCAGGTCTCGAATCGCGCCTCCGGCAACAAGAACTCAAAGATCAACCAGATGATTCTGCTTCTCGTCCAAAAGATCGAGGCCAATTCTCGCTGGATTGAGGAGCGCCGCCTCAATGTCTCTTATGCACCGCGCCAACGTGCGGAGGTTGAGTCTTTCCTCAAGGATGTTGACTGGGAGTCTACGCCTCTCGGTGCGTTTGTCAAAACGCAGCGCAAGCTGAGAGAAGAGCGTGCCGCTATCGTTGAGGAGGGTCGCCGGGAGGAAGAGAAGCGTCGTGCTGAGGATAAGAAGCGTGGCAATGGCGACGAGTTCATGGATGGCGTGGCTAGTAGTGATGAAGGTAGCGACGAGGACGAGGTAGAGGGAGAGAGCGAGGAAGAGGCGGAGTTGGAGGATGAGGATGAGGACGAGCTGGAGATGGAGGATGACTAGATTATTCATGCACGGTGTATATTTCTTTGTTATGGCATATCAGGTACATTCGGGCGAATAGGCCGACTTATCAAAAGAGTTATTTATTTCTGAATCTGCGCGAGATTATCCTTATTCCGGAGATATTACTGATAGCAACTGGCGTTCCCCTAACGTATCTGTCGATTTGTCAATATTCCTCCTAGTTCACGGAAAATGATCGGCGTCGCTGCACGATCGGGCATCGCTTTAGGGCTTAATCTCCGGAAAAAGGACGAGAGGCTCGATGTAAAATCAGTCGAAGCTCGAAATCAGCTCGGATTAGTGCCATGCAATGGACCTTTGACAGGACTATGGGCTATTTTCCCAATAAGTGGCGCCAACGAAAACATTGGATTTAAACACCTTACGTATAATGATTCTGTCTCCAGACTGGAATGCTAATCTAATTAACTTCAAGACTGGAGCCTATCGCTAAAATAGTCTGAATTTCTGTCGGACCACTTTGTAAGCCATCTTTCGCCAAACTATTTGGGCGGATGAGTGCTAGCCATTAATGGCGGTATCGCACATTAGTAGGTTACATGAGAAGCTAGCATCTGAGACATGCCACTTGACGCCGTGCGTTTGTCCTAAGAATGTATTTAAGCTAAATGCTCTGGTGGTGCCAATTTTGAGAGGAGAAATTCCCGGCCAGGCTCTTGGAATGCAAAATGCAACGCGGATATCCAACACTATGGGTGAAATAGACCTCGTGCGCTACTTCTGGTACTCATGAATATATAAAAAGGCCAAACGAGGGTTGGGTTCATCTATTCATGCCCTTATTTAATTGCATTCGATCTTGATCTTCAACCCAAGATGCTGAAAATATGGCTCCTTCTTCTGCCCTTATGCGGTAAATGAGACTTGACCTTCTTGGCGCATCAAATTTGCCAAGTTACCCGAATAGGGCTGACAAACTAAAATAGGCCTAGTTGCCGGCGCACCTAGCGAGCCCGATGATGAAGTCCTGCAATGTATTGACTGGTGTCTTCATCATAAATTGGGGCTCAGTGATTGCATTGCTCCGGCAGCGCTGCACAAAGGGCCGTGCTTTAGCTGTGGGCCATTCAAAACAAATCCTTTCGAGCAACTGTGTAACGGGAAATGTGTGAATACACAAACATCTGCGAATGACTGTGGTGAATGCAGCAACACGGTATGTCTGCCATCGTGTCACTAGCACCTCTCTTAGTGCATTTGACAACTAACCTGGGCCATTAAACCTAGTGCGGCTCTGGTATCTGTTGTGCCGGAAGATGCTCTAGCAACGCGGGTCTCGAATGGGCGTACTACGAAAATCCGTTCCCCATAGCGAGTGATCCGACTTATTCGAATTTCGAGCCAAGCGTTCTGAAAACCACGATGCCGATCTACAACAGTACCACGACTTACATTGGCCTAGAAGTGAGCGCAAATAGTGGCGACATCTCAATTTATGGCTCGACAGAGACCTTCTCACCTACCGATTTCGTTATTAACCATCGTGGATATATATACGCAGAAACTAGTGGGACATACACCCTTACCACGGAAAACGATGATGATATCATGTTCGCCTGGCTAGGGTCCGCGGCATATAGCGGTTGGGATAGAGCGAATGCGAACCTGACGTATGTCGTTGGCATTAACACGGGTCCTATAAGCGTGTCAGCGGAGCTACACCAGGGCCATTACTATCCCATCCGCTTGGTATATGCCAATGCCCCAAGTCAAGGTATTTTTAACGCGACTGTCACTTCTCCCTCAGGAGAAATCATTCTGGGGCAAAACACGGCTGCCAGCCCGTCTGTGATACAATACTCGTGTGATGGGGTCTCAGCGCCCCTATATCCGCCATTTGGCTACGAGACCTGAAAACAATGCCAAGCTAGCAATACATGCAAAAGACGATGTGGCAATTCTTGGTCGAGACTGCAGGATCTGACCAACAACAGATTGCGTTAATGGAATAGGGAAAGGATGGATACGATGTACCTAAATAACAGAGATTTGCGGCGCCAATGTGGGGAGTGAAGAAGACGCAGAGCTTGAGTTGGATGAGGACTGAGTATCCAAACCCAAGGCATATCTGGTAAATTCGGGCGGGTATGCCAACTGATCAAAGAGAACCACTTATCTCTAAATAATGATTATCGTTACGCATATGGGTATATGTAAACAGAGGAACACTAAACCGATCCCACTGGCATTCGATCCATTCCCCAAGCATGCGACCTTTCCTTCCTAATCGCCGCATCTTCTTCCTCTGCCCACGCCAACGACTCATTAGGAAGCATAATGGCCTTATCAATAGCAACAGGCAGACCACGATGCCTTCCGCGGAGAGCCACAGCAGCCAGGATAAGTTTGCTAATAGGATGCCATGCGCCACAGAACGAGAAATTCTGGCCTGGATAACCAACGCTCACGCCGACACAGCCGTATGCCGACACAACCTCAAAAATAATGTTGAATGTCGCAAACGCCACGGGTTGCGCATCGTAGTGGTCCGACTCGGCAATAGCGATGAATAGCACGGCCAATGCGATCCACCAGATGTCATGGCTGAGCTGGGAACGTAGCTGCTGGTGCACAAAGTAGCCGCGCGAAGACTCGGAGAATCCTGGTCGGCCCATGTGGTGCCGGATGAGGTCCATGATCACATTTGACTTCTGCGTGGTTTCGGTTTCGAGGGAGGATTCTTCGTTGTCTGCGTAGATTCCCAGCGAGCGCTCTTCATAGACGTTTGTGTTGCGGATTGTGACTAGGACCGGGTACGCGGAGACATACATCATCAGAACGTAGAGAACCAGCAGTCCTTGACGCAGGTCGGCGATGTTCACGACGTAGAAGCCGCCAGCGCGCACTGCTAGGGCCTGGAACAGTCCGTCCAGTATGCGGTATTCCGTAGGAAGAACTTGGATGGACTTGTTGCCGATTGACAGCAGCTCAAACGCGGCCCAGTCGATGCCGTTCAGAATGACGATCGTGCCCAGGAGGTACCAGGTATGCCGAGCAGGGAACAAATTGGTGTACACTCTGCGCGGATGATCCAAGATGAAATCGAGTGTGACTCTCCATGACTGCCATGCCGGTCGATTGGGCAGCATCTTTCTCATGGTCCAAATGATGAAGCGCAGGAAGCACGGGTAGAGCGTGTTGCCGGCCAGAATCAACATGCCCAGGGTCAGCAGCGGATAAGCGTTCAGTTGAAGAGCAGTCATGTTAGCATCTAGCAGAGACATGCCGCTGTTGACAAACGCAGACACGGCGAAGAAGGCACCGGTCCAGAAAGGCGCGAGTCCATTTTCTCGAGTCATGTCCGGGTGGTTGAGCGCGAGCCAACCTCCCATGCCCATCATGCCGAGAAAGAGAAACATGACAAGATAGATCGGCACGATCCATGACAGAAACGAGACGGCCTTGTACTCGACTCCGCCCAGAGCCTCGCGTTCGGCTGAGGTCAAGCCGTGGAACTGGGAGTTGCGCGAAATCAAGCTTTTTGAAGCGAGGAATCTTTGACTTCCTCGTAGAACGCCCTTCAATCCAGACTGCGAGTCTTCTCGATACAGAAGAACATTTGGCGTTGTATCGTGGGGGTGGTTGTTCAGATCAGGCCGGGCTCCCACGCCGGCCATTGGGAAAACTCGGTGGTGAGCGTGATTGTTGCGCGCCTTGATGCCGCTCACGGTGACCTGATCGTCGTCTACCCATTGACTCTGGTCGTCAGTTTCCACTGGCAAGGGCTGCGTTGTCACGTTTGTCTCGGTATCAGTCTTGGATGACTTGAAAGTTTCAAAGTCGTTGCTGCCCAGAACTTCCGTACTTTCTGGCTGTGTTTCACAACCGCCCATCACAAGAGCAGATGCACGGCGAGAAGCACGTTCTTTCTCGCGTTCGTCGGAGATGCCCTTGAATTTGGCATCAAAGGCCCGCTTGCGTACCATAAGAACAGCGCTAGAGATGAGAACCGCGGAACCGAGAATGAGTAGCACGAACAGAATGGCCTGTTGGAAGCTATTGAGCGTGGACAGATTTATCTGCAAAGAAATTTGTGAGTAACCCGCCCAATGCTATTCGGATAAGTCGTACACGTACCGTGTTCATTCCAGCTCCGGTCATGGCACTGACACACAAGAACAATGAGTCCACATAGGTGACGCTGAGCCATGGCGTCGACGTCAAATAGAATATCACGCTGGCGATAAGGCAGGTGGCAATGAAGTAGACGTAGTGTAGTGTCAAAAAGTTGAATGGTGGCAGGACGGCCATCACGGCGCGTCCAACGCGCGCCCTCCACTTCCGGGCTGCATGTGCATTAGCATGGCCGATATAGTTATCGCAGAGACATCAGACTTACGAATCAGTAACGCTTGGATTTTCATCGTGAGGCCCCGGCCCGTAGAAATCAATTAAGTAGTTTGGTGACGGCTCGTGTTGGAGAATTTTCGATCGTGTAATCCAGGGGCGGCGGTCTTCACCATCCGAGAGCGCATACCGCTAACGACCCCAGGTGTCGAGAACAATCACCAAGCTGATGCCAGCGTCCATTATTTGACCAAATGTTGAGGAGCGTGAAGTGCACGGTGGCATCCCGGAGAGTGTGTTTGTGTAAAAAAGATTTCGGCTCCGAGACCCAAGGGCCCCGCACCGGTCCCACACTAACAAAGCACGAGGCCGTTACTTGGTGAATTTGGCAAATTTAAGGCTGATCCATCAGAAAAGAAGGATTTTCCCCCAAATGCGGTAACCAAAGTGGCCCCGCAGCTTAAGGGTCGACCACTTGGGATTAGCAGATCAAAGAGGTTAGTACAATAGACAGTGATGCCATTTGTAGGGTTGTTTCTTCATGACAGACACTGAATTTAGTCAACACTTCGAGTTTATTTCTCTACTTACAATAACTAGGAAGGAGGGCGAGAAACTTTAAGGTATCCGCAATCAACACAGGCGCCTTTATTCCTTCCTGGTATTTCACAGTCCGCGCTTTGAATTCAGTCAACGGCGTTGGCTTACCAGAGGGATGACAATCAACCACGTTGATCAGCTCCATGCTGCCTTGACTTGTCTCGGGTCGAGTAGATAAAATTGTTCCTCTTCGGGCAAGCGAACAAAACCCAGCATACGACATCAGTTCCTCCGTTCTACAGCTCCAGCGATTTTCAGCCTCGGCGGCGAATTGACCGTGTCCAAGGAGTCCGTTCCGAATTGGCAAACTGAGTTTCAAGTATAGAGACAAGTGAACAGCTGTCTGTGAAATTTGTGCGTTTTTGGTCCGGGCAACCAATGTACGGAACTATCATCAGGGGTCGTGCTCGGGTCGCTGACAGGCGCTAGCTGGGTGACCGGAAATGGACAAGATTCTTGATTAGGGGCGGGGAACGTTGCAGAGCCTTCCGTCATTCCTTGGCTAATTTCCAAGATTAGCCCGGAATCGTTTTCAGCATTATCTCTTCTTTGGTCTCTCCTTATCATCTTTCGCTTATGTCCACACCTACCGACCATTCTGACAGAACGGCTACAATCGATCCAATGGGAAGTGGCGTCACTCAGCTTATATCCTGATCTTCTGAGCCTTCCTGGATTCTGAGCATTCCTGGAATATCGCTCGCCCAAAGATGATCGTCGCATTCCCTTGTGGGCCTTGGAAAGTCCACTTGACGAGGTCTCGTCTGAACGCTCTGGCTGGACTGTGTGTCCTGCTTTTCACGGTCAGCGGCCTCTACCTCTACAGGTTTAGAGAGCCCCCTCCGCTAGAATTTGACTTTCACCATCATCCTGCTCCTGTTCATCCCATCGACCACTTGGTCAACGCGGCCAACGAGCAATGGCGCATCCTCCTCAGTCAAGATTCCAAATCGCTTCCGAATGCCACCGAGCAATACCGTCGTCGCCGCGGTCGCCATCCTCCACCGGGCTTTGCGGAATGGTACGCGTTCGCGAAAGACAAGGACGCGCTAATAATTGAGGAGCTTTTCGATCAGATCTACCACGATCTCAGTCCATATTGGGGGACGGAGCCACGGGAGTTACGACGACAAGCCAGTGGTTTCGAACCCCGTATCATAGTGCGGAACCGGACAGCTCTGCCCATGGGTGGCACCCCAGCTGGATGGATGGGGCAATGGCTTAGTCTCGTACGAACTGTTGAGCAGTATCTTCCTGACTTGGATATGCCTCTGAACGGGATGGATGAGCCTCGTGTGATTGTCCCGTGGGAGGATCTTGCCCAGCACGTGGAGAGAGACCACGCGGTCCGGCGTATCCTCGACCCCGGGCAAGTGGTTTCAGAATATATGGACCTTCCTGACCCGGACAAAGACGTGCCGGAACCATATGACCCTGGGTTCACAAATGGAGATGGGAAGCCTTACTGGTATTTGGCCCGAGTCGCTTGCCCTCCTGATAGCCCGTCACGCAACAGTGATATTGCAAACGTGGACTTCGCCAATCCGCCGCCGGAACTCTACAATTATATTCATCTGTCGCAAGATGGATATATCAAGAACTGGACCCTGGCGAAGGACCCTTGTATCCGGCCTGAGTTCCAGGCTTTGCATGGCTCCTTCGTTGCCCCCACTAGTGTTTCGACGACACATCAGCTCTTTCCTCTTTTTGGTGGATCCAAACTCCCAATCAACAACGGTATCCTCATTCCCCCTGCAGTGTATTGGGGCGATGACGAGTTGTTTACCGGAGGGGCAGGTAATCATGGGGGCAAGTGGGACGACAAGCTGGACACCTTCTTCTGGCGCGGACTGGCATCCGGGGGACGGAATACTAAAGAAACTTGGACCAGGTTTCAAAGACACCGTTTTGTCTCAATGCTCAATGCGACATCAGTTGGAACTGCCCTGAACAGCAGTGAAGACTCCTTCTTCAATTTCCGGCTCCCGGATTTTGAGTACTACCATCTGGGATCAGGGCGCAGCGGTGAGCTTTCTACCTTACTTTCCGACCATGCCGACGCCCGCTTCACTGGGTTGGCATGCTCCCCCGCGACCGGAAATCCTCACTGTCCATACACCGATCCATTTTTCGAAATCACGCCAATGGTACCCATGAAGTCCAACTATGAACATAAGTATCTTCCAGATATCGACGGGAACTCATTTAGTGGGCGGTATCGGGCTTTTCTCCTCTCGACATCCCTTCCTATCAAGGCCACAGTATATAACGAATGGCACGATTCGCGCCTAATCCCGTGGGCCCATTTCATCCCCATGGACACGACGTTTTTGGACTTTTATGGTATCATGGATTATCTTCTCGCACACGATATCACGGCGAAGGCAGTCGCGATGAATGGCAGACGTTGGGCCGAGACTGTCCTGCGGAAGGAAGACATGGAAGTGTATATGTACCGTTTACTCCTGGAGTACGCGCGAATTTGTGACGATCGCCGGGAATTTCTAGGATATGTTGATCTTCGATAAAACTGTGTATAATAATACTGTTGATGATTCTATTTACAACCCACATATCATGATCATAATTGGGAGGGCGTTAAACGAGCGCTTAGAACATACAGTAAAAGGACTATAATTAGCACTGGACAGAAAAGGCGCAAGAGTCATTCTTTTAAGTGCCTCTGTTAAGCTCACAAGTAAAACGAAACTCAAGAAGTGGACTGCTATCATCGTCTGTACTGAAACCTGCCGTGAGTGAGGGTTCTGCTCTGGCACGCACAGGCGTGTTTAGCCAGATGCAATAGTTATTCCAGAATTTTGAGAAATTGACAACTGCATTGCTAATATAGGACCCACTAGAGTAGTCTTGCAGGATGACAGCAAAAGAATTGAAGTTGTTTCGCGTTATGACGCTGCTCATTTATCGTCGTAGCCGGTATAATACGGGGTTAATAGTTTCGCGCATCTACTCGTATTCTAACGCTCTGAACACATTACAGTTTGAGACTATGGTAGGCACCTCTCGGTGGATTCATTTACATGCGGTTGAACCATTGTTGTCCCGATGATACCATTTGAAGAGCAAACCCGTATATAACTTGGGATAGAGATCATTGTGGCGTCTGATTGAGCATCCTCACAGAACGTGACGCACCATCAAATACCTAGGCATACCCTGGTTCTACAAGAATTATTTCCTGGACGTGGCGTAAATAACAGACTGACACTCCAAAGTGGAGGAAGGAGTGACAATGGACCAATCGTACTTGCGTCCTATAAAGTAGCAAGGCAGCAATCGAGTGGCTTGAAAGACTTCGCTAACTCGCTACTAGCGCCGAATCCGTGGTCACGGCGCATCACCCTGGGTGGTTAACTCGGTTCCAATCTCGTCTTTCTGCCTCTTCTGTGAGTTTCTCGTTTCAAGGCCATCGGTAAATATGGGGCGACTTCTGGATCTTCCAGACGAGCTGTTGTCCACCATCATCGACCACATACAGGACGACACCACGGGCACCATCACCACCACGCTGGAAACCTTGCCATTCCATCAGTGGGGGGAATTGTATGAGCGAGCGGTGGGGCAGAAACCATCGCAACGGATTAAAAACCTGCACTCTCTTCTAATCACATCTCGTCGCTTCAATCGTCTTTTAAAGCCGATATTCCACCGTGATATCTGCGTGCACGACAGGTTCGGCGATGATCGGCTGGACCAGCTGCACCGGACTCTGGAGAAGGATCCTGGTATCGAGGAGCATATTCTCTCTGCGATTGTTCCCTGTAACTACATATTCACTCTCAACGTCTATCGATTCTTTTGGTTCCCCAACATCGAGACCCTCAGCATTGTCAAGTTTAAAGATTGGGAACCGCTGGAATTCGAAAATGATTCCCATGTTTGCACCTCCCCTGTCAAAGCCCTCAATCTGATTTCCTGCGGAGCGCACGAGAAGGCCTTGGCCGCTGTACTGAGTTGGCCAGCCGGCTTGGAAGTGCTCCACTACGATGCCGATCAAGGCGAATGGGAAGGCCATTTAGAGGATGAGCCGGTGAATAGCTGGACATGCGCCGCTTTTGTACGAACCCTGCAGCCACAACAGGCCACCCTACGGGAATTGACCCTCACACGGCCACCACTTGAACATGAAGGATTGTTCAATGGACCGCGCATTGACCTCAGTGAGTTCACGGCTCTGACCACTCTTCGCATTTACCATGTCTTTTTGTGTGGATGGGATGACCCGCGCTCGGCCTGGAGAGCGCTACCGCGCAGTCTAGAGGCGTTGGAGGTATTTTATGATGATACAGAGCTCACTCAGTTCTTGGAAGAGGGTGAAAGTGAAGCCTATGATCCTTTTTTCCTTGCCCTGGTCAGACATAAGAAAACGCATCTACCTCATTTACTCACGGTGTCCATCAACTCGCCAGAGGGGATCTGGGATGATGAAAGAGACGGGTTTAAGCCCGGGGGTCCATGGATGCCGCCGCCATCTCTGGCACACGAATTTGAAACTGCAGGTGTCAAACTTGATGTGTGGATAGGACCAATGGCTGGACCACAGTGGGAGAGAACAGACATTTCTCTTGTTTTTGAGCGGCCGAGAAAGAGATGCAGACTTCTTTGACCGTGATACTCGACTCCTTGCAAATGTTGTAATAAATTGTTGAATACTCGCGTAGGATACTCGCTACAGTAAATCCAGGAAACATTAAAAAACATTTGTACTAAATTAATTTCAATCCTTGACACCTTTTTTAAAACGCTTCACAGCGGATGGTACCTTATCACCCGAAATCCTCCGGGCTCTTTCATGTGACTGGCGCGAATTTAGCTTTGCGATAGATCACTTGTCCAACTAGGATTCCTGTCCTTCCTAACACCTGGACTAGCTAATTACTTTGCTGCAGAACACGCGTTGAGAAATAGGGCAAAACAGCGAGGAAAGATAAGGATGAAAGGAGATCTAGGAGAGGATCACGCTTTATATACTAATCTGAAGTATTTACGACCAATACTAAAATTAAGGGGCCATATCGCAATTTATCTGATCCAAGACTTACCGCGAGAGAAAAGCGAACGGTAAATAAGCTCTATTGATAACTATATTTAAAAAAGTTCGAGACAATAGACTCGTTTTAAGACCATAGCACAGCTCCTTGTCATACCATGTATTGCGTCACGCTGTTTGAGCAGTAAAACGGAACGGGAAAGCCAAGAAGCGGCAGAGAAAATCGTTTAGGTAGGCGGCTTGCGATGAAGATCCTAGATAGGCGGCTCTACGTAGGAGATTTCCTCGGCCGGGTGGGGCTTTCCTATTTCAAGGCCTGCTGCTTTAATGTGGTCGCTTAGACTTGTGCTCTCTGAGTATTATCAGCCCATAAATGATAGGTCGACTATCTCTAAGCCTAGTAGTAGCTCTAATCTATGTTATTGTACCATATCTTGTCGCAAAACGCTTCTTCGCCGAGAGAAGGCACTGCTATAAAATTCGGTCCCTTTGAGTCAAAATGGCACTGGCCCACGTGGTAAATAATAGTTCCGCCGAATACGAGACGTACTTCGGAAGGCGTATTGTCCCGACCGGGCAGCCGGACAGATTGAGATGCCGATCACCCTGCGGCCCGATCATCTGTACGTAGGTGCCTATCTAGGATCTTCAATCGCAAGGACTGCCAAACTCAGTAGTCTCCACTTACTTTTAACCTCGGCAGACGATGTTTTCAAGTAATACCCTGATCTAGTGCATCTATAGACTCGATTAATTCGCATCAAGAAGGCACCAGCAGCTGACGAACTATCTCGTATTATTGCGAACGCCTGTGTGCAATGGCCATGACGTGCCATCTATGGAATTCTTCGCATTATTTCTACCTAGATTATGTCCGGAGCTTCTCCTAATGATAAAAGGACAGTTCGCTCTCTCTCTCCCTCTCTCTCTCTCTCTCTCTCTCTCTCTTCCTCTCTATAATGGCTTCCCTTGCGAACAAGCTCCAACATGAAAGGCCAGAGCCAACACGCTTTGCAATGGCATCTATAATAACCTGGAACTACTCAGTCAGGGCAGTGCGGTTATTCCAAGCTACCTTTGCAATTGCCATTTTTGGTTTAAGCTTATACTGTTTGTGATCTCGTTCTCTACTGGTTGACCTGGCTGGTTGTAACGCTTCACAGTGCTTTGCCTTTTGCAACTCACCAAAATCAATATTTTTCTCTTCGTCAGCGCGATATGGACGGCCTTCTTCGCAGTTCCTTACCTGGCCATGTCCCCAGTGTCTTCCTATGACATTGAACGTCGCTATTCTATTCCGGCGATGGAAGGCATTGCCACTATACTATGGTTTGCAGCTTTTGTAGCACAAGCTAGCTCACTGCAATCCCCGGAACAATGCAATTTATCTGAGTGCAGTTCGTCTCAGGCAACTGTGGTAATTGGAGCATTGGAATGGTATGTGGTTCCGTGATTTAGATGAGCCTCCTTTGCCATTGAATGCAATGACTAGGAAGATCAACACTCCGTTCTTACACTCAATACAGGGCACTATTCCTGTTCACAACTACAAGAGCAGTCATCATTGCGCTACAAAAGCCAAATTATTCTCCTTATGATTGCGCCTAAAATTGGGTATGGATTACATTTTTTGAATTAACATTTTTATTATTCTAGTATTGACCTACTACATGTATCTAATCGGCTTTGAATATCCTCTCCAATCCATTAAATTGTACATGATTGCAAGCAATTTTGATAACAGCAGATTAACGTAATTGAGCTTAGTTTCGTCTCTATCGACATGTTTAGTAGGTCGAAATAAACGTACAACATGGTGCAATCTGGCTAATTATCTGGACCAGCTCGCCAAACTCCGCTCTGAGGCTGAACTGCTCCTGAAAGGGCAGACTAGGTTGGCTGCCCATGACGTTAGGGATGCCAAGTATCTTGTCTATGTATGCTAAATCATCAAGCAAGGATGCTTAGCGGGGTCCTGGCAGCACCAGCGGCCGTGTCAATGACACTGGTCACTAATGCCACATCAATGACTAGATCAAGCACTACGCAAGTAAAGACAAAAGGCCGGAGGCGTCAGGCTTCTGGGGGTTCTTGGCTGATAAAGAATCTTGATACAAACGCTAACTACTATGCATCATTTAGTTGAGTTTGGGGTAAGAGATATCGACATTGTTTTTCACAGGGACATCAAGTGTCCGGGGCAATCCTACTAGTTTCTCACTGTGCTGGAGCCTAATGACGATAGCCAACTTGTGTCGCGAACTAAATATTTTCGGATGCACACGAGTGCGCTAGCCTGCCGCTTCAAGCATTTACGCTTTCAACCCGCATACATAAGAGTCCAACCCACTAAAATTGCGCTACCAGTCAATTTCCATTCTACCTGGGAAATAACCTTGCTAATTTCTTATTGGTGGCACTCAAGACAAAAGGCGTGATCTGCATCACGTGACAGCCCCTCGTCCTCAAAGGGGAGACAAGCATATTCCCGACTCATCCCTTGCTTTACAACTTCAAACTTTATTACTTTTTTGCCTTTTTGCCGGATTCAATTCGGAGAGACTATATTTTGCTCGAAACATGTGCCGCCAAGTCCACTGATTTCCTTGCTAGCGCACCTGGTGCCATTTTCTTCGCCGCGCTCTTCTTTTATCCTAGTGTTCTATACCGCGAATCGCTCACATCATGAATAACAATAACGTTTCACATTCTACACGGCCTGACAAATGGCCCTCTAAACACCGAAGCAGGAGGGGCTGTTTAACGTGTCGCCAGCGGAAGGTAACCGCTGCTCAATCTTGATCTCATTTTACATTCCAGTCGACTAAGATTCGGACGGACGTAGGTTAAATGCGATGAAACTCATGATGTTTGTCACAACTGCAGACGTCTAAACATTGAGTGTATTTGGGAGTCTTCCCAGAACCGTTTGCCTCAGCGATCAAGAAAACGCCGTGCTTGCACCCGATGTCGCGAGAAGAAAGTGAGTAGGCCCATCCGAAGTTTGCCCCGCTTTCTCTGACCATATCACCTCAGCTGGCATGCCTGGCTTCTCCCAATGAACCGGGGTGTCAGCAATGCAAAAGAAACAATGCTTTTTGCGACCTTGCCGAGGAAAACATTGACCCTCGGATCCAGCAGCCACCCGCCGTTAGCGGCTCTATCGACGAGGATGTCGCTCACGGTCTCCCACAGAAGCATGAGCTATACTCTATCTTAGAATCTTACTTTGACGGACCCCATTACTTCTGCTTCTCCGCCTTCATCCATCGCCCCTCATTTATGAAGATGTTGGAAAACAACCTCATTCCGAGATCCTTCCTTCTCATTGTGCTCGCAAGCGGCCACCGCTACACCAACCCCAACTCCACTCTTTCGGAACGGTGGGCAGACGAGTGTCGAAATTTGCTGGTCACAGAAATCTTCTCTCGTATTTCTACCGTGAACCTACAGAGTCTCTTGCTTCTTCAGCGTTTTGAGTGGCACCGCGGAGCTCACTTGGGGTTTTGGTTTATCTCTGGTCTTGCTGTACGCATGACCAATGCCCTGCAGTTACACCTGGAGCCGTCGAATCGTCGCGACGCGAACACTCCCGCGCTTCCAGTTACCGTAATGGAGACCCGGCGCCGTCTGATATGGAGCTGCTTCGTCATGGACTCAGTCCCGGATGCGTTTCATGCAGGCCACAGGCCGATATACTCGGCAATCAATCCATCTGGTGTCCAGGCCAGGCTTCCATGCGATGAGTATTCCTACGAGCGCGGATTGGCTGCTAGTGGTGGCTCTTTGACCGGCAATCCTGGTAGTGGACCTTCGAGTGCCTCTGCCTACTTGGTTCGAATGGTAGCCTTGCGAATGAAGATTCTCAACTACGCCGTATCTTCCATTACTCCACATTTTGCCAGTCAATTTTCTTGTCTCCCGTGGGAACAGGGTTCAAAATTCTATGAGCTTTGCAAAGAGCTCGACCAGTTCAAGACTTCTCTGCCATCTGATTTACTCCAGCCAACTGCTACCTCGGTAAAACCCGCAGGCTCCATCATTCTTCATCTAACAATTCATGTTATGTTTCATGCAGCTTCTGTCGACCTTTTCCGAATCGGCACACACTTGGCGCGTCGGCGCAGTTCTACCCCGAAACCACCTGCCCCATTTGTTCTCAGCTGCAGACAGTCTCGCATTGATCATGCTCTTGAGATAACCCAAGTGGTCTCTGATTGGATGCGCAATCACACCTTGGAGCACGATCCTTTCGTTGCCATCTGTTCTTGTGTAGCAATTAGGGTCTTGGTGGTTGAGAGATGGGACGGCAACAATGAACTTGTGTCTCTCAGCTCGCCGGATGTCAAGGATCGATTAGAGATGTGCCGCAGGTGCGCTTTGAGAACAGCTCAATGGTCTATACCAATAAGAAGGCTTGTGTGTCCAACCTCTCTTACATGCAAAAGATAGTGCTGACGAAATATCATCAGCTTATTGCCATCAGTCGGTTAGTAGGCCAGCATGGCTTCCAGTTGAACTTGGATGATCTTCTCAGGTAACCGAAGCCATTCTCCTTGCAATTTAATCTACACAAACCGCTAACTGCAGTATAATTGAAGCGAGGCATCTCATGTAGAGACTGTCTCTCGCTCGGAGTCCCCAGGCCTTGATACGTACGGGACACTGGGATCCATTCAGAAAGCCAGGGCAGACCACGATATTGAGTCTGCTTGTACATCATCTTTAATTCCATTATCCAAGGCCACAGAACATATATCGTCTGGCAAGAATACAAAAAATGTTCCGCCACCAGCCCACACGGTACCCTCGAGCGGAAATATACCGAATGTGTATCTGCGAGAAAGTGATGATTCCCTCAGTCCCGACGCTCTCCGCATTGTTTCTAATTGGGCAGATGGTACATATGACCTGGAGGCATCCCAGGCGCAATTTGACTCGGGAAATCTTGATTTTGGCTGGGGGTTTGGGTTGGATGACATTTTTGCGGAGACGGACAACAGCCTGAACCCTCCGCTACCTTAATTTCCTACGTGAAATAGAATCTCAATCAAAGAGCTCAAGGATAATAAACACCGAGTCTGTGATGTATGGCTCAACTCTTGACTGGTGGAGCCTCGTTCTTCCTCACTTTCATCCAAGCTTTTGTCTGCGTGATCGCATCTCCGCCGATAATTCCATCCTCATCATTACCATCCCACTCTTCGCCGACAAACTTGATCGGAGTACCCCAGACTACGCCCGTCTCCTTGCGGTACTGATCCCAGATCTCGAGTAGTTCCTTGACCTTCTCAGGCTTCTCATCCGCCAGGTCCACTGTCTCCCCAGGGTCAGAAGACAAGTCATATAGCTGCCAGCCACCGTCTTTCCGACCGCCCATCGAACTCTCAATGCTCACGAGCTTCCAGTTAAGCTTGCGCACGGCCGCTCTTCCGAACAGCTCCCAGCCCATAGCTGTATCACCGTGAATGGCATCGGGCGAATTCAGGCCATCGCCCATCATGAAGGGAACCTGTCCGATTGGGGCCTGTCAGTAATTGCAACGCCGGGAAAGGCAGAAAATGAATTCAAAAGCTAGTGCTTACCCAAGATGAGCCTCGCATTGGTGCAACTTCTCTGCCACGGAATTGGGCTGGCTTCCCGTTGGCCGCCGGGTGGGTGACACCCGCAAGATCAAGCATTGTCGGGGTCAGATCCATCACGCTGGAAAAGGCGCGGATGGTAGTTCCATTCTGGCGCTCGCGGGAAAATTTCGGGTAGTGGACGACTGTGAGAACTCCCCCAAGGATTAAAATTCGATGTCATCGAAAGATGGAATGTTCACATTACTTACCAAATGGTACGTTGATGCCTCCCTCGGTTCTGGAAAAGGGTGCATTGTCAGCTAATCTGTTGTTTACTGTGTTTCAGTCTGTAATCTTCCTTACGTGAACATCTTATATAAACGTGATGGTGCTGTCGAGGCTTGGGCCCACTGCGGTTTGTGTCAGTCGGGATATAGAGCAACAAAAACTATCAATACTTACCCGTGTACCATACCAGGCAAACGACGTGGCATTCCCAATGTTGTCTAGAGAGTTATCATCTGAATTGATGCAGTTAGCCTTATTAAAACATCGCAGACTCAAGGACTGTACGAACAGTACTCGTTGATAACCCGCATGAGATCAGCTCCCATGGTGGGAAGAGCCTCGTATGTTGCTCCCTCGGCACCATTGTCACTCTGGAAAACAATGAAGGTGTCTTCCTCGATGTTAGCAACATTTATAACATATATGAGGAATAAAATGCGACTCACTGTCAAATTCACCAGTCTTCTTCAGATAGTCCACGATTTTCCCAACGTTCTGGTCAATATTGTCGACCATACCAGCGAAACATTCCATAGAGCGAGCAGAACATTGACGCTCGTAGTCGGTCATTTCGTCCCACTCCGTGTTCATGGGCCCGACCACAACATCATGCGGGCGAATGTCCTTAGGAATCAACCCTAGTTCCTTCATTCGCTCCATGCGCTTGATACGGAGCGCATCCGGCCCGTCATCATACATTCCGTTGTACCGGTCACGATCCTCCTTAGCACACTGCAGTGGCCAATGCGGTGCCGAGAAGGGTAAGTATGCGAAAAAGGGTTTCTCTTTGTCTGCTTCGGAGCGATCGTCCAGGTAATTAATCAAATTGTCGGTATAAAAGTCAGATGTGAAGAAGCCTTTCTTATCGTGGTTTAAGTTGGGTTCAACGTCATATTTTTTGCCGTCTTCGGTATAAAGGACTGGGATGCGGACGAAGAAGTTAATGTAATCCTTGCCAAACTGCGGCTCCCAGCCGTAGTGATTTGACGTCCCAGGAAGCAGTGCGAAAGAGCGGTCAAAGCCTCTGACAGCTGGGTTATTCTCCGTTCGCAAACCAAGGTGCCATTTCCCGCTGATCAGAGTGTGGTAGCCATTATCCTGTAGAATCTCAGAAACGGCGGCCACATTGTGACTAGGAAGGCACGGAGTCAGTGGTGCAATTTGAACGCTGCCAGCGATCTACATGACATACTTGAGAAATCCTTCGTGGCCAGGTACATTCCACCTCTCGGGATCTCTACCCTTCTGCTCACTCATTACGCCGACACCAGCAATGTGGTTATCTGTACCACTTAGGAGCATAGCTCTCGTTGGGCTGCAGGCGCTAGCAGTGTGATCTTCGGCGCAAACAGTTAGTTCTAGGGACCCGGAGAAAGACAGGACGGTACATGCAGTCTGTGAAGCGGGCGCCATTGCTAGCAAGGGTATCGAGGTTCGGGGTGCGAATCTCGCTTCCAAAGCAGCCAATATCGCTATATCCTAGATCTTTATTGCGTGAGGTGTTAACGAGAGCGTCTGAAGGGCGCGGGGTAAGGACATACCATCGGCTAGAATGATGAGAAAGTTGGGACGCGAACTCGGAGCCATGGCGTAATGGTTTGGTAGGTCCAGAATAGTTTTTTTGTCTTCGAAGCTGGAGGAGAGTAGTATGTCTTAAGTATGCTAGATAGACTTCCTCCACCTGTGGAGGCAGTTACCCACCCAGACCAGCCGGATAAATGGCCTCCGGTTGTTCTACACGTAGTCAGCTCATGGACTTGAGAAGTGCTAAATCACCATGGCCAATGAATGGCCTGGATGGAGTGTGAGACGGCCGCAAAACAGACCCAACTTGAGTCTTCGCGTATGTCGCCCTCCACTCCGATTGGGTAATATATCGCGTAACTCGCCTCCTACTCCGACTTACCCCTAGGGATTTGTTCTTCTCCGGGGAGGAGCGCGGCTCTTCCACTGCATAAACCGGGGGGTGGGTCAAGCCAACGACTTGCCATAGCGTGCTATGATCGCGTCAGTTTCGCGACCTGTTCTAGTCCTCGTTTCGAGATTGAACTTACGACACCAAGAAGTCTAAATCTATGTCCTCCGTTTATAAAGGGCTTGCTGCCTTCCCAGATTGAGAAGGAGTACTGATCATTCTTCCATGACCGTCATGGCTCTCACAACGAACATGACCCCAATTGGCAACCCCTCTTCGCGAGGCGCCTTTGCCAGCTTACGAGCCATGATAAGCAAAATGACATGGCCTCTATTCTTTGCGTGTTTCGTTACAGCTATGCTCAATATGCTTTTCGGTTTCGACACCACGAGTTTCTCTGGCGTCCAGAGCATTCCTGCTTTCATTGACCAGTTCGGTAATGCGGTCAAGCCGGATGGCAGTAGTGCTATCTCCGCTGCTCGTGTCTCCTTCATGAGCTCTGTCGCCTTTGTGGGCAAGTTCTTCGGAACGCTGGTATGTGTCCCCTGAGAAAACGTCCTCGTCGCGCCGCTGACCTTGTAGACCTGCCCCATCTACGTGGAGAAGATAGGCCATCGATACACCATCTGGATTTTGTGCATAATCAGTTTTGTTGGTATCATTCTGGAATGCACTTCAAAAACAATGGCCCAATTTGTCGTAGGGAGAATCGTAGTCTACTACAGGTCCGTTTTTCCAAACATTCCAATAACATCTCTTTTCTTCAGCTAATATCAATATGCACAAGTATAGCGTCGGGCTGGCAGAGAATACCTCTACGTAAGTTTTCGCTTCCTCCACATCCTCTCTGTGGTGAACAACTTTCCCGGCTTTTTCTAAATCAACTAACTTCCATCCAGGACCTACCAATCTGAGCTCGTTCCGGCATCTCTGCGTGGAGCTGTTGTCGGATCCATTCAGCTCTTCATCCAATTTGGCCAGATTATGGCTGCAGGTGTCAACGAGCGCTTCTCTAAGTCAAAAGAACCTAGAGGCTGGATTATCCCAGTTGCAATCCAGGCCGTTGTGCCTGTAACCATTTTTATTTCTCCGCTTTTCATACGTATGTCCAAAATTGCTGCATCCTATAATTACCTTACGTCTTCAAATTACTAACTATTCTATCCGGCAGCCTCCGGACCTAGATGGCTTATCAGCAAGGGCCGCAAGGCCGATGCTGTTCATACTTTGGAGAGAGTCCGGCCAAAGGAAGATGTTGGTATGGCGATTCACTACCCTTTTATTTGCTTTTCCGTTTACCAATTTTCTGCAGCTGCCGGAACCTGCCAGGCAGAAGCAGACGCCATCGAGGAGGCCCTTCACAACCAGGTTGAGAAAGGACCGTGGATCGATCTTTTTGTAAGTAGCCTATTGTCCTCATTTGCTTCAGAATGGTACCTAACAATATTTGAAAACCATTAGAAAGGCACAAACAGACGCAGAACGGAGATCGCCGTATCTGTTTTTATTTTGCAGCAGTTTACCGGCCAAGGATTTGTCTCTCAATGTACGCCATAAAACCCTATCACGTCGAAGAATGCAAAGCTAACACTTGATGCAGATTCCCCTCGCTTCTATAAAACCGTGGGTCTCGGTGCACATGCTTTTCAATACAATATAGCCTCCGCAGTGGTCGGATGGGTCGGTGTCCTCATCGGTATGAGCGTCTTCGACATAGTCGGCCGACGCAACATTCTGATTCTAGGCGGCTTCTTCCAAGCCGTCTTCTTATTTGCTATGGCTGGTATTGGATTGAAAAAGAACCCTACCACAGCAGATGGAAATGGCCTGGTCGCATGCGTGATGCTCTTCAATTTCTTCTTTAGTGGCACCTGGGCACCGCTGGCATATGTCATTGCATCAGAGATCGGTACTGCTGCTCTCCGGGAGAAGACAATGGGTTTCACCAGTACGATTAACGTTGTGGCTGCGTGGCTAGTCGCGTTCGTGGTACCTTACCTTCTTGACGCGATTGGTTCGAATATTGGATGGATCTTCGGTGCGTTCAGTATTCTCGCCATGGTTTATGCCTACTTTCGAGTTCCGGAGATTATGAACCGGTCCCTTGAAGAACTGGACGAGCTGTTTGAGAACCATGTTTCTGCTCGTAAGTTCGCGACTACCAGGACGCATGGCGCTGCACACCGGGTGGCGGAGCTTGAGAACGGGCCAGTTCTGATGGGGAGAGAGGAGAGCACGGATGAATCGAATACAGAGGAGGGCCGGAAGCGCAGCGAAAATGTACAGGAAAGCGTGGTGGAGGGCTCGAATTAATTTCAGGCTCTGTAGCAGATAGGGAATAGTCATAGCTTGGGTTGATAATAGTCCCCCGCTTCACAATATGGCAGACAGCTACAATCCGACAAGCATCTTTTGCACTTTTTTCACCAGACTCTGCTCAAACTGCTCCACTCCTTTCTGTTGCTCGATCATCTTCCCATTCTTGAGCACATACACTGACCGTCGCCGAGTCTTCGTCTCCTCTGTCTCTTCCTCCTCTAGTCCTTCAAAGTCATCGTCTAGCTTGTGCTCAATATCGCGCTTACCTTCAATCACGGACCGGATCAAAAAGCGATCGTGAGAAACTAGGAGGATAGCACCGTTGAAAGAAGAAAGTGCAGATGCCAGCGCGGTGACTGTGTGGAAATCCAGATGAGTAGTGATTTCATCGAGAATTAGAAGTTGTGGTGCACTCCAAACAATTCGTGCCAGGGCCAGGCGGACCTATCGCGGCTGGTCAGTGTTCCGTTTGCTTCGCGGTAAACATTTCGACTTACCAATTGTCCACCTGATAATTTGGACACCGGCACATCGGATACTACGCGGCCTGCTAATCCCATGGATGAAAGGAGGCCTCTGATTGCACCTTCATTCAGCGAGCCCTCTGTCTCAGCCATCATCAGTCCTAGTGCGGTGAGGCTGGGCTCATTGCGGCCACGATCCTGTAGGTCCTCCACCGAGTGCTGGCCATAGTAGCCCACTTTCAGTCGCGAATGCGTCGTCACTTTACCCTTGGAAGCTGGTACACCTCCGGTCAAGACACGAACCAGAGTCGTCTTTCCAGACCCATTGAGACCCATAATCCCAACGCGGTCACCGATATGCACGACCAGGTTCACATCATTCAAGATGATGCGATCGTTATGCTTGTATTTGAAGGTGATACCCTCTAGAGAGACCAGTGGTCCCGGAAAGCGCAATTCCGTTGCATCCGGCAGGCTCATCAGCGCACCTTTCTCGTCCGTTGGTACGTCAATCTCGGCACGGCAGGTAAAATGATATCCCACTAAGTCTCGGTTCAGCTTGAACCTGCCCCCGTTGGCATTCACCTGCAGACCCATGCGATCATCGACCTTCTTCTGCCGAGATTTGGCTTGCCGGAGTTTGTTCTCGTCGTTGGTCTTCTTTCCGATCTTCATGTTTTCACGAATGCTCGCTTCCATGTGCGCAATTTGGCGTTCCTGGGCTTCCTTCATGCGTCCCCAGTAGAGTTTCTGCTCTTCGAAGTCCTGTTCATATGCCGAGAGATTTCCTCGAAAATAGTTGAGCTTCTGATCCCGCAAGATCACTATCTCTTCGCACACAGCATTGATAAAGTCTCGATCGTGCGAAACCAAAAGGATCGTCGTTTCGGACCTTTCCCGTAGTTGCTGAAGATATTTCTCCAACCAGACCACTCCTAAAAGATCAAGAAAATTGGTTGGTTCGTCTAGAATCATAATATCCGGGTCTTGTATTAGGACGCTTGCGAGCATGCACCGCATCCGCCATCCACCGGACAAAGTCGACACTTTCTTGTCTAGTCCACTCTCACTGAATCCTAGACCCAGAAGAATTCGACGGGCTTGTTGCTCCATATCAGACAATTTCATCTGTATTTAATTAGATAATTTGCCAAACAGAGACTATGAGCGACGGGGACTCACATCTTCCAATCGAGATTGCAAGTCCTGCAGTGTCTCAACAGCGGCCTGTGTATCAGTCTGGACTGTCTCGGCGTCGATTTGATTTGCCTCTTGTGACAATCTACCAGGCGTTAGACAGGGATGTTGGCGTAAAGGATTTTTGCAACCTTACAATTCGCGCGAGGTATCGACTTTCAGCTCGGCCGCCTTCAAGTCTTTTCTCGCCTGCAAGCCTCGCGCTCCGCTCTTCAAACTTGCATTTTTGTGGGCCAAGAACAGTTGCTTTTCCATTTGCTGAAATCTGATGTTCCGAATTGCGCGCACAGGCTCCAAAGGGTCTTCTGTCTCAAAGGCTTTCGAGAGGACTTGCAACGCAACCTATCAGCCGTGTGTGGGATCAACCGGTATGGCGGTGCTCTTACAGTCTGCCTTGCGAACAGCTTCATTTCTAGACTCATCACTGCTGAGGACATGTTCCAAAACAGTCCTGTCTTGGCTCAGTCCTGCGCTAATACCCTGCTCATCTTGATCGGTCTGCTGCAGAATAGCGATGCGGGTTGCGTGAGGAATACCAGGGATGAGCTTTTCGGCCATTGCCCGTAACAGCGCTGAACCGGTATGCAAGTGAGCAGACAGTCCAGAAAGACTGATTGTTTGAAGTGAAATTCATACTTGATTTCCCGGTTCCATTGCGCCCCAGTAGCCCATAGTGGATCCCTGCTTTCAACCGTAGATGGCCGTCTGAAATGAGCTCTTTGCCTGGCACCTTGGCTTTGGATTTGCCCTTGGCCTTTGTCTTTAATGCATCTTCAGTCGAGTCCGGAGAGGATGATGACACGATAATACTGAGGCCCTCGACATCTATCTTCGATGGTACAATGACAGGAACCAATGTTAGTTGTAATACTTCACGTCTTGGGTGATATCGGTTACTTCTTGAGACGGATTATCGTCTAGTAGATGAAATCGTGTCTGCTTGCACGATGCAAGGATTGGTGGTGCAGGAGATGTCATCATTTGACTAGAACGGTCTCGCCGAGGTCCAAATCAAGGGTTAGGAAGGAATCGATAACCGGGTGAACTCAGAGCAAGCTAGGAAGAGACGCTGCAACCTTGCGCAACTCACGTCGATATAAGACAGAACGTCTGGGATTTCACATCTGTGATGTTGCCGTTTAGCGAGTTCCAAGCATTCCAAGAAGCAATCGGGGTCGGGCTCCTGAACGGGTATAGTGTTGATGCCTGGGTCACCAGGCATCTATGTTGAAATGGACGGTGACAATGCTTTGGATTCTATAGAACAAGCGGATGATAGAGTGGCCAAACCCTCCTCTGGTCATCATCGGATCTCGGAAGAGAATATTTAAATTCGAAATATAACCCAAAAACGCCCCAACAATAAGTTTATAAACACATGAAGATACCTTCTAGTTGGATCAACCAGACCAGCTGAAAATGCCCTTCTTCTTCGCCTCCGCCTCCGCCTCCGCTTCCGACACCGTCCAGACGACTTCAATCACCCGTGCCTTCTCAGCCAGAAACGGATCAAGAATATAGTACTGGCGAAGACGGTTGCCTTCTAAAATGGCTCCCTTGAGTTGGTAGGAGTCCTTCATCCAGTCTTTCGGGCGCAAAGGCCCCAGACTATAAGCAAAGCCTTCCTCGATCGCCCATACGCTGGAATCCCACGTGGCCTCCATGGCTTTCAAGTCTTCCTCGTCCTGCGGTTGCGAATATTCCACGACAGAGAAGCCGTTCACGAGGAACCACTCATCGGTAACCCGCCACCGTTTAAGTTGGCAGTTATCGCCACAAACAGAAGCGGCTTTGCTCATGCCAATCACATCGTGGGGGAACCATTCGGGGGACTTCCAGTGGTGCAAGGAAAGAGGAAGAGTCCGTCCAGACTCCCAAAAGCCAGTTGCATCGTTTTGGAAATCCATCTGGAAGAGTCGGTGATCCCAGGTCAATTGAGTCTGGGTGTGTAGATAGATGCACGACGCAACCCGCTTATCGCCGGTGTCCTTGAACAGAAAACAGTCGTCGAAGTATTGATCCATCTCCTGGAGCATGGGAATGCTAAGGAAGATACCCGCTCCTCCGTATGCCATGTACCCAAAGACGCCCATTTGGTTGATGTTCTCCGTAGGTGCTCCAATGTACCAGGACTTTGAACTGTCATACTCCTTGAGCCCATTGACAAGGTTCCTCATTGACGGAAAGAAAGTGTCGTCGTCAATGATGACGGCCCACTCCGTCGTGGCATTACTGCGCTCGTGCAGAAGCACGTTCGTCAAACGGAAATACCGGTCCAGAGTATCGTCTGAATGCTCGATAATTTCCAACCTGATATCCCTTTTGGTGGCATGTTCCATGACAGTAGACTTGTTCATCGTGTAATCATCCTTGATCATTGCAATAATTCGTGCATTTGTTCCTCCAGCCCAGTGCGCAAATGCCTCTAGGGAATTGTCTAGCCGCTCCAGGCTCGTTGAGACACCAAAGATCAAGTGCGAAGCGTCCACTGGGGGATTGGGCCGAGGCGCTTCAATGGTGGCTGCCACCGCGCATCGTTCCTGCGAAAGTGGGTGGACGGTGCCGGGAACACTCGCGTCGATGGTGGTAAAATCCGGGGGCGACAGGCTCAGGTCCGATGAGAATCCTTGAAACTTGTCCGTCTGGACCACCGAGATTTCCCAGCGTGCATATTCGATTGTCTCGTTATAGCCCCAGGCTTTTAGGAGATCAATATCGAGAGAGCAGTCGGCTGGTTTATTTTCGGTAGGTTTGCTCTCGGTACTGTATGCATTGCCGACATTGGAGGGGTATGAAGAAGAGTCCGAGACTGACGGGGAAGAAGAGGTGAATGTAACCCTGTCACGGACCGAAGGGAAGTGCTCGAACTTGGAGAATGTAAAGACCACCAGCAACAAAATCAGAACGGCCGCGATCACGGCTCTTGCAGACTGGCAAAGCCGAAAGGGGTGGTACGACTGCATGGCACCACCATACAATGGCTAATGTGGTTCACAAAGGTTGTCGCTGGACGACTGGGGAGGCCGGGCGCTTTTTGTTGCGGTGTTCGACAGCAAATTATGTCAGTGGGGGCTGATTCGGCTGTCTCCGCGTCGATCACTGACAGCCTCGGGGCCGGGCTGAAAGTGAAGACGAAGAATTGGGGTCTCCCGCGATGGTGAGAAGATGGAAGCCAAAAATGCCGGTCGGGAGGAGAAGAAGAAGAAGAGCCAGATAAAAGTGAATATTCCCACCCCATTAACTAGTTAACTAGTTAACACGAGGCACGGCCGGTTCAATTGCGGCGCAGGCCCCACCGCGGCAGCCCTGATTGAACGGAAAAGGGGGTGATGATGCATTGCACGGGAGGCGTTTCAGCTTGAGGAACAGCACGCCTTGGCACTAAATTTAGGTCTCATCGCCACTTTGAAGTGGCAGGCCTGATAATAGTCGAGCAGTGGCTTGTTCCGGGATTTGGCTTGATTAAAGTCGCGGTTTGTATCGAACTAGATCCTCAAATAGTAGTGTGAAATAAAACCCTGAATCATCCGGCAGTTCATGAATCTGTGGGACGTCATGGAATGCAGTGGGGCTTCGGCGGCAGGTTTAGATGGTCGCGGTTTGGGGGGTCTGTATTCATCCTTGAACTCGGTCGTCGCTAGTGGTCATTCTGGATATTTGGCCGGTGGTGGATTATTGTGAGGATAGACTATTTTGGCTAATTTGCCACGAAAGTAAACGATCAATCCGTTGAAGGCAGCACATACACGTCCTGTTACACGGCCGACCGCCGATCCCAAATGTGGTGCTCTGGCTTATTCCGCAGCCGTTATTTCCTTCGCTAACTGTCCTACTAGTTGGAGAGGCAGCGGGTACTGCAGTATCTGTCGTGGCAGTCGTTTCTCAGCGTTCGCAATATACTGTGAGCCACATACTCTCTGAAAGAGGGGCCAAAACGCTTAGTTCGAGCATTCCTTGGCGTTCCCCGCATAATTTGTACAGGCTCTGGTGCTCACGCTTGCTCCGCAACAACAGTACAGCAATCGCTGTTGATCACAGCTCGAAGAGAACATGGCAACCGAACAACCAAAAATGTCGTCGTCGTCATCTACTTCGTCCGACTCGTCCGACTACCCTCCACGTCTCCATCCCAATTATACACGGGCCTTGTGGGTCAGCATCGCACTTCAAGCAATAGGATCCTGGAGCTGCGTCCTTGCGACACGCAAATGGGAAACTGCGCCTCTCTGGGTGAACCTCATGTTCTGGCCAGCTTCCATCTCCACGATAATCTTGGGCGCAATGCACGTGCGTGACTTGATACCGGACTGGAGGGATGCGATGCGGTGGATATTGTTCACGCTTGCTGTGATCGCATTCGCGTTGCTCTACCGTCAGGTGGCATTATACTATCTTGGTGAACCACAAATGAGGATAATACATAATACATGTGCCACCGGCGGGCCAGGATTCCAGTCGTTCATGATCACTACAGCAGGGGGTAGTGATCAGCAATCCACCACCTGAAGTCCAGATTCATGCTCATTTGTCCCGATTACTTGCATTTCTGCCGGGACAGTTGGCACTTGTTATTTCTCGTTTAATTCTCAAGGAGGAACTAATGCTGTTAGCTCAGCTCCCATTTGTGGTGTGGCCTAGTGAATTCGCACCGCAGACTCCATGGAGGGAGTTATGCGGGAAAAATGTTACGAAGAGGACATGGGAATTTGGTTTTTTTTTTTTTGCTTTTATTGGATCTAAGATATGTACCTACTTGTAATTGAAAGGGGTTATCAATTAGGTCACAAGACCTTGTGCGTAGGGATGTGGTGATGTTTAACCAATCATTCTACAAAGCTTACCTCTCTATTCCAAAGACTTGACCAATTGATATCGATTTGTGGTATCTTCGATCAAATTGCCATCACGCAATACCAAAACTTTGCAGTTCAGCACAATAGTCAAATCTGATATCGGTAGGTAGGGAAAGGCAGCCGAAACAGCGGACCTCAACAAAATTTCAGACTGAAAGAATGTTCGAGAGCCGAGACCGACATCAGGAAATTGATCTTGAAACACCGAGATTTCTATTCTGCTACCCGATAAGGCCCGAGTCGAAGACCTGGACTCCAGATCCTACTCTACCTCGGGGGTTCTCGATCGAAGCCTCCCTCAATTCTAGAACGCACCGATATGATTGCGAAGACATCGGGTCTGTAGGGTTTCGACGCTATCAGAGTACGAACGGACCTTCGACGGCTGCGTGCTCGAGATTTTCTTGTTCTAGACCCCAGAGTGGTCTTAGCAGTGACGCTGAAAGAAAATCACGATGAAAGGCCCGCGTAAGGCACGTTTCAACGCAGCCATGGATTGAAAATATCGAGGTCTCCATAGCACAAAGGTCTGCATAAGGAATGGGCTATAGATCTCAGAAAGTGGAGGGAGATCTAGCCGAAGCCCTAGATTCCACCACGCCGGCAGTTGCTCGGGATTCGGACCAGTCCAATGCAATAATGATCCGCCGACAAACCACGGTCGGCTTCTCGGTCGGTCAGCCCCTGTTCGTTCCTAGGTCAAGCCAAAGGGCTTTACCGGGACCACGGGGCCCACAAGTGTCGACTGTCTATTTTTACTGGGGCTGCATGGCGAGAACCATGTGGACAGGACAACTGTAAAATTCGGCACAGCCCCGTGTTTGCGCGTGGTCCATTGACGTGGCTTAGGGCTTGGCTCGAATTGACTTCGGCCAGAGATGGGCTGGCTACGATCCTGTAGTAGTAGTCTCGAATCGGCCCAGACTTCCTGGTTCGGTGATGGGCCCCCTGCAGAAACTCGGGCGGGTATGCGTTGAGCCGGCCAAAACTGCATGAACTGGGTTGCGATAGCAGGAAGAGGGTTTCCGGAAAGCAAAAAAATTCAGAAAGCTAACGGTAGCCTAGAACTCAGCCTTGCACATTGCTATGATTACAGATAGTATCTCCTGCAGTCGTTCGCGTGCTTTGAAAGGATCGGCCAGAATGCCTAAATACAAACTAGCAATCGATCACGTGGCAGGATTCTGCCCGATCTCCGGGCCCACAAAAGTCTAGACGAGCTTATTGTTGTTGTCCAGGGCCGTGCTGGAACGGGTCGATCAAGCAACCCGTAGTTTAGCCGAGCCTTTATACTACTACGGTCAGTCTCGATGCCGAATACGTAGATCCTGGGCTGCGGTGAAACACGCAAGACCCGTGGTACTTGCCGTCAGCACGGTTATGTACGGTATCTTCGTGTTGGCTGAAAATAGTACAGTGAGCCGGACTTAGCGCCGAGATAGACTATTCTAGTCCGTGGCTGGGCTAGGATCCGCCAGATGCTCTGATTCCCGTCTTGTCCACCACCAGCAATAATGTTGCCTGGCGCATTCAGCAGGACACAGCCCGTCATCCACGCCGACACCAAGAATGTTGACTGCGGCATGGCAGATGTTATTGTGGCTCGGGCCTACGACACAGCCACCTGCGTCATGTGTATTGGTACAGTCAGAAGAGGACTGTAGGCGGGGTAACAATGGTACGGGGGTGTAACGGAGGCATTAGAAACAAGTCCTGCCCAAGCAACCCGGACTCAGTATAACCGGAATCATCGACAGAAGAGCCACAGTAGGCAAACACAGCAGTCCAGAATGGGGCAACAAAGACCGGGTGGTCAACCGCCGACCTTAACCTGCGTGGCCAATCAGAGCCGCTGAGTCAGCCAGAAGGACGCGCAAGCCGTTCTCACCTGATTTCCCTTCCGATCGCCCCTTCCCGCTCTCTCCCCCTGTTTCCACTTCGCTCCCGTCTTATATTTGACCATTGATTATTCTTCCGGTTCCCACCATTCTGTGATCCTCATTTCCTTGATTCTTCTCAACGCTATTCGACATGGCGACCCTCGCCGAGCACCCGACGGTCGTCCAGTCCTCCACGGCGTCGCCTATGCCAACTATCAACGCTGGTTACGACCAGGACCTTGACTCCTTCATCAATTTCGACCAACTCACCTACACCTCCTCCGACCCCTCTCGCCCCAAGGTGGCATTGGCCAGTGGTCCATCACTAGCCGGTACCGATTTCAGCAGCGATGTCCGCAGTGCCAGCTTCGCTTCCAGCAGCCAGTCTCCGATTGCCTTCCAGGCCCCAAGTCACCATTACGAAGATCACCGCCAGCAGACAGGTCTGCCCCCTGGTGCCCTGTCGATGACATACAACCAGGTCAGCGGTATGCGATATGGAAATGGCAACCAGGCGTACCCGATAAACGGCGAGATGTATGGTTCGCAGATGAAGCGGGAGGAAGCACCGTTCGACTTCAACAGCGCTGCTCCTCGCAACCCATCTGAGATGGACATCGAATCGGACGGCGTGAACTCGGCCCCCTACTTTTTCCAGGCAAACACCGCCAACAAGAATCAATACGTCGACCCTAGCGCTCTCGGCGGCCAAGAGCTGGCTCAAGGCCCGTCGACCCAGGTCGGCCGCATGTACCCTGGCATGCATCAGCAGCAGGCTGCGATGGCCAAGGCCCAGGCCGCTCAGCAGCAGCAACAACAATTCCGCCAGCCGCAAATGCAGCAACACCGCCCGGAAGAGCAGATCCCTAATGCTATCCCGCAGAACCGTGCCATCCGCCATCCCGACCCCGTAGTGGAGGAGCGCATCTCCCGTCTGCTCCAGCAGATGCGACAGAACGCCATGGCCTCAAGCGAGGGATCTCCGACTCCGTCATCGATGTTGCCGCAGATGGCCAAAACGAGGAAGGATGAGCAGGATATGGACGAGGACGAGCGCCTTCTTGCTAGTGAGGCGGGCAAGAAGCTGACGAGCAAAGAGCGTCGTCAATTGCGGAATAAGGTGTCGGCTCGCGCCTTCCGGTCTCGACGCAAGGGTATGTTTGATCTATCTTCGACCAATCCCAGTCTCCTAACATCTCTTAGAGTACATTGGTCAGATGGAAGGTGAAGTGGCTGCCCGCACCAATGAGGTCCATGAGCTGCGCCTGCAAAACCGGGCGCTCTGCGAGGAGAATACCCGCCTGAGCGAGCTGGCCCACATGCTCCTGGCCTCGCCTCATTTCTCGTCCTTTCTCAATGACATGCCCGACACCGGCGTGCCTGCCCAAAATCACCCGACGCCGCAGCAGCAATCTCAGCCTCAGCCACAGCAGGCAGCTTCGCAACCGACTATGCAAACCTCAGTGCCCAAGGATACCAATGCCAACCGTAACCCGCAGGAGTATCAGATGCAGCAGAACCCCCAAGTCATGATGGTGCCGCAACAGAACATTGATCCCTCGGCTATGGCTATGAACAACGGTGGTTGGAACTCGGGAATCGACATGAACTACGGAAATACCAATGTCTTCGCGGTGCTGGACATCCCTCAAGGCCCGGCCCTCGATGCCGAGGTCCTCTCGGGCAAGTCTTCGTCGCTAGCTGAGCACTCCAAGGATGAGAGACCTGTTATTGACAACCCCGCCGGCGACGCGCCCACCCGCGACATTGGCGTTGCCAACCCTGATGTCGAGCTAGACGAGTCCGATCCTGCTTTTGCCCTGTTCATTGACTCTCCCGCGTCTGTTTCTTCAGAGGACGATTCATCACCATTTGATGGCGTTCGTCCGGAGAAGTCGTCTCCTCACTTTGAGCTTGTTGTCGATGGATCAGATGTCACCGCTGCCACGAAGAGCCGCTTTGCCCATCTGTGCCACAGCATCGAATCTGCCTTCGAACGAGTTTCATCGGTCACTTCACACCTCCAGTGATTTCCCCATATCGCGACCTGCGTATCGGGCATTCTTCTTTTCGTTGTATATCCATCCACTGCTGTCCGCATATTCCTTTTTATTTGTTATGGGCTTCATACATCTCTACCGAGATTTTTCTTGCCATCTTTTTGCGAGTCATTGATCTCTGTCAGTGGGAGTTTTCGGGCGCTCGTTGATTACCTCTTCGGTCGGACTTTCTGGGTGGAAATTTAGAGCGGTTCCTCTACAGGCGCATATGTGAAGGATTAGCGGAGTAAAAGACCAGAATTGAATCCTAGGCCATTCCATCAATCATTTGTTCCTCTTTGTATTTCTTCCGGTTGAATGTAGCGGCTTTGAGCTTATGCGGGCTTGACACTGAGCGTAAACCATGAGCGGTGAGAATATCTTGGTCCTTTTAATTCGTGAAATCCATTACTGCGTTCCTTTTCCGGTTTCAATTGATTTACATTTGTAGCGGCGTGTCCGGTTCCAAGTTGCTGTCGTTGATAGCTGTGAGACCGGCCAAGGCGCAGAAATGGAAAAAAGTTGGGGCTCCCGCAACTTTCGTCACAACTCTCATGGACTCACACCCTTGTTACACCAAGTTGAACTCCTCCGGGCAATCCTCCGATTGAAGAGTCACCAGCCAAATTGGCTTCTTTCAGCGTCCGCGAAACGCTGCTCATCGCAGCCTCTCGCGCAATTTCAGTGCGCGCGTTCTGTCGACCGCGGGCCTCGAGGTCAAATTTCTCGAGTCACGCCTACCACGTCAGTCTCAGGCGCAGCACCGCCAGAGGCTTTACTCCTGTGACGCATTCTTTTCATTGTCGACTAGCGCACAATAAATCAGTCACAGACTCGGTCGTTTCTCCCCTGGTACATAAACAGTTGCAGGTCGACTCGGACGCGTACATCCTCCCAGCTCCGAATCATCTCTTCAAAAATCGCAAAAAGTCCCAGGACTACCTCATTTACGACACAGCCTCCCTCAAAACCCCCGGACACAAATCTCTTCCCGCCGATTTCCTGATAACCCGACCCATGAAGTTTTTCTGCCAGGTCATCACGACCCCTACGGCCGACACGCCCGGTACGGTCATTGAGCTCAACTTCCCCGACAAACGATACTTCTTCGGTCAGCTATCGGAGGGAACCCAGCGGGCATGTAACGATCGCGCCAAAAAGATCGGCTATCTGACTGATGTCTTCCTCACGGGCCGAACAGAATGGAAAACAACTGGCGGCATGATTGGGATGATCTTGACCTTGGCGGATGTGACTGCGAATGCGGCCGCAGCGAGTGAGGAGCATGCGCGAGCCAAGGCCGAAAAGGCTGCCACCCGGGCAAAGGAAGAGGCAATCAGGAAAAAAGCCAAGGGTAAGGGCAAACTGTCTGCAGCGGAGCAGCAGCCCGAACCCCCGTCGAACACAGCGGATCTCGTTCCATTGACGGTGGGGACGATGCTGTGCAAAGAGGTTTGACTGTCCACGGACCTACAAATATAATGCACACCTTCGCTACTGCCCGTCGGTTTGTCTTCCGGACAGGCATGCCGATGTTTATCAGGGAGTATGATTCCGAGACTATATCGGAACAAATACCTGCCGGTGTGGAAGATCCCTTCGAGAAGCCTACATGGTCCGACCACAATATCAAAGTCTGGGCGATGCCAGTCAAGCCTCGCTCGAAGTCTGGTACTCGTTCCCAGCTGCGGCCGCAAAGCCCTCGCAAGCGGAGCTTGGAGGAATTCCAGGAGAACACCCAGTCATACGAGCCGCTTGATCCGCGGAAGCAGAAGCAAATGATGCTTCAGGGTGTCATTACTGACATGTTCAACTCGAAATGGAAGATGGACGCCCTCATGGAAACTCCATTAGCCCAAGTCAAGATGCCTGCGGCCATATTTGTTCGCAACCCGGAAACGAAAGATTTGGAACCTTATAAAGGTCCCGTGCCGGGTGATGGGAAGCCACTGCCAGATATTACGGTACTGGTTCGACAGCCCTGGCCTGGTGCGATGATTACCAGCCTCCCGTCCACGACTCCCTCTGATGAGGCTCTCTCCTATGTTGTCCGGAGTAATGACATCCGGGGCAAATTCGATCCAAAAAAGGCTTTGGATCTGAAAGTCCCGAAGGGCGAGGCTTTCGGGCGCCTGACGAAAGGAGAAACCGTCCAGTCCACTGACGGTCAGATCATCACCCCGGAAATGGTCATGGGGCCGGCACGACTCGGCAAGGGCATTGCTATTATGGATATACCCTCACCGGAGTATGTAGAGGGGCTGATCAATCGCCCTGAATGGAACTCGCATGCTGTCACAACCGAATTGCAGGCTTTCCTTTGGATCCTAGGCCCGGGGGTTGGCGAGCACCCCAAGCTTCGGGAATTTGTTGCAAGCATGCCTCACTGCAAGCACATGGTGTCAAGCACAGATTACTGCCCGAACTACCTGGCGCTTGGCGGTGCAGCTTCGTCGTCCATCCGGCTGGCTCGCCTGAGAGGCGACAACTACTCGATTCCTGTTCATGACAATGTGACGCTCCCGCAGCCCGGTACCCCGACGGCTGGCTCTGAAACTGCTATCGCCGGGATTCGTGACTCGCCATTTGAGCCCCTAGCGCAAGGGACCATCATTAACGTTGCTCCGGATTTCGGAGTCGACAATACCGAAGTCAAGGAATATTTCAACGCGGCGAAAACGATACAAAGAATCCCGCGGTCTGTTGAGCAACGCATGGAGACCGTTCGTCGGCGGGTCGCAAAACCGGCTTTCCAGAAGCAATTGCAAGAATTTCGTCAAAATCTTCCAGGATCGGATGCGGAGATCATTACACTTGGCACTGGTTCGTCAGTTCCATCCAAGTATCGCAATGTCTCTTCGACATTGGTCCACGTCCCGGGCTATGGATACTATCTTCTTGACTGCGGCGAAAACACCATTGGCCAACTGAAGCGTGTTTTTGAGCCGGAGCAGTTGCGTGAAGTCCTGCGAAATCTACGGATGATCTGGATCAGTCATCTACATGCCGATCACCATCTGGGTACGGTGTCCGTCATTAGGGCCTGGTATGAGGAGAATTATCCAGAGGGAACAGACCAGAACGCCCCGCCTGAAAGTGATATGAAGAAGATTCTCCAAGAGAAGCGGCTATTCGTCGCGTCTGAAGAGATGATGGTCTCTTGGCTTGAAGAGTATGCCGGCATCGAGAACTACGGTTTCGACAAGATCGTGCCCTTGGCCGCATATTCGAAAACAGAGGGCTCTCAAATCACGACCCAATTTACTTACCGCCATCGCCGCGCTGACGGTACCTCCGCTGACGGGGACAAGTCGGCCAAAATGACCACTATGCGATTCACCGACCCCGACGATCCTCTCACGGCACCCTTACAGGCTGCCACCGGTCTCTCCGACCTTCTCACCACCCGAGTCAAGCACTGCAAGGGTGCCATGGCTGTATCTATGGTTTTCCCCAATGGGTTCAAAGTCTCCTACTCTGGTGATTGCCGACCTTCCGCGAAATTTGCGGAGATTGGTCGTGGCTCCACCTTGCTCATTCACGAAGCGACTTTCCAGGATGACATGGGTGGGCAGGCCCGAGCCAAGCGTCACTCGACTTCTGCGGAGGCCTTGGAGGTTGGCCGTCGCATGCAAGCTCGGTCAATCTTGCTGACGCACTTCAGTCAGCGGTACCAAAAGATTGCCACATTTGACCAGCGCGCTGGAACAACTCAAGATAAGGCTCGACAAGCCCCCGTCGCCCTTGCCAGAGAACCCGCAGATGCAGACATCCCCTTTGACGACCCCGAGGACAACGCCGCTGCTGCGTCCTCCTTGACCGACGACATCAACATCTCAGCTCAACCACGGCGGCGCGGTTCCGGCTCTAGCGATGCGTTCGTACCGGGCGTTAATGTCCCTGTGACAGTCGCGTTTGACTACATGCGCGTCAAGGTTGGAGATCTCGCTCAAGCGCAGGCCTACGCGCCGGCGGTAGAGAAGCTCTTTGAAATCATCGATAGGGTCTCTGCCGCCGAGACTGAGCGCAACAAGCGAGACCGTCAGGAGCAAGATGATGCCAAGAAGGCTGCGAAGAACAAGAAATGGGCTCAGGGCAAGAAGGCTGCTGTTGCTGCCACCGTCGGGGGCGCCGTGGCCGTTGCGGAAGTGGCCCAGACTGAACAGGCCTCAGAAGCAGGCGAGAAGAACTGGTGGAGTGCCAGCGAGAGTGAGAGCGGATGGGAGACGAGCGAAGCGGAGGAGTGAGAGATATTTTCTATGTACATGTACTTACTCCTCCTACATACTTATACCTCGGTAGATAGAGCATGCTTTCCATTTATAGATCAAGCCGTGCACCGCATCCGCTTATGATTGGCTGTTTTGTTCCTTCACCGCCCGCGTTAAAGATGTCATTCCCCTCAGCCGCTCTCTCTCTCCAACCTGTCTCTGCTGTCAATTGCGAGCCATTGGTTCTTTCTCTCTGTTCGCCATGACCACTCTGATTCCCCGCGAGCCCTATTCCAGGGAGGAGCTCGACCGGCTTTACCCGAAGGACCTGAAGCTGCAACTCGTGCAGGTGGTGAGTCGCGCGGGCCTGCATTTGCACTCTGCATTGACCATTGACTAACAACGCATATACATAGTTCCTGCGTCATGGTGAGCGATCTGCTACTTCCTAAATAATTACATTCTAATGCGCTTCAGGCGAACGAACGCCTGTCTCCTCGCGCTTCCAAAATGTATCTACCTCCAACCCAGCCCCCATCATCCCCGCTTTCTCCGCGCTGCTTGCTAATCCTCCGTGAAGACAGGCTTGAGTCCATGTACATTGACCGATCCCTTTTTTTGACTGTCCAAATGATCTGACACTTTCAAGACTGGCCGTATTGCGGTGTCGCGCGGCGTATGGTGCAAATGGCTTCGAGCAGCCAAGACCTCTCGGCATGGAACGGATTTCAGTGGCGGCGGAAGATGGAGGCATTCGGGAACAACGACGAGTCCGTAGTTGCCGTGGGACCCAGTGGAGAGATTGAGGCTATGTGGTAAGCTAGAAATGCAGGACGTGCAAGAAGAAATTGTGCAAGCTGACTCGCAAGAAGTCAGCACGGAGAGCTCACCGATAAGGGTCGCGAAACGACATATGCATTGGGCCGACGTCTGCGCCATCTCTACGTTGACCAGTTGGGTTTTATGCCCCAGATCAAATCGGATACTGAAGATATGTACCTCCGCGCAACGCCGATCCCGCGTGCGCTTGAGTCGCTCCAGCAGGCTTTTTGGGGCATGTATCCGGCTAGCGCGCGCACGCTGGATTTCCCGCCTCCTGTGATTGTTGCACGCTCGGTCTCTGAAGAGACTCTGTTCCCCAATGAAGGGAACTGTCGACGTTTTCGGCAGCTGGCGAGGCTGTTTGCTGACCGCGCTGCAAGGCGATGTATGTATTTGATTCTTGCTTTCTCTCGTGGACAACATTAATGATTCTTGCTGCAGGGAACGACTCGGAGCAAATGAATTACCTCAATAGCCTCTGGTCGAAGTATATGCCTGAAACCTCGCCCAAGGTCGCAGTTGATGCTCATCCGCGTCTCTCGGGTATTATGGATACCATCAATGCAACTGATGCGCACGGCCCAGCCACCAAGCTGCCCTCTGACTTCTACGACACTAAAGGTCGGGCAATTATCGACCGGATCGCCGTTGAAGAATGGTTTGCCGGTTATTCCGAGAGCAATGAGTATCGTCGGCTGGGCATTGGTGCTCTGATGGGCGATGTGGTTGACCGCATGGTCAGCACCGCGGTGGATGGCGGCTGGCGCAGCTCGAGCACTGCTTCTGGGTCCGGAAGTGTGGAGGGCGGCAAGAACATCAGGTTTGCCATGAGCGGGTGTCACGACACGACTCTCGCATCGATTCTGTCCAGTTTGGGCGGGTTCCAAGATGAGTCGTGGCCGCCCTTTACTTCCTCTGTCGCCATTGAGTTGTTCTCTCAGTCTTCACGCAGCGGTGCTGATGCGGGTACCATGCTCGAGGAATTCTCAAACCCATCCATTGCGTCCAAGAAGCCCGGCATGCTTTCGAAGCTCTTCGGCAGTAGCCAGTCATCCACGCAACCGGCCCCTTCGGAGACTGCGCGTGCGCCTATCTCCTCTTTCCCGGTCGAGGCCCGCGAGTCTCTACGCAAGCACTACGTTCGCATCCGCTACAATGACCGCCCCGTCCGCATTCCCGGTTGTGCGGCCAAGGCCGAGAACCACTTCCCCGGCGATGACACTTTCTGCACACTAGACGCCTTCAAGGAGATCGTCGACAAGTTCACGCCCAAGAACTGGCACACCGAGTGTATGGAAAATCTAGGCGCAGGCCTCCACGGGCCGGACGATCGCGAGCGCTCTCCAGCTGGGTTTTAGATTTCAGATTCCTGTTCTCTCTTTTAATTTCTTTGCATGCAAATAAAATATACAATTGTACACAGCAGTCACAGCCACCATCATACCTTCTTGTTCTTCTTTTCCTCCTCCTTCGCTTTCAGCTCTTGCATCTTGCCAACCGTAACCTTCATCATCAACCACCGCGGCAAGAGATCCAGCGAGATACACTGCAGCCAATGCCAAAAATACCCCGTCACAATAACCCGGCCACATCCAACACGATCCAGTCCCGCAGCCGCCATAGTGCGCGAGTCCGGCACAAACAAGCCCGGCTTGACATAATCCAGCCCTGCGCTGCGCACCTGTCCCACGCGCAAACCAAGCACCTCAACCCCCAACCCCTCAGCCTTGTTCTCCGCCTCCAGCGCCAACGTAAACGAGTTTACGAACCCCTTCGTCCCGCTATACAGCGACACATATGGCATTCCATATGCCGCAGCGGAAGAGACATTCAGGATGAGACCCGGCGCATTGCGCGCCAGAATCGGGAGCAGCACGCGCGTCGCGTGCGCCATGAACGACGCATTGCGCGCAATAGACAACTCTGTGTCGGCGTAGCTCAGTGTCGAGAACGCGCGGTATGCGGTGCCGTGGTCGCCGCCGACATTGTTGACCAGCACGGTCAATTTGCCTTCTTGTTCCGCGGCGATGTGTGTGATTTTATGAATTTTGTCAGGGAGGAGATCGATCGTTTCGTCTGTTGCTGTGACGTCCATGCACAGGATTCCTGTTTTCTGGGTGGGGAACTCGCGGGCGAGCTCTGCTTGTCGCCGCTGGAGCTTTGTCGCGTTGCGCCCGTGCAGAATCACGTTGAATCCGCGTGCGCAGAGCTCCTGGCTGAATCCGAATCCGATGCCGTCCGTTGCGCCAGTGACGAGAGCCCAGTTCGATTGGTTCGGTTGGTTGTAGCGCTTTTGGAGCGTACCGCGGTGCAAGTATACGCTGGCTTGGCTGGCTAGTTGGAAAGTTGCGTAGAGGAGGGTCGCTAGGCCGATGTAAATGAGGGGTTGGGTGGACCAGTCTGGCAGATTGAGTCTGGTGAGGTCCATTTTGGAGAAGAGAGATGTATGTACTGAGGTTAGTGAAAAGGGAGAACAAAGGTAAGGAAGGATAGGAGAAGAGGGCAAGGGGAAAAGTTGGTGGTGGTGTAGCCGATCCGCGATGATGAAGTCATGCCGATCCTTTGTGGAACCGGATTCTTATTCGAGCATTTCCGTGTTTGAAGAAAGAAAAATTTTGCCAATTATACTTGCTGGTATGCTGGAATATAACTATGACATGATCATATATTGCTTGGGATATCACTATCATTAATAGGACGAGAGAAAGAGAGATATTGACTATGGATTCTGTTGGCATGAATGACTAGGGATATATCTACGAACTGGGAATCTCCCAGACCAAAGGTAGGAGGACTAGAAAAAAATGAGATATAAACAAGATACCAATGAGAATACTGCAACCTTCCATCTGAGACTTCTGTGATAGAGGGTAGCATCGCGAAACTTTTGTTCATAAGCCCTGCTAGAGAACTTGACGGCCAGCATGCTACTTATCTCGGCCGAACGAGGCGCACTCATAGGTCCACCAGGAGATAGTCACTCCTGGGTCATGGCCAAAGGCTTCATGACAATACCTGATAACTCAAACATACCATGGCTTGACAAGAAGGAGGAAAGGAGCAGAAGAATTGAGGCGTTGATTTATTAGGTATTGGGGCTAGGGACGGTACAGAAGACCAAAAAATGTGAGAGCGTCTATATTGCCAAAACCGAATCCTAGGCTCGTTGATCAAGAATCGTTAGATTCGGTTGAGTATTCAAATAAGCAGTAATACCGTCCTATGGATATACCAATGCTTCGCGGAAACAGTGTTATCATGATCGGAGTTAGTTAGTTGATAAAATAGAAGACTACATTCTCTTTGCAGTGAAAAATATATGATATTTACTGAGAATGTAGTTCATAGTTCCACAGAGAGGTTTTCAAGAAATGTAGGATATCCCATGCTGGACATGATGGATATCTCGGACTCCCAGTCCAGGAGATGACTGGGAAACATGTAGTCGGAGCTCGGAAATTCTTCAATATCCACTGCTATTGAATTCAAAGATCGAGCTTGATCAGGTTCCTCCACAGGTATATCTTCAGTGGCATCTGCCCCGGGCTTGTCTTGAATCTGGGTCTGCTTCCGAGCCATTGGATACGTACCCAACGGATTCAGTACATGCTCAAGAGGGAGTTGAGTGGAATATCCTGCACGTTTGTTGGCATCTGTATCGTTGATTGACGAGCCTCTTATAGTAGTTGAGGGATCCGCGGAGAACAGCTTCTTGAACCGCCTCAGAGCTTGTGTGGCCGAACCACAGTACATGTCCGCTTTGATGTAGCGCTGTAAGTATTGCAACATTGTAACATTGTTTTGCAGCATTTCTTGATAGTCACAATATCCAAACTCCGGGAGGAGTGGGCCATGGAAACTATGGAAACTCCAGGATGTAAGAGTGGTGACGAGGACGCTGCTGCAGACTTGTATGTGCATGGCATATGGCGTATCAATAATGCTGGGCTTATGACAGGTCCAAAGATCTTTCAAGATGGAAGCGATATATACGGACTTGCTGGCACACATATGATGACACTGTCGAATGAATTCCTCGGGGGCATTCTCGCGGATCCACTGTGTTGCCGTATTGGGAAAGACGAGGTGCGAGACACCAATACGGTACAGATCATGAAAATTTTGGGACATCAGAATATGTAAACCGAAATATAAGTTCAGGCGTCCTGATGCCTTGAACAGATACATGTTTTCGGTCGACATTTTCAGATATTCAGGAATCGAATTCTCCATGTTTCGAAGCTCCTTGTCAAGCCGAGAAAATTTGGAACTGTCACTGATTTCCCAAGGCACTTCGTTGTCCAAATGCTTCACGAACTTGAGGAGCTTGGACCGAATAGCCATCGCACGAATGTAAAAGGAGCGCATATCGAGATTGGCTGAAGTCTCGGTGCTAAGTGTTGGATCGATGAATGGAAGTAATTTGCCTTCAGCAAGCATTTCCGTAATGCGGGGAGTATTTCTGACAAAAAGCTCTTCCAAGCAGGGCAACTGGACATGAATATCTTCAGGCACGATCAGTCGCAGTTGATCGATTCCACATTCAATCAATGCGTCAAGAAGATAGCAGGCCCAGACAAGCCTTCTTCTAGTCTCTTTAGAGGCACACACCGTAGAGGTTTTCCGACATAGGATATCAGAGTCGTTCTCAATGTTTAGTTGCAGAATTTGTAGATGTCGGGCAATCTGTCCAGAAATCATGAATCCCTTGGCGTAGTCACCGATGCGCAGATAATGCTCATGCAGAAGTACCTCTGTCATGAGATATTCAATTCCCGGCTGGCCAAAATTTGAAAACAGATGTTCTCTTGCGGCTTCAGCCCACCCTTTTCCTGCGTCAAAAAATTGCGTGTTGCTCTGATGATTCTCGACGCCAGCACCAATAGTGTCTGCATAGTAGAACGGTGCAGCTAGGGCACACATAGCATATATGAGCCCTGATTGCTCCAAATATAGTCTTTCGGGGTTCGTGAAACGGTCCATGAAAGTTGGAATATGTAGAAATCCCATACACCGAACAGTGTGGATTTGAAGAAAGTATATGTCAACTAGCTTTCGGAGCTGATCTATAGGTGGCAACTCTGTGGCCACAAGCCATGCAGGAATGATTGGAGACGGAGCTATTAGCCTCGGCGGCGGCTCAACGGGAGAAACTTGGGTCAACTCATCGTAGGAGCACTCGAGTTCCTTTCTTGTGCATTGTGCACATATAGTATCACCGGAGCACTTGGCCTTTGCTCTCTTGCAGTGATTACAGGAGCGTAATACACGTCGACGTTTTAGTCCTGCTTGTGTTGTTAAGATGCCCGAGCTCCTGCTGCTCGTGACATGACTAGAGTCAGACGTAGACCCGGAGCCATACACACACTCTTCGCCAAATCGGCGGCATCTGTGACAACCTCCCAGAGTCCGGTCACATTTGACCTAATCTCGGTTGGCACAAGAATAATGTCGTCGGCGAGATGGAGCTCTTACTTTGCGTTTTCGGCAAATGTGGCAGCTTACGACCGCTAATTCAGCCCCGCTCTTGCCAAAAGACGGAGAAGCCATGGAGAAACAATAGCAGGGCAAGTAGACTCAAGCGAGAAGCGTAAAAAGAGGAGAGACGGATCTCGCTGCTTAAGCGTGTTTAATGAGCTAAGAGTTGATAGTCAAGGGGCTTCACGCCAGAGAGGAGCAGGATGGTGTTATCCGCCAAAGTCAAACTGACGGGCGACCGAGATCCGTCGAATCGAGGATTCGAGGCGGCCCGGACTATAAGTACAAACAGCATAAAAGGAAAACAGAAGGAAAACCCCTTGTAAAGAACAATTTTGTATCGGTCGGAATTACACCATCCCAATAAGAAAGATATTCGCGACTTTTTTTTGTATATCGATATTGAGACAATGTCCACATTTCTCCGTGTCCTCGCTGCATCTACAGCGATCGGTTCAACCTTCGGCTCAACTTTTCATGTGTTTGATAACACAGCCTATGTCAATACCTCCATTGGCTACGGGAGCAACAATATCAATTGGATCCCCGCCTATGTATGCAATCCTCTGACAACGGGAGGCGTCCTTCCCTCTGCCGACGAATGGAAAAGCATCGTGCAAGAATGGAATGTCTATCCTTCCTATCCGCTAGTGCTTGATTGCGAAGATCTTTATTTTACTTCTGAGTCCACCGCAGATCTATATCTTGAGGTCATGTCCACTTTGCAAACCTGGGCTGCCGATGTGATCCCCGAGGGTCAGATTATCGGCTGGTACGGTCTGTCGGGCAACACGGTTTCTTCTCTTTACGACTACTATCGCAGCCTGATCGGAAACTATAGCAACCATGCATTCTTTCCGTCGGCCTACACCTACAGTGACAGTTTATCCATATGGAATACCTCGCTCAGCTCAGTCATCGAAGTTTCTAATATTATCAATGACTCCTTGCCGATCTGGCCCTATATATGGCCCCAGTATCATGGCAACTATTCATTTTTTCCTGAAAGCCTGTGGCAAAGTGAGTTGGAGGCCCTTGCAGAAAATTCGAATTTGGATGGGTTTGTCATTTGGGGTGGCAAGAATCATGCGGTATGTAATGATGCTTGCCAGGCAATTGCAGGACAGGAACCATGGCTTAATGTCACCCGAAACTTCTTGGACAATCTGTATGGAGTCTACGGAAGCGTGGCAGAGAAGTCGGGAGCACAGTTATTTGACTGAATGTCATGACTGTTGGTTGCAGCCAATTTTAATATTTAGGATTGAAATTTTTATTTCTGGGATATTGGACTTGCTTTTGAAGAAACCCAGAATAGTTAAGTAAACAAATACTAAAGTTTGAATCTAGATACATCCTTAAGAACTAAGGTACCAAGATGAGGCTCTACTGAAATCTTATCAGAAACCGTTTGTGCTAAATTCTTGCCTTTGCCTCCCGTCTCGCAAGAAACTGGGCTGCACAGCACGAGACGTTGTCAATAACAACAATATTTTTGAACGAGGGGATATGCTGTTTCGATAGTTCGTCAAGAACAAGGGCCTGGAACTCGGGAATATTCATCAAGGCTCCAGATAAAACAAGAGAGCTGATACTAGGATCGCAGATCTGCTTCTTAGCCAGCGGCTTGATTAACTGGACTACCGATCTAGCCGCAGACGTGAGAATTTCCAATGCCTGAGGATCTGGACTGTGATCTCGGAATGCAAGCCTAGTCACGACCTTCGCCAGATCGCCGATATGATGTTTTGGTTGTATGTTGGAATAAAGAATGCGATTGAGCAACTCGTTTTTTCCATCCCCCATGGTTGCCAGGATTTCCGATTCTAGCTCTGTGAGACAGTGCATATCGGTTCCTTGAGTCAGCTCCACGCTAGTCAGAAGCGATTGTAATGCCCTTTTACCGATATCAAAGGCGCTTCCTTGATCACCAAGAAGAGGGCCCCAGCCACCGGCTCTTCCGATCTGCGCCACCTCGCCCTTCGAATCCTTTTTGAATGCCGTGGCGACGCTCCCTGTGCCTGCAATAACGGAGATGCCGGATTCGACAGACTCATCAATGCCAATACAGGAACCAAGGAGCGCGCTGTCGCTTGTTAACCGAAGGGCTCCAGACTTAATGGAAATTTTGAACAATTTCTCGAGACGGTAGATCAGGGTTTCTCGTTGATGTGCATGTTGTATTCCAGCTATGCCAGCCCACACCGCAGTGAATCTGGGCATGTCGATGAATGAGTTTCGATACTGCTGAGGTATGCGTGTGACTGCCTCTGCTGTGGCAATTGTTATTTGATCAAGAAGATCATCAATTGGAACGCTTTGGAAATTGCAGGCACCAGAATGCGCTTGCGCCACGACACTAGTGCTTGTCGCGATGGAAACAGCACATTTGGTTCCTCCGCCATCAATTGAAAGAAAGAATTCATCACCCGTAGATACAGTTCTCCCATACGGATTGGGCGCTGGAATCAAAAATCCCTCAACAAACAATTGAAAATTCCCGTCCACAGAATCAAGACGCTGCTTTGCATGATCTGGCGCGAGACCAGATACTATTACAGCACATGCTAACTTGACATTCCCCCCACAGCTCGCAATCAGGACATTCAATGAATTATCTTTTTGAATAAGATTGGAATTCGGTAATGCATGTCCTCTATCTTGGAGGATTCCGCATACTTGTCGTATGATTCTCCGGCCGCGAGCCTGGAGTTTGTAGTTTTTTGCACGTACATCAATCATAAGGCCCATATAGGTTTTGCCCAGTTTGACCATTGAGCAAGTGCTGATCATGTTCAAAATTTGTTTTGCTGCACTGCCCGCTTTCAGTCGAGTACTCCCGGTAATGAATTCAGGGCCGACTAGGGCAGTGATTGAGTGATTGACGCACAGCAGATCTAGCAGAGACGGTGAGGTGTTGGTGATTGCGGCTGTCAGAGCACCGCACTGCAGAGCAAATTTCAATGCACCAAGAACGAACGGTGTGCGTCCAGATGCTGAGATGCCTATGATGGTGTCTTTGGTTGTAACTCGTAGTGCCTCGAGCTGGGTTGACCCATCTTGCTCAGAATCCTCTGCCCCTTCTTGAGCCTTGAGGATAGCGTGGTCTCCTCCGGCTACCAGTGTGACGAACTGCTCTTCATCGGTTGAAAATGTGACGGGCAGTTCACTGCAATCCATAAAGCCTACTCGGCCACTATTGCCCGCGCCGACGTAGATGAGTCTGCCGCCCACGCGTAAGCGAGGGACGAGATCCTCGATGAATGATGCAATGGTAGGCAGACAGCACGCAATCGATGGAGAGACTTGTGACTCTTCACGATTGAAAGCCTCGCAAAGCCCGAGAGTATCCAGGGCGTCAATAGATGGTGCTAGCACATTAGAGGCCTCCGTCTGCAGGCTGCTCAGAGCATCTGGGTCAAGAAATGGCGTCATGGTACTAGCGGTCCGTGGCTGGCAATAATTAATCGAGATTATGCGAAATTCGTCCCATAGGATGTGTTTATGAAGCTTGGTGGGAGGCGGCATTGGGGTTCCGGATCTCGGCGTTGCGGATCTCGTTGCAACGAGATCCTGTCTTTTCCCTCGGGATGCGGAGACAACACGCCATGGCAAGCAAAGGGCATTTGCGCGCTTCTATTTATACTAATAGTTCGCCCTTCCTGAGTCTACGGCTTTTATGTCCTTGAAGTCAAGTCTTTTGGTCTCGATATGACTACAGTCAAGTCGCCGCAGGAGGTCTTTTCCTCACCCGAGAATCCCAGCAATGTCGCTCTACCTTCGTCTCAGAAAGGCAAGATATTTTCAAAACTACGAACAGACCCCTGGTTTCAGATTACATTGGTCTCACTCATCTCTTTCTGCAACCCCGGCATGTACAATGCTCTGACAGGCATGGGAGGCTCGGGCCAAGTCAACAGCACGGTCTCAGCCAACGCTAATGTCGCGACGCATGCATGCACAGCTGGTGCCGCGCTATTCGTGGTTGGCACTTTCTATAAGTATATGGGCCCACGTCTATTGTTGCTTCTGGGAGGCTGGACCTATGCCCTTTACGCTGGTGCTTTGCTCAATTCCGATCGAACTACGAACGGTGGTCCGTTCGTGATCGCATCTGGAGCACTGCTTGGTCTGGGTGCCGCTTTCTTCTGGGTAGCCCAAGGAACCATCATGGTCACCTACAGCACAGACCAAACACGAGGCAGAGCTATTGGTCTCTTTTGGGTGATATTCAACCTGGGTGGGACCGTCGGTTCCTTGGCCAGTTTTGGACTTAACTATCACTCAAAATCTGGGACAGTCACGGATTCCACTTATATCGCCTATATTGCTATCATGTTATTTGGCTGGGCATGCTCAGTATTTGTGTGCTCGACGGAAACACTGTCCGACAAGTATAACGGTGCTCGCATTGCCCACGAGTCCAAAGCTCTTAACTGGACGTCCCTGAAAACCACGGTGAGACAAACATTACGGATTGTTTTAAGTTGGAAGCATATTTGTTTGTACCCCATGTTCTTCAACGCCAATGTCTTTTACTCCTACCAGCAAAATGATGTGAACGGCCTGACATTCAACCTACGCACCCGCTCGCTCAACAGCGCCTTATACTGGATCGCCCAAATGTTTGGCGGGCTTCTGATGGGATTCTTGCTCGACTTGCATCACCTAAATCGCCGGAGCCGAGCTCAAATTGGCTGGGCAATTTTGTTTTTGGCAGGAATGGCGATTTGGGGTGGTGGCTACAAATTCCAGGTTTGGGACAACCGGCGTTTGCAGCTTGGTCTGAAACAGGACATCGACTATAAAGATGGCAACGAGTTTCTGGGACCAATGTTTCTTTACTTTTTTTACGGCGCGTACGATGCCTTCTGGCAAGGTTTCTGCTACTGGATCATGGGTGCTCAGTCACACGATCCAGTCGTGACCGCTGTTATCGTGGGCTCTTACTCAGCCTTGAAGCCAGCGGGTGGCGCTATGGCTTGGAAAATCAATGCCGAAGGCACTAGTCCTATGGTTCAATTTGCTATGAACTGGGGCTTGACTATCGGCAGCTTGCTGGTGGCCATTCCAACTGTCATGACCATTCAGAAGACCCCTGAGGAGCTTACCCATGATGCCAAAAGTACCAAGGAAAATGAGGTTTAACTTTGATGAGCTCGCTGAGCTATGCGCCTCTAAATGTTTTCGCGCAGTATTGTACCTTGATTTCATATTTAATTTATCATATCGTTTCTCGACAACAACAATTTTTTTCATTTAAGAGGAACCCTGCTTGTTTCTTTGGTAATGTTACTGTAGTTGGCATCACCAGCTTAGAATGTTTTATAGTCGAAACAGTCGGGCAATAGTCACACGAAAACTGAATCATATGCTACAAAATGGACTTTTAAAGTGTGCTGGATGAAGATAAGCATCCACAAAAGGCGTCCCTTGGACATGTGACAGGAGAAGGACGGGCATTTGTACCTACTTCTCCAGCGATGCGAGATTACTCTTAATAGGAGGAACACCGCCTCAGATCTTGTTGTAAATAAGGAACAAAGCGATGAAACCGGAGCCAACTCCAATGGAAAAACAGAAATGATGTATAAAAATGGAGAAATAAGAAACCCAGAAAGTGCTGCTGGCTGCGACTAGGGTCTGATCACGTAGGCTGGGTAGCTGGGCATGGCGTCTAAATCGTCTGATAGGCCGCAGCCTAGCCGATATTTGTAGAGTATTAGGTCACACCGGTAACAAGACAAAGATAGCGGTGAAGTGCAAGCTATGGTGTCCGAACAAGAATAACAAGAGTACATAGTGTGAATAGACTATAGAGTCGTCTGCGCAGGATATAGTGCAGTAGTCAGCTAACGCCACCGATGGAAAGGCAAGTATTGCTAATAGCAAACCTAGCTAAAGCCACCTTCGCGCAATAAGCCTCGAGACTAGTTCTAACTTGGAAGTTGCCGACGCTGATGGGTTATACGTAGTAGGAGATGATCTACAGAGTATGCAAGATATACATACCCGCCCCCAGGTCGGGCACTTCACCGCTCAAGGCATGTTAAGCTTCAAGTTACACAACTCCGGCCCAGGTCACACTACATTTACTGAGTACCAGATAGCCTTCGGATGTATCCAGTATATCTGAACTCAGCCACGTAAATTGTCCATTACGGCCGAACATCGTAGACAATCCACCAACCATGCACGAATGTCCAGGGTGGTACAACATCATTGCACTTGATACTATTGCTGCAGGATAACCATCTCTCTTGCAGATCCAGTTCCAGATCCTACGATGAGCACATTCCGATCAATGAACATTCTTTTCTCGACTCAAAGGCTTCCCCGCTTTGAAGTGCAATGGGAGAAAGGAAGGATATAAATAAGACGGTCTTGGAACAGAGGAAGAATGGCAACCAACAGAGCGATCAACAGATCACTCCCTTCTGGCTACCTACGAAACACATCTTCGCCTATACTTCCTTATTGAAATTTAAGATGCCTTACATCGCCCGGGCTAATGAGCTCCCCGAGATAGCCGTCAGAGGTGGGCTCGTTGACCCTCGGGCTGATCACCAGCATTCTTTCAACAAAAGAATATCCTGTCGGGACGTAACCGACTTTATTTCCAACACTGCAGAGGTCTCACCTTTGGAATTGCGAGACAAAAAGGCTGCTGCTAGACACAATAGCGATTCTCGGGCCAGACTCTACAAGATCCTTGCCCGTACGAATGAGCTCAGCCGACCTTTGGCAGTCAAGTGTGCAGACCAGCCCATCTCCGACCTACTACCAGGCCTAGTCGTCAGCGGTGGTCTCAGTCGCTCGCCCGCTTTCGATTGCCTGCCTGTCGTTTCCCATTGGGGTGACCGTACCGACGAGTATTCGGCAGAGGACCCTGCCGCCACCGTCCGTCTTACTTCGACGTGGAGTACCGTCCATGTCCGCGGAGAAGGTGCTACTAGAGAGTCTCCTCATGGAGCTCCGTGCTGGTCGCTAAAGAGTCATGGCATCGGTCCGGTCGAGCCTGGATCGGCTAAATTCTTTCAGCAATACCTTACTGAAACCGATACGCTGACGACGACGGTTAACTTGGCGCGTCGTCCCGACACCGTTCAGACCCAGGGAGTACTTGGTGCCGCCACAAGTATCTCTTGGATGCGCAATGCGCGTGTTGCAGACGCCGTCGATTGTGCAGTTGGGCTGCTGGCCGACGCTGCCGTCCTCTTGGAAGCCCGTGACAAGGTGATCACGGGTGGGAAGACGGAGCGCCTGGACTTTGCGGAGGTGCGCGAGGTCATAGTGCCCACATGGTGCTCTGCCCGCAAGCCCTTGGCTCCGAAGTTGAGCGGCGTGGCGGACTCGCCTGACAAGGTTACGGACGATCTCTTCGCGGCCGAGGCGTGTGAAGGCCCTCTCATCAACACTAGCATTTTCTCTATGTCGATGGGCTATAATCGCGGCGTCTACGGCGGATCGATCTCTGGCTTGTGGGCTATCATGGACTCGGCCTTTGTCCTCGATTACTCTATCGGCACTGAGAGCTCTGCGATGGCGGACAGGCTCTCTTTTGCTTTTGCAGAGGTGACTGCTTCCGCTGAAGCATCCACCTCCGCCGGTCCGCATATCGACGACGTCCGAATCGTCAAGGGCTGCAACTATGGATGCTTACGCCAGAAGACCGTCATTGAGGACGCCGACCCTGTCGAATCCAGCCCGTGCATGGTTGTATGGAACGATCTCGACCGGCTTGCTCGTTACAAACTCGCCGACGCCGTGTTCTGCCATGTCTATTACGATTCGGGTGGCGGCGAGCAGATGGCTGCTATTGCCGGCCTTGGATGCGTTGCACATGACTGGATCGATCTCGGACCTGACATTATGTGCGGAGAAGTTAGTAACATCATCCCTTCTCTGACCCGGGGATCTTTGGATGAGGGACCGCTGGCCGAGGTATACTCGCGCTTAATCGGTGCTATGATCTGGTACCGAAATAACGACCCCTACAACCCGGCGGCCCTCTGCCTTCTCTTCACGCACTGGTGGCAGCTTTCCAACTGCCGACATAGACCCGTCACCCTCCTTGGCCGGACTGACATTGGTGTGGATGCGGCCATCGCCCCCACGATGCCAGAAGGGAGGCCAGAGCTGGAGCACTTCCGAGCGAGCGGTACTAGGGTCGAGCGCGGTGAGGGTCCACTTTCTAGCGCTGAGAAGCGGCTCCAATCTCTCCTTTCCTCTGGCAGCATTTTGCCGGAAACTCGTGCTGTCATTGACCACCTGGTGAACCCTGTTCTCGCTTATGTGAAAGGGGCTGATACTCTACCCGCTGAGAGTGAATACGTCGGAACCGTTCTCGCTGCCGAACTGGCTTACCCTCACGGGCAGAAGATCAAGGAGTTGTGGGATCTTGCCATCGTCATGTGGGAGTGTGGCGCAATGTGGTCAGCCGGAGTGGCAGGTCTTTGCTACACTCACACCGGAAAGGCCAACTGTGACCGGGCTCGCCATGACTTGGCTGACCACACCTGGAGTTAAATGCGCCGCTATGGATTAGTGGAATGCGAGGACTATAGCTTCAATATTTTGCCACTGGCGATGACGACAATAAATCATTATCTTTCTTCCAGTTTGACTTGGAACGTACAGCAAAGTTGGAAATCAGCTTCATTATCTCCCTTATCCATATTATTTTCTGGGTCTCTCATTCTGGAACACGACAGACAGAGCAAGTATTTGGAGGGGGAGTAGAAATGCTGTAAGCTGATATTATTGCCAAATACTGAGTGCAAGATTCAATCGAACTTCTTGTCAGTGCGCCCAGGATTGCGTGTGCAACGAATATATTGTGTCAAAACCTCTAGTTTATCTTCACGCAATCTGCGAAATTTCGACCTTCGACCACCAAAAATCTGTCTCAGGTCTAGCCCACTTGTCCTCTACGGACTTGGAAGCCGGAGCCGCCGCACCCCCAATTAGTTCTTCATTGTCTTCTCCAAAAACCATCACATTCTCCGCTTGAGGCGTGTAAGGCTTCCATCGTGGTCGTTGAGCATACCGACCTTCCAGAGCATTGGGATCGCCTTTGGTAATGAAACTAGTCAGATACGCATGGAGAGTTCCGGATAATTCCTTCTGTGACTCTGATATACCCGTGATGGCGCTGTTGTATGTCTCATAGTACATATTATCGCCATGGTTCGCGCGCCCAACCAGTGTTCTGGGTAATGCCCAGTGGTACAGGTAAACAGGCACGCCTTGCGCCGAGGCAAACTGCGCAGTCTGGCGGACAGGAGCCACATAGGCGTAGTGACCATATGCAGCTTCGATGCGTTTGTATTGCGGACCCAGACCTCGTCCCTTGCGTGTTTCGATGTACGGCGAAGCAGGATCGATACTCGGGTCGGGATACAGTTTCTCAATCGTGTCCAGGTCTGCGGCTGACAGTTCCGGGAGCAGATTACGCCAGAACTCACGGAACTCGGAGGACTGCGCCATTTTCTTGTCCACATACATCGTTCCCTCGTTGCTATTAAAGCCGGTCATGATGGGTACTTTGTTCCATAGCTGTGAGTCCCATGCGTCCAAAGGTTTGCGAGAGATGATGTCTCCGTCTATCACAGGCTGAAATGCCCAACGTAACGATGGATTGTATTTGTCGAATACAACGGTCTGAGCATCTGTGACTATTTTGCTGGGTAGGGAGCGCAGAAAAGGAAATATTTCCGATTCAGACAGATCATCTGGGCAACCAACTTCTCTCAGAAAGTCCTGGAATTGCTGCTCATGAATATTTGCATCGTAGGGACGAACTGCTCGAGAGGTCGGTGATCCAGATTCCAGAACGACGCGGTGGAACAGGGCCGGATGTTGTTCATCGTAGTTGAGAAGATGGTGTCCGATCTATCTACCGGTCAGTATGCAGCAGACTTTCAAGGAGTATCGGTCTCACCGAGTGAGCTCCCGCCGAGAGACCAAACAAAGTAACATTTCCAGGATCACCACCGAATTTTTCAATGTTCTCGTGGACCCACCGAAACAGAAGCACTTGATCACGCAAGCCGAGGTTGAGAAGACCTTCCTTCTGACTCAATGTGGAAGGCAAAAATCCGAGAGCTCCGACACGATAACCAAAACTCACAGCGACAAAGGGCTCTTCCGACCATGCGATCATGGACGCAGTGTTATGCATCGCAGCGGCGCCGCGATTGAAAGCACCGCCATGGATATATATCGCCACGGGGAGTCTTGCAGCTTCATGAGTTCCGGCAGGTCGAAACACGTTCGCAGTCAAGCAGTCTTCGTTTTGTTCGAGCTTTGGTCCACCTGGAAGCAATGCTTTTCCTGGAGCTGCGGGGCCGTACTTGGACGCATCGAGCGTATCTGTTGATTGAGGAACCGGAACCGCGGGTCTGAAGCGCAAGGCTCCCACGGGGGGAAGGGCATACGGGATACCCAGGAAGGAGTCAACGGTCTGATCTTCAAGTTTGATGCCCACTACCCGGCCTTGGGCCAGGGCGGCAGAGGGGCGTGTCGAAGTGGCCATGGTTTGTATAGGTCCTTTGACGAGATTGGCGGGGATATCTGGATTGTCTGGATTGGGGACAATTGTCGACTAACTTCGGCATCAGAAGTAGGCCCGAGATGCGGGGAAGCACAAGGAAGGGTGTTTCTCATGCTAATGTTATGCCCAAGCAAACATTTATGCCGCACATCTTGCTATATTTGAATGCCTTTTTCATCAGGCTTGATTTACCACGATTTTGTTTATTTTTAGCAAATTGGTATCTTATTTGATTCAGATGGATTCAATTAAAAAGCTGCTGCTGCCATCTCAAGAAAGGGTATTCTAGATCGTATAGTTGGAGGTAGAATGAAAGGACGGTTGCTACAGATATCATTTTATTGATGGCAATAGTTTACCGTAATATGAGATAATGACGAAGCTGGGTCTCTGTACAATTATTCTAAATTGCCGGTTCCGTAAACCTGTAACGTTAACGACTTCATCCTGAACCTCGTCCGTAATGCTCCGACTTAACATAGCGTCATGATCCCATTTCCGATTCTCTCTTGCAGGCAGGAACCCCAGGGCGAAGATATCGACCACAACTATGACAAAGCAGATAATCATAGACACGAATCCGGACGTCTAGCCAGAGTTTCTTTCATGTACTATCCCTCTGGTAATATTTGGAACCAGAAGAAATGAGTCACAGGATTGATGTCCTAGTAGCTTTTCGCGTGAAGGCCACGGTATATGGGAGGATGGATGAGAAGAGGGCCTGAGTCGGGAGAAGAACAGAGTACGAGAGTGTGCGATAAGATAAGATAGCGATAAGAACATCCAGTTACTCCGCTTCAACTTGCTCCTCCTCCCCTTCTTCAATTTGTCTCTTCTTCTTCTTGGTTGTCGCGTCCGAGCTGTTTATTCCCATGTGCAGGACGATTAACTCTCGCTTAACTGTCCCCTGAGTTGCTCACCGTTCCCTCCCCCGGTCCGCAGCCACTGCTTCCTTCGGGCCTCCGGGGGCCTCTTGATTCGATGGAGGTAAGTTGCGCTCTGTTTGTTGGTGAGACGATGAACCACCCACGCCCGTCTGCTTTCCCTCTGGAAGCATGAGGCTCTGCATGTCCTTGCTCGGTGCGCCCATCTATATCATGTGCGCACCATCGATCATGTTCCGCACTGCTAGCTCCCCGTCAATATGCCCTTTCCACGGACGCGCAGACCCCTACCCGAGAATCTCTTGAATCCCCTGCCCCAAAGACCATAACCCAGCTAAGCCTTGAGAAATTCTTACAGGGAACGAACCCGGTGAGTGGTGCACCAGCACAGACCAAATTGGCCCCGCTGTCCACCACAAAAGGTCGCGATGCTAAGCCCCGTCTTCTCCTGATGGGACTTCGCCGGTATGTGTGCCTGAAAGTTTTCAAAATCAGAAATAACCATGTTCCAGGAGTGGCAAATCTTCCATCGCAAGTGTTGTTTTCCACAAGATGCCACCAAATGAAACCCTCTTCCTAGAATCAACAACGCGGATCCAGAAAGACTCAATTCAGTGTGTCATCCCCTTTTGCTGTCTACCATGTGCTTGACTGACACCTACAGCTCCTTCATGGACTTTCAAGTCTGGGATTTCCCCGGCCAGCTGGAATACCTCGAACCATCCTTTGACCTCGAGGACATCTTCGGCAGTCTAGGGGCGCTGGTGTGGGTGATAGATGCGCAAGATGACTACCTAGACTCGGTCGCGCGACTCAACCGCACAATCCTGACGGTGCAGCAATACTACCCGGGCGTCAACATCGAAGTCTTCATCCACAAGGTGGACGGACTGTCAGACGAGTACCGCACCGACACCTTCCAGGACATCGTGCAGCGCATCTCCGATGAGCTCAGTGATGCCGGGTATGAAAATGCACCCGTGCACTACTACCTCACTTCAATCTATGATTATTCCGTATTCGAGGCCTTCAGCAAGGTCATCCAGAAACTCATCCCCAATCTGTCGACACTGGAAAATCTGATCAACACCCTGGCCAATAACTGTGGGTTTGAGAAGACCTATTTGTTTGACGTCCTGAGCAAGATCTACATTGCATCAGATACTCGACCAGTTGACATGGCCTGCTACGAGATGTGCTCTGACTACATCGATGTGATTGTCGATGTCTCTGAGCTTTACTCGTGGGATCATCCAGATCGAAAACCAAAGGGTGAACAGATCCAGGAGGCTGAGAGCCATGTCGTCCTGCATGATGAGACCATGATCCACTTGATGGAGATGAACAAGTATGTCTTGTTTGGCTTTTGCAGTGATCCAACATTCGCTAATACTGTCTGGCAGATATCTGTGTCTTGTTTCAGTGATCCGCAACCGTGAAGCGAAGGAGAAGCGTGGCCTGATTGACATGAACTGCCGCACATTCCAAGAGGCGCTAAACGATGTGTTTTCCCGCAGCTGGGAACAGGAGCCGGAGCAGCAGGAAGAACAGGATGCCGCTGGGCCATTGGAGTCGGTCGGGTAGTTAATTCAGTCCGTTCACGATTGACTATGGACATAGTAGGAGTATTGTTATAGGAAAGCCCGCATGAACAATTATTGAATGATGCAACCTGAAAACGCCGCATAGAAACTGCCGAGGCCGTGCATGACCCACCTAAGCAGCTTGTCTTCACCCCATCCATCACCAACAAACACACACCAACCATGTCGGACTTGCGCCAACGCCACGTCGCTTCGAACCAAGGCCATGACAGACACGCAGGGGCCCCCACACCACGACGTCGAGGGTCGTCTTCCGCCTCGAGTGCCTCGAGTGCCTCGAGCAAAAGCGAGCGCGACAATGACCAGGACCCGGCGATCAGCGTGCTGGACCTCATCCGCGTAGCCCTGGCGCTGGTGGTGGCCTCGTGCGGACTGTCCTACTACATGACCTCCGGCGAGTCAATGCTCTGGGGGTATCGGCCGTGGTACACCCGGTGGCCCGTGGTGGTGCGGTGGGTGGTAAGCAATAATGCCTTCCTGCTTCCATCTCCAGACACAGAAACAAAACATTCTAACCCACCCCTTCCTACAAAAGCGCGGTCCTCTATCCCTAACACCCCCCGAACTCTCCCTATACAACGGTTCCGACCGCACCCTGCCCATCTACCTCGCCGTCAACGGGACCGTCTTCGACGTCTCGTCCAGTCCAGTCGTCTACGGCCCTGGCGGGAGCTACAGTTTCTTCGCCGGGCGGGACGCCACGCGCGCGTTTGTGACGGGCTGCTTTAAAGAGGATCTGACGCCTGATCTGCGCGGCGTGGAGGAGATGTTCCTGCCTGTTGACGACGTCGAGGAGGAGTTGTCTTCTGCGCAGAGGAAGATCCGTCGCGAGAAGGAACTCCGTGATGCGAGAGGTAGTGTTGAGAAGACTGTGCAGAGGTGGGACGGGTTCTTTCGGAACCATAAGAAGTACTTCCCCGTTGGAAGGGTGGTGTTTGATACGGAGGAGGCAGAGGGGGAGACGACTAGGACGCTGTGTGAGAGTGCACAGAAGCAGAGGCCGAAACGGAGTCAGATGGATAAGAACAAGAACAAGAACAAGGGAAGCTCATAGCCATATCTACGTTGAATATAAAGGGTTTGGTAAAAGTTTTTGTCATTTTGGATTTCTACCGACACCGTCCAAGAGCGGATACTTGAGGCGAGCGACCGGCCACATTTGCATCAACACACTGCCCAACCGAGCATTCCCATGGTTGAAATGATATCATTCGTAGCACAAGGAAAAGAAGAGAACCGCGCGAAAAGTCGAAAGACGGAATCGTTTACTCGGCGGTGACGGCACGGGCTGAAAAAAAAAAGTCAGTATACGATGGAAAAGATGTCGCGGGAAAAGGTGGGAACGGACTGTAGATGTTCATCTTGGAGTGGCCGACAACCTTCTTGATCTGGCCCTTCTCCTCAAGGTCATCCAAAGCCTGGCGGGCGAGGCTGCCGTTGATCTTCAGACGATCGACGAGGGTGGCCACGGTGATCAGACGGTAGGACTGGACATCCTTGTAGAGCTTCTCCGAGGTGCTCTTGTCGAGGACGACGGCGTGCTGGGCCTTGTCCTTGACTGTTGGAAATAGTTAGCTTTCTTTCGTTCTTTTTTGGGAGGGTTCTTGGTTCCCGGCGTAGAGGCCGAGATCGATCACGGTCGGAGGGGGGACGGCATACCCTTGCCCTTGGACCACTTCTTCTTTTGCTTCTTGCCACCGGTCGATGCTGCGGGCGCCTGTTATAGAATCATGTTGATTAGTTGTGGACGATGGAATGATGTGTCGAGAGCGCTCACCATGTTGACTGTTAGGGTGGATGTTCAAAGGAAGAGGTCAGCTCGGCCGCTCTCTTCAAGTGCGAAAATGGTGGGGCGTGACCCAGGGCAGCCCTAATCAGGTGACTGACTCGGTTAGCGGTGATTACGTCAGAAGCATCTATATTGGCGCCTGAGGCATGAAATTATTATAGCGGAACAAGACATTTCAACTATCGCATGATACTATTACTCCCGTTAGGAGTGTTGAGGACTCGATTAAGCACGTCAAACTGCACTGTCCCATCCTCTGCAGACAAATAGCCCACCACATACTCCTCCGTGGACCCAAACCAGAACACTGCTTCCTCCTCTGGCCCAACAAGCCACTTCACATCGTATTTTCCGCTCTCGTTGCGGCGAGTAGGAACCCGAGCAATCACCGGCTGGTGGCCAGGCGACCACCAGCGCACGGTGGGTAAATTCGTCATGACAGTGTTGATCAAAAGCTGAGGCGTGGATGGATGCCAAACAGCCTGTCGAACGGCCTGCTCATGTATCACCGCCGACGCAAGTCTAGGCGTTCCATCAAGAGACCAGATCCACAGCACATTGGATCGCATAGAATCAACTGTAGCTAGAAGATTCCCGTCGGGACTGAACGCCAAGATGGAAACGCCCCGTGATGGGCCTGATGACTCGAGACTCATGCTGAACGCAGAGGAGCTCGATGCCTCAACATATTCGGCATCTCCTTCTGCATTGATGTATCGCTCTCGCCAGATAATCGGAGAATTAGCGTCGATCTGGAAAACATGCGACAGCGTCGTGGCGGATGTAAACTAACGGAATCAGCACATGTATGCCCGAGGTGGTCAGGGTTATATAACATACCGTTCGAGTCCGTAGAAGGTCAACATGTCCATTGACCTTGCCAACGGCCAATGTGTCGCAGGTATCATTCGGTCCCACGGCAGGACTCCATTCAATCTGTTTCACGCCCAAATCAAACGACTCATCCACCTCCCCGGGCCCAGTGTAGGTTCGATACAGCTGCCCATCCGCCGTGAAAACCAACACCTTGGTCCCAGCACTGGCAACATCCCATACCGCAATCCATCTCCCATCCGGACTCCATTTCAAGCCTTGTGCATCAATCGTAGACAGTACTGCGCGGTTGATGAGATCGTAAGATCGATGCTCATGCACAGTCAGGATATCAGAAGCTTCTGGTTTCAATAGAATTGCCAGTTGTCGCGTCTGCGGCCGGTATCCGAACCCGAGAGTATGTGAGAACTTGGGCGACTTGATCATTGAGGTTCGACCAGTGTCCAAGAAATGGATGGATAATTTGGTATGCCATGCATGGAAGACGATGATTTCATTCCCGTCGCCGCCAAACTCGACATTCAATGATCCTAGCTCGATGTTTTCGATGTCGGCGAATATTTGCAGGGGGTGTGGCTGCCAGACGGAGATGCGCGAGTCGTTGGCGGTTAGAAACCGCTGCTCAGAGGTCGTCCAGCCTTCATTTGTACTGAAGATCTTGCTTGTTGGCGCGTATTTGATGAGTTTCGGCGGTGACTCTTTGAGTCTTGCGATTTGCACTTCCCTGGCATCGGTGGAGGCAGGGCTTGAATGAATAACTAGGTCTTTTCCGCTCACATGAGCACTGTAGAGACCATCTTCGGAGAGGAACAGGTGAATTGGAACTATTCAATCATGAGAAAAGTCGGGATGTGTTCTTGGGGTCAGGTTTACCTCCCGCTCCGGTGGAGGAGTCCATTGTTGATCGCGTCAATACAGATGCGACTCGACTATCATGCGGGTTCCAAGGCTCAGGTCATGGATCTTTCAGGGCATTTTATCCGCCGCACAGTCAAATCCATTGCATCAGCATTATTCCATTTCCCCTTAACCAATGAATTGATCGGTATCTTCCTCAGCAAGAATTAAGACGCGCCTTTCCCCCGCGTCGATAAGATAAGGGGATATTGTTATTCCGACCCGAGATAATACTTTTTTTGCGCGGCGTATAATTTGCGACGCCTATCTCATCCCCAGCCATACTTTCTTTGCAGCCAAAATAGGTGTCTTGAGGCAGCTGGCCCCTTGGTTGGGGCGTTTCTTACCCAAAAATATTCGATCGAGCTCCGCCACCATGGCCGTTTCGGACGTGGCGCAATCCCCGAGCGCCGAGCAGGTGCCTGCGCCTCAGCAGCGAAAGAAGCTTCTCGGCAGAGAATTCTACGAGAGCATTGGAAGTCCCAAATATATCGTTGCCCCTATGGTCGACAGATCGGAGTTTGTGAGTCCTCTCGCTCTCCTTGCCAGTTGCCACAGCACTAACATGCTCTCCATCGTAGGCGTGGCGCATGCTCACTCGATCGTTTATGCCACCGGACGAACAAAAGTCACTACTTGCATATTCCCCGATGTTTCATGCGCGCCTCTTCGGTGAACAAGCGCGTGTCCGAACTCAATATTTCCAACCGACCCGCGAGGGTAAGAAGGACGCCCTGTTCCTCGACGGGAACCCGGCCTTCGACCGACCTCTTTTCGTCCAGTTTTGCGCAAACGATCCTACTGAATTCCTAGAGGCAGCACAGCATGTGGCGCCATATTGTGATGCTGTGGATTTGAATCTCGGATGTCCGCAAGGAATCGCAAAGAGGGGCCACTATGGTGCCTTCCTCCAGGAAGATTGGGACTTGATCTACAAACTCATCAACCGGCTTCATAACGACCTGTCGGTGCCCATAACTGCGAAATTCCGCATTCAGGAGACCAAAGAGAAGACACTGGAGTATGCCCAGATGATTCTCTCCGCCGGAGCCAACATAATTTCGGTGCATGGGCGACGGCGAGAACAGAAGGGTCACAACACTGGCGTGGCGGATTGGAGCTATGTCCGGTACCTGCGCGATAATCTGCCGCCGGAGACCGTGATATTTGCCAACGGAAATATCCTCAACTACGAGGATCTAGAGCGCTGTCTCGAGGAGACTGGTGCCGACGGGATCATGAGCGCCGAAGGCAATCTGTCAGACCCCACCATCTTTAGCAAACCGCCTCCAATTGGAAGTGAAGGTCGGGAATACTGGCGAGGACGAGATGGAAAGGGTGGCTACCGGATCGATGCCATTATTCGACGGTACTTTGACATCATCTACAAATACGTTCTCGAGCAGCCAGTCCCAGAGCGAAAGCCTCTTTATCTTCCGTCAGATCCAGTGGGCGAGCAGGAGGAATTCAAGGGACTGGAAGAAGAGGAAGAAGAACCCGAAGGTCCACCGAGGAAGAAACAAAAGAAAGATAAGGCCAAAAGGCCCAACTCTCCCAGCCTGGGAGTCATGCAAGGCCACCTCTTCCAGGTCCTTCGACCGATGGTGGCCACGCACACTAACGTCCGCGATGCGCTCGCGAGATCGCGACCCGGTGACATGGCCGCCTTTGAACATGTCTTGAGCCTCATTGAGCGAGCCGTCAAGTCCGGACTGAAGGAATACGATGCATGTCCCGAGAAGTTTGAGCAGAAACCCGACGAGAGCCTGACCGGGTCCAAAGCAACTATCGCCGAGTACGGAAGGCCGTGGTGGATCTGTCAGCCGCATATTCGCCTCTTGCCCGAGGAGGCAATGGAAATCGGCGCACTCAAAGAGAAAAGAAAGGCGGGTCCTGATACTGAAAAGAAAGACTCAACCCAAGAGCATACCCCTTCCGCTACGGAAACTCCGGACGGGACGCCCGCTAACACGTCTGCCACACTCACACCCGATGCTCTTGTGAGCGGATAAGCCTATCGATTCCGGCCTCCCCATCTTACGCTTCTTGCTCTCACTTTGAACTTTGAGTGCGGCTGGCTCTCTATGACACACTCCAGAGTAGCGTTGATAAATCATGATTTTGCATAGCGCTGTTGGTGCTAAGTTCTGTTAATGTATATACAGCAAAACATACTTGAAATAAAGATCGATCAAATTAATCTAAATTTCTAAATACCATTGCAGTCATTAATGCAAAACTACGAAGGCAATGCAATGATTCTACAAAATGGTTCCCAATTTTCTCTCAAGCATAACATCTAACCAAAACTCATTACGTCCATCGTCCGCCCGATCCCAAGTCTCACGCACAAGATTAGAAATGCGCTGCATTGGACGCTTCGGCAAGATCAAAACAAGCTCCGAGATCCACATGCTAACCTTCCGTCTAGCCTGAGCGATCTCCACGTCAAGTGAGCTCAGACCGGCAATTGCATTCGCTGCTGGGCCGAAAAGTGACTCCGATGAAAATACTAGGTCGCTGGCAATGGCAGCTAGAAGAACCGGTAGCATGCACCTTGTTCCCGAGCTGGGGAATAACTGGTCCAGAAGGGATACAATATGCAGTGCTAACTTTCGCCGTGCGTCTGTGGCGGATGGATGCGAGGCGTTGGTGACGTGAGCATTTGGAAATAACATTGCAAATAGACCTGAGGGTTCATTGCCGAGGATTTGGTTCAGACGAAACCTCTCAGTTAAAATATCTGGAAAGACGTGGTAGATTTGCAACAGTGCTGTGCAGCGATACGCCTCTGCCAATATGATAAAATGAGACGGCGGTGTATTGGTGTCACCGGTTTCAATAAGACCGGAATACGACAGTAACTCAGCAGAAAGGATTTCTTCTTCGAGTTGCTCGGCCCTCTGCCGAATCTCAATCTCCTCGACTAAGAAATTTACATCAAGAGCCCCGAGGTCGAGCGAGTCCCGGTAAGAGCGATAGAATGTGCTAACGCCCCGGATCAATCGTGCAGTCCGGTAGAAAAGACTGAGCACCTTTCCCACAGATCCTGTCCACGGATGGGGTAGGATTTGTCCATCAACAAGGTATACAGACAGCTCCAATTCTGAGCTGTCGCTGGCTTCTTCCTCGGCTAACAGCGGCGAGTCCTCCGCCACGAATGCTGCAAGCATGTTCCAATAGAGAAGACATTGTTTAAATAGAGGATACTGCTTTGCAAAAGCCGAGTTAGGACTCTGGCACCTTCGTCGCTGCTGGATGATGTACTCTTTTGCCTCTTTCAGGTGATTCAAGCCCAAGTCAGAAGCATTATGCCATGCAGTTGTCATCCCGATCATTAGAAGGGCTAGGAAATAATCATCATCGCCATCCTCAGAATCCTCCGAACGACGAGCATCTTGAAGACACGCAATGGCTTGTCGTCTTGTCTGAATTCCAATTGCACGCGTGGCGGGGAAGTCGTTTGCGAGGGATGCAGCGGCCATACTCTGGATAGCAAAATAAACCGGGGCGCTTTGACTCCAGAGGCGACTAAAAATCCGACGAAAAGGATTCAGAGGAGAGTCAAATGAGGACCAGGACTTGCACACATAGTCAAAGTAGTATTGCACCAGGATGGTGGGCATGTGGATGAGGAACGATGGGATTGCTGTGTTGGCCAGGCGTTCTTGCAGAATGTCCAAGCTCTGTGTCCGAGAAGTGGTCTTGACGATGGCCAATCCACCTGTCACACACTCCAGTCTAGGTAGGGTGTTCGCCGAAGAGTCAATATCCGGCATTTGGTCAAACAAAGGATTAGGCTCGGTTTTATTCGCCGCACGTTGTGGTTGAATACCACTATCTTCCTTCACTAGTTCAGTCACGCTGGGTAAGACAACTCTGGGCGGCTCTTCGACAGCACGAGTCTGAGCCACTCCGCCCGCATGATCTTCTTTGAATACATGTCTCCACTTCAATGTTGGCCTCTGGTAACCAGGGCATTCCTGGCCTCGTTTGACGCACTCCTGACAACTGGGCTTTGTCTCGTCACACCTTCGCTGGTTTGAATCAGTCTTCGAATCCACTCACAGTCAACTGTGCATATTTCACCTCGACTTACTCGACGCTGCTTGCACCGGGCACAGCCTCCCTTTGATTTTGGTCTTCGCCGATTCGGATTCTCCATTTTCGCGGATGGTTGGCTTGCCACGTTGGCCTCCGTTTCTCCAGTCTCCATATTGTTCTCTAAAGGGCCGAGGGAACTCAAATAATGATTCTCGCTGGACTGCTTTCGGAGAGACAGAATTCATGGTCGGTAGTATCTTGCTTGCGACATAGTCGGAACAGGTTGATGGTTATCAATGATGACTCTCGATTCCTGCCAAATGACATTTCTACCCCGCTCAGCAACCTGATTGTCCTGGTTCAAGTGCGACTGGGCAGCGGGTTCTTTCGCCGTTTAGGGATGTCCAACCCCACCGAACACAAGCCTGAAGCGTTCCCACCCTCAAGTTGTAACTAGTTAGGGAACATGTAAACCTCACATATAACAAGATCGCAAGCTTTGCTATCGAGTTTGTTAATTCCGTTGTCTCGGTATAAGAAAAGGTATAATAGAAGTGAGATTTGGGTGGGAAGGCAATCATTAAACTCATTATATTAAATATATCCTTGCCCAGGCTTAAGCCGACAAAGAAATATATTTCCAATAACTGAGGCTTGTTCAATAGCGTAGACCAAAAACTGGTATGACTGATCCGACAATCCTGTTGCAAATCTGAGTACATTTTTCCACACTAGAAGCCTTCTCCATGACTGGATAGCAATAGAAAAACGATTCATTCTCTTTTTGCAGCGCACCGTCGCTTCCGGGTTCGGTACCACTTGGCCAAATTTCCCTTGAGGATGGATGGAAGCTAAACCTTAAAAGACTAATATTAGTTGCATAATTCAATGTCGATATGGTATTATGTACAAACCGGGGTGACGGCAGAAAGGTCAAAATGGCGTGGTATTGTCTCAGGAAACCCTTCCAGAAGTCTGAAGGTGTGGCGCAGGGTCCCCCGTCGGGATTCCCTGCCGCTCCGTTCGCCCAGATCACCCCGTTTGGACGCTGGTTCTTACTGTTTGTCATTTCTCTTTTGCCTACCACATGTCTCTCCACACAGGCTTGATCCTCTCTTTCCCTCTCCATTGGAATTCGTTTTCAGTATCAAAAAGTTGGTGGGTAACTAAACCAACAGTGTTCCGATTAAAATCTGCAACGGCAGATTCCGACTCTAGAACGCCACTAGATAGCGTCAGCTGAGAACCCGATAACGCGATATGAGACCTCGTCTCAATTAGCTTTCCGTTAAGCAACGCCCAAAAATCGTGTCATCCGAAAATCTTGTGGTTCAACCAGAGAGAGTGTGTATGACCCTCCATCTACTTCAAGAGAAAATGGAAGAATTCTACGGGTGCTTGATCGCGTATCGTTATTTTTCCCCCTTGGCAGGCGGGGAAACAAGATAACCAACAAGAGCGGCCAAAGATCCTTGCAAGAATGCAAGGTGGGTAAAGTCGAAAACGAAAGGGGAAAGGTTCGAGCATTGGCGTACTACCCTAGCTCTCCCTGTGACCACTTCAGTGATGGGTTTCTTATTGACAACCAATACTCTAGTCCCCGTGAAGGCCGGGATGGCGAAAAAAGCGGCCCGAGTGGCTTTGGTCATTTTACTATTGGATGGTATCACTTCTAGTAACCACACTATCCGGATCACCCAGATAAAAACATAAAAAGGAGGGCAAAGCCCAGACCCGCAGATGAGGGACCATTTTGTCACGCAAATTCTAGCTCCCTGACTGACGAAGGGTCCTAAAACATGTCGGAATTGATGTCGGACTCGCACAGAGAGAGCGATCGCCTCTCGACATCCAATGGGGTTAGCAACGACGAGAAGACGGCATTCACCATGCTGGCAGACAAAGAGGAGCCTCGAGTTATCGAGGACGACCTCAGCGGCGAAAGTGACCGCGACAGTGCGGACGTGGTGATTGTCACGGGTGCTGATGCGGCCGATCACCTGTTGCCGCTGCGAGATGACTTCGACAGTGCCTTGACCTTTCGCAGTATCGTCCTAGCCTCGATTCTTTCGTGTTTCCAGGCTGTGATGTACCAGATTTATATGGTATTCAATGAGCATGCATTTTACCTTGCGCAGAAGGGCTGATACATGTATTGCCAGTTTAAACCGACCTTGATCACAATTCAAGGAACTTTCATCGTCCTCATCTCCTACTTTGTCGGCAATGCTTGGGCCAAATTTCTCCCCCGCGGTGACAAGTATGAGGCTCGGTGGCGGGCGAAAGGCGGCCAGGGGAAACTCCCTTTCTGGCTCTCACTAATTAAATTCGTGAATCCTGGACCATGGACTCTCAAGGAGCACGCGATATGTTCAATCACGGCCACATCGGCCTCGAATGCTTCCGCTAGTTCACAAGTATTTGCTGCGCAGGATCTTTTCTACAATCTTCCTCTGAGCGCGGCTACAGTCATCTTGAGCACGATCTCTATCGGCCTGTTTGGTTATGGTCTATGTGGTCTTATGCGCCCTATTGCTGTCTGGCACCCTGAGTCTGTCTACTGGAGTACTTTGCCTACCGTTAAGGTTCTCCAGGGGCTTCACTGGCAGGAGGTGAAGAACTCCAAGCCACTCCGTTATTTCTGGTATGCCTTCACTGGCATGTCTATCTACGAGATCATTCCTGCCTACATTTTCCCGTGGCTCAACTCTGTCTCTATCCCGGTATGTGTTTGCATGTCCCCTTAAATTCTTTTAATTTGACAAAAGTCGCTGACTCAAGAGTTTCAAGTGTCTGGCTTCGCAAAAGGCAACTGGTAGTACCGCCGCCGTACTCACCAATGTTTTCGGTGGCTCTACCACCAACGAGGGTCTAGGGATCTTCTCACTTTCTTTCGACTGGCAATATGTAAGCTGGTGCAATCGATACCTCCACACTAATAAACTAATGACTCCAGATCACATCCTTTCAAACTGCTCTTCCTCTCAAATTTCAACTTCACCAAGCCGTTGGATTCTTTGCCTGTTTCATTGCCATGATCGGCATCTATTATGGCAACGGCTGGAATGCGAAATCGCTTCCATTCATGTCGACATCACTTCATATGAGTAATGGTACATCATATCCGCTTGATGCGGTATTTCCCAGCGGTGTGCTCGACGAATCAGCCCTGGTCAAATATGGTCTGCCCAAGCTAACAGGGACATTTGCGTTTGCGATGTTCATGGCAAATGCTGCAGTAAGTGCACAAGCTTTGTTTCGAATTTACAACTAAGTGCTTTCTAGATTGGCGCTCTAATTGTCCACTGCTTTCTTTTCTGGGGAAAAGATATTTGGCGTGCGTACAAAAGCGCGAGAGAGGGTAAATATGACGATCGACACCATGCGCACATGGCCAAGCATTACAAGGAAGCACCATGGTGGTGGTATGCTCTGGTTCTTATAGGCAGCTTTGTCCTCGGTCTCATCGTAGTCCTCAAAGAGAATATTACACTGCCAGCATGGGCATACGTTGTTTCGTTGTTGACTGGTATTATTGTTTCGCCGTTTGTGAGTTATCCTCGGGTTCAACATTTACAGATGGACTCTGACCAGATTCTGTTCCAGAGTATCATCTTATATGCTCGTTATGGTAATGGAATTGCCACCAATAACTTGTCAAAATTGATTGCTGGTCTCTCCTTACCGGGACGCCCGATCGGTAACATGTACTTTGCTGCGTGGTCGCACAATGTCATTGCCAATGCGGTCAATCTGTCCAATGACTTGAAGATGGGTGAATATCGTAAGCATTTTCTATATCTCATCTCATCTATTTCTTTCAAATAGAAGTTGACCCATTGATCTAGTCAAAATTCCTCCCCGCGTTATGTTCTTGACTCAGGTCTACGGCACTATGCTTGGTGGCTTTATCAATTACGCAGTCATGATTTCCATTGTGTCAGGTAATCGAGCGCTTCTCTCCAATGGCAACGGAAATTCCTCCTGGAGTGGTGCGACTATGCAAGCGTACAACACCAATGCGGCCTCCTGGGCTCTGGCCCCTTATCTTTACAAGATCGGCTCCGAGTATGAGATGGTACCTTTTGGCATACTCATCGGTGCTGGTGCTGTTGTTATTCACCGTCTTTTCTATCAAGTAAGCAAGCCCAGAATTTCTCCCCTCCTTCGAGCTAATGCAACTGCTATCTCTAGTTTGTCCCTAAGATCGGAAGATTCGATGTCTCGGAAATCAATCTGGCACAATTCATTCAATTTGCCGGTTATATCCCTTATAATCAACCCCAGACTTGTGTCATCCTCAGTTGGATCATCGCCGGCTTCTTTGTTCAGTACTACCTCCGGAACTACCATCCACGAATCTTCAAGGACTACTCATACCTAGTTACTGGAGCCTTCGATGGAGCAAGCCTTACAGTTCTCTTCATACTCTCGTTTGCGGTTTTCGGGGCGGGTGGACCGTCACATCCATTCCCATCATGGTGGGGGAACAATGAGAATGGAAACTATGATTGGTGTCCTGTATCAGAGTAAAGGCAGTGCGGTGGTATTGTCTTATATCAGTGCTTTTGAAGTGACTAAGGAATATATTGAAGTGTGAATAAGAGCAAATACGAGACTAGCTTTGTCGTTCTGTTTTGAAGCGTCATCTTGGAATGGCCATACTCGGCGCCATGCCTCTCTCTCTCTTGTGGATTCCGAGTCTTCTAGTCCAAAACTGTTCCTTACCATCTGTATTCTCCATAATGGTGTTTTCAGCACCGACAGCGTTCTTATTTGTACGACTGCTCCAGACATTCACCTTAGGTACCGGAATTCCTGCGATGATACTTGCAGGCCTAGAGTTATTATTGAGCACCATGATCTTGATAGCTATTGCCCCACCCTCACTGCTAGCCTGTATTAAGATATCTTCCGCCGGGCCTGCATTTGTCCCTGTATCCTCGATAGGTCGGTATAAATTGCAGTAATCTCATTTCTCAACACTGTTTGTCTCGCTGCGTGGTTTTACCCATGCCGCTGGATGTAGTGGGCGTCCAGTCATCAACCTTCGCCAATAAAAACCGGCCTCCTAACAACTCGTCCTATGTCGGTGGACGAGAAGCTTAACTCATAACTTCTCGAGGTGTGCTCCAAACTTCTTCGTCTCTAAGGCATGGCACCATTGAGTATATTGTACTACGTGAATAAGAAGGGAAATATTGATGAAGATCTGGGAAATAAAGCCTTTGCATTCGCATAACAGTACAGGGAAACCTTAATCAGGAAAAACCTTTACCAAGGCAGAAAGGATGAGAAGAGCAAATAAGTCGAAGGTAGAGTCCGCACTAAAGACAGAATCCGCTATGAATCAGAGCTCGATAGGGTGACTATTATGAGATCCTGCCCAATACTCACGGAAGCAAGGCATTGAAGTACACCTCGTTTGGAATTTCCAGCGGCTGCTTTACTAACGGCCCATCCCAGTCAGCGCTGTGCTCAAACTCATCGCTCTTCAGTCAAAGGGCATCACTCACAAGCTATTCACATCCATCCCAGTCAGCGTTGTGTGCTCAAAGTCATAGCTCCAAATCAAGGGTCATTACTTACACCCTATCCACGTCCATCCTAGTTAGCGCTATGTACACAGTCATCACTCCTCAGTCAAGGGGCATCACTTACAAGCTGTCCACGTCCATCCCAGTCAGCGCTGTGTGCATAAAGTCATCGCTCAAAATGAAGGGACATCACTTACACCCTAACCACGTCCCTAGTTAGCACTATGTGCACGAAGTCATTGCTCCACAGTCAAAGGGCATCACTTACAAGCTATTCACGTCCATCCTAGTTAGCACTATGTACACAAAGTCATCGCTCTATAGTCAAGGGTCATCACTTACACCCTATCCGCGTCCATCCTAGTCAGCACTGTGCACAAAGTCATCGATCCACAGTCAAAGGGCATCACTTACACTCTATCCACGTCCCTCCTAGTTAGCACTGTGTGCGCAAAGCCATCGCTCCACAGTCAAAGGGTATCACTTACAAGCTATTCACGTCCATCCTAGTTAGCGCTATGTACACAGTCATCACTCCTCAGTCAAGGGGCATCACTTACAAGCTATTCACATCCATCCCAGTCAGCGTTGTGTGCTCAAAGTCATAGCTCCAAATCAAGGGTCATCACTTACATCCTATTCACGTCCCTCCTAGTCAGCGCTATGTGCACAGTCATCGCTCCTCAGTCAAGGGTCATCACTTACATCCTATTCACGTTCCTCCTAGTCAGCGCTATGTGCACGAAGTCATTGCTCCACAGTCAAAGGGCATCACTTACATTCTATCCACGTCCATCCTAGTTAGCACTATGTTCATAAAGTCATCGCTCCATAGTCAAAGGGTATCACTTACGTCCTATTCACGTCCATCCTAGTTAGCACTATGTGCACAAAGTCATCGCTCCACAGTCAAAGGGTATCACTTACACCCTATCCACGTCCATCCTAGTTAGCACTATGTGCACGAAGTCATTGCTCCACAGTCAAAGGGTATCACTTACAAGCTATTAACGTACGTCCCAGTCAGCGCTATGTGCACAGTCATCGCTTTTTAGTCAAGGGTCATCACTTACAAGCTATTCACGTCCGTCACAGTCAGCGTTATATGCACAAAGTCATCGCTCCTTAGTCAAGGACCATCACTTACACCCTATCCACGTCCATCCTAATTAGCACTGTGTGCACAAAGTCATCGTTCCACTGTCAAAGGGCATCACTTACATCCTATTCACGTCCATCCTAGTTAGTACTATGTACACAAAGTCATCGCTCTATAGTCAAGGGTCATCACTTACACCCTGTCCCCGTCCATCCTAGTCAGCGCTCTATGCACAAAGTCATGGCTCCATAGTCAGAGGGCATCACTTACACCCTATCCACATCCATCCCTAGTCAGCACTATGTACACAAAGCCATCGCTCCATAGTCAAGGGTCATGACTTACATCCTATTCACGTCCAACTCAGTCAGCACTTAAATATGACTTGGAGTGTTCCCTAGATAGAAATTTTCATACCTCTCTTTCAGCTAATTTATTGCTAGATGATTCTTCCATAGATCCTGCTACCGCAAGTGCGGCAAAGACAAATGCCATGGCAAGAGACAGCACCTTCATATTGATAGTTATACTTATTGTGGAAGATAGCTGGCGTGTTGGAATTGATGATCTAATAGAGAGTAAAATGATTCAAGTGAGAAGGATTGTAAATATTTGTGCTGTCCATGATGACTATTTATAATAACATGGATCTTGCTCTTACCGCAATTACTCAAGGGGGAGCGGATTAAGGATCTACATAATTGAAATGCATTGTGTACATTCCCTTCCGCCGCCCTTGCATCACATAAATTTCCTTTTCTTTTATTTTCTTTTTTTTCATAGAAATATTCTATTGCCATATTATGAAAGCTGGTTTATCAAAATATATTGCATGCTGTAGACTTAGAGAAGAATGGCGGCAGAGTAACCTGATCATTAGAGGAGTGAAAGCAAGCTCTGCATAGGGCTGTCACCTAGGTCGCGGGAGCATTGTCCACATGGGTAACCAAGCGCTTTATGTGACGGGCTTTAAGTAGATAATGCTTTTTGCCCATCGGATCTACCCAGTAGTGGGGGGCCATGCAGGCACGTCGATGAGTCGCATCGCACCATATTATAGGCGCTACGCCATATGGGTCTCTCGCCAGAGGCATTTTCCTACGCATCAAGCCTGGCGTCACGTTTATCGGGCATCCTGCTCGTGACATTTTTCTCTCTTCTCCCCTTTCCAACCTACAGCTGGAGAGGAGTGGCGGTCATCTACATAGTTGAAAGTGATCTCTAGTGTGAGCTCTTTACCCCGTAGATCAGACTATAGCAGAAGCGGCTTCTCAATGGCAGTCCAGATACAATAATATCGGTATTGTCGAATCGTTTAGTCAGTTTGCGCTTGGTACGATCCGTCATTAATGTAGTAATAACTGTGTCGTCGGCTGTCATCCAACGATGGCGGGTAGTCTTTCGCCGAAGTACTTAAGTTTTTTTCCCAGACACGATTACCAAAAGGCGCTAGGGGCCAGAACGACGTCTCCTTCCGTGTCCTGACATACCTCCCGATTGCTGATTGTCACGGGCTACTCTACACGGCAGTGGATACAGGTTGTCTGTTCCACGTCGTAAGCTCTTCCTTCTTCCACACTGGCCAGTTAGGTTTGCTTCTTGGCTCAAATCCATCCTCAAGCATGCTGGACTGGTTTTACTTGGTTAGTAGTAAATTTAGTGATGGACAATCTGCGACTGATCCCGGCGCCAGTTCCTCGGGCCGGTGTATTCAGGGATGTAAATGATTATCATGGTATGCCTGGTTGGCTCCGTACTGGAAGATGACCGAAGGCTACCTGTCATACTGATTCTGCCAGGACCATCTGTCGGCAGGCTTGATCGCCCATGATATATCCCAATCAATTGTGCCTGTGATTAGATCGAAAGCTTTCTATTCGTTAGCTGGATATAAGAAAAACCGGAAGAAATTGAGACATTCAGTGGTCTTGATAAAGGCGTCATGTTTGCCTAGATAAGTGGGCGATATAAGAGTCGAGTTGGGCCAGCATGTTGCCATCGGCGACTTCCCCCAACCATTCTCCAACCGCAGCCTTGCAATATCGTAATAACCTTCCGACAAAGCAGCAAATAGTTCATTGTCGTAAGAGCCACCTTGCGCGTTAACACCAGCGCCTTTCTCTAATAGCAACCGTACAATCCGTTCATAGCCTCCAAATGAAGCAGCCTGGAGCGCATTTCCGTAGCGGCCACCTTGTGCGTTGACATCAGCGCCTTTCTCTAACAGTAGCTGCACAGTCTATTCACAGCCTTTCGATGAAGCAACCTCGAGCGCATTACCATGAACATCACCTTGTGGTTTAGCTATCATGGCCTGTTCTGGCTGGTTGGGAAACGGTGCGGTAGTCGCCATGGGTGAGGGATGTTTGACAAGGCTTAACAATAGAGTAGCACGGGAAACCGCTAAGCCAGCTTCGCTTATTTAGACACGTGAGACATAAAGAGCGCTAAACCCAAAGCAAGTCGTGGTTACTCGTAGTCACTGTCCACTTATTCACTATATTAATTATCATTCTGCAAGCCAAGGCCATTTAGCTTCTGCTGTAATAGTAGTGCAACTAGTAGCTCCACATCGCCTTCTCTCTTCGATCCCCCTTATGGTCCGGCATATCGACCATGGGGGCTTTGGGCCATGAGTCATGTCCGAGGCACCGCCACTCTTCCTCTTGAGTCATCTCTAGATCGGTGACTCGGGAACGGAATGCTGATCATGTCGTATTCTGTTTTGCGGCTCAATTAGTCACGCTGACACGGACTCGAGGCGATCCGATCTAGAATTGCTCGGGGGACAAAAAACCAGCTATAAATTGTCAGATCATGCCAGATGAAAGGGGGTAGTAAACACGCCATTTTCAAAACAAATCTGCCGAGAATGGCGTCCGACCTTCCTCAGAAGGAGAGTGGTGAGCATCTTGAGGCCCCGGCACAGGCTCAGCAGGAAGCAACAGGACCAGTGCCCAAATGGCCGAGAAGTATATCGCCTTCTTCTGCGGAATCTACCGAGAACAAACTGCGCACCGCGTCCGGTATTATATCTCGCTAGCCATGCTGTACGGTGTACTAATCCATGTGGGCAGATGTGATCAACCGCCTGCTATGGGATCCCAGTTTCGATCACAGCGACTTTGTCATTGGCTATGAGGATCGATTTGAGGGACGCCTGGAGGCCAGTTTGGGGTCGTGGAAGAAGGACTTGACGGATGAGGAGTTCATTCCACAGCATCGCATCCTGTACATCAAGCGCCGCGATGGCGAGGTCGTGTGGGATCGACGACGACGCACCGACACCATCTTCTACAGTGGAAACTCGGCCTTCCGCGAGTTGGCCTTTCTGGCTTAACGAGGGAACCGCGCCTTCCCTGCATCCACCATTCTTTTTGTCCTGCTCTTCTTCTCTTACTTTCCCTTCCCTTTCCATTTTTGTTCTCTTCAACCCTTCAACCAACCGACATGGATTTCTCCAAGCACAGAAAACCGTCCCTGCCTCGGCTGGCCACCAACCTGACTTCCACCGGGCGTTCACGCTCCACTGCATCGTTACCTGTCTTGGTCTCCAAGCCACTGCAGAACATAAACGTGGAGAAACCCACTCTTCAGCCTACTTTGTTTCCTGAAAACAACGAAGATGACGAGAACGCTCCCCCCACCGTGCACTATGCCCCGGCTGACTCTCGGACGCTCTACGTGACCCAGAAGAGTGCCGAGAACGAGCCCGTCGTTTCTCAGCTGAAAACTCTCTACTACGAGGACGCATTCACCACGCGAGGCTCGCACAATTCTCCCAAAGAGCGGGTTGGTCAAGACTCGGTGGTCGTTGCAGAGCTGAAAACCAACTGGAAAGTACGTGCTGTTGGTCGGATAGTGATCTCTCTGTTAACTCCCAAACGCAGGCTGCAGATGACAGCCCCAAGGATGGCGCCACCAAGCTGGTTGAGGATCTCGCCCTGCATCTTGCCCAAGTCTACCAGAGGCCTGAAAGCTCGATGATGGTAACGATCCAGCAGGACGTCTGCCTTCTCTTTGGCAATGCATCAGTGCCAGCCTACCTGCTGAAGATCTACGCTCTGCCACACCTGATTGCGCCAACAATCAATCTCCGCAACACCGCTCTCATCCAGAATGCCCTTCTGGAACTACTGGGTGCGGCACCGGACCAGGGCGTGATCATCTACCTCCCGATCCAGGAAGACAATCTTGCAACGAATGGAGTGACGGCGCACGGAGAGATCACTCGTCTGCAACGCCTTTCTCAGGATGAAAACCCTGGTCTCTTTAGGACTCTGTCGCGATCCATGAGCCGTCGTTTGAAGTCGGGCAGCGGCCACAGTCAACCAACTCTCATCATCCCTGCTGTTCAGAGCCCTGTCTCGCCCGCTGTGCCCGAGATCTTACCAGATCCTATCTCTGCTGCAGAAGAGGTAAAGTTGATCGTGTTGCCCAAAGACCAGCATTCTCCCCGTGGCCGAAAACGAGATAGCGTCAGGGACAAAGTTTTTAATCGTCTGCGTTTCCATGATTATCTGTCGTCCCAGGTGAAGGAGAAGGCAGCTGAACTTGAAGGCGAAGAGTGATGAAGAGCAGTATATGTTAGGTTGGTTTCTGAGTCTGTCCTGTTTTGTATCAGATTATCCGGTTCGATTCCCAGTCATGAATGAGTTCACTCGGTTGAAATATGAAATTTCTGGTAGAGTAGCTCATGTATTGGTAGATTGAGTATCGGAACAGTAAACAAACTCCCTCAAAACCTTTCTTTCTCCCATCTGCGCCTCACCTTTCTCTCTTTTTTGTTTACTGTCAGCAATCACCACATCCCCTCTTCTGCAGTATTGCCCATCATGCCAGGCCAAGTTGCCGAGTACCTCGAGTATGACAACTCCAGTGAAAACACCGACAGTATCCAGTCTTCCCCACCATATCCTCCACATACTAGTTGTGTCGTCGAGGTTCCCGGTAACCTCTTTGATGCACCTGCTGGCTCGGGGTTGATTCGTAAGTTATACCCTGCATCCTATCCAAACAGAAGTACACTGACCTCAGCCCGAGATGCCTGTAACTGTATGGGTGCATGGGGTGCTGGGATTGCTCGCTCGTTCCGACAGAGGGTATGTGCGGCCCCCTTTGGTATCTCAGCCATGTCTGATATACCTACAGTATTCCCAAGCGTACCAATACTACCGCTCCCACTGCCAGAGCTACATAGACTATCCAGAACGAAACAGCATCATCAACCTCCAGTCCGGCGACGACAGACGCATCTCCGTGTGGAAACCACTGGGCACGGCGCTGCTGATTCCTCCCCAGGATTCCGAGAGACACTGGATTATCTGTCTCTTCACCTCACGTGGGTTTGGAAATCGCGTCAGTTCTCCCAACCTGATTGCAAATAGCACCTATGCTGCTCTTAAGGATCTGGAGCGGTGGATGGGAATCTACCAGGCTCTGCACGAACACATCGGTCTTGATTTGCCTAATGATTTGTACGCGTGCCGCTTCAACTCGGGCCGTTTTGATGTTCCTTGGCATAGGACTCGGAATCTTATTGAGGGCGCCGATGTGGCTATGACTGTTGTTTATCCTCCTGAGGAGAGAGCGGAAGGGTCTGCGACTCCTCCGAGTTAAGTTGGTTTTCGGAGTATGAGATGGGGTTTTCGAGGGCAGGAACAGTGGTATGCTTCTATTTTGGACTTTCTAGTCGCATGAGAATTGAATCGATTAACAGTGCCACAATGATCACTTCAACGTCTTGTATAGATCGAAGTCACCTGACACCGTGTTTGCCTACTATCCGCGACCCGCGTTGACAGCCCGTTTCGGTTCCACTCAACACTCCTCCCACTCCGATTCCCACTACCACCACAAAATGGCTGGCGAACCAGCGCAGAAAAAGCGCCGACTCCCCTTCAACCCACCTAGCCGCGCCTCATCCACCGCCGGATCCTCAACATCGGCCTCCAAAGCAAAAGGCCAAGCCAAACAAACCACCAAGTCCTCATCCTCCGCCTCCGCCTCCGCCTCCAAGTCTACCAATCGCAAATCCACATCAACCAGCAAGCGTGTGCGCGCCCAGTCCCCGCCATCATCAGCTGCCGTCTCCGACGACGCGTCGGATGCAGAGTCTGGATCCAACTCCTCTAGTCACAGTCGCGAGCGCTCCGTCTCCCAAGAGCCAGACTTCATTCTCGCTGAAATCACCACTGCCCAAAATGAAGCAGAGGACGTGAGCTGGAGCGAGCCGACTATACCGTCCAAATTACTTACGCGGTTGCTACATCACCATTTTACCAAGGAGAAGACAAAGGTCGCCAAGGATGCTAATGCGGTTGTGGCGAAGTATGTCGATGTCTTTGTGAGGGAGGCTATTGCGAGAGCTGCCTATGAGAGAGCGGAGACGGATGGTACGTCTGGCGCGAGGGGAATCGGCGATGGGTTTCTGGAGGTAGTTTATTATCCTTTTTCTGTTCTCGCTTCCCTGGAAGTGAAACATTGCTAATGCACGTCCCAATAGGTGGAGGACCTCGAGAAAATGGCACCACAGCTTACGATGGACTTTTAATGCTCAGAATAGAAGGCATGGGCGTTTAGGCTGCACCTCTTGAGGGGGGTTTTTTTTTTGAGATACCACATTATTGACAGCTGTGAAACAATACATGAATGAAAGTTAACTACACTTTTTCTATAACAGAGACATGTCGCGTGGATGACGGTACTGAGGCAGTTTCCCCAATCCCCAATCTTCGACGTATGGCGGAACTGCGCCGAAGCCGTTGGCGTTATGGAGGAGTGCGATATCCCGATTCACTCTGTTGGAGACCCATGCGTTGGCCATGTATGCTGATTGCTTCTTGCTGAAATGCGCTACTACTACGGGGAGCTGGTTCTGCTCGGGGAGATGGCCCAGCTCTGCGTCGTAGGCGGTGTTGCAGATGTCGAAGACGATGAAGGTGCGGGTTCGCCACTTTTGGACTGCGAGAAGTTTGGCGTCGGAAACTGTCGCGTGGAATCGGTTGCCGAGATTTTTATTCTGAAGCAGTCTTATGGCGCTTGGGACGAGGTCCTCGGCGCGATTCTGGGCTTTCTTCCATCGGGCACTTCGCTGGGAGACGATGACGAGCACGCGCATTGGGTTTGGGTCCATAGCTGCATGCAATGAATGAGTGCTTCGCTTTTCTTTCTCTCGGGTCTCTTGCCGGTCAGGGTAGCAGGTATTCTGATCGGAAATCTTCGGGGTGAGGGTGAGATTATAGAGGAGCCTTCGACAATATATACACCCATCGGGAGGGGTGTATGCAGGTTCGGTCGTCTGTTCACTACCAAGTCAGTACACAGACGAAAAACCGGATGAACCGATATGCTGCCACACCTGTCCTGCATTATCCTCGACTGTTTCAGGGCCAGTTAGGAGTTTCCCTTGGATAGGAATCAGTCGGGCATCAAGCAGTCAGTCGGCTTTTGAACAGTGTGTGACAGAGTAGCGTTCCGATCGTGAACCACCCATCCACTGGGAAAGTTAATATTGGGCAGAAATGAAATCCCATTCCTGTCGTTTGTTCCAGACAGACAGTCGACATTCCCAGGTTGTTGTAGATCGGAGGATATAGTTAGGGCAAGCCAAAGGCGGTGTGTCGCTATCGCTCGCGCGTCTTTTTCTTCCTTCGCGCATCATCGCGTCCACCCATCCCCACCTCCAACACCATGAACGACGCCACCACTTCGCTCCTCGCTGAGCATTTTAGCTACACGCCTCTGGTGAGTTTGAAATTGCTCTTATGTTATCATTCCCCATGCTGCGTGCTGGGCTATATGACCCCCCACCCCCTGGACACCCTTGCTGATTGCCCCTCGGAACTAGTCGCTCATAGATGACATTATCAATTCGATCAACAACTTGATCTACCAGGCCATCTCCAGCCTAGAGTCCGGTCTGATCAACACGCCCCCAGAGCGTTTGGGTTTCGCGCACGCCAGCAACGGCTCCACCATCCCCGACACAGACGAAGATGGCAATGTTGTCTACCCCGAGGCGAAGCTGGAGATTGAGAATGGCCTCCATCAGCTGGAGACGCTGCTTGAAGCCAATGTTGACAAGGCATTTGACAAGTTTGAAATCTACGTGCTGAGAAATATCCTCACGGTGCCCGAGGATCTTCTATCCTCGGTGAGGCTGAAGCATTACGAGGTTGGTGGACCATGTTTGTTGTGGCATGACACCGCGTATTAACCAGATTATTACGCAGAATCTCTCTTTCGTCCCTTCGCCCGACACCCCGACACCAGAAACCATCCTTGCGCAGCGCAAGAAGCTAATCGAGACCCGCAAACTAACTCGGTCGTTGAAAGATGAGTGCGCTCGGAACGACGCGGTTATTTCCCAATTGCAATCGATTCTCTCGACTGTCGAAAACGCCAAAACCGATGGTGGCGCCGACGCAACAGAAAACAAAGAAAATAACCAGCCCAATTTGTCCTTCTTGACCTCCAGTCCCGCCGCGCGCCAGCTACGTGTCGGCGTTGCGGCTGGGTCCAACACCAAGCATACGCCTCTCACAACCAACACCACCTTCATTCTTTCTCAACTTCCTGCTCTCCAAACAACCCTGGAACAGCTCCGTCCCAGGTTGGCGGCACTGCCGCAAGCATCTGTGCCCAGGGAGACCAAGTCTAAGAGAGACGAACGCAAAGAGTACATCGAGAGTCGAATCAGGCTGCACCTAGAGCGCGCCGGGCAGCTTGCTATGGGCGATGATGGACATCCAATGGTCGCGGGCCGCCGGATTGACATCTCGGAAGCCCATGCACTGGAGAATGTTGCAAGCATGCTTACACACCAAAAGAAGGCATGAGGGTTTATTTATTTAAGGTGATCATTGTCTTTTCCACGACCAGGACACGCTCCAGGTCTCCTGAGTCTTTCGGAAGGGGACCACATCGGTCTTGTCGGACTGCAGGATGTCCACAATCTTCTCACCTTTCTTCTCGATGGTGATGAACTCCTTCTGCTCCTCCCCAATTTTATAAAACGCCCGTCCGAACTTAGTCATGAAACCCTCGACGATCTCCGGTGTGATCTCCTCATCCTTCAGAACGCCGTTCTGGACAGCCTGTTCGAAGGCATCCACCACGACCTGGGTGGTATATGGCTGTGTGAAAACACCCGCGGCAATCTTCTCTCCGCCGCGCTTCGACGCTGCCGGGTGCGGGGCACTATCAGACCCAAAGAAGAACTTGGGGTTGCCCGAGGTTGCTGCGCGCAGAAGAGCATCCCGGTCTGCGGGCGTCTTGGCAACCGGCTTGCAGAAGCAGAATGGATCCCCCGCCCACGAATCAATGATAATGGACAAATGGTGGGCGGTGATGGTGCCAGCAACCGTTGGCCCGCACTTCTTCACAGCATCGACAGCTGCGGCAGTGGTACAGTGCTCCAGGATAATGCGCAGCTTGGGGAATTGGGCATGGAGTTCTGCCAGGATGGGCAGGAACCGCTCCTCCGCCGACAACACTGTCACGTCGCCCTGGGACGGGCACTCGCCGTGCAGGTTCAGAATCATGTCTTGCCGTTCCATCTCCGCAAAGACCGGGTAGAACGCCGAGTAGTCGACGACCCCCGAGCTCGAGTTGGTGGTCACCCCGGCGGGATAGCTCTTGACGCCCGTTATGCCCCGCTTCTTGGCCTCGATGATCGTCTCCGGCGTGATGGTTTCGTGGAGGTACAGCGACATGAGGTAGTTGACGTTGGGCTCAATGGCTTGCAGGCGCTTCTTATAGTCGAGAGCGTGGTCGACGGTTGTGATCGGTGGCACCAGGTTGGGCTAGATAGGTACATATCGTGTTGGTCAAATGTAACAGATATGAAACTGTGTCTTTTCTCTTACCATGACGTAGACCGTGTTCACTCCTCCCTGCCGAATGGTCGGAGTCACCAGCTCCATCATGGGTCCATCGCGGAGGTGAACTAGCTTTGGAGTTAGTCATCGTTTGTCCACGCTGCCATTCTCACTGACCATGGAAGTCCGCCGAAGCGGGGAGCTTGACACCATTCAGCTTGGACAGAGGCATTGTGATATGAGGTTATTGGTAAAAAAGAAGAACATGATCCTCGCCCCGCCAATTTTTTTGTCGGCGGGGATGTATACTGCCGGGCGGTGAACTCCGAATTGTGTCCTCCCAGCACGTAACTAATTAACCCTAATTCCCATTTTGTCCAAGAATTATGGACCGTGAAGAATATGCCAAGTCACCAGGAAATGATATCTGCGCTCGGAGATGCAGGAACAGCCAACTGCACGGCCCTCTTTGCGGTAGTCCGCACTGACCTTAACTTATTCTCTAGCCGCCGGCGGGCTCAGAGCGCGAACATCAGCGCCTCGCGTCTCCCAATCACCGTTCGGCCACGCTGATTTTACCTCGATGCCAAGTCTGCAAGCTCGCGCCGACCCAGACATTGATGTTCTATTTTGGGTCTTCTTCATTTTACTGAGCACTCCACCTAATCAGCGCTGCTTCTCTCCCGACGAGGCGCGTACTAGGCCTTAGTCCAGCAATAATGGCTTGATATTTTTTGATACTCGGATTCCTATTCGATAGTTCAATGTGTGATGGCGAAACGCTCGCCAAGTTGCACATCCCAAGATGTCGGTCTCTATCACCGTACATAATCCTCATCCACTCGCCCATTTCTGAGAGGAGTTTCCTATAACATTGTCTGAACGCTTTTCTTTTCGAACGTGCCCTGTCTTTCATTACTGTCTCTTTCGAGATATTTGTCCTTCTTTTGAAACAGATCCCGCCGAGGTCATTACTGGTCAATATCTATATCTTATTTTCGCTCTCTTTAAACCTAACCACCATGAATTCCGACTCGTCGACATCCGGTTCATACCAGGGCCGTCCAGCAGACCTGGATGAGTCAAATTTCATACGACGCAATCGGACACTGCACTGGGCTCGTCTAGGCTTGTCCTTTGTCATCTTAATCGCCTCTGTGGCTATCATTGCCTGCGAAGCTGTACCGCTACGCCATTACAAGGTCACAGCCGCATGGGCTGATGCCGGTCTTGCCTTGTGGCCACTGAACTTGGATACTCGGCCCACGAAAGCCGCATTAGCCTGCGGTTGTGTGATCGCGGTTCTGAACCTGGCCTACATCGCTACCGCACTTCTCCCATCCGTTAGTATAACTAGTGTCTGGCCTTCGTTCACCCTAATTAACATGGCGACAGCCCCATTCGCGAATCAAAACGCTTAATACATTTTCCTCCGCCTCGGCAGTTGCAGGGTTTATCACTGCCCTAACCGGGGTTCTGTTCACGCTCTACCCTCCTTCATCGACGTACCCGGTCGGCTTCAGCGAAAACGAAACGCTGCATTCCTGGACCTGTAAATGGGGGTCATCTCACAACGACATTGCGACCCCTATTCATTTCGCTCGGGACTGTGCCGAGATGCGGACCGGTTTCGTCCTTCTCGGCGTTCTGGTCGGGTTGGAATTTATCATGGGCCTCGTGGCAACTGTTGGATCCTGGATGCAGCGCGGTGTGGCCCGCCAGCGCGCAGATGAGCAGCATCAGCTGGAGAAGTTGGAGTTTTCCACAAAGCAGTGATGAGAATTGTTTGGTTTACAGGGTATGCGTATGAGTTAGTAAATTCCTGGTGATCAGGGCTGGCAGGCCCAGCCTATGAGATACGAGTTGTCTAGTTTCGGCCCCATGTCTTCCTTTCCTTCTTCGTCCTGTGTTGGCCTGTCGATCCCACGGAGCAAAGCGTAGGGGACTCTCTAGTCTCGGCATCCTTGCAAGTTTCGTTTTTGCCCCTGCAGGCGAGAACCCGTGTCTGTCTGCAACAGCGCTATCATGAATCCTATCAGGCGATATCCCCGGTCTCCGATGCGGGAACAACTTGCGTAACTAGCCATCCCCCGAAAGGGAAAACGTGTGTTGAGTGTAACCCTTCCTAGTCACATCGGGAGGAGACGCGTGGAAATAATGCACGCTCTATCCTTCTTCCATCAAGACCCTTTTCCCCGGCTGTGAGGGGATCGGCAATTTGTTGGAAACAAGCAAATCTTTCCATTTGATTCGGGGGCCGATCTGGAGGAACGGGTGCCCTCTCTTCCCGCTCAGGCCTAGACAATGATTTGTAGCTAGGAATTCGCCCCCTCTCCCTCTACTCTAGTCTCCAGGATTACCATTGCCCTTTTTATAAAAATAATGGCCGGTCGCGGTGCGCTGTCGCGCCGCGGATCTCCTGAACAACCTGTATAGTTGTGTGCCGCTATGAAATCCATTCTCTCGTTCCCCTTCTTCGCCGCCGTCGCTTTCGCGACCAGTCGTCTAACTCCGCCGCCGGGATCGATTGTGGTGGCTAAATCGGGAGGCGACTTTGACTCGGTATGGTGATCTTCTTCTCAGTAGGAGGCAGGCTAATCTAACACTGAAGCGAACAGATTAGCGCGGCCATTCAGTCCCTCAACCAGGGCATCCGCGAGAACCAGACCATCTTCGTCAAGGCGGGTACCTACAATGAGCAGGTGTTTATCCCGGCCATGAGTGGGCTTCTTACCATTTATGGAGAAACCCAGGAGTAAGTGGATATAATGATGATCTTTCCAGTCTTTCATACTGATGCCTTGAGGTTCAGCATCCTCTCCTATTCGGCCAATACAGTTACCGTCACCTACAATGCCAGTACGTCGTCGGCATCGTCATCCAAGGATGCCGACACGGGTTAGTACATCCACAAATCTTTTCTGGGAAATTGGCCCTGACTTCTTCCAGCTACCGTCCAGAACGGCGCCGCTTCGACAAGATTCTATAATCTCAACTTCGCCAACAGCCACAGTGCCGGCGAGTCGGCCCTGGCGTTGAGCGCCTCGGGCACTCAGCAAGGATATTATGGATGCCAGTTCACCGGAAACGATAGTTGGTCTATCTGCCCCAAAACTCACTGTTATAATTACTGATGGAATTGTTATTCAGACACGATCCTCACTCAAGTCGGTGGCACACAGGTGTTCGCTAGATGTCTAATCCAGGGCACGTCGTAAGTTGAAAATAACACACCAACAATACTACAGCCCATAGCATTAACTGACATTAAAAATACAGCGACTTTATCACTGGCCAGTACGCACGTGTGTGGTTCGACGCTGTTGCTATCAAAGTCCTCCCAAGTTCCGGCCAGGGCTTCATTACCGCCAACGGCCGGTCCTCGAACGATGACCCTTCTTACTACGTGATCAACAACTCCAGCGTTGAGGCAGCACCGTACGACACCGTCAGGTCCGGCAGCTACTATCTCGGCCGTCCCTTGTCTGATTTCTCCCGGGTTGTCTTCCAGGATACATATATGAGCGAGGTGGTCAATGGTGCCGGCTGGAGCGAGTGGTCCAAGGCAAAGCCCAACACACAGGATGTCGATTTCGCCGAATATGACAACTCCGGTCCTGGTAGCTTGGGTACGCGGGCGAGCTTCTCGAAAAAGTTGAGCTCGGCTCTCGTCATTGGTGATATTATCAATGACGGATACCAGTCGTGGGTCGACTTGAGCTACTTGTCTTAGATGTGGAATGATATAGCAGGGAGTTAGTTGGAATAATGGGATAGTCACACAGCATTGCACTTTTTTGGTCTTGTAGTCAAGGGAAATATCAATATGAGAATCAGTCCAGATCTATAAATGTCTTATGTAATCCTTATCAACACCGCCTTGGCAGAATCATCGTCGCGTGTTTCTCTCTTTCTCCTTCTCTTTCTCGCTCTGTAAGACACCCGACTCTTCCGGCAGTTGACAAAATGCCGGCCGATCCAGCCGTATTAGCAGCAGAACCTGTTGTGGATGATGAAGCCTACGACTCTGCCGAAGATGAAGACTTCCAGCTGGACGCGGCGCAGGACATGTCCGAGCTCTCCTCTGACGCGGACGAGGAGGCAGCGGAGCCCGCGAAGAAGAAACGGAAAACCGACAAGAAAGCCAAAATCGACGAAGACCTGGAACTAGACTCTGGCGATGAAGCGACGATCCGCAAGGCGAAAGAGAGGAAGGAGAGGAGGCGGAAAGGGAAGAAGGCCAAGGGCAAACGCGCAGAAGAGTCTGATGAGGATATCGACCTCGATGACGATGATGAAGAGGGCGGCACAGGAGGGTTTGTGCGCACGCGCGCGATGAAGATGCAATTGTAAGTCTCTTCTACAACCGCCCTCCACTCGAGGCAAGGCGTTGTGTCGATGGTCGGATTCTAACAGGCGGTTCTCTCGCAGACACGAAGAGCGCAAACCGCTGGCCAAGATTGACGGCGCGACCGTGGACGTGAACGCTTTGTGGGAGAAAATGAACGCCCCCCAGAGTGATCTGGGACTGCGCCCGACTCAGACCGAGCAGGATGACGAGCCGGTCCCAGAACCCGCGCATACGGCCGACACGAAGATGCAGGACCAGCGTTCCCGCGAGCCGGAGGAACAGCCGCGCCATTCTCAGCACGGTGCGCAGATGGTCAAGATCAAACGCACCTACAAATTCGCGGGGGAGTGGATCACAGAGGAGAAGGTCGTGCCCAAGGACTCGGCTGAGGCCAGGGCGTTCTTGTCTAGTGGCGAGAATGTTGAATTGGCCGGTGCCGAGGATGTTGTGGCTGCTGACGCTGCGCACACGCTGCTACGCCGTCCTGTGCGCAAGATCTCGCGGTTCGATCCCAACCCGAACGGAATGATCAAGAAGAGCTGGGAGAGGCAGCCCGTTGCGGAGGAATCTGTCGGTCAGGACGCTCGCGGGCCCAAGATCAACACAGTTGAAAAATCAAGACTCGATTGGGCGCAGTACGTCGACCAGGCGGGCATCCAAGACGAGCTCCGCGTGCACAGCCGGGCCAAGGAGGGCTATATGGGCCGCATGGACTTCCTGGGTCGCATGGAAGATAAGCGAGAAGAAGAGCGACGCAATGCACGACTCAAGACGATGTGATCTCTTTGTCTCTTGCCGGCTCATCCTTTTCGAGCGTGCAAAACCCAAATCACTTTTAATATATACCTCTCGAGTTTCTACACCCAGCAAATCCGCAGGCCCGGATTCTTGCATATAGGGTCGTATGTGACGGAAGGCTTCTCCATGTCCGCCTGGTTATCATCGGTCGGTGGGGAGCGCCCGCCTCTCTCGTTTGAGGAAGGCCAAGGCCGATCCCCGATCCCCAGTTACGGGGCACAATTCGTGCCGGGGTCTCCGCCCCCTGTCAAGGATTTGAAACCCTCTTTGCACAATATTTCAGACAACCGTGGCCACTTCTGGTATGGCACTGCGAGGCGTGAAGAATCAGGGGGATCAACGGCAGGCTTGCTGTTGCTCGGCTTGAATACGAATATAGTGGATATCTAGCTTTGGCAGGCCGGTTCTTCCCATATACCCTCTTCCTATGTACTGAATCTCAGATGTATGTACTTTATTCTTACTGGCTATGAACAAGAAGATACCCAACCCAGTCTCACACTTGCACTTCATCTTGGGTCATCAATGGAGCGTTCACAGTCTTATCATCATTTAGTTGCTGCTGCTCTTGGGGGCATACTTGATGCCGCTGGAGGGGCAGCTGGACTTGGTGACTAGCGGGCGCAGTTAGATAAAAAGGTTCATGATGTACAGTAGGGGCACAACTTACGGGGAGCAGTCGGCTGGTACGTGCCATCAATAACGTTGCCGCGTACATTGAAGAAGTACCAGACCTCATCGATGCTGTCACTCTCGCAGCCTACGTACGCCGTCACGCCACTGTGGATCTTCGATAGTGCATTCTGAATATCGGCGAGATCGTAGGTCTTGGATGAGTCCGGGGTGATGCCAGCATTGGAGAGAGCCGTATAGGTATCCAGGCCCTTGAACAGATCCACCACCTTCTGGAAGAACTGGCCAACTTCCTCCTGCGGCTGGTAGTTGCTGTAGCAGCTCGGCTTGATGGTGTTCAAGCAGGTGCCGTGCTTTCCCCACTCGTGCTCCCAGAACGACTCGTCCGATCCGTCGTCGGACACCCAGTACTTGTTCATGTACGTGAGCAGCTCTGAGCGGCCCTGCGACTTTAGGATGTCTGTGATGTTGGTGTAGGCACGGGCCGAGTCGCAAGTGGCCTGGTATGTGCCGTCGCAGTTGTCGGGCCTGAGTGTATGGTGAGCCAGTGATCTTTTCTTTTTCTCGTTTAGATCTCCTAAATACTCACCACAGTCCATGGATGGTCCACGAATCAGACGGGCCCGTCGCCGGGTTAGTATCCCAGAACTGGGTTTGCAGCAGAGCACCGCCGGGCGACTGGTAGCAGCAGGTCGGGGTCTTAGAGGAGCCGTGGCAGCTCAGCGTCGAGTTGCTCAAGCACGACTGGAGGCCGGCCATAGCAGAGCCAACAGTCAGGGCCATCATACCCAGCGAAGATTTGAATTGAGGCATTGTTGATGTGTGGTATCACAGACTGTGTATCGCAGATCTGAGACAAGAGACAACGATAGTGATTCTTGACTGGCAGCCGCAGCCAGGGTCTCTCCTACGGTACTTATACATATCGAGGTACAAGCGCAGGTACGGGCGATCCCTGCTGGTTGTAGCACATGTGCCGATAAGAGACCGCTCATTTGCCAGGGCGATCGGGTATCACCGTGGGCAAAAGCGACGGTGCTCCATCGGAAGGTGGAGAGACGATCGCCCGGGGCTGCCGCATTGTTTGAGGAGAAGAACAAAACCAGGCAAGTCGACGTTGCATTTGTTGAAGGTCGAGATTAGCCCAGGCGCTGATCGCCGAGCCCTGACGAACCAGCGTGGTCGGTGCCGGGATCTGCGGCTGTGCCCATCCTTTGCGACTCGCCTCATAGGGTATCGCGGGAATTGAAGGACCCTGAGCCCGTGGGTCTCCGTCCGGCGTTTTGCCACTACATACATCATTTCTGTTCACATAGTAGTAGTATCTAGAGTTAGTGGTATGTAGTCGGATGATACTGATAACCAGTGTATGTATTATTGTTCTATTCTGAGAAATTCCGGCGTGCCAATCTATTCCGACAATGATAATGGCTCTGGCTCTTCTTCCTGCCCATTGCGTTGCGATGGCCTCAGTCGGATGCACGATACAGCAATGCAGGCAACGACATAAAATAGAGCGGCTTGGAGAAATGGCAAACCCATCCACGCATCGCCGAGGTGCATTCCCCGACGAAACAAGGCGGCAAATAATGGTCCGGCCACGAGCATACCCACCGACTGCGCAATAGCAATGGCGGAATATAGAGCTCCGACTTGATCTGGTAGAACGATGGCAGTGGCCAAACTTCGCGAAGAGACCGAGAACGCTGAGCCCAGTGACAGGACCACCAAGCCAAAGATCAAGATCGCGGGGACCGGCGCTACAAACATGGCTGCGAAGCCGATAATTGCCAAAAGTCCGCTTCCCTGGCTCATGCGCAGGTCTCTCCACTTGCCGTGTAGGTGGAGATACTTGGCTAGGAGGAAGTTTGTGGCCGGCATCAGGAGTAGGTAATTGAAGAGCATGAATGTCCCGCGCAGAGAAATGAGCAAGCTGGCCTGATGCGCTGTTAGTATTGAATATCGCATGAAAGAGAGTCAATGTACCACGTACCCGAGCAATACTCCAGTGGAACTTCTTGGAGGCATACTGCAATAGTATATTCGAGGTCTGTTTGCTGATGATGGTTACAAAAAACATCAAAATGATCAGGCAGACATTCAAGTCCTTCCAAATAAACTGCGTGGACTTTTTGAACTCGCGGAGCTTGCTGGTGAATTCTTCTCGCATTGTTTTGTTCACCGGTAACGGAGTCTGGTCGTCATCGTCGTCCTCGGTTGCAATCACCTGGCTCCTCCTCTTCGCTTTGGCATCTTCCAGCGTCTCGGGGAGAAAGTAAGCAGGAGTAACACCCACAATAAGTATTCCAAGTCCAAGGATATAGGGACACCAAATATTATAGGTCATCAAATAGGCGCTGACCGGAGTGGCCAAGACCTCTGCCAATGTGACACAGGACGTCAGCCGGAACAAGGCTGTTGCTCTGGGAAAATGTCAGAATCGGTCATTCTGTAAACGCGAATTAGACATACACTTCTTCCTCTGAAAAGACATCTGCAACCATCACCAGCGCAATTGCGGTGAGAACCATATCACCCCCACCGACGATCCTGAAAAGCGCTGAGAACCAGACTGTGCGGAGAGGCAATACATCTGACCACCAGCCTGAAAGATTCACGTATCAGCAAAGGGCTCTCCTACCCGGATGGATTACACGCACAAACAAGCCGAACCCACAGTTCCCCAAGTATCAAGCCCAATAACGCGAGGCCCATAACTGGTTTCCGTCCCCAGTGGTCTGAGAGGACTCCATAGGGAAGAGAAAGCAGGATACCTGGTAGGTATCAGCATCCATCAAGAACGTAAGGCGAGAGACGTACTGGGGATCCCTTCAAATGTATCCTTGAGGCCGATGACCAGCGCTAATTCTCCCTGCACTGCCTCCGATTTACACGGATCTCCGTGGGTAATGTTCCCAACGCGCTGAAGGTCGGCTTGGTACTGCCGACAGATAATCTGCTCAAAAATCTGTGTCTGAGGTGCAGTGCCCAAGAAGAATCCAAAATCTAGGGCGAGGACGAATATCGAGCACACAACCAAGATCAGCATCTTTTTCGATCCCGCCGATCTGCCGCGCGCGTTGTCTGCGGAGCCCAACAGGGGCTCCGTCTCATCGCGACCTCGGGCGACCATTTCGATTGTGTGAAGAGCACGAACCTATACGAAAACAAAAACAGAGTTGACGAGCATTCCGGAATGGCTGTAGAAATATCCAAGGAGAGGAAAACGGCAGCCTGATCGTGACGGCTGGACGATAGATTAATAGTTATCTCCGGTCGCGCCAACCCCGGCTTGGCCGATCATTCGGAGTTGGTTCCAAGGAGTTATTCCGTGTTTGGTGATTACCCCCGTAATCATTCGTTGTTCGGAGTTCGGACCTCGAATAATAGGAAGTGGGGCCCATTGATGAAGTCAGAATTGATCAATCTGACCATTGTGAGTTCGGTATGGCCTCAGTTGAAATGGAGTGTGAATCCTCTCAACCAGATTCCTGTTTCCGAGATTTTGGTCGTTATGAGCACTTTTTTCTGCCGTGGCTTTCAGTAGATCAGTAGGCAATCCAAACATCTTCGAGCTTGTTTGCCCCATGTTTACTCCACATAATGTTTATAAACTTGAACTATGCACCACTTGCCAGCTATCGCGAAGAAGAAACCGGTCCACAACTCCAGAGTGAATTCTGCGTTTCTCCGTTCTTTGACTTTATTGGGGAGCCCGTCAGAGTTGCGGCTGAGAGCTCAACACACCGTTGGTGTTGGGATTCTGGAGCCAACCAGGTGGTTTCAAACTTGTCCGGCCAGTTTTCAAAGTTGGTATCTATCAGTGGGTCGGAAAAATTCTATCGTTGCTTTCAATTGTGCTTCTTTTTTGGGTTGGCACGACTGAGAGTGGATGGATTTCATGCTAAATTACACGATTTGTATGTGTGTCGGGATGGGCATTGTCAGTCGGGCCAGCCGGTTGTTTGCTTCCTCGCTAATACACAATTTCTCATTGTTGCTTTCTTAATGTCTTCTCTTCTATCAGTTCGTCGTCATTTTTTCGGAGTCGGGGTTGAAGACTCCCGATTTAATTTATGTATTTTCAATGACCGCCAATCCAGCATGTAGAAGTTTTATATAGATTTCGGTATGAACTGAACTGAGCGAGAAAAGAATCCACCTAGTTGTTTGTTTCGCTTGTTATACATGAATTCAGTACTCGAGGTTATCTGAAATCACCCATGCCCCTAAGCACAGGTATGTCAATATATATATCCGACTTTGAGAAAAACGCAATGTTATCGACTCCGACGTAAATATATCCTACATCTACAGGGTTGTTACAAATAAGTATTCGAAGCACCCAACTATGATCAAAACCTCTCAGCAAGCATTTCGGTCAGCCATAACTGCCTCATCTGTTCGTCTAATGTCTTCGTGTCCAGTTTCAGGTGTTCCAACCTTGACCATGATAAACTCGTGACCTCGAACTAATTATTCATAAGCATGTAGATCGTGACCCTTCACTCTTGATTGTCTGATCCTTTCCCAACACTTCATATGTCTCGCGTTACCTGACCCTGTTGCAGGGCCCTTTTACTTCATCCTTTGTCCCACAACCTCGTGCAGTCTATTAAACACCACCCATACTTTAAGCCCAGTCAGGGTACCTACTGCCATATGGAAGTGAAACCATAGCTCAAAGTACAATGCACAAAATTTGGGCAAGATAACAGGGCGCAAGGGTGATACGTTATGATATCACTTCGAGTTCTGGCTCAACCCTGAAAGGTCCAGCCCCTTCTGTTCCAAAGGGTCTGGTCATGGCTCACGGTGCATGGACGGTGCAGGCGCGCTGCCCCTGTGCTCCATATTGACGGTGTTATGTCTAGCATTTGTCATGTGTAAGGTCGATTATTGCAGTTTATCGCAGTGGCTGTTCTTAGCTTCGGGTTATATTCCATGCTTTGCGACTGAGTAGTCTATCGAGAGATTAACATACATAGCAGCCAGTATTCTCTGCATGATCAAGAATTATATTATGCAACAGAAATCGCACTTTAAAGCATTATTGTTATGTATTAAAGACGCGGTGTGTTTCTCCGCGGCTACATTGCCCCCAAACGCGATCCTTGTGAATCCCACTCACGCGTGAAGACTGCCACCCGGGAAACGCGAATTCAAAAATATCAAGCAAACGTGACCGTCTGTCTCATACACTCGCGTCGCCTTCCTGTAGAAGATTTTAAAGTCCCACATAAACTTTTCACTCGACCCGGATCCTGGAAACTGTATTTGCTTATCAAACCAGAAACAATGCAAGGTAATGCACCACGCTGCAATGCGAGCCAACGAGAACGGTGGCACAAAAGCAATTTTACAGATTGAGTTGAGTGTCTGAGTTAAAGCCCAGACCGTTGGGGGAAGAAGAAAGCAGTGATGCAAGGGGGTGGCGATAGAATGGGAAGGAGCGCCTTAATTCCAGGCACTACTCGAGCTAACACGGGTCCTTTTGGTGTTTCTAACATAGACTATGGGCAGTAAATTACAGGCAAAACCGAAATCCTCCGTGGCTAGTTTTGGAGTCCCTGCATGCAGCAGTTGGCGGCGTTCAAAGTTCGGGATGGCAGACCAAACCATCCAGGGTAGCTATGCAAGCTTTCAAGTCTTGGCTACCCACGCGTCGGGAACTACTGTAGTATCCATAGAGTCAATCTTAAAGGTTATATCTTATTAGCGAATGAATTAAACCATCCCATAATTACGTGTGAAGCGAGCGGCTCTTCAGGCATTAGCACGAACCCGAACAATGTGAGTCGTTGGAAAGTGCGAATGACTGCCTACAGTTTTTCGTGAAGCTGGAAACGCCCGAAGCCCCCGAACAATGCCATTCAACTGCGTCAGTGGAGCCCGCCACTGCGACTATAACGTACCTACAGCAGCCAATATACTCAGCTAGCGCGGTTGATGCGTCGGCGGGCCGGGAGATGTTCGCAATTCCGGAGAATGCTTAGCGAGAGGCGAAACAGCAATAGCACTGGTATGTCCAAGTTGAAGCTAGTGGTTATCTGCATGGGCTAAATGGTCCCCGCAGTATGATTGACGGTCCATCTACGCCATGGTCATGGCGTCAGAGGCTCACATATTTGCTGATCTCTTTCACTACGCAGGTATGTTCGGACTTTACGAATATCTGTTTCGGCATCGGAAGACATGGAATTGATGCAATAGCCTGAGAATGGCGCACCGAGTACCTGGTCGAGTACCTGGTCGAGAGTTGGATCAGCACGCCAAGATAATAATAAACACTCGGGCTAGACCCTCGACGATTTGGAGAATGTGTAATTTGTCATGCACTGGCCCAATCATATGATTGATCTAGTGAGGTCTGAGAAGGCTTGTTGCAGCGGAGCAGGATGCTGGATAAAGCGTGATGGTATGTCCATAAAAGACTCTAGACTCACAATGTTTCATAGCCTGAAAGTTATAGCATAGCATGAAGTATTCAATATAAGCTCAGGATCAAATCCGTTCAACAAGTCAAACAGTAGTGCGCAAACTCATCGAACATGAAGGTTTCCCCATGATTCACACTGTGCAGCACAGACAGCAGAAACATGTACCAAGCCAACGCCACTTACCTTAGATCAGCCCCAAATAATGAAATTGCCACCGATAGGACCCAGTGGCTGACGAAGTCATGGAGTTCCGAAATGAGGATAGTTGCATGCCGGCATGGCTCGATGCGACGGCAAACAGCTTTTTTATTTTGGTATCTCACTAGAGGCAATTAGTTCAGTACTAGCCCATGGGTGGAGTCTAGCTCTCATGCCAACAGTTAGACGCATCGTTGTTGATGGCGGAGTCTGGTACTGGAGACTTGACGAGCAGAACAGTCTTGGCATCCTCAATAATAGCACACGTACCTGGACGCAAATCATCCTTCTGGACGCAGGGGCTCCCGAGATCTCTGGGGATAATATTGTCTTTCGATTCAACCCTTGCGCGATCCACGTCCGTGCTTTCGAATATCGCTATCTGACTAGAGTTTTAGTTCAGAGATACAATGAGGCTCTCCAAAAAAAAAAGCAAGACATCTGAGACTAATCTTATAGACGACAAAAGAAAATTGAGACGTTGCCGAGCTGCGCCTAACTGAAAACGACCTGCAACTAAATATGGAACGGCGTAAGCGACACAGCAGTCTCTTGGCCTACCGGTTTTCCATGGTTTCGGGACAGGACAAGGCACAATAGTCTTGTTGATAGCTGCAGCCAGCTCTAGTTGCACATGATACATCTTTTTGTTCTTGCTGTATGCTGCAGGTACTGGGTAGAGGAGCAGACAAGTCAAGATAATAGCCGGAACATATGCATGATTCATGAAACTATTCTGAGGTTCCTCGTGTGTCTTTAGGGGGCTGGAACAATTTAAGGGGCCAAAAATTTGCGAGATCAGATCTCGCTACCGACCAGCTGCAGGCACCGGTGATCGACAGTCTTTCTGAAATCGGAACAATAGGCGCCAATTATGGCCCAGGGCTAGAATGCGGGGAGCCATTAGTTAGTTATCGAGGATAGTGCGACACACTAATTGGGATGTGCGAAGCCAATCTTGCGTTTTCTACACGTACAGGTCGAAGAGGTTCAAAATAGACTTCTTTTAATTAAACGGGCGTGGCGAATCAGCGATGCGGCTAGGCAGTGAGAGCTGTCACCACCCGGCTGTCTGTCCTCTTAGGGTTATTGGAATCACGGGTTTATTGACACTGCTTACAAACACACAATTCATGATGGCGGTTTCATCGGCGGTCCATGTGAAAATGTCAAAGACGACAGAATACGACTAGGCGAGAGCGAGGCCATCTCCCCAACCCGTGGTAGCACTGCAGCGACCCGATCAAACATCCGGGCCACGGGTCATTCCAATTAGGGCTGGCATGGTTTACGAAAGGCCGGCTCGGCTCGTGTGGCGCGCACTCTTTGTACAAACTAAAAGGATGTAAGCAGAAAGTGGAGGAGTTAGGAAACACGGCCGACAGAGCCTAGCCACGCAGAAAACCGGAATAAAAGTGCCCGGATTATACCAATCGGGACGACTGGTCGAGTCTCTGTCACTGGGCAGTCCCATCAACTGACGCATGACGGATCAGAAACATTGGCAAATGATTGAGAGGATGCAGATTAGCTAGTGGGAGCAGACCTAAGGCCATCCGACGCTATCCGGAACCGTTGAGGCGCATCCTTTGCCAGTCACCGGACAAACACATCGATACATTCCAATGAGACTATGATGACGATGAGACGGTGTTCCTGGAACCCGTTTAGATGGCCACTGGGAACTGCCTAGGCGACGCTTCTCCACCGTGATAGGGGCGGGTCGGGGGCCGATGGAGCCTTATCGGATGTGGAGTCCAAACTGGTCGATCCATAGCTGATCCACTGTCAATGCGCTCTGATCAGCTCGAACCCAAAAGAACCTCCACGGAGAAAAGAGAGAATGGATAAACATGCCATGGAATTTACGATGCTACCCTCACAGCCGGGATGCTGCGTGTTGAAAATCGAAGATCACGGCTGCACACCCGGGTTTGCACAGACCATGGTCCAGCAAACGCCCAGCCTTCGTAACGTCTGACCTGTCGCCGGACCCATCCAAAGTACCAGATCGATCAGTATGTCGAACACCCCCACTACCGCCACAGACATCTGAGCGAGCTCATATTTGCTTCCCTCCCCGGCCGAGAACTCATGACAATCAGGCCTCCCGGTTGTCTCGGCGAGGGTCTCAGAGTCAGGACCTTGTAGATGACTGAGAAGTTGGTGGCGCTGTCTACATCCTGAGAAATGCGTGCTGTCAGACCTCCAACCGGGGGGCTCGTAGTGGCTGATCCGGACTTTAGAGCGACGCAGGTCCCAGACCCGGTGGTGCGCGTACCAGTTTTGACATGATCGACGCCCAACGAAGCGATCCAGAAAGTCCGGGGAGGATCGACCAGAGACCTTCCGCATCGTCTTATGCCCTCGGACGCACCTAAGTATGTAATGGCGCTGCATGTCATGCAGGACCCAATGAGGGCTGCATCGAGAATAGACTCTACTCACATTGCGCGGAACGCAAGAGGTACAGCCGAGGAGGCGACGAACAGCGAGCATTCCAGTTGATGTACTCAGGACATCCAGCGATTGTAGCCGCATGCCCCCGGCATGGCAGGAGCAGATTGGCTGCAGATGATATCCGATGATGCTTTGGCGCCGGCTCGAATGATCCACGGGCTGCAGCGAAAAAAATAATAATAATGCAAATAAAAAATAATTCACCAAAAAAGAAACGAAAGTGAGGGATGGCGAGGACGATCCACACCCCCAATTCCTCTCCAGGAACAAGCCCTAAGTGAATCATTAATCTGCTGCATCCTATAAACCGCCCACTCCGACCTAAGACAGTTGCTGTCTCCTCGATCTCGCTCAGATCAATTGACTCCGACTCCTTGCTGTCCCTCTTCTTATAACTGCCCTCATCCCTTCTTTCACCCCACTGTCCATCCCTCTGACCCTGCCTCCCTCTCTTACAACACGCAATACAGAACAAGGAACCGCGTCTCAGGGCGATACTGCAACCCCGGTCTCGCCTGTCACTGTCCAGCCACGGTCCTTTATCCCCTGTCGGCAAACCCGGCCTATTGTTCGCGACTAACCCGCGACACCGAGCAAACTAAGGCTTCTCCTGGTAACAGATCCAGGCTTTGCCGTGGTAACCCAGGAGCTCACAGCCTGCATTCCTGGCCTTGCTTGCGACCACCGGCACGCGTCGCGCCTCTGGTACTTGGAGCTCTGGATCTGATCTGAGCATAGACATGGCGTATAGCTGTAAGTCCGATACCACCCCCTCCTCGGGATTGTATGCTGGACCAATTTGTTTATTTCTGCTCGTTTGTCCTCCATTCCCTTCTTTCCTCTCTTCCACTCCAACCCTCGACATTCTTTGCTTCCCTTTCATACTCCTAATCACATTCACTCTCTTTGGGTGGTTCCTGTCCTTCTCTTTGTCTCTGTACACACCGTTGCAGACCCGCCCTCTTTTACTTTCCTATTATTTTATGCTTGCTTCTTGGTCAATTGGTCGTTCTTTGGCTACATAATCCCTAATCTCAACAATCATCCACTAAACGAGTGCCTTCACCAGGTGAAACTATTGTCGACCCAGTCGGATCCCGAGAACTGAAAGCCGAAGGCGACGATATGAGACCTCAGGGACAGCATATTTCTGATCGTCTGACTGTGGAGGTTGACTGTCGCTCCCTTGGCCCGAGCGAATGCCCTTCGATGACCTCGAGCTTCTCCCCCTTGGACTCTCCTACCCCGACTCCTACCAGTATCTACAGTCACAACTCTATGGCCTCGCCTGGGTGGCATGAGACTGGCCAATATCACAGCCTGCCGATGGAAAGAAGGACATCCGCCACGCCACTGCGCAGTGCATTCAGGATGGCCGACTTGACAGCCAGCGACAGCCTCAATATGCAGTACGGGGCCATGGAGCGCCACGACCAGATGGCCATTCCAGAGTACATGCCTGGCTATGATGAGAATGCCGAACCGTTTTGGATTCCATCCGACATGTCCAAGACGTACGAGCAAGGCGGCAGCTTTCCCTATCAGGCCCCGATGCCACAGTACAACAACATCCCACGCCAATACTACCGCCAACAGCAGCAAACTGGATATCTTCCCGAATCTGCTTCCAATCCTTGCTTGTCACGACCAATCTTCAACCAGCATGACCGTATTCCCAACTCGGTGTCCATGTCCAACATGCTCCCGTGGATGCAGGCAAACGAATCTATGGCACCCCAGACTATCACCCCTTCCCAGGCGTTCCCTCATCCGCCTGTGACCCCGCCTCCTTCTTCCTACTCTGAGTTTCCTACTTCTCTGCCTACGTTCAAAACCCAAACACCTTCCACTCCTGTTCGGTCATCGTTGGGCACCCCCTCTGCCACTGACAGCCCCATGAGTCGAGTCTCTGGTGGCAATGCCGAATACATCGAAGACTTCCAGCTGTCTCCGGTTTATCGCGATGGCATTATTACACGCCCACACCGCCAGGCTTCGCGTAAATCTTCCAAGAAGCAGCTGACTCGCTCTAATCTGAGCCTGGAGAACCTGCCCCCGATCATCAAACAGGTGCAATTCAAGTGCAAGGAGGCTGGGTGCAAGGGCCGCTTCAAGCGTCAGGAGCACCTCAAGCGCCACATGAAGAGTCACTCGAAGGAAAAACCTCATGTGTGCTGGGTTCCCGGGTGCCATCGTGCATTCTCTCGCAGTGACAATCTTAATGCGCACTACACCAAGACTCACAGCAAGCGTGGCGGCCGCAACCGCTATGTTGCCACCCTCGATGACACCAGCCCTGATTTCGATCCTGATTTCCGTGGCCAGCTGACCCCTGAGGGTCGCCCGATCTGGGGCAGCAAACTGGATGACAACATGCCTGACTGCCGCGAGTTGAGCGTGGATGGCTGGGATGACTAGATGCAGAAAAAGTCACAATCAAAAGCAAAAATTGAAAAACCAAACCACCACGCGATCGGAAATGGAAAAAAAAGGAATCACGCTGCCTACATAGGCATACTTTTTTTGATACCCCTTCTTTTTGGAGGAAAACTGGTGCCACAAGAGGTGGCACTTGCATTATTGGCCGTACAGGCCGGTGCGTCGCGGCGTTTTTACATGTCTCGAGGATCTCCGAGGCTGTCTGATATCTTTTCGTTATTCTCTTGCATACTTTGCTGGTGTCATTCGAATTCCTGGTGAGGCACTTTGAGACGTCTTTCTCTTTTTTATGGCGTTTGCATATTTTCCTGTTCTTATGATCGCCCCGGGGATAATCAGGAGGTCAAACAACCACCCATCAAGGCCGAAGGCGATCCTTGTACAATCAGCTATAACGTGTTGCTTCGTTTTTTTTTTCTTTTGATTGCTTGTACTACCACCCATATATTTCTGTGGAATAATATCCAAAGCAAAAACAAAGCTATCAGTGTTACTCTTCTGTCTTTAATCTCCTACTTTCTTGACCCGTAGACACCTTCGTTCACAAATTCTATGAAATTTCGCCTATCCCCTTCCTTTTCCTGGATAAAGTATCATCAAAGATAAGCATCTTCTTCAAAGTGTCATCTTCAACTCTAGATGTTGCGTTGTTCCTCGCTGTCGGATTGTGGAGACCCAAATGTTACACATCACACCCAACCCGTTCGTGCCTGGATCTCTCCATCCGACCTATCTGCTTGCACGATTCAGCCTCCATAGCTATTATGGTATCTTCTTTCAAATTACTCCATTTAGTTTTTGGAACTCAGGTAACATTCCACGGATAAACGGCTTGCTTCCTATTAGTCTCGGCTGCTAAAAGCACGTGCCTAATCGAATAGAAATTGCGCAGCTGACGTGGCTAAAATGGCTCGTTCTAGTTCTAGGCATCTCTTTTCTTTTTCTCTATGCGTGGACATGTGTCCTGAGAATGCACAGGAGACTAATGCGCATAACGCATTAGGGCTGAAATGGAGGCTTGATGCAACGCCCGCGCCATGCTAAGCAGCACCAGTATAGAACTCACGTAGGTCAGGATAACCGCTACAACAATCCTGTTACGCCGACGTCTTTCCATACTCGAGTACATGAACCGCTGCCGGAGGCACAAGGAACGACGCTTGGTGCTCCTGCCAAGCTGCGCCCCTTGTGTTTCTGCCCTTCGTTCGCTACCATACCCTGAATTCCTGGAACTCCCGCCTCCGTCGATTTTAAGATAAGCAAATATTCACCCACGCTTGATGGAACACAGGCGTATTCAGTAAGAGTTAAATACTCGAGTACTGCCAGAGGCTTCACCAACCTGGCCGTTCTCTACTAGCAATGGCGCTTTCCACTCCTTCAATCGTCTCTCATCCCAAAGAGCGTAATTTCATTCCCAGACCGTCTCAGACTCTCGATCGGAATTCATGGAATCAGCAAGAATGTCTTCTTCATGTAGAACGCGATGTAGAAATCCAGGTCCTAGTCCCGCTAATCCTCCGAAATGTTCATAGAAGTGAACAAGGTCTTGTTCGCTCTCAATTTCACAACCTGTAATGTGGCCGTTGTTCTATAGGAAGCATATCCCCAAATAAATCGCATGATGTACTCTTGCTGAGTTGTCGTAAGTCGTATACAATCTCCTTGGAAAAATTCTTTCTCTTGGCAATGAGATAACTCAGTTTGGGGCGTTGTTGGAGATGATATTTCTAACTTTACCTTCAAAGAAATTCAGTGAAGGCCCACCAGCTCTATATTTCATTTACTAGTCAAGGCTTTTTCATTGGGTATAGCGGATTTGGCTTTTGATTTGTTTTACAGCAAATTTTGCAGCTAGTTTTACATGGTAAATTCTATGGTACACTTGTGAAGCGATGCTCCTGCTCCTACCACGGAACAAACCTGATGGCATATATTCCCTGTGCTCCCTGCATCTGAATAGTTCCTCCTTGAGGTGTTGAAATGTCATTTGGGTCAACATCCAACATTGGCACGTCATCCCACGTTGCATGGACCGTTGGTTCGCCATTCAGAAGCCGGTTGATGTTCAACATCGTGCTATACATCAACCCGTGACTTTCAGCCTCAACCATCTCCTCAGGACCGCTAGCGATGTCGGAGAATTTTGATGCTAGCCCAGCTGAGTGATAGTTTCCTGTTAGAGACGGATATGGCGCAAAGCATCGCAGATATCCATGGCCGCACATCCTACCCAAAACCACGTCAAACTCAGCACCGGTGTCGATTTGGTCTGCTAGTAGGGATGGGTTGACTGAAAGAGCGGCGAGGATCCGTTGAGCGCCGCGCTGGCTCACGGCATAGCCATTGGAGCAGACTCCATCGTTCAAAGTGCAGGCCATACGGGAATTCTCGGGTCTTCTCATGTGAGGGACCTCGCGCAAGTATGGGAGGAAATGGGTTGGTGGGACCACAGTAAGTTCGTTCGGCGTCAGGAAAAAAGGCTCTTCGTGTCTGCAATCCACTCCACAATGACCAATCCAGAGGATATCCCAATCATCGCCATATGGTGAGGCGGTATGAGCACGCTCTGTCTTCTGAAGTGCTCGGACTGCAAGAGCGAAGCTCTGGAGTTGGGTCTTGATCGTCACATCCCAGTCGGCGTCATCTTCAAAGACAATCGCACTACCAAGTCGTTGGTGCACAATCCTGGGACAATGTTAGTTAGCAGGATGAATTGAATTCACCGCGAGATATTGTATACCGTTGCATCACATTCAAATGTGACCTTCGAGCTGCATATTGGGCTGACTTGGGAACAGAGTGTAAATTCTGAAAACAGATAGTCAGCAAAGGCTGGGGCAGAGAACAATTCAATCTCACGTAAGGGTAGGTATTGGGGTCAATATCCTCAGGGACTACTCCATCAATGAACTCGACATAAAAATCGCTGACCGTGGAGCCCAGGACAATGTTGTCCCTCTTGTCCACCTTGCTGGGCTTATTGATCGCGAAAACTTTTTGAACCTATGAAATATCAGCATACCAGTAAATTCGGTGACTAGTTGGAACAAGTACCCCTAAAGTTTCATTGCGAATGGCATTGAGGCCGGGCCGAGCCCCTCGGGACTTTCCTCGCACCGATCCCTGGCGATAAGGGACCGGCCAAAAGGCTAGGACAATGATGGCCACTCCAAGGACGTACAAGATCCACCGGAGAGTCCGCCTGTTGGACATTGACAATCCCATGTTCACTCAGGCCACACGGTAAGAGCCTGAAATGAACATTGACCCTTATTCTGAAGCACTAATTGGCTGTGTGGGGCATGTGTCGCAATCGTCACGTGTCTGTTGTGGGCGACGCGTTGCAGGTCGCTGGTGACACGCCAATAGTGAAGATCTTTTTTGGTCAATTGCGAGGAAATTCTGATGTGTCGCGTGCAGACACCGCCAAAAACAAATTTCCCGCTAACTAGGTCAAGTATATTGTGTAATCATTACCACTTACATTTCAGACACGAAAATGTGTCCCTTCTTCTCTGAATCAAAGCTTTCGACAACCGGTGTGGACACCATCATTGTCTCCTTTCGCAAGTAAACTACCACCTAGAGATATTTACCTTACTATGGACCCAGTCAGCTCGGTGTCTCTGTGCTTACACGTTCGGCTTTGCAACCACTCAACGAACTGCATAGTACAGATGTTTTACGCCGAGCACCTTGAAGACCTCTTGTCAGTATAACTACTGAATGTTGCATGAGTGACATCTTGCAAAAGGTGAGGTTTCTTTGTGTCTTGCATTGACTGCCCTGTCTCGACCTTATCATCTCCGCTCACTATCACGAGTGGCCTCCACATCCCCCCCTTAGGTAACCGTTTAAATAGAGACACCGGCGAGAAGCCAATAATTATAATTGAGGAGAAGAGTAAGTAACAATTTCTCTAAAGAGCTACCCCGCAAGAGATCGGTGAATTGTTAACTTAAAAATCTTATTTTTTATTATCAATAATTATCATGTGCTAGCCGTGTCGAAGACAATTCTACAACGCGTGGGAGGTGCTATTATGCTTCACGTACCTACCCTCGCCACGAGTCTATTTGCAAGTCTCGTGAGAGTTTAGACAGACAAAACTATTCCAATTGCCCTCAATATATTCCAAACGCCGAGGCGATACCAAGGAGTTGACTTGTGAAATCAACTGTCGAGGAGGGGTCGGCCCTCGGCACGGGTCCACAGTAGGCCCCGTTGGCTCTCCATATCATTACATAAAAGGAAACAATAGATAGTCCCAGGCAGACTAAAAGTATTGTAATCTCACTAGTTGATACTTTCTTATCATCATCTCAGAAATCTTCTACTGCCCAATGACTATCCCATCCGATCCTCTGTCGGGGTACGTGAATCACCTCACCCAAAGCCAAGAAGCAAAACTACGAGAGTTATGGATCCTCTTGTTTACTTCAGCAGCTTCTGTGCTGTCTGCTGTCTACGACGTTCCGATCCCACAAGGCTCGCCTCATCATCTCTTTGAGGCTCTAGACAGTATCGAGGAACCGTCTGTGGATGCAATCTTAGCGGCATTAAATAAAAAGGAGCCTGCTTCATCGGCTGCAAAAGATTTGTCGATTTCAGACGCAAATGGTGAAAACAAAGAACAAAAAGCCCTTGACAAGATGGAGTCTCTGATCAACAAAGAGGCCGAAAAAAACATCCAGTCGGAGATGGCTTCACGGAAGGTGACACCGGAACATTTTTCTGCACTATTTAACCAGCTTCGAGATATGGGCGTTTCCGAGTCGGACATTCGATCCATGGAAGCAATCCTGTCCAAGCTTGGCCCAGAGGAGATGGTCTTTGCGGTGTTGAAAATGATCAAACAGGAGCACCCTGATGCCCTGCTCCTCCGTTTTTTACGAGCCAGAAAATGGGATGTTGGAAAAGCCTTTGCAATGATGACTTCGGTAATTTTATGGCGAAAGACAATCGGAGTTGATGATGATATCATGCCCAAGGGCGAGCTTTATGCTCTGCAACAAGCCGAAGATGAGAAACTCAATTCTGCTGCGCAGAAGGAAGGAAAAGATTTCATTGCACAATTTGAGATGGGCAAGAGCTATCTCCATGGATTTGATAAACAGGGCAGACCTATTGGTGTTGTGAGAGTTCGTCTGCATAAGCCTGGAGCTCAAAGTCAGAAAACTCTTGAGCGGTATATTGTCCATACCATCGAGACCACGCGGATACTGGTGACTCCTCCAGTGGAGACAGGTGTAAGTTTGGCCAATATGTGTGTGTATTTGTTTACTGACAGTTGATTTGGGATCAATTAGGGAATTGTCTTTGATATGACTGGGTTCGGACTGTCGAACATGGTAGTTACAACCTCCGCCCCCTGTAAGGCATATGGCACAAAGTATTAACTTTTCATGATTATAGGAATATTCACCAGTCAAGTTTATCATAAAATGTTTTGAAGCCAATTACCCTGAGTCATTGGGCATACTTCTTATCCATAACGCACCATGGATTTTCTCTGGTCAGCCTTCCTGGATGTTGAATTACTGAACTTTTACCCTTGAAGTTGGTAGCTAACTATGAATCAATTGAATAGGATTTTGGAAAATCATACACGGTTGGATGGACCCCGTAGTGGCCTCCAAAGTCCATTTTACCCGATCAGTCGAGGACCTGGAGAAATTCATTCCTCGAGAGAATATCCCCAAAGAGCTGGGTGGGGAGAAGGACTGGGAATACGAGTATGTCAAGCCAAAGCCAGACGAAAATACGGTCATGCAGGATACAAAGACCCGGGATGCGCTAATGTTCGAGCGGATGATGATCGGTCTGCGGCTACTAGCTGCAACAGCGGCATGGATTTCTGCCACGACATTTTCGGAGAAAGAAGATGAAAAGACGGTGAAGGAATTGAAATCCAAGAGAGAGGCAATTGTTGAGGAGTTTCAGAGTAACTACTGGAAACTGGACCCATATGTTCGGGCACGAGCATTGATTGACCGCACTGGGGTTCTTGGGCCAGATGGGACTGTTACCACCTAGTAGTGAGTATTTTTTATGTGGTCCGGAAGGGCGTTTTGAATCATTGAATCAAACTTTCCTCTGGTGTTCTTGGTTTAGATTTAATGGAACTGAATATATGCTAAACAAGTTCTGAATTTTGTCGCATATAGACGCCTTGGCACTTTGACGTACGTCTGACGAACCACGGGGTGCCCTTGCCGCAAGCTAGGGATAGAGGTCACCGCGCATCGACATTAGAGTCAGTTCCAAATGCAGGTGAAAGAAGGGCATTCTTCCCTAAAATGTCTCGGTCGGGTCAATTACCACATGCAATGGGGATCCATAATGAGCGCATTGGCGGGACGGATGCTGAAAATCGAATATCACATTCCAAAGCATGTACTCCGAGGTACGGGAGTTTGGACGCATAAATCAACGTCAACACCACGTTTGACTGCATACATGGAAGACTAGAAGGATTATGCATGCATCTGGCCTCAATTTACCTTTTTTTTAAAAAAAAAAAAAAAAAAAAAAAAAGCGTAAAGAAAGTCGAGCATGTTGGACTATGCGCAAGCCATACACTGCATTTGATTGACTGCAGGGAATCGCCCAGCTACTTTACTGGATTGTTACCTAAACACCATCTATGGAGAAAACCCAGTTATTAGAGCACATGCGTAATTTCTTTTAGATCAAGAATAAATCCAACCCCAAGCGACCCCGGGATTTCGGGGAATCAAGCATCATCCAAAACCTGGGGTAGCATCTTGTTAGTCATCGCTGATATAATCACATGCACTTAACTAGTTAACTACGTGTACAAATGAACAACACACCGCAGGATCGGGGAGATTTCCCCTCTCTATATCATATAAATAGTTGACACCATTTCTCCTTTCAAATCTTGAAGGAATACTTTTCTGTTAGGGATTATAAATGCCTTGGATTGCGCCCTCCCTGAATGAGAGATTAATGATGTCTCTGGAGCGTGTTGCATTGTGGTCTGAACATCGCCCCTCCCCCTTCCCAGGACCCCTCTGATCTTACCTTCCTATGATGACTTTTTTGATTGGCATGACCATGCTCCATGGATGTTTCAATTTAAAATTTCAAGCTCAACAGTCTGAGGAAGGCTATGACTTGTAGGAAGATCTCGAGTCTGGGGATCCGTGAGATAGATACCTGTCTCCTACACCGAGAAACCATCAGATAGTAAACTTGACTCTACAAACAGATGGCAGCCTGTTGAACGAACAGTTCATGCAATTTTTGCATTTAAATTCAACTGCATTAGGTATTTCCAACACCGAAGAATTGAAAAACGTAAAGTCCACTGCCCTCAACCAAAGATAACCCCTGAACCGCGTAAAGGCCACAAAAAAGTCAAAATAGAACAGGAACTCCTATACAAATGGTATCGAGTCCGATGAATCCTTGAGTTCCCACCGCCGAAAGAAAAAGAAAACCGTTCCCAAATAGTACAAAATCACAAGAAGAAACACAGCAGCATGAAAAAAAAACCAAGAGAATTTCTGTAAAACGCCAGCCTCTGTTCTCGCGATGCCTGTCCCTGTACATTCCCAAGATTATGGGTTAGAAAAATTCGAGAAAGCCACGAAGACCGTAAGGGCCCTTCCCCAGCGGCGTGCACGTTTCTTTCTCAATGTGCAGACCGTAAATGTTCCCAATACTCTCAAACTTGCCCCAGATTTCCAGTTATCACATCTCACAAGTAAATCTGAAATCTGATGTTCTCGAGGCATCCTCACATTGCTCGTCTTTCGTGCCATCAATTGCCCATCCCGTTATGCATCATGTTCTGTTGTTGCTGCATCTGCTGAGCTTGCACAGCCGCTTGGACTTGATTGGCGCGCTGTTGCTGGGCGGCTTCACGCTCGCGCCGCATGAGATCTTGCACCCAGGCCTTCGCGTTCTTCTCGAGCCCAGGGCCGTATTGCTGCGCAATCTGCGGCGGATATTGGGTCGGTGGCCCGTACTGCGGCATATAACGCTGCGACATTTCATGTCGCAGTCGCAGCAATCGTTGTTGGTAAAGCTGGTTATATCTTTGGGCCATATTCATACCCTGCATGTTCGGAGGGACCTGGCCACCATTGGCCTGGGCGGCAGCCATCATCATTTGCTGCTGCTGTGCCTGTTGCTGCTGAGGCGTCATTTGCGGGCTGCCATGCTGAGGTTGGTTCTGCTGGCCCTGTCGCTGCGGTTGCTGGCCACCTTGCTGTTGCTTGACCATCTGCATCTGCTGGAATTGAGCACGCATGAGCTGGGCTTGATAGGCCTGCTGATTGTGTTGATTGCCAGCATTCTGCATGGGTTGCTGATTTTGCTGCGGGTGTTGCTGCTGCTGCTGTTGTTGTTGTTGAGCATGCAACAGTTGTTGCTGATGGGATTGAATGTTTTGCTGCGCATGTGCATTAGCCTGCATTTGAGCAAGCTGCTGCGGTGTGAATTGATTGTGTCCCATATGTCCTTGTTGTTGAGCAAGAATCTGTTGCTGTCTCTGTTGCAGGAGCAGTTGCTGCTGCGGCGTGAGACCCATGCCACCGTTCATCTGCGGGTTCGCAGTCATTGCCTGGGTCATCACTGGAGTCTGGGTCATATTCGGATGGTTTGGACTGCTGTGGCCCATTCGCTGAGTTGGGGTAACATTGCGCATAATGGGCGTGGCATGCGACATGGCTGGTGTGCCTTGGGTCATCTGCGGGGTTCCATGCCGGCTTGGTCCTTGTTGACTTCGTGACGGAGCCATGGGGTGACTCATGACATTAGGATGAGCATGCTGCAAGGCTGATGGAGGTCGCGGGGGACTTCCCGACTGTTGGGAGGCATTGATGCTCATCGGAACCGCCTGGTGAGCCATGGTGTTGCCAACCAATGGAGACGATGTACTGTGAGGAGTCTGGTTGCGCACAACCGGCGAGGACTGCTGTCCTTGGGTGACACCGTTTGGCTGTGCCATGACATGTCGATTCTGCTGCTGAGCGGCAAGCTGAGCCTGAGCCTGCTGAGCAGCCAATTGCTGATGTCTCCGCGCTTCTTCCTTGATATGTTCTTCAGCTTGGCGCTGTTCAAGCGCGCGACGCCGCTCCCGCTCCTGATCTGCCTGCTGTCTCTTGGCCAGCTCCTGCTTCATCCTCATCTCATGTTCGCGCTTGGCCTTATCATCAAGCTGCATGCGAATAGTCTCCAGTGTTTTGAATCGAGAGAACCGGGGTTCGAACGGCGCCACACCGCCCGCATCGTCAACAGCAGCCTTTGTACCAGCGGTAGCACCCGCCACTGTGGGCTCCAAGCGCTCGTCCATAATGAGCATAAATCTCTCTTCCTCCGCAGCCAGCGCCTCATCAGCCGCAAGTTCGGCAATGGTTCTCTTCCGGCGCTTGGGTGAGGGTGGCGGGTCGCGATGAAGCGGGCTCTCCAGAAACTTCAGCAGATTCTGTGCGGCTTCAAAGCTGTCCACGGGATCCAGGAACAGAGGAGCAGCCAACGCCCGAGTCAACTTAGCTTCACATTCTGGAAGATCCTGCGGCTCAACAAGGGTCTTCTGTCTTTTTGCAGGGCGCTCTTGAGTGCCGGTGGTTGCTTGCGATTGAGGCACAACGGACGATGACTGTGTCCGGGCGAGCTGGTTTGCAGCCGATGATCTTGCAGATTTGGGGTCAGGTGTAGTAACAAGTAAAGTCAGCTCTGCCTGCAATGTGCGCGGAGTAGGATGCAGCACTGTGGTAAAGACTCGAGGCTTAGGCGCAGAAGCCTTCTGTGAAGATTCGACCCCCTGGGTCTGTGATTCTGCTTGCTCAGATACATCACCATTGGGGCCCGCTTGGTTACCATTATCCGCCGACTTCGCGCCATCAGTGGAGAGCTGGTTCTGCTTCGGGTAAGGAACGTAGGCAGACGGGGTAACATGCTCGTTATAGTTGTGTAGAGAGAAAGGGGCGTTGTTCCCATTGGATGGGGACGCAGAGGACTTCCTAGCTTGGGCTGAGACGGATTTGTGGTCGACCACGCGGACAATGAGACAGCCTGACAAAGATATCCTTAGTATGATTGTTGATCAATGGGCATCAAATGCGAAAGCTACCTTCGTAGAAGCGCACACCAGCTCGTAGCAGCTCTTCAATCATGTCATATGGAACAGTCCCGGCACGAATGTGCTCGATAATAATCTTCATCTCCGAATTATACGGGAAGCTGCCATCTTGCTGCTCGAATCGGAAATGCGTCAAATGAAGATGCACGATGAGGGACGGAGGATATTTGGCGTATTTCTTGAGAATATATGGTGTGGTTTTAACTGAGAAGAAAGGGATGAGTTAGCAAGGATACAAGGCACTGATGTAGTTTGCTGAATTGCCTCACCATATGGCTCAGGGAACGTCCTCTCAGTTCGGTTTTCACTGTCAGCCAGTTCTGCCCTCGTCAATGGCCGACCAAGTCGCGAAGATGCGTCCGCGAGCTTTTGCGACTGGTTCCTCGTTCGGTTCAGGGGACCCTTGACGGAATTCGACACATTGGCCACGCCATTCGCGAGATTGGGGCTGGAGGTAGCCGCGAAATTTCCCGGGGGGCGTTTCGACGCGAGCTGTGGTGAAGATGAGGGCTGGTGAGCCTTGACTCCGTTGACCCCAGCCTGCGAAAAAGGCGGGGGCGGCCGCTTCATCTTCGGGGGTTGCGAGGTCGGCTTGGAGACCGCGGTAGCCATGGTGTCGATACCGGTTTCGCGTCAAGGGGATCAGCAGGGGTGCTGGATGCGCCGTACGTGAATGCCGATTAAAAGATGCGGGATCAAAGCTCTGCTCCGAAAGTAGATGGGATGGCCGATGCGCGCGACATGTGGGGATTCGGGAGGTCGGCACCGGACGACAACCAGGTCGGCGAAGGCGATGCAAACCGGTTGGCAGACGGCAGTCTAAAGAGAGGAAACGAGGGTGCCCATCGAGTGAAGCCGCGAGGAGTGGACGTGATCGGGGAAGAGGCCTGGAGAGCGAACGGAGAGTGCAGAGGAAGTGGATGACTGCCAAGCCGGCGGGCGGTCAGGTGATGTCGGTTTCCGTTTTGGGTTTAGTGTCGCTCTTGTACTCTGCCCTAAAGGAAATGAAGTATAAAATTGGATTATATTGAATTGCACGGGCAAACATCGTAAAATAGTATAGACATGCTAGGGGTCAAGTATCAAACATTAACATCATGGCCAGAACACCGTTAGTCGAACCCGCGCACTCGTCGGCGCCAGTCATCGCCAATACGCAACACGTCGACCACGTCAATCCGTTTCCCAATCCCGGTGGTGCCTTCTTTCTGCCACCATTTTTCTCCCTGATCGGCTAGAGCGGATTCATCATCGCTATCAATGAGACCGCCATGGCCACCCTCACCTCCAACGATGACAATGACTTGACGGACCCATCCCGAGATGTGTCGCACCGCGTCACCCTCGTTTCCAGCAAGAGACTCTTGAACGTAGACAAGGTCTGGGGAGAGATGGCGCACAAGGTGCACGTACCCAGTCGCGGTGCTGAATGGCATGATCATGCTATCCTTCTCGACCAGCGTCTGGCCTTGGGAATACAAAGTCCTGAAGAAGGGGGTCGTGCCTTCGAGTTCCTCAGCATCCATATCACCAGCAGGAAGTTCACCGGAAGACGCGGCATCTTCGTGAGCAATGTTCGAGTACGAAGAGGCACTAGACATTGTCGGCCGGGAAGCGTTTCCTGGGGTAATGGCGTGTTTCAGATCCGGGGCATAGATCAAAACGAAAATTCTCGAAGTGTCGATGTCAACATATTCTGGAAGGTGAGAGAGAATAGACTGTAGTTATTAGCACAAATCACTGAGAGAGCGAGTGGGGGGCGGTCCATACAGCATGTCCCGAGGTGAATTCATCGGAACCAGCGGGAGAAACGGAAGATACAACGATTGTGACGGTCTTCTTCTTGCCAAACGAGGATTGCCCGGTAGCTGCCGCGGGGCCTGGTAAAGAACCACTCAAGGTCGCTTGCTGACTTCGCTCGTTCGCTCGGGATTGGGCCTCCTCCGACCATCTGGTGTGGTCCTCAAAGTCGCCTCGGTTTTCCCCTCGATTTTCTTCCCGGATCGATGTGAGAGCGCCACCAACAAAGGCACCCGCAGCAGTCACGCCGGCCACCACTCTCCTGCTGGCACCGTCGAAGATTTGTTGCGGGCTGGGGGTTCGGCGCAAAGCACCCTGCATGCGCGCCATGATGCTGGGGTCATATGCACCTTGCCCGGGTATCACCTCTGCCCCAGTGCCTCGCGCATATTCTCCGGGACCGTAGCCAGGCGGAGGGAAGTCGTTTCCGACAGGGCCTGGAGGAGGGTACTGACCGTCCCCGTTGTCATGGGGACGATCATCTTCGTCGTCGTCGTTTCTTTCGCTCCAAATCCAGGCCGCAATGCTGAGGGTGGCAACTCCAACGGTCAATGCCAGGGGAAGCCAGTACCCCGTAGCAGTGCGCCTGCCTGAAGAGCTGAAGCCGGCGCCAGCTCCGCCGCGGCGGCGTCGAGGATCTTGGTAGGACATTGCGGGTAGTCGATCAAACGTGGCGCATTTAGGAGACAAGAATCGCGGTCGCAGGGACACCCAAATCACATTTCAGGCCTCTTCCAGGCAGTAAAAAGGAAGACGAAGGAGTTGAGGAGGCGAAGAAGGTGAACCTCGGAAACCATGTGGCTGGTGTCTGTTTACCGCGGTGTTATGGTTTGCCCTGTTTGCATCTTCCATAAATGTGGAGGCTGGGCTGACTCAGCTATCAGCACGTGATGCGGTCAAAAAAAGCATCAAAGGCGGGATCGAGTCATTGTCGGGACGACGGGTTGCAGAGCTGTGTCAGGGCAAGAGCTGTACCAGGGCTCATTGATACTGTTGGGATATCACTGAGCGCATATTAATATCCGATTCACGTTCGTTTGCAGACAGCCGTCTACCTCAGCAGTTTGTCGCCAGCCCCCACCATCCATTGAAGCTCACGATGGGACCCCCTGTTCCAGCTACGGGCCTGCAGGCTCTCATTCTCTGCGGTTGGTTTACCGCGTCACGATATATCTTTGCTGTGGCTAACAGTTCTATTTATTATAGGGCCCGGTGTCTCCCTCAACACCTTCACGTCAAACCCGGAGGAGAACCCCAAAGGTTTGGTTCAGATAGCCAACCGGCCACAGATCTTTTATCCTATTGAATGGTGCAAGAAAATGGGAATCACTTCTATCACATTGATCTCACCCCCAACCGCCGTTCCAGCCCTCGAGGCAGCGCTCTCCCAAAATCCGCATCTCACCAGCCTACCGTCCCCGTCGCCATCAGTCCTGGCACCTGCCGACCTAGACATGGTTACGGGCACTGCGGAGCTTCTTCGCCTTCCAGAAGTTCAGGCGTGCATCAAATCCGACTTTCTTCTTCTTCCGTGTGATCTCATTTGCGAGATCCCTGGTATCTCTTTCTTGGAGACCTGGATGGTTGAAGGGCGCCGTGGCGGTCTTAGTGTTTTCTACCCGACACAAGGCCGGGAGGAGAGCATTAAGAAGGAGGCTACCGATTTTGTGTGTATGGCGCCGCTGGAAGGAGACGAGATTGACAATCGATCTGAACGCGGCCTTTCAAAACTGGTTCTCTCAATGCCAATGGATACACTAAAGGAAAAAATGGAGGAAGACAAGGCATTGCTGATCCGTCACTCATTGGTGAAGAGGCATGCTCAGGTCAAGATGCTGACCAGCTATCGCGACGCTCACATCTATGTCTTCCCGTACTGGGTCAAGGACTTTGCACGGCTCAATGAGAGGTTTCAAAGCGTCAGCGAAGACTTGGTGGGATGGTGGGCTAAGTCGGAGTGGCAAATGGGGTTGGGCGAGAAGTTGAAAATGAACGAGATCTTCCAGCAAGAGAGCCACAGTTCTGCAGCCGGAGAAAATGGCAGTGACGACGGCGACATCGAACAAGAAATATCACTCACCAACATGTCTACGACGAAAACCGGCACCACGGATATATCCTCGGAGAACCCAATCTCTTATGCATCTCGTGTCAACGCTCCGGGCTCGGATGCTAAGAGCGAATTGACCGTCCCACCCATGTTGGCCTACACCCATTCATCTTTATCGTCTGCTCCATTGGTCCGGCGCGTCGACAGCTCGGCGGTCCTTCTGTCTACGTCTCTTCGCCTAGCCAAACTCGAGTCTATCGAAGAGGTCGGCCGTGCCGCCGCCTCGCCTTTTGCCTTCAACACTAAAATCGCTGAGACGGCAAACGTTGCGCAAAAGAGCACGGTTACGAAGAGCGACTGCCTCGTCGGCGAGAACACCACTATCGAAGAGCGCTGCGTTATTAAGGAAAGCGTGATCGGAGCGAACTGCAAGATCTCCATGGGCGCTCGCCTGCAGCGGTGTGTTTTGATGGACGGGGCTGTCGTTGGGCCTCGAGCCCAATTAACGGGCTGTGTGTTGGGTAAACGCAGCAATGTCGGCCGCGAGTGCGTCCTTAAAGATTCGGAGGTACAGCATGGGAACTCCATCCCTGATGAGACCGAAGCCAAGAACGAGAAGTTCATGATTTTCGAGGGTATGGATGAGGATGGCATGGATGTTTCGGGGGGTTTTGATGACGACCAGGACCTTGGATTCTAGATCTATGCAGTGTAGTGCACTGTCTTGATGATTTGAGATGGATATGACTTGAAGAGTACCTCAAAAATAGACTTCATTATTCCCACTCCGGAGATTGTATGCATTTCTAAAGAGTATACAAGTGGTATCACCGCAATGACTCCAGCCCTGTGCCATGTCGTCAGACCACCGTAGTTCCCCCACGTCATTGGATCTGTCGGAGCGATTGACAAGGGGCCCACGCCTCAGCTCGAATGATCTTCCACCGGTACAATTGCAAAGTGGCCGACATATCTGCCGTGGGACTCTCACCTCCAAGCGCACGTTAGGGCCTGGTGCCCCGGGAATTGGGGAATGGGGAAATGGTGAATCATCTGTAAGGGAGCCTCAAGGATTATTTCCGGAAAATTGTTCCTTTTTTGCCTTTTTCGTCGCCTTTGGTTGCCCCTCGGGAGGCCCTGTAGCCACGGAGAATACACCCGGCGCATCTTATCGGCGGGGCAACGCGAGTGGCTATAGGCAAGCGAGTGCTGATACTAACTAACTATGGAAGATGCTGATGTGAGAGGACGAATCAGCTTGTTCGTATCGCGTGTGCCACCATCCACCTTGTTTAGGGCTTGTCAGCTTGCTCGTTCCGACTGGTGGGGAGGTAAGAAAGGTAGCAGTCGCCGCCAAGGTATGACCGTGTCCTGTCCGGCCGGACTGTAGTAGTGGTAGCAACTTGGCACATTCCCTATTTCCCTGACCCAGGAATCGGATTCCTCCTCTTCATTGATCCCCGCAAAAGGACAAGATGGTGGAACAATCTACCGTACACAGTACGTATCTCGGGACCAAGCATGGGTCAGTGCGACGTTTCGAGTTAAAAACGCCAATTTTGGCCCTACTTTTTAGGCCGTGCAGACTACTATACGTAAGAGGGCATAAGAGGGCCAATGGGATCCAAAAAGGGAAGTGCTACGAGAACGAGGAATTTTGTCTTTCGAAACGCGGGGCGGGAGTGCGAGGTGTGACTGTCGGAAATATATATCTCACCCATTTTGTCTCATTAAACGTGTCCAAAAGTCCAAATGTCGGTCCTGCCAGGAATCGTCGTCTATACATCCCCATCCATCGTTGCGCCAGATCCAGAATTGTCTTGCGACGTGGCTTTCTCTCAGATAGCATACATTGAGCCACGCCGCTTCCGGGCAAAGACAAGACGCCCAACGTTGGGATCGTCATTAGCACTCCACATCTTTGCTTCCCCGGACGTTAATTAGCAGCGCGCTCGGACATGCAATTAAAGCCGGACCAGAGAAATTTAGTTCGTTATCGTTTAGTTAGTGGCATGATCCGGCGAGGGGGCTGACAGATCCGTTAGTTTTCCTGCTAACAAAATTGGGTCTCCACCTCGCGTGCAATTGATATGGAGAAGTGGACTTTTTTCTCTCCCGCCGAGTGGATCAGGAAAGAATTGTCCACGGGTGTCTGTGCTTCCTGTGGTGGATACGAGAGGAGTTATGCATTCGAAGATGGAAGAGGAAGAGGCCCGCAGTCTGGCACGATTCTGTATTCTTCTTCATTATTCCATCATCAATCATCATCGGGGCGATGCACCACCCATACTAACATGCCCGCGCACCGAGATGGGGCGTCGCAACAGAAACCCCCTTTCGATGATTTGCAGGCAGTCCACCCAAATCCGCGCTTCCCACACGCCAATCCGGAGGGAGCAATGAACGGTCGTAAGTGGGGATGGACACACCGAGGAGTAACTAGCCCGGCGCTCCAATCTCGTGCTTGCGGCGTGTCGATCACGCGGGAACTCTCTTGTACGATAGATAAGTGCCTCGACGAACGCTGCCGTCAGGACTTACCTCAGACAAGAGTAATCCTATCCTGTCTCAAATACCACGTTGAGTCCTGAGGGCAAGCCCTGCACGTGCACCCCGGCGTTGCACTTCGATGGCGCCACTAAGTCATTACCTGCTGCCCGTTTGCGAAGGGGACAGGCACCGCAGTCAACCTTGTAATTGTCAGAGGGATCTTGGGGAGATCGTAGAACCGGAAGAGAATCCCAATAAATCGACAGCGGGCAAGGAACAAGAATTATCGTCCGGATCAGACATCCACTGAGTCCTGGTCCGCCCCTATCCTCTCTCCTATCCGACCGCAGAGCCCCTCCTATTTTCACGCTCACCCCTTTCCCTTCTTTCTCTTTCCTCCCCCTTCCCCCCCCCCCCCACAGGTACCGTCTCTTCCGGTGTCCTTCTTTCTCTCTCTGCCTTCTTTTTCTTGTTTCTGTCCTCCCCTTTCCCCTGCCCCTGTTTTGTACATGGCTCCCCCGTTCTAGGCATCCGGGCATACCTGGGGTCATCTGTCCCGTTCCGTCTTACTGCCAACCTTCGTTTCGTCGACTCGCCTGGTTTCGAGCCTCTTCTTTTCTTTTCTTGTGCATTTCCCTGTCTGGCATCCAGAGCATCCGTTTTGATTCCTTGTACCACTATACTTTTTCGACCTTAGAACAGGTATGGTTTCGTTCTTCTTTCCCCCTGGCTGACGCGGTCTTTCTTATCTGCCACCCCAACCATCGTGTGCAGAAAAAGAAAAACCCGACCCAGAAAAAAAGACACAACGCCCCCTTTCCCCTTCGATCTCCACCTGTCCATACCTTGTTGATCTCCGTCAAATCTTTCGTGGTGGACAGCCCGGCTGACAGCTCCCCTGAACTCCTTTTAGCATCGCGTTTCGTTCTTCCACCCCGTCTGACACGATCCTCCTCCCCCATCCACCGCGAGTTGCCTTGTCGAGATCCTAACCGACCCGGACACTCGTGAATCCTCGTCTCATCCTCGGTGGAGAGAACCACAATGGCTGCGTTGGTTCAGACACTCCCTCAACAGACTGGCACGATTCCCGTGCTCTCGACGCGTCCCTCTTCTTCCTCCGGCACCTTCACCTCCCAGTCTACAGCCCCGAGCTCTCGGGCTCATACGATGTCGTGGAGTGGCTTCAATGCGGCCAACTCGGGGGGCTATCAAGCAGGCTACCCTGTGGTCGCTCCCTACGGCTACGCGGCTCCAAACCTGGCTCATTCCCCCAATGCCCAACACCGTCAGTCCTGGTCGCCTCACATGCGGCCAGAGAACCGCACCTTTTCTGCCCCAACAATCCCCCCGGGCTCGATGAACCCGGCTTATGTCGGTGCTCATCCCCGTGTCGCACCTCATCCTGCAGCTGGTTCTGTATCGACCTCGTCCTCCTCCAACTCTTCCTTCCGTTCCCACTTCTCCAAAGATGATAGTGTGCTCCCTTCAAGGCGGGTTCGGGGCGACCAGCAGCTGCGTCCGCTGTCGACCGCTAACATCCCCTCTCCTGTTTCCGTCATGAACATCTCCTCTCCGTCCGGCGCCGTCAAGCCCTCCCCAAATCGATATCGCCGTGGCAACCAACGTGCGGAGGTTGCTTCCCCATCACAGTCTTCGGCGACTGGGTCATCTCAAGCATCGACCCTGGTGTCACCGGAGGACCGGGCGGCCACGTTGAGCTCCACCCCAAACATTCTTCGACCGAACGGCCATAATCGGGTTTCGAGCGTGGATGATTCGTCCAATGTGGACCGATCGCAGCCAGAGCTGGCCAAGCGGTATCGTCGCCGAAGTTTGGGAAACATTGACTCGTCGGCCTATCCCAATCTGCAGCTCCAGCTTCCGACAATCCCACCCCCATCCGGTTCCTACGATTTCATCTCCTTTGACACCAACCGTCGACCACAATCAGCCCATTCGCAGCGAGAGAGCTTGGGGAGCATGCATTCTGCGCACTCCTCGACTTCCTCCGTGCGTGAAGGGACTGCTGCAGAGTCGTCCTCTGCCAATACCAAAAGCGGCAAGTCCGAGGAGATCAAACGCAAGCCGTCACCTCTGTCACAACCCGTCTCTGCGAGCTCTCAATCCCCACAACCCGCCAAAACCACCGATTCTGAACATAAATCTTCTCCCCCTCCGTTAGATTCTCCCGCAGCGAAACGGCTCACTGAGCTGAAGAATGAGGGCAAGCGGCCCGGCAAGTCACGCTTGCGACGGGCTTTCTCCTTTGGGAGCGCCTCGGAACTTCTTAAGGCGTCGGCACAGACCAATGCAAACAAGCGTGAGGCAGTTGCCGCAGAGAGGGCTCGCCGGGAAGCTCTTCAGGATGAACTTGGTCCAGAGCAGGCTGCGATTGCCGAGCAGCAAGAAGCGGGTGGGTTGGGCGAAAGCATCTATTCTCACCAGAGCCACTTCTTCACCGGATCCACCGACAACTTGTCGATCTCATCTACGGCCTCCTCGGCCTCGATGATGCTTCGCAAAATGGGTAAGGGCATGAAAAAGTCCACCCGGTCACTTGTTGGTTTGTTCCGGGCAAAGTCTGTCGCCAGTATCAATTCGACGGAGGGTGCAACAGTGGAGCCTTCGAGGCCCCAGATTTCCGTGGTGAATGTTGAAGCTGAACGTGAGAGCGTGGCGGTCAACGCTGACCCTCAGGATATGCATCATGGCGGTACGGTCTTCCCCAGAGTAGAGGGCGGTGGGTCGGAGAATGGACGATCCAGCTTTGTTCAGGAGAGAATCGCGATGGAGAACTCCCAGTCGCGTAAAAGCATAATGGGAGGAGATCGGGAGCGTGCGGAGGTTCTGGCGGCTGTCCGAAAGGGTATCCTCAAGAGTGAGTGTATTACCACAGTATCATTGAAATTATATGCTAACTCGTAACATAGAAACGCACTCGGACCTGGATGTTTCGACGTCGGCCCAAGCGCTCAACGGCACCACCGACTCGCCGCACTCTAGTGCCCCGACTACCCCGGATGAATCGACGCGCTCCGCCCATCGTCACACGGACTCGGTGAAAATCGCAGGAGAAGACTACTTCCTCTCGACCGAGGGTCGGTACACGGCCTCGGAGGCGAAGAGTGCACCCATCACTCCCCAGGCGGTGGCCGGAAGGAACATTGTGTTCAGCCCTCGTATCCAGTTCCACGAGACCTGGCCCAGTGGCGAGTATGATCGACGCGGCGAGATCGCGACCTGCAACCGCTTGACGCCTCTGCTGGCCCAGCAGATTCGGGAGGAGATCAACAACTTTAAAATGGTGTGTCTGCCCCCCAAAATATTTTGACCGTCATATTTCTAACCGCCTGTGCAGGAGATGGAGGTTCACGAGAATTCGAAGATCTACACACACTTCATTTGAGGTTTGGTCGAGCATTCTACCGACACCTCCGGGCCTTACGTCCTTGTCCATAGATCTGCATCACTTTCGGCGATTTGCACGGCGTTGCATTCACACATTTTCGACCCACGACGAACTTTTTTTTCCAACCTTTCTGCATTGGTGCTTCGGGCTCCATTTTGGTGTTCTACGTTTAGGGGAATTGAACACAACGAATGCGGCTTGCCTCTTGACCGATATTTCCCTGCGGCACTAGGTTGTGTGCGCGCAGCTTGGACTATTTCCAGTCGACTCTTGATTGTTTTGGGCGTTGATCTAACGAATGTTCTCCCTCCCCTGCCATCTAATCAGGTTCGGCAGCTCACTTTCTTTTTCTTTTTTTTTTCTGACCTCGATTTTATTTTTTGTCTCCCGATTTTCCTTTTTTTGCATCGTACATTTGAATCATTGTCATCGAGTATTGGGAGCGTGGGCACTGGCAGTTCTTTCCTTTTTGTCTCTTTTTTCTGTCTAGCACATCTCTCTCTGTGTCTCCGATTCCGTCCTCGGGCGAGTCTTCCTGGTCGTTTCTGACCCTTTCTTTTCCTTTCCAGTACTTTTATCATTCCCTGAGCTCACCGAATGCAACATCTGAGCTCTTCTCTCTCCCTCATGCATCTTCCATTTCCCTTCAGTCGGCATCTCGTTCTGCATGCTTCTTCTGTTGTCTTGTGCTGTGTGTCATCGGTAATAGTTAGTGTTTGCGTGCGGGTGGATGGCATGGCATTTATGCGCAAAAATCGTCTCGTCCTGTTTTGTCTCTGTTCTCTCTGCTAATGGAGTTGTGTTCAATTCTGTGACACTCGGCATGTGTAGATCTCTGGTGTAGCTGATCAGTCGGCATTCACCGAGTGAAGAAGGGGCCGAAGTAGGCCCGGCATCGGGAATACGAATGTCTCTTCGGTCACAGTAGTGCGGCCTACGTCAGTGAATCGGCAACCCTAGGTGGGTGGGATGATCCGGAAGCCGTGGGGGTCGTTTCTGGTGTCTAGCTCGAAGTGGCATGCTGACTGCCATACACGATGGTTGAAACCGCTTGGTAACTACATCAGCCCGGAGTCTGCCGGTGCTCATTAAACCTTGAAAATTATTTGCGTCACGCTGGTTGACTGCGATTGCTAGCTCCCGAATCCGTGACAAATGCCTGACCGTGGCCTGCTCCACTGCAGCCCGGGGGTGAGACTGGTTACCATCGGGCCGGGGAGGTCTTGGCTCGTCGGCTTCAACCACTTCTGCGAGTTGAGCGTGTAGATTTCACAGACAGAATCTGACGCACATTTCACGATCAACCCGAGTGATTGCACTTCATTTTTCCCTCCGTGTATGGACCAAACCCACCATCACCCACCGCACCCCCCAATCCGGTTCTGCAGCATAGAAACCCCCACGCCGCGAGACTTGCCCTTTACGGGCTAGCGCCGAGACTAGCCCCCACGCCGGCGCCGATCCCTGCCTGTTCGCAGCATTTCGATCCCCGCAACTCTCGGCCAGTCCTTCTCGGCATCGGGTCCATTCTTCTTTGTCGCTTCCCCAGCCGGTTCGACTCGATTATTGGCCGGCTTCTCCATGTTGCACTCGTTCTCAATGGACAGCTGACCGAAAAAAACAGTCTTGACCCCTGTGGGGAACCCACATTTCACTTTGCTCTCAACCCCGGGATTTTGATTATTATTGCGTCGGCTTGATCCACGCACTTTCATCTCTTCGTGCCTTCCCACAACCACAAAAAGGAGACTGGTGTCCCAAGCCCCGGTTCCTTCCCGAACTTTTTTTTCTCGCTTTCCATTCTTCCTATCCTCCCTTGCTTGCTGTGGCATCTTCGTTCCTGGAATTTTTTCCCCTTCTCTTCTGTTTTCTCCTTGTACTCACTCAATTCCGGAAATAAAATCCACGCTACCAAGCACGGAGATGTCTCCCAGGAACTCGGGCGACCTCGAGGCCATTGGCGTTGACAAGAGTCATGTCGACAATGTTGAGATTGTGGCGAATGCCGACAAGCCCAATCCTCGCAAGGAGGCACCGGCCTATGTTGCCAGTCTGTCGCCGGAGGAGCGCGAGAGGGCTGAGAAGGCCCTCGTCCGCAAGATTGATTTCCGTCTGCTGCCCATGATCATCATCATGTATATCCTCAATTACCTGGATCGAAACAACATCGTCAGTCAGGATCCATTTCATGAACGTTTGCACCTGTGCTGACTGGTTCTCTCCCTCTAGGCCGCGGCGAGGTTGGCTGGTCTTCCGCAGGATTTAAATTTGCAGGGGAATGATTACGCGGTAAGGACTATTCCACAGCGGATTACACTCAGGATGACAAGCTGACATGGCATCTCTTAGACCTGTGTCAGTATCTTGTTCGTCGGTTATCTGCTGATGCAGAGTAAGTTCTGGCCAACAAGTAACTCGCATCGGATCTGACGGACCTTCTAGTCCCGTCCAATCTGCTTCTGAACAAATTCGGCAAGCCCGCTATCTACCTCCCCTGCGCCATGATGCTCTGGGGCGTCATCTCCACCTGCACCGCGGCCGCAGAGAACTTTGCCGGTCTGGTGGTGATCCGATTCTTTCTCGGTTTCGTCGAGGCTGCCTACTTCGTACGTCTTTTGACTTTGGTGTTGGATTGCCGCAGCTGACTCGTGTTTAGCCTGGTTGCTTGTACTTCCTGAGTGCGTGGTACACACGCAAGGAACTGGGTTTCCGCACTGCCGCACTATACTCGGGCTCTCTGATTTCAGGCGCTTTCTCTGGTCTGATCGCGGCCGGTATCACCGGCGGCATGGACGGCGTCAAGGGACTTCGGGCCTGGTACGTTGCTGCCCTCTTCGAAAAAAAGAACTCCAACTAATCAATCCTAGGCGCTGGCTTTTCATCATCGAAGGCGCCATCACCATCTTCGTCGCTTTCATCTCCATCTGGGTCCTGCCCAACTTCCCTCGTACCACCAGCTGGCTCTCGGAAGAGGAGAAGGAACTGGCTGCCTGGCGACTGGAAGAGGATATCGGTGAAGACGACTGGGTGGACAGCGAGCAACAGTCGTTCCTGCACGGCGCCAAGCTAGCCTTTGTGGACATCAAGACGTGGATTCTGGTGCGTCCAACCTTTCCGAAATTTCCCCTTCGAATTGCATGCACCCAACTAACCATTCCAACTAGATGCTCATGATCCTCTGCATCGTCTCCTCGGCCTCGGTAACAAACTTTTTCCCAACAGTAGTGGAAACCCTCAACTTCAACGACATCGACACCCTTCTCCTCACCGCGCCACCCTACTGTCTCGCCGTGGTAAGCGCCTTCGCTAACGCGTGGCACGCCGACCGAACGGGCGAGCGCTACTGGCACGTCACCCTGCCGCTCTACCTCTCTGTCGTGGCCTTCATCATCGCCGCGACGACCACCAGCGTCGCGCCCCGCTATGTTTCCATGATGCTCATGGTCCCGTCTTTCTACGCCGGCTACGTCGTCGCTCTGGGCTGGATCTCGAATACCCTGCCTCGTCCCGCCGCGAAGCGTGCTGCAGCGCTAGCGGCTATCAATTGCGTTAGCAATGCCAGCAGTATATATGCTAGTTATATGTATCCTGATAGCGATGCTCCGCGGTTCGGTATGTTCTTCTCTCTCTCTCTCTCTCTCCTCTGTCATCATTGATCCATAACTAACCTAATCTCTCTCTCTTCTAGTCCCTGCCATGTCCGTCAACTGTGCTACCGCCGTCATCGCCATCCTCAGCGCTACAGTCCTCCGCTTCATTCTTGTCCGTCTGAACAAGAAGCTTGACCGCGGCGAGTCTGTCGAGGGTGCTGTGAGCGGTGACGGAAGTGTTCCGGGCGAGGCGAGCCACCGTGGCTTCCGGTTCCTGGTTTAATATAGAATTGCTGTTTTCTCTCTGCTGTTTTGTCTACGATTACGACTTTGTGACTATATTTATTACGGTGGTGTTACTAGATCTAGATGCACTTGGATTTATTTGACACCTTTGATTTCACAGCATGCTATGTTATGCCATATCGTGAATGCAGTGCATACCTATATGTTCGTCACCAAATTCTTTTTGCCTCCACACATACATGTATTTACCACCCACAACTCAACTAAGCATACACTTCCCTCTCCTTAGTCCAGACAGGTCTTAACGCCTCCTCCCCAGCAGCCAGGTGCACAACATCCAACGAGCTATCAGCGACGTAATTGACCCGCCAACCAACACCAATACTGGCCCCCTCCACCGTCTGCGCCCACACCGCAACCGCCACCGTATTCTCTCCGCTGTAGTTCAAGATCCCTGCCGGAACAGGGTATACCACCTGGTTCCCGATATACGGATTATACCTGCCGTACTGGTACCCGTTCACGAAGAGCTGGGCGCGGTACGCTTTCGTTGAGTCTGCGGGGGTGGACAGGACAAAGGAGATGGAGATGTCGTGTCCCGAGGGTAGATTGAGGGGGATTATTGTGCGGAAAAACTGGACTGTTGCGCCTTTGAAGCTGAGGAGGGCTGATTCTGATTCTGATTTTCTTGCTGTGTATGAGGACGACGATGGCCACTTGCTGTCGTCGAAGCCGGGAAGATGCCATCCCACCCGCTCGCCGTATAGGCCGTCTTCGTTGTAGACGCCGCGCACGGGGTCGAGGTTGGATTCGCCGCCTGCTGTGCCGGCGACTTTCCAATGTGTGAACTTGGAGCCCGAGGAACCGAGCAGTTCTGCGCCGAGGATTCCGCGCGGGTTCAGCGCGCCGCTTGTTTCGTCGTGGCCTGTATCATCGTGGACTACGAGGAGCACGTTGGGTTCCTTGTGCTGGAGCGTGGCGTTTGCGAATGAGAGGGTTAGGTTGGCTTGCTCTGCGGCTGCGGTGCCGAAGTAGGAGCCGATTAATTGGCCGTTTAGCCAGGCTGACCAGCCGCTAGATCGGAGTTAGTCTTGATAGCTTATTCCCGGATTCGGGAAGAGTGTTACGTACAAGGCCGATCCTCCCTGCACGTTCAGAGAAACTCCTGTGGCGCTACCGGTGAAGTAGCCGCGCCAGAGACGGACGCCGTTGTGGAAGCCTGGGCTATCAGCTATTGGCCATATCGACTGTCATGAGTGGACTCACCATATTCGTCTGCATATAAAACGGGAAGGGTGGTTGGAGTACGAGGGTTCAGAGTTGTCATATGGTCGGCATCTGGGATCGTCAGTTACGCTGCTAGGCCATCCAAAGACCTAAAGATACATACCAACCCACGCCAGCCCGGAATCATCATAATCTGCAAATCTCTCTGGCAAACTATCCTTGGTCTTCCATGTTCCAAAGGAAGGCAAATTGACCGAGGCCGGTGCAGCAGGCAAGCCCTTGAGACTGCCATACTCTGTCCGCTGTGTGTGAAGCATCTTGCCGTTCCACGTAACTGTCTTCACATCCTGGGGCGCGAAAACTTCCAGGACCGTGGCGTTGATGGCATCACCTGTCACGGCTAGCGTAGACCCTGACACTTTGGCACCTCGGACGAGATATGGACCCTGGATGAGTACTGCATAACAAAATGTGAGATACTTCCTTCTGTTATACACTTGGAACAACACATACCGCTCTCGGTCTCAGGGACCAATGGATCATTAGTGAGGGCAGGCGCCCAGAAACGATAAGCATATGTACGGTCGAGCAGGATGACTCGTACATCATTGTCAAGCTCGACAACGCTCATACCATACGACTGCGTGAACGTGATAGTCAACCCGTTATCTTCGTGATAGAACTCGACATGCGAGCATCCCTGGCACTTCTTAATAGATCCCTTCTTTGCGCCCTTGACGGCGAACTCGCCCGATTCGCCGGCTGGAACCCACAGAACCAGGGTTGGAGTCTTGTCGAAAACGGCGTAGGTGAGCACCTCGGCGGTCGAGTATAGCAGTTTGTTGGACCCGAAGGTGAAATCCGTCACGATGATCTTGGACTGGTGGCCGTTCAATCGGATTGTGCCCCCGTGTCTTGGGACAGTAAATGCACCAGCCGAGGTATCAACATGAAGACGGAATGCCTCGTTCGTGGAAAGCGACGTATTCACATGGAAGGTAGGATAGAATCCAGCATTCGTCTGGGGATTCCGCAGCTCGTACGCTCTCACCGCGCTGTTAGTGGTATACTGCGTTCCATTACCCTTCAGCTCAGTCATAGTTAGGTCCTTCGCGGCGCGAGTGAACAGCGCCAGCAGTTTGGTCTCGTAGTACTTTGAGCCAATGGAGCGGTCCTCCGAGATAGGAGCCGAGTAGTCGTAGCTGCTTGCCGTTACAGGCGCAGCAATGGCGCCCCAGTTCGTGCCGCCGAAAAGCATGTACAGACTCATGGCAGTGACGCGCTGCCCGATGTTCCACCGGTAGAACAGGTTCGCGAACTCAGCGCCGGTATTGTCGGCGCAGCCACCCTCGGGCCCGCCCCAGGGATTGTACGAGCCGCCCTGGAACTCGGGCATGAACTCGGGCATCGTGGGCTGGTTCTCTTGGAAGTACTCGTAGTATTCCACCACCTGGAAGGGCACGTAGTCTCCGTTGGTCGAGGTACATTGGCTGAGATCGCAAGTCCAGCACTAGAGCCGAGTTAGTATGCAACAAATACCGTTTACTTCACTGGACGGATGAACATACTGAAGGATATGAGTCCACGCCTGTCACATCCACATTCCCACCATCATTAGACCAGTCACTGCCCCAGGAATGGGTACCCATATTCGGATCATTCGCCGTGAGCGGCACGGTAATCCCATTCTTGCGCGCATTCGCCTCAAGCAACTCCATGTACGAGATAGCCGTTTCATTCGGATCGCGCGCAGTGGGATCCCCGATCCACTGATCACCATACTCATTTTCAATCTGGTAGCAGAGGGTGTTCTCGCCATCTGTCACTTGATATTTGCTAGTGATCTGCGACATTTCACTGAAGTACGGAGTCCACGCCTTCGTATACCGCGTATCATTATTCCGCAGCGAGCCATAGTCTCCCGTGGTTAACCACAAGGGAAACCCGCCAGCAGTGACTTCGGCATTGATGTACGGACCCGGGCGGACGATGATATACAGACCTATATCCTTGGCAAGCTCAAAGAGAGCTCTGATATCGTGTGCCCCGGTTGAAAAGTCGAGGGTGTGATTGTTGGGCGCATGGTATGCCCAATTCGCGTAGAACGCAAACGCCGTGAATCCGGCAGCCTTGATCTTTTCCAGGATGTCACGCCACAGACTGGGGACGGGAATGCGCCAGTAGTGAAACTCGCCCGAGAAGACGAAGATGCGCTGGTCGTTGATCTGGAAGCTGTAGTGGTCCCATTGCACAACCTTGTTCAGGCCGTCATTGTGTAGCGGCCATTGTGTTGTCTCCTCCGGTGTTGAGGCGCTGGAAGATAGCGAGAACCCCAGCAGAGCGACGAAGAACCACGTACACAGCCGTGTTAGCCCTGCCATTGCTACGCAATTGCTTGGAGGGGACTGGAAGAGGAGTGGGAATTCATCCTGGTTGAACCGGGTCTATTTATGCCGACCTTCTATAGCCCTAGCTTCATACGGGGTTTAAGTTCGGCAGGGGGAGTCTACAGGCGGTCTAAGCCAAGGCAAACGACGCTCCGCTTCGCTGGATTTGTGCAAATCCCGGTGTGGTCGAGCGGAGGCGTTTGCTCCACGGAGTGTTTTTCCTCCATTCGGAGACGCGCTGGGTATTAGCCGGCGTCCCGCTTATCCATCACGGCATTGGTGGAGGTGGGTTGTTAGTTGCAATTTGAATGTGGAGAGAAAATTCAGCTAGCATGAATTTTATTTAATTATACAGCCCGACTTCTCTAGTCTAGTTAGACTGGAGCGAAAATATACAAGCGATGTCCATGCAATCCATCTGAAACCCCGAAAAGTGAGACCAAGCCAAAAAGCGGCCGAGGTGAACGGCGCAGGTTGGTTCTGGCCTCTCATCTATTCATCCCCCTAACCTCATGACAGTGATTGCGCGATGCAGAGACGCGCCAGCTTGCAGGCCGGTCATTGTTAGCAAGGACAGACAAGCCGACGACGGGATGGCTCATCAGCAGCTAGCTGGCTGAAAATGACGGTCGATAAAATTCGTTTTGTTTCCAATCCATGACTCCAAAAATTATGCGGCGACTTTCAATCACACTGCTCATGCATCGTTGTCGAGAACTCCAAAGGGATTCTCCCCTTTCGCATTCCCATTCGAAGTCGCTTTCTTCGGGCGGGTTTGCTTCTTAGCGCCCTTCTTCGCAGGAACTGTAGAGAATCCATCCTCGGATTCCGACCGGCTGGCCGAAGCAGCAGCAGTCTTGTTCGCTGCGGAAGATCGGGTCCGGGCCGGCGAAGAATCCACTCCGGCAATCTTCTGAGCGGCGTTGATGACGTGTGCTCGAATCACCTCTTCATCCGTAACCTCACTGTTCTCGCCCTCAATAGCGGCCTTTTGGATCTCTCGGCTAAGGCTCTTGAGAGCGTCCATGCCGGCCTTCTCGGCGGCCTCCATGTGGGTCGGCTGCTTGATGCGCGGGTCGGTGCGCCTCAGATACGACCGCACGAAGAAACGCACGAAGAGGTAGGTGAGGGGTAGCAGGTAGGTGATGTTGAGCCAGGTCGCAAAGGCTTGGCCGGTGGTATCCATGCAGGTAACCATCTGTTGGGTATAACCCGGTGCACTCGCCTGACCGATCTTCTTCCACCAGGAACCAACACCGGCCTCAGCACTGGGGCTGGTGGTGGCGGCGGTGGTCGCTTCTTGAAGATGGCGCAGAGCGGAACTACCAGATGGGTAGGGGATCGTGTAGTGGAGGAACAGGTAGGCGGCAGCCATGTTGGTTCCTAGAACAAACTGAGTGATTTGCATAGTGGTCAAGCTACGCTTGATTGCTTGGGGCACGCGGATACGGAGAGCAGTCAGGGTGTAGTAGGTGTACTGCAAACGGTTAGTGTTTGGTTCGTTCGCTGGATTGCATTGTGAAAACATACCATCATCGCGTGAATACCCGAGTTGACCAGCGCAAAGATCCAAATGGGCGCAGCCATATAGCGAATACCCGCCCACATGCACATCATAGCCCCGGCATGGTGGTATGTCTGCAGAGTCGAGCTCTTCTTTCCCTTGGCCAGGATGATAGCCGTGTCGACAACCTCATAGAACTTAGATAGGTAGAAGATCCAGCCAAAATACGCCAGACCCTCGTTCCAGAGGCGACCGGCATCCGCGCCCGGTAGACCGCCGGTCAGCTTCAGCGCTGGGTTCGGGGTGGACCACTCGTTCGTTAGGGGGTTGTAAGTGGCGGCGTTGCCGTAGCCGCGCTGCCCATTGATCTTGCACAGCGAGTCCACGACGCCGACTAGGCCGTGAGGATCATCACGATCCGGCAAGCTGCTGCTGAAGGCTCGGAGCATGCCAGCAAAAGTCCAGGCGGAGTAGATGGCCAGGAAGACATTGTGCAGCACGACGAACAGCTTAAAGAGCTGGATGTTGCTAAAGGAGTATGGCTTGTACCCGCGGCGCTTGTTCAGGCGGTTGACCAGGACGACGGTGACGGCGTAGACGCTGGCGATAGTGATAGGCACGCGCACGTCGAGAAGCTGGGTATAGAGATCATTGGGGATGTTGAAGGGCTGTCGCCAAGTAGGGTGGGCAGTATGTGGCGCGGGAATGGTCCCCGGGTAGGCGGCAGGAGGAAACTTCAGTAAGGAGGCCGGAGGGGGGGCAATGCGGACTGTAGCAGCCCCGAATTCGGCATTTGGCACGTTGATGTCGTACATCGTGCTCGCAAAAGGTTGAGGGAGACCAGAGTTGGGGAGAAGTGTGTTTGTCGGTAGTTCAAGATAAAGAGGAAGAAGAAAAAAAAGGTGGCTCCACCGATAAGAGATGACCAGGCTCAACCATCTAGTGGAGCCCCGGATTTGTTGGGACAGGGAGGCCGAGGTAATGATTATGATGTAGTGTGTGCGAAATCAGACGAAAAAGAGCATTTGACGACTACTATTTCTACTAATTTTTGTATATTTGTCCTATAGGATCGCGTCCTAGGTCCTAGGTATAGTCCTATGTATCGTGATGACCACACTAGCTAACGGAAGGCTGTCTATTAGGTTCGATCTGACGAATACCCACCAGCTCTAGCACGCGATCTCCTGACAATAATGACAACACAATTACTACCACTAGATATTCACTAAGTGACTACTCTGCTATAACTATACCTTGCCATTAAACCACCTCCACGAGATGTTGATGCACCCATCCCCTTGCTTTGGCCCCGGGGTGTTTTCTTTTTCCCCTCCCTAGGGTAACACAAGACGCGGACATACACCAGCGCACCGCGATTTGGTTGATCGCCACTTGCAGCAGCAAAATCTTGTTATTATTGTTGGGACAGCTGCCTGTTCTAGCGCTGCAGGAAACTCCCCAACAGCTCGGCGATGGCAAATTTAGTAGACACTTCGGCCATCCGGACTTCACATGCGGCCTCGGTCGGGCGCCAAGCATATGGATACACTGTCTACAGACTAGTCACGACTGGCTAGGCGCAATCCTCACATTTATCATTCATATCATTCATTGAGTCCAGTCAATGCTACTGCAGATAAAAATACAGAGTTCTCGTCAACGAGGCTTGGAGTTCAGAGGCACCGGCGGCGGCGCGGGAGATGCCGAGGACGGCGACGATGCGACGGGCGGCGCGCGTATCTCGGCCTTCTTGGGCGGAGGCGGAGGTGGCTTCTTGTTGCGCGCTGCGCTCTCAAGGCCACCAACACTGGGACTCGACTCAACCGGAGAAGAATAATTCGACGGCGGTCGGGGTATGCGCTTGTTAGCATTGGCTGAGAACTTGCGATCCTCGACAAAGGTGTTGATGCGCGACGTCATGCCGCCCAGTTTCTGTTTGCCCATATCGATCTTATCCGCGTGACGCTCCCGGAAGTCCTGGATGGAGGACCTGCCGCCAGCGGCTGGCTCCGCGGAATTGGTGGTCGGCCGCGTGGCTTGCCGGCCCTCGACAAAAGTGTTGGCCCGCGACGCCATGCCGCCTAGCTTCTGCTTGCCCATATCGATCTTATCCGCGTGGCGCTCCCGGAAGTCCTGGATGGAGGATCTGCCGCCAGCGGCAGGCTCCGAGGGGCTGGCGATCGGCTGCGTTGCTTGATATGGCGGAGGGGGAGCGGCGGAGCTGTAATCGTCGGTCTTCATTTGCGAGAAGCGCGACTGCAGCTCATTGACGGGCTGGGATTGACGGTCATTTGTCTCTCCGATCCCCAGTGCGGGAACTGACACGCCAGCGTTCGCGAGCCGAGACGTCGCTTCTTGGTTGATGTACCCTTGGGACGGAGAGGGAGATGCCACAGGCGGGGAGGGAGTATGTGACGCGGGACCATCTCGGGGAGGCAGACGGGGCGGCAGTTGTGGGGGCTTGGGCTTTGCGCTCGTCGTCGAGCTTGGGGAACTGCTGCCCGGGGAGTCGAAACGTCGCACTGGCGGGGGTGGGAGGTTGTTCGTAGCCAGGCCAGTCGTATCCACGCGGTAGGGCACCGGAGGCGAGGCGGGTTTCTGGGCGGCTGCCTCTTGGGCCTCAGCCTCCTGCTGTAGATGAGCGTTCTGGCGGTTGATCTGGTCCTGAGACAGCGGCGCGCCAACGCCATGGCGATCCGGGGATGGCGAGGTCCCCACAGGGCTGCGCTTCGGAGGTGGCGCAAAGGTCGATGGGTCTCTCAGCGACGACAGCGGTTGAGAGACGTGCTCTTCGCGATCGGAGTTTGGGTCCCTGCCCTTCCCCATCCAGCCTGCCTGCGGGGATGTCAGCCTTGGCCGAGTAGCCTGATCGGCATGCGCGACTCACCACCTGGTTGATGCCCTTGAAATCGCCGCGCCAGCTCTCCTTCTTGCCATCCTTGCTTTTAGGGTGCCAGCCCTCTTTCATAATGTTGTTGAACCCACTCATGATGTCGAAGAGTGTGTCTGGAGCAGTGAAAGAGGATGACAGATTGAGAACCGTTTTAACCTTGAACTTAGTCAGCCCCCCTTATCAGCACGTGTGCTACTGATCACATGATCGTCTATACCCTTGGTTGGAGTATATGGTCTCCACCAATGTAACCGACGTCTTTGAAGTAGACGCCACTACTAATAACATTTAGTGCGTATGCAGCATGATAATAGCGCGCGGAAAGCGGTCACCTGCAATTTGCTACGTCTTGACCCTTTAGCGGCGCGGGTAGCGCCCTCATTCCAGGCTAAGGTTTCATGAACTTTTGTCAGCGTTTATTTTTATTTTTAGCCAAAGCAGGAGATATAAAATGGCTATTAAGACTTGACTCTTAGTTGAAGAATTATAACTTCCAAGGTTGGCAAGATGTCAGCAGTCCAGTCCCGATCTTCCTCCCGTCCCACCGGATGGATAACGACGGAACCATGTACTGCAACACAGCCCTATGGTCCAACACGCCCAGTTGCATCAGAACCACCTTCTCTGCAACAAGTTCCAGATCATGTTTACCAGCTCGCAAAACTGATACCCGTCAATGAAAAAGCACGGGTGGCTATCGAGGCGACAGCTCGGACGAACGTGGAGCATCATCGGAAGTTCATAAGCGAAACAATTTGGGATAATAGGGTCACAAAATGTTTTAGCCTGTCTATAAGCACATTGCCTGAATTCCCCCATCTTGGATGGAGGATTGGCCGGGGCCGTGGGGAGCTCAGAAACGGGGGCGTGGATCTTCTCCTATACATCGCAGATGAGGGCCATGCGGATCGTGTTGCCGGCCTTCACGCTCGGTTTAATTGGGTTAAGGAAGCGGCTGGCTTCTTTATTATTTCCGATGGTGAGGATAAGAGAGTGGTGGTTAATGGGGAGCCATTCAGGGCTGAAAAGCGCCTAATTTACAAGCCCAAAAATGACATCCTGATTGGAGGATGCCTTTTCACCTTGCAATATGTTAACCGGACTCATCAGGAGGAAGACTACTTTCAGGCTCAATTGGCTCAGATGTTCCGCCGATTTCACCATGATGGGAATCCTCTGATATTGTCTACGCCTGAGCACCATGCTCGTTTCGGCGATTGGATAGTCCAGCACCCGATTTCGAAAGGGGCCTTTGGCATTGTTTACATGGTCGTCCATTTTCGGTCAGGGCACCCAGCAGCAGCTAAGCGCATATTCAAGTCCAAGAAAAATGAATTTAGCGTGGACCGAGAGATCCAGATGACTAGGCGGATTTCGCAAATTAGCCATGTTAGTTTTCCTTGTTACTTCCAGGGGCCTATTTTCTAATATGAGAGTCAGAGACGAATCGTATCCGCTCTCGCGATAATCCACCAACCAGCTCAGACAAAAGCCGAAACGGTAAGCCAAATGGACTCCCATCCATTACACCCTACTAAGTCACATACCTAGTTAGGCCAGGATGAGGGCGCTTCTTGATCAAAACTGGGAGCCCATAATCACGGACGAGTATATTATTATATCTCCTCTCTCGAATGCGACGTTTCGCTCATTGTATACATCAAATGTATCACTCGAGAGCAGAGCTATTTTATTCGCTCAGCTCTTGGACGCAGTTGCTTTCCTTCATAGCCAGGGCATCTGGCACCGGGATATCAAGCCCGACAACGTGCTGGTGAGAACCTATGATCCCCCAGACGCAATGCTTACCGATTTCGGATGCGCGTCCGACAATCCAAGTATCTTGTATGATCGCCCAGGAACTGTGCCATATCTTGCACCCGAGCAGGTAGAGGGACAAAAACATGGCCGGGCCGTTGATTATTGGAGCTGCGGTATAGTTGGATGGGAGCTGCTTGAGAAGAGAAGCGTTCGTTCAAGGATCTGGCCCGGCCAGGACCTTGCGAATTACCACCGGCGTCTTGAGAGTTCGGATTCACCGTTGGCTAAATGTGCTCGAGCGATGTTGGTGGAGAATCCATGTCAACGAATGACGGCCGCTGACGCTCTTCCTTATTTCAATCACTTGCAAGGAACTAGGGCATAGCCCTAGCGGGCAGTCGACTCTCATACGTTATATATAGAACTCGGTTCTATAGTCCTTTTTAGCTTAGTTTGAACGAAATTGACTTTTTGGTTCTGTCTATCTCATTCATTGCTATTGTTATTGCATCCTGATACTACCTCTCCTTATCTACTGCGCGATCAAGAAAAACAAAGCCAATAAGGCTACCAGAGAAGCCAACGCAGCGCAGCCCACGCACTCCTTCCAGATCTTGTCAGAGACCCATATAAAAGCTAACTCACGATAAGCCAACAGTGAGATTCCTTCGGTACCGTACATGGTGCTTGCGGAGTTAATTGGCCGTCTGAGCGACGACGACAGCTACCGCCAGTTCCTGGAACACGACGCGGGGGGTTCGAGAAGGTATTTTTAGTTCTAATGTGTCCAAATTCCACGGCCTTCCCTACGAGGAGGGCCAAGAGAGCGCCTAGCAGCTGATGGCCCAACCGTTGTTGAAAAACAGGCTGTTTTGTTGGACCACATTTGATATGATCTTCCAGGGTCAAACATTACTCTCTTGGGCTGCACGCCGTAGTCGAACATACCACCCAGCAGGCCAATGTAGACGAGTTCAGGCACATTTTCCAATGGAGTGTCGAAAACCACCATTCTGCTCATGCAGCGGACAAGCAATGGCTACGGCAGCATGTTTCTCGAATCAACAATGAAGCAAAGGAGCAGACACAACCACCCCGGAAAATCATGGTGGTGACCCACCTTGTGCCGTCGAGCTCCCGATCCGTGGGGCCAAATAATATCGCTGAACACAGCTCGGCCTATGCCACAGAGCTGATATCAGGAGCCGACTGGACGAATGTAGACGTTTGGGTCTCTGGCCATACGCAATATGCGGTCGAACAGAGTGAGGGAAAACTCCGGGTACTCAGCAGCCTGCGGGTAGATATATGTAAATGAGGCACACACTGCGGAGAGAAGAAGAAGGGGGGCTTCTCGAAGCTGCATGATCAGCCTTGTTAATTGCCTAAGTTATTATTAGCGCAAGAGCTAGTCCATCCTTTGTCTAGCGGGTGTTCTAATTCAGGTATCGAATGACGAGTCTTCTTCTCCCGTTAGGGCTTCCTTGTCCCCACCGGGCACGAATGGCCCCCAAACCACCAACGCCCTGTTCTTTCCGTTTCTCTGATGCAATACTCGTGTCGGTCACTGAGTAGCCGCGGAGCAGGGGAGATGTGCTGCATGCTATGTTTCGGGCAATCCACGGCGCGATGCCGATATGCCCAGGAGGAGGGAGGGGGTTGTTGTAGATGAGGGTTTCAATGTTTCAAGACGTGTGGACGATCCAACACCACAGCGGCTGGAGGGCCTTGCGATCGTCGTCGGCCCTTTGTTGGCGCCTCGTATGCCGGTGAGGGCAGTGCTAAGACCCATACGGGTCAGCAAGGCTGTGGGAAGTTCGTGTTTCTTGCTTCTCATCCTCTCTGCGTCCAGCTCATCTCATCTCACCACTTGCATTTCTTAACCGGCTGTGTTACCTCGCTGCAGGCTAGATCGGATTAGATCCTTGTTGTGTCCCCCAGACCCTCAGACTACGATTCTTCGGAATCGATAGTCTGCTGCTCCCTGAAGCCATCATGGGCGACTTCGCCCCCAACTGGCCTCTGGTGAATGCTCCCAGGGAGGAGACTCCCAGTGAAAGAACTTCCATTGAGGATACTCCCAGCGAGACGGAGCCAAAGCATAAGGAAACAAGCAAGGAAAGAGAACCAGACCCAGCGACATCAGATGGCACTCCAGCGCACGCGGGAGAAACGCCCAAGCCCGACCCCACGAGTACGACTACGACAGATGCGGGCAAAGACTCTCCCAAGGAATCCAAGACAGCGAGCGACGAGACGGAGCCAGAACCATCGGAGATACCGGCGCCCGGTACCGATGGCACAACCTTCACGACGCAGACGCAGACATCGGAGGGATTGTTGACCTACACGGGTAGCATAGCGCCAACCTCGACCTCGACCTCGATCTCAACCTTAACTTCAACCGCAGCCCCAACACCAACCCATGCCTCGTCCGAAGATGGCGGGTCATCCTCGAGCGGAATTGCCTCTACAAAGACCAAGATCGCCATTGCCGTTCCAGTGGGCGTCGTCGGCCTAGCCATCATCCTAGCCTTCATCATCTTCGGCTGCCGCCGCTCCAAGCGCCGCCAGCGCGCCAACCGATCTTCCTACAATATGGCCCAGCCCACCACCTCCACTCTGCTGCCCGGGCCGGGCTCCGCCTCCCAGCTCATGGTCGCGCCCAAGCTCAGTACCTCCGAGCCGGCGGCTCTACCTACCCCTCAGCGAAATTTCTCAGTCCTCACTGCACCGCAAAGCCGCGATGCAAGCCCGCGGCCCGTGCCAGCTGCCTTAACCCCAGGCTCGGCACGAGGCCTCTCGTCGCCTTCGAACCAAGATTTGGGTATTCCAACAGCTGTCGCTGCTGCGGGTGAGCCAGCTACGGGGGACCATCGCAGCACCTCCGGAACACAGCGCGGCTTCGAAGCCATGCGTGGCACAAGTCCATCATCCCGAAGTCCGTCTCTACCTTCACCTCAACTTCCAAATAACCCCCATGCATCAGAATCATCGGACCCGCAAATTCTACTACACCGTGGACCGACCCAGCGTAGCGGCGTGTCCGAAGTATCCGACGGGGAAGATGACGGCGAGCGAGATCTGGATGACATGTCGTCCGTCTCGTCGTTTGATGAAGATAGTCCGCGCTCACCTCGCGGCCCGAACAGGTTTCTACGTCGCTGAGCGCTCGCTGTGAATGAATGTTTAATGTCCATTTTGTTTATTCCCTGGGGATGTAACCCTAGCCTTGATGGCTTGGTGACTTTTGCTGTTGTTTTCCGTTCAGCATAGGCGTTCACTACCTTGGGTCGTTTGGGTGTTTTTTGGAGTTGATCGGGTCTCATCATGGTATATATACCTGTCATTCGCTCTGTGTATACCAATATCAATATAATGCTACGGCTATCATCACTTCATTTATCCAACACTTCTTCATCTCTGAACTACAGCGAGAGCATATCAGCCAAGTCGATGCACCATCGTGCAACCCCATCGTGAGAAAATCTGGATTTGCACAAGATAAGAAGGTGAGAAGATGAGGATCTGCGCTGGCGTGTCGCTCGATAATAGGCTCCACCTTGACTATTCGTAATAGATTGAGATTCTTATGCCGACCACTTAGCCTATCAGGTCCCAGAGAGTTCCGTCGTCACAGAAAAGAGACTAAATTTGGCATACCTCCACCAGATGCTGCAAGAGTTTCACCATCTCGTTGCAGCAAATAGATCCCGCCGAGTCAGATTCTCTTACTTGGAATACATGGTTTCCCCTCTCATGCAGCTTCATAACACACAAAGCGTGTGATACATCAGTTTCTCGAACAAGTTTGCGTTGCGTTACGGGACTTGTGCATCACCCTGGGACTCTTTTGCATGCACCCCCCGCTTTTTCGAAGCCTATAGACCTGGTCCGTAGTTAAATGTCCTTCCAACAATTTTCATGAAATATAAATACAACACACTCGTAGCCTGCTAGAAGTACGAAGAGTTTGGAGCTAATCACGGTACGATGTCATGTCCCATCCCACAGCCTCCTAGGGTCCCATTCCTGGGAAATATCCTTAACGTCGACTCAAATGATCCTTGGGGCTCATTAAAGCAGCTTGCAGACAAATATGGTTCGTGATAAGGCCCCCAGCCTACTCGCTAATTAACACATAATCCCTAACTTGCCTCCAAGGGCCTATCTACAAGATTGACGCCCTTGGAAAGCATGTCGTCATAGTAAACAGTGCCTCGCTTACCGAGGAGATCTGTGACGAAAAACGCTTTCGGAGATGCTCGACGACGCCAGTGATAAACGAACTGCGTCGGGCAGCCAATGATGCCCTTTTCACGGCCTACGACAACGAGCCGAGCTGGGGAATTGCTCATCGGATCATGGCACCATTTGTCGCCCCGTCTAGTGATGATACGAGAATCGAAGATCTGCACGAGATGGCGTCAGAGCTTTTAGCTAAATGGACCTCAAGCTTCGGTGAACGAGTTAACCTCACGGAAGACATGAAGCGTTTAAATGTGCAATCGGTCATATATCACTTTTTCAATCAGCGCCATAATCTCCTTGAGGGCGAGGGACCAGGTGTTGTCGAATTGATGGATCACGCCACTTGGGAAACAGTCGACCGTTCGGCCAGACCGAAGGTCCTGAACTGGCTCTACTACGATCGCATATACGACACATATATCAAGGATTTTCGCAAGATGGCCGCTGACTTCATTGTCTCTAAAAGGGCCGAGAATCCTGCCAAGCAAGACATGCTCCACGCTCTTTTGTTTGCCAAAGACCCACAGACGGGTGAATGTCTTGATGATGAGAAAGTTATTGACGAAATAGTCACAATAACAGTCACTGCAAGCTCCACTGCCGGTCTCATGTCATTCGCACTCTACTACCTCCTAAGGAATCCCGACAAGATGATCAAAGCTCGCCAAGAGATCGACCAAGTTTTGGGAATTGGCGCGAAGATCACTGTGGAAGACCTGTCAAAGTTACCCTATCTCGAAGCAGTTCTAAGAGAAACTTTGCGTCTTTCTGCCACAGTACCAGGCTTTGTACTGGAACCCATACCATCAGACAACCCCGGAGAAATTGTTTTCCTTGCAGATGGGAAATACCAGGTACCCAACAACCAAAGACTCATGGTCCTTCTGTCAGCTGTGAATCGTGATCCAGACGTTTTTGAGGATCCGGATGAGTTCCGGCCAGAGCGAATGCTAGGTGAAGCCTTCGAGAGGTTGCCCGCCGGAGTAAAGAAGAGTTTTGGAAATGGGAAGCGTTATTGCCTCGGAAAGAGGTTTGCCCTTCAGTTGTCGATGATCACTCTGGCCAACGTGCTTCGGAGTGTTGACCTGCAAGCGGCGGATGAGGAGTATCAGCTTAAGCAGACCGGCAGAGAGATCTGTGCGAACTTTCTTGCCCCAGTGGGGTTTTTTGTCACGGTTGGCCCTCGAAATGCCGTTACAAACGGTCAGTGACAGATCACAGTCTAGTTTTACCAAATTGGAAGAAATACTTGATCGCGAATATACTGTACTTCTGGTCTATTAATAAGAAGAACTACACAGCAACTAATTAGTCGCTTCTTCGCGGCGCCTCGGACAAATCCTTAGGAACTACGAGATGCCAGGCCATGTGCATTTCCTAATGCTTTGGGTATCGATATATTGCTACGGCTATTATTACTTCTACAACTCTTCCGCATCTCTAAATCATAGTGATCTTTATTCTGGTATGCGAGGTATATGTACAGTACATGATATTCTTGTAGCTGTGTCATTTTTCTATCTTCCACCGCCCAGGTCAGGCTTGTATGCCTTGACCTTCCCCTTGGTCAATTCCCGGAGAGCCATGGTAGCATACTGGCTCGAAGCCAGCTGGAACTTCAGCACAACGGCAACCTTATCACCAGCCGATTCAGAAGAAACAGAGGCATCCTTCTCACCATGTTTCAGTTTCTCGAGGTCTGTCTGGACAAACTGCTCGTTGTCATTCGAGTACAGCTTGATATCAAAGGAAAAGTCCGCTCCCATGCGGCTTAAGACCTTGCGGTAGCTGCCACTCAGGCTAATATCCCTCCAGCTGCGGCGCATGTCGAGCGGATCAAGGTGCCCGCCCTGCTCGCTGCCCATGAAGCGACGGTAAAAGTCCGTCAGCTGGTTGGGCGGATAGATAATATCAAAGCCCGGCAGGGGCAGCACAACGTCAAAGATGGAGTACTCGCCGCTGGCAGCTTCGTCGGCGGTCAAGGCTCGCGCGCGCGTAAACATGTCCTCGGCTGCGAAAGCGCTGTTCTCGCCTTCGGGGACCACGACGACCTCGCCGTCTGCATCGACGTTGGCAGTCTCGTCTTCAGTATTGGCTTCCTTGTCACGGTGCTCGTGCACAATGACCAGATCGCCTTCCACCACGCGGTCACCGTACAACCGCCAGCGCTCTCCAGCGGCGAAGTTCCAGACCAGGGACTGGTAAGCGTGCACGTACATCAGCCGCAGATTGCGTGGGATGGCCTGCAATGCTCCCTTGTAGTCGTTCTTGGATCGGGCCAAGTGGCGGATCAGCATGGATTCGGCGGAGAACTTCCGCGGGAGCTTCTCCAGAGCCTCGTGGGTGTTACCGCCGGTTTCGAAGAGGTGGATTGCTTCAGCGCGGGACTTGTCGTCGGTGCTGATCAGCGCCTTGGAGGCCTCGCCTTCCTTGGCCGCTTCGAGAACGTGAGGGCTGTATTCCAGAATGGTTTCGCAGGCAGCCTTGAAGTCTCCCTGCAGCATTTTGACACCGATTGTGTCTGTCCGAGCCGAGAAGGTTCCGAATCGCTGCAAGCCGTAGTAGTTGAGATATCCCCGCTGGTGAAGATTCTTCAACGACGAACCAACAAGCTCCGACGCCTTGGCGATAGCAGCCTGTGGGTTGCTGAAATCCACACCGGGGATTTCGCATTCGCGGAGAGTAATCACAAACTCATTTCCCTTGAGATCACCCAGATCGAGACCATGTTTCTGGTGCTCAAAGTCACCCACCACAACATTGCGGAGGCTCGAGTTCAGACCCGCAATGCGATGGGCATGGACGTGACGAACGCAGGCGCGCTGCGCGGTCACGCCTCGTCGGTCCTTGGTACCCGCAAACTCGAAGCCCTTGGGCCTCATCTTGAGCATGCGCGCCAGAGCGGAGATCACCTCCATGGTATCTCTGTTCTCCTTGTAGATGGTGAAGTGCAGATACTGGCCGCCGAGCTCATCCCAGTTCGGCCGGGAGTCTCGAGGACGTCCACCGCGCCCGCCGCCGCCCTGAGCATTGCGCTTGTTGCGACTGGGAGCTGCCGTGATAGTCAGCACCCCTTCAGCGTCGGTACTAGACTCCAGCTGTGAGTTGAAAATGCGGCGAATGGCCTGGTGGATCTTGGTACGCAAGTCGCGGTCAGATACGGCGGCCATGACCTTACCCAGTTCAGCAGGTTTGGCTTTGGGGTTTGTCATGGCACGCTTGTGGAGTGCCACAATCTTGGCGGCATTTTCAGCACCGCAGTATTCCACCAAAAGAGCATTGTCCTCCTCCGATACCTTGAACTCTTCCGCTTTGATCTCTTTGGGTTCGGCAGCTTCAGCTGGCTCTTGGGGGGCCTTTGCTTCAGTTTCCGGTGCAGGGTTTGATGCCTTCTCGGTGTTTTTCTTCGCATTTGGATCTTTCGTGGTTCGGAGGTGGAGGACTTCGCCAGACGGCAAGATCTCGTTGACCAGGAAATCGGTGTATCTGGCAGAGTCAGCCATTGTCTTGTGCCCGCCGAGTTGGGTTACTCACCTTTTCTTCAGAATACCCGAGAAGCCCTCATTGTCGACGCTCACATACTCGGTGATCCCCACCTCGATCTCCTTCAATGCCTGGACATCTTCGCTGGGCCCCACACTCTCTGGTAGCTTGTCCGCAGTACCGTCAATTGACAGGGCAGCATCCACGGGTACATCGTCTGTCTTCTGCCGCTTTCGGGGCGACTCCAACAGCTCTGGTCTGTCCATTGTCGCGGTCACCAAACGTCGTGTGCAGGCAGAAAAAGCAAAGCAGATACAAAAAAATGCGATAAGATTGGGCCGGGATAACAGTTGATCCGAGAGCTCATTGATGCCTGGCTTGCCAGGCTGAATTCAGACCCCCATAGAGTACGCGCAACTGCCCTCACCACAGACGACCTTGGAACCAATCAATTCACTCGCAAACCGAGATTTATGCACATTGACCTCTAATAATGAACTCGCTATACAGTCTATAATTGTCGTAAATACGAATACGACGTCCCGTTCAGCCCATCAGACGCGTAATCCAATCCTGCTGCCGGTTGCCGCTCAGCCGAAGGTCGATACACGCGTCCGGGCTATTGGAATCCCGCTGGCCGGCTCCCCACACACTAGCCGGAAGCACGCACAGCCCGCCCGTATGCTTGCCGGTCGCCGATTCTGAGTCGTCCACACAGACCGGCTCCTGCAGTCCATGGAACGGTGCCCATGTCACCCGCTTCGGGGGACTGTTGGTGTATTGCTGCTCGGCCTCCGTCGACTGAGCGACCAGCGGGTGAGTCGACGGTAGATTCTCCGACAGCGCGTCCAGAATGGCGTCGGTGAACACGCCGGGACCGGTGATCTCATGCGTCATCTTCTGCGTGTAATGATCGTAAAACTCGCCAAAGAGCCACCGCTGTCGGTTGAAATGTTGTTTCGTATGCGACAGCACCCGCACAATCACCTCGCGCAGCAGGGGACTGAACCGTCGCGGCGCATACAGGTTGTACTGGACAAACCCGTACTTCCGAGCCCCCTGCCATTGAGCCCCCATCTCGGGCGTGGCGAATGGCTCGTCGGTCTCAATGCCCACGACCAGCGAGATGTGGGCCTTGGGGTTTTTCACGGCAACTGTCTCTTGCAGCGCCGGGCAGTCTCGGATGGGGAGGACCGGGACGACATCCAGGTCTGCGTAGTAGCCGCCGTGATACCACATCACCAGGTACCGGAGCAGGTCGGCGCGGAGGTGTTCATCTGGGTATGCTTTCCAGTAGTACCTCAGGTCTGGCACTAGGTTCAGGAATGCGTCGAGAAACCACTGGGCCCATTTGCTCGAGAGGACCTATTGAGATGGAGGGTCAGGTCAGGAGCGATCGCAAAGACAGTGTTGAACACCCACCTCATGGTCCCAATCGCTATTTCTGTCCTGAAAGTCATGCGAATCCTGGCCCCGGCCGTCTGTATTCTCGCCGGTGCCCAGCAGGACCTGCCATATTTTGTGGATAGCTTTATTATCTCCATGTTCCAGGGACACCTGCTCGATATACTTCAGGGCATTCCTGATTCGAGCCTCGTAGTCCTCATCCGGGTTATCGCGATAGGGGGAATGCCAGAGGAATTCCGGCTTGATATCCGAGGGCGACCGAGCGAGATTGGAGGATGGGAGAAGCTGAAACAGGAGAAAGGCAAGCGCAATCACCAAGAACAGGAGACCTTTGCGGCGGTTTAGATAGGATCCGCACGCAGGTCGAATTAGATTCAATGACATCGTCACTACCAGATCGGGTAGCTCTGCGATGCCATTGCAGTGTTGAGGAAGAAAGAAGACAGAGAATAATGGCCTGGTGCCTGATTTTTATTTGAGATGACGCAGCCCTGCCCACTTGGTTACTCATGCAGAAGAATAAATATGGGGCCTTTTTTTCTCGTGGTGGTGCCAAGTGCCTCCGCCCGACTCCCGGTGTTGGGTCCGGTGGATCTTGCCTTACAGGGTAGGCAGGATGTGGATCGTCGGCATCGTCGGCATTGTCAGTCACGCAAGAGTTGATGTGATATATCTGTGAAGAATAACAATCCGTGGGTGAGTTGTCTATACTTAGTTCCGGAAAGGGGGGGGGATCAATGCGGATATCGCCGGGATCCTAACCACTCACATATCAAATGGTCTTCGGTTTCAACGACACACGCCAAGTCTTGGCAGCCAAAATCCCTGTCGAATAGACGACATATCAGGATCAGGAAGGGATCTGATTGGCAGATGATTTCAATGTAGATTTGCCATGTAGACATGCGGTAGTCATCCCAGCTCCCGAGCTTTGATAGCACTTGTATGAAGTACACTTCATCGGCTGCTTCTTTCTCTGTTTGGCCATTCTTACTCTGTCTGGTTAAGATGGAGATGCCCGTCACGGAGGTGAGGGGTCCAGAATGGCTGTTGCCATCTGTGGCTTTGAGACTCTCGTATGTCTTCTCACGCATGAGCGGTTGATCACCACCAAACCCCGAACCGTCAGGACTCACTCCCTCTCTCCCCGGTCCTCTGGTGAAAGGCGTTTCCCACCATCAGTTCAGGGACTTACCCATCAAACGCTGTATCTTTGTTTCTTCACTGCCCCTCAACCAACCTGACCCAAATTCTTGGTGAGGAACATCTAAGAGAAACAAGAAGCAACTACCACCAGGATGATGGCAGACGGAAGGTTTCACGGTTTGCAGAACAGTCAACACAGCAATACCAGGGCAGGTTTCAGAAACAGCCTCCATGCACCCCCCTCTCGAGAAGGGACCTCTCGCTGTCCCACAGGCAACAGATCCCACCCCCACCCCATGTCTTCGGCGGTTCGCAGTCACCCCCCGCCTAACCTGACCACCGTCTTCTGCTCCGGGGGTAATGACTTGATCAACACAAACGACCAGGCCATGGACATGGACGGAATGGACATCGACTCCACCGCAGACATGCTCAACTTACCGACCGAATCATCACCAGCAGCAACAGCAGTAGCAACAGCAACAACATGGCCAACTCGCACCGCAGAAGGTATCTCCCGCCACATTTTCCTCGTTGACATAACAGACCTCTACAACTGCAACCCCAGTGAACTCAACATCCTGGAATCTGTGCACCTGCACCTAGACACCCGCCTGAGACTGGGGAACCTGTCCGATCCCATCCTCCCAAACCCGCCTCAGTGCTGGCGCCTGCGCATTGCCATTGACACGCGCTCCGATGATCGGGGCGATGCGCTGGCGGATATTGTCTTTCGGCTCTCAGCGATGCAGGATATGATTCGGGATGGGTTGGGTTGGTTTACGGGGTTGCCCTGGGAGCATAAGCATTTTGAGGTCGTGGTGTTGCGGCCGAGGTGATGGATTGATGGATCTAGTGAGCAGGCGGGAGAAGGAAGTCGGCAAAGGTTAGTCTTGTACCTAGTTGCGAGAGTGATCACATATGGGATGGAGAGTAGGTAGATACAGTCCATAGATTAGGTAGCATAGTTGCTAGAGAATTGAAGTCAAGTCACTGCCTTTCGGGCTAATATACATACATTTCTATGCCGGTCATCAAATCATAATGTCGTCGGTTCAGTTCAGCTGGCCAGCTGAACATCTTCATCGCTGTCTCCCGTCAGATCAATAACAGGCGCAGGCCTCAAAGCAAGCGGCTCAGGCATCCGCTCCTCGCCAGCACTAGCCCCAGCCCACGCCTTCTTAATCCCTTTCACAGTTTCCCAAACTGCCTTCCTGGCCTCATGACGCTCCGTTCCTGCCTCAAGTAACTTCTCATATGGTGTCAGCGTATGCCGTATATGCGCCTCCACAGCGAGGAGAGCCTTGCGCTCCTCTGTCGTCGTCGATGTCCGCCCTACCCGCCCGGATCCTTTGAGGAACGCATGCTCCAGCACCGTTTCGAGGGATGTAGCCGGCATCAATGGAAAATGGGCCTGCAGTAGCTCCCGCGCGCGCGAGAGGTCCTTCGCATCGCGGACTTGCACGGCACTGGCGCGCGACGACGCTGTTGCGGCGGCAGAGTCCCGGACTTGGTCGTGGATTTCTGATGGGACGCGGATGCCGCGTGTGCGTTTTGCCGCGTTGTTCTGGAGACCGTTAGAATCGTCGCGGATAAGAGAGACAAATCATAAATAAACATCACTTATCACATACCCAGACCACATATACCGTCTGCCCGGCCTCCTTGGTCCGACTGCGACAGTGTCGCGTGACGTAGACGTCGCCTTTGGGAACAAAGACATACCCCGGCTGCAGCTGGTGGCGCTCGAAGATGTTCTAGACATTTGTTTTGGTGGTTAGCACGCAGTACATAGTCAGTGCCTGGAGGTAGCACTTACCTTCTCGAGCGGATCCAGAGACACGGGCATCACCCCTTGACGCAGGTTGCCATTTGTGAGATCAGATAGCGGGCCCGAGCTGCGTCGCTTGAGTACTCGGGCAGTGCGCCGGCCGACTTTTTTGCGGCGGTGTTGTTTCTTTGTTTGTGCCATAATCACGGATTCTTTGGGTCCGAAGGAACAGGTTAGTCCGAGGCGACGTTCTCTTATCGGGTCCCCACCATGATTGCGCAGCACCAGTTCACGACGGGGTGAGCTTAATTATTGCATGTCTACTACCCCTTGGTGGAATGTTTCCTCCTCTGAACTTAATCATTACGCGTGTTGCCAGTGCCATTGGGCGGGACCGCAATCAATAAATAGTGAAGGGCTGTACCTCGCTCTAGACCACCGGGAGCGAAATTGGGATCAGCCCGATCTAGCGTGGTGTTCAGCTGAGATCAAAGGAGCAATGGAACCCGAGGGATAAAAAAGAATGGAGCAAGGGCTGATCGGACTAGGCCGCCGAAGTGCTGGATTGGGCGCACGACCTGCCAAGCTGATGCGGTGCACTGAGATGCAGGGGCAATCGGAGGTAGACAAGTGATTGCCGTTACGAGCAGTCAGGATTGATTCTTTGCTACGAGGTGCTCGGTGGCCGCAACGGACGGAGGGACTCAGAAATACACCAACGTCATCCAGACGTCGCCTAGTAGACGCTAGGTAATTAACAAGGCTGGATCTCACGGAGCACCTAATGTGGATCCCCTCGACTCTGTGCAGTGGATCGATCGGTGGATGTTGCTCGGAGGAAAAAGGGAAAAAGAAAACAGACATCGGCCTACACCTACATCGACACTCTGACGACTACTCTATTCTGCCTCTTCTTCCACCACATCCGTCATGAATTGACATGAAGTAACCCCTATCCCACTGTTCACATTCCTGTCCAAATACTTCCAGTGCCAAGGTTGCCTGGCAGCTCCGACCCTGGGTGACATGAGTTGGGACGACCCTGCGCACAGGTATGCATGCCCCTTGACTCTCCCCTTGTGCGGGGAGTATTTCTCGAGATGGTGTGGTTTTTGTACTTCATTCATGTCATGCTCATTGCCTCCTCACCATCACCATGCTGACCATGTTCAGCTTCGAGCCACAGACCCCCACAAGAACCCCGACCACCGCGAACGACTCCTTCCACACCCCCAAACTCGAGTCGTCCTTCTTCGACCCCCGAGTCACCTGGGACACCGCCGACCCCTATGCCTCGAGCCCTGAGTTCCTGCGGACCCCCCAGAAGTTCGGACTAAGGCAGCATGACCACCACCACCATCACCACCACCCGGACACCGCCAAACGCATCCGCGCAGTGAAGCCGCTCCCCAGCGTCACCGAGGACGATACCCTGGGCTCGGCCAAGTCCGCGGCGTCAATGCAGACACCGCCGCCCACCAGTGCCTCGCGGCGGAAGGCCGCCGAGTTCGACCAGCTCGAGGGGCTCGCCAGCCGGGACGCTACGCCGAGAACAAGCACCCACCTCGAAACCCCCAGTCGCCTGCTGGGGGCCTCGCCGAGCATGTTCGCCAACCTCCAATCCTCCCCCGATCTCTTCCAACTTGCCTCCCTTGACCCCGCGGGCTCGCCTTTCTTCCCGCAACAGCGCCTGTTCTGGGACCAGGATCTGGAACAGCCCATCCATGATGTCCCACTCCTCAGCAGCGGCATGTCCGCCAATCCCACCAGCAATCCCTCGACCAATTCACAGCACATTCCCCAACTACCCTCAATCGATAGCTCTATGGATCTGCCCGATTTCAGTCACACGGGCTTTGGGATCCCCGCTGCGCCTCCTCCTACAGATGCCGCCCTCTTTCCCGCACCATTCTCCACGTCCCCTCGACGTCCCTCCGCAAAGGCCGAGGATCCAGCCATGTTCTTGAGCTCGCCCGCTCGCCGATTCGGTGGCCCCCAAGTGACTCCAGAGAAGAAGCCGTTTGGCCGGCAGCCCTACCACCATCAAATTGAGGAGTCGAGGCGAGAAGAGCTTCGCCGTGCGCAAGCCCCGGACGTTCAGAGTCATGGCTCCTTTGAAGAAGACGAGGAGGAGGATGACGATTGCACGCCCCGCGGTGGCCGGCCAGGATTAACCCGGAGTATGACCCACAGCGCCATCTCCAGCTCCTCCTCCTCCTACCGGCCTCTCAGTCAGGGGGCCATGATGGCCTCCACGAGCGGTATCCGCAAGAGCCCTACCAAAGGCCGTGTGTCGCCGGCAAAAGGAATGCGTCCTGGCACCTTGGGTCGGTCCAACTCCGTTGCAACTGGGTTCCCAACTCGTTCGCAGTCGGTCGTGCTCAAAATCGGCCGGGATGGTCGTGCAAAGGCTGAAATGCAACCGCTGAGTGAGGCTGCCACCGGACTCACTGATCCTCTGGGTGGAATGGACCTGGACGGTTCAGCCACCGAAAGTGAGGCTGATCCGGCTGAATACTCGGAATACCCTGCTCTCCCTCGCCCTCAATCCTCCTACGCCCACCTGGATGGTGGTCGACGGCCGCTCTCCCGCAGCGACTCGGGCTCTCGGCCTTTGTCAAAAGGGTCGTATGCTTCCACCACGGCTTCGTCGCAATCCGGCCGCCAATCTCCCTGGGCGGGTTCTTCTCGTGGTGGAACGACCCGATCGACTTATCGCGGATCTCCAGAAGCTCTGAAACGAACACCTAGACGCCAGTCATCGTTACTACATTCCGATCCAAACTATACGCGCGGCAGCGTCGCCTCCGACTCACTCCCCGAGCCCGACGAGGACCATGGCGATGCGCAACATGCGCTCCGGCAAGTCCTCAAAGATCGCAGCCGGGGCGGCCGCCCTGCCACCAGCGGCTACAGGGGTCGAATCAGTCGTTCCTCCCAGTCGTTTACACACCTCCACTCGTCGCCTCCGCATCTAGGGAGCGACTTTGATATCAATCCGCGGCAGGCCAATGTCTCGCCCACGACCCTCACCGATCCTGATTTGGCCACACCCAGCACCGAACGCCATAGCAATCCCAGCAACGCCACGCGCTGCATTTGCAACTCGATGGATAATGGCGGCCACCTCATGATCCAATGGTGAGTTTTGCCTCCTGTCATTAAACATGACCCGTTTCTAATAGAATGGCAGTGAATCGTGTACTTACTGGCTGCACACCAGATGCGTCGGTCTCGAGCGTGCCAACCTACCCTCGGTGTACGTGTGTGTCTTCTGTGCCCAAACCCCGACACGGCGCAACCGCCCGCGAGGCATGAATCCGACCGGGAATAACGGGCCACCATCGCCTCTGGCACATAAATCTTTCCGATTTCGATAATCATTTCTTGTCGATGCCTTTTGATGACCAGCATCCCTGCCTTTCCTTTGTCAATTCTCCAAGCCGCTGTGCTTGTTCCTCTTTTGCATCTTCTGCTTAGCGGGGATTTTCATGTTCAATCCCTCACAACCCTAATCGCGCTCTTCTCTTCTGTATCCCACTTCGTCATTTTCCTTTTTCCTTTTTGTTTTATCATGATACCAATGTACTACTGTCCGTCCGCGAGGACTTGAATTGAATACTTCAACCAAGGAACCACTCAGTAAACATCCATCCTGATAGGCCTATCCAGGCTTTATCGCCACACCGCCCTTTTATCGCCCAAAAAATCATCTCCGCCCACTCTCTCTCTCTTGTCATACACACACACACTCTCTCTCTCTCTCTCTCTCTCTCTCTCTCTCTCTCTCTCTCTCTCTCGTAGACGGAGTGAGCCTCACTCTTTCGGCTTCTCTTTCTTATTTGCGCTTGTTACTTAATCATGTCCGCCTCTCTCCCCGGCAGCCGGGGCCTCCCCGTGTCGCAGTATGACCTGACCACGTACTGGGGCCGTGTGCGCCATGCGGCCGACATTTCCGATCCGCGGTGAGTCAAACGAACTACGTACCTCCGGATCAAGCATGAGCTGCTTCTGACTGGCTGGCTGTAATAGAACCCTCCTCGTTTCGCCCGCGGGTCTGGAACAGGCCAAGCAACTCATTGCTTCCTACAAGCAGAACCATGTCCCCGCCATGACACCCGAGCTGTGGCGGGCGAAGAAGGTTGTCGATTCCACACTGCACCCAGGTAACTAACCACGAGCGCAACGAATCCCTCTTGGGAATTTTGGTCAGCCATGCTGATGAATATGCCTCAGACACCGGCCAGCCCGTCCTTCTCCCCTTCCGCATGTCCTGCTACGTGATCACCAACCTGGTCGTAACGGCCGGCATGCTCACCCCAGGCCTGCAGACAACGGGGACTCTCCTCTGGCAAATCGGCAACCAGTCACTCAACGTGGCGATCAACAATGCCAACGCCAACAAATCGACCCCGCTTTCAACGTCGCAAATAGCGAAGTCCTACCTCATGGCCGTGTCAGCTTCCTGCTCCGTGGCGCTGGGTCTAAACGCCCTCGTCCCGCGCCTGAAGCGGGTCTCTCCCAATACCAAGCTAATCCTCTCGCGGCTCGTCCCCTTCGCCGCCGTCGCCAGCGCCTCCGCGCTAAACGTCTTCCTCATGCGCGGCGAGGAGATCCGCCGTGGAATCGACATCTACCCGGTCCTGTCAGACGCGGAGCGGCAAAAGCGCGAAGAGGCCGGCGAAGACACCACCCCGCAATCTCTCGGCAAGTCCAAAAAGGCTGCTACCCTTGCCGTCGGCGAGACGGCTATCAGCCGCATTCTCAACGCTACCCCGATCATGGTCGTGCCGCCGCTTATCTTGGTGAAGCTTGAGAAGACACAGTGGCTGCGTGCACGGCCGCGCATGGTCCTGCCTGTGAATCTGGGCCTTATTTTGACCACGTCGCTGTTTGCGCTGCCGTTGGCGCTGGCGGCATTCCCGCAGCGTCAGGCTATTAGTGCCGCCAGTTTAGAGGAGGAGTTTTGGGAGCGGGGTGGGCATGACGGCATGGTGGAGTTTAATCGGGGTATTTAATTCTGTCTCTGTGTTTGAGCGTATAGTATATATCTCCAGTGAATATACCGTTTCTGCATTGTATTCGATCCCTTGGTCTCCAGACCGGGATGTAGTAGGGACGGCTCGGCGCCATCTATAGCTTTAATATCAATATACGTAGTATCATCGAGTGGGGCAGATTCCTCTATATATCTTGATTGTGTTGATGCGCTGTGTATAAGTTAGTTCTTCTACGGAACTCTCCAAACTTCCCAATCTATGTCTATCGGCTAGGAAGATGCTACACAACATTCATATCTGGCTCCTTCCTCGCACGAAGCACATCCTCCACCCTCGCCGCGAGATCCAGCAACTCATCATCTCGATGTTCGAAGCCCAAAAACTCCAACCCAATCGGAACACCCTTCGGAGCCGATGTAGAGGGAGAGCTAAATCCGGCTGTACTCGATAATCAGCATGTATTGACAAAAACATTCTGCGCGGAGGTGCTAGCAATCTTACCTGGGAGACAAATCGCAGGCCGCCCCGTCAAAGCAGCCAAGATCCCATTCCTACCCGCCTGCGGCGTGCCCCCCGTGGGAACAACCAGTCTCCGCTGATGCGGGTACGCCAGCACATCAAGCTGGTTATCATCGAAGACGCGCTGGACCTCTTCTTTCAGGACTTTGATTCTCTGTAACCTCGCGCGATATGCCTCGCTCGTGCGCGAGAATGTCACTGGGTCTTTCAGTGCCGCATCAAACGGAGCGGTCACGGCTTGCTTGTCGTAGTTGCCACTATCAGCTACTGATGCTAATGAGCGGTGGTCCGAGTGCTCGATCAGTGGCGATTGGAGGAATTCATCGAGGCAGAACTTGAATTCGAAGCATTGGGTGTCGGCGTTTTCGCGGAGATTGGCGAAGCTCCAGTCCTCATGGCTAGATGCCGCGATGGGCACGAGGGTTACTGTTTCTTTGTTCTCCTCTTGGAAAGAGGCGAGTGCTTTGCGGACAGTCGATTGGATCTCTGCGTTCTCGACTTGCAACTCCGTGCCTTCGTGGTCTTTTTCTTCCACTCCGAAGTATGCATCCAATATACCAATTCGGAGCTTACGCCCAGACGAACGAGAATAGTTCTGCGTCTGCGTCTGCGTCTGCGTCTCTCCTCGCATAACATCAAAAACAACCCGGACATCCTCAACCGTTCTCGCCATGGGCCCCGCACAATCCTGCGTCTCAGACACAGGTACAATGCCCCTCAACGGGACAACCCCCCATGTCGGCTTGAATCCAACAATCGCGCACGCCGACGCCGGAGACCGCAGCGAGTTGTTCGTGTCCGTCCCCGTCCCTACCAGTGCCAAATTCGCCGCTAGCGCGGCCCCGGTCCCGCCCGACGACCCGCCGGGTGTGCGGGATAAGTCGTAGGGATTGAGCGTCTGGCCTCCGAGCGAGGAGACCGTTGTTCCATGCATGGCAAATTCATGAAGATTCGTCTTTCCCAATATAATGGCGCCGGCGCGGAGTAGCTGTGCCACGACGTCGCTGTCCTCGCGGGTGCGCATGTTCGCTAGCGCTTTGGTGCCGGCGGTGGTTGGGAGGCCGAAAGTGCCGAAATTGTCCTTGAGAACGATGGGCACGCCGTGGAGGCGTGGGAATGGCTCATTGCGTTTGAGTAGTTCCGTAGTTTCGGTGTCCTTTTGGGTCGCTAGGCGCTCTGCGTCTGGATTGAGGCAGAGTATTGCCTTGAGGGTGTGGTCGTACTCCGCAATGCGTGCTAGGTAGGCGCGCACGACGGCCGCGCAGGTAGTCTGCTGCTGGCGGAGGGCATTGTGGAAGCCGGCGATGGTTAATTCGGAGATGGGAAAGGGCGACATGGTGTCTGGTTTGTCTGTTTGATAATTATCGGCAGTTGAAGATAAAGTCCTCGGGCGAGAGATGGGTAATACAATGGGTGGATGCAGGGATCCACATCTACTACACTTTCTACTGCACTCCCCCAGGGCACGAATGTAGATCTCAGCGGTTTTTACATTGCTATCAAAGTACGCATCTAGTTCACCGACATCTTCTCCATGGCATCTGCAGCACTTGCACCAACATCCTCTTTCGTCGCCTGAGTGGGCAAATCCTTGCCCTCGTCAGCCTGGACCTCGGAGGGTTTCGCTCCGGCGCCGGGGTGTCTGCTGCCCTTGTCCTTCTTCTGCTTCTGCTTCTTCTCCTTGGGTGCCTCAACGGGGTAGGCCTTCTTCTCAACCTCCTGCCAGTCGGTCGAAGCCTGGAATTCGGCCGAAATAGGTGCCAGAAGTCTGTTGAGAGCCGTGCTGACGGCCGGCTTCAGTAGTTGGGGTGTAAGCTAAAGACAGCACTTTGTTAGCAAAATAGGATCTTTTTGTGTTTTATTTTTGGAGAAGAAGAAAGTACGCACCACATCGGCGATATAATCTTTCTTCACGGCCTCGATGTCTCTATATATGAGCGGTTCGGCATCATGCCGCTGAACCGTGAAGTGCCGCTCACCGTCGAGCAGGGAGCTGGCAGGGAGCAACACATGCTCGACGAACGCAATAAGCCCATTTTCTTCCACAACCTTAGGCACACACGTCGCCTTTTTGATTCTAGAGGGAAGTGTTAGTACATTAATAGGAAACGTACGCGGGAAGCTCGAAACTTACTTCTTCACAACATTTTCGGGGGTTTCCAAAAGGTCAATTTTTGAGTTGGGGCTTGAGCATCACAGTTAGTTTGGTTCTTGGTTTTAGAATAGTGGCACTTACTCGCTAGCACTCATTTTCACACCAGTCAGACCAGGCACGATGTGATTCATGAGGTCTTGGTACGTAAGTATCAGCATATCCAAGTAGATAGGTTTTGGTTTTGGGTATACTCACGAGCGCGAGACTTGTAGCCGGCTTTCGGAAGAAGCTATACAAATGGGAGTTGCATTAGATGAGTAAGTATGGTTAGGGAAGATGATGTATTACCTCCGTTGCAAGTGTCTGCAGGAAATGTTAGATTTTGTTTAACGGTAAAAAGAGAGAGAGAGATGGGTAAGGAATCACTCACAAAAATCTTCCTCTGATCCACACCACTTCGAAGGATTAGTCCCCTTATTCTTTGCCTCGGTCAGTTTGACTCACCCGAATTGCGCGTGTACTAGACAAAGTGGTTAGCTGGCTAAAAGGATTTGGGGTTAACATAAAGGTACTAACCGCCGAGGTACTCTTCGTCAAGAGCTTGGAGAAGCTAGTGGCATGAATTGATTAGCTTATATACCATGGATGGTATAGGATAGGATAGGAGAGAAAGAAACTAACAGGATACAGAAGAGAGCTGATAGCGGGTGCGGCAGCTTGTTTCACAACATCCGCTCCGCTGTGCTGCGCGCGAGTTGAGGTGGTGATTGAGGCGAGACGGTAGACGTCCATGGTGTCTGTAGATGCTGTTACTATTTGTGGCGAGGCAGGACATGTTATGTCGATATTTACATTTCTAACATGGGATTAGTAAATAGCCTAACCAAAAGCAGACTGAAGTGCATGCATACCGAAGTCAACTGGTACGAGCTGCCAAGAACAAACTCCAGCTTGTCAATCGGGACATTGACAGCCTTGAGCAAGGCCACGATGCAATGTCGGTAGTAGTGCGCGCGAAACTCCACCAATTCAATAGGCGCTTTTCCGGCTGCGGAGAGTTTAGGTTAGTACCTGTTTTTATTTGGCAAGCGATCTCGCACTTACCATCTAAGAATCCGTGCACATCCGCGAGCAGAATCTGCAATAAAATTAGGAACATTGCATTATAGATCAATGCACGCACGCAGAACCTGCCTTGACATTTGCGCCAGCTTGCAAGAACTGTGCGATTTTCATCATCTGGAAGTGGCAACGTTTAGTCGAATGTCAGAGTAAGTCCATGCATGGAGGTCAACATACAGGAACAAAGTATCCACAGTGAGGCTAGAGCGCGCGCGCGATGTTAGCAGATGGTTCTCGTACATGACAGTGAGTGAAAGGAGGCAGGATGATGCGACGAGATGAACAAAACGATAGGGTTCTGTATTTTCCATCCTTAATTTCCACGGAAGAGTAGTCATACCTTTCCAGTGGTAGCGGTTCCTATTTACCAAGTCAGAATTTGATGATTTTCGCGCAGACGTTGCGTTGCACATACCCCAGTAGATGCGAAGAGTCTCATTTTTTGACAGCACTTCATCGATCAGCTCCGGGTTCAATGTCTCCGCTATGTTCTCCTGTATTCCAGTAAGTCTGGAGAACTAAATAAACTGAGGTCGCATGAAAAAAAGAAGAAGAAGAAGGTTCTCAACGAGACTTGCGGCTTCTCGAAGGACAACCCCCGCCAATCCTTCCATATTCATTCGCGGGCTTGACGAACCTGAATGAGAGCCAGCTTGGCCTCCTTAGACATCGGGACAGCCATGATTCAGCGATTCAGGAAACGATTGCGCGTATGCTTCCTGTCATATAAGTATGGCAAGGAGAAAGAAAAGATGGTTGGAAGAGGAAAGTGGGATGAGTCAGGTGGAGAACGGGTTATTCCGCCTCCGATACTATACAATGTTGATTGCACCAACTTATCAGACTCGAGTCGTGTCGAGACGCTTCATCATTATGTACACTCGAAAGTTGCACTCGGTAGAAACAAGCCCAAGTAAAGCGCCTAAAAAGGAATTCCCGCCAAGCCCAAAGAAAAAAGCCCACGCCAGAAGAGGTAGAATCCGGGCCTAAACCACAGCACAGCTTAAAAATCCCCGCCTAGCGAAGGATAATGGGCAAAAAAATAAATAAATAAAACCAGCATTGCAATCACCGCAGAGAATGCTGAGCTCATAAATGCAGCCTGTGCGCCCGGGGAAACAAGCAGCACCACGAAGTATAACAACAATCAAGGAAAGGCATATGTATTGTGCCCCCGAGGCAGAGGATGACGAGCAGAAAAACATCATGACCGGAATTTTCCCCGATGAAATAGACAACACCGACCATCCTGTCCTATCCCGTCCATGATAAGAGAAATAAACCCCCAAAAAATAATATGAACCGTCTATCCGTGCGCGGGACCAGACGAAGCGCCAGCGAACTCCGTATTGGTGTTGTTGAGAGAGGGGAGGGAAGGCCTAAGAATTACTAGGCACGCGGCCGGTGCAGCCCCGCACCGATCCGATAGGCTTCTGTCCCATCGTCGACAAGGGTCTCCTTGAACCATTGATGCTTCAGGGCCTGCTTGGCTGTGATGCGGTTCTTCGGGTCATAGACGAAGATCTTTTGCAGGAGGTCGAGGAACTGGCGATTGTATGGGGTATTGGTGGGAATGAACTCCTATCATAAGGATTAGTCAAACTCGAGATGGCGAAGACACCCAAAAAAACTCACTGTCAGTGCTTTCATCGCTCGCACATACTTGCGCGAAGCCCGCGTCGTCTCGTTATTAGGATAGTCCAGTTTACTCCGGTTGAAGTACCTGTAAAAGTTAGGTTTCGTTCACACAGACATGAAACGACTGGACTTACTTCGCTGCGGAGTTGGTGTGACTGCCAGACCGCCCTCCTTGCATGACCTGCCGGACCAGCCGCGAGTCAATCCGAGACCCAATGACGGCTTCCATCATGGCCAAGTGTTCGAGATTGTCGTGCGTCTGGAAGAGCGCATCGCCGGTAAAGAACTCCACCAGAATACATCCGATACTCCAGATATCACACGGGAAACTCCAGCCGAGGTTCAGGATGATTTCAGGCGCGCGGTAGTGCCGTGTGGAGACTACGGAGGAATGATACTCGTCATCGAAGGTGGCCGATCCGAAGTCGATGAGCCGGATCTCGGAGTCGAGAAGGACGCGGCGCTGGCGGGCGTTGCGGGACGTCGCATGGGAAGATGAAGGGATGGTGCGGTTGTAGGTGAAGGTCTGGTAGGCATTGCTGACGAGGAGGATGTTTTCGGGTTTGAGGTCGGTATGGATGAGGTTCAAGTCATGAAGGACTGGGTGGTCAGCTAGATGTTTTGTGGCACATGATAAGGAAACTTACACGCAACACTCGTGAACAGCTGGCGAGCAAATTGTTGAATTTGACTGCTTGGGAATGGCACGAAACCATTGCCCTTTAAGAAGTCAAAGACGCTTTGTCCCAGCAAGTCGGTGACGATGCAGATGTGATTCCGAAAGTCGAAGCAGTCGCGGAGGTGGATGCACTTGTTGCGGTTCTGCTTGTCATTCGAGGAGAGCGTAGACAGCACCCGCAACTCGATCCGCGACGCGTCGCGATACTTCTGGATGGAGCGGATGATCTTGACGGCGCAGCGGGCCTTTCGGTGCTTGTCGTACGCCTCCACTACTTTTCCGAATGTGCCCTGGCCAAGGAGTTTGATTATGGAGTCTGGAAACTAACGTCAGTCCTGTTCGCCGCGCCAATTCGAGCAATCCTCAACTTACATCGATCTGTCAACGGCGTGTCGGGGGTCACAATGTAGTGGCCGTCGTCGTCGTCGAACTTGTCGTGTCGTGCACTCGTCCACTGCAAAAGACTCGGTCAATAACAGACAAGACAGAAAGAACAGAGGGATACAAACATCGCGAATTACAGGTACTGGCACATCTTTGGCTTTTATAGGCGGTTTGGGCGGCGGAACGTAACTCAAGAAAGCGTCGCCTCCGGTTTCCAGTTCGCGCTTCTTCTGCTGCTCATCTCGGGCAGATTTCCGCGTGGTCACTCGCTTTCGCTTTTGGCCAACATTGGCATCTTCGTAGTAGACACCATTGCTGGCCCCTGTGCTGCCCTGCGAACCGAGTGATGTCGGCGCGGTCGTATGTAAAGAAGTGGTCCGGTCCGTCGATAGCGAGTGGCCAGAAGAGTCATCTCCGTAGGCTTGAGGATTGATCGAGAATGACGGCCGATCGTAGTAACTCAGGTCATACGCGGTCTCGATTCCCGTGCGTCTTCTCTTGCCGGCGGGCTGCGAAGGAGGCGGTTGGGCGGCGGGGACACCGTGGGCAGGAGGGGGAGGCGGAGCGGCCTTGCCAGACTCTGGAGCAGGGCTGTCGTCGATCACAATGACTTCTTTTGGAATGCCATTCTTGTAGAATTCGCCCCAGTCGGGCTTCTTCCTCCGGCCCCCATGGGACGGGGCGGCACTAGAACCGCTTGGGCGTGACGCCATCGCGGTTGGAGTCGAGGTAGTCGGAGCGACTCTGGAAGGTTGGGTGTAGGGCACGGTGGAGGTAGTCGGCGAGGGTACGTTGTAGGAGTAGGAGTTCGCGAGGCGAGCCCCTGCGGCGGCGGCCGTGGTCGGGTACGACGTCGTCGACTGATAGGATTGGTGGTGTGGATAACCGTAGTGCTGGTGGTGAGTTGGATGAGTGGCAGTAGCGGTAGACGGTGTAGACATGTTGTAAAAGACAATCGCGGGCTCTCGCTTTACTCGACAGGCGGTCGAGGCGGGTTGTGGAGGGCAATGAGGGCTTTATGGGTGTCGCCCGAGGGCGAGTCTCACGGCGAGTCTCTGGCTCGATTTCTCGCGACCAAAGTGGCTCCCAGGGGCGTCTAGCAGACCAGCCGCGCGAGAATGGAACGGGAGTCGGACGTCGAGAGAGTGGGAGGAAGGGAGAAATTCGCACAGACAGCAGAGACGTGAGGATGACGGGTGGAGGCGGTCGGGGGTGTGATCGAATGGGGGTACGGTAGTGGGCTCGTCAAGCGAAACACATAATCCTCGGGGAGGCGAAGGATCAGGAGGGAGGAGGCAGCAGATACATTAGAAAGGAATCGGTTGTCATCTGGGTTTGGGTTGGAAACGGAGTGTGTGGCAGCGGGAAGAGAGGGGGGGGGAAGAAGCGAAGGGTCGAAGCCAGCAGCAGATGAGTGATGATGCTACTGGCGATCCTGGCTCAACGTCTCTTCACCACAACAACCACCATTACATTCACCGATCTAGGACCTCGATCATAATCCTACTAGGTAGTCCATAGGACTACAAGAATAATTATGCCAGTCGAAATAATCATAACAGTAGACAATTCATTCACGGCCCGAATCACCCTTTGGATTCACCACGACCATTCCAATTGTGAGGAATGATTCCGAGCCCTCGCGAGTCTGGTCTGGTCCCGCCACCGGCAACGATGGACAGACTCTGTGCGCCAATTCCGGCTCGTCTGGCCTTCCCACTTCTCAGAATTACTGCGAGACTCGAAATAATTGTCCCTCTTCAAACTTATCTCTCATGTTACCTTCATAACTCTTCTCCCAAGCCAACTGATTGCCAGTCAGCTGACCGGTTCCGGATTCCAGCTGACTCAGCTAGTCTACATTCGGAGACAAGTCTCTACTTGGAGTGGTGGCTGGAAAGGGCCTGTTGAGCGGTTGAGAAACAGCAGAAGCTTCGCTGCACTGCATGTCTCAGGCGGCGCAGAGACACGGGTCGATCAGGTCGAGGAGCCTTCCTGGTTGCGGTAAACGTCTACCAGCGCAAGGGGTGCCGCCCGGACAGCTGAAAATCTATGTAGGCGCCGCAGACGTGACTGGCCAGAACTCATCCAGTAGTCGGAGTTAGTATCTGTCGTGTATCGGTACTTAGACTATATCAAACTCCACTATTTAGCCGGGCCCCTTTCTTTGCTTGTCTATCTCTCAGCCTCGATCAACACCAATGAAACTAAATATGTCAATAGAGCGATCAAAATGAATATGCTCTATCGAGAGGGGTTCGTAAGGATTCGTTCACACGGGTCGGTCTATTATTCAGGACTGCAAGGATACACTATCGTGCAAAGACGTATATATCGCCGCAGGTGTCCCAATTGATCTCGAGGGATGCAGATATCGAAGAAGAAAATACCAATTCTTGAACCTGGTCTCACTTTTCCTACTGGTAAGTCGCATTGCTTTGACACCGGGTACGACCTGAGTGGAAGTTGGCCGTGTACCGTCAATCATTGGGGTTGAGGCGCAGCGGCGTTGATGATCCCTGCAGTATGTATGGAGATAGACATCAGCCACACTTCCATTCAATGATTTCAACGATCCAATCAAAGATGCGAGCAAATTCGGACCGATATATGCCTTCCTATTTTGAATCGGCAGGCCGTCAATAACCTTATTTCACTACGTATGTCTATAGCTAGCCAACCCAGGTGTACGGAGCACAGCACAAATCAAGCAAAAAGACCACCGCGGAGCCAATAAAGACTTAACAGCTAGAATAGACGAGCAACTCCCGTCTCGAGGTACCGAATTTAGGGCCTTCCCAAAAGGATTCGAACTTGACCGCCAGGATTCCTGCGACTTAATTTGGATGCCTTGGGGCCGGCCGTCGCGCTGGTGTCCCGATCGGGCGTGGCTGAGCCGATCCTACCACGGATTTGGGTTTGCTAAGCTCATCCCCGTCAGCCCTAACGAAGTGTTCTGTCGCCCTTTGAATTTTGGGGGCCCAACAAGTGCCGGCGCTCTTTACTCAATGAACACCGTTTTCGGTAGGAATCGCGAAGTAGGCAAAGCCAGAAATATAAATTCGCCCACTTCCCACTTGATTCTTCCCATCTAAACAGATCATTGATTCCCACCTTTAACCTAACATAGCTTAAACCCGCACCATGCCAATCGTCAAGAGAGCCGTCCGGGGTGTTGCGGCGGGCATTGGCCTGGCCTCGGAGAGCCTCCACGCTCGCAAAATGAAGAAAGAGGGTAATGAACAAGCCCAATCGCCATCTGAAGACGCTGAGTCAGAGAGGAGTTTGTCGCAAGACAACAGCGAGCCGCCAGTATACCGGGCTGAGCTATATACATCTCAAGAGCATCTCCCCGCCCAAACGACGGGGGTCATTCAGAACGACGAGATTGACGCTCTCGAAGAACAATGGGAGCTCGATGAAGCCCAGGACGAGCTGCAGCAGCAGCATTCGATAGAGAGAAAATCCTCCGATGCTTCCACCGAGGAGGTAGATGAAGCAACTCTGGCTACGGACTTTCTGCGCGACCACCCAGCGCCCCCACCTTATGTACCCTATGATGAGCCATCCGCAAGACCCCCAAAGCTATCGGCACCTGTTGTTCTGCCCCAACGCAGACCGAAGAACCAGGACCGCGGCTTCATTCGCGCATATCCGCCCGTGCTGGAGAACTATGGCATTGACCAGGCTACGTTCCTTGACTTCCTCGATACGGCCGAGAAGTCGACCAAATCGGCTCGCTGGCTGCAGGCTATCAATTTGGCTTCTCTGGCTACCATACCCCTACCCATTGCCACGGGAATGGCCATCGGGATTGCAATCCAGATCGCGACCGACGTGGCGATGGCAGTGGAGAATCGATACCGGTGCGCTTGTTTCTTGCTCTCTCACTGATTTCACCTAGCATAACTAACCCTCGGTCCCAGATCGAGCCGCTTCTTCGCTAAAATCAACAAGGAATTCTTCCAGCCCCGCGGCCTGTTCTGTCTGGTCATGACCTGGAACCCGCAATTGGCAGAAGATCCATCGACAGTGGTCGATCTAAACACTAGCGTCGCGAAGGCTGCTGGTGGCGGCGGTGGAGATATGCTGAGTCGTCTCCAGTTCAAGTTCAAGTCGTCCGATGGGCAATCCTACGGCGATCTCTTCCCAGAGGTGGCGCCGCTGGTTTTCCCATCGCTTGACCAGCTAGCCTCGGCCAAGGACGCAGAGACGAAGCTCTCTAAGACTAGGCAGCGCCATCAATTCGTTGCTGAATACCTAGACAGACGGGCCCAGGCTTCCTTTGTGAGTTTCTCCACACCGTCGGTCGCAATCAACGGACATTGGAATTAACAGAAATAATCACAGAGGGCGAAAAACCCAGACAGTGTCTTGAACCAAGGCGCCGAACCTAAGTTTACTTCGCGTTATGCGGATCCCACCCACCCTGCAGCCAGCGGGGATCTTCTCGGCTTGATTACGGGCGGGCACCTCACACGACGGAATGGCAAAGAGACGATCCGGGGCTGGAAAGCTGCTGGTCGTGAGAGAATGATGGATGTCGGCCGCGCGAATAGCGATTATCCCAGCGAGGATCCAGATGACTATCAACGTCACTCGAGTTCGAGTTCAAACTCGCCTGCGCCGTATGCTCCATACGGTCGTCGACGACGCGGACTGGTGGGAGGGTTGATTGATGCAGGCAGGGCTCAGGGTTCTCGCCATGCTGGTCGACGTGAACGGAAGGGCGGCTTGCTGGCACAGGGAAAGAAGTTATATCAGCAGAAAGTGTTGTATCTGGTTATCGTGGACATGCCGTCGGATGAGGATATGGCTCAAGCACGGGCGGACCTGGGACTGAGCGCTTAAGAAGAGTAAGAAAGTTGTTACGATACACTTGAGATACCCGCATTTGAACTTGTCTTTCATGCATTGTTCATCTGGGCTACCCACAGATTTTTGACCGTACGTAGGTAATGAGACCAGTCTGTAGGCAGGGAATGAAGTGTCATCAATACGAAGCCGTATGGACCGTCTCTCATTCGACTTTTAGTACATGCGGACCCTCACAATAGGGGGACAAGAAATACACAAGAGACCGAAGCAACCCAAAGATGAATTCCTCCGCCGAACGCCACGAAACCAAAACTCACGCAGGCAATGCAAGAACTCCGGAAGGGGGGACCATTCCTCCACTAGAGAAAGAAATTAGAGGCACAAGAAAAAGAAGAAGAAAAGGTACAAGTGTGGATCAATCCCCCCGATCACGATCCTCCCTCGGATCTTTCAGATAGCCCTTTTGCAAATGTTTCATGCCCCGACCATCCACCTCGAGCATAAACAGAATGTCCCGCACTTGAATACCCGATCCCTTCTCTTGGTCTTCACGCCACGTTCCGAGACGCCGCTTGGGTTGGCTGGGTGTAGCTTCTCCAAGTTGAGTCGGCTTGTCGGGCGTAGCAGTCGGCGTTGAAGGAGCAGGACGCGCGGCAGAGAACCCGCTGGAGGTGCCACCGGGTTTGAGCCATGAATATGACTTTTTGGCGCCACCGAACCGGCGGGTTGAAAGCATGCTGTTGGTGGCCATTCGCGCGGTCTCCACGGATTGTTGGTGTTGCTGAACCTCGCTGGCCTTCGCGTCCATAATTTTCTTCTGTTCCTTCTTGCTGATAGACTTTGGATTAAAGCTAGGTGCCCGCTCGCCGATAGGAGTCGAGGGCGCGGATCCCATGTCAATCGAGTCGGATCGTCCAGGAGTACCCTCGCCGAGAATAGCACTGGCACCGCGCTTGTTGCGCTTGGCCTCACGCCGCTCCTCCAGCGCTGCTTCCTTTCTGGCAATAGCCCGATATATTTCGTACGGACCTAAATTGCTTGTTAGTAAAGGACGCAGAAATTGAGTATAGTAACATACGCTTTAGTGAGGCCTTGGCAGCCCCGGCATTCCCGGCAGTCGGACCGAGAGGCTGAGCGACATCGCCCCATTCCGATGGGATAGCACCATGCGAGTGTGCCCGGCGGCTGCGGGCCAGTGTCGAAGAATAATCGACCACTCCCCTCAAGCGTTCTTCGCACGAAAGAGACAACAGATTCAGGATGTCAACCAAGGGCGCACCTTCCTGGTTCAGGATAGTTTTCCCACTTCTCACCACTGCACTGCCATCTGGGCCCGTTACTTCGATGGGTTGTGGCCGGCCCGGGACGGGATGAAATAGGCCCTCTGACGGGATGCGGACTCCAAGCTCAAACCCCCGCTTCTGCAACTTTTGCTCAAGGAGCTTGGTCAATAAGAACGGTTCCTGAAGATGGTACTGCGCCCGCCGCGCAGCCTCGGTATCTTGTCGAGTGGGCTCATTGGGATCCTTGAACGGAACAGGTATTTGTGAAGCTGACTCTGTGGAAAAGGATTCCTGCGGTGTTGCTGGTTTGATCTGAGGCAGGTCGCTGAAGCTAGCCGAGGCGGACAGTGTCCCCGGAGTGGACACTTGAGAGGAAAAGGACGTATTGATGGGAAGAGGTGCCGGTGTCTGTGACGATCGCTGAGTCGGCTGCGATGCTGTATTGGGCCCTCCGAAGCTGCGCGTGAGAAATGCCTCTTCCTCGCGCACGTCGATACCGGACGAGGCCAGAACATCCGTGAGCTCCGCAGCATCTGTCACCTTGTCGGCAGGTCGAGAAGGTGGGCCCATGGCGCCCGGGGGCGCAGGAGCAGGGGCGGCGGGAGTGGACGGCATGCTGTTCATCGCTGATCCGTTCATCGATGGTTGACCCTGCGGCAACTGGAGCGAGCCGAAACTCGGGGAAGCGTAGGGTGACTGAGAGCCTGACGGAGGAAGAGGAGACAGACGAGGTCGCTTGGATGGTGGAGGGACTGGTCCGCCGTTCACAGGAGATCCCGGGTTGGGAGAGGGAGATGAGACGGGGGGAGAGAACGGTTGAGAGAACTGGGGCTGCTGTGGCGGGGGAGCCTGTTGCTGCTGCCTGGGTTGCGCCATAGTGAGATAAATCCGACAGATACCTTCAGTTGATGCAACAGGTTACTGCGCACACCCACGACGGATATGAAGGGAGGCAGACGACCACGCGTGGTTGGAGTGAGCGGATTGATCGTACCGCCAGCTTCCACCAAGTGTGACCATCTCAGGACGAAGGGTTGAGCATGGAAGCGATGGGCAAAGTGAACTGAGAGGACAAGTAGTTATGGAGGAGGGAGGGAGGGAGGTGACGGTTAGACGGGGGATCACTTCGGGTCGAGCTTCCTGCCCAGCCTGAGTTTGTTCCGCGTGATCACGTGTGAGATTATGTCAGACGCCCTTCCGCCCTGCTCTGAATCTCTCTCGGCAACATTGAGACTCTCAGGCGTCTTGTCGCGCCCAGTCATGGCTGTTCCTTCTTGCGCGTGTTCATTGATTGATGCATAGGGCGGCAATTGACTACATTCCCAGAATTCTAGGCAATCTCCAGGTAGTCCTTGAGGATTCCATACACGGTGAATAGCGACGCGCTCTCAGAGCCCTAAGCAATTCCTAGATTGCGCCTTCGCCAGGTGAATCCCCAATTTCGTCATGGCGGCCAAGCGCAAGGCCTCGGCGATCGGCGCCGTGGATGACGAGCCCGTGGACCCGTCGGATGAGCTGGCGTTCTATTGCCTGGGCGGAGGCAATGAGGTTGGCCGGTCATGCCATATCATTCAGTACAAGGGCAAGACGGTGATGGTACGTTTCATGTGTGTTGGGGCAGACCGAATAATAACCGAAACCGATAGCTCGACGCCGGTATGCATCCCGCCAAAGAGGGATTCTCGGCCCTCCCCTTCTTCGACGAGTTCGATCTCAGCACGGTGGATATTCTTCTGATCAGCCAGTATGTCGGACCCCCTTGTGTTTTCAGTCGGAGCAGGACCAGTGGTTTCATGTATCTGAGAAGAGTCCAATACAAATCACTCTGTTCCTGCTGTACTTGTATCTACATTCGTCTATGCAGCGGGCTAATCTTTTGCTTCCCAGTTTCCACGTCGACCACTCCTCCGCTCTCCCCTACGTCCTTAGCAAAACCAACTTCAAAGGCCGTGTCTTTATGACACATGCCACGAAAGCTATCTACAAATGGCTTATCCAAGACAACGTTCGGGTCAGCAACACATCATCCAGCTCGGATCAGCGCACAAATTTATACACCGAACGAGACCACCTCTCTACACTCCCTCTCATCGAAACCATCGACTTCAACACCACCCACACCATCAACAGCATCCGCATCACGCCATTCCCCGCCGGCCATGTCCTCGGCGCCGCCATGTTCCTGGTCTCGATCGCCGGCTTGAACATCCTGTTCACTGGCGACTACTCTCGCGAGGAGGACCGGCACTTGATTCCGGCTGAGGTGCCCAAGGGGATCAAGATTGATGTTCTCATCACAGAATCCACATTCGGCATTTCATCAAACCCGCCTCGGTTGGAACGTGAAGCGGCGCTGATGAAGTCTATCACGGGCGTTTTAAACCGCGGTGGTCGGGTTCTGATGCCAGTGTTTGCCCTCGGACGCGCGCAGGAACTGCTTCTTATTCTCGACGAATATTGGGAGCGGCACCCGGAATTGCAGAAAATCCCCATTTATTATATCGGCAACATGGCCCGACGATGCATGGTCGTCTACCAGACCTATATCGGCGCCATGAACGACAACATTAAACGCTTATTCAGGCTCCGGATGGCCGAGGCCGAGGCTTCTGGCGATAAGAGCGTGAGCGTGGGGCCATGGGATTTCCGATTCGTCCGAAGTCTGCGAAGCCTGGACCGATTCGACGATGTTGGGGGCTGTGTAATGCTGGCGTCGCCGGGTATGCTGCAATCGGGCACGAGTCGTGAATTGCTCGAGCGCTGGGCTCCCAGTGACCGGAACGGTGTGGTCATGACCGGCTACAGTGTGGAAGGCACCATGGCAAAGCAATTGCTCAATGAGCCCGATCAGATTCCCGCCGTGATGTCTAAAGTGGCCACTGGCCATGGACGCGGCCGGGTCCCCGGAGGCAATGACGAGGAGCAGAAAGTGATGATCCCACGCCGATGCACGATTGATGAGGTTAGTTTCGCAGCTCATGTTGACGGCGTTGAGAACCGGAACTTTATCGAAGAGGTCGCTGCGCCAGTAGTGGTGAGTCTTATCCCCTCGTCCTCAAATCGCTGTCACTAATATTCTCCTAAGATTCTTGTTCACGGAGAAAAGCACCAAATGATGAGACTCAAGTCGAAACTGCTTAGCCTTAACGCAGACAAGACAGTCAAAGTCAAAGTATACACGCCTGCCAACTGCGACGAGGTCCGCATCCCCTTCAAGAAAGACAAGATTGCCAAGGTCGTCGGGAAGCTGGCACAGATTGCTCCCCCCACAGAAGAAAGTGATAGCCAGCTCATGGCAGGTGTCTTGGTTCAAAATGGATTTGATCTAAGCCTCGTTGCTCCGGAGGACCTCCAAGAGTATGCCGGTCTCACCACGACAACCATCACATGCAAGCAACACATCACGCTCAGCTCCGCCAGCATGGATCTGATTCGCTGGGCTCTGGAGGGTACCTTTGGCGCGATTGAGGAGGTCGGAAACCAGGTTAAGAAAGCCGATAGCGACTCGGAAGGCTCTCACCCAAAATCGGAGGCTGCCGATGAGGAAATTCCGATGGAATCAACACAGACTTTCCTTGTTATGGGCTGTGTCATTCTCCGCCACCACCCACGAACCCGCGAGGTTGAACTGGAATGGGAAGGGAACATGATGAACGACGGTGTCGCCGACGCTGTCATGGCTGTTCTTCTTACCGTCGAGAGCAGTCCAGCCTCGGTGAAACGTATGTGACTTCTAACCAAATTCCGACAAGCTGCTGACCATTTTCTTTAGAATCCGCAAAGGACAAGCATCACCACCACCATCATGGCGATGATGACATCGCCGCTCTCCCGAACCCCCATTCCCAAGTCTCAGCCGACGAACGACTGACGCGCCTTCTGATGATGCTGGAAGCGCAATTCGGCTCTAACATTGCCCCCATCGAACGCCCAAGAGTCCCGACCGAGCTCGTCAACGGTAAACTAGAAAATGGCGACACAGACAAAACGACCGATCCCGAGCGCGTGGCTGATATCGAGTCTGCAGAACTTGACCGACTTCATGCTTTAGGTATTCCCGTCCCCGGTCTTGAGATCCGAGTTGACCAACACGTGGCACGTGTTTGGCTTGAGAACCTGGAGGTGGAATGCACCAATGCTATTCTGCGGGATCGTGTGCGCGTCGTTGTCGAGCGGGCTGTAGAGACCGTTGCGGGGCTGTGGGCTGAGGACTCCATGCCCCGGGAGGTGACGGCACCCAATGGCTCTGCTGAGGAGCAGATGGAGGTCGACGTGAAACAGGTGGCTGCCATTGAGGCTTAGGGTTGGTGGGGTTTGCATCTGTACAATAATGGCTAGTTACTCTCGAATGGATCTGAGATGACTTTACGGGTATTCTGCGGAGACAAATTGTGAAGTAGATTAATTGAATTTCTCGAAGCCACTTGCGATATCTATTTCACGCTTTAGACTCAAATTGACATGTCGTTGATCAAGAGTGGGGAGGTTGGGTAGCTATTCTTTTCACATTCCCAAATCCGCAAAAACAGCATCTAGTACTCTCGCCATCACCTCCACGATCGTATCGATCTCTTCCTTAGACACGTTGTAGGGCGGAGCCAGCACGACGTGGTCACCACGCACGCCATCTACCGTGCCAGTGCAACCATAGAGCGAGATCGCATACTCCGGCCGCAGACCTTTCTCTTGAATCAAGAACGACAAGCGCGCCTCGGTATCGAATGGCTCTTTCGTATCCTTGTCCTTGACAAATTCAACCTGGAAACGCAGCGTCAGCAACCCCTCCCATCCGTGTCTACATGTAGGCATCTCTACTCACCCCCCAAAACAGTCCTTTCCCGCGAATATCACCCACATACGGATGCGCTGCCAACCGGCTCCGCAGCCGCTCTTCAAAATAAGCGCCCATGTTCCGCACGTTCTGCAGCAACCCTTCCCCCTGGATAGTCTTCTGCACCGCCAACGCCGCAGCACACGAGATCGCATGACCCTGATAGGTCTGTCCGTGTCGGAAAGCGCCCGTGCCTTTGTCCATGGTCTGCACGATATGATCGGCGATCAGAACCCCAGAGACAGGCGCGTATCCTCCACCCAAACCCTTGCCAATAGTTTGGATATCTGGCACGACATCTTCTTGCTCCCATGCATGCAGAGTCCCGCACCGGCCCATGCCGCTCATGATCTCGTCGAGGATCAGGAGTGCGCCATGTTTCGCGCAAACGGCTTTCATGGCGGCGAAGTAACCCGGTACAGCGGGGACGCAGCCCAGGGCCTGCATTCAATCATCTGCATTAGTGACTCTCAGGAATCATATTGAGGGGCAAAAGGGCAACGTACGGCGCCTACGACGGGCTCTGCGATGAACGCGCACACATTCTCCGGTCCCACGCGCTGGAACTCCGCGTCCAGCTCGGCGGCGAGACGAGCAACGTATTGTGCGTCGGACTCGCCGTCTTGCTTGCCGCGGTATGCGTAGCAGGGAGAGACATGCGATGTGTTCTTGGATAGAAGAGGCTCAAAGGGCTGTCGGCGAAGGACATGGCCTCCGGCCGCTAAAGCGCCCAGCGTGGTGCCGTGATAGGACGGCAGACGGGATATGAACCGTGTTCGCTGCGGCTGGGGGGATGTCAGCTCGAGGAAATATTGGCGGGCTAGTTTCAACGCAGCTTCTACGGCCTCGGAACCTGGATGGGTCATCAGCGGATAGGGCCATGGATATCTGGAGGGGTTGCCTGACCGGAGCTGACGACGAAGAGCTTAGACAATTTCCCGCCGGTGGAATCTACCAACAGCCGAGCGAGATCTTCGGCTACTTGAGTGCCAAAGAAGGCAGAGTGACAGTATGATATCGTGTCGATTTGATCCTTCATGGCCTGCTTGATCTGCTCGTGGCCATGTCCCAGGCATGCCACGGCCGCGCCGCCGGTTGAATCAAGAAATCTGGTCCCATCCTCGAGGAAGAGATAGCTGCCCTTGCCTCCGACGGCCGACTTGGGGATGGAACGAGTGTCCCGGTGAAGGACGGCACTGGATCGTGGCGGTGTCATGGTGGATGTAGAAGGGAGGAAGCAAACGCATGACTCACTGCTTGGAATGTGCGGGGAGAGTGGGTTCGGCATGCCGAGTGATAAATCACATCCATCAGTTACGTACCTGCATGGGAGGTGCAACTATACGACGAAGCAGGGGATGCGTTACAGGGGTCGCGGAAGACCAATTCTCCGATCTATAAAGGAAAACCACGTGGACATCCCACTACCACTACCACTGTCAACATGGATCTCCCGGGATGAAGTGCAAGCCCACTACCTCATTGACGTGTCGAAAATTAGATAGAGAGAAATGAGACTGAAACAGATGAGGACGGATCACGACAGGTCGAAAACTAAGCGCCCGTGATCCAATTGAGACATGTGATGGTCCCCAATCGACTGGGTGAACTCATTTCCCGCCATCACGGTCGGGCTGGTGGGCGTATACATGTAGGATCCTTTCCTGATTGCGACACGGCCGCAGAGTCTCCCACCCCTCCTAGCCCACCGCTCTGCCCCTCCTCGGGAAGCGCTGCGCGAAAGGGAAGGTTTACCTCACTGGGACCCCACCGACACACACCCTCCTGGACCCCTCCATGGACGTCCACCACCAATCTGCCGCCCCACGATTGAGTAATGGGCTGACGAGTGAGACGAATCAAAGGCTGTTTCATCCTCTGTCTCCTGAAAGCTTGCCCTCCCATCGATCGAGAGAAGGAACGTGTCGGTTGCGTGATGTGGCACGCGCTAGTCCCTGAAGTGATTGGCTCCGTTTCGCACTACGTTGGATGCCCCTCCTATATAAGCCCCTCCTCTCCCTCGTCTCCCCTCCCTCATCTTGACAACCTCCAACTTTTCTCACCTTCAATCCAACTTTCCGAGCATCAAAACATCCAAAATGGGCTGGTTCGATGGTGAGTTATAGTCCGATGCATGCCAAGCCCGGCCTTAGCGTCTTGGCTGACCCTCAGTTGCATAGATGATTCCCAACAGGCCGACTACCACAGGCAGTGGAACAACTCCGAGCCCACTGAGCATGACGCCAGCTTCGTCCATGAGCTGATTGCCGGCGCCGCTAGCTACGAGGCCGCCAAGGCCTACGAGCAGCACGAGGAGCGTGAGGGTAAGCGAAACCAATCCCGTCCATATGAGGAGAGAACTACGGAGTGCTCATCGATTGGTGATATGAACAGGCAAGCCCGAGAGCCACGAGAAGGCCAAGGAGATCATGGCTGGCTTTGCCGGTGCTTTCGTGGACCGCGAGGTTGAGACCCGGGGCCTGGACTTCATCGACCGCGAGAAGGCCAAGCGCCAGGCCCGCGAGCACATTGAGCGTGTTTCTGCCCAGGATGCTGGCTGGTAAAGAGCCAACGACATCTCAATGTGTCCTAGACTCGTTCAGAGAATTGACCACATTCGTTTATTAGCTTGTTCCTGGTAGATAAACACTTTTTGAGTCCATCGTAGATAAGCCTTCTGATCATTAGCCGTGCATGTGGTTGGCAATAGATTGTCTCAGACGCAGATCAATCGCAGGGTTGAAAAGCAGGTACAGAGACCAACGCATATCGTGTATACTCTAGAGTGGCCATGTCGCACCAATCCCGCCAACTGGCCCGTGCGCCCCGCCCACAAACTCCGCCTCTGCTTTCCTGCCACGGTCACAACGGACCAGCTTAACACCACCCACCACCATGCCTCAACACGCCCGCGTCGAGGAGGTCGACTCCGACCCCGATGAGGTCGCCCCCTCCGACTTTGATGTCGGCGACGCCATCATTGCCCCCGCCAACATCCCCTCGCGCGCACCTGCAAACCCCACGCCGCCCAACATGGCCAACATGGCGAACATGGCCAATGCCGCCAATGAGGCTCAGATGGCCGAACCCCAGCGCGAGATCCCCAAACACTTCCAGTGCCTCTATCCCGTCTACTTCGACAAGACCCGCTCGCGCGCCGAGGGCCGCAAGGTGGGCGCCGAGCTGGCGGTGGAAAATCCGCTGGCTCGCGATATCGCCGACGCGGTGCAGATGCTCGGATTGCAGGTCGGTCTGGAGCCGGAGAAGCTGCATCCGAAGGACTGGGCGAATCCCGGGCGCGTGCGTGTGCTGCTGAAGAATGAGGATGGGAAGTCGATGAATTCCAAGATTAAGAATAGTGCGTCTCTCTCTCCCCCTCTCTCCCTGCACAACAATTGGCCCTGCAGGAATTGACTGACTCTTGCTATTCTTCAGAGCATCATCTCTACATCCTTGTCGCGCAGTATCTGAAAGCCCACCCGACCAACGAGCAATCCCCGTACCGATTACGGATCCGCGGCCTGCCCGTGCCTGACAAACTCCCCGACGCCCCTTCGGCGCCGCGCGGCTGGAAGATCGGAAAGATCCTGCCGATCCACTCGCCCGCCTACAGTGGTGGCGGGGTCAGTGATAACCCGTTGCAGGATGCCATGGCCGAGATGCAGAGCATGGGGGGAATGCCGGGAATGCCTGCGATTCCAGGTATGCCGGGGATGATGGACATGGGCGGGCCGTCGGGGCCTGGGGGTGGTGCGGAGAAGAAGAAGAAGGAGAAGAAAAAGGGCAAGGCATGATATATTCCATGTTCCCCTTTGACTTGCATTACATGGCGATGGGCGTTCTCTTGCTTTTGGATAGAATCGAGGCTCCTGAATACCTCGGATCGACCTGCTTTTCCCCCGTCTTCTTCTGTGGATAGTTCTTCTATGATAGATACCTGAATCTGATGTACTATTCACACGCCGATGCAATCATATTGTCAAGTTATCACGCTGATGTCGTCAATCCGCATCGAAGTCACAGGCCTTAAAGGATGCCTTACTGCCTGATGAGTAAACGCAGTCCATGTTGTCATTGGCCGGCATCGCCCGATCATGGTTCGCCCGATCGCCGTTCCCCGCAGGGCATTTGATAAAAGACCAACGACCTTTCATGATCTCGTTGACATGCCCCCTTGACTGGTTGTAGCAGACCATGAATCCCACTCCGGACATCCAATTCACTCTCGCTGACCCCGGCCCCCCCGGTCCTCCTCCCAGCGGGGTGGTGGGGGTGGGATGGGTGGCGGGCGCCTGATTACTCGCAATCGCGCGAGCTATAGCTGTCACATGTGTCGCCGGCGCAAGGTGAAATGCAACAAGGTAAGGCCTATGCCTGACTACTCGCTGCCCGCTGGCCGATAGCTAACCTCTGTGGCCGCATCCCAGGTCCATCCCGTATGCGGAAACTGCGTGAAGAACGGTACCGATTGCGTGTACGATGTGTCATCGCAGAACGATGAGAATCCGCGCGACTCATCACGGTCGGGGCACGGAGTCAAGCGGAGGAAGGGGACTCCGCGAACACTCGAGGAGGATGTGGATGAGCTGCAGTCGATTTACGGGCACCTCAGACAGACGGGCTCGTCAGCAGCCCATAAAGGAGCCATTGAAGCCCGGTTGGACAAGCTCATGTCGATGATTGAGCGGATTGGTGGGGATCAGGCTGTTGAAGCGGCGGAGCGACGTACGGCAAGTCTGGAGCCAGTTGTAAAGGAGGAACCGCTGCCGAACAATGACTGGAAGAGGTCGAGTTCGGAAAGGTCGGCGAGCCCGCGTCGTGCGGGGGCAGAGTCGAGCGGTGATGAGTTTCCGATACCCTCGGGACAAGCGACCGACCTCGTTGATCCGGTGGGGAGTCTCAATCTGGGCCATCTGAGCTTGGAGGATGGTGGCAGATCGAGGTGGGTTGTGTCCGCTGATGGTGAGATTCCATTGCTAATGCTAGTTTAGATATGTTGGAACCACATATTGGGCTTACATCTCCCACGAGGCATGTCCCCTCCCCGATATTCCTCTTTACTGATTCCTCTGGACTGACTGAAGATACAGATCAACGAGCTGAACCAGCTGCTCAGAGACCAGAATCGCTCGCATGACCAACCGGCTGCTTCCGACACTACTAGCCCGGGCATCACTGATCCAGCCACCAGCACTCGAAGGACGTGGAAAGAGTCGATCGATAGTACGACGTCACGTTCGACCACATCCCTTGGGTCTCGAGAGTCTTTCCAACAATCCATCATCTTCCCCTCTGGCGACTCTCCTTCGGTACATGAAAGAGTCGTTGAACCTGAGATGCTCGATCATGTTCCGACAAGACGTCAAAGCCATATCCTTTACAAGGGGTTCATGTCGGGGGTCCACGCCATCAGTCCAGTCATTCACCCTCCAAGCGTTCTAAAACTTTACAACGCCTTCTGGGACTGGTATGACTACAGCAGTTATTCGGGAAACCCGTGCCCCAATCCCTCGTTTATCCCACTTCTATATGCCATTTGGTATGGCGGTTCCGTCACCGTTTCGATCCGCACAATCAAGGCTGAATTCAACGCGTCGTCCCGATTTGCTCTGTCCGGAATGTACAGCGAGGAAGTTAGCCGCTGGTTGACGAAGATCGCCTTTCCTCGCAGCCCTTCTCTCCAGGGCCTGTCAGCCTACCTTATTGTGCAGACGATTCTGTCCAAGGAGGAAGAGCCCCTGACGAGCAGCTTATTCGTCAGCCTTGCCATGCGCGTGGCACAGACTATGGGTCTGCATCGAGATCCAGCTCAATTTGGGATTGAGGCGTCCGAGGCAGAATACCGACGCCGACTGTGGTGGCATATCATGCACATGGACGGCATCGTCGCGATGTCCAGTGGCCTGCCGCCGCTGGTCAGCGACGAGAATTACTGGGATGTTCGTGAGACGAGTGAGGTGAAAGATACCTTGCTGGGTACCCCTGCGGCCGAACAGTATGAACAGCTGGTTGCTTCTAACCGCCGTGCACCTGACAACCCCGACGATCCGATCCTGTGTGGTGGACCGTCAACGGTCAATGTGTATTACCTGTCTGCAAGAGGGAAATACGTCATGGCTCGTGAGTTACCTCTTGTCCAATTAAAGATCAATGCTAACTGTAACTAGGTGCCGTCCGGCGAATCCTCAAAATCCAGTTGGGCATAAAGCCCTTGACTCGGAGAGATATGGAAGAGCTCCGATCAATTCTGCTCGATCTTCAGCTCAAGCTTAATTCCATTGTGAACCGGATCCCAGAGGGCAAGAACCCTGAGAATGCCTCGGGAGAGCGGGACCTGTCCATGTCCAAATCGCCGGTGGAGACTCAGTCCACTGATACCGAACTTCCAGGTGACGGTCCCAATGGATGTACCGAGCAATACCATTCCCCAGTTCTTGTGTCCTTTCACAAGTGGGCTAGAATCGTTCTGTCGCTATTCATCGACAAAGCCTTCTGTGTTGCCTACCAGCCCTTCCTCAAAAATGCCCGAAGTCGAATCTGGCCCGCGGCGCGACAAAGCGCCCTTCGGCATTGCCACGGGTTTATGGAGAAATTCATCCAACTGGCAACCGATCCAGACTTCCAGCCGTTCCATTGGAGCTGGCCGGGCAACCATCAACCGATGCATGCGACGATGATCATGCTCATTGACCTCTACGAACGACCCTACAGCCCCGAGGCATCCAAGTCACGCGCGCTCATCGACCGGATCCTGGCGCTGTCTGGGCCCGATGGCGGGGTGGTCGGAGGAGAGGATGGTGTCTCGACGCAACGACCGCTGAAAGATGGCGGTCGGGAGGCGTGGAGCATGATCCGTCGCTTGCGCCAGAAAGCCTGGCAAAAGGCCGGTCTGAATCCAGAAATGCTCTGGACCGAGCAAGATCAGATCCAGGCAGGCATTGCTTCCCCAGCAGCTGGCCATAGTGGTCTGAATAATGGGACCTTCGTTTCCGGATCATCGTCTACGCCTGGGCCACCTTCCCATAATCGTTTGGCTTCGCTGCCGCCGAATGGTCAGCCCGCCGACTTTGAACGCAGATTCTACAACATGACCCGCTCTCAAACGGATTCTCCCTCTGCTTCAGTTCGTCCCAGTCCTCTACGATACTCTCACCAGTTCCCACCTCCCGATTCAACCTCTCTCCCCACAGCTCCACCATCTCTCGTCGCACAATATTCAGTATCTCCCGGAGCAATGAGCGTACCCGGCAGCTCCGTCACATCTGGCTCCGCAGCCGCGGACTCGCCCGACGTCGCATCATCCCTAAGCGCAGCCGCATCGACCAACTCCCCTTCACTCGCTGCTTCCATCCCCATGCCTCAACAACAAGAAACACCACCTCCTAACTCATCCACCGCCGTGCCTTTCCTAGATCCTACTCCGCAGAATGTACCACCTATGAATGTACATGTACCCACCCCTCCCTCGATGGTGGATCCCAACCTCAACTTCGACTGGGACCAATGGGACGCTGTCTTTGGCCAGCATCTCCCCGTCGCCGATGAGCTGATGGAGCTCGACCCGGTTGTAGGGCTCGAGTTCCCGGATTTGAGTTCCTCCGCCGCAGATACGGGCATTGGGAATGCGGGTGTGCCGGGCGTCAATGCCAATGCCAATGCCATGTCCGGCGCGCCTCCAGTCGGGGCGAATGGTGGAGCTTATCCGGCACCGTGGATCGCAAATGGCGGGAACATGCGTGCCTCGTCGAGTGATTGGCCCGGGTATTGTTAATGTTATAAATATCTTATAGACTTGTAGTATGGACCACGTTTACATGAATATCTCCACCTCCAACCTACATGCGTTTACCATTCCATATTGAAAGGTTGAATGTGCGCAACGTGATGCTCAACTCCTACGCGAGTCGACTACGTGTGAAAGATATAGACCCAACATAACAGTGGTAGATTCATGAGACGTGACTCTTGACAATCGCAACGATGCGACGTGCAGGATAGCTAGAACAGACCCGGACCGCCTAGCGGGAGGATATCTTGGAAGTCCGTCGCATGCAGGACCCGCATTTCCTTCCTCCCCCTTTTCATAGCTTTCGTTTTTCTTTGGCATTTTCTTCCCGCCCGCGCTGGAAAAAGAACAAAGGTCCGTTTAGACCTTGTTCTCCTTCAGACCGTGCTTCCAGAGGGTGGCGAAGGGGGTGACGCCGTCATCGCGGAAATCAATCAGGATGTGCCTGGGACATGCCGTTAGTTGGGGATCGTGCATAGAATTGGGGAGAAGAACGGAACATACATGGCATCACCGTCCATGGACTGGCCCATCATGACATCGTAGTTGTCGTAGTTGGCCGAGATCTTCTTGATGGCGGCGGCGGCGTGGGCCTTGAACTGGGCAATGGCCTCGGTGTCACCCTTGGCCTCGAGGGCCTTGAGGACCTTCTTGACGTAGGCTATCGCGGGCAACATTAGCAAATTTTCATTGCACGTCCGGAAGGGCAATTGATGACTTACACTTCAGGTGACCCTTGAAGGCATCCTTGGAGGGCTTAAGGCCCTCCTCGGTCTTGAGCCAGACAAGACGGAACTGGTCCTCGATGTCGTGGACCATCTTGGACTCGCCCTCACCACCCTCCTCGTCATCACCCTCCGCCGAGGGGTTGGCACCCTCGAGCTGGAAGTCCTCGTTGGCGGACTTCATGTACTTGCGGCAGTCGACCTCCCACAGGATGGGGCAGTCCTTGCTCTCGACGATCTTGAAGGTGTCGGCAAGCATCTCATCACCGGAGATAACGTCCTCGTAGATGATCATGGTGGCGGTGGGAGAGGGGGAGAGTCTCTGAACAAAAAAAGAACAAATGGGATAAGGGCTACAGCGGGCTTATTAGGAGGGAAGAAAAAGAAAAACAGGAGGAGGGGAAGTTTTTTTCTTAGTGGCGGGAACAGTAGTGGGGTTTTGCTCTGTTTGTTTCGGTCTGGGGACAACAGAGGCCCATTCAGTGAGAACAGACTCTCAGTCGGTCGGAAACGACGAATAGCCAGATCTAGCAGGATTCGTGAATTCGAATTACTCTCATTGATGATCGGTCGACGCCCAAATACCCTTCAGTACACTCTAGAACAGTCCAATACCATATAATACATGATCCCTCTCTGAATGCAGGCCAATACCGTCACACTGTTACGCGGCCCTTTCCGGCTGGCGCCACCCGGACTTTCTCTCCTGATCGGCGGCTGTGAACGTCGTCTTCATTCTCTCACTTCCCTATCGAATTGTCTTTCTCACTATCCTTACCGACTTATTCTTACTCTCCTTTCATCTTCTGCTCTTGAATGTGTGAACCCGTGTCATCCGGTTCCTCGATCGTGCCTGCCCATTAGTCTCCGACTCATCCTGGGCAGTCGCTGACGAGAGACGCTGCCTTTTTTTGCCGACACTCCTTTCCCATTCCCTTTACCGAGCTTCTCGCCTGTTTGCCCCTGTGATCATATTGTCGACCTTAATCCTTGACTGCACGTGGAAAATTACTCTCTCAGAATACATACTGTGGCTGGATCACGCCGCGAATCACCCACCATGGCTCTCAACACATCCGTCACGTTCGAGCTCCCACCACTGCCGACATATACCTTGACCCCCCGAGAACCGCTCCTTGCTCCGATCCCGGACAACATCTTGGCCCTCATCCTGCCCATTGTCGCCTACTGGGCCTTGTCAATGTTCTATCACTTCCTCGATGTCAATGAATACTTCGTCCAGTACCGTCTACACACTCCCGCCGAAGTCTTAAAGCGAAACCATGTTACCCGCTGGGAGGTTGTGCGCGATGTGATTTTGCAGCAGGTGATCCAAACAATCGCTGGGATGTCCATGTCCTATTTTGACGCCGAGGAAGTGGTTGGCCGGGAAGAGTACGACGTGGCCGTGTGGGCACAGCGGCTCCGGATCGTCCAGAAAGCTTTCCCCCGCTTGTTGGCTCTTGTTGGAGTCGACTCCCTCGGTCTGGCAAAGTCGTTGTCGCTGAATGGACACTCGATATTGGCGGGAGTTCTGGCTGGAGGCTCGTATCCCGGTGTCACACAGTCCCTGCTGCTTGACACGGGAGCGGAAGTCGTGGCACCGGCGTTTGCGAGCTGGGAATTGTCTGTCGCCAGCTTCATCTACTGGTATCTCATCCCCGGGCTGCAGTTCGCCCTGGCAGTCGGCATCGTCGATACCTGGCAGTACTTCTGGCACCGTGCCATGCACCTGAACCGCTGGCTCTATGGTAAGTTGGATTACCCGCAAACATTTGGACTCTAGCTGACCCAACCAAGTTACGTTCCATTCCCGCCACCATCGTCTCTACGTTCCTTACGCGTTCGGTGCCCTTTACAACCACCCCGTTGAGGGATTTCTTCTGGACACGGCGGGCACGGGCGTGGGCTTCTTAGTCTCCTGCATGACCAACCGGCAGGCTATATGGTTCTTTACCATCTCTACCATCAAGACCGTTGATGACCACTGTGGCTACGCCTTCCCCTGGGATCCTTTGCAGCACATCACCTCCAACAACGCAGCGTATCACGATATCCACCACCAAAGCTGGGGCATTAAGACCAACTTTTCGCAGCCTTTCTTCATTTTCTGGGACCGTCTGCTCAATACTCAGTGGAAGGGCGACGTCAAGCTTCGCTATGAGCGATCTCGCGAATCCGCTCAGAGACAGGTGGACGTGGATGCCGCGAATGCGCCGCCCGCTGCCGGCCCGAAGGCCCATGAACATGAGCCCGCTGTAGTTTTATCGGAGGGTCCGGCCGGCCGTACACGCCTGCGCCGCAAAACCGCTACGCTGTCGCCGCGGGTTGATAGCCTAAAGGGCGCGACTCACGGCATGTCCGGCAGCGTCCTCCAAAGCTGAGAAAATTTCTTCTAATGCATTCTGTGGATCCTATTGGAGTTTGCTGGTCATCTCCTCGGCTGTGGTTTCAATCGTTATTTTTTCTAATGTCTGTGGAATCGCTGATTCCGGTGTATTAATACTCTGAGAATGTGCGAGTCAATGCTTTGTATATGCCTTCCTGAACGACCTACTGTCGCTAATGTCTATGTTCTATTTCTTTATCTCTACTTGCTCAGGCATCCAGATAACAACAATAATAAAACGATCTTGAGTTGTGCCAACCTATATAGGAAACTATGGCAGCAAAAACTGTCCTCTATTCCCGTGCAACTACAATAACAGCAACCTGGGAAGAAAAGAGATCCTTAATATCATCCATCCCCACTCTACAACGCCTCCCCAATCCACCTCAAATAACATTCCCTTCATCACACACCAAACTCCAAGTCGTCGTAGCCGGCGATGGACCCCACTGTCGCCGTGCCGGCTGATAGCCCTCATCCTCACACGGCGCATCTGTCCAGTCGCTGTCCGAATACTCAGACGGAGAGTATTGATAAACTAGCGGAACCTCCGCAGAGCCCGTGGACTGGTGCTGCTGCGCACCGGGGAACACTGTGCATCGCTTCGTACTGGTCTTAGTGCGTCTGCACTGCTCGCTCACTCTGGCTTGCGCCGACGTGAGCATCGACGGGTTCCTGCTCCGCGATGACGAGGATTTGCCTTGTACTCCGAGTGTTTGGTACGACTCGATCAGTTCGTCAATCTGCTCGTTGATGTCGGGGCCCCATTTGCTGTGCGTGTTTGCTCGTGATGGGGCTTTTGGTGTGTTGGGCACAGCTGAGCTTGGGATCGTCCTTGGAGGCTCCGGGTTTACAGGCCGCTCTGGAATAGTTTGGCGGCTGATGTTTCTGGAAACTGGGCCCGCGGCTGTGGATCGTTGGGGCCGTTTGTCCCAGAATATGTTCCTGGAGGTACTCCCACTTTGACAAGACGACGAGATGGTTGCTTGGCTGGAGTGACCAGCCTTCTTCACTGGCACGGGGTTGGCTTGAGGTGATGCCACGGAGCTTGAACCCGGTCGAAGGAGAATATCTTTCTGAGCATGACTGTTGTGGTGGTGCTTCGAAGTCGACTTCCCGTTCTTGTACTGTTGACCTCTGTGCTCGCGATTGGGATCCTCGTGCCAGGCCCGAATGCAGCGTTTCCGGGTGAGCTTGAGCGTGTTGGCCAGTTGATTGGCGGTGCCGTGCAATCCGTCAGATTCAGTGCCGAAGCGATTCAGACTCTCATCGATGAAGGGCATCAACCGGCGCAAACGGTGCTTCTTGCGAGTACGGGTCCGGCTTTGCAGCACCACGAACAGGCTGCGGACCGTGTATTTGTCCCCCACAATGCGCGCCAAGATGCACGCCGCACAGTTGTTGATCTGGTATGCCCATGTCATGGGTGCCACAGACCAGCCAGACCCAGGTCTAGTCCACATTCCTTTCAAGGCCCGGAGTCTGGACAGGATCTCCTGCTCGATGGGCCCGACGAGTTGAGGGAATGCTTCGAACTTGCGGAGGTGCACCGTGACCTCATTTTGCACCAGGCGCAAGATGTCGTTAATTATGTCCGAATTCAGCGAGCGATGCACCTCGCACAGCGTGCTCGGCTGCCACCTTGACTGGATTGAGCGCATGGAGAAGGACCATTCCTTGCGCAGACGCTTCGGCAGGGCTTCCATCATCTTTTGAATGTTGGGTCCATGCTGCGAGGCATGATCGTGCGCGTTGTCTAGGTGTAGGACCTCCGTTAGCTGCTTCACTTCTGCCCGCGTCAGCTCAGTGACTAACCGCGGGTATATATTTGGCGATATCCGAGCTGCGTGTCTAGGCTCTTGGGTGATGAAATTTCGAGGAGGGTCTTTCTTTTTCGTGCTGCCGTGTCGCTTCATCTTGGAGAAGAGAGTCCTTTATTGGTAGTCCTGGAATGGGCTGGTGGACCAAATGTGCATCCAAAGTTGTGTGGTGATGATAAGTGTGACCAGGGCATGAACGAAGTATTTAACTGTTCATGCGAAACAATAGATCGAGGAGCCTTTGGTCTTTTTGTAGGAATTTGCCGGCAATTTCTTTCGTTCAGCGTGAAAGGCATTGTGAGTTTGCAGGGTTCTACCGTCTTTGGTTCCTGGGCTTTTTATAGAATTCGACTTTGTTCTTGTGACACACTCGTTCTTTGTCGATCTGCGTCGATAAACTCGGTTTCTTTCTTCTTTCTCTCTTTGTATTTTCTTATAGTTGCTGTCAACGCACCTGATACATCACATGACAGACACTCGACATTCCTTGTTTTGTTCTTCATCAGCGAATTCACCTTCATCAACGCCAGATGAATATAGTTGATCTCGCGCATCCATGTTCCGTACTGTCCTGCGCGCCCAACAGGGCGACGTGAGACCACTGCCGTACACCGCATCGCCCCTGAAGCTGCTGTGGAGCGACACCTGCCTTTTCTTCCAGAGTGCCTGGGCCTTGCCACGCGTTTTCCTTCCACTTAACCTCGGTCGAACATGGCCGCTGGATGAATTCTATCCATCCTGGCGAGACTTTGGAGATATCAGTGTTCACGCCTTTCTCGTTGTGTACCAGTTGCTCTTTCTCCTGTCCCTGCCGATCGTCATCATTTTCCTGATCCCGACGCTTTGGGTCCTTGCGTACATTGCTATTGCTCTGTTCTTCAACTATGCCGTCTGCAAAATTACGCTTAGTGGCTTTAAGCGATTTTTAGTGTCCGGAGTTCCGGTCGCCGAACGGCCGGGCCATGAGCGGGAGCATTGGATCTACGTGAATGGGGTCGCAGTAGGGTAAGCAGGTATACAAACCGGGACTGGGTCTGTGTTGGAGCTGACCCCAATCAGCCAGCACTGGCTACAGAAACATGTCGATTTGCTCTCATACACCTTCGGCCGCCGGGTAACCGGGGTGCTTAACCCCACGTAAGTAGCTAACCCGTCTCGGTGATTGGTGAAACTGATCAGTTTCCCATAGTTCTGGTATCATATTCGATGTTCTTCAGTGTCTAATTCAACGCGACTTCTCATATGCCACTCAGGATATTCGAGACGCGTACGTGCTTATCAAGAAGGCGCTATTGAATCCCCAATATGATAAGGTCATTCTCATACTCCATAGCCAAGGAGCAATTGAAGGGGGCCTTGTCATCGACTGGCTACTAGACGAGCTTCCTCAGAACCTGCTGCACCAGCTAGAAGTATACACTTTTGGTAGCGCTGCGAACCACTTCAACAACCCCAGCCAATCGCAATCGACTCAACAGACAAGCCTGCAAATTTCCGACGCCGATCAGCAGTCCCATCAGTCCATCGGTTACATCGAACACTATGCCAATGCGGTGGACTTTGTCAGTGTGTGGGGAGTTCTGCATTACATCAACACTCCAAATCGCTACATGGGCCGGTTGTTTGTCCGTCCCGGCTCCGGACATCTGATGAACCAACATTATTTGGATAATATGTTCACGCTCGGACCTGACCGAAAGGTTCTAGACTCGAATCCCTTTATGGATATGGAGGTGGACATGCAAGAAGGCACAGCCGACAGCAACACACCAGATCTGAGGCCAGGATTGGCTTCTACACCCTGCGATGCGTTGCTCCCGAACATGTCCAAGAGAGATGCGTCGCGCACAATACCTCAGACGATTCATGGCAGTAAGGTTCTGCGTGTAAAAGATTTCAGCCGTCTCTGGCAGTACCGAAATGGAGGCTCACCGACCGATGTGACCCATGATTAACGGTACGATCTTATCCACGGTATTGAATGGACCCATTTCTCAGGTCCAAGTTGGCCAAGCGACCTTTACTTGGTCCTGTATCGAACTCAAAATATATGTCACAGTTTGCTTTTCCAGAAGATTGGGGGTATTCACTTGATCAGCACGCCAAGAATATCCCCACGGTTGCCGCATCTCCACTTATAGACCTGCTGAACTCACGGGTACTCGGCAATCGAATAGGCACCCGGATTTTCTAGAGTATCCGGACAGCGGACGATCCCCAGGATCCAGTACAGTCCAAATTGTTCAGTATTCGAGACTCGGGCGTCTTAATCAAACATCCAGGCTGCCGCTTTCTTCACCTGTGCCATTCTTAGGCCATCTACGCGGCCAGCGGGGCCCAGAGGCCTATCATACGCGTCCGGGATGCGTGTACCGGGCCGTTGGCTCCCGCGTCTCATCACTCAGGCACTTCTAATCACACAGAGTCATTTGATTTCGGTCTTCTTGTATTGCTATCCAAGGGTTAGCGTCAAGAATGTGCCAAATGAGTATACGTATCCAGCCCTAAATCTTGCCGATTTGAGGTTAGCGTATTTTCGAAAATGCTTGGAATCTAGACACTTTCAACTCTTGTCCACGGTTCTTTGTTTCAAACCTTCCGTGCTGCGACACGATTCGTTGACTCATTAAGCACCAAATTGTACGGTAGTTCCAAAAATATCGCACTGACGACAATGGATGTGCACGGAACAAAACGCTTTTATTTATCACTAGCCCCAGCATATTCGTGATCTGAACTGGCGATGCTGTACAAAAGAATTTGAACCCTTGCGCTTTTATCTTTGACACCGCTTTTATTCATCGATTTGTATGTCTTGATCATTGAGCGTTCGCTTGCAGCACTGCAGGTCCGACGCTGCTGCATTTCGATTTCTACTTATGTCTCTCGTGAACGCTCCATGGATGTTGTCACGATTATGGCCTTCAAATTTTATTTTGCTTCTTTGTTTAAGCATCCAGGTTATTGCTACAGGAATCTCACTCGACGTGGATAGTGATGGTGTGTGTTCTTCCCACTGGTAGTGCATGGACGACTCTAATTCTCATGACCAGAATCCATTAAATCGGCCGCCAGCACGGTGGCTTACGATCTCGTCACATTCTACTCGGGAAATGACACTGGCAATGTGGCTGGAAACCTACCTAGCCCATATTACTGGTGGGAAGCCGGCGGCTTTTTTGGATCGCTCATCAACTATTGGGCATACACAGGCGACGATACCTACAACAGCATTACGGTGCAGGCTTTGGTCCATCAAGCAGGTAGCGATGGTAATTTCATGCCAGCGAACCAGACATTGGATGAGGGCAATGACGACCAATGCTTCTGGGCGATCTCCGCCATGATGGCCGCCGAACGTAACTTCACAAACCCGCCTTCTTCGGATCCTGGGTGGTTGGCAACCGTGCAGGCTGTTTTCAACGAGCAAACTACCCGCTGGGATGCCTCTACCTGCGGTGGAGGTCTGCGATGGCAGATCTTTACCTGGAATGCAGGGTACAATTACAAGAACAGCATTGCCAATGGCTGTTTCTTTAATATTGCAGCTCGACTGGCGCGGTATACAGGAAATGCAACATATGCGAATTGGGCTACACGGGCCTGGGACTGGACTGAGAGTGTGGGCTTGATAGGATCCAGCTACCAGATTTATGATGGCTCCAGCGACACTAACAATTGCTCTTCCGTTGACAATGATCGATGGACTTACAACACAGGCGTATACCTTCTCGGGGCAGCAGTCATGTATAATTATGTTTGTGACTCTCCTATTGACTTGATTCTGATTTCAAACGCTGACACAGGACTAGACCTCGTCACTATCTACCAACGAATCTACCAACACATCCTCGATATGGAAAGCCAGGGTAGACGGCCTGCTGTCCTCGGCCGCTTACTTCTTCTCCACAAACACCTCCAGCGAGAATGTCATGTACGAACGGCAATGCGAGCTGATCGATGATTGCGACACAGACGAGCTATCTTTCAAGGCATATCTTTCCCGCTGGATGGCCGAAGCCGCCCAGGTTGCTCCCTACACCTACAATACTATCATGACCTACCTTCGCGCCACTGCCCAGGCCGCCGTCGCGCAGTGCGAGGGCGGAACTACTGGCACTTACTGTGGGTTTGAATGGACTACCGGCACCTACGATGGAACAACTGGTGTCGGCCAGCAGATGAGTGTGCTTGAAACGGTACAAGGATTGCTTGCTGGAAACGTCCGCGGCCCGTATTCTGCTTCTACTGGTGGCACCAGTAAAGGGAATAGTGCTGCAGGGACTGGTGATGATTCAGACTCTACGGTGACGCTCACGCCTATTACTACAGCAGATAGGGTCGGCGCCGCCATTTTGACTGCGGTGGTCCTTGGAGGTATTATCTTTGCTGTATATATTATGGTCTTTTGATGTTGTCGTACGGCTGTATGATGATTCCATAATTGCACAGCAAGATACCCATAAGTTTGTTTGTATATTTATCGTAAAGAGAGGATGGGTATCAAAGCATATTTTGTGCATATAATAGGAAATTTGCATGTCTTGCTCTTTGTTTAACTCAATAAGAAATCTTACGGGGCATTGTATAGTCAAATGTGAGTCGACGTAATAAAAAGTTTACACATGAAATAGAAATCTTGGAGACAGATACCTTACGCAGAAGGAATCTGCTGCTCCTCCAGCGGCCATTTGGAAATAGTCGCCTCCTCTCCAGTCAACGTAAATGTGAGCACGACGGAGCGGTCAGTGTTCAGAGCCAACTCATACTGTCCAGGATAAACGACACGGTTGCCCAGTTCGTCCGTACGAGCGACGTTGTCCAGCGAGACGGGAATAGTCATGGTCTGCGACTCATGGGGCTTCAGAGAGCCAATACGGTCGAATCCAATGAGCCATTTAATTGGCAGCGGCTTCGGCCCTGCCTTTGTGCTGGTGAACAACATGGCTGTGTAGTCAGAGGACACATGGCCGGTGTTGGTGACGCTGACGGTGAAGTTGAGGAATGGCAGCTGTTCTACGACGTTGTAGCCGGAATGTGGGCGGGACAGGAGCTTGTCAATGTTGAACGACGTGCCCTTTGGCTCCATCCTGGACAGTGCGGTCTTGAAAGTGGTGTAGAACAAGCCGTGTCCAAACTCGTAAACTGGTTTGCCCGTGTACCATTTGTACGTCTGGCCCGGGTTGTCGCCGCTGGGTCGCAGGTTCATGTCAATTGCAGGGAACTGCAACGCGTACTCAGCCGGATACTGCGTCGCCGTCAGACGGCCAGCCGGGGCTCGCTTTCCGGTGATAATGTCCAGTAGCGCCTGTCCACCAGCCTGGCCGGGATAACCACCCCAGACCAAAGCGTTAACATTCTTGTTGGCCTTCAGCGATGATCCGTCAACCTGTCCACCGCCCATCTGGAGAACGATCAGCGGCTTTCCGAGTTCGCTCAGCTTGTGGATGAGCTGCAGTTGGTTGCCTGGCCAGGTAATAGTCTCACGGTCCATGGCCTCTGCTTCGATGGTGTTGTCGATGCCGCCAGCGTAGATGATGACATCAGACTTCTTTGCTGCGTTGATGGCCGCATCAAACCCAGTTGTTGATTCAGACGAGATCCCCGTGCCAAAAGCCCAGTTGACATGCATATCAGAGGCCTGCAGAGCGGCCAGTGGGCTTGTGAGGTAAGGTGCCGCGCCGAAGTAGTTGCCCTGCATCTGGGTCGTAGCGTTGCTCCACGGCCCAACCAAAGCAACACTCTTGGCCTTTTTGGTCAGTGGCAACGTGCCGTCGTTTTTCAGAAGCACAATTCCTTCCACCGCAGCCTCGTACGAGATGTTCCACGCGTTGCTCGTAACCACATCGGACCAATCAAGGTTCCGGTACTCGCTGTCCTCGCCATCGAAGTAGCCCAACCGCACAAGATTGGCATAAAACCTGATCACACCGCGCTCAATGTCTGAGCGAGAGATCTCACCGTTCAAGAACGTCTGGTTGAGGTACCATGGGTAGGTCTGACCGCAGTCGATATCAGTGCCAGCTCTGAAGGAATCGGCTGCAGCGCTAGTGAGATTGGCTGCGTATTCATGCGGGTTGAAAACATTGTATACAGCATCGCAGTCGGATGAGACATAGCCGTCCTCGACAAAGTCCCATGAGTCGCGAAGCAGTGTCTGCAAGAAGAACGAGTTGGAACACGAGGGGACCCCATTGACGGCGTTGTAAGAGCACATCACACTGTGCACTCGCGCATCGCGGGAAGCGGTCAAAAACTGGGGTGTGTAGTACTCGGACAAGTCCTGAGACGTGATGGTCATATCGTTGCCCAGCCGCGAATGGTTATTCCAGCTTTCAATGTCGTAACCGGCATAGTGCTTGGCAGTTGCCACCACCTTGAGGTGCTCCGGATCCACACCACCTTGCATACCGGTGATGTACTCATATGCATATGTTGAGCACAGGCAGTAGGCGTCTTCACCGGGAGTTTCCTGGCCACGGCCCCAGACAGGGTGTCGGAAGGCATTGATGTTGGGTGCGTAAGCGTCCAGCCCATATCTGCCGTCGTTGTTGAAAGCCCGACCTTGGGTAGAGATAATTCCACCAATTTGATTGATCAGCGTCCTGTTGAGGGCGGCCATAGTCAAGATGGGTGACGGGAATGAGGTCGCCCAGCTGTAGTCGCCCTCGGCAGTGAAGTTGGCCCTGTCCAGGCCATGGAGAGCTTCACTCCACACATTGTAATTCGGCAGACCCAGCCGGGGAATAGCCGGCATGACATTGCCGGTGCTGTTGATGAGCTCTTCCAAGGTCATCAAGGAAACCAGGGCGGCGGCACGGTCATGGGCACTCGCAGAGGTGTCGCACACCAGAGTATTGCTGAGTGGCCCACTTGTGCAGCTAGGGAAAGAATAATGAACACCGGCGAGAGTCTGAGGATACAAGTCGGGGTTGGCCCATGTGTTGTAGTCGCGATAGGACGAGTTATCCTGGGCCAGGACGGTTGGCGTCAACGCCGCCAACGCAGCGAGCAGCGAGGTAGCGGAAGGCATATTGAGAGCTGCTTTGGGTTCACGCGCTATGACATTTTCTCCCCCTGGCTACCAACGAGCTTCATTTATAAACATCAGCAGCTCTCCAATGCCGATGTTCCGGGATCAAGCCGGGGGAAGCAGCCGTCTCCACAATGCCCGTCCAGATTCAGCAGTCCCCCAGTAGATCCTGAATTTAGGCCGGGGCTTTTCAGGCGGGGATTCTCCGAAGTCACTGCGAGCTCATGGAGGTTGACCATTTTAGCCTGAATGATCAAACGTTGGTCTGTGCGGTAGTTAGACCGTTGTTAAACGCTCATGCCGAAAGGAGTGCTACGTAATGGTCGGGATTGACGAGTGAAGAGTAACCCTGACTAGCAATGCAGAGCGGTTTCAATCCGTTCGGATACCTCGTAGTTTGCTTCTCAATGAAACCTCTGAGGATGGCCTGGATGGTTGCACAGTATCTGATAAATTAATTGCCGGAAATTCCGATCTACGGCACTCAAGAGTAAACAGCTTACCAATATTATTCTCTTCTGCACCTCTATTTAATTTGCAGAGCTAAACTCTGTCGCCGATTCAGGCTGAACGGGGAAACAAATTGGGGTTTCCCCTTGATGCCGATCGCTGCAGATTTGTTCTCCACCGAAGCCACAATTTTGCCGCCGGTGCTGACAAGCATTAAGTATTGGCTGAATGGTTGTTTCTTGGAATGACGAGTTTTCAGGAATAATTGAAGTTGCAGTATGAGAAGAGCCGTTAGCAAATTCCCGGCAGGAGAAATTGACTAGTTCTTTTTAACCCTCCAGTGTTTATCCTTTTACTCGTATTGTAGAACAGGACAGACACTGCTTGTCTACATTAAGGGCTTCTATTGAATAGCATGGAAGTGGCAATAGTAACTGGAGTCTGCATTCACCCTCTGACCACCTCTATTTCCGAGCCACTCAGTATGTGATCTTGAACACCCAGGCATACTCATCAGCCTTGACCACCTCTTCGCTCACGGAAAGAATGACACTGCCATTGGCAGTCTTGTGGCTAGGCACCACATCACCGTGCTTCTTTCCACCGACGACTGTGACTTGATCACCCTCCACCCACGGGACCGGGCTGTTCAGCGCCAGCGTGCCATTCGGCCTAGCCAGCGTGTGGATGTAAAACGCATCTTGGGCGATGGTAAAGCGGATATTATCTCCTTCCTCGGGAGTAACAAACCAGTAAGTGGTATTGTAGATTGCCTCTCCATGGCCTCTGATCCACGTGCCCGCCTGGCGCAAGTGCTGCTGCTCGATATCAAGGATAGTCCCATTCGCCATGGGCCCAACATCAAGCAAAAAGTTGCCGTTCTTGCTGACAATGTCAATCAGCGACGTAACGATGGTGCTTGCGTTCATATAGCTGGCCAGCGGCGTGTCTCGATTGTAGCCATAGCTGAATGGGTCCATTCCCAGGTTGCTCTCCCATTTACGCACTTGCACGCCGTTGTATCTCGCATACTCGGGCGTGTCGAAGTCACCTGGAAGTCCACAGCGAGCGTTCATGACGACCTGTCGATTCTCCTGCGCTGCACGATTAAACCACTCGGACGCGAATTCCGTTGTCCGGTTTGGGCCTCCAATGTCGCACCACATAATCTCCGTGCCCATGTCGGCCAGTGTGTTCATCTCCGGGACAATCTTGTCCGTAATATAATCGTCTAAGGGAACAAACCCGGTGTAAGGAAGGGTCTCATTGGTGAAAGGATTTGTGGCATTGCCTAAAGCTGCTGTCAGTTGCAATTTCCACCGCCGAGTTCCGTGAAGGGCAATCAATACCTCCGGGCCACGAGGAGAACCCATATTTCTTATAGTCTGGGTTGAACCACTCAGGCAGAGAATAGTATGTCGCGCGATGCAGATGCGGCTGGTGCTCCTTTGCTGCGTCGAAAAGTTCCTGGAGTAGAGATAGTCAGTCCAGGTTCGATAGTCATTGATTGAATGGTCTACCTGGAGTAGATTTCGCTGCGGACCTAGATCCACCGCTGTTCTCTTCGATACGTCGGAGCCCGCAGTGAACAGTGCAAATCCATCATGATGCTTGCTGACTTGAACAAAATAGTTGGCTCCAGCATCTGCGAATAAGTCCACCCACTCCTTAGGATCCCATGCGTCAGCAGTAAAGTTCTGAATGAAGTCGTCGTAAACCACATTCGGTCCATAGGTCTCAAGGTGGTACTGATAAGTTTGGGGGAGACTGCTGGGTCCCTGGTTGAGATACCACCAGTACCTGTTTCCATCATTAGTGGGAGACAAATGACCGTAAAAGAGTATCTGACCATTCGGCATACTCCTCCCTCGATCCCTTGTTGCCCCATCCAGGCACGGAGTATACTCCCCAGTGGATGAAAATGCCGAACTTGGCATTGTTGAACCAGTTTGGTGCTTCGTGGCTGTACACAGACTCATACGTTGCCTCATAAGGCTTGATGCCATATGTTGCTTCGAAAGTATATGGGCTAGACACAACCCGATGGCCTCCAATGACAACGGTCGCTGGACCAGCGCTGCCGGCTTGGACCCCGGGTCGATTTCGAACGCCAACCTCCACGATGGCCTGGTCACCAGGGCCCAGTCTCTTGATGACACCCTCTGTCACAGTCTCCAAATGTGGTGATTGAATATGAACCCGAACCGCGTTGTTGCGCAGGATGAAGGATGTGCCGACATTATTGACAAGGACTTCAACGATCTGAGTCTTGTCTGTCGTGCCCTCCATCCATTTCTGAGTAGACCGAGCATACTGAATTTCTAGGCTAGCAGAATGCTGCTCCTTTTTGGGAACTGGCAACATTGACAGAGAAAAAACATGCAGTACAGTGCTGATCGACGCTCCACCAGGCGAGGTGGATGACCCTGCCGTGGAGTTGGGGAAGGTCAAAGACACAAGATCCTTTGAAGAGTCTAGCCAGTTGATGGTCTGGAAGATATTTGACCGATTGTAGTTGGTCGTACTATCAGTCAGATAATTCGTGAAGATCAGGTCGCCGCCAGCGGGATAGGGCCAGCTCCACCAGGCAGGCACCAGGAGCGGTCCCAAGGTCGTGCTACCGTCGGCGTATTTGGCCATTACGGAACCACTGGCCATTCCAGACTCTGCGGATGCCAGCATTTGATAGCTGAAGTACCTGCCCGGCGGAACGTGGACCTCTTGGCCCTCTGTCCGGACATTGTCATTTCCGGAGGCATTGTATGTAGCAAATTGATAGTTGAATCCTCCATACGAGAATTTCTCCGGAGGGATTTGGCTTGCCGGATAGGCATCTATACTCAGTCAATTGAGGACGTCAATTCGAGGGGGAGGTTACTTACTTCCCTGGCCGTCATAGCTAGATTCGTTTGGGTACGATCCGAAAGCACGGTTGTTGTAAAATGGCTGCAAATCCACCGGAAAGGAGGCATTCACACCGGACAGCGCTTGGTATTCATTTTGAGGCTTGAATATCACTGCCTCGCTTAGCGAGGCTACGGCCAGAAGCGTATAAATGGTGTTGCGAAATGTCATGGCCGAGAGACATGGGGGTATGTTTACTCATGCGGCATGAAGGACTTGGCAGCGTGCCCAGAATAAATAGTAAACGGCTGCTAATAACAGCCGCAGTGACATACCATACCCCCGCAGATCGGAAGATAATATCACGAAGTAAAACACCCGAGCTTCGGGTAAAAGCTGAGCGAGGTAAAGACATTGCAGATCAGTTGTTCAGTGGGAGGGGGCGCATTTTCTCCGAAGCGCCTCCATCTGCCCATAGCCTTGCCGAGATGATCCATATATTAAACAACTCGGATGTTTATTCTTATTATATTCCCAACACTATGCAACAGCGAAAGTCAAAATATAGGAATACGAAAGGGGGCATTGAGATAAATCGTTCTGTAAATCGTTCTGACTATCGAATGTTTCTAATTCGCTCCATTTAGATGTACAGGAGTAGATTAAGCCGACATAGAGATATTACACTACATCATGCCAAAGATGTTGTCTATCAAGGCCATTTATAAACGGTGTTACTCCACCTGCAGAACTGTGGCCTTCTCTTGGTCCTCGCCCAGAATACCACCTTGCTCATTCATCATCTGAGCAAAGTGTTTCTCTGCTCTCCATGCCAAGCAGCTATCACTTGAGAACAATATATCCAGCTGTTCAAGATGGCGATTTGCAGTTTCTGGAAACGGTCAGTAAGATATCAGAAAGACTGACGGGCTAACAGAAATACTAACCAACATAAAACAGGTAAATTGGCAGTAGCATAGCCAGATTGATAAGGGCAAAGAGGATGAAGACCCAAAAGCTAATGGCTTGAATGAGGTACGGAATGATCATGTTGATTGTTCCACCAGCAATGGAGAAGGCGAAGGTCGACAGCGCTGCGCCTTTACTGCGGCTGGCCAGCGGAAAGACCTCGGTTGGGTAGACCCAGCTTGGTAATATCGTTAGTGGTGGAAATGAGCAGTCGGGATGTTGGACTTACCAAGTCGTCAGCCATGTGCTGCCATATATGAACGTGTAAATGTATAAAACAGCAGCAACTCCAGACCCATATTGAGTCGCCAATGACGGATTACCATCTGAATGTGAGATTGTCTCGTGCGACAACACGCCCCCCACAATCAGCACAGTGCCCATGAGCGAACACCCAATCAGCATCAACTTTCGTCGACCAACCCGATCAGCCAGGTAGATTGAAAGTGCCAGGCTGGCAATATAGCCGAACCAATTCCCTCCGGCCAGCAGAGCGGGCTTGTCACCTTTAAAGCCAGAGAGGGCGAACATGTTCGGTGCATAGACGGAAATGAAATCGATACCGGTTAGCTTCTGCATGACCTGGACGCCAGATCCGAGGAGGACTCGGCGGCGGGTGTGTAGTTTGTCTTTTGTGAATATCATGGAGTAGAAACTGTGCGAGGTTGAAGTTGCCTCGGCGCGGATGGCGGACACAATCTCGTCCATCTCCGCGTCGATTGCGTTCTCATCCGTGACAATGCGACATTGTGTCAGGACAGAGCGTGCACCTTCCAAATCACCTATCTTGGCCAAGTGACGCGGTGACTCTGGGTAGAATGGGGCGGCTACCAGGATGAATAGGAGAAAGACAACCTGGAAGCCAAGTGGGAACCGCCATGCGAAAGATAGTGATTGCGTTTTGACACAGCCAAACTCCATCCAGTATGCTCTGGTTGTAGGTTAGTGACGAGCTTGAGTCCGGCAGCAAAAAAAACACCTACATCGCAGAGCCAACCATCGCCAGCGTAAACTGAACAGCCACAAACGCACCTCGTAGATGGTGATCTGCTATTTCCGATGTCCACACGGGGACGGTGGTATTCAAATGGCCACATCCGATTCCACTGATGACTCGTGCAACTGCCAGCCATGTCATATTCTGTGCCGAGGCTAGAAGAGCTGCCCCCAGCATCCCCCAGAGACAGCCCAATTGAATGGTCTTTAAACGGCCAATCGAATCGGCAATGTTTCCGACAATCAACGCACCTGTGCGGCGGTCAGTCTATCCATGAGACTTCAATCAAGATAGAGATGCGTGAATCATACCGATAGCAAAGCCACCAAACCACAAGCTGACCAATCCTCCGATAGCCGCTGCATCTCGATCACTACCGGAAGCCACGCCCATGCGGTGTAAATAGTCCTCGTTGGTATTGACCTGGCTCATGACAGCGGTGTCATACCCAAAGAAAGTGATGGCGCATCCCGCAAAGCCAAAAATGGCATATGTTATTGCCCTGCCCTGCAGTTTTATACATCTTGATGGTGAGTATCCTCCGGGGATATATCGCGCAAAGTCTGGTTCCGCTGATGAAGGGTTAGAGTGAGTGGGAAGAGGGCAAGACAGTCAGCACTCACGCCGGAAAATGGACTGGTCGCCGGCCGGCGCCATGGTCTGCATCGCGGACTTCTCAGACGCCATTGTTGAAAATGGAAAGGAGGAGGGAGAGGAGTGCCGCTTAAGAGGTGACTTGCTTTCGGATTTGCTCCGACAGAGCACAGGCCCCCGGATTCTCCAAGTGCTCCCCCATACTCCACATCCCCACATGGATGAAAGGCAAATCCCGGAGGAACGCCGGGGACCTGGAAGGATTAACAACTCAGTACGTCATTTAAGCAGTGAATAATGTTCATTACAATATATTGCTAAAGATACAGCCGCTATGCATACATTGGATGAAATAAAAAGAAAATGAATACAAGAACCAAAGCTCAACCCGCCCGAACTTCCTGCTCCAGCTCGTCCAGCGCGGCCGCGTACTTAGCCTTGAGAGAACCCAGCGCATCTACCTTGACCTGGACGCGGTCGATCGGAGATGCACGAACGATGCGACCGTCAAGCGTCTTCGAGATTTCGTTGGCGAACCACCGGCCCTCACGATGAGCAACCAGAGTCCACGCGGAGCCCTCTCGGCCAGCACGGGCCGTCCGTCCAACCCGGTGCACATAGGTCGTTGCGCTGGTCGGAACATCGTAATTGACAACATGAGTCAAAGAGGGCAGGTCCAGTCCCCGCGAGGCACGGTCAGTCGCCACGATCACAGACAGCAGACCACGGCGGAAGGCAGTCAAGGTCTTTCGGGATGCAGACGATTTGTTTGACTTGATGATGGTCCCCACACGGCTGGCCAGCGGTGGGTGGAGGATCGAGAGGAGGCGAGACAATCGTGAGGCTGATTCAGAGGACTTGGTGAAAATCAAAACCGTCGTGCGCGGGGGCCCAGTGTTGGGTACGAGAGTGACAGAGTCGGCGTCTGACTCTTCGGCATCGCTAGACTCATCTGAGGAAGAATCAGAAGAATCGGAGTCCGAGTCCGAGTCGGATCCAGAAGAGGACGTATCGTCATCGGACGATTCATCAGAGCTCGTATCTTCGGAGCTGGTCTCATCGTCGGAGCTAGAGCTGTCGGAGTCTGACGTGTCGGATAAAGGTTGAGGTGCACGCGAATCTACGCCGATATTGATGTGGGAAAGGAGGAGACGAAGCAGATAAAGAGGCTTCTGTGATCCATCCCCGACAGCAATAATATGCTCGTGCAACGTTGGTGGGAGGGTAAAATTGGCGTCTTGGTTGGCGGCCGATGGGACCTCATCGACCACAGCCTTCTCGGTACCAATAATAACCATCTTGGGATTTTCTAGATGCAGGGAGTTGAGCTTCGAGATATCTCGTGTCATCGTCGCACTGAGCACCACCTTCTGTGGTGCTTTTGCCTCGATAGGAAGCCCCATCTGAGTGAAAAACTTCCCAGCTGGCCCCCAGGCGTCCGGGGCAAATCGCTCATTCAACGAGTTCATCACCACACCCACCCACTCTTGGAAACTCTCATTCAATAGCCGGTCAGCCTCATCAATTACAAGCCATTCCAGATGTTTGAGAGTAAACCCCTTGGTGTAACAGATGTGGTCGACCAGGCGGCCCGGGGTGCAAACGAGGATGTCAACGTTCGTCTCTGGGCACCGGATATGGCCCGGAAGAGTACTGCTCGAGTCCATTGCCTCGTCGATACAATCCAGGATGCTGAAATCCATCCACTCATTCCCTTGCAACCCTCTCTGGCGCTGCTCCACCATGGCCGGGTTGTAAACCTGCTCCATTCGCATCAACAACTTTTGCTCATCTTTAATTGCCACATTGCCAACAGCACTCGCAATACGAAGTCGCGAGCCAGCCCCGCAAAGTTCACAGGTCTCCCGGGCCTGTTTCACCAACTCTCTAGTCGGAACCACGATGAGCCCGCGTAGTCTCGGGGCGGGTCTCACTGGCAGGGCAGTAACCATTGGAAGCACATAAGAGAGCGTCTTCCCAGAACCGGTAGCAGCAGAAATACACAAGTCTCCCGGATGATTCTCTTTCCCTTGTAGGAGAAGCGGGATGACGGCCGACTGCACGGCAAACGCCTCTTTGTAATTATGTTCTTCGAGGATGCGCAGGAGATCGGTTTTAATGCCCAGATCCGCAAACTTGGATCGCGCAGCGGCCGATGTTCGCAGAGGGTTTGCCAACCAGGCGGGCAGCGCAGAGTACGTCGGAGCCTCCACGATCTCTGGCGGATTTTCGGGTTGTGGCAAGGGTTCGAGACCTTGGGCAACGACCGGCTCGACCGTGACTTCTTCTTCGGGCTCGGGGGTTCGTGCCTTTTTCTTCGCCTTCGCACTTGCTACCGTCTTGGTTCTTTCAAACTTGGACAAGATCCCGGAGTGTTTGTTCTTGGTGGGTTGGGGTTCGCCATCAGCTTCCGAAGGGTCTTTCGCGTCTGCCCCATCAATTTCCATGGGCTCTCCATTCACAGTTTCAGGGTCATCAGCTGCACCATCGTCATCCTCAGATGTCTTTCGCTTGCTTTTCTTCGACTTTTTTCCTGCTTCAGAGACACGGTCGTGCGAGTCTGCAGCTCGCGCTTTGCTGCGCTTTGGCGAGACAACACTTTCTTTCCTGGTCTTCTTCGGGGAATCATCCCCCTGAAGCGCATCCTTGAGCTTCCTCCGTTTCTTGGTGGTGTCATCCTTCTCGATTGGCGTAGTCGACAGGCTTTGGCGTTTCTTGTGCTTCTTCGACGGAGACGGCGTGGAGGCAGTGTGCGTAGTTTCGACGTCTCGCTTTCGCTTGTGAGTAGTGGAAGATTCGGTTGCAGCAGCCTTCTTTGAAGACGCAGAAGCCGCCTTATGGCCAGCCATTCTCACAAAGACAGCCGAGCAGTTGGTGCTGGACACTCGAATTGATTCGAAGCGGAACAAAATCAAATTTTGGGGTTGAGCTGGCAGAATTCCCGACCGTCTTCTCCACCGCCTGGTTTATCTCCTCTCATGTTTGACGGCGACAAGTTATTGTGCTCAGTGTCTGCAGACAGTCCGTTCGCCATGGACTGGTCTCTCTGTCAATTAATTTTGTCTGGGACCTCTAGACCTGGAAATCATTGTCACCATGACGTATAATATCGCGTGAGTCTCATTGCCTGGACCCTTGCCAAGACCGATAATTGATTAACTAACTTGTCGGCAACAGCATGGTCAGTGACTTCTTTTTCCCCCAGCCGGGTATGTTCTGAGGTGGCGAGCTGTATTGATGATAAGTGCTGACTCCAGCCAGGGGGGATTGAAAGTCACATCTACCAACTGTCCACGGTGAGCATCTTCCGCCCTACTCCATCTCCAGCACCTTGCTAACCAACGCTTCAAGAAACTCATCGATCGGGGACACAAGGTGATCGTCATCACCCACGCATACAAAGGCCGTACCGGAGTCCGCTACCTCACCAATGGCCTCAAGATCTACCACGTCCCTTTCTTTGTCGTCCACCGCGAGGCCACCTTCCCCACCGTCTTTTCCTTCTTCCCTCTCTTTCGAAACATCGTCATTCGCGAGGAGATCGAGATTGTCCATGGTCATGCCAGTCTCAGTAGTTTCTGCCATGAAGCCATTCTCCATGCGCGGACAATGGGGCTACGAACTGTCTTCACGGACCACTCCCTCTTTGGATTCGCCGATGCAGCCTCGATCTTATCCAACAAGATGCTGAAGTTCGCTCTGAGCGATATCGACCATGTCATTTGCGTCAGTCATACCTGCAAGGAAAACACTGTCCTTCGAGCATCCTTGGATCCGTTGATGGTCTCTGTCATTCCGAATGCCGTGGTGGCAGAGAACTTCTGTCCGCGTTCTTACACTCCCCGCGCATTGGATCACGTACCTGGCTCCCCAGCTGATACTCGGCCCTCCCCCGCGCCCATTGGACCAGACGACACGATCACCATTGTAGTGATCTCTCGCCTGTTTTACAACAAGGGCACCGATCTACTTGTCGCCGCTATCCCGCGGATTCTCGCCTCCAATCCTAATACCCGATTCATCATTGCCGGTTCCGGTCCCAAAGCAATCGACCTGGAGCAAATGCTGGAACGCAATGTTCTCCAAGACAAGGTCGAAATGCTTGGATCGGTCCGACACGAAGAAGTACGAAATGTCATGGTGCGCGGTCACATCTACCTGCATCCCAGCTTGACCGAAGCCTTCGGGACAGTTATTGTCGAGGCCGCTAGCTGCGGGCTGTACGTGGTCTGCACGCGAGTCGGTGGTATTCCAGAAGTGCTCCCCCAGCACATGACGACCTTCGCCAAACCAGAAGAAGACGATCTGGTGGTCGCAACCAGCAAGGCGATCGCCGCCCTACGCTCGAACAAAGTCCGCACAGACCGGTTCCACGATCAAGTGAAGATGATGTACTCTTGGCGCGACGTGGCCCAACGTACCGAACGCGTCTACCAGGGCATCACCGGCGACATAAGCGCCGAGGATTTCTACGGCTATTACCCCGGCCAGAGCTGGGACGGCAGCGGAGATCGCGTGCGCAGTTTTGCGCTGATCGACCGCCTGAAGCGCTATTACGGCTGCGGTGTGTGGGCCGGCAAGCTGTTCTGTCTGTGTGTGGTGATCGACTTTCTGATCTACGTCTTCCTGGAAATGTGGTTCCCGCGTGCCAACATCGACATTGCGCGCAGCTGGCCCAAGAAGCGGGCCGAGGGCCAACCTGGTCTTGACGCCGCTGCACAATGAGCTAGCTAGTTAGCAGTCTCTTCTTGTACATAAACATAGTCTCATGGAATAACCAACCCCCTAGTTCTGTACCACCCAGTTCGCAGCACCAACCACCATCGTCTTTCCGGCAGTGGATGGGGCAAGTCTCCTTTGATAGAACTCCCCCGCAGCCTCCAATGCGCACCTTCTGGGGCCAAATTGATCCATCCATGAGGATCGAGGGCATACCCTCCACTTCGCGCGTGTCGTGGCATTTGAGTCACCTTGCATGTTTGGAAGAAATGACTGATATGTCTTTCGCTCGTAAGGTCATCGTTGCCCATCTTGGTAGAGTAGGGAATAATAGTAGCTAGAGGGTGTTGAAGAATTAAAGGGAGGGTGATAAGAGACACTTGGTAAACTGGTCTACTATGAAACAATGATAACAACCATGGTTTTATATTTATTCGTCACGGAGTATATATAATTTAAACACGGACTGTCTCGATTTCACGTATCATACATACCGCCACATCCCGTCACGCTGAATTGGGATCCATATCCTCCGCCGCACGCTCGGCCTTGTTCCCACGCAGACCACTCACATTCTGCTCCTTCTCCAGCCCGCGCTGGTCCGGGAACTGGCGCTCGATTCCACGGTCATCATAGTTGGCGCCAACCCCCTCGAGACCGGAGGGCTGCTTTTTGCGGCCGTGGGCGCCTTCGTGTCGGATCTCGGTGCTCGTCTGCCCTTGCACCGGCTTACCCAAGCCACGGTGTACGTCTGCTGAGGTGGAACCCGTGAGCGTGTCTCCCGGCGCTGTGTGCACGGACTCCTTGCCGTGGGCGCGGAGCACGTCCGGGTTGAGAGCCTGGCTGCCGGGGTTGGAGATGGGGTTCGGCACGTGCGAGCTGCTTGCTGGCGCGGTGCCCTCTGGGAAAGTCTGCGCCTCGAACGTCGGCCGCTGGTCGGCCTCGTTGACCTTGCGACCGGGTTGGTGCTGGAGTCTGAAGTCAGTTGGGTCCGCGGATAGGTGGAGATATGTAGGAACATACGCCCTTGGTGGTCATTGGCCCTTCGGGAGCAACAGAGGGCTTGAAGCCGCTGCCCTCGTTAACTGATTCGACGTTGTTCAGAGTACTCATGATGGATGATTTGTTAGATGCTGGATTCAAGCCATCACTGGTTTCTTTATCTTTATACTGCTGCAGTGGTTGACACCAGAGCATATGACGTCAAGTTGAGTAACCCTGACTTCATCCTCGCCATTCATAAGGATCAGTGGCAAGATTGCAAGATAGACAAGGATAATCCCAGCGATTGCTGTGCCTCGCCCTGGTTTGGCGACTGGTTTCTTGCGCTCGAGTGTCTTGATGTCACAGATGTGGGGACGGATCACCGCAAACAGCAGGATGGACTGTGGAACTAATTCCTTGGTCCTGGAAGGATCTAGATGCGAGGATTCCTGATCTGCGAAAGTCCATGCTCGATGTCCTTGGTGTAGATGAATTAGAGTAAAGTGGCGCCCGATTCTCCAGGCCACTACATACTCCAGGGACCAGGCTTCTGCCCCGGTAAATAGAGGATTAACCAAATGACAATTGCTGGTTTGTCACCAGGATAATACACCAGTCAAGTATTCTGACTGTGGGATATGAAGTCCCCAAAGCAAGTAATGTATATCTCGGGCAACACCAACAACTAACCAGACAATAAGCTCCATTGGTATATGAACTAAATCGGAAAAACAAACGCCATCATGCAATTCCCGCCCAAATTAATATCGCAGGACCAAAAACGAAAGAAAAGGAATCACCGCATCAGCGGCGGCCGACTCTCCTTATTCCACCGGACACGACTCTGCACCCACTCCACGGCCGCCTCAACGCCCGAACCCAGCAGTGCGCTAACCGGCAGCACGCGGCTATCCCGGACGCCGCCACCCGTCTCGCCCTCGAACACCTTGCGCACAAGCCCTTCCTTGATCCGAACGACCTCGACGCAGTCCTCACGGTCCTGCTTGTTCGCCAGCACGAGAATCGGCACCCCGGCCACATCGGCACTTTGTAGCACGTCCTCGAGCACCTGTCTGCACTCATCCAGTCGTCCAAACGCGCCGCCCGCGGCATCAATCCCGACCGTTTGCTCCGAGAAGGCCTCTGCGCCGACGCTGGGGCGCGTGCCAGGGCGCACGGCGCCCGAGGCGGCGGAGCTGTGTCGCCGTGTCGACGCGGAGGGAAGGCGTGTGATATCTGGATCTTGACCCACATCTGTGCTGTCGACGACGAAGATGATCGCGTGGCAGCTGCTGTAATAGCTTTGCCAGAGGCCGCGCATGGAGATCTGGCCGCCGACGTCCCAGATCTTCAGGCTCATGTCTGGAAAGCTGATGTTCGCGACATTCTGACCGACCGTGGGCACGGTCTTGCCCGGGTTGGGTGCTGGGGCGCCGTCGGGTCGGGGCTGGTAGATTGCCTTGATCTGGGAGAGGAGCGTGGTCTTGCCGGCATTGTCGAGGCCGAGTAGCAGGACGGAGTATTCTGGGAGGCGAGAGCTAGGTGTGAGCGAGCGAGTGAGCAAAACTGGGCAGCCAGCATACCTTCTTTGCTGGTGGCGTAGAGATACAGCGACTTGGCCAGGTGGTACATGATCTCAAGGCGGACCGGTGGTCATGGTTCCTGCCACGAACCTGTACAGTAGATGGGAGGTCGATCCCGATCGGGGCGGTTAGGGCTAGGGCTGTGTTGTCAATCGCAGCGCGCATTGCGAATACTCGGTGTTCTTTATCTTCTGCGTGTCGCTACGTGTATCGCGCTCAAGTACTGACTGACTTCCTTCTCTCCTGGTCGACCGCGTCCTCGCCTCCTAGTGTATCCTGGACCATGTATACCATAACCAACATCCCCAATTGCCAACCTCCGCTCCCCCACTTCTGTTTTGTCAGCGAGATCAACTCCGGAAAGTCTGCCCTGCCTGACTCTCCCGGGCATGTCTTCCCTCTTTTCTCTCCCTCAAACTCCGTCCTCCATGGCGGTTCCGTTGTCTCTCCCTGACCCGGCAGCGTGACACCCGAGGATTGACAGTCGGTTCTGGTCGGATGAGCATTCCGGGTTCTCTACACCAGAATGCCCTGCGCTACTGCTTGACCGAGTTTCCCCGTGCGAAGAGGCCGAATGCCCCCTTCAATGGAAACCGACACCGTCATCGTCGGTATGTATTCTTTCTCCCTTCATCGTACCGTTGTCCTCCCTCTCCTGGGCCGAATTCCCGCCGTGGGCACAAATTCCCGCCGCAGCCGCCGCTTTTTTACTCTATGACTCTCCCCCATACTTGACTGACACGATGGACTTTCCTTGCAGGCAATGGGCCGTCGGCCATGATACTTTCGTATATTCTTCATGGCCATATTCCGTTCTACTCGTCCGATCCTCCACACCCCGATCATCTGCTAGACGCCAAGCTGAAAGCCGCCCCGGAGATCTTAAATGCAAACGTCGAATCGCTCACGGCGCATTTCGCCGCCTCGCGCCTCTCATACTCGACGCAGGCCCTGCCGGTGAATGTCTTGCTCGATACGCTCGTGTGCCCGAGTGTCGACATCGACGAGATGGGCTCTACTACCAATGTCGAGTGGCGTTTTGAGCCCAGCAAGGCCATCCCACACCTCGTGTACGGGAAACCAGCTCAGCCGGGGGGTCAATGGACCGAAGATCCATGGGGTGCCAGCTGGGATATTCAAACCCTAAGCTATGCGGCGATGCTCTCCCTGCCTGGGTATTCGTTTGCCGAACACCATAAGAAGAGCACAGGCCAGGATCTCCCGCCTTTTACTCGGCCAACCCGGCGCGAGATCGCAGACTACTTCCGGGTCTATCCGCAAGCCGCAGGCATCGACGATGTCTTCCGATGCGGGGAGGAGCTGACCGGTATTTCCCGCACGGCCGACGGTTTCTATATCCGAAGCCATGATCTTCGCTGCAAGCGCTTGGTGCTGGCGAGTGGAATCTTCACCCAGGTGCTCCCGACCGTTCCCCTGTTGCGGCCATTGCTACAGACGCAGTCCACTCCCCAAGTTCCTCTCCTCATCATTGGATCTGGTTTCTCTGCTGCAGATGCCATCATTTCCGCTTCTCCCACTCAAAAGATCCTCCACGTTTTTAAATGGGCTCCGGAGGACCGCCCATCACCTCTTAGGAGCTGCCACCAACAGGCATACCCGGAGTATGCCGGCGTGTACCGTCTGATGAAACGGGCTGCTCTCAAAGCCGAAAGTTCTGCCAAGGGCCAGCGACCGAAATACCGTCGTGCCGCCTCGACTCCATTCCTCGAAAGTCGGGATTGGGAAGAGATATACGAGGGCGTGCCCAATGCCGATGTTACTGCCGTCGATGTACAGGATGGCGTGGCGACTGTCACTTTCAGCCGTTCGGACGGGTCGACATTCTCTCGGTCTGTCCGGGGCCTCGTATATGCGGCAGGCCGTCGCGGGTCTCTCAGTTATCTTGATCCTGCACTCCTGTCCGAGGTCGTAGGACAGCATTGTCAGGATGAGAAACCCGAGGCAACCACCATCTCTGCTCAGACCCTCCGTGCGAAAGCGACGGAAAACCTTGAGGTCGCCCCGGGAGTGTTCATTATTGGAAGCCTGACTGGTGACTCCTTGGTTCGATTTTCGTATGGCGGCTGTGTCTATGCTGCTGGCCATTTAATCGGAAACCAGAAAAAAGGCCGGAAATCATGCAGCCCATGCAGCAGCATAGTATCAGCGGCCAAGACGCCGACTTCGTCTATTGCAGTGATGAACGGAATCGACGGCCATCATATCATTCCAAAAGACGACGCATCGGAACTGATGCGCGAAGACACCTTGAGCAAAAGATCGACAGTGACAGAACAGCCTGGTGTGCGCGGATGGTGGAAAACCATGGTGCGCGTGTGGAATGACATGATACGATAGGTGATGCGGTGATGCCTGGAATGAAATATATGTATGTGTATTTGCATGCGAACTATGCTGCCATAAAGGTGGAAGGTAGACGCCTGGAAGGAATAGTGATCCTGGATGCGAAATCACCAGTTTTTCTTCGTTGAAACGCCGAGGGTATAGTTTATTATATGTAGAGACATTCAAGATCCGGCTCCTCTAGCCCATAATCTGCAGCTGATCCTCCGGGGGCCACCGAGTTTGCGCAAAGCTGAGACACCGTTTGATACTTTGCAGGTACTTGCGAGTGATCTCGTCGCTCAGGATATGCGCCTGTTGGTCGCTCTGGTGCAGCTTCTCGCGTGCGGATCGCTCGTGGATACCCACCATGGTCACACCAATAGGCCATGCTCTGTATTCGAGTTAGCTTCATCTTCACAAGATAGAAAGGGAAAGAAATACTTACGCCTTGCCAATGCTGACCCGCAGGTATGCATCGTTTGCATCCACGTATCGGCGCTTCTGAGCCTTGTGGACAATTTCCACAACGGGCTCCAACAGGCCGTCCTCCAGTTCCGCCTTCTCAAATAGTCGGATCAGGGGCGTCATGTTCTCGCGCGCTTGCACCATGGCGTTGTACGCTTGCTTCCCCTGGAAGCTTTGCCGTACCGAGACGTCACGCTTCGCCAATGCAAGCTCCCATTCCGAGAGCACCATGTTGAAATAGGATGCCAACTGCCGGAACAGGAAGAGACGCCCATCCTGGTCCTTGGGGATTTTCGCCGGAATGATCATCTGGCCACCAGGCACAGGTTCCAGAGACGTGGGAATCGGTCCGTCGGTCATCTTCTTCTGCGGCTGCGCCAGGCGGCGGTATCGTCGGAGACGGGCGCGGTGGCTCTCACCAAATAGCCTGGCAGGCTCATTCAGATCTCGTAGCTTTTGGATAAGTTGCTCGTCATCAATGTCCCCCTCTGCGTCCTCGGCGCCGGGAGTGGTATCGTCGGCGTCAGGGAGTTCAGGCAGACCGAGTCTGCGCCGCCGCTCACGCTCCTCCGCAGCCTCCTCTTCTTCCCTCTTCTTTTTCGACTCCTCTGCCAACCGTCGCTTTTTCTCCTCGCGCTCGCGCCGCCGGTCTGCCTCTTCTTCCTCGCGCTTGCGCTTGTTGGCCATGCGCTCTTCCCGTTCGCGCTGCAGCCGCTCCTGCTCCTCGTTGTATGCAGCGATGCGTGCGGCTTCCACATCTCCTCGGCGCATGTACTTCTTCGTTGATTCTGTGGAGGTGGCCTTGTCCTTGTCTGGAGAAGACGATTTTGGGTCGGGGCCTTTGGCCTTGGAAATCTCCTTGGCCATCAGCGCGGCGAAATCCATGGCGGGCGACGTGTTGCAGTAGCACAGAGAGTGGGCGAGGGGAGATTCAAGAGAGAAAATGAAGGCGTGTTGTATTGTGGCGTAGTCGAGCAGACGTGTTGGCGTGGGGTGGAATGGAAGTGGAAGAGGAAAAGAAAGAATGCGGCGATCGGGAGCTTCGATGTTTCCCACTTCACTTCTCGACATCATCCCTCTCCCTGTTGTTGCACCTCCCACGCCACAGCTTATCAATTCACTCACTCAGCTCGTTTTGATTCCATCTATTCTCCAACATCATCTGAACTCCTGCACGCGACACTTTGCTCTTCGCCGTCATGGCCGCTCCCTCGCGCGAGGGTCCCAAACCCACGGTCAACCGACAGACCACCACACCCTTTCACCTGAAGCTATTCTACCGCCAAAACAACTTTCATCCTCTCTCAGACTATAGTATCTCACCACCCCCGCCGCGCCGCGGTCCCAGCGGACCCGTGAGCGGGCCTAATGCCATCCGCGCGACGTCGCCTCCTCCCCCAGCAGCAGCGGCGCCGCTCCCACCGCATCTAGAGATCTATACCTGGCAGTCGTGTACCCTGCGCGAGCTCTCACAGCTTCTCACCTCCGCCCTCCCCTCATTACTTCCCGATCCACCCGTCGGCACGCGTCTGTGTTTCCGACTAATCTACCCCGATGCGAAGGCCGCAGCTATCGGCGGCCCAGATACGCGCGGCCGATACCTGAGCAGGGACCTCGGCAGTGTCGTCGTCGGACCGAGAGACAGCCCTTATCGCGACGAGGAAGATGCAGATGAAAAGCAGGAGGCACGGCCGCGTCCCGGTCCGCTTCGCTTCCAGGGCTCTGAGGCCGATAAAGCTCTGCTGGATGTCCGGTTCATTATTGGTGACTATGTGGAATGTGCTATTCTGCCTCCGCTCGAGGATGGATCCGTTGCGCCTGCACTCCGTGGTTCGTCTGGTCCATCCCAGGCTAGTGGGGGTATGCGTGCGTTCCAGGAAAATGGATTTGGAGGAGGACGGCGTGGCCGTGGTGGTGGTGGAGGTGGTCCTCCACGAGGTGATCGTGGTGGTCCGCCAAACTTCCCTGCAGGGGATTGGAAGCGTGGGGAGCGGCTCCCAGATGGAGGACGGGGTGGGCGGCGTCGTGGTGGATGGGCGCCTTACTAGTAGGATTGAGACGAATGGAATGGAGTCCGGAGCATCAAATTGGGGAAGAAGAATCGTCGTGCTGAGATACCATGCCTAAGTTATCATTATGTACTAATAGTTTGAATTCACGGATGGAAAACTATGTCTTTGTTTCACTACGGTTTGCTCCGTTAAACTAGACGAGACCCAAGGAAGACAGAGGAAGAGAACAGAAGGAAATTCATGCGGTATATGCTTGTAAGGTACACAGCTCGGAAACCTGCGTCTAGCACAGCTCCCACGCCCTGGATGGTCGGTGTCGTACCCAGGAACAACTCATTGCAAACAAAACGATCAGCCACAATCTACCACTCCGACACGGGGTCTCCCTTGCGCTTGCCGCGGAGTTCATATTTGCCCTGCGGTCCGTCAGTAATCGAATTGCTCATATTCATCGGGAGGGACCGCCATGAATAAAATTTACCTCAGTCTTGTAGGCGAGGTAGCCCAGCGTGCCAGGGATCAGAGCCATGTAGACGAAAGACAGCCAGGCATGGCGCGGGGTCCAGCGGAAGTACTTGTAGCGGTTCGCGTTGAGTTCTGTGGAATCGATCAGTCAGTCGCTGCGAAGTTGGCCTGTGGAGGTGTCGGATCTGGGTCTGGAAAGAGCAGAAGGAAGGTATGGAGCGATTCAAACAGCAGCTATGTAATCGGGCAAGTGATGCAGACGCCGTTCGGCGATGGGGTTCAGGTGCAGCGAAGGGACGGGTTTGGGGGGGGTTCATCTACCGTAGTATTTCTGCAGGGCCGGGTCAAGGACCAGAGCTGGACAATGGATTAGCTGTGAGAATTAACGGAACATAGCAGCTTGGAGACTCACATTTGCTAGGACCTGCCATGGTTGCGATTGGACTCCAGGCGACGACGCAGACTCAAGTCGGTCAGGATGGAATGGGTCGCCGGGAGGAGAGGTTAGAGGTCACATGATATGGTGAGTCAGCTGATTATGTAATCCACTGCAGTCGGGCATTTTGAAGGGCAGATACATTTCTAGTGAAATAATTATTTACAAATGGTTATACTTGTACATAACTACATCGAGGCCGAGAACTTGCCGTCCACCTCCTCAACCTTGGCCACGGCCCGCTTGTAGCCCTCCTCATTTTCCAATCGCTTGGCATACGCCGCCAATTGGGGATACTTCTCCTGCTCCTTCTTGTTCTTGAACAGGCGCTGGCTGGCCGCGATGATAGGAAAGCTCAGAAGAATATCCGCCGCCGTTAGCTCCTTGCCGCACACGTACGGGCCACCCTCGGGCGCCGTCTTCAACCGTTCCTCAAGGAAAGCAAGGTTGGCCTCGACGTTGCGAGTCAGGAATTGCGACTCCACTTGCGAGGCAACGAGGCCCGTGATGGGCCGAACGAAGAATGGCGGAGAGTTCCGGATGGCTGGAGGGAGATGTTAGTCGAAACGCACGAAAAATGGAGAGAGACTAGGGCACAACGTACTGTCGTTGACCAGCGTCATCACCAGGAAAGGCATCAGGCTGCCCTCCGCGTAGTGCATGAAGTAGCGATAGCGCATCCACTCCTCCCGCTCGCCGCCCACCTGGCCTTCCTGGCCCGGCTTGTAGCGCTCGGGCACCAGCGTTGGTTTCGCGCTGCCAAAGTGATCGCATAGATACTCGACGATGGCGCCGGACTCGGCCAGGACAATGGGCTCTGTAGCACCGGGCGGCTCGAGGGTCAACAAGGGCGACTTGCCCAGCGGATGGATCTGCTTCAGCTCGGCCGGCGCCAGCTTGTCCGAGCGCCGCTTGAACGTCTTGAGCTCATATTTCAGTTGCAGTTCCTCCAGAAGCCAGAGGATGCGGTGGCTTCGGGACTGTTCGAGCCTACATGGCGGGTTAGAGTGGATTTGGAACCAAAGGAAACAGACTCACCAGTAGAGGGTTATTTTTGTTCCCTTGTTGTTGTCAGCCATGGTGGTAGTGGTGTGTAAAAAAGAGGGATGTGACAAACCGGTTAGACTTGAGTTATAATACATGATGTCAGGGCAGCCGAGGCACTGGAAATCGATTGATTAGGGCAAAGCGCCGAGATCTCTGCGGATCGGAACATCATGTGAACGTTGGGCCATCAACGCTTTCGCTAGTGAAATCATAAAATAGTTCCTCCGAATTAATTCCATGAATGCTGGTTTAGCTATTTGGTGAAATTGATAAATTGTAGTGTCGTTTAATATATGCATACTAATAACGTAATTGTACACCGAAAGTCACAACATACCGAAAGTCACACTTTAATCCGCTCACATAATAAATATCGCGATAATTCCACCACAACGCCTAAAATCAATTGATACTACTAATAATCTTCTTCCTCAGACGTCTCTATTACAATCTGACAGGTGCGTGCGTTATGTCCGGTCTCGCCGCAATTGCTACAGCGCCGCGCGCGCGTTTCTTGCCTTGGTTTCCGACCACTACGTGCCTGCGTTTCCTGCTTTATCTGCTGCATAATGTCCCTCTCATCTTGTAAATCTTGTGCTTCCTGTTGACTAAGTGATCCACCTTGCCGTAGACGTGTCTTTTTAGCCCTCCGGCGTTTACTAAGCTCTTCATTTGCTTGTCGAAGGATCTGAACCTCTGACTGCAACAACGCCAATTTGTGCATAATCTTCGACGTCCCTTTCGCAAACTGGTCGACAGCTTCGTAAATTGAGGTTGGAGAGCTATTATTATGATAGGCAATGCGATTCTTGATGAAAGTAGTCTGCGAAGTGGCTTCGATTGGGTTATTAGGTGTCTGAGAAACCCAGGGTTTAGGGGTTCGGGGGCGGGAAGTTGTAGGTGTTGGCGTCTTTAACTTGAGATCTAGTGTAGATATCACACTTTCCGGGTCAAATGGAATAAGTCCAGCGCCTCGGAAACCTCCTTGAATGTTGCTTTCCGTCATTGTAGCAAAGAATGCGCTACGAAAGGCGGGGAAGAAGTCGTCCTTCGTAATATGGGTGATATGAGCCCGCATCATATCCTCGATGTGTCGGCCATATACCTTCTTCAATGGGCTAAAACACCCAATATCTAGTGGCTGAAGGATATGAGACGAATGAGGAGGCATACAAAGGGTGATAATGTTGTTTCCTTTGCAGTATTCCTCAAATTTGTCCGAGTGGTGGCTCTCATGGCCATCGAGGATCAAAAGGCGATAGCAACCTGTAGTTCGGGCTCTAGTATGCTTCTCAAAATGCCGAATCCAATCCACGCCTTTCTCATTTGTTGTCCAGCCGTTATCAGTAACAGCGATTACCCAGTCAGGTGGGAAACCACTATTTTGGTACCAAGACGAAAGGTGATTTTTGCCCGCAACAATGATAAATGGCGGCACCGTCCAGCCTTGGGAATTAACGCCCTGAATTACCGTAACCCATTCCCGATTACCAGGCTGTAGCTTTTTTGCCTTTATACGTCCCTCTGAGCTTGTGACAACTGTTGCGGTAGAGATAACGCCCATCATAAACCCAGTCTCGTCAAAGTTGTAGATATCTGACTCCACAATGCCGTACTTCGCGATTGTATTGCGTACAAGCTCAAACCAGCCACGAATGATCACTGGATCTTCGCACTTAGCTCTCTGGTAGTCGTATCTCCGTTGAAAGCGAGTTCGGAGCTCTGGGCGGCGATTAATGAACCTAGAAGCCCAACGCATCCCGACGCGTGGCGCGTCGCGTGTCGCGAGAAGCCGATTTGCCATATCTCCAACAATAGACACTCGGGGAGGGAATCCTTTGATAGCTAAATCGAGGATATGTTGAATAAGGACTGATTCCTCTAGATCGGTCAAAATTCGTGAATTGGCCAGAATATCGCGTCGTGATTGTATACCGCGCTTGCGACGACTCAGCTTCTCGTGGTCCACAGAATAGATCCTCCCTGCTGCTCGAGCGCTTAACTTTGGGTCATTTTGCATAGCTTGAAGGGCTAACATGACCCGCCTTTCGTCATTTTTTTGAGGCATCTTTTGTTGTGGAGGAATTTGGTGTTTGGTGGAGGAGACGCGTGAGCGGATTAAAGTGTGACTTTCGGTATGTTGTGACTTTCGGTGTACAATTACGTTACAGAATTATTGCATAATTTCATTTCCATCGTCCTCCCCTGTTACCTACTCTGCCCAAGCCTTATTCGGTCCATCACTAGTTGATTCGATTTTCCTCTCCGCTGCTTCTTCCTCAGTTGCAGCGGTTGCAAGCACATATGTCCCAAACTTCCGCACCGGAACACCATCTTGGAACATCTGATTAATCTCCTCAAGAGATCGTCCCTTCATCTCCGGTACACAGAAGAAGGCAAATAAGAAGGAGCAGCACGCTAGACTTCCAAAGATAAAGCCAACTTTGGAATGAAGATTGGCATAGGGCGCATCGAGAAGGTATGGTGTGAAGAAAGAGAAGATGAAACTATGGATCGTCAGCATCAATGCGGGGACAGAAGAAGCAAAGACAAAACATACTTGGTCGCGATATTGACGATCGATGCTACCCGCTGCGTCTTATCACGCAATCGAGTTGCCGGAAGCTCGGTGGTAATAACGTAGTTCAATGGATCCCAGCTCACGCACAGACTAGCAGACGACAAGGCCGTCGCAGCGACAATGACTTGGGTCTGGATCGTTGTCGGCGCGGAGATAGTTCCAACACCCCCCATGGTGAAGAGCCAAACCACTTGCAGAGTCGACCCGATCATCAACAGTGGCCGCCGCCCAATTCGGTCGGTGCTGTAAATAGCAACCAGACAGCAAAAGAAATTAATGCACGAGCTCATGAGGGAGAAGTCGAAGGGACTGATCGTGCCCAGCGATTGCACGAAGAGCGTGCCGTACGCCGCCGTGAAGGGAGACCCCGTTGCTTGGATGAAAAAGTTCATGCCTATGGCGATGAGGGTACGCTTTCGATTGCTGCCTCGAAACAAATCCCTGTATGTGCCTTGGTTTTGCTCCTGCCTGAAAGACTCGCGTAAATGCTCGAGCTCTTCCTCGGGACTGTAATCTGATTGAGATGAACTGCGGAGCTTCTTGAGCGACTTCAACGCCTCCTCATCGCGGCCATTCAACAGTAACCATCGAGGAGATTCCGGAATAAACCAGATGCAAGATGCCACGATAGACGGGACGATGTAGAATAGACCTTGAGGGATTCGCCAAGCGGCGTTGGTAGATAGCCCGCTGGTGCCCAGGCACACGCTGTTGATGATGACACCACCTAGCAGCAAACTCGCCTGATAGGCACCCACCGCAAAGCCGCGGACGGGGGCCGGGACAATCTCTGCTTGAAACGGCGGGCATGTGGCCAGCTCCATACCGATGTAGGCATAGTTGAGGATGCGCCCAGCCAACACCTGCTCAATCCGACTGGAGGTGAGAAGGACAGTCGCAGACATCATCGCCCACAGCGACATGCAGAACATCGACATGCGACGGCCGTATCGAGCGCTGACGATGCTGCCGACGTACAACCCTACATCTGATTCAGTATGTGGCGCTTGTAAGTTCTGGATCCAGTTAACATACCAATTGCAAATCCGATGAAGTTTAAACTATTGAGAAGGGATGTCCAGTATGCTGGAATCGCCCAGGTTTGGGTGGTGGGATCGTATTCACCAAACTGTTTCTTGTAAGCCGCCATCGCTTGACTGGTCGCGATGCCTTGGTTGTCGAATCCATAGTTGAGTGTCGAGAGGGCAATGAGCCCAACTGCACCCGCCAGCCGCGGCGTGAAGTTTTGCACGAGGTGGTTGTTCTTCAGAAAAGAGGGCGCCATTCTGAGGACTTCCGCTGTTTGTTGAAATGACCCCTTAACCAGCGAGCTCCGGCTATTTATGTCAGGGCCAATCCATTCCGCCATATAAATCTCATAGTAGTCACAATGTCGCAATAAACCATAATGCGCTAAAGCCAAGCAAGAGTAGAATCTCCCCGCATGATTTGATTGTCTGGAGCTTGAATGCTTTCCGGTAGTTGGCGGGAAGATTTTTGGTGGAGAAGTTTAAAATCTCCCCGGGGGCGGCTGACTATCTCGGGTAACGGGAACCGAAAGGAGTCTCGGGGTATGCCGAGAGCCATACACCAGAAAACGGCAAGATAATTCAACATGTTCGAGCAGTAGTATTCAACATGTTCGAGCAGTAGTAGAATTGCGGTTGGTATTACAGCAACTGAGAATTTAAGAAATAAAATCTATTGTCTAGTCTAGCTTAGATGGTTTTCTGATCACCTCTTGACCCAGGCGCAGAAAGATCAAAGTCAAATCGGTCTGGAATCTTCAGCCCAGCCTTCAGATGTCCGTGCATTTCCAACAATGACACTCCGTCACGGAATAACCAAGGATCCTTCGACTCCCGTTGCCAGTTTTCCATTTCTGCTCGCAAGCGACGCAGGAGATCTTGATGCCCCGGATCGGATGCAAGATTGGTGACTTCGAACGGATCGTTCTGCAAATCGTACAGTTCTTCTGCTGGGCGCTGGATGTAGCTCTCGAGTGGCCGTTTGCCGATCATCACCGGCCCATCAACGTTTCGCATGCCCTCCCACGACAGGGATGCGTAAAGGTCCGTGGAAAAAGGAAAGTCGATTTTCCACACCACATTTCGGTGGTACTTGTACCTGGAATTTCTCAAGAAGCGGGTTGGATAGTAGTTCGTGATTTCATGGAATGTGTGTGATCCAAACACTTGGGTCCATGCATCATCTAGTGAGGAATTGGCCAGAATCGGCAATAGTGAACGTCCTCTTCGTCGTGGCTCGGCTGCTTGCGACTCCTGGTAGCCAGTCCAGTCCAGGATAGTCGGTAGAATATCGATGTAAGAGACCAAATTCGGGTTCTGGATCCCGGAAGCGCCACCTGGTTGGCGGATGATGAGGGGCAGGCGGATACCCGCGTCGTAGAGGGTTGTCTTGGAATTCAAAAATGGTGGACCATTGTCGCTCATGAAGATGACCAGGGTCTCGCGATCCAAACCATGCTCTTTCAGCGATTTCATAATCAAGCCGAACCCTCGGTCCACACGACCAATTGCCCGATAGTACTCGGCCAATTCCTGGCGTACTTCTGGGATATCACTCAGGGAATCCGGGACAGTGACCGTCGCTGGATCGTAGAGGCCGTCTTCAGCCGAAACCTGACTGTCCCCGTTACCAAACCCACCTCGAGTATGATCCCGATGGGGGTCCATGTATCCGACAGTCAGGAAGAACGGCCGCTCGCCATTCTTGGCCTGGTCGAAGAAGGACGAGGCCTGCTCAGCGACCCAAGACACGTCTCGACTTGGACTTTCGACCACCACTTCCCACGGATATACTGAAAGGGGTCCCACGTGGATTTTACCGATGATGCCGGTTAGATAGTTGTGATCCCGGAGTAGCTGTGGCGCGGTCTGGATATGGTCGAATGTCATAAAGTGGTGCGTGGAGTGGCCCAGTCCGTATTGGCCATTCTCGTGCGTGTGTAAACCAGTATAAATGACGGATCGGCTGCCGCTGCAAGATGCGGTACTGGCGAACGCATTGTCGAAGACGGCTCCTTCTCGGGCCAGTGCGTCAAGGTGTGGCGTTTGGATATTCTTCTCGCCATAACAACCCAGAGACTTGCCGAGGTCGTCGGCGATAACCAACAGGACGTTCTTCTGGGAAGACATGGTGTGAGAGTTCAAAAGAAAAGGAGAGTCGCCGACTTTATTATTTATCGGAGCGATCAACCAACACGATTATTAACCGCGGAGAGACTTTAATCGCTCCACACTCCCCCATTGGTGGGCACGGGACTTCGCCGAGAATCTCCTTTCGCCCATCCCCCATGGATCCACATCCACTGCCTGTCACCACTCCAATGTCTCGGAGTCGTGCATGCGATGGGTGCGCCGCGCGCAAGACCAAGTGCGATCGCAGATCGCCTTGCCGGCGGTGCACGGCCCTAGGTGTAGCCTGTACAGCTCTGCGGGAATGTGTCAAGCCCGGCCCCAAGGGGCCATGGGCCGAGCGAAAACGCCAGGCTCGACTGCAAAGATCTCCACTGCCACGGGCGACGGACATTTCTACAGCAGAAATCTCGCCGACTTTACAGCCGATCATCCGTCAGGGCGTGTCAACCCCTAAAAGAAGACGTTATCTCGACGTCTACCAGCGGGAGTTATACTACCTCTGGCCCGTTATCGATGTGGAGGATCTGGGCAGCCGATTAGCCGATGCCGGCGCATATGCACTCTGCACGGCACTCGGCGCAGTCACTCTCTCTCGCGTTGTCCATCCAAGTCTAATTAGCGAAGAGTTAGACCCTCGGGCAGAAAGCGACAAGCTGGTGACAGAATCAGAGAAAGCAAGAGCCCAGGTTCTCTACCAGGAAAATCCAAGCACCGACATATTGTTGACCTCGTTTTTCTTGCACGTCCACTGCTCCAATCGCGGCCAAATTTGCAAGGCTACTCTACTTCTACGCGAAGCCATCACTTTTGCTCAGTTACTCGGCTTCGATCAGCCCAAGCATTATGCGAACCTCCCAAAATCAGAAGCTCAGCTTCATCTTCGGATTGTATGGCTCCTCTTTATCACTGAAAGGTACCGCATGACCCAATCTTGGTTCAGCAGCCAACTAACAATGGCATTCAGAGGGCATACCACCCGATTTGACCTCCCAAGAACTTTGCGTCTGGACCCAGACTTACCAGCACTTGAAGAAGACGAGAACCCATCTGGATTGCTTCCATTTATTGGAATGTGCCAATTATTCCAAACTTTCGGTTCCGCCATGGACCGGGATCCGGGGCCTGATCTCATGTCCGATTTCTTTGTCGGCATGGATACACGCTTGCGAGACACACGAGGGCTGTTATTCAGCAGTCCCGACTCCCAACGAGCAGACTTTCTTATCACCCAACAATGGATGAGAATAATCTTGTGGAAGCTAGCTATGTTCCATGTGGAGTTGTCGGTCGATCCCACAGTCGAAAATTTGAGCATTTCATTCCCGGAGAATGTGGCTCGGAACGTCATGGGGTATCTTGATATGTTCCCTCGAGGTATTGTCGAAGGCCACGGTCTCGGGATGGTAAGCTGGGACTCATAGCCTTTTTGGCTTTGTACAAGCTAACTATTGTTTCTAGCAAATGAAACTGGCCGACATCGCTATCTCCCTTGCCGATGTTCTGTCTTGTACACCACTGGTCCCCGAAAGCCGGCAACTTATGCGAGTTCGCCCGGCAGAAGTGTTGAATCATCTGGCTGCGTTCTTGAACTCGATCCCAGATAAGGTCAACCCACATCTCGAGCTCCTGCAGGAGAAAATTGCGCAATACGGTCTGTGCTATCCATTAAATGACCTGCCACGGAAAGACATATCTGTCCATGAGCGTGTGCAGGAGATACGCAAGCTTGAGGAGGCGACAGAACATAATACTTGGCAAGTAGATAAGAACAAAATTGATAATGCCCTTTATTTTTAACCGTGTCCGGATTTTCTTTGTCGATGCTCTTGTGGGGCAAGTGGGGGAGAGCAGGTCGAGTACATACAACACAGGAGTACAGTAAAGGGGGGCTTGGCTCCACCATACGCTCCCTAGGCCCCTTTCGGAAACGCTAACCTCCAAATGCTACCCAAGCCGAACTATACAAACAGGAGCAGTCGAAAGCTTTCCGTGAAGAGGCATCTTCCCCTAGCCATTATCTTTATTGCTATAATTCTCTTGGGGTTCACTCATATTTTACCACTATCGATCTACGGACACCGGACACGGGATTTGTTCAACATGGCGCCAGGAGGGGAACCAACTTTTTTTTTTTTCCTGTTTTTCCTTTTTGCTGAGAATACAAAATCTTGGAAATTGCCACATCTTTCATCACATGGTGCGCGATTTTTGGCCACAGAAACTTGGCCCTATTTTTGGAAGTAGAAATCCGATCTCTTCTAAGTCGCTGTGTTTGAATTGATCGTTTGGGCCATTCCATGATGAAACCTGCCTATACACGTATCAGCAGCAGCATATCTCCGCTATTATTTCCCAACGCTTCTCCATTTATGATGCCCTCAATCTCATTGTGCGCGTCTCACGCGTCCGTAATACGCGAGTTTGCCCACCCGGGTTGTTCCCCAATCTCCGGCGGTCAGACCAATCATGGCCCCCACACAGCCTAGCCCTAACCAACCAACCCCAAGTATAAGTAAGCCCGCCATTCTACTCATTGTCATCATTCTTCTTCTTATTATTATTCTCTATATTTTATCTATCTATCTCATCACCATGTCTTCTGCTTCCAGACAAGCTCTCGTCGACAAGTACCCGTCGATCCTCAAGTTCGACAACGACACCTACGAGGAGTCCCACGATGGCCGCGAGCTTGCCCTCCTCGACCACATCTACAACCACCCGTCGTTGAACGAGCTGCGTGGCAACCCCGCCGCCATCATGCGCGTGATGGATGATTTCGCCGCTCAAAAGGACTTCCTAATTAACATTGGAAGTGACAAGGGCGAGAAGGTTCGTCAGCTCATTTTGAAAGAAAGGCCTGCGGTCCTCGTCGAGCTGGGAGGGTACGTCGGCTACTCTGCCATCGCCTTTGGAGATGCCATGCGAAAGGCCGCTGGAAACGAGCAGACCGTTCGTCTCTTGAGCCTCGAGTTTGATCCCCTTATCGCGTCGATTGCCATGAATTTGGTCGACTTGGCTGGATTGGCCGATGTCGTCAAGGTGGTTGTGGGGTCTGCGGCCGATTCGCTGAAAAGACTGAAGGAGGAAGGCAAGTTGACCGCAAACAGCATTGATTTCATGTTCCTGGATCATCTTGAGGATCTCTACCAGCAGGATCTGCAGCTCTGTGAGCAACTGGGCCTTCTCAAGTCGGGGGCCTTGGTAGTGGCCGATAATGTGGTCCGTCCCGGCGCGCCTCAGTACCGCGAGTATGTCCGCCAGCATTCCGGCATGGAAAGCTGGGGCGTCCCGGGCCTTATTATGCCTGGTGAATTTGATGTGGGTGCTCGCAGCTGAAAGTGGTCTTTACATTGCTAACGACATAGTTAAATAGGACGAACTGGAGGTTACGAGGATAAAATAGATTTAACTCTACGCTGTCACACTATCGAACGCGATCCTGTCCCCCAAAACGTCCAGCCTTGATTGATCAGGCCACATGTTCTTGTGCCGAAACGATCGTCCCTGCTTGAAATTCAACATGGTCCACCTGTACTGCACCCGTGCCCTTGCCGTCAAACTCCGTGAGAGCCTCGCCGTGAGCCATGTCGCGCTCAAAAATGGCGCCGACCTTACGAGCCTGGCGGTCGCGGAACACCCAGATAGTGCGATTCTTTGCGAAGAGGAAATCAACTTCCTCCAGTGTCTTCCCTGCTGTTTCCTGTAATATTTGTCAACAATCTGTCTTTATATTTGCAGAACAACGCTCATTTTGCTCTCGAAACGTACTGGGTAGAAGAAGAAGACGCAAATAGACATTGCGAAGCACAGAGTCATGAAAACCATGTACAATTTCCACCTGAAACATCCAACGTGTTAGTAAAAGCATGAAAGTATAATATTGATCCAGCACTGCACTTACGAAATCTTCTCCATTGCCGTGGGGATATATAGTGCGAACCAGAAGTTCTAGGCTAAATCAGTCTTTGACCTTTCAAGTAGGAGAGATTCTAAAGCATACCACAAACCAGTTTGTAGCCGAGGTCATGGATGTTCCACGACTACGCGAGCCAGTGGTAAATAGCTCCGGGGGGTAAACCCAGGCAACACAGGCCCAGGTCAGAGCAAACGTCATGACATAAATATAGACGAAGGCGATGGTAGCATTTGAGGCCGCGTGGCTGGCGAAGGTAAAATTTGTCTTTTCCGTAAGAGGATTATAAACCGGATTGCCTGGTCTTTCCGTCAAAATTGCAAGTCAAGCTAAGCCGAGAACAAGAACTCACCCATGGTCTTCATGATTGTGCCGATCAACATCATAGAAATGGCCATGCCGACTCCACCAATGATCATGGGGGTGCGACGGCCCCATTTATCCATGTAATACATGTTGGGCCAAGTGAAGACGTTCAAGACGGCACCTTGGATGCCATTTGCCAAAAGGGAGCCTTTGCTCGAGCTAATACCTGCTTGCTGAAACAGGAACACTGCATAGTACATAATCCTGCAGTTGAGGTTTGTATGAGACGCTGCGGTATTTTGTCTGTTAGGGGGGTGAACTCACACGTTGACACCCGTAACTTGTTGCCAGAATTGCTATTAAAAAGAGTGCCTGTCAGACAAGAAACCCAATAGTCATGTTCGTTAACTCACCACTCCGAGTCCCAGCCACATCCGACGACGCTCCCGACCGAATAGCATCTCGAGATAACCCGGTGGCGGATTTTCTCTCTCCCACTTGATCTTGGCCACAATTTCAGCCAGCTCCGCCTGTACGAAGGGATCGTTAATATCGCCATTCGAGTGCAAACGCGCTAATGCCTGCAAGGCTTTTTCGTTTTCGTCCCGCTGGGCAAGCCAACGCGGCGATTCCGGCATAAAATACATGGTCAAGTGAAGGGTAACTGTGGGGATCATCTGGAGACCCATCGCCAGGCGGAATGATGCGGGGCCATCAAGATAGCTGGCGCCGTATTGAATCCAGAAAGCGATTAGAATACCAAAATTGATACAGCATTGTTGCATGGAGACAATTCGACCGCGAATTCTAGCAGGGATTAGTAACCTTCTGCAGACGTGAACAGTTATACTGACTTCGGAGGCGCAATTTCGCTTTGGTACAACGGAACCTATTATTGAAATTAATTATTGCATTCGCTCGGCTTCTGGACATACTTACCATCATCGCTAAGCAACCATTGCCAAGGCCATTAATCACGCGTCCAGCAACAAGCGCCGTCACATTGTTGGCTGCAGTCGCGATAGCCACACCTATAGTGAAGATCAAGGAGCCAAGCAGGATAGTTTTGCGGCGGCCCAGGCGATCAGCCAGCAGCGCCCCCGTCAGCAACGACCCTGCAAATGCACCGGCCTGAATCGATGCAGTGATTCCACCTTGAAGGAAATTGCCGGGATGGTCCATGTAGGTGAGGAATTGTTTCATGGTCAGAATTCCACCTGGAATTGGTCAATGGACTTGCTCTGTCGAATTATTGCTTGTCCCGACTCACTCATAGATCCGGTATCCTGCCACTAGTTAGATTGTGGGTACCAGGGTCGGTTGCAGGGCATCTTACATAGCCAAATGCCACGCCTCCCGTGCATGGCGCAATGCCATAAAGGTACATTTTCTGGGTCCCGTCAGCATGCTAGAGCACTCGCTGGTAGATTCGGCGCCACAGCTTACCCACGAGCCATCCATTTTGACTGAGATGTGAAGAAGAATACCGGTGCAGGACAAAAGAATGCAAGCGAGGACTTCACTATTTATTTTGGTCCAGCGGGTATTTTCCCCTCAATTGGAGAAGCCAATCAGCAAATATTCCGGGGCCCCAGACCCACTTAGATTAGCTGGAGAAGCTTAGTTGCATCATGCACAAAGACTAAGCATGGACGTTGCATCGGCACACTCTGCCGAGCTCTTTACTACTCTATAGACAGTCTATGGATGTTTAGTTACAGCAACGGCAGACCGCGGTCTCCGTGCAGAATGCGACTGGCTTCCTCACCTCTCCACCAGCTTTGCGGTCCTCCGGGAAAACTGTATTGCTCCAGGCTCTCCGGTTTCATCTGTACACTGTATCCTGGCGCTTGTGGTGTGATATAATGACCCGAATCGGTCTGAGCAGGCTCGAGGAAGTGCTCATGCAAGTGGTCGACATATTCGAGAATGCTTTTCTGTCCGCTAACCACCAAGTAGTCGATTGTACTCAAATGTTGCGTGTATTCAGGTAGACCAACACCGCCTGAATGAGGCACGATGGGAACCCTGAACTTGCGAGCGAGGAGTAAGATAGCAAGAACTTCATTAACGCCGCCCACCCGACAGGCATCCGGTTGCAAGACGTCGATTGCCCCAGCCTGCAGTAGCTGTTTGAATACGATGCGGTTCTGGACCATCTCGCCGGTTGCTACGCCTACCTGGCCCTGGAGAGCTTTGCGGATTGCAGCGTGGCCTAGAATGTCATCTGGCGACGTAGGCTCCTCGATGAACCAAGGCTTGAACTCGGCCAGTGCTTTCATGTGCTCTATGGCCTCTGGAACGGACCAGACCTGGTTGGCATCAACCATGAGCACGTTCCCTTGATCATATCCGATGACTTCACGGGCAATGCCTAGCCGGTCCCGGTCTTCTTCAACTGATCCCCCGACCTTTAGCTTGAAGTGCTTGAATCCCTCTGCGAGGCTCTGTCGAAGCAGCTCTCGCATCTTGTCCTTTCCATAGCCAAGCCATCCCGCACTGGTGGTGTAGGCCGATACGGCACGATTGCGCTGTACTTCTGCCAATCTCTCGGCCTTTCCGACCTGAGTTTCTCGAAGCATCTGGATAGCTTCGTCCGGGGTGATGGCATCGGTGATGTAGCGAAAATCAATGCACCCAACCACTTCCTCGGGAGTCATATCCGCCACCAGCTGCCATACCGGTTTACCTTCTACCTTACCCCAAAGATCCCAGAGTGCATTGACAACTGCGCCCAGCGCCATGTGGATCACGCCCTTCTCCGGGCCAACCCATCGCAATTGGGAATCCGACGTAAGATACCGCCAGGTACGAGCCCAATCCTTGACCAAGTCTTCCATCTTGCGGCCCACAATCAAGGGAGCAGTCAGGTTGATTGCGCTGCAAACGAGATCATTGCCACGACCAATCGTGAATGTCTGGATGTTTGTCAAAATACAATATCGCAATTGAACTCTTAATGCTTACCATTCCATGTCCACTATGTTTCGAATCGGTCTGCAAAATACAATAGGCGGCCGAGTAGTCGGGGCCCTTATTCATTCCATCGGAGCCAACTTGGTCCAGAGACGTCTTTGTTGTGTTAATAAAGATCTATAGATGCTAAGACGATGAAAATTGCTTACCGGAAATCGGACGTCGTGAGAGCTGAAGCTGGTAATAGTGGTCATGATGGCACTGTTTTGATGGTTTTCAGATTGAGAGAGACTGTTTCCATTGTATTTGAACCTTTTCCTTCTGAGGCATGTTGGAAATTTAGATAACCTATCAATTCTGCCTATTACCCGATTAGTCACGTGACGCTAGTTAACAAGCTCTACGCAATATAGTAATTGGTGAAGTATCGAAAGTTTCTAATTCATTAGTAGGTCGATGTCTTTAGTTAGTCCGGTTCGCTGCATAACTTTATGTCAACATCAAGATCGTGAGTCCTCTGGCCGGGCACACCGGTGAGCGCGGCTCACAATTATTTGATCCACCCTCTTTTCGCTTTAGTTTTGATGCCCTTTGTATAACCTCGTTTTTAGTACAATATAAAGAGCTTTTCGTCTTTTCTACTGCTCATCCGGACTTTTGTATATGAAACCTCACCTCGCTGCCATGAATCACGGAATTATCAGTGCGGTCAAGAGACCGAGATGGGACAGCTTATCTCATGATATCTGACAGTCAATGAAGCACGATGTCATCAAAGAACAAGTCGCCATAAATAGGGATCAATGCATCAATAGTGATGCAATGTGGTGTGCTAGTCACATACCGTCTCCAACTCGGGCTTGATGAAAAGTAGGCGCGAGTCAACCAGAAGCTGCTGTGGAGGAGGATACTGGCACTTCGTGTCATTCATATGAGTAGGAAGAGACCAGTAGTCTTCCTCGACCCCTGGACCTTTTTTAAAAACACCAGTGTTTCAGATAGTTGTGACAATAACCGCATTACCTCTCTGAAGACGTGGCATCAAGGCACTGAGAGGTTCTTGCTGACCAGAACACACCATCTGTCAAGCTGAATCTTTTGCCAATATTTCGTCTGCCTATTACCTTCTACTAATGAGCCGACAACCCCAAGAGCAAAGCTTCTCATTTGATGCATTGCACTTCCAAGGTTAGTAGTTTGGTTTACGCAGGGATGTCTTCCAAGCCTTTAGGGCTGTCGTTGAGTTTTTTATCTCCGTAGCTCAGCTATGTACCAAAGGAAATCGTTGAAGTTGCCAGCTTCCACGGTGATGTCAATAGCAGCCTTGGAGGAACTATGCTGGCATCCTCGTGGCTCATGGAAGCAGGGCAAAAGGGCCTTGATCTTACGTAAATCTCTAGGTAACATCGCAAAGAATCGCCTAATTTAATGCAAGAATATGAACAACTTCAGTATATAGAGCCCAGATACTATAGTTCATCCCTATGACTGGGGATAATTACCTGATTCGTTGCACAGTTGGAATTTTAATGCCAAGCGCCTGATGTTGGTTGCCGATCGGGTATTAGGCAATTAGGAGAATTCCATTGTGCAACAATGTGCAGGTCCTCCCCCACATCTCCACCCGGGATGGATGATAGACGGGTAAATGGCCCGATCATCAGGCTATTTGACTATTTGAACGAGTTGAGCAACTCTTCTTCCCCCATCCGGACGCATTCACAACTCCATTCTTGCGAACACAGAGAATGAGCGTTCCTCGAGCCTTGAGCGTTCCTCGAGCCTCGACGCCTTTGTCGCGTGTGCTCCCGCCGCTCATCCTAGGCGGTGCTGGACTCAGCCATCAAGTATTCCGGAATCCTAACTCAACCCAGGCGCTGCAACTGCTCAAACGCGCATTTCAGCTCGGTCTACGGGCTATCGACACCTCCGCCTACTACCATCCCTCAGAGGAGCTTCTAGGAGAAGCCCTCTCTCATCCTGACATCACCAATAACTACTCCCGCGATCAGTACCTCTTGATGACCAAAGTGGGACGGATCAGCGCAACCCATTTCGACTACTCTCCTTCATGGGTCCGACAATCTGTCATGCGCTCGATGAAGCGCCTGCACACCCGCTATTTGGATGTAGTTTTCTGCCATGATGTCGAATTTGTGCCCGAGGAAGAGGTCCTCGAGGCTGTCGGGGTCTTGCTAGAAATGGTCCGGGATGGTCACATCCGATATGTTGGTATATCGGGGTACCGGATTGATATCCTTGCGCGCATCGCTCGGCTTGTCAAGGAGCAGTACTTGCGGCCTCTAGATGTCGTGCAGAATTGGGCTCAACTGACCTTGCAAAACGACCGACTTGCGCAGGACGGCTTGACGGCCTTGCAAGAGGCTGGCGTATCGTGTGTCTGCAGTTCTAGTCCGTTGGCAATTGGCCTCCTGCGGGCTGGAGGGGTCCCCATAGGTGATTTGGGCGACTTTCATCCGGCTCCGGCAGGCTTGCGACTCGCAGCACAGAAAGCGGCTGATTATGTTTCCTCACGGGGCGAGTCTCTGGCAGAGTTGGCCCTGCGATATGCTATCCGTCGTGCGCAATTAGCATCGACTACAGATTTCCGTGTTACGACTATCACGGGAGTCACCTCAGTCACAGAGTTGGAAGAGAATCTCGCGACTGCTCGAAGAGTTCTCGGAGATTCGGACCAGTTCAGGTTGATGTGGAATGCAGATGTATCTTCTGAAGAATCGGTACATAATCATCAAGATGAATCATTGTGTGCAGCAGTGCAGGAGATCTTAGGACCATGGCATAATTATAGCTTTCCGAGTCCTGGCGATGGATGGGATGTGGCAGCCAAACGGCCAGTGCTAGTCCGATTGTGATGGTTTACAAACTCATGGTGCATGGTGTCCGGCGGATAGAGATCGATTATAAATTATCAGCAGTGTATACAGTCGAGCGCTCACGGATATTCCTTCACCAGTAAGCAATTTATTGACCATTAGAGAACAATATGTAACACTTCGCGTTCACGAATACTTTTGTTTCTCAACTTGTCCAGGGTTGTAGGCGTTCCTGGCCAATCGGGTTAAGCAAGTCGATCGGCCTGAGCCGACAAGCTCTTCTCCGCACTTTCAGTCTCCACCTCTTGTTCACCCTCTTCCTTCATGTTCCAGGATAGCTGACATGTTGGACGCTAGCACCCCCCGCCATGGCCAGTCGCGGGTTCTGCGAGCCTGCGACTCGTGCACTCGCTCCAAACAGCGCTGCGATGGACAGCATCCATGGTGAGTGGTCCTCGATCAGTGCCCATCCCGCGAGCTAATAATGACGCTGCATGAAGCCGTCGATGTGCAGGTACGCGAGAAGATCACGAATTCATGGCCCCGACCCATTAGTCTGACAATATCTAGAACGACATGACCCGTGCAATTACACGAAAGTGGTTCGGAAGCGTGGTCGCCGCCCACGATCAGATGGTAATCGCAGCTTCAGACGGGACTCGCGCATCTCCCTGGACCTAGATTCTCCACAGGCGCCAGAGGGCAGTCCGCGCGATACGACCATGTCCAGTAGCATGTCGTCGCAAGAGGTGCCGTACGACTTGGTACCGCCAGACCGCCGCGCGCATGCGATGCCTGGCACTAGTCCGAATGACGCAGCCCATCTCAAAAGTCCGACGGGGCATGAGACTCTTGCAACAACAGCATCATCTTTCCCAGCTCGTAAAAACCCTTTAGATGGATTTTTTCCGGGTTCATTGAACAACGGTCAATTGGAGACCAGCCAGCCAGCTATGACGCCCAGTCTAGTGTGTATCTGCAGTTGACCATTGCGGTGCCCTTGCGCTAATTTTTTTCTTCAGATGCCGCTGGAGCCCAGAGGCTCGATATCTCTCCACCAAGGGGCGTTTGATGATGTGCCAACAACTCTCGCCGATAACATTTCACTGCGACAGCCATACCGCTGTCTTGACTCCGTATTGCCATATTTACACGGGATTCTGACCCCAGAAGAGGCATCGGAGATGCTCGAGATCTATTTCAATGAACAGCACAGCTCTGTTTTTAAATCGACTTCGCCTTATGCTCTGGCGCATATCTTACATCCCGAGTCGGTCCTGCATGCCACCGACCCGCGTCCGACATCCCCCACTCTGCTGGTAGTCATCCTCTTTTGTGTGGCACAAACGGCGGATATGAAGATTTTCGACCCTCCGGGGGCCAGAGAGCGCATTAGCGTGGAACTCTATCGTATTTCAATGGATCTGTTCGAGCCAGAAGATCCAGACAACTATTTTCGGACATCTGGTATGTAAAGCAACCATCATGTGATAGTTGGATTGCTCATCAATCGCATGCAGATGGATGGCAGTTTCATCCTCATCTCGGCACCAGCTCCCCAAGCAATCCACACGCGACTCCAGGTCGGCAAGTGACAGAGACAACATTGCTCCCCAAGGCTCTTGGGTCAACGGATATAATCTTGGCAGTTGCCATTTTGACCTTGGTTATATCAGGAGGCCACTACAAGGCAGATTCTCTCAAATGGCGAGACAAACTCATCCGACTTGTTCGGGCCAGTGGTCTTAGCATGGAAGACCAAGATTTTGACTTGGGCCCTGTGTTTCGCGGTCTTTACAATGGCGATTCTACCTTTCGACGGTGGCTCATCTCGAAAGAGGAACGGCGACGTCTCTTCTGGCTGGTTTATTCCCTAGACCGCCATTTGGCTCTCTCTTTCAATCTCCGACTGAGCCTCCCGGACGGTACATTCTGCGTTCGCACCCCTTTACCTGAGCAACTGTGGCGATCTCTCGATACAGCCGACTTGAATTGCATCCCTGCATGCCCATTAGGACCGCCGACGCGCATCTCAGGAAGTGGATTTTTTGAATATTTCTTGCCCTTGGCCTCACTTCTAGGGCATATCATCGATTTGCACCACTACCGCAACCACCCCTCACTCGGCGAATTCATTCCCCATGATTCTATTCGGCGCGTTGAGGCCATGATTGATCAGCGGCAACAAGAGCTTGCCGAATTGGAGAACCAAGGTGATGCTTTATTCCCTGATGGAGTCAACCCCTTCGCTCCGCACGCCAATGGAGGTCCAGCCCACGGCGGAGAGACGTTTGCTTCTCCTACTGGCCTGACTTCAGGGTCAAAGTTGCCGCTGTTTAAGGCATATAGTACATATCTTCTTCACGTCTTCTATATCTTGCTCCACGGCAAATGGGATCCAATATCCATGATTGAGGACAAAGATGACTGGATCACCTCGGAGAGCTTTTTGACTTGCGCCTCTCACGCACTGAGTGCAACGGGCGTGGTCTCTCAGATCCTTACTCTGGATCCAGAAATGACGTTCATGCCGTATCTTTTTGGTATCTATCTGCTCCAAGGCAGTTTTATACTGCTTCTTTTTGTGGATCGAATGCCGGAACTTGGTCCCAATCGATCTGTGGAAGAGGTCTGCGAGACCATCATTCGCGCTCACGAAGTGAGCATCGTCACTTTGGATACCACATTCCAGGTATGTCGCTTGCATTGCACATAGTTTCAAGGCTAATCCCAATAGAAAAACTTCCGGAAGGTTTTCCGCTCGATGCTTTATGATGCCCAGCAGGCTGGTCCTCATGCATGGGACGAACATAAAGCGCGGCGCAGAGAGTTACTTTCACTATATCGGTGGACACCTCTTGCTCATGGGCTTGCCTATTAGTGAAATCCTGTTTGCAATACATGACCATGGACGATATAGGAATGAATAAAATACCTTGACTAATGAATCATGAATACAAACAGACGCTCATTTTAATTTCCCTCAGCAGCAGAGCAGGGTTCAACTCTGTTAATGCTTTTTCCCCTTTTCTACCCCCTCTTTTTCTTAAAATAAGACAAGCCCACCATACGGAATGCATAGATATAATAATGTCAAGCTTATTCATTACCTGGGGTGCTGGCATATTCATCCGAACTATTTCTCTACCCGCAATGATCGCCATCCGAAGCCGAGGTAGCCCGCTCTCCCATGCGCCAACCAAGAGATTGTAGTTAGCATTTACACAAGGCCCGACCGAGGGCCGATTCTAAAAGAATCATTCTTCCATATAATCAGCTACCCCTATGCGTAGCATTTTATTTCCAATCCTACCAAAAAATGCCACCGACTACACTCTCAATCGATATTCCCACCTCGTACGAAACGATCAGCCTCTCCCACATCAAACTCTCCCATCATCCAGCCGGCGCGCCAACCGCCACGCCCGTTCTAGTTGTGACCTTAAACCGGCCGGAGAAGTACAATGCATTCACTCCACAGATGGCTGATAGCCTGGAGCACGTTTTCCGAATGATTCATTTAGATCCTCGCGTCAAGGTAGCTGTTTTAACGGGCGCCGGCAAGATGTTCTGTGCTGGGTCGGATCTAGATATTGGATTTGGAGATGGGAAGGGGAGGGCTGTGGATTTTCGAGATATGTATGCTATGCATGGATATTTGATCTACTGTCAAGTCGTCTCCTGATTCTGATGTGGCTCTCTAGTGGTGGTCGAGTGGCTATAGCCATGCATCGATGCCAGAAGCCGACAATCGTCGCACTTCAAGGCTCTGCTGTCGGTGTTGGCATGACTATGACCCTGCCAGCTGCTGTGCGGTACATTTTCCACAAAACCCGGAGGAGTCGCAGATTTCAAAAGCTAACTTGCTATTCCTACATAGGATCTGCCACGAAGAGAGCAAATATGGCTTCGTGTTCACACGACGAGGACTGACGATTGAATCCTGCGCTTCGTATTTCCTCCCCCGCCTACTAGGATTCTCTCGCGCCATGTACCTCATCTCGACAGGCGGTGTTTTTCCTCCTTCCCCTCAGCATTTCGGGGACCTGTTTGCCGAGGTCCTACCAGAGGCCGCGCAGGTGCTGCCCCGGGCGCTGGCGCTTGCTCAGGACATGGCGGCGAATGTTAGTCCGTTGGCATCGACCATGAGTCGGGCCTTGATGTGGGAAGGCCCAGACTCGCCAGAAGCAGCACATCTGCTCGAGTCCCGGGTTTTTCACCATATGATCGGTCAGCAGTATGTTGTCTTGCTTGGTCGGGATTTTTAAGGGTTCTAGCTAACACGTTGCAGGGACTATAAGGAGGGTGTCACTTCGTTTTTGGAAAAACGTCCTCCGAGATTCAATACCAATGTTCACGATAATGGGCCGACCGACTATCCTTGGTGGCAGGAAGTACATATTGATCGTGAGCCTCGAGCTTCGAAGGAATCGTCCAAGTTGTAATGTCAATAATTATGCATGGAATTATATATAGTTCGCTCACGAGCCATATTAACGTAGTATGAATTGGTCGAGATAGATAGGACCGAATGAAGCCCTAAATCACAACGCCAACAGAAAATAAAATCGAACGAGTGACAAAAAGCCATTATCAAGGGTATCGCGTAAATATCTTGCATATTACAACGGGTACGGTCCATCTCCAAACATTCTCCAGTCTATGCGTATATCATTAGCTCTATGCCGCTCGCCGTCCGACCGTGTCCACCCGCACCCCAAGCTTCTCCAACTCGGCAGCATCCAGCAGTCCACGTCCATCGAAGACCCATCGCGGCTCGAGCATATTGTAGGCAATGCGGGTCCATTCCACTTGTTCCGTCACGCTGGGGCGGTCGCATGTGGTGCGACAGTCGATGCAGTTCGGGGGACAGGCGTCTTGAGGATTCAGTTGGTACGACACGCCGTCGTGTGTCCAGGTTTCGCGATCTAGGGTGGCTTCGTGACATAGTAGGCCATGTGCTGGTGCCCATGCTGGGCTCTTCTGTGGGAACAGAACAGACTGTGTTGTTGCGCGCTTCTTTTTCGGCCGGGTGTTGCGGAACTGATCGCAGTCTGTGACGACGAGGATCGCGTGGGCCTGCGAGCAAGCCAGATACGGGTCCGACGAGATCTTTACCACTTCATGGTGCACTGCCTCTGGAGCGACGGACATGATTTCGCGCAGGATATCCTCGGGACGGCAGTACGGATCAAAAATGGCAATCTCCGCTGGCCGCTCTTCTAGTAGCTGGCGGATGACATCGACTGCCAGCGACTCTCGTGTGTCGCCCGTGTTCTCTTTGAACGCAAACCCGAGAATAGCGAGTTTGCGGCCGACTAAATTGCTTTCAAAACGGTCGATAACTTTGCGGGAAAACCGGTCACGTTGTCGCTCGTTCATCGTGTTGACCTGTCGCCAATAGTGGGCTACATCGTCTAGGCCGAGAGACTCGGCCAGGTAGGCCAGACTAGCAATATCCTTTCGGAAGCATGAGCCTCCAAATCCCAGGCCGGCCTTGAGAAACTGAGGGCCGATCCGTGCATCCAGCCCGATAGCATACGCTACCTGGTCTACCTCGGCGCCGGTCTTCTCGCAAATGGCGCTGATCGAGTTGATGCTGCTGATCCGTTGTGCAAGCATGGCATTTGCGACTAGCTTGGCAAGCTCTGATGACCATGAGTTGGTCTGAAGAATCTTGGATGGTGGCACCCATCTCTCGTAAAGATTAGCGAGTGTGCGAGCAGCCCGACGGCCAGAGGGAGTCCCCGCTGATCCGATCAGCACACGATCTGGAGCTGTCAGGTTGTCAATGGCGCAACCTTCTGCGAGAAATTCAGGGTTTGAAAGAACTTCAAACGGCACTCCGGGGCGGTACGTGCTTAGCTATATAAGGTTAGGGACGTGAAGGGCTCAAATGGGGCTTCGTGGTTTAAACTAGTACCATCTTTCGCACCCTCTCCGCAGTGCCCCCAGGCACAGTACTCTTCTCCACGATGATAGCACCCGCCTTAGCATGGGCAGCCACCTCTCGCATGGCGGAGTCAAAGGCCGTCATGTTAGTAGCACAGCCGGCACCGACACCAAAAGTCTTAGTCGGGGTATTGACAGCCATGAAGACAATATCTGCGCGCGCAATAGCCGCAGTATCGCAGGTAAAGAACAGATTCCGACCGCGTCTCTGAATGGAAAGGGGATCGGTGAGCCCTTCGTCACCGGTCATGTCGGCGCCGTCTCGCACAATCCGAACAACCGTTTCCAGGCCCGACTCGTGCACTGGCAAATGCGGCGACTGCCATTGCTGGATTCGATGCGGATCACGATCTAGCACCTCAACTGTGATGGACGGGTGGTGCAGCGCCAGAACTGCTGCCGTTGGCCCACCTGTATGCAAGCAAAGTCAGTCCTCTTCCACGAGGCTTGTTGACTGACATACCAACATATCCCGCGCCCACAACACAGACGCTCTTCACATGTTCACTGGCAACGCTCTCTATGCTCCGCAAGTGCGCCAGCTGGGTCAGCACGGCCAGATCGTCCGATCCCGAAGGACGAAACAGCGGGCTGGAAGCCGGCGTCGTTGGACCGGTCGAGCAGAAGGAGCTCGCGTCGGACGCGCCTGACGACGACAAGACGTCCATCGGGATGTCATCGGCCATGATGATACTTGGAGGAGAGAAAGGGGGACGCGAGGTTGAAGAAATATAGTTGCTGGACAAGGGGACTTTCTTTTCCGGACTTGCAACCAACAAACACCTCGGTCACCCCCTCCTCCTTTCTGGCTCATGATCTCCTGATCAACTATCGCGACTTCAAACAAAGTGTGCTATCGCGCATCCATAACTCTCGCAGCGTTGGGGCACACCTTGGCAATGCGCGTTGCGACTGGTTGTCCTGCGGCGCTCGTCAGCGGGCGGTGGCACCACGTGCGTTGATCAGAGTTAGGGTTACGCTTCTTCCCTTGAATCAACACGAAAATGGACTACTTCGTTGGATAAGCTAGTCGCTGATCAGTTAAAACTACTACTGCCCCTCTCTCCCACTATGTCTCCCCATCATGGAATCATCGCCGCTGCTAGGCCAGGCTGACGCCGCCGAGGACAGCTTCCCCAGCATCCTCGAGGGCAAGCGCATCTTACTAGCCACCGAATCCTGGGGTCCTGTCAATGGAGTCAGTCGCACAACCCGCAGCCTGGTCGAGTACTTGCGCGCCCATGGCGTCGACCTGGTACTCGTTGCACCCCGGTTCCAGGGCTCTATCACGCTCCAAGAACAGCAGCACCCGCAGGACCGTCGTCTGCCCGGCTCGCCGCTACCTTATAACCCCGACCTGACGGTCGTCTACCCCTTCCATCTGCGCGAGGTCTACTCGCAACCCTCGGTACCTGACCTGATCTACCTTGCCAGTCCCGCCTCGCTGGGTTTCCAGTTGCTGCTGCATATCCGGCAGCTGCGCTCTCCGCCACCGGTCGTGCTGAACTTCCAAACGGATCTGTCTGCCTACTCGGAGATCTTGCTGCCGGCCCCGTTAGACCGTTTCGGTGTCTGGCTGTTAGCGACAGTGCAGGGGTATCTGTTTCGCACTGCAGCCGTGCGCACCATCTTCTATCCGTGCTCGGCCATCGGCCGATACCTCGAAAGTGCCGGCGCGCCTACCAATCGATTGGTCCAGCTGGGTCGCGGCGTTGACACCACCTTGTTCACGCCAGCGCAGTGCGATAAGGACTATCGGCGCGAGATCGCGCCAAACGGGGAAATCATTCTCGTCTGCGTCTGCCGCATCGCTCCGGAGAAAGGATTTGAATTCCTGGCGCATGTTGCACAACGGCTGGCGGCAGCCAAGGTGCCTTTCAAGTTGTTGATAGTGGGAGGCAACCGAAACCCAGCAGTGGAGAACAACGTCCAGCGATTGTTCGACGTCGTGCGCAGCCATGTTATCTTCACGGGCTTCTTGACCGGGGTTGCGCTAGCCCGCGCCTATGCCTCATCCGATGTCTTCTTGCACTGCTCGATCACCGAGACGTTTGGCCTGGTCGTGCTGGAAGCCATGGCCAGTGGGCTCCCGGTCATCGCACGAGATCAAGGCGGACCATCTGATATCATCCGTCACGGAAAGACTGGGTACCTGGTTCCCCCGAGTGACTTGGATCAATTTACTGCCTTGGTCCGAGAGGTCTCCCAGGATGGTTCGCGACGGGAAGCGCTAGCTGTGGCGGCACGGCAGTATGCTGACGATACAACGTGGGAGAAGATCAATCGGCGGGCGGCCTGGCAGATGGCCGCTGCTTTGAAGCATCACGATCCGGAGTCGGAGGGATTGCGGTCAAAGATGCCGCCGAGGATTATTGGCACGGCTATTGAACAAGCGCGTCTGATGTTCACCGTGGTAATCGTCTACTTCTTTTGGCTGATCGCCGTGGTGCCACTCATTGTACATGGCAATCGAATGGTGCCTCGGGCGTGGCAGGCGCTGTGCCTCCAGCTTCGCTGCTGTGCACGTAGAGCTCATAATTGAGAGTGACGCCGACGAAATACATAATTAAACGGAGGCGATATTCCACACGCATCTGAGTCTATAATGATAATGATCAATCAATCAATTCGTCAATATTGTATTCAATTATTACATACGAACATAACCCGCTGTGCAGTCTCTTGCAGACGGTCCCAGTAACCAAACGCCAATAAAAATCCCACACATGATGGCAGCATAACCACCTACAGCCTAACAGGCTCCCTATCCCCAGAAACAACATATCCCTCGCTGATCAAGGAATTCTTGCATGGCCGCCGAGCCACGAAATCCGCAAAATTGCTCAGCGTCGCTTCAGCAATCTCAGTGAGAGCCTCGGACGTAAAGAAAGCCTGATGGCCACAGAGGAGCACATTGTGAAACGTCATCAAGCGCATCAGGACATCATCTTCGATAATCTCACCGGAATGGTCGTTGTAGAAAAGCTCGCCTTCGGCCTCGTACACATCCAGCGCCAGCCCACCCAGGACACGCGTCTTGAGCGCCTGGATCACGGCCTCGGTGTTGATGAGCCCGCCGCGCGACGTATTGACCAGCATCGCGCCGGGCCGCATGCGCGCCAGCGTGCTCGCGTTGATGAGGTGCCGCGTGCTCTCGGTCAACGGACAGTGCAGACTGACGATGTGGCTCTCCTGCAGCAATGTATCCAGATCGACCATGGTTCCGTATTGCCGAAACTTGTCACTGTCGACGACGGGGTCATGCGCCACCAAACGACAGCCAAACCCGTGGAAGATGCGCGCCGTCGCCATGCCGATCCGGCCCAGGCCGACGATGCCAACGGTCTTGCCGTGCAGCGTCCTGCCGAGCAGGCCCTCGATGTTGAAGTTGCCCTCGCGCACGCGGTTGTAGGCGCGGTGCGTCTTGCGGTTCAGGGTCTGGGTCAGCGCGACGGCGAACTCGGCGACAGCCTCGGGCGAGTAGGCAGGCACGTTGGCGACGAAGAGGCCAAGGGCCTCGGCCGCCACGAGGTCAATGTGGTTGAAGCCCGCGCAGCGGAGGAGGATCGCTCGGATCCCATACCCGTGCAGAATGGTGAGCACGCGCGCGTCGAGCGTGTCGTTCACAAATGCGCACACGGCATCGCAGCCTTGAGCCAGTGATACCGTCTCCGACGAGAGGGCGAATGCATGGTGCTCAATGGTACAAAGCTCGGTGAACCGGGCTGCTCGGACTTCGTCGAGGTATTTGCGGTCGTAGGATTTGGCGCTGAAGACGGCTAGTTTCATGGTGCGCGGTTTCGTGTGAAGTCCATGTTGACCTCTGTCTAGCGCGGTGGACAGACCGGCATGCCGAAGTCATGACGCCATGAACCGGGGACCATGGAGTCGATGTCTGCAAGCGGTGATTGTTGTTGTTGATGTTGTCTCCGATCGGGTGTAACACGAGATCGGTTGCATAAAGGTTGCCATAAAGGTTGCTCCACGGGTCTTTCACGGGGTAGACTCCTTCCCGTGTGTCCACGAATGCAGCCGTATGTCCTCCGTCGTTTCAGTGACTCCAATCGCCTTGTCGCCAGCGACCTCTCTCCTCCAATCATGCACTGGGGCATCCCGGAGAAGACTCGGAGCACTACTTGCCGATCAACCTGAAACCGCCTTCTGGACGCCTTCCGTTTCGGGCTAGCCCCTGGCGTGGCGGCACCTTATCTCCCGCCAATCAGGATCCGGCTAGTATAGGGTTGATGACCCCTTTTTGTTCGGTGCTTCACCCGGATGTGAACGCTGCGCAACCCGTTGCGGGCTGTCCAGATTCACGACGACTGCCAGGCATCGAGGAGACATGCCCGACCCGAAGCATTGTATGTGTCACTCCCATTATTATTTAGGGCGCCACCTATCCCACGCCATCCACGCCACAGATAATCGGTCGGGCGCTGATTGGTCCCCGACCGGCACCATCGAACTCCAGATCACGGTTACTCGATCCCCTTACTTCCCGTCGAGTCTGCCAAGTGCGGGATCGAGGGAACAAAGGACGGGAGGACGACGTGATGACCCAGGAGTCCCTAGCTCCAGAACCAAAGTACACCATCCTCATCCTTCGTCCCTCCTGCGACCAACATACTGCAATCATGTCTCTCCGGCGTGGAGATGGTGCCCACCGACCAAGTGGACCGCCCGAAGAGGGCAACTCATCGTGCTCAACATGATGGTGTTCCACAGTCGTCGTCGTCGCCGTAGTAGTAGAATAATGTTGCAAAACCCCCAAGGGGAATAAAGAGCGGTCTAGATAGTCATGATTTCATCCGAGTCTGTGCTCACCGGAAGCCTCCCGCCGTTGCTGCATCCCCTTCTTCTGGCCCGGCACCACCACGCCGACAAAGTATTACTTCCTCTCCCTCCCGTCTTTCTTTCTTTTGCCCGCTCTTTCCTCATCATCGCCGTTCCTCCACTCCCCGACATCCTGTTTCCTTCGACATCCTGATATCATCGCTCCGCTCCCCTCATCATCGCGGGCGTTCTTTGCCTCCGATCAGCGTTCCATTTCCGCCCGTTCGGTTCAACGGCTCCACAGCCCCAACCACTCACCGCGCGCCTGGGCTCCTCCCATCGCCGCTCCACGGTCGAACGGTCTTTTCCCGGACCCGCCAGGTCGTGTGCATCTCCAAGCAGCGGTTTCCTATTATTCAACCCGGCTCCTCCGTGTTTTTGCCTCTCGAAACTATTACTTCATCATCCTCCCTGGGCGAGAGAGAATGCCCTTTGTCTAACCTCACTCTTTGGCCGACTCTTTCTCTCAACCTCTCCAATCTAATCCTCGTACCATGGCTACCTCGACCACCACCACCACCACTTCTCCTGCTGGAAACCAAATCTCCGTTTACGGCCAGCCGTCTCCCACCAGCTCCGCGACCACCACTCCCTCCAACAACTCTCCCACTTCTCCCCGTCTGACTACGGCGCAACTGCACCAGCTGCCGCTACAGTCCCGCCAGCTGCGCCCGCCCAAGGGCCCACTGTATGTCCCCGCGGCACTGCGCCCGACTGAGCGCCAGAAAAAGTCGTCGTCGTCGCCCATCACTCCGCCACGCAGCGTCCACGGCTCCCTGGACAGCTTGAACGAAACCGAGACCGCCGAACCCATCAGCCGCCGTTCCACCATGGAGAGCAAATCCAGCGGCATTAGCAAGGTCGCCGAGGATGAGTGGATGAAGCACGAGCACCTGGGCGAGGTGACCGGCCAGCCCACTCGGGAGCATTGGAAAGTAAGTCTTGCTTCCCTCCCCCGTCCCCCGGCATGCCTTTTATACCCGTAGGCAAATCGTATGGCGCATGGAGGTCGGAAATGTCGTGTGCAAGCTCGTCATTCTTCGGAATGGCGTGCTTGCCTCAACTGGCCCCTGTCCAACTGCTTTTACTTTCCCATTGCCAATGAAGTGTGAAGAACCAGGGCTAACATCCTCGTGCAGGCGGACTCGGCCTCCCCCAACTGTGATTCTCCCACTTGCCGTTCCTCCTTTGGTCTCTTTCTGCGCCGCCACCACTGCCGTCACTGCGGCCACGTCTTCTGCTCCTCACACACACCCCACCTCGTCCCGCTGGACCAAAAGGCCCGCTTCCACCCCGAGGGCGTTCCTTCGCGGGCCTGTGATCTCTGCTGGAGCGCATACCAGCGCTGGGAAGAGACACGCACCGACCGTCTGAGCAAGATCCAGAATTCCATCAATTCGCAACAGAATGGCTCCGAGCAGATCACTACCTCCAACGACCCTGAGGGCCAGACGGGCGCCCTGAATGCCCAGGCCAATCTCGGCCAGTCGGTCGAGGTCGCTGCCAGTGTGCCCCGCGACTGGAACTGGAGCACCTTTTGATCCGTGTGGACTCTTCTGTTCATTGCGGTCAGCGGGCCTGATTGTGACAACCGCATTTCTTCGATTCTTCTGTCTAGATTTCTTTCTTCTTCGATCTTTCCTCTTCTTCTCTTTTCATTTGCGACCATGGGTTTGGAGTTCTCGGCTTTTGCGCCACGGGCATAGCACTAATATCGGCATCCGTCGTCTACCTCGGCTGCATCTGGGTTCTTTTCTTGATTTTGGTTTCCTGTCTAGAGTGTTTACTTGTCTGTTCTTTTTGCTGCTCCGGTCCGTCGAGACCTTGTTTGTGTATTGTTTTCAGATACCCCGTCATTTCTACAGAGTGTGATTTTCTTCTCAGCTCGTCTGGTTCTGCCACGGATGAAATGGCGCGGGTTTGCCCCCGAGATGAATCCAGTTGATTTTGAATCTTTCTATTTTGATGATTCCTCTATCCATCGTAGCTGTCTGTATCTGTACACTGCATCTATCTATCTATCTATCTCCTCAATGGTGCCACCGCTAGCCGTCGAAACATACCCACATGCTCAATCCCTTCCTCATCCCACCGGCCCAGACTCTCATCCGTCACAAATCCCAGCCCAGCATACATCTTCTCCACATCCACCTGCGCATGCACCAACACCAGCCCTTTCCAAGGTGCCGGCGTCCCCTCTTCATCGCAACATGTACCCGCCAGCGCTCTCGCCGCCTCATCAATCTCCTTCGCATGGCTGGCCGCCCAGTCCAGCGCCGTTTGCACCAGTTGCCGCGCTAGTCCCCGGCCCCGGTATTCTGGCAGGACCGCCACACGGGTCAGCTTGATGCACGGTTCATGCGCCCAGTCGTAGGCAGGCAGGTTGGCCGCCTCATCGGGGTGTGTTAGCGCGGCATGCGGTGGCTGCGGCGGTGGCACCAGCCGAATCACGCCCACGGGTTCGGGCGTGGACGAGGGTCTCGATGCGCTCATTACCCAGTGCCAGCTGCGGATGTCATCGTCGTCGATCTCGGCCTCAGCGGAGCAGCGCTGCTCGTCTACGAAGACGCGCATACGCACTACCATTGCTTCTTCGAAGACTGGCGGGTTCGTGGTGGCTTGGCCTGGTGTGGAAAGTTGTAGTTTTGCGGAGGGGCCTGGAGGCGCTTCCATTGTTGTTGTGAATGTTGCCGACATCGTTGTGCGTGGTCCTTGTCTTCGCTGGTGGATGGGGAGAGGTGCAGAAAGGCCAATGTCGATATAGTGAGTGTTGAGGGGAGGGAGTGGGGTTGACGGTCTAGAGATTGATCATGGGTATGTATATATGGTAGATGTTGGCGTACGCGCAGGAGTTGTAGAAGGTGGCAGTGGTGGCGGCGAGAATGCGAGTTTCCCCAGATATATATCTCCCACCGATACAGCCATTGACTGTCGCCACAAGGAGAAATAGAAACTCTGCCCTCCTCATAAACGATCTGTATATCTCAAAATTCTATACAAAGATTTAAAAAGCTATTACCACTCCAAGGACACAGGGACAGCCCCGGGCTAATCTCCGAATCCACATTGCAAACAAGTCAAACACATACAACTTTTTCTCATCCTCGCCCGCGATCAGCTCACAATCCCTCACAGCATGCAATGTCCCTCTACTTCGACGCAGAGGCCATCCTGACCGCGCCGTCGGCCGGCGGCTCGTTCAAGTCGCGCATCTATAGCGCTCGCAATTTGCGCGCATCGCCCGCCCAGGTCTATGCGCTGATCACCGAGGCGTCGAAGTGGGATCGCGTGCTGGCCGAGGTGATTGAGCGTGCCGACATTCTGACCCTTGAGCGCAAGGTGAGTTTGTTTCGCGCCTGTGCAGCTGATCCCCCAAGATATATTCCGCTGACTGACCAAGTGAATAAATCTCTAGCTCTCTCCCCTGCTGGCTCTACTCCTCGTCCATGACTTCCTGCTATCAAAAAATGGAATCGCCGCGCCGGCGGCACACCCAATTCGCCAGGCTATTGAGCGCCACAAAACACGGCTAAAGGCGGAGTTTGTAAAGGCGCGTGTTCGTCGTGGATGCGCGTCTATCGAGGCATTGAAGACAGCCGTCTTGCGTGAGAAACGGCAGGCGGATGGCAAAGATGGCGACTTCGTCTATCCGCGCTGGGTGCGGATTAATAATATCTGCACTACACTGGAGGACCAGCTTAAGACCACCTTCGCTTCTTATGAACGCGTGCAGACGCTGGCTGCGCTGTCTCCCGATGATCCAGATAGTCGGACGCCGGAGCGACGTCTCTATATCGACCCCAACATCCCGGATCTGGTGGCCGTGCCGTATGGCATTGATTTTACCAATTCCGCGGCTTACAAGAATGGGGAGATCATCCTTCAGGACAAAGCGTCATGCTTCCCGGCCTACTTGTTGCTAGGTGACATGCGCACTGCGTGGAAGGGCGACCTGGTCGATGGATGTGCCGCGCCGGGGAATAAAACCACCCACATGGCGTCATTACTAGCCAAAGGCAAATCCAAGAAAGCCAAAGCCAAAGCCAAGAACCACATCTTCTCTATGGACGCGTCGACGCCTCGCTCCAAGACCCTGCAGAAGATGGTCGCGTTGGCCAAAGCTGACTCCACCGTCAGCGTGCTCCCGGGCCAGGACTTTTTGGCCCTCGACCCGGCTGATCCCCGATTCGAGCATGTGTCTGGCCTCCTGCTCGACCCTAGCTGTTCAGGGAGTGGGATCATCGGCCGAGATGATGTTCCTCAGCTTACGCTTCCCGCCGCGACGGTCTCCAAGACCACCACCACCACCACCAAGTCGGCGGCCAAAAAGCGGAAACGCCAGGCAGATGACGAGGCAGAGGAGCCTCACTCCAAGGATACGACTGTTGTAACCACCGCGTCCACGTCGACCACGGACGAGAACGACATCCCCGGAGGCGCCATTGACCACGAGCGACTCACCAAGCTGTCTAACCTCCAAGCACGGATCGTCGAGCATGCACTGAGCTTCCCCAACGCCACCCATGTAACGTACAGCACCTGTTCGATACATCTGATCGAAAATGAGGCCGTCGTGTCCCGCGTGCTCGCATCCGAGGTCGCCCAGCAGCGCGGCTGGCGCCTCTTAAGGCGGGATGAGCAGCCGGATGGATTGCGCCAGTGGAGGCTTCGTGGTGTGAGGCAGGAGAATGACCTCATCGCTGGTTCTTGTGATACGCCGACCCCGGCAGTTGATCTCTCGGATGAAGACTTGGAGTCGTGCCTACGCTGCTGGCCGGGCGATGTGGAGGGTTTGGGGGGTTTCTTTGTGGCTGGGTTTGTCCGTGATCCTTCTAGCGCGGAGGAACAGGTTGCTTTTACTGGCATAGCGAAGGGATCCGTTGATGATAATGATGATGATGATGATCATGACGACGACGAATGGGAGGGGTTCTCAGATTAGACGGAATTCTATCCATACATTACTGGCGCACTCGCATCTCATTGACATGTCATATCGTAGGTAGTCAGGCTAAATGGACTCAATAATTCTAAAGAAATGTCCGCGACCGATTCCTCGCACGCGCGCTGGTCAACGCATCTATCTTGACCGCGACCAAGACCACTTCGTATGCACCTGCAAGCCCAGGCTGCACTCTCACGCGCCACTGTCCCGTACGAACCGTCAGGCGCTCCGAAGGACTGTCGGATCGGGGCCGTTTTGCTGGTGGTGGTTCCGAGCCATCACCGGCGTTGAAATCGACTCCGAATGGTTGGACTTCTTGTTTCCCGTCGACTGTGAAATCCGTCTCGCGACCCCAATGAATCTGGATGGAGCTCTCACTCAACGAAGGTGGCCCATCAGACACATCCATCTTTTTGGCTACAACCTGCAACATGCTGGCAATGCGGGATTTGGCCAGACGCAAGAAGTCGGCACGCATGCTTTCTCGGTCAATCACGGTGGATTCATCCCCGATTTCTAGAAGCAGATCGGCGGGCGTTTCGTCGACAAACGGTCGGGCATACGTAACTGATCCCGCGGACGCGGAGGCAGCATCGCGGCTGAAGTGGATACCAGATGGACGCACATCGTCGAGACGGATCGCAATCTCGGATCGCTGGGTGAACGGATTGACCGTGATTTGATGCGGTATCAGTCTCTGTTCCAATCCCCGCAGGTGGAAATAACGACAGTCACGGAGGAGCTCTGCGCGATGTTCCTCGTTTCGAATATGAACTGGATATCCTCGCAAGAGATGTAGCAGCTCCGCAAACACGTCTGCTGACCGGTTCGGAACGGATGGAGGAACAATGGCCGGTGGCCGAAGGAGCCCCTTGCGGTCCAGGCCCGGGAACACCTCGGACGGGGAGGCAAAGAATATGGCAAATCCGAGAGTGAAGAAATTGGGCGCATCGCCGGGGCTGGAAAAGATATCCCGCGGGATCTCGAAGTGGCGTTCACCGATCTGGATGAAGATTTCGGACTCGAAGAGCTGGGACATTAACCGAGGTACTGTCGCGGATTAGTTTTGTACCGGGCTCTGGCATGGCGTCTTACAGTTGTAGAACTGTGCGTCTGCAAACAGCTTGACGAACTGCGCGCCATCGCGTGGCCGGACATGGTAGCCTGGAGTCCCGCATCAGCTCTCTGGTGTTTGCGCTTGATCTCAGAAGCGCTCGTGTACCCTGTAGATGCCGGGCGATCTCGTGGAACGTTGCGGGATCCCGATCGATGTAGAGTGTGCGAAGATTGGAGGCATTGCCCTGGGCTAATTGGTCCTCGAAGAATTGGGAGAAGTAGGAGGGAGCTGGGCCGTGGATCAGGTCAGTCGGTCATCATCGATCGGTCGGCAGTGGGGGGGGCCAGAGGAACACGAACCATCAGAGGCAATTGAGGCGCCGGACAAACGAAATAGATCGGAGCCGATCTGGATGGGGAAGACTTTTTCAGGCGGTAACGTGCACTTTGGGGTGGACGACATGATGAGGAAGGAAGTTGGTTGGTTGGGGTTGTTGGCCAGTCACACTGCTCGGAGTTTGACCCTTGCGCGTGTTCTCCCCTTTCTTCTCTACCTCCCCCAGCAAACCACTATACCCTCAATCCAACTCCATTTGAGTTGGCTATTCAGCAGTGATCACAATGGCTGTCCGTACTGATTCACATGGGGTTGGCGCTCGGCTCGTCTGAATCCCCGCACTTCCACAACAGCTCAGGGTCGATGGACTGTGAGTGGCCCCGGCTGTAAGACCCACCAGCTCATGCGATGATCGAGATGGTCCCCATCGCCAGCCGAGGCTGCTGCGTGGCCCCCTTCATCTGCCCAATGGTCTTCGTGACCAGTTGAGTTTGCGCCTGTGCAGATTACCGCCCCCCTCAACAACCACGAGTCTGTGGAGCCCAACTGGTCTCCGAAGTTGGATCTAATGCCCGTGGGGAACCTGTCACGTCCCCGGTTATATAGCGCCTCGCGCCGTCTCTGAGCCTAGGCGAGCCTCTCGATTTGCTTGACCCAACCCATCTGTTTCCTTTTCAACCCCCCCCCGGGCTCATGACAACTGTTGGTCCTCTCTGAGTTCCTTCATATCGACCGACCCCTGGCAAGTCATGGCGGACCAGGCTGTGGCCACCTACGTGCCGCTGGAGGTTCCCCTGCCACCGGCCCCTGCGACCTCGTACTTCTCGGAGGCGCAATGGGAGGTCCTATTCGGAATGGCTGATGCGATCATCCCGTCGATTCGCACCTCATCCACGTCCAAGTCGTCAAATGACAGAGTCATCTCGCAGGCGGAGTGGGACACAGCCGTATCAAAGCTGACGGCCACCATCCCGGGACCGGATGCGGCGAAGATTGCAGTTCAGTACCTGGAAGAGGATGTTTCGTCGAATCCTACTTTTCGTGCCTGCATCGAGCGCATCTTCGGCACATTTGTGCATGAGGAAGGGCGGGGTGGCATTGGACTAATCCTCAATGCGCTCCAGTAGGTGACCACCACCCTACAGTTACGATGGACTGCATGCTAACCGTGGCAACAGTACCCGTGCTGGGTCATTGCTCCTGACCGGATCGATCACACCGATCCACCAGCAGCCGATGGCCGTCCGCGAGAAGATCCTTCGTGGATGGGATGCATCGCGATTACCTCCTCTCCGGGCCGTCTATCGGGCCCTCACTGCGATCGTCAAGAAATCGTGGGTGATTGCCAGCCCGACGATTAACCCTGTGCTCGGGTTTCCACGTATCCCAGTTCATGGGAAGCCTGCCGACGGGTTCCCATTCGAGTTTCTGCATTTTCCTCCAGGAGACCAGCCAGAGACGATTGAGACCGATGTCGTGGTGGTGGGCAGCGGCTGTGGTGGCGCCGTTGCCGCGAAGAACTTGGCCGACGCAGGACATAAGGTGCTCGTGGTAGAGAAATCCTATTCATACTCTAGCAACTTCTTTCCCATGGCGCCCAACGAAGGGTTTGCGAGCATGTTTGAGGGCGGAGGCGCCGTCATCAGCGATGATGGGTCCATGGCCGTCCTGGCGGGCTCAACCTGGGGAGGTGGTGGCACAGTGAACTGGTCTGCATCGTTGCAGACGCAGGGATATGTCCGACAGGAGTGGGCTAATACCGGCTTGCCCTTCTTCACCTCACTCGAATTCCAGCGAAGCCTTGATCGGGTCTGCGATCGAATGGGGGTGAACACCAAGCATATCCATCACAACCGCCAGAACAATGTCATTCTAGAAGGCGCACGCAAACTGGGCTATGCGGCCAACACCGTCCCGCAGAACACGGGTAATGGCGAACACTACTGTGGTTACTGCACGATGGGTTGTCACTCGACGGGGAAGAAGGGCCCCACTGAAACATGGCTGGCTGATGCCTCGAAAGCCGGGGCGACCTTTGCCGAAGGCTTCTGCGCTGACAGGGTGCTCTTCACCCAGGTCGATGGCAAGCGAGTTGCGTCCGGGGTGGAAGGAACCTGGACCTCGCGTGATTTGTATTTGGGATTGAGCGGCGAGGGTGCCGTGCGACGCAAGGTGATCATTAAGGCTAAGAAGGTGGTCGTATCATGCGGTACATTGCAGAGCCCGCTGCTGCTGCTACGGAGCGGCCTGAAAAACGCCCAGATTGGCCGACATCTCCATCTCCATCCAGGTAAGTGTTCATGGCTCGAAGTATATGAAACCAGCGCTCATTCTTCTTCACAGTGGTCGGAGCTGGTGCAATTTTTGAGGAGGAGACTCGTCCGTGGGAGGGTGGTGCGTTGACGACTGTAGTGAACGAGTTTGAGGATATGGATGGTCATGGACACGGTGTGAAGATTGAATCGGTATCCATGCTGCCAGCCGTAGTGATTCCAATGTTCCCCTGGCGAGACGGGTTGGACTACAAGTTGTTCGCGGCGGGCATCAACCACAGCACCAGCTTCATCACCCTCACCAAAGACCGTGACGGTGGGCGTGTCTACCCAGACCCGGGGGATGGACGTGTCCGTGTCGATTACACCGTCTCCCCCTTTGACCGCAGACACATCGTGGAGGCACTGATCGCTTGTGCCAAAATTGCATACATCTCAGGCGCCAAGGAATTCCACACAACCTACCGTGACCTCCCGCCGTTCATCCGCCCCCACGCCTCCGACCCAGAGGCCCCCGAGGGTACCAATGATGCTGCCCTGCAGAGCTGGATTGCTGAGCTCCGACGCAAGTCGCCTTTGAACCCGGAGCGGGGCATGTTCGCCAGCGCTCACCAGATGGGCACCTGTCGTATGGGCACGTCGCCCAAGTCGAGTGTCGTGGACCCGGATTGCCAGGTCTGGGAAACCGAGGGCCTCTACGTGGTGGATGCGTCTGTCTTCCCAAGCGCCAGTGGCGTGAACCCGATGGTCACCAACATGGCGATTGCGGACTGGGCCAGCCGGAACATCGCACGGGTTCTGGGGAAATCGCGGACCGAAGGGAATGTGATGGCTCGGCTGTGAGTAGAGGATTTCTCGAGCGATTATCTTTGTCCTGACCATATTGCGCCACGTCGGTGCTGCCTGTCTATAATATCGCTAGTCTGGTCATACGAAGCAAGCCTTTTCTATTTTTGTGAGAATGAATGCAACAGCATTTCTCGAGTCATTCGCGCGCAAGATCTATCTCTATTCGATCGGTTTATCCATCTAACCCTCGTAAGGCTGACGCTTCTCAATGAAGTTCTTCTCGCCAAAGGCCTCCTTGACGCCATCAGCGGCAAGGACACGCTCATACCATGCCACGACAAGCGGGCACTTGGCGCGCATCTCGGCATCGATGGCCAAAGAGAAGCCCCAGACCAGCGAAGAAGCGACCGTGATATCGGCCATGCTAATCTTACCCTCACCGGCCAACCACGTCCGGCCCTTGAGGTGGGTCTCCAGGAAGGCAAGCGAGCGCTCAATGCGCTGCAGGGCATTGGTCTCGGTAGCTTCGTCGTAGGGCTTCAGCTTGATCCGCCACAGCGCCAGCTGCGTCACCACGTCCAGCACCTCGCCCTGCGCAAAGCAGATCCACTGTCGGATCGTGGCCTTCTCGGCGGGTGTGTTGCCCATCAGCTGGCCCGCTGCCGGGCCGCTCAGGGCGATAAACTCCGCCATGGCGTCCGACTCGAATAGGTTCGTGCCGTCAGCGCCTTCGAAGGTCGGGACTTTGCCGAAGGGGAACTTGGCGAGAAAGTCGTCGGTGCGGTTGGTCTTGCCCATTGCGAACTCTGGGACGGAGATATCCAGGCCATTGAGGTTGGCCGCCGCCTGGGCCTGTGGGGGTGGGGATTGTAAGCAGCCATTGAGGAAGAGGATAGGGGGATAACATACCTTCATGACCCGGGGGCTAGGCGAGTAGGAGTAGATCGTGCCGAATGGTGCCATTGTGTCTGGGGATGGTGAGTGCAGGGGTGGTTGGTTGGTTCCTGGATCAGCCCTCTAGGGAAGTATATACTTGCCCAGCATTATTGTGATTTTCCCTCATTTCGCATTTGTCATGGCCAGGTGGGGATGGAAGCGAATGGAACGTCGATTGCTAATCGGATCAAGTAACTCCCTAACCATTATTATGCACTGTTATGAAAATCCTTCAAGATGATGCTCGAGTCACTTCGCGGCTGAAGGGCCAATTAAAGGCTGCCGCAAGCCACCCCCGCGGCTGCTGATGTGGATGGGGTGACGCACATACTCACCCTTGCCATGATTATTCCTCCTTGATGTCCAACTCGCATCTCCTCCGCCTCCCGCCCGAGCTGCACCAGCTCATCCTCGAGCATCTCCCGGTCCCCGATATCCTTCAGCTGCGTCTGACCTGCACGTATTTCTACGAGCTTGCCCCGCCGCCATCCCACGCCGACCTGCTCGAAGTCGAGTCAACCGAGTGGGGCCGCCGCCGCGATGTCTACACCTGTCGCTACTGCCTGCGTCTACGACCATCGTCTCGCTTCGCAGACCGTATGCTGCGCCGCCGGCGAAGCCGAGGGGCTCGCGACGGCGATAAACGCTTTTGCATCGAGTGCGGATTGAAGCCGCGCGGCGATGACGGCACGGCGCGGTATGGCCCCGGGGCTCAGATTACGGTCCAGGGACACTTCTTTGTTTTCTGTCTGGTCTGCCGTCAGTTCAAGCGGGGCGCGCGCGACAGTCACGGGAGGAATACTTCCGAGTGTGCATCGTGTTGGGGGCAACACGGCTGGCAGTGGGGGGAGGGGCGCAGTGGCCTGATCGAGGCGGGCGATGTCCCCCATTGACGGCCCTTGATCATCGAACATGGACGTACAGGGTCTATATATCGACAATTTTGCATACAAATGCGCGATCGCACCATGCACCCGAACTCGGGACCAAATGACAGCTTGTGTCACCCGAGAACTCTGCATAACCACGCACGAGTATGGCCCGTATCCTCTGCGAACATGCTCTCCTAGAGATCTTCGCCGTCACTCGTTCCATCCTTCGGGGTGTATCCAATCGCTCTGGATCACCGATGGAAAGACTCGATAGTGATGAACGGTGGCTTGCCAGTCCTACACTCGGCTAGCATGTGTTGATGGACATTGATTGCGGCGAACTGGGCCATGTACATGGCACGGCCTCAGCGCATGATTCCGGACCAGGCTGCTAGGTCTCCGACGGCGTAATGGTGCTCCGCGTTGGGGATGTTTCCCGAGCATTGGAGATGATCCACCGGTAATAAGGCATCTTTTCCAAAGTCGCAGCGATCGCCAGGTGCGATCTAATCTGATGGTAGAAACAAAACTACATAATGTGGTATTGCTAGTGTTATTGACGCCAATGCCAAGTCGCTTAATGAAAATGAAAACTGATATCGCTTTCTTCCATGGACCCACTTGTCCGCTAGTTAGAGAGGTGAACTGCGAAGAAATAGAATGGCCCGGGCGAATAAGTTCTCGGGGGGTGATTGCATGACAGATCTATATTATATTTTGGAACAGCAATTCCTCGGCGGCATTGACTCGACAGCCAAGACACCGGTCAAATCCTACCGGCCTCGCTGAGCCAACACCGCCGCCGCGGCCTGTCTCAAATCCACCTTACGCACTTTTCCGCTGCCGGTCACTGGAACTGTGCTCGATACGCCCTCCTCGCCAAACACAAATACATACTGTGGCGCCTTGTGCCGGCCGAGCGTCTCGCGGGTCCAGGCGCGAAGATCCTCGTCCGATGGACGTGGGCCATCACCCGCCGCCAGTGCGATGAACGCGCCCACCACCTCGCCATATTTCTGGTCCGGGATCCCAATGACGGACGCGAGCTCGATCTGTGGGTGCGCCGTGAGCCGTTCTTCGATTTCGAGGGGGTAGATGTTTTCGCCGCCTGGTGGTATGTTACGCATTAGCGATATTGGTCTTGTTGAATAACTAGTAAGTGGCGGTCTGGACGCACCTCTGATGATGATATCTTTGAATCGCCCAGTGATGGTACAATAGCCCTGCTCGTTGAATGAGGCCTCGTCGCCCGTCTTCAGCCAAGTGACCCCGTCGGCATCGGTCACAAGCGTCTCCACCGTCTTCTCGGGGTTATGCCAGTATCCCTTGGTGAGCTGGTAGCCGGCAATGCAGAGCTCTCCTCTTTGGCCAACGGGCACGAGATTGCCTTGTGTATCGATAATTTTGGCGCGTGCATGCGGCAACACCTTGCCGACAGTGGTGAGTCGCGTATGGATGCTGTCGGTAGTGAAGGCGTTGAAGCAGGTAGGAGAAGCTTCCGTCAGTCCTGGCGGTGGGGTTTTAGCCAAACTTGTCGATCAGATCCAAAGTGTAGTGTCGACCATACCGTAGCTGCTGGTGTATTCACTCATATTCAATTCCCCAAGCAGCCGTTTCATGAGTGGGCGGGGCACTGGAGCACCGGCAATGATTCCTGTGCGGAGGTTGGATGTATCGAATTGAGGAGGCTTGGGAATACTCAGGATCGCCTCAAACATTGTGGGCACACCGTGCAGAGCGGTACACTTCTCGTCCGAGATGGCATGCAGCACCGCCTGCGGGTCAAAGGTCTCACTGGGGAAGACAATCTTTGACCCATGCGTCACAACTGCCAACATGCCTAGGACCAGCCCGAAGCAGTGGAAAAGCGGCGGTGGACAGCAGAGAATATCAAAAGAGGTGAGGTCCATGCGATCACCGATGAATCGGGAGTTGTTCACAAGGTTGCTAGCAGGAAAGCAGAGCGCGGTCAGCCATAGCTTTGCGGGGAGGCGAGACTCGGGCACACTTACTGGTGTGTCAACATGGCGGCCTTGGGGTTACCGGTCGAACCGCTGGTGAATTGCAGATTGCACACATCGCCTGACCGCAGTTCAGACTCTCGGTCCTGCAGCACATGAGCGGCCTGTGATAAACCGCGCTGAATGACCGAGTCATAGGTGCCGAAGTCGTTGTACTCGCCACGGAGGATGATGGTCTCCTCCAGTGCCTTGGAGGTTGCATTCTGTTTGGGGCGGGGACCCAGTTCCGTGAGAACCTCTTCCAGATTATGACGCCCAATGCGAGGCGTCATGAATAACAAACGGCATTCGGAGTGATTGAGCGCATAGTAGAGCTCCGACGGGGTGTAGGTGTTGTTGAGCACGACCAGGATGGCCCCAACGCGAGCAGCAGCAAAGAACACGGAGATGTACTGCTCACAATTACCAGCCATGATGCCAATCCGGTCGCCCTTTTGGATGCCCATGGCCAGCAGCCCGCGCGCCAGGCGGTCTGCTTCATCCTTCAGATCGCGGTATGTCCACCTTGCGCCGGTCCAGGGGAAAACCAGACATTCGTAGTCGCCATACCGCAGTGCCTGCAGCGTCAGTAGCTCTCCAAGTGTGATATCCAGCAACTCCGGCTGGGTCGGACCTTCGACAATCGAGAGCTGCACTGGCCCTTTCGCTGGTTGGACATGCGAAAGCGTCTGTTGCAACCTTTGCACACTGGCCCGGGGGATCGCCATGTCTTTCCAAGGGGGCAAAAGAGGTAGATGATTGGTTTCGGAAGAGCAAATGTTTGGGCGCAGAGTGGGTTTATAGCTGGACCGCCGGAGTTTTGGACTCCATTTCCATTATTCGATCAGATAAGGCGAGAGATCCCGAAAGGGCCCACTGGGTGTGGTAATGGTAATTCACATCCTCTAGGCGAGACTCCACTTCTTCATTGGCGTGTGCAGCCAAGAATTTTTTTTCCTGTTTATTATCCGTGCGAATCCGAGTTACGTGTGACAGCTGACGATCGAGCATAATGATTGCCTACCTGGTGGCTATGTTTTGATGATCTGCTGCTCTAGAAGGAGGCATCATTCCAGTTGACTCGACAGCATCCAAACCCCAGATAGTGAGCCTGTTTGACCAGACTGACGGCGATCGTCTGATGAACTTTCCTGTTGTGGGTGTAAGCCCCCAAGCTGCGTTGTGCCGCTATGTATGGCTGTGGGTTCCTTCAGGCTCCACCAATGCCCGCCACTTATCCGATCAGATAACTGCCTCGGGAACCTCTAAGGTTCTGGAACCTGACACGAGCAAATTTTGGCAGCCTCCCGAACTCCGAATAATGCCGGTCTCGCAACCTGCAGTGTCGACATTGGCCAAGTGGGCCACGGCCGTCTACCCGGATCGTCTGTCTGGAGTCGTCTCTGCTGTAACTCACCCTATGTGGTTGCCCTAGCTGCACTGGGTTCTGCCAATAGTTCTAAACCCTCTTGGGCCCCAGAATCCGAATCAACACTGCCCCGCCTTTAAAGAATTCAGATTGATCCGTGGATTGTTCGAGCGGAGATGCTTTGGGTGCACCTATCAATAAATGATCTAGGTACTCAGGTTGTAGGCATTCACAAGATATCTAGAGCTTGGAAGATTTATCGGTCGCAACGGCGGGCAAATTCCTCTTTTGGACTTTTCCGCTTGGAGTCCGTGGTATGGCCTCAACGAAATAAACTTCTCCTGTTAGCCACTTATGACGAGCGAATCGCTGTTTGATAAAGTCCTTCTTCCTTCAATTTCTTGCTCTTTCGCACCACAAATGCTCGCGGGTACTCCTGTCCTTGCCTGGGGCACCGAGATATTAGCCAATGCAACCAAAATCGCAGAACAATAATTGGTACTCACATCTTCACTCCAACTACTGCAGCATCTTCAATGTCAGGGTGGGTTATAAGTGCTAATTGCAATTCCGCGGGGGCTACTTGAAGACCTTTGACCTTGATAAGTTCCTTCAGATCTGTTAGCCCCGTGTCCACCCATCTCTGCCTTACTTGCTCACCTTGAGTCGATCAAGAATATATATGCATCCTCGACCATCGATGTATGCTAGGTCTCCAGTTCGGATCCATCGATGGCCATCGCTCTCAACAACAGTTTCTTTGGTAGCCTTCTCGTTCTGCCAGTAGCCTTTCATCATCTGTGGCCCTGTCACCCAAAGTTCCCCAGTGGTTGGTGAGTGTGACACGCTGGAGCCTTCATCCTCTCCAACGGGAACATTGCCCTTTGATCTCTTCCAGGCATGCATGCAACTACCCCTCTCACCACCTCCAGCCATTGTGTTTGTCAACTTGGAGATCTGTCGCCATATTAGGGAGGTAGTTGTCCCGCTTGTAGGAGTCTAGGACTAGAGAAAAAATAACGAAGTAGTTGTCCTTCCATTTCGTATCTGTGTCGATGCGGGCAGCCCGACTAAAACCAGAGATTTTGCTAGGTGTCATTAGTGAGAGATTGTAAGGGATAGAGTAGAATTAGCTTACACATCACCTGTGTCCTTGTTGAGTATGATCTTTGAAGGGGACGTCAAGATCGGCTGGTATCCAGAACTCAGAACTTCCCGAAATTCAGTTAGCCTTAAATACATAGTTACAATCGATGTATTCAGTAACGAACTTGTAGGCTTTTTTGAAGTTGTTACGGATGATTTTCCGCTTGGTGTAGGGAAGGCTCCAGAAATACTTGCTATCTAGTGACTCTCCTCGGACCTTTTCCCATACAAGGAAGATGATATATCCGCCGGGGACAAGGTCGTCTGCGTCTTGCGTACCGATTTGATATCCAAAGAGTTTAGGGGTAGCAGTGCACCCTTTCTCTGTGAGGCGCTTAAAGGCCTCGAGCTCCACATGCTTTCGTGGCCCACGAGTCTGAGACTGACGGACACTTTGATCGTCAAGGCGAGTACCATCCAGAGGAATCTGTTTGTAGATACGCATGTAGGCAAGCTTGTTCTCGTTGCCGGCACCTGCAAGGCAACAAGAATATTTTCCAGCGGTGAATGCGGCGCCCATGCCATCGACGAAATCAGCTGGGCTAATCGGGCTTGGGTGCTCACTCAGCTTTTCGAGGATGATCCAGTCCCGTTCGGGGATAGGAGCAGACTCCGGAGGCTTCGTGCTGGGGTGTATTGATCTTTTTGCCGTTCATCTTGAGAAGGAATTCCATTTCGGCCATGGTGAGCGTGCAAGGGGGAGATGGTGAGGAGTGGTGAAAAAAGTTGGATGAAGATAAAGGTAGAAGACGATGAGGACGTAAATGTAACCCCACCCACAAGAAGGGTATGATTGGTGAAGATCTGATCAGACCACCCACAGGTCCAGAATGGCCTCTAGGGGCGAGGCCAGAGCGGAATGGGTGATTTAAGAAATACGCAGCTAAGAGCCGTATTCAGAACAGACTGTCTGCGGTTGTCGTACTCAAAATTGATGGTAGTGCTCCAGAAATTGAATGATGGATTGACTCGTAAGGACAATAATGATGACAATGCTATTCTTACTGCCGGGTCCCACACCTGCAGATGAAGGCGGAGAGCGGCACGGTGGCCTCAGGACCCAGCGGGCTCGTACAACGACAAGGTCAAGTGATCTGGAGTTTAAAAAAACGCAGGGGTGTTACGGATAGTAATTTGTTAATAGCCGTTGTAGGCGAGTTATTCTACATAAAGTCTACGGTTGATTTGGGGTGGGGGGAAGACCCTTAAAGTACTAAGAAAATGACTCTGGAAGGGCCTATACCTAAAAAGGACGGTTCTATTTTTGTGTTGAGCGGCTATGAGCAGATCAGAGATAGAAAGAACACACCTCACCTCTAATAGTCTGCTCTGAGCACTCTGAGCGAAGGCTGAGCAGATCACTGAACAGCCCTGAACGCTCTCGAAGCGCTCAGAGAGCACATAGTTCAATCGTATCACATGATATGTGAATAACTAAGATCCTAGTAAAAAGGACGTCGAAAATGGCGTCGAAGGTAGCCATTTTCGGCGTCCGACTTACCGTCACCTAGTGTTGTGGAGTAATATTGGTGACGGTAACACTACCTCGAACGATTGAAGATGAATTATCCTATCATCGACATGTATTGAACGCGTAGGTGACGAATCGGAGATAGGGTTCTATGGTTCTGTGTTCGTAGTAATTCGGGGAGACAGGTACTGGCGGAAAGTCCATGGAACGGAACCCAAGGAGGATTGGCCGAGGAATGTGTTGGAGCTAGTCCAAATCCGGTTGGAATGCAACCTTAATAACTCGATTGCCACTAGCGCTAGAAGGAGACCCGGTCTAGCTAAAATGTTAATTCAGTATATTTCCGTGAGAGAGAGAATTTAAATCCATGTAATGTTTTTAAATTAATAAGTTTAACGTGATGATAAGTTAAGATTACAACCCCGTTAAACCATAACCCATAACTAGCCCCAACTCTAGGAAAGCCAGCCAGTTACCAACGCCTTTCACGGCCCCAGCCCCCTGTGATGGACTCGCGGCCTTCGTCCGCCCGTCAGTAGATGACGAGCCGTCATCTGCAGTTGCAGAACTGGAACCTGTGGCAGTCGCCTCGGGGGGTTGGCGCCAGGGGTGGTCCAAGTTGTTGCCACGGACGTTTGCCCCTTGTTGTATGCGTTATCGGTCGCGCAAACCTGTTCACTAAGTAGTTCGGCGGCGAAATGGTCTGGATCATCGGGACAATCTTCGTAGCAGCTTTTCGGTTATGTTAGCATTGCAGTTGTACAGGGTTAGGTCGCGGTTGAGGAATGTGTGTGGAATGTGAAGCAGAAGGTATTCTCACTTAGCAAGATTTGCACTGCAAGTACATTTGCAATTCCAATCATCAGGGCCGCATATATCGAGCTGCGATCTCATAGTCGCGACGCATTGGTTTACTAGCCTATTGCTCGTAAGAAAACAATGTTCACTGGAGAAATTCAAAGAAACTAGAAGCGTACTGTGGATTAGCGCAATTTGTGTTGCCGCTTGTACTCAATGCCGGCGCCGCTGTAATAGTTGCATCTTGAGCGGAGATGAGAGTCGCCGATGCAAAGAGCAAGAGAGGAATATTGGTGGTAAGGTAACGCATTTAATTAACGAAGAAAACCCGATGCAAGAATTAAGATAAAACGTGAAGAATAACCGTCGTAATAGGTAATATCGACCAAATCCCAAAAAATTAGAGCTTGGAGAGGAAAGAAAAGCAAGAATATATATCAGATTTGTAAAAGCCGGAACTTGAATGTTACATTCATTTTGAAGATACAATGGAACCCTCAGTTCACACGGTTTACCTAAAAGGTGAACCGAGTCCACTCCCGACACCACGTTGACAGAAGCGGGCTTTGGGGAGAGAAGCTAAGTCAGCCACGATGGAGATCCGTCAAAACCACGAAATATGCCTAAGTCCGGTGTCTCTACCAACAGCCTCTGGTGGATCAGGAAAATAATAATCCGGCTCCCAGTGGAACAGGTTAACGTACATTAATGGTGACTGAACTTCTGCCAAAAAGGCGCAGAAATAGCGCTAAGAATAACCATTTCCGGCGTCCAATTCACCGTTACCTAGCTTTCAGGTGTAGTAACAGTAACCCCATCTACGATAAGTAGTATTCTATGTAATTAGGATGGACTTATTTACACCACTCGTCGCGCTTTAGTATCCCTTTTTGCAATATTTAGATACTCTATTTAGCTAATTCTTATAGGTAGTCATTATAATAAATACCCGCTGATCCTAGTCCCAATGGCATGCGTGACTGCCGTCAGAACTATGGTTTACTCTCGCAAGCTGGATTTGCTCCACGACCGGATATTAGTAGGGCCGTAGATGAAAACCGCTTTGGTACTGGGAGCCTTGCTGCTGTCACACACCCAAGCAAGGTCATGGCCGATGGGACGGGAATGAGGCACCTTACTGATAATACAAAAATAACTACGGAAACACGAAGCGCTTTGCTGCTTCATTGAACCAAATACAATATCCAGTTTACGACGAACAAACAAGTTGGTAATTGCATATCTATGATCATTAAGTCGGAGTTCAATCGATTCTGGATAACTACTCATCGTGCTGTTTGTGGTTGGCACTCTGGAAATGTCCCATTATGCCCGGAGAGTTCCACGGTTTCGAGATCCACTGATATTTGAACACTTTTCAATATATGATTTCCGCCTGGAAGGTCGCTTGAGCATGGACGTGGCCCAGAAGATCTCAACGATGGCATGATTTTGTGAGTGCGAGAACGGGAGCTGCTGGGACTTTTCGATTTCGATGCATAGTCTGTGTAGGCAAAGCCATTCTCATCGATATAAGCTGCAATAAATGGCTTCATCAGAGGCGCAATCAGAACCACTACACCAAGTGCCACATGGAGCTCCGAAGTGATCGTTGCAAAACTCCCTACGAAGGTCGGGTCCGGCGAATTGATTTGCCGATGGATATAATGGAGATGAACAGCAGCAATTGGGATGAGTCTATGGAGATGTATAGAGCGTATCAGATAGTGAACACCAACACACCAAAAGTGAATGATGCTGGGGTACGTACAGGACACGGCAGCTTAGAACCAACAGAACAGTCGCCTTCTTGTTGAGAGTTGTTTGGAGGTAAGGGACCACTTTCATAGGATACAATACCAGAACTGCGTCCAGAATTATGTCTAGCGCTGCGGTTGCCTGCCACCGGGGGAACTGAAGATATGTTAGTATATCGATATTTTCTGGCTTGAGAATATCAATGCTAACCAGAGTCGGGCACTCCTGGTTGATATCCTGCCACGGATGAGAGCTACAGCGGATAGCGAGCATGATAATCGCGATCAGCGCCCACAGACCCACGGTCCCAAGTATCCCGTGGATTATCCATTGGGAGCTCCGGGTTGTGATAGTCCGATAAAACAACGAGGTAGAGACTTTGGACAACGCGAGAGTCGCAACATAGAGAATATCTGCGCTATACACAGCCTAACTTGTAGACATGGTTAGTATATGTAACTCGTTGGCGGCACTGGCACTGACTTTGTCCATGTGACTCCGGTGTCCTGTTGCAATGAGCGATGCCTTTTTGCCCCATCCAAAATGAATTTGGGCAAAGACGACGGAAATTTGAGTCAAAGCAAACACCTAAATCCATCAGAAGTCACTTTTGTGCTCAATGAAGGACGGTCTGCAGAAAAATACCACAGTGAATGCAAAAGCCCAGTCCATCTGTCGGGCTCTTCGGCAGTAGGCCGAGTATACCCGGATGCCCAATGACCCAAGCACCATAAAAAGTGCAAAAGAGGTGATAACCATAATCACCCCATTGTGATTGTCATCGCTGTCCACCGTCAGCGGGGGTGAAAGTTCCCGTGGCAGTGTTCTCTGCAGTAGCTCCATGGCGGACAGGGGACGTGCTTTCTTGAGTTCCTTCAGCTGGGCCTGGGAACGGCTAAGGGATATATTCGGACACATTCGACCGTCTCAGAATTTCTCGATGATTTCGGTGACCGGACAGGGAACGGACCCTAATACCAGAGCGCGGAGGGTCATGCACTCCTAGGCCGAGTGAGAACTGACAATCCGTTATCGTTTCAGAGCTCCGTTACGAGGCCGGGATCGATGGTACACAATAGTGCCCAAAATCGCCCGGTGCGGCGTCAGATGAGTTCATGATCTTGGAGTAAACCACGTTCTCCCACTTACCTCTTCATCTCTGTGGACCACAAGACAGAATAGGACTGTCACCAGTTCCAGAGTTCTCGAACCACAAAGTACACCAGGTTTTTATCTGCAGGTGTTCGGTGAAAAGCCGTGCTGCTTTCAACAGTACTGATAAAATCGTGAACGCCAATGGCTGACCATGATATCAAGTGGACATTTGATCTGATCAGCACTGGTTCTGCCGTGTTGTTGCAATTTGGTCTCATCGACGGGCGCAATCGTTCGGAGGGTTTGCACTTGGAGGTGTCACCCTGGCTTGCCCCATGGCAACCAATAGTGCCTGTGGTAGCGGTACACCATGTTACGACTCAGCTTGGATGTCAGGCGCTTTCTAGAAAGAAAATTGCAAACAAAGCCTGCAGGGGATGCGGGAAGTGTTTCCGAACTTTCGTCGCTCAGTCCTACCAAGGCTACCGGCTGTAATCCAGATCGTTCTCGCGTCCAAGCGGGAAGACGCAGAAGGAGACAGGGATGTGGCCTATGCAACATCATGATCTAAACTGCTCTCCAAACCTACGAAAGATCAAACAGAAATTGAAGTTTGCCCGCCGAGCCCAGTCCAGACAGTGATTTTAAGGACGAAAGTGAAGAATTTGGAATGCGCTATTACAGCCACTTCCGTCCCTAGCCAAATGAAGACCCGTTATCTCTCCCATATTTGTTAAGCAGATATCACTTTTAGCTTCAGTGGTATTGAATTTCTCTCAATGGCAGCCGACAAGAGCCATTGCTGTCCCACAAAATGCTCGCCGACGAAGCCGAGATTGGTCGAGACCCGCTTTCTGGTGAACGCTCCGCCTCAGATTGATGCAAGTGACGTGCCTTGCGGTTTCAAGTGCATTATAGCCGCAGAATTTCCTGTTAGGAGTCAGCCCTTCAAGATATAAACCACCGCTGTAAATTTCAAAAAACACATGGAAGGCAAAAGTTTCCTTAAACTACGCGTCAGACAGGAATTCATCTGCTGTACAACTATTTCGACGCTGCACTTAATCGAAGCGTCCCGGGCGGAGGGAGGCTGCAGTACGGTTCAAACGATCGACTGGTGCATTCTTACATGGGGCATTTGTGTTGACCGAGTTTTGCTCCCCGTCTCGCCCACCACTTTGCTATTCCGTATTGCTTTTTTCTCATCCACCCTTCGGGCTCAACACGCTAAAATTTGCCTTCCCCTTTTGCCGTGCATCCGATCCCATTGTGAGCTTCTCTACATGGCTTCATCTTCCGGGTCAGCGTCTGGCATGCCTCGGACTATCAGGGACCTCGTTGCAGGGTTTCAAATAAAAAATACTGAAAGCCCTAGCAAAAATGTGCCCGAGATGGATGGCACGCCGGAAGATCAAATTGACATGCATCGAATGGGGAAGATTCAGGAATTTAAGGTACAAGTTTGCGTTGGTGCGATCAATTTCAAGAGTTAACGACTGCCTCAGCGCAACTTTCGCCCACTTGCGGCCCTGAGCTTTTCGGCCTGTTCTTCAAGCCACTTGGGAATTCATTCTCATGTAAGTGAAAATAGTGGAATAAAAATGACGAAGTCACAGATTTGCTGCCTATGCTGATCAATCCCAGATCTAATTCACAGGGTCTGCTGAATGGGGGCCTTGCTGGCCTCTTTTGGTCATACGTGTGGACGTTTATAGGGTTTGGCTTCATCATAGTCTCTTTGGCAGAGATGGCTTCCATGTAATCCCTCCAATGATTTTTATACCTTTCACCGAGGTTATAGTCTAACATAACAGCGCGCCTACATCGGGAGGACAATATCACTGGGTATCGGAGTTTGCGTCTCCCCGCTATCAGAGGTTTCTTAGTTATACGACAGGTTCGGTTTTTATATCTCGCCTTCTCTGAAACGCTACTGAGACATTTTTTGATCTAGGATGGATGTCCGTTCTAGCTTGGCAGGCAGGTGCCGCGTCTGGGTCATTTCTAACGGGGACCATTATCCAAGGTCTGCTTAGCATTCGAGACCCAAGCTATCAACCACAAAATTGGCAGGGCACAATGTTCGTCTTTGCTATGATCGCAGTAATTTACTACTTTAATGTCTATGCCGCTAGCTGGATGCCCCGGATCCAGAACCTGTTGCTAGCATTACATCTCATGTGCTGGGTCATCGTCGTTGTCATTCTCTTTGCCATGGCACCGCATAACTCTGCAAAGGTGGCCTTTACGGAATTTTCCAACGGTGGTGGCTGGCCCACAATTGGAATAAGTTTGATGATCGGGCAAATCTCAGCCATCTATGGCTCCCTTAGTACGTCCACTATCACAAATTGTTGTTCTGCTAATTCCTCTAATTCATTGATAGGCTCCGATGCGACGGCGCACATGTCCGAGGAGGTCCGGGATGCAGGTCGATATGTGCCCATTGCTATCGCCTGGGGCTACTTCGGCAACGGCATTCTAGCCCTCATCGTGGTCATTGGGTTTGTGCTTGCACTACAATCCGTGCCTGATGCGCTTGCAGACAAATTCGGATTCCCTTTTCTATACATATTTCAACAGATTGTCTCACTTGCTGGAGTCAACGGCCTCACAGCGATTATTCTAATCCCGGTCATTTTTAGCAACATTATGTTCAACGCGTCCACCGCGCGTCAGACCCATGCATTCGCACGCGACAAGGGCCTGCCCTTCTCCAGCTGGATTTCAACCGTCGATTTAAGCCGTCGAATCCCGGTGCGGGCAATTGCACTTTCCTGCATTATGAGTGGCCTGCTCTCACTAATTAACATTGGCTCTCCGGTCGCCTTCAACGCCATTATCTCGCTCAACGTCGCCGCATTAATGTACACATACATGGTGTCTATCAGCTGTGTGATCTATCGCAAGATCTATTGCCCAGACTCTCTTCCACCACGCAGATGGAGCTTAGGTCGCTTCGGCCTTCTCGTGAACATCATAGGGCTACTCTATATTTTGTTTTCCCTCTTCTGGTCTTTCTGGCCCCCAAGCCCATCTGCAGCAGCTCGTGACTTCAACTGGAGCGTTGTGATATTTGTTGCCGTCTTCGCACTCAGTCTAATTATGTACATGTTCCAAGGGCGGCGCCATTATGTTGGGCCCGTGATGACAGTGCAGCGGCGGGATTGATCTGGAGTGTTGGGGTCCGTTTTCTACGGATGGCAAGGCATACAACTGCTAATGCACTAACTATGATATCATTGGTATGAGTTACGAGCTTTCTTTGTCTCCGCCGCGATTCCAAATGTCTGATGATCAGAAAGAGACCGATTCTACTGGTAAAGCGAATCGGGCGGATACTTAAAGTCTGTTCGTTATGCTTTGGTAGACTTCGACCAGTATGTATTCTGGTTATAGCCAGTAGGAGACAGAGGGTATTCAATATGCCTAACTAAGTAGATGAATCCGTGATTCAATCAAATTCGCATCTCTCATTTAATCCACCCCCCGCCCAACGCCGTGCCGGCCACCTTCCTCCAAAACCCTCCCTCCCCCTTGGTTCCCTCATCCATTTCGGCCTTCAAAATGGGGTTGATACCCTTCCGTCTCATCTCCTCTTGCTTCTCAAGAGGAATTTTGTGGACCGGATGATCGGGGCCCGGCTTCTCGGCGGTCTTGTGTTCTTCGGACGGAGTGATTCCCCATGACAACCCCGGATCAGGTAGAGGCTTCTTGCCTTTCTTGTCCTTCTTATCCTTTTTGGTATATGGAGGTGGGTTGGACACCGGGTTACTGTCAGACATAATTGGGGGTTGGTTGAGCGTTGGATGGAATATATACGTAGAGCAAAAGTGCACCGACTCGGATGAACATATGTTGACAATGTTGTTGCTCTAGGCCAAATATATAGCTTTCATTAGCTTAGCGAGTTGCCACTAACTGTCCATCTAGTTTACGCACTGCCTACCTCGTGCTCGATGGATTATCCCACTCGCTGGATCTAGCCTAGTGGCCGCATTAGCCGTGAAGTGGAGAATTTATGCCCAACACAAGTGGAATACGGAGAATACTACTCGTGTACATATCGTTGTTTTGGTGGAATGACTAGCAATGTTGAACTCCTTTTAATCCATCGCAGTTCCTGTCTTCGCCATGCCGAACATAACAACAACAAAATTCGTCACTCCAGTGGTTAATCCGGTGCGATATTTTAAATGGCCCCTCAGCTGACCAACACCATGGATTGCACCGCCCCTGGCAGACCCCACGATGTCGAGAAGGGCCAGAACCAGGAACGAAGGACGTTGATCACCGGTCTGAGCGGACACAGCCAGAAGGGTCAGGTCGAGACAGCATTACCCGGGCATCTACACAGCCTCCCCCTATCCAAGGACCCTAGTCTGGTGGGCTGGGATGGCCCGAACGACCCCGAGAATCCATTCCATTGGTCAACCTACAAGAAAGCTCGCCAGTTGGTGTTCATGGCGCTCAATACCTTCCTGACGTGAGTGACGTGTTTGTACTTTGGGGGCATCATTTTCTTGAAAACCGGTCGCACTGACAGTTGCCTGGCCTCATCTATGTTCGCGCCTGGAGTGGCGGACGTGATGACGGAATTCGGGTCCGCTAATTCGATGCTGGCATCGTGGGTGGTGTCCGTCTACGTGCTGGGCTATATGGTTGGCCCGTTCTTGATCGCGCCTCTGTCGGAGCTGTACGGCCGCGTCCCATTATACCACGCGTGAAATATCCTATTCCTGATCTTCACCATCGCCTGTACCGTCGCCCAATCCCTTCCGCAGCTCATCGCATTTCGGCTGCTGGCCGGGATTGCGGGTGTCTGTCCTCTTACAATTGGGTCCGGTACGGCGGTGGATATGGTAACATAGGAGAAGCAGGCTGGTGTGATGGCCGTTTGGGCTATGGATCTCATTTTGGGGCCAATCATTGGGCCCGTGGCGGGAGAGTTTCTGGCGCAGGCGGAAGGCTGGCGCTGGGTGTTTTGGGTTCTGGCAATTGCAGTACGAGAGTCATTCCTGGTTTTATATCTGAGTATAAATATGCTAACGAGAATCATTTGCGCCGGTGCTACTCCGAAGAAAAGCGGCGCGCCTTCGCAAAGAGACAGGTAACGCCGACCTGCGCTCTCCTTACGATGGGGGCGCCTTCCTCGAGAACTATTCATGTCAGCCCTGGCACGACCCATGAAACAGCGCTTTGGCTCACCCATCATCTTCTTGCTGGCTCTCTTCGCGGCCATTTCATACGGTTACCTCTACCTCATGTTCACGACCATCACATCCATATTTGAAAGCACCTATGGCTTCTCGGCAGGCTTGAGTGGCTTGGCATATTTGGGCTTCGGCGTTGGTTCCCTGCTGAGTCTAGCTGTGGTCGGAAAAATCGTCAACCACATTGCGGTCACCCATTCGGCTCGAGGCTGTTTCACTCCCGAATCTCGTTTGCCGCCCATGGTCTATGGCTGCTGGGGCATTCCAATCCGCCTGTTCTGGTACGGATGGTCTGTGCAAGCGCACACCCATGGATCGTCCCGATCTTGGGGACAGGCGTAGTCGGTATGGGCCTGATCACGATCTTCATGTCCGCGAATATCTACCTGATAGACTCGTATCTCCTGCACGCTGTCTCTGTGAGTGCTGCAAGAACAGTCATGCGTTTACTCGTAGGCACAGTTCTTCCACTGGCTGGCCCATCGATGCATAGAGCGCTCAGTCTTGGATGGGGCAATTCTCTTCTGGCGTTCGTCGCCCTGGCCATGTGCGTCGTGCCGATGCTGCATTCTCGGCATGGGGCGGCAATTCGGACCCATCCCCGGTTTTAAGTTCGTCTCTGATTGTTTCTCTACTGTTCTGCATTGCATTTTGCATTCCATGACCAGATACAAGTATATAGAATTGATTCACAGCGTCCTGTATGATAGACTAGACTCACGACAACAGGGCATATTTTACTATTTTGCAGCCCTTCTCTAAGCTCTCTTGTATCCGACGTGGCTCGGCGGTTACAACACTATCATAGACCACTCTTGTCCTCCTTCCATACGAGCCATCCAACTATCGCCAATCCTTTGAAAATGGCTGCCGTCCACAACGCGCCCATCATCCCCACAGAACTGTGTGCCCACAGGCCTCCGAGAACGACTCCCAGCAAAAGGCACACAACGGCTGCTGCGCGCCGCATCTGCTCGGCGTTGCTGAAGACCTTGGGGGAGAGCAAGTCCGGGTGGGAAAACAGATCACAGTAAACGCTGGTGAGAACCACGCTGGTCAAGCCATTGTACTTCAACACCCGACTGGTTACTGCTTGACCACTGCTCTGAAAGGCTACCAGAGCTATCGGCACGAGAACGAGCCAGCTCAGCGGCGTGTCCCGAGCCGGTCGGTACACAGTCACAATAATGGCGGCGATCGAGACACAGACCAGTTGGGCCACAAACGAGGCGCAGAGCACCCAGCGCGACCGTGGAGAGAATTGTCGATGGAAGGCGGCGAAGCACAGCGAGCCCAGGCAGAAACCAGCGATGGAGACTCCGGACTTGATCCAGCGGTCGTCTCCACTACCCACGAGACCTAAGCCGAAGTACACAGTGTTACCGGTTTGCATGCTGACGAAGGAGCCCCAGATAAACACTGCTGAGCTGTCCAGGAGTCCGGTGATGATGTAGCAGAAAAGCAGGAGCAGGTCGCCCCGGTGGGGATCGAGGTCGCTCTGTAGATACCGTGAGAGACGCGAGCGAGATGGGCGGGTATCTCCACCCAGCAATGGCTGAGTCTCGTCGGGCATGGTTGGTGGTGGTTGGGATCAAAGAAGGGAGAGCCCGGGCAACGAGTGCACGACCTGAGAATGATGATTGTTTGTTCCCCTCATCTAACCCTAACTTCTCCGCAGTGGCGTAATGCATTGACTTTCCTCGGGGAAACGGATCAACGCGTGAGGGGATGATTCATGACTGCCTAATTATTGACCCTAACTGATTAATTACGCAATGGCCCGGATCAGTCGGCGCATTCATGTTTACGTGGTAATGCCGCGCGATTCAAAAAGGGCCTGGGACCCCCGAACCTTGACCACCTTCAGACGTCACAATTATGATCTCCCGCCTACTGACCCTAGCCTTGCTCGCGGGCGTGGGCACTGCCTTGCCAGCCCCAGGCTCTGCGCTCCAACAACTTCTTCGATTGCCCGCCGGCTCGCCCGCCGAGGTGTTTGGCGATCCGCCCTTTACCCCTGGCCATCGTGACCCTTATGACCACAAAGTCGACTCGGTCGGCGAAGGCCTAGAACCCCTGCCGTATCGCAATGGTGATGGCACGACCGTCATGGGCCCGCGAAACAAGGATCGCGAGCGTCAGAATCCAGACTTGGTGCGCCCGCCCAGTACGGATCATGGAAGCCTGTCCAACATGCGATGGAGCTTTGCGGATAGTCACATTCGGATTGAGGTACGATTTCCGTGATTGCAGCAATAGAATTTCCTTAACACAACTCCGACAGGAAGGAGGATGGACGCGGCAGACGACAATCCGCGAGCTCCCGACCAGCCGCGAACTGGCGGGGGTGAACATGCGCTTGGATGAAGGCGTTATCCGTGAGCTGCACTGGCACACCGAGGCCGAGTGGGCCTACGTGCTGGCCGGAGAAGTGCGAGTAACCGCGCTGGACCCGGACGGGGGTAGTTTCATGGATGACCTGGCGGAAGGCGATTTATGGTACTTCCCAGCTGGGCATCCGCACTCTCTCCAGGGTTTAGGCCCCAACGGCACCGAATTTCTGCTCATCTTTGACGATGGGCACTTTTCCGAGGAATCGACCTTTTTGTTGACGGACTGGATGGGTATGTATCGTCCTCCGACTCCTCGAGATCGCCATCTAATCTGCAATTCTAGCGCACACCCCCAAGGCCGTGCTTGCGGAAAACTTCCGCCTCAAGCCAGAGGCATTCGATAAGATCCCGACCTCAGAGAAGTACATCTTTCAAGGCTCAAAGCCGGGAAAAATCGAGCACGAGAAACCCCGCGGCTTCAAACAGTCGAAGCTTCGGTTTACACACCATATGCACGCCCAGGATCCGATCCGTACTTCCGGGGGCAACGTGCGCATCACGGACTCGACCAACTTTCCCATCTCCAAGACGGTGGCGGCAGCCCATCTAGAGATCGAGCCTGGTGCATTGCGCGAGATGCACTGGCACCCTAATGCGGATGAGTGGACTTACTTCAAGCGCGGCCGCGCTCGTGTCACGATCTTTGCGGCAGAGGGTAACGCCCGCACATTCGACTACATGGCGGGCGACGTTGGCATCGTGCCGCGAAATATGGGTCATTTCATCGAGAATTTGAGCGACGACGAGCCGCTGGAGGTGTTGGAAATTTTTCGAACCGATAAATTCCAGGACTTTTCCCTTTTCCAGTGGCTGGGCGAGACTCCTCGACGGATGGTGGCAGAGCATATCTTTGCAGGGGACCCTAAGACAGCCGATGCCTTCCTCAAAAAGATTGAGGGCGCGGAAAAGGACCCCATAAAGGATACCAAGTAGATAACTCATTTGGATTATCCGTCGGGCTGGTACTGGAATTGTGAAGTAAATTGCAGGTCAATCGATAGATCACAATATAAGCCATTTGCATGTTGTGGTTCATAACCCGTGTTGGATTCGACGTAAGTAATTTACTGGACAGGACGTCGGTTCTTCATGCATGATACTACTGCATCTGACATGCATGTTATCACCCCTCGCCACGTCTGCTCACTTCCCTGCGGCCCGCCTGAACCGAGAGACTTAAGAACCAGCGCAAACGCGCCGCTCCATTTTAACTGATAGAGGCTTTGGGTGTTGGGATAATAACATTCAGAGCCTGTCGCATCTTCAACATGATTGGGCCTATCATCTTCACCCTGCTGGCAGTCTCTGTCGGCCGGCTCTTGCTGGGGCTTCTACGGAACCAACGTATCGCGCGAGCGACTGGACTGCCGTGCATTCTATTCCCAGTCTCAGAATTTAACGTCATTTATCAGATGCTCTTTGAAAATTCCACGTTTCTGTACGTGGTGAATAATTGCTTGCCGCTCTGGCTGGCGGATTACATGACGGGTAGCACATACAGGGGGCGTTGGACGGCCAAGGACCGGCCATGTAAACGATATGGCAAGGTGCACATGTTTGCAACTCCGACAACAATATCCTGTAACGTTTCCGATGCATCAGTGGTCTCCCAAATCTTCAAAGCCCGTCGAAACTTTCCTAAGCCTGTCCAAATATATTGTGAGTAACTACGCTCCGTGCTCGTCGGTTGAACTAATGGTGTACGCCGGGAAAGCTGGTCTTGATCTATTTGGGCCAAATGTCGTCGTGGTAAGTAGAGAGGCCCTGCATAATCTAAACGGTATTGAGAGTTATTCAGTCAGAACATCACGAGTGGGCTCATCATCGCCGTCACACAGCCCCGCCTTTCAATGAAAAAAGCAACGTCTTAGTTTGGCAGGAATCGATTCGCATATCAACAGAGATGATAGAGCACTGGAGAAATCACTTCTCCCAAAGATCTTCTCCGACCGAGTTTATCGTGCCAAACTCTCGTGAAGACATTCTCAAACTAACACTTTACGTGCTCTGTAGTGCTGGGTTTGGAGTGAAGCTGCCCTTCCAGAACGTGGTGGACGCGACCATGACAAGCTCAAAAGCGCTGTTTCGAGATACCCAGTTACCTCCACATGGCTACCAATTCACATTTCGATCAGTCATGGAGTATCTCAACAAGAATTTGATGAGCGTCTTTTTCGCGAACTGGATCATTCCACAATGGATCCCCCGCGGGATGCTGCCCTTCTGGAAAAGAGACTTCTACGCATATGATGATCTAGTTAAATATTTTCGTGCACTCATATCATCCACTGATACTAGTCAATCATCCCCTCCCAACTTGCTCGAGGAAATGGTGCGCTCCCAATTAGACAATGACAAAGGCCAGGAACGCGGGCTATCCGACTGGGAACTACAGGGCAACATGTTTGTTTTCATCATAGCTGGACACGAAACTACAGCAACAGCATTGCGTTTTGCGCTCGTTTTACTGGCAATTGATCAGGAGATCCAGAACTGGATGAGCAAAGATATCCTCGAAGTGATTCGCTCCGAACCGGTAGAGCCAGCCAAGTGGGACTATAATGCATTATTTCCTAAGCTCGTGACCCTATTATGTGTCATGGTCAGTATTTACAGCTATAGACAATAAGTTACTGCTCACTCCATTTCAGCTCGAAACTCTTCGGCTTTATCCACCAGCGGTCACTGTCCCAAAATGGACAGGGGAATCGCCCGCTGAGATCGTCTATGACGGCCAGCATTACTTGCTCCCAGCCCATACTGGTGTCAATTTAAACGCCGTTCCGTTACATTATGCCTCGGAATACTGGGGGCCAAATGCAATCAATTTTGACCCTTCACGGTGGGATAAAAGAAACACAAAGAGCTTTCTTGCAGAAAACGGCGACCTGGATGGACTCACAGCTCCAGGCTTGGAATACAACACCATTCATAAGCCTATTCGAGGTGCATATTTTCCATTTGCCGATGGAAATCGGGCCTGTCTGGGCAAAAAATTTGCACAAACAGAATTTGTGGCTACATTGGCAGTCATATTTCGAGAATTCCAGGTCAAGTTGGCCAGGAACAAAGACGAGACCGAAGAAGCGGCAATTCAGCGTGCGAAAAAGGTTTTGAACGAAAGCTCTTCATTAATAACTTTGGCTATGCGCGATGCGGTTCCATTGCAGTTTATCAAACGATGGTGATGTTATATTCCAAGTTATTGCAAGGAAGCTTCCAATTTTTGCTGTGCAGTGCTTAGCTACGGTGACCGGAGAATCTGTCATTGTCTCTTCAGAGCTTCCACTCTGGGCATATCTCATGCGCTCGTTAAAAACTATTGAAAAATGAAACACTGTCACGTATCCAACTCAATAGTGGGCAAGTCCGACATGTGTAACTTCGAACTGCCATATGGCCGGAGAGTCGCTTCAAATGTATCTCCCAGGCACTTCCGTTCCTTCTTCGGAATGGGAGAGTCTGGTACCACCCCCATCCAAAGAGGCCAATCAATTAAACAAGCCTGTGCCGTAACGAACATAGGTAACTGTCCATCCTCGAACGTGGGTGAGGGTAGTGGTCCTGACCCCGGATGATAAACAAGAGTCGACGGGTCAATGGCCACGTTCCAGCTGGTACTGTTCAAGAGAGTATGATCTTGGGCTTGAGGTGGGTAAGTACCTGGCGGGTAGTCGGTTTCGTTATTGTAGAACTTGGGAGGACCAGAGGACACGATGGGTGGGATATGGAGTCCATATAAGATAGAACCTCTATAAATCGCAACTGTGTCGTTGGCTCGACGCACTGTTCTTAGTGCCATACCAATGTCATATTCAACGGTCGTTTTACCAGATGGGATCTCCAATTGGTACAGACGGAAATTGGGATCCATCGAAGGTGGCGTTAGATTATGAGATGTTCGGATCCTTGTTCCTGTCGACCACTGTGGTACACGGAGATAGAAGTCGAATTTTGTGTCGCTGTCGATTGTGTAAGACAGATGACCATCAAATGGATAACTGGTTTGGCAATCTATTATCACCGAATGACCGTCCAACTGAGTTGTCACCCGGCCTGGACTTAAAAGAGCGTGGACAAGTCCTGAGTCACCTTTCTTGAGGTAGCTGTACATGGTGAATTTCGGGTAGCCCTGGGGATGATTGACAGTGCAGCAAGGGTAGTTTGGCTCCACACCAAAAGTTTGGCTTATGGTATTTGTATCGTAGAATGGCGTTGCCGAGAGGTTTTTGGAGAACGGTTGATTAGGCTCGGTCATATACTGGTGGCTCCACCAATCTCCCGAAACGGCTGCTGGCAAGGCGTTGAAGGCCGTCAACTCGGCACGATCCGCATAATCCGGGTCGCCAATTGCAAAATAGTTGTATGCTAGCGAGTATATAGTCTCCACATCTGTACAGAGCTCTGACCCGTAGTATGGATTCAGCCCATCGATGCGTTCGTCGGCTAGAATCGTTCCTGAAGCTGAGCCATGATATTTAAACGTCCAATCCACCTGCAGATGCACAATTAGCAGTGACCGGAATTTTCAGATCAGCGAGTAACAAACTCCATTTTTTGCGGTGGTGAGCAGACTGTCATTGAAAGTCGAACGTCGGAGCACGGCTGCGTATTTGAGGCCTCCACGAAAGTAAGAGAGTTAGTGCACATCAGCAAATTAGCCAAAGGGTTGTTACCTTCAGCAATTGTGACCCCGTGTAAAAAGGCCCATTGCTCATCTGTAACTGATGGCGGGAAGTCATACAGATTCCTCTTGATATAGCTGCCTTCCGTGTACCACCCTTCCCATTTGTTACCAAAATGATGAAGCATATCGATGTTCTCCTTCAATATTTCTGTTTCATTCCGGGGATAACGGTCGATAAGCCACTGTAAGCTAACCATCATGTCCTCGACACGAGCCAAAAACCACGTGAAGTCGCTCGGCGACAAAGGATCCCCATCATGGTAAATCAGCCCGGTTCCGTTATTTTTGAGCATTGAGTTCATGAGGACGTTGAATCTGTGCATTGCATCAACTATCGGCTTTTCATAAGTAGAGTTTGCCTCGACCAGGTTGGTTAGTCCAAGGAACAGCAATGTTCGTGCCCAAATCATTCGCTTTCCGCTGGCCAGGGTCTCGGGGCCAATCCATCCATCAGGCTGAATTCGGTCGAGAATAGTATCCACCACATAGTGGACATTCCCTTTGAGGCGTTCATCGCCCAGTGTGTAAGACAGGGGAACAAGAGCGTTTACCCAGTATGGTAGAGCTTCATTTAGCACACTGTACTCGGAGTTACCCCCAATCCAGGACGACTCCGCCACAAAACGCCAGAAGTCGAACAAGTGCCCTCCCAGGCCGGCGGCAGACGTTTCCAATTCTGTCCGTAACCACCCATTCGGAGTAATACTTCCCAGGGAAAGCGGTTCAAATGCCAAGGGAACAACTTCGTAATAAAATTAGCGGGCCTGATTGTCATCCACAGTTACAAATCTCAGAATCACGCAAGTAAGACTCACGCTCCGGGGAGGAATTAGTAGTCAGCCCATTGACACTCGCAAAAAATGGCACCCATGCCAACACAAGAGTCTTCACATGCATTTCTGTGTTTGCGCCTTTGTTGGCCAAGACAAAACTTAAATTCACAATGTGATTCGGAATTAGGGTTCATCTACTGAAAATATACAATGCCAGAGCCTTGGATCGAATATAAGCTGTTGTTTCTCCGGTAGATAGGTGCATCCAGTGAGGGGAAATGCAACATCCCCGATAGCGCGGATCCAGCCGATGTGGTCTTTCCTAGACTATACATGTCATTGGCGATCATCTGATCATAAGGGAGGGGAGCAGTCCCCCATCGGCCTTTTGCCTAAAAAGAAGTAATTTGCCCAATCCATGCCGCTCTTGACCCTTCCCATGCAGCGGTAAACAGGATATTTCAGACCGAGATATGTCATCGACTGACTACCGCTCGGAAAGCGGCCCGGTAGTTGGCGGCAGAGCTCAATAATCGAGAAATACGAACTAGAGCTAGAGGAATGATCGATCGACCAGCCGGTTTCTCCAAAAGCGCTTATGCTAGTTGGCTGGCCTAGGTCGCCATACTACTTGTTTCTCTTCTCGTACTAATTGGGAAATGTTTCTAAACCTTGATTAACTTATCCAATCATTTTGACAAACTCCAAACAAATTATTCAAGGAAAAAAGAGCGCAATGTACTTTGGCCCAATTAGAGGCTCAAACCATGATGATAGTGCTATTTTCTTCACGAACAAATTTGAGGAACGGGTCCAAGTCCGAATGCCCCAAATTCCCAACAATGAAAACAGCAGGCTTGCCATATGGCGCTCCCACGGTAATAGTCTGTCCTCCCTGATATGTCTTGGCTGACCAGACATGGGTGTATGTTTCATTCTTGCCAGGCAAGTAGACCTCGACAGCCATTGCCCCACGGTCTAGGACCGGTGCGACATATAGGTCCGGGCCGAGGAAGAAGCTTTGATAACTAATGTGTCTCGCAGTCACATCATCCGGGTGATAAACTACCGGCATTCTGAGCAAGGGCCAGCCGTGAGGTTTGCTTTCGGTATCCAAAATCCGCCGACGGTAGGTGGCCAGACTGCTGAACATTCGTGCGCTGTACGCAAAGTAGTTAAGGGTAGATGTGTTGGTGTAAAACTGGGTGTTGACTTGAGGCACACTCCCCTCGTGTGAGCGAAATACGGCGCTTGAAACCGCGGCCAGCTCTCCCCAACGGCCGAGAAGTTCAGCTGAGCGATTGACGATCCCAAAGCTGTCCCAAGTAGTTGTATATCCCCCAATTTCAACGTGTCCGTGTGCGAATCCAGACATGCCCATATGACCTAGGACTGTCACAGCGGATTTGATGCCGTCGTTCACACCCCAAGTGGTGTCCTGATCTCCAGCCCAGAAAAGGTTCATGTAGCGGTTTTGACCGAGTGATGCAGAGCGATGAAAGATAATGGCGTCAGCAACCTGAGGGAGTTCATTGCGAAGCGAATGGTGTAGGGTGGCCCAGTCACGAGGGTATTCGTTGTGGTAGAAAGATGGATCCACGCTTTTATTGGCAAAGCGGGTGTCGGCAAGTACCGGTGTATACTCCCCGAAGTCACACATATAGCCTGAAATATTGGCGTTCCAGACCTGTTCCTTAAGAATGTTTTGGAACCAAGACCTTGTGGAAGGGTTGGTGAGATCCAGAATCCCAGCATCAAGTCCGGGTCCACTTGAGATGATGGCTGTTCCGTTGGTTGTAGAGTTTTGGATCATATAGCCCTGCTCCGTTGCTTCAAGGAACAGATTTCGGCGATATCCATCCGATTTTGTGCTTACATTTGCCAAAAATGGATTGATATACGATAAAGTGCGTACGTCGTAGTGGTCTCGTAGATCCTGAACAAATTTGTCCCAGGTTGGGTAGAGGTCTGTGTCGTATTCCCAATTCCACCAGAGTCGCGAGACATTAAGGCTCATCCAATCAACGCTTTGTGCATGCGTTCCGGACCTGGAAAGTCAATACCTCATCGCAGTAGCGTGGCTAGACAGAAATATCTTACCAATCTTGCAGCCAAACTCCTGCAATTGGGCATTTCTGTTGCAGCCCTTCCTTGACGATCTTGTTGACCTTCTCCTGTCCGCCTTGGATTCCGAGGACTGCACCCGAGTCAACCCATCTTGGCAAATCTGTCATCCTGCCGGTGTACTCCGTAAGCATGGAAATACCGTTGAGAATGTTGTTTGCCTGCATGAAATATCCGGAGACATTTAACGCGTCATATCGCATGGTGACTGCCAAAGGGTCACGAAAATCAAAGTTTGCGTAGGCGGTGCTTTCTTGGGTGAGGTGGAAAACTCGCGCAGTTGAACTAATATACTGTGGAACAGCAGTATAAGTCGTGAATTTATTTCCACCGGAAAAGAAACTATCTGCATCCTCGAGGCGCGTGGTGGGTTGATCACCACGGCCAACTCCTTGTTCTCGCGAGAAAATCGGAACTGTTTGATTTTTCAATGACGAGAAGGATGCTTGGCCTCCCAGACCATAGAAGTCTTCAGTCTCAAGTGAGCGATATGTCAAAAAGATCTTGTTTAGGGGGTCTGCCGATGTGTCCACTGGGTTGACATTAACATGAAACGCAACGCGGTCTGACAGGTTGAGTGGCACCCAAAACGCAACCCAGAATTTTGAGGTTTCATCTCCACAGCTAGTGAGGTGACCGGAAATAACCACAGCACGATCGTTGAAACTGTCGTTCCAGGCGCGATGGGAGACTTGGGTGACTTGCTGGTTCTCGCATTTGTTCCGGTCTACTTGCTCAATTTTGAAATTGCCGGAGGACTCCAGGATAATATCATCGCCTGCGCTAGCACCGAGGAACGATTGACCGGGTACCGTATCCCAAATGGTGCTACCTCGCTGAGTGATAAACAGATGGTTTGTTTGTTTATCAACAGCAATTTCGAAACCATTACCGAGAGGCCATATGGAATGTTCTGAAGCCACACTGGACAGCACGAGGCTGGCCCAGGAGAATAATTTTGCAGCGCGCATGTTGCTGGCCAAGCGAAAGGTCAAAATGAAATGCAAATGGGAACCAAGGCCGCTCGATGTTTGACTAGACCTTATGTAGGCGGTCCTTTCGTATGCATAAATCCCGCAGGCTCGGGAAAACAGTCATCTCACCACCTACAATTGCGCAACATTAATTCCAATTGTCGCAAGCTGTAAACTCAATGAGAGCGTCGGCTTTGGGCAGAAAATGAAGATCAGCTCGTGCGATGCTCCCAGTTGGTTATTCAGGCCGCCGTGATGGGGATATTTGCCCCACATCGGAACAAGACTCGGCTGGCTCGAATCGAGAATCCGAACTCCGGCCTCGGCCGATGACCACTTGCCCTAGAAACGGTCTCTGTCTTCAAACAAAATTTGCGACAAGCTAAAGCCGACCATGTGGTATCCTCGCCTCAGGGCACGGTTGCTCTCTGCTTTCTTCTGGTAAAACAAATATAATACTAACTATTGAACCGAGTAGTGGCTATGTAATTAATGGGAATGGAACCGTGACCGGGAAAAAGATTAGGAGACGTGCAAATAAGACTCCACAACCAGACCCCATTCTTTGCCCAGTTAATGGCCCATTAACATCCTGCTCGTGGCAAAAATTGCGGAAGGTACCGCGTGTTAAAAACCCCACAGAACCACGGACAAACACTGCTCTTCAGCAAGTGGATGGTAACTTTCGTCCTGGGTTGACGCTTTAATGGGCTTCGCTCACGGACTATGTAGTGCAAAATCTGGCTTGGGTTGGTATCTTCACACTTCAAAGACCCCAGCCCCGACTCAGACAATGCTCAGTCAATGGCGGTCGATTTGATGAGCGTGCTGGATTCCATCTAGGACTGCCAAGATGGTTCACTACCCCAGGATGTTGGTACCTCACTCATTTCATACTCGATGCTCTCCGCCTTCACGATATCCCCATGTTTCAGAACTGGCACTGTCACTTCTCTCCCATCGATCTTCAAAGATTTGACATATGGCTTTGACGGTGCACCAGGGGCACTGATCACCAGCGTCTTTTCTTTAGTACCTGAAACCTCTCCGCCAGTCGATACGCCACGGGGGAGGCGAATCGACACCTTGTCGAAAAACGGAGTCCCAACAATATACTCATCAGTTGCGGGATTGACGGGGTAGAAGCCAAGAGCTGAGAAAATATACCATGCGCTTGTCTGACCTAGATCGTCATTGCCACTCAACCCAGCACTGGTGGAGTTATAGTTGTCCCACGCGACGGGGCGGATTGTCTCGGCGGATTTCATCGGATAGCCAAGGACCGAGTACAAATAAGGGACGTGATGACTCGGCTCGTTGCTCTGCTCATTGTGGCCGCCTTGGAAATATTCATCCAACTTGTCCCGCATCTTCTCGCGGCCCCCGAAGAGTTCAGCCAGCTTTTTCACATCATGCATCACGTCGAATGTGTAAACCCAGTCGTCGCCTTCTGTCCAGCCGAAAGTATTGTTGGCCCAAGTACCATTGCCATTGCGTGCTTGCATAAACTGTGTCTCGTTGTTCCACAGATTAGCCCAGTTGCCACTGCGAGCCATAAGCTCGGAGACGGTCTCGTCAGATTCGCCGGCATGAGATGCTACCACTGCACAGGCATAGTCATTAAACGCGTAATCCAGGGTGCGACTTCCAGCCTCGGCCCAGGCATCGTCCGATACCCAACCCTGCTTCATATATGCTGAGAGGCCCGCTCGAACTTCTTGCGGGGTGTTCGGCTCACGATCGTAATAAAGCAACTCCATCTCGTGCTCGGGCGGTTCATAGGCATCCTTCTTCACTGCGGTCCATGCCTGACCAATATCAAAGCCGCGGAAGCCCCGTTCGAGCGCATTCGCCAGCACAACGTCCGCATTGGTTGCGATCATGATATTGGTTTCGATCATGTTCGCCCACATGGGGAGCCTCCCCGACCAGTCAAAGATACGTAGCAGAGTGCGCATCATGCTGTTCACTCGCTCTGGTGCAAACATTGTTAACAGCGAATGCTCTGCTCTGAAAGTATCCCAGATGGACCAGGACTGGTAGTACGAATCATTATCGGTATGCACACTATCGGTGTAGCCAGAGTAAAACACGCGAGTTCCGTCGGCGTCATTGGAGGTTGGCTCAGAGTAGTCGCTTGGGTACTGAAGGGCATGGAACAAGCCGGTATAGAAAATTGTGCGCTGATTCTGGTTCGGATCCGTGTTGTTGACACCATCAATTGTTACGCGGCCGACCTTTTCGAGCCAGGCGGCCTTGACTTTATCGACGGTGTCCTCAAACGTTTTATCATCAGGCAGCTCCAGCTCCAGGTTCTTTCGCGCCTGTGCGATACTGACGTAGGAGATACCTGTCCGCACTTCTACCCTCGAAGTGTCTTCAGAAAACTTGACGTATGCGCCAGTGAACTTGCCGGTCCGCGTCTGCTTCCCTTCAGTGATATTGCCACCATCAGCCACACCATACGCGGCAAATGGGTGTGAGAATCGAGAGACGAAGTATCCCTTGAACGAGGGTGCCTTGAATGGCCCCAGCAGATAGTCCTGGCGCTCTGTGTTATACCCATAAACCTCCCTGCTGTGGGGATCGATGTGAACTGCTCCTGTCCAGTTTTGCCGGGAGGCTTGAATGAAGACCCATGGCTCTGAGGACTCCGTGTTTCCATCAAAGTCAAAGCGAAGGTGGCCTGCATGAGCATCTGCCGACATCGCAACCTAGAGCCTGGGTCAGAAATGCTCGGGGGGTTCTGCTTGGTGGGATTACCGACCTGGATTGTACGATCGTGAGATTCATCGGACGGCAAAGTCCGACGCTTGCGAGTTCTTCCGTTTGCGCCCTCCTCCACAACCTCTGGCACCGCCTGTCCGCCACCGGCATCCGGGCCATCTCCCACAGCCTCAGCCGTGGAGTTCCAGTCCCGATTTAGCAGCTGCGTGCCATTGAGAAGGACCTCATACACATATGCGGTGCTCCGCTCGTTCTCTTTGCTGAATGCCAATCCGCGATTCTGAAACAACGGTTGCACTGTGCCCATCCCCGGTGTCAACACAACCTGGCCTGCCTCGCCCATCCAAATTGCCGGCTGATGGGTGGCCTGGAAACCGTGCATCAGCTGGTCGCCATACGCGTAGGGTGCCTGTGAGATAAAATTCTCCCGCGTCTGCGGTGTCCAGCGAGTCATGCCAAATGGCGGGCAGACAGAGGGTATCATGCCACCATTGGTATTGGGATCCGGGCCCGCAGTGCCAATGAGAGGGTCGACATATTGGAGAACCCCGGCATTTGCGTGGTAGCCGTGTCCAGAGCGGCTCGTTGCCTGGGCCGACAGAGGGACTGCCAGCCCTGAAAGAAGAAGCGGCTCTAGAGCAACCATGTTTGCGGCTGCCTGCAATGGGGAGGGGAGAAGATGTGCGGACGCAGGATTAGTCGACGCATTAAATACTAGATGACATAGTTAATAATTTCAAAATCCTTCCGACCCGGCCTTGCAATTATTGGGTCACTACTAAATCTCCCCGCAAGCTTTTATGGTGTGGGGGTCCGTTCCATCCAAATTGCGCTTAACTCCGCAGGCTAGATGCGACTCTGGTGGGGGGCCGGAGAAAAAGACGGTCGCGCTCGGGCCAAATTCAGGGGAATTGTCGGACGCGGGTAAATAAACAATAATCGACTTGGGGGCGGTATGTACATTGAAATATTGACTCTAACAATGCATGGTTCTAATGGGAATGTTATCATTACATATTTGGCATGTCTGCCAATAACAACCCATGTACGTGTGCTGTAGAACATAGTTCCACCTTCCTATAAATAGCCGCCCTGCCACGACACTCGCCACACCACAGGGTGGCATGCGCGTCCCTCCCTACGTGGACAGCGACAACAACCAAGAACCACCATCTACCGCTTTCTCCAGACATAAAACCCGTGAAAAATCACATCTCTTGCTGCTGCAATTTTATTCCTTCACACATCGCGCGAGTCACTACCATGCCTCCGTCGTATGTCTCGTTGGCGCAAAGAGCCGAGGAAGGGGCGCCCCATCTGGCCCAGCGCAGCCTTACAGTCAACCACACACAGGCGATCACACTTGGAGTAATGGCGGTCTATGTAGTGGCCATCGCGCTCCTATGGAACCTGCCATATGTGCGCTACACACTATGGCCCTTCAAGGTTGGATCCCCCTTCTCGCCGGTGATGTTTCTGCTAATCTGTTTTACAGATGCTGGTCATCGCATTTCATGAATTCGGGCACGCCATCACTGCATGCTGTACAGGCGGAAAGGTTAAATCAATCTCACTCGATCCGCATGAGGGAGGCGTCACCCATATGCAGGGCGGGCTCAGCGCCGTGACGCTCCCTGCGGGATACTTGGGCTCTTCCATCATCGGCGCTCTCTTGATCTTTGCAGGTTTTGATATCGTCGCCAGCAAAATTGCGAGCATCGTACTTGGGGTCTGCTTTCTTCTGACACTTTGGTGGGCTCGCAAGGACTGGTTGACCATCGTGACCATTATCCTGGCAGTCGGGTTGTTGGTGGCATGCTGGTTCATTGCCCATGGGGAGGCCTTGAGATGGGTCGTGGTAAGCTTCTGATTTTTGTGATGCTCGTCTCCGCTCTAGTGGATGCGCTGATTTTGTTCAATAGCTTTTCATTGGCGTCATGTCTGGCCTCTACAGTGTGTGGGATATTGTAAGCATCGCTCCACTGCATGATTCCGTCTTCCGCTGCTAACCTGAGAACAGTGTGACGATCTGATCCTTCGAAAGGTGAACACATCCGATGCCAGTGTTTTCGCCCGTAAATATGGAGGCTCATCGCAGTGCTGGGGTGTGACCTGGTCCCTCATCTCGCTGGTGGTCATGGCCCTGGGCATCATTGGTGGGATCGCAGCTTTTCCCGAGTCATTCAGTCAGCAAGAGACGGATTCGAAGCACTTTATTCCCACTCGTTGACCTCCTAAATGGTGGTTGTTATGCTATTTTCACGAAGATATGTATCTTCTGCCTCACGCAGAGCGTTTTGTTTTCGGCGTCCAAATATGAAAGGGGGCTCCAATCCTATCATCCAGTCCAGCCCCAGTAGATCAAGATGCATATGTCCACGTCTCTTGCGCCTGGCTGCGCGGGTGACATCTTGCTGAATTCCGACTCGCGATTCCATGTCGCATGTGCTTGGGGAATGCAACCGAGGTGGTCGTGCTGAGGGCACAGGTTTTTATGCTGACCAAGAGGTATGGTAACCTACAACAATTAATGTGCAGGGGGCTGGCGGGATACTTTTGCAACTTATTGCAACCGAGTTCCTCGTTTTGTAAATTTTATATGGTACGCCTAGATTTGCAAAGCATTGCACTCGCTTGGATGGAACCACAACCATCCCGATATATGTCTCGTTCTGTTCTACAATCCGAAATTGATGTCCCACAAAAGCGAAAACGACCGAGCTCAATAATGCTCGTGTCAGATGCCACAGGGTTCTGCATCGTACGCCGATGCTCATGTCGCGGCCGAGACCGAATACGCACAATACGCAGGATTTTGAGACCTTGGGGCCTGAGGCTGCTAATACGCCATGCGGGGATTTCATTTCTTGCTCAGCCCGCCAACCCATTTTTAGTCCCTGTGGGGAACTCATCCGACATTGAGACGAGCTCACTGCATATCTACCGAGCTTCTTCTGCATACTCCTCTTGTCACTATTTTCTACAGACTGGAGGCTCGATGGCCACGAGCGGACATTACGTAGCCTCGCTTGGGATGGCATAATATTTGCCGATCACTGCCACCTTGAGCGCGCGCCATTTTTGCGGGGTATGCTGCCCGGGAGTGCTTACAGCCGAACATGCTTAGTTACAGAACCGAGCATGCGAGAAAACCTGCCGCCCGTGATCATAGAGCTTTCTGAATGCGCAGATCCAGAGGGACATTTTTATCTGCTCCTTTCAAGATGTGCCTGGTTTTGAGTCTTTGAGGGCCGAATTTTCAGTCATTCATTCACAAACCTGAGCCTCCAAAGATACAATCTGATGTGACTAAAATCTAGTTTAAAGCTATAGGAAAGGGAAAGGGGGCTGGCTGATCGACAAAGCCCAACATCAATAAGATGCCTCGGTTTTGGCTTGTAATCACATTCACTCTCTAACCTGTAGCACATGGACAATGATATGTAGTTCCTATAACCCATGGCTTTCCCTGGAATTTGAAGTTGAACTGCCAGTCCATTTCGATCTTTGAACATCAATCAAACCATTGAGTCTGCCCATGATGGTTGCCCTTGTGACATCATTCCGCCTCCTTGCCATGGTATCCATGGCATCAATATTTGCGAGTCCGTGGGCCTACTCGGCAGCATTGCCTGTAGCGCGCAGCACTGCACAGGATCCGAGTACAGATCCATTTTATCAGCCACCTGCAGGTTTTGAGAACACGGCACCTGGGACAATCTTGCGTGAACGCAGTATTATCGCCTCATTTTTCGGGCTAATTCCAGACCCTGTGGAAGCGCATCAACTGCTGTATAGGACAACGGCCATTAATGGCTCCGCGATCGCCACTGTAACCACGATCTTCAAGCCACTCTTCCCCAAAACAGATCGCTTTATTTCGTTTCACACGGCCTACGATAGCTCGGCAACGATTTGCAATCCCAGTTACAACTACCAGCTTGGCGCTGTGCAGACTGATCTCATATCAAGTGTTGAAATGTTTATCATGGAAGCCTATCTGCTCTTAGGCTACATTGTCGCGTCTCCGGATTACGAAGGGCCGGATGCAGCTTTCTCTCCCGGTCATCTAGAGGGAATGGGTGTCCTCGATGGCATGCGCGCCGTGACCAACTTTAAAGAAACACTGGGCCTTAGCGCCAATCCTATGATTATTGGAACTGGTTATTCAGGCGGTGCCATTGCCACAGGCTGGGCAGCTTCCCTGCAGCCCTCGTATGCGCCCGACCTCGATATCAAGGGATGGGTTCACGGTGGCACTCCAGCGAATCTTACGGCCACCATGCTTTACATCGACGATACGGCCTTCAGTGGCTTTCTACCCGCTGCTGTTGCCGGACTCGCCAAACCTAGTGCATATGGCGCTGAACTCAGCTCCCTTATCAATAGCGTCCTGACTCCCTTGGGCAAGTCCAAGTACGAGTTCGCCCAATCAAACTGCGCTGTCCCCGATTTGTTGAACTTTGCTGAGATGTCGCTGCTATCGACCTCTATCCAGACTTTGGGGGCTGGTCTCATCCAACAACCCACAGTTGCCTCGGTCCTGACCCAAAATATCATGGGTTTAAATAAGAGCCAAACGCCAACGGCGCCGGTGTTCATTTATCATGCCACTCAAGATGAGATCATTCCCTACGCCGATGCTTCAACTCTAGTGGACTCATGGTGTAGCTACGGTGCTAGTGTTAATTTCACTACATATGGCAATGGTGGTCATGCTACGACTGAAATCATTGCCCTACCGGATGCCGTTAAGTTTGTGGAGGCAGCTTTCGCAGGGGAAGCAACCAGCGGCTGTCATCGTAACACCGAGCTTGACAATACACTGAACCCGATTGCTCTCGGTGTGGAACTGGAACCTATTCTCGTCGAGCTTATCAATGCACTTGCAATCGCTGGAAAAAATGACGAAAATATCATCCAGAACCTGAACGTTCTCAAGAATGGTATTTGAGAGAGTTGGATTGTTAGCTTGGCACAGCAGCTACTCGTTTGCTATAAAGAAACCCAACGTGCAAGGGCTCTAACCATGTTAATAAACCTTACTCTCCTCTTTATAAAGCAAATCCGTTTTTTTTGAAACCCCATTGATCCGTACACTTGGTTCTCAATTTATTCAAAGTATGCTCTATAAAAACCTTAAAATCTCCATTATAGCACAGCAGCGGCAGACTCAGTAAAGGAGGCTATTTTCTAGTCCTAAAAGTTTATGCAAGCAAGAAGTGATGGGATTTTTCTACCATCTGTGCAGTCTTGTCAACTTTAGATGCATCCCCTGAATAGGCTGCGATGTCAGGGTCCCTCCGAACGTGATCTTCTCGGCTGGGTCGCGCAGCTCCATTGAATATTGTCCAAAAAGTCCAGCCACAGCGCAACGAAATTCGGCTTTGGCAAAATCTTTCCCAATACATGCTCTGGGCCCGTGAAGAAACGTAATTTGAGCAAAGTTCGTACTGGCTCCACCATGCTTATTGGGCGTTTGATTACCGGTTTGATCGGTATCGATCCAGCGCTCAGGTAAAAATTGTTCGGCCGTCTCCCCCCAAAAGCTAGGACTTCGGTTTATGGTTTGGGGACACAGAGCAATTGTAGTACCCTTGGGTACTATATGGCCGGCGATACTAGTCTGGCGAATAGCCTCTCGCCCTGTCATTGGAACAGTGGGATAAAGCCGAAGCACTTCCTGACATACGCCGTTGAGATAGGGCATGGATTCCAAATCCTGCCATGATACCGGAGCATCCCTTTCAGAAATAGTGTCCCATATCTCATTCCGGAGCTTTTCTTGGATATCTGGGCGCAAACTGAGGTGATAACAACACCAAGTGAGTGCGCCAGCGGTCGTTTCATGCTATTTTCCACCTTTTTAGTATCATAATAATCACATAAAACAGATTTTTAGATATCGACCTACCCCAGCAGCCAGAAAAGTAAGCATCTGGTCAACCAGCTCACTATCACTGAATTCCCCGCCCCGCATCATGGTGCCCAAGATGTCTCCTTCAATGGATGCGGTGGACTTGTTTGTTAACAGATGAGCTCTCTTTTCCTCAAGGATTGTATGAAACAGACGCCGCAGATGAGCCACCTTGCCAGGAAGAACAATATTAGCCTTGCATGGGATCAGTCTCACCAGCCATTGTGGAAAGAGCAGCGATGCCCCAAAAAGGATTAGCAAATCAGCCGAAGGTTTCAAAATGGCTGAAAAGTTTTTTGAGACTGGCTCATCATCGTTCTCCATGGACTGGAAGTCTCGTCCAATAGCAGCGGGCCCAATGATATCCAAGGTCAGGCGGCTGGAAGTAGAGTATCAATTAGCTTACATACTGCCAAAAATTGCTAAAGCAGTAATGTAGTACCTTGCCCAGTCTATCATCTCGACATAACCGGCTTCACAACCGTCTGTTTTCGAAGCGGGATAAAGTCGGATTTCACCATCCAGCTTTTGGAGGAAAACCAGCGTCTTTTCCCACATAAGAGGGTACATTGCGCGAATGTTTTTGATGGTAAACGCGGGAGTGAGAGCTTTGCGTTGCATACGATGAGCATCACCCTCAGATAAAATGAGCCCATAGCCCAGACCCCGAGCCAGAAATTGACGTGCACCCAAAGGCTTCACAAAATCGTAACTGCGTGTGTGTAGAACATCCATAAGAGCCTGTTGATTTGTGACAAGTAGAAAGCTATAATTTAAGGCCTCCCGAAAATGGATGATTCCTTCGTTGGGAATATTCTGAAGCCATGGTAGAGTAACCACACCACGGGGGTGACGCAAGAAGACGGAGGCTCCAACTAGGGGACCCTAATAATCAGTTAGACACACGGATAATGAGAAAACAAAGTGACAGTGGTGCCAGTACATGGACTGTTGGGAGATATCTCAATGGGTTGAAGAAGAAAGGCCATATAAAGATATCCCATATCAGCATTAGACATAGGTTGATAATTAAGGCGTAGAGAAATATCGTGGTAGGCCGTTCTGTGGTTAGATGTGAAACCATCACCACAAAAGTCTCGGCAACTGTTATAGGAATCAGAGAAACTAAATGTTCTTTTGAAAGAGACATATTATGCGACACCTTTCTGTTATTTCTTGAAACAGTACCCAAATACTTAGGTTATTTTAAAAGGCTCGGATTTCTATATGTACTGACCAGTACGTAGGTTGTTGGGAATCACAGGCCTTTAGTGCTCCAGACTAGCAGGTGAAACCTCGGTCCTCGTTGCTTGCCTTTTGTTTTCATTCCACGCAGCTTTGGTTTATCCTACGAGTCTCACATGAATCCTTAGTAGTATGGAAGGTTTTACCGCGGAAAGAGTGCGGGGAAGCCATCCAAACTGTGCCTTGACTGGAGCTGTTACATAAGACTAGGCAGCTGCAATGTACACCGGATATAAATTAGATCCCGTTTGGTCGATCCAATGTGACTCAATAATATTCTAGAGCCTCCAAAACTTTTGTATCTGCGAATAACCATACGCCTCTAGTGCTCACAAACTCATGACCGTTGCTTACCCTGGCGTATGGTGACCGCGCGTCTCGATACCAAGCTTAAGAGACCATGCTCCAGCATCACAGGCTTTGCAGTTCAGCGGGAGAGCGAGAACCTAAAATAGTAATTCTAATAGTGTAGGTTTCAAAACACGGCAATTGGCAAAGTCTTTGCATCTATGAGGGAACTGAATAGCAGCGCTCGGGCATACTACCAATCAGTTGATACAAATGCTGCTAGTACAATCATATTGAGAACGAAAAAGTAAAAACAAGGTGTTTGAATTTCCAAGACAACATGCAAACTGTATTCTACAGACTATATATGAAAGTGTATTTCTTGTCTCCCAGCCGAACTTCGTTATCTCGCTCATTCTCGATATCCAGCTCCGACCACGTCGACATCTTTCGGATTCTGTACTTATTGACAGCGTGGAGCGTAAAGCGATAGGCAGTATATCCGACCAAAGAGAATGCTATAAATCCGAGGGTAGCGTGCAATGGAACAAGATATGTCGGGCCATATTGAGAGCGAAAGAGCTGGGATCCGATAACGCCAGCAAGGTTTCCGAATCCGTTGACGCCAATTACCAATGATCGCTTTCCAGGGGCTAGAGACATATTAGGAAAAAAAAGAGAAGTCAAAACGTTAAGCGATCTTGAATTATGTACTTACCAGGAGTATTGCCGCTAAGCCAGGCCATAGTCAAAGACGGGGTGATATAGCTGCCGAGAAGAAGGATGCAAAGTGCCGCATAACGACCCTTATCCTGCTCAATAGTGATAACCATGATCAAGCCAATTAGACAGACCATAAGTCCAGAGATAGTGTGGTAACCTCTTTCCTTGCTGAAGTCCTTGTTAGGAGTGTGGCATGGTTGGCAAGATAGAAAGAACTCACAAATGGTCGGAGCTAAAAGCAACAACATACAAGCCCACAGCGCCACACACGAACGGCGGAACGGACATCTGAGGTGGTAAGCATGAAGACTAAGAAGAAAGCAGTAAATTTGATATGGGAAAGAAATTGCTTACCAGATTGGCTTGGTTAGAGCGGTAACCCATACCTTGCACAACGACTGGGAGGAAAACACTAAAAGCTTGACTGGGCACACTGGCACAGATATTGCAGATCAAGACTGACCAAAGCTTCCAGTCCTTAGCGGTTTCGATAATGTCCCGCTTGGTCAGTCTCTGCGACACTTCACCGGTGTTGGTCGCTCCGTATTCCTTCAGGACATATCTCTCATTGTCAATGCGAATTCTTTGCACAGCATACTCTCTTTCAGCGGCACTAAGAAACCAGGCGGACCCAGGCTCCTTAGGAAGCAGAAGGAAGGCTAGTAGCGCCACGAAAACGGTCAAGGAACCCTCGATGATGAAAAGATATTGCCAGTCGTGCAAAGCGCCCTTCAGCTGAAAGATACCATATGCTAAAAAAAATGTCAGTTTTCACTATTTGAAAGTACGATGAGAAAATAGAGTTATTAAATCCTCAGACATACCGATAGCACCAGAGAAAGCACCGGCAATAGCGTACTGGCCATAGAAGACGCCGATCCGGGTGGCTAGATCGAATCGTGTATAAAAGGTTGACAGATAAAACAGGACGGTTGGGTAAAACCCGGCTTCGAACAGCCCGATTAGGAGCCGAAGAGCAATGAGTTGGCCTAGTGATCGATCAGCAAACAGCGTCGTCGTCCGCATCACCGCTCTATGTCTTACTTCGGCCATGAATAAAAGCATTACACAAAGTCAAAATTCCCCATGTGGACTAAAATGAGTAAAATCAGTGGTAGCCTTAACGGGAAATAAGAATTGTGTTGAACTGACCATGAGGAAAGGCATCCAGTACGTAGGCCCAACGAGCCTCCCACAGGCCGAAGAGATGGGCTGGAAAATCACGAATGTAACGTAAAATAAAGATACAGCATTGTTGACATCGTTGTCGGTTGTTCCAATATCTTGTGCAAATCCTAGAACGAATTTCTTCTTAGCAGAGCGTGGTAAAGAAGAGGAGCGTGCTGAAACGTCTGGAAGGACTCCCTTACCTTGTGTTTGAGCATTTCCAATATTGCCTCGATCCAGTCCATTGAACATGTACAAAAATGAAAGAGCCGGTAGTAAAACCATATCCAACTTTCGGTTGAGGGAACGGTTGAGCTGTTTCTCCTCCTCTGTCTGGGGAAAGTACCCTTCTGGGAGGTCATCCCTCATTGCAGGCAGATGACCGTTTTCTTTGAATCCCATGTCTTCGTCGTGAGTAGCGGAAGTTGATTTCGGTCCAGTGGATGGATCCATGATTGGTTGCAAAGATAAATTCTGTCACTTGAAGTGCAGTAAAGTATGGGGAACAGGGGGTGAGATATTATCTGGGGCTTGTCACTTTATATCTTGCCCCCCTCCCCGGGCTCTTCCGCGGTTGGGCCTTGGTCAAAAGGTGGAGGGCCCTCGCATTCGGCTTCATCGCCGGTATTGTCAATCTCAAGGACGTCTTCCCCAGATTTTTCCGGCACATGGAGTCTCGGGTACAGTACCCTGCAAAAAAAATCTGGGATCCACCTGGGTACAGTACCCAGCCACAGAGAGGATAGATCCAGTAAATCTCTGAGCATTTATTCGGCCTCTGAGGATCCACCCGCGAAATGGGTGGGGCGAGTCACTGAACATAAGATCACGGGAAAGATTATTCCCCAGGTAGGGAGAGAAGGACGGGTACAGTACCCGGGGTGAGTCCCTGGGTGCTGCACCCAGCCATACAGGGGATTGAACCATTTAGGCGAGAAGGGAACAGTAGAACCTCATTTCGGGGCTTACAGTGGGGCGACCCATTATTGCCCATATTGTCCCTAGACCGGCCAAAGTCTGCTGGGAAAGTCATGGTAGACCCGAAACCTCTGACCCGCGAGATAAATATCTGCGACCCTGTTCACATATCGTTGATGAATTGCCGAAGTCATTGCCACCTGAGCCTGTTGGACTGAACTTGTAGCCGCAGACCACTCAAGCAGGACGCAAAAATGGCCAGCATGACGCCTACCACACCGATTCGATCAGACGAGAGGCTTAAAACGATTGACTGGGGGCTAAACGGCACCATGATGTCGCTTGATCAGCTTGGAACGGTGAGAATTCCTGCAATGTCAGCATCCGTATAGATATCTAATGTTTCACCCGAGAGTGTAGTTCCTGCAATTGGGTGTCTACCATTCGGAGCACGGCATTGTTCTGCTATCCGCCCTCGAGCAGTTTGACGGGGACCGCTTCTACGATCCAGCCTATGTCCGATTATACCGAACCAGACTCTTGAACCAAGTCAAAGAAAACAAACCTGGATTTGGATTACAAATTCTTGGAGAATCTGAGAATGCGACAGTGATCACAAAAAGTCGGCGAGGACTTGAGTTATCTTACAATACACGAGAAGGAGTCCACGTTCGCAGAACCATTTCACGAGCGGATGATGGAAGAGTTACCCAAACTACGATACTCTCAACTACGGAGGCCACACCCGTCACCGTTCCAGTCCATTTTGATTTGGGAATGAGTCTCAACCGTGCTTCTTACGGTCAACTGACGGAGGGAGGGCCAATCCCAATCCCAGAATCACTCAACCTATTCCAAATAGCGAAAGATGGCAGTAGATTCACGGTTTGTAACCCGAATTTAGGGGCAACCGTCGAAGGACACTTCAGCACTGACTGTGTGGAACATCTGGGCTTGGATTTCGATGACTCAAATCAAGTTTTTCGTCGTCAATGTATCGAGTCCAAGGCGACTACTTTCATCAAAGTTTTGCGAGGCGTTCCAGTTACGCTGACATTGTCAATTCTTCTCCGGACCGATAATCCCTTCAGTTCGCCCGAGATTCGGACTGGGAAGAATACGATTCGCACACCTACTTGGAAGCTGCAGGACCCTGCGGCACTAAGTATCATCCATGGTAATTTGGAATACGTGTTGGGCAACTGTGTTGTCCCAATATCCGAGACCAGCACTTGTGTCATCACAGACCATGTGGCTCTTCCACTGGGATGGAACAGGGATAATTAGTACAAACCGCCCCTCCCCGAGAGTAACTTGACGAAACTAACCTCTATCAGCTGGCAAGTACGCTTCCTTATGGATGCCTTTCGACACATCGGGCGTATCGTCGATCCCTCAACTGCTGAAGAGTACCAAGAAAAAATCTCCAGAAGTGTCAAAGGTCATTTGAACTGGGTGTTCCGTGATGCTCAACGCCCCCAGCGCTTTTGGCACCGTTCGTACCTAGCAACGGGCGTACCCAAAGACGGCCCAATTTTCCAGCTTGACCAGCAATGTTACCCACTGATAGAGCTATGTGACGCTTTGGATTTTATTCCTGGTTTGGAAGACTTCGCGCGAGAGGTGCTTCAAGAGTCAACTATTTCCGATATTGTTGAAGTCCTCTCTGAGAGACGAGACCCACAGTCGGGGCTATTTCCAACGGACGAGACGCCTGGAGACGATCCTGTCGAGTTCCCATATCACTTCTCTAGTCATGTTCTGGTGTGGTACACATTCAGCCGTTTGGCCAAGCTTTTAAACAATTTGGGAGACACCGACCGGCTTCAGGCATCACGGCTCAGCAACCTGGCCAGTGAGGCCTATACCACCACAGTGAAGAATTTTGTTGCTTTAAATCCCACGACCGAAACGACGATGTTCGCGTATCTCACCGATGGATGTGGAAAACACACATTTTACCATGATGCCAACGATATCCCTACATTATTTGCGAAAGAGTGGGGATTTTGCGTTTCTCAAGAACTAGAAGATACCTGGGCCCAAACCCTGTATTTTGCTTTATCTTCAGCAAATGAGGGTGGTTTCTATGGTGACGGGCCTTTCGGTGGACTTGGCAGTGTCCATACTCGAGGGCCTTGGCCTCTGGGATATTTCCAGGAGCTTGTTTTTGCAGAGATGCAAGATAATGCCGCTGCGCAAGCCGAAGCATGGAGAAGAATTAAGAGCACTTGTTTCTTTGACGGTCTGTTTTCAGAAGCAGTCGACAAACAAACGGGCGAATGTACAAGTAAGGCTTGGTTCAGCTGGCCGGGGTGCATGATCGGATCAGCTCTGCTTCAAGATCGCGCCGGCAATGTTTTACCATAGTTTGTTATTTTATTTTTATTGCCATATGAACAGTCTTTTTGGCTGATACAGGACATGTTTATTTGAATGGACAATATGATCAAAACGGGCCCGCTTCTAACCAATTCGTGAACTCTTCAAGTACACTTTCCAGGTTGAACTCGGGGTGCGAGTCTATCGGTGCAGGACTCATGGGCGGCACATCGGGTACGTCAAATATACCAGGAGGCAGATTACCAGATCCCTGGACGGTCTGGGTTTTCAGTGGCAAAGTGGTCGTTTGATTTTGGCGGGACATTTCCTGTGTCAGCTTTCCACCCAGCTGGCGGAGGTCTGCGAGTACGGTGGAGCAGTCTCGGGCGAATTCATTTCCATTCTGCCCCGCACCATGAAGAATGTTCAGAATACGTCCAAGTTGTTCCGTATTCTCATATGGTGAGTTTGCGGGTCTGCGTAGATGATCAAGCTCAAGTATAATTGCAGCATTGAAAGCGTTGTGATAATCAATGATTCCCAAAGTTGAGTCCCCGCTGTTAACAGTCTCAAAAAGACGATGAAGCAGCTGTACATTTTCGTAGGCCGCGGTTCTGCAAATCTTCACAAGATGTTGGTCCGCGGGCTGAAATTTAGCCAAACTGGGGACAAAACTTCTAGCCACGTTTTGCCGAACGGCAGAAAAAAGGATTTGGCGTGTGACAAGAATCCTTGCCTACATAGAGAAAAGTTAATAATGGTCAGTAAGGGATACAAGACGCGCAAACTAGTCTCTTCAAAAGGTAAATACCTGGTTGTATGCCATATGTAGAGACGTGATGTCCCGGGCCGCTTCTGACATCAAGCAGCCATCTATATCGAAAGAAGGAGGGACTTCGGAGCGCCAATTATCCAACTCGTCCAGGAAATGATATATATGCGCCAAGCCAGGGTTCTTAGATCCGCGACCACCATATCCGTAGATCTTCTCCACCGCACATCCGATAATTTTAGCAAGCTTCACATGGAGTCTAAGCCCCTCGGGATTTGGTAAGTCCCTATTGCTGGGTTAGCATGGTTCAATAACTGTTTCTGGAATTATAACGCACGGTGTATCGGTTGGTAGGTCGACACTAATATTTCCATCCAGAATCATTGGTGGGCGCCCTAATAAACAGCTCACGAATCTGGATAATATTTACTTAGCGCATGTTGACGGACGATATTAAATAATCACCTTTCCAATACGTAGACTGTCCAAAACTCTCGTTTTTCTGCTTCGCTCGTCATCCAGCTCTGATAGTAGCCATAGGTGACAGCAATGTGACCAGCGAGCCGGATATAAGAGTAAGCCGCGTCCCGCCTGTTCGCACCTAAGAGGTAATATCCTATCATGGAGAGACAAGGGACATGAGTTCGAGTCGCCGTGTCTAGTGGCCTTCCTAGCAAAATATAGGCCCGCGCAAAGTAAGACTCTCCTGTCTGTAGTTCTGAAGGTAAAGTTGGCGACTGCTGAGTGGCAAGGGCCATGGCGGCGTTGAGTGTCGCGAGTTGGATGGAATGAGCATAGATATCTTTCAACGTATCGCCAGAATAGACCTGTCTCATGATATCAGGTAATGGGCCCCAGTAAAAAAAGCTTGCGTTACTCGCTCCCGACGTAGGAAGGGACAAGGTGGATAAAAGTCTCTCCGCCTCTTCGACAGGCGGAAGGTAATATGGGTCCACCAATGGAAGTTGCAAAGGTCGAGAGTCATGAGTCTGGTATCGGCCGAGGAGATTGGAAAACGAATCTTGAATTTGCGATGGGCGGAGGCTGTTATCCCCTCTGCAGACTAGTGGGAGGACAGTGCTTGCAAACTCCCGAAGTTGATCCAAGAATGCAGCACCCGAGGCGTTACCGATGAATCGTCGTTGGCCATCTGGGTCGGCCAAAAAGCGACCACCGTCAACCATTTCCTGCAGGTTTGGCAATTTAAATTGTGCCTCCGGCTCACAGCCACCCGCCTGGGCTGACCCACGCTCGTGAGTCTCACGGACACGTTTCATGAGCCCCAAGCGCTCCTCGGCGGATGGCACCGCGATACCGAGGCATGCCTGCAGAAAGCTTTCGTTCGCCTGAAGGTCTTGATAAGTTGCTCGGGATATTGTGATCTTCTCTTCTGAGGCAGACGGATAGACACACGATCGCCGTGTTGATTGGCATCCCTTGCACGGATTGTCACCTGTACATTTGATGCGCCGGATGTTGCAGTTATTGCATCTATGTCAAAGAGATTAAACAAGGATCAGAACAAGGTCTTGAAGATAAGTTTCATACGCTTTAGAGACCCTTTTTCTCTGCTCTGGCGGTACTTTGTTTCGTCTTCTGTTAGGGGGAAGACGTTGCATTTTCAATAAGCCTGCAATGCTTTCTATTGGCTGAGAATAGGCTGGGGTGGAAAATCGCCCGGTAAAAAAATCCAACCTTCGGAAATGCGAGAGATTTATTCTTTGTTTGCCTCAGCTTTGTCCAAGGGCTCGTCTAGCGGCCCATGTGAGCACCATGAGATGGTAAGTTTCCGTTAACTGTGAAAATGGCAGGAGAACATGAATGACGAGCGACTGACCTGCTATTCGGCAAAATGTTGGAGCACAGTCCTCATGGAATCACGTGACCAGTCCGCACGACCGCGCATGGTCATCATATAATTGCTAGTTAACGAGACGGGCTGCCCCCTTGAAAGACACACATTTCTGTAATGGGAATCTGTTTTGCTCACACCATGAACTCAGGTCACAAAGTTATAGGCATATTTGTTCATATTACTGCGTCGCTAATAATAACTCTTGTCAAGTCCTAGTCCTCTTGAGGGAAAAGAAGAGGGTCTTCTAACAGTTTTTCCATAATGTCAGACCGCAAATTGATAGAAATGTCAACACCACCATGATACCAAAGATTCGACTTCCCAGAAGTTTCAAGATTGCATTCCTTGATGGATGGAGGTGCTTGTTTCAATTGGATCACCCCGTCCATGCTCGCCATGACGGCTGAGACATATCGTGGCGTCAATCCGAATCCGAAATCCACAGCATACACGGGGGTTTGAACCCAGGATGTTACCATGATATGCCTTTCGCCTAGAAAGGCTTGCCAGAGACGCTGAGGGGCATCTTCATATGCAACAGAGTGAAGATGGTTTTGGATATCTTCAGGTTGAACTTTTGTGATCGTCGAGCGGATTGCGGTAGCCAGGTGTGTCAGATCGGTTTGGCACACCTCCGCAGCATTCATAGGCACATTGATCATGACGATAGGCGAGCCAATATAGCTTTCTCCAAGTGACATGCGCTCACGCACACCATACACCAGATCACAGTAAACAATATTATCATCTGTGTTGAGCTCCAGGTTTCGCGCCCGAGTGACAGAGGACCAGATATGCGCGACAACAGCATCGTGGTGACTAATTCGACATAAGCCATCGGCTGACGCAGATTCCCATATCTGCTGGATCTGATCGGCGCTGAGGTGGATCTCGTAGTGGGAGACAGGGGCATCTACATCCCATTGCCACCAGGGCATTGGATTTCCAGCTGGTTTGAGCGGCTGAGATTTGAAGGGTTCTGGTACCTCGATGGGCCAAGGACAACATTCCGAAGGTGTCCACCAGTCGTAGCGGTGAAAAGGGAGAGCCATAGCTTTTCTCAGAAGCGTATCATCTGGGTCAGCTTTATCAATATCCCCTGCTGCCTGCTTGTCGAGGAGAGATGGCTGGAAGACTGGCGAGAGGGACGGAAGAGGCGAATCCTTGGACATGGCTTGGCTGACTAGCGCCCAGTCCTTTGCAAAATACGCCATACTGTGCGCATCGCCGAGTGCATGGACCATCTTAATAGCCACGACTGTGCCTCCACATATGAGCCTTGTTAATTGAATGGCGACAGCTGGTTTGGAGGCATTTTCATCTGGCATAAATGGTGATTCTAGCGCCGTAGGGGGTACGAAGCTTTCGCATGGGATCTGATGCATGTCCTGCAAAGCGGCGTCACATTTACTGTCGGGTACAAGGTCTTCGAGAGACGCTGTACTCTCCGCAACGACCAATTCAAGTCCTGGGTCACGAGAATTTCCATAGCTTATGCACAGTCTCCCATAGCGTTGGCGATGCGATGCACCTTCATCTGGACTGTAAGGCACGGCTTTCAAATGACCGCAAAATTGAGGATATGCTTCCAACGTAAATAGTAATGCGTCGCGAAGATGCTTGATCAAATCCGCATTCGTAGAATGGCCGTCGCTAGGTGGCTCTAAAAACCACACAGCGCTGGTCGGTGAGAAATTGACACACGTGGCATCCAGTAGCGATAGTAGCTCGGTATTCCCGGCGTCTTGCGACTGCTGAATATGGCTGCGAGGATGAACTCGTTCTGTGTACCCACGCGTAACTATAGTCATGGCGTAATGGCGACGTGCCGGATTGTGAAATTGCAGCTCTGCAGTTCTATTCAGTAAAAAAAAAATTTTAAATTTCCGCTTCGCCATGTTTTTATTTTCTAGTCGTGCAAGTGGGGCTGGGACTAGAAGTGAGTAATTGTGAGCCAGGTATGTCTAAGCCACTTTCGGACCCCGCAATCAGCCTTTAGTGGGAATAACTCCATTGCTTTAGTTAAGAACTAATAACGAGAAACAGTAAAAGCCTATAGATATTCATACTATCAATAGACCAATATCTCTACTAATTATGACTGTATGGACCGGCAGCACGCACCTTACACCGGGGGATGGTTCGTAGGCCGTAGGCCGACCCGCGAAGCCATGGACTCATGGGAAACCGCGTGAAAATCACCAGTGAAAAAGCTGCTAGTAGTAATGAGTAGTATAATGGCCCCCAGGTAATTTATCTAGCTACCGCGTCCTGACTCTTATCCATCTGCAAATTTCCCAATCGGGAAAATGTGCCCCGATGTGGCCAGATTTCACTGTGTAGAGTTTTCCTGCTTCTCTACTTTAGTTATGGACATGATAGCTAGACCTGAATACCACCGTTTTCAATCATTGTCACATGATGCTACCTAGTAAACTTACTAGTGCATAGGCGAATTCCAGACTCCGACAGAAAAAGCTTGTACGAACACATCAGGTGACCCGTATACATAACCATTAAGAATTGAAGGCGGTCGTAGGTAGGACGTGTGTGTGTGTGAAAACTGAGTCTTGAAGGGAGGAGGTTAGTCGCAGACTTTATATCCTTCTTCAAGATGAGTTTACATATCGACGTCGAAATTTTTATCTCAAGGTCTCTTCACATAGACCATATAATTGCCAAGGGACATATCGTCAGTCATGGTAAAAGAAGTATCCTCGCCCGATTCTTTATAGACAGCCCAAGGGCTACCAGCCCAGGCAAGGCTGAAAAGGTCACTGAGCATTAAACAACGTGGCCATCGAGATCAAATGGAGGATAGGCAGCGATGAGATGCAGTGAACTACATTGCCACCCAACAGAGGGGATAAACAGGGAACTGAGTGCCAAGGTGACAGGTGCTGCGACATCACATCCTTGTTTAAAATGCTTGGAGCGACTACTGAATTCACACCGATTGATCTCTCTATCAGATCCGTCGCAGGTACTAATATGATTCCTAAACTTTTGGTAGAGGAATATACAATCCCTGAGAAACGTTCTTGTATAAGATCGTGTGAGCACTGACCTTAACATAGACCGGTCATCTGGAAACTCACAGAAAGCTGATCGTCAAGGCTATAGGGTGATCTAGCTCTACAACTTCAATGTTGGGGGCTGTTCCAAGGGTCTTTTGTATCTACGAATAGAAAAAGGTCAAACGGCATACTACATTTGTCGGCCCAGGATCATCGCGGGGCTGCTCCAAGAAGAGCCAGTTCAAATGAAATCATCGTGGCGTGTTATGGATTCCTAGGCATCGATTTGCTAACATAATAAAGATGGAAATCAGATAGGGTAGGAGGAAGAAAATAGTGGATGGCTAAGCACAATCGTGACAAATGGCAAGCTGTCGTTGTTCCTCTTCCAATGAGGTGGAAGTTGAAGAAATGGATTGGTTTATCATGGTCTTGTCAAATAAAACTCATTCATAGCTAGAGTAGATACATCTGAATTCCATCACCCAGCATCATCTAGCATCTCAAAATCACGCTCCCGACCGGGTTTCGAGCACCCATGTTAGATCCCACAGTGTAGCACGTCCCCGCGTTACTTGGACCTGATATCTCAACATTGATACTACCCTGACATCCAGTATCAGCATAACCATAGAGAGTACAGCCACTATGGATTTGTTCCGACAAGCTTGGTCCACTTATATGAAATGACTTCGCAGGGGTGTCCAAGTCGTAACAATGATGCCTTTTACTTATGATAAGAGCGGATAAAGTGTCCGAATTACAGGCATCTGGCTTGTAATATTCGAATTCAAAAGATTTGAAAGTAGACGACATCGCTGGGCTCGCCATAGCGACCAGTGATATTGCCAGAAAGCCCTGTTTCTACCTGCTTAACTGAGCTGTAACCTCTTTGCAATGATTTTAAACTTACACTTGGTAAATGCATCGTAATTTGTGGTCTGGAAATAATATGCAAAGGATGATTGCTTTGGCAGTGATGCCAAGTAAAGGGAGCGTGGTTGGGCGCTCGGTTTTGAGAGCTGGAGCCGTTCTTTATGGGTTTCCTCTAGCCATGACGGAATTAAAGGACATCCGTTCAAAAAATCAGGGATTCAAAAGTCAGATGTGAGACAACCACCTGTTTTATTATTGGTTACAATCAGTACATAGTGAGGGATCCCGATATATAAATTTACACGGCTCTTATCAGATTTCAACAGACTAGATGGACACTTTGCCTGTTGTTTCATCCTAGTATCACCCCTCGTTTGAGGAACCATCTATTAATTATTGCCTTACTTACTGCGTTTATACATGTCTTTGTAGTAGAGTGGGGAACGCGGGGTCGTTGTGTTCGGAGACTAGTCCTCCGCTCACTCAGACGTCATTGTTGAAGTTCACCGATCTGAGTTAGCCTTCAGTCACACGATCCAAAAATATTAGCCCTGTGGTTTCTAATCTTAGTGGACTGGGGGGTGACAGTGACTATTGCAAATTAAACTGAGCTTACGGATGCAAGTATGGTGCTCAATGTCAAGAATAGCAATACCCCGAAGAATGGAATCATGCGAATCATAGGCCATGTTGGATTCATTACTAGTCATAAAGAAAGCTTCGCCCTTGAAGTCCACTAGATTAAGAAACTAACCACTTGATATATGTACTATCCATTACCATGGTAGTATGAACCTGGTGATACCAGACGGAGACTGAGCTCCCGATCGGAAGATCTTTCGCCTTTCTGATACATCTCGACGGCCGTCCCTTTTTCATATACTTTCGGGGTTCACACTCCACACTGGTCGCCTTGCGTATAGACAAATATCTGACCCATCCTTGCTTACAGCAGTCGAATCCGTGAGTCAGATGTGGTCGAACAGTAAAGGCTTCACGAAAGGCTTATCAATGAGTTCTATTTGAATGACTCTTCAAATCCTAGCTCTCGATAGAAACGCACAGAAAAGTCCTTCGATTCCCGACAAAAATGCCAAGTTTGATGGACGCTGTGCAAATTGGCCCGTGTTCATTAAAGCATCGTGTTGTCATGGCGCCAATGACTCGCCTGAGGGCGAACGATGACCACTGCCCCGGAGAGATCATGGTGGATTACTACACTCAAAGATCACGAGTCCCAGGCACGCTTCTCATCACCGAAGCTAATTTTATTTCCGTCAACTCACGCGGAAGGGATGAAAATGCACCTGGGATCTACACTGATTCCCAAATTCGAGAATGGAGCCGTATCACAAAAGAGGTGCACAAGAACGGTTCGTTTATTTTCATGCAGTTGTGGCATGTAGGAAGAGCGGCCCGCCAACAAGCTTTGGATAAGGCAGGATTGCAGATGGTCAGCAGCAGCAACATTCCAATCAGCAACGAACATCCTACTCCTCGGCCAATGACGACCGAGGAAATCTGGGAGTGCATTCTGTCGTTTGCTCAAGCAGCAAAAAATGCCATAGAAGCCGGTTTTGATGGGGTTGAACTCCATGCTGCAAATGGATATTTGATTGACCAATTTATCCAAGATAATTGCAATCAGCGGACTGATAAGTGGGGAGGCAGCATTGAAAACCGTTCGCGTTTCTGCATCGAAATTGTGAAGGCAGTCGTTGATGTAATTGGAGCACACAGAACTGCAGTACGTCTCTCACCATTCAGTGAATTTCAAGGCATGCGTATGAAAAACCCAATTCCGCAATTCTCCGACCTCATCACCCGGCTCAAAGATTTCAATCTTGCTTATTTACACCTTATTGAGCCGAGAGTATCTGGAAATGAAGACAAAGAAGCGGGCGAGCACGAGAGTCTGGATTTCGCACTCAAAATCTGGGCTAATTCTAGCCCGATCATCTTAGCTGGAGGTTATTCTTTCAAGAAGGCGAGCCAATTTTTGGATTCATACCTACGGAATGAATCTGTTGCGTTCGCATTTGGAAGGTACTTTATTTCCAACCCCGACCTGCCATTCAAATTGGCCAACAACATCACCTTGACGAAATACCAGCGTGAGACTTTTTATAAGGTGAAAAGCCCGGATGGTTATACAAGCTATCCTTTCAGTGATGCTTGGAAAGCAAGCTCGGTTCTTCGGGATGGGAACCATGGAGAGAACTGAATGAAATTAAAATCTCTCCAATAAGCGATGTGAGGAGAAATACATCGGTTTTTCTCTTCAAATGTTATTTTTGGGTTCACGAAGACCCAGCTTCTATATTTCGTCATTTGAACTAGGTATTATCATATTCTTGAAGTAAAATAGAATACATCATCCGGAGGACAGGTCAAGTAAAATATCTCTGTTATACACAGTAATTTCGAGCTTTAAATGGGAATAACATTAGGGGAATCGATTGGGAAAATGTTATTCCTAGTACATCCCTTCAGCCATTATTTGGGAAATCAGTTCTGCGTTATAATTATCACTAGAAGAGGGTTGCATGCATTCTATAGCTCCATTATACCAGCTAGGATTCGCTTGTGCTGTCAGGGAAGTGATGTTATCCAAATCATCGGTACGGAAATCGTTCAATCGGTGAGGTGCCCAAGCAGCAGCCAGGATTGGAAATAAGAAGCACCTCCAAAAGTCACTACGGTGATAGAAAGCTGGAAATAGACTCTCCCGTGGCGTTTATAGTAATATTAGTTAATAGTTATTCGTCACCGCAGGTACTCCGATATTTCCGTGAGGGATCGACAAGCGGTCGTCGGACGCTAAAAAGGATCCGAGACTAGGAAAAGAACGATCGCCATTTCGGACCATAAGCTTGTGATGATCTTTCGGCTAAGCCTCGGCAGCTTCCTGCGGTAAGAACTTGTATTGACCCATATTTCAAGGATGAAGTTACTCGAACAGGTGTATAATAAAATCGTAAGACGTATCGCAAAGTTAGTTAAAATGAAGTTTAGCAGACCTATTTAATTATCTGGCTACTACTCTAAATATGCTTTTCATAGGCTGAGCAGAGAGAAGACACTAGATACGTTGGCAACCTATCTGGATATTAAAGTGAAGAGGGTGATAAGCGTGGTCTGTACGGTCATTATAACATCCCGCCTAGAACGGTTTCCAGAATGGTAAATAGCTCTTCGCCTAACACCACCACCGTCCCTAAGTCCAAAGAGGAAAGAACCACATCCTCTGTGCTGCAGCCGCTGCTAACTTCTTGCCCATCCAATCGCTCAGCGAGCCATTCTAAGGCACTTGCTGATCCCGAAATAGCCTCTGACTCATGGTCCCCGACCAGATCTCGATGGTACTCGATAGTGGCACCCTCGGCACAGTATTTCTTTACTAGGGCATCCGTGTCCGCAACCGGGCTAATCTCATCACCAACTGCCTTGTAAAAGAACATCGGTGCTGTCGGTGTCCCATGGACGCCCATTTGTCCTGACCATTTGAAGATGGACTGGGGGACGTCCTGGTAGAAAGATGCCTCACCATCTTTGAAATAGGTATATAGGTCCTGTCCTGATGCTGCCGAGCTTGCAGCCGAGAGACAGTCACTAGCGACCTCGTAAAAGAACGCTGATTTGGAGGGCACTAGGTTGACATCAAGCCATTCAGTGAGATTTGGGTATGCCTTTGCCTGCCCAGCAATCCCAGAGAAGGCAAGCCCTGCGTCCGAACCATTGTTGATGGTCTGCAAAACGGAGCTGATATTCGGCGTCAGCCCGCCAACAGCGACTCCGGCAAAGTTAAGTTCAGGTGCATATGCGGGTTGGAGCTCGGCAGCCCATGTAGAGGCCAGCGAACCACCTGAATAGCCCCACAATGCGTAGACTGGGTTTTCAGACAGTCCAACTTGGGGCCCTTCGTTAAGAACTGCCCTGACGGAGTCTAAGACGGCATGACCGGACTGAAGACCAGCAGTAAATTCTGCTTCGAGGCCTTCATAGTCGGTAGTGAACACCCACCAGCCCAGATTCAGGGCCGCGCCAATCTCGTAAACTATTAGTCTCTGGAACCTTTGACGGATTACTAGCACGGTACTTACGAACGGAATGTCTTCGGAGACATTCAGACCAGACAGTGTGAAACCCAAGTCTTGGTTTTTGGCACGCAGGGTATAGGATGGACTGCAGTCAACCGAAGCGGAGTCATAGAATGCCTGGTATCCAAGCAGCTTGGAAGGATCTGAATTGTACGGCTCTATCAAAGTAACCGCGGAGCCCACCGCATCGCCTAAACTATCTGTGGTCCGGAATAGATACTGATAGACTGCCTTGACGGAAACGTTCACCGGGAATGATATGAACGGTTCCAGTTGAGCAGATACCTGGCGAGATCGGATCACCTCTCCTGGAGAGTATTCGCTGATATTATTTGGCTGGTCATACCAGGGATCCTTAGAAGGGACAGGGATACTAGCATTGCCCCTGGCAGAGAGGAAAAAAAGGCAGCAATAGCTGACAGAAGAATTCTCCACATGATGTCTGATATGACTTAGAGAGAAATTTCTCGTGGGGGGTTTTCCATGGTCTTTTATGTTTGTGAAGCCCCCGGGATTTACGGAGGTATACTTCAGCAAGGCGCGGGACCGGGAGCTAACTACCCCGCAGAATCAAGCAGGATCCGTCACCAAATCAAAAGTTTTCCTCTTATTGTCGCTTTAGCGAGGTCACGAGAAACACTAAATATCCTGCAGGACTACGGAGATCTAAACTAAATACATAATAGTTCCTTGTTATTCTAAGCGAGTGCAGATCCCACCAAATAATAAACCACTGCGTAGTTGACTGCATGATGCATACATAGTACATGCATAGGATCGTGTAAAATTACCTAAATTGGTGGTTGGCTGCTTATGATTCGCAAGATTACTACTACGTTACTATATCTTGTCTGAAGTCTCACTTGATCAAGGAGAGCTTGGTATAATTGTTTTCTAGAGAAACACTGGCGGTGCTTTTTCAAGACAATAAATCATATCACCAAAGAGAACCAGTCTTCTCTCCACGCATATCTTGCAGATTTTACAGAAACCATTTCATACATAAATGACCTCTGACCTTTTGGCTTCACCATCTGTAACTGCAGCCACCTGAACCACATGCGATCCGACAGGTAACGAGAATTTCGTCTCAAACCCTTTCCTCTCAACCTTTCCTAGAGATCGAAGGCTCTTGATATCTGCCCCTGCATATACCTCGTACAGAGTGACATCGGTCGCCCCATTCCAACTTACATACCCACGTAGTGGGGATGATAAACTGGCGCACTCACTCAGATCGTCTTCCGCAGAGATACTTGTAACCACCAAACTCGGCTGGGTGCTTGGCGTTGCATGCCACTCCTGCTTGTATGCCCGGTAGCTCTGCCCGAGATTGTAATCAGCAAACTGCGCCGACCAAAGCAGCTTGCCTGAAGGTCCGTATTCTTTGATATACGGCTGGTCGCCGTATCCCATTAGAGTATTTCCGTTTGTAAGCGGAAAGAACGCCCCCTCAGCAGCCGACGAGACTGGGTTTTCATGATCCCAGAAGTCTGTGATGACCTCGGGCGGGTGGTCAGGACTCGGTGGGAGTGTCAAGCGTAAGGTCAGGCCTTTGGATGGGACGGTGCCATTAGCCGTGTCAAGATCATTGGCAAAGTAGCTCAGTAAGGCCTGAGTGGAAGATATATTGTGGATCCGTGCCATATGTTGCCATGACTGTGAAAGAGTGAGAAATAAGGTACCAAGGCAATAGGATTTCAGATGCCTTACAAATTGACCATTTTTAGGTAGACCCCCAAAGTCTCCGCCATCATGGCCATCGATATACCATATAATGTCCCCCTGGCGATTCACCAGGTATGTTTGCCACAGATGGCGCGAATTAATGAGATAGTAATCTCCGTACTTCTGGATAGAGTTCATATGAAACCAGTCAAAGGGTGAAGACGAGTTGGAGCCGGTATACGGCACATGGGTCGCATCCACAGATAGATGCGCGAGGGGACTCCAGATGAACACCGCTTCATTAGTTTCTAAGTCAACCTCGACTGCAATCGAGTCATATACCCACCCGTCGCTTGGGCCTCCCAGCGAGGACAGATCGGCTCGACTGACATTATATGCTGTCAACAGAATAGTGTTGTCGTCCGTGATAAATGACTCGTGGACATCGGCATCACAGTCAGTTGTTGTTCCTTCCGGCAATGTCAAATTTAGCTGTAAGCACACCGATTTGATCTGCCGATAGCTTTCATCGTAAATCTGCACCTCGCCCCAGCCCCGGCCAACATCAGCGCCATATGCAGCCTTTCCTGTGCCAACCCAGAAAGTGATAACAGATTTGTCACCCCAGAACTGCTGCCGGAAGTTGGACGAGTCGCCCTCCGGACCACCCCACACTAGCTCACTCTCGTCGGTCAGGATGAAGGGAGCTACCTCCTTGACACCAGCCTGAGCACCCTCATTCTCCGGGCCAATGAAGAGCAGGCCAGGTGCTAGTTCTTCACTGCTGCGATTGATCTGGAGGTATGGCGGCGTGATGTTGGATGACATATAAGTTTGCCAAGGCCAGATACTGCTATCATTATGGACGATCTGCCGGCCGTTCACAGCACAAAGGTTAAATTCGCTTTTTCTTGTGCTAACGGTTCGAGCATGGGACATGGATGGCATATTAAGCCATCCAATGGCTAGGGCACAAATCGAAAGACGCATAGTCAAGAGCAAGAATGAGAATTACCCCCAAAGTAGCTCCTTTTCTGTTAGGTGAGTTCAGCTATTTATCATGTTCCCTCCTCTTATGGCATAGGGATATGCGCTTGGCACATTGTCGAGTATAGCGTAAATGACGTGCTCATCTATATTACATTGAGCCATACTTTGAATGGCCGATTGATGAGCCTAGCGCTGTTTTCGACGGGAGATCGATCTGAAGCGAACCCGCATTTAACGCTGGAATGAGCTTTTGCTTGCGGTCGGAAAGCTTGAGGGAGGTAGAAGCGAGATACGCTAACAATGTCGCCATCCCGGAGCTGATTTCATCACCGGAGAAAGGTAGCGGAAAGGGCCGCGTAACTGCCGAGGAGTCATCTATTGTTTCCCGGGACGTTGGAGACATACACCCTCCGTGGAGATTTCTCACCAACCCTACATTCCAACTACTCCTGATCAACATTATTTTTACATTATACGGCTCAGTAGTTAATGGAGGGTGTATACCTCCAAATCCCGATTTCCCGAGCTCAAGAAACCACACATCTGTCGTTTCTTCGCAATTAAATTTGCGTTTTTTTATCAGCCAAGAGTAAATGGCCTTGCTCAAAAACCCCCGTTGCTTAGAAAAGTTAGCTATACGATCCATGTCGTTACAGCAGAGGTCTATCATCAAATTCGTTGGAAGCCTAATTGTAACAAGAGCTGCTAGTTTGAGAAAGAGCATGGTAAGTTCTTTTTAGTACTTACAATCCTTCAGCGGATTTATAGACTATAGATATTTCTCATAACTGAAAAGGACATATCAAAAAATAAGCACAATCTCCCAATTACCTAAATCCCCTAGAATCGTATCGATATGTCTAAAAACCCTTAAGGTGAATTTTCCACTGCCAGTTGGCCGTCCCCTAAACCGGCTCTTCCCATTTGCGAGTTGGCTCGGTTTCGGAATTTATGGTACAAATTGGTCATAATTAATCTAACAGTGATAAGTGTTACGTGGAAATGAAACGACACAACGAACTAGACGAGCGCATCCTACTCCTCTTAGGGCAGGTTGCCCCCACCACTGCGACCAATACCTGCTGGATGAGTCATATCAGCAGCAACTCAACCCCCGTGCAATTCTTGGGGACGAACGAAAACTAACATAAAAAAGTCCTTCGGTACCCGTTCGAAATATCGCTCCTTTAGCTCACTTCAATATGTGTTCTGCGTACACGCCGTTACAGTTGTCGAGATACTTAGAATATCTCTCGCTTCCATCACAGTATGATGCCTACCAACAAAATCCACAGTCCTTTCCAAAGACAGCTGCTGCTCTGAAAACGCTTTTCCGGTGCCAGGTCACCCGTTTTCCGTATGAGAATCTCACGCTGCATTACCCCGGGACGCAAGTAGTGAACATCAACCCGACTCCGATTTATGAAAAGGTGATGGGACTAGAGAACGGCAGTCCCACGAAAAGAGGAGGGTACTGCCTTGAAGTCAGCATATTTTTCAACCACGTGCTGCGCGGTCTAGGGTTCGATGTCTATATGACTGGTGTTCGAAACAGGCAACGCATTGACGGCATACCCCAAGGAGAATACAGAGGATGGTACGATAAAGTCTTCTCCCTGATGAGTTCTTTCTGGGTTGATCATAACCAATCACAGGACACACATTGTCAACATCGTTCGTCTTCCTTCTGGATCAGAGTACCACGTGGATGCTGCTTTTGGTGGAGACGGCCCAGTCAGTCCGCTGCCTCTAATATCCGGGCAAGTCACCAGGAACCTGGGCAACCAAGAAGTCCGTCTTGTCCAAGACAACATCTCGAAGCAATCTCGAGCAGAGCAAAAGGTGTGGATTTACCAGTATCGCAACGCACCTGATAAACCATGGAACGCGTTCTACTGTTTCGCAGAGTTAGAATTCTTCCAAGATGACTTCGAAGTTATCAATCGATTTACGAGTTGGGAGGCTATTGAAAAAGGTAACGTGGTTGTGAAGTTCATACGAAACAAAGAGATCGATGAGCTTCCTTTTGGCGACAGCATCGTCGCAGAGAATGCGAATGCAGACGATGAGATTTATGTCGTCGGAAAATTGATGATGGTGGACAATGTGGTGAAAGTGAATATGGGTGGCAGAACAAGAGTGGTTGATTCATTTCATACAAAAGAGGAAAAGATCAGAGGGATAAGAAAATGGTTCTCAATTTCTTTTTAGTTTTGATTGAGAAGCCTAGGCAGTGATTTACCATCTTGTATTATAATTAGCTTTCCTGGTCTAGAAGCTGTCTATTCCTAGAGTTACAATTTCAAACAAGGATTTCAAACAAGGAAAAGATAATCACTTCACGAATCCGAGGCTTGCCCAATGACTCGCTGGTTATGAATTTAAGGGCGATGGCTTGCGTAAGCCCTGGAGTCCACCCAAACACCTTTCCAGCCTGCACGGACGTGACCTGGGGGTTCAACTTCAAACACGAAGTCTCTAATTAGCTCTAATTGATGACTATCATGGAACACCTCGAAGCTAAAACAATTCCCGCTCCTGGAGAACTCCCAAATGTCCAAGGAGACGCCCTGCGCATTTCCCAGGTTCTCCAGTCGGGCGGGGTCGTTATTATACCCACCGAAGTGGGCTATGGATTGATGGCATCGTCACCGGAAGCCATCGAGAGAGCGTTTGCTGCAAAGCGACGTAAACCAGGCCACGCACAGGGTTTAATTGGGTCATACGAATTGCATCGCGAAATTCACATGCTAGATGAGCGGCGGTTCGAAATGACACGAGTGCTAGTCCAAGAGCTGGACATGGGACTGGGAATCGTTGCGCCATATCAAGAAGGACATCATCTCCTACAGACGTTATCGCCAGAGACCCTTGCCAAGGTCACGAAAAACGGCACTATTGCTATGTTTGTTGGTGGCGGATCGCTTCTGAGAGAGATCTGCCGGCTCAATTACAAGGCAGGCAGGCTCATGGTTGGATCTAGCGCGAACGTGACTGGTAGTGGACAAAAGTTTCGCGTCGAAGATATCGAAGACGAGATCAAGGAGGCGGTGGATTTGATTGTTGACTACGGTCTTCAGCGTTATCATATATATGGTGGAAGGGCATCGATCAATATGGATTTTGGCCAGATGAAGATTTTGCGAATGGGGGCATGTTACGAGTTGTTCCGGGAGCGTATGCAGAAATTCTGGAGCGTAAACTTGCCCGAAGATCCAGATTATAAGATCGAACACGTATGAAAACTTCAGTTATATTGCCTTATCAGTGTCTCCTGTCAAGACTCACTATATCTAATAGAGTGACACTTGAGTAGCCCACGATAGTCACTAGTAGATCCATCGGTATTCATAGTGAGCTTGAACTGTCGAGACAGAGCTCACCAAATTGGCCGTCAAAGCCTAATTCACAAATACAGTCAGAGTGAGTTCAGTCGTGCAATTGTCTACTTTGTGGTCAGTGAAAACTTCATTTTCTGTCCAGCTTATCGAGTTGCTGTAGTTACGAACTCGATCTGGGGGCACCAGTGGCGTAATCACCAGGCTAACTAACCTAAGTCAGATTTCTCTATATGGCTTCACGCTTTTTTAGAGAGGCTAGACGTGCTCCGTGCGCGTGGCGTGGTTGAGTGGCTTTCCAGGAACGGAGGGGAAGATTCTTGGTTGTGTCTTCACATCTACCATGTCGGAGCATTGACCGAGCTGCTTGTGATTTTGGCCGCAAAACCGGGCACTGTGTGGGGACTCAGGCTCCACCACGTCGAGCTCGGTCTACCTCCTGAAGTGCATCTTGTGTCCCGGTAGGTCCCGGAGCACTAGTCGACAAGTCTCAACCGAACGCGCAGTGGCTTAGGGTTGAACCAACTAAGCGGTCAACCGTTATCTACATCCCTTGGTCGGTGGTGAAAGGCAATGACGATCGGCGTGGTCCGAGTCCCATCGGTCCACATCCGTGGTGGCACTGGGGTCCGTTCATCTGCCCTCGGCATGGGCACTCAGGACGGTGCACGTCATGGGCCACAGGTAGGATCTGCCCGACATGCGGCTTAGCAGTGACCGACGAGAGGGACCGACCGCAGGACGATTTAGTTAACAGTTAAATGATGATCGAATTAACTAGTCCACTATCGCGGGGCTTTCAGAGACGCTGATTCGGACTTTTGGGATCATCCCACCCAATGACGTGACAGGGTGGGCTGGGTGGAATCGCGAAATCCACATGTATGATTCTTTGGAGAGGGTCACCTTCGCGACCGAGGTTCTTGGGCTGAGTGGAATCCGGGGGAGAACCAGTAGACATCCCTCGATAATCGTAATTGATCTTCGGTGCAAGAGCCCCGGACGCGCTTGGGCCCAGTTCCCCAACATTTTTTCTCGACCGAGGCAGAAAGTCCGGGGGCGCCGTGGGGGAAATTTCATGTGCTGGTCACGACGATCACCAGGGGCATTTATATAGCACCAGCGCGAAACGACGCTGGCCGTCGTCCCTCTGAAGTGCCTGCAGAATTGTCTTCCCCACATACACATTCATTCTCTTAGACTCTCGAATTCCACAATGTCTGCCAACGGACCGCGCCCAGGATTTCTGGGCAATTTGTCGCAGGACCAAGAAACCAAGCTGCAGCAGCTCTGGAGGGTTCTGCTCAAGGCCACCGAGCTCCCCGCAGGCGACAGCGCTCCCGCCGCCGGCGCAGAGGACGCCGCCAGCACGACCGAGCCGCCGCAGCGACGGCTCTCGCGAATCAGTCGCACCCAAAGCAACCTTTCCGAGAAGAACAGCCCGACCGCACAGTCCGCATACCAGCAACGGGTCCTGGCAGTTCTGAAGGAGTTTGGCATCCAGAATGCTGAAACCAAGGCCGTCCAAAAGGCTCTCTCCGCGATCACGCCCACGGAGCTGCGACAGGGAGTGCTTAATCTACTCAAGCATGACCACCCAGATTCGATGCTACTTCGCTTTCTTCGGGCTCGGAAATGGGACATCTCAAAGTCATTTGTCATGATGATGGATGCAACTGTGTGGCGCGTCAAGGAGATGCACGTCGACGATGATGTGATGGCCAAGGGTGAACTCCACGCTCTCAAGCAGACCGAAAACACGTCCAATCCCAGTGAGAAGAAGGCAGGCACCGACTTTCTTTCCCAGATGCGCATGGGCAAGGCCTACGTGCATGGTACCGATAAACTCGGCCGACCGATCGTTGTGATCAGAGTTCGTCTGCACAAGCCCGGTGCGCAGTCCGAGGAAGCCCTCGAGCGCTATATTGTCCATGTCATCGAATCCGTGCGACTGACATTGTCCCCTCCGGTCGAGACCGCGGTATGTACCCTCCATCGAGCGAGACCATGCCTCGTACAGAAATCGCTGACAGTGAAACAGTGCGTTCTCTTCGACATGACTGGGTTCGGCTTGGGGAACATGGTATGTTCTTAACCTCAAGAGGTGCTTGGGAGTGAACTGTCTTGGCTCACGGCTTGTTACTAGGAATACCCACCAGTGAAATTCATTCTGAAGTGCTTTGAGGCCAACTACCCTGAATCTCTGGGAATCATGCTCATCCACAACGCACCGTGGATCTTCTCAGGTAAGCATCCGGAGCTACCCTTGGCCATATGATTCTGTCTAATGACTTGGGAAATTTCAAGGTATCTGGAAAATTATTCGAGGATGGATGGATCCCGACATCGCGGCGAAGGTCGATTTCACGAACAATGTGAACGATCTGGCCAAGCACATTGAACGAGATCACATTGTCAAGGAAGTTGGCGGCAACGAAGATTGGGAATACAAATATATCGAGCCCAGTCCGGAGGAAAACGAGAAGATGAACGATACTACCACTCGTGATGCGCTGATATCCGAACGGCAACAGATTGGAGAAGAATTCCTTACCGCAACTTCCACATGGGTAGAGGCCGCCAAATCCAAGAATTCTGACGAGGTTAAGAACGCTGCGAGCCAGAGAGCTTTCCTAGCGGAGCGGCTACGCGTCAACCACTGGAAGTTGGATCCCTACACTCGAGCTCGCCTCTGCTTGGACCGCGAGGGCGTCATTCAAGAGGGTGGAAAGATTGACTACTACCCCAAGGGAGACGACAAAGAGGCCAACGGAGAGGCCGGTGTAGAGAGCAAAACCTTGGAGGTGCAACATCTAGAAAGCCTCAATGGGAATGCGACGGAGGCCCCTGCTTCTTAGATATTGTTCACACTGGAGCTGTGTTTCCCTCTGTGTTAGAAGTTATTGACTGTTCGTACTATTCAATTACATATACCACCTTTGTCGAGTTACTTTTCCAGCTAGAGTGATCGTGTCTAGCAAAACTTTCCAGGGCCTAGATCAATAAGGTACAAATACCGGAATTTGAACGTGGTCCCGAATTTACTCTTGTCATCGGGAGAACTCGAATGAGTGGATATGAGCTGAGATTCATAGTCGATCTCCCAGGCTAATGACGTCGTCCTTCTTCCAAACGAGACTATCAATCACAGTCACAAGGCCCTTTACCTGTTCGGACGCAAAAATCATCATGAGGTTCCTCTGATCGACTAAGGGCTTCACCACAAATTGTTTCTCTCTAACATAATCTGCACCTACTACCATGGAGGCTCCGACGGTTGTCGCAAAGGTTGGAATCAAGTAAAACGATATGCATGGAAATCGCATTAAATAAATAGGTTGGTTTAGCGTTTCTTAAAGATGAAGAAACTTGATATAAAATCCTTACGCCGGACATTTCGGCAAGCATAGGTCTTTCCCAACTATACAGACCCCTCATCTAGCGCAGATCTATCCCGCCCCCCACATTTTTTCGTGAAATGACTGGCTCAATGGATAGATATAGATATAATTTGACTGCACTGAATGCTATTGAAGAGTGGCATCATTATACATCATTATATATCATTGTACAGGTCAGCCTTCTTCGAAAAGCCAGTGGATGGAAATTGCGGGATAGATTTCCACGAAAGAATCAAAAATAGGTTTCCAGCTCTTCAGATGTAGTTAAGTCAAAGGAATAATATTCACAGTTCAAAAAAAGGTGCAGCACCCAGGGCTGCAACGGGCAGAAATATATCAAGAAAGCCATCTTTCCTGAGCAACGCCACTTTTTCATTGCCCAAGACAACTACCCCTCACTATTAATGTTTCGAAACATTGCGTAGCTCTAAGTCATCCTGACCCTGGTCACTGCAGCTAGAAAAGCTTCTTAGACGTTGCTTCCCACGCGTTGGGTATATGTTGCGGTTGTCATGTTTTCCGCCGTGTCGTGCCGACGGTCGGTTGGAACGAAATGGGTGAAGGAATAAGTTGTTGCACAGTCTCCGGACTGCAGTTTGAGATGTGATGATATATACAATCCCGTTCCAGAAGGCCTGTAAAGGGAAGACAAACGAAGCAACATAGTTCAATGGAAAGTTAAAAACATTAGGTAGAACAAGGGCATAGACGCGATTGACGCTGGTTGGCACCTTGAGAGAAAAGTTAATACACCAAGCTTCCTTCGTTCAAAGGCAGGCATTACTTACCCAAGTGATGAGAAGGACTAGGAAGAATAGGAAAGCAACACGAGCGTAAATCCATGCTTCCTGGTTTTGCGCACGCTCGGCTGCCTGCCGTGTGATCTCGCGCAATCGAAGCGCTTCAGGGAGGTGGTGAGCATTTTGTGCAGGCCTCGTTGGCTCCGCCTCTACTTGCACAGCATACACATCTTGTTCGGCGGCAATAGTGTCCGAAATTCCCTGAGGGCCGGCATCGTCCACAATCGGGCGCTCTTCGTGCGTAATCTTGACTTCTGTCGTGATATTGGCGAATGGATTTTCGTTGAGGGGATTCAGGTAACCGTCAAGGTGTTCTCGCTGATCATAAATAACTTTGATCGTCATTCCATAAATAACAAATGCCAGCGCAATGGCAACCCTATTTTACATTAGCACAACAATCTCTCACGTCATTGACATGTAGCACTCACCAGACAATACCGTAAAGGAAGACCACACGCATAAAGTCCCATTCGGTGGTAATCCAGCACCAAATGATAGCTGAACCATACATGCGTCCCCGACTCGGTGTATTAATGAAGAGGAAAGTCAGGGCAGGGATAAACGATAGGCCATAACTGAGAAGAAGATAGAAGATGTCCAGTGATCGAAGTCGTTCAACTGTATAGTCGCGGAAGAAAATCAGATAGACATTGATTGCCATGAAAAGCGCCCAGTAGCAGTCAACACCAAGGAACATCTGAACTAAAAATGCTTGGAATTGACAAACGGCTGTATCGGGCCCTGAATCGGGACCGGCTTCGGATATAATGGCTGCAATATTCGAACCCAGGTTGCCAAAACTGGCGAAGAAGATCAATCTGTTGATTGGTTTGTCGAAACCTGGTGCAAACAAATAGGTCGCCATAACAAAAAGGATACATGCCACTGATGCACAGGAGTTGACTCTTTCGGTCAATACCAGGGCATGGAGCTGCCATGGTGTAAGCTTGTCCGACATTGTGTCGGTATTGGATTGGGGATGTCCTGTTAAAGCTGTTGGATGGAGGATACATTAGAGCACGTTTCAAAAGAAACACGAGAGTAATACAAAGGCATCTTACCGTCTGGGACAGATTAGTCGTTAAGATTACGACCACATTAGACACGACACAGGTATATGTGGTGAGAGGGAGTTGGTTATGTCTCCGTCAGAAGTTGAAAGAGCGAAAATGTCAGACCATGGGTCAATCACTGACACGGACAAAAACTGTCTCAAATGTTACAATCTGGGGCTATCCGCGGTGAATATAGGCACTGCTCCACTGACAAGATTTCAGCACTCTGTCAAATCCCTAAGACGGGCTGATTCCGTAAAGGATTTCAAAAGGATTTAGTGTCTTTGAGGAATCAATGGTATCACACAGCTATCTTGATGATCAGTTCTGTATTCAGCAACAGTGTTCTCTCAAAATATGTATGGTAAAAGGCTAGCCCCATTATTATTATTGTTTAGCTTTTGCACTGCGAAGGAAAAACCTATTGTCGCTGCTAACAATACTGGCCTCGAAGCAATAACCAGCCGGTTTCCACTAGATGATAGTGATCCTCGGTTTTGCAGGAATCATCCTACAGGAATAGCGCCACACCAACGATCCTTGATTTGTTCTCGAATGGGCCCAGTCGGTCATGGTGTCAAAGTAGCGTGGGGCGGAATCGCGCAAGGACCGCCGACGGCCCGTGGGGGCTAAGAAGATATTACACTCCATAGCCGATCCCCTCCATAAGCAACGGTCGGCATCGGTATGTATATAGGCTCTCATTAGGTCAGTGGCGTTTGAGACTTTCCTTTTATGGTGCTTATTGTTGACCAGGCTTTGGATGTCCTTGGAAACAACGTTTTCGTGCTCATGACCTCCAGATGCATCTTTCCGTTTTCCCTAACGGAGGAATTAATGTGGCCTATCACACATTATGCCTAGACGGTCGATAAAACAAAAGTCCTTGTAGAAGACAATACTAGACAAAGGATTCGACGGGTGGCCTATCGCCTACACATCATGCTTAAATAATTGGAATGTGCAGGTGGACGTGACATTACTTCTCTGTCCCCGCTGGAGATGATCCCCCATTGGAACTAGCACAGATCCTTCAGGCCCCTCCCGGCGAAACAACGAGACAGGAGAGAAAATCGCTATTTTATTTCCGCAGCTCCTTCTCAACAGCCGTTGAACGACTTTAAGGGGTTTTGGCTTGTGGTTAGTAGCAGATACAGCAGGAGCCGAAAGGAACATGTCTTAGTTAATTCTTGTTTATTGTCACACTGAGTTGGTCTCAATCTTACGCATGTGCATGTGCATGTGGCAGCACAATCCAAGTCACTTCCGTTGAATATTTAATAGCCTATTTCGTAGATTCTCCGCAGTCTTGTCACATATTTGAGTCTAGACAGGAGCTCGACTACTACGTATATCAATCATTATTGACTGCAATAACTACCAGGGCAGCCTTGGATTTGCTTTAGAAAATCAGGCACTCGAAGGCCTCAAATACCAGGCATACAAAACAACAATAGTTATTCGAATTCAGCCCTTTGAGTGTGAAAAAGAGTTGAGCATCGAGTTTTCCTGACAGCCACCAGAGGCTTGATCTGAACGACTAGCGGGTTTCTTTGTTTGAGGTGGAGGTTTTGTGTGGGATTTGATTGGCACGGAGACAGACAACGGCTGCCAATCCCATGAACGTCACAAACAATCATCTCGTCGAAGATATGGAATTATAACAGTAAATTGATATCTTTTTTCAGCACAGACGTGCTGTGCGTGTCCAGTAACTAGTAAGTACTGTACTTCGCCTCCACCAAATGCAGATAATGTCGGGCATAGAAGGCGTCAGCTAATCCAAGCACACCGAAGTACGTACCTTATCCTTATTAGTTCAAATGGGGCGGATTTGAAAGAGTGGGGGTTCCCACAATGGAATGGGGCACAGTCGAGCCCATCCACCCTTTCCGGTCCCTGCAACTGTTTCACTAGACGTTTCTATATAGTAGTCAGTGAGATGTCTTCAATATGTTGAGCCATGGAATGTTAATAGCATCGTTTGTTTTTGTTAGGCGGGTTTTCATCAGGTGGAAACAATCAGCCATTATTGGGTTACGGGGGAAATCTGCCAAGGAAGGTCATCAAGTTGTTGGTGTCTATCAGTCTAATCAGGTTCAAGGAGCTAGAATGGAAGGGAAATCAAGCTTATTCCTTCTGTTGTGTAATTTGGAAATCACAGGAACACTAGTAGTCCCGAAAAACAAGCGCGTTGTTCCCGTGTCGATGTGAAAACGTATAAACCGCTAATTAATGTATTATTTCATGTCACAGTTAATCAATACATCCACATCCCGGGCACGAGGATACGGCACCTACGTAGTTCTCATTCTGGACTACCAATAGGCGTCCTCAACCTCTGTTTAAGTGAGGTTACCCGTCGGACCCCCGTGCATCTCTAGGGGGCCAAACCCAGCTGATCCTTCAAAACTCTCAGGAGGTTGGCATTGGCACTGCTGGTTGGTCATAGCCACACGCCACGTGGTAACTAAGAAAATTTGTCTCATTTACCCGTTGAAATCCCATTCGATGCTTGGCCGGCACTCTCGGAACATCCTACCACATTCGAATACTAGTTGCCGGTTGCCAAGGCTTCTTTCTTGAGGGTAACTCATCAAACAAATGGCCTAACTAATGTACGCTAGGCGTGTTGCAATCCCAATGTATAAATCATTGTTTTTTGATGCTCGTGGTTGTAGGCCCGGCAATTCGCAAATTTGTTGGTTCAAAGACATCATATCTGCTTGTGAGGGAACAGTCACATTTGTGGGCCTGAGGTCTTGCGGCATCACTATTAAAATAAGTTGCTTGGTACGCTGTTCAGCCAAGACATATCCTGGAAGTCAGGAAACTCAAAACTCTCTAGTATAGCCGCATTCATGCCCTCCCCAAAGGATATCTCGTTCAGTCCACCGGGGACGTTGGTAATAGATTCACCGCGTGCGCTAGAATCGGCAGGCAGGCCTTCTGATACCACCCGTTCGTATAAAATCTCGAGTGCCGCCACGCAGCGCCGTGCTGATGTGCTATAACTTTGGTATTTCCTTAGAATCTCAAGAGCGCAGTTCCAGGATCTAGTGACAGTGGCCTCAGTGACTTCTTCCAAGATGGCAGGGCATAAACGACCCGCGATCAAAACCGTCGCTGCGGTATAGACGTCTAGTCGAGTCAGTGGTCTAGATCCCGTATAAATTTCGTAGTGCTTACAGAGTATGTTGTACCACCATGCTGGCAAAGGCCCACCAGTGCCATCGGCAGGAATGTTGCTATAGATAAGTTCGATGGATTCTTGGGCTACTTTGACGCATATAATCGAACATTGTAATGCCACTCGTTGAGGAAGCAAATCATTCACGGATATGAGTGGATCTGTAGTTGTGTTATCGCGCACCGCGCAATATTTCGAAAGGGTCGGTCGAAACAGTAGCATTCGCACATGCAGGAACCTGTGGTAAAACTGTCAACAAGAGACTGGATATGGACAGGATACTTGCATCCTTACCTTGCTCTCAAAACAATACTTTGGCGACAGAAAATCGGATTCCTGGTCACCAACGGAGATGCTCCCCGTAAATGCGGCGGGAGGCTAAGGGTCCATCGAGTGAGAGACCGGTCGAGATCGAAGATAGTACGCTCTCCCTCATGGCTAGCGTGGCTGAAAAAGAAATCGTGAATTCCTTCTGCGCCTTCGTCCGGGAACGGTTTGTAGAGACTGAGCAGAACATCATTCATGATTTCATACAGCTCCAAGGACTTCGCGTAGAAGGTCATCATTGAGGGCCGATCTGCAGGCTGGGCAGATTCAGTATCTGATGATGCTAGTATATATTCTTCGTCCACGGCCGCTGGCAAGGGAACTGCTTCGCTTGACGCTTTTGAGATCATCGCAGGGCGGCCGAATGTCATCGATATAACCCTGGTAATGAAAGACTGATGAGAATGCATGTCATAAACTCTTCCGTGTAGTACATACCGATCCATCAGGACACAACCATGCCATATCTTGCGTGCTAGCTGTTGCTCTTGAAAACCTGGAAGACAGGCAATAGTTTGAGGCAGATGTAGCCCCAGACTTTGTGCGTTGCGGATTGCTAGCCCTGTCACAATCCAGCACTGATGTGCCGAGTCAGTGCTCTGCAGATACTGAGCCATCAAAAGAAGACATTGAATAAGTCCCGCAGATCCCGTGTTCCATAAGTTGAATTGGAAAAGGTCCTTGGCACGAGAGAAAAACGAATGTGCGGAGACCTCTCGATCTTCTGGTCGAATGAAGTCCGCCAGTTGACTAGCTAGAGCAAAGATCACGTTGAATGTGCACATCAGCATGTTCTCGTCATATCCAAGACTATCCCCTGTCCAGATCTTCGTATATTCGTCTCTCATTTGAGCGCTGTCGACAAACGGATACAGCGGGAAGACGTTGTTCCAATACACTTCCATCAAGCTGTCGGCAGTCTTCCGAGGCGGAAGAACATAGTCTGGCGCTTGTGGCGGCCGTTTCTCACTGCGAGCTGACATCAAATTGGCAGGGAGAGCGATATCTCGCGCGGGAGTCCGCTGCTGTGGGGAGGCAATTCTTTTGTCGACTGCTGTTTTGATTTGTCGCATGAATCCCGCTGCACTGGAGCTGCCAAAGAAGCCATGGAAGGCTCGCTCTTCCTCGACTGCTCCCATCATCGCATTAACTCCATTACCCCGGGCGCTGGAAGAAGGGATATCGCCGCGCGATGACGGAGGAGCGTGTATACGGATGCCTTGCCCATGTTCACCTCCAGGAGTATCCGAATAGATACTATCTGCGGGTGGAGCTGGCTGCACTGTGCTTATAGCTGGATGCCGATCGACTGGTGTAGGCAGAGATGGAGTATGCAAGGCCAGATGAGGAGATACTGGATCAAAGGGAAGGATTGATCGCTGTGGATAGTCAGCCTGTTGTACAATTCCAGCAGCGTCGGGGAAGGCACGAACTGAGGTGTTGCCTGATGTTAGACCCCTTTCGGGGCTATGAGAGGCGGTTCCTCCGGTCTTGCTTGATCCGGGACTCTCGAGGATCTTGAGTCGATTTTCCAGACTGGCAATGTATCTATCGGCCGGTCGGCCAAGTCAGTTGGACAGCTCAAATTCCCAGAATTGCGCGACCGACGTCTGTACAGCTCGCTTCTTCTCCTGCTCGCCAGTATACACACACTGCACTTGGCGGCCAGTCCTTTTAGCGCACGGCCCACATACTGATCGCGCGTCAAGTCAGCCCCGGGTCTAATTCCGCCCACTTTGGATCCTACCGGGTTGCACCCCGTCGCAGCGCACTTTCCTGGTGCGACAGTCGTCACAAGCGATCGCGATTTTGCGCCGCTTTGCAGGGCGATTAAGCTCCTGAGCCTCGTGACCCATCGTCGCAACAAGACCGTTTTTCTGAGAAAAGTGAGTGGCAAAGGAAAGAACGACTCTTCGGAACGGGATCCCGGGGAATAACCAAGCCAAGGCCCGTCAACTGCCGACTTGAGACGCCGTCCCGGTCATCAGATAACCATTTGAGCCAATTAGCATCTGGGGATCTTGATAATTTTCTGACGATGCGACTCCGTCGATTCCAGGTCTACATACTATCGCACTAACGTAATATTACAACTTGGGCATGCGGTAATAAGTAGGCACGGAAAATAAGGTTGAAGAATGCCAATTGAATACACGGGCACACTGCAAATATGTTCTGTTGATGTTGAAGGTTACATATTTATCTGCCCCACGTTTGCCTGCGATACTTCTAGTTTTAATTAGCCTGCAGTGCATTTGAGTTTCCGTCGCTTAAGGATGGCAAATGTGACAGAAAGAGGGCGAAGTTTTTGTATCCAGCAGCCAGATTGGAGCAGATGGTCGTCGGCCCTCATGTAATAGTTCCAGTCGGGCAAGCTCTTCGGTAGCTTGCCCGACACGCGGCAATGTCCCTCGACATGGGTTGGAGAGAACATCTTGTTTATACTCTATTGTAGACTCCTCTAACTTTTTCCCGTTTCATATATCACGCCCTTCTCAGCTGTGAGTTTAACGAGAGTGAATTTCCCAAGGTCCCGGACCAGAACCCGAATGGGACGGGTGGCCAACCGACGGTGACCAACAGCCTCGGGTTATGAAATCGGGACTGCAGAAACAGAGATCGGCGCTATTAAGTGCGGAATTAATTCGTCTTCGCCCAGAAGATGTGGCTCCAGGTCGGCTGGTGCTCCAATGATGCGATGTCAGTTGTGGATTTGCGTAGACATCACTCCGTCGGATCAGATCCCATACCCCGTTGGACCCCTTCGTCGATTGCCCCATGGGGTGCCCAGGCCCACAGTGCCAATTATTTCGTCTAGATATAACCTGAAGTGAGCCCGGCTTCGTCTTGATTCCAAGATGAATGCTACTGCGCCTTGTTTAACCAACTTGAGACCGTGGACGCCGCTTTCTCTTCCTCTTTCTCTTCTTTTCCGGATCCTTGTTTCTATTTTATAACCGGCTACACCTGTCTACGATATGACTGCACATGCCCAGAGACAATCAGAAAGCTGGGGGCGGGCTAGCCACATGCCCGACGTGAAGAGCACCAGCTCGGAGACGTCGGTTCATCTCGAGCATGTTGTGCCAACGCCACCCAGGCCGGATGAATCGGACGAAGAGACATGGGCCACAAGTTCTCCTCGCGACCCACGAAACTGGCCTCAATGGAAGAAAAATGCGCAGATTTTGATGGTCGCGTTCCACTCCATGGCGGGCACGTTCATGGCAGCTGGTATCATCCCGGCTTACGAAGAATTTGCCGAGCGATATGATGTTACCGTGCCAGCTGCTAGCTACTTGACTTCATTTCAGGTACGCGGCGCTTTATTTCCCAACCGCCCTGATTCTTCCCAAGTTTACTGATTGCCCATTGCTTCTTCATAGATTCTCCTTCTAGGCTTATCACCATTGGTTTGGAACCCGGTCACTGCAGTTTATGGCCGGTATAATGTCAGTCTGCTCTCCGTTTTCGGGAGTATGGTGTGCAATATTGGTGGAGCTCGTGCTACCACTTATGGAGGGCAAATGGCCACCAGAGTTCTTACAGCTTTCCTTATATCACCTTCGATCGGAAACGGCAGTGGTGTGGTGACAGAGCTGTGTGAGCCTGAAAAACGTGCCCAGAAATTAGGCTGGTGGACTCTGATGACCACAATCGGAACTCCTGCTGGTCCTTTCTTCATGGGATTTGTGACCAAACACATCGGTGTCCAATGGATTTTTTGGATCTTTGCCATCATCAACTTCGTCCAATTTCTCTTCTACCTAGCTTTTGGCGACGAGACTATCTACAACCCGGAGAACGAGCCCCAGGCCAACGGTGTTTTTGGAAAACTGACTCCTCGCCGGATCAGTTCTCGCCCACTCCGGATTCGAGACTTCTTGTCTCCCTTTTCCTTGGCTCAATACCCTCGAGTGCTGATCGCGGCATGCGCTCACGCCATTACGTTTTGCTACGGCAATATTGCCCTCATTGTCGAGATGCCTATTGCCTTCGGCGACAAGTTTCATTTTGATGCGCAGCAGATTGGTTTGCAGTTTATTGCAATCATTATCGGTTGTGTGCTAGGAGAGCAAGTTAGCGGGCCCATGTCCGACTGGCTTTTGAAACGTATTCGACAGACCAGGGGGCAATCATGCCCCGCTGACCGCTTGTGGTTGTCCTATATTGCATTTGCTACTATCATTGCCGGTCTATTAACCTGGGGCTTTCAGTTGCAGCACGCTACTACCTGGAACGTCACCCCATGCGTCGGTGCTGCCATTGCCAGCTTTGGCAATCAGATGCAGACCACAATTCTTACAACTTTTGCAGTCGAGAGTAAAAAGGAAAGATCTGCTGAGGTTGGTGTTTTTGTCAACGTTTGTCGGCAGCTTTATGGATTCGTGAGTGCTCCGTATATCTTGTTTCATTGAGGATACTAACTAAAGGCCCATTAGCTTGGCCCTTTTTATTTTCCTGACATGTTCACGGCATTGGGACTAGGAGGAGCCGCCGGTGTGATGTGTGCCATTGTTGCAGGATGCTCTCTCTGCTCAACCATCGCCGTGCATTGTGTGGCAACCCGTGCTGGCCACCGTCGCTGAGTGATTCCGTGGAGAATTCAGAAGGGCCTCTCTATGGCCGTATGGACACAATCCAGGGGCCAACTGTAGATAACATATGTGGTCCATTTTGCTGTAATCAGATAAACTGTCACTAGATATATGATTTCTCATCATATCATATCTATTTTCTCACCGAAGCATGCTCGGAGCATTGAAAACCATAACCCGCATGCGTAAACGAGGATATCTTGCAAAGACTTTTACTAGTATTCCAATTTACTGCGCGGGCCATTGAAGATAACAGTCCCTATGGTTCCCATGGTCCAACAGCTCGTTTACCTGTTAGCAACTCGGGTTCGCCATCTCCTCGGACGAGAAGTATGTCTTCATGTCGCACTCCAAATTTATCGACCAAGTACACGCCAGGTTCCGATGTAAATGTCATGCCTGTTTTGAGGAGAGTTTCCACGTTCCCTTTGTGCAAATAAGGACTCTCATGTGCTGTACAAGGCAGGCGTTAGACCGTAACTGATTAATGCCAAGATATTACGCAAATAGTATTACGCACCTTTGATCCCAATGCCATGGCCCACACGATGTGTGAAGGTTCCCTCGTAACCGGCAGTGTTGATAACTTCTCGAGCAGCAATATCGACGCTGGCCGCAGTGTAGTTTTCCCGCATTTGATCAATCGATCGTGTTTGAGCTTCAAACACGACATCCCACACCTGACTTCTAATTAGACCCCAGAGCAGTTCACGACCAATACGAAACTTACCTTGAGCTTCTCTTCCATCCGAGGAGACAGCTGCTTCCCCGGAGCCGGTTTTTCTAGGAATGGAGGGAAGAAGGTGCGGCAAATGTCGGACGAGTAGCCATAGAGATGTGCCCTATTGTGGCATGAGCTTCAAGGGCGGTGGGATATCTAGGGAAGTAGAACATACCCCACATCAATGAGTACAAATGTCTCTGGCTCCAGCACTTTGGAGCCATTGGTACCTCCGTGGGGATTAGATGCGTTTTCGTCTGTGCTATGTTAGCTTGGCAACCAAAACTTCCCTGATTTTGAGTTTAGACAGACCAAAAAGAACTATGTCGAAGAAGGGTTCCATGCCCGCAGCCCGCAGGGCATTGTTGAGGGCTTCGGCAATATCGCTCTCCGTCAAGCCTGGATACAAGCCTGTGATCACTATGAGCAGCTGCCTCCACCAACAGGAATGGATGACCACACATTTCCTTACTTGCCGTACTGCTTCAACGGTTCCCGTGTTGACGGCGCGAAGAATCTCAACTTCCTTCTCAGACTTGCTCTGTCGCACTTGTTCGACGCGACCTTGCAGTCCAATGACATCAAATCCGGCGGTAGCCAGGCCGCGCTGGATGAAATCACGCATTTCTTCGTCGACCATCAATCGCGGGACTCGATCTAAATCACCAAACACGCCTGATTGCTGTAATGTGGTGTACGGATTCCAATGCTCTTCCCATGGGACAATACGGATGGGGTTGGCAAAGGGCATTCCTAGCAGTCGCGCGCGCTCTGCCTCGAATGACGGGCACAAAAAGGTGGTATTGGCCGTGATATTGCCCGACTCTTCATCTTGGTGAGGGCGCACAACCATCAGGAATGGCCGTTCTTCGGGCTGGGTTACAATGTCAGTCATAGACTCTAGCTGCTCAATCCCGCTGAGACAACATACCTCCCACACTTCCCACTCCGGCTGGCTCACATTGCCATAGTATTTGAATGTATAGCCCGGCTCTATCACAAAGGCATCAGCCCCCTCGGCTACCAGCGCATTGGCTAGGCGGTCTCTGCGTTCTTCAAAGTCCAGGAGAGTGATGGGTAATGCATTTTCAAGGAAAGGAAGGCCTGTATTGAGCAGATTATCGATCGCACATTTCTGAAAATCTGCCACAGCCAAGCCGTTGGGTACGGACTCCAGTCCTCCGAAACTATTATTTCCCACAATTCTGTAGTGATAGCCAGCGAGCAGTAAGCCCCCGGTCGCGGCAATGCTTGCCAGGCGCGCAAAGGAGAAGGGCTTATTGCGCGGGGTCGAGAGGAGTGCCTCCACGTCGTGCACGTTCTGCCTGAATCCTTTCATGGTTGCTGTTGAGAACAATGGAGGAGCGATTAGCTATCACTTCGGCGGGAACGACAGTATCTTATCATCGCAGCGCCTCCCCCTACCTATTTCGGCCACGTTAACCGTGATTAGGGTCCCACTTAAGACCCGTCCGGCGCGATTTAGCTGCCCGCGATGTTTTTCGGCCCACCCCCGCCTTAGACTTGATTGGCCCGATCTGCCTCGACCTGTTCTGGCGAAACCCTATGCCCGCACGGAATCCCGTTGTTTGACACGACTCCGCCCGACTGCGGTATATAATGGCCGGGGATCTGCCGAATAATATTCTGCTTTGCACCATCTTTCCCACTATCCATCATGAGCGAAACGTCGGCAATCGAAGTTGGGGAGATACCCGACTCGGCCCAGAAGGCGCCCCAGGAGGATGTCGAGAAGATGGATCCTACGTCTACAGAAGTTTCTGCGTCCAGTCGTGGGTATTCAAGGGCCTCAGTGGTGTTGATGGTAGTGTTCAGTGGCTTAGCTATTGGGTCGGATGGTTTCAACGCGTCGATCATCGGCAACGTGGAGTTGTTGATTGAGGTCATATACCCGAAGTCTTTCACGACCGCTGTGGCCGCTCGACTGTCCAATGCATTCATGGTGGGCATGATTATTGGCATGCTGAGCTTTGGCTACATTTCCGACAAGCTTGGCCGCAAGACCGGCGCTGTCCTCACCACCATCATTTTGGTTCTTGGGATTGCGTTGAGCGCTGGTGCCAGTGGACTGACTGACGATGGCATGTTTTGGATGTTGATCATTGCACGCGGGATCGCAGGCGTCGGGGCTGGAGGGTGAGTAGAGCTGCTCTTTTGAACGCGTTGCATGCCATGCCTCTGACAAGATCTTTCTGCGACAGAGAATATCCGGTGGCAGGGGCGGGTGCTGCAGAAGCAACCGATGAGGCACCAGGCATTCGCAAACACCGAGGCTTCATTTTCGCCATGATCGGTGATCTATCCGCTTCCCTGGGTTTTGCCTTTGGTGCGCTAGTTCCTCTGCTGCTCTTGTTGTGCTTTCACCAGCAGGTTCAGCACTATGAGACCGTATGGCGGGTTGCCTTGGTCATGGGTGTCATTCCTCCCATATCAATCTTCTGGTTTCGCTATCGGATGGTCATGAGCTCGGCCTATCGGAAAAGCTCTATGAAGAAGCAGAGGATCCCCTACTGGCTCGTGTTGAAGAAGTATTGGCGCCCCTTGCTCGGTGTATCTGGATCCTGGTTCATGTAAGTAATAGGTACCCCTGATCAGGTGAAACTTGACTGACATTGATTGGCTCAGTTACAATTACATCTCGTACCCGTTCGGGTTGTTCTCGTCGACTATCGTCGGACGGGTTAACCCTTCATCTTCTCTGGCTCTCACTATGGCGTGGGGAACATTGATTAATTGCTTCTATATACCGGGAGCGTTTATTGGTGGCTTTTTGTCCGATCGCATTGGACGCCGCCGAACAATGGCACTGGGATATTTGCTACAGGCGATCCTCGGCTTCGTCTTGGGCGGGGCATTGGGACCCATCCAGACGAAACTGCCACTGTTTATCGTCCTCTATGGGATTTTTCTCACACTTGGAGAGGTTGGTCCTGGTTCTACGATCGTTCTGACCGCAAGCGAGAGCTTCCCAACTGCCGTTCGTGGTCATGCAGTGGGACTGGCAGCAGCCTTTAGTAAAGCCGGAGCTGCCATTGGCACGCAAGTCTTTAAGCCGATCTTGGCAAGCTGGGGAAATGATGAGACTCGGGGAACACAGGCTGTATTTCTGATCGGTTCGGGGTTTGCTGTCCTCGGAGCACTTTTGGCATGGTTTGTCCTGCAGGACAGCGACAAAATACTTGACCACGGCGACCAAGAATGGAAGGATTACCTCGCTGCTCATGGCTATGAGCATATCGAATGGGGAGTGGAAGATACTTCAAGTCCAGAAGAAGTCAAAAATTTGGAATAATTAGTCCGTGGGACTTCAACATCCCTGCGGCAAAACGAGAGAACACCAAAATTCCAATGATAAGAGCATAAAATATACGAGCAATACCAGTGGTTTTTGGGTAAATACGTTCTATTACAAATGAGTAGATACACAACTGGACGTCCCAGAACTTAGCGACGATAAACGAAAAGAAGCAAACGAGTGACGCAATCTAGACATAGAAGAGCCGCAGTGGCTTATCTTGTGGTTGGCCTGGACAACAGATTGAAGGTAAATGTGAGAGGGTTCCTTTGATTCCCCTGTAGAGAAACACGCTGATGGGTCCCAGTCGCATCCCAAAACATGGAAAAGGTACTCTAGCGTTTTGGGGTTTACAGGATTGAGCCCAGCGCAACGCAAGGAACGGCCACACCGACGAGGTTGTTGTTCTATCGCGAGTTAGTATCGCATAATCAACTTCTTGAAAGTAATACGTACGGAAGTCGAAGGCGAGTTCTGGCAACAGGCAATGTTTTGCTTGCACTTTTGGTCGATCAACTGATTCAGGCCCACAATATCGACAGCTGGTAAATTGTTAACTTTGTTCAGGGCCTGACATTTAGAAATCCCTCACCGTTGAGACCAAGATCCTGGCACTGCTCAAACAAACCCAGACCATCACCTCCAGGGCCACCACCGAGGGCATTAGCCAGAACTCCAGCCAACGGACCTGTGTTGGCCGTGTTGATATCATGGGTATAGGTTGCCTTGTTGCAGCACGAAAGCTTCGCGTCATTCCCGCAAGCATTCTTGCCCTGGGCCAGGGTAGTCTGGCCGCTGATTGGGAACTTGACATCGCTGTTGCCAGCGTTGCCAACACCGTTGCCAGACTGAGGCAAAGCCATGGCGGTAGCTGCAAGGCACAGGATGGTTGTGAAAAACTGCATTGTGGTTATGGGTTGCGTAGAGGAAAGAGCTGAATGAGTGACTACAGAAATGGAACTTGATAGAGACAGACTTGAATAGATGATTAAAAACACAGGAGACTTCGGATTCTTTTATACCTGCTTCTTAGGCTGCCATTCTCTCTAAAGTGGGCAGGCGGTATCACGAGAACTCTTCAAAGTTGATTTAATTTGTTAATTGAATCAATCAATAGTGCTACGAAATGTTGGTTGAAAGTCACCTGTTTCCTATAAACTAATTTCTTTTTCTGTGGGTGTATAAGCAAACCACTAAGTGTTACGTGGTACAAACCTCGAGGTCGATCATTGAGAGTAGATGTATCTGGTCTCTATCGATCGAATTGTTTGATTAACGCACGTTATGTAGATCGAATGCATAAAAGGGTTTCACAGAAAAGCCAGGCCCAGTGCACTGTTTATGCTGTACCCCCCGAGATACTCCTTGCATATTGAATTTCAAGGGAATGACTCTCAGTATTTTGTTTTCAATGCGAACAGTCTCATTGATTTTGCACGTCGACCTTTCCGGTCCTAACACCCTATGACCGAAAACCGTCGATCAGCAAAATTAATCACTTCCGTTCAAATTCCGATAAGCTGGTCAATAATTGAGAGAATTCGTCCATTGCAAGTATATACAGCTGCGCATAGAAACCTATTGGAGTCTCACAGTCACACGGTCATCTTTTCAGTAGTCGTGATGCGTCTGATGCGAAGCTCGAACCGCACAGCCTCAGACCTGCATACCGTAGGGATATTCAGCTGGCTTAAGGGAAACATATTCCGTAGACTGAGCCAACATTTGTGATCCCATTAATCTGTCTAGGGTAACAGAAGCCGAAATGAGAAAATAGGCATATTCAATCTTCGTAAATATCTATGTTACTCGTTCATTCATTATCTATTTGAATGCCAGCTCCTTGTTTACCATGTGTAGGATTCCTCGACATATTTGATCGACTGGTACCCCTGCCGCATGGCGAGATGGGCCGCTGCCCGAGTCTCCCGTGCCATCCCCACCGGACCACATACGACAATGGCAAGAGAAGCACCAGCGGCGGTTGCATCTCGGGCGCGTTGAAGGATTAGCGATAGAAGATCGGGTCGTCCGGATTTAATCTCGCATCCGATCGCAGCCAAATACTCTGGAGGCGCCTCAGCAGTCGCCGTGCTGTAGAATGAAGCACGGAACTCCTCTCGATCCAAAGCAGGCTTCAACTCCCCATAGGCCACATCTCGGAAGAAAGCCACTTGTCGTCCGGACCAGATAAGCTCAATATCCTGGATTTGAGTCTTTTCCTCGTCGGGATTTTGCTGACTCCCTTCCTCAGCCGAGCGAAGAAGATGATCTTGGATGTAAGGCACAGCGCACGCAATGCCGGTTCCACCGACTATCATGAGCACGAATTCATACCGCCAGAGGGGAAAGGCGTCCCCATATGGTCCTTCCAGAAGGATCGTTGCATCGGTTGCTCGTGTGGGAGATTTCAAACATTGATGACGAAGTTGACGTGTCCATCCATCATACGGGCGAATCCAAAAAATCAACTTCAATGCTAGGCTGCTATCCACGCCACTGGCTTCTTCCAGCGAGCCTTGGGTTTCACCATCGCCATAAAGAAGAGGCACCTGTGAAATATCTAGCGATCTGTTCGGATTTCCCCAAAACTTCGCAGATGGTCCCTTGAATGAATCAAGCTCATAAGACCAAGCCCCGACCGTAAACGGATGGCTCTCCCACCCTGTAAATCGAAACGGCTGGTACAAGAAGTAATACAGTCCGGCCTCTGGTCGTAAACGCATTGATGGGAGCGTAACTTCCAAACGCACCACATCGGCTTCTTCATCATAAACCATGCGGCTCACCGAAGATTGAACACCTTGAGAGCTGACATGGAGGTTGCAATAGCAGAGGCGCACGAGCCGTAAAAAACGATCCAAAGCCCACACACTCACAGATGGCCACAAATAAGTCCAGTACTCCTGTCCTTCGAATATAAACGTATGGCTACACGGAGCGCATGAGTTAGCCTCGGAGTGAGTCAAAATGGAAACCGACTAACTAGAAACATGCGACTAGTATCAGAATGGACAGCACAATATGTGTTATCAAGAATATCTCGTATGTCGCGTGGCGGATCCGATCGAACGAGGTGACCACCAGCAGCAGCATGACAAAAAAGGCCTAACAGTCCGTCAGCTGACAGCGATAAGAAACTCGATATCCCGGAGCCTCACTAGTATTCCCCATAGGATATAGGTCTTTGAAAGTTCCTTGTAAACCTTATTCGCTGTAATTGGCCACTCATTAACCTCGAGAATGCACAAAAGGTGCCCATTGTATATAGTGAACTAACCTCGGATATAGATCGCAGTATACAGAATCGAATGCACCACACCCTGCACAGTTGCCACGCGTGCCACATGACGATGGAACATATTGAATGATGCGAAGCTCCAACCAGTAGCCCACAGAAAGACATTGTTCCGTCCACCAAATATCCACAAGAGCGGAAAATTTGCGAAAGACATAATTCCAGTACGATCCGCAGAGTACCGTAAGAGTTGGCTGGAGGTATCGGGCCAACTATCAAATCAAATCAGTTGTGTCCAAACTTCACTGAACGATAAATTCTCAGACGCACTAGATGTTACCGGGGAAGGTTCGGTAAGCCACGACGCTCAGAACGATGCTGATTATCCAAAACCCGCCGACCACTAGCGCTTCAATTCGAGAGGGAAAGTAGCATCCCAAGAAATACCAGCTCTGTGTCGTCCATGGCGCTGGAGTGATTACATGTGTTTGTAACCAGCGATAGATCCTGCCTGCCCATGCAAAAGAGACGCCCTGGTAAGAGTTCGAGGGATACCGATGAGTTTTGAGCTCACGCGCGACTGGGTATCGACGGTAGAAGAGCCAATCACATAAACGAACGATGATTCCTCCGAGTAGGATGATGCTCCAGTAGGCGTAGCCCACATACCTAGACGAGAGCCTTGGTCAGTTTTGCCACTGCCGTCTCTAGCAGCAAGACAACTAACCCAAATGCATGATGCGACCAGGTCTCAAATTGCCAAGAGTCCTATCAATCCACTGTCAGCTTATTGTAGTGCGACATGGGATTATTGAACCGCACTCACAATTGTATTAAACATTCGGTTAAAGAAGGAAGCAGAAAGAATGACGGGGGTGTCCACAGGCTCTGCCCGTGGCAACTCCAAATAATCCACAGTCCGCATGGCCTGGATCGCATCCTCAGTCAGGTTGCCCGCAACTTCGTCTCTGGGCAGCAGTTTCTGATTCCCGAATTTGCGACACTCGGTCGCCAGCCGAGCCAAACCGGCCGCGCACTCTCGGTCGGAGCAGTATATTTGAGAAGCAGCATAAATGGATGTGACCTTGAGTGGATTCTGGCACCGCGTATCCCACATACCATTTGCGGGACTACCCGAAAACGATATGTAGTTGTACGCTGAATAAATGGCTGTCACACATCGTCCGTCTTTCGGGAGACTGGTGGCCCCGGAACACTGAGCAGCGAGCGCAATGGCCAGCCATCCGACAAGCAACATAGTTGTTGTCGTCGGTCCGTCTCCGGATCGGCAGTCAGCCTAGGGTTAAAGATAGGGGGACAAGGTGAACAGAGAATGAGAGGAGGCCCGGGATATGCATCCCGATAGTCCGCAAAGTCTGGCGATCGGGGGGCAAGTGGACCCACCGGCCCTGGTCTAAGCATAGGGGAGGAGTTGATTCAACATTGCTTAACATCGGAATTGCTGCCATTGATACATGCATGGTAAACTTTCGGTCCGCTGAGAGCTCTTCAATTGACAGCAAGCACCCTCGAGTTCCACATTAGGATCAGATAGCAATGCGAAGCACAAACCCTAACTGATGGTTGGAACAGGCAGCTCCCGCAAGTCTTCTTGACTGAGTCTGGGACCGCGTCTCGTTATATTTTCATATCATCCGTCATGTTTTCATCTCTGCGAGTATACATTGTTTCTCAATAATCGTCAATGGCAAATATAATTACATAAGCTCAATTGGCTTTCTCGTCGTGGACGAGACTTGATGCCTAAGGACATCACGAACTACCAGATTGAGCACATACCAAACAGTTCATTAAAGGCTGCAGAGAAGGTTGAAACCGCGCGAGTGGCTGTGATTGTCTCTTTATACACAACTTCATGATTAACCCGTCCTGGTCGCCGTCTATTTTTCCCCTTAGCCCACGAAACGAAAGGTGGTTCTCTCGAACTAATAGATTATCTCTTCGAAGTCGAGTCTATGTGGCAGGCGCTTCGACGGAGCATAGCTCGGATGCACGAAGGTGACGGCCTGTTTCGGTAGGAAATCGAGAAAGCACATCTAGGGAAAAGCTCTCGAGAAGACGTCATCGAGCACCGCGGATAAATCCACCCCCCAAGGCTAAATATTGTCTTGCTATCTACTCCGTTTAAAAAACAATCTATTGGATGAAGATCTTTGTCACACGGCCCACCGACACTCGTGAACGTCTTCATCTAGCGACCATACTCTATCTGTGGCATAGATCGTAGCGTTTTCTCCACGCCCAAAGCCTTCGGTTATCCCGAACTCCACACCACGGGGGACCTCCGACAGCGATTTTACTGCACTCCATCCCCCACAAGCTCGGCTAAATAATGAAATCTGATAATGATCGGCCCAGTCCGGGGCCAATGCACTCCGTTAATCTCGTCTCCGGTGGGCCGTGCAGAGCACCCCGGCCGATGCCGTAACTCGATTGTCTGCCCTTGCCCGTCTCACCCGCAACCGCAACAGCTATTAATGTCGATCCTTACTCAAGTGGCCTATTCATTGGAGGTTCGAAAGCAGGCCATTAGGCTAAATTGGCCATGGCACGTTGTATAAAGCAGCGATGGAGGTAGTGAAAGCGAGACACTTTTGCATCATCCACCATCGCTTCGTTTGAAAGCGGAAGATGCGATTCTCTCTTGTTGCGCTCAATGCCATTTGGGCCTCGAGCGCAGTTTTGGCGTCTCCGGTTCAACAGCGCGACTATCACGAACCGACTTCTAAAGGGTTTCGCATGCAGCATGGCTTTGAGACCGTGCTAGTACAGCCATTTGGGTACGACGGCTTCCGTGTCCGCGCATGGCCGTATCGCCCGCCGAGTGGTCAGGAAATTGGATTCATTTATGATCCACCCCTTGAAGGGCCCGAAAATGGCGATGCCCACGGAATGTCTTTTGATACTGCGTTCAACGGAAACCGGTCTGAAGAGCTTCGTAACGGGAACATAATCGTCCGCACATCCGGCTGGAGTGGGAATCCAGGAGGCTATCGACTGGCTTTTTACCGGGTGGAAACTAATGGCTCAGAGACTCTCCTCACAAACGAGTATGCACCGCTCAAGTCGATCAACCCCCGCTATTACTCCTGGACCGGAACTGGCAGCGAGTTTGGTGCTGAATTCTCATTCAGTACCACACCAGACGAGCAGATATATGGCACTGGTACCCAGCAAGACCACTTTGTCAACAAAAAGGGACAAACCATCGATCTGATCAACTTCAACACCCACATCCCCACGCCAGTGTTCATGAGCAACAAAGGATATGGGTTCATCTGGAACATGGCTTCCGAAGGTCGCATGGAATTTGGTCCGCTGCGCAACCGATTTACTGCGGATTCGGCGACAGTGGTTGACTACGTGATATTCTCGTCTGCCCCCGGTGACTACGACACACTGCAGCAGCGCCTCTCTGCGCTCACTGGGCGTGCACCGACACCTCCGGACTGGTCTCTTGGTTATATCCAATCCAAGTAAGTTATTTTGCATTATCATACTGTCCACATTTTCATGGACTAAAGTGCTTGTCTTCCTCAATTTCACAGGCTACGATATGAAAATCAGACCGAGGTAGAACTGCTGGCTCAGCATTTTCATGCACGCCAAATTCCTGTTTCAATGATCGTCATTGACTATCAGTCTTGGGCTCAGCAAGGTGATTGGGCTTTGGATCCGCGCCTCTGGCCTGACGTGTTGGAGATGGCGCAACAGGTGAAAAAACTGACCAACGCCGAGATGATGGCCTCCCTATGGCCCAGCGTTGCGGACAATAGCGTGAACTACCTGGACATGATTTCCCAAGGATTCCTCTCAGCCACCCGCACCGGTCCGGGCACTACGGACTCGTGGAATGGATCCTACATCCGTAACTATGACTCCACAAACCCCGCAGCACGCCGTTTCCTGTGGGACACATTGAAACGGAACTACTATGACAACGGTATCAAGAACTTTTGGATTGACCAGGCCGACGGAGGTGCCCTAGGTGAGGCGTACGAGAATAACGGCCAAAGCTCCTATATCCAGTCAGTCCCTTTCGACTTGCCGGATGTGCTATATGCTGCTGGCACTCAGCGCAGCGTCGGGAAGCTCTATCCATGGGCCCACCAGCAGGCCATCGAGGAGGGCCTTCGCAATGTGACCTCCACCGATACGGGGTCGGCATGCGACCATCTCTCCCTAAGTCGGTCTGGATATATCGGCTCCCAACGGTTCTGCAGTATGATCTGGTCAGGCGACACAACTGCAGTATGGGAGACGTTGAGCGCCCAAGTAGCCAGTGGATTGTCCGCCGCAGCCACTGGCTGGGGCTGGTGGACTATGGATGCAGGCGGTTTCCAGGCCGATCCGACGGTATGGTGGAGTGCCAACATCGACACGCCAGAGTATCGCGAGCTATATGTCCGTTGGCTCCAATGGGCGACCTTCCTCCCCTTCATGCGCACCCACGGCTCCCGCGAATGCTATTTCCAGGATGCGTATACGTGCGCAAATGAGCCCTGGTCGTACGGCGAACAGAACACACCTATCATTGTATCCTACATCCATCTGCGATATCAGTTGTGGTCCTATCTACGCACAGTCTTCGACCAGCTACACAAGACGGGGCGCATGATCATGCGCCCACTGTACATGGACTTCGAGCGGAGTGATCCTCGCGTCGGCCAGTGGACACGGATGAATACTAACGTGACTACCCAGCAATACATGTTTGGACCACGGTTGTTGGTGAGCCCGGTGACGCTCCCGAATGTGACGGAGTGGTCGGTCTATCTGCCACAGACAGCAGACACTAATGCTGCGCAGCCGTGGACGTACTGGTGGACCAACAAAACGTATGCCGGCGGTCAAACGGTCACTGTTCCAGCGCCTGTGGAGCACATCCCTCTCTTCCATCTGGGTAAACGCGCGGACATCCTCAATGGAAACGTCTTCGCCTAAAAATGGAAACGAAATGACGGACTGTACTTTCATTTTTCTTACTTATCTAGAATTGAAATAGGCAGGAAAATCTCTCAATTGTGACATTAATTAGGATTGACGAAGATGCTTGCTATAGAAATAATAACTAAATATCTAGTGGTTATTAAATAATGTGCCTTATGATCGAGGCGTCAACTGCCGCCCAGAGGCAAAAATGATGTCACATTCACCAACACTTTTTCGCATTCTGTCGATCGCAGTCAACACAACCTCCACGCCAACCACCAACGATATGGGAGGTGGTGACCACGTTCCGCCGACAGCATCTGGTCAGGATGCCAGTCTTGACCAGAATCCACAGCTGCACGCTGTGATCGACTTGGGCAGGTGAGAATCTCACCAGTCCGTCGAATGGACGCGTTTTGGGCTCACTGGTGCTAGCAATGGCATCCGCTGCTCCATTTCAGACCTTTCTTCCCCGACATCCCGGGTGCTACCAACTGCTCACTTTCATCGAATAAACATCTCTCTCTATGAGGCCCAGATCGAGCCCAAAACCGGCCAGCGCATCCCAATCCCGCAGTCCGTGATCGACCGGGTAGTCAGCGGCATTGTCCGTTTCCAGATCATCTGTGTCGAAATGGGTGTGCCGTCTACTAATATTCGCATCATCGCCACAGAGGCTACTCGAACGGCGATCAACAGCGCCGCTTTTGTCGATGCGATCTTCTGCAGGACTGGTATTCCAGTACAGGCGCTACGAAAAGAGGAGGAAGGCATTATTGGCGCGTGGGGCATTGCTAGCAGCTTCTCAGATGTCGAGGGTCTGGCACTGGATTTGGGGGGTGGAAGCATGCAAATGACCTGGATTATCTCCCACTCAGGGAACGTGCACATGAGTCCGCGGGGATCAATCAGCTTCCCGTACGGCGCAGCAGCATTGACGCAGAAGCTCGCCGATCTGGAGCGTGGAAAGAGCAAGAAAGAAGCACAGAAGGCCCGAGAGCAATTCCGGCATGAAATGGCCAGCCAATTCCGGGAGGCATTTGACGCTCTGGATGTTCCCGAGCCTATGCTGAAGAGGGCCCGGGAGCAAGGAGGATTTCCGCTATATTTGTCGGGTGGCGGATTCCGAGGCTGGGGATATCTGCTTCTGTATCTGCATCAGACGCGCGGTCGCAGTTATCCCATCTCCATAATCAATGGCTATTCTGCACCCAAGGCAGACTTCGAAGACACCGAGACCCTCAAGGAAGTTGCTCGCACCGCTCACACGATTTTCAGGGTATCTGATCGCCGGCGCAAGCAAGTACCATCGGTTGCATTCTTAGTGAATGTACTCGCCGAGTCGTTACCCCACGGCATTAGGGAAGCCCATTTTTGCCAGGGAGGTGTCCGAGAAGGCGTACTGTTTCGTGAGATGTTGCCCATCGTCCGTCAACAGGATCCTCTCGAGGTTGCAACCGCTCGCTATGCGCCTCCGTCAGCACGAGGCATTGCCTCGCTCCTGTTAGCTTCACTTCCCCAACCTTCTTCAACTCGATCTGTCACTTCCTCCATTACCGCCCATCTCGTTCAGGCATTTGCAAATGCACTCTACGTGCACGCGACCATGTCCAAAGAGCTATCTTCTAGCGCCGCTCTCTATAGTACTAGCACGGGTATCCTTTCCTCTACTCATGGAATCCCACATTCCCACCGTGCTCTTTTGGCGTTGATACTCCAAGAGCGTTACGGCGGGGAGCTACCGCCTCGTGACATGGACTTCAAATCTCACCTGCAGGCGATCCTTGCCCCGGATGAGGTCTGGTGGACTCGATACTTGGGAAAACTGGGTTTTGTTTTAGCCCAGCTCTATCCAACCGGATCCGTTGATACGTCTAAGCCGCGCATCGCCCCTGCGGCTCGATGGGCAAAGGATCTTGGAAAAAGAAAAATAAGGAGGGGGTTCGGCTAGAGATTGCAATTCAAACAGTGGACTATGACCCGACACATTTGAAAGAAGAACTGGAACGAGACGTGCAGAAAATTGAGAAAGTTGGTAAACGGAAGAATTGGATCGGCGGAAGAGACGGCTGGGGAATGAAAGTCCAGGTCTCCGTCGTTCCCGAGGATATTCTGGGCACGCATCGAGAGCCGTGAGACAGATCACTTACTGGATTAGTGTGGCTGCTGTGGTTTATGCTTTATGGGAGCAGCCTTCCCAGGTTTCGGTGTTATCTTTTCCCTGTGGCCTCCTGACCTTGCTTTATGGGCAAAATCGCAAGTTGACGCTGCATGCTGTGAGGCAATACCGACAATATGGGCCTTGCGGATCTGCCTGGGCTTTACGAAGTTTCATTCCGCGTGATCAGATGAAAGGCTTCTGGTCAAGGTGAAAAGTCAATTGTATGTAGAGTCCACAATACATGTGCACTTGTTTCAGACTGGGTGTCTATCATGACGAAATAATGCTCGTACCAACAAGATCCGCAGAGCGAGTGGTTCCACATGAGTCTAGTCCAGGACCGGCCACCGGAGGGGATATGTTGTCGTATTTCGCCTCTCATCTGCGAAGCTTGCGCCACGGGATCCACCAGACAGCCAAGTTCACAAGTACACAATGCCCCTGATTCTGGGGTACCATCGGCGTGAACCCAATTGCAGACCAATACGTTCTACGACTGCTATCATGGCTCAAGGCAAACAATAAAACCCTGTCGGCCGGTTCCGACGGATCATGGTGGATCAAGTTTGCCAGACAGTACTGTTGGCGTGAAGTTAACGGCCCATCATGTCTTTGATCGGACGCACCCTAGGATTCGCAACCTGGGATTGAGTTTCCTGGGGTAGTGTTTCTGTACAAACTAGGATCCTGGTTTCGGTCGAGAGTGAAGCTCAGGGAACGAACCACGCCTATAAGCTAATGCAAATTCACTCTTCGGCCTTGAAAGCAGGATTGGCTCCACAATCCGAGTACCGGCTCGGCCTACAGCGTTCTTGTCCTTTTCGCTCACCAATAGCGGTGGCGATGGCCCCGTGTCCCCGTGGAGTGCAGACCCACCTCCAGTGGATGCGCCCGGATTTGCGATCTCCCGACGACGGAGTTGGCCGCCAGGCTTCATTGAAGCTGTTCCATTGAACATACATATGCGCTCCAATTCCAAGATGACGACGGTTTGGTGGGGCAGCTCGCTTGCGGGTGTGGCACAAGAGCTTGTTCATCTGTTCGCAGTTTCTCTTTCATCACCATAATATACATCATGGCGCCTTACTTCGGCCTTCGCGGGACAAAGCTCAGTCGGGCAATTATCTGGCTGGTCGTGTGCCCGGCATTCCTCACCTATGGATACAACCAGGGCGTGATGGGAGGCCTACTGACCCTCAAGTCATTTGCTGGGACCTTCCCTGAGATGAACACTCTTACCACCCACGGGCCGAGGAAACACTACAACTCGAACATCCAGGGTACGTACGCCAAGTTGTCACGATGGCTGTTTCTAAAATCCAGGGCTTCTTGCAGGAACGGTGGTCGCATTGTACGCAGTCGGAGGTATCTTCGGTTCCCTCTCTTGCATCCATCTGGGTGATGTGCTAGGACGGCGACGAGTCATCTTCATTACTTCTGGTATCTCCATCATCGGTGCCGTCTTGATGGCCAGTTCTTTCTCAATGGCTCAGTTTGTCGTGGCACGGTTGGTTCTCGGGTATGTCTCTTCTCACTTCCGGCCAGGATCTCTCTCTTGCGGGTCTCCTGCGTCCTTCGGTCTTGATCTAATCAAGACTTTCAGATTTGGCACAGGTGGTTATGTGGCGACCGTGCCAGTATGGCAAGCAGAGATCTCCAAAGCAAAAAAACGTGGCGCGCATGTCGTCACGGATGGGATTTTCATCGGTGCAGGTATTGCGATCTCTCTGTGGATCGACTTTGGCTTCTACTTCGTCAAGGGAAATTCGGTCTCGTGGAGGTTTCCTCTGGCTCTGCAGATCTTTTTGTCTTTAATGGTGATGATCTTTATCATGTGCTTCCCCGAATCTCCCCGGTGGCTGATCAAGAAGGGCCGCGTACCAGAGGCTCGGCAGATCCTGGCTGCCCTGGCAGATGACGAGCCGATGTCGTCGCAGATCACCGACGAAATCCGGGATATCGAGACCTCCCTCGCTCTCTCTGGATCCGGATCGTTCATGGATTTGATCAAGATGGGCGAACAGCGGTTGTTCCACCGTACTTTTCTCGCTGCTCTGGGTCAGACATTTCAGCAGATCTGCGGAATCAATCTGATCACTATCTATGCGACCACTATTTTCCAACAATATCTTGGCCTAGACGCACTGCAGTCGCGTATTTTGGCCGCCTCAATGGTTCTTACACAGCCGCTAGGCGGTTTCCTGGCCTTCTTTACTATTGACCGACTAGGACGGCGGCCGCTGATGTTGTGGAGTGCCGGTGGTATGGCCGTCTCGATGGCGATCCTCGCGGGTACTACATCAGTCCCCTCCAATACCGGCGCCGTGATCGTTGCTGTTATCTTTTTATTTGTCTTTGAATTCATTTTCACAGTTGGCTATTCGGGGCTGACCTTCCTATACGCAACGGAGGTGGCACCTCTCCAGTTACGAGCAGCCATCAGTGCCGTCTCGACCGGTGCTGTTTGGATATTCAACTTTTTGTTGGCAGAAGTAACGCCGATCGGGTTTGACTCCATTCAGTGGCGATATTATATCATCTTCGCTGTGATTAATGCCGCGATCGTGCCAATTGTCTACTTCTTCTTTCCAGAAACCAATGGTCGTTCACTCGAGGAGATTGATGAGATCTTCCTACAGTCTCGTTCTATTTTTGACCCGCCCCGTATAGCGCGCTCCCTGCTGAATATGCACGTTGCGGACGACCACAGCGTGGATTTTGAGATGACCAAAGGTGGGGAGAGCGATTATGCCGAGACAAAAGAGGCGCCGAAGGACTAAACCGGTTTCGACGCTATTAACATACGCATTACTTTCTTTTGTTTGGATATAAAGGCATATTGCGAGGCTTACCTTTTGAGTTTATCGAAATATATATGTAGGATTAGTTTGCAAAACCGAGTACGAGACTGGCAGGGTTTTGATCCCATTTGTGTGTATACATTTATTTTATTATATGGTGTAATAGGGCCCGCTGCAAGAGGGCGATTTCCGGGATCGCTGCTTCGTTCTGCTCAGCAGATTGGCAAGTCGGCAAGCCTCGGCGGAGCAGTGTTGGTCCGACACTTCAGAGGGGGCTTCTGGTCATAGCCATCATTGCGGGTTCGCTGGGCGGGCTATCCCCAAAGAGTATGGGTCGGATGGTTTGGTCTTGAATCCAGAAGCTTGAAATTCTCCTTCGATTATAGAGAAACGAGGATGAAAACCTGAGCTTGCTGCCTTATTTGGTTCATAGAATAGATCCCTTTATTGCTGGATTGGGTTCAGCGAGCCCAAATAGCAGAATGTGCTTTGAACATTACTGAAATAGCCACAAATAGCATCACAACGAAATTTTGATTCATAAACGTCTTTTCCCGTTGGTTCGAGTTACACAGCGGATAGCTATCATAGTAGACATATTTCGTGGACCAAGGTCCAATTACCGAACACAATATCCTCCATCAATGCGCATATCGTTACCGGTCATGTAGGTGCTTGCATCACTGCACAGATACACGTAGGCACCCTTGAGCTCCTTAGCCTGACCATTACGGCCCATCGGAATCATAGAAAGCCAGAGATCCTGAATGTCTTTCTCAACAAAGTCCGACAAGCCCGTATCGATGTAGCCAGGAGAGATACTGTTGACACGAGCAAAGTCGCGCCACTCATTGGCCAGCGAACGCGCCATGTGGATGCAGCCTGCTTTTGCGACGTTGTAAGATGTCTGCTCCTGAGGGAAGTTGGCGATGAGGCCAGACATGGACGAGGTAATGACGAAACTGCCGGTGCCACGCTTCTTGAAATGAGCACCGACGGCCTTGGCGCAGTGGAAAGTGCCTGTCAAGTCCGTCTGGATCACCTCCTCCCAGTCCTGGACCGAGCCGTCAAGGACGCCACTGCTTGCCGTGCGGCCCGCATTAGCGATGAAAGCATCGATCTTTCCAAAGTCCTTGACCACTGTATCGACAAAGCCCTTGACACTGTCCCAGTTTCCGACATCGCATTTGTAGGCCTTCGCCTTCACGCCGTAGTTCTCTTGAAGCTCCTTGGCGTTCCTTTCTCCGCCCTCTGCACGAGAAGAGTACGTGATGGCCACGTCGGCACCCATTTCAGCGCACCCACGAGCTGCTTCAATGCCCATTCCGCGGGGCCCTGAAGCTCCGGTGACGACCACAACCTTGCCCTTGAGGCTGAGGAGGTCCACTAGGCTATCGGATTTGGGGACGGGGATCGGCATGGTGGACGATGGAAGACAATTGAGGTTGTGTGAGTGGAAGTGGAAGGAGAAGTGGAAATAGAAATGGAGGTAGAAGTGGAAGTGAAAGAGTGAGAAGTCGCAGTGGGGGGAAACTGGTTTTAGTTATATATCCCGCCTAGTGCCAACCTATGACCTAATGACCTTGAATGTTGATGGGATGTCCCGGCATACATCCTGCGAGCTGATACGCTGTTACACTGAGGACTTCAAGTCTGTGCGCGCTTCCGGGTCCTCATCCCCGTACTGTCAGAGGTTCCTTTGTCGACTATCGGTCAAACACTCTAGGGTCGTCTGCATTCCAACGCGGATGGCAGCGGAGCCGGTGATGTCATTGACTCAATACATTGATCTGAGTCTAGGGCAGCCCAGGTCAGGTGCCCCTCTGTGCGCGATGTTTTTTCATAACCATAACGAAGTATGGTAGACAACATAGGAAAAGTTGGCATTCCAAACTTCCAAGAAGGTTTGTTGTTGTGTTTTTTACCTCCTCGTGTCTTGGGAACGCCAACGACGCGGGGGCCCAGTCACATCGCGCCAAGACCAAGCATATCTTGAGAGAATGCGCATTCGGCTAATTAGCACGTCCCACCGGATATGAGCGGTTGGAAAAAATTCAACAGAGATGATAGGATAATGGATGCCGAAGCCCGTCTCAAAGCCTGCGTCCGATTACTCTATGCAGATCCCGCGATTGCAGGATTGGACCTGCAAAATGACTCGAATACGTATCGCCGATCCACTTCTCATCATGACGAGCTGATAAGCTTTATCGCATTCCAGCTGGAACGTCGTTAAGTCGTTGGCGCTCTGGCGATGTTCATATGTATCGACTGGTACATCCGTCGGTGTGACAAAATTAAAAATCGACCGCAATGGAGAGACAAAACGAGCAACTAGAACCTCAAGCTCAGACGAGCTCTGACAGCGCGGCCGAACCCATCCGTCGATTGTCTACGGTCCGAACTACTACCAGCACTCTCCATCACAACAGATTCAGTAATTCTTTCCTAGGACGGTATGACAAGTAATACTCTCTAATTTCCGTAGCTTTCAGAAGACCGCATCCCATAACATGAACTATATCACGGACAGTAGACGGCCATGCCATTGAAAGGTGGATCAAAGCTGGTTGGAAGGATGTCAAGAGAGTACTTGCCATCACCATTGCACTCATCGTCACTGCGTATTTTTAGATTCATCAAAACCTGTAGACGGCCCAAGGTCAAAGTATCTGCTTACCCGTAGAGCCAACAGTCGTCCGAGCCTCCAATCCATTGTACATTGCCACTACATTATATTGTTAAAGACAATTTTGACATTTGGGAAAGCTATACTGACGGATGGCTCAACTTCAAACACTGATTCTCGCGAACGCGTTCGAAATGGCAGTCAAGGACTCCTGTACAGTATTCGATCTGCGAAGGGGCTCAGTCCAGTTCATACGTTACATAAACACCATCTCCTACTAACCACGGAGTGGTCTCCAAAGAGGGGTAATGCCGAACTGGTGGCGGCCAAGAGCCCGGCAGTGGCGGTTAGAACTCCGGCGTAAAACATATTCACAAGCTCTTAGATTAAGTAAAGGAACCAGTGTCTGGATAATGAGTGTTATCGAGAATTAGGAAAGCAAAATGGGTCGGTCTATCTTATATTTCTAAGGCATCTGATCCTCAGCTGGAACGGGCTCAGCTTGTGCTTTGTGTTTTCGAAACTTCCGTCCTACTCATCTCAGACCTTGCCTAAAGGATGTAAGCCCTTACGCTGGAACCATTGAAGTACTGCATTGAGCAGCTGGGAGGTAGGACAGAAGGCAAAACATGTGCGCGGCAGAGGACCCACCGGGGTGATGCCTTGGCATGACGTTTTGAGTATACGAGCGATACATAAGCAGTAGTCGCAAATCATTCTTTTTGTATATATAAATTCAAAATCCTAGTTCGACATCACTATCTAAATCCAGAGCCGAAACTACTGCTTCGCCGTGTGACACCTTTCCGGGTTCTATCTACGTCCGTGATCAACGCCACTGCCGACTACCTACCACTCATGCCACAGCATTATTCCGTACAATGATGCACACGGCGGCCACGAGAATCGACCCAGCTAAATTATTATTGTCTCCGCTATTAAGAGCCACTCTACTCCATGTGCCTGTAGTCGGTCTACTCGACTTTGACAGCGGATGGATCCGTCAGACTGTACTGTTATAAGTTAGATCAAGGACGAAAGACCACCCGATAAATCGTAGTCACAGCGGACTCTGCGGTATCCGCGGTCCAATAGTGCGTGGATCATTCTATGAATCTCAAAGGGCTCAGATCTGCCTGGAAGGCTTTGTAGCAGTATAGGATACCGATAATGGCGCGATCGACATCGATTACTTCATTCAATGCTTTTATTCTAATTTGGCGAACAGAGAAATCTTGAACCGTGAACCTCCACGATGGCATATAGATGGGATAGGAACGCCATATGGCCGGTGCGGATGTCCGGAACTGCACCGATTTGTCCAAAGTGATTCCTCCCCGACGCCAGGAGTGAAGGTTATCATGGATGATGATGACTACTGCACACCCGCAGAAAAAACCCGTGAAAGCCACATGGATCCGAACATGTGCATCCAGCAATCCATGCCGCGGCTGCTTCCGTATCGGTTCAGATCGCCAGCCGATCCATCGATTAAACTCAACCTAAGCGGGTCTGTACAATGTGGGTTCACGGCGCAGGGGTTCGGCACCATCGTTAGACTCAAGAACTATTGAATGTTTTTCTGGGTCACTATACGTGGTCTGTGTGGAGATCTGTGCAGGGTCAATAAAATAGGAGGGGCCTCCCCGCTGAAGATTTTCGATCGAGCATGCGAACCCTCGATGCCTGTCGCACTGCCCTTCCGTCGCCATGGACGACAGCCACGGTAAGGCGATTTTGACGGTTACAGCCGTTTTTCTTGCTATTTCGGCCGTCAGTGTTTGCCTGCGATGTTTTGTACGCCTCCATCTCGTACGGGCGTTTGGGTGGGATGATAGAGTGATGTTGCTCGCAATGGTATGTTTGACCGAGATCGGAACGGCAGCGAGGTGGTGGCTAATGGTTCTGAATGATAGGCTTTTAATCTCGCTTTCGCGGTTTGTGGCATTGTCGGGTGTCAATATGGGATGGGCAGGGAGTTAGCCTACTTTATTGTCTACCCTGAAGACTTCCCTCGAGCGATGCTGGTAAGGCTCAGCTCCTGTACAGACATCAATCAAGGGCGCTAATATCGGTATACAGTGCTGGTGGCTGGGCCAGATTTTCTACGTGATAACATGTGTTGTCGCCAAAGTCTCGATCATTATTACCCTGTTACGCATCACAGTCGACCGCATCCACGCCTGGATCCTTTACAGCGCCATCGCTATAGCTACTGCCGTGGGCCTTGTGTTCCTCCTCTTCACTATCTTCGAATGCCAGCCAGTTGACTTCTTCTGGAATCGATCCTCGGAGCAGGGCACTTGTATTGACCCGGACGTGTTGCTGGCAATCGCATATCTATACAGTGTTGGTGCCGCCATTACCGACCTGACCATCGGGCTTCTCCCCGTGGCGTTCATCTGGAATCTGCGGATGAGCCTACGCAACAAACAAGCTATAATTGGCATCCTGGGAATTGGCTGCATGTGTGTAATTCTGGCATAGCTGAAAACTCGAGGACAATTGCTAACTCCCATAACAGTGCAAGTGCTGCCGTCATCATTCGGATTCCTTTCATTAGTCACTATAAGGACAAGCAATTCCTCTGTATGTACTTACTTTGAGAACGTTATCGTTTTTTCTTCGATTTGACTGACAAGCTTTGTAGACAATACCTACCAAATCTCCATCTGGTCCAACATCGAGGCCGGCCTGGGCATCACCGCAGGCTGTCTCACAACACTACGACCCCTCGTCCGGTTTTTCCGCGACGGGTCCTCCGCATCCCGCAGTCCCAATCGTAATGCCGGCACGTATCATCTGTCTAGCAACATGCCATCCGGCATTGTCCGTGCTTCGCGCTCGAAACAGGATGATCGTAGCGACATGCACCACTTGTGGAACCTCAGTGAAGACGACGATTACCACGGGGTGACAACGACAATCATGGGCAGTACAAACCCGATAGAGAATAGCAGCAGCGAGGAAGATCTCAACCCTAGCCACCAGAGGTGGAAAGTTGAGCGATCCGTTTGCGTGTCGGTGCAAGATGCAGACTGAGCAGTCAATCCACACCAACAGATCCTACATAGTTGATCAACAATAATGTACTATACCCAATATATAGAAAGTTCTATATATGCACTGTATGCCCCCATATTGTAAAACACCAACAATAATCGTGTACATGCTGAATTTTCTGCAGAATGCGCCATCGCTATTGCGGGAAGGATCTCCGAGATGGGCCGGATCATTGTGACTTGGCGAATTGAACCGGAAGTTTCACCAACTGGTATTTTGCCCTTGTCTTGGTGGTCTACTATTATTATCAACCCCATCATTATCATTTCCGACTGCGACCATTGATGAAAATAATAGGGATTGAATTCAAGGGAAGAGGCGTGGAAGGTAATTCAATTTAGCATCTCGGAACACGGAACGAGTCCTGTGTACTTGTTTCATCCACATTGCAGTGTTATATATATGGAGCAACACACACATAGATCCTTGTCAGATTCAGCCAGTCGACGTCACGCATCTAACAATCTCTGTACCGGTCTGGTCACTCCTTGACTTCCTGCACCGCCTCCTCGCGGATTAGCCCTTCCTGTGATGTAGATTGCCCGACGGCATACACATCAATCGGGGTTGAGGCGAACTTGCGCGCTCGAACTTTGGTGGCGAACAAGACATCTAGTTCCGCGTACGTGCGGCTGCTGGGCTCTGGTAGGCGGAAGAAAGCCCAGACGAAAGCACAGAGCGCCGTCGCACCCCAGAAGAAGCCTGTCTTCCCGGACTCGTTCCATGCCGTGGGACTCATGAAGTAGGGTTCAAGCACCTGCGATATGACGTTGACCAATTGATAGGCTGTGCGCGCCAGGCAGATTGTCAGCGGCCTTAGACGGACGGAAGAAATCTCCGAGACAATGGCATAAGCAATTGGCCCAACAGTCAAGGAGTACACGAACAGCCAGCACATGCAAAGTGCTGCCTGAGCCCACATGGCCCCGGTACTTCGAGATGCCGCACTGATAATACCGACAAGAAACAAAAGCACGAACAGGATTCCCTGGCCCCAGACGTACAGGGTGCGACGTCCGAAGTTGGAAATAAGAATCCAGGAAAGGGCAGTCCCAGCCAAACCCACAGCCGTGCATCCGACGCCTAGCTGAAACGATCGGTTGACGTTCATGCCAGCTTGCTCAAAGAAAAAGGTTGGGGTGTAGGCGAACGAGCTGCCCGAGAGAATCTGTCCCAAGAAGGTAACGCAGCAGATCTCGGTTCTGCGACGATCCACGCCCTTGAAGCAGTCGAAGTAACTGGTGCCTGCTTCAATCTCGTACTCGATCTTTGTAGTATGCACCATCATGGCCAGCTGGCCGTTGATCTGCTCTTCTGTCTTACCCCCAGCCAGGCGTCGGAGACTGCGTTTGGCGTCTTCCAGGCGGTCCTTCCGGACATAGTACCAAGGGCTCTCTGGAGCTAGCCAGCAACCAATCATCAAGGGAACAGGCCAGATCCATTGCAAGGCAAAGGGAATCCGATACGACCACTGGTCTGTCCGGTTGACGAGACCATACAACACTCCAGAGGCAATCATCTGGCCGATAGCCCAGCACATGTTGACAAAGACGGTCAGGTAGCCACGCAGGTTGGTCGGGCAGACTTCGGAGGCGTAGGCTGGGCCAACTGTCGCGAACACTCCCCATGAGAGCCCACACAGGATCTGACCAACGAGAAGGACGGCCGCCGAGTTTGAAAAGAAGGTGATGAAGATGAACGCTGTCAGGAAACCCAAGGAAACTATCATAACGGAGCGGTATCCAAATTTAGACGCAAAATATCCATTCATAATTCCACCTACACCATCTGTCAATTCAAGTGTTTTGATGCGTGAATTGCAGCGACTAACCGAAAATAGCACCGACAGTACTTGCCATGTTCAAGCCTGACTGCCACGGGGCAGATACCTGCCACCCAATCTTCCCGCCATAGTTGTGGCCGTACTTTTGTCTAAACGTGGGATAAGCGAAGAAGTTGCCCATGAGGATGGTGTCGTATCCCTCCATGATGATAGACATGGAGATCATGACGGACCACCCCACGGCCTTGCGGTTCTGGCTGAGGGCCTGCCACAGTGTTTGGGCATGTTCCTCATCGGTAGCCCGTTTGGCTTCGATAACTGCTCCGTGACCGAGTGTATCCTCGACATGATGAGCGGCAGCCTTCTCCAGCGCAATCTCGGTTTCGGTAGGGGTCGCCATAGAGGGTAAATGACCGTAGAGCACTTGTTATGCCTGTGGTCGCGAGACACGATACACAGCTCCGGCAAAAAGGCCGCTAACTATATATTTAACATCTTGGGTATCCCCAGGTGAGAAACAGATCCGGGGTTAGCGTGGAGAAAGAGCAGCTGCCATCCTTGCATTCACGCTAACCAGGCCGACGGTTTTGAGCGTATGCGGCCACGGATAATCAGGCTAGAAAAGCCAGAGTGGACGGGGTCCAAGTTTTTGCACCTATCATTGGCAGGGAAACCTCAAGACAATCGAAAATGCCATATTGAAAAACCCGAGCTCTTAGCCTTGGGAGGGTTATGATTGGACCCCTCCGAGGGGGACAAACGCCCCTATTCCTAATACGAAGCGGAGGCCGCGGCCTAGTCGGGGTCCCATTTTCCCTGAGGCAAGAGGATTCCGAATGATGGGAAATCTAGACCGTGAAGTTATCATTTAATGATTACTCCGGAACGCGACTCCGGCTCGAAGCGACGTAAACAGGCCAGGGTGTCGGGACATTATTATTGTCCTGCTGTAGCGCATCGAGGTCAAGGAGTCAATCAAGGGTTAGTGCGAAACTTAGATGCAGAGGATCGGCGTGTGGAGTTCCGAGATTATTTACTGGGGTTGTGATTATTATTTACCGCATCGGAAGATCTGATATTCTACCGACTGAACACCGTCCTTTATCACGCAGCCCCTACGACCGAATAGCATCGTAGTGTCCACCTATTTAAAGCATGGAGCCAAAAAGTGCTACTATGAACATATACCCAAATAATGTTAAAGTGCGAACTTCGGATAACCTACCGCTCGCCTCAACGCTGGGTAGGACCCACTAGCTATGGTCTCCAAGCGGGTGAATAGAACAGGGCCTCGGATGTCCGAGCCATGAAACTTCTTGTCTAGATTCGTCAACGGCCGAATAGCCAGTATATTTGACCTAGACACCGCCGCCATCTGCCAGCGTGCCCCATCCATATTCGTACTTTGATATGGGCATTGTTTGGCGAGGTCTCAGAACCTAATCACTGCCATCGTTATTAAGAAGAGACGAGTCCATTTCTCCGGCTCCTATTCCACGAGCACCCCGCAGGAAGTAACCGTCAAGTACCGTCACAATCCGCTGTGGGCCAGACAAGTTAAGCCAATATAGACGCTGATAGGGGACTTGTCCACTCTATATTAAAAGAATGCATCGGACGAAGGTCCATAGTGAGAAAGTTCTCTCAGGTGGATACAGGCTCATAACCTGCTCGGCAAAGTCCCTTTTATGAAGAAGAAGAGAAGTCATCCAAACACGTAGAAAAAGGGCGAAGGGGGAAATGAACCTGCAAGGGCAAAATGCCTTAATGGATCAAGTGACTCTAGGACTCAAATCATGCTTCGATTGCATTATTGATTGAGCACAGGATCCCACTGAAGTCATAGGGAACATAGAAAGCATGGATTTGCAAGACATGCCGCTCAAAGCCAGGGCATTCCAGAGGGTAAACCTCTAGGAGCCTCCTGATTCTAAACGCTCAACAATGGATAATGGTCAAATCGTCTCTATATTCATAAGTCTATCTCATATAATCTATTCATGACGGGCCAAGAGCCCTTCCACCTCTTGGGCATCCTCTGCAGGTCCCCCGCGAGAAGCATCGAGAGACTGAGACATAGCCACAGCCTCGCGACGGCCTTTATCGGCGTTCACCATCCAAACGAGCGGGATCGGTAATACAATCAGCACCGAGATGAAGAAAAACCCAGACCGCACCTGACCTGTCGCATCAATGAGCACCCCAACGATGGCAGGGCCTATAAACGAGCTCCCTTTGTCCGTGGCCGCATAGAGGGCATAAAACGCCGCCTCACTGCCGGGTGGGATCAAAAGACCGAAAAAGGAGCGACAGTAGGACGCAAGACCGCCTGACACAGTCCCGTGCACAATAGCCAGGGGGAAAATCTCCCATGGCTGTTGTAGTCCAATGACGCCCCAGTTCTTGACAAATGGGATGTAGGCAAGCATCCCGTAGAGGGGGATAATCTCGAACAGCGCGATGCAGAGGATGATGGTCTGGTTGGGCTCTAGTCCAAAACGACGGGACACGTGTGGCCACAGGAAGGCGCCAGTCATGCCCGATAGAGTGGCAGTGATTGAGAGCAGTCCGACTGCGGTCGTACTCATCTTCAATTCTGTTCGAGCGAAGAGTATCGCTGTGCCGGAGACGGTAGCCATGGCATCAGACAAGAGGAACCACGCGACCAAAAAGAGAAGCATTTCCCGCAGCTGCATGGCCACTTTCACCGTTCGCCACAAGGACTTCCACGCAAATCCCATCAGTCGTAGCCACACCCGCCAGCGACTATGAGAGCCATCTTGCGTGGATGTACTCAACGCTGGGCCGGGCCGAGGGCGTAGCAATTGACGAGCGACCAAGGTGAACGCGCACCACCAGATCCCTACTAGCAGCAACACAAACCGGAGTGGAAGCGTCCCGGATGCCTTTGCTAGGGATGTCTTCGAGAGAGTGACCAGCAGAAGGATACTGAGACACTGCACAAACACCGCGGCCGAGTACCCCAAACCAACTCCCTTCGATGAGATCCGGGTCGATAGTTCAAGCTCCGGCGATGATGAATTCGGGCCATGGGAAGGTTGGTGATCCTCCACAACGCCATCCAAACTATCTTCCTCATCGCCCCATGAATTCCACTCGGACACATCCTCGTTTCGATGCAACTCTGATAGCTCCTCGCCATCCTCCTCCTTCTTGGTCCCTTGGATGGACGGGTCATTGGCGACCAGGACGGGGAGGTAAGAGTTCAGCACCACAAATGACGACCCCAGGCAGGTCACTCCTATTACCACCAAGATCGGGGCGAGGAAGAACACCGGCGGCGCAATGAACATGAATAGCATGCTCGTGGCGGAGCCGACGAACCCGAATGTCATGAGAAGCGTCTTGCGATTGTTCTCTGCATCATTCCAACGAGACAAATGTTGTTAACTCTCAGGTCCAAGTATATACCGCTGCTGAGATAAGCCGGTACGTAGTGTGCAATCATACCGTAGTCCGCCAAGGCACTGAACGATATCAACGTCAGAGCTTGGACAAGCACCGCCAATGAGAAGGTATACATGGCGAAGCTCGCGGTGTTAATCTGGAGCCCAAGCAGGCCAACCAGGCACTGCTCATTCTCTCCAGGCTGCGTGCTGTTGTTCGCGGGCTGGTCGCCGACACAGGGCAGGCGGCTCCTCTGCAAGGTGCCGTGCTCACGGGCCAGTTGCTCGAGGGTGAGGGGCAGAAATGAACCTATGGGCGATCACTTAGCTCCTGGGCTTGCTGGAGTGTAAATCTCAATAAATACGAACCTACACCGCAAACCGCGAAGACCTCCGCCGCCATCCCGTAGGCATACCAGCCCAGGATCTCGCGGCGGCTCGTCGATGTAGTGTCCTCGCCCGCATAGCGCGGAGGTCGCTGTTGAGCGCCCTCCGTGGGCGGAGGAACCCTGACAGCGTCCAGCAGCGAGGCAAACATGAAGGCCGGTGGAGAGGAAAGGTTAATGTTCCGACCGGCGCAGGCGCCAGGGAAAAGAAGTGGTCCGGATGCGGGCGGATGTTGTCATTGCAGATCAGGAACAGTGGGGCCTCAACGGATTTGTATTGTCACCCATTCAGCCTCATACTTCCAATCAAGGAAGGGCTTTATGGAAGGTGGAGTGTTCACTTCACGGTCGGCGTCGCTCTCTCCTCTTTCTTTCTTCCTTTCTGGCTCCGTCCTTCTTTCTCTTCCCGTTACCGGCCCGGTCGCGCTTTCCCCACGCTGAACAACGACGTACATATCCTTTTATTCTTTCTCTCTTTTTCTTCTTCATTCGCCCAATCCCAGCTGTTATGCCCATTCTCGAGTACCTGCAGTTTGCCATCGGCCGACTGCTCTACCCCATTCGCGCCCATGATTCGCGCCAGCTGATCTACTGGCCCGCATTCCAGCACCTGCCCGAGCCGAACATGACTCTCGAGTCCGATTGTGGTCCCTCCGGCTCCAGCCTGCCTCTGCGCTGCAGTATGATCGCAAAGGACCGGAGCGGTGCTTTACCGGAGCTGCACTGGAGCGCCCCAGAGTCTACGGAACCCGTCAAGGAATACATGTTGGTCTGCGAAGATATCGACATTCCCATTCCGTTCATGGTCATTCACCACGGTCTGTTCTGGGCCATTCCCGCACCTGTGACTGCCGCCATGCCAGAAGATGTCCAGCCACACGAAGATGCCGATCAAACTCATCGGACCAAAGCCGGCTGGCGTTTCCTTCCCAACATCATGAGTAAACCCTACATCGGTGCAGGCGCTCCGTTGGGCCACGGAAGTCACCGCTATGTGTTTACCATCATCGCTCTCAATACTGCACTGGAAATGGATGCCCCCGAAAAGGTGACCAAGCAGGAGATCAAGCAGGCTATGGAGGGCAAGATAATCGGCTGGGGCCAGTGGACGGGCGTCTTCGAGCGGCCCTGGCCCACCTAGGCGACCATCACTTGTCACGGTGAAGCGTTTGTGATTCAGAGAAATCGAGCTGGATGCGTGAGATTCCCAATGTGTTACGAAGCGGTGCGACTTTTTATTTCTTTAAACAACTGTTCTCACGAATTGTCCCTGGCACGGGTCTTGGAGTCAATGATATGCATACACGGTCTACCTACTTCTTATATCAGTCTCATATCCAACGTTCAATCCGTGTTTTCATCGCTGGGGTTTCTCTTCAGGCTAGTCCACTACATTCAACGTCGATCTGTTGCATGAAGACGGTCAACCGCCCAATGGTACACTCGAGAGAAGCTTCGCAGGCCCTCAGCGCGGCGGTGCACGTGCGGCTATGTTGTGCACTCTCCAATAACACGCGCACAATTTCTTTTAAGCCCTCCATCAGCTCCACCAAGCGCATCAGTGTGCGGCCGAGGAGTGTGCGAACTAACAGTTGGGCCTCATCTTCATCGAGCTCGGTTTGGCCAAGTACGACTTTACTTCGGATACAGACGAAGGGGCCCGGAGGCTGCTCGAATGCGAGGACGCTGGGGTCGAAGAGAGCTGGCTGGGTCGAGATGTCATATGCGGCGCACACGACTTCGAATAAAGCCAGGCACTGCTCGGACAGTGCGGGTAAAGTCACTATCGATGGCTGGGGGGTCTTAACGCAGTAGGTACAGTTGACCATAACGGAGCCCTGCTGACAGACACGGTGGACCAGTTCCAAAATGGTTTCCACATCAACTACCGTATGGACATTTCCCAATTCCGTCATGATTTGCAGGGCATCCATGGAACATCGACATTTCCTTTCGGAATTCATGGTGGTCCTCCGAAAATGAAGCTCACCGGGAGTTAAGTTGATCTGGCCAGTCTTGATGGCTGTTTGGCATCCATTGAGGTACACTAGTATTTGAAATCGGCATCCATGTTTACACAGAGAGTTTGTATGGAACCCCAGATCGAGATACGCTAAACTTGATATAGACAGACCCAATTAGAGTTTAGTGGCAGCCTTGGATTTTTTTTTTTTATGTTTACCTGTGGAAATACAAATATTATAACAATCACTCATTTGTTACTGTTAGCAGATACGATTACATATGAGCAGGAGTTTTCAATAACCAAAATTAAACGAGTGTTCAAGTTTGACTTGGGGGAACAATTCATGAAAGAGAAGGGGATAAACTAATACGGGCTATCTGTCTCTTTTGCTTGAAAAAGACAATAAATCACGCCAACATAACTTCTAGAACGCCGTCTCCATCCTCTTTCACCCATTGTCTTGTGATCTTCAGCCCTGCTTCGGTCAGCAACTCTTCCCATTGCTCCTTAGTTCTCTCCACTGGAAAATCGACGGTCAGTATACAATAGAGATTGAGGAAGATGGAGTATATGACTGAAAATGAACTAGAGGTTTTCTAAGAAATCGGTGCCATACTTGCAGCAAATCCGATCATCAAGATGAAGTCCAAGCCAGCCGTAGGAATTGGAAGAGGTCCAGCTTCTGGAAGCACGTTCTCGATGATGATTAATTTAGAGTATTCGTTCATCGCAGTCACGAGATTGCGTAGAATAATCAGGGCCTTGGGGTTGGGCCAGTCGTGTAGCACATGCTTCAGGAAGTAAACTCGCGCGCCTTTGATCGGTTGGGGTTGGAAGAAATCATGTTTTGTTACTTCGATTGTTGGATGGAGGCTGTCTTTTGGGATTGCATCGATCACATCTGGTTGATCTTGGAGAATCAATCGACCTTTAAAAGTCAAAGCCGGTGTTAACGGAGGGACGCTGCAAGTCAACATAGGAAAAGCCTTAAAATTTTGCATACCTTTGATATCTGGGCATCGATTCCGAAATAGCATGAGATCGTGTCCAAATCCGCCACCGATATCGACCAACAAAACCTCCTGTTTACCAATGACATCAGTACAGATAGACTCTTCAATAGGAAACAACGAGATCCATGGTGGCCGATTAGCCCTATAGTCAGTCATCATACTATGGAACTGGGAAGCTTCGCGAGGATGATCCTTCCACCAATCGAAGCAATGCAACTTTGTCTGAAAGGCGTATTGGAACGGACTGTCGAGCTCGTCCTCCAACGCACGGTACTTCGTCTCTCGGGCATAAGACGGAAACCTAGCCCCACCGCGGTAGCCCAGATCAAAACAGTGTTTAATACCGTTGCAGAGCGCTGGGACACTAAAGATATTTGAGAGTGATGTTGGGGCAAACTTGGTCTCCGGCCCGGCTAGCTCGGTGAAAATTCGGTTCGCGGCAAGGACTCTCATGATTCGCACTGCGATAATATGAGATCTTGATACTATAGAGCTAGTCCATGAAAACGCCCGGGAGCTCACATAATAACAGAGGGTCAGCTCCAGTACTCTGGGCAAGCTCGCTGGCGGTTTGCGGCCCAGCAGATTGGATCAACTCAAAGATCCCCAGATCTGCTGCGACGTATGCACATGGTAAGAGCGCGAACTAATCGTTTCGTTTATGTTAGCACTCTGGCGCCTGATATGGGGATACAAGACGTGCCGAAAAGCAAACATCAAAGGCCCTCTCGGGAGGAGTTTGAAGAGCTTCCGTCAGTTGGCGTGCCAGTAATAGTAGCCTGAGCCTTGTCTCCCCGTCTTGAATTGAGAGTTCAGCCTTGCTCAATTGCGAAATGAGGTTGGAAATGCTGTCAATCTCGACGTTTTCTGTCATTTTGTCCCAAATACAAGGAAGTACTCCAAAATCTCTTTATGAAGTCATGAATTTTGCTATGAAGGGTGGGGAGACTTGGAACAGCGTGGCTTGGGGGAACGCATATTTATACGCGAGACTAAGAATTGGAACTGTAATATATACAAGAATTCCAGTAAGCATTACCCGAGCGCAGGGGGGAGTAGGAGGGTCTCATTGGTTTTCGAGTTACAGTTGCGTCTGTTATAGTCAGAGGACTATGTTTGAAACTTCCCCGCGACCCAAATGCAGGTCGACCAGCGATAGCCAACCATTTCGGAGCAACCATACATTGGAGATAATGTGCAGTTGTTTCTAGCATGTGAATTAGGCGTTAGTGCGGTTGTGTGAACTTAACTTTTTGAACTGAGAGCTCTCGCATTGGTCGGCATTGGCGTCGAATGGATTGCCAAATCCGGATAATCATGATAAGCGCTACAATGCGAACCTAACCCTTTCCAAAGCGGTCTATGACAGAGAACGAACTTATCCTTGCCACTATACCAGAGAGGACATAAGGCTTGAAATAATTAATTATTTTACTGTCTCGAATTTGGGCCACTGCGAGGTTTGTTTTTAAATGTAGGTTGGAACCGTAAAATTTAGTGGAAGCAAAAGATTTTTGACCGACGAGTCTGCTCGAACCAGTGGAAAGAGCATAATATTTGGGCCTCACAAAACGAAATGGTATTTATTTATAAGTCAAGTTAAATGGCACCCATATTTTTCAAGAATTGTAATTTTCACAAAGTCAAATACCTCGCAGGTGAGAAAGTGGTGATTTGAGTTGCTGACACGCATCCACCATTCCGTATAAACAAAACCGCCGGTTTGAAAATCATGCAGAACCCTAACCGTCCAATCAACCTCGCAAGCTAAACCTTCGTATGAAATATCACCAAGTCCATCTCACCTGAAGGGTCTTTAGAAAATCCTCTAAAATTTAAAGTCATGATAGCTCGTGGGAACGAAGCTGGGGGATGGCATCATCTCTAACAGGGGCTCCGCGCTGGAATCACAAAGATTATGATTTGATGCAAGTCTAGATAGGCTAGACCATTTCCTTGGTGTTATGGTTTCAGTTAGTTTCTCTGTGTAAAGTATAGAAGCAAATTTCCAATGTCACTGTAGCAGTATCAGCGAAATTGGAGGTTGAGTGAACATCTTCTTTATTTTCGAAAATTACCGCTAGTGCAGCTGCTTCAGTTATGGAACACCAGTCATTACACTACTGCGTCATTGACGTACGTGAGTGGATGATCATTGACTTTTCTTACCGGCTTGCTCCCAGCGTGAATGGCCGAGGGCCTCTGTCGTTGAATTCGTCTTTAATCTGCAGGGTCCAGGCAAAGTCACACTTCACAGGCTTCCTTGGCAAGTTGACAGACTTTTGCACTCTTCTATTAGCAGATCAGGCAGAACATTTTATCGCCATAATTCCTGCGTGACGCCATGGCGACTATTTACCCATCGCCCCGAGAATCCATTCTACCATGCTAGAGCAGTCTTCCCCCTGAATGGCTTCGCCCTTCCCTAACAACCAGCTATATTCATCTAACTATGCAATGCAGTTACACTGGAATCTACAAGATTCCCAGCACTGATTTCATATCAACCAGTCAACCCTCTGATCTTCATTAAAACCAACTGCAGCCGTCGGTCTGTCTCCATGATCATCATCAATCGACCCCTATAAGGCGTGGTGGTGAAGAGATCTTGTATATAAGCCCGAATGCGCCGAATTGTGGATAGCAGCATAGATAGTCGTGTCTGCAGCATGCGCCAGATGAACCAAGTCTTGTCTTCCATGGGAACTTGAAAAGTTCCCACAAGTAAAGGGCACGCTTCCGTGTGAAAGCCAAGACAGTTCTGGGAATCTCTCTGTTTCCTGATCCCGCACTGTAAATTCGAAAGAACTTCGTCTTCTTGTAGATACGATTTGGCAGATGTTGCAGTTGTCTCTAGCGTGGTCAAGAGGCTATCAATGCTCACAATAAAGATCATGAGCAGATTAGCGCGAGACTCTGTTTTCAAGCAAACTCTGCATCGCAGAATCGATTCTGCTTGTCGCTGAAGCTCCTTTTCGTATGCCAAAAGACTATCAATATCGGTCTCCTCTTTACTCTGCTCCAGCCCAGCTCGGACCAACTCCCCTATTGACCAGGTGTCCGGTGTACAACTGCAGCCTTTTGGCGTTGCCGGTATCAACTCAGTCTCAAGTTCCTCCGAAGAGTACATACTATCTTCTGGGGATTCAAATGGATTTTTGTGATTGTATGAGTCCATGAATATGCTTGAATTTGGGACGCCGCTCATGGCCCATAGGTCTGATTGAGACTGTGTTTCTTTTCGTTCCATACTCGATGTGTAGAATGAAGAAAAGGAATCCAGCTGTTGAGAAATTGACGGTACTCCCGCCGCGTCCTGAGGTCCTTGGAAACCGGTAAGACAATTGCTTGCAACTGGATTCACTGACGATGGTTCAGATACCATCATAATCGATGAAGGAAACGAGTCCGTGCCAGAATAGCCAACAAATGGACCTGGGTATTTGGAGTTATCAACTGGATCAATGAGATCATCAAGGTCGATATTTTCGTTATCATCTACGGTGTCAATGGAATTCATGACAGGTTCGTTGAATTGAGCCGACATCAATTCTTGCAACCAGACTTCGGATGCAATGTCCATATCAAATACTAGTTCGTTGAAGTTAGTCTTTTGCACGACAATTAAACACTAACGTCACTAACTGGAAATTTCGTCAGAAATCATTGGCGTATGCACTTTGTTCCCAATTTCCTCGGAGACGCTCTTCATGCCCTGATTTGGCGTCTGAGTCCCGGCCTCTGTGCTTGCGTGGTGGTGTTTTCTCTTTGCCACCTTTGGCGCCTTCTTTTCGTGCTCCTGGTAGTCCAATGCTGGCTGCTGTTGGGCGGGACTGTTATAGTTTTCTCTTAGCCGTGACTGAGAATCTCTTTTCTTCGCTGGTCGTCCTAGCCGTCTGGACATGCTGTATACACAATCGATCTTGTGCTTCTGACACCGACGGCAAGTGGGCTTCTCATGGCTGCAGCGAATCTTGGCCTGTTGGCAAGCGTTGCAGGTAGAGCGTACTTTGACACTCTTTGGAAGCGTACTGGCATTTGCCTTTGATGACTTTGACATACTCATAATTAATCAAGCGATTCTTGAGAATTCCGTTGATCAGGGGCTCTAGATGGTATGAATGCCCTTGTCTCATATGAAGGAGTCATGAGCTTGTTACGCACGGTGCACCTCGATAGATCTACTTCGTCAAGGCACCCAATCCAGTTTAAGAATAAGATATCAATAGGCTGCAATTAAGCTCGCTTCACAAGCCATTATACCTTTTACAGTGTAAAGTGGGCTGCCACGATTGCACGACAAGCCGGGACGGTGGAGAGTTACATCCTGCAGGGTCCTTTATCACAAGTGAATCCTGTCCTACCCGAGCATACAGGAGTACTACTTGTGCCTCACCATAACGCCATCGACCGCAAAGTCTCAATCTGAGGGGACGGCAGAGCTGGAAGGTGGGGAATTGACAATCGTTTGGTTTGTAGTTATGCAGCTGTATGGTATTGCAATTTCTTCCACGATCGCCCTGTTCCGGTCATATTCTCGTTGCTAAGAGACTTACTCCGAATCTGAAAGTCATACGTAGCGGGGGCTAAATGGGAGCATATAAATTTTCTGGAAGGCAATTAGCCTTTCGATTATTTGTGAATATAAACCTCACATCTGGGCATCTAACTGTCCTTTTCGGTACATCTTGACAAACTGTCGAAACCAGTACTTAGACCTGATAACTCAAGGAAAAGGTGGTAGGGATGTCGTATGTTGCCTAGAGCTTCCTACCAGGAAGAGTCCAAAACATACACTGTCTAGCGTCTAACATCGACTCAATAGTAGGATCAAGTATCAAAACATCATACGTTCGAGACAGAGGGGTAGATATCCACAAACGAATGCTCTGCTAGATGCAAGTCAGAAACAATAAAAGGCTTGATGCAAGTCTCTGTCTAGCACATAGCGAACCTGCCCTAAGGGACGCCTTGTATTTCCAGCCTCATTTCCACATTGCCTCAGTAGGAGCTGGGTCGCAGGTCACCGATTGGAATGATGTCGTCGTTGCACTCTGCCAAGTCCGAGATGACCCGCCGGAGCTGTCATTTCGACCGAAGAAATAATTTACCGCGAGCGGGACATCCAATCCGGCCGCCTGCATAAACTGCCTCACATCGAACCCAGCACGCGCGGCCATGTTCTCCGGCGGAATGTGCGAAAAACAAGCTGGAAAGCAATAATTCAATGGCTGCGCATACAAGAGATAGACGTAACGGTGGTGCGAGCCGGGAGGGGGCTGAGGTCCAATATATTCGGCGATGAGTGAAGACAGTCCACCACTACCATCGGACGGCACCAGATAACCCGATGAGTCTGTTTCTGTGCAGTTGACTATGAGGTCTGACTGGTACCAGTGCAAGACGACAGTCTGGATTGCGGTGCCGGAGATCATGACGTCGAGATCGAGGAAAAGGATCAGGTAGCGTGTGTTGCAGTGCAGGCCGGCATGACCAATATCGGGAACTGTCTTAGTATCTGATACACAGTTAGCAAGACTCGGCAGGTATTCCGGATTGTCTTCGTACCTTGGGCATTCAATGTCATTCCTGGCCAGACCACCATTTCTCCAGGATAACGAACCTGGAGTTGCTGCACGGACAAGAGTGGATATTGCTTTGTCGTGCTGGCTGTAAGAAACCATATAATCCACACCCAGAACATTATTGTCAACAAATATACGACTGGATTGAATGTGAAAATGTTAAGTGGTTTCCGTTATATAGACTGCAACGCATGAAAAGTTCAATCATCTTCGTCTGTATGTACCACCCTGTCCTGCGATTATATACCGACTACGGAACTTTATTCTGTTGCACCACTTAAGATTTCGTGTAGAGCAGCCAGCATTCCCCGGGGCAGTTTTCTAGGGCGACGAGTTCAATTGTGCCCGTCGCCACGCCCAGCCCTTAGAATAAACAAGCATGAGCAAGGGAATCACGGCCATCACAACGCTGGACACGAGGATATATGTATACTGCACACCTACTCGTCGAATTAATGGATTCACCGCAGCGGCGGCACCCGCACCGAGAAAACAGCGCACCAGGTTGTTCGCGGCCATGGCTGTGGCCGGAGTTGTGTAGTACAGGTCCACAATCAGGACGTTCATAACATTGTATGCGGCGGTGATGAAGAAGCAAATGAAAAATATCATCGAAAGAGCAGCCCACAATGGAGCTCCGTGCGCCAGAAGGGTCCCGTAAACCGTGATCGAGCCGGCGGCAAACATCTACGTCGGGTATATCAACATCTGAAAACAGAAGAGCAGGACATACGTAATATATAGTAAGACGTACCGTCATAGGAAAGCCGATTTGTAGCCTAGCCTGCTCAATTGAGAACTCGGAGATGTCTTCCCGCTGGTGCCTACGCACTGGCTGGCCTATTTTTGCGTACATTCGTCTATAATTCCAGTCTACCAACACGCCATTAGTAGTTGCACTAACCAGCGAGCCTAGTCCGGCGGGTATAAAGCTCAGCCCTATACCGAGATCGTGGAGGTTGTAAAGCGCCTTAAAGAGTGAAGCAACACCCGCAGTGACAGCATAGTAGCTTGCGAAAATAACTCCGTTCACCAACAAGATTAGGCCAACCGGACGATGAGAAAACAGTCGCAATGCGAACCATGGATTCAAGATGGTCCATTTTCTTCGCTGTTGAGGAGACTGACGGGGGAAGCTGTCAGCTTCTTGATTCAAAGGTTGCTTCATATAACTCCAAAAGGTCCTATTCAACCCCAATGCTGTGGTTGATCCATCCCCAACAATAGCTCGACAGGTTTCAGGGAAAAACAGAAGCAGGAGCACAAAGAAGGCAGCGGCTGCAATGGCTAAAAACCAAAATATTGCCGGCCATCCCAAATACTGGCTCAAGAGGCCACCGAGAATAGGGCCAAGAGAAGGGGCCAGAATATTCCCAAGCGACGCAAGTCCCATATAGTAGCCTCGCTCCCGGGGTGTGATGATATCCGCTGCAACGGCGGATGCCAAGGCAACTGTTCCGCTACTGCCGCTGCTCTGAACGGCGCGGAGGATCAGCAGCGCAGGAAAGTGGCGCTGGAGGGCAAGAGCAATGTTGCCCACGATGTATACTACGAAACAGCAGATGTAGGCTGGTCGGCGGCCTGCTTGGTCGGCTAACGAGCCCATGAAAGCTGGTGCGAGGCCCTGGCATATCTATACCCAGAAAGTTAGTTGTCTGCCTGATAGTGACATGAAGGCCATACCATGTACGTTGTAATTGTCAGGTTTATCTGAGAGGGACCGACATGCAAATCTTTGGCAATGGAATTCAAGGCCGGGTAGTAGATATTTGCAGACAAGGGGGAGAAGCTTGAGGCTAGCGCTGCGGTCACTATAATCAGTCGTTTTTGAGTGGTTGTGAAAACGGAATATCGATCATTGGTAGACCGCAGCAAAGGCGTTCTATTGTGGGCTTTGCTGTCGGTGCTAGACAGACATTCATCTGTGATCGGTTGCATGATGAGAGAAGCGTGACACTAAGAATCATATGTGTGATGAAATACAATCATACAATCATAAAATCTTGATTGAAGAGTAGGTAGCAAGTAGCAAAGAATATAGATAGACTCTGAAGAGACCAGCTCGCAGAGCAAACCCCCATCCAGACGACTAAATCTTCGCGACAGCGTCCAACCTAGGGGTTGTACTACCAGTATAGATATGGGACGGACGAAAGATCTTGCCGCGAGTGACTAGTTACACCTGGTCAGCAAAGAAGTTGCCGAGACTTGCGGACGATTTATGCTATGAGGTGTACAGACCCATGTATTCACGCCAATGGGCCATGATTCCCATGATCCGATGCGAGAGCATAGCCGCTGGGATGATCTCAGGCTCGAACCCACTATGCGAAACATCAGCCAGATCTACGTTAGCACATCGCCGTCACGCCACCATCTATGTGAGGGTCTACAAACATGCCAGTGAAGACGAAGTTTCCATAAAAATCGGCATTCGGATACAGCCCACGAGAGAGGAAGTAATCATCCCTGCCTGCAGCCAGTTCAATAGCTTCGGCTATTTTAAGCAGCGGGTTCGATTCCGGCGCCAGATCATTCAAAATGTTGCGAATGGGAGGAACGCGCGGATCCATACCCTTGTACGAGCGGTGGCCGTAGCCGAATAATTTGCGTTTTCCGGCTTTAACCTCCTCAATAAAGGCAGGCACGCGTGATGGGTCCCCAATCTCGCGCAGTGCACGCTGTGCAGACTCCGTCGCGCCGAAATGGAGCGGGCCATGAGCCGCGCTGACAGCGGACATCAGGCACGAGACTGGATCTGTCAAGGAGGACGCCGTGACGAGACTAGAGAAGACAGAGAGTGCCATTCCATGGTCTGCGTTGAGCATGGCGAAGCGGCGGAAACATGCCAGCCGCACGGGGTCCGGACGATGAGTCGTTAGGTCTAGCATGCTGCACATGGTGAACAGATTCTCGTAGTAGGTCTGGCTGAGGGAGGCGGGTTGCCACGGAATGCCTTTGCGGTGGCAGTAGACGAGGGCGAATATCACGGCGTAGGCTGCAGTGGTTTTTAAGATCATCTGGTCAACACGGTCAATGTTCTTCTGGTAGAGGCTCGCATCGGATGAGGCGGGGATGGATTCTGGGACGCTGGATAGGTAGGCTGCTAAGCCGGCCAGTATGAGCGGCAATGGGCTTGTAGTTGGTCTGGGGTTATGGTTAGACGGGCTCGCATATACGATCCATCGTGAATGCGGGTAAAGGTAAGAAATCCATACAGCAAATTCTGGATAGTTTTAAGCACTGAATCTGGAATCTCCAGCATATGTTGAGCCAGCGTCCGACTTAATTCCGCCCGCTGATGCGCCGTCGGATACGTGCCCCAGACCAGTAGGTGGAACATGCCCTCAAAGTCAGCGTCCCATAGCTGCTCGAGGGTGTATCCATGAAAAAGCAAACGTCCTCGCTCGTGGTCACTAAATATGGATGGTATGGTCAACACTGCGCAGACCCGCATCACAGCCGCCGCAAGCTCACGAGAAGCTGATCGCAGACTCCACCACCGTGGTGTTTTGCAAGCCTGGGTCATGGACTCGCAATCCGTGGCCAACTTGGTCTCCTCGGTCTGTGCCCGCAGATGGGGCGCGGATGCGCTGGAGATCTGTTGCTCGCACTGCATTGCGGTGAATGGGGATCTCATAGTGGAGATCAGTGCGCGAGTCGTGGATAAAAAGTGTGCCGGTCGACATGATTGACGCTGGTGAGAGCTGGCCATCTGGGGCATGGGATACCAACCCACGCCCTAGGATCTTATACCCGATGGCGATTGGGACGGTAGCTAATGTCACCGTGTTTCTGTGACACCTATACTGTTGCGCTTGTGAATCACCTAGGTAGGTTCGGGGTAAGGTAATCTGGTAATGTAGAGACCAGGCCAACGATTGAGGTACGTGAATAAGGTCAGTCATATTGAGCTAGTTCACTATTCTTTTGTTGCGTTTCGAAATCCGTCATGAGAATGCCTCCCGTCTGGTACTCCCATCTTTCATAACTCCCTCCGCGTTTTTACTCCGGCATATGCTTGAATGGCTTGGCCAGGTGTTCCTGGCAGAAAGGAAGCTTGCTGACAGTCCAGATCTCAGTATCCTGCATGCAATCATTAGCGTTGATGTCAGTCAAATCTGTCCGCTACATACCGGCTTGAGGTTCTTCTTGATTTCCGTATCGAGCGTGCCAGCCTTCAGAGCAATAATCTCCGGCGCCGCATCGGGATCATGGGCAATGGGCGAGCCGCACTCAGAGCAGAAAAGGCGGTGGACGGCCTTGCCGGAGCTACCCTTGCCGGACCATGTCTTGACGGGGCCATTGATGGTCAGCTTCGCCTTGGGCACGACAGCGACCAAGGCTGGATAAAAGTCAGTAATTATTTAGTTTTTTTGCGCAGGGCCAGCGCGTGCATACAGTAGGTGGAGCCGGACTGGCGCTGGCAGTCATCACAGTGGTCGTAGCCGGTGATGATAGGCTGGTCGACGTCAGCGGAGTACGTGACCGCTTTACAGAGACAGTGACCGGTGAGAGGCATGATGGAGAGAGAGTAACTTGGGAGAATGGGGACCTTGAGAGTGAGCGACGAGAGTATTTAAGAGAATTGATCAATGCATTGCGTCATGTGTTTTCCGATTCCAAATTCGTCCTCGATTCCAAATTCGTACTGCAAGTCCATGACAAATTGCGGGAGCTCCACTGCGCCAGACCAGTCAGGCGCAGTTGGAACAGAGTAAGCTCCCCAGTCCAGATCCACTCGGTCGGGTCAGGCCAGAATTGATCTGTCCGACGATACTATATTCACTGCCCCCGCCGCCGGGCATGTTCCATCTTATCCGCCGCACTCTCCACCATCATCAGCCTCGTCCACCGCTTCTCACGCCTCCACTCACCTGCATCTGTGCCGCCATTCCGGCCCTCGGGTTCTGTCCACCATACAGCAGGGACTCGTTCCGCTGCGCAATCCGTGCATCCTCCTTGGTCACATACACAGGCACATCCGCCGCGACCGGGGGTAGACCCAAGGCTTCGTTGCGATTGGCGATGGACCGCACCTGCGCCGAGACGGAGCCCACCCCGGGGGGTCGATTGAAGGCGCGGCCCTGAAGAAGAAAGACTGGGTAAGTCATGTCCCCCACCACATATCACCCTTGATCAATCCTTCCATACCTCGGTGGCTTGGATCTCCCGCGCATCCTCCTGCGTAATATGGCTCTGCGGCTTACGCGACACCTCGTCGAGCTTGGTATCGAAGTTCATCTGGCGCATCGACAGGCTCTGCGCCGTGGCTGTGTTCCCGGGTCACCTTGCCGTCCCTTGACTTGCCCTGCTTCCATATTTGTAGCAAAATCAAATTCTCTCAAGACCTACCGGCTGGTCCGCCCCGAACTGGCCCACTGCCCGCCAGCTCGGTTTCCGCTTGCGAAATCATTGACACATCCTCGGGTGTGATGCGTTGCCCGCATTCGGCGGCACGCTTGAGTTCGTTGATGCTAGGGATGTTGAAACTCATGGCGGGTGCAAATTTGCTTTGTCTGGATGCTGGAGAAGAGATCCGGGGGCTAATATAGGTAGTAGCGGTGATGTCACGGTGAACACACCCGATGGCGGTTTGCCGCTCAAGGGTGGCGTTGCCATGTAGTGACGAATATCGCGCAGTAGATGATAGTGATATGAGTGATTTCCATTCCATTTGAGAAGAATGGGTCGGGAAATAGGTTGAAGGATTATCGAAAGACTTCGGTTGACAAAAAGACTCATGAAAGGGACCAGTCCTTAACCGCAAACCGATAAGGAATACTACGGAAGGGTCAACTGTATGACCTCCTGCAATTTCACTCGTTTTCTCTCTCCTAGATAAAGATAATGCATGCGTTTAAACAAACACTTATAATTGACCAGCTGAAGACATGTTGACACGTGTGTGGACGATTCAGTCCACCCCTACCCGCGAGAGATATATTCGTCTCTATCTTCTATTCTACTTAGTAGAACTGTCACGAGGTATAGTGTCTTTTCATAACGAGGTTTCATAGTTCACTTTGAGGACTGATATCGAGGTCCATCCTTCTTGTCGTTCTCGCAAAGTCAAACCGAGGGGATTAGTCAAGAGTGTCAAACATAACCTGGAATATACAATCATGCCACTAATCTTCCACGATGTTGCACGCTGTTGACAAATCCTAGAGGTAATGATCCGATGTTGAAGACAGTGACCGGGTGTGACTGCTACCGTTGAACATGTTCCGCCCGTCGAGTGCTACGGGGGGACCCCACAATGCTTGGTGCAGTAGGACAGTATCACCTCGAGGCACGGCAAGGGTCTGGTACGGTCATTCGGTACGGGGGTGTTATTTTCAATTCTCCCATTCATCAACTCCAAGGAAAGAGCAAGAAGGGAAAGAAGCAAAGGGCATTCGACTTTATTTAACTCTTTGGATCCTTTGTGCTGACCAATCACGAGCGATCCCGGACATGCCGGTACCGGGACAGCCGCGCCTTCCTTTTTCCTCTTTGCATCGCTTGAGGACGTCGCAACATACAGCAGCCTAAACAGGCAAGCGCTGTTCTGCTCTGCCTTTGCTCTTCGCATTCCCTCCCTTGCGCGGTCGGTCCGGCATACCATCTCTCCCTCACCCGATCCCGGCCCTCAACTCCGGTCCCAACCGACCATGTCCGAAACATCCACCATGTACGTTCTGTTTCCAATTCTCAACCTTGGCATCTGTGTTAACATGAGGCGTCACAGACTGCCCAAGAAGGGCAAGAAGGCGTGCACCGAGTGTCGCCAGCAAAAGGTTCGCGAGCTGCTGCTCATGCTAGCTAACAGATCTAACAATGACACAGGCCAAATGCGATGTCTATGTGAACCATCCATGCTCCCGTTGCCGGAAGATGCAGGCAGAATGTGTCATCTCCGACCCTTTCAAGCGGGAACACAAGCGCAAGTATGTCTCGCCCGGAGGAAAAGTGATTTTCTCTCATGCTAATCATACCCCACGGGCAGGCGTCTCTCGGAGCTGGAAAAGGAATCCGAGGAGCTGCGCCGGAAACTGAGGGCCTCGCAGTCCGCCGAGTCGCCCAATCCCTCACCAATTGCCCTGCTGACGGCGGCGGCGGAGATGGGCGTGCGCGAGGGGCCGTCTGCCGGTGGTGGTGACCTGCACATTCCGGTGTCCCAGGTTGCCGCCGCTCCTGTGTACCCGCTCACCACCTCCGGTCCGGCACCGGGTTGGACAGAAGGAAACACGACCGATATCACAAAGTCCCGATCAGTGAACGGCAATTGGGTGACCGGGGAGGAAATTGATGATTTGTTCCGGCTGTAGGCATCCCCTGCTGTGTCTCGAGAGGTTCGCGACTGACACGAAAGTCTAGGTTCTTTTGTCATTATGCACATTTCATCCCCATCCTCGACCCCGAGACTCGCCCAAATACATATTACGCCCAGTCACCGTTCCTCTTCTGGGCTGTCATTGGGGTGTCATGCAGGAACTACTCTCGCAATCCCACTCTGCTGATGGCGCTGGCGCAAAGCATCACAGAGATGGCCTTTCTCTCTGGCGTATCTCTATCGCCACCGTGGCACACGATCCAGGGACTGTTGCTGTTGCTAACATGGCCTCTTCCCAAGGGTCACCGTCCCGACGTGACGTTTGCTCTCAGCGGGCTGTTGCTCCACATCGCCATGCAGAATGGACTGCATATCCCCATGTCGAGCCATGAGTTTTCCCGCGTGAAAATATCCGCCGCGCCCTCGGAAACTGATATGGTCCGGCGTGCGGAGCTGTGGGCTCATTGTGTTGTTGTGTACCAACGGTATGTCCATAATTGGTCGATTTGCAAAATCATTTGCTAACACTCGAGCAGCGCCTGTGTGATCAAAGGACAATCGCCACGACTTTTGGTCAACCTCGCACAGGATCCCGCACAGCGGCAGCTTCTGTTCGACAAGGTTGCTTCACCGCTGGTGTTGAAGCTTCGCTGCCAGGAGCTCATGGCGCGATGCAGCCAGGCTGTTCAGGAGAATGGAGTGCGCACCATGTCGGTGGACCAGGAGCGCGCACTGGATATTTTGCTGCGTACTTATGAAAGCCAGGTTGATGAACTAGAACTACAGGCCGTGACTGGTATGTCTCTCTTGTCCTTCCCTTCCATTTTTGCTGAATACTCACCCTCAATGTAGACGACGAGCGGTATCATGCCGTCCTGTGCCGGATGGTAATCCAGATTTTCCATTTCTTTAAAACCCAGACGCTCCTATCCAGTGGCTGTTTCCCCCGGCTCCTGGCCACAGCATGCCACATGATCGATTTGATCCAGAGCATCACCAGCCGGCTGAACTCACCTTCGATAGCACCCGTCCAACTCGGATTCGGGCTCCTCCTCTCGTCTGTTGCATTACTGCGGATCCTCAAAAGCAGCACATGCCAGGTTCTGGACACTGGACGGGCCCGAACATCATTTTTCACCGCGATCAACTTAGCCAAGCAGATGTCTGTCGAGCACACCGACATGGCCGCCAAGACCGTCACGATCCTCAACGCCCTATGGAACAGCAGCAAAGCCTTCCGCAAAGCTGACGGCTCCGAGTATCCAGGTCTGCGGATCCGCAGTCGACTAGCCATCAGCGCCGTCGTGGACGCCGTCTGGTGGTTCCGAGACGAGTTCGATCCCCATTCACGGTCTGTGGTCTTGGCCCACGCCGAGCCGGGTGATGGTACTGTTCTTCCCCGTGCGCGGAGTGGCACAGGCACTAATGAAGCAGAGAGCATAGGCGTGGACCCGAATCGGGACGCATCGTCCAGTGCCCTTCCGTCCGCTGGGGCGTCGACAGACCGGCAGGAGTCGTTCTTGTTAGATGAGAACTTCCTCGCCGACTTTGAATGGGCGCTCGGAGACGATGCTTTGTTTTCCATGGATCTGGTTTCGACGTGGCCGTCTACCACAAACCTGCTGTGATGATGTGCCCGGCATCATTGCAGATTATGATTTTACGATATTAGATATAAATTTGCGTTTGGATCGCGCGACATTAGCACTACCCTATTTGCCGAGCAGAATCAAAGACACCCATCTTGATTGACACTTTCGATCGAACTCCTAGATAGGTCGGTCAATCTCGGGGTGTCTCTTGGACATCCCTACTAGTTCACATCTTAAGTAACGTTTAGTCGCGTCTTGTCTGATTTCACACCAATGGATATTGACGCGTCCTCACGACTTGACCACCCTAACTCGGGCTGGTAGGTCAGGTCGCCAGCTAACCAAGAAAGCGTATGCTCGATGGCGATGCAGCTAGCAGTAGTTTGAACCTACTTTATTATTCCTTGTTGGCGCTCCAGATTAAAATTGGCAATTTCCCGATGGCAGCCGTCGACACGGTTTCCCTCCAAGAATGCGCAGGATTCATAAGACCAGGCGATCATATTCTCAATGCCGACCATGGTTCTGTGAAGGGATCGGCAAGAGTTCTTCGGTGAAATAGAAAAGAGTCGCGAGACTATGAACCTGATTCGCTACAGACCCATGTATGAAGCATAAACACCTTCCTAATACTCTTTTTTCGGCCGAAGGTAAATCACCTTTAGCAGCAGAGAGGAATCACGGGGACGGTCTTGGACGGCGGACCAACTGGCAGGACTAACCGCCTGAGGAAGCGCCATCGGCACTGGGAAACCCGCACTAGGGCTAGCCGGCCCCACGTTGCCCCCGGATGGAGCAAAAGCTATACCGCTAGCGGTGCTCGCTGAGCTCTAATCCCGGCACGACTGGGCCTTCCCGCCAGCCTAGTGGAGCGGGCGTTATCAATGGCACCGGGAATGGTGCACGAGCCAGGGGCTAGTGACATGATAAGGGCATTGGCACCCCAATTCGGGAGGTTGAAGCTTGAGCCATGCAAGTAAACGTAACCTCAGGAACGCCACCCCACAGTAGTAGTCGTTATCGCGCCTGTGCGACCTGTGCTGGATAGTTGGCGAGGCAGACGCCAGACATGCCTGCCGCTGATTGGGGCTGCCCTGAACCACCGGCCAGTTTACTCTCCCCCCTCAGGTCAATCAATACACCAACTCGTTAATCTTCCATAAATAAGAATCCCTTCCGTTCTCTCTCTCCTTTCTTTCACCCCTCCTCCCCGATGCTTCGCATCTTTCTCTCTTTTCTTTATTTCTCATTCTCACTTCGCCATCAGATTCATTGACCATGGAGAAGAACGAGCCTGAGATCGCCGTTACCACCGGTGCCACGGTGGACGAGAAGGCCGTCCCCGATGATGCGCTCACACAGCTGCGCAACCTAAAGCAGCATCATCACTGGGACCCCAATCTGCCAGACGATGTGCTCGAGGAGGTCGATGAGGCCCTGAACACTACGGACAAGGGTGCCCAGATTGAAATTGCACGCGAGCTGCTCGATAACTCTCCCTACGTCGAAGTGCGCGCTGCCGTGCCCAATGTTGATGAAGGTGGCTCCGCGAATACACTGCGCGCGTGGGTCATTGGCCTGGTCTTCGCGACCATCGGCTCTGCCCTAAACATGCTCTTCTCCATGCGCCAGCCCTATATTGTCATCCCCTCCTACATCGCCCAAGTGTGCGCCTACCCCGTTGGCAGGGCCTGGGAGAAGGTCATGCCGAACAAGACCTTCCGCTTCTTTGGGCGTGAGATCCTCTTGAACCCTGGACCTTTCAACAAGAAGGAGCATGCAATCATTGTCATCATGGCCAATGCCACCTTTGGTGGGGGTGCCGCCTACGCGACCGATGTCTTGCTGGCCCAGCGTGCTTTCTACAACCAGCGCTATGGCTGGCCCTTTGAGATCTTCATGTGCATGTCGACGCAGATGCTCGGGTTCGGGATGGCTGGCTTCTTTTCACGCTGGTTGGTCACCCCTGCTGCCATGATCTGGCCGTCCACCTTGATCAACACGTCACTCTTCACTGCTCTGCACGACCACTCCCGTCCCGATCCTCGCAAGGTCTCTGGATGGAAGATTGGCAAGTACCGCCTGTTCCTCTACACCATGATCGCCGCGTTCTGCTGGTACTGGTTCCCGGGATACATCGCCCCGTTCCTGAGCGTCTTCGCTTGGATTACCTGGATCAAGCCGCAAAATGTCGTGATCAACCAGTTGTTCGGTGGCTGGACTGGCCTCTCACTCATTCCTATGACTTTCGACTGGACTCAGATCTCAGGTTTCAACTTCAGCCCGCTGATTGCCCCGTGGTATGCCATCGCCAACACCCTGTTGGGCATGGTCCTCTTTTTCTGGATCGTCACTTGCGGCGTTCATTTCTCGGGCAAGTTTTATTCTGCGCATTTGCCGATCAGCGACTCCAACAGCTACGACAATATGGGCCAAGTCTACAATGTCACCAGGATTCTCACTCCTGAGTACACCTTCGACGCCACCAAGTACCAGAACTACTCTCCACTGTTCCTCTCGACCACCTTCATGCTCAACTACGGCCTCTCGTTTGCTAGCATGACCGCGGTCCTCGTCCACACCGCAATCTTCCATGGACCTGACATCTGGGCTCGGTTCCGGAACTTCGGCAAGGAGACCGAAGACGTCCATGGCCGGCTGATGGCCAAGTACAAGACTGTTCCGATCTGGTGGTACCTCGTGGTGTTCTTGCTCATGGCGGCGATGGCTTTGGGGGTCTCGCTCGGCTACCCAACTCATCTGAGCTGGTGGGCCTTCATCATTGCCCTGCTGATCTCCGCAGTGTTCTTCATTCCTCTGGGAATTGTCAAGGCATCCACCAACATCGACCTGGGCCTGAACGTCATCACTGAGTTCATTGTCGGCTACATGCAGCCAGGCCGCCCCATGGCCATGATGCTGTTCAAGACATACGGCTACATCACCATGTACCAGGGGATGTACTTTACACAGGATCTCAAGCTGGGTAAGTAACATACCATACCGAGTCTCTTGTTTTTGTTTCCATGCTAACCTTGGAAATAGGACACTATATGAAAGTTCCGCCGCGCCTCACTTGGACGGCACAGATGGTTGCCGGTGTCTGGTCTTCGCTCGTGCAGATCGCCACCATGAATTGGGCCCTAGGCGTCATCAATGGCGTGTGTTCCCAAGACCAGCCCAACCACTACAGCTGCCCGAACGGACGCGTGTTTTTCAACGCCTCGATCATCTGGGGCGTCATCGGCCCCAAGCGCATGTTCTCCATCCACCAGCTCTACTCGCCACTTTTGATCTTCTTTGTGGTGGGCGCCATTTTGCCGGTGATGGTGTACTTCCTCGCTCGCGCTTTCCCTAGGAGCCCCATCCGCTACATTAACGCGCCCATTCTCTTCGGTGGAGCCGGCCTCATTCCGCCCGCCACGCCTCTGAACTATCTCAGCTGGGGCATTGTCGGTTTCGTATTCAACAAATACATCCGTGGTCGTTTCCGTGGCTGGTGGATGCACTATAATTACGTCTTTTCTGCGGGACTCGATGTCGGCCTCGTCCTCTCGACCATCCTTATCTTTCTGACCCTGAGTCTCACCAACACTAGCTTCCCTAGCTGGTGGGGCACCAACATTGCTGCTGAGACGGCCGATGTCATGGATACAGCTATCCAGGTTAAGGGCGTGAAGTTCGGTCCCGAGCACTGGTAGTTTGGATGGTACATTGTGTGTGCCCTCGGCGGAGGTTTGGGTGCTTTTTTTTTCAGTATTGTTTCAATCCGCAAACACAACGACGCAAGGATAGTTATGATGATGACTTAATGAACTTATTTCTTACTTGATTCTTTCCCTTCCTGCTGCGTAGAGTAGGTCTAGTTGGACTAAGTACTCTCCGCAGTCCAGGTCGCGGACCTTATGCCAGATGAACGAGAATAAAACAAGAACAAAACAATTGTTACGGAAAGACTAGCAGCAGCAGCGGATTGTAACTCGTGGCATTACCGAGAAAAATTGGGGAGTATCTCTTAGCAAGGCACATCCCTGCTTGTATAGTCAGTCCATGCGACACCAGGACAGGAGGAACGTCCTCAGTCCTATCACCAGGGCACATGGCTGTCCCTTACAGTAGGTGTAGGATTTTCTCTGATGTATAAATAACCTTGCTAAGGAGAAGAAGGGTGTTCGTTTCTGATTGGGGGATACACTTATCCTTCGACTTGTACATTCTGCTATTTTGTCTTCTTCCCTCTACATTGCATACTGGGTACTCCTTCATACCTAACTTACAGTTCCAGCAGCACCCTTGGAAGCTATTGCTCGTTAACAATACAACACTCTGATGACTGATACAGCGAGAAGTCTACGCCCGCATCTATTATATAGCAAAAGACGTTTTTATAAGCGTGGCATCATAACATATATACAAGCTCAAGTCAAATTGCATCCGTAATGCACAAACATCACTCATCAATAAATGCCATCTGGATCAATGAATGTCTCGAGCCAAGCCATCACTCCACAGATCCAAGTTATAGCAATAGAAAAGGCCAAAAATAAGCCCTGATTCCAAAGCGTTCCTCCCTAGGTCCCAACCAACTCCAGCAGAATCTCATTCCCTCTGCACATAGCAACCAGACACACACACATAACCTACGCCGGGGTACGGCGGCGCATACCAACCATCAGACCGAGTGGTTTGCGCAGGAATCCCTCACGAGTCTGCATGGGACCCTCCTGCTCCATGCGGAATTCAAAGAGCCGGAAAACCGTAGCGCCCATGACGAGCAGCTCCATCTCGGCGACGTTGCGGCCGACGCAGGCACGCGGGCCGTGGCTGAATGGGATGAAGGCCGCCTTCTGGCGAGCGGTCAGGCGCTCTGGATCCCAGCGCTCAGGGACAAACTCCTCCGCGTCTGCACCCCAGATCTCTTTGGAGCGGTGGATCGTGTAACTAGGTACGGAGAGAACGTCGCCGGGTCCGAACGTGTGGCCTGCGATCTCGATGGGACTGGCGCCCTCGGGGATCTCGCGCGGAAGACCCATTGCCGAGGTGCTGTGGATACGCATCGTTTCCCAGATGATCCATTGCAGGCTATGGTGGTTAGTTTTGAAGACCCACACAGAGGTAGACTGTAAGTAACTTACTAGGGGATATCCTTAACCATGGCGTGGGTGGGAACCTCGATGTCCTTAGGCAGGGCGTCATCTAGGACCTTCTGCAGCTTGGGGATCACGCCAGGGGTGCGCATGCACCAGTACAGGATCGCACAGGCGGTGTTGGAGGTAGTATCGGAACCAGCAATCAGCTGGGTCAAGGCCTCGGCGGTGAGTTCCTCGCGGCCGAGCGTGTTGCCGTTTCCGTCCTTGCCTTCCATGAGGCGGGCGAGAAGGTCGACACGGGTGTTGTTGGCCATGACCTCAGGCTTGAGGCGCTCGTTGACACGGGCGATAGCGATACCAGCCAGATTCTCAACGGCCTCAATACCCTGGGTGAAGAAGCGGTCGGGGATCCACTTAGCCCAGGGCTTCAAGGCGGGCAGGCAGCCGAGCGTAGCGGAGACCTCGCCACGACGGTTCAGCACTTCGACGGCGGCAACATACTTGGGCGGGTCGGTGGGAGTCTTGCGCATCTCAGCAATATCCTTGCCCTTTTCAAGCATGCCGAACGGAGCACCGAAGGCTAGATCACCGATGATGTCAAAGGCCAGGTAGTTGAACCAGTTAAGGGCATCAAGACTAGCATATCCCGTCTTAGGGTTCGCTTGTAGATCAGAGAGCTTGTTCCACTGCTTGACAAACATCTCAATGTTGTGGTGGATGTACTGCTCGAACTGGCCGATGGACTTAGCACTAAACGTATGAGAGACAGTCTTGCGCTTGCGCGTATGCTCCGCACGATCCCGGGTATTGAACAGACCCCGGCGGATAGAAACAAAAGCATCATAGAAGTCACTGGGAACGGGTGTTAGCCTTGTAGAATTTCTTTATTTTTTTTTATTTTTTTTTCCAAATAGTATGAGAGACGTACGCTTTCAAGAATCCATTACCGTGTCCGTAAATAGTCTGGATGGCGGCATCGTCGGCAATGGAAATGTGTTTGGGTGCAAGGCGCACCAGCGTACCGTACTTCTTATGGGCTTGATCGACCGACAAATAGCGCTTGCCCTGTCGGGCCTGGGCCAGCAGCCAAAGGTTGGTGAAGGCCGCCAGACCGGGCGCGGGGATATCGTGCAGCCGCCAGCGCTGCAGATAGGGCACCAAATAGTACGCGACTAGCAGGCCCAGGGCAATGTAGGGGGTGTTCTCCAGAGTGACCAGCATCGTGGGTACGGGGAACTATACTAGCAGCCAATAATAGACAGGGAAGGTCGATCACGGCCGCCACACAGTTTGAAATGCAATGACTAAACTGGGTGTGGCTGTTCAATGATAATCAAAGGAAGGGTGGTACCGAATTCGAGGATATTTGTCTGAGGTTGTCCAGCACTGCTGAGCAATGGCAGCTGGCCGTGATATTTATAACAGAGCGGCGGTAAAAGCTTGCCCGAGGTCTCCGTCAGCAACGGATGAGCAACTCGGCATCCCCAGACGCTGCAGGGTCACGGGCTTCCCCGCCATCCTAATGCGCGACACTTGATTTGCCGGGGGATCGAGGCTGGGTCATGTGACCGCGGGTGCGACAGCTCGGGTCCCGCAGTCGGTAGATGGCGAACTGGGTTGGTAGGCACCCGAAGTTGGAGGGGATCTTTCGGTCGGTAGTACGGGGCAATGAACTATACACGCTGGCAGATGATCTCCCTGGACATGGAACGCCTGTTTAGGCGCCCTGCTCTTTTGACTCAGATATATACAAGGCAGAATGGTTTCAGCCCTGTGTGAACCAACTCTCGGGGCCGAGTCACAGTAATGAACTATCCGGTTCGGGCCCGAACCATCATTCGTTTGTTCTATATAAACAGTGCGCCACCAACAGTCTCATGTCTCTCAACCCACTCATCAATTCACTCCAAGAAATCAAATTACTACAATGCAATCAACCAGCCAGCCCGTCATTGTGGTCGGCGCCAGCCTCGTCGGTCTGTCCGCAGCCCTATGCTTGGCCTCCCACCAAGTACCGACCATCGTCCTCGAAAAGCACGCCAGCATGTCCGAGCACCCTCGTGCCATTGGCTTTACCACCCGAACTCTGGAGATTTACAGATCCCTCGGCATTGAAAACAGCGACCCGGCACCGGAGGATTTTGTCCTGGAGCGCGTCTCCGTCGAGAGCGTAACCGGCAAATGGCTCGACAGCTCATCTTGGTCCGACACAGACACAAAGCCAAAAGAAAGCAAAAAGAAGAGACGAAGCCTTTGGCTCTCCCGAAGAAGGAATACTCCGCGGAGCGCGGGTCGGCCATGCCTCAAGATAAATTGGAACCAAGACTGGAAGCATTGGCGCGCGAGCGTGGCGCGGATATCCGTCGCGGGCACCGAGTATTGAATGTTGAGCAAGACGAAGGCGGTGTCCTTGTTACTGTAAAAGATTCGCAAGATCTCCAGCATCAAATCCGGGGATCCTACCTGATTGCAGCGGATGGGAACCGCAGCACCGTCCGCGAACTACTCCAGATCCCACGCCACGGCCGCGGGTTCATGCAAACCGTCCGCAGCGTTCTCTTCCACGCCCCACTCGAGCAATGGACAAAGGGAATTGTACAATTCAATATCGAACAGCCCGACCTCTCGGCTTTCCTCGTGTCTTACAACGACGGCCGATGGGCATTGATGTTCCGGGATGACATTGAGCGCGACGATGAGACGTACAAAGCCGCAATCTACCAAGCCGTCGGTAGGGAGGACTTCCCCATCGAGCTCATCACAACTGGCCGCTGGGAACTGACTGCCCTCGTGGCAGACACGTTCCGGTCTGGCCGGGTCTTTCTCGCCGGCGATGCAGCGCACACGTTGCCGCCCAATCGCGGCGGATACGGTGCAAACACTGGCATCCACGACGCACACAATTTAGCATGGAAGCTTGCTGCTGTCTTGTCTGGTAAATCTTCGGCAGAGCTCTTGGACACCTACGATACCGAGCGACGGCCCGTGGCTCTTCTGCGACATGATCAGATCTTTGTGCGGGCTGATTACAAGGTACATCTGGACACGGCCACGCCGGCCGGAGAGAAAATAGACGACGACGCCATGGAGTTTGGCCAGATCTATTTGTCCAAGGGGATTGTCGGTGCCGATGAGAATTTGCCTCGTGCAATGAAGCCTGATGAGTGGGCCGGTCAGCCAGGCACCCATCTGCCACATTTCTGGGTCTTGAAGGATGGCGAGAAGGTTCCAATCTTGGATGTTGCCAGCCAGGGCTCTTGGACGTTGGTTTCGGAGACCGGTGAGTGGGCCCAGGTTGTCGCTGATGTCAACAAGAGGTCGTCGGCTGCGCTCAAGTCGCTCCAGATCGGGCATGATGTCCAACTGGTTCAACCGGGGGAATTCCAGCAAGCTTTTGGTGTTTCACAATCAGGTGCTGCTCTCATTCGACCTGATGGGTACGTTGCTTGGAGGACGAAGGAGTTGCCATCTTCAGCGGGGGAAATTCTTGATGAGATCTTGTCGAAGGTTACATTCAGGGTCTAAGAACTAGACATTCGGTTTCCTATCTGTCTGTGAGCGTTGATGGCATGTTTTATAGGGATCAACTTATTTTTATATGGTTATATATTTCTTAGTTGGATATTTGGTCAATATAGTCATAATCATTTACCATGAAACCCCGAATTTGCGTTGCAGGATTCAGCATTCACCATCGCTCGCCCGATACCGGGAATAGCCCGCTCTTCTTCTTCTCACCCTCCCACCGTTCCATCCACGCTTTCATCTGTTCTCGGCTTTTCTGATTGCCCACGTTAACCGTCGGGATCACCCGCCCAATGCGCAATGCGCAGCAGAACATGGTCAGCTCGCGGAAGGAGCTATGTTCACTGTATGGAACCCCGAAACAAGCGCTTTCGCGGGTGCTGCCTCGTTGCGGTGTGAGGTCCTGTGCCGTGAACGAGGTTTTCCAGTTCTCAGAGTGCAGCACTGTCGAGACTGGCGGGTTGGTAAGCATGCGTCCTGCCGGCGGGCGATAGTTCCAGCCTGTGGGACGGAAGCCAACGACACGCGAGAAATGCGGTTTCATCGAGTCCAGGTAGTCGGCCAGCGTGTTAGGGTTAATCTCGAACAGCGATTGCATATGCACCTGAGCTTGGCGCGGATCGCTCGTTAGCAAGGACGACAGCTCCGGGTCTTCTAAACAGGCGCAGATCCGTTGCTTCTGCGGAGTGGCGAAGATCTTGGATCCAAGTGCCCGCGCAATGCCTTGACAGATTCGTTCCTTGCCAATGCTGTATGTGCCGATAACTACAAGCAGTCGACCGCCGTTTCCGGAGGATTGATTTTGCGATCGATCCGTTGCCGTTACAGAGCCAAGGAATTTGTTTATCAAACCACCCCCTCCGGTTTTGCCCTGGTCAAGTCCCACTCCGGCTTCGCGATCGAGGCGCACGCAGAGCTCTGCGCACGCGGTGATCACATCATCCTGGCTGGGGAACGCATACTTGGGGTTGAGATAGGTGGTGTCGAGATAACACGTATCAATCCGCTGCTGGCGTGGTTGACCGGTGACGGGATTGACCGGGTTCGGACGTAGGAGTGGGTGCTGTACATGTTCCGGGGATGCACGGAAGTCGCCACAGTGAAGGATTCGCTGGTGCCGTGTGCTTGGGCCGCTGCCAAAGGTCTTTTCGAAAAGAAACAGAGCACTACCGGGACAGTGGTTGGCGGAGATCAGCGTAACTTGGACTCCACCCGTTCCAGGCACTTCCGTAGTTTTTTCAAACTCGAGGTCCACAATCCATCTAGGGTCAACGCGAAGCTGTTGGCGAACAAGATTTGCCGTCGCTCGGCTGCAATAAATGGGACCATGACACCACGACTTGGTCAGTCCAATGTAGTGGTCGCTGTGAAAGTGACTGAGAAAGTAGGCATTGCATCCTTCGACCGCTCCGTAGCGAAAAGCGTCCACGCAGATCGAGAATCCCGAAAGGATCTTGTAAAATGGGCAGGTCCGTTCGTAGGCCTGCTTGCCTCGAGAGGACATTTCGTTCGCCGCGGCCCTCGACCATGCTGTGTCTTCTGCGTTTCCGGTCATCATTTTGGTAAAAGCAGACCGCGCTCCAGGAGCGCTCTGGGCGTACGGGCCGCGCTGTGCTGGTCGAGGAATTGCGGTGCGTTCGGTACGTGTCAATCCCTTAGTAGGGTCCTTTACAGGATCCTCGGGTTTAAGGGCAGTGGTTGTAGGGGCGGGTTTATCATCGAGACAATTGTTCACATGGATCAATATTGCCTAACCTGGAGTTGAGAACACAATTCAAGCACCGAAAGTGAGCAGTGACGTACCGTTTCATCTAGCTTCGGCAAAGTTACCTGGCAAATCGGACAAACCGCCACCTCTTCTCTGGCGCCCTGATCGATACCACTGCAGCTATCTGAGTCTCTGGCCACTCCATCAATTGACGCTTCCTGCTCTTCATCCTCCCATGGTCGTTCTCGAAACTCTTCCCCTACAAATTCGTCCTCTTCAAGATCGTCAAAATCCGCGAATTCATCATTTCCGGCATGGCTCGTATCTTCTCTTACCAGGTTCGGGGACGCGAAGGCAGGCAAGGATTCGGAAGCCGCGGTGTCATTATTCATAGGTACTCGTTCTCCAAATGTCGTATGTCCCAGGGTGGGAGACGTATCTTCAAGGTCCTTGTATGCATCCATGTCCTCCTCACTATCCGACTCGTCAATGAAAGGACCACTCGTCGGCTTTTTGAATGTAGGAGGGTTGGTCGAGTTTGGCCCTTTATCCGATTGTTGTGTATCATTTGCGGCTGCGTCAGGCGAGTTCACTTTCCGGCGTTTGACCGACGAGCCTGTTTCATTGTATCTTTGGTCATCGGCATTAAAAAAGTCATCATCGTCATTGTCGCCCCATATATTTGCCGGGGATCGTGACCGCGCTCTGGCCTCTGTTGTCGGCGCCACTTGGGCGACGGCTCGGCCTTTCTTGTCCTCCAGAAAGAGTTCCCCACCAGCAGTATCCCTGGAGCTATTTGTTCGCTGAATATTCGGAGTGCTCCGACCGCTGCTTGGTGATCGCGATGAAGTTGTTGCAAACTGCGTGATTCGCGCCTGGCGGGAGGTTGCTCCCGGCGGGGTATCTGTCTTCTGGAAAAAGCTGAGGATGCTCGAGTTACGTTTGACCGATGGCTGCCGCGCCGCGGCGGGAGACTTGGACGGTGTGGACGTTTTTTTACTGTATGAGCCCGCCATTTTCCGTGAGAGTAGTGGAAGAGCTTGTGGTCCAAGGCGTCACTCGAGTCGGCACAAGGTTTAATGAAGAGAGTGCGGCCGCATTAGATTTGTCGTCGGAGGGTAATGTCAGCTGGGATCACCGAAAATAAGCAGGTTGGTGGTCATAGTCGTGATATGTACATGGGTGAATGGTTGAGTGAAGGAGGCCGTCGCGCGCGGGAAGAAACTCGACCACGACGCGGAGTCACGTGATACTCGTTCTAAAAAGAGGTACGGAGACAAATGTGAGGGAGATTTGCTGGTTTTTATTGATAGTGCTAAATAAGAACAAGGTATCATGAGTGAGCACAGCATATTCCTGTCATCAAAGTCCTCTCTAAGGAGACCCAGAGGCGGCAGATCCAACGGCGTCGGTCGACCAGCGTTTGCGTAGATCTATCCAGAGCCGCATACAGCCCTTGATCACCTTCAGGCACAGTCCGTAGTCCTATGCAGAGTTCGCAGGCCGAGCACTTCCGATCCCAACCACCGTTTGGCGAGCTCGGTATCAGCCACGAGCCACGACGCCGCCCAAAATATCTTCCCGGCCGGGCGAATGCTGTCATTTTAAAAAAATTCATGGAGTGGCATCGACAGGCCCATGTCATATATCATTGCGGAGATCGGAATCGTCCATCTACCGCGCCTTGCCCGCCTGGTTGGCAGCCTCTATTCCAGTATTAGCAGAATCCAAGAAGTCCCGGCAGCAGTAATATAGTTTCCAATTCGTAGAATTGAGTGGCATTTTACACCATCGCAAGAAACCGTGAGAGAAAGATAAAAGGACGACACTCACCTCGCCTCGTCGCATCCTCCAACAGCCCTACGTCAACCTCCGAGCGTGGCAGCATCACGTAGCGCACCACACTGCCGCGAATGAACATGTTCTTGACTGACGACAGGTGTGGGTACTTGTCCAGATCCAATACTTCGACCTCGTCGAGCTTGATGTTCAGGTACTGGTCGACCGACTTGAGGATACCGCGAATGCGGATGTCGTTCTTGAGTTCGATGGTGACGGTCTGGTTGGTAAGGGTCTTGAAAAAACTGCAAAAGCATCAATGTCAATTCATCGTCCTCAATACACTCGATCTGGAAGCGTACCTGAAGAAGAGCATGGTGGCAGTGGTGGCCCCGGCGAGCAGAGGGGCAGGACGGGCGTGAAACGTGTGCAAGGAAAGAGTGACAGTCACTGGAAACTGTCAAGCTGGAACAGTGTACAGTGAAGAGATTGGAGCTCAAGGATTTGCCGGTCGGAGGGTGGAAAGAAGATCGAGTGCTGCGAATGGAACGTGAAAGTGCACATTCAAGTTGGTCGTGCAAGCGTTGCTAGAGAACTGCTGGTCACGTGTATCACATGACCTCTAGACATTCGCTCGCCGGGCTCCCATAATGAAGCTGGCTCCGGTACAAAAATCAACCCCCCCCCCCCCCCCCCCCCCCCAAAGAAAAGAAAAAAAGGTCAATATAGATGCGGAGAAGGAGATTAACTCTGTTCTCTAGATTTCTCCATTGGACGCGGGAAAATAATTTACCAAAACATTTGGTGGAATTCTCGGTGGGAGGAATACAATGTCTCATGGTTAAGGTGCCGAACCCCTGGGAGGTCAGGGAGCTAGCTGTAGCTCGCACTATCTCATAATAGACAAGGCAAAAATTTGGTACATCTTCAGGCATCGACGAAGCTCGGTATTTGCTACCGAGGCAAGGATAATGAGGATTTGAAACCAAATAGAATAGAACGAGATACTTGAAGGGAGTGAACCCACACGAATAAATACATGGGAGATTTCAGTAATCACAGCATCGGTCCGCTCATTATACATCGGTAAGTAGGGCAAAATTATAGATCCATCATCAACATTGAATCTGCTCATCATTACATTACATTCATGGAGATTCACGCCGACTGCCTTCTCCTTGGCTTCATCGCCCACCCCGACAGGCAAGTCCAACCAGCACCATTCTTCCGGCCTTCATCAAACAACGCCCCAACCCCCTCGAGCAGCTTCGACCTCTCACGACCCATCTCCATGCGCAACTTCACCAGCCACTGTTCCCACATCCATCCTCCCAGCAGACCAGTCAAACTAGCAATGTCACCGGTGCTGCCAACAGGTCCCTGAACTGCCTCGTACTCCTCAATCTGACTCTGGACTCGAGGGGCAGGAGTCTCCCTCGGTGGAGGTTGCTCAGCAGGCTCCACGCCGACGGGAAGGAACATCCAGGCGCGCTTGATGTCTGTGTACCCACTGCGATGGAGACGAGAGAGAAAGCTTTTCGATAGGACAGGATCATACCCACGCGTACGCAGGTTGAATGCAAACTCCACTGAGGTCGCCGATGCGTATGGGCCCGCACGCGAGATCTCCGCATCCAGGACCAGGAATTCGAGATAACCGCCTGGCTTCAGACAGCGGAAACACTCCCTGAGGACCAAATCAAACTCGTCTCGGAGCAGGCCGGTGGGACATTCAGCTTTCAGGAGAGCATGCAAGCAGCGAGCGGAGATGACATCAAATTGATTATTGGCAAATGGTAGCGCCCACAGATGAGCCACATCAACCAGACGATGGTTTGGCGGACCCTTGATTGCGCTGTTGACGATCTGATTCTTGGTATGAACCGTGTAGACCTTGGCATTTGGGAACTCATGGGCGGCATGCCACGCCCACTCGCATGAAGCTTGACCACCGAGGTCCAGAATTCGAAGGGTGCATTTCCTCTTCTTCTTCTTCTCCGGGGAAGGGTTTGGTTGCGCCTGTGCTCGTGCAATCCGCTTGTTCGCCGGACTGGCCAGCAGTCGGCCGCCGTTGAGGAAACGAAGCGCGTCGACGGCCCACATGGGTTGCATGAGCTGGGCCAGCACAAGCTGTTCTTTTTCTATCTTGTCGAATTGCGCTTTCTCGGCGAGCACCGAGGTGACGATGGAGTTTCGAGGCGCTTGGGAGAAGGGGCCTTTGTATGGAGGTCGCTCCGGCCGAACCAATTCATACTTGCCCGTGAGGCAGTTGATATGAAGGTCCTCCAACCCCAAACGAATGGATTGAATGGCATCAAAGCGCACATTGCGATGCAGGAACCCGTCGGTGTGACCAGAACGCTGCCAGATAGCTTGGAAACCTCGCCAATAGATTGAGTCCCTACTGGCGTGCACCGGCGGTGGTGGGCTGTGAACTTGAGGACTTCCTTCGGCAAACCGGACAGCCTTCTTGGGAGCAGAGTCTGTTGCCGAGTCCTGTACATCGCTTTCATTAAGATCGGAATGTCTCTCAGTGGGGCCGATCTCGTTCACCGGGTTGGTTTCACTGAGAGCGGCCAAGTAGGATGCTTGGGCAGCAAGCCAAACGCTGGTTCGGTCAAGGCTGACCATCGCCCGGTCGTGCAGGTCCTTGTCATAGAGTTCGTCGTACTCATAGCCATTCCCAGACCGAGGGATCTCCTGGACCTGACCCACATCAAAGGCAGCACTCATAGGACTATCTTGAGCAATAGTTGGCCGAGTGGGAGTTTCAGAAACAATGCGGACTGCTGTCGGAGGACCGTCTTCGTCCGGGACAGCAGTGAGTTGATCCTCAACCGATTGACGTTCAGGCCAATTGATGACTTGTTCGACAACTTCTCCTTCATCTCGACGCCAGGGGAGATTATAAAATCCCTCAGCCACGGCGGATGACGGGACATGATTGGAAGTTGGGATTGACCAGGTGTGACGAGCACGGGGAGCAAGTGAGGCAAAGAAGCCACCCGGAGACGGAATGCTCAGATTGCTGAAACTGTAGCCTGATGTGTCAGACGCTGGAGTGACTCCGTCCGCACTGCGTGGCCGACTGGGGGCAATTTGGAGCTGCGACATCTCATCGTTACCCTCGGAGGTCTCTGACCATGACTCCGGAGTACGATCATGGGAAATATGCTGCAACATGGCAAATGCATCGTCAGGAAGGTAAACTCCTCGATCAGACGGTGTAGGCTCCCGAGATAGTTCATCGTCCTGTTGCCACGGCGAAGGCACGCGATTGCGAGGCGTGGAAGGGATTTGCGGGAAACTCCCCAGGACATGTCGCCAGTCGTCGTGGGAACTCTCAATGGAGATAGGAATGGTGTCTATGCCCTCATCGGAATTATCTTCTCCATTCTCATTCCCATCTACATCAGGTCGAACATGGACATCTTGGACGTCCCAGCTGGTATCAGGAAGTGAGTGGGTGTCCGGGGTTGCCAACGCGCTGAGATTCGATTCCTGGTCCGACGAAATACTCCCATCCAGAGAAGGCGGCGCATGGCACGCAGGCACAGCCCGCGCGAGAATCGAGAGCGCCGCAGGAGAGACTGGGATCTTGGGAGGAGGCGTGGGAGGGATTGGCGAACTTTTGTGAGCCCCGGTCATGGATGGCCATACTGAGGTCGGAGGAATCTCGAGGGGGGTCAAATAATGTTTCCGACTACTTGTCGAGGTCATTGAAGTTCGCGTAATGGGAGTCTCCAGACTCGATCGTTTCGTACTGGAAGGAGAGAAGCAGCTGTCGCTCAAATCGGTTGAATTGTCATCGGTGTCGATCTCATCATCGGTGGCATCATACAGGTCATCAAATTCTTGAACCTGATGCTGCCACTCCGTATCAGAGCAAGATGAGGTTGTTCCAGCCGAGAGGGGAGACATGAGTCGGCGGGCATTAGTAGGCCCCGATAGGCCGGTAGTTTTCAGTTTCAATCGCGGGCTGGTCTGTTTGAGTGGAAGTTTAGATAGGGATAGGCTGCCAGAGCTATTCCCTGCGAACTGTGAGTTGCGTGTATCCTCCTCCATTATAGTATTAAGCACCGTCCCCCGGGCCTGCCGGAGAGGCGGACATCTGGCAATCGAAGGGCGAAATGAGTCGGTCATTGTGCTCGCACTTAGGACTGCGCGATGCTGATTTTCTTTGATATCAGGCAGAGACGCAAGTGTCTATGGGTATCGCAAATTGCAAAGAAAGTGCATCGACACCGATCGACGGGTCTAGCACGGTCGAAAGAGACAAGAAAGCAAATAGAAGGAAAAACTGGCCACAGCTACCAGAGCCAGAGGCGAAGAAAGATATGACGGAGTGAAAGACGCCAGGACTTCGAGGGTAAAAGCCCCCGGGCCGTGAGATTGCATATATACAGTAGTCGTACCGGGCGCGGACTGGCCGCTCCGGGGAATGTGCGATGAAGAATCGATCCCTGTTCGTCCAATGCAGAAACTACTGCGGGATTGGGCACGACTAGCCTACAATCACCTGGTCGTGGGGAGGGAGCTTGCATGTTCATTGGTGAGTTCCCGATGGGCGCTTCGCCTTTGACCGGGTTGTCAAAAGCGACTCGGCGTGACACCAGGGCAGTTAATTGCGAGCAGCCACGAATCATAGTCGTCGAGTTGGTGATGAACCGCCAGGGTTGGACCGTGCGTAAGTGACGGCCCGACTCATTGGTCCGCAGTTAGCGCCGAGTTACTATGTTTAGGTATATTAACGGCTTCTATAGGGTAATTAGTGTTGCATGACACACAGATTTCACGCTAATAGGACAAAATGCCCCTCAATGCATCCGAATCCAGCAAGATACAGTACTACTGTACACCGCTCAGATGAAGTTAATAATAGAAAACCAGGCTAATTGACCGCAATTCGCGGACAGACAGTGTGCCCACTGTGAATCCATATGCATGCAACCCTACACGCTATCGTCCAAGGGAAGGCGTCTGATGTCATACAGCTCACACCCCCTATAGGGCTGACATGAATATACTTGCCCACACTGTAGACTCCTGAGCCCATCTAACTCAAGCAAAGTTCTCGTGACGAGTAGCTCTGGGAAATTTGTATCAAAAATGTCAGATCTTATAGTCATGTGGTTTGGGGTAAAACACACGCCCTTTGGAGCGAGCGATGGCTGTCGCAAAGCCAAAACTCAAATCCTAGCGGAATGTCCGCTGCTGGTTTCTCCCTGCCCAGGCCCTCTTGACTGTTAGTGGTTGAGGTTGAGCCGGGAATATTGCAGTACTGGTCAAGGATAATGTTACCATACAGAATTCTGGCCCCCATAATACAATCTTTTAGTTATTTTATGTCGGAGTCTGAATTTCCTGTATTCACTAGTAAATTTACTAGATAGTGTCATGTGACAATGATTGAAAACGATGGTATTCAGGTCTAGCTATCGTGTCCATATTTATAGTAGAGAAGCGGGTTAGTGACGGGGAATTCCCAGATGGGTAAGTGGACAGATGCGGCAGCTGAATAAATTACCTGGGGGCCATTATTCTGACATTATGCTAATAGTCATGCTCGCCTCCATTTGCCTCGCGAGCACTAGACAGTTAATCAGAGTCGACATCCTTCGTGCGATGACCGCACGGTTACCTTACGGAACCCTTACGCGCAACGGCTCACAGTATTTAAGGCTGATCTTCCCCCGAAACCTGTTTTGCACTGCACCAACCATTGACGCTCGCCCATTGCTATTTCCCTGACTACATACAAGAAGTCAAACATAAAGTTACAACATGTCAAAGTTTAGTCCGGAGATATGGTATCTCGTGTTCCAACTAGTACAGCTTCCTATATCCAAATCCGGCTATTCACTGGCCACATTGCTAAAATATTCTCACTAGCTGGACCTCCGCGAAGATATGAAGAATTTTTGTGCGGTATCAAAATCATTTTATATGCTAGCGACACCATTTCTGTACAGATCAGTCGTTCTAGGGCCATCGAAAGCCACTAGGAGAGCCAACTGGGACATTTTTCCAACCGACGTTTCAAGTTCAGTTGAAAAAGAAAAGACAGGCCATGGTTTCCTGTACCGACTCCTTGAAAGTCGCAACAAAAACCTGCGAGCTTTTGTGCGAGATGTGACACTTGAGAGTAATTTTGATATGAGAGATTGTCAAAGAATCTATGAAAAGCTTAAGCAGTCCGACAATGTGATAGTCAAACTGGTGAAGCAATTGCCAAATCTGGAGAACGTATTGTAACTCGAAGCATTCTAAGTCTCTGGTACATGTGACCTATACTAATGATAATATGCAGTTTACATGATGACTATCCCTTATCAGATGGATTTATACATGCAATGTGCGATCATAGCAAGTCCCCAAAACTCCATTTGTTTGGAGAAAGTGGCAAAACTCAAGCCAAAATCCAAATGACTTGTGTTCAGACTCTCCATACCAGCGTCCCTACTCTAAAGTTGAAAGGGAGGAACACGACGAACGCCTCGGTGTCCCGTCCTGAAATTGCTCTTCATAAACTCTTTGCCAGTTGTCCCAATCTTCAAGATTTGTCTGTTCAAATTTCCAGCTTTAGAAGAGGATGCTGCCCTCCCCATCCATCAGAAATTATTTTCACAAGAATCGAGCCCCTCGAGCTGGGTGAAGACCAAACAATCCCGCCTTTACGAAATCTTTCACTGAGTGGATATTTGCCAACAGAAGCGGAATTTAAATCCTGGCAAAACGAGTATCTTTGGTCCAAGATAACGTCACTCAGTTTGGGACCGGAGGCAACTCATGAGTTCTTAAAACCTGTCACGGGCTGTACGCAATCTCTTCTGGCTTTCGAGATCACTGCATACAGCGACCCGAATTTGGATGTTTGTTACGAGCTTGAGGACTTCCTACTTTCCTTCGGTTCTTTGAAACGTCTGAGTATCAAAGGATATTTCACATCAATTGCCGCGGTCGCACATCATCCCAATCTAAAGCACCTCACACTGCATACCATCGAGGAACCCACTCGAGAAAGACCTACGCTTGGGGCAGAAGATATCAAGCTTCTTGATTATCACTGTCCCAACCTCGAGAATCTGGAAATTGACATTCGCCGGAACCGGAAGTGGGTGAGTATTGATAGATGCAACAGAATCTATTCCAGTTAAAAGACTAATTATTTTCTTTTCAGCCCGAGGGCCCAATTACTGCGCTAGCGCATGGGTTCCACAACCTTCGTTGTCTCCAACTTCATGTTGGCCTGGAAATGAGAAGAGCCTGTCGCCAATACTTTGATGAACTGGAGGAACCCACAATACTCAATGAACAATTGGAGTCCAATTATGAAGAAGATGATGATGTGGAGCAGAGTGCCATTCTGACATCCTCAACTGCAAAAGATTTTGGGCAACTCTTTTTTTATCATAGAAATCTCCCATCGAGATTGCAAACGGTCTTCCTGAATACTGGTGAAAGGTTACGTCGCTTCCCACAACGTACTCCAGCCTACGCTGAAGGAGAGAGACACTGCGCAAGAACATTTGGAATTCAATCTCCACAGGATGAAGGCCATGAACTGGTCATGACTGAGTTGGAAGTTAAATAAAGTGACAGTATTCACCGCAGCATGAAAACGAGTCTCGGGGGTAAAGACCAAGATCTATGGAGTTTTGTCGATTTCCGGCTTTATCTTGTCCAATTTACCTCGAGAAATAGTACAGTAGTACGGATTCAATGTCCTTTTTATTTCTTTTTATATACAATTTTCATTCTTTTTCAGATTAGATTGAGTATAATTATGGAACTTGCTTGAATCATTACAGAGGACCAATGCTCAGCAGTCGTGAATGGCCACTTGCTACACATGTCTTATGGCTTCGCAATCCGGATTTGTAATTTACTCGAGTTTCATATATTATCCTCTATTGGCTTGAGTCATAACTCTGCTATTCAACACCCCACCTAGGCTATGGTCGTAAGCATCCACTCAGCGAGGTGAGTAGGTGGTATCATCTCACTTACCTTCATGTCAGCTGCTCCCCCGTTTAACGATCGTCTCCTCCAGCCCTTTACTCCCACTGTAATGAAAATGATACCATTCCAAAACCCACGCAGCGATCCCAGCGCACTAACAGCCAGTAAGAGTGAATATGACTGGTAGTTTGGGTGAATAAAAGTGGAAACACGGTTAATCGTCGGCGTGACCCAGGTTGCTAGCAGAGCAAGAAAGAACAGTGAAGGCATGAGGATATACTCCTTGAATGATACGCTTCTCTGTTTTGGAGACTTGGATTTCAAGAGGCTGATAGGACTAGATGAAGCTAGCGGAGTGGAGGTGCATTCCACGGAGGATTGGCTTGTGATTTGCGAAGTTGAAATTGGTGGTGATTTATTTCGGGGATCTGATTCGACGATAGTGACAGTACCATTAGAACCATCAAAGGGGTTCTTGTCAGCGGAATTGGAGGTCAGGGCAATGTGGTCGTCCGCGCTCAAATTGAGTTCGTCTCGCAGTCGTGAGATCTCGATACCGATGAGGCAATATATAATCATCACAGCCGCTATGGTCAGCCTATTATATATGAGCAGGTGTCGGAACGACCGAGTTGATACAGGTGCTCGAGGCTACACGCACCAGACAGGTATATAGTAGAGAATTAGACGGATAAGCATCCAATTTGCAGATATTGAACACCAAATCTGTTGAAATTCATCTGCATGTCAATTTACCGCCGAGCTTGATATCGCATTCTGGAAGATACACACCGTTTCACTGCCGTATATAGGCCCTTTCTCGGGAGTTTGAATAAACAAGAAGACCAAGGCTGGTATAAATGTAAGAGTGGTAATTGCACCTATATATTTAATTTCGAGTTTGTGTAAAGAGTGCGCGTCAAAGCGATAGAAGACAACAAGATAGGTGTCCATGGCCATGGCAAATGTCCACAGCACATCTGCAAGCGGGAACCTGTAGATCTCGTCAACGCTGCTAGTTTGGTAGAACAAATTTCAAGGTGTGTACATTTGTAATGCGAAGCCCTGAAACTGGCATAAAGACGAGCTATCTCCAGCTCCAGGACCACTGACGGAAATCATTGTCGCGACAGAGTCGAGCAAGTTGTAAAACGCATTAAAGAAGATAATACGGTGGATCGGATTGCGGAAGTATCGCGAACAACAAAAGGTAGCAATAATTGCAATTGTCCCTAGAGCGGATAGAGCAGAAGAGACTCGGCCAGCGATGGCTATCCTGTCGATTTGGGCATTAGACAGTGGCATGATGAAGGTGATCCCCTCCGTGGAGGAGCTTTAAATTTGTAGTCAGTCAATCACAAGTTGGCTGATAACCCATATAACTTTGGGATCGAAGTATTTCATGCAGGATTTTCATGTTATATTTGCAGCAAACAATTAGGTTTTACATTTCACGCCACGGCCGGCCGCACATGGCCACACCGATTTCGTCCGGATGGCGTGATATTAAGGATATAAATCGACGATGCGACCTAGTAGATCGACATCTATCACGTCATCTGCAGGTCCCATTTGTTGCTAGTTCCACCAAATCTGCCTCGTGTTCGAAGCTGTTCTTTCGCAGCTATTGTTTAATAATACGATGAAATTGGCTCATTAAAATTGACCTCTCATAGATATCTTTAAGGAATTATTGTCATGTCTCAGCAATGAAAGACAGCAAAGATCAAGAATATCCTACACTCCACATAACCTTTTGCTGAATTAGCCGCTAGTCTCTGATCAGCACTAGAAAACTTTGTTATACGAGAAAGCTAGCAATGGCATTATTATAGCCAATCGTGTCTAGAGCGCTTAAGACGATTAATCCCTGGCTCATTACAGTACGTCCCGAAACTGGTGCAATCATCTCTAGTAAATTGCGACCCCTTTCTGTCGACAAAAAACAAAATTCATCTATCGATTTTGTCATCATATTACGTCACGACCAACCTAGAACCCGCATAGTGCGGATATGCTAGTAATTCGACCCGACCCATACGTTGAATGCTTCAAGCAAGCATGGGCCCCTATAGTCGGAGATCTTTGTGAAATGTAGATGCGTAATTAGAGTCTTGTTAACTGCCCCGATTTGGTCAGTTAAGCTGATCGTGCGGGCCGTAAAAATAAAAAAGGAATCGCACATTATCTTGTCGCTTACAAATAAATAGGCACGGTGTGCTTTTCAGAGCCTAATGAAGGGATAACGTACAGCTCCCAGCTCGTCCAGAGGGGAATTGAAGAATCCAACGAGCTATGTCATTCCTGACTCCAGAGTTGAATCCCTAAGCCTGTGATTACCAGCTACTTTTGATTGGTGAGCGCAGGGTTTCAACCAAACAGTGTGGCTAACCATGACGCATACATAATGAAGACGGAAAAAATGAAACGGGAATCAGTCCCTCGCAAGTATATAAAGCCTGTTTCGTAGTCGCAAGGCCATCCTTTTTTAATTAGTAGAAAAGCTTGTAGTCTTTCATACTATCCTCACGAGGCCACAGAAGTAACGAAAACATGGCAGCTTCTACCATTGACAAGTCAAAGCCATATTTTCCTCTCGCTGGAGGCGCTGACGATGGCTGGTCTACCGAAGATGAAGCGACAGCCACATGCTTTTGTGGTGCGGTTCAACTGTCATTCGTAAGTCTCGATTTGGATCTCTTCGTTTTGCGCTGCTCTAACAGTTGCTCTAAACTCCCAGCCAACCCATGGGCCTGGCTACGTTGGCTCCTTCGTATGTAACTGCTCTGACTGCCACAAGCTTACTGCATCCGTGCACGCGACCAACTTCACGGTTTATGACACGCACCTAAAACATCTGCGTGGTCGCGACAACTTGAAGACATATAGTCAGTCGCGCACTGTGTTCTTTAAAACTCCTGGCAAGGACAACACCATGACCAACTATTTCTGTTCCACGTGCGGCTCCCTCATGTATCGCGTCGGTGCGGCTTTCCCGAATATGAGTATTCTGCGCGTTGGCAGTGTGGATGATTTCTCTTTGCACGAGACTAAACTGAGACCTACGATGGAGCAGTTCACTAAAGACCGCGTGGCCTGGAAGGCTCCTACGGAAGGGACTAAGCAATTTGTGGAAGATGGGTTGCATGTACAATAGTTTTCAAAATCAGTTATACCTCCATACCCTTCCGACTTAATTCCCAAACATTATCAGACCGGCGCTAGTTCTAACAAGGCATGATACTTGACACCCCGCTTCCTAGGCCGCTTCCTAGAATAGTGCCTGTATTAATGGTGAAACTGATTTCGACCCAATCTGTATCACAAGATGCCCCTGAAGAACGGCCCAGTAGGAGATGAATACCAGCTTCGAGATGCTTATATAGGAAGATGAGTGATGGCACGGACGGTCGCCATTCCGGACTCTTATGAGAGCTCGACAACCCTTCACTATCACCCCACCGAATTCACCTTGCCGTCCGGCCAAACCACCCCGATCAGTAACAACAAACTCCTAACCGGGCCTTATATCTTTTACGCAAAACTACATAGTGGATCGTGTCATAGATGAGCTCATGCTGGGAAGTGGCTAGGTTTGGCGTCATCTTGGTTCGACCACTCGTGATTGACTGTTAAAATACGCCGTCGGGAGGTGTCAGATGCATTGGATTGACAATTGAATACATACTTTAAATACCTCTGTAATTTTTTCTCCAAGCTTACTGAATCTAAATTGCTCAAACCATTCTCTTCGGGTTCAAAAGGCGCATAAATCTGACACCTAGCGCTGCGGAATAGCTTCACTGTTCGGTTTTTATGATCAGATCTTGGAGGGGTGTCTTCTGGCTGCCGTCTTCGTCAAAGTTATCCGCATCCAACCACTTCTCCATGGCTCCTTTCACCTTCCCCGTCCATTCATCCCGCAACATCGAAAACCAAGCTGTGTCTCTGCTTAGTCCCTTGACGACCATGTGTTGTCTGAAAATGCCCTCGTGCACGAATCCTAGGCGCAGTGCCGCCTTCCGCGACGGCGCATTGAGCGAATCACACTTCCACTCGACTCGCCTGTAGTTCAGATCTTCAAATGCGTGACGTGCCAAGAGATAAATCGCCTCAGTGGCACCAGTTGTGCGTTGAAGAGCTGATGAAAACATCACATTCCCAATTTCAACAGTCAAGTGATCCGGGGTTATTCGCATAAGGGACAGATACCCAATTGCTTTGCCGGAGCTGGGCATAGAACTGCGTTTGTCGATTATCGCGAAGAAAAACGGATCCAGGGAGGCCGATTTCGAGGCGATGCTCTTTTCGAAAGAATCGACCTGGGAATATGGTCCGTCACCCATGTAGTCCCATAGAGATGTTCTCGCAAGATCACTGCCACCAGTCAGGCTGAAGAGATCGCTGGCATGTTTTGGTTCAAGCTTTTCCAAGAGAATGGTTCGGCCGGGGAGACGGGTTTTGCTTGAGGGTAATAGAGCTGGGGCAGAGGAGACAATTGGACCGCGTGGTCGAGCCAGTGCCGCCATCATGAAACGCGATTTTCCTTTCTCGAAGGTGGCTTCTTTACGAAACGAAGAGTATTAAATCATAAGTTTGCGGATGTGACTCGACAATCAGCCCCGATGTTCGGCGATCTGAGCGTATTTGATTGGCTGTTCCCCCGAAAACCAAGCCACATTAAGAGGCACGCCCTATGCAACTTTCAAAGTGGCTGAATGCATAGATTTCTGATGATGCTGGTTTCAAACTGAAAATACTTCAAATTAACGATTTATCTCGCAATACGTCAGATTTCCAGGAGGCCCGCATACTGACTGATTGAGGTGGCAGGAGTGACGACATGTTTAAACGGGTCGAATGATTCCAATAGCACCGCAGCCACCTCCGAAACGTTTTGGTCTGTAAGAGCTGAATAAACTGACTTACCAAAATCTTGTGAGACTCTAGGCACAGCACCATATGCGGTTGAACCGCACTTACGGGGCGGGGATCGCAATCCTTACTGAAACGGGAAGAACGGTCTTCACAGCCACAACTCTGATAGATGTCTCCACAAAATACATAATGTTTCGACCGTAGAAGAACCCATTTTTATGGTCAAATTTATGGAAGTATAAGCTCTTTATCTACTGTTAAGTATCGTCCCATCCCGACCGCAAATCCTTCCCTCCTCATTCATGAGCCGGCTTTATACAAGTGAAGATGAGTAAGTAAATAAAAGCTGTTTCTAACTCAAGGGGTTTAATCATTAGCGAGGGGTTTGAGTACTACGGAGTGCAATTATTCGCAATGGATTATCATCGAATTGATGTAACCCGCTTCCCTAATGTTTGATCCGTAAGTAACTGATCTCGCAAAAATACTAACTTGGTTCCGTGGTTACATATTTGCTGCGTCATGCATTTCCGCTTGGATTTCATTCCTTTTTTTAAGTAGTGAGACGAAATAGCGATGCTGATCTCGGACGGCGTTGACAGCGTAAATATCCGTTGCCTAAACAAATGAAATTGCGATTATCATCATTTCTTTATACTGTCCAGAAATTGGCCAATTTCTGAGCGCAGACCATGGACGATGTTGTAGTTCGCGAAATCAACCACATTGGGACAATGATTTCCTCTAGGCTGCCACACTGGGACACTTTTGCTTGGCAACGCTAAACCTCTTTAGGTCAGATTTCGCGAAGCACCGTGGCTAAGCTTCCCGGCGCGTGCAATGATTGGCTGCTTCACCGCTGAATACTTTTCTTCTGCGCTCGCTCGTATCGCGGCGGCTGAGACCGCCAAGGGGGGTTTTATTTAAACCATGTAACGCCCTTCTTCATGGTCATGTTAGGGAAGATTATAACTCTTGGCGGTTATCCTCAACTTGCAATTCTCTGCATTACAATATGTATTTCGCCTACAAGCACATAAAAAAGAAGCGCCGACAGCGCCGGGAGCAACTGGCCCAGCAGGAAGCCCAGCAGGAAGCTCAGCAGGCTCAGTTCCCAGCAACCGAGCCAGGCGTTGGTGTCACTCCGATTTATGATGCCAGTGCCGCTGATGTTTCTATACCTGCCCCCAAGCCTCAAGCAGATCCAACTGAGGAGAAGAAGAAAGCCGAGCTCTCCCCCGAGGAGCTTGCGGAAAAGAAGAGAAGAAGAGTTTACCGCTGGAAGATTATTTTCGGTCTCTTTTTCCCCTTTGCCCTGCAAGCTCTCGACACCACCATTGTGGCATCAGCCTTACCATTTATCGCAAAGGATTTCGGTATGTCTCTCGTCTCCTGAATATCATCTTTCGGAACATGCCTGTTAAAACTCCCTAGGCGAACTCAAGCAATTGAACTGGATCATCTCGGCCTTTAACCTGACATCGGCGGCATTCCTGTTCTTTTGGGCACAGCTGACGGACCTGTTCGGCCGGATTACCACCATCCTTGCTGCCACTGTTATCATGATGGTTGGGTCCGCCATTTGCACCGGTGCGCCGACCTCCGCCTACGGGGTATTATTGCTCGGGCGTGCCCTACAAGGCGTCGGCGCCGCTGGGGTCAACATCTCCATCCGCACAATCCTGGCGGATCGCGTATCATTGCGTGACTATGCTCTGAACTGGACCATTTTCAGTCTTGTGGCTAGTATCAGTTTCAGCATTGGCCCCGTCATCGGCGGATACTTGACTGAGGCCTCGTGGCGGTGGTGCTTTGCGATCAACCTGCCCGTCGGTGTTCTGGCCATTATCTTGATCTTGCTGCTGCTACGCGGGGAGCTTCTCGGACCGCAAGAACTGCCGGAGCTGCACGGGCATGATCTTGCAACAAAACATGGTCGCTTCCTCGCTCGTCTGATGACAATTGACTACGGTGGCCAGATGCTTTTTCTTTGGGGCTTTGGACTGCTTATCCTTGCGTTGACTTGGGGCGGTGGCACCTTTGGATGGAGCTCGGCTGCCGTGGTGGCACCGCTCGTCATCGGTGCTGTCCTCGCCATCTTCTGGGTCGTATATGAGTATTTGATGTCACCAGGGCGCTTGATGTCGCGTTTCTTTCACTTCCAAAGGGCCATGGTACCTTGGAAGTTGCTGTCGCAGCGAGACATTGGCTTGCTGGTGTATATCAACATTGCCGTCGGCATGTCCATGTTTGCTGTGATGTACTTTATGGACCTGTACTTTGCCGTGGTTGAACAGCAAAGTGCGGGCAAGGCCGGGACTTCGCTGCTGTATTTCCTACCGGGGCTTGGAGGTAAGTAGAAATCTGTCTATTTTGGGACAAAGTAAACATGCTAATTCATGTCAACAGTCGGTGCCTACATGGCCATGTTCTCGTCGAACGTCTGGCCTCGCCAGACCTTTCCTGCGCTGCTTCTCGGCGGCATAACATCCGCCGTGGGGATGACGGTGATGGCCTACGCCGTCCACGCGCAAAAAAGCAGCCTAGTCTACGGCATGATGGCCCTCATCGGGCACGGCGTCGGAATGCGAATGAATCCGGGGTCCGTCCACGGGCTGGCGTTCTTCCCCAAAAGCACTGCCTCGATTACATGCCTGGTGTCTTTCGCAATGCCCTTTGGCGGTCTTGTCGGGCTGACGGTCATGACCACCGTGTACACGAACAAGAGTGGCCCGAGCCTAGTCGGGCAGCGTGACGCAATCAAGTGGGCATTCATCTCGATGATCCCCTTCATGTGGCTGGGTGTTCTTTTGACGACTTTCCTCGGCAACGTTTGGATCTCTAAGACTGGTGGCCATGAGGTCGTGCACGGAGCGTACCTGTGGAGTTTCCTGACGCGCAAGAAGTTGGCCCGAGAGCACATCTCGCATACGAACGATCTAGGCCAGGCGTCTGGGGCCGCTGAGAAGACGAGGGATGTAGAAACCGGGGCAAGGGAACCGTCGAGCGCGTCTGCTCCTCACGAAACGCAGCCCTAGCCACGCGATGGCGAAGTGTATAGTCAACTCCTTTAAAAATTAATTGAATAATAGATATCCCCATGGTGATTGTTATGGTCAATTTCCTTGTTTTTGTAGTTAGTACAGTTGTAAAGCCCCACAAAAAACAAGGATGTGACAGCTGGGACTGGCCGGCATCTCACCCGGGATGGTACCTTAATGGTCTAGCCTCTTCGTCCCCCGGTCGCTTCCCCCTCTTTAGTGGCGTCCAGTAGCTAACAGACTCACCAAGGCCGTTGGGAAGCCATTGGGATACTTTGGGGATCGCAGTCGGCTCGGACCACAGTGCCCCGTGCGCCAGACTGGGCTCCTCCCTCCACTGGGGATCCATAGGACAGTTGTTGAGCGACTGTCGGATGAGCAAAAATATGGGAACCTGTCGATCTAACACCTATGGATGCACTACTGTGGATATGGAGTGGATAGGCGGTGTTGGATACCTTTAGGGAACTACGATTAGTCCGTGGTTCTTCTCTAGGGAAGCAGAGAGGAGCTTCGATGGGCATTTCATTTGGATCATCCGACGCGCCCGACCTTGAGTATGGCAATTCCTGCGACCGGAATGTCCTGAATAGGCAATCCAGACATGAGCTCCAGAGGGTCCATCGACGATCGCTGCAATGCCCCACGTGAGATGCAAAAACCCTTATCGCCGCATTTTTTTTTAGTTCTGGAATGCGAGATTGGATCTGGCTGGCCCTTGTGTTTCCACTGTCGCCACTGACTCCGTTAAACATAGAGCTTAGTAGAGCTCTATAATAATCAGTCTGCTCCCTCCTTTCTGTTCCACTTTCTTCTCTTCCCTCCCACCACAACCCCCAACACCACCACCACCATCACAACCATGACACCACCCGCCATCATCGCCCCCTCCATCCTCAGCGCCGACTTCGGCAACCTCGGCCATGAATGCTCCCGGAAGATGGAAGAGGGCTCAGACTGGCTCCACGTCGACATCATGGACGGCCACTTCGTGCCGAACATGACCATCGGCTCGCCTGTTGTGACCAAGATCCGGGGCTATGTCGACCGACCCCTCGAGCCCAACGGCCGTGGCACCTTCGACTGCCATATGATGATCATGGAGGTTCGTGAAACCAATCCCGCGGCATTCCGCGCGAATCCGCGAACAACCCCCGGGGTTGAATTTTCATTGACTGACGGGTAAATTGCATCCGCTATAGCCTCATAAATGGGTCCGCGAGTTCGCCAAGTCCGGCTGCGACTTGTACTGCTTCCACTACGAGGCGGCTGTCTCTTCCGTCGCCGCGACCGAGCCCACTGACACAACGACGAAGACGCGCACCAGCCCGCGGGCGCTGATCCGCTACATCCATGAGGAGGGCATGCAGGCCGGCATTGCCATTAAGCCCGACACACCCGTCGACGTGCTGTGGGATATCCTCGACTCAGAAGACCCTCTGGAGCGGCCCGATGTGAGTAATCTTCTTTTTCCCCCTCCAATTCAATTGCCGACAGCTAAGCTAACCATTGGATTTTTTCTGCCCCACAGATGGCTCTCGTCATGACCGTGCACCCCGGTTTCGGCGGCCAGAAATTCATGGCCTCCGAGCTGCCCAAGGTGACAGCGCTGCGCGAGCGGTATCCCGACTTGAATATCGAGGTTGATGGCGGGTTAGGGTTAGGCACGATCGACCAGGCTGCCGAAGCCGGTGCCAATGTGATCGTTGCGGGCTCAGCGATCTTTGGTGCGACGGATCCTGCCGATGTGATTGCGAAAATGCGCGAGGCCGTGCAATCACGACGTTCATAAATAAAGTCTACCCAACCCAAAAAGACGGCGTTCTAGTGTTTCTGAGTCTTGTTTTCTGGTCGCACATGAAGCACAGGTGAATCGGGTTTCATTTTGCTCTAGCGTTGGGGAGGGGTTTGTTGGTTATTTTGTGTCTTGTTTTATGCTTATTCTCTCTAATGACTGGTGGAATAACTGGCATCCTAATAAATACGCACTTCACGCATTCCGCTGAGAAATCCAGATAAGTATTCTGCGACTAGCAACAGCAGACAGACAGGCTCAACTACAAAACATGCATTATGTCCTCATGTACAATTAATTCATCATCAGGTCGTAAACGGGCATGTCCATCACTCGGGGGCCGGAGTAGCCTCGGCAGCCTTGGAATCCTCATCGGGCTGCGAGTCCTCTTTCGGAGCCGGATCAGTAGCCTTAGGTTCCTCCTTGGATTCGCCCTCATCCTCATCCTTGGTATCATCTTTGATCGCTTCAGCACTCGGCTTCGATTCCTCAATCGTCTCCTCCTCAATCTTCTCCTCTTGCGCCTTCTGCGCGGCCTCCTTGCGAATTCCATCTAACGACACCTCCGGTTCATGCGATGAGATCGACTGCCGGATCACATTTACCGCCTTCTCTTGCTCCCCCTTATCGCCGGCCGAGATGATAGATCCCCGATGATGCTGGACTAGGCCCAGGGCTTCAACATTGTCGGCATGGAAGTTCGCCGACGACTCCGCCGCCATCTCCGGCACAAGAGGTGGGCGTTTCGGGCCCTTGGGGGACTGGGGAGCCGTGTCTGGCAGCTCGGCGGCCACGGAGCCGCGGTGCACGGCGACGGGCTTGCTCTCAGCCACCTCCGCGTCTACCTTCTTGGTGGGCTCGGCGCTGGATGCCTCCTTCTTCTTTTCCTCAGACTTGTCCTTTGCCTTGGCTGCTGCTTCCGAGCTGGCCTGCCGCAGCGCCAGTACAGCTTGCTCGTCTTTCTTCTCTGCCGGTTTGGTCGCAGGGGGACTTTGGATCTTGATAGTGGATGGCTTCGGGGTTGCAGGCTCGGTCTCGGTCGGCTTGTTCGCGGCTTGCGTGTCGAGCGGGGCGGGGGTAGTGGCAGTGGCAGACACGCCGTCCAGATCCTGAACGTTGTTGACCTCCATGCGCAGTTCACCAAATTCATTCCATTCCTCGATCTGCTCCAGGTCCTACACGGAAAGAAGGGGGTTATGTTAGCGGAGTGTCCTGTTCGGTGCGGGGAGTGTCAACAACAAAGGTAACTTACACCGACGACGGTGCCGTATTTCACTAGGCCCGGCAGCTTCTTGCCCTTGGCACGGCGGCCCCAGAGCTTGCGGGCCGCTTCATCGGTGGCGACGTCAAGGGCCTTGAAAGGGAGCTTGTTGGCCTTGAGGATAGTCTCCAGACGTGCGGTGGCAGTGACGATATGGGACGACCCCGCGGTCAGAGAGGTATACAGGTAGAGGGTTGAGTCGGACATGGTGAGATGAGTGAGGTGCGGTGGGGTGAAGAAGGACTGGCTCTCAATGCATCCAGGCTCGGGAATTGGAGGCAGGCAGAACTTCGTCCTCCAGCGCCTGGGACTTGTTTTCGGTGGGGTTGGAACAACAGGGAGACAACCAGGGGAGGCAACGGGAATTTCCCCTTTATGACGTGGGGTCACGTGGACGGGACTATATTCTACCAGCGATGGAAGGGGAAGGGAAATGCAAAGATGCTGATTCTCTTTTATATGATGCGGCTTTCTCCACATTTTCCTCATGTGTTCCATGTCTCCAATTTCCCTCAGTCCTGGCAGATGGAGCTGTGTGTGGCAATTTGACGTCAGCCCGACCCTTCGAACCTGGTTCCACTCGCTACATGGGCAGCAACTCTGGATGATGGTAAGATGGGCATCGAACTGGTTCTGTCCCCGTGTAATCGGATGCGGCATACGGGAACCATCCAATTCGGGTAGGCAGCTGGACGGCCCATTTCTATGGCAATTCCCGACGCTGATTGACAAAATGCACGCCTATAGATCGAGGGCCTCAGTGTGGTAAATCCTGTTTCCAAGGATGGTGAGGCGAAAGCCATCCCAATAAATAGGTTGTTTGCCTGCTCATGAACTACCCACACTGCTCCAGCGAACCCGAGAGGGTATCACAAGCTTATCTGCGCTGCATCGCACAGCGAATTGATTCCACAGCCTCAAGATCTTTGCCGTATTGTGGAAGAGACTGCCCAGCCAGCTGACTCTGTGTCGGTCCTTCTGTCCGCTTGCAAAACCAGCCTCGGGGAAGCGCACGGAGGCTCTTGCAGAGACACCCGGTCCCGAGAGGAGCACCCGGGACTACGGGCTGTCGACGACGAGGCGAGCACCAAGCCACTGGCTCTCCTGCGCATCACGAGAGAACCACGAACAGCGTCTACTGCTCCAGTTGAGAGGCTGGTAGCAGGATCGTGTGATGCGCCGCAATGCAGGTCGAGAGGTTCACGGAATCAGATATGAATGGCCTGGTTGGGCACGGCTTGTCGAGTTCTGCGAACCCCTGGGGGTTGTCCTGCAATAGAGGATGTGTTATATCCCGGTGCACTGGTCCTTGTCAGAAATCTCTCTCTCTCCTGACGGCAAGGTCCACTTGGCCCGGATGTCGATCCAGCTCAGCACTAACCAACTGATCCATCACCACCACAACAAGAAGCGGTAATCGCGCATCGCCAAAAACATTGAGCTCATCACGTGGTGCGCCGTGCCCCAGTTGTGAAATTGGGCGTGTAAGCAGGGTTCGTGAGTTAGTCGACGACTCAGTAATGGACTCCAGTCATCTGCAGGGTCCGTCTGATTCTCCGCAGCGACGTGGCAGGCCTCCAGCTGGTCCCCCGGGCGCAGTAGTCCCCCAGCCCACTTCGGGCACTGGACGGCCTCGGGTCGCCTCGGGGCGATCCGGTTCGCTGCCTCACTTTGTTGTCCTCGTCACCGCCAGAATGAGCAATGCCCGGGTGGTGGGAGATCCAGGGAGGCAGTAGAACTGGGCATGAACTATGATTACTTTTGTCGCGGGTACTAACAACTGACGTGCGCAGCCAGCTCGAGAGTGCTCAGTGTCCAGGGCCTAGGCCCAGACTCTCCTCTCACTCCATGTTTGTGGTCGATCAGGATGCGCACTGAAGGTATAGTTGACCTCCTAAGTCTGTATTTCTGCTTCTCGTATCCACCTCCCTCTCCCGTAAACAAAAGTCCCGTTGGGCTTCTGGTCGTGCGCGCTTTTATCTACCTCGTTCCTCCCGATCGCCGGCCGTCATTGCTCTCCCTTTCCGTTGAAAATATCCCGGCTTCAGTCCCTCAATTCCCTGATTCTACCATCGAGAGGCTGCCCCTACTCGCCGCGGTTAGGTCTTGATGCGATAACAAGACTTGCGTATGTCACTACTAACTCACCCGCCGCTCGCCCTCATGGATTTGCTGACAGACATCGACAGAACTCACCCACGTTTGTGCTAGTGTAAATACTAATAAACCAGTTCCATTCCCTCCCCGGGCCACGAGCATGGCCGTCAACCTGGCCGACGATGAACTGTTCACGAGGGCCATCTCTGGGTATCGCGAGGCATTTTTGGTTCAGCACTCCCACCTCTCGGAATCCGAACGAAACCAGCTCTGGAGTCAGCGACTGAGCCAGTTCCTCCCCGCCAACGATGACGACGACGAGGGCCCGACAGGCGGCAAATCGGGGAAACGAACTCGACAGGATACACCGCGGACGCTTCCCTCTTCTGGTTCTGGTCTTCCGCAGGCGAAACGACGAGCCACCGTATGTGTGACCTTGGCCTCTTGCTCCCGTCTCCTCTCCTCTCCGTCCCTCCGCCTCTCTCCTCCTCTTCGCGCCAAGCCTGGATTGACAATTGGCAGACCCCGGATCTTCCAGTCGCCGCCGATGCCACGCAGGCCCCCTCCGTCGACAAAGGACCGGGGTCCTACCGGCACACGCCCATGGTCCGCTCGCAGAGCCAGCAGATCCCGGTCTCTCACCGGCGGCCCCCAGCCAGTTCGGTCATGGGCAAACGGCTCTCTCTCAGGGCGTCCGCGACCACGCGGCGCCTTGACCATGTCGACGAGTACTCGCCGTCCGAATACGCAAAGCACTATTTGGATGACTCTCCCAGCCAGCCTCCACGCTCGGCGTTGACTCTCGGGCTCACGGCACAGCATCCTGGACCATCTGGATCGGTATCCTTTCAGCAGCACCGGCCATCATCCCTCCAGGCAGACCAGCCTCCGGCCGCCGCCGTGGAAATGCGACGCAGCGTGACGACTGACACGCTCTGCGGCGGGTTCAACTCGTTCAGTTTCGACTCAGCGGGATCGGGTGTGGATCTCGGCTCCATGTATTCCATCCCCCCGGAGTTGGTGTCCATGGCCACCTCCGATACACCGTATCATGATCCCCTTCCTTCTCCCGTGCAACCTGACATAGATTCCCATGTACTATTTCCATTTTCTCAACCCACTTCCTTCTCGACTTCCGCGCCGCGCATCACCTCTTACCCGCTGCTGATGCCTTCATTCGCCATGGCGGTGGACACGCGGTTGTCAAGCTCGATCGACAGCGACCATTCATCCACGTCGCCGCCCTCCCGCGCCTCCCGGCGGGCTCAAGAACAGATTGCCCATGGCGCTCGCCCCATCGCCCCCAAGCGGGAGACAGACACCAGCATCTCATCCCAGCCCGTTCCGACCGATGCACCTAAGATGGTCCGGATCTCCTCCGCGGACGGCACAGCCAAAGAGGTGGCAGCAATTCCCAAAGTGACCGTTCAACGGCCACAGCGGCCCAAAACCTACTGCCGGCTGTGTAACGACCAGCCCGACGGGTTCCACGGCGACCACGAGCTACGCCGACACATCGAGCGCGTGCACGCCCCCGTCCGCAAAGTTTGGGTGTGCGTGGACATCTCGCCAGATAAGACTTTCCTGGCCAACTGCAAAGCATGCCGCAATGGCAAACGCTACGGGGCCAACTACAACGCGGCCGCGCATCTGCGTCGCACCCACTTCAATCCCTGCCAGCGTGGCCGTGGCGGCCGCGGCAAGGACAGCGAGAAGCGCGGCGGCAAGGGTGGTGGCAACCATCCCCCGATGGAGGTGCTGCGCCACTGGATGCGCCAGACCGAGGAGGTAGCCGATGAGAACCTCCTGCGCGATCTGGAGGCCGGCGAGCCGGCCCTTGACGCACCGCCCGTCGCCCTGCCCGACGGGGGCTACAGCAACGCTGAGCTCGGCATGGAGGCGACCGTGATGCACGGATATGACGCCCTTGCTCCATTCGACATCGATCCCGCGCTGGACGCGCCATTCTACCTCGACGCGCAGGCGTTGCCGTCGGAGCTCGAGTCGTACGTCATGTAATGATTTGATGTCTAAACCTCGCCCACGACAGACTACTTGGTATTATCGCGTTTGATTGCGGATATTCTTCTTTCGGCTGTTGTAATTTATGCTGTGACTTTTTTTTCTTTCTTGTTGATATTTTTGCGGTGTCTTGGACATTCTGACCTAGGAACCTTGGAACGTAAGTGACGAAACTAGTAATGCCAATCAATGATAATGAAGTATATGAGATAATGTGTGGCGGCCGAGTAACCGATCGTGTAGATATACTTGTTGTCTTCCCCGAACTTGGTCCAGGGTCCAGGTACCCGAGACCTGGACCTAGGCAGCAGCGATACAGGCGGTGAACCGGTGTGGCTCAGCGATGATACGGTGGCTGGCTGTGCCCCAATCATAACGGATCCCGGTCGTAGGGCTGGGCCACCAGGTGTGGCGCTGCGATCCGCATGGTCGTAAGCCTGGGGAAAACACCAGGCCGAACCAGGGAAACCAGAAACGAACAAGTTATTTTTGCCCACACAGTCAGTGCCACGGATTTATTTCCCCAAAAAATTATAGGTACTCGACAGGTACGTTGTCCGCCTCACCATCCGCCACTGGCCCACAAGTACCCGCTCTGTACCCGTTCGGCCTCTCGTGAAGAAAACTGATCGGCCCAGCCGTTCCCTTCCTTCCTTCCGGCCTTCCTCTCCTTTCTTCCTTGCTTCTCCTCTTCTTCCCTTCTTCTCTCCCCACCAACAAACAACAACCACAACCACACCCGATCTCACATTCTGAGATCGTCTCTCGCCCTAGACTCCCCGTTACTCCACTTCCGCTTCGCTCGCTTTCCTCGGTCGCTTGTCTCAAGCCGCCCCCATCACCTCAATCCCACCAATCCTCATCCAGGTATGTTGCCCTGAACCGCCGTGGCGGCGATCGCAGGCTATCGTGACTGCGTCGTTTGACTGCGCCGCGGCGCTTGCTATGGTCGTTGTGCCCCTGATGTGATCCGGTCGCTGATCTGTTTCGCTTGCCGCCAGACTCGTTAGCGTCGTCGCCATGTCTGCTCAAGGTTACTACGAGCAGCAGCCCCAGTACCCGCCCCAGGCTCACGGGTAAGTCGATACTTCTGCGTTCGTTTTTTCGTCGATCCTCTGCATGATTTGCTTTTTCCCTCCTCTTTCGCCTACCGGCTTACGGCCCTTCTCCAACGAGTCGCTGAGCAGTGCGCGGACTGCCTGTCTTGTTCCACGTTGTTACCGTTACATCTTTTCATGTCTCTGACATCCTCTTTCGCGCTCAAGGTATCCTCCTCAGCAGGGCGGTTACTACCCGCAGGGCCAGCAGCCCTACTATCCCCCCCAGCAGCAGGCTGTAAGTTTTGGGTTACCTGTCCATGCTTTTTGTGTCAATACTTACGCCGATTTCCAGCCTTACTACCAGCAAGGCCCTCCCCCTCCCCCGCCGCAACAGAAGAGCGGCGGTGGCCAGGGATGCCTAGGTGCTTGGTAAGTTTCGGGCTCGCTCTCTCCATCAAGAACACTACTAATATAAATTTCGTTTCTAGCCTGGCTACCCTGTGCTGCTGCTTCGTCTGTGAGGAGGGATGCGAGTGCTGTGCTGACTGCGTCGAGTGTTGCGAGATGTGCTAAATTTCACGACTCATGATATTTCCCTTGTTCATGGCGTTCGAACTTCCAGATTAGCTCGGCAGCGTTCTCGGGCATTCTACCGCACTCTTTAAATCGCACTGATTTCATTTCTCGTCATTAGTATTTTTTTCGCCCATATGTTGTTTTTTCAGTGGTAACTGCAGTTAGTCCATTGTATAATCCATATCGATTCACAGCTTCAGAAGAGTCGTTTGAGGGACTGTCAAAGAAAGACGAAGCATTGTAATAGTATGAATTTATTACCCACAAAATAGTTTCGCCGCATTTACCTCGTCGCGGTCAACTAATTTTGTAAGAATGTATTTGTAGCTTGACTTGGCTACCTGAAACTCGAAGTTGGATAGCATTTGGATTATCTTCCCGCCCTTTCCGCGCCAGCCTGTTATTAATAGCAGCTTTGTGAATTGACAGCGAGACGCTCAATATCTAGCGCAATTCTCTGCGTAGGCGCCTTGAAGGGTTGATTTTTTGAGCACATTGGATCAGTACTGCATGTAAGCGCCCAGCAACTCCTCATACATGCCCATGCGGCTCCGCAGCCCCAGGCAGACTCTTAAGTCCCGCATGCTTTCTTCGTGTAACGCTACTGTATTTGTTTCATTTATCATTGGAAAAACTACTTAATATATTATCAGTCCAGTTGATATATATTCACCATTATGCATTTTGAGACCGCTACTTCCGACCAAGTCACGCTGAACGAAAATGGATCAAATCCGCTCGAGGTCAATGGACTGTGTCTCATGTCTTTGGACGGTGGAGGCGTGAGAGGATTATCAAGTCTCTACATTCTCAAGGATATCATGAACCAACTTAATTTAGAGCGGCAGGACGGCAGAACCCTGAAACCATGCGATGTCTTCGACTTGATTGGAGGTACCAGCACAGGCGGGTATGTACTTTCTGTATTAAGGCTGTGCAGTTCTGACCAATGTTTCCAAATGCTCAGGCTTATTGCTATCATGCTCGGACGATTGGAGATGGGCGTGGACGACTGTATCAAAGCATACAGCCAGCTGATGAGTTCTGTCTTCAGCGAGAAGGCCAACAATCTTCCAGTGGATTGGTCCGGCAACATAAAGGCACAATACGAGAGCAAAAAGCTTAGAGCCGCAATCGAGGATGTTATTATCCGGTCTGGGTCATCACCTACTGATCCTATGGATGACGGAAACACAGACCGCTGCAGGGTTTTCGTTTGCACAACATCTAAAGAAACACTTCAAATTGCCAGGCTTCGGAGTTATAATGTTCCAAACGAGGATGCAATTGCAGCGACAATTTGTGAAGCGGCTTTAGCAACGTCTGCTGCAACACGATTCTTTGACCCAGTCACTATTGGAGACCGGCAATTTGTTGATGGCGCATTTGGCGCAAACAACCCTATTGAAGAGGTTGAAGAAGAAGCTGCCGATATCTGGTGCCCTACAAGCCGAAATTTGAAGCCTCTCGTCAAGTGTATTGTTTCTGTTGGTACAGGCGATCCCGGACAAGGGGCTATCGATGACAATTTTCTCAACTTCCTTTCGAAAACTTTGGTTAGAATGGCCACAAAGCCTGAAAGCACTGAAAGGCGCTTTCTGGCCCGCTGGAGCAACGAGTACAGACAGCATCGCTACTTTCGGTTTAATGTCGATCATGGTTTGCAAGATGTGCGGATGACCGAATATGACAAGAGAAGTTTGATCGAGTCTGTAACTCACGATTATCTTCACCACTCTGTCCAGAAAGCCCATATTCGGGACTGCATACTGAATTTGGTCAGCAAAGAGGGTGGGTTTGGTATCTGTGCATTTATAGATATAGAGCTAATGGTTGTTGACGATTAGCAGAGATGACGGATCTTGATTTTGAACTCACAATACATGTGTGATTCCCTATTACAACAAATACCCATTGTTCTTGGTCATTGATCATTGGCTGACAAATATTAGGAGTATTCATCTCGAGCATTTCGCCAGCGCATCCTCAAGGATGTCGATTCGTCGAACAATCCTTTCTTGAGTCGAACAGCGCCATGTTGGGTTGTGCCCTTTGAGAGAAACTCACGATTTGTGGACCGAGAGTTCTTGGGTAAGATAAAACGAAAGCTTTTTATTACAGATAAGCATCAAGGAATTGTCCTCTATGGCCTTGGTGGCGTGGGCAAAACTCAAATTGCCCTGGAACTTGCGTACCAGACAAGAGACCAATGGCCAGACTGTTCAATTTTCTGGATTCCAGCAGTGGATCGGGAGACCTTTGAACAGGCATATCAAAATATTGCCAAGGAGCTTAAAATTCCCCTGTACGATGATGGGAATCAGGATGTCAAGGCCTTGGTGCAAAAGTGTCTGAATCAACCCGGAACAGGCCGGTGGCTGCTGATCTATGACAACGCGGACGATATTGATATGTGGGCTGGAAGTACAACAGAGTCGGCCACAAATGGACTCAAAGAATTTCTTCCCATGAGTGATCAAGGTGCGATTTTATTCACAACACGCAGCCATAGAGTTGCCCAGCACTTGTCGACCACCAATATCATTGAGGTTCCGGAAATGGATGAACACAGGGCTTCTCGAGTATTGCGAAACTCGCTGGTCAACAAGGAGCTCCTCAACGACAGAAAAGCAACACAAGATCTCCTAGTCCGCCTAACTTTCCTTCCCTTGGCTATAGTTCAGGCTGCTTCCTTCATTAACGAGAACAAACTGGATTTTGGCAGCTATATTACACTACTGGATGGGCAGGAGCAAGAGTCCATTGACCTTCTAAGTGAGGATTTCGAGGATGAAGGTCGATACAAAAGCATCAGAAATCCTGTCACCACTACATGGCTTACATCCTTTGCTCAAATCCGGAAACAAGACCCCCTGGCGGCGGATTATCTGGCGTTCATGGCCTGTATCAATCATCGGGATATACCATTGTCGCTACTCCCACCCGCTCCGCAGCTGAAATTTGTAAAAGCCATTGGAATTCTCAGTTCCTATTCATTTATCCGTGTGCGGCATAAGGATGGACTTTTGGACATGCATCGCTTGGTGCACCTTGCGATGAGAAATTGGGTGAGGTCAGCCGGTTCCCTGGAGAATTTGCAAAGAGATGTTCTGCAGGAAATTGACCACCGTTATCCAAGGTATGAACCTCTTAACCGAACTGTATGGCGATCAGTAATGCCCCATGCCCTTCATGTTCTCGATCTTGCGGCAAACAATGAGGATACGGTGGTGAAATCGTCTCTTCTTCACAAGGTTGCTATCTGCACCTTCCATGATGGTCGACTTTCCGAGGCTCAGAAACTTGCTCTTAAAGCCTCTGAAATCTCGAAGCGCTCTCTCGGCGCAGAACATCCCGACACCTTATCATGTTTGAGTAATTTGGCTACAATATACGGTGGACAAGGCCTCCTCTTCAAGTCGCTCAAGTTACATGAAGAGATACTTGAGCATTCGAAGAAGTCGTTAGGATCTGACCATCCAGACACACTGAGAGCTATGGCAAGAATAGCTTTCCAGGCTCGTGAGACAGGAGATCTACAAAAGGCCGAAGAGCTTGGCAGTCAGGTAATCAGGCACTACCTCAAAACTCCAGGGCTTTATGACGTTAATACTCTTTCTGCCATATCCGACATGGCTTTGGTCTATAAACTCCAAGCACGACTGCATGATGCGACAGAGCTAGGCTTGCAAGCTTTGAATATCACGAAAAGAGTGCTGGGACCTGACGATCCTCATACTATCGCTGCCATGTGCCACTTGGCAAATTGTTTCGGAGAACAGTGGCGATTACAGGAATCGGAGGAATTGAATCTGGATGCGTTGGAGAGGAACAAAAGGGTCCTTGGGCTTGAGCATCCTAACACCCTTAAGTCCATGAATATTCTGGCCCGCACATTGAAGCTGCAAAACCGCGATGCAGAAGCAATTGCAACCATGACCGGGTGTGCACAACTGTGTGAGCAAGTCTTTGGCGCAGATAATCCTTATACCATGGCTTGTTGTTATGCATGGCTCAACGAGTGGACAAAGCCTAAGTAAGTTCTTCCTCTTCCTCATGGTCGGCAATGAAATATTTTGCGAAAGCTATCCCCGGTTGTGCAAATTTAAATTACCATTTTGCGTCTTATTGTCCAGCTTTCATAGGCTCTATTTACCATGGTGGTCGACCAGCCGCTAAATGAAGGCCCTTATTCATGAAAGATCTGACAAATATTCTCTCGCTAGGAGTATTTTCATACTCTTCAGGGATAGGTATACCTTCTTCCAGAGAAACCAAATGAGAAGAAACAGAGCCAGAGCATACCCTCGAGTCAAAGTGTGCTGTGGGCTCTACCGTGGTAGACGGCAGAAGAAGGATGATTCGTTGATTCGGGAGATCCTAAGAGCAGCGGCAATTGCTCCCGCTGACAGACGAGAGTCCTGTGATGAAATTGCACTTATTGGGGTAAACAATGAGAAGTATAAGGAGAAGCACATACTGTGATGTTCGTTCTGTCTCTATTCTTAAAGAAGACTGTGGTTGATTTCATGTTTGCAAATATTGTTTCGTATTTGTATAAATATAGGAATTATTTTGAGCTTCATGGTTGCAGGTTTCAACAGAACTAGCATCCAAGGGGCGAGCTAGATGGATATAGGCAACATAATGCCATATTACTATATGTATACAAGTGGTCAAGAGCTCTCAAGACTACGTCACGCCAGGCACTCGGGAATGTGGAGAATCCGCGGGTGCGGGAATGCGGGAACGGAGAACTTCGCCCGGTGATTTACCCGTCAATCATAACAACAAGTATTTGCTGCCCTTTTCAACCAAGGAGACAAAAACACATTGTAAAGCAGCCGAAGGTTAATTCAGTGGACAAAGTAGCCGAGTTGAAGTATGCAGCCGCATAGTCTCGCCTCTCCAATTCAACCGAACGAGTCACATCGCCCCTCGAGTGACGATCAAGTCGGCGGGGATTATTATGCCGATATTTCTCCATTCCCTACGAGGACCGAGGGTTTGCTTTCCAGTCCATGCACTCCTCAAGGGATTTTACCCGAAACAGAAAAGCTTCATATCAACTTGGCTCCATCTACCCACTTACAATTGCCATTCGGCGGGAAATGATCGTCCCTTTTCACTCCTGCCCCTCACGAGACTCGAGATTGCCAGGGGCAGTAATCTCAATAGTGAGCTCACTACTCCGCCGCAAATGGAGCTCCTATCGAGATGCCTCTAGCCGTGTATAAATATCCAGACAGCCAGTTCTCTCATTTGCTTTTTGCATTTGTTTGTCAGCCAGGGTAGGATCTACAACTTGCATCGCCTGGCCAAATAATAAACAATGGTACTGGCTAATCATCTTCTCCTACCGCTGCTGGCATCATGCAGCGCAGCCTACCAGATCTCAGTTGCAAAATCTGGTGGCAATGCCACGACCAACCTGCAATATGGCGTGATGGAAGAGGTGTGTTTAGCCCGCAGTCGTCGAATAGAATTTAAAGATCTGAGACAAACTTTAGGAGATCAATCACTGCGGCGAAGGAGGTCTCTATGCGGAACTAATTCGCAATCGAGCATTCCAAGGAAGTACAACGTACCCGTCATCGTTGGATGCCTGGGTGCCGGTTGGCGATTCGTCTTTGGCTCTGAAAAACCTCAGTGATCCGCTCTCCTCGGCTCTCCCCACTTCTGCCAGAGTGTCAGGGACTGACCAGTCCGGCTTTACCAACCTGGGATTTTTTGGCATTGATGTGCGGCCTCAGAAGTACAGCGGTTCTTTCTACGTCAAGGGTTCCTACAACGGCAAGTTCACTGCAACGCTCCAATCAACCACAAGCGGGAAGACTCTAGCAACTACCACGATTATTTCGACAAGTGCCGGAGATGAATGGGTTCAGCATAAGTTTGTTCTTGCGCCAGAGACAACGGCTCCAAACACCAATAATACCTTTTCGCTGACCTTCGATGCTTCCGTGAGTTCAACTGTAGGCTCTCGCGGAGCTTCTAGCTAATAAGACCAGAAAACATCTGATGGTTATCTTGATTTCAATCTTATTAGTCTGTTCCCGCCGACATGGAACAACCGTCCGAATGGGCTCCGACGCGATCTGATGCAAGCCATGTATGATCTTGGTCCTGTAAGTGTTCAGGAATATACGCTCCGCAGATAAGTACTCATCAAAATTAGAAATTCCTCCGGTTCCCAGGTGGCAACAACCTCGAAGGCAACACAATTCCTGGTCGATGGAAGTGGAACGAGACTATCGGACCACTCACAGATCGTCCCGGGCGTGCCACAACATGGGGATATGAAGAAACCGGTGGCATGGGCTTAGTTGAGTACATGGAGTGGTGTGACGATCTTGGGATGGAGCCCAGTAAGAACACATTTTTGGCATACCACTGATTCCTCTGACGCCGATATACTAGTTCTCGCTATTTGGAGCGGCCATGCTCTAAATGGGGATACTGTCTCGGAGGCCGACCTCGACTTTTACGTACAGGACGCACTGAATGAGCTGGAATTCCTCACCGGATCTGTGGACACCCATTACGGTGCTTTGCGAGCTAAATACGGCCATCCGGAGCCGTGGACCATTCGTTATGTTGAGGTCGGCAACGAGGATAATCTAAGTGGAGGCTTAGATTCATACACGGAATACCGGTTCCAGGCCTTCTACGATGCCCTCTCTGAGAAATACCCAAACATTCAAGTGATCGCATCGACCATCGACATGACACTGCCTGGTAACGCAGGTGGCGATTACCATTTGTATGATATCCCGGACAACTTCGTCAACAAGTTCAACATGTGGGATAACTACACAGATCAGCATCCAATCCTGCTTGGTAAGGGACATCCAGTAAGGCAAGGTCAATTGGCTGACACTTGTAATAAAAGGTGAAATTGCAGCGACCGAATTCAATAACGGATATGGCGTTAACTGGAGTGATTACCACTTCTCCACATATCCTTGGTGGATCGCCTCCGTTGGGGAAGCAGTCTTCCTCCTGGGTGCAGAGAGAAATGCCGACAAAATTATCGGAACAACCTATGTGAGTATTCCTGTCCAAATACGAATTTGGACTAACCGAACCAGGCGCCCTGGATGATGAACCTGGATAACTATGAATGGTCGCCAACCATGCTGGCCTTCAACGCGGACCCAGATCAGACAGCCCGCTCCACGAGTTGGCATGTCTATAGTGTCGGTATCACTGTTCTATCATGTTTACCTCCCGGACTAACTTTGAACGCAGCTGTTCAACCACAACCACATGACGAACACCCTCCCTGCAACCTCCCCTGACGCCTTCGGCCCACTCTACTACGCCGCCGGTCTTGACAGCCAGACCAATTCGCGCATCTTCAAGGCAGCTGTTTATAACAGCACCGCCAATGTGCCAGTGTCCTTGACATTTGAGGGCATTGGCCGAGGCGCAACAGCCGACCTGACCGTGCTGACAGCTCCAAGCGCTTATTCCATGAATGCTGTCGGTGCTCCAAACATGGTGGATATCCAAACCGTGAAGGTCACGGCCGGGAAGAATGGAGTGTTCAGCTTCAAGTTGCCAAATCTGAGTGTTGCGGTGCTGCGGACCAACGCTTAGTTGATTCCTGACTTTTTGTCAAAGTAACTACTAGTTATAAAATCCCCATTGTCGCATATCCTATGATGCAGTCAAGACCTTGCCCTTTGCACAGTAAATATTATGCCGGTTGCGAGGAGTTGCGACGCTTACTTCTTTGATCTATGAGCTCCGCACACCCCAACGCGGGATAGAATTCAAAGCAAACAACCGAATGTTAGACTAGTAAACTATTTCCACTGTTATTCTATCTATTCTTTCAACGCTGCACCACCTGCTATTATGAACCTCATCCAATCCAGCTGATAACCCACTTCACCGTTATCTCGGTAAATTGTTAGTCGCCTTTAGCCTCCACCCATCGCCCCATTGAGAGGGGCGTCGATTCATTTACCGGAGCTTCTCTGTCGCTATACAGACTCCACTCACATCAGGAGCCGCATAGAGGAAAACTAGTTTAATGGTCGGTAGCGCGTTCCAGCCCTTTCCCGCGGGTGAAGAAGGCCGCCACTGTCGCAACGAACCCGAAAGACGCCGATGCCGCAAACGACATACGGATTGCGCGATAGTACACCAATCGAGCGGCTATCTGTACGTCCGGGGGTAGATCGTAAATTGCAGAGACGGAGTGACGTATCTCGTCGATTACCTATGCATAAGAGGAATTGATCAGCAAGATTTCCTTATAGGGCCACCAAGCTGTGGTCCAAAAGGGTATGTACGTTCCATTTATCTGGTATTTCACTCAGGGCCTCCGGGAGGCCTGAGCTCAATGTATTCTGGACGATAGCAGAGGTGACGGCGACACCCCAGACTGTCCCGAGGGAGCGGATGAGGTAGACTGTAGAGGCGGAGACGGCGTGGTCTAGAAAGCGAAACGTTTAGTACCCCTTCTGCAGGCTGATTCAAGGTATCAAACAGGAACTAGCTTACCAGAGTGGTCGAATGCAGCCAGGAAGGTAAATAGGATTCCTGGATACACGATACCCTGGCCCAGATTGGCGGGAATCATATAGGCAAAATACTTCCATTCTGCGTCGTGGAATCGCAGCAGCATCACCAGCAGGTTTCCAATGAACATCAGACCAGCGCCCGTTCTCACGAGATAAGATAGCTTCCCCCAGCGAGACATAACAATGCCAGATATAAGCCCTCCCAATGGAGTGGCCAAGCATGGGATAGCCAGGCGACCACCTGCTTTGCTAGGAGTGTCCAGGAGAATCACCTGGAACAAGAGCGGAAGTGTAAATAGGTACTATCAAGGTCAGTCAGTTAAATTCCCCAACAGACAGACAAGTGTGGCTTACAGCGTAGGCAGCCATGCCCACACAGACGTTGGAAATCTGCGTCGCTACAGGAAGAAGCCCACGAAGCATCTTCAACGGCATCACAGGAACAGCGGAAGTTCTGGACTCTATCATGAAAAAGACGACCAAGAGCACCACACTGGCAACTAAGGACATAATCACCCAGACGTTTGTCCAGGGAAGCTCATTACCACCCAGGCTCAGTCCGAATAACTGACTAGAGAGCGCCAGGACTAACAAGCAGGCACCGGAGAGGTCGATCTGACGCCAGATGCCTTGTGTGGCTCGATCAGAGGTCGATTCAGCATCGTCGTTGGGAAACTTCAAAACGAAATGGCCCAAGACCAACGCACTCAGAGAGACCGGGCATTGCAGCAAGAAACACCAACGCCATCCAATGGAGTCGACGATCGAGCCACCAAAAGAAGCACCACAGATAGCGCCGAATCCGTTGGAGACGTTCTGGATCGCTTGGTACATGCCTCGATGACGGAAAGGAATGAGGTCGGAGTTGATAATAGTAGCTGGGATAGAAGTCAGAAGAATACCCAGAAAATCATGGTATTTAGAAAGCATACCCATTGTCATCAAGCCTCCGCCTCCAATGCCAGTCAAGGCTCGCATAATATCCAAGAACACGATATCACGGGCCACGCCGCAGCCCAGACAGCCGACCATAAAGCAAATAGTCGCAGTAAAGAAGCATGCACGACGACCCAATAAATCCGAGAATCTTCCATATAGCGGCTGGAATGCTGTGCTCGTGACCAAATAAGAAGTGGTCAACCATGAGGCAGTGTTTGCGGCGTTGAAATCCGAACTAATCACGGCGTAGGTTGAAGCAGTGATGGTGCTGTCAAATCCAGAGAGGAATACATTGGACATAATTGCTGCAACCATATATAATTAGTCATTTGGTTCTATTATCCATGTTGAAAGACTAGTCAACCACCAACCGATTTGAATCCATGTAAAACCCGGCGGCGACTTCCAAGTCGACGGAGATTCGTTTGATCCCAAAAGAGGCTCTTCTTCATTTAGAACAGGCATTGCGGACTCTGGTTCGTGTTGAGCACCAGGTCTTTCACTTTGGTGAGGGGCAGCCATGGCGGATTGGTTGATGGTAGGAAAATGCCAGAGTTCAGAGTCGGCCGAAAGAAAAATTAAAAACTCGTGACGTGCCAGTTTCCTCTAACCGAGTGTCCAATATTTCTCGGCTCTCTTTCTTGGTGGGAAACCAAGACCTCGCCAGGAAGTGACTGCAGCTGCGGGCACTCGATTAGGCAACGCGGGGCGTTTATCCCCTCCGAGCACGACATCTTGCATCAATATCACATCTTCGGCACACAGAAACACAAGAAAAAATGGCGGGAACAAGAGAAACGTATGACATCTTCTAGCGCAGATCGTTGATCCCACGGTCGTATATAAAGGTGGACGAAGAATAAATCTTTTTTTCCCAACCGCTCTATAAACCCTCCAACCTCTACCAGAGAGAACATACTCCCAGTGCAGAATACCCACCTAAGGTTAATGTACCCACATTGCACTATGGACAACATCATAGAAACTGATCGTTGGGCTAGTGCCTCCCATTATTACCACCATGAAGGTTCTTGAGATCATGGCCTGCGTGGCCGCGGTTACGCCGCTGGTCGCTGCAGACTGGCAATTCAAAACTCGGACGGACTTGGCGCCGCCTCGTCTGAATATCACTATCTCCGCAACGGCCGATGTCGAGAAAGGCTACCTCTTCGTAGCGCCTTTCCCGGGCGAGGTAAACACCCCCGGCTCGCATGGGCCGCGTCAGCAGGGTCCGTACATCTTCCGCGATGACGGCGAGCTTGTCTGGTCGGGATATACCTACTTTTCCATCTGGGCCGCCAATTTCCAAAAGGCACGATGGAGAGGCCAGGATGTACTTTTTAGCTTCGAGGGCGACCACAACCCGGGCTACGGCCACGGTCACGGCCACGCGACGCTTCTGAACCAGCGCTATGAAACTATCCGGGAGCTGCGCGCGGGCAACCACAAGCTCATGGACAAGCATGAATTCCACATTATCAATGAGGAGACCGCCCTGATCCAGGTCTACCAGCCCGTTCCCCGCGACCTGAGCCGCTGGGGTGGTAGTGCCGAGCAGCAATGGATTGTTGATGCCATCATCCAGGGTATGTTGGCCTTGACTTCATTTCAAGGAGTGAGACTAACGACGGCCAGAACTGGATATCGAGACCGGCGAACTTCTCTTTGAATGGTCCAGTCTCGAGCACGTTAGTCCCGATGGTGAGCTCGCTCTGTTCGTGTGTCTATCACGTATACTAATCGCATGCAGAGGCCGTTCTTCCTCTCAACCCCGGCCAGGCTGGCGCAGGCTACAACTCGTCGGACGCATGGGACTACTTCCATATCAACTCCGTTGACAAGGATGCAAACGGTGACTACTTGATCTCGGCTCGGGATGCCTGTGCCGTCCACAAGATCAACGGTACCACTGGCGAGATCATCTGGCGCCTCGGTGGTCGCAACTCTGATTTCAAGCTTGGCTCAAATGTCGCATTCTGCTTCCAGCACCATGCGCGGTTCGTATCGCAAGGTAAGAATGAAGAGATTATCTCCCTCTACGACAACTCTGCACATGGAACAGAGAACAACCGTGGCCACGAGGTCCACACGCACCCCTTCTCCCAGGGCAAGATCATCTCGGTCAACACGGCCAAATGGACGGCGGAGATTGTCCAGGCCTTCCAACCTCCTGACGGTCTTCTGTCCAAGTCCCAGGGCAGCACACAGCTCCTGCCCAATGGCAACGTTCTGGTGAATTGGGGCTCCGAGGGCGCAATGACGGAATTCAAGGCGGATGGCAACGCCATTTTCCACGCGTACATGGACTCCGACTTCCTATTTGAGGGCGTTGAGAACTACCGTGCGTTTCGCTACAACTGGACTGGACTGCCCACCGAGGAGCCGGCCATTGTGGCTGAGAAGACCTCTGCGGGTACTGCCATCTATGTGTCCTGGAACGGCGACACTGAGACTGCCGCGTGGAACTTCTTTGCCATCACGGATCGCTACGGGTCCCGCGCATACCTGGGACAAGCGTCCCGCGATGGATTCGAGACCTCGTTCGAGGTGACAGGTCACTCGTACCAGACCGTGGCCGCCGAGGCTATCTCTGCCAGCGGCCGAGTGCTTGCAACTACGCGGGTGACGCAGATCCAGCAGGAAGTGCTGCCTCCTTCGTCGTCTGTGTCCACTACCAATGCTCAGTCGGATAGCTTGTGGGCGCAGGTGGTCTTCCACGGAGAGATTTGATCTAACTTTTGATCTGGAGTTTGATTTGGAGGCAGTGAAGATGCAGCAAGGCAGGTTATGTAGTTGTTAGTTGGGTGTAGGTAGTGCAGAAGTGAGAATCAGATGATCGGATGATGAGCGTTGGTTACACACAGATTGCACGTGGCGATCATGATCAATACATAACTATAGTCTATCCGATCCGATGCGATGTGAGCTATGCAATAAAGGACGGAGCTGAGGCTCCGTTCGGAATGACTACTCTCCACCGCTCTTATCCCTGAAGCTGCCCGATCGGGCCATTGCTCCCCTGGTGGGTCCCAACCGATGGCGAATACGCGAATACGCAACCAATCATGAGCCCTAGCTGTAACCAGACGGTTTTGGCGAACGTTGAATCCAGGGTTATTGCTAGGATTATGATGTTCATGAACCTCTCTGGTAGAACAACTTGTTTTATGCAGCAGAGATGAATCATTTTGGTGGCAAGGATATGAATAGTGGAGCCCAGAGCCGTTCGGTAGTAGAACCCCATACTTTCACGGACTTATTTAGTAGTCAGCTCGGCCGGCCCAGGATCCGGGGTTCATCTAGGCGATCATAATGAGATACATACTACTCGGATCCCTTAGTTCCCGGCTTCCGTCCTGCGAGGAGAGTCGTCTCCATAATCTTAATAAATAATAATGGCCCGCATCTTTCTCTCTTTTTCTCCCTATGTCATAGCTGCTTTCAATCATGGCCGCTCCTCAACCCCCCGCGCCATTTGGGGGTGCCTCTGCAGCAGCGGATGTCGTGGCCCAGCAGCTAGAAGAACTCAGGCAGAGCGACCGTATCAGCCCCGAGAAAGAAGAAAGTACTGACACCGCAGGCGATTCGGAAGAAGACCGGCAAGAGAAGATCACGACGCTGGCAAGAACCATCTCCCAGCTGTCGCGTCAGTACAGCACCAATGGGTCCATCAAAGAAGATATCAACACGTTCCTCGATCCGGCTAAGGATCCTGAGCTGGATCCCAATTCCGACCAGTTTAAGTCCCGGAAATGGGTGCGCAACATGCTGCACATCACCTCTCGCGATCCCGACCGATATCCGCGTCGCACGGCAGGCGTTTCATTCCGCAATCTCAACGTGTTCGGCTATGGGACTGCTGCAGACTACCAGATGGATGTGGGCAATATGTGGTTGAAGGGTGCAGGCTGGTTTAAGAGTGCGCTGGGGTTCGGGAAGAAAGTGCGCATTGATATTCTGCGTGACTTTGAAGGCATGGTCAGCACAGGAGAAATGCTGGTGGTGCTAGGCCGCCCCGGCAGGTATGTTTGCTGCGCGGCTCCCTATAAAAGTGACAAAGAACTGACCTGAGGTTCTGTAGTGGCTGCTCAACCTTCCTCAAGACGATCGCGGGTGAGACACACGGCCTTTGGCTAGATGACGGCTCCGATGTACAGTATGAGGGAATCTCGTGGGAGGAGATGCACAGCCGATTCCGAGGCGAGGTAATCTACCAAGCTGAAACCGAGACGCATTTCCCTCAGATGACTGCTGGAGATACCCTGCTCTTTGCAGCCCATGCACGCGCGCCGAACAATCGCATCCCAGGAGTAAGCCGAAAGCAGTATGCCACCCACATGAGAGATGTGGTCATGGCCATGCTGGGTCTCTCTCATACTATGCACACCCGGGTAGGCAACGAATATATCCGAGGTGTATCCGGGGGCGAACGCAAACGCATCAGTATCGCAGAGACAACTCTCTGTGGATGCCCGCTGCAATGCTGGGATAACAGTACGCGTGGACTGGACAGCTCAACTGCGCTGGAATTTGTCAAGAATATCCGTCTGTCGACGGACTACAGCGGCTGCACTGCCATTGTTGCTATCTACCAGGCGAGTCAGGCCATCTACGATATGTTTGATAAAGCGGTAGTCCTATATGAGGGCCGGCAAATATACTTCGGCAAGGCAGACGACGCCCGTCGCTTCTTTATTGAAATGGGTTTCGACTGCCCTGAAAGACAAACCACGGCCGACTTCCTCACCTCTCTGACTAGCCCTTCGGAGCGCCGCGTCCGCCCTGAATTTGAGAGTGTAGTGCCTCGCACCCCTGATGAGTTTGCCACTAGATGGAAGGAGAGTGCGGAGCGGAAACAATTGCTGGCTGACATTGAGGCGAGTCGGTCTCAACACCCAGTGGGAGGTGACAAGCTTGATGAGTTCAGTCGCTCTCGCGCAGCAGAAAAAGCCAAGGGTACCCGGGCAGCCTCACCATTCACGCTGTCATACACGATGCAAGTTCGTCTGTGTCTCTGGCGTGGATTTCTACGTATGAAAGGAGACATGAGCATGACGCTTGCCTCTGTGATCGGCAACATCATCATGGGCCTGATCGTCGCTAGTGTGTTCTACAACCTCAACCAGACGACTGGCAGCTTCTTTCAACGTGGTGCCTTGCTCTTCTTCGCCATTTTACTCAACGCTTTCGCCAGCTCTCTTGAAATTTTGACACTCTGGGACCAACGACCAATCGTGGAGAAACATGACAAGTATGCCTTGTACCATCCCTCGGCTGAGGCATTCAGCTCTTTGCTTGTCGGTCTACCGGACAAGTTTATGACAGCTGTTGTCTTCAACCTGATCATCTATTTCCTGCCTGATCTCCGACGTACCCCGGGCCATTTCTTCGTCTTCTTCCTGTTCTCATTCACGACTACTCTCACCATGTCCAACATCTTCCGCTGGATAGGAGCCATCTCACGCTCCAAGGAGCAGGCGCTGGTTCCAGCCTCGATATTCATGATGATTTTGGTCATTTACACAGGTTTTACTATCCCGGTCCGAGACATGCACCCGTGGTTCCGATGGCTGAATTACTTGAACCCAATTGCATACGCCTTTGAAGCCCTGATGATCAACGAATTCAGTGGCCGCCATTTCCCGTGCTCCGCGGCGGACTTTGTCCCTTTCTACCCAAATGCGCCTCTTAGTTCCAAGATTTGCTCTCAAAAGGGCGCGGTGCCCGGCCAGGATTTCATTGATGGTGACGCCTATATCAACACCTCGTTTCAATACTACAAGCAGCATCTGTGGCGCAACTACGGTATTATATGTGCATTTTTCGTCTTTTTCCTCGCAGCCTACATTATCTGCAGCGAGCTTGTCCGAGCCAAACCGTCAAAGGGAGAAATTCTGGTCTTTCCGAAAGGCAAGATTCCAGCTTTTGCTAAGTACAATCGCAAGGATGACGCGGAGGACTCATCATCAGCAGAAAAGGACGCCCCTGCTGTTGAAAGCCATGATCAGCAAGTCGCATCCATCGCCCGGCAAACGGCCATCTTTCACTGGCAGGATGTCTGTTACGATATCAAGATCAAGGGCAATCCGCGTCGTATCTTGGATAATGTTGACGGATGGGTGAAGCCTGGAACTTTAACTGCGTTGATGGGTGTGACCGGTGCGGGCAAGACGTCTTTGCTAGATGTACTGGCCAACCGTGTGACGATGGGGGTCATCACCGGCGAGATGCTCGTCGATGGTCGTCCTCGCGATGGCTCGTTCCAGCGCAAAACAGGCTACGTCCAGCAACAGGACCTGCATCTCGAAACTAGTACTGTGCGTGAAGCGCTTGTCTTTAGCGCTCTGCTTCGCCAACCGCACAAAGTTCCTCGCCAGGAAAAGCTCGACTATGTCGAAGAAGTGATCAAGATGCTTGGCATGGAAGAGTATGCTGAGGCGGTGGTCGGTGTCCTTGGTGAGGGATTGAACGTGGAGCAGCGCAAGCGCTTGACTATTGGCGTGGAAATCGCTGCCAAGCCGGACCTGCTTCTATTCTTCGATGAACCTACTTCTGGTTTGGACAGTCAAACCGCCTGGTCTATCTGCAGTCTCATGCGCAAACTGGCTGACCATGGACAAGCTGTTTTGGTAATAATATTGCTCGAGATTTATATGCATAACATACTAACAGACAATAGTGTACCATCCATCAACCGAGTGCTATGTTGATGCAACAATTCGATCGCCTCCTGTTCCTAGCCAAAGGAGGTCGCACAGTCTACTTCGGAGAGCTGGGTCCACACATGGAGACTCTGATCCGGTACTTCGAGAACAAGGGGTCTGTCAAATGCCCAGAGAACGCCAATCCAGCAGAGTGGATGCTGGAAATTATCGGCGCTGCTCCGGGATCCCATGCGGACCGAAACTGGGCGGACGAATGGAACAACAGCCCGGAGCGGACGCAGGTTCGACGCGAGTTGGCTGAGATGAAGGCAGAACTGCTACAGAAACCTGTGCCTCCGCCGACGGCTGGCTATGGAGAATTTGCGACACCGTTGTGGTATCAATTTGTCGTTTGCATCCACCGCATGTTCCAGCAGTACTGGCGCAGTCCGGGCTACATATACGCCAAGGCGGCCATGTGCATAGTTCCGGTCAGTCTCCAGACGCATTGTATGTTTGAATGAGTGCTGACCCCTTTTAGCCTCTATTTATCGGATTTACTTTCTGGCACATGCCCAACAGTCTGCAAGGTCTCCAGAACCAGATGTTTGCCATCTTCATGCTGCTCATCATCTTCCCCAACCTGGTGCAACAAATGATGCCTAGCTTTGTTACGCAGCGGTCCCTGTACGAGGTGCGGGAACGTCCATCCAAGGCTTACTCATGGAAGGCGTTCATGCTGGCTAGTATCTTTGTGGAGCTGCCCTGGAATGTCGCGATGTCGGTGCCCATCTTCTTCTCGTGGTACTATCCCATTGGCCTCTACCGGAATGCCTACCCGACCAACTCCGTGACGTCACGCAGCGGAACCATGTTTTTGCTTATTCTGATCTTCATGCTATTTACCTCGACCTTCAGTTCGATGATGATTGCGGGCATCGAGCAGGCAGAGACTGGCAGCAACATCGCACAACTATTGTTCTCACTCTGCCTGATCTTCAACGGGTAAGTCTGGTTATTTTTTTGCTCCTGTCAGCGCTAATCTTTTCCCAGTGTGCTGGCGAGCCCCCAAGACTTGCCTGGTTTCTGGATCTTCATGTACCGCGTTTCGCCCTTCACATATCTGGTGTCAGCAGTACTCTCCACCGGTGTATCTGGCGCTGACGTCACATGCTCTGCAATTGAACTACTCCATATATCGCCCCCGAAAGGCGAAACGTGCATGAGCTATTTGGGTCCGTACTTGAAAGAAACACACGGAAACTTGCACAATCCCAACGCGACCACAGACTGTCAGCTGTGCTCCATTTCCTCAACAAACCAGTTCCTGGCCAGCGTCAACATCTACTTCTCGGATCACTGGCGCAATATCGGGCTGCTCTTTGTGTACGTGGGCTTTAACGTGGTGGCGGCCGTTTTCTTCTACTGGTTGATTCGCGTGCCGAAGCATTGGTCGCGTAAGGTCAAGCAGGAGTAGAGTGGGGGCTGGTGTGACATTTACGATACGATAGAACATTTTTGTGGCTTGTCGGGCACATCTTTGTTGATCCTTGCGCCTTGTGCCTCGCGAGCTTTATAAATAATACATATTGCGGGTTTTTTTTCCTCTAGATTTCAAATGCATTTTGTTAGTTAATAATAGCAACGTGCTCTCGGTTGGCCGTTAATGTACAGTGCAGCCACTCAGCACGCCTATCAATTGAACTATGCATGGTTTGAAACACCAAAGAAGGCAAGGCAGATCGAGGTGGGGGCGATAGCCGGAAGGTTCGGAGTCCCTCCTTGATTAGTGAACTAAGTGCCATCTACTCCATACTGTGATCCGTGGCTTTAGGGCTTAGGCGGTCGGAAGAGTACCATAGGAGCCACCAACGGGGTGATCATTCAAGCCTAGATGTCTTGTTCGCTTTCGGCTGGGTCACCACGCGGGGACGATGATCCGCATTGAGGCGTGGGGAGGTGGGAGGATGTGCTGTGTGATTGGCTCCGTCGTAATTTTCGGGGACCTCGGAAGAAACAGCTGAGTGATAGGTCGCGGACCCCACTGCTCTCAGAATAGAACGAGTACGAAACGTGGCTGAGTAATAATGCTAGGGGCCTTGATGGACAGTAGGGAAAGGTTAGTAGGGCGGCCAAGCTAAACTAGCTACGGCAGGTCGACAGGGATCGAGTCATAGCGCATGGAATAACAGGAAGGAGGATAATGTACTGGTGGAAAAGGGAAGCGAGCCCCCATGGCGCTGGGCCAGGTTGGGATTAGGGCTTTGGGGTCCAAAGGTTGCGAGAAAGCGCCGTGTTTGAGTTTAGAGCTGCGATTAACCGTTTATCGTTCTTTCACACTCCACCCACGGCATACCTGGCCCGGGTGCGGGCTCGAGAATGGATAGCCCTAAGTGGCCAGCTACTAATCCTGGAGCAGTGCGCGACATTCTTGGTGCCGCATCGCATAATATCATCAGCTGACAATAATAATGCTGAACAACCTTCTAGGAGGATTATTCTCAGGGTCAAGTGACCGCTTAGTCCAGCATGAAGGGGCAAGGGGCGATTTGTTCTTTAAACAAATGCGGACACCTTTCGAGCAATGTTCCAATCCGAATTCGAGTCAGTCATCGCCTACCGGTACACTAGTTACTGCGTCAGAGTCGATCATCTCCGAGTCGATCAGCGCCTTATCGGGCATAATGCACGCTCCCAGACCGGATAGGATAGAGCACAGATGGGAGGTCCACCGGCCTAAGTCGCGGGTTGAATCCGAAGTGGCCAACCAGAGACCCGTCAGATGTGGGTAAGCGAACGGACTGGGACTTTGAGGCTCAATCGGCCCCACGAGCTCAGGGATTAATTTGCCGTTTGGCAGCGTGTACAATGCAACGGGGTTCGGTGCGGCAGTGCCTGGGATCATCATAGGCCAGGTACCATAGTTAAGCAGTTACTTTATTTATGGAAAACCCCTCAGGCGTGCCACGAGATTAAGTTACTTCTCTTTTTCTTTTTTCACATCCTTTCTTCGTCTTCCTCTCCTAAACTATGGACTATTATCCGTCCTTCACGGATCTGCCACATATCGTCTCCATGTCTGGTGTTTCTTCCCAAGCCTATGATTCCTATTCTCCAGACGGCTCTCTTCCAGCCGATCACCCTTTTGTGACTCGAGAATCTCCCATATTTCAGCTGGACGCCGTGGAATCCAAACCCCGGGAAGATAACTTTCCTTCCCAAACATGGTGGAAGGGTGATTCGTTCGCTTATGCAATGGGCCATATGCCTCCAACTGCGTTAAACCCTTACGGTGATCGTTTTGCCTCTTGGAACAGCGGGGTCTCTACTGTCTCAGATCCTCAAAGCCCGCGCAGCACCAACAGCGGCAGTATGCCAGCCATAAGCTGCTACACTTCTCCATCTTACCGACACGAGGATGCCGCTATCTCTTCTCTAGACCCTAAACATGCATCATATCCGACTCCAGACAACCTAACAGTACCCAATCCTCACGTGTATGAGGTCCTGCCGGAAAATCACCTCTCTCCCTATAGCGAAGTGCACTCGGACTTCGATACCTGGTCATGCAGCCATTCTGATCGCTATCCCACTCCAGAGCAAGCCTGGGCCTCTCCCATGCAGCCAGAGACCGTGGCTGCCGTACCAAAGGACTTGCGGCGGTCCAAGACCCGCTGCTCTTCTACTAGCCGCGTGCAAAAGAGTACGGCAGAACGACGACCCAACTCTGCTCCTGGCCGTGGCCGGAAACGACGCGGAGCAACCAGTACCCCGAATGATGCGAATTGGCCACGAGTGTTTGTGTGCAGCTTTTCTCCGTATGGTTGTGAAAGCACCTTTGTGTCGAAGAACGAGTGGAAACGGCATGTCACCTCTCAACACCTCCAGCTGGGCTTCTACCGATGCGACGTGGGAAAGTGCAGCGTGCACGTCAATCGCACCCGATCAGACCATCTACACTCACCATCCACCTCATCCACCTCATCCACCTACAAATCTGCTACTCCTCCCCCTGGCCAGCCCAACGACTTCAACCGCAAGGACCTTTTCACACAGCACCAGCGCCGCATGCATGCACCCTGGCTACAGTCGGGGCAGCGGCGAACTCCTAGTGATGCAGAGCATGCTGCCTTCGAAAACAGTCTGGAGGAAGTCCGCCAGCGCTGTTGGCAAGCACTACGACAGCCACCCGCCGTCAGCCATTGCGGCTTCTGCGGCGAGAGCTTTTCTGGTGAGGGTAGCTGGGATGCTCGCATGGAACATGTCGGGCGGCACTTTGAGCGTGAGAATCCCGAGCAGCGTGGCAACGAGCGCGAGGACCAGTTCGTGAGAGATTGGGGGCTCCGTGAGGGTATCCTGGCGCCGGTGAATGGTCAGGTTCGGCTGGTCTCGCTCGTATGAGCTGATTAAATTTCTTGATTGTCTACTACATTATACAGGATATCGGTGTTTGAACAGGATTTATTTTCTCAATACTGTGTTATGCTTACGCGATTATGACTCTGCTCTGTGTTTCTGGTGTATATACTAGTGGAGGACGGTGTCCAAATATCACGAATACATAAGGAAACCCTGGAAGGACTTAGTTCACAGTTGAACTGCTGCCTTGGATAACTATCCATATAACATGCTTATCGCATTAATTGCTACGGTGGCATGGTAGGGGCGCAAAGTCAAGATCACTTCTAGCCCCAGACTAGATAAATGCTGATCCCATCACGCCCCCGTAGATCGAAGATATCCGCCTCCGTGTCCATCTTGGAATTAAGGAGAAATCAGGGGAAAGAAGCAACAATATTAACCTGCACTATACATAAACGGAAGGTCATAGATGATCGACGTGAAGTTATTTCCAAAATCCTTCGGGCGAATTTATTACTCCATCGAGTGGACAAGTAAGTGCAAGCCTCGAAAACCGGGCACCCGAGACGGTCTGTAGCCCCTGAATAAGGTCCACAGTAATCAACTATGTAGCCAACTACGTACGGGTAAGATAAAAGTAACTTCAGGGAGCTGCGAAGTGTAGACACTTCGATTGACAAGGCGGCACGACTAGTAATCCTGGTGGAAAGGAGGCGTCACGGACTCAGTTCTGGATTATTGTGGATCGAAGTGTTCACTAAATCAAGGCAGGGTATATGATTCAGTCATGTTTCATGTTTGACTCACCTGTCTATTTATCTCGTTCAGCGATGAGGGACATGTCCGAGGGTAATCCCCAACATTGGACACCCGAATGCCAGTTTGGCTTGCATATGTTAAATTTGGATGGCATCCCAGTCCAGGACGCTCTGGTTAGTCCGTACTCTGGACGCAGAACGTAGATGATTGCGCCAGCCCCGCGATCGTCGGCGCCTCATCTTGGTGGAAATTCGCCTTTTCGCTTAACAATCGACCTTCGGACAAGTGCCGGTATTTGACTATTTGGGCGGGCTGAACTTTCCGAACCCGGTTTTGGGAGGTCTCTGACGAGTCCCTGTTGTTAATTCCCTCTTGGCAACAGGCTCTTTCCTAGCAAAAGCATTTTGCTTCTTGACACCTACCTCGCGCTGACGGCCATTAGAACAACATTTCTCCAGCTTTTAGGTGCCTCAGGCAACCGGTGCCAGATGCAGTGACATGCATCATCGGCACGAGGCAATAATACATTATTCCAGAACAAGCTAATGGAAACGCAACCCGGTAAACCCTATTCCCCTGTTAAATGGCTCAAGGAGACTAGGGAGACAAAAGAACCTGCAAGGTTTGGCAGAAGTGGCATCTCGCTATGTATCCCAACCCACGAAGAAATGCAAGGACCACCAATACAAATGCCGTGAATAACTTAAAGAATGTGGGGAGAACCGACAAGAGGGTTGTCCCGTATCGGATCTTCTTGACAGGTTCCCACCAAGATCCATCCGTCGTTATTTTTCAGTCCGGGATTATTCTCCCCACCAATCTCGTCTTTCCCGATCGGGTAACCCAGACGACGAGGCTCGCGCCTAGTTCGCTGGTTCATAGGGCAGCGGCTCGTGCCGCTCAACGGGCCTTTCTAGTGATCTGGGAGCTCTGGCGGGTTCGTATGGAACGATTGACAGTTCGACAAGCTCGGCCCTATCGTCCCAGAGCTCTGGTGTTTGGGAACCTTGTCTGGAGACCCTGATCCATCTTCAGGGGTGTGGTTAAGAACTGATTGATAAGATTGCGCTGCAATCAAGGGGTAACAAAGCCCTCTGCCGAATCTCTCTTCGGAGTTTGAACTATGCGCCAACCCGACAGAGTGCAGCACACTGGTATTATCGGAGGGTCTGGAGTGACATTCGAGGAATCTTTCAAATGGTACTCTCTGCTCGGTGTCTCCTCCAGCGCGGCAACGTTCTTCTTGAGAGAGACAATTCGTCACACGAGCAACATTCTATGCCTTTAATTCCAGATGATGAGCTGCACTTTGTTTCCATCAATCCATCATTCATTCGATGTGGGAATTTCATATCGTTGGTCTACGGTCGAGATGCCCCAATCTGGAAACTAGCCCCGATCTGCGCTTGCAGTGATGCTTTGCATGATAACAATGCGGTAAGTCGTGCATCGAATGCCATGAACAGCGCTCAGTTACGATCCGATGGGCATTTACGAGTCAATTGAATCATCCTGGGCAAGTTTATATCGACTCCGCCGGCTCGGGCATATACTACTACGTATATCAAGTAGATCGATGGCGAAATTCATACATATTTACCACATCTGTGGAGTAGCTCGGTCGTAAGACTCTCTATCGCTCTCGGATATAAAAAATGCCTTCTCCATACCTTGTCTTCAGTATCGCTTCTTCCTGCCCTTCAGACAAGTAGCACTGATTCCTCTCGGTCACCTACATTCCTCAAACAAGTTCCAAACACCTTTTGGTTCCTCAAAATTACTATTATGGCCTCGAATGATGATAAGGCAGCTCAACTGCGCGAGTATATTTTCTCGCAACCGGCATCCGCTTTAGCCAACAACCCATGGGCCGTAACCAACGCTATCGAGACCTTCGCCGACACGTACGGGCTGAGGATGATCTTCAGAGGAAACAAGCTGGAGCTAGCACGAGAGCAGATAATGGCACAAAAGCCAGCTCCGCGCACAATAATCGAGTTCGGCACGTTCGTCGGTAAATCCGCCCTCGCCTGGGGCGCCATCCTGCGTGACATCCACGGTGAGAACTTGCCGGCAGATGTGAAGGTGTACACATTCGAAATGGATGCTGTCATGGCGGCGCTGGCGCGGGATCTGGTTAAGCTGGCAGGTCTGGAAAGCACAGTCCATGTGTTGGAGGGACCCGGTAGTGAGTCCCTGCAAAAGCTGGTCTCTGATGGCGCAGTCAAGTCCGTTGACATGGCCTTCTTCGACCACTGGGAGGAGTTCTATCTGCCTGATTTGCAACTTGTCGAACGACTCAAGCTCTGGCGTGTCGGGTCGCTCGCCATTGCCGATAACACTGATTACCCGGGTGCGCCGGCATATCGCCAGTATGTCCAGGATGGGGGCAGCGGGCTGGCTGGCGCGGTGAAATATGAGAGCTGCTCGCTGAAGACACAAGGGTTGAAGCAAGGCCCGGTAAGATGGTTCTTACTTGCGTTAGGGATATCTGAGCAGCTAACTTTGATTGTTATTGCAGAGCATTGTGGAAGTGAGCAAGGTGTTGGCTGTCGAATAAAGATGTCGAACCCAAATATATATCTGGCCGATTGTGTGCAATAGACGTCCCGTCAAAGATGATCTAGGGTGCTCAAATGATGATAGAACACTCCCTGCTCTAAATAATTATTATTTTGCATAATCCCTACCTATGATTATCGTTGCTCGACTCTCGATCTCTGTATACTGCTGTGCCCGTGACTGCGCGTCCCTGATTGGCCCCTCGCTCTCCCCGTCTTCTCCTCCTCAATCTCCGACCACCGATGAACAACCACCTTTGATCCTCCCATTCCTTCTTGACCCGGAATTGTTTTTGCTCAAGTGCATCACAAGTTGGAAGGCATGCTGCACGCGCCCCTATAGCCCTCCTCGCTCTCCCCAGCCACGCTGTCTGGAGCCCCAGACTCGACTATGTACCGCTCCTTGTGCACCACCACCACCCTCTTCTGGGCTGACATTCATTTCCTGCAGGGCTGTCTTCTCGCTGATCATCATTAACAAGGCCGGCGGTCTGATCTACCAACGCGAATTCCAAGCCGGCCTGCGCAAGCTCTCAACCAATGACTACTTGGTTCTAGCGGGCACCTTTCACGGGTAGGAACGACGCTCCCTGTTGCATACACATCCCTCTAATGCGAGCTAGTGTCCACGCCATTACCCGTTCTATCACACCCAAGATGCCACTCGCTCCATCAGCCTCCTCTCCCGCTGCGTCGTCGCCGAGCACCAGCACCCCCGCCTCGTCGGGGTACACATACCCGAACCCCGGCGTGGCCGCCACGGGCATCGAAGAGCTTGAGACAGACAAATTTCGCCTGACATGTTTCCAGACTATGACAGGGACAAAGTTCCTTCTGTTTACGGACCCGATGAGTGGCAATGTCGAGGTCATCATAAACAAGATCTACGAGCTGTATGCGGACTACGTGATGAAGAACCCCTTCTACCAGCTGGAGATGCCGGTGCGTTGTGAGGCATTTGATCGGCATCTGGGGGCGTGGCTGAGAGGGCGCAGTTGAGCTATAAAATAAGATCATGACCTTACGAATTAGAAATTCGGGATAGAAGAGGACCTAGCCTAGGCACCTCTCTCTACCCATTGCACAACCCCAATTGAAAGAGTAATATTTCTCAGCTTGCACAAGCACTTCCCCAGAAGGCCGACTAGAGAATACAGGTTACAAGACAAACAAACGCCGGGTATGCATCACAGATCATGGCCACGAACCAAGAGCGGGTACACCTACGCCGTGTCCATCTTGTCCTCGTCCTTCTTATCTTTGTCACCGCTGGACTCGCCCTGGCCTTCCTCAGGGATATTGCCCAGCTGCGTCTTGCCCTCTGCCTCCTCGCGCTCGAGGCGCTCCTTCTCCTGCCGGTTCTTCTCTTCCTCCAGCGATAACCGTAGCGCAAACGCCAGCTCGGGATCGTTCTCAGCGGCGTCCTCAAATCCAAAGCCACCGGCCTCACCACCCTCGCCGCCCTCGCCCGCACCAGCGCCGCCACCTTCGCCCGCCAGAATCGGGGTCATCTGCAGCTCCTCGCTGAGCAGGTGTGGACCCGGAGGGATGATGGCCAGATGCGAGCCGTCGCCGCTCTTGACATTGTCCACAAAGGCTTCCAGTTTCTTGGTTTGGTCGGACTCCAGGTCCCCAAACGCCACCACATCGATCGACACGTTGTTCTTCTTCATCTTCTTCGCCAGCTTCACGAGTGTCTTCTCGTCCTCTTCGATCGGCGAGCACGAGAACACGACGATTCGTTGCCGCTGCGACTTTTCGGACCGGTGCTTAAGAGCCAACTGGGGATGAAGGGAGTCAGCTGGGAGCTCATGTATAAGCGGGGATGTGGAAGGGCTTACCCCGGCAACCTGGATGCTCGAGCTCAAATGCGACGTGCCGTGGATCTTCGTCCGGTGCAGCCCCGCCAGAATGCTCCCAAAATCAGTCGTGAAGGTTGACAGCACCTCGGGGCCTTTGCCGCCCATGCTCATGAGGCCAACGGCTGATTGGGGATGTACGCGCATCTTGGCGCCGTGGAGAACGCTAACGGCATCGACCTGAGCTTGCCACCGAGTCGACCTAAGGCAAATTAGCTTGAGAGAAGGGACAGAAGCTCCAATTCGACTCACGTATAGTCTCCGTTGCGACTACTCTCGGAGTTGTCGACGCTGCAGGAGAGGTCAGTAGGAGAGCTTGGATCGGGGTGATGTCTCAATGACGCACATGATCATGGTAGCTTCGAGCGACATCTTGGTGGTGGTGAATGGGTATCGGAGGAGGAGGTGATGGAGGACCGGAGAAGAGAAAGCAGGAGATGAGGGTATTTGACTAACTAATAATGAATTGGCGAAGAGAAGTAGGATGATGACAGTCGGTCACGGGGAGGGATTCTGCCGCGGCATTCCGCCTGTTAAGTCAGCATGTTTGTTGTGGGCGCGCCTCTCCAGCAACTACTTACGACAACCTCGACAACGTACGTCAACTCGACACCTTCGCCTCCTCTTTTGTTTGATTTATTCACTTTTATTCAAGCCATGTATACCGCAATGAAGCGCAAGTCGCCTGAAATCACCGGCGCGGACGACGTTGCCACGCCCACGGGCAGTCCGACGAAGAAGATGCGCATCACACAGAGCCAGAAGCAGGCATTGATGGATAATTTGCAGCTTGAAAGTGCGTTGTAGATGCCACCGTGTTGTTCCATTTTACTGATTTGTTTACAGTCACCGAGCGAGCTCGCAAGCTTCGTGCTCAGTATGCTCTCCAAGCGCATGATCTTCGGGCGCGCATGGAACGACGCGTCAACCGAATCCCCATTTCTCAGCGAAAGGAAATCATGGGTGAGCTGCTCGAAAGACACAGTTCCACGTCACTCTCAGCATCACCATCGCGGAAGCAGGTCCCCTCGAAGGCCACACGGTATGCCACTAACATCTCTGTTGACCCGGAAACCTCGACCGCTGGAGCACGAGATGGCCGGGTTAAGCGGACCAGGTAAGGTCATCCATGAAACCCTACTGAGAGTCCAGCTAATTGTACTTCAACTAGCCATGAGGGCCACTATTCCGACAAAGAGAACGCTCCTGCCGCCGACACCCCGGAAGGACTAAAGAACCCCAAGCGCCGCGGCAAGGCCGGTGCCTCACGAGTGGTGTCGCAGGATGTGAGAGAGAACGACCACCGGATCCTTTCACCAAAGTCCCTCAATTCGCGCACCTACCCACACTCCCCCTTCCGCGCCGTCTCGCCCGAAAAGGCGGGCCAGTCATATGCGTCGCGGCCGACATCACCGTTGAAGCCCTCAAGCCCACTGAAGGGTGCTGGCGCTAGTACCTACGATAATGCGCGTACGCGGCCACGCGGCGCTACCACGTCCACTGTCAGGGCCCCCGCGCAAGCGAAAAAGACCACCGCCAACCGCGCCGCCACGGGACCCAAGACTGTCCGCTCGCCTGGGCCCCGCCCCGCCACGAGACAGGGAGAGCGCAAGAATAGTACCGGAACCGTCTCATCCATCACGTCGTCCGGCACAACGGTCATGAAGACCGCGCGGACCGCCGCTAGTGCTCGCAAGGCAACGACTGGGATGAGCATGTCAGCTGCTGCCGCTGCGAAGAAACCCACAATTCCTCGCACACAGACAGCTTCACTTGCTGTCAAAAAGACCGCTACTGCCACGGTCCGGAAGACCACTGCACCGGCTGCAATGACGGAGGGCTCGACGGCTGGGAGACGGGCATTGCGGAAACGGGTGTAGATTGATTGGTGTGTGGCCATGATTGGACTTTAGATTTAGTAGGCGTCGAATTGCAGATTGTCAGGAGTTTAATGTCCTTGTCAGCGAGAAATAAGCGGAGTTTGGGCGTTGAGTTGTGTCTTGGTTGTTTTTCTGATATTCTTGCTTGAGGACTCATAATTGGTGACAGGAAGGAGTGTTTCATTTTCTCTTGTTTTGCTTTGTCATTTTGGCTCGTGTTTTGTGCGCTGAATGGAATACTCAAGTCTCGATTGAATCCACTTGGTTCCAATGCCATCTTCATCTTCATCTTTACAGAGTTCAACACAGACACTGCACACTAATCAGAGGTAAACAACGAGGTAGAACTTTCAGAAGAATCCAATGTATCCAACTACAACATCAGCGGAAGTAGGCCTTTATTCTTATCCCAGGACAAGTGTAGGACAACCTAGGCAAAAGAACCTAGTAGTCTCAGACAGTTATAGCATAACAAGACAGAGGATAACCCAAGGCATGAAGCAAAGAAAGCCGGGGCTTGACAAGGCAGATAACAGAAACAGAGAGAGCACAGGCATCATATCATGTCAATCAATCGTGCTTGCTGTGAAAAGGAGATCAAAGGGAAACTATCCCGATCAATGGAATTCACTGGGAAAAAGAACCTTGAATAAGTAGGAAACATTCCTATTCCAACAAGTCGAGAAAAAGAAAAAAAAAAAAAGCAAATCCCTAGAACTAATTCGCCCAGTGGAAAAGCTGAACATGCTCATAATTGGAAGAAAGTCACACAACACAACGTGAATGGTCCATTTGGGCTGGTATGGGTATGATGGATGCCCGGAATCAGATGCAACAAACAGTTAAACAAAGGCATCCGTCACCTCGTACAAAAATTCAACAAAAACCAAACCAAACAACTCATTCATCGCGACCACGCTCATCATCCATGATAACTAGTGGGAATTTTGCATATCATGTGTAAAAAGACAAAAAGAACTCCGTCTGCTAATCCTGTTAGACAAGATGAGAAAAAAGAACGCTAATCAAGCCCCCAGAAAAAAAAACAATACACCATGGTTAATGAAAACTGGACCCAGAGGACGAGCCGATGCAAAGCGGAAGTCATGGAGATATGTCTGTATCAGAATAAGAAAGAGAAAAGCCCGGGCTCTATCCAGGGACACCCATGGCACCAGGGCTAGGCCGCGGTCGGTATGGGAGACTCTGGACTTGAGGATCATTTTGCTGGCTGCCATTGCTGACACTTCGGTCACGGTAGTTAGCTGGTGCTGGTCCAAAATCCAGGCCGGCTTGAGGACCTTGGCTGCCAGAATGTGAGTGGCCACTCGGGCCGGGGACATGGCGGACCGAGCTCTGCATCTGCCAGGCAGTGTCCTGGGACGGATCAGTTTCGATGCGCGCCGAGGTCGGCGTGTTGTTGCCTCGATTGGAATTGTTGATGGTAAACGTCTCGCCGCCGTTATCGGGTCTCTGCGAGAAGCTGCCACGGGCAATGTCGCCATACCGCTTCAGAATTTCTTTCGTTGTCACTTCGGCATTCTCTTTGAAGAGGCTGGGATCGCTAAGGATGGATTGGAGATCCTCAGGGATCTATGGAAACAAGCGTCAGCATCGAGTTCGTTGAAAATAAATACGGTACTACTTACCTCGCACATGGTGTCGTTATAGGTGATCAGAGCGTTGACGGCTTCAATAGACAAGAAGCTCTCCTCAACAGTGCTATTCTTAGCATTCGGGTAGAGAATATTGGGTGTCATGACGGTTGCAAGATTGTGAATGTCCATCTTGCTTCCAGACTCCTCGTCCACGTGGGAGAACGAAGAGGTCCAATTCAAGAAGGCAAAGAGAACCTCCAGGGTGTCCCGGTGAGGTTTGGGCAAAAGACAACAGGCCAGGTGGAGCACCCGCTTTTGTTTTTCGGGGTCGGAGAGCTTTTGAGATGTAACGAAGAGGCGGTGGAGCTTAAAGGTCATGAGGGGATCGGGCATCTCACGGAGGAACTTCTTCAGCAGAGCGGCAATTTGCACTGGGTTTTCCTTCGCCAAATCGACTTGATCATACTTCGTGTCGATCATTTCTGCGATCTCCTTCAATCGTCGAATGTTGCCGTTCTTCCGGAAGACACCTTCCACTGACATGTCCATCTGGCGCATGGCGGAAACCGAATCATCCACCAACGCGGGGACACGCAGAGCACCAGGGCCAACGCCATGGCTGGACTCCGTGCCTTCCTTCTCGACCAGATAATCCAAGGCGACTCCAAAGACACCCTTCTTCTTGCCAGCTTTCTTGTTGTCCTTGAAAGCACGGCCAAAGATGTTCCAGATGGTCGGCTTGCGCGACTCGATGAGAGACAGCAGTTCCTCCAAATTGAAATGACCTTCCAGCAAAGGTTCCATCGACAGTACAGCGACGTGGCGAACAATGAAATACTCCAATGCAGTGAGTTCCGAGAAGTACCGCTTGGTACGACCAGTGGGCTCCATGATCATGTCCAGATTGCCCCCTGACATTTCTCGTTGGTGGCCGCGGTTGTATTTCGCCATCGGCTCTCCGGCCCCAATAAGCTTGGTGCCAGCATGCTTGTAGGCATTGGGCCGTTGCTCCTTGGCTTGCTCGGCCGCAACAATCCGCGGGATGTCATCGAGCGTTAAAGCGTCTTGGTTGCCGAAGGTCAGATCTGTCACGGTCTCTCCATTGGCGTCTCTCTCTTCAACAATTTGGAATCCAGGACCCCGTGGATCGCTGCCGTCTGCGCCAGACGATCCGGGTCGTGCGCTCCGGCCTTCGGGGCCATCGATGATGCGGGATGCACGGGCCCTCTTGTATGTGGTGGACAGGGTCCGTTCATTGCGAATTGAGCGAAGGCGGCGCATTTCGCCCACTGTCTGTTCCAGAGACGACTCCTCTTGGCCATCCCGGCTAGTACTGTACGAATGGGAGCGCGTGTTTGACCGGCGGTTCTTGCTGGGTTGAACTCGATGTCCTTCTGTGCTCTCATAGTCCTGGAGATTGGGGTCGTCCGATGTGTGAGGCAGTGTTCCTCCCGCCCGAAGCACAGCAAGAAGTCGGGCGAGTGCCACCTTAAGGAGGAAGACGAACTGCTGCAGTTTGGTCACACGCACGAAGCCTCCTTGGACACTGGGACCCAGATTGGCATGGCTCGCACATGCATTGCAATACACACGTTGCTCGCTTTCATTCCACAATGCGTCTGACAGCTCAATCGTCAGGTCCTTTTCACAGCCCGAGCATGCCAAATGGGCCGGCCTGAGGTGCCATCGGCGCTCTCCCCACATGACGCACTCGTCGTCAATCGGTTCTTTGCAGGCGATGCAGCAGTCCGAGAGCTGATCAGCCAAACCCTCAACCCCAGCCATCAGGTCGATGGGGGCCTCTTCATCCTCTGGTAGAGTGAGCGAGTCGAGATTTGAAAGCTGTGTCAGAAATTGGTGAAGTCCATCAGGCGCAGACTTCTCCCGTTCAAGTTTGAGAGCGCCCTGCAACCCGATGCGGATGAGGAGCTTCAGGTAGTGAGCGAGCCCGGTCACCAGCGACAGAAGTTCTTGAGTGACGCCCAGCTTGCGCACGCCGGTCTCTTGAGTTTTCGACAGAAGAGCAAAGAACGCTACAATCTTCTTGCAAAGGAGTTTGGACTCGCGGCCATAAGCCAAGTCCTTCAATCCCTCGGCATTGATGAATGCGGCCAATTTGTCGACTGCCGTGAAAAGAATATCGACATGGCTAATAAAGCGCTTGGCCACAAGAACACCATCAATGTAGGCACCATTGCTGACATGCAACAGCATGTCCGAGATGCACGCGGCCGATGACTCTTCAAAGGTGGAGAGAGTACTCCAGATACTGTAAACCTTCTCTTCCATCTGATCTTCTTCTCGTCGAATTCGCTCCCGCTCTTCAGTACTGGCATCCGCATCCACTGGAGGCGGCTCCCAGGTTTGACCGGCTGGTGATAGCCGGACATTCCAAAACTTGTGGATCATGTAACATTCAGGGTGCCAGTGCTGATTCTGGCCATTGCGGAAGATCTCGACAAACTGCTTCAGGATGGCTGTGTGACAGCCATGACACCGCTGGGCGAATTGAGTAGAGTAATGGAAGTGACAGAACACCTTCCCTTCGTGCTCATAATAGGAATCCTGAGCGCCGAACACGGTGGGACATGCTGAGCAGGTGAAATGCTCGATGTGATACTTGCGGTCTAGAGCGGTGATGTATGATCCACGCAAGGCGCCGCCACATTCATGGCAGAGGAGATTCAAGCGTCTGAAGTAATCGGTCTCGCAAAGCGGGTACTGGCCATTTCCGTCTTCTGAATCAACGGGAAAGAATTTTGAAGCAACGATTTCTCCACAGTCCTAATTGTGGGCAGCGCTGTTAGCATCATGACAATGGAATGCAATACTCTGACTTACCTCGCATCTGAAACACTCCAAATGAAACGTGCCACCCAGAGCTCGCACGAACTGGCCTGTTAGTGGGTTTCCGCACTTCAGACACGCGCGTGAGCTACCAGGCGACTTGTTAGGTGGACGTCCATTGGGCCGTGATCGGTCTCTAGCATTCGATCGTTCACGGTATGAAGGCTGATCAGGTTCCAGCCCACGACTTGTACGGCCATCCCCTTGGGTGGGTGGCCCATTATGCGGGGCGCTTTGCGTTGTTGGAGAATCAAACGGGGGGATAATGCTGTCTTCAGGCGAGGTCGGAGTGTTCTGGTAACTGCCCCCATAGCCGGATGTGTTCACTGTGGGCCGGCCGCTGGGATTGCCTGCGACCAGGCTAGCCGGGAGTTCACCTGGGGGCATATTGATCCCCCGTCACACAAAATGGGATCAGATTGTTGGGGGAGTGAATGGCCGCGCCGAAAGTTGCATACAAAGGCCACGTCGAGGACAGGCGACACGAGGGAAGGCTCGCGTTTGAGTAAGAAGTAAACACGAGTGTAGGTTTGCTTGCAAGGCCGAGTCGAACAGATGAAGTGCTACTTTAGTTTCAACAAGTTAGAATTAGAACGCCACATGTCCATCGGATGATGGAGCGGGGGACCTTCGAGTCCTTTCGGAAGGGTGGTTGCGTTGTGCACTCACTCTCACGCCATAAAGCCAAGACACGCGGGGGTGAAAACAGCGGTCGCGATCAGAGCAAACAATGAAGGGCAGTGACAGACACACTCAGAGGACCCAAGCCAGGCGTGACATAGACGGGCCGGTGTTCAAGCGCGTACACAACTCGACGCGGGGGTGTTTGAGCGGAGAGCTTTGACGAGGGAGACTGCAACAACACCATTCCTGAACTGGTGGGTTATTTTTGGGCAAAGGACAGCGCACTACAATCTGTAATGCGGGGACCCGAGAAGAAACAAAGAAAGGAAGGAAGAAAGGAAGGGCGGATGGCAGGGGGTGGGTAAAAAAGAAGTGGGCTGGGCTGGGAGGAGGAGGAATGGAGATGTGAGTGAGTGGCAGTCGTAGCATTTGTTGCCCCCCTAATTTGGGTTGGCGGTTGCTGAGTCACGTGGAGACTCTCACCGCCTTCTGGGAATGAATGAGTGACCAAGAGGGATTGAGAGGATTGAGTGAGTAGTAGCGCCGTATCGAATAATATGATTATCGGATGATTGCTACTCTCGTATCCGTACCGATTGGCCGGGACTGTGCCGTGCCTGAGTGCCTGGAATAGCCCTTTGTGGTTCCCACAGAATTACACTTCCATCTCCCATGGATCGAGCCGCTTTTGATAGCATCCTCAGTTGCACATCATCGATGATGCATAGATGCCCTAGCGTAGAAGGATGTTAGTCTTAGGAGAAAACCGGCTGTTCAATCCATATGGGGTTAGTTTTATCAATCGAGGGATTGTGGAAGGATCATTGGGGTTTGGCAGATATAGACTGCGGATGCAAACGCTGCATTGCTGGATTTGAGGACAGCCTAAGGAGACAGGGCAGACAGGTGTGGTAGGTATAACTCATGAAACACGGAAGACACTATTAAGAAGAGCAGATAAAAACTCACTGATGCCTAGGAGAACCTCCCTAGGCATCCTGCTCAGTCGGCAACAAGCAGAGGGAAGAGGGAACTCTCCTTCCTCTTCTGAGTCCAGCACTTCTTCTTCCCAATTCACCTGCCCGGCTTTGTCCCTCCCCCAAACTCCCTTCTTTCTCTTCTGCCATCATCCCCTTCCTCTCCACTTCCCCTCAACACTGATCCTGTTGACCACCCATTTTCGAAGAGCCTTTTCTGTCTCCCTAGACGAGAGGCTGCCATCATGGCCAGCCAGTGCAACCTGCGCTTGAGTCGCGTAAGTGCCCATCTGTTTATCTATCCCTCAAACCTGCCAGTCTTTACTCAACCATCTTATCGAACAGGAGCTACAGCAGCTGGAGAAAGGCGACCAGCTCAGTATGTTCCCCAGACTCTGGTTTCGCCGGTCAGCAAATAATATTGGGTACTTTGGATAGCGATGACTGTTCGATATGATGAAAAGGATGTCCGCAAGATATCGGCTATTGTGATGGGGCCCCCAGGCACACCGTACCAGCTGGGCTTTTACGAGGTGAGTTCCGGCGATCGCTTGGATAGTCCAAATAAACACTAAAGCATGCCGCGAATTATACAGTTTTCCTTCAAGTTTCCTCCGGGTCGGACGGTCTTCTCTTAGTGAAGATGATACCACCGCTGACATCGAAAGTAGACTACCCCGGCAGCCCCCCCGGGGTCATGTTCATGACGACCAACAGAGGCAGGACTCGTTTCGGCCCTAACCTTTATGCGGGCGGGAAAGTCTGCTTGTAAGTTCCCAGCAAAGGCCAGCCGGATGGATTGGTCATGCTGATATGCGTTGGCGTAGGTCCATCATCGGGTAAGGTCTACTGAGCACCTAGGACCAAGTCGTTACTAAAACCCACTGTTAGAACGTGGGAAGGCCAAAAGGGAGAGCAATGGTCCCCAGCCCAGGGGTTGGAGTCCGTGCTGCTATCCATCCAGAGTCTTTTATCGACAAATCCGTACGTGAACGAGCCAGGATTCGAATTGGCCGTGCACAGTCACGACAAGGAGAACATGGAAATCTACTGCGCAAAGGTAGATCCACGTATCACGGTGCATTGGATGGATGTGAAGACTTACTATTCGGGTTCCAGATCCGCCATGAAAACCTGCGACTCGCTGTCATTCAGCCACTCGAACGAGCCCTGAACATCAGCATAACGGACCGTGACCCCGAACCTCTGTCGATGCTGCAACAATTCGCGGTGCCCAACCCGGTGATTGATGACCCAAAGGAAGGAAAGAACAAGCTGGTCGATACCACTCAGATCTGCCCATTTGATGACTATCGCAAGCAGCGATTCCTGTGGTACGTGGATCGATACATGAATCTGGTGGACGAGGCGATCACGAAAGATGGAGGCCGACACAAAACCCGCTTCCCACTGATGCCATTCGAAGGCGGCGGCAACTGCATGTCAGGCACCTGGGATTATCCGCAGTTGAAGCAGCGCCTGCACAGGATTTGGCACAGGCTCACGCAGGAGACTGAGAGCTGGGCGATCCAGGGGTTGGAAGCGTGGAAGACTGCGGACACGACCGCATACAGCATCAAGTACCAGTATGAGCAGATCGTGTCCAACTTGAAGCACCGTTCGGACGCTGTTCTCGATTTGTCTTTGGTGGATGGGAATCCCTTCATATGGAAGCTCACGTACTTCGGGCGGCCAATGACGAATCTGGATGGCGGAATTTTCAACATCAAAATTCGAATAAGCCCCCGACATCCTCAGGAGCAGCCGCGGGTGATGGTCGACACTCCGATCCATCATATCCGGGTATCACCGAGGGGAGTCCTGATCTACCTCCCGGCACGTGCAGACGAGATGAGCCGACATGTCGAGGGCATCATCAACGCATTCGAGAACGAAGGTCCCGCCTACAACCCGCTCATGATTGTGAATCCGGAAGCGGACAGCCTGTTCTGGGGTGGAACGGAGGCGCGCAAGCTATACAACCGCAAGCTTCGTCGCACGGTTGAAGCGAGCGTGGTGGAGTGATTTCTTTCGATGGTCCTTACGGATTTCTCCCAGCAGACTGTGGCTGTTAGTACACAAGGAAACGGACCGCAATTGCTGGTCGCATATTTGAAGCTTGTTGAGCGAGGGACATTGATGGCTCTGGACACTTGTAAGTATCGCAGGAACTTTGCAAGATAGTTGCTTTTCCAAGGACAAGAAAAGGACATCTGGAGTCTAGACGGTAGACCGTACATTGATTGCTTATCGGGTCACCTGATCCCGCCTCCGGTCTTCAGGCCTCTTCCCCTATTCGTCTCCCTCCCCAATTGCAATTGCGCTTCCCAGACCATCACAATCAACGCAATCATGTCCGCGAAGAAGCGCACCCTGGAATTGGGGAATGTGATGGTGGTCGGAGGCTGTGGCTTCCTGGGGTGGCACATCGTCGATCACCTGCTGAACTTCCCCTCGGAGACCGACCCCAGCGTTGCTCTGCCCAAGCCCCAGGGCGATGCGCGCTTCGACTACCCGACTCTGGCCTCGCGTTACCCGGAATACAAGGCCAAAGTCTCAGTAGTGGACCTACGCACAAACAACAACCGTCTCCCCGGAGCCGAGTACTACGAAGGCGACATCACGTCGGCGGAGTCTATGTTGAAGGTATTCCGTGCCGTCCAGCCCGACCTGGTCATCCACACCGCTTCGCCGTCACCCATCGAGGCAAGCAATGAACTGCTACGCAAAGTCAATGTGGACGGAACGCGAACGTTGCTGGAGGTGGCCGGTGGTGAGCGCGGCGACTGGGGTGGAAAGTGCAAGGCATTCGTCTACACGAGCTCCAGCTCGGTGGTGCACGACACGGAGAGCAACCTGGTCAACGTTGACGAGAGCTGGCCCTTAATGCGCGGCAAGCTTCAGAAGGAGTACTACTCCGAAACCAAGGTGAGACTTTTCGTTCGTGAAATGCATTGGAGCCCGCCACTGACAACTCTGTATCTAGGCCGACGCCGAAGAATTGGTCCTCAAGTACAACCGCAAGTCGCCCTCTGGAATGGTGACCGCTGCGATCCGGCCCGCCGGCATCTTCGGAGAGAAGGACACAACGCTCACACACAAGATGGTGGAGCATGGGACCCAGGCGTCGTCGACAGTGCTGAAGATGCAGCTGGGCGAGAACAACAACCTCTTCGACTTCACCTACGTCGGCAACATTGCCTACGCGCACATGCTCGCCGGGAGCCGGTTGCTGGCGACTTTCGCGCGCTACGAGGCCGGCCAGGGCGGGCCCCTGGACCACGAACGCGTTGACGGCGAAGCGTTCAACATCACCAACGATTCGCCGGTCTACTTCTGGGATATGGGCCGGGCTATTTGGGCCTTGGTCGGCCGGGTGGTCGAGCCTGACCAGGTCTGGGCGTTGCCCGAGGGTCTTCTGGGCACTATTGGCGGCATTGCGGAGACTGTTCTCGGTATTTTTGGAAAGACGCCGCGTTTGACCCGTCGCCAAGTGCGGTACTCGTGCATGACTCGCTACTTCTCCATCGAAAAGGCCAAATACCGTCTGGCGTACCTGCCTGTCGTCACTGTGGACGAGGGCGTAGCTCGTGCCGTTGGATACGTTATTGAAGGGCGACAGACCGCGGCCGGCAAGAAGGCACTGTAATGGGGAGTATGAAAATGCCTAGATATACTGTAATATTATGCGAGGCAATTTGATTCTGTAAATGGTGTGATTGATGCAGCGAGTAAAGCTTCTGGAAAATAAAATTAAAAGAATTACTCGAAACCAAGGAGTTGTCTTGATTGACTACAAAATGGTGGCTACTGATCGGATCGTACTGGGCGCAATACGTCATGGGAATATCTGTTCTCGATGACCACCAGATCAACCCCACAGATCTGGCAAGGTATCAGCTTAAAAGTAGCCTTCGTTCCAATTTATAACCGAGCAGGAGCTAAAATATTACGCAAATATCCAACTAAGCCCTACAATGCGAGCAATTGCAATCCGCAACGGCAAAGGCAGCGCCGATGCCTTATACCTCGAAGATAATATGCCCGATCCCGTCCCATCCGGTGATCAGATCCTAGTATGCATCCGGGCATTTGGATTGAATCGCTTGGACACGATGCAGCGGGAAGATCGAGATCCGTACACCAGCCTTGACAAGGGGAGTATCCTTGGAGTGGAATTTAGTGGAATTGTTGAGAGGAAGGGACCCGATTGTATGATTTTGAGGTTTACAGTAAGATATAAATGTATCCTGACATGATGATATTTAGGCACAGAGCGGTTCAGCGTTGAGGATGCTGTGCTAGGATTAGTTCCTGGGGGAGCAGTATGGACTATACTTCAACATATGTTTTTGATGACGCTGACGGGTCTCTTACGGATCAAGTATGCCGAGAAAGTGGCAGTATCAGAGAAAATACTCATGCCTAAGCCGCCATCGGTTTCTTTTGAAGCAGCAGCTGGTATACCAGAGGCGGGTGGCCACGTCCATTCCCGCATAAGGTTCTTTGACTAACTAACCCTCTGTGAACAGACCTACCTAACCGCCTTCCAAGCTCTGTCTCTAGTTGGAGGAATTGAAACAGGCCAGAAAGTCCTCGTTCACCTCGGCTCCTCCGGAATCGGACAAGCAGCCATACAAACCGCCAAACTACTCGGAGCATCAAAGGTATACGTGACAGCAAACTCCACTGAGAAGTGTCAGCGCTGCGTCTCATTAGGTGCAGACATGGCTATCAACGACAGAGACCCGACCAAGGACTTTGCGGCGGTTATCCATGAAGACACAAATGGTTACGGCGTGGATCTGATCATTGATCTCGTGGGACAGAGATACTGGCACCAAAATGTGACAGCAGCAGCCCTCGATGCAAAGATAGTGATCGTGGCCATGATGAGCGGAGGCGAGGTGGAGAGGTTTGATTTGCGGGCATTTCTCAAGAAGAGAATGCAACTCCTATGCACGACATTGCGTCTGCGTGATCTCGAGTATAAGGCACAGCTGCGGGATCAGTTTGTTGAGAAGGTGCTGCCATATTTCGAGTCGGGGGATGTGAAAGTGCTCGTGGACCAGGTGCTGTCGTGGAATCAGGTGGATGAGGGACACCGTCGCATGGAGTCCAATGTTAGTGCTGGGAAGATCATCTGTGTTGTAGATTGATATGTCGGGGGCAATGTGTCCATTGAGGACATAGAACATCTTGACAGAAGCACATTGTCGTTCTGGTATTGTTTATACTGCCGCTTGGCCTCGAAGAGCGGCTCCTTCCTCTCCGCTATTTTGTGTTTGGCTGCGCTTGGGATCTCCTGATAATTCCTTGCTTGGAATAAAGTAGCAGCCCAGGAGACAGAGTCCTACAATTGGAACTAGCGTGATGAATACGGCGCGTATACCTTTCATCTTCGCGTTCAAAACGCCCGAGTCCCATTGCTCTCTGCCAGGCTGACCACGCTCCCAGCTGCCATTGATGACCTCTGAGCGGATGTAATGAGGGAGATCATTGGGAAGGGCAGATTTCATGACGGCAAACTGGATGGCGGTTGATAGGGCCATGCCCACCACTGATCCCAGCATTCGCATCAGATTCCGTGTGGAAGTGGCGACGGCTCGATCTTCGGTCTTGGATAGGGCTTGTAGGGCAACAAGAGCTGTATTTGAGTCAGTATGAGGTGTTGGATAGATGGATCGGGAGTCTCACCAGGTTGAAGGACGAAGCCAATACCCGTCCCTTCAATGATCAAGACAATCACGTATACGCTCACAGGAGTCGTGCGAGAGAAAATGACCTTCAATCCGGCACCCAATGTCCAAAGTGCCATTCCGGCATTCAGCACGGGTGCGTACCTGTGAAACGCGAATGAGAAATGCTCTACAAAGCTTCCATTGGATAGATATACCGAGCCAGTTTCGTCATGACGGGACCTGAAATCACCCCGGCCACACTTTGCAGCAGCAAAAGTGGGAGGATGAGAGTCGCACTCTTGAGTGGGCTGTATCCACGGACATCCTGGAAATAGATCGGGAGGAAGTACATGTCGATTTGCCAGACAGAGTTGTAAAGAGCACTCTGGAGGTAGATTACCGCGGTAGGTGCCTGGCCGAAGAGACGCAATGGGATCATCGGGATCTTTGCGAACCGCTTCTCAACAATGGCAAAAAGCATGAAGAACACGCCTCCCACGACCAACATGGAGATGACGAGCGCGCTGTGCCATGGCCAGATACTGCCTCCGGAATTGATAGGAATCTATAGCACCGGGTGAGATGTCGAGTTCTGCACAAGTGGTGAACATGCATACCAGGATAAAGATTATTCCTGCAACGGCTGCAGCCAGTCCAAACCAATCAATCTTGCCCAGCTTCTCCTTCCAGCTGCCCGCGACTGGCTTCAATGGGAGACACATCCACATAACCACCAGACACAATGCTGCAAGGATGGGTGGAATCCAAAAGATCCACCGCCAGCCCTCGCGCTCACCAGTACCCAACATCGCAGCCGCGATGAAGGGACCAGTACCGGCTCCAAGCCCGATGGCCCCGCTCAACATGCCCTGATACTTGCCGCGATCTTTCAGGCTAACCAAATCACTAACGGTAATCTGCACCAGAGAACTGATACCGCCTCCACCAACACCACTGAGGGCACGACATATGTAGAGCCAGGTTACGTTCTGCGCAAACCCACATAGCAGGTCGCCGAGGATGAGGAAGCCAACAGATAGCAAGAGAACGGGCTTGCGACCGAAGATGTCAGACAAACGCCCGTATAGTGCTTGGAAAGCAGTTTGCCCCATTAGATAGGCAGTACCTGTCCAGGTGATGCTATTGCCGGCGTCCAGCGACCGCGATATAGCGGGCAGGGCAGTCGCCACGGAATTGATGTCGAGCGTTGAGATGAAGTATATAGCTGCTAAACATAGATATGCAGACATTAGGCGCCGGAATGGCAGACGAGAGGACTGATCCTCGATTCCTGGAGTTGTGTGTTCATTGCTGGGCACTGGAGGGGGAGCGGTCGGGTTCACCTGGTGTAGTCCATGCGACTGCTCTGTTTGACTGCTGAAGTCTTTTGGATTGCAGGGCGCACCCAACTGTGGAAATTGCAGAAGCTCTATTGCGCTACTCATGGCGAAAAATCCATGTGTATCTCGCGGGGAGAGGAGTTGGAAGAGGGAAGTAATGGGAATATCCGACAACGGAGAACGATGCGGGGATAAGCACGCGATGTCCAGGATTAGTGGTGAGTCAGAGACGATATCATAGTTCAATCTACAGATTGATTTATCCAGCCTCATTTGGTCTCGGATATTCCTAGAGTACTGCTGCACCCAATTAGCTCCCCTTCGGCTCCTGTTTCGGTCTGTTGCGCACCAGTGAGAATCTGCCGGCTCAGCGTTAAAGATCACCGCGAACTCCCCGAGGGAACTGTGTGTCCGGATAGGTCTTGTAGACTAGCATAAATTGTGCGTAATCCACTTTGATTCGCAGTCGGGTTCAGTAACTATCGCATTAGCTTCTCGATCAGGAAACAATATCTGGCAACATGCAATGTAAGCCCTTTGACTTGCTAATTGCAACAAACTACATATCCAACCCCACGATTCGAGAGTAGATATTACCTCATTCATAGCCGCCCGACTTGGGAGCAAACGAAGAACGATGACTCCGAATATTCACGTAGTTTGTATGATCTTAAAGCTATTCTCCTTTGGATACCCATTCCTCAAACGACTTCTCAGCCCCAGCCATCGTGTTAAATGCCATCAGTCGTTTCAAGTATGCGAGATTCCCCCAACCCCACTCGAACTTACTCTCCGGATCATCCCAATCCACGGATGTAAAGGCCTTGTCTCGCGCGTCCGCTTCGGGGCCATCCTCTAAATGGTAAAGAATTTGGTTCTCAACAGCACCTTCGACGCTAACCGTCGTGCTAGCTTTCCGCAAGGATTCATATAGATGTAATACATCTGGAATCTTTGATCGATAGTTCAAACCATCTTGTTTTGGGTATTCTCTCGACAGTTTGCCTAAAAATATGCCCAAGGCCACCCCGTCTTCAACAGCCATTGCAGCGCCCTGAGCTTGATATGGAAGCGAAGGATGACAAGCATCCCCGAGAAGTGCAACCGATTTCTATCTGCAACATTAGCAGGTATATCTGAAGGGTGGTATATAGTCCAGTCTTACTTTACACCATGTATCCAATTCCTTCATATGACAGATCTTCCATTTGAGGACATTGTCCACTTGTGCAATCAGAGCTGTCAACCTACCGTGCATGGTTAGAAGATAAGCAATCGTTAGGAAGCGGGTTGGATCATGCTGCGCACCTTGGATCCCATCCTTTAAAGAGGTTTCGCATTTCATGAACATTTCCAGCGGAAGTAGCAACTCCAGCGGGCAAGTCGTCAGGACACCTACATAATATCTTATTAGCTTTTGTTTCTCAAACGGAAAAGTGAAGAGCAGCGTACAAAAGAACCAGGTTAAATGCGGCACCATTGCGCACTGGATATAGAACGGCATGCTGACGTGGTCCGACCCACGCTCTCAGAGACGGTTCTTGCAAGAATGGCTCATTGAGTGCTTCCACAAGCTCTTTGGGAATCGTGGCTCGGTATGCTAGGTCTCCAGTTTCAACAGGTTCCATGTGATATCCGAGGATTTCGTCGCGAACGACGGATCGTAGCCCTAAGATAATATTAGTAGATATTCTCCAGCTGACACTCGTATAATAGCAAGTACCATCTGCGCCAATAATAACATCTGCATGGATTCTTTCCTGGGTCATCAATTGAACCGATATGTCATTGAAATCCACCGAAACAACCTCTGAATTCAAGCGAATATTCGCCCCGAGCCTCTGAGCTTCCTTGACTAACACTTTATGGTAGTCGGCGCGGTGAATGACGCTTAATCCGAGAGTTAATAAAAGACTCTGTCGATAAACGACAAGTAGCAATTACATACTACCAAATCTGGCCGAAGTGGCGCTTCATCCAGGCGACCCCCGGCCGTACGGCCACCGGAGAACTGTCGGTATATTTGAGAAGGCAATGTTGGGAGATATTGATAGCACCAGCATCGACCAGCTGGGGAACCAAGCCAAAGTGATCCATTACCCGTACCGCGTTGGGTGGCAGTTGAATCCCAGCCCCAATCTGCAACCTTGTTAATATGCGTAAAGATAGGAAGGGGATCAAGGGACGTTGCTTGACGGACCTCGCCGAGCTCAGCGGCTTTTTCCAGAATTGTCACTCTCAAACCCTGTCGTAGACATTCGATCGCGCATGAGAGACCCCCTGTGCGCATCCATCAACATTTAATCCTAATTCTTATTTATTGAAATCTCTACTGGAGTTACTCACCAAGTCCACATCCGACGATCATCACTTCCAGAGGATGGTAAGTGCTACCGGTCTTATCAGGGTTCAGCTGTCTGCGAATCACAAAAGTGCAGGTTTCTATTTACCTGTTGGTCGGTAGATGGCATGGTTCCCAGTAAGTCCCTGCGTGCTTTTGCCGAAGTGAAGCTGTATTAGAAATTTTTTCATACGAGAAAATAGCAAAGTGTCGAGAGGATCAAAAGAGCAACCCGCCGATCTCCCCGCTTTCACACGGATCGAGCCTAAGTAAGGATTAGTTTAGGACCCCCACCGACTCCTCCAATCTAGGGGCCGTCGTGGCTTCGGTTCCAGCCGCGCGCAAACCTCTGGCCCCAGTCCTCTGTTCATCTTCGAATGAGGCCGCCGCCCCCGCCTATGGAGGCACGCTACACTTCATGCGACGCCCGATACTAGCGCAGGATGCATCGAAACGAGGCCGCGTCCAGTCGGTCGTTTTTAGTGATCGCCTCCACTATATCCCTGCATTATTTTGACCTCGGACTTTTGAATTTCAATACTGGTTTCCTACTCCGCACTTCAAAACTAGACTTACACTCTTATCCGCCTTGATGACCCTTGACCTCACTTCAACACCGAGAAAAATATCACAATGCCCGAGAAGCAGGCCTCAGAAAGCGGCGAGGATGCCAGCTTGAGATATGCCTCATCAGAAGTGGTGCTAATTCCTCAGCCGACCGATGATCCAGCCGATCCGCTCAATTGGCCAATGTCGAAAAAGGTCTTTAACTTGGGCCTAATATCGTTCGCTGCGCTCATTGGAGTTGCACAGGCCCTGGCAAATCAATCTGGGTTCTTTGTGCAGGCTGCACTTTACCAAAAGAGCGCGACACAATTGACCTACTCGGTAAATGTTTTCGAGTATCCTTCCATGAGATCAAGCCCTTAATCGATTGTCAGGTATCTGCAGCGATTGCTGGCCTGGCATCAGGTCCATTTATGTGGTCCATACTCGCGCAACGAATTGGTCGCAGCTCCTGTATCTTTTTGGGGTTGCTCTTGACAATGGCTTGCGGAATCTGGTCTGCTGAGATGACCGATCCCGACCAGTATATCGCATTTGTGATATCCAGATGGCTTGGTGGTACTTTTGGGTCTGTAGCTTGCACAATCGGAGCAGGAATGGTGCTGGATATGTTTTACCTTCACCAACGTGGCAAGGCCTTTGCATGTTACGCGCTGTGTACGCTTTTTGGGACTCAACTTGGACCGACTTTGAGTGGGTTCATCATCGCGAGAACAACCTGGCCTGTCCAATTCTGGTGGACCGTCGGCTTAGAAGGGGCAATGGCCGTTTTGGTCTTTCTCTTCCTAGAGGAGACAGGCTTTTCCCGTGATGGAAAGGTATACCCGAGCCGTCCTGAGCCTTGGTTCCAAAACCGAATCGCCACGTTCTTTCCCGGCACTGCTGTGGTACCGCACAGCAAGGAGCATGGGCGGCGGTCCTCACTAGACTTGCTACTGGTGGCACTTTGCCCTGTCACGCTAATCGCTGGCTTATTCCTCTTCATAGCCTTTGGCTGGGCCGTGGCGGTAACGACGCTGCTCTCTGTGTTCTTGGAGGGCCCTGTCACAACAGGCGGATATGGCTTCTCCGGTATCCAAATGTCATGCTTCTACTTTGTGCAATGGGTCTCAATCGCCGTGGCTGAGATTTATGGGATATTTTTGAATGATCGCATTCCGCTCTGGTACACACGTCGATATCACAAGGGAGTATGGAAGCCAGAGCACAGACTATATCCCCTCCTGGTCCTTCCAGCACTGCTTCTCCCGATCGGACTGGGTTTGTTTGGCGCTGGTTTGCAGTACCACCTTCACTACATGGTCTTAGCATTGGGTCAATTCTTGCTGAACTTCAGCGAGATTGCGATTGTGCCAGTGATCTTCACCTATGTCGCGGAATGCTTCATCGATCATGGACCGGAGGTGGTGACAGTTTTGAATTGTTGGCGTTTAATTTTAGGCCTGACGGTTCCGTTTTTCATCACTGCATGGGAAGGACGAGTTGGCGCGGGATGGGTGTTTGGCATGATGGCATTCTTCAGCATTTTCGCCTTCTCGCTGACGGGATTATTGGCCTGGAGAGGTCCATCTATTCGGGGTTACTCGGTTGCTAGGCTGAGAAAGTCGGAGGATGGAACCCAAGTGATCGACCAACGATGAGGATAATACTATGGGGAGATTGTTCTGGATCAGCGGGTTACGTGTTCCTTGACACATCAAAGTACATCGTGTAGGCAATGCAGATCTTCTTTGACAGATGATTGATCTAGAAAATTAAATCGCCGGACCTATCCGATATGTATGTGCATAAGGAGATTTGGTGGAACATACGAAACAATAATCCTTCTTCATGTTGAACGACAGTCGCCTTGTTGCAATGCACAGCCCTTTGTGCGTTACATAGACCCACGCTTCCCCAAATTATGATCAGCCAAATTCGGCGGAGAGGTCTCAGGCTAGCGGAGTCGCAATCTGCGCGAACGGGATCATCCATGTCTAGCTCAGCTGCTAGGCGATTCCTGCGTATCTCGAGCTGTATCTGCGGTTGGTCTGGATCGGGATTGACCAACTGCATTGAGAGCTAGCAGAGCGGGGCCAGAGTTGAAGGATTCTTGGATTACTATGTTGCGATTCGGCGTTTGCTCCTGGGATCGGGCAACCGACCTGTGGGGCTCGTCTACATACTTCAATGGTTGAGCTTGCTGGGATGAAGGCAGCCACCCAACCGGCAGGGATGCAGAACAGGTGGATTTTTTCAGAAAACCGCACATGCTCATACTACGTACTTGAGCTGTGGTTGGGGGGCCGTTCTTATTTCATGGGTTCCAGGGCTAGACATTAATCCCGAAAGAAAACTTGAATAATAATTCGCAGTCTTTCAATTCCATCTTTTTAGTTGTTATTGCCCTTCATGACCCAGAGCCCGTCGCAGACTCTGTGGTCACCATGGCCTTCTCGGGCCAGCAGCCATTGATAGTTGGCGTATCCATTGCCATGCTCATAATTGCTACACTTTCAGAATTATTTCGCTTTCTCTCGCGCTATACCACGCACTCAGGCTTCTGGTGGGATGACTGGTGCAGTCTGGTGGCTATGGTAAGGCAGTATAATGCCCGTCATATGAGAAATTCTGACCAGATCTTGCTAGATATTGTCATATTCTCTCAATATCGTTCAGTTTGTCTGTGAGTGAGCTACCTACGACTATATATCTCGAGATTAACCCGCCATCGATTAAACAGGCGTAAAATGCAATCTGGGGAGACATACCAACCAGATCGAGAATCCAGAACGTTCAATAAAATGCTTTTTGTTGGTAAAGACGCCGATTGGAGATTCCACATTTTCTCGATGACTGCTAATACTACCACTCTTCATTTAAAGGCCCTCTACACGGTGACCCAATTTTACGCTTTGTGCATGCCAGCCATTAAACTGTCTATGGTGCTCTTCTATTGGAGACTATTTGAATCCAGTCGCAGAATGCGCAAAGCACTCATCTTCGCTGCATGCATGCTTATTGCTTGGACGATTGGTGCCCTTTTCAGTGGTCTCTTTCAATGCGATCCTATCGCCAGGGCATGGAATAAGGAATTGCCGGGCCATTGTATCAACTCGGTTGTTTACTTTCGAGCAATTGCCAGCACAAATCTCATAACCGACGTCTTTATCCTTGTCTTGCCTGTCCCTATTGTGTGGGGATTGAATCGACCCATGGGCGAGAGAGCTGCGCTTATTGGTATCTTCGGCTTGGGGACTTTGTATGTCTGCCCCTGACCAATACTCGAAACGCTAGCTGATCGTTTGACTGTGTTACAGCGTCTCTATAATCAGCATTGTACGAATAGTGCTGTTGACACCTCCAGACGACCCGGACCCGCTTTGTGAGTTGCACGCCCCTTCATGACAGGAATGTGCCCTGACGTGACAATATAGGGGACGGTACCCAAGGAACTGTTTGGACAGCCGTTGAAACTAGTATCGGCGTTGTCTGCGTGAATCTTCCAAGCATGGCACCGTTATTCCGTCGATATATCCTCCGCCACGACATCGTTACTTCTAGCCGGTCAGGGGGCTCATCCTACCCCCCTGCACGTAAACCTCGTTACGGGACTGGAAGCTCTTCGCGGTACCGGGGGTCACTCGACAGTATGAACCCATTAGGCACAGAGCAAGAGCTCCCTGATTCACAGCGAGAGATTTATGTGATTAGGGATTATAACGTCACTCGGGATACCAATGGACATGTCGAGCTAGACGAGATGGCAAGCCCGACGGTGAACCCTCCAGGCGAGACTATTGCTTGGCATGAAAGGGCGCCGACCCAGAAACTGAGCCAGGAGTTTGCTATATGGAGGCCTTGAAAGTAGATTTCTTCTATTTGTATAGCAGGCGGCTAATGTCTGAACTAGATGTGCATTTATTGAAAAATATGACTTTCATGATACCCTAAAGAAGTTACCGAGACAAAAGTTTATTGTGAAACTTAAAGTTGATTGTCTCTGAGATGATCAGGCTCCCTTGGCTGATGCAATCAATTCAAATTTGTAATGTGAAGTGCGGGGGCCTGCGTGACGTATACTCGTTCGGGCAATTGGTGCGCGGTTATAGTGGAGGCTTTATCATGTGCTGGAGCAAGTTTGTTGCACTTTGAATGCCCTCTGCAGTACTTAAGGTGGGTTGAAAGAACCGACTGCTGTCAAACACCATCTCAACTAATTGTGATTAATCGTTCAATAACACACAATATGGCGTCTATGAAAGAAGTGTTCGCCGGATACAACGCCCGAAAAGCCGACCTCGAAGCAAGCAATAATCCCTTTGCTAGGGGAGTTGCCTGGATAGAAGGAGAGCTTGTACCGCTACACGAAGCTCGCATCCCCCTGCTGGATCAAGGCTTCCTGCACAGCGACCTGACCTACGATGTCCCTGGCGTTTGGAATGGACGCTTCTTCCGGTTGGACGATCACATCGCCCGAATCGATTCCAGCTGCACAAAGCTGCGACTCAAATTACCGCTCCCACGGGAAGAGATAAAGAAGATCCTAGTCGACATGGTGTCCAAAAGCGGAATTCGCGATGCCTATGTCGAGCTGATTGTGACCCGAGGTCTACGGCATCTGCGCAGCGTTAGTAGCAATGACGAGCTGGTCAATAGTCTCTACATGTTTGTCCAGCCCTACGTCTGGGTCATGGAGCCTGAGATGCAGCTTGGGGGAGGAGGCAAGGCCATCGTAGCGCGTACCGTACGGCGCGTTCCACCTGGGTCCATGGATCCGACAATCAAGAATCTACAATGGGGGGATCTGACACGAGGACTGTTCGAAGCAGCTGACCGCGGTGCGACATACCCTTTCCTCACCGATGGAGACGCAAATCTCACGGAGGGTTCCGGATACAACATTGTCCTGGTCAAGAATGGCGTTATCTACACGCCAGACCGGGGTGTCCTGGAGGGTGTGACCCGCAAGACTGTCATGGAGGTGGCGCGGGCCAATGGAATCGAGGTTCGCATGGAGGTTGTGCCGGTTGAACTGGGATACCAATCTGATGAAATTTTCATGTGCACGACGGCCGGGGGGATCATGCCCATTACCTCGTTGGATGGTCAGCCGGTCAAGGATGGGGAGATTGGTCCCATAACCAAGAAGATCTGGGATGGATACTGGGCCATGCATTCTGATCCGGCCTACAGCTTTGAGGTTCAATACTAGAGCGCATAGGGACAATTGGCGAATGGATCGCAGTAGGGCATTCGTCGGTTTTCAAAGTGGTTGACTTGTATGAGAAGTGGGCGCCCGGGAATCTCATAGGTGGACTCGGTAGATGATTAGGTCTTGTTATGGGTGCAAATGAATGGGAGTCTATCCCTTTGTCTGTGTAGTGCAAATATTAAAAATAAAATGGTTGTCTATATACAACCCATTCAAATGGTCAGTTATGTACACATGATGGTAGACACATACAAAAATCCAGTTCATTCGTAGGCACGATTCTACTCATCTCGGGATATGCCAAGCCGCATTACGTGATTCCGTGATTTCGGTCCGAATGTCGCTGGGCATCGAAAAGGCGCGGTGGTGAGATCAGGGTTCATGTCGCTATGGTGATGTGATTGCGAGGACGGGTTTTCGGGATTAGGGTTTGTTGGATATCGAAACAGGGAAGGCTCCGAGATTTCGTAAAGGGACTGGCGCATAGGTGTAGACAGGGCGAATAGGCGAAGTATTGGGCCAGGGCTTGTTTGTGAGTTGGGGAGGGCACACAATCATCGTTCGGAATTGGAGACGGGTCGCTATGGGGATCATGGGCTTTTTCTTGGAAGGCAAAAGAGAGTCGCAATCGGGGCAATCCTGGCGGAAATAGTCGGAAGCTTATACGGAGACACCTTTGTCAGTCTTCTCAGCGACGATCTGTTCGCTTTCCGAGAGATCATCTGCCACAGCCTCGGTAACGGGTCCAGTGTAGACCTTGCGACCGCGGATAACCCAGTAAAACAAGGCAGCAAACAGAACAGCCATCAGGAATACACAGGCGTAGTTCATCTGATGCTTGTCAGCGGATACAGAATGATATCAAGAAAAGGGATAAAACATACGGTGCTGGCAGACACAGGACGTCCAGTGGGGAGGACGAAGATGATGCTGACGAACAACGTCCAGAGACAGGCCCAGACATTGACGAACACACTAAGGGTACCCATGTGCCACGGGCCGGGCTCGAATTTGCTGAACAATAGCTTGCACAGAACGGGGATACAGTAACTCCAGTCCAGGGCAATGGAGCAGACCGTAAAGACACCAGAGATGGCAGCATAAGATCCCAGGCCAATCAGATTGATGGCAATGCAGAAGAAAGTAGAAATCCAGACGGCGTACAGGGGAGTGCCGGTCCACTTGTTCACCTTGGTCCAGATATTCGAGAAAGGCATCAGGCGGTCACGCGAGAAGGCGAAGACAGTCCGGCCCAGAGCCTGCATGGCGGTGAAGGTGACGAACTTGATAATGATCAGAGCGGCGATGGTAAAGAACATACCGCCGCCCTTGCCAAGGCTGTTGTAGAAGATCTGCGCCACAGGCTGCTCCATCTTGGACTTCAGGATCTGGTCGGGGTTGCCCATGCAGAAGCACAGGACGATATTGAACAAGAATCCGCCAAGATAGGTGAACAGCATAGCCAGCGAGATGGCCCAGGGGGCTTTCTTCTCGGGTTCGTTGATCTCCTCCGTAATGTGCGCTGTCGCATCATAGTCGGTCATGGTCCAGCTGACGGACAAGAAACCAAACAGCCAGCTGAAACCAATGGGTTCCCAGCCACTCTTCGATTCCACGTGAGTGAAAACGTATGAAGCATCGTGTTTGTTGTCAGTCAAAACCAGGAGAGCAATAGCGCAAGCGACAAGAACGCAGACATGGAAGATGACATAGAACTTGGTCATCTTCTCCATCCAGTAGGTTGACAGGGAGTTGACTAGACCCGTGACCACGGTGAGAGCAGCCATGACGCCAATGGTAGCGTTGGTACTAATGGTGTAATCGAAGTCCCTGCTCATCGAGACTGCGGCTAGAAGCATCTGCGCGGCACCATACTCGGAGGAAGCGACACCAGCAACCTGACCCAGAAGGTTGAGCCAGCCAGTAAACCTGATCATCGTGAGCAAGCGGATCAGCGTAGATAGGGTGGAGCCATATCTTACCAACTAATGGACGGGACCCATTTAGGAGGCGCTAACCGAGAGATCGTAAAGTACCTGGACATCATGTCAGCAATGTAGTTCTACAATTTTCAGAAGCAACACTCACAATCCTCCCGAAGTCGGGTACGCGGAAACCAGTTCGGCGACAGAGCACTAGTCGTTGTATAAGTCTTGCGTGTTTATTTTCTCTCCAACTACGACTCACAGCAATGCACATGCAGCCAGCACCAGAAATAAACCAAGACCAGACGACCGAGCTAGCGCCGCCGGCTTCTAGAGGGTATATCATAGTGGTCATGATCGTCGAGAACAGACCACTGATTGAAACCGCGAACGAGAAGGTCGATAGGTATCCGAATTCTCTCTTAAACACCGGGTTGTAACCAAACCTGGTCGCCAACTCGGCGTCGGCCTCATTGAGGTCGGCCGCATCCACCTTGCGGTGCTGGCCATCGGGTCCAATGATTTCGACTTGGCGCGATCCATGTCGTTTGCGCAAGGTGCTTTCCGCGTTAACTGGTGTTGCAGGAGATATGTCCGCCATGGCTGGAGATTGGTGGGTAGATCGATGGATGGATAAGGAAGGTCGTGGCACGAGGGATTAAAAAGGAAGCAATGAGAGTGAAGACGGAAAAAAGAGTAAGAGGAAACAGCCGCCCCACGAACGATAAATAAGACTGAGGCTGCCGCCGCACTTCTTTAAAAACTTTTTCTTCCCCGGCTCACCTCGTTGCAGTGGGCACCGCGTACGGCCACTGATAGGGGTTTAGTTGACTCGGATGCGTGGCACAGGCTTTTTCCAGCACAAAATGGCTTTGCTGAGTTTGGTTAGGGGCATTTTTCATTTCCTGCTGACTCTTCATTGGGGGAGCAAAAGCCACAAATGTGAAAAATGTCGTCATGGCCCGCCCCTGGGCCGCTTGTCGCACATGTCCGGTGGGGCGGAAAGCTTGGAGGCTTTGGGTCGCGTGGTAAGGCGCGGTCATTGGCAGGACTGCTTCTTTGGTGGGCTTTCATTGGGCTATGGGCGGGAGCCACTTGAAGAAAAGTCAAGTGGTGAGAGCGGACAGACTCGGCTGGACTGAGCGGCGTTGCTTTTCAGTTTGGGCTTCTGCTTGGCGGACGGACCGTGCATCCGGTCGGGGATTGGTCAGGTTGCATTTTCGGCCTGTCCGTGCATGCTTGGACTTGCCTAAACAATCAGCGAGAGGATCAACAGGGCGGATACTTCCTTGCATGCATATGTCGACCGTTGAGGATCTCGAGTTTATCGGGGATTATCCTTGCGATGGCAGGCCATTCGGTAAAGATTTACTTGTGTTTGCTGACCCTAGAAGCTCCCATTGGTCGCTATTCCTGGTCAAGATAGAGATCCGGAGTGTCGGTCGCAGATGAGCAATGGCCGGGGTCACGCGAAGGAGTATGTGCTGGCAGCACATACTCACAAAATGATAGCACATCCACGGTTCTATACCGAACCTCCATTGGTTTCGATCAGAGTGAGGTTGGTCAGTTTCCTAGGTGAGAGGATATTGGCAAAGGGGCAACTGGGGTTGCAAAGACATGGCCAGGAACGACTGCTATCATCCCGAAAGTCAACTGTTATTCCTCGTAGTTCCGCAGCAAGCGCCACCAACGTAGTAGGCCTTTAAAAAACAGCCACTAAGTAACTTGAGTTCAAACCTTGACTCAACATACTGTTCGGAATCTGGTCATGATTCGGCGCATCTCATCCCATGTATGGTAAGCAATAGAGGAATAATAACCTGCACGAACCATAGTTCTGACATATTTAAAGTTGTCTTTCTTGAGAATACCTCGGAAGTCGATGAAGGGGTTAAGTAAAAAAAAATTTCAATAATGTACGACACATTCTTTTGTCATGATCCTCCAGGACGCCCGCAACAACTCTCTGATTTTACCGTTCCTTTTTGGCTTCCAGCAATTTCTTTTTGGTCTGGATTTTCCTCTGACCAGATGACACAACTTACGTGGGCTTTCTACACGCACCAAGGCGTCGCAAATCTCAGCAGTGGAGCTCACTCTTCTGAGTTCTGTACTCGCTCGATACGCACAACAATGCAGTCCCTTCCAGGGTTGGTAGTAATACTCGCTAATCCATGTTATATATGTATGTGCTCTCTAGATATGAGGGTGATATCTCTCTATTCTTGCTTAGGCTTTGATTGCTGTACCTGTGTAAATGGCTAGCACTTCACAAATCGGTCACTGCCGCTTCTCCATACATATTTATTGTCTGAAGCTCATAAGCGCGCAAGGTCATGATCGACGTGATCTCCTTATATATATGCGGCATTTTGGCAGTACTCGAGCCTTTTCTGCCTCTTGAAAGGGGTTGGACTCTGGATTTATGGCCTCGAGGGCAGCAGCCTCTTACAGTAGGGTCCAGGGGTTGCTGATTAGCCAAGTATTATGGCTGCATGGCGGACAGCTGCGGGGTAGATTGTCTACATCCATATTCTTTCTTGACTGTGACTCACGTGCTGATTTGATGGCTTCTTCAAACTTGGTTATCATAGAATCTGCATGATGGTAATTCGCACTTTGAAAATTGAGAACAACCATGAAGCCCCAATCGCGCTTGCCCCGGGAAAGAAAGACAGATTGCCAAGAAGGTTGCCTAGGGTTTGGACAACCAGAAGCATAATTAACCTGCATACGTTGCACGAATGGAGCGGCTTTCATATCCTTGCTTAGTCGGTAGTGAACGAAAGGTGTGACCGATGGCACAAATGACAGGCTTCACTCGAATCGGCTTATCCAAAGAGATGCCAGCCTAGATATTTCCTGCAAGGCTCCCAATGGATGCAACATCGAGAACACTACATCGCGCCCGCAGAGACCACTCGGAGACACCAATGCCCGATCCCGAGACATCTGACTCTGTGTATTCCCTGAACGACTAATTCTAGTGTCGATCAATCAATGTGAGCCCAATAGTAGACCAGTGTGCTCAGCATAGGCTCCCCACTTTCGGTCCTGCTCAGCCGCGAAAACTCCGACGCCGGGCGCCGAATTCTTGAGTAGAGTGCCATTTAGGCACCGTAGAAATGATTTGCTGACAAGGGCCTGAGTATTTAAGACCGCATATCACGCCATTTGACACTGATATTAGCCATCGCCCTGCACCCTCATTGCCCAAGACCACTTTAAGCTTATTTGCTACTCTCCACCACAATGACCGTTGTCAACAACGCTGCTACCAATGGCTGCGCTTCAAAACCTCCCCGGCGACTTCTTCTCATCAGCGTTCCACGCACCGCCTCTAATTTACTGGTGAAGGTGTTGAACATCCACAACCGCTCAAATGTTCTCACTACCGAAAAGGGCGGCTACTTCTTCTATAATGCTTTCCTTTCCGCTGTGCATTTGAGCAAGCCGCGCGATCAGTGGACTGACGACGAGACGAAAAAGGTGCAGGTTGCCTTCCAGGAAGCCGTGGACAGTTTGGAGGAATACTCGACACGAGCGCAGGACGAAAACAAGATGATGTTTGCCAAAGAACACGCCTTCTGGATCTTCAATCCCGCCTCCTTCGAGAAAATGCTGCGAGGCACCACGAATACGGAACACTTTAATGATTTTGCTATTAAAGTGCCTGAGAGCTACGGATCCACGCAGACCTTCTCTTCGAAGAACGAGACCGTCCTGCCGGATGAGTATTTGCGCTCCTGGCAGATGGCATTCGTTATCCGCCACCCAGCGTTGGCGTGGCCGTCGCTGTACCGGGCCATGACCAAAATGTCCTCCGTCGGTTTTATTGACGAAGATGCTATTAGAGGAGCTACTGCAACCAGCCTGTCGCTGCGCTGGACACGGATGCTATACGAATGGTGCTTGGAACAGCCGGATGTGCCGACCGAGCCACCGGTGCTGGACGCCTACGACGTGATCCACAACCCCGGGGCCGTGCAAAATTTCTGTGAGCGTGTGGGCCTGGACCCGAGTGAAGTGCAGTACGAGTGGGATGACAAGGCTGCCGAAGCCGCGCTCACCAAATTGGATGAACGCGAGCGTGCTGCGCAGTCCATCATGCTCTCTACGCTGCATGCATCGAAGGGTGTTGTCAAGGACAAAACGCCTGCGAATATTGATATCGCCGTTGAAGCCGAAAAGTGGAAGGCTGAGTTTGGAGAGGAGGTTGCCCAGATTATTGAGAAAGCCGTTTGGGACTCAATGCCGGATTACGAGTATCTCAAGGCTCGTCGAGTCACGGTCTAATGGATAATATCCATGAGGGACTACCTTTCAGTCCATGGATATAGTGCATTTCGCTATAGGTGTATATACGGATCCCCCCTCATAATATATTTTACAAAAAATCTCCTCTATAACTACCTACCTCAGCAGCCTAACTTGATAAAATGTAATACGGTAGGATCGTCTCCATGTAGCCTTTTGTTCTATACTGTTTCTATTTTCCTGTCAATGGAAGAGTACTGGCGATGGCCTGTTGCTATACCCAAGAACCACGAGGAGAAGATATTCATATACTACCGAACCAGGAGAAATTGCGTTGATTTGTCTATCGCTGTGAATATTACAACTTCCGTGATAGGAATACCCTGTAAGGCCCATTCGATCAACTCTGCCGTCATATTATCCGGGGCTGGCACAACTGATGTTTCAACCTGTATGCCAAGGGCGCTTGGCAGAATTAATCCGTCCAGCAGCTATCTGACGATATACTGCGAGGCGTCATTTCCAAATTAGTATCGGATCAAACCCCCGTGTACCCCTCAAATCTTCACAATATATAATTTCACTCCGCAACCTACCAGGCCCCTTCGCCCATTTTGACACGGGGTGTGCTACTTAAGTCACCAGCCTGGCCAAATGCATGGTTAGGTGGCTGATATAAAACTTGGTATAAAGATGCACTCCGTCTAATATGTCAAATTATCCTGGACTCTGCAACCCTACCCTGTACGTTGAGTTCTTGGCCTTCCAATGGACCGGGGGTTGAAGATGTCGACACATAACCCACTAATAGGGTGAAAGGGGGCGTCCGACTACAATGCAGGTATCAAGAAAGAGCGGGGTCTGAAATGCCTATAAAGATGCCTCTCTCGCCTCTTGTGCCAAAGGGAGATATCAGCAAAGCTAACATCCATCTCTGGCCGGTCATCATTTGTCTCACGCACATCGAATACTCTGAAGCATTGTATCTACGTTCTCTATTTCATTTCGTGTTTCCAGCATGCCTCGCGGTGTCGAACTTCTGTTGTTGGCCGCTTTAGTTGCCGGTCATGGCCACATTAGCAACATCGTCATCAATGGCGTCTCCTATGACGGCTGGGATATCAGCGTGGATCCCTACGAGACCGATCCTCCCGTCGTCATCGCCTGGGAAACACCGAATACTTCTAATGGGTTCATTATGCCAGACCAGTACGGCACCTCGGATATCATCTGCCATCTCAATGCGACCAACGCCAAGGGGCACGCGGTGGTCGCTGCTGGCGACAAGGTCAACTTGCAGTGGACTGTATGGCCAGACACTCACCATGGACCTGTCATCACCTACCTGGCCAATTGCGGTGATAGCTGTGAGACAGTTGACAAGACTACTCTGGAATTTTTCAAGATTGACGCCGTTGGTCTAGTTGATGACAGCGTGGTGCCCGGTACGTGGGGGGACGATCAACTGATCGCGAACAATAACAGCTGGCTTGTCGAGATTCCTCCTACAATCGCACCTGGGTACTATGTGCTGCGCCACGAGTTGATCGCCCTCCATGGTGCAGATGCAGCGGACGGGGCACAAAACTACCCCCAATGCATTAGTCTCCAGATCACCGGCTCGGGAACTGACCAGCCATCGGGTGTGTTGGGTACTGCGCTTTATAGTGAAACGGATCCTGGTATCCTCGTCAACATATACGCATCGCTGTCCACCTACATTATCCCCGGGCCGACCCTTTACAGTGGGGCTGTGTCTATCACACAGACTTCATCGAGTATTACTGCATCTGGAACTCCAGTGACTGGGACCGGCATCCCAACTACTACTGTATCCACTCTGACTTCAACTACAACAACCCAGCCGACAACCTTAACGACAACCACAACCGGCAAGGCTACTACTACGACTACCACCACCACCACCACCAGCAATACCACCAGTACCATTACTACTAGTCAAGGCAGTTCGACCCAGTCTGTATATGGTCAATGCGGGGGATTGGGCTGGTCTGGATTCATGGTTTGCAATGTGCAGGCGACCTGCTCTTCCGAGAATCCATATTACTCTCAATGCGTTCCTACGGCTGTTTAGGATGGGTGAAGTTCCAGAATTCAAAGCAGCGACATTTTCCACACACAAAACACACACATATATACACACAAAGAGAGGGAGAGGGAGAAGGATATTTAAGTTTTCCACTTGCCATAAAGGAAATATATTTTTCAGCCGCATGGTTGCCAAGCTTTGAGTATTCTCCACATCTTCTGATCCATAATTCAGCTATTGAGGAAGCATATTCATCAGCTCCTAGGTTGCCAAGTTGTGGATGCTCTCCACATACTTCAAGTAATAATCATCGACATGAAAGACACACATTCGTCAGCTTCATGGAGGTCAGGGTCATTCCAGAGTGTTCGAAATAATGTTGTTTTGTATCGATCCACAGTAATCTTAGTTGACTAGTGGGATTGAAGCTGAGAGTTCTTCGGTTCAAGGTATTCAAGCTGGAGACCTGATTATTCAAGATTTAATGAAGAGATATAGAAGTCAGATGATTGAGAAGTAGATATTAGGAACCAGAATCAAAACTGCACTTGTTTCAGAGTCAAGTCTATCCTTCAGTCCGTCTCAATTCTTCCAAGCGTTAAACCATGTTCTTCAGAAAGAGACGCAGGATACGGCTCCGTTTAGCAACACTGCGGGGGAAGAACTTCCGATGAGTCTTGGTGTAGTGCTCCAGCTCCTCGCGGGATCTGAACATGCGAGGGCGCTTTCCAATGGCCCAACAATCTAGGAGATCCACAATATTCACGTTCACCCGACTCAGTGCCTGATGAGTTCAATGTCAGCGATCCTATTATTGATTCAGGCTCACTACCGGGGCTATGGGGGTCTCAGTTTACCTTCTTACACTTGTTGAACGACGAAAAGTCTCCGCACAGGCCCAGCTTGCCGCAAACCCCCTGCCAAGTCTGCAGGTCCTCGTCAGGCCCATCGAACAGACCGTTAAGCTTTGCACTGATGAACTCGTTCCAGTGGAGCTTCCACACCGTGGAACCAAGAGCCCAGCCCCGCTGGTGTGCGAGACGGTTGAAGTCTCTAGTCGTCTTCATGGCAGGGTCAGTATCTATGTTGGGATACTTCAAAGACAACGATGTGGTGCCCACCACTCCAGATTGATGAGAGTGGGATTCGGTGAATACTGATATCACTTTTGGATAGGGCGAGGGATGTGAGGTGATTGGTGTGTGAAGTAAGAAGATAAGACAGGTCGTAAGAGCAAAGAGAAAGGTTTTAATAGTCCAGGAACAAACAAACAATGGATGGCCAGAGACTCTCGCAAAGGCAGCAGCGGCCGCAAGCGCCCAAAAGGGTAACCCAAGCGGTGCCTGGATTGATTCTGACCCCAGTTCTTTAATTGCAGGCAGCAGATAGCCTACGATACGCTCTTTCGAATGTGTTTTCTACTGGATGGTGATCATCAGTTCGCATTCAAATGTAAATATCGAGTGAATCCAATGTCATGCCTTTGTACGCCCGGTGTTGCTATCCATATACAGTAGATATATGGGCTGGAGGATGTGTCATCCCCAACACCATCGATCCCATAGATATACATTAACACACCAATCCACACATGCATTGTGACCGGGTGCCAGGTCAAGAAAGAGAACGAATAAAGAATTCAAGTTGAGTGCTGTGGTCGACGGGAGACCCAAGTTTGAGACAAGAAAGAAGAGACAGAGAAGAGTCTCGGCTTATCTACAACAGTCCATGTCCCGTGTTATCTGTCAAACGCAGTCGTCAAACGCGATCGCGTATGCGTAGTCCCGTTACGCCTGGTCGCATGTATGTCCACATGTGTATGTATCATTGGTAGAATCCAAAACAGTGACGCATCCCATCTAGCAATAAAGGAAGGCGCGGCTGGCCTTCCTTCCGCAGTCTGGAACAAGTTGGCTTTGTGCCTTCACACAACCGTGGAAGAAACTTCCCCTTCCACATTCCATGTCTTTGTGTCATAATGTTGCTCTCGATAATCCTGCCATTGCTGGTGGTCTCGCAATCATATCTTGCAGATTGCGCGGACTTCGGTCAGCCTGCAGCCGAAAGCGCATCCTATGAGTATGTGGTTGTTGGTGGAGGCACTTCCGGGGTGACAATCGGTGCACGCCTAGCACAGCAAGGATTTCAGGTGGCTGTGGTCGAGGCAGGAGGATACTACGAGGTGATGCGCCCAATCACTTCGATCCCAGGCGCAGCCAGTCTCGGGGCGGGTGCAGACGTCCGGACCGCGACGTCAATCGACTGGAAATTTGTGGCAAATCGCGTCCCAGGTGCGGATGGTCGTGATATCCATTATCCCAGAGGGAAGTGCGTTGGCGGATCGTATGGCAGATTCTCCTCGCTCCGTCCGAAACGTTCTGACTTGCACTCGCTAGCTCGGCTGTTAACTTCATGATCTATCAACGGTACGAATATCCACTTGCAGGCGTTACACCAGGCTAACACGGAGTAGACCATCCAGGGGTTCAATGGCCAGATGGGCCGACCTTGTTGATGATCCCAGCTACCTCTTTGAGAACGTGCTTCCCTTCTACAAGAAGACAATCTCTTTCACGCCCCCCGATGGGTACCGGTTCGGAAATGCCACAGTGCCCTACAACCGCTCGTCCTACGATAAAACTGGGCAGCCCGTTGAAGTGTCATACCCCCGATATGCCATGCCTTTTTCTACCTGGGTGTCTGGAGGCTTGCAAGCAATCGGGATCAATGAGACGCAGGACTTCAACGGCGGCCAGGTGATGGGCCACCAGTTTTGTGCAATGACTATTCGAGAGTTGGATCAGACCAGAAGCAGTTCAGAGTCGGGGTTTCTACGGGGGTCGCTGGGCTACACCGCATTGTCCGTTTACCAAACCACCTTGGCGAAGAAGATCTTATTCGACGCACAGAAACGAGCGATTGGTGTTGAAGTTGAGCAGCACGGCCGGTTTACATTGACAGCAACCAAAGAAGTGATCGTGTCTGCCGGCGCCTTTCAATCACCGCAGCTGTTGATGGTGTCGGGCATCGGGCCAGCCGCCACTCTCCAAGCCCATGGCATCAATGTCATCGCCGACCTGCCGGGCGTTGGCCAAAATATGTGGGACCATACCTTCTTCGGGCCTTCTTATCGAGTGGCCGTGGACACTTTCACCAAGCTCTCTGCCAGTCTATGGTACTATGGCTACCAAATCACAACGTGGACGGCACTCCGAACGGGGGTTCTGACCAACCCGTCGGTAGACTATCTTGGTTTTGAGAAGTTGCCACTGTCGTCTCGAACAGGCTTTTCTGCTGCAAATGAGCATGACCTGGCCTGGTTCCCTGCAGACTGGCCCGAGATCGAGGTGAGCCACAGTTAATCTCAATATTTCTAACTAAAAAACCGCATGAGCTGATGAATACGAAACAGTACCTGGCAGGATCTGCATTCGTTGGGAATTTCTCGGATCCATTTGCACAACAACCTCACGATGGGTACGAGTATGCCACCATTATAGCCAGTATGGTATCCCCAACATCGCGCGGGAATGTGACCATTCGCTCCGCCGACACGGCGGATCTACCAGTGATCAATCCTAACTGGCTGGCCACAGACACAGACCAGAAAGTCGCAGTTGCAGCCTACAAACGCACCCGTGCCGCATTCCAGAGTAACGCCATGGCACCCGTCACCAGTGGCCTTGAATACTTCCCTGGACCCAGCGTTCAAACGGATGCCGAGATACTGGAAACTATCAGGAATACAGTCATGACCATCTACCACACTGCGTGTACTTGTAAAATGGGGCTCGTGAACGACAGCATGGCTGTTGTCGACAATCATGCCCGTGTGTTTGGGGTTCAGGGTCTGCGTGTCGTCGATGCAAGTGCATTTCCTATTTTACCACCCGGCCATCCTCAATCGACGGTTTGTAAGTTTCTCTTTCGGTCCACTCATATTTGCAGACTACTGACAGTCTCCCAGACATGCTGGCTGAGAAGATTGCTGCCGATATCGCAGCATCTTGATTACTTCTTCGACTTTATGGCATAGGCAGAAGCAAGACGGTGGACGAGTTAGATTTTTATTATTGTATTATTCTTTTACCACATCTCTTCTAGATACATCTGGTTCAGAGTGTCGAATATGTTGTAATCGCTCGGGAGACAGTCTGGCGAGAAGGCAAAGCCTAGGTTGTTGGCGAAACGGTCGCCAGAGTTGGGCAAATCAGTGTTATAGTCATTGTTTCCGGTCACTAATCCATCATAGGCTGGAATAGTGAACGAGTTGATATAGGGATCGTTCAGGAGGAGAGATGCTGGCTGTGTCGACATACTCCCCAAATCCATAGAGCGATCTGCCTCTGGAGGGTCAGTGTTAGGAGAAAGACCCGCGACGCCATCCTGGCCTGGATCCCGAGAGCCGGCACCGTGCCCTTCTGTCAGCGCAGCTAAGCCCGGCTCAGCAGCACAGTTCAGTTTCTGGCAATATAGCTTCTCCAAGTTCCTCCCAATCCGCTTTGCAATATTCCAAGACGTCGACAACTCCCGTAGAACCTGCAGACAAAGCGCGAGCGCAGTAGTGCGCGACGGACCCGGGGAAGAGCAGGAGGAAGAACTGTCTCCTGTGCCAGTTCCCGGCAGAGACGGAGATGCAGAGCATCCGCTATCGATGATAGTCAACGCCGCAGAGAGAATGGAGTGGGTGGGTGTGATGGGACTGAGTCTGAAGCTGCCGAAGACCTGGCGGTATTTCTGCGCAGTGAGGCACATAGCCCGCGCTGAGGAAAGACTGACTGTGCTTGCTTTGCAAGCGATGATGTTCTCGGGGGTTTGGTCTTTGAGGGGGGAAGAGGGGAAGGATTCTGGTTCTTTTCTGTGACGTGGGGATGTTTGGATAGGAAGGGTCCGCAGAGGAGGATGTATACAGTGTGGTATACCATGCAGAGCGTATAAGCGTGCGGGAACTGGGATTGTCCGGAAGGACGATCGATCTTTAGTTCTGGGGCGAGGTCATAGTACCATGTTTTCAGATCGAGGATGCACGACTCGAAGAATGCGGCGCGTTGGTGCGGGTGGAGGAGGGGCTTGGGCGACCATCTGGAGAGTATGTAGCGTTAGCATGTAATACAGAATTCTCTGTAAATCAAGATCAAGATCTGGCGTACAGCGAGAGTAGAATTCTTTCCAGGATATGACACAGATCGATCATCGCGCGCTGCAGCTGCGTCACGTCTCTCTGCGAGGCGGCTCGGGATTTGCCATCGATCGAAGAGGGAAGACGGATGTCTCCTGCGCATTCAATGGAGGGCTTGTTGACCACGCCCTGGGAGTCCTGTATGTCGCATTAGCAGACAGGTGATGAAGCAAGCTGCCACTGTGACCTACCAGTAAAGTGCACACGCGGCCCGTGTAGCTAGCTGCCAGCTTATCATGGCAGTACAAGGCCCAGTAGATTTGTCTTCGGAGCTCGATCTCAATTGGAGGAAGCGAGACCGTTCCTGCAAGAACAGCTGGGTCCATGTTGAACCCCATATCCAACGCTAGGCGAATCGCCATGCCCTGGTGCAGCCATCCCGCCGCATCGGATCCCATTGCCTGTCCAGAATTAGCGTGCCAGCACCATCCCTCTGGTTGTTAGAGATCACTTACAACGTACATCATGTTCATGATAGTAAGTGACTGGATGGTGGTGATACTGGGCCATCTGAGATCATGCTGAATCAACCGCTCGGCTTCCTCGATGAACATCTTGCCGGCAGTATTGGAGTCGTTGGGGTCGGTCCGCACTTCCAGACGGTCTGAATAGCGTGAGCCCAATGCCAAGACGCAATTCAATAAGAGCGAACTGCAGTAACGACCACCGCATGCGAGACTCTCCCGGAAAAGTTTCTCGTTGATCACCGGGAACCACGGCTGTTCCCACTCGAAAAATAGGTCGAGCAAGTGGGATTGGAGTTCGTCTGGTATTGAAACGACACCGTGATCGATATTGACAAAGTGTCTGCAGCCCACTGATTCGGAACATGTCGCGCCGGAAGCGTCTGTTTGCTCGATATGTTCTTTCTCCGGGTCTAGAGTTGTCGTGATCAGCAGGCTTATGCAGTACAGTGTGAGCCACCGACTCACTTACCCGACAAAAACAACAACCGCCCGCTTGTTGGGCCAAAATACCGCACTTCGCCATCCTGATCAAAGTTCAAGGACTCATCCAGCGTCAACGCGCCATCAAATGTGACACACAGATCATCCAGCTTCGAACAACCATTAGGATCAACGAGTGGATCCGGAACATCCATGTCAGCCATCATCTGCGCAACAGATGCATCCGCATCAATGCCATGAGCGTCTAACACCCGCTCCAGCATCTCGATCCGGTTCCGCAGCATCACCACATAGGACTTGGGAGCGGGTTGGCGCCCGTCCTCGGCGGTGGAATACTGGCAGCGGACACCGCGGTCGAGGCAGCGGGTGCAGGATGGTCTGACGCCATCGCACTGCATAGCTACTTTTCAGCTACAACTGCTTTGAGATGCGGGAGAGGGATCGATCTAATCACCTTGGCTCGGCGACGGCGACATTCCTCGCACGCTCGCGAGGTATACTTTCTACCGGACCGCTTGCGCCGGGCGCTGGGGTCATCCTCTGGTGCTGCGGGGGGCATTTAAAGTCGAATTTTGAAGGCTAGGATGTTCCCACCGACTGTTTATGGTTTATGGATATTGAGGTTGTTCGAGTTGCCATTACAAAGCAGGTAGTTATCTGAAGATGGACACCTTGGTGCCTAAATTCCTGGCTGCCTGAGGCAAGAATCAAATCCCCACGTGACTACTGCTGGATGGAATATTCAAGTTATTGAATCGAATTCTCGTGGAAAGAAGAAAGAGTTTGACCAATATTTGGTCGGAGTTAATTGCAAACCTTGAGGGGAGGGCATGTCTGGTGATCGGGGATATGACGCCGTGATTATATATCTCAGAACTATATTGCGGGGTATATCCAAGGACCTCCCGTCGCAGCTCTGGGTAACGGTCGTCATCATAGGGATCCCGAGAGAATCATCCGATCAGAGACAGAGAGCACTCCTGCAGAGCCACTACGGTCTATCCTGCAGATTGTACGTAATTTTCCTCCGCCATTTCCTCGCCAAGGGTCGCACGCACGCTCACCCATGCCCTGCCAATTGGGCCGTCGTGCGGCGACCGATCCGGGGTACTGCGATGATCTGCCCGGAAGCGGGCACGAACCAGAATATGGCCATCAGGTGATTGCTAGTCCCAGGTGAAACGGGAACCGTCTCGATCGGCAGTCCCAGAGAACGGGGGATGTGGACTGTCCGTGGCGTCCACTCAGGGCGGCAATGGGCGGAATGACATCCTAATGGGCCGGCATGAAGGGGCAGAACAAACATCGCGGGAGAGGTGGCTGCGGCCCAGGCCAGACAGGGATTCGATGAGCCCAGTCGTTGTCCTTACCCCAGACCGAAGGTACTTTTGAACGGGGTCGGGAGACGAGAATGTGGATGGGAGGCACACATGGGGATGGAAAGGGATGCTCCCCAAGAAGACCTGACAGGACAGACGATGATCCGGAGGGTCCTGGAATGTGTGATATGTAATTATGATTAATAACTAACTATGGGAAGTTCGAAGTAAGGATGCTCCGTCAATGAGCGAGCGACCGCCCTGTCGCGCCTCGCCCAATCAGACACCCGTCCCCCCCCCCCGACCACTTGCATCCTCTCCCTCCGCCGTTGCTTGCTTCTTCTTTTTCACCCTCAGGCTGCTTTCCCTCTTCGTCACCTCGGCTCGACCACTGCCAGTGCACTTCCTTCCTTATAGTCCGCCTCCGCTGGGCTGGACCGTTGTCCATGGTTCTACGCGCCGTTGTCGCGATCGTCTCCGCTTAAACACGCTCTCCTCCGTCCACCCAACCACGCGGCTGTCCGTGTCGGTACCGATTTGACCACCCCCCAAAAAGAAATCTCAGTGGGATCAGCCACTTGCCATTTCTGTGCAGGAAGAACCACTGCCCTCGTTCCTCTATTCCAGCTCACGCCATGGCCTGCTGATAAGCCGAATGAATCGATAACCTCCCTCAAGGGCGCTCGCTCTGCCTGGCAGAGGTTCTGCTGGGCTCTGCGATAGCTGTTCTGACTCGATCTCACATACACACACAGACTGTGCCTTCGTTTTTCCTTTTCGGTGGATTCGAAGCCTGCTTGGTCCGCCCGGCGCGTCAGCATGGCGGACAATGGCTCCCCCAACCCCGAATTCCTGGCTCCCCCCGCCGTCACGGCGTTGCGACAGGAGGCCCGGAACATCAATCCGAGCATGACCCGCTCCTTCAACGAGGATATACGGGAGGAACGAGAAGACTTGAAGGAGGCGGCCGAGCAGACATTGAACATCATCGTGGATCTGGACCTGGACGGCCGCATCAAATGGGTCAGTCCATCATGGAAACAGGTGGTGGGATCATCCCCCGAGTCGGTCGAGGGCCAGATGATTGCGGATATTCTGGTCGGGAACAAGGACGTGTTTGGCGATGCCATCGAGGCCATGAAGGTGGACGACTCGCGGAGCCGGTTCATCCGCTTTGCGGTGCAGATGGGACCAGACTCGGTGCTGAAGGACTCCCCGGAATCGCAATCTTTGGAGACCGACGATGAAAACGACAAGGAAGAAACATCGGAGAGCGCGAGCGCCTCCCCGACGGAAGAGGAAGAGCCCAAACACAATCTGCTCACTATGGAGGGACAGGGAATCATGGTGTATGATCGGACGGACGACCAAACTGGCCATGTATGTCTGATAATATCTGTGCGAGAGACATCACTGACTCTGACTTGGATATAGACCATGTGGATGCTACGACCGTTTACTGAACCGCGAGAAGTGACCATCGATCTGCCACCCCTGCTGGTGGAGTCATTGGGTGTTGGTGCTGAGGTGCTGGCGAACTATTTGACCACCCTGGCCGAGGCTGCCGCGAACGAACCCGACCCCTCCAAACACCCTGCCCCGACGCCGGTCCTATGTCGCATCTGTGAACGCCAAATCACACCGTGGTGGTTTGAGAAACATTCAGATCTGTGCCTGCAGGAACATCGGGCCGAAGTGGATGTCCAGATTGCCCAGGAAAACCTCAACGAACACCGGCATGTCATCGTCAAAGTGTTGGATGCGCTCGAGAGTCGTCAAGGAAGACCCTTGATTGGTGGGGATGGTGTTCAGGCACCACTACCCCAGCCCGAGTACAAGGGGTTACCTATTGGCCCTTCTCCTACATGCTCTGCCCCGACGTCTGGCCTGGGGTCCAGTGTCAGCTCTGCTCCGGGCACTCCACCTCGCTCACGCGATCATTCAGCATCTGGAATCAGCCCCGGGCGGCCTCGCGCGTTCACCGTGCGCCGACCGTTGGCTCGTATCGTTGAGCTGATCCTCGATCTCTGCGACACTGCCCTCGAAATCAGCATGCCGGTCATCAAGGAACCATCGCGCTCAGATAACGGCGAAGATTTCCGAACTCTCTCCCCGCAATCTGAATCCCGCATCTCTCAAGTGCTGCAGTGGCAGTCCCCGAGCTCCAATACGTTGGAGCAGGAGCAGGGCCTGGCGGCTTTGTCATCCGATACAGAGCAACTGGCCAAGTCCAAGGTAGATGCCGTTGATCGGCATCGCAAGATCGTTGAGTACGCGGAACGGATCCGGGTTGAATATACGGTGATGGTGGAAGAGTGTATCTCGGCAGCCCTCAGCAAGGCACAACGGATTGCTGCCGGACAGCTCAGTGATTCTTCTTCCTGCTCATCCGACGAGGATGTCCCACAGGAGGCCGTAATCATGACCGACAATGGCAGCACTAGTGACCTGGTGGTGGATGTGCCTCTAGCCCAAACTGCCAGCCCGGAAGCGCTTCCACCACTATCGTCTGCGTCTGTGTCACGGCGAGCAACCCCGACCTCGGCATTGACCATGTCCATGCGCAACTCTTCTGAACGGGGCCTGCTCTCGCAGGGATCAGAAACCAGATCGTCGTCGTCCGCAGCCGTTTCGACTGGTCCCAACAGCCCCATGGAATGCCCGACACCCCGATCCCACAAGAGCGCTGCCGCGGTGTTGAGCACATCGCAACCATCCCGTCGGGGTTTGTCACTGGTTGACATCGACGGCGGGGAAAGCAGTGACAGCAGCATGCCATCAACATCCATGTTTACCAACGCTGTCCGGACAGACTCTCCTTCTTCTGAACGGAGTTTTGATCGAAAGCGCCGAAGCTTGGTGCTTCCAGGGTTGTCTAGCTCGCCTCGACGACAGCCATCGCCTGCTCGGCTTTCAGGGCCTCACTCTCCGTTACGAATGCCCAAGCCTCGACACTCGACCGGTACGGACAGTATCACGTCCCCAGTTGTGTCGCCTTCTACGTATGCGGGCGAATTGGCTCAACACAACTGTCGCCACCATCGCCGACAGTCTTCCGCGACTTCTTCGGATGTTGCAAAACCGCCGGCCTCCCCACGCCTCCCTTCAGTGAGCCAACAACCTCGCCCCGCTCCCCCCTCAATCAAAGACTTTGAAATTATCAAACCGATCAGCAAGGGTGCTTTTGGTAGTGTTTATCTGTCCAAAAAGAAATCCACCGGCGAATATTTTGCCATCAAGGTCCTGAAGAAGGCCGACATGATCGCCAAAAATCAGGTCACCAATGTCAAGGCAGAGCGAGCCATCATGATGTGGCAAGGGGAGAGTGATTTTGTTGCCAAACTCTATTGGACATTCTCCAGCAAGGAGTACCTGTACCTGGTCATGGAGTATCTCAATGGAGGCGATTGCGCTTCCCTGGTGAAGGTTTTGGGTGGGCTGCCGGAAGATTGGGCTAAGAAGTATGTTGGTGAGGTTGTGCTGGGTGTTGAGCACCTCCATGACCGTGGAATCGTCCATCGCGATTTAAAGCCCGATAATTTGTTGATTGACCAGACCGGCCACCTGAAATTGACCGACTTTGGCTTATCCCGGATGGGTCTGGTAGGCCGTCAGAAGCGCGTGCTCAAGAGCCCCAATGAACCGGCGCCGGATCTGCTTCGACAAGGGCCTTTCCCTCGGGCTATTTCGATCGCCTCTTCCCGATCGGCTTCGTTTGACTTCCAGGCTGGCTCCTCTCCTAACTCCACTCCTCTGATGACTCCGGAAGTCGCTGCCACCCAGCCTTCCTACTTCAGTCTCAACCAAACCGCTCTTAGTCGGCAGAGTTCTCGCCGAGCCTCGGGGTATCGGAGCGACAGTGCGGGAAGTGACAGTTTGAATGGAATGTTCAGGACATTTTCACTGAACGAGGGTGTTAACGAGCCCTCGGTGGCGTCGCCCAGCATGTTCTCAAGCAGCCTGGCCGAGGAAGAAGGCCAAAGTGAACCAGGCGAGTCTCCTCTACTCTATCCGCTTCAACCGACCTTCAGCAACCCTGTCTCTCACAATACGCCTCCGCAACAAACCATGCTCCCCCCAGTGATGGCACTTTTTGATCCGGAAGACCACAATCGGCGTTTCGTCGGCACTCCTGACTACCTAGCCCCGGAAACGATCAACGGGATTGGTCAGGATGAAATCAGTGATTGGTGGTCTCTTGGTTGTATCATGTTTGAGTTCATCTTCGGGTATCCACCTTTCAACGCGTCGACTCCGGATGAAGTGTTCGAGAATATCCTCCAGCGAAAGATCAACTGGCCCGAGGAACCAGAGGAGTATACCTCTCCGGAATCACTGGATCTGATGAACAAACTCATGACTCTCAACCCGCGAGAACGCATCGGAGCCAACGTGGAGGAGAAATTCCCAAATGGTGGTGCAGAAATCCGCGCTCACCCCTGGTTCTCTGACATCAATTGGGATACGCTCTTGGAGGACAAAGCGCAGTTCGTTCCCACCCTTGAAAACCCAGAGGATACGGAATACTTTGATACACGAGGCGCCACTCTCCAGGCTTTTGCAGAAGAAATAGAGGATGAACCTAGCGAGCCAGAGCCGCATACGACTGGTGCATATCCAGACCGTCCTCACGATGCACTGTTCAAAGTTCGCTCGCAAGTCAATTCAATGAAGCGACCGTTGATGCCGTTGCACATCCCACCTCATGTCCGTGACGCCCGTGATTCTCGCAGCCGGAGATTAAGCGAACCGGCGCCCGCCGACGACTTTGGCAGTTTCAATTTCAAAAACCTGCCAATGCTAGAGAAGGCCAACAAGGATGTGATCCAGAAGATGCGCCAAGAAGCCATGCAGACGCAGCACCGCCAATCAAGCTCATCATCGGCCTCTCAGGCACCGGTGCAGCCTTCATTGGAGAGCAGTCCACTGCCAATGGGACTTCAACGCGCCCTGTCTCAGACCAAGGGCAACAATCGTCCTTCCTCCCCTTCGAGTGTGAGCCAGGCAGCCTCCTCGCCCAGCAGGCCGTCACAGCCATCATCGCCACTTCTGGTCCAGTTCAGCACTGGTAACACTTCGGAACGCCGCAAGACATCTGGCTCTTCATCGGCCACTTCGTACCACTCGAGTGGGAATTTTCAACCGTCGTCCGTCGACCAGAATCGTGTGCCCAACTTTCGGCTTGGATCGGTGGCGTCTTCGCCAGTCAAGAACAGCAGGATCCCGAGCCATTCTCCCGAAAAACATTCTTCAAGCCATAGACACGGCAGTGCTCCGGCAAGTCGAGCTCGTTCACAGACGATTGGGTCTCAAGAGGGTGACCTGTCAACACTATCTAAGGAGTCTTTCGTGCCGTCGCACCACAAACGCCGAAGTCAACTTTTTGACATCTCTCCGTCTTCGTCGGACAATGAAGATCCCCGCACCAAAGCGTTACTCAAAGTTCAACGCCGACGGCAGAGCTCTCGCCGCCTGTCGCAGTTCAATTTCTCCGAAGGCCCATTCTTTCGTCCATTGGATGTGCTTATCTGTGAGGATCATCCAGTCTCGCGCTTGGTCATGGAGCGTCTTTTTGAGAAGCTTCGCTGTCGAACCATCACCGTCACGAACGGCGCCGAAGCGATGCGATATGCCCTCGGCGAAGTTCAGTTTGATATCATCATGACCGAGTACAAACTGCCTCAGGTGAACGGTGCGGATTTTTCGCGAATGGTGCGGGAGACTCGCAGTCCCAACAGACATACCCCGATCATCGCCGTCACGGGCTACTTGAAGGATCTTCCGGAAACCCACTACTTTGACGCACTGATCCAGAAGCCCCCTACGCTGTCTAAGCTTACGGAAGCGCTGTGCAAATGGTGCATGTGGAAGCCTCCTCCAAAGGACTACACCCCCTCGCAGCCTCTGGCGGGGCCTATGCCCAATGCTCGACAAAATTCTCAGCCCACCGATGACAGCCCGAGCTCGGCGTCCTCTGGATTCGTTCCCAACCCCCCCAGTTCCTATCGGGGATCCAGCCGGGACGATTCGGTCAGCAGCAGTATCTTTGGTGAGATGGAATCGATCAAGCCGGAAGAAGTCCCTGTGATCATCAGCCGCAATGCCGACGACTGGGATCAAGGTCAGGGTGGACTGGGTATTTCTGAAGATACAAATACACAGCTGGGCAGCCCAGACCCCAAGGCCGTGCCTGTCCCACATCTTCTTCATGCTGCCTCGGCACCGGCCGCGATGGATCCCAGCGGCGCCCTCACCCCGCGCAAACAGCGGTCCAGTGAAGCCATTCGTGCTAAACGGGAGTCCTTGGAGAGGAAGCGCTACGAGTGTGCTGAGTCGGGCGATGACGAGGATGAAGAGCTTGGAAATGTCCAGGCCCGTCGCAGTCCACCAGCCCGAAACCGCCGCCCTGGTTCCAAGCTGGGCATTGAGATGATGCGAACAAACAGCCGAGGCAGTGTGGTCAGCGGGAGTGAGGAGCTCCTCAAAAAGGAGAGAGAGGCACTTAAACTGAAAGGCGAGGAGTCGCTTGATCCTGACTATATTGAGGAGGAGTCAGCCCTGGGATCGCCTGGCAGTGCCACCCTCGAAGAGCAACTTGAAGGTCTCAGCATCCCCGAGGAGCCGGAGCTGGAGCTTAGTCCTCGCAACTCTCCTGCCCCAGACCCCGTGCCTCACCGACGGCCTTCTCTCACTCATACCGATACGTCGATCTACTCGGGTCCCGTGGCCCACCAGCCCGAGCCGAAGACGAGCTCCGCCAGCCTGCACGAGGGCCAGACCACTCCTCCGTTTGACACCTTCGCCCCGTCTGATGCTCCGCCAATCACCCCCGGAGTCAAAGTGTCTGGCAGCATGGATACGGGTTCCGGCGTCGACACCGACTACCCGCCGACCCCGGATTCCGAAGCCACGCCGCGCCCCCTTCAACCTTCTCCTAGTCTGGATCCGGAGCAAACGCCGCGGGCACCGGAGCGGCATCATCGATTGGATCTGTCGTCCATGTTCAAGCGATAGAGTTCGCATGCTGCCCCTTAGCAATTGCTTAGTGGTTGATCCGCGCAAGATGTTTCGGACATTTTGTTTTTCTTTCTCTTCTTCCTTCCACTTCTATCCACATAGTTTGCTGCATATCATCTGTACACTTTTTTTTTCTGTCTCTGCGAGCATGCCTCCCTCACGTCTCTTATGTCCTCCAACTGTTCGAATGTTTTCTTCGAGCAGGGTGTTCCGGCTTTTGCTTTTTCCCCCTCTTCTCAGATGAGGCACATGAAATAGGATTCTACATCGGTTGTTATTCTTTTTTTTTATTTCGAGTGTGATTTTTACTCAATGAATCGCCAGCTTGACGCTGTTTCCTTACTTGATTTTCTCAGATACAACTTGTAAATGTACAATTCCACCGGAACTTGCACAACTCCGACACAACTTGATTTCCAACGGGAATCCCTCTTGGCAATTCTTGGCGCTGTGCCGCTGACTCGCCGGCTCTGATTCCCCCACCGACATTTTGTTGCAGCGCATGCCGGTCTAGCTTCACTCGACGATGCCGGCCACATCCTAGCGACCCTCGCCATGCGAATCGGTGATAGGCAGCGATAAGAGGATCGTCATGGCGGGGTGGGCTGTACGCAGTGACTGAAATCGAATGGTACAGTAGTCGAATACATCATGTCCGACCGGTCCCCCTTGCCCCTCACTGCTCGATCGCATCGTGAAGACGACTTTGTGTCCCAGTTGTTGTAAGAATAGAACTGTTCCCAGAATAAATAATTAATCTATCTGTTGACATACTAACTCACATAGATCTAGTCCCTGCAGGGGCGCCCCAGTGGCGCGAGGGGCGTTCTCTAGCGGCATCCATTATTTTTTTTGTATAACCCACCACGGAACCACTATCATCACAAGAATACAAAGTAACACTCACAACAAAGACAAAGTTATCCGTGCGCGGCCAGGCCAGACTCTGCCACACCCTCCAGCTCCACCGTAGATCGCGTCCCTTTACGTACGTACCGTTTTCTTTTTTTCTGTCGTCATCGCCACCACTCGGTGGAGATTTAGCAGCGTGTGGGCCCGTGACGGCCTGTCGGCGTTGGAGCTGGATGCTCTACCCAAGGATCTATACAGGATACGAGAAAGTGATTGGGTGCGCATGTTGCGGTAGACAGAGTTTGCCTTTAGGGACCTTTTTGATCATTGATCTTGCAGTGTGCCTGCCATTGTTGTTATTATATTCTGATTGTTCTCGATTATCATCAGTATCGACGAGTCCAGACTTCGCCCGCTCTCGACCCACTCCACTGCTCCACTCCGTTTCACTGCTTCTTTTAATACGGGCAGCTTCCTTCTTCCTTCGTTCTTTGCCTTCGTTTCTGCGTCTCTCGTGATTCCGCCCTCCCCTTGGACTTTGCCATACCCTCTCTTGGTTCTCAACACCGTCACTCGCTTCCCTCCCGGCTGATCTCCGCGGCCCAAGCTCCAAGCTCCTCGGCCCGGCGCCAGCACCATGTCGACTCCTGTCGACGAGGTCAAGGCCTTGCAATTGGAAGACCAGAAGGAGAGGCACAACTACAGCGACGAGCCCTCCCCAACGTCCGACGATGACACCTACGTCAACGAGCATCACGAAGCCAACCGTCTGAAGCTCGACACTATATGCACCGCCGAAGACGAGGGCCCGCCACCATTGCGCACGCCCTCGGCACGCCGCGAGCGCGCCACCCGGCTGGAGGATGATCTGATGCTCCTGCAAGCCGAGCGGGTTGTCTCGCGGTCCACCCAGGGCGGCGAGGATGGGCTCGAAGGCAGCGGTGGTCGCGGGTCGATCAATCGGTCTCGCTCGCGGCGCTCCGAGCCCGTGGATGAGTTCGACGAGGCCACGAATCCGTTGCATGAGAAGGCCGCTATCTATAAGCCGCCCGAGAGTCCCAATACGAAGATTGCAGTCTTTATTAAGAAGGTGCATGAGTCGAGCTTCATCGTTCGCTACCTTACTTACATTACGCCATTGTTTCTTATTCTGCTTGTTCCTTTGCTTATTGGCGCGCTGAAGTACAAGAATGCCACAGTTGGTGGCGTTCGGTTGATGTGGTTCTCCATTTGGTTGGAGATTGTTTGGTTGACGCTATGGGCTGGCCGGGTAAGTGGCTTTTGCTTTGAGAACATGTCATTTTTGACTGACGAAGGGCATAGATTGTTGGTAAGGGTTTACCTTTGGTTGTTGGAGTGTCGGCTAGCATCTTTACCAACAACGCGAAGAAATGGCGCGATATGGCCAAGCAGCTCGAGCTTCATGCTGCGCTCTTCTTCTGGTGGCTGGCCATTGAGATTTCGTTCCTGCCCACGATGAAGAACCACCATTTGGATGGTAACACCGGCACCAGAAGCTGGGAGAACACCATGAACAAGATCATAATTGTCATCTTCGTCTGGACGATCCTGAACCTCATCGAGAAAATCATTATCCAACTGATCGCCATCAGCTTCCATCTGAGAACCTACGCGGACCGCATTGAGATCAACAAGTTCCAGATCGGCAGTCTGACCAAGCTATACGACTGGTCACGCAACCGTATTGAGGAGAAAGACGAGGCGTTTGAGGAAAAGAGGCCCCAATCCGGAAGTGGTACCAAGACTCCCCTGCACTACGCCGGCAAGGCCCAGCGTGTGGCGAATCGCGCCTTGAACAAGGTGGGCAACAAGGTCGGTGATGTGGCTGGCGCTGTTGCTGCCGACTTTACCGGCCGGAAGGTGAACCGCAGCACCGATGCGTACCAGGTGATTCTGACCCTTCTACGCACTACGTCGGGTTGCCAGGTCCTGGCACGTCGTCTGTACCGCACGTTTGTGCGCGATGGCTTCGACACGGTATTCGCCGGCGATTTGAAGGAGGCCTTTGACAATAGCGAGGAGGCTGAGGCGGCATTCACCATGTTTGATCGAGACTTGAACGGTGATATATCCATGGAGGAGCTGGAGTCGGTTTGTGTGGACATTGGTCGCGAGCGCAAGTCAATCACAGCCTCCCTGAAGGATTTGGATTCCGTTGTGTCCAAGCTGGACGATGTGTTCATGTTTTTCGTTCTTATCATCGTCGTCGTGGTGTTCCTGTCGTTGATTTCGACTTCGGCGGCCGGCGTGCTCACCTCTGCTGGATCAACCATCCTGGCCCTGTCGTGGTTATTCTCTGCCACTGCACAGGAGTTCCTCCAGTCGGTGATTTTCGTCTTTGTCAAGCACCCGTTCGATGTTGGTGATCGCGTCACTATCTACGGCAACGCCGGTGATTCCGGTTTGGGCGATGACTATTTCGTCAAGGAGATTACGCTGCTTTACACCGAGTTCAAGAAGATGCAGGGCCACGTCGTGCAGGCACCTAACAGCTACCTGAACACGCTCTTTATCCTGAACCAGCGCCGCTCGGGTGCCCTCGCTGAGGCAATCCCCATCGTCATAAAGTACGGCACGACTATCGATCAGATGGACGGTCTGCGCCAGCGGCTTCTGGAGTTTGTGCGGAGTGAGAAGCGCGATTTCCAGAGCAGCATCATCACCGAGCTGCGCGAGGTGACGGAGAACTTCTCCGTGACTCTCAACGTGGTCTTCTTCTACAAGTCCAACTGGCAGAACGAGGGTCTGCGTCTGCAGCGCCGCAACAAGTTCATCTGTATGCTTATGATCGCCCTGCAGGAGATCGGCATCGAGGGTCCTCGCATGAACCTCCAGGGAGCCCAGTACGACATCCCCTTCCATGTCAGCTACGGCACCGCTCCCATGATGGCCCCCGTTCCGCCCAAGAAGGACGACGATCGAATCATCGAAGAGCCGGAAACCCGCATCGACGAAGATACCACAACCACACTCTCCGAAAACACCGGCACTAGCAGCGCCCTCCGTCACCACTCAATCCTCCGCAGAGGCATGGACAAAGCCAACGCGCGCGCCCGCGGCCAATCTGCCTCGCAGCGCAAGCACGTCGATTTCTCCTTGGGGATGTCGAACATGGCCTCTGGGGATGTTATGGGCGATGTATTTGAAGACCGCGGCGTGCGCATCGACGACGTCGTCCGCACCACCAACCGCGACGCCGCCGAGCGCCGCATGCAGGACGTCGCCGAGGAAGAAGCGGAACGTCGCAGCCGTGCGTCGTCTGCACGGTCTGGCCGTCCCTCCAATGCTAGTGCTGCCCAGTCCCACGAGCTAGGTCGCCGGTCGACTGACGCACAGAGCTTCAAGAGTGGTGCTTCGTCGGCCAGTCGGGGGAATCGCTTCTTCAGGCATCGCGGCAGCGTCAGCCGTGATCTTGAGCGTGACGATCTGATGGAGCAGGGCCAGGCTGCTTCGCCTTCGCCGACGACGACGCAGCAGTATTAGATGCCATGTCTGCCATATTTCTCTATTGAACTTAGCCTCGTTTCTTTTCTCTGTCTATACATTTGCATTTACATACCCATTACATACCCAACCCGAAATGGGCATCTCATACTTTCTATGATACATACTCTCCCTCTCTATGCTGAATTTCACCCATCGATCTGATACATCATCTTTCCTTTTTTGGTCCATTTGCATACAATCTTTATTTGGGATGAGCGGGTGCTCTTGTTAATAGTTCCAGTGTTGATTGAAACAAAATGTGTTTCAGTGTTGATAGAATAAATCTTTCCGTTCCTTACGGGTTTATGAATAGCTTCAAACATCTTTTCAGGGCTACCGATGTCTCATGCATCTTCAGTTATGACTGAGATGGTGAGACAATTATTCAACCACTGGCGGAAAGTTTATGTACAGTTGCGTTCATCCACTTTCCACTTTCCTCCCTACCACTTTCTCTCTTCCTCTTCTCCCCCATCTCACTTCTCTTGCTCTCTTCCACCTTTTCCACTGTTCCTGTATCTGCGATCATTTCATCACCATGCGTGGCGAGGTAAGCTTTCCCCACACCTGTCCCCTCGAATCTACTACTATGTCAACAATGAGCCTCCGTCCCGACCATTACAACGCCCATCCATCAACCAACCCCTGAGCTCACTACTGACGCATCGCTCGACTAGGTCTGCCAACTTCACATCGGCCAGGCTGGTATTCAGCTGGGCAACAGTGCTTGGGAACTGTAAGTATCGCGCGCGGTGACCTCACCGTTCCTTGTCCTACCCCACTTCCCGTGACGATCGCTCATATCACAACGCAGGTACCTGCTCGAGCATGGACTGAAGGCTGACGGCCGGATCGATCCCGACAACACTGACGAGATCAGTAAGAGCGGCTCGTTTGAGACCTTTTTCACTGAGACTGGCAATGGAAAATACGTGCCGCGGTCGATCTTCGTTGACCTGGATCCTTCGGTAGGGAGAAATGCACATTAAGCATCCAAGTTTGGCTGACAACCTGCCTGCAATAGCCTATCGATGAGATCCGCACCGGTACCTATCGCCAGCTGTTCCATCCGGACCAGATGATCAGTGGCAAGGAAGACGCTGCCAACAACTGTACGCGCCCCTCAACAAGTTTATGTGGACATGAATGCTAACAACTATTAGATGCCCGTGGTCACTACACCGTGGGCAAGGAGCTCGTTGATGAGGTCATGGACCGCATTCGCCATATGGCCGGTAAGACGACTGCCTTGGTCTTGAGCACGCGCTGAGTGGATTCCAGAAAACTGCTCTTCCCTGCAGGGCTTTTTGATCTTCCACTCCTTCGGCGGCGGTACTGGCTCTGGCTTCGGCGCTCTGTTGCTGGAGCGTCTCTCCAGCCAGTATGGCAAGAAGGCCAAACTCGAGTTCGCGATCTACCCGTCTCCACGCGTGTCTACTGTAGTTGTTGAACCCTACAACGCCGTTCTGTCCACCCACAGCACCATTGAGAACGCTGACTGCACTTTCCTGGTTGACAATGAGGCCGTCTACGGCATCTGCCACCGCAACCTGGACATTCCGCGCCCCGGCTACGAGCATCTCAATCGTCTGATCGCCCAGGTCGTCAGCTCCATCACTTCCAGCTTGCGCTTTGATGGTGCCCTCAACGTTGATCTGACCGAATTCCAGACCAACCTGGTGCCCTACCCACGTATCCACTACCCGCTAATCTCGTACGCCCCGGTTGTGTCCAGCAACCGTAGCACTCACGAGAGCTTCAAGGTCCAGGATCTCACTTTCCAGTGTAAGTAAACCCGGTGGCTTGTAACTGCTGTTTGATACTGACTCTGCGATAGGCTTCGAGCCCAACAATCAGATGGTTGTATGCGACCCCCGCAACGGCAAGTACATGGCTGTCGCCCTCCTGTACCGCGGCGACGTGGTGCCCCAGGACTGCACGCAGGCCGTGGCTGCGCTCAAGGCCAAGTCATCCTTCAACTTAGTCGAATGGTGTCCTACCGGTTTCAAGCTGGGTATCAACTACCAGAAGCCCACGCGTGTCCCTGACAGCGAGCTCGCTCCCGTCGACCGCTCGGTCAGCATGCTTTCCAATACTACCGCCATCGCCGACGCTTGGGGCCGCCTCGACCACAAGTTCGACCTCATGTACTCCAAGCGCGCCTTCGTGCACTGGTACGTTGGTGAGGGCATGGAGGAGGGTGAGTTCTCCGAGGCTCGCGAGGACCTGGCTGCTCTGGAGAAGGACTACGAGGAGGTCGCTGGTGACGTCGCGGAGCCACAGGACGAGGAGCACTAGGCTACTCTCTCCACACCGTGTTTTGCTGCACATATTCTTGCTGTTTTGATTCTCTCCATGTCTTCCCTCAGACATATTTTGGCCCTTTCCCGTTGCGACAACCCTTTTTGCCTGTGCTCTACCAGCGTTCTTTTCCTTTCGTGTACCTACAATCATCGACACAGATTATGATGTGGATGTTCAAAATCAATCAAATAATTCTATCCTAGATTAATCATTCTTTCGTGATAAGTTCGCACCGTATACCCTGGAGAGATATATCTCCATCCCTGATCCAAGAACGCCGTTGAATGCTCCCCCAGCCTAATATCCGATAATGCAAAGTTCCTGTTCTATGCCTCCATAGCCAGCTCCATTTCCTGAATCAATTTCAACGCATGCTCATACGTCCACATGGTAACTGCACTCGCTGGCGCCGCCTTGAACAGACTAACTGTCAAGCCACGGTACAGACCGCGCGGGCCCTGCGTACGCAGGATCATAGCAATGGTTCGTAATACGCCGTGGTACTCGGGGATATTGCGATGAACATAGCGCGTACGTGTCGGACCCTGCACCTGCAATCGCTTCCGTACAAGATCCAACGGAAACACGCCAGTTTTAGCCAGCACGCTAGCCAAAACACCCGCAGCCGCATCGCCAGTGCCAAAGGGAAGCTGTTCCCAATGCGCCGTTACAGGTCTTAGCGACTCATACGTCGCGAAAAATAAACCCATGTACGGCACGATCTGCGTGATGGCTGCGGAGCAGCCACGGAAGAATCCAGGGAAGCCTTCATGACGCGCAATCTCGAGAATCGAGCTCCCCAGAGACCGGTATATCCGTTCCGTTCCCTGTGCTGCAAATCTGGTGCGTAGTAAATCGAGCGGATACGTTGCTCCGGTGGCCAACCCGCCGCCCACGGCGCCGGAGATGAACGATTCCGCGGACGGCGGGAGCCGGTGCGGATCCAGCTGGGCTAGGGCTTGATTTGTGCTGCGGTATGCGGTGAATTGGATCGCGCCGTAGCAGACATACATCATTTCAGCCGGTATATTGCCTTTCCAGAGGCCCTACAAAGAAAGAAAGGGTCAGTTAATGTTCAAAGCCCATCAGGAAGGATGGACGAAGGATCAGAGAGAGACACCTACTGTTATCCCTTCCTGCCGCACAATAGCCCGCATCGTCGACAAGGTCCCCTTATACACAGGTCCTGCCACTGGACTGTGCGACGGTGGGTCCGATAGCGAGTGAATCTGCAGCTGTAGGCGGATCTTGACGACGTCCAGCGGCGCCACGCAGAAGCGCGAGATCAGGCCGGCGGCGCCGCCGGCCAGCACGACCTGGCGCCTGGTGCCTTCATCCTTGAGATGCGCGCCCCCGGCCGACATTAGGTAGTGAGTGCGATGGTATGGGACAGTTCAGCGTCGAAGCGCCATTTCTTGTTTGTTGATGGTTCCAGGTTCAAACCCGAAAAATCCAGCATATCTCGGGTTCGTTACGTAAGGCAGGCTCCATATTTCCGGGGAAGCTGTCACATGTTGCTTCCCGGTTCTTCTTCTTCTCTTCTTCTTCTTCTTCTTCTTCTCCGTCCATTTTTCGGCCATTGACCCTCCACTGTTCCTCCATGTATCGCCGACGGGCCCCAGCGCTCCTTCGCCTTGCTCGTGGTGTCTTGCAAGCTCCCCGTTGCGGCTTCGCCGCCTCCGCCGCAAGATATACCGGGGACCGGAGTGACGCCGTTCGCCCGAGCGCGGAGGTCTCATCTCTGTGGCTCTCCCAGCCTGGAACGACGAATGTCATTAAATGTGAAAAGAATCTCATCAATGATGCCAAATTACGGCTCGAATCGGATCGACTGTTCGTGTACAATGGCACATCTAAGCAGAACATGTATACCTACTTCTATCTGAGAGATTTGTGCAAATGTCCGCAATGTGTCGATCCACACTCAAAGCAGCGTTCTTTTCGGTCAAGTGACATTCCGTCCAATGTCGCTCCACGCCGGGTGGAGTGGGATAATAAGAAGCTAGTCATCCAATGGCAAAACGATATCCCAGGATATGGAGAATCGCACACGTCGAGCTTCGATCCAGACTATCTGGAACGGCCGGTCACACTAGCACTACATGACCCGAAAAACCTTCGGCATGTCCGTCCGTGGCATAACTCTAGGATGCAGCGATGGCAGCATTGGGTCTCGTTCGAAGACTACATGAACGACGACGTCAGATTCACGGCGGCCATGCGCAATCTTCAAACCCTGGGCTTAATTTTTGTTAAGAATATCCCCGAGTCTCGAGAGATGGTGGAGAGGATTGCCACGCGCATGGGTCCCCTGCGGAATACTTTCTACGGGTCAACATGGGATGTGCGCACGGTGCCGCAGGCGAAGAACGTCGCATACACCAACCAGCACCTCGGCTTCCATATGGATCTGATGTACATGAACGAGCCGCCGGGCTTCCAGCTACTGCACTGCCTGGAGAACTCATGCGAGGGGGGCGAGTCCTTGTTCTGCGATACGTTCAACGTTGTAAATTGGCTGCGGATGCGGAGCACCAAGTCAAACCTCGATCTGTTAACACAGATGGAGCTAGCATATGAGTACCAGCACGAAGACCAAATTTACCACCACAAACGGCCCGTCGTCCAGATGGATGCCACAGGAGAATTCGTGCAGTATGTCAACTACTCACCACCGTTCCAGTCCGCGCTGCCTCTCGCAAAGACAAACAAAGACGACCAAGATAGATTCATGAAGGTCCTTCGAAGTTTTGCAAAACAGCTTCAGAAGCCGACGAATATTTTTCAATTGAAGCTCAACCCGGGCGAGTGTGTGATCTTCAATAACCGTCGCATTGCTCATGCTCGCAATCACTTCAATACCACCGATGGCTCCAGGTGGCTCGCGGGCGCGTATGTCGATGAAGACGCTATGCTGTCTCGATACGCCGTGTGTCAGAAGAAGTATCCCAATGTCTGGCGAGACGCAACTCCGGCGACGGCAGATTCTGCTCCCAACGATGCCAGCGAGGACTAGTCAGTATCTCTCAGAGGCTTAATTTTCCATGCGGAGCTCGGGAAGTCCTAGCAAATTTGCCAGAGAAGGATGAGAAGGTCGCGGTCAATGAGGTTATGCGCACGCTTGTCTCATTGCCATACATGTTTTGTTTCATGTCTGTACAACCACTTTATTCCTCTTAGACATAGAATTAGAGGAGCGGATAATAGAAGCACTTCCGTCTTTACACATTGCCAAGATGGAACGATTAAATAAAACTTTGGATTCCAACCCCCAGCACCGGAGACCAAAAATTTACACAAAACATAAAAAGTCTACTTCAGGCGAGTCCCAAGATCTTTCATCACATAAACCTGTCCAAACAGGTCTGTCGCATTCACAAACGCCTCAATTGCCTTCACCGTCCCCGATTCCACCTCGCGCCTCAACTTCTGTATTACCAACTCAATACAATCCCTCTCGTACGTCGCAATGCGGAGCAGCTCGGCACCGGCCTGGTCATTCTTTTGCCCATTCTCATGGAACTCGGTAAAGTCCAGACTATTCAAGTTCCCCTCGTCGCGATCACGCGCAACCGAGCCGAGGTCATTGTATTGCCGACTCACGCTTGCGAGGTGGCGTCCCAAATCTTGAAACAGGTACTTCTGTACCGCGCCGCGGAAACACTCTTTCCCGGCCTTTGGAGCGAGGAGGTGGCCGAAATACTCTAGGGAGAAGATGCCGCCGGTATTCTCGGCCCCTGTGCCGCACACCCAGTTGAAGAATGTTCCTTCGGGCTTGTTGTTGTTCGTCTTGCCTGGGTTGAAGAGGCGTGCGTTGTCGTCAGCTTGTTGGATGTGGGCTAAAAGAAACGCTGTGGTTTGTTGGGATAGGCGTTTTTTGGCTGCTGGTGGTGAAGCGTGTACCTTTGGATGGTTCATTATCCAGTCGATCAGGCCAGTCAGGGTTGACTTCACTTCGGCAAGCAGCTCGGGGGCATCGTCTGCGTTGTGGGAATGGCCATTTTGGACGTGGCCGTTCTCTATATGACCATTGGCAACGTGACCGTTCTGAGAAATCCCATTTTGGTCATTAGCCTGAGGCTTCGCTGTCCGTTCGTGGAACAAATTTTGAATAATTGTTCGGACCTCATCAAGGCGGCCCTTGTACTGCTCTCCCACGGACTCCAGATATTCGTCCACTTGAAAAACCAGCATGGAAAGAACAATCATATCCCACATAATATCAGCAGAAAGCCCAAACCCGGCCGCATTGTTGGCTGCGGTCCAGCAAATGGGAACATAGTCGAAGTACTTGTCCTTGCCCATCCCTTTCCGAGGAAAGACATCTAAGCGGACTTGACGAAGAGCCCGGCCAAAGAGGAAACCCTCCACTGCAGACATCCGCAGCTTCCATTCGGGTTCTGAGGAGAGAGCTGGCAGTCTAGAGAAGAGTTTGGAGAACTTATCAACGGCAGCTAATGGAATAGAATGCATGCCGGACACTTTCTCTCCCCAGGCGTACTTTCCGGAATGCTTCATAGCAGCCAGGCAGTAAGCCTCGCACAGAAGCGAGGAGCCGTAACTGACCTTCTCGATCCAGATCTGTTCTGATTGATCCCAGCTGGACTGATTATTTTCTAGGAATGATACACCGCGGCTAATTGCGCTTTGAATCTCTGGCTCAAGTGCCTTGGCCCATGCAAGCGAGCCGAGTTGCTTCAGGGTCAATGTACCATATGCGGTGATCTCAGCAGATGGCTTTTGCCCCCAGGAGCCGTCTTCCGACTGACTGCTCAGAGTTCGTGCTAATATCTGGAACAACACAATGGGGACACGGTTTGCTATTAGATCTTGAGGCAGATCCAATGAACTATCCTCTTCCCAAAGCTTCAGAAGGAGAGTGAAAGCTTCCGAGAGAAGCATCATGGAATATTGAACTTCGAGGTTCTGCGTGAATGTGAGAAAGACCTCAAAAAAAAGCACTGCATCTTACTTACCCATTTATCATTGACTTTGCCCGCATACCAGCTGCGAGTCAGAAAGGCGACTGCTTTGCAGATTTGAGGCAAATGGCTAGATGGGTTCTTGGAATGAAGGATGGCCTTCAGGACATTGCAATTGGCGCTGAACGACTCGTTCCGCTCATGCGGATACGTCATGAAATGCGTCGGAGTTTCAAAAACATCGATCAAGCGCTCACAGCTGACCGGGCGACCTAATTGACTTAGTGAGATGAGAGCTTTCGCAGTATCATCGGCATCAGGCAAGACGCCCGGAGCTGGAAAGGATTAGTAAATTCGTTCTGTTAGAGCTCGACTCGAAAACGTACCGAACCCGACTACTCCTTTCTGTGCTTCAAGCTGGGCTTCGAGGTAGCCGGCCAACTTGTTCATATTGTCACTACCCAGCTCATCAGCGGTGTAACCGGACTCCATTAGCGTGGACATGCTCTGGACGACACTTAGAATCTTCTGTTTTTATTCCACTGACTTCTGGTGGACTTACCCATGTGAGAGCAAATACAGTGTTCGGGAAAGCACTCGGTACCTTCCCTTGGCGTGCGGCCACTACGGATCGGAGATAGGCCTCGGCGACAGGATCCCAGTGAGAGCAATTCATCAAATATGCCGCAGTGGAAGACGGCGAGCCCATCATGGACCCATTGCGGAGATGGTGTGAGAGCTTGTCAAAGTCGACCATGCCCACGAAGGCTTCCAAAGAGTGCAGCAGCGTTGACTGAACCGATGCATAGAGAATATTTGGTGAAAACCGCGCGAGCTTTTGTTGATTGATTGCAAGCAACTTTGCGGAACCTGGGAACTTGAAGTTCAGTCCTTCAAGCTGCAGTTGCTCCAGAAGGGTCGGAACAAGGATCTCAAAGCCCACATGTACTGTGGACTCGACATCCCAGGACGCTAGCCTCTGTCGTAGGAAGGCCTCACCGCGCGCAATGCGATCTTTGATATCAGAAGGGCACGGACAGACATTGGTGGATGGTTGTTTATCGTGCTTCAGCAGCGCGAGCAGCGCAGCCATCGTATGAAGAATGGCATCAACATCTGCGCTCCACCCATTGAAACCTCCTTCGGCAGATTGACTTTCCACAAGGATCTGAAAACATTCAGGAAACAACCAATGAACAGAGCCATCGCTCTCGGTCTTCGATATCATGGCTAACCATGCTGTATCATAGATCGCAGCTGACATGGATCCAATGCCTTCCGGTCGATCCAGAGAGTCGGCCAGGAACGCGACATGATTCTTAGCTCGGTTGTTAATAATTGAAGATGGCTGCATGGTGTATAGGTTCAAGGCTATACAGAGATACAAGCACAACACAAGCTTAGGCAAAATTGAACGAACCCCTGGTCGAGGTGCCAATTATATCTCTACGTTCTATGCAAAGCCTCCCGGGACAGGAGCGGGATTCTTGATTATGAATTAGCGTCATATTGGACTGATTGTGCTCCGTTTTATTTTAATATTGTCGCATAGGACAACAGAGCGGTGGTATGTCCAGATCCGGAACATCAACTAAACATCGGCGCCACTGACGATACGGCAGGATGTATTATTTTTTGTCACAAATTCCACTACGGTACCTGAGATCATCGCATGACGTAAGAGCAAGGGCTAGGAGTCCATCAGATGAGTTGTGGCTTACGAGTCAGACACCAAAAATACCGGTGCTAACCTCTTCGCGGTGTGATGGTGATATCGATGTACGGGATTGGCCAGATGAAATTGGTCTGGATCGGCGGGTGTTCTGGGGGCCAGTCCCACCCAAATGCAAGCCAACTACTAGTCTTTTTGGGGCAACGCGGAAGCCAAGCGCAGGGATGGGGCATGTCGAACATAAAGAGGATGATTAACAATGGCTCGAGCCAGCATACAAAGGACCTTGGGGAGCCGCTCAAGCCGGATTTTCCTCTACAGCCTTCAGCATGGCGTTTCTATCCATCGTCGCTGCCCTTAGCGGCACTCTTGCTGCCGTCGGTGAGCTCTGTTTCTTGCCTCAGGACTGTGGCTGATACGTGTAAACAGTACTTTGCGACGCAAATTGTCTACAACCTCTACTTCCACCCGCTAGCCCGATTCCCGGGCCCTCCTGTATGGTGCGCATTGCATTTGCCCTGGCTGCGGGTTCTGCTCAAGGGCCGGCTCCCCTACACGGTCAAGGAATACCACGACCAGTATGGCCCAGTCGTACGCATATCTCCGGATGACCTCTCGTTCTCGGACCCATCCGCCTGGCGCGACATATATGGGAAGCAAACGCTCAACCGGCCTTTCCAATGGGGCGGTCGCAAGCCACCGGGAGTTAAGTCTCATAGCTTTATTAGTGCCCCGGCGGCGGAGCATGCCCGCCTTCGTCGCGCCTTCAATCCGGCCTTCTCGGAAAAAGCCGTCCGAGGTTATGAACCCACAGTGACCCACTTCATCGATAAGCTCATGGACTGCTTGCGATCACTATCTGACAGAACAACCGGCGAGACGGACGTAGATATCAACCATTGGCTCAATTATGTCTTTTTCGATGTCATCATGGAGCTCGGCTGGGGTAGCAATTTCAATTGTTTGGAGAACCGGCAGTACAATCTCTGGATCTCGTTTGTCACGCAGCTCAAGGCGAAATTGGTCGCGAACGCGATCTCCTACTACCCTTTCATCAATATGCTAATGCCGTATCTTATTCCACCGGCGGCGAAAAAGGCCATGGAAGAGGTCTTTGGCACCAGCATGGTGAAGGTCGAAGAGCGTCTTTCCCGGAAGGGTCCCACACGCACGGATATATTCCAGTCAGTTTTGCAGGATCCTGAGCATAAGAACGTTTCTATGGACGAAATGAGCCAGGCAGCGATGGTCATTATTGCTGCAGGAAGTGAGACTTTGACCACCTCGTTGAGCGGGACTCTCAACCACTTGTTGCGGAAGCCGGAGAAACTTGAGCGACTCGCTAAAGAAGTACGCTCCTCATTTACATCGAACAGTGAGATCAACGAACAGACCGCCCGGACAATGCCCTATCTCAACGCAGTCTTGAAGGAAGGCTTGCGGCTCTGTCCGCCAATTCCGGATAACATCCGTCGCGTAACACCGCCCGAGGGGCTGACTATTGCGGGTGTATCGGTACCCGGCAAAACGACCGTGTCAACCGGTTGCTGGCTTCAGTTTACCAACCCAGAGAGCTTCTCTCATCCCGAAGAGTTTATTCCGGAGCGGTGGCTCGAAGAGCATAGCAAGGAAACCGCTAACCGCGCCGCGTTCAACCCCTTTGGCCTCGGCCAGCGCAACTGTATGGGGCAGACCTTGGCGTGGGTCGAGATGCGCCTTCTGATGTGCAAGCTTTTCTGGCACTTTGACCTCAAGCCGGCAAAGGAGCTGCCAGTGTGGACAGACCAGAACATCTTCTGGTTCTGGGACAAGCTCCCATTGGAACTGAAGCTGCAGGCTCGAACTGTCTCTTGATGCAATCTGAAACTAGCGCATGATTCGACGGTTGTCTTTACCAGGGGAGTACTCGATGTGTACATGATTCAACAAATTTGTCAATAAGCGTGTTTGTACTTAGATCGCCGATCTACAATAGCAGTGATGTAAACATGAAGCGATAATGCGTACAATCACATAAATAGATCTTGATTGCAAATCATGGTTCTTCAGAACAATGTGACACGGGGGTTTGGCCGCTAGCTGTAAGGTACTTTGTTACAGATGACCAAATGTTAATTATAGTCTGAGGGAGGGGTTGAATCAATATTGTATAGTTTTACTAGCACACCAGTAAGAACCCTATGAGAATGTTCGCTTGCACTCATCTACAAGGTTTCCAATCCATCAAATCGCGAATACCCATTACATGGAGGATTTAGATCGACAAAGCCACAATGCTCATAAGTGGTGCTCTCGATATGCACTTGCGTCATGGCTGACCTGACGATTACGACCTTTCAGCCCCCAACTATTCCTGCATACGCTTGTCTTACGAACCAAGACAGTGTTAATATGTAAGCGACATATTTGGGTTACATAGATCGTATGTTGGTGGTGACGAAACCAATGACAGCTTGCTGTATCTGCAGGGCCATGGCTTACCAGCCGTCGCAGTCTATTTATGGGGGGCCGAAAACCTGCATAGCCCGGCGGCGCACGCCCTCCACTCAATCACACATGCACAAGCACCGTGTTGGCCCGTGGAAGATGTTCATTGATCAGCATGCCCCAGTGGTCGAATCCTGGCGATTATACAATTGTACTAGGTTTGGGGGCCCTCGGCTGAACTTGGTATCTGCACCGTGAACATGATATACGATATACCAGTTTAGGATAGATCGTCGCGGGGGCTTTTTTTCTGATTGCATGTGTGGCAATGAGAAATCAGCAATGCCCGCCCATTTAGGGCTCTCTAAATACAGGAGTGTCTTCCCTAACTGCGCGCGAGCTTGCGACGTCCGGGTGAACTTGAAACCATTATCGCAACCATGGGTGGTCCTCAAAATATACCAGACAGCGCATTCCCCTTCCCCGGCGCTGGGCCTCCTCCGAAAGGCGTGACGCCTAACTTCACCAACCCGCCCAGCATTGGCTGGAAGTTCGAGGCGGCAGCCTGGCCGCTCTGGACCATTGGGTTTATCTTTGTGCTTCTGCGTCTCTACTCCGGTATTCATACCGGTCAAGGCAGGATCAAGTGGGATAATGTGTTCATGGCATTTGCTATTGTCGGTTGCGACTGTTAATCTTCTAGTTTTGCACCCGCTGACTGCTTAACAGGTGCTTGCTCTGGCACGAGTTATCATCTTGACAGTCGAGGTCGAAAAGTATGGTATGGGACGACATGTTTGGAACCTACCGCGGCCATGGATGACTATTCATCGTTCGGTACGTCTTTCACTAGGGCGTCGGTCGCAAACATACTCATACTTCTACAGATTATCTATATTGGGGACATGTTCTATCTGCCATCGATGATGTTCGCCAAGCTGTCTATATTGTTGGTCTACAAGCGGTTGTTTGGGATTAGCAGGTCACTGCGCATGGTTGTATACTTCATGATGGGACTCATGGTAGTCTACACCGTGGTCATGCTATTTATCTACGGATTCAACTGCAGACCCCCCTACGAGTACTGGGGCTGGCATATGACCATGGATGTAGCCTGGACTGAGTCACACTGCTTCGACTTTCCAACGATGAACCTTGGCATGGGTGGTGTGAACATTATCACTGACACGGTCATTCTACTGCTGCCAATGCCGTTCGTCTGGAAGCTACAGTTGCGGCCCATGCAGAAGTTCGGTCTATGTCTCGTGTTCGGCGCAGGTGCATTTACTGTGGCTGCTTCCTGCGTGCGTGAATACTTCGTCTACGCAACGGAGAGAAATGCAGACCAGTCGTATAACGAGGTCATCCAGACTACCTGGCTGTGAGTACTATCCACCATTCTTTCCGATTCCCCTCAAATCTGATAATCTGGCACAGGACTGTCGAGCTGATGGTTGGCATCATCGCCGTGTCTCTGCCTGCCATCGGGCCCGTCTACCAGAAGGTGATCCGCGATTCGCGCATTGGCACATCTCTGCGCAATCTGTTGTCGCGACTCACACCGTCGAAGAATTCTTCGCAGGCAAGCCACAATAGTCGAGCGCCTCGCATTTCAACCATGGCATTCACAGGGCAAAGGAGCTGGCTGCATACTACCCAGTCCCATTCCAGCGCTGGCAGCGGCATTGTCCCGCTAACCAACAACTATAGTCGATCAGGTGAATATGCACGGTCTCCTGCGGATCCGACATTGGCTACGCAAGTGTAGGCCAGACTTGAGAGCCAAGTGAGGGGAAATTGGTGACGGAAATTGGGGGGCCAAATGTGATATATGCACGGTTTTCTTTTTGTGTTGGTCGTGAATGTACGGATATACCTAGATAGGAATGAGGCTACGAGCAATTTTTATGGCATGGCGCAAATAGTACCACTATGATAATGGCAACCATAGGCTGGTGATTCGCAGTAAGAAGTCTAGACTGAGCTACTATGGTAAATGGCATCTCCACGGTGCTTTGTCTGGGGCGGGAGCCGGAGTTTGGCTGAACGCTATGATGTCAATGGCACTTTGGGCAAGGTTGTGGCTTGGCATTAACGGGAATAATAATAGATACACAAAACTCAGACAACGATCCTAACCAGAGAAAGACAAACAAAGACACCATGTGGAGCGCTAAGGCCGAGGCAAGAACTCCTAGCGCAACGACTGCTCCACACGCCGAATCCCGATCTGGCCCCCAATTCACTAGTATCAATTAAATCGGACATTTTACTCCGTAACATCCAGTTGCATCTGCTCCTCCACAGGCCGCGCACGGATCTGCACTTCAACATCTGGATTGGGGAATATAAACTCATATGCTCGCAGGTTCTCTGGCCGGTCACATCCATCGAGCAACTTGACATCATAGTTCATTATCAGCTCGACAAGAATGGTCTTGATCTCGAGCGCGGCAAAGAATCGGCCTGGGCAAGCGTATTTGCCGTATCCGAAGTTCAGCTTGTTCGGCTCTGCCGTGGCAAACTGATGCAGATGACCTTCGCCGGCGCGTGAGCGCATGCGCTCGTAGCGGAAGGGATCGAACTTGTCCGGCTCGGGGGTGACATCCGGGTCATTCTGGATCTTGTTCACGGCCATGGCAATGTGGGAACCACGTGGTAGGACTGTACCATCGGACAGAATAGCGGTGTCTTGCATAATGCGGTGGTAGGCCAATATGCTGGGCGGATTGAAGCGCTGACTCTCACGCAAGAAGCTGTCCAGCTTGCGCAGTTTGCCGTATGAAGACTTGTTCCAGCCACCGGGTTCTGCAGCCACGGCCCGGATCTCCTGGCGCAAGGGTTCCAGATACTCTGGGTGTGCCGCAAGATCATACATCACATGCACGGCGTTCATCTGCGAAGTGTGGATGCTTGCAAGCGAGATGATGGTCTCCAAATGAGCGAGAAAATTGGGATCTTGCTCTTCGGCTGTGTTGGCAGACTCAATCATCCATTGCAACAGGCTGCGTGATTCCTTCTCGCCTTGTCCGGAATAGTATGCCGCTTGGCGCCGTCGAATCTCCGGGACCAGGAGTTTCTGAGCGCGCTTAACATAGTTGTGTAGCTTCCACCGTGTTGGGATAAAGGGCGCAATGAATGGGTGCATCCAGGTAGGGAAGACCCGCATCGCAAGCAGAGTAACGAAAACTGTCCGAAGTTCAGTCAGAAAAGTCGTCGTTTTGGGCGTTCTCTCTACTTACCATTTTCGGTAAATTGCGTTGAAATCTCTAGCCATTCCTCATTACGAGCAATCGGTAATCCAACAAAGACACGCGCGCTGATGCGCGCCACCATGTGTAAAATGACATGGTACGGTTTGATCGTGGCCCACTGATCGTGACAGTCAGGCAATTCCATTTTCACGGCATACTTCAGCTCGTCCCGCATTGGCGCAGCGAGGCTTGCCAAGTTGGGCGTCAACTTTGTCTGGATAGAGCGGAAATGCAGATCACCGCTCATAATCAGGTCCATATTCGTATATGGACCGAGTAGATTGTGGACATGCGCCGCCTTAGGGTTTGCGACGTTCATGGGCAAAGCGCGGATCTCCTCTATGTACTTATTTGACACAATCATCATGTCGCAATCATTGCGTGCAAACCGGAAGATTTGGTTTTTGAACTACGTCCACTGTCAGTCTGGCTAGCCGGGTTCTGCCTAGGTTAGGCATATTCTTACCCTTGCATATCCATCGTCAAGAATTGCACCCAGGTTCATGAAGACATGCCAATTGGCAACTACCCGGAGATCGAACGATGTTTTAAGGCCTACTAATGGCGCCTTGTTCTTCCAGCGCAAGTCGAGCCAGGCATATAGATATCCCGCAACAGCCAGAATGCCAAACAGCGCGAGCGGAGGAATGACGGGTAGGCGTTCATAGCACTCTTCTATGACGGCCATGGTGATTCAGGATGTTTTAGTGATTCCAGTGGAGAAGAGGCAGGAACAAAAGCCAGTAGAGAAAGCAATCCATCATTGCGAAGTCCGCTTTTTTATCTCAGTATATATTGCCACCGCGGAAAATAGACAGAAATGGTGCACAGCTCTACCAGGGCACGTCATGGGTACCGTACGACGGGTCCTTAGTAGATCATCGCTCGAGAGGGAATGCGCCTCTGTGCTGAGTCTGACGAAAGACATAAGCTGCAAGCCACCGGGTTTACTCCGGCCCCCAAATACGTCGCGTACGCCCGTTCTATTCATGATGTCTTTACATGAATTTCCATTGGACGCATTAGTTGAGTCAGGGCAATGATCTGCGTGGCTGACGAAAGTGGTAAATTTTTAAGCATCCAATCCGGGTGACAGGCCCATTGAGTGAGAGCAATCCGATCAGTGCTTGCATATATCCAGATACACCGGTGCCTTTGCACGTGCCTGGTCTAGAACCGATTAGGCCATATCGCCGAGTGCTGCTCGATCAGACTGTCATGAGGGTGGGCGCGGACCCAGAGGGCTGGGAGACTAACGAAATCCTTCTACGATTCAATGTCATCGCCAAGATGGGGCCTGGACTGCCGTCTATGAGATCAGTGGGTAACATTTGCGGTGCCACTCGGCCCAACTGAAAGTTGTCCAGTAGGATGGCTTATTGCACGCTACATTCGGTTCCACTGGATGGGAAATCATAGAACCGCCGGAGTATAGATCAGGCACCGGAGGCAAAGTGATGGTACTGTATCCTTGTGACGTAGACAGATTCCTTGAAGAAAAAAACATGTATCATTATGGTTGATTTTTTGTATCATCTAAGTCCAAAGGACAGGGTGGGTATCGCACAATGACAACCAACTACTAAACGGCCACAGGCTTGCTGACCGAGAATTCTTTCATGAAGTTGGGATCACTGTTGATTTCCTCGCGAACCTATACCAAATATGATTAGCAGCAAATACAACGGATGAGAAAGGGTAGAAACGTACAATATCCAATCCACCCACAAGCTCTCCGCTCACCCACAACTGCGGGAAGGTTGGCCAGTCGGCAAACTCCTTCAGCCCCTGCCGGACTTCCTCGTCGGCCAGGATGTTGAAGAATCCATACTTGACGCTGCGCTCACGAAGAATGCCGACCAACTGCCGACTGAAACCGCACTGAGGAGAGCTTGGTGTGCCCTTCATGAATAGCATGACTGGAGCGGCCTTGACGAGGTCAGTCAGGCGCGCCCAGAGCGCCTCCTTGGTCTGCTCTGGAGTCAAAGACTGGCCTGAGGTGACGGGAGTAGCGTTCGCAGCGGGGCCGGCTGAGCCATCAACACCGGAGACTGGCGCCTGAGTGGCAGTGGTGGGTGCATCCTCGCGGGGCACAGCAGACAGAAGAGGCGGAATGTTGGCTCTGTTCACTCCATCGATAGGACCAGTGGTGCCGCGGCCCGCATGCAGCTCGACAAGGTCGCGCACTTTGATGGCATCACTGCCGCTGACGGAATCGAGAACCTGGCCATCACGCACACAGACGACAAAAGGCACCGCAGAGACATCATATTCCTCCGAAATGTCTGGGAGCTCCTCGGCATTGATGCTGAGGAAGGAGATGGTTGGCGGGGCGGCGGCGGGGTACTGGGTGGCCAAGGCATCAAGGACGGCGCGCATCTGGGTGCAGGGAGCAGCCCATGGTGTGTGGAAGTAGAGGACGACAAGTGCAGAAGGGGCGAGAGAGGCCAGATGCGACGAGAAGTCCGCCTCGGATGTGACTTCGGTGAGCGCCGACATGGTTGGGATGGGCGGGCGAGCAGACGGTAGGAAGGGCGCAGCGGCTATCGACTAGAAGCGGGGATAATTGGAGTGTAGGTTTTGTAAGAAGCAGATATTGTATAGACAGCCCAAAAATGAGTTGTGTCTGCTGCGATTGCTGTAGAGTGAAGCGATGGCGTGACGGAGGCGATTTTTCCCGAACGAGCACCACCGGCGATCACGGGCTTATCAGATCGGACATTAGTCAGCCAGTGGAACTCTGCGCATCCAACTAGAAAGTCCAGAGGAATGAGAAGCCAGGAATGCAAAGCAAGCAAATTCCAGAAACAAAAGGAATAAGAGTATGGACAGATGGATGATTGAAAATGTGAGTGCGAAGAGACAAAATGGTAGACACCTCAGGCAACCAAGCTGCCATATCTCCGGGGTTATCAGCACGTGACAAGGACTCGATTTTATTCGCAATCGTAATCGGAGAAGCTTCCACGCTGCCCGACCAACAGCCCCTCCGTGCAGCAGCAGACAATGCCTCGTGACAAGAGGAAGCGCAATGATAATGAAGATGATTCCCCTATCGCGGATCCCTCCACCGGCAGCGACTTCGGGCTAGCCCAGACACTGTCCCGTCTGCAGGACACCGAGACGACGAGCATGCCTGGCCAGGCGAAAAAGAAGAAGAGGGTGGATGGGGAGAAGGTCAAATACCCAGCCCTGAACTATGTCGAGGGTCGAATGCAATCATCCGTCCGGATTGCCGACCTCCAGAGCTTGCTTCTATATTGCTTCGCCGATGGAATCGCACCGCAGTGGATCTCGCTCAAGCACTCCGGCCATGTGCGCAAGATTGTCGTGGTGATGGTGCCAGGGCTGGAGATGGGCATGTTTGACGGGACCATCCCATTAGAGCCCGAGCCAACAGCAATCCAAGAAGGAAGTGGGCAAGAGGACGGTACCGACGACCGCGAATCAATGGCAGACACCAAGGCGGCGGATTTCCAACGATGGAAGCAAGGACTGCCCCTCGAAGACCGTTCGCATCGATACAACCCACAAGCTCTCACGCGCGATACCCTTCCAGAGCCGTTACGGCCGCTAGCTGACATGTTTCCTCATATCTGGCCAGTCAGGGCCCCAGGAGACGCGAAATACAACAAGGTTCATTCGCCACTTCAGGCTATCCTGCTTTCCTCTCTACCAAAAAGCAAGGACGAGGGACAGCGAAAAGGTGTACGACCAGCCCGGATCGACAAGAACTTTTCGTCTCAACGGACCCCTATAACGACCTTTATCAGTACGTACGAACAGCTGTGCGAAAACGGATATGCTCCACATCCCGCTTTCTTCACATCTGAAGAAGAGAAGGCGGCAGCTGCCGAGTCTCGTAAGCGAGCTGGTCAGTCTACTGAGGACGGATGGGTGGATACTTTGGTTCCAAATCTAGAGGCTGGCGACGTGCCTGACGGTGAGATTGAGAAGGGCAGCATGACAGCCGGACGAGACGTGCTCGCACTCGACTGTGAGATGTGCCTCACAGAGGGCGGACAGTCGGAGCTCACTCGCATCAGCTTGGTCCGCTGGGACGGGGAGGTCGTGATGGACGAGCTCGTAAAGCCCCCACGGCCAGTTATTGACTACTTGACTCGCTTTTCGGGCATCACTAAGGAGCTACTGGATCCGGTGACGACCACTCTTGGCGACATCCAGCAACGCCTGCTGGAAATTCTCACTCCGCGTACAATTCTGGTGGGCCATTCTCTCGACTCTGACTTGAACGCCCTCAAAATCGCACATCCGTTCATCGTGGACACCACGATCACCTACCCACACCCACGCGGCCCGCCGCTCAAATGCAGTCTGAAATGGCTCACGCAGAAATATCTGGGCAAGGAGATCCAAAAGGGAATGACAGGCCATGACTCAATTGAAGACGCCAAGGCCGTTCTTGAGCTTGTCAAACAGAAATGTGAAAAGGGCGAACGATGGGGCACCAGCGAAGCCTCGAATGAGAGCATCTTCCGTCGACTATCCCGGTCTTCCCGACCAGGCCTTAAAGCAGCTGCCACAAGCGAGGGACGCACTGGTGCGGTCGTCGACTGGGGCAGCCCGGAACGCGGACTCGGTGCACAAGCAACCGTTTCAATCGGCTGCCGCGACGACAACGATGTCGTCCGCGGTATCTCCGCCGCCATCAATGGCGACGAATCCAACCACTCCATTCCCGGTGGCGGCGTGGACTTTGCCTGGGGCCGGCTGCGTGAACTCGAATACCTGCGCGGGTGGTGCAACCGACTCCCAGACCCGGACAACGCCAACCAGTCCACAACCATCGTTCCTCCGCCCGAAGAAACCACCCCGACCACCACGACAGGTGGTACGAACGGAGATTCTCAAGCAGACGGCAGCAATACCGCCACCCTCTCCGAAACCGTGTCCCAAACCGTCTCCAACATCGCCCGCATCTACGACTCTCTACCCCCTTGCACCTTGTTCATGGTTTACTCCGGAACAGGTGATCCGCGCGAGGTTGGCCGTCTGCAGGCTATGCACAGGACATATCGCGAGGAGTTTAACACCTCCCGCGTGCCATGGGATGAATTAACTGTTAAATGGACAGATGCAGAGGAACAGGCCCTGAAGAAAGCATGTGAGCGAGCCCGCGAGGGCTGTGGCTTTATGTGTGTGAAATAAATGTATTAGGACATGTGTGTAGACCACTACTTAGATGCGGTTGAATCTATCTGTCTCAGACATTGTATTCCACGTCGCGTGCCCCTCGGGAGTGTCTGCTCGGGGTTTTAAATATGTTTGATTTCACAGTACTTCTATGGAGCACTAGTATTCCCAGTGTTAAAGGGGCGCATTTGGTTCATAAAATGCCTTCTATCGTACACGTTCTCAACTGGTTATCATTATCGTGCCCCCTCCGTCTCCATCATCTCTTCGTGCTGCATGGCCATTCGGGTCATGACGTCCCGCGCCGCGACCTTGGCCTTACGCTTTTCGTGCATTGCAGCTTCGGCTGGAGTGTCTTGGGGACTATCCCCGCCTTTCTCCTGCTCCTCACCCGGGGCTTTGCCATTTTGATGATTGATTTCCCCGCCATGTGCCGTCTGTGAGGTTTCTCGTCCCGTCTGGTCCTTTCCTTCCGCGTTGTATCGTTCGTTATGCCGGGCCAAAGGTGAGGCAGGTCGGGATCCTGAGGTTGTGCTGCGTCGGGGGCGGCCTCTTCCTCGAGGGGCAGGGTTGGATTGGGGTTGCACCGGCTCGATAGCTTCGGTCAGGTCGGCGGATACAGATTCATTCGATGCGCGCGGGATCTCCGGCTTTGTTGACTGGTTGAAAGATTTCCTTGGTCGACCGACTGGCCTTTTTTGCGGTGGGTTTGGCTGAGACGATTCATTGTTGGACTGGGTAAGTCGTGGACGCTTTGCCGCGCTTTGCTCATTCACGGCCGTGACAGATGGGAGGTCGGACGGCCGGCCAACTTCTATTTGGCGCCTTGGAGACGCAACACCGGGTTGCTCTTGGTGGCCATTGACATGGTGCGGATCCTTGAGCGGAACACGACTACAGTGAATGGGCAGGTCTGCCAGCGAAACATCGTCCAATATATCGTCCTCCTCATCAAACGAGTCGGCAATCGGCTGGGTATGCTCACTTGGGAAGGACTCGGACCAAGGACGTTTGCGGCCGGCTTGCAGTAAGCCTGGACTCCGAACCACTGGGAGTGCGCCGTTGACGACCGATAAGGTGTCTGTTGGATTTTGCTGGTTCCCTCCCATGAAGCGGTTCTTGAGCTTCAGCGTCTCAATTTCCAGCTTCAGTTTCTCAATCTCTTCCGACTTGGATTTAAGCTCTTTCAACACTGTAGCGATCATGTCGAAGTTATGTGCGCCATTCTCGCCGATATGGCTATTGGGCCCGTTCATTTCGATGCGCAGCGAGGTGAAAGAGTGTTTCAAATCCATCATCGTGTCCTGTAGATGATTCACCGAGCTCGAGATTTGATCGATGCTTCGGCCCTGGTGCTGCATCTGCCGTTGCATAGAAAAGGAAGTGTCGCGAGTCGTGTCGGTGGGTCCGCTAGGGACTAAAGCGTCCTCTTGAATGCTACTGCGATCGCGATGTGTAGGCTCTTTCGGGGTGGTCAATTTGCTAAGAGATTCGTTGTTGAAGATCGGTTCGACCGTTCGCATGGTAACTATTTCCCTAAACGCGACTTTGGCCATCTTCCAGAAGACATTCGGTCTAGAAAGGTGCTTGTCAGAACCTATAACCAAATGGGGTTTCTAACCAACCTACCCATTATCTAGCGCGCACAGCACTCCAAGCTTCTGCTGACATAGCTTGCAGAAGACTTCCTGAATAATGCGACCGCGCAGGAGATTCATATCAGAGGATTGTGGGATCTGCTTGCGCTCGGAGGAGACCGAGATGCGATGAAGGTTGACGCTCAGCCATGCCGTCGCAATCGAGTATGAGTTCGAGAGTCGGGCCCATTCGTTCTCCAGCGCAGCCAGCGAGCTGGAACAGCGCGAGCACTGACACAGGATCGCGGGTCGCGTTAGATGGGCCAAGTCCATCCTGGCGAAGAACAAGCGCACAGGGAGTATGGAAGCGAGTCGAGTTCTGAGAAGAAAATTGGGCGAAGGAAAAGGGTGACCCAACTTGGGAAATCAAGAGGCTGAGTCAGCAGTCGAGACCCTGGGCCGTTCCTGCGCTAACCCGCTTTGGGATTTTCTAGAGCTGCGTTGGCATCAAACAAACACATACCGAGTTCTACAATACTCTTCCACGGTTGACAGTGGCGCAATCGAGCAAAAGAACCCGCCGTCTGTCCATGATTCTCTCCAATTGACCTTCTACTGCGTAACCGCGGTAGATCACTGCCAAATACTCGATCCGGTTCCCCGCAATCACGTGGTGTTCCCCTCCAATCGTGATTGACTCAACTTCCTGTCCTTCAATCATGAGTCGTTGCTCGCGCATTCTCTTCAGGTCACGCCCCGCGCTGCCATCTATACTTCCTAGCGCAAGAGCTGTATCCCGGATCAGCATGGCCCACCTTTCCACGGCTGCAATGGCGCAAGCCTCTATCGCCAACAGCTCATGGCACGGTGCGGGCGCCGCGGAGTTCGACCTTCGAAGTATGTCCTCATCCAATCGATTGAACCTCTACTAACTCCGAGGAACCTAGGCGACACCATGACGAAGCCTACCCCGTCTATGCTCCAGGCGATTTGCCAGACTACCCTGCTGGACGATGTCTTCAATGAGGACCCGGTCACCAATTCCCTCCAAAACTATGTCGCCGCGCGGACGGGACATGAGGGAGGTCTTCTCGTTATGTCCGGCACCATGGGAAACCAGGTGGCCCTTCGTACGCATCTGATACAACCCCCATATGCCGTCCTGTGCGATCACCGATCCCACATCGTCAAATACGAGGCTGGCGGAGTCAGTTCGTGGACGGGGGCTACCGTGCAGGCAGTCATACCCAAGAATGGCATTCATTTGACCTTGGAGGATATTCAGAAGCACGTGGTGCTCGGCGATAACGACCACTTCTGTCCGACCGCAGTGATCAGTTTGGAGAACACCCTCGATGGGATGATCATGCCACTGAGCGAGGCTCGCCGGATCTCCGAGTGGGCCCATGCTAATGGTATGAAGGTGCACCTGGATGGCGCGCGACTGTGGGAGGCTGTTGTGTCCGGAGCCGGCAGCCTGCCTGAGTACTGCGGTCTGTTCGATAGCGTCAGTCTGTGCTTTTCCAAGGGACTCGGCGCACCCATTGGAAGTATCATTGTAGGCTCCCAGGAGTTCATCAAGAAGGCTCGCTGGTTCCGTAAGTCGATCGGCGGCGGTACCCGGCAGGCAGGCGTGATAGCCTCTGCGGCGCGGGTGGCCGTCGAGGAGACTTTCGGCTCAGACCCTAGCGGAAAGGACGGCAAGCTCAAGGAAACGCATGCCAAGGCCAAGCAGATTGCTGATATGTGGACCAGCCGCGGAGGCAAACTGCAACATCCCGTGCAGACCAACATGGTTTGGTTGGATCTGGAAGCCTCGGGGGTGGGCCCCAATGATCTGCCGGAGATCGGCAAGAGAAACGGGTTACAACTCCTGGGGGGCCGTCTGGTCATTCACTACCGTAAGTGTTTTTTTTTTGGTTTTGTCTTTTTTTGCGGAATGACTTGAATTCTAACGGTGTCACAGAGGTGTCTGCGGAGGCAATTACGCGGCTGGAGCAAGTGTTTGATGCGGTGATGAAGGGCGAGTTCGCACGCAGCGACGATACGAGCAAGCCATACGGGATGAAATAAACCTTGTGTATATACGTTCATTTCTGTCTGTAGATACTTTTTTAGATCCTATAGATCTAGCAGGAATAGAATCCACGGTAATCCACGGTTAGCGGTAGTCCTTCCAGCCAATCACCGCCCGCATCATCGGATGAGTCAGAACTCAGCGCCTCAGGAACACGATTGCTGCCTGAGGCGTGTGCGTCTAAAGACGAGGCTCGTCTCGTTCCTGGGCTGTTCCTCGGACGACGCTTCTTCCCACCTGCCTCCCGACCGCCCGCGTTCTGGTCTGTCCCCTGCCTCACTTCAAGCCCTTCTCCCCGTGGACAGACAGACTCACAGGCAGCTCGCTGTGTAAGTGTATCTTTCCTTGTCCGAGGCTCTCGAGGTCATACAAACACTCGGTCCTGGGACAGGCCTACCTCAACATCCACGAAATCACTGCTAACCCGTTGGAGATTCTCTCGACAGAAATACGCTCCTTGTTACGGTCGCCACAACTTGCCAAGCTTTGCGTCTTTTCTTGGGTCGGATTGACGGTCGCCAATGACGACAAACAGCTGGAGCGCTGCCGATTGACCAGCTGCTACATCCTTCTCATACTGATCAATCGACAATTACAACATTCGGGGAGGCTGTCTGTTCTTGGCCGATCGTTGGACTGGTTGATACCCTCAATAGACAAAATCATCAACGGCATCTGCGGTCAAATTGGTTCTGGGTGAACCGTGAAACAACCAACACGCTTGGGAGCCCGATCCGAGCGCTTTGGTGGCCGCCATAAGCTCTGATCGTTCAGAAACAACCCGGTTGCCAGCTGTACCTGAAGGACAAGTTCTGTGACTTGGTTTGCCTGCCTCTGGGGTGTCCTTGCCCGGGTGACTCGCCCTGGTGACAGTTTTGATCTTCCTGGTCGGTCTATTTCTCGCCTGACCCTGTCCTCGCTCACTCACTGCCTTGGACAGGCCAACGAAACCCTGTTCATGATCGTTTTATGCCCATATCGCCATTTTTCCATCAGCACATATACCCCAACTCGTCAGATTCCCAGCAGTAGTTGTTTCCTTATTACTCCGTGTCATTAGCGATATCATTTGCATCATACTCAAAAACAGAATGGAGGCAACACAAGAGTCCACTCAGCCATGTGCTGACCCCCGCCGGATGGGCTTGAATAATTCCGGACTCCACGAAACGGACCTGGCGGACATCATCTGTATCCTTCATCCCACCTCCCATACAGCTCATGATGCGGTATCGGCAACAGCACGTCATGGCACCCAGCATATACTCCAGCGAGATATGTTGGAATACGAAAGCTCCGATACGGCCTCGCTGGATGTCGCGTTGAGACTATCATCGGATGTCTACGACCTGGGCACGGGGTTCTGCTTTGGCCGCAATCGTGCTTCTTGCGACGTACTTCTTTCAGGCGACGATGATGCTAAACGTGTCTCCAACAAACACTTTCGCATTTATCTCACCGGTGACGGGATCATCATGTTACAAGACACCTCGACAAACGGGACTATCGTAGACAACTGCCGTCTGCGCAAGAGAGACAAGGACAACAACAGCCGGATGCTGACCAACGGTTCTGTCATTAATTTGGTCAGTGGCACTCAAAGCTCGGATGAAGTGCGGTTTATCGTCCGGATTCCATCGCGAGATGGATTCAATATGCAGTACACACAAAACGTGCTTCGCTACTTCGAACGGGTCCAGAGACACGTCGGTGCTGTGCAGCATAGGACGCGGCATCTCGCCCAGACTCAGCCCGCTCTCTCGTGGTCGGCTGCCAATACTTTTGGCATGCATTGGTCAGGCGGCTCGATGTACAATGTGACTGGTCAGATCGGAAAGGGGGCGTTTGCAACAGTCTACAAGCTCGCCACCAAGCAGCATGGGACGATATTTGCGGCCAAGGAGCTCGACAAGCGGCGTTTCATGAAGAATGGCATTTTGGATCAGAAAGTCGACAATGAAATGAAAATCATGAGAGACCTGCGACATGTGAGCTTTATATATCATCTACTTCCGTGCTATTACTGACTACAGTCTAGCCGAATATCGTGAAATACATTAATCACTATGAGCATGATCGCTGGATCTACATTATCATGGAATATGTTCCTGGAGGCGAGCTGTCCACATATCTGCAAAGCCACGGCAAAATCCCCGAAGAAATGGTCAGAACGATAGCCCGTCAAATCCTACGTGCACTTCACTATCTCCACAAACGCCACATCACCCACCGCGACATCAAACCAGACAATATCTTGATTGCCTCACTCGACCCGTTGAGGGTCAAGCTTTCTGACTTCGGTCTGTCTAAGGTGGTGCAAGAGGAAACATTCCTGAAGACCTTCTGTGGCACGCTACTCTACTGTGCGCCTGAGGTGTATCCAGACTACGAGATGTACAGAGGCGAGTTCCGCAAAAGACGTCGAGTTGGAGATCCGTAAGTTTTGCTTTCCTTACCTTTGGGTATTCTGCTGACCTGCAGGCCACCGAAAACATCCCCCTACGGCCAGTCCGTAGACATGTGGTCCCTCGGTGCCGTGCTCTATCACATTCTGTCTGGAGTTCCTCCATACACGGGGACCGCACAAGATCGAGGTGTACAGATGCTGCGCACCATCATGACAACAGAGGCTGATTTCAACATCCTGCGTGAAGCCGGTGTGTCCAAATCGGGCATCGACTTTGTCTCACACCTCCTAAACCGCGACCCTCACTCCCGTCCGTCTGAGAAAGAGTGCTTCCAGCACCCCTGGATTGCCAGCGTCCCGGACGTAGACGAGTATGATGACGATTCCCTTCTTACTGACCTCGAGCAAGGTCTGCCAGCCATTGGTGAAGATGCAGAGGAAGATCTGGATGCCTCTCAACTGTCTATCAACGACGATCTCGCCTACTACACGTGGGAAGCCGACAAGGAGGGAAATAGCAACAGCAATGAGACCCTCGCCAAGAAACCTCGTCTTGAATACGCCCCATCTGATATTCGCTATCCCTCTCTTCCCAACATTGAGAGTTTCCAGGATGATCAAGTGGTTGCGGAGCAAAACGCAAGGCGTCTATTTGACGAGAGCCAAACAGTCACTATGCAGCATGCCAGGCGGCTCTTTGGCGAAGTCACCACGTCAGCTCTGCGTAGCTCCCATGCCCTTGGCAATGCGGATCCATACACTGGGGATGAATTGGACCCTAACGACTTCATTTCTTCCGGTGAGTCGTTCAGCGAAGCCCGTAGTGTCTCCTCGATCATTTCCCTCCCGACGAACCCAATCGGTGGAACCGCGCCCAGCTTGATGGGAGCGGAGAATCTCGTTGGACGGCTGAATATGAATTCTTCGCACCCTACCCTTCCTCAGACTCAGGCCGGCCCGGTTAACCAGACATCGACGCGGAAGACCAGTCCTGCAGACCCCTTGGAGCCCGCGACTACAGATAGCGATATACGCCCAGCTCATTTTAGCGCACACGAGACAACCCCCAAAGCGCCTCAGATCTCGCGCCGCATAGAAATTGCGCTTCCTGATACGGCAAGTGAAGAATCCAGTGTTCACAGCCGTTCACCTTCGACCACTGCGCCCCAACAACAAGCAAAGGACGGTGGCTATGACGACGAACTCGCAGTAACCCTCGACGCTCAGACGGGGCGAGCCATCTTGCAGCAATTAGCTGCTCCATCCGAACCATCATCTCCAATTGTGCATCAGCCAAGCCTCCCATCCGCCATTTCAGATTCGGAGTTCACCAAGCCTCGGCCAATCTTGGGCAGGCTGATCAGCCTCCCGGGGTCTATATTTGACATGTCCCTCCGCTTGGAAAATCGGATGACCTCATGGGGCCGGGGTCCTTTGGCCACAGTAAGACATCCAGACCCAATGGACACGCGCATTCCTGCGTATGCACTAGAGTTGACCTTTTGGGCTCCCGCCCTGGAGGCGCGAATCGCAATGGGCCAAGATTGGATGCAAGTATCGGGAGTGATGGCGATCCTCTCTACCAAGGCGCGCAAAGGCATCTGGGTGAACGACGTCCCACTACGCAAGGACGAGGCTCTGAGCTACGGCAAGCTGTACACGGGCGACATCATCACCGTCTACCAGCACGGCGACAGGTTCCTGAAACTGCGGTGCGAATTCTACCACGGAGAAAGCGTCTTCCCTCGGCCGGCGCATGAAGCCGGGCTTGTGGTGCGCCAGGTGCTCACGACAAAATACGACGGGGCTGCCAATCGGATGCCTGTTCGACCGGTAAAGGTGAAGGGGGGCGACGAATAAAATAGCATAGGATGGGGTTTTTTCATCTGTCGTGATCTCTACTCTCTCTTTCTCTCTCGCTCTCTCTTGCGCTCGTGTGCCCGGACTAGGTTGCGGGGCGATGACATAGATTGATTGATACACAAATTGCACGCGTTAGGTTAAGCCGGAGATCTAAGTCGTAGATTTTCTTGAGATCTGGTGGAGACAATGGGGCCAAGTGACAAGGCCATTGTCCGGATGCGGAGGGTGATTGGGTGGTGTACTTTTAGTTGATGATCGGAGTGAGTGTCGGTACCTAGACGGTCAGCTTGGGCGATCTCCCGCAGCTACGGTGGATGACCTGCAGGACCCTGAAAAGGCTCTCGTGACTGGGCCGTCAAGCGAAAGAGTTGGCAATCGTTGTCAGTCCTGCCGCATATCTAGATGGGACCCAGTGAGGGCTCACTCGATACCAAGGTCGCATTGTCCCCAACGCTCATGTCACTGTCGCTGCATCCGTCTCGCGCTGGCCAGACTCGTTGGTCTGTGCACCGCTGGCTCTCGGCAGTTTCGCATTGAGAGTTCAACGTCGAGGATGCTTTAACTACCGGCACGCCCTTCCTTTCTTCCCCCTTGATTATTCCTCATGTCACTCTGACTTCACCCTATCCATCCCATCCAACCCATCCCGGTTTTCCCTTCCCGTCGCCTCTCCCGATCGGCACAACGACCATTCTTCACGCTCTCCCGATTTCTCTCCATACATATACGTGCCGATCATCCACACTGTGGCATCCCACACCACACCCTCCATGTCCTTGTCGCGATCACCCTCCCCGCGCCCGGGCGGAGGTGGAGGGTGGTCCAGCCCGGGCCTGACCCCCGGCAGCGGCACCTCGACGCCGCGCAGTGGCGGCTACTCACCCTCGCCCGGCGCGCTGTCTCCCAACGTGTCCTGGGCGACAGCCAAAGCGAAAAGCGACGAGGTGCGCGGGTATCCGTCGTTTTCAACGCGCAACTCGGGCTTCTTCTCGCGGCAGAAACATCGCATTTCGGCTCGTTTGCCCAGTTTTCGATCCGACCCGCCCCGTGCGCGCGACTATGTGGATAAAGATGAGTACGGGCGGAGACCTTGGCGCCCTGGTGGCGTTGGCCGTGGGTCCATTGCCGTGCTGGGGAGGACGATGCGCCGGCCGCGGTCGAGGTTGCTGTTGGGCTTCTTTGTGTTGTGGTTGGGGTATATGTGTTTCTGGACACGTAGGTGCTACACTATGGGTGATGTGGTGTGCGTGCAGAAAAAGGATAAACTAACTGCTTGCAGCGCTCATACAGGCATATCGGCGATCACCTTTCGGCGACGGACGCAAGTTCGTCATTATTCTCGGCTCCAATGTCGAGGGCGGTGTGATGGAGTTGAAAGGCGCGCGAGAGTGGGCGATCGAGCGAAACAGCATCTGGAATAAAGAAGAGTATGCGCGCCGCTGGGGGTACGAGCTAGAGATTGCCAATATGCTGGCCAAGAAACGGTATTCGCACGAGTGGCGCGAGAACTGGGAGAAGGCTGATGTGATTCGCGAGGCGATGCGCAAGTATCCGCAGGCGGAATGGTAAGTTTGCTTTATAATTCTTTAAGCCCATGCTGATCAAGTTCAGGTTCTGGTGGCTGGATCTCAATACCTGGATCATGGAATACGGGACGGATTTGCAAAGTCACATCTTCAACGACCTGGAGTCGCACGTCTACCGCGATATCAACACATTCAACCCCCTCAAGATCATGCATCCCCTGCCTGAGTTCTGGCTAGATGACCTCGGACGTGCCCTTGAGGGCGACGAGGACCCCAACTCGCTCAATCTGCTCTTAACGCAAGACTGCTCTGGTTTCAACCTGGGCTCATTCTTCGTCAGGCGCTCCCTCTGGACAGACCGATTCCTCGATACCTGGTGGGACCCCGTCATGTACGAGCAGATGCACATGACATGGGAACACAAGGAGCAAGACGCCCTGGAGTACCTTTACCAGAGCCAGCCATGGATCCGGAGCAGCGTCGGATTCCTGCCCCAGCGCAGCATCAACGCTTTCCCGCCCGGTGCGTGCGGCGAGGGCCAAGACCCCGTCGTGCACTACCAGCAGAGCGCACGCGATTTTGTCGTCAATATGGCGGGCTGCAACTACGGCCGCGACTGCTGGACCGAGGTGTATACGTACCGCGAGATAAGCAAGCGGCTCAATCGGACATTATGGCAGCACTTCAAGGGTGCGATCAACACCGTGATCGACAGGGTGCGGGGGCCGTTTGTGACGCTCGACGAGGATGATGAATGAATTATGTCTCACGCTTTCCTTTCTACTCTTCTGCATGACACGGCGTGGGGGTGGATTCTTTGGCTGTATATTATTGGTTTTTTTGCATGGACTTGTTGGTGGCGTTGGGTAAGATTTGTATTCGAACATCTATAAATACGACTCAAAGATTTGTTCTTATTCATTTGAATGAATCAGTCGATAATAATCGAGCTCATCTCTCTCATTTAGTATTGTCTGCTGCATAGTCTTAGATGCACGTGACCGCTGCATTCGGACTAGTTGTCGACTATCTGACCGCCTCCAAATCAACCAATCACAGTTCCCACGGCCATCAATCAACGACACCCTCAACTCCATCACCAATCCTGCTCTCCCGAACCAAACCCCCAATTGAACCCGCCAAACCCTCTTCCACACCTCATCGTCCTCCTCACCACCTCACCACCACCACAACCCCCCATCGCCATACCCGAAAGACCCGAACCAGAAAATGCCGACCCCCGAATCCGCGTCCTTCCTGGCCAAGAAGCCCACTGTGCCCCCAACCTACGACGGCGTTGACTTCGAAGACAACGTCGCCGTGCACAATGCCCGCGACGCGATCATCCGCGAGCAGTGGGTGCGCAGTATGATGGCTCGTCTGGTCGGCGAGGAGCTTGGCAAGTGTTATCAGCGCGAGGGAGTGAATCATCTTGAGAAGTGTGGTGTTTTGAGGGGTAGGTCTTTCTCTTTCTCCTTTTCTTTATCTGTTTGAGATGCTGTTTCCTTGAGCTTGTGCATTGATTGAGGTGTGATGGAGTGGTGTTGGGGTTGGATTGAGTGTTTTGTGGTGCGAAGACGCCTGGGAGCTAGGCGTGATGAAACGGCCGGATGAACCCACGAACTTATCGAGAGCAATGGCTAACACAATGCGCTACGCAGAGAAATACTTCGAGCTCATCAAGGAGCGCAAGGTGAAGGGATATCTGTTTGAGGAGAAGAACTACTATGCCAAGTCGGCATAAATTAGCGATCGTCTTTTTACGTTGATTGTGGTCCCCATCTATCTCTCTGTATGAAGCTGGACGTGGACCTGTAAGACAGACGGGTACCCGGTGGAAGGTGGTTTGGAATGCAATGGCCCATGGGACGTTGGTCACTGTGATCTGAAGGTCGGGGACCAGACTACTCGGGACTCCACGGAGATGATGCAGCAGGATAGGGCGGGTTGTCCGCTTCTTCCGCTGGCACTGTACATATATCATATCATTTTCATTACTCGGATCAATCTGTCATCTTTGCAAGCCGTGCAAACCACAGGACAAAACATCTACACCAAACCTCATATTGCCTGCGGCGGGATAGACGGTACATTCGTATATCGGTCGTATCTATAACTAGCCTATGTCTATCCGCTGAACACTGGGTATCAAACTACCAACATCAATAATAGGCAGTACTGGCCGTCTCACTCCGATCCGGGAATCCGCCAGGCGGGCCGTGACTCTGCGGGAGAACAGAAACATCCTCGTCGCTGTCGTTTGGGTCACTTCCAAAATGCAGGTCCTCATTCTCATCTGGCGGGGCGCGCATGCGAACCAGTTGGTCTCCGTCCAGTGCGGGTGGCTTATACGGAGCTGGCGCGGGGTGTATATCTCGTCCAGAAGGGAGGTTCGAAAGTAGTGGCGCAGAAGCTGGGATGAGCTGGGTGTTTATCTAGATCGGATGTTAGAGCAGAACAGGAAGACGGGATGGACCCAGCCGAATCATACCGTATCGTTCATGTGTACCCATTTGCTTTCCAGCATGGCAATCACTCGGCCCTCCTCATCGCGGCCAGCATCGTCCCCGGGATCTAGGGCGCCGCCCTTGTCGCTCCGCTCACGCCCTCCACCTGCGTCTTTGCTGATGCGGCGCTCCTCTCTCCTCTCAGCCCACTCACGCTTCAAACGCGAGAGCCCTCCCTTCGCTGGTGCAGACTCCTCTGTCCCAGCAGCGGACGAACCTGAACCAGCACGCAGTCCGAGCGGAGTACGCGCTGCGCGCAACCATGCGATCCCTTCACCGATCTTGCCGGCCAACTCGGCGTCAACTCCGAAAAAGCGGCACGCACGAGCTCGGGACACTCGGCCTAGAACCCCCGTATATCCAACCAAATCATCATCGACTCGGCCACCACGACCAGACGCAGACCCAACAGCTCCAAGTCCTGCAGCAGCCTGCTCCGCATACTCGGCCGCACGCACACATAACCGCGCAAAGAGCAAAGCGCGCACCTTGGGTATCTCCGGCGCGCGCACCATCCACTCGCGGTCATTCGGGTTGCGGGCCTGGATGCACGCTACGACATAGGCATCGTCCTTGAGAACGGCCAACAGCGTAGCCTCGGCCAGGGCGAGCGACGATAAAGCAGATTGTGTTGAGGGGTCAAGATCTGGCACAGATAGTCCCGTCGCGACAGTGAAAGCAGGCGACGACGCAAGAAGCCCATGCACCGCGCTGGCTTGTAGCAAATTCCGCGTGGCACTCTGCACAGCAGCGGTGAGCTGCTCAGCTGTCGGCGTCGCGGACGCATACATCGCGTCCACGACACCGATTCTCGCCAGTCGACTCAACACATACCCCATCGTGGTGAGCGTGAACGCGATCTCAAAGTCAATGCCGCGCCCTAGGACTCGGCCATTCCGCGTGCGCGCTGCCCCTGTCTTGGAACCAGAGGTGTTATTCAGTAGACTGCCGGCAGAAGACAACGTCGGACGCCAGGCAGACTCGATCTCCGCGTGCAGCGTGATCTCGATTTCTTCGCCGGAGCGCGGACCTGCGTTGGTGGTTGAATCATATTGGACAGGTTTACCACTTAGACCGTGGGAGATTGCAAAGATATACGGTACGTATTCGGTCAGTGTGGAGAGCACGGTGGGTAGGTGGGCGTCCTGGCGCGCGCCGCGGGGTAGGCGCTTGTGGGCCTTGAGGGCGAGGCGGAGGGCATGGCGGGCGGTGGAGGCGGATTGGGGGAGGGATGGATGTGTAGATGACGTGATGAAAGATTGGAAGGAGAGAGGCGAGGTGGTCGGGAGGGTGAAGGCGAAGACCATGGTGGGTTGAAGGTTGGAAGGTTGAAGGGGAAAGGTCCAGGAAGGATTGGAGAGAAGGCTGATGTCACCGGGAGCCAAGACTACATTGGGGTTGGATGAACAGCTTACTTGGGTTATTATTGAGTCTTTTCAGTAATTCGGCACAAGACAGCAATACAGCAGAAGCAACAGCTAATTCCAAACCGTCTACAACCCTATCGGTCCAATCTTATAGATCTCCCAGCACGCTAAATCGCAGTAGATCCGTCTGCGCCATCCCGCCTAACCTTTCTATTATTGGCCTCTGTCCTTGGTGGAAACTCTGAATCTCCCACGGCCCGACACCTAGCTTAATTAGCGGCTATATGAATGCCTGGCTTCTCAGGTTCCTTCCCCAGCTCCCCCGGTCCGGGGTCGGAGAAGCTGACTCTCAACAAACGGGTCCCCGGAAGAGCCCATCGGCAGTTAACCCAGGACGGGACCATAGGCCTCGGCCCATGTAGGGTTCGGCCTCTAGTCCCACCAAAAAGCATGAGTTCCCGTGTCACCTTCTATATGTTTATCGGCAAAGAAACCGGCCCATAACTACCGGCATGGCCATCTCGCCCCAGTGTGGCACGAAATATGGTGTCTATCATCGTCTAGAAACTCCAGTCATACCCCAGACCCCCATGCTATCCCCCGGTTTGGTCCACCTGTCGAGTCCGCAGAGACCCACCGGGATGGCCGGCTCCGTAGACCCCAGTCTGGGGTCTTGTTCCCCTTTAAATCCCCTTCCTCCCAACGTGGTGACTGTTGGGTGTGATTGTTTCCATTATTTCTGCAGCCATGTCGTCAACTGAAGAAACGAAAGATATGTCAATCAAGTCCGACGCAAATTATGTCGAGGAGAAGAATGCCGGACTCAATATCCCCGACCCGGCTCAGACTCTCTCAGAGTCGCACAAAGCCTACCTCCTGGAACGACATGGCACGCTAGATCTCGATCCAATCCCCAACATGGATCCAGCAGACCCGTACAATTGGCCGTTGTGGAAGGTAAGCAAGCGACCATGGCAATATTCAGGTCTACCATTCTCACCAAAGTACAGAAAACAGCCAATCTAGGTCTGGTCGCGTTCCATGCCTGCATGGGGACTTTCACTGCTTCTTCCATCATCTGTGCCTATGAGAACATCGCAATGGACGTCGGCGTCTCCTTGCAGAGGGTGAGCTACTTGACCTCGTTGCAGATTGCCATCCTAGGAGGCGCGCCGCTATTCTGGAAACCACTCTCACAACGATACGGCCGGCGCCCGATCTTCCTCCTGTCACTAATCCTGAGCTGCGTTTGTAACATCGGCTGTGCGAAGAGCCCGGATTACGCTTCTATGGCGGCGTGCCGTGCTCTCGTGGCTTTCTTTATCTCTCCGGCTATGGCTATTGGCAGTGGTGTGGTCACCGAGACCTTTTTCCGGAAAGAACGGGCGCGGTATATGGGCATCTGGACTGTGATGGTCACCCTAGGTGTTCCTGTCGGTCCGTTTATCTTTGGATTTGTTGCCCAGCGCGTCAACTATCGCTGGATATACTGGATCCTAGCCATTGTAAGTGTTTTCTATGGCTTTGGTGGTATCAATCGCTAACCGAGATATTTCTCTAGACCAACGCCTGCCAATTCGTGTTGTACATCTTCTTCGGTCCCGAAACTCGGTATATTGGAGCAGAAACCCGATCTCAAACCTCATCGTTCAAGCGCGAATACCTGTCCATCCGCCGAATCGATCCCGCGCCGTTCAAAGTGTCCGAATTCATACACCCACTTGCCCTCTTCACGCACATTCCCGTTCTTCTAGCAGCTGTCGCCTATTCAATGGTCTTCCTATTCGCCTCAGTTATGAGCTCCGTGGAGGTCCCCCAACTCCTGCAAGTCAAATTCGAGCTCAATGCCCAGCAGCTCGGCCTCCAATTCCTCGGTCTTATCATTGGATCTCTGCTGGGCGAACAACTGGGTGGCTTCATGTCTGATATGTGGATGAATGCCCGAGCCCGCCGCATTGGCCAGAAGCCTGCTCCGGAATACAGACTGTGGCTGAGCTATATCGGCTTCTTGCTCACCATTGCCGGCATGGTCGTCTTTCTAGTATGCACCGAGCAGGCGGCCGTTGGCCAGTGGTCCGTGAAGCCCGTAATCGGAACTGGCATTGCAGCGTTTGGCAACCAGGTCGTCACTACCGTGTTGACTACTTATGCTGTGGATACGCATCCGCACGATGCCGGGAGCGTCGGGGTTTTTATTAACTTTGTGCGGTCTACCTGGGGATTCATCGGACCGTTCTGGTTTCCTTCAATGTTTGAGAGCGTTGGCCTTGCTAAGAGTTCCGGGGTGGTTACTGCTTTGGTTATGGGCGCCAGTTTTATTCCCACGGCGCTGATGCAGTGGCAGGGCTCGAAATGGTATAAGCACGATGCGAAGAGGTGATACTGTGGCCAGTAGTAGATTTCTGATAGAGTAAGTTCTGGCTGATAGTAGAATCAGCATCATTAGTCTCTCTTGTAGATCATCAATTAGGGTTAGATTTATATAAAAGGTTTTCTTTCTCACTTATGGGCCACCTAGAAAGTTCCTTATCATAAAGCTATAAATACATAGCGTACTAATTGAGACTAATGATCAGAAATATTGCGCATAATCGATCGCTTCATTATCTGTGCACCAGCTATCTACGGTCAATTCACACCCCGAATCAGGCCGATCTCTCATTGATGATGCTCACAGGCCCTTCCTGGTCTTCTCAATCTTGGCATTCATCTTTGTCTCAGCACGGGCGCGAACCCGAGCCTCAGCACGAGACTGGGGAGCCTTGGGGGGGTTCAGCAGGGCCAGCGAACATCGCGGCGGGGAAGGCCTGGCCACGACCACGACCACTGCCCATAGGAGCGGGCTCAAAGGGCGCACAATCGGAGGGATAATCCTGGTGAGGGATATCTGGGATGCCGCTCATGGCCTCCTGCAGACGGTCGTGAGCGCGACGCATGCGCGTGAACTGGAGCAGCTTCTCGTCGCGGGCAGACTCGATTTTATTGAGATCAGGAATCATGAACTCGAATATCTCTGCGTTGAAAGCAAGCATTTTGGTCATGGCCTTGCCCTTCTCGTCGTGGGTGAGCTTGCGCTGGTCGGCTAGGAATCCCATGGTGACCAGACAGTCGACGTTCTGCTTGATCAGGTCTTTTGCGGTGGGATCCTCGGGCTTGCAGGCGTGCAGGATGTGGTTCATACCGGCTGTATTGACGGCGGGCATCTTGATAGTGTTTTTTTCCTCCCATTTCTTGCTCTGGGCCAGTTTTGCCTGGTGTATTGTTAGATATCATGTTTTAACCATGGTTGATGTATATGAAGAGACTTGCATTCTTGGTAGTGAGATTCCAATCCTTGTCGCTCTGGTTATCAATCTCGTCAGTGCTGCTGCTGGAGAAGAACGTGCTCCAACTTACCAACTGATCTTCCTCCAGGCCACCGAAGCCAGACACCGGCAGTTCACCAAGAGGGACTCGGGCATGAGTGCGAGCGGGAGGCTTCACATCAGCAACGGCTGCAGCCTTGCCAGTGTCCTCGTTGCCATTAGTATCGAAGATGGTACTCGCTTCAGAGTAGTTGCTGGAAATGTTCTCTTTGTCCTGGAGAGAGAGTTTGCACGTGTTCTGGGTAAGAAGCTCTTCGTCGCTATTTTTCAGCTTCTTTGCCTCAACCTCCGGGGAGTGATCTCGCTGCGCTTCATGTTGGAGGTAGTGGAAAGACAAGCTTATTAAGTCAGTAATTACGCAACAGAGTTCAACAGACAAGAGTGGGAAGATCTTACTGCTGTCAGAGAAAGGGTTGCTCGCGAGAGTGTTGGGGGTAGAGGCCTGAGGAAGAAATTGTAAATGGCGGCGCTGCCTTCTTTCTTTGTGGAAGTGGGAGGCGCTGTCTCAGCGACATGCTGGACATCCGTAGCTTCGGAGGCACTCACGTCAGTGTTTGAAGAACTGCTAGACATGTTGCTCGGTAGGAAATATGGTTGGGACGGGGGTAGAGCAAATGGGATGAAAGGGTGAGCCAGACGAGATAGACGGTGAGGATTGGATGAATGTATGTGAATGGCTTAGTGAGAAACAAAATGGAAACGATGAATGGTTGCAGCTTTACATTTGGCATGAGCTGCTTCTACTTGGAAGTGATGTCGCCCAATCTATTTTCCTAGTAGTTCGTTTGGGATTAGGGTTAGAAATGCGTGTCAAGTAGCGCTACCTCAAATACATGATCTCTATTTATTCTGCTATCGAAATTATACTTTTCTTAAATTCTCCCTGAATTTAATTGTTTTCAATTGTTCTGGTCTGCGATCTGCTCGTCTATTTTGGTGGGCGGGTATGATAACCCCAAATTGGGCTGTGAAGAACACTTTGATATGTGAAGGTCCAACACGAATTTTGAAAAATAAAACGTAGAATTAAGGTGCTACCCTGTTACGTAAAATGCATGAATTGGACCATGATAACATTTGGGAGACACTTACAAAGGAATACAACAAGCACTCCTTATATAAAGAGCAGTCAATGGTCAACATATATTTACGAGCGGTTTGATATTTACACTATATTCTAGTATTTTCACCAGCAGCTTAAAGCTTCGATGCCTTCTTCTCCCAGGCTACAACATCCTCCAGTCCGCTTTTCTGGAGTGCATCCTTCTTCTCCTCGACTTTCTCCCTCCACTTCAAATTACCATCATGATCATCCAGCCCATTCAATACACGCGAATACATCTCCTCCTTCATGGTTCCATAAATCCCCGTCGCAGCCTTATTCAGCAATTTGCGGTCCTTGATCAGCGAAAGCGTCTCATCCAATCCGCCCAGTGCATCAACAATTCCTGCCTGCAGCGCAGCCTTCCCACCGAAGCGGTGGGCTTCCAGCACCACATTCCGGAAAGTGGTCGGGGTCAATTTCTCGCGAAAGATGGACATCATGGGCGTCTGCAGCGGCACTCCAAATTCCAGCTCGTTGACACACAGGAATCCTTTCTCCGGGTTCTGCACCCGGTAGTCATGGTACATGGCCAGCATGAAGCCGCCTGCAAAGGCGTGTCCATTGAGCAGACAGACTGTTGGCATGGGGTATCTGGGATAGAGTCAGTCGTGTTTCCCCAAGCTGCAGGACTAGAAAAAAGAGTGCATACGTCAAAAACCGGCGGAAAAGCCGCCATAGCCATTTATCCAAGAATCCCTCTGTGCTCACCGCAACCTCGAGATCCAGTCCGTTGCTGTAGAATTTTGCGATCCCGCTGGTGGTGACGACTACGCCTTTCGGGTAGCGGTACTCGATGATATCCAGCGCCAGAATCAGTGCATCGATGAATGCCGGTGTCAGCCGGTTATCTTTCGGCGAGGTAAACGTTAACACATAAATGTTCTGCTGCTCTGGGTCAGACGGGCTCGTGCAGATGATTGAGCCGCCTGTTGAGGCGATTGGGACAGTGAAGTGCGTGGTCATGATGATAGTTGAATGGACACTTATTTCGCACATGGCCTTCGCTGCTTTATACAATTTTTAGTGGAATTGTAATCGAGGCCAGTGTCCGCGGCTTCACATGTCAGCAGATGACGTAATCGGGACAGTCGGATCTATCGAATAGTGTAGATAGTAGCGGATTAGTATTATAATAATAAATTCGGAGAGTGTCGTGAATTTCAAAGTTATTGGGGTGTAAAGGGGTCTATTTGGTGTTCAAGCGTGTAGGGAGAGCAGGGTACACTCAATACACTTTTCATAATATGTGTTAACTCGAAGAGCACATATTCAATATATATTCCGATGCAAGCTATAAACTCGCTAAACAAAACCATTGTAGATGCGATACTGATACAGAACCCCTTTTAGTATGATCGCTGTTTCATGCATTTAGACAGATTTGCGACGTGAGTCGCGTGCACCATTAAGTCTCCGAGAAAGTCGCCGGCCCCCATCTCATACTTGTACAGATCTTAGCCTTATACCCCCCCAGACCCCCCCAGACCAAGTAAAACATCACAATCACAAACCATGGCTAGTATTGCATTCCCCCAGTATTCCAAACACCTCACCCTCTCAACAACACACACCTACAATTATGTGTACATCCCCGCCGTCAAACCCTCTTTCCCAACAATTCTATTTCTACACGGATTCCCCTCTTCAAGTTATGACTGGCGCCACCAGATCACCTTCTTCGCAGCCCAGGGCTACGGGGTCCTGGCTCCAGACCTACTAGGCTATGGTGGCACTAGCAAGCCCGCTGCAGTGGAGGGGTACAAGACCAAGAAAATGGCGGCGGAGATCACAGAGATCCTCGATCACGAAAACTTAGCCCGTGTTCACGCTGTCGCCCATGATACGGGCAGTATACTTCTTTCTCGACTGGTGAACTATTTTCCCGAAAGAATTCATTCATGCACGTTCCTGGCTGTCCCGTATTCCCAACCGGGGACACATTTTGATCTTGATGCTGTGAATGCGATGACCAAGCAGCTTCTCGGCCACGAACATTTCGGATATTTGAGGTTTTTTGTTAGCGAGGGGAGTGGAGACTTGTTGGATGAACATGTAAGTTGTCATGATGGTCCTCTATGTGCCGAGAGAAACATGATTCTGACCTGAGTAGAGCGAATCCTTCTCCACTTTGTTTTATCCTGCAGAGCCTGAACTATGGGAAACGCACGTTGGTCCTACGGGAGCACTGGAGTCATGGATTCAAGCTGATTACCGAGGACCACTAGCACCCTACATTACAGACGAGGTACGGGCTCGATACATTAAAATAGCGACAAGAAACTCACGGTAACTAGGAACGCATGATCCACCAGAAAATAATGAAAGGACACCATTCCTCTGCACTAAATTGGTATCGCGCATTAGTCTGGAACATCAACGAGAAAGACGAGGTCGAGGATGCTCTGCCGGTGAAAATATCGCTTCCAGTGATGATGGTCACTGCGGCTCCGAGCTTAGTTCAGTTACCTGGTGCGGCGGAGCAGATGAAAGCTGTCGCTGATGATTTGACTGTCAAAGAAGTCAGTACACGAGGCCATTGGATGCCGTTGGAGGCACGGGATGAGGTTAATTCGATGTTGAAAGAGTTTTTTGAGAGAAGATGAATTCGTCTCTCTCTGTTTGAACCTCGTGCGCGATCACGACTACAAGTGGTGTGTGGATGTCCTCGACCCACCAAGTACGAATCTCAACTCCATTGAGCTGATCTATTTTATTGATCCTCGATACTTCATAGGTCAAATTAAGCCGAAGCACCCTCGGATGTGAATATATTCATCCCTATAGCTCAAAGCCGTATCAGGTTGGACAAACCATAGACAATAGATAGTAAAGTTGGCAACAAAACGGAAACCAACCGCTCACCTAATATGCCAAAATTGCACTTTGCAGGCCAATTTTCCATTAGTGCGCATTGCTCTGGTTCTTTTTTTCTTCTTTTTTTATACCCTGTCAAGCCAGATCTTCCCCTCCATCTCCGTCTCCCATCCGATCCCCATCGCAATGACTGTGTCTGCCGCACCAATCCGAAACTCAACCGGATATACAGATGGATACAACGCGCCGTTGTCGCCATCTTGTTCTGACTCGGCGATGAAGAAGTCTCCGCTTGCGTGTTTGAAGCGCAGGATCTCGGGCAATGTGGTCTGGTCACGGTTCGCGCGGAGTATCACTGAAGACCCAGAGGACAGTGAAGACTCGGAAGACGGTCTCACATGATCGAGGAAGAGAGTTATAGAGCCGTAACCTGGATGGAAGTAGGCGCCTGCGTATAGTGACAAAGGTAAGGTGGTAGGTAAAGGCGGAGAAGGGAGAGACGGGAAGAAACGAGAAACCGCAGTAGCGACGTCGCATTTGCCCTTTTCGATATCGGCGAGGTTCTTGGCGTCCCAGTCAAATCGTGGCTGATCAGGTCTAACGCCTAGCTTTTGGTCGATCAGGTGGAAGACAAGCGTCTGCTCTGCGCAGTTGGACGTCCCCGCCGTATTGGCCAGGGCGACGACCGCATACTGCAGCTCCGGTATGAGTATCAGTTCCGCGCCAAAGGCGTTCATCCCGCCCTGGTGCTCGAAGAACTCTACCCCGCGGTACACGCCCGTCTGCCAACCCAGGGTGTAGGCGCCGGGCCCCGTGAAAGCCGACCCGTATCGTTCAACCGGTAGGTGGGATCGCGGCCGCCAGAGCTGCTCGCGGACCGTGTTTGGTGAGGCGAACAGCGCGGGCGAGCCTGTTAGCAGGGCGTGCGCCCATTTCGCGAGGTCGTTCGCCGAGCTGATCACCGCCCCAGCTCCAGAGACGCTAGCCAGAGGCATCCATTCGACGGTGCGGTACGTCCCGTCGTCGTCAGCATAGTTGTAGGCGTAACCATGGGCGAGCGGGTTCTCGTCGTGGGTCCCGCGAGCCTCCTCAAGACTGAAATACGTATCCGTCATCCCGAGAGGACCCCAGATCCGCCGCGCCAGGAGATCGCCCAGCGGCTCGCCCGTCACCGTCTCGATCACATGCGCGGCAACGACGTACATGGCATTGTTGTACTGGAACTTGGTTCGTAGCTCCGCTGTCAACGGCAGATGGCGCAGCTGGCGGACCATGTCCCGCACAGCGGTTTTGTCGCTGTCAGAGGTGCTGCCCAGGGCCAGATCATGGGAGGGTAGCCCCGTCCGATGCGAGAGCGCATCCTCCACTGTGACTTTCTGCGTGGCGTCCTCGCTCGCCAGCACGAAGTCGTCGCGGATCAGCTGGCTTATGGGTGTTTCCCACTGCACCTGCGGGTACGCGTCGTTATCCTCAACCAGCATCGCCATAATAGCCGCCGTAAAAGCCTTGGTGGTACTTCCAGCGTAGAAGAGTGTCGAGGGATTTACGGGTGTAGAGGGTAAGGTTGCCATGCCGTAGCCCTGATCATCCGATGAGCTTCATTGTCTTCGTTGGTATTTGTTATAAGTCCCACCTTTGCCCAAGTCTGATCGCCATCCACCACGGCGACAGACAATCCAGGGACATGCCATAGGTTTAGCTGTTCGTGGACCAGCTGGTTGAATTCGTCGTTCAAGGGGTTGCTTTGATTATTCATGATAAATCTTTGAGAGCTGGATATAACTGAAAAGTGATAGTACGGAGCTGAGTCCGAAAGAGTAGAAGATATGACTGTTTAAATGTGCGAGAGAGGAGAAACTGGCTGCAGGCATCCGGATATCTTCTCTTCTTCGATGGGATTACTAGCGCTGACGCATTGGAAATGGCTAGGGAGGGGGAGCAAAAAGTAAGCCATCAGATCAGTAGCTCAAGTGTGCATACGATTCAGTCCATGCATAAGATGATAGTGCTCATATGTATATAGATATATATAAATGCAATGAATCACGGATTCAGGTCCAAGATCAGTCATTTACCTGCGAGGTGCTTTGCAGAGGAAAGTGATTTGAGAAACTATTAAACTTTGCCATTATTTCTGCCGCCTATCTTGAGATTATTGAATCGGATTTTATAGGTCAGTTACTTCAGATCCTTGAAAATATGACATACAAACAGGTTTATGGTCTCAGAAACCCGTTGGAGATGTATTTACAGGGGAATTGTAGATCAAGAAGATTTCCGGATGGCTATATGTTGGTTCAGGGAGAAACACGTGACAAAGCTGGAGGATTGAAAACACATAACAACCGTTAGGAATTGGCAAGTACGACGCGTACCCAGACTGGTGGGACCCGGACAAGAGCAACGTCCGAGAGAGAGGATTTGACCGCCTCCATATCAGCGGATAGTTGGGGGGCCTTAAAAATGTATTACCTAGGCGGGTATAGTTCCCCCCGCGGGGCACTCACTAGCTCTTCGAATTGGGCCCAGCTCGTCATTTCGGGCAGGCATTCGATGGGCATGACATCGTCAAAACCACCAACCTCGTCCACGCCGACATCAGGAAGGCCAAGACCGGTACCCATGGGTCTCTCACTGGTCGCAGCAAACGCGTCTGCGCTCTCCAGGGAAAGGGAAAGCTCCGGTCCTTCAGCCGGCGAGGCTGGGCCACTATATTGCCCGGTCTGTCGCAACGCTTCCATCCGCAATTCTTCTAGGACCAAACAGTACCGAGCAGCCAGAGACTCGGCATCTGCCAAGCTTGAGAGCTGATGCTGACAACGGATAGCAGCATTTAAATAGCCCCAGTAAGTCTCCCTAGCATCTTTGCTCTTCTGGATGGTATAAATGTAGAGAATCACCGCTGCGGAGAAAGCAAAGTATGAGGTAAACTGCACGGGTGGCTCAGCAACCTTCAATGGTGACGGAGAAGGAATTGACTTACCCAGAATGCGCGAAAAAGTTGTCTTGTTTGAACCATTTCATCCACCATTTGTATAATGTTCGTAGCTGCCTGTACGCATTCATGGATGCTTTGTTCGATGTGCAGTTCAGACCCCCAGCCTTCGTTCTGACTCGGTTCGATCGAATTCTTCAATTGGGTAAATTTTTGTAAGAGAAAAGGTCGGTGCATGAGAATCATAGTGTGCCAATATGCAAGATTCAGAACGTTCTTCTGCCGCTGGAAGATGGGAATCAGGGGGGCCGCTCTCGCTGGCGGATCGAGAAAATCAGAGACGCCGGCCCGCCAGCTCCTCAGCTGCTCAGTATATTGAGTCACAAAAGCATGTCTTGAACTCTGGGGTGACGGCTTGATCGAATAGACGTTTCGTAGTATTGTGCTTAAGATCCGAGAAAGTCTGCACGGCTGTTAGCCTACGTAGTCCGTTGCTGATACCCTTCAAAGTCTCGTACTTAGCATATGCGACAGGCCCCAGCATGACTGACTGCCCATGACTGTCATCTTCAACGATATGATCGACATAAATTTCAGGGTCATCTGCGCAGGAAGGCAACCCTTGGTCGATATCTTCATCGTGAAACGTGAGAGGCCTTCCGAGTGCAGCGCTCAGATAGTTGTCAAGAGCGTAGGCGCTCCAGAAAGTCCTGCGCCGGCACTCGAGTTCTATGTAGTCGATATAGCCGGCGTTCCTTTTGCGGTGGAGGCCAATTGCATAGGTTAGCCGTGCAACAGTTCCAAACAGAGTCCAGCAATGATTGATTCGGGACTCTGAGAGGAGCCAAAGACACTGGCACAGCCTCGCCTGGACACTGGCTAGACACAATGGACCTTGCTCCCTCTCGAGTTGTTGGTTTGCCGCGAAAAAGCAACGGGTACTAAGGAAGTTTAGCGACAATTATAATTCAGGCTACGAGGCATTACCTCATGTCAGCTCCAGCAGCAGTAGGGTTCGGATCCATGTGCGCCTGCGCTAGTGCGAAAATCATGAACAGAAGAGCGAGACGCGCATGTGAATTCGGCTTGCCATGCATTGCACCACCAGAATCATAAAATTCCTCAAGCCAGGCCTCTATAGTCGGCTGATGGACAAATCGGTCGACTGGCACAGCAAAATCGAAGTACCGCTGCACTAGGCGTTGGGTATTATCCCTCGACAACATTAAATAAAAAGTCGGATCGAAACACGGCGCGTCGCCTTGAAGGGAACTAGGAGATTGCAACGGGACGTCGCTGAAGGTGAAGATTGAGGCACCTTGTGGGAGCGATACGAACTGGTCCAATCGCTTTTGGATCCTCAGAAGAAAGGAAACACCAGACGATGACCCCACATAGTGGCCGTCAAGGTCAGTCTGCACTGGTTCAGGAGAGACTCGAGAGATAGACTCGGCGGGTGCCAATTGTGTTAGGTTGGCGTCCTGAGATGCGAATGCGTCTTTCAACCGAGAAGCGGGTTGCGCCCTAGAAACAGTAGGCGAATACACTTTCGGGGATGACAACTGTCGAGGGGAATAGGATGTACTGATTTTGCGGGACTTTACTGAGGTGATTCTTCCCCGGGTGTAGGCCGCATCATAAGTGCATTGTGAACTGTTCTCAACACAAAGCCAACATGGCTGCAAACCAGTACAACGGATCTTCCGTCTATATGGAAACAGTGAGTATGAAAGGCAGAATAGAGACAAGACCACTTATCTCACCTTTTACATCTATCACACGCGCGTGTAACGCGTACACGCTTTGCACCTCGGTTATCTCTCGGTGTTGGGTGCGGGACGGGAGACGGATGAGCGGCTGTGTTATCGGCCTCGGATATCATGTCTGCGTCCATATTCAACGGATAAGAAGAGTGATGCAGAAATATCCGGCAAATGAACTATGAACTAGTTTTTGTTGGGCAAGCCAGCCCTCCGACACGAAATGGCTCAATGTTGCAATTATTTCGGGAGAGAAGTGAGCGTAAGCATCCGATGGACTGATGGACCGGGTATGCTTATATAATTGAAGCTAAATTTTACAACCCGGGGTGCATAGATCAGTTCGGAATTTACTTATTTCTCTCTTTTTCTAGCTGCTATGACTATAATTGTATGCCCAGCCTTGTTTCACTACCACTCACGGATCTCCCCGCATGGCCCTCTGAAACTGGGCGGTTCCCAAGGCTTGCAGCCCTGACTTAATTCTCGAACCAGCGGCTCGTTGATCTCAATACCTAACCCTGGTCCTGAAAGAACACTGATGTAGCCTTCTGTGACCTGCCAGACCTCTGGATTCATCACATAGGTACCAATATCCTGCCCAGTGTTGTTATAATGCATTCCGAGTCCCATCTCCTGAATCGCAAAGTTGGCTGACACTGTATCTATGTGTATGCATGCTGCTAATGCAATGGGTCCAAGCGGGCAGTGAGGAGCCAGGGCAACATCATATACCTCGGCCATTGCCGCAACCCGTCTGAGTTCCGAAATGCCACCGACATGACAAATGTCCGGCTGCAGTACGTCGACGCATCCAGCTTCAAGAAAAGGCCGGACATCCCACCTACTGTAGAGTCGCTCCCCCAATGCTATGGGACAGCTTATGAGCTGTGAGATCTCCTTTATGCCACCTATATGCTCAGGTAGAAGTGGCTCTTCAATGAAGAATGGTCGATAAGGCTGGACAAGCGTTGCAAGCTGCTTTGCCATCGGTTTGTGAACACGGCCATGAAAATCGATAGCAGCATCCATACCAGTCTCTTTGACAGCCTGTAACCTCAACGCAACATCATCCAGAGTTGACGGGGAATCAAGCCAACAAATATCGGCAGTCCCGTTCATTTTCACAGCTTGAAAACCTTGTTCTTTCCGGGCTTGACTATCAAGACAGTTAGGGGCTTTGGTTGTATAAATCCGATAAATTGACATACGCTTGTTCCTTGACTTGGTCTGGGCGGTCCCCTCCAATCCATGCGTATACCTTGATCTTTTCTCTCAATCTGCCACCTAGGAGCTCATAGATAGGAACACCAAGCTTTCTAGCTGTCCTGATCGTCAGGAATGGATCCATTTCCATGTGTGTAATAACTTCGACCGCATCTCACACTCACCTTTCAAATCCCACAACGCTATGTCAATCCCTGAAAGCGCACTCATAAAAACTGGTCCTCCACGGTAGAAACCTGTGCGCCATCCACTTTGCCAAATATGTTCGATTTTACTTGTTTGTAATCAGCATGGTTACCCGACACTGGCAGTTCTCTCCACAAAGATTGGTCATACTCAGCATCAGTTCCCTTGAATTTCTCAAACCATGAATCCAGGCAGCCTTCCACAGCTTCTGTGTGACCCTCCAATGAGGCTTCGCCCCAGCCAACATTGCCAGCTTCATCAGTGACTTTGACAAATAGCCACCGGGGAGGAACCCGGAAATATTCCATTGATTTTATTCTTGCCATGACTGTACCTAGCGGTGGGCCCTGCGCTGGAGAAATAACGCAAATGTTTTACACGAATTTTTTTACTACTTAGGGAATGGAACTTTATGTACCAATATTAGCTGCGTGCCCCTTTCATTGCTTTTCCGTCAAACTATGGCGGAACGGAAAAGTAATACCCGTGCCATGGTTCCACCAGGGCCTGCCCCGAATGATAGTACTCCGTAGTCCCTAGCCCCCCTCGTTGGTTTTCCGTTGGGTTTCCGTTCCGTTTAAGCGCAGATACAGTCCGAATTTCCCCCAGACTATAAATTTCAGTAATCCGGGGTGCATATCGCCAACTCCACATTTCTCTCTCCGCAATCGATTTCTGCACTCTTACCTCGCCTGGGGGGAATGGGCAAGGTTCATTGAGCCTGTACTGGTTCTTCGATCCAAACTTTCGTATAAAGTTGACGCTACCGGTACTTGGTGAATCACAATGCCGTTTCTGGGATTGCAAGGAAAGCGTCTCCTTGCGGGCATCGCCTGCTCTGCAGGCATGGGCTTCATTCTATTCGGTGAGTAAAGCGCAACAAACGTGGACATGACGCTAATGAATGCCCAGGCTATGACAACGGGGTAATGGGCAGCGTTCTCGGCTCAGACTCCTTTGAAGCGGTTTTCCATCTGGACTCTACTATGTCAGGAACTGTGACAGCCATGTTCGAACTAGGGTGTATCATTGGAGCGTTAGTTGTTAGCCTGTTCGGCGAACCATTTGGGAGACGTCAAGTGATTCAGGGCGGTGCTCTACTGATCTGTATCGGCGCGGCAATACAAGCCAGCAGCTATTCATCGGCCCAGTTGATCGTGGGGCGCATTGTGGCTGGTGCCGGGATGGGATTCATTACCAGTATGGTTCCAGTGTGGCAAGCAGAGACCTCTCCGCCGAATTTGAGAGGTGCCTTGGTTGCCTCGTCGCTATCGTTTGTGCTACTGGGACAGGCAAGTACTCGCATAAATCAAATACCGGCCCAAACTAACTAGAGACGCAGCTCATCGCTTACTGGTCTGAATATGGAACTAGTGCATACGCCAGCAGCTTCTCCTGGAGATTCCCATTTGCATTGCAAGCAGTTATAGCGATCATTCTCTCTCTCCTGCTATTGGTGATGCCTGAGTCTCCTCGTTGGCTTTTCCTACATGACCAAGACGAAAAAGCGGTAGAAGTACTAGCTGCTCTCAAAGGAGCAGACCCGACCGACGAACAAACTTCGGCGCAAGCAGAAGAGATTCGCGCAGCGGTGATACTTGAGGCCTCTATCCAAAAAGGATGGCTTGACATGTTCAAGAATGACGGGGTTCATTCACGGCATCGCGTGCTTCTATCTATCCTTGTGCAATTTCTCCAGCCATTTTCAGGAAGTGCAGTGATCTCATACTACCAAACTGTCATTTTTCAGTCTTCTATTGGCATGCCCAGAAAAGAAGCGCAGCTGATGTCCGGTTATCTTTCTATATGGTTTCTTTTTGCAAGCTTCTTGACGTGGGTTTTGATTGAACGCGTTGGTAGACGGCCCCTGTTCCTTATTTTCTCAGTTGCCATGGGTTGCGCTATGCTTGTCCTTGCTATCATGGTTAAACTCGCTACGCATACGTCGGGAATTGTGGCGGCGGTCATGATCTTCTTGTTCGAAGCGTTCTTTACATGGGGTTGGCAAGGAAACGTCTGGTGCTACGCGGCTGAAATCGTGCCGCTCGAGTGCCGAACCAAGGCAATGGGACTTGCAACAGGGGTTCAGTGGACGATGAATTTCTTGATGATCTATGTCACTCCCATTGGGTTGGCGAATATCGGATGGAAGATGTACATCAGTGAGTTGGCTCCCTCGTTTACAATGACCTTCGGTCAATTTACTGACAACCCAGTTTTTGCATGCTTTAACCTTGCATTCTTTCCCGTTGTATATTTTCTGTTCCCAGAAACCGGGGGTCTGTCGCTAGAGTTGCTGGACGTCGTTTTCATGGACGATACGACTTCGCCTGTGAAACGTGCAGCAGAGCTTCAGCACAAGATCAAGCTCGGAGAAACAGTTCAGTTTCAGAATGAGCTCGAAATGTGCAACGCGGAAATCAAGGGAACTGTCGAGAGTGTGGAGAATGTCGAGCCAAATCACTTACCATGATGAGGACCGAGAATGCACGGAGTTGATTGTGGCAGTCCATGTGGTGGCTTCGTTACAGCCTCCTTTTTCTTAAATTCAAGCATATGAATAGGGCAGCAAAGCCGAAGAATAATCTTATAGAATTAGATTCGTCATGGCCTATAGTAAAGGGTATCTACCGAGTCAAACCAGGTTTGGAGGAGGAGATTGACGTCATGCGGCCATCAGAATCGCTGCAACATTCAATGACAACCCGAGCTCTGTTTAAAAACCGAAGTTCCGACCTGCTCATAAAATCCACATCGCTTTTACACAATTTTCCTCGACAAAAATGGAAACCCGCAATCAATCCAATCAGCCGGGGCAGCCGCCGAAGCAAGCGACCTATACGCAAGCCTCCAACCCGGTTTCGCAGACACCACAGGAACAGCGAGCTCCGACTGAGCCTGTGCGCCATTATGGCGACGCGCCGGGGTCCATCACTCGGCGCACTGCAGACTCGAAACCCTCAAGTGACGAGGAGCGTGCTCGTCTCGACGGCAAACACCAGCAACAACAGCGCTCGTTACAGAACTCCCCCAATGTCGATTTGGGGTATGGCGTGGAGCAGCAACCAGCAGAGGGATACATCGCAGATGCTGTCCATCGGAAAGGAATGGGGATGCAACGTGCGCAGGCAGGGGCGCACGCAGGCCCCGTCGGTAGCGCCGCAGGACCTGGACACCCTGGACAGGGAGGGGAAAGAGATCTCACGGCCGATATGGGCCGGAAACAGGAACAACATGACAAGATGCTGGGAGACAGGGTCGGGCGCAGTCCTCCAGCACCGGACCATGAAGTCGCTGAAAGAGAGGCAGTCAGGGAGCGCAAGTTAAAGCAGGATGAGAGCCTGGATGTAAAAGGCACAGTCAAGGAAGCCACTGGGGACCCGGTGGTAGGTAGTAGGTGAAGCGTGATAGATGCGCCAATCGAGTGTCTCATGTATCGTGGACAAATGTAATGGATTATTAAATATCAGCGTCTCCTGACATGCCGATCGAGACTTTCTTCAACTCCAAATCCTTCTTCAACTCTTGGATGCGCCGGCCCATCTTGTTCCGCAGGATATGGTTCTGCACCTTTTGAGCTTGAGCCGTTTCATTCCGAATGAGTGCCTCCAACTCTGCGATCTCTTCGAGCTGCTGCTGGTTTTCACGTTGCTCTTCGAGCTGGTCATCATCCATGTCGTCTTCCGGTTCGTCGCCGCCCTCATCGGACATGTCGCTCTCGTCTCCTGATGATTCGGCTTGATCTGTTGGCGGTTCGGCCGCCGTCTTTACGGATGGAGTGCCTGCTAGGTGCTCAGGAACTGGTACTGTGGCGCCCTCATCATCCCCAGCAGCCAGAGCAGCTTCCATTTCGGCGGCAAGAGCATCTTCGAGATCGTCCATCATATCCTCCTCGCCCTCGGCATCTTGCTCGTCGTCGTATTCCTCATACTCGGCCTGCCCAAGCCCCTCGACGCGGTTGAGCGATGTATTGTCCACCAGTTCAAACCGCGGTGGAAAGATAGAATGCTCATCCTGTGCAATCAGGTCCTCCACTGCGTTCTCAGCCTGTTGGATGGTGCGCGTGCTAACACGGTCACGAAAACGTCGCTTTCGCACCCATCGTAAGGGTGGCGCCAACCCATGTGGATACTGAAGTGTTATCTCGTCTGAGCGCTCAACTTCCGGTGGTAAGGGGAATTCCAAGGCTTCTTGATCGCTGGAAACTGTCCCCAGAACCAAAAGCATCTGGCAAATGTCCGCCGACTTGTACCATCCTCGACGATCCCAACTCTTCATTCCCTCAATGATGTTGGGTAGGTCCACCAGCGCTGCGGCGTACTGTTTGTCCCGTATCTTCAGAATGGCGCGCCGCCCTTCCCGGGTGAGGGGCTTGAACGCGAACTCGGACTTGTCGAACTTCCTTTCGTTGATTGCTTGTCGTAGATAATCGCAGTCCTCTCCAGGGAGCATGCGCAGAATAAACTGTTCTTCGATAGCCGGATCGATCTCGGTATCAGAGGCCTCAGAATCGTAACCCACACCGACGGGTCGGTTGGGGACCACCCCCTTGTTCTTGATGCGAATGGACTGCAGCCCGGGCTTCTTGGACGGGTTCAGTTTCAGTCGTTTGGGCCCCTGCACGGAAGGCGCGGGTGGGGGTTGCTCGGCATTTTCTGCTGCGCGCTTCTTCGATGGCTTTTTCTTTTTGGGCTTCGGTTCTTCGGGCTCTGGTTGGGGTTTGCGTGCGATTTTCAGGGTGAGCTTTCGCTGGGGAGTCTCAGAGGGCGCAGGCGAAGGCTCAGCTGGTGCTGGGGAGGGCTCCGGGGCCTTTTTCTTGCCCAGCTTGAGCTTGAGGGCTGGCCGAGGAGCATCAGACATGATGCCGAAGAAAGAAAGGAGGCGTGTATCTATTCTTTCAGCGATGAAGCGAGTGACGGGGGTAACTGGGTAGGTGTAGTATGCGGTGGAAGGAAGGAGCAGAAAGTCGGGCCGATTAGTTAGAGCTCCGCCGCCTTTGCATTATTATTCATTCATCTACGCATTCACCTTCACCTTCCTCCTTGCACCACCTACCAACCACCTCTCTCTCTGCCGCTCTCTTTATTCTTATCGTCGACTCGAGAACTCGTCTTCCAGCTCTTTCTTCCCGTCATGTCCGGTCCCAACCTCCATAATGCGCTCCTCCGTCCGCCCATCATCCAGATCCTCCGTGCCCAGGGCTTCCATTCAACGCGACCCTCCGTCCTGGAGACACTGTCTGATCTGACAGCACGATACATGATGATTCTCGCTTCGTCAACCGCTTCACATGCAGCCAACGCCCACCCACAAGACCCATCCCCAGTCCTCGAAGACATCTACCAAGCCTTGCAAGATGCGGGCGCACTACGACCGCAACTGCGCGAGTGGGAAGAAAGCTGGGCCGGCGAGGAAGACATGCGCGGGCTAGAATCGCTCTTGAACTGGATCACGGGCCCAACGCACCGCGAGATTCGACGCATCGCGGGTTTCGTCCCTAGTGAAGGCGACATGGTCGACCCGGACGCGATCGCGAAGGAGGACTTTTTGACGGCGCTGAAGAAGAAGCACAGCAAAACTGGTGAAGAGTCTCGGTATGCGGGGACTGTGCTGGGCAAGAGTGCTGAGGAGCATCCTGTTATCATCGAGGGTGGTGCGCCCAGTATTCGGGAGTGGAGCGCACAGATGAAGGCACGCAGCCCAAATTTGATGGACAATTACTCTTCGGGTATCAGCAGTGCTCCCAGCAATCTATCAGATGAGGATGGCTTGGATGTGTGAAGAGCTGTGCAGGATTTGACTTACGAACGATCAACAAATCCCCCGAAACTACGATCATCTCAGTATCGCACATGGCACCCCGATCAAACACCTCGATCCCATAAGCATCACGCTACTTGGCAAGAAAACTGAAATCAAAAGCTCGCTCTACAGCAGAGATAAACCGTGCAGCCGATGCGCGCGCAATATCGACAGTGTGGGACACCGAGAACATGTCAGACCACGAGAAAGCCGCCGCTCACCGGGTGATCCCCGGAGGTCAAACCTTGAGCACGAGTTGCGTGAGGTTCACTATGTACTAGGTGCGGGCAACTGGGAGATCCGAATCCGAATGGGAGAAATGACATGCATCTGGTCATGGCAGAAGGCACGGCATAGTGACCGGTGCCAAGCAGTTATTTCTAAGAATAAGATAAAGTAATGATAAAGTACATAAAGCATAACGTCGTAAAAATCGTATCTATGCAGGGGATATCCCCTTTTGCCCTTCCTTTAAAGCTTCTTCCCTTTGCTCAGTCGACTGGATCGTGCAGGCGTCTCAAGCTTATCCACCAGCGGACGATACGGCGAGGCCAAGACATGCTCGGGAGCGGCCTCTCCACGCCGGGGCTCTCCGGGATTCGGACGATGCAGCTGCTCATTATGCATGCGATCCAGCGATTCTCCGACGACCTGGTATTTGGCCCAGTTGATGGGAGGCATGCGCACGACGTTCTGCGGCGGTGGGATACGGCCGAACTTAGATTCATCGGCGGATAGTTTCGAACCCTGGGTATATTCAGGCCCCTGTGTCCCTTCTGCATGCCCCTCCTTCTCCTCTTCGTCATCTTCCTCCGAAAACTGGACCACCGCGCCCCGATCTTCAGTCTTCAGGCGCCCGGCAGCCAGCTCGCGCGCGAACCCCGCCGGGTCCGCAGCGGCAGCATCTTTCAAGCGATCTAGCGTCTGGATATCGCGCAGACTCTGCTGTTTCTGGAGTTGCAGGATCGAAAGGGCCGAGCGCAGCGCGATGGCATCTGGGTTCTCGCTCTCGGAGATAGGAACGGGTGGCGGCTCCGGCTTGAAGACCGGGGGGTCGCGCGGTGGTGGCGGTGGTTGGGGAGGGTATCCAGTATATAATAGAGGGCGAGTAGTGGGCGAGGGTGAGGACGGCGGTATGATCGATGGTTCGCCGTTGGTGACGGGGGCGAGGGGCGCGAAAACCGGCGTCACCGGGGAATAGGGTGGTCGCGGCGGTGTCCCTGGTCGGTCATCCTGGGTTATAGAGGTTTGTATATTTAGACCCTCCGGCTGCATCGCGATAAATGGCGCTGCAAGAATCCAGTCGCAGATCGGAGGGAGATGATCTGGCGACGGGCTTGCGAGTGGGTGTCTTAATGAGAAAGAGAGAGAAGATGGAGGAACCAGATCGCGTTCCAGCGATGACGAAAGCGGTGTCGGGTCTGGCCCTGGCCGCGCGGAGATAAGAGTAGGTGAAGATGCAGTACGTAAGTATGAGGGGTGAATGGGGATTGTTATTGTTTGATAGAAGGGAGAAAATAAGGAAGCACAGAATACACCAAAATATCACCAAGAATCGAATAGGAGAAAAGTCAAGAGCTGGGAGTTTTGTGTCTGTCGTCCATATCTGTTTCTCTCACCGCACTATGCTTCTCTCACCGCCTGGCAATTTTTATGGATCAGCCCATCGCCGATAACCAAGTCTTTCACCACCGCAAACATGAAGCGCAAGACAGATCAAAGAGGCTCTCTCGACGGCAATGCCTTGCCTGATTCCAAGAAGCGGGCATTGTCCAGCGAGGAAGCCGCCTCGCGCTTCCGGGATGGTCTGTTCGACGCGGCCGAGCAGAAGAAGTACACGGACGCATATACCACGTCCTCCCCGTATGTGTGCATGCCTTGATAACCCTAGCCCAGCACTTACAATTCCTAGGTATCTCCACGGTGTGATGTGTCCTCTGATCGAACCCACACTCCTGCGCTCCGTCCGTGAGGAGATCCAAGAGCACCTGTCCTTCACCGAGAAGGAGACCGACATCTACAAGATTTTCCAATCGGGCGACCTGGCAAACCTGGATGGCCTCGACGACGCCTCGCTGTCACGCCTGCCGTCGCTCTTGAAGCTCCGCGACGCCATGTACTCGGGACGGTTCCGTGAGTACCTGTCTTCAGTGACCAGGTCCGGCCCGCTGAGTGGTCGCAAGACCGACATGGCTATCAACGTCTACACCGAGGGATGCCATCTCCTGTGCCATGATGACGTGATTGGCAGTCGGCGTCTCAGCTACATTTTGTATTTGACGGACCCGGACACGCCCTGGCAAGCCGAATGGGGCGGTGCGCTGCGCCTGTACCCGACCAAAACCGAGAAGGATGCCAAGGGCGAGGATGTGAAGATCCCCAGCCCGGACTTCAGTCTGTCGATCCCGCCTGCCTTCAACCAGCTCAGCTTTTTCACCGTCCAGCCCGGTGAGAGTTTCCATGATGTCGAGGAAGTCTATCACACCCGCGAAGGCGATGACAAGACCAAGAAACGAGTGCGCATGGCAATCAGTGGGTGGTTCCACATCCCTCAAGAAGGTGAGGATGGATACGAAGAAGGCTTGGAGGAGAAGCTCGCCGAGCGAAGCAGTCTCGCCCAGCTCCAGGGCCGCGGCGATATCTACGACCTGCCGCAGGCCCGGCCCGTTTCCTGGGAGGAGCCGGAGGTGGAGGGCAAAGGCAAGGACAAGGTGGAGGAGCATGCAGAGGGCAGTGAATTCACCGAATTCGACCTAAACTTCCTGCTGCAGTACATTGCGCCGTCATATCTGACCCCAGACATCGCTGAGGAAATGTCAGATGCGTTCTCCAACGAATCCTCGCTCAGTCTGGAGCATTTTCTGTCTGAGAAATACGCCGCGCGCATGCGTGCGTACATCGAGGATCAGGAGCAAAAAACTCTTCCTGGATCGTCGGATGAGATCCACGCGCAGACTGGATGGACCGTCGCTCGGCCGCCACACAAGCACCGGTACCTCTACCAGCAGCCATCAGCCGAGAAGAAAGACAACCCAATCCAGGAGTTGTTGAACGTTGTGTTCCCATCCCAAGCCTTTCGCAAGTGGCTAGCGCTCATCACGGGCGTGGATCATCTTACGAGCCACAACATGCTTGCCCGCCGCTTCCGGCGGGGCGCGGACTACACGCTCGCCAGTGGGTATGACGGCGAAGCACCACGGCTGGAGTTCACGCTCTGCCTGGCGCCGGCCCCGGGCTGGGAGAAGCAAGACGAGGAAGAAGCGGATGGAGAGAAGAGAGAGAACGGCGAATCTGGAACCTCCTCTTCTGCAAAGGCAGCCTCCAAGAAAGCCAACGGCGAGTCTTCTTCTACCGAGGATCCCGCCATCGGCGGCTACGAGATTTACATGGCTGGCGACGACGATGAGGAAGATGAGCCGGAAGAAGAGGATGCCGAGAACGCAGACCAAGTTCTCAAGCCGAAGGCCAAGAAGTCCAAGGCTGATCCGGCAATCTACCGGTCGGCAGATGCGGACGAGGATGATGGTATCCTCTTCAGCACGCAGGCCGGGTGGAATCGATTGAGCATTGTTCTGCGGGATCGCGGCACGCTTCGGTTTGTCAAATACGTGAGTGCGGCTGCTCAAGGAGATCGGTGGGATATTACTGGAGAGATTGATGTTGAGTTTGAGGATGATGACGATGAGGATGAGGATGGCGATGGCGATGAGGAGGAGGAGGAGGATGATGATGAAGGCGAGGACTTCGAAGATGAGAGTGATGATGACGATGCGTAGACGGATATTGCTCCGTCCACCATCTGATGAGTTCTAGTGTATGAGCCTGAATCTGTCTATATATGTTCCCCAAAAATTATAAAGCTCTCAGTTTTTACTACTTCACATGACTGTTAAAAAGAGAATACCCTGATACTTGAAGCACTTGGATGTCACTATATCAAAAGTCTCATTCAACATACTAAAAGTCTTGTACAATACCTCATAGACAGAGTGGCCTAAATATAGACCCTTCACTCGTAACCTCCAGAATGTAGCCCCCAAGACACAACAGATATGGTTTTCCGTCCTAGCCAGATTCTTGTTGTCTTCCGCACCACAACAAGATATATCCACCTAAACAATAATACAATAACTAGCAGTGGATGCCATGCAAGACACTCTGAAACCAGTCTCACTCTAATTCCCTAGTCAGCCAGGCACCCTTTGAAGACCCGCGACCCAGCCAATACCAGGCCGATCTTCGCAATGGGCGGACATGCGGCATGTTTCTCCCCCGCGGAATTCCAGACATGTTCCCGAGCACATTGTTTTGTCTCGTTGCGTGCCATGAGCCACATGTTACCCTCGAAGCGGGTCGATGGAGATAACCACAACCAATAGTTTACAAGGTATAGCCACCGACAAGGGATGCTATGACGACAGGAAGGGCGAACTAGTCGTGAAATGATCTACGAATGGAACGATGTCCCCTTCCCCAACGCCGGGGAGGAGCAGCCGGGCGATCGATCGCCAGGTACAGGACTAGTTTCTTGAGGATGAAACAGTCAATAATATGTGAGCATGTATTGGATATTACTTGCGGCAGGGTTAGTTCCTGGGACGAACGAGACCCTCGCAGCGTGGCCGGCGAACTGGAATGAGGGTTGTGGTGGCCCACGCGCTATCGACATGGCCAACTTTATTAAAGGTGAGACACACCCTCAAAAAAATTAAAGACCCAAAAAAACAGATGCCATCCCTTGTTCCGGGGTGGCAGAGTCGCATTGGAAATTCTGGACAACTCCCGTGGGTTCTACGGATGAAGTATGATGCACTGCTACCATAGTAGGGCGGGTATGTTGTCCGTGTAGATCGCGGGTGGCGAGCCAAGACAAATCTGCTGCAAGGCGGCCATATGGCGTTGAAGTATAGGCAGCAGAGATGATCGCGCTATGGGTGGACTATTCAGCCACAGCAGCTGAAGAGCAGTTTAACTGTTGGGTACTAGGGTAAACCGGGCACTCGATCTCGCTGTGAATCAGGGTCTAGATCTCATAGCTCCACCATCGGTAACAATTAAAATAGATCCTTCACTCTTCGATGACAACTAGTCAAATGCTTAACTTGGCCCTCTGTGGAACAGTTTTGGTACAAATTACATACTGTAATCCGCCTCGGGGCGCAATGATTATGATTGGGGTCTGCGGCCGGAAATAATAGGAGCGCCCCCGGCCGCCTACTCCTTCTTTCCATAATTGACTAGTCGGACCAGTCCCGCCAGCCACCGTCCCAGCCGCAATCCATGTCATCTCAGCAGGCCAGTTGCCAAGAGCCGCCCCGGTCGCACCGTGTTACGGAAGAAATAGCCGCGGGTCAGAAGGCTCGGACAGCCGTGGGCATTTGGGCGGGCGCGCGGGTGGGCGCAGGCCGTCAGTAGTCGAGGGGGCGATTGCATGCATCATGGTTTCGTCTAGGTCGTGATTATCCGGTCGACGGGCCATGTGCGGACGACGAGTTGGGGTGGCAGCCGTGTGGATGAGCGGCGCGTGGTGATCGCTCACTGGCGACAGGGTAGTTAGACGAGGCATGGACAACGTCTAGGATCGGCATCCTCCGCCATCTTGAATTGAATACATCGTACATACATAATTAGTAGTTTAGCTAGTAATCTGCAAGGAGCTAGCCCCCTGAGCTCGCCACGTGCAGGCGATCCCCAGTGACGCCTTGACTTGGGGTCATGATGTAAGAGACCGTCCTTGCGTGCAGGTAGAGCCATCGAAGGGTAGCGACAGGCAATCAACTAGCCACTGCTCCCGTCGTAGCCGCACAGCGAGGAAGAGTTCCGTAGTCGAATAGTAAGTAGCCTAGCGAACTAACTCCCACTAGAACCAGGTGGATCCCTTGCGCTCCTCGTGGCACATCCTTGCATGGCGGTAATACCGAAACATTCCAGAGAAGGATTCGATGGATGCGACTCTGTTGTTTGTGCCCCTCTGACTGGGCTGACGCGGACCGGGATGTATTATTTCGATGGGTTTTAGGGAGTCGACAGACAAGAAAGGCAGCGAAGAGACAGGGGCTACCTCATAATCCAAGGACTATAGCGTGTGCCACGTTCTTTCGTTCGTCTTTCTTCCTCGACCTTACCTACCTACACTACTACCGACGACACTACACACGACGAACTAACTAACTAGTTCAGACCCCTGCTCCAAGATCGATCCTTTCCTCTTCCCTCCCTCTGCTCCGCTGCCGACCCTCAGGCCACGCGCTGGATCGGCGGATACTTAGAACGGCCATTCTCTCTTTGGGTCTTCTCCACCGACCACGTTCGCCGTGTTACCACCCTCCCCCAATTTGCCTTCCCGCCCGACCTGGAACATGCGATAGTGCGGACACGGCCTCGTAGGATCCTCTCTTCTGCAACTCCCCTCCCACCATGGATCCCTCTGTCGCCCATCGGCCCTGGGAGACGGCCTCCGGGCCCCAGACCCCGGCGGCTTCGACGCAGACTCTGCCCTCGATCTCGACCCTCACGGCCAACATGACCGGCGTCAATCCCTCGGAGAAGTCGCCTGGGAACACGTCCCTCAACACGATCGAGCGAGATTCGGGGAATTGGTCGATGCCGCAGAGCACAAGTACGCATGCATCCTCTTTGTCCTCATACTCCCCACCATGCTGACCCGCCCAGGATCTTCGACCTACTCGACCGCAACCAACGGCACCGGCAACAACTACCCTTCCTTGACCTTCCTAACCTCAACGTCACATCCCTCGCCCGTTCGCGGGCATCCAGCCGCCGTCGACCGAAGTTCCTACCCACATGAGCAATCTACCACTCCGTCCTCCGCCGGTGCGCAGCAGCCGTCACCGAACTTCAACACCGCCCAGCCCAATCCCGCACTACCCTCTATAAACCAGAACTATGAAGCTCCCTCCCACCGTGGGAGCGTTGCCGAGACGTCCGAGTCCCGGCGGAGCAGCGTCGACAGTCGCATGAACCAAGGGATCAGCTCGCTCGCCATCAGTCCAGCATCACCATATCACAGCACCAATGCGTCGCAGTCGTCGATTGTGTCGAACCTACAACGCGAGCGCGGCATCATCCGGTACTCGGATGCCAGCCAACCGATCTCGCCCATGGGGGCTCGAGCTGGGGACGCCCGCAACAACTTTGCGGGGGGTCGGACAGCGCCTGCGATCTCGTCAAATCCCCGGTCCGAGATTTACAATGCCGACGCACCCACGGCGGGTATGGCATACGCCTTCCCGGATCCCGATGTAGCACGATCGAACTCCATGTCCTCCACCGAGAGGTCTAATCCACCCTTCTCCCGCAAAGGCAGCATGGCGGAGTCTCTCAGCAGCATGTACTCGGAATCCCGCATGCCGCGGGGACAGCATGGTAGGATTCCTTGCCCGACCGCGCTTCGTATGCAAATACTGACCATGCTACAGAGCTGCCCCAGAACGTACATCACCATTCTATGCAGCACAAGCAAGTGCGAGAGCTGATTGGGGAAGAATCCGAATTATCCGGGGGGAATACGCCGTACAGCCGGACGCCAGAACTACGGGTCACGCACAAGCTGGCCGAGCGAAAACGCCGGAGCGAGATGAAGGACTGCTTCGAGGCGCTGCGCATGCGTCTCCCGCAGGGCCACAACAACAAGTCGAGTAAATGGGAAACCCTGACCCGGGCCATTGAATACATCAACGGCTTGGAGAAGGCGGCCAACCAGGCCCAGCAGATGGTCAGCCAGGCTCAGCGGGAGATTGCCTCACTACGCACGGAGAATGAGGAGCTGCGCGCACAACTCAATCAGAACGGCCCATCACGACCGGGCTCGATCTTTGAGCATCACCAGATGGCTACCACCCCGACCAACGGCCAGCCCCATCCGCCCGTGTTCTCCGGGTTTGGCAACGGCTCAGGCGTCCAAGACCAGCCGCGGACTCTACCTCCGCTCATGAACGGCTCCGTGGCTCCGATGCAGGGGATCCAGTATACGGACGAGCGACGATAATCAAGTCTTGCGGGACAGAAAATGAGAAATGACGTGTCATGCTGCGAAACGCAATGTCCACCGACGCCCTCGATTGTTTTTTCTTCTTCAATGTGCCATTCTACATATCCCTGTTCTAGATAACACTCCCCATCTCGAGTTTTCTCGACCCGGCCGGTTTATATTTGTCTTGGGTGTTCCCTCCTTTCTTGTTTGTCTTTTTTCTTTGCTCTCTTGACTATCATACCCGCCATTGCTGTGTTTCATTGTTCCTTGAACTGTATTAGGGCTCATCCCCATTCCGCGGAATGCAGAGCTCTATCTTCCGCCTTTTTTTTTGTTCTTCATGATGGCATCATTGGTTCTACTGCATGGAAATGGACAGGAAGGGATCTGTGGGGTTTACTATGTATGGGTCTGGGATTTATTGTTGAGCTGCTTTCTCGCCCCGTCGAGCGTGTAACAAATCAATCAACCACCAAAAAGCTGGATTTGGACTACTGCCAGTCGAAGAATTATTATTCACCAGATCATCGTAGATCCATAGTTATAAACAGTACAACACTGCTGCTCTATTTTAAGTGACCCTCCCCGATTGGCCACTGTAAGCGCCCGTCTCCAGCTCTCGGCGCGTACCTGTTTCGCACCCTGCCCAACCACCCAATGACCATCTCCGAACTGTGTTTGAGATCGCTGCCGAAACACATCTCGTCCCCTTCTCATTGGTTGTTTCAGCTCTCTGCTAACGCTGGACAGTCAAGATGGGGCCGGCCTGTGGACCTGGCTAGATCCTAAGCTTTAGCATGCAGTTGGGATCATGGCAGCTGCACAGATTAACACATCCTGTAAATAGCTCGAGGCTGCCTAGTTGTTTATTTGTATTGCGTATCCAGCCCTATTTTTGATCTTCTTTCTGTCAATGGGGATTCATTTGGCTTTTCTTTGTCGCTTTCTCGTTCTTTCTCTCATTGTTCCTGTTTCATTCACTGCCTGCGACACACACACATCCGGCTTGATTCATATTAATAGAACCTACAACGCTCTTTGTCTCGATTCTACAGTCATTCCAACCTCTGTCTTCTTCGTCTCTTCCCATGTGGTATGTTTACATCCAGGACAGACAGCACCTCCAGAAAGCAGAACTAAAGCAACTACAACAGCAACCATGCCCTCCAAACGCCAGAAAGGTTTACTGGCCCCTCTCCCACCAGCATTCCCTCTCTCCTCGCCCATCACCGAGGAAGTCCCCAGCCCGCCGTGCTCATCGTCCGAGGACCACGAGCTAGAACGCACCAGGCCATTCGAGTTCCTTGTCAAGGCCACGCGGCAACGAAGCCAAAAGCGCAAGCAGGGGCATCGCTCAGTAAATTTCTCGCATCGGGACCGAGATGGGAAGAGAGTGAGCATTGGGGGTATCATGAAGAAGAAGAATAATGCGAAGCCCGTGGGTCTGAACTTGGTAACGGACTTTTCGGAGACGAGTTCAACAGCCACCCCTCGAGCTGAGGGGAATACGGCTCCGTTTGTGGATTTGAATGATCTGAAGTTGTTGTCTAAGGCAAGGGCGAAGGAGAGGTCCGCTCAGAAACAGAAAGGCCGGACGGTTCCGAAGAAAAGTACGACGACGACTGCGGATGGATTCTACCGACTTCCTGATGAGGTTTCTGTTGATGTCGATATCCAGCAGGGCCTCGCAGATACATTTAACACTGATTCCACAAACGCTCGGCTGGAGGCAAATCCCAACAACCCTTTCCGTGATCAGTACGAACTGTCGCCATCGGATCGGACTGTCGTCATAGGTCTTACTGTGCCATCCAGCGAAGCCCTGCATTTGGACCGGCTCAAATCGAGGGACCCTGATAGTGCCGGCGAACAGGCTACTACACCACTCACTCCCTCGATTATTGTCACGCCTGCGTGCGAAGAGGCTCCCTGGCAGATCCCTAGCCCGGAGACCCAGCGTCCTAGGGCAACGTCCAGCATTTACTCCCGGCCCACCACTATACTCGAACAGTTCCCGTCAGATATCCCACCCGTACCTGCAATCCCGGCCTTACATGCAGCCAAAAAAATCAATACCAATCCCCCTCCGTCCACACGCAACCGCTCGCTCTCCACCGACACCATCTTTGAAGAAGATAGTCCCCAGGAAAAGAAGCCCAGCCGGCTGAGCGTAAACACTGAGTCGAACAGACCCCAGTCCCAGGGATGGTGGACGTACTTGCTCTCCCCACTACTCAGCCGTTCCAACACCTTCTCAAGCAAGAAGTCACCCACCAGCCCGGGCTTCTCTATTTCTCCTCGAGCCTTCCGCGCCAAAGAACCAACTAAAGACTGGTGGGAGAAAGAAGTCTCGTGTTTTTCACCAGAGACTCCGGAAGCTGTTGCGCCGAATGCATGGGAGAAGAAACCGGAGCAATCACGATCACTCAATGGCGGTGGTGAAGAAGTGGCCGCAGCAGCCCCGACCAACAGGGATAATCTGACATCCATGATGTTTCCCGGACGTCCGATTCAGGGCCTTGCGGCCGAGTATTACCAGGCTTGTGCCCATGAGCTTTTCAGCAAGACTCCGTTCTTTGAATGCCAGGATCATGTCTGCTCTATCACGCCCGTCAAGATCGTGAGCAATGAGAAAGCAGTGGTAGATGTACCGGGGGATCAGAGACTGGCTCTTGTTGAGGTTGATCCTTCAAACGCTGGCCTGCAGGGGCGTGGTGTGCCTGCAGAGAAGACGAAAACTGCCACCCGAGGACTTCTTATTGATGTTGACTCCCCTCGGCCAAATAATGGAGACACGAAAGGTGTTACACGATCACCTGCTTCCGCTACGAGCACAGACTCGTGGGTGTCCACGGCGGTTGACACTCCCGAGCAGGAAAAGCCTTTGTCCCAAACCAAAGGTTTCATTGAAGAACCACCAGCTCCAGTTCAAGTTTCTCAACCACGGATTTTCGAATCTGAGAAACGGGCTCCGACGCCTGTAGCTGCTCCGACGCCGCAAATAATCAACACCTTCTCGCCACCTGGGAACAACGTGCACTATCCACCGCCAGTTGCTCAGCCGCCGTTCCAGCCAGCTCCTGTGATAGAAAAGGAAGTACCCCATTTCGGACCCGTCTACCCTCCTGGTCATGACACACCATTGGGACAACAGGCAGCGCCAAATTCAACATGGCTACAAGAACATTCTCGACCACCAGAACCAGTGTCTCCGGGCTTTCAACGACAGACAGAGGGTACCAGATCGATCCCTATGAATGACATGCAGGCCCCAGCACCAGCATACACCCAGTATCAAAGAGATGACGCCCTACCGCCACGCTACGCTCTGCACCCGTCACCAGGAGCAGTGGTGATGGACCCAACCGCGCCAAGAGGACCGGGTGAGAACCGTCGTCGTCGACTGGAAAGAGAAGACGCCATTGGACGCCAAGTCGGCGGTCTATGGCGCGGACGAGGCCCGGTTTCCAAGAGGGGATGTTTCGGACGGCCTGGACGTGAGGGCCGACTCCGACGACGGTGGTACTTTGGCATTTGCATTTTCTTCTTCGTGATTGTCGCAGTGGCCATTTCCCTCGCGCTCACTCTAACCAAGCACGGAGACACAACACCCGTGCAGTCCCAGTGGCTCAATCTGACGGGATATCCGCCCATGCCAACGGGGATTGCCACGATAGCAGGCGCCGAACCGCAGGTCCAGCGATCTGCGTGCATTACGCCTCCTTCTTTGTGGAGCTGTGCGCTGCCCAAGGGCGAGCTGCAGTCTGCGAATATGCCCTACGCGGCTAACAACCCTAACTTCCGGGTTGAGATTCGTTTTCTCAACGGGACTTACAACCACAGCACAGTTGTCAATACTAGCTCGACGCTTCGTGTCAGGAGGGATAACGGCTCATTTGATCCATCGCCTTCACCACCAAGTCTCGCAGACCAGACGTTCCTCGGTAACACCACAGACGGCAACGCTGTCCCTTACGCAGGCGAGGACACGCCCTTCTACATGACCATCATGTCACCAGCGCAAGTGTCTTCTAACGCCCTGTTCCGCCGCTCCTCATCTTCCTCTGCATCCAGCGAAACATTCAACCTATCAAACATCATCCCAGCACCCGACGAGACCACTGACGGTTTACCCGCCGCGGCAACACTCTACCCACTCCCAGACTCGCAGCCCGTTCGTTTATACAACCGGGGAATGTCAACAGAGCACTACGGCTTCTATACATACTTCGATAAGTCGATCTTCCTCGAATCCGAGTCCCCCCTAAACGGCGGAACAAGCGACACCAATGCCAACGACACCAACGGCGGCTCAGCCCAGTCCAGCGCAAAAGTGCGCTGCACATGGTCTCAAACACGCTTCCTCGTGCAGATCTGGACCCAACCTGGGAAGCTGGGATACAACCTGGTTTCAGGCAGGAGTACAGGTACAAGCACAAGCACAAGCACAAGCACACCTGCCTCGTCAACACCAACAGCCACGTCAACGATACCGACATCTTCGTCGTCTGCGACGGATTTTACCCGTCCAGGCTCGTTTCCCTATCCCGTTACTATAACAGTTGACCGCCACGGCGGCAACGCAGATCAAAAACTGGTGTACTGCTACGGGATTGAAGAGGATGGACATTACAATGTTACGAATCACAAGCTGGAGATTGAGGATCGGAGTGTGGGTGGGACGTTGATTGATCCTGCTAGTTCGAGTGAGAAGGGTGGGAGTTACGGGGGTGTTGATGGGGGGACAGGCGGGTGTGAGTGTCAGTGGACGAATTGGATTGGGAGTGTTTAGATGGTTCATACGCGTGTTTTGTTAGAGTTCAGGCTCGGTGGCTTGCTTCCTTTTATTGTCTGGTTGTTCTGAGTGGTCAGTTGCTTATTACCCTTTATAGATAATCGCGCCGCAACAATAGAAGAGCTACATCAAATTGAAATAGAGGTTATCATCATCATCGTCATCGTCGTCGTCACCGGTTATAGAGACATGGTCTTGAAAAGCGAACTCTAAAAGATAAACTTCAGAGTGATAACCGAATCAAGCAAATGGCGCAAGGTAGCATCAGAAAATTATACTTTGCTCTGAACCTGGTCCTCAGACATTCCTTCTAGCCGACGGCGTTGGAGGCAACCTAGTCTGAGATAGTAAATGTATCTAGGGCTAGTGTCATGACTGACCACTGGATCGCACGAATGCCAACAACCCAAAATCTAGGACCAACGGCCGGTTTACTGCTGCTGAAGGGCAAATTTGCAAGCGGTTATCCCCTTTTGGCAGGCTATTAATAGGACGTCAAAATTGTATGACAGCGCCAAGGTTTGTTCTGGTTGCATTGGTTTTGCCACTGACCCTCAACCCTGGTGCCAGCCCATAGCCCTGGAGGCACAGCAGGAGGGTGCTCCTCGAGGAACCAGGGTCTATTCACTAGAGTCAGATCTACTCAAAGCACAAAAAATTCCAACCACTTTTTTTCGTCATTTTTTAATTAACATTACATTAGGGAGTTCCAGTATGTATCCCAAGAAACACAAAAAGACACAAAAAAGATCGGTCTAAACCAGAACGCCTGTCGCGATTACCGCGCCTTGCCCATCTCACTCTTCTTCATGTCATATGGACAGCAGCCAGTAGATTGAAAGAAGAGGAGGAGACATAGTAGGACAACAAGGCAGCGGGTAAACGGACACTGAACACCGGCATCCGAAACAATATCAAATCACAAAGAGAGATAGAAAAAATATTTAGACCAGGAGCAGGCCGTAGGCGACGCTGCCCAGAACACCGGCCATGGGCACGGCGACCTTGGCACCCGGGTTGGAGGGGGTGAAGCCGGGGCTGGAGCTAGGCGAGGCACCGGAGCTGGCGCCAGAGCTGGAGCCAGCGCCAGCAGCGCCCGAGGAACCAGAGCTGGAGGAGCCAGAGCTGGAGGAACCAGCGCCAGAGCTGCTACCAGCACTGGGGGTGGCGCCGGGGGCGCCGGCGGATTCGGTAGAGCTGGGGAAGACGGGAACGCTCGGGGTCGTGGTAACGGTGGAGTTGCTACCGCCGGTGCTGTTGCCACCGCTGATGCCAGTCATGATGGGGTGGGAGCCAGTGCTAACAGCGGAACTCTGGACAACGGACTTGTGGTTCAAGACCGGGGGCTCGCCCTTCTTGGGAACAGCGGCCTGGGAGCCGGCAGCAAGGGCCAGGATGGCCACGGTCGAAGCTGTGAAGTACATGTTGGATGAGGCGAAAGCGATTGAACGGAAGCAGATGAAGCTTGTCTGAACGAGCGACGAAGCGGGCTGTGATGAATGTCAGACAATGGACCAAGGTCTCCGTGATCAAGAAGAACATACCTAGTATTATGAATGGATGTGAATGCGATGGGAAAGGAAGAAGAACGAAACCTGCTCCGGGGGTCGCGGGAACTCTATTCTTATAGACCAGAGATTGTCCAAATCCGGACCTGTCAGATCGTGATGACATGACAGAAGATTTTTTTCGATTTCCCGCATGTTCCTTAGCCAGATGAGCCGTACCTCTGGTGCCACCGACGAACCCTGCAGGGCGTTGTGGAGACAAACTGGAGCTGTAAGTTTCCGCATCCGGGGTGCCAATGTCACTCCGGGCCCCGGCCGAGTCGGTGCAACCGTGGATCTCTTCAGAGCCAACTGGACGACTGAGACCGCCAGAGGTCGTCCGATCGGGGTCACGTGATGTCTCAAAGAGGAAAGCGTCGAAAGCGGAAGCGCCCAAGTGACGGCGCCAACGAGGAATTCCAGACATCGTGGACAATGGCTTTGAGCTGTTTGCAGAGAAACACTCGGTGGATCTAGTGGGTGACGTTGTTGGGAGACAATAGATGGAGTTGGGTCAAGGAAGACAACCCAAGCGTCAGACCTAAGGGTATGAGCCGCTTCGATGATGTTCCTGGGGAAGGTCATCTGACTGCGCCACTGGACAGATATGGTAAACGGTTTGAAATATGTTATTTTGATTATAAGACCGATGGAGGTCGGGGCCGAGTGGCTGAGCCATCGTCCGGCCGCCGGCCGGTTGATACCGCACATCGTGAGTCGGTTGGTTGAGGTGTCTGGCCACCACTTTGAGACGCCATCGTTGTCCGACTGCATCCGGTCGCTCGTGTTGGATCTTGGGAGAGCACACGACACAAGCATCAAGCATCTGTAACTCCAGGCTGTCATCCGCGAGGAATGTCCGTGGCGACCCCCAGATCGAGGATCATCGATCTGCCTGCCATGTGCAGTTGAGAGACAGACAAGAATGCCATTGACACATTGCCTGCAGAATGTGGAGGTTAATCAGATGAAACGTCAGTGACGAAGTGTTGTTGGTCTCCGTTCTCAGAGATGCTGGAGAAGCAGCGACGTAACTGAATTGTTCAGGTGTGACCTTCTTCAGTCAACAGTGCTCGCTTCGGTAGACTGCAGCTAGTAGCTCACAAGCATACAGTAAAGATTCACAGTATGGTACTGAGTTGGACAGTGAGAGCTTCAAAACAAAGTTGTGCAAGGAAGTGACTGGGAAATTGTCAAGGATATGGGGTGTAGTCTGTAGTCAGGAGTGGGAAGCCACCCTCCACGCTAGCTACTAGTTACACAGTACGTTGGGCAAAAAGTTCGGTCGAGACAAGAGGTTTTTCTGAATTGGATAGAACGATAATAATAACAATAATTATAATCAAACTATGAATCAGTAAGAAGAAGAATAAACATGACTGTAGATAGTTGCCTAATTAGCCTAACCACCGTGCTTAGTTTAGTTTGATGATCCGGTGTTCGCCTTCGCCCCTTCATTCCTTCTAGACACTCTTCCTTCCACCTGCGCAAGGCGCACTCCGGCCAGATGCCTCGCCAGTCTGAGCTGTACAGTCCTTCTCTTCTCTCCGCCAACTACGACGCAGACAACGCTTCATTGCGGTCGCCCTCCATCCAGGACTCCGACTCCGACGACGATGACTTCCTGGCCCGCAAACGCAGCACCCTCGAGCTCGCCGAACACGACCGCGCCGTCCTAGACGATGAAGATGAACGAGAGAAGCTGTTAACTCGGCGGCCTTCCATTCGCAGGATTTTCAGTCCAAACGGCAGCAGCGTCCGGATCGGCAAGAAGACCAAGCGCCGGCGAGGAGAGGCCCGCATCCCGCATCGGGAACGGGTCAGTGAGGACGGCGAGCTGATGTATGAGATGGAGGGCTTTGGAGATGATGAGTCCTTCCCGAGCGGATCATCCTTTGATCTGGACGAGGAGGTTGGATACACATATGACGAACCGGTAAGTCGATTTGATGTTCTGGGCTTGTTGCCTGGCTGACCTTGTTCCCCGCCATGATCTAGCCACCTCGGATATCCTGGCGCAAATGCCTTCTCATTTTCGCTCTCGTCTTCATCCTCTTCCTGATCCTCATACTCGGTGCCTACAAGGCCTCCAGCAACTTCCGCGCCGCACTCGCCCATGCCCAGCCGCTGCTCTCCAACGGTACCGCCCTCTTCGCTCCCACCACCATCCTCATCTCGTTGGATGGCTTCCGAGCCGACTTCCTCGATCGCGGCCTGACCCCGGCCCTGAATTCTCTCGTCGCAGACGGCGTCTCCCCCCAGTACATGCACCCCAGCTTCCCCAGCGTGACATTCCCGAACCACTTTACACTCATGACTGGACTATACCCGGAAAGCCATGGAATAGTGGGAAACAGCTTTTATGACCCGGCGCTGCAGGAAGAGTTCTACTACACGGACTCGTCCGTCAGCATGCAGCCCAAGTGGTGGCTTGCAGAACCACTGTGGGTGACGGCTGAAGAGCACGGGGTCAAGAGCGCTATCCACATGTGGCCGGGATCCGAAGCGCACATCATGGACGAGGAGCCAACTTATCTGGACAAGTACAATGGATCAGAAGCATTGTTCCGCAAGGTCGACCGCATTCTGGAGCTGCTCGATCTCCCTGGGCCGGAGGATGAATCGGACATAGTGCCTGAACGGCCACAGTTTATCGCGGCGTATGTGCCCAATGTTGACCGGGATGGGCACAACTACGGTCCGAACAGTACGGAAATCCGCGACACGATCGCCGCGGCGGATGGGATGATAGCCGAGCTCGTGGCAGGTCTCAAAGGTCGCAATTTGACGAATGTGGTCAACGTGGTCATTGTGTCTGACCACGGCATGGCCACCACGTCCAACGAGCGCCTGGTCCAGCTGGACGACCTGATTGATATGGATTTGGTCGAGCATACCGACGGGTGGCCATCGCGCGGACTGCGTCCCAAGCGGCCCGAAGACCTTCAAACCCTTCAAGACCAGCTCGATAAGGTGAAGGAAGACTATTCGCACGCGGTGGAGATTTACACACGGCAAACAATGCCTGAGCGATACCATTTCTCGAACAACGACCGCATCGCCCCGTTGTGGGTGATTCCCAAGACCGGCTGGGCGATCGTTGAACGGCCAGAGTTTGACGCAAAGAAGGCACTGGAAACGGGTGAGGTCTACCGCCCGAAAGGTATTCATGGGTATGACCACGAGCACCCATTGATGCGTGCGATCTTCATCGCACATGGCCCTGCTTTCCCGCATACTCCCAACAGCCGGCTTGAAGCTTTCCGTAAGTTTCTTATTGCATGTCTTGACTGATAGTCATCTAACTGATCTGTGCAGAAAACACCGAGGTGTACAACATCCTCTGCGACTCGCTAGGAATCGATCCCCTACCGAACAATGGCACACTGCGCCTCCCACTTCAACCGGTGGGCTTGCATTCGGATGAGAATGCCCCAGCTGTTGAGCACCCAGCTGACCCACCGGCCGAGGTGTTGACTACGGCTGGACCTGCGCCTACGCCGCAGCCTACTGTGGTTTCAGACCCGAACGCGTCCGAATCGTCTCCCGCTACAGATCCGGGCAGTGATGATGAGAAAGGCCCGACATGGTGGGGTACGGTCTGGGGCAAAGTCGAGAAGTTGAAAGATTGGGCCGGGAACTTGCTCTCTTCCGCCGGTGATGCAATCTCTGGAAAGGGAAAGGATTCGTCCGGCTGATCTGATGCACTGCGCTAGGACTGTGGTTTGGCTTGCGATCTGATGTTTCTATTTTGTAATTTACTAGATACCCACCCTGCATATACTCATCATTTTCTACAAAGACATAGTCCAATCCAGACTAGCTGTGGTTTGTTTCGTCCAACAACCACAACATTCGGAGATCTATTGGCCACCTGGTCTCGTCATAGAGAGGTTGGCTATCCTTTTATTTAGATGGAAGATTCTTTCTCCAGGGTGTCTTTAAAGTATCTTCGTAAGAGGAATATTTCAACATTCTTAATCTCGTACAATGTCAACTTTGTTAAAATTGTTTCCCGTTTTGTAAGGTTTAGACTATATTTCATCCAACACTGTACTGTTCAATGGTCATCCTGTAGACGAGCCGAACGCCAGCTGCAGCCTTGCAGTGTTAGAATGTATTCATACATGGAAAGAATCGTTGTGCTCAGTCTAACTCACGTTGGCTGAACTAGGCTAGACTTGAGTGATGCTAACTGCATCACTACTAAAATAGCTATGTTCAACATTCAACTGAATCGAACTCAGATGTGTTCTAGGACCTCGCTAGACCTGCATGCCGCCATAGGCAGTATCGCCCTTGAAAAAAAAATGTTAAACTGAAGGGAAACTTCTAGTATATTGTAAGGTCTAGTGAACTTGGCTGAACTTGTGTAAGGCCAGCCAACACGCGTGCTGTCGTGGTACTAGACCTTAAATGTTGAATTGCATAGTGGTAGCCAATAAAGCTTACTTCAGGTAACGTAGCTAGACTACTAGAATAGCGATTATAGATATATCACCGTCGATGCTATCAAGGTTGAACAAGACAACTTACGCTCAACATCATAATATTCGGTTAGCGCTATCTGTATATATTCATGTGGTCTAAACTGCTGCGGGAACACGGTGGACATAGTATGTTTCACCGAAAACTGCATCTAACAGCGTTTCCTCAACCGATGGCATCTGATTCTCTACGGTGCACAGTCGATGATGTGTATAAGACGTAGTACCCAGTGGGGGTGGTAATGATTAAGTTTCGCCGCTACTAACATTAATGCAGTCACTAGAGAATCGAGGTTTTATAATCAAGTACAAGCTTGTGATGCCAACTACGCTAACACTACCCAAGAAACAAGTATTGTCGGAAAAATGCGGGACCGCTCATCCTTCCCTGCGAGAGGGCAAAACATCATAAATGGAGTAGCTACCACGCTTCTCTCAAATCCCATTTTGCAAACTCAGGAATCTAACAACGAGCAAGCAGCTACCCAAGCAATGCGACGTTGAACATAGTGATGATATTATCTACAAAATGGCAATCGTCGAGCTCAAATCAACAGATTATTTAAAACTAACTTAATAGAACATTAAAACATAATGAACGAAAAAAAGGAAGAAATTTTAGTGGCCATGTTGATTTCGGCCGGTAGGAGTTGATTAATTGTATAGGAACTAGACTTCGTCGTCACAGCTTGGTAGGCATCGCACATTTATCCCACGAGATGAGCGTACGCAAGAATAGATGTTAGATATCCCTCTTTTATTCTCTCGTCTTGCGTTACCTAACTGCCCAAAGTTCGCGTGCGAATCTGCTTACTGCCATATTCGAAAACAGATTCCCCCGTCTACACTTGCGAATTGTTTCCCGAACCCTGTCTTGAAACGCCCTAATCTACATGTGGTTACTTTCAACCACTCCTGCTTAGTGGTATCGTATCGCCTGTTAGTATCGAATGAGTCATTGTAAGATACTGTTAGACTCCATAGAATCTTGTAGAATGTTCCTAACAAACAGTCCAAACATTGTGCAAGATCGCCACCTGTCGTCTTCTACTTCCTCCGCAGCCTTCGTGAACATCATTACCAAAGTGGCGGAGTTGATCTAGAATCATTGCCTAAAGAGCGAGAAACATGGCCCGCCTGTTGGATCTTCCAGATGAGGTGATTCTAGAGATCATTGACTACCTACAAACAGACACTAAGCAAATCAAATTGCCATTCTATGGGCTTGGAGACGCGTACCGCTATGCCATCAACCATGATCCATCACAGAGAGTTAAATACCTGCACTCTCTTTTACTCGCCTCCCGCCGCTTGAACAGTCTTCTAACGCCAATATTTTATCGTGATATCTTTGTCCGTGAATACTGTCGCGTCGGCGAGAAGATCCCGCTAGAGCAGCTGAAGTGGAGTCTGGAGAAGAACCCGAGTCTCCAGGAACACATCGTTTCAGCAATCATTCCATGTGCCAGCTACCACTCTATTCGTGATATCTTTCATGCCTTTTGGTTCACCAACATACAGACCCTTACCATTCACGGGTTTCAGGATTGGGAGCCCATGCAATTTGAAAACAACTCACATGTTGGCACCTCGCCCGTGGAATGTCTGCGGCTGGTTAACTGTGGGGCGCATGAGGAAGCTTTAGGCACTGTATTAAGCTGGCCAGCAGCTTTGAAAGTACTTCACTACGATGCCGAGCAAGGCGAGTGGGAGGGCCATTATGGAGATGAGCCAGCTAAAAGCTGGACATGTGCTGCTTTTGTGCGCACACTGCGATCACAAAGGAGAACGCTGGAAGAACTAACGATGACAAGGCCGTGGCTTGATCATGAAGGATTGGGCAATGGACCTCGCATTGATCTAAGCGAATTCACAGCCCTTGAAACTCTACGCATTTACCATGTCTTTCTCTGTGGGTGGGACGATCCGTCTGGGGTCTGGAAAGGCTTACCTCATAGTCTGGAAGTGTTAGAGGTCTTTTACGATGATGGCGACCTTACTCAATTTTTGTGGGAGAGTGACGATGAGCCGTACGATACTTTTCTTCTTGATTTAATCAGGCATAAGAGGGCGCATCTTCCACATTTACGCACGGTGACCATCTACTCGTTTGACAACGTCTATGATCCTGAAAGAGAAGAGGATCTGCCCGCAGGACTCTGGACGCTGCCGTCTACACTGGCGCGCGAGGCTGAAGCCGCTGGTATAAAGCTGGATGTGTGGCTGGGAGTTCCGGATGCTCCAAACTTCGAGGAAGCTGACGTTTTCGGGTCACTGAAAATTAGTCAAAACGAACAGTCTAGTCGATCCAAGCAAAGAGTGGCGGCTAGACTGAGCAGTGTACCACAACACAATTTCTCCCAGGAACCTTCAGCAGGGAGGGTCAAGGCCTACGGACGCTATACCCAATTGCAGTTCTAAGCTGAGTAGATGATATTGTCAAAGCTGCACTACACACATATATTTGATGCCCATCAAGAACCAGCAATAACTAGGGAATCGCCACAGCAGAGATTTCTGCTACAGCTTGTGTCAAATACCCCTCCACAAGTCCAGATATACCCTAGACAATACACATGTACAAGCCACAAAGAGCGGCCGTGCTAAAGAGTATGTTATAAAGTCATTTCACAGGGGAGTGCGCATTTTGAGTGCGAATGATGGTAACCTGCGAAGATACCCTGATCTGCACACACCTTTCGACACTCCAAGTTCCTCACCTGGTTAGCAATATCCCCAAGTCGATCAATAACTTCCTTGTTGCTATCTTAAAGCAAGGACAGCATACGAAATATTCATATCCTCATAAAAACTCCTTGATAAACTGCTGCGTCCTGCGCAGGTTGTGATGAGGGATTCGCGAATACAAGTGGTGAACCGTCTGGAATTGAGACAGACCCGCCATAGAAGAAGTCCAGCCACACGGGACAATCCACGTCTATGGTGGTCTGGAGAATTCGCTGGGGGAAGGGTCGAGAGGGTCCAGATCAGCTATGGACATAGCATAGTGAGAGAGTGTGATCTGCACATGCAGCAGTGTAGTAACCATGCGAGAAATAAGAACAAAGGCAATCTAACTCTACGCGCCTCTGACACGAAAATTCTACTCCCTAGGTGCGTCTAATTTACTCAGTCTCAACTCAGAGAATGTACCGTTGACATGTCAACAAAAACTGGCCGTTTTCAGCCTCATCCAGCACCAAGTGGCCGAGCAGTAACTCGGCCAGCTCATCTTCCTTGGTCTAGTGGTCATGATTTCCGCTTGTCATTAATACCGATAAGCGCGGGAGACCGGGGTTCGATTCCCCGAGGGAGAGTCATCTTTTTGCCCACCACACTCAACGCACCGACCCTTGAATTAGTTTTTGGAATCCTTCGAAACGACCTATGAATGAAGACATGCGACTGCGGCAATGACTCAAGGTCTGCGTGGCGGTGCATCCCTGCCGATCTGTACTACTACGAATCCGCCAACCAGCGGGCACCAGAACAGGCAACGACGACCGAAAATGACGGTGAGGCTGAAAAGTGGATGAAGGACGAAAATCCGAGGCTCCAATGACAGATATAAAAGAAGTCCTTTTTTTTTTTCTCCTTGACTTCGTTCACGGGAGATTTCTCCCGGTCTTCATTCATAATATCTTCTAGGGCTGCATACACAAACGGAAAAGGCCTTGTACATTCTCTCTTTTTCCGTTCTCTTTCAGGAAGATAGATTCATTACTTCTTCATACCTCTCATCTCCCACAGCCAGACATCATCATGGCCTACAACCGTACCGAAACCAGCCCGGGGGGCCAGCCCTTCTCCCCAGACACGGCCATGCTTGAAGCGCTGGTACCGGGATACACCCTCATTGCTCGTTTTTTTCTATCCTATCTCCAGCTCGATCTTTCCTTCTACCTCCAGATAATGGTCGGACTAGCCGTCTTCAGCGCGTCGATCCGCTACAGCATCAATCAGCTCTCGGGCCTGTTCAAGGAGTACCTCGTATCAACGGCCGAGATCCGGCTCGACGATGAGATCTTCATGTATTTTATGTACTGGATGTCGCGACAGCCGCACATGAAGCGGACAAACCGGTTCGTAGCCGGTGTGAAAATGAGCGGCTACTACGACAGCGACAGCGACGACGACGAAGACGACGGGTTCGGTGATAAATTCTCAGATGATGAAGACGATGACTCTCGACCATCACCCGCTTCCCGATCGTTCGATGACTACTGGGCCAAGGTCATCAGTCGGGATAAGTACAAACAGCTTCGCTTTACTCCGGCTCAGGGGCGGCATATCTTCTGGTACCAGGGCCAGCCGATCATGCTCGAGCGGAGACACCAGTCCGAGACCACGCGGTGGGTGTTGAATAATGAGAAGGTCTATCTATCGTGTCTCGGCCGCAACCCTGCGGTGCTGAAAAAGATGCTTGCCGACGCGCAGCAGGCCTACGTCGAGCGCGATGGTAACCGCACCATCATCTACCGCGGCCAGCGGTATAACTCCGGCAACTCGTTTAACTGGGTCCGGTGCATGGCGCGCGCGCCGCGCCCGCTGTCAACTGTTGTTCTGGAGCAGGAGCAGAAACAGGCTTTCATCGATGACATCAAGGAATACCTGCACCCACGTACTCGCCGCTGGTATTCTAACCGTGGGATTCCCTATCGCCGCGGATATCTTCTCCATGGTCCGCCTGGCACGGGGAAGACGAGTCTCTGCTTCGCTGCGGCGGGTCTGTTGGGCTTGAGGCTCTATCTCCTCAACTTGAACTCCAGAGCCCTCGATGAAGACAGCTTGATGTCCTTGTTTGCAGAACTACCGCGACGGTGTATTGTCCTGCTGGAGGATGTCGATACCGCAGGAATCACCCACAGCCGGGGCAAGACGGCTACTGCCAAAGACCCCTCCAACGCCGACGATCAGCAACGCCCTCCCGATGAATTGATCAACCCAGAGCTCTCCAGTGATGAGACCGAAAAAGACGGCATTACACTCTCCGGTCTGTTGAACGTCATCGACGGCGTCGCTGCCAGCGAAGGCCGGATTCTGGTCATGACCACCAATCACGAAGATAAGCTGGATGCAGCGCTGCTGCGGCCAGGTCGAGTTGACATGAGCATTGCGTTTGGCTTCACCAGCCGCGCCGATATCGAAGAGCTCTTCGGCTCTATTTACATAACCATGGAGCGTGATCTTCCACGCATGTCCCCGGCTCGACGTCTGAGCAATAGCTCAACCAAGTCTGCATCGACCTCGAGTGACACAGTGGTGGTGGAGAGGCCAGAGCCCAAGAAGGAATTTAATGACAAAGAGAAAGAGGACCAAAAAGAAAGGGCAAGCAGGGAGCTCCAGCGACGTCTCGAATCCTTGCGCGCTCGTATCAGCGTCCTGGCGTCGGAATTTGCCTCCATCATTCCCGACGGCGAGTTCACCGCCGCTGAGATCCAGGGGTACCTTCTTAATCACAAAGGTATGCCTGAAGAGGCAATTTCGGGTGCTGAGGCCTGGGTACAGAGTGTGCGAGAGAAAAGGCGCACGCGGGAGGAAAAACCGGTGTAGATGTTTATGATATTTTAGTCACGATAAAGATACCCAGAAAATTTGTTTTGTTTGCAGTTGCTCTTTGGTTTCTGTCATTTTCAAGTAACAATAGTATCAGATCAGCAATCATGAATTATGCGAGAAAATGATACTTGTAGGGGAGCTTGTTGGAGGAGTTCGGATCTTTGAAGGCTTCGAGTACGAGTCACGTTCCCTCGCCAAACCCTAACTCGTAGGCCAAGATATCAGAAACTTCGCCTCCTAGAAGTCTGTGCGAGAGATTATTATAAATAATTAACTCCATTGGACGGGATCAACCCAGCCCATGCAAATATTTGCAAAAGTATAAAACATCAAACATTGCCCACAATCAAGCAAGGGTAATGCTGGTGCCATCAACAATAATGTTCGCGGCATATGTACACCTCTCATTCCGAGCAGTGACATTGCCACAGAAGCCATGGAACACCATCTCCTGGCCACAGCCACAAACAGTCCCACCGCCAGGTGATGTTAGCCCGTACGCGCCGGTCTGGACCAACTGAACGCCACTCCGAGTGTAAGGCCCGGTAATAGAGCTAGCAGTGGCATATTTCACACTATACTGCGGATCCGTAAAGCAATACGACGAGTAGAAAAGGAAATAAGTATTGCCATGGAGGATGAGGTTTGGCGCTTCGACAAGCGGTCCGTCGTCCGCCGTGCGGTCGAAAATCTGCACTGCATTGCCCACGGGCGTGACGCCGTCGGCTGCGACTTCCTGCAGCATAATGGGAGTCGGGACGATGGGATCCACCATGTTGTTGCAGTCGCCGCCATGCCCGATACTGTTGCCGTCTACCTTGAACACCACGTATCGGGATCCAGTTGAGTCCCGGAATCCGGATGGATCGATTGAGCCGCCCTGGTCCAGACGGCACGAGAGCGGCGTGTTGCTGGGCACGTAGGGGCCTGCTGGGGCGTCGGCGATTGCTGTGCCGACGCAGTGGTGTGGTGAATCGGAGGCAGCATCGCCTGAATAGTACATGACATATTTCCCGTCATCCTAGAGTTATATTAGACCTTTTCTTTCCTCATGCTTTCGAGGGGAAAGACTCACGCGTTGAACCACGTCCGGGGCCCAGTGCTGTTGGTCAAGCTCCCAACTCGCTACTGTTGGCAACGCCTCGATATCCAGCAGCGTCCATGTTTTAAAGTCCGTCGAATTGGCAACCTGGATGCGGTGGCCATTACCGTTTGTGCCAAAAGCATACCAGACACCGTCGGCGGCCTTGAGGAAGCTTGGATCCGGGAAGTCGAGGTCAATGGCCATCCATGGGCCATTGATTCTCTTGACTGGCCCCGAGAGGGCAGCCGGAGAGAAAGCCAGGGCGATGGTAGCCCATGCCAATGGTGAGGTGAAGGACCGCATTATTGCTTGATACTCCTTCTATATGGCGGAAAGCTCCACGCTGGGGATCGGCTGCTGGAAGCAGCCATGAAAGAGGGAAGAGGTGAGTGTTTATATACAAATTCCGGGGCTAGTGACGCGAAGAAGCGGAAGTGTGTTATGTCGTATCCTAAGCTCGCATTAGTAGGCTCTGTTTCGGGGGGAGGGGGCGCGCCTAGGACGATCTGCCCTCGACCCGAAATAGATGCAGCGTATTCATAATATGTACGAAATTCCGCTAGGTGGATTCTGACAGGCTGCGCGAAGATAAACACGTATAGTTCCACCACTTGAGCTACTTTGCATATAACTACAGTTTATTTGAACCACGCATCCTTGTAGGCAGCAGATGCGTGCATGGGCAGGCCTGGTAGCCGAGTGCGTACCGAAGGCGTCCTTTGTTGGTAATTTTGTCGGGACAACTAACAGTCCGTTCCGGAATCATATGTCCAATAGGTTTTGGGGAATTCCTGTATTATTAGGGGTTTCATTTCCTGTTACTCTATGGCTAGACCTCAATGGACTTCAATGTAGGGCTGGGTAATTCCGCAACCCGCAGGGTGAAACCATCGAATGCTGCATGCAAAATGCGAGACATCGATTGGTCCACACTAGCTGCGATTCACACTGTCTGTGTACATGCAAGCTGTGGGGGTGTCAACTCTGCGGCCGGAGGGTTTATTTTGTTTGGAATGCGCGGATGGAGCCAAGACTCCAGGGACCGAATGCGGGTAGGACGTGTTGGTGCCGGCTGTCAGAGACATGACCCAGAGACATGACCCCGAGACAGGCAAGCAAGGGCGGTGCGGTGTCTTGCAGTAGAAATTATCAAATGTCGCTAAGCTGCGAGAACAACCTTTCCAAATTAGGAGGCAGGCTTTCCCCGACGTCCTGGAAGCATGCGCCGCCCTTGATCGCCAAGACATTGTTCAACTGCCACCGTCGTGCACGGCACATGGCTGTCCTGACAGGAGTGGCATGTCTCAGCAGTCAAGCACATTGCTAACAATAATCCAATGGGCAACACAAAGTCATTGCTAGAGATACCACAATGCTATCGTCCTATAAACCTGAAAATAAACACCCCAAAGGAAGTACCTTGCCAAAACAATGTGGCCACCGCTTTCTGCTTAGGGAAAGTGATCCGGAAACGAGCGGGGAGTCGTATCGCGGCTCTAACCTCTCCACACCCGGGATCCATGTCGGTCTAAAAATACGATCGTCGGACAGACTACTACTATTCACGATTCGAATTCGAAGAATTCGCCCCTTTTACCCCGTTACACCCTTTCCACAACAGTACTATGAGGACCGAAGAGGTGCATGTATGACCCAACAGCTGCTTTCTTTGAACCCTTTTTCGGGAAAATGTAAACATTGGGAGCCGAAGAGGCGAGGAAGGAGACTACGTTGTTGTACCCCGCATGGCAGTTGCATCTTTACAATATCGGGCCATCCCGTGGGGAAAGACTCGCTGAGTGACCCTGCCTTGGTTACATGTAGAGTGGGAATCGATCCTCGGCAGCAAGGGTGGCGAGGACAGCAAGGGTGGCGAGGACAACAAGGCTTTGCAAAAGAACAAGCTTTGATCAATTGATATATTATTACTACGAGTCATACAATTGGGATTCAACGTGAGAAAGTAAAAAGAGATGCTACCGTACCTCGTATGGGTGAATGTACATGGAAGTATAGCAAAACTATGAACAATATCTTCCCACGCCCAGTAAACAAAACGCCAATATGCAACCCTGTACAAATCCACTAACATATTCATAACACACCTCATCGCCTAAGCAGCCACATCTCAAAAGGCATGCCACGAGGCTGTTTTCTGCCATCGCGGTCTATCGAGAAGAGCACGGGCTCGAAATCGCACACCGAAGCATACTGCCGTACCAAATGGCGCCAGTAACACGACTCCGCAGCAGGGGTGAGATAGCGGTCACGGAAAGTGCGCACAGCGTTGTTAGCTATACGCTCCGCAACCTCCGGGTGATCGATCAAGTAATCAATCTTATGTGGTAAATCCGCAAAGTCACGGTCCACCTCGACGTAGTTCGCGTCCGGGCCCGACGAAACCAGCGCAGCATGATGCGCCTCACGCCATGCGAGGGGGTGCGATATAACCACGGAGCGGCAGTTCAGCAGGTACTTACCCCGGCCGGAGAAACTGCGGCCCTCGGTGTGAGCGAGGAACATGTAGCGGCAGTGGTCCTCGATGGGCAAGAGGTTGTAGCGGAGATCATTCTCGTCGTCCCAGTCGATGACGCGCACGCTGGCCCAGCTACGGCCCAGGGAGGATTTGAGCAGCTTCCCGCGCACCGGCGGGTTTGTTGCCAAGCTGCCACGCCAGACGAGCTGCTTCTTCTTGTCCTGGAAGCGCAAGCCGGGGATAATAGTGCCTTGTGAGTCCGTCTCGCCATCGTCAATCGCCGCAATACGCCGTCTCACTTCGTGGTATGGACCTATCTGGACCTCGGGCCAGGCCCAGTATCCAAAGTCTGGCATCAGCCACACAGAGTCGTCGGAGTCGCGTTTTGAATATGCCCAGATAGGCGCCAAACCCGTTGGCTCGTTGTCAAAGTCCTCCGTCGTGAAGATGAACTCGATACTGGGCAGCAGATGGCGATCAGGGAACGCCATGAGGGCACGGTATAGCGAGTTCAACGTGGCGTGTGCTCGAGTCGCAGTAACGGGCATGGCTGCAAAGTCGACGATATAGAGCTAAACAATGAAAGACGCAATCAGAACCGGTGACCTGACTGCCCATTTGATCTCGTTACATACCTCTCCACGATTAATAATCCCTCGTACCATCCCATCTTCCACATTTCGAGAATCCAAGTCTTTAAACGTGACTTTATTCTCCGTCCTTAACGAGGCCGACTTATCAATCTCAACAAAGAGTTTCGGGAACGCAGCGCGGCATTGCTCCTCCGAAAGACCGTGGTTATTTCCATCGCGCTTAACGATAAATTCCCAGCTCTCGTTTCTTAAGGGTGTATGTAGCAATGATGGGCAATGTGGTCGAGGCTCGGAGTGAGAAGGTGTCTTGATGATATATTTGAGGGCCACGTCGCTGTGTTCGCGGCCGAAAAGGAGGAATGTGAGGGCGAAAATTGATGTCAAGGCGCCTGCAACGATAAAGCGGATCGAAGCTGAGCTGTTTCGTTGTGCGAACATTGTTGCGATTTCTAGAATGGTCGCTGGAATGGAACTGGGTATCCGGGAATGTCAGATCTTCTGTCAACGCGGAATGGAGGCACTATGCAGATGCAGAGACAATCAAAAAGAAAGTATTCTCTCCCCATGAGATTGGAGAATTATTGTCTCGTGTTCTCTGTGAGTTGGTTCATGTCAGATGTACAACGCTTGAGGCGGCGGGTGTCAACTCCGATTGTTTCCACGGCAACGCAGGGATCCCAACTGAAGACGCCATAGTTATCTACAACACCGTACGAGTGACTAACTGAATTTGATGAAATTCAATCCCTAGTATACAATGATGTATTTCTATTTCTCGCAATCCAGAGGACGCAACCGAGATGCTCATCCCGAAAGTAAAAAAACAATCAATAAGCACAACTGCCATCCGGCCGATTCTATAATCCCAAAGAGATCAAATTATGTACAAGATGGGGGAATTGTAGCAGGGGGAAGGATAAATGAATGTCATAGCGATCGATATATCCAGGGGGGTATCTTAGCAATAGGTCATCAATAAAGGAAACGAGAGGGGGTGGTGTAAAACGAAAGAATAGCGCAGCCCAACTCCAGGCTTGTAATATCGTCAAAAACATGAGGCAGAACAAACGAAGGCGTGCAGGTTCACCGTTCGTCACCGCTGGCGGCTGCACTGCCGGCGTTGCTGCTGAAATAACTCTCGTCGATCTTCAGGATCCACTCAACTTTCTGGGCCTCGGTGCGAGTCGCGAAGAGGTAGGTGTTCTGGGTCCCGTACACGGCGAAGATGTTCGGCCGGCCTTTGGCAGACAGCGAACGGTCCGCTCCAGCACCGGAGCCGTCGAGGAGACGGGCAAAGTCGGGGGCGTGGTCGACGCGAGAGTTGCGCAGGTTGATGGCATTGATCTCGTCGCCTTCGGGCACTGAGTAGATATGGAGATATGGCCGGCGAAGCTCCACGAACCGGCGCACCCAAACGCTGTTGGTGTCGTCCGGTGTAAGCACGTATCCTGTCTTGAGAGCAGAAGGATTCTTCGGAAGTGTCTGGATGGTGGCCACGAAGCGGGGCTTAAGTGATACTTTGTCGGAGACCGTGGTGCCATTTGATCCGTTTGCTTGCGACGCAAAAGCTGCTCCGCCGGAGGGGGGTTCGATGTTGCTTCGCACGAGGATTGCCTCTGTGGGGTCCTTCTTGGCCGACCAAAGATCAAGGTATTTCCGGAGAAGCTTGGACTTGCGCTCGTTCAAATCTTGGCCGCGCATCGGTGTCGACCGTCCACTTCCTCGGGCAGGAGACGGAGACGTCATTAGGCTTGTACTGAGAGATCCGCGGGCGGCATGCAGTTCGGCCGCGCGCAAGCGGCGCTTGCGGGCTCCAATGTAATCCCGCACAAGGGACACCTTGCGAGGAGCCCATGTCGTTAGGAGTTCCTCGCCCTTGACGTAGTCGTTCTGGGTGTTCATGCGCCATAGATCGGCGGCACGTTTCGCAGAAATGGGACGGATGACCAAAGAGTACATGCGTGTAGTCGAATGGACGACCCGAGTCGCATTCCAAAACTGCTTGAACATCGACTGTTGGCGCACATAGGTGCGTCCAAGGATCTGAAGTGTCTGATCGGCCTCGAAAATCACGGGAGTCTGCAGACGAGAAGAGACAAGCTCCCAGCGGACCGTCACTTGCACCCGATACTTCTCTGCTGTCACTCGGTCGAGCAAAAGAGACCCGTGCAAGCTCGAGTCCCATTGGCCTACAATAGTGACATTGGATGTTCCGTCGGAATTGTCTTTCACCATTGGTTCCTGAACAAACTTCAACGGGACGTCTGGAGTGTTGAAATCCTGATCAGGAATCTTCCCCCATGGGTCGAGGAGGCGGACAGAGCCCACGCGACAGTTGGTGATGTCGTCCCACGGAAGACTTTCGGTAGAGTTATAGGTGAGATTGATTGAAATGCGACGTTGCAGGCCTTGATGGAGCTGGGATGTCCCGTCATCGAGATTGTTGCTCTGAACAACTTCGACTGGAAGGTACTCGCCGGATTCCGCGAGCTCAAGGATCTGCACTCGAGAGAAAACGTCGTGTCTCTCCTGTGAGTAGAACTCGGACTCTGCAATCCGGGGAGCGGTACGTTGCTGGGACGTGGGCTCTGCCGAGTCACGCATATCGTCCCAGCTGAGGAGCTTGTCCAGATGCATTGAAGTCACGCGAGCATACACGCAGACCTTTAGCGCGGCCGTGCGTGGACTTGACAGGGGAAGGCTCATGCTGTGCACGCTTTCAAATCGCACCGGGCTCTCCTCGAAACCATTGATCATCTGGGTCGTCGTTGCGCCTCCTTCCTCGGAGATACCGGGCACGAACAGTTGCGCATGAACATCGGTTCCTTCCCACTCGGCAAACCCAACCATGTCACGCATCACCACGTTGAACTTCAAAGTCGACGAAGGAGCCTGGGCAGAGGACGGCTCCAGCGACAATCGAACAATTCCAACCACGCTCTGGGTGTACGGCGAAGTGATCTCAACAGAGAAGTCTTGGACGCGGGTCTCAAAGACGGCTGTCAAAGGGATATCAGCGTCGCCGAGGAGAGAGTATTGAGGCGAGCACGGCTCGGAAAATGGGTTCTCAAGTTTGAAGTGCTGGATATAGTCTGGACGGTCGATGTACTGGTGCAACTGGCGCATGGACTGAACGCGACGGTGGAGTTTTTCGATTGACCACAGGTGAATCACGCATTGTTTGTAGTCGATGACACGGACGCCCACGCATGGCTTCTTGGCCTCATCCAGCACAATATCTTCGTCACCCGAGATCCCATTGAGCACAAGATCGTATGACGACTCCATGTTGTGTCCAACGTCAACAATCGCAAATTGGAAGACCACGTTCTTGTCCATGATTTGGCTCATCACCTGGGCCTCCTTCAAGATTGACGCATGCTGTAAAATCCTCTCGGCCATGCGAACATAGTTACGCTGCGACCAGTGGCGGAAGACTGACTGTGCAACTTCGATTTCGCGTGGGCTCAGCTTGGCAAATCCGTTCTCGTAGATCTGGGGTATCGGCTTGCCCATGTCCCGCATCTGAGACTCAAAGACTTCTTGCTGCTTTTTCAGCTGTTCTTCAAACTCCTCCTTGGCGGTGCGCAGGGCATCCTCCATACGCTGCTTTTCGGTGCGCAATTCCGAAGGGTCTTGGTTGGAGGAAACCTCGGCATTTTTGAGCTTGTCCTGGAATTCTTCTTTCTGCCGATCCAGCTGTCGCTGCATATCCTGACGAACAGAATTCAAGGTGGCGCCATTCGTCCCTTCTTCATCCTCACGCGGACGAGGCGTTCCAGGCATAGTGATCGCAGTATCCAGAGAGAAGTTGTCGATGGTACCATTGGACATGTACTTGTCTCGCACTGGGAATGAACTCAGGGAGTCGGAGTCTTCTTCATTATCAGGAAGACCGCGTCGCCCTGCGCGAACCTTTTGCACATCCTCGAACAAAGCGTCCAGCTCATCGTCGGGCAAGTGGGAAATATGATCCGGTCCCAGCATGGCGCTGGCTGCTTCTCTGCGAGCTTGAAGCCAGTCTGACTCTCGCCTACCACGCGACGGCATTGGAGATTCAGCCCTGCTGGAATCTCCATCAATCTCAGAGCCAGCTTTACTCGCGGTCCGGTCATGTGTTTTGTTGGGTGCCGGTGACCCCAACTGATTGGCGTTGACGGACTGCCGCAGCAAGCTCTGCTCCACTCGTTCAGCGCGGGCCTCTTGAGGGTGGTTGAAACGGAAGATGTGGAAATCTCCAAGGATGATACGGAAACCACTCTTGAGTCGTTGGGGTTGGTCGACCCGCAGACCGTTCACCATCACTGCGGCGCCTTCACTGGGCACGATGGTCACGACATTGTCTGAGTTCTCGAAGGTGCAATGTTTCTCCAGGATCTTGGATCCGTTCAGCCGAATCTCGATGTTGCTTCCTTGGTCCATGTGTCCAACAGTGGTGGTTCCCGGTTTGAGGTTGTAGACCAAACATTCGGCCAGCAGGGGGTCGTCGCTCAAGTTGACCAAGTGTGGCATTTTCTTGGGACCGCTAAGACCAATGAAGCCCTTTTCAATGTTGATACCCAGTTCCTCCAGAGCGGCTTCTCGTTCCTTGTGGATTTCTTCTGTTTTCTGAAGCTTTTCTTCCCATGTTTGGTTGAGATCTTTGTAAAGCTTCTCACTCTGGTTGAGCTGTTCGACAATCTCCGCTTTGCTCACTTTTTTGACGGAACCATCTGCCTGTTGAATTGAGACCATTTGCTTTTCAAGTGGCGTATCTGGTGGGTAGACTTCTTCTGTTGGCAGCGCGCCAGGTACAGCACCTGGTGCTCCGACTGCCGCACCACCTCCGAGCTTCGCTCTCAGTTGAGCCAGTTCTTCTTTCAGCTCTCTGATCATGCGGGCATTCGGGTCCTCGTTCACAACGGCGTGGTTCTTGATTCGTTTGGCCGAGTCTGCATAGCGCAGGGTACTGAGAGTTTCCTCAAAGTTGATGTCCGCAGGCGAAATGGCAGCAATCATCGAAGTCATTGAATTACCACCCAGGGAGTCCTTGAGCAGCCACGTGAGGACTGAATCACGGTACGGGACCTGTTTGGCAGAATTTTTCTTCTTGCCGACAGAGACATCTGCGAGGGCTGCAATAACACGACCGAGGGTCGACAGCGAACGATTGATTTCCGCACCTTCCTTCAAGCGGGCACCCGTAGCACCGGTCGAATTCGCTCTCTCCGAACCTGCCAAATCGACCAAGCTGATCTTGGACACCTTTTCCGTATCCATTGAGGTCTCCGAGTCATGGCGTTTTTGAGTAAGGGTTAGCGTAAAAACGGCGTGTGATCGACTGGAAGTCTCGTTCATGTTGGTCGCGGCCACCGTTCTGGCCTTATTACCCTCATCCATCAAGTTCTCGATTTCGTCGAAATTGCGCACCACCAGCTTTGCCAGATCTTCCACATACGGACCGGTCGACGGATGCTCGCGAACCTTCAAGTTGCCCTTGTTCGACGGGTTGAGCAGATCGCGTACTCGTTCGTTGTAGATTTCGAGGTAGGACACCTCAACCGTGCAGTTGAGATTCTTGTCCTCCTGCATCTTCACGATGCGCTCGAACATAGACTGGCAAATCCGCGGGATAACACCGTACTCCTTGCCATAACCCATCATCGAGTATGACTTTCCCGAACCGGTTTGACCGTAGGCGAAGATACAGTTGTTGTAGCCCCCGAAGGCATTGTCCAGCAGCGGCGCACCCAAGTCGTCAAAGAGGTTGTCTTGACCGGCATAGTTGGGGGCGTCCTTATCAAAGGACCAGTATGATCGATCGAAGGCAAAGGTCTTGGGTCCATCGCCGCCGCCTTTCCCGCCCTTTCGTGATTTATCTTCGGCGCCCGCCGGTGCTGTGAGCACCGTCTGGGCGCCTTTCATCTGCACGATACATTGTGCGTTTCGGTCGATCTCTGGAGAACGTGGGTCAGTTCCAAGGTGTCCGGGACAAGGCCAGGGGTAGGAGGGGCAGTTCTGTACTCACCTCTGCTGTTGAAAGGCCGCACGCGCACCACTACCTTAATATTACCACCGCCGCCAGACATGGTGTGTCGCTACCCCATACACTAGGGAGGTGTCTGTCACCAAGCGACTGGCACAGAATCCCAGAGCGGGACACACGCGGTGACACAAACACACCGATGCGCAAACTCCCGACGGAGCGCGGGCGAGAACGATGTCGCAGGGTCTGACTCCGAATCTGGTATACGTGATCGGGGGATGGTCGTCAGGTACTGGTTTGTTAGGGCAGTGTGAACCGTGGGTGTCAACAAAGACGTCATGTATCAGTGTCCCCAAGATTCATCCAGCGCGTCGCGGGGTCTGTCTGCGTAGAGTGAGGCCCCCAGCAGCCGGGGCAGACTGGAGTTTGTAGTGTGTCGACTCGAGTGTTTGTTTGAAGAGACACGATGGTGATGGGGGAGAGAATGCGATTGTCGAGTCTGTTGGCCTCGTCCTTCACGCGGAAAAGCCACCTGCCCCCGGAGACCCCTGGCTTAGGTAAGCACCACGCAAGGACGAGGCAGTTGACTGCATGTGGGAAAGCTTATAGTTCACTATCGCCGCAAGGTGATCTTCAAGAGACTAAAAGAGCCATGTTGAATAGAACTGGCGGTCTGACAATCGGTGCATGGTATTATAGGGCACCTTGTTCTGGAACACTTCCGGTAGCCTATGTATATACACCATCAAGTGGTCAAGATGATATCAATCATCTGCGAAAACTATTATATGGTCATCAGAGTTCCTTTTTCTTCATCCTCTATTCCAAAAATTTATTGGTACAACCACGCAATATCTATATTCGAGCAGCCCTCACGCCACTAGCACGCCAATGCACCCGTGTCTAACGATAACGATGGACTTCGAAATCCTGGATTTCACATTCAACGTCGATCCGACAAAAGCGATACTGTCTTTGCTGTATGTTTCTCAGTCACTTTTCTCCTTGTCGTTATCTGTATCTGTTTGACGGCGCACTGTGTGGTCGCAGGTAAGTCTTAGTCTTGTCTGGCTCCGCTAGGGTGATAGGTGGCATTGAACTAAGTTCATATCTCTAGAGATACTTTCAGAAACCCCCCAGTTGGAAGTTCTCAACAGATGGATAACTGGATTAGAGGATACAAGGAAACGCGACTACGTGAGCCCCCTTTTGCAGAGCTGTCTATCATCTGTACTGATATAGGAATGGTTCTCGAGTAGTTTCATTACGACGATGGTGTGGGCGACGGAAAGAGTTTCGAGAGAATCATGCTCTTAAGGATCTACCCAGGCAAACGGTCTAGAGGGTCACCCGATCCCGGCCTCGTGACATGCGTTCTGAAATGGCTGGCCGTTCTCAACTATATTATTGCTATTGTGTAGGTAGTCACCTCTAATCTAGCTGTCTGTCTATGTTGAGTATAAAATGCTTCAACCATATCGTTGGCCCTTTCCTTGGCAATATGCACTGGAATAGCTCATTAGTCCGTTGAGGATGATTCTCAATCTTTGCTATCCGATGGTTGGACAGGTCGGACTGTTCGTGTTCCACTACGCGTGGTTGAGTCTGTGTTCCAGATATATATCCAGGGGCATCCATGCTCGCCACGCACTTCCACCGACCAATCGAACCTAGTTGGACGCCCACCACTACTTCGAACGCCATCCAGCATCTTGTCTGAACGCTTCTTCTATTCTTATCCGACATACACTTGCCCACACTCTCCCAACCAACCAGGCGGTCAACACGTGGACCCGCGGCGATCGGCCTAGCCCCATCCACCGGAAGGACGAAAGCTGAATGGCCACCCAGGCAGTAAGGTTGACCGGCAGCACACACGTGGTGATGAATATCATCATGGAAAATGCGCAGAGACGTTTTCGGGATTCTCAGATCGCATGATCACGATCGAACGAGGGAACCAAGATCTCAGCCCGATCAACGGGGTGCAGTCCCACCGGTTCCAAGAGCCAGCCTTAGGACACGTCCGTACGGACTCACCTCGCAGCTCGTTACGGGATGGCGTCACGGGCGCGTCGTTCCCAGCCCCGTCGCCTGTGTCTCTTCACCCCCCGGTACCCATCTGAGATCAATAACCGAGTTTCGGTAGCCTAAATCGCAATTCTCAGATGGGATTGCCGCGACCGAGCACAATACGAGGCTGGCGCGTGTTCCTTACAAACGGTACCAGGATGGGTCCTCCATGGGCGAATGGGACCCGAGGTGGAGGAGGGCCCGAATCGGGTAGACCGCCGAGGCTGAGTGTCCATCTGCAGAGGCGTGTTCATGGCGATACACCGCCAGATGAGCCATAAACCGTGTGGCGTGTTCCGGAGGTGATGCGTGCGTCATGGGGTCGCACCTGACCGGGATGGCCGGAGGGTCGGTCGTCGTGTCGGGACGCCGTAGAGCAGGAGAGGGACTCTAGGTCATCTCGCTCGCCCTCTGTCTCGTCTCGATTCCGGGATCCAATAATAACAGCGGAAACGAAATGAGATCATCCCCAATACGACCATACGGTATGGCCACGGTAAAATACGCCCCCCGACCACTCGGCCAGCCGGAAACGGTACAAAATGCCCCATCGCCCGCCCAGCTCGCCTTTTCTCTCCCTCTCGCTGCCTCTCGTTGGTCGCCCTCCCAACCATCGCACAGAGTTGACTTGTTCTGATTCGGTCGAAACCACCTTTTCCACTTGTTCCTTACACTAGTGAACCTCAAGGTACGTTTCTCTGCCATTGGTCTCTGGTCCAGTGTGTCAACAGCTCCCACGCGCGCCTGTCTTGTCTGCCTGTCTCTGATCGGTGTCCCTCCTCGGAAGCGTGCGGCCGGCCATTGACATCAGCGCACTGCCCAATTATTTCTTTGCTTCTCGTTCGTTGGCTTTCCCTCCCCCTCCCCCTTCCGCTCCCCCCAATCAATCCTCCTCCTGGGTCAAGTCATCGTGATCCCTTGCCGTCGCCAAAGAGACTATCTGAGGTAATGCACGCTTGACTTCCCTCCCACCCCCACGTTTTGCGCGCGCGGCTTGTGCTGGTCGGCTCGTGGCGACAACAAACGCGCGCGACCGAGTCCCATCATATCAGCGTCCATCACTCCATCACCTCGTTGCGCGTGCACTGGTCGCATGTTGCTTTTTCTTTGTGTTTTCGGCCCTGGCGGCTTCGCGCATGCCGGTCGCGTTGTGTGTTTGGGCCCAGCCATGAATATGCAACGCGTCGGCCCTGTTATCTTTTTGACCTTTGACCTCATCCTGTCCTCGGCCACTGAACTGACCCGACCATTTTAGCATCGCCTTCGCCTCACATTATTGTCTCGGGTCCTGCAGAATCGCGATCGACAGCATGTAAGTCCCCTGCTGCAGCTCGTTGCCAACGCATACCTCCTCCAATTGCCCCTCAAGCCTGAACCCGGCCTTACCCGCTTTCTTCCCCCCTTCCCCTCCCCCACCACTATCATCGCCTCTCCACATGGAGAATCTCCCGGTTGACAGCGCACTGTCATGCGTCAATGCTTTTGATTCGCGCGAATCCGATGCTGATGATTCGTCTTTAGCCCCGGTGCTTGCAGCCTGAACGGTGACATCAGTCCTCGGAGCGCATTCGTCGCTTCACCCGCCACTCTTTTTCCGTCCCACGAAACGGGAAATACCACCAGCACCGCCCCAGCTATCCCACCAGGAAAGGCGTGGACGTGGCAGACCAAGCCTCGGACGTGCTTGAATGTGGAAGCCTGCCGGACCGTGTCTGAAATAGTCATTGCGTAGCCTGTTCACGAGGGCCTGGGTGTTATTATCGCCCTGACAACGCATCGCATACTCCCCCCACGGCCGTTCTGCATCGCAGCCCAACCACATTACACCCGACACGGTGGGCGTAAACGGATTTGCACAAAAGAGCCAAACCTGCCGCGACGGCGCTCGAGACCCTCTCTGACCAACGCGAGTCCAGACGACCTGGTCACTGCGCACCCCATTTTTTAAGGTACGCGCCTGGGTCCCTGTGTTCCCCTTCTGTGCCCCTCCCCACCCGCAATCCAGTGACCGCTCGGCCCTGCGCTGTGCTGACGCGAGACCCCGAGGCTGCAGACTGTCGCATCCCGCGCGTCGAATCACCGATCGTGCCCCGACTACGGCTCGTGGCGACTGTCACTTCCCACGCGTAGAGAAGCTGCCAAACAGAGCTTGCGATCGAACTCGATCTCGTTGAACCTGCGACGGCGCATCACCTCATCGCGCCGACTGCCTCGTCAGTGATTCTGATTGGCGCTTACGGTCGATAGATCGTCGCTTTACTCATTCCCCTGTCACGGTGTCGCCGCATCGTGTGACGAAACTCATCGTCGCTACTTCATCATGGAGTACCCTCCGCAATATCAACAGCCGCATGGCCAGCATCCACACGCACCCTCCCACATCCCTGGCCCTTACCAAGCCGCGCCTCCGAACGCTGGCAGTGCCGTGGGCTCGATGACATCGCCCACACAGGCACCCATGCAACAGCCTCACCAGACATCACCCATCGTCCCGGCGAACCAACATTATCAGCAGCCGCAGAATGCCGCCGGCGCAGTCCACCAGCAGATGAGCTTCCCACAGGGGTATGGTGTCACTACCGCCATGCCACAAGGTTATGGCATCTCGCCGACGCAGGCTGCTGCCATGGCGACCGCTGCCGCGTCAGGACAGTTCTATCCTCTTCACCAAGACCAGATGGCCGGACAGATGGCTCAGGGCCCCCGAGGCTCTCCACGCATGGGTGGCGCCCAGGTGAAAAATGATCGCAACCCGCGGTCACCCCAGATGCCAGGCCAGATGCCCCCGATGGGTTCACAAATGCAGATGGCGCCCAACTCACAGATGCCCCAACGCCGGATGAGCCATGTGGGTAGTCCTCAGCAACCAATCATGAACCACGTCGGTAGACCGTCTGCGTCCATGCAGCCGCCCCCAGTTGCAGTTCAGCAGCAACAGTCGTCGCCGGAGATGGTCCCCGGAGGCGGTCAGGAAGAGTCGCCGCTTTATGTCAACGCCAAGCAGTTCCATCGCATCTTAAAGCGCCGGGTCGCGCGACAAAAGCTCGAGGAACAGCTGCGCTTAACGTCCAAGGGTCGCAAACCTTATCTGCACGAGTCGCGACACAACCATGCCATGCGTCGACCGCGTGGGCCCGGTGGCCGGTTCTTGACAGCCGACGAAGTCGCCGCCATGGAGAAGCGAGAGGCAGATGGCGAGGAAAACAATGCAGGCCAAGATGCTGGCAAGCCCGGCGAGAACGGCGCCGCAGCACAGAAACGGAAGTCCAGCGAGGTCAACGACTCGCATGCCAATTCCAGCAAGAAAGTCAAGATGAGTGGCAGCGCCGATGGCAGCGAGGCAGAATCTGCCGACCCCTCGGATGAGGATGGCTGAACGCCTTCCCTCTTACTGCTTCCCTTTTTATTTTCTCTTCGGTCATTACGGCTTTACGGATGGATGCTTCTGGGCTTTATTTTCTTTTCTAGCGAGCGACGTATGGGACTCCCCAATTTACCCTTTTGTGCGTTCACTTATGTTTCGATGCACTCGACACAATGTTTTGTTTATAGCTGCTGTGCTGGGACGATATCCTCTTTTGTTCTGTTTTGCCTTGTCTTTTTTCAACCCCCATTTAGTATTCCTCTTCCCCTTCCCGCAACGATCACTTGTCACCCCCGCTACCTTCACCTCGACCCCCAGAGGGAATGGACGGATGCATGATTTACCAGAATGATCTTTCCGAACCTCCCTCCACATTGGCCCACCCGTCGCCAGAATGTGGCTATCTGCATTTAACCGCATTACGATAGCATCCCCGATCGGCCGCCTGTCTCCCATCTGCATGATTGACAAGTAAGCAGCATCTCTGTGTATATCGAATCGACAGTACAGCAACTACACTTCCGGCCTAGTGTCTTCCCTCTCTACCTTCGTCTTTTTCATCCTCTTCTCTCTCCTCTTCTATTCTCCACACTGTTGTTCCTGCTTTATATCTTTCCTCTGGTTCTTTCCTTCGGTGTCTTTGCTTCGGTGTGTCCATTGGCTGGGAATTAGAGAGGCTTCCATCACTGGAAAAAGGATCATGCAAATGATATGGGTATTTTGTTCTTATCGTTTACTTCGAATTGCAATGAGAACAGACTGGGTTTTATATTGTTGTTGTGTGTGCGCGGTTTTTTTCCACCTGTGTTATATGCTCTTGTTGTACGTATCATAGTTTTTTTCATAAAGGATACCTATGGTTTCATATGGACTCAGGTAAATTAGCCAAGTAGAATGGTCATTAATGATACTCTTGATATTGAATGAAGATACATAAACAGGCGCAACTTTTCAAAGATCCCATAAAGATACAGACTGGAAAGCAAACTGCCTCTGTAAACTGAAAACATTTCGCCTTCTCGCCGCCAACCCCAGAAAAGCCTTAAGAAAGATCCTTTCACTCCTGGTCTTCACCCGAGTCAGACATCCTCTCATCATCATCGTCTTCATCATCATCGTCTTCATCATCATCGTCTTCATCATCATCGTCTTCATCATCATCGTCTTCATCATCATCGTCTTCATCATCATCGTCTTCATCATCATCGTCTTCATCATCATCGTCTTCATCGTCTTCATTATCTTCATCATCTTCGTCGTCTTCATCGTCATCATCCCACACTTGATCGGCTTCCATCGACGAAGTTTCATCGAAAGTCGTGCCCAGCGCAAGCCTGAACTTCTCGAAGTTCTTGGTCGACTTCTGGACATACTCCTCTCGCTGGGCTGCCAGTTCCTGCCGTAGCTTTTGCGCCTCCCGCATCGTGATGGGATAGCCAACCTCCTCGATGACCTGGCTCTTGATTTCGTTTGGCAAACGGCTCAACCCCTTGCCGGAGGGGGCTCCGATCAGTTCGTGCCACCAATCCTCCCGCTGCGGTGGGACTTGGGATGTTGAAATGAGGCGGATCATGGGGTCGACCAAGAAGAGTGCCAGCATCTTGAGGTGGCCCGGTTTCGTGGGATCCGACAGACGGAATGCATTCGCGCGGTACTGATACACACTGGGGAAAGTAACCAGTCTTCCTGGGCGGCATAGCACCTCTCCGATTTCCTGCACTTGTGGATCACCGTTCTTGCACCCAAACATCTCAGGTAGAGACTCGAAGAAATCCTCCAGTTCTTCATAATGCATACTGAACCATGATCCCTGACGGAAGCTCAGTCGGCTCTCGGTGATGTTGTCGCTGTCGTAGTAGTAGAGAGCCGTGGCGCAGATGTGCTCGTTCTGGTGCAATATCAGCATGGGATCTGATGTGATCAGTGAAAGCCAGGGGACCCTTACTGGTTGTCCGTCCACATGCCATTTCTCTCCATCATAGGTTGGGTTCTCGGGACTCAAATTGATGTTGACAAGCTTAACAAAAACCTGGAGCTTGGAAAACTCGCACTGAAGATGAGATGGTGGAAATACTGGATGATCGTTCTCGTTAAAGTTTGGAGCGTCGGGCATTCCGGGTTCACGTTCTCCGGACTCCCACATCCGAAGACGAAGCCTGAAGTGGTCGTTACTCTCGCCCTTTTGCTTTCGGGGCTTCTGTTGGTTCGGCAGTTGCGATTGGTTAATGCTGTTTTTCCAATCAATGCGAGTCTCGAGATAGTAGCCATGGTCATGCAGGTCGGTCAATTGATGACTGAGGCCGAGGCTGTGCCCCCAGACAGGAACTGCAATGTCCATGATGTCTTCCACGACTCGGTACAGATCTTCATGGTGTTCAGGGTGCACGTTGTTGATGTAGCTGTGAATCGAACACCCATGGGGCGACACCAAGACGTCGCACGGAATCCACTGCATCTTCGTGTTGTAACTGTCGACAAAGCGACTTTTTGTCAAACTTAACTTCTTCACGAAGTCTTCCATTTCTGGAATTGACGGAATAGAGACGATCTCGCCTTTGCCCATATCAGACAGACAATGATCTCGGCAAAGCTCATCCTCGCGTACCGCTCGAGTCCGACCGAAGATAAGCGGGAAGAGCGACGGGTCAACAAGGTTCACAACCTTGTCATCACACGACTTAGGAAGCGAATGTTTCACACTAGCATCATCTTCAAGGACACGGGATGCTCTGATCAATGCCGTTTTGACGTGACCGGGCACGGCCGTATCGGACTTGACGATCCCCATGGCACCGAATATCATGCCGGTCCTCCAGAATCGTGCTGTGTGGTATCGCAGTTCTTTGACGCAGTAATCGAACATCTTCTCGGTGAAGGCTGTGCTCGTGATCTCCCCCTCCATGTCTGGATGGCATGGTCGTCAAATATCTACTCATTCACATTAGTCGATTCTCTGAGCGTAGTAGCGAGCAGCAACAAACCTTGATGCTCCAATCTGGGCTGTCCGTGAATTCGTTCATCGCTCGGATCATCGTGATCTCGCGCAGCATGAGCGGTGGCAGGAGTGTCCAGTTTAATGGCATGTCAAGAAGCGAAGGAAGTAAAGAGACAGATGCGCAGGCGGTAGAATCATCGATCGTTTTGACATTCTGCTCGACCTGCCAGACCTTCTCTGCCTTCTTTTTCTTCAACTTCTTCTCAATGACCTTGTTCTGGGGACGAAAAGTGAGTGGTAGGCCCAAGCCGGGTAGGCCTGGGTGCACGGTGCGCGTAATCTTGGGATGAGCTGGATCAGACATTGTGCTGGGAGTAGAACAGAGAGAGAAATAGAGTGAAAGAGGGATGGGGAGAGAGTTGAAGGTTCGAATTTCGTTGAAGATGAAAACAGAGAGGGAAAGAGGAAGAGACTGACTGGGAGAGAAACAGCGGGAGACGGAGGGAGGAACAAACGGAGATGTCTCGCTTCTCCTAGGTACATAAACTATAGTAGGTGGGTAGGTTTATATTTGGGTATTACTTCACACAGCTTCCCAATCCATTGCATCCACCATGAATTCCCAGTCCGCTTCCGAATCCAATACTGGCGAATCAGTGCTCTCTTCGGGTCTTCTACATTTGTCAACATGTTCCCGCGCCCTCACATAAGCCTCTTCTAACCCTCCAAAGATCTCGGTCAAAATGGTCTCGAAATCATAGCTGGCAAGAGGCATCACCGCTCTCTTTGCAGCGACGGGATCTCTCTCTCTCTCTTCTTGGGTCATATCGGCCGTCTTCCAGCGATTGCGGAGTTCCTTCGCCTGCTGGAGCTGCCCGAGGACATGTCCGCTGCCCAGAACAGGCGACAATGGGCTGGTCTCTTGCTCTAGGGCCTCTAGCACGTTTGCATGGTACCGATGGACCCCAACTCGCCCGTTCCCATTCATCTGGGTACCCCGGAAGGACGAGGAGACGGTGATGTTGAACACACCCAGCAGGTGCACAATGGCGCGCTCGAGAAGCGCGTAGTACTCGTGGAAGTCGATCTTGAACATGATCTCCGCGTGGGAGACTTCCTCATGTGTGGTAGACTGGGTGGCTAGACGGTAGCCCTCTGCGAGAAAGGGCAACTTCCACCGCAGCCGGGAGACGATCTTCATGAAGCGCGCCAGCTCCTCGGATGGGGACAGCACGGATGGGGTAGCTGTCGTGGGACTGCTTCGCTGGGCACTCTGGCTCCGGAATTGAGAGCGCGAGAGCCGGGATGGAGCATTTGGAGGCGCATGGTGCTCCCTCGCGCCGGGGGCCCAGCGCGAGTTGAGAAGACTAGACATGGGAAAGAGAGAAATGCTCGCGGGGGACGACGTCGGGGTGGGGCCAATCGGAGATGGGTAGGAAACGTCCATAGTGGAGTGGCAGATGAAGTATAAGATATCCCTAAAAATTGCGGCATAATAAAGCAAGCTATAACAAGCATATAGCTTAGCAGACTACCAGTAGTGGAAATTAACTTCGTTGAGGAAGCTTCCGACTTTTGCTGTTTTCTTTTTCCTTCTTTCTGCGACAGTCTACTTGGACTGCCGACCCCCGAACACTGCCGTTTTTTTCTACTTCGCCCCCCTGGACCTGTCCTTTTTTTTTTTTTTTTTCTCTCTCTGCCCTCATATACTCTGATAAATTCAGCTTTTGCATTTTGACCTTCATTGGCCGCTCGCCCAAGCCTTAACCTATGATCTCACAAACCCTCGAAATCCCTGCTAACCCGAAGAATACGGCGAGCTTCCAAGGCGGGTGGAAGTTGAGTGTGGAAATTGTGGCGCGAAAGAACTTAGTGTGCACCCCAGGTGGACGACACATGAGGATGTCGCAAGGCTCCTGATTGAAAGGCATAAATGCGGCGAATACGGTGACATTTTTTGTAAGCCTATTGATTCACGCATAACCATCAGTGATTCTGGCCTGGTCAAACGAAATCTTTCATGGATGACGGAATTGACTTGACAGAATTTCCTCGGCTCCCGAAGTATTAATTCTCGAAGGATTTCAGCTCCATAGAGTCACATTTAATAGACTCTTCTTCTATAGAATGATCTTTAAGGAGCATTTGTGAGAAACAATGAAGAAAGGTATGATTATGACTCGGCTGTTTCCATAAGACGTTTATAGATGGAACATATCGTAAGCAATATCCGATATAGTCCAGTGGTTAGGATTTCCCGCTTTCACCGGGACGGCCCGGGTTCGATCCCCGGTATCGGAAAATACCATCTTCTTTTTATGTTTTTATTTAAATCATTGCAAAATGGAATCTGAGATACAGAGACGGAGAGACGTTTTATATTTGTCTTATTCCATTGCAGATTAGTTTTTGTATCAATCTTGACTCTTTATGCTTGTTCCACTGCTTGTTCCTGCTTAGCCAATCCCCATTGGGCGTAGCGCTCTCCAGCTCTCGATCACCCCCCATTGCCCATCGTTCGCTATCCGTCTTACCTCCTCCCCAACCCAAGTCCCTCATTTATTACACAATGTTAAAAGACTAACTGTTAAAAGACTAAATGTGACCAAGAAACACCAGGATAATAATTTGTCAGACGGACCTCCAAGTCCTTCAAGTGTCCGATATAGTCCAGTGGTTAGGATTTCCCGCTTTCACCGGGACGGCCCGGGTTCGATCCCCGGTATCGGAATTATTTTTTGAGATTGCTAAATCATTGCAATGACAAAATGCAGTCTGAGAAACAAGGATTTTATTTTATTTTGTCTTCTTTCATTGATTGCAAAGTGTAACGATCTGTCCGACTGTTGGCGGTTGCACCGCTCGGTTCCTGCTTAGCCAAGCCGGTCCCCATTGGGCCTAGCGCTCTCCAGCTCTGGATCGCCCCCGATCGCCTTTCGCTGGCCGTCTCACCTCCTTCCCCAACCCAGAGTCACTCCAAGCTCCCCCGGGATTGCTGCTACGATCGCTCGCCTTGACTCTCTTTCTGAGGACTGCTGATTCCCTCCTCTTCTTTATTCCCTCAACTTGTACGTTTACCTGCCTGCTTCATGCTAGTCAGTCTATCGCTTGAGCCCCATTCATTCATTCCTCTGGTTTTTGGAACGCTTTCCCCTTCTGCTGTCAATCAGCTTCCCTTCCTTCTCTCAAGACCTTCCACTACTTTCCCCCATCCTTACTCTTCGTTTTCTCTCTTCTCCGAGGCATTCCCCCGCCAGTGACTCGCCGTCGCAGGGTGCGCGGCCCTCGTGCCTCTTCTTGCTAGCTCCCACGAGCTGCCTTCGTCACTCTCTTTTTGACCGGATTTCCTGCGTGGACATGTGGCCCTTCTATCCCCCATTCTTTGGGGTTGCCCATGTTGACTACAATCTCATCTTGTCCTTCTCTTCTTCCCATCTTCCTGCCTTTGTTGCTATCCATGAACATCCGAGCCTTCACCACTGAAACAAAAACGAGATCTAATGATGTTCGACTCTTAGCTCAGCTTGCCATCCCCGCTGTCTGTCGGCCTTTCCTCGGCTACACCGTTCCCGCATTGATTGCCTGGGCCGAGTTTTGGACTAGCAACCCAATTGCGGTTACGGCTGGCACGGCCAGGCACAAAAGAGGATCGCCTTTGGGGCATATCTGTGACGATGGATTCCTATAATGATTACGGGTCGCCAGGGGACTCTTACAGACGTAGGTCGCCTGGTAAGCCATTCCTCGGATGCTGTTGGTGATCGATTGGTTATTAACTTGAAAACAGTCGAGCAGGATCGCCGCCGTGGACGTGGACGCTCCCGTTCCCCCGTCATGATCGATCGCTACGAGCCCTCGGATCGCCGCAACTCCAGAGACGACTTCTACAATACATCGCGAGAGCATGCTGCCCGAGAGCGTGAAGACCGTCGTCGTGCTCCCTCCCCAAACGTCGCGAACATCGACCGCTATGTCCCCGGACAGGAGTCTGGTAAACGCCCGCTTCCGACAAACCCTCTGCCCAATCCTCTGAACCTTGATTTTCAAGTCGGATTCACTTGGTTCGCCGAATGGTGGAGAGCCGAACAATCAGTGAAGGAAGAAAAGGAGCGTGCCAAAAATGGTGGTCGTCGCCCATTGGACCGTGTCAAGGGCGAGCGCGAGGCACGCGAGGACCGTGATAGGGAACGAGCGCAGATCCAGGATGCCTATGATACATACAAGGCCGACCTGCAAGTGAAACTCGCGAGGGTCTTCGTTCAGCATCACAAAAACGCAGAATGGTTTAAGGAGCGCTATGTCCCTGAGGTCCGGGATCCCATCCGCCATCACTTGATGACCTTCCGCCGGACAGGAGCATATGAGCAATGGAACAATGATCTCGAAGGGGGCATGTTCGATGACTTTACCCTGGAGGGTATCTACAAGAAGGACAGTGATGGTGCTGGGGGCATTGTTGAAAAAGAGGAAGGCGAGACCACCGCTGTCGGTGAGACCATGGGCGTTCTCGATCTTCTGCCGGTGCGAGGAGGAGCGCTGCGCGATGAGAGTCTGTCTCAACCCGCTCTACTCATCAAGACTCTGGCGCCCCACGTTAGCCGAGAAAAGATCGAGGCATTTTGCAAGGAGCATTTGGGAGAGGGTGATGGCGGGTTCAAGTGGCTGAGCCTGAGCGACCCCAACCCTTCTAAGAAGTATCACCGGATAGGATGGATCATGCTCCATCCTGCGGGGGACACAACCGTTATGGAGAGAGGAGATGGGCGTGATGAAGAAGGCGAGATGGATCACGATGCCAGTGCTGACGGAGGTGCTACTACTGCCAGTGCGGCCGAGAAGGCTCTCGAAGCGGTCAACGACAAGACGATCCATGATCCTGTTCACGGCGACTTTGTCTGCCATGTTGGTGTACATGCCCCGGCCTCCCAACCGAGAAAGAAGGCTCTATGGGATCTATTTTCAACCCCGGAACGGGTTGAACGGGATCTGGAACTGGCCACGCGACTGATCTCCAAATTTGATACTGAGATGGGAGATGGCGCGGATGGGCTTGCAAAAATTGAAGAGCGTGTGGAGGACCTGCGTGGGAAAGGCTGGTTACAGCCCCCGGTCACCGGGCCCGTGACTGTCAAGAAGCGGAAGAATGGTTATGGCGACGAGGAAGATCTGGATGAAGACGAAATGGAAGAGGGTGAAGAACCTGAACTTCCCGAAGAGGACGAGAGCGATGACGAGGAGCTGCTGGCGAGGAAAAAGAAGCTGGACTTGATTATTGAATACCTGCGACGAGTCCACAATTTTTGCTTCTTCTGTGTCTTTGAGAGTGATTCGGTTCACGAGCTCGGCCGCAAATGCCCCGGCGGACATCTTCGCCGGCCACGCTCCGGCCTCACCAGCCAGGCCAAGGAAGTTGCTCGTGCCAGCGCTTTTGGATTGCCATTCCCAATCAACAAGAAAGAGCCCAGTGAGGACGGCGAGGAGCGTGCGTCACCCGTGCAGGAACGTCGTACACAGCGGTTTGCCTCCAAATCCGAGCAACAGTTGCAGCGTGCATTCAATTGGGTCAAGACCTTTGAGGATAAGCTGCTCCAGATTCTCGAGCCCGAGAATGTCGACCTCGCCAAATTGGGCGGCAAGCCCGTGGATCAGGCGGTCGAGGACGAGCTGTCTAAGTTTGTGAAAGAGGAGGAAGATTCGAGATACCGTTGCAAGGTGCCCGAATGCGCCAAGCTCTTCAAGGCTGAAAATTTCTGGCGCAAGCACGTCGAGAAGCGCCATGCCGAATGGTTTGAGAATATCCAGCGCGATGTAAGTTTGAACGCACTTTCTGTCATGCACGGCGTTAACAACACTACTATAGCTCTCCCTCGTCAACACCTATGTCTTGGATCCAGCCCGCATCTCACCGTCGCGATCAGACGCCAGCAGCAACGGGCACTTCCCTCTTGGTTCTGGCCAGGGCCATAGTGGTACACCTCGTGGCTTTAGTCTGGCAAACATACCTTTTCTCGGAAGCCCCGGTGGCATGCCCGCTGGCTTCCCCTCTGGTGGGATGCCCGGAATCATGGGCGCCGGCCCCGGTAGCTGGAGCGGAAACGGAATGTTTCCTGGCGATGGTACTGGAACACATCATCCCGGAGCCATGCGTCGCGGCGGTGGGCGCCACAACCGCCCCGGTCCATACGATCGACGCCGCAACGACCGACTCAGCCCTCGTGCCATGTATGGCTCTGGCACCCGTCTCCCGTCGGCCGGCGTCAGCGTGCCTCCCGGACACCCCGCTGCAGCGATGTTTCCCCCGGGCCAATTCCCAGATGCGATGGGTGGCCCCGGCGGACCGCAAGGTGTCCCGCCTCGCGAAGCCGTGCAGGGTCGCAGTCTGAAGAGCTACGAGGACCTCGACGCGGTCGACGGCGCAGGCGGCGGTGAACTGAACTACTAGTTTCCCCTCCTTTCTTTCTACTCTTTCTTTTCTACGAATGTGGCATGGCGCCTCGGTGGACGGATGGGACTGATTTGACAATTTGGTTTCTGGATTTACGGGGTGTCCCATCTTTTCTTCTGTTTCCTTCAATGGAAATACACTTGTTGGCTGTGAATTGATTAAAACAAACCTCATTTTTCTTTGCCTTCAACCCGTCGTCGGCTTGGGGAATTTGTCTTTTGTACCGAGCACGCATGTACGATATCCTTTGCTGGTGTCGAGTCAAGGAATAACAATACGCAAGGAATTGTGGATGGAGTAACCTTGGAAGTAAGTGGTATAAAGGCATTGTAATTGCACAAAGTGGGTATCTAGGTAAGTAAGCAAGTAAACAAATTGATGCTTTTGGAAAAAACCCAACACCAGTCTCCCATTCCCCAACGCAGTGAATTAGCTGCATAGACTTCTTCTATAAATCTCAGTCATCACGGCAATTCAATAATCACCTCTCCACGGGCATCCCTCCACTGCGCACCCATCCCCCGAATGCGTCGCTCACTCGCCAGGAACAGGAGGAGGTAAACATGCACCGCGACCTCGCCCCATGCGTACACCTTCAGTGAGACCGGCGTCATTGACAACGCAGACGCAACATCTCCTCCAGACCGGAGGGATGGATGTGTATCTTTCTCTGCCTTCTCCAGGATACACCACACCCCCCAGCCTGCACGCGCATCTCTCGCAACGAAGTCGGAGAGGAATGTCCAGAAGCGATGGAAGAGCGCAGCGTCCCAGTCATGTCGATGTGCAGACGACTTCCGTGTGGGATCGGGGTTTTGCTGTTGCTGTTGCTGGCCTTGCTGTTCTTCTGGTGGATCGAGGATGTTGATGTGAACCACCCAATGTCCTCGTTCTAGTTTCTCTAGATCCCGCGCTTGCTGAACGGGCTTGTAAGTGCGGGATGGCTTGAGGCGCTCTGCTAGCATGGAGAGGGTTGGTGTTATGTGGGTTGTGAAGTGGGTGTTGGAAATTGGGGGTGGTGGGGGGTGGATTTCTAGTGGGAGAGTCGTGAGGTTGGTATATGTCGCCCTATCTGCGAGGGACTGGGTTGGGATGCCATTGTGTCTCTGGCCTGCTGGTTGCTTGCCGGTAGACTGCTTAAATACCGGCGAGCTAGCTCTGGGAGGTGCGATGGCCTTGACTGACAGCTGGGCTGGGGACGATGGCTGTATACGACGGCGTTTGAGCGCGGGGAGATCCGCGCTGCTTTGTGAAGAGGGTGCTGAGTGCAGGCGTGCGGCGGAATCCGACTCGGCCAGGATCTCTGGCTGAGAGTCAGGGATGACACTGATGAGGCTCTCCAATGATTCTCGACGGTTCTGGACACCTTCGCGGGGGTCTGATGTATGGCCATCTTGAGTGGATGCATCAGAAAGACGGGCCTGTGGCTGAGTGACACGGCCACTCCGGCCGATGTATGGGGAAACGGCACGCCTGCATTCGCTGGGCCCTGATGATCGTGCCCTCTGAGGCTGGCTGAGCAATGAGGACGGGACGGAGATGACCTCTGTAGAGGAGTGGAGGTGTTTGTCATGGCGTTGACGATCATCCCGCTCGTCGGGACTGTCGCTGTCGAACCCCAGCCACACCGGCTGTCGCGACGCCCTCTGGAAGTGCAGGATGGCCGCGACTTGGGCACGATAGCGAGCGTCGTCGGTGCTGGCACTAGGTGCAGCGACATGGACCAAGATCTCCGGGTCCATGAGGGCAGCCCATCGCACCAGGATGGCCCGATCGGGGGGTTGGGGGGGGTTGTGGCGTCCAAGTGAGGACGGGTGAGCAGCTCAACTATTATTTGTCAAAGTAGAAATGGACTGGTCAATTCCAACGAATACTTCCGGAGTACTTCTGTTTCGCGGTAACCGAATGTGGCGTGACGGGTACCAAGGCGGTCTTCAGCACTGGGTGCCTTCTCCACTGCCTCGTTAAACATCTTCTTCCTCTTGTCTTGTCTGCCTGTCATCATTCTTCTCTTGCATAACCATTATTCTTGCTTGCTTTTTCTCCATCCCACTTTACCTGCCTTCCTGCCTTCCTTTCTTCCTTCCTGTTGAGCCACCCGGCCTCTCTTGCCCCCTTCATTCCCTCACGACCCCATCTGCGGGCCCTCCCGAGACCACGATCGCACAGAGATCGATCGCAGTATGTCTTTCAGCGGTGGGGTGTACCCTATGGCCCAGCCCATGCAGACACAAATGCCAGGTGAGTTCCATCGCTCCCAGATATCCTCCTGCCTCTGTCCAGCTCCCTGCATCACACCTCAACCGTGGTTCGATGCCTTTATCTCCTTCCTCCACCGCCCCCCCGCCTCCCTGGACAATTGCATCGGCGCAAGGCTAGCTATGGTCTGAAGATCTCATTAAGCGATCACGTTGGGTCCGAGACTCTGGCCATTGGCAAAGCACTGCTTGAGACCGGATGGAAGACTACCAGGAACATACAGATGCTAACGGCTCGCCCATGCTGCTCCCCCTCAACGGGAGGAACGGTATGGCGCAATCCAATATAGAAGAACCAGCTACCCCCTCGAGAGGCGGATTCGGATCGGATCTGTTCAAGTTGTTTCAAGGCCCCAAGAAGGTTACTCGAGGTGGGTGATGGCCCGGTGAGATCGGGTTGCGATCGATGAGGATTGACCTTAGCCAGATGGCGCGGCCCCCAAACGGCGAGGCCCCAAGCCCGACAGCAAGCCCGCCGTGACGCGGCGTCAAGAACTCAACCGTCAGGCACAGAGGTAATCACAATACCCTTGTTCAACCGTCTGTGCAGATCTGACCGTGGCAGGACCCACCGCGAGCGGAAGGAACAGTACATGCGTGCATTGGAGACCGAGGTGTCGCGACTACGAGAAGCCTATACAAACGAGATTGCCGATGTCACCGCCGCACTCCAGCAACACAAGACCTTGGCGCAGACGATGCGCGAGGAAAATGAGATTTTGAAGGAGATCCTCAGCGCCCACGGAATCCAATACGAAGCCGAGTTCGAGCGTCGCCGAGCGGAGCGCCCGCCCATGGCTGGATACCAGTCTAGTCCCGTTACTGCGAGCACCACCGGCTCGCATACTGCCGGTATCACGCAAAACGGTAGCCATCAAAATGCAACTCCGCCCACGACGATCTCTACTGGTCTGAGCCCTCGTGCCAATGGCGGCGTCGAGCGTATTGATGTTTCGCCGGGCATGCCATATGCGCCGCAGCAGCAGGTGTATCAGACCAGTCCCGGTGAACAGTCTGTGGGCCTGGATCTCTCGGCATCGGCGTGCCCGGAGCCTCCCGTTTCTGCTCTTCGCGGCGTCTTCGAGACTGACCCGCAGCTGCAGGTTGACTTTATCCTGACGTATGTTCTTTTATCCCAAGCGTTGAATTGGTGGCTGACCCTTTTAAATGTACACAGACTGGAAGGTCCCTGCCGCGAACACACCGACTATCTGTGCCGACGGTCTATCACCGAAGCCGACGACGAAGACATGCCGTTTTCAGGCCACGCCCTGATGGCCACCTGCCCTCCACCGAGCTACATTGCCAACACCACCGCGGAAACCCCGTACCCACACAAGACCTACGACCTCCCACTCGCAAATCTCAGCACCCTTCTCAACCTCAGTCGCCAGCTCGTTACAGATGGCCAGATCACCCCGATCATGGCCCTGCAATGCCTCAAGAACCACGAGCTGTACTCCACCCTGGGTCGCGAGGATGTCAAGATCATCATCGAGACCCTCAATACCAAAGTCCGCTGCTACGGTTTCGGCGCTGTCGTCGAGGACTTCGAGCTCATGGATTGCCTGAGCAGTGTGTTAGGCACCAAGGTTGACGTGGGGATGACGGGTGCTCACGACGACTCCATGTATGCCTGAGCTGGAGCACACCCTTATCAACCCATCCTCTCCCGGCGAGAGCTGTGTACGCAATGAAAACGATTATGATCTGATGTCTGGCAAAAAGAAATTGCTGAAATTGTTATTAAGTGTCTTGTGTCTCTCTGTGTGAGTATACTGGAGTGAAGTTGGAGCTGCTGTGCCTTATGTTTATTCGTTTTTACGTCTGTGTTTTTATGTCCTATGTGGAGGACCATCAAGCCTGTCGTTTCCCCCTTCTATCTTCCATTGTCAGCTGTGTTCTTCTGTCTTTTTCCTGATGAGCCAGGTGTATATAAGCTGAAAAGCCCAGGCTGCCCTTGAGACTGGGCTTCGTGTTGGACTTTTCTTTTTTCTGTGGTCTTCGATCTTGCTGGTTGCCAATGACACAGTATTTTCTGTCACATATGTGAACCTTCCATTTTTCACCGTCCTTGTAGTTGGAATAGAAGAGGGAAGGTTGAGAATACGTAATGGATATTCATTCATGACTCTTAACGAACTTTTCACATATGCACAGTCAAGGCAGAAAACAAAATCAAAGTATAAGAAAAGTCTACTCCTCCGCCTCCTCGCTCTTTTCCTCGGTCTCATCCACCTCGGCCTCATCATCCTCCTCGAAGGTGGTGGCAGGGACGCTGTACAGACGCAGCACAGACTTGTTGGGGTCCTTGATCAGGACGTACTTCTTGACCTTGTCAGCCGGCTCGTCGGTGTCGAGGGTGCGGATGCGGTCGACGATCGTGCGCACAATACCCCAGCCATTGGTCAGGCTGAGGTTCATCTGGCTGGCGAACTCGCGCGGCTTGTAGCCGACAACACCCAGGATGACGTGGCCCGCCGCCGAGCGCGGGTTCGCGCGCGAGACAAAGCCGAGCTTCATGCCGTCGGCCTTGGCCAGGATGGCCTGCGTGGTCCAACGGGCCAGCTTGGTGCTGTTGTTCTTCATCTCGGTGGCGATGACGGCGCCGCGCTGCGACACCAGCTTGGTGCGCCAGTCCAGCGCGCTGCCGGAGCCCTGCGCCTTGGGGTCGAACTCGTTCAGCGCCTTGATGATCAGGTGCTGGTCCGCACCGCCGGTGGGGTTCTTCATCACGGCGTCGACCTCCGTACGGACGATGATCTGCACGGGCTCCTCGTCGCGCTCCAGCGACATGTCGAAGCGGCGGTACTTGTACCCCTTCGAGGCGAGGGGCTCGGTCTCCTCGGCCTCGTTGTAGAAGGGGTTCGGCTGGGCGAACTCCACCTTGGCCGACGGCTGCTCGGACACCGTCTGCAGCGCAAAGTTGTGGTTGATGAAGGTGGCTTCCATGGCCAGCGCGCCGGGCGTGTTGATCTGCTCCGGCTTGTTGCCGGCGGAGGCCTCGGACATCTCGAGCGGGGCGTCGATCGCATTCTCATTGACAGTCACCAGATCCAGCGACGCGCCATCCCGCTTGTCGAAGAAGATCTTGTTGTCCTGGTGCGTGATGACAATGTCCCACGAGTACACACTGCGCGTAGCGCACATGAGCATCGAGAGGATGTCGGCGGTAGCGAAGACAGTCGCCTCGTTCTTCTCGGCCAGCTCGTGGATGACGGGATCCTGCGAGGTGGTAACATTGTACGCAGCGCGGTCAAGCGCGGTCAGTCTGCGCTCAGCGTTCTTGACGGGCGGCTTGTCGAACGACCGGTCATAGTAGTAAAGGAAACCATAGGAGTCCAGATCCTCGCCCTCGGGTGCCTCGAGGTTCAGCTTCGACAGACGCGCAAAGTCCACCTCCTCCAGCATAGTCCAGTCTGGCCGAACGTTGACCGACGCCTCACGAGTCCGCTGCGGCTTGTCCCAGTCCCTCCATCCGAAGCGGCGTCCGCCACGGCCGCCGCGTCCACCCCGGTTGTCGTAGAAGCGGTCACCCTGTCCCCGGCCGCCAGGTCCAGCACGCTGGAAGCCACCACGTCCGCCGCGCTGGCCCGGACCACCGCGTTGACCACGGCCACGGAAGACGGTGCCGCCGCCGCGGCCGAAGGTGCGCTTGGCCGACGAGCGGGCGTTGTCGACGACGGAGAAAGAAGACTCGTCCTCGGCCTGGATGGTGAACAGGCTGGATGAGCCGGCGCCATACACCTGCTGGTCTTTTTTTGGGATTAGTGCCTGGAACAATTTTGCAAAAGACAAATCTGGAAACAAAAGGAGCATACCTCTGAAGTTCCGGTTGTATGGCTGGCGACCTTGCCTCTCACGGTCCTTGGACTCGGAGGTCCAGTCGGCCATGCGGCCGAGCTTGTCGCCCTTGGAGAAGGGTGCGTAGGGCACGCCCTCGAGCATGTTGTCGCCGGAGGTGGCGGGGCCCCAGGTGTCCTCCGAGGGGAGGGCAGCCACCAGGTCGGCAATAGAAATCGGTGCCATTGCGTGTAGAGTGTAGTTCAGTGACTCTTGCACTGACTATGAAATGAGACCGAAAAAGGGGGGCGCTTGGTTGATCAGAAAACCCCAGACGGATGGTGACTGTGGATTTCTGCGGCGGGCAATTTTTGTGTCGCGAGTGGCTGTGGCTGGTGTGGGTTCTTTGTTGCACCGCCACACATAATGTGGCGGTGTTGATTTCCCTTTGTTCTTCGACGAGACGATGTAGCAACGACAGAGCAACTCTTACCGGTATATCCTGAGAAGTGACAGTAAATCACAGTGACCGGACTGCCATTTCCAATTCATATGAAGAATTTTAATACGCTTGCGTCGAATTTGTGCTACCGACTAGGTGCTATTATTCCCAGTATGAAGTTTACTTCTCTGAACAGCGGCCCCGGCTGAACAATATGGCAACCTGACCTTGCGTCACTTTTCTTAGATCCATGAGATAGAACGTAAATTACACGCTGTGGTTTATTTTCTTGGTACTGTACCAACAATATTTGAAGCCACTTAGGCAGCAGCTTTTGGATGTCGCTCGTATCGGTGGGGCCGAGCCCACGACTATAGTTTGCGGATCCCCAGAGCAGCGCTGAACTTCAAGTTCATCACCGCGCACAACAGAGTCCACTATGTCGACAGTTCCAAACGCCCGATGGAGCGAGGTAGTCAATACTACTGTTACACCAGCGCAATGGGATTCAAACCCAACAATCACCAGGTCCACGGTGAAGGAGAGCAGCTTCCAAGGCCTGTCGGCATCGTCCAGCTCCATCCACCGCTCGACCTTAAAGGGAGTGGTAATGCAAGATGCCTCCATGACGGATAATATTACCCCCAGGTCCGCAGATGGCAACGCCATTATCCGCAGCGAGCTGCATGACTGCACCGTCAGCAACGCCTGGGTCAAGCGGTGCACATTCAAAGGCTGCGTCCTCAGCAACGTGCGCTCGCACCGCTCTACTGCGCGCAACTCACAACTGCACGATCTGGACAGCTTTAACAGTAATGATGCCACGGATAGCGTGATCCAGGATCAGAGCTATGTGTGGCGCACAACCCTGAAAAAGTCTGCTGCGCGGGAAGCGAGTGATCTCAGGCGGAGCACGCTGGTTGGAACAGCCGTCTCCAATAGTAGGCTTCGCAAGGCTACTCTACGTGACTGCGATGTGACTGATTGTATTATCTCTGGGACGAACTTTAAGGGGATGATTCTGAAGTATGGGGTTTGGAAGAAAGGGAACCTTGTGGGTCGGATTGGGAACCGGGAGGTTATTGCTATAAGCAAGGACAGTGGAGAGTCACAGGTGAGCTGCATTTGGGAAACCTTGAGAATGAGATTGATACTGATTTCTGCTACAGGTTCATGGCCCTGTACCTGTTCTTCCTGAATTGGATTCCAAATCTCAACTCCCAAGAGATAGTCCTCCTTCCTACTATGCAGAATCCGACGACAATCTCGATAGTGATGATGCTGTATCTGATGATTCTGAGGAATTGCCACCACCATATAAAGTGTGAACCGACAGTCACTTCCCTGCTCACAGCAAAGTTGTATTGACTAGCAGTTTTGACCTTGTACATAGCGTTTCACGATCACATTTTCCTTACAATTGACATAACAAATGGAAAGGAATCATTGAAGTTATTTATTTGAATAGACAATACGGTGCATGACTGAGTAACGAGTGATATCCCGAACATATTAGAAAGAACCATGCTTTCCACCTAATTATCAGTGGTTCCCGCAACAACATACTGTTTCGCCGTTTTGAGCTTGCTGAGAGTCTCCTCACTCAAGTTTAGCGTATCAGCAACTATCTGCTTCGGCGTTGAAGCAATCCATTGGCCAAGAGCCATATCTTTAAGTGGTCAGTAGTGAGAAACAGCAAAATTTCAAGAGAGTGACATACCAGTGAACTGAGGAGCTTGGAGTACTTCCAAGAACATAAGATCTTCATCGCCTGTGTTCTCAATGTAGTGGCTATTCGACTGCGGGAAATAGCCAATATCACCGGCTCGGTAGTCAAAAGTGGTCGCTGTGTCCGGTGCAGTAAAGAGAGTAGCACGGCCTTGGCCTTTGATGAAGAAAGTCCACTCATCGCTACTCGGATGCCAGTGAATCTCGCGCATGCCACCCGGGTGAACGGTCACGACGGCAGCAGAGAAGTTACTCGCAAGGGGGAAGGTAACCGGATCGACGATCTTGACAGAGCCACCAGCAACCTCGTGGGCTGGCTGCTCTGAGAAGTGATAGGAGTAGCTCTGCGAGAGCGGAACAAGTCCAGCGGCTGTAGTCACGTTCTGCTCCTCGATGTCCTTTGGAGCAGGGGTGCCTTTGAAGATGTATAGCTCATCATCGGGGAGGTCATCGAATGCCGCGATGGGAACACCGAGGTTTTTGGCGAGGACCTCTTTCTGCAGAAAGGATTAGGATACATGCAGAGCATATAGTGTTTGTTGAGGATCCTACCGGTTGATGCATAAAGACCTCCGTGGCAAGGAAGGTATTGTCTTCATTGAAAGAACCGTCGTCAAAGACAAGCAAGAACTCGACGCCATCATCAAGGGCTTGAATAGAGTGGGGGATGCCACTAGAAAAAAAAAACTTAGTAAACAAAATTTGGATGGGACGAGGGAAACTCACGGTGGGAAGAACCACACGTCGCCTGCGGTCAAGTCGTCGACGAAAGTCTCTCCATTCTCATTGACCGCCTAGATATGTCAATATATGTATCACATGGTCTGTTGAGAACTACATACCTGAATGCGACAGGAACCATTCAAGATGAGAGACCATTCCGCGGCGACGTGCCAGTGGAGCTCACGGTAGCCAGCGGGCTCAAGTCTCATATCAACACCAGCCATTGCTACTGCAGCTGGCATTACCCCCGTGTTTTCCTGGCGGGCCCAGCCGGCGCCTTTCAGTCCTAACCTAAACAAAACTATCAGTAGAGACTAGAGGTTGAGTGATTGCCTATTTACCGGTTATGGCTAAGTCCTATGCAACTGTTAGATATAAAGATCTTCCTAGTTGCGGCGTAAACTCACCGAGAGGCCATTGGGCATTGATTGTCTGACCTGAGTCAGTTCCCGGAGGGGCGAGCTTGTCACTGTTAATCCGGTCGTAGTAATAATTCCCTAAAAGAACAAATAAGCATTATCATTGACGAGTCAATGATTCTAGAGACCTACTGGGGCCTGGATCATCACCGCCACCTGAGCCACGAATCGGTTGGGGGTTGTCGGCATCCACGAAGTTCAGATAGGATCCAATGTCGGCATCTTCCTTTTGTCCTGGCAATAGCTTGTACTGAATACTAGGCTGAGCTTTGTCGGGAACCACTTCGGATGGCGAGTACCCAACCAAAGACTCAGAGCCTCTTAAACCAGGATTGCTATCCCTACGAGCGGGAGCTCCATTGGCAAGAGGAAGGAAGACAGGAAGCAAAGAAAAGATATGAGGAAGAGCTTGGAGCTTCATTTTGGCAGAAAAAGGAAGTCAATTTGGCCAAATGGACAAGAGATGAGCCAATTCAGGTTTGGCTGGCGCGCTGGCGTAGGAGCAGCCTTTATATGGACACAAATCTCATTTACAAGAATCATCAGAGTATCTGGACAACTACAGTTACCTTTGCACCATTGCATCCCCTCACGCTGCATCCACTTCTTGGAGAACATCCCGGCAGAAATGACTATTCCCCTCATAAGCCAAGCCATGATGATGTAGTGCAGAGCAGTCTCTGCCATACAGCAAACACACCGACTCGTTTGTGCACCTGCCGGACTTCCGGAGTGAGGGGAGACGGAAAAACCGTAACCGAGAGGTGATGTATGGGGGGTAGAGGAAATGCTATTTTGAGAGGATTCCCCGCCCGAAGGTTACAGGGAAAGTCTTGTACATGCTTACCGTAGATTTAGCTCCTACATATAAGATGAAAATCATCCTGTTCCGGCGGCAAGTAGAAACTGTGTTGCCCCTTGGAGTGGACCCCACTGATGCAGATAAGTCAAGTATGTACTTCGTGAGAGGGTCCCTAAACGACTAACAACACCAAGAGGAAGAAGCGAAACGAGTTATCCTGCCGATCTTGACGAGGGCTGTGCTTACTTCTCTCTTAGCCCCCCAATGACGAGGTGGACTCTTATGGGGTGAGGGGCATGGGCGTTACGATCAAATAAGAATTGCTTGAATAAGCAAGATCCGCGATCTCATGTGCCCAGAGTGCAAATGCATTCCATGCCCTATCGGGGCTGTCATACAGAACAGTTCCGAGTGACAAAGTATTTACCCAGGCAAGCGAGAAGTAAGATGCGATCGAAGCCGTCACAAGAGCACAAAGAAAGAACACAAGGGGTGCATATTCCAATAAAAGGAAGAGGGTGACGGCCCTAGAACGTCGGAGCCAAGCTTTAGAAGCAAAGCGGGGCCCACATGAGCCACTCAAGAAGCAAGAAGCAAGCAATAGCTGGCCAGAGGGGAAACATCCGGGGTGCCGAGTAGTGGAACCTGCGTGGTGGTCCTCAACTATCACCTCCCCACCTTTCGTCAACGTCGTTCTCCGCATGAGGAGAATTTTCAAATATAGCTCTTCGGTTAAAGCCTATGGCGGTAGAGATGTGACCCGCTTTGCATATGGGTAAAATACTTTACCCATTCGGTCAGTCTAGCAATGGGTGCTTGGACGAGATCTGCAGTGACAAAAGGAATTTAATTCATGGGATTCCTTGTTCTTCTGTCCCGCACTGTGGAGGTACAGAGAGACGAATCAGAGCGATCCGCTAGTCACATAAGACTAGCAGGGTTCATTATTGTCGCGGGAAGACAGGATTCGCGAAGAAGGTGAGGGGTGGGTCGGCGGTTGTTATGATTTGTAGCTTATTATAGTAGCATGGACGGGGACTGGTAAGATTTGAAAGCACTTCCCCGCGCGACCGCGAGGGGGCAATGTGCCATCAGAACGTGATATTCAGAAACTTTAGAAACAATAATATCCAAGTAGAGGTGATTAAGAAAGCGTAGCCATGAGAGTTCAGTGAGATTAAATTAGCAGATTGTAATTGCCATAAATTGGAATTGTCGAACATAGCCCACGATGACGCATTAGCACCTCCACTAGGATCATGCTAAAGTGGATATGGAAAGAGGTACTCCTGCTATCAATAAATAGTGCATTTCATCTTGCCGTCTCATCATGTATGGTTAATATGGAGTCGTCTGCGCTTGGATACCAAAGCATAGACCTACTTCGAAGTATCATGATCCTAGGCTGGTTTTATGCATATTTCGATTAATATAGATACGACTTGGTTGTCGCCGAAGAATTTGCCGGGCTCTTTCCCAAGAGAGGATTATCTGGCGGTGGGTCCCTTCTTATGTCCCCCACAAGACATTCTTCTTCTAAACAAGTCGTGATGCAACCAAATTTCCCTAGGAACGAACTTCGCTTTTCGTACGGAGTTAATGTCAGTGCAATGCCCTCCACTGCCAGTGTATTCACAACTGATCCAGGACACCGGTATTGAGTGGAGGGTAAGCTCAAAATTTCGTCCCCCCGCGGTGCCAGACAGTGGATCCTAGCATTACGTGTCTGTTGCCTTGAATCCCCATCATTATTGCTGATCTCCTCGAAGTACTCTTTCACCAGGATCCTTCAGTCGGAAAACACAAGAGATTACCAATTGCTAATTTCTGTACGCATCGTTCCCGTGAAACTGCTGAATTTTGTACATAGAGACGATCATGCACTACTAACAAAGGAGAACCACTGCCGCTCGATATTTTTCACCAGCACCGGCATCTTTACTCATCAAACCCTAATGGGAACTAGTATATTGTCGTCACTATCAATTACGCTACGGCCACAGACCGTCGTATATGTAGTAAAGGAATCACAGAACCAAGATGGTAGAACCCTAGAGGAGCTCTCGCACTGGGCCCCTTAGACGCAGGAGAGCCCGTATCCAATCAACAGTGGTATTTCTTTACAGTGTATAAAATGTATGTACATTCCTATACTAAAGCAATTGGGCTCAGTGGGTGTCGAAACCCAACTATAGCGGTGCGATCCTCCACATTCTCACCACTTAGCTCTATGGCGATTGAGTGCGATACTTACCAATCGTCAATTGATAATTAGGGTCTATAATCTCACAGAATTACCGGTGTTATCTCTTACGATAAGCACGAAACGGGATAATCTGATGTCCGAGTGCTAATCTACTGTGTGCAAAAAGCTTCAGTATGTTATGATTTGAATCTTCGCTTGAAACCTTGCTATTTAAAACTGCCCTCGAGAGGCTTCAGGAATAATTGTGACCATAGTGGGATATTATCCTGACACTATTATTCTAATCAAGAAAGATAAGAGAGTAAATAAAGGTGTGGACACGGGTCCACTGATCACACACGGCGGGGGATGCCAAGGCGGCTCCACCGGATCCGTCCGGATCCATGAGATCATCAAGAAGTCAAATACAGACAATAAGTGGTCTACGCTGTCTGGATGGGTTGGCTAGAATTGTGACTCTCGATAGGGCCATTTTCTTTTGTGCCTTGCATGAATGCTCAGAAGCATATTATCTCCGTGTCTACAGGTAGATATCTCCAAACAGCCCGAAATGATCTCATTCCGATCCTACCGGAGCGACGAACGAGTCTTGACGCACGGCAGAGTCTATTTGATCATCATGACCCCGACGACGAGTAACAGATTACGCACATCTACGATGGAGCATATTCATGTAATGTCATTCCGATTGAATTGTGCGTTGTCAGACAGTAGTGACAAACTGCGATATGAAGTAAAATGAATGTAAAGCACACCCCGGAAACTCCAGTCTGTGTCATGCCAATCTATGGCGACAATAAGAAATCTGAGACTGAACAAAAGAAATAAAAACCTGTCGCTGACAGGAACACCGATCCTCCGCCATCTAATCTATGGCGATCAACGGGGATATCGGTGTTGAATGGTCTCGATAGAGGTGGTGATAGAATGATAGACAGTACCATGTCAAGAAGGGGTTATGTATATGAAGCGAAGGGCAGCGAGGTTCTCGTGCCAGGGAGAGAGATCGAGAGCCATTCATGATAGACTAGTGTCTATCGGACGCGTTTGAGGTACCGCAGGGTGAGGTAGACAGCTGACATGCTGGTGTAGACACCGCCGGCGGCAGCCAGCCAAACGGGCTGATGGGCGCTCAGAGATGTGCGCAGGAACTGGCCCTCCTTCTTTGGTTTGGAGTCTATCGAGGATGTTAGAAACTAGCGGTGGATAGAGGGAGGTGGGATGATAATGATGATGATGATGGTGATGGTGATGATGATGATGATGGGGGGAGTTGGGCACACGTACCCTGGAAGAGCCGCTGTCGCAGGTTGTTCAGACCCTGCCTCGAGCGAGCAGGCAGAGCGGAAAGCTCGTGGAGAATAGCACCGACCGGCGCAGACATATTGATGATGGTAGAGTGGAGATGGAGATGGAAACGGGTTAAATGGTGATGGTGATGATGATGTGGATGTGAAAGGAGGAGAAAGAGAGAAACCCAGGGTTATATACTGGGCAGTCATCTGACCTGCTGAATGCGGGGTTTGATGGCTCGTCATGGTCCGGGGGAGTCAGCGTGAGTGGCAATAGTTACTAAGTCGGGTACCACTAATCACTCTCTATTGAACTCCTATTTGCCCACTGCGGATCACCGGCGCCCCTCTCTCATCGACCATAGTCGTGTTTCCTGTGGAAATAAGGGCACGGAATACTCGATCAGGCGAGCGTTCATGTTGGCAATCAGGAAGGCCAGCCATCCCCACATTCTCCCTACTGACTTGCCTCTTTGATTGGCTCGCTCTGGCGTAATGGCCTGTCCACCAGACCAGGGAGTCCGTGTGAAAAGGGGGCTGCGTGTCTGACCAGATTACGATTGCGTATGCGACACGATCATCCTGTGTGTGATAGGTCGAGGCCCCTGGCCCCGAAACGCAACCGAATCAAGCATAATCCGATCAAGCGAATCGGGGGACTGGGTACAAGGGATGATAGAGATCTATAGATTCCTTCCTTCATTACTTCCGGTACGGTGCACATGCTGTGACTTGTTGGTCTACACAGGAGACAAGAGAAGGAGTAGAGATGATGGTCTTCAGGGTGGGGGAGCGGAGTTCTTAGCCCGGTCCCACAGTGGGAATCCGGGGGAGGGTAGGCTTGCGGGGTTAGTCGGCTCCACTCGTTAGGTGGCAATTAGATCAAGGGATGAACAGCAGGGCGAGTGAGGTTATTCAGAGAGACTGTGATTGTGACAAACAGGAGAGGAATGGAATGAAATGGCTGGAGGACGAGGAGCAGAAAGTGAAGAGGAAAGAGCGGAATTAGGGTTGCATCCATGGATGCCTGAGGGGTGCCTGAGTGGTGCCTGATGCTAACCTCAGGCATAATTCAGGCATCATTTAATCTGTCGGCCAGAGGCAAGAATGAATGGTATATATTTTCCTAAATAACTCCCCTAAAGTGGCCCAACTCCGTGTTTCCAGATCAAAAAGGGCGAATTATATCTCATCCAAATGTCGCCGGGCTCCTATTTATTGCCCGATACTCCGATGGAACAAGCGCCTCCGTCGTCCCATACTCAATTGGTCCGGCGAGGGAGTACGGGTCCATCCAAATTTTGTGCTTCTTTTCTCGGCGGTTTTCACGATGGGTCTTGGTCGATAGGGCAAAGAGGAAGATGTGTGTAACGCTAAACGTGGAGGCTGGATCAGCAACGAGTACCATCCCGACAGTGGGGAGAGTCGACCACATACGCAGTGAATGCACAGATGCCCCCCAGAACTAGATCGGAAATCATCAGGATTTCATATTCGACGGTGAAGGCGCATCCTTGCCAAAAGAAAATACATCCCCAGATAATCAGCGTGAGGGCGGCCGCGCTATCGAGGACAATATTGACGCTGAGCTTTGGAATGCATCTCACACAGAGCAGGATGCAGTCAACCAGATTCCAGACGGAAATAATGGCAAACTGTAAGCAGACGGCATTAGCTAATTACGACCCGAGCTGCGAGCGGTAGATTAGGCAACTGACAATGACGAGAGCAATGGTTTGACTATCGGAGAGCCCCCCAAGGACGGAGAAGACGATGGCGGCGATGCAGCCCAGGAGTGCCAGCACCCGGAGAGCCAGTCTACAGATCCACCCTCTCGTCGACTTGTATGCCTTCGACGACATTTCGTGGTCCGATCAGGCTCCGAGGGCCATCCAGCAAGGGGTGTTGGGTGTGTGGTATGAGTCTGACGGTCGTGGGTTTCCGCGGTTCGAGAGAAAAATTGGAGCCTTGTTTTGCGCGCTGCCACGCGGGGGCCAGGAAGTGACCCAATTGCCGATCATCAACTTGGAAATCGAAAATCAAGCGTTGGAGCCAGTCGCCTTAGCTCGCCACTTTTCTGCAGGGTAAAGATGCATCCGTCCCAAGGGGGGTAGGCAATCTGGAGAATAATTCGCTTACAGAATGGCCTTCGCACCCAGTGAATAAATGGGTTGTAAACTGCCAGGGGAAAACCCGTCCATTGGGGGAAGGCGGGTGGAGAATGTCTCAAAGGAATGGCTAAAGGGAGCGAAAGGGTCCGATACAACGTGGCGCAGCTAGACTTGGCGTCCAACAACCAGCCCTGTTGGTACTACTGGCCAATGCCAACCCCGGACGAGGTCTCATTATTGGGTTGTAGGAAATGCGCCGTCAGAAATAACTAACCGTTTTACCGCTTTCCCGCGAACAAGCTCGTGGGGTGAAAATGCCATGGAGTACTCATCTGCCACTCTAGAGCCACAGCGATACCAACCACACCTAGAATCGCAGCCCATCGAGTAAGCCCCCGCCGGATATGATACCGAGCAGTTTGATCGATTGCAGCCGCGTCGTTAATCTGAGGGAATGGCTTGCCCTTGGGCACCTCCTTACCAAGTGCCTTACACAGCGGCTCCCATCCATCTTTGACATTATAGAACACCAAGCGATCCTCGGGCACCACCTCTTTCAACCAAGCAATGTGCTTCTCATATGTCGCGCGATCGAAAGTCGTGGTCCCATATAGCTTGAACCACTGCTTCTCCAACACGCTAATATAATCCACGAAATGTCGCATGCCTTTCAAAGGAAGAAGAACTCCGCGTAGGAACCATAGAAGCGATATATGCTGGATCTGGGATATAGATTGCCCCCAAGAGTCTGGGTCGCGGGTTGTGCAGATGATCTTGGCATCTGGGTGCATTTCTAGCAATTCTTCGAAGAGCTGAGAGCAAGGAGCATCGGTGACAGCGACGAACCCGTCAAGTCGGTGCCTCATGAGATTCATCATCGTGGGTCTGTCTGCCTCCTTCCCGTGTACCCAATATTGCAGAATCAGGATCCAGGATTTGATCTCGGTAGGAGGACCCATGGCTGTTTGTGTTCCACCATGGTAGACTGGTCCATCTAAAAGGATCTCCAATGCAGCACTGAATGATGCTGTCCCAGTACGCGGCAGGCCGGCGCCGATTACTTGAAGGCGCGCCCCTGGTTGGGGGACGGATGCTTTTTGGCCCATAGTTATCGCAGTAGCTTAAGAGGATGAACGAGTGCTATATCTGGTGGTTAGAGAAGAGAAAAGAAGAGGTAAGCCCAGCTGATGTCACGGGTTTGGCACCAAGCTGAGTTAGGGTTGGCGCGTCGTGAAGCGGTGCGCCTGATTTTGTGGTTTGGCCCCCAACTGTGGCCAGACGGATGAATGTCCCAACAGGTACCCAATAGATATATTTTCTATTGCTAGCCTATACTGAAGTTACGTTTGAGGTACCTGGCAAGCTAGCTATTTATATCCATATGGAGTTGTTGAAGGACATTGGTGTATCACAAATATCACCCTATTTTATACTTTTGTTTGGAGCATGTCAGAAATTAGCGGTAAAGACATCCCCAGCCTGCGTATCTCGATGAGAAGTTCTCGGTGTTATCTATATGAACCGGAAAAAAGTTGGTATCAACATTCTCGAAGCCGAGGCTACATCAAATGATCTTTCGGTATTTCCGCTTCCTGAATCAGTTACATGCATACGCATTGCTCCTGCCACGGGATAGTAGGAGACTTGTAGATCTCTTTCCCCAGCTGGTTTCCACACACTGGACAGCTATTGGTCTGCACAGGGGGGCAGAATCGGCATATGTCAAAATACTCACACGTATAGTACTCTTCTTTATCGGAAATGGCTCCTAGGCAAAGATCACAAGATCGAGAGCCTGTTTGTTTCGTGGATAAGGACTCCGCACCTGGTTCCGCACTTGGTACCAGGACTGATTCCACCCTTTCACCTTCGCCACGAAGGAGCTGGTTGATCTCATGTAGTTCCCTCTTCTGGGCCTCGAGGGCAGGAGTGAGCCCCCAGATGTCGGGACGGCACTTGTCAACGCCGGGTACGCCGAGAAGCAGTTGAACCATGTCAAAACGACCTCCGCAGACAGCATTAAACAGTGGTGTTCGTCCATATCGATCTTGGGTATCTGGGTTTGCTCCAGCCGAGAGCAAAAGTTTTGCTATCGACGTGTTTCCGCCAGCACTCGCCATGTGCAATGCAGTTCGCTGATGCACATTAAATTCATCGAGTTTGCTATTTTGCTCAAGCAACGCCCTTAAAGCCACATTATGGCCGCCCTCGGTGGCTGTGGAAGGTAATTGTTGGGCCCCGGAGGTTGGGGAGTTGGGATTGGCACCCCTGCTCAAGAGAAGCCTTGACACAGTCCCATGCCCTTTCAAGGAAGACCAAAACAATGGAGTGTAGCCAGATTTATCAAAGACATCGACTTCGGTCGTCTTGTCCAAGAGCATGGTAACTATAGCCTCATTGCCTGTTTTGGCTGCGAAATGCAATGGCGTTCGCCTGCTTCGACTCATCGGAGCAACGCTGGCTCCCCGATCTAGAAGCATTCGGACAATATTTACCCTCTCTTTACTGACAGCCAAGAGTAATGGCGTTATGCTGACGCTGATTTTGGCTTCGAGGTTGGCCCCATAGTCCAATAAAAGCCTCGTTAGTGTCTCCCATCCTTTTTCTGCAGTCCGATGCAGCGCAGTTTCTCCGTCCTTAGTCTTGGCTTCAGTGTTGGCACCCTTGCTCAGGAGAAGCCTGAATGTGGCATCGTGATTTTCCTGGTTAACCAATGCATAGAGAAAATAATCCGCAACCTTGAGTAGTGGCGTTTCCCCTTGATTGTTGGCTATGTCAATGCTTACACCCTTCTCCAAGAATAGCTTGACCACTTCCAGCTGGCCGTTCAATGATGCGTCATGTAACGGGACTTCACCGTCCTTGGTCTTGCTTAACGGGTTGGCGCCCCTACTTAGAAGCGCCTTGACGTTTTTCACACTACCATCCATTGAAGCCGCATGTAATGCAGTCCTATCACCATCGTTCCTAGAGTCGACATTGGCGCCTCTATCCAGGAGTAGCGTGATCACGATGTCATGGCCATTGCCTGCGGCAACGTATAATGGAGTCTCGCTGCTTGAGTTTCTCATTTCAATGTCGGCGCCCTTGTCCAGGAGTAACTGGACTATCCTCTCATAGCCTTGGTTTGCAGCCGCATACAATGGTGATTTTCCATCCGTGTCTAGGAGATCAACCTCGGCGCCCATATTCAGAAGCAACTTGGCCATTGATTCATGCCCGTGACTTGCAGCCAGGAACAAGGGTGTCTGTTTCCTCGAGTCTTGAATGTTCACATTGCCTGGGTTTATCACAAGAAGCTCTTGCATCAGTTGCTCCAGGTTAAAATAGGCAGCAATATGTTCCGCCTTTATATCGCTCGTTTTCGGCTCAGGTTTCCAATTCGAAGTCTCAAAACCGCAGCGGTCATATCCAGCTAATTTGGCTTTGCTCTGAATAAAATTTAGGAGGATCGACCGGTCCCCAGGCGCTTCACGGAAATGATGTCCCCAATTCAGAGATGAATAATTGTAGAATGGGTATTCGTTTGGAATGTTCTTAACCTCTTCTTTGTCTTCAAATCGATCATCCTCAAATACGTTGTATGACATGTATGTCAAACAACTGTCCGTGATATGGTCAAGAATCTCGGGGAACCAGCTCTTTAGGGCTCTTTCAAAGTGATTTTGGGTGGTGTAGTGGACAAGCTTCACTTCGGTCGTTTGCTCGTCGACAAGAACTAAACCACAGCAATACGAAGTCAATTGCTCGATGTCGGTAATATTGGTCTCGTCAAATTCGGAGCTCTCAAGCTCGATTGCCAGCGCGTGTTCAAGCTCGGCGACAGTTAGGTTTCTTTTGGCGTGTATAATCCATCCGATGGTTTTCTTTGCAAGGCCCGAAGCATTCGCCCCTTGACGCTCGATTCTGCTCATGGTCTCACTATAGGCATGATCATAAGCGTTGGACTGAGAACCAGTGCGGAACTGTTCTAGCATTCTTCGAATCCCCTTTTCGTTCGATTCATCCAAGAGAAGATTGAAATAAAGCCGAGCAAGAAGAAACCTAAGGCAAATTAGAAGCTCTCCATTTCCACTACTACGACGGATAGATTCGTACATATCTTTGGCTGCTTCGGTGATACTGTCCTTGATCGACTGTTGCAATTTCTCTCTTTTTCGGACAAAAGACGGAAGATCAGATAGACGAAAGTCTACATAGTACTGGATGTCTTCACTGCTTGCCTGTATCTCCACGGAAGCAGCACCCTCAAAATGAGCTGCGATTTCCTGGTCCTGTCGAGAAGTCGCGAGAAGATTAAAACCCGCTTCGTTCTGCAAACGCACGAGCTCACGAAGAAATGAATGGCGAACACTACTACCGTTACCATCAGAAACTGGGCATTCGTCAAGGGCATCGATCACGACAAAAGCTCTTGCGCACGAAGTGAAGATAGATCGTAATTCATCGAGAATCGCTTCCTCTGAAGGACTGGCTGATTTTGTCGAGTATTTTTGGTAAAATGATTTGACACTCTCGGGTATCGAAGGTTTTCGTTGTACGGCTTGTCTCAGAAGAGCCGAGTAGAGCTCAGTAAGTGTTTGTTGTTGCCTATAATCGCAGAAGAGATATGCGATTACAACGTCCTCTTGGTCGGGGAACATTTGCTCTAGATGATCAATGATGATGGATGATAGGACTGTCTTTCCAGAGCCCGGGATTCCAGGACAGAACAGAATCTGCTCTTGACTGCCGATCCATCGCTGAAAGTCCTCTGTTTTCAGCAGCCACATCCCAGTCCCCTTCTGATGAGAATTGAATACTTCGCTTTGCCGTAATGAAGGGCTTACTGGACTCAGCCAAGAGAGGATCTTGTCTCGTTCATGATCCTCTTGTCTTTGGTTAAGTATTTGGATTCCTTGCCTAAACATCCATGATTGTATATTAGAAACAAAGAAGTCTGACTGGACTAGCTGAAAGGGAAAGGTTAGATAGAAATGACATACTGGTTGGCATTGCCTACAATGAGATTCAGCAGGGAAATATTCGAAATGATTCGAGATCGAAAATTGCTGATCTCTGCTTGGTCCCATCGGGTCCTTTTCCACGCCTGGCGCACTCGGCCTTTCCAGTCCGGAGTTGAGTCATTCGCCAAAACATGGAATTTTGATAGCCTAGAGTTAAGATCCTGGAGAATGTTGTCACAGCTCTGGATGACTTGGTTCATGTCATTTTTCTGTTGATCGTCGAACTCGTTTTCATCAAGGCCGTCGATGCGATTAAGTGCAAAAACAAGAGACTCAACCCTGCCATGAGTCATGAACATGTAACTCAAAGACCCGAGATTTCAACACATACTCTTCTGTGATGGCTTTGTACTCTCTCGGTGCTTGCGCAAAGCGACCTCGCAAGTCATTTGCTAGGCTTAAGACCGCCAGGAAATCACCGACACTGAAGCCAAAGCTCATGGTGTCACAAGGAATATAGGGTCTACTGCAGAGACGAGGGAGCGGATAGTAGAAAGAATGATCAGGGAGAGAGGATTTGGCAACTGTGGACACAAACATCCCACCACCCACTAGAAAGTGGGGTCGGCTGGGAAGATTTGAACATCACGATCACCCTAGGCAGCACCTAAAGAATCCTGCTAAGTCTACTTTACCCATTTGTGCCAGAGCAAAAATAGTATTGATCATATAGACGGCCTGGTATACCTGCAATTGCATCGGGGAGACTGTACTACACTGACGCAGACTGTTTGGGGTGAGGCGAATCCAAAAGTCTTAAAGGTAAAAACTTCTAGCATGTGCATAGATCTGTGTACATGCAGACAATATATCACAAAATTCAGGCACCAAATCTAGGGCGAAATATGTGCATATATATCATAACTTCATTAACCAAATATGTCATGTATCAAGCAGGTGTATATTGACACCGCGAGGAGCACGGCAAACCTTTCGCGCATCCTCAGACATGGTCGTCCAAATAATCTGCCTGACCTCCTTCCCAACCTGCTCAATCGCATCCATAGCCCAAAGGACATCGAGATGCTCATACTCAGCAATGACCTTGGAGTGGACAACACGCACATGGGGTTCTCTTCCGCTTGAAAAACGACGCAAGAGTCGATGACCATCAACCAAAGCATCCGAGCCGCCAACCCACAGTGCAAACGGTGGAGTCTGTGGGCCAAACCAAGCAGTATCTCCTCGGCGAGCAAGACATGCATCCTGGGGATCATCGCCATGCTCGCGGGCCGTTTCTCCAGCGAGTTGATGCTGCCGGTCTTCCATCGTCTCGCTGAGACTTTCCTCGCGTGTGGAGAGAATGCACTTATGCTTCGCGAAGCATTCACTTCCTAGCCACCAGCGCATGGACTCAGCGCTCACGTATACGGGAGCAAATTGGAACATGCGGTTGCGCAGATCACGTTCCCAACGCGCGTCGGACCAGCCGAAGAGAAATGAAAATACCCAGTATGCGATAGCCCCATAGGCCTTTGGGGGAAGAAGGCGGCGCGCCGTCATCATGAACGGGATGAAAGAGTGAATGCCAAAGAAGACACGGAACATTCCTGGGGAAAGGATCCGCATAAAACAGAAATATGGTTTGCTAACCAATGGACCAGCATAGGCTGCTGGTGCAAGCGCGCAAAATACTGAGATGCGGTCACCAAGTTCCGGGCGATGCTCCTTGGCTAGCGCCACGAATGTTTCAGTGGTGCCTTGTGAATGGCACACAAGTCCAAGTTTCTCGAATCCAGTTTCGTATAGAACGCGTGACGTGAGTGCGGTAAGATCAAGAGTGCCGAGATGTCGGATATCCCAAGACCACATGCGAGGATCGGAGGGGGATAGAGAGGTGTGTTCTGGTTCAAGCCCACAGCGGTTGTTGCCCAGCCAGACATCATACCCTGACTTGCAGAGATAAAACGCTAGACTGTCTTCGTCATTGGTGCAGTATGCGCCGGCGCACTGGAGCAGCCCATGAATCATAAGAACGGGGTATCGACGATTGGACTGGGGACTGGATGATTCGTCTCTGGGTTGTGTAAAAACGGCCGATCCACGCTCACGCCTGTCTTCCTCCGACAGGGCCGTGTATTCCTGTGGATTGTACACATGCCACAGGGTAATTATGAAGCCATCCTCTGTCTGAACTCGAAAGGTCTCAACATCCAAACCGACTCGTCGCGCATAGTACGCGACGTCGCAAACGATGGGGTCCTTCCCGCCTTCCAGCGGAGGACACTCATCAGAGCCCAGTTCCTCATCTCTATCACTCTTTTGCTGGCTTAGATGCCATCTGCGATCTGCCTCGGCTCTTGCTGATCTTCGGGCTTGTTCCTCTGCATAGAATGCCCTTTCTGTATCCGGGTGATGGTTATGCATCCGATGCCAAATATCGGAAAGTGCGGTAATAAAGGTTGTGACCAAGGCTCCAACGAAAATCACTGTTAGGAACGAGAGCGACAGAACAAAAGAAATGGCGACGAGCGTGTAGTCACGCAGCCTGCTGAGCGCGGTGGGTGCACCGTATGAGGGCAAAGCTGGAAATAGCGGATGTCTGAATGGCTCGTCCTGCTTTTCAATTATCGGGTTGCGGTCCTTCCAAACTGTAGTGGAGGATACATCGTTGGTCTTGATCACCGCGTCCGGCGGAATAGCTGGGATGGGCGGGTCGAAGGGAACAGTGACCGACATGGTCGCACGGTCAGAGAAAGGGCAAGGGATGAAAACCCCTGCTGCATCTTGGAGCTCGAATGAGGTCCGAAAGGCCAGGATGTTTGCAGTCAAATGATCGGGAACCGGGTTTCCCCCTTCACATGCCGAGAAGAGAGTCACGTGTTCAGGAACCAGACACGTGACAGGTACATGATCATATCCACCGTCTCGGCAGCTGCTCGAGATGCTCATTAGAGCTGCCCTTATAGGCTCGATCTTGGCGCACCGCACACGCACTCGTCGTCCTCTTCGAAACGGCGAACATATCTCGCTTTACCTGAAACAATTGTTAGATTGATAGGAATAAACTCAGATAATTGAGCAATAAATATAAAGCAAAGCGAGAACAATGATAGATCCAGAACAGAACTACAGACCCAAAATCGAAAATAGATCAGTGAAACAAGATTGTTCAACTCGACCACCAAGCACCCGTACCCATCAAGCCCCTCTTATATCTCCTCAGTTTTTCAGAGAGACCACCACCTTCCTTGCAGATACCCCGGTCTTTTGATAGTCCATGGCATCTTGAATACCCTCCAGTCCATTGGCCACCACCATTGGCTCGGGAGACGCCTGGAATTTGCCCGTTTTCAGTGCATGAGGAAGATAATCCGCAAAGATCGACTTGCCGATCCCATTCTCGATCAGAGTCGTGGCGAAGATAAGGTTATAGTTGACGCCCATGGTTTTAGATTTGAACCAATAGACGAAACTCCGGGTGATGAACGTAAACATGGTTTGAAGGACCTGAAAATGCTTAGGAGGAGTCACAGGAACTGGATAGGCGGCCAAGGAAACGAATTTCTTTCCGCTGCAACGGTTGAGAATATCCATGCAACGCTCTGTTCCAGCTGAAGCCATCGTAATTGCGCCAGCTGACGTCTTCCCCTGAAAGGCCTTCACAATATCATCGACGACAGTTCTGCTATTGTAGTCGAAAGCCTTGACTGCTCCAAGTTTTTGACATAGTCGAAATTCTTAGGCGATGCCGTGGCAAAAACTTCGTAACCAGCGGCCACAGCGAGCTGAATAGCACAACTCCCCACACTGGTGGAACCGCCCCAGATTAGCAAGGTTTCGCCCTTGAGCTTGGGACTTGCCGAAGGGAGTTGAAGTCCAAGCTGGTCCGCCTGGAAGAGGCCACAGGCGGCCGTAGCCACAGCCAGAGGAATTACAGCCGCATTTTCATAGGGCAAGGAGTCCGGGATTGGTGAAACCATGTGGTCCAATAGAACCACATAGAGCTGGAAAGCGCCTTCGGCATCCCGATTGCGAATCTCAGCCTTCCCAACCGCTTGACCGACCACGCGGTCTCCCACTTTGAAGCGTGTCACCTGGGGTCCAACCTCGACCACCTCGCCAGCCACATCAGACCCCAGAATACAAGGGTATTCGATCCATTTGTACATCATAGCTGTTCCCATGTCTTGTATCCTCCAGTCGATTGGATTGATTGCTGTGGCGTAATTGCGGATCACGATTTCTGCTTCGCGCGGCCTGGTGTATGGAGCCGATTTGACTTGCAGAGGACGAGCCTTGTTTGAAGTTAGCCATGCTGCGGAGTTTTTGAACATGGTGCAAGCTTTTGTATCAAGACAGGTGTAGAGTCAAGGTTTGAGATGTTGGTACAAGACAAAGGTGCTGCGAAGTTATCACAGACAGTGAAGGATAATTGGAAATAGATTGGAAATTGAAGAGGCCGTGGCTGAATGATTTTATATCTCAGATTCGAGACGGCCTCTTTGCTTTAACTCCGTTAATCGTGCCGGTGGAACATATAGTTCCACCGATCCTCCGCACCACGATCCGCGTTAGGTTTAGCGCGGGAAATATGCACCTTTTGCAGCCCGCTAGTGGCTTCGGCAATCATGTGACCTGTGCTCGCTGCTGGTAGCACAAATCAGACTCCTTCACCTTCTCAACTCCCGCGAATTCCCCTAGTTTCCCCGTATCTCTTGCAAAGTGAGAGGGTGATGGCTTTGAATAGTGCTGCTACAAAAGACTTGATTGCCAGTTGCTACAGAAATAAGGCAATTTCTAGAAAGACCTGGTACAGTACCATACCAACAACTCTCGGAGTCTTCGGGTACATCAAATTGATTGTAGAATAGCGCAGAGCACAGGGAAGAAGTGCGCAACCAACAGATAAACTACTGCTTTAGAATAGCGGATATTCTATGATTACTCTTAGCGCAATTGTCTCAAGATCACAGCTGGGGACAAAATTAGAACTTACCTTCGAATGCCCTCCCTCAAGGTATCTTCGTCAACACAGAATATAAGCCGAAACCTCCCGGGTTCCTGGGCATGATACTCTTCTCCTGTGGACATAATGACACCTGCGGATTTCAAACGCCCCGAAAGACGTTTTTCAGCAGTCCAACCACCCTCATGAGCATCTTCCATACCAAGATGCGCGCTCAGATCAAGCCATACAAAGAATCCTGCATTCCTGGTGAAATAATTCGAAGTCAGCTTATGAGAGCCTTCAAAAGCACCACACTGGCACAGTTCTCGTACCCTTCATCGTAAAAACGAATACCCGCCTGGCTAAGGAGATCTTCTGCTAACAAGCGGTTCCTGAGAAGGAGTCTATGAGAAGTGTGTAGGAACTTTTCGACGAATTCTTGGTTATCAAGGATTCTTGTTGCCAAGTCCATAGAGAACTGAGAAGGCGAGGAAAATCGACTAGAGATGTATTTGCAATTAGTACGTAGTCCAAAGAAATTGGATTTATTGTATGAGAGACTCACCAAATAGCTCGTGTCGCTTTAATAAATTCTGGATTTTGGGATACTACACAGCCTAGTCGCATTCCACTTGCACCGAAGTCCTGATTCTTGGGCATTAGTCCCATTATTCATCCTAGATATATCATGGTCGCTTAGCTTTACCTTTGACAGTCCATAAAGAATATGAACTTGTGTTGGGTTGATGATATCGGTGAAATCAATCGAGCGAACGGAGGTGAACTTTTCCGACGGACGGTCATACCGATTATAGACCGAAAGAGCATATATTTCGTCGCTGATTAGATGGATTCCTTTTGAAGCACATATACGAAGGAGCATAATCAAAGTCTCCCGGGGATAACAGCGTCCAAGCGGATTGTGTGGGTTGCATATTATTAAGGCTTTGATATTCGTTCCCCGCGCTCTCGCCGCTTCGAATTCTGCATCTAGAGCAGCGATACATTCAGGCGAAAATTGATCCGCGTCTCCAACAGATATATACTCCAGGTGAATCCTTCGAAAATAAAAGGTTAACGCAAACTTTAGATATCGCCAGATCCCTCCTCACCTAGTCCTGGTGCTAAGATCTCGGTTGAAAGCCCCATATACAGGGCTGACCAACATGATAGCGTCACCTGGATCACAAAAGATAAGGGCGCAGGCTTCATTCAGGCTTGTTACCCCAGCAGCGAAAGTAATCTCCTCAGCATCAATCGCCTGCGCTGGCCTAAAATGAGCGTTTAGGTGTTTCGCCATCGCCGATCGCAGCTTTAGAGTTCCTGTGTAGCCTTCACCGTATGAACAGCATTGCTTGTCAAAGCTCTTTTCGTTGTTATCCATAGAAATCCTCAACAGGTTTCTGTTCCCAGGTGCCATACCTGTTTATTAATGTAATCAGCCAGATCATCGTGCACCAGCCACTGTCTTCCTCATCAGCGACTGGGTGTGTCAAACGAGATATCTCGGTCATTAATTTACATTCTCAGCATTTGCGAAGCTCACAACGCCATTAGGATTATTGGAGCTGTTGTATACGTCCTGTTTTCCATGGGCGAAGTCGATCTTCGCCCAGGTTGACCCCCTCGTTGACAACATATCAGGCAGTGGTTTTATTACACTTTCACTGAAACGTTTTGCGTATATGAAGCTTGATCGAGAACAAGATGGGGAGCGGAGTTTGGAAGTCAAGAAGGGAATCAAGCGAAGGTGGGGGTGGAAGCTGAGAGTGGTTATAAATAAACCGGTTTAACTAGCCCCGAACATTCGACTACAACTAGCGGCGAATCAGAAATATCAATTCCGCTCGTTGCGGGACTCTCTGCCAGGTTTCGAGGCCTGGACTTCGCCCCAGTGTGAAAGCGCCCCATTACCTATGGAAATTACTTGGAATTACGATCGGACCGACTCTCCTCTCCGAGTTCCGATGGAGAGCAAAATGCCCCCTGCTATGTCGTGATGCCTTACTTGCAAAAAGATTCAAGTTAGCTTGACAGATACAGAAGCTGGACTCTCATCGCCCCAGCTGTTCATTTTGCACACAACCAACTCCTATAGATTTGGATGTATAATTCTATAGCTGACATATATTTGATAAATACATAAGACAAAGAATTGGCCAAAGAAAAGAAAACCGAATATTCAAACGTCCATCTTATTAGGCACGCTTTCCACATGATCCGCTCGCTCTTCACGCTTCTCATTAGCCTCGGCCTCAAACTGCGCCAGACTACCACGCTTAGACTCGTCTGCAACATCCCTTACATCTGTGTAGTGAACGGAGGGCAAAAAGTCCGGCGACTTCCATGCCAGCTCGATCTTAGAGTACAACTCGTCGACCTGCTCAAGACTGAGACCCTTAGTCTCATAGATGCAAGTGTAGACGAAAACTGCGGCGAGGAAGCAGAAGCCACCCCAGATGAAAAACACCTTGGACTGCAGATTGGCATTGCCGGGTCCGCTGTTCACCATATACGGCGTAGCGTAGGCAATCGCCCAGTTGAGCAGCCAGTTCGTCGCGGTTGTGATGGAGAGACATCTTGCGCGCGCTTTCAGAGGGAATAGCTCGCCCGTCACGACCCAGGCGACGGGACCCCAGGAGCTAGCGAAGAAGAAGATGTAGATGCATACGAAGGCGATTAGGATCTTGTTGGCGACAGTCGAGCTGGCTGCCGTGCCGACGATGGCGACGATTAGCTGCGAGACACACATGCCTACCGCACCGAAGAGAAGGAGGGGGCGGCGGCCCCATTTCTCGACCATGTACAGGCCTGGGAAGGTTGAAATCACGTTGATGATATTGGTCACTAGGGTGATGACGAAGGAATTTTGGATGCCTGAGTTCTGGAAGAAGGTGGTGCCATAGTAGACTGGAGAAGGAATTAGTAATGATAGATGGTGGTGGGTTGTTAGGACAGAACGAGGAAGCACGTACAGATGAAGTTGACACCAGCGAGCTGCTGCAGCGCCTGCACTGCACAGCCAGTAGCCAGACGCTTTCCAATAGTACCCCGGAGAATTTCAAGGTATGTAGCCTTGCCTTGACGCAGCTCGAATTCATGGTTCGCCTGGATCTCAGACAGCTCCTCGATGATGGCGGGATCGTTGACGTCGATGCGACGTAGACGAGCAAGAGACTTGACGGCATCTTCGTGTCTATCTCTCTTGATCAAGAAGCGCGGAGTCTCTGGCAGAGCTAGCATTCCAACAACGAGGATGATAGCCCATGCAAACTGGACGGCCACGGGAATTCGATAGCAGCCCGTATCCATACGGTTCTTGGTAGAATTGTTGACGATAGCTGCCAGGAGTAGACCGAATGTGATGGCCAGCTGATAGGCTCCAACAATAGTACCGCGGATCCATTTGGGTGCAGTCTCGGATTGATACAGAGGAACTGTACATATGTTAGTATCCAATATGAATTTGTGAGTTGAAATTGACATACTAGTTGCAGAAAGCAGACCAACACCAAGCCCTGCAAAGAATCTGCCTGCCACGAACAACGGAATAGAAGTAGACGCAGTCTGAAGAATAACACCAAAAGTGAAGACACCAGTATCCATAATCATGCCGAGCCGCCGACCAAAGGTGTCCGCCATGGGCGCCGCAGCCAGGGCGCCGAAAAAAGTACCCGCAGACAAAAGGGAGACAATCATTGAAGACTGTGAGGAGGTCACATCGGGCCAGTGGTCCTTAGGGTTGATGTATCCCGTGGAGAAAAGCTGCCGCCAGTATTTCATGGCGAGGATTCCGCTGATTGTTCCGGTGTCATATCTGATATGAAAGAGTTAAAGGGGGTTTCAAGAGCTAATGATGTATGCGCCAGACATACCCAAAAAGAACACCACCAAAGGCCACAAAAAGACCAATGATGATAGCCGGGGCAGCGGAGCCCACGGCATCCTCAGGCTTCTTCAACGCGAAGCCCATGACGAAGGGAAGAGAAAGATAGAGATATAAAACTGCACTGCAGATCTAGGAATGAACATAGACGTATGGGTATGTCAAGAGAAAGATGGTTTAGTACAGAGAATGGAAGATCAAGAAAGAGAAGAATAAACACCGATTGGCAATCATCACTGGAGGGGGAACAGACGATCCTTTTGTATTTGCCGCTCGCAGGTGAAACCACGAGGCCAGAGACTGGGGGAGGGGACCCATGTGCGACCGGATTCAGAAATTGGCTGTCAATCCGCACTCGTATGTGCCATCGCCTCCCTGATTTTGCGTCTTGCGCCCTGGAGTTAATTAGGGTTTGGCTGATGTTGACGGCGCAACAAGTGGAACCCGGAAGGACGAATGGATGGCTTGAATTCAGAGCGATCAATAGTGTAACTGGCACACTACTTCGTTGTCTAACCAGGCAGAGGTTGATTTTTCGGATTCTGTTCAGGGCCGCCAGGCCCATCGTACTGGTCGATCGGGATGGCCATCACACGTGGTGGGTTGATCAAGCTGTTTGCAGAAGCTGTCGGTTGATCAGAAGACCCCGATATACAATCCTATTGTCTATCACGCGACTGGACAAGATACCCGGAATCGGGGTCGGGTTGGCCGTCACCAGTGATGCGGCTGTAATCGGCAAGCCGCATCGGGAAGACCACAACACCTCACCCCTTGTGACGAGAACTACAAGAACCACCCAGTGGCGGAGTCACAACAGCATCTCTTAAAGCAGTGACCGACCAGAAAAATCGCATGCTGAAAGAAGGATCCTCCAGCGCCACCATGTATCATGAACCCTGAAACGGAACAACCACAAGGAAAAAACGGATACTGTACTTCGTCTCCGGATTTTCGCTCTCCACACTAATAAGTTTACCCCGAACGTAAAAATCTGGAGCGTTGGCTGAAACATCGAGATGTTGTCACTATCCCCACAAGAAACGCAGTTCACCGAATTCGTATCTTCACCGGAGCCACATTCAGAAATAGAAGGGTCGATTCACTATTCCCAAGGTCCTAGCAGTCCCTGAGCGTTGATCAAAGTTTCAAAGTTTATAGACGGGATCCACCACGATGCAGACAGGGTTGCGCCCCTTTCCGTCTGCCATGAGCGAGAGAGCTTGGAGAACATGGTTGCGCACTTTCCCACATACCTAACTATCCACAATGACGGATGTGCCTGTCACCGTAATCCATATCCAGCCAGTTAAATGGTGTAAAAACGTCCGTCCAAATCCAAACAGCCACACAGCCTAATCAAAGTTAATATTGATCTGCCTGTGCGGGATTTTGCCGGGGTGGGGATTGGACGGGTTGCCCGACACCGTGCCGAAAATTGACCGGGTCGGTGAATCGCCGGAGGATCACCGGCAGGATGCGCGCATTGGGGCGCAGGGACAAGGACATGGTTGGGGGCTAATGGCTCAAAATCCAGCGGGAGTATGTAACGACTCCAGGGGGACCTCAGGGGCCAAGTTTTGGCCGTCAACATAAAGGAAAAGTGATGGAAGCGTGAAAATGAAATGAATATCTATATTGTCTATACTCGCTAACCCAAGCAAGCCAATTACCAGCGCCAAATCAAAAAGAAATACACAACAAGAACCACCCGCGCCACGCCCCTGACGGAACGCAACATCTCCCTTCCGATCAGGATCGCAGCGGGCCTGATTCCTAGCTTGGAGGAAGATGGCCGGAAAGGCACCTTCTCCTTTGCATCGGCCGAATAGCCAGCATCATCGCGGTCTAAAACCGGATAATAAGCGTCAGAGTAAGATGCTTTACCAGGATACCGAGTGACAGCTGTTGGACCGCCACGGCTGGCGAGACCGCCGCCTGGCGACGGCAAGGTGGAGCTGGACATACCGGAGGAGTGGTACTGTTGAGGATAAGGGCGTCGCTCAGAGAGAGGGAGGACGGAGCCGTTCGAGGGGGGTGGAATGGAGACATATGTGACACGGTAGACGGAGTGTAGGAAAAGAGTAAGGAGGGTGAGGCCGAGGATGCAGCCGTAGTGGATGAAGATGCCTAGTTGGTCGGGGAGAAGGCAGAGATGGTTTTGGATAGTGGGCGATCCGTCTCGAAGCGCCTTGCCTGTCTCTGGGTCAATGGGATTCCAGAGGCTGGTGAGGACAAAGCCTGGTTTCCGAACTCCCATTGCCCAAGACAGGCTTTTGACGGTGATTTCTTTCGGTGAGCCGTTGAACTCGCGATGGGAGACCTCGCAGTAGTCATGGTCGTCGCCCGAATAGACCTGAACGAGGTTCGGGCCTGCTTTGGACACCAACTCATTTGAAATAGTCGAGGTCAGGACATTTTGGTACTGGTACCCGCCCTGGATTTTGAGAGCGTTTGGTTCATCCTCTTCCAGATTCGGCGAGGATGGCGGATAGCGCTCTCGAAGAGGACCACAGGGAGTAGCCGGTTTCCGATAGAGCGGAACATGCGTCAGAAGAATGGTGGGTAGACCAATCCCCGCCGACTGAGGGGTTTCGCGGATAGACGGTTCCGTCGCGTCAACAGCGCGATGATCGAAGCGGACCCCCTCGTCCTGTCCTTGCAACATGCGGAGTTCCCTAGTCTCAGCCTTGGCCTTGTGAGAAGCCGCTTGATCCAAGAACTCATCTGCATCTTTCCAAATTGGACGATCCATCTCTGCCGGATCGCCTTCAATCGTGCCCGAGCTGCCCGTCTTCGGATCAGGCTGATCCATCGCACTGAGGGATACGGTGTCGACAGAGACAAAGGTGTGGTTCCCAATGACATCAACCCGGTTGCTCTCTCCAAAAAAAGTCTCGAAGCGTGCCCGTACTGGTTCTTGAATGCCAGTGCCGAACCCCAGGTCATGATTACCCGGCAGACTAGCGATCATCCTGCGGCCACGGCCATCAGGTGGCGGCGACTCGCCTTTATCCAGCTGGTCCGAGAAAATCTTCCTGAATCGGCCGTATTCTTTCTTCCAAAAGGAATCCTTGATGCCCTTGTACCGTTCCTCTGGGCTCGAGCTCGTAGCTGTTGCCCATTCTCTACCACCGTCAAACAGATCGCCAAGAAAGAGAACCGAGTCCGGTAAAAGACGCTCCTGGATAAGGGAAAATGATCGTCGGAGATATTGGTCGGTGTATTTGACCGTCAAAGTCGAAAGAGGCCACGGGCGCCCGGGGTAAGTGTGAGGATCGACGAGCTGAGGGTCGGAGATGAAAGCGACATGATGAGGCGTAGCATCATGTGGCTGAACGTGAATTGCAATTAGTACGACTCAATCAAACAAGGCATGATTGGACTCACCCATCTCTCCCAGCTGTCCCATGTACATGCTGCCAGGCTTTCCTCGAACACAGTCCGCTCCCCTCGCCACAGAGTGAAGACCCAGAGAATGATCAGGGCATTGACAACCGTGAACAACCCCTTCACCGTTCGCAGCACAGAGGTTTTGATCTCATCCCTGCTCGGGGGCCTGCCCGTCCGCCAAGGAGCTCTCCCTTCCGCCATCCATTGCTTCGCAGCGGGTGGTATTAGGTCTCGGGCGTTGTTCAGGATGTTATGGTAACTGGAGGAGACACGCGGGGTGAACGAGGGTAGTGAGGAAGAGCGTGTGCTGCGTGGATAGGCGTAGCTCATGGTGCTGAACTACCACATCGGTCGAGTTGGAGACGACACGGTTGGAGGGGTGGGTGCTGTGTGAGCCGACCACGGGGCATACTCTGAAGAAAAGAAAACGGGATGGACAAATAAAGGAGTGACTGGAGTATTGTAGAAAGGAGATCACGACATGTTGATCCAGCCTTGACACATTTTATTATCCACAGGGGCAAGGAGGACTATTCTATTCTGGGGCGCATCGATCGACGGGGTCACAGCGTCACGTGTAGATTATGTAATACAGTCTAGATCTGGGAGTATGAGGGGTATAACGATGTGTTATTTTTGCACCTAGAGTGAGTGAATGAGTGAGTGAGTGTGTGTGGGAGAGAGAGAAGTAATAGGGAACGCCGAATGTGCGAAATAAAGATATTATCTATGTTGGTTTCTTCGGGCAGCACTGTCCACCGCGAGCGCAGTTCTCGTCACACTCCAGCAGACACGCCTGGGGATCGCCCTCCCGAACGCTGGCCGCACGGCTGGGCTGGTCATCGGTGGGAGCGCGGGATGACGACGGGCCGGGGTTCTGGCTGTCCTCGGCATCGCTCTCCGGCGCAAACTCCGGCTGGATGGTGGAGGAGTGGATGCCGTAGGCGTGGAGGCATCGGCGCACCTGTTGGGCGAGACGCATGTACCTCTCCGAGCCCTCGCCTTTGATTTCGGTGTCGACTTGGATGTGGATCGACGCCACGATTTTGGTGTCGCTCAATTGCCACACGTGTAGGTGGTGGGAGCCGATGATGCCCGGCAGTCGTTCAATGTCCTCTTTGATATGGTCGATACTCAAGCCGGGCGGCACGGCCTGCAACAGAATACGGGATGCCGCCTTGCACAGCGGGATTGCAGAGGCGAGGATGATGACGGTGATGAAGAGGGAGATGCCGGGATCCACGTAGAATCGCCAGTCGTAGGAGGTCAACCAGATGATCAGAGCAGAAACGATGACTCCAATATTGCCCAGCGCATCACCCATGACATGGAGAAAGACACCGCGCATGTTGAGATCATGACCACCTTTCTTCTGTCCTTTCGGCTTCGGCTGTGCATGGTTGTGGGACTTGTGAAGATCCTCGTCCCCTAGCCGGTCCGCAGGTTTAAAGGGGGCGCCATTCTCGTCGGTGTAGTTGGACGCGCGGTCTTTGTGTCTCAGGAGACCCGACCGTTCAGATGGCGCGTTTTCGTCGTCTTCCTCTCGACCAGTTTCAGACTCCGACGACGATTCATTGTCGAATCGGCCACGGCTGGCCGCAATGATGTCCTGTCGCAGAGTCGCAGGGTGCACATGGATGTCCTGTACATTAGCATATCCCCGGCCCGTGGATGTGCTGTACCTTCGTGCGCCACGGGTCTGGCCCTCTGCCACCCGGCGCCTCCAGGAGGTGGGAGACGTGGGCTCCGTGGCTGGGTGGATCAAGCTATTCCCCGGCACACGTTCTGGGTCGTCCTTGCCCACAAGGTTCTCCGGCATGACGCCTGCTGCGCTGCCGCGCTGATCTGCGACAGCCGGGTCGCTTGCCAGGGGGTCAGCGAAACCCCGCTCAGCGGCATCCGGGTCCTCGTGGCCCGCATGGTCGCCATTATCATGACTGTGGCCATGCCCGTGCGAGTGTTCGTGAAACAAAGCCAGACCGAGAATATTCGAAAGAAGCCCGAAGCAGCCGACGATGCATACGAGCTTGGGATTCTGCACCTCTTGAGGCTCGACCAGTCGCTGGATCGCCTCTAGGAAGATTGACAGGCATAGCGCGATGAGGAACACGCCGTTGACCAACGCACCGAGGGTTTCCGCTCGTTGCCACTATACCCGAAGAACGTCAGCTTGTCCCACACTCGTACCAGGTGGTGGGGCTTACGCCATAGGTGTACTGCTTGGAACTCGTCTCGCGGTTGGCAACTTTGACGGCCCATAATCCCACGCAGAGCGACAAGACATCGTTTAACTGTTTCCCGTCAGAACAGGTTTTGCGTCAGGTGTGTTTTGGTGATAGCGTACCATGTGAAACGAATCGGCGACGAGGGCAAGGGAGTGAACGGTATAGCCTAGAAAAGCGAGACATTAGCACGGCTTGCGACTAGGTGAAGTTCGACAAGACGGACCAGTTATTAGTTCAAGCAGGAAGAAAGCTGAGTCGATGACCAGGAGGATCAAGATCCTGTTGGTCTTGGAGAGGCCCATGGTTACTGCTGGCGCGCTCGGTGGCGCGAGAGGCAGGAGAGAGGCCGCACGAGAAGAATGCGATGAGCAGAACCCAACCCCTGAGAAACAAGCGACGCAGCCGAAGGAAAAACAAATAGGAACAAGGATGGGTTTGGAGGGGTGGATGAGTTGAGTTGGTCCGAAAAAAAGAAGTGACGCACGGGTGGAGTAGGCGGAAGCGCCTCCGGTCGGGACCGGCTGCGTGTGGCGTGACCTGGGCCAGTCAGCTATGTTTTGTACCTATTTCGGTGCGATGCTGCATATCCTATTTGAGGGAGGTCAACCCTCTCGATCCATGATTTGTTTGCCCTCACTGCTCTCACTTGGTTTTCTCTTGGGAACCACAATATTAAATACAATCACCATGTGTCGTTGGGTGAAAGCATGAGCATCGCAAATCTACCTTGACTTGGCTGTCCCACCGGAGCAATGGTATGTCACGATCAAATCTACCATGGGCGGAGTATGTACTAGGCACCGATCTCCGAAGGATATCCTTGGATTTGTATGTATTCGAGATGAACTCTCTCTAGACATGATAGCCAGCTTGAGAGCCTTGGAACCTTCCCCTCCAAACAATCACGCAGTGACCTTCTTCCGGACAGCCAGGATTCGATCGGTCGCCTCGTTGAAAGAATCTCCAGACAGAGTCCCATCATTCAATGCACTGACGAGCGCATCAACTACACTCTCCCCCTGCGTGACATTCCTTGCCGAGGCGAGGATCATGTCCATCCCAGCCTGACTGGCCAGAACTGCCCGTTCTGCGTCAGTGCCAAACGCCTCAAGCGCACCAGCCTCAATGGCGTCGGTAATTGTCACACCCATGAAGCCCAGCCTGCCTCGCAGCTCACCCTGAACCCATTTCTGGCTGAGCCCGGAGGGATATTGAGAATCCAAAGCTGGATATAAAGCCCAGGAGTGCATGACCATGTCCAGGCCTGCCGCAATGGCCTTGGTGAACGGCACCTCGTCTACAGAACGAAGCTCATTGAGCGTCACGTTGAGGGTGACCGGCTCCTCATCGGTGTCTTGGTTGGTGCTAGCAGTCCCAAGACCAGGGAAATGCTTAGCAGTGGCAATGACACCGGCTGACTGCTGAGCGCTTACGAACGCAGTCCCACAGGTTGACACCAAGCTGGATGTGTTGCCGAACGATCGTCCATATTGGTCGTCGAAATCTCCTGCCTGACGATATACATCCAAAACGGGAGCCAGGTTGGTGTTGAGATGGTCCGCTTGAAGAGCGCTAGCGGCATCATTGCCGGCCTGCGTTGCTGCGTCCTGAGGATCGGACGATTGCCCAACTTGTTTGGCAGACATATCAGGTCCGCCGGGCAAGCGACGGACTTCCCCCCTTCTTGGTCGGTCATGATCAGAAGAGGAGTGCCGGCATACGAGGGGCTTTCTTTATACGTGCTTTGGAATTGGTCCACGATTGTCGAGAGATTGCTGCCGACATTTTCTCCGAAGAGGATGATACCTCCCACTTTGCCTTCTTTGATCAGGTCAAAGAGATGAGTCGGAGGCTGGAGACCTGGATACGAGAAGACCACATGGTACCCAACCTGCACTGACACGTCGTCTGAGGGAACTGACTTAGCGCTGTGGGCAGTACAGACTAGAAGCTGAAGGAGAAATTTCGAGGCAGTGCTCCACTTCATTATGACTTGATCTTGGAAAAGAATATGCTGTGCGCAGACTTTGGGATCACCAACGAAACTAGGGATCATTCATTACTTAACTGCTTTAGAATCATGCCGTTCAGGGACACTCTGGGATCGGTCTTGATCTACCCGAGATGATGCAGGGGTCTGTTACATTTGATCGGCAGCCACCTTCTACATTTGGATACAATTTACGAGGTGGCTCGTTTGACATCCTCGGCTATTGCCAGAAGTGACAAAGAGGCGTTCTGATAAGCATTGCAGTTAACTAACTATGGTGATTTGACTTTGTCAACCATAATACGGTGGGCAGTTGCATATACATGCAGATACGGGGCTGTTCGTGGATACAAAAAATGGGGCAAAGCACGCTTGCTTGACCAACAAAGTTCTTTCCACAGCAGCCAAACCATATCACCAGATCAAGTGTATGAATTCGACGACAATTTGCCGTAAACATATTGTCAAGTTCTGGACAGCATACTTCGATTAAGGGGTCTAAATTCAAATCCTGATAAACCAAACTCCAGGCCTCTGAGCCAGAAAATGGGACGTTATGTAATAGAGACAATTACAAAGAGTGATTAACTGCGGGGCATTCAAACTTTCTTCTAGAATCTATCGAATGAAATGGCATGATCGAGCACGGTTGTTGTGGCCATGATGCAAGAGGATAAGTTCAGTGACGCCGGCTTGTGTTTATCATTGACGAGAATCGTGTCGCCACGCTAGTCATCAACCTAAAACGTGGTGAAGATCTTACCGTGCAGAATTCTTGGCTGATAGAAGTTCCAAGGCCAGCATGAACCTTGTACATGTGTACCTGCAGGCCAAGGTTATCTGTCATCTTTATGGATACCTCACTCAAGAAATCTTGCTACTTGGACCTCTAACAGCCTTGCTTGATCCACTTGAAAGCCAGTGGTCTGCTAAAATTGATAACTTCAAGAAATATCAATATTCTATATACTCGAAAGAAGACCCTTGGATTTTAACTCTCGCCACCTTGTTGGCCGTGGGGGCTATTCAACTATCCTAGCAAAGATTTACGCTCGAATACGAGCGATCGATCTTCAGGTTCCGTGATCTGCAGGCAAGGCAATGGCTTCGGTTCTTGAAACTACAGAATATGAAACACGAGGTGATGCTGAAGAAAGATAGGATTGGCTGTATAGCAGTATTGCATTTGCCGCACATCTTGGCAAATTCGGTGCCATCCATCGGTACTCCTTGGGATATAAAGTTGCCGTCGAAATCGACAAGGAAACCCGAAGTTTCTCAACTTATCATTCATCAATCCACTGTCAAAAATCGCCCATAGTCTCTATTGAAGCCTTTCGGATACAATTGTTCAATATGAAGTTCTCCACTTCCGTTCTTGCTCTCTTCGCCGTCGGGGCAACTGCCGTCCCGCATACCAAGATGAAAAGAGCGGCCGTGAACCAAGGCGCTTTAGACCTCATTGCTCATCTTGAAGGCTTTAGAGCCAACTTTTACACCGACAGTGTAGGCGACACTGCCATCGGTAGGTCGTCAATAGCCGGCAACTGAGATAAGCGTACTAACTCTGCTTCTGTAGGTTATGGCCATGACTGCGAAGCCAACCAGGACTGCAGTAGCATCCATGCCCCAATAACAGAGGCCCAAGGCAAGGAGCTGCTTGCACAAGATATCAAAACGTTCGAATCTTGTGTCTGTGACATGGACAATGCGGCCGACCTGAATGCTAACGAGTATGGTGCCCTGGTCAGCTTTGCCTACAACTCGGGCTGTGGTGGTGTGGATACCTATTGGCACACTGCGATGTCAGAGAAGAACTTTGAGGGAATTTGCCAAGCTCTCCCTCACACAAATACTCTAAACGGAGAGCTGGATAGCCGCCGAGCGCAGGAGGGAGCCTTTTGCTCTAAGCCTTCCAACGCAACCTCTGGCTGTTAGAGGAGCCCAGGGGCTCTGTATTTTCTGATTTGCTTTCGATATTGTGATTAAATCTATTCCCGTTCATCTGCAGTAGGTTAGGATCATCCTGCTGAATATGTTTATAGAATATGAATGCTTCAGCCCCCAGTCACCCATATATTTTATCTTTTTAGCATGAAGTAAGGGTTGCGGAATATCTAAAGTCATCTCATTCAGAGAACATGCATCTCTTTCTATCTGAGAGCGAACTTTAGGTACCTGATGGCGTTATGAAGGCCATTTAGTGGCTTCCCCTCTCCGGACCAATTTTCGAATTCCTCCACTCGCGGGGTCCTTACCCCCGCTCTCTTCCTGAAATCAAGTTTGGAATTTGTGTAACGATAGAAAAGAGGTCTTGATGAAGCAAAATCAGATCCTTGGGTTTAGTTCCTTTATATTTGTTTCTTTCGACCACCAACTGCGACAGTTCTAGATGCATCAAGTCGAATTCGATCCGAGCTACCTCCACGCGCTTACCTCCCGCACAGTGATCATCACAGGGGGCGCTGGCGGAATTGGTGCAGCCACTGCAAAAGTGTTCAACGAACATGGCGCCAATGTTGTTATCGCAGATATACCTATCTTCGAAGAGAAGGCCAACGAGATTATCGCCTCTCTTCCCAATCCCTCACAGGCTCTTTTCGTACCTGTGGATATCCTGAATTGGGAAGAAATGACTGCTTTGTTCAAACGCACTATTCAGATGTTTGGCGCTCTTCATGTCGTGGTAGCTAATGCCGGTATTATGGAGTCAGCAGAGGTTTTGAATTTAAACGATGTGGACGGTGATGGAAACCTACGCGAGTCCCAGGAAGCGTTTAAGGTTATTGATGTGAATTTGAAGGGAACTCTGAACAGTAGGTGTAGACAAATCCAACTGGAACATAATAGTAGTACTAATAACGCACTAATACTTTGTCTAGCTTTGCGACTTGCCATGCATCACATGAAAAAAGATTCTCTCAGTGACGATGTGCCACCTTCTATCATATTGGTAGCTTCGACTTCGGGTTAATTTGGAGGAACGGGTGTCTCTGCTTATATTTCCTCGAAGCACGGAGTGATTGGATTGCTACGAGGGTCTCAGCAAGCTGCAAGAAAATACGGTATTTCGGTCAAAGCAGTTGCCCCATTCTTCACTCCCACGCGCATCACTGCTGGCTTTGCGGACAAATGGAAAGAAGCCGGTCTTGAAGAAAACACCCCCGAGATGGTTGGAACTGCAATCGCTCAGTCTGCTATGAACGACACTAAGAGTGGAAGTTGTATTTTGGTATGTCACCAGAGGATCCGTTGCTATAAGACACCTGATCTGATGAAGCAAAGGTTGCAGGAAATTTCCTGAGAGAGTTAGAGTTTACAAGAACAGAAATGATGAGCCAGTGGCTGGGACAGGATGTGGTTGACTTTATGTACAGGGCATTCGGGTTTTTCACAAGCATAGGTGGATACCAGCTGCCAAAAATCAGCAACTAGATAGTCAATATAGCCATCAGCAGAGTCCCAACCGTGCTTCATTATGCATTAGATGAGGATCTTTAAGCCCCCTGCTGACGTCAACAAGTCTCCGAGGACTCTGAAGACATCCGGGATAGTGCACGCTCCTTCGGATTTTCTCTGTCAATGGGCCGATTAAACAAAAACCCAAGTGTCACCACGGCTTTTCCAATGGCGCATAAGAGAAGTGGGAGTGTCGAGCTGATTTCACGTTGTGCAAATGCTCCCACGAAACAACCGGCTGATAGCATGATGATAAACATGAATCGGCGATTTCGTAACCGGTTGCGCAGCTTCATCAACCCTGGGTCGATCACCAGGTCCACAAAAGCTGCCGTTGCCATCGCCGTGGTTATTTCTGTGATTTTCAACGAGCGACTCATAGCCACCTGTCCACCGGCTGAGAAGGCCAGAAGTGCAATTACTGCCAGAGCAGCCGGACCATCTCGTTGAATAGGAAGTGAATATTGAATGCAAACAGCAGCAAAGACGAGAGAGGTTTGGATGATATTGCTGATGAGGATCCATAACCGTCGCCGCACCCCAATATAGTTGCCGATCTGGCCCAATATCAGCCCTCCAGCCACGAACATGGAGAGACTGGCACCGATATTCGGGAAGCTGTATGCGTTGTTTGTGAGACCCGCAACACCAATGGCTAGGAAAAGCGTGTTTCCAGTTTGATTTGACGCAAAACAGGAGTAATCGGGCCAGGCTGCTGCGTCTTGGATGCCTGTTGCAAAGGACAAGAGAAGAAGTTCACACTCCAACAATAGGTCATCTCGGATATCTTCCATCAGAAATTGCCAAATTCGTGTTTTGCGATCCCCATATCTCCGAGATTTGACGAACGCCATCGTATTATTCTGAACTCTTGAGCCTGTGGAGACACATAGACATTAGACGGGCTGAAATGGTTATTGAAACGGACCGGTAGTCAGTGGTGTGGACACTCACTCTGATCCACTGGTAATTAACCAAAAAAAAATCAACGACCTTTATGATAGTGTAATGGTTCCACAATATCAATCTTTGTAGCGTATATAGTTTTGGTATCAATGTGCGGAAACAAGCCTGGGTTGTTCCCCTGCACCGACGAAGATCCCGAAACCTCCGACCAATGTATCTGTCCAATGCTTCTGAAGAGTCGGTCCCTAAACATTATATAGGAGTACGTAAAACAAATATTCCATAATACGTAATCATCTGAGACAGACTTTCAGATCGAGATACATTCCACACTGACGTATTTGCATAGTGATACTGAGGAATGTGGAGCAATTCTGGATTCCGACATCACGGAGAGTAGAGATCAACCAAGTGTCTTCTGGGTGAAGACGCGTTGATTCTTGGCTTCCGTAACTTCACTTCCCCTAATGTCCGGGGCCGGGGAAAACAAAATTTATGTAGGAAGATCTGCTAACCTTGAATGCATTCCGCGTATATCAGTTTCCACGTTGGGGATCTTTGATCCCATAGGCCGCGCCATGCCAAGAACCTGGACATGGTGTTTATTGCAAAAGTTCATCTCAAATCAGGGTTTAGCATGCTTGCATTTCATGTGGCCCTTATTAGCATTGCTATCCACATGGAAGGGATCGTTTTATTTGATAAGTGGCGTCTGTGTACCGAATATCGGCTGCAACCTTTGTATAACAAAATGGGAAAGTTGTTGAATGACACAATCATAATTATTAAGCGCAAATCTTTCCACTAACTAACGTTACCTTGTGTTCCAGAGTGGCTATATCGAATGGCAGCGAAAGTCGGAGTAGATTAGGTCTCGCCTCGCCAAAGCGCGGAAACAGCTCGACTAAAGAGAGACCCGTAGGACCATAACCTCCCAAGCAGAATCTTTTGCTCTCGGGGGGAATAACACTCAAAGCATAGACCACTCGGCCTAAAAAGTCATGGTATATAGGATGATTTTTTCGGTTCTACAGGGAAATGCTTAATTGTAATCCAACTACAGTAATATACCGTTAATTCAAACGATTATGAGTTGCCGAATTAACGGAGTTTCGAACTCATTTGGGGTGGGTGGCCTGAAAACTCCTAACTTATCACTGAGCTTATGCGCTGCCCAAGTCGAATATATAACTGACGTAGCAACTTTCATGTTTAGATAGTGACTGAATCCTTGCCTGGACATTGACTCTCAACACAAATTGAGAGCACGCTCACCAGAAACGATCGAGTTACATCTGATTTCGTGGATCGCCTCCTGGGCCCACTAACTTGGGGTCGGAACCTAGCGGTCTTGTATATGTGTCCAGTGTGCAACTTTTATTACCTAGTATACCAATTTTCTCAGCCACGTCTGCTCGTCTTCAATTACTAAAGTAGATTTGTTATACGATATTAGAAGATATCATCAAACCGTTCTTAGATCTCAATGTGGCCACCAGAACGCAGAAGTGGGCAGGGATACAGAGCTGAAAATTCATTGGTGTGTGTAAATAACAATGATCGGCCATGCTACAATTGCATGCAATCCGAGGTCATAGAGTGGGGGCTTTCGCCGCCGTGGCCCCCGCTCGTACCTTATAACAACTTATCTTGCGAGAGATCGCCGCCTGCCAAAACGCTTGGAGCCTTACTTGGGGCCGGCGTCCTCTTTGCGCCCCTTTACGTGGTGACCAATTAGATGCCATAGTCAGGTTCGGACTGAGGAACACTGTGAGGAACACTGGCAGCCTTGTCGCAAGTCTGCAACAATGCTTACCCTGTAACTACTAAGTAACATTAACGAGCTGAAGACTGAAGAAGAGGCAGATCTAATGCTTCTAATCTACACCTTCAATTGATCAAGTCATAAAACTGTAGTCATTACTAGCTTACTAGCCTCCACATAGAATTATTTAATCAAGGGGTTTCAGGCCCTCGAGGCTAGTCAGCTCGTAAGAACACATGATAGGGCCATCAAAGAGAAAGTGACCACAATACGCGGATCTATTATAATCGTCGGCTTTAGTGGCAAAATACATCTGAAACTCAACAGGGTTGCTCAGGTCTTAGAGTCTGCCTTATCCGGCCGCTAACTAGTGGCTTTACACAGCACGATCGATCTGCACAGTACCTGCGCAGTACAACGTAGATCGTGTGTTTCAGATAACTGGTTAACGTGCCATTGAAATCTAGCATCCCTTCCTGTACCTGAGCCCAGAATCCGATTGAACTTCAGTAGTTCTCAGTGTGCGAAAATCTCTATGATATGCTTTATTTGCAAATAAGCTGAATGATAATTCTAAATATAACATGATGCCTATCATGATGTAGGCACAGGTTGCCACCAAGCTCTAGTAACTATTTAGTTCTTGATACAAATATAGACCCCTGTCTGGGGGCTGTCGCTGAAGTATCCCTAGTCGAGAATATAAAGTCCGTGGTATTCTCACAAGGTCTTTTCCTTTTGAAAAGCCACCTCAATACCTGGCAAAGATGAAGGTTCCTTTCCAAAAGTTGTTGCCAACGCTGGCGTTGGCTTCCTACGGCAATGCCTGGGTTCTTGACTCAGCATGCGATACTCTTGGTAATGCATTTGCGCCCAGTTATATTGATTCAGTTGGCTGATACTGTATACGCAGGGGCGACCGATGTGGTTACAACTGGCATGAACGATGCTTTCGCACTTGCTCAGGCTGGATTAGACGTATGGAATTCCCTTAACAGCGGGACACATACCCAGGCAGAGCTTGACCTTCTTGAAAATATGTTCGCATGGGCTGTGTCAGACGACAATGGTCAAAAAAAGCGTCAACACCGACCATCCAAATTGGAACTACATCCAAAGTGTCTTCAGCGGCGTGATGGGCTTTGAAACTCTGAAGTCAAGTAAGAAAGGGTTACCCTCTACTGAAGTGATTATATACTGTGATTACTCTCGGTACAAGACGAATAGGAATTGCGAGGGACAGAGGAAACTTGGGTTCGCTTGCGATACAGATAATAATCAGATCGCTAGAATGGGAATGTCTTGGCACGGTTGCAAGAATGTCAAGACATCAGGTATCATGGTAAGTGGTCCTCCTATCTGCCCTGATATTTCAGCTCACTCCCCTGCAAATACTAATAACCAAAAAGGGAATGACTGATCTGAATCTTTTTTCCGCCGCACAAATTGATATCTGCAAAGGCTATCTGGAATTCTTCACCAAGGGCGAGAAAAAGTTTTTGGTGAGATCTGATCTATGGTACCAAAACACACCTTTACTGAACGTTTCTTTCTAGACGTCTTTGAATATTGTCGAGAGGCTTTTTAAGCCCGTGAGCAACTATTTTACTAAAAAGGCGCTATCGACCCCGATCGATGGCCTCGCCTTGTTCGACCACACGATGCTCCATGAGATGACTCATGCTGTGAAGAATCGCGGGGGAGACCAAGATACTGCCACAGATGATAGTGGAGGGATGTTTAAAAGCTATGGTATGCCAATATTGTCTTCATTATTGTCATTGTTTAGAATGCCTCTAATACTTCTTAGGTTGGAAGAATTGTATGACCTTGGGGCAATCCCTATCATCCAACGCAGACGCATATAAGAATGCGGAGAGCTTTGCGTACTTTGGGCTTGGTTAGTCTTTCATTTAACAATATATTGATTTATCATCAACTAACATTGAGATTAGTTGCAAGATTGATGCATCCCCCAGGTGGTCAGCCTGGGAAAACTGCAACCAAGGATGGCAATGTTGTCGATCTCAGCGAATACCAATCGCACAACCAGCAGAATATTGGCTTAGAGGCTCGCAACGAGCTAAGTGGGAATGAACCCAACCCCATGAAGCCCGACCACAAGAAGCCCAACCACAAGAAGCCCGACCACAAGAAGCCCGATCACAAGAAGCCCGATCACAAGAAGCCCGAACCACTTTCTCCTAGTTCCCCTTCAAGCACCATACCCCATCACAACGGGACTAGGAGTATCAGTGGCATACCTGGGCCATCCACCCCCCTTCTACCTACTACGACTTCATCTAAGACGGATTCAACCTCGAAGCAACCGGGCAGTGCTTCACAAGCATCCGGGAGTGGGCAACCTAGTGACCCTTCCAAAACACTTGGAGGTGGACACTCTAGCATTCCATCCCAGACGCTTAGCAGTGCGTCCAATTCATCACCAGACCCGAGCTCAGGTGCGGGAGGCCCAACAGGCTCCTCGTCAACCCCAGGCATCACCTCTGCGCCTAGCACTTCATCACCTAGTGCAATTCCATCAACTGTAAGCTTATACAACCTGTTTATTGTGTACTTTTCTGATTATAATTGGGCTAGGTTATACCTATCACTAGCGGGGACTCAAGCACACAAATCACCTACGTCTCGACTCGCACTAGCTCTGAAGGTGGGCGACCTACCCCAGTGTGGATTTGCACAGGATCCCTTTGCGATCAGGGTAGCAAGTGCATTATCCCGGCCTTTTGTTCGGATGAAAGTGGCAGCGGCGCATCCTGGGGGCTTTGCTGCAGTTGGACTCCAGACCTCCCCTCAGATGGTGGAGGTGGTCCCCCTGCAGGTGGACCTTCGCCAGGACCCGGGGATGGAGGTGACGACAATCCGTCTCATTCTTCAGATTCAGAATCATCTACTAGCAGCGATGGCAGCTCTAGTAGCAGTGACAGTACTACGACCACCACACCAAGCACTAGTGCTAGCAGTACAAGCACTCCCAGCAGTACGAGCACTCCCAGCAGTACGAGCACTCCCAGCAGCACGAGCAACCCCGGCAGTACGAGCACTCCCAGCAGCACGAGCACCCCCGGTAGTACGAGCACTCCCAGCAGCACGAGCACCCCCGGCAGTACGAGCACTCCCAGCAGTACGAGAACTCCTCGCAGCACGAGCACTCCCAGAAGCTCTGTCTCAGCTGCAACGGAAAGTGCAATCTATGACAACTGGAATTGGATGCATGACAGTAACTGGCTGAATGAGCAGCAATCTGCGCTCCATGCGATGCTTTCTGCAACCGGTTCTGCCTCTTCTTCTTCTCGGAGCAGTAGTACTCCTCTCAAAACCAGAACTTCCAGAATTTCCAGGACTTCCAAATCTTTCACAACCAAGCCCAAAGGTTCATCACCGCCAGGGATACCGGGGGGTACTAGTATTCCATACACACCCACTGACCCAGGCACTCCTATCTCGTTCACACCTGAATCAGATACACCGACACCCACACCGAGTGATTATTACTACTATGATCCCTTCTACCCATTCTAGAGCGAGATTGTCGCAGGCAACTTCGGGCTGGTGATGAGGATAATAAACATATATGGTTTTGTATGTGGAATCAACGTCTTTCGTTAGAATGTAATACAAATTGATTTATTTTTTTTTATATTTTTTATGCATAATAGTATTGGTTTTATTTTGAGCCGAGTCTTTTCATTCTCGGGATTTTAGTGGAAGCTCCCGGGAAGCCGGAGGTTTGGTAGAATCACAACTGGACGTCTGACATCATTGACTACCATCATAAAGTGATTGCAAATCTGACCTCACTAAAAAAAAAAAAAAAAGAAAGATCGCGCATACAAACACTATGCACAAATACTCAAAAAACCTCCAATGAGATCGCGCGTGCAGATAACTTTTGCTCTCACATAAATCGACTTGTCTCTTTGTCCCATCTATAGCACCACCGCATCTGGCGTCGACTTTTACGAGACATGTCCTCGGTAGCACCGGCTACTACACGGGAAGTAAACCACCAAGATGAGGGCATTCGGTCAGATGACTGGCCCGAGGATATTAGCCAGCCGTATTCGCGGGAGAGCGATCGAGTACTATTTAGCCAAGATGGGCTGGACACCGGGGTCACGGTGCTAGGTTAGTGGCATGCTTGTTCGTGTTCGCATATGCGCGCAAAATATGTGCTGACCAGCCCTTTTTACATAATGCAGGGGACGGGCGGTTGGACATTCACATCAACGAGCACAAGCCAAGCATCGCGGGATTATTGAACCAGCTTAAGCGCACTCCCTTGCCTTCTGATTTAGAACAAATCCAGGGTGCGGAAGGCACCGAGCCAGCTTCAAAAGAAGATGGGAAGTATTTCCCACTGCAGCTCAACATCGTCATCCAGATCATTGGTTCTCGTGGGGATATCCAACCATTCGTCGCTCTCGGGAAAGAACTGAAAGCTCACGGTCATCGGGTCCGACTTGCAACACATCTTGCGTTCCGAGATTTTGTCAACGAGAGCGACTTGGAGTTTTTTGACATCGGAGGGGATCCGGCTGAATTGATGGCGTTCATGGTAAAGAATCCTGGGCTTATACCCGATTTCAAGACCATTCGCAGCGGTGCCATTCAAAAGCGTCGACGAGAGATGAACCAGATTATCCACGGATGCTGGAAGTCATGCTTCGAGACAGGCGATGGCACACATCTCCATCAGATCAAGGAAGATCCTTGGAGCGACTCAGTGGATTATCGAAGGCGGTCATTTGTTGCGGACGCGATCATCGCCAACCCCCAAGCCTAGCGCATATTCATTGCGCACAACGACTTGGGATTCCTCTCCATATCATGTTTACGTGAGTATTTTCCTTTGATATACGACGGGAATCTCTTCCAGAACAGCGGGCTGACCGAATGAACACAGAATGCCCTGGTCACCGACCCAGTCTTTTCCACACCCTCTAGCTATCGTCCATCACCAAAACTGCAAACCAACTGTTGCAAATTTTGTTTCCTATGCTGTCGTAGACATGATGGTATGGGAAGGCTTGGGAGATTTGATCAACAAGTTCCGCAAAACCGCCCTCTCATTGGACCCTCTAGATACGATCACGGCACCGAGTTTGATCAATCGACTGCAAATCCCGTGTGCATATCTGTGGTAAGAATGTCCGGACGCTTCAAGTCTCAGAGATGGTGATTAATGGTCCGAGTACCACAGGTCCCCAGCATTACTCGGAAAGCCTCCAGATTGGCCAGAGAAAATTGATATCTGTGGCTTCAGCTTTCTTCCTTCCGAATCAGACTATACACCTCCAGCAGAAATCGAGGCCTTTCTCAGAGCAGGACCAGAACCAATATATGTTGGGTTTGGATCTATCGTGGTGGATGACCAAATCAAATTGACCAAGATCGTATTTGAGGCGATCAAAAAAACCGGACAACGAGCCCTGGTCTCAAAAGGCTGGGGAAACCTTGGAATCGACGATGTGGATGTGCCTGACAATATTCTCGTTATCGGTAGTTGTCCCCACGATTGGCTCTTTCGACAGGTGAGCGTCGTGATACATCATGGTGGAGCAGGCACGACAGCCGCGGGACTCGCCCTTGGCAAGCCGACCATCATAATTCCCTTCTTTGGAGACCAGCAGTTTTGGGGGAGTATTGTTGCAAGAGCCGGTGCTGGCCCAAGGCCGATTCCTCATAAGCAGCTTACAGTGGATAAGTTGAGTGAAGCGATTGAGATGGCTTTAAAACCTTCCACACAAAAGAAAGCACAGATGATTGGAAACAAGATGAAAAATGAATCTGGAGTTCGCGACGCGGCACGCAGTTTTCATAAACACCTCGATCTACAGTCTTTGAGATGCGCCATATGCCCATCCCGACCCGCAGTTTGGCAATTGAAGCACACGGGAATCAAGCTAAGTGCCTTCGCCGGAGCAGTTTTAGTAGAGATGGGAAGGGTCAAACCTGAAGAGGCTGTTTTGTAAGTTTCAGGCAACCAGATTGTCGCAGTGCATTTACTAACGAGTCATCTAGACACCGTCCAATGGAATATGATACATATCGTGACCCAGCTGGACCGATAAGTGCAGGAGCTCAAGTCCTTTTTGGCGCCATCGCCAACTTTTTGATCGGGTTGGCGGATGTACCAACGGAAATCGTGACAGATATCGTGTCTACTGGTCGCGCATTAGGACATCCGCATGATCACTTTGACCCTCGTTCCAATTGTCGTCTTGGAAGATCGTCTCCTAGGGAAGAATCAGAAAGTGATGAAGAGCAGAATGAAAGAGAAATCGAAGACAGAATGGAGGGCAATCAGGCAAATACACTTTATGAAGACGAACAAGAAGAAGCAGCAAACGGTGACCTGTTTGATTCGACCCTGGAACGAAAAGACAGTCTGCGGCTTGAAAAACAACAAACGATGAGTAGTGAAATGGAAAAATCCAAGCCACACAACGTTTTTTCTGAGGTGGCGATTCATGGAAGCGTTATGTCAATGAAATTTTTGAATTTAGTCATTTGGCTTCCAACAGATTTGTCACTCAGTTTGGCGAAGGGGTTTCACAATGCTCCCAAGCTATACCATGATCCGATGGTTAAGCGCATCCCAACCATCACGGGCGTCCACAGTGGATTTAGAGCCGCAGGAAGTGTATGTTCCAGTGTTGTCACTGCCGTTGAATTCAGAACGTTTGCTGACTCTAAAGCAGGAATTCAAAGATGGATTTTACTATGGTATAACCGGGCTAGTCACTCAACCTCGGTTCGGATACAAGCACAGTGGCACTAAGGGTCTGTTCAAGGGTGTCGGAAAAGGCGTAGGTGGAGTCGTGTTCAAGCTACCAGCCGGTATGTGCGACGTGATATTTTGTCTCAGTCAGACATATGCTAATCACCTTTTGATCAGGACTTTGGGGGCTTGCAGGCTATCCTTTGGCCGGGCTGCGCAGGCGGCTTCTTGAATCCATCGGCAGATCCCAACAATGTCAAATTATCAAGTCTAGAATTACCCAAGGGCACGAAGAAATGAGAGCCTCCTCTGCTGAGGAGAGAGCGGAAGTGGCCAGGAGATGGATTGCCGTTGAGGAAGAGTTGGAGAATGCAAGGAGACGGCAAAACCATTTGCATTTTCACCATAACGGCCACGAACAATGACTTTCACTGTGCGACCCGGATGCACATATTTTGACCTTCTGGTTACCCCGTACTGTGGCGTTTAAGTGTCTACGTAATGGACGGAGCATTAAAGAAATCCACGATTCTCAGGTACTGGTCGACGGAGTTCTGGCCGGTCCACTGAAGATCTCCTTCATATCCGGTCCAAGGGGTCGGTCGGAGTTGAACCGACTGGGGTTTACCCGGGGTATTGACTTGTGGAGTAACGACGAAACTATAAAGCAAGCATCTGGCCCGGCAGACAACTCCCCGAGAACTGTACTTTTCAATCGATTGTCACCATGGCCTCTTCAAATGTTGGGTCACCGACTTACATGGGCCTTAAGGGCCAAAATCTCGTCTACGCTGTGACAGCTTGCTGCTCATTCGGGTTCCTTCTGTTTGGCTACGATCTAGGTTTTATGGGAGGACTGACGACCTCCCCCGAATTCCTAGCGGTATTCGGCAACCCTAGCGCATCGCTGCTTGCTTTCCTAGTCGCCTCTTACGAAGTCGGGGCCCTCTTGGGGGCGCTGTTCCAGTTCCTCCAAGGAGACCGATTCGGACGAAAACCGAACAACATGGCGGGCGCAGTAATTGTTTCCATTGGTGCCATTCTGCAATCGACTTCATCCGGACTTGCGCAATTTTTAGTCGGGCGCATTGTGGCCGGGTTTGGGCTGGGCATGATGACAACCGTCATCCCCATTTGGTTATCGGAATGCAGCATGCCCAAATCGCGAGGCCGCATGATGGCGATGCAGTTGTCAAATCTAATTTTTGGCTTGATCTTGGCGAACTGGCTTGACTATGGCATGGCTAAATACGCTGGCTCCGTGCAGTGGCGGTTTCCATGCGCCTTCCAGGTTGTCTTTTGTATTATTGTTCTTGTATTCATGCCATTTCTCCCAGAATCTCCACGATATCTTTGTGCTAAAGGGCAGATCGACCGAGCTCGAGTCTCACTTGCTGCCTTACGAGCTGGATATCCGAACGATACGCCCATTGTTGAGGAACTGAAGGAAATCCAATACGCGATTGCAGTTGAAGCCGAGGAGGCCGGGTCGTGGGCGGATGTGTTCAGAGACAATGGCATTAGCGGAAACACGCGCGTTGCAATTGGCTTTGCCGCCAACTTTTTCCAACAATTGTCTGGCGTGAATGTCATGTCTTCACTTGGCCCCTATGTTTTCGAGGACTCGATCGGGATGTCGCGCAACGATGCGATGCTCGTCTCTGGTGGCCTGCAGATATTTTACTTCCTCAGCAGCTTGATTCCTTGGTTTGTTATTGACCGGGTCGGACGTCGTCGTCTGTTTATGATCGGGTCTGCGGGTATGGGGACCTGTATGCTTCTTTCGGCCATCTTCGTCGGCATTGGAACTACAGGCCTCGGATATGCCGCTGCGGTCGCACTCTATATCTTCCAGACTTTCTTCACTCTGGGCTGGCAGTCAAATATGTGGATCTACCCAAGTGAGCTCCTGCCACTCAAACTTCGACTGCGTGGTGGTGCTTTAGCCGTTGTCTCACAATGGCTATTCACATTCTTAGTGGTTGAAATCACCCCCCCCGATGATTACCAATATCGGCTATAAGAGTTACATTGTGTTCGCTGTTATAAATTTTGCAACTGTACCTTTTGTCTACTTTTGCTTCCCGGAAACGAGCAAGATGCCTCTCGAAGCGATCGATTTGTTCTTTGCTGACCGCAACGGCGAACGGCCCTCGATCTTCCAGGTTGTACGCGACTCGAAGAATAAAGAGTTCGTGGATGAAGTTCAGAGGCAGCTTCAGGACCGAGCGAGGATGAGAACTATTACGAAAGACGGGCTCGCAGAGGACAAGGCTGAACAGGTTGAACTAGAGAAGGTTTGACGCAAACTGACTGTTTAAATGGAAATTTAAGTCATCTGTTTCGAACAATAATTATGTTAATGAGGTATTTTACATGTGAAAGTGTAATTCAGTAATTCGGTCCAAGTCCGAGAGTGTACTACAGGATGAAGACAATAGCCGGTCAATCTGGAGTAATTCGCGTTTGAGTTTACCTGATAAGCCTTTTTTGTTCGTTGGTTGGGAAGGCCTGAGTCCTAAAGTTTGTTTGTAACAGAACGGCAAGTGGCCGAGCAGCTTTACCACCGAATTCTCTAGCTCACTGCGCGGACCTGATTACTCGAGCAGGACTGCCAACAGCAACGCTAAAGGGTGGAATGTCTCTTTTAACCACAGAACCAGCACCAATCGAACTTCCTTCGCCAATTGTCACACCAGCCAGGATAATAACATTAGCTCCAATCCAACAATCATCGCCGATAGTAATTTCTCTCGTGAATTCCAGCCCTGGATGTGCCCTTCGCGCTTCGATTTGCGTCTCATGCTCGCCTGTGATGATGCTGACATTGGGACCAATTGACACATTGTTGCCGATAGTCACCAGTCCACAGTCAAGGACAGTCAGACTACATAATGCATCAGTGTTTTAGATCGTCCAATAAGGCTAGCAAAACTCACTGGAAGTTTGCATAGAACCCGTCACCTACACTGATGTTGCATCCGTAATCCACGAATAAAGGAGGTTCAACATATATTCCCTTCCCAGCATGCCCGAAGAGTCTTCTCAATATGTCTTCTTGTGAGGAGGTGTCTTTCTGCTGCGGGGCGTTGAGCTCAGTCATCAAAGTCCTTGCCCGTGACCGACCCTCTATAAGCTCGGGTGCCAGAGGATTGTATCTGTAACGTGGCACGTTGATTAGACTGACAGCTTATTATCTAGTGTTAAAGTCCCTTACAGCATTCCGGATATCATTCGTTCATACTCCTCTCCCCAACAGACATCTCGGAGAGCCCGAGCTTTTTCAATAAGCTCCTGATTGTTTTCGGTAGCTGGAATCATGTCGGAGAGGTGTGCCGATAATCAGTTGGATCTCTTCACCGATAAAGTATTATGATTCTGTCTCACGAGAAATCAAGCTGCTTTAGTATTTAAACCAATGTTTTGTCTCCGAATACGAGACGCGTGATTCCTTAATCGCTGATTATCGGAGTCTCGGCCCTGGTCTCCGTGGGCGGGCTGATGTGAGATGAGCCTCCGATCCCATTTGGCCGAGTCCATGCTAGTAACGCAACAGTGGGGACAAAAAGCAATAGGGGACTTGTGAGCAGTGTGGGCAACTTATACATTCAAAGACCGTGTTGTGCCTCATGCCACTGTGGACTATGTAGATAGGTTGAAGATAGTACGGTTTTGTCATTTCGCTTGTCCGAACATTCCTTTAGTCTTTTAAGCTCACATCATCCTTTGCTTCGCAAACAGAAAACAACAGCTGTATCCTTGCTCTCATCCAGGGCCATTATCCAGAAACATTAAATCGAGCCCAAAGGGTATATTTTGCTCAATATTCTTCCAATCCAGATACCATCCCAAATGCATGAAAACCGATCAAACGTAAGCGATGATTCACCAGCGCATTAGACGGCCGATTAATGAAGGGGCTGCGGCATCGAGTTCGACCACAATGGCAATTGAAAGAACCAAGGTCGTCGTAATAACCTGGGAATAGTGAGTTGGTTTCCCAAGTGGCTTTGAGATGTGCAAAACTACTTACCAAAAACAATAATATCCCCACCATATTTACTTCCCATCCGCCGGCATGGATCTTGCCTAATGCAACAGCACTCTGTTGCTTCCAAAACCGATAGGCACCAATCAAGGCCACCAGAAGAGCGACGCAGTGGCAGGCGACAGATAATGGAATACCGACTTGTTCAAATCGCAAACTGTTCTGTTGCGATTTGCTCTGCTGCAGGCGAAAAAGCTGCGCGATAAGCACGCCTTGCATAGCAATGACTGTCGATGTACGAACGTAGGCCAAGAACGTTCGCTCCAGAGCTATATGGACTGTCAGTGCCGAGAATTATATCTAACATTTAAAAAGTCGAGAAAGCGAGCGATCATCGAAAGGATTGAAATGTCCATGAACTTACCAAAATGATCTCGATTACTTTTCTGTGACACAGTTAATGTAACATGTCGTGTCCAGAAGCGGGTAATTTTGCCCCAAAGCCCCTTCCGCGATTCACGGGCCTGTCGAATGCTGGCATGCGATACGATGCGGCGAGAGGGTGGTTGTCGGTACTCCTCGCCTGACGAAGCAGACGGCGAGGAATAATCCAACTCGTCGTCCTCGCGGGTCTGGATCTCGTGCAGTTCGAGGGCCTCGCGCTGGTCGTCATGGCTACTGCTGTCGTGGGAAGAACGCGGGCGGGAGTCCCGGACAACTGCGGTGGAGGGCCGCTCCGGCTCCGATGACTGACCGGAAGGCTCTGTCATGGTCGTGGCCGATAGTCCAGCTGGGTTGGCATTGCTCGCAGAATCTTTTTTCTGTTTGCCTGCAGGATTTTGTGAGGAGGCGGAGAGGTCCAAGCAGGAAAATGTCAACCAGTCGGCCCTTCACACCTGTCCCCGGTCGGTTGGAGCCGAAATGCCCCGCAAGGGCCGCTCTCAGTCCGGGGTGTACAGGACGGTTGCTGATGGACTGGCAAGGACGAAGAAAAATGCATTTTGATGTTAAGACGAAGTCAGTAATGCAAATGGCCCGTTCCAAGCACCTTTATCATGTTTCTGGCCTGCAATGATGGGTGCTTGTCCAACATTCCAATCTGGCCAATCACAGCCCCCCTGCCATGATTGCATCATTTCGGCTCACGATGTTGAAATGCCCACCCAATTGCGAATGGCTTCGCACGGGAGACATTCTCGCCTACTTGTTCCTAGGGATAGAATGAACTATTCTGACCACAGCGGCCGTCAATGTCTCGGAAACGACTAATCTCAAGCTCACTAACAATCATCGTTACACAAGATTCCGCCTCTCTCCCTGGACATCTGAACGATTGGCCAAAATTGCCCAGATGCATATGCAATTAAGCTTAAATTAACATGTCGGCCCTAAAGCACGCCATTTGCGGTCAACCAAGGGGGCTGATAGGTCCCATTCCGCACGCCAAGGACCACTCTGCGCCATCCATCAAGCCTTCTGCACTTGCTCAATATTCAACCACTGCATTCGCTTCTCATCGAACACTTCGCCGCTACAGGGGGAGATTTTATCGAATAACGACGCATTTAGGAAGACCTTCCCGGGGGCCAGGGGTGTCTTGTTAAACGCGGGACTGCCATGGTGTGTCAATAATGAGATAGCCATCAGCCAAGGGCTAGGTTACCTTCCGCAGTTGGAACAGAAATATCGCTTTCACAGAGAGACTGATTAGCGCCGATAGTGTTTAAAGGACGAACATGAGAAACGCCAGTGCTTAGGCTACCTTGACAACGTTTCCACTGGAAGTGTTTTTGTCCTCGTAGATCTTCAGCGCGTTCATGGGATCTTCAACAGTCATTTCGGCTTCGCCAGCCATATAATTGATCGCAAAGGCTATTTATTCACCATCAGCCAGGTAATTTCCATTCATATCTTTTCTCCATGGAAGTTATCACTCACGACCGCCGGCTCTCTTGCAGCATGCACTAGATAGCCTGTCAGCATGTCGATGCCCGCGTTAGAGGCTCTTGGTGCTTCACCAGTGGCAGATGACCGAGTTGGGTGGCTGCTCAGGAAGAGTGATGCGAACACTCTCGCAGTTACAATGGCCGGTATACACCATACTCAGAAGCAGATGGGTGTAGATGGAGAGGGTGGGTTTGCAAAATGTCAGACTCGAGGCAGCCCTACCAAACTATCAAGTGCGGGGGAGAAGGCGCGTCAACTAACTAGTACTGTACGATCCCTAAGGTAGGCTTTAAATATTTCGTTCTTTGCCTGGTGGTGACAAGGAAGGTAATCTCAAAGCAATCGTCCGGTAACGAATATAACCTCATTTGATATTTGATGTTACACACTTTAGTCTTCCCCAACCATTACTGTGCGTGGGCTTGTGGTTCCTGCGTTTTCTAATTGGTGGCTGCCTTCGCCGCGATTACACCGGACAGGGGGGCTCTTGTACGTAATAGTAGTATATTCGCTATTCTGGAAGTTGACGAATTTTCGGTTTACTGTATGAATCATCTACTAATTCCCGAGATTTTATTCGATACATCTGGTGGGGATATGAAGAATGCTCGGTGTTGCTGGAGACTGGGGGGCCGATATCGGCCGGTATCGGCGCCATTGTACTAAGCTGTGTCGGTCGCGCCCTAAACAGTGAAGTATAAAAAGAAAACTCGCCGGCTGGTATAAAAGACAAACCCAAACAATTCATAGACCTGTTGCTCCTGGTTCACAAAAACACCTTGGAGATCGTCTTCACTGTTCGTTATTCTTCTGCCCCGCGCTGAGGCAACTCCAACTTCTCCACAGACTCCTGCAAGCTGTCAAGCAACATGGCACCCAATAACGATGCTACTAAAGACCACTGGTCCTCGGAGGTATGCTCCTTGATGGAATCTTCTTTTCTATATTTCTTAACGATATCATTAGGCATACGCCAACTCAGCATCTTTCGTCCCGAAGCTGACCCAGACCCTGCTGAAATACCTCGACCCCACACCGACCGATAAAGTTCTAGATATTGGCTGTGGTGATGGCAAGTTCACCGAGAATTTTCTGCCGGCCGTAGGCTCCGTGCTGGGTATTGACTCTTCGGCTGCCATGATCGACTTCGCCACTAAGAACTACGAGAGCCCCAAAGCGAAGTTCCGAGTTGTCGATTGCCGATTTCTGGAGAACGATCCATCTATTGTGGATGGAAGCTATGACAAAGTGTGAGTATCTACTGATGATGCATTGTCTTTTTTCTTTATCTAATATAGAGCTAGGATCTCCAACGCGGCCCTCCACTGGATTCTCCGCGATGAAACAACTCGGATGTCCACCATCCGAGCAGTCCACGGCTGTCTGAAGTCCGGCGGTACGTACGTCTTTGAGATGGGAGGACACGGCAATGTGGCTGAAGTTCAAACCGCACTCATCCATGCCCTCGTGCAGCAAGGTATCTCCGTCGAAACGGCCAGAAAGACAAGCCCTTGGTTCTTCCCGTCCGATGTGTGGATGAAAAATGCATTGGAAGAGGTGGGATTTCACGTGGAAAAGGTGGAACTCGAGTACCGCCCTACTAAGCTGACTACCTCCGCCAACGGTGGTCTGGAGGGTTGGGTAAGACTGATGGGTGCGCAGTTCCTGGAGATCCTCCCTACAGAGAAGCAGGAAGTCGTCGTTCGTCAGGTGTGTGATGTACTCCAGACGGCTGTGACTCGGGTTGAGGATGGGAGTCAGTGGCTGGGTTACGTGCGCCTGAGAGGCATCGCCAGAAAGGTCTGATAGTCGATTCTGAATTATATCACTGTTTTCTTTGCTTTCGTTGTTCGATAAGGACAGCCAACGGAATATCTTCCTCATCGTAGAATTCGACATCTTCGTCGACTCCAAAATCGCGCAGTCGCTCTCCCTCGGAGTTGCGCCAGGATTCCTCGCCTTCATCAGAGGCAATTGCAGACGCACGTTCCGGAGAAACCTCACGCTCTTCTTCATCGTCTTTGAGTTCCTTGTAACGATCATAGAATCTCTTTCGACGTTGGACTCCCTCGGATGGTCTCTGGCGCTTCATATCTTCCGATTGACGACGCTGGAAAGCCTCAACTTCTTCCCTTGCAGAGGCGTATATCTGCGGCATTTGAGGTTCCTGTTTGGCACTCGTTGGCAAAGGAATTCGATCTGGATCTGGTGGTGGCCATGAGACACCGGGGCCTTCGTGGGTGCCAGTTAGCGGGTGACATTTTTATCCAGAGGACGGAACCTACTCTCGAAACCATTCACCTCGAAATCCCAGCCTGAAGAACGGTTAGGTGTGAAAGCGAGTGGCCAGAACCAGCTTATAAACTAATGCATGGGTAAGCCAAAAGGATCACGTGTAACAAGTTGAACTGACGTTAGAGCTTCCTCCCATGCCTTGTTTGATGTTGGCCCAGATGCCAATATCATAAGGAAACTCTTGTTGCTTGATGTGAATGCGAACGCCCCCGGGGCCATCGAGATATCCACCTAGGACACGAGCCCGGCGGATCAAGGTGGCATGTCGTTCAATTTCCCAGGATTCAATGGTGGTAGTATTAGATCCGAGAGACCACACGGTTCGGACTAGCAAAACAAACAATGCAAAAACCGTCATGCTGTTGACTATAAATAGAATAGCGAGGTGGCCAAGTTGCACAATTGAAGGGCCAAGGTACTAGGTTGGATGGTCAGTAATCTATTCTCCATGTGCTGTCAATTGGCTTACACTTGGTAGAGCTCTGTTGCCCCAGATTATCGACACTCGATCGAAAAGACAAGTCTCGAGATAGGACATACCGACCACCGCATAGAATAGAAAGCGAGTAAAGTGAGGGAAAGTGAAATACGACACACAGTTGTTTGTCCATGGACAATGGTGGTCCATTTTAGGAATGCATCTACCGAAAAGTTAGTTCCAAGAAGGCTAGATAAGTAATGTTTATCCAAACCTCTTGCAAGTCTTGCAGTGGTGAGCTCTCGGTGGTTTGTAAGCTTCGCACCTGCGACACCATCGCTGGCGACTATGGGCAGAGCCACCGTCCGGCTTTTGACCAGCTGATTCCCTGGGGAGACGACCGGGGTCTGTATAGCAAGCGCGGAAATAGCATATCCAAATGCACAAGGCGAATATATTGATCTTCCAGGCCTCATCTTTTTGGAGTGGTGCTGACTCGAAGTGCAGGAAGAAATATTGCGAGGTGTACGCGAGGAAGCTGATGAGCACGCTGACAGCGGGAATCGCCAGCTGCGAGACGGCAAAATCATCACCATACATGTCTGCAGGGCCGGCAGACGGTGAGAGCTGCTGGGTTGGCCAGATTGTGTTGTTGATTCCGGAGGGAAAGGGAGGCGCTGACTCAGCCAGTGCCTGCGCGTGGCAGTAAGTTAACAGCCCTGCCGTCTGGTTTCTTGTTTCTCACCATCACCAACCTCATCCGTGCTTGATATATACTGGGCGATCCAACTTGAGCAGATGGCCGGTTGATTCCCTGATCTGAAGATGCCGATCACGGCTCTTCCCCCGACGACAGTTCGGGCCATTGGTTCTACCTCGGCCATCACAGACCCATATTCGGTGGTGAAGGAACTGGTTGACAACGCGCTGGACGCAGCAAGTTCCTCGCTTGTGGTCGAGATATCACAGAACACTCTTGATGTCATCCAAGTCAAGGACAATGGATATGGAATTCCTTCCGAGGACCACCAATTTGTTTGCAAGCATGCTTTCACCAGTAAAATCCAAACGGTCGATGATCTCAAAAGGATCGGCGGTACATCGCTTGGCTTTCGCGGTGAAGCCTTAGCCAGTATTGCGGATATTTCAGGTGGTGTCACCATCACAACACGTATCGAAACCGAGGTCGCTGGGTCGTGTCTCAAGTATGGCAGAGATGGGGAGCTTGCGGAGTAAACCTCACTTTTCTATTAATCTCGCAAATTCTTCGGATATGCTGACTTTATCTCTAAAGGACGCAGCGAACCTCGCATCCAGTGGGCACAACTGTCCGTGTTACGGAATTTCTCAAGCACGTCCCTGTCCGCAGGCAGACTGTCCTGAAATATGCTGCTAAAAATGTCACCAGGATCAAAAAGCTCCTCCAGGCGTATGCAATGGCTCAACCTTCGAAGCGTATTTCACTTAAAGTTCTGAAGGCCAAGAATGAAAACAACAATTGGCTGTACGCACCACAGTCCACTGAGAGCTTAGCAGACAAGGCCATTAAAATCGTTGGCATAGAGGCATCCTCCTGTTGTGAAATTCGAAAGTTTCCTTCTGAAACGAGTGAAGATGAGGACGTAAGAGGCTACCAAGTCGTTTCTTTTCTCCCCAAAGCGGACACGGGTATGTCTATTTGTCTCAACCATTCCAGTGGCAAAGCTGACAAGCGCAGACTTTTCCAAGGTGAACAACACAGGGCAATTCTTTAACGTGGATGGCCGGCCTTTGTCTACGAGCAGAGGAATCGGACAGGACATTGTCAAGCTATACAAGACATACCTCCGCTCAGCAAGCTCCAAACTGGCAACGCCCGTTTCGATTTCCGACCCATTTTTTTGTTTGCGGATTCAGTGTCCCCTGGCGAGCTACGATGTCAATATCGAACCGTCGAAAGATGATGTACTGTTTGAGGATCGAGATCTTGTTCTGTCTTTGGTTGACAGCCTTTTGCATGAGCAATATGGCGATCTAAAAAACTCCAACCAGAAGAAACCAACAAAAGTTAAGCAAACAGACTCGAATGCGGCTTCCAGCGGTGTTGGATTTGAGCTTCTTATGGCCAGAAAACGCCCGGCCCCGGTGATCGACCAACCTCAGGGCTCGGCGGAGGCAGCTGTTGACACTGCTGTCACTACTCCTCTTATGCGACCACTGAATTTAACCGAAACTATTTCCCCTGGAAGTTCTCGTCACAGTTGTCTTCAAAGCCCTGTCCGGCCTTCCAACGCAGCGAACGGAAATTCGGATTTCATCAATCCATGGTCTATCACTAAAATAAATGTCCCGGTGTATACTCCTGATAGGGAACGTGTCTCAGCCCAGGTTACAAACCATCGTCCATTAGGGTTGGATGGCAGTCCTCATGGATTCGTGCAGACAAGTGAGCAGAGCCATGCTTATCAGACGCCTTCGAACAGTCGTGAATTCTTCAGCCCGCCTCAGTCAAGAGGAACTTCAGACTCTCCTCTCAGCCATCGCCAACGTCATCGTGATCCGCAGCAGTCTCCAGTTACAGAAACCCCGGTTTCAAATGGATCTCGAAGCCATGCTCGAGAAAGGGACAGAGAACGATACGGAAATGGGGCTCTCGATACCTGGTTTCAAAAGACTACACAAATGTCGCTCCAGCAAAGTCCTTCGAATCCTAGCCTCGAGCAAGAGACGGGGCACGCTCCTCTTTCGCAACTTGCTCAAAGGCGATTTGTCTTCCCTACTGAGAGATCAATACAGGAGTCATCGGTTGATGACCGAAGCCCATCACCCTTGCACGAAATGCCCAACGAGACTCGTCATTCTGCGCAGGGTGATAATACTTTGCCTCCAAACTCCAATGGCCATCTTCCAGAATCTATGAACAGTGGTCGAGGTTTTCCAGTACTCGAAAAATGGGCGGCCAGCCTTCATCAGGGCATGGACACTGAGAATTATCTTGGACTGGAACAAGCTCTTGATTTTGAGAGGCGCAAGAAGGAGGCCATGCAGAGCCGTCGCACACAATCGAATGATCGTGTCAGAACTTCAAGCTCGCAACCCGGTCCTTCGTCTTCCCATTCTCCCCATCGCAACCGATACCTGGCTGCAAGAGCTGCCCTGACTTCTGACATACCCTCCGACGCTCTTCCACTCTTCTCTTTCAACCAACCCAACCCAAAGCCATCGCTTTCACCTCATGACTCGAGGGCATATCTGATGCGTCATTCTAGTGGCCACCAACAGAGCGGCTCTCAGAAAGAAGACCCCAAGTCTAGGCGCCTACATACAAGCAAATTGCCCTTTGAGAAAATCACAGATGGGTGTGATTTACATGACCTCTGTTTACCTCTTCCTTCAGATCTGTCTGCTATATCCGAGTCTTTCAATCTTACGAAGGGTTACGATATATACACCCAGCAAGGAGAAAACTCTGAGGCATTCTTGCCATCTACAGAATCTCCCGTTGCTCTCTGGAGTCAGCAACTGGCCATCCTGATCAACAAACAGTACCAGACTCGCGATAAATCGCAGTCACCTAAATGGCGAGTGGATCTTTCATCGGTTGTTGAACAACATCTGAAAAACCACCATGCCGTTTGAATGAATTATGTACAGCGTCTATGAATTACTGGTGGTTTGTTGCTGTTTCTCGCGTTCATCTCAAAGCTTTTCGCATAGTATACCCACATGGCATGTTTATTGGCGTTCGGGTTCTGAATTTATATCTATCGAAGATTACTCATAGTCATTAGAATAATATCATTATTCATCTTTAACAGAATACCACAACCCCTCTGCAATAATGCTTTTTCCGTTACATAATTCTGATATCGATGTCAACTCAGGATCACGGATAGAACCGTTTAAATCAAAAATATCTGCCCGCATGTACTTCATTTGATAAGAAAGCTATGATCTACGACCCAATATTTGAGGCGAGGGCCTCGGGACTCTGTCTACGCCCAGTCGACGATATGAAACCGGCGACGTGGGGATGTTGAAGCCAACACTTTTGCCATCAGTAACCCTTTACTCAGGACTATCTACTAGCAGTGTACGTTGTCGTTGAAAGCCACTGATCAAGTAGAATTCAAAGACTTGATCTGGCTGTCCGGCCAAGTCTTGAACGTCTTGTGGAGATGGACGACCGATGTACGATACAGCCAGGTTTTATTTACTACCGCTTGGAATGACCTCACACGGTCAGAAAAGCTTCTTTTCAGCTGCGTGAGTCTTTGGGATATGAGTCTATTCAACCACGTGGCATGCCGGTGAGTCTGTGGGGTTTGGCTGTGTTGGGCAGTGGCATTTATTAATGACATTCATTTCTTGTGTAAAATTCGTTTCATTCCAAAGTTTTCGTCTAAATCCTAGAGCAGAGCATTGGTGAAGTGAATGGTTTCCAGGCCTATATTTGTCATCAATATGCCTTCCCTCGTCTATAAGAATTAATCAAAGGCTCTCCTTTCTTCATTCTTTCCAAATTCGTGGCCAAGATATCCATAGATCGTGGGAAGTACTCTTTGCCCAGACCACTGATATGAGGACTGATCTGGACATTCGGCGCATCCCACAAGGGATGATCCTGCGGCAGAGGCTCAGGGTCAGTCACATCCAGCGCAGCACCACCGATCTGGCCCGATTTCAAGGCCGCAATCAAAGCATCCTGGTCAATGACCTTGCCCCGGGAAATGTTCGTCACGTAAGGCTTGCTGTCGGGGTGGCTGCAGTTGTCTGACAGGATTGAGAATTCCTCCGGTCCGAGAAGATGGGTGGTTTGTGGAGTTAGGGGTAGAGAGATGACAAGATGATCGAGACCAATGGCCAAGAAAGAGCGGACAGATTCCCTGTCCGCACCATGGTGCCAGGAAGCAGGGATCGAGCCATCGGCGTCACCGGTGCCGGGCACGATATAGCCAGTGTCATGCTTTGACTCTGGAGTTGTGCGAGGTGAGGCCGTATAGGCATGGACGGTCATGCCCATTGCACTCGAAACACGGGCAACTAAAATCTTATCAGCCAGAATCCCAAATCGAAGGGTCAGGCGAATGGCATACTCTGTCGTCCGATGCTTCCATATCCCAGGATTCCAACTTTCTTGCCGACCTGGTCGTGCATCCCCTGCATATAACTCTCTTTCGCGTTCCATTTATGCTCCTTCTGTGCCTCGTACGTTTTGACGTAATAACGCGACGAGACTAGCCAGTTCATCACGGTCCATTCTGAGATCGGTGGACCGTGGATGCCCGAGCTCGTAGTGATGGGTATATCGCTCTCCTTCAAAACAGGGTGGTTCACGAGATGATCCAGGCCAGCGGAAAGGAAGTGGATAAGCTTTAGGCTGTAGTCACAATAAGTTGAGAGGTTTTATGAACAGGGGTTGTGAGAGCTTACTTCTTCGCGTCTTTGAGATCGGGGAGAGTTGTGTACGTGACCAGAATAGTCGCATTGTCCCACAAATCTATAGTACAACGCTCTTAGTTTCTGGTCCGTCAACGAATTCGGCAGTGACTTACCGCTTGGGACTGGAACGTCCTTGATCGGCCTATACACGGTGACCTCGGCATTGGGGAACTTGCTTTGGATGTACGCCACCAGCGATGTGGGCAACTGCTGGTAGAAAACCACGAGCAGACGCTCCTTCGACAGCGGTGCATCGCCCATATTGCTCTAATCAACTTCGAGAAACAGATTTCGGTCGGTGGCGATGATTGTGCGCGTTTAGGAGCAGGAAATGTCGAGAAAAGGCCGCCTGTTAGTCAGGTCTGTCACTCACAGGGCGGGGAACTTTGCCGGATTCAACTGCTCCACATTCGGCTGTGGCCACTACTCCGACCGATAGCAATGTTGCCGTTAACTGGGTTAGGTGGGGGTGGTTTGGGAGACTAGCGCGATAAGGCGAAAGATGCACGAATATCAACTCATGTGCGCAAAGCGATCAGCTAGGGCGCAAGATTTTAACGGCTCATTTTGCTCTTTGGTCGCCAGCCAAAAAAAAAAGAAAGAAAAAGAAACGAACAGTCGCAAAAGTTGCGGTGAATGTCTGTGGGTCTTGCTTAAGTGGCCCTGCAAACGGAAAAGGTTCAACCTGAAATAAAGCTGCAGTTTCTAACTTTAGATATGAATGGAAGCAATATGACGTCGATGACTGTAATGACTAACAAGGCTCACAACAATAAGAACTACTCTGCTTGCCTCGCGCTTAGGGCAGGTCTTGCTAATTTTTGCGAACTATCGCAATTCTGTGAAACATATATTAATCGTCATCTTGACTGGTCACTTCGACGACTATGCCATACCTCAAAGCTTCGAGATGGAGCCAAGCTTTTTTGCAAGGATTGGGGGAAATACAATGGCCGAATTGTGACATTCTCGCATGGCTGGCCCTTGAGCGGCGATAACTAGGAGAATCAGATGGTCTCCCTGGCCGACCGCGGGTACCTTGTCATTGCACATGATCGACGTGGTCATGGACGCTCAACACAGAACTATCACATAACTTAAAAACGTTTTATGTACTACTATTAGTAACCAGAATATAAGAGATATTCCTAATAAGGACGACATTCACTACTGAATATCTCGAATTAAAGCATTCAGGGGCCCCGAGGAAGGATTCATGGCAAGGATGAGCATAGGTCGTAATTTTAACACTACTATATTCTTTTCAAGGGCCTAGCGTCTAGGAAATTATTTAAGCCGCTTTCCCGTCACTACTAGATAGTCTTTAGTTCATAATCCTACCATTTTCATTTCTTTATCTCCCGCTTTACTTTGAGAATTGTAACTCAACTATTGTCTTGGTATCTTGCGTTCCAAACTGCAAAAAGAAGCAAAATGCATATCCACTATACCTTCTTTGCTCTCACCCTATTCGCCACAGCCTGTTTGGTTGCCACTGTAGAGAAACGTTGTATTGCTGGTACGTTTATTCTTCTTATATTCGTCTGATCTGAATTTATTAGATCTGATTTGTCTCTAGACGGCCAGCAGGCAACTAGTAATGATGTCATCCCTTGTCGTGCGAATGATTGTTACTACAAGGATTTCAGCGGAGTTTATGAATGTATTTGTGGATCTATGTGATTGTTAGCTAGTTGTGTTGCCCATCGTGTTGACTTAGGTCTATCTTGCAATCTCGGCAATAGCCTCGTGTGTGATTGCGAAGTTGTCGAACATGATTTCCTTTCTTTCCTTGATATCGAGACATTGCCTGTGTGAGAAAGGATGCTCCCGCAAGACTTTACTCCCGCAAAGAAGACTTTGCATTGGGGTTCATTAGGTCCTGAATCATCGATGACGGAGTGTGATTGACCCATATTTCAATCTAGGTACGTAGCGGATAAGTACGCTGCCCGGTCCAGAGGTGTCACATCTAAAAGCAATCTTTGGGGATAGGAACATGAACAGCACGAATAAATTCCGCGAATCCCTTTCCGAGTCCGTCCAGCAGCTTCGAACTACTCACACCTCTACCCAGCGGCCCGTAAACGACGAAGTGCACGGCATAGATTTCGGGCATCTCTACACGCTCGATGAAATACCAATCTTGCCAGTCGGTACCCATTAACTCTTGCAACTTGGCTCGAGTCATGAAAGAGCGGAACCACCTCCACTGCTTATCCGTTTGCACGTATAGGCCAATATTGACGTTCCCACCTTTATCGCCCGATCTTCCAAGGGCAATATCTCCGAGCGGTCTATTAACAGTCTCACCGAAGGTAGCGAGTGACGTTGTACCAGACGCGTCATAGTTATCTCTGTCCTTCAAAGGTTCGGTTGCCTTGGGTGGACCAACAACGGTGCGCCTGGGTTGTTGGACAGAATCACGACCGAAAATATTGATAGCTTCTTCAAGCTCAGATTGCAGGAGCTTGGCGGGGAAGAACCCCAGAAACGGTTTTGGAACGGCAGTTCGCATATCCAGGGTGCAGTGCATGCCAGCAAAGTGGGCCATGAAACTGAAGTGCCACGCAGCTGGTACGTGGCCGAGAATCTTTGGATCTTTAGCCTGAGCAAAGATTCGTAGATAAGTAGTAGAGACAAGCTGCGAGGTTGGGTTGTCCATGGGCACACCCACACGCTGGAAGTCGAGCACATCCAGCTGGCTTGTGACTCCCCACTCATCCAGTTTGTCCCGGACTTGTGCCTCCTGGATATCCCATTTGTGGCTTGTTGCATATCCAGTCGCGTTCAATAGCATCTCACACTGATAACCCCCTTCATAGAAGATGGCTAGTTTGGTGGTTGCGGGAGGGAGGTGACCCTTGACACCCGAGATACGAACCCTGTTTTTCGCCTCCTCTTCAACCCTGATGTGGGTGATATCTGCCTTGACATCACTATTGAGATAAATGTTTCCTTGAAGCTCATAGAGAAGCTGACATTTAACAGTATCCGGGGTGACGATGCCTTTGAGACTCTCGTGTTTCGTCACGACGCAGTCACCACCGCTAGCAATCTCAACGATCGGAAGACCAAGCCCGACAAAGGTTTCTGGAGGATAACGAAAAGCGCCCGAGAAATTTGCGCCTGTGACGTAGGTAGAGCATTCGATGAGATGGCCACCGATCAGGGCGCCGGCCAGCTGGTCCAGATCGGACTCCTGCCAGTTATGCCACCAGGCGGCAGCGGCGATGACGGGGGATGCATCAGCCACACGCCCGCAAATGATAATTTCTGCGCCTTGATCGAGACCCGCCTTAATTGCACGGTAGCCAAGGTAGGCATTCGCGCAGACCACCGGCATAGTTTCGGGGTGGTCCAAGAATTCCATGGAGTCCTTCACCAGATGGACGTTCTCATTGTGGCCATCCAGGTGGGTGAGAGCACCAGATTTGATATCTTCTAAGATGCGCTGAGCCTTGTGGATGACGTTGTCTCCATCGACGTAGGCGACAGTCAAGTCAAGTCCCTTTTCTTTGACCAACTTGTGCGTTTCCTCGGCTAGTCCTCTTGGGTTGATGGCGCCTCCGTTGATCACGATCTTAATGTGTTTCTCCGCAGCGATCTCGAGGGTCTGTTGGAGCCCATCCCATGCTGTTGGAACCCAGCCGGGACCTGTTGAATTCTTAATTTCCACGGCATGGTTAGCTAAATTAGCCTCTGCGAAGGGATAGTGAGGTTAGCGACCGCTTTAATCGCAGAGGACAGGATCCATGTGATCGATTGAGACTCCCAAAACATACCGGCGAGATAGTCTCCCGTAATCACATCCACGGGGCCGTGCTTGGCCTGGTTGTACATGTGCACGCCCGGGTCGCCTAAGACAAAAGCTTTTAGTGAATCTTGTATTCGAGAGCATGGTTGATGTTATCCACCATGGGGGCCGTACTGGCAGCGCCGGAGCAATTGGCGATCCTCACGGGCCTCTTGACATCTGGCATTCTGGCGGTAGTAGCTTGGTCTAGTGGCTGGGTTCAAGACGAGAAAGGGAGGGGGGAAGATGAAAGCGAAGAAGTGAAATTCCCAACCGTCTGTCCTTATTTAGCTCTCAATGGTCTATATAGATGTGTGCCAAAGGGAGTGAAAGTATGTTCTCCTCCGGTCGCCCCGCCCGTTTCTCGGCTATCGTCCTCGCCTACCATTCTCGTATCGCCCGATCCACTCCTTTAGTCCTTTAGTTGTGCTATGTGCACAACCAACCCGCTCATTACTTTTTTATGCGGGGGCCCGCTGAAATTGTGCATGACCCACTTTAAGGTTGCCCCCCCCCCCAAACAGGGCGAGTCAGAGGCACTGAGGCAGCGCTGGCCTCATGGCAGACGCGCGCCGATTGGATGTGCTGGCGAGGGAACCCATTTCTCCAACCAGCACGTTGAAAACTGAAGCTTGAGAGATCCGTAACCCACCTGGCTAAGCCCGGCAAAGGCCATACTAGCGGGAGCGCCGCGTGAGATGGATCTACTTGGAAGGCTTCCAGAGTTGCTGCGGCCGAGACACACCGATCTTGGAAACAGAGTAGAGGAAAGCCGCACGTCTCATTAGCCTTTTTCCGGGTAAGGCTACAGTCAGTTACTTACTCGAGACATGAACGAATAGACCTTATAGAACGGAGTATACTTTCCGAACTGAACGCCAGCTAACTATGTATAGTAATCTGCACTCGGTCACGTATGCGGCTTCGCAGAGGCCTGTAAATGGGGGTCGAGAAACCCAGGAGCATAGACGAACTTTACAAACTACCTGAAACCTTCAGTAGATTATTTATCAGGTGATATTTCCGCATTAAAGAAGAGACGTAAGAAGCTATGAACCTGCTTGATTAGATCGCAGTCTTGCCTATTAAGAGCTCACTGCTTCGATCAGCTCGGAAATCCTGTCCAATCATCAATTGTTTAATCTCCGTTATCACACCCCTCCTTCAGACTCTTTCGACTTGGTAAAACGAGTCATTCTACGAGTCATTCCAGGTTACATCTGAGATTCCTTGCGACAAACTCGGGCGTCCGGGTCCCAAGTAACATATTCCCTGGTCCTTTAGATGCTCTCATAGTACAATTTGAAGAGTTCAACTTTTCTTTCGGGCATAGTAGTATGTGCCATCTTGTAAATGAAATATGCTCCTCATTAGACAGGATATAAAATGCCCTTAGGGGGCGCCTCAGCAAATTTTGGAATGGGATGGTAGAAATGCTGCATTTCCCTTTCTGTTCATCTTAAATGTATGACTATATGTCGATCTGAAGAGCAAAACGACTCGAAATTCTCTGCGCGCCGTGAAGGCAACGATCTTGTACGCGAAAATGCTTTGATTTGCTAGAGCCCCGCCTTCAAATTTTAGTCCCAGCGTGTAGCCCCCAACATCAGCCGCTTGGGGGGTGGTAATGCAGCAGGTTGCAAATGTTAGTGCTGAAACGCTACTATGTAGTGCTAAAATCCAAGTCGTTCCTGCAGGTACAAGCGCATTCGTCAATGGCAGGGCAGATCGCCGACATTGTCTCCACCATCCCCACAAATTTCCAACTGGATGGAACAATGCGACAATGCACGGCTTAAGTCAACAGTCTAGACTCGGACAAGAAGACAGCTCGCACTCAGGGCTCAACTGCTGCAGCTCCACGTTGCCAATTCAAAACAACGGGCTGCGATCCAACGAGTCTGATGGAGATGTGCTGCACGAGATCGGCGCCAGTAAAGTAGCATTCGATATCTACTTCAAGGGGGCTATTGGTGAATCACAACCTCGTCGTGGCTTTTTTATTCCTTCTGAGATTAAGGCCGCTAACATACTCGGCGCTAACTCTCTTCCCGCACGAAATCACGATGTGTTCCACATCCTGTCTCCTTGCGGAACTCGCGCAGTTCTTATGAATCATCGAGTTAACTGACAGTCACATCTACTTGTGTGTACCTAGCTCTAATGATATTCTATGCTATGCGTAATTTCAGCTCAATAATTCGCACCAGAGACGTTGCACCTTAGGTCTAAAGTTATCAAAGCGGGCTGCCACCATTTGGACTTTATGCTGAACGACGATGAAGATAGCTTCTGATCGATACCCCACTCATCTGTGACTTATTTAGCACCATCTACGATCAGATGTAGTTGCAATCATAACCTCTAGGTGGAATATGTGAGTATGATTTCGAACTTGAAACAAAGATAAAATGGGACACTACCTATAATAGTAAATAATCGAATGTAACATGGAAGAAGGACGAGAATATCGTCCACCCGACAGATGTCTATATAATCACCCTGATCTGGCGAATCTCGAATCTACATGCAGACTATATTCATGCCCACCTGCCTACTGCTTCCTGCCTTCTGAATTCTTGATCTATGGTGTATTTCTGCAATACAATGCATATCGTCCAAAAATTTGCGGTAGCAACAATTGTCGCCCTTATTGGTTATTCCCTGGCCGTTCCTATCGTTGTCCATCCTGGTGGTGTGAATGATCTTGCCATTACATCGCAAGATACTCTCAACGCGACAAACCCCTCTCGCCATGGTCACAAGAATTCTCCTGCGTCACCCGGTGCCGCCGAGGCGCTGTCAGTCTCTGTGTACAACAATTTTCAGAGTGACAGTGTCAATATCTATGTCACTGGACTTGATTCTACTGGATCTATTGTCTGTCTTACACCTAGCGGAAGTTGGTATACTCCAATCGGCAATGGCAGTCTTACAGTTCCCCAAATAATTACCGAAGAGATTGCTATTCCTATTGGTGATTATGGAACAACTACTTCCTTTTTCCTTCCAAGCTATGTGTCAGCGGGTCGCATTTGGGTTGCAGATGGCGACTTGACGTTCTATATTTCACTAAATAGCACGGGTTTTCTATCTCTGGTTGAACCGTCGGCAGTCAACCCGGATGATCCAAGTGCAAGCGTCAACTGGGGCATCGTCGAGCTCACAACAAACTCTGGCGGTATTACGGTCAATCTAAGCTATGTTGACTTTGTTGGTCTTCCACTCGGTATAGAGGTACAGGGCAGCAATGGCACCCAAACGGCCCTTGGTGTGCCAGCGGATGCTGTGTCATCCATCTGTAGCGCCTTGAGTGCGCAGGCATCCTCAGATGGTCAGCCCTGGGACGAACTATGTATGACCGATAGTAGCGGCAATTTGCTTCGCGTTATGGCTCCTTACGACTATATAAGCCAAAATTCGGATGCTTTTGCCTCCTACTGGACACGCTACGTTTCTCAAGTTTGGGCTAAATACGAGACCACACCCCTAACAATTGACACCCAAGCCGCACCTGGCCTAGTAAACTGTACGGCGTCGAACAGTACTTTGGCCTGCGTAGGCGACAATCGAGCATATGCACAGCCAACCGCCGGCGATATATTTGGGTGTAATACCGGTCCATTTGCCATTGAGCCAACTGACAATGCCGTCCATCGAGCTGTTGTTCCGCGTCTCTGCGCTGCGTTTGATCGGTCGACATTTTTCCTCAAGGGAGGTAATATACAACCGAGTCTCGACTCGAGCTATTACTACACGACATCTCCGACCAACTACTACAGCAAGATTGTGCACCAGCATGAGGTCGATGGGAAGGGTTATGCCTTTGCTTATGATGATATCACTCCTGATGATGCGCCAAACGCCTCGGGTCTTCTTTCTGATTCGAACCCCAGTCTTCTTAGTATTACTATTGGAGGTCCAAAGTCTTGATATTGATCAATTCTGCACGATATGTACATCTTGAAAATATATTTCTTTCTCTTGTTCATGCCCCGCGCTTCTGTAAATTACTTCTACCTTTGGGCAGACGAACGCAGGCGGAGAACAGTTCCCATGAGTTGGCCAACAGAATACTCTCAAAGCCAGAGTATCAAAGCACTGGGATTACTGTCGGGCGATGCTGGGACCAATATTTGAAGCTTTGACGAGTTCAGAGTGAACTTCGTGACGCGGCCGCGAAGACCTCTACCGGGGGAAGGTCTGTTCAGTCGAGGGTTTGGTGGCGTAAATGAAACAGTAATACGAATAAGAATCATCAAAGGTTTTGTTGTGTATAGTATCTATAAGGACCTTCATTATAACCTACGGCCGCCTTGACCTTCTCTAAGGTACGAAGTCACGGTGTCCAGGCGTAACCCCTCCGGTGTTAAAGCTGCTCTTCCGGCTCCTAGGCAGTTCTATAACATTAATCTCTATGGTCGTGAAGGTAAGCGCAGGGAGCGCGAAGTCTCATGATGTGCGATAGATCCAGCGTGACGTGACCAACCATGGGATTCGGCCTAGATCTGTCACGGCCCGGCACATCCCTTGGCATTATGCCTCAGCTCCCTAGGAAACAGAACTAGCCAAAAGTCCCGCAACATAAGACTGTTGCCGAAAACAAACTCAGCCCGCCACGGGTTGCGCACTGGCCAATCATCCCAGATGTCCGTGCTCGGCACGAACAAAGGTCCACTAGAGTACAACCCACAACCCGCGTCGTGCTCAGGGGGTCTCCAGCACTGGGGCCATGACCAGCCGAACTGGTGTTCCGTGTCTTCCCAGATAAGGGACATTCTAGATCGCGTGCCTTCCAATGCGATACCACGGCATTCCCATCACTCATCTTGGTGGATAAGTCGGCAGGGAGGAAATCTCCACCTCTGAGCTCTTCTGCTGACAGGCATCGAGCGCGTCATGAGTGGTCTGTCATTCTCCACCTCCATCGCGGTTCGCCTGCAGAGGGACTATCTCAATCATCCCGACTGGGGCGGTTTCTCCACCTGTCATGCACTCTCGCGTGACGAGGGCTGGCTAAATGTAGGGGCGGCAAGCGACTGCATCCACAACGTGAACATCGGAGGATTTTGCACAGATCCAGAAGGACAAAGATCGGCACGCCTCCTTGGACCGCAATCGCGATCCTGACATCTGATTCCTCCAATGACCGTGCTGACTCCACCGTTCTTGACTATTTCTCGTGAACTCTCCGTGCAGATCTCCATTCGAGTCACAATTTTCGGGATGAAGTGTCTTGGCACGTGGCTTTCCCTCAAACTGCCCACCCTTGACGTCGAACTCTAAGTTCGTTGGCACCGCTATGGTCCAGGTCGTCTTCTTAGTGCCCGTCCGTCTTCCAAACCCTGCAGGTTTCACCCACCCGGCTTGCCGCTCTAGGAAGTCAATAGCGCATATCGGCCCTTGAGGCGCCTTGAACCAGCAGTAGATTTGCACTGGAGCCTCGGAACGAATCTGAATCCGCACTAAGGTGGAATGCAATCTGCAATCGTGGGTGGGTTACGCAAGTAAAGCTTTCCAAAAAAATTCCGGTTTCTAAATCTATTACCTAGCTACTATAAGTACGAAGGATCTTCCTCTCGGGCCCTCTTAGTTGTGCTTCTGTTCACTGTCATTCACGCTCTGTCTGGGTCGAGTCAGTTCACACACACACAACCATGTCAAGCAGATCAGGGAGTCTTTTGCGTCGTGTTGTCGAGGCAGCGCTCGACCGTGAAGAGAAGGGCTATCCACCCGTATCACAACACGAACCCACGACCCAAAATGGAAACCAACCAGGTCCGAAATCCTTCGCTCCTCCAACCACCAACAGCGATGCTCTCATCCCACCTTACGACAAGCTCCTTGTCTTCCGCTCTCTAACGGGCATCGACAGCGTGCCTGCTCTCACGCAAGGAGGGCATCTTCCCCGCCCCGCAGACAATGTCGGTATTTACACGCGTGTCGTGACGAATGAAACCAACGCTGGGCGTGGATATCGCATGTTCAGCTGGATGATCAACACATGCCTTGGAATTCAAATTGTCGTGGCCGCGGCGGTAACTGCTCTTGGTGCTGCGAGCGGACCGCACACGGCAGTCACGGCATTCGGCGCCATCAACACGATCCTGGCGGGTATCCTAACCTACCTCCGAGGCTCCGGATTACCGGACCGTCTGAAGCAGTACCAGAATCGATGGAAGAATATTCGAGAATACATTGAGCAGCGTGAACGCGAATTTTGTTTGGAAGGCTGTGACCTCGATGTCCAAGAAGAGATATTCATTGTTGAAAGCATGTACCAAAGCGTCAAAGATGAAATGGAAGCCTCCAAAAGCAGCCAGAGCAAGCAGCAACAACCCGATGACCCACGCATCCGCCGTTCGCTTTTACCGACCCATGGTGGGAGAACATCCGCCACGCCTGCTAGACGATCTGATATACTGAATACACAACCCGGAGAGGGCCACGTCAGCCCGCTCAGTGTTCCTGAACCAGTGCTGACCGGTGCTGGGAAAGCACAAAGCTGAGAAAAGAAGCCGACGCGGTCGAAACTTTCAAGAATGGAAGTCCCTTCGGGAACCGGTCTACTTTAACCAATCTCCCACTCTGTATCCACAATTGTACTCGGCTCCTTATGTGAAGCGGCCAACCGTGTGATTGCAGGATGGACAGCGACCGATGTGGTACATACAGAGTTTTCTCATTTCGGATTGGGTATATATTCTAAGTATCGAGTGAGCGAGGTGCATATATGGGGAGTTTCGCAGTCTGTCACGTCTGCAGTACTTCTGTTTAATGTCTAATACTTCGCTGAAAAAATGGCGAATTAGCATATTGAATAAATTCAGATCAAATAATAGGTACAGTACTATTCATCCAATGACTTATTATTGCCTCTTTTTTGGTCGTCGGTCACGTGTCACGTTCTCTCCTGTTCAGTCTTCCCACAGGAAGCATGCTCTTCCACTCGGAACACAGGAAGAAAAGATGGCTTTCGAAATCCTTTTGGCAGAAGCAAATGATGCAGCCCAATTTGCCGACGTGTTCATAGCTGCCTTCGACGACGAATTCAACCGGACCATGTTCCCTCACACGCCCGAGATACGAGACTGGCTTATCGCCGAGTTTTTCGGCGCGGGCATGGCGCGGTCAATCGCGGGCCAGGGATACGAGAGCTTTATCAAAGTGGTCAAAGCCTCCGATCCAGCCGCGATCGTGGCGTTCGCAAAGTGGAAACGTCCCGTGTCTGCAGATCATGACTCGCGCGCGCATGAAGACGCAGAGGAAGACAAGATGGATTTTCCCAAGGAGTGTGATGCGGAGCTATGCGGGCGGTTTCTCGAAGCCATGGATGTGCAGCACGAAAAGTGGATGGGCGAACGGCCTCACTACTGTCTGTCTTTGTCCTTTTCCTACCTCTTCTTGAATACTGACATTGGATGTAGATCTGGATTTGCTGGGTGTTCACCCCGCATATCAAGGTAAGGGCTTGGCAACGAAGTTGTTACAATGGGGCATCTCACGCGCTGATGAGAGTCGAGTGGAAGTGTATCTTTCTGCCTCGCCGCAAGGGAAGCCCCTGTACGAGAAGTATGGGTTTCAAAGTTTGGGCTCAATTAATCCATTTCCCGGATATGAGCAAGTCAGTATGGTGCGGCCTGCCAGAAATGATTAATACATTTTGCACCAGATAAAAAATTTCAAAAAATGGAGTTATACTAGGTTAAGCATCAAAGGTGATTTAGGACTTCCGTGGGAAATCCAAAAGCTTTTGCCATTTCCAGGAAAGTGCATCTGATCCGGCTTAGGCTTCGGGGGTGGCGCCGCCGAGCATTCCTTCAGCGATAAGGCTCGAGCTAGATCAGGTGATGGTTGTGGGAAAATATAGAAAATGTTGAACTAGATTCACATAGTCCACCATTGCCCAGTTGGAATATCTCCGGGCTTCATCAGTATGGATCAGAAATCACCGTCCACAGGCTGCTTACAAATGGTTCCACCGCGGGGTTAATTTAACGATGGGTCAAATGCCATGGCATCTTCTTTGACAATCTGTATTCCAACCAAGTAACCCACCTCGCTAAAAGACTGCTTTCAAGTTGATCGATTCCAACCCTGACCTCCGTCCAGTTAGGTTAATGATAAATTATACGACAAAGCAAAGTACAGCAGCCAAATGACTAAAGTGTTTATGTGAGCAATACACTCCTCAGGAACTTCACGAAGCCTGTCTCTCAATCTACAGAGCTCACAACTCACAGCACCGGCGTGACCGGCTATATTGGTGGCGATATCCTGGCCACGCTAACTGCTAAACACCCGGAGTTCTCCTACTCAGTCCTTATCCGAAGTGCCGAGAAGGGAGACCAAGTCAAGGCCCAGTATCCAGCAATTCGTGTCGTCCACGGTGACCTTGATGATTCTGCCCTGCTGGAGCGCGAAAGTGCTTCAGCCGACATTGTACTGCGTGAGTATTGTTTGGACTCCAACATAGTGCTCGCCACTAATCACCCAGACAACAGACAATGCCGACGCTTCAGACCATGTGGGATCCGCCAAGGCCATTGCTGCTGGACTAGTTGCCGGACACACAAAAGAAAACCCAGGCTACTGGCTGCATACTGGTGGCACTGGCATCCTCACGTTTGAAGATTCCGACAAGGGCGAGTATGGAAACCCCAGTGACAAAGTTTACGACGACTGGGATGGAGTGGAAGAACTTCTCAATCTTCCAGACCATGCCTTCCATCGAAATGTGGACCAGCTCGTTTTGGATGCGGCAGCGAAATATGCAGACGTGCTCAAAGTAGCCCTGGTCTGCCCTCCGACAATCTACGGTTCGTCACTTTGCATCATCCGCGAGGAAAACATGGAAGACATGTGCTAAATTCAAATCAGGTAGAGGACGCGGTCCTGTTTCGCAGCGTGGCCGACAAGTCTACGAACTGGCCAATGTGACACTGCGGCTGAAAAAGGGCCCGATCATCGGCGCAGGCAAGTCCATTTGGAATAACGTCCATGTGCATGATCTGAGCGACGTATATGTTCTTCTCGTGGATGCTGCAATTGCAGGCCGGTCTGATAGTGGGCTTTGGGGTGCAAAGACTTATTATTTGACCGAAAACGGGGAGCATTGCTGGGGGAGCTGGCCCAGACTACGGCAGAGGTAGCTGCTAAACTGGGATACTTGCCCGAGGCTAAAGCGGAACCCATCGACCTGGAGAGCGCAAAGCAATATGCCGGCTTTGAGTCACTCAGTTGGGGTATGAATTCCCGCGGCCGTGCTCTGCGAGCAAGAAAAATTCTGGGATGGAAGCCTTACAGACCCAGCCTGGTGGAAGAACTACCGGAGATCCTTCGGAATGAGTGGCACCGGCTGCAAAAGTAGACAATGTGGGAAACTCGAAGTCAAAGGGCCGGTACGAATGTACAACATGCTGTTGTGCAGTTCTGGGACATGCATCGTCTTCGCAGATCTTAAAAAGTGCGGTGAGAACTGGGCATGCCCTGGATCTTATGCTCCAGAACAACAAATTAAAGCGACTTCTGTAGGTTTCTTGATAGTTCGTATCCGAATTTGCGTCAGACACAGTCTTAATCAGGGGACTAGGTCCAACACAGCCAAGGAACCTTCAATGGCATAGACACTGGAAATGATCTAGAAGCTGTTTTCGACAAAAAATTAGTGATTTCCAGACGGAGTTTAGAACCCGAGCCTCTACTCCACCCGATCGATTAATTCTAGGTGAACACGAATCATAGTCTCACCATATGCCATCTCAGGCGATCAGGCTCTCTCGTATCCAATCGGGCTGGGGCGATCAAGAAGCCGACCGGTAGCTTCCCGGTAGGAAGTTGGCCCGAATAGCGATTTATGGGAGCAATCGGCATGGAGTTGCGCCGACTCGGCGTTCTTATGTTCCAATTGGGCGGCTGAGCCCGTTTCTCAACTACAATCAGTAATTCTGACACCATAAACAAGCTCCTTCTATGGTATATCGCAGGGTTCTGTGTCCAAGATGGCGGATTATTTCGGCTTATTCAAAAATCTATGTGTTCGTGATGGATCATGCCGCGTGGAGCCACTTTGTGGGTATATATTTCGGGATCTCTGGAATGGCTACAATGAAATACTTCAGTAAAGCCTTTATTACATGAATATCTCTATAGTTCCTTGCTTTGTTTCCCTCATAGCACCCCTAAACTACAACATGCCAGTTACAGATCCTTCCAGCTATGAGCCCGAGAAAGAATCCCGAAATTCAGCATCCATCCAAGATGAGAAGAAGGCTGATGAGAAATTTGCTTTGGGGCGAAAAGGTGCTCTGGTTTTCTTCACCTTGTCTGTCCTCACGTTGATGGCCGCTCTTGATGGGACATCGATATCGGTTGCGCTTCCAGTAAGGACATCTCTCGCGACGGCTGACGCTTGATAACCAGCTAATGCCGTTCAGACCATTGCCACTGACCTAAATGGAACTGCCATCGAGGCATTCTGGAGTGGTACATCGTTCTTACTATGCTCGACTGGTGAATTCCCCTCTATTTATTAATGCTTCATTCCATTGACACCAAGACAGTATTCCAACCGAGCTTCGCCTCCCTCTCCAACATCTTCGGACGCCGACCTATGGTTCTAGTGGCAATCCTCTTCTTTTGTATCGGTGCTATTGTGTGTGCCATTGCAGATAATTTTACGTACATGCTGGTAGGCCGATCTGTGCAGGGTGTTGGTGGTGGAGGAATTATTGCCTTGAGTGAAATAGTCATGACAGATTTGGTTCCGCTACGGTATCGTGGGCAATATTTCGGCATCATGAGTGCAATGTGGAGCATTGGATCAGTCTCCGGACCCATCCTTGGTGGAGGATTTGCAGAGAATGTGTCCTGGGTACGTATACCACCATACTCATTGTGTCTCTAGAATCTAATCGGTCTCAACAGAGATGGATTTTCTACATCAACTTCCCATTCATTGCAGTCGGGGTTGTCTTTGTCCTTCTGTTCCTGAACCTCAATATTATCCCTAGCTCGCTTACCGAGAAGCTGCGCCGCATCGACTACGCCGGAACCGTTCTTTTCGTGGGTAGCTTGTCATCTTTCCTGATCCCTCTAACCTGGGGTGGCATTTCGTATGCCTGGGACTCATGGCGTACGCTGGTGCCACTGAGCGTGGGCATAGCCGGGCTCCTTCTCTTTGCATTCTACGAATACCGCTTCGCTTCCGATCCGATCATCCCGCCTGTGATATTCCAAAACCGCACAGCCACAGCCTCATTCATTGGCAGCGTATTACAAGGGCTCATCCTCTGGTGCGCGCTGTACTACATGCCTCTATACTATGAGGCCGTGAAGGAGTACAGTCCCATTCTGTCGGGCGTGGCTCTCTTCCCCGAAACATTTACTGTCGCTCCTAGCGGGTTGGTGATTGGTATCTTGATCACGGTCACAGGCCATTACCGGTGGGCCATCTGGCTCGGATGGGTTGTGTCTACCGCCGGTTTGGGGTTGCTGGTTCTTATCAAGACAACCACCAGCGTTCCAGGCTGGATCTTATTGAACATTGTACCCGGGCTGGGACTGGGAATCCTGTTCCCATCCCTGGGCTATGCCGTGCAGGCATCATCAACTCCAGAGAACTTGTCTATTGCCGTCGCCATGTTCAGTTTCTTCCGCGCCTTGGGCCAGGCTATCGGCGTCGCTGTTGGCGGTGTCGTCTTCCAGAACCGCATGCGGAGTAATCTCATGAAGTACACAACACTGGAATCCATGGCTGATGCCTATAGCAAAGATGCTGCGGGACTAGTTCAAGTCATCAAGGCCATGGCGGACGGTGCGACAAAGACGAATCTGAAGGAGGCGTACACGGACAGCCTGCGCACTGTGTGGATTGTCTGTTGTGGTATCTCTGGCGTGGCCTTGTTGTTTAGCTTGATGACGGAGCAGTACGACCTCGATCGTGCTTTAGAAACCACCCAGGGACTTCGGCAGGACAACGTTCCCACAGGGAAGGATGTGGAGAAGGATGCGGAGGCCAGGGTAAAAACCGTCTTCAAGGAGACAACTCCTTGGGCTTATTGATTGAGGTAACCTCACGACCGACTAATACTTAATGAGTGTTTAGAATGTACAGTTAAAGACTTGGGAGGGGTTCTCTAGGTTTGGTAACTCATTACACACATACGTCTCTTTCCCTATGAGCCACTCACTTATCCTCTTCATCAAATCCCGCTCCTCGGATCAAAGTCTTGATCCCCTCGCCTCTCTTGGTAGTTTCCCAAGCATCAACGACATTCTCAAATGGCATGACCTTGGTAATAAGCGGCTTCAAATCAATCCTTTTGGCCGAAACCATATCCAATCCCATCTTGAAGTCACCTGCTCCATATCGGAAGCAGCCCTTGACAGTGATTTCATGCTCCCCAACCAAAGAGATAGGAAAATTGACAACTCTCTTCCCCATCCCCGTCTGGATGTAATTGCCTCCAACTCTTAGCGCGTGGATAGCCGTCTGAATACAGGATTCTGCTCCCGTAGCCTCAATGGCAACATCAAACCCTAGGACATCTGCATCAGACAGGTCTGTGCTGCTATGCAAGGCACGCAACTGTTTTGCGTTCTCTTCTGGTGAGAGATCCTTGCTTGGGATATAGGTTGAGAAAGCCATCCGCCCATTCGGGATAAACTTCTGTGCGAAGTCCAATTTGTCACGACTCAAGTCCACGATCACGACCGAGCCAGCCCCGAACTCACGCGCCACTACCGCGCATAAAAGTCCTACCGTGCCTGAGCCAAAGACCAGAACCTTGTCGCCGGGATGAATGCCTACTTGGCGCACACTGTGCATAGCAACAGCCAATGGCTCCATCAGCACAGCTTCATCAAGGCCTAACGGCCTATCCGTTCCCGTGGGAATCTTGAAGCAACAATCCGCAGGCATCTTATAGTACTTTGACAGCGTGCCGTGTGTGTACGGTGGACTCGCGGCAAACTTCATCTTCGGACACAGGTTGTAGCGTCCTGCTTTGCAGATGTTACAAAGGCGACAGGCATACCCGGGCTCGATGGCGATTTTATCGCCCGGTTCCAGATTGGTAACCGCGGGTCCGACGGCGTGCACGATCCCCGAGGCTTCATGGCCCATTACTAGAGGGCGGTCCTGGGAGACATGGTATTTGATGCCACCGTGCGTCCAGAAATGGACCTTTCGGATGGGTTTAGATGGTGACGGGTATCTGGGTGGCTGGAGAGAACACTTACGTCGCTTCCACAGACTCCGACGTAGGCGATTCGGATAATAACATCATGTGGATCTTCGATCTTAGGAACTGGGCGGTCTTCGAACCTGGCATCACCTGGGCCGTATAGGAGACAAGATGGGTTCTGCATCGTAGATAGTGGTGGTCACGAGGATAAGATGAACTCGAGGGCTTTTAATAATCCCCAAGGTCTTTGAGTCCCGGTCGTCTGTCGCGGCCGAGTGGATCAACAGGAAAGCTATCACGCTGACACGCCCGGTCGGCTATCGTCCGCTACAACATGACGTGGGGGTACAGCCCCCCACATGAGGTGGAAGGGAGGGGGCGATAGTTATCCGTAGGGTGAACAGAAAGAAGGGGAAAACACAGTCAATGAATCAAGTAAACTAAGCATAAGAAACACCAAAAGGCCCAAATAAGTAGGTCAAAAGCTGTCAATTCCTTCCAAACGCCCAGTATCCAACACGCTCGGGTCGTAACATCATGAGGTGACACGGTAGGTACATCTTAAATTAGAAGCCTCGCTGTAAATCAGGCATCGCGGCCGAGAGGCATAGCTCGAAAGCGCTCCTTCAGCAGGTCCATCTCCTTCTCGTGATCCATCCCCGCACGCTTCTCATCATGGTCTTTGATGACAATGGAGCGATACTCCCCATCGCCATCCGGAGCACCAACGGTCACCCACACAAACTTGGTTCCATGGCCACCCGGTTGGGGGCGTTCTTGATTGCCTTGCCAGAACATCTCGGCTGGCTCGGAGGCAGAAGATCCTTTGGATGACGGACGACCTCCAAGACGGCCGTACTTGATCCACACTTTCAACACATCTTTGATGAAGCTGATCTTCTGCGTGAAAGAGTTGGCGTCAAGGATTTCACGGATCCTATCATCGATTGCGTTGACGGTTTCTCCCTGTGAGATGCTGATGAATGTCGCCGCCTCGTCGGAAGCAACAGCGCGAGTGTCGAAGCCTGAGGGGTGCATCTTGCCTTTGGCCGCGAAGTATCGGGCAGCAGACGGAGCCAGGTGGTAGAAGTCTATGTATGGCGATGAGCTGCGAGTGCGACCAGGAGAGATGACGAGTTTGGTATGGTCAGGGAAGTTGAACTAAAGAGACATGTCAGTGCGATGGAAATCAAAAAAGGAATTCAGATATCGTCTTACCTGGAAGGCGCCATCGCCAAACCCCCAGATCCCGACATTGCCCAGTCGCTGGTAGAACTTGATAAAGTGGCCACTGTTGAAGCTCGGCAGATCAGCGAGCGCGATCCCCTCATCGCCATGGCGACCAAGCGACCCGATCATGTATTTGCCGAATTGGTCGACCAGCTTTACGCGCTTCGTTTTCTCCGCGTCACACTTGGCCGCTTCAACTCCCGAGTTACTACGCTTCATTGCTTTCGGGTTCTTCACATCGAACACAGCTGGGGAGATCATGGCCCGTCTGATTCCACGGCATCCTAGCAGGTCATCGTCGTGGTTCTCGTAGAACTCGACCGGTGCACCGTCTCGAGGAATGAGTTGATCTGATTCAGAGTAGGGTAGCGGGTCTTCCTCTTTGCTTTCGCTGCGAGCTTTGCGACGAATGTGTCTCTCGCCATCTCGCACAACGACGCTAGTTGCCGGTTGACCGTTCTCGCCTTTGAAGACACACCCAACACTGCCATCGTCGAGGACGTATCCAATGCCATAGCGGTTGGTATAATCCACCCATTTGATAACATATGTATGGGGCTGCTTTCTGGACCCAGTCCGTCGCCGACCTGATGCGTGGTTGGCCAGATTGGAAAGCATCAGGCGTAGGTCCATGTTTACATCTGTCAATGAAGTACCAGGAAGCAGCTCGCAGAGATCCTCGGCGTGGAAGAGAGGGCTGAGACCCAGGCTGGAGCGGACTTTGCTGCCCGAGGAGGCTGTTTTGCTGTTGGACCGACTGATCCCGTTCGACTGAGAAGCGGATTTAGAGTTGTGGCTTGAAGAAGAGCCACCGTCACTGGGAGTGTTCTTCTGGTGCTCAAGTCTCGGCGCGATCGCTTTCATGTCCGTTCTAGATGTTGATCGCAAGGACGTTTGTCGCGCGAGTGGCTTCTTTTCTTCCGCCAGCTGTCGCTCTCGTGTTGAAATAGAGGGTTGTTGTGATGCCTGATTCGCAGCTTCCAGTCGTCGGGATTGTGAACGAGTTTTGCCAACTGTCAACGAGTTCGGGACACTGGTAGACTTGGCAAGCTGCCGAGCACCATTTTTGTCCGTATCGTGCTGTGAGAGTACATTCGAGGCAGAGACCATCCTGCGCGTGCGAATGGGACGCTCCGCAAATCCGCCAGACGGTGCCTCCTCGCGAGTAGCCACTTCAGGTTTGGCTTCTTTGGGGCCAGAATAAGTTCCACCAAATGACCCTGAAGGATCGCTGATACCAAAAGTCTTCTTAGTAGGTGTTCTACCAGTAGTAGCTTGTTGGCGCAGGGCTGCAGCATGGCTCTGCGGCTCCATTCTTCGCTGTTGAGCAGCAACAAGAGCCGCATTGGTACGGCAACTCACGGCGGTATTGGCTCGGACGGAGATACTATGTCGCGAGAGAGTGCTGCTATTGGCCATAGAGTCCTCATTGCGCAAGACTTTGCGAGAAGTCTCGATCAAACACCAATCTCCATCAACATCATGTGGCCAGCGGTAAACAAAGTTGTTGGGTAAAGGAACCAGTGGGCGTAGTCCTTTGGAGTCTTCAGCGTCGCATTCAGAGAATGCGGACTTGGAACAGTTCCTACCCACGGACTTTCGCGGTGTTCCATCTGGCTTGTATCCTACTCCGGCGAGAGTGTAGAATGCCGCTTTGCAAGAATGATACCGCTGGCTAGGATCATCGACCTGATAGACATAGGCACGAAGTTTTTCGTCAGAGTCCAGGCCGTAGCCACTGATCATGGAATCGCCTCGGGGTGATTGGTCCTTGAGCCAGACGGGCTTGCTGGTGCGGCATGCAGGGTCCAATTGGCGAGGAATGCAACCGTCATACATGTTGAAGAATGGGTGCTCGACAATGTCATCAGGATCAGGGCGTTGCTCGTCGACAAGATTCAGGCAAGCGGCGACCAAATCTTTCGCTTCGTCGGGGATATAGTTGTTGTGGTCGGATTCTTTGGGCCAGACATAGGCCAAACTCCGCACTTTCTTGTAGATTTCTTCCTGGGTCTTGGATTGGAAAGGTGGGTATCCAGTAAGCATGGCAAAACTAGAAGGAAGTCAGTAAGCTGGAAAGGATGAATAGACAGACATCTTTACCATATCACACCTAATGACCAGATATCGACTTTCTGAGTATGTCCGCCCTTGCTCTTGTCAAGGACTTCAGGCGCAATGTAGTTCGGGGTTCCACACAAGGTATTTCGTCGCTTGGCATCCTTGTCTGACAGGATCATGGCGGCAAGCCCAAAGTCTCCAACTTTGATATTCATGTTGTGGTCGAGGAACAGGTTCCCCATCTTCAAGTCACGATGTGCGACGAATCTTTTGTGAAGGTATTTGACCGCGGCGCAAAGCTGAATCATAAACCGTCGGACTTCTGGTAGGCTCAAGCAGCGCCTCTTGCGGACCATCTCCATGACTGAACCATTGGGGCATAGCTCCAACACGACATATGTACTTTGCTCAAAAGCGAATGCGCGGTAGAACTGGACAATATAGGGGTGTCGCATCTTGGAATGAATTTGGAGCTCGGTGCGGAACTGCGCAAGGTTATCAGATAAATCCAGAGGACAGTTGGGACGAAAACATACCTTTTCCTCCATTTTTTTCTGCGGCATTTTGGACTTGACCACTTTCAATGCGAACACTCGAGAATTGCGCGCCAGTGTCCCTTCATAGCAAACCGCGAAGCCACCTTTCCCTAGAAAGCCGCCTATTGAGTAGCTCTCCCCACCATCCTCCGGTTCGGGGACTGTAGGTGGTGGCGGATCGGCATGATTTTTTGAAGCCGAGGTAGGTTTCTGGGCGGCGCTCGCAGCGGGGTGTTTTTCGATTCCCTTTCGATCCATCACTGATTTTGGTCTGATCAGTTGGTTGGTGGTGCGCGGTGAAAGGGCCTCCATGCTGGTCTGGGCGGTCTTATGTCCAGAGTCGAATTAGTTGGTGTAATCGTCGGGAGCGCACGATGCGAAATCTCAGGGCGAAGGTCAAGCATAAAGGTCGTCAAAGAACAAATATTAGGAATAGCGCGAAAGGGTATCAAGTTGCAGCAATATTGGTATCCCTGCAGGGATCGAACTGTCAGTATCCGAGAAACATCGGCAACCCGAAGAGTGGGGAGGATGAAGTATCGGTAGACTCACCAGAATACAAAGCGCTAATAAAGAAAACAAAACTGTACATTAGCTCCCAAATCGAATAACCAAAAGCGCCTCGACTGAGGAGTGACAAGTGGGGAGAGAAGGAAGAGTGAAGGAGCTCGGGTCAATAGTCTGTTTATCGATTCCCAATGCGGCAGTCAAGTAAACAGAGCGGCTCCCATTGCTGATGTCAGCAAGATTATCACGTGCGCCGTCCCATGAGTCAAGCCGGCGTGTTGTTCCTCCCCTTCGCAACCCAACCATGTCTTTGACGCTTAAATTATCCTCGTTGGCAATTCGCACTTTCTCGAAGCCGATTGCAGTAAGCTTGTCTTTTCTCCAGTCCCGTTGCTGCTCTCCTGACCCGCATGGCAGACCCAAATCAAAGCTCAGGCTCGCGAGCATGAACGATTCCGCCGTTTATGCGTCTCAATGGCGCAGGCCCTCCATCGATTCGACATGCGCCTCCGACTAGGCACGTTACGGGATGATACAGCCGCACAAAAACTGGCCAACGCCGAAAAGGAGGTCCGAAAACACAAGTCCACCCACCCTACCGTCAAAACGCAGGCCGAGACGAAGGCTGAAGAGGAGGCGGACGTAAAAGCAAAGGCGGCGGCCGAGGAAGCAGCGAAACCGCGCAAATATCACATTCGACCCCTGTCCGAGTCCAAAGCCATCGAGTCTGGCGCCAACTTCATCAGCGAGACATTCCTCTTCCTCGTTGCGGGTGGATTGATCGTCTTTGAGTCGTGGCGATCGCGCCGGAAGGAGAGCAATCGGAGAGAAGGCGTGGAGGATCGGCTGAACGAGCTGGAGGAGTCTGAGAAGGCGGCCCGAGAGGCGCTGGTTGCATTGGAGAAGGAGCTCCTTCAGCTCAGAGCCAAGCATGGAGATCTTCCCAAGTCAACACACCGGATCCTGCCTCGGCAAATATGGGATGTGGAAGAACAGACCGACGAGCCACCCGTTGAGGAGGACTGGTTCTCTCGCATCACCTCATACTTCTCCTTTGGCCAGGGTGAGAAAAGTCCGGCGCCTGAGCCTGCTCCAGCGGCACCCTCGACCGACTCGAAGTCTCCTTCAGTGTCTTCCAAGAGTGCGTGAATAGCACAGCAGTCCTGCATTATAGATGGCGTTTTGTTGTTCTATGGGATACCCTTTCTGTTGTTTGTTACCTTGGCTATACACCACTCCCCTCTGTCCCCGTGACTCCATAGACCTGTACATACTCTCTCTCCCCCCATTCTCTCTCATCTCCCAATCAACCATTTCCGTCCACAATGACATCCATCGCTCAATTTAGGGGAACGTATTCATCATGTCTTCGAAATCACCTGGTATGGAGTACTCTCGGTCCGATACTGGCCTCAGAGTCGATGGACGAGTGTACATGCGACATATCCTTGACTTCCCTGGCTTGCAGCTAACGTATCAGGTTAAGCGAAATCCAAGACTACATGGGATCTTCGATTCCACCTCATCCACCCATCTACCACGGCCAGACTCGATGTTCTGCTTGTGTCATCAGCCTGTCTCGCATCCCTGAGAGAATCAACCCTCGCCCGGATCGGCACGTTCATCTCTAAAACCACTGTCCCCGCCGCAGTGATCGTCTTCTTGTTCCCAGAAGATTGCGACTATTCGGTGGATGGCTTCTTGACTCTACAATTACAGTAGGCAATGCGCTCTATCATGAGGTTGTCTAGGGACCTAATATCGCATCAGTCTGGCACAGTATCTGCCCACGGTTATTCCATTGATTCCTGTTCACAATTCCTCGCAGCTGGTGGAGTGCATCAGGGCATACATGGAGAGCATGATGACCTCCCGCTCGCTGCCTCTGCCGAATGTCGACGCGCTTGCCGTCCTGCCTTCGATGGCCCATAACCACTTTCGCGCCGACGAGCCCAACACCGACGGCATCTGGAATATCTTGTTCCCCTCCCTTCGCAGCCTCAGTCAGGCGGCCAGGACTGAACAGGGCATGGCTCTCCTCGACGCGTACTTCGGGGCAGAGGGGGCTAATGAGATTGCGGATTTTCTGTATCGGGACCAGGAGATGGCATGAACCGAAACGGTTTCATGATTGAAGACATAGGCAGTTATATATATCTACGAATGGGTTAGCTCGAAGTAACTACCACACCTCGTCCAAGTCTCAATATATCATGATTGATGATGAGAGGAGACTTGGCAGATATCAGGCACCCGCGAGTATGACCAGAGTTTTCACCATCCGCAAGGGCGTCTGAGTGCATCTGTACCATGACGTCGGTGATGCTATTTACAGTAGTTGGGCACCAGCCACAATCCCATGGCCGGCATGCTGACATTTTCCCAAACCCTGATTATCAGGCAGAAAGAATAAAATGTGGACTTTACTTCGTGATCCAGATAAGTCAGCAAAAGGGCAAGGACGGTAGTTCGGCACTTGATATCATTCGCCCCTGAACCCGATAGTGTGGCGCAGTTGTGTTTGTATCTTTTGTCTGGGATGCGTAAGGCCCAGCGTCACTGGCCGTTATTCCGCCTTCCTCGCTCTCCATCTGCGCTTCTTCTCCCTCACCCTGACACTCGTTCTGTGACTCTCCGAGGAGGCCTGTTGCGATCTCCTTGTCATACCACACGCTCCTCCATCCTCGTCCCCCGTTGATCGCGCAGATTGACTGGGACATCCCCCGGGTTGACACACAATGGTGAGCGCACCCCCTCCAGGCAACAAGCACACTCCGCTGACTCCGACCTCGCAATCTAGGGTCAATCACGACGCCCCGTTGGTGGGGAAAAGAAGAGTCGCGGCTTTGGGCGCTCCAAAGCGGTCGCCGACGTGGGCGACGGGCGGCAAGCAGGCAAGGCGCAGGTCAAGAAGGCCACTTTCGAGAGCACCAAGAAGAAGGAGATCGGCGTGTCGGACCTGACACTGCTGAGCAAGATCTCCAATGAGGCTATCAACGACAACCTCAAGTTGCGCTTCGAGCATGACGAGATCTATGTAAGGGATCCCTCTCGCTGGCGCGGACTGCGGGGCAGCGCGCGGGCAAGAGCGTAGGCTAACAGTGTCATTCCAGACCTACATTGGACATGTCTTGGTCTCTGTGAATCCGTTCCGCGATCGTAAGTAGGCTGTGTTTCTTTACCTGCACTTTCAGCACTGACAGCCCTGCCACATAGTGGGTATTTACACCGACAACGTCCTCCAGTCCTACCGAGGCAAGAATCGCCTGGAAACCCCACCTCATGTCTTCGCCGTCGCCGAATCTGCGTACTACAACATGAAATCCTACAAGGACAACCAGTGTGTGATCATCTCTGGGGAGTCGGGTGCCGGGAAGACCGAGGCGGCCAAGCGCATCATGCAATATATTGCTAGTGTGTCTGGGGGCAGCGATTCGTCAATCCAGCAGACCAAGGACATGGTGCTGGCCACAAATCCTTTGCTGGAGTCGTTCGGCAATGCCAAGACACTGCGCAACAACAACTCGTCACGGTTCGGCAAGTACCTGGAGTTGGAGTTCAACGTCAACGGCGAGCCTGTCGGAGCGCACATCACAAACTACCTACTCGAGAAGTCGAGAGTGGTGGGACAGATTACGAACGAGCGAAACTTCCATATCTTCTACCAACTCACCAAGGGAGCCCCGCAGAAGTACCGTGACAGCTTCGGCGTGCAGCAACCCCAATCGTATCTTTACACGAGCCGCTCGAAGTGCTTCGATGTGTCCGGTATCGACGATGTCGCGGATTTCAAGGATACGCTGGATGCGATGCGGATTATTGGAATGAGTGAGGCTGAGCAGGACAACGTATTCCGCATGCTGGCCGCTATCCTGTGGATCGGAAATATCCAGTTCACCGAGGACGATTCCAGCAACGCCTCGATTACCGACCAGTCGACGGTCGATTTCGTCGCGTATCTGATGGAAGTCGACTCGGCCGAAGTGAACAAGGCATTGACCGTTCGCCTGATGGAGACCTCACGAGGCGGACGCCGCGGTTCTGTTTATGAGGTGCCGCTGAACACGGTGCAGGCGGTGGCGGTTCGAGATGCCCTGGCCAAGGCAATCTACTTTAACCTTTTCGACTGGATCGTCGAGCGCGTCAATCAATCTCTGGCTGCGCGGGGGGCCATTTCGAACTCGATTGGTATTCTGGATATCTACGGGTTCGAGATCTTTGAGAAGAACTCTTTTGAGCAGCTCTGCATTAACTATGTCAATGAGAAGCTACAGCAAATCTTCATCCAGTTGACCCTCAAGGCAGAGCAGGATGAGTACGCTCGCGAACAGATCAAGTGGACTCCGATCAAGTACTTCGATAACAAAGTGGTGTGTTCGTTGATCGAAGATAAGCGCCCTCCTGGCGTTTTCGCGGCTTTGAACGATGCCTGCGCAACGGCACACGCGGATTCCGGTGCGGCGGATCAGACCTTTGTGGGTCGACTCAACTTCCTCTCGCAGAACCCGAACTTTGAGGGTCGCCAAGGTCAATTCATCATCAAACATTATGCCGGAGACGTGAGCTACGCCATTGAGGGCATGACGGACAAGAACAAGGATCAGTTGTTGAAGGACCTGCTCAACCTGGCGGGATCTAGCAGCAACCAGTTTGTCCACTCGCTCTTCCCCAACCAGGTGAACCAGGATGACAAGCGGCGTCCGCCTACTGCAGGCGACAAAATCAAGGCATCTGCCAATGATCTCGTGACCACCCTGATGAAGGCGCAGCCATCATACATCCGTACGATCAAGCCGAACGATAACAAGGCCCCCAAGGAGTACAATGTCGGCAACGTGCTGCACCAGATCAAGTATCTGGGTCTGCAAGAGAACGTGCGTATTCGCCGTGCCGGCTTTGCTTACCGTCAGACATTCGACAAGTTTGTTGAGCGGTTCTATCTGCTGTCACCCAAGACCTCGTACGCCGGTGATTACACATGGACGGGCGACTCGGAATCTGGTGCGAAGCAGATCTTGAAGGACACCAGCATCCCTCCGGAGGAATACCAGATGGGTATTTCCAAGGTATTCGTCAAGACCCCCGAGACTCTGTTCGCGCTGGAGGCCATGCGGGACCGTTACTGGCACAACATGGCCATTCGTATCCAGCGCGCCTGGCGCAACTACCTCCGCTATCGCATCGAATGTGCCACTCGCATCCAGCGTTTTTGGCGTCGTATGACTGGCGGACTTGAGTTTATCAAGGTCCGTGACCAAGGACACCAGGTGCTTCAGGGCCGTAAGGAACGTCGAAGAATGAGTCTCCTGGGCTCGCGTCGTTTCCTGGGTGATTATCTTGGTGTGGCGGACAAGGGTGGTCCTGGCGAGATGATCCGTAATGGTGCAGGCATCAGCGGTAAGTTTTGGTTTTAGCCATCTTTTGAGACCCTACTGACTCGGAACAGGTGCGGATCCTGTGCTCTTCTCTTGCCGTGGCGAGGTGCTGGTCTCCAAATTCGGCCGATCCAGCAAGCCTATGCCTCGCATTCTTGTTCTGGTTAGTTAGAAGGAACCTCCCCTTTTTGAGATAAATTTCGTTGACCACTTCATTAGACCAGCAAAAATGTTTATATCGTGGCACAGAGCATTGTCAACAACCAGCTTCAAATCTCGTCGGAACGGACGATTCCCATTGGTGCTATCAAAGCCGTCAGCACCTCGAACCTCAAGGATGACTGGTTTTCGCTTGTTGTCGGTGCCCAGGAACCGGATCCGCTGCTCACCTGTGTTTTCAAGACGGAGTTTTTCACCCATCTGACCAACGCACTGCGCGGATCCCTCAATCTGAAGATTGGAGAAAGCATCGAATACAACAAGAAGCCCGGGAAACTGGCAACTGTCAAGGCTGTCAAAGATCCAGCCGCTGGAAACCACGACACCTACAAGAGCAGCACGATCCATACTGGGCCAGGCGAGCCTCCTAACTCGGTGTCGAAACCCACTCCCCGACCGAAGCAGGTTGCCGCCCGACCCGTCACCAAGGGAAGGTTGCTTCGGCCCGGTGGTCCTGGTGGTGGTCAGGGCAAATTGTCCTCCGCTGCTGCATCGAGACCTACTCCTGCTGCCCAGCCTTTGCCCCGGGCCACTCCTCAACCGGCCGCGCAGCCGAGAGTAGTTCCCCAGCCAGCTGTGCCTGCCGTCGCGATCGCACATACTCGAAACGATTCTGCGAGCTCAACGAGGGCGCCACCGCCGCCTCCGCCTTCCGCACCTCCTCCGGCCTCGAAGAAGCCCACTGCCAAGGCGTTGTACGACTTTAGTAGCGACCGTTCCAATGAGCTGACCATTCACACGGGAGAGATTGTGCAGATCGTGTCCAAGGAGGGCAATGGTATGTTTTGTACTCGTTCATTATGGTGTCCAACAACTAACATATAACCAGGATGGTGGCTGTGCATGAACATGACAACCTCCACGCAGGGCTGGGCCCCAGAGGCCTACCTCGAGGAGCAGGTTGCTGCCACTCCTCGAGCTGCCCCTCCTCCCCCTCCAGCAGCGCCCCGACCGACACCCAGCCCTGTGCCGAACGGCACTGGAGCCGCTACGGTCGCAGCTGCTAAGAAGCCCGCGCCGCCAGCTCCTCCCATGAAGCGGCCCAACATGGCTGGTCGCAAGCCGGCACCCTCGCCTGCACTCCGCGACAGTACTGCGAGCATGAACTCGGCCGACTCTTCTGGTGCGAGCGGACGCGGCACACCCAGCAGCGCATCCAACGCCAGTCTCGCCGGTGGCTTGGCCGAGGCACTGCGGGCGCGCCAGAGTGCGATGCAGGGAAAGCAAGAGGATGAAGATGATTGGTAGGCAGTGGTGGGGGTTTATACTGGATTGTTTGCGCTTAGCGTTGTCTGCCTCTTCTTTTTTCTTTCTTTATTTCTGATTTGTCCATACTGTTGTGTGACTATGGCATGTGGATTCGGGTTGTTGATGGACCAAGCCAAGGGGGATATTTGCATACTCTTATTCCGTGGTGGGGTTTATCGTGGGCAGATGATACAGTAGATGGAGATGAAGTCGAGTTCAATGTATACTGGTTACAAAGTGGATTGCATTTGAGTCAGTAATCTTAAGGCTGGTCCAGTAGATCGTCCTGATAGATATATAGACGAGTACATCATCTACATGAACTTGCTCGCCAGACTCATCAGACCTCCGGGGCCACCAGTACCACCCAGACCACCGCCACCCTTCATGTACATCTTCAGAGCCATCTCGGCGGCGGTGTTGATAGCAGACTGCTTGTCGCCGTTCTATATTTACCCGCATTATTAGCACCAATCTCCAAACAATCCCTCCCCTAAGAGGACAAAGAGAGGGAGTATGTAGGGAAGTAAGTAAATACCATGTTCCCCCCGGCGTCAGCCTTCTGATCCCACAACTTGCTCGCCTGGGCCATCGCCATACCAACAAACTGATTCTTGTCCCCGCCCCCCTCACCAGAGCTAAACATCTTCAGCGCCTGCATGGCGGCGCCGGCACCAACGTCGCTGGAGTTGTGGGTGCGGCCCTCAGCGCTCTCGTTGTACATCTGCTGGTGGGCGCGCATGGCGTGCTCCTCGTTGATGTCGGAGTCGGAACCCGAGAACTTGTGCTGGTTTTCCTGGAGGAAGCCTAGCGCCGAGTCGAAGAGGGAGCTGTCGCCGGGATTGTGGGATTTGGCGTGCCCGCTTGCGGCGGCGAATTCTTGGAGGAGGTCCATTTTGATATCGAGTGGTTCGGAGGTGGGGGTTTGGATTGGTAGATAGGATCGAGTTGTGTTCGGAGAGGAAGACAAGATGGAGGGGCGTGTGAGATGACGGAGATGTGGCTGGCTGGATATGAAGAGGGGCAGTGTTTACGTGGAGTGTGGGGCAGGAACCAGAGATACTAAGTATTCTATTATGACATAACTAAACGGAGAGACAAGGGTATCAGGGAAAGACAAAAAGACCACCAGGACAAACTAAAGAATCAACGCTTCGTGCTCTTCATCGCTCAGATTCCTCAAAAACCGCAGCTGCCGCTCCCGGGCATGCAGCACACTCCGCCCATCGCCATCCAGATCCGCTTCGCGCACCCATTCATCCGGCAAATCCGTCACCCCAAACCGTCTCCCCCACTGTCTCCGCTGGAACTCCATGAGCCCGCCAAAATGGGGGTCCGTGTTCGCAACCCATATCGCCCCGCCGTCGGGCGTATAGTCCGCGCCGCCGATTTCGCCGAAGAAATCGTGGACCTGGCGCGTTTGGAACATCTGCGCGTCGACGATGGAGATGCGGTCCGCGGGTTCGCAGCACAGAAGGGTCCGGGACCCGCCGCCGACGGGCGAGAAGCGGAGTGAGCGATACCCGGCCACGTCGGAGTCGATCGTCTCCAGGATGCGCCATGTGCGCGCGTCCCAGATGATCACGGTTTTGTCTTGGTTGCTGGTTGCGATGTGGCGCATGTCCGGGGACCAGGCGCAGGCAAAACCGAAGTCGCGGTGGCCGCGGAGGGGGTGTACGGGTCGGCCGGTGTCGGCCTCAATCACCCATGCGTCGGGTGAATCGCCAATGACGACGCGGAGGCGGCTATCGGGGGAGGTTGCGGTGCAATTGATTGGGCGGGATAGTTCCTGGTCTGAGAGGAAAACATTGGTTTCGCAATCCAACACTCGCAAGTGCTGGTCGTTGGACGCAAAGACACCGATAGGCGATCGACCGGACCGACTGCCGATAATATCAACATGATTCGTGATGCCATCGTTGAAGTCCGGAGTGACCAGTCCCTTGGCACCAGAACCCTCCGCTCCTGCAGCGCGCAGGGCGTACTCGCCACAAAATCCGCCGGCAATGGTCAAGCCATAGGCAGTCTTCATGGTGGAGATTTTCACAGGTCCCAGCAGTCCCAGATCAGGTTCTGGCTTGGTCAAATCAATCAGACATCGTGCGATGTCATGGGCTGGGGTCCACGAGAACACCTTTGATTGAGAGGCAAAGTGCACAGTATTGTAAGCAGGAACAGACATCAAATTACGGAGCTGGAAGTGCTCAATCGACGCCTTATGCGATGTGTACATGGCCTTTTCGCGGAAATAGGACTCATGTTGCGGGAGGCATCTTGCGTTGCTGAGTGGCGAGTAATCCAGGTTGTGGTAAGAGGTATACCATGCATCACGCAACGACCGCGCATCGGACCGTTTGACTTTCAAAATCTCCTTCCACGGTATTTGCTGGAGGTCGAAGGTATCCTTTCGGTACTGGTGCGGGCGATGGGATTGCTGCGGCGGTTTCCAGCCGATCATTTTTGATAACGGTCGAAGCTGCGGCGGGATCCGAATTGCCGAAGAGAAACCCTGAGGAATGATATTCGTTTGAATCATCCAGCGCTGGATGAATTCATCAATCGTGAAGTTCCGCTCGTAAGCTATGACGAATATGTCAGCATACGGTCCCACTGCTCAGGACATAGCTCTTACTGGTTGTATGGATGATGGACGGAGGATGCACGCCAGGTGCGTTGGGGAGAGGTTCATCAATATCCGGGATATCGGGTACTGTTTGCGTAATCACGGATGGCAAACCGGACGGTAAAGTGGCATCGTAGTTGATGCGCCTGTAGAAATCATCCAAATCAATGTCACCAGTCGCAAGTGGTGGCCTCTGGGCTCGCTGGCTGCGATAGTAATATTCTTCATCCGGATAAAATCTGATAAAATCCTCAAGATCACCGTCGCTCGAGGATGATGGTGAGTCGTAGGTTTCCTCCACTGTGGCAGGCTCGTAATCCATAACCATCTCATTTCGGTGACTGTTGTCATCAATGTCTTCGACGATCACAGCACTGGGCCAGGCGGCAGTGCGCCCGATCAGTTCCTGTACGACGGCGTGCATCCTTGCATTGCCAGTTGGAGTCTGTGATCCGGCCGAGTCCACTTCTGGTGCTGGGGAGAGATTGTTCGACACGACACCAGACGGGTACAGCGTGGGCGTCGAGAAGGAGGAACTGTGCGCGACCGTCCCGGAAGCGATCAATGGAGAATTCCGTGAAGGCCCTTCTGTCACCGCATTGACAACTTCAGAGACTAGAGATGACCCGCTCTGCTGATTGACGGGATGCACGTCCGGAGATATAGCCGCGAGAGCCGCAACGCCCACATCATGCAACTGCTGGTCGTGTTCCGATGGCATGCCAACGCTGGGAGGCACCGGAGAATACGCTGGACCAGAGCCACTAGCTCCGTCCGGGCTCAACGCGCACTCGGCTTCGTCCGGCGTGGAAGCCTCGCTGCTGGGGGTAGTCGACGAGGGATTCATGATCGGTTGTTGGGGAGACAGTGTCTCGGCAGCACGGGATTCATGGCGAGGTCGGGGAGATAAGACCAAACCCGTAGACAGTTGCTGTGCGAGGAGGCCAATAATCAAGTCCTTTCCGTTCGGCCCTGGACTGCCCGTAGACAGGGGATACCAGAGTCGATCGTGGGGTATTTTTCAGGGGCCCAAGGGAGATGAGGCTGCTGCCTCCGAGGCCCAAGGTAGTACAGGTTGAAGGATATCGTGTCCAGGATTTCCTAGGATGGTCGGTGTTGAATCACGGCTGACTCGGGCTGACTGACTGACACCAAAATGTCCCCACACAGCGTGGCGCCGTGCCCCCCAGCCGTCAGGACCGAAAGGAGAAGAATGCGGGAAACACCGAGTCCCCGCCCGCCGGTATGATCACAGACGACAACCGCAGGGGTAGGTTGGATAGGTGTATCCCCGTCTTCTGCAAAGAAGGTGATCGTGCAGCCAAGTGTGGCGCAGAGGCGATTACAGGCAGCGACCGTTATTTTGCTTTTGCGGTTAGTTCGATCCCTTAGTCAGCCGCGAATCGCCCGGTTGAGCATGATGCATGCGCCGCAGATCCAGCCCGGATGACCTGCGCTTTGGGCATTGGGCAGTTACTAGGTACGCAAGAGGCTGAGTCGGGCAACACCCAGAAACGGATTCCATTCGCGGTAGAGAAAGAAGACAGATAGTAGATACGCTCGTCATAGCTAGGAAAACAAAATTATCAAAAAGATGTAGACGCCCGCCCCGAGAAGACTCGGAATGTAAGTGGTACAAATAAATCACATCGAATAGAAAACAACACAATCAGTAATCAGAATAGGTCTCGTAGTGAGACGGATACCCGGTGGCCGGGGCATGCGGTGGTGGGAAGGCACTGAAGGTGCGCAGGCGGCGTTCTATAAAACGTTAGCCGAGAACCCAAACAAAGACGGCGGGGGGACTCACCCTTTTCGAAATCACGCCACCGCTTCATCGTAATCTTGGTGCTGTCGAACTCGCCCTCTTCCGCCCCGTGGCCCTTGTCCTTCTCACCCGCTGTCTTGCGCGTGTCGCCCCAGCTGAAGTCATCGAACTTCCAGAACGAGTACGTGGGCAGGACAAAGTTCCAAATAGGCAGCGAAACCAGGTAGATGAGCATCCATAAGACGTAGACAAGGCGGTGGGCGGTCACGACAATCAGTAGACCGGGTAGACCCAGAATGAGGCCCAGCAGTACCAAGGGAATGATTTGCACGGGTTGGTGGATGATGGAATGAATGACAACGTAGAAAGTGAAGGCGATGGCGGCGGGGAGCACCAGCGTTCCCACCAGCTCAACGAAAATGACGAACTGCATGCTGAAGCAGAATGTACCGCACAGATCGCGGACCAGCACCAGCTCCATCAGGTTGTGCACGGTACTGTTGATCCAGCGGCGGCGCTGAGACAGCAGAACCATGAACTTGTCGGGCACAACCGTCTTGCACACAGCCTGGGGAACGAAAATCTGCTTGCGCTTCGGGAAGGTCTTGAGCATGAGCGTGGTCAAGTACCGATCCTCACCGAGAAGCAACAGATTTTTCTTGTGCAGGGTGTCGACAACATTCTCAGAATAGTGCTCAACGATGTCCGGGTTGGCCAGGATGGGCACCCAGTAGTTCTGGCCACCCTTGGGGGCCTTGATGCGGTACATGGAGAAACAGCCCGGCAGACAGGTGACACCGCCGAAGACGGACTCGAAAGACTTGGCTTGGTGATGGGAAATGAAGTACTCGAACACCTGGATCATCGTCACCCAGCTGTCGGTTTTGTTAGCGATTTTGGTCTCTCCGCAGAGACCCATGATTTCCGGATCCTTGACCATAGCCGACACCATGTGCGTCAAGCTGTCCGGGAACACTTTGGTATCGGCGTCGACCATCAGAACCACCTCGTAGAAATCCGGAGGAATCCCAGTCACATTCCAGAGACCGTTGAACATTTCGAATTCCAGCTCGGTCATTCGCTCATCGAACATGACCTTCTGCAGGAACGACATCAAAATAATCTGGCTGTCTCGCTTGCCTCGGTTGCCCGGTTTGGCCTGGGTGGCTTCCTCCGGGGTGCCGCACTTGACAATCACCATCATGGGGACGCGCTGCTGCTTCTCCAGAGGGATGACAGAGTGGTTGCCATAGTCGTAGAATCCAGAATAGACCTTGGACATGTTGTGCCGTTTGGAGCCGGTAGCCACAGCCACGTAGGAAAATGGCTGAACATCCTCGGGCGGAACCACATGGTCATGCATCATACCCAACACGATATCCGGAGTCGAGAACTCTTCGCCTTTACCCTTGATGACACCGTCACAGATGACAAGGATAGCTTTATGACTGTTGGGATAGTCGGTCATGGCGATCGAGTCCAGCGTGGTCCGAATTCCGTCTTCACCTTCGGAGTAACATGTCACCAGGCAGATCGCGTGCGCCAGGGGGTATCCGAACGGCTGCCATTCAGGTGGCGGTTGGGGCACAACAGCCTCGTGAATAAACCCAGCCGGACCAGGACCCTCGGATTCCGAGATGAGCGTTGAATAAGCCTGCTCTTGGTGGGCGCCTGGGGGAACCAAGCTGGTGCGGCTGGCCGTGGGAGCGGCATTGTGGTGAGAATTGTCAGCACTGAGAGTACCACGGCTGCTGTTGTGGCTCAATTTGTACATAGTACCACTCGTCGTCGAAGTCGGCATGAGTCGGGAAGTTGAGTTCTGGCTTGCCATCGTGATGTACTGAGGGTTGGCCTTGGCGCTACCACCTCCCACGACGTACGGACTCGTGAAACGAGATGTTGTTGGAAGAAAACTAGCTCGCTTGTTCAAGCTGCGATCTGGAGCCACGGGGGGATCCGCCATCCGAGGGGCAGGCCGATAGATATCGTTGGACCAATCTTCGATTTGCTGGTTACGCGTCCTGGCATCGGAGCTCATGCTCGTCCGTTGAGCGGCAAACCGGGGGAGACAAAAACCATTGAAAGAGCAAGGCAAAACAAAACTTGGTAACCACGATGGATAGAATGAAGATCAAAGCCAAGTAGAGCACAACCTTGGAGGCGATGCACCCCACGGTATCGGTGTCAATACTGCCCACTTTGATGATCTGGGACAGGCATTGTCCGATCTTCTTGTCCCGTCCACTTTGGAGATAATAGGTCAGGTCGACACCGCGGACCACGGGATTCTCGCGCAGGGCATCGAACTCGGAGGGCCATGTCACTTGGGACTTGTTGAACCAGCGGAGAAGATCAAGATCGAGAACATTCCCGGAATACACCGCAAGATTCCGGCTCTTGTTCCTCGTGTCTTCCCACGTGTAGTAGACATCTCCGGATGACGAGAGACCGTAGAAGGCTTTCCGGGCGACTCCGGAGGTATGGCATGCCCAGCCCAGGTAGTATTCCACCGTCAAGTTGGGCTGCGATGACCCATCCTGGTTGTAGGCCGCGCAGGGGAAGTACCATCCAAGATCACCGTTGTTATTTGTGGGAACGTCACCCCCAGGGTTGGCAGTAATAAGCCCTTTGCAGGCGCCATTGACTTGTTGGAAGAAAAAGCTGCCATCCTGGCCGCCATACTTGTGCGGCAAGTCGTACAAGACGTCAGTTCCAGCCGGAATGCCAGCCGCCGCAGGGTGACTCGAGCCCTCGAGATTGTAGGCTTGTCCATGGAAAATCATGTACCCATTACCAACGTCGTTGACCTTCATACGCACCGGCGGCGTCCCGCAAACCGTAGCCGTGAAACCGAACGTGAGAAATCCGACAAACGCTGCGACCATGAGGATGCAGCTGATCAGACCAATCTTCTCCCTCCAAGCCTGTCGCTGCTCCTTCTGGGGCATGCCAAAACAGCGGAGAACAAAATCAGGGATAAAAAACGTGATTAGTGCACAATAAGTAGTCCACAAATCGGGCGGACGAGCCTGCTCCACGGCTTTTTGGCGTCGTTTTTCTTCTGCAGTTCCCCGCGATGTACGTCGCGAGGAGCGCTTCTTTTTCTTTGAGGCGCGATGCCGGCTGGGAGCACGCTCCATCGGCTTGTTCACGTTGCCGCGCGCCCCGTAGAGCTGGTCCTTACCCTTCAGATCCATGCTCCGCGAGCTGTTCGTTTCCGCTTCACCATCGGCATCCAGTAATGGGTCTGTTGGAGGATACGTGTTCAGGCGTTGCGATCGTTGGCGATAGTGGTAATGAGGGTCGTCATGGTCGATCCGTCGGCGTTCTGGTTTGACGAGACTCCTCTTTCGTTGCACTCCCCCACCCTTCTCCATCCGTTCGTCATCGGTATCGGCGTGTCGTCGCTGACTGTGCGAATGTCGGCGACGGTGACGGTGGGAGGAAGTCGGGGTTGTCGGAGTGTCACTGTAGGTACCGCTCTCGATGTCGCGACGGCGTCGCCTTGACGGCTCGCGAAAAGCGTGTACCTCCTCTCGCCGAGGCGAGGACTTGCCCGGCCTCTGCGGCAAAGACATCGCGCTGCTGCGGGTTTCAGGGTCAGCCACGGGTCCATCCCCGGGAGAGGGGCCACGTTGTTGCAGGGGGAATTCTTGGTCGCACTCACCCGTCAACCGGTCCTGGTTGTCAACCAGGCCAAAGAAATGTGTGTAAGTGGTTATGGGACCGAGGTGCGATGAAACATATCAAATGCGATCAATAGCTGAAGTCCCCGGAATTTCCAAACGATGCGACGTGGGTTGGGCTACTGGGACAGGACACGGGCTTGCTCTGTCGATAGAATCACAGCATCGGCCTTCTGCGGTGGCTCCAAGGGTAATTCCAACGATCCAAGTACAGATCGCAGGTAGGGCGAGAACGAAAGTGGAGGGTTGTCGCGAAGGACAGCCAGGCTGACGGTCGGGGTGGAGAATAAACAAAGTCCGCTCCACACTCCCCAGGGCGACGGGTCGGCGAGAAGCGAAGGTGTGGATAAAAGGAACAGGGGAAAATGTAACGAAAGAACAGTGAACCGCAGAAGGAGCGGACCCAGGGAGAAAGGGACTTGGATGAGGGAGAGAGTGAGAGCGAGGCAGGGTCCGAGCCATCATCCCCCAGAGTCACCCTGCATTTTTCTCCTTTCTCGCTTGGCACTTTGGGCCCCGACTGGGTTAGGTTAGGGGGGGGGCGTGATCCACCAATAAGAGCGAGCCCGACAGGGTCAAAAGTAAGACGGGACTCGGGAGCCGATCTATTGAGTAGATTGCGACAATCTCATTATCCTGGTGCTCTGATAAGGTCATCGTGAAGTAATATCCGCAGCCCATTGTCTCAACAACCCTCAATGATGGTATTGTATACTTCCGCACCATGTTCATGGGCACCAAAGTCCATTTCGACCACACTCCTAGCGCAGTCATTGAGGGGCGTTTCAGAGACGACGTCCAGTATTTACTACAGAAGTTAGCTGGCTTCCTTAGCGATCACGATGGCAGCGCCGAGACCACCACCGGAGAGACTGAGATCACCACTGTGTTAGGCGCCCCGCGTCTCATAGAATTCGGGAAGCTGTTTCGACGTGCCCCCCAGCCGCCCAGGAAATCAGACTATTGGATTGACCACGAGCGCCTCAGTGAACTAGCTGCTTCGGTCTGGGTGAAGCAGGCGTTTTAACACCGATAGGTCCTTCTGGTGAGGGATTTGTCTTGTCAAGTGCAGTCATCGGCGAGTAGCCAGATAATCGGACAATTCTAGAAGAGACGTTCTTTAATATATGCATAACAGCCTTTACTCGTATGTTGAATCTAGAGCTACCTAGATCCGAGAATTATGCTGAGACAATATAATCCAAATGAGCGTAGATTGGCACCAAAGCCTAGATATAACCGGGCCTTCCATTTATTACATATTACAAAATGGAAGGCGGAGCTTTATAGCCACAAGAAAAGCCATATACATGTAATCTGACAAGTATAGAAGCTGCACTATCCACAAAAACCATTTATCTCCCCCTCTTAGAAAATGATCATATTCCGTCCTAGGCTCAAGCAGTAGGCGCAGGCGCGGAAGTGTAATCCATCGCAGATGTAGGCTTATTACTAAGTGGTACCGCGACGCAAGACAATGCATTGTTCAATGTGCATCCCATTGGTGGAATGATAAAATTGTTGAACTCAAGAAATGGGTATTTGGGGTTGTATGAGGTTACGAATCCCAGGAGCTGGGGTTCCAGTACAAATATTCTTTAATAGTCTAATTATGTTAGTATGTAGACAAGTAAGAGTCCTATGGATAAAGTTAGCTAACTCACGGCTGCAGTGATCTAAGGCTTCACCAGTAGCCTCGCCGAAAGACCAAGCATCGGAAGCATGGAGACATCTTTTGACCCGAGTAGGTTCCTCTAGTATATTCTTGTCCTTAAGGCACGAGTCTTCCCCTGGATGTCACCAAGGATAGGATCTCGAAATAGTTAGTGCACAACAGCCTCGAGTGCAACAGATGCCTGCATAAGCTGAGGCTCGCCGTCAGGAAATGTGGCTTGGTAGCCGCTCCACAGACGATCGTACTCGTACCGACATGCTATGATCGACACACCGGCGGACGATCATCCCGGATGGGCCACCCATCAAGCCCATCGATGCAGGCATACCCAGTAACTAGTTCATGCAAAAGGCGATCTATATACCAATCACAGCACGCACGCAGCGCGGTGGAGCCAGGTCCCTCCCGGGTTGCCAGCTCCGACTCGCGATTCTTTACTTATTATGATTTCTGGACGGACCATCGCACCCCCTGTCGAGCCACGTTCCCTAGCTGAAACCACCAGACGGTAGAAGTGGAGCTGTCGGGAAGCACTGCCGAGAGAGAGCACGGACAAAATGGATCTGAGGCAGTACATAGACAAAGCGTATATGCTTCGTACCCATCACGGTCTGAATTCGCGAGGGGGTAGACAGGGCTTCATCTTCGAGCCTGCAGGGGCCATATCATACAGGGCAGACTGGTCAGTGACCCTAGGACACGAATCACGTATGCTGGTCTACTTGATGTGTAGATATTTTCTGACAGGGCTCCTGTCCGCAAGGAGCTCCTGGATAGACGTGTACCAGGACGGGCCGTGCGAGAGTTCCCACTTCCCAGGGACCGATAAACTCAATCAGTTTACATTCTTTATGTATTGCTTATGCGCGGCCCTACGTGCCTAGAGGGCCAGCGTAAGCACAGGAAGAATGGCGACATGAGGGACCAGATATCGCCCTCGCCAAGTCGGCTCACGCCTCCTGGTTCCGGGTAGAGCAAGGTCGCGAGGAGGGCCTTGCTAGGGTTCTGCTCAAGGCAGGACTCAGCGACGCCCCTTTCACTGCCTCCTCGTTTTCCACCCCGGGGAGAGGAAAAAAGAAGAAGAAAAGGTTTCTTGGGCCACGCACGGATAGTCGGAAGCGCCGGACGAAGAAGGAAAGAAAAAAAACTTGAGTTAGTGCGCTGCGCCCAAGTCCCCGTTGCTACTAGTCCGATGTGCCGTCTGTGCCCCCGCGTCCCGTAGTGGAGAAATTCAGAGCAACATCGATCTTCATCCCCCGATCGGTGGTCGGTCTGTCTGCCTGTTGGGGAGTGGGAGGCGAGGGCTAAAAAGGAGACGGCACCCCGTTTCAGTTCCCGCGCGCAAACGATGGGAGGGCAATGGGGAGCGAGCAATAACTTGGCGCGATGATGACCCGGATGATTTTTGTCTCACTTGCATCCGCGTGTCTGTAATGCTCAGCCATCATTCAGTAACTCCCACAGTCCGTAGTGAGCTCGTAGTTACCTATACGAGACATATAATGCAACCCAACTACCGTGGGTATTAATAGGCGGCACACTCGCTTTTATCAATCACGACTGGACTTGGATTTCTCCCCCGATCGCCCCTCACTTCAGAACCATAGTGATCCTCCACTACTACAACGACCCTTTTATTTGCCACCCGCGACGGTATTTGGTCCACTTCCAACATATCCACTGACTGGGGGCACTACGGATCCTCCTTACTAGCGATAAGGAGGTCTCCTCCTCTCTCTTTGCGCAATTCCTCCGCTTCTCCTCAGCAGACAGGGCCCCATAATTAATTTCTGCTCCGTCTTTCTCTCTTTCTCTCTCTCATTCACTCTCTCACTCCTTCTTCTCACACGGCCCTGTCCACCAGCCTGCCAGACTGAGGGGCATCGCATGCTCTCCCCAGCAACCATGGCGAGCTCTGCAGCCAACGACTATCGCCCGCACCCACTCGCTTCCCCGTCACCCGCTTACAACCCTTCCTCCCCTCTCTCACAACAACCCGACACGCCACGAACGGTGCCTCCCCCACCGAACGTCAGCATTAGTCGAAAGCCCCTGACACCTCAGACCGTGACATCAACGGTCCATCATTCGCCCCTTTCGCCGCTGCAGATCGACAATGGGGGCGACCTCCCGCAGCCCAAAAATGCGCAGATCAAGAATGCGCAAGATGACGATGGCCCTGAAACACCGCAGCTGCAGCTGCCTGGTTTCGCAGCGATGTCGCTAGAGGATTCAGTACCACCTCAACAACAGACCTGGAACGCGTCGTACCCCCGACGGAAAGACTCCAAGCGACCGCCGGTGTATTTGCAGTCAGAGCAGCTGCTCGACCAGACTCCCTCCGGCAGCGAGGATGGCCACGGCAACGCCCAAAAGGCCAGCTCGTTCGTTGAGCGGGAGGCGCAAAGTGGAAGCCACAACAGTTCCTCTCGCGGCAGTTTGGAAAGCCTGGCGCAGACCTCTGACAGTTATGAACCGCTCCACTACCACCACCAGCAAGACCAGAACTCCAAGACCGGTCTCCGATCAGTATCCGCCATGAATCCAGCGGATAATCGGTCGGGATCCACGGGTAATTTAGTCGCCCCGCGTTCTCGCATTGCGCGGCCGCTCTCTGCGTACTCTTCGGTCTCCGATTTTGGTGGTCATCGACGCAATCTCTCCGCATCGCCTTATATGCATGCTCGCTCTTCATCACGGAACTCAACTGCATCGCCAGACAACCGATCGCTCTCACTCCTGGATCTTCTGAACACCTCATATCCACAGCCTGGCCCCGTGGCTGCCCAGCTCGATAACTCGTATCTTCGAACCGCTGTCGGGAACAACGCATCACTACTCACCAATAAGCAGACCTTTGAGATGTATCTGGGCAATGTGAAGAAGACTGACGAGCCATCCGTTCAATACGAGTTTGCTGTGTTTATGGTCAACTCGATGCGTGAGATGCCCAATGTGGATCTGGAAAGTGGCGACACCATTACCCGTGCCAGACTGGGCCGAGAGGCTCGATCGATTTTGCAGCGCCTCGCTGACCGCAGCTATCCATTTGCGCAATACTATCTTGGAGATGGGTATGCATCTGGCCTGTTCAGTAAAGGAAAAGAAGACTACGACCGGGCATTCCCGCTCTTTGTGGCGGCCAGCAAACACGGCCACGTCGAGGCCTGTTACCGTGTAGCTTTGTGCTACGAATTTGGATGGGGTTGTCGAGTCGAAGGAGGGCGGGCGGTTCAATTCTACCGCCAGGCAGCGTCCAAGAACCATCCGGGTGCCATGCTGCGCATGGCCAAGGCGTGCTTGGGAGGTGACATGGGACTAGGCAAACGGTACCGAGAAGGCATCAAGTGGCTGAAGCGCGCCGCGGAGTCCTCCGATGCGCAGTACAATTCGGCTCCGTACGAACTGGGCTTGCTCCACGAGACCGGTTACGGTGACGACGTCTTCAAGGACGAATCCTACGCCGCGCAGCTTTTCACCCGATCCGCCGAGTTAGGTCATGTGGAGGCATCGTATCGTTTGGGAGATGCCTACGAGCACGGCAAACTGAACTGTCCGCGAGACCCGGCATTGAGTATCCATTTCTACACCAACGCAGCGCAAAACGGGCATCTGCTAGCCATGATGGCTCTATGTGCTTGGTACCTGGTTGGCGCCGAGCCTGTTCTCGACAAGGATGAGATGGAGGCGTACGAATGGGCTGCACGGGCTGCTGGCCTTGGTATGGGTTTTGGCAATCCTCTCTGTCGGCCATTGCTAACTTGCTCTCAGGTCTCGCGAAAGCACAGTACGCCATCGGTTATTTTACAGAAATGGGCATCGGGTGCCACCGTGATCCCCTCGAGGCCAACGTCTGGTATGTCAAGGCTGCAGACCAGGGCGACGAGCGGGCCAAGCACCGAATTGCTGCTATTCGGGCCGCCGCAGATGGGGGAAATCCCGCGTTTGTCGCCCGGAATGGAGGTCGTATGAAGAAGGACGGAAAGGGTGAGTGTCTAGCCTGACTGGCTCGAGATATTGTTACTGACTTATATCTTCCAGACTCCGACAAGGGCGTCAAAAAGCGATTCGTCATCTTTTAAATTTTCAACCCAGATACTACGGCGATTTCCAAACCACATCCACCTCTCAACCCTCATGAAATCCTCAATTTGCGCGGAGAAGTCGCAAACCACAAATTAATGCATAATCCTGCATGCCTGCATTCGCGCCAGCAAAGCATTGCAATATCCCCTCAAAGCGACTTGATCTTGATTTGATTCCCGATGTTTATACCAACGCAACATACTCCCCCGCGTCTGATCTTTTGATCGTTTTTTAATGAATTCTCGCGCCAGGTCGCGTCGATTTACCATGCATGTGTGCTTACCTACTCGTGATCTCAACCGATCATTGCATATACCGCATTCCTCGGAGCAGAATCTAATTGAATGAATCTCCTGACAGGATATCAGTGATGTAGTCCTGTGCGGAAACATGTCCTTTCTTTTCTTTCCTTTTCGGCTTGGTTTTATATCCCACATTCATGAGTTTTCTCTTTGCACCTCCACACAGTAGTAACTTCTGAGCTTTTTGCAAGGCGTTTATGGAAATTCTCATATTGGTTTACCTTCTAATACTGGACTATGATGATATGTGTTTGATCTTGCCAAATTTCGCATTCCTTGTCTTCTGTTCGGAAGAATTGCGCCATTGCGGTATACTCTGTATCACAGACCCTCGAGCATGGGCTACATCTAGCGTCCAAAGACAAGATATGTAACATCTTCTTTGCCCGTACGTCTGTATGTCGACTTCTCAAGGCTACTTCTAACGTTCTTAGCAGTGCATAACATGCAAACTCTACCTTTTTCCTATTAAGGTATACCTCCATGCATAATATCTATTTTTGTCCATCAGCATTGTATACCGCCACCCCACATTTCAATGCGACATCACACCATCTAACAAGGATTCCTCACTCGATAGCTAAGCATTGGCCCCAATGCGGGGTGAGCAGTCCAGCTTAGCGTGACAGGGGTAATACGTAGAGTATCCCTGTTGCAAAGTGGGGACCTTGTTGCAAAAAATTGCGGAGGATGTAACTGCTCGGGGATCGGATCCCGGTGGGGCTTGGCGTGAATGGTGGGAGGGTCATGATATTTATCTTTCTGGTTACAGGGTTCACGTCTATAAAACTCAAATGTAAGCACAAAGGAGTTGCTAGACGCCATTCGGGGTCATTAGGTTGACGTTCCGCAAACTCGAGAGAGTCGACCTGCTACCTGATTCAGTTGCGGCACAGAAGGCTCAGCCAGCCTAAACCATGTCAGGTATATAAAAACCTATACAACCTGCGAAGGCGTGTCGCAGCTCGGTTTACTATTTACTTCAAATCGGCAACTTTCCTCGGCAATCCAAACGAAGTTGAATCGAACATACGGCTTGGCTTCGTTTCTGCCTTCGTAAATCCATTGTTTGTGCTTCTCGGTGATACATGATGCATTAGCCAAGACTAAGGCTGTCAATTACGCAACGTGCCTACAATATTCTCACGCCCACTGGGGCCAATTCAGCCCCCGTTCAGCCGCAGCGGGGGTTCCCCGTCGGCTTAACAAATTCCGATCAGACTGCGGTTTTGTCACATATAAAGATAGCGCAGCGTCTGTATCTTTGTTGGTGTTTTCACATATATTTTCATCATGGAAGTTCATGTAATCTCAAAGCAGGACAACCGGCAGCATGCGACCTTCGCCGTCCCCGAAGCTTCCCTGCCAAAGCTGGCCGCGTCTTCGATTCGCGTGCGCCCCGCGGTCATTAGCCTGACTTCGAACAATTTGACGTATGCAGGAATGGGTGATAGTCTTCACTGGTATGCTCGCCAAGACACACATGATAGCGTATTTGAACATCGTGGGTAGAATTCGAGAATATCTGACGATTCCTGCGCAGGTGGGATACGTATCCCGTCCTTGAGAACTATCCAGCCCCGTACAATGACAGCTCAGCCTGGGGCATCGTTCCTGCTTGGGGATTTGCCACAATTCAGGAAAGCAACATTCCCGAATTGCCCAACGGAACCATGCTCTATGGGTTCTGGCCGACATCGAGCGCGCTGACAGACCTCAAGCTGGCACCATCCGAGCCACAGGGCTACTGGACTGAAGTCAGCGAGCACCGAAAGCAGCTGATGACCATCTATAACATCTACTGCGTGGAGCCTTCCAGCCGTGATACTCCCAATGCGCAAGACGAGCTCGAGCGCCTGGGGTGGTCATCAGTCCTCCGTGCCATCTGGTCGGCAGGATATGTGCTCAGCGAGCATGTCTTCTCGGCTCACCCGCAGACCCAGCCCTCAATTCACCCCCTCGGTAACGAGGTAGGATTAGACTGGACAGCCGACGACGGCGACCTGACTTCGGCCGTTGTGGTCAATCTGGGCGCGTCAACGAAGACAGCTCGTGTGTTTACACACCATGCATCGCGACGAGCACAAGATGTCGGACCCCTCGGGCTTCTCCAAGTAACCTCCGCCGTGTCAGGACTCTCGCAGGCCATGGAAAACCTGTCTCCCAAGTTTTCCACGCGCACGATTGACTACTCCGATATCAAGGCTGAGGGAACCGCCGACTGGCTGAGCGGCCTCAAGCCCTCGAAGATCGTCATTCTCGATTATGGCGCCCGCGGGAATGCATTGGAGCCGCTGCTGGAGCTCATCCGGACACACTCTAATCTGAAGTCTTGTAAGGTGGTGATTATTGCAATCGGACTTGAGCAAAAGGTAAAGCTCCTGTTTCTCTCCGCATGCACAGTGATCAAGTCATAGTTTGCTGACCGGCAAAACAGGTATACACCAGCGAGGAGATGCAGACAGTTGGCAAGAACATGGTGCAGCTGGGGAAGATTCAGTTTAATACTTCCGGTGTTCGCGACACGCTGATGAAATCCATGTCTCCGGCGAAGTTCTTTGAGGTTTTGAATGAAGCGTGGAGACAATTGCTGGCCGATCGCACAACAAGTATACCAGACATGAATCTCGTGTGGGGCAAGGGGGTTGCTGGTACAAATGGGCTTGAAGGGGGCTGGGATGCACTGTGTCAGGGACAGGTGAAGGCAGAGGAGGCGCTGGTGTATACAATGCCATGATGTAGATGCCTGCAGGCAGCAGCGGGTGGATGCCCGAGGCCAACCATGCGAATATACAGCCGTACCTTCCTCTTTTACCATAGCTGTTGTCTTCCCTTCTTCTTCTTCCTCTTCTTCTTCACGTTTTCCGTCCTTCTCTTCTTCCCTCTTGTCTCCTTCATCCACTTTCTCTTAGTACCACCCTCATCGCTCACCTTGACCACTCTTGGTCCATCTCTCTTCTCTTCAACTCTTTCTCCCCCAACGCTTTCTGTCCTATCTCTCTTCCTCATACTACCCAAAATGTCTGCCATAGACCCAGAAATCTTCAAGGCGTCTGTTGTTGTCGTCAGTGGCTCTTTTGCGAAGTACAATCAAGGTACGCCCCCTCCCCCTTCATTCATGGCCCCAAACAGCTTCAGCTCGTGGCTATCAATCTACTGACACTAAGGCCGGGTGACATTTAACAGGCGACGTGAAGAGGTTTGTAGAAGCCCACGGTGGCAAGCTTCGCTCTACCGTCACAGATGATTGCACGCACCTGATCACGTCCCAGAAAGACGTGGACAAGAAGCCCACCAAATGTACGACGCCATGGATTTACAACCTTCCCCCGCATATGAGTCAGTGCTTATACTTTGCATCCAGATCTGCAAGCTGCCAAGCGTGCCACCTGCCAGATCGTGTCTCTCGATTGGCTCCTTGACTCCGTGGAAGCCAAGAAAGCGCTTCCTGAGAAGCCATATCTTCTTGCTTCCGGTGATCCTTCCACCAAAGACGGCAATCTGAATGGGAGTGCCGCTGAAAAAAACGAAGACAAGAAACGACCTGCCAATGGAGCTGCCGAAGCCGAACCCACCAACAAAAAGCTGAAAAACGCACAGATCGCCAGCTCCAACTCACTGAAGGTTCCTGCTGACAAGGCCTTCGTTCATCAATCACCCAATTTTCAGAGTATGTCGAGCCAACTTGTGAATAGTTTCAGAGACACTAACGTGTTTGCTTGCACAGACCCGAAAGTCTACATTGACGATACCGGACTGATCTGGGATGCCACTCTGAACCAGACCAATGCATCATCCAACAACAACAAGTTCTACCGCATCCAGATTCTGGTCGGCAATACGGGAACTGAATTTGTAACCTGGACTCATTGGGGCCGTGTGGGAGAGTATGGGCAGTCTAGCATACTGGTGAATGGGGCCTTGACTTCTGCAAAAAACTTCTTTGTACAGAAGTTCAAGGACAAGTCGGGCTTGAAGTGGGAAAATCGGCTCGATCCCCCAAAGAGGGGAAAGTACACGTTCATTGAGCGTGAATATGAAAAGGATGACGAGGACCTGCCAAAGGAGGCCCAAGAGGACAAGGTCAAAATCGAGAGTGCCTTGCCGAAACCTACGCAGGAGCTGCTATCTTTCATCTTTGATGCTGACAACCTGCTGTCTACGATGGCAGAACTGTCGTACGACCCCGACAAGCTGCCTCTGGGCAAGCTGAGCGAGCGAACACTCAAGGCCGGCTTCTCGATCCTCAATGAACTGTCGGAGCTGATTGCAGGCCCAGAATTGGCATCTTCTACACAGGTTATAGAAGCCCTGAGTAATCGGTACTTCACCACCATTCCTCACATCTTTGGCCGCAACAGACCTCCGATGCTGAATACAGACGCTCAAATCAAGAAGGAGATTGAGCTTCTTGAGACACTGACGGAAATGGACATTACGAACGACATCATGAAGAAGTCCAAGGATGGCGAGGAAATCAACCAGCTGGACCGTCAGTTTCAGGGTCTGGGGTTGCAGGAATTGACACAGCGTAAGACCACCTTTATTGCCATTTGGTCAGGAGAAACTCACGTAAGGCAGTCGACCACCAATCTACGGAGTTCAAAGAACTGGAAAATTACCTTTCGATCTCCCGAGGAGCGACGCATTCTCTTAACTACCAGGTAACTTCAAAGCTCAACTGTCGATGACCTTAGATCTAACATTGACAGATCATTGATATCTTCCGAATTGAACGCAAAGGGGAGATCGATCGCCTGTCGTCATCGCGGTTTGCAAAGATGAAAAACTCCAACCGTCGACTTCTTTGGCATGGATCTCGGAGCACCAATTTCGGCGGCATCCTGAGTCAAGGCCTGCGAATCGCACCACCTGAAGCGCCCGTCAGCGGATACATGTTCGGCAAGGGCGTCTATCTGGCAGATACGTCGAGCAAGTCTGCCAACTACTGTCATTCGCACAACAGCAACAACAAGGGCCTGCTTCTGCTGTGCGAGGTTGAACTTGGAGAGCCCATGCTGGAGTTGTACGAGAATGACTATCGGGCCGGTGAGAAGGCTCGCGTCACTGGCCGTGTTGCAACTCTCGGGAAAGGGACCAGCACGCCAGGTGGTTGGAAGGACGCCAGCTGTGTGTACCAGGACTTGGAGGGCGTCAAGATGCCGGATGTGGCGATCCCTACGTGCACTGACGACGCCGCGTTTCTCCAGTACAACGAGTACATTGTGTACGATGTGGCCCAGATTCGACAGCGTTACCTTTTTTACACCAAGATGACTTGATCGAATCGGTGTGTTCGATTTGCTAGGAACACGGGACGTCTGGCATCATCATGGAGTTAGGAAAAGCTGATCATAGGTTAGGAAATGGCATGCATACCCCTTTGTCTCTGAACCACAATTAGTCTAAAGATCTTGGTCTGTCTGGCCTACGATCGTAACCGATGCCCCGTAATATCCTATGTCTGAGCCCAATATGTCGATCGTTGTCACGCAAACACAGTTTATTTATTTCCAGGTCTCATTTTATAACAATCCGTGTTACTCTGTCAACGTATAGATTACTTTTAAAGACTAGGAAACTAACACCTCTTTAGCTGAAGCCAATATGTTAACTGGGATACATTCTTCTTTGTCTTTCTCTTCATATTTATCTTGTGGTCTCGACCGAAGTCTGATTTGAGGCGACAACGTAAAAGGCCACGAGACCGAGATCGCAAGTACGGGGTCGCAAACCTCAAAGGGTCGGCATTTACCGTGGCATTTCGCGCGCAAAGCGCTCGAAGAGGCATTTCAGACTGCTCCCTTCGAACCATGCCTTGCTCTCCATCCACCCTTGCACAATAAGGTTTCTACCCACCTTCACAACCTCCTCGATTTGCTGCTGATTGCCCCATCCAGACACTCTACTTCCCCAGCAAACCAAGTGAACCCCGACGTGGATCGCAGTCCGAAATGCCATTTTGTCGCTAAGAGGCCCGTATCCTTCCAAGAATCCTTCAATAACCCACATCCCACAGTCTACCTCTTTGAAGAGCTTTGTTTCGTATAATTCGGCAATCATCTGGCCCAGATCCAATGCTCGGCTCCCGATTTGCGTCAGTTCCCAGTCAATGATGAACAACGTTGCTTTGGACTGGTCAACAAGCGGTGCGTTCGGGATGAGCAGGCTGACAATAATCACGTTAGCACCACCGACTCTCAAGGTTGGATAGGAATCGATCTCTGTGAGAACCTACTTTCCAGTCCAAAAATCGCCGTGGATAAGTCCGTATTCATCATCCTGATCATCTTTCTTCAGCTCTGCTGCCGCAAATTTGTGAACTTCCTCAAAAACGCCTCGACTCTCTTCTAGGATGTCCGGGAAGTTCGCAATAGTGTCCAACAGCATGGAATAGTTAACGTAGAACTTCAGATCTTTCATTGTCCCATTCTGATTGATCAAATCCCTGGTCTCCTTCTGTTCCGGCTTGGTTCCCCATTCGTGGAACGATCGTAGCCAGGATCCTAGGGAGCAACCAAGCGAACGCGCCGAGGACTCTGACACGTCCTGCGCTAGCTCGGAGAGGAGAAAATGTTTCAGATCGAGGGAATTGGGGAGATCCTCCAGAACTTGCGTGTTTGTTTCTCGATCAAAATGGAAGACCCGTGGTGTTTTGACCGTGATGTTTCCCTGAGAGAAGGACAGCAGACCACCATCGAGTGCTTGGAGGATGGCTTCTTCAAAATGCTAAGTTCAAGTTAGCAAAACTACATCTTCTACTCTCTCCGAATGGCATTTAAACTAACACAACGCTTCGCATCAAGCTTGAAATCCCGATTGGAAGCCACATAATCCTTAGTATGCTTAATGATGATGGAATCTGGGGACGCCGAGGAGGGTGTGCCGCGGTAGACGAAATTGGCGGTGCCGCCGGATAAGCGACAGAGGGAAGAGCATGCGAACGAGGTTTGCAAAAGCTCTTGCGCGATTTGCTCGCGGATTTCGTCCTTTTCTGCGGTATTTGCGGCCATTTCGTTAGAGGGATCCATTCGAGGAAGAATTGAAGAAAAGGGCCGTTTTGCGTAGGCAACCCCACATTCGTAGTGGGGAGTGCACGAAGCAAAGCCACATGAGTCAATAAGGTACAATCACTCCTGCTTTAGGCTCCCCGATTGCAATTTGGTGCGCATCATTATAACCGCCTCATGTCGGAGAATATATCCAATGGCCAAGACGCGGTTCTCATGGTCAAGCTTCCTCGAAAGCCCTGAGAAGTGGTGCCTCGGAGATGCTCTGCCCACCAAGGCAGTGCACGAAATAAGGTTTCCAGGCCACCATGGAGGGCTGAGCAAGATTAAAGTGTCACAACAAAAAACTATACTCGGATTGGTCGGATCTTGAATTGAAAGGCTGTGATCAGGAGTTACCCGTCATCCCATGACTCAGAGCTGGCTTCCTGCCTCGCGGGTGGCGGAGTTGCATGCTTTGTCTCTGCAGTATTGGGGCGAGCCTGGTTCCCCCATAAGAAGAATCACCAAGTAACTGATCTCCACGGTTCCACTGTTGAATCTAACGAGAGAGATCGATTTTGCTGTGTCGGTTGGGATTATATACTCAATATTGAGTCTCTAAAAATATTTTAACTGTGTTCTCCATATTCGTATTATTCTGGGCGGCCAGTCTCCTTTGGCCGCTATGGCTAAACACAGGCGCAAAGGATCTCCGAACAGATGCGATTCTGCCGTTGTTATATTACCTTTCACCAGCGATCCACGTCAACAACTACACTACCGCTCGAAACCGAAGAATGTACAAAAGGCCAGACTCAAGCATCAACCACTTCGCCCAGAGTGGGAGACACAGGCAGCGAAGCTAAAAGACACAAGTTTTATTGACAGGTGAGGCCATCTCCTACTGGTCATCTATAAGCATGTCTTAACAACAATGCTTCCTGGCCAGATTTTTCGCTCTACCCTCCGAAATCAGAAGCCACATCTGGCGTCTCCTGTTAGTCCAGCCACGCAAATTCAATATGCTCCATAGAAACCAATGCACGCAAAACAACTCGCTCTACCCAGGACCAGCCCCCGATCAGATATCAAGTTGGAAGGGTTCGCTGTGTGCAAAATGCCTGAACTATCCATGGGGTCACCTGTGCGCAAATCTAGCCACAATCTACGAATCACCTTTGCGGAGCAAATGGGCACGACCATTGCTAAATCCATTCTTATGTGATACATGCCACTGGGATGTGGTAGGACGCAAAATGGACCGTTTAGACCCTGCTCTGAAACTTCTTCCATGTATTTGCACTCGACGCGAGAATCTAGACGTGTTGCTGGTCAACAAGCGGATTCACGACGAGGCGGCTTATGTCTTCTGGAATGAGAACTGGTTTTGCTTCGAGCATCCCGGCCAGCTGACAGGCTTACTGAGAATTGTTCGGCCGCACATCAAGTCGTGGATCCGGTACATGACGATCATGCCGTATACTGAAGACGAGCACGAACCTGAACGACTAGTATGGATGCCTCCACCATTATCTTGGAGATCTATGCTAGAATGCACTGGGCTTGTGGATATCGAGATCGATATTGGCCTCTTGTCATCTTGGAGCTCTGTTCTGGGTTTGCGGAATGTACATGTTCAGAGGTCGGTTTCTTTTGTGCGTCCGCGTGGCTGGGACGAGTCTGTACGGGAATGGGAGTCTAGAACGTATCCTAGAGCGTATATTTGGCCTGAGAGAGCACAACGGCAGATTGTCCATACGCCGTTGACGGAGGCTCTGGAGGAAAGTATGCGCCGGAGGCCGTTGAAGACGAAGGTGCTCAAAAAAGCTTTCGCTGCAAGTGGGTTGTGGAAAACATGATGCGATAGTCCAGTGATAGAAGAAAAATCTTGAAATATCTTGAAAAGTTAAGCTTAAAAATTGAAAGGCGTGTAAGAAATGATAGAAGTCACCGGCAAGTAAGATTTTGTGGAAGTGGAGACAGTCTCGATTTCAATTGCCCGGAATTAGTTTTCATCAGGCTCGGGATTCCGATCAGTTAAAGAAAAAAAACAACATTATTGCAATGATATCATTTGTTTTTAACTTGTGAGCATTGAAATCGCCTTGAGAGTGGATCGCAATTGATATGGAAGTGGATCTCGCGATTCCTGGTTTGTGGACTGTAGGCTCGGTTTACCTGATTGGGACACAACAATCCGACTCGACTACACCTAGATCCTGAAAAGGTAGTGGCAACGCTATCACCGATAAGTAAATTGCATTGAAATATCTGCTCTCGCTGCGTTTAATCTCAGCCTGTACAACATTCTCTCGATTGAACAATTTGTGCCCTCCATTTCAGCGGCTGTTTACCAATCCGATTCCTTGCTTCCAGGACAAGCAGTACGAGCTGCACCTATCAACATGGGTATCAAAGACACAGTTTCGCCCAACACGACACTTTCAAAGCCTCACATCTGCGTGATCGGCTCTCTGAATATCGACTTCGTCACCTCCACGCCCCGTTGCCCAGGACCAGGCGAAACCCTTACCGCAACATCCCTCTCTGTTACAGCTGGCGGCAAAGGCGGCAACCAAGCAGTCGCATGCGGGCGTGCATCGTTCGTGACACAAGAGACCCAGGATGTATCCGTCAGCATGATCGGAGCAGTCGGAGCCGATGACGTTTACTACTCGACGCTTGTGCGGCCGGCATTGGAAGCGTCGGGCATAAGGACAGAAGGCATTGAGATGTCAAAGACAGCGCAAACGGGATCAGCCAGCATTATCGTTGAAGAAAGTGTCGGAGGAGAAAATCGCATCCTAGTCGTGCCGGGTGCCAACCATGCTGGGATGATGAGCGACATTCCGCAGATCATCACAGCAGTCGAGCATCAACAACCCAAGCCTGGTGTGGTGGTGATGCAGGGTGAGATCCCGAGGCAGACGGTACTGGGCCTCTTGGAATATTTCAATCGCAGTTCCTCGAGCACGAATGTTATCTTCAACCCGGCACCTGTGTTCCCAGAGGGGATCCCTCTCGATTCGTTACAAGGGACGGCGGTGCTTGTGATGAATGAAACCGAGGCTGTGCAGATGTCACGCACTATCGCTGGTCTTCCTGTGGGTGATGCGGATCACATCGCAGAACAAGCGAGCTTGAATCCCGAAGAGCTGGCTCTGCCTTTCCATGAGCTCGCTGGGGTTCAGATTGTGTTAATCACACTCGGGGCTAAGGGTGTGTATTTCTCCACTTGCGCTGGGAAGCGCGGCGTCGTGAAGGGCGTAAAGGTTGCCAAGGTCGTAGATACCACCGCAGCCGGAGATACCTTCGTCGGATACTTTTCAGCGGCGGTTGCACGTTTTCTAGTCAAGGGCCTGGACTTGACTGCTTTCGACGCCGAGATTGAAACCGCCGTTGAAAAAGCAAATGCTGCTGCTGCAAAGTGCGTGCAACGACGAGGTGCTATGATGAGTATTCCTTTTGCGCATGAATTTTAGGGCAAGATAGGCATAACATAGCGTTGAAATGGGCCATTGGGAACGGCGTTTTGTTAAATTATGTTGATAGAATAATAGAGTTACCCTACTTCATCCTCAGCATCCTCATCGTAGCGTGCCATATTCCAATTGGACTTCAGCGCCTCGATCTCGAATTCCAGATTGATCCCTGTTGTCGTGGTGATTCTGTGTAGTCGTTCAAGCAGTACTGCCTGCTGAGACTCGTGTGTCATCTCGCGCGCTATCAGCAGAAGACTAGCAACAAGGATAGGATCCCATTGTTCTGGCGAGTCATTGCTAGCAGCGATACCCGCGATTGACTGTGCGTGCCAGATATGCGAAGTGATGCATCGTGGTCCTGGGAGGGACTTTAAAAGCCGTGGTTTATGAGTGAGCAATAGGAGGGACGTGATATGATACACAATATTGGCTGCAAGGGCAAGTGGAGTGGTGTAGATGAGGATAGGGAAAGACGAGCAGTGTTCTGGGTCGATTTTGTCGGCCTCGCCGCCGCGGATGTCTACAATCTGCTGTGCATCCACCGGTCGGTCGTTATACCATTTCTGGCAATCTGACCAGAGGAATGTCCACTGGGACAGAAAATGGGATTGGCGTAAGGAAGGAAATGCGGATAACTCGGGCGAACCTGCGGCTACTGGAGTGGCCGCTTCTGGGCCTCCGTAGATCAAGGCGAGACAATGGCCCAAAAGACATAAAACGTGCTTATATACTCGGTGTACGGAGTGGGATTGCGGTGGTGGCTGCGGCAAAGAGTGTATAGGTGAGCCATCCCGTCGCAAGAAAGAGCGAAAGGGCAGAATCGGTGGTTGTAAAGACATAATTGAGGCTGCCAGATCTGCAGGACGAAACTTCCAAGTTAGTCTCCTCTCCCGAAACAAACCATCAAATCCCTCACGCACCTAGTCGGAAATATAGCCAAAAAAGCGACTCTCCGAGAGCATCTCCCAGAGGAGAAAGAAACGTAAAGCCATCATAAACCCCTCTTAGATGTATGAATAAGTCTCTCCATTTTTGAGGGCCTGCCGCAAGGAAGTCTTGGAGAATGAGGAGAGCACGGCCAGCATGTCTACTCGACTCAGGCTCGATCATCAGACTAGCCTCAGCTTCCTTTCGAAACTTGGGCCCGTACTCCAGATCTTGATTGTTTGTAAATGAAGAAATAGCGAGTCTTTGCGCAGCTGAAAGGGCCAGAATGGCGGCCTGGACCGGCCTGTTGGTTCGAGAAAGAAGCAGGGTCTGCAGTCCAAAAGTACAGCTGGGATCTCCCACATCAATCCATGGGGAAATGTGGTAGCGGAAATGTCTCAATAACGCTGTTTCATGACTGCCGCCCGCGCTCGGTGAAGACAGGATTCCTTGCTGGTCACTGAATTCAGAAATAGCGTAGGTCGGATGCACGGGACTGTTTAGGAGGCGAGTATCTCGTGCCTGTCGTTCTTGGTCGCCGATGAGTAGACTAGGCACATTCTGTATAATCGACGGTCCTGCAGAAGCATCGTCAAGAGCGTCGGGCATGAAAAGATCTTGCACTTCAGCAGGGGGCGATCCTGGTATGTCGCTGGCATTTTGAAGGTCTTGTATATCATTAGGGCCTGGCTGTGGTGGTGGCTGTTGATCTTTGACCGTCTCCTTGTTCGCGGTCTGGTTGGCTGCTAAAGGAGTTTCGTCCACGAACTAGATGCAATAATCAATCTCAGCTGCTAGCTCCACGTAGGCTATCCTGCTTACTGTGATGTTGGTGTAGGCCTGGCTTCCGCCCGAGACCAGCCCGGACTGCGGCGGCACAAAAGACAGGTCGGTGCCATATTTACAGGTGAACCCTTTCACCTCACAATTCGCACAGCGCGGCTTCTGCTCGTCACCTAGATACAGATGTAAGCTCCATTTCCGCGTGATTCAATTAGTTACTCGTGTCTCACATTTTCTTCTTCTTTTACGACAGGTTAAGCATCCCGTGCGTACTCGTTGCTTGCCAGCCGGGGTGGGTTTCCTGGGCATATTGAGTTGGAGGTTCAGGCTGACATAGTGAAGAGTGTGAGAAGTGGGCCGAAAAGACAGGGTGGAGGCTCCATGCTCCCCTTTTTGTAAAAAAAGATTCTGAGTCGGAAGTTGACCGGAGGTGGCCGACTGGGGGGCCACGTGGGGCGCGGGATCTTTGGTTGGGTCAGATCGGGACAGTCAACCCGAGGTTTGCCTGGAGACAGAATGTGGTCCATAATAAGGTGGATGGCGATGGATCTGCGGCGAATTTTCTCTCTTTAAACGCCACCCGATGTTGATCGACCAAGGCACTCCGGGGTCATCTAGAAAACTGGTTATCCCGAAATACTACAAGTACAAACAAGTTCTACACCCAAAAAAGGTCAAGAGATAAAAGAAATTAATGAACAAAATGCACTAGGTGCAAGCAGACTATTAGCTAACTAACTATCTTTTGAATTCGAACGAGGTACAATTCCCTTGCCCATTCCTAACTCCAACTCCTACTATTCATGCATTCGGTATGCTAGAGAATGTCTTTCAGACCTTCTCGACGAGTTGCTCACCGGGCTCCTTGGAATCGACCTCACGCCCGGTGGCCATGCCCATCCTCTCAACAAAAGCAGTCAGGCCAACCTCGCGCTGGGCATCCCGCAAAAGCTCGGCATCTTCCTCTCCCGAATGGCTTCCGAATACCCGGTCCATCTCCTCCAGGGTAGTATTCTTGGTCTCTGGCAAGAAGAACCAAACCCAAACAATGCCGCCCATAAGGAAGACAGCGAAAAAGATATAGGTTCCCCACTGCCAGTGTTCAAGCATGGGAGGTACAAAGAATGCGATGGCAAAGTTGTTGATCCAGTTGCTGGATGCGCCGATCGAGGCACCTTTGGCACGAATAGAGAGTGGGAAAATTTCGGAAACCAGAGTCCACGACACAGGGCCCCAGGTGGCTCCGAAGCTCCCGATGTATACCCAGATAAGCGCTATTTTAATGTTAGATTTCTTCATTCCTTCTCTCTCGAAGCATCACATACCAACGGCGGTCCAGCCAGCAGCAACATGAGAGGGCCAGTCATGTTGGAATTTCGCGACGATAATTCCGACAATGATCATGGTGGAACACATCAGAGCCGACCCAGCGAGCAGCATAGGCTTGCGGCCGATTTTGTCGATGACCAGCTGTGTTTCGTTAGCTAAATAGCCTTCCAAAAAACAGTCCTACTACTTACCATTCCCGGAACAGTGCTAACAATGAAAACGACACCCGTGACGCCCGTGGCCAAGAGGGCGATGGTGCCACTAGTCAATCCAAGACTCTTGAACACATCGGACGCGTAGTAAATAACTAGTTCTGTTAGCCAGTATACCTAGGATCCGGATACACAACACTTACTGGCATCGATACCGCTCCACTGCTGGAAGAACATGATCAACCAAGCCGTAGCCACACGCTTGAAGTTGTCCATCGAGCGAACGCAGTTGGAATACTGGGCGATCTGATTCATGAAAACGTTTTGGCGCTCCTTCTCCGCAAGCTTAGGTGAGGCTTTGGCAAATGCACGCTCTTCAAATAGTGCCTCTGCTTTGATTTCGAGGTACTCAACCTGAACCAGCTCATGCTCGACAGGGAGCTTGCGCATCCAAGCCAGCGTGGACTGAGCTTCTTCGTCGCGGCCCTGCTTAACCAACCACCGGGGTGAGAAAGGCATGAACCAGATTCCACATGCCAAGCAAACGGCCGGAATCCCCTGGACGATGGAGGGTAGACGCCAGGCGAGATCGGACTGCGTCTCTCCCGTTCCGCCGATATAGTTGCTGCCGTAGCCGCACCAGAAAGAGAGCATGATGCCGAGAATAGTTGCGAACTGATAGAACGAGACAAGCAAGCCGCGCATCTCTGGGGCAGCCAGTTCGGCGTTGTAGAGAGGCCCGACACCACTGAACAGACCGACGCCCAACCCGGTGAAGAAACGCCCAGCATAAAGCAAAGACGCGTTACCGGCCGATGCACCAACATATAGATAGCTACCAAGGATGACCCAGCAGCACGCGAAAAACATGGTGTACTTTCGAGAAAATATTTCTCCCAGAATACCTGCGGACAGAGACCCTAAGATTCCTCCCAGTTGCAAAACAGAGGTTAACCACCCAGTTGCGGTGGACGATGCTACCACGGACGGGAAGTTGTGAGTGAACCGGTACATCACCAGGGACTGTCCAAGAACACCCTGCTGGTAGCCATATTCGAACCCGCCAAACCTAGCACTTAATTAGCATAGAACGGTGAGAATCAATAATATATGCGAGACTGACGAGGCGAAAAAGGCAATGAAGAGCACTTTGGGGTTCTCGAAGATCGATTGCCACCTGGACTTTTTGACCAGCTGCATGCGAGGAGAGGACTCCAAGTCCACGGACAATGATCGGTCCGCCATGGTGGAAGTGAAGAAAAGAAAGTTCAGGCCTTTATGCCAGCAACCAAGTCCGAGGGGGAGTTGAGGAAATCTACAAGAATACGAGCGACATCTACCCCATATATATTCTTTCCTTAAAAAAAAAGGGCCTCCGCAAAAAAAGTAGCCGTGACAAAGAGAAACTTTGTGTGGCTTGACACCCCCCGTCTCGGCCTGCCGAGTCCCCAGAAACCGACGAGTCGCGTGGCGGCAAATCTGGGGAGAGTCCGAGCGCTAAGCCTGATCGGGCCCCGACGTAGCCTATGTCGCCCGTTTTGGTACGAATTTTGAGTTCTGCTCGGACCCACGAGAGGAAACGGGAACCAGTGCAAAATTGGAGCCAGTCACTGCAGATTCAGCTTCGCCTCTCTCTGGGAAATTCGAGCCAGTGTCTCTCCCGTTCGGTTAAGTCGATGCGGGGGGTAGCGGGTTTTTGTGGGGGAATATTGATGTCAACAATATTCACATAGTCGGCACAGGCCGATATAGCATACGCTCTGGGGATGTTGGAGCGATATAAAAGATCTGCCGGTGTGCAAAATGGGAGTGCTCACGCAGAAGTAATTGTTTGAATTCGAGACCAACAAGCATAGAGCTGCAGTAAATTATGTGCTGGACAACTTCCGTGCCTCTGCTCTGCAGCTCTCTTTTCCTGTTTGTTTCCGGGGGGCTCGCGTTGCCCAAGGCAGAGAAGCACTATGCTATCATGGATAATGACTGGAATACGGCCGGATTTGCGCCATTCTTGATTGCCCTAGACGGTGGTGTAGATGTTCTGGCGTTGGCTTCTGGTAAGTTCTTCATTTACCTTTCAAGCACGAAATTTGCGAGTATCTTATGGCAACCCCTAGACACGGCAAACACTTGGCAGCCTCAGGTTGCATTACATGCTGTCGCCACGCTGGAGGTCGGGAACCTGAGCTGCATCCCCGTCTATCCTGGGGCGACCTGGCCATTGCTGAACACGCCGCATCGGTTCCATGCATGGGAGGCAATCCACGGTGATCTCCCCTGGCAGGGAGCATTCGCACCCGAGAATCAGACACTCGACGCTGAAGGCAATGATCCTACTTCTGGCGACCCAAACCGAATTGTGAAGGCTGCATTCAAGGAAGGCTTCCCTAAGGGCAGGCCCATTAATTCGACATCGGCGGCCAATTTCATGGTAGAAATGGTTCGCAAGTATCCTGGCAAGGTGTCTATTTACTCTGCCGGGTCCCTGACGAACGTCGCGCTGGCGGTACGCATGGATCCGGAATTTGCCTCACTTGCCAAAGACTTGGTCATCATGGGCGGCTACGTCGATGATAACATGCTCCAGACTACGGGAAGTGTCCTGCAGGCAGATCTTCAATCTGATGTAAGTCAAATCCCATGTGGCAAATCTACGTCTACTAAACCAGGCAAATTGTCAGATCAACCTCATGATTGATCCAGAAGCCTCCAAGATAGCTCTCACTGCAGACTTCCCGCAGATCACCATCACCGGGAACGTTGCCAACCAAGTATTCCCCGACAAAGAGTTTATGAAAGACCTGATTAAAGTCCGCAATCCCTACACCGAGCTCTTCTACAAGTACTACGACCCATCGTTCCCTTTCTGGGACGAAACGGCGGCGGCTCTCATGGCTGACCCTTCACTTGCCACCAACCAAACCTCAGGTCAGCCCTACTTATGCCATAAGTGTCCTCTCTATCTGACTACTTGCCCTCCAGTTTATCTCGATGTGGATACATCTTACGGAAGTCCTAATTATGGCAATATTCATGTCTATCAGAAGGCACTCTCTCCTCCAGGAATCCGTCAGGTAAACTATGTCTTTCAAGTGGATGGTGATAGATTGAAGCAGCGGATTATGCATGCCATGCAGTATCCGAAGACTTGTGCGGATTTACATTAGAGATGCGGTGCAAAAGACCTCATGTAGGTATTCCCACAGCTTGATCCAGTTATTTGATGCCTGTACATACCACATATTTTAATTTCCACTGAGTGGGGTTTTGATGCTCAGAGCACACGAAACATGTTGTCTATCTATATCGTCAGACTCACGTAGTCCCAGTCATATTCTCCACGAAGTATGGAATTCTAGACAAGGTCCCCTTCCTCCTTTCTCTCCTGGGGCTTGGCAATTACAGGTTCTCACTACGCACTGGTTCCCATTTAATCTCCAAAGTATCCTTTAGGGAGCTCTGGGCACGGGCGGCTGTAGCCACAAAGAACTCAAAAGATTCAGTGCCGGCACTGGGCCTCTGGCCAGTTCTATGTCTGGGTGGTGCTGCGTCTCTAATTGGTACGGGGATACATTCCACACTCCAATGACTCGACAACCCTGCTGGGCTAAATTCATAGGTCTACCGAATCCCGAAAATTGACGAGGAAGAGACATCGAATTCGTCAAATAACGTAATAGCTAGATCACACCATTGCTTCACAAAAACATCCCTGAGAGAAGCAGTACACTCACTGCCAATGAAACCATTGTGTTCAGTGGTTGGTATCTACTGTGACCCGCCCCTGTCTCCGCTATACTAATTCCATGTGTGATATTTTTTGCGTTCAAACAATACATCACTTCCTTTGCCTCGCTGGCAGATGACGACTGGCAAACCGCAGTGCATGGATCTGGATCAGAGTAAATCCACACAGTTCTTGAACAGCAAGATTGCAGAACCGCTTTCACATCTGTGTGTGGGTTTTTTGGTTGATAAAGCGGAGCCTCATTGTAAATTTTTATATTAAGAGGCAGCGACGGCATTGTATTGCGCGAGTTATAGCAATCCCCTGGTTGGGCGAGATTTGTGCCTTTTGTGCCGCTCATGGTGATAAGGTTGCAATTGTCTGGTGATATTAATGGACACGATGCGATTCGGACAGTTTTGATTTTCAAGGTGCACAGCTGATGGCGGAGAGTTGAGTTATGCGCAGGTTTGACAGCGACAGGATTGCGTACTTGCTTCAGTAGGAAAATATGAAGCCAAATTGAATGGTGCTAAAGCTCTCGGCCAGAGCAACCGCCGAGCTTTTTCAAGTTCCTAGCAAGTTTTCAAGGCTAGGGCGAGTAGGCCAAATGAGTATTTATAGGGGCTGAAGGTGGGGCCCGCGATAAAGCGGGCGGCCTGAGTGAATTCTGGCCCTTGAACTTGAATGGTTGACAACAAAAGTTTTTAGGACGTTCATTATTGTTGTTTTTGTTATTATTGTTATTGATTCATTGACCTGATATAGGCTCTATACACATGCTGCTATGCGGAACTGCTAAGAGGCTAGCTGGCAGCACCCCGGTAGGAAACAGGGCGCGGAGTACAAGCGATACCCACGTCCCAATATTTACTTAAAAAAGGGCCGACGAAAGCGACTACCAAAGCAGATGAGACGCGATGCTAGTGCGGCTTTGAGTGTAGACACTCTTGAGTCTACTGCGCAGGAAGGGGCCAAACGGGCCAGGAGTCAGTAGGCGCTAAGCAGTACCCGGCTGTGGGCGGGTACACTATGTTTGAATTTGTCAAGACTTCCGCATAGTCTCGAACAAATTCGGACCTACAGCCACACGCACGTAATTTAATGCTTTTTAGTAAAAGTAACTTCGATGTTCTAATCGGTCTTGTTATTCTGAGCCAAAAGTCTGTTTGATTCTTCTGCTCTTTGTCTATTTGTTAATCCAGGTAAAACGTCTTGTTATATGGGGGGGAGCCTGGTTTGAGATTGGTTCAAACATATGTTGCGTCCCAGGACGACATCAACTTGTCGTGCGACCAACCGCACATCTTTCTCAAGATGCGGGGATAAAATATCAAACACAGGCGTGTGATAATCGATAGTATGTGGATTTCTCTGTGTGAAAGCAAGGAATCCAAATACTAGTGAAGAACTGCATAGAAAATCGTCTTTCTGATATCCGCGGAAGTAGAATTCCCCCGCATTTTCGTGAAGTCCTTGTGCATATTCCGAAGTATCAAGGCTGGCTTTCCGAAATGTCATTGGATCTTCCACGTTGCTTTAATCAGCTACCCCACGTAATTAATGCGTACAGACAATCAACTTCATGCCCGCTCACAGATCTACCTTGTCGAAATTGTTATATTTTCACTGCGCCCTTACTTCGTTCTTGACCGACCATTCGACAGAGGATGGATTCCTCAGAGGGCATTAAGAGCTTCCTGTATATCGGCGTTGGCTTAGTCTTTGGAATCGTCAGCTCGGCAGTCACTGGATCTGGATCTGGATTTGTCGAAGATGAAAGCCAAGTACTTGCCTATGCGGAGTATATAGGCAGTAGAGTGCCACATGAATGGTATTCCACAATTGTCACACTATCAGCCCTATCGATTGAAGATGGGAAGAACGAATACGATTCGCCCTATCTCCTTGCAGGACCGGTTGCATACACCTCGCCTGTACATCCAATGGGGACGTCTTTTCAGCTGCAGGCAGGTGCTGGAAACTCGCGATACCAAGGACAGCCTACTTTTAATTCTGAAACTGCGTCGTCTGTGTAATGAAGCAGTAAGAAGAAGATCGCAAAGAGAGACTGAGAAGAATCTTGGATCAAAGAGAATCCAGGAAAGTTTTAATGGGCTATCTATGTGAGATAAGTGAGGAACACGTCCCAGTGCACAGAAACCTCAGGCCGCAAGACCCCACTATCTCACGCACATCGCAGATACTCGAGTGGAGAACGGAGTCAACAATATCAATTTATATCCTATGCACAAAACATCGATGTTGCCTAAAAGCCCCTTTACATTCTACTGACCCACTTGTTCAATGCCAAGGCAGGTCTAGGACGCAGAACCCACCACAACATCCTCTACGCCTTACCGCCAAGCGACATGGCTTGCGATTCCACGTCAGCTAGCACAAGGACTGGAGCTCTCCGGAAGTTGGTGGCCGTCGGGCAATGCAGAAATCAATTGATTATGACAGTCATTGACAGGCTCGTTGAGTACCAAGAAGCTGTTCCTATGCCGTTTGCGTGTTTCCTCCGGTTCAAAAAAGCGGGTCAGAATGCAATGCACGCCTTTTTATGACTTGTTTTATAAAGCAAGGCGTCAGCGGGCGAGCGGTACAGCAGTGCAGCAAGGCTATCGCCAAGGGACACCAGGATCTAGCCACATTGGATCTCTTCTTGTCCACTGCAACCAGGCATAGAATCTAGAAGAACCGTTTGCACTGTGGGCGCTTGGCCCGGTTCTGAACACGACCTAAAACGGCCCCTTGTAGATCTTTACTACTTGATTGTGCCCTATTTCTCGGTCAGATCGCGCAGTGGATCTGTACTCGCTTGGCCGTGACATCATGAAGAGTGCAATTTCCATAAATACTTCGTATGCCCCGGAAATGCGCGGCCTGATATTCCTGTTCTTGATCGATTTAGTTTGACAGCTTCTTTCCTCGGTATGTTATGCTATTTTAATCCGGCAAGACTTTCAATCACTGCACTCGAAAGATTGACACGTCCTCCTACTATCCAACAACACTTCTTACTTTCTGGAAAGCTGTTTAGCTCAATATTTGTTTCAAATTTCTGATAATCGGATCTCTCTTTTCACAGTTAATTCACTTCGCACTTCATTTCCCGTTCAACATGCGCACCTTCGCTATCATCCTCGGCTTCATCGTCTCCACTGCTCTCGCCCTGCCGGGTACCCAAGAGATTTGCTTTAGTGTAAACCATCCCACCTAAGACCGGTCTATGTCATTGATGACGACAATTGCTAAAACAATCGAATTACTTTAGGGTGGCAACATCTGTGACCCGGCCATCACCAACCCCGCCTCGAACGCGGCTTGCTGTACTTCCCTAATGTGTCTACAGAACAGCGATAGTACTTGGGTAAGAGCAGTCGCATTCCCGTGTTTTAGTTGACGAGCTTTTGAGTTATACCTTTGAACGTGTGCTGACGGATATTTCATGTGTCCCAGACATGCCAGTGATAAGTTCTCTCGACACCGAGTCGGATCGATCCCCCGCCTTTGTTTAAAGAACTTGGCTTTCTCCTGGTTCTGAGTGGATCAATGATATACTCCTGTCACTTCATATATGAAATTAAGTTGGTTTATTAAGGTTTCACAGGATAAGAAGGTTAGAATGAATCTCCGAGCTTGGATGATATGTGTATCTTTCTATGCATTCTAATCATCAATATTTTTGGATTTTTGACAAATATGTCATGGGGAAGACTTCATGTTTGATTCTTCCATTCTTTTTAAATAGGATTTCGGGAAACTAAGAGGCATATTTCAGTGCATTTGTATGAAATATTTCTGCAATTCCATTACATGCACACTGCCTTCGTTATTGCAGCATGGACATTGCCTTCTCTTTATGATCGATGGAACGGCCTGAATAGAGGGAGTAAGGGAAGATAATGTTTGCATGCGACACTGCCGTCGTGTGGAGGTAATTCTGCAACCTCGTTGTATGCGTTCAGTCTACGCCACTGTTGTATAGGTGTCATTGGATTCGGTAGAACGGTGTCAACGGTAAGAGGGCCCCACCCATTGGATTAACTGGTTGAAGAAAGAACCTCACTACTCTGTTGTCTTATTTAGGCATCTTCCTTCTTTGTCCATTGTTCACTCTAATTATCAGCACCAAGCAGAAGCTGGGCATGGTGAATGGTTTGATGGAGGATCTAAATTGACACGTCAAAATAGGACGGGGTGCAAAAAGGGGTACTAGCCAATTGACACCAAGGCCAAGCTGGATCCAAACGGCCAGCAACAGGCAACAGCATCGATATCAGGCACGATTTAAAAATGACCTGAAGTATACCCTGAGTCTACCATACGATCTTACAAGGAGCAAAGATTTCTCAAATGCATAAATAAAACAAACATGTACTCGAACAGGATCATGGACAAGGACAGCAAAAAAAAAAGAAGTTGGACGCAACCAGGTCAGTAGACAACATCAAATAAAAAGGTATATCTACCACATAGACATTCAAGTTAATGGACAAGAGAAACCAAGAAGCAAAGAAAGGGGATGGTTAGCCGAAGCACAACACAAGCCCCCTTACAAGAAAAGTAAAAGAAAAGAACTCCTGAATTTCCTCCTGTACATGTTTTGCAAGAAAGCCGTCACAGGCGTGGACGCTTACTGGAAGACATCGGCGCAGCCCCAGTGCTGCTCAACGCTGAAGGCACCGGGAGACTTCCACTGATCATTGGAGAAGGAGAAGAAGATCGACTTGGAGCCGATGTACTTGGCGATCTGGTGGATGGCGATGTTCTGCTCAGACGGGCCGGGGACGGCGGCACCGTTGGCATCACCGCCGTTGGGCCAGCCGGTCTCCAGGTTCAGGACGTCCTTGCCAGGGCAGATGCTCTGGAGGAGCTTGTACTCGCTCAGGGCAAACTCACCGGCCTGCTCGGCGGTGGTCTCCGAGTTGAAGAAGGGGTGGATGTTGGCACCAACAATGTCGACGGCACCGCACAGGGTGGAGGCACCGTACTGCTGCCACACATCGACGGGCTCAGTGGTGGTCACATCCTTGGTCCAGCCAGCGGCACGGAAGACGGCGGTGGAGGACTCAATGAAGCTAGCCAGCTCCGAGGCGGTGGCGTAGCCGCTCTGGACAGCCTCGTTACCGACGACGATCAGCTCAACGAGGTCCCACTCGGCCCAGGTGGCGATGGCCGAGACCTGCTCCTGAGCACCGGAGGTGCCAGTGTTGTCGATGTAGACACCCAGGATCATGTTCATGCCGTACTGACGAGCAGCCTCACCAACGAACATCAGACCAGAGCAGTCAGTGGAGTAGATGCGGATGAGGTTGAAGCCCTTGTCCTGGATGGTCTTGATGTCCTGGAAGACCTCGTCCTTGGTCTTGCACATACCGGACTCGGTGTAAGGCGAGTAGGTCATGCCGTACTGGCCATTGCCGGTCAGAGCGCCGGAGCCACTGGTGGGCTGGGGAGCGGGAGCAGTGGTGGACACAGCTGCGACGCTAGTAGGCAGGGCGGTCGAGGTCGAGGAACCAGAGGTAGCGAAGGGGCAGACATAGGTGTAGTCAGTCTCGACCACGGTAACGGTCTGCTCGGGCTGGGTGAAGGTACCCGGGGTGATAGTCTGGGGAGTCGGCCACACAAGGACGGTGGGGCTGGACACAACAGTGGTAGTCGCGGGAACCACGGTGTAGGTACCAGCAACCGGGCAAGTGTAGGTGGTCAGCTCAACGACGCTGGTCACAGTGCTGCCAGAGGGCTTGACGGTGGCATAGGGGCAGGTGATGGTGGTCTCGGTGGTGACCACGGTGGTGGTGCCGCCAATGGTGTGGGTACCGCTGGGGACGGAGGTCGAGGTAGCACCGCAGACGGTGGTGGTGTCAGTCACCACGACGGTGGTGGCCGGGATGGTGTAGGTACCGGTCGAGGGGAAAGTCGTCACTTGGGGAGTGGGCAGAGTGACCACGGGGCTCGGGGCCATAGTCGACGAGGGCGAGACAGTCACGGTGTAGGTGCTGTACGCAGTCGACTGGATGGTGGTGGTGAGCTTGACGGTGCTGGTCTCCGGAACGGGAGCCAGAGTGGGCGAGCCAAGGTAGGTGATGGTCTTCGTGACACAGCCGCAGGTCTCCTCAGCAGGACCGCCAGGGTTGTAGGGAGTCGAGAACAGAGGGGTCGACGACGAAGCCGGAGCGGAGCTGGAGGGCACGATCGAGCCGCTCGACGGGGTGTAGGCAACCGCACGGCGGTTGTGCAGAGCGTCGTGGCGACGGTGCACGTTTTCCGTGGCCAGGGCAGAGCCCATCAAGGCCACGGTGGTGGCCAGAATCGCACCCTTCATGGTGAGAGAACAGAATTCAAGCTGTGATGTCCAAAGGAGTGAATGAATGCCCGCTGAAAGAGTGAAGCGGTGGTCAATGCCGTTAGGGAACGTGGGAGGAGGAAAGGAGAGTGTAGAGAAGGAGGAGAGAAGAAGAGGAGGAGGAGGAGAGAGTGAAGAAAAGGGGACGTAATATTATGTAGGGTTGCCCCTGGTTCCTGTTCGTACAGGGAGGCCTCGAACCGGTTCAGGGACGGAAGGAGGATGATTGGGGGAAAAGGGGTGTTAGTGGGGGGTTTCCTGTACCACCTAGCCTGGCCGCGGTATCACGGACTCTCCTTTCGTGGGTTAGGGCCAACGGGGTGCCGGGCGGTTTCACTTCCAGGCCCTTGCCGGAGGACATCTCACGATACACGCTTCTCTGTTGACGGAGGGCTATCATCATCCACCAGATCCCTCCCTCTTCAGCTCCCATCTATCACTTCGCGATCATATCCAAAAACTCTTCGTCAACACAAACACAATAATACTCCCAATTCGGCCCAAAAAAACCGCCATGTGGGGTGACTCCATCATTGCGCGCCGGCCCTTGACCACAACGGGATAAGCGGCGGGCCGTGCCCGAGCTGCCATTGGGTTGGCTGCAGGCTAATTTCCCGCCCTGCCGATCGGAATGCGAGTGGTCGCTCAGCCTCTAGAGAAGGAAGTGCAAAAATACCAACATAAGCATACCTCCAAATGGCCCCGTTATTCTGTCTCCCGCTCCCCCCCCTGACGATCCCAGTCACCCGTCCGGAGCCCACGTTCACGAGCCGACATCCCGGCCGTGGTAAGTGGTACAAACAGTAGAGCTGATCAGATGTATAAACAAATATATTTTTCTGGTCTAGGTCGACTGATGATTCAGTGAGTATTCCCATCTCATCCACGCCCATGACGGCCAGACTGTCACGGGGCAACTGTCAGCCAGCCTGGCGGTGTAAGTAGGGCATGATTAGGGCAACGTTGGCCCGCGGGACTCGCTGCTGATCGCAATGGTCTCCAAGGTCTGGATCACGACCCGCCATCTACCCCCTACGGAGGACACATGGGGTAGATCCCATTTCAGTATTGCCGGCTGCCTTGCACGGGAGTCTGGTGGGGACGTGAGGATTATGGGGACGTGAGGATTATGCCATCTCTTAACCCGGAACCCGTGTCCCAATGTGTCCACTCGCTAGTGCCGAGTTCTCCTTTCTGGCGTTCAATTATTGTTGTTGTCGGCGCCGAGGAGCCGCAGTGCACACGCACACTTTATCTTGTTCTCGAGTCTTAGAATCAGGGGTACTCCGTACTACGTAAGAAAAAGGTTGGTGATCGGGAGGGAGTCCCGCTTGGAGTTGCATTGCCTCCAATAGAGATTCCTGTTGGTGGCCAAGAAGAGTGCTCGGAAAAAGTATTATTAGTGTCTCGGGCAAAGCGGATGAGACCATGTTTAGGGCAATGCTTGGCGTGACCCTTTTTGAGGCTATTGTCAGAAGGGGGGCAGGTCTCCATACTTCCAGTGAGCACATCAATTTGAAGTCATGCACTTGTCAGTAAATTGAAGTACATGTAGATCATTTCGGTACATACTTGGTTAGCTTTTTTACTATCAGCATAGATGGATTTCAGTGAGGCCAGAAACCCTAACCACGTGAGCGGACCTACGACCAAGACATATATAGATCCATGAATATGGAGACTCGATAAGACATGTTATAATAATGGAATCGTAGAAGTATCATTTGTGTCTTCTTTCTCTCCACATTCCGATGCATATCCCTAAGCCCCGCACATTCTGCATTCCCAACGCGGAAGAGAAACTCACCACGTGGAGATCGTCGATATATACATCCCTGGCAGGTTGATCAACCACCCAAGTAGAACTCCAGCGGCATTCTAGAATAAACAGCAAGGAAACAGTAATCCCACGAAATCTGCCCACATTGCACTATCCAAAATAAAAGGCCTCCGCCCATTCACCCCGGTCAACGATCATGCCACTCCGACATTTTCCTGCGCCGCAATACCACAATTCGCAGCAAACAACCGCCGCGCAAATAAATCATTCAAAATATTTACACCCGGCATCCCCCGATACCAATACCAGTGAGAAAATCCAGCATTAGGGTTTCCGAGTGGTTCGACCAAACGCATCTGCAAGCCTGCCAGTCTATACGTCATAGCTCCTGGAACACGACTCCCAGCAACCACCCCGGATCCGGTGCGCAGCCGAGGGCACGGATCAATCATCATGCTATCCAGACATTGACAATGGAGCTTTTGACCTATCATATTGCTGAGCGAGACCTTTCACCGAAATAAGGCCTTCGGAACCGAACGGTGCTCTCCGAAGAGGATTCGGCCGGCGGAGATGGCGGGAGACTGGTGGGCTGATGAATGTTGTCGTGGCTGTGTCTTTGATCGAAAGGTATTTAAGGTTGCTCCATGGTGGTTTGGTTGCAGTTCCGTTCATCAAGAAATACATTCATACAATCAATCAAGCATCTACTTGAAGATCAATACACGACATCCTCATCTACAACTATACCAACATGACATCCACCACAAAGAACAACCAGCCTCGCCTCCAAAACGACTACGGCGCAGACTTCTGGACTCGCAACCCCGCTACCGAATATCGCGTACGTCTACCATCTACCTGATCCACCTGTCTCCCATAACACCCACTAATAAGAGAACTACAGCATCCCACCGCAGGCCGTGGTCTCTTCGCCGGCCTCCAAGACGTGAAGCACTACAACGTCGAGAACGGCTGGGCTCGTCGCAAGTCCGGTGATGCTCCAAGTGGACTACTCAATTTGCTCTGGAGCAGGGTTACCGGTGGGGCTTATCATCCCCCGACGGTTGCTTGAGTGCATTCATTATGCGTACATGCTGATTTGAAGCGGAACGTTCAAGGAATGATAAACAAGAAAGAATGCATAGTTGGCGAATCTGGTGGAAGGAAAGAGATAGAATATTCTCTGCTCTGGGCTTGGGTTTTTGATATTTGGAGTTTTCGGTGTTTGGGTTTCAGATATCCTATTTCTACTTATTATGTGTTTATATCTATAATTTCTACTCTTCAAACTTTGATCATCGTTTCTCAAGTAATAAATAAAATTTTCATGGATTCGTATCATCGAATAGCTCATAGACTACTCTGCTACATGGCATCGACCACGATGCTCACTAGCAGACGCCAGGGGGAATAAGGCTGCCAATCATCGAAGCTAAGACCGTATTTGTCATGATCTATTGGAGCGGATTTAGTGGCTATTTGTCGGATCAGATTATCATCACTAGTTTACTTCCGATATCTTTGATCTACTCACAGTCGTCCAGAGACCACCTGAATCAAATGCTCTAGGTTACCAATCCACTAGTATTTCGCATCATAGCAAACAGTCGGTCCTAGCTCATCAATCCCTCATGATATTTCGTACACATGCAATCGATCCGCATTCTCAAAGCAAAGAAAAACAACCCACAGTTCACCATCCCGTGCGAGAAAAAATAAAAACAATAATTAAATTAGTCCCACGAGTCGATCTTCATCGTGCCCTTCTCCTGCAGGTTTTGGTGCATCTTGAACGCCTGGAAGAGCAGGTGCGGCTCATGGCCCATGCCCTTCTTCAAACACTCGAACTCGGCGCGGTCGAAGTAGTCCTGTAGGATGGGCTTGTATTCTGGGTGGGAGCATTTGTCGATGATGACGCGGGCGCGCTCGCGAGGAGAGAGGCCGCGGACGTCGGCGAGACCCTGGAAAAAATGTTAGTACGCCACAGATAAGGTGTATGAATAAATAAAAATAACTTACCTGCTCAGTCACAACCACGTCCAGATCATGCTCCGTCTGGTCGATATGCGTCGCAAAAGGCACAATGCAGCTGACACCCGTAGGATCGGTCTTACTAGGCCGCGAGCTGGGCGTATGCATGATCGAGTACTTGGAATTTCTCAAGAAATCCGCAGAGCCACCGAGGCCATTCAGCATGCGCGAGCCCATAACGCAGGTGGAGTTAGCATGAGCGTAGATATCCACCTCGACGGGGGTGTTCATGCCGATACAACCCAGACGGCGAATAATCTCAGGTGAGTTCGAGACCTGCTGCGAGCGCAGGAGCAGCTTGCCGGCGTAGCGTTCCCATCCATCGTAGAAACGCTTGAATCCATCGGGCGAGAAGCGGATGGAGGTTGCGGTGGCAAAGTCGAGGTTCCCACTATCGAACAGATCCAAGAACGAGTCCTGCAGCACCTCAGTCCATACCTTCAGGTGAGTAAAGTCTGCTCCGCCCTTGCTCAGCCCCCCGACCACGGCGTTGGCGATGTTGCCAATGCCCGACTGGATGGGTAGCAGGTTTGGTGGTAGACGGCCGTGGTTGACCTCGTGCTTGAGGAACTCGATGAGGTTGCTCGCGATCGCCTGGGAGTCGGCATCCTCTGGGGCGTTGGGCTGCGTCTGGTCCGGGTAGTCAGACTCGACAATAGCGACAACCTTCTCCGGGTCGACGGGGATGTAGGATGTCCCGATGCGGTCCTCGGGGGCCATGATCAAGTACGGCTTGCGGCCGGGGGGTAGGTCGGACCCGACAATATCATGCAGCCCCTCGAACGACGGGCTCGCCGTGTTGACCTCGATGACCACCTTATCGGCCATCTGGACTAGCTCGGGCGAGGCGCCCACGGAGGCGCCGGGAATAATGCCGCCATTCTCCGTGATGGCCGAGGCCTCGATCACGGCCACGTCGAGCTTGTTATGGGGCTTGTTGAGAGTGTAGTATCCCTGCAAGAACGGGCGTAAGGATCAGCGGTGTGGACACAAACCAACCCGGGTAGGAAGCTTGGCCCCATGGCCGAGCTATCCCCCTCTTGCCAAAGTTATCAAACTTACATAGACCAGGTCCGAGGGGAACATGCTCAGATGCTTGTCAAAGAACTTGATCTGCCCACTGTTGATCCCCTTGGCGATCTCCTTGCCCACTTGGTGCGGGCTGCGTCGCTCAATCATATTCAGGCGCGCCCAGCGGTTTTCAGTCTCCGCGCCGGACGACGCCCCAACGAATAGCGTGTATTTGAGCTGGCCTTGCAAGTTGTTTTTCTCAACATGGTCGGCTAGTGCGGTGGGGACTTTTCTAATCGAAGAATGAGCAATTGATTCTGCAACTGAATAATGGAGTTTCAATAGTTCGCAAATACTTACTTGGGATACCCAACACCCGTGAAACCGGACCAGCCGATGTACGAGCCATGCGGGAAGAGATCGATGAGATCCTCTGCCTTGGCGAGCTTTTGCAGATACGAGGGCCGGCGAACGCGGCTCTTCAGCAGGGCAGAAGCAGCCATTGCGGTGAGGGGAGATTTTATGGTTAGGAAAGAAGGTAAACTGAAGAAGAAGAAGAAGAAGAAAGAAAGAAAGAAGAAAAAAACAGGAGGAACCCAAGGTATTAAAGGTTATTATGTCAGAGCTTCCCCTCTGTTCGTTCGCCCCGCGACAGAAGGAATGTTCGTACAGAGCCGGAACAATGGAAGGTTCGGGCGAAGGATGCTGGGTCTGTTTCCTCCGGGGATAGTCGAGCTGCAAAGCTTCGCCGTTCCGCTCTAGACAGAGTCAATGCACGCAGAGTCGTTGGGGCCAGAAGATTCCACGTGTCGGTTGCCAAATCCGAGATTCCTATATGGCCTTTCTTTTCTTTTTCGACGTGCTGGAAGAGTCTGAAATTGATGATGCTGTGGTACCAAATTCGAGGCCGACACATTACTGACGTCACGTTCATGGTTCGGTCTTTGCTCGGGGTTTTCTCGATCGAGGAGTCATACTGATACAACCACCAGTTTCATGAATCTATGCTCTTTCGCATGTTTCTCACCATTATCCAAGTAATCGTTTCCCTTCAATAGTCTCCCAAATCGTCTAGATCGATCTGGATCGCTTTTGCAGATAATCGGAGCAAATCTGCTTCTTCGGGAAGCTCTCGGGCCGGGTTTGCGCCAGTCAGTCCACCAGGTCTCGGGCCTGTATCGGTAAATGATATTCGGGTAACCGGAGCTGCAACCCTGTCTGGGACGCCGGGGTGAACCATATCCGAGGGGTGATTGGCTATGGTGAGGACCTCCGGGGTCAGACAAGGTCACTGGAGACCGGTTCAGGGCGTCCAGAAAGACAAGAGGATGGCCCAGACAACTACGCCGTCCAACCACAGACACACAAATCAAGGGAAAAGGTTATATCGCATAAAATACATTGGAATGGAGAAAGAAGAGAAACTAAAGACAAATCATTCAACCCCCAATCCCCGTTGGTCCGTGCAGATCAGATCTCGAGAGATTCCAGGCGAAGCGCAGTATGTAGAAAGAAAAAAAAGAAAAGACAAAACCAGAAGAGTGTCAAGGCATCGCAGCAATTTTCCTCATGTTAAATAATAGACGCCATCCAAGTCACGGTTTAACCAAAATGCAATATCATCATTGCGCCTCCGTAGTCTCCGCCTCTGCCTCAGGCGCGGGTGGTGCGGCATCTGCCATCTCGGCATCGGGCTGGTCCTCCTTCGGGGGACTCTTGCTCTTCTCAGCCTCCTTGTCTTCAGTGGGCTTTTCAGCCTCCTCGGTGGCAGAAACAGCATTCTCAGCGGACAAGGTACCATTCAGCCAAGAGCGGAAGCGCTGATTTGACTCGTCCACCTTGTCCTTGCTAAGACCACGGGCCCAGTTGGGGTTGTTGACGAACTTCTCGACGAAGCGGTCATGGCGCTTCTCACGCAGTGCAGCCTTCTCCTTGGCAGCGTCCTCTGTCTGGGTTTTGGCCGTCTCAGCATCAGCATCCTTGTCGACGATCGGGGCGGTGGAGCGCCAGAACCAGTCGTAGGTTTCAGGCTGGTAGAGCATCGTGTAGTTGTTGGCGCAGACGCGGATAATAAGACCGTCAAAATGCTGCAGGCGTCGGTAGAAGCGGTCATACTCCTCGTCCTCGTCCAGCTTGCCTGGCAGGTTGCGCTTCAAGAAGGGCATGCGCATTGCGGAGAACTGCACGCCTTCGGTCGGGTCACGCATCGAGTATGCGGTAACGTAGTACGACCAGCGGGCTTCGGAGCTTAGCTCCGCGTTGTCGAAGGTCACGTCCTCGGGGGTTATCAGTTGGACGGTTGTCCGGCGCTCCGATGGGTACTGCGAATGATTAGTATGGAACGAACCATGACGACCGAGGAAACTCACGTAGGTGATGCGATAGAGATCGCCATCCTTGATCATCTTCTCCACCTGCTTGCGATACTGGATCTCCTGGTGGTGCGTAGTCTCCTCCTTCTCCCGTTCCCGGAAGAAGAGATTCACGATATCCGAGCTGCGATCGCGCGAATCACCAGTGAAGATGGATGCAGCGTACTTGGTAATCGAAGACAAAATGCGGTCAAGGTTGTAGAGCAGATAGCCACCCTGCATGTAGTAGCGGCGCAGGGTTTCCTCCAGATGGATCTGGTCCATGTCGCCTTTGATCACTTCCTCGCACATGCGCACAACCTGCTGGTACAGATTGGCCTTGGGGTCGCAGTCGTAGAAGAAATCCGTAGGGAATCGGTCAATCAGAGCCAGTTCATGCGCAGGCTTGGGCAAAAGACCTCGACGCACTTGCTCGTGAGCTTCCGCCTCCTGCCCCTTGACGCGCAGCAGACGCTCGTAGAGGATTTCAAAGGTCCGGAAGAAGCAATAAATGTTCAAGTTGGCGTACAGATTGTGCACCTTCTTCTCGTACTTCTCGTTAAGCGTGTACTCGCGCTGCAGATTGAAGTTGCCCTGACCGGGATGCTCCATCCACTTGAGCTCGGCCACGTTAAACTCCTCGGGCTCTGAAACGGCGGCAGATGGAGCTCGCGGAACCTCGGGGGTCGCAAGGGGAGTTGCAACAGCACCATCCTCCTTAGTCCGTTTCCCTTTCTCAGTCTTACGCTCAAGAGCCTCGCGCAAGAGGCCGATCTTCTGGGTGTTGAGCTCTTTCCGACTGGAATTTGAGGCGTCCTCGGCCGCGAAATTCTCCCCGTCTACCTCCTCGGCAGGCGAGGTTGCAACCGAAATTTCATCCATATAGTCGTGGAAAGTCTCCCGGTCCAGGTCGAAGAACACTGGGATGAAGTCCTTGACAAAGGCTGTCAACTTCTGCGTATCGGCGCCGAAGCCACTGGTTCCCCGTTCAAAGTACAAGATGAGCAGGTGAGTGGCATCTAATACGACGTCCAAGTCACTGAAGGTAAACTCGCGCTGGTATTTGGATGGGGTCCATCCACCCTTGCGAAGGTTCCGGTCCTCCTCGAACTTGGACTGAACTTCTTGCTGGATGTTCTTCGCGATGAAGAGCTTCTTGTCCGTCTGCTTCGTAGCAATGGCCTGGTGGTCGAGACTGCGCCAGTATGCGCGCTGCATCTGCTCGCGCCAGACCTTATCCCACTCGCGCTGGCACACCTTCCACTCCTCCAGCTTCTGTTTGAGACGGTAGAGAACAATCGGAAGAATCTGGCAAGGGCGCTCAAACATGTCACGGATGATCTTCTCGCCGCGCTGGCGATCATAGATTTTCTTGATCACCCGCTGGTAAATCGCTTCGCTCTGGCCACCAAGACCGCGAGGCAGTTTGAAAGCAGCCCGTTCAGCTTCACTCATGACAAGGAACTGCTGGCAGATCGGCTCGATCAGCTGGATAGTGCGGGTGCACGCTTCGATGTGGTGATCGTAATCATGGCGGTCCTCCTCTATGCGATGCAAGGCGTCTTCGTACTGGTTCTTTCGGTGCGCAACAAACCCAGAATCCTCGGATGCCCAGGTAGGATGAGATGCCCATTCGTCATTCAAAACCTCAAAGCACAGCTGGTCACGGCCGCTGCAAGGCTTCTGGCGCTCCCGCTTAGGCAGAAGACGGTAGCTAGGCCCCAGGGATCGACAATGAGCCAAGTTGACCATACCAGCCTCCGTTCGCGGCTTAGGGTCGATGGTTTTGTCCTCAGGCTCCTCGACACTCATAAATCGCTTGAACCAGCTCATGAGCTCCGCATTAGACCCAATGTATCCCTCGGCTCTCTTGACCAGAACATGACGATCCACAAGGTCGGTGGTGTACAGGTTGCACAGCTTCAGGAAATCGCTGAAGACCTGCTTGTTCGCGATGAACTTCTTCACGCGGTCAAAGAAGGCAATCTCCTCTTGACTCGGAGTCATCGAAACAGACGGCTGGATGGGTTCTGGGAGCGCAGGGATCAAGGTCGGAGACACATTCGACAAGTCAGCACCTGTTGAGGGTTTGCCGTGGTGGTACTTGGCTCTCTGTTACCTCGTCAGTAATATATCTAATTTCGGGAGAAAATCTGAAGCTCACCTTATTAACGTTACCAAATTGACCCTGAGTGCGGCCAGCCTGGACATCAGCCATCCGCGCAGCCTCAGCACCAGCAGGGCCGGACATGGAAGAGGTCACGCCGGCACCACCTGGACCACCGCGGCGCTTCTTGCCTTCCTTTTCCTTGACATTGAATTGACCAAGGGGTGGCATTTTGACATCCCGGTTGGGGGTCTGAGAAGCGAGACCGCCAGGGCCCATGGGATCTCCACGCAAATTGCTGAGAGGAGCAGCCTCTTCGGCTGCGCGAGCCGCTGCTTGCTGCTTTGCATGGGCCGCAGATTCAGGCAAGAACTGCTTGAAATCTTCCAGGAGATCCGGGGCAGTGTTGAACAGTTGGGTCACCTGCGCGTAGACATCCTGAATGGGCTTAGACTCCCGCTGGTACGTCTGCAAAATCTCAAGGAATTGCTTGTAGATCTCTGGCGCACTGGAGAAGCGATTCTAGTAGCTGTCAGCTTTTTGGTCATAATCGGTCTTGATACCTGTACTAACCTTGATCTTGTTCACATAGCTTATGGCGTGGTTGAATTCCACGGGTCCGCGCTTGGTCAGGTCGCCATGAGCACCTTGCAGCATACCAGTGCCAACGCCAGCCAGATTGTTCATAGGCTGAGTCAGACTTGCGTTCGCTCCCGCAGCCGAGGTCACTTGGAGAAGAGTTGGCCGACCCATACCAGCAGAGGCCGAGGCAGCACCTTGCAACTGCGCGACACCACGGTGATCTTGCTGATGTGACATAGCCGCCGCAGTGGCGGCCGCCTGTGGCTCCTGCTGGCTTTGGTAGCCGTAGTGGTGTTCTTGGCTAGATCCATCTTGCTGATACATGCCGGGACCCATCATGCGAGAGCCGGGCGAGTACGACCCAGGCTGCTGCTGTGGCTGTTGCTGCTGGCTTTGCTGCCATCCAGGCCGCGACTGATCATAAAAATCGGGGCGCCCGTGCAGACCACCCGAAGGGCCGATATCTCCAGAATCCAGCGAACGTCCTGTCCGAGGCATGCTCAGTGTATTGGTGCCGGAGGGGGTGGTCACGCGAATCGCATCGGGGTTATCTTCAGTTCCGCATTCAATACGATAGCCGGGAGGGAGGAAGGTGTTGAATCCCTGAATGAGAGCAGGGTGACCATTGAAAAGGGTGGAGACGCGTTGGATGACGCCGGGAGTATCAATCCTAGAGAATGTCAGACGGATTCTGCTGAGAACAGAGGCACAAAACTCACGCTTGGCTCTTGAAATCTTTCATTATATCCAAAAATCGGTTGTAAACATCCGGCTGATCGACGAAGCGAACCTTCACTTGGTCCAGATAGCTCAGAGCATCCTACACATTCATTAGTGTCAGGTCCATTTGCCTGAAGGACATGTCACTCACATTGAGAATTGGCTGTTGGCCTTGTGCCAGAGCAGCCACACTCCCCGGGATCTGCTGACCAGATCCATTGTAGCCCATCATTGGGTTACCCGGTGGCCCACCGGGGTGCTGCATGTATGATCGCGGCGTACCCTCACCATGCTGCTGCATCTGGGGGCCGAAGAGGCTACCAGGTCCACCAGAGGACTGCCCACCAGCACCCTGAGGGCCGTTCGCGGCAGCTCCACTCAGGTTGGAGAGAAGACCGTTAGGGCCATGGATGGTGTTGGGCACCTTCGAGGCGACGGGTTGATGGAGGGGGATGGAGCCCGTGTGGCTCTGGACAGGGTGGTGCTGCTGCTGCTGCTGCTCGCGCTGGCGCTCCATCTGCTGGCGTTCCATCTGCTCCCGCTCCCGCTGCTCACGCTCGCGGTGGACATGCTCTTCCTGCTGGCGCTGGCGCTCCATCATCTCCCGCTCTCGGGAGTCGCGCTCACGCTCGCGATTGAGCTGCGGAGACGCATGCTGCATGGCTTGGCCGATTCCCGGCAGGGAGTGGCCGGCATTATGGGAGGGAGGATGTGGACCGTACGTCTGAGGCTGGTGCGCTGCTCCGTGGCTCTGGCTCAATTCTGCCAGGCCAGGGAGCGAATGGCCACCCGACTGACCGCCAGGATGGTAGGGGCCTGAAATAACGATCCCGAGTCAGTATTATTCAGAGAGGGCATAGAAGGCGCGATTCTAACCGGATGGAGGGGGAGGACAGGGCCCGAGGGCTGCGGAGACGGGCCTTGCTGAGATGGATTTTGACTGTGGGGGTCGCAAGAATGGCATGTCAGTCACTGGCAGCATAGAAACAGCAGTTGAAGCAGCATCACATACCTGAAAGAGCCCAAGGGCCTCTGCTGCTGGTTCATTTGATCCATGCCAGGGTGCGACGGCGGCCCACCAGCAGAGGAGTGCCAACTATCGTTCCCAGGGTTCATGGTCTGCACATAAAATTAAATCGATTGAGAGGTCCAAGGAGAACGACTGGCCAGTCTTGCTCGACACAGGGAAGAGAAAGAACGAAGAGTGCCCTAACGGGGTGAGGGGGGACTTGGGCTCAAGCTCGGGGTCACTGGTTCACCAGAGTTATTCCACTGTCAAGGTGTGCTGGGCGCACTCCAGTCACAGCATGACCAGCTTGAATCAAGGCAGGAAATAAGAGACAAGCGCCAGGGTCCACAGACGGAGACTGGGAAACGAGGATGTAATCGAGTAGGGAGGGACACAGGGGACTGGGACTCTGGGGGTGATTGATTCCCTTTGCGCGCGATCGCGGGCTCTCCAGTGGCCTTTGCGCTAATCCGGAGGTGGTCTAGCGTGTTAGAAACCGGAGGCTGGGTTGTTCCGGTCAGGAAAAGACAGTCGGGAACATGCCTGGCTGTGAGGTTATGGTCGTATTGTGGTTCTGTCACTGTATGGCGGAGAGTATCAATACCCTCCGCCTCCGTCATCGCCCCGGAACGCCGGGCAGAAAAAACCGACTCGTCAGCCAGGACTGGGAGGAGGCTAAGCGAGGTGTAGAGGGAAGAGGATGCCGGGTGAGAACATGGGTAGACACGGATGAATGTGTTGAGTGCCAAAGTAATGACCAACTGCCTCTGGCTATAGACAGAGGTGGGAACGGTCTGCACCCGAAAATATATTCTACGGCCACATCGCTCTACCGTCTACAAAGGCAGGATTCATAAAGGCCAACAGGCTTAACATTCTCTATCATGACGGATCCCCGTACGCCATCATACCCAAGGAGCTGCATACAAATCATGGACCAACAGGCAAGAACACGAAAAAAGAGAGAGAGAGAGAGAGGGAGAGAGGGAGAGGGAGAGGGAGAGGGAAGGGAGGGAACGGGAAAGAAAAAGTCCTGAGATTATGGGAATCTGTGGCTTGCTGCTGCTATCGTCATTAATCTTTTTGTTTTTGTTTTGCTGTGTTTTTCGGGTTCACCATGATCTCGCCAGACCCCCCGAAGTCCTCCATCAGCCACCGAATCCCCAACCCCAATTGCGCCTGTCCATGGAAGAAGATGATTATGAGGGATGCCGTGGGAAGAGTCGCGCCTTTACAGAGCAGAGAAAACAAAGAGCTAGAAAGAGTCCGTGTCAGTAGAGAGAGACCACAAGGGGCAGGTGGAAACATACGTTGTTCGTAGCAGCAATGGCAATGCTGTCCTCAAAGGGATGCCAGCTCATGTGCAGGATCTTCTTGTTGAAATCAATCTGGTCGGCATCGGTCTCCTTCTTCATCCGACTGCCCGGACCTGCAGGGCTACCGGACCGCGAGCCGGCCTTCTTGCCATTCCCTGCCTTGTTCATCGGGGTCGGCACGCCAACCTTCTTGGCCTTGAAGGCCGACTTGTCCGCCTGCAGCACAATCTCCGTCTCCTTGTCGTCTTCTTTCGGGTAGATCATGAAGTTGTTGTTGTAGCTGCCCGTCATGACATTCTCCGCATCTCCTGAGAAGACCACCTCAAACTTGTCAAAGATGCTGTCGTTCTCGTACGTATCACACAAGCGCGGCCGCAGGTGTTCGTGGATGGGGATCGTCTTAACCGGTTGTCGTTCCATGTTGACATCCCAGATCTTCACGGTCAGATAGTCGCGGGACACGATGTACCGACCGTCATGGGAGAATCGCACGTCGGAGATGGAGGAGATGATCTCGGAGAAGAAGGAACGCGAGGAGGCGTCCTCCTCTTGTTCGAACACTTTTGTGAGCAGCGGTGTTAGCTCCCAGCCTCTCAGGAATAGGGGGTCAAAGACATACGTTTGGCGTGCTCGTCGCACAGCGCCCGCTCCCGCATATCGGCCAGCTTGATTGTGCCCTTGGAACTGGCGTACATAAACCAGTTACAGCCGACGGGGTGGAACTCTGCCGCCGTGATCACTTCGGTCAGCTCCTCCATGTTTGCCGGCTTGATATCGACAATGTTGAAGCTCTGGTCCTGAATATTGAGATTCCACAAGTTGACTCGCAAGTCATCACTGCTGATGAATGTCTCGCCATCGCTGTTGACGGAGATGCTGTTGATATGGTAGGCGTGGGCGTTGGCGTACGTTCTCCGCGGGACTGCTGCCACCACGGTGTCATGGTGTGTCATGCGCGGGAGCTTCAGCGCGGAGGGGTCCTTGAAGGAGAGCCGGGGTGCCCGGGGCATGCCGCCGCCACCCACGGCGCCCGCTGGCGTGAGCTCGTTTGATAGATTGTTCTCAGCGACCACTTTCAAAGACTTGTCAAACACCTTCCACAGCTTTATTGTCTTGTCGTTGGTCGAGAGGAGGAAGTGGGATGCATTTTGTCGGCGGCACCATTTTATCTTGTTGATTTTCTCTTCGATCTCTAACGATTTGAGATAGTCGAATTCGGGCTCGTGCGACTGGAACTCGGTATGGAACTTATATTCGCAGGTTTTTTCTGCAGTGGCCGTGTGTCAGGGTCAATCCGGAGTTGCACGTGAAGAATAGACGTACCGTTTCATTACGCTCAAACAGCACCACACGTCCACCCTTGTCTCCCGTAGCGAGGTAGTTACCAGTATGATCGAATTCAACGGTCGAAATGATGTCCGCTGGTCGGGCGCATTAGCCAACAAGGACAGAATGAGGGAAGGGAGAGAGACAATTACCCTCTGTGATATCTTCTACATCACCTTTATCACCAAAGCATCTGTTTGGACGAGTTAGCCTGTCCTGAGCTCATTACCAGTCGCCGACTCGTCCCGATGACCGACTTACTGTGTGAACTTCCAGGTGGGCGAGCCTGGATCTCTGTCTACCATCTTTTCGTTCTAGAATCGACCCTGACCGCGACCGTGGACAAGGGATCGAGACAGCAGAATGACACGGACGAGAAACGGTGCCTGCAACAGGTCTATCGTGGACGATGCGATAACTGGAACTGCGGACCCGGTCGGACACGGGTGAGAACAGCCCGGCTCGATAATAGCGAGACGTGGGAGATGATCAAATGTCGAGCAGGCCGATGACGAGCGGGCGAGGGGAGGCGGGAGAGGAGAGGGAAAGCAAGTGGGATGCTTTACGAATTTTGGAGGGCGTGCCCAGCGAGCGAGGACGACACGAATGATGGACTGGTGAAGGGGAGAGCAACGCACACGCCAGGTGGTGGATGTTGTTGTTGGTTTGGCCGTGGTTGGTGGTGGTGGTGGGTTGAGTTGAGTGGGTTTGGGGTTGGTGTGGGTTATGACTGGAGCCGATGCAGCAGAGCTCGAGAGAGGGGCATGGAGATGAAAAAAACAAGAGTCTATCCAAGAAGGGGCAGCCGAGCAGAAGGACCCGAGCCAGGTGGTGGTGGTGGGGGTTGTGAGAGGGAGGTCGAGGTGATGAGCGGGAAAGAGAAAAAGGAAGTGTGGTGGATGAGGCGGTGGTGCTTGGTTTGGTGGTGAGGACTTTCGTAGTGGGGGAGCAGTTCGTTAATAATCCTGGAACCAGCATGAGGAACACCACGGACTGGGCAGGATCGGGCAGTGTCTGCGTATCTGGCAAGATCTGACCATATCGGAAAATATCTGAAACTATTTGCAATCCTCGTCCCCAGAGTTCCCACGGCGAGTCAATGCTGACATCAACCACTGCCCTCCCGCTGTAACATTGCCAGAAACAGCCGACCAACACCCACATGGGACGACAAGGATGCTTATTTACAAACAGACTCATCTGAATCATGCAACCGAGCTCGACTGACAGCCGCCGGTGACCAAATCCTGGTTGGCTGCCGTCGCGAACCCCCGGAAGCTGGGCACGGTGCCTCTGTCGTCATCCGGGGCTAAGAGGAGGAGGTGAAAGCAACCCCAACGTACTACAGACCTTTGGACAATGATTGCAGCGCTAATTCTCGAGCAATAATGGTCTCTACAGAATAATAATAATCATCATCATAATCTCATCTCACATTGTTTTGATACGCAGGCTAGCATGTTTACCACATGCCATTCCTCGGATCCCATAGTTACTGTCTCAGTATATTCCGAACGACCCAGCGCGATCGCATCGACTCATTCTCGGTACATCGCACATCTAGCATCCACAGAAGCAAGAGGCAAGCTGTGCCAGTCATTCCACCATTCATCTGCCAGTTTCTTGGATATAATGCGACGCCAGATGACTTGAAGCCATTCAGGGATCTCAGATGGTAACTTGTCACTAGATTCTTTCTGCTCCACTCGCAGCTCATCACGGTAGTCGTCGCGGACATTCTGCGTAACCTGCAAGGGTCTGCTTAGGTGCCTAAGTACCGGCCTCAACGGCTCCGGAAACCCAACCTCCCCAAACTCCTCTACCTTCGTCGTCCGTATACTCAATTTCTCCAATGGGACAGAGCCTTTGGGCTAACCCGCGGAGATCGCACGAAAGATGGCTCGCCCTAGGGCTGGATCGAGCGCACAGTTAACTAGACGTGTTCGAATCGCACCGTTGCACGCCTCTGATCCAGTGCCATTGGGGATTTGTTGATCAAACTCGTCGTCAAAGCGCGGGTCAATCATGTGGTCCTCATCGTCATGGGAGATGAAGGCCCAGGTCACTGACACTTGCAGCGTCAAGGAGACCCATTTCAGTTGTGGCAAGGACACTAGAGTTCTATATAGAGCGACTTCTTCGAAATCCCCATCCGCGCGGTCGAGAGTCAGACCAAAGCATTGAAGCAAGGAGCAGCGCTGGGTGATTGCCGATAGATCATACTGCTGATCGACTCGACTGGGTCATCAATCAGACTTTCCAGCATTAATTCGATTAAACAGGCCCCGTGAGGATCCAAGATGTCATCCACCACAAAGTCGTCATTCCAACCCTTAACAATGGTCGTAATTTCTGGAGGAAGCACTTCACTTGTGGGTAGATTTCATCGACTTGCGGCCCACCTAAAACCAGAGTTTTCAAGCAGGCGAAATCAAACATCGGTTGCCAACTTGTTGAGTAGGTCGGGCGTGAGTCAAGCTTGAGCACTTCTAGGACAGGGAAGTCCGTATGAGCCGCGCAAAGCTTCATATCATTTTTCTCGATAGAATATGCATGATGAAATCTAAGGTATCTTAAGGCACCACGTAAATCTTTTGTTGGCATCGACCTCTTCTCCTGAATAAACTCCTCCCAAGGTGGCAGAAAGGAGTTCCCAGGTGTAGCACCATCGAGCGGGTAAAAGAGAGTGACTTCTTTCAAGTTAGGGGCGAGGGGAGACACCATATGCATCACAGCTTCACGATGATACGCACTGTCGGGCGTAAGTTCTGGATAGCCGGTGGGATACTCATCTCCGTACTCAGCATTTATGCTGAAGAGGCACGGCGAGGTGGCCAACTGAAATTCGTATGGATCTGTTGAAGGGCTGTTCAAACTCCGCAGAAAGAACTTGCAGATATGAAGCCGGCATTCTGGATGATATCGGTGATTACACGAGGCTTAGTTCCGTGAATGATGTAATACGAAACATCACGGAGCAATTTCAAAATATAGTAGGAAGGTAGCGATTCAATTACTATTGGAAGAACCGGACGGTAGGCGAGCCCAGGCTTTCTAGATCAGGTCTCGCCTAGGGTATTGTATAGGTGTAGCAGTATTTAGTTTACGTGTACTTGTCAGTGGAGCCAGTTAACTAACCAATTATCATAGCAAAACGGCAACAATAGAGCTTACCCATGACAGAACGATACCGTATCAACCCCCGCCCTCAAGTCTCGCGAACGATGATTGGGATCTCGATAGAGTGCATTAAGGGTCTAGCCAAGGCCCTTAAACCTCGTCCCAGCCATGGCTATACTGTACAACTAGTTCTTTTATAGTACAATAAGTTCTATGCGTGAAGTCTGACTAGAAACCGCCTCGTCTGCCATACGTTTGTCGGTCGCCATGTTCATCCACCTCCACCTGCCCAATCTTAATAGCTTCAATACCGCTATGGATGCCTGCGCCAAGTCCCAAGTAGTATTTTCATCACCGCCTCATATCCATGCTTCGCAGCCAGGGATAATGGTATGAGACCTCTGGGGTTCTTCGGGTCCACGCCAATCTGGCCTGTCTTTAGTAATAACCTCACCACCGGCGTACGTCCAAATCTTGCGGCATTGGACAACGTGTTGTCCGAGCCCACCTCCTCCTGGCCTTTTTCAAGCAATAGCTTCACTATTCCCTCACGTTCAAGTGCGGTTAGAAACAATGGTGTCCAGCCCTCATAGTCCTTCCGAACCATATCCACATGCCCCGTCTCAAGTAATAGCTTCACGACGGCCTCATATCCATGCTTAGCAGTCATGAATAAAGATGTGTTAAATGGCGTGTCCTCCGAGACCACATCAATTTGGACTGTCTCAAGTAATAACTTCACCACCGCCTCCTGTCGAAATCTTGCGGCCAAGGACAACGGTCTCAAGCCGAAAAAGTCCGTCGAGTCCACTTGAACCTGGTCTGTCTCAAGTAATAGCCTCACTACTCCTTCACGTCCCTCCTGCGCAGCGTAGAACAATGGTGTCCAATCTTCATTGTCCTTCGAGTTCACATCCACTTGCCCGGTCTCAAGTAATAGCTTTACCACCGCCTCGTGTCCATGCTTCGCAGCCCAGGTAAGTGGTGTGCGACATTCACTGTCCTTCGAGTCCACATCCACCTGCCCAGTTTCAAGTAACAGCTTCACTACCACGTCATGACCATTTTGCGCAGCCCAGGATAATGGTGTCCATCCCTCGGAGTCTTTCAATTCATAACCCACCTGCTCTTTCCTGAGTATATGCTTCACCAGGCGTTCATGTCCGTGCTGCGTAGCCCATAATAATAATTTCTGGCGGTGTGTTGTCCCCTCGCAGTTTGTTGAGTTCAAAACCGCCTGCCCTGTCCCAAGTAATAGCTTCACCATCGCCTCATGTCCGTGCTGCGCGGCCCAGGATAATGGTGTCCGGCCCCTGCTATCCGTCACTCTAACTTTGGCCTCTTCCTGTACACATAATCGAGCTGTAGCCACATTGTCATGTTGGGCAGCCCATAGCAGAGCGGAATTTGAGCCTCGAGAATTCAGTCTATAGAGATATGGATTGAGGAGAGCGTGGAGTCGTCTGTTTGTTTGAGACAATGAGTTGATATCTCGTTCTGTCTCCAGGCAGGTCGCTAGTTGTAGTAGTAATTCTGAGGGCAAATGAAGCAGGATCATTGAATTGAGACCACAGGAAATTTTGATGCAGCGCTTTGAGCTAGGGTGAAGATTTAGATGTTTGGAAAAGCCATTTGTGAGCAGTGAGGGGCATCGAGTGATAGTTAGTAGTAATGGCCTTATGTGATAGGTGAGTCGTCGTAATAATACCGTAATGTTCTATAGAGCCACGTGTGTATGGCGGTTTCGCGTAAAATACATCCCGCGGAATCTGACAATTGTATTATTAAATACAGCGACGTTTATGGGAAGCGGTCAGAAATGTTAACCAAGTATACTTTATCCAATCAGAGCTCATAAAGACCGGAGTTGATTTCCGGGCATGAAGTCGGAAGGGTGTGGAGGTATAACTGATTTCGAAAACTGCTGTATAACATAATAAAACATTCAACTCTACGTCCGTCCTCCTAAGTCTAACAGACTAGAGACGATCTCGCGGACACAACCCAACCCAACCCATCTATGTCCGACCAACCGCCCGAGAACACGCGGGGCAAGACTCCTCGGTCGAAGAATGATCGCGACACGGATCTATCACGACCAGCAGCAGAACCCTCCTCCTCTCCAACGAAGTCACCCTCAAACAATCCCTCCACACAATCCCTCGCAAGCCGCATCCAAAGCTCCGCGACCAATCTAGCGCGCTGCGCATTCCACCCCCCAGCTCAGGAGCCGAAGTCTCCCGCACGCTGGCAAGGACCACGAACGGCAAAGCCGCCGGACCATCTTCCCTCCCTTCCTCATCTACACAATACCACACCGCAAGCCACGATGTCGTCGGGGTACCATCATCCTCTACTTCCCAGACAAGACCTGGGTCCAGCGTGGTCGCGGAGTCCTTCCGGAGCGATGCCGTTTCTAGTGCCTCGGCTGAGACGCAAGGGGGTTTACGTTGCCGCCGCTGACAGAAGAGGAGTTCCAACAGCAACGACATCACTTCGACGATGGGGGGATTGTTCTGAGGGATAGGGACGGGGACGGGGGTAGTATTGATCCTCTTGATCCGCTACAATCGGAAACGGGGAACTGGAAGGGCAAACAGCGGGCCTATGATCCCGTGCAGCGGAGATTCGACACGACCTGGGAACGCGGCCAGCCTACCTCTTTCCAGGGAATAGATGGCAGCAGCAGCCAAGCCCAGATAAATTCCACAGACGGCGCAAGTGTCGTATCCCTCCTCTCTGATCCTGCCTTCGACGCCGGGTTCTCGACCCCAACAGATACCGGCGACGAAGAGCCGGAACTGGAAACAGACCTCGCTTTCTCGGAACCTCCACCGCTTACGCCCGCTGAGATGGAGATGCTGGATTCGTTCCGTCGACAGATGACTCCTCCACCGCCTCATTCGATACAGTCTCAACACCTAACATCACTCAGCCTCGTACCTGATATAGACACGTTCCTTCAGCAGAACGACACCTCCGCAGCATCCGAAACAGCCTCGACCTCTTTGCGGGATAATGTACTCTCCCATCTTCCCGGCGCAACAGATTGGATCGGTGTGCAGGATCGGTATCACGATGAAGTGTGGGGGTTTTTACGGCCTGCGTTGGAGGCTGCGAAGACGGAGATGGAGGAGAAGAGACAAGGTCCGCACAATGAAGATAAAGATGGGCCTGCGGTGCGGAGGTTGAAGATGATATTGAAGCATATGGGGACTTGAACAGTGTATATATACGTAGATAAGACGCTTTGTACAAACTACCTAGCATAGAGTAAATTCTGAAGGAAAAAATCTCCTCGTCTACTATAAATCCAGGCCAAAGTCTAGTAACTTATATATTTCGACGAGAAAGAATAGAGGAAGATGGTATGATACATGAACAAGACCGAATCAATCTTCGCGCGTAGGTAGACAAGCACAGAAAGAAACTAGTGGCCTAGGCCTCCCGCGGATATCGTGATCACAACAGAGCGAGGGAGGAAGCGAGGAATGTTGGGGGTATGACAGGGAACACAAAATAGCAAAACGAGAAATGCCCAAAGTATCTACAGGTCCAGGCTGGGGGTCTGGCCCTTGACGCGGCCGATGACGATGTGGCCGGCGTACTTGGGGATGACCTCGTCGTCGTGGAGCATGGCGAATTCTGTGACAGGTTTTATTAGCATGAAAGAAAAGAGAACGGAGGGATGATCGAAACATACCCTCAGTAGCATCCCGGCCCATGAAGTTGAACAAGGCGTTGGCACCGCCCGGGTGCTCGTCCAGCCAGTTGGTCACGTCCAGGACGCAGCCCTTGACGACGATCCAGAGGTCGTCCTTCTTGTTGTGTTTGGCGACCTCCTCCATGGTGAACTCCTTCTCGGGGACCTTGAAGTTGGCAGGGTCGGAGTTGGCCTGGGCGGCGGGCTCCTCGGCGGCAGCAGCAGCAGCAGCAGGAGCAGGAGCAGCGGCCAGGGTGGGCAGGCTGCCACCGGCGGAGGCACCGTTCCACTCAACTGAGATCTTGCCGGGAGTGGAGGGGTCGATGTGCAGAGAGATCTGGCCGAGACGCTGCTGGGCGGCAGAGGAGCCGTTGTTGATCAGCTTCTGGAAGAGGTGCTCGCAGGCGCTGTCACCGGCGACACGGCCGTATACAACACAGCCCAGCAACGAGGAACCACCCAGACGGTTGGCGCCGTGGACACCACCGGCCAGCTCACCGCAGGCAAACAGACCTTCGAAGGGCTTCTGCTCGGAGTTGAGGACCTGGGCGTGCTCGTTGATCTCGATACCACCCATGGTGAAGTGCAGGACGGGCTCCATCAGCGCGACGTGGAAGTCGTCGTCAATGCTGAAGGGCAGGTTGTGGAAGAAACGCTTGTTCCAGGGGTCCTTCTTCTTGCCATCGGCAATGAGGTTGTACTCATCAAAGGTCTTCTTGAGGGCCGCCTCGCCGCAGCCGATCTCCTTGGCCAGCTCCTTGCCGGTCATCTTCTTCATCAGGCCACGTCCCGAGTAATGACGAGTGTGGAAGTCCAGCACGTTGGAGGCCTTGCTGTTGAGCACCAGGCGGATGGGCCACTTGCCCTTCTCCTTCTCCTTCCACATCTGACCGGACACGTAGTCACGGTGGCCCAGCTCATCGGAGAACCGATCGCCGTCCGAGTTGAGCAACAGACCACCCTCACCACGGAGCGCCTCGGCTGCCAGGAACTTGAACTTGGCGGTGGGGTCCTTGGGGTCGACGAGACCCGTCGGGTGGACCTGGACCTTGTCCATGTCAATACCGTTGGCACCGATCGCCATGAGCATCTTCTGGCCGTCACCGGTGGCGTGGGTGCCGTTGGTGCTAGACAGACCGAAGGTATCCGGGCGGTGTTTCTTGAGCAGCGAGGTGTCGCCAAAGTCCGCGGCGTAGCCACCAGTGGCCAGAACGACCACACCTTCGGCGCTCTTAGTCTCGTTGTTGTGCTTGTAGGTGACACCCGTCACCACGTTGCCGCTCTTGTTGATCGAGGTGACCTCGGCCTTCTTGACAATCTGGACGCGACCGGGCTCGGCCTGAGAGATCTCCTCGAGGCGCTGCATGAGGGCATAGGTGATGGCCATGCCGGGGAACTTGGCATCGTGACCACGGTGCGTGCGGGGCTGGGAGTGACCGCCCAGACGCGAGACGAGAGTGAGGTCGAGGTTGAAGACGTCCTGCAGCCACTCGACGGCGGCGGCGGACTTGTAGGTCAGGACCTTGATCAGGTCGGGACGGGCCTTGTCACGGGCGGACTTGAGGGTGTCATCGTAGAAGGTCTTGACACTGTCGGCAATGCCGAGGTCGACCTGGGTGCGGGTGAGGGCACCGTTAATACCGGAGGTAGCCTTGGTAGAGTTGCCACCGAAGAAGGCTGGGGGGTGTCAGCGGGAGTGTATCGAAAGCCGGGGATGTACATACCCTGCTTGTCCAGAACCAGGACGTTGCCACCGTTGAGATAGACAGTGTGGGCGGCGCTAAGACCGGACACTGTTGGTTTTCGGGTCAGCGTGAATTCAGGGAAATGCGGGGGAAGAGCTGGGGGAAGGGAAGAGAGACATACAGCCACCGCCGACAACAATTACTTGAGGTGCTGCCATGATGATTATGATGTGAAATGGGAAGAAGGGAAGGGGAGGAAGGTAAAATATTGGGGGAGGGAGATGGGAGGAAGGGAGCAGAGGTTAAGTTATTGACCGGGGTTGAAGTCAGAAGCCGACCGGAGAGGTATCGGCCGAGGCACGACGGGGCGTGGGGAAAGAACAGGGCTGAGTAATAGGCCGACGTTGGTTTGAGCAGGGAGGAATGTAAATCACATGTATTCTGGAGTTGGCAGTATTTCACATGCGACTGCGTCATGGGTTTCTGATTCGTGATTGACAGGAAGTGTCCTACTATACTCTCCAAGACTGTCCATATATCTATAAACATCCCACACGACTAATGATTGTAGCCAGCCTGGAGTGTAGAGCATATTCCGACCGCGCACCCACACCGGCAGTTCGGGCCAGTGAATTCCGCTGCTGGGCCTCGGGACAAAACCAGGGAATTCCGAAAGCAGTCCGAGGATGGTTGAGTAGAGTCGCATTGCAGAAACACCCCTGGAATGAACTACTGAATCATAATAATATCGCTCTCGATAGCATTCATTGATCAAAAGATCCCTAAACCCCGACAACCGTCCAGCAACAATGGGCAAGATCAATTGCCGGGCTGAACATTCAATGCGCCTTGATTGGTCGCCAAGTGACATAATCCGGGAACGGGAATTGCCTTTATGGGCCAGGATGACCTCATAGCGAAGGCCGATGATGATACTGTCGTGGACATTAATTATATACGTCCGTTGCTGATTCTGGATCCAGAATAATAAATGAATAAATGATTCGGGGTATTCGTGTGTCTGGGAGGGAGAAGTAACTGCTCGGGTCAATATGAACCGAGGCTCGGTGAGCGATGAGACGACCATGGAACTGTAGTTCGCTATCAACAGAATATATGATTAATTGTTTATGGTGAAACCACGAACTCCTAATATGCCGCTACCGCGCATCTATACAATTGCAGCATCAGTCCATCCAAGTCACACTCTTGGTCACCAAAAATTCATTCAATCCCTCCGCGGCGTTGAACCGACCCCATCCACTATTCTTCACGCCACCATGCGGCAGAACGGGCTCGTCATGGATTGTCATGCTGTTAATATGGACCGCCCTACGCGAATATAAATTAGCACGTAACTAAAGTGATATGATCGACAACGTACCCAGATTGAAGACGTTTGGCCATCGCCAAGCCCTTGCGCAGATCTTCTGTAAACACCGACGCAGACAGACCGTATCCACTGCCATTAGCGAGGCGAATTGCCTCGTCCTCTTTGTCAAAGACCATGCATGCGGCCACGGATGCAAAGGCTTCTTCCTGCCACAGCGCCATATCCTCCTTGACACCTCCCAGCACGGCGGGGGCCATGCGCACCCCCGAGTCGGCGGGGAGTTTGATCTCTGCGGACCCCGAGATAAAGTGTGCACCGCTCGCGAGCGCATTAGAGATGAGGGCCTCAACGCGACTTTTAGAGGCAGTGTTGACCAGAGTCGGGGGCAGGGGTGATGCATTGGCACCTGCGGCGAGTGCGCTCTTGAGGGCCTCGATGAATGCTGGTGCGATTGAGGAGTGAACGAGGATGCGGTCTGTGGCCATACAGATCTGGCCGGACTGTAGAAGAATGATATTAGAATGATAGTAGACACACAGCGGAACTGACTTACGTTTAAGAATGCGCCGGCCAACACACCTTGCACGGCAGTCTTCAAATCGGCATCCGCACACACGATGGAGCTGTTCTTCCCTCCCAGCTCCATCAAACACGGCTTGAGACTCTGTCCGCATGCGCGGGCAATCTTCCGGCCTACGACCGTGCTGCCGGTGAAGTTGATCTTACGAACTGCAGGGTGCTCGATCATGGCATTGACGACCTCGGGGGCATCCTGTGGACGACACGACAGGATATTCAGACAGCCCGCGGGCAAACCAGCATCCTCGAACGCACGTCCAATGGCCCAGTAGCAGCGCGGGGTCAGCTCAGAAGATTTCAAGATGGTCGTATTGCCCGCGGCCAGCGCGCATGCCGCAGAACGAATCCCAAAGACGTAAGGAGCGTTCCTGTTTCTACCAGTTAGCGAAGGGACTTATGGCTGGCAAAGGCAGCTGCTACCATGGCACAATGCCCAGAATCACACCCATGGCCTCTTTAAACACCATGGCACTCTGCCCCTCCGCCTCAACGACAGGAACACTCCCGCAAATGGAGGTGATGCGGCCCGCCACATCGCGCAGCATACGAATCGCCAATGGCACGACAAACATCTGCGATGCGCCATGGTCAGCACCCATTTCCGTGCGCATATACTCGGCATTCTGTTCTAGACGTTCCTCAAGGATATCCGCTGCCTTGAGCAGGATATCCCGCCTGGCTGTTGGTTTTGTCTGTGACCACGCGGGAAACGCAGCGTCAGCGGCCTCCACGGCGCGAATGGCATCTTGCGGGGTAGCCGCCACGGCGGACCAGCAAGATTGGTTCGTGTAGGGGCTGATCACGTCGAAGGTGGCAGTGGAGATCTCCTCCTTGCCGTTGATTATTAGGGGAACAGTTAGGCGAGTCATTATTATTGTGAGTAGGTAGTGTCTACCTCGAGATGTGGATGGGAGGAAATTTGGTTGAGACAATTCACTAGTCAACGGTACAGCCCGACGACGATCATGGCCGGAAGTGGGAGAATACGAGATGCCACTCTACAGATGATTTTCAGATATTCTCCGGGTGGGAGTCAATAGTGTGCCCCACGCGCGTGTTTATCTGAAGCCACTAGACTCCACTGCCCTGCCCATACCGACCAGCCACGGCGCGAGCATAAATTAAAATGAAGCTCAGGCCGTGCGCGGCTTCTATCTCAGAACTTTCCATGCAAGATCGGGAGGCTGAGCGATCGAGATCGTGACAAATCGGGACAGGGATTGCACGCACTATTGATTTTAAACGACCTGATCGGCATGTCAACCTGTCAACTCATACGCTAGAATCCTCCGGCGATGGAGAACACGTCTCATTCCAAATTATGATCGAGGAAACTATAGGCTGCAGACCGTGGATCAACCCCCCAAGCGATGTCATGTTCACCCGGCCAAATCGGATCGTGTTGTAAGCGCCATCCACAGCCACCCGCTTCGCACCACTTGCACGGATCGAGCTAAGAGAGCCGGTGATCGACCGTCATGAGGATCTGACGGCTGGCTGAATTATTTGGTATTCTCGGGGTGACATACCCACATAGGAGTCTATATAGAGTCTCTCACCCCCTTCGAGAGCTTAGGACATTCATTCATTCATTCGCTTTTCCATTCTGTTCTTTCCTTCATTAAGTTTTTATAATAATAATCTACAATGGCTCCCAGTCCTAGAGGATGGCAGATGATCGAGATCGTCTCGGTCCTGGTCAGCCTGTGCCTGATCTCCGTGGTGCTGCGAGTGGTTGCGCGGCTCCGGAGACAGGTCGGGTTCGGCGTGGATGACTATCTCAGCATGTTAGCCCTGGTGCTGATTTTCGGGATGCTGGTTGAACTGGCTCTTTGTGCGTTATTCATTTACCTGCTTCTCCCCTGGATTTACTAACGGTATTGCTATAGGGTGCTCTATTGGAGGCAATGGGGCCCATTTCGATACTCTGGATGGCCAAACCCTAACCAACTACTACAAGGTAAATCATATCCATTGCCCTCCCAGCATAATTACTAACCCTTAAAAAATAGATCTTTCTCGCCAATCAATTCACCTACTTTCTCGTGTGCCCTTGCATCAAAATCTCCATCATCTGCTTCTACCGCCGCGTCTTCACCACGTCCAAGAAATTCCAACACTTTACCTTCGGCCTCAACTGCCTCATTGGCGCATGGGGTCTTGGAATCTTCCTCGCCTGTGCGGGACAATGCCGACCCCTGCGCGCATACTGGGACTCCAACGTCGAAGGCAATTGCTTCGACAGCACGCTCTTCTTCATCGTGAACCAAGTCTTCAACGTCGCTATGGACTTTGTGATTCTTGCCCTCCCTGTCCCCATGATCTGGAACCTGCATCGCGCGTGGCAGGACAAGCTCGCCCTGAACGGAGTGTTTGCTTTGGGTGCTTTTGTTTGCTTCGCAAGTCTCTACCGCATCGTCGTCCTCTTCTGGATCAGCCCCGCCGATCCCACATATACCGTCTACCAAGCCACACTGTGGACGCACATTGAGCCTACCATCGGCCTGATCTGCTCTTGTCTGCCTATGATTCGGGGGCTGTTCCCGGCCCTGAAACTGACGGGGTCACGCAAGAGCACGCCCTACTACATCAATACCTCCAAGGCCAGCTCTATGTTCTTGTCGAAGTCGAGCCCTCGCTCCCCAGATGTCGAGTACATGAGAAACATGGAGGCGGGCATGTACGGAGCTCAGAGCGAGAAGGGCCAGAATCGGTATCTGGGCAATAACTATCTACTTCCGCTGGATATCACGATCCGCACGGAGATTACACTCACCCCTGACGAAGAGCCGGTCGAGGAGGATTCGAACTCATCGTCGACGACGTTGCACGACTGAGTGCACTACCTTCAGTATCCTATATGCCGTTACGACTTGACGATATTCTTTTCTCGACAGAGACAGGGTGTTCGCCTGCCATCACATCTCCTCAGCCACCGGCCCTTCCTTTTCCACTCACGACCTACCAACTACTCACCCATCCTGTCTCTCCATTGTTTTACTATTCTTTTCTTCACAATGACTACTGTTGATATACACATTTATTCTGTCGGGTATATACCCGCCAACCTGCACATAAGTTACTTTCATGTTCTGACTTTTTCTGATCTGATACCATGTCCTGTCTAAAGAATCCTGTACAATAATTAATAGCACATAATAATGGAACTACTCGGTATATTATGGAAAGCTAATTCGATTCATCATCTTTGATTGCCAGTAAATGAATCTACATTATGAAAAGCAGGCATCAGTTCGTGCGCTATTCCGTAACTCATCATCTCGTCATTCAATGGACCATCTGGCCAGCGGAGAAATCCTAAAAACAGTCAAATGATCATTCGAACTGACCCAAACAGGACCTTGTACATACCGGGAATTTGTCAGTGATACTAGCCGCCACACGCTCCACATCCTCAGCCAGTTCCTGAACACCCAGATCCCACTGGCGAAGATGATTCCCACTAGATCCTGCACCCGCAGAATCGGCATCGAAATAAATGACTCCATCGATCTGATCAATGCGACCGCGTAGACGCCCCTGTTCTACCATGCGCGCGGCGTATGCCTCGGCCTTTTCGCCTGCGGACAAATCGCCCGAGGATTGAAGGCCGAGGATTGAGCCGAGGGTATTCACAGTGATATTTTCGTAGAGTTTGCTTGCAGCGACTAGGTTATGTTCGATTACAGCCTTGTCGAGGACGGTGGTTCCGTCGGCGGTGACGGCGAGCTGGTGCGGGGCCAGTTTGTTGGCGAAAGCGGCGACTTCCTCTGCTGTCAGTAGCCGGTCGAGGAACATCTTCTCTAGAATGGAGAACTCGTCGACCGACGCGGTGCGGTCATCCTTGTACAGACGAGCGAGAGTGCGGGAGCGCTGTGGGCCCGCAGGAGCGAGCACTGCGCATCGAATAGCTGCTGACAATGCGGTCAGGCGGTCGCCTTCGTCCACGCCGGGCGCCAAACTGACGCTGAAGTATTCCTGGGAGGCATCCAGAAAGCGGCGGCGGGCGTCGAGGATGCGCGCCTGCGATAGTTGAAAATATAGCTTGGCGTCATGGTCTTCAATCTTGCTGGGAAGGTTCTTGATCCGATTCAAAAAGGCCTCCGCGGAGGTGGTGTCGTCGTCCTCGAGGTAATAGCGCACGATCCGGATCCAGAGACGTGCCTTGGCGGCATCGGAAACCAGCCGCTGAGAGCTGTCAATATGGATACCCTGCAGCGCCCGCGCCGCAGCCGTGTATTCCTCTTGCGACTCGTAGGCCTCGGCCAAGATCTCGCGGATCTGGGAGTCTTGCTCCTCCACGGAGGTGGCCCGCGACTGTAAGAGGGTAACTGCATGTTGTCCGACCCTAATCTTTGTTTCCGAGTCGAGTTTTTGGAGGATAGCGATGAAGGAGTCGAGGAGAGGTCGTGCGGCAACGATGCTGATGTCTTCGCCGAGCACGGAGTCGAGAAAGTAGACCAAGTCTTGGGCCAGTTCGTGGCCAGAGGAGGTGGATAACATTTCATCAAGGAGGTCTTTGTACTGCTGAAGCTTGGTTTGGGGATGAGTGGTCGACTCAATGGCCGCCAGGGCAGCGGTGATCTTCTGAGATGCCATAGCCGGGTGTGTGTGATCTCGCGAGAGAGGGTAGACAAGTGCTGGCGAGTTGTTGATGTGGGTGGTTGGTCTTATCGATAAGGAGCTGGGCGGTATACCACCACGACCGGACAGCAACATATGACAATAATATGAGCAGAATGGTCTGGAGTGCTTGGTATTTTGCTTGGAAGGAAAGAAGAATATCTTTGGCAGCATTAATGAAGTTTACCCAGGAAATGCATACGCGGTATCCCAAGAAGGCTTCCTAAGACAGTATTTGCCCCTAGGCTTAAGCCCATAAGGCCCGAATTAACGTTAAGAGATCCACCGAACTGCTCTAATGGTCTCATTGATCTATTGATCTCAATATTCAATTGATTCATGACCCTAGAGTGTATGAAGTGTGGGGGATCTTTGTTCTTGTTGGAGACAAAGGACACACCGCCTTCCGCTTCCAAGTGCTTGCCTCCATCGCGGTGGCGGAGCTCCGACCTTCCATCACTTCTCTCGACTTTCCATCCACACCCCCTCCCTCTTCGAGTCTCTCTAATTTCGGTCGACGGTCGCATTACCTGGCAAAGTACTTCGAGTTTCATTTGACTGACGCTCCGTCTACCATGGCACAGGTCAAGGCGGACCCAGACGCACCGTACATCAAGCCGGATCCTGACAACAAGGATACGATTCTGGCAGACCTGGACGATGAGGACATTTATGAAGATGCGGGCGACCTAGACTTCTCTCTATCAGGACAGAATGTCTGGCTGTCGCGTCTGCCCCGGCAGCTGTGGGAGCATTGGGCACACTTGGACGATGACGAAGAAGTCGAGATTGGGACGGTTCGGATAGAAGGGGAGCCCGGCGACCTCAAGCGGGTAAGCTTGACTTCTGTGTATATTGGTCTTAAGTTCTCATGTTTATGCTGTGCAGGTCAGCTTGCGCTTGCACGACCGCCCCGATAACCGCGACATTCCCAAAGACTACACGCTCCAGCAGCAAACCATCACCGCTGAAAATAAATCACACTTGACTTCAAATACATATGTATTCACCGAGAAGGATATCCCAGGAGCCGATACCAACAACGCGGCGGTGTTTGGAGAGGCACGATCAGCTCTGTATGAGGCCATGAAGCGCGAAGCCCGACGGCGGGAACGCAACAAGAAATGGGAGCCTTATGTGCGGAAGACCGTTCCGAGTATGTATTTCCTTTGAGCTGCATATACGACACGTACTGACCGATCCCCAGAACATACGGCACTAGTTGGCCGGGCTAGCGAGGAGTTTAACTGTCTTCCGGTGGAAAATGAAGAATTCCGATTGATCTCTGAGAAGCGAGCGCTCGAGGCGCTGAAACCAAAACGGGAGACGGTCTTTATTGACAAAATACCGGGCAAGCTTCTACAGTCGCGCCATGCTCTGCCTCTGGAAAGGGGCACGTTTGTGGTAAGTTTGCATATCTCTGCATTTGGGGGGATTGGTCTAATCATCAACAGCAACAAGCAGGACGGCCATCCAAGGCCAAGGCCCAGGAAAACAAGTCCACAAGAATGCCACAAAACGAGTTGCTGGATCATATTTTCGAGTGCTTCCGCAACTACCGGTATTGGCCCTTTAAAACGCTCAAGGCCCGGCTGCGGCAGCCTGAGGCCTATCTCAAACAGACCTTGGAGATGGTTGCGCATCTGGTCAAGTCTGGTGACTTTGCCATGACGTGGGAACTGAAGCCGGAGGCGAAAGAGAGCAGTTATGCTGCGAACTCAGCATCCTACGTGAATGCCAAAGAAGAGCTGCCGCCTGGTCTAGATGAGCAGTTCGACTCGGAAGATGATCCTACGGCTTCGGGTGTGGGGACGGACCATGACGATGTGAAATTCGAAGATATCGCCTGAGATATGTACACTGGATAGTCACGAACAATTAATGCCTTTCCCTTCCTATAGACACTGATTTATATTCGACCATTTTCTTTGTCCATGGATATATAGTTTGGGGATCGTGGGATACAACCGAACTAAACAATGTCTACGGTATAATACGAATGAGCATGTATAGACAAAGTACTGGACCAAGGACTTTTCTTTCTAAATTTTTTGCCGCCTGCAGAACCAAAATGATGATTCCCGGCCTGTGAGGTTTCATGTCTACACAGAGGTAGAACGTCATCTGGGATGAGCAAAATCAACATTGGGACAGCTATCCTTTGGTCTAGATACGAAACGTAGCGCGTGGAAGCAAAGGAAAGGAGTTTCAGGGGGGAGAAGTGAACTTGTTGAGAATAGTTTACACTACTGTATTCAGCTCGAGCATCTTCTCCAGTCACGGGTTTAGCAATTTTGTTGAAATCAGGCAACTGAGAGTTGCTTTTCCTATTTTATCGGTGGATCCGGTAAACACAGCCATGTGAGGCGCCGTATCTTCTGTGATTCGGGCGTTAACAGAGCCTCGACCAAATAGAACAGTGAGATAACTTAAGACTAACAAAGATGAACATGGTACGCAAGGGTGAACTCGTTGACAAAGATGAACAGTTTAATCTCAAGGAGCAGCTTTCTGAAGCCGCAAGCAGAATTGCTGTCGATCAGCAACAGCTTAGACGGTGCGGTGCATCTTCAGATCGGATGCGCAAGGAGGACCTTTTCCTTCGAAGCGACTCCATTCGCGACACGCTGAATCTCCTCAATGCCCCTGTCTCCTCCCTTCACAATAGTGTTGCGCAGTATGGGCTGCCAAAACCCCTCGTGATTTGCTACAAACCAGTCCATATATCTTTTCATTCGAACTGGAAACGAAGGGTTTTGCGAGACAGCACTGCCAAAGAAAAAAGAGTCCCCATACGGTCGGACACCAATGCAGAGTTTCCAAGCCTGGTCGTGATCCACAGGAAGGACGGAACAAAGTAACAGATCCTCTGCCGGAACATCATCGGAGATACAGCGTCTGGCCAGATCTGGTGTATTATTGGCAGCCCTGGTGTCAGAAGAACTCCCAAGTCGTCCTAGGCCGACACTGACAGCATCAAAGACGACGGTGAGCTTCTTGCCACTTTGGGCGACGGCATGTCTGATGTCTTCAACGACGGTGGGGCTGTTGTAGTCGAAGACTTGCGAAGCTCCTATTTTGAGCAGACTCTTGTGGTTCTTGGGAGATGCTGTGGCGAAGACTGGATCAAATCCCGCAGCTTTGGCGACTTGGATTGCTCCTGTCCCAACCGCAGATGCGCCTCCCCAGATCAAGATGGGAACGCCAGTCGCATCTCGGCCATCGAGATCAGCTGCGGGAAAGCCAAAACCAAGTGTGTTGAAAAGCGCGTCCATGGCAGTTCCTACAGATATGGGAATGGATACAGCATCCTGGTCACTTATACCCTTTGGCATTGCCCATGTCGTCTGAGTTCTACATCGATGTCAACACCAAATCTGTGGCAATAGAAAGAAACGCCATGTTGCCATCGATCAGAGCAACTTACCCATCAGCTATGAGATAATCTTGATGTGCCCCGAGATACAATGGTCGACGATGTCCAGGCATGCTTATGCCAAAAAGTTCTTGGCCGATCTTGAAGGAGGTAGAGTCGCCCAGTTCGACTACAGTGCCGACCCATTCATAACCGGCGACGGAGCCAGCAAGACCGACAAGTGCGTGCTTAAGATCTGCCGGATTAATAGCCGAATATTTTACTTTGATGAGAACCTGGTCCCCCGCTGGCTTGTATTCTTCCGCGATGTCTTTCATGGAGACTTCTCCATTCTCACCTAAGAAGATGGCCCGCCTTGTACCGAGAAGCATTGTGTATTAAAAATGGGATGGAGCCTTAGATATGGCTTCACTTGAGTTATTATACATTTCTGCTTTCGAATATTTATTTTCGCTGCAAGGCATCGAGTTGATATACTTCCTTGCGGAGAGTGGGTCGGCTGAAGCGGCGTGAAGTCGGCCCGATTACATTGCTGTTTGTAAGCTACATCGGGCACTTCTTTGTAGCCCACGCCCTTGGAATCTGAATCCGAGATACACCTGCTCAATCGTCCCGATGGCATAGCTATTTGTAAGCTACACCCGTTGGTACAATTTGTAAGTGATCATTATAAGTCCCCGACATGCATACATGATTAAGGCAACTCACGGTGGTGTATGCTTGCTTGGTTTGGATCTATTTTGCAACCACTAGATGGATTGAAAAATCTTGTATGTTTGTCTAATTGTGTATCACCACGGGCGCGCATCCCCGCACTTATCATACGTTCGTCTAGATGCCGTAAAAGTATTTGAAAGATGGGCTCATATACTTCAGTTCGGGTTGATCGTGGAGATGAATGTCAAGGCTTTGATAAGGTCTTGTAACTTCTACTTTACATCAAATTGTAAAAGCTATTATGATGAAAGATATACCGTGTTGTAATGCAGCATCGCGCCGTGGATCCTCCTCTACGAGCTTGTGATCTTCATATATGAAGCTGGACAGCAGCCCAATCCGATGACCCAGAGCAGTATCTGGCACCTCGAGTCATCAACGTTTTTGTTTCAATGCTGGGTTTCTCCGCCCTCTGTCTTCTCTACTTCGTCAATCACTGGACTGCAACGTAGGAAGCCGCAGACGTCTTTGGAAGAAAAGCGGCGGGCCAGCCGAGTGATGCAGTCGGTATATGATCCCCTGAACAGACCGACCTCATTGAATGTTTAAAAAGAACTGAATCATATCGCCAGCCTTCCCGTCTTTACTTTTCGGTAAAAAGCTCAGCAGGCGGGGCTCAGAAGGAGCGAAAGTTCAAAAGCAAGGCATGCCAGACTTTCTTCTCCTTTGCACGACGGTCATGTGACCCGATGCGCCACCCGCGGGTATTATTAGTGATGATCGAGCGCGTATCAAGCAAGCTTTCCTCCATCATCCCACCCATCTGCTTGGTGGTCTGCGCCGTAAACTGCCTTGACCTTGGGTTTCAACTAACCGCACAGTGCTCTAGCATTTTAGACTGCAACAGCTCACCATGACCGAGAACGAAGACCTCCTGGCCAAGATCGGCCAGCTGGCAGGTGAGTTGCTCCTCGTCACTTTGGCTTCAGCAGCGAGCTCACCTCGATAGGCCAAATCAATCGACACAAGACTCAGTCATCCCAGCCCCCAAGTGGCCAGTCCTCCTCACAATATGTCTCCCGACATGCCCCCTCACACCCTGGATGGGCGCCCTACTCGCGAGGAAGAGGACGTGGTCGTGCGCCAGCTCCGCATCGCAATCGGACGCTCGTCCTGAATAACACAGGCGCAAGCTCCACACCCTCTCCCGGACCCGTGAGCGAAAACGACAACGAGGTGCGTTCAGCGACAACCTCGAACGGGTGGGTTGCGAAGCGCGATCGCCACATGCAGCTGATCAACTCCGCTGTCTATGACAAGGAGGCCCAAACCAGGGCCAAAGCGATGGAGGAGACGCGGAGACTCAAAGCACAGAGGCGGGCACACCGTGAACAGACCAAAGTGCTTCGGTACGCGCAGAATGCCCCAGTGTCTTCCTCGACTGCTCCATCTGCCGGCCACCAGATTCTTGTTCATGATCAGCCTTTCCAGATTGCACGTGGTGGAAGCAAGCTGGTCCGCATGTCAAGTATGAAAAATTCTGCGTCTCTGCATAGAACTGGCTTACCCGTCCTAGATGATCCGAATGCTGCCAATACGACGCCAAAGCGAGTCACCGTGGCTGGCGTGGCCTTTGTGCGGAGCAAGAACGGCAACCTCCACCGCGTTGGAGCGGTGGCCTCGAAGAAGTCAGTTGGAACTTTTCAGTGTTGGACGCAGCCGTTTACTGACAGGGAGGAATACAGAAACCCGACAGCAGTCAAGAAGCGCGACGAACTGTGCAAGAGATTTACTACGACCGGTATTTTGTTTTCCGACGGGCCATCATCTCGCAAAGTTGAGGTTGCCAAAGCTGACACTTTCGTTCTAGGGACCTGCTACAAAGGCCCGTCGTGCCCCTACGTGCACGACCCCAGCAAGGTGGCCATTTGCAAAGAATTTCTGCAGACAGGCAAATGCAGCGCAGGTAACAGCTGTGATCTTTCCCATGAGCCCTCGCCCCACCGGTCCCCTACCTGTATGCACTTCCTTCGTGGCCGGTGCTCTAACCCTGAGTGTCGGTACGCTCACATCCGGGTGACCCCCGGGGCGCCAGTGTGCCGCGGCTTTGCGACTCTGGGGTATTGCGAGAAAGGTGCCGAGTGCGAGGAGCGCCATGTCCACGAATGCCCGGACTATGCCAACAACGGAATCTGCCACAAGAAGCGCTGTCCGCTGCCCCATGTGGACCGCGCCGGCCAGATCCGGAAGGCAGCCGCGGCGGCGGCCAGCAAGCCTGAGCCGTCGGACCGGGAAGAAGAGTCCGATCCGTCTAGTGAGGAAGAGGACTACGATGAGATCGACTCCGATGACGTTGACTCGGATGAGTTTGACGAGGAACTGGTCGAAGGCGTGGACCGCGGCGAGCTGTCGCAGCAACAGGACTTTATCCACCTCTAACCCGGCTTCCTCCCCCTCTCGCTACACCCCAGGATTCCCCGTCTGTAGTTTTTTGGATAGCGTGGTCTTTTTGACTTTTTGGTGGTTTCCGATGATACCCCGGCACGCCCTGTTGATAGCATACAATCAAGGAAAAGAGCAAATAACAATGGTACATGGTGTAAGACATAGTTTGTTCCTCCTGAGTAGCCATGTCGACGTGATGTGAATCCGCTGCTGGTCCGGCTGACTGGCGGGCTGGGGCTCGTGACTCGGATGACAAGGTGATGTAATTGGAAGGAGGGTCGAGTCTCGAACTGAGTCACTGCCAAACGAGTCGTTCGTTACGAGTGCGGATGGTCCTCGAGGATCTATAGGCCTAGAACGGGAGATATGGGTCGGTTAGGTCGACAGAGACCAGACCCAAACCAGACATCTTGACTACGAATGGATTCCTTGCCTATCATTCCCGCCGTTATGCGCCAGGTCAGGCCGAGAAGGGGGGGTGAGTTGAAGTGAGGCTTTGGGTGGTGGAGGGAAAGGCTTGACCGCCAGCTGAGTGCGTTTCAGAGTGGTTGGGCAGGCTTCTGCCTGTCCAGGGCGGTTGAGGGTACCTTTTGTTTCCTTGTCAGGACACCCACGTCGGCTGGCGGACACTGGTCCATACCTCCCACGCTAGAGCCTAGATCATTCTTGTCCTTGGTGATCGAAACTCGTCATCCGACCCGGGGGGTGATCACTGCGGAACCATGGCCCAACGGTGGATCTCCCGCTCCGGCACAGATCGCCCGTCGATAGTCATGTAGAGCCCTGGAGAGTCGGGTGGGCCGCCATCGATAGGCTCTCACGACGTGCGCAGTGGGATGCAGGCGTGCCCAAGTGCGCAGAGCAGCCAATTACCGGGGGGAGGCTCGCCCGTCATTCGCAGGGGACACAAAAGGTACTGTGACCGGCGGGTCAGGGCCTGTCCGGCTTGTTGAGGAAGTACCAGTACCTCCACTCCCTCTATAGTCATGCCTGGGCTTCCCCTCCTCTTCTTCTTGCTTCAGCACGCCTACTGCCTCTTCTACCCTCCCAGTCTCTCTTTTTCGTCTGATTCCCATCCAGCCCTGTACCACATCCTTCCCCCAACCCCCCACTTCCTCATCCCACCTCCCACCCCCAAACACCCACACCCACACACACAAAACAAACAAATATACACACACCGCTCCTTCGGTCATGTCACGATACGCCCACTTCGACTTTTATCAGCAACAATCTCCATCCACAACAATAGACCCTAAAGGTGAAGACGACGAGATGAGTGTGCTGGACGACAAGATCCTCGACCCGAACTCCCCCGGTCTGCCCGATCGCCGCCATTCCTACGACACAGATGCCTTCGCCCATCGGGATTCTGTCTGGTCCAACCTGTCTGCCAGTTCCAACCAAGCCTCGTTCATGCCACCCGAGGGCCCAGCATACGCCCAGCATCATCAGTCCTGGTCTGTATCTCGTCCCGAGTCCGGCTCATGTACCCCGACCGCTGGCTACGACCAGTACCCCTCCGAGGGAGACGCTGCCCCTCCTTTCACGGGGGGTGCCGTAGGCCCTGTGAATGCCATGCCCATGACTGCCATGTACCGCGGCGGCGGAGGCATCCCGTTTGGTCCGCCGGGCGGGGTGGCCATGTCGCCGCAGTCGAGTCATGGATGGATGCCGGCGCCGATGGATCTGGCGGACGCTGCCCAGTCGACTAAGAGTCCGCCGACTTACCGGCATGGATCACCGTTGACCGTTCGACGAGATGGGATTCGCAAGAAGAATGCTCGCTTTGAGATTCCCGCCGAGAGAACCTTGAGTAATATCGACCAGTTGATTAGCCAGTCGCTCAATGAGGACGAGGTCAAGGAACTCAAGCAGCAGAAACGACTGCTGCGGAACCGTCAGGCGGCGTAAGTTGTCGATGAAGCACAGAAAATGGTTGAATCCACTAACCTGCAATCGTTGATAGACTGGACTCCCGTCAACGAAAGAAGCTCCACACCGAAAAGCTGGAAGAGGAAAAGAAACACTTCACAGGGGTCATCAGCGAGCTCGAGGAAGCACTTCAGAACATGAAGCTGAGGGAGGTAGAGCTCCTGCGCGAGAAGGGCGAATGGATGGCTACCCAACAGCAGTACAACCAATACCTCGACGGTCTGCACATGGAGAAAGACGAGATGATCCGCGTGCATACGTTGGAGACGGCCGAGCTGCGCAAAAAGAACAATATCCTGATGGAGACGGTTGACAAGCTCGAGCGAGGTGTCAAGCCCGCAGATCCTGTTGCCGGCGATTTCGCTGGCTTTGAGAACCTGGCCATGGACGGCGCGTGGGAAGACTTTACCATGGCTGACGATGGACTGTCGCTGAATATGCCACACACTGACAAGGCGGTTGAAAAGATCAACCCTGTTGCGTCGGACTATCCGTTCAGCTGGAACGCCTTCTACATGTGTCTGCTCTTTGGAGCCTTCATTGCGTCGAACAGCACCTCGCTGCCGAGCCGATCCCTCCCTCAGCTGTCAGAGGAATACCGTGCCGAGTCTGCGAATGTGCTGAAAGCAGTACTTGCCTCCTCGACGCCAGAACTATCCCACCCGTCGGGCCACCCTCTGCCGGGTCCATCCACTGGACCAGCTCATCATCATATCCAGATGGCCCAGATGGCCGCCGCACCAATGCCATCCTCTTCTTCGTCGGGGCTAGAACAGCTGCACAATACTCTCGTCATGTCCACCGAAGCCCAAGAGCGCGAGCAGGTCTTTTCTCTCAACGCAAACCAATACAATTCCCTGACGACCTTCGAGGACGATGGCACGGGCGTCAAACCTCAGCAGCCGTCCAACTTGCAAATGGCCCTCGAAGCGATGCGCAGCAACCAGCGCATGCACACCACGGGTCCTCCGGCTTCGGATGTCTACACCCGTTCTCTCATGTGGGATCGCGTCCCCGAGAAGGTGATCCGGGATTTCCGTCGCATGGTCCAGGAATATGGCGCCGCGCCTGTTAAAGAGGAGCCAGTCGGGTTTGCTCCCGCCTAGGGGTTTTTTTCGGTTTCTGACCAACAAAAGCTAGCAATGGCTTTCGATACTTCCTCCGCGTGTGTCCAGATAGAATCCACGCGCAACTTCTCCTTTGTATCTCTTTGACTGTTTGTTTTCAGCACAGCGTCAAACTTTTTAGCGACCAGCGTGATTTAGCATTTGCTTTCTTGGCATTTTTGTGGTTTGTTTTGTTTTTGCAGCGGAGCGGCTGAGCGGTCCTCTTCGATGACATGAAATGCGGTGGATGAGATATGATCTTGATGATGAGCTATGCACAGATGGATGGATATGAGCTTATGAGATGTGATGACTGGACTTCTTTCTTGCATGTGGCTATTTGATCCTGTTTTTAGCGAGGATGGATTATTGGGAGTGGATGATTTGATTGGATTTGTCTTTGGCTTGGCTTTGGGTTGGATTGGGAGACTGCTTCTTTCCTCTTCTTTTCACTTCACTTCTTTACTCCTTTTCTCTTCCCTGGACATGGCCTTACTCTTGCTGCTGTTTCTTTCTTCTTGTTTCTTCCAGCGAGTCCTTCTTGCTTGCTCACTTACTACACCTTCCAAAGGCGGCGACGCCCATGACGAACGAACATGATGAAGTTACGAACGACCCCCCTGCGCATATTGATGATTACATATGATTGATGCGACGATTGCCAATGATGAATACGAAACGATTTCTTTTCTATATCATACTATCACCCGTTGAATCTTTGGTTTATTCTGCGAGCTTTTAATCTCTGGAAGGCTCTCCGTGAGCGCTTCGATTTCCATTCCTTGATATCCGTCCGTTCTGTGGTTCGGATTAGCGCTTCGATTCATGATTTATGATTCCGGGTGATACTTACCTTTGTTGTACCTATTCGTATACCCATACTTATATCCGGATATAGCAAAACGTGGGCAGCCACCAAGTGTCAAACGCAACCCTGTGGAATGATCTATTCTTCTTCTCCCTCATTTATACCTCGTGGGGAAGAGTTAGGTATCATTATGACTATGTGCTGTATATGTACTATGTGATGTTGTTGTAGAAAATATACAATTCCATCATTATTTGGGGTTATACTTCTCCTTCCAGATCCTGGGCCAGTTAGTAAAGCCTCAAGGATATATAAGAAGCAATCAGAAACACACCATGAATTCCCAAGCGTAGGACACCCATTCACCTCCGCCAACCTATAATACTTGGCCGCCGCAAACTGCACACCCCCATCGCGATCAGCATCAGCAACAATCCAAACCAACCCATTATTAAAGCATGAGAGAGAGAAAGAGAGAGAGAGAGAGAGAGAGAGAGAGAGAGAGAGAGAGAGAGAGAGAGAGAGAGAGAGAGAGAGAGAGAGAGAGAGAGAGAGAGTGAAAGACTTACCTTATCCTTCTTCCCCCCAATCCCCTCCAAAAAGCAAAATGCCGCCTCATTCATGGCATCAGTATCCCCCAAATTCGCCGCCGTCTCATAATACTGCCGTGCCGCAGCAGGATCCTTCTCGACGCCCCAGCCATTGCGGAAACAGTTCGCCAGCTCAAAGATAGCGAGGACCAGCTCGCCCTTTGCGGCGCCACCTTTTTTCATCCCCGCGCGCAGAGCTTCGGATTCGATTGCTGCGCTGTTAGATGCTGCCGAGCGGAGGTATGTTATTGCTAGGGTTGGGTTTGGGGGGCAGCCCCATCCATGGCTTTGATTTTTAGTTTTAGCATGGTGTTTGGTGAATGTATCATGTAGAAGTGGTAGAGGGGGAGAGGGAAGAGGGGGGTTGTACCGTAGGGCCAGACCGTAGAGGACTTGGCTGAGGGCGTTGTTGGCGCCATTTGGGTCGGCGAGGCGGCCGAACATTTGGGTTGATCGTTCTAGATCTGGGGGGTGTCAATTGAAGTTGTCACAAGGTAAATGACTGGAAGAGACAGGCATTACCTCCGGATTCATGTAATCGAATAGCTTCTTGGATATTGATCTGGATAGCAATATACATCAGCCAAAAGACCCCCTACACAAAAAAAGCAAAGACTCACATCTTCCTCCCGAGTCGGAGTCGTAATACTCGAATTCCGCTCGCGCGCCTTCAGCGTCCCAACCTGCAAATAATCCCCGCCGCCGCCATGAGCTTCTTCCGGCGAAGGGGACGATAATCCAGAGGCCAGGAAGTTCGGATTTTGCTGCACGAGCATGGTCGCCCTCTTCTCCCACTGGCTCTCACGATCCTGCTTATCGCCATCCCCCTCATCAATGATCTGCGGGAGATCCGAGGGGATATTGACCGAGGCCCGACTCGTACTGCGCGAGGTGCTGTTGCTGCGTTGGTTGTGGAAGAGGCTCGAGAGGCGGTTCTCGCCTCGTGAGGACTGTGGAGGCGAAGGTCCGGACACGGATCCGAGGCCTGAAGAGACGGATGGGGAGCGTGATGCGCGGCGGAAGAGCCCGAAGCTCAAGCTCCGGCGTGGGGAGGCGGATGCGGATGCGGGCGAGTCATGCTGAAGGTCAGGTGTGGTGGCGGATGCGCCTTCGGGCGGGGTGAGGATTTCTTGGGAGATGGTATCGGAGCGGATGAATTTGAATTCGGGGGTTGGAGGGGTGGTTGGAAACGGTGGTGGTTCTTGGGGTTTGCTGCTGGTGCTCAGGTCGTCGCGTTTGTGGAGGATGTCTTTGAGGGAGGGCATGTTGTGTTGATGATTGATAACTACGGTGATAAGGATGGCTGATCGGTGGTGGGGTTGGGCCGAGGCTGCCTAGTATGGCTTGGAGAGATGCTGATAGTAAGGAAAAAATATTTATAGAAAAGGAACGGGATGAGAGTTTAGAGAGATCTGTCTTAGGGGCAATTCACTGAATCCCCCAGCGGTGGCTGTGTCTGGGTTGTGGGTGGGCTTGGCTGGGTCCGCCGGCGCTTACTGGAACATGGTGTATCGGGTAGATGAGATCCCTAGGAAAGACAGAGCGGAACGGGGTCTACCATTATACGTTATATACCCCAGATACCCTCTGTCCTTCATATACTACAAAACCAAGAATGTGGAGCACGGTGCCTGCATGCAGCGGCAGGGTTACTTGGGCGCGGTGTCAGTGGCGCAACACCTGCGTCCAGACCACAACGGGCTACGATGACTACACCAACCTTCCACCGGATTTAAAATGGCCAGAATAACACTCAGACAAATGAAAGAAATGGTATTGCAAGGTCTAGTGTGGTTTAGCACATGCAGACAGCCCCTATAGTTTTGTACACAATGGCATCAGCCGTGGGAGCCACCGGAGTCCATCTACTGGGCCTTGGAGGACATGATGCCTACAACAAGATTAGTACAATCAAAAAGAAAAGCAAGGGGGGGAAGACGTACGCTCCACGTCGGCAACGCTCTGCTGCAGGATCTGCTGCAGAACCTTGGGGCTCTCCAGCTCCTTCTGGATCTTGGCAATGACCGACTCGGCGAGCTCACGCTGCTGGCGCTGCTTGACCTGACCCTCGTAGCGCACCCACGAGTCCAGAACCTGCTTGGCCTCGGCGGCGAGGGCGGTGCGCTGCTGGAGCTCATAAGCCTGGGCCTCGACCTGGGCGGTTTCCTGGAACACACAACACGTCAGACGATGCCCGGACTCAAAGGAACCAATCGGCCTACCTTGGAAACAGCGAACAGCTGCTTGGTGATCTCGACCACGCCGGACAGCTCCTGGACGTTGTCAATGCGCTGCTGGACGGCGGTGGTGTGGTCGGCACGGGCAGCGTTCAGGATGTCCTTGTGCTTCTGGACCTGACCCTCAGCCCACTCGCGGTACGCAGGGCCACCGTACTTGGCCACACCAGTGAAGACAGACAGCAGACAGAAAGCGGCGACGGTCTCCTCGTTCATCACGTAGAGCTCGTTACTGATGGCGGCGATGGACAGACCGGCGGCGGCGGAGAGGACGGCGGTCTTGGACACCAGGGAGTTACCGGGGATGCTGTCCAGAATCGACTGGGCCTTCTTCTCGGGGTTCTCGGCGGGGACGTTGGAGGCCGAGCGAGTCGAGGTCAGGGCCGTGATGGCAGGGACGCGGGCGGGAAGGACCGGCCGCAGCCGGGTTGCGCCTGGGGGAGAGCGTTAGCTGAATGATGCAGGGGGTGAAAGAGCATGTCGTAAAGTGGATGGAGCGTACCAATGGCGCTCTTAGCGAGACGCGAAGCCATTGTGTCAGATGGGAAGATCTTGAATAATGGAGTCGTGGGTTGAGTTGAGGAGACTGGGAACTTCGGGTTGGTTAGGAGAGTGGCTGCGCTAAACCGCTTTGGGGGTGTCGGACGGAGAACCGGAGAAACGTGAACCCGATCAAAAAATAATTGGACTGGCATTCAGTCGCGGGAATACTTGACTTGCGTGGAATACACTCACTCATCGCTCCCAAAATGCCGGCTGCTGTGGACTCCAAGAAGCGCAAGAGCTCCAAGCATGGCGCCACCACATCCTCCAAGCGCCGTGCGGTCGCCGAAAATGACTTCGCCGAGAGGCTAGCCACCATCCAAGAGCTCGAAACCCAGATTGCCGAGTCGCGCAAGCACTACAACAATATCGCAACCCTAATTTCAATGCTGGGAGCACCGAAGAACCCGGATTTGGCAGTGGCAGTATCCCTGTGTCGGGTTTTTAGCCGATTGATCGCGGCCGGAAACCTGACCGATTCCAGTCGGGCTGCAGACAACGAGAAAATCATTGTGGCATGGTTGAAGGAGCGGTGTGTGGAATATCAGAAGGCATTGCTGGCCATTATGGCTGAGGCCGATGCTGCATCTCAGGTGGGTGAATGCTCTGGCGGACTTTGTTCTTTCCTGGTTCTGACGATAGTCTCCAGATTACTGCTCTGACGCTGGGCATGCGCCTGGTCAAAGAACGGGTGACACATATTCCCAGTGCGGATAACACGGTCTGGACCTCGGGGATGTTCAAGGATATTTTCGAGGCGGTTGTTGAAGCACCAGAGTCCGATCTCCGGACCGACTTTGTCGCCAAGTTTGTGCAGGAATATGACGACGTGCGATACCACACGTTTGCACAAGTTGCGTATGCTCTCCCTCACCTTTCTTCTATCGGTGCCACGAACTAAACTTTCCTCAGCGAATATGGTGCCTCCAAGCGAAGTCCTGAAGTCCTCGAAAGGCTCATCGAAATTCTCTCTGCCTCCGAAGACGTGCCAGACGTGACCCACGAGTTCGAAAATTTCTACACAGAAACCAAGAACAAACGACTGGTATCCGTCAGCTCCCACAAGAAGCGCGCCCAGGAAGCATGGCTGGCCATTCTGCGCAATAATCTGTCGCAGTCTCAGCGAAAGACCCTCCTCCGAATTATGGCACCTTCCATTGAACCCTGGTTTTCTCGTCCCGAGCTCCTAATGGACTTCCTAACGGACTCTTACAACGAAGGCGGCTCCATGTCACTGCTCGCCCTCTCGGGTCTCTTCTACCTCATCCAAGAAAAGAACCTGGACTACCCGCAATTCTACCAGAAGCTCTACTCCCTCCTCAATGCCGACCTGCTCCATTCCAAACACCGCTCCCGGTTTTTCCGTCTCCTCAACACGTTCCTCTGCTCCACCCATCTCCCCGCAGCCTTAGTCGCCAGTTTCATCAAGCGTCTGTCCCGGCTGGCGCTGAACGCGCCCCCTCCGCCATCGTGGTGATCGTGCCCTTTATATACAACTTCTTCAAAAGCCACCCCACATGCACATTCATGATGCATCGCGCAAACGGGAAGCCGGGTATGCAGGAGGACCCCTTTGATTCCGCCGAACCAGACCCAACCCGCACCAACGCTCTCGAGAGCAGTATCTGGGAAATCGAGACATTGCAGTCTCACTACCACCCCAACGTGGCTGCCATTGCACGCATTATCTCGGAGCAGTTCACCAAGCAGGCGTATAACCTGGAAGACTTTTTGGATCATACCTATCAGGGCATGGTGCATGCAGAGCTTGGGGAGGAGGAGAGGCCGATGCGCAAGGTCCCGGTTGTGGAGTATCAGATCCCCAAGCGGATTTTTACGGATCGGTTGTTGGAGGAGGATGGGGGTGTGGATTCTGGTCCGGGGTGCTTTCTGCGTGAACTGTGGGATTTCTCGTAATTGTTCTATTATACCATTGTCTTTTCTTTTCTTGTTGGAGCATGGCACGGTGATGAAAATTTCGTGCATTCATTGATCTGCGCAGTCTGTAAACAGTCCTTGACTGGGGTATCTATCACTATGCATAAACCATAGACATGAGAAAAACGACCGGTAACCAATATTAGCACAGACAATATCCATTGTGAATTTCCACTTTCTGCCATATTTGGAAAAATGGTGTTTTTCACAGATTATCTCAGCGTTAGGGCTAATATGGTCACAACCCGCCCCTAGAGAGAGTGACGTGGAGCAGATCAGCATTTAGGCCAAGACCATGAGACCTAGGGATGTGTTTGGATAGTTCATCCATAATGAAAAGACAGTGGAATTCCTCTGTGAGAGCCAAATTCTCCAGTTAGGCGGGCAGTATGCCGCGGTGAAAAACACCGCCCTTGCATATTTGATATTCAGGATATAGTAAACAAACACCGTTGTTGATGCTATGGATGATTGATGCAAGACCGCAGAGCTATGGAAATTAAAATAGCTTTATAAGTTGGCAAAATAAAGAGATGAATGAAACAAACACAAACACCCCTTGGTATGTAAGGACTTCATCGACAGCTGCCATCTGCTTTATACACTAGCCCGAGGGATGGCATGTTGCATCAAGCCTGGTGGGTACCCACGTTTGTGGCTTTTGTTTACATTTGGTTGTCAGCAGCTTGGCTAGTGTTCTGTAAAACTGGACTGGTGTTGCCGTGGGTATAGATGCCACTGATAATGACGCTTCATCTACTTCAATGGATAGTGTTGATGAACTATGCCAGACACCGTGAAAACAAATCCTTTTCCTTGTTTTTTTTTTGTCAAAGACATTCCCAGATACTCCCACCAAACTGGCCCGACCTGCAAGCTTATTGTCGAGGAATGCAGCATTCTTCCTGGACGCGCACGCTCTCAAATTCCAACAAGAAATGGATTTGCGGGGGCTGGCTGCTGAATCACAAAGTAGATAAGAATGGACTCGCCCTGCGGAAGTTTCCAACTCCTCTATCGCATTTATACGCCTATAATCCATTGTATCCGACTCTCTTTAAAGTCCCACATCTTTTTTTTGAATTCGTTCGCACTATGCATTTCTCCACCAGTGTTATCGCCATCTCGGCCTCTCTCTTCTCCGTTGGCCTTGCTGCAAACACTGCTCTCTCCTTCACCAGCTTCCCGACGGATATTGAGGCCGGCAAGCCTGTTACGTTGACCTGGACTGGTGGCAATCCTGGCGAGGTACAGCCAGCCCTTTTGACCCATCATAAACACCGATACTAACCCGCTGTAGCCCTACACGATCAACTTGCGCAAGGGTAATGCCGGCGACCTCCAGGATGTGGAGACCATCACCTCTGATGCCAAGGATGGCAAGTTCACATGGACCCCCGACAGCAAGGTCGCCGATGGCACTCCATACGCCTTCCAGATCATGCAGGGTAGCCAGTCCAACTACTCGGGTCTACTGAAGGTTCTTGGTAGTAAGGCTGTGGAATCGGGCCAAACCACCGCTGCCACTCAGGCCACCCAGGCGACTACTGGTACTGGCACGACCACTGCGCCGGCCACGCAGCGCACCACGCAGGGCACTACGGAAGGCGCCACAGAGGGCACGAAGACTGGTACCACTACTGCGCATACAACCAGCACAGGTAGCAAAGCCCTGATCAGCTCGTCGGCCTCTGCGGCTCAGTCTAGCAGCGCAACACCCTCTTCGATGGTGACCGAGTCGGTTACGATGGGCAGCATGAGTGCGACGAGCCACAACAGGGCACAGCAGACAGGGGGTGTGCAGAACGGGGCCAGCAGACTGCAGTATTCGGCTGTGGTGGGTGCATTGGCTGTTCTGGCGTTGTTCTTCCAGTGATTTGGGGATGTCTCCTTGTATATAGTTCGTTGTAGTTCGTTATAGTTCGCCGTGTTGTGATGGGTGTGCACGACGGATCCGTGCTAGCGCCCGCGGTGGCACCCATAGTGTGTGGAACCACCAACCACGACCAAAGCCCCTGTTTTGTTTTAATCTTCACTTCTTCTTCTTGGATTGATTTTCTGTTCTGTATATCTATATTTCCTGACGATGTCGATGACTCGGCGATGATTAGTCGCCGCCACAAGCCTGCTCCCACACGCCTGGCTCAGCTGCGATTCTCTGGTACGCACCATGACGCTGATCATCCCCAACCCAGAATGGCCGGTCATAAACGATCTCAGCCCCGACTGGACATTCTTGCTGACACGCCCCTTGTCGCTGCAGAGGCACCTCAGGTCAATCTCCCGCATGTCGACACCCAATTGAACATGCACCAGTACAACGGCTTCTTCGAGGATGGCGCCCTGGCCGCCGACGGGCTACGAGGTGAGTGGGCATCGCCTCAACTACACCGTCTACTAACCCCCTGTCCCATAACTATAGAGTCCCATGCCTCGCCAACCGCCATCGCCAACCCTTCCATGAGCCCCGACACGAGCAACAATACCACAGAATGGTCCGCCGTCGGCCACGCGGCGACGGGCAAGTCGGGCCGAGTGATCCACAATCTACAAGAAGAAATCGCCCGCCTGACGCGCGAGTGCAGTCTGTATCGCTCGCGCGCGGAGGAGACGCAGCGATCGAACGAAACGCTCAAGATCCAAGTAGAAAACATGGGCGAACGGGTGCGCAACCTGGAGCAAGTCAACGAAACGAACCTCAACTCGATCGCGCGCAAAGACCGCAAACTCGATGAGCTGCGCGCCGAGATCCAGAGCGAGCGCACAAAACGCCAGGAAGCCGATGCCACCGCCAGCAAGACCAACCAGACCATGCGCGAGGAGCGCGAAACGCACAATCGTGAGCAGGCGCGCGCGCAGGAGATCGCCAAGTACCACGAGACGCAGTACGAGGTGCTGGTCGGCACGACCAAGCGCGAGAAAGAGGATTTTAGCCGCCGCGTCAAAGCCATCTGGAAAGAGGTCGATTCGATGGCGGTGGCGTCGAAGACAAGGGATTTCTCGGCGGAGCGGATGGATGTGATCGCCGAGCAGAAAAACCGCGAAGTGGAGGTGCTCCGCGATACGCATGAGAAATTGATGGCGAGGCATGCTTCGTACAAGAAGATCAAGGACGAGGAGTTCCGGGACACGTTGGAGCGGGCCCAGGCGAACAATGCGTTGATTGATGCCGCGCTGGAGTCGATGCAGGAGACTCAAGCACAGATGCGGTGGGCGGTTCAGCTGCATGAGAAGGAGAGGGAGAAGGAAAAGAAGGAGTCGGGGTGATCTACTAATGGCCTGTACAAGTTCTCGTTCATGGTGCATGGCGTTGCCGGGAATACCCATTCATTGATTCATTTAGACTGTTAGATTTATTGGTGTATTGATGATTGCATGACTGAATAATGGTGTTGTTTCCTTCTTTCTCCTCTGTTTACTTCCTTCCATCTCTCTCTCTCTCTCCCCCCATTTAACCGCCATTCACTCCCCACCTGCACCACCCAGACATGGCTACCCGGCGAGATCTACTTCTGGCAACTACATGGTCCTTGGAGGAGCTGGGAGTGAGTATCCCATGTCGTTGCTTCCCTGGGGTATCTGACATGCTGAGCTGACCCTCAACTACGCAGGTGCAAGAGCTTCATGACCAGATCAAGTACGACTCTCGCCTTCTTGTATTCCTGCTTCACCCAGAATCCTGAATTGACTCCCTCCCACAGAAAGATCACTCCAGAAGTCCAAGTTCAGTACATCAAGCCTCACCATGTAAGCATTGCACCTTCCTCTCAGAACACCCGGCTCATCCATTCACAGGCTCTCCTACTTAAAGGCACCGATGGTCCCGTGAATGACTTCAAGTATGGCTGGATGTTTTCTGGGTTTATTGAGAACCACCGCAAAGATGATCTTCTCGATGTATGGAACCCAAGGTTTCACGGTCCGCAAGTCCTCCTGACATGGTCTCCAGATACCTCGCATGCAGCCGCTCATGGATATTGACCTCGATGATGCTAGGCCTGTTACTCCCATTCTAGGAGGGGATAATAAGCAGGACCTGCTCAAATTAGATGAACCGCCTGAGGATGCTGTCGAGAACATTGGACAACAACTTACGACCAAATTCTGGATCCCTGCAGGTGGTGTGCTCGGGTACTTTGCCAGTGATCGCCTGGATATCCTGCCTCGCATTGCTGAGGGGACTGGTACTGAGATTTCTGTGGATACCGATAATGGTGTACGTGTGTTTGGGACCAATGCCGATGTCGAGGAGGCCCTGGAGAAACTTGCTACTGTGGAAGGGCCCCTGGTAAGTTTTCCTGGCTTCTACTGACGCGCGTTCTGAAATTGACTGTGATCTAGTCTTTGATTGATCGACCGTATCGGAAGACCACCATTGTCGCCCCTACTAGCGGCACCATCCAATACGATATCGTTTCCTACGCAGAGCTGAACCAAGTTGCGCTCAGTCGTGCTCTGTTTGACCCACGCTTGAGCTTTCCCACCCCGCGAACCATGTGGGTTCCTGTTCAATACGAGTTCGTTTTGCCGACCAGGCTGTGGGAGAAGCCGAGCCATATCCGCTCGCCTCTTGGAGTGGAGGATACGACGACAGCCTGTCGAGAGTGGGATGAATTTACATTTCCGGAGCTTGGAATGGCCGGAGTTGCCAACACCGACGGGAATATGGTTCCCAATGTCCCTGTTGTCGCAGCTAATAGTAGCCAGCATCCTTTCCTGACCGCTGCAAAGGTTCAAGCGGTCGATGACTGGGTTGATGCTCCTGAGGCCTCAGATGGCAAGAAAGCGGCGAACCCTGTGCCGGGGAAACGGAGGCCACATGGATTGAAGACCCGCAAAGTTCTGCCATTGGAGAGTGCTGAGGGTCCTGCAGAGAAGAAGGCAGTCCTCGCGAAGAAGGAAGTTGTTCCACCTCCAGGCTTGGAGCATGTTGTGGCCAACACTTGGGATCCTTCGTCCTTCGACGTGTTCAAGCAGGAGCCACAACATCAGAACCAGGCCACGGCCAAGAATTTCCTTCTTGCTCAGATCGGAGCTGCGGCGATCATTCAGGAACGACTGTCATCTGCGAATGAAACAAAGACCAGAGAGTTTCACAGCACGATGCATCAGACTGCGAAGCCATACGCAAAGGGGAAGGTAAAGGCAGCGGCCAAGGACAAGGCCAAGGCCAAACGGGAGGCAATACTCGCTGATGCGTGGGGAGAACTTCCAACCGAGAAGACCGAGAAGGCCAAGGAAACTGATCCTCCCAAAGACGCCAATGTTGTAAAGACGGAGTGGGCGGCTATGAGAAAGAAGCAGCGGCAGAACCTACTGATCGAGACCTTCTTCGTTGTGCTGAAGCCTATGCTCACTGCTGCAGAGTGCTATCCTGGGCCCATGACTTTGGAAATCCAGCTTGGTCTTGTCCTCCTACCTGCCTTTTCTACTGCCGATCAAGACCGACAGATGTCATTTGCACAGCTCCAGCGCTTGTTTCTGCCTCTCAATGGGACCCGTCCCCCAAGCACTACTTTCATCAACCGATTGACAACATGTCCTGCAGATATCAACTACATTGTCGATCTGCAAGTGAAGGGGCACCGACTCTTTGATCAAGCCATTGCGGAGTCGTGTGTACAGTACGAGATTTACTGCCGAACGGAAACTGGCGCCTTGCTCATCATCACTATCGACAACGGCGGCGATACGACTGTCAGTCGGCTCAAGGCCTTCCTTGGCTCGGTTCACCTGAGCTTCCCTGGTAATATCTGGGATGCTGCCGTCGTCCTCAGAGGGCATGTAGAGTACGACCTCATTTCGAATACTGAGATCGAGGACGCGGTCAATCACATCGTCAATTCCATTTGGGTTGAACCGAACAGAAACTTGGTTCGTCTGCACTTCCGTCTCCCTAAAGCTGTGCTGGGAATTCAAAAAGTTTTCATGAAACGCTGGACCCAACACCGCTACGTCCCCTCGAACCCCTCGGACGAGGAATTTACAAACGCCAACCATGATCTCTTTCTGCAGATCACAGAGGTTCAGGACTTGCTTCTCTCTGTTAACCTTCTAGACTCGGACGTCGTGGAGGCATCCTGTGCCGAGCTCACGGAAATGGTCTCGACTGGTCGACAGTGGTGGGAAGTTTCTCTTGTCAGCCCTATCATCAACATGCTTCTGAAGGCGAATGGTTCACTCCAACCCGGAGATCGCACCCAAGACTGGACCGCCGCAGAGCTCCTAGGCCGCGACATGGATATTTCCACCACCCCCACACCGGTCGCCGACGCCATTGGCAGTGGTGGGCTTGGTGACTTGCTGAGGGCTACAAAACTCGTTGTGGAAAACATTGACCCGGTGGGATATTACAACAATGGCCCAGATGCCGAGGGGTCGAAGTCGGCTGGTGCTGGTGGAGCATCCGAAGCAGTCGCAACTACAACCACCATCGCAAGCGCAAGCAAGCTCGCGGCCATGCCAGTCACGGTATCTGCTGCTTCCGAGGCTGAAGCACTTGACTATTGGTGAGAGATGGAAATGGTTGGTGGGAGAGGATTTGTTGTTTTTCTTCGCGTCGGCGTTTTCCTCTACCTTCCGAACACCATCTAGGAGCTCCTGTAGAGAACCGAGACAGACTGCATGAGTATGGCCATCAAGTTCCACAATATGGCCAAGCTCTGCTGTCTGCAGCCTGAGAAGGACCCCGTTTACGACCTCCACTACCTCATCATAGGCAAATCCAGGCATATCCGGGACTTTCTAAGGATAGGCGAATAGAACTCTTGATTGATTGATTGAATGAATGAAATGTCTTCTCACAGTTCCACGTTAGTCAAAAGCCCCATACAACAGTCGTAATGGCCCATGAGTCTCAGGTGAACTTGATGCTATAAATGGCTACCATTTGCGATAGAGTGACATTCTTCTCGGAGACAATAACTGGAAGTGGGAGTTGGGGCTGTCGTGGGGCTGTAGAGCCATCATCTGGTGATCCATGGACAGGACGGCCGTGCTGTGTCTAAATTCACTACATTGGAACCCATTTTATTTAGTACAATCTCTTCTGGGCAAGCAATGAGTTCTTTCTTGCATAATGTCGACAAACAATGTCACAGTCATAGCTGCCTAAGGCAACACAATGAGACGCAGGGTATAAATAACCGTCCCTGTGCCCTCCTCCTTCCTTCTTCCTATCTTCTTCCTATATACACTCTATAATTCTAACTACTGACAACTGCACCTGTGTTAGTTTCTTACCCACGCCTTTTGATAACACTTGTTTCCCTCTCCCCTCAGCATGCCTACGAGGGATATAACTCTTCCACTTTGATAATCTATGTTTACACTCCATTTGTCTTCAGAAGACTTGCTGAGGAAGTCCATCCTTACGGTACTGACAGAAATACGGAAGAACACACGGCCCAGGGGAAGGGTTCGACGTGAAGAGGGTGATTGGTAGAACCTGCTACCAAGGCCTGCAGTTTCCTCTATCCCTACCTCTGCTGCTTCTGCTGCTATTCGGAGAGAACCACCCTCTCGGGGCGCGACCACCATGCACTGATCGGCGCCCAGTAATTAGCCCTGATGGCAAAGCTGTTCGTCGACCTTTGCAAACTCCCCTGACAAGCGGGTTCTCTGGCAGGGATCGGAAGTACAGAAGCTGGGCTCAGGGAAGAGGCAGCGATCCTTGCAAGAGTTTTGGACGAGTTCAAAAAGGGCAAGGCTTTCGTGAGATGGCTTTGAATGAGATTGTCTCCTTCTTCGCGCATGTCTACAGCTATCATGGTCGATGGAAGACGCCGAGAGTCCTCTACCCGATCTGCCACCCTCGACTTCGCTCAATCCGGAGCTGGAGAACAATAGAAATATTTCGGGTACACCGGGATACGGCGCAGTCATTGTCGTCGTGAACGCCAGAGGGTGAGACTTGGGAACACGTTTGCGAATATCAGTGCCCTGTCTAGTAGACGGTATGCATTTTTCTTTTTCTTATATCTCCCCTTTTGGTATGTACTGCGGATATTCATACTGATCGTTTACGTACCAGGTGATTTCTGACTTGCGAAGGTGTGGGATTGGCCAGCCTGCTTCAATGCATGCAGATTGACTACAAGGACCCAACGCCACTATCGTCCAGGAAGTGTCTGTGGCACGGCCTGACCGAAGCGCTGCCCGATCGAAGAGGGTTTTGTACTTTTCTTCTTGTGCACGTACATGCAGCTCTGTGGCCCTTGGGCATGATGATGGATGACTTCGGTACGACTTCCGTCGCCAACAAGCGAGTCGCGAACTGCCGGTATAAGAGCCTCCGCCTTACAGACAGGAGCGATTTCCTCACACTGTTTTATATGGCGCCGACTGATCGCCGCGAGAGAGCGCTTCCTAAGCGACGCTTTTGGAGGGTTTATCTGCCAGCTTTACCGGAGATATCGTCATGAGACCACGCACCTACCTGATGCAAAGCAGATTCATTATTACTGGGAAAAGGTCAAGATCGCCACTGATAAGATGGATGTTATTGAGCGGCATTGTGCATTGATCTGACTCGTGTAGTAGTATTCGAGCCCTCTGGGTCCCAATTGAATCAAGCCCTATCCTCTGGACGTATGGGCTCCCGTACTTCGCCGTCGTCGAGGATAAATTCATACTATGCGGCGACGACCGCCGTGGAAAGATCCAACACCAGTTGCACTCGCGCCGGGAAGGCTCGAGTCACCAGCGCGGCACTCCTCATAGGCCTGAATATTACCCATTGGGGATGAGTCTTCGGCAACCCAAGTCCTCCCACGGTGGGATGCCCTTCGGGGGCAGCACCACGAAGTCGCTGATCGACACCTCCCCCTTTTTCTTCACTCTTCATCATCTGCTGAGGATCTCGACATTGAGTACATCTTGACTCTGGACGAACTCCGGAACAACGTTTCTTCAGGGTCCAGCTGTCACTATGACTCCAAAAAGAGGACGTGGGAGGCACCCAGTCGCCCACCGAAACCCCCTCTCTGCTCCTCCTCCTCTCCCCAACCAGGTTAGTTCCTTTCATCCCTGATATTGATTAGCTGCTTGTTATCTTTCTCCTCTTCACTCTTATCCCAACAGCAGCAGCCCATATTCAAACCATGGATTCCAACCCAAAGCTACCCGGATATGAACTCGTGGGAGAAAGTTGCGCGTGCTGAGAATGTTCGGGTTCAAAAGTCCGGCAGCCGTTGACTATATTCTTTCCGCGGTCAAAGTTAAAAGATATCAACGAGTTCCTGGTCGATAAATCGTTTATTAAGAGTTCTCTTGATTGTATTTGATCAAAAGCTGGTCGCGGTATCACTGTATAATAATGGTGGATATAATACCTTCACTTAATCACAAAGCCAAAACGATTTAGTATTTCAACATCCCATGTGATACCTGCTGAGCCTAGACTGCCATTCCTGCCATTCGGAACTAGTATTCAATCCCTGATATGCAAGGAGCCCAGTTTTTGTTACATACCTGACCAATGGGAATATAAAGGCCCTGAAATAGATAGGCCAAGCTTCGTTGGAATGAGGGTCCATTCCAGAGCAATCAATGCAAGGCTCGGTCTCGGCCGATTGGACGTTGTCCATTTGAATGTAGGGCTAGCTATTCAAGGGCGGTCTACCCATAGGCCTTTTTATTCGATCTGGGTTCTGGACCCTCTGAGCAGGCCTTGTATCATATCATAGGAAATCTAGAAAAGCTGTTGCTGTGTGAGATAAACTTGTGTTAAATGGTAGCCAGATGCTACAGGGCTACTTTATCATGCTATCTGCTCTCAGCAAAAGGATTATCGACATGGCTATTCCAGTAAAAGCTGCAGAAATAAGTTTCTGTCCTTGTCTGACTGGACTAGGCTAGACCAGGCCATTCTTTCCTATGATCATATGACAGGAAAAGATAGGTAGCTCGACAGAGTCCTCGGTCGCATGGACAAAAACCTGATTTGCACTGTCACTAGCGTGGAATTCGATCTAGGACATTCCAACGTGGTTGATGTATGATTGGGCTGGAATTCAGCTAGTTCTTCTATGGCACAGTACCACTACAATTGCAGTCGCCACAGTAGGACCTAGGCCAACGCCACTTGCTACATAGAGCTTGACTCATTATGCCTTTATCCATTGAACTTATTTATAGGAGGGAAGTAGCCCCATTCTGCGGCCTGCAATTCTTTTAATACTCCTCATCATGGTGTCCACCGGCGTGGGAGGCAAAGTCAAGAGAGCCCTTGGTCTACAAGAGCCGCTAAACAACCCTCTGAATGGGAAGGTCTCTGAAATTGCTACACACCATGAGGCAGATCCAACAGTGTCTGGTTGGTTGAATGAAGCGATTCCTTCAGGGTCTCAAGTGCGGTCGTACTTTGTACGTCTATTTCCTTTCATGGGATGGATTTTGCACTACAACATGAAATGGTTTCTCGGCGATTTGGTTGCCGGTATGTAGAGTTTAAAAGAACTTCGAAAATCTGCTAACGTAAGAACAATGGCAGGAATCACCGTCGGTGCAGTCGTTATCCCCCAGGGCATGGGATATGCTAGGCTGGCCAACTTGCCTGTTCAGGTCGGGCTATATACATCCTTCGTGGGCGTGCTCATATACTGGCTCTTTGCAACGTCCAAGGATATTAGTATCGGGGTAAGTTTGCGATTGGCATTCCTTGCGAGGGTTACGTGTGCTAAATGGATCAGCCGGTTGCTGTCACGTCGATTCTTGTCGGTACTATCATCACCGATGTTCAGAGCATCCGTCCTGATATTTCCGACGTACAAATTGCAATGTCGATTGCTGTGACATGTGGAGGGATTGTGACATTCATGGGATTCGCCCGCCTAGGCTTCATTGTCGACTTCATCCCTCTTCCGTCTATCGCAGCCTTCTCGACGGGGTCGGCGATAACAGTCTGTTCGGGACTGATCAAACAATTGCTGGGTGAAACTGCCGAATTCAGCACTCGGGGACCAGCTTATCGTATTATCATCGACAGCTTGAAGAATCTGCCCACGTCAAGTAGATATGATGCCGCCATGGGCGTCTCTGCTCTCGGGATGCTTTATCTAATTCGCATTGGCTGCAGCTACGGAGCACGCAAACATCCACAGCATGCCAAAAGCTTTTTCTTCATATCGTCTTTGCGTGCAGCTACGGTCATATTTATCTTCACAGCAATTAGCGCCGCAGTCAACCTACATCATCGAAATAATCCGCTCTTTGCCATCATCGGAACTGTCCCTCGAGGCTTTCAGGGCGCAGGGGTCCCAAAGCTTAGCAGCGACGCCATCAAGATCTTTGCCCCCCAGCTTCCTGCTTGCGTGATCGTGCTTCTCATTGAGCATATTGCCATCTCCAAATCCTTTGGCCGCATCAACAACTACACAATCGACCCTTCCCAGGAGCTGATTGCCATTGGTATCACGAACCTTCTAGGTCCCTTTCTCGGCGGTTACACAGCAACTGGCTCTTTCTCCCGCTCAGCAATTCAATCCAAATCCGGCGCGCGGACTCCTTTTACGGGTGTCATAACTGCCATCGTTGTTCTGATCGCGCTCTATGCCCTGACCGAGGTGCTCTGCTTCACACCCAAGGCTTCGCTAGCCGGTGTCATTATCCATGCAGTAGGAGACTTGATCACATCCCCAAATACACTCTATCAGTTCTGGCTCATTGCGCCATCGGATGCCATTGTCTTCGCCATTGGATTACTTGTCGCCATTATGGACTCAATCCCCAGCAGCATTTATGCCACCGTCGTCTTGTCTCTCCTCATTTTTCTATTTCGTCATGCCAAAGCACATGGTCAATTCCTTGCGAGAACTTGGATTGGACCCAAGGATGCACAAAGACCTTTGTTTTTACCAGCCGATGGCTTCCCCGATCTAAGTCTCGAGCAGCCGCGGCCGGGAGTGTTCATCTATCAATTTCCAGAGGGCCTGAACTACTCCAATACAAACCATTACACGGAGCACCTGGTGCAGACAATCTTGAAAAGCACTCGTTGCACCGACTCTCAGATTTATGCGACAAAGGGTGATCGGCCATGGAATGACCCCGGATTCAGCGATAAAGACCAGGAATCCAGCAACTCCCGCCTCCCGCTTCTCCGTGCGGTGGTCTTGGACTTTTCATGTGTTAACGATGTCGATGTGACCTGCATCCAGAATCTGATGGATGTAAGAGACCAGCTCGATCATCGTGCTGCACCGTCGGCAGTTCAGTGGCATTTTGCCAGTATCAAAAACCGGTGGACCAAGCGTGCTCTCGCCGCGGCTGGGTTTGGGTATCCACGTTCTTTGACCGAGACAACGGTCATGGAAGGAATTGCTGTCAATGAGTCTGAGTGTTCCAGTGATAGCCTCGAAGACGTGGAAAAGGGGATTTTCGCACATGACAAGTCTAGTTGCTGTGTCAAGTCCTGTGAGAAAAGTGTGTCCGTTGAAAGTCCCCAGTTGGCGGTACTCGAGCGCGAGGATCGGCCTTTCTTCCATGTCGACTTGGTCGGTGCAATGGAGAGTGTGGATGCTTATTTAGATCAAAGTCCGGCAAATAGACTGGACGTTTGAGAGGAGATGACTGTATAAATTCAAAATGAACCACATTTACAACACCCAATTAGGCAAGGATGAGCGATATGTCGAACCTCGTACGCGGATCGCCAGTAGTCAAAGAGAGAGATAAGAACGTCATTGAACAATACCATTGGCCCAACTCAATTTCTGACTATAACCAACTAAACAAAAATTGCAAATACCTTGAACCGGCTGTTCCGCTCTAACTATAGATCTCAGGTGTGTACTCGGCACGCCGAAAGCGGCGTTCTTATCGATAAGCGAACAATCTTTTCCCGCCGAAAATCGATCCGATCTAAACCCCGCGGTCTTCTTTTCTTTCAGCAATTACATACTGCGCTTTCTCTAGTAGCCATGTCTGCCCCGACCGATCATGCCCCACCCCCCTGCAAGGTGATGCTGGCCAAGCACGTCGCCAATGGCCTGCTCGCCGAAGTGTCGGAGGGCGTCAAGACCCTCGAGAAGCCGCCGCACCTAGTCGGCTTCCTGGCGAATAACGATCCTGCGGCGCTGATGTATGCGCAGTGGACGCAGAAGACGTGTGAAGAGAAGTGAGTCTTTTGTCATCCAACCATTGCCTACGATGGCCGATACGGGGAGAACTGGCTGTATATGATTCATACCTGTCTGAGTGTTGCGCGCATGGAAGCATTGTCTGTGATTCATTGGCTAACATTATATAAAGTGGCTTCAAATATACCCTCCGTGAAGTTCCTTGTGACGATATCGAAGACGCCCTCATCGCCGCCAACGCCGACACCGACGTCGATGGCATCATCGTCTACTACCCGATCTTCAACAACCGACAGGACCAGTACCTGCAGCAGATCGTGGACGTCTCAAAGGACGTCGAGGGTCTGAGCCACCGCTACATCTTCAACATGTACCAGAACATCCGATTCCTGGACCCGGAGACCAAGCGTCAAAAGTGCATCCTGCCCTGCACCCCGCTGGCCAACATCAAGATTTTGGAGTACCTGAACATCTACAACACCATTCTGCCCTATGGAAACCGGCTATTCGGGCACACTATCTGCGTCGTCAACCGGTCTGAGGTGGTGGGACGGCCGCTTGCTGCGCTTTTGGCGAACGATGGCGCCTGCGTCTACAGTGTTGATATCACCGGTGTGCAGAAGTTTACCCGTGGTGAAGGATTGCAGAAGGGTCGGCATGAGATTGTTCATCTCGATGGTGCTACGCTGAAGGATGTTGCCCCGCTGTGCGATGTCGTTATCTCCGGTGTGCCCGGTGAGAAGTTCAAGTTTGATACTAGCCTTCTCCGTGAGGGCGCTGTATGTGTCAACTTCTCCAGTGAGAAGGTAAGTGTTGCTTTCTAATGCTGTTATCTTTCTCTAATTGTTTTTTCCGTACAGAATTTTGGCCCCGAGGTCAAGGAAAAGGCCTCCATCTTTGTTCCGTCCATTGGAAAGGTGACGATTGTTGTGCTGCTGCGGAACCTTTTGGTAAGTATCTGTCGGTGTCTGGGTTTGAACCACTGCTAAATTTGATTTCTATAGCGCCTTATCCAGAACCGGCGACTAGACGACGTCAAGCCTGCCGCGGCCACAGAGCGCCCGGGCACCTTGGAGGCCGGCTCGTAGCTGATAAAGCCACGAGAATGAGACGATGTGGAACAATCGTCGTGTTAAAAACTTTATAGACTCTATCTGTTATTAGCCTTGACTATACTTGAACGATTTTTTTTGGTTTGTTTCTGATGCCAGTCGTGAATATCAGTAGTACTGGACACCTAAATCAAGCTTGCAATTGCGTGCAAATGCGCTGCAGCATTTCGATATGCAACCCCATCCTCAGCACCCATGCTATTTTAAACAAGACCAACAACCAAAAGACCAAGAAAATCACCAGCTCCCCGAGGGGACTACCGCTTCTTCTTAGAGGGTTTGCTGCTCTCAGCGTCATCCTGCTTCCCAACCAGCCCCGACACACCCCCGGTCTTCTTCTCATTCTCCTTGGCCGCCAGTCTCAGCACATCGATCTCGCCAGCCAACCAGCGACGGAAGGGTCCCGGGTGAAACACGCCATCCGCCGAGAACCAAGTGGTGAACGGCGCCTCGCAGCGCTTTTCCTGGATGACCTGCCCCGAAGCGGATTTGTAGAGAATATGCAGCTTGTACTGGGAAGAAAACTTCTTGGCAGATGAGCTGATCGAGATCTGTACATGAGGGTAAATAGTCAGTCAGCCTTTTTATCTTTGTTCCTTGCAGATAAGGTACACGCGTACCGTCTCCCCTGTCTTCCTCTTGCCAGCGAAGACCTCTCCCGCCTCGACGCGCCAGATCCAGAACGTAAGCAGGCTGTTCAGCACGAAGTACGTGCCCACTGCGGTAATGATCCACGGCGACGTGGTCGCCTCCCAGCCTAGTTTGCGGTCCGCATAGAAGGTAAATGCGGCGATTGCAACGGCGCTGTAACCGAGCGCGAAGCGGATATTTGACTTGGTGTAGTCCGCTGCGAAGGCGTAGGGCGCTGGGAGGGTGCTCAGGTAGGGAAGGAGGGCGTCATCGCTGGTGGACTTCAGGTCTGGGAGCTGTTGTTAGTTCGGTTGCGGGACATATTTCGGATGTAAAGAGACCAGATACAGACCATTGGTTGAATAAACAGGGACCTTGGAAGTCGCCATGACTGAAGATTGAGTATGTGTTGGTGAGGTGTAGTTAAGTTGTAGCCAGGAAGTAAATAATGGTAAGCTGGCCCGATGTCCATCACCGCCCGGCAGCAACCCCAAACCAAACCCCGAACTCTGCCTCGTTCCCTCTCTGCCGCAACCACACCGCACCCTCTCACTTCCACGCCAACCCTGGGTCTGCTCTCGCCCATCATGGCTGTTCAAGGTGTCGAGCAGACCATCCTTCGGGATCCAGCTCTCTTGTGAGTGATTGGTGTTTGAGACTTCCAATGGAAACCAACTAACTAGCCGGATGAACAGCTACTGGATTCTGTTCCCCATCTCCATTGTCATGGTACGTTCTACACCAATTGTCCATTTTAATTACCCTCAGAACACTTACCCCAAACAGATCCTGACAGGAATCCTCCGCCACTATGCCACCGTCTTGATGAACTCGCCCCCGAAATCCGCCTCGACGCTAGCCGAGTCGCGCGAACGACTCGCGCTCCTCCGTGGTGTGAACCTGCGTAACCACGGCCCCGCCGTGCTCGATCGGGAATCTTTCGAGTTGCGCAAGAACTACATTATCTCGGGCTTCCGTAACGGTGCGTTCCTGAAGGACCCCAATAACCGGGGTGGGCCACCCGCCAACCCCATGACGGATCCCGCGGGCATGGAGGCCATGATGGGCATGATGAAGGGGAATATGATGATGATGATCCCGCAAACCCTGATCATGAGCTGGATCAATGCTTTCTTTTCTGGATTTGTGATCCGTGAGTTGCTTCTGGATGCGCTGTCTCTGGGGCAAGAGCTGACCATGACCCGCAGTGAAATTGCCCTTCCCGCTTACCATCCGTTTCAAGTCGATGCTGCAGTCTGGTGTCATGACTCGGGACCTTGATGTCAGATGGGTGTCGAGTCTGTCCTGGTACTTCCTCAATTTATTCGGTCTGCAGTCGGTGTTTGGATTCATTCTGGGCAGTGACAATGGTATGACCCAGTTAATCCTCTCCGCGAGCCTCGCTGACCTCCGCAATAGCTGCCAACCACATGTCCCAGCAGATGGGCATGGCCAATCCGGCGGCCATGGTGAATCCTCTGCAGCCCGGCCAGGACCCGGACAAGCTGTACCAGAACGAAGCGGAGAACCTCGAGGTGACGGAACATTTCTGTATCCTGGAGGGGGTGGAAGAGCGCGTGCTGCGCAACTTCGCCTCGGAGGTGAATTAATCAGGGACATGTTGGTGTGGACATATGTCCGGTATTGCCGGTGCATTGTCCGGTGAAGATGTAATGTGTCTACCATAGAAAATTGCTACAGTTTTGTAAACCCCAAGAGTCCATTCTCGTTACCTCGTTATATTAACCAGTATATCTCATAACTCATGACTCCATCCACGCTCGGACGGATAATTGATCACTCCATTCAGAACCCAGACTTCCCCGTTGACCACTTGTTCTGCAACGGTATCGACTTCAATATTCCCAGGTTGAATCTAGATGGAAACCAGTTAGCATCATCCCGGTCTTTGAGAGTACACTATACATACCACAATCTTATCCCCTTGCTTCGTCCACTTCAACTTCTCCCCTCCCAGAGTCTCCACCTCCTCATCCTCCTTCCACGGACTAGCAGGAATGAGATGAGCCTCTACGAACCGCTGCAGATTCCGCTTGGCCCGATCCTGGCCATCCTGGCCTTGATACGCATTCGCCTCGCCAAATGCTGCATATTCTTCCGGGTTCTCCCACGGCTTGCGTGGCAGTGCCTGGATGGCGCTATTGCGGGGGGCGAGCACTGTGATATTCTTGGATGCGTCGTTCAGGCGCGAGGAGATAGGCTCGAAGTCTCGGGTCAGGCGCGCGAAGATGTTAATACCTCGAGTCTTTGGGAGGACGTCAGCCACGATGGGTTCGTAAGTTTGGCTGTTTGGCTCTTTCTGTGGCTTTCCGATGCCAGGGATGAGTTTCTCCATGATGGGTTGGTCGTAGAGTTCCTGGGCGTGTTGACGGATAGCTGCAGCCGATGCAAAATCCCACAGGGCAGAGACAGAGGCTATGAGGGTAATAATGAAGATTAAACTGGGTCTCATCATGGCGGAGACCATGCTTCTTCCCGGATTGTTGCAGGAGATGATAAAGTGACAGCCATGACGCAACGGGGAAGAGGGGCACGTGAGAAGTCCCGTGACTGGCTCTTATCGATAAGGGCCACAGAAAATGGACGGAGCAGAGACCAGTGATTGCGGGATTAGTCCTCGACACACTCATTTGGTCCCTTCACTACCTACCTCTCTGGTCGACCTGGCACCATGTCTTCTCTGCAGACGTTTATGCTGGTGGTCGACCACGACAAGGACGAGGCCAAGCGCATTGCTGAGTCCGTCGCTCAAGGTACCACGCAATTCACACCCCGCACTCTCTCCTAGCCCGCCGTCTAACCGAGGAATTATGCAGATGTCGAAAGCAAGAAGACAACGTTGATCGAGGTGGTTCAGTCCCTGGTTGAATACGTTAATGACGAAGACCCAATCCTGCGTGGCAAAGCGGTGTCCTATCTCGCTGCGGTCATCAGAGTCCTCTCACCGAAGTACCTTACGAGGCAACAAATCCAGGTCCTGACCACCTTCTTTTGTGATCGCATTGAGGATGGAGGAGCCGTGGCTGGGCTGGACACCCTGCAGGGTCTGGATCGGTTCAATAAGGAGTTGGCTGTGGAGGTAGCACAGGCGTACGTTGTCCCGGCTTGTTTCTTTGTGGCTGCAGAACATGCAGAATTGAAGGGCCTATTGCTAATAAAATGATAGAATGTTCTCTAATTTCCAGGACTTGCAGTCTCGGTCCCAGTCGCAGCGGTTCCAGGTCTATCAATTGATGAACGAGATCATGTCCAGGCATCGGGCAGGTGTGTCATGTGCAATTTCTTCCCGTTTGGGTTAAATCGACTAACAATGAATAGCACTGCAAGAAATGGGTGATACTTCGCTTGTGGGAGTCGTGGATCTCATGACTGGAGAGAAAGACCCCCGCAACTTGATGATCGTGTTCTCCATCCTCAAAGTGGTCATGGTGGAGTGGGATATCTCGAACCATGTTGAGGTAGGACGGCTTCTATCCTCCAAACTGACTGGAAACTAACTTTGAAAGCTCCTCTTTGACGCGGTGTATAATTACTTCCCGATTACATTCCGACCTCCTCCAAACGATCCCTACGGTATCACCGCGCAGGATTTGAAGGGCCGTCTCCAGGACTGCATTTCCTCGACCCGATACTTCGCACCACATGCCATTCCGGCGTTGTTGGATAAGCTTGATTCCACTTCGCCCAATGTCAAGGTACATCTTTCTCAAACCACATAGATACAACTCAGTGACTAATACCCCGCCAGAAAGATGCTCTCAACACATTGATCGCCTGTATCCATTCATACGATCCTGACACGGTGTCACGGTATTCAATCACTATTTGGGAGGTGCTCAAGTTTGAAATCCTTAATGCTCAAGAAGAGTTCTTGTCGGAGTATTCACTGGAGGCCTTGAAGGGTATTGCGCAGCGACTTTCCGGGGGGTCACAGAGGTTTCCCAGGACCTGCCTCTGGCGCAGTATCTTCGACCTATTACGAAGGAATGCAATGAGCAATTGCAAGAACCCCAGCATAAACAGGCGAAACCTGCCCAACAGATTTTGGGTTCAGTGTCGGCTGCGTCTGCCTTTGCATTTTCTCTCGTCGTTCAGGCTGTCGTTGCTCCGATCTTTACGATTTATCAAGAGGCTGATGGTATTGCAAAACAAAGAGCTCTTCTTGAAACACTATCTGTCTTGTTTGAGTCTGCCACCAAGGTGTTTGGCGAATGGGCAGATCGCAGGGGGAAATTGCCCTGGAAAACCCACTGCTGGAGTTCAAAGATCAATTTTCAGATGTTTTGGGCCAGGCATTGATGGGATCGGCAAAGGAAGAAATCTCTTTCCGAGTCACGGCACTGAAAGGGTTCCTGCGTCTATCGACATTGCGCGATTTCTTCCAGGATAATGAGATCGGACTGTTCGTACAGTATCTAGATGAGATTCTCCTGAAAGAAGAGTCTGTCGGCCGCGATGATTTGAAAAGGGAAGCAATTGCGGCTCTTGCCGAGATCTCAAAGCACAAGCCCCGGCTCATAATGGACATTACGTTCCCTGCCTTCGTGGCAACTCTTCCGGACCAAGACGAAGGATCCGATTCTGCATACCTGCCGACTCTTGAAACTCTGGCCCAGATCAGCGTGGAAAGAGACATCTTTGAGACACTCTTCCGTCGATTGTTCAGCAAGCTGACAATTCTACTCCAGAAGGAGCAGCCTGGTTCTGTGGCATATCCACGGGCTATCCTGGTGACGCTACTCTATGTCATGCAGCAAAGAAAGATGGACCAAGATCCAAGTCTTGACCTCTACTACGACAAGGTCGTTGTTGGCCTCTGCCGTAATGCCGCAGCAGCAGCGAGTGGGAATGCCAAGAATCGAATTCTCAATGATGCCGGTGTCCTGGATATGTTAGGACGACTGTGCAATCTCCTTGTGCGATCGATTTCAGTCCAGAAACAGGAGCAAGTCGCCGATAATGTGTACAGCCTCTTCTCCTCGTCAGAAGAGTTTACTCCTCTTCCACTCACTGAAACGACTACCGCAGATCAGGAACGTACAATCATCATCTCGACTTTCCTTCTAGCTGGCTTGTCCGCAGACTGCAGCAAGCGCATTCCACATACTTCGCCAGACATGAAAGCCCTCTTGTCAGATGTGGTGCGCCGCTCTATTTCCGACACTACAGAGTCGGCCACCCACCTCGCCTTCCTCCGACACCTGGCCCTACTTACCAATAAGTTCCTGTCGAAGCAAGATCTTAACATTGCAGAGACGCTCTTCGACGCTCTGCTTCCCACACAGCAAGCTCTAAGCCCCTCAACCATTCGCACGATCTTCTGGCTGTCTAAAGCCCTCGTCCTTCGTCTTGCACCATCTACGACCCACATCCTGACCTCACTTCTCTCTCTCCTCTCCTCGCCTGATCAACAAACTAGCACGATTGCAGCCCGCAGCTTCGCTATTATCCTCGGCGACGACGAAGTAATCTCGGCGACCAACGGCGCATCCATCCGCCTACTAGCCAAACAGCGCGTCTTCGCAACCGTGGTGCCTCTAATCTCATCCCGTATCCGTGAAGTAAACGTCGCCGGCACCAATACCGACACGGCATCTGAAGCAGCCCACATCAAATCGGCTCATCTAACCGCTCTCGCTGGTATTCTTTCCACCATCCCAGCTTCCCTGGTCATGCCCGAGCTTCCTACTCTCCTCCCACTGCTCCTCCAGACCCTCGATCTCCAATCTGCAGACTCCACCGCCGTCCGAGCAGCCACTTTGGACACCCTCGCTGTCATCATCCGCGACAATGGCGTAGGCGTGATAGACGAGTGCGGACACGTGAAGAGTCTCGTTACGAGGCTTCTGAAAACCACTACGCGCCCTGAAACCGGCACAGCAGGGTTCGTCAACAGCCCACGTCTCCGCGTCGAGGCCCTGAAATGCCTCTTCCTTCTTGCCTCACAGCAGCCTAGCACCGCCTCTGTTTCGCCGCTTCTGCAGGTGAAGAGTGAGGTGCTGCGCTCTCTGCGTCGTGTGTTGGATGATCCGAAACGGGATGTGCGAAAGGCTGCCGTTGATGCTCGCGGTGCTTGGCTACGCGGCGTGGACGATGCGTCCGAGGATGAGGATTAAATCTTGTTTGTTTTTAAGAGATTTGTGTTTTTGGTACAGAAAAGAGGCATCTGCGTATAGAGAGACATCTGTCAATTAGATTGTTTTATCATTCGTTTATTCACAAATAGATGCATGAGTCCTAATAATCATTTGTCTGCTCTCCTTCCGACGAATTTTCACCCCTTCAAACTTGAGGATGGAGTTTTGGGGTTCTTTTTTCCCTTGGCGTTCAATGAAATCGTCACCCTGAGTTAGAAGTTAACTGTCTGTGTGCGGCTCTGCTGTTCTGCAAGCGCACTGTCCTCAGGTTTCCCCTATACAGGACCGTCATCGACCCTTCATCCTGAGTGATGGATTCATTATCGATCTGTGCCTGGCGATCAAACCGCTGCTGAGACGTTGTGCTTCCTCATATCATCGTTGTCTGGCCCTGTATGCTGGCGAGGGACTCCTTCGTGGCATATGCTGCGCGATTCGATGTATATGCCTGACAGGAACTACTACGTCACCCCTATCTGAGTGTTTGCTATGGCCCATTGAGACTGAATAGTTCTTTGTCTAGGCTCAAGGTGTTTAGATAGCGGTGCTTGCCGATCGAATCCTTCTCTGAGCATCCTGTTGGACATCACGAACAATATCTCCGGCCTCTTTAACCTCATGGATCAGTCCCACTCCAGCGCCGGCATAGGTTGCAAGTCTTCCCTGTGGACCCCAGCCAAGATCACCAGCCTTGGTGGCCTCATCATGCAGTCTTTTCAGTTCCTCGAATGATTTTCCTTCCTGTTGCTCCAAAAAGGACTTGTTGATGATGGTCCGCGGACTGTATGGCTCGGGCCACCCAAATGTCCCGCGAAGGTGGTTATAAAGTAAAGTCCGCGTTGTTGAGACTGCCCCGTCGGATGCACGCACAACTTCATCCTGATATCCCCGACTAATACGCGTTTCGCGAGCTGCCAGAAATCTCGTCCCCATCGCCACACCGGAAGCGCCTAGACATAACGCAGCAGCGACTCCACGACCATCTGCAATTCCTCCAGCCGCGATGACCGGAATGGAGGTGGACGACAAGGCATCTGCGACCTCTGGAAAGAGCGCCATCAGACCCATTCCGTCCTTCGCCCGGCCGTGGCCGCCCGACTCTGCTCCTTGCACGACCACCACATCGGGACGTTCGGTGGCCTTGAGAAGGGCTTTGGCTTCCTCTAAAGTGCCGATTTGAATCCATATCTGGGTCTCTGGTGATGCGTCACGGATTCTGCGCGACCAGGCATCAAACTCATCATTCTGGCGTGGGGCGTACAACCAAGCTGCACATGGCTTGAACTTCTTGATGGCGGTAGAAGCAATGTGGAGGTCATCATTCCAGAGCTGGAAACCAACGCCGACGGGAAGAAGAGGATGTGCAGAGGACAAGGTGGTGGAAAGGGGCGCTTTCTGAAATAGAGTTGATGCTTCTGCAAGGTCCGCTGCAGTATCCTGTGTCTTCGCACCGGGTCCTATAAATCCAAGACCTCCAGCCCTGGAGACGGCCGTGGCAAGTACAGGGCCAGACATGACGCGCATCGGGGCACCGACAATAAACGGGCTGGATACCCAAGGATATCGCGACAGAAGCGTTTTGGCCATCTTCGATGTCTGCGAGATGTATCCAATGTCAGGTTTCGGGCGTGACTTGATCTGAGATGGTGTGTTTATTTTATGTTATGGAATGTCGTTCAATCTAGTATGACACGGTGGTTAAACTCTCATTAACGCGGGCGGGTTCTGCGGAATTTGCGGCATTTGCGGAACTCGGTCTATGTAGCAAGCTGGAGCTCCTAGGACCATCGCATGTGAATGACTCCATGTCAGGTGGGTTTCGTTTTGAATAGAAATAACTTGTTATCTCATGTAGCCCTAGGGAGTTCCAGCATAGTGTTGTACAGCATTCCAACGGCTTATATATAACCCACTCCGACTCAGTAAAAGCGCGAGAATAGCATTAGTGCAACATAAATAAATAGACCAGGATACCGGGCAATACCAATACCTAAATAGCCTAAGTAAGAAACACTCCAGAGAGCAATAAGAATGGGAATTTCATAACTTTCCAGTCATTCGCAAGGATGGACGTATTCGTCTTCATTAACTACTCAGTGAAGCAAGTCAAATTCACGACCCTAGCACCGAATCGTCTCCCATGAGGGGAGAGGGAGTGATCATGTCAGTATTGAGAAATTGGTCAAGATCAACTCTTTGCAAACCCGGTAAATCCGCCACCAAGGCCCCAAGCCAAGAATATTCCTCAGCACTAGGGCCGGGCGCTAGCTGCTGTGATTCAATCTGTGCGTCCTGGTGGTACGTGTCAAGAGCCTGGCTGAAGATGTTGATATCGTCCTTCCGGCGTTGTTGGTGAAGCATGACCAATAGACAGGCAGCACTCCATGCCTCTCTCATAGTCTCCGTGTCGTAGGTGGAAGCAATAAGCTTCAAGGTTTGCATGGCTTCGGGAAGCATCGCCAGCGATGAACGAGTGTCTACTACGAGGAGAACACAGATGATATGGAATGGCACGTTCGCTACCTGGTGCCATGGCGAGCAGTCCAGGACCATCGTACGTGCACACCCAAGTGCTTTCTTCAGTAAGGCCAGGACCCGATCCATGAGAGAAGGGGAGATGTCGAGATTCTGTGTATGGATTCGGCGGAGAATGCAAAGAACCAGGTTGCATTGTGCCATGACAGATGGTGGCTGTGTATGCGTCCCATCTAAGGTTTGAGAAAGCGATGATTCGAGATTCGTTTCGTCTTGACTATTTTCTGGGTCCAAACTGGCAGAAATAGGTAAGAGACTTAGCAACTCCGTGGTATAGTCACCGAGCCGTGGTGCCAGAGATAGAGGCATATCATTCTGAAACGATACCCTGGAAAGGCCGAGATCAAAAGATGTCCACATGTTCAGGTGTTGCGCTACTCCGAATATTCTCCTTCGGAGGTCCGGATTGCATTGTGCGCTGTTACGTGGAAAGACCGTGTCGTAAGAGACCAAGTGGAAACCCGAGGCTTCGACTAGATGCATCAAAGTCGAACTGGCCATCCATGTTGAATGAGGGGAGGCTGTCATTCGTAGGTATACTGTTCGGAGAATCCACCCGGTGACAAGATCCAGAGATGGGACACCATATAGATCATGCATGTCCAGAACAGATCTAGCGCAAGATACCAGATGCAATTCGGTGATTGAAATGTCGCGCTGTGAGAATAAACAGCCAAGGGCAGCAACGCCACTAAGTACACTGTCGTATAGATCATGTATCAGAGGCGACTGCCACCGTGCGTCAAGGCGATCGAAAAAAGATTGACGATCAAGGAATCCATAGCACGGGTCCACTTTTGCGAAGTAGATATCTGCCAAAGCTCTCAGGTGATCCAGGGATATTATTTCAACAATTGGCAATACAGCACTCGGCCTAACGCCTGAAGATAGTCGTCGTGCCCCAATATTCCACCCAAAAAGATTCAATTTTGGTGCTTTTGCAGGGTCAATTTTGAGTCCCATCTTTCGCACAAAGGCCGCCCCGGAGTTAGCTTCCATGGAGCGGACTAATCCGTGAGAATCTGAGGAAACATTATTTTGACCCAGCGGCTGCTGTTTGGATGAAGTATTGGGTGATTGCGGTTGCTTTCGACGAGGTTGGGAGCCATAATAGCATTCGTAACCCCATTCCCTGCAGGTTAGGCAAGGGTTATCGCCGTTGCATTTTCTTTTGCGCTCCCGGCATGGCTGACAGGCAACTCTGGATCTTTTCCGCTTGAGGTCGTCCATTATTATTCCCACTGGTGAGCGGATGATAGGAGGAAGGAAGACGGACAAGGGCGAGTGCGGGTGTTGCGGGATTTTCGGGAGACGCAAGTGGCCACGGATGACATCACCCTAACAATGTTTTCAACCTGAACACTATAAGTACTGTCATCTACTGGAATTGTTTTTCTTATTGGGATTTATAGTATAAGAGCCATAAGAGGAATTTGACTTGAAATATAGGAATATCACAGATAATTGGGCACTATGGTATCGAAATAAATATTTAGTGCCTATAGCAACCCACAACTACTAAGAGCATGCAGCCCCAGAAACAAAAGAGGATCCCTGTTCCGCAATAGCCATCCAAGGGTCCAAGCTCACTATATGCCAAATGCCGCAAATACCGCTTCCAGTCATAGCCAAAGCTATCGAGCACAGGGAATGACGAGATTTTAAACGATGTCTTCAGAAAATTTCGAAACCTCACTGGAAGTCGTCAAACCTTCAGCACTCACTGAATCTTTTGAGCTGCGGCTTTAGACGATGTGTTCACCAAATCATAACGACCTCGAAGGCAGTCCGGCAACGCCTCGAAACTCACTGACTGCGGTCATCTCTACCTCCCCGATGGATGAAAAACCGTTTATCGGAGCAGGAAAGCCATTTCCACCCCCAATCATTGATCCCGAGCAATACATTGTCGATTTCAATGGGGACGATGACCCAACAAACCCTCTCAATTGGAATTTCTCTGTCAAGTAAGTTTCCCAATCGATGTGAGTCTTTTATCTCAAAAAAGGACTCGAAAAGCATCTCAAGGATTTACTTACCTGACAAACTAGACTTTATATCTCCGTGATCGTTTGCTTAGGAACCTTTGTTGTTTCATTCAGCAGTGCCGCCTTTGCTCCAGGAATTACCGGTGCAAGTAAATACTTCGCCGTCAGTTCAGAGGTTGCAACCCTGGGGACAACCTTGTACGTCCTTGGCTTTGCATCTGGTCCTTTGATCTGGGCACCCGCATCCGAGCTGCAAGGACGAAAGTGGCCGTTGACAATTGGCATGTTAGGCGGAGCCATCTTCACTATTGGATCAGCTGTTGCCAAAGACATCCAGACTTTGATCATCTGCCGCTTTTTTGGAGGGATGTTTGGAGCAAGCCAGCTCACTGTGGTACCGGGTGTACTGGCTGATATCTTCGACAATACGTATCGTGGCATGGCAATTTCTCTCTACGCATTGACAGTGTTTGTCGGCCCCTTATCTGCGCCCTTTGTGAGTGGCTTTATCGCGTCAAGCTACTTAGGGTGGCGATGGACTCTATACATTCCAGCGATCCTGAGCTTCGTCTTTGGAGCCTTGTTTCTTTTCTCTCTAAAAGAAACATACACCCCAGCTCTCCTGGTGAAAAAGGCAGCTACCCTGCGCCGGCAAACCCACAACTGGACCATACATGCAAAGCATGAGGAGATAGACGTGCAGTTCTTTACTCTGATCAACAAGTATTTTACTCGTCCTTTGAGAATGCTACTCACGGAGCCGATCCTCCTTTTGGTGTCAATCTATATGTCATTCATTTATGGACTGGTTTATGCGCTTCTTGAGGCCTATCCCTTTGTCTTCGAGGAAATTTACGATATGAATCCCGGTACCAGCGGACTGACCTTCATCAGCCTCATTATTGGAGTGATACTGGCTTGTGGGTTTATTCTCTCACAACACAGGGTCTATGTGAGAAAACTTGCCGAGAACAATAATGTTCCTGTGGCAGAATGGCGCCTGTTTCCTCCTCTTGTGGGAGCTCCGGTGTTTACAATTGGCTTGTTCTGGTGAGTAAATTTTCCGGCTTTACTTGGGGACCTGCTGAGACTTGACTTCTCCGTAGGTTTGGTTGGACAGGTTTTACCCCGGCAATACCTTGGATTGCTCCAGCGGCTGCTGGACTTTTCATTGGCTTCGGAGTACTTTGCATATTTCTTCCATGCTTTAACTATCTCGTGGATGCGTACCTTCCGTTGTCAGTGTTTGAAAATACATATTTGGATATCCTGACTTACTAACTTACGTATTTACAGAGCCGCATCTGCCGTTGCAGCAAACATTATACTTCGATCAGCAGTCGCTGCAGGATTTCCACTTTTCGCCAAACAAATGTTCCAAAATCTGGGCGTGCAGTGGGCAAGCACCCTTCTTGGTTGTTTAGCAGCCATCATGATTCCAATTCCGTTCACTTTCAGGATATACGGCCCTTGGCTAAGACAAAAGAGCAAGATCCTTCGGTAATATGGTGCAGATTGATGGCCCTGAAACATCTACCTGCTCGATCATTCTGGATAAACAATTGGAATTGGGAAATTTAAACACGACTTTGATGCTTTGGGAAAACCAGTATTGCTGAAAGAGCGTTTGAAATTGACCTAGATTATTTAACTGTCTAAAGTAGTTGAACTTTGAAGCCATATACAAAATCCAGGACAAAAATTCAATTTATAGGTCGAGCATTTTCCCTGAGTTTCTTTCCAAACATCCACAGTGCCAACGGAGCAGGTACTCCAACCACGAGCCCAATAAGCGCAATTGTGCTATTTCCCCAGCCGTACCCAAGAGCTTGGTACATTCTCGGCGCAAACAACGGGAACGAGAAAGCAGTTAGACTGCGCAGGAACTGACTTGCAGCTGCCGCACTGCTCGTATGCTCCGGGTATGCCTCTATCACATATACCTGTAGGGGCATGCCATTAATCTGCATCCCAAGCAGCGTGATAAGAATTCCAAAGTCCACGACAGCCCAGTGCAAGTGATATTGTGCGGACCAGCCGTATATAAACAGTCCTATCGGTCCAAGCAAGGCGCCTGGGATGATTAACGGAATGCGGAACTCCGGTGAATGTTCTCCTCCTGTGCGGGTTGTGAAGCGACGGAACATGAAATCCATTAGCCGTGCGCCGATTTGACTGCCTGCTATCTCGCCCAGGGCGCAGGCAATGTAGTGTAGACCGCTAATCTCCACAGATTCATTATATTGCTTGACCCATAAGTCGGAGAAGGTCGACAGAACAATGTATAGGATTCCGTAATAAAAAGCGGAGATAAGTCCCGTCACTTGGATAATCGGGTGAAAGGCAAGAAGTCGAAACGGTCTAATAAGAGCACGAACTAGGACGGCAAAGATTGAGTGATTGCTTGGTAGACGCTCGTCAATAGTGTAGTACTGTTGGTTTCCGGATTCACGTCGAAGCCGCTCGGCTCGACGGCGCAGAATAAGTGGCGAGTATGTCTCACGGAAAGCAGAGAAGGAGACTAAAATCATGACGGCTTGGAAGATCGAAGTGGCCCAGAACATCCATCGCCAGGAGGTGCGGGCTGCCATAAAACCACCGATAATCGGTCCTATCTCACATTAGGTTTCAGTCTTTGGTCAATGAGAGTAACAGATACTTACCAACAGCGGCACCCAACAGAGGAATTAGCAGGTAAATAGCAAGCGACTGACCGCGTTGCTCAGGCCGCCATACATCTCCGAGCAGACCACTCGCCAACGCATAGATAGCACTGGCACCAAATCCCGCCAAGAACCGAGCAGCAATGAGCAGTTCTTTGCTATTCGCAAATCCGCAAGCAACGTTCCAAACCAGGAACCAGATGTTCGAGGCATGCAAAATACGTTTCCTGCCATACACCTCAGATAAAGGTCCCATAACCAGTGGGCCAAACGCCGTTGCTAAAAGATAAATCGAAAGCGCCATGGCCGATTCAGCAGAATTCATGTCGAATTCCTTCGCAATTGTCGAAAGGGCAGGAGCCATGATGGTTGAGACCATGATACGGTTGAAGCCCGTGGCGGAAAGCACGTCAGTTACAGCCCATTTGCGGCCCGTTGGCCAGTCTTTCGGGTTTTCTGGGTCATATGGTTCGTCGAAAGTGACTAGAAACGGATTCTGGTCCTTCTTTGGAGGTTGAGTTAGTACCAGCTCAATGTCCGCAGGTGGAGCTGCAGTGATGCTATCTGGGGATGTATTGGGAGCCATTACGGAGAAATAAAAGGATTACATATAATCAGGAGACTTAAATACAAAAGGGGGGCTGTCCGGAGTATAAGAGGGGAGTGAGGGTCCTAGCGCGATCAGATAAATCTGATAAGGGATCCTCTCCCCGGGTACACGGAACAGAGCGTGGCGTGATCTCAAGAAGGGAGACACTTCTACCTCTCGTCTAATCAGTATTGTTATCATAGAAGCTGTTTGCAGTCCACCCATTCACAGCCGTATAGTCAGCCAACGGAGATGTTCCATGCAGGACATCGTAGTGTTTCCTCGGGCCGCATTCCCTCAGTTTGGTCGAGTTACCATCCACGCAGCGGTGCTGCAGGATGGCAGCAATATTCCGCCCAGCATCCCTGCCCTCAAACCAGGCGCCGTGCAGGAATCCAAAATACGTAGGGCTGGTGGCCTCGCCCGCGAACCAGAGTCGGTCAGCGTTAGCGCGCAGGTTCTCGTGCTCCTCCAGCGTGGTAGATGGTGGCCAGTTGGAGTAGCTTCCATAAGCCCAGGGTTCCATGCTCCAGCGGGGATACAGGAAGGAAGTCGGCTCAGGAATTTCGATATCAGGCCACATCTTACGAAGAACTTCCATGACTTCCTTCTGGGTTTGCTCATCTGACTGCTTCTCTACCCGCCAGGCGAACTCGTTCGTCACGGTCACAAACATGATATTTGATCCGGGCAGGAAGTCGGGCATGGACAGAGATTGGAAAATAGGGTACCAGCCCCGAAGGCTGGGGTCGGCATAGAGGAAATATTGCGTGTTCGTGGGCCACCAGGTTTTGGGGAACTGCATGAAGATCTTGGTGTAGGTTCCCATGCTGAACTTCTGGATGGCAGTCTGCTTCCACGCCGGCAGAGCAGGCGTGAATTTGACAGCATCTTGGTGCAAGACACTTCTCTGCAGGACACCCAGCGAGAAAGTGCAAATGGCATACGCAGCAGTCACACAGCTCCCGTCCTTGTTGTGGATAGTAACGCCATCCTCTGAATAGGAAATGTCCGTGATCTGGGTATTCAGGTGGAGACGTGGATCGTCCTTTTTCAGGAATGTCGAGGCCATGCCCTTGATAATAGTGTTGAAGCCACGCTGATCGATGACGAAGTTGTCGTGATCGCTGAACACGTTTTCGGTCAAGTTGGTGCCTGCTACGCCGTACACGAAAGAGCTCTCCAGTGGGTTGTAGTTGTCCTCGAAATCTAGTTTATCAAACTTCGTCAATGGATGATCAGTTAGTTGAAAGGAGTCGACATACCCCAGTTCCACCATTCAATGGCTTGGGCCTCCATATCATGCTTGTCGGGGAACCAGCCACCCATAGCAAGTCCAGTCTGGGCAGTTTGATCTTGGAGGTTTTGAGAGAGGATGACACCGGCTTCCTTGTTGGCAATATCATAGGCCTTGTCATAAGCATCTTGCAGGTGCATATAGTCGGAGTACCCATCCGCATTGAAGGTGGAGAAATTGCTGTAGTCGGAGTAATGGGTCTTCAGGTGGTAATCCTGGGCCTATTTCTAAATGAGCCTTGACCGGCAAATATTTGGATTTGTGACAACTTACCAAAGTCCAAACGGGGTTCTGAGGACCACCAGGGTTGCCAAGTCCTTGCACCTGTTATTCGATTTTAGCTTCTTTCCTCGGTGACGAATGGGTATGTGTCCATACCCAGTTGCAACCCATCTCAATGGTGTAGGGCTTGCCGTTCTTGTCCTTGCCAAAGGGCACATGCCAAGCCCGACCACCGATGGTATCTCGGTATTCGAGGATGGCAAAGTCATGAATCGAGGCATTGGAAAGTGCTTGCTGGTGATGTTGTCAATTCACCATCCTAGTCAACGATGGCTAGCTGGGGGATACGCACAGCGGCAGCAATACCAGACATTCCTCCACCGCTTCATGATGTCAGCCCAATTCAGTCAATTGCTTCTTCAGAGCAATGCTTACAGAATCGCAACAGTCGTCTTCTTGCATTGACCCTCCTGATGCCTAGGCTCATGAGGCACACCGGCCGACGCCAAGCTGGCTATCGCCGCCAAAACAGAGAGGCGCTGCAGATACATTTCGAAAAGATGATTGAAATGCGCTGCAAGAGCTGTCAGGATGGGTCAATTGCTCCAATATATACGCTGAGACACGCGTCTCTTCTTTCCCGCTGCTGTGGGGCCTCCATATCGGAGGTACACATGCATTGAAGCATGTCGGTATAACGTGCCAAACGCACAAGAATGACGGAGAGATCAACAGGGACATGTAACCTGGGCAAGATCCGAGGGTCTGACACTGCGCGATCGGGTAAGTCCATGCGGGCATCATCGACGCCTAAAGACGGATGGCGATCGTTGCGATGATTTCTGGAGCTTGTGGAGCATGGCCTTGGCGCCCCCGCAACTCCAGTGTTGCAAAACCAAATCGATGTGGATCGTGATTCTCGTTACGTTCTTGAGGGCAATGATACTCGGTCGGGCCTGCGAATGGCTGTGTCCAGAGCGAGATAGTCGGCGCCAGGGACGAATGACCGGGCTGGGATAAGAGATGTCCTAGCATGCAACTAGCGTGTGCTTTAATTGATGCCGGTAATTCCTGGAAGACCGTGTCTATACAGGGGTTATGCTGGTTCGGCTACGATCAAGCTTCAGGATCGAGCCCTGAGCTCCCAACATATGCCTATTGGACCCGTGCATATCCATCCTCCTGCGTGGAAAACGACGAGAGCACGCACCATGGGCTTTTGCTTTGGACGATCATGGCAGATTTTGGACAGTCCGAGGAAGACCCGAGATCCGGTAATGCAAAGTCGGAATATGAAATAGGCCCGGTCTTAATCGAAAAGTGGGCACTCCACAAATCCGGGGAGTAGAACCTAAAGTAAGAGCGAAGGATATGCGAATACTTTTCTGGGGAGCTCTAGTCAGTCATTCAAAGACTGAGGCCGAGCAAGATGAAGTCATCCGTCCGTTGATTGGAAGAGCCCAATGGACTAGCTAGCCCCTTGTGGCCTCGTGGGGTTTCGTGGAGAATGAAAGCCGGCATTCCGAGATTCCCTTCTGCGCTCCACCGCACCTCTTAGACGGAAACAACTAAGCCAGGCCAAATGCCATTCACTGCCACAGTCGAATCCACCGCGGCCGTCTCCGCTCTCAACACAGGAACCGCAGGCGACGGGCAAGTGAGACGACGGCTACACCATATTCCCCGTCCCGCCACCAAAGACGCCGAGCGAAGATGGCTTCTCGAGCAGATGGCGGGCGCGTTTCGCATCTTCGCCAAGCTGGGTTTTGCGGATGGGGCTTCTGGGCACATTAGTCTTCGGGGTACGTATCTAAGCCCTCGCGTCCTCGCTTTCAACGGCATGAGATTGAGCCGTGGATAGATCCCGTCGACCCAACGACCTTTTGGATCAACCCCTACGGCATCCACTTCGGTCTATTAAAGGTGTCCGACATGGTCCGGGTTGATGAGGAAGGGAACAGGGTAGGCGGTGCGCTAAAGCCTGTCAACACGGCGGGCTTCATCATCCACTCTGCGATTCATCAGAAGCGACCCGATATCAATGCCGCTTGTCATATGCATAGTCCGTACGGAAGGGCGTGGAGCACCTTTGGCAGAGGGATTGATATGCTGAATCAGGGTACGATGACCGTGTTTTTGACCCACGCGTACATGGCTATTTGCTGACGAACACAGATTCATGTATGTTCCACGACGACCTCTCGGTATACCCAGCCTTCGGCGGTGTGGTCTTCGCAAAGGAGGAAGGGCAGCGCATTGCTGATACACTGGGGCCCAAGCACAAGAATTTAATCATGCAGAATCATGGCCTCCTCACGGCTGGTGAGACTGTGGCTGAGGCGGCGGCGTTTTTCATTGCGTTGGAGAGAGCATGTCAGGCACAGCTTCTGGTAGAAGCAGCTATAGCGCCTGGGTCTATAGGCGGTGCTGGTGGGTTGGGGAAAACCATTGTGGATGAGGGGACTGCGGCATATACCAAGAGAGGAACGGGGACGCCGGCGGCGATGTATATGCAGTTTGATCCTGAGTACCAGCTGATTCTCGAGGAGACCGGTGGGCGATTCCTGAAGTGAGACGGGTAATAAATATGTGAGGAATATCCAAGTACAGTTTACACTTATGAGGCAAATATAATTCCAGTGAAGACAGTCACAAATGCTGTTTTGGAAATGTAGAAAAGACCGAGGCTTGAGGACAACAGACAGCTGCAAAGTAAACACCACCGAGCTATGCAAAATGGTTAATGAAACATTTGTTATGTATCCACGCCATTCCTCCTAAAAAGCCATGACTCCGAAATAGAAGATTAAAGACGGAAATTGTATATATCGATGTCCCGAATCAGGGGGCCCTTCTTTCACGAATGCCGAGAGGAAATGATACAGAGTCGCGGGGCCATCTATCGAAAGGCGTAGGACGGCCGAGTCATTTTGACTGTCTCGGGGTTGAGAGATAATTGCTGGTATGGCGAACTTCCAGGGTCGTAGTACAGACCTTCAATGTGGCCATTGTCGCGGCGCAGGGAAATATAGTAGAACCCGGAGATGGTGAGGCCCTGACGCGAGTCGGTCGGGGTGATAAAACATCGTTCTTGGTATCGTCAGCTTGGGAAAATTAGGCAAAATCAAAAGCACTCACCCTTCCATCGCATGAGAATCCAGCCCTTTGCAAGCTCTTCGGTGATCCACTTGCGACTCACGAGACTCTTGACCATCTCTGTATCATTCAGGTCCTTGAACGGCTGTAACTCGCGCCAGTACGTGCTGTCGATCTCGGCGTCCGCTTTGAAGTTTTTGGTTTCCAGTGTATGTGCATTGAAGTCGATGATCTCTCCTTCTAGAAAGGTCACAATGTGCGCATCGTGGCTGGGCGATGTTTTGTCGGGGATATTGTACGCCTCCATTGTGCCCGACAGAGTCATGTCGTGGTAGTTGATGTTGTGAATGGTAACTTTAACCGGCCAATTCTCATCCCGAGTATTCGCTAGATACCGACGCCCGCTGCTTGTATGGACACCGATCCGGGTATTGTCACTCCCGTTGACAATCACAGGGTCACTCGAGGTGTTTGGACTTGAAACGCGCTGGGGCAAGACAGAACAGCCCCCGCTTGCCGCTCGTTGCGAACCTGAAAAGACCATGCCGGGTCGAAGCCACGAACATGCGGGCGGCGGCGTAAGGGTGTTGGTATCAAGAATAAAATCGTCATCATCTTTCCAGGAGAAATCATCTAAAGAGAGGAAGCCGGTCGCGGCAGCGGAGGTAATACTCTCTTCGTATGAACTCGAGTACCGTAGACGGTCAAGGTAGTTGATCGTATCCTTGAGGAGCCAATTCACCGAGTTTTCCGAGTGTAGCTGCCGATGAGCGGTAGCGCGGGCGCGCAAATCACTATGGGTGAGGTTGCGATGCGAGTCACCTCGCGTAGGGGGGACATAGCGGTACGCCCTCGCTCCTGTACGCTCTGATTCCTCCGAGTCCTGATTTGGGCGTTCTCCATACCGATCCATCAGATATGTCTCCAGCGTTCGGGTCCGTGATAACCGAGGTTGTCGCCTCGCCGACTGCAACAGAGCCTCCATCGTCGAAATGCGCGAATTCCGGATCCGACCAATGCTGCTGCTGCTGCTTTCTAATGGCTCATCGCCTGCGATTATCGGCGGTGTTCGGCCGGTCGGCTCGTGTCTTGGAGGTCGCGCGGTTGTTGTGTTGGGATCTGAGATAGCATGCAGGAACGGCCGCGGATGTTCACCGTCCGAATCCTCCTCATGACCAGCGGCGACGGTGCCCTCCCCCTCGTCATCGGAGCCCGGAGCCCAGCCGTACAGTGACCGAGGATTGGACAGCTGCCCTTCGTAATTTGGCATATTGATCGACTCTTCTCGCTGGCGGCGGACGATGGGGATGCGACGGTTGATCTCGACCGACATGCGGAGGCTGCTGGGGTCATCCAGATCCATCTGATCCTCACTCTCGTTGGGACGGGGATGTGGAGGCGTCTGATATCGCCGACGGCGATGTCGACTGAGGGTCGGGAGGAGCGGGTTGTGAAGGGCGGAACGAGAGCGCAGGAAGCTCACGTTGTCATCGTGGGCACTCTCGGGTTCGACAGGGGCGAGGAAGGGAATGGAGGATCGCGACAGCGACTCCAGGGCTATTGTGGTGGGTGAGTAGGAGGGAGTGCCCTGATGGAAAGATCAGTTAGCAGCCACAACAGACAATAGACACCGAAAGAAACAACACCAAACATACCGACGCCGAGTTGGGGGGCGGCATCTCGGGGGATCCGCCGTCAAGGAGTGGGCGCGAGGGTAAGGGGGATAGCGAACATCCAGGGGAGGTTGTATGGAGGAGGTGTAACTCAGTGAGATTCAGAGAGGAGGAAGATCCGAGGTTGTGGAGAAACGAAAATGACGTTTTGGTTGTTGTTGTGTTTTCCTTTCCGCCGAGCCAAATTGACCATTCGTTGGATTTGACCAAGTACTCTGTTTATGTTGACCATGTCGAATTGTCACCTCACCAGACAAAGATAAAGGTCCCCCCGTCTTGCCCGCGGGCAACGGGCGCAAGGGGAAATCTCCCCAGGTCAGACAGCCAATCATTAGTGCTATGACAAAGAGAAATAAGGCCCGAACTGGAACTCCCATCCGAGTCCTTTCCTATACACGCGGAGAGGCCCGACAGCCTCTCTCTGCTATCCCCGAGATCCTGATCTGCCGGACTGGGGTTGCCGAGCCAGGTAGTTCGGCAGGCCGGTCCAGGAGGACGGAACAAGTCCGACGGTTTCTCGGCTCGTGGGGGTTTCCTGGGTCCGTTCCGTGGGGTTTTTAGGTATCCCACACTTCGTCAACGCTGCAGAAACCAATTTGCACATTGTTGCCATTGTGCGAGGCGAAAATGGTCAAGATCGCGAGCATTGAATACTTCCGGGTGTTGCCCCGGTGGCTGTTTGTCAAGATTACGGATGAGGAAGGCCAGTATGGCTGGGGCGAGAGCACGCTGGAGGGCCACACTGAGGCTGTCGAAGGCACGCTCAATGCCCTGTGCAAGAGATTCGAAGGTTACGAGGCCGAGTATGTTTCTTGTTTCTACTACACGTCCTAAAACTCAAAATTAACGGACTATCATCAGCAACATCGAGCACATCTGGCAAATGGCCTGGCGTCTGGGTTTCTACCGCGGGGGCCCCGTATTCATGTCCGCCATCTCCGGGATTGACATTGCCCTGTGGGACCTGAAGGGCCGTCGCCTCGGCGTTCCCGTGCACCAACTGCTCGGTGGCAAGGTCCGCAACAAGCTGTCCGTGTACGCCTGGATTGGGGGCGACCGCCCCGCCGACGTGGAGGCTGCGGCCAAGGCACGCCTGGCGCAGGGGTTCAAGGCTGTCAAGATGAACGCCACCGAGGATGTGAACTGGCTCGATTCGCCCAGTGTACTAGACTCGAGTGTAGAGCGTCTGAAGACGGTCAAGGCGCTGGGGCTGGACGCAGCCTTGGACTTCCATGGCCGTCTTCACAAGCCCATGGCGAAGCAGTTGGCGAAAGCACTGGAGCCGCACCGTCCGCTATTCCTGGAGGAGCCCCTTCTGTCGGAGCATCCAGAGGGTATCAAGCAGCTTGCGGATCAGGTGTCTTGCCCCATTGCCCTTGGCGAGCGGCTTTTCAGTCGTTGGGATGTGAAACGTTTCTTAGAAGATGCGAGCGTCGATGTCCTGCAGCCGGATATCAGTCATTGTGGCGGCATCTCGGAGCTGCGGCGCATTGCTTCTATGGCAGAGACTTACGACGTCGCTATTGCGCCTCACTGTCCGCTGGGGCCGATTGCTCTAGCGGCATGCATGCAAGTTGACCTGGCGACTCCCAATTTTGTGATCCAGGAGATGAGCATTGGTATTCACTATAACACGGAGGCTGGTGACTTGGATATTACGAGCTACGTCAAGGATGCTTCTGTGTTCGATGTGAATGATGGTTACGTTGAAGCTTTGAATGCCCCTGGTCTGGGCATCGAGATCGATGAGGACGTAGTCCGGCGTGAGGCTGCTAATACCCAGCCCTGGTTGCCCAAGGAGTTTTATGGCCCTGACGGGTCAATCCGCGAGTGGTAATTTCTTCTCGGGATTGCATAGAGGTTTCACAGATCATATTCACAAAAAGACCCAGAAAGAGATTCATGTATCAGTATCTTTATTCAATAAAAAGTCGTCTCTGCGAGAATTGCAAAAATCCCAGTCCAAATCTACCTGGTATGCCACAGGGAAATCTAAAACATATACCTCTCTATAAAAAGCGTGCCTATCTTGCACGAGCTGCATTGCAATCATCCGCCAACTGGACGCATTGTAAAATCATGCCCCAAAATGCATCCAGATCAACACCCCTGGGAATCGCCACACCAGGTGCTTGAATTGGTGCCGCAAGCGAGCGTCCCAGCTGTCCCGTCATCGACACCTCAGGACCATGGCGTCCATCCGTGACAATATTAACAGCAAATCGCTCTCCACCTTTATCATCGAACGTGAGAACTGGCCCGGGGTGGGATTTGGTAAAAGCCGGGTTCAAGGTCGATAGAATCACCGCTACAGCGAGGGGGTCGTGCAATGGAGGCCCGGTATTAAGACCAAACACCTTCTCGTACGTCGCCGCGAAAAAGGTCAGCAGCGCATGTAGAATTTGACGGAGAACTGTCGGTGTCGTCGATGGGTCATTGGAGCCATGCAAGATGCGCGTTTGCACTTCCTGAGAGGCGAGCACTTGGTGGGTGAGATCCAGTGTGATGATGGTGGTTTTTGGAGCAAGAACCGCATTGCTGAAGATGGACGCGGAGGACTCTGGGTCGCACTGGAATAATGAATGGGACCGGTTATTTTTTCGGTTCGTGCCAACCTGCGTAGAGTGGATGCTATAACATACGTAAAGATTGAACTCGGCCCAGGGCGTCACGTTTCCGACTCTGGACTTCTCGCCCGGGAGTCTGCTCATAGGCGCAGCTGTGAATCCGTTGCCAATGGCACCTCCCATGATGCTCAGACCTTGAATATGCTCTGCCACTTCGGGGAATGTTGCAAACAACAAAGCCACATTGGTGAGGGTTCCAGTGGCAACCACCCAGGGTGTCCCCTTTGGCTGGGCAAGGAGCGCATCTCGCATCGCCAGAATCGGGTTCTTATCTGTAACAGGCGGCCTAGATGCTTTGGGCAGGAGATCCGACCCATCCAAGCCGGATTCGCCTAGGAACTCCGGGGAGAGCGTGTCATCATGGCCGTGTTTTTAGCGGGTGTTGGACTGGTCTGGTCTTACCGTGGATATCGGGAGCATGAAGGGCTGGGCGGCAGAAGGGCTTGTGGCTCCCTGGGTATATTGGGATCTCCGGCTTGCCGATTGCTTCGAGAATACTGCCTGTATTGGCAGTTGTCTTCTCTAGAGATGCGTTTCCATGGATCGTGGTGATGCCCAGGAGATTGAGGGACGGGTGATGGGCTGCAATTAGGATGGCGAAGGCATCCTATGTATATCTTGGTGTCAGTATCGGCATTGCGCGGACTGGAGAGGTCCAGCTTACATCGTGGCCTGGAAAGAGTGAGTTAATACCTTACGGAACAAGAGATATATGTACTAACCGGGATCACAGTCCAGCCACAGGGGAATCGGAGTCATGATTGATATATATCGAGAAAGACAAGTATAAGAAAGAAACAAAGAACGTTCGTCTCCCCGCAATCCGATAAGAGACCTGCCCTAAGCCCTAATGACCTTCCTCATCGGGATAGTTCAGCGTCATCCCATCTCCAAAGCTCCTTGATCGCCGCTGCTTCTCTTGTCGAGCCCCAAGGGCCGTCATATCACACCTTTCCCCCTCAGGGTCTCTCACGATCCACTCTCTGCGATGCGATGACCGACTCTCGCCCTTCCGGCCTGCATCCCTTGTCCCATCTCAAAGCTGGGCCGACCACGTCCAGCTCCAGGTCCACCGCCGTTCCTGCGTCCGCCACGCCGCAACCCTCTTCACGCCCTGCATCTCGCCTGCATGTACAACGAGCTACCGGCCGGGAAGATGTGATCGATTTCACCAGCGATAAGACCACGCTGGCCCTGATCCGGCGCGTCCTCTGTCCCCAGACAGGCACCTATGGCGCATTCTCTGTGCAGCCTCCAGAGGAGCTGCTGCCTCCTCTTACAAGCTCCAATGAGGTTGATCGTCAACTCTACGCTTTTATTGCTATTATAGTCAGGGACTTTGTCTATTCGTGGTACTCCAAAATAACACCGGACCAGGCTCTTGTGAATGAGGTCCTGCAGGTGATTGCGCATTGCACTCGAGCTCTCGAACAACGACTACGTCGAATCGATATTGCGCAGTTGGTCCTCGATGAACTTCCTGCGCTGGTGGAAGCGCATGCCCTGAGTAAGATTTCCTCGCTCATCCACGGTAGTGATGGAAAAAACCAACTGCTAATTATATCAACCCTCAGCCTACCGACTAGCCAAGCAGCAATCCCATCTTTCGGGACTGTCAACTTCACACCATGCACTTTATCATGAGTTGAACCCTCACCCGGGGTTTTCACCTGTCCCGGATCCCTCGGATCCACAGACCATCATCTCGCAGCGCGAGAATGAGGCCATCTACCGTCGGCTGCTAGCCAACGGCATTCTGGCCGTTCTTTTGCCGACCGAGGATCTTGAGAATAGCAGCTTGCGGGTTCTCGTGGGCGACGTCCTTGCTGATCGCATTCTGGGAGAGGAAGTCAGCGGCAGAATGTCGGAAGGTTGGTTCTTTTGGCAAACCATTACCAAGCTCGCTGTGGCAATGAGACGGAAGACCACGGAGGAGACTGCGGCGGATATCAGCACTCCCACCAGTCGCCTAGAGCAATTCGGGTTGCTTTCGGACGGAGACGAGTCGCCCAATGGCCAAAAATTGGCTCAGTCCACCGCCACCGCTTGGATATGGGCCATCCTCCAAGGCGTCTACGTTGGATATGTTGTCTTGCGGTTTATCGTGACTGGCCTCTTCCGCGTCGCATCGATCCCAACCCTAGGTCATTCGCATACCAGTGTTTCAGTTGGCGCTGCTTCGGACATCCGGAAGGGGAAGGCGTCGTCAGATGGCGCCATAGGTAAGCGCCCGGTGTTGGACTATCGGGTGTATTCCATGGTTTCACAGGTGCTGGGCGTCCCACAACGAATGCCCTGGATGGGTGGACTGCTCTCCCTCTCGCAACACCTGATACTGGCGGGACCGGGCACGCTGGGTGCTACCGACGGAGTTCTTGATAGGTGAGTCTGACGTTTCTTCTTGTCCTCGGAGCTTTTTTCCCTTCCCCCTCCCCCCCCCCGGGTCCACTCGAGGTCTCGGACCTGCCCTCACCCTCTCGACTGTGGAGCAACGGTTGTATCTCCGAGCTTGATCGACGACTGTGTCATGGTTGCACGAAGGAGGCGTCTTGCTCGCATGTCGCAGCAATCACTTGATCTGTATACGGTGTTTATGTATTACGGGTATCCATACCGTCATGACGCAACACACCCTGGTCCGTTTCCATGCGAGGATTTTCGATTACCCACCGCGATTCTCTATGTCTCCTTGAGGATGATGATTGCGCCGGGGCCCGGCCCTTTCCGTGCCGCTTCATTGCCCACTTTTTTCGGCCGATCTTACGATCTGAGGGATTTGCGACCTGGGTAGCCAAGGATCTAAACGTCTGATTTGCATGAACTTTCCCGCCCGGCGCGAAACAAAAATTCCTCCCAGGCGAGGGCTCGTCAATGGGCGGCGATCCAACCCACCTCGGTAGAATGCGCATGGACCCGAAATCGCATGATTGATTGTCGATCGCCCTCGCATGGACCATAGAACCGACCATGCTTTTTCGAGAATTTGCATGCTGACCAGCCCTTGGCAAACCGTCCAATCACCGAAATTCCTGTCGCAGAGATTTTTCGGTCGAGGATAAACGACCGAGGCTCATGCATCAAAGCCCTTGTCCAGGCACGTTACTTGGATGCTACCTGCCGAAGAGGGGTGTCGCCTCACTTTGTGCTAGTCACCTGAAGGTTGTTTTTCTTGAAGGATGGACATCCCTGTGCCCAATGATGGGCTGGCCCAAGCTCCTCACTCTTTTCACGCCTAACCTCGATTATACTCCGCCCTTCACCCCCACTTGGCGAGGACCCGCTCCCTCGATTAGACAAACTTGAGTTCTGTCTAGCGGTGGGTAGACTCGAAAAGGAAGTAGTCAACAGATGTTCCGCTTCTCCACAGTCGGAGAGGGGCTTTTTTCATTCGTCATTCCTTATGATCTGCGAACCAACAGCTTTCCTCCGATTTCACGCCTTGAGATCTGGCTAACTCCTACAGATTCCTCCGGGAAACCATCGAGAAGTACGTGCTGACCCCCACTCTGTTGCCCAACCTTCTCCGTGCGACCAGGAGCGCTCTCTTTCCGGCCAATGCCCGTCCCTCGTCGCAGATAGCACCGGTGAATTTACGAGCCCAGGCTCCCGCTCCGCAGCTGTTTGTACAACCCGTGGCATCCACCCAAAAATCCCTCGCGAACCCTTCTGTTGCCGTGGCAGTCAAGAAACCTCCTGCTGCTAGCAACGCCACTGGTAAAAGCAATTTCAGTAACAGTCAAAGCCTCAGTAGCGCCGACAGTCTTGCGGGTGTATCACCTCCCTCGACAAAAGCAAACGTGACATCCACACACCCGACGCCTTCAGATACCGTACTCGGTGCTGACGGGACAAGAGCTCGACCATCTGGCCCAGAGATCGCAGCGATCAAGCGGCAATGTGCAACCAGTTTGCTTTCGGTGATCCCGCGCCGCGTCGCACGAACCTTCTTTGGCGTTTCATCCCCAGCGGCTGTAAGGTCAGTGACCAGTGATGGTGATGGTACCTGCAGCTCAACCAGCAGGAGTTCGTCCTCCCTCACCACAAACTCCTGGGCTCCACCCTCGTCTATTGAGGACGAGACTGGTCATCATCGACCGCGATCTTCGTCTGCTCAGGCGAACGGAGCTGGCGTGGCCTCCTCACCGACGTCGCCTTCCAGCTCTGAGCCTTCAGCATCTGCTCCCTCAGCAGAGACGAAGGATCATGTCTCTACTGGAAGGTTACATATGGACCAGCCTGGTGTAATTGTTGATCCGGAGGAGTTGCGCCTTCTTGAGACCGTAGAGCAAGACCTGCTTGATCTCTTTGAGGATGAGTACTGCAATAAGCACCTCGTATATTCCATCATTGAGACAGTTTTGGCTAGACTGCTCCCTGAAATATCGGAGCGCAGCATTGCGGATTTGATGGAGGACCGAGGCGTGGCTCCCATGTCAGCCGGCTGAATGCATGGCACTGTTCTTAATGAGTGATAAAGATAATGTAATAAGGGAGACGCCTTTCTGGACATAACTATTGAGTCTTACAGTACATAATGGAAGAAAGAAGATGAAGATAAACTATTCAGTTCGTGTATACGCAAGATTCCAGCAAAATTACCAATGTTCTTCCCGCGCGAGCGGCCGAGTTTAGATAAAAATAAAGAGAGTAACAAGAGCACAGGGACAGAGAATAGGAGATATAAAGAGAGGGAGGGATAGAAGGAATGCAGTACACTGCCCAGCAGAGGCCAAGAGGTAGACGCAAAGAAAAGGGAAATGAAAGAATGGTGGAGGTAGAGGTTGCTCAGCAACAGAACCATCGAACCGAAGCACGGCAGAAAAATCAAAATCAATACTCCACGTAAACCAATTCTTCAAAAGATCAGTTCCAGTGATCAAAAACTCCGACGGTCAGTTTCCTCTTTCTCCCGTAATCCCCATCTCCACATGTGTCCCAGAAAGAAAAAGAGCTGGACTCAGAGCAAGACCGGACCTGTCGGCCTAACAATATGCAGCGCGTCCACGAAGCCTGCGCGCGGAGATGCCTGCGCGATACATATGCACCCTACTCCAGGTTGAACAACGGAGACACGGAGAGGGGTTAGTGATAATGAGAAAAGAAAAACAGAAGACCAGGAAGCGAAGTGGCCCAGCGCCAACCCAGTTCCAAAAAGCCCATTCAATGAAAGAGTCGATTTCGAGGTTGCCCTCTGACAGTGTATAAAATTCCAGATTTTGGCTGTCCGGTCCCGGTGCCGCCGACTCTCTCCTGAGCCGGTCGGAGGAAAAGAGAAGAAAAGAATATAAAACAGAGAGTCGAGGTGAGGGATATCAAATAAGCCACCCGAACACAGGAAAATGGAGGAGTGTGGGGGAAATATAACATAACTGTAGCAAAGGGGGAAGTCACAGTAAATTGCATGCAAGTTGGGGGTGAGGTACTGTCGGTGTGAAGAGAGAGGGCATGTCAAGGGAAAGGCATAGATGGACATAATGCAAAAGATATAAAGATGGGGAGGAATTTAGCCCAGATTGTGAATGCTTCTCTTCTTGCTCATGTGAGGCACATCATGCTCATCGATTCTCGGCAGACCACCAAGTACGATATTATGCTGGTTCTTGGCGAGCTCAAGGCGCTCCATCAGCTTGCCAATGGTGAAATATTCCTGAGCTTGAAGTCCAGCAGGCTGCTGCTGGAAGTAATTCATCACCAGCTCCAGAGCACGGCGCGCCTCGTCCTGCGTTGGAGAGCCCGGCGAGAGAATGGGAGAAACGGTGTTGGAACTGGAAAATGACGGTGGAGGCGGTTGCATCGCCTTGGTCTTGATCTCGGGGTTGCTGCGGTTGCGCTTGATCACGTTGGGCTGGTTGCTGCCGGTGTCAGGATGGTCGTCCATTTCCAGGGGAGATTCGACGGTGGCAACCGAGATGGATCGGTGGAAGCCTGGCTTTGTGCATTGCGGATCAATCGACTCGTCGTGAGATAGCAAGCTGGGGTCGATGGGGACAAGGGGGAATGTTTGGCTGCGAGGTCGGTTGGTGTTACTCCCTGGCATGCCTGTAGGGAGCCGGGTCTGGCTTGTCGGGGTGAACGGGCTGTCTGAAACGAGGGTCGAAGTTGGACTAGTCATGGCCGTGGAAGAGGTGGTATCCAACGACGTTGTACTCTTGGAATGATTATGTTGGTACCCACCGGCTAGATCAGGCACGCTATCAGCCCGTTCCTTCTTGTCCTCCTCGCTGTGTGCCGGGGACAAGGGCGAAGATACAGGCAAGCCATTGGGAGACGAAGGGGAAAGACCTCTAGGGCTGTGGCCGGTAGATTCACCAGCCGAGTCTGTGTTGATGCGCGTCGGACTGTTCGATCCGCTGCGTACATCGATGGACCCCTTGCGCGCTTTGGCGCCAGCGAGGTTGTTCTTGTTCTTAAACTTCTCCAGCCAGGCCGAGGTGAGCACCTTGTCTTTGCCCTCAGGGCATCCACATGTGCTGGCAAAGAACAGCGCCTTTTCTTTGATCATTTCATCGCTCAGAGGGAATCCTTGCCGCTGGTAATTCCTCGCCCAGTTGGTCAAGGCTTTCTCGATATCAGGGACTCGACCCTTGGCTCGCTTGATAGGCGAACGGCTACCATCATCGCGGTTGAGATATTTCTCTTTCTGGCGCAACACTTTGGAAACCGTACTGTTTTGACACCGTTTGTCAGAAATAAGGTTCTCCGGGCATAGGCTAGGGCTAGTTGCACTGGGGGATAAGCTACCTTCTTTCCACACCAAACAATGCTGGATGTCAATTAGCATGAATCCACTCAGTAGAATTGGTGTAAACGTACCTCCTATATCGGTCTGCTTGGCCGTCTTGTTCTCTTCATGGTAGAGACACATGAGCCGCCGGTCTTCATCTGTCAGCGTTCTGCGCGGCGTCGACCCCCCGTCGATGTTTTCCGTATGGGAATGGGAGGCATTGGCGCCGAAGGCGAGACCGACGTTGGGACAGGCGCAGGCGGCATTCCCGACTCGTGAAATGGCGATTGGTTGGCGAGCATGCTGGGCCAGGAATGCGAGGGCATGGCTAACGGCATGGAGGCGTAAGGCGGAGGTATTGACATGCCATAAGAGGCAGCGTCAACAGCCATCAGTGGGGACGGGCCGTAATCGAACCCGCTGTACTCTGGTATTGGGGGAGAATTCTGGGGAGAGGTAAATGCGCCCAGGTCGACCCATGGTGAATGGCCGAATTCACTGTCTGGCGCATGGTGCGTCTCCGTCTCCATGGTGGGAGAGTCCTCCATAGAAGACAGGTTCCTGCCGATAGACACGGAGAGAGATAAAACAGCAAAATAAAACTCCGGGGAAACGGTGAGACAAGTCTAACGGTAAGACCAGCAGAGATGATAATGCATGATCCACCGCGCAAACCCCCGAGCCGGACAGAAGTATAGGCGGCGAGAGTCCGGTACCGTGTAGACAAGAGAGAGGGCGAGCTATTAGCCAGCTACTGGGAGAGGAAGTGAGGTATGTATACAATATGCACGAAGAGTGATAAGAAGGGTAGCGTGGGCATGCGGGTAAGGCAATGGGCGGAGTTAAAAAGAAAATCAGGGCCCCGAGACCCAGGGCGATCAGGGAGTATCGCGTGGATTGACAGAACGACTGAAATCTCGATTTCAACTGACTGGCACGAGAATAATCCATGATAACCCTTTGCCCACAAGAGGGAATCCGACTGTTGGGCCCGGTGATTGGTTGCTAGGCTCGAAAAGCCACCCCAGCCAGAAGAATCAAAAATAAAGAATAAATATTAAATATTATTAAAAAACATCCCTGGTCCACGGCGGCGCCTGGTTGGCCCAAAGGCTCGATATATTGCGGCAGGGGTTGCATTTGCTCAGGCCCAATTAGTATCACGATCGGGAAAGGTCTGGGTATTACAAGGACGCTGTACCGTATGGAAACCGCTTTCTTTCTGGCTGGCTAACGCGGAAACTCCAGGATGATCATGATGGTTCTCGTGCCCGGTGCAGACCAAGCGGCCTTCGCCTTGCTCCATAGGGTTGCGCCGAAATGAAGCGCAGCAGTAGAACAAGGCCAGTTAGGTAGCGATACGGCCATGCTGCATTGCGATAGGTACCCAACTCATGCGCCAGGAAGAGAGTTACAATCCTCTCGGGGAGGCCGCTGTCACTTCTGAGTCTTCACTCGTCGAGAATGAGTGTCTGATCCTTTCTACGGCAACCGGCCGTTTTCGGGGGCCGGAATTTCAGGAATCATGGAGAGGCTTTCCAGTCAACCAGGGCTGATCATCCGTGGCGGGGGCTGATCAAACACGACCATGTGAGGTGAGGTTCGCTGAAGAGGGAACCATGATTTGCTGAAGGTCAACTTAGCGGATCGATAAACCGCTGAACCTAAAGCGCGCATGACATCCGGGCGAGGGAGGCCTGGAGGGCGATCAAGTGGATCGAAATTGGGGGTCCAAACTGGGCGGCGATTGTCTCGATCATGGTAGAAACGCAAGAAGAGAAGCGTGAGAGACATGGGCCCTAGGATGTAGATGCCTCTTGAGAGAGCTGAGAGACTTGCACCGCCCCGCCTCAATCGTCCAGAAAACGAGGCGCTGTCCGGGCGCAAGGGAATAACTATTGGAGGGGCTGGAATCATCATCAGTAGTCCAGGATCTGCGGAGTTTCAACGCAGAAGACTTCCGCGCACGATGACACGGCCACTAGGCAAATGAGGAGCAGCATGGGCCAGCTCGGCGAAGGGCCAATCTCCCGTGTCGATTCGTCTGCGATCGATACATCTCGATACAAGGGCCGAACAAGCTCGCCGGGTTTGGCCCTATCACAGAGCAGGAGAGCCTGCTGGCCAGACTGGTAGGCGGAGGCCAACCAGTCTGACCTGCCAATGATCTCCCGGCGAGGCGCTGGCGCTAGTTGTTCTTCTCCACCGGCCCTGAGATCCGCTACGCTACCCTCCGGCCCGGAAAACCTTCGGTATATTATTGTATTGCCCCAGAATACCCTTTGCTTTGCGGGCAGAGAGGGTGAGGTGAGCACGGTTGTGTGGAAAGTGTAACCACGGCGTCCAATAAATTCTCCATGATGACTCTCCAACTCCTTCCTAATCTTTCTATCTACTCTCAGATACCTCTTAGCATCGCCAACGATGAGCCTGGGACTCGTTCTTTTGCATTGGAACACGGTCCGCGTAGTATCCCACGGTTTTGTTGCAAGCGTGGGAGTGAGAAAACCACCCCGCTTGTTCTCAAAAACACCACGAGGGCAACGGTCTCGTCGAGAATTACGAGGGTTTTTCTTGTCGGCTCCCTTCTCGAGCTAGGGGGCGGAAGGTTTCGTTGACTATGGAACAACGAGACGCCCGTCTGACGAAATGTATAAAATGTTTGACGCCCAGGGACAAGTCAAATTTCTGACTCGGTGTCGCCGCGGGCCATCCTGTTTGCTGCCGATGCTTATTACAGTATGCACAGGACTCGACAGCCGGCTAGTGATGCGCATTGTGGAAGGCCTCGCCAATCGCGAATCTCTCCCTGTCTCGACGCTCGGCGATGCGATCGCCTCAGATCAGCAGGATGGACTGACGCCATCGATGGGCGATTTCGGATGACCCTTTTAGGGCAAGAAGAGTAAGCTAGTCCATCGGCCCTAATGCGCTCGGAGCCAGGAATCTTCTGGGTAAAGACACCAAAGGTTAGACCGGTCAGGATCGGAATTGCCGCCGTGTGCACTGTATGCACTGGTGCCATCCTATCTTTGCTTCCTTTCGTTCTTCAGGGCATAAGACGAGACCGTCAGTAACAAAAGCATCGGGGAACACAAAGTAGTGCCCGTGCAAGGGTCAGCTTGGTTACACCAACCAGGGTTGGTTGGGCTCGGTCAGGTACCGATCGACAGGCTTCTTCATGGGCAATAGTGACTGCGCTTGCAAACAAGGCCGGGCTGAAGATGTACGGCGTCGATCGAGTCCCGGGTACAGAAACGGATCCTTCCTTTCCTGGACAGGGCTTGGACCGTGCCCCGGCGGAGGCGTGGAGGTGAGCAAAAAAAGCGGACGAACCAGCCCTATTGGGGATCGGTTGGGGGTTTTTCGTAAACAACCCGTCCTGTCAGGATGCCCTATGACGATGGCGTCTCAATCCCGGCGGCTGGCATGCCATGCAATGCAATGCAATGCGACGGGGACGTCTGATGGATCTCCCACGAGAACGAGTGGACGCCCGGCATCGGTGCCAAAACAGTCACCTGATAGAAGTGTCTCTGTGTGTTGGAATCATGAACAGTAGAATTAAATAGTACGGAGAGTCATAGTGGAGGGATGAGGATCTTGCCGATCTTGCATCTGCGAACGGACCAGATCGTGAACCCAGTGGCCCTAGCGACGGGAGATGCTCCACTTGCTGGAGACTACAGATTCCGCGAGTCTCCGCACGAAGCTAGAGTGAAGCTAGGGTTGATGCCCAGCCCGTCTCTGAGGAGGAGGAGGGTGGATCAGATAAACATCTCCATGCCGACCAATATTCACCGCTTGTTTTTTGCCCAGTGGATACGCTCGTGGTCAAGAACGAAAACGAACAGCGGGCAAATCCTGCTGGAACCTGATCCCGGGGGGCGCACAGAGAGCTTTGGTCGAGACCCGGTACTTCTGTCCCCTAGCAGTCGATCCAAATTTGGTACCGAGCAAAATGGCGGACGACTAGAGCAAACACCGTCGCATTCGTCAGAGCAGGGAATCATCCGAGATGTCAGCCTGAACGTGCCCCTGTCGACAGGTCACCTTTTACGAGTATTGCATGCTTCTCCGTTTCTGGCGGAGTGCCTATCGGAGAACGAGGTGGTTTTTTGTGCCAGCCACTAGCTGCTTATCAAGTAATGAGCGACACTCACGACCACCGTGGCTATGCCGCATCGAGAAGCTGTCAGTAGCTGTAGGTCAGTGCGGGCCGAAAGGGCCGCGGCCCTTTTCGACACCCGCTCTGCACACCATAATTGCCGTCAGCCCGTCGAAGCTATCCATTCCCGAAGCCCCCAAGGTCTGAGCGAGGTCTCAGGCAGATCGTCAGTGGCCAAAACGTGGGAGGGGGACTTCCAGACCCTGTGTAGACTCAGCAGCCATCCTTTTCTGGAAAATGTTGCGGATCAGAATGAGACATCTGAGGATCAATACCGGGAGGGGTGAAATAATGCAGGACGGCTTGAGATTTTTCCAAAAAGCGCCAATCGGGTGGGATGCCCTGTTCGCCATGGACTACTGCATTCGCGCCAAAGCAGGGACGTGCGATGATGAGAGGGGGTGGCATAAGGAATAATAATCGGGCTCGCCTGATGGGCTATAGCACACCGAATTATGCTATATACAGGGGGAGCCATTGGCGGGGCATCCAGAAATTCACAGCTCGCTACGCGCATCCTAGGGGCGCCAAGAGGCATGATGGCGTATTATTGCCAGAGTCCGTCTTAACGATGGTAACAAAAGCACTTTGTTCTTCTTTGATCGTCTTTCTTTGATGAGCACGTCGAATCCAACGCCCCCTAGCCGAGACAGGGAGGAGGAAGACCTCGATCTAGAACTTTTTTTTGGTTGCATTGCTGATTATTCAGGAGACGCTGAGGGAATAATACCAATAATTGGGATCATCATAACAATATGAACTGGTCGCTTTGAAGGCCACTTGAACAAAGACAGAAAGAACATTCACAGGCCAAAGCCAGACCGGCCTAACCCACCAGGGAACTGGTCGCTGGAACCACCGGGTATACGACCTCCTGGACATTTCTCAAACTCGGCGAGTCTCCGAGATGGTCCATACCCAAGTCACGCTGCTGACCACGCCTGGGGCCGTTGCGGCAACAGGGACGAAAATCACACTTAGAAGTAAGCAGGGAAGACGCGGCGCAGAGAGCCGGCTCTCGCTCACAGCCCATGATCAATCTTCCCCAAAACAATAGCTCTGAGACTCGCGTCCCACGGGCGAGGAGCTCGGCTGGCCGTGCGAGGTTGACGCTTGACCGTGCTCGAGGGAGGTGGCGGATTACAGGTGGCTGTGGTCCAGGAGGCCGCCTCGCTTGTCAGCATAGTTGCAATAGACAAGAGACACTTCTGGCACAGTCGATCACCTGACACCGCCGGTATAACCGCCCTCGCACACGGACTGTGATGGCCCAAGGAGTTGGTTGGAATGCTTTATCGCTTGACAATTGAAACTATGGCCAGCAGTTAGCTTCGAGATTCCAGAAACATCAAGGTCACGCACCGATATCCTCGTCGCTAAGCTCGTGCGAGAGACCAACTCGCTGCGGTTGGTGTTTCACGGAGCGGCCGTACACGATGGCTTGTTTGAATTGATCCTTAATTGTGCGGTGAATAGAATTACACTGCTGGTAGTTAGCATAGTGTCTTCAATGGGCTATAGGCAATGGATGCGTACGAAATCCTCGACAGTGCACGCGTTGGACCGGAGCACAACGGGTGCGCTATAGTCAGGTGCCCTGCCCTTGGGCTTTGTGTAAATTCGGCGCAGCTGGAGCTTCTCCCACATCATCTCCATCAGCTCGTCAACGTTCCATCCGTGCTCCGAACTGATAGGGCAAGCGTTGGGGATCCGATAAATAAGATCCAATTCTTCAATAGAAATGGAATCGATCTTGTTCAGAGCATAGACAACCGGAATATAGCTGCGGCTCTTGGCTTCCAGAATGTCAATCAAGTCGTCAATGGTGGCATCACACCGAATTGAGATATCGGCAGACGAAATTTTGTACTCGTTCATCACGGCTTTGATCTCCTGTGTTCAAGTTAGCAATGAGCCTTGGCATTCCCTCGACAGGAACTTGCCTCGGGGGTGATATTCGTCAACGGCACGGTGTTTGTGATCGCAATTCCACCCTTGTCCTTCTTCTTGAACACGATGTTGGGTGGTGACTTGTTGATTCGAATGCCAAACCCCTCCAATTCATTCTCAATGACCCGTTTGTCGACCAAGGGCTTGTTCACGTCGAGAACGATGAAGATCAGATTGCAAGTCTTGGCCACTGCAATGACTTGTCGACCACGACCTTTGCCGTCTTTGGCACCTTGGATAATACCAGGCAGATCAAGAATTTGAATCTTAGCACCATTGTACATGACCTGACCGGGGACAGTCGTGAGGGTCGTGAACTCATAGGCGGCAGCTATAAAGGCACGTTAGAAATCGAATACCTCTTATGAAATTCTTCCAAACCCACCTTCCGAGTGCTGGCCTGTCAGCCTGCTCATCAAAGTACTCTTCCCGACGGATGGGAAACCGATAAAGCCACTAGATAGTTGTGAGTCCGGTTCCCATCAATATAATTTCCAGGAAAACCTACACACTGGCAACACCAGTCCGCGCGACATCGAAACCAGCTGAAAAACTCCCATGTTAGCCATTGACTCTTTGTTCGTGCTAAGTATGAAGACGATACTCACCACCGCCGCCGCCACCACCGCTGGTCGGAGTCAATAGCTCTCGCTTCAGCTTAGCAAGTTTTGCCTTCAGCTGGCCTGCACCAATTGTCAGTCCCTCCTCGGTCGAAACTACCAGTATTCCTTTGCGAGCATACCCAAGTGGAAGGAGGTGTTTTTGTTCTTCTGAGTCCGAGCCATCTCGGACTCGATCTCTTTGATCTGTGGCACGAAAAACCATATTGTCAGTCGCAGTGGCGGAAGAGGGTCAAAAAAGGGCCATAGCACGCACCTTTTCAATGGTGGTCGACATTTTGGCGGTTTAGCCACGCAGCGCTTGAAATAGAAGATGTAATGCAAAGACGCAGACCAGACTGGAATGCGTCTCTCTCAGCTGTGCAGTAAGGGTGAAGCGTGTCTGTCGTGGTGGAGTGTGAAGAAAGACAATCTTTGAATTCCCTTAGTCAGGGCGGGGTGGTAGCCTCAGGCATGAGAATTATGTCATATATCAGCCTGAGTCGCGAGGCACCATCGCCTTATCGCCTTATCGGCCAGAGGACAATGCTTTCTTTCGCTTTCAATCGATTGAAAGACCAGTTGCCTTGTTCCACTGCAGTGTCTGACCCCGGTGTAGACTTGGCCGTCACAGCAGAGCAGAAAATCCTGTCCAGGATCCCTGTCATTGTCTGTCCTATTCGATCTCGCCGCCCGTTGTTCCTTTCCTCCGGAGCGGCACTCGCCATTCTGAAGCGATTCGTGAAACTGAATACCCGCGGACATCTCCACCTTCCTCGGCGTGCGAGCCATGCCATTCATCGACAGCAATCCCAGCTCACCATCTGGCGCCACCAAAGACGGTGATTTTTTCGAGAAGCTGGTGCGAGATCTCAGCGCCGCACTGGGTCCAAGTTCGGGGCTCGACTCGGACGATGTCGACCCGGTGGACATCCAAAAGTTGATGGATGGATATGTCTCCAACGAGGAGGAATGGGGCTCATATGCTTTGGGTGATATCAGCCGGACGTACACGCGAAACTTGATTGACGAGGGGAATGGCAAGAGCAATGTGGTGAGCATAATGGCAGTTGTGCAGACATAGGTACAAATGTGCTAATTCAGATGTGTTGCTTTAGTTGATACTCGTTTGGAGTCCTGGGAAAGGCAGCGCAATCCATGACCACGCCAATGCGCACTGCGTGATGAAGGCAAGCATTCTCCCAAATCCAAACAAACTGCCTTAACTAACCCATATATCCGCTTAGATTCTCAAGGGCAAGCTCCAAGAAACCCTCTACTCGTGGCCAGACAAGGAGAAGATCGAGCACGGACAGATCTCACCGCCACAGATCACGAAAGAGACCATCTATGGCGAGAACCAGGTTACCTACATGTCCGATAAGGTAAATCTTTCTTCTCTCGAACATGGACAATAAAGCTAACAGATCAAAACCCAGCTTGGTCTCCACCGGATCTCCAATCCTGATCCGGATAATTTTGCCATCTCATTGCACCGTACGTCTATCTACCCTCCTGTTCATAATACTTTGATTATGAAAGACGTGGGTGCTGATAACCAAGCAGTGTATACTCCTCCAAACGCCGCACTTCACGGCTTTTGTCTCTACAATGAAAAGACCGGCAAAGCAAAGCACATCAAGCAGAATAGATTCTACTCTTTCCGTGGTCTACGCTACAAGGATGTAGAGGAATCATAGGTGTCTGCGATAGCTTTGCTCATTGCGTTTCTTTCTCGGGGTTGGCAACTGTATTTCTCATCTTTCATTTCTTTCCTCTCTATTCTCACCCCCTGCAGATCCTTTCTTGCACGATACCATGGACACCTCTTGGCGTTCACCCTGGCTTTTTCTGGCTCTGTGCATTCCTGTGGCTGGATATCTCTTCGCTTTTCTTGCTTTAGGTCATTTTCGACTATTCATACTGACTTGGCGCTCCTTGTGAATAAAGATCGATTCTAGCATTAGCATCAGCATTAGACGAAAATATTGATACTCCATTTGCATGCGAAGGGCACATCCATCTTCCGTTCTCTTCTATGCCTTGACTATGCAGTATTGATATATTGATACCATTCTCGGCAATATAATAACATGCAGGTTTCTTCAATACATCCAGGGGTTACCCTATCCTATGCAACTTCGGAATAAATACATACAGTACTGAAACAATGCGATATCCCTATCAACTTCCATCCACAGTTATTCGAACAACTACCCACTCCCATCATCGGCCTCGCTCCTCCTCCTCCCATCCCCCGAACCAGCACCTTCCTGATCCGCACGACTTCCCCCAGCAACAAGCCGACTAATCAAGTGCTCCTGATTACCAAAGACCTCGGACTGCCGGCGGCGCAGCTCCTCGAGCCGGACGAGGGGATTCTGTAGATCGCCACAATAAGTACGTTGCTCTGAGCAGGTGAGAAAACGCATCAGCTGTGACACCCACCCAGTCCTCCTGGCTAGGGACGCCCTCCGCATTCGGCAGGGCCGTGGCGGAGTCCTCGTCATCCTCATCTGCTTCGCCGAAAAAGGAGCGGTGGATCGGCGCCGGTGTTACGGGTAGGCTGGGGCGTTCGACTTCAGTGGGGAAGTCGGTGAGCTTGATGCTGGGTCTGCTGGATGCTGGGACGGGGATGTGGTCTGTTGCTGAGCCTGTGGGGGGACTAGATCCAGAGCCTGATATTACTTGTGGTCGGCCGCAGCGCGCTTCTTGCATTGAGTGCATGTACCGCTGAATATCCGGGTCCTCGTCCCACGCGTTAGAGCGAGAGTATGAGTCCCAGCTTTCGGACGCTTGCATAGCAGATTGAGGGGATAGTGACGGATCCATAGCAGATTTCGCTGTGCCAGTGACTAGTTCAGGGGTTGGGTCTGGATATGAAACTTCAGGGCGTGGCAACTCCTCCGCAAAAACACGGGTCGGTTTTGGTGCACGGCTCTCCCAGGGGAACAGCTGTGCGAGCTTTCGTGGTTCGGGCCTAGTCACGGGCACTTGGTAGTACATATTTCTCGGTGCTTCTGGGTACGATGGAGGAGGCTGAAAGAGCTCGGTATCTCTCGACATGGTGTATGTCTTCTCTTGTAAGCTGATCCCTTCAGGCTTGGAATTCAATGGCGGAGGCTCCCTGTCATGTGTAAGCATGGCCACCGTGGGCAAAAATCATGCAGGTTTCATACCGCGATGCATCCCATTCTGTCTTGGGGGCTTCAAATATCGGGGATGCTGGTGTCGGAGATGGAGGTCGTTGATGCGGCTCATCCACTGGCGGCACAGACGTCGTTGATTGTGTTTGCTGGGTGCCATGTTCATGGGGTATATGATGCGTATGTGCTGGCTGGGTATGTACTTCATGACTTGTTTGGGTTTCATGCGAAACAGTAGGCGCTGATGTATGTGGCAATGTAGGAATATAAGTCGAGACATGCTCTTCTCCCCGTACGTACTGGGGGACGACACTCAAAACTGGAACTGAAGGTGACTCTATCGGCACGCCCTGGGTTGAGACAAGCAATGGTGCTTCTTCACGTCCAGGGGCTTCTTCATGATGAGAGCTGGCGGGGACAGTTCCTTCTGGAGAATGAACCTGACGTGGCTCTGGCCACACATCCTGAAATATAGCAAGTCCGCTTGTAGGGCGGCGATTTCTCCGGGCTGGTCCAGTGCCTGTCCCCACCTCCGCAGCAGACAAAGAATGGCCACCTGATGAATAGGACAGGGGATTGTGAGGCTGGTGCGCGGTTACCTAAACATATAATCAGCCGACATCAATACTCTGGGCAAGTCAAACTGACAAAAAGCGGACGGTAATGCTTGTCGTAGATCCCCCACCAATGGGCCAGAAGCTGATTATATGGTGACTCGAGCGGAACCACCTGTCTTGGCAAGGTCCACGGCTTCTGTGCGCCAATGAAGTGGATCAGACTGATAGTGCTCTGGAAATGCTTGTAGGCCGGGATATACTGGTAATTAGCGCTCGGAGTGCAGTTATATGTAAAGCTCAGCCGGTACCAATTCCGGAAGTGCATATTCAGTAGTCCTTGGTCAGCGCCGTCGAAGCTGATGCCTCGATCAGCGAGCGCCTTCAGGGCATAGTAGTCCTGCAAGTTGGGGCGGAGAACCATGAGTCCACTATTGAAGCAATCCGGCCAGCCGACGTCCGGTGCAGCGGCAAAGTCTGCTTCCAGAGACAGAAGCTCGTCGGGGGCTCGCATGGCCACGACATCGCAGTCGATATACACAATGCGGCGATACTGGGTCAGTCGCCAGAGCTCAATCTTGGTGAATGTCGTGATCAGGTCGGGGCGTTCCATGAGCCAGAGGTTGGCGGGCGTGCTGTTCGCTATTGAGTGCACTGGGACAAGCTCATCGTAGACGGTCTTGAGACACAACGTTAGCTTTTGGCCAAGAACCCTCTCCAACAAAACACACCCTTAATTCGTTGACCGTTGCTGTCTGTAGCGTATTCGGAGTGAAAAGCGCCACCAGCTTCGCCTTGGTGCCATTGTCACGCAAGGAATGGGCCAGGACCATAGCACCTGGCCAAGTCAGCAATCAAAATCCAAACACCATTAAGAAGCAATTTCTCACCTGGTAGGTAATGATCACTCAAGAGAAGCTACCGTCGCCATTACTGTATCAGCCAACAGGACCAAGTGGACGCAGGTCAAAGGGGTCAAACTGACCGTGCAGTAGACAGCATCACCGTCGGAGTCCATCACGCCGACAGCCCCTCAGCTCGAGGGAAGCAACAATCGAATCCTCTGGTCGGGACGAAGGTCGCAGTAAATGAACGGGAACAAAGGAGAAAAGGGGGGGGGGGGGGGGGAAGACCAAAGAGGAGCAATATAGGAGGGGCGTAGATATATTCAACCCGGTAGTTGTTGGTCTTTCGCAGTTACCGCCGCCGTTCGGACCGGGCCTGCCCGTCAACAACAGCTCGCTGTGGTGGTACCTAGGCCAGACGCAGGTTCGAGCAGACGAGAACGGTAGGCTTTCACGGGCGTTGCATCGTGTTCGGGTGGCCTTGTGCGAGGGGTACCTGGTCAAAGTGGCGATCAGGGGGAGAGAGGGTGAGGAACGGAGAGGGTGGATGGAGAGGGAAGCTTGAGTGGGTCACGACCAGACGGGAGGATCCAGTGGATCGAATGAATAGACAACAAACACCAAGACTCAATACGAAGAGGGAGAAACAGGAGAACGGATGAGAGAAGAAAAGCTAAAGGTGTCGATCTCGACCTTCCCCTCACCGGGTCGTTCTACTAAATAGTAGGGGGTTTCGGTGCCTTTCCCGAGTATTCTACCTTAATCGGTATTTCTGCATAGGACACATTATTATAATATTGATTGGGAAAGAATTGATGGATGACCGAAATAAGAGCTAATGCTTTACCTGAAACACAATACAGCACGGGACAAGCCCCGCGATACGTAGTCGTACACGATCAGCCCATCATGACAAACACGTCAAGATAAAAGAAAAGTTATTCGTTATCATTCACCAGTCATTGCCACCCTCATCGACGAGCAGTCACCTTGGCATTCGGGTACGCCGCCTGAATGGCAACCTCAACATCCTGCTTCTCGCCCAGAGCAGCCCACTCAATGGCCTTCTCGATGGCCGCACGGCTCTCCGTCTCAACAGGGGTCCAATGGCCCGACTTGGGGAGCATTACGACCTGGCTACCATGCACCAGGTAGTCCGAAATGCCATCTAGACAGATGTGTGGGTCGAGCGCAATGTCCTTCTGGCCCCAGATGATCGTCGAGCTGGCCTTGAGCACACCGGGGGGCCCTTCGTCAAAGAGGCCGGCTCCGCTGCTGGTTCGGCGCACCTCATGCCCTCCTCCAAGACTGTGCAAGCTGGCGATGGTCTCGAGGGATTTCTGCCAGCGCCCGGTGCCTGCGCCGTCGCGGTAATAGCGCACCTTGTGGTTCAGCGACGCGTATGCGCGCTCGTCGTGGAGCGTGGCGGGGTATGTATCCCCCGATGCAGTCTGGGTCCGGCTCTCTGCAGTGGATGGGCCCATGCCGCTAGCCATGGACTCGGCGGCATCGACCGGAGTGAGTTCGGCGTTGCCAGTGGATGCTTTGTGGATGCCCTTCATCAGGGAGTAGTTGCCGCCGAGCATGAAGTACTGGACCATGGGGAAAGGCAATTGGAATGCAAAAATGTATCCAGACAGAACCAGCTGGCGTAACAAAGGGACCAGAGTGCGAAATGCTTGGACTAGCGGGGTGCAGGATCGGTGAGGAGAGAGCACGGCGGTCTTGAACATCTTGAGGGACGAGGAGAGCAAGCGGCGGATATTAGATTCAACCAGACTCACCTGTGAGAGGTTAGCCATTCCCGTCCAAGAGTTGGGTTAACTGTAGAACTCACCAATGGCCCATTGGTCAGGATGAATCGATGCGCCAGAGACGGCGCCTCAGCAGCAAGTCGCATACACACCACACATCCCCAATCATGCCCAACCACAATCGCCTTCTTCTTGTTGCTCTCCTCGCCTTGATCCACCCCGTATTGAACCCGCAGCGCCACAATGAGCTCCGTCACTTTTTCATAGATATTCGTGGCCGAGTACGTGTCCAGACTCTCGGTGCCTCCATAGCCCGGCAGATCAATGGCAACGAGAGTCGCCGTCTTCTGCAGAGAGGGCGAGCTCATGAGTTGTCGCCATACCGCCCAACTATCGGGGAAGCCATGCACAAGGATGACCAAAGGTTTGGAGGATTTCAAGGCGGCGGGCGTGGCAGGGGCGTCGTTGCTGACGAAATGGAATTGGAAGCCGCTGCGGAGGGTTATCATGTGGTGAGAAAGGCCAGACCAGTCTTTGGAGAGGTTCCAGAGTCGATCACGAGCTAAAATGATAAACGGCGGGTATCAGCGATGGATTGCTTCATGGTTGGGTGTGGGGGGCATTAGGTATGTGGGGAGGGGAAGCATCGTCGTGACGGAAGCTGTAGAGCTGTAGCAGCACTCACCAAGCTGAAGCTCCAGCTTCTCTTTCTCCGTCGCCCGCTGGAAGAAGGTCCCCTGCTTGATTGCAATGCAGCCGAAGAGCAACACCGTGAAGAAGCCATAGGCAAGGACAGCGGCCGAGGTGAGGGAGCGGGCCACGAAGCTCGCCATTATGGAATCCTACTCAGTAGCACGAAGACAGATGGAGAGAAAAGGGGGTGAAGAGGGCAAACGAGGGGGATTTAAAAGCTAACGAGAGCTGCCCGTTCGCGCGTCATGGGGTTAGTCAGCCCTTTGGCGGATGGTTAAGTTAGTTAAACTACATGAAGTGGAACTATAGGACTCGAACCAGACAGGACAGGCAACACAGTAATAAGAATTAGAATGGCCCCCAACGCCAGTAGTTCCCTCTTCACATGCACATCGACTTATGGAGTTGAGATAGAAAAGAAAAGAGAGAACGGGTATTAACACACGGTCAGTCGTTGCAGGCACACCACCAGCACACCGAAGAATAAACAAAGCTGCAGAGGATCTCAACAAGCAAAGAGTATATATATACATGACGCCATCTATAAATAGAAAGCCATTACATCAGGGCAATTCTCACAGGGAGAAGCCCAACTGCTCTCTCCGGTCATCCACCAACCGTCCGTACCTGCAGAGGGCCACTAGTTAGCAACCAGGCTGGCCGAGGCCCACGGGGGGAAGATCATCACTTACTCGAGAAGTAGCCGGAAGAACCAAACTTCCAAATCTTCTTTGCGGAGCACTTCCTGCGCCCAGCGCTGGCCTTGGGCCGCAATCTGAGGCGCGACCTTCTTTCCGTCGTCCTCCTGGGCGAAATACCGCATGCTTTCCACGTATTCGTCCCCCTTCAGGCTCAGGGGCACATAGTGCACCCACGGCTGGAGCCACTCGTCGTGCCACTCGCGGAAAATGGCAATCTTGTAAACAAAGCTGTTGCTGAGCAGGAACGAGTAGAACCGCCCGCTGAACGCATTGCCGTCTACATCGACCAGGAATTTGTGGGCCCAGGCATCCTGTTGCGCGGCCGCTTTCACCACGTCAAAGTATTCCGTCTGGGCATGGCAGTCCTCCGGATCACACTGCCCGATGAAGGTGAACTTGACATCGAACAGATCGCGGTACGTGTCCCGGCTAACCTCCTGCGACACCCACTGGTCGCCCTCTTGTCGGGCAAGGATCTTGGCCGAGCCAAGGGAGCTAATCGTGTCGACAAATTGCTGTCGGTGCTGACGACGCCAGCCACCGGCACGCGAAAACCCGCCGGTCGTCGAGCCGCGCCAGTACATCCGGTCCGACTTAGACTCCCAGGCGATGTCCTTGCGCCCTTCGTACGACACTTTGTCGGCGAAGTACCAGGGACTCGGGTAGAGAATGTCCTGGAAACTGGAAATTTTGCTTTGTGAGAAGATAGGAAATAGGTCGTGGACGATATCAAACGCATTGGGTCGGTCAAAGAACCCGTAGGTGTAGCGAAGGGACGGGGTGTAACAGATATCGGAGAAGGCCGTGGTGTTGTAAATAAAACCCAGCTCGCCGTGCGCGTAAGAGCTGACATCGTCCATGGGATCTTCCTCGAGCGAGCGAGCGGGACTATCCGCCGGGCAAGAGTTACGCGAGTGTGTCCAGGTGGGCTGGTGTGCAAATCGATTGAAGCGGGTAGTGCGCACCTCGTCAATGCGATCGCCCTTGTTGAGATCGGAAGCCCGAGCAGACCACGAATTGGTGGGAGACGTGCCCTTGAAGGCGGCGGGAAGCACCTGGTCCTTGGCCTTTTGCACCAGCCGCTGGAGATCCTCCGTGGGGATGACCACACGCGGCTCGTCGTGCATGTTGAAGACCAGATCCATGTCCGGGAGGTATTTGACAAACTGCGCCATCATGCCGACCGTGGCGTCGCGCTGCCACTTGCGATCGTCACCACCACCGTCCGTCAATGAGACCTTGCCATCGCGAATCAAGACGCCAATCACCGCATTGTCGAACCCTAAAGCCTCTCGTGCGCGGTCGCGAATCGTTTTGGGAGGGAGGCCCCAAAAGGGCAGGAGGGAGTGGTAGATGGAGTCGAATTCATCGACAAGCTGGACGCCCTTGGATTTGGCAAACTCGAACCACTTGTCGAAGTGTGGCGGCGGGTGCATCTTGTAGCGGCGCTCATACTCCTTCACGGCCTCGGCCAGGGTCTTGGACTGGTGGGAGCGCACATCATCAAAAGACTGCTGCGCGGTCTGGATCAGACGGCTGATGGGGTGGCCTTGCTCAGGCGGGAATGAGGTCTGGCCCGCATGGACGTGAGGGTGTTGAATGGGTTCGGGTGGAGGGAGATCGAGCGGTGGCGCTGAAGATTGGGAGGGACGAACGAGCACGAGGGTGAAGCATGCGAGGACGACGATGGTCAGCAGGAAGATTAGGCGTTGTTTGCGCATGCTGCCATTAGGGGGAGGCTAAAAGGAGAGCATAGAGAGAGGGGGAGACGGAGGGAAAGAGAGAGAGAAGAGAGAAAGAGAGGAGAGGAAGCGTTGGTGGAAGTGTTGGTTTGCGCTCGCACTCAGTGCCTCCGGGGATGCCAAGAGCGGGCCACGCAGTCAATTAGTTAAGTTAGCACAGAGTCGGGCAGGTCGCGAGGGCTGGAGAGAAAATCGAGAAGCGAAATCCAAGTTCGTGTACTGCAATTCCACGGGAGGCAAAATCCTTGCGTCAACGATAGCTGTGGCAAGATACGAACTGCTAGGTATTCTTCGCGTGCTTGCCATAATGGACTAAAAATGGCCACGGCTAGCCATCTGCTGTTTTTCACTACTGCCACAAACATCCACTTGGACAGTCTCGACCACTTTTCTACCAGGGTGAGCACCTATATTTATAGCTGAACATAATGCATCTCTTTTGGGGGGGAAACTAGCAGTCTATCTTCTCGACGAATGCTTTGAATTGGAATGGAACACCCGACAGAAGGCAAATCAACATCCAGCAATACAGTAGTCGGCGTAATCGTGCTAGAGGACGTAGTGTTTGTCCACTCCCGGATTGGGACAGAATAGCGACTGGAATGCAGCCGGAGATCGGATCGTAGGCTGCCGTGCCAACTGCAAACGTTCTACCATTTTTTCTAGGCCAGTCTAACAAGAAAACTAGCGGAGAAGATCAGGGAAATCGATCATACGATGGAAAGCGCAGTGCATCAACAACCACATAAGACTGCAATCTGTGCCGAGAGAGATAGGTGGACGGCATAGGCGGATGCAACCACTAGGGGCCTCCTGGTCTAGGCCCCTGTAAGCGGATACACGGGCGCCTATCCTTCACGTTTTCGGGCCCCCGTCTCCCGGTGGCGGCCTGCAGAAGAATAATAAGCTCCGCGGTGTCTTGCAAATAGCCCAGGTAACCCCCCTCCTTGTCTCTTTCTCTTCGCACCCTTCGATTCTTTCTCTTCCCCCTGGGTTGTCGAGAATCCATGCCCCACGAATTCTACATACCTTAGGTACCCTGGTGGGGTAGTGCAACGCCATGGGGAAATTCGTCATGCTCAAAGAAAAGCCGGTGCATGGGCGACGTCAGCAAAGGAGGCTCTTCGTGCAGATTGCCTGTCTTCTCGCTCTGGTATGGGTCTGTTATCGGACTCTGATCGGCTTGGGAGGTAAGTCACTGCTGCAACGATGATTCAACCACCGGTGGAATGAGACGTGCGCTGACCATTCATCTCAAGGTCTAGGGTCCTCGTCGCAAGAGAATCGCGCAGCGGAGGATCACCATCTCACAGAGAGCTTATCTCGGATTGTGAAGCTGCTACCCGATGAAACCGAGACATACAAGCTGCTCAGGCCGGTTAGGACCACTGGAGAAGAGAGATTGAAAGAATTCGGACTGCGCACTCGCCAGTACAAGGAGCTGTTCGAAGCCTGGGAGACACTACATATCGACAACGCCCCCGACACTGAGTTTATTCGCGACGATGTGATTCAACGCATACAGCGCAACCCCCAGATCGCCAGCTCGCTCTCCATGGGCCACGCCGAATTGATTCAATATTACGAATCCTATCGGTCAACCATTACCCGTCTGGCAACCCTATTGTTCCCATGGACAGCACCTTACTTCTCAGATCATTTACAACTGCGCCACCAATTATCGCAAGGCGGGCGCGGTCTAGTTTTCACAGCAGGCAACAGCCATGCGCCCTATCTGCTCACTTCGATCCCCGTTCTCCGCCAATTAGGCTGCCACCTGCCCATCGAAGTCATGTATCTGGGCGACGACGACCTCCAACCAAAATACCGGACCCAACTCGAGGCCCATGCAGGGGTGGTTACGCGGGACCTGCGGCGGATGGTCAACGATGCGGGATGGGAATTGAGAGGGTGGGCCGGCAAGCCCTTCTCGGTGCTGTTGTCCAGCTTCCGGGAAGTGATCTTCATCGACGCGGATTCTCTCTTTCTGCAAAATCCAGCGAGCCTGTTCGACGACCCCGCGTACAACGAAACCGGGGCGTTGTTTTTCAAGGATCGACTCATTCTCCCTGAGTCCAAGAAGGACTGGCTGACGCGCATTCTTCCCCCTCCGGTTTCCAAGAATGTGCGGGACAGCCGTTTGTGGACTGGTGAGAGTGGTCATATGCAGGAGTCGGGCGTCTTGGTCATCGACACCTACAGGCATTTTGTGCCTCTTCTTCTGGTCACCCGCATGAACGGGCCCGATCGAGATGGGGATTCGGCGCGGGGGGTTAGAGGTGTATATGACATGCTTTTTGGTAAGAGCTTCTCATCCTTCATATCGCAAGACAATTCCTAACCAGAAACAGGTGACAAGGAAACATTTTGGCTCGGCTGGGAGCTTTCAGGAGTCACGGATTATGCATTCCACGATGGCGGCGCCGGAACAATGGGAGTTGCTCAGAGTGAGCCCGCGGCTTCAAAGTCCGACACCTACACCGTCTGCGCCCCACAACTGCTTCACCTTGACCGGACAGGCAGACCTCTTTGGTTCAATGGGTGGTTGCTACCAAATAAATTTTCCAGCAAGGAGCCCGGCAAGTTTGAATCTTTTATTAGAGAAGAGGAGGGATATGTGACCGATGACAGTCCGTGGCAGCTGCACCCCAGCAACGTTTGCTGTCTCACGTCGAATAAGGTGTTTGACTTTTCCGAAAACGAGAAGCATGTTCTTGATATGACTATAGAGTCAGGGAGGCGCACGGGAGCATTGGGAGAGAAGAGCACGAGCTCATAGTGCCATAACTATATCCCAATATAATGGAAACAAAGACTGTTTTATATTCATCAAACCGTCTAAATATCTGTTAAGTTATTCATATTATCTCCGCCCCGCCACAAACTTAGAGAAGAGATATCCCTATATTCAACTTCGTTGTACCATTACCCACGAACACACCCCATTAACCACAAAAGCGCCCAGAGCCTGCAACATATAAAACTGCGCGTATGCCACATGGAAGTAAGCAGCCAGACACAGCCCCAGCACCAACAACACATGGCCAGCATAAAAAGACCGCCTCCGGTCTTGCATCGAACCCAACGGCGATGACGACGAGAGTGCCCCCTTGGACACAGCAGCACGGGGGCGCACATACAATAAAATCGACACCACCATTGAAATAGCGACAAGTCCACACTGCACATCGGAATCACGCACTCGTTTCAAGAGCAGGGACCCAAATTCGGGGTGACTAGACTGCACGAAGAACGATAGGTAGAGGATTGCATGCCCCAACAGAAGAGCAGAAATGACCACCCGCCCAAAGAGACGGTGGTACGGCGTTAGCGTTGACTGCGGGAGTGAAGTCAAGACCGAAACCATGGATGCGGCGGATGGTTTTGTGGATGAGATGTATGCTGCTGGCGACATGAGGACTTGCAGCGGGATCTGGGAGAGGGCGATGTGGGCCATTGCTTTTGTCAGATGGAGATAGTCTGGCATATTCTTGTTAGATTGTGTTCGCTCTATAAAAAGGATTCATGAAGCTCGGGAGCCAGGGAGGATGAGTGAGAACAGACCATCCCCGCTATTCCACACCGAAAGACTAAGAAGCCACACAAGCCACGTGCCGCAGATGAGATATTGTCTTCGGGTTTCGATGGACCCAGAGACAAGAGGGAGATCCAACCAGGAGGTCGGTCCGCGGCGCGGTTTGAGCGTGGGTGCTGACGCGGTGCTTGAGAATCGGTAGATGCGGATGACGATGATCGCCGCAAGTATGGACCACTGCGCATAGGAGCCGCGTAAGTCAAGCAAGTCGCGGCGGCGCAGTATCTCGTCTTCGGATAGGGACACGAAATGCCATGGCCAGGGGGATGACATTGCTGCCGCGCACTTGATAGTGAGATATAACGGGATGTATCTGTATCTTTTTGATCGCAAGGATGTCTCGGCTGTTGTCTCCAGGCTTAACGACCGAATGCTTGTACACGCAGTCAATTCAGAGGGCGATGTGGCATTATCGAGGTAAGGTTACGTGAGTATGTAGAATTGCTTCAGATAGTTAACCAATTGACCCGGCTGACAAATGGGGCCTCTTTTAGTTAGTTACTCGTTCGACTACAACAGTAACCAGGGTTTATGGAGATCAAAAATTCTACATTAACAACGCCATGAAGACATCTCATCCCAGTAGGGCTATTCTCTAAGCTAACACAGAATGCCCCCGATTTCCTGGGTTTGGGCGGGCGCTCATGTTTGTTTGCCTAACTCCCGCCCGCGTGGAAGACCTGTCCAATTTCCATTTCATCTTCAAGGAGAGGTCTGCATCACCTCCTCCTGGCTGCCGCTGGCAGTCGTGGCGAAGTACCGGACATCCACATCGTCATCTCCTTGCAGCTTCTCCAGGCTGGGCAAAATACGTTGCTGAATAAGATCTTGACTCTGCGGTGCGGGCGTGGCCGTTTCTCCAGACTTCTCCACCTCGGTCAGGGTCTTATCCACTGGCAGACGTCGCAGGGTGTCAATCAGCACGGCGTAGGACTTTGCGACATTGAATCGGATGTTGGGGATCTCGTCTTCCACCAGCCGGTCCAGGATTGGCAGGATCGAGCTTTCAATGATATCGAGCGTGACAACGGGAGCAAGAGTCTGGGATCGTCAGCAGCAAGTCAGAAATCAGGCCAGTATTGGGAACATACAGAGATGGCGAAGCAGGTGGTCATGCGGTAGAGGTAGTTGGGGTGTTGACCCATCGCCATGACTTTCGGGATGATAGAGTTCTTGGACCACTCCACTCCAAAGACCTCCGTGAGCTTCTTCAAGTTCTGAGTGGCCGCCTCTCGGATCGAGAAGACAGTATCACCCAGCCAGCCCATGCAAAGATCGCTCAGTTGCTCATCAAAGAACTTGACTCCCAACTGGCTAGCGAGAAGAGGGATGTATTCAATGATGGCAAGGCGCACACGCCACTGCTTATCCTCGGCTAGTTGAACAATAGCCGGCAGAAGAGATTGGGAGAGAAGCTCGATGCCAATAACTACAAGACAATTAGAAAAAGGTCGCCATATTACATAAGCTAATCTCACCTTTGTTGACTTGCTCCAGCTTAGAAATGATGTGCAGGCGAACATCTGGGAACTCATCCTTGAGCATTTGAAGGAACATGGGTAGAAGGTGGGCAATTGTCCTAGAGTAGAGGTCAATCGAATATCGTCCAATTGCTTCAAGATAAGAACTCACTCATCCTTGCCCAAGATGGGAGCTAGGCCACTGATTTGAGTACCAAGGGCAGCGCGAACGTGCTGAGATGGGTCCGACACCAGATCCTCCACACTAGTCATGATCTCATTGAGCAGAGTGTCGGCATCGATCAGGCGGCAGAACCCTATTATTCACAACATGAGCAGTGAGTCGGAAGGACAGGTCAAAAACAAAGCCTTACCCGGAATCTGGCCCGCAATTGCAGTGCGGACTTCAGCTTCGGTATCCTTCAGCAGCTTGACAAAGGCCGGCACCATATCACGAGTCACCACCTCGGCGTGAACAGCATTGGCGATCTATTGTGGACATTAGCGCGTGCTGATCCTCAAGACTGGAAAGCTAGATAACGGACCTTTTCATATCTATCAGCAACCATGTATCTGACGCGCCAGCTCTTATCCTCAAACAGACTCCGCAACGATGTCAAAAGAACACCATGGCTGGGCTGCTGCTCCTTGGGGATTTCCTCCGCGACCGAGATAAGAATATCCACCGTAAGCAGGCGCACGCTATCCTGATCATCACCTGCCAGGTATTGGAAAAAGGGTATCATTTCGTCGATAATAACCGAGGTCTCCATCTCCTTCACAAATTTGGCGAGGTTGTTCGCCGCTTGTCGCCGCACCATGGGGGTTTCATCGCGTACCAATGCGCCGAAATGCTGACGCAGTTCTTGCTGGCGTGCTGGGGTCGCTTTCCGATACGGCGTGCAGTAAAGACCCGTTGCCGAGACCTTCGAAGTGAACCAATCTGCTTTGGAAAGACGGAAGACAAGGGGTACAAAGTACTCCTCGATCTGGCTCTCTGACAGCTGGTCGCCAACCTTATTAAGGGATTCCACAGCCTAGCTCGGTCCATCAGCAATATGTCTCCCGATATGGAATTCGATCGCCCTACCTTCTCTCGCACCAGAGGCTCCTCGATGGCTGCCAGATTCTCCAGCGGGGAGAGGAGTACGTGCCCGTATTCCGGGCCGCCAACGTATTCTGTAAAGTTGCCCAGTTCCTCACTCAGGGCAGTCAAAACCTCGTCCTCATCTTCGACGGAGTCTAGTGAATATAGGTCAGGTAAGTTCAGACACAAGGGTTGTTATTTCGATGGAGACTGACCATCGAGGAATGGAATGAGTTCCTCCCGGGTCCTCTCGGGCCCCAGGGCAAGGGCGATCGTGGATAGACGGTGGATAGCATTGAGTCTGAGAAGAACGTCGTCATGCTGTGGAGTTGAGATGTGAGCTTTGCCCATGACACTTTCCTGCCAGACAGGGAGGAGCGTCGTCATACCTTCAGCTCATCAATGAGTACGGCGATGGGGTAAAGCTCGTCATTCTCCGTCGGGCCTTCCATCGCGAATGTGTGATCGGATATTGAAGAAGATTGAAGAAAATCACTTTTGAAGATGTCCCAGTGCTGGGAGTGCGTGGGTTGATATCGGAGGGGGGTTCACGACGGGACCAGCGAGACAGGGATTATTGAACGAGGCGAGTCGGAGGCGCCTTCATGAACACAAGGACGAGTATGGCACCTAGACCTCGCGCGAGAGATTAGTTGCAGGCGCGCGGAGGGTGAGAGCACGGGGACGATGGTTGGAGGGGGAGGAAAGATGTGGTTGAGGCGAGATCGAGGCCGGAGCCAGGTTTAGTGTTCGTGGGGGTTTTGGGCGGCAGCACCAACAACAGACCAGAGGCAGACAGAGAGAGAGCGTGCACGTACCTCGACTGATGTCCAATCCACCAAAGACTGTAGAGGCAGGGGGAAATAAATGCAAGCGCAATGAGCTGTGGTTTGGGAGAGAGCAAAGGGATAATCAATGATAAAAATTACCTAGGGAACAGCATTCACTTTCATGAGCTTTGGGTCAGTGAAATACCACTTGCAGTGGTGGTTTGGCGGGCGGAAGCGGTAAATACGGTCACCGTCACAAATGGAGGGGTGGCGGTGGAGGCTGGCAAAATATCGGAGTCATTCGCACTTTGTCTGCGTCTGTCCGTTCAGTCAGTTACGGCGAGAGTATTGTCCATCATGCCTACCATCTCGGTCGACAAGGCCGCCCTGTTCAAGGAGCTGGGCCGAGAGTATGTTGCGCTCTTGATCCCCACCTCCTGCACGACTCTAATGGCCGACTATTAGGTATACGACGCAGGAATTCGATGAGCTTTGCTTCGAGTTTGGTATGGGCCCAATTCCACCATGATGACCGGCATAGGCTAACGTGCGGCTTTTCAACGACAGGCATTGAGCTGGACGAAGATGTACACATACCCTGAACGACCCCTCCATCTTGTCAGTCGGACTCTAACCAATAGCAGACCACAGACTCGGACCGACCGATCGTGGATGGAAAGCAGGTGCCGCCGGAACTCAAGATCGAGATTCCCGCCAATCGGTATGCGCCATTGGTCTTCATGCGACAGATGGCAGGGCTAAAAAACGGTGTGCAGATATGACTTGCTGTGCTTCGAGGGCATTGCGTTGATGCTCAACATCTTCCTGGGCCGGGTATCTCTCCCCGAGTACAAGCTGGCCCAACCGGCGAGCGGAGAACTAGAGAAAATCGTTGTTAAGGAAGATGTGGGTGCAACCCCGGGGTGATTCTAGTTCGCGCATACTGATTCCACGGGTAGACTACGAAGATTCGGCCGTACGTGTCGGGTGCGATTCTGCGAGGAATCAAATTTGACCAGGCTCGTTATGACTCCTTCATTGCGCTCCAGGACAAGCTGCATCAAAACCTGGCACGGCAACGGACTTTGGTCTCGATTGGAACCCACGACTTGGATACTGTCAAGGGACCCTTCACCTACGAGGCTCTGCCGCCCAAGGACATCAAGTTTGTCCCGTTGAACCAGACTCAGGAGATGGATGCAGAGCAATTGATGACATTCTACGAGGTAAATGGACTTCCGGACTTCTTGAGCCTATGGTTATTGACACCCAGCCCCAGAAACACCAACAGTTGGGCAAGTACCTACATATCATTCGGGATTCTCCCGTGTACCCGGTCATCTACGACGCGAACCGGACCGTCTGCTCCCTGCCTCCGATTATTAACGGTGACCACTCCAAGATTACATTGAACACGACCAATATCTTCATTGAGATTACAGCCACGGACCAGACAAAGCTTGAAATCGTGAACCGGATGATGGTCACCATGTTCTCCCAATATACTTCGGAGCCGTTCACGTATGCAGACCCTCTCCTATTGACTAAATATCTGAGTCTCATTTTTACTAGAATTGAACCCGTCAAAATCGTGTCAGAGCACAACAAGCAGACCCGAATCACCCCGGACATTTCTCCGCGCATCACCGAGGCTGATGTTAACTACATCAACCAATGCTGTGGCCTGACCCTCACTCCGGTCGATGTCTGTAACAGCCTCCGAAAGATGGCCTACCGCGCAAAACCGTCCACTACCTCAGCGGATACCGTTGAGATCGAAATCCCTCCGACCCGCGCTGATGTACTGCACCAATGCGACATCATGGAGGACGTCGCCATCGCCTACGGGTTCAACAACCTGCCAAGATCTTTCCCAAGCAAGTCCGGTACGATCGCCCAGCCCCTCCCCATCAACAAGCTGTCCGACATTGTGCGCACGGAGGCCGCCATGGCTGGCTGGTCAGAGGTTCTGCCGCTGATCCTGTGCTCGCACGACGAGAACTTCGCCTGGCTGAACCGCAAGGACGATGGCAACACCGCCGTCAAGCTTGCCAACCCCAAGACGCTTGAATTCCAAGTCGTGCGCACCAGCTTGCTCCCTGGCCTGCTCAAAACCATTCGCGAAAACAAGAGCCACTCCGTGCCGATGAAGGTCTTCGAGGTCAGCGACGTCGCCTTCAAGGACCTGTCGCTGGAGCGCAAGAGCCGCAACGAGCGCCATTTCGCCGCCGCCTGGTACGGCAAGACTAGTGGTTTCGAAGTCGTCCACGGTCTCCTGGACCGCGTGATGGCCATGCTCAAGAGTGCCTTCATCACTGGCGAGGAGGGCCTTGAGAACGCCGCCATGAGTGATGCGCAATACTACATCAAAGAACTGGATGGTATGTCCCTCAGCCTTTTTTTAAAAGTTAGTGTCTAACCATATCCCGTTCCTGCAGAGCCAACCTATTTCCATGGCCACGCCGCCTCCATCCACGCCCGCATTGGCGGTAAGGACCTGGTCATCGGTTCCTTTGGCATCTTGCACCCCACCGTGCTAGAGAAGTACGAGCTCAAGTACCCGACCAGCACCTTGGAGATCAACATCGAGGCTTTCCTGTGAGCTAGTGTCTTGATAGTCGACGCTGCTATACCTGTGACTCAGATAGACGATGGCATGAAGTCAAGTTGAATGTTGTTTTCAATAGAGCGATGGTGTCAAAAAAAAATAAAACTGAACTTTTACTTTTTTAAACAATTGTCGGTATATATCTTTCCTCGATGACAGGCATGATATATTTTGCTTGGAGATACTTCGTGGGCCATGAGTATAATATTCCAAGGAAGAGACTGGATATATATCCAGTAACCGGATCTGCGGATTTATGTTCGATTGAAACAAGACGCGTCCAAGGCCAATTCTTAAAATCGTATGTGAAATCTTGGCGCTCTCTTTTTAAGTCATTAAGGACAGAATTCTACATGACTACCAATCCTGTATTTCCATTTCAGGCAGAACAGGAAAGAAAGACCACCTCCTTCACTATCGACACACAAGTAGAGAGTAGATGTTGGAATATCGTAGTTTTTATTTTGCGTTCCAGAAGTATGGAAGAGATAAAAGGTTTATGAAACAAAAAAGCCGTTAAACAAGATCACTCCTGGGCATAACCCTCGGCACCACCCTGGGCCTCGGCGGCCTGCTCCTCGGCGAGACGCTGCTGCTCGGCGAGTTGCTGAGCGGCGACGGCCTTGGCACCGTAGTCTTGGCTCATGGGCTGCAGGACGGGCTGCTCCTCCTTGGGCTCGATGATGGTGACCGAGTCGGGGAGGGTCTTCTGGGGGCCGGACTTGCCCTCCGGGTCGGAGCCGCGCATGATCTTCACCTTGATACCCAGGACACCCTGGCGCAGGAGGACGTGGCGGGTGGCGCTGTCGATGAACTCCTTGGCGGGCTGGCCGGAGTGGATCATGAAGCCGTCCTGGTGTGGTGGTTAGCCGATATTCTCTCCCAGAAACGGGTTTTCAAGGTGAAAATGAAGACGGGCGAATGGGGAGAGACATGAATGAATCTCCCGTCCCGATCATCCTGCTTGAATTGGTGTGTGCACGTACAGTGAACTTCATGGACTTGGCACGAGCAGCACGGAGCTTGCCCGACACAACAACCTCGCAACCCTTAGCACCGGACTCCATGATGAAACGGAGGACACCGTAGCAGGCACGGCGGACGGCGAGACCGTTCAGCAGCTTGTAGCGGAGGGACTCGCACTGAGCGACGGCGGACAGACCGCGGTTCTGGACCTTGGCGGCATAGAGGGAGACCGAGTTCTCGGGGAACTTGAAGCGCTTCTGGATGAGGGAGGTGAGCTCGCGAATGCGGCGGCCCTGCTCGCCCAGAACCTCCTGGGTGTGGGTGGCGCGGACGACTAGAAGGGGCGAGGGTCAGTATTTGAAGGTTGAATTTTTGAATGCGCCCGTAGAACTTGTTCCCCCCAAAAGCCACACACAAAACGCCAATATTTTCCTTCTCTTTTTTGTGCACCTGCACTCCTGACAGAAAGGATGAACGTACTGATATCGGTGACGGTGGGAGTCACACGGACTTCGACGCCCGAGTATCCCTCCTCAGCCAGCTCGCGCTGGAAGAACTCGTTCAGCTCGGCGTAGAAGACACCGTCGGCGACGAACTTCCGGCGCTTGGAAATAGCTCCCTGGACAGCGGCCATTTTTGCGGAATTCCTGGGTTGGTTGGGTGAGGAATTGGTGGGGGGTTGTCGACGGAGGGCGAGAGTTGAGCACACAAGTTTTGACGATTCTCAGTCAGTGGGGATTTTGGTCGCCGTTCGTTCTTGCCTGTTTGGGCTAGGGCTCAACCCTCGCTTGTCAAATTGGTACCTGAGGGATCGGGCGGTGAGGCAGTAAGGCATCAACGGTTCCGTTAGGGCTTCGTTCTTGGCATATGGAGATCGGTGCTTTCCTACTCTGGATTGGCCTTGCAAGCGCTAGATCTGCTCTCTTTGTTTCAAATAATTCGATTCAACAATCCTGAGGATTTTTCCCTAAGATCACAATTTGCATTCTATTGTGATTGTGTGAAAGCCTCTGCAGCCATCTCCAGGACCCTGGCTGTATTTGGATGGAATCACAACATGATAACCTATGGCCTGTCTTGTCTCAAACAATTCATACCATGGTCACTGGTACATGTAGTCTCAGGTACATAGGGGCCTTGGCGAACCTTGGAGGAAAGACTCTTTCGCGCTATTTCGAACAATGCAACGCCTATTCACCCTGAAAGCGCCGTGTACTAACATACATCTCGTCGTGAATATGTCCAGCCGCGTAACCAACCCGGAAAAAACCAGTCAATTCCCCGCGTCTACTGCATCTCCACGCCCAAATCCTCATTCCCTTTACCCGCCTCCTCCGACTCCGAGTCCTGCTTCTTTGGAAACGCCAGATTCGAAATCCCAGCGGTCACAGCCGCCATCCTCGTCGAGGCAGCGGCGGGAACAGTAGTCTTGTCCGGAACTCCCGTGCCGACGGAGTGGTTGGCGGTCTCGATGCCTGTCACGACCGGGGCACGTTTAGTAGCCAGGCTATCAGTGGGCCGGGGCCCGTTCATCTCGGAATCTTCGCGACCGAAGGCCTCAGCCCACCATCTGGTCTCGTTGACTCGAGGGAAAATAAGACGCTCCTTGCCGCGCTGGTGGTCGTCAATCACTGGATCATAGCGCGGGTTCGTAAACTGCTCACGCCGACAGAGAAAATAGTCCCATACGCTGCGGGTTCGCTCGCTCGCATTCGATTGGACACGTTCTTTTTCGTTGTTAAATAGGAACGTGCCGTACTGGCAGGCATAGAGCTGATAGAGCAATCGCTTGAGGAAACGCTCGTTGAATTCGAAGCGTGTCGGGTGTTGGTAGAGGAGCTGATATGTGGCATCCAGGAACTGATGAAACACCGGGCTAGTCTCCTTCGGCTTTGTGATCTCTTTCTCTACGACGGTGCTCCGAGGCGAGGAGCTGACCTTCCTAGCGGCAGGACTGTCGGAGTCGTAGCTTTGGAGCTCCCCATCGGAGTCGGCCAAGGAGTCGCGGCTGGTATTGTCCCGACCGAAGAAGCCCTTTGCGCTGAGGAATGCGTTCTCGAGGGCTTTGCCGGCACCGCCGCCTTCACCAAACGCACGGTTAGCCTCCCCGCCAATGCGTTCGTTTTCGATCTGAAACCATTTCTCGCTGTTCAGGTGGCCCGATCGGTGTCTAAACATGTGGCCAAACGAAAGCCAATCCTTCTCTACCAAGATCATGAACCCTTCAAACGTCCTATAGTACGGATCAAGACAGATTTGGCTCAAGGCACTCAGCTGACTGGTCCGATCCCAACCATCGGAGCAGTGAATCAAGACATGAGAGTGTTGCAGGCCGACCTGGCGAGTGATCAGTCCGGCTCCATCCAAGATGCCGGCAATGTGCTTCAACCAGCCGGATCGCGCAAGCTGGTCGCGATTGGGTCCTAAAGGCGTCACGTCGGTTTCCTTCAAGCAGTCCACCACCTTATTCAACGAATCTCGCATGACATGAATATTGTCGATCCCCAGATAGGCTTTGGTGGCAAATTTATAGTTGTCCATATTCTCGGAGCCCAGGCCCACGGCTTGCATGGCAAAGGCATTCACTGTAGGCCGCGCATCAACGATCAGGTTGCTCTGCTGCGCTCCATAAACCGAAGACGTTTCTTCCGAATCTCCGCGAGCAGCCGCAATCATATCGTCTTCTATCTCTTCCGCATTTGTCAATTCTGGGTCTATCGGGATCGTCTCCCCACTGCCCTGGCTGGAGTCCGACGCCTCTTTCTCCAGATGAGCCTGTGTGAAGCTCGCCAATGGTCTCTCTGAGCGAGAAGTCGAGAAAATAGCAGCTAGCAGCTTTTCATCCTGGATGCTGCGGTTCTGACGCACACCGACCAACGGCTGGGAGCTCCTTGTGATCGAGCAATTATTGACCGGGTGGAGGTATGTGAGGACTGGGATCCGAGTTCGGGATCGGTATCGTCCAGCGTAGTTGAGTGTGTTATCCGAGATAGACGAAGGCACGGGTAGGAGGGCCGGATAGGTTGGAGAGAACTGGAGATCACGCGTTCAGCAAAAGACCAGCACCTAAACACAGGACCAACCCACCTCGTAGTTCATATTTACTTCAGAGATGCGCCATCCCTGACCCTGGCCTTCCTTTCCGACACCTTGACGCATCCACTCCTTGCGCGGGTCATACAGCTGCCACCCGTTGAAGTCGGCTTCCGGCGGAACAGGAACGTAAGAGAAGGCGTAGAGCTTGTCCATGCGGCCCAACTTGCAAGTCCATTGCTTGATGCTATCAAACACATCGCGGGCCTTGTTCTCATTTGTAAAGTAGAAACAGCAGAAGTTGAAGTCTCGACACCGAAGGCGGATGGAAGAGGGCTGGCGGGACGCAGCAGGAGCGGGTCGCAGGGTGCAGAGGGCGATGATCGGGTAGGTGATCCAGAGCTCGCGGGGCTTTATGGGAACACCTTTGGCCTGGTCCTCGCTGGACACTGGGGGGAGGTACGAGAAGATAAGGTGGTGAGGAGTGAGATGGAGGGTGCCATCAACCTGCTCCCCATGCCGAGCCAAGGTCACATTGTCAACCTGAACAACAGAGAGCGAGGATCAGTTAGCGATCAGTCGGGTTGTTTGCTGAGAATCCACTCGCTACCGGAGCCTACCTTGGCCACCCGTGTTCTCTCCATGCCTCCGTGGATCACTGCGTGCACATGTGCTTCATTCTCGGTGGTGAAGGGGCAGGCGATAGGGATGGAATAGGTAAGATCGGAATCGTGAGCAGTGTGTGTATAAGGAGGTGCTAATTGATTCGAGGCTCGCTGTGAAGGAATGAGGGTATGTGGAGGAGGAAGGGACAACAAGTTGTCGTCGGTGTTGGTGGTTCGATCGGTGGGGCAGCGGGTTTGTGGAACCCCGACTTGGTGACAACGAAACTACTGGACGACACGATACTATACAGTTGTTAAATTAAATATAGCTACATGTTGTTATGGTACAAATTCTGGGAGTTCGTTCAAAAATGCTCCTCGTCCTCCTCCTCTGCTGGCTGGATCCGGTGGACTTCAAAGGCCATTTCACAGGCGGTGTTGTAGAACGAGTGGAAGTCCCGGTCAAGAGCCTCCTGGAGCGCATCATCCGCTTCGGATGTGGGCTGAGTTGGCGGGATCTTCATTTCCACGAAGAGGTCAGTTGCCTGCGCTGCAAGGAACGGTCCACCACCATAGAAGCGACCAGTTAACCGGCGGCCCTGGAATTCAAAGTGCTGAAGAGCAAGGCTTTGCACATCGTTGAATGGAGGAAGCATGTACTCGGCGGAGATGTGGTCCTCAAAGAGTGTGTCAGTGTCATGGCCTTCCTGACCAATCGTCTCCTCAGGGATCTTCGATTTAAGCAATTCACGCGGCAGCATGATATGGCAGAATGGTGGTAGCACCACCGATGTCTTGGTGGCCATAGGGTTGAAGATGCCCTGTAGCGACGTCTTGATGCTCTGCAACATTGCTTGGTGATTCAGAAAGCCATAAAGGTTCTCGGATCCCGATAGAAGGTCGCGATAGACATGACGAGTGAATCGAAGATCCAGGCCGTTTTCAGGAAGCAAATAGTCGACGCTATTGTTCATAAGGACGGCTTTCACACTCCGGATTTCGAGGTCGATTTCAGCCTTTTCCATATCCCCGGTAAGTTTGATATTCACATCAACTCCAATATCGAGTGGTGGCAAAGAACCGGCGTGCTTAGACGTCGGCATCAAATGAATCCGATACGGCTCGTCGCCTTGACCGAGACCGATGGGAGACAATGTGTTAAGAAAAGATGCAGCGCGGGGCACTGCAGCCGCAAAGGTGCGCGGAAGAGCCATTCGGCCGAGTTGCGAGGCATTGATGGACGCTTCGGTGAGGGAAGGAGTTTTGCGCATAAAAAGACATTTCCCAACAGCTGCGGTTACTGATTCATGGATCCTGGCACCGGGCGTCGTGGGCACTGAAGAAAGCCGAAGAAGTTTCAGCAACTCGTCAGACAATTGAGACTGGTGTTTATCAAAGAATGGGGTCGCAAGCTTCTCGGCCTCCATGGCTTGGGCGGAGGACAAGGCCCAACGAAACCATTGCTTCTGCCGATCGAACCACGACACATTGGCCTCGGGGTCGAAACTATAAGCGCTGGCCGGCTCTGAGGAGGGCAAGTAGGTGGAGAAAGGTATTAAAGTGGGTGCCATATCGGTGATCGCAAGGTTCAATGTTCTCCGAGCATTGTCTGCGCCCGATTTGTTCTCGGCCAGATAGATGATCTTTCTTGGGACGTTCAATTCGTGCTCCACAGCCACCTGGTAGGTCCGATTGACCCACTCCAGGAAGTCCTGTCTGAAGAGGTTGCCAGTTTCCGTCACAGCCGGACCCAAATCGACCTCTTCCTCGCGGATTCGGGTAGTGACATCCAGAATGATCTCGCGGATAAGCTCACAAGCGCTCTGCTTGCCAACCACTCTCACGAGACCCAGTGATTGCGTAACATCGATGCTGGCATCATGGAGATTGGCCAGGTCGTCGAAAGAGAAGTGCTCTGCATTCAAAAGCAAATAGATAAATGGGGGCGGCAAGCGAATGTCCACCTGGCCAATCTCGTTGATCGTGGACATCTGCCAGCAGTCCCGAAGGATACGCTCCGCCAAAAGGGCCTTCCCTTTCAGCTCCCTGGATGCCGCAATTCGATCGGAGGCGCGACCGCCAGTTCTTGTCTCGGTGCTGATGAACACCGAGGTCCCGGGCTTCCATGCACTGGCCCGCGCGTGTCGGGAATTGTCGTTACCTTCCGGGGCATGTTGCGCGTGTTCTGCGAGGTATTCCAGAAGTTGTTTCCGGGTAAAGGATGACGACAGGTTTAATCGAATGTCTTTCCAATCGGGAACTGACACCTTCTGACCAACGTCGAACAACCCGCGACAGCCCTCAATTCGTTCCCTGACGGCACCGTCGACAAGTGGAGAACCTTCTTCTTCCAAATCACCGAGTATAGAATGAAGCGTTGGTCTTTCCGTACCGTCATTCGCTGCCACCAGGGGAGGATCGCGCTGTCGCTTCTTGCGGCGGCTCCGTTGCGGCACTACCACAACCTCCTTGTGTTCTCCAAGCACCTCCGTATTGAGCGTAATGCGTTGACTTGGAGACGGTCGCTTCTCTCTTCGTCGGCGGAAGTTCACTCGGTGTTCGTAATGATCATTGTGGTAGTGTGGTTGATCGTCCGCACTCGAAGTGCTCTGAAGCCGAGTAAAGACATCATGCCCGCAAGACGTCCGCAGCAGCGACCAGGGACACAACCGGGACTGGAATTCCAGGAGCCCTGATGCGCTGGTCGGAGGACGTCGAAGCATCGGGGTATTCGGGATTTGCGCGGTCTTGGACAACAAGTCGAGGCAGATCGCTTTTCTTCTGCCGGAGATAAAAAAAGGCAGTGAATGCCTCAGGCAGCACCCGCGCAAGGCTAACCCAAAACAGTCATCTGGACTACAGCCTTTGAGCTTACCTTCTCCGACTCTCCATGCCCGGGGATTTGAAGCCGGACATTTCCACTTTTGGCTATGGCCGAGCCCTTGAGAAGGTATATAAAAAGGGTCATGGAGGAAGGATATGGGTTATTTCACTAAAGCTCCTGTCTCAATAATCGTGTCCCGGAATCTCCAATTCATACATACGCAATGTCGAAACCAAACTCTCCTCCCGCCCGGAAGTGGGCTTTTGTAAGTCTACCGAGATAACTCATATACATTAACAATATGCCCATTCTCATAACTCAACAGGACGGCCGCGAAGTCGACCTGCTTCACTACATCTTCTCCCGCCCCGATATCAAGCAGTTGCGCGGGAACCCTGAAAAGGTCCTGGCTGCCATTGATGATTACTGCCAGAAGTTCAATCTGCTTATGAACGTGGGCCCAACGAAAGGCCCGTTCGTCACCAATCTCATCGCCGAGCGCAAGCCGTCAATCATGATCGAGCTAGGCGGATATATTGGCTACTCGGCCATTCTTTTTGCTGCAGCCGTGCGCGCAAATGGAGGGAAGCGATTCTTGAGCCTTGAGAACAACCCCGAAATGGCGGCTGTCGCGAATCAACTGGTCGAGTTGGCGGGTCTGCGCGATACTGTGCAGATCCTGGTCGGCTCAAGCAGTGACTTGCTGATGGAGATTATTTCAGAACAGAAGGACATTCAGCGCGTGGAGATGCTGTTCCTGGACCACTGGCAGGATCTTTACTTGCCGGATCTATGGCTGCTGGAGCAGTTGGATGTCTTGGTCCCAGGGACCTCGGTCTTGCTCGCGGATAATGTGATTATGCCCGGGGCGCCGAAGTATCTGGAGTGGGTGAAGGCGACTCCCGCGCAGAAGAAGGAATTGGTGAAGAAACTGGGCACAGGATCTCCGGTGCCCAAGCCGGAACTGGTGTACGACACGACAGTGCACGAGTTTGAGGCTGAGTTTGGCAAGGTATGTCTTCACATGAAGTTCTGGTGGGCAAGATGGATTGCTAATAAGTGGATTATAGGATGGCATTGCAGTTACCGAGATCAAGGCATAAGAGTCTGTCTAGTGTACTACCTGGCCCCTTCTGTTGTTGTAACTTTGCGAAGATAGCTTGGGAACCATATAATCATCGACTTTGAAAACATTTGCACCTTTTAATTCCACATCCACACCGTTGAATTACAGTATTTGTAGGCGTGTATCACTCAGCGAGTAGCTACTCTTTCGCTGCGACTTGCCAACTCCGCAAATCCTCCCGCACATCAAACTCAGACAGCTCATTATTCGAGTTCCGAATTCTCCATCCGCGTCCCTTCGCGCCATCATAAATCTGCTGCTCAATACTGCCCCCTTTCTGCCCATGGCCGAGTGCGGAAAGGGAATCGGGAGACCTGCTGCTGTTGTGGGAATGATTGCTGGAACTTTTGGGGCGTTTCTCGAAACTTAAACTGGGTGACAATCTCTTGCCCGAGCGAGTCTGCCGATCAGCGGTCTCGGTTGTCAGGAAAGAGTCTGCGTGGTCATCTTCGGCCGCAGCTCCGCGGTTGGTGTTGTGAGCTTTGTTGTTCCAGCAAGAACTGCCAGCAAATAACTCTTCAACCAGTTTGTCCGCCGGCAGATCGCCAGCTCGAGAGGTCCATGATGCTGCTAACGTGCGTCGATACATGTCTTGCATATCAGCTACTTCGCGGCTTTGTACATTGATGGATGGCAACTGGCCCAATTCGTCGTGGTCGACCGGTTCCGAGGAGTGGACGACACCGGCAATACCGCCAAAGACGGTGGCAGATTTCAACGCAGGGCTATCAACGGTCAGCGCAGTCGGTATTTCTAGCACCTGTGCACATACGTAGTGAAGTTGCGATCGCCTTCCACTTGACGCATCGCTATCCCAATCTTGAGAGTACTGTTGACCTTGCTTTCGAACATCAAGTACCGACGCACAACGCCCTCATCGTCTTCACCCTTGTCCACATACTCAGCGAGATTGAGCTTGATCTTGCCCAGCGGGTTCTTATCGGCGTTGGAGAATTCCTGAAAGACCTCAAAGAACACATCGCACTCCTGAAGGATGGACGTTCGGTCAATGGTAAGGCGCACTTGCAGTGCTTTTTCGTAGTTCCAGTAGGCTTGGTGGTCGAGAAGAGTCGCTTTCTCTGTAGTTCCATGGTGCTCGGTTGCGCTGGATGATGGGAGGCGCCACCGTACGAAGACGACGCCCTTGCTCAGAGGGACATTGTTGATATCGATGATCTGAGAGTTGTATTAGTATGATCAACGCATTGAAAGAGCCAATTTTCAGCTCTCACCCTCAGAACAAGGTCAAATCGAGGCTAGAGTAAGATCACATGGTTTAGTCACTGATGATGCTTCATCCGGGAGCTCCGTGGACTGGCTTACCCTCCTGTTCTTGGGAACTGTGAGCACAGCAAGTATCAGCATATTGCGAAAGAATAGTTCATCTTTTGCTTAAGAAACAAATGCACGAGGTGTACTTTACAACGTACCAAATGCTTGCATGGTGGCTGAATCAAGTGGCCATGTATGGATGGGTCAAGCAGTTTCACTGTGCCATTCACGACTTCAAGTGGACTCTGGTCCCTAGGACCTGCCTAAGGGGTCTGTCTGGTCTTGCGACTGGGATCAAGAGACAAGTGACATCAGTCCTGGATGGTGTCGTGGAGCTCTGCCCGTGCGATCCCGATAAGCTCAGCGGGCGGTGAGCCCCACAAGGGAAGAACACCAGAACCCAAGCTCTTTCTTCGTCTTCCCACGACTACCATTCCGGATACCCTTCATAACACAAACAACCATAATGAATAAACAAGAGCCATCACTTCCCTCTCCGCCATCTGAGGCAGTCTCGGCTGTGCCCCTCGACTCATCCATTCGCACGACTTCAATTCACCCCGACCTCTCCGAGATCCGCGTGCCAGGGGAGCCGTTGCCCTCATACCGCTACAATCCAGTGACATGCCAGCCTCTCGATGAGGCGGAAATTCGCCTTCAGCTCGAGCGACTGCGCCGCGAGCATCCATCACAAGAAGCAGCCCTGAGGGCGCAGGAGCAAGCCGCGAAAGAAGCAAAGCAAAGAATCGAGAGTGCCGAGCGAAAGCGCGAACAAATTCAAAAGGCCATGGACAAGAAGATCAAGGAACGCAATACCGAGATGAAGGTTCTTTCCAAGTATCAGGAGGTCAAGGCTTCTGATATTCCGTCGTGAAAAACGCAACTCCACCCACAGCAATAATTTCGAAGTGCAGAGAATGAATCGCAGACCACCCAACCAGTGTTACAACCCTTCAGAATTGCTGAGCGGCTACAATACTTTGTTAGGAGTACCATGTCTGTTCGGGCCTCATGTACGAAGTCGCTGCACGCCATTGACTGGAACCCGCCAAACGGTGTCTATCTTGCCCCCCTGAGATTTCCTCCAGCCACTCTTTCAACCTGGAGATTTATCTCATTATCCAATTCACAGGATATTATTGATGCCAAGTTGCGTGAATCGCTTCTGTATCATCAACTGCAAGCTCGAAATCATCCTCTCTCCTGCCTCGGAGATTTGGCTCAGCATCCACTCTTATGCGATCAGCTCATCCTATGAAAAAAGGAATGTCGAGATGGTGCCGCCCACTAGGGTCTTCGTGCACTCCGAATCAAATTATCGCATGGTTTCTCCTGTTTAAGGCTGAAGTTGGATAGCACCACACGCAGCTCTAGCTTGCAACCTCAGCAGCTTTGGGAACTTTTTTCCTCGGCATGTATTTTTCGATTTACACTGATAAAAAGAGAATCCCTTGACATGCTCTAATCATTCACTCTTAACTACTCCATTCAAATAGCATGGCCAGCATGCGATCCCTTAGGTTGTGGGATTGAGGCCAGAAGTACAGCCGGCAGTCGTCGAGCAATCAGAAGCAGATGTACAATCGACGCCAGTATAGCACCACTGCGACCCATCTGAGCTTCCAGCAAAATTCCCACTCTCCACAAGCAGCAGTTTCGTTGAGGCTGCATCGTTTCGCTATCAGGCCCCTCTCAAACATGGCTGCAGAGAGGACGGTGGTGGCTTGGAGAGCACAGGCGAGGAGACCGACGTGAAACTTCCTTGTTGCGGATGGAAATGAATTCTGCGGGATAATATCAATCCATTAGCAAAGAGATCTATCGCAAGAATAGTAGGGTGACAGTCCGATTGTGCATTGGTTTGGCCGACTGGTGGCTTGATGCGGTTATAGATTCCCGGTTTAGGTCCTGACACTCTGAAGGGGTTGTTTGGACTCGGTAGCTTTGAGGAATGCTTCTGGAGATAGACCTCAAGGACCTTCCTCCAGCTTTATGTGTCCTATATTTTTACTTACCAACCAGTGGCTATGTAGAGAACTGCATCCTTCCCCTTTGCCACCATTGGGGCGTGAGGATGCGGGAACAACCATTTATGAGACGGGTCTGAAAGATTGAGATCCTTCAAGTCAAAACTTATTTGCACAGAAGTCTTGAGGAAGTGGCCCCTGAGGGCCCTGCTGGGGGGCGATTTTCTTGCCAGGGGCGAGTACTCAGACTCCTATTCTTATTGGAAAACGTGTGTTTTGTAGAGGAGGAGAGGTCAAGACGTGCGCCCCGTATGAGCGATAAGAACTTCACAATTTAAGCATTCAACGATGGGCGGTGGCTGCAGCTTACAGTCCTTGGCTTAAGAGGGATTTCGGACCCCCAATAGCCTGAAACTAGAAGGAGCTTTGATGATTAGATATTAGGTATCCGCCACAGATCTTCAGGGTCCTGTTCTGTTTTTCACAGCCTCATCCTATCTTTCACGGCCTTGTTCTATTTTCCAAAGCCTTACTTCGTCTCTCCAGCATCAGACGAAGAATTCCAGAACTCATCACGCTCAGAGGCATTTAACTCCTAAAAAATATTACCAGCAGAAAAAATAATCTCAAATGATTTTAGACCACCTCCAATTTGACGGGCATCCCTGACCAACGTTACTATTGTTGGTAGAGTCGCCACGATCCGCCCCCACTGTCGGACGCTATACAAGGTGACAGCAGATGACAGTCTGCAAAAATTGGACCCTGGATGCCAGATCTCTGCTGATTCACATATCGTAAAGCTTCCCCCAACATCAATCTTCACGTTCTCGCCGGGGCCGAGGTCGAATGGGACGATGAAGTCAAAAGACTTCGCTTATACCATTCCGACCCCCTCACGCATGCTATAGACGGGCAAATAGATTAAATTGAGACATCTCGGGAGATCCCTTCATATATATTAAGACTATCCGTTCATGTGAAGAAGATTCTCCGAGGTCTTCTTGTGCTGCTATAGATCTCAACATGGTCATGTGATCCAGAAACCCCTGATTGGGCAAGGGATTTGTTTTCCTCCTGTCTGCCCAAGGAGGAAGGATCTTCCAATGCCGTCTGTGCATCAAGGCCGCTGCTCTCGGAGGATTTTCGGATAAACGCCAATGCCTGTCTGCAAATCCCTCCAGACTACGGAGGCCTCCGTACATACTCGCGCGGACGTCAGCCTCATTTCCCTTTTTATGTTCTTCCAAGTCATAGTTTCCCCTTTTCCCCTGCTTTTTTTAGTGGCGTCATGGCGTCACTATTGAACGAACTATTCTCAAGAAGGGACAGAATAGCCGAACACACCGACCCTTTCCCGTGACCACAGCGAATGTGGTGCATCGCTTCAAGAATGTGGATATTATCCACTTCCAAGGTCGCAGGGGTGGGGGGTTGACCAACACCTGCCAAGCGGGTACGATGATGTACGAAAGGGAACCTTCGGCCTCACCTTCCGAGACAATAAGTTGTGATCGGCGTGATCCAGTCGCACTGTCTTCGGAGATGGGCACGCAAACTTTCCACTAACGCTCTAGCGGGGATTAAGCCCGGGCTACTAGTCTCCCGGACCACGTATGTACGCGAATGATGTACAACCAAGAAATGGTAGACTCGATCGACCACCTACACAGGATTTCTGCCAATGAAAGTCGACTATCCCCAACCGTGATATCAATTCTAAAATATTGGATCCCGGGGACCCCGGGGGAAAAGCGCTCAGAGTTGGGGGAATGCGGTGATTTATTGCGGAGTCACTTTCCTGGGGAGGTTTTCCCCGAATGAGGACCTCTCCGTTCCTTGACAAGGATTACAGTCACGAGCCCGCAGTTCTGGAGCCTCTGATATCAACGGCTGGAGAAAAAAAGGCGCGCTATACTGGAACACGGCTGCAGCACCCCGCCTGTGGCCCACTCATGGTGTTGTCCCGTTGGCTGGTCTATCACAGTCTGGACGCCAACCTTGGCTCCGCTCTCTGTGGTGTGGAGCCGGTCCAAGCCCCAGATATCCAACCCTAGCACATTTGCGTCCGCATACACCCCAGATCGAGGTCATCATCGAATTGAACCATGGCCCAATTCACGAACAGTAAACATGTGCCTGCGCTTCCCGTGCCGAGGGAGGCGATTTCCGTGGCTTGCTCTGACTCGAGCTAGTTTTGACCCATGGATGGTTCTCAGGCACAGGGTAACTCTGGGGTCCGGGGAACTGCATCACAGCTAGCATAATGGTCTAATTTCTTATCACATGGCAGGAACCGAGCCTTTTTTCCTCGGTACGAACTAGCTTTTGAGAGTTAATGCGGTTGGGTAATTTCCGCCGCACAGCACATATATCGTCAATGGCGCACCCGAGCTACTCAGCTCGCTCGCTTTTATTTTGGTGTCCCATCCTGCCCCCGGCCTCCAGTTCTCTTACTCCAGGACAGGATCGAGGAACCGAAATCGGTCAAATTGTCTCCGGGCAAACCAAGGTGCACGACAACAGAGCCAGCTCCGCGCATTAAACCAACACCATGCGTTTCTTTCCGGTTATCACTACTGCCCTCCTGGTCGCGACCGGAGTGAATGGCGCACCTCCTACGTCTTCTGCAGCTCCGATTGTTGCGAATCAAGACAATGCTCCCGCCCCCGCTGCCACCAATGCTGAGACAGATGTAGCGAATGCCGCTGCTGCTGCCGCAGCCGCCGCCGCTACCACTACATCTAAGCGCGAAGGCGTGCAGGTGGCGGATACAAATACCGACCAGAACACAGCCACAAAACAAAGTAATAATGCCGCTGCAGCCGGCGCCAATTCTGTAACTGTGTCGATTCCCTCGGTCCCGGAGAATACTCCAGCTTCGACGACGACAAGTAAGGCTGCCGCCTCAGCCCCAACTTCCGGTACTTCATCCGGTTCGAGCTCTTCTTCGTCAACCAGCTCCGACTCTATTGGTGCCGATATCTCCTCCGCCCTAGGCAACCTGCTCGGTCTCGGATCAGGATCAGGTGATAGTGATCCTCTCGGCGGTCTCGGAGAACTTCTGCAGGGTCTGGAGAACCTGTTAAATCCTGATTTCCTGGCGGAGCTCACAGACACCTTCAAATATCTTTCTACTGCGTTGGCTCCTCCCGTCGACACAACTCTGCGTACTCTCGTCGCCAATGCCAACGAGTTGTTGACAACCTCGTTTATCCAAAAAACAGAGACTCTCATCGATAATGCCAACAATTTGTTGACGGCCTCGTTTGTCCAAAAGACAGAGACCCTTATCGACAATGCCAACAATCTGCTCACCTCCTCGTTCATATCTAAGACGGAGACTCTGATTGACAACGCCAATCTCTTGCTTACGAAGGGATTCGTGACCAAGACCGACAATTTGATCGACAATGCCAGCAGTCTGCTCACTACGTCGGTTGTCAATGACCTCAAGTCTTTGCTCGGTCAACTCACTCCTCTGCTACCCGAGCTCAAGGGGCTTCTCACCCCTGCAACGATCAAGACTTTGGAGAGCCTTTTGACGAACGCCGGCAGCCTGCTGACAGCTCAATTTGTCAAAGAGACCGACCATTTGGTCACTGAGGCCAACTCTCTGTTGAGCGCGAATGTTGTTCAGGATCTGAAGGATCTGTTGAACCAGGTTGCTCCTCTGCTGCCCGAACTCAAGTCCCTCCTGAAGCCGGCAACTCTTAAGGAATTGCAGAATCTGTTGACGAACGCCAGTAACTTGTTGACGCCAGACAGCGTTAATATGATCAGCAACCTCCTGTCCAATGCCAACAGCCTGCTGACACCTTCATTGGTGAAGGGCCTGAAGGGTCTCCTCGGTGATGTCGAGCCTCTGCTTCCCGAACTCAAGACGCTGCTCAAGCCGGCGACGATTTCTGCCATCAGCAACCTCTTGACCAATGCCAACAGCTTGCTTTCGACCGCCAATGTACATGAGATCGAGAGCTTGCTCTCCAACGCTGGCGGTCTCCTGACAGCTTCGAACACGAAGGAAATCGAGAACTTGCTCTCGAACGCCAACGGCTTGCTTACGCCTTCCTTCATCAAGGAGACAAGTAGCCTCATCAGCGATGCTAGCGGCCTTCTTACACCTGCCCTGGTCAAGGGCTTGAAACAGATCCTGGCAGACGTGATCCCCTTGCTGCCTGAGCTGAAGTCGTTGCTTACGCCAGGAACGATTTCTGGCATTGCAAGCCTCTTGACAAACGCCAACTCTTTGTTGACCAAGTCTAATGTCAAGGAGATCGAGTCTTTGCTGTCCAATGCTGCTGGTCTGCTTAATGATGTGCTGCCGGTCATGCCCCAGCTGAAGAAATCGGTGCTCCGGCCAGCTGTCATTGAGGATCTTGGATATTTGGTAACCAATGCCACCGATCTACTCAAGCCCAAGTTCGTCAACGAAACGCGTGGCCTCATTGGTGATGTTGCACCATACATCACGCCTGGCCTTTTGCTTCAGGTGGGCGATTTGTTGGGCAACGCCAACGAGCTGTTGACGCAGAAATTCGTCAACGAGACATCCACCCTCATCGAGGACGTTTCTGACGTAAGTCTCCTTTTCTATTAACTATCTGATAAATATTTGCTGACTCTGCTTTACAGTTGCTGCCGGTACTCATGAAGCTGTTGGGTGATATGTGAGGTTGAGTTTTGAACGTGCTCTCAACCTGTTACGATTCATAAGGATTTATGTATCTTTTATGTCGTCGTGGATGTTCTTACGAATACGACTTTAATGTGCTTGGATGATAATCTATGAAAGTCCTATATTTGAGACCGTATACTCTCGTTGTAGCGTAGTATAAGAAAAAGGTAGAACTTCCTGGCTCCCACATAACAACATGGCTGAACTGGAGGAATGTTAGGGCGCTTTGACTGAGGACGTCATTGCATGAGAAGCAGGAATAATAGCTGACTGTTGCATTATCTATCATGAGTGAGTCCCCTGAAAATCCATCTGATCAACGAGGAACCTTAATGTATTATGAGAGACTGATCGTGATAAATAAGGATGATCGCGACAAGTAAGGATTAAGGCCGTGGGTTATTACTTTGCCTCTCAGTTTAAAATAGATTGTCTTCATTGTCATTGCGTTGATGAATGACCACAACAGTCGTGCCTTCCTTCTATATCAAATTCAATATTTGTTGTCCCTCTGAAAGGTTTAGTGTAATGAAAACTTCCATCAGTCCCCGTCCAATCAATGCCAAGACAATGCTTACTGTTGGACCGGAGTTACGGCCAATTTAATGCACCGAAATCCGTTTTAACCTCCCACCCTTCAATAATCCAGTTCCAAACTCCGTCGCACTTCAAACTTGCCGAACTCCTTGTGCCGCTGATCTATGTCTTTGAGTGTACTTACTACTGTTCAACTCTCAGGTTCCCCTTTTCCCCTTCACTCAGTGCCGCACCGTTAACTCCGAATCCCAACGGAGTTTTCATACTATGGAGTCTAGCAGACTCGACACCGGATTTCCTGCACCTTACGGTCGGGCATGCGTAAACTGCTCCCGAGCAAAGTGCAAATGCATACTTCTCGCCAGTGGTACTGATTGCGAAAGGTCAGTGGTTTGCTGCCCTCGAATCGCATGTGCAAATTCGCTTCGTTTCGCCACCATAGAAGAAAATATGTTTCTTAATTCATAAATTAACTTGTTTAGATGCCACCGCCTGAATAAGGAATGCCGGCCATCGCAGCCAGTCCGAAAGCGCACTAGCAGGCGCTCCGAGGCTTCTAGAACTGCACAACTCGAAGCCAAGCTTGACAGCCTTGTTTCTATGCTTCAATCGGGTGATGTTAAATCCAAATCCGCGGCGAATCTGCACACTGGAAATTCCAGAGATGCGTCCTTGTCAGATGAGGCCAGAAGCTCGGCGCACGGCTTCTCTCCCCTCCATGGAGAGCAGGGAATTCTCTCTCCGTCAACAACAGAATCAACATATGCTCAACCATCCCCATTGGGGAATTTGACTTCATTAATTTCTCCGGCAGAGGAGGAGCAAGTCTTTAATGATTTCCGCACGAAGAGCATGGAATACCTTCCCATAGCTTACATTCCTCCCCACGTTACCTCATCTCAATTTCGCCAAGAAAAGCCATTTTTCTGGTTTTGTATAATGGCAGTATCAGCAAAAAACCTCGAGCGGCGTGATGCGCTTCTGAACAAAGTGAACTTCTTTATTTACCAAAAGATCCTTCTTGGCGTTGAGTCAACCTTGGATTTGCTTCTTGGTTTAATGACCTATACCTCGTGGTAAGTATAATCTAAAAAGGCACTCGGCTTACAATCATTATTCTAACAATGATCGCCAGGACCATATTGTCGAAAAAGCCGTTTATGAATTTTGTGGGCCACATGATCATGGGGCTAGTATGCGAACTTGGAATCAACAAAGATGTTCCAAAGGAGCAATCAGCATTGCATACCTTCAAGAGCTCTATCGGTTGGAAGGTTCCAACACCTGCCCTTCGAACTATGGAGGAGCGTAGGGCTGTGCTCGGTGCCTTTCTAATAACGTCAAGGTATGGGGCAAATTAACTGTCCATATATCAATTGCGAGCCAAGCTAACATTTTCTCATAGTATTGCAGTGGCTATGCTGAAGATAGACGCTCTTCGGTGGACACCACATATGGAAGAGAGTCTATTTCTGTTACAGCAGGAGAAAGAAAGCCCGCAGGATGAGCTTCTGGTCACTCTCGTACGAATACAACTGGTGGCTGATAAGGCTTATAATCTGCAACGTGATGAGGAGAGGAATTCTGCTCCGACAGCCTTCTATGTCAAGAGTCTCCAGTCGCAGTTGAACGCGGTAAAGCAGCAGATTCCGCCCCATCTACAACAACACCGTGGGTTTCCCAGTATCCTTAGCAGCGCTCTCATTACTAATGACTTGTCCAGTAAACGTTCTTTTGTATCTTTCTCACTCGGAGATTATAATCAATGAGGCATCCATCTCCAAGTTTCCGGTTCTCTCGAATGGCCCAGATCTACATCGCATGGAAAGCCTCTATACTTGTCTCCGGGCAGCCCAAACCTGGATAGACGTCTGGCTCAGTCTGCCGCCTGAGGACTACATATCGTGCTCATTTTTAATGTTCTTCCAGTTCTCCCGCGCCTTGGTCAACTTATACAGAATCTCCACTTTGGAGGATCCTGCATGGGACAAGCGCACAATACGGGAAACTGCAAACCTGTTGGAAATTATCGATCGCCTAGTTGAACAGACTCAAAAGGCTGCGCACCACCTTTGCCCGAATACGCCTAGTCAGGATTATGGAATGACTTTGTTTGGTAGAGGAGTCAGAATGGTTCAATCTTTGAAACAAGCCTGGGAGGCAAAGCTAACAGAAGAAAACCCGAGGCCCCCAGAAATACCGGTCAGCGTCTGTGTGAACGACACTGAGATTGGACCAGCTGATTCTAATCTGCCGGATATCTTACCGTTGGACGTGTTCGACGATGCTTGGATGATGGAGTTTTTGGCTGCGATGTGAGATTTTATTGGATTTAATGTCACAGAGCCGAAGCGAATTTAAATGCAGAGGGTTACGAGATGGGCCGTTGTTTTGGTACGCCGCAAATGGCTGTCAATACAATTAAGATTTGCCTAATCTGTTTTAGTTTTTGTATAATAGTCATAATGGGAATTGAGATGATGGTAATTTGAGTGGTTTATTTTCCCTTCTTAGGGATTGTTTTGTAAAGTTGATTCTTCGGGCAGGCTTGGGTTCATTTAGTTTGTCTTCCTTGATATGTCTTCTAAATTCTGACTTGTCTTGAAATCCTTTGCCAAGCTATATTTAGAGAGCTGCTCTAAATATATTTCCTTTCTGTTGCTGAGCTGAGTCATACGACTAATTATTTGAGACGCAGTGAGGCCACCAATGTCACCGTGCAGTTGTCGTCGTGTGGGGGGCTTTTGCTTTTCTCCGTCACCGCAGGTTACCTCCGCTAGTGCAAGTCTAGGCGACGTAGTGTGCCCACATTATTCGCTCGCAAGGCTAGTCTGCCAAATGATTTCAGGCCCGAATCTGAAGACATCATGTAGGTGAGACCTAGTTTTTCGCGACGGGAGATGCCTAACCATGATGGTATGTCTCGGATTATTCTACCGGTGAACTCCTCTGAGCACCAAAAAAAGCACGATGCCCAGTTCGGAGCGATCTGCACCCTCTAAGATCAAGGCGGATGGAGATTTTTCATCTTGATGGCGTCGCAAATCGAGACACAGAGGCGCTTTTGGCATGTGCTGTATCGACTTTGTTTCAAAGCCCCGGTAGTGTTTGTAGCGAATAAGCTCTGCTCGTGCTTTATGGTGATGATATCAGTGAACCTCATGGCTACCCCAGGCCTAAGTGACAAATCAAATCGCGGGACAAGGTCGCCGATTACCCGAGGACTTCTGACTTCCGCCGCCGCTTTTGAGTTCACGTTGCTTCATAGGGATGTCTTACCTTCCCGATTGGGGGATCGCGCTGTGAGCAGTGATCATCAGCGGACACAGCCCCAGCTGCAAGGAAACCTGTTGGAAGCGCTCAGCAGCGAAGAAATAATTGAACCAGAAGCTGAATTCCAGAACTATAAGAAGAGACTCCTTCCTCGCCTAGATTTTATCCTGCTCATAATAAATCTACTTTCTCAAGAAGCAATCCTCGTATTCGTTTCCAGTTCAATACTCGCAGCCACCAAGATGCGTTTCCTCGCAGCCCTCGCTTTGCTTACCACCGCCGGCCTGACTCAGGCTGCCAGCTTCAAGCTGAAGACTACCGGTGCTGCCAACAAGGCTCACAATAACCTCTATGTCTACACTTACCACACCGGTGCCGGATTTAATGATGCTGTTCTTGACAATGACGAGAGCGGCGCCCCCTCGATTCATCTGAATGAGACGAGAGTGAGCTTTGAGCTCGGTACTCACACCCCGTGGGATATGGATGTTGGTGGAGACACCAACTACGCCTGTAGGTCTTTCTCTATCATTGATCGTTGTCAAGAAACGATATAACTGACATGATATGTGAATAGCGTGGGAGGCTGTGACTGTCAACGCCGGTGTGGGCAGTACGGGTTTCTCGATCAACGAGAATGGCCTTGTTTGGTCGGAGAAGGAGGGCTTTGGCGGTTGGCTTGGTGAGTGTATATTCTTTTCTGCCTGAACACTGTGGCTAATGTCTTTGATTTTCAGTCTGTGAGTGGTTTCACAACGGACCACAGCTCTTCTGGATCAACCGCTTTTACAGTTACACGGTCCCTTGCAGCTGCAGCAAGGTTAAGCTTGATCCTGTCTATGCGGCTTAAAGTATTGATGTTTACAATGACATGTGAATGGATATCTTCCGCCTAATTTTCAATGATCTAATTTCATTACCCTGTGTGGAATAGCCTCACTTCTTCCCTATTTTATCAAATTTAATATATTGCTACATACTGATTTTCCATGACAACTTATACTTTGGCCTCGTCAATTAAATGGGTCTTTCATTTCTATATTTTATAATTCTAAAGACCAGAACTTGCCAATGATAGCGCTAGCTTGCTCTGAACATGTAACCGGGAGTTCATGGCCACAGTTAAGCACCTCAAATCTCACATTCTCCTCCCCAAGCACAGCAATAGCATCCTCTCGCAGATCATCGGCAAGAATAATCGGGTCGGTTTCACCAGCCAAGATCAAAACCTTGGGTTTCTGACCGGCTGTTGGAATATGACGCCACATCTCCTGCTGTGCAACATTGGGTGCATGGCGAATCGACGATATAAACGAAGGGACAAACCCCGGATGCGTCATGAGCTGCCAATTCACGGCTCCCGCGACGCTGACGTGCGGGTATGCTTCAATCAATGGGCCATCATCTGAGGCGTTTTCCTTGGGAAGTTCTTCGGATGGCGCATTCAGGATATTGAAGGAAATTCCAGACTTGGAGTTCTGCGCCTGGTAATTGGTTCCGGTTGTAGCTTTACCACCTCCCAGGCTACGCTTTACGAACCATTTGAGCAGCGCTTCTGGGAAAAATGGTGTCGAGTACATGAGTCTCATTGTCCACCCGCGTCGTTCGGGTCGGATCAGGCCGGCGGGTGTCAGTAAGGTCACGCTGCGAATCATATGAGGAAAATTTGCGGCAAAGTTCGATGCGATACCACCGCCGAGTGAATATCCCATGATGTCAAATCCGTGGGCCGGTCCTCCAGAACCGGTCCAAGAGACCGGAGAAGAGGTCAGGGCGAGAAGGATCTGAGAGGTGTATAGTCGCGCGTCATAGGGAAGGTCACCCGGGGCATCAGAATACCCACGACCCCACAGATCCATGAGGAGTACACGGCAACCATGTTCGTTGACAAGTCTCTGGGCCAATGGATACAAAGCCAGTGAAGGAGTCGAGATACCGTGGACTAGGAGAACAAAGCGTCCATTGGTAGGGCCCCTAAAGGTAAATTCGCAGGTAAGCTGTAAGTTTGAGGACCAGATGTTAAGGTAAATCTTATCAGATCAACAGTAGATTTCAGAGAAGTATACCATCCGAAAGCATCTATTAAGAATATTTGACAAAACTTATGTCCTTGACGGATTGCATCATGTAACCTACCATTCATAACATCGGAATGTTCCGTACGGACTATTTACGTCTCGGGCTCCCGGTAAGGCATCGGGTGGATATGGCAATCCGGCCTTATCCGAGTCTGTGAGGCTCGGCAACACCGTCTTCAGTGGCGAAGGGATAAGTTTGGGTGGGCTGCTGCGTGTGGATAGATGGCCCAAAAGAAGGACTGCGAGTCCCGCTGTCAGAGGGAGAGTATAGGTTGGCTGAAGTAAATTGGAGACCATGGCGAGAATGGACCTGTAAGAGTGAAAAAGGTCAAGGGAGAGAGTACAATGATTTGGGCTCTGAGTAATTTAAGTACGGCAAGCGGTCCACTATTATTTCGCTACCCTCAACCAAACTAACGTTACCGAAGTCCTGGTGGGCTTTTCCTTATCAGTTACCGCCGTTGGAATTAATCGGTGCTAGAGTATCCCCCGCATACGTAGTAGGCGTACAGAGTGGTGCGGTTCATTACATACAAGATTGGTTACAATTGGCTGTCTTTGGCCCCGATCTAGCCGTAATCTTCCTTTGCCCTGAAACATTCCCTCTTTTGGGAGTTTTGTCCCCGTTGTGCTCTAGCAAAGTTTCGGGTGAGAACTCCATAGAACGCCAAGTACCTCGGCTAATATTTCATCCTAAAAGAACGGCCGCAGGAAGGAAACCACTGCCTTTTATGGGAGCATATATGTATTCAGATCGATCTTCTATGTAATCCCAGACATGTCTTCTCTGATTTCTTCTGCACTTATGTCACGATTTCTGTATTTTCGTAACGGGAGTCTGTGCCCTAATAGATTGCCTCTTTGGGACGCTAGCCGCATACAGCTCCCATACGCGACATTGCGGGGAGGGAAATTCGAAGCAAATTTTTCGGTCGGATCGTCCCCCTGGAAAACAGGATAAATACCCCCGGTTCGCGACGGACTTTTTTTCGGCACATGCCGCGTCTGTTTCACAAATAACTCATCCGACTGATACTTTCTTTGTCTGCACTACTCAAGCAGCTAGCCCGAAGGGCTACCACCAACATCTCTTGCAGCCAAACAAACTCGGGCCACCATGGACGGAAAACACGGCCCGGAGCCGACCGATGACCAGACGCTGGCCCGGCTGGGCAAGAAACAGGTCCTGAAGCGACGATTCGGAGTCGTCTCGATCTTCGGGTTCGCCATCGCTGAGCTCATTACATGGGAAACCGTACTTGTCCTGTTCGAGCAATCCTATGAGAACGGCGGTCCCAGCGGCGCGTTCTACGGCTACATCATCGCCTCAGTCTCCACATTATCGGTCTATATAGTCATCTCGGAGCTGGCATCCATGGCGCCAATTGCTGGCGGCCAGTATTACTGGGTCTACATGATGGCTCCCCTACGTTGGAAGAAAATCTCAAGCTACCTCATCGGGTGGCTGACCTCCCTGGCCTGGATCGCAACTATCGCAACCGAGTCCATTTTCCTCGGTACGATCATCGAAGGCTTAATCAAGCTGGAACAGCCTAGCTTTGAAGTGCAGCGATGGCACAACACACTATGGTCTTGGGCCATGGTGGCAATTGCCATCTTTATCAACATCATCATCCCCAATACGTTGCCCAAGTTTGAAATCATCATCCTGGTCCTACACATGCTTGGCTTCGTTGCCATCACGGCTGCACTTCTTGCGCTATCACCGAAAGCTTCCCCTGAATTCGTGTTCCACACGGTGTCAAATGGCGGTAACTGGCCCAGTCAAGGCATTTCCTACTGCATTGGGTTCATTGGGAATGTCGCTACCTTTGTCGGTGCCGACGCAAGCATTCACATGGCGGAGGAAATCGAAAACGCAGCAATCAACCTTCCCCGCGCCATCGTCGGTGGCATGAGTATGAACAGTCTCCTCGGATTCTCCATGATGCTCACCATTCTCTTCTGTCTGGGGCCCGACCCGAAGACGGTGAATTCGATTTTGGGATCAGATACTGGTTTCCCATACATCCAGTTGTTCTACAACTCAACACAATCTTACGCAGCAGCAGCAGTTATGACAGCCATCGGCATCGTTCTCACCATGGCGTGCTCGGTTGGCATTACTACAACAGCATCTCGTATGACATGGTCCTTTGCCCGCGATTACGGACTGCCCTATTCCCGCTTTATTTTGAAAGTCAGCAAGCGCAACAAAGTCCCAGTTGTGGCCGTCTTCGTAGTCTGTGCCTTTGCCTGTGCCCTGACGCTCATCTACATCGGCTCTACTACGGCATTCAACGACGTCATTTCCCTCACGGTCACCGCATTCTATGGCTCCTATCTTTTCCCAAGCGCGATGCTCCTGTACCACCGAGTCAAAGGGAATGTTCTCCCGCACGGAACCCTCATCCAGGGCCAAGGTATCGACCGCCTCAATAGCCTATCGACTACCGCCAAAGCGACTGATCCAAAGGACACTGCCCATGCTCCACTCTCCGATACCATTGAGATCCATCCGAACGCAGCTGCTCAAGACGGTCTCGGTGCCAACACCACCATCCCAGAGAAGAGTTCCGCCCGCCCCATCGAGCTCAACGTAGCGGAAGCGCCTCTGATCTGGGGGCCCTGGAAAATCCCAGGTATCTTGGGGACGTTAAACAATCTCTACGCTTGCCTCTACATGATCTTCGTGATCTTCTGGAGCACATGGCCCCCCGCAACGCCAGTTAACTACACAACTATGAACTACAGTATTGTCGTTACCGTTGGTGTCCTCATTCTGAGTGGCGTCTGGTATATTGTACGCGGCAGGACGGAATATAAAGGTCCGCTCATTGACGACGATGTTGCGGCCATCATGCACATTGCCGTATAGTGACGGGTATAACTGGTGTGGGCGATGGAAGTGGATTGGTTGTCAAATGCTTATACAGGCCGACTTTGTGGTCTTCTTAACATAAATATGTTTTTATGTCTTAAGCGAAATGTAACAAATACCCTCAGCGCGCAGATCTCTATATACCATGCAACCAAATACAGAGAAGCTAATCTTCTAAACCGAATACGAGAGCCTTCTTGCAAGTGGTCCGGACAAATACAGCACCCACCGGACTAGGATATGCCGGTCGGACCAATAGCTAGCCGCGTCGCGGCTAGCTATTGGTCCGACCTGAGCGAATATGTAGCTTCTTAAAAATTTTTAAGATAGGGGATGCGGTTAGGGGACCGGAGTTCGGGAGCGGGATTCCCACCCCCGACCGATAAAATTGGTAGTTTGTTATAAGCAAGCAATCGCCAGGGTTGTTAACTGTCTGCCTGCAGATTATTTCTACTGATGCCGGTGTGAAAGAATTTTGTCCACTACATCCAGTTTCTCTCCTTTCTGAAACTAGGTGCTATACTCTACAGCCTTCCCAAGATGGAAGAGAAACCGCCAAACAGTGCAGAACTTTCGAGTTCTGATGAGCAACATGCTCCTGTCGCTCAAAATCCAACAAAGGACGATTCGTCCTCCACATTATCAGCGTCAAATCTTGCGTTGGATCCCACAGACTTGGATGCAAAGACGGAGCCTGCAAAAGATGGAGAAAGGGAATACATTGCCGGTTTCAAATTATTTATGGTAATCGCAGCAGTCACTCTGGTCTGCTTTCTAGTTATGCTTGATACTTCCATCATTGTCACCGTAAGTCCTGGATCCCGTGTTTACCAAACAGTTTTCTAACACCACTACAGGCCATCCCCAAAATCACAACTCATTTTCACTCCCTCGAAGACATAGGATGGTATGGTAGTGCGTACCAGATTGCCAGGTGAGAGGCATTCGAATATACTACATGCCTGATTTTGCCTAATCCACCATGCAGTGCTTCTCTACAACCCCTTACAGGGAGAATCTATACCAACTTCAGTACAAAGGTATTTGATTCAGGTATTTTCTGGATGTGCTCGAAAATGCTAATATACTTTGAGCAGTGGACGTATCTGTCGTTTTTTCTAATTTTTGAGTTGGGCTCACTTCTATGCGCTATCTCTACCTCATCAAAAATGTTGATTGTCGCTCGAGCCGTGGCGGGCTTGGGTTCGTCGGGATTGCTGAACGGCTCTATGACCATCATTGCATCTTCGGTCCCAATGTACAAATCACCAGGTATGGAATTTACTTTGCATTCAATTGGGATCAACTTTTGCTAACATCTCTATCCAGCTTTGATTGGGATCATGATGGGTTGTAAGTCCTCCTCCGTCGCTCTTTCCAGGCCAAGTAGTTCATTGCTGACTTCACCTAAGTTGGCCAGATGGGAATCGTCCTCGGGCCCGTACTAGGTGGTGCATTCACGGAATATTCCACTTGGAGATGGTGTAAGTAGCAAATAAGCCTGTCTCTGGGAATAGCAACTAACCACACCCAAAGGCTTCTACCTCAATCTTCCAGTTGGAGCCGTTGCGGCGCTGTTGCTCGTCATCGTCCAAATTCCCGACCAGGTTGAAAAGCCTTCAATTTCACTAGTCAAGGAAACTGTCCTCCATAAGCTTGATCTTATTGGCTTTGTTCTCTTTGCCCCAGCGGCCATTCAATTGCTGCTTGCCCTTCAATACGGAGGCAACAAGTTCGCCTGGAATAGCTCCACTGTAATTGGACTATTTTGTGGTTCAGGTGTTACATTTATCGTCTTCTTGCTCTGGGAACATCGCCAAAAGGAACGCGCCATGATCCCGTTGGCCATGCTCAGGATGCGACGTGTCTGGTCGAGTTGCTTAACGATGGCTTGTATTATGGCCCTTGTGCTCTGCAACTCCTACTATCTTCCGGTTTACTTCCAGGCTGTCAAGAATGTTTCGCCTATTCTCAGCGGTGTCTACATGTTGCCTGGGATTCTGTCTCAGTTGGTATTTGCAGTAATGTCAGGATTGCTGAGTATGTCAAATCCCCTGTGTTTTGGACCACTTGAACTGACGATATTGCAGTTGGCAAGCTCGGTTATTATCTCCCATGGGCTGTCTTCAGTGGTGTAGCCACCGCCATCGGTAATGGCCTGTTGTCTACATTCAAACCCGAAACACCGACTGCCAAGTGGGTTGGATATCAAATCCTCTTAGGTGCCGGTCGAGGATCAGGGTTTCAGACGGTGAGGTTTCCCCAGGTCATCTAGACAGTCCGCTAATGAGTTTTCATTTCAAAGCCGATGGTAGCCGTGCAAAACGCTCTTCCACCTGCACAAGTCTCCGTCGCCATGTCTGTTCTGATATTTGCTCAGACCTTATCCGGCGCAGTGTTTCTCACTTTTGCGAACGTGATCTTCGATAACGGCTTGAGAACCCTGGTTCCGCAGTACGCACCGTCGGTTGACCCTGAGGCTCTAATTGCCGCTGGAGCTTCTGGCATTCGAAATGTGGTCGCTGGCAATAACCTTGCAGGGGTGCTGAGGGCCTATTGTAACAGCATAGATCATGTTTTTTACATGGCTGCCGCACTTGGGGTGGGTATCTTTGCATCCTCTTGGGGGATGGGATGGAAGGATGTCCGGAAAAAGAAGCCTACGGGCGACAAGGTGTAACTGTGGGCTGCCATTGTTGGTACATAATTAGATCTAGACGAGCCAAGTTAAAGAGGTGTCGGGCCTGGTTCACACTATAGAAAATAATATCTCAGCTCGCCTTATAGTACTGCATACGGAGTAACTCTAGGTCACGATGAAAAGACCATGGTTGTGGCAACACGGCTGGTCAAGAAACTCGTCATCGTCGTTGTTAGATCGACACTTTGTACAAGCTTTGACTGGCGGAGCACCTCACATTCCTGGATAGGACTAGCCCTATGGATTGATGCTCAGCCAATCCCCGCGATCTCCTTTCAGTCCTATCTCGAGCAGGTAAAACTTTCGTTAGGATTAAGGTGAAGGTAACAATAGCTTATACTGTTCAAGAATTGTGATCATATGATAAAAACCTTACTGTGAACAAATTTCGATATGGTGCGAATAGACAGATATGTGTCAAACGTGCTACACCAAGATCCTGCAGGCTATTCTCCACCCATAGTCGCCCATCGTATTTTTTGCCCCCAGCTGCCAGGATTTGATGCGACCATGATTATCTATCCAACACGCCCCTGGCGATCTTCCAACAGCCCCATGTTTATTTTTGTCTGGAAAATATTTGCAGGATAAGGGGGAAGTACGCAGTTTGAGGCCCTCTTCAGCCTTCTAATCCTGCTATATTTTCTTTACAGCATCGGCAACTAAGAATCTTTTTTTTGTTGTCTCTACCTATATCCTCAAAATGGGCGCCCAGAGCCTTCTCTTGACCATCTATCTGGCGCTTTTAGTCTGTCACTCCACTGCAATTCCCCAAGCTATTGTCGAGCCAAGGGATACCCGCGAGCCAAGTATATTACAGGCCCCGAAACTTCAAGTACGGTTTCCTGGATTCTATTTCAAGGAAGCAGCTGAAAACTGCAATGGTAACCAATTCGATACCCTGGTAAAAACTGTGGAAGAGGTTATACCATACATGGAAAAGAACAAGGACGACCTCTATAACACACCGGGATGGAACCGCTTTTTTGTTCAAAATGAATACGTCCGCACAATTGAACGCATGGGATTGGGCTCGAGAGTCGTGGACGGAAAGAACTGGGAGGTAAGTGTATTTCAATTCTTGAAGCTGTTGAGGCTAATAACACTGTTCCCCGTAAGAATTCTGCACGCTACCCGTACTACAAGATGATTATCAGTAAGTTCAACGGTCATTTCATTTATTTTTATATTTTCAGTCATTTAACCGCTAATTTATTTAGACAATTTCAATCAGGTCATCAATTTCCCTACGCAAGGAAAGAAAAATTGGAAAGAGGGAATCCAGAAGGATAGGATTACATTGACTTGCAAACATGTCAATATCAACGCCAAAGATAGTTGTGCGAATCAAGGCACGTAAGTGAATAATTGTCTAGAGCGTGACTTCTGCTAATTATTTTAGATGGGCCACGACTTATCGCCCTAGGGTAACGGGGAGAGGTATATATACTTCGTTTCCTTCGGTTTTACAAAGGCTAACTGTCCCTATGTAGGCGAAGTTGTGGTCTTCTGCCCGAATTTCTTTGATGACGCGCGGACTAAACATCTGAGTCAAATAAATCATGGTCATGCGTGGCAGATAGGAACATTGTCGTCAAGAGAGCATGTTCTGGCGCATGAAATGTTTCATGCCCAATCGGCGGTTGGGACTGAAGAGCACAGTGAGCTTCTAGGATACCAATAATTGTTCTTCACTAACATACGCTTTAGTAACTGATCTAAATGCCGAGCTTCCCGGTGAGGGTACTTTCACAAAAGACGTGGTATGTGTTAGGTCTATTTCTATCGCTGCATTTGAAGTCAGATGGCTAATGATGGGCTACTAGTACGTTTACGGCGCCACCAGATGTGCAAAATTTGCTTGGCTTTATCTCGACCACGGAATAAAGAAGCGTCAAGTTAATATTCAAGTCCAGAGAAATGGTAAGAACTGAACGAGCAAAAGATAACGCACGAACGGAACCTAACGGCTAGATTTAGCGGACAATTATGCGTGGCTATTTACCTTCAATTGGTTCAACGATAAGCTTAAATGGGGTTCAAACGGGCAATATATCTGGGCTCGCGACGAGTTCAGGCGCAGTTTGCTTGGCCCGCGGTCCGGAACAAATATGACCTCGTGGGAAAACACAAACTGGGAGGGTACTGCTACATTCGACTCAGATGATACAACGGATGAAGATGAAGTCTGGCCACTTCCCAATTGTCACCAGGTTGGCGGGGATCCGATGAATGTTGACTGCGAATACATGAATGAGCCTTACAAGCAGTGGATGACGGACCATGGCTACTCCGCTAGCCCATCTCGACTCCCTTCCAGCACACCTCTGACTTCCAGCACACCTCTGATTCCCAGCATATCCCTGATACCTACACCCACTTCTTCTGCAGCACCATCGTGCACCGATTCAAATGACTGCTCTGGGTGGCTCTGTGGGTCAGGGTTGGAGGCTGCATGCTGGGATTCGTTCTGTAAATGTGGGCCTACGACCACTGCTTCTCCCACTGCCTCTCCCACTGATTCCACAGCACTATCGTGCACCGATTCAAATGACTGCTCTGGGTGGCTCTGTGGGTCAGGGTTGGAGGCTGCATGCTGGGATTCGTTCTGTAAATGTGGGCCTACGACCACTGCTTCTCCCACTGCCTCTCCCACTGATTCCACAGCACTATCGTGCACCGATTCAAATGACTGCTCTGGGTGGCTCTGTGGGTCAGGGTTGGAGGCTGCATGCTGGGATTCGTTCTGTAAATGTGGGCCTACGACCACTGCCTCTCCCACTGATTCCACAGCACTATCGTGCACCGATTCAAGTGACTGCTCTGGGTGGCTCTGTGGATCAATGTTGGAGGCTGCGTGCTGGGATTCGTTCTGCAAATGTGGGCCTACGACTTAATTCGGCTCGTCTCCTGGCAAGTATCGCCGATGCCGCCACTATTTATCATAGATGATGATGGTTAGCAATAATCTCGAAGATCGCCATAGTTCAAGCATAGACTAACAGCATACTTGATATGATAAGAAATTGTGAAAGTCATTCAAGAGGATAGTGGCGTTATTTTACCTCCATTACTAGATTGGCAATAGCACGCAAGTCAAGGGTCCGGGGGCTACTCAGAATAAGGTAGTCGGAACAAGAGGCGCCGTAGTTTGTATAGGCATAGACTGCTAGAAGGCCAGGGATAAGTGCGGAGAGTGCAAAGCGCTTTTTGATTCGTGTGAAGAGTAGAAGTCCGAGGGATGAGAGAAACAAGTTTAATGAGGAAATATGTAGGAGGGAAACTTAACTTGAAATAAGTTTTCCAATTTGCATAGTCATTATACAACTTAATATTTAGACAACTAGATGCCGGAGATTCAATGACCAAGTAGCAGATTAGCCCAGGAGGTAACAAAGATGCAAGTCGGCATTGCGGACCAAGAGCATAAATGTCTCATCTCAAGTGTGCAACGGTTAGATCACGGAGAGGAAGGGCGAAGGACGAGCAAAAGCACAGGCTAGTCGATTCGAGCCAGGAGGGGAAGGGGGTGGCAAAGCTCGGCGATATAGATCAATGGCATAAATGCCTCAGCAATAGGAGAGGAGATTAAGAGCGGTAAAGAGGACTAGCAATAGGGCAAAAAATAGCAAGAAGTTGAAGCGGCGATGGGGAGGATTTTATAGAACACGCTCGGGAAACTTAAGCAACGGGACGCTTTTCCCAAATAGGAACGCTAAAATGTTTCCAGTAATTCACCGTCACTGCAGGATACTCCGCGGAGTAGACGGTGTCACTTTACGAAGGTTGCAGCAATGTCAAGCCTACGCCCCAGTATTGGGATCCTGGGAAGTATGAAGTTGGCAATCAGGATTATCGTTCATGCTTGGAGACGAGGCCGTGGATTGTCCAATTACCCGGACTTGGACACGAAGCGGAGACCTGTGGATGAAGCTCAGGCGTTCCAGAAAAAGGATGTTCTTCAGAAGTCGTATAGGGTTGGACTGTTCATGGACGGTTTGTAGCCGGCAATGAAGTTATTCATAGATGAAGGTCTTTACACATGGCACTTCTACTAATTCTTGAGTCCATACGTAGACTAGGGTGAGCAAATGTCATCACATCATCGTGTTTGATTTTGTCAAGGTAATAGACGTGCCTAGGTGGCCGTGGCGCCACACTTCCGAGCAAACGGAGCGCAGCATGACTAGACTGGTCAATCTCAAGTCCCAAGAGGGCAAAAGACATATAAGACTCCTCCATGAGACATGGTTTCTTCAAATCGTCTCCCCGCCTTCTCCAGCCCATCAATCAACAAGCACAGTCCCCCGACACCTTTCACAACATAACACACCTCCAAGACAGTCAGCACGATTCAGTCCTAGAGGACCGAATCTACTGCTCAGTCTGGAAGTAGTTGAGGAGAACAGAGCGCTCCTGCGACTCCTCACCCCAGTCCTTAACGACGACGCACGAGCAGTTGACGACCTTGCGAGCGTTGCCCTCACGGTCGAGGGTGCCTATGTCAAGTCAGCAAACATGCTCCGTCAACTCTCTCCCTCGGGGGAAGGGGAAAGAAAGGAAAAGGGTATAACATACAAAGACCAACCCACTCGCCAAGCATCTTGCCGTCAGGCACCTTGATCAGAGGAATCTTGTGCTCGGAGCAGAGAGCAACAACAAGCTTCTTGTAAGCCTCCTCCTCGCAGCCCTCGTTAAGGACACACATGTGCGCCTGGCGGCGGTCGAGGGCCTTAGCGGCCTCGCGCAGACCGCGGGCCAGACCGTCGTGGATGAGCGAGATGCGCAGAACGCCCTTCAGAGCGTCCAGGACGGACATCTGGCCAGAGCCGGCATCGGCGGAAACCTCGACCTCATCGGCGGCGACAACGGGGTTGGACTGGGTCTCTTCTCCGTCCGACTGGGTGGGTTGTTAGTTTTTGGGTTTTCTAGAAGGGATTGGGGGATATGGTTTTGGAGGGAGAGAGAAATTGGCATTCGTAGGATTGTTGCACAGTCACTTTTTGTGAGTGCAATCAACTCTTCGAAATACCGTTCCATCTCTCCATCATGCACAACCGTATAGTATAGATCGGATCACACGCAAAACTCGAGGTCGACGTACCATTTTGATTGCTACTGTATTTGGTAGGTAGCTGGGTGTTCAATTCAAAAGTCGGAAGATCCTCAAAGAGGGGTGGTATTCGATTGAGACAGTGGATGGAGATAAAAGTGGTGATAGTGTGGAATAATTTTCGATTTCTCGGTTGTGCGCCCACGATTATGTCAGCAAAGAGATCACGTGATGAACATCTCGATTGCGGATTGTGCAACAGTGAACAGTGCAACTACAGCTACTGCAGATAGAAATACTTGGTGACAGACGACCCGAACAAGTAGATTCGTCACAAATTAAACGCAAGAGGTATCATAGTCGTACATAACAAAACTCCGCCCTGTACACCACTCCCCCTCTCCAAAAATCTGCCGGCGCCGTGACCGAAACAGCGAGAAGACGCTCACAATAGAAAAAGAATCAGACATATGTACTAGGCCGCGAGTGCCCATAGCCATTCAGTAAACCAGAAGGAGAGCCATTAGAGGCATCGACCGAAGCAGCATGGCCGTTTGGCTGGGCCGTGCCGCCGATTCCGCCAGAAAAGGATTCTTGGTCGATATGCATGCTGAGAAACTGGAACTGCAGCCCGTTCAGATGGGGAACGTGCGGGACGAGGTCCATGAAGTCGGAGAGTCGAATCCAGAACACATGCTCCATGTCGAAGTATTTGGATCGCGTGTCGCAGTCTTTCTGTAGAATCTGTCCAACCGACGAGTCGTGGAAATCAGATTCATCCGCCTGAATGAGCATCCGTCGAGTGACTCGCCACAGATTCATGCGTTGAGTTGGAGTCGCTTTGCGTTTCTCCCAGCTGGCATCTATTGCGAGTAAGATCAGCGGACAGTACATGATGATCGAAAGAGAGAAAAACTTACATTGCGAAAGTTGGAGATCATTGGTCGCCAGCAAGGGTGCAATCAAGTAGTTCGGAATCCATTTCTCGTCCGCCATCTCCTTATCACAGGTGGGCTCAAGCTGCTTGGTGAGCGCAGTGACCAAGGGCATAAAACTCTTCAGCCAAGTATGACTTCTCGCGCGAGGGTCATTGGACCCCACAAAATTGGCAGCTACACGGAGGCGAATGGGAAGGGCATCGCGGCGTCGCTGCTCCAGTTCTTCCTGGTCACGACGAACTTTCGCCATCCGGGCCCGTTCCTGCTCCAGGCGTTTCTGGCGCTCGTCTTCGGCCTGCTTGATTCGACGCTGTTCGGCTTCCTTGCGTTTGCGCTCGTCCTCCTCAGCCTTTTCGCGAGCAGCACGAGCCGCTCGGTCCGCCTCTTCTTTGGCTAGGCGAGCACGCTCCGCCTCGTCGGCAACACGTCGTTCTTCGGCAACGCGCTCATCCTCGACTTTCTTCGCTTCAGCTCGCTGACGTTCTTCAGCATCCATTTCAGGCTGTTTCTCGTCCGTCGGAACATCAATCGGCTTCGACTCTTGAGGTTCAGCCTTCACGACCCCATTCTCCATAACAGCATCTTCCTTAGGCGACGATTCACGAGCGACGGGTTTCTTCGATGGCTCTCCAGACTTTCGCGTCATGTTTTCATCCGTCCGCGAAGAATCATCTTGCGAAGTGGGCTTATCAGCATCCACAGGCTCCTTTCCAGATTTGTGGGAAGAACCATTGGCATTTGCCTCGGAAAGCATGCGCCGCTTCTTCTTTCGTGATTCAGGAGACAACTGGTCGCCATAGCCCCCACGGGACCGAGATCGCTCTGGCGAAGTATCGGCACGAATGCGCTTGAGAGATGAAAGCGACTCGGGCCCGTCAGCTCGGGCCTTGGCGGTTTCTTCGCGTCCCGATAGAGAATCCGAAGAGAACAAGCTGGGTCGCCGATCCTGATCTGGACCTGGACGACGTCCTGCGATGAGCCGTCTCTTTTTGACTTCATCGTTGCGTGCCATAGTGCTTGATTCGCTGCCTCTTCTGGCCGAAACAGTAGACTTCGGGGGACGGGAATCATGGTCCGAGCTACCCATCGCGCTGTCACCAGCATCTTTGGCAGATACCTTGCCGCGAGATCCCACCGTCTTCCCCTTCTCACGTCTCTTCTCTTTATCGCCGTCCAAGGCAGTTGAGTCGCGACGCCGGGCAGCGTTGGGGCTAGTGTTGGCCTTCTTGGAAGTACGAGCGACAGGAGAGGAGGATCGTTTGCGCCCGGTGCGTTTATCTTCCTTGTCCTTTGCGCGCGCGCGTCGTGGAGATGAGGTATCGCCCTTGCGGCCTTCGCCACGATTGTAGTTTTCATACGCATCCTTGAGCATGTCATACTCTTCCTCCCAGTCCTCGCCCTGACGAGCTCGGGCCAGTTCATGGTACGTCATGTCTTCGAACAGTCGGCGGGTTGGATTAAAGCCCGGTTGGTTGAGAATCAGCTGAATGACGGCAGGCTTGCCACGACCGATGGCAGCCAGCATGGGAGTGTTGTAACCAGGTTTGTGATCAAGGTCGGGGTTTGGGTCCGGATCTGCATTGCCCATAGCATACAACAGGGACAGCACGTCGTGGTGGCAGCCCTTAGCGGCCGCAATCAAGGACGCGGTGTCGGCTTTCTGCAAGATGTTCAAGATGCTGACCACACCGGCCTCGTCGCCCTTGGATGCAAAAACTTGAAGGTTTTCCAGTGTCGGTTTCGTCCACAACAGATCGTTTCGCGTGGCTTCGCTGCGTCCTGTCTTGCGTCGACCCGTTGCACCCGTCGGGGCCGGGCTGCGAGGTCCATGGAGTGGAGGCGAAGGGCTGGCACCTGAGGCCCGTCGGGAATGAGACGCCGCGACACTGTGTTCCTCTGAGCGTCGACTCGGCCGCGAGCTGGCCTTAGCATCTGCGATGGTCTTTCTCATCTCCTGGTATTCGTCTTCATCAAGCTCAGAGGGAACGAGTTCATATGGCTCGTCTCCTGCAGCGTTCACCGTTCGTGGGTTTGCACCCGCCTCCAACAACAGCTTCACCACATCGACATTGCCATTCTCCACTGCATCGATCAACGGGGTATCCTTGTCGATGTTCTTCGTATTTATTTCGCAGCCGGCGTCCAACAAAAACTTCACAATATCGGTCTCGCCGTTCAGAGAGACAATTTGCAGGGGGGTGTTGCCTGCATTGTCGGGAATGTTCAAATCTTCAGGGCGTTCCGCATGACGCGCAGCCACCTGGTCGTATTTTCGCTCGGCACACGCTCTCGCCAGCGGTGTGCGTCCGCTCTTATCGCGCAATTTCTTGGGGCCCATCTGTTTGGCAGGAGAGGCAGAGGTGCCATCCCCAGACCCAAGTTTGCGCAGGCGGGCACTGGGTAGCGGAGAGCCGCTGACAGAAGACGAGGTGGATTGTCGATCTTCCGAGCCTTGCCGTGGGAAACCGGTCAGAAGAGGAGTGGGAGCTTTCTTTCTGGACGGAAAGTGGGAACCAGAGGCGGATCGGGTGTGAGAAACACGAGCTGGAGAAACGGAACGCATGTTGGAGGGAGGTGAGAATCGGATGTTGTTGTTGACATCTTTAAGAAGGTCGCGGGAAGAGCCGCTCGCTCCTTCCTCAGAAGAGCCTGCGCGGTTTCCACGAGTGACGCTTCTCTTGCGGTGGTCTGGCGGCCTGTCTGCCTTGGACGAGCCATGATCCGGCACAGCCTCCGCGAGGGAATCGTGTTCGTCTGCCTTCTCGATCTTCACCACGGACGCTGATGGAGGGCCAGTTCGCTGGGACGGACTGACCGACCGAGAGCTTCGGTCTGCCTCGCCCCGAGACTCGCCATCGATGCGCGGTCGCTTGCGCAGGTGCCCTTCGACGCCGTCCGTGTCGCCCAGCGGCTGGCGCAGGGGGTCGTGGCGAATATGCTTGCGTTTCTTCTCAGGGGAGAGGGATTCACGGCCGGACTGGATGATGGTTTCTGCCTCCGAGTCGGCTCTGGGACTCGGAGGCCCTTCATTGTCGGATTCGACCGCCTGCTCGCGATCGCTGCCCGGCCTTGAATGCGACTCGGGCTCCTTTTTGCTGACCGACGGTTCCCCATCCACCTTCACAGCAGCGGCGATCTGACCGACGTCCAGGGCAGCGGGCAAAGCGACTGCCTCGACATCACTCATAGCGATAGCACTCGATGTCTTAGAATCCCGCTCGTCATTTTGGGGCGACAGGCAGGGACGACCGTAGTCGGCAGGGCCACCAGTGGTGCGCAGACGCAGAGATGTGGCCACTGGGAGGAGGGAGTGCACTCTTGGAGGTGAATGAGGTGCACTCAACGAGAGCGAGACGGTCGCGTTTGACGAAAATCGAGCAGCGCTGGGAATAGTGGTGGGTAGAATAGATGGTCGGATGGGAGGGATGGAGTAGTGCGTGATTAAAATTATATAGAGGGAGGTTGGTGGAGGAAAGGGGAGGGGGACAAGGGTGGGTAGAGTCTTGAAAGAGGGAGAAGAGAGGGAGAAGAGAAGGCAGAGAAGAGGGAGGGAAGGAAACTGGGAAGGAAAGGAATGGAGCCATTGGGTAAGGGTCGATGGGTCGGGCCACTCAGCTGCGCGGTGGCAGTACGACGAAGTCATTCACCCTATCACTCCTCGGGCTCGAATCTCCTCCTCTCCCTCGCGAGGATCCCTCACGCTCTCTCTTCCTTCCCTCATCATCCATCCGTCCACTTCCACCCTGCCCCGTGAATCTGCCCGTCTGCGTCCACCATTCCTGGCACGGCCCTCGCCACTAAACCCAACCCGGGCGCTGCAAACTCTGCAAACTCGGCGGCGATCAGCTGACTGCCACCAATCATCATAGACTCGCCCCCGTTAGTTACATAAGGCGTTCGTTTAGTTACATTGACCGGTCTGGGAGCTGGTTCTGATTTGCCTTTAGGCTCAGATAAACGTGTGATATATCCCGTGCCCAGGACGAGGGTGTGTGAGAGACCGCCTATCTCATCGATGAGATGATATGATCCGAACCTGCCAGAAACATTGATCATGGATGTCATGGCACAAACCCTCGACCGCTGCCTCGAGGCGGCGGGCATGGACGCCGTGGATGCGCTGCGCAGCTTCTTCGTCCTCGCGGCGGCAACAGTACGTCCGTCCCTCGATCACGGTCATCAGCGCCAAGCGACATCGCTAACCATCGCGTGAAGACCATCTCCGTCAGCATCCCATCCTCCCTCCGCTCCCGCTTCCTCGTCTATGGCCCGCGCGCAAAGACCAAGACCACTCCCACCTCCCGACCCTCGACAGGTCTCCTGGACTACCTCGCAACATGGCGGGTGCCGCACAGCTACTTCGCCCAATTCTACATCGCGTCCCTCCTCTCCTCCCTATTCTGGGCCTGGCAGGTTCTCACCAAAGGCACCGCATTTCTCGCCATCGCGTCACGCGTGAGCCCGGAGCACCTGGCGCAGTCCATGTCCGTTCACCAGGTCGTGGTATGCTGGATCCTCATCACCCTTCAGGGCGCACGACGGGTGTGGGAATCATACGCCTTCTCAAAGCCCTCCTCGTCGCAGATGTGGGTCGTGCACTGGATCCTAGGGATTTGTTTCTATCTCGCAACCGCCCTAGCATTCTGGATCGAAGGCTCGGGCCAACTGCTTTTCCATGACATCTCCGCATCCCACTTCAATCTAACCATCGCCCCGACCCTGCGCACGTTCATCTGCGTCCCTCTCTTCCTCATGGCTTCCGGCATCCAGCATGATTGCCACCACTACCTCTCCACCTTGAAGACGTACGCCGTCCCCGATGATCACCCCATGTTCCGCGGCGTGGTCTGCCCGCACTACGGCGCTGAATGCCTGATCTACCTTTCGCTGGCAATACTGGCTGCGCCGCCAGGCCAATTGGCGAACAAGACGCTGTTGGCGTGTTGGGGTTTCGTGGTTGTCAATCTCGGCATCACGGCCAAAACGACTAAACTGTGGTACATAGAGACTTTCGGGGCGGAGGTCGTGCAGGGTTGGTGGCTTATGATCCCGTTCGTCTATTAGTGTTCGTCAATCGAGACGGGTGTGATGCAGAACCACGGAGGGTGATCGATATCGGACATCGGCCGCCATCGGGCGTTCGACTGATGAAGTTATTCGTCCTCGACACCGGCTTTGTTACATGCCGATCGCGGCTCATCTGCAGGACTCTTGATGCCAGGATGGTAGCCGGAGGCGATCGACCTCGAATTCACCCCCGCAGCATGGTCCTGCTTACAGACATCCATACCTACCTGTAAGCCATAGTTAGATTGTACAAAAAGAATAGTTATGATCCCCTTCCCAGAAACTTCATAGTATTCCCCACCGCAGCCACCTTCAGCACATCGCGATACGTCAGACTCGTCCGCGTCTCGCGCTGGAGCCACCCATCCCGCAAGGCGTGCCGGTCTCGCAGTAAACCCCAATTGCAGATCGTATCCGGGCCCAGATGCTCGTCCCGTCTCGTCTCTGCGATTCCATGTAGGAAATCCGTGTAGATCTTGCCGCGGGTCACGAGTAGACTTCGCCGTTCCTGGAAGATTCGGTACTGTGGTTTCCGCTCTGCGCTGGAATCGTGATCGGTGGCTTCGGTGTGGATTTGTCGGCGTTGTTGTGGCTCTGGAAAGTCCTTCGGGTATAAATCCAACACAATCCCCGCCCCCAGACTAACCGTCGCCACGAGCGGATAATAGGCTGCCCCATCCTCATGCGGCATAATCCCCTGGCCGGGCTTGTACTCATTAACAAGGACATGGTTCGGTGCCTGATGCGGCGCATCACGAAAGATGCCGAGGTCATTCAGCCGCGGCTCGATGATAGGATTGACGAGCCATTGTGGGAGCGGAGATGCGAGGAGCATGTTCGTTTTTGTTAGCGCTGAGGGCCAGGTCTGTAGGCGGCGGTGGGTGAGTTGGGTCCAGCGGGGAAGGGGCGCGGATGAGATCTGTTCATGAATGGACGTTAAATGGAGGGTGTGGCTAGAGTGATGGGGAGGGAGACCGTACCTTTTGGAGGAGTCGGGTTTCTTCCTCTTCGGTGATGAAGTCGGAAATGTAGAATGCATCGTCTGGTAGGGCGGATATCCGCGCAGTCTCGAGATTGAATAGCATGGATGATCAAGGGAGAGAGAGACAGAAAGACATACATGGAAGAGTATAGTGACACCCACGTCACGCCCTGCCTCAGGCATCAATATCCGCCCCACCCAAGAATCCGCGTTTGGTTCGATTCAGAACATCACATACACTTTCCACACTCCGCCATGGCACCCAAAAACAATGCCAAAGGCGGCGATAAGAAAGCCAGCAAGGGTAAAGGGAAAGAAGCCTCCAATGACGACGCAGCCAAGGGCAAGGGCGGCAAGGGTGCTGGCGCGCTGAAAGCGGGCCAGTCGATTAACGTGCGACATATACTGGTGTGTATCGTGATCTCTGAGATCATGCAAGAGGGACGGTTGTCTGATGGGTATATTTTCAGTGCGAGAAACACTCCAAGAAGGAAGAGGCATTAGAGAAATTGCGCAATGGGGTCAAATTCGATGAGGTTGCTAGAGAGTTTTCGGAGGATAAAGCCCGACAGGGTGAGTGCAATAGGCGACTAACTGGCAATTTCCCCCTTTGAGATTGACTATGTACTGATGGCGAGAATAGGAGGCTCGCTTGGATGGAAGACGCGAGGCAGTCTGGACCCTGCGTTTGAAAAAGCTGCGTACGAGCTGGAGCCCAGCTCGACGGGGAATCCCAAGTATGTCGAGGTTAAGACTGGGTTTGGGTATCATATTATCATGATCGAAGGGCGGAAGTGAGAGAAGGGGAGAGCTCTTTTCTTTTTATTAGATACCATGGGAGATACATGCAAAATGCCCAAAATGAGAGCTGTATATATATACGGATGAACAAGACCAAAACAAATCATCTCTACAACTCCTTTTTCGCACTTTCACTCTGCTTCGCCCGTTCCTTCGCCTTCTTTTCCTGTCTCTGCACCGCGGCCTCGGCGCCAATCCCGCCAAACACAAGCCCAATACCCAGCCACTGGCCTCCAGACAGAGAATGGCCGAACCAGAACACGCTGAGGAGCATGGTCAGCATCTTGCGGGTGACGGTGACGGTCACGAGAAGCAGTGACGAGAACTTGGACAAGGTATAGAAAATAAAGACCTGCCCGATAGCGCCGCAGGTCGCGAAGCCGAGGACATTCTTCAATGCCTCCGGGTGGCGCGAGAGGAACGAGATAGCCCCGAACAGCTCCGTCTCGGTGGAGGGCGGGATGGGGATTGGGAGCAGGTTGTGCAAGAGTCCGCTTTGGGATATATGCGGCATGAGCAGGAGGTAGGTCGTCGTGAGGACTGTCGAGAGCACGTTCTGTGCAACCATCATCTGCGGACCGGTGAAGCGCGTGTACGTCTTTGGCGAGGTGAAGACGTGGTCTTGGGTTGTGTTGGTGAGGCCATCTAGAAGGAGATTGATGGACAGCAACAGAATCCCGTACATTGAGGACCCGTTTTGCTTTGCCGCAGATGCGGCAACCTTCTTGCTGGTTCCAGGATGGTGCAGCGTGAAAGTTGCAACGCCAAGAGTAACCATGAGAACCACACCGTATTTGTACAGTGGGTATCTCTTCCGGAAGATAGTCAAGTGAAGAAGCATGACAGGGAGCAATTTGCAGGACTTAGCCAGAATAAAAGTCAGGTAGTCGATATGCGCGAGACTGGCATAGCCGAATGGCGACGCAAGCGACGAGGAGATGCTGACCAGGAGCAGAGGGAAGAGGATGCGACGAGTCGGAAAGATCGAGGGAATTTTCTGGCCCTTTGGTGTGGATAAGAAGAGGTATGCGAAGCCAGTAATTGCCGCGAAGGAGGACTGGATCGTGTTCAGCACGAGCGAGTAGGTGAATCGCTCCGTGGGAGGCTCTGGCTCGGCGGCTGTGGCTGGACGGATGGGATAGGCAGTGGTGGTGATGGCCTCTTGCAGCACACCCCATGAGAGGCTGCCGGTCTCTGTTAGATATCGGACTTGCTTGGAAATCAAGATCCAACCACTTACAAAGCAGCGTATATACCGAGAACGCAGATCAGAAGTTGCATCAACCCGGGGCTATCAGCGGTGTCTAGCGGTGCTGACGCATTGGCGGGTGCACTTCCATTAGCGCCGGGGGACGCCATTGCATTGTCCTTCTGGACCTCGGAATCGTTCGTGATCATATCTGTCAATTGCGACGAAGGCGCTCGCTGCAGCGGTGTTTGTTGCTTTTGCCGACCCATTGCTGCGGCGGTGGCTTCACCAAGTCCCAAACAAAGACGGGGTTTCCAAAGGTTGACTCGGTGCAAAGCGACCACGGAATCACGGATTCGAACAGGTCTTCTGGGCGCAGGGAAGGAGAGAGAATGGGAACTGCGGATGATGCCAACTGTTCTTAGTTACTCGCCAAAACAAATTGTTGTTGCTTATCAGCGCAGGCGGTGAACCTAATCAGCCCGAATAATTTTCTCTATCAATCAATCGCAGCAGTCCCTCAATCAACAGGGACCTCCTGGCAATGGCAACAAATCCAGCAGCCCCCGAGCCCTCAGCGCTCACCCAGCTCATCTCCTCTGCCTCCGCATCCAACAATCCCATTGCCGCAACCACCCTCCAGATCCTACACAACCTCCAACACCAACACCTCTGGACATCTCTCCAAACCCATGACATCCCAAGCCCTCCAAAGAGCACCACAGATACACCGCCAATCTCCCTGATATCCGGCATCCCCCCACATCGCGTGTACACCCATCCAGACGAGCAGCTATACATGCTTGAAAAGGGCCTGCGCGACGACGACCTCCGTCCCGAGAGACTATTCGTCATCCCCACTGCGCAGGGCCAGTCATGGAGCGTGCACCGCATTGCCGCTGTTTTTGACTCACTTCCTGAAATTCCGAGCTCAAACAACACGGAACTATCTATGACGGATGTTGATGCAGAGATGCAGGCCAAGCTCGCGGAGTACTATACCAAGAAAGAAGCGGTGCGCGCAACGAGGGAATGGGGCGGCAAGAGGGTGCTGCTTGCTATGGTGGATAAGGGGATGGGCGGGGATGGAACAGTGGCCTACTATGTTGTGCACGATGGCGAGGTCAAGCCTAGGCAGAATTGAGGGTCTCCCGGAAAGGAAAGGGAAGACTGTCTGTCTTCTGTTGTTTACGCTGGTACAACGAGAAAGAAGAGTGGTGGATTATTATGTGCATTGCTTCGCAAATTATTTTCCAAGAAGGGGAAATGACTTGCACCCATATGTACGCCAGATTATCCACACGACACAAAACCACATTTTGTGACCATCGGCTGCCGGGTATAGTGTGGTCGATCGAAACAAGCAAAAGCACAGAAACAGACAGCCGGATGGTCGAGTGCGACCTTCCTAAAGAAAAATTTGTCAAGCGAGCAAATTATCACGGTCATTCTTCACAACTTGGTCGTGCTCCATGCGACAGCTCGAACAGTACGTTTCGTACCACTGCTTTACGTCATTGGCATGTTCGGCGAAGACTTGCTCGGCTTGAGCCAACCGGCTCCCTTTATCGCCATCGGCAGCGTTGCCGCTGAGAAGGATCTCAACTTGGCGACAGCGGCGGATCTCGTCGCGGAGCCAGCGCTCCCACTCATTCTGGATGACTTCTCGCTCGATGCTATTCACGACGCGCAGCGCAACGAGCAGATTGTGTCGGTGCGAGCCCAGTCGTTCGCGGGTCTGCTGGAAACGTTTGAGAGTACTCCGGGCCATCGTGTCTCGGGGGCCAGCGGTGCTGAGGGCAAGAGGCATCTCGGCATATCGGGTGGTCTGTTCGTAGAATGTGGAGAAGCAATCGCTGGGGCTGCCAGAGTTGGGCCAGATGGTTGTATTTGCGACGGCCTCGTCGATATCTCTCATATAAATGGCCTTGCTCATGACCAAGTCCGGTTGGACGCCAAGCCGGGCCATGAAGTTTCCGGCGTGTCTCTCGTGCCACCAATCCCAAGTATCTCGAGAAGAGTAGAATCCGTTCATGAGCACGCTGGCGACCAGCAAGACCAAAATGACCTTATGCGCACTCAAAGTCTTCCACGACCAGCGGAGGACGTCGAATGAACAAATCATAATCGACGAAACGGCGCTGTCCAGCAATGACAAAAACGACCCCATAAGCAGCTGTGTCATGGTTCGCTGATGTCGCTTTCGCGATTGCAGCTTCAGGTTTCCGCCCACTTTAGTGAAGTGAGAAACGTGGCTCTGGCGTCCGACATGACCAAAGATGGTAATGGCCTTTTTGGTGCGACTATGTGCGCCGAGTCGACGCACTTGGTCACTCACCAAGTCTACCAGATCTAAAGCATCCTCTTCGAGATCCTTGATCGCCCTCTTGTTGATGGAACCTGGCGACTGTTAGAAGTAGGCCTCGAAACAAATCAAAGAAACTCACTCTTCAAACCGTACGGCGACCATAGCCATTCCACATTTGTGTAAATGGCAAGCTTACTCTTCGACTTGGCTTGGAAAGTAATGACAACTTTGCTGACCAGTCGGAAGGAGCGTCGGAATGGTAGATGCCAAGGGGTCTTCTTATCGGTGATGACATAGCAAAGGTGATCATTGAGTACATCGATGATTTGGTAATCCGCAATGGCATTCTCTTGGTTTCCTCCTGGGAGGAGGGTTAATATCGGCAGAATATTAAATGGCAGAGAAACGTACCAAGTAGGCCCGTAGTGCCAATCTGATACTCAAAGTCTCGTCGGAGATGACGCGATTCCGTAGTGGTCCAAGGCCATTGCTTGATGTCTGCAGAGCATATCAGTCAGTCATACTTCACACTGACGGCATTAGTCCAACCTACCGCGAGCTTCCCTCTCATGAAGTAGAAGTTGCCAAACAGCACTCTTGTCACCAAATAATATATGGAAAAGCGCCTTAGGACTGACATCAAGCACCTTCTCCGTTGCCAGAACCAGGTCTCCTTGTGGGACATACTCCACGGGCTGCGTGGGAAGTCTAAACTTTGGCAGATCTCGTCCACGACCAGCATCCAGGTCGAGATCCTTGTCAATATAGATAGGAGCTCGGAAATCCTTCTGGGCAGCAGAGTTCCCATCGAATTTAGTGTCTGCAAGCCCGGCCGAGGCATCCTCCCAGCTATCTGCGCTGGAATGTCGGGTTGGAGACCCGGTATCCATCTTGATCAGAGTTTTGAAGACAGCCTCCAATGTTAAGGGTTCAGCGGCTATGGAGTTATGAACCAAGAAATTCAGACGCTTTTGGAGAACTCGGAGGGACTCAAGGAATGTCTTGATCGTTACCCGTCCGGGAGTGTCGCTTCCAAGAGGTGGGATGGTGTGCAAGTAAAGGAAATCACAGTCTCTCCCGGAGGCAGCGGTGACTTCTTTGACACTATCCAGAGAGACACTCGTGGTCAAGACCAAGCCAAAGTGGTGGCTGTAGAAAAAGATGTTCTGGGTCGTAACATAGGCTCGTCCTGGGAATTCTTGCTGGTCATTTGGGCTCCAAGTCGCTCTGAACACCAGAACCAATGATTCATCTTTCTTGACATCAGGAAACAGCAGTCGAAACTGGGCATCCTGAATTCTGAGCGGCTGGGGATAGTAGCTAGGGTATTCATGTTGAACCCCTATTGCAGCTCGCTGGAGTTTAGACGCATCGCCATCCAGGCTCACGGTCTGTCTGTGGCGTGGACCCGGTGTCTGTCGGGCGGTTGACGTTGTATCAGCCTGCGCGGCAATCGTGTGCTTCGAGGAGTCACTTAATGCGGAGGATGGCCGTCCTTCGGATGCGCTATCTTGATCCCCATTTGTATGCTGAACGTAGTCTCGTTGGAATTTGTTCATAAACCCCCAATTGGAGCTTCCCCATAAGTTGGCCATCATCCCACTGGGCATTCCGCCTGTGCTATCAGTGGACCCCAATCCAATGCCTCTCTCGTTGCTGACAACGACCGCAGCTTTACTCATGCTGGTGGGTGCAGGTGGATTAGCCAAAGTCGGAGGCGCGAGGCTCCAACCAGGTTCATCACGGCTACTCAAACTGCGGCCGCGGCTCCGGTTCCCTTCGCTTTCTCCCGCAGTGAATGGGCCAGCATTGCCGTAAGGGAGAGCATTGTGGCTGGCAGATATGAGGCTGGCGATACCAGTGGCCGGCGATGGTGGAGCATTGTTCGACTTGCGATGCAGGTCCAGTTTTTGGATAATTCTTGCCGTGTGTTCCCTAGCATGCTCCCTGGTAGAGCCTTCCCCTTCGAGTCCAGAGAGCCTTCGATTCGTGCTGGCATCGGTGCTATTTCTGAACGCCAACGCATCCCGGTCCGGAATGGCGAGTGTACTAGCGCGCTCTATCGAGCTCGGTTCGTCATGTGCATCAGGAGTGAGAGAATCGTGCGGCTCCGCGGCGAATTCTGGGGCTGGGGGTTGGGAGATTGCGAAGGCAGGGTCCTGAACGGTAAGTTTCCCTGTGATCGAGCGGTCGGTGCTTGCTGGATTCTCCAACGCTTTTTGCTTAGCTGCTTCAAAGGCGCCGATCCACTCTATCAACTCTCTTTGCGTTTCTGTTTGGAGCATGATGTTGTTGTTTTTTGTCTTCACTTGGAAGCAGAAGCGCCGTTCCTCTTGGAACGCTGGTCGAACGCTGCAAAGCAACACGCCGATCCGCTCGCTTTCTTCAACACCGCCCGTGCGCGCACCCTGTACAAGACACCCGAAGATCCCGTGTTTTAGGAAGGCCCATCGTCGAACCCAGGAAGTCCGAGTCGGTTTCCCTGACAATGTCCGTAGATTAACCCATCCTTGCTTTTCCGCTTTCACTTCCTTGGTCATATTGAGCGACGACAAAGGGCGAGATCCAAGGTAGGGAACAGTAGAGATCGAGTAATCCTCCAATTCTCGGGACGGTCGTGCCACCAGCTCCGCAGCCTCTTCGATCTGCTTTCTGGTGGAGAGAAGCTCCCGTTTGGAGGACCTTTCACTTCCCTCCATTTCATGGACCCAACCTTTGATGCGGTCCATCTCGGATGACCATTTAGAGAATGCGTTGCCGTTGTTATTGTGAAACTGTCTGAAGTCTCGCCACTGGTCAAACGATATCCGCACCAGAAGTCGGTCAAGTGCGTTGCGCACCTGAGGAGCTTCGACGGAGAAATCCATAGATGTCTTCAGGTAGGCTTTGCGTGCTTCATGGAGCTGAAAGGCCTCTTCTCTCAGGGCGGAGGGTTCTTTGGACTTTGACTGGGACGCGTATCGAGCTTGCAAATAGTCGTACTGCTTTTGGGCGAGCTCCAGGGAGCGCCGTGTTTCCTTAAAGTGCCGCAGATCCTCGTGAATAAAAGCCCGAATGGGTTCCGCAATCACGGACTCCATCTTTTTGGTCACGCTGACCAAGCCATTCCAAAGATCTTTGGATCCCTCCCCGGACCTCCTCATTGCCAGCAACGTGTAGTCATGATCGACCACGGCTTCGGAGACGATGAGGGGGTTTGTCGTGTAGGAGAGAAAGCTGCCCACCGCACTCTCCAGAGCGGTTAGCTCAGAGGTGAGCTTCGTGGCAGCTCGAGCGTATCCGTCCAGCCATTTCTCGATGAACTCGATCTGGTCGCAGAAGTGGAGAGTTGTCGCGCGGAAGGTAGGCGAGTCAAGAGCCGCTTCTTTAAGGCCGACCGGACTAGGGGGTAAGCAGTCAGCATGCAAATCAAGTCTGCTTCGTGTGTCCGAACTTACACCACGCTCACGAGCTTCCCGACTTGGGGCAGTGGGGTGTGTGTTTGAGTCGACATCTAGTGTGATGTCTCTCCCCGGCATACCCTCGACGCGAGGACGAAACACGGCGGCCAACGCAGGTGGGAGGGGAGGTCTGATTGTCAAACACCACGATGATGATGATGATGGTTTGCAGGAGTATTGAAACCTGGCCCAACGCAATGCCAGGTAGCTTAGGTTCAGTTGCCTCTCGAGGATGATCTAATTGGCTACGTCAGGGGGTGTTCCGCCTTGCGGCCTTAGGCAGCCATCAGAAAGCGGTGAGTGATTTTTTTCGTGTTCTGCCATCGATTGAGGATCTTCTTTTTCTCTGCAGCAGCCATGGAGCCACCATCGAAGAAGATGCGCAAACTGCTGGATGATGATTCCTCTGACTCTGGAGATGAGGCGGGCGGAGTCCTCGTTGGCAAGCAGTCGATTGATTCCTCGTTCAAGGTCAATGAGGACTATGCCCGTCGATTCGAGCACAACAAGAAGAGAGAAGAAGTGCAGAAACGTATGTGCAATTTATTCTTCTTTGAGTCAAAATGGGTTTTATCTTTTCTCTAACAATATGTGTGTCTTAGTGGAGTCAAAGTATGGCAAGACATCTAGCCTGGGAAGGCGCCGAGCCGAGGATGAGGCCTCAGACTCCGACGACTCTTCTTCTGAGGAAGAGGACGATGACGCGGAGCTGGCTACGGAAGCCGTTGACGCGGAGATTATGGCCACTCTAAATGCCATTCGCTCCAAGGACCCTCGGGTATACGACCAGAATGCCACGTTCTACACCCAGTTCGATCCTGAAGACGCCAACGCCGGAACTGGGAAGAAAGAAAAATCGATGACGCTGCACGACTATCATCGCGAGAATCTTCTTAGCGGTGCCAATCCCGCCGATGAGGAAGATGCGCCGAAAACCTTTGCGCAGGAGCAAGCCGACCTTAAGCAGGCCCTGATCAAGCAGATGCACGCGGACGAAGAGTCGGGAGATGAGGACATGGAGGATGCAGAAGACAATTTTCTGGTGCGCAAATCGGCACCTGAGAAGCTTCCAGCGCCCAAGCGCGAGGTCAATCTGGACGTCAAAAATGCGGACAAAGACCCTGAGACTTTCCTGTCCAACTTCATGTCATCGCGAGCGTGGGTCCCCGCTGGGCGACCCGAGCTGCATCCATTCGATTCGGATGACGATGAGGAAGTGGACAGAGCCGAGCAGTTTGAAGAAGCGTACAACTTCCGTTTCGAAGATCCCAGCAAGCTCAATGAGAAACTACTCACCCATTCCCGTGATGCCACCAACAAGCAATCTGTTCGCAGGGAGGAGAAGAGCTCGAGAAAGAAGGTTCGTGATGCGGAGCGCCAGCAGAAAGAAGCAGAGAAAAAGCAGCGTGATGCAGAAAAGAACCGCCTTCGCAAGCTCAAGATGGAGGAACTGCAGAACAAGGTCAAGCAGATCAAGGCTGTTGCCGGTCTGCGGGCATCGGAGTTTACGGATGACGACTGGGCTCGTTTCTTGGACGACGCATGGGATGATAAGAAGTGGGAATCCGAGATGCAGAAGCGGTTTGGGGAAGAATACTACGCTGAGGACGATGGTGAGAGTGACACCGAGGGAAAAAAGAAGAAGCATCCTAAGAAACCGACATGGGACGATGATATCGATATCAAAGATCTGATCCCCGACTTTGAGGAAGAAGAACCCAGACCTACTCTAGACTCGTCCGACGAAGGAGAGGATGGTGAGCCGTCCGCGAAGAAGAGCAAGGCCCAGGAGAGGCGCGACCAGAAACGGGAAGCCCGCAAAGATCGTATGCGGGTCGAAGAGGCGGTGGACCGCAATCTGGACCTCGACATCACCTTGCTCCCCGGAGCTACCAAGAAGAATGCCACTCGGTTCCGCTACCGCGAAACCTCGCCCCAGAGTTTTGGCCTGACTGCGCGGGACATTCTGATGGCAGACGACACCCAGCTCAACCAGTTTGCGGGTTTGAAGAAACTTGCTGCCTTCCGAGATGAGGAGCAGAAGGCACGCGACCAGAGGAAGCTGGGGAAGAAAGCTCGACTGCGTCAATGGCGCAAGGACACCTTTGGTAACGAGGAGGGGCCGACCTTCAAGTTTGGCGGCGATGCTCCGGGACCGTCGGCTGAGCAAGGCGATGATGAGGAGGCCAAGGTGGATATCCGGGAGGGTGATGGGCGGCGGAAGAAGAGGAAGCGGTCGAAGAAGTAGGTAGTGATTATGTTATAGAGTTTGCTATCATGACTTCATCTGTGAATAGCATTTTCAATATGAGAGATTTTCAAACCAGTGGTGATCCTAGCCAAACAATATATATTGAACATCTCCAGAGTATCTCGAGGAATTACCTCAGATAGACTAGCCAATTCTGAAGTATACATAGTGATCTTTCACCAGGTCTGACTAAATAGTTGTTAGAATCCTAACCTGTACTATAGGTCTGATTAACTCTCCCTTCTCCAGCGGTTGTATATGGTGAACCCCAAACGGGAATACGGTGGAGCCGGAACAGATCGCTGATTGGGTCGTGCCTGGCCTTGTCTAAACGCTGCGGTACATGTACCTCGCTCATGCAGCAGAGCTCTACCACCAGCGACGTACCAATGACATCGATCTCATTGCGCAGTTTTTTTCCATCATCATCTGCCCGCCGTAAACTGGACAGTAACTGATTGGAGATACATAAAAATTTCTGTAGTCCCTATCGTAGCTAATGACTAGAATCACCGAGTCTCCTTGCATACAAATTGCGCATCTAGAAAGCATTCGGTGGCGACCGGCAGGATTTTGCCGGGATACTCGGAGCAGAAAAGGAGGCGTTGCCCCGGTGGGCAGGAAGGCTCTTTCGGCTCTGGACGGGCAAAACATGGGCCCGTCAGCCTGTTACCGTCCGGTGCGGGACAGCCCTCGGGGGGTGTAGCAGGCCAAAACCGGGGAAAAAGCAGCGGAAAAATAACAGCCATAATTGTATGGAGGCCGTCTCTACTGTGAGAACCACGCCTCGAACCAAGAGACCCTCTCCAACCAGCGCAATGGCCGGCGTGCAAAAATTTCTGCGGTCGGGAGATATCGGCCTGGCCGTAACCAAAACGGCGCTGATACAGTGTAATCCTGACCTGATTGGGGCTAGCGTTCGCTTCTTGCCGTATTTTTTTCTGCCCCTTCCGCCCCTTCGCTCTTCTCTTTTTTTCTTCTCTTCCTCCATCCCTGTGAAGTGTTTCTTCCCGCGACACTCTTCTTCCCCCATCTCCTCTCTTTGTTGCATTTCTTTCTTTTGCACAACCTTCACAATGTCGAAGGGTGACGTTAACCAGGCCGAGAAGTCCTTCACGGGCATGCCCGTAAGTCGCCATTCTTGCTGAGCTGGCCTGTCCGTTCCATCTTTGCCGGTCGGCGCGATGCCCCGACGGGTGCTGTGGCATCCAGAAGGGCGTCAGACTGATTCGAGGAGATGGATTGGAGGTGACTGGGTCGTTTTGAGAGATGCCAGACCATGCTAACAAATTTTTCTTGGATAGGGCTTCGTTGTTGACTTCCTGAGTATGTGCCAACCCTGACGCTCATCATCACTGCCACTTATCCCAATCCCATCGATTGGAATTACAATCACCACTGTCCCGATCTTTTAGATGATAACTAACTTTGCATGCAGTGGGTGGTGTCTCCGCCGCTGTCTCCAAGACCGCTGCTGCCCCTATCGAGCGTATCAAGCTCCTCATCCAGAACCAGGTTAGTTTTGACTCGAACATGAATGAAAATTCTTCAACTGTGACAGTGACTGGACTTGCGCTCGGACATTGAAAAATTTTCATTCTGGGCCCGCCCCTGATGAGCAACCATATCTAACCCCTTTATAGGATGAGATGCTCAAGGCCGGTCGTCTCGACCGCAAGTACAACGGTATCGCCGACTGCTTCCGTCGTACTGCTGCCGCCGAGGGTGTTGTTTCGCTGTGGCGTGGTAACACTGCCAACGTCATCCGTTACTTCCCTACCCAGGCCCTGAACTTCGCCTTCCGTGACACCTACAAGTCGATGTTCGCCTACAAGAAGGAGCGTGACGGCTACGCCAAGTGGATGATGGGTAACCTGGCTTCCGGTGGTGCTGCCGGTGCTACTTCCCTGCTCTTCGTCTACTCGCTGGACTACGCCCGTACCCGTCTGGCCAACGACGCCAAGTCCGCCAAGGGCAGCGGTGAGCGCCAGTTCAACGGTCTTGTCGATGTCTACCGCAAGACCCTGGCCTCCGACGGTATTGCCGGTCTCTACCGTGGCTTCGGTCCCTCCGTCCTCGGAATTGTCGTGTACCGTGGTCTGTACTTCGGTATGTACGACTCGATCAAGCCCGTCCTCCTGGTTGGCCCTCTTGAGGGTTCCTTCCTGGCCTCGTTCCTGCTCGGCTGGACCGTCACCACCGGTGCCGGTGTTGCCTCGTACCCTCTGGATACCGTCCGTCGTCGTATGATGATGACCTCGGGTGAGGCCGTCAAGTACAAGAGCTCCATGGATGCTGCCCGCCAGATCATCGCCAACGAGGGTGTCAAGTCTCTCTTCAAGGGTGCCGGTGCCAACATCCTGCGTGGTGTCGCCGGTGCCGGTGTCCTGTCCATCTACGACCAGGCCCAGCTCCTGCTCTTCGGCAAGAAGTTCAAATAGATGATTCGCTGCCGTTCCTCCTGAGCCGCGGATGCTGAGGTTGTGGGATTGTCAAAAGATAGATGCGTCAAGAAATGGGTTCGGGGGGATCTTGAAGCATAGAATGGTGTGATTCTCTTTCCCTTTGGTTTACCCGATGTACTTTACTGCCTGCAAACTCTTTCTTTCTTTCTCAAATTTGTACTTCACTTTGTCTCTACCTTGCTCGCAAAAGTAAACCTGTAGACTGTAGGACAAACGCCAAGTCTTGGAGCTCACTATTGTGTGTCTCCAGGCCAATATCTTGGGCCTACGCGACGGCACTTGAAGATCAAGTCTCTTCTCTGGAAGCTTTTACCATGAACTTGGCGAGCGCCAGCCATATAGAGCGACACTAGCTACTGGCAAACTATCAACAGCCATCGCTCGATCGTCTACCGGCGCTGATGAGCAGTCCCGACCCTTTGCGATGCCATGGTCCGTCCAAGGGCTCCTTGCTGCGCATGAATGACGGCGTTGCAGCCCACTTTTTTTGGCGAGGCGAGCTATTATCCCATCGTTCCGTCGGTGGACGAAGCACTGGATGAGGACTTACGGCCGTCTCGACAAGACTCAGGCCGTGCTGCATTGTCCCCATAAACCCCATCACCGATCCCATCGGTACATTCTTCACCAACTCCCAGCCCGCACCGAATGGACGGTATTCGGCGTCGACGAAGGAACTGGCTGCATATCTGGATGTTAATGTGCCCCCGATGGCCAACTGCGGCAAGGTCCCTGATGATCCCCGCAGCCACTTGTACGTGTACATGCTGCGGACCGCAAGTCTGGCAAAGCCCTGGGGCATTGCTGGCGATGACAGCGCGGCGGCGCCGTTCCGCGTCGCGCGCCGCATCCACCAACACGGCGTACCGTCGACGTATGTCTTGCATGGAGAGGCGGACACAGCTGTGGGCGTGGAACAGTCTGATGAAGTTGCGGATGCGATTCTGGGATGTGGATTGACGGTTGAATATGAACGCCCTCATTGGGAGGACCACTTACTGGACCAAGGAGAGGGGTACTAGAACCCGGCACTATACAACTTTGTGATGCGGTATTTGCAGTATTTTATATTCCATTAAAATAAATACTTTCAAGTAGCTCCTTGCAAGTCCAGAATTGTATAGTTATATAGAGTTAACTATTTCATACTTTGTAAGCAGAGTCCATGCTCCACAGCAGCAAGGGCGCATGACGTCTGTTTCCCCGGTGGCTTCTTCACTTCTACTCTTTTTCAACCTCCTTTTCGCATCACATTTGAACATTCAATACTACACTCTCTCAATATGTCGGGCATACCGACCTACACCTCCGCGCCTGTGAACGCCAACTCCACCACCAACGAAGAAGACACGCACACCACAACCTCGCGCCCCGAACCCGCCACCGCAATCCAGTCCGCGCTCACGACTCCCCCCAACCACCCAATACTTCTGCAACGGCTACAGCACCGTCGTACTCGCCGATCTACACTACCACGCAGCCAGACGGTCCTCCCGCACCTCAGCCCGGCGCGGCGCCTACCTTGCCTATTCCAACGGCGACGACAGCTTCCGGAGGACAGCAGCCACCGCTGGGAAATGTAGCTGCTACAGCGACGACGCCGCTTGCGCCGACGAGTGCAGCTGCTCAGTCTCCGCCGGCGCCTCAGCCCGGCGCGCGTCCTGAGCCTCCTTCTGCGAGTGCAGCAGCCCCATCTGCTATTCCTCCACCGCCAAAAGCAGGCGAACCAATTCCGCCCTCACTGTCTTCTCCTGCTCCCGCTACAGCTACTTCTACTACAGCACCCGCACAGAAACCCTTCACCCAATCCTACTCCTACCAGTCCCCCACCGTGCAGCAGCAACAAGCAATCCCAAACTCGACATCTACCCCCTTCTCCTCGGTATACCAATCCCCCGGCGCGGCGGGGAGACCGCAGGGCCTACCAACGCATTATGGTGGCAGTGGTGGCGGGAGTGGAGGAGTAACGGGAAGTATCTTTGCAGGCGAGGATGAGCCCAGCATGTTCAACACGGCCAAGGCGTGGATGAACACGGCAGGGAACAAGTTAGCGGAGGTGGAGGCGGAGGTCTGGAAGCGGATTAATGATGCGCATGGTGAGAAATAGGGCTGCTGTCAAGCGATGTGCACCTTCTTCGATCATGGGGAGAAGAAAGGAAAGTAACTAAAGTGTTGTTGTCGGTTTAGAGTGATGGACATGGCTGGTTTCGGTAATGCTTGTTTGTTGTTATTTGCTGTGTATGGTTATGGCGAATTCTAATTGTGCATGTTGTTCATCCAAGGCCCAAGGAAAGAAGGAAGGGATGGTGGTTGCATATTATTTTATGATTGAGGTGGATTTTGGGGATTTGTATGGACTGCTCCACACCCAGCTTACCTCTGTATACATAAAGGAATATCTTGCAGGAGAAGGTGATAGGGGTATCGCGGAGAGAAACCAGATATCGGTACAACTATTCGTATACGAAAATTCACGGGTCCTCATTTTACAGATAAGAGTATGCATGCACGTTTCTTAGAAACTATGTACTTGCGGAGTGGAGTCAATTCCTCGATGCAAATAAATGCCCAGTGGAATCAATCAAGATGACCAGGCAATTTGCACCACGCAGTAGCAGACCAACAACCAGACAGATTTTGTACCCAGTACAGTACAATCAAGACGACCAAAGCACATTCTGGTCATGGCAATAGGCTGACCTTTTCCCTCAACCCAGGAATCCGAGATCATTAAAAAATAAGTAAAACCAAAATAGAATCCATCCCAGAGATGTACTGGATGGACTTGATGAAGAAACGCCACAGAGCCCCGATATTTGGGGTAAGCAGTGTCCGGAGCCGGACACTGCAGTGAGTAGAACAGGACCGACGGTGTCAGGAGACCTGCTCAGATTTGATCATAAGACGTGAGGAAAACAAAACCCAGAACGCCGACCCAAGAAACCAATGCATGTTATCGAACCAGTCGCAGTTGAAATAAAAAGTTTGCGAATTTCTGGTCGTGTCTTTTTCAAGATTAAGTGTCGCGAAACAAAAAATGGGCCAACAAGCCCGTCAAGCGCGGTCCGGTCCAGCCTTGACGACCTGATTATGGACGTGGTTTGTGATTCCCAACCCGAAAAAAAAAACGCCGGTGATGATGATATAATGATGGTGATGAATGTGGACTTTACATAGAGCCCAGTCGCAGAAGCGCCTCCACTGCAGCGCGTTCCTGGGTGTCGATGTTGGTAGAGGCGGACTTGGACGGGGCGTTGGCGAAGAGGCCAGTAGGCTGCGGCTTCGCTCGCGCGGTGACGTGGCTGGGCAAGAAACCGCCACCACCGTTCATCGAGCGGGCGCGCAGCGCATCCGCGCCAATCTGCGCCCAGTCCTCTTCGTCGGTGACGTCGCCTTCGCCCCAGTCCTCGTCTTGCATCTCGTCGGGAGCTTCCGAGGAGGAGCAGTACTCGCGCTCGTCGCCATCAAGTGACATCTTGTCAGCCTCATGCTCGAGCATGTCGAGATCCCCATGCGCGCCATAGTCCTCAGAGTACGAGAACGCCGTGGAGTCAGCGCCTATGCTCGTGCCGTAGGGGGCCCGGCCTTTGTTGAGCCAAGCCGTCGAGCGACCCTGGATTTGCAGGCCGCGCTGCTGGAATGAGCCAGGAATACTGGACGGAGGCGAGGTTGCCTGATCGCGCGCGGGCTCTCCTCGGTGGTGCGCGTCCCAGCAGCCCCAACCGGCCTTCTCGAAGATGACATCGCCATCCACTCCGCCGGATTGGCCTCCCTGGCCACGGCCTTCCAGCGCGGAAACAACTAGTCGGCGCGCCTTGGCAGCGGGAATGCTCGAGAAGCCTGGCACCGAGGTGGTCAGGTAGCCCATGACATGACGAATAGCCATCGGGCCCTGGTGCAGCAGGATCTCCGGCAGGTGGTATTTGGCCAGCATGGCGGGCGTGATTGCGCCGGCGCTGTCGGGTTCGTGCGCAGCCTGCTGGGGCTGATCCTGGCTGTTCGCATGCTCGACAGCGTCCTGGAGGTCGATGTCGGAGTCGAGCTGGGGCACTGTCGACAGCGGCGATCCGGGCGAAAAGGTCGCGCGGTGCTTGAAGGCTTGCGGGGGAGGGTAGGGGAGATGGAGTTGGGTGGCGTGGGCAGCATCGCAGGCTGACCAAGACGACGCGACGGGGCACGACCCGACGCGAGTCCCGACCGAGCCTGGGGGATGTCGACGGAGCCAGTCTTGCCGGTAAGAGCCATCGCGATGGTGGAAGTAGACGGTTGACGGGCCATGATGGGCGAAGAAGGAGGAAGGGGGTTGTGTTGGCTGTTTTAATATCATATGAGTCAGACGGTCCAGTGGTTCGCAACTACGAAGGGGCGCCACCGAGCTGATAAGGGGTGGCGACAGTGCCAAAGAAGCATCAACAAAGAACACACATACCTGATACACAGACAACACAAAGAACACGGGTGGTGCAGTGAAGCAGAACGCGACGTGTTCAGGGCTGATGGGGCCGGATGAGGACCACGACGGGAGATGCGACGCGATCGGGGGGAGGAAGATAAGGCGCGATAAGATACAGACCGGGGCGCAAAGCGACGGTCCGGGGGGAAAGTGAGAGTAGAACTTGGATTTAGTCTTGGAGGGAGGGAAGGGAAAGAAAGAAGAAGGAAGAAGAAAGAGCGAGAGAGAGGGAAGGCACAGGCAGGGTAGGAGGGGGCAGAACGTGTGTACAGCAGCAGTAACCATGTGCGGCCAGTCAAGGCGCCAGCAGCCAAGGCGTGGCCGGGCGGACCCGGATTCTTGATTTAGCACTACAGTATATGATTCCTCTTCTAGCTAACTACTGTGTATTATTATTTCACTCTCTTCTACTGCTTTGCCAGTATGACTGTAGATGTTTCTCTCCTTGCCTACCCAGCTGTACCCAAGCATAGTAGCTGTATTCCTACTAGGATGCTAGGAAGTCAGTTCCCTGCCCCCGGACTGGGTAACCCCTCATACTAGACGTTGTAGCGCAACCAGAAACCCCTCAACCCTAGTGCACCACCATTGCAGACTTGGTACCGCCTGATAAGAGCAGCCGATCGCACGTGCGCCACACGCTGGCCCAAATGCGGCCAAGGCCAACAAACGCACACGTCTACCAGTCCGGTTACATCATCGAGTGTACTATTCTTTCTCTTACCTAGAAGTAGTATGTACACCTGGACCTAGACATACATTACACCTTCCATTATTATTCCTATCTTAGGCATGTCTACTTCCTACATACACACAGGTGAGTCTGGACACAAGTGGAGCCTGACGTCACTTGTTCCGGTTCGGAGACGGAGTACTAGAATAAGAAGACCCAACCCACACAACTATTATTATGAGTGTTATTGTTGCGGGAATTATTCTTCTGGTGCAAGTATTCCCATGAGAGTAGACTCCAGCCAATTATGTCCGCATGCAACCAGCATGCCCGTCCGACCTCGGGAATGCTCGCCTCACCCCCGCCTCCGGTATCGCGTTGCCGGGCAAATAATCCCGCGGTATGCATTAATATTACATTGGAACACTCCACTCGATCTAGATTTCTAGCCAGGGACCACACTGACGCATACTCCCGCTCTTCCCGTACCCTGTGGGGAGTGTGGAATGGACCGTTAGCGAGGACGCCTTATTTAGGGCTTGAGGTTTCAAACCCTGTGCCACATGACTCACGTCTGGTCGGGGGGTCTTGCGGCGACTGAGTCGTGTGCTGCGCAGCCCGAGGTGTCTTGATCCTCCGGTACATCAATAATAACTGGTCTGTTAGGCGATACCATGTTTTTAGTAGTGAAAGCCCGTAAAAAGAGACCTAAATACTGCTGCAGTATGATCAACGAAGTAGAAGGCGACTAATGCAGCATGAAGGACAATGTGCCTCCCGTGATATCGTGATATTGAGTGAATATACAATTTTGAGACTAAATCCCATCCTATATACAATCCTGCAAGTCACCCAATGCTGCAAGCACCAGTGATTTACCGAGCCTCATCAACAATCTCAAGGTTACCCACGCGGAACTTCTGGCCCGTCATATCCGCGTAGTTGGTATGGTTGTGATAGTTCTTCACCCGCTCCCTCACATATTGAAGACCACGAACCGGCTCGTTTTCTTCCTGGTTCTCAGGAACCAACCCCAACCGTTTAAGCAGCGGCGACGGCGCCGGCTTGATATCAACATTGTCACCAGGCCGCACGAAGTAGAAGAGACCCAGCCGGTGAATGTGAGCCTGGTCCTTTGGAGGCCGGACGACGCGGTGGGTTGTCGACTTGAGGTACCCGGCAGACCAGAAGTCCAGCGTGTCGCCGACGTTGCAGATAATGCCGCCGTCAACTGGTGGGACGTACTCCCACTTGCCGCTGGGGGTCTTCAGCTGCAGACCGGCGACGGTCTGGTTCCAGAGTAGCGTCAGGGACCCAAAATCTGTGTGTGCACGCGACCAGCTGTTGTCGACCTTCGCATCGTCCTCCTCGCTACGCGGGTGGTAGATCATGTATCGGAGGTGGTCGTCGCCTCTCTCGTCGTACCGGTGTCCGGATGAGAAGTAGTCTTCTGGGAGTTCGAGGAGGATTGCGCAGAGCTCAAATATCTTACTGGCAATTCCGAGGGCGCGCTGAAAATAAAAATCAGTTTATCTGATTGCAGGAACAGTTGTATACTGTTTCACGCACCCGAGAGAAATCCGCCATCTCAGCACGGTAGGGCTCGAAGAACGGATGGAACGGCTGGTCGGCGTATGCCTGGGTGAATTTGGCAAAGTTGAACGACTCAACGTTGTCCTTGACCTCGGTGCCCTTGATCTGCTTTTCGTTTGCCTGCAAGTGATCTCTTGGTTAGGTAGACAGTCGCAGAAAGTAACAATGGAAGACCACATACAGCGCGATAACCAAAGTAGTTGCCATTCGCAAAGTCACACCGGTACTCAGGACGAGTTCGCTCTTCGAGGGGAAGATTGAAAAAGGCCTGGCCGATATCGTACTGTCGTTGGACCTCTTCGTCCGTGAAGCCGGTACCGACAATACTGAAGAAGCCGGTCTCGTGGATCTATATCTTGTTAGCTATCCCGTTCTATCATGCGACAGAGCCAGTTGATTTACTGCGTCACGGAGATCTGCTGCTAATTTTTGCTTGCCGCCAGGCTGATCGAAGGTACTCAGATCGATAGTTTTGATGTTTGCCCATTGCAAGTTCTCTGAAGTCTTAGCCGGCTGCTCCCAATGGGGCAGGTCGGGACCCTGGATAGTAAGTGCTGGCGACATTGCGATGCTTGTCTGAAGTGAATTCACGGCTTCTATTTACTGTGTCTGCTCATGAGGGGGGTTGTCGAATCTCCCCGCACCAGGACGTAAAAGCGCATTTGTACCTTTCTCCCCTCCGATTTTTGGTTGGGCTCATTGGTCGAATGACTTCTTTCATCACACCATCCGCGCCCCCAATCGCAAATATTTTTGACTCTCGGCCAAAATACCGAACTGAAGAACATTTACCTTCAATTCCTTGACCAAATCCCGAATTCCATATCCCGTTCTCTGGTTCTCTCTTATCTCCCCGTACGCTTTTTCAATGATCTCGCGCTTATTCGACACCAGCTCTGGATATGATGCCATCCTTGTCAATATGTCAATTTGAAGGCGTGCTCACTCCCAACTGCTTGTAACTTTTTTTTATAGCGACGATGCCGGTAACTCTCCGTAGAGCTGGAATATTCCGATTCTGTTCGGTTCGCAAGCCCAATCCTGACGCAGACCATCTATCGGCGGCATCAATTTGTCTCCATAACTATTCAGGATGGACTCAATAGATATTCACGACAAGGCGCCTTCTCCCCCGTGAAAGATGTATCGGAGTCTCCGAGCGATGGCCGCAGTCTGGAAGAAACAGTAGATGCTGCCAGTGCTGGGCGCAAAAAGGCTGACAGACATATCTTGATCTGGTATTCTTTTGTCTATCTCGTCATGAGAGTTCATGTTAGCAATATCAGCAACTCAGCCATCATGAACCTGGAGCAGGGGACAGGCATTGAGAAACAGCTGGGCAATCTGAACAGCCAGCAGTGGGCCTGGGTGCTCAGCATTTTCTACTACCCGTACATGTTCGCCGAGCCACTGGCAACGCTGGCACTCAAGCGTTTCGGTCCGAATGTGTGGATGAGTCGCATCATGGTCTCTTGGGTGAGTATCCCGCTCGATAGAAGTCATAGCAAGACAGGGACTGATGAGCAAGGGTATCTAGGGTATTGTTTCGATGTGCCAAGGTGCCACCCAGAACTATGCCGGTATCCTCACAACCCGCTTCTTCCTAGGGCTATGTGAAGCTGGGTTCTACCCTGGTGTCCTCTACCACCTGAGCTTTTGGTACCCAACCAGCAGGCTTCCCCTAAGAATTGTGAGTTGCTCTGTTTTCTTCGATAGCCATTGAGCCAGACTGTACAAAGCAACATTCTGATTAATATGATAACACAGGGCGTCTTCTACGCAAGCGGCATGTTCTCTGGAACTATCAGTGGACTATTGGGTATGTCTAGCAGCCACAAGACAAGGCGAATAGCGCACTGACGAAATCACTCTTCAAGCATACGCAATCTCCTACATGAATGGAATCCGTGGTCTTGCCGGCTGGCGATGGGTAAGCTCCCAGAGGTGAATGTCAAGGTGGTGATATACTGACATGCATAAACTAGTTATTTATCCTCGAAGGCATGCCAGCCATTCTGTGCGGCATCTATACATACTTCTTTCTCCCGAATTGTAGGTTATACCTATCACTACTAACTATGGGGAACTCCCTGCTAATACTCTTCAGACATTGATACGGCCAGATTTCTCAAGCCCGAGGAAAAGGAGGCCCTCCGCGCAGATTTGGCTGAGACTGCGCCGGACATGAAGGCTAAAACATGGAATTTCGACCAGCTCAAAACGGCCTTCAAGGACCCCACGTTTATTCCATTTACTTTTATCTGGATCGGTCATGGTATCGGCGGCTTTGGTATAACTTTTGTCTTGCCGACTGTTATCTACCAGCTGGGTATGACCGATACGGCCATCTCCCAGATTATGACAATGGTGAGTAGCTGCAACCGCAGATTTTTTTTCGACAAGACTAATGACATCCCGAAGCCACCCTATACGTTCAACTTCATCTTCCTCGTCACGATTGCATACTTTGTCCACAAAGGCCGTCTCAATTCCTGGGTTGCTGCTCTTGGAATTGAGGCATTGCAAATAATATGCTATATCCTACTGATTACCGTGAGCGATTCCGTGGCAAGGTATATCTTCGTTATGATTGCCACCGCCGCGTCTCAGAGTTTGTTTCCAATTGTCTGGCCGGGTGAGACCTCTCCATCCCCAAATTCTTCCAACGCTAGTGGCTAATATTGCTACTCTGCGCCAGAGCGTATTCGAGCTGCTCATGGTACAACGGCAGCAGGTGTGGCCATTGGGATGACCAATGGCGCGGCCCAACTGATGGGTATTGTGGTGAGTACCACCGTCTTGAACGTGTCATGATATTGTTTCTCTCGCTAAGACTAGTGCCAATGTTAGGGACCTCAAATCTACCAATCCAAGTTCGGGCCTTACTACCACGTCAGCTACGCCTGCTCTATTGGCTTGCTATGCTTCGCCTGCATGGCAATTGGTAGCTGCTGGTACTTTGTTGTTAGGAATGATCGTCGGTCACGCCAACAGGAAATTTCAGAGACAGACGTATCTGCGGTATCTTCAGTCAAGACGGAGTTACGAGGGTACAGGGCTGACCTCGGAGAATCCGAGGGCCATTGAGCCTCGACTCCACTCTCTACTTGACTCCCTAGTTCAATTTTTGCTTTGACGAAAAGAATTCTATATAAGTACCGCCGCTGTGTATATATCCTTGTAGAGGCCCTTCATACACGAAATGCAGAGAAATCTAAAATTGGTACACATATAGCTCAGCTTTGGGTGAGTCTTTGAAAGTCCCGTGAACCCGCGAACCATAACTTGAGTTGGACTTCTTTGGCTCTACCAAGGTTCCAAAGCAGCCATTTGTGGCATTGGTGCTCAGTATTATCTTTGATACCTGTTTGCCTGAGACGTTCATCGCGATTTTGGCCGGTGCCCAGGAGATGTCTCTTGGAGACCATGAGAATGCCGTGCTGTTGCCGTCAGAAAATCCAACCGTTACATAAAGCAGGCCATCGAGCATTGGTCCAGCATTGGTGGTTTGTCCCAGGTTGTCTGTGCGTTGCCAAACTGGAAATTCCAGGCGGGATCCTGATTTTGGAGGATCATAAGTTGCTTCTATCGTTTGCCAGTTGCGAATCCGACCGTCCAATTGATACGAAATAGGAGGCTCCGGTTGAGCGCTGATATTACTTGCCAGAGGAATGTGAACTGTCGGTGGACATGTGTAGTTCTTGATAGTGTGGTCCTCATTGAACTCGAGAGGAAAGAAAAAAGTGCTGGAGGCCGCTTGGTGGTTATCTCCATGCCAGATTGAGCCGTTCACGACAATGTCTGTAGGCGAGGTGCGGTATCCTAGGTTCCCAGCGACGACAATCGGTCCTTTCGCCGAGGGAAGCACATTTGCGCCCTTATTTTGGCCACCACAACCATCGAGACTGACAAAGCCACCATCGATATAAGGTCCCAATGGGTTCTTCGCGTAGAGGTAATAAATTGGGCCAGCACAATTTTGGCATGTTCTTCCAAACATCATGTACCAATATCCGTCGTGGTAGAAGAAACTGGCGGCCTCGAGATGTAGTCCCTGTGCGTAGAGAGAGCGGGCAGTGCGGATTCTTGCTGATGTCTCGTTGGTGCCCACAGTTGCAGTAAGATTAGGGGCCAGCTTCTGGACCCAGATATCCCAAATAGGCAGTGTATAATAGTCATTGAAAGACAGCATCTCGGTAAAAGGATCCGAGACGATGTAATGGCTCCCGTCAGGTCCAACGGCGACGTCAAAATCGTGGTTGATATGCGTTCCTATCATCAGTCGTGGAGGATCACTCCACGGACCTCCAGGGCTCTTTGAAGTTGTGTAATAGAAATTCCCTTCACTGGGAGAGCCCATATACATCACGTAGTTCCCAGTGGCATTACTGTAACGGACCACGGGCTTTGTCACATTGGCAACCGTGATATCGGGTTGGTAGAAGGTTTCCAGAGTCCATTTGGTGAGATCCGGAGAGGAGTATGACTTGATTCCACAGTTTCCTTTCTCGCCGTACCGGCCGGGTGGATATACGGGTGACTCAGGGAAGTTGATGCCTTCAACAATGCCATAGACAAATATGTTGCCACCACAGCCCCATGTTGCTGAATGCATCCAGTATTTCCCCTCAAAATAGTTCAAGTGGGCTTCGACTTGCTCCCGGCCGTTACCATCCACGGTGAGTGGATAAGTGGGCTTACCGTAAGGAAGACCCTGGAGTGGATGAGGGGGTAGGCCATCGTCATTGTCTAGGATGTCGTCCGTTGCAAAGTTTATATAAGTGGCATAATTAGGGCCGCTGGTTGGAGAGGAGGAAACAAAAGATGCTGCAAGCACTGCAGATGCAGCAAAACTGAAGAGACGAACCATGGCTGAGATCTTGAGACTTGCCTGGCTTCTTACTGAGATGAAAGTTCTTCTGTCCCTTTATATATCTGTGTTAATCAAACTTGATTTAATAAATCAAAATAGTATCCCATCATTAGCTCTCTATATTACGCCATGTGTCCCGATAGCCGTGCCTGAGCGGAAATTTTCGTGAGCAAAGCGGACCATTGAGTTAATCAAACCATGCCTCAGAGAGCAACAAAGATAAAATTATCTGGAACCAAACAGAACACATAATTCCGGCTATCGGGATATTGGAAATCTCGATCTCCCCCGCATTGTCAAATCTGGGGGAAAGGAGTTGTCCGCGTAGTTCATCGGTTCAATCGCGGGTATCGGAGACCGACTCCCGAATATCGGGGGGGGACGGGGGTTGCACTGATCATGTTAGTTATATTGAACCATAGAGTAAGATAACTAATTCTAGCGAAAGAAGAGCCGTGCTAGTTGTATTGTTGGAGCATTAATTGTTGTGTATAGATATGAGACCCCTGAGGCAAGCTCATAGATGTAATAGTCTAACCTAAAGCGATTAGCGCATTACGGGACAGGCATTTCTCTTGGCCAGTTGGATAACTTGATTCATCAGCCCCTACGTGGATATCGGAGACTAATATGGATTCAGCTGCCTTGGGTCGTCGTTCGCATAGAAAGTCAAAGGCAGGATGCTTGCAGTGTAAAAGGAGGAAGGTGAAGGTAAGTCCGCCCAAGTCTGCCTCCCGCCTAGATTATTCACGCTTGTCCCATTCCCAGTGCGATGAACGCAAACCTGTCTGTCGCAACTGTACAGTACACGGCGTAGACTGCTCTTTCGAGGAATTATCGAATCACAGCCAAGGCCGTAAACCTGCTGGATCAGAACAAAGACAAGAGACGACCAGCCCTCGAGGATACATCCCAAGTCCCAATTTAGGTCAATTAGGGCCGCTTCCAGCAGAATTTGCTGTCTTTGATCTTGAACTTTTGCACCATTATATGTCCTCAACCTGCTACACACTATCACGAGTCCCCGCCATACAGTCTGTTTGGCACGAACACGCCCCTCGAATTGGATTCTCCACGCCCTTTGTGTTACATGCACTACTAGCCATTTCCGCGCTTCATCTTGCGCGCTGCGAACCCCATCGGCGTGCTGGCTGTTTCTCTCGGGCACAATGGCACCATGATATCGCCATTCGCAGTGTTGTGCCGGCCGTTCCCTCTCTTGCATCCGAGAATAGTGTCGCACTTTTCTTATTTTCGTCCCTTACATGTATCTTCTCCTGTGCGTGTAACCGCGATGAGGAAAGCTTTTTGACTTTGTTCGAAGGGGGTCGACTATGCGATTGGGTTCGCCTATTTCGCGGAACGAAAACCATTATTGATTCCAGCAGCGAGGACTTCCGCACCGGAAAGCTCGCACCTATCTTTCTAAATGGCTCCCATTCATCAGCTGTGCGCCGTGGGCCACAGGCCATGGTCCTGGGCCAGATGTATGTTTGGGAATTAAAGAGAATGATTGACAAGCAATGCTCTCACAACGAGCCACTTCTGCGAACTTATCAAGAGACCGTAGACAATGTTGGCCGGACGCTGGGAGTGGTTCTGAAATTGGGCGAGGGACGGGGTCTTGAAACAGCAGACGTTTTTGCATGGCTGCTTGAAGTATCGGATGATTACTTGGACCTGTTGCGAACATGGGATCCCATCGCCCTTATCATATTTTCATATTTCTGCGTGGCTCTCCGCCAGATTGAATGGATGTGGTGGATGGAGGGACTCAGTGGGCGACTTATGAAGCAGATAACCTCTGTTCTTGATGAGAAATATTGCAGCTGGCTGAGGTGGCCGAAAGAGCAAATTGGATGGGATACTCTGGGATCTTCATGATAATAATTTAGTTTTAAACAATCGCTAAATAGAAATTCTACTATGATTCCGAAGCTTCTCTCCAAAAAGCTGGAACAGAATCGGAATTGGCGCAATGCCGAGAGCGATGAATGCCAATAAGCTGTTCCCCCATCCCAGTCCAATTGCATTGTATAGCTTCAACCCGCACAAAGGCAGAAGACCTCCCATTAGACTGCGCAGAACGGTACACGCTGCAATTGCACTGGCAGCATGAATAGTAAATGCGTCGACCAAGTAGGTCTGGACACACATAAGTATGATAATCATACCGTATCCAGTGACGGCATTACCAATCTCAGGAACAATCCAGTGGACGTGTTTGTCTGTCGACCAACCATAGATAAAAAGCCCAATGGGAACAGACAGAGCACCAGGAAATGTCATGTAAAATGGGAGCCGATCCTCTGGTTGGAGAGTTTCCTGTCGCTGGATCTTTAATTTGATCCTGCGATCGCTAAGGTATGCACTGTATGCAAGGCCCACGAGCATACCAACGCCGCTACCCAAAAATGAAAGGCCACTTGTTCCAGCGGAAAACCCATATTGACCCTCGAAAACTTCGGTGAAGGTTGTGAAAAGGATATAAAGAAGACCGTAAAGAACTGCGATATAGATGGACAGCGAGGCCACGATGGGTGAGAGCAGCAGCATCTTGGTTGGCCGTACCAGGCTTCTCAAAAAGAGTTCTTTGGGCGAAGCACCAGAACTCAAGCGAGAAGTGTAGGACTCGTTCCCCGTTGTTTTCCGCAGTCGAGCCGCCTTTCGTTCCAGGAGGATTGGGGTATATGTTTCGGGGACTGCAAAGAAGAAGACAATGGACGCAGCACCACCCTGTGGGAAAAAGTCAGAATAGGTTTCATAATTCACGAAGGGGCTTTTATACCGCTATTGAAAGCACCCAAAATACCCATCTCCAACTCGTTGCCTCGACTAGAAACCCACCAGCAACGGGGCCAATGATGGGACCAAAAAGCGGTCCTAATGACCACAAGGCCATTGCTTTGCCTCGGCTTTGTGGCGGTATAAGATCTGCAATCGTGCCACTACCCAAGGTTGTGGGTGTCACGCCGGCGAATCCACAAAGGAATCGGAAAACAATCAGCGACGCCAGATTTGGAGCAACGGCGCTAGCAATGTTGAATATCAGAAACAGGACGTTGCAGGTATTGTAGACGATTGTTCGACCATAATGTTCGCTTAGTGGTGCAACGACCAGAGGCCCAAATGCAAATCCCAGGACATAGATCGAGACTATGAAAGTCGCAAGGAGAGCAGAGTTGATACCGAAGTCAGCCATGACCTGCGGGACACCAGGAGCGAACATTGAAGATGCCAGAGGACTATTCTGGTAAGTATAGATCGAAACAAGGTTTTTATGGTACGTACGTCAGAAAGGTAATGAAGGAGACGATCCCGACAATGGTCCATTTGCGTGCGTTGCTCCAATTCATCGGATTTGCAGGGTCTTGATCGGGAGGATCATCCCAAAATACCTCAAACTCACTTCCTTCATTCTTGCTCCCTATGTCTTCCTCCTTGATTTCCTTCACTCCGTCTGTAGTTCCTTGACTTCTATTTCCAGGAGGAGATGTCTCTGCAGAGGCTCTGGGCGACATCGCTCCGCATGCGTTATAACCATGGACGAGTGTGGTTGTTTTTTGTTGCACATGGAGAATATGGCAAATTATTATACTGAGCGTGTATTTCTGCTGATGGCTTTCACGGGAATGAATGTTTCCGATTCATTTTATGGAGATGAAATGCATAAGAGAAGGCTCGTCATTTGATCGTTAAGCGGGCTCGTATTCGGAACGGAGAAATCATGATTGGTCGTTTATTTAGTTCAGTAGCAACAATGTGGGGTTGTAGAGCATTTATGCTTCACAAAGATCCAGAGCCAGAGGCCCAAAACCTGCAGTTCGCACTTCAAAAAAGGAGTTGGTAGTTTGCAATTGTGAAATACTGCTCCATGGACCCTTTCTTCTATCTAGCTGCTTAATTGAGCCACCCAATGTTCAATAACGTAAAATAGAAATGATCTACATCGTGTTCGGGTTCGGGCTCGGCTTTGGACGAAACGGAAACTACTTCTCCCGACATAATGGCAGGGGGTATCCTATTTGTGCAAGCCCAGTTCCAATATCAATACCTTGTTTCTTCAAGATGATATCTTGATTTTCAAGTGGCTTCTGATCCATTCCAGGATATGGTGACACTGACACACTAAGCATTTAGACTCTGCAAATTGCACCGGCACTGTCCTCATAAAGAACGTGGGATCTTCTCCTCAAAAACCCCCGCTTTCACAACAATTGAAAAGATGCTTTTCGAAAATACAGCTCTTGATGTGAAGTCCGGGGCAGCCATTTGTATTTTCACAGTGAGTTCAAATGCTTCCGGATAATATCTTCGCTAACGAAAAACAGGCCGTTTCGTACCTCATCACCAAAGCTATTTATAATGTCTTCTTCCATCCTCTCAGCCGCTTTCCTGGTCCAATATCCCACGCACTGAGCCGTCTCCCCTATTGCGTGCGGGCGGCCAGAGGAACACTCCCATTTGATATGCTGGAGCTCCACAATCGCTATGGTGACATTGTCCGGATTGCGCCAGATGAGCTGGCTTTCTCCCACCCTGATGCATGGAAAGATATCATGGGACACAAAAAAGGCGAGCCAGAAATGGAAAAAGCTCGATGGTTCTATCAGCCGCTTGAAGACGAGCCACTTCATATCGTTAATGAAACGAGAGAGCAACATGGGCAGCTGCGGCGGCAAATGGCTCATGGGTTTTCGGAGAAGGCGATGAGGGACCAAGAGCCATTGATCCGGAAGTATGCTGACCTCCTACTTGAAAAATTGCGCGGATTTAGCAAAGAAGGAAAACCAGTTGTTCTCTCAGATTGGTACAACTATACGACATTCGACATTATTGGAGATTTGGCTTTTGGAGAGCCCTTCGGCTGTTTGGCAGGGTCAAATTATGACGAATGGATTGCAGGCATCTTTCAAGCAGGACGAGTGGGCACCATTTTACAGAGTCTATCGTTTTATCCATGGGTCAAACACGCTTTGTTGTCACTGGTTCCCCAATCAATTCAAGAGGGTCGCAAGCGACACAAGAAGCGGACCTCGGCAAAAATGGCTCGACGAATGCAAAATAGCGAAGGACGACCTGATCTTATTGAGGGGCTATTGAGGAAGAAAGACGAATTGGTACGTAAAAAAGTTCTTGACTTGCGTCGGTATCTAACAGGTCCAGAATCTCGGCGTCGAAAATCTGGTTGCAAATGCGGAAATTCTCATCATCGGGGGCTCTGAAACTACTGCGTCGTTATTGAGCGGAGTGACATATTTCCTGCTTGAGAATTCTGATGTCTACAAAACATTGACTGAAGAGGTTCGCTCAACATTTCAAAGTCAAGAAGATATCAATTTGATCTCTGTGACTAAATTGCCATACATGTTGGCTTGTCTTGACGAGGCACTTCGCATGTTTCCACCCGTTGCAAATGGTCTCCCTCGTGTCTGCCATGGAGCGGTGATCTCAGGACAATACATCCCAGAGAATGTCAGTTAGCCTGAGATTATCTTCTGCACCTCTGCTGATCACCAATCTATAGACCTATGTCTCCATTCATCACTGGGCGCTCTATCGCCGACAAGAGTACTTTGCTGAGCCCAACACCTATCACCCAGAGCGCTTTTTGGGAGATGCTAAGTTCGAGAATGACCGTCGAGAAGTCTTGCAACCATTTCATGTTGGCCCGAGAAATTGTCTCGGAAGGAAGTAAGTATAAGTTCTTTTTTGGTCGACTTGATTGCTGACTTGTTGTTAGTCTTGCATATAGCGAGATGCGTCTAATTCTTGCTCTGATAGTCTTCAATTTCGACATGAAGATTTCGGACGACTGTCATGATTGGATTAAGCAAAGGAATTTCCTTATGTGGCAAAAGGGTCCATTGAAAGTCCATTTGACACCGGTGTCGAAAGATTCCTCATGAGCGCGGGCGCACCTTAGTTTTTCAATAGTTATCACAAAAAACAAATGCTCTCAAGTACAGTTATTCTAGACTAAATCTATACAATCCCTCAGTGTGGGAGTGTTTATCCACGTGATCTCCGCTTCCGATCCGAATCATCGGCTTCCGACAGTCCTAAACGGAACGTCGCGGGGCTCTCAGTTCTGGAGCTCTTTGACGTGGGTGCAAGCGCCCACATCCGCAGTGGCTAAAAGCGTCCAACCGACGCGCACCCGACGGTCAACTTGGAGTTCAGCCGAATCTGAGATGACGGTTTATATTTATTGTCACCCGCGACTCCCATTTCTTGACTTTCTATATTCTCCACCGTTCAATACTACGTACTGCCTGCAATCCACGACCCAGAACCTTGGCAAGATATTGCAGAGCATCCCCTACCCGTTTCACGTCACACTAAGTACAAGGAAAAAAATTCATCCATTGATCGGCCCCAGAAAGAACAGCCAACATGGCCAGTGACGGCACTATATATTCACCCGTCCTCGAGACGAGCAGGATCTTCTCCGATCTCTGCGAGCAGTCGGAGCGTCTAAATCTGCCGGCTGAAGTGGTGGCGAACAAAGATCGGGTCTCGTTTTCCACCAGCCACAACGAGATCTACTACCCGATCCCGTTCAAAGAGACCGAGACGCTCGCCGCGCTGAAGGGGATCGAGGGCTCTGTAGCTGCTGCAATCGCAGATCTGCGCTTTGGGTGCAATGCGAAACCCCGCGGCGTCCAGGTTAGCCTGGAGGGTGCCACCGCGTTCGGATGCCAGGCGTACATGGCTAAGGTGGATGGATTGTCTAAACTGGACCCGAATGTGAAGTCCAAGTTAAAGGGTAAGCTGTTTTTCATTATCGGTCACTGTTGTTTCTAATTGTATCTCTCAGACACGGATTTGTTGGCGGCCCAGTCAAACGGCTATCGTCGCATGTCGGCGAATCTCTACAAGACCAAGAACCCGGGCGAATTCTTTCATATTCATGGATCACTCGAGGCATCCACAACGCTTAATATGATCGGCCTGGAGGGCCACCGGCCAGATCTGACCGATTATGAAGAGATCATTAAGGTGATTGAGAGCCAAGTGCAGAAGTATTCCGTTGCCGAGCTGGAGCAGATGAACAAGAACCGGCGGCAGGCTGGCGTGACGGCGTACAAGTACGAGGACTTCATTAAGACTCCTCATGTAAGATTTCCTCCTCTATTTTTCACGCTCCGACCTCCTAACCCTCCCAGGGAAAACTCAATGTGCAAGAACCTCCATGGAAAGTCACTCAGCTGCCTGGCAATCTGCCTCCGACTCCCTTCCCAACCAGCCGCAATGGGAGTAAGAAGATCCTAGAGGGCATCAAAGTCTTGGAAATGTGCCGAATCATCGCCGGCCCAACCGTTGCACGCATTCTGGGCGAATACGGCGCCGATGTCTTGAAGATCACCAGCCCGAACTTATCCGACGTGCCTTTCTTCCAGGTTGACGGCAATATGGGCAAGCATGCAGCAGATCTCGACTTGAAGACTGAGGCAGGACGACAGGTATTCGAGAGGCTGCTAGAAGACGTCGATGTCATCGTGGACGGGTATCGTCCCGGCGCGCTGGAGAAGTTGGGCTATGGCCCGCAGATGATGGCGGCACTGGCCGAGAAGCGCGGCAAGGGCATTGTGTACGTCAACGAGAACTGTTTCGGGTACGAAGGCGAGTGGGCCGGACGGGCTGGATGGCAGCAGATTGCCGACTGCGTCACTGGGATTGCCTGGGCACAGGGCAAGTTCATGGGTCTTTCCACGCCCATTGTGCCTCCATTTCCCATCTCCGACTACGGAACTGGCTGTATGGGCGCCATCGCCGCGCTCTCGGGTCTATACCACCGCGCTAAGACCGGCGGTTCTTACCACGGCAAGGCATCACTGATGCACTACGACTTGCTGCTGTTTGCAGTTGGCCAGTACCCTGCTGAAGTGCAGAAGGAACTCCTTGCCGCACAGCCGCCTGAGTTCTTCAAGCTCCGCCACTGCGATAGCGTCGACCGCATCTCGTCGACTGTCCTGAAGGCCATGCAGGCCCGTTTCCCGCACCTGTACACATCTGCCGGCGAGAGTGTGGACGGTCGCCAGCCGCTGACTGAGCGATGGTTCTCTCGTGCGTATAATGCAGACGTGGAAGTTGTGCGGCCGGTTGCTGTTGTGGGGGGTGTGGAGAATCGGTTCGTGCGTGCGAGCCGCCCGAATGGCACAGATCAACCGACGTGGGAGGATTTCCAGAAGGATGAAGAGGATGTGAGGAAGTGCTAAAATAGGTGATTTTTCTTATAGCATTGTAAATGAAGATTGCATCTTTGTTTATCTTTGAATCAGTGTTTTCCATCCGACAGACCGAGAGTGATGACTATCTTCTAGTATCTGCAACCGTCGGAAAACAGTAGATCAGTTTCAATCCTTGTTAAACAGCTATCGGGTGCGTACTCGCTAGACACTAAACCTGTCTCATAGTTAACCTATAGTCTAGGCACAATTTAATAGACCATGTACTGACCTAACCAGTAGTACAGCTGAGCCACCGATAAGATCGGAAGCGTTCCCCCCATCGGGCCGAACCCCGAACATCCCCCTCATGATGAAATACTCCAGCGAGCTCTCTTTAATTGTACATCTACACCTGTTCTTCTCCCATTGAATACTCTAAATTGAAAAACAAACCTATCTCTGTGAAGATGTCGTACCAAATCGCCTACGACACAACCCTAGCGCCTCCCCGCGCGGCAGCCATCGTCTCCTTCATGGAGGACTTCTACCGGACGAGCGACACGGAGTCCCTACACGATAAATACGTGGCTAGCTTTACAGACGATGCGACGCTGATTATGGGGTCGAAGGAGGCCAAGGGAAAGAATGGTAAGTGTTAGGCTATGTTCACCTTGTGCTAGTTACTCAATTCCACCGCCCACCACCGCATAGTTGCATATGCACTCCCGCCATTCAATTCAAGGATAATCAATATTGATGAAACCACATTGAACTAAATAGAAATCCTCCCTCTCCGCCACGGCCTCTGGACACACGTCGCCTCGCGCCACCACACCGCCGTACGCATTTTCTTCGGCGGACCGAATGAGATCATGCTTTATGGCGGGGTGAAGTATACGCTCAAGGCGGATGCATCGAAGGAGGTATATGTCCCCTGGGCTGGAAGGGTGGTGTTTGCCCCCGAGAAGGAAGGGGAAGGTGTGAAGATGAAATTTTACCAGGTTTACTTGGTTCGTATTCCCTCCTGAGTCTAGGATATCGGCATTGGTGATGGCTAGCTAACTGATGTAGGATCCGTCGGCGCAGTCAGGAAAGAAATAGTTAGAGATTCGGTAGCAAATGTACAGTGCAACAGAAGATCAGGTAGCAAGCTTGGAGAATCTACATCTACGTAAAAGATGAACTTTTAAAACGTGTTGAGACATGGCTCTTTATTTCCAGGAGACCGCGAGAGAAAACAGGAACGAGACGCCGTAGGGTTTAGGTCGGGTCAGTCCAGAAGAGGTGAGGGAGAGAAAAAGAAGTGGTGTATGCAGGGAAAATTCCCCCCGGATTGGGAGAAAGTGTTGTTGGATATCAGTCTCGGCCTCTTCATTCGCTCATGCTTCTCTCCAAGTTCGCGTCCTCATGCAACAAAAGAACTCCATCTTCCTCTCGTGGCTCGCCTCCCATCATTTCATAAAAATTTTGGAAATTTTTTTATTGTCCGACTGAGAAAAAGGTTTACTCGGAGTCCGACTCCTCCTCGTCCACGGTGGTCTTGGCGATCCGGTCCAAATCCCGCTGGCCACTCTGGGTGATGCGGCGGCCACCCTTCTCCTCATCGGTCTCGAGGACACCAATCTTCTCGAGGGCCTGGAGGGCCTTGCGGTCAACCGAGCCGGAGGCATCGACGTGGTGGGAGGGGCGGGAGCCGCGGTTCTTGGTCGAGCCGTGAACCTTGCGGAGGCGGCCAACACCGACGGTCTTGCGCATGTAGATGTGGCGGGCGACGGCGGCAGCACGAACGTAGAACCTGGGAAAACGTTAGGATATAATGTAATGAAAGAAGCGAGATTGTGTGTGGGCGTACCAGTCAGCGTCCTGGGGAGGAAGCTCGTTCGAGGCGGAGGTCTTGACGGTGTCAACCCAGCCTGTGGTTGTGTTAGTTTTTGTCATTGAGCAGGTAGAAAGAGTAGAACGTACCGGGAATGGGGAGCTTGCCCTGACGCTTCAGGAAAGCAGAGTAAGCAGCAATGAACTTCTGCGCCTATATAGAGAAATGAAAATGTCAGCACTCTGATCGAAGAGCAAATGTGCATTCGCCGAATAGAGATATGTCGAGTTCATTTCTGAGAGTATCGTCCATGTCGAGTTGGCGGGCATCGAATTTTCCAGCTGGTTTTCCACACACACAAATTGAATGTGTGCACCACAACCACGAGCAATGAAAAGCACGACGACCGCAATTCTTTTCCATCAAGCGACACCATCTCTCTAGGTTTTTTCTGCTCCCTCAATCCATGCTGTGTCATGACCAGTCGAACCAGAACCGAGCGTCGTCTCGAAAATGAATGATGCTTCCAGAAACGAACACCGACCACATCTCTCTCACGCAGCGAATACAGTCGAAATCAAGGCAGGGGAACACCTACGTCCACATCGCGAACGGTGACACCACCCATTTTGGCGACTTGTCGAGGGAATGAGATGAAGGATAGGGTGAGTTGTCGGTGGGCGTGGCAGGGTCGAAGGGGTCGAAAGAGGCCGAAAATTCGGGACGGCAAAGATGTGTGTGTCGCTTAGCCTGTTTGGGTTAGTCATACCCTAATCAGGCACCAAGGCATCACTTGTACATTGTGGACCCATGGGAAGGAAGTATACAGAAAGAAAATCATCAATTCATGGATTATCGTCATAGTCAGAATAATAATAAGGTCCTGGTCCCGAAAAATGCACCTCTGGTCTGTCCATTCCTCTTTCTCTGTGAAACGCCATTAACCACCCCCCGCCTTCCAAAAAAGAAAAATTACAGAGTCGGGGCCCGCTTCAGCCCAACGCAGTACCGCACGAACAGCGTGTCTATGAAATGTCCATGGCGGATCCCCGGTGGCCGGCGCGCATTGAATTCGTCGATCGCATCCTGCACTCCATACCCCAGCCGCTCAATCAGATAGCACACGATCAGGAACCCGGTGCGGTTGTAGCCGTAGTGACAGTGGACGCCGATCAGAGGACGAGGACCACCGCTCTCGGCTTTCTCGTCAACTTCCTTTCGGAGACGATCGACCAATGCAATGAAATCACGAGTCTCGTCCGGCGTGGGAGGGATCTTCGACACGGTCGGATGCTTGAAGTACAGGATCCCACCTTTCTCCATTTGCGCCGGGTTGTAGACGGGGCTTTCATGGCTGATATCGATGACGGCGTAGAGGCGGTCGTGGTACTTCCGCGAAAAGGCCACGGGGTTGTGCGTTTCGTCCACCTCGCGCAGCATTTTCAGTGCGGCGAACGTGTTGGCAATGGGTTCCGAGACGGGTGCGACTTTCTGCCACTTTACCAGGTTCTTGACGTCCCATTTTCCCGAGGTGTTCATGCACTGCAGCTGCCACCCTAGTCCCAGGCGCTTGTCGATATGGTGAGAGAGAAAGTCCTGGATGATGCCGGCCAATGTGCGGTACGTTGCCCGATCATAGAGAAGAGCATGGGATGCAGGAGCGGGCAGAATGGCTGATTTGACCAAGCGTTTGTGCTTGTTTTGGTCAAGTTGCTTCTCGCCATCAACCACCTCAACGCCAAACTCTTCTTCATTGGCAAGACGGTTGAAGGGCGTGGTGGGCGTCTGGTCATGCACGCGTGAAGCATCGGGGACAACACTGCTATCAGTAGTGTCGATAGCAGTATGGCTCGAACTATCTCCAAAGAACTGGAGGAGCTTCAGCACTTCAGCGGGCTTGGTGACTGCATCTGCTTCACCAGCGACCAGCAAGATCGGCATGTGGATGCCAGCCCACACTCTCTCGCCAGGAATGCCCCCGGTTGCTGCACTGTTCTTATCTGTGTAGGTCGGAAGGGTGCCCCAGGCCATCCGGCGCCAAACGGGCGTCTGGCTTTGCTTGTTGAACCGAACTTGAAGATCACGGGTCTCGGCGTCGGCAGCGCTGCCCACCATTCTCATCACGCTGGTGCTCGTGATGCCACCGCGTCGGTCCCAGTAGCGCCACAGGTCAAAGATAGGGCCAGGAACGTAGAGCAGTCGACGAAAGACGGCACTTTCTTCGGCAGATGGGGGAGCTGCGCGAGGACAGACCGCAATGAGACCCTGGATATGTTCCTTCAGTTGCGCTCCAATCGATGAGGTCGATGAGGCTAAGAGAGCAGACAACGAGCAGCCCAAGCTGTGCCCAATCAGAACAACGCCCTGGCCAGCGGCTCGGTCCCGGTGCTGCTCAATAGCCTCAGCCAACAGCTCTGCCAGCGCCTCAACCGAGTATGCATTCCAATCGGTGGGCGCAAACTTCGACAATCCGCACCCGGGCAGATCAATCCCGAAGCATGACCCGACATTGGAGAGACTCGTAAGAAGGTGGTGGAACTGCGCTAGAGATCCGCCCAGGCCGTGTACAAACACAAGCAACGGAACCGGAGACGGGTTGGTCGGGAGCCGTTCAAGGTGTGTGTGTGGACAATAGAAAGTGCGAATGGCCGGGTAGGTAGCAAAAGAGGTGGTGTACGAGGCGTAGGAGGTGAACTTTCTCAAAAGGCCAGGATCCGTCTTGAAAGCTGTGGTCAAGTTAGCCGTGCTGTGGTCACACAGTACAGATCCACATACCATCAGAGGTTTGCTCCTGAGGCGCAGACGGCCAGTCGTGAGACAGATCGGTGCTATGGCGCAAGGATTCATTGCTCTCGTCCTCTTCATCTTCATAGTCATCGTCCGAAGAGGTCGAAGAATTGGGCGAGCTCTTGCGCACAGTCGGCCGCTTGGGCTTTGCTTTCTTCTCCGACGACCGCGCACGGCGCAGCAGCGCCGACAAAAGGCCACACCCAGCCATGGCGACTGCGACTGTGGTCAAGGACACTATCTGGCCCCAGTTTTCATTGCGGTAGAGGTTGCGGAGGTAGGAGTAAGAGACAGAGGGGCTAATTGATGCGCGAAGGGAAGTCCAGAACTGCAGAACAGGATCTGGTCGAGCTGAAGATTGGGAGGTTAGAGAGTCGTAGAGGACCGAGAGGGAGTCGGCGGAGGGATTCATGGCTATTGAAATACAGGGACGCAGGTAGCAGCCCCAAGGTGGAAGCGGCCTAGACAGACTCTCCACACTCGGGCGCACCTGGTCTTGTTGGGGGTTGCCAATGAGAGCTGAGCGATCAAAAACGTTGAAGAAGTGAAGGTCTGCGAATCACAAGAAAGAAGTGTTCAGCGTGGAAGGGCCGGGATGAGTCAGCATTCGACACTGTTGCTCCCGAAGAACTATAGATAGAAAGAGAGATAGAGATACAAGAGATGCATGTTATTCTTGATTGATTCACTGAATACTAGAATAGGTCCGTCATTGCGCCATGCGACGCATCGCCTACCAACCGTGCGTATTTAGCCAGCACACCCCGGGTGATAGTCGGCGCCGGCGCCTTCCACTGGCGCAGCCGCTCCTGGAGCTCCGCCTCGGGCACATCCATCGAGATTTCGTTCTTCTCAGCGTTGATCGTAATCATGTCTCCATCCTGCACCACAGCAAGAGGACCTCCAGTCGCCGCTTCGGGCACAATATGTCCAACAATGAACCCGTGGCTAGCCCCGGAGTAGCGACCATCGGTGATGAGGGCAACGTTGGTCAGTTTGGCGCCCATGAGCGCAGCGCTGGCTTTCAGCTGTTCTGGCATGCCCGGGCCACCCTTGGGCCCCTCATAACGCACGACAATGACCAGATTCTCGCCACGGGGGATGCGCCCCTCGTTCAGAGCCTCATTGAGCCGAGCTTCTTTATCGAAGACGCGGGCCTTGCCGGTAAAGAGCAGGCCTTCCTTGCCTGTGATTTTGGCAACCGCTCCGCCGGGAGCGAGGTTGCCACGCAGGATTTGCAGATGGCCAGTTGATTTGATAGGATTGTCCAATGGGCGAATCAGAGACTGCTCCTCCGGCAACGAAGGGAAGGACGCTACGTTCTCGGCCAGGGTCTTGCCCGTGATGGTGGGGATGTCACCGTCCAGCAAGCCCGCCGCAATGAGCAGCTTCTGGACGGACGGAATGCCTCCGATCTCGTACAGGTCGGCCATGTAGTACTTGCCGCTGGGAGCCAAGTTGGCGATAAACGGGATCTTATTGCTGACTCGCTGGAAGTCATCCAGCGTCAGATCCACACCCGCTGTGCGGGCCATGGCCAGGAAGTGCAGGACGCCATTCGTGCTGCCACCCAGCGCCATTGTCATCACCAGCGCGTTCTCAAACGACCGCTTGGTCAGCAGGTCGCGCGGCCGGATGTTCTTCTCCATGCAGACTTTGATGGCCTCAGCCACTCGCACGCACTCGCGCATCTTCGAGGGTGAGGCAGCAGGCGTTGACGACGAGCCCGGCAGGGACAGGCCCATCGACTCAATGGCCGTGGCCATCGTGTTTGCTGTGAACATACCACCGCAGGCACCCGCTCCAGGGCAAGCGTGCTTCTCCAGGTCATCCATGATCTCATCCTGGGTCTTGCTGGTGTCGCCGCCATCATCCGGCTGGCGCAGGGTGTTGTACGCGTAGGCGCCTGCCGCTTCAAAGCAGGTGGAGATGTTGATGGGCTTGCGCAAGTACTCCGAGTAGCCGATCTGGATCGTGCCGCCGTAGATCATGATCGAGGGCCGATTGTGGCGCGCCATGCCCATGACGACGCCGGGCATATTCTTGTCGCATCCCGGGATGGCAATACATGCATCATGGTACTGTGCGCAGGTCACCGTCTCGACGCTGTCGGCAATGATCTCCCGGGTCTGCAGCGAAAAGCGCATTCCTTCGCTGCCCATGGTGATGGCGTCGGACACACCAATGGTGTTGTATTGCCAGCCGATCATCCCTTGTTCGCTGACTGACTTCTTCACAGTCTTCGCCAGGTCCATCAAATGCATATTGCACGGATTGCCCTCCCACCAGACTGAGGCGATTCCAACGTGCGGGCTGGTAGCCATAGCCTGTTTGTCTGGAACGCCAGCTGCGAATAGCATTGCCTGTACCCCGTCAGACACCTTCTCAATTGTTTTGTGGTTCATACTTACTCGTGCGCCCGGGAAGTCATGGCCGCGGGTAATGGTGGACGAGTACCGGTTGAGTGCGAGCGAGCCATCGGGGTGTCTTGCGTCGGCCGGCAAACTGGGAAAATCGATATACTTGGCCTCGCCGGGCTTGGGGGCTGGCTGGGAAGGGTCCATGATGGGTTGTATAGGGGGAGGAGAGAGAGAGGGAGAGTAGGTAGTTCGAACGAGGTCGTACTCGCAGTCAAGTCCGAGGTGGGCCCCGCTAGTTATCGGCTTGGTCCAGTCACTAGCTCGGCATTGGAGATCGGAGGTGCGCCTTTCCTTATGGGCAGAGCAAGTCAGTATGATCTATTAAATGGGTGTAGGAGGTTGAATGCGAATTGCAAGGAGTACAGTATAGGTATGATTGGTTAGTGATATGCTAGCAGTACTTGTGATGTCAGCATTCTCCCGCCGCCCCCAAGGTCAAGCTGGACTTCAGCTCGACATCTCCGTCTCACCGAAACACCACCATCAACTCACTCATCTCCAGCATCATGTCGACAGACATTAGAATTGCGCAAGCCATCGGCACTGTCGGGTGCGCACTCGCAGCAGGTACTATTCCCTCCTATCAAACGACACATCTTCCACAAGCTACTTAGCTAACACCCGCCCCAAGGCGGCATCTCCACGCTGTCCTGGATAGGCCTCCCAACACTCGCCCTCCCAGCTCGGTTCCCATCCGACCCTTCCGTCCCCGGAACACCCATCTCCCACCTCACGCACCAGTGGCTCTTCCTCTTCAAGCGCGGCCACGACACATTCCCTACCTTAGCCACAGCGTCCTCCCTCGCAAATGGCTACCTCGCCTGGACCTTGCGCGACGCAGGCGCGTCGCCCATTGGTGGGTATAGCTGGACAACGTGCTACGTGGCCGCTATCGCGGCGACGATGAGCATCGTCCCCTGGACGCTGATTTTGATCAACAATACGAATGTGAAGTTGACGGCGCATGCGACGCGCGACGATAAGGGGTCTGCGAAGGAGCTGGGTACGCAGGAGACGGCGAGGCGCGCGAAAGATGATGCTGAAGTGCCTGGATTATTGAGGTACTGGTCTATGTTGAATCTGGTGAGGTCGGTGTTTCCGTTGGTTGGCGCTGTCATTGGGTTTACGGCGGCGGTGTCAATGTAGGTCTGTGGTGCTGGTCTGTTATATTAAAACACGTGTGATTTGTAGTCTGATTTGAGAAATTGAAGTCTATATTGCTGTTCCATCAAGGCTGTCCATGATTTTAAAGCTCGAAGTATGATAGTGGGTCAGCGATCGGACTGTTCCGAAGTATATCCCTATCAATGATGCCATATTCGGCCAATCTATAGCATCACAGTTTATGAAGATCTAAAATGGTCTCCCTAGGTGAAATTCGAGCTCGAGCGTATGACCTGTGGGAGTTTATTAAATCCACCACTATGCATGGGGACTCACCTACTGCTTTGAGAAACAGTTTCCCTATCCCGTTATTGCCTCGAAGTATATACCTATAAAAAGCAATGAACAATCATTGATTTTGATACATCCTACTCAACCATCCAAAATGCAAAACCCTAAATCTTCTCTTACAAAATCAGTGGTCTTATCCGCAAGCTACACCTCCCACAACCCCCACGAGTCCTTCCCAGACACCTCCAACGGTAATCTCACCTGGCATACACTCATCTCCGCCCCCAAAACACCAACCCAAAACCTAAGCGCGGGGATAGCCGTCTGCCTACCGGCCACCGGCCATCTCTGCGCACATCGCCACGTGCAGGCGGAGCTTTACTATATCCTCCACGGCGTCGGACAAGTCACCATCGATGGAACGGTCTATCCGGTCTCCGCTGGGAGTATTGTCTACATCCCTCCGGATGCAGAGCACGCCATTGTGAACACGGGATCGGAGGATTTGAGGTGGTTCTATGTGTTTCCGACGAGTTCTTTTGCGGACGTGGTGTATCGTTTCTCTGAGAAGAGGGCCAAATTGTAAATTCTAAGAATAGGGCGTAATGCCATCCCTAGTCTAAGCCAAGGGCTAGCTAGCCTCATTGCATAATATCATCCTTTGAAACGCCATGTCGTCTTCCCGATGGCATCCAATGGCGTTGCATATTCCCAAGTCTTCATCCATGGACCTGTATAACGAACGACCCGACAGACAGCACATTGCACAGTCCAATGCTCATCAGTGGACCGCAGCAATTCCAACTGTGCAGCCAACACAGCGCCATTCTCCACGTCCGGATCAGATCCCAGGGCACAATTGGCCCCCCTGTCACAAAAATGGGGCACGTTCGTCCCCACTCGATCGTGTTTCAGCTGTCTCTTTGCACTGTTTATCTGATATGGATCTCCATGTTGTGGATAAGCGAGAGGATGTCGCCCAAGTTTAGGTCACTTTAGGGCACTTTGCCCGTTTTGGTCCTTTTCTCCGAGGTCCTGACTGTGGTTATGTATGGCGAGTAATATTTGAATCCATGAACACCGGGTGTCGTTGTCACCACCAGCGGCGCTAACCCTACATAACTGTGGCAACATCCGGCAGTCTACATAGTCGATTGGACATACAGCTCGGCCGCTCCGTCCCGGGTCATGGCATGCGGCGCAGCTAGCACGGAAACCTTGAGCGGCCCAGATGGCGTGCTTGGCAGCGCAGGGACCCTGAACCGGCAGTTGCTTTTTAATTTATTTTTATTTTTTGAGGCGCCCGTGTCTCACGGCTTGGACCAGTTCGTATCCTTCGTATTATTATTCGGACTTTCGATACATAGCACCTTGGGTTGTGGTAGACGGCTATGCATATACCGTGTACATCTGTAGAAGGAAATGTCACGATAGGCATACGTTGGGGCGAAGATTGACCGTCTGAAACGCATGGTTCACGTGTTGCAGTGAGAGAAAAGAGAAAAAACACAAAAGGGGCATGACCCGCCCAATCCACCACACTTGACCGGAATAGGGTTAGGGCTCTCCGCCCACGAACCGTCCTCGACAATAATACTCGAGTTAGTGATGGGTGGTAACCAGTCAACAATGATTGTTCCAGCTGGGTCAGCTCCAATAGTTCCTGGTTCGCTCGCTCCCTACCTATCCTATCTCGCTGACTGTTGCTGACAGAACCATGGTGTACGTAATTCTGAAAGAGAAGGGAAAAAACTGCCCCTGAACTAAGGACTAGCACGAGGAGAGCGGAGACAGAAGAACATCACCTCATTCCTTTTGTGGGGGGAGATCGACTGTTCCCCCCTAAACAAGCGGTTGGCCCTAAACTGTTTCCGATGGTGTATGCGCACGTCCGCAAGCCATCTTGACCTTCTTTGCCTTCTTCAGGCCTGTCACTTACTCTGTCTCTCTCTCTCTTGCCTCTGGTTTTGTACATTCTTCAGTGTCAATACCCCCACACACCTCTTGCTCCTCTCTTCGCCTCCCATGCTGGGCGACCTTGCGCCACGATGAGTGTTGTCGCCAGTAGACCCGAGAGCCCTGCTGCGCCCTACACCACCATCCCTCCGTCGCACTGCAACGAATTCCCAGTGACCGTCCGGCCTATTCAAACGCGCACCTCCTCCATATCCTCCTACAGGACCAACTACACCACCTCGACCGCGCCAACCGTCTACTCGCCCACCTCACCCACTTCCTCATACCGCCAGTTCGACTCCGTGGGATCGTTGCCCAAATTTGTCGAGCCTGTCCAGAGACGCGTCCCGCAGGATGTCTACGATGTGATTCTCGTTCACCTCGAGTACTTGCACAAGGGACCGTATCAGACAGGTTGCACGACATGTTTTCAACGCGACTTGCATGCCTTGTCCTTGACCTCTCGGTCATGGGAGAAGGCCGTGAGAGTGAAGCTGTGAGTGTTATGATTGACTGGGTGAGAAAGCCAGTTCTAATGAAATTATAGATATAACAACATTCACATAGTTGGAAACGATTCCCCCGTCCAGTTGAAGAAGTATCGTCTCAAGCGGGGCAGTCGACTGAAGCTGTTGAGACGGACTCTGCGCGAGCGCAAATTGCTGGCCAATCTTGTGCGAGAGCTTCGCGTTCCTCAGATGGATTTGCTGTTCACGACAACCAAACACAGCGCCCAATGGCAAGAGTATCGGGACATCGTTGCATCGGTGGTGATGGTCTGCCCGAACCTCGAACGGCTACTCGGCCTGTCCATCCCGTACCACCATGAATTCGACCGCTTGACCCATGCCTTGTCGACACGCAAGAGACTCAAAGAGCACACATGGATCCTGGGCGAGGCGGCTGAGGTTTCTGAAGTGTCTCCCCGGAGTACCTCCTGCCCAGGGAGCTTGGGGCCATCGCAGATGTTTGAATTCTTGGACTATCATGCCTCGTGGTCGAACTTGGAAACCCTCGCTCTCTACAGCCTGAACGAAAGCAATGCTTTAGAGCCCAGCATTTTCCTCCGCATGTTCGATCTCTTGCCATCCCTCCGCAATCTGTGCGTCTCCTCTTTTGACGAGGAGGCTTTTGGCGATAGCACGCTGTTATGTTTGCCCCCGCTGGAGTCGTTGCGGTTGGAGAATCTGCCCGGAGTTACAGATGCCGGTCTCTCGCAGTACACATCACGACCGGAATCCCGTTCGCTAAAGTCCTTCGTTCTGGTCGAGTCAAACATTCAATCACTGCTGGTCGTCTCAAAAATCCTGTCTTCACTCCGACAACTTGAACGACTCAAGATCGTCCAAACTGGGCATTGCCCTATCATGCCTAGCGAAGGCATGATTTTCCAACCCATCTTTGCCTCCTCGAGTCTGAAATATCTTCACTGGGACGTCGCATGCCCAGACCCGCACACAGCACTCACCCAACTTGAAACTCTTCCTTTCCAAAAACCTATCAAACACTCCGATACCCCCAACTCTCACCTCGCCCAAAGTATCCTGTCGGGCGGGTTCCCTCAACTCGAAACCCTTCGCGCCCCTTCTGACGTGGAGCCTCCGGGTATGCTGCAAGCAGTCTGTCGGCCCATCACGAAAGGACAAGCACTCCTTCGACCAGACCGGTATAGTCTTCCCCGCAGCTCTCACGGCTCTGTCAGTACTCGGCCGCTTGCGCTGCCCGCTGGAAACAACTTGACCTCTTCCCGGATTCGCGCCCAGACCTTTATCGACATGGCTATCAAGGACACAGAGTCCGGCATACAGGTTATCATTCAAGATTACTCGGATAACTACGTGCCCGACAGCGCCATTCCGGCTTCGTTTGATGAAGATCCAGAGCCAGAGCTGGATGAGTATGGCATCTGGGCTGCCAGCGAGCGGTACAAACATCAGCCCCCCCCCCAAAAAGGCCGGCGCTCCTGCGACAGTCTATGCGTTCCACATGCCGGCATTCATGGGACGCGTGGGCGTCGTAGACCCCGTAACGGGCGCATCAATTCCGAAATTCCTCCTTCGCCCAGATATCCAGGGTCAGGAAGCAGACGGCGGCTTGATCGGGTGGAAGCAGCTACTTGCATCAAACCAGTCTCTCACGTACGCTGCAGGCGTCGGCGTCGATTGCTTCGGCCTCCACCGCAGCAATACCAACCCGCCTGCCGAAGATCCGCCGTCGCCGGCTTCCAGTCCACCCTCGCGGTTTGGATGGGGGAGCATCGGTCGATCCAACACCGTCAGCCGGCCAAACACTCTTGGCCGGTCCAATACTAGTCCGGCCTTACCTTCGACGCCAGCCACGTCCGTCAGCCTCAACTCTGTTGCTGCGTTGCCTTGGGAGAGGGACACTTGCACGGGTTCCTGGAATCATAAAATGGGTCGCGACTGGTGGTTCCATATGGAGCGGGATCGGCCTGGGAACTCGGATCTCATCGACACCAAACAACTTTTCTAACGCTGTCTTTCCCTTTTTTCCTCTCTCTCTCTCTCTCTCCCCCCCCTCTTCCGCTCTCTCTGTTTCTCTGTGTTACTCAATATCTACTACGCCATATACCCCGCATGTTGGTCGACCCGGTCGGTTCTGTTTCTATCCCTGCTTTTGTACATGCCCCACGACATTATTTACTTATCCCATGGAGATGACTCCAACCGTCTTCTCCGGTGCACATATCATGGTGACTACCATCTGTTCCTTATATCGATTGCTTGTTGGTGTGAATTTCTGGCTCTGGATGGACTTTGGCGCATTGTATTTCTGTCTGTGCAATTCTTACCATACCTCCGTCAAAATTAAACCATGACTCTCCTGTATGTTTTGTATAGATCTATCTCGGTCACGTGGGGTTCTGACTCACCCACTAAGCGAACAACTGATAAGCCCATCTGCTATCTTTTCTACTATCTTCGAACACACCCCGCCACTAGTTCCTTCCTTGCTCTTTTTTCTCTCTGCTGTTAGTTGGCCTTGTTCCGTCACCATGGACCCAGGAAAGCCCACTGAGCTGCCCGAGCGGCCCAAGGAGGCCTCGGAGACCATCTCCAAAAGCAAACTGAAGAAGGAGCAGAAAGAGAGGGAAAAGGCAGCGAGGAAAGCGAACCCCAAACCCAAGGAGAGCCAACCCAAGCCCAAAAAGGCGGCCAACGAGCCCGTTGCACCTCGCGACCCGGATGCCATGTTCAAGATAGGCTTTTTGTCCGATGTCTACCAGGAGAAGCCCCTGTCGGAGACCGTCACCAAGATTCGCACCCGGTTCCCGCCTGAGCCCAACGGATTCCTCCACATCGGCCACAGTAAGGCCATCGCGATCAACTTCGGCTTCGCGAAACACCACGGTGGCGAGTGTATCTTACGCTTTGACGATACCAACCCGGAAGGCGAGGACGAGCGATTCTACAACGCCATCCGCGACATCGTGACCTGGCTGGGCTTCACGCCCGTGCGGGAGACATGCGCCAGCGATAACTTCGACCGGCTCTACGAGCTCGCGGAGGATCTGATCAAGCGCGACGGAGCCTACGTGTGCCATTGCACCAAGGCTGAGATCAAAGCTCAGCGCGGCGAGGGCGCGGACGGCCAGCGAGGCGGGGAGCGCTACGCATGTAGCCACCGCTCGCGGCCGGTCGACGAGTCTCTCGCGGAGTTTCGGGCGATGCGGGATGGAAAATACAAGGCGGGTGAGGCGGCACTGCGCATGAAGCAGGATCTTGAGGATCCGAACCCACAGATGTGGGATCTGTTCGCGTGGCGCATCATGGACAGCGAGGAGAAGCAGCACCACCGGACAGGAGGGAAATGGAAGGTTTACCCGACCTACGACTTCGCGCACTGTCTGTGCGATAGCATTGAAGAGATCTCGCACTCGCTGTGCACGACGGAGTTCGAGCTCTCCCGTGTCTCGTACGAGTGGCTCTGCGACAAGCTGGAGGTGTACCGACCGATGCAGCGCGAGTATGGTCGACTCAACATTACGGGCACCGTGCTCTCCAAGCGCAAGATTCTTCAGCTCGTCAAGGAGGGTCATGTTCGCGACTGGGATGATCCCCGCTTGTATACGCTCATCGCACTCCGCCGTCGCGGTGTGCCCCCGGGCGCAATCCTGGCGTTTGTCAATGACCTCGGTGTCACCAAGGCCGTGACCAACGTCCAAGTGGCCAAGTTCGACCAGGTCGTGCGCCAGTACCTGGAGACCACCGTGCCACGGCTCATGGTCGTCCTGGAACCCCTCAAGGTGGTCATCGACGGCCTGGCCGACGACCACGTCGAGTTGGTGGACGTTCCCTTCTCTAAGGAGCCCTCCTTTGGCACACACAACGTCCCCTTCACAAAGACGATCTATATCGAACGCTCCGACTTCCGCGAGGTCGACTCACCCGACTACTTCCGTCTCGCGCCCGGGAAAACCGTCGGTCTATTGCGAGTGCCTTACCCTATCACCGCAACCTCCTTCGACAAGGACCCTACCACGGGTACCGTCACCTGCGTATACGCCAAATACGAGAAACCCGAAGAAGGCGCTGCGCCCAAGAAGGGCAAATCCTTCATCCACTGGGTCGGCGAGTCCCCCGCGCATAACAGCCCGCTGCGCGCCGAGATCCGCACCTTCAACCGACTCTTCAAGTCCGAGGATCCTTCTGCGCACCCAGACGGCTTCCTGGCTGATATCAACCCGGGCTCCGAGCAGATCTACAAGGATGCCTGCATCGAGATTGGGTTCCGGGATATCTCTGCCTCGGCGCCTTGGCCGAAGGAGGAGAAGAATGCCGGGACCGTTGATCTGGGACTGAACCAGCACTCGATCCGCTTTCAGGGTATGCGCGTTGCGTACTTTGCGGTTGATCGCGAGTCGACGCCCGATAATATTGTCTTGAATCAGATTGTCTCGCTTAAGGATACCCAGGGCAAGACCTGATTTTTTGTCTGACGGATGGAATGGGGAGAGGATGGCATAGCATTTTGCATGATCTACTACTTTTTTTTTTTGCCAGATCTTGGGGTTAGTATATTTTATTTAGTAGGAGCAGGAACTAGCTAAAAACATGGAAGGAGAACCTGAATTTCATCTCATCTACTTGCATAGTACTCAGATACGAGCTGAAAAAGACTTGGAAGACCCCACGAGGCACACCTGCAATTTCCCAGCCCTGCTGCCAAGTATACCATTCTCAGCGAGAAGAATGGAAGTCCACTTGACCCAGTCAACTGATAAACGCCACACCCTCCTTCAATCAGATCAGACGTCCACCTACAGTGCCATTTAGCCCACAAAAAAAACCTCCCCTCTGTTATATGCAAAAATTTGAAGACAAAAAAATCACTACGGCGCTGCGTAAACGCCTAGCTCGACGGTGAAGGGACTCGAACCCTCAGCCTTTTCCTTAGGAGAGAAATGCTCTACCATTGAGCCACACCGCCGTCATTCTAGAAAGAAAATAGAGCTCAACTGACCCTTGGACTTGGCAGATAATTTACTGTTAGGGCAAGATCATAGATGGCTTCACATGAGATGGCCCTGGAACTTCCGTATAGTGTTGGTTGGTACATAGTTGTGGCGATAGCGGTAGATTGTCAGTTATCAGTTGCCATCCGTTCACTGACTGACTGACGGACCGTCAACTGATGAGATGCAGGCGCCCCAGTCGATCAGACAGATAGTATACGCATGACACATAAATGGACAGGGGGTGCTGGCACTATACGAACACCGACGACACAGCCATAATGTGTTCAAATAAGAGTGAATGGTCCGAAGTACGTAGGAGATACCCTAACGAAGTCAACCAACTCACGAACGGGGGCTATCTATATGATCAGCGTCGCTCCCGCCCCTGACCGACGAACTAGTCTTACATGTGGGTTATGTTAGTTACTTCCTGTGCCTCGGAGCTATTATGCACCTTTTTCTTTTGACCACTTTCATTGACAGAGTTGGTACAAACCATGGCCTCCCCCACCAAAATTTCAACCAAACAACCCTCGAGCCAAGAAGAGCCCGCTGAGTCCACCACCCCAACCTCGCCGCCCCCGCTAGAACGGCGGGGCTCCTCGGGCTTCCGAAACTTCTTCACCTCCATCCTCGGCGCGAAGAACCCGCTCGCGCAGCCTGCAGATGCCACCAAGAACTCCGTCTGGCTATTCGACAACACCGCATACCAGAACGGCGACGGACAGTGGCAGGCCGAGGTGGTTGCCTGCATCTTTGAGAAAGAAGGCCGCGATGATATTGGCAAGTTCGTTGCGAACATAGCAGACCAGGTTGGGATTGATGGCGAAGTGGGCGGCGACAATGTGGCCCGGAAACGCATCGAGGAGCGCGTGCGGCCGTTCCTTGACCCCGTTTCCCCGGCAAGGACAGTGACGCTGCTTGAATCGGAGCAGACGCATGCGCTTGGTCCCTCGGATCGCAACGGGATTATCAGCCAGACGGTCAATCTGCCCGGCGAAGGTATATCGGATGGAATGAGCGTGCGGCCGCAGGTCCAGGGGTTTAGCATGAAGATGTCCGCGAACACGCTCTTCGCCGCGCCGGAAGGCTGGCTAGTGATTTCCGACATCGACGACACGATCAAAGTCACCCAGACACCCGAGCCAACGGGGATCCTACGCACGACCTTCGTCGATGACCCACAGCCCACGCCGGGCATGCCGGAATTCTACAAGCACGTTCACGCCGAGCTCAACCCGACCTGGTTCTACGTCAGCGCGTCCCCTTACAACCTATACCCATTCCTGCACAGCTTCCTGCAGAGCACGTACTGCGCAGGCACGCTGGTGCTGCGTGACTACTCATGGCTCGACCTCAGCGGGCTGATCAAGTCGTTCACGGAGAAGACGCACGAGTACAAGGTAGATCGGATGGAGAAGATCCGGCGCTGGTTCCCGCACCGGAGGGTGCTTTGTATTGGCGATTCGACGCAGAAGGATCCTGAGGCCTATGGGGATATGTATCGGAAGTATCCCGACTGGGTGCATGCGATTATCATTCGTAAGGTGACTGATGTGCATGGGATGGAGGAGAAGAACAAGGCCGAGAGGTTTGAGGAGGCGTTTAAGGGTGTTCCGAGGCACATTTGGACGTTGTTTGAGGATCCGAAGAATTTGTATGATTTTGTGGATGGGTTGGGTATGGAGGATCAGGTTTTGTAGTCGATTTTTTGTTGTTGTAGAAAGGAAGGTGTTTATTTACTTGGGGCATACTTGCCCCGGGTGGTATATAGTTCTATTGAGGCAATGCTGAGATAATCGCCATACGTCAGAATTAGGGCATATTTCTGAGACATGTATGTATATACTTCGCCCTATAGCTTAATTAATGAAGAAGTACCGAACAAGCAATCATTAGAGCAGCCGTATATCAAAATGAAACCAGCCAAGCTCGCCTCAGCAACCATGAACGAGCAAACTTTCATCCCGCCTTCCATGCGCGCTCTGTACTACACCCTCCACCTCCCAACACCCGCGACAGCGGCCGAGGAGCCCGGCAAAGCCCTCCTCACTGGCCCAGACAGCCTAGTCATCGACACAGAGTTCCCAACGCCCCAACCATCAGCACACCAATATCTGCTGAAGATCCAAACAGCGGCATTCTGCCACGACGAGCTGCGGCTCGCCCGAACGCTTAATCCCATCAAGACCACGCCGCAAATCCCACTACATTCGCTCTGCGGAACGGTAATTAGCACGCCCGCCGCAGACCACGAGCAGCAATCCGGTTCGCGGTTCAAGATCGGCGACGTCGTCTTCGGACTGATTAGTTACATACGCGACGGCGGCGCGGCGGACTATGCGCTCGCCACCGAGGACGAGTTGGCCTTTAAGCCCGGGAATATCAGCGCCTCTGAAGCAGCCGCTGTGGCGTTGCCGGCGCTCACGGCGTGGCAGGCTCTCTTCCGGTATGCGGGACTAAACCCCGATGCCACGGCGAACGGGACCAGTCATGATAAGAAGGGGAATAGCAATCACGGCAATGGGAATGAGAAGAAACCGAATGGCAATGGCAATGGGAATGGCAAGAAGAAAGTGCCGCCGTTGCGGGTGCTGGTCACCAACGCGCGGGATTGCGAGGTCGGCCGGATAGCGGTGCAGCTACTGCGGACAGACAAGCTATTCCCCGTGCGGCCTTGGATTTGCGTCAGCTGCACAGCGGCAGAAGCGGACATTGTGCGGCGCGAGTGGGATGTCGACGAGGTGCTTATGATCCCGCACCTGCCTGAGCGCAACGAGTGCGATCTGGCGGGGACGTTTCGGCGGCGACGCTGGGAGGCTGTTGATGTTGTGCTGGACTGTGCCGGCGGCGAAGTGTACCGGCAGGCGCACGAGGCGGCCGTGGTGCGGAACTATGGCGCTGTCTTGACGGCGGTGGACTCGCGGCCCGCGCAACAGGCCGTTCCTCCGGATCGGGGGTTGCGTAGTAAGTTTGTAGCTGTTTCTCCGGATGGCGCGGCGATAATGCGCATTGGCGGGTTGATTGAGGAAGGGAAAGTGCGTGGTGTGCCGGAGACGGTGGTGGATTTGGTCAATTCGGCGGACTTGTTGGCCTCTGGTGCGGCGGGCACGGCAGGCAGTCGACGGGGAGGCATGATGGTGGTGCGTGTCAACTGAAGATTTTGATACTGGAATGAATGAAAAGGATAAAAAGACCCGTGACATTTTGACCTTACAAAAAGAGTCCGCCCGCTTGACAACAGAAACTACATGAGCGAACAGAAAGAAGTGAAGATATAAAAAAAGAATTACGGTACACCCCGGTTCAAAGTAAGGAATCGAGTCTGGTGAAAACGCTCAAGCATGCCGCGACAATCTAGATAGGAATTAGTAAATGGCCATTTTCTCTCTCTGTGTCTAAGATAGAGACAGGACAAACGTACCTCCATCTGGAGCTCTCTATCCTTGTTCCGGTTGATCTCCTCATTGATCATCGAGGCCAGGTTCGCCCCAATAGCCTGCGAGCCGCCCGCCCGTCGCCCAAACGGCCATTGCGAGTACTCGGCTAGCAGTTCATCCACCTGGGCAAAGGCCCGCTCGCGCGCCTCGTGGCTCATTGTCACCAACGCATTCTCCAAGACGTTGGCCGCATACGCCGCACAAACCATGGTCACCGTGCGCAGGTACCGGTACTCGGAATCCTCAGGGAGCCAGGTGGTGGGTGGGATGATGACGGTGCGGTTGCTGCAGATGTTACGGACACGGCGGTGGATGTCGTCCTTGGCGCCGCCGTCGGCCACGGGGTGGGTAGCCATGTCAAAGAGGAGGAAGTTGCGTTTTTCGGTGCGCAGGATCCCTTTGTCGACGAGACCTTTGGCCAAGCGCTCGCGCACCTGCTTGAGTTGATACCCGATTTTCATGAGATTCCATGTTTCCCCTGCCAAGAAAGAAAGGATCAGTTTGTGCCCCGAGACAAGACACGCGAAATCATTTACCGCTCAAGAGATCGATCCACGTATTCACGCTCATCTTCTCGCTCGACTTCATCATCTTCAGCGTCTCGTCCAGCAAGACCTCGCCCGTCAATGTGTCGTCGATGACCTCGATCACGCGGTCGGCCAGGGGGAAGCGGCGCCGCGACGAGTCCTTCTGCATGCTTATCCGACCGCGGAGGGCAAGCTCGACGACAATGCACCCTCGCAGGGCATAGGAGATGTTCTCGTTCCAAAATGAGAGGTATCCCTATTGTTGCGCCATTAGTCCACCAGCCGGGTTCGACCAAATTCGTCATCACCCACCTGTTTATCCTTCAGTCCCAGCAGCAGCACCTCCTCCATGAGCGTCAATTTTGGTTGCTTGCTCCGCTCGGCGGTTTCGCTGAGGTCGCGCGGGTCGAATGCGATCTTGTGGCCGTTCTCCGTGTTGGTGAAGGATGTTTCTGGGCCTCGATTGTCCATTGCAGAGCCGTTCCGCGAGACCGGCGACGACACGCGGCTCTCATCCTGCTCTTCGCCAGCGCGACCGCCACCTCGTCGGCGAGTCAAGCCCCCGGCTGCGGACATTTAGGGGTGGTTGTGAGCTAGCAGAAAAGTGTGTTGGGTTGAGTTTGGGTTGGGGGGGGGGGAAGAAGATCAGAAGTTGCGGAAGTGGGACTTTTTCGGTGTCAGGGGCGGGAAGATCCAAAGGCCGCGTGCCCGACCGAGGGACTATGGTGTAGTCAACCGATCGACTGTAATAGGGAGGGGGATAGGTAGACGACGGAATGGTTGGTGGGGGATACAAGGGCGTGGGTGGAAAGAGTAAAAGAAATGTTGCAGTTGACAAGTCGGGTCCGCTTCGGGATTCTTAGGTGGTCTTTGGTTCAGTGCTGAGCCCGACCCAATATGAGCGACGACCATCAGAGTGATTCACTACACAATTTATAGGGGCAAAAACTACAGGTTTAGAGTAGAAAGCATTCAGGGATTGATATACACGATAGAGAAAGGACCAAAAAACCACATGGATTCCGAATACATTCAGACCGTTCTATTCGATCCTCCCAACCCGGCATCTAGTCAATTAGTGGGCTAGAGACCCATTAGCAACGGAGAGCCAAAGAAGCAGAAGGGGAGAGACGGGGGAAAAACATACCGTCGGGCTGGGCAAGGATGTACTCGACTGCCTTGTCCACTGTTCTGGGGTCAGCGATGGTTTTTCCTGTCTCGCAGGCTGTTGCACATACCACTGAGGATCTGATCCGCCTCCTTGTCGGGGATCTCAATGCTGAACTCCTGCTGCAGTGTCAGATATACCGCCATTGCCTTCTCCGAGGGAAACCGCCACACATACCTCCTCAATAGCCATCACCACCTCGACGGTATCCAGGCTGTCCAGACCGAGGTCGTTCGAGAAGTGCGAGGCGCCGTTGATCTGCCGGGTATTAGTTGGGATTCGGGTCGGGTCGAGCAGAGAGCAATCCAAGACTGACCTTGCTGGCATCGGTGACCTGGATTAACATTCTCATCAGCATGGACTTCACAATTGTGTCATAACGCGCCATCACGCACCTTGTCAAAGTTCTTCAACAGGTTCACTATCCGGCCCTCGACCTCCTTCTGGTCCAGACCGGCGGGAGCAGAGTAGAAGCGGATGGCCTGGGAGACAGCACAGGGCTGGAATTGCGCACGCGCGACGACGGGCGAGCTGCGGACGAAGGGGGTGGATGGGCGGATAGCACGAGGCACCGAGGCCCGCAGGGAGCGCACAATGGCAGAGCGGAACATGATGATGGGAGGGGGGGATGGACGAGGTGCGGTGAGTTAGAAAATGCGTAACAAAGGAGAGCAAGTCGCCAGTCGGTGGTGTTCGGGAAGCAAAATCCTGTTACAGCCAATCAGCACCCAACTCTTCCGAATGACCTGCTTACTCACGACCAACACCTCTTCCACTCCTGCCACTCCTCGCAGCACACATCCTCAACCACCTCCTCCAGACCCCCCCATTGTCGCCCATCATGGCCTCCATGTCGGTCTCCCGGCTGGTTGCTGTCCGCCGTACCCCGTTCATCATCTCCTCAGCATCCTTTTCCACCTCAGCCGCCCGCGCTGCCACGCCCGCTGGCCCTCCCCCAGCGGGCTTTCGTCTGCCCCCGCCCAAGCGATGGGACCAAAGTGGCGAGTCGTCGCTCGACAAGGCCAGCAAGTACTTCCTGATGGCCGAGATCTTCCGCGGCATGTACGTCGTGCTGGAGCAGTTTTTCCGCCCGCCGTAAGTCGTCGACCCTGGACCGAAATTGCGAAATTTACGAGCCCACCATTCTCACCATGTCAATCCAATTCAGGTACACCATCTTCTATCCCTTCGAAAAGGGCCCCATCTCCCCCCGCTTCCGTGGTGAACACGCCCTGCGCCGCTACCCCACCGGCGAGGAGCGCTGCATCGCCTGCAAGCTCTGCGAGGCTATCTGCCCGGCCCAGGCGATCACCATTGAGGCCGAGGAGCGCGAGGATGGAAGTCGCCGCACCACCCGTTATGATATTGACATGACCAAATGCATCTACTGCGGTTACTGCCAGGAGAGCTGCCCCGTGGACGCCATTGTCGAGAGTGAGTGTTTTCAAATCCTCGGGATATCAGACAAACAGGACATCAAACTAACTGCTTCCTAGCCTCCAATGCTGAATACGCTACCGAGACCCGTGAGGAACTGCTGTACAACAAGGAGAAGCTGCTGGCCAACGGTGACAAGTGGGAGCCTGAGATTGCGGCTGCTGCTCGTGCCGATGCTCCCTACCGATAAATCCCTGGTCTTGGTGGCTACACACTCTGCCAAAAGAACAATATCCCCCCCCCCAAACACACATCCTGTATATAAAGTGCCCCCGTCTGTCTCCTGTACTTGATCTCGAAAGAAGTTTTTGTTCGAGTCTCCTGTTGTCGTTACTTTTCCTATGTCCCGGACTAGCACCTTACAAGGTTACAATCAAGAAAAAATCTGATATATTGATACTGTTGCAAAACAATTATATTGTAGAACATAATCATATTCACAGAAGAACCAAATCGCTACCTATGCATGATAGAAACAAGATGCCGTCGAAACAGCGCAATATAAAACACCAGACACCAAGAACGGATATCTTCGTCTCGTCTCCATCAAAAATCACTTTTTTTTTTGCTCAGCTCACTTCCTCATTTCTTCTTCCCACCCGTCTTGGCCTTGAAACTGCCCTCAAACCCAGGTCGGGCCTTCTTCTTGCCCCCAGCAGCAGCCTTCTTCCCCTTGCTGCCCTTGTTGCCCTTCTCCTCTCGCCGCTTGCGCAGGTTCTCTTCACGCTTGGTTTGCTTATGGTCCTTGGCCCGGGCAACGGTGTCAATACGCTCCCTCCACTCCCGCTCGGACTTCTTCTTCGCGGACTCCTTGCGCTTGAGCGCCTTCTTCAGCAGAGAAGTGTCGTCACGGACGCGCTCGCCGTGTGCACGCTTCTTGGCATTCAACCAGCGGTCTTTCTCTTCGATATCGGCGCGCCTCTCCGGGTCCATCTCGGCCAGACGGGCCTTCTTCGCTTCGGCGACCTTGAGTTGCGCGGCGGCGTCCTTGGCACCGCGCTGGGTGGGCTTGTCGCTCACGCCAGACAATGACGAGTCGACAAGCTGACCATCCGTGAAAACAACGCGGCCAAAGGAGAAATTGTTGGACGCCGACCCTACGGAATCAACGGGCGAGCGAGGAGAAGCAAGAAGCGACCCCGAGCCGCCGGGCGAAAATCTCCGTGCCATGGCTTCGTCATTTTTGAGCTGTTCCTCCTCCTTGGCCTTTTGCCGCAGCTCCTTCTTGTGTAGTTTGCGCTGTTCGGCTTTCTGTCGCCGGGCCTCGATGAGCTCTTGGCGGTTGCGGGCTGGCTTGCCGTTCAATCCGTCTGCGTGCCGCTTGGCTCGCAGTTCGTCCAAGCGCTTTTGGAGACGCTGCTTCAGCTCTTCCGGGGTGGGTTTGAGAGGTTTTGACTCGGAGTTGGTGGGGGGGACAATGGATGAGATGGACGAGCTGCCAGATTGGGGGTTGGAGGCATCGGGGGAGTTGGGCGAGGAGGAGGCAGATGAGGGCTGGTCCATTTGGAAAGAGAATCCCTCCTCGGCAGCGACATTTTCACCGACTTCATCATCATCTTCAGCCTCGGAGGCTTCCTCTGGTTCAGCGGGGGCAGGCTTTTCAGCCCGCTGATTTTGCTTCTCCTTCTTGGCCGTTTCCTTAGCCTTCTTCTTTTCCTTCTGAGTAGCCTTCTTCTGAGCCTTTTTCTCCTCTCTCTCCTTTTTTCTGGCCTCTGCATCTGCCGCTGACTTAGCCGCCGCCGCAGGATCTTCAGCCTGCTTCTGCTTCTTGGGTTTTGCGTTGCCACGGTTCAATCCTTCCTTGGGTACTTCCGAGCCAAGCTCTCCGTCCGAGGAATCAGAGTCTTGTGCACCAGCCTCTCTCTTGCGCTTTCGAGCGTTCTCGTCCATGACGTCTTTGGCCGTTTTGGCGGACTCGGGGTCGAGTTTTGCACGCTTGGCTTCGCGGGCTTGTTCCTTGGTCTGCTTCTTGCGCTTCCATTGATCCTGGAGAAATACAAAGTAAGAATCAGATTGGCCAGAAAAGGAGGGGAGACATACATTATTGTCCTCGCCGTAGTAGTATTTGGCGGGGATCAAAGACAGCAGGCCGTCAAAGGCCTGTGCGTGGCTTCGCAGCCGTTCCTGGGGAGGTCAGTCTAGTCGAACACAGGGGGTATGGTGTACATACCTCGATGTCGTCCATCTTTCCTACAGTGTGAAGGACAAGCGTGGCTGGCGAACGGGAGTCTCGAAAAATTTGGGGGATGAGGAAAAGCCTCCGCTCGGCTGCCTCACCGCCAAACATTTTTTTCTGCTTACATACTCACCAAGTATAAGTTGTAGATGAGAATGATCAATGAAAAGAATCGGTCGGTCGGTTAGGAATAGATTGGTAGTGATCCATTTACTTGTCTCACAAATACACTTCCTATACAGTTAACTCATCTCGAACATACTGGCAGATGGTTATATAGTATCTGCGCCCACAGCGTCAACCGCGTATGCGTCAAGTGATAGTTCCCATGCTAGAAATTGAATTGGATAACCCCTATATGTAATGCTTCTGAGATGCGAGATCAAGGACTCCGCAATACGTCAATTTTCCACGATGCCCTTTACTATCCACCATCTCATCAACCCTGCGCCACTAGTCTGGCCGCCAAATCCAACCCGGGACACTCCTCGCCCCGAATATCCGTGATATGGTGATAGGGATAAGGCGTCGTCCAGATAAGGTCGAATCTACTAGTTGTCAGAAACATAATGCAAAAAAAGACACATCGCTGACCGATTTGACGGATACTTCGGCGGCTCCAGAACACCCAACAACATCTCAATTTCACGCATTCGTCCATGCCGCCAGGAGATCAAAATATTGCCAGGACCGTCATAGGACAGAACCGTCTCCGTGACACACTCGACATCGTTCCGGGAACAGGATGTGTCGATATCAAGACCGAGATCGAGTGCGAGCGGGAGGACGGTGTCATAGGAACGTCTGTGCGCGCCATCTTTTACCGCAAGAAGAAGTTAGTTGGGCATGATCAACTGGTAGTGACTTGACTACTGTGTCGTGTTTCCTGGTTAATGCGGGAACTCGTTCTAAACATACTCCATTTCACCCTCGGCGCCATGATATGTCCAATCTCATAGCCCGACTCAGAGCCAAAGACATGACGCAGACACTCCGCGCGCCGGATGCCATCTATGGTGAGGCCATGGTCTGTCGGATCGGTGGGTTTCTCGCCGTGTCGGATGAGATAGACGATGGCGCGGGCGTGAGCGTGGCCGAGGCAGACAAATAATAATAACCACCACATTTTGTAGTCTAGTCCAACAACTTATAGTTATCGCTCCAGGTAAATCCGACCTCTTTTATGCCATGATTGGGTTTACTTATATGTCTGTATATCGGTTCTTTCAGGGCCGCCGTCGCTCTTGTCGGTCTGCCATGCAGGGGACCACTAGCCAGTGGGGCTGGCGGGTAGGGTAGCACGATGTGATCTCCGATCGGCGTGATCGGGTCAGATGCATTTGTAGTGTATAGTTTAGTTGGGCTGGATGACAATCGTACTATTGATCGGGTGAGTTGGTCATCCTCGGGTTGGTGTTAGGGCATGGTGGGTTATAGATGAGACCCCTGTTACTAGTTGACAGAGTTTCGCTTGTTAATAATAACATTACGGTAATAGGCAGCGGGATACAAATTACCATTGTAAAACTGGTCCATAATTGCAATGCCCAGCCCGGAGTACGTACGTCTACTCGGTAGTTAGCGCCGATGAGTAGCCGCGCGATCCGGAATCGCCAAAAATAGCAGAACTCGTTTGAGCAAGTGGTGCGAACATAGGGTTGTCCTCGTAGCATCGCCACACAGAGTGGCGGTGTTATATGTACTATGCGCGGCGTACATAATTATTACTATTACCGCAACTAAGAATAAAAATCACTCAACGCTTCAAGTGTGGCTCAGTCGAACTGCGCCTTCGCGGCCATGTGGGGTGTCAGCCCTGTGACTGTACACGTTATAAACACTCGCGCCTGCCCCTCTTCTTCTTTTCTCTTCATCATCTTCATCATTCTCATCAACACCATCCACTTCATTCCCTCCACCTACAATGTCTGATCCCTACAACCAGTACAACCAAGGCTACGGCCAGGGCTACCCTCCCCAGCAGGGTTATGGTCAGCAGGGCTATGGTCAGCAGCAGCCCCAATACGGCCAACAGGGCTACGACCAGCAGCAGCAGCAGCAGCAGTATGGTGGCTATTCCCAGCAGCCTCAACAGCAGCAGTACGGTGGCTACAACCAGGGCTACGAGCAACAGTCTCAGCACGGTCAGCCTCAGCAGCAGTACGGCGAGCAACAGCAGCAACAGTATGGTCAGCAGGACGCCTACCGTCAGGGGTGAGTTTCAGATTCCCTTTATTATTTTCCTTCCGTCACATACGTATACTAACCCCAACCCCAGTGGCTATGAACAGCAGCAGCAGGGCGCACCGGGTGAAGCCCAGGAAGGCGAGCGCGGTCTGGCTGGAGCTCTGGTCGGCGGTGCCGGCGGCGCCTGGGCTGGACATAAGGCCAACCACGGTTTCCTCGGAACGATCGGCGGCGCCATCATTGGCAGCATTGCCGAAGACGCTATTAAGAAGCACAAGAGCCGCGAGGAGATGAACGCCGGTACTCCCCAGGGTGGTCCCTACGGTGGTCCTCCTCCCCCCGGCTACGGGTCCCCGTCCTCGCAGGGTGGCTCCATGATGGATAACCTGGGCGGCTTCTTCAAGAGATAAAGCCTTCTCGCATGATGAATCTGCGACGCTCATGAATTTCCATACCTGTTCTTATCTCTGTCTCCGTTGGGTTATGTTACGTTTGCGCGGGTGTTGGCTTTTCTATTTTTCTCTGTTCATGCCCGCGAGGCTTCTCTGTGATGCATTGGTATTAGGTTACTTTTATCCTCATAACGGCCTTGCAAATGTGATCGACTGTGCTTCAATGATTCCAGTCCGATGTACCTTTGAATTGTACAACGTAATAGTAGCCGCGTATTCAATAAGTCGACTGTATGATCCAAATCATTTTAAATGTTGACATGTAGTTACCTATCTAGATCAACACTGATTAATGCCGCATCCATGGAACCCTTCTTGCCTCAGGCACACGGGCACCACTGCCAAGGCCAACCGCCGAAAGTTCGTCCTTCCCTCCTCCATCAACTATTCAACCATCCCCAGCCAGCCATGATTGTACGGCAATTAGCAGCACGGCAAGGTATGTTTCCCCATTTAATTGAGATCCCCAGGAAGCAACTAATATCTTCCAGGCCGCCAATTTCTGGCCCTGCGCCGGACTCCGGTCGCCAGTCGCTTTTTTCCTCCGAGATACCAACACCACCACCGATGGAGCCAGCAGTAGAAACCCCATTGCCTGAGGCAGAGCCAGAAAATATCACAGAGGAAATTGTCCCGGTGGCACCTGCAGAGCCGGGCCAAGCGAGTTGGAAAAAGGAGGCGACAAACCGTCAGTCTACCCTCAGACCGCTGTCTCATATATTCCAGGCCACTGACATTATTACCGCCAATTAGGACACCGCTTCAATAGAATGGGAACCTCCATGAAAACAGCCTACAACCCAGACTCCCTCCTCCAGAACCCACCCAAGCCCTCGGACATCACGCTTGAGCTCCTCCTCGCCTCGCAGACGCATCTCGGCCACTCGACCTCGCGCTGGAACCCGCAGAACTCGCGGTACATCTTCGGCATCCGCGAAGGCGTGCACATCATCTCACTGGACGTGACCGCCGCGTACTTGCGGCGCGCGGCAAAGGTCGTCGAAGAAGTCGCCGCGCGCGGCGGACTGATTCTGTTCGCTGGCACGCGCAAGGGCCAGAAACAGTCCGTCGTCCGGGCTGCCGAGCTGGCCAAGGGCTATCATATCTTTGAAAGGTGGATTCCGGGCAGTCTTACGAATGGCCAGCAGATTCTGGGACACTGTGAGACGAAGGTTGTTAATGCGCTCGACGAGGAGTTGCCTGAGTTCAAGGCGGATCTTGCGGATCGGCCGTCTCTCAAGCCTGATCTGGTGGTTTGTCTCAATCCACTGGAGAACGTGGTGCTTCTCCATGAGTGCGGTCTGAATAATGTCCCGACTATTGGCATCATCGACACCGACGCGGATCCCACGCGGGTGACGTACCCCATTCCATCTAATGATGACAGTCTGCGCGCGACGACCCTGATCGCGGGCATTTTGGGACGGGCTGGTGAGGCAGGCCAGGAGCGGCGGATGGCGATGGCCAAGGAGGGAAAGACTACTTACGAGCCCATCACGGCTCAGGCTCTGCGTCTTGATCCGTTTACGGGCACTGCGCCTGGAAGCGATCAGGTGAAAAAGCAGAACTAGTAGGGATTGTACAGATACGTGATTTTTGTGGTTCTGGGTGTTTTATCATATCATATCATACCTTTTTGTGTATTAACAGTTTCCATTCCTTTTCAGCAACCCCTAAGCCCATAAATATTGATCAATATTTCTGAACTTTGGCCTCTATCATCTATAAGACATACATCTATGCTGGGTTCATATCACATCTTGATGGTATACACCTCACGACCCCGGGCATCGCATCCCTTGTACAACACCTCCTGCCCCGATGTCGAGACCACGCGCCTCTGATCCTCATGATGCAAAATGATATCTAGATGCCTCCAAGCAGGAACAAACCCACTCTCCTCATCCCGAACAAAGTCCACCAGCACTTTCTCCTCTGTCGAACTATAGCTGACAGTATAAGATGCCATCGCCGGATGGAGCGAGATCCCATCATCCTCATGCCAAGTGCTCACAAAGACATTGCCGTGCGAGCTACGCTTCGGCGGGAAGATTTCCACACCACGGTAATCATCCACTTCCTGCACCGCCTGCGATGCAGCCGTCTCATCCCCGGGAACCCGCGTGTGAACGGGCTTGCCAACGGGGATCGCGCCCCCGATCCGCGCAATCACGGGGATGCTCTCCCTCCATTCAGAACGGATAGACACCCACTGCCCAGAAGCGAAGTACTCGTACGGCGCATTCATGTTCACATACCCGTAATCCCCGCTCCGGCGTGGGAGATACACCTTTGCTTCTGTGACGCCGGCCTCGTACACACCTCCCACCAGAATGCTGTCGCCGAACCAGAACTCCTCCTCGCCCCTTTTAAGCTGCTTCGTCCATACCTCCGGATCGGACTCGAAGCCCCATCCGATCCAGCGCTGCGGCGGTTTTGCGCTCAGGTGGCTCTCCAGTCCTAAGGAGTAGATGTACGGCAGCATTTCGTAACGCCGCTTGATCGTGTCGCGCACTAGCGGTGTGATCTCGGGGTACATCCACGGCTCGATTACCTCGCCAACGGAGGAGTTGTCCGGTGAGGTTTTGAAGCAGTTGATTGCGAATCGAGGGGAGTGGATTCCTAGCTGGATCCAGCGGAGGAGAAGTTCGGGTGAGGGCTGGGGGCCTGGGTATGGACATAGACATATGGTTAGCTCTGATTCTTTACGCAACAGATCTAGATAGTCGAGGCTGAGACATACCCTCAAAACCACCGATATCGTGTCCTTCGCACTATATGTTATCAGCAAAGAGGTATATATCCCAGGACTGGTCATTATTCGTACCTGCAACAAGGACATCCCAGCATTCAAGGACAACGCATTTGCACCCTTCATGCTCTCCCAGCTGGTGACATTGTCTCCGCTCCAGGAACTAGCCGCATACCGCTGTGTCCCCGCCGTTGCACTTCGAGTCAAGACAAACGGACGCAGCTTGGGCCCCATATCCTGCAGAGCATCGTGCGAAGACTTGCCCATCAGCTCCGTGTGCATTGCCCGTCCCCACAGACCAACCGAGTTCTCGACATTCTTCTTGCCCACCAAAGACTCGTCGAGAGCTAGCGTCCAGTCGTCGCTAGGAAGCGTGTATTCGTTGTTATCGTTCCACATGCCATCAATTCCAACGCGCTTCAGACTCTGCACCCCGTCGTACCACCATTTGAAGGCTACCTCGGATGTGAAGTCAATATGGCATCCGTCGCCACCAGTACCACCCCCGGCACTCCATAGACGCATATATCCGGGCTCTTTAGTATCGGGGTCTCTGAAGAGGCCCCCTGCATCCACCAGTTTCTGAAAGTCTGGATGAGATGCCAGCAGGAACGGCTTGATATTTGTTATCAGCCGAATGCCATGCGCGTGCATCTTGGCAATATACTCCTCGGGGCTCGGGAAGCGGTGTTTATTCCAGGTAAAGACGTTGCGGACTTTAGGTTCCGTCTCTGCAATGGAGTACCCGGAACTCATCTGGTGCGCGGAGCACGGGATGCCGTGTTTCTTCAGCTTCTCCGCAAACCCAAGCAGACCGACATGCGCCGGCGGCTCATCGATCATCGTGTACTTGTATCCACCGGAGATATACCCGTATGCCCACCGAGGCACAAGCAACGGGAACCCCACGAGCTCGGCATAGCACCGGACTACATCCTCGATCGTCTTGCCGACAATCAGGTACTGCTCTAGCCCCCCGTAGTCCTGGCGATACACCTTGAAGCGACCCCACAGCCCGTCGATTTCTGAACCAACAGACCACATGCCTCGAGCATGGGTCGTCGAGAACAAAGTCACGCAGCCTTCGGGCGTGGCCTTTATCAGCAACGGAATATGCTTGTAGAGCGGATCGGAGTTGTACACATCGTATCCAAAACAGTCTGTGGCAGAGAGCAAGAAATTGCGACCGGTGAGGTCCATCGGCGCTTGCTTCTCACCCAATCCGACATGGAGCGCGGCCTGGTCGTGCTGCGAGTAGTGCGCGATCCCCGCTGAGTCGGCAACGTATGAGCGCAATGGCAGATCGCGGTGTAGGGGCTTGTCATCGGAGCCTGTCCAGAATAGTGAGAGAACAGGGCTATGAGCCCATTCTATCGAGGCGGTAATATCGCCGACAGTGATTGTCTTGGAGCAGGTATCGGTCTTGGTGAAGACATTCACATTGTGTAGATCGGTGGCCGGCCTTGTGACGCTGGGATACGGCGGGATGGGACGGTCCACCGAGGTGAATGTCACTCGGAACAGGTTCTGGCGGACGGCCTCGAAGGTGAAGTCGAATTCGCCTTTGGTGCTGGTCGAGCGAAGATGTAGCGAGGTTTCCTTGTGTGCTGCTGGCACAGGCACTTGTTGGTACCCTTGCGGGCAGACTTCTTTCTGAGGCATGATGTTTCGGATCGGGAATCAAAGTACATGACCAAAAAAGACCCGTAACTGAACCTATATTTGTATCATTCTCTCCTCTTTGCCCCGTGGTCCTCATTAGACCGTGGGGTGATTGGAGAACGGAGTTCGGGTCGCATCACCGATCCTCTGCAGCACCGCGGATCCCAGTATCCCCACATCCCCAGACTAAAATACTTGAAGATTATCCACACGGGTCGGTCCAGACACCCGAAAGCCGACAGCTAATCCATGCTAAGCAGCAGCTCCGGCTCATTGTCACCAAAACCCCTCTCATGCCAGCCAACTGATTGGGCTGCGCAGAGATTGTCCGACATCGAGCCAGGCACGGTACGAGGCATGGTAGTCGGGGTTGGGAGTTTCGTCCGAGGAGGAAGTAAGCTTTACTTCCCCACGGGGTGGAGGATTCCATAACTAGAAGGGCGTTTCTCTTGTTTCTAGTCATTCCTCATCTTTCCTCCCAAGTGCAGCCATGCCACAGACAGACGCCCCCAAACAGCAGCAGGATGAGCAAGTGGAATCCATTGTCGCTGCACCACATTCTACGCCTGGTCCCGACCACGACGTGAAAGAAGACCAGGCACTGGAACTGATCGAGGACGTAGGTCACTCGACTATTCTGACCCCCGAGAACAACGCGCACGTCTTGAGAAAGATCGACCTCAGACTTCTCCCTATTCTTCTGGGGATTTATTTTCTTCAGCAGCTCGACAAGTCGACTCTCGCATATGCATCCGTATTTGGGATTATTGACAAAGCCCACCTCCATGGCCAGGATTATTCCTGGCTGGGCTCGGGAGTCTATCTTGCCCAGCTTGTCGCCCAGCCGATGGTGGCGTATTGTCTGGTCACTTTGCCGCTAGGAAAATTCCTGGCGGTGTCGACTCTTCTTTGGGGGACTACGCTGTCTTGTATGACGGCGGCAGGCAGCTTTGGAGGTCTGCTGGCTTGTCGATTGCTTCTTGGTCTGTTTGAGGCGGGAATCGGTGAGTGTTTTCTTCTTGGGCGAAAGATATAGAAGGCCCTAACGTGAGCCAATAGCACCGGCCTTTATTGCTGTGACCCAAATGTGGTATCGACGACGTGAGCAGCCTGTGAGATTGGGATCATGGTATGCAATGAACGGGGTTGTTAACATGGTAGGAGCTTGTTTTTCAAGTAATCTTTGATCTGGATATTGACATGCATTACAGTTTGGAAGCTTGTTAACTTGGGGACTTGGACATATCAAATCGCCGGTCTTGGCTCCTTACCAGGTGAGGTTTGCCTCTCATTGCAAAGACATGTGCTGAATATCTATAGATTATTTTCCTTTTCTTTGGTCTCATCACCGTCGGGTTCTCCTTGGTCATACTGTGAGAGACTTTTTTTCCTTCCTGGTAAACCCTGTCTGACATTCACAAAAGCACCTACATGCCAGATTCCCCTCTAAAGTCCAAATTCCTTCAAGAAGAGGATAAACTGGTGGCTATTGAGAGGTAACCACGCGTGCCCTAAGTGTTGAAAAACTGACTAACATTCCCATAAGACTGCGCATGAACCAACAAGGTATCGAAAGTGACAAATGGAAATGGGACCATGTCAAAGAAGCATTTCTCGACGTCAAGTCCTGGATCTGGTTTGCGTTGATGTTTTCAATTTCGTAAGACATTTCTTAAAAATTATTCAGCTTGTTTAACTGATCAGAAACCAGAATCCCGAGCGGCGGTATCTCCACCTTCGGCCCCTTGATCATCCAGTCCTTTGGATTCAACGAATTCAATACCATTCTTTTCAATATCCCTTTTGGTGCTGTCCAGCTCGTTGCTACTATGGGAGGTGCCTGGCTGGCGACCATTTTGAAGATGAAGGGCCCAGTTTTAATTCTGCTATGCCTCCCACCCATTGCGGGATGTGTGATGCTGCTTTGTATTCCGCATGATGATATGCATAAAGCTCCTCTGCTGGTGGGGTACTATATTGTAAGTGCAGTTCAAGCATCATCAGAGTTTATTCACTGACCGAACCAGATCTCTGTTTACCCAGGGATCAGTAAGTGTTGACTGGAAGGCCAACTTCGAGCTAGACTGACTTCTTTCAAGCGCCCTTGATCTACTCATGGTCTGCAGCAAACACAGCCGGAGAGACGAAGAAAAAAGTGACCACCGGTATCCTGGTCGTGGGCCAATGCATCGGTAATGTAGGCAACCTGAATGCAGCAAAATAACCTCAAAATCTGACACAACCAGGTGATTGGTCCGAATCTCTATACTACAGCCGAGGCTCCTCTCTATACCCGCGGGCTCACCTCAAAGTAAGTACAACCCCCTTACTGTGAACATACAGATCTAATAAGCGTTTAGCCTTGCAATGTTCTGCGTTTTGGTTGTTCTCTGCATGTAAGTACCTTTGTATCCCAGAGTCTTCCACTATTAATTGGTGCTCAGGTCAAACATGGCATATCTCACTGTCCTGAACAAGAAACACGAGAAACGGCGCGTGGAACTAGGAAAGGATTCCAAACCCGTAGACCAGTCCATGCATGCTATTGGCGCTGTAGAGACAGACAAGGAGGGCATGCCTGTTCAGGTTCTTGCTCAGGACAATGCGTTCAAGGACTTGACAGACATGAAGAACGAGGACTTTGTATATGTATACTAGGCGATTGGTACTGGAAATGTGATAGTCTATTTTCGCTGGCCACAATAAATAGGGATATATTTGACTTCTGCAGTGCTTAATTGTCCCTATTTCCCCACAATCAATCCCCGTCCGTGCTCTGTGAACTTACTCGGCGGAACTCCCGAACCCCGCGTCTGATGCGTCCCCTCCTTCCCGACTCTGTATACAGACTTGGAGCTGAGCAACACAATACGGCGCCAGATCAGCGATGCAGTCAGATGAATCCTTACATATTATTCCGCCGCCAATTGGGAAAAAGCGCATCCCGGTATGCACTGCCCCGGGCCTATGTTGTCTCGCATGGGCTGATTTTGGATTGATTATCATCCTAGAAAGCATGCAGTGCATGTCGTCAATCAAAAGCGAGTATTGACTTAGATAAAACTGGTTGATGGCTAATATTCTCCCACTGTAGGTTAAATGCGATGGAGAGAGACCATGCACAAGGGGAGTTTCTTCCTATCATTGGCGACGATGATACTAATAGAGCTATGCAGATGCCAGAAGCTAGAGAAGCAGTGTATCTTCTTCGAGGTACCTAAAGATCCCTTTTCAGAGTAAGTGCATTATCTAAGAAGAATAAACGCCAAGGCAACTGACAATCCTCTAGAAGACTTGAAGGCGTCGAGTCCGAGGTTCAACACCTCAGACAACAGCTCAACGAGATACGCCATCTGCTCCAACGCAATCAATCTGGCTCAAGGCCTGCATCTCAAGAAGAGTATTCTTGCAACAGACAGGTACATAGTGAACAAGACCATGCTCGCCGCGGTTCACTATGCTCTCAGTTCACATATCCTCGTGAAGACCTCGATGATTTGGCGGCGGCAAGTTCATCAGATTATGCAAATGGTCACTCGCAGCAATCTATCCCCACGCTCTCACCCAGCGGTATCTCAATGAATTCACTCCCTGTTGTGCTGGGATTAAGTCCCATTCAAAGAAATAAGCGGAAACGCCCTGGATTTGAGATTCGGGATGAGCCTATCTCGGATTTTATTGATAAGGGTCTCATTACCATTGAATGTGCTGTGTCGTGTTTCAAGACGTGAGTTCTATTCTGCAGAGGACACTTAGACTAAAAGAGCTAATGGGATTGCTAGGTTCTTCGAAGGTTGTGTGAGTATCGGACTATCAAATCCTATACTTATGCTGACGATACATCTAAATGAGTAGGATAGGTATATCCCAATCTTCGAGCCAGAGCATGACACATTCAACTCTGTACGGACTCGAAGTAGTATCCTCCTCAATGCTATTTGCACCATTGGCTGCATGATAGAAACCAGTACGAACTTGCTTGGCCCCCAACAAATGCACCACATCTGACAGTATTATAAATAGGATCCGGCGGCCCCATGTCCGACCTGCTACACGCCGAACTTAAGAAATGGATTAACGTGATTATTCAAAACAAACGCTTAAACTGCCTTGAGTCAGTCCAGGCATTGCTCGTGGTCGCCTGTTATTCTGCTGAACGGCTATTAATCTTATCCTTTGCAACCCGCATGGCCCTAGATTTGGGATTACATGACGCCTTTGAAGAACTTACGCAGCGGATTTCAATGAGAAATACCGATGAGGAAGATAGCTTTGCGGGAACGGATTTGGAAGAGGAGAGACGGTTGATGAGAAAGTCGAGGACTTGGTTTGGACTTCTGGTTTTGGAACATATGTACAACGCTTTCTTTTTGTCTTTTGGGGGAGCTATAGTTACTAACTAGGATTAACTTAGATTTCGTGTTGATGGTGGGAAGCCTCCCGGAGTTCGGTTGACGGGAAATCCTCGGCGGTGCCGGGTTTTGCTTGGACACCCGTCGTCGACTGCGTTGGATCTGCGCCTGTTTTCTCAGGTCGAGGTATAGTTCCGGCAGAGCGAGCTTAAGAGATATACTGACATCCTTTATGACAGCTCAACATCTTGAGAGGTATTTCGTCCTATCTTCTGGTATTCACATTCTCACCTGCTTTGATAGCTACTGTCAACGACACCCTAGGCTCCGCAGCAGCACTTGACAGGGCAAGTATTGCTGACTTCGTTCACGACATCAAGATCGATCTGGATTTATGGCTTGAGTGAGTCTTATCTTTCTTTTGCTCATATCAACACTAAATCTTTGTAGCGACTGGGTGCGCATAATCGGTATAATCTGTCCTTCGAATCCTTACTGCTCCCCGCTAACCATTCCCCTTAGAAAGCTCCACGACCGCACAAGACGAGAAACCCTTCTCTCTACTTGCGTTGAAGGTCCAAAAATGCTGGGCTGAAATGATGCTCAACTGCAAAGCTCTCCGAGCCATGGGCGTCGAGAACGTGGCGTAAGTACTACCTTCACAATCGAACTATACAATCTAACCACGCTAACGCCAGCGCCATGACTCCCACCGAGCGAAACATCCTCCTTACAGCCAAATCAAGCGCACGTCGACACCTACGCATCATCATCGCCGAACCAAACTTCTATATCGCCAAACTTAAGTATGCTATGGACTTTGTCTGGGCTAAATGCGCATTCTCATTTCTGTTGCTTCTAAAACTATCCCGGCTTCTCCCTGAGCGCGAAGAAGAACACCGAGAGTTTCTGGAGCATGGGAATCGGCTCGTGGATGAGCTCAGCAAGGCCGGGTCGAATGGTAGTCATTCTCGGACGGGAAACATCTACCTACAAATCCTGAAAGTCAGTATTGAAAAGTACGGGCGTACACTGAGAGAAACTCAGCAGGCTAGTACAGATGGTATTGATGCTACATCACCGTTCTGGGAGCTCTTCGATGCGCAGGCGGATTTGCAGTGGTTTGTGCCGGAGCAGTTTGTCTCGGAGTGGGACTTTCCGGGGTTGAATTTGTTCTATTTTCCTACGGCGCGGCAGGACTTTTTGGGAGATTTCTCTTTGGCGATGTAGGACAAAATAGTGTATATCTCAGACATAAATAAGTACAGACCGCGTGTATACAACTTTTCTCTTCATGAGTCCTGGATCTAGAAAAAGAGCCAAACAATGCACAAACATACCAGAATACAGTCTATCCAAGGGCCTTCATGGTAAGCTCGACACTGGAAAGAGAAAGAGAAGTTAGCATGATCCTTGGTAACAGAGCTGAGAAAGAAACATACACAACAAAAGTTCCTGCGGAGACAGGCATGGCTCTCAGCAGAGTCGGGCCGATGCCCTTCCAGAAGCCACCCAGCCCCTCAAGAGCGTAGGTCTTCTTGAAGCAGTCGCGCATGCTGCTGTACTTTTGCTCCGCACCGAACCCGTCGGTCTGCATCTTGCTCTTGACCACATCAAGTGGGTAGCTAGAAATCCAGAGGGCTTCACCCGCCAAACCACCGTAGGTGGCAACCTTGACAGCTGAGATGTCCTCACGATTGATATTGTTGCGCTTGACGTCCTGGTTCATCATGTACTCGAAAGCCATGAACCAAGAACCGTACGCCTGGGCCTCACGCAGGACTGTCACAGCCTGTCCGCGAAACAGACCGCGCAGCGTACCCTGGTGTGCGGACAGCTTCTTAATGCAGTCGATCGGGCCAGAGTATAGTCGTCCTTCGCCGTGGGGCTGGGCCTGCAGCCGGATACGAACGTGCTCAATCGGACCAGACAACACCGAGTTGGTGACACCGGCAAACGAACCGGCCATGTAGTACTGTCCATAGGAGAGGGCCCCGTTGGCATATTTCTTCTTGTTCAGCTCTTCCAGCCGACGACGCGCTTCGTGGAAAGCACCGAATTGCACGCTCACCTAGATTTGGTCAGACAGACGTCCATTATGAGCCGGAGTCAACTTACGCAGGCACCAATTCCGATCAGCGGAGTCAGCGTCCCCTTGTAGAAGGCCATCGGACCCTCATTCTTGAGGATCTTGGATGCGCAGTCCACCGCGCTCGAGTACTGCGTGGTCGTTTGTAACCGCACCTTGACAATGTCTGGGCGGAGGGTCAGTACGGAGAGATCAATTGCTTCGACTGGGCCACGAACCAAAGGGTTGTCCTATAGTCAGGTTAGCATGACATTGTTCAATGTTCCCACGCATTGCGCTCTTGCAATTCCGTCCGCCGGGAAACTGCTCGCGCGGGCCCACTTACCCAGCAAAACCTGAGCCATTCCACCCGCGGCGCCGGAGGCCAAGTCCTTGATGGTGCGCAGGGCACCGCCGCCCTTCTCCAGATCTTCGAAGGCTTCGGACTCCATGATTGTGCGGGCACGTTGACTGGTGGGGAAGAGAAATCAGGAACCCTCTTGCTTTTAAGCAGTTCGGGACCCGTTGTTCTAGAGAATGGCACAATCCGAGTGAAACGAAATGCTGATTGCCGGAAATCGCCGACCGCCCGCGCCGCGACTCCACTCGACTCCACAACCACCCACGGAGATCAGCCGCCTTCCCAATGTCCCTCACCTGCCTGCGCGTCCCCTGGCTGTCCCGACATCTACGCGGAACCCGCGTTCGACGTAAGAGTTACTGCAGTCAAATTCAACTATGGAAGGCTCTATGAGCATCACACGACAGGTACGGGTATTAACGGAAACAGGTATCATTTTTCCAATGCATGGCGTTCATATTTCGCAATTGTGAGGCCCGTCATCAGAACCAATTCTCGAAGATTTGCAGTCTCAATCTCATTAGCCCCCTTCAAGCCGTCGACAAAGACAAGGCCTTCTCGATTCATAATTGCAACAACGGGACCTACAAGCTTAGAAGCATCCCAGTGCCATCGCACGTGCGGGTCGGCATTGACCCGGCAGACGCGCGTGTCCTGGTCCATAATGAATGGCAAGTCCGCCGGGGCCTCTCCATATCCCGACTTCCAGTCGCTATAACATTCCCATTGGAGTTTCTTGCGGTACTTCTTTGGGAAATCCTGGTAAAGCACACGCTCGTGTATGCGCTGGAACTGGTAATACTCGCCCATTTCGAATTCGTCCAGTCGCCAGCGCTCGCCTTTAGCCAGGGTTACCCACCCTCGATATGTGAAACAGCACTTGCAGCATAGGAAACCGGGGTAGTCAACGTCAATACCCCCGACGACGTTCTCCGTTTCGAATGGAATTGACCCGGTATCTCTGGCCTTTAGGGATGCTGTATCGTCTTCGTAGCTAGTCACAATAAGGTCGTTGCAGCTCAGCTTATATGACGTCGAGTCTGGCTGTGGTAGCGAGATTCCGAAGTATGCAGGACTCCAGATGTTGTATATTGGGAACGTAGAGTCCTCTCTCCAAGAAGAACTTTGGTTTATTTGGAAGCACAGCTTGGGCTCGGATGAGAATAGGCGCCAGGTGCCTGTGTTGATAGCCCACGGCTCAGCGCGACTAATTCGGAACATATCTGTGCATTTGGGTGTTGATGGCTCTGGGGAAGCTTCATGATGAGCACTAGAGGGGTAGAAGATTAGATAAAATGCCCAGAGATTTATGGAGATGAGAGAAGGTCGTACTCAGAGGCGAATTTGTTATCCAGAGGACTACCCATCATGCGTGACTGGTCGGATTAAATAAAGAGTTGAGTAATTGGGCCGTTATCCAGCGAAACACGCTATGTGCATTTCAATAGAAATAAATAAGGAGAAGCTACTCCAGTAGCTTTATGTATTAATATTAGCAGTTAATGGGTGACTAGGGCCCCTGCTCATGAGGAGGCAATTTTTGGCGACGCCGTGAAACCTCACGCGATGTGGCCTCCCAAACAGGCAGCAATTTCACATTAGCGAGGCCGTTGGCGTCGCTGCGCCTCTCTGGCAGAGGCGGCGATCCAGGTACATATGCCGCGATAACAGATAACAACTGGTCACGTGATGGACACTCACATCAACTTTTGTCGACCGCGGGCTGGGCGACCTGACCGAAGTGGTGAGCATCCAGTCCTTTTACTCATTGTCGAGTCAACGATGTATCGACGGGCAGCATGGGGGGTGCGTCTGGTCTCGGTGTCCCTGTGATGGGTTCATGGCTAATCCAATTGATTGTTTTAGGTCTCCCGCCGACACGCACCGCAATGGTCCTGTTCGACCAGGATCTCGTCAACCCTCACCTTCCGCCGATCATTTCGGTCATCCCTGCCCCGATTAGACGAGACAGATGAAAAGAAACCCAAATGGGGTGCCTCGAGATGGGGCACCAAGGCAACCGTGAAACCAGTTGGCCTGAGTGCGGCAGAGAAGTCACTCCGCGAGTCAATGGTGGTCCAGAGACAACAACGGCTCCAAGCAGAGCCGCCGAAACAACCAGAACAGCCACCTCCAAGATCAGAGGGTCATCGTCGGCCACAGCAAGCATCCCGCAACACCACGAGAAACCAGCCAGCGGCATTTCAATCGGGTCGGCCCTCGGGTCAGACTCGGGCAGACACAAGGAATAAGAATCCAGAACAGCAAGCTGGCAGGCCTCGGACACAACAAGGGTTTGGCAATACATCGAAACGTCAACCGTGGACGTCTCAACCATCTCGTTCTCCAGGTCTGACATGGGCAGAGACGAGGAACAACGATCAACCACCGCGTCGGGATCATGAAGACCGGCGGCCTTATGAAAGGGGCACACCGCGCAGGGATAGGCAGGATGGGGCTACCCGACGGAGCACGGAAGCACACGCAACTCCCGGGAAACAGCGACACCCTCAAGACATCGCCAAGTTCCAGAAACTGGGCGACTCTGTTTTGACAGACTGGGGGAAAGAAGTACCCAGGAGACATGGAGCAGCTTCCGCAACAGAGTCGACTGTTCATGGAAAGCGCAAAACTCAAAGTACTGAAGGTAGTGTGAAGGATGCCAAGAAAGAAAAGCAAGCGGATCCGTGGGCCTGGGATATGTCTGCATTAGAACAGCTGGAAACCGTCGAGGCCCAAAACGAAGTCACGTCGAACGACGCCAAACGCAAAAACTTGCGCAAGCAGCGCCAGGTCGAGGCTACTGAACGCGATTTCGATGTGGACGAACACCAACGTCGTCGGGACGAGCGCAAACGCCTGAAGAAGGAAAGGTCTCTCGTGAAAGAGAAGAAGAAAGCCGCGCCGCAGCCGCTTTACTTACCTCAGTTCATCAGTGTTAACAACCTGGCGGACGTCATTGGGGTCCGACCTGCGCAATTCGTCGAGCGAATGGAGGAGATGGGCTTCGAAGACGTTACCTATAATCATGTCCTGGATGCGGAGACGGCTGGTTTGGTGGCCACCGAGTTCAATTTTGACCCCATCTTCGAGACATCAGGTGATGATGACCTCCAGGCGGCACCTGTCCCAGAAGATCAATCTGCGTTGCCGACACGGCCACCGGTGGTCACCATCATGGGTCACGTCGACCATGGCAAAACAACGATTCTGGACTGGCTGCGGAAATCATCAGTGGCCGCTTCCGAGCACGGCGGTATCACGCAGCATATTGGTGCATTTTCGGTTGCGATGCCTTCTGGGAAGACGATTACTTTCCTGGATACCCCCGGTCATTCTGCGTTCCTGGAGATGCGCCGCAGAGGTGCCGACGTGACCGACATTGTGGTCCTTGTTGTGGCTGCCGATGATAGCGTCAAGCCACAGACCATCGAAGCGATCAAGCACGCCACCCAGGCCAAGGTCCCCATCATTGTGGCCATCAGCAAGATTGACAAGGAAGGACGAAACCCGGATAAAGTGAAAGGAGATCTTTCAGCCCACGGTGTCCATGTCGAAGACTACGGTGGTGATGTCCAGGCCATTGGAGTCAGTGGTAAAACCGGTCAGGGAATGGTGGAACTCGAGGAGGCCATTGGCGCGCTGTCTGAGATGCAGGACCACCGAGCCGACACCGGCGGCAATGTCGAGGGATGGGTCATTGAGGCCACTACAAAGAGTTATGGACGTGTAGCATCGGCTCTGATTCGCCGCGGCACACTGCGGCCAGGCGATGTCATCGTTGCAGGCACGACATGGGCTCGTGTGCGCACACTCCGAAATGAAGCCGGCGTCGCTGTCGATGAAGCCACGCCGGGAATGCCTGTCGAGATTGACGGCTGGAGAGAGCAACCGGCGGCCGGCACCGAGATTCTGCAAGCACCCGATGAACAAAAGGCCAAGGACGTGGTGTCTTACCGTCTGGAGAAAACCGAGACCCAAAAACTGGGAGAGGACATGGCCGCCATCAACGAGTCGCGACGCGAGCTCATGCAGAAACGCAAAATGGAAGACGGCGAGGACGAAGCACGTGCTGGTCTGGAGGAGTCGAGCGGGCCTAAGGCTGTCAATTTCATCGTCAAGGCGGACGTAGATGGTTCCGCGGAGGCGGTTCTCAACTCAATTGCAGCCATTGGCAACAACGAGGTGTACGCCAATGTCCTCCGGTCGGGCGTCGGCCCGGTTGGAGAGTTCGACATTGAGCATGCGGCCAGTGCCAACGGGAAGGTCATCTCATTCAACCTACCCATCGACGGCAACACCCTGCGAAATGCCGAGTCTCAGGGCGTGGCAATCATGGACCACAATATCATCTACAAGCTGATCGACGATATCAAGGCTACTCTCAGCGAGCACCTGAAGCCGACGGTGACGCAGCGTGTGACGGGCGAAGCTGAAGTGCAGCAGGTGTTTGAGATTACCGTCAAGGGACGCGAGAAGGTCCCGATTGCTGGATGTCGAGTGCGCAATGGCCTGGTCAACCGGACCCGTAAGGTCAGGGTGATGCGCGGGGATCAGACAATTTATGATGGTAAGTTTTTCTCTCATGGCACCCATATGATGTCTAACACGTCCCAGGCACCATCACCTCGCTCAAGAACGTCAAGAAAGACGTGACTGAAATGCGTAAAGACACCGAATGCGGTATTGGCTTTGAGAACTGGACCGACTTTGCGGTTGGCGACCATATCCAGTGCTATGAAGAGATCTACGAGAAGCGATATCTGTGAGATTCTCTCTTCTGTGTATATCACCACCAGAGCTCTGTACCATATTTTCCTTTTTTTTCTTGTTTTTCTTTCGTCGTTGTACGAGCAAAAGAAAGACCGCATGTACTATAGTATACCCATCTATCTCATTCTACACGCCGATATACATATCGATTTGTCTATCTCGCCTTCCACCTCACCCTCCCCACCCACCTAGCCCAATCCATCACATCCTCCCTCTCCAAAATCCGCTCAATAGTAAACCACTCCCTAGCGAGCTCCTCATTACTCGCCATGCGATGCACAAAGCTGTGACACGCACGACAAAGCCAAGCAACACTATTTAACATCCACTCCTCATGCCACCCCTTCTTGCGCACTTTCGCATGCACCCCGCGCGGAATCAGATGATGATACGACAGCGGGATCCAGTCACGCTCGCAGATCTCGCATGCCTCTGCGCGCGTCTGGATCCAGACTGGTGGCGCGGCGGTCACGCTGGATATGTACTCGGATAATACTGGGGATAGGAAGTCAGGGAGGTTGTCCGGGGAGCCGATTATGCCGTAGACGGTGAGGGATTCTGTGATCTCGACGGGGATTGGGGAGGCGAGGGTGTCGAGGGTGGCCCGGTTGAGCGGGGTGTCGGTGTTGTAGGTGTTTGCGAGGTTGGGATCGTGTTGGATGGCGGCGTAGGAGAGACTTTGGAGGGATTCGGGGAGGGAGGCGAAGGTCTCCGAGGCGAGGAACTAGATATGTGTGGAAGTAGTTATTCGTTTTGGACCAGAGGGAGGAATGTACATCTATGAACTCCGCCAGCTCTTCTGGGTCAGCCCGCTCGGGAGTTGATGCGGGCTGGGTTGGAACATGCTTCGTCTTGTGTCTCCGGCGTGATGTCTTGGTTGGCTTTTTCTCTTCCGAGCGAGCAACTATGGTGCTGGACAGACATTCTCGAAAGACGGCGTAGTTGTCGTGCGACATGGGGGCGTGCGGCAGTGACGGAAGGACGTGGGTAGACGTGCCCCGCGGCAGTCAAAAACAACCTTTGACTGACATCACTCTTTATCCTTCCTCACCTTCACCCACCATGTCCGAAATCATCATCGCCTTTGATCTGTACGGCACTCTGCTGTCGACGAACTCGATTGCCCAGGCACTCGAGAAGCACTTTGGGCATGATAAGGCGCAGACCATCTCCGCGCTGTGGAGACGGTACCAGCTAGAGTATACGTGGAGACTGAATAGCATGGGTAGGCAACGATGCGCTCCCATTCCAAGCAGCATCACGCTGACCGTATCAGAACGCTACGTCGACTTTGACCAAGTCACTCGTAACTCGCTACAGCACGCCCTGTCCGAGCACAACGAAAAACTCAGCGACAACGACACAGACCAGCTCCTAGAAGCCTACGACCACCTGTCTACATTCTCCGACGTGAACCCAGCCCTCAACCGCGTGGGCGCCGAACCCACCCTCAAAGCCGTGATCTTCTCTAACGGAACCAAGACCATGGTGGCCAACTCGGTGCTGCGCTCCAAGGATCTTGCTCCGCACGCCAGCGTGTTCTCGGATATCGTAACCGTCGACCACTTCCAGCAGTACAAGCCCGCGCGAGCGAGCTACCAGCACCTAGCAGACCAGGTCGGGAAGGACCCCAAGGAGCTGTGGCTCGTCAGCGGCAATCCATTCGACATCGTCGGCGCGCGCAACATGGGCATGAACGCCATCTGGGTGGATCGCGCCTGTGCCGGGTGGAAAGATGCTGCGGTCCCGGCGCTCAGACCGACATGTATTGTGCATAGTCTAGAGCATGTGGTGGGGGCGGTTCTGGGGAAATGAATGGAATGGAATGTGCTGCTGAAGATTATTTCCAAACGCTCCACGCTTTTCAGAAGAAGAGTTTGGGGTAAGCCAGCAGGAAAGCATTGGTCTGTCCTCCTATTTCCCCTCGTAACAATCCATGGGAGAATGTGTGGATTCTCGAGTGAATAAGGAGGAGTTCAGTTTATGTATGGAAAAAAAGAAAAGAGAAGGAAAGGGGAGAATGAAAATTGAGAAGAAAAGAGCGGTGGTGTTAGTCAGCAGTCACATGTGCCCTGTTATCGATAAAGCTGAAGATCATTCTTTTCATTCTGCCTGTTGTTGGACAACCCACTCTGCGAACATGCCTCGAATACTCGATGCCTCCCGGGCAGCCTGGCTGTATCCCTTCAGGGTATGTTTATCCTCGAAGGATGATGCCATGAAATACTAAGGAAGATCAGGGAATCTACTACTTCGTAACCCACCGCTTTCTCTGGCCACTCTTCAAAGCCCGCCTCGTTCCCCTCCTCCTCCTCTCCACCTTCATCTACATCCTGCTCTTCACCTTCGCCTACCTGCCCCAAGTAGCATTCCTCGCCATCTTCCAGGGCGTGGGTGCCTGGGTCAACGGCGCGTTCCTGGTGCTGGGCGAAGGCTCCGCCATCGTCGCCGGGCTATTCGAGGCGTTTTTCGTGGACGAGACCCTCGTGGATATCTTCGATGCGGTGCTGATCAATGAGGGCCAGGAGGAGCTGATCCTCACGTCACGGGTGATTTACCCCGAACAGGGCGATCCTGTGAGTCGGCTCGGCACGCCGACCACCTCGGCAGTCTATTCGCCGTTTTCGTTGCGGCAGATCCTCGAGTTCGTTCTTCTGCTCCCGCTCAATTTTATTCCGGTGGCGGGGACGCCGATGTTCCTGGTGCTCACGGGCTATCGCGGCGGGCCGTTCCATCACTGGCGGTACTTCCAGCTACGGGATATGACGAAAAAGGAGAGGAAGGAGAGTGTGGGCCGCCGACAGTTGCAATACACCACGTACGTTTCTTGCCTGTTTCTGATGAAAGCCTCCGCTGATTTTTGTTTTCAAGGTTTGGAACCGTCGCGCTGATCCTGCAGCTGATTCCTCCGTTTTCCATGTTCTTTCTCATGACCACGGCTGCTGGGTCTGCTATGTGGGCGGCGGATATGGAACACAAGCGGCAGCAACAACAGGCGGACCGACGACCACTCGGCGAGTATCACGATGAAATGCCAGCATGAATTGAGCCTCCACGAATAAACAATAATCATAATATACCACTTCCTAATCAAGATTCTTTCTCCACTGTATTTCGTGATTCACGTGACCCGCCACCATTCCGCGGCGTCTCCTTTGCGCAAACTTAGTAGTTGCCCATGAACTAACGACCGGAGTGAGCGAGTAGCATCTCTCGGAGAAAAAGAGTGCTCAGTGTCCTTAAGCTGGACCTTTTGCTGTCCCAAGTGATATTCGAATTGGCGTGTCCGGGGTCCCTACAGTGCGGAATACCTGCAATTGGTCAACAATCTGGGGAGGACTCCTCCGGACGTTCCGGGGTTGACCAGGAAGCTCCCCCTTGAGATCTTCACCGTGAATAACCGCCGCACCATGAATATGATCTGATAGTTCTTGCCGGAGCCTCCATCACCGGCGTGCTCATTCGATGGACACCAAAACGCGGCTGCGCAAGGCTTGTGATGCCTGCAGCATTCGCAAAGTAAAGGCGAGTCTTGTCCTATCCTTCAACGAGAATTACTTCTAACATCTCGTCCAGTGCGACGTCAGTGGGCCACCTTGCCGGTCCTGCGCCAGCTTGGACATCCCCTGCACCTACGACAGACCAAGTCGGCGGCGGGGACCACCGAATCGCCATGCCGAGGCTCTCAAGAAGCAGAAAGTGGATGATCATCCATCGCCGCTGAGCCCACAAACCGTGGCCAGTCCACCAACTCCTATTAATCTCCAAAGCACACCGTTCCCAACTTCGGCAGAGTCAATATGCTCCCTGCACACGGTGCAACTGCTGCTGGATGACTTCTTCACGTACATCCATCCTCTAGTTCCCATTCCGCATGAGCCGACTTTTCGCGCTGCGTTCGAGCGCCGAGAAGATGTGACCAATCGTACGTTCTTGGCTCTGCTGGCCTCGATGATCGGGTTCCTGGTGGCTTCTTTCCCGCGACGACCGAAACTCCGTCTCAATACTGAGGCCGAGAGGTCTGCTTTCCCAAATTCGGTGGCCTTGGTCAAACGGTGTCATGATGTCGCCATCCAGGCAAGAGGAACGGGCTATCTAGACCGCAATGTGACGGTATACGATGCTGCTATCAGCTACTTCCTGGGCGTCTGTGCCGGCTACGTTTACAGTATGCGCCGGTGTCGTCTGTACCTCGCTGAATGCCGGTCTATGCTCCAAGTCTATGATCTATGCCAACCCCCATCTAGAAATCTGACCAGTCCGATCTCGTCACCCTCGGCACTCGCAGATCAACATAGTTTTGGGGTTGACCAGCCCGCCGACTTGATCACCCAAGAGCTCGGCCGTCGTCTTTTTTACGTTCTTCTCGTCGGGTATCAGTCTCTCCACCAGTTTGGAACTGCGAACGTCAAACTCCACATTCCACCAGAGACGCCTACAGCTACCTACCCGCCCCTCCCGCTGGAGCTCGATGATGAATTCTTGTTCCCAACTCATGTGGAACCGCAACCATCCAACCGAGTCTCGCGGCTGGTTGGGTTCAACGCCAATGTACGGGTGTACAGCTCCTACAACGCTCTGCTAGCCTGGGAAGTCGCCTTTGGCAGCGGACAAGCCTTCGACTGGGAGCGCCAACGCTCTACCATCTGGGACGGTCTCCAGAAAGCTAGAGCTGCGCTCCTCGATGTTCCCGCCGAGTTATCTCTCCACCATCCGAAAAAGACACCCCTCGCTGGAATGTCGGGCATGAGTCATGATGGCGCGCTGTTTAGTTACTCGGAGGACCACATCGACCAAGAACGGCGGGGTATCCAATATGAGATCCAGAAAGCCAATATATACGCTAGTCAGCTGTGTACGCGGTCATATCTGGTTGATAAGTACTGGAGTCTGTTTGAGGCGTTTTCGAAATACGAGACCATGTGGAGTGAACAGCAGACTACCCCGAATGCCACCCCGGGGATGAGGATTGAGGGTGTTGCCGCAGAATCGCCAGATACAAACTTCCGAGCACAGTCTCATGCTCGTATGGATTATATCGGACGCATGATGGCTGAGGAGCGCAAGCTCGTGATCAAGGACCTCTTCGTGCTCGTCCAGACCGTCAACGAAGTCAACATGGAGCCGAACGGCGCCAGCATCGTAAGTCTTTCCCTTTTTGCTCCAATACTCCAGTTCTAAATGTGATTTTAGACGATCAAAATTCGCCAAGTGGCATCAACCCTCCTCAACCACACAACCCCAACACCGCCCACAAACCCACCCGCAACCTCAGATATCCCTACCACATCGACTTCAAATAATACATCCAGCACACTGGCACCATTATCAACACCAGATACCACAACCTCAACGCCAGGCCCTCACGTCCTCACAGCCGCAGAGGCGCAATCCTACCTTTTAGCTTTCATCGACACCCTCCTCCGACTAGAGTGCCACTCTGCCGTCGCTGCAGATCCTACGGGGAACAATGTAAACAGCGAGACGAGCCCGGAAATGAATGGTCGTGAGATGAGCTATGTTAGTGATTATGAGCGTGACCAGGAGGAGCTGAGTCAGTGGGCTAGTTTGAAGGTCTATCAGCAGAAGTTTGCGGAGGCTGGGGGTGTTTTTTCGGAGTTGTAACCTTTCCTTCTGTCTTGTGTCTTGCATTGTCTTTGGATTTGTTTGGGATAGGGTAGGTTGGCTTGGGTCGGGTTAGGGTTTTTTTTGGATGGATGGTTGAACGGATTTTTGTAGTAGATAGATACCACTTGTTTCTGCTTGCGATTTGTTTAGAGGGCTTATATATCAAAGTTCTGGACCAAGATATTTTTGGGTGGTTCATCTTCTACTCTATATACATAAACAGAACCAAATCTACTAGTGCTATATAGGAGATGAATAATGATCTATTGCACTATGTAAGAAGGAGAGGCATGGCTAGGTGATATTTGAGCAAGTACCCGGCTCATGCATTACCCATTCTTTGGTGCGAGTTACCGTGGCCGTTTCTGTTTCAGTATGAGTTACCGTGGTCGATTCCGTCTTAGTCGTAATATAAGGAAACCGGGAAATCACTGTGTGAACCACCGTGGTTTCGACTGGATAAGATACCACAACAGTCTTCGTACTAGTCACTGTACCGGCCACAGCATAGTTCGACGGTGTGATAGGGACGACAGACAGGATACCCGAGTCATTTTCCCCAGAGCCGGAGCCAGAGTTCGAATCGGAATCAGTAGCTTTGGACCCGGAGGCGGAATTAGAGTTAGAGTTGGAAGTTGTATCATCCCCTGAACCCGATCCAGAGCTACCAGAGCTCGAGGTGGACTCCGAGAGAGGTCCAGAGGCAGCCTTAGATCCAGATCCAGTTCCACCCGAGTTTTCAGGATCCGTATCTACGTTCTTCGTCGAAACAGATGACACCGTGTGCGTCGAGGTCGGAGACTCATAAACCACAATGGTGGATGTAGATGTGAGAGTCACTACATCCTCATTGTCCGAGTGGTGAGATTTAGTTGTGAAGGTGGAGGTGGAGGTGGTGGAGGTGGTGGTGGTGGTAGTGGTGGTGGTGGTCTTGGGTGTAGTTTCGGTGGTAGTGCTCGGAGAATCAACGATAGGGTTGTTATCCACGTCTGGCACCGCGCTGGGCTTTGTATCCCAAAAATTCATACTAGCGTCCGAGGTATTGGCTGTGACCCAGACGATGACGGGGCTAGTGATGATATGTACGTGGCTGGTTGTTGTAATCTTGGAAGAAGACGGTTTTGTGCTCGTGGTAGTGGTAGCGGTCGTGGTCGTAGGATCGGTTTCCTTGTACGAGTGGAGATCCCAGGGATAGGTCAGGTAAACCGCGTGTCCCGGCTTCGTAGGCGTGACCTGAGAAACCGTGCTGGTTGAAATCGACCTTGCAGTAGTAGATTTGGTTGAAGCTGAATGAGAAGAAGATGTGGACGTAGCGTGCGTAGTTTTCATCGTCTCGGTAGTTGTAGTGATAGTGGTAGTGGTCTCCGGATATGAGTGGAGGTCCCAGGGATACGTCAAATACACCGCGTTTCCCGGCTTGCTAGGCGTGACCTTGGAAACTGTGGTAGTAGTAGCAGTAGTAGTAGTGCTCGTCTCTGGCCAAGTGGGAGTAATTGGGGTGACCACGATCCCAATATCATGGTTGTCTTGAGCAGTATCCCGCTGCGAGAGCTGCGACGCAGAAGACGCAGAGTCCGGGGCAGGAGAAAAAAAGCGAGTGATCGGACCAGCCGAGCAGTGCCGCACCAGAAAGAACAGTAGGAAGACAAATTTAAGGAGCAGCATTTTTTTGAAGCAGCTGGTTTTGGAGCAGAGACTCAGCGAGTGGGTTTGGACTGGTTGCGAGAAGCACGCAGAATTGAAGATATGGCTAGCAGGGCGTGAGGAGGGTTCAAAGAGAGAAGAAATAGATATGAACGATAGGAAGGCAACAGACACAGTCAAAGAAAAACATCGTCAATGGTGTGCAATGGACTAGAGATGTTTCATGGCTGTCCGGGGCAAAGAAAGAGTGGCTTGACTTGAAGAGTCACGAATGCGGCGAAAAAACGAAAGAATGAAGCGATCTGGGACGAAAAGACCCCGAGGGATGGCCACAACTGGGGTCTTATGAATAGATGAAGCGTCCATTCTAGATTGGACTGTTTCAAGTTGGCCACTGTTGTGCTGGAAATAGAAGCGCGCGACAAAGAACGTCGCAGCAACCGCCCAGCCCACGGCGCGTGCTGATTGGCCCGTGGCGGAGTATATTTAGCATTTACTTAGGGCTAGCAGTAAAATATGGTAATTCGTCAAATAATATGTTTCAGTCATGGTCAATTAGTTCATCCTACGACGCGCTCACAATGAAAGACGGGCCAATCCCCTCAAACGCTGTGATAGTGCCCGTCACGCCCTTCGAGTCCCCATAGTAGTGCATCCGGTACGTCCCGCTCGACAGCGCGGTCGGGTTGCCGACACTGTAGAAAGAGTCTTCGATTTCCCACTCGACCGTCACCGTGCTGTAGCCCAGAACGGTATCGGTTCGCAACCAGTTGAACACCAAGTTCCAGTCACGGTCATTGCGCACCTGTGTCCACTCCGACCCGGTCTGCTGTTCCACCGCCGCGTACGTCCCTTCCAGACGCAGGTTGTTTCGGGGGTTGGCGCCGACAAAGGTCGTATTGACCACGTCCCCTGGTCGGAACGTCTTGTTACTCGGGGAGGTGAGCACATCACCAAAGGACTTGCCGATTGGTGCGCCGTCGTACACAACCCCTGTAATGAAAGAGAGCGAGTTGTTCGTGTTGATGGGCGGGCTGGGGCCCGCGGGGATGGCCGGCAGCTTGGCCACATCTGCATCGCTCCCCAAGTATGGCAGGTAGGTGAGAGTCAGATTCACATACGCCGCAAGTTCATTTGGCCCGTACAGAGTGGATGCTCCTTCGTATCGCTGTACGCTATACTCCTCCTCGGTCGTGAGGTAGTGAGAGTAACTGTTCGCCGGTGCTCCGAGCACCACTTGAGGCTCTGAAACACCGAGCATATTTTGGGCTCCATTAATGATGGCGGCTTTCCACCGGCGCCCAGACATCGTGGTGGCTTCACTGCTGGAAATGACGACAAACATCTGCCCCAGTCGGAGCACCTGGAAATCAACAACGTCGGGAGCCCATGCGTAGGGCAGAGTCAGGGTACCCACATCCAACAAGATATCCTTAGGTGCCTGACAAGCTCTCTGTTCGGCGCTGGGTTCGTGGATAAAGCCTCGTGCAATCTTCCACAAGGGGTTATCGGTGGACGGTCCGGTGGCATTTTGGGTGAAATCAAAGGCACCTGGTCCATCTGTGGTTCCGGCAGCAAATGAATATCCAAGCGCCGCATAGCAAGTCTTCATGGCACTACCGTTGAAAGGAGACGTAAACTCGAAGCCGTTCATGTTCTCATAGACATGGAAGGACTTGACAAACGAGCTTCCAGTAATCGGTGTGTTGACTTGATCGTCGTAGAGCTGCTTCGCAGCCGCGAACTGGCGCTTCCCAATTTCGAAGCAACTCTTAGCCCCGTTGTCCTTGACACGGAAAAACGGTCCTCGGCCGTGGCACGCTTCGTTACTGCCGCCACAGGTGCTGTCTTTGTAGCTGCACTGTTGTCCTGAGCCATCCTCGCACCAAGCCCCCAGGATATTGGGGCTAGTGTCGCCGACATTGGCCTGGGAAAAGCCGATAACAGCATCATCAGTAAATCGATCGTCGCCCACGATGCTGCGCTCAAAGAGGTAGGCGGCGACGCCCTTATTGTCGCCCGTGACTAGGGTGTTGTTGTTGTACATGGAGGTACCGTGCACGGGGAACCAAGTCAAGACGGCCGCAGTTTTATTATCAGACTCTCGATCAAAGCGCAGGAGCGAAAGCGTCTTTTCGACTTGTCCCACATACTTCGCTTTCTCTTCCTCTGGATTTTGCTCGTAGGCATATGGGCTGCGGTTGATGTTGGCATCGTTCAGGGTAATATTGCCGAAGGAAAGACGTCCTGTGGTTATGCTCTCATGAGCACGTTGGATGGACAGAATCGTGCCGTCAACGATAGCCTGGTAGCTCTGCTTATCGAACCCCTTGGTGGGGATTTGAGGCAGCAGATAATTCATCCACGCGCCGGGCCCGGAATGCGAATGGGTTCCGACCAGGGCGACATTATGTTCACCATATTTCGCGTAGTCGCCGCCCAGCGCAGCAAGCCCCTGCAGGACTCCGTGTCTAACAGCAGTGTCACCCGACTGGGTATCCAGAATCAGATACACAAAGGTGTCGTCGGGATTATTGGGGCTGGCAAAGATGAAGGAGCGAGAATAGAGTCGCTGCCGCACACCCGTGCCCAGCTGGTCCAGGCTGGCATACCCATTGAAATCGACCTCGACCACCGGTCTGGCTCTTGTTAGTGACCACTAACCCACAGATGTAGGGGGGTCCAACGTACCCCGTGATATCCGCCTTGCCGGCTCCGACCTTGAAAATATCATCGTTTGTTGCAGCATTGTTGGCTCTGTTGTTCCAAGAGTTGTAGTGCTTGCGGAAAGCCGGTGACTGCGGCTGAGCATTGTTTTGGACCACAGCGAGCAGCTGGAGCACCAGCAGCGCTGCCAGGGTCACTCCTACAATCGTGGTGCCCCATCGAATATTCGGCATTTTGAGAGAGAAATCAGGGCATGGAGTATCTGGAGGACAGTCCCATGCGCAGACACGGGGTTCTTAAGGGCAAGCCGAGGCAGCTAGCCACCTGGGAGGATACTGCAAATCTTAATCCGAACTGGGCGTGAGAGAGGTAACATCGAGCTAAGCGATGGGCGTGTGATGATCGCGCAGGACTGGGATCGTCATCCATTCACATTCCTGGATCCCGAACTGGCTTAGGTCGAATCCCCCGCACGGTCCGGGTTGGCACAATGAGTGGCATCAAGACACACGATCGTCGGGACAATGAAACACAAGCTCAGCCAAGGACTGGGTTGCTCGGTTGGTACATGCAACGCATACATCATAATCTCAGCAGCACTCCATTATTAAGTAGCAAAGTGTGTAACTACAACTAACAATATTGGAGCCTCAAGTGGAGGACTGTAAACACAGGTCACCTGATTGATGAGTCATCTGATCCCGTCCAGCCTGGAAAAGAGCGGCGTCTTTTCTGTTCATCCTCACCACCACCGTCACCATGCCTCTCATTAACGAATCCCACGACTCCCTGCCCTGTATGTTTTCTCGGTGTTTATCTGTGCTATGTATCTAACTTTTTCTCAGATGTCGACAGCGCGCCCTCAGCGGCTGCTCGCGCCAGAGCCCAACAGCTCATCGACGCCGAGGTGTCCCCAGAGCACTCAACAACTCTTCACCCTTCGATCCCTGCCGCTCCAGAGCCCCATTTCTCCTCTCTTATCCAGCAAGAACTCGAGCGCAAGGCGGCAGGAACCCCAATGGCAGGTGGAATCGATCTCACTCGCTACGAAGCCCCAGAACCACCAACGCGCGCATCGGACGGCGAGACCCCTGATCTGGACGAATGGCGTCGAACACTACAAAAAGCATACGTGTCGAGCTCCCATCTATCCAAGCGACATGAGGATCTGGGGTTGCTCGAAGAGCATGGCAAGAATGCATGGTTGATCGGCAACTCACAGCTGGAGGAGATCCTTCGCAGCCTTGAGAAAGATTTGGCCGACACCAAGGATGCGGCGGAGCAGGTCAACAAGGAGCGGAAGATGGCTCAGGAGTCGAGATATGGCGAAATCACTGGTCTGGAGGATACGTGGAAGCGCGGCGTGGGCGCGATCCTGGATGTGGAATTGGCGTCTGAGGGTCTTCGCCAACAAATTTTGGCGCACAGGCGCCAGGCTGCTCAGCAGCAGTCGCGCTAGCTTGGCCAACGTCTCATGTGCCTTCTTTTCATCTAGTACTCGTCACACATGACGCGATGTGGAACATTTTGTGTCCGCGACCCAAAGCTCTCACGCTCCGGGGTCCTCTGCTTCTTCGAGAAATGGCTCCGCAGCCCGCATGTACGCCACTTCTGTCGATTATGAAGTGAACTCCCCATCAAAGCACGATACAGTCAGCGCAATGTGGCAGCAGCTTTTCCACCACCACGGCCAACGAGCATTTCAAGCAGTTGTCAAGCCCCTGGTCACACAGTCCGAGTTGGACAGCGTTAGTAATATCCTGGGATTTCAAATGTCCTATATCTAATGGGACCATCCTTGTTCGTTAATCTTACAATACCCCAATGGGGATGGCTCATATCTAGCAATCTTCATACCCAACCAGAAAATAGCTCCATTGTGCCCGCTAGACAAGCTAGACAATATGCAAAATCCCACAGACAGTATATCGCTACTTGAGAAAGCTCGCCAGAAAAATCCACGAAGTCCAAACCCAAGTATTACCATCATCAAAGCTTCTGCTCCGGCGAACCAAGATTAATATCAACCCCTTCCTCCGAAACAGAAAGCGGTCCAATCTTCTCCTTAACAGAAACCCGCTTCTTCTCCGCAGCGCGATTCCATTCCAAAACCTCCTTGCATAGTCCTTGGATCGTCGTAAACGGGGGCTGATATCCAAGCCCTCCCTGCTCAGGCGCCTTCTTCGCGAGTGAATCATCCGCAATGCAAAAGACGTCCGAGATATTGAACAGCGTGGGCTGCAGCTGATACAAATCCTTTGGAATAGCCGGGAGTAGCCATGGCAAATAGCTGTACTGCACAACCGCGTAGGCTTCGACAAGATACGAAAGCAAAAACATGGCCATTGGTTCCACTGTCGTGAAAGAGACAGGCGTCTTCGCACGGCTTTCCAGAAGCATATAGATGTCGCTGAAGGCGACGGGCGGGTTGGGGTCAGTGACGACAAAGGCTTGGCCGCCGATGTTGGGCAGTTTGGAGTTTGGCTGGCTTTGTTCGAGAAGTCGTTGCTCGTACAGCAGGTGGGCGATTGAGACATTCTCGGCGTTGACCTGGCTGTGAATGATGTGGCGAACCCATCTATAGACAATTTGTTAGAAACACTCGTTTCGGGGGGTTGTAGGTATAAAGCTCACGTCGGGCCGCCCCCGCTGCGCAGATACTGTCCGGTGAAAGTATTGCTTGAATCGCTTCCAACGCCATAGACACCGTTCGCCGGCCGGATGCAGCCAGTCCGGAAGTTCGATGCTGGGTTGTCTGCAGAGCACACGAATTGCTCCGCCTCGGCCTTGGACACGGCGTAGTTGCCAAAGAAGTCATCGTGCTCCTGCGGCACTTTTGCGTCGTTTCTCATGATCTGCACAAGATTGTCGGGCACTTTCTTCCATGGAGCAATCCAGAACGAAGGCCGGTGGAGACTGACGGAACCCGATGAGGTCGAGACAAAGCAGCTGGCGCCAGCGTTCTTTGCGGCGTTGAGGACATTCTTGGTACCGTCGACGTTGACCTTTTGGCACATAGGCAAAAAGGTCCTGAGACGCTCTGAAGGGCGAATGGCAGCCGCAGTGTGGAAGACAGTCAAGGGTAGCTTTGCGACGGCGGCTGGCCAGGGCGCTTCAAAAGCCGTAGTGACAGCAAGTTCGTCGGTGATGTTGGTTTTGATGAATCCCACGTCTTGATTCGGCGGTTCCTGGAGGTCCAGCACACGCAGAGCAGTCGGGTCCTCGCCGCGCGCAAGCATATGCGAGACGATCCAGTTCCCGACAAGACCAGAACCACCCACAATCACATAGCGTCGCGACTGTTTCGGTGGCAGGACCTTGGACACGTCGATGGGACTCTCGATGCTTTCCTGGTAAGCAGCTTTGATTTCGTCCGTCGTCCAGCGATGAGGAGATAGTCTCTGCACTTCTTCGGGTACTATTTTCATTGCGCGGTTGACATGGTATAGATAGAGCGCTGCTAGCCCGATAAGGCCGCCTGTCACCACAGCCAGGACCATTTTGTGATCGTCTCTGCGCAGGCGACGAGGATGTAAAAAGAAAGAATCTGAGGCCGTCGGGAAAAACTGCTATGGCGGAGTGTCGGAGTTCTCCTACAGGATTCTTCTTTCTTGGGGGCGAGGCCTTGTTGGAAAGTGTTGGTTTAGCCCGCACTTTCAGACGCGGCCTCCATCGCTCGAAAAGGTGGCTGACAGCGAGCTTGAGTACTAGTCCTTAATTTGGCATACTTTGCGACAAGACACACTATCCTCGTAATAGACTATATCACGTTTGAAGGTCTACAGAGTAGACTGCGCGACATTACCAACAAAGTCATGGACTCTCGCCTCGCCCAGCGAGCTTGAAAGCTGGAGGAGCCGTCCTTACGGATGAGAGTAGGATCGAGATCGGGTCCACCTGCAGTCTGAGACGAGGGTCGCTTAGCCGTTAGTTCCCTCGCTTAGGCTCAACCAAGGCCCAGCCCAGTGATGTCGAACATGGGTCAACCACACGGGAACGTGGAATCTACGTCAAAGTCTAAGAGACAAAAATAGAGCTGTTCTTCAGGGGTTATATAGTGCCAGGGTAACCTTGTTTCGATCCAGTAATTCACTCCGACAGCCTTATGATGATGGTAGTTTCTCTTGTTCCTCGTCTTTGGTTCCAGCGGAACCCTTCCGCCAAGCCTCGGCCTCGTGTCAGAAAATTTATCGGCATCGCCGACCCCAATCCAGATCCGACGTGGAGTCCGAGGCTGTTCTAGGTAGTGATCGGGATACCTAGTGCTACTTTTGACTCGCTTTGCCGTGAAACATTGCCCCGACATGTCCTGAACATGCCGAGGCCAACCTTTTCGCGACGGCGCAAAGCGCGTTCTAGAAATGTACCAATGAGAACTGCAAAACGCCGGAAAAGCAGACCCGCAGACTCTTAAAACTTCCACGTTTTTGTACTCGGCAAACCGGCACCGCAATCCGACAGCATAAAACCCTCGACGGTCGCGATGGTAATTGGTCGAATCACGCCATAAGCTGTGAAATTGTCCCTAAGGATGAAGTAGTTAGTGTGCCCAAGCTCCCAACGGAGAGATGTCCGACCCTTTAAGTACCGCAGATAGCGGTGGCCTCACTCGGCAAATCTTTTGATGAAGCGATCCATCATCCGATGCCCCCACCCTTCTTGAAATTTGCAATCCAGTCGGGTAAACCCATGAAACTTTTGAATATCGAGCTTTGCTCTTTTCATGATCGTGCTTTGTGATATCCTCTCAGCTTGGATATCTCACGGCTTGAATACTAATTTGTGTTTTCCCCCGGAAATCCCCCCAAGTATCCGCCAAAGGCATAGACAACGCCATTTCGGGACTGGCTAAACCTTGTGAAACATCCGAGGATGTCCTCCTCAACAGGACCCTCTCCACAACCATCCTGGAAAAACAATGCTGAGAGTATTGCGCAAGACACAGATTCCATCGCGGAGTCTGTCTCGTCGGTCAACACCCAAACCGATCACGATGCCTTGGGCAAAACTTTGACGGCGCATGCCTCGCACGCCTCGGGGCACATGTCGCTATCGCAACGAGTCACGACCATCCAAACTAATGCAACCTCCGATCCTAACTTCGAGGTGGACTGGGATGGCGATGATGATGCTCAAAATCCCAAGAATTGGAGTTTCTGGTACAAGGCCATGGCCATGACGATGCTCTCATTTAATACGCTCGTGGTGTAAGTCTGGTTGCAACTTCGTTTGTCGGTTTAACTAATATTCAAAAGTGTGTTATATTCCACCTCCTACACCTCGGGAATCACATTAATTGCCAATGAATTCAACCAAACCGAAACTGTCGTCACGCTGGGCTTAACATTCTACCTATTTGGCTTGGCTATCGGATCCATGTTTATGGCCCCTCTCAGTGAGGTGTATGGCCGGAAACCCGTTAGCGTAGGCTGTCTGTTCATGTCAGCCGTCTTGATTATCCCCTGTGCCCGCGCCCAGTCAGTTACCACATTGATCGTCGTCCGCTTCATCGGCGCCTTTTTCGGAAGCGTCATGATCTCGACTGCGCCCGGAATGGTCGCAGACCTGGTGGATGATGATCATCGTGCCCTAGCAATTTCTGTTTGGAGTATTGGGCCATTGAACGGACCGGTTCTCGGTCCTGTTATCGGCGGGTTTGTCACACAATATCTCGGCTGGCGCTGGATGGACTGGATTGCACTCATACTGTCCGCCGTGGCGCTTGTCTTTTCGATTATCATGAGGGAAACCTATGCACCGGCCATCCTCCAACGAAAAGCCGCCAAACTACGCAAGGAAAGCGATGATTCCCGCTGGTGGTCGCGCTACGACCAGAAGGCAAACCTCACTGAAATCCTGAAGCTGAATCTGAGTCGCCCATTCGTCATGGCTGTCACCGAGCCCATCTGCATCTTTTGGGATATCTATATTGCCATCATCTACGGCATCCTGTACCTGTGTTTCACGGCCTACCCGATTATCTTTCAAGATATTCGTGGCTGGGGTTTGGGATTATCTGGTCTCGCCTTTTTAGGCATTGGGATTGGCACGCTCATCACCATCGCCTGCGAACCGCTCATTCGCCGCATGATCAACAGTCACAAAATCGACCCGGAGACCGGCAAAGTCTACCCCGAGGCAATGGTCTCCGTCGTGTGCATCTGCGCCATTTTGATTCCTATCGGCGAACTTTGGTTTGCTTGGACCGGCTCTCCGGCTTCAATTCCGTGGATCGTGCCCTTGTTGGCCGGTATTCCGTTCGGCGCAGGCAATACAGGAGTGTTTATCTACGCCTCCAACTACTTGACCTACAGCTATGGCATGTATGCTGCATCTGCGCTGGCAGGCAACTCCGTCATTCGCAGTATCCTTGGAGGTGTAATGCCCATTGCCGGCACTTACATGTACGCCACTCTGGGCCCTAATTGGTCCGGTACTCTTTTGGGCCTGCTCGAGGTTGTTATCGTGCCCATTCCGTTTGTGTTCTACAAGTACGGCCACAAGATCCGCATGAGGAGCACCTTGATCATTCGCATGCAGGAGGACAAGAAGAAGTTGGAGGGAAAGCGGAGCCGCCGACGGCCGCAACCTATTTCTGAGGCGGAAGAGAAGGAGGAAGTATAGGTCTTTTGATTGTTGCCACGATACCCTTTGTGTGTTTGCATCCGAGGTGTTTTTTGAGTCCATGCCAGCATTTACAAAAGGAGCATAATTAATTTAAAAAGTTTTTCATTCGAATCTGGGTATCAATCATCTCTTATGGCAAACTTGGCCGGGGGACTCGAAGCTCGACATCTTCCGCATTGCGAAGAATCCGCTCATAGTCGCCCAGCGCAATTGCCCCCGCCGGGAAAATCATCACAGCCTCGACATATATAGGGCGCGGTGGCACTTTGCGTGGCACGCAGGCATCTTCCTGGCTCGACGTAAACGACGCTGGTGGCGTAGATTCCTCTCTGATATAGCCCAGGATGTTCAACCAGGTGCCCACCTGCAAGTCTTCGGCTGTTATACTCTCCAACACATTATTGATGTCTACCGGAACCGTGTTGGGCTCTTTTCGGCGCGGGTAGTTGTGCTCTAGTATCAGGTGGCCATTTTGAACGTCATAACGCATCACGCTTGCGAAGGGTTAGTCGCCGGGCAGTACACTAAAGGTATAGTGACGCACCAGCCGAGAAATCGAACCTTGGAATCCGCTGGCAGAGATGGTAAATCAGACAGAAAGGCACGCGAGGACGGGCGCGGCCCGTTCATGGGTGTGTTGTGTCGTGTCGGGCGGATGATGTTTGGGACTTGTGGCAGCACTAGGAAAGAGGCCACCGCTCACGTGACTCCCGCTGACCAAACGATGGAGCTCCGACATGCAGCAACAGCTCCCTTGGCCTTCTTCACCCATCCTCCGAACAATCTCTCTCCACCTTCATTTTGTCACACATCATCCCTCCCTCTATCCGTCATCATGTCGACTCTTGAGGATCTCGAGGACTTGGAGCGCGAGCAGAGAGACAAGAAGCAAGACCAGGGCGATGGAGACGGCAAGAAGCCAGACGGCGACGACAGCGACGCCGAGATGAAAGATGCCGAGAAGAAAGAAGACGAGGAGGAACTCCTGGATGACGAGATTCTGCACTCGAGCACGGCAGACATCATTAAACGTCGGCGGATGCTTGAGAACGAGATGCGCATTATGAAGAGCGAGTTCCAGCGGTTGACACACGAGCAGAGTACAATGCGGGAGAAGGTCAAGGATAATCAAGAGAAGATCGAAAATAACAGGTCCGTTGATTACACGCTACTGAATAAGCCATCGCCGCTAACACCGCTGTGTCTAGACAACTACCATACCTCGTTGGAAACGTGGTGGAGTTATTGGATCTGGACGTGGAGGCCGAAGCCGCAGAGGAAGGTGCCAACATCGATCTCGATGCCACCCGAGTGGGCAAATCCGCCGTCATCAAAACATCCACCCGTCAAACCATCTTCCTCCCCCTCATTGGCCTGGTCGACCACGAAAAGCTCAAGCCCAGTGACCTCATCGGTGTCAACAAGGACTCATATCTCATCCTCGATACACTACCCGCCGAGTACGACAACCGTGTGAAGGCTATGGAGGTCGACGAGAAGCCGACGGAGAAATACACGGATATTGGTGGTCTGGACAAGCAGATCGAGGAGATCGTTGAGGCCATCGTTTGGCCTATGAAAGAGGCGGAGCGTTTCAAGAAAATTGGCATCAAGGCGCCGAAAGGTATGACCTCCCTCCTCCATTTCGTATTATCAGCTGCTCATTAGATTTAGGTGCTCTCATGTACGGTCCTCCTGGAACCGGTAAGACCCTGCTGGCTCGAGCGTGCGCCGCCGAGACCAACGCAACCTTCCTCAAATTGGCCGGCCCACAACTGGTGCAGATGTTCATCGGTGATGGCGCCAAGCTGGTCCGCGACTGCTTCGCCCTGGCCAAGGAGAAGGCGCCCGCTATCATCTTCATTGACGAGCTGGATGCCGTCGGCACAAAGCGTTTCGATTCGGAGAAATCCGGTGACCGTGAAGTCCAGCGGACAATGCTGGAACTGCTGAACCAACTCGATGGATTCGCCTCGGACGACCGCATCAAGGTCCTGGCTGCCACCAACCGTGTCGATGTTTTGGATCCCGCCCTGCTTCGGTCTGGTCGTCTGGACCGCAAGATCGAGTTCCCACTGCCGAACGAGGAAGCCCGCGCCAATATCTTGCAGATTCACTCGCGTAAGATGTCTGTCGAGGACAGCGTTAACTGGGCCGAACTAGCCCGCAGCACCGACGAGTTTGGCGGTGCCCAGCTCAAGGCCGTTTGCGTTGAGGCTGGTATGATCGCCCTCCGCAAGGGTATGACCAAGGTCGGCCACGAAAACTACGTCGATGCCATCTCCGAAGTCCAGGCCAAGAAGAAGGATGCGAACATGGGTATCTATGTTTGAGTTATGTGTTTCTATTTGTGTATGCTACATAGTGGCCCCGTTCGAGTTATAGTCTCGCTCCTGCATGCACGCATCTCTCCAATACAATTTGATGACGTCGGTGGTTTTCTCATGTCTGCATAGAAAAGGATTTTGCTTCGTGTCTCTATTTTTTCTTCCAAGTATTCCCATTCTCGCAGCGCATGAGAAGAACGTCTTAAGTACAGAATAAATCCAAGGCAAGAGGGTTAAAGGTAGGTAAGAGGTTTGGAAGGAAGAGGTTTGGAAATTGAAGAAAGAACGAAAGCCGGCCAAAGAAAGAACTCGCTAAACCTATGCGTTTGGGCTTTCTGCCAAAGTATAAAGCCCAACCCCTGTCCTCGTGCCCACATCTCCTCCAACTTCTTCTCTCGCAAAGAATCTTTCAGACTGAAATCGCCTTCCTGCAATTCATCTAGCTCTCCATCCCACATGAAGACATTGCCATCGACTGTTTCTTCACGACCGACGCCGACATCCAAGAGATCGATCTCACAGGCATGAATATAATATTTTTCCGTTTCATAGGCAATGAGTCGATCCAGATGTTTCTGCGACAGGATCTTGCATGCCACTCTCTCGACTGCATAGCCAGGCGGTCCATCGATAAGTGCAGGGTATGGTCCCCAGAGTCGAATTTGATAGCCGATCACACGTGCAGGACGTAGCTGGGGCGGCTTTGCTACTTGCAAAACTTTCGCCAATATCGACGAGTCCATTAGAGTGCTGTAGAAAAAAATACCAACCTTTGTCCGTGATGTCGTACGGCCAGGTAAATGAAAGCTGTTCATCAGCTTCTGCTGTTTCAATGGAAAAGCTGGGTTGAGACTGTTTTTCAGCATCCGCCTTCGCATCTTCCTTGAGGAACTTGCGTGCCATCGGGGACAGCGTTGACAGCGTTACTTTATCCATGATGATCTAGTAGTTTAGTTAGCGACATATATCTCTAGTTGTTACTTGTTGGCCTACCTGTTAGTAGTGGGTGTAGTCTTGCAAGCCTAAAGTATGTAGAAGTGTAGTTTAAGTGGAGTCGATGGCGTTAAAATTTGTGTATTGATAGAGTGTACGACATAATTTGTCTTTGTCTATTAACACCCCACGACAGATATTATGTTGGATTCTACCCACTATATTCAGGGATATATATCTGCAACTCGCATGACTGTGTATTTCTTTGGTAATAACGAACATGCCGCCTCTAGTGATTGCCAATTGTAGAATGTGTATCAGTTATTGTTGTTGAACTTTAGGGCTATGAATATCCGTCTTTAATATGATGTTCTAGGGTGGGCGGTTCGCATAAGAATTACGTTTGTTAACAACCCGAGACCGGTAACTAAGAAGGGAAGGCCGTCTGCCAGGAGCTACTTCTTGTGACGAGGTGGAGTATTCGGACCGGAGTGGAGTATTTGTACCGGCGTGATCGGAGTACCCAAACCGAGGGGGAGATATATGACTGACGGCTTCCCATTATTTATGGCACCATCAATATTTCATGAAGAAACCATAGACACCCAGGTCACAAAATCACCCTCTATTCCAAGAGCTTTGAACCAACTGTAGTACAATCCTCCTATCTTTGGAACCGAGCAATACTGAAAGAGAGCCTCATCAGGTGCCCTGATACGGTTATCGGCCGTCTCCTCTCTACATCTGGGTCATCACAAAGGAAGGTGTTCATTATGAGAGATATTCTGCCATCTAAGATTAACAAATGGAGTACGTATTTTCACGACGCATCGTGCCTTCTCAGACAGATATGCTAATTCTGATCAGCCCAGGAACAGGGAGTATGTTGAATCCTTACAGTAACATGATTATGTGATTATCTGACAATTTGTTACGAAAAGGTGAAAGCACAGCTTGCGATCTATGGTAACTTTGCATTCTTTCCTTGCCATAGATGTGTGCTTACCTTTGTCGCAGGAAGCGTTGTGCGACCTCTCAGCTTGAATGAGCTACAGGGGCTTTCTCCAGACCCGACCCAAAGTCCAGTGGAATTTCGACCTCAGTCTCACGTATGGAAATGCTCAGGGATCACTCAAGCTCCGGGAATGCAACGCGAACATGCACTCCTCGACTAAGGTTAAATTCAGTGCTGAGAACGTTGTCATTACACCTGGAACCATTATGGCCAATTATCTCGCTCTGGGTCTTATTTGCGGAGTTGGCGACCACATAATTTGTCAGTACCCTACATTCGCCCAATTATATGAGATCCCTAGGTCTCAGGGAGCGGAACTTTCACTATGGAGAATGAGGCGCCAGGACAACTGGGCGCCGAAGATCGAGGAGCTTGAAGGAATGATCAAGCCAAATACAAAAGCCATCATACTCAGGTACTTCCTGCTCATCCTCAACTACTAACAGGACACATATAGCTAACGACCGACAGCAACCCCAACAACCCCACCGGCTTTGTACTGCCACAGTCGACCTTGGAGCAGCTGATCGCTCTCGCGGAGAAAAATAACATAACCATATTCTCGGACGAGGTCTTCCGCCCTCTTCTCCACACCTCTGACCCAACACCGCCTCCTTTCATCTCTCTCGGGTACAAGAACAGCCTGTCGACGGGCTCGGTCTCCAAGGCGTATGGTTTTCCTGGTATTCGGGTCGGCTGGGTTGTGTCTCAAGACAAAGACCTTTTAGAACGCATTATGACGATGCGAGACTACACCACCATGTTCGTGTCGCGGCTCGACGACAGCGTTGCCGCGTTTAGTCTATCGCCGGAAGTTCTGCCTCGGATCATGCAAAGAAATCTTGCGATCTGTAAGGCAAGTCTTGTCCTCTTGGAGGGTTTTGTGATGAGAAACAAGGATCGATGTGATTGGATACCACCCAGAGGCGGCGGGACGGCTTCCATAAGGATTTTGGATTCTGTTGGGAGCCCGGTAGATGACAGGCAGTTTGCTCTTGCTCTGGTAGAGAAAGAGGGTCTCTGTACGCTTCCCGGAGAGGTCTTTGCTGATGGGACGGATGAGGAGATGAAAGGGTACCTTAAATCATACTGGGGGATGATGTCAAAGTGCGACAGGGATTGGCTATACTAGAGAAATTCTTAAATAATTGAAGGTCTAGTTTTACTTTTGGAGGAAAGCCGGCTTCTTTAGGTTACCTTTTGTCTCTACCCTGCCTAGTACAGAATTCAAGCGTCCCGCATGCTCATAGCGTCTATTTATTTTTTGCCTCTTCTCTTTTTCCCTTGTAGGTCTTTATAAGCCCATACATAAGATTCAAGGTCCGCCTTGAGTTTGGTCATCAATTGAGATGAGGACAGGATGAATTGAGAATTTGCCAGAAATAATCTTACCTGGGATGATAACCCGACCGGCAGCAATAATGGGAGCGGAGCGGAGCTGTTGAACGAGCCAATGACTCATATTGCCTTTGCATAAATACGCTTCTTCTCTTGTCGGATTCGCTCTCCTTTCACGGAAAATACGCCTTCTTCTTCTGAACCAAACACTTCCTATTCAGCACGGTCTGATCTCATCAACCTATCAAAGATATGGCCCATCCAAAGTTACATCTCAAATATTCAGTACTTGACGTCTTCACGAACTGTTCTTGGTCCAAAGGAAACCCTCTAGCAATAGTCCACCTTACCAAGGAGACGGCAGCGCAAATTACTCAAGAACAAAAGCAGCTTATAGCCAGGGAATTTAATTTCCATGAAACCACATTTCTGCATGATTATTCCGACGGCGACGCAGCCGGACAGGAAATCAGGAAGGAAATCAACATCTTCACCAAGCTTATGGAGGTTCCATTCGCGGGACATCCCACGATTGGCACTGCAGCTTACTGTTTCAATCATATATTCCCTGAGATGTCGGAGGGCGAAACTTTGATAACAAAAGCTGGTGAAATATCGGTACGACGAGACCCCGATGGTCTGGTCGGTGCCGAAATCCCATGCCACAACTACCGTGTGCATAGTAAAGGACTGGGGAGAGTGGAACGGCAGGCAATAATTCAGCAGCACCCAGAGCTACAAGGTCACGCAACAGCACTTCCTCCTGACTTTGGAGTCATAAGTATCACCAAGGGGCTATTGTAAGTCAACTGGGAATTCTGCCATTTGAAATAACAACAGTTCTATTAGCTAACTTGAGCGCATTATTCTAGTTTCATCCCGGTCAAAATAGACTCGCTCGAGACTATGGCTGCAATACACCCCGCGAAGCCTCCAGACGTCACCCATGTATTAGACGAGGACTTTGCAGGGCCGATCGGCGGTGGAGTTATGTTCTATTACGAGCTGTCATCAACCGGCGATTGCCATCGGTTCAGGGTTCGGAGAATGACTTCCGGAGGAGAAGAAGACCCGGCAACAGGCAGTGCTGCTTGTGCTTTTAGCGTCTGGCAGAGTCAAGCGAAATGCAGAGGGAATCCTGGGTCTGGCTTGTGGAAGAAGACAATGAGGTATGAGATCCAGCAAGGAGTCGAAATGGGAAGGGTAAGTTCTGAAAGAATCTCTTGCCTACCTACTTTATTCGCGCTAATCAAGTGAGATAATATCAGAGAAGTGATATCATTGTTGACGTTACACTAAACAATGATCTTCAACCTAAAAAAGTTGTTTTGTCAGGATATGCCGCTGAGGCCATGAGCGGAACATTGGTTATTTGATGAGCGGTTCTGACAACATTCAGACATTTTAATGATCACCGCGCTGTTACTGTGGACATGATTCGTTCTGAAGATTTGCTACCATGATCTAAGAAAATTGGAAAGAAGTCCGAGCGTCGTCTCGTCGAGGTTTCGAACATACCCCTGTCACTCTATAGGACTTCTATCTATGGATGGTTTTGAATGTGTTTTCGGCATTTTCTGGGCCAGGTAGCAGTGGATTTGACCAATGGAGGTATCCAGAGCGAAAAAACTCGCCTTTGCGTACGATTGGAGGGCAAAAAATGCTCTGGGACAGGTTCGAACTGCCGACCTTCGGATGTCAATTCTGTGGCCAGATTCGTCATATGCAATGATATGAGACCGACGTCATCACCAACTAGACCACCAAAGCTATTCTTGCGGGTTTCGAGGGTTTGATTCATTAGGGGGTTGAAAAATTGAGTCGGGTTGAGTCCCGGAAGAGATCCGAGGGGAGATCGGTCACGTGAACAACGGGGTCTGCGCATACTCCCGGAGGGTCTTGATGGAATTATCTTTACGGAGTAAGGAAGTTCAATATAATTAGATATTTATGTACATATCCTTTCTCCGCTCGTCTTACATCAATGTCTGCGATCAATGCGCGGCAGCAAGGTAGCTGTCAAGCCTTAAGAATCAGACATAAAAAAGCACAGCATGACATTACAATACAGCGGTCCTCACACTCCTCCACCTCTCCATCAGACCTCTCTTCTTTATCGCGTGAGAAGGCCCGTGATACGCCTTGTATAGATAGTTGCGATTCTTCTTTCTTTCCTTCTTTCTTCTTCCAACTTCGAAGTCCCATCGACAATAGAACATCACTTTGATTACTGCTTCGTTTTCTTCCTGATCTGTTACCCGGTCACGGTAGCTACGAGGCTGGACTTTTTATTTTGTTTCCATGATATTCGTTAAGTATCGCTCACAAAGCAGATAGTAGCTACATTAGCTATCCTTCCGTGAGACCTGGAATACCATCATCAACCTGGCCCTGGCTAAGCAAAGTCAGCTGTAGTGCCTTCCTCGGGACGGATGACGTTATCCTGGTCCTCGAATGGATCCACGATCCTGCTGGCGAATTTCCTCGCGGACACCTTTCTCGAAAAGAGAATGTCCAGCTCCTCGTAAGATCGATTCCAGGTCTCTGGGAGTCGGAAGTAAGACCAGATAAACATTATAAAGCAAGTACCGCCCCAGACAAATCTTCATTGAAAAAAGTAGTTAGTTAGGATCCCTACCCGTTGGAGAATGGGGATTGTTGCATTAGCACGTACCCAACATAGCCCTTGATATTCCATGCTTGAGGATTCATGAAGTACTGTTGCAGAATTCCAGCGACAATGCCGATAATTCCATTGAAGTTTTTTGCAATGCAGATAGTCTTTTGGCGGAGTCGGGTCGATCCCATTTCGGCAGGGAGCGCCCAGCCAAGCTGTCCAGCGGAAAGTTGGAAAATGAAGGTCCAAAGCAAGGTCAGGATGGCCTGTGTCATGGCGACTGATTCGCGATCGGTCCACACGTTAAGAATACCGATGAGAATCAGATTTAGACACATTGCTCCCATACCACAGACGTAGATGGTTCGACGGCCGAAGTATGGCATGAGAGCTAAAGAGGTACCATGTCAGCAAACCCAGAACCTGACTGTGTCGAACTACGAAACCTACCGAACCAATTGAGGAAGCATCCGACAAGAGCCAGGCCAGTGCCTCCCAAACCGAGAGAGAAAGTAGTTGAAGTACCGAGACCCACTTGCTCGAAGAAGTAAGAGCTGTTGTAGGCGAAGTTGATACCGCAGAGGATCTGGCCGGCGAAGGCCATACAGGCGATCTCGGTTCGGCGGAGCTCGGGTCCTTTGATACAGTCAAGATAGCTGGTACCGACTGAGATGCTCTTCTCGAAGTTATCTGTGTGGATGATCGCGGCAAGGGTGTTCTTGGGGTTGATGTGAGTGGCCTTGGGGTTTTGAAGACGGCGCAAAGACTTTTCGGCATCCTCGAAACGGCCCATTCTGGCCAGATACCAGGGGCTTTCGGGAGCCAAGTAGATCAGTGGGATCAAGACGCACGGCCATACCCACTGAATGGCAAATGGGATCTTATAGGCCCACTCGCTGGTATGCTGGGATAATCCTTTCAAGACACCTGTTGCGATTAGTTGGCCGAAGATGAAGCACATATTCGTGTACGAAGTCAGATACGTGCGTAAGGGGGTGGGGAGGATTTCGGAAGCGTAGGAAGGCGCAGATGTCGCGAGAATCCCCCAGGGAATACTTGAATGTCATAACTACCATCAGCGGCCACACTACAGTAGGGAGAGGAGACAAGAGACGAACCCACAAAGGACTTCTCCTATCGTCAAAACGGTCAGGTTTGGCGCAAAGAAGGGAATGAAGATGCATCCGATCAAGAAAACCAGCGACCAGAGGACCACGCGACGTTGGCCAAATTTCGATACAAGATATCCGTTGAAAAAGGACCCGAAGAAGCTGCCCACCCCGGGGGCCTGACTGGCGCCAGCTTGCCACGCGGCCGTCAATTGATAACCGGTGGGGGTGCTCGGTGTGACTCCCACGAAACGACCAAACTTGATCTGGAATGCCGCTAAAAACACATACTTGTTAGCATTCGACGTACCCTCAAGCCATGGTGGGTTCCCATACGGTACGCGAAGAAGTTGCCGAGCAGTATAGTGTCATAGCCCTCCATAATGACGCAGGCCGCCATGACGAGACACCACAGGACTGCATAGGGATACGCTTTCAAGGCGCCCAGTGCTCCCAACTCCTTCTCATCGACAAAGCCGATCTGCGCTTCCGTGGCCAAGACTTTCTCGTTCCAGTTGGCACCTTCCTCAGCGTGCACGACCGAGACATCACCAGCTTCCTCAGTATTCCCCATGATGCAGCTAGAGGATATACCAAATATGGATTAAATCACTTCCTGTAGATTCGAGCTGAGTCCGTCTGAATGGATCTCGAACAAGGGGACTCAAGGGCATTATTATAGTTTAAATGGAAGTTGAGTGGATGGTACGTGCGGGTGGGGGGTATGGGGAATCCAGACCTGGAAATACCCGTAATTCCTGCCATTGGTCAATCTTACAATAAGCACATGGAGAACAGTGGACACGAGGGTGATCCGGACTACGTGCCGGATGCGCGATCGAGTACAAACAAACTTTTTGCCCGGCGGGGGGCGGGGGTTGTTGGCTGCTCCTGGCTAGGCTGCGTGCTCCATGGGGGCATTCTCGGTCACTTTGTCGGGCAGATTCTCGGCAGCATGCCACAAGGGCTTAATTCGAAGCCAAAGGTCGGGGGTGGTCCGAGACGGAATTTCTCGGTTGATAGGTTCCATGTGGAAAGTATACCAATCTCCCTGCGCACACCGTTCAATTTAATCCAAGATCGCAGTGCATCTGCTGAGATCTTTCACTGCCATCTTCTGATCCGTCCCGTAGTATAGAGCATGGACCAGCCGCAATGACCAACTCAAGCACCAACTCATCCTACCCCCAGCTGGCTCTTCGCCCTGTGGGACAAAAAATCCCCAACATCTATCGGGAGCGCATCGCCCAGTTCACGGCTCCGGGTCAGTATGAGGAGCACAACCTGTTGGGGTCCGTATCCGTCCTCCTCCACATTTCACCAAGAATCAGAAGCTGATGCAGTCAATCGGCAGGATGATAAATGAGGCGACTGCCAGCGGCGAACCCCACGTTAAGGTCTCAGTCTACGATGTCCCTGACCTCTCTAGACCTAAGTTCGCCGTCGCGACCTCTCAGGAATTTCGTCCAACGAAAGTGGGCGAGTCCTTTGGTCCCTCATGGTCTACACACTGGTTCAAGCTGCAGCTCACCGTGCCTGTGGATATGTGTGCCAAAGAGCTTCTGGAACTCCACTGGGATGCAAACAACGAGGGGCTCGTGTGGACTGAAGATGGGAAACCGCTACAGGGATTGACCGGTGGCGCGGAGAGAGTCGAGTGGATTCTCCCTCCCTCGTTCCGGGACGGAAAGGAACATACCATCTATATTGAAATGGCTTGCAACGGCATGTTTGGCTGCGCCCCCGGCAAAGATCCCATCGTGGCGCCTGCCCCGGACAAGTTTTACCAGCTGACGAAAGCCGAGATTGTCGCGGTCAATGTCCAGGCGAGACAGCTGGCCGTCGATATGCTGATCATCGGGGACGCCGCGTGCCAGTTTCCAGACGATTCCTGGGAGCAGCATAAACTGCTAGTCACGGCCAACAGGATCATTGAGACCTTTCAAGTCGCCGATCAGAACTCCATTCTTGAATGCAGGAAAATCGCTCGGGAATGTTTAGGCCCGAAGGTTGACTCCGCAAAGGTCTACTCCTCTAATACGGAGACGCTGGTCTACGGTACTGGGCACTGCCACATCGACTCATGCTGGCTGTGGCCCTGGGCCGAGACGCGCAGAAAGGTGGCCCGGAGCTGGTCTAACCAGTGTAACCTGATGGAGCAGTTTCCTGAGCTGCGGTTTACCTGCTCGCAGGCACAGCAGTACAAGTGGCTCCAACAGGACTATCCATACGTCTTTGCTCGCGTCAAGGAGAAGGTCAAACAAGGAAGTTTCCAACCGATTGGCGGGAGCTGGGTGGAACACGACACTAATATGCCAAGTGGAGAGTCTCTGGTCCGGCAGTTCCTGTACGGACAGCGGTTTTTCCAAAGCCATTTCGGCGAGCGCTGCAAGACCTTCTGGCTTCCAGATACCTTTGGCTACTCCGCTCAGCTCCCCCAGCTCTGCCGTTTAGCAGGCATGTCGCGCTTTCTCACACATAAGCTGAGCTGGAACAACATAAATAAATTCCCCCACACCACATTTAACTGGGTCGCACTGGACGGAAGCCAAGTGATCTGCCACATGCCACCCTCAGAAACCTACACGTCCGATGCGAGTCTGGCTGATGTCCGGAGAAGCGTCACTCAGCACCGGTCCATGGACGAGGATCCCACCTCGATCCTGATCTTCGGGAAAGGCGATGGTGGCGGCGGTCCAACATGGCAACACCTGGAGAAGCTGCGCCGATTGCGCGGCCTGAGCGACCAGGTCGGTATGCTTCCGCGTGTCCACATGGGGCATTCCGTTGATGACTTCTTCGATCGCCTCGAGAAACGCATGGAGAATGGCCTGGAGCTCGTCACCTGGTTCGGGGAACTCTACTTCGAACTGCATCGCGGAACCTACACGACGCAGGCGAAGAACAAGCGCAATAACCGCCAGTGCGAATTCTTACTTCGGGACTTGGAACTTCTCACGACGGTGGCGAGTTTGGAAGACTCGAACTACAAATACCCAAAGCAGCAACTGGATGATATGTGGGAAGGGGTCATGCTATGTCAGTTCCATGACTGTTTACCAGGAACTTCTATTGAGATGTGCTACGATGACTCGGACGAGGTACGTTATTCCTTGCATTCCTCAACGTCCTTGCTAACCTAATTGTAGGTATATGCCATGGTATTTTCGAAGGGCAAGAAGATCCTGGACGATGTCTATCGAGTTCTTGGTCTTAGTGAGCTATCTGCAACTTCAACTGGAAGTGTTGTTGCGCTCAATACCCTACCGTGGGACCGGAGGGAAGTCATTGATTTACCATCCGGAGCCTTTGGTGCTACGAGTGGCACCGGAGTTGTCACAGAAGTCTCACCATTTACAGCAGTATCAGATGCCTCTGTATCCATCATTCAGGTTGAGGAGGATACATTCGTTATGGAGAACTCGCAGCTGCAGGTGCAGATCCGCAATGGAGTCATTACATCTCTGTACGATCGTAGGAGCAACCGCGAGGCCATCGCGAATGGTGGTAAGGGGAACCAGTTTGTGATCTTTGACGACAAGCCCCTATACTGGCAGGCTTGGGATGTGGAGGTCTTTCACCTTAACTCGCGCAAGGTGCTCTCGAATCACTCGACCAGGATCACCGAGAACAGTGCTCATCGGGTCAGTCTGATGACCGAGACCCAGATTAGCAGCAACTCGTGGATCAAGACCACCGTCAGTCTCTCTGCTGTGATTGAGGACAGTCCTACTGCCGTGGTGGTTCAATCAGAGATCGAGTGGCAGGAGACGATGAAGTTTTTGAAGGTGGAATTCCCCGTGAATGTTCGAAACACCGAGGCCTCTTTCGAAACTCAGTATGGAATTGTTAGACGTCCCACTCATTACAACACAAGGTAAGCGCTATCACTCAAATTCATTGGCTATCATTGTGCTAAATGCTTCATCAGTTGGGACATGGCCAAATTCGAGGTCTGCTGCCACAAGTTCGCCGATCTCTCCGAGAATGGCTATGGGATTTCCATTCTCAACGACAGCAAGTACGGCTTCGCGACATGTGGGAATATGATGAGATTGTCTCTCCTCCGAGCCCCCAAGGCTCCAGACGCCCACGCAGACATGGGTCGTCATAATATTCGATGGGCAATCTTCCCCCACGACGGCGTGCTGAGCTCCAGCACGGTGCGCGCGGCATTCGAATTCAACAATCCCCTTCGACTTGTCCGCGCCGCGCGGGGGTTTGATTTTCCTGTTAAATTGACTGGTGATGCATCGATCGTGCTGGACGTTGTAAAGCGTGGTGAGGATGACGAAGATGTGAGCACGGGAGAATTGCCGAAAAGGAACGGAAGGAGTGTCATTGTTCGAGTGTATGAAAGTCTCGGTGGGACCAGTCGGGGCATTCTTGAGACCAAGCTGGACGTTAAGAAGGTGTATTGCACTAATTTGCTGGAGGATGATGGCGACGAAGTGCAGATAAAAGATGGGAAGGTTGCTATCGAGCTAAGGCCCTTTGAGGTCGCAACTTGGAGGTTGCAATTGTGAATAATCCTATCATACCCTACACCATCTGTCCAAAGGGGTAGCAAATTGAAAATAGCAGTAGGAAGATGCGTGTGGAAACTTGCTGAAATTTAGCGTGGTGTTCAGATACTTTTGCAGCGGGCTGTACTAGCTTTGCAAAATCATTCACACATTGAAGTCTTCATTCCAAGGGCTCTTGGATACTATATAAACAGATACAGAAATATTCTTCAACGGTGCCTGGTCAACCGCAAGAGCTGCGAAGCCCCCTCTGTCAGCCAGGCAACATAGGAATTCGATACACGCGTGGAATTGCCCTCCCAGACATCGGTGAACGTCCAGGAAGATCCGTCAATTCCCAGATCCTGCAGCGAGACTGTCACTTTCTGCAGGCCATACAGCTGCGTGTCAAACCCGCCCTGTCCCTGGTCCGGCCCATAGTTAGCGATCAGGACGTAGGCCTCGTTATCGTCCGACGGGCCGCCGATCCACGCCTGCAACTGCTGGGCAAGATTATTTCCCGTGCCGGGATTGCGAGGCTGCATGGGGAACTGAGCGAAGAAGTTCGCGGCGGAAATCGATTGCCTGCTGGTGATGAGTTTGTAGCCCAACTTGTCGATGGAACTCATGTCCGAACCAAGGACGAGGTTGGCGCCAGCTCCCAGCCAGTGGTTCATGACCGTAGTTCGGATGCTGTCGTTGACTCCCGTCAGAGCCTCTGGGTTGCCCGTGAACAGGTTGTCCATATCAGGATAGATGGTGATGGGGACCCCACGTTGGGCCTGCAGACCGATGTACTGTCGGTAATTGTTGATGGCGCGCTGACCAACGGACCAGGCCATAAAAGTATTCTGGCCGTAGTTGTCCAGATCCTGGTCCGTCCGCATCGACTCTGCCAGCTCACTCCACACCGGCAGCCAGGTCTCATTCCGGCAGAGCTTCCACGAGATATCCAGCCGGATCTGCTTGCCCGTCTTCTGGATTGCCTTCAGGTACGCCCGCACGGCATCTGAGCTGTCGCAGACCAGGTTGGCGCCATTCTGCGGACTGCCGGGAGTAACGTAGTCGAGCTTTATCATGTCCACCCCCCACGAGACCCACTGCTCGACCACGGAGTCGTGCCACTGCTGGACACCGTCCTTGCTGAAGTCCCAGTCGCAGAAGATCTGATCGTAGTTGCCGTTCCACACCGAGCCCACAGTGATGTTCGTCCCGAAGATGGTCTTGTTCTGCGCGACGCAGGGCACTCCGGGGATGACGTATACTCCCAGTTTCAAGTCTCGTTCGTGGAGCCAGGATCCAAGCTCCGGAAGGTTGAGTCGCGTGTCGTTGTAAATAATGCGCCCGTATTCATCGACGGCGTTGAATGCCTGCCAGCCGGAATCCAGACTGCAGAGGTCATAGCCGGCAGCTTTAAATCCAGGTTGGGTGAGAAAACCGCACTGGGTCTGGACGAACTCTTGATTGTAGTTCAACCCGGCCTGTCCCGCGAAGGACGAGACTACCTCGGAGCCGTTCTGGAGGGCCTGAATGCCGTATGTGTTCCATCCCTTGGCCGAGGATCGGAATCCGTTGACGGTCTTGGCCGTCTTGATGACTTTCAGGGAGCCGGCGACGGGCTCCGGTTCAGGATAGCAGTCTGGGAGGGTCGAATCGCGATCTTGGATGCAGAAGGGCGCTGGCCGAGTGGCCACGACGTCTGTTCGAGTGGCATTATCGGTGTAGCAAGCACCCCCAGCGGCGATCCAATACCACTGGTTATCGCTGTAGCCCCAGGTTGCGCTCGTTTGGCCCGCAAGGATGCAAAGGTCCACGATATCCTGAATCGCAATCACGGCATCATTATTCTGGCTAGACCCTGTGGCTTGCAAATTGGCCTGCTGTTGCATATACACGTTCCCTAGCGAGTCATTGCAATTGACCTGACTGGGGTTGGCCGCGAACTGGGCTGCGCAGTTTTGAATGGCGTTAAAGCATTCGAGGGTAAAATTGACGGTCCCGGGGGTGTATGTATTGCCTCCACATTGGGTCTGGGCAATGACAGTCCCTGCAACGGACAGCAAGACGGCGACTATACAAATCATGGCGCCGAGCGATGCTGTCTGTCTGTCTGGCAAGGATCAATGCTCCTTGCGACCATCACGGCGGCTACTCATTTTATCCTTACTTTTCTGGACTTGGTCCGTGAGTAATTGCGGGGAGATTTACGGCACGATGTAACGAAAGTACACGCTAGAGATTCGTTAGTTGCATCCCAAAGCCACTTTCCCGCAATGGCTGAGTGGAAGGTTTCCCTAAGCTTTTTTTTTCGGGCCAAATGTCGGCGCGTATAAATAAGGTTTCTTCCCGATTCTTCCTAACATAGAAGCACATTTTTGGAGTGACTGGTATATCTATAATAGGGATATTTGCGCCGAGAGCGGCATAGGTCCAACGGGGGTGCTGGCGAATAAGCTAAAATATATAGCGCTTTCTACAAGTATTGAACCGTTCACCCGCAAAACTCAGGGAGAAATTCCTCGTATAAAAAAGAAGAGTCAAGTTGTCTCATCCACGGAGGGGGACAAAACGCCCTTTATGAACTGACATACTTTCAGTGTTTTCACCCAGCCATTCGAGCAGGTATTCACTTGAGCATGTCATGTGGATTCAATATGATTCGAAACGTTTAATTCGTCTATTTTATCTACTGTTCTTCAGCATTCTGTTCCGTCTTTTTTGGTCCTGTTTCGTTCTGATTTGTTTTCGCTTGTTATTATTCCCAAGCATATTTTCAGTCCGGTGCAAGATAGAGGCTCCAGTGAAAATTTTGTTTTCGAAGCTATCAACAAGAAAAGCATGCATCTATGCATTGAAGACTATAATGAATTCGACCTTCAATCGAATCATTTTTCATCTATTACGCGACCGCGGTAGTTAGACCGTTGGGCATAAAAGAACGCATTGCCCTAATAGATCTGATAGGTAAAATTTTGAAATTAATGGCGTTGGTGGTCTAATAAATCAATCTAAAATAGTTGTAGTTGGTTGGGTGGACGGAGCTGTATGGGCTCCGTAAGGCGATTCCCGATCTCACACCGATCCCCCACTCTCTCGCTTTTCCTCTCTTTTCTCCTCGGCACCGCTAAGTGATTTCTGTTTTTCCCCTTTGCCTCTTGTTCTTCTCGGTCTTAATACACGGCTATTTTATCAACTCAACAAGCTATGCCTGTCACTCGATCGGCTACACGCGCCGCAGAGCGAAGCACGAAATCAAATCTTACCGAGGCTACACAGCCGAAAGCTGCCGAGTCGAGCAAATCATCCGCCCTAGGAAAGACCGGGAAAAGTAAACCATCATTCAAATATGCATCACAACGAGTTAGATTGCTTGAATGGCTATCACTGAAAGACACAGCCGATAGTGTTATCCCTAATGGTGACGAATTATTCTGTCTTTTACAAAAATTATATCAACAGAAAGGATGCCAGGTTGTTGCGCGAGGCCGTCCACGAGAGCTAAACGACATCGAGTGGTTAATAATTGGTAAGTAGTCTTAGACTCTAGACACGATAAAGATGCTATGTCTTATATATCTAACCAACTAATAGAGTGGGAAAATAGCGCAAGTAGAGACGAATTTCTCGTATCAGAGCTATTTTTAAGATTGACAAAAGCTCTTGCACCCCGCTCATGGAGAAGAGAACTTGTCTGGCCGATCCATTACCCAAGCTATTGGCATATAATATATGCTAGCCCGCTTCGTCCGCCACAACCACTCTACGAGATCTTAATTGTCTATCTTCCGGTAGACCTAGATGATGCCACAGTGTCGTCTTTAGAACAACTCGAAGGACCACCGCATTGGAACGAAGAGGCTAGCTTCGAACCTGAACAAGAGCGATCAAAATATCCTATGACAGGTTTTCTTTCCCTAGCGCATGGATGGATGGAGGGAAAAGTTGAGTATCAAGGACAGGCCGCTCGGCGTTTAGTCTACTTTCTCGGATTTAAGGATGAAGAGGGTGAACGGTGCTATAAAGAGGAGATGAGATGGGGCGAACGCATCCGTAATGGACGGATCAATTGGGATATCATGGAGCATTTCTTTGAAGATTTGGAAAATCTTGGCATGATAGGATTCGATTCCCTACATGTCCGATTCTTAGAAGTTTTGGATTATGTGTCGGAGAACGAGACCATATCGCGCCTTCCACGTCCTATCGTGATCTCCGAGTCTGCGGAAGACGTGGAATATTATAAGAAGCTAGACGAGTTGTATGAAACATGTGACTTATAGAAGACAAGCACTTATAGAAGACAAGCAAAGACAACGAAGAAGAAGTGATAGATCAATATTTGAATTAATCAAGCATTCTATATTTCACATCTTTCTATGTGACTCATGAGCACAAGTCCTATAATACGGTGATAAATAGTCTTCACACGCTACTTCATACACCCACTCACTGGTCACAATTTATTTAGTCACTTGCCTCATTGAGAGAGGCTTATACTCCTAGCTCTTCATCTAAGCCCCTCCTGCACAGACAATTCACGGAACGCTTCTACCACTTCATTTCCCAAGTCCACTGTTAGTTGAGGAAACAATGACCTTCGCTTAGAGCTTCGCATACTAGACAAGTAAGACCTAGTGTGTTTATTCGATCGAGTGGTGAAAATGGTTGTGGCGGTGCTTTGCGCGCACACCAATCGTGACCAGTCGCATTGGTCAAGATACATAGCAGTAGCAAACCAAGCATAGCTATCGGCATTTTCAACGGCGTGCTGTGATGAGGGCCTGGCCAGTTTAGCAACAAGTTCAGGTAAATAAGCCTTCTTTGTGCCGCTGCTGACAATGATCGGAACATCCAGTGAGGTCTGTACGTGGCAATGTTGATAGTCCGTAGTTCGCGTTATCGAGCTGGTCCGAGAGACCCATAACGGGGTCTCTGTCCCCCTCCCCCTGCTGTTGCAGCCGTTGTATCTCTTGATACAGATCATCTGTAGAAGGGGGAGGGGGCAGTCACAGGCGAGGGACCAGTAGGCCCCTAATAAAGGTTGAACTGTAACACATGTTAGCAAGATACTCAATAAACACTTACATCTCTACATACGGTTCCTCCAGAGATACTGGCGCCGGGCATGACGCCAGGATGGCCACCCTGGCCACCCTTTCGGGGGCGGAGGCAGCTGCGGACAACGTGCTCAGGCTGCTTGCATTTGAAGCAGACCTTGCTCTATTATAATACCAGAAAAATCCAACGCAAGACATGGCATTTGATACTTACAATGACCGTGGCCACCTCCGGGGCTCCACTGGCGGTTATCATCCCCTGGCACCAGTAGGATTGTCATTTAATGTCGCTCAATATCATCCATCGTATCAGCGGCCATCTTGACCTTTTCCCTCTGATAATGAACCTTTTTGCGCATCAGGCAGGTGCGTGATATCGTGACGACACTTTAGCGAACAGTTGGCAGCAGTCGCTCGATAAATATATCCCGCGATATTGCCCCAGAATGTCCATACAAATGGAAAACACTCCTTGAAGTCTTCAAATGGTAAGTTCTTGGTCTTGTTTCTCAAGGCCTCAATAACAAACTCAAGGTCACCAGAGTTGTTGATGGAAAGAGTGGTTGATGGAAAGGGTTGATGGAAGAGATACGGTGATTTGCAAACAGTGAATGACAGCTCTGACGGTGAATGAAAAGCAACACGCAGGCAACAACGCAGGCAGCGCGCAGGCGACCAATCAGAGGGTCTGATAGGGTGATTGATCTGTCTGCAGTGAATGACAGCTGATGTAGGCAATATAAATACAAGTGGTACCGTGGGATTGCTCCTTCCCCTCTCTCCTTCTCTCCCTCCCTCCCTCCATCTCTCCCTCCATCTCTCCCTCTCTCCCTCCCTCCATCTCTTCCTCTCTCCTTGTCAAGCAGTAAGCATTCTCATTCGACATTATATCTACAATACTAATGTCTTATCTTAGATAGCAACCGTGATCGGCCCTGGTGCCTCTGGCACCAGCGGTGACGGCGATCCTATCAGTGGAGGCCGTGGGGATCGACGACAAGTGGCTGTGCGTCGCATGTAGCCAGTACTGGTATATCTTCGGCCAGGAACGAGACCTTCGGGTCTACGTACTGCAAGAGCAGCTTGGTGCGGCCCGCAAAGACGGTGCTGCTCAATGGGAGAATGGCGATTGTCCAATGATAGAGGAATTGAAAGGCAAGAAGTGTGGGCGACCTCTGAACTAGATAGAAGGCGTGGGTTTCACTGACAATACTGCAGTGTCTATCGATGGCGACACGATCACTGAGACCACCGAGTATCGATGAGAAGGCCCTCGCTGCGTCCGAAGTATTTGGATCAGCGACGAATATCAATGACGATGGGGCTCTGTATAGGGACAGTGGCAATGGAGATGAGGGTGATGACATTGGTCCCAACAACCCTTAAGAGGAATTGGACCTGCCAGAAGATGTGTACAACGCTGAGCAGGATCCGGATGCCGACGACTCTGATGATGAAGAAGCCGCCGATGATGATTAGCATGAGTCTTCCTCCGTTGCTGGAGGTATGCGTGCTGATGGACATGAGTCTTCCTCCGTTGTTGGAGGTATGCGTGTCGTTAGCGATTCCTATAGGGATGACAAGTTCAAGATGGCCTTGAGTTTTGTTGTTGAGGCCTTGCAGAACAAGATCAAGAACTTGTCGCACGATGACTTCAAGAGGGATTTTCCACTTGTGTGGACGTTCTGGGGCATTTTGCGTCCTACCTCGCGGGATAAACTTCTCGGGAGACTACTGCCCACTATTCGCCAAGAGGTCCGGGACCTCTTTGAGAAAGAAGAGTGGTCTGTTCCAGACCTACTCGCCTTTGACGCCGTGCGTCCCAGTGACAAGCGTATGGGAGTCTACTGTATCATTGTTACTGGCAATTTCGCGTACCAAGTCTTCCCATGTGATGCTTATACTGGGTATAGCAAAAGGGTTGGCGAACGATGTCACGTTCAGCACGCAACGTGCATCGGAGCAGGACGGGCAAAAAAAAACCTGCACCATCGACGGGCAGGCTCAGCAGGTGCACAAAGCAACTTTAAGCTGTTCGCTGCGTTCCCTCCACGCGAGGATACTGCCTTTGCCCAGCTTTTGGAGGGTCTGTTCATGTTTCTCTTTCAGACCCGGCAGTGGCACAGAGAGGAGCATCGCCTTTGCCCGAGGGCGACTTACGACCTGGCCGAGAGCATTTGGCCTGACTGGCTTGTCTCACCAAGATGGCGGGGGCTATATATGGTTTGGTCCTTAAAGCAGGGCGTGAATGGTAGCGTGCTCCGCGGACCGTCAAAATGTTGCAACTGTTCTCGGACCGTCGAGCGACGTTCGGTTGTGGATCGCCACTGTAGGGCTGGCACGATGGGTCGTCGTGATGAAGCTTTGTTTGTTCGCTCCCCCTATGACCCGAGCGACGTTTTCGGAGGGTTTATCTGCCAGGACTGCTGGAGGTGTCGTCGTGATTTCACGCACCTACCTGATGCAAAGCAAGTTCACTTTTACCAGGAGAGGGCCAAGATGGCCGCTGACAAACAGAATGGCGCCGAACGGACGTGCGAGCATTGCTGGGAGATCCAGAATCCCAATGCTTCAGACTTTGCGTATGTCCACGAACTCGACAAGTGGCTGTGCGTCGCATGTAGCCAGCACTGGTATATCTTCGTCCAGGAACGAGACCTTGGAACTAAAATACGCCAAGAGATGCGTGATGCTGCCCGCGAAGCCGACGCTAGGTGCCAGAACGGCGAATATCCATTGACAGAGGAATTGGACTGCAAGAAGTATGGGCGGCCTCTGAACTGGATGGATGGTGTGGGTTTTCGCTGCCAACACTGCAGTGACTATCGATGGAAACACGATAACCGAGACCACACGAACCCAGCGAGCCTATTCTCTCCGAAGGAGCTCGAACGTCTTCGACAGCTGCCTTCTCATATCTGTTACAATTGCAGTGCTAAGGAGGGCGGACTTGGTGTCAGCGACACCTGGTTGAAGGATAAGGATGGCAGTGACATTTGCCGCATCTGCTGGCGATACACACGGGATCACAAGGGTCAGGCTCGGGACCCTCATTCCCAGCTCTTTGCAAAAGCCAAGGCGCGAGTGGATAAGGACCGCGAGAAGATCGAGATCCTCTACGGTAAATGCCAGAAGAAAGAGGGTGGACGGGCCCAGAAGTTCACCGTGCACGGGTCCTTGTGCGTTCCTCTCTGCCGCAAGTATGCGGCTGATGAAATAGCGAAGGCCAATAAGGGCCAAAATGTTGCAAACGCCAATGGAGACTCGACTTGATTGTCGAAAAGGGGTCGAGTCTGGTATAAAGGTTGGCAAGCTTCGACGACCACGATGAGTGCGGTCTCCAAGATACCCAGGGCGTAGATGGGTGCACGTTTTGTTTTTTTGTTTTTCTGTTATTTTGTTCTTTATTCTTATTTTATATTTTAGTGGTCTAGCCCTGCCGTACAGGTGTTGGTACATCCAACACCTGTACGGTGGGCCCCGAGCAAGACTTGCACCTTTTCGTGGTGCTCGGGATAAGTAACCTATATGGCGAAACCAAGCAAGTCAAAAATAGTGATACATGTATTGTACTTCGGGGAGTTTCAAATCGAATTAAGAAGTTAGTTCAGTTCTCTTTGGAAGATCTCGTTTCGACAACTTAGTTCATCATCCATCCTATCATAAAGGAACTGATCAGGGAGCGGTTCTCGACAGCCGACAGCGCCCAAAACTCGATGGCCTGCATGAGTAAAGCAGGGTTACAAAAGGTTGTGATCGCAACAGACCCGGATGTCAACGTTACAGGAAATCAATAGGCTTTCGTTATTATTATGGTTGACAAGGAGGATGGTATGCCTAGGCAATTTTGAATGCTCAATATTTTCTAGGTGGTGTCAGAAATTCGTTTACAAGCACCGGGCGCACTAAAGACAAGAAAGATGGTAGCTACGAAGAGGAAAGAAGTAGATGGAGAAAAAGATGAAGTGGACGTGCAGGGCGCGTAGCAAGGAAGTTGGTTGTACGAAGACGAAACGCGAATGAGAATCCAGACAGGGGCGGGAAACGTCGCAACTTTCCCAAACAGTCAGAATACCAACTACAGTACATAATAAAACGAGGCACACTATCTAAACCATCTGGTGTTAATTAAGAATCTACTCATTCTCTATGTCCTATCCTGTCTGCTCAGCAGATGGATTAACTTCATCAATAATCCCATATATTTAACTCCTAAATACCTGTCTATATTACGTAGGAGGACCGGCTGGAACCGTGATCATAACCGATAACATCCTCAGAACAACTTTCATCTACTACAGTGAGAACTAGACCTCGGCGGTTATGATTCAGGAAACGATAAGACCTATATTATTATAGGCCCATGTCTAAAACTGTCGGTGTCTTTTTTAACTCCCGTTTCTATGTTGAATCAGACCCTGTGTAAGTGTAGACTGCAAACAACCTGCCGACCAAGATGTCTGTATATTATCCGTTATTCTAAGAAGAAGGATCAAAAAAACTTTACGTATCATAAAGTCCAAGGTATTTCAGTTTTGTATGGCAAATCTGTTTTAATTCATTCCATCTTATCCTTTCATATGTATGTGATATATATAGATCAGCATCAGCAAGTATCCTCAATCGCCGACAACCCGTGACAGACCTCACCCACCCACGCATACTCAACCATAAAAACATGATCAATCAAGAAATATATCGAAGTTCCTTACTCCGTAAAGATTATTCCATCAAGATCGGAGTATGCGCAGACCCCGTTGTTCACGTGACCGATCTCCCCTCGGATCTCTTCCGGGACTCAACCCGACTCAGTTTTTCAACCTCCTAATGAATCAAACCCTGGAAACCCGCAAGAATCGCTTTGGTGGTCTAGTTGGTGATGACGTCGGTCTCATATCATTGCATATGACGAATCTGGCCACAGAATTGACATCCGAAGGTCGGCAGTTCGAACCTGTCCCAGAGCATTTTTTGCCCTCCAATCGTACGCAAAGGCGAGTTTTTTTGGCTCTGGATATCTCCATTGGTTAATTTTTGTGTCCCCCGAACTCGAGGGAATGAAATTTACCCAGAAATGTGACCGAAGGGTCAATCCGAAATGTGAGTGGCCTTTGCTGTCGATCGGGGACGAGGCGGAGACAACGAACGTAGAACGACCACCCATCACACCTTACGGGGTGTGTAATGGGTTGAATATTGTTATATTAGCTTCGGCTTTGATTTAGACCCTGAAAAAAAAAAAAAAAAAGCGATGAAGTTGGAGACTTCGAGATACTTGGGTTGATTCATGAAGCCTGTGTCGAAATATATATTGTAACGGAGGAACATCATGGGATAGTCAGATGGATCAATGCCAGTTTTGAGAAGATCATATACATGCAGGCTTCGCAATTACTCTGTTAAATCCCATCGTTGGGAAACCAACCGAGTATGATCCTTGTTTGTATAGCTACTCGCATGTGTGCACTCGGTTGAAACAACACCGACAGAATGTCAGTTTCGCAGAATGTCAACTGCAACATCTACACTAACCCTCAAGATTGCTACTGTCAAGGTACCAACCCACAACCCAGATGGCTAAGAAACCTGCGTACTATCCGCCGTCCCTTTCAGGGCTACACGAATCACATGACCAGCGACAGCCTCATCAGCAGGCAACGGGCACAGCAGACAAGGCGCCAGTGGAACAGTCTGGCCAGATAACTGGAAGCGCACGAGTCACTAGACCCTCAGCTGATACCCCTTTCTGCCTGCTCACCAATGGTCATCTGGCGTGGCGGTACCACAATAATGGGGGCAAAAAAAAGGCGCTCGCCGCCTTTGTATTTTCTGCCTGCTGGACGGACTCGGTGACTTCATGACCATCTTTCGCAGCCCCTCCGAATCAGATCCATGACTCTACTGCCATCGCCCCTCGCTCAGTCCAGCCTGGGTGAGAAGTGTGCAGTCTACTTGGACCACGTCACCCATCACCTCTCCACCCTCCACCCTCGATTGGAGCTGTTCCGCACCTGGTCTGCTCGCGTCCTGCCCTTCCCCGTCGACGACCAGGCCGCCACTCTTTGTACACTTGTCCTTGGCTGTGTAGTCGTTGCCGTTGCGATGAGCTGGCGCAACCCCCCTTTCGTGGCGCGGCTCGTCAAATACGTCCGCCCCCGCGTGAGCGACCACGACTTCAGTTACATTACACCAGACGATATTGTCGAACCACCATCCAGATACGATGCCCAGGATGACAATGAACCGGATGTCATCCGCCTCAAACACCGCGGCACTATTTACCCGTTACGTTTCCGCGCATATGCGATCGACGACGGAGCCCTGACTGTGGGCATGCTGCGGCAGGAGGCCGCGGCCAAAACCGGCACGAGCGACCCAGATCGGATCCGATTACTATACAAGGGGAAGTTGCTGAAGGATGATCAACATACATGTAAGGCGGAGGGACTCAAACAACACTCATTAGTGCTTTGTGTGGTTTCCGAGGTGGGCGCAAAGACGCCGAGTGATCTCTCCGATTTCGACACCAGCGACTCGCTGCATGTGGACGGCCGCCCTGGATCGTCATCATCACGTACCGAGGAGCCCAGGGAGACAAGGAGAAACAGACCGGTGGGGTCGCCATCTCTCGCCCCGCCACGGCCGTCGCCCGGTCCCTCCGGCACGCCGTCGCCCTCTCCCAGCCTGAAGGGATTCCGGACTGCGCTGGAACAGGTCAACGCGTTGACCACGTACTTCCAGCAAGTGTTGGTACCTCTCTGCAACGATTACATGGCGGACCCGCCCAGCGATCAGAAGAAGCGAGATTTTGAATACAAGAAACTGAGCGAAACCATCATGGCGCAGGTCTTGCTCAAGGCAGATGAAATCGAGTTGGATGGTGATGCGGCTCGCAATGCGCGGCGGGCGCTGATCAAGGAGACACAGGCGATGTTGAGTCGCTTGGACAAGGAAGCACACCACCACTAGGGTTTGCGATGCATTGCCAGCCTTGACGTGTGTAGATTTGATTTGATACGAGAAGATAGACCATGGATTGGAATTCAACCTGTCACAAATTCAACCTGTCACCCCGGACATTATTTTAATATGCATATGGATCGGCGATTTCTTCTTTGTTTTGTGAGCAGTCTCATAGTTTGAGGCGTTGCTAGTGATGCCGACTTAAAAATGTCGTCCCCTCCTATTAGTGGGATCGAGGTGATCATCGGCGTTCAGGGGCGACGCACGGCCCAGGCGAGGCGCGAGACTTGCGAAGGACAGTCGCAGGTAGATGGCTAGATGGGAGGGACGGATGGAGGGTCTGTATGATATGGAGGTTGTATTACTTTCCTGATCGCACTTGATTTACGGTCCGTGAATTGACTGGGATTGCCTCTAGGTGCTCCGGCACTTGGGTCTAGGTTCACCCGTTGTGCTGCTATTCCCAGTTTAGATAGTTCGAACGGTCTTATTCCTGCTCCTCTTTCTCTTTTCTCCCTCTTTTTTCTTCCTGTCCTCCTCCTCCCAACCGACCTTCTGCTGGCCCTGCGCTCCCTTTTCTTTTTCCTTTCGTCTCTCATTACTCTCATCTCACTACCTCATTTCGTGCTCATCCCTCCACGGAACCGAGTCCCGCCATCGCAGCGCTCACCCGTGGAACCCGAACGGGGACCAGAATCAATCAGGGCACGAACCGCGATTTTGGGTATTTACAATTTACTCTTTCGGTCCACTCCCCGGCCCCTGACTCCGACGGCAGTTCGTTCGCGACGGATTTTCGCCTGGGCTCTGGGATGGCCTGATCGATTAACTGCATCCCACCCACTCCACCCACACTGTCACACCTCGTGGATTCCCCAGCTGGTCTGGCCCTAATTCCCTTCATCTTTGGTCAAGATGGCAGGCGTGGCAACTGCGGCGTACGCTACGGATCTATCGTCCGGCGGCGTAGACGGCTCACAGTGGGATTATGCGGTACCACTCGGCAGTGAGGTGGGTTAGAATTCCATGCTCGACCGGAGCACAAAATCTCACATTCTTCAGGAACCTTCCCATGCCTCCAAATCTCGGACTTCCCACGACTCGACCAATGTCCGCGCGCGATCCTCGAAAAAACGCAACTCTAATAACTCACGAAGTTCGTCCGTTTCCCGAAATGCCGGTCGGGGTCGTCGCGACCCCAGCCTTAACCGTTATGGAAGCGAAGTGTTCAGTATGCAGGACACCTTCGGTCACGATGGCACCAGAGATTTTGTCGTGAGCAAGGACGGCACCCGAATTTACCAAGAGGATATCGACCAGGAGAATTGGATCCACCGCGATAAGCTGGCCAAGATTGAAAGCGAAGAGCTGCAACAAGCCGCATTTCTCTTCCAGCGCCGCACCCGTGCAGACACCAGATCGAGCGCGGGGCGAGGGCGGACCCATGATTCCCACCAAGAGCAGCCGTCTGAGCCATGGCCCGAGGTGCGGGAGGAAAATGATGGAGGCGACGATGCGGTCATCGATGATGAGGAGCGGAAGCACTGGGATCTCCGTCGCCCCGAAGAGATTGCCGCTGAAGAAGCGGCCTCGAGCATCTACAGCAACCCGGCCCTGCGCAAGAGCTCTTCCCGAATACCGATTTCTACAGCGAGTCCAACTCCCCTCGTGCCGTCACGCAGTCGTGCCGCGACGGATGAAAATGACGAAGAGGCCGCTCGTGGTCGTCGAACCAGCGGACCCATTACCACTGAGACCGAGACCTCTACTCCTTCTCCCGTCAGCCGTCCAGGAAGTCGCGGTGCCACTGCAACCCCAACCACCCCAGCGAAGAAGACCCCGGGAAAGGTCACCTCAGGATCTACCAATCGCAAAACATCCGCTCCGCCTACAAACCGCAAGAACACCAACTCCAACAACACAAGGTCGCGTGCGACATCAGGCAACAACACTACGCAACGTCCTACCACTCGTTCTGGCGAGAGCCGCCCCACGACTGGAGTCAACCGGCCCGAGGGAGACCCGCCGTGGCTGGCAACGATGTACAAGCCAGACCCTCGTCTGCCTCCGGATCAGCAGATGCTCCCCACACTTGCCAGGAAGATGCAGCAGGAGCAATGGGAGAAGGAGGGCCGAACTCCCACCACCTACGATCGCGATTTTGCGCCTCTTGCCGTCCACCCGAACGACGAGCCTCCCGTGGTACCAGCCAAGGAGGAAAAGCCGGCCGCCGATCCCGAGTCTCCGCACCCCGAACCTCCGCGCAAAGACGAAGCACTCAAACCACCCATGAGCCCCGAACCAGCGCGGCCAAATACCAGCACCGGCTACAGCACCATGCCCAAGGTGGCGAGCACGCCCCCGTTGGGATTCGCTTCCAATCCCAACTGGAACCCGCCTGTAGTGACCGCGGACGAATCCAAAAAGAAGGAAAAGGGCTGCGGATGCTGCATTGTGATGTGATTTTTCTTTTCTTGCGTCATGTTTCCTACCTTTTTTTTATTTTCGAGGATACCTTTGATCATCGTTGCCCCCCTTTTCTTCCCTTGTTTCAGCGCTGGAATGGTGTTCTGTCGATTTTTCTCTTGATCAAAAGAGCTTTTCTCTCTTCGATCCGCCTTCATACTTCTTCAATTCGGTGTCACCTATCTTTCCCGCTCCCCGCAGCATGGATTCTTCTTCTGTCAGCCGTTCCTTGATATTCCCTTCATGTTAATCATTGTCCGTGTGAAAACCTCTTCTTATTCTGGATTGCATGGAAGGATGAGCATGCCACTATTCGACCTTCCCCTCATCTCTGTACCTCTTTCCGAGTTCTTTGTTTCCTTTTTTCTTCCCCCTTTCTTTTACTGGCAGTTCTCGCTCTCTGAACATATTCCCCCATCTTCTTGCAAGCGTTTCCTCCGTTTCATTCGGTCTGTGCGAATCAGTGTGATATAGTACCCCCGGACCAGAACCAATCGAACGAATACCTAAATCTTACATCGTATCATAACCTATAAGAACCCCTAGGCACCTACCATTTGAATAATCCATGGACCAGAATAATCGCGCCATCAAGAATGACTTATAAGTCCGGCTGACAAATCCGCTCATCACCTGACCGTCTTTCAGTCACTTATGACGAAAGTTCCCTTCTCAGACCCGAAACCCGACACCCATCAAGACATCTTTCCTTCTTTCTCTCCATCACCCGACGCAGCGCCAACGAAAGAAACTCTCACCAAGTTTCTTTTCCCGCCCGTCGTAAATACCGTCCTCGCCCACCATTTCGTCCTTCTTCACCCGCCTCTTCGGCTCTTTCGCCGCTCCCTCCCCCGCCGCCATGACCGCCGCCAAGGCTACAGCTGAGGCTGCCATCAGGGACAACGCTGTTATGGTGTTCTCCAAGTCCTACTGCCCCTACTGCAATGCGAGCAAGAAGCTTTTGAACGATTTGGGCGCCAAGTATGAGACTATGGAGTTGGATCTTGTTGGTGAGTTTAATTCTCCGTCTCCCGTTCCCCGGGGAAGTAAGATGGACGGATATCATTTTTCTCCCTCAAATCAGTGAGAATAAAGATAAAGGCTGACGACGGGAAATAATAGACGATGGCTCCGCTATCCAGAATGCGCTCCAGGAAATCTCCAATCAGCGTACCGTGCCTAACATCTTCATCGCCCAGAAGCATATTGGCGGGAACTCCGAACTGCAGGCGAAGAAGAATGAGCTGCCTGCTCTTTTGAAGGCGGCTGGTGCGTTGTAAGAGGATGGAGAAAGAGTCATATTTGCTGGGATGACCCTTATGTTACTTGTATATGTGGTTATCTATGCATCTATCGTCAATTCATCCGGCATTCTATCAGCTCCTGGTCTCTTGAAAATGCGGAGATGGTTTCCACTGTACGTGTAGGAAGTGTTGTAGATGGTTGACTCCCAAATTCTTTACACTGAGTGGCGAGTATATAACTTACAGCCAAGCTGCGGTATCTCATAACGTACAGTAAACCAAGACAGTAAGACAAGACAGAAGGTTATACCACGCGTTGCACGACGGTTCCAACGGGCCGCTCAACAATCGTCATCAGGCCATCGACAATGCTCTTCCGAGCCCCATCGCTGGACACCGTTTTCCCAGACAGATAATTCAACCACACCAGCCGGCTAATCCGCTCGTCCGCCACACGACCCAACCACCGGGAAGGCTGGGCGGGATCAGGCTGGAACAGCGCATCGAGAGCGCCATTGGCACCGCGCAGCAGTACCAACGTCTGGCACTTGGGCACGTTCTTGCGCTGACTGCCACCAAACACAGCCTTGAAATCGTTCATGGCCGACCCGAATTCCTCATCGCTGAACTCGGGCTTCTTCTGCGCTCGTCCCGTAATACCCCGAACCCAACCGTCGCGCAGATGCATGAAGTCCGTGTTGCGTGTGGGCACGATGCGGAAGGCAGTGCGGATCCCGGGATCCTGTAGCAGTGCAGTCCATGCGGCGTCGCCGCGCTCCGGGTCGAGGAGTAGATCCTTCAGCTGCTGACGCTCCGGCGGGACGAGGGAGGTTGCGGAGTCGGCGCCCACGCTGGTCACGGCTGATATGTCGCTGACGGATGGGGGGTGCATCGCGGTCCGGACTAGTCGCTGCTGAAGCTCAGTGATATCCGACTTGGCCACGTACAGCCCGACGACATACACCTGAATCGACAGGAACGAGACCGTGCGGATACCAAGACCCAACAGCTGGTATTCATCTCCGCCAGCAGACGGGAGCTCGTCCCCGGGTTGATGCCCAGATGACATAGCCGGCAGCCGGATCGTGCTGGGGAAGTACGGGACGGTACTATTCCCCGTCGCCACCTGCTCCAAACCATCCTTGCCCTGGATCGGAATCACGGATGGTCCGGCACTCTCCGGAAATCCTGACGGGCCGTCCATCTTCATTGCTTTGTTGTTGTTCGTAGTGACAACTTCGCCGGGGTTGGGCTGGTTTTCGCCCTTCTTCTCGGCCTCGATGGCATCCAGTCCGAACACGTCCAGCTTAATGACCCCATACATAGCCACAGCACAAGCCACAATGCCTGCAGTGGACAGGATAATGGAGCGTCGATGCTGGGACTGGCTCTCCGCCGCGCGCCGGGCCTGGGACCGCAGGGGGTTGCTGGGGCTTGCATGGTTGTTCAGGTAGGAGGACGTGGAGAGGTGCCGGGGTTTTGCGAGATGTGACGACCGGAGATGCTGGCGGACGAGGCATTGACAGATGCGCCAGGGGACTGGGCCGCGAATAGAGGGCGCCATGTCGCTCACCGTCACCTCTGTTGTTGATCAGGAAGGAAAGCGAACGATGTCAGTGGCGGCAGGAGTTGGAGATACACGTGACCACCCATCTATAGCGAAAACCAGTGAGTGAAGAATTAAGCAGATATTATTCAGTTGCAAAAGAGACGCTCGGGAGATTGATTGGTGAAGTCATTGGCATAGCTTTCCTCTTGCTACTGAGGAATCTTAGCTTTGTGCATGTTTGTGTAAATACTACAGCGATGAACCCAGAACCCGGCTGATCTCGTTCCTCACAACCTCTTCCAGGCCCATCATGCGCGGCTCTCTAATCCTGACATTGTCCCGCTGTGCATACAGCGTACCACCTTCCGTCCAGATGCGCCGCAGTGTCACTGCCGTTGCCGCCGGCTTGCCATCCTCCCACGCCTTCGCCTCCAGCTCTCGCAGACGTGGTAGCGAAGTGTATGAGATGGAATTCCACTTGCTGCCAGTCTGACGTTCAAACTCCGCCTGAATCTGAGCAGGGCTGGTAGTGAACGAGTTGACGCAGAGAGCGCGGTTACGGATTTCAGGGCTGGAGCTGAGAAGCGTAGCTTGAACAAGCTTACCCACACTTGTTTTCCCCCCTTCTATTAGTTGCGAGCTCAGGGAATCATTGGGCAGAAAACTCACTCTGTCATCGTCGTTAGACTGATTTTATCCTCGCCCTTCTCTCCCAGTAGCACCGCCTTCTTCGCCTTGACATCCCATCCACCCGCCTCTTCCAGCCCGGGCAGTAGGTGTAGGTACATGTCTGCAAAAGGCCCCGTCACAACGTACGTGTACTCGAGGTCTGCTCGCGAGATTTCCTTCTCAAGCAGCGCGCGCACTTTCAGCTTCTGTTGGTGCGGCTTTTCGTTTACGGAGGCCGGGCCATACGCAATGTCGGTTCCATACTCCGACGGCAGGAACCATTTCACACTGGAGCTAGCCGCCGCGAGTTTGATTAAAGGGATTTGCAGGGCTAAAGCGGTGCGGCCGAGTGCGGAGATGACAGTGTCAATACCTGATAGTCTTGTCAGCTTGATTTGATCAAAATGTGCTGCGCTGTGGTGCATACCCTTGTACGCAGCCTTGACTGCATTCTCATCCTCGACATTGCCGACAATTACCTCGACGTTCTTCTGTGTCTTCAGTTCGTTCAAATCCGAGGCCTTCGTCTCAGCCGTGCGAGCCGAGGTGAAAATAGCAATGCGGCCGAATTGATCCCGAGTCGACAGGATGGCATCAAGGATGTACGAGCCGATTGTGCCCGTGGCACCGAAAAGCAACAGATTCCGAGGTGGTGCCATGGTGGATGATAGAAAAAAACCACAATCACGCAAGACTAACTTGTATACCAATGTGGGGCGCGGGGTTGCGTGATTATCAATCTGGGCTGTGAATTTATCCGTCTCATCAATGTCATAATTACTCTACAACCATCTCCAAGATCTCCAGCACCTGTGCCTTCTCCTTCAGGGGTACCGGGTTGCATTGGCACCACCGATCATGCAGACTGTTCGCCGCCAGCCCGTCGAGTTGGTCGCGGCCTACGCGCACGTCGGCTAGGGATCTGGGCATACCGAGCTGGCGGATGATAGCGTCCAGGATGTCGCCCAAATCGGCGGAGGAGACGTCGACCGAGCGTTGGTGTAGAACTTCAGATACGACGGGGTCCTGAATTAGGAACTCGCGGACCCGAGCCTGGCGCTCGCGGTTGGCGTTGTGCGCGGCGTTGTACTTGCATACGGCTGGTAGAAGAATGCAGCTGGTTTCCCCATGGCCGACACCCAGCGGACCAAGCTTTTCATTGTGTGTTAGACAGGCGTAAAAAGGAGTAGAGAGAAACGCAGTACCTGATGGCCTATCCCGTGGCTCGCTCCTAGCTCGACCGATCCGCTCGTACAAGCTGCCATTGCATCGACCGAGCCCAGTTGGCACTGTAAATGGGCATCGCGGTCCTTGCGGTTCTTCTTGCACCGCAGCAGACCAGGCACTAGACGACCCAGGGCGTTCTGCGCCAGCTCATCGGATACAGGTGTCGTGCCCACGATAGCGCACAGCGTCTCGACACAATGATCAACAGCACGCACGCCGGTGCTGAGCCAGATGGAGTCCGGCGTGGATTCCACCAACTCCGGGTCGAGGATGACGAGCTGGGGCCCACGTATCGGCGCCTGGAAGCTGTACTTGCGGCGCGAGCGGTCTTCGGTACCACCAGCAAAATTGGAATACTCTCCCGCAGACAGCGAGGTCGGCACGGAAATTATGGGCACAATGGGCGCACTGATATCAGCGCGTTTGTTAGGACCCTGGGCGAGCGTCTCGAGCTCGGTGGGCGTACTGACGTTGTTGGCCAGTGCCTGACAGGCGAGATATTCAGTAAATTAAAGACAAAAGGGCAGACCAAAATAACCTACCAATGCGATTATTTTCGCCGCGTCCGTTAAGCTGCCTGCTCCCAGCGTCAAGAGTAAGTCTGCCTGTACTTTACGTGCGTCGGCCACGATTTCCAGCACCTCCGACCACAGCGTGTGAGATTGCATGCCGATGCGCTGACCAACCACCTTCTCTGGACCCAGCGCAGCAGTCAGCCTCTTTAGAGCATCGGTGTTACGGGCCAGCGATCCGGAACAGATCACATATACTCGCGAGGCGCCGAAGGTGCCGGCGACATGGCGGGCAGCGGCGGCCGGAAAAGCGATGCCATGCGACAGCAGAGGGCGCTCGCGGCCAGTAAATGCCGGGTGCACGTTTTCAGACATGATTGAGGTTGGAGAGAGTAATAGACAGGAGGACAAGTTGCAGTTGCATCACCATGTGGGATAACTACCGGATGTGGGGCTGATCGTCGAATGTGGGTTCGTCGTTGTATAGGATTCCAGTGGAACGATTATTCGCCTCTCGGTGCCGGTATGTCGGGTGTCGTCTTAGCTATGTCTATCTAATTACTTAGTCTGGATACATAATGAGAGGTTGACTAGAATGAACCATCATACAATGTCGTGGAAATGCTTCTAGCATACTTCTTCATTACTACTTCTGGTTACTATCAGCATCCATCCAACCCATGCACGCCTCCATCTGCAGTGTACGCGCAGGTTCCTGTCCCTGGGGTCGTCGAGTTTTCCGTTGGATACAAGACGACGTTGTTAAAGTCGATATTGTAGCACGGATACACGTTCGAGCACGAAACCTCCGAGACCACATCGGAGTCTCTGTCCAGGTACCCGGTGAAGTTGACAAAGGCGATATTCGAGACGCTCATCTTGCTCGTGCCCGCATACGAACCATTATCACCGCTATCCTGGTTGATGGCTGGGCCCATGCCGGCGCCGTACAGCTCGAAGTTAGAGAACAGGATATTGCGGACGCTTCCCCAGCCGCCGCCGTTGGGCTTTCCGGCACTCTCGTACGATGATTGTGGCACTTGGCCGCCCATCCAAGTCTTGATATACGCGCTGTCATGCATGTCGTCGTTGTATGAGATGACCTGGTGATCGTGTTAATGAACAGAAAAGAAGTGGATGAAATAGCTCATACCTTGACTTGGTCAAACATGATATTCGCCACGCTGGAGTCTTCCAGGTATTGGCCCAGACTGCCAATGGCAATACCGTTCCCTCCGTGACAGGTAACGTTGCGAACGTCGACATTGTACGATCGTGGCTTGATCGCTATGCAATCATCTCCGCCTTGATAGTAGAAATTGGTGAGCTGGACATTCTCCACATCCATCGTATCTAGACTCAATTAGTCGAAGATCAAGCAACACCAGACACAAAGAACATACCAAACCCATCCGTGTTCTGCACCCAATTGTCTCCATACGGCGCATTTACGGCAGTTGCATTACAAATGATATTGTTGAAGCGCATGTTGGTCCCATTCATGATATTCAGACTCCACAGCGGCGGATCCTTGACGTAGAAGTTGTCGACATTGACATCCGACACATTCCAGAATACAAAAGGCATAGGGCGTCCAGGCTGTGTGTCGCCCTTCTCAACATTGTACCAGGCATTTCCGTTGCCGTCGATGCCGCCGGTCCCAAAACCGTCAATGGTGATGTTGTCTCCTGTGATTATGAAGCCAGCGTGGTGGTTTTGGAACGTGATGGGGTACGAGTTATTCCGCCAATAGCTCAAATCATCGCTAAGCTGCGAATGGATGTTAGATATATTCAAGAACATCATTTGCTTGTGCACTCACAGTCCATTTGCCGCGCCACTCAATCACCACGTTGTTGATCACAGGATTCAATCGTGTTGCAATCCAGTAAGACTGGTCCTCTGGAAAGACCACAGTGCCACCGTTGTCGCATTCGCGAAAGGCGCGCAGGATGTTGGGGACATCGTCCTTCTGGTGACCGTTTGCCTTGACGACACAGACATTATTATCTTTTCGTGGGGCTGCATGGGCTAGCCCCAGAGAGACGAACGGGAGAATTTGCAACAGTCGCATTATGTTTCAATGATCATAACTGCCGATTGTATTCAGACAACATGGGCCCTTCTCGATTATATCCATTGATTGAACACCTCCACATATTGACCTCGGTGATCTTTGCGCCGAATAGACGCCAGCCATTCAATTGCGGAGAAAAGCAATGGCGGGGAAGTGACCGGGGAAATGAGAAGAGGCACCACAAGCGCTAATTTTCAAGGCTCGCAAATGCTTGATGTGTCGATCCTTGCCTCAGTCCTCGCAACATTAACCAGCATTCTTCCACCAATGGGTATGATGATGCATTTCCGACACTTCTCCCCCGCCGGAGCACCTGGTGCAAATGCTCCGTCCGCAAATAAATTATTTCGCGATATCACAGCCCGAGAGTTAGCTATGAACGCCTATTTCCTTAAACCCCTCTGGCGCTGATTTATGGGCTATATGTAGGCCGTCCCGACATGATCTACCGGCCCCATCTGCTGCTCATTGATCCTCAACCCCAATGGCGCGAATCAGTACTCTTTTCGGCCTTTGGTCTCTTATTTCCGTTTCTCTAGCCCAGAATTGCTGGAGGGACACTACCTGTTCCGGCCCGAAAGACACTGCATTTAGCGGGCCATGGGAAGACAACATCTATGCACCGTCCTCTCGAACGGTACATCCCAAGACAACTTTATCTGATCTCAAGAACAATGCAGACACAAACCCATCCCAGCCAGAGACTGCAACTCTGCACGGCAATGGGTCTCTGGTGGTATTCGACTTTGGAAAGGAAGTTGGTGGCATCCTTCACCTCAAGTACAGTGCCACCGGCAGCGGGGCTGTGGGCATTGCCTTCACCGAGGCTAAGAACTGGATCGGAGAGTGGTCCGACTCTTCCAACGCTCTTTATCACGATGGTGCCATATATGCGAACTTCTCGTCCGCCGGACAAGAAAACTATGTCATGCCCGACCCGAAGCTGCGCGGCGGGTTCCGCTACTTGACTCTCTTCCTGGAAACGAGTGATTCTGCCAGTGTGAAAATTGAAGATATCAGCGTCGAGTTGGATTTCCAGCCTACCTGGTCCAATCTTCGCGCGTATCAGGGATACTTCCACTCCAGCGACGAATTGCTGAACCGGATCTGGTACTCTGGTGCATATACACTCCAAAGCAACCAGGTGCCTGTCAATACGGGACGTATAACATCGGGAGTTACGGCAGGATGGGAAAACAATGGTACCCTGGGACCTGGAGACACTATCATTGTCGATGGTGCCAAGCGAGACCGCGCCGTGTGGCCCGGCGATATGGGCATTGCGGTGCCGTCGACCTTTGTCAGTCTTGGAGACCTAGAAAGTGTGCAGAATGCTCTCCAAGTTATGTACAACACACAAGTACGTCACATTAATACTATTAAAGAGTCTATACTAACCAAGACAGTAGGACAAGACCACAGGAGCCTTTCCTGAATCGGGCCCTCCACTCAGTCAGACAGGTTCAGATACATACCACATGTGGACGATGATCGGAACCTACAACTATGTGCTGTTCACAAATAATACCGACTGGCTTCTGGAGAACTGGGACGGATATGTCTTGGCTATGAACTATATCTACGACAAGGTGACTTATCCCAGCGGCCTGTTGAATGTTACCGGTCTTCGCGACTGGGCCAGATATGGGCAGGGATACAACAACTCAGAGGCTCAGATGATGTATGTACTGCACCTTCACAAGACACAACATCTAACTAACACAATATCAGCCTTTATCATACTCTGCGCACCGGTGCTGATCTCGCCTCATGGACCGGAGAGTCCACAAATCTATCAAGCACCTGGAACGACCGCGCCGCCAACCTAAAGGATGCCATCAACACCTACTGCTGGGACGAGCCATACGGTGCATTCAAGGACAATGCCACTGACACCACATTGCACCCACAAGATGCCAACAGTATGGCGATTCTGTTCGGCGTCGTCGACTCAGAGCGCGCAGACAGCATTTCCCAAAACCTGCTCAAGAATTGGTGCCCCATTGGAGCCGTAGCTCCCGAACTACCCGAGAACATCGCCTCCTTTATCTCGTCCTTCGAGATTCAAAGCCATTTCACCGTCCGCCGGCCTGACCGCGCACTGGATCTAATCCGACGCAGTTGGGGGTGGTATATCAATAACCCCAACGGCACAGAGAGCACCGTGATTGAAGGATATCTTCAAAACGGAACGTTCGGATATCGCTGGGGTGATGGGTACGGCAATGACTTCTCGTATGTGTCCCACTCGCACGGCTGGTCGTCTGGTCCGACCTCTGCGTTGACGAATTATATCGTCGGTCTCTCTGTTACTTCTCCCGTAGGAGAGACGTGGAGTCTTGCTCCGCAATTTGGAGATTTGGAGTTCGCGGAGGCTGGATTTGTTACGGAGCTGGGCAAGTACCAGGCTTCTTGGACGAAGAAGTCCAATGAGTATACCTTGCAGTTCTCGGTTCCGGAGGGTACCTCGGGAACTCTTGTTCTGCCGTATGTGAAGGAGGGCCGAAGACCTAAGATTACTATTGATGGAAGACGAGTTACTAAGGGCGTTGCGTATGCCCAGGACACGGCGACCATTAGGCTTAATGGCGGTTCTTACAAGGTGGTTGTCCAGTGATGCTGTTGAATTTACTCTGAGAGAGACACTTTGATAAAGCTACTCTGCAAGGCTCCTTCCTATCTACCAACAAGAAAGCATGACCCAAAGTGCATACAGCAGTAAATTGAAAGAATCCAATTATTTTAGGCTCATGGCATTCATACGGGGGCGACATAGAACGAGAAAGTTCAGTGATTCAGGAGTATCCGATCGACATGGGTGACAAAAAAATGTTCTGGGAGGGAGATAGATAGGTGGGAGGCAAAAAGAACAAAGGAAATAATCAAGTGCCAGCCGCTGATATAATAAACCAAAAGGTCTCTCTTTCTACTGGAAGTACTTGCGCACCCTCTCCTGGCTGGTAGGGCTGACGCTCGCCAGGATCTGCTCCGCGTTCACTCCTGTCGCTCCTACCAGACGCTTGGCTGACTCGGCGACCCGAGCAGCGGTCTGACCCTGTAGCGTTCCGGCGTCGAGAGCCTGCACGATGGATCCGAACACGCGGTCGGCTTTGCTGAAGGCGGCGGGGTTTTGCCTGAGGGATTGGTTAGCTCGGAATTTTGAAAGGAAAAGGAAGGAGGGAAACATACTGGTCAATCAGTTGAGCAACAAATGAATAAGCATACGGCGCAGCTTCCTCATCGTAGGTGATGGGCAGAGTGTCGATCCAGTTGGGCACGACATCCTGAGCATTCTGCACCTTAGATGCGTTGTAGTGCAAGATCTTGGCGATACTGGCCGAGGCATTCTCTGTCGCGAAAACGTGCTCCTCCGACCGAGCCTGAGCGTGCTGCGTCACCTGGAACAAGCTGGGGATGCTGGCTGCCACAAAGTCGCTCCAGGGAGCACCGCCCTTTTGGGCGGCAACACCAACACCATACGCTGCCGCTTGCCGGTTGGCCGCGTTTTCGTCCTGCAGACCAGCTGCCAGAGGCTGCATGATATGATCCTTATAGTTCCACGACTCTTCGCAGCAGAACTCCAGTACGTCGTCCATGATGCAGAGCGCCCATTGCCGCTGTGTGGGGTCCTGGCTGGTGATGAACGCATCGTAGAACTGGAGAAGTTGCTGCCAGGCCGGCAGGAAGGACGTGCCCTGGTTCTTGAAGATGGTGTGGAAAGCCTTGTTCATGTCACTCAGCAGGTTCTGGTCGTCTTCCACGGCATACTCGTAATCCAGATTCTCCTCATCACCCTCCTCCAGCTCTGCCTGTTCTTCGAGTCGTTGCTTCACACGCATCTGGTAGTCCTCCAGCGTCGACTTGGCGGACTCGATGAACGCCTGCATGTGCTGTGGGCTGAGGCTGTTCTTGCCAATCACCTCGACCGACTCGTAGAAGCACTGGTACATCTCCGCCAGGGTATCAACCGTCGGCTCCGCGCTCAGCACCTCGATGATCTTCTCGGCCACCTTGTTCCACATCTCGGCAAAGCCTGGTGATTGGTCACCGTGGGCCTTCTTGTAGGAGTTGAGCAGCTGTGGGATCAACTTGGCTGCCGACACCCGAACGGGGTCGTGGAAGAAGAACGCAATACCAGGAACAGCAATCTTTTCCATGGTCTCCAAAACGTAAGGCTCAAAGGCTTCCTCCAGGATTTGAGCATAGATGGTGATCAGCTCAATAGCGGTGTTCTTGTCCTCCAAGGCGCTGGTCTTGATGCCAATGATCTTGCCCTTGAGCGGAACAAGCTCCCAACCTTCGTCCTGCTCGACCTGCTCAATTTGGTCTTCATCATCAAGCAACTGAATGTCAGCCTTGGCGGCAGCCACTGTCAACAGAGGCGGCATGACGCCCGGCAGATACGGAACGAAGTCGCGGCCAAGGACGCGGCACATACGACCCCAGCAGTGAAGTAGGTACTGCGACTGCGGGTCGTCTGCATCGGTGATGTTCTGCTGGATGTTGCCCAGAAGCTGCACAAGGTTCAAGGCATCCTGGCCCATCTTCTCCTTGCCAACAGCCAATGCGATTAGAGTAGCACACTCCATAGCTTTCGCACGCAGCAGGCGGTACTCTTTGCCTTGCTCCTCCTTGAGCACATTCAGCAGGAGTGGCATCAGGGTGGGGTAGTACTGGCCGAATGCCATCTCGGCAGAGTCAGCGATGGTGGCAATCGTGGACAGAGCTTGCTCCTGCAGGTAGCGCTTATCGCTGCGCAGAAGTTCCAGAAGGTGAGACAGCAAATTCTCAAGATACGGCTCCAGAATGCTTCGTTCAGCCTCCTCGCAAAAGTTCACCAGAGCGGCGGCAGCATGGGACTGAACACGCGGTTCGGCAGAGCTCAGCACGGGGATAATGTTGTTCAGCACAATGGCGTGATACTTCTCCTGCATCGTGCCTGCAAAGTCGGTACTCATCTGGCCCAAAGCGTTGCAGCCCGCATACCGAACTCGGGGGTGAGGATCGCTAAGTGCCGGAACCACCAACGCCAAAACCTGGTCCAATTCGCCCACCATCAAATCCCGACAACCTTCCGAGATGGCGGAAATGGCCATCAAAGCGGCGTGGCGGTCGCGCCAGGCGGTAGAAGACATCATGCGAGGAATCCAGGAGAAAGCAGGCTGGAGAATGGCAGGGCCACCCAACTTATTGGCCAAGCGGTCCATACACTGCTCACCAGCAATATGGTTGAGATCGCTCTCTTCGGGTTCAAGCTGCGGGTAGTCAGAAGCAGCACAAATGTTTCAGGGAGAATTCACGCACATCCTCGGAGGCATTCCACTCTTCAGCGTCATCATCATCTTGTCCAACATCGGTCATCAGGCTCAAGCACTGAGTGACCATTTCTTGCGCAAAATCGGGCTCCTTCTTACACATGTTCGGGGCGTAGTCGGCGAAGGTGGCCATCAGTTCCAGCGCATTCTGGCGCACCTGATCACTCAGTTCCTTATCGGCAATAACGCTGATGCTGAACTTGACCAAGTTGCTAAACATGCCCTTGAACATCTTCTGGCTGATTTCGGCCAACTCGATCAGTGCAAGGAAGGCTGCGGACAGCTCCTCACTTTCCGAGGACTCCTTGAGCGGGGGCAAGATGTTGAGAAGGTCCGGTGCAAGCGAGAAGAACTTGGGCTGAGTCTTCTTGGGTATGGAACGGAACAACGCGGCGAAGGCTTCCATGGCAGCAATGCGCACCTAGAATGCGGTCAACAAATAGCAAGTTTCATCTGACAGTTCAAAACATACGGAGATGTTGTCATCCTTGAAGCCCTTGGTAAAGACTCCCAACACGGTATCCTCATGCTGCTTCTCGATAATACCGGGTGTGGTCGTAAAGATGCGGAATGCAGTCTCTCGCAAACCAGCCTCGGGGGATTGACTGGCTGTGAATAGAACCTGAAGGAGGTCCGGCCATGATTCGCCTATTCCAGAGAAATCAGAACTGTTGTGCCCAACGCGTTGCAAAGTCTCATACCATTGTCGGTGTATTGCCGAGCCACCTCTGCCACTGCATCTCCAATCTTCCTCTGCACATCGGCAACGGTCTCTTTCGTCAAGCAGTCGACCAGCTTCTGGCGGATAACAACGCGCTGGTCATTGGTGAGCGACGAGAAGACCTCCTTGGTGTCGTTCGTGACAGGATCCTTGCGCGTCTTGGTAGCGATTCGACGGAAAAGGACGGCGGCGAAAGCACGCGTCTGTGATGTGGCTCAAGTTAATGATCCGTCGGCCTGGCGGGTTTCTTCTCTCCTTCCACAAAAATATTCTTTCCACCACAGGGGGGAGGCGGCGAAGGAACACGCAGGGCGACTTACTATTGTGTCCTCAGCGCCTTCGATCTGCTCCACCAGGCCCATCAAGAGGACGTCTGGACGGTTCTGAACCCAGTCATTGTTTAGCTGCTCCTCCGCCTGGGTTCTAACGGCGTTGTCGGGAGTGCTCAAGGCGCGCAGCAGCTGGGACAGCGCGGTGTGGACCTCGGGAGGAAGCAAGGACATGGTGGTGGTTGCTATCCCCGGAAATTGTGAAGAGGCAATCCAACAGCCCAGGGGTGGTGAATCAACCCTGAAGAGAGTGAAAGAAAGTCAAGGTGGTGGGGGAGGGGAGAAGGGAGGAGTTTTGTTTTTGGTGGGGCGGAAGAACTTCTGCGCAGAAAGATTTGGGAAGATTTGCGCGTTAGACCACAGCCCTGCCTACAACACCTAGCATCTACTTTTGAGTCGATTATTTGGCTTGCTAGCCAACATTTCTTATTGAGATAATAAACCGAAGTATTTATTTGCATTCAAGGCTAACCTAACAACTAATATCACACGCACAGCCGGTATCTGAACGCGACTCGACTATTAAACTATGCAATAGCAAGGAAACCAATCTCTAATCAACAGGAAGCGGAAGTAAGTATATGATGTGACAATAGTTTACCGGCCGGTGGGACGGCTAAGAATGAAGACACCAGCAATGACGGCGGCCAAAGTCACGATGGCACCCGGTAGGAGGAGGTCATTGGGGACACCTGAGATAAACTGCTCCTCGGGAGAATGCGAGGGGAAGGCCTGGTGTGTCCGGGTCTTGTTCAGGGCAAAATCTTCCGACGCATGATCCCCGACAGCGCTGCCGCGCTCCTCCACAATGGGAGAAGAGTGGGCGGGTGCCGGATGGGGATCCAGGGTGGCCGGGATGGGCGGGTGAGTAGGATCGTGGACGAAAAGATCAACCTTGTCCCGGCGCGTGCAGCGGGCTAGGCTGACCGCGTCAGTCAGATCCTGATCCGTGGTGATGGAAACGGTGTCGCCCTCGTTATCCATGTAGCTGAGCGCATAGCCGGTGTTGCTGAGTCGGCCCTCCTCAACAACGGCTTCGCCGCCCACGGCCTCGAGCTCGGGACCTAGCTTGGCCGTTACCTGGGACACGAGATCTGCAACGCCCGCAGTGGTGAGGATGTTAACTCGGTGGACGCGGCCACTGGGGGCCTTGAATTTAAAGGGGAAGGGAGTCGGTTCGTCGTGATGCTCGCCGTGGTGCTGGGAGACCACTTCAGAATGCTCATCGCCGCCGTTGTGGGATGCAGACTCGTTGGGATTCACGCTATTATCGTAGGCCGAACGAGTGAGGTCCGGACTCATGACGGAACGAATTGGCGTATGCGGCTGCTGGCTGTGGCTGCCTGAGACTACCGAGTCCGTCTCGTGATCCATCGAGAGCCAGAACTTGTTCCACGCGGGACCTTCATCATCGTGGGTTTGCATCGTGTTGATCTATCTCTGGTGAGTTTGGGTCTGTGCTAAGAATCAACATGAACTAACCTGTTCAAGAGTGGCGTAGGTGAGTTTCAAAACATCCACCATACCAACAATCTCGCCCGCCTCGTTCATCACGGGAAGGTTGAGATAGTGGCCATCTGGAAAATAGATTAGTTAGCAACCATCGTAACACGATAACTGGAGCCACCCACCATGCATTTTACGGAGCGCAGCCTGAATGCTCATATCTGTCGGAGCAAAGTCGGGGTGGGGAGTCATGACACGGACGACGCTGCAGGTAGCAGGGTCGAGACCCGGGGCAATAACCCGAAGGACGATGTCCTTGCTGGTAAAGATACCAGTAATGGAGCCCTGGTCCTGCACGAGCAAGGCGGTGGTGTGATGTTCCTTCATCAGAGCGGCAGCGTCTTTGACCGTGGTGCGGACCGAGACAGTCACTGGGGGCATGCCGTCCAGGACAGTCTCCAGGGTCGGACCGGACATCTTCTGACGAAGAGCCTCCACATATTGGATGACTTGCTGCGGCTGGCTGGACCCCAATTCGGTCTGCACGCCCTCAAGTGCGTCATACAGCTTGCGAGAAGAGCTGTAGGCGCGTTCCAACTTCTCCATCGCATCGTAGAAGCACTTGGTAATATCGAGCACACCTGAAATATCCTGGTTCTCATCCATGACGGGCAGGTGTCGGAAGCCCTTGCGGACCATGAGGTCGAGGGCATCGGTAGCGCTCGTGTCGGTCCGCGCGCAAAGCGGGTTCTTGGTCATGATCTCAGCGACGGAGACCTCGCGCGCCTTCAGGCCCATTCCGATGACACGGAACGCCAGATCCTTGGCAGTGAAGATACCCGCAATCCGCTCATTGTCGTCGGTCACCAGTACGCAATCCTCCCGCTTGGCAGCCATCAGCTGAGCGGCCTCGGCGATGCTGAGCGAGGGCTTGATCTGAAGAGCATGGCTGGGCTTCAGGGCGAGCACGGTGCCGGGAGGGGCCTTGCGGGCGTGTCTCGCCTTGGTCGGGTTATGCCTCTTTTTGTTGAGGTCAGCCTCCATCTTGCGGCGGATCGCCTGCCATGAAACAGTTAGATTTAGCAGACATATAATCTCGGCGGGTTGACATCATCACGCACCTCATCCCGCTTCGACTGGTTCTGTCGCTGTCTGCTGCTGGCGGCGCTCATAGTGCCGCTGCCCACGTCGCTGGAGGGGGTATGGGCGGAGGCGGAGTCAGGTCGGGGTCGGGGGATATGGGAGGAAGTAGTCGAGTCCTTCTCGAAGTCCGGCAGCCTGCCTCTCCCGATGGTTTTATTGGGAGTGCCCCTAAAAGTGCCTGTGGCCGACATAATAGGGAAAGAGGAAAGGGAAGGGGACCAAGCAAACAATCAATCAATCAGATCAAGGGAGCTCCAGCACAGGCAGGAAAAAAGCAAGCCCCAGGCTGGCGATCCCAACCAGGAGATAAACACGCTTACCTAACCACGGGATGGTCGCTGCGGTACTGGATGGCGCTAAACCGGTTCGAGACCGCCACGTGATAGGCATCTCTGGATGCCCGTTTAGCCAGGCCACCAATGCTTTCCCGTGACCCGCTCGCTTAGGGCCTAGGGCTACGCACAATTCCTCGTCCCCATCCAGTCTTGGTTGTGTGAGCGAGTGTCCGACAACCCACCTTTTCCCGACAACCCCCTCCAACCGTACGCTACAACTTCCTCCCTTCTCACTGGAATCCAGCATCTGATCCATCTGCAACAGAGCAATCCGTCAAAATGGTCAAGAAGCGGGCGAACAAGTAAGCCCACACCACCCTTCCTCATCGCCAACAGTCCTCCATTCGCTCGAACTCTCCGCAATGACGCCGACGGGAAACAACTGGATGCACACAGAATATCACACGCTCGGACGAAACTCCGAAAAACGCACCCGACGCGCATTGCTGGACGAAGAACGAACGAATGGGGACACTGAGTGCCGGGAGATGCGTTGAAGAAGAACATGAAAACTAACTTTCTATAGCGGTCGCAACAAGAACGGCCGCGGCCACGTCAAGCCGGTGCGCTGCTCCAACTGCGCCCGCTGCACTCCCAAGGACAAGGCCATCAAGCGGTTCACCATCCGCAACATGGTTGAGTCTGCTGCCATCCGTACGTGTCACCCAAATTTCCACTGCATAACACGCACTCGCCTGGAATCAATCGAAACAACGTAACTGCTCTGAAATGCAACGAACGCTAATTGGTCCCGACAATGCAGGTGATATCTCCGATGCCTCCGTCTTCGCTGAGTACGCCGTGCCCAAGATGTACCTGAAGCTCCAGTACTGCGTCTCGTGCGCCATCCACGGCAAGATCGTCCGGTAGGTCAACAACAACCATTTTTTTAGGGGGCAAATCAGAAACTGATCCGCGAGTTTAGTGTCCGCTCCCGCGAAGGCCGCCGCAACCGTGCCCCTCCCCCACGGATCCGCTACAACAAGGATGGCAAGAAGATGAACCCTCCTCAGGCCGCTAAGGCTATGTAAGGATGTGAAATCGGGGTTTGTGCGTCATCCAACGAGCAAGATAAAAATGGAACTAGTCTGAAATGAATGAGACCTTTTATTTTGTTTCCTTTTCTTTTTTCTGCAATGCTCTCTGGGTGCTGTGTTGGCGAAGCTTTGATCTCAGGAAAAAGGTCCGCGTGGAAGGGAGTGATTAGAATGGAATCGGAGGAATAAAAGGCACACGCTTGTTCCGTCGTGTCTCTTTTCATCCACTCTCGAACAACATGTCCGAAACGGAGGACTCGAAAATCACCAAAATCCTTGCAAAAGACAGAGTTTATTGCGTAGAAAGGAAGGAAGTATGTAGGCTGGGTATATGCATGCAGTCATCAAAATCATGGGTATAAGTATCCCTTCTCAAAGTAATTCCCATACATATCCACCATCCCGGTGCGGCCCTTGGGCGCCGAATTCCTCACCACCTTCACCTCCCCCTTCCAATGGCCCTCGACAAACTGCGCCATGCAGATCTGCTGCGGCGTCGACGACGGCAGAGGCGAGGACGATGATGGCGAGAGCAGACCAGACGAGGCACCGGTGCCATTGGTAGTGCATCGCCGACCTCTCTCGCGGCGGACGGCATGCTCGTACTCGGTTTTCTTTGCGCGGCGGAAAGCAGCTAGTTCCTTGACCACGTCAACCTCTGAGAGCAGACCGCCTGTCGCACGAGTGGAATTGGCTTTCTCTGTGGCTGCGGACGTGACGCTAGACTGGCGGCCGAGCGGAGACTCAGTGCGCGAGTGGATCGACTCGTCGTCCGAGGGAGTGAGGAGGACTTTCTCATTTAACATAGCCATGGGGAAGTACTTCCCCGGATCATTCTCAGGGAGGCCGCACTCTTCTTCTCCGAAGAAGCTGAAGTCGTTCGCGGCTGCGTCCCAGAGAGCCTCGGAGTCGCGGTCTCCTGTGCTGGAGTTGGCCGTGCCGTGATGGAATCCTGTGGGTTTCCAAGAAGTGAGCTTCGACGTGGGAGTGGTGGGAGTGATTTCGAGGATGATTCGTCGCAGACCGAACAGTGAGCGAGTACGTTGCTGCTCGGCACGTATCCGTGCTTGACCTGGTGGTAGGGAGTAGTCCGATCCAGCTTGAAGAGTAGCGAGCAGCGTCTCATTGGAGCAGGCTGTGATGAATCGGGTGAGCGCGTAGAGGATGGGCGAGTTGGCTTGGATATGCGAGGGCACGTCTGTCAAGACCAAGGTTTCCAGATGGGGTACATGGGATGGATGGAGATATGGAAATCGGCTCTCTTTGCCGTGCTGGAGTGGGAGGGATTGGTTGCTTGGACGCTTTGCGAGCAGTTCTTGTATCTTGTGTGCACGAGGATCATCCATGGATATTGGCGAGCCGCAATAATCTATTGGCGCACCCTCTGGAGCCGAGCCGAACGGTGTTATAGGACTGTCTGTTTTCGGGAAGGCTAGACTGCCTCCGGGCTGCACCACTTCGGGGGCAAAGGCTGATCCCCGTCTCATGGCTGATAGAGGCTCATCTTCATGAGGCCGCGATAGGCGTCGCGTTGGGACTATGGTTGATGCAGACCTCGAAGATCCGCCCGTCGACGTGTCTGCCAGCTCATAAACGAAGTCGTTCTTCGCAGGTAATTCATGAATATCGTGCGAAGCGTCCAGCTCAAACTCATGAGGAGCCTCGATTGCCTGAAGTTCTGGTAGAAGATCACTGAAAGACACAAAGTCTCTGATCCGGGGCTCAGCGGTGGCGATGGCATGATGGGCTCGTAGATATGTCAACTTGGCTCCGGCAAATTTACCCAAAAGCGGGACAAGCTTCTCAGCACCGGGATATCTTGATCCTGGCGGCGTCTGGGGGGATGATTTGCCGTGCAAAATCTCAGCAGTGTTGACTGTTCCTACATCAAGGACGTGAAGTCTCTCTGAGGCCAACAGACCGGCCACCCCTTCGACTGTAAGCTGATTACCGGCAATATAGAGGTGAGTAATGCCGGAATTCGGCAAGTCATCAAGCCAGAAGGAGTTGTTTGTAGCTGGCTGAGCCAACAGTTTTATGAACTGCTCGTCAAGATCTGAGCTCATCAAGAGGTCCATACCGGGGAGGCTGGATGACTCGCCGAACACGTTGGGCGTACGCCTCATCCGCCGGTGCAGCCCCGAATTATTCTGCAATAGAAATGAGGCCTGCATTAGAGATCGAACTGCCATGTCTGTCAACATATTATTCCGCAAATCCAGAAATCGGACACGGATTCCGATGGCGTTGGCCAAGAACTCAGCGTCCTTGTCTTTCAACCCGACCCCGCGCAGCTTAAGAACCTGCAAATTTTCAAGATGCGACAGAGATGAAAGAACACTGCGATCTCGCGCAGGCGTAGTATACGAAAGATCGAGGTAGATCAACGAGGGAAAGCGAAGGATTGTCTCCGCGAGGCTGCCGGATGTGGTATTCGGCTCGCGCTCAGCGAGCAGCACACGGATATTATACTTGGTGGACCTAGTCTGTGCCTGCAGTGCGGTCATGGCATTATGATCGAAGAACGGGAGCCTCGATACCATCAGGCACTGCAGACAGGGCAGATACTCCAGGATGTCTCTTAGCCAGCCCGGTCGCGGGCCGCCATAGATCTCCGACAGGGCCGGAGGCAGATGGAGCGTATGGGTCATCGACCGCACCTCTAACCGGGCATATTTGAGTGTGCGCCGGAAACGCGTGAGCGCCACTTTTCTCCCTGCTGTCAGAGAGGTGTTCTGTGTTGACGGAGACGGACATCACTTACCGTAGACAGCATCATTGTCTGTCCCAAAGTGGGAAGCCGGATCGCCCCACAGAAAGGGCATGAACAGATCGTGCCATCGATGACAGACTAGCGATGCCGCGCAGAGATCGCTGGAGGGGATATAGTCCGCGATAATCGCCCAGGCATCTCTGGCTGTGGCGGATTCGTATGAGGGCGGAATAACGTCGATCATCTTGGATCCTTAGGTTGACAATCAACGACGATGAGTTGCATTATTTGCAAGCACCTGCATCCTACGATAGAACCAACAGGGGAATATTTGGGGGAGAGTGTCAGATTTTCTTCTAGAATACGAAGGGAAGATGATGATGGATGGCCGCTCGGCCCCATCGACTCCGCCTCGCTGACTGGATTTCCATAGTTAGTTAACGTAATCAACCACCGAGTGACGAATACCACCGAGTGACGAATTTCGCGTCCATCTCCTACAATCATTTCCTTGACGCGTTATTTTTCACCACCACTATACAAAATGCCTCTATCTCAAGAAAATCGCATTCAGATGGCTATTTCTGCATTCAAAAATAAAAAAATCAAATCAAAATTAAAGGCTGCTGAGATATTTAGTGTGCCTGAAGCTACGCTTCGCCGTCGACTCAACGGTAGGAAATCACGCGCAGAAACACGCGCCAACAGTCATAAATTAAACCCTCTTGAAGAAGAAGTCCTTGCGAAGAGGCTGCTAGATGCAGATAAGCGAGGATTTTCAATTCGGCCAGAGTTTCTACGGGGAATGGCGCAGATCCTGCTTCGCGAGCGCACAGGAGATCCTACTACGACCCTTGGTGTCAACTGGGCATATAAGTTTATCAAACGGCATCCAGCACTGCGCACACGATACAATCGGCGGATCACGTACCAGCGTGCAAAGCAAGAGGATCCAAAGATTATTAAACAATGGTTTGCGACCGTACGCGAGGCTATTCAAGAACATGGTATCCACGAGGACGATATCTGGAACTTTGATGAAACTGGCTTCGCAATGGGACTTTGTTCAACCTCTAAGGTTATTACTGCAGTCGATCGCAGTGAAAGGCCCCGTAGGGTTATTCAGGGGAATCGCGAATGGGTCACAATTATTGAATGTGTGAGCTCAAAGGGGATATCTATACCCCCATGGATCATCTTGAAAGCAGGATCTCAACACGCTGCTTGGTATCAAGAACCTGCTCTCTTCAATAAGGGCTATGCTATCGCAAGAAGTCAGAATGGCTGGACAACAGATGAAATTGGCCTCCGCTGGCTAAAAGAGATGTTTGAACCACATTCTAAAACCTATTCAACTGGTGCAAAGCGGTTGCTTATTCTTGATGGTCATAGTAGTCATCTAACTGCAGATTTTGATGCATTCTGTGAAGAGAATGCTATTATCTGTCTTTGCATGCCTCCTCATACCTCTCATCTTTTACAACCACTTGATGTTGGTGTTTTTGGTCCGCTAAAGCGCGCATATGGAAAACTAGTAGAAGAGATGATGGTTGCCGGCAACAACCATATCGACAAGGAGGATTTCTTGTCTCTCTATCCACCTGCTCGCGAAAAGGTGTTTACTAGGGAGAATATACGCAGTGGTTTTGCAGGTGCAGGACTTAACCCGCTAGATCAAGATCGGGTTCTTGAAAAGGTAACTTTTCAACTTCGGACACCAACACCACCTCTTGTTGAAGTTGAAGGCTCAGTCTCCTCTGCTTTTCAAACACCTCAGAATCCTCGCCAACTCGATCACAAGGTACGCAGTCTACAGAGAAGCCTTCGAAAACGAATGCTTTCTAGTAGTCCAGTATCTCATATTCAACATCTTGAAAAAGCTGCACAGATGGCAATGAATATGAACCTTATTCTTCGACAAGAAATCAAGGTTCTACAAGGTGAGAATAAGCGGAAAATGCAAAAGAGGGCAAGGAAGCGTGGTAATCTTGGTGATGATCTTGTTTTATTTGTACAGGAAGGTCAGAATCGAGTGCAACAGCTTGATACACAGCTTAATGAGCCGGCCGCTGAGACGACGCCAAGGCCTCGCCAGCGAGCTCCACGACGCTGTAGTGGATGCGGGACTACTGGTCATACTATAAGAAATTGTCCTAGTAAATAGCTATTGTTTTATCTTTTTATATGGTCTGATTTAATACATTTGTGGTTGAAAAGCTTGAAATTTAACGGTACGCGCGACGAAATTCGTCACTCGGTGGTATTCGTCACTCGGTGGTTGATTACGTTACAACGGGCCTGTTACCTAAGTATACCACTTTAAAATACACCTTTGACGCCATTTCCACCCAACCCCGGGAATCCGAGTTGACTACGCCTGGCCTCCCGGAATGCAGCATCTGTATATACCGCAGTACCGAGTTCCATCTGGCGCAGTCTTGCCTGAACTACAGCACAGGCATCGGCCCACGCGCACACCGTTCCGGGAAGTCCCTCAAACAGCGACCACGGATCATCAGGCCGACGATAATCTCGGTCGGATGGTGCTGGCGCAGTATTGTACGGCCTGGTGTCGCGCGCATGCAGCAAGAAAGCCAGCGCCCGGGAGAGGAAAAAGTCCCCCGTGAGTGTCCGACATACATCCGGGAGACTCGCTGTCTTCTCGCGCTGTAGGTACGCTTGTCGAGGGTTATCAATGTACTCCGAACCTTCATAGCAGTCATGGAGCAACAGCCATGGGTAGGCGTTGCCAGCAATCCCGTGGCACAGACTGCCTCCCTTGGACAATAACCCCTCCTCCCAGGTGCGTTCTGTAACCGCGTAAATGGCCTGGTCCCATTCAGGCTGCCAGAAAGCCTCAGCCAATGGCCTATTCTTCAGGGCGGCGACCATGAGGGCCAGCATGCCAGGGCTACCGTGGCAGATTTGGAGGAGGGGGGGGACCAGACGAGCTTCTGAAGGAAGGAATGGACATGGGGAGGTGGCCGTTGTTCGCGATACAGAGCTTGCAGATAGTGGTGACGGTCCTTCCAAGGTCAGATAGGTAAGGCTTTAATTCCTCGGGCTTGCATGCAAGCAGAATGGCCAGGATGCCGGCTTGAGGGAGATGTTAGTAATTGAGAAAGTCTGCGAGCTGGTGGAAGACTCACTCATTCCATGGACGCTGGGGGAATGTCAGCTAGCTCTCAATAGATGGCTGTCGGGGATATCACTGACGCTCCAAACCCATAGAACCCTTCAAGCCAGACATACATCAACGGATGGGCATCCGCCTCACCGTGCTTTTCAATATAATTCTTCGCGCCCTGCCGCCCGGCATCGATGATCAGATGGATCAGCTTGGGGATCTGGTTCAAGATAGGGGCAAGAGCCTTCTCGGTCTTTTCATCGAAGTTATGGACTCTGATGTTTAGCAGAGTCCAAAGAATACCTGCTCGGCCATAGAGCATTTCATCAGCGCCCATCTTTCGGTCACCGTGCGGGACGAGGGGTCCGTTTTGGAGGGCCAAATTGACAACTTCCTCGAGGACGGCGCAATCCTGGGAGGAAATGGCTGGTTTGTCCTTGGTCTTGTCGCTCAGACCTGCTAAGATATGCAGAACGACGGCCGTCAGGGGAGACAAAGAGCCGATGGGAGATAGTCGAGACGGGATTAGAGGTGTCTCTGATAGACCCGACGGTATCCTCTGCAAGGCCCATTGACGATAATCCGGAGAAGGGCCATTCTCATCCGCCAAAATGGGAGACTGGAAATTGAGACGGAGAAACCCAAGAGCAACTCCTGCAAATGGGCCGTCAGACTTATCGGGTGGTTCAGGTTGGTCAATCAGTCCCTTACCCGGAAATCCCTTGAAGAAACCCGCCGTATTCCACTTGTCCGGCACCGGGCTGTTCTCATGGATCAATGCCGAACCTTTGCGGACTGCCTCACGGAATTGTTTGAGACAGTCAGCCAACGTGGTTGCATTGATGTCCACTCGAGACAGGGTGTTGTTATAGTACTGCGGACGCTGGTCGGCCATGTTGGGTGCTCGGAAGATATACTGTTGGATCTAAGTTTTGTGTGCTCTCCAGCCCTGGTCAACCAAAGGAGAAGAGTCAACACCAGCCCCTCTATGGGGATTGTCCTAGTTTTGCAAATAGTAGCAACAACGACGCAGCCAATGATGGACCCGCCGCCGCAGTGGGGGAGCCCGCCGTGAAGTGAGGCCTGGGGCATATCTTCCTGCCCCAGGCATAGAGCTTAGTCATCAAGTCCCACGATTTCTCGGTTTTGCGTTTCTTCCATTCCGGACTCGAGAATACTCACGCGGTCCTCGAAGTTCCCAGCGCTTCTAGAAGCAGCGCAGAAGGTCAGTGTCAGGTCAGATGTATAGATTCTCAAACTAACATGCCCTAGTCTTCTACCCATCATGTCCGAGGTCCATGGCGCCGACGCTGAGCCTGTGGCCGCCGGCCCTCAACCTCAGTGTCTGTCGGTGCTGGCACCGCGACAGGTGACCCTGCGGGATCGAGTCACCGTGGCCACCTTGGTGCCCTTCACGTCGGCAGACGATGTGCCGCGGCCTTTGATGAAGTATCTTTCGGATCAGTTCAACAAAGAGATCGAAAAGGGCGACACCTATGCCATGACCGATCCCATCCCACTGGCCCAGTTCGGCCGCTATTGGTTCTCCAGTTTCGGCGTTGTCATGCTCCTTGGTGACATCCAGAGTGTAGAGCAGACGCATGCTATGGATCGTGCGGGTGCCAATTGGACCAAGGTCTGCTTGGGGGGGTTTCACATCCGACCCAATTACCCGGGCCGTAGTAGCCATGTCTGCAACGGCACCTTTATCGTCACCGATGCTGCCCGAAATAAGGGTGTGGGTAAGCTGATGGGCGAAGCATATCTGCAGTGGGCACCTCAGCTGGTACGATTCCTCCCGACCACTGGTTTGATCTTTACTAACTTGGCTCTCAGGGCTATACATATGCCGTTTTCAATCTGGTGTACGAGACCAACGTTGCCTCCTGTCGCCTGTGGGACTCCCTTGGCTTCAAGCGGATTGGCAGAGTCCCCGGAGGCGGGCAGCTAAAATCCCAGCCGGGAGAGTTTGTCGACGCCATTATCTATGGCCGGGGTCTGAGCTTGGACGGCGAGGATTCCGTGTCCCAAGACCGTTTCGAGAAGATTCGGTACTATCTGAAGCATTCCAAGTACCCTCGCGGCGCGGATCGAGCCGAAAAGAGTCGACTTCGCAGCGCAGCAACGCACTACAAGCTGATCGGCGGGGAAGATGGTGAGCCTGAGCGGCTGATGCTCAAGGACAAAGAAGTGGTGTCAGATCCACAGCAGCAGTACGAGATCGCCAACGAGGTCCATCTGCAGCAGCATGCCGGGATCAACAAGACCACCGCCGCCATCGCTGTCAAGTACCACTGGGTGCGCATCAAGGAAACGGTCAATCGGGTCATTCGAGACTGCCCGGAGTGCAAGGAGACTCTCAAGACACCTCCAATCCCGGGAACCAAGGATGACGACCAGACGGTCGATGACGATATGGTCGATGGCGCCTTGGATGATTCCTCAAAAGACACATCAGACCAGGCAATGGATGAGGCCCCGGACGACTCCTCGAGCCATAACCCTTTTATGAATCCCCACCCCCCGCCGCCGCACCTGGTACGGTGCATCCCATGGCGAGCTTCGCTGCGCCCATGCCCCTCGACCCGCAAATCATGCAATTGCACCAGCAACTGCGACGCTACCAAAGCCAAAACCCGACACCGAATCTATACGGCCCGCACAACGTCGGAATGTCCAATTTTGATGAGGCCATGCGGTTCCACACGGCTAACAATGCCTACCAAATGATGGTCGACGACGGGTCGGATCCGTTTCGACAAGAGGTCCTGGGGCTGGCTAACCCACCGACGACTCATGACCTGCAGCAGGAGGCCGATTTGCTGGCTAAGTACGAGTATGGGAATCCGTCGGATGGGAATTACGACTTTACGTGAACCTGTGATTTTGTGTACCACGCATCTTGGGCCCAGGGACTGGTTTTTTCGGGCATGGCATCTGCATACCTAGGGAGGACCTTGTATAGTATAAAAGTCATGTAGCAATAGAAGTATTTGGCTATATTTAGGGATTTCCCCCTGAATGTGTACCTGATATACCTAGGTGGTTAGGGCTGTGCTGACCGCCTTGGGCTGGAGCAGGACAGAAGCTCGGGGAAATAATTTTGGTGGTCGCGATCATCAGCCCCTCCACAAATCCATCTTGCTCCCTTCGCTTTCTGGTGTTTCTCCTGGTTTTCTTGTCTATCCTTTAACTCCCAGGCTCACACCTCCACTACAACCATGGCCTTCGCCGGCCAAACACCCACAATCGTCGTGTTGAAGGAGGGTTGGTGTTCTTTCTGCTTTCCCCCTCCCGAGACTGCGGGCTCTCCGTTTGGCGGGATTGGCTGACCGTGTTTTTTTTGCTCAACAGGGACGGATACTTCTCAGGGCAAGGGCCAGGTCATTTCCAACATCAATGCCTGTGTCGCTGTACAGGCAACGGTCAAGAGCACGCTCGGCCCATACGGTGGTGACCTGCTGCTGGTCGATGCCAACGGCAGGCAGACCATCACCAACGATGGCGCTACTGTCATGAAGGTACACAAGGAAATCCACCATGCAACCCAATTGCCTTTTCTGATTTATTCTGTGCTAGCTACTGGATATCGTGCACCCCGCCGCCCGCATTCTCACTGATATTGCCCGATCCCAAGATGCCGAAGTCGGTGACGGTACAACCTCCGTGGTGGTCCTCGCGGGTGAGATTCTGAAGGAGGTGCGCGACCTCGTGGAGCAGGGAGTTAGCTCGCAGACGATCATGAAGGGTCTGCGGAGAGCTAGCGCTATGGCGGTCAACCGGGTCAAGGAGATTGCGGTGGACACGATGGACTCGACGGTCACTGAAGAGAAGAAGATCGAGACGCTCCGACGGTTAGCCGCGACGGCGATGAACAGCAAGCTCATCAAGCGGAATTCGGACTTTTTCACCAAGAGTAAGAATTACCTGGAAAGCACACAGGGGGCAGATGGCTGACAAAGATGTTCAAACAGTGGTTGTGGATGCGGTGCTTTCGCTGGACCAGGATGATCTCAACGAGAAGCTGATCGGAGTCAAGAAGATTACCGGTGGAGGACTCCAGGATTCGCTCTTCGTCAACGGTGTTGCTTTCAAGAAGACCTTCTCCTACGCCGGATTCGAGCAGCAGCCCAAGTCCTTTACCGACCCGAAGATTGTGTGTTTGAACGTCGAGCTGGAGCTGAAGAGCGAAAAGGACAACGCCGAAGTTCGGGTCGAGCAGGTCTCTGAGTACCAGGCGATCGTCGACGCGGAGTGGCAGATTATCAACAACAAGCTCGAGTCGATCTACAAGACGGGTGCGAAGGTGGTGCTCAGCAAGCTGCCCATTGGTGACCTTGCCACACAGTACTTTGCGGACCGCGATATCTTCTGTGCCGGCCGCGTCGCCTCGGACGACATGGACCGGGTGTGCCAGGCCACGGGCGCAGCGACCCAATCGACGTGTAGCGACATCCAGGACCGTCATCTGGGCACCTGCGGCTCGTTCGAGGAACGCCAGATCGGTGGGGAGCGCTTCAACATCTTCTCCCAGTGCCCGAAGGCCAAGACGTGCACTCTCGTGTTGCGCGGTGGCGCCGAGCAATTCATCGCGGAGGTGGAGCGAAGTCTGCACGACGCCATCATGATCGTGAAGCGCGCCCTGCGCAACACGACCATTGTCGCCGGTGGCGGTGCATGCGAGATGGAGCTGTCCAGCTACATGCACGGCTTCGCGGACCGCAATGTGCCGCACAAGCAGCAGGCCGTGGTCAAGGCGTTCGCCAAGGCACTGGAGGTCATCCCGCGGCAGCTGTGCGACAATGCGGGCTTCGATGCGACGGACATCCTGAACCGATTGCGCGTCGAGCACCGCAAGGGCAACATCTGGGCCGGCGTGGACTTCGATCATGAGGGCGTGCGTGACAACATGGTGGCCTTTGTGTGGGAGCCCAGCCTGGTCAAGGTTAATGCCATCCAGGCGGCGGTGGAGGCGGCCTGCTTGATTCTGAGTGTGGACGAGACAATAAGTAAGTGACTCGTCATGAACCCCAGGTCGGTGACTAACAGCATGCTTTCTTGCAGAGAACGAGGAGTCCGCCCAGGCCCAGGGCCCGCAGCGTGGTCTGCCCCCCGGCGCCGCCCAGCGTGCTCTCCGAGGCCGCGGCCGGGGCATGCCCCGACGTTAAAAGGATTTCTTGTGGTAGTTGACATTGTTGTGTGTAAACGAGTTCCCGCCAGAATATAGAAAAAAAATAACAAGGTGTAATCCTCCTCTGATCTCGGTCTCTCCTGCGGGAGATCTATCCGCTGCATTCCACTCCATCCAGACTCTTGGAGCAGCATGATTTGCTGCATATGTGCTTTCAGGAACCGCTGCAACCATCATGTCGTGGGCGATCTATGACCAGTGCGTGCTTGGTCTGTACGACATTCGAGGACAGCTTCCCCGAGCAGGACAGTCCAATCAATCAATATTCCGAGGGGTTCATGCATGTCAGACTCAAATAGTGAATATAAACCCGGTCGCTCGTTTCTTTTTCTTTCGTCCTTCCTTTTTCCCACATTCTTCAAAAGCGACGACTCCGTAAGTATCTGCCCGATGACGATCCCTGCTTGAGCCCTTTCGGGTGCGATTTGGAATCATACTTGCTCCCTCCCCATCGTATTTCTCCTGTCCATCTGTCCTGTTCTTCTCCATTCGGGTTCTGATTCTCTTTCCACTCATTCATTCATTCATTCCGTCCTTCCTTCCTTCCTTCGTGTCCCACAGCCTCCTAGGCGCCCTCTTCAGCCTTGGCGCGTACTTCCGATCCATTAACTTCTCCACCTCACTCTTCTTGCTCCACCCCTACCGCGATTGTTTTGTTTGCTCTTCATCCTCTCTGTCCGGCCTTCATCATGTCCTACTATCCACCCTACCAAGGAGGCTCTGGCTATCCGCCGCAGCAGCCTCCGCCTTCCAACTACGGCGGCTCCCCGCAACCGTACCCGTACGCGCTTTCTTCCTCGTTGTGTCCGCTGCCCGCGCATCCACCACTCACTAACACATCTCGTTTTCTCCCCAGACCACCGATGCATCAGCAACAGCAACCCAACTACGGTGGCTATCCGGGCCAGGCCTACCACCAACAGCCTCATGCGCCCCCGCCGTCCAACCCGTACGGCTACAGTCACTCGCCGCAGCCGCCTCAGCCCTATGGAGCTCCTCCCCCACCGCACGGATACAATGTACGTGAGCTCGCTGGTTTGGAGCCGAGATACAGACGCTGATGTGCCGACTGCAGAGTCCCCCGCCCTCCGGATACCCTCCCCATCAGCCTCCGGGGGGCCCGCCGCCCATGTACCAGGGACAGGGTCGACCCCAATGTGTGTTGTGCCCGCGCTTCTTCTTTTCTGCTCGGCAACACTGACCCATAATAGCGAACCCCTATCCTCCTCAAGGCCATGGTCCCCCTCCAGGCCACGGCGGCCGTCCCGCGGCTCCGCCGAGCCAACCCGTCTCCTTCGGTCACGGTGCCCCGCAGGGCTACAGCTTCCAGTACTCGCGCTGCACGGGTAAGAGAAAGGCACTGCTGATTGGTATCAACTATTTCGGACAGAAGGGTCAGCTGCGCGGGTGTATCAACGATGTCAAGAACATGTCGGCCTACCTCAATCAGAACTTCGGCTATGCCCGAGAAGACATGGTCATCCTGACCGACGACCAGCAGAATCCCATGAGCCAGCCCACCAAGGCGAACATCCTGCGGGCCATGCACTGGCTCGTCAAAGAGGCGCGGCCCAATGACTCGCTCTTCTTCCACTATTCCGGACACGGCGGCCAAACCCCTGATCTCGATGGCGACGAAGACGACGGATACGACGAGGTGATCTACCCCGTGGATTTCCGGGTGGCGGGCCACATCGTCGACGACGAGATGCACCGGATTATGGTCAAGTCGCTGCAGCCTGGTGTGCGACTGACGGCGATCTTCGACTCGTGCCATTCCGGCTCGGCGCTGGATCTCCCGTATATCTACTCCACCTCTGGCGTGCTCAAGGAGCCCAATCTGGCCAAGGAGGCCGGTCAGGGTTTGCTGGGTGTGGTCTCAGCATATGCGCGCGGCGATATGGGAAGCGTGATGTCCAACGCCATGGGGTTCATCAAGAAGGCTACCAAGGGCGACGAGGCCTATGAGCGCACGAAGCAGACCAAGACCAGCCCCGCGGACGTGATCATGTGGTCTGGCAGCAAAGACGACCAGACCAGCCAGGACGCCCAGATTGCCGGCCAGGCCACCGGGGCCATGTCGTGGGCGTTTATCGCTGCTCTCCGCAAGAACCCCCAGCAGAGCTATGTGCAGCTGCTCAATAGTATCCGTGAAGAACTATCCACAAAGTACTCCCAGAAGCCGCAGTTGAGCTGTAGCCATCCTCTTGGTAAGTTTTGTCGTCTCGGATTGGCGGAATGATTGATATGCTGACACAGCTGGCAGATACCAACCTTCTTTACGTGATGTAAAAATTCGCAGGCGGTTTTGGAGAGAAGTGCTTCTGGTTTATGATTCCTGTCCATTGCGTCGTGTATGTAATTTCCCAGGGTGTTTTCCGAGGTATTGTTCATATCATTGCTTGGCTTCTGGAAGCAGTTTGCGGTTTTATGTTTATATGAATTGTGACTTATCTTTGCATTTGTATCCCTTTCAACTCGGTGTTACCTACTTAGTGTGCGAGATTGTTGATTGACGATAGGTTTGATCTTTCTGACATCATGGCAGATCTCCATTGTTGGCTCTCAACGCCATCGCTCATGCAGCTTTGGTCTTCTGTCTTTCCAGAACAAAGTAAGAAACCGAATTGACCGTGCATTGGTCGGTGCTGTTTAAGCCGGGCATCAATGTCCGAATTTCATTATTGGTGGGAGGGTAGGCCGGGAGATGGCGATACCTCGGGGCTCATCCTCACTGAATTCGTCATATCGGTTGCCTCCACCAGCCTATGACAGCCATGGAGCTATCCAGATGGATATAATGTTGCGAATATTGTCTCTCGGCGCTTGATTCGGCACTAATACATTCTCGAGCCAGCCGAAAACGACCGTTCCTCGACTGCACACCAAGCTTTTGTATCATCACTATGCAGACGTACCTGCAATATAAGCGGATGTACAGAGAGCTCGAGAAACAAATCGCGATCAAGCATGGGCCCGACGAGAGTGACAAGCGTGCCCGACGCTATTATTACCAAGATGGCACATCCCAGACCAATGCCGACGAACAAACACAGAGCAGGGAGCAGGCTGATCTAAGGAGAGAGCATGGACAGCGCACCGGTATTACTGGGCCGGTGCTTCAGCCACGTCATACGGCTCGCCAGCATCTGGAAGGCAATGATGATGTTGAACGGGCTGGTTTTGATCCTGAAATCCAGGGTGATCCCCATGTCATCCATTCGACAGATTCACTGGATGATACGACGGACATCATGGCTATTGATGTGGAGGAATCGGCTCATAGTAGGGCCAATGGTGGGAGAGCGGACAGCAGGGCAGATGGGGTTCCTGATGGTGTTGATGGAGTGGCCGACGAGGATCCATCGTATCCAGACAAGCTTATTGTGGTATCCTACGAAGGCGTTCAAGACCCGCAGGACCCTCACAACGGGTTCTTTCTGCGCCAGCTTTTCTGCAGGATTATGATCTTAATGGTTGCGTTCACCGTCCTCTGGTCCTCTACTATCGACACCACCGGTCTGATCACTGTAAGACATATTTAAAGTTAGCTTCAGCCTCCGGGCTTTGGTGACGGGTATGTATGTATGTATCGAGGTGTCTCCAGGAGAACTGTCAGTTAACTATTGCTAGGTTTATTCTTGATTGGACTTGGCTTTGGCGGGCTTATCATGTCGTTGGGCGCAATGCTCTATACATCCCTTCTATAATAATCTGGTAATGACAATCTTTCTGCCTGTGCCGTATGCGCTGTATTGGTATGGGCATGTCGTGCGGAAGTGGAGTGGGTATTCTGTGCCTCCATAGTTCTCGGTTAGTATTTCATGAAATTGAAGCTCGAATACGAAAAGAAATCGGATTGATGATTCCTGAGAGAAGAAAATAAACTATGCACAAGCAGACTACTAGGTTTTTAAAGTGAGCTAGCTAAACGGGGATATCATATGCTGTCTTAATAGGATTCCTTTCATTCCATTCTGAGTGTATATACTCCCTCTCTATATCTCGTATCCAGATACCGTTTTCTTAGAATCGCGATGGATTGTGTGCCCGCACAGCGAGTTTATCCCTAACGGGTCGATATTAGCTTCTCTGTCTTGGAAGCATACAATCTCAACTCAACCCATCTCGCCCAACATGCCCGCCAGGTCTCCTCCCCGATCCTTCATCACCACCCGCTTAGCCTGTGGCTGAGACGGAGGTTGCCTGGGTGTTGCCCTTTTGTTTTTCGTCTTGCCTTTTGAATCCACAGAAGGCCGCGTGAGGACTGCAATTTGCTTGGCCTTGTATCGTGCCCGATACGCCACCCCATGTGGGTCACTATACAAATCATCGCTAAGTTGATATTCCAGTATAGGAACATCCAGTAGACCAGCAGGGGTGTCCGTTTTCTGCAGGCTGGCTTTATACATGTCTACCAGAGGGCGCAGGTTAGCCAGGGCCACGTCTTCTCCATGATCCCTCCACAGCCAGTCTAGCCTTTGAACCTCCCAGCCTTCGATGTTCACAGACCCTTGCTGCTTTTCTTTGCGTCGTTGGTGGATTTCTCGAGAGATATTTTCAGAGTCGTACACCACCACCTTCTGTAGCTGTGGTAATTCGAGTAGAGGGCGCAACGTAGAGGGCGGTAGTTCTTGGTGACCTCGAATCCGCAAAAAGCGGAGATGCTGCCATGCCCCCGAAGACTGCGCCAGCTCTATCCAGCCGCGCACGAGACCGACGGTTATCTCAGGCAAAACCCTCTTGTTTCCGGATTCATCGGATAGAGATCCTCTTTCATTGTTGATCTCCAGGGCGACCAGATTCTTGATGGAGGCAAGGTTTAGCAGGTCTGATGTCTGGCTGGCGCACATGGTTTCTATGGTGAGAATGGCTCTCCAGCAGTATGCATTGCTCTTAATCAGGTCGGTGTAGTCTGCCATCCTCTGTAGGGGACGACGTATGTGAAGACGGCACCCCGAGGAGACTTGGCAGAAGTGCTGCGGATATTTGGTTGCTAAGATTCTCCACATATGTGATGTCCGTTTGTTACTGCCAACAAAGAGCTTAGCAAGCAGATACAAAATAACGAGGCAGGAAAAACTCACCATTTACCAAGGGAATCCCATAAGTACTTGGCCAGCAGCCATGGGACGTGATCGAACATGTCTGGTTTCAGGAGCGACTGGTCTTGTAACGTGGCTCGCATGGCCGCATGCTTTAATGACCCGGCGCCTCGGTCATTGCTGGCTTCCCAGCCATAGGGCAGGTGTGGACTTTCGTGGAACCATACAGGGGCCTGAGATGGATCACCGGTATCAAAAGGGAGGGTGGAGATGAACAACATGCCTGGGTCAGGGCAGTCGTTCAATGAACTCGCGTGCCTGAACTCCATTCTAGGAGTACTTCCATGCCAAGACCAAAGGCAACATCAACACCTCAGGCAGGGAAGTGATGATGTCAGACAATTCCCTCGTTCTGATTGGACATTCTCAACCCCCGCGATCCGCATCACCTGATTGCCAGTCCTCAAGGATCGCCAACCATATTCATTCCTCGTTCGTCACTATTCATCCCTTCCAGTCATGGCCGAACGCCACCATCCCCGTGAAGGCTCCGACACCTCCCTCAACCATAGTGTGCCATCAAACCGTTCTAGCACTGACTCCCGCTCCCCCTCCGCGTCCACAAGGAGCCAACCAGTCCGCATGTCTGCGCCAAACCACCAGCACCGCCAGAGCTTGAGCGAGACGCTACGCGGACCGCCAGGCTCTCCGCGTGCGCGGCGCCAGCCCTCGTTGACACAGTCAGCCATTCAGAGCTTGATCGATAACCCCCCTCCCCCGAAAACGACCGACCCTGCGTTTCTGGACCGCGACTGGGGAGAGATCTCGATCGGCGAGCTCGTAAGGCCGGACGACCTCAAGTTCGTCGAGTTGGATACGGGGATTGAAGAGGCTACCAATGTATGTGCACTTTTGAGCATAAGCCTCCATTTCAAAGCTGATTTTTTGCATTTGATAGATATTGATTGATACCGGCGCACCGGTGTTGCTCATCCGCAAGACTCCACAAGATACCTCTGCTGTGGGCACATTCGACTATGCAGACCTCAACTCGTACTTGCTGTTGGCAGCAGGATTGACAGTCCCTGACGAGTCACACCGCTCCTCATACGAAGAATTGGCCAACAAGGCCCGCGAAGGGGTGAAGATCCCTCTTTCGGATGTCAAGTGCTTGGGCATGGAGAAGGAGCCAATGGTTACCCTTCCGGCCTCAGCGAATGTTATGAAAGCAGTCGAAACATTTGGAGGAGGCGTGCACCGGGTGGTGGTGACGAAGGAGTCCAACGACAACGAGGTGGTTGGCATTTTCAGTCAATTCCGGCTGGTCAAATTTTTGTGGGAGAATGGTCGCAGCTTTCCGATTATTGACCAATTATATCCGCAAGCTCTGCGGGATCTACGCATAGGGTCCCACGATGTGATTTCTATCAAGTGAGTGACATTTTCAGTGAAAGGGGTTCCAGGCTTATTCATTGCTGCAGTGGAGATAAACCTTTATGCGAGGCCCTTCAGACGATGAACAGTGAAGGGGTATCATCCATCGTGGTCGTCGACAACCACTTCAATGTGATTGGAAATATCTCTACTGTGGATGTCAAGGTAAGCTGTCAGGAATGAATCTTTTGACAAGTCGGTCTGACCATCAACCAGCTTCTGACGCGCTCATCATCACTGCCACTACTTCACAACACTTGCATACATTTCATTTCAGTCATTCTGTCTACACGGGGATTGGTCGAAGGCAAGGACTCATTCCCAGTCTTCCACGTAAATCAAGGCTCGACGCTGGCACATACAGTCGCGAAACTCGTTGCGACTCGATCACATCGGTAAGGCTGCTCTTTTCAAGTTGAAGAATTATACTGATTGTTTCGTAGGCTGTGGGTGACTGACCCATTGTCACCATCCTCGTCCGGCCCTCCAACTCCCTCTCATTCTGCAGCACACGTCCCTCTGGCTATGGGCCCAACAAGCCAGTCTCACGGTACATTGTCGCCTCCAGCATCCCCTCTTCCTCCCAGCATGAACCCCCCCACACAACCTCCAAACTATACGACCCCCCACCTGCCAAGCCCCCCGCAGCCCTTTACGAGTACGAATTCGCATTCTCCAATCCCGACCTCCATCCCCGCCTCGGCGTTGCCCGGCGCCTCTCTGTCTGGACGGCTGGTTGGCGTGGTCAGCCTGACAGACATTCTCAATCTGCACGCGCGAGCGAGTGGGCTCAGCCCCGCGGACCCTGCAGAGACTCGAAGCCGCCGCCGCCGCAGCAGTTCATCCAGCTTAACCATGCAACGCAGTGGCGATGTTGGTCGTGAAATGTTTAGCCGGGGTGGAATGTAAACGGCCCCCCACGCATTTATTATCCTCCCTCTTTTTTTGCTCTTGGTGTTTGTTGTGGAGTCATTTTCATCGTCATTACACGCGTCAAAACGGTTATATTCTTGCATCGGTCGCGTGATTACATTTGCCAGCGCATTCAGGTTGATAGCTCCTCAGTGGGTCGCGTCTCGCGTCAATTTCCTCAATATCTCTCCCACGAAACGCAATCAAAAGTAAATACTCTGGAATGTTTTGGTTCTCATTCGTTGTAGATAGCCGAGCCAGTCAGTCCGGCCCCCTCTCCGCCCCCGTTCAGCCACATATCTGCTCCGATCTGGTTGGATCTCCGATCCGACTCGATTTCTGACGTGTGCTCGGGACCTCTCCGAGTGCGCTCCCAAGAAGTCCCTCCGCGGATATCCACTCCGTCTGCTCCATAATTGTATAGTTCACCTGGAGCTCTCGATCTTGCTCCACCCAATCGACGCCGAATCACTGGCACATGTGGTCTATACTCATTTGACTCAAGTAATCACTCAGCCATTACCAAACGGACAGCAGGTACCGACTGGGCTACCGGGCCCGCTTCGATCCATTCATAAGATCCACTTTGAATCGCCGGAAGTGGAAACTCGTTCGTATTTTGCTGTCTTGCCGTGGCGGCTTGTCTCTCTGGGGTTGAGTTGATTCTTTCGACAGTCGCTAAACCTGGAGGAGGGATGGGACTGTCGATCTGTTCGCCAAGCTTGGGGGTGGATGCTGGCCATTCGCTGCCTCTATACTATACTTCAGCCATCGGTAGTCACTTGACATGGATAACTTTGAGTGACATGCTTAGACTGTAAAACCATTGGCTCCTACGATCTAACCCTTCTCCTTACCATATTCCATAACAGTATTACCATATACCCTATCAGAGCTGGGGGCACGTCCAGCTATCACACCATAACTGCCGTCCACGGAATGTACCTACTCCCACCTCCGATCCAGCCCAGCGCAAACCAAAAAAAGTGGGGACTCTTAAATCCATTAAATCCAGCTATCTCAAGTGTAGTGTGAAAAACGCATTTCCGCTGCTCAGCAGGTCAGGCAGACTGCCTCAGTTCCTGGGTTCGGGAGCTGCCCAGGCCGACACGGACAATTCCGTCCGAGGGAGGGGGGTTCCTGTCCTGCTGCATAGTAGAGAAGGTATAACTTATAACTCCGAAGAGTAGCTCGGAGTTATTCGAGCGGCAATTCCCACGTCCACTCACGGATCCAGACCGACCCTTATTGATAAGAAAGCTATCTGTCTGCCCTGTTTTCTTCATGTCTGGACAAACAGCCACCACATAACCAGATCGGACCAAAAGAGGCGAGAGGCGAATAACGACACTGTGCAATTACCCAATCAGTCCGCCGCAAGCAGTGCACGCGCACCCTATCGACCTCCGGGTTGAAAGCTGTGGGCCCATGGAACGCAGGTCCCAATGAGTGCAACCCGGCTGGCGCTGCAAGGGCACCAGGATGGTCCGTGCGGATCAACCACAGCTGCAACCTTAAAAACCCCGCAATCTTCTTCTGCCGAAGCTGGCCATCGTCTTGACTGAGTAGAGTGTAGTAGTAGTGAAGGAGGGAGTGCCTGGCTAGGGCTGCGAAAGTTCAGGATACACTTCACGCCGGCGTCGCGCGATTTTAGTGCACACCCGGGGAAGCCCATCCGAACGGTCGGGTTTCTATTCAGGGCTGCTCTACACATCTGAGTTTCTGAGCAGCGAGTAAGCCGTCAAACCAGGGGGCCCACCAACTACCCGCAAGAGCCGATCTGTCGTCATACCATACCATACCATACCCCTCAACTCTGTCACGCCGATGGCCACCGCAACCAAGAGCAGACGCAGAGGGGGAGAGACGAAGACTGGCTGGGTGCGGTCGGGCAAGAGTGGCTACGGGCTGGATTAGTCCAAGCCTGGAGGGGTTATAACCGAGGAAGGCCAGGAAATCAGAAAGCTATAGCTGTCGAGCTCTGGGTCGCCGGCGGCGGGCCACGGGTCGACATGGCCTTTGCAGAGGGGGCCAGGTGGGGGGAGGTAAGAGAGAAGAGGAAACGTGACGTTCAGGTTGCTGCTGTTTGCGGTATTCTACCAGGAGTGAAGCATGATTGGAAATGTAACAGGAGACGTAAGTCCAAGCGTGAATTTGATTTGATTTCGTATCGTTTCGTGTCGTGACGAACATGGTATAGGTAGGTGACAGTAAGTAGTACCTAGAGTGGGTGGTAGGTACACGAGATAAAAACAGCAACTCCAGGGGACATCAGGGAATAATAAAAGAATGACAGATAGGTATGATACAGGAGCAATATACACAGCAGAACTCCCCCAAAAAAGAATATACAGAATCGTAAATCAACAAGACACCGTAGCAAAGTCGTCCAGGGCGACAAATTCATCAAACCCAAACGGCTCCCGCTCCCCCAGGTGTGGGTGGGATGAATTGCCCAGGTCCAGCGCAAACTGGCTGAACTCGTTGAAGTCTGGATCTAGCTCCTCGTGCGAGACCATGATGCCATCGCCCTCCTGCTTGACAGGCTCCTGCGTCGCCACCGCCGTGGGAGACAGCGGCGTATTGGGCGTGGGACAGAAATCCGGTGTGGACTTGGTCTCTGCCGTGAAGGACTCGACCTTGGGCGAGCTGGCGCGCGAGCGAGCAGCAGCAATGTTTGTGCCCTGGGTCAGGAGGTGGAGGTTGCGGAAGTTGTTGTTGGGCTGGGACTTCCCACGCGAATGTCCGTGGGAGACCGATTCGGACACGACCATGGGCGGGGCGGACAGATGATGCTGCTGGGGTTGCTGCATAGGCAGTTCCGGCGCAGAGGCCAGTCGGTCTCTGAATTGCCGCATCTGGATTGCCTGTGCCGCGTCCGCGGGCATCTGGGCCTGTTGCATCATCTGCTGCTGCCACATCTGCACTGCTTGGTTGTCGGTGGGGGTCGGTCCCGGAGTGGGGATCTGTTGCTGCTGCTGTTGCTGCTGCGGCAGTGTCGGCCACGACGGTGGTACCTGACTGTTCCACGGCGTCTGTTGGCCCATGTATGCTGGGGTTGCCGCTGCACTGCTGCTGGCCATCATATTGGGATATGAGGCCTCAGAGCAGGCCATGTAAGACGACTCCGGGCTGGGGTCGAAGTTGCTGGCGGAGGGCGACAGCACGTAGCCATCGCCGGTCGAGAAGGGGGCCGAGTCCATGCCGTGCGGGAATGCCGTGGGCAGATTGGACAGGTCCAGGCTCAGCTTGCGGGAGCCGCTGTCAGTGGATGCTCGTGGCGCCAAGCTGGCTCGGCGACTGGCAATGGACGAGCCCTGAGATCCGGATCCATTCGCGCGAGCGGCGAACGCAGCGAGCAAATGGCGGTGGAATTGCTCTTCAATCTGCATGTTTTGGGCTTGCAGCATGCGGATGCGCTTCTCTTGATACCGCTCATCGACTTCTTCGTACATGGCCTCTTTCTCCACAATCTCCTTGGTGATGTGGAAGGCCTTGCCAGTGCGCTTCTTGTGCAGCATCGAGGCCCGGTTAGCGGACTCTAGCCGCGCATCCAGGCTACGATCTTTTCGCCGCGAAGCAGCAATGAAGGCTCTATCGATGGGGTCAGTGTCGGTCAACCTGGGAGATCTGATATATCACATACCTCTCCTGGTTCTCCTCCCGCGAGCGGGGGATGGGAGCGATATCTTGATCGAGATCCCGCGATGCCATCTTTTCAGATTATATTATGAAAAGGGTGGGCCAGGTGGGAGTGATGTGAAGCAAACTAGTATGGCCAATATATTCCGAGGAGGCCGGGGGGTGAGGGATGTTAAATAGAGCCAGACGTTTGGGGGGGTAGCCAAACGCATGTATGTTGGCGGGGCCCAATAGCTAGCTGTCAGGCCCTCCCAGCCCTCGTCAGAAAAGCTTGCAGGGAATCCATGGAACCCGGGCGATCATAGTTTGGGCCCCGAGAAAAGTCTCGTTCGGAGGTAAGCCATGGGTCTGGTAGTGGCTCCGCCGGTCCATCAGGGTCACGGCCAGTCCAGTCGATAGCGCCACGCCCTCCCCAAGCAAATTGGAGGTTGAACCAGTCAGCGCCGTCAATCTAGGCCCGGAATTCTTTCCCCGCTGATAGCAATGTGGGCGTTTACGGTGGGCAGCTCGAGGCGGTGGTGTTGAAGACAGCCGCTGCCATGTCAGGCTGCCGGCCGGGTCTAGACCTTAACAGCTTTCCCACAGTGGGGGGGACGATCGTGATGCTACTCCAGATTCCGATCGAACATGGCTGATCTTCTTCCTGAACCGTGCATGTCGTAGTGCACCCTGAACGTGCAGCCCAACACGAAGGAAAAATTAAAAGTCGCTCGTATTGGCCTCGGACAGTTCTGCCCCATGCAATTTAGCGCTCGAGGCATTCCGCCCGAAAGAGTAGTGCAAGTCACGTGAAAGTCCGGATACAGCAAGAATTACGAAATTTGATCACGCCGGAAATGGTTGGCTTTCAGAGCTTTCAGCGGATAAAACGGCCTCGGGTTGATTCGGCTGCCATATTTAATTTTTCATACTTTGCGGTGACTTGAGGTTCCGTAATTGGATAAATGCGTGGGTTGCGATATAGATCTAGCCTCCAATGAACCAGGCCACAGCCCAGGCTGGTAAACTGACGGTATACAGCCTACCGGGAGTAGATACGTCTCCTCAGAATATATTCACTTCTGCTCGCAAATTTGAGTGTAAAATTAGGTGTGTTCCTGCAGGACATCGTATGCACGGGCAATCTACCTGGTGGGTAGCTAGGGCAGTCGGGTGCGCACAATATTCGGAGAAACTTACCAACGGTAAATGTTCGGAAGACAAGGATGGCGCCCCAACCAAGACGAAAACTGCGAGCTTGTCCACAGAGTTTCCATACTAGTGGACGGCAATTTAGCCGCCGGGAGATCATCAGGGAAAGCCGAGGAGCTCGGCCCTACGGAGGACCGTGGCGTTTTGAAGCAGGCAGGTCTAGAAGACTGTCGGTAGATGTGAGGGGTCCTTGATAGAGCTTGACAGAAAAGCCACCGATCCCACTTATCTTATCAACGCCCCCACCGGCCGGCCGAGATCTAAACCCTGCAGGGCAGGTCGAGCATCACTCTCGCCACCCGCCATGCCTTGACTGGGCTCTTTCAGCTCTTGCGGTTGGGAGACGGAGACTCTTTTCTATTTGGCAATCTACAGGCTGGTGTGTGTCTGTCTGGATAGGTAATGGTAGAAGGTAGAGAGCAAGGAAGAAAAATAAAAATAAAATAAAATGGACACGGGTATACACAACTACATACTACCGACGACACTACGTACTTGCAAACGGTGTCCACGACAGCATTGTTTATTATCTTCAACAGGGATTCTAGCCCTGCACGGAATAACCTTCCGCGATCTGAGGGCTGGCTCCGATCCTGTACGAGATAAATCGAGCAACAGCCCGAACAGGAAATCCACCGGATCCACGGGTCGGTCATGGCCTCCATGGCTAACATTCCTCTTGGGGAAATCTACCAGTATTTGGTGCCAAGGGCGTCACCCGAGTCACCTGCCTCATTGCGTAGGGAAACTTAGTCAGGGCCTATTTTGCCTTTGGATCTGCTGCCCAGCAAGGGTGATCGACACCGGGTTCTACTGTGACGGGAAGATGTCGCTGGGGTAAATGTGGCGTGGTTCACGGCGACTCCGGGGAGGCTGCGCACTTGAAGAGGGGCTGTGGCTCGTATTCTGTCTTGTTCATCGGGGAGGAAATCTTGGCGCATTTCCATGGCGCTTTGTGCCCTGGGTGATAGCGGTTGAGTGTTGTCATTTGTTGCGTAGTAGAGTGAAAGGAGGAAGGTCCGAGTGAAGGGAGGAAGGTCCAAGCCAGCGACCAAGTGGATACGGAACAGAATCAATAGAAGGAAATACGTGGATGATTGAGGTGGCAATGGGAGAGAGAGAAAAGAGAAATCTTTATAGACAAATAACGGGCAGACGCTAAGATTTTCAAGGGTGAAACGGCGGGGAGAATGGGACATCGAGGGTTAGTGAAGGACGGATCCGCCAGAAACAGTCCTGCCACTTGAACCTGCCGAGGCGTGTCATAGCGAGTAAATGTCACAAGCAGAGAAGCATCTACGAAATACCCAGCGATGGCACCATTCCCTGTTCTTCGTGAGCCGAGGCTCCTACCTTGTACGACACCCGGAACCGAAGCTTCACCGAGTTTCCTTTCCCTGCATCGATACCATCCAGGAGCATATCCTGCTGCACACCATTCTGCTGCATAGCCGCGATGTCTCGGCCCGACTGCGGCCGCAGCTGTAGCGTGTATGACTAGAGACACAGTTAGACTAAACTCCATCAGAAGACACAAAAAATAGAACACTCACCTTCTCTACTGCAACTTGGAAATGCAGCTCGCTAATCGCTTGACTGGTCGTGTTGGAAAAGACAGCCGCGATCTGGATCTGACGTGGCTGTCCAGGCAGTCGTCGAACCGCAAAGTCGACGCGGAGTTGTGAGTTGAGAACCTGGACCTTGTTTGATGCGGGAAGCGCACTGCTTGGCGGTAGAGAGGATGCAAAATTCCACTCGTCATCTTCGGCCGCTGCCGCGGGCTGTTTGGCAGATTGCTGGTCCCCAACCAAGTCGAGCAGGGCGGAGGAGCCCGAAGCAGCGGGGGCCGCGGCGGCCGGTGCTGGGAAAGGGCTGGCTCCAGGCCGTGGGCTGGCAGAGATCAACGATGCAAATGGATCAGCCGCAGGTGGTGGAGTGGCCTGGGACGGAGGTTGGGGAGATGCACGGGGAGCAGGAGTGGACGATTGAGAGGTTGGTCGCGACGAGCCCATGCCTGCAAGGATATCGTAGTTAGGCTTGAACGCCGTCGGAGCCTGCTGGGGGGAGTCGCCGAGCTGGATGGGATCGATGGGATGTTCACTTGGAAAAAGGGTTAGTGACAATCTTCGACACAGACCAAGACAACTTACTGGATGGCCCTAGGGAGATTCCACCACCCGCCGCTGGAATCTGATCGTCCATCGAAAGGCCGAGGAGGTCGTTTTCTAACGAGCTACCGCCCTGGACTGCTTCCGCTGCATTTCCGTTCGAGCTGGGTTCAGGATCGAAATCGATCAGAGAGAGCTCATTGTTCGCATTCTTCGAGACCCCAGTCGTGGTACCCAGAGTGCCTTTGGGGATTTTTGATGCTGCATCCAAATCGCCCCTCTTGACCAGTTTGTACCGTTCGATAGTCCGGTGTATGCTGTCGTTGATCTCAAGGAGCTTGTGGACAGCCTCCGGGTCGTCCGATTCTTCCTCGCACATCTTTTGAATCTTGGGGTGCGCACTTTGTAAGGCATTCGCCAGCTCCTATTACCTGTCAGCGATGCCACATACGACTGTAAGTAGAACACTCCCACCTCGAAGACGTCGCCCTCGGGGATTCCCTCTCCGCTCTGCAGCATCTCCTCCAAAATCCTGGCCTTCTGTTGCACCTTGGACACCTCCTCCGCTGCCTTTGCTCGATAGTCGGTTTTGTGCCGGTTGTCGAAGCCCGCCATGACTTTCATCAGACGGTTTGCCTCCTGGAGGTCGGCGGGAGTGCCTCTCCGGATCAGCTCTTGGAGCTTGGCTGACTGTGCTTCCCGCTCTTCTTCCTCCATCTCCTCGGCCGAGCGTAGATTCTAGACAGGTCAGTGGTGGGACCGCACTAGCAGGTTCAAAGTGGTCCATACATCGCTCGGGTTCAGAACGGCAGCATCCTCCCGACGAACTTCCGGGAAAGCGTAGCCTTTATACAGCAAAAGCCGGTGCATATCCCTGATGAAGCCTAGGTCCTCCTTGTACCGCGACGTCTGGCAGATGGTCTGCCGCCATTCCTCGATCGACTCCAGGATGCGATGTTGCACCCTCGAGGGGCGCATGGGTGGCCGCTCGGGGAACCTCCGGACCAACTCATTTAGGAACTCTTTTGTGCCAATCTGGAGATGGAACGGGTATCCGCAGTTCTTGACGCAGATGTCGAGGAGCTAAAGGTGCCAGTTGTCAGCCTTGCCCCTCCCCGCTTGCCTTCGGAGAAAACGTACCGCTAACGCCAGTAATGCAACATTTTGGTTTCGGGAGTTGATGAGATGGACAATTTCGAACGCCGATTCTCGGGGCCTATCGAATGTGAATATGCGATTTTAGCGGGACAAATATGACAAGGTGCAGCTCACGCGTTGCTTTTCTTGGTGTTCACCAAGTCGGCGACCTCGAGGTTCAGGGCCAGATTAGGCTCGTAGTTCTGTGGATCACACGCATTGCCTATGAAAGGAACGAGGGAACATTCTTAGATTTGCCATTCCGGAGAGAAGCAGGCAACTCACGAATTGCACGCTGCAGCGGGGTCAGTCCTGGCTCAGCGAAAGGACCGAAGCGGTCCCTTGCCGCCATGCGTGCTGAAGTGGCCTCCAGGATGGCGACAGGAAAGGACAGACAACAAGGAAAATAAAAGAAAAGGCAAGGGAAAGAAAAGCGGCGCTGATAGTACAAGGGCAGATGTCGAGTGAACCAAAACGTGTCGAAAGGCTGCGAAGCTGAAGGCGGAGAGTGATGGAACTAGTCGCGCACGTGTGGCGCCCGCCGCATTTTCTGTTCTCAACACCTACTACGACCCATCATCATCACCATCCGCCATGGTCCGACACAAAAAAGACAACTTTGCGCGAGGAGGCAAGAAATTCTCCAATCCGCGTCCCAAAGTGCCCCGGGATGGTGAGCAGGAATCCTCGCGCCCAGTGTACAAGGCGGCCTGCTGGGACATGGGCCATTGTGACCCGAAGCGATGCTCTGGAAAGAAATTGATGAAGCTGGGTCTGATGCGAGAGCTTCATATTGGCCAGCGGTCTCCTGGCGTGGTCGTCTCGTACGTTGATTCCACATTGTGTCCTCCCTGTCGATGTATTCTAACAAGTCCGTGACCACCAGCCCGAATGCAAAACGAGTCATATCCCCCGCCGATCGCGAAATCATGGAACAGCATGGTGCAGCAGTGGTGGAATGCTCCTGGGTACGAGTCAAGGAAGTGCCATGGTCGCGGATTGGTGGGAAATGTGAACGACTGTGTATGTTCTTTGACGCCTGCGCATCAACAACAATGCTGACTCGCTGCAGTGCCCTATCTGATCGCTGCTAATACTGTCAACTACGGAAAACCATGGCGACTGAACTGTGTTGAGGCGTTGGCCGCCTGTTTCTACATCTGTGGTCACGCAGACTGGGCCAAAGACGTCTTGAAGAACTTCCGGTACGGCGAGGCTTTCCTCGATATCAATTCGGAACTCCTGAACCGCTACGCCGCCTGCGAAACAGAAGATGATGTCAAAAGGACGGAGGAGGAATGGCTCGCCAAGATCGAACGGGAATACGAGGACAGTCGTGTAGAGGGGGCTGATGATATGTGGACTGTCGGGAATACCAATCGCAGACCAGCGGAGAAAGACTCGGACGGAGAAGAGGATGGTAGCGAAGATGAAGGCAGTGGCGATAACGAAGATGAGGATGAGGATGAGGATGAGGATGATGCCGACAAGGATCCCTTTGCGATCTCCGACGATTCTGAGGACGAAGAACAGATGGCGGAGATTCGCCGCAAGATTCTTAGTTCCAAAGCATTCCAGAATCCGTCTCAGTCGGATAAACAACAGCCGGAAAAGATTGCGCCGCCTGAACCCTTGTACGTTGATTCGGATGCCGAATCTGGATCTGCAGGCAGTGAAGACGAGGCATTTGATAACATCATCAACGCGACCACGGTCACTGACCGCACCGGCATCAAAGCAATCCAGCAACGGAGGGGCAAAGAAACTGTATCTGCTTCATTTTCGCGGACCGAGATATCCGCGCCCAAGAGGTGGTGAGCGTCATTGGCAGACCCGGATGTTCGCACATCCGGAGACATTACCGGGCCGGCTTTTCTGTTGAAAATATAGTCAGGCATGCTTCCAACATTACAGTCCAGAATAGTTCAGCAGAGCACTCAACCACAAGAGCGAACGCCCAGCTGCCTTTCGACCCAGTTTTCTGTTTACAACAACGCTCACTGCGTCTTGGAGCGAACAATGCCAAAGCATGATCTTCACGTCCCTTGTGCCTGACAGCCCTGTCTCAACAACATCCTCCTGATATCCTTTGTGATATCGTCGACACCGTGGGCAATCTGTCGTCCAATGTCTCGGCGACGAATAACTCGATGGGTGTGGCAGAGGAGCGGAACAGATGTGGGTTGGGGTTGGTTTAAGTGGGCAGTGTCAGGGATGTATGGGCCGATGGTATCATGACCAATCGGAGCTGAGGCATGTCTAGAGACACCAGGGCGGGTTGAAAGGTGCTCTATGAAGTATTACCTGGACAAGGGATGTGCTTCGTCAATGCGGCCACTCGGTGACGACAGTCAAGGGTTTGATATTTTCCGAACCAACACCGTCTATATGGATAAAGCCACGAACCCAGAGCGTGTTTTCTACACTATTGAACTTTCCCCCTCGAATCCACCGGCCAAATCTCCTCAATGACACCCCCCCGATAAGCATAATAGAAGTCATGCAGATTGACCGTCGGATCAATATGACTCGGAATCATCTCCACGCGATCCCCAACGTTCAGATCCGGGGTCCCCTCCTCCCAACTCAGCGAACCATGCTCATCCCCCAGTACCCCATACGCATACCGGGAATCCTTGCACTCCGCCAACCCACTATCAGTAGTCAAGGACTTGAGTCCGCTGTCGATCGTCACGCACCGCGGGCCCTGCTTGCTGATCACAGTCGACAAGATGGTCAGACTGTTCGAGTAGAACGTGCCCACGGCATTCCGGTAGTCCGTGTCCATGAAGATGAACGATCCCGGCTGCAGCTCCGTCACGCCGGGCACGGTGGCGCAGAACTCGGCCGTGCCTGTACCTCCCGTCGTCACGACTTGGATGTCACATCCTTCTTTCCGCAGCGCCTCCGCCGTCTCGGTGAGGATTTTCATAGACGCCAGACACTGCGCCTTGCGGTCGTCGTAGTCATGCAGGTGCTGCAAATGGCCCTCGTACCCTTGCACACCAATCAGCCTGAGGTGCTTCAACCCGCTCACATGTCTCGCCAGGGCCACAGCCGGCGCACCAGGCTGAACGCCCGTGCGATGAAGTCCGACATCCAGATCAATCAGCACAGAAATCGGCTCCTCAATCCCCTCCCGCGCGAGCGCATCATTGATCGCGCTCGCCCCAACCTCGCTATCAACCACTGTCCTGATGCTGCGGTGCTTGCGAAACAGCTCTACCAGCCGCTTCACCTTCGCGGGACCCACGATCTCGCACGTAATCAGCAGGTCGTCAAACCCCGTCGCGGCAATGACTTCCGCCTCGCTCACTTTCGCCACGCAGACACCCTTTGCGCCTGCGGCATTCATCTTCCGCGCGAGGATCGCGCTCTTGGTTGTTTTGAGATGCGGGCGGATGTTCAGACCCGTTGGGAGGAGCTTGCCCATTAGTTTCTTGAGATTGGCGTCGACGAGATCGAGGTCTGCGATCATTGAGGGAGTATCGATGGTGTCGATTCTGTCACCGACTTTGGGGGGATCCATTTTGGGCGGCTGACGGTGGTGGTGGTGTTTGGGTGGTGGTTTGGAGGGGTTGGTGTTCTTGGGGTTTGGGCGTGAGATGCAGAGGCGGGTGGGATGTGGGCTTGTCTTATATTTTGACACGCAAGGGGGGTCTTGGTTGAGATCGACGGGTGCCCTAGACTGCTTGTAGATGTGTCTGTTCCGGATTCCATGGGTTGGAGGGTCTTGGGGGTGGATTCCCCCACGTCTAGAGTGGGATGCAATACAGTCCCCCCACACTAGAGGGAAGAATGCCGTCGTAGATCGAGAGGGTTAGCAGGGGGTGTAGATATAGTTGCACAGCATCAGATTTCTACAATATCGTACGATTGGTGGCAACAATCTCGACCAAGACCAACCAATCAACAAAAGAAACGGACTTTGTACAGGAAGATAGTCGATATTAATATACACTGGCCAGCAGTTGACACTCAACATGTATCCCTCTAACCTAATCGCAGGCGTCCAGGCACAGCCCGGCCACCAAACAGTCTGTTGACACCGCCTTCTTCGGTAGTGGTATTGTCGCCGGACATCCAGCGCGGGAGTCGGAGTTGATCTCTTTGCAGCCACTGGGGCGTGTTGGTAGTCTCAAAGGTATTACGAACGCGGTGGGCGAAGGACTGGAAGAAGTTCTCGTCCTCTTCTTCACCGTCAATAACCGTGGGAGCAGCGACCGTTCGTCGGGCCGGTTCGGACGACTCAGACTGGGGGACGCGCAGCCGCGACGAGGACGAGCCGCGAGAGCCTCCAGGGCTCAAGTCGGACGCCCAGGTCGAGCGGGTGCCGCGGGAGGAGACGGCTAGAGAGCCGAATCCATTCAGCTCGCGGTCGATCAGATCCCGCCCCTCGCGCCAGCCGCCCAGACCATACCCGGACGGGTTGTTCTCTACATCGTGGAGCTCTTCGTCTTCGGCGAGAGCGAACCCGAAGATGTTCTTGATGCGGCCATACCAGTTGAAGAATGTCCCGCACACAGGCAAGAGAATTAACATGGGGAAAATAAAGTCGAATCCTTTGCCGAGGCGCGTCAGGTTGATCAGTCTGCCGAGGAACTCGTAAAAGGTCGTTTTCGCGCGGAAGTCTTTCGGCAAGAAAGTTAAAAAGTTGTAGGCGATCGGGACGGTAAGCCGAGCCACCAGACTCGCATACCAGCATGCACTTTCGCCGTAGGTATTGCGGCGGACAAGGGCCCGGTTGCCCCAAACCTTGGCATCGTTGACACCCACCAAGGCCGCGGAGCACATGTACAACAGCCAGGCAGACGCAGTCACCTGCCCGCCAAAGCCAACGGGTTTCGGATCCTTCCAGTTCGGCACAATAGTCAAGCTGATGATGGATATTTGAGGTGCCACAGACTTGATCAGTTCAGACCAGATAATGCAGACAGATGCACCAGCGAAGACCGCCCCAAATACCAACCTGACCGTAGGAATGACGTTCGAGTAGACTTGGTACCGCATGTAGGGTGTTAGAAGCTTGACTCGGGGGAAGGACGACCGACGGCTCGAGGGACCGAAATCGAGTTTCTTGGAGGCAGCCGAGTTGATGATGGCCTGCAAGTCGGCCGCAGTCTGGACGAGGCGATCCCATTCATCCACAAACCGAGCCTTCATGTGTCGAGCACGCTGTAGACGGCGAGTCAAATCGGCCAGATAGCGCTCGGTAATGACCGAGGGAACCGTGCTGGCCGTGTCCGGGGACTCGAGAATCGGGGCCCGCACGTCCGATGCACCAGCGCCTTCCCCGAGTTCTTCGATCCACTCTTGGAAGTCGCGCGCAGTGCCCGTTTTGCGCTGCTGTAACTGGTTGACTTGCGATTCCAGGCTTTCCAACTCATTGACCGCGTCCATCAGGCGATCGTGCACCTTGGGCGCATGGGCCTGGATCCTCCGCAAACGACCGCTCACATTGGCGTTGCGGAAGAGATTGCGCGGGATAGACACCAAGCCGTGGCCCATGAGGTAGATGGCGAGCACGAGACCCCAGACGTATGCCAGTGCCATGACCAGACCTTTGATGGAGAGAAAATCGAACCCAACCTGGATCGAGACGTAAATCAGCCCCACCGTCGCACAGCAGAGGACGATCAATTGGTATCGGGCATTTTGTCGAAGGGAGTAGATGATACGGGCCCTGGGTTCGCGATAGCCCGAGTCGACGTACTCGCCGAGGAGCGGAAGGATCACCCTACGAAGAATTAGTGGCCGAGACATCACAGTAGAGAACAGCGGCATACTCACCAGGTCAGGACGAAGATTAGCCAATAGGCGATCCGCCAGCATACCAGAACCATGCGATCTGGCAGCCAGATCGCCTTGGGGCCAGAACCATCGCGCGAACTTGATGCAAGATCGATGGGGACAAGGAGCACGACGCTGGCGGGGAGGGCGAGCGCGAGAAATATGGGAAGGATAAGATAGGCGGGAGTAGCGCGCAGCGTTAAGAAGCGTCGCAGCAGCAGCAGTACCAGGGCGGAGATGGAGAAGAGGGCGAAGGTGAAGAAGATGTTGGAGCCCACCGAGATGGGCGAGACCGAGACGGAGAACATGGTGAGTGAGAGAGCGTCGGGGGGAAAGAGTGGCAAGGGTGGAGATAAATCAGTGTAGCATGGCGGAGCGACTAAACATTCACCGTGGTAGTGGTCAACGCGGGTGGTGACGATGGGAAGGACCGAGGCGACGAGGGTTTGACGAGGGAGAGGGAGTTGGGAAGAAGAACAAGGCTGACTACGAAATGGACGCCAGGCACCGGCTTAGTGACGGCGGGTGGGGACCGGCGCCGCATTCAGCTCCCTGTCGTTTGACCACTAACTAACTATAGGGACAAGTCCACCGTCCCTTAGTCCTACAAAACAAGCAGAACGATTTTCTCGTAGCTCATCATCATCCTCCGAATAATCGGGGATAGTGCCTGCACCCTGATCGCCCTCGCAGCTGGAGCCTCTCAAGGGGTATGACGACGCTTGTCTTGCTTTGTCTCTCTCTCTCGGTAGACTCATTTTCCGTGTAACGGCCAGAGCCTCGTGACTACGGCCATCATCCTCGTTTCCCCGTTTCTCTCTTGTCGAACTTACTGCCCCCAATAATCCCACCACCACCACCACCATCATCATGATTTAATCCCCCAACCGATTATTATTCCCCGGGGCCAGTGCATTCATTCGTCGACCGCTTTCCACCCCCCGACCCTCAGGCCTCTTCTTATCTGTGCACCCGCACTGAAACACCCGCATCTCGTGTTTCTCTCTTCCCCAGCCATCTCCCCTCGTCCTCGTTCTTCTGGCTTCTCTTTCTGCAGCAACCAGGTGCGACTTAGAAAGCTGCAGCATCCCTGTCACAGATCCCTATCCACCCTAGGACTCGCGCGCCCGGCCCTCTCATTCGCCGCACGCCACACCCTAGGCGTTGGCCAGCGACCTGCAGCCAATCGACTCTCGCTGCCCGAACGCCTTGCTTTCCCGCGCGGTCGCTCGTTGCTCCTCCACCCTCCTGTCCTCCGGTCAAGGCGATCCATCCCCACCCTCCCTGATCGACTCGAAATCACCACGGTCCACCCCGATACGCCCTTCCTTTCTCTTTTCTGTTTTTCTTCCCACGCCGATCTGCGACTTCCTTTCCTTCTCGATATCGTCGCGTCCTGACAACTTGGCGAATGCTGACCGACACCGAACCTCTTCGCGGATTGCTCCCTGATCCCCGTTAATGGGGCTCCTGCCATGAATCCCGCCAACTTCAATGCGGGCGGCGGCGTGCCGGCTGGCATGGTTAAACCAGGCCAGGTGCCGCCGCCGAAGCCTGAGAGCTCGCAGGTGATCATGAATCATGTCGCCCAGGCGCTGCACAACCAGGGAACGTGGACGGGTTGGAAGGCCGAAGTCCCGATCAAGGTCCGCGCGATGAACGTGTACCAGATGTGAGTTTGCCTTCGAGGAAAGCTTCCGCTTGTCCCTGACTCTTTCTAGGATTACCTCCCTCCGCCTGATCCAACCCCGTATCGACCTCCAGTCAGCGGCGCAGGCTGCACTGAGCTTCGAGCACAAGGCGTTCCAGAAAGCCGCTGAGAAGGTTGGTCATGATGACATCCCTTGTTGAGTGCTTTGCTAAGACAAAGGTACTAGGTGGACTACGATCACGAATGCACCGAAAAGCTCCTTCATATCAAAGACACTCGACAACGACAAGCCGCGGTCGCGTACCAAAGTGGGATGATGCCCCAAGGGGGAAATGTGCCCAACCAGAACCAGGGCAATTTCCAACAGCAGCAGATGAACCAGACCCTCCAAGCGTCTCCTATACCGGGCCAACAGAATTTGATGATGGGCATGAACAACATGAGCCAGCAGGCCGCGATGCAACAGCGGCAGCAACAACAGACCGCGATGATGCAGCAGCAACAGCGGGCGCAGCAGCGCCCAAATGGCGGCGTTCCACTCCCCGATGATCTCAACACGCTCTCGGCCCAAGAATTCGAGCACGTCTCTCGCATGGCAAATCAGATGCTGGCCAAGACCTCCCCGGAGGACATGGAGAAGATCAAGTTAAACCTCTCCAACATGACTCCGGAGCAGCGGCAGTATCTCGCTCGAAAGCAAATGGACCCAATGACCTATTTCTTCCGCTCCCAAGCCCTGAATCAACTGAGGAGACATCGCCGCCAACGGATGGAAATGGGCCGAGATCCTAATAATCCTAATAACCCTGCAATGATGGCTAACGATCCGATGATGAACCCTCAGCAGCGCCAAATGTTCCAGAACATGATGAACCTTCAGCGCAACTCGGCGTTCCCGGGAAACCAGGGTCAAAGTCAAGGGCAGGGTGTCGACTCGTTCATTGGCAATGTGGAGAATATACAGGGACAGCAGGCGGATGGTTTGCGCTCACAGGAAGCTGGTCAGCTCGTGGTGCCCGCTAGTTCGACTCAGATCAGTCAGGCACCCTTCCCGAACAATCAAAACATGTTTCCGCAACAGCAGCAGCAGCAGCAACAGCAGCAACAACAGCAGCAACAACAGCAACAACAGCAGCAACAACAGCAGCAACAGCAGCAACAGCAACAACAACAACAGCAACAACAGCAGCAGCAGCAGCAGCAGCAGCAAAACATGAACAATCCCCAGTTCCTTGCCCAGCAGCACCTGCAGGGTGGCGCCAATGTTCCCCAGGATCGAGCACAGTATCAGGCTCAGGCCCAGGCTCAGGCACGCGCCCAAGCTCAGAAAATGGCCATGTCGGGGCAGAATGCTCCCCAGGCACAGTCACAGCTCCCACAGCAAAGCCCTGTCATGCCGATGCTGAATCAACCTATGGCTCCGGGCCAGATCTCTCCAAGCGGTCAGATGCCCTCTCAAGCTCGACCTCCTTCTCGACCTCAACAACCGGGCATGCAGAATCGGCCGCAAATCCCCCCCGGTCTTCCGCCGCAGGTTCAGGAACAACTTTCTCAGATGTCAAATGAGCAACTGAATAATTTCTTGATGAACCAGCGACGTGTCGCGATGGCGAACAATATGGCTCGAGCGAATGCCGCTCAGCAGAACATGGGTCAACAGCCAGGCCAGGGCCAACCGATGATGAACGGCCAGATGGGTAACAATCCCAGAATGCAGGGATCCATGAATATGCCGCAGGGAATGAACCCGGCCCAGGGCCAGCAACTGTCGGCACAACAGAGACAGCAGCAGCAACGCCAGAGTGAGTTCTACAAGCTCCAGCTGCTACGTCAACACAACAATGGTGCGGAGATGAGCCCCGAACAGGCAAAGGATATGGATCGCACGTATTTTCCGCCATCCATTTTGAACAACACTCAAGCACCAGTTCCGAAACACATCAAGACTTGGGGACAATTGAAGCAATGGGTCGCTTCGAACCCACAGGCGGCCAACGGCGTGGATCTGCCCAAGCTGATGATGTTTCAGAAACTTCACCTCGCCCAGATTGTCAATGCTCGGACGAAAGACCCTAATGCTCAGGTACCAGCGAATGGTTTCCAGGGCCAACCTGGCCAGATGCCGAACGCTACGGGGTTCCCACCTGGTCAGCCACAACCGCCCGTTAATGTACCTCCGATGCGGCCAATTACCGCTCAAGAAATTCAGATGGCTCGCCAGAAATTGGGACCGCAAGCCGCCAGTTTTACCGATGCGCAGATCCGTGAATTACTGCACCGGAATCGCCAAAAGCATCTTATGCAGGCGGCGCAGGCCCGAGCTGCTCAACTTGATGGGAGTATGCCGCAGACTCAAGCTGTTCCGCAGCCCCCGATCTCCGCACCGCAAGCCACGCCGCAAACCAAACCACCGAATGTTCCGCCGCAGCCTCAACCGGCTCCTAGTGGCCCGCAAGTATCAAATGCGAAGGGCCAGGCGGCAACGACTAAGAAGGCAGCCGCGAAAACAAACGCGAAAAAGAGGGCTCATGCAGATGATACTGCCGACACAACCCCTCAACAGCCTCAGCCTGCGGCCGCCCCGCTTGCACAGCCGACTGGACCTCCCAAACCGAACATGCCTTTGACGCGTGAACAGCTTGCGGCTATGACCCCCCAGCAGCGGGCACAGGTTGAGGCCCATTTACGGAAACAGCAGAGTCAGGCACGCGGTCCAATTCCCAGCAGGGCGGCTGCGGAAGACGCTTGGAACAACAACTTGCCTCCGAAGGTTATGGAGGTCTACAACGAAATCTCGAAGAACGCACCGGCTACGCAGCCTATCGCTGTTTCTCCAGAACAGAAAGCTGCCATGGGCCAGCAGCTGCGTGATTCCTTGGACGTGCTGGGTAGATTGGATACTTTGGTGCAATGGTTTGCAAAGATGCCGGGCCAGGAGAAGAACGTCCGGAATCTGCTTGCCATGGTATGTTCTTTCCTCCTCGATAGTACATTATTTGACTAACTAGTTTTAGCGCATCCAACTCATGCGACAATTTAAACCCTCTCAGGACTGGGTGGTTAATGATCAGTTTACCGTCACTCCGGATTATGTGTCTGGTGCGGTCCTTTTCATTCGAAAACTGTTCCATGCGATGATTGCCCGCGTCAGCCAGCAGCAGAAAAACGCCTCCCAGGCTCCTGCCACCACTGCGCAAAATGCGCAAGCAAACATGCCTGCGTTAAACGCAAGTAACTTGCAGCAACTGCAGCAACAGGAAGAAGCTCTCCAGCGTGCTCGACGTGCCTCAAGCCAGTCGGGCGCTGTTGCGCCTGCGCCTTTTGGAGCCCCATCTCCCCAGGGAGTTCCTCATGCCTACGGACCGGGCGGACTCTCCCAGGAAAAGCTCAAGCTGCCCCCGCCCAAGAAGAGAAAGCAATCGCAGGGCGGTCCCAGTGCCTCACCTATTCAAAATGTCAGCGCGCCGCCGGCCGCCGGCGCGAAATACCAAAAGGCAGTTGCGGAGGCCAAGTCCACGGCCGCAGCCCTCGCGGGTGCTTTCAAGTGCAGTGTGCCGGAGTGTCAACACCACTTCCAGGGCTTCGCCACTCAGGCTGCTCTGGACAAGCATATTGAGGATATCCACTTGCCCGAGGTGGAGAATATTGACGACCCTCTTCAGTTTGCTCTCGACAGCTTCGCAATTGGCCTCGAGACCAAGACAGACATAGGCCAGCCGGGGACCACCGTTGGCCCTGCCGTAGCCACCAGCAAGGCTATGGCTTCTCCGGCGAAGCAGGGGATCGCTACTCCCGTGACTGTCAGCACTACACCACTTGCCCGCGTCGCGAGCCAAATGGGCGTAAAGCCCTCTCCTGCCGTCTCTGCCCAGCAGCTCACTCCGCGCCAGCCGCCTGGCAAGACTCTTGGTCCTTCCCCTGCGAAACCGTCGCCTAGCAAAGATGAGAAGAAAGAGCCCGAGGCCGAAGCCAAAGATCTGTGGGCGGATTCTGCCATTTCCCTGGAAACGCTCCACGATACTTTCTCCAATTTCCAGAGTACGACGCTACCTAGCCTGGGCTACGATCCGTTTGAGGAGTTCCTGAATGCAGAGATGTTCTCGAAGGACCAGGAAGAAGATACCCCAGACTCTTGGGATATCAACCTGGCGACTCTGACTCCTCCGGAAGGCGGCGAACCCAAGGAGCCGCTGATTCTAAGTGGTTTCGATGGGACATGGGACGACGCTGCTATCGAGGCGACCGCGGCGTGGATGGATATCCCGGAAGAGATCCAGAATAATGACGATGATGGGATCAAAGGTGTGCGGATTGATTGGGATCTTCTGGAACGGCAGAAGAAGGAGATGATGAATCTTGACAACAGCGGTATCACCATCCCCGCCATATAATGGTGATGCTCCTACGTGATGAACATGGGTTGGTGTCACGAATGATACCATTTGTTTTTTCCTGTTCTATTTTTTGCTTTGCTTTCTGTTCAGCGGGCTTTTTATTTGGTTTGATCCCGGCGTACATACGGACGGATGTTTCTCAGGAGCGATGCGTGTACATGTCCCACGGGACTGCTTTTTTTTTATGGTCTACTAGCTGTTTGTCTCCGTTTTGCCCCTGCGGATCGAGGACGAGCGATGGCGTTCTGGAAGGAAAAAAACACGCGGACAGCGATTTCGTTCTCGACCGCCTGGAGGTGTCCGACCAATCTAATGCCAGAGTTTTGATTTGTTTGTTATCCTTGTCCCTCAATGGAGGACAGACAGCCTTGGTAGTACGGGTTGTCGATGCCTCATAGATCGACCCACTGGAATGCGGGCAGATAGATGGGTCAGATGATGTTATCACGCCGATAAGCTTCTCGCTTTGTCCGCCTCCCGAACGGGCGCTCAATAGCTGGCCTTCCTCTCTCCTCTCCCTTCTTCTCTCCCTCCACATCTCCCTCCTTTCCCCTAGGAGCTGTATTCATCCATCTTTTCCTCTTCAGCCCGTCCGCCGGGGCCTATCTGTAACCATGGCGAATGGCGCCGTCATCCCCTTCTTGGTCACGATGATGCTCGTGACCGGGGTCTGCAACACCATTCTGAACAAATACCAGGTTTGCAGCCCTGCTTCTCGCTTTGATGATCAGCTTTGACGGAACGGTTGGTCTAGGATATGCAATGTGTCCGGAACTGCGACTCTTCCAATCCCAAAGAGTGGAAGCTGTTCGAGCAGCCAGTGATCCAGACGTAGGTGATCACCCGCCATCTCCGCATCGGACTATCCTGACACCAAGGGAATAAATAGAGTACAAATGTTCATTGGAGAAATGGGCTGCTGGCTCGTCCTAGGCCTATCCATCCTCTACAAACGATACGTCTCGCCGCGCTTCTCTCGCGAACCTTCCCCGCTCCTCGCGGGCGGATACCACCCCGTCAACGGCGATGACGAACACTTCGAAGATGAAGAGGAGGAGGACCAGGTCCTCGAAGGTCCCGGAGCTTCGAGGAATCCTATCAACAAACCCGCCACCGAAGATGACACCCGCATCCCCTTGCGCGGATCGAAGATCTTCCTCCTCGCCGCGCCAGCCTGCTGCGATATCGCCGGCACGACGCTCATGAACGTGGGCCTCCTCTTCGTAGCCGCTAGTATCTACCAAATGACACGCGGCGCACTAGTTCTCTTCGTGGGGCTGTTCAGCGTGCTCTTCCTCCGCCGCAGACTCTTCTTCTATCAATGGAGCGCGCTCTTCATCGTCGTGCTGGGCGTCGCGGTCGTTGGACTATCAGGTGCTCTCTTCGCCGGCCAGCCCGATCACGATATCCAGCAGGATGAAGATGGTGTTCTCACTATAACCGCCTCGCGGGTGCTGATGCATGCCCGCAATGCCGTCGACGCCCAGCTCGCCGTCCAGACCATCGTCGGCGTGCTCCTCATCGCCGCGGCCCAGATCTTCACGGCTTCGCAGTTCGTATCGGAGGAGTGGATCCTGGAGAAATATGCTATGGATCCCATTCAGGTCGTTGGTTGGGAAGGTATCTTCGGTTTCACGGTCACTGTCGTCGCGATGGTTATCCTGTATCTGGTCGTTGGACGGACAGAGGCCGGACAATACGGATACTTCGATATGCGAGAGGGCTGGCGCGAAGTCTTCAGCAACCGTGCCATTGCAGGGTCCAGCCTTCTTATCATGATCAGCATTGGGTATGTTCCTCCCTCCCTCCTTTCTTGGCCACACAGCATATTAATGAATCGCAGCGGCTTCAACTTCTTCGGCCTCTCTGTAACCCGCTCCGTGAGCGCCACATCGCGTAGCACAATCGACACTTGCCGCACGCTCTTCATCTGGCTCGTATCGCTAGGTCTAGGCTGGGAGACCTTCAAGTGGTTGCAGGTCGTCGGCTTCGCGCTACTCGTTTACGGCACGTTCTTGTTCAATGATATCGTGCGCCCGCCGCTCAGGGCGTGTTTGCCCCGTGCTAGGGAAAGCGAGGTCATTCTTCCTGCTGATGAGAGGTTTGATCATCTTGAGCCGCCGCCATCTTATTACTCCGAGGCGCGGACGGATTGATCGTTGCATGATCTAAGTCTGGGGTTTATATACGTATTTCATTGATTATTATTTTTTCGCTTTTTGGCCTTGATGAGGGCTATTGGACATGTCATGCATCACCCCTACCTAATAGACATAGAGGCCAAATGCAAGCTACAAAGCCCTTTCAACAAAACGGCACTGAAGAAAGTATAGCAACCAAAACCGCCACCACACCAAAAGCGTAGCTTCCTGCAGTCAATGCAGCTTGGAAACCTTGCCCAACTCGCACCATGCCACAATAAAGAAGACACACTTGCCTGCGCTAAGCGCTCTCATCTTGCTACCGAAGCATGTACAAGAAAGAAAAATAAAACCCTCCCTTCCCTTTTTGAGCCAAGAGAGAAAAAAGGAAAAACAAACCGAACGACGATAAGATAGGATCTAGAGTGGGTGGAATGTGTATGTGGGATTGCGGACGAAAAGGTATAGAAAGAGAGTTTGGGATAAATTAAAACAGGCAGAGGAGAACACATTTTGACCTCCTCATTTCTCTCTCCTCCTACTCTTGAAGTAAGTTTGTCGATAGGTGACTGATTTCTCAAGGCTCCGTCCAATCCACCTGGTCGGTGACGGGATTGCCACCGTCCTGAGCATATGTGACGCGGAGACGGAGACGGAGCTTGGGTGGGAGGGACTGGAGGCACACAAGTTAGCCAAAAAAACCATAGCTAGATAAAGAGGATAAGACTCACCCCGTTCAGAGCGCTAACTCGCAAAGACTGCGTGCCCTCATCGCCAGCTTCAAGCTCAGCCTTGCTGATACCGCTCAGCTGCAGTTTCTGGCTCTTTGGCACGGCAGCCTGCAGACCGACGCTGGAGAAGCTGTTGAAGTTGGAGTCGTTGCGGAAGCGGGCTAGGATCTGGGCATTGCCGCCAGCACTTCGTTGCACCTGCAAGGTGAGAACGAGGCCTTCCTTGTTGAAGGCAGTGGCTGCAGGCGTGGAGGCGCTAACAGTTACATCCGGAGAAGGTGCAGATGCGCCCATGCCACCGCCACCTCCCAATAAGTCCAGTCCAGAGGAGGCCGGCTGGGAGGGCGGGGGGATGTCGGACCATTGCCGAACATGTCCATGATGGCACTAGTGCTGGTCTTTTGCTGGCCAGTCGGAGGCGGCGAGGACATGCCGGAGTCGCCGCCGAGAATATCGGCTAACAAATCTGCGGTATTAGATCCGTTCGCGGTCGGGCTGGTGACGGGAGCTTCGGTGCCACCAACCAGGTCGAGGAGCAGATCGTGCTCAGCGGGCCGGGAGACCTTCTTCGACTTATCACGGAGGATTTTGCTCTGGCGTTTCTTGGTGGGTGCGCCCAGAACCCGTTGTTCCTCGCGAATCTCAGGCGGAGGCATCCGCTCAAGCACGCCGCGGCGGATTTGGTCATATCCGAACAGATTGGAGTATTCAACGGCACGCTGCTGGATCTCAACGCTCAAGTCGGAGGTCCGGCTAGACAGGAAACGGCGCAGGCGTTCAATCTGAGAGGAGTCTGACATGCGCACGGTGAGTTTCATGGATGCGGTAGTGATGTACTCGATGACAATCTGGGTTGCATAGGTGCTGTTGAGGATGTTGTGGAAGAGGTCGACAATATCGCTCTCCCTAACTTCTTTCACTAGTTCCTCCTCCTCGTACTGGCCGCCCTGCAGCAGACTGTCGGCATATTCGCCGATCGTCCATGCAGCCGCCAGAGTAAGACCGTCTTGCGAGATATCCTCCTTCAGCGACGAGTAAAGTTTCTGAACGGCGTAGGTTTGCAGTTCAGGGGTGGTCGCAATGAGACGGACGAACGACGACAGAATCTGTTCCTTCACGTAGTTCCCAGCCAGCTTGAGAACCCGCAGGATTGTGTCCAGGTGCCAACGCTTGTTTGGCGCGTACCGGTCGGCAGCAATTCCAATCTGTGTAGTCATCACCGGTTTGAATTCGTTGTCGGCCACCTCCAGGAAAGCCAGGAGCTCCCGCACCAGCACCCGCACGTTACCCTCGTTGATCAGCAGGAAGCTGAGATCGAGCGCGCGCCGGCGGATACTGATATCGGGATCCCGAAGACACTCTAGGATTGTGTTGCGATGTCTTTGCACCGCATTAGGTTCGATAGCCACAACCTTGTTCAGGGTGTTCAATGCCACATAGCGGATGTTGTTATCCTTGTTAGACAAGAACTTTCCGAGGATGTTGACACCAAGCACCCGCAGTCCCGAATCGGCCTCGATGTCCAAAATTGTAAGCACCGCCTCGTAGAGAATAGCATTTCCCACGTTCTTTGACGAGTCGGTGTTGGTGGCCACCTGGGCCAGAATGTCGTTGATCAACTCGCTGGTCGCCACATCGCCTCGGCCCAAGACGCGCAAAAACCCCAGAATCTTCACTTGCAGGAAAGGATCTGTGATTCCGGAAACATCGTGCTCGGGTGCATACCCGGACGTTGTGAGTCCCTTTAAGGCGCGGACCAGGTTTCCAGCGAGTGGACGGAACATCTCAATCACGCCTTCCGGACCTTCTTCCTCTTCTTCAGCCTCGCACAGGTCGATCGCGAAGGTCAACCCGCAAAGCAAGACGCCATGGTTTCGGTCACCCAGCAATGTCTTGGCCTTCTCCAGGAAATGCTCGTACAGATCCGGGACCTTGCGACATATCCGCATAGCACAAATGGCGGCTTTCCGACGAATGTAAGGGTTGGCTGTTGACATGAGGGTCTCGACTTGGGGGAACAGATCGCGGGACATCTCGATCGAAGCAATGTTGCCGAGGGCACAGAGTGCCAGGCCGACGATATACTGGTTAGAGTGGTTGAGATCACTGCCTTTGTTCAGTAAAGAGAAACGAGAGGGGTTCAAATGCAGCACATACTTTCCGAGAGAATTGGTCACTAGTGTCAAGACCTCCTGGTTCTCATCCAGCAGCAGCATGGTCCCCAGATATCCCAGCCGCTTGTCGGCGAACCGGTGTGAGGCGAGGAGTTTCAGACATTCGATTTGGCCGAAGTGGGTGCGCTCTCCGAGAGTGAACAGGTACAGCAATTTAGCGACATTGTTCCTCCTGCAAGGCGATTAGGGGTTTGTATCCAATGGGGAGTCCTCACTGCCACCTACCGGACACCGGAGTCGTGACTCTCTTCTCGAAACGACGCACGAATGGCGGCGCTCTCTTTCTGGATGACGGCTCGCTCGTCGGCGATGGTCTTTGCTGAACGCACATTCCGAATGAATTGCTTGACTAAGACCGTCCAACCGGGATCAGTAACGCGATCTCGACAGGGGAGGGGCCTTGGGGATCAGGGGATGGAGGGGCGGCGGGCAACAACTTACGGGAAGACATGACGGCCACGAGGACCCCCGCCGGCGGGGAGAGGAAAGGGAAGAGACAGGAGGGGGGAACGTCACGAGGAGTCCACGGCAGAGGTTCCAAAACAGAGAAGAGGGTGGCAGAGTGGCAGAGGTTCACACGGTCTGGACTTTGTGCTTTTGGTTTGTTTCGACCTGGCTTGATTGAGGCCGCGGGGCTAGGCTGGATTGGGTAATGGTCATGTGACTGGTGTTCGTGCCTGAGGCAGAGATGTATTTTGAGTAAATGTGAAGGAAGAGGTGTCCATGCATGGAAATATATTCAGTGCAGGAGGGTAGAAAAAAGATCCATGTCGTGGGTAGGTAGCATACACCGGAGCCTGAGCTAGGTGCATCAGCACTACCGGTAAGGCTGAATGACGTAGTGGCCTCGTTCCTCCCCAGCTTCGGATTCGACCCAAACAAACCACACAACTCATTCTTGACCCTGGTCCATGTGAGATATCCAATTCGCCCAGGATGTCTACTGCCATCTCCCACGAGGACTCGAACCTACGGCCACGAGCTGTTCCTCTGCAGTCCGATCCGAAGTCTGAGTCGACGCTCTCTCCTGCGGCCTGGAAGCTCCCCCTAGACAACAGGTACGTTCGAATATGGACCGCTCATGCAGCGCAATGGCTCATCATCTATGCAGTGGTCGGTCCACCCCCGTTCCTGAGGATGCGCCACCCTCTGCGCGGTCCATCTCCACAGCCAGGAAGCAGGTGCGGGCGCGCAACCGCCTGTTCTACACCATCGACTATGTGCCACGCGTATCCCACTTTGATCCGGAGAGCGACTACCACAATTTCAGGGGCTTCTTCACCCTCTTCTGGATTGGACTGGCTATTATGGTAGGGACGACGATGCTGCGCAACATCAAGGATACTGGATACCCACTGCGCGTGCGGGTGTGGAGCTTGTTGACGGCCAATCTGTACGAGATGGCGCTTAGCGACCTGGCAATGGTGGTGAGTTCGGGTCTAGTGATGCCACTTCACAAGCTGTATCAGTGTGGGCCACAGTGGCTACGGTGGTCTCGCGCGGGGATAGTGATTCAGAGTGTGGGCGAGGCACTGTGGATGTTTCTATGGCTCAAGTGAGTTCCCTCTCTTCCTATCTTTGTGCACACTCTCAACTGACTTACTTGGGTATTAGCTGGCCATTCATGCGCCATTGGACCTGGACTGCCCAGGTTTTCTTCACGCTGCACCTCCTGACCATCCTAATGAAGCTGCACTCCTATGCTTTCTACAATGGGCACCTGAGCGAAACCCAGCGCCGCTTGGCAGCTCTGGATAAACCAGGCGAGATCAAACCCGAATGCCCCATTGCAGTCCGATACCCGGAGACACCACGACGTCGGCCATCCATGAAAATGCAGCAGGACCATGAAGAAGGCCACCCGACCGAACCCCTCGACAAGTTGCGCGAGGATCTGGCCACCGAGCTGACTTCCCCACTGGGCAACATCTCCTACCCACAGAATCTCCATGTGGGAAACTATATCGACTTCCTCTTCTGTCCAACGCTGTGCTATGAGCTCGAGTACCCGCGTAATCCCGAGCGGCGCTGGCGAGAAATCGGATACAAGGCCCTAGCTGTGTTCGGATGTATCTTCCTGTTGACTCTGACCAGCGAAGAATTCATTCTCCCCGTCCTGAACGAGGCCCACGTCCAGCTGGACCTTTACGACAGCGTGGCAGACAAAGCACTCATCCTCGCAGAGTCCATCAGCATGCTCCTGTTCCCGTTTTTGCTGACTTTCCTGCTGGTGTTCCTGGTCATTTTCGAATACGTCCTCGGCGCATTCGCAGAAATGACCCGGTTTGCGGACCGGCATTTCTACTCAGACTGGTGGAACTCGTGTGACTGGTGTGTCTTCTCTTCCCCATGCCCCTACTCCTATCCTTGTCGGTATTCCCTAACTAAGTACCTTCTCCCTACCTATCAGGCTCGAATTCTCCCGAGAATGGAATGTCCCCGTGCACCACTTCCTCTTCCGGCACGTCTACTTCCCCTCGCGCTCGCACTTCTCCCAGCCCGTCGCCATGCTCATCACGTTCCTGGTCAGCTCTCTGGCCCACGAGCTGGTCATGAGCTGCATCACGAAGAAACTGCGCGGATACGGCTTCGGTGCTATGATGCTGCAGCTGCCTATCGTTGCCGTGCAGAAGTCCCGGTTCTTCCGGGGTCGGACGATTCTCAACGTGAGTATTCTTTTTGAATTTGCTCAATACTCATTGCTGATATCTCTGATACAGAATGTCTTTTTCTGGTGCTCCATGATTCTGGGCCTGTCTATGGTATGTTTCAGCGCTTTGGCGTTCAATTACCCTCGATGGAATGCTGACTCGTGCTTTAGATGTGTGCTTTCTATGTTCTGATCTAAGTACTCATGGCCAGTTGCCTGCTTGATCTCTAGCGTGAAATGTACAGTGTATATGTTACTTTCATGGGTGTGACTTACAATAACTACAATGTCTATGAAGAGAAGGAATAGAAGGGAAAAGAGGACATAGACCTGGGAAATGTTCATACAATACCCATGTGCTTTGTTCCAATATGTATTTAGCGATTGATTTTCTTTGTGAGTTTGCTTCCATGTACATAGCCTGCGCCGGTCTAAATGAATACACTCTCTACTCTATTCTACTCTCAATATCCAAAAAGAAATATGGTACCTACTGCTAATCCTCTTCATTCCGTTCAAATAACATACAAATAACTGAATCAAAAGCGCTATCAATCGTTTTAAGGAACGTAATTCGTTAATTGAGCCTCCCGAGAGATATCTAGAGCTCGGACATGATGATGAGTATGCGGGTGATGATGGTAGTGATGATTCCCAGGAAAAGACAGACAAGATAATTATCAAGGAAAGGACAAAAGAAAGATATCCGAATGCCAGGTGTGGTCTGTATTTCATTGGGATAATGATAGCGGGGAAAAGAACAAAAACCACCAACTAGCTCCCGAACACCAAAAAAAAATAAGAACACAGCCCTGGTTGCAAGCAGTCGAGCTCTCACGGAGAGATACCATCCGCAACCATTTTCAGGACTTTGGTTTGCCGGGGGCCGATCTGACAGTAATGAGAAACCATGGTTTGATGAAACGAGAGGGTTTCTGTGGCAGGCGTGGAGACTGTCGATGGACAAGCAAGTTATGTATTGACAAGAAGGAACGAAAAACCGCAAAAAAACAAAACAAAAAGAGAGCTGTCGTAAGTGAGGAAATCATGCGGTGGCCGACTGCCGTCTCCCCGGCGGAGGAGCACGGTGAGTGTCGTAATAGGCCTTGCGATTAGAGTAGAGGACATCATCGGGCCTAATCTCGCGAGCGTACTTGACATCCCGATCGTTCACGCGAGTTGTGTATTCGACATCACGAAAAGAAGGTCGTGCCGAAGACACGCGCTCAGCGCGTGGTTTCAGCGTTTCAATGCGAGGCGAGGACTCCGAGGTGTAGGAGTAAGTTGTGGTGCTGCGCTTGGGAGGAGGTCTGGGTGTCGAACGCTCTGTGCGCTCGGGCGAGATTGTGCGATGGTATTTGGGCTTGGAGGGCGGAAGATCCTCGGGCTCTGTCACGATCTTGTAGCGGGTTGAGGACTTGGGTGGCGTATTCGATCTTGCCGGCATCTCGGGCGTGCTGGGACTGGAGTACCCGGAGTCATACCGGTGCAGCTTGGAGGAGCGCGTTGGGATGGTTTCATGGGCCATGTTGTATAGCGTTGAAGAATCCTGACGACCGGACTTAGGTCGGGTGAAGGCGGTCGCCGTGGCGGACCGTGTCGAAAACAATGAAGGGCGAGGATTCTTCACGGTCGGAGATGTTGCGGCCGTGGGCATCTTAGGGGGAAACTTGGGGCGCGGAGAGGAGTCCAGATCATCGTATGACGGGTTGCGGGACGAGGAGCGGCGCCTGGGGGTGGACCGAGCCGAGCGCCGCGAAGCGGACGACTCTGGTTCCGCCGACTCGTAGCCACGGTAGCGCTGTGGGGACCGCGATACCCGCGGCCGACGACTACTACTGGGGATCTTCGATCGCTCAATGTAGTCCTCCGCCTGGGTGTGCAGGCTGCGGTGCTTGTCGGAATATTCATTTTCATCGTCGTAGTATCGCTCACGTCGACGCGAGGATTCCGCTGTCTGAGAATCCGCCGTACGAGACCGGCGATTGAGCCGGGGCAGGCGAACATACGTCGCACCGGCCGCAACACTGGAATCCGATGCATCGTCGTCCGACTCTCCATGCGCTGCCGCATGATCATACTTTTCCCACGCCTGGCGTCGCCGCTCCTTATCGCGATACTTAGCTCGCTCGGAATGCGTGGCCTTGGCGGTATCACGGGCCTGTTCCTTCGCGGTTCGGTAGCTGCTGACCGGCACGGTCCGGGACTTCCTCTTCTCCTCGCCGAACTTTGGCTTCGACCTCATCCCAAAATCATCGTACTTGCGTGACATGGGCCTCGGTTCATCTGTAAAGCGCATTTCGTCATCCAAAAACGCCTCCTGGGGCACTCGTTCCTCGTATATGCGTCCATCACGATACTCGCGCGAGGTACCCATGGACCCCATGGCACGTGGCGAAGAATAGTTCGTCGAGTCGGTCGTCCGTCTGCGTTCCAGGAGCTCCCGACGCAGGTCGGCCAATTTGGCTCGGTGGTCGTAGCGAGCTCGTCGCGTTTCATCGGACAACAACTCGTAGGCCTGCTGGACGCGCTGGAACTCATCCTGGGCGGCATTCCGTTGGGACTCGTCCTGAATCTTGTCGGGGTGGCATTTGAGGACTCGTTTGCGATGAGCAGCCCGGATCTCGGATATGGCAGCCTCCTTGGGCACGCCCAGGGTCGCATAGGGGTCTATATCGGGGGGAGAGGACATCACCGTGGTGTCTCAGGAGAGACTCACAGGTTGAGGGGGGAAGAAGCGGTGATGGGGAAGTGGAGTAGAGAGAGAGGCGGTGGAGGAGGGGGCTTGGTCGGTGTATTGTATGTGACGAGGCCACAAGCCAAAGGAACCCCGATGATGCATCCAGACTGTTCTGGAGGGCGAGAGAAGAGATTATGAAGGAGAGGAAGAATCCGAATAGCCGAGCAGCTTAGAGTGCAGGATCGGAAGAATGAGAGGCGAAAGAACGTGATAGAAAAACAGGGGGAAAAAGCGCTCAGCCACAACTGGGAGGCGAAAGTGGCTGACTCAGTGTATTACCGATACTGGAGGAGGAATGGGAGGGAGAGAGACATGAAATTGGTCGAGACTCGGGTGACATAAATAATACTCATAACCGGTAATAGGGAATCCTCATTCCTCGCCCTGAGCCGGAATGATTGCATGACGCCGAATGGTGGCCCTGGCCCCCATCCCATCCCCCTGTTGGGCGGCAAGGCCTTGCCTCACTTGTCCTGCGTTGCCTCGTTCGTTGGGTGATGCATACCCCAATCCTTACGGCCCCTCCCGACCGGTACCATGGATGGACATTGCAGACCCAACTGCCTCGCTCCGTAACAACTATCATTAACTCTCCCCCGCGACCCTGAATTCCACTGCTTCCCTGGAACAGGCTCACATCATGTCATCGAGGGGCGCCGCACATCAGCTGGACGCGGCTCCCCATCAGTTGACCGGATGTGATGGGGGATGCATTAATAGTGAGGGAGGGCGTGAGATGCCAACCACTGCCTCCGCTGGAAAACCAGACCTCCACTCGAGCCGGTCGCACGCCCGTCACACCGTCCGTGGGTTACATAAACACCCTTAAACATGATCTACGGCGGCCCCGCCGCTGGCGCAGGAGACCAGGGTTTGTTTCGGAATGCTGGGGATGTGTGGTTCTGTGCCACTCGCCTGCTCCCTCTGGCTGTACCGCACGAGATCCCCAGGTCGAGCCAGACCGGAAGAAAATGATCCCCTTCGCATGGCTTTCATGTAAGGGATACCCCAAAGCCCGGATGCTCCGTCCTCCACTCAGCGCCGGCGGCTAGGCGCTGGCTGAGACGTCTGAGGGGAACACCAGATGATAATGATGTGATGAATGATTTTGGCTTGCCGCTTTAAGCAGCGCTAGAACTTTCCAGGCGGGAGTCCAGCCAGCCCTTCGATCTGACTGGCTAGTGGGATCAAAGCGGCCAACCAGAAAACCCCTCGACGGGGCCAAAGCTCCCTCCGCAGGTCCCAGCCACGCTGCAGAGCATGCAATAGCATTGCATGGCACTCCCTCCCGGCGTGTCGATCCGAAGCAAGCAAGAGCGGTTGCCGGGGTCAGACATCCGGGGGATTTGCGTCGTGCCACACCGGAAGCTCCAGGTCGACCACGATGGGGGCGTTGAATCGTTTCCCGGCTCGATGCGGCCAGCTGGTCGCCATGATGGCCGCGTTGACAATGCATGTCTCCCTGCGGAGTGGCTGTCGGTCAAGCTCCATCCCTGCAGATGACCTGCCAGCGACCGAGCTTCCCTGATTCGTACTCCTACGCTCAAACCAAAACCCGTCGTTGTCGAGAGGCTCGTCCCGTTTCCCTGTCAAATCCACCAGATTCTGCTTTTTACTTTCTCGCGGCGGCAAGGCGCCCCGAATCACACGCTCCACGGCATCTGCTGCCACCCAGCGCACTCGCTCGTATCCTCGACCCTCATGCACATGGCCGCAAATGATTAGCGGCGGCCTGATGCGGCTCAAGCGCTCGCGAAGAGCATCGCACCCAACGTGTCGCCCTGTCGGTTTCGCATCGCAATGAGATCGGGGCGGCGTGTGCGTCACCACGATATCCGTGTCGCGTGGGATCTGGTCCCAAAGCACGCTGGCTTCACTCGATTCATACCCGAAGGCCCAATTTCCTTCGAACTGGGAATGAGGTGATCCGAATACTTTGAAGACCGTATGTGGTCCGTCCGGTCGAGTGAGCCGAACAATGGCCGATTGGTGCTGAAGAAAGATGACCGAAGAGCCCGTGATGAGCTCGATGCATCGCTGTGGATCTTCAGCCTTGGAGCCATGGAAACGTTGTCCATGCACGGCATAGAATGCCGGATCGAGAGTGACATCGTGATTGCCTGTTCGCTCGAAAACCTAGCCGATCAGAAGGAGAACGGCAGATGCATAGTCGGGCATCAAAGACAGAAACTGACCACCAACGACGATTTTGATCTCAAAGTCAGCTTGGGAGATCCACGCCATCGTCTTCCGCAGCTCCGCCATGCTGCCATTATTCGTCAGGTCGCCGGCGTGGATCAGGACATCGCCTGGGGGCATCTTGAAGCCCATCTCGGAGGGTGTGTAGCCGTGGGTGTCGGAGACGCAGACGAAGCGAGTCTTGCGGAGCATCTTGTGTTGTTGTAGTGAACCTAGACCTATACGCGGCCTGTGGTTGAAAGCGGCCACACCGCCTCCACCTGCCGCTGCTCCATTGTTATCCTTCGGATCCGCTTTTCTTCAATCGTCATACATATCCTGTCGTTCCAATTTCATCCGATCGATGGCTTGGCTTGAATTACGACCTGGAGCAGCGACGTCAAAGATACGAAATAGTGATCTCCATACGGCGACGGTCTTGCCAATCCCAAGTCGCCAGCGGGACGAGGACAATCCCCAACTCCGAAAGGAGAGCTATATGACTTTGTTTTCAAGAAAAGTGATATCACACGAGACGGAAACAAATATGTGTATGCCCTTGGGGATGTTATTTGTGCCAAGGAGGCAGCCCCGTCCATATTCCGTAGTTAGTTAGATCATTCGGTTTTTGTTGCTGACGTGCCAATCCTTCGATCTTTTTAACCAATAAAAAGATATTTTAGACCGAGAGGTCTGTGCTGAAGTATTAAACGAGGCCTCGGGCACGTTAGTGCAATTATTGTACTGACTACTGGCTGTCGTTAATGCGCCTCTCCTCGCTTGCCAGTAGAGCGCAGGCAGGGCTGAGCACTACCCGAGTTCTGTCTCCGGTGTTCAAAGAATCTTCATAGACCAGCTTTTAGCGAACCTTCCCTATCACTACGGTCTAGGAATTCACCGACTTATTGCATAACTTGGGCCTTCAGGATAGCAGGAACCTTGTCACTGGCAGAAATTTTACGAGCCATTCCTTATGTTTGTAGTAGAGGTATAAGGGTGTTGACAGGGGTATGTAATACATAACCCTTTCCCCCACTTTTTATTTACTTTTCCTTCCATCCTCACTTGGATATCCCAAACTTGCGGCTCTGAGTTAAAAGAACGAACCCCACCGAGATCGAGTTCTCCACTGTTTCCCCCTGTTTTCTCCGCCGTTCCTGTCCTATATTGTCACATCTAAGATGCGACTTGTCTGGAAATCTGACTGCTGTGACACGTGCCGGAATAGGAAGGTCAAGGTATATTGAAGCCTTCATTGGGGGATCACCATATATTAACATCTGCATTTAGTGTGACAGAGAATATCCGGTCTGTCGCAAATGCTCCAAGTCTAATCGTAGATGTGAGCGTCTTTATCAAAAGGGTCATTTGGTCCACGTTTCTCCAACAAACTCGGGGGTTTTGTCCACCGCATCGGAATGGGATATTTGGTCCCGGCGCCAGTTCCTCTGCAAGGTGGAAAACTTGCCAAGAATCCCATCACAAGGCTATCAATATCAAATGCAATTTCTTGCACACTTTTTGACAGAGTTTATGCCGACAAACTCGACTAGTCTTCAAACATTTTCTTACTTCCAAGATTTGCCCCAGCACCATGGCAGAAGCCCTTATATCGATATCGGCTCTGCGGCACTTAGCTTGGTCTATTTAGGTCAAACTTATGGCAAGAAGGATCTGCTACACTTGAGTCTGGAATATTATCAGTCGCTGCTTAAGGCGGTCCGTATAGGTATGGCTAAGCAACCCACGGAAGATGTCATCATTGGTACGGCAATTCTTAGCATGTATGAGGTATGCAATTCAAGATGCAGTATGAAGATGATATTCCGAATAACATATGATTAGGTTTACAACCCGCTTCAAACATTCTCCTGGGCGATCCATGTGCGCGCCGCATGTAACCTTATTGCGACCCGTGGACCAGAAACCCCCATTAACTTGGGTCTATTATGCTTAGTACGAACCCTGGGGGTAAGTGGTATCTTGTATCCTTTGGTGCTCCTGCTGGCTTACACTTTGGCAGTTCTATGAGAGTATGGGTCGTCGCAAAGCCACGTTTTCACTAAATCCTCGATGGAGCGAGATTGTCCCGAAGAATGAGCCATTCGAACAACTTCTGAGCATTGTCCTCTCTCTACCTCGGCTTGCGGAACTTTATGATGAAGTCGAGCAGACAGCCTCTGCAAAACATCTGTTCCTTAGCCAGTTCAGGGCCACATATTCCAAACTTCGGCAGTGGTACCTCGAACTTTTGTATAGTCAAAAGACTTGCACTTTCAAAATTAGAGCGGCGGAACCTGGCGAACGATTCTTTGTCGCAGACTATCCCGAGCTCATGGATACATTCCCAGAAGTCATTATATTTTCACGCCGATATATCTGCCAACTTCTTCTACTCTGCTGGACAGGCTTCTTTGTGTTGAATTACGAGGCTTCCAAATTTATGAGAACATTAAAGACCACGATCGAGTACACCCAAGATTCACGTCCATCATCGCCCGCCCAACATGAATGTCTATGCCTTGATCGCGAGTCTATGCTCACCGAGTGGTCTGGTTCTTTGGGCCAGGGGATGGACACGGAACTTTCCAAGGTCGAGGAGTGCACCGAAGTCTTTGCAGAGCGAATATGCCAGGCAATAGTCTACGCAGACATGTACACTCATGCTTCTGCAATGAAGCTGATCCTCATATGTCCGCTGTGGAATTTGCAGCAATATTTTATCAACAAGAAAGACCGTCAGCGGTCATTGTGGTGCCAGTGTGCTCTACAAAGCATCCCAGGCGGCATTGGTTCGGTTCTTTCGAAACTTTCGGTTCAACAGTATCAGGCAATTAGTGGCGGAGCTAGGTAGACTTGAACCCAGACCTACACCTCTACTATGCAGCTGCGTTGTCTATGGTTTGCTGAGATAATGCTAGTTGTGTTTTCAGGGTCTCTTCTAACAGGTATGAAGTCCGCATAATAATGGCTCTTGCATTCCCCTATAGGCATACTTTGGCTAGTGACGCGGGTAGAAAGCACTTGAGGGAAAGTACATCTAGAAATATTAATTGACATCAGAGTTCGGGATTTCGTGGCGTTGTGGTGGAGTAAAACAAGTTGGCCGTGAAAAGATGGTTCCGCGCGAGTACTAACTTTTGTGCTTTTTGTGCCAAAATTATACACCTCAGTGTTCAGGCAGCACTGATTATATAACCCACTCACGCCCTTCACCACGTGACCCACACAGCCCTTCAGGGCTTGCTGGTCACATGATTCCGCACAACACAATTCGCTTAGTCTCTTTCACTTCGATCCGTGTGTGGATTTCGACACCAACGACAACCACCGCCGACAACCATCCACCCCAAGGGACATTTCCTTTTCATACGGTGACAGAGCAGGATGTCGTCCTTCGAACCAGTGGTGCGTTCTATTCCTCCCTTCCCTGTTCCTCGTTGAACGTTTTGCACACGGCAGACATCGCTGACTCCAATCTTCAATCCAGGTCGTTATCGACGGCAAGGGACACCTCCTGGGTCGCCTGGCCAGCACTGTTGCCAAGCAGCTGCTCAACGGCCAGAAGATCGTCGTTGTGAGATGTGAGGCCCTCAACATCTCCGGCGAGTTCTTCCGCGCGAAGCGTACGTTTGCCCCCCTCGCCTCTCGAATTTTTTTTCTATTTCATGTTCGCACAAGAGGAGGACACTGTGACCAGCAGTTGGAGAAACAGGAACATAAACAAAATTGGGACATATGAAATACTGGGATGAATGACCCATGCTAACTCGAATTCGCACACAGTCAAGTACCACGCCTACCTTCGCAAGATGACTCGCTTCAACCCCACTCGTGGCGGTCCTTTCCACTTCCGCGCTCCCTCGCGCATCCTCTACAAGGCTGTCCGCGGCATGATCCCGCACAAGACTGCCCGCGGTGCCGCCGCCATGGAGCGCCTGAAGGTCTTCGAGGGTGTCCCTCCCCCCTACGACAAGAAGAAGCGTGTCGTCGTCCCCCAGGCTCTGCGTATCCTGAGACTGCGCCCCGGCCGCAAGTACTGCACCGTCGGTCGTCTCAGCCACGAGGTTGGCTGGAAGTACCAGGATGTTGTTGCTAGGTGGGTACTCCTACAGCATATACAGATGATGAAGAAATATGCTAACATGACTCTCATAGACTCGAGGAGCGGCGGAAGGTCAAGAGCAAGGCTTACTACGAGCGCAAGAAGGCCGCTCGTCGCAACCTTGCTCAGGCGGAGCAGAAGGCGAACGTGAACAGCAAGACCAAGACCCAGCTTGCTCAGTACGGCTACTAGATACCTTATTAGCGCGGAGCCGGGTGGTTGTGTGTTGTCTGATGGAATGGGATCGCAAACGGTTTATTTTTGTTTCCGCGAATCTTGAACGGCAAGCCGAGATCGACCTTTTTTGATCTATCCCCCGGTTTCTCCTGGAATAGACGAGACTGGGGCTCTTCGGGGTTTTCCAACAGCAGAAAAAACGGAGTTGCATGGGAAGAAAGGTTGTTCCAAATAGCTGGCCGGTTGACTCGCGCCGTGGCGGTTGAATCCAAAACATTCAAGAGTTCCAATGATCATATGTTATGACCGTTCATTTGGGGCGTAGTTGAGTCTGCGTATGTCACCGTAGGTCTGCCTAGCGCTATTCCCTAGGTCCACTACAGGTATCCGACCCTGTTCTACCCGGGCCCGCGGAACCTAGGTTATGACTAACTTCCCCGCATAACTACTGGAGGATTCTCCAACTCACCAGATGTAATCATATTCCCTTCTGCACCCCTTACATTCCTGTGTCCCAGTCCATCATGTCAGGCGTGAAGTCGCGTTTGTCGAGCCTCCTGGGCCACTTCTCCTCGGGCCCAGTCCCCTTTGACCATCGCTACAATCACCATACCCTATCGCCAACCTTCTTCCTTCCTCGAGCAGCGGAAATTGAACCCAATGTACGTGGAGACTCGAGAGAGATTGACCGCAATCTAACAGAGACACACGTTTCAGGCCGAGGCAATCTACCATGTGACAGCCAACAACAAAGTGCTGCGTCGGACATACCAAGAGACCGCCGACCGGGCGAGGGGTCTGGCGTACTACCTCAAGAAGCATGGCTTCAAGAGAGTGGGAATCCTGTGCCCCAATACGCCGGCATTCCTGGAATCAATCTTTGGCATTGCGGCGGCGGGTGCGGTGAATGTGGGTAAGATAATAGTCGTTGACATGTACGAGAATACCGAACTAAACTGGTGGTTTCTGTCTAGCGGTCAACTATCGCCTCAAGCCCGAAGATATCGCTTATATCTTCGACCACGGAGATGCCGACATGATCATCGTAGACGAAGAGTTCGTCCCTCTACTCGAAGCATATCGATCGGCGCATCCCAAAGTGCCTCTTCTTGTGGATACCGACACTGATGCAACGGAGGGAGAATTGAAGGGACCCTTTGACGATGCGGTTCTCGAAGGACTGCGGTATGACTTGGAGACCGGGGCAAAAGGCTGGAGCGCCCTGGAGAGTCAGGCAGCCGACGAAGATTCCACGATTGCGCTGGCATACACCAGTGGCACTACGGCGCGGCCCAAGGGTGTTGAATATACCCATCGAGGATGCTACTTGGCCGCGCTGGCTAATGTCGTCGAGTCCGGGCTGAACTATCACCGTGGACGAGCTCATTATCTATGGACTCTTCCTATGTTCCATGCCATGGGTTCGTGCTCTTGTTCCTTGTCCGCAACAGCTAGACTAACACGGATTCAGGATGGACCTTCCCCTGGTCGGTAACCGCAGTGCGCGGCACGCACTACTGCCTCCGGAAGATCGACTATCCGGAGATCTGGAGACTACTGAAAGAGGAGCATATCACCCACTTCAATGCAGCTCCCACAGTCAATACGCTGCTCTGCAATGCCAAAGAAGCGGAGCGACTGCCGGATCCCGTGCGTGTCACGGTGGCTGCTAGTCCACCCACTGCGCATCTGTTTGAGCAGATGACAGACCTCAACCTGCATCCGGTCCACGTCTACGGCATGACTGAAACATACGGCCCCATCACCAAGGGATATTACCTGCCGGAATGGGATCAGATCTCGCTCAAGGAGAAGTATCAAAAGATGGCGCGGCAGGGTCATGGCTTCATCACCAGTCTTCCCTGTCGAGTGATCAAGGCCGATGTCCCCGAAGGAACCATCACAGAGGTTCGCAAGGATGGCCAGGAGATTGGCGAGATTGTGTTCTTGGGCAATATCTGTGCTCGGGGATACTACAAAGACCCGGAGGCGACTCGCAAGTTGTTTGCGGGCGGAGTCTTGCACTCGGGCGACCTGGCCATCTGGCATGCCGACGGCGCGATCCAGATCCTCGATCGAGCCAAGGACATCATCATCAGCGGTATGTTTCTTGGACATATATTTCAAAGTACTGGCTGACAAATGGATGGCAGGTGGCGAAAACATCTCGTCGGTTGCCCTCGAGTCCATGCTGGTCACGCACCCCGATATTTTGGAAGCAGGCGTCGTCGCTGTCCCCGACTCCCACTGGGGCGAGCGACCCAAGGCCTTTGTGACGGTCAAGCCGGGCAAGCAGTTGCAGGGCCCGGAGGTGATCGAATGGGCGCGGAACGCCAGTGGCATCAGCAAGTTCATGATCCCGCGCGAAGTGGATGTGGTGGCGGAGCTGCCCAAGACGAGCACGGGCAAGATCCGCAAGAATATTCTACGCGAGTGGGTGAGGAAGCCGTAGTTAGTACAGTAGGATCGCTCTTGAAGGAGTAAATATAGATCGATATCGATAAGCGGCCTTGGCGCCCAACTCCGCCGTGAATCGGCCCCAATCATCCATTACATTAGTGAACTTGGACCATTCATTCGGTCTTTCCGTTCCTCGCCCGAACCTAATCCCTTCTTCTACACTGCCCTCGTGCGAGATCGACGTCCTTCTGTCAGTTGATATTCTCCAGTCCACCACCATTTCCATCCCTCCCGGTCTCTCCACGCGCCCGCCATCACGTTCTCGCCCTCGCGCCCTTCCTTCGTCATATTGTCCCCCTCCCCTCCGAAGACATCCCTGTTTTCCACCAGACCCCAGCCATCTGACGGTCCTCCAAATCCGGCCAGAGACTTCCCAGCAACAACTCCCAGGTCAAAAACTCTAGAGATTCCTCAAAAACCCACTACCCGTCAGTCGGTCAGCCTCCAGCGATCGCACCTCCAGCCAGCCAGCCAGCCACACGGCCGCCTACCCGATCGGTCACCCTCACATGCGCCTCATCGCCCATGCTGATAATATCCTCTATTGATATATGAAACTCGACCCTTCCAAAAGGTGCTAGGATTGGACCTCGAAACGCACATCAGCGGCGGTCGTGATGCCCCGCCCACGATCCTCAGCTCGGTTCTCGAGCGAAGGAGCCTCCGAAACCTCATCTTCGACCTCGCCCGAGCGCGCTGCCGACGATGACACCGACTTCTTCATGGCCCAGGCCAACGACTCGCAGTCGTCGGTCGGTGTGGCCAATTTCCGCGACCTCCACGTACTCCCCGAGCGGACAGTCGCCCTGCCCCCCATCGGCCGCCTCCCGCCCGAGCTGCTCATCGGCGTCTTCTCGAAACTGACGTCGCCTTCCGATATGCTAAACTGCATGCTCGTCTGCCGCAGCTGGGCGGCGAACTGTGTCGGCATCCTGTGGCACCGGCCATCCTGCAACAACTGGGATAATCTGAAAAGCGTGGCTTCCTCGGTAGCGAAGCCCGATAGTCTCTTCTTCTACGCGGACCTCATCAAGCGGCTGAATCTTTCGGCCTTGATGGAAGATGTCAGCGACGGCACCGTCGTCCCCTTCACCCAGTGCAAGCGCGTCGAGCGCTTGACTCTCACGAACTGTTCCAAACTCACGGACAAGGGTGTGTCGGATCTGTTGGACGGGAATCGACATTTACAGGCTTTGGATGTTTCGGATTTACGGTCTCTGACGGATCACACTATGTACGCGGTGTCAAGGAACTGTCCTCGACTACAGGGCCTGAATATCACCGGCTGTGCCCATGTCACGGACGACTCGTTGCTTGTCGTGTCGCAGAACTGTCGCCAGATTAAACGGGTAAGTCGACAGCTCAACGAATACGAAAACCAGTGCTAACGTTTGCAGTTGAAACTCAACGGGATTTCCCATGTCACTGATCGGTCGATCATGTCCTTTGCGGAGAACTGCCCGGCTCTTCTGGAGATTGACTTGCATGAATGTAGGCTGGTCACTGGCCCATCGGTCACGCTTCTCATGACGACGCTCCGGAACCTACGAGAACTTCGATTGGCACATTGTTCGGAGATCAACGACTCGGCATTTTTGAGCCTTCCGCGACATCTGATATTCGACAGTCTGCGCATCCTCGACCTGACCGCGTGCGAGAATGTCAAAGACGATGCGATAGAAAGAATTGTCGGTGCCGCTCCACGCCTGCGAAATCTGGTGTTAGCCAAGTGTCGATTTATCACGGACCGCTCGGTGCTGGCCATTTGCAAGCTGGGCAAGAATCTGCATTATGTGCACCTGGGCCACTGTTCTAACATTACAGACTCGGCGGTTATACATCTGATCAAGTCGTGCAATCGCATTCGCTATATCGACCTGGCTTGCTGCAACCGCCTGACCGACACCAGTGTCCAGCAATTGGCGACCTTGCCCAAATTAAGACGAATTGGTCTGGTCAAATGCCAGTCCATCACCAATAAAAGTATCGTCGCTCTGGCACGGCCCAAGTCAAACTATCCAGTGACCAGCAGTCTGGAGCGTGTGCATCTCAGCTACTGCACACAATTGAACGAAGAGGTTGGTCTATTTTTTTTCTCCTGTGTCCATTCCACTACTGACTCTTGACCAGGGCATCTTCACCTTACTCAACCACTGCCCACGACTCACCCACCTGAGCCTGACAGGGATAAATGCCTTCCTGCGACCGGATCTCACCGCGTTCTGTCGAGATGCCCCGCCCGAGTTCACGCAGCAACAACGCGACGTATTCTGCGTTTTCAGCGGCGAGGGCGTCAGCCGGCTCCGCAACCATCTCAACCACCTCAGCCACATGCGGCAACAAGAAACCAGCGAAGCAACCATGTACGACGACGATGAAGAGCTGGATGAAGACGAAGGCCAGATGACGGGCCTGATGCACGCGACGGTCATCAACGATGACGATGGATATATTGATGTCCCGCCTCCTTCCCAAGACTGATAGATACCCTTTACGATCGTTCGTTTCGCCTGCTGCGCTTCTTGCATCACCGCGCAGGCTGTGTCATATTTTGTTCTACCCCCCCGGTATCAGCGAAGATTTACATCCCCCCTTTCCCCGTTCCTCCGGTGTCTTGTGTTCGTTATTCTGGGAACTGCATTGATTGTGCGCTAGCGGTTTACGGACTTCTTTTTTGGTCTGTTTTTGGTTACGCCGTGTTGGCGAGTGATGGGAATTACGTGGCATTTATGCGAGCAAGCATGCAACGACTTATTATTACTGTTTACCAACGTACAGTCTGTCAAGTCTGGAGAGAGTGTAGATTTCCAAAGTAGTAAGGCACTTAAAGTAGAATGCTCATGTAAGCAAGAACAGCTTCCCCCGCACGGCATCCCGCTCTCTCCAACAACTTCCTTCAACTCTTCGCTACACATGATGGCGTCTTCGCGGGCCAACCCTCTGGCATTTACGCCATGGCCAGTCACCATAATTGTCACGGCCGTGTACCTTGCCCTGGTCATCCCGTTGCTGGTGATTCACCACCAAGTCCCCGCCAGTCCCAGCACGTCACCGAAAGGCCTGAACCTCACCGAAGCGTGGAGCGACCTCCAGACTCTGACGGGAGGTTTTCATCCGTACAACTCACACCGAAACGACGAGGTTCATGCATGGTTATTACAGCGCATCGACGAGATCAAACAGTCCTCACTGGCTGCGGAGGATGACGACAAGCCGGATGTGTTTGTCTTTGATGATCTGCTCTCCAACCTGACTTCTGCCGACCGCGAGACGGGTGTTTACTTTGAGGGCACTAACATCCTGGTCTATATTCGGGGTTGGGAGGACAGAAAGGAAAATTGGTGGGAGGTTCCTGGCGGACTGCCTGCTGGTAAGGGCGGCGTGCTGGTCAACGCACACTATGACAGCGTATCGACCGGGTTCGGTGCAACTGATGACGGTATGGGCGTTGTAACCTGTCTACAGTTGATTAAATACTTCACCACACCGGGCCATGCACCGCGGCGCGGACTGGTAGTCCTCTTCAACAATGGCGAGGAAGACTATCTGAATGGTGCGAGGGTGTACAGCCAGCATCCGATGGCCAACTTTGCGCACACATTCCTCAATCTGGAGGGCGCGGGAGCAGGCGGAAGAGCAACTCTCTTCCGTGCCTCAGACACTGAAGTCGCTCAGTCATATGCGAAATCGAAATACCCGTTCGGGTCGGTGTTGAGCTCCAACGGGTTTGAAACGGGCCTTGTGCGCAGTCAGACGGACTACGTTATTTTTGAGGGAATATTGGGTCTTCGTGGGCTGGATGTTGCTTTTATGGAGCCCAGAGCGAGGTATCATACCGACCAAGATGATGCAAGACATGCCAGCAAGAATTCCCTCTGGCATATGCTCTCGGCCGCGGTGGCATCCACCAATGACCTTGTCTCTGACTCGAGCGATCGTTTTGATAGCCGTCGTCGGGATGACGGGAAAGTGCCCAGTGGCTCCGGTACTCCGGCCGTGTGGTTCGATGTGTTTGGAAGCGGCTTCGCTGTCTTCCGCCTGCATACTCTATTTGCATTGTCGGTCACCCTACTTGTCGTTACGCCGCTGGTCTTGCTGGCCACCAGCATCGCGCTTGTCCGCGCGGATAAGATGTACCTGTTCCGCTCGTCGGTTTACCAAGAAACCAGCGATGAATACGTCTCGCTACGAGGACTGCGGGGATTTTTCCGGTTCCCGTTCCTGATTGTCATCCCCACGGCCGTGACCGTCGGACTGGGCTACCTGGTCACCAAAGTCAACCCACACATCGTGCATAGCAGTCAATACGCCGTGTGGGGCATGATGGTTTCTGCTTGGATCTTCCTAGCCTGGTTCATCTCACGGGTGGCTGATTTTGCTCGGCCCTCGGCCTTCCACCGGGTCTACACCTGGACATGGATGTTTGTCCTTTCATGGGTCATGCTGGTTGCTGCCACCGTGTTTGCGAATGAAGACGGGCTGGCCGGTGGCTATTTTGTGTTCTTCTGCTTTGCGGGAACCTTCTTGGCTACATGGGTGTCGTATCTGGAGCTCTTTTCTCTGCCGCGCAAGTCTGCGTATGCGGATCAGTTCGCTGCCCCGTCCTCGCGACGCCCCAGCAGTCATGGCAGTCGACTGGGTACTACGACTTCGAACGACGACCACGAGGAGAACGATGAGGAAGAACCCACCGAATCCACCTCGCTGCTGCGTGGTCGGCATCGCACCACGTTTGCCAACTACGTCAACGTCTCGGGAGGAGAGCCTACTGAAACAGACGAAGAAGAAAAGGACCCGAACGTGTACGGACGGGAACAAGCATGGAGTGCCTCCATGCCGCGATGGACCTGGCTCGTGCAGCTCCTTCTTACTGTTCCGATAACTCTCATCCTGGCCGGGCCACTGGCTCTCCTCCTGACCAGCGCCCTACATCAAACAGGTCAGGATGGCAGCTCGCCTCTTTTCGTGTATGTTGCCATCGCAGCGTTTACGGCGCTCCTCTTCTCACCACTGCTGCCATTTATCCATCGCTACACATACCACATCCCGATCGTGCTGCTGCTCGTCTTCGCCGGCACCCTGGTCTACAACCTCGTCGCCTTCCCCTTCTCCGACTCCAACCGCGTGAAACTCTACTTCGCGCAAGAAGTCAACCTCGACAATACCTCCGCGTCACTCGTCTCCCTGAATGGGGTCACCCCCTTCGTCGAGGACGTCGTCAGCACTCTCCCCAGCGCGACCGGCCACCTTGAATCCTGCGACTTGGTCACAGACCGCGTGCAGTGCTTTTGGCACGGGCTCGCACCCAACGTGGTCCCAAATCCCGAAAAAGACTGGGTCTCTTTCAACATCACCACTCCAGACCCCGCGACAAACCCGACCCACGTCCGCTTCAACATAACGGGCCAGAACACGCGCGCATGCAGGATAACAATGGACGAGCCCTCCATCTCAAACTTCAGGGTCGCCGGCTCCTCAGAGCCAGACGACCGCTTCCTCTCCCCTTCTGCGGACGGGCTGCGTGAAATCCGCCTGTGGAGTCGCGAGTGGGATCATACCTGGACGGTGGATGTGCAGTTTGCTAGTGGAGACAAAAAAGGGAAATTGTCTGGAAGGGTGTCTTGTCTTTGGAGCGATAACAATCGCATCGGCACGATTCCGGCGCTCGATGAGGTCAGGCAGTTTAGTCCTGCTTGGGTGGCGGTGTCGAAGTTGTCCGATGGGTTGGTGGAGGGATACCGTGAGTTTGAGATTGAGGGCAAATGAAAACTGAAGGGGTCTCTTTTATGTTCATTTCATCGTTGTGTTTAGTTCTGGAGTAAGGAGGTCATTGTACTTCGTTTTCTTGTTTGTTTATTGATCATACCCTTTACCGATCCGCTATGCACGCTATCTATGCCTTATTTCGGTGATTATGAGGGGGTTCATATGGTGTACCTAGTATCTAGTAATGAAGAAGGCCGAGTACGAGAAGTATCCTTTCAGGGCATACCAAGGAAGAGTACATAGTTTTAATTCGAGGCCACCTGGGCAGCTAGATACTCAACGCACAGTAGGTCAACGTTGTCAATCAACATCCACCACTATGTGCCATCTCAATGGGATCATCACAGCAGGTACCTAGCCTCCTCACAAATACGTACAATGTGCACGTCGTTCATGATTTATACTTCTCGTTCCGGGTGACAGCCAAGAAGGAAAGAGACCATAGCTGTCTGATGTCGGATTCTGGAGCTATAGTCAGCGAAAACATGTCCAACCAACCCAAATCAGATAGAGAGGATATAGCACGTCATTGCTTATAGGAAGGAGAAATAGAAAGAGAAAAGGAATAAAAACATACCGGTCTGAGAACCTGCGCCAGGCGGCGGCGGCATAACCCCAAGGGGCGTGACGTCGAACTCTCCATTGCGGTAAACCCACGACCACACTTCGGTCGAGAGCTGCTGGGAATTGGCCTCGATCGAGTCCCAGAGGGTATTATACGCGGTCTTGACATTGTCAAGAACCGAGACATCATGACAGAACTGCGGCACGGATGTCTTCGTCTTCTGATCACATCTCGCCATCTGCAACTCCAACCCCTTCCCCATCATGGCAAGCGGCCACGACCAAACAACCGTACCGTGATACGCGCCCGTGGTCCAGTTCTGGGCGTAGACATCCTCACTTCCGAAGGCCGGGTTGGCGACCACCATGCCGGCGTCGGTCATCAGGCCCGCGGGAAAAGTGCGGCGGATGTTAGAGGCGGTTTGGTTGAGGAAGGATGTCAGCTGGGCTTCGTTAGTAGTGTTGAGCAGGAAGTGGCGGAAGCAGTCGTCTGTGTTCATCACTTGGACTTGGGAGAGGGAGTCGTAGCCGTCGAGGGAGAGGGCGTGGAAGATTACGTCCGAGTCGATGGTTTGCGATGTGTTGGTTGGGACGGTGAAGGGGGCCCGTGTTTGGTAGGTGTCGATGCGGGATTGGGCTTCTTTTTGTGGGATTGTGACCTGTTCATCAATTGATTAGTATAAAGGATATCAGTAGGGGAAGTATTTAGGAGGGTGGGTGTACCTCGAAGAATTGCAGCGTCGAGTCCTCCCACACTTTAGCATTCTTGTCTGCTTCCGTTGCCCACTGCTTCTCATGCGGATACACTCCGCTGCGAGCGAGAGCGGCGACAGAGCGAAGGGCCGCGGGCGCAAGAGCCGTATTGACGTCGTAAGGGATACGTCCACCTCCAATACCTGCGAGATTATCTGTTAGTGCCTATACGAAAGCAAGACGTAAAGATAGACACACCGTATGTGCTATCCCGCCACTGGCCAACAATCTGGCCCTCCTTTAGATGAATCAGGTTATCCTTGGTCTGTTTTTTGGCAAACGGGCCGGTTAGGCGCATGATGCGCTCAGCGTTGATGAGGGCCAGGTCACCCCAGGTTAGGTTCCGGTTGGCTGCGTTGACGGAGCCGGCCTGAGTGCTGGGGGAGGGAGGGGTCTGTCAAAAAATGCTCTTTTGGGTATAAGTGAGGGATGACATACTTGAAAAATGCGGTGGCTCTGCTCTTTCCGATGGGGTTCTGCAGGAAGTACTTCTGCATCAACACGGGGAGGTAGTAGTCCGAGTCAATCTGACTGCTAGTTAGTTCCAGAAGAAAACAAACAGTCTTCTGCACTTGCTGGTTCGTACCATCTTGTAATCGCAGCTCATGGCATTGCTGTAAATGCCCTCCTGCTCATTGGTCCAGGTAGCATAGTCCCTAGAGACGTCAGTTTTCCATCAATCCCTTTTCCCAAAGAGCAAGAAGCAAAAACTCACCCAATAGTCTCCTCATGACAAACACTCCCATCCGTCCGATTCACCCTCTCCAGGACAGCCCCAATAACCGCCTCCATAGCACTACCCTGTCCACTGCTGAGGACCGGCTCCAAAAGCAACGCCGAGATCATCGAGTCGCGCCCGAAATACGTCAGGAAGCGCCACGCACCCGCGAGGAGTTTCTCCGAGTACGACAGGAACGACAGCGCAGCCGTCTGGCCGGGCATTTGGGTGATCAGATCCGCAGATTCGGAGTTCAGCACAGAGGCGGGCTCGAGCTGAGTCATTTGGGGATAGCTCATCGCCGCGGAGAAGAGGTAGTCGCCCTGCTCGAAGTGGACGGTGCGGTTGACAACCGTTGCCTTGCCGGTGCTGTTGCTGCCCCAGGGCTGGAAGGTGAGCGTTGTGGAGGTGACATTGTCCAGCCACACTCTATTCAATTGTACTCCGTTGCCATTGGTCGTGAATGTGATGGCATCCTGGATCTCCGGGTAGAGGATACTGGGTCCCTCGGTGAAATCACGAATCGTGCGGATACTACCCAGGATGGGAATCGTGAGAATAGCAGAGGAGTTGAAGCGCAGGACACTCTTCACACCAACGCTGGGGTTTGCACTCCCATTATTGGCGCTAGAATAGACCGGCGCCAGGGGATTTCCGACAGTGGAATTGACCAGCGCAATGGCCAGGGACCCGTTGACGCCATTCTGCGGTGCAAAAAACGAGCACGCGCCGCTGTTGCCGGCTGTCCAGGCGACAATCAGACGCGGTCCGATCTGGGTGAGGTCGCTATCTGGGAGCGGGGTGGTCACCACCGCCTGGGCGGCGACGTTGCAGTCGGAGTAGAAGAAGTTATCATAGGGCGCATCAGGGAGGGAGAGTGTTGAGGGTGCATTGCTGCATGCTGGAGCGGAGGAGCGCGCCAAGAGAGTCTATGAAGAAGTGGCTTGAGTGTGAGGATGTTTAATTTTGAAAAAGGAAGGTCGGATGGGTCGGGGAGGGCGCCACTTACTGCATCGCTCTTCCCCGCGTTGGTGGCGCTGATGCCCGCGAGGAAAGGGAGGAAACTGGAGTGTTTCATGGTGAGGGCTTGTTAGACCGACATGTCGTGGCTGGCTGGCGAGGTTCCCCGGTATTTATAACTGGCATGCTGAATGCTAGAATGTCGACCTTCCTGAAACAGACAAACCCTAAATCTAAGTCCCCACGGGGAATCGGTGAAATTATACGTAGAGTTGATAATGGCTCCGACAAATCTCCGAGTCAAAATATTGATCGTCCCTGATTGATTGTTCTCTCACTTTCACGGTATATACAACATAATCTCCAAGCTGCCATGTACAGTGGAAGGTATTCAGGTGGTGGGGCGTGGGTGGAGGGATTAATGCATCCTCACAACCCACTGGGTAGAACAATCTCTGATTATATGCAACAGAGAGCCGGAAGCGATGGCTCAGGCTAGCGTCTCCCCAGTTTCAAGTAGGTGGGTGTGGCGCTGCCAGGGTATCCATGGTATGTAAATATCACAGGCGTTATCTCGTTAGACATGGCTCGTCAAGAACAGAAAAAGCACACAAAGATCTCTGTGTTTTCATCCTGGCTTTCTGGGCTTCGAGAGCCCACTTAGGTATGAATATCGATGCCCACTCTGGTATGAATATCGATGGACCGAGCTGGTGAAGTCAGTCGGGCTGTGATCGCGCTGGTATTGATGGATGGTGGTGGTGGTAGTCTCGCCGCTCAGGTCCGAGTTTCCGGTGTGATGGTTGGGGGAGTGCTCGAACATGGCGATGGAGATGTCGTCTGCGTCCATCCAACGCGGACCGGCGCGGTGCGCCTTGGGCGGGGCGGCGTGAGTGAGGTCGGAGGTGACGCGGGTTGCGTCGACAAAGTCGGGTAACTCGCTTGGGCCCGAGAAGGACTCGGGTTTCCACACGTGGTTGTGGACTAGGTGGATCAGCTTGCCCAGCACGGCGAATTCAAGCTTGAGCTTGACGCTGTACACGGCGCCCTTGAGCATGGTCTCCATGATGTAGAAATTCATGTACTCGGCGATCAGCAGGCCCAGATCCATGACGATAATAATCAAGTTGATGATCAGCAGCTGGTACATGATCTTGCGCTTGGTGCGGTCTGGATCGAGGCGCAACATGCGCACCGTCTCCCAGATGTACAGACCCGAGATGATAAACTCTTGCAGGCAGAACCCCGTCATCTGGATCTTCTCCATGATGTTGTAGCCGTGCTTGTAGATTTTCTCTTCGGAGCCGGTGACCAGGTTGGTGCCGTAGGTCAGGACGGTGGTGGGGAGGTGCAGGATGAAGGCATTGATCACAATCATGATGAGTACGCGGTTCAGGGCGCGCCGGTTGGACAGGACCAGATGGAGCCGAGAGTAGAGGACGACAGACTGGCCGGTGACCATGAAGTACCAGCCAATGGTCAGCAGCGTGCAGGAGAGCCATGTCGCGCTGGTAAGCTGGAAGAACTTGAGTAGGAATCCCAGCGAGTAAGGGATCAGGCCGAGGGAGGAGGAGAGTAGTAGACTCCAGAAGTACAGGCCGCGGTACTGAGCGAAGGTGACGAAGACGAGGATGATCAGCTCGAGGGCGTTGTACCAGGTGACGCCGGCCAGGGTCGCGATGGTGATGCGCATGCCCAGCGAGGCGCCGGTGTATCCCCCAGTGATGCCATCACCGGGGGAGTCGAGGGAGGCCATGGCAGGTAACAGGGGTCAGGGGGAGAGGAGCATAGTAGTCTAGAGTGGTGTGTGATGGCCTGTTATGTGGTGTTATGTGGTGTTATGTGGTGTTATGTGGTGATATATGATGTGTGAGGAGTCAGTCAGTCGCCCTAGGAAGAGTAGCAAGTGAGACAAATGGTGGGCCAGGTGTACTCCTCCTATATTCCATTCCCCGGCCTCAGCGGGGGGCCATAGTCTGGGGTTTACCTAGTCCGTACACCTATTCTGGTTATGTATTATGGCTGTATCGAAATACCAGAGGGCGGGATGGAGGCGCCGCACGAAGGATGCTATCCCTGGCTCTAGCGCCGCCACGCTGTATCCTGTTCCCCCTTGTGTGTATGTGTGTGTGTGTGTGTGGACATGTCCACAGACCTAGGAGCGGACCGTACTTAGGATGGAGGAGGACTACTCCATACTATTCTAAGAATGATCATAGTAATGCCTACGTTACTTGTATGGCAGACAATAACAATTATCCTATCTCTGACGTACCAGCCAACTTCTACTTTCCTCACTCGGTAATGATCAACCCAGTCCCCTCGGCCGGGCCCGATGCCATACGCCGCGTTACGGAAATACACTGTGACCGGCGGTTTTAGCGACCACGCGGCTCTTTCCCCCTCTTGCTGGCGGTTAGATCGGTATTTTTGCGGTGAGAGGGAGTACAGTAATGGGAGGCTACGAGTTCAGTACCCGACAATTATCGTTGGTCACGACATCGCGGCACCAAGGCCACTAACTATCAATTCCCGTTCCCGGGGCCTCGTGCTCCTTCATATTCCTCCTCATCCTCGTGGCGGATCCGCTAGGAGCTATGTTTGTAACTACAGGAGATTCTCCTACACGGGGGAGTTGGACAACAATGAATTGTCTCGGCAAGACGCGAAATGGTCAAATGGCAATTGATCCTGAAACAGGCCGGTCTCGGAGCACGGGGCCAATTCCTGGTGGTGGCAGAAAGTAAATTGATCCCGCCCGTCTTTAACACCAAAAACTACAAACACAAACTCCCAAGCGCCGTCGCTGTGACTTTTGCTTCCAAAAATAAATCGCAAAATCGTGCACCTCATCCAGAAGTCAATTTCAAATCCGGGGAGAGGGAGGGGCGACCCGGAGAAGAAGTCAGTCCGTTGGGTTAGGACAGGGTCGCCAGAGTCCGAATCCATCGGGCTGGGACACAACACCCTCCCTCCAATCCTCTGAATCCTGAGAATCCAACGCCCCATTTCCATCCTCCCGTAGTCCCACCACACCCTCTTCAACCATAATAGTGACCACTGCAAGGCACCGGAACCGATAAAAATCATCATGACGCTGCGCCTGGACCAGCAGCTGACCCTCTTGCCATTCCTCCCATTCCTTCAGAACCATCAGTCGTCGTGATGTCGGGCTCGCCGCCCCCGGTCGCACGCACCACACGGTCCACTTCGTCGCGACACTCGGGCATGGCGCTGCGCATCTCGCGGGCCAACACGTCCCGAAACCCTGCAAAAGCTTCGCGCTTGCCTCGTAGATCTTGGTTGCCGCGTTGCACCAGCTCCACGAACTCGCGCGTGTAGATGTCCGGGTTGCGCGCGGAGTCGACGTAGTCGATTATTTCGGGGGGCAGCTGGATGCTGGCGAGCGGGGGGTTGGAGGGATCGGCCGACGACAAGTCGGGGTCTTGGCCCGCTGCTGTGTCGGGGAGTTGCGTGTGCGAGGATAAGGTGGAGAGGGTGAGGGTGAGGTTTTTGCTAGATCATTGTCAATTCTGGTAAGAGATGACAGAACAAGAGAGCTTTCGTACATCTTTCGGACCAGCTCTTGCTGAGTCTCCGGGCCCAAGTAGCCGTGGACGGCGGATTGGATCTCGAACAGGTGCTGGATCACATCCTTGAGATCGTCTGCGCAACGATCATTAGCTGGAGAAGCTGGTTTTAAATCGACTGCACTCACCATCGACCGTCTGGAGAGTCACTGGAGCCATGATGTCGCATGGGTGGTGCTGGTGCGAGCATCGAAAGAGGTTATTCAAAGGTGAGGTGCAAGGCGGTGTGGGGAGGTCAGTCCCCTGCCAAAATATATATTCAGCCCTAACTACCACCACACTTAGGAGGACCTTCTACATATAGTTACGATATCAAAAACACCCAACCAATGCAACGCTTCATATCCAAAAAGCTATATAGCTCTATATATGCAACAGTATTAGGTCACAAAATCTACACTTTCCGTGTCCGCAGGCTGTGGTACTGGGGCGATTTGATCTCTGTCTCCATCTCCAGGCCCGAAAGGCTAGGGAAACGGCGGGTGAACTGGGCTTCCCAGTCATCACCCGGGGTAGCGGGAGTCGTTTGACTAGCATCCTGTCCTGTACTGGGCCGGGAGGTCCCTTGCCCACCGCCAACCCGGAGATTCTTGGGTTTCGGGGGTGCCATCGGACGCGATCCAGGCCGTGGGCCCGAGGAGTAACCCGTCGAAGACTGCGGGAGAGGCGCACTGGTACCTCCTTGACGGTCTGGGGGAGACGAAGGCCCTTCTCGACCACCGTACACGGGGCCTGGGTTTTGAGAAATCATCCGTGGCGCCTCAGAGCTGGATGACCGCACCTCGTGCTTTGCCTGCAAAGCAGGGGGTGACTCAGTATAGTGGCCGTACCCAGTCGCGGTCTTGGGCGGCGGCGCGGCCTTGTTGGACTCGCCAAACAAGGACTGCACCTTGTTCTGGATTGCACGGGCGCGGGGCCCATCGCCGCCTGTTCGTCCACCTTCCCCTTCAGCCACCCGGCGCCGGTACTCAGCCGCGGCGTTGGCGACCCTCTTCTCCTCTTGGGACAGGCGGCGACGTTCCAACTCGCGGCGCATTTCCGGGCTGATGTCATCGCGATCGAGGTCGTCCAGAATGAAATCCTCGTTCGGCGGGGGCTATCATCGGCGAGTTCAAGCGCAGCTTGCTGCTCCACCGATGGCGTGGGCGGCGCATCCTGGTTGCTGCTTTCGAAACGACGGAATGCATCACCAAAGCGGCCACCAAACAAGGTCTTGGTCCCGGAGAGGGACAGATTGGACAGACTGCCGCGCTTGATGTGTTTCGAGCCACTGCTGGCTCGCTTCTCGCGTTTCCGATTACTCTCTTCTTCCATTGCGCGCAAATAGTCGACATCCGACGAAATGTTCGACCGGTCCTCAGTATCCGTACGAACAGATTGCAGCGGTGCTCCATCCTCGTATTGCATGTGAGACAGATCCACAGAGGATCGACTTGTTTCGGACTCGCGCGGGAGGTCGATCTTCCCCACGGAAACCGGGCGAGCCTTTGCCACGGCGGATTTGGATCGTCCGATGGAATCATCAAGCTCCAAGCCCAACCCAGTCGGCCGTCGCAACTTTTCCATCGACGGCCGTGCGGAGTTCGACTGGATCGATAACCGGTCAGACGACAACCGCGGACTGGTGCCCGGCCTCATACTCGGCGACGGTACCTTGTGCGTTGTACGCTCGTCGTCAGCCCATGGCTGACTGGAAGGCCGCCGTTCGTCCGATGACGGGAATCGGTAAATCGGTCGACTGGATATCTTCGGCTCTGATATACGAGGCGTCTGTGCAGGAGATGTCATTGTCCCAGTGGAAACCATTGAGGGCCGCTGAGGAGTAGGTTGATACAGCGGCGCGGATTGCTGAGGAGCGCTACGTGCAGGCAGAGACCGCACGGGCGAGACTTGCCGAGTTACTTGCTCCTGCGACGGGCGTGGAGCAAAGGCTTCGTCGGCCAAGGCATTGGTGAGTCTCTGGGAGACGTCCTCGTCCGACTTGGAGGGCTCCGCTGTCGGCTCGAAATTGAACCTGTCCCCTTTCTCGTGTAAAATATCAAACTGATCCAAGGTCGGGAATCGATTGGACAGCTCGTCTGCAATCTTCTTCCTCCTGGCAACGCCACCATCCAAAGCTTCAAAGGGATCAGTGGGTGAACTGGTGGAGTCGCCCCGGCCCCGGTAAGGAGATGGGCTTGGTTTAGCGGAGTTATGTTGAGATGATTGGGGCTTGCTAGGCCGTCCTCGACGCATAGGTGCAATCTCAGGAATGATTTGGGTTTCCTGAATAGGTGGTGAAAATTTTGCCCCCACTGCAGGAGCCTCTATGGGCGTGGGTGGCAGTTCTTGGTTTCGACGCGCCTCAGAGGCAGTGCGATTAGAGTAGATCTGGAGCCTAGGTCAGCACATAATAGAAAATAAGTATTCAACACTACGAACATCGCGAATTGGAACATCCTTCTTCTGCATGCGACACACCTCGCGCACCACCTCGTAGATGTTTGGGCGCTTCCGCGGATCTTCTTTGAGCATTGATGCTATGGATCGTCAGACAATAAATCCAGAGGTATCTGACGCCAAAAAACTCACCGATAAATGTCTTCAGTCGATCCGAAAAGGAAGGATAGGAGGGGAACTTGTAAGTGGCGTTGAGGATGGCCATCTGCCCAACCTCTTCAAACGGAGTGGTATAGTAGCACAACTTGTACAGGAACACACCAAGCGCCCAGATATCACTCTTTTCATCAATAGGCTGCTTCCGGTAGACGTCGATCATCTCCGGGCTGCGATACTGCATCGTTGTGTGTCGCTGCACATCATCCTCAATCAATCGACCCTCGGCGGCCGACTTGGCTGCTGGACGCGGCTGTGCAGAGGACCCAAAATCACACAGTTTGTAACAAGACGAACCCCCGGAACGCGAGATCAGGACGTTCTCAACCTTGAGATCCCGATGGAGCAGAGGTGGCTTCAGATAATGCATAGTGGCCACACCCTCGGCGACATCCGAGAAGATCTTGATGATTTCCGGTTCTGTCAAGCGATTTTGGAGCCTGGTATTCATGAAATCGATCAGACCGCCACCCGCGCAGTATTCCATGAGCAGGAAGACCTCGAACCCGCCTCCACTGAGCTGGGAGGCATGCGAATCGATGTAGGTGACAATGTGCCGGTGGCCCTTGAGCTTCTTCATCGTCTCGACCTCGGTGCGCATGTTGGCGAGCGCCCCCTTGTCGGGGACAGCGACTCGCTTCAGCACCGCCGTTTCCGAGCCCTTGGCCCCCTTGGGCAGCCGCACCACGTAGACATGAGCAAACCCGCCCTCCGAGAGATACTTGTCCACCACGACGCGGTGACTGCCCACCTGAACTTTGGTCCCGGGCAAGAACGTGCCCGCGGGAGCGGTCACGGCGGCGACCGGGTTGTAGGCGGGGAATTGACGGTGCGACGAGTTGGAGTGGCCATGGGGGGCCCGGGTAGAGGAAGGGAAGGAGGACATGCTGCAGGAGCTGCCCTTGCCGGGCAGGTGTGTCGGGGAAGTTCGAAGGCTACCGGTGCGGCATAGAGAGGGTGAAATGGTGAGGGGCGGAGATGGGAAGCCTGGAGGAAGGAGGCCAAGAGGACAGCTGGTGGGGAGAGGCGGAGAGGGGTGGGTAGTGCCAGACTACTACCACCGGAGACGAGCAACAGAAGAGTTGAGAGCAAGTCGAGTTGGCACAGACAACAAGTCAGTTGAAGAAGTTGGCGATCATGACAGGGCGAATGCCAGGCGAGTTAAAGGCTGAAGGGTCCAATCACGGGGTGCGGGTCACGTTCTGCCAGGGAATGGCGGTAGTAGACTAGGGTCAGGTACGATTTCACGGTCTACGACTTAATAGCGAAACTAGTTATAGGCGCACTACTGACGAACTAGTCATGGATGACTCTTCACTCGTGCCAGCTTGGCCTCATGGGGATTCCACCTGATCAGCCTCATCGCTTGATGCATAGCCTCGCTAGTTCCAACATGGCCCCCACGCGGGAATGGGGCCCCAGCGATAATTATAGCGGCCAGGTTTACATAGGAATTGAGCTGCCGACGAAAAGAGCCTAACCAAGTCGAAGTGATCAACTGGCCTTGAAAACCCAAATTCGCCGGACAGGTCACGGGGTTTGGCGATGATGTAAGCGGTACTGCCCTTGCCAAAAAGGGTAATATGTAAACAAACACCCACCCCCTCGTGGGAGTTGACCCATGATGCAGGCAGGCTATCATATTGAAAGTGTAGAGCTTGGCAACGGAAGTGCCTGTGGTCTTGTTTACTTTTTCTAGTGCAAACTGGCCAGACACTGCGGGAACATGACGGTTGAGCCGCATCCCTGAATGCCTAGGCTCAGCGCACATTCCGATCGGAGAGTTGGAGTCGCGTGGCACAACAGTGCAAGATCTCCTCGATGGAGAGAATGTGAGATTTTACATGATTACTGTAGTTGTGGGTAGAATACTATGCTCCTGTCACTAAGTGATGTGTTGTTTGTGAGCATGCAGAGCGTTGGTGCCGATCGCCCGGCTGTTCCCACTCCCGCCAAAACAAACTCCTTCAACCGTCACCCTCTTCCCACCACCTTTTGGTGTTTTGGCCTTTGGACCACCTTCTGGACACTGGCTGTCTAGATCTCTCGACTGGCCTCCAACGGACGCGCAACCACCCCTAGCACTGAGCGCCGAGGGCCTCAGTGCCGATCGGACGTCGCGGAGACCATGACCGCTTGGAAGCCTGCGAAGCCCCCATCCAACTAGAGGTGGTCAGCCTTGACCAAGCAAGCCACCCATCCGAACCTCTTCGATTCCTTTATATATACTCTCGCATCCGTTGCGCCGCGATGGATGGCCCGCCGCCCCCGCCGCCTCATGGCGACAAGCCAAACACCACCGAAGGCGAGTACCGCAAATCATCAGACCTACCTCCCGGCAACTACGACATCTTCATCGTGCCACCTCACTCCGCCGGTTCCGGTTTCCTCTACCTCCCATCCCTACAATGCCACCGCAACAGCTTCCTTGCTGGCGCCGCAAGCACACTGTTCGTCGTCCTGCTGTGGACCACCCTTGCACCTATTTTCAGGGCTTGGTACACTGCCACTGTCACCACCGGTGGCGGCATGGGCATGGTGCTGCTTGCACTTGGAGTCGGCGTGGCCGGATGGGCTGTTGGCGCATCGCAATCCGACAGCTTTAATGGCAACAACAGTAATGGACACTCGGGTGGCGCGGGAGGGTCGAATGCACAAAATAACCGGCCTGGCGCCAATTTCTTCAAAGGCAAATTTGGCAACGGGGCAGGACAGCAGCAACAGGGAGGAGACTTTGGTGGGAAGTCAACCCGTGGCAATCAACAATATGCTGGCAACCAGCATGGAGCTAATAACACCGAATGGGAGCGGGCACGGGATGAGACGAAGCGCAAAGAGGAACTGCGGCGAAAGATGGAGGAATTTAAGAAAAAGCGCGAGGCAGATGCCAAGGAGAAAGAGAAGCAGAAAGAGCGCGAAGCGATGGAGAAGGAATTAAAGGAGCGTCGCGAACAGCTGGAGAAGGAGGTGGCCGCCGCCAAGGAGAAAGCAGAAAAGGAAGCGCGGGAGAAGATGGAAAAGGAGGCGGCCGAGGCCCGTGAGAAGCAAGCCAAGACTGAAGCGGAAGCAAAGGAAAAGGCTGAAAAGGAAGCGGCTGAGAAAGCAGCTGCAGCAAAAGCCCAGGCCCAGAAGGAGGCCATGGCCCGGTTTGCAGCTCTGAAAGAGGCGGCAACCAAGAAGTATGCTGAGAGAAAAGCGCAAGACGGAAAGGCGTCCAGTCAACCGGGCAGCGCACCTCGGACACCCTCACCCAAGAAACCGCCGTTCCCGACAGCTCGCACGGCTACGGAGGAAGATGATGCATACTCCTTTCGGCCATATGACCGCCCACGCCGGCCGTATGCGGCTGCTTCCTCGGTGTACTCCGAGTCATCGTACTCGCCATCTCAGTCGACCGCACGCACAACGCCACCGCCATCTCATCGCGGGCCGTATACGACTAAAGACCCCGACAAGATTGTCATTCAGGGAGTGTATCAATTCACCAATGCCTTCATGAAGACCCCAGTTGCACAGCTGGTGTCTGGCCAGGGCATGGTGACCGACGGGCTGGTGCTGCGCATGACGACAGAGGGGCTGTTTATTGATGACGACCTGCGTGGAGTCGGGCAGCGCGAATGGGATGTCAAGGCATGGACTCTGAAGCTGGCCGAGGTCTGGTGTGCGCAGACGAATGCGACCACCCCAGCCAATGCCAAATCTGGATCCAGCAACCCCTTCTCCTTTGGCCGCAAGGGCAACGCACACTCCGTACCCACGAGCGAAGAATCCGATGCGTATCTGGCGGGGTTGCTCAAGGTTTGTAAGAACAGCTGCCGTCAAGCTTCCCCCAGCGCAGCCTTCGCCCGTAGCGCCACGGCCAGTGGATTCAACGAAGGCGGACCCGTACACCCTCCGCAATCTGAATTCCGCGGTCTGCATGTCCTCCGTGCCAGTCTCCGCGATCAAGAGGGCAAGCGATATGTCTTCGTGATCTCTGATACCGAGGCCTGGAAAATCGCTATTGGCCTGCAGCGTCTGCGCAGCGGTAGTCAAGTCCGCGCGATGGGAGTGTCTGCTTTACCATTGCCCGAGTGTAAGAGTGTCCTCACCGGACTCGGCTATCTTTGAGCCTCGACCTTAGCATTTTGTTCCTTGCACCTCATCTCTTCATCTTTCATTAGCGGTGGAGTTTTCTGCATGCTCGTGCATCTTCTCTCCAGTATATTCATTCATTTATGTTCTCCCCAAAGGCTTGAGATTCCCCTGGTTTTGTTGTTTGATTCCGTGTTTTTTTTTTCTTTTCCGATCAGTACAGTTGAGCTGTGTGTTCATGTGCGGTGGTTGAGAAAGTTGGAGAAGGAGTGCATACCGCAAGGTATTAGTGAGAGAGTCCGAGTTATTTCTAGCTACATATTAGGAATAAATATATAACTGTGATGGTCTGACGAGTGAACCTTGCCTCCAGTACTTTAGTCATTGTTGTGGATGAATGCCGGATGACGTTAACTCTGGCATTCCAAAGCTCCAACATCAGCTTTGCGATCACTGCGCTCTCTTTATCTCCATCTTCCCCATCACCTCCTTATATCCATCGCTACTTTATTAAGTGGCCGATTATAGCATTTCGAGACCATGCAGTGACGCAGTCTGTTTCGGCAGTTCATTACTGAACACAAGAAAAAGCAAAGACGAGAATCGCTACCAGAAGACCCCCCACCTCTGCTTATCATTAGATATACGGCTCTCCATAGTTCTCCAGATGATGCCTCCCATTGCACCTCGGCCAGAAGCACTCTCGAGAGAGTCAACAATGGACAACACCAACATCCACGTCCAGGATACAGAATCGGACTTTGAACCGGGCAAGCACACACCACACGACGATGACAAGGACAGGGGCGAAGACGACACGAGTTCCCCGCCGCGCAATGAGCCCTACATCGTCGCCGGGCTCAGAACCGTCCTACTCGTGGGTGTATCATTCGTGCTACTGTGTCTACTCGGTCGATCTCGACTAGCATACTGGGTAAGTAGCGTAGTCGCCGAAGACCGATATAGGGTGTATCTACTAACCAAAATCAAACCCACGACAGATTACAGATCACAACCCACCACCGCCACCACCAGCTCCGATTCTAGACGGCACGCCCCCTCGAGACCTAAGTATCTCCCGCGGATCCGATGCCATAAACGGAGTCTTCCCGCTCTTCGACTCATTATCATTATCCACCTCCACGGGCGAGATTCGTGTCACAATCGTGCCCCAGGGCCTTTCTCACAGCGCCACCCAATCCACCCCCGCGAAACTGCGGATCCGCTCTGACTCGGGGAACGTGGTTGTCTCCTTCGCTGCACCAGCCGCAGCGTCAATCCCAGAGTTTGACACGGAGATGAGGCATCATGTGCATGAATATTCGCACGGGTACAATCTTCACAACCACGGTGGACATGCAGAGGTAGTTTCGGCATTGCCTCCGCCAAGAGAGTATGAGGTCGACGTCGAGACACGCAGTGGGTCTATTGCGGGCCGGTTCTTGTTTTCTACTTCGCTGCGCTTGGTGGCGGGTGCTACAGGCGATGAGCGCGGGTCTATCAGTGCGCTGCTTATACCGCTCGTCCTTGAGGATGAAGAAGCGCACTCTACGGTGAGACACGAGAATATCCCGATTCTCACCCGCACCTGGGCCGGGAACCAGAGTATTCGAATCACGGAGCCGGTGGTGCTCGGCGGTCGAACTCACCATGGGCGGATATTTTCTGGTCCGGCCGTTGCGTCACACCTTAGTGGCAAAGGCAGTATAGAACTAGGGTACCCTACATCATGGGCGGGTACGGTTCATGCTCGGACGGGCAGGATGGATGATCCGGGGATCTTGCTTGGAGGGAGAGGGGTGGATGTTCTCGAGCGAGTGGATGGGGGGGTCAAGGGACATCGGGTTTGGGAGAGGGAATCGGAGACGGACGAGAGTAACTGGTGGGGAGCACACGGAGACATGGAGGTATCGGCACAGTCCGTGGTAGGGGAGATATTTTTTCATGCTGATTGATCAAGAACCATCGAAGGCATTGGACTACTGGTGGCGACGGGATGACGCTGCGCCCAGGTCTTTTGCGATGGGTAAGCGGCACAAGAATAATGACCTTTTGGTTCGAAGACACGCGGAGTATGTAAGCCCACGCGTAAGGCGATTCAGCCCCAAGAACCGCACTCTCGTGCGGGAAAAGACTCGATCTCGCCACGAGGAAGCCGTGGTCCAGCCCTCTGCGGGTGAAGTGGATCCCGCCGGAAATGGATACTCGGCCGTGACGCAGGGCTGTGAATGGCCAGCAACCAAAAAAAGTTTTGTGGAGAACGCTTGGCTCGGGTGAGAGTTCGTTGCTGGTTCATCGAGAGAGGTTCTTGTGTCAACCCTATCGACCCACATCGGCTCCAGCATGACCTCACCTCTGTCGCGTGATATGTTCTAGAATACTTCGCGCGCTGGGGTCGTGGTTGGACTGGTTCTCAAGGGGATCAAAAGTCTAACCAACGTGGCACTCTCGCGCGATTCCCCTGTTTCCAAAGTCCGGTCGTTGCAGCGCTGGTTCTTTCAGGGGAGAAAAAGTCTAACGATGTGGCAATCGCTGACAATTCCCCTGTTTCCAGAGTCTTCGAGCACCAGGAACTGGTACTCCACCATGGACTATAAATGACAGCGCTCTCCTCTCCTCTCCTTTCTCTCTCTCATCATTCATTCCATTCATTCTCTTTCGTTTGAAACCACTTCCATTCTCTTGAGGCAGTGCCTTATCACATTCATTCTCTTTGATTGATTCCACGTCTGTCGACCAGACACTTTACCACTCTTTTTTCAAAGACTTCCTCCGTTTTTTATACACTTCATTCACAATGGGTTTCATGAAGACCATCGGCATCCTCGCCACCATCGCCGCCACGGCCTCCGCCTTGCCGCAAGGCTTCGAGAAGCGCCAGGCCACCAGCACATCCAGCGCCCCGAGCACATCCTCCTCTGCCGCATCCAGTGGCAGCGGCATCCAGATCGTGAACAACATGGACTCCACCGTCTACCTCTGGAGCACATCCAACACTGGCGGCTCAATGCAAACCCTCCCCTCCGGAGGCGGCACCTACAGCGAGGACTGGCAGACAAACTCCGACGGCGGCGGCATCTCCATCAAGATGTCGACCTCGCAGAGCGAGGACTCCGTTCTCCAGTTCGAGTACACCCAGAACGGCGATACCCTCTACTGGGATCTCTCGTCTATCAACCTTGATTCGAGCTCGGACTTCGTTTCCCAGGGCTTCCAAGCGATCCCCAGCGACTCCAGCTGCAACTCTGCGACTTGTGCCGCTGGTGACTCGAGCTGCGCTCAGGCGTATCAGCACCCCGACGATGTCGATACCAACAGCTGCTCGCTTTCTTCGGGCTTCACCCTCACCCTGGGCTAAATTTTGGTGGTGGATACTTCTCTCATGTGGCGATCTTCTGACTGTTGTTTTCTGAGAGTGTTTTGATAGACCACAATCCTTTTTCACTTGGTTATGGATTGTTCATATATAGAATAAAGCAAAATAGACCATATTATTGTTGTCTACAAGATCTCTTCTGTAAATTCCACAAGGTTCATCCTACGTCCCAGATGAGATGGACTGCACCTTTAATCTACTTGTCCTTCATATGGGCCCGGCCCACTTGATACCGAAACGAACATTTGCAATATCACATATTCTCTTGACAAGAGAAATGAGTCCTATTCAAGTATAACGCCGTTGATGATCGGTCTATGGTACCCAACGAACCAATCTCACATCATGCATAACAAGTGCACACTGAATTCTTTTTCCTCGAATCGTGCCAAATTCAAACTTCATATACATAACAAAAGAGTATCCCACAGCCACAGCAAAATGAGATCATTTCAGGTGAGAAAAAAAAGCCAAGTAAAATAAACAGTCGCATGGTCGGTCTATCATGTCGGGAATCATGGTACTTCCGTTTCCGTGGAAGCATGAAGCGTGGCTGAAGATATAAATCAAAGGAAATAGGGATCATAGGTTGAGAGCCCTCTGATGCGACTCGAACGAAGCAGAGCAAACATCGTCCATCCGGAGTTGCCGAGACCACAAAAGAACGGAGTAAGTTGCCTCTAGGACGGTTGGTTGGTGGTGAATCAGATCATCTAGAAGGGAAAGCCGCCTGGGTACCCGCCCCGCTGTTGTTGGCCACCTCCGAATGGATGGCCGCCGGCGGAAGCGAAGCCGCCACCTCCACCGCCGTTCATCATGTTGAAGAGGATGTTGGGATCGATGTTGATGTGCGTGCCGTTCATGCCGCCCATACCACCCATGCCTCCCATTCCGCCCATGCCGCCCATGCCGCCCATACCGCCGAAGCCACCGCCGCCAAACATGTCGGCCGGGTCAATGAGGTCGTCGCCATTGTCATATGCGGCACGTTTCCTGTAGAACAGTTAGAATGAAATAGACAAGATTGAAGGTAGGGAAAAAAAGCTTACTGAGAATCAATCAGCGTCTCGTATGCCTCGCCGATCTCCTTGAACTTCTCATCGCCCTGCGGGTCATCCCGGTTCTTGTCCGGGTGGTATACGATGGCCATCTTGCGGTATGCCTTCTTGATCTCGTGGTCTGAGGCATCCTTGCTGACGCCCAGGATCTTATAGTAGTCCTTGCGTTGAGCCTTCTTCAGCTCAAACTCGGCGCGGCGGATTTCTTCTTGAATACCCTTCTCGCCTGGGTTGTTCTCGGCTACGCTCTTGTAGTCGCGAACAGCCTCCTCCCAGTTCCCAGCACCGCCGTGGGCCTTGGCGCGCATCTTCAGGGCCTTGACGTATCCCGGGTCAAGGCGCAGGGCCTCACTGCAGTCCTGCACCGCCGAATCATACTCCTTCAGGTTGATGTATGCCTGGGCGCGGTTCTGCAGGATCTTGGCGTTCATGTCCTTATTGGCCGGGTCAACCTCCAGTGCCTGGCCGTACAAGTCAATGGCACGGCGATAATCCTTAGCCTTGAACGCAGCGTTTCCTTCCTCCTTGGTACGGCTGAGCTTCTGCACAATGCGCAGCAGCTTAACCGCCTGCTTCATGTCCGGGTCCAGCCCGAGACACATCTTCAGCAGCTTCCCGGCCTGCTCGGTCTCACCGGACGCATAAAATGCCCGCGCGCGGATCATCATCGCATCCGGGTCCTGGCTGTTCTCGCGCAGCAGCCCGATGGCAATGTCTTGCGCCTTGCCCAGCGAGTTGCTGTTGTTCATCTTCAGCTGCGCCTCAGCCGCCAACAGTGTCCACTTGCGCGGTTCCTTGACACCCGCACCCAGCCCTTGGCGCGCTTGGTCTATACAGAAAATCACCATCGAGACCCCGCGGTCCTCTGCCAGCGTCTCCTCGGCTTGTGTGATAAACCGCAGCATCTTCTCCGCGGCCGCCCGGTCGGTCGCCGTCGCGGGAGGCTGCACACGCGACAGCACATCCAGAGCCTCGGCGGGCCGCCCCAGATTCGTCAGAATCTTAGCCCATCGGTGCAAGATCTTAGGGTTATTGGGGTCGAGTTCGTTGGCCCGCTCGATGTCTTCGAGCGCATTGAGGAACTGCTTCGCGGACATGTGGGCAGCAGCTCGGTTGGACAAGTAGGCCGACGAGTTGGGGTTGATCTCGATAGCTAAAAGAACGAGGTTCTTAGTTTCCGCTCGGATTGCACGGCTCTGGTAACATGTACATACCCTTGTTGTATTCCTGGATTGCGCGTGTGTAGTCGCCATCCTTGAAAAATTTGTTCCCGGCCAACTTAAACGAGTCGGCCTCATCGGTGGATGCAGCGGTGGACTTGTGCGGTGGCGGCGTCGGACTGCGCTCCTGCTGGTCGCCGTTGACACCGTTCATCTTCTTCTGAGTCTCCTGGGAATCGATGTCCATGGAGCTCCGTTGGTCGTCTCGGGATGCCGCCATGGCGGAGAGTCTCCGACGCAGCTCGTCGGGCGGAAGGTTGAGTGGGTGAAGGTCCTGGTCGCGAGAGGCTCGGCCGAATCGAAAGGCAGAGTTGGTGGAGGTGGCGGAGGAGGAGCGGGAGTGGTGGAAGCGAGAGGACTTGGAAGGTGACGACTTAGTGGGAGATTTGCGGGTGGTGGAGAATGTTGGCGACGACGAAGTCGGTACGGGTGAGTCGGACTCGGGGGGTTCGGTTGTGTGGTCTTTCTCCTTGGTCTTCGCCTTATCCTTTTTGAAGATGTGGGCGAGTTGGACCATTGGGGGTGTGGCGGGCCCGGTTTTTTTTTTCTTCGATCGAAGGACGACGAAGGCGGTAGAAGCACCGGATCGGGGGAAGTGAGGAAGATGGGGTTTTAGGTCAACCCAACAGCCATGATCTGGTGAGGATAACAGAAGAAGCAGAACGAGAGAAAAATTAGTGCTGAATCGAATTAGGGGGGGAAGGTGAAGATGTTCGTGGGTGATTGCTAAACAGGGAAGAAAAAAAGCGAGAAGACCACAACAGCAGTTGGAGAACCCTCGGACCAAGTCCAATAGGAACAGTCTATCATAATAAGAGAGAGGCTGGTGAGCTACTGGTCTGTGTTAGCGTGCAGAAGAACTGGAGCTGTGATGGAGTCACTAATTCCTCCGATGACGCTCCCTTTGAGGAGGAGCTAGGCTGGAGGGGCCTACAAAGCAACTCTACGATAATGCCTCCGGAGAAACGAACTACTACAAAGCTGCCTCGGCGGTGGTTCACTCCTGTTTGACTCTTGAGGGATGCCGACTCGACTTGGTGGAGCAGTGGATCCGATATGCAGTTTGCTAAAAATTTGGCCGGGGATGAAACAAACAGCCGGGTTGATCATAAACTCGTCTATTATTCTGCACTATGTACTCTGGGAGACATGATTTCATGGCGGTCTCAAGAAACGGCGTTAAAATGTCGGCGGTCTCGCACGGGTCGGTGTATCGACTGGTGTACGCTCTGTAGTGCCCAAGACACTCGAGTCATGCACCGATGACGACGCCTGCCGTGGGATGGTCGGCCGGATCATCCGAGGACGAACATGCATCCTCACAAAGGATCGAAATGGCCTCGTCATATAGATATTACAAGACCTCACAATCCTCACCCAACCGACAAGCCTGGAATTCGCCGTGTGACAGCGGCCCATCTTGAAGTAGTATGTGTTGCTGGACCGAATCTATGGCTCTCATAGGGGGGAGGCATCTCGCCGTGCACCCGGTTGTCACTGATTCTGCGGTCCTGCGGTTGCTGGGGGAATTGAGGGGATTGAGGAGTCATCGGGCTCACTGGGCTCCGAGAAAACGACTGGAATCGACTAGCCGAACTGGATGCTTGAGAGACTCGCCCATCGCTTTGGATTTCGGGCAACGGAGCTAGAACGATCCATTGCTGTTCCTCCTCCCGCCAGACGAGGCGATGACTGGACTTTAGTCGGCGGCGGTCAGGACGGAAGGGGTTGGGGGCGTGGCGTGGAGGTGGTTCTGGACATTCATGTTGTGGTTGTGGTTGCTGCTCCTCTGTCGGAATGATATGGAGTTGCAGTTGGTCGCCGGGACCTCTTCGTCCTCGTTTGGCTAGGGCCCGTCTCAGATAATTCCCCTCCTTCAGATTCCCCTCCGTATGGTTCCTTTGACTGCGTCGCTCTTGCAGTGGTGATATGGGGTCTTCTGCCGTTTCTGTTTCCGTTCGTCGTGGTTGTAGCGGCGACGGGATTAAATGGCGTGAGGATGGTGATGGCGGGCTGAGTTCGAGCGCACGCAGCTCAGGCGGGTAAGGAGGAAGAAATTCCTCCTCCTGCGGGTCTGGCAGTGGAGGGCCCTCTAGAGATGACAGATCCATGGGGGCGCAGATAGAGACAACTTGACGGCCCACGGGGAGAATGGAGGGGGAGAGTCGGTTTGGTGGATGAGTGAGGGTGCAAAAGAACTTCATAGCAGGATGTATATTATGCTTGAAACCCGCAAGGCATTCTCCAGTCGATCATTTAGGTATGATCTCGTATCCATTGCCCAAAAAGGCTTGTGGCGGGATGGGGGCAGGTAGATCTCGAGAAATGCTACCCAGCCGGAGAGAGTCAAATGGCACAATAAGCTTTCGCGCAGTGGTTGCGAGGCCTCCAGGACTGTTATATGTTGCTTTATATTAAAGAGAGTCGGGCGTCCCGAAAGGGGCCACCGAGATGATATTTGGGTCCGCCAGTATTATTAGTTACAAATATAAATAGCGGTTCAGGGAGAACAATCGCGGTGAGTACGGTTTCTGGGGCTGGCAGTCGAAGCACAAGTTAGGGGCTAGCAACTCCCTTACACTCACCAACGTCCAACATAGGATCCAAGAGCCCTCCCTGATGGATCTGAAAGTTGACAATCATGGCGAGATGGGGCCAAGCCTAGGAGGGGACTCGTTTCCGAGTGTTGGATAAGGCCAAGGGGCACTCAGGAAGAAGGAACCGCGGATGGTGCCCCGATGTTGAAGGTGCAACCCGAAGTGTGGGAGAGCAACGTCCTAGACGTCAATAGGAGGGCTTATCACCGATCTTGTTGATAGAAAGAAAAATTGTACATCTCAATGTATATCCTCATCCACACGTTCTACTCTTCTTTTGCAACTCGACGAACAAGTGAAATGGTTCTTCGAAGTGCAACCACGCGATGTGGGTCTTACTATTTTTGGCGACCCAACGAACAACCAGGACCCAAAAGGGGCCAGAAACGAGGCAGTCTAACCGGGAGCGGACCCGGTGAAATGATGTCAGACGAAGGGGGAGGGGATACGAGACTGACTGAGCCTTGCTCTATGCTATTCCTAGAGAGGAATCGTCCGAGGATCGATTTTAGATTTTAGGTCACTAGCCATGGTAATGAAGTAAACTATTGGACAAAAAAAAGTCCAAGTCAGAGAGCCCGGTTTGTCTCCATAACCAAGTTCCCTAAAAAGCCGGTGTGAATGGTAACAACATCTCTCGATTTCGATGTGCCGGTCGATCCGGGGTGATAGGCCGTCATTCCAGCAGAGCACATGGCTTGGCTTAAACCTAGAACAAAGTCGTTGGAACGCTGGGTGCGAGAGAACCTAATTAAAGTACAGTAGTGGTGTTCCAAAAGTCTGAAACCCTCTAATTACCACCTACAAACAGGCCAAACAAGGGACCTCAGTCCCGGAGATCTTGCTCCCCAACCCCATGCTTCTCGATGACTTTTTATTTCTAGTGATGGCCCCACGCTAATCTCGAATCCTGTCACCACCACTAACCTAATATCTTATAATCCTCTTGTAAACCTATTCCTATCCGTTCACAAAATGCAGGCGCTCGAGGAAATGTTCGAACGAGCCACTACGACTGGGAAGCTGCCAGGAATCGTCCTTGCTGCGGCGAGTCGCGATGGTGAGTATATTCTCAGTCTCTCTCATCACCACCTCCACCACCACCACCGTCCACTACTAGAAATAGTTAACTAGCTGACGAGTCGAATCAAAGGTTCCTTGGAGTACTTCAAACCGTTCGGCAAAAGTCGATTAGAAGAAGACTCCCCACCAGTCTCGTCTGACACAACATTCTGTCTCGCCTCTGTCACGAAGTTGGTCACATCTGTGGCCGCGATGCAAGTGGTTGAGCGTGGCTTGGTAGGTCTAGATGATGACATTACCAAATTTGTACCCGAATGGAAATATCCACAAATCCTAGTGGGATTTAGAGGCGAAGAACATAGAGAGAAGCCTCTCTTGATTCCAGCGCAGAATCGAATCACGTTGAGGTAATACCTCACCTTCGGTGCTTGCACTATACTAACGAAAGAGTCGTGGTTTTCTAATCGATCTTTAGACAGCTATTATCCCATTCTTCCGGGATCGCCAGCTTGGACGAGGAAAAGTTAATGAAATACTACACTGTACTTGGCGATAGCAGAGGAACTGTGCTTTTACGATATTTCAAGAATAATGACCCTGAAATCAAAGCAAAGGCATTAGAGGAGATTCGGCAGGTCATGGGCAGTTTAGTATGTCATTGATTTTCACCCTTGTTCCCTACTCTTTCCTCCTAATAATAAATGAAATGGCAGTCAGTTGAACCCCTTTTCTTTGAACCAGGGACAAGTTGGACGTACGGACAGAGCACCGATTGGGCTGGCCAAATTGTGAGTTTCTTTACCGCCGACTGTTCGCTAGATCACCACCCAACCGCTGTTAGGTTGAGCGAGTCACAAACATGACTCTCGAGCAATACTGTCAAGAGAACATATTCAAGCGGCTCGGAATGACACACACGACGTACCGTCTCTTAGACAATCCACACGTCGCTGCCAACCTTATTCAGATGACATCTCGAGACCCCGAAGGCACTGTCCAGCCGGTCGAGAGCGTATATCCAATCGATCCCAAAGTCGACATGGGCGGTTCCAACCTATATACTTCTGGTACAGACTTCCTGAAGCTTCTCTCATCTTTGCTCCGTAACGACGGAAATTTACTTCGCCCTGAGACAACCGACCTCATGTTCAATTACAGCCTGCCTAAAACAGAGATATTTCGACAGTTCCGGACTAATCCCGAACATCTCAAAGATAACTTCGGTGATTTGGCTCCCGTCGGTATGGAAGTTGACCATTGTCTCGCCGGGATGGTGAACCAAAGAGATTTGTTAGGCGGTAGAAAGGCTGGCAGCATAACTTGGCAAGGCGCCACGCGCTGTTATTGGGTACTTCCTATTGCGTTGCCTTCTCAACTGATATCTACTGACAATTGAGACAGTGGATTGACCGGACGGCTGGGCTTTGTGGATTTTACGGCTCTCAGATAATGGTTGTCCACGACCAAGGCGTGACACGGGGATTTATTCGCGAGTTCGAGAAGACACTATATGATGTATATGAGCCGGCTGCAATTCATCGCTAGAAATTTTGAGAAGGGGCTAGCCTACTCCCTAGTCGAGACCGGGCTTTTCGAGTAGATGTTGTAGATTGCTTCCAACATTATCCATGTCGAGCAGTACCTTGACCACTGCCCCCCGACGAAACGCTGCTGCGAACGATAGTGGCATACGCCCATCATGATCCTTCGAACCTAGATTGAAATAAAATCGGTTTTTCTGACATGGAAGGCAATGATGGTCGCTACTGTAACTCGAGATGAGAGTCATAGAATCCATGGTTACAACGGAGCATGTTTGTTTTGGGCTGATTTATCACGTCACAATTGGCGGAGGGCCGTAGCACAGCCCCCAAGAAAAAGGGGAGAGGGAAAGCATTTTGCGAGTCAGCCTGGCTAGTGTGGAACCAGACCGTACAAGTCAGAATCGCACTTAGGGTTATTATTATTTTTACACAAGGAGAGAAACAAAGAACATCAAATCTAACTCGTGCAATGCAATTAAGGTAGGCAAAAGGAAACTGCTATCAGGTATATGGGTACATTGAAAAAGGGGGTTACTGGGAATCACTGGAGACAAGAAGGTGGGTGAAAGCTGTCATGGTTTACATTAAGGTCGTGCTCAAGCCACCAAGAGCGCTTCTCACACAACTCCGAAGCTATCCAGTAAGCCCAAGAAGAAATATGTATATCAAAAAATCCACAAAAAGCAGAATGAAGAAAGAGGATAGCGAGATCCGAATCAGAAAGCAAAAATATAACAAGTGTTGGGTTGGTAGAGTAAATCACCAAGAAACCGGTTTAAACTAACACAGTGCTTAGATATCTCCTCTCTTCGTGCCCCATTTCCATCCTCAGTGAGATAATAATCCTACAGTAGCTGGCTCAAGCCACCCGACGGTGACCTGGGTCAGGGATTGCAGGACTCCATCCCGATTACAGGAGGAATCGCTTATGCCATGAAGAAGGCAGCGGCGGCGGCCAGACCAGCGAAGCTGATCGAGCCAGTGACAGCGCCGGCAGCGTTGTAAGTGGGAGCCGGGCTAGCGGAAGCGCTGGGGGCGACACTGGAGATAACTATTAGTACGTTGTTTGAGTGACCGTTACGAAGTGAACTTACCCGGAAGGCTTGGGCGAGGGCTTGTGGGGAACACCACCGGCGCCACCGGAGGGAGCCGGGGGAGCGCTGGGAACGACAGTGCTGACCACAGGGGTGACGCTGTAGGTGCAGTAGCTGACAGTGGACCAGATGGTGGTGACCTCAGGAGCCGGGGCGCTGGGGTAGGGGGTCACAACGGGGACCGGGGTCACGGCAGGAACGGAGGTCCAGGCCGGGGTGGTGGCCGGGTAGGTGGCACCAGCACCGGAGTTGCCGGGGCAGTTGGTGACGGTGGGAGCGCACGAGATGACGGTGACCTCGTCAGTGGAGGTGACGGTCTCGACGTCCTGGGGAAGGGCGGCAGCAAGGCCAGCGAAGAGGGCAACAGCGGCAGCAGTGAAACGCATTTTGAATGGTTTGTTTGTGATTATGAAAAAACCGTCGAGGTAATTTGAGAAGATAAAAAGCGTAGGCTTTTGTAAAGAGTGTAGTAGTTGGTTTGAAAGAGTGGATGACCGAAGTCGAGTGAGTGAATGCTAAGATGCGAAGATTGTACTTGGGGAAGAAAGAAAGGAAAGCCGGCTGAATGGGGGGAACGGCATCTTTGTATGGGCAGGGAGATTGGACCGGAGATCAGCCTGCGCACTCGCCCCGAGAAAAAGGGGCTGTTCGTGGGCACTCGTCATCCGGTGGTGAACGCTGGCGGTAATTTTGCCTGCCGCTAAGACGGCTAGCGTTGTTGATGATGCCGATCGCGCAGTTGCGATCGTACCTTGCTTCGGGCTGATGGTTGTAAATGTTGTTATGGTGATAGCGGTCTCGTGCAACCCAAGCCCTAACTCGGTCAGTCCCTGCAGCGTCTCTCCAACACCCCTTTCCTCAACATTAAGAGGTATCCTCCTCTACCACAAAATAATATTGACCTACATCTCCCGTTGATCCACTGCCCGTACCTGGCTAACGTCCACCACTCGTGGGCCCCAGACCCACTTTACCCCTGAGCCAGCGAGCGTAACACCCGTATCATACACGAAATGGAGGCTTGAGTCCTTCGTCTTACAGCCCCAGCGCCCTCCCATTTGCTCCATCATTCGCCCGCTGGATCTTGGCGCGGCGACTCGCTGTCCTGTCAGGTCTGGCCGCGCCGGACCTCGCTCCACGCGGTGGAGTCACACAATCCACAGCCTTCCGTGCTCCAGCGCTCGTCTGTTCGACGAGCTTTGGGTCCGCGGGGTGTGTTGTGCGAACACAGTTCGACCCAGAGAGTAATGCACTGCGGGTTACAGCCGATATCCGGTTTGTTCCTGTGTAAGCGATAAAGCTACGCCTCCAACTAGGCCTCCGCAGTGGGCACTCTTCCGTCGACGCGAAAATCCGACCGAGAGGCGCTCTCTGACCGCGTTGCTTAATTAACCAAGCTTGCCTAAGTGGCCGGCACCATTCTGAGGCCCCTGACTAGCCACGGAACTAACGGGCCCAGAGCGTTGGTCCCTGAATGAGCCCATGGGGCAGTCAATCAGCCGGAATCCTGGCGGCGTGGGAAAACAATTAAAAAAAAATCAAAATATAGGGTCTGGCCAGCCGACGGGAGTACCTGACAGACGCGCTTGCATCGTGCAGTAGCATTGGTTTGTTGCCCGGGTCGCAACGTTCAGAAGAGGGCTGTCCCGTAACGGGCCTGTAACTGAGCGTCAAGGGCTCGCCGATCCCCATCTGTGAGCTGGGTATTGGGTGTATCCGGAGGTCTCGACCACTTCGAGCACGGAGACTTGCTCGAAGTGGATGAACCGCTCGATCCCCCGACAGCCAATGGGCCCGCGTCGCATGTGGCGGTCCCCCTTATCCGGCTCCATGAAAGGGGGATTTCGGTTGTAGACACACGATGGTCTCGTGGTGCCCCAGACTCCACACTACTCATGGGCTATTCGGCCTGTTTCTCCGTCCTTGCCCCTTTTTCGCGCCAGTGGGAGGCGTAAATTTTCTTATCGCGAACAAGAATCTCTCCTTGTGCTATGTTTAGAGTCTGGGAACAATATTAATAGTCGGTGGGCCGCGACCCCGGGGGAAAGGGGTATTTAGACAAAGATAGCGCATGGCAAGTGGGCCAGACTCAGAACATGGTCATCCTTGCTCCTGGCATTATTGTTTACTATTGAGTGTATGCGCTCCCCAAGCAACATTCATAGTCCAGTTTTACTCGTCGTTTCGCTCATTGTGTTTATTATGTTGTTATCGCGTGGAAGCATCGGTTGAACCTTGGAACAGCAATATCGGGCCGACGTGCCTTCTCGGTGGAGCGATCTTGATTCTAAGACACGGGATCGTCGATTCTTGCCGCTCGAGGAAGGAGAAAAGGTTGAAAAGGCGCATGGCCCACTCAAAGCTGCCGACTCTGACGGGAAGCTCCGATCGTTGTTGTTGTCTTTCAGGGGAAAGTATACAGAAATGACCCCTGACTATTATTGACTTCTTCATTTTAGTAGTCTCCTGCACCAGTTGTACGCAAATGTCACAGCAGAAATGACCATTGCGCAAGCCAGCTCGAATCGTCTTCTGTCTGATCAGCAACCCTGATCCTTCGAGAGGACAGCCAACCGCGACAAATCAGCTCTACCGAGTCAGAAAGGATTTTCTTCAAGGTTATCGCGAGTTAATCTCATTGATCGTCATGCCTGTCGAATACACTGCTGCCTTGGACGGACGGGTCCCATGAGAAAGAACCAGACATGCTTAGCAAACGCTTGCTATTTCTCGAGCTGTGCCCAATCAATTTGCACCGAGCGAGGGGTTATGATAATTTGTTTCACGCAAGCAAGCCGTGTCGTAGAGCAAAGATTCATACAATGGTCCCTGCGTTGGTTTGAATAGATTGGATTCGGCTCGACACATAGTCAGCGTTTATGAGCTCTTGGAATCAACTCACCGATAATTTCAATTCGGCTATCGTGAGCCTCATCCAAGTCGTTCTTGGGCGTCAGCTCCGCATATCGTCAATTGACTGTCAGAAACCAAGTCCGAGGCGTTGTGAGGATACAGGAGAAAAACGCGCAGTGGTATTTCGTTCCACATGGACTTGAAGCATGGAATAATTCGGGGCAGAAGCACGACGCTAGATGAAATGAATACGGCACAACTAATGCGTCTCTTTAATACCCGCTTGCTAATCTCGCCTGCCGATCGCATTTCTTCGAGTTGTTCCAATACACTTGGCCTTCATACTGGGTCGTGTTTTTCTCGTGCATCATTACAAATCCTTATGACTTTCATTGGAAGCCGCACTGACCGAGCCCGGAACCGTTCGATAGGCACATTCTTCGCTGTGGCCGAGGCCTTGTCTGCATGTCCAAGTTGCTTAGTTTCGGCCTGCTGGACAGGGTGGATGTATAGGTACTGGCCTCATCGTTAGGGCTTGTAGGACGTTTATGCAGATCACTAGAAAAAAGAAAATTGTTCTACCGTCGTTTCTCGTGGGTTTCTCTTGAATAGATAGACTTTATTTTAACATTTACAAACGAGGTTTAAGTTTATTCAAGGGGTTTTACTTGAGGTAAAGCCGCATGGTGCTGCAATGACGACATTGGTTGTGGGATGTGCTATTGCGTGCCCTCGCGTGGATGAGACATCGTACCTCAAGAGCAGGACATGTAATGTATGGTTTACACCGCAACATTGTTAACTGCCATATCCGATTCATTATTTAGCCAGGAAGACTACACAAGCGTAGTCATCTACATCTACGGGGTGCATCGCATACCTCACTCCGACGGGAAAGTGATAGTGGTCCGGTGAATCCCGCATGAAAAAATAACTTGGGAGACAAAAGCGATGATGTCCGCCCGGCACCACCAATTATTAAGTAGGAAAGGAATGGTGGTTGGTGGAAGAAGAATCGTTACACACATAACACGATCGGGTCGCTCCGGAGTAGTTAGCATTTTTGCGGTCCTCTTAGTCAAAGGCAGTTGCATAGTTACGTATCGGCCTCTGGACCCGCCCGGTTGCACCTCAGTCGCAGTAGCTGTCCCAAGGTGGTGGTGACAAGGCGGAATATGCAATATGCCCGGGCGTCCAGGAGGCATGCAAATGACTCGAGAACCGCGGATGATTGACTGAAAGGCTGAAAGGGGTCCCCGCTCCTCAACAGGACCCAAAAATTCACCGGACGAAGAAGAACAATGGACGTAGTTCCCTTTAACTACCGCTCAATGTTGGGAGACATGTCAGCACCTTGAGTCGACGATCTTCAGCCTTCTGGCAGCATTGATGCCCTGCGAGCACCCTGTTTCAGCTTCGGCGCCTTCTGAAACAATCAGCCCCACCTTACCAGTAAACCTCTTGTCGGGCCGTAAGTGGCAGCCTAATAGCCGTCTGTATGGGCGAATTGGATGGGAAGAGAAGAAAATGAGGCTAAGGAGCAGTGAAGTATGACAACGCCGTCGTCGTAGTTAGTTACTTCCACTAGTGTCGATTGATGTAGGTGGACCACCTCAACCCGGTCACCTGGCCACCTCTTTCTCTTCCCCTTCCTGACCTACTCTCACTCAACTCAACTCACACTACTTTTCAACCCCCCACCACCACACCCATCCCAACCCGCCGTCCATTCGTTTGTATCTTTGCCTATATCTACCTATACTGTTGTCGGTGTGCTACAACGACCCTCTCTTTGTCCCCCTCCCGCCCGCCCGCCCGCACTCGCTTCCCCACTCGCTAGGCTCGACTCCTCACCTGGACGAGTCTCGGGTAGGCATTCTGGCTACCCTGGCTGATCCCAACGAGTTGTTCTTGCCTGGCGAACGGCAAAACAACTCAGCCATGTCATCCTCCGTGCCACTTCTGCGCCCACCGGTGCCAGGCAGCCGCAACAGCAGTAACAGCGGCAGTCCACGCGCGCCGAAACTCACGCTCGGCATCCCTCCCTCGCCCAACACCAAACCGGTCAATGGGAACGGCGCCCCCGCGGTTCCTGATGGCCCTCAACTCCCGCGCCAGTCGTCACGGCCAGCGCTCCCACAACTGCGCCTGCCGTCCACGGGCAGTCAAAATGTCCCGCAAGAACAAACCCTCATGCCCAACGGCAAACCAACCCCGCCACCACTGTCCACCAACAGGTTAGATACCAATGGAGGAGGCAACCTGGAAAGCAAGGGCAGCGGCCCTGCGTCTGCAAACTCCTCCTTTTCGGCGCTATCCTTTGCCATGGAACTCCGCCAAACGGATGGCAGCTCGAATCCGTCGTCGGCAATCGGTGATGGATCCATCCAAGATGGTACGAACAACGTGAACGGGTTAACGGTGGATTTGGATAAGTTGAGCCTGGAGAAGGGCCGGCCCCTTGATGTAGAGGATCTAGATGATGAAGGCTGGTACGCGGCCAGCGAGCAAAAGAAGATTGTCGAGTTGGGAAGCTTGGGAGAGGGTGCTGGCGGTGCCGTCACTCGCTGTAAACTCAAGGATGGCAAGACGGTGTTCGCGTTGAAGGTGAGTGTACTTTGTACCAGTGACGCTGTCGGTGATGGCTAACAGAGAACTAGATCATCACGACGGACCCGAATCCCGATGTCAAGAAGCAGATTGTCCGGGAGCTCAACTTCAATAAAGACTGCGCGTCGGAGCATATCTGCCGCTATTACGGAGCGTTCATGGATAAATCAACGGGCACCATCTCGATTGCCATGGAATTTTGTGAAGGGGGCAGTCTCGACAGTATATACAAGGAAGTCAAGAAACTGGGTGGGCGAACGGGCGAGAAGGTGCTTGGCAAGGTTGCTGAGGGCGTCTTGAATGGCCTGACCTACCTTCACAGCCGGAAGATTATCCACCGAGGTACGGTCTTTTGAAGCATGGCACTTGTCTCTGGCTAATGATTTTGTACAGACATCAAACCCTCCAACATTCTTTTGTGTCGTAATGGACAGGTTAAGCTCTGTGATTTCGGTGTCAGCGGCGAGTTCGGCACCAAGGGTGACGCCAATACGTTCATCGGCACCTCCTACTACATGGCCCCAGAACGCATTACTGGGCAGTCCTACACCATCACATCCGATGTTTGGTCTCTGGGCGTGACACTGCTGGAAGTTGCGCAACATCGATTCCCATTCCCGGCCGATGGAACGGTCGAGCAGCCCCGCGCTGGGTTAATAGACCTCCTCACCTACATCGTCCGCCAGCCGATTCCAAAATTGAAGGATGAGCCGGACAACAGTATTCGCTGGTCTGATAATTTCAAGTATTTCATAGAGTGCTGGTATGATCCGCGCCCCCTCTCAGTCTATCTGTCGAAGCTGACCTGGCGAAACTAGTTTGGAGAAAGAACCACCGCGACGAGCGACTCCATGGCGAATGCTGGAACATCCATGGATGCTAGACATGAAGAACAAGAAGGTCAACATGGCGAACTTTCTGTCGCAGGTATGGGACTGGAAGGAGTGAAAAAAGTCAATTACCTGCTGGAGCCATTTTCTTTCTTCATCTTTGCATCCCTGGGATCTTCTTTTGGTTTTTGCTTCCCTTTCTTTACCTTACCCTCTGAGCGGCTGGACCCGAAGGATTGACCTGGCTGTCAACACGACTCTCAAGACACACGACTACTTTCTTCTCCACTGCTTGTCACACAAATGTCCTCTTCTCCGGGCGGGTACTCGTCGAGTGTGGACATCTCATCATCATCATACCCACCCCATTGCTTCCATTTTGCAGCGACACGAATCTCCTCCGGCTACGTCTTACTCCTACGATCCTTTGTTAACGGCCTGGCATTCAACCCCCATTACGTGTTCTTCCATTCTTCTCCCTCTTCCTCGTCCATGTCCATCGTCTCTCCACTGTCAGATCTCACCCCCTAGACATATCATGCCCATATATCGGGGTTTCTGCCCTCCCACCGATCCCCGACGTGTATAGCCCCCCTGTTCATTCGGTTGTTTTGTTTTGGATCATCGCTTCCCCAGTGGAGGCGTGGGTGTCTTCGCTTTGTTTTATATTACGCAGTGCATCGGACTCTCGTCTCGTCTCATCCCATCCCATTTCTTGGTCAACCTACACGTACCGTCCCCTACCTACCACTACGCTAGCTACCTAATACCATCGCACTTGTGTTGTGTATCTCGTTTAGTAGGAGTATATATACCATTCAGGAAGTATATGCAGATGCCATCTAAAACGAAGATGTAGATGGATAAAGATGAGAACATGTCATTTGCTATCGTGGCTACAGTAGATATTCCGCTATCTATTTCACAATCAAACTCTTTCGAAAACTGGATCTACCGATTCACAGGATCGGCCCCTAGAACCCAACCGAGTCCGCTAACCAGTCCTCCTGTAACCATGTTGCTAACCACATCACGCTTGCGAACGCGGCCGTCCCCGCCTTCATCCGGGGACAGGGGCCGGTCATGGCTATCGCCATCGCCAGCAGGAGCAGCAGCTGGTGCAGCGGCGGAGGCGGCACGCAGCGAAGATGCATTCTTATGCAGCGCGAGCGCGGCACCACGCGCAACCTCGAAGAGACCCATTGGCGCCTCGTGCGGGTGCGAGTGCGGCATAGCGGCGCGGGCACGGGCCCGTCTCGCAGTGCGCTGTTGCTCGGTGTCGAAGGCGTCGCGCTCTGAGTCCGAGGGTCCGAAGCCGCCGGGGACAGAGGAGATGGTGGCCTTGTTGTCGCCCAGTGTATCCCAGAGGTCTTCTTCCTGCTGCTCCTGTGCGCGGAGCGAGGAGAGCTCTTCGTCGCAGCGGCGCCAGGCGCCGAGGATCTCAGGGAGGGGGTCTGGGGATGGGACGAGGGCGAGTGCTAAAGAAAGGAGTTCACTGCGCTGGGAGAGGTGGTTGATTTGGGATTGGAGGGTGGGTGTGGGAGAGATGGGTGTTGTTGAGCGGTAGCGGCCTGCGTTGTAAACGGCGCGCCAGGAGATGTCGTCTTGGATGACGGTGGAGGGCGTGAGTAACGGTGAGGAGGTTGAGAGGTGGGAGGGCGGTGTTAGCCGCGTGAGGATGTAGGAGTAGGCGGTGCCGAAGTCGTTGGAGGTAAGGGCGGACGAAATGGCGAGGGAGGTGATACGGCGTTCAGCGGTGATGAGGGCATGTTCCTCTGAGGTGGGTGGTTGCTGTTGCGCATCTTCGGCATTGTGTAAGTTCGTGCTGGAGGGTACGCCGCTGGCGACCAAGTTTCGTCCAATGGAGAGCAGGTCGTCCAGTTTGGTGTAGCTCTTGGCGTTCTGCTCAAGTACCGTCTCGATCAACGAGAGGGGGTCGTGGTGAACGCGGATGCTGACCGGTTGGAAGGGAACTCCGTGCTGCAGGGTCAACGAGTAGAACGAGAGCGAATGCGTTGCAGCGATGAGGGCACGAATCTGTTTGAACGCCGCAGACTCCGGGAAGTGTGGTAGGAAGGCTTGGAGACTAGAATATCCATGTCAGAATCGGTGTTAGAGTTGCCCTTCACGAACAGACTTACATGTCGTAGGCTCTCTTCATCCCACCACGCGTCCGGTTGCCGTTGCTAGCATTATCATATGCAGTGAAAATGGCCTCTTGTACCGCCTGCTCCACTTGAACAGCATTCAGAGGCGTGGTACCGGGAGTGGTATATAGGTCCACGGCCATTTGATATTCTGCAGGTATTAGAGTCAGCATTCATCAAGTTGCATAGCAGCTGCATGTCTCACCTCTGGTCCCTAGTAGCGCCTTCAAGATCTCTGTTTCGACCGTGTCGCGCGATACCCTCCAGAAAAGGCCATGGTATGTGGAATGTTCCGTCCAGTCGCTGTCTGACTGATCGTCCTGCCAGTCTCGAAGCCAGAGTAATTGCTGCCGGACCGAGTGCCAGTCCTGGCTCGATTGTTTTACAATGGACGCCATCACACTTCTCAGTTCTGCCAATTGCATGTCCTCGCTGCTGTGAAGGCACATATTCGCAGCAGCCTTGCATGGGACTTGATGCCCAAGGTCAGTCAAAGCGTGAAGAGAAAGAAGCAGGGCACTGAGAAAAGAGACTGAAGACGGTGATGGTTGCGTCAAAGGATTTGAAGGTGTCAGGAGAGAGTTTTGTAGCAATGACGCGCGGGATGTGGAGGAAATAGACTCGGTATCGTATTGCACGAATGGGAAGGTCGTGTTAGTGGTGACGAGATAGGAGCTGGCCTCGAGATCAAGCAGCTTGGCTACCCGTGTCAATATCTGAGACGAGCCCTTCAGTGCCGCTTTCGATGAGTCCGCATAGGCATAGACCACCGCAAGTCCGGTTTGACCGTAACGATGTCGCAAATCCTTTGCTTTATCGATTGGCAGTTGTGCATCGTCCGCTCCGTACCCTCCCAGATCCACGTCTTCCGGTCCATTCCAGTGATTAAAAGCATTCACAACGCTCTCGTGGTCCACAAGACTCCGTGACAGAAGCCAGTCATTCACGAACTCCCACCCGGCCAGTTCAATGACCTCGGTGTTTGTTGTCCCCTGGATCAGAGGGACTGAAGACTGCTCGTTCAATCTCCGCCGTTTAGATCGTTTGCTTCCATACAGCCAGGGACCAAGCAGGCCCCGAAGATTGCTGACCAGATCCAGATTGCTTCTCTCGGTACCAATCGAAGACAGCAGAACATTGACGGCCGTCTGATCATCCATCGACTCCAAAACCTCCAATGATAACGTCTCCTCCTGGTCGGCATGATACTCGTAATTGAACCGGAGCAATGGCAATAGGCTTGAGACCAGCCATGTGCGTAGCACCGGCCGGTGCTCGTAGAAGGGTTGGAGGAGATCGAGGATGAGCGGCTGGAGGGAAGTTTCGGCATCAATCAGATGCGCGCGATAAATAAGAAACTGCGTCAACAGGTCTGCGGATGTCACGTCCTCATCTTCACCGGGCCGCTGCAGTGGCCGCAATCGAAGCTTCCGCACGCGCTTCCTCGCGCCCGCTTCGGTCAGGTCTTTGACGGCGGTGGTGTCGGGTACTCGGTCGGGGGCCACAACATAGGATTCGTCGGCCAGCTCCTGCAGCACCGAGGTATAGCGCGAGGGCTCGGTACTCTCGGGCAGAAAGGTCAAGATGATGCGCAGTAGACGCTCGAGCGGGAAACATTGGGGGAACTGGGCCTGCAGCACGGGCAAGTCGGCCACATCGCCGCTGGCACACAGGTGAGTGGCCAGCAGGATGGCGTGAGCATCCGACACAGCCATGGCGGGGAGTGGGCGGTTGGTTGCTCTAAAGTGTTTACTCCAAGGTGTCGTGTTGCAACTGCGTTAAGTAAGAAGGTGCACGGGCCACCGTCGGGAACGACGACAGGAACTGCACCGCCAGCGTCACTTCCACCTATTCCTCTCCCGCTCCCAATTCTCCCAATTCCTCTCTACGTCCCGACACAATGGCTTCTGGCTACGGTCTCAACGGAGGTATGTCTCCTGCGGTCCCATCCACCCCCTGATTCCCCCCAGACGCCACCGGCCGGAGCCCGGGCTCAACCACATCGATGGCCCTGTCGACTAACCCGCTCTCTCCAGGTCCTTCCCGCTGCTACCCCTTCTGGCAAGAGGTCCTCGGATGCTACGTCGTGAACTCGGGCGAGGGCGAAGCCGGCAAGAAGAAGTGCACCCCCGCCCTGGAGGACTACTACGAGTGCCTTCACCACCGGAAAGAGGTGCGCCACCACCCGAATCCTATCCCAACAATGAAACAGGGTATGCTAACGAGTCAATTCGCGATTCCCAGGCTCTCCGCACAATGAAGATGCAGGCTGCCTACCGCAAGGCCGAGGCCGCGCACCCGCGTGAGAACGCACCCAAGGCCGAGCAGATTCGCAGTCTTGGTCTGCTCGGGAAGGAGGAAGAGGCCTCTGCGGTGCTGAATCAACGGTGAACGGAGAGAGCATGGGCGAATGTGTTTCCCGGCGCGGTGGTTTTTCCTTCTCTTTTATTTCTCGATTGCGTGTGCTCATTCTTCTCCTCTGGGGTGGATCCCCGGGAGACCTGTGACTGTATAAAAGGGCCCGACTGTTGGTATGGGGTCGTGTTCTGCAATGATACTCCGATTCCATGACATTTTCTCTGCACTCACTGTTCCTTGATCTGTAGTTGTTCGTGGAAGTGCAGCCAATGGACCATATGGCCTACGCTCCAATCGAAAGAAAAGAAAAAGCTCCCTGCATCATAAGTATTGATGTATTCTACCCCTCCGTCCATCGTAAACCGTTCTTGTTCCTTGGTTGCAAGGTGCTGGTGCAGATATTGCTGGTGTAGATATACTTGGTCAGATATATCTCCCACCTCGCCGGTAATTCTCCCGATTCATGTCATTTTCCCCATCCCCCTTGACAGACCCCATCGATCATCCCCTGTGATGCGGAACAGTAGGAATCCGTCGACCGAGCCACCCACCTCCATCCGATCCTCCTTGCTCACTCTCACGCGTCTCGCCAACATCACGTGATCCACCGCGCCAAACCCCATTCGGCCTAGTCGCAAAACAGGGCCGGTCGGTCGTCGCCCAATACTTAAGCGGCTGCGTGACCTCGAATTATTCTCGCTCTAAAGCGTGTCCCATCCCTGCTGACTCAGAGCTTGGCGACTGGTTGGTTTTCCCTTGGGCCTTTCGTTGCGCACCACCACCCGCAGCGCATTCCCCAAATAATCTGACTCGATCGGCAGTTCCTCTCTTGTCTCGTGACTGCTTCGCGGCCTCAGAGTGACGGCCCGTCATGAGCTCTCGGTAAGCTGCTGCTGCGCCAAATTTCGACGCGTCGATTATCTAATCACACTAACACTATTCTGCCAGCCTGGACCGCCTGGTCACGTTACTCGAGACCGGCAGTACACAGTTGATCCGGAACACCGCCGCCCAGCAGCTGGGCGACGTGCAGAAGCAGCACCCAGATGAATTATTCAATCTGCTCGGGCGCATTCTGCCCTACCTCAGGTCCAAATCTTGGGACACCCGTACCGCCGCCGCCCGCGCAATCGGTCTCATTGTCGCCAACGCGGACCTATACGATCCCAACGAGGATGATGGCCAGCAGCTCCAGTCCGCGGGAGACGACGATGAGGTAGATATCAAGTCCGAGGTCAAGTCGGAAGACCAGCCAGCAGTAGCGGATACCTGCCTGCAGCTCGACAGCTTGGATATCGCGTCCGTCCTCAAGTATGGAAAGCGGTTGCTCGGCAGTGCAGGCAAGGAGTACGAATACACGCTGGCCTCCATGGACCCCGCGTCGCGATTGGTCTACCAGAAGAAAACCCTGACGGGCCGATTGGGTCTGGCCGGAGAGTACACCGAAGAGGACTTGATCGATGAGGCTGACGTGCTCCCCAAGGCAGTGACGCCGGTCCCCAAGCAGGAACCGACGGCAGCGTCTATTTCTGTTTTTCGAGAGAACAGCTTGCAGGACCCCAGCTCTCGGCGGTTGTCATCGCCCAGCGAAAATACCACCAAGGAAGAAAGTGGGTTGAGCAAACGGCAACTCAACCAGCTCAAACGCAAGAATAAGCAAAACGCCAAGATGGGCGCCAACAAAGTGCGCGTCGTGGACCTGTCATCTTCCCGACGAGCATCGGAAAATGTAACGACTCCTGCGCCGGCTACGGCGACTCCGCATCCCGTCAAGACCGAGAATGGCGACTCCCAGAATGGCGAGACCAAACCGGATTACTTCTCCCTCGAGCGTTCGGGAGATGATGACGACTCGAAGATCGTGTCGGAGTTTAAAGGCCCCATCGCCCCCGAAAAGCCTCTCATCCAACCCGATCTCGTGGAGCAGGGCTCAGGGTGGCCGTTGGAACACATGTGCGAATTCCTCACAATGGACATATTTGACCCCAATTGGGAGGTGCGACATGGTGCTGCAATGGCCTTGCGCGAGGTGATTCGCGTTCAGGGTGCGGCCGCGGGCCGCGTGGAGGGCAAGGAGCGGGCGGAGAATGATTCGTTGAATCGCCGGTGGTTGGATGACCTTGCATGCCGCTTGCTCTGCGTTCTCATGCTCGATCGTTTTGGCGACTACATCTCTGACAATGTCGTTGCTCCAATCCGCGAAACCGTGGGCCAGACTCTTGGTGCCCTTTTGTCTCAATTGCCACCCAAGTCTGTTCGCTCAGTCTATCGATGCCTCTACCGAATCATCATGCAGGTTGATCTGGGCTTGGATCGTCCCGTGTGGGAAGTTTGTCATGGCGGTATGATTGGCCTGCGATACCTGGTCGCTGTTCGGAAGGATCTTCTCGTCAAGGACGCGACCATGATGGATGGCATCCTCGAGGCAGTCATGAAAGGCCTCGCTGATTTTGACGACGATGTTCGAGCTGTTAGTGCCGCAACTCTTGTCCCCATTGCAGAGGAATTGGTGACCTCGCGCTCCGGAACACTTGGTCCTCTGATGAATATCGTGTGGGACTGTCTTTCCAACCTCCAAGATGATCTCAGTGCCAGTACTGGTTCTGTAATGGACCTTCTCGCGAAGCTGTGCACGTTTACACAGGTCTTGGATGCAATGAAGGCAAATGCTGCAGATGACCCCGAAGCCTCATTTGGCAAATTGGTTCCTCGCCTTTACCCTTTTCTACGACACACCATCACCAGCGTTCGCTCCGCCGTCCTTCGAGCCCTCATAACGTTCTTGCAGTTAGAAGGCGAAGGCAGCACGGACTGGGCAGATGGCAAGGCGCTTCGCCTGGTCTTCCAGAACCTACTGGTGGAACGCAACGAAGGCGTTCTGAAACTCTCTCTCCAGGTTTGGTCTGAGCTTCTCAAAGCTGCCGAGCAGTGTGGCTCGTTTGGGCCCGAGACCGACTTGGCGGACTCCATCCAACCTCTCATCACCCTGACTCTTGGCGCTTTTGGTGTTCCTCGATTCCCCATCCCGATGAATGCCTCACTTTTCATCAAGCCGTCGGGCCTACCAGTCGCCGTCGCTCCTCCAACATCCGCAAAATCTTCTCCTCCCGCAACGACGCCTGCTACCGAGGGAAAGCCCGGACGCAGGCGCAAATCAGAGAAGAAAGAACCCCCTCCGCCGTCAGCACACAATGTCGACGGGCATATGATATCAGGAGATATCGACCTTGTTGGCGCCGACACGATGTTGAGGTCCAAAATCTACGCCTCCAAGGCTTTGGGCGAGCTTCTTTGTTTCTGGGACAAGCACGAGCTTCCGAGTTTATGGCCGTCAGTCTTGGAGGGCCTCAGGTTTTCTGCCTCGACATCCCAGATTTCCTCGGCTATGATTATGGAAGAGTATGCCGGGCGCTGTGTATCGGACAGCAAGTACACTTCCACTCTATGCGAACACCTTCGACCAATTCTGGAAGACGAGAGACCGGCCTGGTATAGCGATATCGCATGCTATCTCCACGTCGCCCGTGCTCAATGCCATTCGCTGATCAATACTTTCCGTGACCACGCACATGTTTCGCCCTCTCGATTGCCAACATTGGCTGTTGTCGTCCAGGGAGATGCAGAGGCCGGCCCTAATGCCTTCTCACTCGCTGATGCCGAAAAGATCGTTGGACCTGACTTTGAGCGCCTGAAGAAGAACTTGACTCCCGCGCAGCGGATCACTGCTACTCAAGTTTTGGGTGACACCCGCGTGACTGCCAATGCTGCTGTGGATGAGGCGCGATCGATGAGGGAACAGCGGGATTTACGTGTCCTGGCTGCAGCTGCCGGCGCTTTGGTTGCCTTGCAGGATATCCCCAAGCGACCAGGCCATATCATCAAGGGCATGATGGACAGCGTTAAGAAAGAGGAGAACTTTGAGCTCCAGCAGCGTTCTGCGACGGCTATCGCCTCCTTGGTGGAGCATTACACAAAAGCGGCCAAACGTGGTCCAGTTGACAAGATCATTGGAAACTTGGTCAAGTACTGCTGCATTGACACCTCTGAAACCCCCGAGTTCGCGCATAACGCCAACTTGGAGAAATCGATTTTGTCACTACGCAAAGAGGAAGACCGACGCGATCATCCTGATGCAGTCAAGTTCGAACGTGAAGCCAAAGAGGCCCGGATTATGCGGCGGGGTGCCAAGGATGCCTTGGAGCAGCTGACCGTCAAGTTTGGTCCTGATCTCTTGGACAAGGTTCCGAATCTGGCGGCATTGATTGAACGGCCACTGAAAGATGCTCTGACTGCTGATGAGCTCCCCTCGGATATCACCAACCCCGAGAATGAGCTCGGACAAGAAGTCGTGGATGGGCTGTCTACCCTCCGTGCTCTTCTGCCCAAGTTCGATCCAGGCCTGTACCCGTGGGTGACTGGGCTCATGCCAGTCATCGCAAAGGCACTGCAATGTCGCCTCTCGGTGATTCGGTATGCGGCAGCCAAATGCTTCGCTACCATCTGCAGTGTTATTACCGTTGAAGGCATGACAATGTTGGTGGAGAAGGTGCTGCCCACGATCAACAATGCACTGGATGTCCACCACCGCCAAGGAGCGGTTGAATGCATCTACCATCTCATCCATGTCATGGAGGATGGAATCCTGCCTTATGTCATCTTCCTCGTCGTCCCTGTTCTTGGGCGGATGAGTGACTCCGACAATGATGTGCGGTTGCTGGCGACCACCTCGTTTGCGACCCTGGTCAAACTGGTTCCCTTGGAAGCTGGAATCCCCGACCCTCCAGGCTTCTCAGAGGAGCTGCTTAAGGGGCGCGATCGGGAGCGGAAGTTCATGTCTCAGATGCTGGATGTACGCAAGGTGGAGCCATTCCAGATTCCAGTCGCCATCAAGGCTGAACTCCGTCCGTATCAGCAGGATGGTGTCAATTGGCTTGCTTTCCTCAACCGCTACAATCTGCACGGCATTCTCTGTGATGATATGGGTCTCGGGAAAACTCTACAGACCATTTGCATCGTTGCTAGTGACCACCACA